TGCAATGGATGCCGCCTGCCAACGGGGGCCGCCCTCTTACATTGAGCGACTTTCGTCAGACAAAAAGCCTAACGCATACACGGCATAACCTGGGCGAGAACTCTTGACGGAACTTCGGTATATTAATGACAACCTTATGGCATACGTTGCAACGTGATTTGTTTCTGAACACGCGCAGGGCAGCACTGGTTCCCCCCTCAGTTCCATCCCGCCCAGGCTATGATAGATCTAGAAAGATGTGTGGGTATGTTGGGTATTTAAAAAAAAATGAGTTAGTAAGCTCTTTGATTGATTCAAATTCTTGTCAAGATATTTTACCTTTGTTATTTGAGTTTTCGATAGCCATTGATCGCTTGACATGACTTGGATTATATGACATTGAAAATTTTTTGAATTAGTATACATTTATTACATCATATCAAAGGAAAAGAAATTGGACTTGCCTTTGAGCCAAATGGTGTACCGAAGAAAAAAAACTATGAATACTGACCGCCAGGTAAGCTTCTTCTTCGATGCGGAAAATAAAATTGCTTCCAGGGACACTTAAGCGATGGATCGGCGGTGTCAGCTTGAGCAGGCAAAAAATATTGACGTGGCCAGAAGTGATGGTAATTTCGAGCTGGATTCCAGATATCGAGAACCCCCGAATGAAAAGAAAGAAAAACAAATAAAGTACATGATGATAAAAAAACAACAATGGTCGCGTCAGTAAAAACCTCATAAAAAACCCTGTGGGAAAAAAGAGGAAAAGACTGCGAAAAGAATATGTACATGAAATATAAAATACAAAATACAAACTATAAACTAAAAATACAATAATCGGGAAGACATCTCGAATACCATATGATGAGAAGCAATCCAAAGGAGAGGAACATGAAGAGGACACGTAAGCGTTTTTCTGATGAAAAAGAGAGTCACACCACCAACGATGACCTTTGGCGTCATCCAGTTTCGCCAGATGGATGGATGGATGGATGGATGGCAAGAGAAAGTCAACTTGTAGCATCCAGAACTTGTCAGGCGAAAAGAAACGGAAACCGGAAGCTGGAAGAAGGATGGAAGCAAAGGAGAGGTGAGTCTGTTTTGCCGGAGCAAAATCGATGGTGGACCACTCGACGCTTACCTTTTTGAGGATTGTAGTCGATTCAACCAAGTTATATACACGGGATAGGAATGGTCTGGATGAGGGATGCGGATGGGATCTTGATACAATGTTAGTGAGGGTTTATCAAGCAAACAGAAAGAGAGAGAGAAAAGCAAAAGAAAAAAGATAAAATTGAAGACAAAAATATATGATTCTCCATGGATGAAACAATAGTCACCCCACTGATGCATGAATTCATAGATCGAAGCACGTCTGCTTATGTATTATTATTATTCGATTCATTGAAAATTGAAAGAGAATGAAAGGACATATATAGTATAACTGACAAAAAAAACAACAGATTGAATGATGCTACAGAAGAACGCCAGTCGTATCATCAACCACTTTTCTTCAAAAAGAGCTCTACTCACATTTTTATTCGAAAAACGACGATACTCTGTTTGACCACAACTGGTGCAAACGGCATCTTGCTGCTGATTGTTTCGCCTATTATTGTGGAAGTAGGCAGCGAGGCATGGTTGAAAGATAAAAAAAAGAGGTTTAACAGGCCCTGATAACTTAGTGTAGATCATGTGATTTATAAATCGCTAATTTCCCAAAGATTTTAATTATGTAGACAAGTAGCGCCTGTTGATCTTAAAGATCACAAAGTTATGCTCTTTCGGCCTGTAGTTTGTTGATAATCTGAGGCTAGTGGGAATAGTAGCTGATTAAAGATGCGTTTGGAATGGGATGCTCCATTTGCAATATTCAGAACTCCGCACTCGAATTTGTGTATCCAAAGGTCTCGCTTGATGGTACTCTAATCTTTTGTCAATAAGCGGTTGATTTTTCGGTAAGATTTAGTTGATGTGCGCATAAATCTTTGCGTATTCAATGAACAACGGAGTAGTACAGTCTCTTTTTCTTTTTTCCCGGGGGTCTTGCCCCCCCTTACCTACCGCCACATAGCGATCATTTTCTTCATCCACGACAGAGGAACAACAATATGTACACAAAGTTAGGAACAGAAATAGTCAGACATCGTATAATATTAAATGGAGAGACAAAAATAGATAACAGAAAAAATCGTAGTTGGGGAAACATAGCATAAGGATAAAATCAAAAGGAACATAAGGACAAAAAGCATACAGTAAAACATAAAGGTGAAGGATAACTTGAAAAATCATAGCAAAGGATGAAATCAAAGGAGCATAAGACAAAATACATACAGTAAAATATAAAGGAATAATAAAAACAACAACATAAGGGTAAAGACGCCACCAGGACCATCAACAAAGAACAATCGGGCTGATTCGTTGCTTCCATGCGTGACACTCTGGAGAATTGCGTGGTATACGGCATGTTGATAACGGTTTAGGTACTCGTGTGTTTGGGGAACATTGGCAACGTTTGCGATGAGATCGAATTGTTCTCTTACCAGTCTGGGTTGACGGCGAAGTGTGCTTCTGCCAATTTCTATTGGCGATCAGGAAGAACAAAGCGATCGTAATTCAGCAGTGAACTCGATTGGCGGTTCAGATGCTCTTCAGTGTCCAGCAAAGCGCGATCGTACACGATTTGGGGCGGCTCAATTTGATGATCATTGTCTTGATTTTGATTGCTCCAAAAAAATGGATATAGTCTTCTGCCAAATGCTGGCGGAACTGCATCCAAAGCGCAAACGGGTCAGGAGCCTGACATTTTCTGTCATTGTCGGCATGATACATTGCTGCTGCAGCACGATCGTGGCCTTTGTAAACATACTTGTACAGGTATTTGACGCTTTCCAGAGAAGTACAGATTTCGACGTTAATGTGAGCGTTATATCTTGCACAGAGATATCGATTGTGGGGAACAACCCATCTATGTCCAACTGGACATGGTTCTTGACCACAAAATCACCATTGTTGCGACGACGGTATAACGGGTAACCACTGTGATCTTCGATAGTAGCTTCATTGAAGGAGCGCGGGTAACGCTTTTTACATGAGCCGTTTTCCATGCAGGGACACCTCGGATGCGTTGTTTCACACGGACCGTGCATCATACATCTGCTGACGGTGTCGTAGAGATCAGGAAATCTCTCTCTGTCCGGAAGTTCGGCACACACGATACGATCATAGACATCAAGTGTTCTCGGCTTTTCCTCCGGATGTAGCACCAAAAGCAAATGAAGATGCGGTAAGCCTCGCTTCTGAAACTCCACCGTGTGTACATGGGTAACGTCTCTTTCCAAAACATGGTTCTTCTTTAGATCTTCCATCAGAGCTTTACGCTTCATGTTAAAAATTCGAGCGCAAAGGTCGGACCGATCAACAGCTGTCTGTCAACCAATCATAAATATTTGTTTTTCAAAAATTACCCAATCAAAGCCGACAAATGTAGCAAAAACCCAATGTGGCTGCCTTGTGACTGAAAATTTGCGCGCATAGCTCCCAAACATTTTAATAAGGTTGAGATAGATTCTTCTTCGCTATTTCTCCTGTCAATTAATTCACTTCATCAGCAGTGGTTTTTTCTTCTCGTCAATGCCAAGGGGGTTCCTCTATTCTTTCCCCAGAATCATTATTACGATTGTGCATTTTACAGTATTTGATGGGATTAATGACTTTCCAAACGTTTGGTGTGTCAATATCATCTTTCTGCCATTATTTACATCGTATTGACCTTGATTGTATCATAAAATGAATTAAATCAAAAAGCAATGTTTATAACGATTCCAGTCTAGGTGTGGCTCCGTACAGTACTTAATTTTGAATGGTTTTGTGGAAATTCCAATGATCACTTTTATTACAGTGCTGTACACGATTCGTATGCTAAAAAAGTGGGATTTGGGGCATGATCATTCGATTTGAGCATCATTTTTTGTGCTCTCTCAGTGCTTCCGGAATCCGTCGGGAGGAATCATATTCGCCTTCATTTTCTACCACCTGTGGTTACTGTGGACCGCATTGGCTCGGGGATGGAATTTGGCAGTTATTGTTCTATCAGCTATCCCATCGTTCACTGGAAGGCGGTGGGCCACATTGAAGAAACACGACAAAACGGTCTCAGCAATCCGAGCGATTCCCTATCTATCAACGTGACTTTGCCGCCCAACAAGCAAGGGGCCATTTTAGACGAGCGCAAAACTGTGGGTAAGTTTGAGTGGGTGTAAGCGTGGAGAATATGGGATGATTGTCTAGCGCCAATAATCAGAAGCGACACGAAAAGTTGAGATGTGCTTGTAAATATGATAAATGAGGCTACTATTCATGTCACTCTCTCTAAGCAATCTACAAAATGTTATGATACAATTGGTCACAACGCATATACAAAGATTTAAGCACATACTGTACTTGAAGCAAGGTATAAATCAAAATATTTATAATAAGATTGGGCCGGTCGGTACCTCAAGGTGGGTGGTGAACGTGTCCATTCATTCTTTCTTGGACATAAATTTGCTTTCCTACCATGTTTCCGGTGCCTGAATCCGTGAGAGGCAACTGCGGCATGTCTTTGAAACAAACGAGTGGTGAGGCTTCTAAAAACAAGGTTTTGAAGATGCTCGAGTTTTGATCCCACACTCCCAGCGAATTTAACTATTTTCAAATACTTCCTTTTTACCCGGCTGCATCATCCCTTATAAGCAAGAACTGGATTTTACAAATTGAAAAAATGAAATAATTTTATAGTTCCGGATCTTTTCTCTTCAAGAATATAAGGGATTGACGAACTAGGCTTTGAAAACCATACCAATCACATTGCAAGTGCGCCAAGCTAATTTTTCTGCGCCCTAGAAAGAAAAGAATCAGCCAATCAAATTGAAGATTACGTCAGGTCCGGTGGCTTGTATCACTATATTTTCTCATAATGGGGGCATCAGGAGGAAATGCTGACAATGTCTTCTCCTATTGTGTCTTTGTTTAAAACGATGACTGATCGCAAGAGAAAAGCCGAGGAGATTCCAGAGGAGCAACTCCAGGAAAGCAAGAAACAGCTTTTGGAAGAAGCAGCCAACCAATCTGGAGATGATGATTATTCCAGTGTTCCCGACACCGAAGCGACGAGAGAAGAACAGCCAGAGCCCGAAGTCGCTGGTCAGACGGAACCCGCTCCTGAACAAAAAACCGCAGATGCACCACCAGAAACTGCCTCGACTGAAGAACCAAGCAATGTTCCTACTCTAGAAACTGTAATTCCTTTCAAGCGACTGATTTTGCTGAATATTGAAGCCACCTGCGACGAAAATGCCACCAATCCTGCTGCCGTCCAAGTAACCAAGGTAGGCACACTCAGATGAGACTCTCGACAGGGACATGGGACTTATTCACTCATATGATGGATTTATCAATAGGAAAATTCGGAAGCTATTGGTAAATGACGCGACAAATGTTTTTCATCTTTCATTCGTATCCCAAGATGTGGAATTAACCTTTTTTTTTTTTCTCTATAGAATTGGCTTTTGTGGTGGTGGATGCTTCCAACCTGGAGGTATTGCATAAACAGCAAATCTATATCCGTCCCGAACGTACGCCTTTGACCAACTTTTGCACCACTGTCACCGGCATCACATGGGATAAGCTTGAGTCGGCCGGCACGTTGAAAGACGCCATTGATCAACTGGATACCTATATTCGCAACGAGATTGAAGCCAAGGATCTTAGTTTTTGCTTTGTCACTCACGGTGGATGGACGCTGCGTATCCAACTCCCTCGAGAAGCAAGAGATAAAAACATTGAATTGCCTCAGTATTTGGCGTTCAGCCGTCTATTTGATTTGAAGCAAGAAATGCAGCGCTGGCAACTGCATCATCCTGAGGTGAGCCTGCGCGCTGTATCGATTCGAGAAATGTGCGATACCTTTCACTTGGAGCGAGTCACGGAGCACACGGTGGGATTGAACGCCTGTCTCTCCACGGTCAATGTGATGCGATATCTTACGGGATTCCGCCATCCCGATGTATTTGTCAATGCTATCGATACCAACGCGGATTTGCAGCAATTCAAAAAAGAGGAATCCAAAGTGATTCATCTAGCTTGTCTTCCTTATGAAGTCACTCAAGGGGAATTGGAAGCTTGGTTTTCGTCTAACGGTCTGCGTCCAACCGTCATGTGGATGATCCAACCGACCGATCATTCCAAGCCTAGTATTTCTGGATTTGTCGTGTTTTCATTTCACGCGGATGCGATGCGAGCTTTGCAGTTAAATGGACGATGTCTGGGTGATAAAGCGGTGGAAGTATCTCCTAGCAGTGAACGTGTGATTGAAGCCGCCGGTAACATGCTGGCCCCATTCCCTACTCAAGCCAAAACGCGTCAGTTACGACCAGGCGACTGGAATTGCCCCAACTGCGATTTCCACAACTTTGCTTCGCGACGCAACTGTTTCAAATGCAATGCTGAAAATCCCAATCCTGCAGCTGCCCCAACTCCTCATCACTCCTCCTTCCACCATCCCAACTATGTAGCCGGCGATTGGAACTGTCCCAACAGCGCCTGTGGTTTCCACAATTACGCCTCCCGTGTACAATGTCTCAAATGCGGTGCACCGCGACCTCATGGAGCGGGGTCGGGAGGTCACCATCACGCCAGCATGCCTCCACCAATGGCGGGCGGCTATGGTGGTCCACGTCCTTCCCCTCACATCTCCTTCCGTCCCGGTGATTGGTATTGCCCGAACCCCAACTGTGGTTTCCAGAATTTTGCATCAAGAGCCACCTGTTTGCGATGCCACTCATCAAATCCCAACTCTGGGGGTTCCAGCGGCTACTCGCCTCAGCCTGGTAATTATGGCGGCTATAATCCGGCCGATCCCGGCTACAACAGTTCGTCCACTGGGTATAGTGGTGGCTATGGTGGAGCGCCTCCTGCGCCTGGAAGCTCCTACGGTGGAGGTTACGGCGCCCCAATGTATGGAGGCGGCCATCCACCCGTCCCAGGAGGTCATCATCATGGTTCCAGCTTCCGTCCTGGAGACTGGTATTGGTAAGTGTTGGGAGGCTACGAACTAGATCAAGGCTCAGAGTGAATTCAACTAACTTCACTTTTTTTTAAAAAAAAAAATAGTCCTTCATGTAACTCTCACAACTTTGCATCAAGATTCCATTGTTTGAAATGTAGCGCGCCCAAACCGTACAACCAGCAACAACAACAAGCACCACCCGGGCCTGTCGGAGGCTACGTGCCAAGTACACCTAGCATGAAACGTAAGAGCAAAAACTATAAATGTGCGTCCATTGTTGCTAATTGTCTTTTTTTCTTGTATTGTATTTTCTAGCTGGCGATTGGATTTGTGGTAACGAAAGTTGTGGTTTTCATAGTAAGTGATCTGAAAAAAAAATTGAGGATTAGTCGGAGACCGATGAATAACCCAAGTTGTGACTATAGATTTTGCGAAGCGTACCCAGTGTGCCAAGTGCGGTATGGGCAACCCGGCTGCGCAAAACACGATGCCTACCCCATTAGGGTATTGAGTGGTAGCGGCGATGGCGGCGGCGGTTGAGACGGGAAGGCGCGCGAGTATGGGAGGTTATTTTGCGAGTGGAGGCAGTGGAGAGAATATAAGGAGTGAGCGAGGTGATTATTCATTTCCTTTTCAATTCTTTTCTTTTTTTCTTCTTTCTCTTGCATGCGTCTCTTCTTGAGTTTTCGTTATCAAACGATGGCAGCATAGAGACATCGATTCTAACTTGCATTGATACTCCTCCCCCCTTTTTTTTCTATTGACAGCATGAGATTTATTGATTCACTGGATGTTTCTTTTTCCCATAGATTGAAGATAGTTGGCATATGTGGCATGTGAAGTACTGTGTAATTTGAGCGATAAATACATAGTGAGAAGAGAAAATAATAAAACATGCTTTCAAATAAAGAGGACGTGGGGAATTAAGGAGGATCATCGTGTCTTCAAGCATTTCCCCACACACGTGAAAAAAAAAGTGAATGATAATGGCGGAATGTGAATTTCGAAAAGCGGAAAAAAAAGCATACTAAGCGCAAATGTAGACAGCGCTTTTTTTTTCCTGTTTTCTATCTCTTGTGTGGTGAACGATAGACACGACATGTTTGTTCAATTGCGTACCGAAGGATACAATGGCTATTCTGTAGGTTCGATGCATGCGCTGTGTAGCTTCTTTTTTACCAATGCTGTGTCTGTTAATGCTGGCCATAGGTGAAGTGGAGCCCCTTTTTCGAAAATAAGTTGGCGGTTGCCAGTGCGTCCAACTTTGGTTTGGTGGGCAATGGACGATTATTTCTCATGGCGGCTGGTCCGGACGGGTTAATGATTGAACGAGCGTAAGTGGTCCTGTTGCCTGAAAGTGACCCTTACTGAAACTACCACACTTCCTTGCTTGATAACAGATATGATACTCAGGACGGCTTGTTTGACCTGGCGTGGAGTGAAATTAATGAAAATCAGATTATCGGGTCCAGTGGGGACGGATCCATCAAGATGTGGGACGCCACCCTGGCGGTAAGTCAATTGGCTATACGATGGGGAATTAAGTATGGAGCTGCGACAGTCATGATGCGGTGATTAACGGAAATGTATTGTACAGGATTTTCCTATTCAAAATTGGCAGGAACATCAACGGGAAGTGTTTTCAGTGGAATGGAATCTGATTACCAAGGATGTGTTTTCCAGTGGATCATGGGACCACACTGTCAAAATTGTAAGTCGGCAGAAAAATGAAAAATATTTGTGGATGGGAATAAAATAACGATGGGAATCTGTAGTGGAATCCGCAAGCACCGAGATCTTTACAAACGTATACCGAGCATACACACTGTGTTTACAGCACATCATGGTCTCCTTACAATCCGACAGTGTTAATGAGTGGTTCAGGGGATCAGACGGTCAAGATTTGGGACACAAAGAGCCCTCGGTCAGTACAAACAATCCGGGCACACAATAACGAGATTTTATCGGTGGATTGGAACAAGTATCAGGATCAAATGTTTGTTACGGGTTCCGTTGACCGCACCGTAAAGGTCTGGGATCTTCGCCGTCCTGACCGTGAAGTGATTTGTCTAGCTGGCCACGAATTTGCTGTACGCAACGTCAAGTGTTCTCCTCATCGACCCAACATTGTGGCCAGTGCAGCGTATGACATGAGCGTACGGTTCTGGGATACAGCGGCACCTCTCGGACAAAACATGATTAGTCTGCATGACGCACACACCGAGTTTGTGCTCGGCCTTGATTTCAATCTTTATGTGGAAGGCCAAGTGGCGACGTGTGCGTGGGATGAAACGGTTCATGTATTCGTTCCACCAGGATTGATGGGACGATAAACCAGCATCTAATGCTAACAAACGGTAACCTGGCTCTCTCTCTCTTTTTCTCTCTCTCTCTCCTTTTTTTTCTTTTTCTTTTTGTTGTACAATAACATGTATTCGTAATTTATACAATCACAACGCTTGCTGCAAGCGATCCAAAGCTCTATCGATCGATTTTCTAATTGGATGAAACCAGCATTAGAACGGTGATGATAAAACAAGCGTATTTCCAATTTTTACGGACATTTGTTTTGACAAGTGCGAAAGTTGAGAGAGATCTTTGTCCAATTCGTCACACTGGGAAATAAGCTGCACCATTTGGTTGGTACATTGGTCAATCTCGGTGCTTAATTCTTGGATGGAAGCCTTGTACACGCCTTCAGCATCACTGGTTGCCGTCGCCATCTACAGTGCTGGGTCAGTTGAAGTCCACATATCTGTTGGATGCTCCACTAGCAAGGGATCTCACCAAAACCATGCGTTTCTGCAACCGTTCCACGATGGCGTTAAAGTTGTTGGCTAGTTCTACGGCTCGCGTGTCCAGTGTTTCAAACAAACCCACATCAAGCGGCACCATGGTCTCACTCTCCGTGTTTGGCATGTCTGAAAAACTGGGCAGTAACAGACAACGAGCAAACGGACAATCGAAAAAAAAAGGGAAAAAACGGGGAAAAAAGTCAGATCCAGAATCGGCATGTCTGCATTTCCCACATTTGAGTTGCTTTATTCATGTGACCAAAATACGTGATGGGTATTGTTGGGGGTAGGGGGAGAGTAGAGTCTAGGGTTCAAACCAAAGGAACAAGACATTGCCATAGCATTAAAAAACATGTCTTAGAGCTGTTTGATAGGTTTTGGTGTAAATCGCTTTCGTAACATCTTCACCATGAGACCAAACCAGTACATATTGAGGCATAAAGTGACAAAGTTGGCTGATCCATAGACAATCCAATCTGGGCAAGACAGACATTCACAGTGAGTAACCTTTTTTTTTCCGGCAACCACCCCCATTTTGTATCTGTGTACTTACATCGCCATGGTACAAGCTCCTTTACAGCGAATATATCACCTAGAAAAAAATCACATTTTCCCATTCAGTCTCTATTGATCGTTTCCCATTGATCTAGACCGGTGACCACTTACTCCACATCCGCGTCGACATATAGAAGCCAAACACAATCCTCGCTCCAAAGAAAGTGGTTATTAGGAAGAATCCATTGATCAGTTGCACCTTGCCCCCGGTCCAGCCGAGTTTATCCTATAAATTCATCCATCAAAGAATCACACCAGTCAGTGAACACTGGGGCAACGGGTAGCTCACATGATCGATACATACTATGAACCAGTTGATGTTGAGGAAAATTGTGCTCAATTCGTACATCAGGAAAATGGCGCCGTAATAGTTCACAAATGGTCGCTAAAAAAATGATGGGGTTCAAGATCCACAACTTGATCCATCGATCCATCACCCACTTTTGATCACACAAAATGTATAGAAATCGACTTACGAACGATAATACAAAGACAGACAGGGACGCGATGCCGTGAAATACCATGGTAATGCCTTGGTACTTGTAGAAATACAAGGCAATGATGGTATCCCAAATAAAATATCTACATTTTGGTTTCCCCACATCCTTTCCGTAAGTTCCATGGTCGTGTCGCCAATCGCTTGGGTGTGGTGGGTTCGACTGCTTACCCACATGACACCGAATATATGTCGGCGGCCCATGCTTGATATCCAAACACTCTGTCTCGAGATAACTGATCGTCCGCCATGATGAAAAATGATCCGACCACCACTGTCACACAGTGCACCGTTGACACCACATGGATATGCCAGTTGGGTGCATTATACTATACAGCGTTTAGCTTTTTTTTTCCCTTTTTTTTTTTCTCAGCTCGAACGTTTCAATTTCCGTCCAAGACTGTGCATACTGCTGGATCTCTTCTTCCTCTTGTGCCGACAGTGGCGTGTGGCAATGCCAATGAATATGAAAACTGATCACTTACGCCTTTGAAGAATTGGAATGTCTTTGGAAACAGTAACGGGGATACGAACCGAGATATTTCATAGATGATGCCGCATACCACGGCCGACAACAGCACGATCTGCCAATGATGCCGCAGGGTGGTTAATGCCAGTTGTTCCAAGAAAGCATAAAATGGAGGCTCCATTGAGAAACGGGAAGAATAAAAGAGATGTAATTCAAAGAAGAAAAAAAGAAGGGTCCACAGTGAAGGTTGCTTCTTTTAGATATTCCACGTCGGCCAGTGGTTCAAAAAAAAAGAGAGCATCATGCGGGCATTAAAAAAAGCTGGAATCAGGCTTATGTGAGCGACGATATTTTTCCCCAACCCCTCTCATTGGGGGAAGGAAGGGGAGGGGGGTCCCAAATCCATCCCAGTTCAAGTCACCGGAGGCGTAGGCAGAAGAACACTTCTTTTACCATGTGAAGAAAAAAAAAAGGGAAATCAACTTTTTTTTCATATCGTTCTTATGACATAGAAATATCAATCTTTCCACCAATGAGCAAGTTTATTTGGTGGATTTTCTAGCTGTGATGATCTTCCAGCTGGCGGCCACCCGATATTGATCAAATTCTTCCAGAGCCGTGGCACACAACTGATCAAATTCGGTTTGCGTAATCTGATTTTGCGAAATCCAGCAATGTCGCATCGATTTAAAAAATGCCTTCATCTGCTCCTTGTACAAGAATCCGTACTGCTGAAGCACTATTACAAATACAAGGTTATCAAAAGAAAAAGAGTCGCACCCATTATTTTATTTAGGTACATCGCATTACTTACATGTATCTGTGGGCCATTCACCAATAGGTATATCGTGGGTCTGCTCTTGGATATCGGTAAACCCCGATTCGAGTAAAACCTTACTCAGTGATCGAGGATAATTAAGATCCACACCGACCCTCGCCGCACAGGCTTTGTACCACTCGTTCATACGCGTCAAGACCGGCCCAGCGTGCTTGAAAAAGCAGTCTAACATAAAATCGGTGAAAAAAAAAATTAACTTGAGTTGCATGGAAAATAGGTGACGAATGACGGACTCCATACCGTATTCAACGAGTTCTATTTGGCCTTCGGGTCGCAAGATACGATAGAATTCGGCAATCAACAACGGCCATTGTTTCCATGGCACCACCGCGCTCACATCACGTTGGTAAATGAAATCAAACTGCTGATTGCTGAATGCTAGCGGTTTTAGTAGATCGCCCTGACAATACGAAACATTGGATATGTCGGGCGCATTGGGTTCGGCTTTTAATGGGTAATTTGACCAATACGATTGTATATCCATACCAATCACCTGGCTCTCGGGATACTCTAACGCTGTTTCCAGCGCCCACACACCTTTTTAAACAAAATTCAGTTTCCGGACAGTAACTTTCCTTTTTTTTTTCCCATTACGGTATGTGTGACGCACCTACACCACAAGCACAATCCAGAATATAAGACGGTTTCTCCAGCTGGATGTGCATGTTGCCATTAAACACCTGTTTTAACATGTAATGCTATTAACAATTATATGATAACAATTGTAATGTACACATGGAGGTGCAAAAATGTTGACGAAGCGGTGAGTGCAAGTTCCAAGTTTGGCGATGAATAATAGAATAATACCTGACGCTTTTGTCTATTTGTGCCGGAGATCGAAAGGTTGACGTTCAGCCAAGGGTATATTTCATAGATCTACAGGCACAAGAGTAACCCACTTTTTTTGTTTTACCTGTCTTTTTCTTTATCCAATTCGTAGTCGTATACATGGTCAATTTGTTCTTGGGGTAGTTGCAACGGTTTGGTTAGTTTCTCCAGAGCCTGCTCTGCAGAAGCTATAGCGGTGGCAGCTATTTTCCATCCCGGTTCCAGCAAGCTGTTGAGATGGTCGTCGGAGATTGTCGATTCGTATGAACTTGCATAAGGAACGGACACATCCGATAAAACATCTTTAGGTGGAGATGTCAGTTTGGTGGGTGATGATATAGAAAGAGGGAACGATTCCGGTAGAACGGGGGTAGGTGGAGCTTTTATTAACGGTGATGGATGGATAGGCGAAGCCGGTGGTGAACGGTAGCTGTCAGCCGAATAACGATGAGCGGCATATGGACTGGCCCTTTTTGTCCCACTTTTGGCCCGCTTTCGCCGATGCGACTTGGTACTCTTTTCATTTATATCATGTTTACTGAGATGTGTGCCCATTAAAGAGAGAAAAAAAAATCCAAAACAAAAAGAAACAAAAAGGAACAGAAAAAAAAATAAAGACAACGGGAAAGGACAAGTCGACTTGGTATATCATACCAAACTAGTGATATAAAGGGAATATACTACACAGCCAAGTAACATGACTTGAGAAAAAAACCGGATAATTTGACTGGCACTATCCTTTTCAGGCCCTCACTAACTCCATAACTCCCCACCAGAGAAGATTCGTTTTTAGTTTTTCGTGTTACATCAAATTTCATTCCAAGTCTTCTTTCTTCTGAAGAAACTGGAACCAATCAGAGATAACCATTACAGAAAATGCAGATATACCGTCACGTTGTCTTCCATTGAGCACATTTTCCTTCTTTCCTGATGGCCCAATCTGTGTTGCCATCAGATTTTCGGTTAAAAAATCTGCCATTGTTACCTCCAGGCCACGTTGTGGTTGCCATGACCAAGATCAAGCAATAATGCAACAAATCAAGAAACTTTAAAACTCTAAAACAACGTCAAAGCTATTTAATACACAACATGCCGCTGCAATAAAGCATTGACGTAATTCTATGGTAACCACTGGAACCATTGATTTATTCTACATCCTTTTCCTTTTGTTTTTCCTTATTTTCGTTTTCTTCCTCAGAGAGCATTGGGTCATCTTTTCTTGTAGCCACGTGCAACTGAAGCGGTGTATGAACCATGGCGTGCTGGGAACCGACTGAGGTGCAAATAAAAAAGTAACAAACAAATAAAATGCGGAGCCCTAATCCGGCGATTGGCAATCACGCAAAGTTGAGATAATCGGCATAAAGCGATCTATGTTTTTCTGTTTTGGCCCGGATGAAATATAGGGTACAAAAGTTTGATCTGCTCAGCAAGTTCTTTTGTAAAGTTCTGATGGACGAAAATTTTTGCCAAAGGGCAAGTTTCTAAATAGAAGGTATTCAAGGTGCGACAGACCGGCTAAAAGGTGCTTCAGTGGCACGGAGAGGGCGGCCATGACATCAATCAAGCGGAGCCTGAGCATTTTACTGGCTGGTCCGCTGCAGCCAGAAGCAAAAAACCAGGTGTTTGCCTTTTACGTTATGAACCCAGCCAATTGTCTTTTATGGTAACTTTCAAAGAGAAACTTGTCGTTTAAAAGTTTTCCCTCGGTTACACGGGCTCCCCCCCCCTCTTTGACCAACTTCTTTTTTACTTTCTTTGAAACTAAGCAACCGATAATTTCAATTACTGCATTGCCAACGATTGCAATCGGGACAGCAATTGAAGAGACAGTATCATCCAAGTTCATATTTACGAGAAAAATGAAAAACAATTGCATACTAAACGAACTAAACGAATTGCACAGAGTAAAGAAAGACAGAAGGGGATGCCCAACTCTTTTTTTTTCATACAGGGCTTTTTTAGTTCGTGTAACGTTATTGGCATCACTTGAGTTATCTGGCAATCGTTCTACAGTTAAACTGCGAAGCCAATCTTCAAGAGTTTCCATGAATATTTAAATAGAGTCATTCCGTCGAATCCGAATTTGGATTGCTTCTTTATTCATTTTATCTCATAGACAAGGATCCTCTATCCTTTCTCTTTTCATCTGTCCTGTTTTTCACTATGTCCTTCCAGGCACTCTTGAACAAACTCCTCCCCACCCATCTCTCCACTCGTATCCCCAAATCAACCACTTTTGACTACAGTAACACGAATCATGATAGCTGTATCGATTATGATCCATCTGTTGCCTGCTACGTGCAGCCTCCCAGTAGCCCTATCCATATCCCTGTAGCACAACCGACATCGGCCGCCGTCTCTCCATACCAATTCAACACGTCCGGTTTGACTTGTCCAATCGACCATCAATCCCCCGGTCACGGTAAGCTTATGCACTCCTGGCTAACTTGAAACATCCACTAAAGCCCGAGTTTATTTTTAGATCTTCTTTCGGTGCCTTCTACTGCATTTGGATCATTTTCTTCCGCGGCCGACTCTATTGTCACCACGGATCATGACGCGCTATTCATGCCACTGTCTTCACAACAGATGATCCAAGAGGATTTTTGTCTGGATGATCTGCTTGACTTCCAGCCTTCCACAGCAGTGATTCCATCGGCCGGGAATGAACATACCCCTTTCTCGCCTTGCTCTACCACCATGGCCAGCAGTGTGGGAGCATCCTCACAGGTGGCTCCTACACCAATTATTATCCAAGAAATGTATTCCCCCTTCACCGATACACTTTCCTCAGCTTCTGTATCGTCACCTTATGATTCTGTATATGGGTTGGCGTCACCTCTGAGCAGTGATCTATTGTTCCCTTCCTCGTTCCCTTCTCCATACATCACCGAAGACTCTCCTGGACCGCTAGCCTCTTCACCTTGCCCTTCTCAGGTTTCGATTGACCAGCTGATGGAGCAATATCTGGTGATCACAGCTCAATCGCCCTGCTTATCCGATCAAGAAATTCAACCAGTCGCTTCTGCTGGATCCTCTTATCCTCGTGAGAAGCGATCAATGAGACGATCTGCGCGCCTACATAAATGCCCTTATTGTACCCATACCAGCAACCGGGCCAACAATATGAAAGAACACATCCGGACCCATGATCCGAACCGTCCCAAGAATTTCGCGTGTTCCATTTGTGACAAACGATTTGCTCGTAAGCATGATATGAAACGCCATACCAAATCACATCAGCGCCTATCACGACGCAGTACTTCATAAGCTGTTGTTATGTACTGTTGATGTTTTTCTTTTCTCTATGCTTTATCTCTTGCCTTCTGTACGTATATGTATAGTATTTATTTCTTGTACATTGTAATTCTATATTCCACCGGCTTTCGATTCTATGGGATCAAGCTTTTATACATTTTCTTTTTCTTTCTGTTTAATACCATATTTCCCTTTTTTTGCAATATTTTTACCCGATGAAAAAAGGGTCATTTTTGTATAACAACGTATTCCAGAAATAAAAATTCCCAAATTAGATCCTGTCCACTAAAAACTATCTCCGTCTTTTTTCTTCTTGACTAGCCTGTGCGCCCTATTTGGGAAAAAAAAGTATACAGTAGCAATTGCAGAAATCAGGCACCGAAAAGAAGATTCTGTAATATACTGAACAATGTTTGAATTGTCATCAAAAAGCGTTACCAGGCAGGCAATGACGTTATACGATCTGAGAATCTAACTACAGCTAACATCAGCTTTTGTACATGCAGTGCGGAAAAAAACGAATTTCTACCTACTGTGATACAAGAGGCCCAGTCACCCTTTTCCATAATCTATGCATCAGGAAATACTTTTTTTTTTTTTTTTTTGCAGGTGGCGCACGCTAAATTAGTCGTCATGCCATCTAAAACTTTTGCGTTGTAAATGCAACGCCATACTGTATGTCTGATTTTTTGTTATCAGACAACATCAATTATATTGTATAATGTTAAGTTTGTCATTTGGAAGCTAGAATAAGTATGTCCAATTTCAAAAGCCGTGAGCGGTTAACCCTTCATTGTTCCAAAACTTTAGTACTCAAAGTATCATAGCATAGAGTGTGTGTCGATCTAACTATTGAAGAGTAGCCATTTTTGAATTACACGATTTTGAAGGTGATTCTGAGAAAAGTAAGAATGAGAGTTAAATTAAATAAAACTTTGGTTTTGATTTGCTTTTTCTTCCGAGTGCGGAAAACTCCAAGTTTTATTGCAGATGCGGCATGACGAGCAGTGTAATATAAAATGTATGAAGGATTGAGTGAAAATAAGAGAGAGAAATATAAAACACTAAGCATCAGAGAACGTAGGTTCAATCAATATATGAAAAGGGGATGAAATTATCAGCGGCGAGTGTCAAATTGAATGTTTGGACTTGAATGCTTAAGGATCCGATCCAACAAAAAACGTTTCATATTCTATGTTAAGAACCAGGAATGGGGTTCAAAGAAAAAGGCGCGGTATGATAGGCAATAATCTCCTTTAAGGAACATATGCGTTCAGGTTTTTTGAAATATAAACACCTCACTTCTTTTAAACATCATAGGGCGTCGAGTTTTGTTTGGCACCAAGACCTCGAACGTCTTCTCGGATATAAAACTGACATCTTACAGCGTGTTGTTGATATCAGGCAAGATAGTTTATGGTTTATCTTTATAAGCTCAACATCTTCTATTGCACATGGCTCGCAAGCATATCCGACAAAAATAATAATAATAAAAAAAACATAATCCTCAATGCAGTTATTGATCCCACAAGGTTCCATCACTAACATTTTGACATTTTTTTTTTAAAAAAATTTGTAGTTTGAAAGCATGTATGCTATACAACTCTATTTTTTGCTTCAATTTAAAGTGTTTGCAATATTAAAAAAGTACAGTAAGTAATTTACATCTTGCAGGAAATGTCAAATAGATCGATTACCTTTTCTTTTATTTTTTTAAAAAAGTTGTGTGAAATACTGTTAAAACTTGGATATACTTTTCTTTTTTCTTTTTTACCAAGACAGTTCTATCAGATAGTCAGTCATACGTGCTGTGATTAATTGACAGCTTGTGAAAAATGCGACATGGATTGGACCATAATATGTCTGATTTGGTAAACGATCCACAGAGAGAACATTCCAAGTATAATGTTGCAACTCCAGCCGCTGTGAATATGTCAGTAGTCCACTCGTCCACGTAAGATAAACAGATAAAATTACTGAAAGCCTATTTATGCCAATGGGCTCTTTGATTTAAGGAATTTTCGCAACACCAAATAGAGAGGAGGAGGTAATTTTTTGGCAACATGAGTGTATAAGATAATTTTTAGTTCATTTGTATGTTACACGATAAAACTGAATATAATCTGCATTTTTATATTTTTCATTCTTTTGCTCTTTATTTCAAATGTTTAAAAATACAACAACTTTTTATTCAACTTTTATCAACAACAAAAGATTATGTTGTCAATGGCTGATTGATAATAACATCTTGAAATATCCTATCTGTAATATTTGTAATACCCCTATGTTATTATCTAAAAAAAATATCCAAGAAGATTATCATTTTAAATGTCATCCATGTAAAAGAAATAAGGGTTTATATTCAGAAAGTATATTTTACAAATCTAAACTTAAACCTTTGAAGATAATAGAATTATTTTATTTCTGGTCATTCAGTAAGTTTATTTTATATTTATGATATACTGATTAATAATGAACTGTATTTTTAGATTATAGACCAAGTGAAGTTAATCAGCATACTTCTATCGCAACAGACAACATATCAAAAATTTTTAAAAAGTTCAGATTAATCATATCTGAATACATATTAAACGAAAAGGATAACTGGAATACAACAATTGGTGGGCCGGGTAAAATAGTTGAAATTGATGAAGCTATGGTAACATGACAATAATTATTTTATTCTACATAATGATTAATTTTTTGTTTTTTGTAGATAAGTAAAAGAAAATACAATCGTGGTAAAAAGAAGCCTGGTATATGGGTACTTGGAATGTATGAAAGATATTCCAATCCGCCAGTATTTATCATGTTACCAATACAAAATCGAAAAAAAGAAACATTACATGTTGCAATCAATAAGTATGTAAAACCTTTTACAACCATCATAACAGATTGTTGGAGTGGATATAATAATATCGATGAAGATGGTAAATATACTTTTCTATTTATATTTTTATTTCTTTTGAATATTAATTATATAATAGGAATATATAAACATTTGACGGTTAATCATTCGCATTATTTCAAAGATCCTGTTACAGGTGCATATACAAATTCAATTGAAGTAAGTTTTTTCAATCTTTTTATGAATTATATGATCCATTTTTTAATATTAGGAAAATGTTTAGGGATATTGGATGCATATGAGAAAATATTTGCCTCCTCTTCCATATGCAAACAGAAAAGATTATGGTGATTATCTTTTAGAATTTTCATTTAAGAAAAGATTCAAAAACAATCTATTAGAGATGCTATTATATGTAATCGGTAAAGAATAAATTTGGGCAGAATAATTATCCGCAACATTATTATTGGTTTAAATTTTGACACTAAAAGTTATCTTATTCACTATAACTGCCAATTTTTTTTGGTCCTTGAAATGGAGAAATGGCCGCTTTAGGAAGATCGATAATTTTTGTTCTCCGACACAGTGGGTTGGTCTGAGAATTCCGGACCGGAGCAGCGAGCCATGGTGGTGGGATTTTTCATCCTTTGCATGGGCTTGGGCTGTAGAATCCTTCCTCTTTAATCATCATCCAAATGGCTGCTGCTAAGTCTGGTATTGCTGTTGGTCTCAACAAGGGCCACATCGTCACTCGTCGTGAACTCAAGCCCACCGTCTCTTACCGCAAGGGTGTATGTATTTCGATGGATGGATGCGATACCTAATCAGTTGGATCCAATTCTTTGCTCTCTCGTTTTCTCCCAACCTGTCACATTTCGATGCATTATCCCATTCGTAACCCTCCCCAACGAGAATTTATTTCCTGACGATCTTGAAGTTATCTCTTCTCACCTGTGAGGAATGTTACAGTAACGCCGTCAGTTTTTATTTCCCACCTGTATCGACAACCTTGAATGCATCGTCAAGAACTTTGTGTGATAGTCGCCATGGGGACCGACGGACAAAGAGAGAAAAAAAACGAGAGAGCGGAAGCGGGACACTGATGACTGCAAAAAGGGGAACATATTTTAATTCTTTTATTATTGTTAGGCTGCCTCCAAGCGTGTGACTTTTGTCAAGAGCATTGTTCGTGAAGTCGCTGGTTTCGCTCCCTATGAGCGCCGTGTTATGGAATTGATCAAGAACTCCAAGGACAAGCGTGCCAAGAAGCTTACCAAGAAGAGACTCGGTACCTTCCTCCGTGCCAAGAAGAAGATTGACGAGCTCCAAGCTGTCATTGCTGAATCTCGCCGCCATTAAATTGTCCTCTGACAATCTGCAATAAACACATGTGAACAAGTGGACGGGGTTGTTCAACAACTTTTTATTTGAATATGTTGTTTGGAATTGGGTTAGATTATTCTAGAATGTGGACATCAGCGAGTTGCTGCCAGGTGTCAATGCGAAAGATACCACGACCCAATTCCGCGATGTTTTCGAGCCCTTCATGAATGGTTAAGCTGGCTTGCGTGAGGGTGGATAAAAGGGTTTCGTTGTTCCCGATGACGATGCCGATATCAGCTTCAACTAGAGGGGAAAAGAAGAGTTTAAAAAATCATACTTTCATTTGAGGAGCGACCTGCAAAGACGGAAAGAAAATTTACCCAAGGGCAACAGATCGCCAAGGGAATCACCAATGTAAATAACCTTTTTTGGGGAAGATGATAATGCGTCCTTGATCGCCTGTACTTCCTTCTTCTTATCCATGGTTGTCAGTACGCGTTGTACAACAAGTCCCGTTGCTAGTTCGTGTTGGAATTCAAGGTCATTGCAGTGAATTTGGTCTCGTTGGAGTGGCAACGGGTCAAGCATACCGAGAATCCAGTCTTTGGACCAATTCAGGGATACAATCTTTAGATGGGGGATTAATTGCAAAGCTTCCAGTACACCTGGACGCAGCAAATGTTGGTGGGCTATACCCGCGGATCGTAACTGTTCTTTTGTCAAACCACGGAATACTTGATGTTCACTAATGCGAGTAACGGAGGCGGCCTCGACATGACGATAAGAATCGAGACGACGAGCCACCGCCTCTATAGAAGTATCGTTTGAAGGTGGAAGCGATCCTCGATGTTTACGATAATCGTCCATATAAGCATCTGTGAAAAAAGACCAAGATGTTGGATTGCCGGTCATTCGGAGAGCGGCTTCTCCGAGAATACTAGTCGTATCCTTAGTGGTAATGGTCAAGTCAAAATCGATGAGCACCAGTGGAGAAGTCTGCATGGAGAATGAACGGCACGAGGACGAATTGATCCTTGACGGTAAGATGGGTGCAGAAGCGTATCGGCGACAAGAGTGTCTGATCATTTGAACCACCGTGACTACAGTGATTATAAAAGATCGTAATAAAAATCAAAAACCTCCACCATCTTGAGAATTCCGATATCGGCAGCAACTCGGATTGTCCGTCTTTTCACTTGCAAGTTGCGATCGTAATAAGCGTGATTCGTTTGGAAGCCGCGGTTTTTATGACTATGTAGAACTTGATCTGGTATGCTCTGTCTACGCAATAATTTATTGAATAAAAGTTATTCCCTATCATTGCTATTGACAGCACAGCAACAGGATCTTTTTGTTGCCACGTCGCGAGTTGCCATCTGATATATAAAAATTTCTTATGCATAAAAATAATGTACTCTACGAGACACAGCTCGGTGGCCAGTAAACCCAGAGTCTACCAAAAGTCAAATGAAGTAGATAAGCAGTCTTTTCCGTATATCCTATTCTGCAGTCTCTAATCAAGCTCTTTTGCTCCAACAGCGTATTGCGCGCCTGAGTACCTTTTTGAATGTAAAACTGAAAAACTCAATCATTAAATCAGTTTTGCTGGCATTAAGAGAGAAAATTTTCGCTGCGAGCACCGCCCGCCAGACATTTTTGCCCGAGAAAAAGAACAGGTTCGTTATCAGGCACCGCAAATTCAATTTGCCCCATTACGCATTCCTTTTCGCACGCTTGCTCTACTATGGAAAACTTGCAATCTTTAACTGAGGATGGAGGTGTCAAGAAGCGCATTATCAAGGAAGGTGTTGGCAAACAACCCAGCAAAAAAAGCACGGTCAGCGGTAGGACTTCATCTCTGTTTGGTGGGTAGTGACGTGGATCGATAATGACTTGAAACGCTGCCTAGTGCATTACACCGCGTATCTGGACCAACGAAATCTCAAGTTTGATTCTTCTGTTGATCGCCGTGTACCTTTGACATTTCAGTTGAAGAATGGTATGACGTCTCGCGGTGGAAAGGCATGTTGCTAGTGGTCTTACTCTGAGTTGGAACAGGAAAGGTGGTGGAAGGATGGGAAGTTGCTATCCCAACTATGAAAATCGGCGAAGTGGCAGAAATCTATTGTACTTACAACTACGGTACGTCGGTTTTCGTGGATGAGGTGTGTATCATTTTCTGATGCACCAATACGGTTGATAGGTTACGGAGAAAATGGAAGAGCACCGCTTGTGCCTCCGAAAGCCGATTTACGTTTTGAGGTTGAGTTGCTCGAAGCATGGGAGGTAAGTGGTGGATACCAGATTTTGATGCCATGGAATGGTGTGTTTGACGCCAGAGCAAATAGGATGCAAGATCCGCAGCCGAACGCTTGGAAGCTGCGCAGACGAAAAAGGAAGAAGGAAACAGTTACTTTAAAGCAGGTGCAGTAGATCAAGCTTTATTAGCCTACAAAAAGGTGAGTAACGTCGTCAATTATTACGTATGCTATAGTCCTGCTTTAACAGGTGATTGCAGGGTAGAGATTTCATCATCGATTTGTGGGATTGCGAACCACAGGAGTTGGTTCAAAGTCGTGAAATGGTAGTCTCACTTCAATCGAACATTGCTGCGTGTTACATGAAAAAACAGGATTGGGAGACAGCCATTGAAACGGCCAAAAAGGTACGAAGAAAAACAAAGAGGGTTCAGAATATGGAGAACAGCATTTGTTTTACTCAATCTTTGTGGGTGACGCAGGTGCTGGAACGAGATCCCGTTAATATCAAGGCATATTACCGTATTGCCAAATGCTACATGGAATTAACAGAGTATGAAGAGGGTCTGCAATTTGTTCATTATGGATTACAGGTAAGTGCAGATTTTTTATTGTTCCCTCAATGGCTAGGTGGTGTGGCGTTGACTGTTTTTTTATTATTTTTCAGTGTATGCCAAAAAATAGCGATCTGTTATCGCTTCGTACCATGATTGAACAAAAGAGAGCCAAATCTTTAGATGATAGCAAGAAAATCTACAAGAAAATGTTTGCATAAGTTCTCGACATTGTTATCGCAACCGATTTCATTTTGTGGGGGAGGGGCGGAGTTCAAACGGGAGAAATTGCATTGACAGGCTCAGCCACTTTTAGGTCATTTTATTCCTTTTTTTCTTTTTTTCCATCTGCCAATTTTTTGAGTCATTTGGCGGGGACGGTTTTTCGAGGTCTAGCTTAAAGAGAGTCCTCGCGCCCAGCAATCCAACGTCCGCTTGTCTATTTTTTTTTTTCCTTCCCTTTCGTTCTTCACTTCTTCCGTTGTATAACGTTATGCTCCTGCTTCCAGGAACTTCCCTGCTCTCGCAGTTTAAGAGCGAGAGTTTGCTTCAAAGCATACAGAAGCACGTCCCCATTCAGACCGTTGCTGCTCTGAATGTTCACTTCATTCAGCCAAAGACCGCTGATAGCTTGACTTTGTTGCAGAACCAAGACTCGGAACAAGGCGCTATTTTACGCAATCTTTTACACTATGGATCCAATCCTATCGACAGCGATAAAGCCGCATTGATCGAGCAGTTTCTTCAGCATGGTCGCCAGCCCGAAAATGCCACGGTTGTACTTATTCTTCCTCGTGCCGGCACCATCTCGCCTTGGTCGTCCAAGGCCACCAATATTGCTCACCTTTGCAACTTGTATGATCACGTTGAACGCATTGAACGAGGTGCGGCCTATTTGATTGCTAAGAAGGATGGATCCGCTTTATCCAGCGCTGAAATCGCTACCTTTGCTGATCTTCTTCGCGATCGTATGACGCAGTCGCTTATGACTGAGCTTCCCGAATCTCACGTTGTTTTCAAGCACGGTACGCCTGGTCCTCTCACTGTGGTCGATCTGCTCAATGACGGTACCGAACAAAACGCCGATAAGGCTCGCGAAAAGCTCGTCAAGGCGAACAAGGAGTTGGGGTTGGCATTGGCGGCCGATGAAATCGATTATCTTATTTCAGCCTTTGTCGGAAGTTCGTCGGATAATGATGCTCTGCGTCGCAACCCCACCGACGTGGAACTCTTTATGTTTGCTCAAGTCAACTCGGAACATTGTCGTCACAAGATTTTTGGTGCGGACTGGACCATCGACGGTGAACTGAAGCCCCACTCGCTGTTCCAAATGATCAAGAATACCCACAAATTGCACCCTCAGTATACATTGTCCGCTTACTCTGATAATGCCGCCGTACTTGAAGGTTTCAAGGCCACTCGATTTGCTCCCTCCACGGCTTCCGGTAATGTTTACGAACAATATGAAGAAGACGTTCACTTTTTAGCAAAGGTAAGGATATCAAAAAAAAGAGAAGAGAAGAAAAACAGGAAAAAGGGAAAACTCAACAAGTCCTGAATTTTTTTTTTCTTTTTGACTTGTGTAGGTTGAAACACATAACCATCCTACTGCCGTATCACCGTATCCTGGTGCCTCAACTGGCTCCGGTGGTGAAATCCGTGACGAGGGTGCGGTGGGTTTGGGTTCCAAGCCTAAAGCCGGTTTGGTCGGTTTCACCGTGTCCAACCTTCTCATCCCCGATCATATTCAACCTTGGGAAAAAGATTTCGGAAGACCTAATCATATTGCCTCGGCTTACGATATTATGATGGAAGCCCCGCTTGGTGGAGCCGGTTTCAACAATGAATTCGGTCGTCCCGCTCTCACCGGTTACTTCCGTACCTTTGCCGAAGAAGTGCCCGTCTCGGAAACCGAGACCGAAATTCGAGGTTATCACAAACCCATCATGATTGCCGGTGGTGTCGGTAGCATTCGTCCTGCCCATGTTTTGAAGAAACCCATCAACCCTGGTGCTCTCCTTGTCGTTCTCGGAGGTCCCAGTATGCTTATTGGTTTGGGTGGTGGTGCCGCCAGTTCCATGGCTTCTGGTCAGAGCAGTGCCGATCTCGATTTCGCTTCTGTTCAACGTGACAATCCAGAAATGCAACGTCGCGCCCAACAAGTCATTGATTTCTGTACCGCTTTGGGTGAGAACAATCCCATCGAATCCATTCACGATGTCGGTGCCGGTGGCTTGTCCAACGCTCTCCCTGAAATTGTTCACGACAGCGATCTTGGTGCTGATATTGACCTTCGCCGTGTGCCCTGCGATGACAGCAGCATGTCCCCCATGGAGATTTGGTGCAACGAATCTCAGGAACGTTATGTCCTTGCTGTCTCGCCCGAGAAGATCCATATCTTTGAAGAGTTGTGTGCTCGTGAACGCTGCTTGTACGGTATTGTCGGTAAAGCTACGGCTGAAAAGCGTCTTGTCGTGAGAGATCCTCTCCTCAACAATGTGCCCATCGATCTTCCTATGGCCGTCTTGTTCGGCAAGCCCCCCAAAATGTCTCGCAAGACCGAATCCGTCCAGCCTCACCGCATTCCTTTCGATGCCACTCTCAAACCTTACCTGCCTCAAGCCGCTTCGGTCACCGACGCTCTGCAAGAAGCCACTTCGCGTGTTCTTCAGTTGCCTTCGGTTGGATCCAAGTCTTTCTTAATCACCATCGGTGACCGTTCGATTACTGCTTTGGTGGCTCGCGATCAGTTTGTTGGTCCTTGGCAGGTGCCTGTTGCCGATGTGGCGGTGACCACTACGTCGCTCGGCGAAAATATTATTACCGGTGAAGCCATGGCCATGGGTGAACGTACGCCTCTGTCTCTCCTTTCCGCGGCTGCCGCTGCACGTATGTCGGTCGGTGAATGTGTCACCAACCTTGCTGCTGCCAATATTCAGGATCTTGGCCGTATTCGCATGTCCGCCAACTGGATGTGTGCCGCCAACCATTCGGGCGAAGGCGCCAAGTTGTACGAGGCTGTTCAAGCGATCGGTATGGAGCTGTGTCCTTCCTTGGGTATTGCTATTCCTGTCGGCAAAGATTCCATGTCGATGCAGATGAAGTGGGATGAAGACGGCAATCAAAAGGTCGTGACCGCTCCTTTGTCGCTCATTGTTACCGGCTTTGCTCCCGTGATCAATAACCACAAGACGTTCACTCCCCAATTGAGAAACCGCGAAAAGACCGCATTGGTGTACATTGATCTCGCTCAAGGCAAGCAAAGATTGGGTGGATCGGCTCTGGCTCAAGTGTTCAATCAAATCGGTCACGAAGCTCCCGACGTCGAAGATGCCGCTGTGCTCAAGGGCTTCTTTGCCGCAATGCAAAAAGCCAAGGAAGGTAATCCCCAGGACAGCATTATCCTTGCCTACCACGACCGATCCGATGGTGGTTTGTTCGCTACGATTACCGAAATGTGTTTTGCTGGTCATGTGGGTGCTCAAGTCGATTTGGACTCGATTGTGCACAATGGCGATGTCGTGTCTTGCCTCTTCAACGAAGAGTTGGGTGCGGTGGTCCAGGTAGACGAATCACGCTTGGAAGAATTCGCCGATTTAGCTGTTCAAGCCGGACTTCCTCGCGCTGCTTTGCACAACATTGGTGCGGTGACGACTCACAACGATACCGATGCTATTTCATTCCGCTACAATGGACAGGCCGTGTACAACGCCAGCCGGGTTGATTTATTCCGCTTGTGGTCCAAGACTTCGTACCTTATGCAGTCGGCTCGTGACAACGCGGTATGCGCTCAGCAAGAATATGATAACGTGTTGGATGTGAAGGACCCTGGTATCAACTATCAATTGACCTTTGATCCTGCCGAGAATGTCGTGGCAACCCTTGAGCGCCGTCCCAAGGTGGCCATTTTGCGTGATCAAGGTGTGAATGGACAAATCGAAATGGCGTTTGCCTTCCATCTGGCCGGTTTCGAAGCTGTGGATGTTCATATGACAGATATTATCTCGGGCAAGGTAACCTTGAAGGACTTTGTCGGTCTGGCAGCTTGTGGCGGTTTCTCGTATGGTGATGTGCTTGGCGCCGGTGCCGGTTGGGCCAAGACCATTCTGTTGCATCCTCATGCTCGTGCGGAATTTGCCCACTTTTTCAATGAACGCGATAACACGTTCGCTCTTGGTGTCTGCAACGGTTGTCAATTCTTGAGCCAGTTGTCCGAGTTGATCACGGGTGCCAATGCTTGGCCACGATTCATGCGCAACGAAAGCGAACAATTCGAAGCACGTGTCTGCATGGTAGAAATCAAGGACACCAACTGTATTTTCTTTGACGGCATGCGCGGCTCCAAACTTCCGATTGCCGTGGCTCACGGTGAAGGTTTTGCGAAATTCAAGACTACGGATGATTACAACGAGTTCACGTCTTCCAACCTTACAGCTGTGCAATACGTCGATAACTATGGTCAACCTACGCAACGATATCCTTTCAATCCCAACGGTTCACCTGCTGGTATCACCGGTATTCAAACCCCCAACGGCCGTGTATTGGCCATGATGCCCCATCCCGAACGTGTGGTCCTGAAAGAGAGCAATTCCTGGTATCCCGAAAACGAAAACTGGGGTCAATCGGGACCTTGGTTACGCATGTTCCGCAACGCTCGCCAATGGATCGGTGATCGTTTCTAATGCTTTATTTCTTCACCTTTCCCATGTGTTTATTTTTTCTTTTACTTCATTTTCTCTGTTTGTTATTTCATGCATTTCTAGATACACCAAAAACTTCAAAACATAAAGTTTGTCTTCAAAAGTTGTTCCCTACAAAATATGGTCTTCTGTGTATACTGGGTAGTGGTATTGCTGGATGAAATAATGATATGGTAGTCAATGGAGTTGTGCTTCGTTGCGTGAATTATGCCAATAAACCTAGCTGGCCGAATTATTTAGCAGCGTAATTAGCAAAGCGTTCAGTCGAATGGTGAGTATCTCTATGACTGCATGAAAAATGGCGAATTGTGTACGCTTGCTGCATGGGGTTACGATAGCAGCAGAGTCACAGAACACTCCGAACCAACTGCTAAATTCGTCACGAGAGCATTTTCTTTTCTTTTCAACACACCCTCAGTTATGCACACCCATTTACGCATTCTAAACAATCTTGATGGCGAATTCAAGGAGCTCGACAAGAAATTTGCACAAGAAGAACTACGTATCTTTGGTAATGACCTGCATTCTAGTACAAAAGTTTGTCCATCTGACCATGCAGCTTTAAAAAAAGGCAAATCGACGGAACGAATATTCAAGGAACTGGATGTAACCCGACGAAAGCAAATCGAACTTGCCGCTGAACATATTGCACTCGATATGACCGTCGATATACCGTAAGCAGGACATCGTAGTTACAGTATGCATGTCATCTCCCCCATTAACTGTGTCTAGTCAACTTAATGCACACACGGCTAACGCTGACGAGACATATCGCAAAATGGTCGAACAGTTGACCGAGAAAGAAGCTTCCTTAAAAGCTTTAACAAGAAAGGTTAGCTAAAGTTGGATACTCGGAGACGACAAATAACTGAGCTTTCCTTTGCTGTAGCTGAATGATTTGAGTGAATCCTTGTAAGTTCAGGGTTTTGCTTTATTATGATGATTTGGATGACTCATGGTTTTATCATGTAGGAATCAATTTCGAGCGATATCAGAACAAGCCGATCTCCAGGATACCACGGCCTTCTTTTCATAGTTCCTAGGACACCATGTTGTGCAATCAATTAAATTCCTCCCTGACTCTGGAATGGTAACAGCCGCTGCATTATCAAGCTATTCCAGGCATACATCATCTCAACTCATTCGAAACGTTTTTCATGGACCAAATAAAACCATTTCCACTTTACGTCGATCAATTATCAAATGTGATGAACTGGATAAACTATGGAAAACAGGCTAGATCGCACTTCATACCGCAACTGGGAACAGATTTACTACTGTCCATGGTGTTTATGCTGACCGTCTCTTTCGTTCGCCAAGAGCTACTACCATAGTTCAAGAAGAGGCATTTGATGGGTTCATTCATCCACCGCAAGCTCAGAAATTTTTAGTGAAAAGCAACTGATGTGAAGAGGTCATGATGATGTCTGCATAAATTCGCCTCATTTTTGGACGAGCTGTGACTAAAGAGGCTCCAAAAAATTGAAAAATTTCGGCCCTAAGACACTTTTCGAACGTTTCTCAACATTCGTCATGCCACCACGATTTGGAGGAGCACCTACATGCCCACGGTGCAACAAAGGTAATACGCAATTTCATGATTAACCAAGTACTGTCAGCTGATTATATTTAACTTTTACAGCCGTCTATATGGCTGAACAGGTATATTTCCCATTCTCGCGCAGATCATGTAGGAAAGTTAAGCGGCTCACACTGCAATAGGTTATTGGTCCCGGAGGACATTGGCATCGTGCCTGCCTTACCTGCAAGGTATGACATTTGCCAAACGGATTTACAAAACATTTTATTGATCGAGGCTCTTACAGGAATGTAACAAACGTCTGGACTCTACAACATTAACTGAACGCGATGGCGAGGCTTATTGCAGAACATGTTATACTCGTCAGTGGGGCCCCAAGGGATATGGATTTGGTACGTAAAAAGGAAGAAAAAAAGAATCATATCATTGGGTTGACGGATTCCGTTATCCAGCGGGTGGAGCGGCGTTCTTGTCTACAGAGAGCAAGTTGCCCAGTCAAATACTGCAACCAGAATCTCGACTCGAGAACGTATCATCCAGTGCGTTCCCTTCATCGCCAACCGTATCCACTGAAATCAATAATAAACCAGCACCACCACCTCTGCCGGTTCGACCAAAGGAACAGCCTCAATCGCCCGCAACTCCAACGACGTCCTTCTGGGGAAGACAATCAAGCGAACAACCTTCCAGTCGAGACTCGTCCCAGTCAAGGCCATCTGAACAGCAATCCGAGCCCCCAAAATCTTCGTACATCAATTATCAGACATCGTATAAACCGAAAAAATTCGGTTTCACTGTACAAAACGACATTTGTTCGAAATGTCACAAGGCGGTCTATGCAGCTGAACTGGTAATGTGGGACATCGGGGTAGATTCTGTGGATTCAGCGTGACTGATATTGATAACGTACAGGCACTGGGCGCAGGGAATAAGTACCATAAATCATGCTTGAAGTGCTCCCAATGCGGCAAGCTGTTGGATTCTACCAATATGCAAGATAAAGGATTCGATCTGTACTGTCGAAGTTGCTACTCCAAATCTTTCGGCCCCAAAGTAAGTGCCTGATACTACTCATGGAAACTGCATCTGCTCACTCGACTCAACGTCCCATTATAGGGATTCGGTTACGGAAATTTGCTTTCCCCCGAAGGTGCCACGCGCTAGAAATTCACCGCCTTTGGTCATCCTTCACAGTGTGCGAATCCTAACCGCCGTACATGGGTGCTTCCAAATTTTACATCTTAAACTCCGTATCGAATTCCCCAAAAATAAAGCCACACTATTCATGATGTAATTTGAAATGCGCGAAATGCCATGCGTCGAAAATTCTTGTACGGCTCGATCGATATGATCAGTAAATAATGCAACCACAATCTCAATGATTTCGGTTACACGTAAATCTCGGTCTCTAAGAAGAGTTTAAAAAAAACCACACCAACTACATACAAATGATGATTTTGATTACTGACAAGTTGGCCATCAAAGAAAATTAGATCAATTGTGTTCTACGGGTGCAGTTATTTCTATACTTCTGTAGTTTATTCTGGTATCCACGTTATGATTATCTTTTTCGATCGTTCGGCCACACTGGTCTATTTTTGCATTTATCTATTTTTTTCTACCAAAGAAGCCCACCGACCATCTATTGGTCTTCTTGGGCGGTTCGTTGGTTGTGCTGGATGCTGCGGGCGCACCGTTAGTCTGACGAGACGTCGGGGGGTTCTGAGGCAAATGAGAAGCGGCAAGGATCTGGAGTTTGTGACGCGATGGTTCATAGCCTTGACTGGCGGCAATTTGGAACCATTCTCTAGCCACCGCGAGATCTTGAGGTACTCCTTCTCCGTTCAAAAACCTGAATCGAGATGGGCTGTTAGGCAAGTTTGTTTTGGTGAGAACACCTGTAATCACACTTACATTTCGCCGAGCATATGTTGTGCATAATAATGAGGAGAATCGGGTTGACTGGCGGCGGTCTGGTAGTATTCAAACGCCTTTTGATAGTTTCGATCGACTCCCCATCCATTTCGATACATATCACCTAGTGCTGTTTGGCAGAATGCAATGGTGGCTGCCCCTTTTGTGCACCATTTGAAGGCCTGGGTATAATCTTTGTCAAAATCGTCATAGCCTTTCATATACACGGCGGCCAATTCTTCAATCGCAATTGTCACATCCTGCTCGGCTGCAGATGCCAACCATTTGACAGCTTCGGAAATGTTGCGCTCCGTGCCATGCCCTTTGAGATACAGATGGCCAGCAAGATATTGACAGTACTTGTCGTCTGCCAACGCACCTTGCATCGCATATTTGAACGCTTTACCCATATCGATATGCGCCGCGTTACTATCCGCCGAAAATCCATACGCCAAATCGACAAGTACCCGTTTGTCGCCCAGCTCGTAAGCATGTTCAAACCAGCGCAAGGATTCAACCGTGTTGTTTTTCGAGTAACTGTATCGATCACCAAAATAACAGCCGAGTTCGTACGCCGCCTCGACCTGTGTTTCAGCAGCCACCTGAAGATACGACACACCCCTTTTAATGTCTTGCTCCGTCCCTATACCCTTCAACAGCAACAGACCCGCTAAGTAACACACTTTTGGATAGTCGGGATTTGCCTGTTCGAGAATGAGAGCAACGGTTGAGGTATACTTTATGGAGGCATCGAGAAGATGAGGCGCCGCCAGTTGCAAAGCCGCCGATAATTGCTTATCAAATATACTACGAGACCACATGTGAGCTTCCTGCGCATCTTGCTGAATAAGGTCCGATTGAGTTTCGGCGTAAAGGGTGCTCAGTTTCGTTTTCGCTTCGGTGTCATTGTTGGCCGCTTTATATCTTAGAAATGTGAGCGCTTTGAGTACTTGGTTGTGATCGCCATTCTTTTTTATCAGCTCCGTAGCATTGACCAATCGAAGTTCAGGGGTGCTGTCATCAAAGAAAAACTTTGGATCTTCCATCATCACGGAATGTTAGTATCCCTCTTTTTCTCGCGCTGACATGCGGAACTAGTTCGATTTGGTGGTGTCACGTGGCAGTACGACCGACGGTCTTTAAAACCATGATCAGGAACGACGGTGGCTGCAGGAGCAAATCAGTGAATTTCAAAGTCCATTACAAGCTGTATCTCCAAGTAATCGCGTATCCATGTATTACCCACACTTGCGAATCATACGTGCATGGTGACCAATGGCAAAGGGTAATTGCCATGATGATAGGTTTCAAGCTCTGAGATCGGCAAAGCAGTCTTAGATCGGATAAAGTCTAAACCGCTAGATAACAATAATTTCGATAATTTCGATACTGTGATATAAAAACATGGATACCGGAATTTGCTTATGAAATCACATTGATTCATTTTGTTTTTTACTTCGTGATCCGATAATAATCGAGCAGCGACCATGAACTCGTCGATGAACATTCCGATGGAATAATGTGGGAGAGAGCTTCCAGCACTTTATGATGGCTAATAATGGACAAAATGTCAAGAATGTGCTTTCACATCAGCATACGTTTGCTACCTGAATTAAATAACATAGTTGACGGCAAGCTGCAAGTGACCGATCTGGTGATCGACTGGAGACCACAGTATCGACGCTTTGATGGCAACTGTGGCTCTTCAAATTCTTGGATGCTGGATATAATCACTACGAATAGTATGCACCCAATATAAAGTGTGATTTATATTGTAGATTTGCTTAAATAAGCATACACTGTGAATATACGATATAAATTTCACAGAGTTGCTCAAACAAAAAGGAATCGTCAGGGATTCGGGGTTCCTGTCGCTTGCGAAATGGTAACTCAGAAGTGATACAAATGCCCAAGAGTAGCGAAAGGCTCATTTCTGGTCACAGATCAATGCATATTGAAGTAAAGAGGTATGCTTACTCCATTTACTCCATATAAATGAGCAACACTGTAAAGACCAGAAATACATTGTAGGTCGGCCATTCGATCGCGAAACACGCCACACGCAACGCGCGTCAATTTTATAAAAAAAGACCTCCTGCATGCCTCCTTTTTTCTTTACTGATTACAGTATAAAAATGCTTTCTCGTAAGTTCATACGACCTCTTGACATCGTGTGGGAAAAAGTCTAATCGTTTGCGTTGTAGTTACTCTTAACCGCAATTTCTCAACTGCTCCTTCTCAACCCTCTTTCCCTGTTCCTGATGTGCCGCCCACTGTGGCGTTCGTGAAGCGCAAGCGCGATGGCGTTGAAGTTGACCGCGATGAGATGGTTTACCGACAAATCAAAAAAAGAAAGAGGTTCCGTCAGGTGGTCTTTCCGAGCACTTTGCAAATCATCCATTTCAACTTCATGAATGAGCTTGAAGATGAAGAGCTCAGATCGAAGAAGTGGGCACGATATGAAGGCAGACCAGGGGCCGGTCAGTTGATAATCATACTGAGCGTTTACCATATAACAACTTACTAACGTATTTTATGGTTAAATAGAAGAAGACATTGAAATGCCACTTTGGGAACGAGAAGAAGGTGCCGTCTCTGTGGCACCAGCCTGGCCGGCTCTGGTCATTGCGCAAATCCCAGCGCAAGCGAACTTTACCGACGTGGCCGTGAAGAATGATTGGCCAGAAGAAGCTCCAGCCAGGGTGTCTACCCAGTTGGCCGCGAAGGAAAAAACGAAGAAGAAGAAGGTGATGACGATGACGAGTTCTTCGACGCTGAGTTTTGAAGAAGTGGCGTTCCAACAAAGGAACCAGGAGAAGGGGGATTTTTGGACGCCTCTTGGCATGCCGACTGGACGGAGGTGGGCACCATGGAAGAGATGTAAATACATCATTGGGCGACGTGTGACATCAAGCAATGCTAATGATCCTAATGATTTAGGTTCGCTTCCTGCCAAGTGATCGTCGCTCTCAAGATCCGCGTTTGTTGGCGCCGGTGTCCGGGGAGGCAATGCCTGAAGAAGATTGGTAAGTGAAACGACCAACCTAAACCGAAATTGGGTATCTAATAAGAAATTTGCAGTCTCCCCGAACCAAGCCCAGACGACATGGAAATGGCGGTCGTTCTCGCCAAACTTTTGTACGGCTTGACCCTCGTGGAGCGAGACGAAGAAGGTACCTCACTCCCTCAGGCCCCCCAGGACACGCAAGAAGACCAGTAAGTGAAAGACACTCCATCTAAGCTAAAGCAATGGACCTAACCAATGAATTTCTAGAAGTCCCACTCCGCGGTCTGATCCTCCAACCCCCGAACCTGAACTTGAGGATCAGATTCACGGAAATCTGCGGAGCGGGGCAATCGGCTCAACTGCCGGTGCAAACGTGTGCGCAAAGCACGTCAACTGGCGCGTACAGCCCAACCACCTGCCCGAGAAGACGCGCAAGTGGTGGCACGGCCCAAGCCTAACGTCAGGATGATGCGTTAAGCGGACCGTCAGCCCCAATGATCTGTACGTGACGACCATCCGATGAACGAGGTAAATCGGCTTGTTCTTTTGTTGTTTTATTCACGGGTCATTATTAGTATAATTACTTTTAGGATGGCGCACTCAAGCAGTAAACAGCCGGAAGCGAACAACTGACCCGGCGACTACTGTTGTGTTCGACATATATATTCATTCACCTATTCAATACTACCCCAGCTGTTCCTGGATAAATATAACCATTTTCCATTATCACCCACTTTTCTGTACAAGATATAGTCATCATAGACTTTCTATACAACCGTTAATTCCATGGACTACGGATCATACCACCACACGATACCTTTCCATCATACCTGATTCGTCCATTAAACGTATAAGGCGATTATCCATTATCCGGAACCGATCTCTACTAAATCATATAAATAACCATCACAAAATATGAATAAAGAGGACAACTCAGTTTCACAATATTTCTTGATTCTTACTTTTTCTTATTATTTATCTTCGGATATAACAACTACATTGCATCTTCGTAGCTCCACTCAGCAAAGCCGGCGAAAGCAGGGCACAGGGCAAGAAGAAAAAGAGGAAAAGGAATACGACTGACCGAAAATAAAAAACAAAAAAAGAACAAAAGAACAAAAAGAGGAGCAAAAAAGCCCGATGTACAGTATAACAATGTGTTTACTGACGGATTTTGTTTATTTGTGGCTTGGGAACAACCTTGACAATTCACCAAGGATGAATAGTACACGAATGGAAAAGGATCAGCATTAGAAAGGAATTGAAACGTACATTTGTTGGCCAGCCACCGATTTCACGAAATTTCAACAAACTCAGCATGCTGGCTTGGAGGTTCATCAAGTGAAGAAAGAAAGTTGAAGGATACAAGCATCAAAAATGGAATCACAAAAATAGACATGAATGATCCAATGAGCGAAATATTATTTTTGAAGAATAACACTTTATTATGTGTAGGGTTGATAGGATAGGGTAAGTTACATTAACTTACATTAGGGAAAGATAGTTTTTTTTTGTTTGTTTGCGAGAGGGGAAAAATAGAGTAAGTCTAACTAATTGGTTTTTTTTTCGTTTTGTGGCGGGAAAACATCGCCCTTGCTCTTTTTTTATTATTATTTTTTTTTTACCATTGTATCCGAAAAGATAATACATGGTCGTTGCAAGAATCATATTGGTTTACAAAGGGGAAAAGGTGGACGCATACTAGATCCTCCGCTCTTCGCCAGCCAACCACATACGCGCTACCACCAAGACTCACCTGATACGTCACACATATTGCCTCGTCTATTACCCACTTCTTCGCCTTTCTTGCATTGTACTCTTGCTGCATCCATCTCTCTTTGCCTTGACCGTCGGGGACTTGCGGTAACGGGAAATTCATCTACGCTTAAACCAGTTAGTCATCCGTATCAAACAAACATTATCTTATCACTATGCGCATGTACTTTCTTTTCTATTCGGACTGAGAGATGGTTCTTGATTGCTGTACCGCAAGGCGTGGAAGGCAAGGTTCAGTGAGGTTCGCACCAGGGTCATCCCGGTAGCAACGACGTATGTGGCAGGAGGCCGACTCCAGGCATCATCAGACCTAGCAGCGTCCCAAGTGTGTGTGCGTGGGGGGGAGAGTTAGTACAAAAGCTAATTTTTACCCTATCCTGTCAACCCGGAGACAGCGTGGTGGGTCTCCTTTATTCATGGAATTACTCGACCGTGATCAAATTGTGCGGGCCGAGTTTCAACTGGTACCAGAATGGTTGATGGATACCAGGTTTCCTTCGAGCGAATTGATTCTTGATGTCGTGTGACAGTTGCATACATCACTGTGTTTTTGAGAAGGCCTGAGATCTATAGCATATACAAGCTATGAATGCCCTCCTTGGATAACACAGTAGCTATAATCAGTTTATCTTTAGGGACCACATAGAGTGCATCAGGCATGGAACATGCATGGAACGACATATTTCTTCAATCTTCAAGCTGGCTGTTGTTGATTTTCGCTTCTTGCTATCTTTTCGCCTTTTTTTTCGTCTTTAGTTTGATGTTCCGTGCCATCTTTCTGCCAGTTTTGCGGCATTGGAAAGCTGCGAGGCTGCGTTGCTGCTACCTGATCGGTTGTAGGTTTTGGGATTCCATTTCTCTATTCCCCCTGGCATCATACTGTAACTGAAATATTAATAATAGCACGTAATCAAGCCAGAATCGGCTCACCATTTTGACAGTTTTTCTGTCACGTATTCATAAGCGATCCACCTTAACGCGGTGGCTTCAGATGCGGCTTCGGCCGCGCAGATGGTTGCGCCGATTTGGACGCCGGGCGACTTGTTGTGCGCACAGGTTGCGCTGGTTCCGCCGGGCTTTCGACACGTCGTTGTTGCACCGAGCGTCCCGCTCCGCAGATCTCCCGGAATCGCATGGGGCGACGGTTGTTGCGGGAGATCATTATCTGGTCCTCTGGTTCAGATTCGGTTGGCTGAGGATCAGATGACGGAGCGGGAGGGCTAAAAGATTGAGTTTGGTTAAATCCAGCGCTTTAGCAAAGGTTGAGTAGTTGTTCACTTACTGTTGTTCATGGGCGTTTGTCTCCGGCGAAGCGCCCCGATCCGCTTGTGGTTCCACAAGGGTCAAGCCGTATAAGAGCTCGGCCAAGTCGAAGCCCATCTCCATTTCGTCGGGACTTCGGTCAGGGAGGCTAAAGCTTATTCATTAGATATGCAGCTTTGGTCTAGCTTGTTTGCTTCACTTACCAATACTGTGCTGGCATAACAGTTGGTGCCTCCCTGGTCAAGTTCGTCAACGGACGAACGTCTGCCGCATTAGCTTCGGCAATGACATCTTGATTGCAAAGAATGGACCTGGATCATCTTATTCATTAGCATTGCTTAATGCCACACGATGCCCATCTATACACTTACATCTCTTCTGGGGTGCCCAGTACCATCCAATGCGCGTGGTACAAAGCGTCCTCGAAACACTCTTCTTCCTTTTGTTCCTCTTCAGAAAACATTTCTTCTTCAAAGCTCATAGCGTCAAAGAATTGGTCGTCATCAACATCTTGTTCTTCGCTTTCCTCTTGCAATTGCAAATGGCGCGTCACAGCCACGTAGGTGAGCACCATTTGCGATGTGGCTTGGGGCGTCATCAGAACTGGCCAAGCTGGCGGTGCAGTAACCTCTCCTTCTTCTCGTTCACACAGAGGCATCTCAATGTCTTCTTCTATTCATTCATAAACGACGTGAGTTATTGTTATTTGATAAAACGTAATCTGAGTTACCAACTTACCGATGACCGGTTGGTCTTCAATGAGTAGGCCGTCGTCGATGCGCGCTCGCTTCAATGGCATGCGGTCTCGGGCCTCCCCTTCGCGTTTTCGTTCATTGTCCGAAAAGGTTAACCACCGCCTCAGCGTCGCTTACTTGCAGATGGTGCAAATATTTTCCGAAATAAAATGGATTTGTATAAGCTTCAGTTACTGAAAAGTCGACGGAACCACGGAGAGGTTCGTGATCATGAACTTGATGATAAATGACGTTGGTGCAGTGGGAGGTTTGGATGGATCCACTGTGTCGCTGCTAACTGTCGAAGCATGTTTGAGAAAGGGCATGGTCTCTTTGTGTCACTGCTCCCTATTTTTTCAATCCAGGTCCACGCGGTTTCTCATGGTTTATCATATCATCATTTAGATCTGCTTCTTGTTGGGGCGGCCAGAGAAAGAAGCCCGCTTTGGCTCTATGTTGTGACCATGGTCTTCGCAATCCTCTATGCTCCGCTGATGGATCTGTTTGGTAAAATACAAATTTTTAAAAGTAGGTTGCCAATGTTTTCGATGGATATTGAGTATGTTGTATATGGTGGCTGATCTCTGCTTACTGTTGACTAGTAGACCTTTTTTCCATCTTTCTGGAATCCACAGTTCCCATTTTGCCATCGCGTGCCTGGTTTTCTAGTCTTCGGATTTCCACCTTTGCAAAATGTCAAATTTGCCAATGATCGGTTAACATCTGCTGAATACCTCACTTATTTCAATTGTTCTCAAATTTTCATTGTGTCCGAGGAAATTTATTAGGTGCAAACTTTGGAAATTCCATGCATTTGAATTCTCAAACTTTGATAGAGGGTAGTGGGGTGCGGAGTTGTTGTACTGGAATGGAATATTCAAATATCGTCCCAAGCGCCGCTTTTAATTCAATTGCCGGAATTCCCATATTTATCGTAATTGTGCCCCAAGCACAGCAAGCTTAACGAACACATTTTCCGCAGCAAACGTGAATGGGCACAAATTCCGCAGCAAAAACATGATGAATTCAACCGGCCGCAGCAAACACAGGCTTGAAAATTCACGAATCCGCAGCAATTACCATGGCAACGGACACGATCAAACGCAAACAAGCGCGATTTCCGCAGCAAAACTGGACAAATTCTACCGGCCGCAGCAATTACAGCCCTCACAAAGGCCGTACTGACCGCAGCAAACACGGCGGCCGCAGTTAATTACGATAATTAAAGGTGGTATCAACAATCTCGAAAGTCCATAGCAACCGTGTCATCCATACATGGCAATCACCCCCAGCACAACCTCGAAGGTGGCTGTTACACCATCCATACATGGCAAGTTATCTAACCGGAGATGGCAATTTATTCGGTGATCACACATGGTAGCTTTTTTGTCGCCTAATAAATTGCCATCTCCGGTTAGATAACTTGCCATGTATGGATGGTGTAACAGCCACCTTCGAGGTTGTGCTGGGGGTGATTGCCATGTATGGATGACACGGTTGCTATGGACTTTCGAGATTGTTGATACCACCTTTAATTATCGTAATTAACTGCGGCCGCCGTGTTTGCTGCGGTCAGTACGGCCTTTGTGAGGGCTGTAATTGCTGCGGCCGGTAGAATTTGTCCAGTTTTGCTGCGGAAATCGCGCTTGTTTGCGTTTGATCGTGTCCGTTGCCATGGTAATTGCTGCGGATTCGTGAATTTTCAAGCCTGTGTTTGCTGCGGCCGGTTGAATTCATCATGTTTTTGCTGCGGAATTTGTGCCCATTCACGTTTGCTGCGGAAAATGTGTTCGTTAAGCTTGCTGTGCTTGGGGCACAATTACGATAAATATGGGAATTCCGGCAATTGAATTAAAAGCGACGCTTGGAACGATAATTGAATATTCCATTCCAGTACAGCAGCTCCGGACCTCACTGTCCTAGACCAAAAATAAAACTTGAGGATTCAATGCCTTGAATGTCAAAGGTTGCACTCAATATATTTCTTCTGAAACAGTAATATTAAACAGATATGAGGTAACAACCTGTCAATCTAGCAGTAACAGAGGTGTTCTACAGGATATAAGTGATCATCGGCAAATTGGTGCCGGGCAAAAGATGAAAATCTGAAGCCTACGAGAATAGGCGCACCGAAATTAGAATTGGCAACTGTGGGTTCCAGAAAATTGAAACGGGCTTTTCAACAAGGAACAAATGGAAAGAATCGCCATAAAAGCATATCCGATCTTCATCGAATTATAAGAATTATTCTGCTTTTAAAACTGTACCTTACCATCAAATAGATCCATCATTGCGTAAAGCATAGGAAATTGCTAAGAACATCATATAGAGATCCGAATACGGACTCTTTCTCTCTCTGTATCTCTCGATCCTCTTCACACCCCGAAGAACAAAATGAATCTAACACAGTAAACCCACGAGAAACCGCATGAAACTGGACAGGAAAAATATATGGAGCAGTGACACAAATAGAGTATTTGTGCAAATGTTTCCCAGTTAGAAACGACACAGTGGACAGTTCAAAACTCCAAATTTGCCAATTTCGTTTATCATCAAGGTCATGGTTGCTAACCTTCCTAGAGTACCGTAGTGTTCACAGTAACCGAAGTTTATATAACTACAAAACTTTGCACCATTTGCAATCCACAACCTCGTTTGTCACGAAGGAAGAAAAGTTTGACTTTCCTTCTCTTCCGTTTTATTCTCTCATTATGTCACACCCTACACTTGTTGTATTAGTTAATCAATGCTTTCATGATGAAAAATGTGCCAAAAAATCCACTACCCCCCAAAACCTCCGGGCGCATTTAAAGACTGCGCATCATTTCGTTTTGCCCAATCAGATCAGGCGCATGCGACGATATAACAATAATTCCTTTTGTTATCTACGCAATGCGTCCAAAGATGAATGCGTTAAAATCCACTTTGCATGCCCTTGTTGCGTCGCACACTTCGAGGCTCTGATTTAACGGAACAGTCATTTTCGCGAACACCAGGAGTACTTGCCGGAAGAAGAAGATCAAAGCGATCGCCAGCAGGGAGTATCTGCTGAAACAAGGCAGAAACGAACCCACGACGAATTGCATTCGATGGGATTAATTTCGATCTCCCGGATAACGAGCGTTTGGTGGTCGGAGACTTTGATGTATCGGATGCCTTCTATATGATGCACGTTTCCTTAAAGCAGCACAGGTGGAAACCCTCATTGGAGGATCATTTGCACTTGGGACTGGCAGCCACGCCGGTTTCATTCTTGTCACCCGATCACTATCCTGAACAATTAAAATCATTCTTCGGCTACGACAATTGGACTGCAACAGTTAATTTCCGTCCAGGATATGTACTATATCAAAAACCTGCCAATGCCTCTCACCACGGTGGCAAGTGTAATATATGAGAAAATTTGTAGAGTAAAGAGACAATAAGAATCCTTTGAGACTGTTGAATATCTTTATTTCAATTGATCTGATCTGTTTATTTATACTTTTAGTCTTATATCGGAATTGATGATTATCTGTAAACAGTCCACCCTTACAAGGTATATTTACAAGGATCCATGTGCTGTGATGTGACAGCATTACTTTTATGCCCTGATCCATCGGTGATGAGAAGTTATGGACGGAGAAGCTCAATCGGCAATAGGAGTTATTATATTTACAAGGATCCATGTGCTGTGATGTGACAGCATTACTTTTATGCCCTGATCCATCGGTGATGAGAAGTTATGGACGGAGAAGCTCAATCGGCAATAGGAGTTATGGATGAACAGATTGGATCGGTGTTCTAATGGAGATGGAGAAGCTCACTCAGAATGGGAACATGTCAAGATCCCGATCCATCCTGCTCTGGAACACATGTTTAAGATTGCTAATACGACAAGTAGTGGATATACCACAGGAGGGATTAGCACAAAGGTTATTTTACCCTATCCTGTCAATCCGGAGACAGTTAGGCGAGTCTCGGTTATTCATGGAATTCGTCGACCGCCGCAGTTCAACGGTGGTGGAGGCTTGGCTGAATCGGATTTCGTTGATGCTGATAAATTCTTCGATCTTCTGCAGTCGTATATTCGCTCGTCTCTTCAACGTCGTCTGGGCTCTAAAACGTAAACAAGGTATTCATATCCTAGTTGGACGAACAATAATTATAATCAGTTTACCTTAAGGATCCAAATAAAATGCTTTGGGCACGGAACCTCCATGGAATAAGATGCTTTTTTTTGTTGCCTTTTTGTTTCCTTTTTTTTTCTTTTTTCGGTTTTTTGGCCAGTTGTGGTTTCATTTCACCTTTTTCCCTCTTTTCAGTTTGCTTGGAGGTTCCGTGCCCTATTTTTCGCCGACCTTGCGGAATTGTGCTGCGGCGCGGCAATTGCTGCCGCCGGCTTGACTGTGTGTTCTGGCTATTCTCTTCTGAAATGGTTTGCTGCCACGTTGTCGGCAGCGATGGTCACTTCGAAGGTGCGGACCTGGGTTCATCATGTTCATTAGCATTGCTTAATGTCATATGTTGCCCATTGATGTACATACATTTCTTCTGGCGTGTCCAGAACAATCCATTCCGGATGCCAAGAGACGTCGACAAACACCTCTTCCTCTTGTTCCTTTGGTTGGAACGCTTCCTCTTCCTAGCTCATTTGCGTAAAAGAACTTGTCTTCATCTTCTTCCTCGTTCTCTTCTTCCTCCTTGTTCTCTTCTTCGGTCAACTGGGTGGCCACCTCGGCCGGTGCTTCCGCTGGCCAATCGTTCTTCGCGGCATAGGGCACCTTAGTGAACTCCGCTTGCGCTTGGTCTTGCGCAATGGCCAGAACTGGCCAAGCTGGTGGCACAGGAACGACACCTTCTTCTCGTTCGCGGAGTGGCATCTCAATATCTTCTTATATTTAACCATAAAAGATGTAAGTAAGTTTGTTATTTGATAAGACGCAGTATGGTTATCAACTCACCAACCACTGGTCTGTTCTCATACCGTGGTCGCTTCTTGGACATGAGCTCTTCATCGCCGGTTTCAGCTTCATGCTTTCGTTCATTCGTGAAGTTCAAGTGGATCACTTGCAACGTGCTGAGGAACACCACCTAATGGAATTTCTTTCGCTTCTTTATTTGTCGGTAAACCAACTCATCAAGTCAATTTCGACATGTTCACGCTTGCGTTTAACAAACGCCACAGTGGGCGGGACATCAGGAACATAAAATGGGGAAAGAGCAGTTGAAGAATCGCGGTAAGCAGTAGCTATGACGCAATTAGAATTTTTTGACGCAATGTCAAGGGGTCGCATGAACTTACGAAAAGACATTTTCAATACTGTAGTCAGTAAGAAAAAAAAGGAGGCGATGCAGGAGGTTCTTTTTTAATTTATAATTGACGCGCTTTACGCGTGACGTGTTTCACAATTGAATTGCCGCCCCACAATCTGTTGCTGATTCTTTACAACATAGAGTATTTATATGGATCATGCATACTTCTCTTGATTCATACATTGACCTGTGATCAAAAATGCGGGTTACGCTTCTCCTGGGGCTTCTGTACCACTTTTGTGTTGCCATTACACAAGCGACAGGAATCCCGAACCCCTGATGGATCCCTTTTGATTGAGCAACTTTGTGAAATTTATACCGTATATTTATTGTGTATGCTTAATTAAACGAATCTACATAATATAAATGACACCTTAATTTGGATGCATACTATTCATAGTGATTATATCCAGCATCCAAGTGTTTGAGGAGCCACGATTACCATCAAAGCCCCGACGAGTCACACTCGATCACCAAATCGACCACTTCCAGCTTGCTGTCGACTATGTTATTTTAAGTCAGGCAGCAAACGTATGCTAACTTGAAACCATATTTTTTACATTTTATAATTTTTTGACCATCATAAAGTGCTGGAAGCTCTCTCACACATTATTCTATCGGAGTGTTCATCGAGTTGTTCATCGAGTTGTTCATCGAGTTGTTCATCGAAGAGCTCATCGTCGCTGCTCGATCATTATTGGATCGCGAACAAAAAACAAAAGGAATCAATGTGATTCCATAAGAAAATTCGTATATCCATGTTTTTTTATATCACTATATCGAAATTATCGTTCTCTAGCAAGTTTTCACTTTATCTGGTTTATGCAAACCCTTATTACTGCTTTGCCGATCTCAGAGCCTGAAACCTATCATCATGGCAATCACCCTTTGCCATTGGTCCCCATGCAACGTATAATTCACAAGTGTGGGTGATACATGGATACGTGATCACTTGGAGATACAACTTGCAAAGAACTTTGAAGTTGTATCTGAAAATCCATTGATGCGCTCCTGCAGCTGACGTCGTTCCTGATCATTTTCAGAGACCGTCGGTCGTACGGCCACGTGACACCGTCAAAGCGAACTATCTCGCATGTCAGCGCGAGAAAAAAGAGGGGCACCGACATTTCCGAAGAACCAAAATTTTTCTTTGATGACAGCATTCCTTAACTTCGACTGGTCAATGCTACGGAATTGATAGAAAAGAATGGCGATCCTGGCCAAGAGCTCAAAGCGCTCATTTTAATAAGGTATCAAGCGACCAACAATAATACCGCGAAAACGAAACTGAGCACTTTATATCCCGAAACTCCATTCGAGCTCATTCAACAAAATGCTCGTGAAGCTCCACATGCTGTCTCGCAGTATATTTGATAAGCGATTATGTCAGTGGTTTTTTCCGCCGGTCGCGCCTCATATCATTGGTGCCTCCATAAAATATACCGGCAACCATTGCTCTCGTTGTCGGACAGGCAAGTCACGGCTACCCCAAAGTCTATTACGTAGCGGATCTGTTTGAAGGGTATAGGGATAGAACAAGGCAGTAAAGGAGGCGTCTCAGATCTGTAAGTGGCTACTGAAACGCAGGTCGAAGCAGCGTATGGTCGTGATTGTTATATTGGTGATCGATACGGTTACTCGGGAAATCACATCCTTGAATCCTTTACGCTGGTTGGAAGGTATCTCACGGGCTGGCCGATAAACGCGTACTTGTGGATTTGGCAGATGGTATCGCGGCACACATCGATATGGGCCAAGATGGCTGTTGCATGCGAAGATGATTAACAAATATTTGTGAAACTAATTCGAGCTCTTTTATCCACATATTTCCGGATAGTTTTTTTATACGACTTAAAACGTATCGCACAAGGTGTAGCGGTATGTAGACGAATTATGAATGATGGAGGTATGTTGTATGGTGGTATGGTTAATAATACAAGGTATTTGGCGATTGGTTAAAAATTTTACGATGAGTATCTAAGAACGTATAGAAAAACGAGTGATATTGGAAAACTCAGCTTTGAACAGCACAATCCAGATTTACTTGATTTATCGTACGGTATACCACTGCTTAATTGTTTGGCATTGATGATAAGATGGACGTAGAGTTTGCGCCACCCTTTAAAAGATACTGGTACATTGCTATGATTTGATTGATGTGTGCAGCCTCTAGTTTCCTTGCAATGTTGATGGGAATAGGCGAAAGAAGGTATCTGAACACGGAAGGTAGATGACATTATATCTAGTGCCATTCATAAATCCATTGGACAAGCTTTTGTGACATCCACAAAATTGGTGGACGCACGATTGGATGGAGCGATTGTATTACTGCGGGGATGATTGACTTTCCAGCGCAGACGTCTAACAGTTTGTGTATTTCGACCAGTGTGCGCTATGGCCGCTCAGATTTTTGTTCCTTACATTGATACGCCAATGTATCGGTTTACCTTATACAGTAGTGGATTGATGGGCTGAGTCATATGTGAAAGCGGGTCCTTCCACATATGGCACGTTGTGCGATAATGCATGAGATGGATAACATGAGCTACCCATAACATAATATCACGTAATGGGAGGAGTCACTATGAACGGCAGACAGCTTCCATGGCAACGACTCCTGGTACTATGTGTTTGTGATCCGAAAAGCATTCATAGCATCACACACCAGCTACAGTTTTATTCCCTCAGTGTAGGATGATCGCCCTTTTATATGGGGTGCGATCAGCTGCTCTTTTGTCTGCTTTCTTTTTACTGCGTTTTGCTTTGGTTCTTTTTATCTTCCCAGGAAACCCGTCATCACACAGGCATTGATTTTAGCGCAAATGCTTTCGATGAGAGTGATGACGCTGTTTGCTTTATTGTTCAAATGCTGGAACAATATATCCACTTGTCATCAACAATTGATATGCCGCATTCCCCATTTCTCTCCCTCCCATGTTTTCCCTTAGTCTACAGGCCAAAACGATTGGGCGTTCTTCTTCTTCATGATAGTCCCAATCAAAATGTTAGAGAAAAACATGGTATTGATGCACAGCTTTTATGCACGCATCACTCATCCACAGTGTTTGCGATGATACGTACGATTTCCAGGATGATGTGGGTTATTTTTATTTTTGATGGTGTTGTATGGTTGAAGGGGCCATCCCAAAGGTTTCCGGCAGCGTTTCTCCAAATTCGATGCAGATAGCCTTGATGGAAGCGAAATGGTGTACCTGAAACCGAAAATCAGTTGCAGACTGTCGATAATAAAGGAAATTTTCTAAAAACAGAATATCCTATACTTACTGCATGAATACAGCAGTACCACAGTTCACGACCAAAAGAGGATGCGTAGTGATGTTTGGTGTTAACAGCGGCGTCTATGGATGCGGCCAGAGTTACCGGTGTTGCAAGATCGACCGCACTGCTTTCTTCCACGAGCGATTGCATGTGCCTCAACTGTGCAATAGCATTGCCCCGATCGGATTCCATGGTAGGCTGCATGACGGTTAGGCATAGGATAGCATTAAACTCGTATGATCTTACTTACGTTTCTCGCTCGTTCGTCAAAGTCGACTTGCCAGGGACATGGTCGGGGTTGATCAGAAATAGCGGTATTGAATAATAGTACAAAGTGATCGTAGAGATGTCTGTGCCATACAGTCCAAGTTAATGAGAGATTTTCGAGCGGCGGAAAAAAAAAAGTGTCAAGTGGTTAGAGCGAACGGCACCTGATATGCTTGCCAACCGTACTGCCAGGCATGACGGTGGAGAATCGGGTATATGTGTCTGTCGGAAGATGATCAATAAGATCGATGGCCTGTTGCAATGTTTTGTGCGCCACCTCATGGAGCGAGATGTCAGTTTGGGCTTGGCTCATTGTGGCAAAGTATTGAAGATCCCGCAAGAGAAAGCCGACGGGGAAAATAAAATAACGGTGAAAGGATCAAAGGAATCGCAGGACCTTCCATGTGACGGTCGTCATATCCGAAAGCACACAAAAAAGGAAACCGAAAGCAACTGCATCAGATAAAAACACTTAAAAGTTCTGATCTATTTAAAAATCTGCCGTCTTTTTTCATTCATCGCCAAATCAGAAGTTACATTGCATTCAAAGAACAACATGGAGTATTTTTCCATTGCACTCTAGTAAACTTTGAACCATGCGGTCTCCTTTTCTTCAGCTGACTCGGCGCGTCATCAAGATGAACTCCACAACATCGCTAAGTTTACATGCCGCTGCATAAAGCAATCTCAAGATTGGACGGTTCACTTGGCGCACCCAAGCTTTCAACTTGGGAACGTTTGTCTGTTATCTTTAGGAGCAGTATTTCGGAGTAATCCATCAGACGGAGAAGACCTAAGATATCGTCCAAGAGAAATGTACATTTGTTCCTAGGTTGACCTTAGTTGCTCATCAATGGTGGTTACATGTGAAATCGGGAGACGAAAAAAAAAAAAAAAAAAAAAAAAAACGTCAGCATCATCCACTGCCCCACAAGTTGCCTTTCAATAACTTTACAGAGGATGATCCACAATCACCTTTAATGTCAGGCAATGAATGATAACTTCCTTGAAAACCGAATTCTTTACTATTTGCAAAAGGCCAAACGACGTTACCGCTACTTGGACAAGATCAGAAAGAAGGAATGCCCCATGACTGACTGTTAAACAAGATCGATGCCCCTGTCGATGATATAACGGTTGTCTTCCCAATGATATTCTTTATACAAGAAAATGATAATAGTATTGCGTCTATTCAACAGTGTAAAATATCGTGAACAATCTAAGAAATGCGAATCGAAGAACTATGCGATAAATTTTATCCGCGAAGATAATGAAGATGAGGTGGTTACTTGAAATGAAAAAAAAGGCGAAAAGGGTGTCTTGGCTATGATGACCGAATCCAATGTGGAAACAAAAGGTTTAGGTGCGTTGCGTACTAGCTGACGCATTCTGAAGCTCGGTTAATCTTCCCTGATCTTTAAGATCTTGTTGCTCCTGTGCACTGAGGCTCCAGAATTGCCGTCGTTTACCATCGAACCAACGACGTAACTAGAAAAAAAAAGCACCCATGGTTACTTCCCAGTAAATCACCTGGAAACACAAAATTTAGGAATACATACCGAGGAAAAGCAATGTTCCTGCGGACCAAAATCAGCGAAAAGGACAACATAACCAGTAATAGCTAAGACACAGAGTGGGGAACAGGTTAAAATGACGAGTTCAGGGTTTTCGTCCATCCCACAGGTACACACTTACACAAAGAAATGGCCCATGAAGCAAGCTGTAATTGGCGAGATCGAAGCTTCGGTTGCGTTGCTGCCACCACTCGTCGCTTATATTTTTCTTCGAGATAGGCCGTACGAGGTGATCGATGGGGAGTGGGAATGGCCATGGTTTGTAGGTAATGGTTGAAGGTTCAATTGCTGGGCATCTTTTTTTTCGGTCGCTGCTCGAGATTCACTGTGACTGTTAATCTGCAAGGGCGTGAGCCTTTGAGCGGTGATTGGTTATAGTTTCGGCGGTACATGAAGTCGAATGGCGTGGAGACACGTCCCTTCAAGTTAGCCTGTGAATTTTTCCTGCAGTTGGAAAGACTACGTGAACAGAAATGCGAACGCGTTCAGGACATGGATGGCGATGGACACTGGTCGCCGTTTTGTGTCTCTTCTTGGTCACGTCTGTGACCGCCATGAAAACGGAAGATTTCAAGACTTGCTCCCAGTCGGGCTTTTGCAAACGCAACCGAGCCTACGCAGACGAAGCCAGCCGTCCATCTTTTCAATCCCCTTACGCTCTTTTGACCAACTCGGTTAAATTCGACAACACTCGCTTATCAGCCGATATTAAGAACACCGAAACCTCCATTATACTCACTTTGAATCTGGATTTCTTAAAAGATAATACCGCGCGTGTTCGCATCAACGAAAAGAATCCCATCAAGCCCCGCTATGACGAACACAGCAAATACACGCTTCATCAAGAACCGGTCATGGAAGCCGCCCAGAAAATGGATATCTCCTCGACTGGAGTTGTTACCGTTACTATCGATGCCGCCCGAAAGGTCGTGATTACTCCCGAACCGTTGCGGTTCGACTTTTTCGTAGGCGAAGAATCCATTATCTCGCTCAACGACCGAGGCTTTTTTAACTTTGAGCACTTGCGAACCAAAGAAAGCCATCAACCAAAGATGATTGAACGGACCAAGGAAGACGGCACCGTGGAACAAGTGGAAGCGGAAACCGAACAGGGATTGTGGGAAGAAACCTTCAAGACATGGACGGATCCTAAACCCAATGGTAAAATTCCGAGAGCAATCTATCCATGCAATGGTATGCAGTGACTGACGAACCATGTTCTTGCACCAGGTCCCGAATCGATTGGCCTCGATATCTCATTCAATGGATTCTCTCACGTTTATGGAATTCCGGTAAGTAAAGGTTTGACTTGCATTCGTTCACGCATTCACGCATCGGATGACTCAAAAAAGTATACGTAGGAACATGCCTCCAGCCTTTCGCTGAAAGAAACGAGGTAAAACAATACACAAGCTCTTGGATAAGATCATGTAATACTTATGTTTGAAAATAGAGGTGGTGAAAATGCCTACGATGAACCTTACCGCTTGTACAATACCGACGTCTTTGAGTATGCTCTGGACAGTCCGACGTCCTTGTATGGTGCTGTACCTTTCATGGTCGCTCATCGAAAAGGTGCATCTGCTGGTGTGTTTTGGATGAACCCCTCCGAAACCTGGATTGATATTGTCAAGAGCAAGCATGAATCACACGTGAGTACGCCATCTCTTCATCCTCGGCGTCATCATGTGCTTCCCTAACATATAATTTCTTACGTCCTATACAGAGTAAGGTGCAACAGGTACTCAGTTTCGGTAAAAAGAGTGAGGAACGAACCTCAACTCACACTCACTGGGTTTCGGAAGCCGGCGTGCTCGATCTGTTTGTTTTCTTTGGTCCTTCAACAAAAGATGTCATGCGTCAATACAGTCAATTAACCGGCCCGCCAGCCTTGCCTCAGATGTTCGCCATTGGTTATCATCAGTGCCGCTGGAACTACATCAATGAAAGAGATGTGCTCGATGTCGACAATAATTTTGATGAATACGACATGCCCTATGATGTGATTTGGTTGGACATTGAATACACGGATGAAAAGAAATATTTCACATGGGATGCCGCCAAGTTCCCTCACTCTTTGGATATGGAAAAGAAGTTAGCCGACAAAGGCAGACAGGTAAAGCAGCACTAGAAATCTGGGCAATCAATGGCCAGTGAACCGAATAGCTTATTCATTTTTTTTTCTTCATTTTTTCCACAAAAGTTGGTCGTCATTATCGATCCCCACATCAAGCGAGCCTCGAACTATCGTATCTGTGATGAGGCCAAGAACAACAACCTGTTTGTGAAACAGCCTTCAGGTGATGATTACGAAGCCTGGTGCTGGCCAGGCCAATCTTCGTGGGTTGATTTCTACAAGGAAGCAGCTCGAGACTGGTGGAAAAAGCAGTTCCAGCTTAACAAATTCCTCGGCACCCGCGAGAATGTTCACATTTGGAACGATATGAACGAGCCCTCGATTTTCAATGGACCCGAGATCACTATGCAAAAAGAAATGATTCACGATGGTCGTTGGGAACATCGTGTGCTTCACAATTTGTACAGCTTGCTTTCTCACGCTGCGACAAGTGACGGTGTCAGAGAACGAACAGCCGTGCAGAAGCGTCCTTTTGTCTTGGCGCGTGGATTCTACGCGGGTGTTCAACGCTACGGAGCGGTTTGGACCGGTGATAATATGGCCGATTGGGATGCTTTATACTACTCGAATCCGATGATTCTCACCAACAGTATGGGCGGTGTCCCCTTCTCAGGCGCCGATATTCCCGGATTCTTTGGCAACCCCAGCCCCGAGTTACTGGCACGATGGTATCAAGCCGGTGTTTTCCAGCCTTTCTTCCGTGGCCATGCTCACATTGACACCAAGCGCCGTGAACCTTATTTGGTCCCTGAGCCCTACCGATCCATCACCCGTCGCAGTCTGCGCGAACGCTATGCTCTGTTACCTTATTGGTATACTTTGTTCTATGATGCTTACAAGACTGGCACTCCCATGATGCGTCCGATGGTGATGGAGTTCCCCGACGACGAGTCCGTGTTTGCCATGCAAGATCAATTTATGCTTGGTGAAGGTATCCTTGTGAAACCCATCACCAAGGAAGGAGCGGTTTCAACTCGTGTCTACTTTGCCGGTGACGAGGTAAATGTGGCTCGCCTCCCGATTGCATACTAGAAAAAACAACTGACACTTGGTATCCTTTTATAGCCTTGGTATGATATGTCGTCGTTTGAACGAGTGGTGGCCCATGGTGAGCGAGAGGTCGCTGCCCCCTTGGAAAAGATCCCAGCATTTTATCGCGGCGGGCACATCATTCCTCGCCGAGAACGCGAGCGCCGCAGCGCCACTGCCATGAAATTTGACCCATTCACCTTGGTCATTGCTTTGGATACAAATGTAAGTGTTCATATTCTATTGCTTTCGACCAGCTTACTCATTTGATCGGTCAAAATCAATTTGATAGGGCAAAGCTCAGGGCAATCTTTACTTGGATGATGGCGAGTCTTACGACTTCCAATCGGGACACTATGCACATACCCTCTTCGATTATGAGCATGGCGTATTGACATGCCAGAGTTTGCACGATGCGAATGACAGCCAAGCAGCTCAACAATTCGCCAAATCCATGGCAGATCTTCGTATCGAACGCATCCAAGTGTTGGGTGCTAAACAACCGACGACGGTGCGAGCTATGAAGCCGAATACACCCGCTGCCGACATACCCTTTGAATATAACTCTGCGCAATCGACTCTTGTGATCAAAAACCCCAGCACATCGGTCATTACCTGCGATTGGCGTATTGAAGTCTCTTGAAAAGAAAAAGGATAGATGTGAAAAAATTCACTATATACAGTCTATCAGTAGTAGCAACGTATATATTGAAGAAAAACAATGAATCAGAGTCTAATTTATAACACAGTGGAAGAAAAAGGGACGCGGTATGGATATGTTAGGAGGAGTGAATTAACGTTTGCCGGCTTGAGCCAAGGAAACCGAACTTTGCAAAGAATGCATTTGATGCTTTCCCGACGATAACAAAGATCGAATCTTGTCCTAGAAAAAATTGAGAGAACGGAGATGAGCATTGGGTGATCACATCACAGCACCTCGAGGTACTTTTGGCTTACAAGATCAGTTTCATGACGATATCGCTCAAAATCAGAACGTGCCCAATCCCTCAATTCTTTTGCATCGTGTTTGTCCAGGCCTATGCTTGTAAAATTAGTCAAAGTATGAGATGAACCACAGGTTCTGGTTTTTCACCTTTTGTGCATCGCAAGATCTGTCGATATAATGATCGCACTTGGCTCTTGATGAGAAACTGAGAAATGTCTAAGCTATATTGCTTTCATATAGTCCACTTTAATAGCACTTACATGATTTAAGGTCAAGCTAGGTTCCTTGAAGAACCGAGGCACAGCAGGGGCTTTGGAACGGGCTATCAGTGCCACTCGCATAGGCAACTAGGTTAAAGACAATAAAATGCGGAACCACCCAGAGCGACCCCTTCGCAAATCCATGGCCGTCACATATTTCCAAAAAAGGAAAGCAAAACCCCTCCGCTGCCCCTTTCTATTGGCATCAGTCTTTTGAATAATATAAATAAAGTTCTATAGACCTGCGAACACCATATTTTGATTCAACCACCGGTAATCGACCGGGTTACAGAGAGGTCAATATTACTTATCTGCTCAAAAAATCCATTTAATTAACAGCCAAAAAAAACTACTCATTGCACTTGATGTGCGGAGAATCGAGAAAATTTTCAAATTTCGAAAGTGATTTGCTCCAATACTGTTCTTACTCTAGTTTTGGTAGATCATTGCATATTTGACAACGAAGACTATGTGCAAGGGCTATTCATTAAGATTTCTTCTTGTGTCATTTGATGGATTACTGGGTTCAGCAGAAAAAGTGACTTGATGTTGAAAAGTCTAGATGTTGCATGTGTGAATTGATTGCCATCGATGCTCGCACATGCAAAATATATACAGACCACAGCGAAAATACAAATAAGCTCAGGTTTAATTCAAATATCCACTTTACAATTGGCAAATTATCCGTTGTGCTTCTGTAGCTCAGCATGGTGCTTTTTTGATTTATTTTTTTTTCAGTTTTTTTTTTTTTTCAAAAACAGCGCGGAAATACGAGTCACATATTTTTGAGAAATCGAGTATCTGACTTCTCTACAAGTGGACCTTGGCTGTCAACAAATACCATTCAAGCAACATGCGGCAAAACTTTATAGGCATGGTCGTTAGTAATGCCATGCAGAAAACCGTCAAAGTGAAAGTTACCCGTCAAAAGTTACATCCCATCGTTTTAAAGGTACTCATCCTAATTCATTGTAAACATGGGGGACCTGGATGATTCATGGCTGACCTTTTATTATGATTCTTTCAGACCATCAAAACACACAAGAACTACTTGGCCCACGACGAAAACCAGCTTTGTGGATTAGGCGATGTCGTTCGTATCGAAGCATGCAGACCGTTGAGCAAGCAAAAGCATTTCACCGTAGCTGAGATTGTCCGCAGTGCCAAAGGAGCATAGAACAATTCATATTGCATGGAAATCAATAATAATAATAAAAATTAGAATGTGTATATAAGCCATAAGTCATCTGTCATCTATCCTTAAGCAGCATGAAAGTTGCAAAAAGTAGCAAACAGGAGTGGAAGGTGGAGGAAGCATGACTAATCCATAGATATCGCAGCTAGGGCACTGTAAGTGCTGCGAAATCATGATGAATTGATAAGCAGTCGACGCTATGCAACAAAAAAAATGAGTTTTTCTTTATTGGGAACAATTTTTTAAGATAGCAGCATTGGGAATGAGGTAACCTGAGGGTATGAGTCAGCAAACCTACTGGCCAGCCTAGTGATGACGGAGCCGATTCTTGGTTGACGAGCGTGTCTTGGACAATTTCGCCATCACATATGGATACGATTGGCTGAAACATCATCTCTGGGATACTACCCCAGTTACCTATTTTAGAATGAAAGATCCTTATAAATACCAGAATCTATCTGCAAGAAAGCAATAAAAAAAAAGAGAACAAAGAAAACTTCAAGTCTAATATAAAAACACCCTCACCAGAAAGAAAAAGCCATCAATGCCTACCAGCACTGCCACTCGTATCCACTCTGGAGCTGACTTGTCCCCCGAAAAGCTTGCTTATCTCAATGATTATCTTCAGAATTTGAGCCCTCACGAAATCTTGGAATGGGCTATCGATAATCTTCCTCAATTGTTCCAAACCACCGCCTTTGGTCTGACCGGTAAGTGATCCATTGAAATCGAGCTACAATAGAATATAAAAAAAAAGACGATGATCAGTTTTGACTCATTATCTATTCTCTTTTTTTTTTTCTTTTTTTTCTTGCAGGCCTTGTCACGCTTGATATGATTAATAAGATCAGTATTGACCGCGAGCAGCCACATTTGGTGCCTCTTATTTTCTTGGACACGTTATATCATTTCAACGAGACTCTTGACCTGGCTCGCCGTTGCCAGGAAACATATGAAGTGCCTCTCAAAGTATACAAGCCCATGGACTGCGAAACCGTCCAAGAATTTGAACGCGAGCACGGTACTCACTTGTGGGAAACCGATGAAGACTCGTACGATTATCTCGTGAAAGTGGAACCAGCTCGTCGCGCTTATGAAGAATTGGATGTTCGTTCCGTGATCACTGGTCGCCGTCGCAGCCAAAAGGGAGACCGTGAATCCATTCCCATCCTTGAAGTCGACGACACCGGCCTCATCAAATTGAACCCTCTCGCTTACTGGGATTACCAACAAGTGTGGACCTACATCCGTGCCAATGAAGTACCTTACAACGCTCTGGTTGACCAAGGTTATCGATCCATTGGCGACTGGCATTCCACTCGCAAGCCTTCCAACGACAATAGTGAACGATCTGGTCGCTGGGCTGGTTCTCAAAAGACCGAATGCGGTTTACACAAAGATTACTTCAAGATGCGCGCCGCCTTCATGGCCGCCAAGAGAAAGAAAGAACAACTTTTGTTGGAACAGCAACAACAGCAGCAAAAGCAAACCGCAGTGATGACCACGCTCTTGGCATCTTCCTAAATTTTGTCGACTCCCATCGTATCTTTTTTTTTCCTTTACAACCACCTTCATCTCTCTTTCATCATTTCATGCTACCACACTCTCGCTCTCTGTCATTTCCGATCATGAACTGTATATAGACAATCCTCTTAATTTTTGACTCTCATAATAACAACTATTTAAAATAATCTTTGCATTGCTTTGCCAGTTTGAGTTGGTCTTCCCATTGATATACTGCATGGTTGCTTTTTTTTTTTGGTCTGCATTCACCTGTCGCAACGCATGCAAACTGTATTTCGTCATTCAATAACCTTGTTCATGTCAACTTCATTGGATCAACTTCAATGCAGGGTTTTTATTGATACCTAAAATGTACAATTAGAACCAGAGTACAAGTGATGCGTATGCTGTTATAGAAGCTTAAATGGTGGCTACTATAAGGATTAAGATATAGTAAAAAAAAGCGCTATTTCTTTTATTGCTGCGTATGATTATTTCACAGGCGAACCAAAATAAATGAAGAATGGAACGATTCTGGTAGGATAAGAAGGCGTAAAACGATTACACAAAATAACTGCGGAGTGGTACACTCATTCACAACCGTGTATCGGGAAAATGGGTGTCTTTGTAACCCGATGCGGGACCGTTCTTGTTATGCGTGACCAAGACTGAAAACGACGCATATCGAACCCTTTCATAACGCAATTTGTTTTTGATATTGTGGCATTATTCCACATTATTTGTAAAGTAAGAATTGCTTTTATGTAAAAGCGGTCCGCAAGTGAATCCTAAGCATAGGCACATGACCGATGGCGACTTTTTATCTATCAATCGCGTAACATTCAGTCAATAGAATATCAAAAAGATTGCCAAAATTTCTGCATGAGTATATGCAAGCAACAGAAATGGCGCAATTCCTTGCTTTGCTTATGAAATGTTATTTGGAGTCGCATGAATGAACCTTTCAAGATGGTGTGATAGTCAAAGGTAACTTGAAATCATAATAAATGTCAAATGTACAGTATCGTTACCATCAATGATCACTTGCTTTGTTTATTTGCTTTGTTTATTCAGTAAACCAATTCCTGTCTTTTCTCGTCTCCTCATCGCCCACAAAAACATTTGGCACCTTCGTACCCAAAGAATCAAGGTCATGATTTTTTTTTTGAGAATATCAGGCAGGTTTCCTTGAATGCTGTCATTTGGATCTGTTTTATTGAACCGAAAATGAGATGTTGATCGAAGAAGAGGTATCTGATTTAAGATTCGATGCTCTTATGTTGTCCATGACATATTGTTCTTTTGCTGTTTGAGCACTGTCAATGCCCATCTCCACCAAACATATAGCTATTTGGTCCTTTATCACAAATGTGATCCTTTTTATTTCGAAAATCTCAAAAATTACAGGTTTATTAATTGACTTGCTGACTAACGCATGTTAAAATTGGACATTTGCCGTAAAATAAAGGTCACAATGGGTTACCGAGCCTTCGTTTGCATGAAACTTTTTTGTAGATGAGAATATGTGTGTAAGAATAAGAGGAATAGGCCGTGTCACTGATATCAATTAAATCTAAGAAGGGCAAACCGCGGACTTGAACGCTGGCTGAGTGTGACTTTGGAATCGCTCGAGCATGGATCTGGTTTTTTTTTGTTCCCTGGTGATATAACACTGGTCTTATTCTCCTTCAGCTTATGTCGACCATGAATATACTCCGTGTAAGACTCACTCTTGGAAAAAAAAATAGCGCACGTATGATGTAATAACAATCAACGTCGACCTGTAGCGAACGGCAGGTTTACGTTATTTAGCCACAGCGGCCAAACGCAGATGCAACAAAAGCAGATTGACGGACGGGTTAGCCCAACCCGTGGCAGCGGACATGATCGGCACACCTGATCCCATTTCCAACTTGCGTCCTGTCAAGTACTACGTTTCCCCGCATGAAACAGAAGAGGTAAATCTAGCCTGCCCTCGAAGGTGCATACAGACACAAACGTTGCTCATCATGTTGCAGGAGAAAGAATGGCGGTTATTGCAACAACGTGTTGACGAGTTTAATCAAACATTCTGGAGAAATAATAATTTGATGTTTGTGCGAGCCAAGGCAGAATATGAGGATCAGTGTAAGTTGTGTGTGAATCATTTAACAGATCGCATCCTAAATCAATGGCAATCAACTGTAGTAATTGCGCGAGGCGAGCCCGTCACCGCCGAGGCCATGTCGATTTTTTACAAGGACTTTTTGAACAAAGCGTATGACCGACAAATGGCTTACAATCGCGAATGGTGGCGTCTGAATGTCAGCATGCTTTATCCCGGTTTGAAGGCTTGTGTACGTGCATTAAGGAACCGAAGTACAGCCGTGGAAAGCAAAGACACCGGTTTTTGGGACAAGAGTTTTGAATCCTAAAACACCCTACACAGACGAGAGATCAACCGACCCCAAAGCGCATTCCAGTCATGACAATCCAAAACAGCATCGCTTCCCTTACTTCCCTAGTTGTCGTCTCTACAGGACGGTGATTTCACGCACCACCTGTTCTCAACCGTCATCCAACATCATCATAGAAACAAAAAGAATCAGAAAAAAAAGGGGTTTCCCCTTAATGAAATTTTTATGGATATATCAAAGAAAGAACTGTCGCGTATCATAACATTTTGATTACACGAGTGTCGTTTTAGAGATTGGCACCTGCAGCTCGTTGCAAAATCTTGTTCACTTTGCTTGCTTCCATATACTCCTTGACCAAACCGCTGATAGCCTTGAACTTTTCATGCTTGGCATCCTTGACCAATTGGAATAGCACGGATTCCGAGGTAGTAATAGTAGCGCCCGCAGCTTTCATACGCTACATTGTGTACCCAAATGTGTTAATCACTTTAACACGATCAAGCTCACTGAAAACCAAAGCCATGACGCTCGAAAACCCTGCAACAGCATTCGATATCTCTTACCTTGAGAGCAATGTCGATTTCGGGACAGTTTTGGGAAGAAACGGCATCGGCGAGTACGTGCACATTGATATTATTTTCGAGCAGATCAAGAGCGGTTTGCAACACACACACATGACTCTGTAACAAAACAAGTGGCAAGCGTGAGACGGGGCTGTTCATTTCCGATCTTTGAATCTCTACTTACCTCAATACCAAGCAATAGCACCGACTGCGTATTGTTCTTCTTCAACACGTCCGCTACTTCAGGCAAATACATGCTGAATCGCGTCTTTTCCAAGCACAGTGCACTCTCAGAAATGTCAAGCTCTGGTACGGTGGGTCCGAAAGCTACAACAGTTTATATTAAGTCCTAGGTATTCCTTCCAATTCAATCTTCCTTTTTCATTTCTTTGGTACCTTTAGGGTATTGCTCTGTTACAATAACAGGAATATCAAGGAGCTTGCTGGCCTTGATCTAGAAGGAGTTCAATCCGTCAGCATTTGAGATGACATGGGTACTTAAATGTCCACGGTTACCATTTTTCCTGCGACAGAAATGACGCTTGGGTATTGCCAAATAATACCCTTGAAACGTTCTTGAATATCACACACAAACAAGGCGGTGGTTTGAGGAGAAAGTTTTGCGATTTTCCCGAGCGACATGACGACGGTTAGAGTTATGATAGGAATAGAGGGAAATCCAAAGACAGACAAAATGTGGGGTTCTCACGGAGAACGGGTATCTTCCTTGTATTTTCAAACGCCGCGCTGATCTAAAAATCCCATTTACATCTCTTTCTGTGCATTAACGATCATGACCCACAAATATGGTAGTGCCGCCCAGAAACATGATCATTAGTTTTCGAACTCTATCATATTAATTTGGTTGCAATGCGGGACACTGTTGGATTCAGTAAACTTCATGTTAACAAGCCGTACACACACTGTGCAATGGGTGCCGCCTGCCACCGGAGGCCGCCCTCTTACATTGAGCGACATTCGTCAGACAAAAGCCTAACGCAATACGGCATAACCTGGGCGAGACTCTTGATGGAACTTTGGTATATTAATGTCAATACTCTGGCATACCGTACAGTCATGATTTCCAAACATGTGTGCAGCAGCACTTATTGACCCCCTCAGTCCCGTCCCGCCCAAGGTTATGATAGATCTAGAATGATGTGTGGGAATGTTGGGTATTTAAAAAAAATGAGTCAGTAAGCTCTTTGATTGATTCAAATTTCGTCAAGATATTTTACCTTTGTTATTTGAGTTTTCAATAGCCATTGATCGCTTGACATGACTTGGATTACATGACATTGAAAAATTTTGAATTAGTATACGTTTTTTACATCATAGCAAAGAAAAAGAAATTGGAGGTGCCTTTGAACCAAATGGTGAACCGGACAAAAAAAAAAGATGATACGGACCGCCAGGTAAGCTTCTTCTTCGATGCGGTAAATAAAATTGCTTCCAGGGACAGTTAAGCGATGGATCGGTGGTGTCAGCTTGAGCAGGCAAAAAATATTGACGTGGCCAGAAGTGACGGTAATTTTGAGTTGGATTCCAGATATCGAGAGTTCCCCGAATAAAAAGAAAGAGAAACAAATAAAGTACATGATGATAAAAAAAACAATGGTCGCGTCAGTAAAACCTCCTAAAAAATCCCTGTGGAAAAAGAAAAGAGGAAAAGACTGAGAAAAGAATATGTACATGAAGTATAAATACAAAATACAATAATCGGGAAGACATCTCGAATACCATATCATGAGAAGCAATCCAAAGGAGAGGGAACATGAAGAGGACACGTAAGCGTTTTCCTATGAAAAAGAGAGAGGACCACCGACGATGGCCTTTGACGTCATCTGGTTTCGCCAGATAGATGGATGAATGGCGAGAAAAAGTCAACTTGTGGTGTCCAGAACTTGTTAGGCGAAAAGAAAACGGAGAGAAAATCAAGATAAAATTGAAGGCCAAAATATATGATTTTCCATGGATGAAACAATAGTCACCCCACTGATGCACGAATCCATAGATCGAAGCACGTCGGCTTATGTATTATTCGATTCATTGAAAATTGAAAGAGAGTGAAAGGACATATATAGTATAACTGACAAAAAAAACAAATTGAATGATGCTACAGAAGAACGCCAGTCGTATCATCAACCACTTTTCTTCAAAAAGAGCTCTACTCACATTTTTATTCGAAAGACGACGATACTCTGTTTAACCACAACTGGCGCAAACGGCATCTTGCTGCTGATTGTTTCGCCTGTTACATGTGAAAATGGGCAGCGAGGCATGGTTGAAAGATAAAAAAAAAGTTTAACAGGTCTTGATAACTTAGTGTAGATCATGTGATTTACAAGATTTTAATCATGTTAACTATGGCAAGTTGCCAAAGCAACAATAACAAATGAGGCGAATTCTTTTCTTTTACAGTGTTGATAGGCTGGCTCGAGCTGTAAAAATATTTTATCTTATTTAAGACGTATTAACAGTCTCTCGTCGGTCTAGATTTTAAAGGACATGTCAAAGACAGATTTGGTGATGGGATTGCAGTAAATTCAAATGACTTGGATATTTCGTATTTGAGAAAGAAGGTAGGATAGCCATATTATTTGAGAAGGAGAAAACGGGCTAAATAAACACAGTCAGCTACTTTCGGCTCGCCCTCAGTGGATAATATCTAGAGCATATACATTTGAGTTTAGGACATCGTATGATTCTTTAAAGCAATGCAAATACAGTAGCAGATTGGCTAGAAATGTGCCTATTTTCATGGCGAAATACGTCACGGGGTGCTGATTCAAAGGATCGTGAACTGTAAATCGGTAGATACAGTGTTGAGCTTGGAAAAAAGAAACTTTATTATTGCTAGAGCCCTAATGATCTCATCGCAGGCGAATAGCTGGCGATTGCTTCAATGTACAGTATACGCTTTACTCAAGTAATGAAAACCTTCAAAACATTGTGCAAAATGGGCAAAAAAAAAAAAAAGAAAAAAAAATTCTACCAACATTTGACTGGTTGCGAAAACATAAAAAGTTGCGGGTGGGAAGGCATTCAATGTCCATGTGGTATTCCGAGTCAAAATCAGCCGCAACATTCGAGTTTCTGAAATGATCCAATCATTGCTCGCCTGCTGAGCGTATAACTTTTGATTGCCAGAACTTTAATATATTCCTATTCTCGTTCTTTTCACTACTCATCCATACAAAAAAAATGGGTGTTACAGGCAAGTAGAGTAAATATTATTTATTGTGACAAGAGGGACATTAAGTCAATTCATTGGATGGTTGGAGAAACACTTTGCAAGAACACATGACTTTTTTTTTTTGCGTGCAAGTTTTCCCACCCACTGAAAATGCAGAAAATAGCGTGACTCTATTTTGCGCCGGGTTTTTAATTTGGCAAAATTGTGGATGGAATTCATGCTTGTTTTCTCTTTTTCTTATTTGTTTCCTTGTTATCTAGTTTTAAAGCATGTCACCCGTTGTATACGTTATAGGTGCCAATGTGCAGAGCCTAACCACAGCACTGTTATTACGAAGAAAAGGTTATGATGTAACCGTATTATCCACCCATTTTCCTGGAGACGCCAATAGCAACGACCCGTCGTCGTGGTCAAGCGCTCAATGGACATCCTTTGCAAGCGATACAGATACCCGTCTTAAGCGTATGTATCTCACGTTATTATGGACACCATCTATTTCCTTACGCCGTACTCAACCTTTTTGTTCAGGTTACGATGCCGCCACTTTCCACATGTTTTGGGAACTTGCCAAGTGTAAAGCGGCAGAGGCAGGTCTCATGGTGGTATCGTCTTATAACTATTCCGAAAAGCCTATCCCTTCAGGGCAAGCCGGTTTATGGTGGAAGACCATGGTGCCAAGTGTAAGTAATTCTTTACTCATTCACCTTTTTCATGTGCCAATGTCGGAGGCTAAAGTTTGCTTGAAAACAGTTTCAAATATTGAGACAGCAAGAGTTGCCATCGCATTTCATCACTGGCGGTTATCATTATACGACAGGTACGCTGCATACCCATCTCAACATTGCTGCCAGAATTATGAACAAATTGGATGGTTTATAGTGGTCATCAATGTGGGACGGTATCTCCGATGGCTGCAATCGCAGTATCTTTCACTAGGCGGTAAACGCCGACGGGTTCCCAGCCGAGTTTCCATTGATGATATGTTACAAGACGATGCATTTAGCGATGCAGACGTCGTATTGAATTGCTCCAATATGAATGATCCAGACATGTTGTACCGCTACAAACAAACCATTGTGGTCCGTGCAAGCCATATACGTAGAGCTATATCCGTTACCAGTAAGTTGACCTGATCGTTGACATGTGGGTTTCAAATTGATGCATTGACCGACATCAATAGAAAACGATGATACATACACTTTTATTACCCCACGCAACGATGGTACCATTATCATTGGCAGGATAGAAAACGTGCCACAAAGGTAAACTTGGATCACTGGCGGAAAGAATCAAGGAACAACATGCTAATGGAACTGGTACAGAACCCTGGACAATAATAAACTCTTAAAGGAAGGTCTTCAGTATTGTCCTGACCTGTTAAGCGGCCAATCGCTTAATCAGCTGGATCCTGTGAGCGAGTACAGCGGTAGAATTCCATTTATGCGGCGTAACGGACCCCGACTGCAGAATGAATTTAAAAGTAAGTTTCTATTCAAATTCTTTTTGTATTGCGTAGGCGTATGTCTAACTTGATCGTGTGTAGTTTCAGCTGCAGGAAAAACTGTGCTTGTTACACATCATTACGGTTACAATGCCATAGGCTATCAATCCAGCTGGGGCTCATCTCAAGAAGCCGTGCAACTGGTCAATGAAGGATGGGCGTTTCTTCAAAAAGAATCTGAAAATATTTGTCAGTTGATAAGTCGTTTGTAAACAGGAGGCTATGCGTCCTTGCTTGTCGCCAAATACATTTTACAACTCGCATACCTTTTGGAGACCAGTTCTGCTTTGCATCTTTTTTTGTCAAAGCGGCTTGTAAATAAATCAGACGCTTTCCTTTTAAAGCTCGGCAGACCATCTTTACAATACGCATCCATTTCAAGCAGTAAATCGGTTCATTTCTTATATTTTTTCTTTAACAAGCCGTACACCCGCTGTGCAATGTATGCCACCTGCTACTGGGATGTCACACTCTTACATTGAGTGACATTCGTCGTCAGACAAAAAGCCTAACAACACGGCATAACCTGGGCGAGACTCTTGATGGAACTTCGGTATATTAATGTCAATACTCTGGCATACCATGAAACACTTTTAATGAACAAAGCAGCACTTATTGACCCCCTCCGTTCTGTCCCGCCCAAGGTTATGATAGATCTAGAAAGATGTGTGGGCATGTTAGTAAGTTCTTTGATTGATTTAAACGTCGTTAAGATACTTTACCTTTGTTATTCGATGCAGCAGATATTGAGAGCTTGCCGACCGAAAAAAAAGAAACGATACAAATATAAGAAAAAAAGTAAAACAATAGGTGCGTGTGTAAAAACCCTAAAAACTCTGTGGGAAAAAAAAAGGAGGAAAAGACTGCAAGAAGGTCTATCGAATAAAATACGAAGTGCATACTACAAACTACAAAATAAAATGATTGGGAAGACAATACCCACGGGTGGCAATCCAAATAAGGGAACCTGAGGAGGACGCGCAAGCACTTTCCGAAGAAAAAAAGAGTCACACCACCGATGATGCCCTTTGACGACAAAAACCCGGATTGGTCACATCTGGCGCGCGAACAAAGTAGGAAGATTTGGAGGGATGGATGGCTTGCCAGGCGAAAAGAAAACCGGAGAGAAAACCAAAGCTAAAGAAAGAATAGAGAAAAAAGAACACGAGTTTTTTCTTGTCGAAAAAAGGATAGTCACATCGCGCAAAAGGTACCTTTTTGATTTTTAATCGACTTGACCCGTTACAGATACACGCGGGATAAACCATAGTCTGGATGATGGATGCGGATGCAGGTGAGGATGCAATGATAGTGAGGGCTTTTCAGGCAAACGGAGAAAGAGAAAACCAAAGAAAAAATTGAAGACAAAAATATGTGGATTTCCCATCGATGAAACGATAGCCACCTCATTGATGCATGAATTCATAGCTCGAAGCATGTCTGCTCCATGTATCATTCGATCATCGAAAGCTAAAGAGAATCAAAAGACATATACAGTATAACTAAATTAAAATGATGCTACAGAAGAACGCCAAATTGACATTGACAATAGGCTTTTGCTGAAAGCTCTTTCCTCCCATTGAACTTTTCCATAACATCCAACATTCTCGAAAGAATAAATAACACCAAGCGAAAAGCTGCCAAATCCATCAAAGGAACACCATGTGACTGGTTTTGGCTCGCAAATTTTGGCGTGCGACTGGTTTTTTAGTTTGCCAAGAATTTTAAAATATTTGAGATAATCGATACAATGTAAGAAAGAATCAGACTCATTATACATCTCTCCTAGAATGAGTGGCGGTATTACATAAAAAAAAGAGATATCCATAGGAATTAGTTTTATGGGTTTCATAAGGTATCATGCTCGGTATAAAATTTTGCATGGATCAGGAGCGTCGATCGACACAACGTCGAACAGGATCGATGATATCGCCCGAGTTCCAATTACTTAATGTCATCACTGCCACCCACACCATACTAATATCAACAAGGCATTAGACCATCTCATTTCATCTCACAAAGGACCAACAAGCATAGAATTAGAGCTTACCAAATGACGCCAAAAATAATCAATGCAAAATCGGCAATGCGGCGACCAAGTGGGAGACATAAAGCTCTGAGGTGGAAAAGCGGCGGAAAGATGAAACACAAAGGAATGCAAAACAGAGCGCCGATCAGCGACACGAACTTGTCAAGCTTATCTTTGGACCCCACAATGGCGATCCAGGCGCACAGAAACACCACAATGACGCGGAACACGTTCTTTTGCCACTTGACCACCGCATTATTCTTTCCCGATCGCGTGGTGAACAATCCATTCTCCATGATACGGATAGCAGGAAACAGTTGAAGCGGAATCGAAAGACAGATGGCGAGTGAATAAAGGGTTTGAATGGAAGAAACCATGGGATCTTTGCTGGGCAGGTTCAGCAAAATAATGGTCTCCAGCGTGTCACCAAAAGTTAGGTATGATAAGGCCCCCATGGATATAAACAATAATGTAATGACAAACAAAGCACGCCTCAATACACGTGGGAATTGCTGAGGTTCCTTCATCGACTCGGTAATAGGGATAACTAAACAAAATAGACGGACAAATCGGTCAGGCCTCGAAGAAACAGAAACATAAAAATGGTGGGGAGGGAGAAGAACCGGGAGACTTACCGAGACCTATTCCTTCAAAGGTAAAGGCCGCTGTACCCAGAAAGAGTGGGAAATAATTGGGATTCCACCAAGCGACGTCGGCTATACCAACCGTAACCATTTCCCGGACATCGTAAAACACAATGTAAGATAGACCAATGACGATAAAGACATCGGCGATCAGGGCAAACACCGATAAGCGCTGGATTTTGCGGATCATGGCGAGCGGGATAAATGCAAAACTTTGAGCCAAAATCAGCAGGTGCATGGGGATCAACAGACGACACTTGGAAAAAGCCAATACGAGCGATTGCAAGTTTTCAGCGACGAACACCATGTAGGCACAAACAAATCCGATCTGTGACAAGGTAATGGCGAGCAGCACGGCCGTTCTCATTTTGGATCCGTATAAAACTCCGCCCATGTCACTGAAGCTCGCAGGTACAACCAGCCGCGTCTGCAACAGCAGTAAAAATGACCATAAAGAGATCAACGCCCAGGCAACAATGGCAATAATCGAAAACACAAGTCCACCGTTGGAGAATCTGAAGCAAGAGAAACAAAAAGGAGTCATTTTAAATTCAAGTAGGCGCGTTCAAGAAACACCAAATGGTTTCATCCTGGTTGGTGATTAAAAATACTCACGCTTTGGGCAAAAACATGATTCCTATATCAAGAAAAACCGAGCCATGACAGAGCGTCGAATCAAGGAAAAGTGAAAGCAAGAGAATATATAGAATTCAAAGAGGGAGAACCCCCATACGTCAGTCTACCCGTATATACGCATGGTTTTGTCTTTGTGTTTCCTCGTAATTACCTGTGGTGACAAAAGATTTCAACAATAGAAACATGGCTTTGCCGGGAGTCGCTTTCCCTTGCAATGTGTGACCGGGACGAGATCGGGATAACAGAGGCATGGATTCTCTGGCGTGAAGGTGACGGTATTGCAGAGGCTCGTGATGCGTATTCAAACGTTTGCGATTGGCTTCCGAGGATTTCCAGGGACGATGTGAGACAGCGGCGGCACTGGAAGTCGCGGGCATGGGTAACCCGGAGGTACTGTGATCGGAGACGCCACCGTACGAGGACGAGTACGAGCTTTGATTGAGCAGTGGCGCTCGATAGTTCATTGCATTTCTTTCCTGCATATTCCGAGATCCATCCTCCGTGTCACCCTCATCGTCCGAAGTTGTATAATCGTCGTCATCGGACGATTCTTCATCGTCACTCAAATCCTCTCCCCCAAAATGGCCATATAAACACAAGAATTCAACGAAGCTATTCGTTACAAAATTCGGCGGTTTCTTTCCTTGCATGGCGGCTTTGGTGAATACATAATGACGGCGGAATCCGCCTGGCTGTTTAAGCGACTGTAACAAAGGGTCGGTCACGACTTCCCTGACTGCAGGCAGCGAGACGGATTGCGTGCGTTGCCGGCATTGTTGCTTGTTCTCGACTTGAGCGGTCCACTTGTAAATCTCGTCTAGAATCGATCCTCCCGGTAAAAGATGGTGTGTGCTGTAAACGGAAGGGACTTCCTTCTTTTTGGTCTTTCGATGATGGTGATGTCTTCGCGATGGCGGTAAAGGAATTTGCGAAGACGAGGAAGACGACGCTTGTTCGTATGACTGGGAAGGTTGATACACCAAGTGACGTTTGACTACTTTTGCAACTTGTTCGACAGGCAAGTCGATGGTTAATGAACGCTCCATGAGCAAGAGGCCAAGAGTTCGATTGAACACGCACAAGTGTCTTTTCGAGAAATGTTGGCAAAAAGAACAAACAATACGCAGAAAACAATATAGCACTTATGCTGGTGGAGTAAGAAAAAATAAGGAAAAAAAAAAACCAACCACCAGACAACAGACACCCTCACCCACTCAGTACCCACAACCAACGTCACAAAACCTTCCCCACCCTCCCCATCCGCCCACTCAAAAACTTCCTGAACACACTGTCCTTCTTTTGTTCTCCTCTCCCATCTTTATCTTAGTAAAAAGCTTTTTAACAACTTTCTTGCATTTCGCCATTCATGTCATTAGCGGAAACCTCGCCTGTCGTTAGTCAGCAAAGATAATTGTCCATTTTTAGTCATGTTCAAACTTTGAAACCAGCGTATTAAGATTATTGGCTCTCGTATCTAGCTCATTTTCCCTTTATATTCACAGTGCGAAGTGCAGTGAAAATGCGATTCTTTTTTTTTTTTGTCAGAGGGCACGCTTCCTCTGCTGTGAAAGTCAAACGTGACACTGAAAGAGAAAAGAGCGATTTTTGAGTTATATGGCTGTGTATAGCTCCTTTCGATTCGATTCGATTCGATTAGATTAGATGGAGCAGCAACACTGCGGCTTTGAATCCAAGGAACCTCTTGTTGTTATGGTCTGGGATCACCAATGAAAGTTAGTTTCATCTGGTAGGTATACATAGTAAGTTTTGATTGCAACATCAAATGGGTGGGATATCTTCTATTCGTAAAATAGAATGCGTAAGGGAGGGTTGGGAAGTTGGGAATCAAACACTTAAAAGCGCAATCCGAGTTCGTATTTTAGAGCGGTCATTTGCTGAACGGTCAACTGTCCTGGAGCTGCTTTGTAGGGTAAACATGGATGGGTGGCCGGACTGAGGAATCGATTGACAGCACGGGAGAATCCGCCATGTTCCCCCATGTTGATGAGGATAATTTCGCCATCATCCTCTGGATCTACTTGTTGACGGAAATTTTCCAGCAGAATATTGTCATAGAACGAGTGAGCGAATCCCACAAGTTTAATGATGCCTTGATGCTGATGGGTCGTGAACAACGTTTTGGCCCGATCATAAATCGTTTGCATTTCACTCGAGTTCCATTGAATTAATCCTTGAGGGTCGTGGAAAGACGCGATCAGCTTGCTCTTGTAGTACTTGTTAATGGCAAAGATATTTTCCAATTCGGCCTCGGTCAAGGTAGTGAATTCAATGTCCACATACTCGCAACCCCAACAATGAGCCCACCGGATCAGATCCAGGTACAACTGCTTTTTTGCAGGATCAAATTGACCGGCTTGAGGGAAGGTGCGCACGGTAAAAATAATGGGGAAGGAAGGCGGAAGCAGAGTACGGAAAGTCGCCAGCTGATCCCCCACTGCAGAGATTGTATCGATAGTTTTGTCAAGTAGATCGACTCGAAATTCAATTGCATCGGCGCCTTCGATCCATTGTTTCATGAGGGACGAGGAAACCTCATTGTAATCCGGTACTGTGGGCGTAATGAAACAGCTGGCCTTTTCACCGGCAGGGACAAACCGGGGACCGCGGACCATCCGTTCCAAAAAGTCAAAGCCATTCTTGGCTTGTTTGTCTTCGCCGAGACGTTCCGGAACCGGACATTCGTACATCCCCGGCCACAGGTCAAGAGGTGATGTGCCTGCCACTTGAGGAAAACGGAAACAGAAAGAGGGAACATTGGTGGAAAGTGATTTTAGCTCGAATTCGTAATCATAGACGACGCAGCAGAACATGGATTTTTCTTCCGCCAACTTATCCATGCCTCCGGAGAGCGTATACTGATACTCGTTTGTTAGCTTCCATGCGATCTTATCATTCACACCTATACAGTCTGGGCTTGTAGTAATGACCAGGGGCGCTTTGAAGAGTTCCTTTGCAGTGGTCACGTGGTCAGGCGGTGGAGGGCCCGCCGTTAGCCCAACATGACGCGTAAGAATGTCTTCAATGGACTGATCATCCACGGTAGTGGCCTTTTTCTCGAGAGTGGTGCCGATGGAGGATAAAAGAACAATCTTCTTTCGAGCATCTTGATTTTTCTTATCAACCTTCATCGTATCCATGACATCCTGCAATGGTAACCGTTGTCGTGTAGCCGAATCAAAGGCGACAGGTAAACCGTAAGCCGCCAGACAATTTCGCAACCGTTCAACAGCCTGCTGGTCGCAGTGATTCAAATCGCATGCCAGTTGGGCTTCGGCTACCAAGCCGACAGAAACGCATTCGCCGTGTAACCAGTCGGGGCTAAGAATCTTCTCAAATGCATGGCCCAACGTGTGTCCAAAGTTCAAGAGTCCGCGCAATCCTCCTTCACGTTCATCGCTCGTTACGACGTGGGCCTTGACATTAACAGATGCCAAAATAATTTGCAACAAATAGGTTGCCGCATGACCTGACAAGCAACCTTCTTAGACAAATATAAACAAAAAATAAAAACAACGGATGGCAACCTACTATGCTGCGCTTCTTGAACGCTCTTTCGAACAAGATCAACATCCTTTTCCAATCGTTCAAAATCAGCCGCATTCCATATCGCTGCCGTCTATTGATGCCGTTTTTTTAGATTAGGTGTGAGAAATCATTAGTAGATGATCTCTCGGTTGCCGAGCCGAGTATTACTATACCTTGATTACTTCGGCCATGCCGTTGACAAATTCACGTTGGGGAAGTGTACTGAGAAAACTAATGTCCATGTAGATCCGTTTGGGTTGCCAAAAGGCCCCAATGAGGTTTTTTCCGTGAGGGGTATCAATGGCGGTCTTACCACCGATGCTGCTGTCCACCATAGCAAGTAAGGTGGTTGGAATTTGAATGACCGGGATGCCGCGCATAAAAGTAGCCGCAACATAGCCGACAAGGTCGCCTACCACACCACCACCGAGGGCCAGCAAACAAGTATCACGGTTGCACGCTTGTTCCAGCAAAAAATCTTCCAAGGCATCCTTTGTGGCGCGCGACTTGGATTGTTCCCCTGGCGGCACCACACGAGTCAGCAACCGCTGGGTTTTGCCGAGTTGCGTTTCAAACGCTGCCAACAGTGCCGTCAAGTGAAGCTTAGCTAGCGATGTATCGGTAACGATCACATAAGTCGATGCGGGTACGGCCTTGGTGACATCCTGTGCAATATGAGAAGCCAATCCCGACCCCAGATGAATGACATCAGGCACATTCAATACAGGCACTGTAACAATTTCAGAAGCTGTTGTGACCATTAGTAAAAGTAAAGAAAGAGAACCAATAAAAAAGAGAGGCAGAAGAAGAGGAAAGAAACCCAATTCTAAAAAAAAAGACGTACCAGTTATGGCATAAAGTGGATCTCAAAGTTACAAAAGGTGGAGGCTGTCACACTGAATTTATAGTTTGACTGCGCAAGGTAAACATTATCATCATATGAGATAGTGTATAGATCAACAAATAGTACGTCCTGTGTTTGTCTTCATAGACACTTTCATTGTCGAATGCCACAGAGACGTCAGTATCTCCATCTGTACTTGACAGGCAAGGTATTATATCCATCAATGAGGGTACAAGGAGATACTTTGTACATATTAGCATCCTTCTGGAAGAACATACCGCTTTGAGCGGTTTACTTGGCTTTTTGTATAACAGGTGATCATGTGCATTATTTATGACTGCATCGACATCATAAGAAGCTTCACAATGTCTGCTTTCGTTGCTGCGCTTATCATTGTGAACGCTCTTATTTATCAAATCAGTTACCAAAAGCTACCAAGCCAAAGTCCAAGGTTTTGTTTGTTTATTCGAGGGAATGAGAATACGCAAACCCGTTTCGTCAAACGAGAAAACGTCAATGCTATGTTTGCAATTTGCAGTAGTCTTGCTTTTGGGGGAACAAACTATCATGGTACGGTAGAATAGCGAGGAATAGGAGACTATATTTTGGATTGAATTACATAAAGAGATCGGTGCCTGTTTAGGCCATATAGAGATCGATCAACTCATCAGAGGCATTCAAATGATCCATTTGCTCCGAACATTCGAGCAGACCAAGTTTGATGACCGATTCGAGCAAAAGCAGCGATGTAGGGAATTGCACTGCTTCACTCAATTTCTTGCTGGCAGATTTGGCAGATTTCTTATTTTCTTGACCGTCTCCGTCACCATTCTCCTCCTCCTCTTCTTCTTCTTCTTCTTCGTCAAGCTCAGGATCATCACTCCACATCTCAATGGCAAACCAGTCGGCTTCTTGTAATTCGCTGCGCTCAATTTCGGGCTTGGCTTCTTTGGTAGTCAATGCGGTATCATCCTCGGTGGCGGACAGTTCCTTGGAAGGTTTAGCAACCTTTAAAACCAAGACGGGCGCTTTCGAATCCTCAATGTTCAGTAATTGGCCACTGCGGGTATAGTACATGCGCTTGACACTAGGCACTGAGAATGAAAGAGTTTTCCCGGTCTTTTGGCCTTGTTCCAATTCTTCGTGATATAATCCATCATCGAGGTCTTCAGTGATGTTAAGCGTATAGTCAATGGGATCATCGTTGGTCTTCTTTAGTTCCAGACTACATTTATGGAATTCTTCTTTCCAAGTAAATTCGGCGCCGGACGCCGCACGTACATTGGCGGCGAAAAGGCAATATAAACGAAGTTGAAAGTGATAATGACTCAGTCGTCCGTATCGAGCATCTTGAAGAATCGATGAGGTTTGCACAAGTTTGGATCGTGACACCATTGGTTTGTCGCGCTCTAAACTACGCAAAGCCAAATGCAGCGACGGCACCACATCGTCCACATTATCCAACAATCGCTTCAACCGCACAAGGATGTATTCCGTGTTATCTTTTTTCTGTGACAATTCTTCCTCCATTTCGGCCGTAAAAGCATCAATCTCTTGTTTAAGATCGCGGCACATCTCCAATGCAGGTTCCAAGTCGCGGTGACCATCGGCGACACTCCGCGAAATAATATCGATGGTGGGCTACGATTGACAAAGTTGTCAGCTTGGGAAGGTTATCCGACAAGGTGATTCCAATCCTCTTTTGTTACCTTTAAATTTTTGATTCTCAAGTCCAGTTGTCGCTGACGAAGCTCCAGCTCGCGTGTTTGGTGTTTGTTTTTCGGCTGAGTGGTTACATAGGCAGTGACATTGCGCTAATGAGGCCAATAATCCCGTCAGGCTCGGTTTCAACAAAAATGACGTGATATTGCAAGCACTTACAATGGCGGCATTGGTGGCATGGTTCAATGCAATTCGTGACACGGTGGTCACGGTGGTCATAGCCAACTTGCCAAATAGATCTTCCAACGATGACATTAACCAAGCAGTTGGTGGAAGAGAATCACTCGCAGGTCGAAAATTCAGTAAAACTGGCGGAACTTTTTTATGTTATCTGGCTTTTTTTTTTCAATTTCATATTGCTGCGGCTCCTTGTGCTCAGAGTCGTTATAACATCAGTGACAATCCGTTTAGTCTTCGAAAAACAAGACGACGGCAAGAATCTCTGATTTGATCAACATTCACCAAGCGGGGAACAAGACTTTCTTTCCGATGCATGCAGCCATAACAATGTTCCATGCATGGCGTCTGCAATGCAAGGCTTTTTTATCCAATGGTTGTCCGAGTTGATTGGTGGATAGAATGTTTCAGAACGACCATTCACTTGTTTCCATCAAAAAACGAGATTAGGATTTTTCACTATCCATCTCACCTAGGAAAGACTTAAGGCAATGATGGAGTACAATTTGGGACCCATTGGATTTGGATTTTATTTAAACAAATCCCTATAGCTTCGGACAGACTAGTTCCGAGAGAAACTAGGGTCAGTGGCTGGAAAGACAAAAATAAGAAAGCAATTTCGTTTTCCCCTGAAATAAGCTGACATCGACATTGTCATTTTATTACAAAGTACCAAACCTAGAGATGAATGATCAATGAAAAAATATTTGGTATTTTGAGAATCGGATAAAGGTGAGCGATAAACGTGCCACCAACTCCTTGCAATAGTGTTCCCTTTCAAGAATGGTTGGTACTCCGCTGCTGGAATTGAATCTCGCGTTTCGCATTTGTCCGAATCAGCAAGCCGATCCCTCATTGTGCACCGAAAAAGAAAGGGTTATCGATGGGAACGGGAGTTTTATGCAGCGCCTTGACCAACCCGCCCCAAAGACATTATCGGATTTTCCCGTTTCTTTTTTTTTTTATTTTTTTTACAGAAAGAAAAAAAAGCCTATAAATACTTTTGTCCATTAATCTTTCACTTTTCTTTACCGCGTCTTTTTACTGTATTCTTTCTTTGTCTTCGCTACTACTACTCGCGTGTAAACATGTCATCCACTCAACAAGCCGCAGACCCTCCGGTCGAGACCTTCCAAGAAGAAGTGGAACCGGGAAGAGTATTGACCATGCCTGCTGACGGTACCGGGTTGACCGTACTCGATCCCTGGTTAAAGCCATTTAGCAATGAATTGCGTCAAAGGTAACCTGGAAACTTCAGTTTCCCTCCGGTTGCGATGTTGAATGCAAGATGGGAATCACTGACAACTGTTCTTTTTTCTTCTTTTTTTTGGTGCTCTCGTAGATATGGATTCTTTAAGGAATGGAAATCGAGAATTGAGGAGTCAGCGGGTGGTTATGATACGTTTACAAAGGGATACGAGTATTTTGGATTCAATGTACTGCCCGATGGGACCATCACTTACCGAGAATGGGCGCCCAACGCTGAAACGGCCAGTTTGGTGGGCGATTTCAGTATGTCTACCTTTCCCGAATATGGATGGTTCATTGTCGTACCGAGCACTCATTGTTTGTTAAATAGACAATTGGGACGTAAACGCCAACCCCATGAAAAAGAACACTTTTGGTGTGTTTGAAATCGTCCTCAAGCCGCTTTCCGGCAACACCCCGAGAATTCCACACAACTCCAAAGTCAAGGTAAGCTTTTTCTTCTTTTGCAGATGTCTGCATTTGTCGCTCGATTGTTTTGCTTTTATGGTTGTGACTCTGACGCTAATCGGTGCCAAAAAAAATTCTAGATCACCATGACGCTTCCTGGCTCGGGAGAACGAATCTATCGCTTGCCAGCATGGATTCGACGGGTAACACAAGACTTGAGTGTGAGTCCGACCTACGAAGCTATCTTTTGGAACCCAGAGAAAAAGTACAAGTTCGTTAATCCTAAACCGAAACGTCCCGCCAGTCTTCGCGTCTATGAAGCCCACGGTAAGTCTCATTTTCCATGTTCCCTCTTCCTCAGGTTCCCCTTTCACCATGAATGACTTGCGGTGCTAATTATATTTCAATCAGTCGGTATCTCATCGTCGGAGCCTCGCGTGGCCACTTACAAAGAATTCACCAAGAACACCTTGCCTCGCATTGCCTATTTGGGTTACAACGCCATCCAGCTTATGGCTATCATGGAACATGCGTATTACGCTTCTTTCGGCTATCAAGTGACTTCCTTTTTCGCGCCCTCATCGCGTTATGGTACCCCCGAAGATTTGATGGAACTTGTCGATACCGCTCACAGTTACGGCATTACCGTCTTGTTGGATATCGTCCATTCTCACGCATGCAAAAACGTGGACGACGGTTTGAACATGTTTGACGGTAGCGATCACTGTTATTTCCATGAAGGTGGTAAAGGACGTCATGAACTTTGGGATTCGCGCTTGTTCAACTATGGCAACTATGAAGTTTTGCGTTTCTTAATGTCCAACTTGCGTTACTGGCTCGATGTTTACGGCTTTGATGGTTTCCGTTTCGATGGCGTCACCAGCATGCTTTACAAGCATCACGGTATTGGCTTTGGATTCTCGGGTGATTATCATGAATACTTTGGTGATTCCGTGGATCCCGAAGCCGTCATGTATCTTCAACTTGTCAACGACTTTTTGCACTCTCGTTACGCCAACATGATCACCATTGCAGAAGGTAAAAAAAAAAAAAAAAAAAAATCAACCTTGGATTGTCACAGAACCACAAAGAAAATAAAAATGTCAGGCCATCCTTATCTAACCTTGTACATACTTTTCCGTTGATAGACGTTTCGGGTATGCCCGGATCTTGTCGACCCGTTCGTGAAGGTGGTGTCGGCTTTGATTATCGTTTGGCCATGGCTATTCCCGATACTTGGATCAAGATGCTCAAAGAAGTATCCGATGATGATTGGAAAATGGGTCATCTCACTCACATTCTCACCAACCGTCGATATTTGGTAAACTTATAATAACTGGGAGTACGATGTTTCGAACAGCTCATTTATCGTTGCTTCTATTTCAAAGGAACCGACGATTGCTTACTGTGAATCGCACGATCAAGCCTTAGTCGGCGATAAGACAATCGCGTTCTGGTTGATGGATAAGGAAATGTACACAAACATGAGTGACTTGACAGAGCTCACCCCTATCATTGATCGTGGTATGGCTTTGCATAAAATGATCAGGTACGTCGATGCATCATGTTCATGCTTATCAAAGCCAATGGATTCCTAATATTTGTTGCTTTACGGCCTATAGATTGCTGACGCACGGTTTGGGCGGTGAAGGTTATTTGAATTTCGAAGGCAACGAATTTGGTCACCCTGAATGGCTGGATTTCCCTCGCGAGGGCAATAATTCGAGCTTCCATTACACTCGCCGACAGTGGAACGTGCTTGACGATAAATTGTTGCGATACAAATATCTGAATGAATGGGACCGCGCCATGCAACAAACCGAAGAAAAGTACGGTTGGTTACACGCTCCGCAAGCGTACGTCTCACGCAAACATGAAGGAGATAAGGTTATCGTGTTTGAACGAGCGGGAGTCTTGTTCATCTTCAACTTTCATCCTACACAATCGTTTACCGACTACCGTGTGGGAGTGAACGAACCCGGCAAATACAAGATCGTCCTTGATTCGGATGATAAGAAATATCTCGGTCACGGAAGAGTCGACGACAACACCGATTTCTTCACCACACCCGGCAACTGGGATAATCGTCAGAATTGGTTGCAGGTGTACATTCCCAACCGCACCGCCTTGGTTTTGGCAAAGGCAAACTAGCCCAGCCGTCATCGATAACCCTACTTTGCATTATGTGTTCTTAAAAAAAGGCACACACGAAAAATAAAAATAAAGCTCACTGTGTTCATTCTGTTTGTTTCATTATATACAACGTTCCCTACTTCACCTTGCTTTTTGTCTATTTGCCGATTTGACCCATTTTGCACGCTGTGGGACACACATACCCCGGTTTTTTCCTAAGAACTTACACGTAAAATGAGACCAACCCATAGAACAAAGCGATATGAAAATGCGGAACATACAGTTGGTGAGGGCAGCGGACAATTTTCTGTACGTAATACTCTAGCAAGTCAGGCCATTTCGAACCGTTGTACTATTTTTACCTATCCATAACGCTGATTTCATCCAACATCCAACATCCAACATCCTGCTTCATATATTGGAGATACTATTCTAAAATGCAAAAAGTTCGAATCAATTTAGTTTCTACTTTTCAGATGTGAATGATAACAAGATAACCAAATGAGGAAAACACCTTTTAAGACCGTCTTCTGGCCAATCACCAATGAGGTCATTGAATTTGTAGGCCCGCTTCCCAGGAGGATCTGACGTCCGTACGACCTTCTCACCCAAAGCTTATGTATTGTTTGCTCGAGTGGATAAGGTTAGAATTCATTCAATCAGGTTATGTCCAGCTAACCAATACTGTGACTCTATTTAAGAGTACGTGGAGATTTCACATGCAGACACTATATTTGATCAAATTTTGCATTAAACACCAACCTTTTTCTTTTTTTTTTTCCCATCTTCCATTTCATCTGTAACATCCCCTTTATCATTTTATCATTCGTTTATTTTCCATACAATGGAACCGTGCAATCAATTTACAGTAGTGCCGTTGGACGACAAATTCGTGCTTCCGGGTGTCATTACTCGGATTGTCATCCAAGGCACAGAAGCCATGGCGTTAACAAAAAACCATTTTCGAGCCGCCAAACATGACCAGATCTTTTTGTTCGCATGCGTATTGCTGTCACCAAAAACTGCCAGTGATGCATTCGCGGATACACCCGATGATCATCACGTACCCTGCCATGTCCCCCTGTTCCCAATGAGCAATGTGTCAAACATGGACTATGCAAAACGAGACGGCCAACGCTTGGTTCCTGCAGCCGCTCAACGACGCATTTTATCACATGGTTGTCTAGCACGCATTGTTCGAGTTCAGAAACTGGATAAAGAGAAATTTGGGTTGTTCATTCAAGGCATGTCACGGTTTAAATTGGAGATGCTGCTTCCTCATGAAGACGGTCTCACTGCACGTGTAACGATCATCCATGATATCACAACGTCAAGTACAAAAGAAACGATGGATGAACTTCGACATACGGGTGCGCAGATATTAGCCCGTGCGCCCAGTTTGCAAATCCCTTCACCAACTCAGCGTCAATTAAGTAGCATTTTGTCATCCAACAATGCATCCTGGCCGACGCAAGCCGTTACGGTAGCAGAGATACTAGCCACCATTGCAGACATCTCTCTGGAAGAAAAATTGGAGATACTACAGCTAAGAGAAACAGGTCATCGGATAATGACCGTGGTGAAATGGGCCAAACGGTCTTTGAATGCAAGTTGCGCCATCCAAAATAATCCTCTGCAACCACCTAACGTGCTGTCTTTGCATATTGACGCTGTAGACTGTGCATCTTACAGAACGAATCTATGCCACGGTGTATGCCAATGTCAGTCAACAACAGCGCGAATTTTTTCTTCATCAACAGGTACCGCCTTGCCTGAATCATCCTGATCGAATAATGACCATGTGACTATGATACGGTGATAGATGGATAACCTGCAGTCTCAACTGGATGACGGGGAGGAACAAGACGATGACACGATATTGGACTTGAAGACTCTGCATACGAAGTTGGTGGAAGCGTCCATGCCAGAGAAAGCTGTCGCGGTAGCTCAACGTGAGTTGCGGCGTCTCAAGCAATTGCAACCGACGTCAGGCGAATGGATGATCACCTACACTTATTTGGATTGGATGGCCCACTTGCCATGGAACCACACCTCAAACGATAGAGTGAATATCATGGAAATAAGAAAACAACTGGATGATGATCATTTTGGGTAAGCCTTGATGCATTGCATAAATTTTTATTCTGTGTTACTTAAAAAGTTGGCAGTCTGAATCATGTAAAGAAGCGGATTGTTGATTATCTATCCATTCGACGTATGATTGACCAGCGCCGGTCACCTATTTTATGTCTGGTCGGACCAGTAAGTCAATTCACGTCATGTTTTTCTCCACTCTCTTACCAAAGTATCAGCCAGGTGTAGGGAAAACCTCGGTGGCGCTCAGCATTGCATCAGCCTTGGGTCGACGGTTTCATCGCATATCTTTAGGTGGGGTTCGAGATGAAGCAGTTATACGGTAAGACGCTTTTTGACAGATATCAACCATGGATGGCATGTCTAAATTCGATATAGAGGCCATCGACGGACGTACGTGGGTGCCATCCCAGGCGTCATTATTCAGGGTGTACGACGGTGCGATGTAAAGAATCCACTTTTCTTGTTAGGTAAATGAATTATTCAATACCTTTTACCTTTATGCTTGCAAACCTAAAATCCATTGACATCAAAATTAGATGAAATTGATAAATTGGGTGACTCCAATAGGAGCGGCAGACCAGGTAACAGAAGAGATATCAATTAATGTATTTTCAGAATGAAGACAAAGTATTGACTGGGATGGTACAGCGGCAGCCTTACTTGAGGTGCTGGATCCGGAACAAAATGAGACCTTTACCGATCATTATCTTGGTGTTGCGTTTGATCTGTCGCAAGTTCTGTTTATTGCAACAGCGAACAATCTCAACGCAATCCCGCCGCCTTTGCTGGATCGGATGGAAGTAATTCGTTTGGGCGGTTATACCTTGGACGAAAAGCAAGCGATTGCGCGAAATCATCTGCTCCCCAAACAAATGAAAGAGCATGGACTCTACGAGCATCAATTGGTCATTGACGATCACGTTTTGTCCATCATTGCCGAACAGTATACAAGCGAAAGCGGTGTTCGTGGATTAGAGAGAAGACTCGCCGCCGTTGTACGCGCCAAGTGCATGGAACTAGCAGAACTGCATCCCATAAACGATAGCAAACAATACAATCCGTATGTCACTGAAGTCGATGTTGAAAGTATACTTGGGGTAAGCTGATATTCACGCGTGCCTATACCAGCTAAGAGATTCTCATCCATCCAAAAAAAAAAAAAAAAAAATAGGGACCACTTGACAGAGTGCTCAAACTAGAAACGGCCCATGTGGGCTCGGTGACTAGTCTAATGTACTTGAGCAGCGGTCAAGGTACTGTTGCCTTTGTGGAAACGGCAAGAATGCCAGGAAGTGGCAAGCTTGTAGTGACGGGGTCAGTGGATGAAGCGACCAAGGAATCCGTCATGATTGCATTATCTTGGATCAAATCCCACGCTCCTCCCCTGGGACTCACTTTATCCCGATATGCCAATATAACCGATAACCAGGCAATCCATGTTCATTTCTCGAATAAATCATCGTACCATCATAGTGCAGACGCAGGTAAGTCCATCTTGCACACCAGCACCAGTAACTCCTCTTTATTTCCCCACAACATTCAATGATGTATGTGTAGGTGTTGCCATTGCCATAGCCCTCATCTCATTATTTTCTGGATCCATGCTATCCACGTCGTTAGCCATCACGGGAGAACTCACACTTCAGGGAAATATACTTCCCGTAAAAGATGTAAAAGAAAGAGTGGTGGCTGCCCATCAGGCTGGTATACAAAAGATCATTCTTCCGCTACGAAATCAACCACATGTTCTTGCCTCCATCCCCGAATCCATTCGACATAAAATGCAGTTTGTCTATTGCAAAAATATTTGGGAGGCCATCCAAGCCTCGTTCAATCCTTCGTTAAAGATCATCAACTACGATTCATCCCGAGCTCGGGAAAGCCATTTGTAAAATATAAATATACCCGCCATGACCAGAAAAAAAACTTGTCTCTTGCACCTGTTTCGCTCCGTCTCAAAATCATCCAAAATATTCATGATGAATGGACTCGATAGGCGACGTTGAATAATATATTGTGTGTGTATATTCGTTGTGCGTCTCATGAAAACTCTAACTCTTTTTTTTTCTGACAGTTGTGGGCGGAGGGGTTTATTTGGTCTTGATCATTCTCAAGGGACCGGGAGAATATTTGTAGTTATCTGCGTATGCCTTCTTGACCCACTTGACGGCCTTCGGTTCTTGGACATAGTAGTTCCAGCCTGGACAGAAAGTTTAAGTTCAATGTTAAATTGCAATCATGGTAATTACTTCAATTCAATTTGTATTGCTGTCAGGCTTTTTTTTTACCTTGCTTTTCAGCGAAACGAATGGCCGATTCTTTGGATGTGAATTTGATGGCAAGAGCTTGCTGATAATCGGCACTAGAACGCGGTAAGGAGGTAACGAGAAAAAAGTATGTTGTTTTGAGTTTGCGAGAACGTAGAGAAAAGTTCAAATGGATTGGTCTGTATTACCTTGAAGCCCAACCAATGAGAGGATTTTCCCAACGGTTACCCTCTTCCAAGATGTCGAAATCGATACGCCAGTGTCTTGTGCCGTTTTTGCCGCTTTGAGTAGCGGTTTTGGAGGGGCTGAAGATGCGGACGGAACGTTCAAGGAGTTCCTCTAAAAGTGAATGAGTTAGGTGAGTGATAACTGTAGACTTCATAAAGGCCGCCATGGAAGTTTGTGGGATGCTTTACCAGGAGCTCCGGAAACGGCGTCGACGCTGACAACAGGTTGGTTATCGGCGTGAGTCACGGCTTTGCTTTGGCTGGAAGCGTAACGGAGAGCGACGGCAGGTCGAATGAATGAACGAGCTGCGGCCGCACCAGCTTTCACGATGAGTGGGGAGGACATTTTTATTGAAACAAGAAAAGCGGAGAGGATAAGCGATACACCTGTTTGGTGGTCTATAATTTTTTTTAATTTTTTGTTTGTTTACTGGCCAATCCGACGGACATTCGGGTCTGTAAAAAAACGCGCCTTCACCTTTTGCACCCAAAATCATTCGAACCCCCCACACGTCATCATCAAAAACAAAAAAATTTGTCACTGGCAATTTTTTCAAGCGCAGCTTACCAGAAAAGACTTGGATGTGGTCTTTGGTGTTGCCTTGGGCGACATGGAGGAACAGAACCCAGAACTAATCTGGCAGACCAGAGTTGATGTACGTCATGAGAATACGATTCATACTTACTGCCGTGTCATTATTCAGTCCCTAAAGCTAGTACGACAGAGAATCCAGTTTTTCGTATGTCTGCGTCTTTTTTTTTGGCGGCATTATGATGCGTAGTGATGCGTAGTGATGCGTAGGGAGTGATCCTATCATTCCCCACACTCCTTCTAAGCTTCCAAATTTCGTAACTTCACACTTCGTATAATACGCTATGATTAAAGTTGGCTTAGTTAATACACGGAGTTCTATAATTTCTACCAACTGCAAAATCGCAGGAACATTTGTGACCTGTCTCCAAGGAAACGGAAATAACTCCACGCCCATTATTCGTACATAGGTTGCAAAAATTGAGGATGTTTAGCATTCTACCGCAAAACATTCGACAAGACATATATTTTTACCAACTCGATGCGGTGCGACTGATTTTGCTCCCAACTTGTGTGAGTTCTTCAAACTCGTGTCGGTAACCGTGCGCTTGTCCCGCACATGAGAGTTCCATTTATAACTCTGGAAAGCTGTATATAATCACAAGTTGTGTATCTCAGTACTGTAAATTATGTCAGATCGCCCACGAATTCACGGAATTAAAAATGGATGTACTTGCTTGTAATCCATCTGAATCGCACCTTAAAGCAGCAGCTATAGCATCTCAAATACTGAAAATCATCGCCTACAATAATTCTTTTGTGTCATTGCCCATTCTTGACCTTATCGCAAAGGAACGTCCTTTGATCTGCCTTGGTTCGGATATTTTCTCGGAATCACCGCCAACTAAAAAAAGGTATCTGTTGATCGTTGTCACGGTAATGTACATACTGTACCACTCGAAAAGCGGATCTTAGGATGCTTCACATATTTGAGCATAGGCATTGACCCAGAAATGTGGCTTGAGTGACACAAAGTGCTGTGGCACTTGGAATTGCATCATTTTGATCATCAATGGAAGAATAATCAGCGTTTTTACGTGATTGGAAATAACCTTTTGACTACAAAAATGCCCGATAGATAAATTGTCAAGAAATAAATAAGAAAATGTGCATACCGCACAAACACAATCCACAAAACATGAATAAAAAATGGAAAAAAAGGGGGGGGGGAAGAAGATCTAGCTTGATTTGTAAGCATAAATTGGTAATCATAGATCATAAAGCATGGAGCATAAATCATAGGGCATAGATCATAAGCATAAAGTTTGAAACCGGACGTGTGTATCTGATAGTGTTGATACGATTACTGATAGGATGAATCTGGTTGACGAGTTAATTCAACCCCACCCAATAGTGACCGTGCGTGATGTGGGTCTTGCAGCATCTTCTCAAAACGAGATTCATTTTTCTCGACCACCAATGCTTTGAGCCAACGGATCTCACGTTCCAGCTCTTGTACGCGTGCTTCCAGACGTATCGATTTTTCTGTCATTTCATTGGCCGTTCGTTGCAATGCTTGTTCGCGCATCTTCTTTTTGATTCGAAAACGAGCACTTGCGGCTGTATTGCGTCTACGCTTGTCATCCTTGGATGATGACCGCTCGCCATGGTGCCCATCTCGTTCATCGCCTATACTGCCGTTGGCACCACTGCTTCCTCCACTCTCTTCTTCATCCGTGCCAGAGTAAAGACTTTGATTGGAAGACGAGGGCACGATTTCAGGTGAAATACTTCGTGGGAACATCTTTTGCACCGACTTCTCTTTTTCTCCAGCATAGTTCGGTCTAGAATCGAAATGAGTCGGGTTCGGTAACGTATCATCGAGTAACGGCAGACTGCTGCTGTCCAGCATCATGTTCCAAAATCTCTCCATATCGGGTTTGGGTGAGCTGGCAGCGGAGGAACTTGTGGCCGACGGTGCCGTGGGTGGTCGATACGCCGTCGGCATGGATCCCGTCAAAGACGCGTGGTGAATGTTTTCCGTTGTCATGGCGTAGTATTCTATAGTTTACATGGTACGCGAATCGACGCGTTTTCGTCAATTCATTCCCGAAAAATGGGACTTGTCTTGTCTTCACTTACGTTGCATTGACGCACCACTATTTGAAGATACATCCCCCACTTGAAGGCGGTGAAATTCGTCAAAGGTACGTAGAGCATGCTTTTTGGGAACGTCATGGTGCGCATGACAGAAACAGGTTTTATTGACATCATCCGCTTTATTACGGTTGCTGCTCTCGCCAGAGTTGCCCGTTGCAAGGGATACATACGGAATCGAGCTATTCAACTGCTTCAATTCGAATTGATACATTACTTGAGGTATATGGAGTCCCACCAATGACCAACTAATATACCTGCTCCTCTCGTTGATAACTCATGATTTTTTTCCCCGGAAAGATAGGTCTACACGCAGTACCAAAAAAGATGAACAAGAAAAGGGAGCAGAGGGATAAAAATAAAAGAAGAAAAAAATGCCAAAATCAAAACGATGGCGCAAGTGCAGGCACAAAAAAACTTTCTAGTTTTAATTGGAGAGATTCTGGTTACGCTTTTTTCAACCAAGGTTACATAAACGAACAAGGGAAAAAGGGAGAGGCAGGCATCGTTAAAAAAAAGTCATCATTCATACCATTTACAGCTTAGATAAAGTGTCTATTGTCTGAAAAATGAACATGAACGAGATTGATTGGAGAATCACTCGCATGCGAGATGGATTACAAATCACGTCATTGCCCCCCATGGTTTTGTTCGCAGCAGTCATTACCATATAGGGTATCTGAGTCTTTACAAAGCGGATTCTTTTTTTCTTTTATTGGTAAAGGGTAACTGGCAAAAAATGCTAATAGGATGATGACAGGAGAAATAATAACGCAAAAAGAAGAAGAACGAAGGTGGAAGATAGAAAAGAAGGAGAGAAGGGATTTAAGAAGGAAAGCTCAAAGGTGAAGAACTATCACCGATCGTATAAAAAGAATGCACGGATTATCTAGTGTGTAAGAATGCAGTAAAAAATATAGCAAAAAAAAAAAAAAGGGTAAAAATGACAGGCAACTATTCGTTCTACTTTGAGTGAATGCCGTAGTCCCAGATCCTCACGTCGCCATCATCGGATGCAGATACAATCTTTGTATCGCTTAATGCAACAGCAGTGACAGGACCATTGTGGCCTTCCAAATGATGCATACACCGTCCGCTTTCGGTATCCCAGACCCGGATGGTTTTGTCGTGCGAACCAGATACGATGCGAAGTTTATCGTAAGCCAAGCTCCACACGCCTTCCACATGTCCAAAAAGAGTTCGAAGGCAGGTGCCGGTGGCGACGTCCCATAATTTGATCGTGTTATCCAGGGATCCGGAAAGGACAATCGGAGCATCGGATGAAGAACAACTACTGCTGGTATCCATGGTGTCCGGCGTTGCACTGCGGCGATTACTCGTGGTGGCACATCCAGGCTGAAATCCGGTGGTATTGGCGCCTCGCATCGTCGTAACACCCGATGAGGCTTGCTGCTGTTGTGCACTGGTCCGCTGAGCTTGCTGAAGCACCGATGCATCAATGTCAAATTGATGCGTGAAACCAATCGGACTTGGTAATGCCACTTGCACTTGTCCAACGTGACCACGGAACACACGGAGACATTCGCGTGTTTGAAGATCCCATAAACGAATCGTGGCATCGTCACTGCCAGACACCAGCATGTTTTCACGGAAAAGACGAACGGAATTCACCCATTCCGTGTGGCCGGTCAAGGTACAGCATTCGCCGGCCTGAAAGTTCCATACACGAATTGTTCGATCGGTCGATCCACTTGCCAGTATCCGCGAATCAAAATGCAAGCTCAAAACACCGCCGGTGTGGCCTTCGAGGGTTCGTATACATTGGCCGGTGTGCCAATTCCAAATCTTCAAGGTATTATCCATGGCTCCCGTAACAAGCTTGGCGTCATCAAACTGAAGTGCACGAACGCACCGGGTATGACCTGTGAGTACGCGAACCTCTTGCCCTGTTTCCATATTCCACACACGAACGGTTTTGTCATACGAGCCGGTCATTAGCACATTCATTAAATCGCAAAACTGTACACACATCACGCCATCGGTGTGACCGCTTAATACACGCAATCTGTATTTGTCGTTGCGCCAATTTCGTTCGACAATGAGCCGTTCGCTGTAAACATCCTTCCAAGGTCGTCTAGCCATTTTAGGCGTGGCGATTGGAGAAGCTTCTGTAGCCGAGGAAGACGAGGCGGGGTAAATATTGTTGCCATCAATCGCTTCGACCGACGACCCGTAACTGGTCTTTGCTCGTTTGGGGGAAGGTGTAGGATCGAAGGTGGTGGAGGGGCCACACGCTGTGCGGAGAGGTGATTCATTCACAGAGACCGGAATGGTGGCCGATATTGGCCGTTTTCGTACCGCCGCGGATCGTTTTTTATCCAGCAGAGGTAATCCCCATCCACATTTGGCGCATTTCTTATCAATGTGTTGCTCGCACATGCGATGCCACAGGGTGTCGTCATCGGCCAATTGTTTCCACGTTTGCGATACTTGTGCGGCGTGACAAAGTGATTTGGCGTCTAGGTAAGAGAAGACTTGGAGCGAGACTTCGCGCGGTAGAATGGAAATAAAATCGATCCGTAACAAAGGTTTGATAGCGTCATGCAAGAACGACAATTGAGGCATACAGCATGTTGACAAGATGCCTTTAAGAATGAGCGTACGCTGATCGGCCGGAGCGGCGGAGAAAAGCGACCAGATGTGCGTAATGGCCACCCGATCGGCAGTAGGTAACTTTTCCATTTGCTGAAAGTTAAAGGGAGAAGAAGAAAAAGGACAAAGGTCAATAATCTGTATGGGTTTAAAAGCACTGTTAGTCGTTTTACCTTTTGTACATCTTGAAAATTAAAAGAATCAGGCATCCTTTTCCGGACAAGGTCAGGACGATGCCGATAACACAGCTTTTGCGGATTGGCGACTTGCGATGGAACGTAGCGGGACAAAAAATCGTGAATGGCAGATCCCTGATCGTCTGCGAGGTCAGTCTGCTCCTTGGTTTGAATGAACGGCTCTGACATGTTGGTCACGGAGGAGGAGGATAGTAAGGAAGTGAACACCTGAAGGGTTAGACTGAAACCAACCAAAAAGAAAAAAGTGAATGAAAAGATGAACCAATCACGCCAATAAACAGTCACGGTTACACAAAGCTTGTTTTTGACCGGCTTTTGAGAACCCTGCCGATGCAGATGACGAAGGAGTGCCTACCTTGGTCGATTTTGTTATTTAGGTTTGAACATTGTAATCTCACATGGATTAAAACTTACTACTTGATCACCAACTTGAGCACAATTATATAGGCTGTGGATATAAAGAGTGCACTATATGTGTAGTTGTGGCACAGAAACCTTGTGTTTATGCAAACTCTGTTAAGGCGCCAACAAGGGGGTCCAATTGCGTGGGAAGAGATTGCTTTATGCTTGATCATGCCATACTGTTGAAAATGACTGCATACAATAAATGAATGATGACAGAAATCACAAGGAAGGATAACGTGTGAAACATGTGGCAGGTAAATAGACCGAAATTGTTTATGCCACCGTTATTGAACATAACATCACAGATATTACACAAACGGTGGTGCCACCCACGACAGGTTACAGAAATCTATTGATATAATAATCCTTTGAACTGCTTTGAATGGGGAATAGACATGCCAAATGAAAACGGTCGGTAAGTAATTAATACAGCCCCACATGGATGTCAACCATTTGCCTTGTCGTTCCTGAAAATTCCAATAAACTCCGTACGTTTCCTTTTTCATTGTTTCTCCGCCAAAAAAAAATCGTGGAAGCAAGTCATCATTTGCTGTATGGACCAAGGCCACCCTCGGAAGCATATAGTGACAGGAATACAGTAGTAATACCAGATACAGGATTCTCATTATCTTTTATTGTTGTTTTTTAAGAGACAGTGGTGCCAAGAGATGAGATGGAATAACAGCAAAAAATGAAGGAAACAACCTCACGTATTAATTTCCATCGGCGGATTACATCGACTTCTAACATGGTACAGTAATAGTGTCAATCCAAGTTTTATTTTTATAAGAAGTCTAGTAACCTAGTATTCCAATGAATAATGATTGCAGAAGTTACTTGATACATACAACAGTCACCTCGTTGTGGTGATTGTCTGTTTGTGAAAAAGAATGATTGTACATAATTACAATGCATTAAATGAGTTGTTTATTGATTTTTCTTCTCTTTTCTTTTGAAAGGCACTGGTGGTTAGTACTATGTAACTTTTTTGATGGACTTTTTCATGCAACAGATGGAGAATAATACTTTGGGAGGGTGAGTTTAAAGGTGAAATGAATAAAATGGGGCAAAAAAAAAGATGGAGAATATGCTATGATAAATCGTTTAGTTTTGCTTCCAAGGCCGAGATGGTTTCTTTGGCTTTAACTCGCCAATCCACATCTGATTTGTCAATGATAACTTGCGTGCTCGGATCTTGCTTGTCTTCAACAATCACATGATGGCTTTCTTCCCAGACTTCAACCCGTGGATGAAGAGGAACCGATATTTCTTGTTCTGAAGTGGTCGCTTTGTCTTGTATGTAAGTCTCCATCGTCGTCGTCTTGTCATCTGTAGCTTCTAGTGCCGGCACAGGTTTACTGGTGATATCACTGATATGGGCCGCTGCCGGTTCCTTGGGCTGTTTGCGAAACAGATGTCGCAAGGATTTGCCTTGGGCCGGCGTGGGGACGGAAAGGTGTTGTTGCTGATTTTGGGTGCTGCCACCACTGTCGTTGCTAGTGTTACTGCTGGCACTGTTGTACCGTTTTCCATTCACGTCGTCCAACGGCTTGCCCTTCATGGCAGGCGATTCTTTCTGATGTCTGCTCTGACGAGTTTTGGTATTGGTGTCCGACACATCCTGCTTTTCGCTGTAGGAGCGTGGCTTGACAGGCTCAATGAAACGGATCGCTTGGTTTTCAAGCGTGGTGGCACTGCCGTGACGCATATCTTCTTGGCGAAAGGACGACGAGAATACTTGTGGGCTGCTTACACGCGAATGGGATCCCCCGTTCCTTGATAGGTCGTCCGGTAGGAAATCTTCTTCGGCGTCGGAAGGTTCATCATGAATGTCGACGGCCAAATCCGCATGGTGATCAATGACCAACGTTGTACCACTGTCATGCTCCTTCTGCTGTAAATCATGCTGAATCGTGTTGAATAATGTGTTACGCTGAAGCTGGGTCATATCTTTGCTGGGACGATACCGTAAGTCTTCTTCACTGCGTCGACTAGCGTGTTGTCCAAATTGCAATTTTGGAAGCCGCAGTACCTGGCTGCTGGTGATGCTTGTCATGGAGAGGGTGCGCGTACGGATCCGTTTTCCAAGTTTGAACAGAGGAATCGTGGTACCATGCACTAGTACCGAGGACAAGACGATGAAAAGAACGACGGGGTTAATGACTTTGACCGACACCGGCATTTCCGGCTGTCCTTGATAGATTTTCTCCATTTGTTCTTTGGCAATTTTGGACAGAAAGACGGCACCGACCCCCATGGGGCCGAACCAACCACTGAACGCTGCTTCTCGGTAGGTCATCATGGCTGGCATCACAGGTTTAAGCAGAAGCACGATGGGCAGACGACGGAACAGGAGAATCATGATCGCGATCACCACCAGTCGCCAAGTGGCAAGTCCTAAACTGGCATCGCCGAAATCGTGCCACGGCTAAATGAATCATAGGTTACCATAAACAGCAATTGAGACGAAACATTTTCCGACCTCCCCCTCATCCAATGCATGAAATACTTGCAATGATCGCTCCAATATAGACAAAGATGGATAAGTTGAGCATCATATCAATGACATCTTGGAAATGGGCTTCCTCGGTTTGTGATCGAAACCAGTCATCCCATGAAAATGCGTTTCCTGCTGCAAAACAAGCTAGCACATCGTCGCTGCCTGAGAATCCGGTCATACTCATTAAAAACAACTAGAGGAATTTTCCAATGACAGGTTGAGTATGCCGATCAGCAGATTTGAGTAACGAAACAGTGTTATACTCAAACTTCGATCCATATTTTTTTTTGACTTACCGCCAAAGCAATGGCAAAAGATAAAAAGGAGGGTTTGTCAATCAAGTGACTATTTGTTCGTTCAATGAGTTGTTGGTCGGTTACAATGTAATATACTTTTTTATGATATCTTGTTGCCAAAGAAACTTACTTGCGTTCGGACCATTGCAAAATTTTGCGTGCGATCCATCCGACAACGATGCCAATGACGCATGACAAGGCGATCTGGAAGAGACAAGTTTCATAAATCCATTTGCCGATAGCCACTCCCACGTTGTCTTCACCAATAAGAAAAATGGCTAAAAATAAAAAGGGGAACCCCATCCCATCGTTGGCGCCACTATTATAGCCGGTGGATTTTGGTATCAGTTTCTGACAGCGTATTCACTTTTTCTCCTTGGTTACAGAGCGATGGATACCTTTCCGCTGAGAGAGCGTTTCGAATATGAGCTGGCACGTGTTTTTCGGCAAAACGTCCTTTGACTACTGAGTTGGCCAGAATCTGGATAAAATAACATATTTGAGTTTATGTAATTATTTTTTTCTGCCCATGGACAGTCCAAATGGAGTGGGTGCATACAGGGTCTGTGGGGCAAACGCATGCAGCAATCACCAATGACTCTAACTAAAAAAGAATTATACCAAAAAGAAACAAAAAAATGATTAGATTTACGGGGATAACTGAGGGGTCAGTTGCAGTAGATCAAAAAGAAAGAAAGTAAGAAGGAAGGAAGGTGAGAAACGGGAGCTTACATAGTTGATAGGTGGCACCATCCACCAGATAAATAGTCCGCTAACGAGCCACATGAAGATCATGACAGGTAACAACAGCATCAGCATGGTAAGCCATTCCTTCTTTAAATAATGCCTATTTTTTTCTATCATGTTACGTTTTGTTATGCCAAGACATTTGGGGGAAAAAAGGGTGATTCAAAAAAAAATCACACTGTACTTTGGTAATTCAATGCCGACAGCCATCACCTAATACTTGCAAGATAAATCATTTGATATTCTGCAAAAAGCAAGTGGGCACCGCCGCAACAGCGGCGTGTCAGACGTTAAAAAAAATAATACCTGGATAGCAATAATACATCGTGACAGTTGCTTAGTGATTTCATCGTTATCCTTCCAATTGTATGGATTAATTGCATTGGATACCAGCGGACCTGCAATAATGCCGACAATAACAGCGACAACTATGCGAATCCGGTATCGGTTAACAAAAAATAATGAGATGGATATATTCCCGGTACACGGTTTACGTACACGCTTCGGAGAGAAAACATCGTTCTTTGAGGAACATGGATACGAAGCCAAAGAAAACGATAAATCCGCTAAGGACTGCGATAGCCACCGTGAAAGCTGAAAACTCGCCCGGTATCAAATCGACAGACATCGTATACTGCGCAAGAGGCGAATCGGTCGACTGGTCTGTAAAAATACGGGCAAAAAATGGAACAGAAAATGATAAGAAACAAAAGAGAAAAGAATACCAATGGTATATAAAAGATCAAAGTAAGAGAAAAAGGAAAGGAAAGCGACGCCCAACATATTTCGCAATGGGCTGGGATTTAATTATCCAGATGGATTACGTCGTTGGTTCAGGGACATAACAAAAGCGTTCCCAATTTATACTTTACATATTGCATGTATTTTCTTGTCCTTTTTTTTCCCTTCTACACAGCACTAGTTATTTCCGTTGTCATTTCTAGACCGTTATGAAGTCAGTTCATTGTATTTTCAATCACGGTCGCTTTGATGATCAGTATACCCTGGAATTGGACGGTTTCGTATGTTGTCATTTTTGCTTTTGTTTTTTTTTTTTTTTTTTCGTTTTGTCTCTCATTTGTCGAGACGCAGCAAATTCATTAGTTTTCTTTTTATTTTGGTAGATTTCGCAGCAAGAATACTTTGCCACCATGAATTCATTCAATAATGTCGCTCGACGCCACCGACCACCACCGTCGCTGCAATCCGGAGTGTCGACGGGTTTGATTGTATGCATCGGCACCACCATGATTAGTGCTGTGATTGTGGCGATGCGATATCAACAACCGATGCCACTGGTGATGTCGCTTCCTTTGTTGCTTTTACTGTTGAGTGTAACCATTGTAGCATGGCGACGGAGGCAGAAAGCCAAGGTAAATCCGACATTATGAATAAAGATGACAAAACACATTAATTGACATTTCGAATAGTTTGAATGCGCTATATTGCATTTGTGTTCTTGCATGAATGCTACAGAAAATGTGCGTGGTATTAACTATCGACTTTCGAAATTACCTCCTGAACAATGTGTGTCTTTGCCGATGTCTGTTCCTCAAACTTTAACAAGATCCGGCTATTCTTATGCAAGTACTTCCTGCAGATCGTTTTTGGTTTCCTTTTTTTCTCTTATTATTGGGGATCCGGTTTGTTTTAACCCTGTGATTTCTGGTGGGGAATTTGCATTTCCCCCTTGTTTTCGTTTTTATCACCCAATTTTTTTTTTCTTGCGTCTACCCCTTAAACTCTTTTTTTTCTTTGCTTTTTTTTCATTAATCTTATGCTTTTGGTTTACTTTAATTCTTTTTTATGCTGCAGAGTATGTTTTATTGGACAGTCAGAATTTATACGTGCTTGTTGTTTTATAGGCCATCACCATTGAATTTGACGATAGATATAATTTATTACACCATTTTGCAAACAACAGCAACAACAACCATCCGTTGAAAGGCTTCCAGCCATCGAATCACCTCCTTCCATCGTACAGTCTCCCCTCCACCTCCCCACCTTCTTATCCACAGTCACACGTTTACCCCCAATGGCCAGCCCACGCGTATCAACCCGATGAAAAGATCTAAATCACCGCTTTTCACTCTCATCTCTTATTCCGCGCACTTTGCCCTCGTTAACACCTTTTCACAGTTAAACATCGCTATGCGTAATACCATACAGTCTGTGACTTTTTGACCGTAGAAATACAGTGCCTTGCTTTAATTATTGCTCAAAAATCACATGTTCTCAGCTGCCTCAGTTTGTGCTGCGCCGATCGAAGCAAAAGTGCCATGGATGCTTCTTTTGATAATCCGAAAACAACTTGCATACAAAATTTCTATTGAATGATGGTTAATGCCGTATTTGCGGATGATCACCGCTGCATGCAAGGAATTCCAGATACCCTGTGCCAATACAGTATCGTATAGGACTGTGGGGTACTGCTTTTAAAGTTGTACATGCATGATCATTGCTCTTTTCGTTTGATGAACGGGGTTTTCTGTAATGGATGGTGATGCCATGAAACTTGTAACCTTTTTTTTTAATTTTGATGCTGAAACGGTTCCAGAAGTTGTTGCTGATAAAAATGGGTTCTATTCAGTGGAGGAGGCTTCTTATTTGAGTGCAGGATCTGAGACACGTTATGCCAGGGCACTGGGATCCAATGAGCAGATAAAATACAGTTTATCCAACTGGAAGCCACAAACATTTAAAATCAAATGATAAAAGCGGAGAAGTAGCCATCCAGATATGAGTGGTCAGAGAGATAAAAGGCTAAAAGAAGGATAACAAGTCAGATTGTGTAGTCAAAGAAAAGTAAAGTGGACAGTCAATATGGCAGTGTATCAGTATTTATATGTTACTCAATTGCCTGTAAATATGGACAGCCCCCAAACTAAGGGACAATGGCAGGCTATTCAGTGTCATTAAGCGTAGGTCTACGTGCAATGCACTGTAACAAAAGTAGGGCGACAATACAAGCAGGATACAAGAAGCCAGCTGGAATGAGATTTCAGTTTCTGCAATAACTACCAAAATTTTTTTGTTGAAAAAAAACGATCCAAAAAAAATCATCGGGTTTTCAAAATCAGGAAAGGTGATTCATGTTGACAATGACCTGAACAAAACTTTTTTCGGAAACCCAACCGTGAATCGCTCGCCAACAGATTGGGTGATTTGAGAAAATCACGCCATGTGGAATGGCTGCAGTTTTCCTTTTCCTTGTCTTTCTGCCACAAGATGTAGCATTCATTCCAGCCACTTTTTTTCCCGTTAAATAAAAGAAAACAAGTGTTTCATCTTCGATTACAATCATTGTTTGATTCGTATCATATGTTTGGCTGCAACGACTTTTGACTGAGCACCAGGAAAATAGTCAATGTCCATGGCATGGGGTGCTTGTCTCATTCGGATCTACGGCCATTCAACGGTACTGGCATCATCGGGATGAAGTGTCAGCATCAGACGTCTTGGTAAAAAGCGGGTTATGCCACTGGTATGGTAGCAATGATAGGGGCATTACCGGAGAAACTGGCGGAACAAGAGCGATATCACGGATCCGGTCTTTATTCCGTATTGAAACACATGCAGAAATACATTTACCTAAATTGATCTATCCTATATCACGTTTATTAATCTGGAGTTTTATATCCTTACACTGTAGGCAATGGCATTCAATCGCTCGCTGGTTACAAAACTTTTGCACGGTTCCACGTTTCATCTCGCATTTGTATCCGGGAGACCAGTGTACACTACTGCTTTTAATCTGAAGCCTATTTATCCCCTCTTTAAGCATTAATAAATCTTTCTATGCTGTATCAAAAGTTTTTCGCAACAGTGAGTCAATGGGTCCGTTGAACGGTTGTGGTGACGGTGATGCAGTGCCCTGAAAAAAAATGGAGCAAGCGCAAAAGGTGATTGGAAATCACCCGGGGCAATTGAATCCACGATTAAATGTTATTGGAAGATGGCGCTGGGATGACGTATACTTTATATGGTGCGCGGGAACGTGATTGGTTCAATTGATAAGTGTGGTGGGTTTTGGGTAGTTGACGAGTGTTGCACTCAACTGATCCCCCAGCACACACACACACACTGAACCTCAGCCCTTCCTCACATATAATTTTTTTTATATAACTCTTTTTTGGGTACTTTTTTTTCTCTCCTCCCTTTCTCCCCTTTTCTCTTTATCACTCGTCTCCTTGTATACACATACAAACACCCACACACATCTGTTCACCTAAATCAACAGTTTCAACTCACATCAACTACACACCCAACTCACATCTTACCCGCAGCAGTTGGTTTTTTTCTACATCTCCAATTTTTTTCTTTTTTTTCTTTCTTTTTCTTGCAAGCGTTCTATTGCTAGCAGATTTTTACCTTCCCCCCAAAAAATAGTCGTTTACTGTTCTCCATCGTTACCATCTGACCATGCGAGAACCCAACTTGTCTTTCCCTGCCCAAAGTCGAGCCGCCGTTTGCATTACTTCGGCTCTTTATGATAGAAGAGCTCTCGATTGCACCGCCACTTTGCCGCTTATTAATTCGCTTACTCATCTGGCTTATCTTACTTCTACCTCGCCTCGCATTAGAGAAATCCTAGTGCTGGATGGAGGCCTGGAACGGTTGGTGCGCATCTTGTCTCCTCAACACCAGTATACCGATCGCCGAAGCTTGTGGAAATGGTCATTGGCGTTCCAGTGCATCGTCAATGTCGGCGTCAGAGGCACCGAACAGATTCGAACCAAAGTCGTCGAAGCAGGCACCATCCCCATTGTGCTGCGTGTGCTCGAAAATTTTCTCAAAGCACTCGAATTAGTCCGACAGGACAAGCGAGGCGACAGTGCATCCCTTTTGCGAAGAACCGCCTTCCACGCCGATACAATGACCAACAATCATTCATTATTAGGTTGGTATTCCGACTGTATTGCAGCGCATCACCTGAAAAATAAAGAAGCAGAGGAACAGAAATACTAATTTTGAGGTTTGTATTTTAGCCACCACCGCTCCACAAACTGTATTTTCACCATCGTCGAACCTTGAATCAGCTTCCTCATGTACAACAACCACATCTTCATCCAACACGTCTACTACTGCTGCTTCCTCTTCTTCTTCTTCTTCTTCTTCTTCCCCTTCGTCATCATCATCGATACCCTCTTCTCATGCCGATTCGGCTTCACGGCCACAGCGTACTACTACTTCGTCCGTCATCCGACGATCGACTTTTCCCTATGTGAAGATGGACCCCGCGCAACGGCGACGTAACCGGGTTAACAGGGAAACAAGCCGTTCTGTATCGACTTGGCAGGATCCAAGGGTGCCTCACATTGATAACATTTTTTACCGAGAGGAAGATATCCTCTTGTCTCTGCAATTGCTTGCCTACCTCTCCAAATATCCCCACATCCGCAATTTATTCCATACCGCCTATGATCGCAATGTATTTTCAGTCGTGGAAAAATTCTGCCATCGCTTGCACCCCAACGCCATTCAGTATTGGGCAGGTGTAATTATGCGGAATGCATGCCGGAAAGATGAAACACGAGGCGGCACTCGTCGATGTGCCAACATGGCTTGTGGGAAATGGGAAACTCAGCCGCGTGAATTTGCCAAATGTCGCCGGTGTCGCAAAGCCAAATACTGCAGCAAGGATTGCCAGAGCAAAGCATGGACGGATGGTCACCGTTGGTGGTGTGTGGAACGTCACGCCACCGCTCCGAGAGAAGGCGAGCAAGGCGAATCGACTCGACCGTCCGCGACCTCAGTGCCGTCAGCATCACAACAAGTCATGGCGGATGCACCGGCTGAATCCAGCGATTCCGCTACCGACAGTAATAACGATCACCAACGAAGCAATGCTATTGTCGTTAGCAACCTGCCTTCGTCGTTATCCAGTCACGGTCACAGCGATATGACGATGATCGAGCAAGACCTTGGTGATCGTACCCAACCTGGTTCAGCTGAACGGTCAGAAAGCCGAGGTCTTATTATGGATATGGGTGTTCATATGGAATTGTGAATTCAATCTATGGTTGTATACGTACATTCTCTCTAGTTAACTTTTTTTTTTCTTTTCCTGCTATCTTTCTATCTTTTTATCTCTCTTGTTTTGATGCTCATTTGTTTCTTTCATTTATCCTATCCTCTTCTTTTTTTTTATCCAGTTTTTTTATATGCTTATTGTTCTTTTGGTTCTTTTTTTTTATTCCGCATCTTATTATGATCATCATAACGACGATGAAGTTCATTTTCGTTGCCGGATGTGCTTGATCAAACCTTGCACTTAAAGTTTTACATCAAATTCACCGCTAGTTTGGATTCCCTCTCATTCCCTTCTCACCCCCCTTTTTTTTCGGCGTTAGTTGCGTTATTTCAATTAACCACTTATATTTATTAAGACTGATTCAAGAAAAACGCTGCTTGCAAGCCCAAAAAAAAAGAAACTTGCTCCCTTCTATATTTTTGACGTGTTTGGCTCATGGATAGAATATGGTGCGATACATATTGCTTCTTCGGAGGCACAGCGTTGCCTATCCAGTTTCAGAACGGTTGGTGACCATGGCATGGCGGCACCAAGACGACCCGCATTTCCCACGGGACCAGGTTGCCTCTTCTGTTTCATGTTACAGCTTTACTGCGAATATAAGGAAAAATAAAAAAAGGTGGCTCTCATCACTTGAATCGCTCTGCAAAAATTGGCCAATAGACGTTTATGGTAAAAAGTGCAAGTCATCTGGTCCAGGCCTTGTCTCCACGCCAGTATCCGCCAAAGATCGTCTCGTATCACTTGCAGCAAGATCCATGACTTGCACATATGCCATTACAGGCCACTTGTTATGTCATCATGATACCAAAAATAGAGACCGCTTCAACTGACACGCACACGGTTACAGGCCATCCATCTGGTTCACAAAAACGCGCAGTTGCAGCTGATATGCGGTTGCGTTTTACGCAATGTCACGCGGATAGCCGCTTAAGCCGTTAAAGTCGTCCCAAGAACTCTTGCAAAGACTATTATCAAACGGAGACATGAATCGGCCGGCTGCGTGTTCTCGGCAGATTTTTACTGTATGATCATATTAGTTTCGCGCTTATATAATTGAATAGATGATGTATAAAGTGTACATTGTAGGTTCCAATGATTCGAGATCGCATTATCTGATCGCACTGATATAACTGTTACGCTCGGGTCGAGTTTGTGACGTAGCATGCAATTTAATTTGGTGCCCGCCGACTTACGATTCTGCGACTTTTCCGTTCCTTTTTCTTTTTCTATTGGCTTGTCCGAGTTGTCCTGACTGCCATGGCAGAGAAACCGTTACCTGTCACGCCTTCAGCGCCTTCAGGGTCGTCATCTTGGCCTCTTTCCAGTTCGGGCACGACAACACTACCTTCCATGGCTCCTCGTGACGAGATCGCTCGCTCACTGGCTCCGCTTATTGCTGTGGTAGCGAGTCAGGATGCAGAAGAAATTTGTCAAAGCAATCATATTCCTACCTTTGCCGATTTTATCAAACCTTTCGGCAATATGATTCAAGGCCGAGGTTTGCCTTAACCAATGCGCTTTGTTACAGCATGCCATGTGCTTATTTCTGTCCATTGTCTTGTAGTTTCGCCTCGCGACTGGCAAGGCACGCCCATCGCCATCGATAATTTCAACGTCCGCTTCAGACGTATCGACCGTCTCGACGAACCCAACGCTTCATCCTTACTCAGTGTTGTCAGCGATTACGTGAAAGCGTCCCATGAGCCCAAAGATTCCACTCAACAGCAGCAACATATCAAAACACGTGCCGATGTGGGCGACGCTTATCTCGACAGTAAGCCCTAAAAGTTTGTGATGTGTCATGCCTCCCCGTGTTGCTCAAAAATTGTATCCTGCCATAGCCCCACTGGACATGGTGACACCGTGGTATGCCGATTTCCGTCGTTTAATTCTCTCCTATCGAGGCATTGCCGAGCACGAAACGTTTGATCATCCTGTAGCGACCCTGATCGTCATTTCCTCCGCCAACCCAGATCCTATGGGAACCATTATGCAGTTGTACAATCCTAATATTCCTTCATTCACCGTCGACAAGCCTTATGTGGATCCTAATATTTTACGTTTCTACCTTCTCCTTCACGACCCTCATAAAACGACACTGGAACAGTAAGTGATTGGATAACTTTCAACTCGTTCATGCAGAAAGAGATGACTCATTTTAGTTGGGCTTGATCACAGCTCCCAGAGTGTATTTGAAAAGATGAAGCGGACCTTTGGTCTACATTGTCACATGCTGACCATCAATTCCCGACCTCGACCGCCAGCGACAGATTTCTTTGATGAGTTGGCGAACAATGATGTGATGGCCGAAGATCACATACGCATGATCTGGGAAAAGGAATTAAATGAATCTCAATCTATTGAAACAAAGCTTCAGATGTATGCGGACCAACCCAACTTTTCGCATCAGAGCCAGTTAGTCCCGCTCTCACCGGCGTTATCGGGCGCCAGCTCAGATTTGGTCCGTTCGAACGCTACCTCACCTTCTATCAGTGGACTGCCGAGCAATACCGTTCATTCCACTGATCTTCAGGTGGGTCCGCTGGAGATGAATGAATCAGATGAGGCGTTATCTTCCAAACCATCACCCACCGAAGGACAACTCATCAGTGATGCCGATTCTCCCGCTGTGCAGTACGGACGATATTTCACTGACGATGATATCGAAGCCACACGGTCCATGGTCAAAGAACTCGTGGTGCAAAGTCTGATCCCGTTTATGGAAAGAAACATCCAACACTGGAATGAACAGGTGGCATCAGCGCGACGTGGATTAACCGGTCGATTATTTGGTGCGAGTCGTCGTTTCTTTGGTACATCCTCACGCACCGCGTCTCCTCAGTCCATGCAAACCATTCCCGCCACCGGTCCCAATGTACCGCCAGGCATGACGACTGTGATGATGTATGTAGGTGTAATCGACTCGTGCACACAGCAGCAGAGCAATACATCCATCGGACAGAAAAAATATAAATAGTGGCGATGATTGTATTGATATGGATGGTTCTGGCTTGTTAGATACCCTTACGCTGCACCTGAGGCTCAAATGAGAAAACTGGCCGATTACGCTTTCATGATTCGTGACTACAAATTTGCACACGCCATTTACGATACCGTTCGCCGTGACTATGCAACTGAAAAGGCATACAAATACCATGCTGGTACACAGGTACATTTGGGCATATGTGCAGGCTGCTACGACGTTGGAGGTTGATTTGGGATGCTTGGTGTGTAGGAAATGATTGGCCTCTGCCAACTGATCATGAATCAACCGTTGGCAAGTAAAAATGATGTGGACCGTAATTTCGAATTGGCAGTCCAGCAGTATCTTGGTCGTTGCCGATCGCCATTCTATGCCACGCGGACGACTGTCATGTACTACGAGCTCCTGAAAGCGCGACGCATGTGGCGAGAAATACCTACCGCATTAGTGAGAATGACCGGCGAAGATTCGGATTTAAGGTCAGCCCTGTTTCTTGAGCAGGCGGCACATTGCTTCTTGAGAGCGCCTCGACCTTTAGTTCGAAAATATGGCTTTCATCTAGTCATGGCAGGGCATCGGTATGGCAAGGCAGCTCAGGTAAGTGACCGTGAGATTGGCGTGTAATGTTCGTATTTCAATACTAAATCAACCATCCTTCAGCGTCACCATGCATTTCGATGTTATAAAATGGCATCGTTTATATTGACTGGAGACCAGTGGTCGGTTGCCAAGAACCATGTCCAGTTTGCTCTCGGACGACAAGCATTCCATCTCGGTCATTTGGAAGAAGCAGTGTCCTATTTTGCGGATGTGTTGGCCGACACGAAGCAAACACCACAACAACAACTGGCTCACGTACGCGAATTTTTGTTTATCTACCGAGTAAGTGCCGTGGAGTAGTTACGTCCTGTGTGAAAAGGAAAACGACGGGTGCTAACAAAGATGCACAGCAATATACATCTCAAGCTGGCATTGACCCACTCAAAGTGTCATTGCCACACCTTGCGTTGCCGACTATCTTTGATCAGATGATTCGAATCAACCTTTTCAACAGTCAATCCAATACCGAGACGCAAGAAGAGTGGGCTGCCATGGAAATGGAACTGTTGGAAGAGAATATCACTAGTGGCTATATTGCGAAATCCAAGAAAGCATTGGCTATTGAACAACAAGACGATAATCGAGTCGTATGTGCTGTAGGAGGTAAAAATTATAAATCGCAACACCCATTGTCGGCCATTGTCACGCTAACAGAAGGATGGTTCTAGAACCGGCCATGGCCCACATTACACTTTACAATCCGTTACAAATTTCTATCCAACTAAGTCATCTTGTTTTGGGATGCAAACATCGTGCTTCTACGCAACGTGATACAAAAGAGGAAGCGGACGGAACCGCCGATCTTGATGAAACCATGCCTCAGGGTACACCTGTCACGGGAACGGATATGTTGAGTTACGGCGACTTCGAGCTTCAAGCGATTCCCGACATCACACTCGAACCGCTCGAACAACGAACGGTAGGGATCGATCATTTGCTTCACAACGACTACCATGCACGAAACAGACACTGATACTGTGATGATCTTGTTAGCTCCATCTGGCCATCGTTCCTCGGCGCGAAGGATCTCTCAAAGTAACCGGGCTTCATTACACATTGAACGATCTGGTACACTCGTTCCGACCTTTCCATAAAAAGGGCAGACGATTGAATGCAACTAAAGAGCAGCGCATGACGCCGACTTACGCTCCCGATCGTACACTGGATATTCTTGTAACATCTCCCATGCCGTTGTTAGATGTTGCGTTTCATCAGATCCCCGAAACCATCCTTTCCGGCGAAGTCGTACAAGCTGTTCTCGAAATCAATAATAGAGGTCATAAAGGTCTCACAGCGCTACGCATGAAATCAAGTCATCCAAGCTTTATCTGTGTGGGGCAACCCGATGAGTTGGGCAAACGCATTTACAGTAAGTCGCTTTTATTGTCCTTTCCCAAAAGTCATCGTTCTGACGAGGTTTGCACAAATTGTAACTGCAGCTGAGAAGGACAAGGGAGGTAGTGAAACATGTCATATAGATAACCGTATCTATGACTCGAGCGTCATTTCTATCCCTCTACCCTCCGAGAACGATCGTCCCGGCATTGTCGGCCCAGGTCATACAACGCTTGTACCGCTGTGGATTCGTGGCGATCGGATCGGAAAACACTCGTTCAAATTTTTGTTTTCTTATCAGTCTGAGGTAATCAATGACAATCCAAGGAAGAAAGACAAGGGAAAACAAAATGTCAACTCAACAGAGATTTTGAATCTACAGGAAGAGAATACCGCCATTGCACATCGTACGCTACGGTATGCTCTGGGTGTTCAGGTATTACCCTCGTTAAAGATCAACGCATTTACCCGACCGAGCACGACTGGCACCAATGAATTCATTCTGGGTATTGAGGTAACGGCTGTCTCACTGCATATAGCGCATCAAGTTGATAATGTTCTGAATTATTCACGGCGGTTGATAGATTGAAAACTTGCAAACGGTGGCAAATTTTGACCTTACCCAGCTGACACTCGCCAGTCCTGCATGGACCATCGTTCCGCTAAGTATTAATATGGAATCAAAGTAAGATAATGATAGGTGATCCGACTGTCATCAACTGATTTGTTATCTAACGTCATGTATTTTTGCTAGAGACGATATTCAAGAAAAAGCAACAGTGCCGGCACGACAAACGTCATTTGCTTACTATAAAATCAAGCGAATCGAGAGTGTTGATTTGGCCAAACACAGTGATTCGCCCGAAGCATGGACTTCGAATGCTCTGGAAGCATTGTTGAACAATGATGCCGACCGGTCAGTCGCACCACCGCCCCTGGATTTGCATATCAGCAAGCTGGCATTCGTAAGTTTTTGGTAGTCAAGGCATCTTACCGCAGGAACCATAGTAACAAAACCATAATGTTTCACAGAAAGGATCTGGCATCGCTTTTGATACGGCACCCTTGAAATCGTTTGCTTTCAATTCGCGCATGCACTGGCGATTATCGAATCTGAAATCGACATTTCCAAATATCGCGGAAGATCAGTACGGCAAGCGATTCACTATGTATACCACGAATGATGTGGATCTGACCATTTATTGGGACGTTTCTAATATGCAACGACATGGACATCATTATATTATTGGCGTTAATTTGGGTGTGGTTCAAAACCCATTCCAAGGAACCATAGGTGGTGCAGGTCGAAAGTCAACAAGTCGAACCATGTTTGAAGCCACAGCCAAAGAACGGACGGCACTGATCGCTAGTCTTACCAAGAACAAAGCATTACAGGACGAAAGTCCCATCAAGCTCATGGTGAAAGCCATTGACCGGTACGAGCATGACTTCAACGTCAAAGGGTAGGTAGCGCGATATATGAATACCGTTCATTGAAAGGTTATTAATGTATCGTACCTATCATATCAGTCACTTGAGAGTCCCCATTGAGATTGTGCTCAGGAATTGCTCCTGGAACAAGACGACCAATTATACGTTACAGATGATTTCCTGGTCCGATAGTAAGGCGATGCAATCGCCGAAAATGTAAGTTATCCCTTGGGAGGAGGTTTCTTTCAAAAAGAGAGACCTTGACTGGATGGTAACATATTTTTGGTTTAGCAAACCAACATTCAATATTCATCCATTCCATTGGAGTGGTACCACTGTATTCAGTGGTGTTCTGGAACCGGATGGGACTGAAACTGTACAAGCTTACGCGATATTCCAAGCCGCTGGCGTTTACGATATCAATCGATGGAAACTCACCATGCATACCTGTCAGGACGGATTGGCTTTAGAGGATGTGGAGCACTTTGTGCATCTGCCGAATCTTTCGCATATTATCACGATCGGGGACACGTCTTGAGAAGGAGAGACTACGGTTTCTAAACCAAACAAAAATTTGTACAGTCATTTCAAAGAGTAAAAAGTCGTTGGTTTGGAATTTCAAAAAAAAAAAAAAAAAAAAAAAGTGTGTTCATCCAGCCATGAAACCGTGTTCGTCATGCGATGAACCCTCGCTATTTACTGGTTGCTCCAAATGCAAAGTATCGTACGCGTACGCTTCATCAGTCATCGTCATTAATGATTCTTTTCCCAAAGCTTATTTTGTTTTATGTTGCTCTTGACAACTGACCAGAACTGCTCCATAGCGTTTAATTCAGGTGAATACGGAGGAGGATAAACGTACCTGTATCCATGGGAGTTAATATACTTTCCTACGTCGGCTGAACTATTGATAGAAGTTTTATCCATGGAAAGATAGTGTCCTTCATTTCCGGATATTTGTCCATTTCATCATGCATCGCCCTCAAGAAACTCACACAATACATGTCAACTGTCGCTGGCTGCAACCTATCAGTTGCACACTCAAATTTCCTCTTTTCTAGAACTCTCAAACCGACGTTAATTAAACCATTTGCGGATATTACCTTCCCCTAAAATTGGATGTTGCGTTCGCTGTAGTTGTAGACACTGTAACTATTGCAGGGAAGCCCTTCTTTGAAACCACACCCTGGTTTCAGAATACAGGCCGATGGCGGCTCGGTTGGTTTTTCGGCATGTAGACGTAGGGAGCGCCGGATACTTCAATCATCTGTTGTTGTTTGTTTTATCAATTTCTATGTAATGTGGAAGACTGCTTTTATCAAGAAATCACAGTTTGTTGCGAAATCCGGGTCACTATGTTCACTATTTCTTCGACAGACTGAAATTGTGCTTGTTTAATGGATAGATGACATTGAGCAGTGCTACGAGGAACATTGAGATCTACAAAGCTCTGCTCCAAAATTTCTATCATTTGAGTCACAGCAGAAGGATTCTTAATTAAATTAATCAAAGGGTGTCTTTTATGCTCTTTCTCAAGAATATGACATCAGCATGTTTTCTCTTCTTTTCTAAAATGCTCTCAGAACCTTCAAATAACGTTTGAATCTTTGAGCTGCACGACTGCGTGAATACCCAGTTGTTTCGCAGCAACAGAAGCATTCAAGCGTTTGTGGAGAAACAAATAAAAAAATCTAAGTTTTTCCATGGACTGGGAAACTGTATAAGCAAAGCTTGCCACATGACTCCACGCCAACGCTCATTGTCCTTTCATCTGCAACTGGATGCACAGGGATTCATTGGTCTCTCTGGAGTTTTTATTCATTAGGAGAATGCTTCATATAGCAAATAACTCGTCGTCAACAACTAAGATCATGCGCTCATTTTCATATTCATCATGCTCCTGCCCATCGTAGTGAAGGGAGCACATATCCATAGCTCAGCTGACATAGAAAAGTACCAATTCTCGTGGATACAGGCACGTTTACCTTCCTCCGTATTCACCTGAATTAAACTCTACTGATAACAGCTCCGATCAATTGTCAAGAGCAACGTGAAATGAAATAAAGTTTTGGAAAAAGAAACATTAATGACGAGGCCTGTTGAAGCGTGTAATATTCTGCTTTTGAGCTTCGTTTCTCATTGTGCAAAGTGGTTTGACAGGTGCCTCCACGGCAAAGATAAGAGAAAAATGCTGTTCGCACCCATCACCAGCCAATTTGGCCGGTGTTTCCGCACCCAAAGTTTTTTTCGTTTTTATTTGGGCTGTCCGCACCCATCACCAGCCAAAATTGGCTGGTGTTTCCGCATCCAAGTTTTTTTCGTTTTTTATTTGGCCTGTCCGCACCCATCACCAGCCAATTTGGCTGACGTTTCCGCACCCGTTTTTTTTGTTTTTTATTTGGCCTGTCCGCACCCATCAGCAGCCAGTTTGGCTGACGTTTCCGCACCCGTTTTTTTCGTTTTTTACTTGGCCTGTCCGCACCCATCACCAGCCAATTTGGCTGACGTTTCCGCACCCAAAGTTTTCTTCGTTTTTTACTTGGCCTGTCCGCACCCATCACCAGCCAATTTGGCTGACGTTTCCGCACCCGTTTTTTTGGTTTTTTATTTGGCCTGTCCGCACCCATCAGCAGCCAATTTGGCTGACGTTTCCGCACCCGTTTTTTTTCGTTTTTTACTTGGCCTGTCCGCACCCATCACCAGCCAATTTGGCTGGTGTTTCCGCACCCAAAGTTTTTTTCGTTTTTATTTGGGCTGTCCGCACCCATCACCAGCCAAAATTGGCTGGTGTTTCCGCATCCAAGTTTTTTTCGTTTTTTATTTGGCCTGTCCGCACCCATCACCAGCCAATTTGGCTGACGTTTCCGCACCCAAAGTTTTTTTCGTTTTTTACTTGGCCTGTCCGCACCCATCACCAGCCAATTTGGCTGGTGTTTCCGCACCCAAGTTTTTTTCGTTTTTTATTTGGGCTGTCCGCACCCATCAGCAGCCAATTTGGCTGACGTTTCCGCACCCGTTTTTTTCGTTTTTATTTGGCCTGTCCGCACCCATCAGCAGCCAATTTGGCTGGTGTTTCTGCACCCAAAAATTTTTTTTTTTGTTTTGTACTTGGCCTGTCCGCACCCATCAGCAGCCAATTTGGCTGACGTTTCCGCACCCAAGTTTTTTTCGTTTTTTATTTGGGCTGTCCGCACCCATCACCAGCCAATTTGGCTGGTGTTTCCGCACCCGTTTTTTTCGTTTTTTACTTGGCCTGTCCGCACCCATCACCAGCCAATTTGGCTGACGTTTCCGCACCCGTTTTTTTGGTTTTTTATTTGGCCTGTCCGCACCCATCAGCAGCCAGTTTGGCTGACGTTTCCGCACCCGTTTTTTTCGTTTTTTACTTGGCCTGTCCGCACCCATCACCAGCCAATTTGGCTGACGTTTCCGCACCCGTTTTTTTGGTTTTTTATTTGGCCTGTCCGCACCCATCAGCAGCCAGTTTGGCTGACGTTTCCGCACCCGTTTTTTTCGTTTTTTACTTGGCCTGTCCGCACCCATCACCAGCCAATTTGGCTGACGTTTCCGCACCCAAAGTTTTCTTCGTTTTTTACTTGGCCTGTCCGCACCCATCACCAGCCAATTTGGCTGACGTTTCCGCACCCGTTTTTTTGGTTTTTTATTTGGCCTGTCCGCACCCATCAGCAGCCAATTTGGCTGACGTTTCCGCACCCGTTTTTTTCGTTTTTTACTTGGCCTGTCCGCACCCATCACCAGCCAATTTGGCTGACGTTTCCGCACCCAAAGTTTTTTTCGTTTTTTACTTGGCCTGTCCGCACCCATCAGCAGCCAATTTGGCTGGTGTTTCCGCACCCAAAAAATTTTTTTTTTGTTTTTTATTTGGGCTGTCCACACCCATCAGCAGCCAATTTGGCTGACGTTTCCGCACCCGTTTTTTTCGTTTTTTATTTGAGCTGTCCGCACCCATCACCAGCCAATTTGGCTGACGTTTCCGCACCCAAAGTTTTTTTTGTTTTTTATTTGGGCTGTCCACACCCATCACCAGCCAATTTGGCTGACGTTTCCGCACCCGTTTTTTTCGTTTTTTATTTGAGCTGTCCGCACCCATCACCAGCCAATTTGGCTGACGTTTCCGCACCCAAAGTTTTTTTCGTTTTTTACTTGGCCTGTCCGCACCCATCACCAGCCAATTTGGCTGGTGTTTCCGCACCCAAGTTTTTTTCGTTTTTTATTTGGGCTGTCCGCACCCATCACCAGCCAATTTGGCTGACGTTTCCGCACCCGTTTTTTTGGTTTTTTATTTGGCCTGTCCGCACCCATCAGCAGCCAATTTGGCTGACGTTTCCGCACCCGTTTTTTTTCGTTTTTTACTTGGCCTGTCCGCACCCATCACCAGCCAATTTGGCTGACGTTTCCGCACCCAAAGTTTTTTTCGTTTTTTACTTGGCCTGTCCGCACCCATCAGCAGCCAATTTGGCTGGTGTTTCCGCACCCAAAAAAATTTTTTTTTGTTTTTTATTTGGGCTGTCCACACCCATCAGCAGCCAATTTGGCTGACGTTTCCGCACCCGTTTTTTTCGTTTTTTATTTGAGCTGTCCGCACCCATCACCAGCCAATTTGGCTGACGTTTCCGCACCCAAAGTTTTTTTTGTTTTTTATTTGGGCTGTCCACACCCATCACCAGCCAATTTGGCTGGTGTTTCCGCACCCAAAATTTTTGTTTTGTTTTTTATTTGAGCTGTCCGCACCCATCACCAGCCAATTTGGCTGGCGTTTCCGCACCCAAAGTTTTTTTCTTTGGGCGGTCCACACTCATGCCGTTTTCGGCCCGCACACTTTGTGTGATGATGTCATTGGCAATTTTTTACTCAACCCTTTTTATTGTATTTATTGGAGGTTCCCACGTTTCTTCTTGTTCTTCATAGCAAATACCAGAGAAAAGCCCACTTTGAAACGGTAAACGCTGGAGGGTCCAGTTGTGAAGAACAATGACTTAAGCCTAAATATTTGCAAATAAGCAAGAAGCCATATAAATTGCGCAGTTTTCAAATGAAGAGTTTTCAGTTTCGAAGCAACTTTTAGAACCATCGTGGACGGTCCCATGTGTTTTCAGGCGAACGTCTTGACGTAATCGTTGGTGAATGTAAGAAGATACACATGTTGGTCACTCCAAAGTACGTCGCTAACGCCTTAATCGGAATAAACGTATTCAACAGTCAAAGAATTCTCATTGTCTCTTTAGTTCTAAATTCTCTCATATATCACAGAACCAAACGTTACTAAGATTTTTCCAACAAGAAAAAGTAACATGAAAAATGCAACAATATGGCCTCAATAGCCATACTCGTACTTGATCTCCGCAGTCCAAGAGCATGACCTGAGACACGCACTGTTTACTCACGGTTGTTTCTATCGTCGTTCAAGCTTTTGAACATATGATCTTCAGTCTATGGGGGCGACACTGTTTTCCCTTTTTTTTTAATCCATCTACTTCTCTTAATTTAACCACATCAAGTTCTATCACGGTGAGATGCTTTGTTGGACAGGCAAATCCCAACGTCTATGGCATCGGTAGCATCCGTTCCGAGGGATAAGCAACGCACAAATTAAATTCTGAAGGGTCATTATCATCATATTCACAGTTGGTAAAATATACAAATTCGTCACAATATCGCAAGAATCGCAGTACAATTGCTTTCGAAGGAGTGGCTATAGTGGGTTGTGTGTAGCATATGCAGAGTATCGTGGTATGATTGGTTTGGAGCGTTATTCATTTGACTTGACAGTGCGGACGAGAAGATCAATAAATTCTTGGAAAACCGTGTCAGGGCCCGACCTGAGAGAATCCAGTAGCGTTGCAGGGTCATTGGCCTGGTCAATTTCCGTGATATATTTTCGTATTTGAGGGTACTTTAGATAATCTCGTAACTCGTCAGAATGCGCTGAAATAAATAATGCCACACTCACGTAAGTTATGCAACTCCATTTGAAACAAGAATCCTTCTACTGGTCACTTACCTATTCTTTCCAATTGCTCTTCAGTTAATCTTGACGAATCTTCCTCATCGGTAGGATCAATGATCGTTTTCTTCTTCCTTCCCGCTGCTGAGGCTGCAACAACAATCGATATGGTTACTACGTGAGGAGCCACAATAGGGGGGATTGCGAACAACAACCAGTGGTACGATCGTTTACCTTCTTTAACTTCTGGCTCATAGGGTTCGCATGGTACAGCTTTATCACGTTCCTAATGAGTTGATGCAGTCCAAGAGATATACACGCCATCGCTTACCTTTATGCAGTTTATAGCACTGCAGGGAGCAACTAACGATGGATTGAGCCAGTTAATATCGCATTCGTTAATAGTGCCAGAAAAAACTTACATTAATCGCCTGCAAGTGGAACATTTGTACTTTTGTTGATTTTGTTGACACACTGAGCACACCGATGCCTGATTCATGTCGTCGGAAATGGAACTGTTTATGCAAAACCCGAGAAGCTCTTTCGTAATTTTAATAGCTAAGCCACTCATATCAGGGTCACACTGGTCTCTCACTGACAGTGCACAAATTTCCAACTCAGGTCCTTGAAACCACCCGTCTTTGTTCACCAAAAGCCATGAGTTTACTTAGACGCTTCAAAGCAACGGACCTTTTTGAATTTAACAATGTGTAAGCATGCATTTGTTTGTTTGATGAAACATGATGAGCCTATTCTTATTAACGACTTCTCTATAACTAGCAACCTTGACGTTTTAACCGAAACCGTAAGCACAGCGATGAAGACTGACCGAAACTTAAACTAACTCTTTTTCCACACAGTATAATATTTCTTTTTACCTACAATACCTCGCCCGATGGCCAGATCTTTTTACTGTGCAAATGTCCCCTCACGACCGTGTCATGGGTTATGGTAATAGATTGCTGTTTTCGTTATACTGACATACGGTGATTGACTGGGATTGCATCCTTAATCTTTTTCGTTGCAGTCATGGGCAAAACGGAAGGAACCGGCAAAAACTGGCACGGTCACGTCACAGCTATCACTGTAGCACCTGAATATCGACGTCTGGGTCTCGCCGACGGTATGATGAATATGCTCGAAGAGGTTTCGGAGAAAGCGTAAGTGGTCTACTTACTGTTGGTTGCTGGATAGACTGAGTGACTGGTCGTATCATGAATAATCTAACCCCCGTATTAGATATGATGGATGGTTTGTCGATTTATACGTGCGTGTGTCGAATGCAGTAGCCATTGGCATGTATCGAAAGTTTGGATACTCTGTATATCGTCGAGTACGGAACTACTATTCAGGGGCAAATAACGAAGATGCTTTTGGTTCGTATTGCAGCATTTAATATATTAAGCGGATTGAAGACAAGAACATTGATGTTTAACGTATATTTTCTTTCTAGATATGCGAAAACCATTGGCAAGAGACAAACTGAAGGAAACTATACGAGAAAATGGAGAGAATGTCATGGTGAATCCAGAAGATTTAGATTCATGGCGATAAAGAGAATGATGTAAATAAACGGACGCGGACGCTGACTGCAAAGCAAATTGCAAACGAGAGTGGAACTATATGCTGTAAAATCATTGTTGGATATTGATATGGTTTAGTTCTTGGCTCGCCGTTTCAGGGCAGCGGCCACACCACGTCGACCATTGGAAGGAGCCGTGGTGGCGGGCGAATCAAAAGCTGCACAGTCTTTTTCTTGACGCATCATCAGTAATCCGCCGGCCGCTTCACCGGCAGCGGCATGGGCTAAGCGGTTGGCGCGAGCATCTGGTAACCAAGTACCGTTCTGTGATAAAAGCGGGGTTGGTTGCGGATCGCTAGCATGCATTTGATCAGGCGTACGAAATGAATCATGCGATCCATAACGAATTTTCACCGTGGGCGCTATTTTGACTTTGCGAGTGGTAGAGATCAGTGTTTGACTGGATGTAGCAAAATTAGCCGCTCCATCGCAATCTTAACCGTGTAAAAAGAGAGATGTTACCAAATTAGTTGTGCTAGACCTAGTGTCATCCTATGCACTTGGAAATGGGGGATGGGAGAAAAAGCGACTTACTCGTTGGGGCAACAGGTAATGTAGCGTGTTCGTCTTGGATCATTATCAATCCACCCTGCGTCCCCAGCAGACTGTTTCGTATCGTTTCCTCTATGACGGGAGCAAAGACACCTACTGAATCGCCTTGAGATCGAGCATGTCTTTGACGATATGAACTGACAGTGGCTACATCGGTGACCATCACAGTGTCCTGAGCATGTCGTTCGTCGGTCCTGGCCGCAGACTGAGTACTTTGTTTCACTTTATGATCGATGATCGGGTGTGCCTGTATATCTTGGACAAGACCTTGCATATAAGCCGGCGCTTTCTGAGTCCCCATGGACTGTGCTCTTGATCGATGCTTAACAGATATCGTAGATATATCTTGTGGCTTGGGGATGTCCACCATCGCGATCGATTGCTCAGTTGAACCTCCAACACCATGCGTCGAGGGTGGCATTTCTTGAAGCTCATTATTGGCAGCAGTGAGTTGATGGTGGAAAGGGGCCGCATCTTCCTTGCGTACACCATTGATCTTCATTCGAGCATCCGGTTTGTAGGGTTCTGTAAAGGGTTCACCCGTGATGAAAGGATGACATCGTGCCTGCAATGGTGTCCAGCGCCGTAGTGGATTCAACTCGAGAACACCTTGCAAAAAGTCAATTAATGCATATCTTGTTTGCAGATCTACGAGGACGCAAGATTATAACATTGAGGATACCACTCTCATTTCTCTCTGAGACACTGTTAGGTGATTACCTCGTTGCCTGTCTTTCTCGTTTTTCCACGATTGAGCCCGCGAGCTGTTGTATTTTAAAATCAAGTCGGGAAGTTCCGTCTGTTCAAAGTATTTTTTTCCAGGCAACTCGGTCTTTTGCTGTTCTTGTCCGTATTGCTCGCGACTCTTCATTTTGTATACATATTTGCCGTTTCCATGATCTTCGCGATTGAAAAATTCAAGGGTACTTTTCCCTTTATCCAACATGTCCTGAGGTGGCAAGCTTTTCGCAGGTCAACAAGGGCATTTCAATGTCAATCTTTTTTTTTCCTTCGAATTCAGATAGAACCTACCCCATCATGTCTATGATACGGCGTAATTGGTTGTATTCAGAACTGCCTGGAAATAAAGGTAGCCCAAGAAATAGTTCGGCAATAATGCAGCCCAAGGACCACATATCGATGGCACCTGTATATGTCAGTCCAAGTAATACTTCAGGTGAACGGTAAAATCGAGACTGGATGTATGTGTAGATTCGATTGGCTTCATGACAGGCGGAACCAAAGTCGATCACTTTGATAGTCGGTGAATCCACGCTGGAGATGAAAATAAATATACCGTTAGTTTTACACAATTTTTTCTGGATGTCGTTCAACAAAGATAATTCGATTTCTTACTTTTGCAACAGAATATTTTCGGGTTTTAAATCACAATGAATGATTTTTGCTTCCTTCAGTAATACCAGCGTGTCCAACAATTGCAGAGCGAATACGCGGACAAGGCTCAACGAAAGTCCTTTGAACCCATTCTGCTTAATCAATTCGTACAAATTGTAGGAAAGTAATTCAAAAACAAGACACAGGTGATTCTTGTGATTGAATGTACGATGCAATTTCAGTATTCGATGTTGATCCTGAGGATCGATTTTGAGATTTAACTGTAAAAATCGGTATATTAGCGGAACTATCAATGACTGATAATGCAAATGTAGATTACCTGCTTTAGGATTTCCACTTCCATGCGACTCTGAGCTCGGTAAGCTGGTTTGTTCTTGATAATTTTCAACGAGAATAGTTCACCCGTCGATACCCGCACGCATTTGACTACTTGTCCGAATGTTCCTTGTCCCAAGAGATCAATGACCCGATATCTACGATGTACGATCAGATCAGCATAATGTCTACTATTTGTCACAGCCGATTCAAAGATCAATGACAACAGATACTTACTGATAATCTTTTTCGTCGCCAAGGATATCGTTGACTCGCAAAATGTAATCATAATCCTCGTTGTCGAATCCATCATTTTTTGCCGGTTTGCTTGGTTTGGTTAAGACTCGCTTAGGATTCCGATGAGCATCGTATTGGAAACGGAGATTTTGCTTGCTGTAAGTATGTGCCAGTTGCATGGTCAAAGCATGCAACAGTCTTTTCTTGAACCGCAATATGACGTCAATGAAGTGAAAGCCCCTGACTTGTAAAGCAGAAAACTTACTCGATTTTGATCTGGAATCGGTCGTCCGATCAACGTTTCTCTTTGTGTTACTTTTCTGAATTTCTTGACCGGTGTGTTCCGCGAAAAAGTCCATTTGTCACCCAGATTTAACACCGGTTCAACCACCTGAGAATAAAATGGGCTCTCAGGATGCCGCGGCCCATTGTGCCTACTGTGTGTACTTGAGGAAGACGATGGGGCTGAATTGGAAGCCTTGTGTTGAACCTTGGCGGGTGTCTGCCGACTGACGTGTACAGCTTCCTGAACAGTGGCATATTCCAATTCAGGGTCCGAATCCCAATCATGCTCTTTCTCGGCCGAAGGACGTCCTGCGACCAAGATTATCAGGATCTTTTTTTTTTTCTTCCTATCCACATCGAATTGATCTAAGTTCCTACCTTTTCTATTGACGGTTTGTCGAACATAAGGTTTATTGGTCAACCATGATGATGGCGATGGCTGGGCATGTTTTTTCGACAATGGCACGGATGCTCCTCCTCGAAACGATGGCATAACGTCAATGGAAGATGGAGGAGGATTAGAGGTAGCAAGTCCAGCTTGATACGGTTGCTGTTTACGATATGAATAAGAGTACATGTTGAGGATTCGGTAAAACTATTATTTTCACTAGAACAAAGAACAAAAGTGACCGTTATTGGTATTCATAAAAAATCAAGTAAACTGGGAAAACAACAAAAGAAGAGGGAAACGAGAGGAGGACAATCAAAAAAGTCGACTTTTTTTTTTTTGTTATGTTACAACATATACAAGTGATCCAAAAACGAACAGAGACGCTACTCTAAATACACACTGTGATCTTTACTCAAAACGTATTTCCGAAAAAAATCAAATTGCCACCTTGATTGTTTTGGTACATGCCAAATTAAGCATCAAGCCTGATTGGTCCGAAATTAGACAGGTGAGCTATTTTGAGCACGATCTTCCAGTCGTGGCCTTGTAGGCATGGGAGTAGAATTACGCCGTTCTGGATGATGATAATAAGTACGATGCAAAGGTAACCAGTATCCGTCACCATGGCTACTGTCGTCGTCATCGTCATCATCCGGCGTTTCGTCTGATGACCTGGACGGCGAACGACTCTCCGCCAATAATATGTGCTCCCGAGAAACAGTGGCTTGTCGACTCATGCTGGAGTGCTGCGTCTTTGCATAACTTGAATGAGAAGTGGTGCGACCCCGGAGCAATTTCCGCAGCATTGAGTTGGAGGTGTCTTTGGTAGACTCACTAATCACTTCAGCATCTTTCACTCCCTTTTCTTTAGATGCATCCAGCTGTTTATCAAACATCTTGGCAACAATGCCCCCTTGAACGCGTCGTCGTGCCGATTCCGCACGTCGCAAAAGATGAGCCAGGTCATGCGCCAGCTGTCCACTGCTTTGTCGTCGCTTATTGGACGGTCTTCGTGCCGATGGGTTGGCCTGTTCTTCAGGAGACAGCGATTTCGTAGGTAACCATAACTGAGGAAGCACGCCAATCAAAGCCGGATTCCCGTAGCGTTTCAAACCCGTATCGAGGACACCGGGATTTAATTGCATCGGCGGTTGTCGATAATCGGTCAAGTTATCAGGCACTGCTTCGTAGTCATCCTCATCAATCACGACCTTTTTGACGTGAGCTAGCTTGGGTGATTCCTTGGTAGGTGGCGAGTTGATGGAAGGATTGGAAGTGTGATGTTGTTTCAAGGCCAAAGCAGCCGCAAATCGCCATCGGAGTTTTGTTTCTTTTCGCGTAGTGCTTGTGCCAGCTGTGTCGTTGGATCTCTGGCTGTCGCGGTGTGGGGATGGTTCGGGGGTATCTGGACTATTGCTGCCACTTTCACTGGCATAAGGGTCATCATCCGCAGGTATAATCGGATCGTTGTGGGTAGGGAGTTTGGTCATTTCATCGCGCAATAATTGCATAGGCAGGTGTTGGCTGTTCTTTCTGTATGCGGCATCCAATGTAAACTTGAAGATAAATGTGATGACGATTAAAGGCACGCAAAGGATACCAAGAACATAGAACTTTTTCAAGATAAAAAGCCCCGTCATGGTCAACTGGAAGATAACCATGCCCGCAATGATACGAGGAAATACCATGATCCAAAGTCGGCCAGCCGCCTCATACGGTCGGAAATAGACTAGCAAAGGTTATTTTTTAAAAAAAATCAAAGGAAAGACTGCGGGCATGCCAACTCCATGATTTCAAGGAATACTTACCATACAAAAACTGGTATTTGTAAACGATATAGGTGATGCAAAAGTACAGAGTACCGAAGATGAGAATAATAGGCGAAATGACGGAATATTCGAGCACGATAATGAAAATGAGCAACGGCGCAGGGTATCCGGTACCGTAATTAAACGCCCAGGGAGCACGGTTTTCCGCATAGTCACGGGGTGTCTTGCAAATGAAAAGGTGCCAAAATCCTCGCAGAACCAGAGCACCAAGTAAAAGCAAATTCAGTGGCATCCTACGGATTCTACATTGAGTCAAGGGACGATAATTTTGAATGCAAAATCGACTTACAGTAACAGGCCCTGCATAATGGTATAGTTGATAAAAAATGGTGCTACCTATGGTCGAGCATGCAGTCAGAAAAAAGTGCAACGATTCAGCTTACACGATTCAAAAGATTTTACCGTCGATAAGCTAGTGGCCAGCACATTGGGAATTTCGGTTGGGTTATTGATCAACTGCTCAGCTACACGAGCTACAGCCACTGTCTTTACAGCAATGTTGACGATAGTGAATACCAGAAGCACGTTGAACAAAAGAAAGAAAAAGTATCTGCAAAACATATCCATCACATCAGTTTCGTATTAATCATTTCACACCGATGCAGCCTAGTGTCGTTGACGTTATATGCAAACTTACTTGCTAAACGTGGATTCGGCGATAGCGCTTCTTGCCCGCAAGCCTTGCACATATCCTAAAGCTAAGAAACAGGAACACAAGGTTAAGATTCATCGCAGGAACGATGCGTAAAGGTTGTGTCACTCACAATCAAAGATCAAGGGCAGTAACGCCATGAAAATGTTGACGAGGAGAGTAGGAATTAAACTCTGCATGATGCTTTTGACAATAGGGATATCATCAGCTTTGTCGGCAATTCCAGGGAATACTTTGTCAAGTGCCTCAATACTGGTCAAAGAAGAGAAAAAACTGATAGGGAACACCCAGAAAAACACCAAGGCAATGGTGATGGTCCAAATGAATATCTCGCGGATGAGTCGTTCGCGACCGCGGATAAGAACGTTTTCCCAAAGCACATCTCTCGGTTCGTACGCCATATAGGTGCGACAATTGAACGCTTGAGGATTGATCGCGATCTGGGATGCAATCAGCTACATAGAGTACTCGTTTTGGTAAGTATGACGGAAAAATTTGGAGAACAGGCATATATCAAGAAAACTTACGGCGCTGGTCATATGTTCAAAAGTAACAAAACCGACATTCGTCATTTCGTAGTTTTTGGAATTACGCGCTTCAGTGACTTTTTGATCGAGTTCATCGAATAGTTCGGTATAGTATTCGATCGCGTCGACCTTGGGTCCAAACAACCCCAAGAAACCTGTACGCACTTGGGGACGACGCTTCTCACGTTTGCGGGAAGGAGGACTGATCAGGCCGGATAAGAATGTGGCATTGTTGTTGTAATAGTCGCTCTGTTCACTCAGTTTATCAACCCGTTGAAGTAACTGGGCATCTTCCAGGATCCGGTCCGGATCGTAATCCGGGATGCGGCACGGATTTCCCCAATACTGTGCATAGGCTCGTTCCAAATGTTGCAGGGCCGAAGCTCGTTTTTTCAGCAGTTTCCCCAGGTTTCGGACATGCCTTACAACATGACACGTTTCCACGTTGCCAATTCCCAGATTTTCGTAATAATCCGCCAAGTCTTGATCGGATCGCAGCGTTTTGGGAATGCCGGTGACAATTACCGATCGACAGGATAGCGTTTTGGATAACCGTAACAGATAGCGAGCGCGCATGTAAACATAGTCTGAGTAACTCTGATGCAGGAAGAAAAAGGCGGTAAAGCAGAAAAAGTAAGTGAATATGAGGTATGCGATAAGGTATGGCGACGATTCATCGATCACAGTAATGGAAAGTTTATCGATGCCGGTGATACTGGTATCCGTGAAATTGCCTGTTGTGGCACTGATCGGAATCAGAACAACCAAGCCGAAAGCGGCACAAAGGCCGAATAGCTTGATACACATCACCACAAATTGCAGCAACTACCATGACAAAATAAAATAAAGCATCCAAGTATTCTTTGGTGAGAAAACCAAAAATTGAGAGATGTGGATGAGGATAGGTGAGATTCTTACCACGACGGCATCTAAACCGACTTTATCCAGCATCTCCTCTTGATTGATTCGGAGTAAGGGAATAATCCATCCAAAAAAGGAATTGGGTAATTCAGGTGGTTTGTGTCTGTGATTAGGGATCTGTATCAGACAGGGTTGGCTTTTCTGGACTGCACCATCGGACGTTACCTTTTCATATGTGTGCGGGGGGCGAAAATGACAGTCCATCTACCATTGATTCTATCAGTTTTTGTCCCCTAAATCAAAAAAAAAAAGCCGTGACACAGCTTTTTCCCAATTTTTTTTTTCTTACCGCGTGCGCAATATGCAAAATCCTAAAAAGCAAAGTAACCCCACGGCGAAACAGATGATTAATTGTGTGGTAAAGGCGCTTTGATTTTGAGCTTGGAAAGTGGGTAATCCTGGTTGTTCATAAGGATTGCCAAAGATGCCAGTCTTGGACGTTTCTGAAGCTGGCGCAGAGCTACTGGTGCTGGAGACTAGCGTCGATGAAGCGAAGGATGAAGTCGGCGTGCCACTGAAAGAAGCGTACGATGTCGGTGCCGTATTAAAGGTTGATGATCCAAGCCATGTTGATACTGTGTTTCCATTCGTTGGTACGGCACTGTTTGTGGCGACGGACGACGGAGAAGACATCAATGATGGAAGGGGAAAAAGGGTTGCTTAAAGAAATTTGGGAACAAAAAGCTCACCCAGAAAAAAAATATGGAATTGCAGCACCGCAAGTACCAAATTCCATACTCCGACTCATTTTGGGGCGGGTCCGTGATCCATTCGCTGCAACTGCAATGAACAATGCGCTCCACAAGCAAATCAGGATGGTACCGAGCTGCCATTTATTCATTTAACAAAGGCATTATTTACGTGAGCCACTTGTATTGCGATTCAACCATGAATACATGCCATCAAGAGAGAGGTCGATTATTTCTTCCCGGTGCGAGTTTCGGGGTTTCCGATCGGTCTGATGACTGAACCCGCTCTCTTTTCGCACCCATGTGTTGCGCTTCAATGCATTAATTTCTCCCTTTTGTATCTAACATCACCATACATATTTGCTTCCGCGCAGCTGTTTGAATTGATTATAATAGCAGAACAATAGATAAAAATATCTAATGAAATGGGACTATCTCTGGCAAAGAAAAAAAAACCAACCAATCGCGTTCATGCAGGGAAAATCGTATAAATGAAACCTTGTTTTTCGCCACTGTCACGACCAGCAGTAAATAGTGAAAGGTTGATCACGATAAGAAATATCACCGTTTTTGACATGTTCAACCATACGATATTTTTGTGAGAACTATTATATTCCCGATAAGTAAGACGTTCTTGAGAAATCTTGACGTAATTGATGGAGCGACAATGAACCAATCAATGACGTCCAACAAAAAGGAGCATTGGTCGCAGCTTCATTCCCTCCCATTTGGACAACTGATAAGTAATATTGAGAGGTTATAGTAGGATTTTGCAGTATTCGGCAACAAGCCGAAGCTTTATACTGAACCATTATTTTTAGAATGATCCATTCATACTGTATTTGAGAATTCTGATGGAATGGCCGATGGTACAACGCCACAATAAGCAATGATTTATCAATTCAATCTGTCCAAGCCTTGCATGTAAACAAGGATGCAATATGAGGTGTAGGTGGTGCTGTTCAAGTGTCTATCCGCATTTGCCATTCGACATCACAATTTCCTGAAAAGTAAGAATGGATGCTCCAATCAAAACGCTCAATTATTTCAGTGACCCACTGTCCCAGAGTCACATGACTGGCAAATTTGGCTGCTTGTGAAAAACGGAACAGCCCTCGCTTTCTTGTTGATCTGATTTACACACGTCTTGATGGAAGCCAACGAAAATTCACCCCCCACTACCAGTCCATTGCGGACTGATTCTGTAAGTCAATTCAATTTAACATTGCTTCAACAGAGTACTAATTCACTTGTAGTCTACTCCCGTGCACGATATCCAGAAGCCAGTATTAGCCATGCCCGGGAAGGTATATGCGTTAGCAAGTTATTCTTTTTTCCGGCGTCATTCATCTCTTTGTACTAGGAAAATGCCATGGACGTAAACAATGTGCTCCAGAGTCCTTTGAGAACAGTGACAAATCGAGTGCAGTCAAAGGTAACGCGATTTTCCCCACGAGGAACGATAATTCTGTTACTGATCATTTTGATTCATGAATAGTCATTCCAAGTATATGACGCAAAGGTAATGCTACTTTCTCAGATTCATACGACACATTGGGCTAAAGTAGAACTACAGAAATCGACCAAATCCGTAGAGACACGTCAGACAAAAGCGGTGATAGCACCACCCAGGGACCGACCCGTGTCAGTTTCTCCAGCACCGGAAATGTTGCGACGGTCACCCGTGGCAAAAACGTCAACAACGCGATTAATGCTGTCCGAACACAAATATCAAGAACGTGACCACGGTCATGCCACCAAGCTAGATACCGAGAAAGCGGCTTACGTAAAACCGGTGCCCTCGTTAAAAAAGTTGGCCGATGAAACAGGAAAAGAAAAACTTTGGCAGCAAGTACAACAGGCCAAACGCGAAGCGGCCGACTTATCAGCGCGTCTCAAAGCGAGTCGAGCATCGACGGCTGATATGCGTAGAACATCAAGTCGGTATGACAGAGAACTGGAAGAATTGAAAGCAAAAGCAACCGACTCTACATCCGATCAATCAATCACCACAGAAAAATGTGACCAGATAAAAAAGCAGATTGGGAACCTGGAGGAGGAAATCGCAGAGAATGAAGGCATCCTCGAAGAATTGTCGGAAGTGCTGGAAGGATTGGCCGAAGAGGAAACAATGCCAGCCGACGGAGAAGAACGATTACAAGCAAAGGAGGACGAAATCGATCAGCTGATGAACCTTATTCCTACTTTACAGTATCAAGTGAAAGAACTGCGCAGTGCGTCTTAGTGTCATCTCATATAAATTTATCATGTAGCATTCATCCACATAGTTTTTAAGTCTTGAAAGGCTTTTCATACATACTTTATTTACCACAGCATTGTTTATGTTTTACACTTGGAATTCGTCTGTTTGTATGTGTATGTCCGTGTGAATTGGGGAAGAACGACATTCTCGGAACGTTGCTATTGCTGGCGAGGATGAAGGATTACTAGTTTATTCAATACTACAATGTGTATTACTGCTTTAGTTTGTCGGGGGGAGAAGGAAAAACAATGGATTACTAGATACGGCGTAAAATTTTGCTGCTTGACCGGATAGTCATGCAGTAGGGGGAAGTGAATGATCTAAGCAAGGTGGAATGACATCGCATCCCCGCGTGATACAAGCCTACCGGCATTTAGATAAAATCTCATGTAAAATAAGATGACTTTGGGCGTGTCCAATCAGTTCTATTTCGCTTTATGCGTGGTGACAAACAAGATGCAGATATACATGAGGAGCAAAAAGAAAGTCACCTTCCTTTTTGCTTGGATTCCCACTGATCGCAAAATAATTCCTTCCATTTTCTGTTCCTCCAAATTTTTTTCCACAGATCGCTTTACATCATACCATGGGAAAACATAAGGGATCCACCTATTCACTATTTCAAACATATCTTTCCAGCTTACCGTCCTCTACTTCGCAAGCAGGTACGGCTGAAAAACTGTGTGTGTATTGCAATGACTAATGCGGTTTTTTTTTGTACAGACGGTGAATACGATCGAGTACCGTTACCCGATTCAATGGTAAGGCGAGCCAGTTACATTGAGAGGAGCATTTATGCTTAATAGCTTCGTACCACCAGAGAACTTCTACGTTGGTAGAACAAATCGGCAAAGAACGGTCATGGAGTGGCGATCAGATCAACGAGGACATTGCAATCTTGGAGCGACATCGGTTGTACTATGTAAGCATGAGCACTATTGGGCTACAAGGATATGCAAATGCTGACAGCTCGTGCTCTTGGTGATAGGTTCGCGATCTTAGAGAATTGTCAAGTCATAGCTGGACGGTAAATGATCTGTGTGACAATGCAAACTAACGAATTATGTGGGGCTAATATGCGCTCACTTTGAAGGTCATTGAACTGTTGCCGTTGGTGCGTGATATCTTACAAAAGTCCATCCAGACTGGTGGTACAGGTGTGCAAGGTAATCAATCAATCCATGTTCAACTTCCAGGCAACTGTACCCATGCTCAATTGTTGGCTGATAGACTATAAAGACAAGAAGAAAGAAGAAAAGAAGAGAAAAAAAGAGCAAAAGCATAAAAAAAAGCAACTGGGAGAACCTGTATTTCCTTCTGTTTTAGCCGGTGGGAAAGATGAAATAGCTATGGCGCACCATGAAGAGATTTCTGCCAAAACATCGGAAGCCATGGTGGGCGACGTTCTCAGCCAGGATCCGGAAACCATCCGCAACACGTTACGTAATGGATCTATCGATGCGGAAACGACGCGAGATGAGCAAGTTTCTCGCTATCAAGGCCAAAGAAAAAAGGCCGTTTCTTTTTCAGAGGATGACGGTAGTGAATCAAAAAGAGAAGCTGGTAACATGAGTGACACCTCTTCGTCATCTTCATCATCGTCGTCGTCTTCCAGCTCGAGCAGTGATGATGGTGCGACAAAGGAGAACAAGCCCCCTGTGCGACAGACTTGGACGGGCCGCCCGATTAAGGCGGTTTCCCCCAACCTTATCCATGTGCGAACCACTGACGGCCAGGTTTACGAGTGCAGCCGATTTTGTCCACATAAAGGCGTCGATCTGAACACTTGGGGTCAAGTGGTGGGCAATACTTTGATTTGCACCAAGCATAACTGGAAATTTAGTTTGGATGGATCTGGTGTCGGTCCAAAGGGCCGATCCATATCTGCTTGTGCAATCAATGATTGGTAATAAAGTGTGTTTACCCGGGACAACACTATGCAGAACGAGGATCTTTGTGTTCTGTGCTCAGATCATGTCCAACCTTGCCTGTGACAAAAAAATCGTACACAGATCCATAAAAAGGCATAAACATAATTAAGAAGAAAAAAAAAATCTTTTGAGCGGTGTGTCCTCTGATCTGAATAACAAGCTTTCAGATAAGATAACATTGGATGATAACTGTCCCTCACATTGAAAACCGTCCTTCCCGGAACATAAACATTGAATCCGCCGAATGGCCATATTGCTTTTTCCAGTTATGGTATTAGATGATAGTTGGGTTTTGATACCACTGCAAGTGGCGACTTTGGGCGCTTTTCGCCGTAAATGCTTTATTCATCAAGATGAAAAGATTCTACTGTTCTAGGTTCGAAAGAGACAAAGGACAGGCTTTAAACTATTTGCTATTAAAAAGCAATGAGATTTTTTCAGGATATTTGACAACAAACGGTCCAGGTTGCCATGTATTTGCATGCATTATAGGCAGCACCTATAGGCAATTGAGGAACGGCGGAAATAAACTTTTATCATTTTATCCCAAGCATCCTATGATGTGGTTGGACCATGTGTCAATAGTGTATGTAATAGAAAAGCTATTGAAGTGAATAATACAATGCCGTAATGCATACACGTCGCTAACGTGGCCTTCTTCAATGATGATGTAGATTGGTTCAAGATTCTGCTGCAGGCTTATATCCTGTAGGTTGATAATGGTTTGCACGAGGATCCGAAGCCGACCGATATTCACATACAGGAAATGGAGTGCATGCTTTCCTATTTCGATAAATCCATCGCTTGCACGCCCCTTTCGGTTAGTTCATCGGGATTCCGTGATTGGTGGCCCATGGCTTGGTCAACGAACAATAGCTTGAGCATCTCTACTCTTTAATAACATGTTATATGCGAAAAGGTAAATAACAATACTAGGGAAGTAGTATACAAGTTGGCCATGCGCTTGTATGTCAGTCTGCGCAGCCCCCTTCTTCTAAACAGATAGATCATCGGATCAGTCTGGGACAAGATCTTTTCCTCTTTCAAGCGGCGACAGATTTGGCGCGATGGGCCTTTTTTTTTTTTTTTCCTTGTGCTTTGTTCCGTTTTGGGTGCGGGGTTTTTCTCTACATCTTTACTAAATTTTTTTTTTCTTTGTTATTGGTTAAATCGTCGATCTTCACTTCCTTGCTCTGCATTCATTTATTACTGTAATTTCCTAGTTACCAAATTGATGGCCAAAACTATATCTGCATTCATCACTTCTTGTCATAATATTTACATTCATCACCCCTAAAAATCCCATCATGGTTCAATCCGAATGCATAGCCTTACTTCTTCCAAACAAGCAGGTCACAGCTGGTCATAAACATGAATTCAAATGGCTTTTGAAGAATGCCATGCCACTGGTGCTCAGTTATCTTTTGCAGAACAGTTTGCAAAGCGTGAGCGTCGTGAGTGCTGGTCACTTGGTAAGTCAATTGAATCCCTCCCTATGCAAACTGATAGTTTCTGGTGCCCAATTATCAGATTCACTCATTCTATACCGTATGTAGGGACCTCACGAGTTGGCAGCGGCCTCACTTGGAAGCATGTTTGTCACCGTTACTGGGATATCCGTGGCAACCGGAGCCACCTTGGCACTCGATACACTGTGCTCTCAATCGTTTACCAGTTCTGACGACAAAAAGATTGTGGGATTGCATGTACAACGATGTCTTGCCTTTCTCTCTCTGTTATATATCCCTATCGCCATCCTTTGGTGGTACTCTGAATCTGTATTCTTGCTGTTACGACAAGATCCTACCGTGGCGGCTTTAGCAAGTACTTACGTGCGTTGGATGATTCTAGCCGCTCCCGCTTTTGCCTTGTTCGAAGCTCTTAAAAAGATGCTGCAAGCCCAAGGCATCTTTCGAGCACCCACGATGACACTGCTGCTCATTGGCGCACCGTTGAATCTGATCTTGAGTTACTCGTTCGTCTGGAGTCCGTCCATCTCTCTTGGATTCGCTGGTGCCCCCATTGCCAGCTGTTTCGCCCAATGGGCCACCGTGATCGCACTGATCTACTACATTTACAAGTACGACGGATATCAGGCTTGGCCGCAATGGTCTACTAGAGCCGCTTATGATTGGCACGCTTGGGGTCCCATGATCAAGTTGGCTATTCCCGGCATTTTGCTTATTTGTACAGAATCGTGGGCGTACGAGATTATCGCTCTAGGAGCCAGTTGGATTGACACATCGTCGTTGGGAGCTCAGAGTATCATACTCACCTCCATTACGGCTCTGTATACCTTGGCATTCGGTGTGGGTGTCGCATCGGCTAACCGTGTGGGCAATCTACTTGGTGCAGGAAAGCCGTATCAGGCCAAAATCGCTGCCCAAACCGCCATTGGCCTGTCGGTCATTATCGCTACCATAAATAGTTCCATGTTGACACTGTGTCGGCACAGCTGGGCTCGACTTTTCACCAGCGATGCGCAAGTAACTTCTCTCGTAGCTAAAACGCTTCCGTTGGTGGCTGTCTTTGTGTTTGCTGATAATATTGCCGGTGTGGCGGACGGTGTACTGAACGGTCAAGGACGGCAACACGTTGGTGCTCTGTTCAACCTCGGGGCTTATTATCTATCGTCTCTTCCCATTGGTTTCTATCTGTGTTTCCGCGCACAGTGGGGTTTATTGGGCTTATGGTCCGCTTTGGCCATGTCTCTAATTGCGGCTTGTGTGGCGACTTTGGCAGTGGTGCTCACGACAGATTGGCAGAAGGAAGTAAGAAAAGCCGAAGATCGCACCAGCGAGAGTGTCAAAGCCATGGAAACGCATGTCTTAGAATGACGTGTTGCCTGTTTACTATATTTTCATTTGTTTGCATAAACCAATTTTTTCCAGCATTTCCAAAATACTTCCTTCCTATTCTTGACATTTTTTTTTATTTGACCTTGGTTTTCCGCTCAACGTTACGTAGTTGATCGTTTTTCGTTTACTAAGAATTCATGCTATGGCAGAGAAACAACCCCCTTCTCAGACGACTGCAATGCCTGCTGCTGATAATAAACAGATGGGATCATCGATGCCACCGGCTTACGGAGGTCCTCCCTCTCAGCCTGCATCACCGGGACCACAGTTCTCCCAACAGCAACAGCAGCCAACAGCTAATCCTGCAAGCGGATACCCGGGTGTTGTAGGTGGTACACCGGCTAATCAACGTGGAGTTCAAGGATATGACGCCTACGGCAACCCGATCATCCCGCCTTTTATCGCACAACGACATCAAATCGAACAATCATTAGGTCCGACGTGCAATGGACAGTACCACGAACTTCGCATGGAATACACAAACAAAACGCTTTTATTTGCTATTCTGATCCTTCCCTATTGTTGCGGTTGGCGAGGTAAACGAGTGGTAAGATCAAATTAGTAAAAAGAATCATTTTTATTCCTCTATGTACATGCATTGCGAAGAACTAACGTGCGCACGTTACTGATATAGTGCACTTGTAAGAATTGCCGCCAAAAGTTCCCAAACATTGTTCTTCCAGAACCCTAAAAAGGAACTAGAAAATGAAAACTCATCCCTGACCCATGATAAGTCAGCTCGATAAGAATAAAGCATATATGATTACACTTTTTCAAGCATGATGCTGTCTCTTGCCAAGTTTTGACCGCGTGTTATTTTCTGAGCTTTCGCCATAGTCAATCGATAGAGCCAAACAGCCACGACGCCCAAGAAAGCCATACTCGCAACCATGGTGACCAGAGCAACACGACGAGCGGATGGAGGGAGATTTGGATCGGATAAGTTGGCAAACTGGGATCCCAGCCATACATCGAGACATATCTTAAAGGAGGCTATAAAGGTGGTAACAGCATACTGGGTAAACGTGATGCTGGACACAAAACAAACCAATAAATTGGAGAACTGCCACGGAATAGGGCTCATACGAATCAATAGAATCATCTGAAACGGAAACTTCAATGAGAACCCCAAAAACCGTAGTTATGCCGCGATTGGTTGTCACTCACGCTGATGCCGCCTTGACTCAAGGCCTCCTGAATGGTCTGATATTTTTCTTGCTTGGATGGTGACAGACGTAAAAATCGTGCGAAATCCCCGTATCGAAACAGGCTAAAGAAGACGATATCAATACGCACATAATCATTATATACTGTTTCACGATGTTACCCGTAACAGCACAAAGCGCCGACAAACGCACCTGCATATGTGAAGTTGATTAATAGACTGAGAATAGAAATCAAGGACGAACGAGTGAGTTACCTCCTACGGCAATAGGAATACCGTCAGGGAATCCGTAAATGAATCCGCAGCTGGTCGTCGTTAATGTAAATCCGAGCATAGGTGGTATCGACATGAGGGTAATAAGTAAAGCAAATCCAAAGCGACTGTATGAATTCTCGCGCAATGTGCTTGCACCATCTTGAACAACTACAATCATGGTGAGCCGTTCCTGTCACGTTGCTTGTCGATTTTTGCTACGGCTTTCCCTCTTTTCACTACCGTACATTCTATTAATTGTGCGCGGTAAACACAAAATATAAACAGAAAGCTGCAAACAACAACCGCAGCTGCAGCGCCAACAAGCCTTGAGCGTACTTTCATGGGCAACAAATGCAAGAGAGAAAAAATGGCCCAAAATTTCGGTTCAATTAATTTTCAGAGTCAGTGACTCGAACGGCGACTGGCGAAAATACTTTTGCAACCAACTTTTTATGATGTTCCATGTTTGACGGCTTTCATCCTATCACCAGACCTTGGTAAACACCATTTAATAGAGTTCTTGCTCTGACTTTCTATCTTTGATCAAGAATGGAATAAACTAACCACATAACAATAGTTCCTTTTCTACACTATGATATGCCGGAAAATTTTAATAGTCATGATCGTTATCATAAATACTGTAGAGCTTGATAAGGTCATATACTAAGATATAGGTACACAAAGGGTTCATGATTTTACCAGTAATTCGCGGAGTAAGTCATTGATTATTGGTAATCTTTCAAGATCGGCCTGAGCGTCTTTACGTTGCTGCTCGTCCCCGACCGCTTCTTTCGACATAATTGAACGCAATTGCCCACGTTTGTTATCCACTGCCTCTACGCGTTGCCGAAATTGGTAGAAAAGGATTTCGGCTCTCTGCAATATTTCTTGTACGTTCATTGTCATTGATAAATCGTTGATGTACTAAAGCCGAATTAAACTGATTATTCAAAATTGCAGTCAACAGAATGCCGTACCTTTAGAATCTCATCAAATGTTTGGAGGTAATCAATGATCACGTCGCGATGCTAAAATATATCAACCGTCCGGCTCTGTCAGTTGATCCATTTTGTATGATATGTGTTTTGATTGACTTACCTGATCTAAAATAGCCAAAGCAACAAATAAATGGAATTGAGACGATAGATGATCGGTCCACAACACTTCCCATAATGTCAACACGTCATCCCATTCGAATTCGCGCTTAAACCAGACCAATAACCACCGGAAACAGAAGAATAGATTTTGGCTATCGGTACGCTGAAAGTGTTTGTACAGAATCGGATCCATAAATTGCAAGAGAAGATCCATGGTTAACAATTGGCTGTGCATGCCGGATTGATCCAAATAAAAATTCGACTTCTAGTTTTCCTTGTAAGTTGTCCAGTGAATGTCATCGCTGTTCTTTTTTTTTTTCGTTCCACTTACAGTGCGTTCCATGAACCCTGCAAATGCCCAAAACGACATGGGCTCGTCCTGAATCACCGCATAGAGAGGCGATAAAAGATCCGACATGCCTTGCACATAACCTATTTATAATAAACCCCGTTTTCCACATAAGTTTCAACTTTTTTCAGCGACTCTTCAGGCTTGTCGAAGTTTACCCAATTCGGTTTCGTAAATGTTATAGGTGCAGAGAATATTCTTCAGCGTTTCGAGATTCTCGTTTGTTGTGGCGTATACCGCGTGATCGGGTGTGGCGATGTCGTCTTTTTCGTAGAAGGGAACGGTTCGGTCCGTACGATGCACATCCTTGTCTACCCATTTTGTGGGTTAGGCAACGATTCTCTTATCTCCGTTGTATGTCACATATGCATACCTATTCTATGTTTTTGATCCTGAAATTTGGCGCTGGACAGAACACTGTCATTATTTTTCCATTTTGCTTTGAGGGATTCGTAAGTGGCACTATAGGCGCATGATCAATAAAAGGTGGCTTTTCTCATGAATAACAAGAGAGATTTACATTTTGTCTTTTCGCATCTGGAGACGTTCGGTTGATGTGGAATCCCAGGGAAATACATGGTTCAGGAATAACCAAGCATCTTTACGTATTTCCGGGACCATGCCACCGCAAAAGATGGCTTTGCGAACGTAGGGTAAACCTACCGTAAGTTTACCATCGTCGTCGAAAAATGAGCGCCACTGTTGCGCAGTGACAGGTGGTGTTCGGGTATGTGTTGGAATGGATAAATCATTCTCAGACTATGTAAGTGGAGGAAAGTAGAGATGTGTTATGTTTTACGCTGTCAATAAATTTTTCAGTAGACTGCCTACTCACATTCAGGATTTCAAAAACTCCAAGTGCTGTGTTTTCTTCCCAACCATCATGGCCCCAAACGCCTACATTTCGATATCGTCGCTCCACTGGTGTGGCCTGCTCCGACTGAGCGGCCAGTCCTGCCGCCCATTTTGCCAAGAAAATACGAGCAGAATCGTAGTCTTCCATGGTTTTTTGTACTGTTTCGTTATGGGCCATTGATTGCATCCCCGGTGGCAGTAGGGGCATAAATGATTTTGATGCCGGATGACCGAGAATATTGGCTGAAACGCAAAAGTACAACAGGCATCAGTCATCGGGAATCCCTCCATACAAAATTGTCCAAAAGCGAGTACCTGCAGTTTCACGAGAAAATTTGGTCACTCGAGAGAATTTTTCAAGTAAATTCCATTTCGCTTCTTTCAGTGTCTATTGAGATTGATTAGATTGCTTTGTTTTGATGAAACGGTCTGTGTAACGCGTACCGCTACAAAAGGATCCATTTGTGTCGATTCAAACACCGAAGGCGATCGATGAGGACCAGCTGAGGAAGCGGTGGCTCTTGCCGTTGGTTTGTCTGCACTTTGAGGCGCCAGCGGTTTTTTCTCATCGAACGATTCCTCGACCTTCTCTTTTGATACAATATAGAGATTGGAAGATTCGGAAGAGCTACCAAATAGCAGATTTGATCAGAAGAAAGACTACAATACGAGAACATTCAATGGGAGATGACATACCGAGCAATAGGTAGAATTTTGGAAAGCCGTTCCATAAACTCGTCGCCACCCCAGCGTAGCTGTTGTTTATCCTGAGGATCAGCTGAAAACTTTCCTCCTTGGGTCTTTTTTTGAAGCACCGTGCTGCGGCTTTCATCATCATGGAACCATAGAGGTGCTGACGAGTGGCCATCTTTAAAATTGATCACAATATTGCCATACCATTGTTTGATAGAAGGTGCAGTAATCAAAAATGAAGATATATCATGCACAGAAATTGATAGCGCATACAGATTGCAAACTTCTGGGATATCGCTATCGGAGGGTATCATCACCGTCGAAACTAAATCGAAAGGTTGAATTTTTGCTGCTTGCTAAAATCACAGTACGAGTGAAAAAAAATACCATTCATAGAATCATCAAGATTCTCAGGTGCGTGGACGTTGACTTGCACAAATGCTTCCAAATCTTTCGTTGGAATAAGTGCTTCTGGTGTCCAGGCCACAAGATATTCATGTGATGCCTACAAAAGGATGAATAAGCTTGGGCTCTACTTTTTACAGTTCGGCAGCTGCGCGGTAAAAAAAAAAAAAAAAAAAAAAATTATGCACCTACTTTTCCGACTATCGACAAATAGCCTGGAATGAAGTCTTGGACATTGGAAGACGGATGCACATACACTTTGGATTTCGAGTACAACAGTTTGACTGGAATGTCACGGTCGACATGAGGAGCGGTGGCTGTAGTTTGAGCAGCGTGCGGGTCGTGAACGAACTAGGCGCAGGCCAAGGATAATTTTAGCCGGGGTTTTCCGTCGATGGTTTGTTGGTTTAAATAAATTTGGTTTATCTGTGGCTTGAACTTACGGAGAAACTATCTGCGGATGTATTTCCTTCACCCATTGTTTATAAGAAGGGAAAGGACTTTTAGTTCGTGACCAAAGCAGAAAGCGAAAGAGAGTGCAAGAAGCATTTCCGCAATGAAACAGCTTTCTTGGCTTGCGAGCCAAGCACCAGTCACGGATATGCAGGAATTTTGCCTTTTTTGCCACCTATAAATCTGGGATGATGTTATTGGCTGACCCATTTTGTGGATAATTTTTTTTTCTTTTCAGAAACGGTTATGCTTGAAATTCATTCTTATGCTCTTGTTTTAATTTGTTTTAACTTTGTGCAAAGGAAACCATGTGGAGATCTAGGCTTAACTTAAGCGGTGTTTGATGTTGTCGATACTGAAAAGCGGTAGAAGTCTTCACGCATGTTTCAACTGAGGCAGCGATATTTGACATAGGAACGCAGAGAGCCATCATGTTGTAGAGAGCATCATGCCGGGACCCAGCAAGCCGATCTAATGAGTCATTCAAACCGGTTTTCGAGGGAGGCGACAAATTTGTCCTTCACGTTGTATAGCACCGAAACGAAATCTCGAAAGAAAGTTAGCGACATTACTATTTGAATGTTTGCAGCGAAAATGGAGAGTACACCCATGTTCGGTGGAAGAGGTCTCAAAATGCAATATCGCTGGAGTTGCACAAACAAGCCAGAAAACAAACCGCGTACTTGTCTATTGTATCTCCGCTTAAGGTGTCCAGTTTTCTAGATTGTTACATATCATCGGTGCCTTATTTCATTTCCTCTGTTTTATCTTTCTTATTCTGTTGTTCCTTTGGATATTGCGCGTGAGTTCGGGTTGTCTTCTTTTTCCTTATTCACATCGTCACACAATCTATTGCAGTTCCCGCCGTGCCCAGCTACGCTTGCGTTCGTACTTCCTCCTTACTTTCAAATCATAAATCATCTCAACCTTTTTTCGGTGGCAGAAAAAAAACTAGGACTTAAGTTCTGCGGCTGAATAATTTCTGGACCAACACGTTACTCCTTTATTTTTATAACATTACTTTGTGCTGTGTTATCATTTCGACGTCCAACAAGGAGCGGACCGACAGTGGGAATCTTGAAAATGTCGTTCCTTAACAAGAATTCGCGGAAACGGTCGGTGCTGGTGGTCATCATTCTCTTGTCTGTAATGTTCATGGTATTTCAGGCCATTCCATATGAGCATCGCACGTTTTCCATTCCAGACGTCATCCTGCGCAAAGAGACTGAACCGACAACGACCACCGTCAAGGATCCGGAACCTTCGGCGACGCCGGCTTTGGAAAATCAAGAGAAATTTCTGACCTACTTACCGTATTCCCGCTTTTCCAATCAACGAAGTACACTGCTCAACGCCGCGCTACTAGCAAAGTATCTCAACCGTACGTTGATCGTACCGCCTATGTTCTTGGGCTACGCCAACGGCTGGTCTCCCGCCCCAGGCTTATACGAAGTCTTGAGCAACATGACCGATTCCCATTTTCAAGACATATGCTTTGACGAAAATCAAAACGAAATATATTACGAACCCGTGATACTTCAGGAAGGCGAACCACCCGCCTTTGGTTGCTACAATTTTACGACATATGTTATCACACCTTGGAGCTGGGCAACGGATTTGAATCGGTTATCATTGAGCGAAGACGAAGGCGGTCTCGGAATCAACATTATAGAACGACAGGATATGTCCCTGAGCTCATTAAAAAAGCAACTAAACTTGCATGACGACGATCTTTATCTGATGGAAGATTCGACAGTAAGTCTCCTTTGACTGAATGAACGAATAATCTGAGTATTCATGTTATATCCTGTATCACTTGTTTATTGTTTATCGCAGCGTTATCAATGGCATATTGTAGACGATACTAGCCATCCTCCTAATCCACGTTATCAGCAAGAAGTCTCCATCAAGGAATTATCGGGTATTCGAGAGCGGTTGTTGCATTTTTACGGCATTTTCGGATACGATCGTCTTTTGCTGAGTTCCAGCGACAGCGAGGAATACCGCCTTCGTATACAGCAGGCATTGATCTTTCGACATCCGGCTATTACCGACGCGTCGGCCTTTATCCTTGGCCAGCTCCTCGACAGCATCGATAAGAATGAAAAGGAGCTAATGCCCTTGGATCCACATGAAGCGCGCAAGAAGGAAAAATCAACCGGTCACTTTGATCCTCCGCGATTCGTCGCGGCTCACATTCGTGCCGGTGACGGCGTGTTCCTAAAAGGACTCAAAGACCGAATTCCGGAATTTGTGCATCAGATTTGGGATATCATGAAGGGAAACGAAACCACTTTGGATGATCTCATCGGAGCCACCAACAACAAGACCGCGATAAAGGAACACAAACTGTTGCATGCCAATCAACCTCTCCCCAAAGCGCCTCGAAGAATCCGTGATCGTCTTGGAGCCTTGTCCTTATCTGATCGTCTTGAGGCATGTGGACAATTGAATCAAATGCTTCTCTATGTAGCCACGGATGCGCCGTCGCCCCGAGACAATAAGGACCTTCAGCCTCTCTTGGATGCTTTTCCATGCACCTACTTCATGGCCGATTTTTCCGATAATTGGCGTGAACCCCTACTCAATCTCCGGTCTCCCCTTGACCCGTTTAAAGATCTTAGCGAACATCTGGTCATGTTCGTGGATGCGACTGTATGTGCGTGGGCAGAAAGATTTATCGGGACGCGAACTTCCACGTTTTCAGTAAGTGCATTACTCGGGTAGCATCAAATGCCAACGGATGGATTCTCATGAGAAATCATAGAACTACATTAAGCAGTATCGACATGCTATCGTCGATGAAATCATAGACGGTCGACGCACTGGGTTAGACAGCCAATAAGCATGCATTTTCATGATGTATATAATCACGTCCTTTTATTTTTCATTTGTCGTCTGATCGAGAACTATGCTTGGATGCAAAACGCAAACCTGCTTTTGCTTTTCAGGAACAGTTCTCGATTATTTTGACCTGTCACTTTTTATTTTGTTACATTCTCTTTCTGTCTATCTATCTTTTTGTTTCTGCCATTGTATACCATTTTCCAACAGCCATCATGAATTAGAAAATTGGACACTTTTTTTTTCTGTGAAAAACAATTGTTCATATTACATAACAAAGCCCTTCTGTTGATACACATGCCCATGCCATCTTTTATTACCCATATTTTGCAAAGCTTCTAAAAATGGCCCGTTCACAGAGGAGCTCGTAATCGAAACCTTGAGTCAGTAAGAGAACTAACGGCTACATCGAAACGACGGCATTATGAATTGTAAAATGTTTGTTCCACAGACTAAGCAATCAACAATTTCAGTGACCAGAAATCACGGTTTACCGATGACGGCGCAGTCGCAGTTCCTGGCCCAAACTACAACTCGTAAGGTGAAAACCGAAGAGTACCATTATCAAAGGCAATAATTCATTAGCACCATCGACGGTATGCTGGAGTTGGTTCTCTTTGACGGCCAGAGGAACCCAAAGTGCGCAGCACATTTGCCAATGCGTTTATGTTCATGTCTCACTTCCGTGCTCACGTCTTTCTACGTTTACGCTTGTTTAAACAAGCACTGTGACTTAATGTGCATGAAAGGTCAACGCAGAAATTGCTGGACACAGTGAAGGGCGGTAGAAACCAAAGCTTTTATTTATGTTATGGTTTTACTTTACTTTACTTTACTTAACTTTACTCTACTATATTCTATTATACTCTAACTAGTTATGACCCAACCGACACAGCCAAAGCTGGTGCGGATAAGGTGAAGGGACGAGCTTTTTACTCTCTCTCGTCTCTTTTTTTTTTTCATTCACTTGAGAAAATTACTTTTTGATTCCTGCCGAAGCAGACCAAAAAGTAAAACCATGCGTGCCAGGAACACCCACATGGAAAAAGAAAAAGAACTCCCCCGGGGTGAGCCCACCTTGCCGTACATTACTCCCGCAAGGGTCAACACCCGACCAACTGATGAACGGATAAGCAAACCGGTGCGGGAAGACAAAAGTCTACGAGTAAGCTAGCCCCAGTTACGAATCAGCCCCGCCGCCGTACAACATGCTGTTCATGAATTCGCCTTTATATACCCCTTTCATTTTCGGCCCCCCCCCCCCCCCCTCACAGTCACGTTTTCGTCCAATAAGAAACGTTAAGGATGATGGGTCAGCACGGCGTGACACTCTACGCCGGCATTCGAAGCAGCAAAAAAAAGGGCTAATTTCCTTCTCTCCCGCATAGAGACAACGAGTGGGGGTCTGTAATGGTCCATAACTCGAAACCAGCTACGCCATTCCAAAAGAATAGAGCAGTTGGCAATTTCTCAGAGTGCATGAACAAAATAACACTTTAACTTGAGTAAATCCCTTCTTTAATAATGATTTGACGAAAAGCACGCGCTATTCGTCAACTAAACAACGGAAGGTTGTTACGGCAACTTGCAGAAAGTTCATGCTTATCCGCGAGAGCATACCATTGAAACAATCGATTGCTGTGGTTACCACGTAAAATGACCCTTTGAAACAAGGACCTTGAAGTTGTTCAACTCGGGCGAACAAGTCAGCATTTTATTGTAAATGTAACGTGCAAGTCGCTGTTCGCGCAAGCTACTCGTTGAAAATATGGCTTGACCTATATGACTGGCTTCCAAAGTCATCGATGATGGCTAAAATCGAAAACCGCTTATGCTGGATCTGGATCTGGTTTTTATAGTTGCCGATGCACAAGCTACTCCATAGTTCTGATGCACAAGGCTACACACATGGTAGGCACTGCTGACTAGTTATTTCTGGCGAACTATGATCTGTTACCGAGAAACTAGCTCAATCATTTCTAAATGTCAATGGCAATGTGATTTTTTATTTATGAATATTTTTCGACGGCAACAGGTGAAAAAAAAAAAAAAAAAAAAAATATGATACAAGAAGGAAATCGAAGATGAAAGAAATTATGATGAAGTGATTTTAGCTTGGTTCGGATGCCTTTTTGGTTCCAATTATAGATGCCTCGTTATCTGAAATACCCAGACATGATGGTTTGGATCAAAATTAATATTTGTTACATCAATGACAAGTGATGCTTTTTCGTCGATATGCCAAGTGACCGGTTGTTGCGAGTTCATCAATTGGATCACCGTGTTTTCTTGCGTATCAAGCACAGCAATAGGAGTGGTAACAACCAACTGAGAAGCGGATGGCGCATCAAAGGCAAAAATGTACATGCTCAGGCCATCCCGTGCTATGGTGAAACGAAGCGATGATGACGATTCCTCTTTTTGTACCCAGTACGGTTCCGCGTCAAAGATGCTTTTCTCCACTGTGTTTAGCCATAGACCAATGGCTTGCAATCGACTCTGCATAGGACGTGGAATATCACCTGAAGCTTCGGGACCGATATTTAGTAAAAAGTTTCCCCCTTTTGCTACCGTATCGACGAGTTCCTGAATCAGACTCGTTACACTGGCGTACTGCTCATCGGTCGTGGCTCGATTAAATCCAAACGAATACGGATCAATTCCTCGGGTGGCCTCCCATAACCTACAATACCCTTTAGTAACTTGTTTGGTGATAAATTAGTTTAAAGGTTGAATATTACCTCGCTGGAACGTAATCCAATTTTTTATATTCAACCGTTTGGAAATCCGAAACTGAATTGCCGCAACGATCGTTGACACCCACTTCTCGACCGTGTGCTCTGGCTTGATTGTAGTACTCTGCTTGCCATTCTGTCGAGTTGTTGATACCGCCAATATCACACCACATAATATCAGGCTCATATTGGTGGATAAGTTCTCTGATTTGCGGTACTTGCAGCTCATTCACAAAATCCTGGACGGCTGCATAACCGGTATAAGGTATGGGCTTGTTCGTGTATGGATTGTACGGAGGACCATGCCATCCTAATGAATCGTCTTGGTACTTTGGATGATACCATTCGGGAAGTGAAACTATGGCATTCCATCTGTTAGTGTTGCACCATCCTTGTCGCCACCATAGCATATCAAACTTACAATATAATCCCCGCCTTAATCCGGGATAGTCGCTCTTGGATACAGAAAGCAGCTCGTTCACAAAATCACGGCGTGGTCCCAAAGCGACGGTTGAACGATCGGTGAGGGATGTATTGAATAAAGCAATGCCATCATGATGTTTCGTGGTAAACACATAATATCGAGCATTTGATGCGCTGATCAAATCAAGCCAGTGTCGAGGATTGAATAAAGTTGTATTCCACTGTTGGATAAAATCGTCATAGGCGAAATTTTCACCGTAATGCTCGCGATGATATTGATGGGTTGGATCATTGACATGATTCATCTGCCACCAGTACCACTCGGCGTATTCTTTTCCCGTGGGCGCCCATGCTGGCACGCTGTATACACCCCAGTGGATAAAGATACCAAACTTTGCCCTTTGAAGCCAGCGAGGCGAACAATGACGTTGTAACGACCTACCACATCATCCATTGTAGAGATAAGAATTTTGTGGCTCCAAGAATTTGACTACTATACCTTTCCATTTTATTAAAGCTCTGCGTTGCTAAATTCAAAACGAGAGAAACCGATGTTTTTACCACTTGACGATGATCATTCACACTCTCAACTTCAACTGTCACTGGAACGGGTGTTAAAATATCAGGGCAGTGCGGGCAGTCGATGGCTACATCTACCAATTGACGGTGACCTGGCGCCAGACTGGTCAAGACAGTCTCTTCTGTAGAGGTAATGCCATTTCCAAATATTCGAACTCGGATATGGTTCGCCCACAATTTTCCAGTGTTATGGAGTTCAATATTGACCAGTGGATGAGGTGGCCCTTGCATGGTGTTGGTTTCTAGGAAGCAAGAAGTCGCTTTAGCAAACGTAACCAGCAAGCCTGATTGTGTTGCTTGATAGGCGGTGATGCCAAAGACGTGCAACGTTGTATCGGAAGATGAACTGACGGATGGCGGCAGCGACATGGAAATAGCCGGACCGCGTCTAGGGTCGACAAGGACAGGAATAGAAAATAAAGCGATGGCATCGTTGCGGTTATCTTTGGCAGAAACCACCGTGATACGATCCAAAAAGCCAACATCAGGCGCTCGCCAGTCAGGTACATCCAGCGCCGTAGAATCGGTAGAACCATCCGCATAGGTCACCGTCACATGAGTGGCCATGGGACCCACTGTTGCTGTCACCAGCATGTAAAGTGCTCCCAATATCTCCTTTGTAGGAAATTGAATAGTTTGACCATTTGCTTTGACGTTGTCAGCGGCATTCCCAAATGCTGTCTTGTATTGTACAAGATTGCTCGACGCCGTATTATTCAAGTGCTCGGTCGCAGTAATGTACGATCCGCGACCATCTAGATCTGCACCTGTTCCGAACCCTTTGTTATTATAATATGCGTCAAGGTTGAGGTGGTAAAATGATGATGACCGCTGTGCATCGACGAGCACAGATTTTGTCGGTAAACCTTCAACCTTGAGTAAGAGTTGGAGCGGAAGCCATAAAATCAGCCAACGCTTCATGGGTAAGACCGGAATCAAGGTGATGGAGTAAAAATAAGAAAATAAAATCGATAAAGAAAAAAGTGAGAGATCGTGTCAAAGGCAAGTTTTTGAATTTTGTGTTATTTCATTATTTATCTATCCAAATATGATAATACGCTAGCTCTCCTCTGCTCCTGTTGCCGTGTTGTTGGCTACATGCAGGTGTTTCCATTGATGCAGGATGGTGCAGCCTTTACTGTGGGGGAATGCCATGCATATCAGCTGAAAAACCAAAATGGGAAAGGAAAGTTCCCCCTTAGAAGTCTATCTCTTTTTTTATGTGCTTTTTCGCTCCACCAGTTCATCCGCATTTACAGTGTCTCTTATTTTTGCCTTTTAGAGAATTCGCACCCTTATGCAATGCCTTGAACATCAAAAGAAATATAGAGTCTCAATGTTCGTACTGTATTATTTGATATTCATTGAAAATGACAAAATACAACCAAGGTAGTATTTTTGATTTTTTCTTCGATTGCCTCCATGACATCGATGGGTTCATGACCAAAGCCATGTGTTTTGAATTGAATGGAAAAAACGATCGAGAATAGTATGTATAAAAAAGAGTCAGATGGAAAGTTTAAAGAGGTAAACAAAGAAATTTAACATGGGGTAAGAAATGGCGACAAAGCATTTACAAGACGTCGACGTTGTGCAAGTCCTTGCAAGCACGCTTGACACGTTCAATCATGGTCTTTTCGGCTTCGCGGATGAACACACGGGGATCGTAGTACTTCTTATTAGGCTTGTTGGCACCTTCGGGGTTACCGACCTGGGTTTGCAAGTAGTCTTGCTTGGCCTTGTAGAAGTCTCTCAAACCGCACCAGTAAGCCCATTGGGTGTCGGTATCGACGTTCATCTTCACAACACCGTTGCGAACGGCTTCAGCGATTTCCTCCTCAGTCGAGCCGGAACCACCGTGGAAGACAAAGTAGACGGGCTTGGGGTTATCGCACTTGAGCTGCTCGACGACGTAAGCCTGGTGCTTACCCAAGAGCTCGGGGTGAAGCTTGACGTTACCAGGAGCGTACACACCGTGGACGTTACCAAAGCCGGCAGCAATGGAGAACAAGTCAGTGACTTCGGAGAAAGCCTTGTAGATATCCCAGATATCCTCGGGCTGAGTGTATAAAGCAGAGTTTTCAACGTTTTCGTTGTTCACACCATCTTCCTCACCACCGGTGATACCGATTTCCATTTCGAGCCAGCAACCGATAGCCGCCATACGCTTCAAGTAAGTAAGACAGATTTCGATGTTTTCGTCCTTGGTCTCTTCGGAAAGATCCAACATGTGAGAGGAGAACAAAGGTTCACCGTTGGCCTTGTAGTATTCCTCATCGGCAGCGAGCATACCTATGATTACGTCAAGTTGCATGAGTCACCTTTGTTTCGCCAATGTCCCCCGTCCAATAATCTTTCTGCTCCCCGGCCATCCCCAAAAATAAAAATAAAAACGTGACTACTCCAAAGACTTGGATGTAGATGAAACACAGATATTTACCATCGAACCAAGGAAGAAGCTTCTTGGCACAGTGGTCAGAGTGGACAACAACAGGAATACCGTAGGCCTTGGCAACAGCACGGACGTACTATGGAACCGAAATCAAAATGAAATGATTTATCGATGGTGAGTTTCGCGTCGGTAGGCAAGTATTAAAGCATCTCTGACAAACGTACCTGGGCACCAGCGACAGCACCAATGACGGAAGCTTCCTGGTTCTTGTTGCTCAAACCTTTACCAGCAAAGTAGGCGGCACCACCGTTGGAGAACTGGATAATGATGGGAGACTTGATGTCACGAGCGGCTTCAAGAGCAGCGTTGACAGTGCTGCACAATTTATCATGTTTTAGTTGAAACTGAAAAAAACCCAGGCACCCGAAATGAACGGGGGGGGGGGGACGTGGAGAACAAGCGGAGATATCTAATCGCCGCTTTAACCCCCACACACGACAGTTACCTTGTGGAAGTGCAGTTGATGGCAGGAATAGCAAACTTGTGTTCGCGAGCTAATCAGAGAAACATGGAAAGAAGAAGTAACCCCAATGAATATGCATAGTCATCTAACGTAGACGTTCTGACATATATGCGGAGGACGGGTACTTACCATAGCTGAAAAGCTTGCGGACGTTGTCACCAGTGAGGACGCCAGCGGGAACAATGTCGAGGATACCCATGTTTGATTAAAAAAGAGATAAGTTGAAGAAAGGTAGAAAAACAAAAAAAAACTCAGAAAGAACGCAATCGTGCGCCTTTTAAGTGTCCCTGAAAAAAAGAGCGGTCAACCCTCAGTTTTGTCGCATCATTCCGATTTTACTTCGCTTTGGGGAACAAGTAGATCCCGACCGTAGCCTGGGAAACTTTTTTTTTTTTTTTCGGTTGAACATGCAGGCTACTCCACGCTAGGCGGACATTCAACTCAGCGTTGAATCGATACGACAACACCCATGCCAAATGGAAGTGTGTTCCTCAATTTGCTTGGTGTGAGCCGGCACGACAATCGGATCAAGTACCGTGAGTTGGCTCATTCGCGGTTCATTCAAGGAAAATCATTTTCAATAACAGAACCCGACCTTCTCCGCAAAAATCCTCCCATTCATATGATAGTGACACACAGAGAGGTCTAGAAAGAACCAGGGGGAACCGCGGGGGAAAAAGTAGTCCTACTCTAGTAAGAAGATCAGTCTTTCCCCGCACCACAATGCGTTCATTGTGGCAGTAACCACTCTCAGCTCTGCAGGAAAAGACATCGTCCCACTATACTGAAGTGGTCATTTTTAAAAAACATAACATCACCCAGACTTTGTGCAACCTAACACGAAAGCCGCTTTTACTAGCAACACATCGACGCTTCCCTACGCTTTATTTTGCTTGCAGTGAAAGCTGTGTACTTAAAAACGTATTATCCTATTCAAAAAGGTAGAATATCATACTAAAATTCATTTCGTAAAGTAATCAGGAAACCGAAGTGAGCAACGGGAAACCCAAGATTACCAAAGCTTTCTTTTTTGGTAATGAATGCAATTCTGAAACAAGAAAAAAGAATAAAAACGACCCCAAGAATAAGAGGTGGACTTATTATATCGCTTGGTGCATTCGCGTGTCACGTCGTTCGTACTTTATAATTCCCACAAGCGGAGCGATTGGTCCTGGTAATGCCTTTGCTTTTCCAGTTCTTCTTGTAGCTTGCCCTATAAAAGTCATAGGCTTTGACTGATTATGTTGTGTTGAACATTTGCAGGGGAAGCAGTTTACAATAACGCATGTGAAGAAATGAATGACTACTTTGTAACCGGGATCGTTGGATCCTATTTAGCATTATAGTTTGCCTGCTTGTCTAGAATGCGTCAAATAATAGAATTAGGATTGCTGTCTAGAATGCGTCGAATAATAGAACTAGGAAGTATAGATAAAAAAAAAACTTTGGCATGTTATTACAGAGTACATGTATTTCTGACCGGCAATGGCCAGTATTTTGCGCATATGGGTGGTCCTCCAGGCCCGAAAGATGACATCGTTATGATGACAGTATCAGCGTGTTCGAAAGGCCAAACAGCTTTAAAAGGAATCGAAGCAAAAAGAAGCCGTACATTCTTGTACGCCCCGAATCCGTCATCGTATCACTTCGACTCGCGGTGCAGACCAACGAACGGCATGACCATGGTCATTACAACGGCTACGAGCAATACCGTTTACAAGTGTGCCGTTGAAAATGTGTCAATTTGTGAAGAGCAGCCATCGTCATATGCCCCGTAAGTACCAATGTAGAAACAGTACCATAGTTTGCCTATATCATATTTGCAACGCGCTCTTCATTAATACCGATATGAACAAGATACAACTACGAATAAGCAAGCAGCAATTGGATCAAAACAATAGGATGTGGCATTCTTTTGTATGGTCCCACCGAGTAAAAACACGAATATCCTAGCAACTCCAGGGCAACAATCCCGCAAATTTTGTTGCAAGATATTTAACAGTTCTTGGCAGGAGTTCTCCAGACAATCGGTCTGTTTACGATAGTTTTATGTCTCAAAAGTTTTAATTGCAGAAGAATTTATACAAAAATAACTGGCTTCATTTCATTTGAGTTTGTAATGTAGATCTTCGCTTCAATATACGTGGTCAAGATAATGCTAATCAAAAAAGAGTCCCAAGTTGGAAACCTTATTGCCCACACCTGTGTGAAGCGTTCATAATTTTACCCTACAAGGGAAATGACCGTTTGAACAACGATGCATTTCCTTAGCATGGCGGGCGTTGCAGCCCATAATCCAACGCCGTGGTTCCTTGACTATACAGTATTCGGGACATGAAAAAAAATCAGAACGATGACATCACCTTTTTATTTTTTGGCGGGCCCTTCAGCAGAAAGCAGTCAATAGTAATGTGAACATTTTATTTTGGTTGTTGGGCTTATCCAGAAAGCGGTTTTAAGTTCCAATCCCCCTCACTCCATATTTCGCTTGCAATGCTTCGCAACATCTTGGCGGTCGCTCGTGTGCGATCCACGTACGCTAAAGCTGCTTACACAACCACTTTGATGCCTACAGCAAAGACTGTTGCCGTCAATGCTGAACAATCGCCCAACCGTGCCACCACTTGGGCTCGTTCTCAACGTCCCAAGGACCAAGCCATGTCGGGTCCTCGTTTTGAACAGACTGATCTTCTCACACAGGTAAATCCGCTCGTACTTGACGTGGTCAAACGAACATCACGTTATTGAACAAATTCTTTAGCCCAACCCCATGGCTGCTATCGAACTCATTGCCGAAGAACCTGTTCGCATGGTGTCCAAACGCATTGCGTCTTGTGACGGTGGTAAGCCAATCGTTACTTGTTTTATTACCAATATGAAACTATATGTTATTCATAAAATATGTTATAGGAGGAGGTGCTCTCGGTCACCCTAAAGTTTACATCAATTTGGTATGGCATAATCGCTTTGATTCGGTGAATAATCATATCTGGGGCAACTGACGTGTGTTTTTTTTCTGTTTCTCTTATTGTTAGGATAAACCCGGTGCTCATGCATGCGGCTACTGTAAGTTTTACCAACAAAACAGCGAGAACAAAAAAAGACGATGAACAATTGACACTGATATTGATTCTATCTGTAGGCGGCATCCGATTCCAAAAGACCGATGACCATCACCACTAGACCCTTGATTAAAAAATCAAATAAAACAAAGAAACAATCAGACGACATCTACCGTTTCCATGCAACAAAATGATGTTTACAATATTTAATCTTTTCAGTAGCCCAAGTATCACGTATTATTCTCCAGTTCCAGGATGATTTTTTCATAGACCGTAATAGCATCTGCAACAGTCATTGGTACTGTTGCCCATGATTCAAAATCACCCAGAGGTTTCACCAACTCACCCTCGGGCCCCATAGTCGCCAAAAATGTTCGTACTGCCTCGATTAAGTCAATTGAATCGTCTTTTGCCGATAGTAACTGATTCTGCTCCGAGGCTGATAGTCGGAAAAAGGAAACCAAAAGATCGCCATGGATCGTATTCGTTTCTCCGTGAGACAATTGGCAGTACCATTCTTTGAAGTCTTTTGATGAACCAAGCAGTAAAGGCACTTCAGAGGCTATGAGACGTTCTTGCAGTGCCAACAGCAAAGCATAGAGTGATGCATCGAGTCGATGAATTTGGATAACGCCGCCCGCCAAGCTGCAACAGACGATCGGTAGAAGCGGTTCCTCGCTCGCCTTTTGGATATCTTTTTCTGTGATTGCCGTCCATGGCAATAAATGTTTTCGGAGCAGTTTTCTCTCCGAGCCTGTATATCGTTGTGCACTTAATGTGCTCAGCATTGGTTGGGTCAGAAGATCGGGATAATGGAATGAAAACAATCGCTGAAGACGATGTTCAAACGATTTATCGTCTATAAACCAAGCAGCATAGGTTAACGACACTAACGTTTGAGGAAGAGGGCAGCAGAACACCCCTTTAAAGGGGATGAATACACACCTGGATCATCATAGAGGCCAACAAGACCACCAGACATGCAGGAGCCCACGGCCATACCGCCGTTTAACAGCATGGTGTGGCGGATTGTCCGTGATACCGTATCGCTAACAGGTGTTCCTAATTAGTGCATGTTCAAGAACTGAAAGGCTGAAAAACAAAAATGCTTCTCACCTTTTGCGGAATTCAATCTTTCCTGAGTCAGGGTCAAAATGATAAAATGAAATGGAATCTGTATGTGAAGCGACGCAGATACGATCGCCTGTCACATGAATTGCCGTGATGAGGAACCGCAGACGTTTGCTTGCTACTTGAACCATTCTACGACATAAAGAGTTGAGCTCATGATTGGACGCATGTTATTCTTATCTGTATTTCACCTTCCCTGCGCCGGATCCAGACGAAATAAATGTAACAAAGAACCTGAAGAAAACAAAAGCCTACATCATGACCGTCAGTCACTCTGTGGGCCGGCATTACATGCTAATGAAGCCTTGACAAGGCAACATTTACCCTGAAGGATGGGGACAGACAGCGTGAACCGCGCCAGGTAAATTTGACTCCATCCACACGAGCCGGAAAGTACGATCGACCATGATTCGATAAATTAACAAGGTGCCTTCTTGCGTGGATGGTAATTTTCGTCCATCACCAAAACTCTGATTCCCTTTTGATCGACTCATGCCCATGCACAGGTAGTTATATATTTTGTGGTTGCGATGAACAGACCATTCTATGTATCCAAGTTAGGCACGCAAAAAAATGTGATCATACTTCAACTCTACCAACCTTTCATGCACAGCACTGTGTCGTCTGGATTGATATTATCCGTCAAAAGATTATGCGGTTTGCGACAAGTCGTCGGTAGGCCACTATATTTACGCCTTCAGTTCATGCCCACAGTAACCATTTTTCACTAGTTTACCTAGCCAAGTCAACGATTCGCAGTAGAGGTTTATATTCGGTAGTTGTACTGCTCGTACTCATGAGCACGGCGTGTTGGAGAGATTCGTTATATACAACTTTTCGTGGTGTCTAAATATGTGGGAAAGTGAGCTGTGGCAAACGGACATACCCTTGGAAACAACTTTGCATTACCTCATTGATGGTTAGTTTTCGACTATGCAGTTGCCTTGTCTGACCAAGTTTATAAATAGAAATTTCGTTTCGGGTGGAGAGGAATAGATGATCTTCATTGGTACCGATGCCGTGGTCTCTTGGGTGGGCTGTGACGTGAGGTATAACAGTGATTGCATCAATCATATTGCGGGGTTTCGGCAGCAAAACCAAGGACATGACCAGTTCATCCTGTGAACCGACATCTATTCGCCATACATATTCTGATAATGCATAGACGGACGAAGGTACTGAAGCCGACGTTAACCGAACTGGTAAGGCGCCAAGATGATACCGAAGCGGCGGATCATTGAATAGCGGCACCTTTTCATTGTTATGCCATTTGAAAGCGAGTAATGTCCCTTCACGCAAGCCAAGCAAGAAGTAAGAAATATCACCGTTCCCAATGACAGCTGCCGATTGGGGTATGGAAAGAGGACCGTCGGCTGCATCTAATCCATCTTTAGTGTTAGGATCACGACATAATACTGCGCATTCGATGTGTAATATTACCATAAGCAATCACTTTTGGCGCTCGGAGTTGTTGTTTATGTAATGTATACAGATACAAAGTAGCGGTAAATGTTCCGACGGCAATAACAGAAGATTCGCTAACGGACAGTGAAAGAGTTAACTTATGCACTTAGAAGCAGCTCTAGATGGAGCATTTACCAGCAGTTAAGGTAACCTAGGTAACTGGGCTCTTCCTCTAGGACTATCTGAGCAACCGGGTGCATATGTAAAGAGCCACTACAGACAAAGTGAGTCGATTCCAAACCGCTGACATCCGCTTCATTGTGCTTACTGATGCATGTCAAACTCGACGTCAAAGACACATAGTTCATTTCGCATGCCTCTACGAAGACAAAGAGCCACCTGGAAACTGTGATCGAATGTGTGGTAGGCTGTGCCAAATAGAATAGATCGGTCATCAAAACCGCTATTGATTGTTTGCGGTTTCCACTCCAGAAGCAGGTTGCCATTGCAGGGCTCGTTTTCCGATACATGATTTTCCACAAGGATCCATCGGATGCTTCCAGGGCATATCTGGCAAAGGACCTTGTGATCGTGTATGTTGATAATATCGGCAAAAAGTGTTTTTTGACCATGCTGAATCCAGAGCTCATGCTCACAATCCCGAATATATCCGGCTTCCGAAAAATAAAAGAGATGAGCTTCTTTAGTCGCCGTGAATTGTCGTTGCGCACCCACCTTTGAAAGAGAGTGCTTTGGTGTAAAGTCCGGACATTAGCAGCAGGTACGATTTGCCGTTACGATCTGTGTTTGGCGATATTGGAAATCCCCACATCTGAGTAATCCTTTCCATCTTCAATATGAGTGATTTCTCCGTTTTACTGAACCCCTTTTCTTTAGCACCTACCCTCGACACCCGCTGTCGAACGGTTCAATCAAGTCGGCCGAGATGCCGTTGGTGATAAAACTCAGCGATCCACCACCGTGTTGACCCGAGCAAGCAATGAGTGCGTCCTGCGCACCTTCCATACTTGGAGCAATGGTTGCATTACTCAAGGGAGCTCGGTTGGTCATCGTCTGCATGATAATCGGCTCAGGAAACGGGGTCTGAGTTCCATATTGAGCGATCTAAGACGTTGTGTGTCAGGCGAGCTTTTTCTCATATCGACGGAAAAATCACGAGTTGTCGAACAGCCTACCGCAATCACTTGACTGTCTGCACTTTCCCCGACATAGAATAAAACATCGGCCGGGATAACATTGTCATCATCCATCATTTGGATCGTTCCCAACGCGCACATCGCTTGTCCTATGGGATTGCTACCAGCAAACCATTCCCAGCTAATGTCATCCAGATCCGAAAGATCTACGCGAAACATCTGTCCTTCAGCAGAACCAAGGTATATCAAATGTTCTTGCGGTTCCGGAAGCAAAGCAAAAGAGGTAATCAAAGGACCTATAACCCCAATTTTAATGCACTGCCGAAAATTTGGCAAGACCACGGAACTTACAATCGAGCTCACCAAAAGGACGTGGTATCAAGCTAGTGGGATAGTGGACGTTGCCACTCGCGACATCGTCTGTATTGAAGACAGAGATGTATTGTTCCTGGCCACAAAAAAAAATGAGCCATAACACTTCAATTGATGCTGCGGATTATTTCTCATACCGTCACCAACAACATTGTTTCCGGTTTGAAAGCGAGAGGAATCAATAACACAGGTAGCGGGGTATCTATTGAAAAAAAAAATAGCTTAGAACATTACCGCCCGGATAGAGTTTTTCAATTATTCGGTCTATTTCGAGACAAGTTGGGATCATGCGGTGATTTCTTACTTCTTTCAAGAGGAAGTCGTCCGATGCGTCGGACAATTACATCGTCAGGGTTGGATGCGTCAATAATGTATACAATCACGCGACAAAGCCGTTCAATATCACTAGCCACATATTGTCAACATCCATATCGTCTCAAACAGGGACCACTACACCGGCCTAAGCCAAAGAAAAAAAAAAGCTTACTTATAAACAACTGTACACAGTACAATACGATCTGGAGTGGCATGTTCGGTGTGTAAGAATTCCATATGCCACAAGATGCCTTCTTCAGTAACTGAGCCCATCTATTATGCGTTGAATGCTGTGGTTCTCGTTCATGGATATCATTTCATACCCCGACAAACGGATCAAAGGATGTTCGTGATGCACGTTGATTCAGAATGAAAATGTCAAAGCGATCTTGATACGATGCAACAGCAAGAGCACGCGAGCTAGCAAAACTCATGGTCAAAAATCAAATGCATCGGTTAATTGTTCGCACGGCTTACTAAGGATCAACAGCGAGCTTTTTCCCGATCTTTGTGTATTCCAAGCCGGGCTTTTCCAACATGACCTGTGGAAGCAAACAGCACATCAGTATCCTTACATGTCCATAGAATCGAGGTACATAACATTTTTACCTCTGCAAGCGTCTCAAACCGTTTGCCTGGCTTTTGATCTGCTGTCTCAAAGGATCGAATTGTCCAAAACACCAATTTACCATATTCAGACACGGCCGCGATAACATCGTTCCCCACGATGGTTGGATGATCCGATCTCGCCCTGAAAGTATATGGTGATTGAAGGATTTCTCTTTTCTTCGTTTCGTCGACATCCATATTGATTTCGCTGCTATTTTCTGTGTCCCAATGGAACCGTATCAGCCGTATATCGTTTACAAGTCCAAACACCGGCTGTTCAAACTGTCGCACCAATATTGATGCATCGTCATTCGCATCAATTGGCTGCTTTATATAATGCTCCAAGGAACTCCCCTATCGAAGTAAACGACATTTTAATGGGAAATTGTGCGTTGAGGTTACTGCTCATGGTTTGCTTCGAAATACGCAGATGTACCTTGACCAGAATAACGTCAACCTCAGACGGGCCGGATACTGCTCCTTGCAGCACTTTCTCAATAGCGGTTCCGTAAAGAGTCGAGCGATAATACGCATAAACTGCACTCATCGTCGTCGTCGGTATGTGGAACTTTATGCTGAGGTGTGTGTGCACGGCCGGTTTGTATGCTCTGCGTGTGCGAAAGAGTAGGCAAAGCAAAATGGTAAATTTGAAAGCCCGCACCCAACGACAAAATGTGACTGTTGATTCGAGCCGGAATTGGAAAAACTCCAAAGGGAAACCGATGCCAGTGGCAGCACTTAGTTTTTTTTTTTTCTCCTTCCGTTCTGTGCCATGCGTTGTCGTTGTGGATCAAACAAGGTTGAGGCCGATGCCGCTTCAGGAACTACCTACTGTGTAGCATGTGGTGAAGTAAGTTGACTAATAGCTGAGGATCCCTTTTTTTCTCTTGGTTTTTTCTAGTACTGGGTCGACTCATGATTTGTCTTTTTTCCTGTTATTAGGTCCTGGAAGAAAACAATATCGTTGCGGAAGTGCAGTTTGCCGAAATGTCTGGCGGTAAAACTGTGCTTCAAGGTACATTCGCCGGTGAATCAGGTAAGCCAAGACAGTGTTACATGGCTGAAAAGGTACATTGTCGTCTAATCACTTCAACGATATATAGGTCGTATTACCTCCGCTGGCACCTTTGGCCGTCATCGTGGAAAGGAAGGCCAAGAACAAGCAGTCGATAATGGTAAGCTTTAATATAATTGTCGATCTCCCAAATAACAACAACAGCGGTACTGATGTGGGTTTTTAGGTCGACAAAAAATTGCGAGAATTGCCCACGCTCTTCGTTTACCGGAACGTTATCGAGAGGCTGCGCAACGTTATTATAATTTGGCTGTGGCGAATCGATTTACCCGCGGTCGTAAAAGTGACCATGTGGCTGCCGTCTGTCTGTATATTGTTTGCAGAAATGAACAAAGCTCCCAGATGCTGATCGATTTTTCTGATCTGCTACAAGTAAGTTGGCAAACATGTTCTCCTGAAGCTGAATCCGAGGACTAACAAGTTTTTTTTTTTTTTTTTATCATCATTATTTTATAGGCAAATGTATTTGTACTTGGTTCAACCTTTCTGAAACTTGTACGTGTGCTGGTATTGAAATTGCCCCTTATTGATCCTTCCATCTACATCTCTCGATTCGCCGCAGCATTGGACTTTGGCGATTACACCCAGCGAGTCGCCCATGATGCCGTACGACTGGTGCAACGTATGGATCGTGATTGGATTCGTACCGGTCGTCGTCCCGCCGGTATCTGTGGTGCATGTTTGCTAATTGCAGCCCGTATGAACGGTTTCCGTCGAACTACTCGTGAAATGATTTATATTGTCAAGGTAGCGGATGTCACTATCCAAAAGAGGTAAGTCCCCTTTAGCTGAAAAACAGATATCAGTAGGCATGAAAACTAAGACGATCTATCCAATTTAGATTGCAAGAATTCAAATTGACCGAATCATCCAAACTCTCGATGCGTGATTTTCGAACGTTATGGCTGGAAACGGAAGCGGACCCGCCTGCTTTTACGAAAAACCGAAAAAAGCAGAAAATGGAAGAACTCGAGGAAGGAGAAGAGGCCGAAATCGAAGTCGAAAGTAGAAGAGGATCTTCGGTCAGCAGAGTGAGATTCCTCAACAACTTCTCCGAAGACACTGGATGCGTCAACGGAGACATCGAGAAAAATCCAGAAGAGGAAGCACAGATCGATCATTTGATCAATCCGGACCTCGAATCGGTTGCCAAATCAATGGAAAAAGAAATCGACGAAGATCTTCCTGAAGAAGCTGGCATGACTGAACCTATTGTAATGCCCGATCCCAGCGATCTTCCTGATCCGGAAACAGATAAAGAAGCCAAAGAATGGGAGAATGAATTGAATGAATGGATGCACGATAAATCCGTCGTGGAAGCGACCGAAAAATTAGGTAAGCAGGAAGCAGCAGTCGGGGAATCTCAACGTCTTATGCATACTAAACTTATCGGCGTTTTACTTTTTTCCAGCCTCCGAAGTGAATATCCGGAAAGAGGAAGAAGAGCATCTCTCCGATGTGGATGATGAAGAAATTGAAGCAGTGATCCTGACGCCGGACGAAGTGAAGATTAAAACGCTCATCTGGTACAATGCAAACAAGGAATATCTTGAAGAGATGGCAGTCAAAGCAAAGAGACTGGAAATGGATCGACAAAATGGTATCATCCCGAAAAAGGTAAGCAATTCATTGGCTTGCATGGATTAGGCAAGAACATATACTGACGTTACTTGATTTAATTTATCCAGAGAGGTACCAAACGAAAGAAATTGCCCCAAGCGTCGACTCCTGCGGAAGCGGCGAAACAGCTCATGGTCACGAAAAAGATTTCACGCAAAATTAACCAAGCCGTGTTTGATGATATGTTTGAATCGCCGGAATCGATTGCCAAGATCAAAGCACGCGATACGTTCAAGCAGTCGCAGGATGGCAAAGAAGGCGGCGATCCCGAGACATGGGAAGTGGTGGAAGAATCGGGCGATGCGCCTGCACCGAAGAAGGTCAAGGGTGACGGCAAGGAAGGTGATGATGCGGACGAAAAGAAGGGCAGCGATGCTGAAGAAGATGAAGATGAAGAAGACATGGATTCGGATGATATGGCGGAGGACGAAAAATTCATGAGAGACCAACGTGCCCAGTTTGGCTTCAATGAAGAGGTCACTGAAGACAACTACTATGACGAACACGGAGATTTTGAAGATTACGATTAGATGTTGTTCCTGGTTCCCTCCCATCCTCTTTCTTTGCGCCTTCCCCTTTATCCACCCTTTCATTCGCATATTTTCGATATCATCTTATGTAGCATAATTGTGTTGATCACAGTATTCTCTATTCTATCATTACAGCATTAGTACTTTTCTTTCCTTATTTCTCTTGTAATTTCCGTTTCCATTTCGTGTTTCATTTCAAAATCAACGTATAACTGCAATTTCAGTTTACTTTTTTTTCTGTCTTTGTAAGTTCCGGTTTTAAGAGTCGAGGTTGTTCATTTGCTAAAATAAGGTCAGATGTCAACATCTTTTTTTTTGTGCTTTCCACACTTCTACGCTGTCGCTATCCAGGCTTCCGAAATAGGCTGCTTCTGCCATGTTACAAAAGAGCCCCACTTCCAGGACGCCCGTCAAAAGTTTCATCTCCTTATACAGTAATGCAGGGTCATGAATTGTGGTTTGACAATCGAGAATAAAGTTACCATTATCCGTGACCACTGGGCCTGCTTTATCGGTGGGAGTCGCCATCCGCAGCTTGACCGTCGCGTCAGAAGGTAACACGGATTTGAGTTGTCTTGTTACCGTCGTCAAGGCCATCGGCATCACCTCCACAGGGATTCCGCGGGTCCACTAAGAATAATCAAGCAGCATGAGGACACTTTCAGATAATTTTTCTCGACTCCTCACATACCTGTGTTCCGAGTTGCCTGGATTGTTTCCGTTCGTCTAAAACATGCGAAATCAGATACGGTCGCAAATCATCTTTGTTTGTTTGTGGAGAAGCGTATTACCAGCGATCAGAATGAATCGTTCAGAGGCACGGGCTACGAGCATTTCCTGAAATAGACACGCACCACCACCTTTTATGGCATTCAGCTTTGGATCCACTTCATCCGCTCCATCAATGGTGAGATCAACGACAGGATGTCTATACAGAAAGAATCAGTACAATATGCCTCACAACAGCACCATGCAATAACTCACTCATTGAGTGATCCGAGTCTCAGTTTGTTCTTCAAAATGAGTTGTTGCGTTTGAAAGCTGGTAGGGATGAAAATGAGATCGTGCAGTTCTTTTCGCTGCTTGATGCGTTCAATAGCGAATTCAATGGTGGTGCCGGATCCTAGTCCTACGACACGTCTATTCAACGCGGAGGAGTTTAAGCATTGGTTCACTGCTTCGTAAGCTGCCGAGCGCTTAGCAATATCAGCTTTGGAAACAGCTGTTTGATATGCACGACGAAGTGCAGGGCCAGTTTTGCCGAGGAACATTGGAAGCAACAAACAGCTCAAAATCTGGCTGGCAGCAGCATGACAATTCATCGCCCAATGAAATGTTTCAATTACCACAGCAAAATCTACCACCAAGTGCCCTTAACATTAAATTAGGTTACCCATGACATCGTTGGATCATTTGGAGAATAAGTTTGCTAGAGTTATGCAAGGCAAATGATAACAAAAATTAAAGCAACATGCGAAAGTGTGTTAGTCAAACAGAAAAAAATATCATATCAATACAGTATGGCAGTAAAAGCAAACTGTGGATGACGTATACGTACCTGTAGACTGACGGGCCTTTATTGCCCGGAAGAATCAACCGTGTGAGCCAGGGCGGACTACGCACTACCACTGAACAAACTATTATAAACCCATGACATCTAGTATATTATACCAATTCTTATTCTTCAGGATCAGGAGCCTTGAGTTCACTTGCAGATTTAAAAAAAGAATGAGTCAGCCTCGGAGAAAAAGACTATCTTGAAAGATAGGATAGAGATCTTTGACATACGCAGTGTGTGTCCATTTTTATAGATTTCCATGTAATTTACACTGCCATTGAACTAATCACTTGGGAATTCTAGTGAGAAATATCGTGAGATTTAGCTGCGATGCACAGAATAATAAAATTGAATCTTTTTATTTTTATTTTTATTTTTATTAACAAGCCGTACACCCGCTGTGCAATGGATGCCGCCTGCCACCGGAGGCCGCCCCCTTACATTGAGCGACTTTCGTCAGACAAAAAGCCTAACGCATACACGGCATAACCTGGGCGAGAACTCTTGACGGAACTTCGGTATATTAATGACAACCTTATGGCATACGTTGCAACGTGATTTGTTTCTGAACACGCGCAGGGCAGCACTGGTTCCCCCCCTCAGTTCCATCCCGCCCAGGCTATGATAGATCTAGAAAGATGTGTGGGTATGTTGGGTATTTAAAAAAATGAGTTAGTAAGCTCTTTGATTGATTCAAATTTTCGTCAAGATATTTTACCTTTGTTATTTGAGTTTACAATAGCCATTGATCGCTTGACACGACTTGGGTTATATGACATTGAAAAAATTTGAATTAGTATACGTTCATTACATCATAGCAAAGGAAAAGAAATTGGACTTGCCTTTGAACCAAATGGTGTATCGGAAAAAAAGAAGATGAACACCGACCTCTCAATCATTATAAAATGAAGAGAATCAAAGGGCATATATAGTATAACTGACAAATAAAAACAAATTGAATGATGCTACAGAAGAACGCCAGTCGTATCATCAACCACTTTTCTTCAAAAAGAGCTCTACTCACATTTTTATTCGAAAAACGACGATACTCTGTTTGACCACAACTGGTGCAAACGGCATCTTGCTGCTGATTGTTTCGCCTATTATCGTGAAAGTGGGCAGCGAGGCATGGTTGAAAGATGAAAAAAAGGTTTAACAGGTCTTGATAACTTAGTGTAGATCATGTGATTTACAAAATCGCTAATTTCCCAAAAATTTTAACTACTCTAATTTTCTCTACCACTTCATTGTTCATGTAAATGTTGTGATCCGGGGCTTGGATGATATTTTCTGAATAATTTATCATACATATGCACATTGTCTTGATGGCGATCCCATGAAATCTTGAATGATAAGAAAAATGTTTGATATCACGAAGATGTAATGGAATATAATTATTTTATCTGCTTATTAACCCTTTTGATCTCGATCGTATTCTAATATCAAGTGAATAACCCATTTGGGACAAGACATACTGAATAATCAATGCTGTGATGTATGGTAACATAACGGTTATAGAAAATATGATAATGTTATGGCATATGAGAGTGTCATTACAGTATGCCGCTGGCCACGTCGACTCAATAAATGTAAACTCAAATTTTTAAACAAAACAATCTCGGCGACAAAAAAATAGAGCAACTACATACAATGGTGTATATCACCCGAGCCTGGCTCGCAGTAAATGGCATCTAGCCATTCGATTAAAAAATCTCCAGCCTCCACTGGAAGCGGAAAGTCACTGTGTAGCCGCTTGGATTTTCATCTATTTAGACAAGAGCGACCATTGAAAAATCAGCTTTGATTCACACAGTGGAGAATTGCCTGAATTAAGTATCGTTCGACCTTGTTATCCACGTATTGACAGGGTTACCAGGTATCGCCAAACGGATAATCGTCGATTGTCGCTTTGTGCCACGGTCACGGAAACCAGAAAAAACGACGATTTGAAACTCCTACAGCAGGGTCAAGATCTTTTTTTTTCTTTTCCTTCTTATTTTTTCGGTACCTTGTCCTTTGTAGTTTTTGGAGGAAAAAAAAACGCCATGTCGCTCGTCACTTTATTCAAGACTGCTAGTCGTCGCAGTGTCCAAGCGATTCCTCGTATTGCACCTTTTCGGAGACCTGTACCTGCTCGATTCCAATACCAGCGAACTTATACCACCCAGAAACCTTCCACGCCTCAATCAGCCAAGATCTCATCGTTGCCATCGTCGCAGCAAGTAATTCAGCAAGCCAAAGACAAAGCGGCTCCCAAGGTTGGAAAGCTAAAAGAGCTGGCTCAGAAATATGGTGCTGTCGGCGTGCTCGTTTATCTCGGTGTCGGCTGCGTGGATCTTGGATTGACATTTGCAACCATAGAAATGGTGGGTCAGCAAAAGGTGAAACAAGTGGAGAAGAGTGTGCTTGATATTTTCAAGAATGCCAAAGCAAAAATGGGTCTTGGTGAAGCGGTTCCAACCTCTACTGAAGAGAGTGCTCCTGCTGCGGATGATGATGACGAGAAAGCCTCTTTTGCTTCGATGTTCCTGTTAGCTTATGGTATTCACAAGACCGTCTTTTTACCGGTACGACTGGGAATTACCGCAGCTATCACACCTGCCGTGGTTCGAAAACTTCATGCTCTCGGATGGGCCCGCTACGCACCGAAACTTTTAGGTGGCGCCAAAAAGGCTTGAGGACGGGTTCATCTTTCCGGATGAATCATAAACGTGGCTAAAAAAAATGCTTGTGTCTTTTCATTCTCAGCTGTTGTCCCTTCGGCATTTGGTTGCCGCAGGGAAATCCTCGCTTTCAATTCATAACTCATTCCCCCCGCTCATCTTTAGTGTTCGTTGTATCCTTCCCTATTTGCATTCATGGCTTCTTTGTTTAGAATATAGAATTTAATTTAGATTTCAAGATGGTACTGTCAGTTCAAAGAATTTTTTTTTTTGCCTTCCCATAAATTGCTAATTATGCTTCCAGTTCTTTGCAAATCTTTGCCAACGCTTTTGCAACATCTTCAAACTCATCCAATTCGTTATACACTTGCGCACTGAATCGAGCCCACCAGCGATGATTGTGTTTGTAGACAGTTACCAGCGCGTGGTAGTCGTACATCAATTTATCCACAAAGGTCTGCGAGATTTCGTGATCCGATTTTGATACATTGGATAACGGGAGTTCCACGTTGATCATACATGTCGACAAAGTGCGATCCTCGTTTTCCATGACCTGGGTTCCCAAAATCTCGGCCGCTCGTTGTCCGCCTTTTTGCGCTAGATCGGTACAATAAGCTTGGATGGCTTCTTCTCCTCCGAGAGAAGCACGGTAATCCAGCGCTGCAGCGGGGCGGGATCAGTAACTTCAACATACCCCTCCTCGGATTCACATATCTTACCAGCATTGATGCAGAGAAAATTGCTAAAGTCAATTGCACCAGGCCAATCGAATGCCGCTTGAAAGTTGCATACCGAGTTGGCAGCTTCTTGAGGACTTTGATAAAATTCGTTGATGACAAGCGGCTGGATGAGATGTTGGTTACGTTTGGGTACGTAAAGTATGGCCGAGCTGCGTGGTGTAAACAGCCATTTGTGACAGGTGGAAATGAAAAAGTCCGGATCCGTTTCATGCAAATTCAACGGCAAATGACCTAACCGAATTCAGCAACTGCACTATCCCAATGAATGGGTACTCTTGCCCCGTTCAGGATTGGTGCGCTTTACTTACCAATGGTGTGAGCGCCGTCAACGAATGACATAATGTCGTACTCCCTTAGTAACCGAACCATCGCTTCATACGGGAATCGGACACCAGGTGTAGAGGAAATAGCATCAACAACTGCTAGACGGATACGACCATTGTCTTTGGCTTGCTCTTCTTCAATGATTGACCTTGTTTTATCCAGAATAGCTTGATCACTGAGTGGATAGGCAAGTTCAACCGTGACCGTGAGACAATGATGCGTGTCCTTCATATAGGTCAAAGTACGCTCCGTCACGTTGAAAGCGGTTGAAAACTAGACAAGGGAAAGGTTAAGCCGTGAAAGTGGTTTTGGCGAGCCGGTTTATTCACTTACACATAAAACTTTGTCTCCTTTATTGAAAGGAAAGCTTCGTAGAATAGAACAAAGACCGTGAGAAGCATTGGCAATAAAAGACATTTCCTCAGGGTGGCAGTGAATAAGCGCCGCCAGTCGTTGCCTATTGCTATCCAGTTCAGGATACAGCCAGCGGCGTAACCAACGGTCAGGATGACTTTCTGCTTCCATTTGGTATTTATGCAAGACAGGCAACAAAGCGCGTGGCCAGGCCCCGAATGCACCATGATTCAATGGTGTGTATTCGGGTTCAAGGAAAAACTCGGATCGCATTGCGCGACCGAATGTCTTTTGAGAATCTTTTGTCATGGCAATACAGTAATGAGGGAATGAGTAAGATAGAGAAACCAGTAACAGCAGTCGATAAATGACCAAGTTCGCGCGGATCGCTATTTTAAGGTTCGACCTTTTTGTGACGCGATTTATGTCAGCAGTGCATCAATGATGATCAGAATCGGAAAGCTGCGCCTCACTCATGAAGGATTAATGGGTGCATTTTTTTTTGTCCGTCAATTTCTATTTCCGGAAATATGGCATTGCTCATTTTTCTCACAATGATTTACAGTTGCAGTTGCACAGAAATGGGTTGGTCGTAGTGACCTTTTCATTCTCAGCTGCTCTGTCTTTGTGTGTAGACATGCTATGATCCTTGAAAGTGCAACGCCTTAAATATATTTCTAATAAAGAAAATGATAGCTAGTTGGTAGACAGCTCGTAGAAGAATGCAAGAAATTGCAAGAAACAAACATTGGATGCACCGCATGTTTCACCGCGATATTTTATTCCCATCGTAGTTTTTGCAACACACAAACAAACCAGAAACATCGGAATATCGATTCGCAGCAACGTTGGGCTTTCACGCTGTTTACTTCTTTATCCAACCACTTGCATCTAGTAATCATCATATTGCTTTTGATTCCCTCCAATCAAACCTCCCATTATCCGCTTGCGAAATCATCACTTAGTTTGTGCGGCGACTCAACAGCATCTTCTTCGAGTATATTCGTCGTCGGACCATGGTTACAACGCATATTCTCGATGATGAACTCACTGAATCGCCTGCGGCTATGACCGAATCGGCCATGGCCGAAGTCCACCCACACACATCAAATTTCTCAGTGGGGAATGGAACCGTCACCAGTACCGTCCCGCTCAAAGCGATCGGAAACTATATCATGCGAGAAAGTATCGGTAAAGGAAGCATGGGCAAAGTCAAACTGGCCGTGCACAAGGTCACGGGAGAAAAAGTAGGTTTCTTCTTTTTTCTTTACCTTGATCTTCTTTCAATCCAGCACAGTAAAGGCGGTTTCTTATATTTAATCTATAGATCGCTGTCAAAATTATTCCACGTGCGGATGCGCACAAATGCATGTCAGCCAAACAATGCGCACACGAACAAAGTCGAGAAATGCGAACGATTCGAGAAGGCCATATCATGCTTCTTCTGAATCATCCTCACATTGTGCGCTTAAAAGAACTCACAACCATCGGACCTTATTTCTATATTCTTATGGACTACGTAGGTGGCGGTCAATTGTTGCATTACATCGTCAAACGAAATCGATTGTCGGAGAAACATGCACGTCACTTTGTTCGCCAAATCGTTAGTGCATTGGATTATATGCATCGTAATTCGGTGGTTCACCGTGACCTCAAAATCGAAAACATCATGGTCGATCAATCCGGTCGCAACATCAAAATTATTGATTTTGGATTATCCAATCTTTTCTGTCCCGAGCGATTACTAAAGACCTACTGTGGATCGTTGTATTTCGCCGCACCCGAATTACTACGATCCACACCGTATCGTGGCCCCGAAATCGACGTGTGGAGTCTTGGCGTAGTCATTTACGTTATGGTGACTGGATCCATGCCATTTGATGATCGATCCATGCCTGGCCTTCACGAAAAAATCAAAAGCGGTCAAGTCGCCTACCCTGCACACCTTAGTCCAGAATGTCGCGATTTGTTATCGCGTGCATTTAAAACCGATCCTGAAGCAAGAATTATCCTGGCAGATATCATTCGACATCCGTGGCTGAACAAAGGTTATGCTGCACCAGTGGAAAACTATCTCCCCACGCGAAAACCTCTGCAACTGCCTCTGGATCCTAGAGTCGTTCATTCAATGACTTACGGGTTTAACATGGGCACCACACGAGATATCCGTTTAAAGCTAGAGCTTATCGTCAATTCACCTATTTATCAGACGGCCGCAGACCATGTGGCGACTTGCCAAGCCCACCAGGATGCATCGTCCTGTATTACAAACCCTATGACTGCTTCACCGTATCCTCACGGCTACGATGACCCACAAACCGTACCAGCTGCTTATCATCCTTTGCTGTCGCTTTATTATTTGACCCAAGAACGGCTCGTTCAAGCCGAAAAGAACAAGCGAGCAAGCCAGACTACCCGAACCACCTCTTGCTTATCAACGATCCCTAGTGGTTCGGTTTCTACCACTTCTGATCATGCAAGTAATCCAAGTTCAGTCGATCGTTCCAGGTCCCATCCATCGTTTTATGCTACATCAGCTGCTGCACCGTCTCCTGGGATGATTCCATCAACAACACCCATGTCCATCGCTTCATTACCATCGAAACACTGCAAGCATCGATTATCGTTGCCTACATCCTCACGATCAGACACGTCTCGGTACCCACATGTTTTCCAACTTCCACCCTCGCCGCCCTCCTCGGGCGAAGAAATGAGCGAAAGTCAATGCACAAAACGATCCATGTCTGCTCCCATGTCGACTTCTGGCGGACCTTCCCGAGACTGTTTCCATCGCTTTCAAAGATGGCTATCTCGTTTCAAAAAGACTTCAAGAGGAGCATAGTATCATATTCTGTATTTCATACTGTACTTGGTATAGATTAGATTAGAAAAGCATTTCATTTTACCCTAATATAGCATGACACATCGAACTGCGCAACCATGCATTTCTGTTTTTCATCCTGGCTCCAGATTACGGGATCCATAGCTGCAAACGATGTTCGTTTCTTACGGTAATATTACGCATATGTACTTTTTATTAGGCAAGAGTTCTCCATAATAATTACGTTATGGATTTAAATCGATCGTAAAGCACCCACATCGCTAGTAAAAGTTTCAGATATATTCATCGTTGTAGCCCAAATAGAAGCGACACATGAAGAATGCTGCATCGGTTTTCTATAATGCTTAAAGATTGTTTTGCTGTTTGAAGGCGTCCCATGCACCATTCAGAGTCGTAAAGATGCCACTTGCAAGCATACGTTGTTCAACCGTCGTGGAAGCAGGTAACTACCGTTTTTAAAGCCTAAGTACCATGGGTTACCCAGCCATCCAGTGTTGAGCTTACCTTATCCGGATGAACCTTGGCAATCGCTTTCATATATGCAATTTTGCATCGTTTCGGATCCACCAATTCGCTCATGGGAGTTCCCCGCCATTGTGCACCGTGCCACATCAACATATCCAATGACGCTAATAATGCACGCAAATTGTTTTCCTTTCCTGACTTCCAACTGTTGATGCGATCGTTGACAAAATCCGCCTTTTTGAGTTTTTCCGCTTCCTCCGCTTGCAGTTCTGCCTCGCGTGCTCGATAAGAAGCCAATGCTTTCCCTACTACCACCGGTTTCGCAGTCGATGGTTTGGGCTTCATTGGCGACGATGCAGCCGACGCAGCGAAACCACCATGGCCCATTGTTTCCGACGGTTGAGGTTTTTGCGTAGCCGGTGTCTGTACGGATGATGTGCGAAGTGGAGAAGGAACTGAAGTATCGTACACGGCAGATGAAGGGGTTGAGAAACGAGGGATGGGACTGGCGCGAGCCGATCCGACATTTGGAAATGCTGGTGACGGATTTCGGCTCTTCACTGGACTCTGCATTTCAAAGATGGAATAATCGAGATTTGGGAAAGCAGATGTTTGACTCTGTGATGTGGATGAGGATTGCTGTGGTGTGGATGGTATGGTCGTACGATCCTTTTTGCCAAATGTCCGGCACCGTGCAGCTGCTTGTGACCATTGCGGGTTATTCGTATCCACGGTATTGGCGAGTTCGTCGTAGATGGTCAGTGCTTCCTTGTAACGCTCTATATGTTCCAAAGCTGCTGCTTTTTGTCCCAACGCTGTGATCACTTGCTGTCTCCAGTACTCGCTGCTGTCAGTTATACTGATTGTTTTCGGCCGGGCAATATCTAACACAGTGTCGGCGTCCGCTACTGCTCTTTTATAATCGCCACATTTCATGCGGGCGGCTGCGCGTAAGTTGCTGACAACCGCTACCTGATCATGATCTCTCGGTAGAGCTGCCAAGGCACGACTATACGAAGTAATCGATTCATCGAAATGGCCCAAGTTGTACTGTTCGTCGCCCAAGAATTTTTCTTTGGCAGCAATAGTAACGGTGTCTGTAGATGCTTGCGATCGAAGTGGCGATGGTGTCTGTAAGGATGCTTTGGGATAACTCGATGTAAAGCCTTCCCTCGTCGGCCTGTTCTGTTGTTCTTGTTGCTGTTTCCTTTGCATCAGGTATTCTTTACGAATGCGCTCTTGCTGCTTTTTCCATTCCTCTTCCCTTTGGCGCTCTATCGCTGGATCTTCGTCTGAACTGTCGCTGTCCTCTTCACCTGCATCACGCCCATTCCGATTTTCCCCTAGACTGCTCCACGCTGAGGCTGCTGAAAATCGCGTTTGGTAGGCTTCTGCTGCCTGCGTGGGAGCCTCTGTTGCTGCTTTCGGGGTTCCAGCTGAGGAACCTGTGTTCAACTGAAGCAGATCCTCATCTTGGCTTGGTGCTGGTGTGGAGGCCCGATCAGTTTCACCGGCGGTATTGATGAGTCGATCGATAGCCGCTTGTAATTGACCGTTGGAGGCTTCTAAAGCACGCTTTGCCTTGATGTAGTCGAAACCCATTTCTACAAGTGTCTCCAAGTCCGGATTGGCTTTTCTCTGGTTCAGTGGTGAAAAGGATGTTGCACCGGTACTGATCGGAGAAGAAAATGTTGTATGCTGTTTAAACGATGATGCGGTCGATTGTGGCCGGCCCGAGGAGAACAAAGGAGAGTGTTTGTCATTGAAGCCAAGCTTGGTTGACGCGCTGTTTGTTCCGCTGGCAACGGGTGACTATTATTAAAAAAAATTGAATGAGCTCCATGATACCATAAAACGAGGCGACAAGCTTTTATGCACCTGGAATGTTTCGGTTGTCGATGCTGGCAATCGCATTCCATTGTCTGGACTCATCATGTTTCTTGAGTAGGATGCTTTGTCCCGACTGGCATTCGTCGTTGTGCTTGATTTCAAACGAGCCATGGAATGTGACGCCAAGTATGTCGGGGTAATGAGGTTATGCGGCGATGAAGAGGTGTACATGGATAAATGAACAACGGACAGTTTGGGATTCATATGCCTTCGAAGAACAAGATGCGGTTCTGATAACTCTTTTTGGGAACTCTGAGAGCCATTTATTGATGTTTGTGGTTTGGACGCGGAAATGGCTGGAGACAATCGCTCTGGCAACTCGGTCAAGGCTGGCGATGACGTGTGGTTTGCTTCCTTGTCGTTGTGGTGCTGTAGACCTGTCGACAGCTCGCGCGGCTTTTTCGGCACAGACGGAGCGGACGATACCCTTTTTTCCCATGGCCGTAACCGAGGCTCATGGTCCAAGCTGGTCATGATGAACAAAAAAAAAAAAAAGAATTTGAAAAAAATTCCGCTGCTGGCAGTGACGATGCGTTATGAAGCTTTTTTAATGCAACGCGGCGTTGTTTAAAAAAGAAATGATATTGTTTCCAAAAATGAGATGCAGCAGTATTATTTTACAGAAATAAATTGCCCATGTAATGTGCCGTTGTTAGGTGCGGCATCCAGCGCCAAAAGACGGGTTAGAAAGCCGTACACCTCGATATTGAAGAACGGTGCCAGAACCGTGCCGGGCGCATAATCACGCATCACATTCGGACCTTTGGCCATGAAGATAGCACGCATTTCGGGGGCCATGTTGTCGTAGCCATGAATGCCACGCGGTCGGTAACACGGAGCAGTATCAGGATCAAATTCGTCATGCGTGGTGAATGAATACCCGACGTCGGGAATAGTGACAATCGGAGCAATCCGCAATGTGCTGCTGTAATGAAACCGTGCTGGAACGTCCTCACGGCGGTATACTCGAAAATGGGCCTCAGGCACTTGTTGGGTATAACTGTGAAGCTCCTCATACACTTGATCCACAATATGTGAGGGCGCGTTCTCCACTGGGCGCAAGTTGAGCATCGGCCAAGCTTCTCGCTCCCGTAGATAACGTAACGATTCAGTAGATAAGATATCGTCATAGAAAATAAGCCTTGATTTATCGGTTGGCGCCATACCATGGTCGCTTACAATGACAATATCCACTAACGCGTCCAAGTTCCGCTTTTTCAAACCGTCCATAAGATGACTGATCGCCTCATCCACTTGGGTCAGATTACGATTCATCTGTGAGGATAAAATCATATATTAGGCGCCCCGATAGAATACCTGCTAACCCATAAAGCAAACAATGACATACCTGTGGACCGTCGGGACCTCCACCATGACCTTTCTGATCGATCTGCGGTATATATACAGCAATCATTTGAGGACGGCTTTCTATTGGTAAATCCAACCAATTCAACGTGGTATCCATTTTGTCTATGGCCGTTGTTCCTCGGATATAATCGACGAGATATGTCGGCAAATGGCTTGGCACCGCTGAACCTGGCCACATAATCACAGCAGACTTTTTTCCTTGTGATGCGGCAGTTGTCCAAATCTAGTAACAGATAAGAAAAAAAAGTCGCATCAGTCTCCAGTTCAGATATTGTCCCATACGCCGTGAAATTGTCTTACAGGTTCACCGCCCCACCATTTCGGTTGCTGACTGATTGCTGGCTTTTTATGAATGAACTGTTCCTTCAACTCTGGGTCATAAAACTCGTTGGCAACGATACCGTGCGCCTCTGGATACAGTCCGGTCACTAAGGTCCAATGGTTCGGAAACGTGATAGACTAACATGCTAGGCGTGAGAAACGCCACTGTTTTTCAACCCAGCACTTTAAGCATTCAGCACTTACGGGAAACGACGGATTCATATATTCTGCTTGAATGCCGGAATTGCCTTTACAATGTGGTGCATGAGTAACTCTCTAAGCTGGGGAATTGCTCCTTCATTCACTTACCAAAATCGACGAGATGAGGAGTCACTTGTCGATCAAGATAATCCTTTCGAAATCCGTCCAGCGAGATGAGAATCACAGTAGGTGCAAAATGGTGCGTGCCATTAAAATAGGCACCGTGGAGATTTGGTATTGTTGTCAGGGTATTTAGCTTGAAAAGCAGGAATAGGAAGAAAACCAACAGCGAAGCTATTCCTATGCACAGCCGATGGGTCTACTGTTGTTAGGGAAGCTTTTCAGGACACGCCATTATCCAAAGGTTTACCCATGTTCTACTACGTCGACGGCTGATTTCTCCCAAGGATTTCGGAGACGTAACGCCCATGTTGACTTCTTCATTTTCCAGCAATCTTTCCTTCTCAGGAACATCCAGGGAAAGCTGCATTGTCTGTATGGATTCTGGTGTACTTTTTCTTGGCCTCAAGGAAGGAGGACGTAGAGAAGATCCATGTGCTGCAGCCATGCCACCTACGAAATTGCTATAACGAGCGTAGAAAAAAAGGACGAAGGCCAAAAAATCAAATCGCGGGGAAACCAAGGTCGGAAGGGAATTTTTTTTTTTTTTTTTTATTTTATTTCGGATGGAATCATTTCTGCATGGAGACAAAAAGCTCCGCCACGGCTGTCATAGAAAGTTTACAAGTCATACCATGTCTTCACCATGCTTGCGAACAAGGAACGTCATTCATCTACGCATTACCCCCAGCACGGTAAATGAACTCGCATATCGATTGACTCCAAGTGGCGCTGAATTTATTTACTGTCCGAGCTATAGTCATTACGTGTTATTATCTATCTGCGCCAAGAAAACATTGCTTGGTTCAATGAGAACGGTCTTCTTCCTTTGGTGATAAGTACACTACAGCCTGTTGTTGTCAACCATTTGGTGACCACGCAGGCAAAATCCGCAGCTAAACGAAAGAAAGAAATGGAAATATTTCATACACTGAATCATGGTAATAACCGCTGTATATCTATGCGTTTCTGTGCTTTTCCAACTCACGAATATGAAGACTCATTCTCCTTGGCATATCGGTTTACATGGCATGATATTCACCAAGCAATTATGCTGCGTGTAAGAAAGATGACGCTTAAAAATCAATAATATTGGCATATCTAACCCACACGTTACATAGGAACCTCTTGAAGAAACTTCTACACTCTATAGACCACTGTCCATTTACCCTTATCAACTATCCGTCTCCATAGACCACCCTCAATTCAACCACACGATACTAGACGCCTATTTTCGTAATTTATAGTACATGAAAGTAGAAATAGTTTTTATTTACAAGAACACACCCTCTTCGGCATCCGATGGCTGGTACTGTTTTCGAAAAGCCAAAACATTGCTCTCCATCTCTCTTGCTGCTGCTTCACCTAATCTTTCACGAATAACTTCAAGTGTCAAGTCAATGCGCACTTCGTAACGTTCAATCAAAGCTTCATTTTCGTCAATGGCGGTGGTCAGATCGGGATCCTGCCGGTCTGGATCAAATTCGCGCATTTCATTGTTTGACCGCCGCAAATGCGCAATAGAATTCTGTATCTCCGGTATCTCCGTGAGCAAGGTATCCGGGGGTAATTCTTTGAGTGCTTTGTTAAGCCGCGATTTATCAAATGACATGAAGGGAAAGATGGACGAAGCACCGACATACGGCGTTCGGCGCTCGCGTTTGCGAGACATGAATTTCAGCACGTGATCATCGTTGGCTGGTAGCCAATCATGGGGCACCTCTGCATGGCTGAACCTGAACAGTCAGCTCCTATATGATATCTATGCCAAAAATTCAAAATATCGACACCTTCAGCCTGATAAGCATTAATAGATGGTATCTGACAAGATACTATAGAGAAGCAATAACTTTCTACCGTAGATTTATGAGGTGCAATGGAAAGGAGCTCAAATAGGTGTTAAGCTAGGCAGAGTATGACACATTTTGTTTCCGATGCAAGTGCGCTTTACGTGATGGATGAATCAGGTTGATTGAAAGATAACTTGTGGTGGTATAATTGGTAATTTCTGGAGTCAATGATTATATAGGATTGCTGCGATAAATATCTGGGACTGTATAGAAAAATGAATGATAATAAAAACTGGATATATCTATCCTGGCCACGCTTAAGCCTGAGTAACAGATAATCAGATCCAAAAATGAGAGTCGTATCTAGCAATATAAAATACACAATATCCATTTACTTCATCGAGAAATAGCAATAACGCTTCTTCCCACACCCCACGTTTGAACTCAAACCTATATTCATGCGGCAGTATATAAATCCGAACTAGTAGAAGCAAGTTCCTGACGAAAAGTGGAGCATAATTATAACTATGCATCCAACGACATGGATATTGCTGATCATGAGAAGGAAATACGTCGTACTGTAATTTTACGAGTTCCCGGCGTCAAGATAATCTCTAGCTGCTCACGGTCTGGCGGCTGCGTGCCACACAACACAGTAAGCTAGTCCACTAATAATCTCCTCCAATCACAAATGAGCGAAACTAATGACGTCATCCAAGCTGCTCTTGCTCTTGTCGCGTTTTTTGGCGCGTTTTTTTCCCCTTTTCCGCTTCACGTTTTTTCAATCCCTCCGTATTTTTTTCTCCTTTTACTGCGTTTATCATCTTCACTACTCTCACTGTTTTTTTACTGCTACTGCACACATCGTTCCTATTTTCCTTGTTCTCACTACCATGCTCGTCCGCTCTGAGACCAACGTTGATGAGCTTGCCATAAGGATGAGCGAGATGGCAGTGAATACCCATGATATCACCGACGCTTCAGTTGACTGCAAAATTCTGGACACCGTCATTAAAATTGCGTAAACTCACCTTGAAAGATGACATGTCAGAAACGGTGATTCAGAAAACGAAGACCCGCGTGCACAAAAAGGCGCTGCGCAAGTACAGCCAAGATGATGATCGTAAGGTCAAACCATGCGCAGCAAAAAAATTAACCGAGTCGTAAAGGTCGGTTACGTCAAAAGCCAGCATATATTGTATTTGGTATTAATTGACTGCGTTGTTTTTGATAGATGTAAAAGAGCGCCAAGTCACTGAAAAAGGTATGATGAGTTCATATACATAAATTTGCACAACGGTAACTAACTTAACACTTTGCCAATCTGATGCAGAAGAAGTATTCTACGACGCGGTTGACTGGTGCCTTGAAGGTGAAGAAGAAGAATACTTTGACGCTATGGGTATTGGTGATCCATATTGGATTGCTGAAACTTGCTGTGGTATATCCACTACTTGTCGTATTATCCATCCTAGACTGGTGTTCCCAACAGGAAAGATCGGGATCTAGACGTGTGTCCATTCTGAGTGAGCTTCTCCATTAGAACACCGATTGAACCTCTTCATCCATAACTTGGATCTATCGCCGAGATCAATTCATACGGGTAACGCTGTCACATCACAGCATGTGGATCCTTCCTAATACCCTTATAACCGAGGACTGCTCACTGATAATTATTAATTCAGACTCAAGACTAAAGCATAAATAGGCATCTCACATTAATCGAAATAAAGATATCCAACAGTCTCAAAGGATTCTCATTGTCTCTTTTGTTCTAAATTCTCTCATATATCACAGAGTGGAATGATTTGTCCATAAAGCGCCGACTTCCCCTTCCAAACCAAGACCTCCCATTTGCTGTACGATAGCCGTAAAGTCACCGTCGTACCACTATCGGCTGCTGCTTCATTTAGATTCTGGTTGTTCTAAATTTCTTCGCAAGCTAACTGCTGGCAACCAATGACTGCATCAACCATTGCCTTCATCTTGGCGAACCTTACCGTCGCGATCGCTGTATCCGTGCTCTGCAATTTCGTCGTTATCTTCTTCGTCTTCAATGAATACAGGTTGGCTGCTGCGTCACACTCGTTTTCCACACGATCATCTTCTAATTGAGATGATCATTCGCCGTCCTCAAGTGCAAGCCTCTCAAATTCTTCGAAAATGAAGGCTACGTTGTTGGATACGACTTCCTTGACAACAGCATTGTCATACTGATTGTGAGTTCTTGCTGCTAATTGTGCCAATCGCCATGTTCTTCGGTTCGGAGCAAAGATCGGATCCATTCTTTGAATTCTCGTGATTCTACGCGATCATCTTTCTCAAAGCGATGATCGCCACCGTGCTGCAACACAGGGCTCTCCAACTGTTCGAGTACGACGTCCACATTCGCCTCACCTTCTTCTTCAATGGTCAGCTCTTGACGACGATTAGCTTGGAGTGGTGACATACGACTTTATACGCTTCCTATTCTTCTTGTGTTGTTTTGGCATGGTGGCCATCGAAGAGCCCCAGAGCTCCACTTGAATTTGGCACGCGATCGGAAGGATCAACAACAATTTCGCTAATCCAAGTCCTGCACCTGCCGTAACCTCGTAACTCACACCGCAGTTAACGTAATGGGGTTGATAATAAGCTGGGGCTGTTGGTGCCACTGCAATATATACTCCTTCATTCTCAACTTTGACAATTGAGCCCCAATGTTGTTCTTCACCATACACTCTTTGCTAATAGTATACTGGTGGGTATATGAAAATGGCGCGTTCATAATGTGAAAAGAGACTTACCATTCTTCTTCAGAACGTGCATGGTTGCCTCCGCGAAACATCTTTGGCCTCCTGACACTTCAATCCTGCGTCCACCATCGCTTCGCGCTCTGCAGTTTGCTGGGCCTGTCCAATGTCTACAGATTTACAAACGGGTACAACGGGATAAAAGCATCCTTGGCCTCCCGCTGCGTACATCATCTCTTCGTGATTGAACAGCTTCCTGGGATTCTTGGACGAGCGGTTTCGGAATGAGTACACTGACTGCATACTCGATGAGGCGTTCCAATGCCGTCCTCGACGCTGCCGCTTCCGCTACTGCTGCTTGCGCCACTGGTTCTTCTTGAGATTTTATACGCTGTTGCTTGCGCTTCGGCGACGGCTGCTGCTGCGGCTTCTGCTTCTTTGGCTTCCTTCAGCAGCGCAATTTCGACATTGACCAATATGAATATGGATCAACAATATCCATGGTATCAAATCACTACTTCCTTCTACTTCTTCTCAAGCTTAGCTTTTCTTGCAGATCATCCACCAAGGTGAGATTATGCAGTTTAATAACGGTGTCTAGCCTTTTGCAGTCAAATGGAATTTCTGTTATATCATGGGCACTCGCCGCCAGTTTGCTTATCATTGTGGCAAGCTTGTCAACATTGATATCAGAGCGAAGGAGCATGATATTATTCTAAAAAGAAAAATAAACGGTGGCTCCAGTAACAATAAAAACGGCAGAGAAGTCGAGGCGATAAACGCAGTAAAGTATAAAAGGAAAAAAAGAGCGCCAAAAATCGCGTCATGGCCAAAAGCAGCTCGATGACGTAATTATTCTCTAAGTCAGCTTTTGATTGGAGCAAAATCTACATATTAAAATCTTTGGGAAAATCACGCTTACGGTATGTTTGAACAGGAACTCAAAAGCCGGATTATCTTCTTCTCTTTCCATGATGATATGCTAAATACCTTTTTTCTTTTGCTTTTCTCTCTCTCTTTCTGTTTGCTTGATAAACCCTCACTATCATTGTATCAAGATCCCATCCGCATCCATCATCCAGACCATTCTTATCCCGTGTATATAAATTGGGTGAATCGACTACAATCCTCAAAAAGGCAAGCGTCGAGTGGTCTACCATCGATTTTGCTCCGGCAAAACAGACTTACCTCTCTTTTTTTCCATCCTTCTTCTAGCTTCGGTGTTCTCCGTTCTCTTTTTGCCTGACAAGTTCTGGATACTACAAGTTGACTTTCTCTCGCCATCCATCCATCCATCCATCTGGCGAAACTGGATGACGTCAAAGGCCATCGTCGGTGGCCTGACACTCTTTTTCATTGGAAAAACGCTTACGTGTCCTCTTAATGTTCCTCTCCTTTGGATTGCTTCTCATGATATGGTATTCGAGATGTCTTCCCGATTATTGTATTTTGTAGTTCATAGTTTGTATTTTGTATTTTGTATTTTATATTTCATGTACATATTCTTTTCGCAGTCTTTTCCTCTTTATTTCCCACAGAGTTTTTAGGAGGTTTTTACTGAATCGACCATTGTTTTTTTATCATCATGTACTTTATTTGTTTTTCTTTCTTTTTATTCGGGGGCTCTCGATATCTGGAATCCAACTCGAAATTACCGTCACTTCTGGCCGCGTCAATATTTTTTGCCTGCTCAAGCTGACCACCGATCCATCGCTTAACTGCCCTGGAAGCAATTTTATTTACCGCATCGAAGAAGCTTACCTGTGGTCCGTATTCATCTGTTTTTTTTTGTCCGGTATACCATTTGGTTCAAAGGCAAGTCTAATTTCTTTTCCTTTGCTATGATGTAATGAACGTATACTAATCCAAAATTTTTCAATGTCATATAATCCAAGTCATGTCAAGCGATCAATGGCTAAAACTCAAATAACAAAGGTAAAATATCTTGAAGAAATTTGAATCAATCAAAGAGCTTACTAGCTCATTTTTTTAGATACCCAACATACCCACACATCTTTCTAGATCGATTATAGCCTGGGCGGAATGGAACTGAGGAGGGGGGGGGGCGGAACCAGTGCTGCTTTGCGCGTGTTCAGAAACAAATCACGTTGCAATGTATGCCATAAGGTTGTCATTAATATACCAAAGTCCGTCAAGAGTTCTCGCCCAGGTTATGCCGTGTATGCGTTAGGCTTTTTGTCTGACGGAAGTCGCTCAATGTAAGAGGGCGGCCTCCGGTGGCAGGCGGCATCCATTGCACAGCGGGTGTACGGCTTGTTATAAGTGAACCTTTTTTGTGGCAAACTACTGCCAGACGGTGCTCAGCCAAAAACTAAATTAACGCCGGGAAAACTGGTAAAATTGCAGCACGACATAGTATTTTCTACGATCACTAATATTTTGCTGTTGGATCCATGTTCGGATTATGCTTTCACTTTTATAATATGTCATTCTCGGTTACAACCATACATCCAGGTTTCAGATGGAAAAAGATTGTTCCCCAACTTTGGGCCTGCAGTGAGTTGACTGAATAAGGCACACGCAAGGTCAAAAGCTCCTAGTAGAAGAAGTTGAATAAATAAGGGAAGCGAGGGAATAGCTTTTTAGATATTAAAGATTGAGCGATAGACCGAATCCAGTTTCGATTCCCTTGGCGATAAAATGGGCATATAAGACACTGCGGTAAGGGATGCGGCTCCATAGGGACGTTCCATAAAAGTCAAGAGTCATGGGATAGTGGATAGCGAGAAATTGAGGCAATGAAAATGATTTTACCCAATTTCCCCCCCCCAAAAAAAAAGTCCTATTCTTTCTTCGTTCTTCTATCTTTTCATTCGCCTTCGTCAATCGCTCAATGACTTCTAATTAACCATGCTCTTGCCTTATGGCCGCCACTTGGAGGATGATGGATGACAGCTCTGACAGCGGTTCACTGCTGCGCAGTCGCAAAGTGTGTTTTACTAACGAGTTACTTTGTTCTTAAGTGTAGTACGATATCCACGACTACCTCTAACGAACGATGAACGAACGACGACGTCAACCAGCTGATGCGAAACGGGTATTAACATGGTGCATTAGCGTATCTCATGGTTTTGCTTCTATAGAACACTAGGTACCTCACATACAGCGAACCGATAACGAGCCACGAACGACAAACGCCAGTCACTGAATCAGGTATTCAAACCAGTGTTCCGCATGCTTCTCATTTCTTTTTTTTTTTCGCAGGATTAGGTACGAACGATCTAATCGGACGAATGAGCCTCATTTGGCTTTGACATGTAAGTATCTTTCTTTTCACATATTTGTCATCGGCTGTCATCCATCATCCACATTGCTTTTTACTTGGCACATCCCCTGGCTCCGCTCTTTTGTAAAGGAGGTGGCGCAGACCCCAGCTGTCTCTTGTCAAGTCCAGTTTACTGTAGTTAAGATGTTTACTGCTTCGTTATGTAATAATTTTCTTCAAATCAACTTGATAACCTAAACTTGTATTAAATTGATAACAAGATTCACTATTCATCTGGCCATTCAAATATGCAATGATATTCTGAGTTTGTTATGGCCCGCGACGTACAATCACAGAAACCATTTTTTCGTCGTGCGATACGATAACACTAGATGCTTTTGGAACACGCCGCACAGGCACTGTAGGTACATGAACCACAATATATTAGACCTGCGAGACATGGGGATGATAATACAAAAAGATAGATGCAATCAAGATAAAAAGAAGGCGGGATGCAATAGGGAAGGCGAAATGATGAATGGGAAAGAATTTATGCAAACATGTCTTGGATCTCAAGATGAGCACCGTCCTTGGCATGGGCATCGGACGGTTCCGTTCGATCATCCAGCGGCTGACCATCAATATCTTCCTCGAGCGGCAGGCCATCTACATCATCGCCCTCCATTGGTTCACCATCAATGTCGTCCAAAGGCTCACCGTCCACACCTTCCTCAAGAGGTTCGCCATCGACGTCTTCTTCCATCGGTTGCCCGTCCACGTCCGCATCCGCCACATCTGCTGACGCTATTGCTTCTTTATCTGCTGAAGAAGCCGCCAACAAAATCGCTTCTTCTTTTTCGGAACTTGCCAACGGTGACGTTGACTGTGAATGTTCTCCAGCACTCGTAAGAGGCTGCCAGTTATCCGTGCGAGGGGCCGGATCGGATGACTTTTTCATAAAAGTCGCGTTGAGTTCATCAATAAAATGCTTGGGGAATACCATCCAATTTTCCCACACAGTGAGTACGCTGCTGATGTGTCGCTATTCAAAAAAAAAAAAAAAAAAAAGGATTTAGAACTTCCGTCCATCGGTCTTCTTCTCTTATATACATACTCGCACTTGCTCGGCTTTTAATCGCGCGCTGATTGATCGATAAATACCGTTCAGATGCTCAAATACAGGTGGTAGCCGCGGTTCAAATCTGGAAAAACAAAACATTGATGCTCAGCTCTCGGCCGTCGACCAAATCCACTATCCAAGAGCACTTACGATTGCCGATATTTCCACGCATTGGGTACATGAACACTGCTGTTATGTAAAATATCAGAAACGAGGTATAACCGTGCCAATTTAACCGATAGTGGGGTTTCAGGCAGCAATAACGATTTAATAACAAGGTCAATGACCTAATGACCAGCAAAAAAAAGGTTACTTATGATCATTATTATGACAAATGGTCGTTCGTCTAGACACACTTACTTCATCCGCCGCGTCAGCGTGGTCAATGGCAAAGGCCATAGCTCGTGCAATAGTGCCTCTTTTGAAAGTGACTTGTCGCAAAAGAATCTCCAGCCGTTGCCGGGCAATGGGACCCAATGTGCCCTTGGGAACATCTGATCCCTTCTCCTGCTCTTCATCCTCCGAATCAAGTAACATGTCCGCTTTCCCCTAAAATAAACAATCGCAATCCATGTTCAATTATTCGTGCTTTAGACTGTTTGACATCCATGTTTCGATAATTCACCTCGTCATTGAAAGGCACTTCTGGAGGTATCCACCATGCACCGCCCTCAAACATCTGGAATGGCTCGGTTCGCCAATCGGATTTGCTATCACCTTGCAAGATAGAATACAAGCGCCATCGATAATAGATGTGATCGGGAGACTATCAACAGATAATGAGGAACTGCCTGAATATAACTGATGCAAAAATCACGCTTACGGTATGTTTGAACAGGAACTCAAAAGCCGGATTATCTTTTTCTCTTTCCATGATGATATGCTAAATGGGTGACGTTAATTTCGATGGTGTCAATTGGCAATCGAGGGTTGGTTTAAAGACTTGCCTCGAACTGGGGACCGTGCTTAATGACGCGTTCAATCAATCGATGAATAATCTTGACACGATTCATATTGGTGGGTTTGGTAACTTTCACTTCGGCTCGAGGAACGACATTCTTTTACAGGGAGTATTAGTACCAAGACATAAAATGATCGACCATCTTTGTTAAGCCTACCGTTCCCACGGGTGATTTGACGATTTGAGCATTGAAGGGTAAGCCGGTTTGCATGGGCTGTTTTGCTTTTTCCAATACTGAGCAACATATGTCTCGGTCAGCCATTGCACACACGCGCGAAAAAAAGTCATCATGAGATGAGGTGATAAAATACCAAACATGGGTTGCGCCGGTAGTGGCACCGCTTTTCCCCATCCTACTTTCATGACATAGCCTTGGACATCCTTGCCATCCAAAGCCCGGAGGGCTTGCTCTGCATCCCTGCGTTCCATAAAACTGACAAAGCCGCAATTCCGGTTTCGATCGTGTTCCTCTTGCGACCGCGGCCACATAATCTTGACGGAAGCAATAGGTCCGTATCGACCAAACTCTTGACACAGCTGCATCTCATTGACCTTGGAAAGAACGTACAATCAGCACTTTATTCATCTCCACTCAAAATACGCAGATCCCAACTTACCGCTGGATTGATATTGCCGACATACAGGTTGGTGGTCCATGGATCGCCCAAATCATGAGATCCTTGGCGGTCCTCGAAGGCTAGTCAAAACGCAGACGTGGTTACCACGACTCATTCCCATCTTTTTTGGAGGCACCCAAGGATAGTTACCTGCTTTTAAAGTGATTCCTGCTGAAATATCACGGCCAGAAGATGAAGCTAAACAAATATGGTGAATAACTTGTAGGATCGATCCTGGTAATATTAGCGTTACCTGATGAACTGGATCGGGGCACTTTACGTAAACGATCATCCCGATCTTCTTGTTCTCTTTACATGATAAATTAGCGGTGAGTTTAATGCGGATGACGATGTTGTGATTCACTCGTTCACCAAGTTTACTTTTTGATTTCCTCCAGAAAGGTATCCAGATTGCGTTTCTTTTGAGATTTGGCTTCCTTGCGTGCGAGAGCCTAAGATCAATAAAGATCTCTTGTCATCAATACCCACAAACACGCCAAGATTTCCATACGGTAACAGTTCTTGCTTACATCATCCTCTTCATCGCTTTCTTCCTGATCGATCATCATTTTCGCTTTTCCTCCGGTGGTTTGGCCAGCTTTCACAAACGGCATAGGTTTCGTGCCTTCGCCTGCCTTGACGAACGGCATCGGCTTGATACTATTACCAGTCTCCTTTTTGGGAATAAGCGAAATGGATTTGGCTGCAGGTTTAGACACTGAAAATTTGGGCGACTCTTTCTTTTCGGACGTGAAATTGGAGCGATGGGACGTTTCGCCTGCTTTTGTGAAAGCAGGCGGCTTGGAGGACGGCGTTTCCCCAGCTTTCACAAATGCCGGTGTTTTGAACGAGGACGATTCGCCCGCTTTGACAAACGCTTGGGTCCGAGGAAACTGTTCTCCCGCTTTGACAAAAGAAGTAGGCTTAAAAGTTGATGGAGCCGGTCGTTCGTAATCCAGTTCGGAATCTATGACCGATTGACAATTGGTTGAGATGCCGTGTTCCTTGATTTGGATCTTGTGGACCCATGTCTCTTTTACCTCTTGCCACCATGGTCTGTTGGCGACTAGAAGATTTGATGCCGGTAACAAAGTCGGGTGCATCTTCGAAAGAAGCTACGAATTCTTCATACACTTTGGCCGCTTCTTCAGATTCTCTCTACGATGCAGACTGTGTGAGACGTTCCTGCTTTGAGAATTCTATGACGTATTGATGGATACCTTTTTCTTGAGTTCCAGTTCTTCTTTATGCTTTTGAAAGGGTGTTTTCCTGCTACTGCCGATTGAGAACGCCTGTAGTTTACTAGCGGCAATCGGCTAGACCAAAACCCCGGATTAGCAAAAGGATCAAGAAAAATGTCTTCCACTAGTATCTCTCATTTACTTTAATGACCACTGGAGGTTCTTCAGGAGACTCTGATCTTTCACGCTCGTCCTTTTTGGGATCCATTCTAAATCTGGTCCGTCTATGCACAGAAATAAAAATATGGTTGGTTCGCCACAGGAAAGAAAGGGCCCTCCTTTTTTGGTTCCAGGAACAGTCACGGTGATTCACAAGTTGCCAACCTCGAAAATTTATGCATCAAGGCTGCCTATGTCACCCTTTGAAATGCAGTACGTTATAACTGTCTTGAAGACGGCACCGCCTACCTGGCGAGGAATTTGGGTGATATACAATTTCGTTGTTGCGAGCAGGCGATCCACTCAAGAATTTGAAAGTGGTTACGCAGACCTGTTGGTCCTATACATTCAGAGAAAACATACATATCCATTTCGTTGGATGAAACCAACACAAAAGAAGATACTCTCTACTATAATCTTCGATTAACGGGGAAACATTAATGACAGCGAATGTCTTTTTCTGAATTGTAATTCATAATAAAGCGAATCGAAACGTTCTAACCATAGATTGACTTTGGGTGCTAGTGTGAGTGAGCGATTCTTGCAACCACCTTGATCATTGATTCGCAATATCCTTTTGTGGTATGACTGGAATCACATGACATCTGTGCTGAGTACTGTGCTGTACATTTAGTAGTATCATAGTTTTCATTCTGGGATTGATTAATGAAAGTTGGAAGATCGTCATGGATGGGGTGCATCGGCATATCTAACAATTGAGATGTGCGTCTGGATTTTAGGTTGATAATCATAAGAAAAAAGCCTTTTATTTCAAATAACGGAAAAGGATAAATCTGCAGGGACCCGACACAGATCCGCTTGCCAATAACATAGTGCCGAAACATCCAGAGTACTCGATAGATACCAAGACAAGTATTTAGCAGGATCACGACAATCCAGGAGGAACGAAGTTTTCAGCTTTTGCGGCATATTAGGTTAAGCCGTGATTGAATCACCGTTTCAACGGGATATTGCTTTTTGAATATGACGATTTTACCGTTTCAACTATGCATCCACTAAAAAAGGTTTAGATGCTCAATGCAGGTCGCCCTTTTTAGAGAAACGAGGAAAACTAGGGGGGAAAACTGGAATAAGATGCGATTCTATACTACTGACACTAAGGAGATAATACAATGCGAATTTTTTATATGCTATGATAAGGTTCTATTGGGATATGAATAGTTACATGCGTTCAAGAGGTTCAATGCCAATGAGTCGAAGGCCATTGGCGAGAGTGGTTTTGGCAGCCCAAAAAAGCAACATCCGTGGCTCCGCAATATGTTTGTCTGTATCTTTCACGCGTAACAGGTGATTCGCTTGGCTGATAGCGTGCGAAAGTTTAAAGAGATATTGAACAAGCGTACATGGATCCATAGTACGATAACTGCCACGCACAATGTCCGGAAATTGCGAGATAATTAATCCCAACTCAAAGGCTTCCTTTTCTTTCAGCAACGAAAGATCACAGTCCGGACGAATCGGGGTATTGGCATATCGTTCAATGCTACAGTACGCGTTAGACATGGTCATTGTTTTCCCAGAGTTTGAGATGGTCACTGGTTACTACTTACCCGCACATCCGTGCATAGGTGAACTGGAGGTACACTCCCGTATACCCCTGCGCTTTGGTCATCCGATCCCATGAGAATTGATAGTTCTTGATGCGTTTGGCTACCATATCCTGTACAATCACGGCGGAAGTACCCAATTTATCAGCAATGTAATGGATGGCATCCTGACCGACCAGGCCGTTATCGAGCCCTTGATCGTACAACTGATCGTATTTCATCTGGTTGCCTCCCTCTTGCATATTTTCCTCCATCTTTTCTTGAGCGGTGTCAAGAATATCTTGCAGGAATACTACCGTGCCTTTGCGGGTCGACATGCCGTTGATCCGTCCAAAGTTAACGTGATGCAACTCAGGGACATGACCATCGCGTTGTAAAAGTTGGTAAATCTTGAACACCTGTTGCAGATAAAGCGACTGTTCGGTTCCCACCACATACACAGCCTTATCGAACCCGTACTTTTCCTTGCGCAATGTCAAACTGGCCAAATCCCGGGTCAGGTACAGACTGGTACCGTCAGCGCGTCGCACAATGGGTTTGCCGAGTTTATACTGTTCCAGGTCCACGACCCACGCCCCATCATCGGTTTCGGTAATCAGATCACACTGCTTCAACTGCTGATGAACTTTGGCAATGTACGGTTCGGTTTCGGATTCACCAGAATATTGTTCGAATTCGATATTCAGACGCTTATAGATGGATGTATATGAACGAATACTCATCTCACGGAAGCGACGCCACTGCTCAAGAGCTTTTTCATCTCCTGCAAAAGAGAAGAAAAAAAAAACATAGAATGCCCATTGTCTGTTTAGCAAATCACTGGACACCTTTGTCTCTTCTTGTCTGAAATAAAACCCATACCATGCTCCATGCGTCTGAAATAATCATTTGCTTGTTGGTCGATATTGGGATCCTTTGCAGCGTCTGCATTGATTTTCACATACACTTCATAAAGGTGGTGAATAGGATCCTTGGCTAATGCAGTTTCGTCTCCATACTTTTCGAATCCAACTGCCAAAAGACCTGTAAAATTCAACTGTCAATGCGATTTCTCACTTTAGGCCGTGCCTTGCTGAGTCTACCATATTGCTTTCCCCAGTCGCCTAGGTAATTGATGCCTATCACACGGTATCCCATGGCTTCATGCACTCGTTTCACGAAATTGCCAATGATCGTACTTCGCAAGTGACCTGCATGAAATGGTTTGGCAATATTGGGGGAGCTGTAATCGATTACTACCGTCGGTTTTTCCACGCCTGTGCCTGAATATTCGCTCCAGCCATAACGTTCTTTTTGTGCATATACTTGGTGCAATGTCCGTTGAAGATAAGTCAAAGGTTGAACGGTGAATTCCAGAAAAGGACCTTGCGTGGCTGCTTTAGCAATGAAGGTGTCTGAAGCAAACTATCACCCCACCGCACCCCCCAAGGAAAAAAAACCAGTTTAAGGTGCATTGTCTCTATGAGAAAGTTATCCATGATTTCATACCTCTTTTGATAATCGATCGTGCCATAGAGTGGATGTTCGTGCTTCGGCGGCAGTGGACCCCAGTTTGTGTATGGGCAACCGGAACTGATATGGTGTGCCGGTTTTAGGGGTACCGAGCAATCCAACCAGTTGTGATTCTGTACATGAAGTGAATTGCAGTAGTTTCCTTGCGATAGCTGTCCTAGCTGATTGAGCCATGGATCAATGTAAGTATCACGACCAGGTGAGGCTGCGGCTGGTTGAGTTGAAGAATGATCAAGTCTTCTTTTCAGGCTCAGACAGGGGGGAGGGGGGGTGGGGTTGGAATAAGCCGGCTCAAAACATCCCATTTTCAAAAAGGGTTCCACCGTCCTTCCAACGGGGATAAAGTTGGTACTCCGCCACAAGCCAAATGCCCTGATGCTAATTTTTTTTTTTTTTTTGGGTGGGTTTGCGCCAATGGAGATCATTTTGCATGTCAATGATAGAGTAGTACGGATGCGATGTATGTTTACATTGCGAAGATTCTCTGCTCTGTTAGACCACAAGACTCTTTTGGGTGGTCCATTTTATTTTTAAATACATCATCTGAATGATTTATTTCGTGGATGCTCTAACGAGGTTCTGCGCAGAAAAAAAACCAAGATGCGTTGGGTGTCTGCAGCCGGGATTTGTCCTGTTCTTTTCAATGATGGCGAGAGTTCTCGTAGCCCAAGTTGGAGTGGAATCTTTTTCAATTGTAAACCGTGCCCCCATTTCTTTCTCATTTTTTGCAGCACTTTCTTTTTTGAATCTTGCCATTTATTTATCTATCGTGCATTCGTATTGCCATTGCATGTAAACAAAGCGAGCCAATGGTAAACACTTCTTATCTTATGGAGTCTAGAAGGGACGATCCTATAAGTATCATCCTCCACCGTCTGAGTCATACCAAGATTTATCCTCTTTTTTTCATATTCCATTTTTTTCCCCTTTGCTACTATCCAATTTTTTTTTCTTGCTCGCCCTCTTTGTTCTTTCCTTTCCTTGCCTCTCTTTCACAATACTCCATCACCCCGATTGTTCCATTTCTGCAAAATAGGAAATAATGACCAGTCACTCCAGGGAGTTGTTCTACGACAGCAGCAGCAGCATCCTTGTCTCGTGCACCAGCCGCGAAAGTTGTTCAACCAGTATCACGGAAGCCAGCTCACTCGTTCAATGCAATACGCATGACACCCAATATGGCGCTGCCAAAGTTAGCATGGAAGCGCTTCAAGCGGAAAAACCGGGTTATGGAACGTGCACTGTTTTCGGAGCATCAATGAATCTCGTGAATGCCATGATGGGCACTGGCATTATCGGGCTACCTTTGGCTTTGCATTACTGTGGATTCTGGCTCGGTCTGGTATGTTCGGTCATTGTCGCCTTCCTCACCGGTACCGCCATGCACCTTACAGTTCTCAGCGGCATGGCCCTTCACGAATATAGTTTGGGCGGTTTATGCCAATGTCTTTTAGGCGATATTGGATCACAAGTCGTTAATTTTATTGTATTCTTCCACACGGCTGGCACCGCGGTCTCTTATTACATCTGTAAGTTGAATACAAAAGGATCGGATTTATGGATCAGATGGACATGGATAACCAAACTCACAAAAAAACAAAAACAAATCATCAGTGTTGGGTGATACGCTACCGGCATTGCTCGGTCATTATTTTCCCCAAGTGCCGTATATCAGCGATCGACGGTATGCCGTGATTTGTTTTGGACTCTTTTGTGTAAGTCATTTATTTTTCCCCGGTTGGATTAAAAAACCCAAACTTCTATTTTTGTGTAATTTTGTGTATTTTTTCGTCGTATTGAACATGACCTTTCCTATTTTGTATAATCCAGAGTCTGCCACTAAGCCTGACGCGATCGACAGCACGTATCACCAAGTGGTCCACGTTGGGGGTCATGTTATTACCCTTTATGCTGTTGGGGATCATCATCCGTGTCCCCAAGTATGCACCATCCCCCTTGGAACTCGAAGTGGCGGCGGTTTCTCCAGACATGTTCAAGGGATTAGCAATCATGGGACTGGCATTTGGCTGTTCTCAAAACATCTTCGGCGTGTACCTGTCGCAACGAGATCAACGACCGTCCCAATGGCTTCACGCAACGTCGATTGCCATTCTCTTGGCATACCTGGCCAACTTTGTATTTGCTGTCATGGGATACCTTTGTTTCGGTAAAAATGTTCAGGCCAACGTCTTGCTTAACTTTCCCATGGATGACGGCGCCATTAATCTGGTACGTCTTGCTCTCGGCCTGTTCATGGTGCTCACCATACCGTAAGCGTATACAAAGCATACCGGTTCTTCCATGGAACCCTTTTTCTAACTTGGAGCGCTCAATTATTTAAGGCTTTGTATTCACCCATGTCGAGAAGCCGTACAAAAAATGATGGGGCTGAATGAGAACGGGCGCATCACGACAAATAAAGAACATGTGCTGGTCACCATCGGTGTCTTTATCCTTATTCTATGTTTCGGCGCCACGCTTACTTCCCTTGGTAAAGTCTTTGATGTGGTCGGTGGATTTTCCACTATCGCCTTGGGTAAGCATATCATCCCTAACCATCGCCAAATTTAATTCACTGTGCTGACTGTTCTAAAGGCTTCTTATTACCTGGGGCGGCTTACATCCGAATTTTCTTGCCTCACTTGATCTACGGCGAAGCAACAAAGCTTCCACTTTTGGAGCCTTCGCAAGGCAACGGACTGCAGCCTACGTGGGGTTTGATGGTGATCGCTTTTAGTCTAGTCTGTATTAGTTTCCCAATCATGTACTTTGCCATTGTAGACGCTATTCTGGCATAAACGTCATCCATCAAATACCCGTTATCCCAGTCTTCAACTTTGCATGCACGAATTCATTGAGGATAAGAGGATCCGATGGCAGTAACACGAGTGTCAGCCATAACATGGACAATGCAATACAAGCGTTCTATATGAAAGAAAATCGCAAAAAGATTGATGCAGGAGTGCCGTATACCAGGAGAAATGGAGTTTTGTCGGCGCGTGATCATCCCATCCGCCAGTAAGATGAGCCATGATTTGAGGGACACAATATTCCTATACTACCTAGAGATTATTCCCGAGATCAAACCACATAATATGACGCCAAACCCCCAAGTCATTATTGTCTTGTCTCTGTTTATTGATCAAGGAAGCGGGATTGACCGTCGAATAAAAGTATACAAGATCCGCGACATATATTTACTCATCAGCAGACGATTAAGTTTTTGTCGAGATACTGTAAAACGACAGAGTAATTCACAGGAATCAGTATCAAAAGCAACAGTTTGTTCTAGGGCTAAATACTGCTGCAGGAGAGGACGCTCATGGATATCATGGTGGTCTCATTATGCAAATGAGCATCATACTGTAACTTACTTTATTATGAATGCTGTTCAGACTTCTGTCATGCAATTCCAGAATCCTAAGGCAAACTGAACCTTTCCCAAACATATTGACATTCTGATAAGTGAGGCGCATAAACATTACAAGGACGAATCCAGGCAAAGGCATTTTTTGTCAATATAAAAATGGTCAAGATCAATCTCAATTTAAACGCGCTCAACTGGGGACCAAGACGTGGACCGTCAAAATATAGAAGGTAAATATCAATGCATAGTTGTAAAAAAAAGTTGCTACATTGAATCTGTAGGCGTCGAAGATGGATCTATGGAGATGATGCTGTTGGGCAGTGCCGTGCCGTGCTGTGCTTGCCAAGCGCCCTGAGCTAAAAAACAAATGTAATTTTAAAAATTGGCAACATGCATACATTTCATCCATCATTTAATCCATAGGGCCTTTTGATCAAGCATAAAGGCGTAAAAATAAACTATTTTATACCTTGATATCATTGATTACCTCTTTCACGATGTGACCCTGTCGTTACCATTGTCACAATACAGTTTTATGAAAATACGAACGCAACTTGGATTATAGGTTCTGCAATGTCCCGGCTCAATTTGGTGCGACTTGCACGACGAACAAGGTATCAAAGTCTTTTTGGATTTGGGGTTGGAGCACGCCATCGTACCTGTCACGAAAAACCTCGGCGTTTTAAAATGACAAGGATCATGGTCTTTTTTTTCCTTCTTTTTGACATGTCCAACCTGGCAACAAATCCCCCACGAGCATATCATGTGGCAAAAGATCATCCTTTAGCTTTGTGTTTCTTGCTGTTCACAGCAAAAAAAAAACAAACAAACAAAGAATGTCATTTTCATCACTCGCTGAACAAACAAGAAAAAATGGCAGATGAATAAGTATTTTAAAGTTTCTTTATCGAAGCAGAAAAAGAAAAAGGTTATCTTGCCCGCCAGGCCCACTTGGCCCGCTTATCTTTAACATGTGAAACTTTCAAAAAAGCGGTTTCGGATTATTTTATTTTGGGGGCCGAGCCAAAAGTGGCATTCACTGATTGGGCGAAAAGCGTGATTTTTGGTTTCTGTCCACAGCTCCGGCTTTTTCTGGGGTCACACAAGCCACCCCGTCAAATTCCAACCTTTGAGCCGGCCTCCATTTATATTCCTCGAGCCAACCCAAAAACAAGGCCGCAGAAAATCTTTCTTTTTCATCTTTCGTTCCCCATCTTTTTTAACCAAGTTAACGAGGAGCGACTACATCTAGACGCACCTCATATCATTGAATAGAAAAGACGGTAAATTATCTACTCCTTATTCAATGGATGTAACTATGCCTACCAGTGCATGAATTCATCTTGTCGATACTGGTCCAGTAGAATAACCTTATTAACTGTATTTGTTGTTCCTCTTCTACCACTAGTTCGCGAACCATCTAGCTTCTGTTCACAACCCACACAGAGGATACAAGCGCTGCAGTGACCGACCCAAAAAGAACTTCTAAAATCCTTTGATTTCTCCAAACTTTCCAATTTCCAATATGGCCCCTCCTCATTCTAACGAATACTCCACTGCTTCTCCTGTGTCTTCTGTGGCGGCTCCACTCTTCAAAGTGAATGCTCCCAATGTTCAGTACACCGACGAACACATCTTGTCGGAATACACCTACAATAACACCGTCATCAACAAGCAAGCCGATGGCTCCATGGTCGTTGAACCCGTCAACCAAGTCTACCATTTCAAGACCGAACGCGCCGTTCCTCGTGTTGGGTAAATGATTCTTCCGTCCTTTATTTTTTTCTTTTTCTCTTGTCTTTCCCGCTGCCTTGGGCTTTTTTTGTCTGGGTATAATTTTCTTTTTTTGTGCACGTTATCTGAGTGTGAATGCTAAGATTTCCCGTGAGTTTAGTTTGATGATGGTTGGTTGGGGTGGCAACAACGGTACGACTTTGACTGCTTCCATTGTGGCGCACAAGCGTAAATTGACATGGCGCAACAAGTCCGGCGTCCATTCCCCTAATTACTGGGGTTCGGTCACTCAGGCATCGACGGTGCGTCTTGGTGTAGATGCCAACGGCGAAGATGTGTACATTCCCTTGTCGCAGATGTTGCCCTTGGTCAATCCTACCGATCTTGTCATCAGCGGTTGGGATATCTCTGGCAAGAACCTCGCCGAAGGTATGGAGCGTGCTCAGGTCCTCGAGTATGATCTCCAACGTCAAGTCTATGACGAATTGGCTACCATGAAGCCTTTGCCTTCCATTTACTACCCCGATTTCATCGCCGCCAATCAATCGGATCGTGCGGATAACCTTATTGAAGGTCAAGATAAGCGCAAGCACGTCGAACACATCAAGAAGGATATTCGTGATTTCAAGATTGCCAACCAGTTGGACAAGGTCATTGTTGTCTGGACCGCCAACACTGAACGTTATGCCGAAATCATTGAAGGCGTCAACGACACTGCTGAGAACTTCCTCAAGGCCGTTGAATCTTCCCACGATGAAGTTGCTCCTTCCTCCATCTTTGCTTTGGCTTGTATCGAAGAAAACGTGCCTTTCATCAACGGTTCCCCCCAGAACACTTTTGTTCCCGGTCTTTTGCAACTCGCAGAACAACACCGTGCCTTCATCGGTGGTGATGACTTCAAGTCCGGTCAGACCAAGTTCAAGTCGGCTATTGTTGACTTCCTCGTCAACGCCGGTATCAAGCCTGTGGCCATCACTTCTTACAACCATTTGGGTAACAATGATGGTAAGAACTTGTCGTCTCACAAGCAGTTCCGAAGCAAGGAAATCTCCAAATCCACCGTGGTCGATGACATGGTGGCTGCCAACCACGTGCTGTACCAAAAGGACGAACATCCCGATCACACCGTCGTTATCAAGTATGTTCCTTCCGTGGGTGACTCCAAGCGTGCTTTGGATGAATATGAGTGCGATATTTTCATGGGGGGTCGCCAATCGATTTCTGTCTACAACATTTGTGAAGACTCCTTGTTGGCTTCTCCTTTGATCATCGATCTCGTCGTCATGGCCGAATTGATGACCCGTATCCAGTACAAGACCGGTGAAATGACCAAGTTCAGCACCTTCCACAGTGTCATGTCCATTTTGAGCTGTAAGTATCCAGGTGGCTTGATCTCGATGGGTGGAATGGGTTTTGGGCAATTTGTGGGCAAAAGTTTGAGGGAAAATGGTTCACTAAATGCTGTTATGTCATTGCAATAGATATGCTCAAAGCTCCTATGGTGTCTCCTAACACCCCTGTGGTGAACGCTTTGGGTAGACAGCGCACTGCTATTGAAAACATCTTCAGAGCTTGTGTTGGTTTGGCTCCCAACAACGAAATGGGCTTGGAACACAAGATCTGGAAGCAGTAAATCTACCTGAGCTCATGATCTGACGGATGTTGATTATCAACCCTCATTTGATCAGTAATAAAACATGATTTTCTCTGTTTTGTCCTCAACCTTCTCTCTCAATTTGTGTGTGCACTTGTGTTGTGCGTTTGTGTTGCATTGGTGGATATGCTATAATATGGGATATGCAATGTCACTACGAATTACTATTGTTGCTGGTGGAGGGGCAAATGTAAACGGAAATAGCGGAAACATTAACAAGGCACATATTGCTCTTTATTCGACAAGGATATCAACCGTTTAATCAAGTTCCATGCCAGAGGCGACACGTCGTTGTTGTGGGGCAGGGGCGGGCGGTCCAGAAAACAAACTGCTCATCAAATCTTGCAACATGTTGCCCTGCTTTCTCGGCTTAGGAATATTGAAAAATACCGCACCAATGTCGTCCAATAGCTAAGCATCGTGTCAGTATGGCCCTTTTCCCTGTATCGCCTACATAGTACTTACCTCATCAAATCCCTTGTGAGGACCATATAATTCGTTGTATTTGGTTCGCAACTGTCTAAAGAAATCCGCACTGTCACGTTGACATGTTAACAACATCAACTGCGCAAAATTGGTCCATGAATCATCGTAAACAGGGAGCTGAACAGGTTCGTCGGCAGGAGCACAACGGAAAGGCAACGATTCTGTCGTTTTTGGTTGAGCCGCTTTCACGTAACTGGCAAGAGCCAAGGTGGCATGGTGAATGTTTTTCATCGCAAGAAGCCTAGTCACATATTCATATAACACATCAGCGGAATGTCCCTCGTTGAAGTTGCTTCTTTTTCCGATCCAAAAAAATACATACTGAAGGACGATCCTTGCAATGTGGAATCCTTCCAAGGGACCTTCTTCCTCTTTTGTCCATGCAGATGCCAACTCGCCCAATACTTCCGCGCTATGGTCAGTGCCCACCAACAAATGCTCCTCAGCTTGCTGGAAACGTCCCTCTTTGGATAACAAAGAAAACCCGGAGCATGAGCACTTCATTTATCTATCTTTTGGACAGCCGTTTTGTCCTGCCTTTTCCTTACCTTGGTAAAACATGGTTCCGACAAAGTCATGCAACTCGGGGTCGCCTTCTCTGTATTCGCCATTTTTCTGTGTCCAGCTAATATTCGCCATATCAGGTTGACCCGTTGTTATGGTTTATTCTGACATATTGCCTGTATAACGTTTACCTGAAAGCGCTGGAAATGTACGTTTTGCGGCCGGCTTCCTTGGGAGAGTATAAGCTCAACAATTCCACCACACGATCTAAAGTCCGAGTGAGATGATGTTGAGATGAAAACATGCGGGTAAGGAAAGGGGTAGTTCTTTTTTTTTTCTTTACCGAGGGAAGCGGCGTCGACTGGGACATTGGCGATCTTGTAAGTTTCCAACATGTAGTTGGCTAAATCGGCGCCCGAAGTGCTTTGACCATGTTGCATCAGGGACAACGCCCCGTCGTGCAACAGTTGAATAGTGTGGTCATATTTTTGTTGTTTGTTATAACTAAGTGAGATGAACAGGGAAGAAGAAGAAGAAGAAGAGGTCCAAAGTAAGCACGCGTACTACAAGGGAGAGCGTCTTCAGTAATAGCCACACTTACCGTCGTGCCACGGTTCGGTACATCTGGTGAGCTTCATAGTAATTGCCTGCATTGACAGATGCTTTCAGCTTTTCCAGGGTCTTTTGAGTGCCTTTATTTGCCATGATGTAATTAAGAAAGAAATAGAAAGAAACACCAACACCTGTTTCGCCAAAGCGGCTTTTGAAATCTTAAAGATTCTCTTTCTCTGGGTCTCTGCACTCTGCGGAAGAAAATTGACAGATCTGTCTGACTGGTCATCCCCATCAAGTATCAAGCTTCATTTCCGCTTATAATATGATATATTTGTACTGTAGCTCGATTGCATGCTTAGCAGATTTATTAATGCACATATTACTGAGCACGCTGATACATATATTTTAATCAATCATCGCATTTCCATGAATATTTAATATACAACTTCCATGCGGCCGTCATGTTGCTGTAGCTAAGCTGTTGTAGCGCGTTTATCCTTGCAAAATTGCTCCAAATGCACTTTATGGAGAGTCAATTTCGAACATACTCGAGTCCATGCCGATATCGTAGAGCGCACGGGTGTGACGTCGATTTCAGCCGGCTGGCGGGTCCGTATGTTTTCACAGCACGCTCCTAAATTTTTGGGTCGCAAAAAGCGAGCGTGCAGCTGTCGTCTGTTCCTTGGTTTTTTTCTTTCTAGACACTGCGTGATTAAATAACGAGACGTCATGGCAGATCCATCGCAGCAACATTCGTTGCATTCGCCGCAGTTACAACAAAACCAACAACAGGCCCAGTCGACGCCGTCCACGCCATCGTCGCAACCAACTTCGTCGCAGCCCCACCTACCACAGCAACAACAGCACAGCGTAGGAGACTTGAACTTTTCTATCCAAGATATTCTCGGTGATAATGGGACTTCCACCAACGATTCATCCTTCCAAAATATTGTCCATGACTTAAATAATAATATTCCTAATAATGCATCGTATTCGCATTTACCCATGGAATTGCAACATCTCTTCACTAATCACGGAACCGACGATTTATTGTCAGCTTCAGCATCTCCTTCGGCAGGATCCGACGCGTCCTCTTTGAGTGTATCCCAACAACCTTTACCGTGGGAAACTCCAATCATGGACGACTCACAACACTCTCAACAGTCTTTACCCCATGGGGCAACGCCCGTGGGCGCCGTGGCTTCGACTTCAGCACCGACCATGCCTTCCTCGGTCTCTAGGACAATGCCTCCCATGTCGCAATCCCACGCATCACCCGCTCAACCATTTGTCCCTTCGCCGGTTCAGGCAACGGCACAAACACCTAGACAACTGCCTGTCCACACCGCGTTACAACAGACTCCTTTACAGAGTCCCATGCAAACACCTCTGTCGTCCGCGACACCGTATATGGGCACACCTACCAATTACAGCCCGGCGCCAGGACCTGCGTCTTTACAAATGTCTGTTCCCACCCCAACTCCTCCTCCACCTCAGTCTATACCCTTTCCTACCATGTCAGCTTCGCCGATCGCTTCGAGACCCATCATACCAACCACATCGTCTAAACCACAGAGTACAGGAGGTGAGGCAGTGTAGTAGCGTTTCTATGCAACATCGACTCTAAATCCATTATTTTTAATTGTTCCAGCGGCTTCCATGACACTGCTGGATGAAATCACATCTCAGTTATCGCCTGAACGCAAGGAGAAATTCATTGCACTATTTCGGGAACTTCAGGTGGGTTGATTTTTCTGTCACTTATAGCAATAATCCCGTTCATGCGACTGATTTTTTTGTTTCGCTTCTACTTTAGCAAAATGCCGTAACGGCCGATCAATTTCTATCGCAGGCAAAAATGCTTTTGGGGCAACAGCAATATCAACAGCTTGAGAATTTGAAGAATAAACCCAGTCCCAAACCAACGCCCACTTACAGCGAGAGTCCAGAACGGAAACGCAACGTATCCAGCTCTCAACTACGTGCGGAAGATGCCCAGCGTGCTATGCCAGGTTTAGGGTAAAGAGAAACCATCTTCCTCTATATATGATTTTTCTCTGTCTAATGGATGTAGTGCATCACATAGTAAACGTGCACGGGGCGACACAAGTGCTGCATCCAAATCACCGTCTGTAGCAAGCTCAGTTACGCCAACCACCTATCCTCCGATTCCACAACAGTAAGTCATGCTACTTTTTTTTTTTGGAATATGGGTATTCATGTTATTTCGCAAAAAGTAGACCAGCAGGACAAGCGATGGATGGACGAAGACTCGATTACACCAATCCCACGAACGCTTTAAATTACACTGGAGTAAATCTGAAAGAGGAATCAGATCAGCTTCTGCGGGATGGTGACAAGCTGTCAGCGGGTGCGGTGGCTCCACCGGAACGAGCGCCCACTCAAGGCTTCTTGAATTCAGACTTGCTTCAAGAGCGACTCACAAAAATCGGTAAGCAGTAAAGACAAAGACATAGCGGAAGACGTATTCATGTATACTTCCAGTAGCTTCGACAGAGACTATCAACCAAATAGATTCGGACGTGCTTGGGTATCTCGCACTAGCATGTCAGCAGCGGCTACGAACATTGATTGAAAAAATGATTGTCGCTTCAAAGCATCGTGTGCAGTCACAAACAGTGGAGACCGCCCCTTTGAATGCCAAAGGGCAGACGTTGTACAAAGTGGTGGATGTGCAAGACATCAAAAAGCAATTACTCGCCATTGAACGTGTCGAACGTGAAGAAGAACGAAAACGAAAAGAAGCCATTGCAGAGAAGGAACGAAGGGCACAGATGGGCGACGGTGATCACGAAGGCGGTGATGAAGATCGACCAGCCAAGAAAAAGAAGAAAAAGGAAATGGGTCCTGGTGTAACAGCCCGCAATATGAGCGAAGATATCCGGAAAAAGTTTACCAACGAGACAGCGTTGATGAGTGCCGGCGGTGTTCGCAAAAGTTGGATGATGGCCGGTCTAAGCGGAAAAGGAGGATCCGCCAGTTTGAGTTCAGGGGGAGCAGGAGGGGGAGGAGGAGTAGGAAGCAGCAGTAGTGGTGGTGGTGGTAGTAGTAGTGTTAATGCTACTGGCAGTGGCAGTGGCCATGTGAGCAATCCGCCACCATTGCACCGCCCACATCCAGCTACTCCATTGGGATCATCGGGTACACCACCTATGCAGGAGAGCCCTGCAGAAGAAGCGCCGCGTGGTCGAGGTCGACCTCGGGGTCGAAAAGCGCAAGGATCCGATGGTTCAAGGCGTGATCGAAACAGGGGTTACATGGGCTTGGAACGAGGTGATCACGGACGATCTCAAGACGGTGGTATTTTCTTGCCGCCTTCAACGATTGGACGTCCACGCCTAGGAGAACAAGGCATACGCAGAATTACCATGAACGATGCATTATTCGCCATAGAAAAGGAAGCCGAAGATCATCGCCAAACCGCACGTCGCACCTTGTTGAAAGCATACAATCAATGGCTCAAATAAAAAATAAAAAAAAGAGAAAGGAGAAAGCGAAATGCATCCAACTTATTGTAAACCCAAAAAGATGAAGTCTAAAAGCAGAATCACTGAGAATCGAACTCGTCGAGAATTGTGTTACAAATGCAGAAGATGAGGTTCGCTTTTTTTATTTTTCAACTTTCTGGCGGACGGAGCGTAGGAAATCGGTGACGTTGGCTTCATCAATTGGAGCACTGGGTAAATCATTGGTAGAGGGCTTTTGTCGTTTAGCCTGCATGGCAGCTCTTCGAGCATGGATCCTTTGAGCATTTTTGGAAAGCACGGCTTTCCGTCGTTCCGCGACGGACTGAGTGTTTTGCCGTGCTTGTTCGGTTTCTTCACGTAGTTGATTTAATCGTCGCATCTGTTCTTCTCTCTCTTCCTCGTCTTTGGCAAATGCATAGAAACCCACACCCTTTGTTCGGATTTCATGCGTGGCATCGTAATGAGGCATGTCCCGTTCAGCCAGTTGATCGGGATCGCGAGGTATAAAGACATGTTCAGGTGAAGGAGAACGAGATGGCGACCGGGAAGGTGATCGAGAAGGAATTTCGCTACGTCGTATAATACGTGTACGACCAAACTCATCGACATGCTCGACCCAAGGATCATCGTCGTCGTCTTCACCGTCACTGTAGCGTCTGCTCCGTCGGTCACGATCGTCGACGGACGAACGGCGTCTTCGTTTTCCTTGTGTTTCCTCGAGTTCTCGCTGCAAAACAAATAAAAGAAAAGAGTAAAAGTTTAATCGGTGGTCTTGCCAACGGACCAATGAGGGATTTCTTACCTCCAGAATGTACTTGCGATCAAAGTCAATGAGCCCTTCTTTATCTTCGTCGTCGTCTTCGTCATCGCTGGTTCGTCGTATCCGATTTCGCATGGCTTCGTAGATCTTTGCTTTTCTCTCGAGTGCTTGGCGGCTTCTTTCAAGTGAGTGGCTTTCGACTTCCTCCAAATGCACCTCTTCATCCCGCTTGGATCGTGCTGCAATGCCTTTGTTCTGCCTTGCCCACACAGTTGGTTTCTGCATTCAATAGAATCGATTTGGCATTTAGAATTCACTGTTCACCATTTAGCGTTACATTCACTGACTTGCCTTATCACTACGCTGTGGTGCTGCAGGACCATGCTTGGCTCCTGAGCGCATGCGTTCAAAGTGTTCCGACTGCTGGGCCAACTGTGCCTTTAGATCGACTACCTTGAAAAAAGCGGAGGGTCAGTTGGCTAGTGAAAATAAGTGACATGTCTGTCTCAAGAGAACGCTTACTGAAGAGGCGCTGACATCGATGACAGGTTTGGGTGGCATAATAGGGAAAAAAAAAATGAATAGAAAAGAAAAACGATCCCATTGGCTATATGCAACACTTTATTCAATTTGGGGCAACACCCGGTGCAACAAAATTAAATGGTCTCAAAGTCTATCAGGTTTTTGTTTTACTGCCATTTGGCAGCTTTTTCTCTTTTTTTTGGATGTAGGTTTATTCATGCGTTTCTCGTCTTTTTTGTGCCTGCTCTTGTTGACCGCTTGCGGAAGATGATGGTGCTCATGCGCTTGAACAAGTTGACTTTACGACCTGACATGCTTTCGTTGCCTTGCACATCACCATTCGATGTCGGCGTTGACGACAGCGTCCCCTTTTTCTTATGCAGAGATAACAAGGATTGAGGATCCTGCTCGAGAGCATGTGTTAAATCTTGAAAAATATGTGTCATTCGTTCTAAATTTCCGAGCAGCGTAGGATGGCGGGTGGCAGACGTCTCGATTTGCTGACGTTGATCTTTGACCAGAGTAATTGCGTAGTCGAGCTCTTCCCGGGTAAGTACGGTCCGTAGCGCGTTCATGGCTACAGCAGAGCGAACGAGCAATTGAAGACATTCAAGTCGTGCGTATTTGGCAGCTTGGAGTAGGAGGGTGCCCGGTCGGGTGCGGCGCGTTTGTTGGTCGAGAAAGTCGCCTTGAATGGTTAAATTGGCTTTTGCGTGGTGAATGAGCCAATCCAGAGTAGTCGCATAATCACCGTTGGCCAGGAGACCAAACATCGGGGACTTTCGACTGGCATCGACAAGATTGATATCGGCTCCGTGGCTGACAAGCAGCTGGAGCACACGATCCGGAGGTGTGCAAAATCGAGCGGCATAGTGAGCCGGGGTCCAACCGTCACCGTCACATGCGTTGGGACTGGCGTCGTATTGAAGCAGAAGCTGAATAGCAGGTAAAGGGTTTTTGCAGTGAAGCGAGACCATGTGAATGGCTTGAACGTTGTAAATGTTACGAGCGGTAGCATCGGCACCGTGGTCTAGCAACAGTTTCAGAAGCGGTACGAGATCGTACTTATTTTCGTTGACATTGGAGACAATCAAATGCAACAAGGTGCAATCCGAATAAGGATCACGGCTGTTGAGCATGATGCACGGATCGACAGTGGTCGGATGTTGAATAAAATAAGTCAATGCTTCCAAATCACCATTTTCAGCGGCTTGCCATATCGAAATCTCTGGTCGCTGTTGAAGAGGACGAAGAGGGATCATGGAAGTTTGGTTATTCGATGCGGGTTCATTTTCTTTTGGATGGGATGGTAATAGGGAAGGTGGGGATAACGGCTGGTGGTATGGAGGATGCGAATTTTTGGGTTGCGTAGGAGGATCATGTGCGACAATGACTTCTAATAATTTCTTGGGTAAACGGTGCTGCTGTTTGGGCGGCTTATCAGTGGTGAGATCATTTGCACGCGGTTGAGCGACTGAGTGTGTTTGTTGCTTAATATGCGAGTTTACTGGGACAGAAAGTTGTTCTTGACGCGTGTTTGGAGTGGAATCGGGATCGGCAGTGTCATTGTGAATCAATGGCGGCTTTGTGTGGGTATTGAGAAGGGTGAATGTGCGGGCCAACAGTGTAGGCATCGCTGGCAGTGGCTCCAAATACTATGGTTAGGAGATAAAAAGGAAGAGGAAAAGAAATCAAGGCCAAGCTCAAATTAGTTGAAAGATTACTGGGAAAGACAAGGCTCACAAAGTAATGGATGATATTTTTTTTTTCGCTCATTTACATAAATGGACAAGGAGATTATTTCCGAAGCACCTCTTTATTTCAGTTTGAGCGGAACCGCCTCAAGACAAAGAAAGCTAAGTTTCCGCTTGTTCATTGGGTGCATGGCCTGATAAACATACGCTGCAGGAGAGGAGGAAACCATGACAATCGGATCATGCAAGGTGAGGTTGTTGTGAAGGGTAGAGTGACAACAGGCACCAGCGATCCGAGTTGCCATTGCTATGCACATCACACAATTTTGTTTGTGTATCAGGATGTTCTTTTTTTTTTCCCGAAAGATGGAGTAATTGAAATCGACAACAAAAAGAGCGCCCTTAATTAATAAAATAAGCAATGTCACATTGCCTTTTTTACGTTATAACTCTTTACATAGAAAGACTCATCATGCCATATTGCCTTTTTGGGGCCATGGCTACGCACTGTTTGTACGAAAAGTCCACCCAAAAAAGGTATGTTATCCACACACTGTTAAAATAGTCTCTGTAACATTGCCTTTTCCGGGCCATTGCCACATCCTGTTCGTACAAAAACAATCTACCCAAAAAAGGGACGTTGCCCACACACTGTCCGACAGTATATAAAAGAGAAAAGATTGCTTTTGATTTTTAATTTAGTTATATCCTGTCACAACTAAAAAAATAATAATATACAATATGCCTTGCCGTTGTGGAGTTACGGATTATCGAAGAATTACCAGCGCTTGGTGTCCGTTGAATCCCAGGAATACAACTACTGGACAGTTTATTCAAGAAGCACAAGTGCAGCAGTTTTCATGTCTCTCCACAATGTATATACGCTTTACTTGATAATTTTTCAAAATGCCCTTTTTTAAACAAATTCTCGAAATCCAAATAGACCTTACCAAACGCTGCCAATGTGGACGTACGGATCGTCAAAGAGACGAGTTCACGGTGTCCGTTGAATCGCATGAATACAACTGCTGAGTTTATTCGAGTCACCCAACAAGGTATTTTACATATTCTCTTGGCAGTATATTCAAAATTATGCCCACATTGTATACATTTGTCTTGGATATTTTCCAGTTTCTGAGATCCCGATAGATCTACTTTGCCAATGTGGCGGTACAGACCACCAAAACGCGTGGCAAGCTCGATCTGTCCCTTTAAGTCTTGGAAATATGACAGATGACGTTGAGGATACCGTCCCGCTTGCTCCTGTGTCTTCAACTACGGAAGGTATGTATTCTCTTCAAAGCTCGTCTAACATTGCATGCATTAAGAGCTTCTATTTTCCATATCATCCCACAATATTCGCCCGCATCTCCTTTGAAGAATTTCAAAGAGGCGCCTCACTTCGAGCTCCAAACGTCAACGTCGATGGAGTAATGGACAATAGCAGCATGACCTTGGTATGTGTTTCCTGTGGAGCCAAAGGTTGGGACACCGAAAAAGTAGCTGGAACCCGTCAAGAACCTCGGTTTGCCATTTGCTGCAACCAGGGAAAGGTCCAGTTGCCCGTCCTTCAGCCCGTCCTTCATCCACCTCCTGAAGAGCGGCGACAATTGCTCACTGGCCAAGACGCAACCTCCAAGGAGTTCATCCATTATATCCGAAAGTACAATATCCTTTTTGCATTTACTCGATTGGTGTCGAGGTATGTACAGCATGACAGTTGTTGCGTCGAGCCAACGCCCAACCAAAGGCAGAAAAACGTTGCTTACTAAATTGGGTTTGATATCCTGTAGACTGATGAGGAGTTAGCCAAGGCAAGATCTGGCACTTATACCTTCCGTATGCATGGCACTATCCATCATAGAATTACCCAACATGCATCCTCAGCAAACTTTCAACCGTCATTCCCGCAAGTATACATATATGATCCTGATATCCAGCAGCCACATCGGTCATCTCTGTTTGACGATCTCCATCCCCAAATCCTACAACTTTGCAGACGATGGTGGCTGGGGTGGATCCATATACTCGCATGTAGCAATCTGCTGGAGAACACTTGCGAGGTGATGATACTGAAACGCGATGTGAAACATGTATAATACCCGTCGCCTTTTACCCGGAGATCATCGCGGACAGTATCTGCATCCGGCAGCCACCGATATAGCTGCTATCATACCAGACACACCAAGACAACAAGGCATCATGACGGCTACTGTCGTGATATTAGAATAAAGCTGCAAGGCGGTGGCGGTTCTACGTATTGACAAACGCCATCCTTTTATGACCCATTACAGTACGTGCTCATATTTCCGAGGGGAAAGCACTGCTGTTGCGAACCATATGGGACAGCAAGTCACCATACCTCGCATCAGACTTTACTATGAGAAAGCTGATCTTCCGTTTACGCTCTCACGTCGACAATTGCCTTTACATCCGGCTTTTGCCCTAACCATTACAAATCACAAGGCCAATCCTTGGGCAAAGTTGGGTTATCCGGTTTCAGTGTTTAGTCATGGTCAATTTACAGTTGAAAGACGCGAGAATGACTTTATACTCCTTGAAAGCAAGTTTGAAGAAGCGGCAACACAAGGGTAGTTAAACAGCTTCTACCGAATCACGTACTTGATAGCTAACAATGTCCCTTTTATTAGGAAAAGGAAAGGAGAAGCCGAATCCACAGTCGGACATTCCTCCAACTGTGCCCACATTTCAAGCCTTTGGTTGCGAAGGTTCCACGGAAAACATTGACATCAGCCAGCTCAAGAAGGAAGCTCGGGCCAAAAATATAAAATCAGTTTTCAGAGGCACTGATTACGGTGTTTGTACCATGTCGGCAACAGTACCCTTGACGCTCGACCAATACCACGCCCATGTGCAACTGTACAACAGGGTCCAAGGTCTTGGTGATCGCGAGCTCCAACCAATGGATACGGCAGTGGATCCGGCTTTTCAAGTACCAACCCCTCATCGTACCACAGCCAAGCAGTTAGATGTACTCTCTTTGGCGCACAAAAATGCCAGGTTACGAGAAAGACGAAAGACAAAACATCCCCAGCTTTTGGATGCAGAGCGACAGCTCAAAGAGCGGTCTTTTAAACTGGCAACCACATCAGCCGAAGTTGAGCAATGCCAAAAGGTGTGTATTCGAAGCACTTATATTTCCCTTTCAAAATATTCATGATTCTTTTAGATTGCAAGAGAGACAAGAGACATTCTGCACGGTTTTTACCATTCTCCCCGAGCCCACCGTGACACATGGCCCAAGAATTAGCGACAAAGCGCGCCTACCGACAAGTTGCAGCCAAAGAAAGGGCGGCTATAAGGCATGCTTCAGGTTCACGATGGTCGTTGGTCATCATGATGATCGGAACGCAGGGGACTGGGGTGGGCAGTCGTATTAAAGGCCACGCCAGGCGCGGTGGCAAGAAACTAAGAAAAGAAACACAGTCAGCACGCTGTAGTGGGGATGACGAACGAGTTTCGTAGTTCACAAACGTGCATGGGCTGTTTCGGTCTGGTCATCCGACCAAAGAGGAAAGCCGTTGGAGCAAGTTCGAAAATACGCTCAGTCCACGGATCGTCTTTGTGTATGAATATCGATTGTCCGTTATATCGAACAGGACGAGCTACACAAAACCGGGACACTCAAGCAGCAATGTGCATCGCTCTTGCTGGTGCAAGCTTCTTGCTCGACGGGATGACATTGCACCCATTTTCAAAAAATCAGCCATGAATCATATGCTGAAAAAAATCATTACCACCCCGCACACCGGTAACACAGAATCTCGACTACGATTTGACATTGATGCTGAATAAAAGAAATTTTAGATGCAGGTGCTGCGGAGGCTTCTTCCAATGGGGAGGGGGCACACGACGTAGTGTTCGCGGGCATTAACGTAAGCATGACAGTTGGCTCATATCCAAAAATTTAAACTCATAAAATGTTTGTAGGTCTGGTAAGATAATGACTTAATTCGTATTACAAAACGGAATACTCATCAAGAGAACACTGTTTATAACTGCTCGAGGTTATCCTTTTGCTCTTTTGGTTTTCATTGTTTTAAGGTAAAGTTGATTTAAGAATTGGCTTAATGGTCCTCATTCTAATATATATCGTAGCCACTGACGCAAAAGGATAACCGAAAGCGGCGTAAACAAAATTCTTAAATCTAGTTACGGCGCTAAATCAACGACGACGGAATGCTGTATCCAGACAATGAATTATCATTCATAAATAATGAACAGACAAAGCAATGTATTCTTATACTTGCTTTTTTTTTGAAAAACCTTTTTTTTTTATCCAAACGAATCTTTAATCATACTATATGTACAAGCAAATAATTTTTAGATGGGGATCATGGATGAAACGCAATAATAGATGGGATTGGGGATAATAAATGTTATAAAGGGGGGAAAAGACCTTATTTTGTTTAGTCTCAAATTCATATTTTTTGTTTTTGTTTTCCTGTGTGGAGAGAGAAAAAAATCTTGGATTCATATATTAAATATATCAGTCGTCCCAGCAAATGCGAAATTCTTGATCGCCAATGACTACTTTACTGGGAACATAGTCTGACTGCATAGGGCGGAACGGTCGTGCACCATCATCCTGAGAAAGTCGTTGTAGTAAGAGGGTGGCATTGATGGTTTCAATAATATCCTGAGCATGCGGTGTAGTCGGGGTAGAAGGGATGGCTTCCAAGGGAACAAAAGGTGATGAAGACGACGAAGACGAGGAAGATGGGGTGACAGGTAAAATTCGCGGTTCCGAAATCCGGCGTGAGGCTGGACAAGAAGCAAAGGTCAAATTGTAAATAGGTGGAAGAAGTGGTCCCGATCGTTGCTGCTTCTGTTGTGGCTCCTGTGGCTGTGAAGGTGGTGATTGCGGTGCGGGATGAAGCTGGGTTTGTCCATAGGATCGAAACGATCCTTGACCCGACTGCTGCTGTTGCTGCTGTTGTTGTTGGTGTTGGTGCTGCTGCTGTAGTTGTTGCTGGTGTTGTTTGCGTTTGGATGAATTCCAGGAAGTTTCGATATGTGAGAAACTGGGAATAATTCGAAAGGTAGGGGATGGGGTGGTATTGGGAGACTCGGTGAAAGCATCGGGAGAAATGAATTGATCATCACCTTCGTCGGATAAAAAGGACTGATCATCGCCGTCTTGGGGTGACAGGCTGTTGGTATCGTCTGTGGAGGAGGGTGGCTGATTTAGGAGTCTTGACAGCGACATGCTTGATAAGGGTCGTTTCTGTTGACGCATGGGTTTTTCACGTGAGGTGCGACGAACGTATTCACGTTTATATGGATGATTAGCTTGACGCATAGTTGTATATGAGTGTCGCCGTTGGGTCATGGAGCCTTTGTGGTACTGTGCGTTCTTTGGATCGAGGAGGAGACAGCCATATTCGGGATGGGAAGGATCCAATGCCTCAGTAGCGAATCGAGGGCCGAACATAGCCACCAAATCTTTGCGTACATTCCACGCCGTTCGTTTACAGAGGATATGCGCATATTCGTAGGGAATCCTGCAGAGTGGTGATTGGGGGAGGTGGGGGAAACGAGCGAGAACGAAGAAAAAATAAGGGACGGTTAGCCAATGATCGGGGCCAGAAAGTGGATAGATTGGAGGTATACATCCCACGACAGAGGGAGCATACAAACAATGCAGTGCGGTTTACTAAACGTACCATGTGCCTTGGATTTTTAAAAACCCACCACGGATCTTTTTTACTTTCAACTCGGGATTGGAATCCACCATTTTCACAATATCCGCCTTGGAATTACCCAGCGATTTCCAAATGCCGGTGAAATGAACGTACCCTACGTAATTTCCACTCACAAAATTAGTCTGCTTCATCCCCACCCAGCATGAAATTTTTCGTCACGGTATTTTTTTTTTTTTTTTTTTTTTTTTTTTGGGGACTCATTCGCTTCGCTTGTATGCTCAGTGATGGGATCGATGTACGAAATTAAGTGAAAAGGATGATTTACCCGATTCACGATCCCACATGATAGGCTGGCCATTGATGGTATATTCGTAGACTGTAAAGTAAAAATTGAGGACAAGATTGGGGATTCGAGGCAAGAAGGGCACTTACCAGGAATGTAGCCTCGCGGATCCAGCGAGGTGGAGTATTTAGCTTTTTTGACCTTGATGAGGCGATTAGGGGAAGCAAAGGGGCGAAATCTCGGACAATCATTGTCGGTACTGATATCCATGATGCTGTTTTAAGAGGCTCTTCTTGGCTGCCTTTATTTGAAGAACGAAAAAAAAGACCAATGATGAAGAAAAGAGAAGAACGAGAAAGAAAAAAGAAAAGAAAAAGAAAAAGAAAGAGACGGGACAAAAATCACCAACGTTATAAACGAAAAAATAAAATAAAAAATATCAAAAAAAAAAAAAAAATCGGTCTGAAGATATGGGAGGATGCAAGCGTAAACAAAAAAAATAAATTCGGGGGACAAAAAGACACCATCAGACAGGTACACTCAACCATTGAAATAAATAATAAAAAAAAAGAGGGGATTAACCAATCCAGGGGTAACGGTTACTTCGATTCTCTATTTGCTTAGCTTTACCGGACTACCATGGATGCAATGAACAAATGTCTAGGTAACAGTATCCATTCTCGGCACATCTATTTATTTTCGGGGGAACATCACAACTTTTTACCACTAAGCGTGCAAGTAAAAATGAATAAAAGACTACCTCAATTCTTTTTCGAATAAGCACCAAAGAGAGAGAGAGAGAAAAAAAAAAAAGAAAAAAGAGGAGGAGTAGGGGAAGGATAGTAATTGAAAAAAACCGAAATATGTTTAATTTATGCTCTTTTGGAGAATGACGGCCGCCTTTTTGCTTACATGTCGATCCTCTCAGTTTGCATGGCATCATTGTTCCTCATCACTCCAGCTTGACTCCATTTCAATTTGGCTTTTTTTTTATTGGCTGCAAACTTTTCAGCCTTATGCAATCACCATTCCTGGCTTACTCTTTTAAAACCAACAACTCGGTCCACCCTTCAACCGTGTGACACGTTTGTGGACCCTGTTGTCTCGTCAACCACCTAAACGATTCATCTCACGGCTAGATAGCTCCCTCTTCCCCAGGGCAAATAAAAGTTCACTGTTTGAAAAATAATAAAATAATAGAAAAACAAGCCAATAGTTGCTTTGTTGTCCATCGGACGCACGACCATGGTCCGTATGTTCATTGGGTCGACGTTTTAAAGAGCCCTGGCGGCAAAGAAAGAGCTCCTTTATGCGGCCTCTCCGTGGAGTGATACATATGCCCTAATTGGATTGCCTTATTTGTTTATGGTTGATGCAGTTACTATTCATACCAGCAAGTTCCCATTTCTCGATGGACCATATGATAGATAGGAATGCAGCATGGTTGAAAAGACGACGGTCGTTCCCGGACCAAAAAACAACATATCCGCTTGCTTTTTTTTTTTTCGCATAAGCCCATTCTACATCCGTTCATCCCAGGATTACCCATCACATCAGTTTTTCTCTTGGATCTCCTTGCATTGGATTTTCCCTCATGATCGTCCCGATAAACGTTAATCTTACGTCTTTGTGTTCCCAAAAAAAAAAAAAAAAACCTTGGCTAAACCCGTGTGATTTTTCGAACAACATTTGTCCTTTTGTCATCCACCTTCCTTTGTTATTCATCGTTTGTCATACAATTATCTGCCCCATCCGAGCTTTCATTCTTACTTTTGTTTACAACACATTTCCGGCCTGCCAATTTCGCTCCCTCTTTTTGACACTCCACAGCTCCTTGTTGCCTAAATGACGTTCGCCAGTTGAAAAAGACGTTCCATCCAATATTGGATGGTTTCCTTTGGAGATGTTCTCCTTGAGAAACATTTCGGTCAAGAAATAAAAATTCAATCAAGTAGTATGTTTCCCACCCCATTTTTTTTCTCGGTCAAATAATGGTGTGTGTTCATTTAATTTTTTTCTTTCCTTTTTTTTCAATGGAGAGACCTTACTGGGAAGTAGGATAGTTAAATCGGTTGACAATCCCGTCAACGACATTCTTGTCGCCAAAGAATGTGTCCTTGAAAGAAGGAAGCTCGGCAAGACCCTTGAACCATTCAGCCAAACGTGGGGATTGCTTGACTGCTTCATGCTCATAACCATTCAATAAATGCTTTTCAAAAGCAGCAATGCGACCAGCAAAAGGCGCCACGGCGATATCAGCCAAGGATAACTGGTTACCGAGGAAGTACGGCCCCGAAGAAGATTGCGCCAGTAATAAATCATTGATCTGCCATAAATTTCAATGACACCATTCAGTCACAACTCCGACAGAACCATGGCTGACAAATGCATCAATACTTACACGGCGGTATGCTTTGTCCAAGACAGCAATGTAATCTTCGCGGCTTCCACTGTTGGCATTTTCTCGGAGGTGCTTGTACCAGTTCGAGACAACATTGGAAGAGTAGTATTCAATAAGGAAACGCACCTCGGCTCGTTTCACGGCATCATTTGGCAACAGCCTGAGTCAATCCAAGCATTAGTTCCCACTATTAGAGCTTCGCTACTTTTTATGTTAGCATACTTACTTTTTCTCGGGATACAGATCATTGAGCAGCTCGAGAAGCACCAACGATTCAGCAATGTTGACACCATTCACCGACAATGCAGGGACCTTGGTTTCCGGATTCACATCCTTGTACCTATGGTTCTCGATAGTGAATCCGAGTGGTTAAATCTATTGCAACCGACTATGCTTTTACCATGCAGGTTTATTCGATAGATCAATTTCGACACTTTCAAAGTCGGCGCCCACTTCACGAAGCGCAATAGCCACACGCTGTGCAAAAGGGCACAAAACAGCATTGTAAAAAGTCAATTTGCCTATCGCGGAACCGCATAATGTCAGACAAATCCAATAACCCCCACAATCAAGACGCGTCGTCTTACCAGACATAATATTTGAATAAATAAATGATGAAAAAAAGAAAGAAAAAAAAAAACCAACCTAATTTATACAATTGTTCTGTGCAAGCGAGCGGAGAAGGAAAAAAATGGCGTTAACCTTTACCAAGGGAAAAAAACCCTCAATGGAAGGATTGCCTATTTTGGGAATAACCGTCTTTTTTCCTATGCTTCTGATTACAAATACCATACATAGCCCGCTTTTATATCGTCATAATATCCATGTATTGCGAGAGGTCACATTCATTCCCAATAAGCAATTGAAAGTAGACTCATTGAACGACTTGGATTATTAATCCTAGGCTGAGTCAGCTTGCGCATAAAGTGAAAAAAAAAAGATGGTTCTGAAAATTCTGACCGTGACACCATGGAAGAAAGCGTCCGATGGAAGTCCCTACAAAAATAGCTTGTCAATTTCCTATAGCTGTGCATTTTTTATACCATGTTACAAGCCAGAATTTTGTAGAGCATGTGACCCTCTCTCAAAGAATATACCCTCCCACTGTATTCTCTCGCATTGATTCAATGCATGAACCGAGTGTCCACAGTAATGATTACAATGCCCTACTTTTTTTTTTATTTTACTTTTTATTGTCAGACTTCTTTTTTCTTTTTTTCTCTTGGGTTCTTTATGATGATTGCGTTGGATGGGAGCATCCGATATAAAAATAAATATGAGACAAAAGCAAAAATTCAAATGCAAATAAAACGAAGAAAGAGTTAAAAGTATAAAGAACATCATAATAGGAGCTATTCACAGATTATTTGTGGAATGCCAAACACAGCATACAGAGAGAAGAAATGGAAAAACATGGAAAATCACATCATGATAAGAAAAAGAAGAACAAGAAAAAAAAAGCCACAGGAAATAACCGAAAAGGATATACACAACTCACATACACACGTTGCTGTTTTGCTTCGTCTTGTTCATGCTTGTCTATGAACGTCGGCGCTCTTTCCGCTCGCGTTCTCTTTCTCTATCACGATCACGTTCTCGATCGCGGTCCCGATCTCGGTCTCGGTCCCGGTCTCGTTCGCGTTCTCGATCCCGATCACGGTCGTGATGACGATGGGAATGATGACGATGATGGGAGGTGGCATTGGTTGAAGACGACCGTGGAGAGTCACGGTCTCGATGATGGTCGCGATGATGCGAGTCACGACGACTGGTGTGAGTGGAGGAAGATCGTAGTTCTGGTGAAGATCGACGCGCCCGTTGGGATGTGGTGCTGTCACCATTAACTCGGCTCGCCTCTGACGTTGAGGTTCTCTTTTCGTCGCGTTGGCTGCGGTCACCGTGATTTTTGGTTGGTTTCATCTCGGACGATGCATCACTGCCGGATCGTGCTTTGGCTTGTGCTTGCATGATACGTTCATACACCGTCATGAGATCTTTATGCGAAATGTTGGCATTGGGCCAATATTTCTTCGTGTATAACCACAAGTTACGTTGATGCTTTTTTCGTCGTTTGCTACTGCTCACTTCGTCCACTTGTCGGTCGATGAATTTGCCAATCTTTGCCATGCACTCCTTGATAAGTCCAGCTTTTTCCGCGCCTTCCAATTGACTGGCATCATCTCGTAATCGCACCAAGTAATGCTTTACCGGCCGAAGCGAACGCCGCGCCTCATCTTCGTCGTAACTTTCGTAATCCGATACATCCGGCTCCTTGTTCTCCTTTTCAAGTTTCCTTGATGTCGCCGGCGATGATCTTCCCGCCGTCGTCCTTTCTGCCGATCCCTTACGTTCGCGTCCATGACTTTCTTCGCTCTTCACCGCCGTCACCGATCGACTCATTGATCGGGGTCCCTTTTTCTCAAAAGGTAATTCGCTCTGCTGTCGTCGTGACTTGTCATCTTCGGCGAGAATCTTGAGCAACTGTTCTCCACGTCGGACAAGGTGAATTGCTTTGGGTGTCTTCTTGTCATCTCTTTCTTTGGCCCGTCGATTCGCTTCTTCGTCGTCTTCCGCAGCATAACCCAGGAAAAATTTATCCGTCAATCCCAACGATGCGTCCGCTTGAATCTGGATCCAGCTGCCAAAACCGTATCGGTGAATACCGACCAACAGCATCGCGTCTTCCTTTTGTCCCCACGTACACGACCATCCCTGAACACGTTTTGCGCCCAGCGATAATCGGAATTTTAGCATATCCGCCATGCTCGTCAACCTTCGAGCCAGAATTTTCATGTCGTGATGCCGTTGCAATACTTGACCCGCATTCACGCTTTGAATTTCTCTCCACGTAAATAAAATGGCCTTCTGTTTCGTGTGTCGAAGTTCACGCAACATACTCTCTTCATCAATGGCGTCACTCGCCAACGCTTGCGTTTGGAGATGTTCGCGTACTTTGTCTTTGCATGATTTTACAAGCTCGCTGCATGTCGCTACTACGAATGCCTTGTCTTTGGCTTCAAGATCCGTGTCGCGCACCGCTTCCTCGTATCGCGCTTCCACGTCGCCATATTTGAGCACACTTCGAATCACCGCGCGGAGGTCTTTCTCGGTCATTTCATCCGCTTTACCTTGCGCGCCCTTCTTTCTCGACGCTCCGCCACTGCTACCTGCTTTTCGTCGGCGTTTCTTGCCTCTGCCATGATCGCCCTCTTCCATGGCTTGATCTTCTTCTTCCTCATCGCCCGCATTCTCACGGTAAGTACGTCGGCCCTTTTTGGCCGCTCGTTCAAACAGGGCCATTTCTTCTTCCAACAACCGCTGATCTTCCGCTGCTTTTCGTTCGCCATCAGGGATGATTTCGTCCCAGCTGAGATCGTTGGCACTGCCTCCGTAATCTGAAATTTTGAATTGGGACAAGAAATCTTCGCTGCCGAGCGCACTGTCATCTCCATTCAATGTTTCTGTGTGTTCAGCTCGCGCCAAAATGTCATCGAGATCCAAATCGTTCAACTTTTGCGTATTTTCGGTTTGCTGAAACATATTTTGAGCGCCAAATTTGAGAATCGCCGACATTTCTTCCTTGTTAAAAGGCAAATCGCGAATTTTTCCAGAAGCCGTGGTCAACGCATTATCCGGTAACAAGGACAATCCCGACGTATCCATTTGCTTGATAATGCAGTATTCCAAGACCATCTTGCGCTTGGCTCGTTCAATGATATCCTCTTCCATCGTGCCTTTGGTCACAAACCGATACACATTGACAGATTTCGTTTGCCCAATACGATGGGCGCGCGACATGGCTTGCAGGTCGTTTTGAGGATTCCAATCGGAATCAAAAATAATGACGGTATCCGCTGTCACAAGGTTGATTCCCATGCCACCCGCACGTGTGGATAATAAAAACACAAAATCGGGACTATCGGGCGCATTGTAATGCTCGATGGCCTTGTTTCTCTCTTCCGGTTTCATGCTACCATCCAGTCGCTGGAAAGGATGACCTCGCAGCGCCATGTAATCCGACAAAATATCCAGCATCATGACAAGTTGGGAAAAGATCAGCACACGATGGCCGTCCGATTTGAGTCGTGTTAAGAGTTTATCGAGCAAAATCATCTTTCCGCTGTTTTCAACGAGACCCTTGAGCTGCTCGATGCGACTTGACGAGACCTGCTCGGCATCGGGGAAAAGGAAAGGATGGTTACTGGCTTTTTTCAGTTCAATGGCGATATTCAACCACTGCTTCTTGTTCTTTTCCGAGCCTTTACTGAGGACGGCAAAGTTCTTGGTCAGAATATTTTTGTAGAACGTTTTCTGCAAGTCGCTCATTTCCACGCGCAAGATGCGTTCTGTTTTAGTCGGGAGCGATTTCTCCACATCCTTCTTTAGGCGCCGTAACATCAGTGTCTTGATTCGTTCGTGTAGCGTTTTGATCTTTTCCTCTTGATCTTCTTCTTGCTTCTCCAGGTCAATGTTGAGTTCGCTTAGATCCATGTCCGGCATAAGGAAGCGAATGAGCGCCAGCAACTCTTTGACGCTATTTTGAAGAGGCGTGCCGGTGATCAAAAGTCGATTCACGGTGTGAAAGCTTTGAAGGGCTTCGTATAATTGAGATTCCGAGTTTTTTAACCGATGCGCTTCATCCACCGCTAAATACTGCCATTTGATACCCCCGAGTTCGTCGCGATCTTTTAGCACAATTTCATACGTGGTGACCAATACGTTAAATTTGAGTTTTTTGGTGCCCGCCAAATAAAATTCTTTTTCACGAATGACTTTGCGAGATTGTCGATTGCCAATGTAAAGAAGCACATTCATTTCGGGCGCCCACTGCTTGAACTCGTTGATCCAGTTTTCCGACGTCGATAGCGGGACCACCACCAAAAACGGACCATACAGCGATTGTTTGTTGTAAAGCGTGTTTAGGAAACTGATGGTTTGTACGGTCTTGCCCAACCCCATTTCGTCGGCTAAAATTCCGTTCTTGTTCGTACACCATAACCAGTACATCCAGCTGATGCCGTGCAATTGGTAATCACGAAGTTCGCCTCCACGGATAAATGAGGGTTGTTCTCTTAAAATTGAAAACGTCGGTCGCGATTTGTAATACGACGTCGAGCGGTGCGGAATGTATTGATTTTGTTCACGATCGAGAAACTCGTCGATTTCCGCTTGATATTGATCACTAATTTGATCCGCCGATTCCCATGTACATTCATCGTAGTGCAGTCGTTTCCATTTCACAAAATACTCGCATTCTGGCGCATTTCCTCGCATGGCAATAACACGTTCCACGGTTCGCCAATCCTGCAATTCGTCACGACGTCGTTCCGTATTGATATCCTGTTGTTCGATTTCTTCCTGTGTCGTCTCTGGATGGTAACGGAACGCCAGCTCATCGTAAATGTGAGTACGAATGTAATTTTCAAGTTTACGGAACCCTTTGAAGGCCCTTAAATCCTCATAGGTATCCCACGTATCGTGAAGATGCGACCATGACTTCCATTTGACCAAATATTCCATATTCTTTTCCGGCACATCCTCCTTGTCGTCTGCTGTTGGAAAGAATCAGTTAGCTCCGATGATCCTTGTGGTAAGATGGCGCCCATCCACGATACGGCGCAGACTGAAATAGTGACTATTCTTTATAGCTTACCATATGCCTCTCGTCGACGGTGATCATGGACACTTTCAATGACATCGCCTTCGTCTTCTGGTTGTGGGGTGTGAGTTTGTGGTGCCAAGACCTCGTCATCGTCCGATAAACCCCATAAACTGGCATTGTCTTCGTTATAATTGGTCACTGTTTTATGACGCGTCGAATAACGCAACGAATCGGAAGGGGACAATTCGTTGGCTACAAATCGAGATAACCAAAAAAAAAAGTCAAAATTAAGGTTACATCAAGCTGACCCTGATTTTCAGGGCTTAAAAAAACGTCATGCCCCTTTTTCTGTTTTTTGTCCAACCTCGAGCTCTCCGTTGTGTCTTTTTCTTTTTTCGAAACGATTTTTTGCGAGCCGGTGCTGACCAGTCGTCGGATTCGCTGTCTTGGTCGGCTATGGACTGTTCAGAGAAGTCTTCTTCCTCTTCCAAGTCTTCCTCGTCATCGTTATCGGCACTACCTATCAGACAATTGCGAGGTTACACAATGATATCCCATGAATGTCATTCCGTTTCAATTGTGCGTACTCATTCGCCCACGACGTGTATTGGATTTGCCGTTAAGTCGGGTGGTATTTTTTCGTCGTGTTTTACTGAATTGTGCGCCGTAATCATCGTCACTGCTATTTTCATCTACATCGTCTTCTTCTTCTTCTTCTTCTTCTTCTTCACTGGTCGTCTCAAACGCAGTTGTCGCGGTGTTCATTTCATGTGAAGCCTGAAAGAAACAAGACAGACGTGTCAGTTTCGATGACATGATATTCTCCTTCTTGGGAATAAATGGTATCATCACGAAGAAAAGGGAATGAGCGCAGATGGGACTCTTACGGTATATTTGGATCGTCGTGAGGATCGACGAAGACAGTATAATTCTGGATCGTAGTAGGGCACCTCCGCCGCCATCTCCCCCAGTCTTTGCTGCCGCTCTTCACGAGGACTTAATTCTTCAAACGATTCATAATCGTCTTGGTGTTCGGCACTGCTTAATTCATCTGATAAGAGATCGTCTCCCAGCGGTGATGGAGAAGGGGAAAGGGAAGGTGAAGAGGGTTGACGAGAAGAGACTTCTTCTTCATCCGATGAAAGCAAGATACGACGTCTTCGTTTGCGAGATCCAACTAATGATGTGTCTGCGAAACTATCAGAATCGCTTTCTGATCTCTTTGCGAGCAGTTGCTCGTCGTCTATCAACCACAGTGTTCTCGTTAATAAAGCTGATATCGTATCATCACCATATTTCCCCCCTTGGTACATGAAAACACAGACACTCTGTTTATGCAGCAAAGGGGTATTACACAAAAATAAAGGTAATAAACAATAGAGTCGCCAAGCAGCCATGCTGAGCCATGACAAACGTAGAATGAAGAAAAAATAAAGGTACATCAATGCCATGGAAAGGAACCATTGCAAGAAGAAAATGGCACGGTAAAAAGAAAGTATAATAAGATAAGGAGTCCATGCCGTCGGTCGAAGTCTAATCCATAACTCGATGGGATGAAATGGCATTAAAGAAAAAGGGGGACGCAAGGTACGCGCAAGGCATTGATGAACAGCGCATGTTGTAAACCAACAGAAAGAGAAAAAAAGCTAAACGAAACAAAACAGCAAGTATTCAAAAGAGGTAGTACTTACCGTGCATGGTTTATTTTTTTTTTCTTTTTATAAAAAAAAAAAAAATACGTGTGATAGAAGTACAAAGCAAGGAGAAGTCAAAGAGAAAAGAGTCCAACAGAAAAAAAAAGTAAACAAATTTTTATTTTTTTTGAAACCCTGACTCAGACCCGAAATTGTAGCCATAGCAAACTTGGCACCAAAGTGACGACGGCAATGTAGCAACCACACACTGTCAGACTCACAGTTGTCGATGCGTAAAGTGTCTTCATACTCAAATTGATCACTCCCGTCAGCACGTTGGCCTATTATGTGGTAAAAAGAGAAATAAGTAAAAGCAGTCGAGAAATTCCGAAAAATGAAGGGTAGAAAACAGTAATCAAAGAGCAGAAAAAAAAAAAAAAAAAATAGGGGATCAGGTCGAAAATTTATACAACGTCAAAATTTTATCATTCCGACTTACCAATAAAAATGTAGGTAAACCATGCTTGTTGATGGCCTGCAACAGCAGAGGACTTGAATGTGCTTGGCCGTCCATCCACTCTATCCAAATCAAGGCAGCCAGTAGAGTGATATTAAAAGCAATCACCCAAATTATGTACGGCAAATTTGTCTGTCAAATCAGGTAAGTAAGAAAACCGACCAGGTGACCCAGTGCAGTAGAGTTAGAATAGGCCACTTACCAATCTACGGGAAACATGGAGCCCTTCCTGATCCGCTGTCAACCAGTTCCACAATGTAAGGGCTAGCCAGTAACCCGTGGCCCGTACGGTCAGACCTCTCGCTGTGCGATAATTGGCAGAGGAGGAGAAGGTTGATGATGGCGGCTGCTTTTTAACATCTGGCTCTGAAAATATCAGTGTACCGCAATCGAGCCCGAACAAAAAGATGGATAAGTAGCCTACGACCCATGTCAGTCAATCAGCAAGGTAATTTACCAGTAGGACGGCTTCCCAATTACCAATAAAGCTACAAATGCCTTCCTTGTTGGCACTGATCAGGGTCACTCGTGGTGCTTCAAGCACCCATGTTTGAAGCCCATATGTCAACAAAAGCTGGTATCCTACGGCCAAGATGGAGCCGAGGACAAAGAACGAACACACTTTTCGTAGAAAGCTAATCAGAGTGACAAACGGTGGCAGAAATCCGAGGGTAAAAAAAAAGTTCCAATGCAGACCATATTCGGACGTATGTTGCTGGTTCATCGGTATTAAAAAAAAAAAAATCTCATGACACTACAAAAGTAACCATGTTACCTGGTAATCCACGCCTTTTGTTAAGATCATTCTCAAAAATCCAAGGGCCAGTATACGCAAAGACGAGCGGATGGCTTTGACCATCTGGCTGAGGAACGGAGACGAGGCTTGTTTACCATGGGTATACCCCCGAGACGCCACAATACCAGACGAAAATACAAAAGATCCTACACCGACATCCATCTACATCAGGAAATAAGACATCAACCAAGAAGTAGGGAAAAACGATGGAACCAGCCAAAACCAACTTACCAAGGACGTGCCAAAATTTTCCACTTTGGCGAACCGTCGTGGAAAAATGGGAAAATCAACAGCCAAAATCGCGATACAAGTTAATATCATGGTGCCTGCACGGTACGCTGTCAGGTAAGGTTTGATATTGGATGTGCTTGGAACGTTTGTCGACGGCATTGGATGCCAGTAAAACATTGTCAACCCGGTCGTTAGCAATGCAGTGGCTACCAGGGCGGCGTGGTCGGCAACCACGGTCTGGCAGATTAACAAAGGTAGAGCATAGATGACAAACTGAACCAAGTAGCTGTTATCATCGCTCCAGCCATTCCTCCGCAAAGCACACCACAAGCAGTGCGATCCCTGCCATGTCATTGACAGCGTTATGTGAGCGTCGACATCAAGGGACCAAGCAGAAAAGACTTACGACAAACGTGGCACACACAGTTAGAATTTCTGCAATGGATCCACCTGTGCAATCCGTCACCCAAGCTTCCTTTTCCCGTTTATATTGTTCGTCGGTGATCATGGTGACATGCCCCTATTCTATTATTTTCACGCTGGCTCCGAACAGGCTTTGTCGCCTTTAATTCTTGTTGCACGTTCTTTTACTGGTGGGCTCAGAGGATATCTGAGATCGAATCTACGGAGTTACAAGCGGAAGAAACCTAACAGCATGGATCACCTATACTCGCTCTCGCTCGCTTCAATGATGGGAAGCTGTATTTCCCGATCATACTCGAGACAGCACAAACGTATTAGATACATCTCAATGACCAAAAGTTACGGTGCAAAAATCCAAGACGTTCCAATTTATTTATCAAGCCATTCTCCTTCACTGTATAGCAACAAACAACTCACATGCCAAAGTAACGTGGCGGTTTAGTTGTAAAAGTTGTCATTGGATAGCTGGTTATTCCTTGTTACGAATTTTTATTCAGTATTCAGCATGTTGCACGTTGAGTAATGCTGTGATAAAAAGCCACCTCTCCATTTTCCGTTCAGAGACATGCAAGAATTGCTGCTCTTTGTTTAAGTGGAAGGAGCACCACGGGAATAGTATAATTGATTGATGTAAAGCTTGGTTGAATAAGGACATATGTAAAAATATGAAAAAATATGGAAGAGGCATAACCTTTGGCCAAACTAACCTGCGACAGTGAGGAAGCAGGGCCTCACACCCCAAAACGATTGAAATTCCGATCCAATGGTTTGTAACTCCAAAAGAATGGACGTCAACTGCTGCTGTCCTATTTATTCAGTCCGTTTGGAACTTTACCGTGAAGAAAAAAGCTGCTGTGCGCCACCCTGTTTCTGCTTCCAGCTTGCAAACATTTCTGTCAAACGTATACAGCCGTCAAAAATTGGGCCGTGTGTCTTGGACCAACTTGTCATTGCTGCCTTGACTGTATACCTTTTTTTGTTTCCCCATTTTGTTTCTTAATTGCACAGCGACTCTATGACGACGACCATTCGAGGCGACCAGTTCATACGCACCCTCAGACACTATCTTGACACGAACGAAAGCAAGCTCTTGGACACGCTTTCGCGATCTCGTGGGGCAAGACCACTGTCTTCTGCAGGGCGGACAGAGCGTGAAAGCGATGCTGCTAGTCTTGGTTCATCCACGAACCTGCATCAAGGCACGAGAATCAATAATCCACCCTCATCCCTCTACGGCATTCCGATTCCCTACATGTCACTTTTGGCTGCCACTTCCCCCCATGCCACCTCGGTCGGCATGACACCGTATATGCCCCCGAATCATTCCTGCCTCACGCTCGATATCCACTACCTGTATTTTCTACTGGTGCAATTTGATCACATCGGTCTAGATATTGGTGACCCTTCTTTGTTGGGCGATATACCAGAGCACGGTATTATTGAGACAGAGACATCCGAAACAGCTGGAAAAGCGCCATCGATCATGTCGGTGGGGTCGATCGCATCAACCATGTCAACGTTTTCTTTATCGAGTGGGTGGAATTTTTGGCAACGGAAAGCGCAGACTAAACCGTCGGATCGTCCAATTCATGAAGATGTGGCCTCCATTTACCGATTTTTGGAACGGATCACTGCTCTCAAACTGCAGTTGAGTTTATCCATTGATACCCAGACTGGTGTTACCCGAAGTAGTCCACGGGTCATTTCCGGCTACGAGCAATCTTTACCGCAGGATGGATCGGTCCTGATTTCGTTGCGACCTTTCCATCACCTCACCTTTCTCGAACTTGATAAAGTACACCCACGATGCTTGGATGGATGGAACGAGCTGCAACGGCGACTGGTGAGTTTGGTCATCCGGGGAGCAGGCGTCGAAGATGCCGCCGACGCATTAGTAGTGGAAATCGATAAGCAGCTGGAAAGAGACACCCTGTCCTTAAACGAGCAAGATACCCTCACATCCACCGACACTCCCGAGTCGCCCGCTGCCGACCCAAACCACGACAAAGAGAACGAGTCTAAAAACAAGGAGGAGCGATGGCGTCACTTGAAAATGCTCTCTTTAGCGGATAACAATCTCACCACGCTTGATCCGGAACCTCTCCAACACATCCGGTCCATCACCCACATCAATTTAGCCAGCAATCTACTCATCGATGTACCTGCTGCATTATCCAATCTTTACAATCTGCAATCACTGAATCTCAGCTATAATATGATTTCCTTTACGACCGGCATTAACACGATTCTCGGCAATATTCAGGAACTCGATCTGCGAGGCAATCGTTTAACCATGCTTGCTGGCCTCGAACGATTGTGGGCTTTGGAACGATTGGATTTGCGTGACAATCGCATTGAAGACGCGGCCGAGGTAGGCCGTTTAACCACTTTGCCCAACATCAACGATATATGGATCCAAGGCAACCCGTTCACCAAAACTCAGGTAAAAATCATAGCACTAGGATGTGAGGGACCCCTCATTAGGACTTATGTTTAATCGTTTTCATTAGCCGGATTACCGGGTAGATCTGTTTAATATGTTCAAAGCGGCTGATCTCGACATTCATTTGGATGGCACGAAACCGGCATTTTCGGAAAGGCGACGTATTGTTGCCACGCCTGTGCGGGACGGTTATCGTGCGGCGGCGGCGGCAGTGAATACAGAAGCCGTGAAAAGATGGCCTACGGCTCAACCGAGTGCCGCTATTGGTGACACGGATTCTGCCAACAGTGAACAGAGTCAAAAAATTAAAATGGCGCGGCCCAAATCGAAAAAGGTGAAGCGAGTGGTTCGCTTGGGAGGTGAAGAAGGTGCCAGGGAGACCGGAGAAGATACGGCGAGTAAACATCGTTTGGCAGAATTGGAGCAGTCAGTGAAGCAAGAAGCATTGGCGCGTAAAGCGTCAAGAAAGCAACGTCGAGCGCGTTCGGTGCATCGAAGCGAGTCTTCGGAAGAAGAAAAAGCCAATCGGCCACGCTCGGTGTCTCCTGTGTCAGATCGTCACAGTGATTCTTTCCGACGCAAAATCGAAACCATGCGCCGTGAAGCAGGCACCGAATGGCTGCGTGTTCTTCAGGAAATGAAACTCGGCGATGAACCTGATCATCGTCATTAATACAGTAAATTCAAAATGAAAACCCCCCCATTCATGTATTCCTTTTCTGACTGACTGATAAATCAAAAACTATAACTATCGCGAAGTTTGGTATTGCCCCAACGCAACATCACCTATATTGCATATCGATATTCAGTGCAATTGCCTGCACCAGCATGCTTAATAGATGCATGGATCCTTGACGACTCAAAATGCGGGATTGGAAATTACGCTACTCTTTCATATGATTTTGCGGACAAAAATTACCTAATGCCACGTTGTGTGTCTAAGCAACAATTAAAAACTCGATCCTTTTTTTCAAACCCATCGACTTGGCGTGCCCACCAGTATCGATCTTCCAAATGCTATTTTGCATCATGCTTAACTGTAATGCCATGTTTTTTGAAATTGTAGTTACTAAGTAGAAAGAATACACATAGCTTTCGGAATATGGATCCAATTTGGCATATCTGGACCAACAAAGTATGGTTCGAGTATTTTATGGGACACATTGTGTCGAATCCATGTTCTTGTATGACGTGAAGACCTTATTAGGAATACCAGACAAGAATTCAACCCTTTTTTTTTTTTGCTTCGTCTTCGAGGCTGGTTTTTTTATTTATTTATTATTATTGTTATTTTCGTTTGTCTTTCTTTCTCGTCAAGAGTTTATTGATTTGCAAATGGCAGCTTCTTCGCTGCAGAAATGGACATACGATGTCGCGCTGTGGATCTTTAATATCATGTTGGAGATCTTTTTTCGAGAAGTGCGACCTCGAGGAGCTCACAAAATACCCAAGGACGGGCCTGTCATCTTTGTAGCCGCTCCTCATGCCAATCAGGTGAACATTAGCCCACCTGAACATGCCCGATCCTGTCAAAGCAATCACTCAAACCACTCACGCCTTTTTATCCTGTGTAGTTTGTTGATCCCATTATCCTCATGCGCGAATGTGGTCGCCGTGTTTCATTTTTGATTGCCGAAAAGTCCATGCATCAACGTGGCATTGGCTTTTTTGCTCGCATGGTCAATGCCAGTGCGTACCCGTAAAGGAAAAACACTTTCTCGATTGTCATGCCATTCTAACCTTCTTTTTGCACTTTCATCTAGTTCCCGTCACTCGACCTCAGGATCTCGCGGTGCCGGGAAAAGGCCGTATTCAGTTACTGAATCGTAAAACAGACCCGCTCCGCATCACGGGAATTGACACCCAATTCTTATCACAGCTACGACCTCGAGATTCCATCGCTCTTCCTAAAGGCGTCGGTACTGCCGAAGTCGTCGAGGTCATCTCGGATACCATGCTTATTATTAAAAAGGAGTTCAAGGAGCTGAAAGCCCTTGAATTACTGACCGCCAACGACGGCGCCCCGTATAAATGCTTGCCGCACATTGAACAAGAATCCGTCTATCGTTCCGTGCACGAAGAACTCAACAAGGGTCAATGTATTACCATCTTTCCCGAAGGCGGTAGTCATGATCGGTATGAAATGCTCCCTCTCAAAGGTAATCACCTCCTCCCCTCCTCAACATTTTTCTGTAACTAATCTAATGGCAAAATGGATTAGCTGGTGTTACTGTGATGGCTCTCGGAGCAATGGCAAAATACCCGGGTTTGGATGTCAAAATTGTACCTTGCGGTAAGGTTGATGAATTCAAGTCCGTTCTTCATGCCGCTGTGATACTTTTTCACTGATGCCGGTTTCACTCCTGCTAAACTAGGCTTGAACTATTTTCATGCGCATCGATTCAGATCCCGAGCGGTGATTGAGTTTGGTAATCCGATCACCATCTCGTCAGAACTCGTCGATAAATTCAAAATGGGAGGCTCCGACAAACGTGAAGCATGCGGAAAACTGCTCGATACCATTTATGGGGGCCTGAAAAGTGTGACCGTCAATGCAGGCAGTTATGAAACATTGATGGTAACACACCGAGAAAAAGAGACAATGGCGAGACATAATTTGATCAGCTTCCTTTTCTTTAATAGTTGATCCAAGCCGCACGAAGATTATACAAACCAGCTCATCGAAAGCTCCAAATTTCCCAAGTAGTCGATCTCAATCGTCGCTTCTTGATTGGTTACCAGTTCTTCAAAGACGATCCAAAAGTGATTGATCTACAACAACGCGTGCTGGCGTACAACCAGTTGCTAAAATATCACGGCATTCGCGATCATCAAGTTTCACGCACTCATATCGGTGGATGGTCCACTTTGTTTCTCTTCCTGAAACGTCTCGCCATTTTAACTCTATTGACATTATGGGCTTTTCCAGGGTATGTTTTGTCCCGACCTGTTTGATCATGGCATTCTCAACTTAACCTGCCCTATCATCCATCCATAGTGCTATCCTCAATTTGCCCGTCGTCATTATTGCCAAAATCATCAGTCAAAAGAAAGCACAAGGTAACATAGCTGAGCATATGCATTTCTGGGGATTTTAAGATGATGCTAAAAACGAACGATTACTTTACAGCGGCTCTCAAGGGGTCAGTTGTCAAGATTGCCGGTCGTGACGTTCTTGCGACATGGAAACTTTTGGTCGGGCTGGTTCTATTGCCGACACTTTATGCATTGTACAGCTTTATGATGCTGATTGTTGTTCTTCGTACATCGTGGGACTTCAAATGGAAAATCATCTTGCCTTTGATTACATGGAATATGCTACCTTTTGTTTCCTACGCAAGCTTACGCTTCGGTGAAATCGGACATGATATTTTACGGTACGTCGACTCCCTGGGTAACCATGTGAACGAATTTTGAGATACTGATTGAACCTTCCTATTTTCCCGCACAGATCACTTCAACCCATTATCATGGCGATGCTGGACCCTGACGCGGCCGAAATATTAAGGCATAACCGAGAAAAGCTTTCGCAAGATATTACCAGTTTAATCAATGAATATGGGCCCAAAGTTTTCCCTGATTTTGATGGTATGTGGACTGGAACTATGAGATGCCATGATGGCATATATGTAAAGGAACATTTCATTGAATACAATGCTTTGTATGGATTAGCGGACTACATATTCCGTATCGCACCTCCTTCGGTCAGTCCCAGTCCTAGTCGAACCACCAGTACAGGCAGTCTGCCGTGGTCATCCAAGCAGAGCAAATTACCGAAAATTGCCAGTGGATTCTTCCAGCAAGCGGCACGGATGGAGTGGTTAGACGATCGCAACTTATTCAACTGGGGACGCACCGAAGAATCCGATGTGGATGACATCTTTTTCTTTTTGGATAAACACAATGGCAGTATCAGTGGTCGCAGTCGAAGCGGGTCTGCCAGTGAATCGGAATCGTCGCGTCCAGTGAGTCGCAACCGTAGCCGGTCCAACAGTCTTGGTGAAGGTTTCAAGGTCGAAGCCATGACTCCCGCACGTGTCTCCCGACGACCAGTTTTCAAGATCACCGACGTCGACGAAGACATTGATGAACTGGCTGTTGCCGACCAAAAGAAACAAGACCAGCAAGAAGCAGTGTACCAAAGAGACTGTGAAGAAAACGAAAATGATCAACACAAAAAGGACGTCTAGTCTGTGTTGAAGCAATGCATATTTTTTTTCCACTTTTATCTACCTGAAAGCTAAAATTTCTATCATTTCTTACTTTTCTTACTTTTCTTACTTTTCCCCAAACAAAATTACCATACTGAAGCATTGTTTTAGTACACAAGCTATGCAGTCGATGAACCGCTTCGCAAAAAAAAAAAAAAAAAAAAAAAAAGAATAAATGTTTGTGCTGCACTTCTCATTTTGTGCTACCATCAGACTACGTCGATTTTTGTTTGATGTAAAAAACGAAGAAGCTAACGTTGTGGAAGCCTAAAGCTTGCCTCACAGAATCCACTCAATCAGACCTGCGACAACCCTTTGTAGGAAACTTTGAGTAGTCGGAGATCAAAAACGGATTGGAGCATCCAATTTTTTTTTATTTTTTTTTGGTTTTACATGAGATATCCACAGCAATCTATGGCAATACTGCCATCTTCTTGGCGGCCGTCACATAATTGTTGATTTTGAATGCTCCAATTAATATGATGATGCTAAAGGCCAGCACAAAAGAATCATGGGGCTGAAACGGGAATAACTCGTTTGCAGAATCATTTGCTGACGTGGTTTATAAACTTTGGTGAGCGCATATGGCCATTTCCTGTTCTTTCCGACTAGATCACTGTTTTTCAATCTGTCCAACTACCATCCATATTAATATGTGCATGTTGCAGGATTTTCTTTGAAAGTCTCATCTGTCAATGATGTTTCGTGAAGGGAATCAACGGATGAACCCGATAATGCAACCGGGCGGAGCCTGAAAATGACTGAAAAATGTTTATATTTTTTTCCGTTTGACAGAATTGGCTTGACTTGCACCTTTTTTATTGTACCCATGTCGTCCGCATTTGAAGGCTTTGTTGCTGTTCACAAGTATCAGCTGTCGGCTATTCCAGAGGAATTATGGCAGGTAAGGGCATCCTTCCCTGTAGCATTTGTTATTTGCAACCTGTCACGACTCATCGTCACGCCATGAACAGCCGCTCTTTATGAAACTCGGTGAAGATTATCTCGATGCCGGTTAGTCATGGATCTCCTATGCTCATTCCAATGTCACGGTGTTTAAGCTAATGATGCCTTTTATTGATAGGTTCGGTTGTCGAATTGCATTACGGCGATCCTCTCGACGGTTATTCTCTTCATGTCAAAGCAGACGCCTCGCTTGAACGCCATGGGTAAGACAAAAAAATTGTCAATTGCCCAAAAAGGAAAGATCCGATTCATTGTCTATTGCAGAAATATTTATTTGATTGATCATGCATGGACCACGACCCCTGAGACGGCAAAGAAACAATTACACGAGAATCCTGGTTTGTTGGAACGTTTGGAGAACTTGATGGATATTGAAGCCGAAGAGATGCCGCCTGAGGAAAAGGACCCGGAAAACGAGATCCAGCATGATGAAGACACCATCCGTATGGTGGCGGACCAAGCCGGCGTCAGTTATGAAAAAGCAAAGGAAGCTTTGGAGGCCGAAAAGTACGAAGTTGTGAACGCCATCATGGTAAAAATTGATGATCATTGAACTACGTCTAGCTGCCAATCCATGTATCTGAATAATTTTTGTCTGAATTAGCATCTCACCATGGATGAGGAAGTCAAGAAGGAAGCCGATCGTCTTCAGGAACAAGTCATGGGTCAATTAATCGGTAATTGGACTTAGTTTGAGATTGCATTGCTGTTTGCTGTCATCTCACTCCTGGTTGTTTGGGGATTCAACAGCCAGTGGCAAGGCCCAGGAAAAGGAAGAAAAAGTGAACAAGGAGAAGGAGGAACGTCGAAAGAAGCAAATTGCGGACTGGATGCAACGTAGAATAGATTACGTGTATCAGGCCATGTGGGCTTATATCCAGACCTACTCATTTTCTGTACTCAAGGAAAACGGCCAGCCCGATACACAAACAGCGTGGTGTAAGTTATCCCATCGTGCTTTATCATAACACGGCTCGAAATTAATGTGATCCATTTTTTTTCCAGATATTAATGATGAGGTAAAAAATGACTGATTCTCTGTCTTGATGACAATGTAGCTATCGCGGCGACTGACGGATTTGGAATAGGTTGGATCTGCTTTGACCCATTCATCGGACCCCAACATGGCGTGCATGCCTTTTATTTTCTCCCGAGGGGCTAGCGGGATGATCCCTTACAGCGTTCTTTTCCCTGTCAAGGATATTGCCCCTGGCGCCATTGTCACTTGCGACCTGGTGCCACGTGATTTGGGTTCACCTATGGATAAGATCGCTTACTTGTTCGCTTTCAAGGATCGATTACTTCCTGATGATGATATTGAAGAGAAGCAGAAAATGCTTATCGATGCTTATCGCTTGGTCAATACGGAATTGAAGGCTCAATCGACCCAGCAACTTTCCGACCCTCGAATTGTTACCGCCAGTGAAGCAGTGGATGTACTCAAAGCGTCAAAAAAGCCCCGTGAGACTCCATTGCGTGTGTATACAACCACTGAATTTGTGCGCCAATACTTGAAATTACCCAACGTCAAGTTCACCGACGATATGACCTCGGCCGACATTATTTGGAGCAGTCAGGACTTTTCCGCCTGGGATCAACTGAAGCCGGGTCAAACGATCAATCAGTATCCCAACGAAAGCTGTTTGACCTTTAAACACAACTACGCCAACCTGGTCAGGTAAGTTGTTCAGAGGCTTGATAATATGGGGAGACGAAGCGTAACACAAATTCGATTTTTTTATATGGATAGACAAGTGTATGGCACACCTTCGTGGATGATGACCACATATAATCTTGTCACACAATTGGGCGAATTTGTTGGCGATTATTTGGCGGTAAGTGGTGCTGCAGGTTGATTCAGAAAATGGGATCACTCATTCTATACTTCTCATAGAGCGAGGAAGAGGATCCAGAAAACAACATCTGGATTGTGAAGCCCTGGAATTATGCACGTGGTTTGGAAATTTCCATCAGCCGCTCGCTGAGTGAGATTATTCGCCAACATGACAACGCGGTACCGAAAATCGCTCAGCGTTATTTGACCACTCCATGCTTGTACAATGGCAAAAAGTTTGATTTGCGTTACATTGTGCTGGTGCGCCACATTCAACCCACCATGGTCGCATGCGTGTATAATATGTTCTGGATTCGACTCGCTAACAAAAAATTCGACTTGGGTAAGTGGAATTTGTGTTGCTTCGCAGGCTGCGGATTCTTACTTTGCATTCTCCGCAGAGGATCTCTCGGATTATGAGCGCCAGTTCACGGTCATGAACTATTCTAACTTCCAAATGACCCAATTGGACTACAAGAGCTTCATTTTCAACATGGAGAAACAACACAAAATCCAATGGGACGGTGTTCAGCGTGACATTAACCAAGCCATGAAAGGTACAGTCTGCACATGAAACGATATTTGAACAACCTTTGACTGACACATGCAAATAATTAGATGTTCTTGCCGCAGCGGTGACCCGTCCTCAGCCTGTTGGTTTAGCTTCCGAGAAATCGCCCGATTATGATGCTTTTAGCGTTTATGGTTTTGATATCATGTTGACCAGTGATTTCCAGCCTATTGTCGTCGAAGTCAACTTTTCTCCTGATTGCACACGCGCTTGCCAGGTAACCTACCCAAGCGGAATTATCAAAACCATCTTTTTACCGTATCTAATATGCCCCTGACGTTTTCTTTTATAGTACGATCCGGAATTTGTGAATAACATATTCTCTGTTGTCGATGGTCGTTTCGGTCAGACCGACAAGGGCTTGGAAGCTTTCACTGTATTATAAATGTAACAATTAGGAACGATCTATAACTACTTGGTAATAGACATATACTATCATGAACTTTTTCCAAAAACATTGACTCATGATTATTATAAACGATGTGATTTATTGAATTTAACTGTTCTGAAGAATAAACTGAACGCGGCCATCATTAAGGATGGGCTTTGATGCTTCTTTTGCTCAGCATATCAAAATGCAGCAGCACACCATGATCCACATGCGAGACGTTTCTTTCTCCGCTTTTTTTTTTTTCCTTCCACCTTTTTTGTCCGCTTTTATAAATCGCTTCGTCAACTGCTAATGAATTGGTTTTCTTCTCCTGTAGCCTCTACCGAAGGAGGATGGATGACAGCTGTAACACAGTGGCAGAGCACCGACTATTAACCATCTGCTTTTATTTTACAGTGCGATACATATACACCACGACGGACGACGACGGCTGGCGCAGGTATTAAAACTGTATACTTGCAGTTCTTATCATTATGCTGTTCTGTTCCTCAGGTCGTCATGGACACGAACAACGAACGGCTGGCGCAAAAATAAGGTATGAAAACTGCACATTTGCGATTTTCATCGTTTTCCTTTTATTTTTTCTCCATCAGAAACAACACGGACACGGACGACGAGTCAACGATAAAGACACGTAAATATTGCTTTTCTGATGCATTCATTTGTCATTGGTTGTCATCCATCATCCTCTGCTGCTGGCTGCTTGCTCTGGGTATTGCCCTCAAATAGTTAAATTTCTCTTAATATTAAAGTAGATTGTAGCTTAGCTAGCTGTAAGAAGATAGATGCCCTTCTCTGATAAAACTAAAAGTACCATTCTCATTATTGTCAACCTTACTCCGTTGGAAGTTGTTATATTCGATAACAAAATAATAGAAAATGGGGGGGGACAAAAAAAATATATGAAACTGAAGCTCATTCGTTTTACTTGTATTTCGTAATACTGTAGCTACGATATTCATATGATTTAGTGGAGCACGATTTCGGATAATGTATGATTGCTTTATAAGATAAATGGTTGAACAGGTCTGACGGAATGTTACCATGCAGTGGAGTGATAAAGGAGAATGGATATATTTATTTAGGAACAGCCGAGAAAATATTGAGTATGCAAAACTCTGTTGCGACTAGTATAAAAACATTACAATTTATGCCTCTCCATGAAATCAAATCTTTGTGTTTAGATACACATATGTGGTATATCCACTACTTGTCGTATTATCCATCTTAGACTGGTGTTCCCAAACAGGAAAGATCGGGATCTAGACGTGTTTCCATTCTGAGTGAGCTTCTCCATTAGAACACCGAATGAGCCTTTTCATCCATAACTTGGATCTATCGCCGAGATCAATTCATATGGGTAAAGCTGTCACATCACAGCATGTGGATCCTTCCTAATACATCTTATAACCGGGGACTGCTCACTGATAATTATTAATTCCGACTCAAGACTAAAGTATAAATAGGCAGATCACATTAATCGAAATAAAGACATCCAACAGTCTCAAAGGATTCTCATTGTCTCTTTTGTTCTAAATTCTCTCATATATCACAGCTTGAATTGCGGAGATAAAATGGTTAAGTAATCCCTAATATGTTTTCAGGTCCCATTTTATGCCTATGGAATTATAAGATCAAGCAAGTTGCACTCATGACAGAAGAATTAGCAGGAGAACCTTTAATTATTTAGACATAAAATTATCATTTTGAAAGAACATTTGCTTTGAGAATCTGTTTGCTCAAGGCCCGTTGTATTTGTATGATCACTTGCATCGATCGGATCGCTCAAGATACTAATCCGTCGTAAGTGTTGTTCTCGAAGGTGTACGGCGTGCTTATGACAAAGGTTATATTTGAAGGGATTGTTTTTGCAACTTCAATTGCAGCTCGCGTAATGTCAGAAGCTGTAGCTATTGAGAACTGGAGGAGTGGATGACGCTTTGGCATGCTTGTATCAAAAGGTCTGGGGTCATTAAATATATTGCTTTATGTTTATGCGAAGGATCTGTGAAGTTTTCTACTGCTTAGTACCTGTTTCTCGTTTGACAGAATTTGAAGTGAATCGGCAATAAAGAGCCGTATACCCGATATGCCGTATCGACACCGTCTTATCCACTGCATACGCCATGTATAACAATTTGTTTGAAAGGACAACCATAACATGGCCGTGGAGACAAGTGCAAACCGGCAATAAATCACATGGAAACCTTGTTGCATCTCGTCAAGATTTGCAACTTGCGAATAACAGCATAAAGAGGCAGAGTTTTTATAATGGTACGTCTCTGTCAATATCGTAAGCACAAGAAAAACGGAACCTCCTGCGCCGGTTGAAGTATGCCAATGTCCACAACGTTGCCAACAGCCGTTGCCTAGAATAAGGGCTGTGATTAGGTCATTTATTCATGACACTCGAAAATTTTTCGAGGAAACCGTCAGTGGTTACTATGGCATACATTATACTGAACAGACTGTGACATGAGTCGGGACTGAGTGCATGAAAGGATATGGTGGGACAACTGAGCGGTACTGGCTCAAGCGCACACAAGATTCATAGTCCGTCCGTTCTTATTTCTATTCCAGAGGATTGATTTCCCCTCCCCGCTCCCATATCGCGTCTTGCTTACCCAAGCTGACCAGGCGTCAAAGAGTCCGCACTAACTGAAATCGACAAGGTGAATGACGAGGTGCATGTTTTACTGGGCAGTGTTTACTCGAACACTCATGAATATTTAATTGACAAAGAAAAAGGAAACAAAAGGGTGAGAATAATGCTTTGTACAACAAAATAGGAAGGGAATTCAAATATGTGACTTTTTTTCCATTGTGTCATGGGGGAAAGGGAAAACGCGGTAAAATTGGGAGGGTGAAGTTTAAGAGCTTGATGCTCGCGGGAATAAGGATACTCTAAATGAATCGAAAAGGGAAGCAGAAGGAGCAAGTCGACCGGGACCTCATTCTGCGGCTCGTAATAAAGGGTATATTTCTGTGCTAATGGAATCACGACCTGCATCGTCACCTTGCATAGCTTCCGGAACCCAGTCATCCACGTCTTGCTGCTGGGAAGGCGCCTTGTAATCCAAAGGAAGCCAAATTAACCATATAAGGAAAACCTATGGATGTTCCGCCGATCAAAGTTTAGAAAAAGTTTTCAGTGAGATAATCAATACAGTAACACGATCAATCAAAAACAGGAACAGGAAAAACAATTCTCCTTACCAAGTACATCGTGCCGAACAAAAGAATCAGGATAAATGAATGCGTTGTCGTAGCATGGCTGACAAATAAAAACACATCCAAAGACACCACCACTGCTGTGAGCAACCAGCAGACGATCTGTTTCACGGTTGATAAACGGAACTCTTTTGGTACGACGGCAGGCGAAATAGACAGTTTCAAGATAGGAATCAAAACTGTAGGCAAGCATACACTGCATCATGTCATTCCGAGAGCAAGGAAAAACGTTAGTTCACAGATAATACATCGGATCCCACGTTCACATCTGGCTTTACCTTTGCAGTACATTCAATAATTCACCCATCGTATCAAAGTGATCAACAGCAAAGATAGCAACACACACACTCGGAATGAGCGAAATACTACGAGTAGCAGCTACGCGATGCCATTCCTTTTTGAAAATATTTCCAAAGAATCCCTCCGTCACATACTGTCCTGCAAGAGTGCCGGTCATCGTTGAACTTTGGCCAGCTTTCCATAAAAAAAAAGTTAATCGATCACTAGGGGAGCTAAAAACTCGCATGACTCCTTTTTCTATAATCCAGTCCTAAACTTACCAGCTAGCAGTCCAGCTGCCCACAAGTATTTGGCTGCTGAGCCAAGCGTTCGACTCAAGACGACATCGGCATCGGCCAATCCAGGAATGTTCTTTTCACCGGCAGAAGTAGGATCATAAAACACTGGATTATCCAATGATGCGTCAGCCACCCATTTCCATAGATAAACTATCCATAAAAAACCACCTTCACCCTACCTTCTGCAAATACTACGACAATGGCAAGATTGACCAGGAAGGAAAGAAAGAGTGCCAGGGCGGATTCAATGCCAAAATAATAATTGGCTTCTTTAAGCTTGCGAACAGTGGGATTGGCGCCAAGATCTCGTGATTTTACAAGTGCACTGAAAAAAAAAAAGATATGGTCAATTCACAAGGGAATATGAAAAAGCTATGGTTTCAGGTTTCTCCTTTTCACTTTCAGAATCCCACATCCCATGCTCCATGCTCCCTGGACTCCGTCAATGAAAATGATATGAGGAAAAACAACATACCTGTGCAGGAACATATTGTGCGGCATGACAATAGCACCCAACATGCCTACGGCTTGAATCGCCGTATTGCGAGGGACGATGGGAATGAGGATACCACGTAGTATTTGACCTGCATCTGGCTTGGAAACAAACATTTCCACCCAAAAGCATACTGTCATCACCAACACCAGTACCATAAAAAACGCCTCAAGTTTCCGCATTCCGTAACGTTGAATCATCATAAACGTGAACGTATCGAGAGATGTCAATAAAACACCAGCCCACAATGGCAAGTTGAGGAGAATGTGCAACGCTACGGCCGTCCCCACAATTTCCATAATATCGGCGCCAATGATAGCAACTTGGGCAAACGTCCATAAGGTGATAGTCATTGGTTTGGAGTAACTTTCTCGAATAAGCTGAGCTAAATGTCGTCCGGTGATCGTTCCCAATCGTGCCGATAAAAGCTGAAATATAAGCCCTGATCACCGTCGCCAATTGCTTAGTCAACAAGTTATACAATATTCCTTGGATCACTTGAAACATACCAATGACGTGAGCCCAAAATAGCAACCATAGCAGTCGATATCCAGCTATCGCACCTGACTGAAGATCGGATTCCAAATTACCAGGATCCAGATAGGCTATAGACCTGCATCAATGGGACAACGACAAGAACAAAGGGAGCAAGGGGTAAGCAGGGTTATTTTTTTCATCAGTACCGAGCCACTCTCTGATCGACATATTGAATAGTTACATTAATAAACCTATGTAAATTGCCACAGCGTCGGTTAAATCACATCATGACCGTATCTGATCCTCTTTATCAAGGCTTTACCAGGTCCGGCGTATTTCCACAGCTTTTTAAACGAGAAACAGGCATCCGAGACATCCCCGGTATCGATTTCCGGTTTGATCTCTAAATCGTCACCGACATTGACAGCGTGATGATAATCCTGCATATCCGGCATTAAGTGGGGTTTTCCTCCACTGTCGTCGTCATGCAAGGATTCCGACAAAGTCTCTTCCGATTTCGAATGTCGCCTGCGATGGAATGAGAATGCGTTATCCAATTCCGCCGTTGTATAAAAATCGTCGTCATCGTCATCTATTTCCATGCCATGTCTTGCATCGTGAGGCACCATGATGGAGTTCAACGTGCCCAATGTTCAGGAGAAAAAGTGAACTGGTAAAAGGGAAAAAAAAAAGAGGAAAATCGGAAAGTGGCGGCTGCAATTAAAAAAAAATTAACAGCGCTTTTTTCATAACAGGAAATCAAGGTCTATGCCATATTTGGACATGGGGTAATTCATGAAAAAAAAAAATCGTGAAAAAGGAAATTTATGGAGTAGTAAAAAAAAATGAATGTTTTTCTTAAAGTACAAAATCTAAAATATAAAATGATCTTTTTTCTGGTTGTTAATGCTCTTCTTCCTTTACGCTTGCAGTAAGGCCAACAGTTGTTTGCATGCGGTTTGCACTGCAGGATTAGCGTATTTCTTGTTGGACATGACAGAATCAATGACATCAGCGTCCCACACAGCATTCATCTAAGTCAATGAAAATAAAATTATGAGTCCCGCTTACTCCGCAGATCGAATAAATGATCCATTTGATCTATTTTACCTTTGATACATCGTCTTGAACGACCTTGCGATGTGTTCTCATAACGAGACCAACGAATTTCAGGAAATGACGCATGCTATCGTAATTTAATGATTTGCTCTGACCGTCTTCCAACGAAGTTGTCAAAGTGGCTTTGATTTGTTTGGCGATTTCAGGCATCACATCCAACAATCGCTTATCATAAACATCCGATTTCTAAAACAACAAACAATCACATCAGTTACTTTCCTGTACTTTTGCAACCATATTTCTGTCCAAAGAGAAGAAACGAGGGCTTACCTTGTTGCTTACGCGTTGGATCATGTTACCGGCCCATTGGCAAGCTGTGGTATGACGATATTGGTTCACAGGTTCGTTGATATTGATGTAGACGACCAATGTATCCAACAAAGGCCATGAGCTGAGAGGGAATCGTTGCACCAGAGAGGCAATGATGGAAGGAGAGAAATGCGTGGTTTTTTTCATCATGTAGGTCTTTAATGAATCGTTGTAAATCGCCATCATCTTGTTGAGTCGTTCTTTGGTGGCCGCCGACATTTTATCATCGATTTCCACATCGGTTCCGCCAATGATACATTTTCGTAAATACAACGAAAGGGATGCACACATCTCGGTCTGTTGCTTTGTGGAAGAATGTTTGGCGAAGTCAAGCACGGCTTTCAATGTTTCCAAGGCAGAATCACCTGCATCCTTGGGATATTCATTGGCTTTGGATAATCGGTTTTTCAAGAATGCAACCACCTTCTCCACCAACTGACTGCTGACGGACTTGGTGGAAGTTGATCGAATCACGTTCAATAAGGGGACAATCAAAGATACCACCAAAGGACTGGTTGGATTCTTGCGGATAAAGATGGAAATCAAATCCATGACATTGTTCTTGAAGTGCACCATACTGTATTGCATGTCTAAAAGAAAACAAAACGGCATCAGTATCGGGTCCACACATTGCACTGCAGCATGCATTTGACTTACTCTTCTTCTCGCTCTTCTCCAACTTCTTTTGTCTGAAGACTTCGGCCAACTTTTCGTCGAAAGCTTCCATGGCTTCATCATCGAGCTCTTCATCTTCGTCATCATCACCCGCGAGGACGCCTTGTTGTTTCATGGCCTCTTCGATCTTACGACGGAACTCTTCATCCACTTCCTCCTCATCGTCATCTTCTTCTTCGATTTCAACGTCATCCATATCCAACATTTCAACGTCGTCATCTTCCTCATCATCCTCGTCTTCTTCATCCTCTTCATCTTCGCCAAATAATTCTTCGCCGCCAAGTTTGCCTTCTTCAGTGGTCAAAATCTAATATGATACATATGCGTGTAAGAATGAGCTGCAACGTGAAATTGTATTCGAGCCATCTACTTACGTTGAGCAACACTTGAAGGGACTGTTCCGTCATTTGGGAGGAGAAGTTCTCAAAGACTTGTTCGGCTGAGTTCTTCAATACAGGAGAAGCATTGGTCAAGAAACTGACCAACATATCCACAATGACTTCGATAGGCTGAGGTTCATCTTGTTCTTCAGTTGTTTTCTTGCTCTTCTTCTTATCAGAAGCCTTCTTCTTGGGATACATCTTCTCATAACAATCGAGAAGTTCTTCCAACAGAGATTCCGACTCGCTTTCATCGATCAAACCATGAAGAAGGACATTGAGGAACAAGATTTCGAAACCACGTTCGACGCAATCAAAAGCAGCTTCCTTGCTTTGAGCAGAAACCTGGAATACATACGCATTCTTAGTATGATGACCGAGATACCAACTGAACGGTTAAGCCTTACCTTCTTTCGCAAAGCCTCAACGGCCTTGACTGACTTTTTGCTCGCTTCAATAAATTCCTCAGTCGGCTTGACAAGACGCTTATAATGCTCCTTGTCCTTTTTAAGCAACTGAATCATATCATACACGCGATAGATCCATAATTCTCCATCTTTGGTGACGCCATGCAAACGACGGGACTTGACGACCGCACCGGATTCCTTAGCAGTATTCATGGGTTGCAGCTTGGATAAAGCGACCACAACCGTCTGGAAACGGTCACGACAATGCTTGCGGGTGGTTTCCGACAGAGCAGGCGAAGGTGCGCGAGCAGCCTATATCAACCAATTGGTTCGTTAGTTATAGTGACCAATAAGGCAGCACAGTATATTTACCTTTAAGAAGGAAGAAGTATCCTTGGTGGATTTAACGTCGAAAAAGGCATAAACAGCCAAAAAGCGAACAACAGACAAGATCCAGTCCTCTTCTTTGGGTACCTTTGGGTTCGTCACCATCAATGCCAGTTGAGATAAAGCCCATTCACGACGGGAATCGAGACGCTTCGAATCGTCATGGGACGTCGTTTCCTTATTCTGCTGAACAAAGGTCTCTGCAACATATTCCAAGTAGTTTGTGATGCCTTCAGTGTTGAGAGTCGCCATGATGTTCTCAACCAGTTTTGTTTTCGTGATTTGATCAAAGTTGTGATTGCCATGCTTGCCTGTCAACTGGGTCAACAAAGCAAAACCAACTTGTTTGTTGGACTCGGCCACCTTTTGAATCACAGTAGCCTATCGATCAAGAATGTGTCGGTAAGAATCAATCCACTTTTGCCGTCAAAAAGAAAAAGAAAGAAAGAAGATAACATACAGTATGCTTAGCCGCCTTGTTCAAATAGCGCACATCAGAAGACAAGTTATTGATGAAACTGCGCATGAAGTTCTCGGTAAAGATGAGCGGCATTTGGTCCGAAGATAAGCGAGGCAACACTTTTTCCACCAACTGGAAACCCCAGAATTTGCGACCATGGGTGGCGTTATGTTCAAACATAGCATCTACAGCATGACTTTATGTTAGTTTTTCATCCATTTACCCATCTATACACAAATGTTAAATACGTACGATCAACAGCGGCGTTCCAAAATTCGTCAAAGGAAGCAATCTGCTTCTTTTCCGTTCTCTGCTTCTTCTTTGGTGGTTCCTCAACAACGGTAGGCTTTTCAAGGTAAAAGGCTAACAAACGGTCCCAGACAGAGTGAAGTTGAGGTTTCCATTCCGTGTGTGCAGCCGTTTCTTGATCGTCCATCGGGATTTCCTAATCATTCATTTCCGTGTCAATTTTCGTTTTTTCCCCACTTTATGAACTAGTGACGTACCTTGAGAATGATTGATAAACGAGGAAGGTTAGCGGGATGAAGGACGTTTTGGTTCTTCCATCCTGCAAATTGTTCGGTTAAATCGATTTCGGGCATGTGCTGTTGAAGAGCCAACACGAGATTCAACTGATCGACGGTTACAATGGGTCCTTTGAGGAATAATTCGCGGATTTTGTCTGCAACCTCGGCCTTATAAGAAGCGGATTTAACCTGTCAAGAAATGGCGAAAAGTTATGACATGAACGCCCCTTTTCCATGGAAACATTTGGTGATAAAAATGACACTTACGGAAGGCAACATGTTGATAACGACGTGATAGCACACTTCTTGCAGGTAAGACTTGACCTCCGCCATTTCGGCTAAATTCTCGAGAATGCGAACGGTGTCTTCCGAAGTGGTGGTCGGGCGAGCAATCATACCAGCAGCGACAACTGACATGAGACCGAAAAGACGGCCGAACAACATGTCACGGAATTCTTCTCCAGACATGGATCCAACACGATCGGTATACTGTAACAACAGATCGAGAACCAATTTGGTGGAAATGCAATCAACGACAGTCAAAAGCTATGAAGAAAAATACAGATCGTTTGATAAGTAAAAAAAAAAAGTTGAACGTGGAACTGGCCACACAAAGTAAGTTGAGGAAAAAAGAGAAATGGGTCAGTTACCTCTGTCAATGCCAAAGAGAATCCCTGACGTGCACCCTGACGAGAAGAAGGAAGACCTCGGAGCAAACGTCGTACGGCGTAAGAGACATCGGAAGCGCAGAGCTTGTCGAGCGATTCTTCGGTGGAGGCGACTTCGTTGGTGTTCTCGAGGGATTCTTCGTGAGCCTTTTGAAACTCGGTCAAGGATTGGATCAACGATTGAGCCGCTGCCAATCGCACTTTGGGATCAAAGGAAGCAAGATCCCAGTATAGCTGAAGAGTTGTCGTAGCCATTTGAGATTGTGAACAAAGGGCTCGATACCACACAGACTCACAGAATATCTTTTTGGGAAAAAAAAATGCAAGTCCTTTTTGCTTAATTGACCAAGCGAATCGGAGTGGCTTAGTATGTGTGACTTTCAAAACCGAACTGGTCGGATGCAGATTATCCCTCGCTGCATGAAATGGTGCATCCAGATATGACACTCCTGCAAAAACTGTACTATAAGCATACATCATCCGATCAGAAAAATTTAAGCTACCCGGTAGACTCTTGAACCTGAAGGTGACAAGATATTTCACCTCCTGTGATTAAAGATACATAATCATGCGGTAGCTAAACAGGCTACAAAATATTCACATTTTGAACTACTGTATAACTACGAAAAGGGAGACCTTCAACACCACTATATGTGAGATTATTGTTGTGCTTATTTGGCTAATTTTTTTTATGGTAAGGGCGAGGTAAAGTAACAGGCACAATAAGAGATGGTATTCGAGAGGCTCGCTTCCAAAAAGACGGATCCTTCACATCTCATTGGCTGAATGGTGTGCGGGAAATGAATAAAAACATAAGCTGCTATGCCAAAAAGACGGACCTGATCAAATACCGTCTCGAGTCACCCAAATTTGAGATTATTGATGCAGTATCAAAACAAAGGTATTTGGATGTGAGATATAGCCATCTTTGTTCTATCATTGTTCAATGATAAATGCATGCACAGACAAGCAAAAAATTGGACTGAGCCGTGTCTTTCAATTCTCTGTATCCAAAACTGCCACCAACTATCGTGAACAGATTCTTTTTTCTTACTCAATAACAAGCCGTCCAGCCGCTGTGCAATGGAGGCCGCCTGCCACCGGAGGCCGCCCTCTTACATTGAGTGACTTTCGTCAGACAAAAAGCCTAACGCATACACGGCATAACCTGGGCGAGAACTCTTGACGGACTTTGGTTTATTAATGACAATCTTATGGCAATACCATGAAACGTGTTGTTCCTGAACACGCGCAATGCAGCACTGATTGACCCCTCAATTCCATCCCGCCCAGGCTATAATGAATCTAGAAAGATGTGTGGGTATGTTGGGTATTTGAACAAAAATGAGTTAGTAAGTTCTTTGATTTGATTCAAATTTCGTCAAGATACTTTACCTTTGTTATTTGAGTTTTCAATAGCCATTGATCGCTTGACATAACTTGGATTATATGACATTGAAAATTTTTGAATTGGTATACGTTTTTTACATCATAGCAAAGAAAAAGAAATTGGAGGTGCCTTTGAACCAAATGATGTACCGGACAAAAAAAAACAGATGAATACGGACCACAGGTAAGCTTCTTCGATGCGGACAATAAAGTTGTTTCCAGGAACGGTTAAGCGATGGATCGGTGGTGTCAGCTTGAGCAGGCAAAAAATATTGAGTGGCCAGAAGTGACGGTAATTTCGAGCTGGATTCCAGATATCGAGAGCTTCCCGAATAAAAAGAAAGAAAAATAAAAAAAAAAACAATGGTCGCGTCAGTAAAAACCTCCTAAAAAACGCTGTGGGAAAAAAAAAGAAGAAAAGACTGCGAAAAGAATATGTACATGAAATATAAAATAGAAAATACAATAATTGGGAAGACACCTCGAATACGATATCATGAGAAGCAATCCAAAGAAGAGGAACATGAAGAGGACACGTGAGCGTTTTCCGATGAAAAAGATTGTCACACCACCGACGATGGCCATCCGGTTTCGCCAGATGGATGGATGGATGGCGAGAGAAAGTCAAGTTGTAGTATCCAAAACTTGTCAGGCGAAAAGAAAACGGAGAAATCCGGAAGGTAAAAGCAGAGATGGAAAATAAGAGAGGTAAGTCTATTTTGCCAGAGCAAAATCGATGGTAGACCACTCGACGCTTACCTTTTTGAGGATGGTAGTCGATTTAATCAAGTTAGATACACGGGATAAGAATGGTCTGGATGATGGATGCCGATGGGATCTTGATACAATGATAGTGAAAGTTTATCAAGCAAACAGAAAGAGAGAGAGAAAAACAAAAGAAGAAAGATAAAATTGAAGACAAAATATATGGTTTCCCATGGATGAAACAATAGTCACCCTACTGACGCATGAATTCATAGATCGAAGCGCTTCTGCTTATGTATTATTCGATTCATTGAAAATTGAAAGAGAATGAAAGGACATATATAGTATAACTGACAGAAAACCAAAATTAAATGATGCTACAAAGACGCCAGTGGTATCATCAACCACCTTTCTTCAAAAAGAGCTGTACTCACATTTTTATTTGGAAGACAACAATGCTCTGTTTGACCATAACTGGCGCAAAACGGCATCTTGCTGATCATTGTTTCGCCTATTATCGTGAAAGTGGGCAGCGAAGCATGGTTGAAAGATAAAAAAAAAAAAGGTTTAACAGGTCCTGATAACTTAGTGTAGACCATTATGATTTACAAATCGCTAATCACCCAAGCATTTTAATAAAGTGGGAGATAATGATCACTAGGCCATACGGCAAGCTTTTTGCTGTCATGCTAACTGATCCTAAACTATAGGACTTAATCGAAAGGTTACAATATATACAGTAGTCTCGATGTGGAATCACCATAACTTTCCAGTAACGATTAACAAAGAAGAAAAATAAACATGTTACTGTATGGAACATTTATCGTTCGCAAAGGGACGCATATAACATACCTACAGTGGAATTGATCGAAATGTAGACCTGCGGGACTTTCATTAAGGAAGTGCGACAGTTTCAACAGTTCCGGCTCGAAGCATGTCATAGTTTGAAGAGCACATAATGAGGACGCCAGCCGATCAATTTTATTCTGGAAAATGTCAACTGGAACTTTCTTATGGAAGTGTCTCTTGTCACGGGAATTTTGACCAAACGAACGAACTAACAGCACTATGCCACGCATCGTCCAATTTGTCCTTTTTGTCCACTCCGCTCTACGATTAAATATTCTCTGTCCCAATCAAAACGCCTTCCAAGACCGAGCGGTTTGAACAACAGTATGGTTTTGGTCTAGAGTTTAATCAAACCCCACAATGCAATAAAACGATTTACTAGTCTCAATCGCAAACAGGCAACCAACACGCGAATAACTTGCCCTTTGTCATAACACAACTGCAATTGATACAACGAAAAAAATGGATTTCAAGCCCTACATGCGCTTCGAATACATGGACCATGGTGTGTATAGTTGTCTATAAATAACGTGGTGATCTTCATGGATCGGTTTTATTGATGGGCAGCAACGAACTTTCTCTGCGCTTCGGTCACAGATTCCTTGAATGCTTCTACTTCCTCCCAGCAGTCGAGCGGTCGGGATTGGTTGTTCCTATATCGCGGACATCAGTAACTCATTCTACTGAAATTTTCACGACAGAAATCGAAAATCCCGGTCAAGCCTATATCAATACTTACTTGTAGCATAAAACAACAGCTTCCTGACGTTCAATAATCTCTGCGGGAACCTCCTTGGCGGGCGATCTAAAATTTTCATTCAGTCACTGTGGCGTCCAGAAGCAACAAAGCAATATTTTTTTGTTATCTTTACCGCTTGATTCTCTGAATCATGGTCTCAATGTCCGAGTTCATGACGACGGAATTGTGATCATTTTCAATGTTCTTTTTTGACAATTCGTTATAGGCGCGTTTGTTGACCTCCTCCTGCTGTTGTTGTGCACGCTTCAATTCCTCCTCGACACGTTGACGAACAATGGCTTCAATTTCCTCAGGTCGAGCTTTAGGAGCATCTGTGGCAGCACTCTGTTGTCAAACGAGCACAAAAATTAGCACGGCGATAAAATCTGCAGGTGTTGAAGCTAGAAAAACAGTAATATTCCTACCTTGGGCTTGCGAGCTTCGAGCGAGTCCACAAGTCCTTGAGAGAACTAGAACGAATCATTCGTGTTAAATGTTAACGTCATGCGTGAATGGGCACAATCAGGAACATAGCATACCTGAAGAGGTACGTTCTGATTGTAAAAGATAATAGGCTCAGACTTGGACTGCGTCGCTCCCATATTGGTTCTCTGAGTGTGGAGAAGTTGTTATATTCTGAAAAAACCGTAAATTAACGACAAGGGGACTTTTTTTTCACTGCTGCACCAGCTTCGCCGAGCCCGCCAGCTAATCGAAGAATGATGTCATCATCACTTCGAATGAGGATTCTGATTGGCTCCCGCACCTCTTATCGACGCCGTCTGCGATGGCGCGAATTCCATGCTCACGTCTTGCTGTGCAATAGACACACATATCAAAGGCTTTATCGACCGAAAATACTGTGTTGCTTACTTTAGGCCCAAAGAAAAAGAAGAAGAAAACAAACTGGATTTTTACGTATGTCATCCGATTGGATTACATAGGCAGAGCGGAAATTCTGAGATTTGGAGAGCAGTAAAAAATGCTCAATAGCCAAAAAAAAGAAGGGTGTTCAAATACATGGATACTTTCCCGCATAATGGTGATATCAACTAGCTCTAGAGTTACAATTGCATATGGTACATGAGATAGGACAGTCTTCGGAAAGGCGGTGAAATGGAGCAATGGAAATATGCCGGTGAATCAGTTATACTACTGATTTCCCGGTTGACCTGGCCATGCGGGTTTATCACAGCCGTCAAACTCTCCGTAGAACCGGTTAGATTCCACTACTTTATGGTCAACGCCACCAATGAGAACGTCACATTGAGGACATCTGGATATCTCTGTCGCACCTCCACAGTCACCTAAGTAGATAATAAATCACAAGGTTCTCATATCATACATGCAATAAAGGAAGAAAAAATCTCCCTTACCAATGAAGTAAGGATGTCGGTTCTCACATACGAACCATCGTCCACCCACTACACTATATCTTCCGCTGCGTGTTTCCTCGTTCATGGCCTGAATAATGCCCTCCTTTTCCGATCGCGTTAAAAGTTGTCGTCGCTTCTCCTGTTGCGATTTGATGGTATTGACTAGCTCGATCTCAGTCTTGACATATTTATTATATCGTAGTGCTGTATAGATCGGCGTTTGACAAGCAGGACACTGCCAAAGGCGAATAGCATTGTGCTTCCCTAATGGCCAATGTTTAGAGGGATTCATACGCAGGATTTCAATCTACAACTTACCGTTCTTCACTTGCGTGACAAAATAGGTATCCAGCGATTCAACCGAAAAGACTACACCATGACATTAAAATGAGAATCGTCATAAGGAAAATATCATAAAATAACGATAGACAATGTAACAGAAATATAGCTTACCACAACCACATTCAGGTAGCATATAAATGTTTTCGTTTTCCTCAAACTCGGCAAGAGTGCGAAGAGAAATACTGCACTGCAAGTGAGGCTGACACTTTTTGCAAGGAGGACATGGTTCACCACACAGCCCCGAACATTTATGTCTAGAAAGGTTCAATCAGACAAAAAGACAAACTTTGTGTCATAATCGTATAACTTACGAGCATGGTAAAGTCTTTGTACAACTTTTATTACACGGTCGGCGGTCACATGCCTAATTAGAAATTGATAAACGTATTCATAAAATGTAACGACAGGTAAAAGTACCTCATAGCATTTCTTTGTGCATTGTTCGTGCGGGCACTAAAGGAACCAACATATCATAAAATGAGAACCAGGAAATTTCTCCAGGTACGTAAGATAGACAATTCATACGACATTGGGGCATGGTTGGAGACAGGGACTGCACACTTGCCAGCAGTAACGACCGCATTTATATCCATGGAAACATCGGTGCTGACATGTCTCCAAGCATTGATCGGTATGTTCGTCCGCACTGCGACATCCTTTTGAAAGACTCGGTTATTCCAGTGTTCTTTTCATCACCTTCGACCGAGTTCCCATAACCCACCTTTGCCACAATAATGTCCGCAAACAAGCTGCTTAGGACAACTGGATGTGCAATCTTCTCTTCGATGCGTATGTTGAGTTCCACACTGTCAATATGCCTAATGTCAGTATCGGCAATTTCGCGGCACATTAATATTTCGCGGTTATACAAACCTTTTGCTTGCAAGAATGACCACACTCCAATGTCACAGAGCAAGGCTCCGTACATAAAGGTCGAAAACCACAGGTCGTTTGCACCACGTGTGTGCAATCAAGCGTGACGAATTCTATCTCTGAGCATCGAAGACTGGAAGCCGCTTCGGGAGAAGTGGCTTTATGGCATTCCACCATACGCTTATGTCCACAAGGAAGGGCGCACTCCACAATTACGTCGCAAACCGCCGGTTCGGAGGTGTACAAGGTATAACAAGGCCCTGAACGCGTGTGGCCGCATGGTAACGTCAACACCGCTTGATGGCGACAAGGAGGGCATCCTTGTTTTCGTTTTTCACACTCAAAGCATTTGTTCGGACAAGAGTGCGTGCAGCCTTTAAAACGAGGTCGTTCGCAGTATTTTTTACATGTAAGCAGAGAATGTGGCAAATGATGACACGCCTTTTTACGGATATGTTAGGCATATGGATCATTTCGACGCACAAAACGAAAATATCATACCTCTTTGCAGACATGCCCACAATCGAGGATCGTATTGCATATTTCCTACAGCAAGTCAATGAGCAGGTGTTTTTTCAAGGGACCCCATTATATGATCGATGGTATCAATACCTGACATCCACCGTTTTTGGCCTCGGCAAAATGTTTCCAGTGACCAGCCTGGAGGAGTTGTTTCCGGTGTTTCTGACATCGTAACCGCAATGAGGAAGAACATAGATCTATACATTCCAAATAAACATAAGAGACTCGGTATTTTGAAAGAAAAAACACTGTGAACATACCGTTTTCTCTCATATAATCAATGAAAATGTCCCAGCCCGCTTTTTGCATGAGAGAGGATTGGCCCACAACGTACAAACCGTATCGAGCGCGCGTCAGGGCAAGCATCATGTTATGATTTGGCAAGGACGATCCACAAGGCATGGCCGTAGAGACGATGCATACATGATCCTCCTTTCCTACATGATCATCCACGAGATGGATAACGATGGTCTGAACAACCGACGAGAAATTGCTGTAATGTGGCATTTCATACTGTAGATACGCCTCCAAAAGCCTTTTTTGTATAGGTGAAAACACGAGGATCGAAAGCTTCGGCGATTTCTCGCTTTGTTGCATCATGTATAACGCCAGGTGACACACATATCGCGCTTCATCCATGTTGTCTTCTGTGACAGTAGCTCCAACAAAGGTGCTCATATGTCTGTTAATACTACGAGCTTGAGGATCGGCGGCATAATCAATAAAATAAACTGCGTGATCCAGCCCCAACAATCCCGGCTTCGTTTCTTCCGCACGATTGTCGATTTCCATGTCAAGTGCTGCTGAGGCCGACGGACGTTGCAATGCATAGAAGACGGCAGCGACAGGTTCACACATGCGCCACTGTTCTTCCAAATTCACCATCTCACCACCCGACTGCCGCCATCGTTCAAACAGTGATACATCCAGGTGAGAAGGAGCACCGCGTAAAGGATCATGCCACACCTTTGGCTTGTGATCACTATCTCCGTTGCCCAGCAGGATAAGATGTTCCATACGTACGCCAAGGGCAGACGAGGCAATGACCGATTCAAGGATTTCCGAAGCTTCATCCACAATCAAGACTTTGGGCCAAAGTGCGGCAAGGAAATCGCGATTGGCAGCAGCAAAATCAGCCGTCATACCGAGAACCCGACCAAAGCGGCAAGTCGATATCAATTTTTGACATCGTGCTTCTTCCAATGTCTTTGACGCTTTGAACTGTTGATCCAACAGGTCATCAATATCCTTGTCAATATTCTGAAGCATAGCACGAATGACTTGTTGTACTATATTGCGTCTCTGTTCAGGTGTTTGTTCCCACAAACTATGGGAGGGGATTGTCGACCAAGCCTCAGTCATATCACCACGAACCGCGTTGCCTTGACGTGATTGTGACAACGGCCAGTGAGTAGCGGTACCCAAAGCATTGATGGAAGGCAAATGCTTTTCAATCCATCGTTGACGGGACATGTAATTTTGAGTTTCCATGATATCAGGGAGTCGGCATGATTTATTGTCGATCATGGTTGTCACGAGCGATTGATGAGCCTGGCGCCACTGATCGTTGAATCGTTGCTTGGCTGATTTTGGTGGCGTTTTGGTTGGATCGGCCGGCACCGCGTCCACGGGTTCCGCATTTAACCAGCAACTCCACACTTCATCGGAGGACGCTGTCGCATCTCGTCTGCCAACAAGCTGTCTGTAACCGGAGCGGAGTGCCTCTGCATAAGAAGGTGGCATGCTTGTTACTAGGACCGAAGGATCCCCATTTTGCACGCGCCAACGATAATTCCACAGAGCGGTCAGTTTGGCTTGTGTGTACGCCTGGTTCTTTTCAATGGAATTGATCTGTCGTCGATTGGGATCGTTGACATTGGGAACGCTTATATGGATACCTTGGCGTTCTGTTAAGCGTTGGATTTCCGACGGGCTACCAAAGCGGATGAGGTCAGGAACCGTGTCAATGACACGATCGAGAATGCTATCCAGGCCAGCTTCGGTGCGCGTGATCACGACAACTGGATGGAAGCACTGGCTATCAACTAGGCCCTGATAAATGAGCTCGACCAGCTTGCTAGCGAGATACGTTTTACCGGTACCGATGTCTCCGGAGATGACCGCGATTCGATGAGTGAGGGCATATTTGAGTGCATCTACTTGACTTGGCGACAGAGTGTAAAGTGCAGGACGCTGGTAAGGCGGCAAAAGAAGTTCCTGTTCGGACAATCGGGGCCAATCATCGAGACTCGGGTTCGCTCTACTGCCAGCATATTCAGGAGCCATAACGGTGGAAAGATCCAAGGGCAGATGCAGGTAGTCAGGCACTGTGTCTTCCTCATTGACAGCATAGGGGGAATTGTCCGCCTGCGAAATCACCTTTTCTTTTACATCTTCCGTTACAAATAGTATACGAGGTGCAATGCTCTGTGAAATATTCGAAAGTTCAACGTTCAAGCTCTGTTCACGCAGCCATGAAAGCACAGGGAGCAAAGCGTTGGCATTCGCATGACCCACCACCATGACATACGTGGTTGACCAAGTAATTTTCTTCAGTTCCTCGGGAGATACGTGAAGGGCAATAAGATGCGTATCGGGCAATGATAGCAGATTGGTATCGTTTACTTCGGACGAAATGAGGGCGACGATGGCATGAATGACTTTGCCTGACATGCTGGTCAAGTAGCGCTGATGATCGTCCGAATCCACCGTCTTTTCTGGCATAAGCATCGCGAGAGCACCTTCCTTTACAAGATGACGCATCGTGGATAGCATCTTGCTTTGAACCTGGAAAATAATTAATGGATCCGTATGCGTCGGACTAGAGATGGTTCCAAAAATGCGTAAGCCAGGAATGACCGCATCGGTGACATCGTTCGACCGTTTGCCGAAAATATAACTGTTAATGGCAAGACGCAATGGACCAACTAACTCTTCACGAAGCAACATGTAATGGATCATCAAATACAGATCCAAACTAGCATCTGGCCAAGGTTCGGTCACGAAATTGACAGCATCCGCAAGTTCAATACGGCTACGAGTCATTTCACCGACTGACCCGGAATCGGCCCCATTATCCTTGGCGGAAAAATTGAATTTGTGTAATGGGGCAGTGGTCAATTCGGCAAGGATATCGTTTGCATCAGGAAGCAATGGTAAGGTCTCCCGAAGATCACGCCATGCGTCCATCCAGTCAGCTTCGTTATCCTCTGTTTGCCACTCTTCTCCAGGACCTTTTTCCAATGATTAGTGAACGAGATCAAATAGAAAAAAAAAAACAAGACCATGAACTGTGCTTACTTGCATTGGCGAAAGATGTAACGGCCAATAATAGACATTTGGCTTGATGGGCATCGCGTTCGGAAAATGTATGCTGAATTTTGTCGAACTGAGCGCGGATGACATTCACAGGGAAAACTTCGGAGCCGTCGGGGTAAATACTAACGTATATCTGCAAGCATTCAAGCAGTGAGAAGAGATCAATAGGTATAGCGACGTAAGACTGCACGTAGTTTTGGAGAGCGGCGAGGAATGGAGTCATATGCAAGCGAATGAGAGCGGCCACAGTTAATTTATCGGTATTTTTGAGATGCGGTTCGTCGTCCAGCGTACGTCCACTAGGATGAAGAACACCCATGGTTTCTTCTTCTTTGAGAGTGAAGATCAGGGCGTGAATGAGACGCGCAAAGGTACGACAACTGTAATTCTTAATGGAAGGAAGCAACGTGGCTAGACGTTTCTTGAACTTGGGAATGGTTTGACGAGCAAAGTGGTTTTTCTCCACCAAATACAAGAATTGGAGTGTTTCAATATCGTCTTTGGAGTTCATGAGGGATGAGAAGCCCATTGGATGAGGCGCGGATAGTGGATGGAAAAAAGGAGGACGAGGCGATACAGCAAACTGGTTGGGCATATGCGGCTGGGTCATTGGATTGATGGGTTGTTGCTGCTGCTGCCAAGGATACATGCCTTCTTGCATAGGTACAGCGGCATACATCATATTGGGAGGGATGGCAAAAGGTATATGTCCGGGTGAAACGGTCTGAGGAAAAGAAGCTGCCGTGTTGGTGGTTGGTAGATGACGGGCTGTGATATGAGCATAAGATGGCGGACGGGCAAGCGAACCAGGCGAGCTGACCGGTGGTGAAGTTGGGGAGGTCAAAGATGAGCCGCTTTTTTTACGTTCGTCCGATACAGGTCGAACAAAGTTTTCCCATTCAGTGGCTGTCATCCAGCTCTTCTTCTTTTCCTTTTGCTCAGATTCCTTCACATGGATATCCACCCCTTGAGTCCAATGATGCATGGCTTGTGATTGGACGTTCGCAAAAGACTCTGACTCAGACACGTATTTGACCTTTTCTGAAGTACGCGTTGTCCGTGCCGACGACGACTGTTGCTTCACCGCGCCGCTTGATTCTTCGGATTTCGGAGTTGCGCTGCCATGAGCCGATGCGGTTCCTGTGGCAAAAGAGGAAATAGGCAAGCCAGGAACGTCCCATGAAAAGCTACACAAACGTCCATCACATTAATCGATATACAAACATTCTGCTGTGCCAAACAATACAACAGGATTCAGGTAAGTTACCTTGGAGTTCCTGAGCTGGGTCCTACTTTGGACGGCGGAACATGCGACATGGACGACGATCCATAAGCTGACTTGGATTGTTCCAATTTCACGACATCGTGAGAGCTAATGTCTTCAATCGATATCATGCGTGATTCCTGAGGAGATCGAACTTTCGGTGGACCATAACGGGGAGATCGTCGACGAGGGTCAGCTGAATAATTGCGAGGTCTTGAGAATTTTGGAGGTGATCGGGTTCGTTTATCAAGCGCCTCTTTGATCAAATGAACAAGCTCCTCATGGGAAGAAGTAGGAACTTCCTGCGTCATGGTGGACTTGCAGCTGGAAAACGTTTCGTTAATTCCCAAACGGCTGGAAACTTGTCAAAAATAATTGACATGGAACGGCAGCGGGGTTTAACAGTTTCACCAATTTCTGTACAAAAATTCAAACAATTTCAGAATTGCTGAAACTTTGGAGCTTACCTTGATCGAACAATGTTTGTTTACTCAATCCTTAAGAATGATCGGTTGCTTGGACTTATTTTGGAGGCATGGTCACAAAGTTATAGTTACGCCCCATTGGAATCAGTATAATGTCTTTTATGGATAGATTTGTAAAACCATTTTTGCCTCTCATTTGAAAACATATCAACATCTCCTTCTTATTGAACAATATGTATGTTGTGCATCTCCTTGAATCTGCTATGGAGTTTATTATTTCCTTATCGTCGTCTCCAATAAGCTTTGCACTCGTCAAGGGCGCTGGGCGCTCTTCGTACTCCGACCAAGCCAGGTGAAGAGGCCTGGCTTTTGACCAATCACAGTGATAGGATAATCATCAATCAAGCAGTCATGCCGCATTTTGCACAAAGAGTGACAAATGCGGGATTTCTTTTCTTTTTCGCTGGTTGACTTGACAGTTCTCATTTAATCGTTTTTTTGCACTGATTCATGTCGTCGGATCCGAGATCGCCACTTATACCACCTGTATCAGAAACGGTGGAGCAAACCACCACTTATGCTGCCATTGACCATCGTCAACCACAGGAGTCGCCATCGTCGACTAACAACGATGTCACAATAGCAGTGAAACAAATGACGACTCGTACATGGCGGAGCAATTCCTACGTATGGTCCATTATTATGCTCGGCATTCTTCTATTTGTATCTACTTGCTTGGAAATCGCTGTACTGAAATTTAATCTGCCGGGTCTTGACAAGTAAGTTGCATCGATAAGAATCGATAGTGATATTTAAGTGGAATTAACCATTACTTTTATTCTATTGTCTTAGAGAGGATCGCGAAGCAATTCATTTTCCAAAGAACTTTGATGACTTGAAAGCACTCAATGCTATCATGTCGGGTTACATTCAACAGCATTTTGTGAATGTCTACACGACATTTTTCTTTACCTATATTTAGTAAGTCTTTTTTTTCATTTCCCGGAACATCGCATTATCCGAACAGTACATTCATACTCCGACTATTACCAGTTTGCAGAGCTTTTCCTTGCCGGGATCCATGTGGCTCTCGATTCTGGGAGGTGCTCTGTTCAATCCATGGCTGGCATTGTTGACCGTAGCTATTGTAAGTGGTTCTACAAGGAAAAAATCCACGATAGTAACTGTTAATTCCGTTCCGTAAATTAGAGTTCTGCTATCGGTTCCACGGTTGCTTATGCCATTTCGGCAAGTCTAGGTTCCGTGGCCGTGATGCGGCTTTTCAGTGACCGATTCATGAAATGGAATGATCAGGCAAGTAAACCGATCCAATCAATAAAAACTGGAAGTGGCTCATTTTTTTTTTTGCGACAATAGTTGGCGGATCATCGAAAGCATATGTTTAATTATGTGCTTGTGCTCAAACTCGCTCCTTTACCGCCCAACTGGTTGATCAATCTTGGTGCACCCCATCTCAATGTCCCTGTGTGGGCTTTCTTTTGGGGTACCTTTTTGGGTGTCGCCCCTCCATCGTTTATCCACGTGCAAGCGGGTGCGGCGCTGGATAAATTATCATCTTCGGATGAACTTGTGCTCATGACACCAATGAATGCACTCTGGTTAATTGCCATTGGTATTGCTGCTCTGATTCCCGTTTATGTTCGACGCCGTTATCATTTGTAAATAGATTCTAATGGAATGAGATAAAAAGAGACAGGTTTCTATGTTCTGTAAATAAATTGTGATCACCTGTTCAAATGATGAGGATCTTGTAGTTTATGGAATAAATGCAATTGTGTATGTAAAAAGGAATATTAATGATGTTTGGTATCATCCTCTCGTAACACCGGATGCTTGGGATCAGAAATAGACCGGCTTACGGCGGTGGGATGGGTGTGAAGACCGATTTCTGCATCAGTAACTGATAAACTACGATTGACTCCAGGTGCCACATGACGTGCCGTAGTTTGGTCCATGTCCGCAGGCGCCTGTTCATCAAACGATCGTCGAAATCCAGAAGCATCATGACTGGCTGTCTCGGATAACGCTGCCAGCTTTTTAAACTTTTCTTCCTCGTGCCTTGCTTTCTCCAGATCCATTTGATATTGTAGGTTCCTCACCTATCATCATCGTCAGCTGGTCGGTCCCTCACACTCAGGTAAACGTCAATTTTACCTCTAGCTGCTCCACACGCTGTTTTAACTCGTCAACCATCGTCTGCAAACGGCTGGCCTCCTTTCTATCATTACCACTGTCGGACTGTTATCATATAATAATAAAAAAAGATGAGCATGCGTTACATTGAAGGATATTCTTCGATGCTTACCTTTGGGGATGCTGATACTTGATCTAGGTGGCTTATCCTCGATTGACAGGATTTCATTTCAATCTTTAATTGCTCCAATTCCGAATCCCGTTGGCTATACTCGCTGTGAGTCAGTCACATCAAAAATTCATAAAACGAAAATCGAACAGTGTTTACCTTTGACGTTCTTCGAGGGCGCGATTTTCGGTCTGCAAACTTGTTATTAATTCTTCCATACCCCACCACTGAGAAAGCAGCCCTTTGATATATCGTTTCTGCTCTTCCATATGCGCAGTATCTTCTTCCCTGTAAACACCATCCTCAATACATGATCTTTTGCCAGGATCACTACATGTAATACACTTACCAAAGTAGCATTTGCCGCGTGAGCTGTTTGACCCGATGTTCCAGTTCTTCCATTTTTTCCACCGAAGGTTGCAACGTCTTTAATTCGTTTTGTAATTCAAAAACTCTACGTCAATCAATTAGTATGTGTTCAACTCTCTTTCCTGTCACGGACTTGTCATATAAGGTCAAAATAGTTAGATACTCACTGTTTCCGAGCATCGGTTAGCTGGAAACGCTGTTCTTCGAGCAAACCCTCGTACTCTGTTATTTTCTGTTTGGCGGTTTCCATTTGACTCTGCCATTCTTTTCTTGCCTCTCGGTAATTGCGCAATTTGTTGGACTGCTCATCTTCCCACTTGACATGTTTGGATTTTGTCATGGCCGACTCTGCCTTTAATTTCTCCAGAGCGGCGGTCGCTTGCTTCAATTCGGCTTTGAGCATACGGGTCGTATTATACTAAATAGGGGGAAATTAGTTGCCAAAAACACACTTATCAACAAACATGGTGAATTGGTTCCTTACCAGCTGCTGTCTTTCTGCTTCTACGGAACTGTCCAACACATGCTCACGATGCAATCGACCGATATGTTGGAGATGTTGCTGTTTAAGAAACAATTCAAAGTTGAGCTCGTTGCGGAGGAGCAAAACTTCTCTTTTAAGCGCTGCAATCAAAAGACGCGTATCCGAGGAGGTGGAGGTTTTGTCTTTTCCTTGTCTTGCCGCATCAGTCAAGGTATCGCTGGCTGCTGCTACTGCAGTAAGCGGCATAGTATCCTGCATCATAGGCGAGTTTGCCGCTGGAGAGGAAGGCGAAACCAGTCGTTCAATTCCTGCTTCCTAAAAATTGGACCCGAGTCAATGTTTCCATGTCAGATTCCAATTAACAGTATTGCTTGTATCGGCTGTTCTACAATGCTTACCCAGACATCGTCACCTACGAGCACTTCAGCGCCGCTTTTCAAAGCTCGATGGATATTCAAAATGTTGGAAATCATCACGGGCTTCTTTTTGGGATCAGTCACAGGTTCATTGAACTTTGTATCAATGGCAATGGAATCGTTGTGGTGATCGGAGGGTTTCTCCACCGATTCTGATCCTGTGGATACTGGTTGAGCAACGCGACCAGTGTGAGCCCAAATGGTTTCGTTTAAAAGATCTTGCTGTTGCGATCGAGGTCGATCAGTGCCGACGGTGAATGCCACACGGGTGGCAGCGTTGGTCAGATCCAGACTCATAATCTGAGCAATAACATCTGGAGGTTCCATTTTCATCCATCGCGACCGATCCGTTAGCTCTGTTTCGGCATCTGACGTGATCAGGTTTGGATGCAGCATGTGTCGGATCACTTGAGTCTAAGCAGATTTTTTTTTTTTTTGTGCGTTGAGTTCAATGTCATAAAAAATAAGTGACCTCCTCCACCGTGTTATCCATACCATGGTACGAGAACGAAATGTCTCCTCTTCAAACTCTTCCGGTACTTGAAAGTCATTGCGATTAAAGTAATCATAAGGTCGATGAAGAAAGTTTACAAAGTTGCATGGGTACAAGCCATACAACGATGTAAAGAAGGGTCCAGTTTGTGGATTGGAGGGTGGTGCTGCCAGCTTTGAAAAAGTGTAATCTAAACAAATTGTAAGCATTGAATCGATGCACCAGCTACAGCAATATACTTGCCTACGCAATCCCAGCCATCCACGACCCGAGACGCTCCTGCGGCAGAAAGTGGTGTTTCGTGGCCAGCGGCGGTTGTCTGTGTTCCTTGTTTCTTGCGTAAATCGCGTAATTGATCCCAGCAAATAGCACGAGCAAAAATGTAGAATAGTTGGGGTAAGAAAGGTGGGAGTGAAGTACAGATACGAGGAAGAAGCATGATCATGTTGGTGACAGAAATAGCGATAAGTGTAGTGGAGTTATCATACTAGAAAATGCAGCAGAGATTGCAGATTAGAACCTAGCCTTCCAACCGAGGCCTATTGCTTTACATCAATTTACCATCAAGGACTTCAGCATAGACCCGAATAAGGGAGTTTCCAGAATTTCATGCAGATGCGTTCGCTAAACGATACAATGAATAAGCTCTTTGCAATAAGCTTGATAGTGAATCATGGTCGGTCCGTGTTGTTACCTTTCGTAGCATGAATTCGCTCAGAAGGTAGACTATCTGCAGACGATAACGACTGGACATGAAGTAACTATTCAGAAGAGTGAAGAAGGACTATAGCAACATATCAGTATCTGTGGACAAAAAAAAAAGAAAAGAAAAGCACTGGTTGCTGGAGCTACCTTTGTTTCTGCTGCTCCAAGGTTCAGCAGTATGATGGTGAGATTCTTCGACCATTCGTCTTGCTCAAGATCCAGTAGCGCTTGGAGCCTTAATCGCACCGTTGTATCTTGATCGGATGGCTGTTCCAGTTGTTCAATGCTGTATTCTTCGCGTTTGTGGTAGGTTTCAGCCCATGCAAGGTATTGTTCAACAATCATCCTGCAGTACTTTGGCTCCGTGATCTCGCCCGCTCGAAACATGCGTTGCTCTTCGATAAGACTCTCGGATACAATGGCCTCTGATTCTTTCTTGATCTGATCTGTGTAAGAAGCGGACGTTAATATCGGTTTGAGGATCGGATCCCACCAATCCTGGAATATCCGTGAAGGTCGTAGCACCGTCAATAAACGACGAACAAATTGCAGAATCAGATAATGCTGATTATGAACGGCAGCGGCTTCAGGTCTACAGGAGATCACTGTGGCTGATTGCTGGTGGAGAACCGTATTTGTGCATAAGCTTAGTAATTCGTTCGATAGCTTATCAATAACGGCCGCGTCGGTGGTTGCGCCCGCGCCTCCAGACCCGTCGTCGAGCCCATCGACATATTCGTCGATGGCATCAAGCACCGATTGTCCGTCCGAATCGGCTGTCGCATGTCGAATGCACTGAGTGGCAGCACGTAAAATATCCTTGGGCGTCACCATAACAAGGTAATACGCATAGGTGCTCGGAAGAGAAGCGTGGGCGCAGAAATTTCCAGCATAGGAAAAAGGCGCTTTGTTCATCGGATAATCGGAGCCTCAAAATCAACGCACTGCTGGGCAAACCGTCCCGAGTATCATTCCTCACATTATTGTGATTGAACCAACAAGAAATGAATATTGTCGTATAGTAAGAAAAAAAATATCTATAGTGAGTGTAATGTGTCGTCTTGGTCAAATAAATTTGATTAAGAGAACGGAGAAAAATTGGAAAAGCTACAGTACTCCCGGTTCGATTTTCTTGAAGCATTGTTCTCAACTGTGTGCAAATATAGCAACCTTCAAGCAACACTCTTCGCATTAATTCATCACAAAAATGGTATTAATGCACATAGCATTGTGTTGATAATATGTCTATATTTTTGGCATCATACTGACATTGTTATTTATGCTACGAACGGTTTGTGATCGACAACGGAAAACCTTGATTACCCACAGTAAATTTAAAATCTAAACAATCAAGTCTTTGGGAAATTCGCGATTTTGTAAATCACATGATCTACACTAAGTTATCAGGACCTGTTAAACGTTTTTTTTTTTTTATCTTTCAACCATGCCTCGCTGCCCACTTTCACGATAATAGGCGAAACAATCAGCAGCAAGATGCCGTTTGCGCCAGTTGTGGTTAAACAGAGTATCGTCGTCTTTCGAATAAAAATGTGAGTAGAGCTCTTTTTGAAGAAAAGTGGTTGATGATACGACTGAACGTTCTTTTGTAGCATCATTTAATTTGGGTTTTCTATCAGTTATACTGTATATGCCCTTTGATTCTCTTCATTTTAAAATGATCGAGAGGTCGGTGTTCATCTTTTTTTTTCCGGTACACCATTTGGTTCAAAGGCAAGTCCAATTTCTTTTCAATGTCATATAATCCAAGTCATGTCAAACGATCAATGGCTATTCAAAACTCAAATAACAAAGATAAAATATCTTGACGAAAATTGAATCAGTCAAAGAGCTTACTAACTCATTCTTTTTTTAAATACCCAACATAGCCTCACATCTTTTCAGATCTATCATATCCTGGGAGGGATGGAACTGAGGGGGGGAACCAGTGCTACTTTGCGCGTGATCAGAAACAACTCACGTTGCATGGTATTGCCATAAGGTTGCCATTATTATACCAATGTCCGTCAAGAGTTGTCTGACGAAAGTCGCTCAATGTAAGAGGGCGGCCTCCGGTAGCAGGCGGCATTCATTGCACAGCGGGTGTACGGCTTCTTATATCTTGAAGAAAACGTTTCCGCCAATAGCTTTTTTTGCTTTTGTACTCAAATATTGTACCTGTATTCGTCACACCGAACCAGTTACTAAGCGTAATGTAACCGGGTGGTACTTGCTGGGTATGATAGGATCCATTTCGTCATTCCTATTATGACGTAGTGAGCTTGGAAAAAGAGTATTATTTGATAGTTCAAAACGATCGTTTGGTCTGATTTCGATCGACTGAACTATGCCACTTTCTGTTCTTTTACTGATCCATCAAGAACATAATGCAGTACGTCCTTGCCTATTACTTGTAAAATATTTGGCGTGGATCGTTTTTACTTAATCCTCGTACAGTAACACTGTAAAATAATAGAGGAATCGATCTGTATTATGTAAGACTGCCGAGCTGTTATAATACCATATTTGGCAATGGTATACGCACGTCTTTTTACTGCGCCCGATAACATTCGTGAGAGGAAATAGCTTCATTGACATTGATTGGGATTCAATGCGCCAAACAGAGGTTCAAACCTCGCTTGGCGTATGAGGGCGTTAAAACCCACCTTCCTCTTTTGCTTTTTTTTAGTCTTTTCTTTTTTGGTCACGTTTTTCGTTCTCTTGGGTGATCCAGCCTGATCACATCTTTGACGATTACAGTATCTGATACAATTCATGGAAAAATCCAGAAAAGAAGTTTACTTTTTGCTATGGTTATTACGATGTAATTTAGTAATGATAGAAATCTTGATTACATGATTTATGGGTTTGTAGATTAGTGCAAAATGTTTATCTAGTTTTTCTTGTTTTAACGTTGTTTTTGATAGGCTGATCCAATCGATCAACCAGCGTTATAATTGCGGTAAAAGACAGCAATTTTTCAAAGTAAAATCTCACAAGATATTCCAGCTCAAGCCAGGTGAGTGAAAGTCTACTAGTTTATCACGTATGTTGGGTCTTTGCTGTATGTTCTATGCTTGTGCAAGATGTTTGGCTTCTGCTTCGGAGAAGTCTGTACGAAAGGCGCAGTAAGCTGCGCAACGTATGCCCATTTATGGTAATTCTTGTTCCACACCATCTTTCAACTGAGAAAGCACAATGTAAGAGGAAATAGCTTAATCGACAAACACTCAATTTGGTTGACGCTCGGTCTGCGGTACGAACTGCAGATCGAGCAAGCAAAGGCGTCAAACCCCACTTTCCTTTTTTTGCTTTCGGGTCTTTCCCACTTTTCCCCCCTTCTTTTTGACCTTGTCGTACTTCATTTGGATATGGTCCACCAGCAAACTTCTCAGCGTGGATTAGCAAATACTGCATCATCAAGGATAAGGGACACATTTTTTTAACAAGACAAAGGAATACTAATATCAATGTTTTTTGGCGTATGGTCCAAAGAGCATAATTGTTTGCATGTAGTCTTTTTTTGTGAGCGCTATGCAACCGTCGTAATATGTATGCAATTTAGTGATCGTAAGTGTGCTCACCCGTGAAGTTTGCTGCCGCAATCAATATAAAAACATACACCATTATCCCAAGATCTTATTTTATTGAATTATTCGTATTGAAAATTCTCGCTACCGATTTTGTATCCTTTCAGCTTTGCTTTTGCTCAATATCACAATCAGGCTACGTAACGTGACAAGCCTGCTTGTTCCGGCAGGGTGAGTCGTGCTCTTTGCTTCCCATAAAATGAAGCAAATCGGGCAGACTGGAAAAACTACGCAAAAGAAGTTAACATCTAACTCTATTGCCGATTATTCGGTTTCGGGGTCATAGTGTTACTTACTGTCTTTGAAGATTGGAACAAAAAATATCCACAAGCATATCGGAGAGATCGAGACGTTTCTGGCCATAGGCGGCTACATAGGCATCTCGTGTCGCAAGCGTCGACCCGCATATCGCTGGTTCTTATCCACATCAGCGGTCGATCCAGATACGGCTCCCACTGTACACGAGGATGGGTTTTCGGGAGATCCATGGCATCTATATCGGGCTCTTGACTTCATCTTTTCGTCTATGATATTGCCCATCTGCGTCGGTCCTTGTATTCCTTGAGCTCAAATAGACCCATGAATGAATCATCTGCATTTTGCCGCTAGAAATAACTCAACATTCATCCAATCATTCACTCCAAAGATCGATTATTTTGACCAGTGGAGCCGGTTTGGATAAGACTCCCTCTCCATAACGCAAGGCAGTTTCGACATCTTCAATATCAAACCAACCCGAAGAGAGTTCCCAGAAAAAAGGTCGAAGGAATACGCATCCTCTGCTTGCAATGACACCACACCTTGTGACTCGAAAGTGGCCTTCCTTCTTGCTTGGACTGTTGGCAGAGATTCGTTGTGGTCCTTCTTCATAATGGCTGAACGAACGTGATTCCGCAGATGCGAAATGATAAAGCAGAAGACATATTGTAACGCGCGGCAGTGACTTGGACTGGCAAACTATGTTTTTCGAGCAAAGAGAGGCTCTTTTATTTGCACACGTCGTCTGCCACGTTTCTGGAACGCGCTTGAGCAGCCACGCCACGATCAATGTGAAGACAACAAAAAAAAAAATTATGTGCAGATTCTTGCAGCTTTGTCAATCTAAAGTCCAAGTATCAGACAGCATGCTTTGAGCAAGAACTTAATCAGCTTTAGAGCAATGTTGATGCAAGGGATGCAAATGCGATATGATTTGTTACCGAGTTCCCACAACCAACGCTTGTTGATTCTCGCTGCACCAGAATCCAATGGATTTTGACCGGTTTATCATTGAAGTAGTGAAAAATCAATTTTAAGAATAGGATCTCTTGAGCATATTTATTCTTATCATTTGTTGCTAGCTTACTCTACATTGCACATAGAAACATCTAAACACTTTTGAAACATTTGTGCAAACGATCCAAAATAACGGATCTATGATTTCAATCACATCATGATAACAAAATACCAAATTCAAAAAGAAAGCAAAGGAGGAAAATGGGGTTTTAACACCCTTTAATCGCCAAAACGAGGCTTTGAATCTCTGTTTGATGGGCTGAATCCAAAAGGTTTTGCAATGAAGCTATCTCCTCTTGATGAAAAGTTTTGGCCGCAGTAAAAAGGTGTGCATCGGCAATTACCAAATAGGATGGCATCATCCAAGCTCAGCAGTCTCAAGCCTACGTGTTGCTAGCTAAGCATTGCATACCATTCTAAATATCGTTAGTATGAACTACGGACTTATGACTGTATGATTGATAAGGAATTTACGGTATCTTGCATCGGATTGTTTGAATAATTCTTAAGGGGAAAAGGTGAGCATGTATCAAGAGAAAATGTGCAAATGAAACAAATCATAACCTTGTCAATTGTCCGTTTCTTTCCACACACTGCACCAACAAAAAACTTTTTCAGATTGAGTTCTTGACGGTGTTTAAAGGTGGTTCGATTTTGGGAAGACGAAAGTGTCAACGTTTTAATCACGTAATAAGATATGAGAGTGGAATTCATTATTTTGGAGCAAGAATAAAGCTTATCGACATTGCCATCATTCAGCAATAAATTCGTCATATCAATTTGAATAAATGAATTGCTATGGGGGTATCTATAAATTATGCTTCAAGTTGTCGCTCTAAATGTTTGAAATAGCGACACTATGCACCCTAATTCCGTGCTTAAAATCAGTGAGTGTATTCATATATCGGCTGATCTTTCGAGATGATATTGAGGGGAGTTGCAAGCAAGTGCTTATGCACATATGCGGAAATTCCAACTCCAAAGGGTTTCCATGTTTCTTGAAAGGTTGTGTGACATACAATTCTAACTTGTGTCAGAGAGGCTTAATTCGGACAACGACGCACACAATGGAAGCACGCTTGATTTCCTATTTGGGAACAATGTGACCTGGCGTGCGAGCACGGGCAAGTCGAATAAAAATAATACAAGTAAAAGGGCGACGTGCCTGTTAAAGGTCATATCGCAATTCATTTAATCGACAATCATCCCGTCATCTCATAAATCATACTATTGATCAGGAGAATGGGATGCAAATGATGAACGTGCTACATTGGGCTATTCAAATGAAAAACGACTACGACTGGAAGTGGAAAGAAAGAAAAAGTGTCACGGATGCATGTTTATACAGGAAATTGATTAGATAAGGGCGCAAAAATACACGAATAATAGAGACAGAGGGGGGTTAGAACATCTAGTAATTGATACGGACAAATCCAGGTCGTTCAAGCTTCACTTCAGGCATGGGTCGAGTGACTTGATTGGGTATAACCATGGTTTTCAGTGTCGTCTTAATCTCCTTAATCTGTATACCACGGTAAGCTAGTTCATCCCGTCCATCGTCTATAACAGGAGTACTCCTATTCATAGTCTGTTTGCTATCTACTTCTGGCGGAGCAACCGGAATTGTCTGGTTGGCTGTCAACCACGTGAATCGTGCAGTGGAAGCAGACGATCGTGGCGATGCACTGGCAGATGACCGTTGCGATGAGGCATCGCTATGACATTGCTCTGCCGACAACCTTGCTAGGTCAGTGTTCACACTGTTGCTTCGTTGTTTTTTCCAGGCACTAGATCCAGTGAACAACCGCGATGAAAAACTTCGTCTCATGGCAGTATGAGGACGTTCGCTTTCGATGGACGGCATGGTCTTTTTCCCTGTTGAAACAATAGAAGCGTGCCCCAAGGACAGTGAAGAGGGCGCGCCGCCTGCAGTGGACATTTGCACCGCTGCGGCAATCACGGCCGACATTGTTTCGATGGTTAATGTATCGCTGGAAAGAGGCGGTGAATGGGAAACTGAAGTTGGAGATCCGGCCTGTAGATCAATGACTTCTTCAGGTTCACTCAGGGGAGGGGTATCATATCCGTCGACGGTGTAATGGCGCGGATCCTCCAGCTGTGTAGTGTTGAAATATTCTCTTCGCGTAGAGTCTTTGTAATCGCTTGAATGAGGAGGCGATGAAGGAGTATGTGGTTGGACGCGAAGAATAGATGCTTTTCCAGTTTGATACGATGATGTTATTTCATCATTTTGAGAAGGGGAACGTGAGCGAAACATTGACGGGAAAATGATAAATAATAATAAAAAAGAAAGGGCAAAAAGAAAATGCGAGAACTGAAACTAAAATAAAAAGGCGAGGCGCTAGATATAGATTGCTTCCTACAGGCCATGGTCTCAACACAATCAAATAAATACTTTTCGATGTAACGTTGGACATGTGCATTATTGAGTTTCCATTTATGGCACAAATTTAGGCCACCGCAAGATAAAAAAAAGGATTGTGCAATTTTGGTAATCCTCGTTTTTTTTCCGCTACTTTTTATTTTTCGTGAACCAACTTTAGGAACATGGCAAGCAAGTTTACTTGCTGTAAGAAAAAAGAAACTTTTTGGTGGAATGCTCATGGGAGCAATGGTTGTGAAACAAATCGCATCGGGAACTCGGGATGGTTCCCGTGCCGGAATTACAACGTTTAACGTCGCGAGAACAATGAATACCAATTAGAACTTCGAAAACTGGTTAGACATTACCAAGTTATCAATTAGAGGACGAGATAAGTAAAGAAGAACAGATGATCCAAGGACATGACCAACAAGCACTCAACAAAGCTGTCCGAGTCGACAGCTCGATCTGCATTCATTTCATGCGACTAAGCCGCATTCTTCTTGTGTAAACAAAAGATACGGAATAATATGGCATTACGCGACATCAATCGTTGTTTTTCTGCTTTGTCATTCGACAAGAGAAAATGTCTTGTCTATCAGGAACAATTCATTCAAACTTGGCTCTGTTTTTATCTTATTGGCTTACAACAACTTTCATCGCTATGTAATCCATTTGCTTCACATTAGTCCTCGTATAAAATACATATTTGCATCAACTTATATTATAACTATTACTTAGAAACCATTGCATATATGTTTGATGTGAATACAACAGTTAACGTCCTACAACCCCCGCATGTTGTTTGTGCGGCGAAAACTTCTTTTTCTGGTCGACCGGGGACAACTTTCCTTCCTTTCTTTTTTTTTTTTTTTAAAAAAAAAAAGAAAAAAAAGAGTATGTATTTGTGCTCAAGTACATTGATCTTTCAATCTTGTGAAGCATCGTCATCCAAGGTATTTGACTTAATGTTTAAAAAAATATACAAAGCTCATGCCTAGTTGGTGTGCGGTGGCAGACCCACCATTATTGGCACTCAGAATTATTCAAAGGGAACTGTTGCCTCTGTCGCACCTTATTGCAAGTATGGACGGTGGCTGTCTGGGCATTTAATTGTCAGGTTTTCGACATCGTACGGTATTAACTTTTCTTCCGGTGTGGAAAACATGTTCTATCGAGACACGATCGTTAATCGTCACTCAGTGAATGGCGATGAGTTGAAGCTCTTGGCCTGCACACGACTTACATTCCACAATACGATAGCCATTACTCGATTAGCGCATTGGTTGGGATGGAAACTATATCAATAGGTGTGAGTGGTGGTATACGCGGCTGGCGCATAGTTCGCAATAACGTACCAGTCGACGCCGCTAAAATAGCTTTGCTTATATTTGCTCACTGGAAACGCAGCAAATCCAGGTTGATAAGCAACAGCGAACCCAGGATCATTGAGTTCCGCATACTCTAGCGCAATCTTTTCCAAACGTCGATTATATTCGTATACCACATGATCGGCGGCTAGCAAATGGGCGGTAAGTTGTACCATTTTTTCAGGGTGAGTAAGATTTCAGCAGCCGATGAAACATACCTTGTCGTTGATTGTCGTCATCTTGGATACAGGAACAGATAAACATGTGGGTGGTATCAAATAGGTATTCGCAGTAAGGGTCACCACGTGATGCTTCAAACACACTCGAGACCTAAGGCAATGAACGATAAGCAGGGTATCCAGCTTTTTGAGAACCGTCAACATCCACATGAAAAAATCTCAAGCCTACATTGAAGAGACCGACGAGATTGACAAATGATTTGCCAATGTCTGTTCTCAGGCGTTCTAAAACACGTCGGACGGATTGTTCCAAGACATCGACATCAGCCACGTCAGGTAATTTGGTCACCGGTGGGGTGCATAAAAGACAGACATTATTGGCTCCGATGAACAGTGTGACCAATTTCCATTCCTGCTTCAGTGCAGAATATTCTGATGATCTGTATATTCGAACAAGGCGATTGACTTCGTGCTCAAGCTCTTGATATTTTGCTCCTGTGATCTTGCAACATATGATTTCGTGGAATGTCAATATTGCGAGATACAATGCCGCTCCGGCTCGTGGGATTGATTTTACCTACCGCCTCATTGAGACCTTTGCCACGTGATAAAGGCCATGTCACTCCAACAGGTGCGCCACGAATGTCATCTGTGTATGTGGAAAGAAAGTTGGCTAAAGTATATTCTCCCGGATCTCCTCCTGCTGAAAAGGCCTTGCCACGATATTCCCAAAGTGAGGCAAAAGGCGGACGTCCTGGATGATGGTGTGCACTTAGATAATCCCATTACATATATTCAAGGACCTGTCAAAAGGGAGACCTACCAGAAAGCATACCAAATCCAGCAGTAATGCTATCACCCAAGGCAACGATGGATTTGATATCCTGGAATTTCAATGGAAAAAAAGAAGCGTATCGTCAGATACCTTTTTACTTGGACATATCGCTGGATTGTTGGTGAAGGTGCATGTACCTGAGGCCGCAAATGGCGAGCATCTCGGTGTTTAATGGCATCGTCCCAAAGCATGGGCGAGCAAGTAAATTCGGGAAGCTTATGTAAGCAGTGTTCTTCCTTGTCTGTAGCGTTATGGGTGCCCCAAGCATTAAATATGCTTTCCAGCATATGGACCCATTGTTCCGAATACGGAGTGATAAAGGTCGGATCAACTGTTTGTGTCCAAGCTGCAAAAGGCTGTTGCTGAAGGTCCTGTTGGTACACACCGTAAGCGGCGACTTTGCAAGGGGAACCAATGAATCCCATTATTGCAGTGAGCATTAGTATGATGACATGCATTTTGTAAACAATCAAAAGAAATAAAGAAAGAAGAGGAAAGAAAGGGTGAGCAGAGGAGGAATTTGTAACCTATACTTTAACCACAAGATCAGTCACCGGTTGTTCTTCTGTTTATGACGCATCAATTACTGACCATTTTTTCATTCAACATTTTTTCATTTTAATATTACGTTTGACAGATCAGAATATCGTCGCAGTGACGGATAAAGAACCTCAAATTTTGCTGTTGCCGAAAATTCCCTTTTTTTCTTTAATTCTTCCTTGTCGTTCCAGCCTTCATTCACCTGATTGCCCGAGGCGTTTTTTTTTATTTTTATTTTTCTGCAATGCATTCTCATCATATGCACAAGCATAAATCAGCTACTTCGTGCCATGCATATCCCATTCGCCCCAGTAGGTCAATGTCGACGACTTCCGGGTCTTCCGCTTCCGCCCGTACCCCAAACGACATTCTCTTGCATAAATCAGCGAAATCTCGTATTAATCAACACAGCCATACTGACAAAGTTCAGACCCTCGGACGCTTGAAGAATGTATTTGTCAATACCAGAGAAAGAGAAGCGCTCATGACGGCGTGCAGTAAAGGAGACTTGGATACAGGTAGCATATATGCACGTTATTTGGGAGAAAAATCAGCTGGGCATGATCAGAGAATACTCACCGAGCGCTATTTTCTACTTGTGCAGTCACCCACTTACTCACTCACACAAGGCCTTTGCTGAATCCTGATATGATCCGTGATGCCAAACTGCGTACACCGCTTCTTGTTGCCTGTGCGGCCGGCCATGCGGAGATTGTCCGTGCGCTAATTTCGTGGGGCGCCGATGTCAATAATCCCACAGGCGATATTATCGGAAACAAACCTTTGGATCTGGCCGTTGTATCAAATAGCGTGGAAACCGTCTTGGTTCTCCTGGAAGCAGGTAGGCTGACAATCATTATTACAGGTATTTCATCGCCCCCTTACTAAACAGTTTTTGATTTTTAGGCGCTCTGGTGGCTCCCACCATGCGATCCTCCGTCCCGCACAATGGGCCACTCCCTGTACCCATCCAACAACGAGCTTCACCACGCTCACCTTTATACCTCGCTCAATCACGACTAGATATGTTAATACGGAAACGTGAAAACACTTTCGATGAGGCAGATAATATCGCCTCATCACCCCATGAACCCATGATCAAGCAAGTTATCCAAGTAAGTGACTCGCTCGTTTAAACGTGCAACAAAACGAATACGAAATGAGAACTCTTACAGACTCATTTCCCCGTTTTCTCATGATTAATTCATTGGTAATTAATTGTATTACTATTTTGCAGATCATTCGGTTATTGAAGCACTTTGTCAGTAACGAAGCCTCCAGTTCATCCAGTATAGAACCGTCCTCCAGCATTCAAAGTACATCTCGCGACCTGGATGATCTTACTTCCAAATTATCATCAGTTGCTTTGGACGATACGCCAAATCAGGCTTCGGCCAGCAAGGATCTGGAAGTAATGAAAGAGTTGCGTGATATGATTACAAGGCTCCAGCTGTAGATCGTTTTAAACTTCTCTATTTGTGGATGTGCCTGGGAATGATAAACCGTGCTCGAGAACATCGTCGATCCTTATCTTTCCTGAATTCGCTAAAACTGTATCCAATCCTTCGTAGTCATTCCTTGTAACAAAAAAGAACGTAGTCCCATTCCATAATGATAATTCAAAATCCAGATCCGTAGCACACAGTTGTTCCAAAATAGCTTGCACATCCTAGATATTGACATCTTTAAACTTCCTATTCCAAGGTCATCCGACAAGAAATAAAGCTTGCATCCATACCTTTTCGTCTATACGGATTTCATTTGCTAAATATTCGGATGTGCATACTTTTTCTCGCTGTATAGGTTCCCAGAGCATCATTTAGCTTCAGATCCCACAAGCCACGCTTTTTCCCGATTTGATTCAGCGTACCTTCACAATGTTCGCTACACGTGCATGGTATTTTTCGTATTTCGCTTGCTTCGCCTTGGATAGTTTTGCTTCGGCTTTTTGCTGTTTCTGTCGTTCTTTTTCCTCATTTTTCAACTTTTTCTCCATTTCCTTCCTCCGACGCTCAATCTACGCAAGCCAGAATAAGAAAATGGATGATTGGTAGTACTCTTTTATGCTTACTTCATCCGCGAGTCGAATAGCCTCTTCAGCTTTTCGTCGTTGAAACTGCTCCGCCATCGCTTCTTCCTGGGCTCGCCTTGCATCACGCTGTTGCAACATATACTTTTTGCCAGCAAAGAAAAAAGAGCGTCAATTTGCAGTAGGGGTCAGCCAACCGCTAACACCGTGCTTACCTCATGGTATTGACGCATATGCTCCTTTCGTTGCAGTTTCTTGCCTCTCTTTTTACCCACTTTTTTTATTCGTACCGCGGTTGATGATCCTTCTTCGGGATCGACCGGTTGATCACCCATTTCGTCAGCACTGTCTTCATTCGCAGGTACTTCATGCAGCGTCAAGTCCTCGTTAACCTCGTCATTGTTCAGCCAGACATCTTGTGCAGTAAATTCGAAACATTAGTCAATGCAGGGCATCCAAAGTGAAAAAAAAGCAGGTACCGGTTTCAATTGAAAGCTGTTGCTGACGACGGCGAAGACTGAGAAGAAACAAGATGCTCAGTATGCATAAAATAAAAGGGATATACACGATGAACGGCACGCCATCCTGGGAAGCCATGCTTGGAAAAATCCGCTCCGCTGGTCCCCTCTCCCATTTGAATTTCCTGTGACTTTTTACACAGGCTGAACGAAATTTCCAAAAGCATTTGCATAAAAATGAGCTTTCGCTAATGCATTATTGCTGCTTTTATCCACATTTTCAAGGTTCATGCATTAACTTTATTTCTCTTTTGTGCAGACTAGTTTTGTGAACAAGGACAGACAGAGTGATACGCGAAAAAACGGCGATAAAAATGGCATTCGCGGTTACGGTGATACGATGAGGATTAAAAATTGGAGTTCTATGTAAAGATGATTTACGAAGATGCAGATGCTTTTTCAGAAAGATCAATTAGACGCTTCAGTCCAAGAAGCCATATCCCATGCTTCTCGTATTCAGTCGTCATGAGCTGTCGGTGAATTTCCTGAGCTCGTGTCCAATTCATTTCTTGCAAAGCTATTTCCAGTTTTCATGGATGAGTAAGTCGATCTCCTTTCGACTGTTCGCCATTCGTATCCTTGGTTCCCAATAACAGCAACAGAAACTTACCTAAACAGAGTTGACTTAGGGATTGGATCACGACTTCTGTCAAGACATTTTGCCCAAGATCATTCAGCAGACTATTCATCCGACGACTGGTATCGTCCGCTATCCGCTTATTGGCTCCACTCTGATGTAAGGTTCGCAATTTTAGCATCTGGTGATGTCGTCGTTTATGCTCGGACCATCCGCTGGTGTGCATGCAGATAACAAACATACCGTAAACGTGTTCGTGCAAATAGTGACTTGATGTTGGATATTTTTCTGGATCTCTTCTATGTTGATATCCGCACTTTGGTCTTCGGAAGTTTTTTGAAATATCTAGCGCTGTGATTCAACATGTCACTGTCTTCTGGGCAGGAGATGGGATCTCTCTCTTACATTTTTGGGTGGATCGTTCTGCATGTCAGCCATCCATCCATGTTAGTGAATGTACAGACATCATCATTGTGAGTTGAGCATTACCCAATGGTTCTGTATGACCGCTGTGCGAAAATCTGTCTGAGCAGTCCCAGTAGAAGTATCAATACGCATCATTGGCAGCTGCTTCAAGAACGGAGCAAAGAAGAGAAGCAATCAAGAGAAGTGCTTTTTTTAGGCGTGCACGTGGCACGAATTTTCACAATTTCAAAGCCAGCTGTAGAATGGGTAGCCCAGAAAAAGTAGCGGAGAAAACTTTGGGTACGGAAACGCCAGCCATTTTGGGTGGTGATCGGTGCGGACAGCCCAAAGAAAAAACGGACCTGCCATCACGCCACTAAGCCCGTTAAACGACAGCATGGTTATCGATAAATTCGAGCTTGGAACATATAATCTATATCTACGTTCGAATAGTGATCGCAGTTGGTTGGCAAAAGAGAGTATTCGGTTTATTATCAGTATTTTCACAAGAATCGTTGCGTAAAGAATTTGCAGCTAGGAAGCGTCCACCAAGGCAAATCGTGCCGCGGTACGGTCAAATAAGCTGGATTTCAGATCCATATCTTGGATGAAGGGATGTTGGGGAGCGACTTCTCTGAGTTGGCTGTAGAAATTGATTGGGATGAGATTCCAGTGAGTCCAACATGTTTTCTGCAAAGGACACTTACTTCACGTAGCGGTTGACGACATCAGGTGACTTGGAGGTAAGATTAGCGCATACGATCATATTGACAAGAGTATCAGGATCATCGCTGTTCTATAGACTCAATCACGGTCAACAACACTTTCTACCTAGGTTAAAAACGAATCCATCACCACAGAATACTTTACCTTGTTTAATGCCTCCAACAATATGCTTTCGGCTTCGGGATAGCGACCGAGGGCAATGTGAGCAGCGGCTTGGCCGTTCATCACTTTGATCGTTTGCGACGCACTGGACTGTCCAAATTCTTCATAGATATAAAACGCTTCCTGGTACTTTTCTCCACCCTTGCAGAATGGACCACTGACAGTGAGCTCGTGAACGAATGCCATTGCACTTGACTACTTACCACACGTAAGCCAACCCAGGCCTCCATCATTTGCAACAACAAAGCGTCTTCCGCCCATGCTTTGGCAGCATTCACTTCATTGCGTGCTAAATCCAAGCGATCCATTTGCAAGTAAATTTGTACAGCCAAAGCAGCACTAAGTGACAGTCACCATGAGCATCCAGTCAACATTCCACGCAGGGCATAGTTACACCTACCATTCGAGCTTCTTTTGACGCAAGTGAATAATTTTGAGAGCTTCTTCTGTTTGTTGGGCATTGACAAAGATGGTGGCGATGGTTGTCTGAATACTGGCATTGGTTCTGTTGGCGCCCTCTTCAAGTAATTGACGAGCCTGTTCAAGAACTTGGTCACAAGTTTCTACTTGGTTCTTCTGTTTAGCTTGCAGGTAAGTGGCCAATAGTTTTATTGCTTTCAATGCGGCTTCTTGGTTATCGGCAATGTCGTTGATGACGAGGTTGTATTTGCCTTGAGCGACATAGGAGCGGTAAAGATACGTCTGTGCCTCCAATTTGGCTTCTGGGGAGAACAGCCCGTTGCTTGAACTAACATCATTGATGACAGTCTGATAGTTGCCAAGAGCAAACAGGTTGCGGATGCCAAAAAGGATAGATTCTTCGTCCATTGTTGTGTATGCAGTTCGTTTGAAAAGAAGAACGACTTCGCGTGGCCTGAAATTTTCAAACTTTCAGCAACAACCTGTCTTCCAAAATCTGGGTTTAATTTTGGTCACTAAGGTGAACGCGTCCCTCGGTCATAGAGCAGCCAGTCTTTTAATCCCATCTTGTTGTGAATACAACAGTGAGTAATATACCATCGTTACCATCAAATTCTTTAGTACTTTTGGGAAGATAGCACAAACATTTATATTATTGTTTTTATTGCTTTGTATATTGAGTTTCTGCAATTGAAAAATCGCTGGTGATTGTCGACTGGGATACGCTCTATTGACTATAGAAACCTTATTTCAGTACTGCTTCACCTTTTTGGCCAATGTCAACTTGAACATTCCCACAGCTTTTACAGTAGCTCCAGTATATATAGACGTCACCTTTTTGTCGACTATATATGAGCATCCCTGTTCCCGAGCATAATGATGATGCTCGACACGTGGTATCATAGAATAGTTATAGCGTGTCTGCAAAATAAGAGGTGGTGCTTTCGATTAGGATGTTAGCCCTATGCATGCCCCACTGCTCCTCTCCTTCTGTTTTTTGCTCTCAAAATATTGTAAGAACTGGTGTAAACATGTCTTTTGACTTATATTTTTGTGTCTCATTTCTTAGGCTTCTCAGTTCCCTATCTTATTCAATTCTGCATAAAACGGATTTCCTCCGTACAGCTGGATGGACGCTATCTATAATATGCTCATAATAACAAAGGGCGCCTACAGGCAAAATGTGACATGATATGCTTGTTTACATATGGTATCGATACTATTAATGGCTTGACAGATAAATAAAATTTACCAATATTGTGTAATGTTCTTTCCGCCTTCCTGATCCATTGAAAAAACCGATGATGTTGTCCCAGAGTATTTTACCTCACGCACACTAACCCTAGTTTTAGTTCATCGGTCCACCGGGTCACCAACCATGTTTTATGGTCACTGATATTTTAGACCATATTTGGCGAGGTTGGAACAGGATAACAAGGGACAGGAAGGGTTTGTGTCCGTTGCAAGGGATTTCAAGGAATCGGATTTTTTTTTTTCTTGAAAGCGATTAAAGCAACAACTTACATGGCAGGTAATTAATTCTTCTTGAATTCATTCACATCACTTTTTACCATGCTACGAGGTCTCTTTATTGCATTGGCGTCTCTCTTTGCGCTTTTTGCGTTTTTGCTTCAACTGTTTACACTCATCGGTCAAGTTTCCAATCGCGTCTTCTTGCGCCATCTGTATTTGGCTCACGCTCAGAATGCTCCGCAAAATCAAGCTTACAATATGGGATTATGGTAGGTTGAACCGAACCGGTCGTCTTTATTCATGACTTACTAACAATTCTTCTTTGATAGGAATTACTGTAATACCGACATGAGTGGCAATGTCAACTCGTGCGACTCCCCACGACCGGGATACAACTGGGCAAACACACCGGGCATCAGCCAAGCGTTGCCGAATCAGGCTGGAAGTAAGCGGATCAAGAGTCTCTTCTTGGCTTTGTTCGCCTTGGTCTTCATAGGTATGGGTCTCAGCTTCTTCTTATGGCTGATCAGTATGCCTTTCTCCTGCTTTGGCCGCCGAGGCGTCAGTGCTTCATTGTCTGGGTATTCGTTCATCAATTTCTTGGTCACTTTGGCTTCCCTTATTTTGGCACTGGTCTTGGCTCTCCGCGGTCTTCACATTTTGAGAAACGCGGATAGTAACTGGAACGGTTATCTTGGAAACTCCATATGGTGTCTTGTCGGTGCTACCGCCGCCACCTTGATGAGCTTTTTGCTGAACACCCTCAGCGGTTTCTGTGTCAGACGTCGTCGTGATGATGCTCGAATTGATCCTGCGGTCGGAGCCAAACAACCGCCTCCCGGAGACCCTTACCAACCCCAACCGGTGACTAATGAACCCTACGCTGGTAATCAACCTTACACTGGTGACACTGCTGGTCGTAATGCAGTCGATCCTACTGTTGGTCCCAACCCAGCCGGAAACCCTTATCAGCCACAACCGGTGACAAACACACCTTACAATACATCCGCTGTCGGTAATCAGCCCACTACTCCTAATGCGTACTCATCAGCAGGATACAACAACCCCAACGCAGTTTAAACCGGAAAATTTAATTGCTTATTTTTGGATTTCCCATGTCGAAAATACTACTTGAATATAATTTCTACGCATAATAATTTAATTTGATTGGTTGGATATTGTCTTGAAAAAAATTTTGACGTAATAAAAAAAATTGTGAAAAGGATTCTTTTCCCATGCCATCCATGTGTCAAACTCTGACTCAGCTAATACCCAATAAGCTTAAATGACAAGCGATGCATAACAGCGCGCAAAAACTCATATAAACCAGAAACAAAATCTCTCTGCGTAGAACTCAATTTTTAATTCTTTTTGTTCATCATGTCTGGATTTTTCGCACCTGGCCGAAGTCGCACTTTTATGCAATTTTTGTCCATTGATTCTGAAATCTTCCCACTTCTTGCAGTGGTAGCAACGACTTTTGGCGTCGCTGGTTACGTTGCCGGTGCCAAAGTCGACTCGCATTTTTCAAAGCTGGTACATTTGACGCCCAGTGGTCATCCATGGAGTAATGAAGCTGAAGCTACACAACCGGAATACAAGTACAAATTTTACCGACATGCCGATCCGGCCCAACAAAGCATGGTAAATGATGTTTGTGTATGATAACTGTTGGAGATAATGCTAACGTACATGGTTTTCAAACTCTGTAGCCTGCACCTAGCGCCATGGTGGAGCACGTCCGAACGGTACAAGCTCCGAAAAATCAAATTCCTTCACAAATGCTAGCTTAAAAATTTCGAAATAGGCTGGTGGTCAAATAAACTAGGATAGTCAATTTTTCAGCTACAATATACACAAGCTTTTATGTAACGTATAGGATGCATGTACATGAAAATGAGGGGTATCTTGAATACAGTTTACAGTCGTCAAGGATAATGAATCGGTGTCATGTTTCAATGAGCCGTGTTTCCTGGGGATAAAATGTCATGAAGCCAAGCTTTTTTTGACACTGAAATAATTTGATGGAAATATCCATGATCTTCTTCCGGTGATTTCCTCTTCTTCAAAACAATACATCGTTCCACCAAGGATTGCTGATAAGTTGCATGGGCTAATAACTCATTGCCATAGGTTTGCAAGTCTTCGAGGCGCACATGCAGATCGAAATTGCACAGAAACAGAAACTCTATTTCGAGTTTGTTCATCTCATGGACGGATAAACCACCCACCTAGACCAAAAAAAAAAAATACCAGATAGGCATCGTTAATAGCTGAGCAAGCGTTTACGTCCAGAGAAGCTCACCTTGGCATATCGTGAATTAGAATAAAACACATCGGACCAAAATTTGGAGGCTATCACTATGCTATGGAACGTATGAGTGATACAGGACAGTTTCCCGACCGCCTGTGCTACCGTAGTATTTTCGTAACCATGATAATACGATGATTACCTACTGATCAGCAGCCGATGGATATTGAACGAGTCGAGTATAAATGCATGTTGATGGCGATTAGCAATACGGTCAAAATAGACGAGCAATGACAAGAGCACTTCGTTGGAAAACGGCGCGTATTTTAATATCCTCGTAAGATAAGCCGAGACAGTGATAGACGGCACGGCGCGAGAATCAAAGTGTGTGGTCACTCTTTCCATAGTTAGCTTATCGTTAGTCGTGATGATCGCGTCCAAGAGATTGGCAACAATAACAACTAGACGTTGAACAGGAAAATTGGCTAAATCTAATGTACAATAACCGGCCATCAAAGAAAGAAACCAATAGACACGAACGATGACAGGTTGGCCAGAAAATAAAGAACAGCAACAGGGGAAGAATCTTCTGTTTTTGGTCGACAATAATAAAGGGTTTCGTTGCTTGTATCGATACGGAGGAAATCTCTGTAGAGAACCTGATCAATGAACCGTCAGAATAGATATGAAAAGATTGAAAAAGAAGAGCAAAAAAACCCAAAAAAAGGGAGAACAAAATCAACAAACAACGAAAACCGGGTGTGAGTACGGTACTTCCACAGTTTTAGTGCGATAGTTCCTTGTGGACCATGAAATATCTTGACATTGCGTCGGCTCGGTCAATGAAAAGCATGTTAAAATGACCGTGCCGTCGAAGCTAATTTACCGAAAGATCAGTCATGCTACTGACTCCTGAACTCGCTTCCACATGGCAAATTGGTTGGCTGGAAATGAGAGAGCGTGACAGCCTATTGTTACAACACCCACAGTGTGAAAAGTTTTTGTCATCCTTATCGAATAAAAAAGAAGCTCTGCTTTAGCAGACATGACACATCAAGTGTGTGATGCTTCTATCGATCATCCATGTAACGTAAAACGTGCCACTAGCGGGAAGAATGTGTGTTTCCCGGTAATTATGGATTTCCGGACTTTAACAAACTCCACACTTTTTAAAAATAAAACAGATCAGTAAAACTCCTCTTTTCCCATTTTGACCGTTTTGATGTTGTTCCTCCAAATCGGTTTCATTTCAATCATGTTTTTTTTTTCTTTTGAGTGATCGCTCATAAAAGATGATCGAATGCGCCATTTTTCTTCGAGACTACTGGTGCACAGCCGATGAATAATTATAACGATAAAGCGAATGATGGATGCTTTATTGGCATCGATTGACAGTCTAAGATTGATTTCCGGTCGGTCGTCTTCTTCCCGGAGGAACTGGCCGCTTGAAACCACCGGCTCTAGTTCCACCCAACATTTGAATACGATCACTAACGACACTGGAACCGCTGCCGCGGCTATCGACAGATGAACTACTCGATGGACGCGTACTGACAGGTGGAGCCAACTCTTCTAATAAGTATTCCTCTGTGATATCGGTGGGGTCACTCGTTTCAAGCTACATGATCGTTAAGTTTCCCTGATATTCAGATCAAACGGTTCACATTGATCGTACCTTTTTAACGACCTTGAGATCGGCCATGCTTTCAGCGGCTTTGATAATATTGGCTCTGGAAGCCGAATACAGCATTTTCTCTCTAATCTTGGACGACGGAGGACAAGTATACACGAACACTAAATGTCATCTGTCAGTCGACTTTCCACAACAGAAAAAAGGGGAAGCGACGTTTCTCCAGTTGTCTCATCCCTTTTTTGTCGTACCTATAGATTCCTGAGTATTGCCATCACTTTCGTGTTCGCATACATAAAAAGTGAATCGAGGAGCATGGGCAGGAATTGCGTTTTTGATTTCCGATCGAGGGACATGGCTGGCTGTGTCAAGATCAATGGTTTCTTTATCAAAAACCTACCACAACTTCAATGAATGATCCCAGCCCAATCTCAAACGCATAAAAGAGACTGTTATTTACCAACGACACGAAATTATGTTCACGTGCTTCTTTGGATTGATTTAACACGCGTAAAGCTTCCTGAGCCTTTTCCGTCACTGGAAAAGCCACTCCCGGTGCGTATGATTTTCGAGTAGTGGTGCCCTGATAATCCGACACCGCTTTGGCCTACACCATATCGTCTTGTCAATATACTTCCCCTCACGTGGAAAAAATCCGATTCATTCATGCAATACCTCTGCCTGTTTGATCTCTGCCAATTCTCGTTCTCGTTGCGTTAATGGTGCCTCGGCAGCTTTATGTTTTTGGTGCTTTCGATAACCATCCAAGGAGACTTCGGACTAGAAAAATTAATATTGATGCAATCTATTCAGGTTACAAGATCAAGAGCGACAGAGGAGACACTTACTGATAGAGTACCATAGAGCGTATCGGTAAATCGGTAATCGCCCAACTCTTTTGTCAAGGTGTTTCGAGTGGAGGCATAGAGCATTTTATCTCTAACCTTGGCATGATCAGGAACATAGGTCACGAGAAGCCATTCGTATTCTCCTGAGGAGGCTTTCGTATCAAGTCGCATAAGAATGTAAGCAGGTGTGGTGTCTTCGAGGAATGAGGTAATATCATCATAGTCTATTCACAAGGCAAAGTTCATATCCTTTTAGATAATGCAACGTACTTTCACACTTCTTCCTTGATAAAACCATCTACCTTGTTCAAAATTGCCTTTCACGGGAGTTGAGCCATTAGGCGTCAAGGATTCTGTTTCCAAGAGAGAGATGAGCACATGGCGTCATTCGAGTGTCAGCAGCTGACGTTACCATTGATGATGGAGACGCGAAGGATACGGGTATTGCCGTCGGCCACAGCTTCGGCGAAAGTTTTGGCTAGTTCTTCTGATACTTTATTTTCACCGATAAGTTAGCCGGATATTCTCCCTTCTCAAAGTGCTGTAACGCCTACCTTGGATACCGCTCTGATGAGACATGGTGGTTTCGGTAAAGGGGTTGTCGGAAAGGGAAAATGGAAAACGTCCAACGTCTTTGGGCTGAGAATCAAATAACAGCAGAATGAAGCGGCGACAATGTCTCTGTCAGCAGTCACTGTGAAATTTCATGCCACCAGCTGGGCTGATACGCTGCACGCAATCCCAAGGAAGGTGCGGTTATAATGTCATCTTTATCAAAACTACTAGTCACATTGTACAATGGATACGGTTGCTTCATCTCAAGTTTACAAGGGAGAACAAGACCAAGTGAAATCTTTCATGGGAAGTCCCGGAAATAAATAATCGTCTGTACCGTCTACAGCAACGCTCTATCAATCCATCTGCGTCAAGGAAAGGGTAATTCCGTGTTCAATCGTTCTTATAAATGAGTGCACTCATAATCGCCATCGTTACAGTAAGAAGGGATAACATAAAGTTATAAACAAATCTCTTTTTGCTTTCAACTGTGTCTGCAAAGAAACATTTCCAATTCCGACAAAGGAATAGAGCTGGAAGGACTGCTTTGTCCTTCAGAGGGCCGGTTTTTGACAATAAAGTCAAAACTGCATCCGATCCCGATCTCTGGTGGCCATGAAAACCAAAGCTAGAAAATCAAAGCCTACTTATGTCACGAAATTGCGAGCTGAGTCTGCCGATCCTGCTAGCAATGACCAATTAATCGCTGCATTTATAAAAGAAGCCGTTGATGATCGAGCCAAATATAAACAGCCCGGAGGTCCTCCCATTCTTAGAAAATCCAAGGATTTTCATGACAAACATTGGACGGATATGCCATTTAATAAACATGTGTTTTACTATGGTGACCGGAAAAAGAAGCACCGTTCTACCCTTGAAGGTGAGTGAGTTATCTATGGTCGTTTTTGCAATCCCCACCGTCGTTAACGCGATTCATAGAGTCCGATCTGAAGTGTCCTCCATTGGTGAGCATGTTAAATTAAATCAATGAATGAGCGTTACTCACCGGTCGATCGTAGAATATGCTGGAAGCTCTTCACCTTTTAGCTTCAGTTCACTACAGGTTTAAACGTCCCAGTCCTCATATGGAACAGGCATTCGAGCCAGAGGCCCTGTCATGTTTCGGTAAAGGCGCGCTCTCATCTTTGTTGAAAACTTGTCGTAATTTACATTGAGTCAATGCTAGGATTTCTTATGGAGGAATATGCACGACATACAGCAATGCCATTTAGTGAAAAATACAGACTATATAACCAGCAGCGTGGAAACGATCTCCACATCGATGATCCACCGTATGCCGATGATATGGACGCGCACAGTGAAGCAGGTGATTCATTGCCGAGGTCTGATGAAGACAAAGAATTACCTAGCGATGAAGAGCAGGAACAATCGGCATACGAAAACAACGATGAGGAGGCTGATTGGAGCGAATGAAAGTAGCACCTGGTACTCGAAGATCTGGCCAAAACAGCAAGTGATTATAGATACGACGATATCATCAGCAATCGATAACCGATACAACAGATCCATTTACACGATATACCTTTCCGACCTGTCATTTACCCGTTTTCAACCTTTTCAACCATGTATTCGGTTTTACATGGTAGACAAATCGCCATACATCGGTTTTCATAATGCTTCTCTTTGAACATAATCACGTCCCATATTGTTCTCTTCATATATCTCCTTACAACGAGTTTAGTTTGATTTTGTGGGCATGAACTTTTTTTGTTCTGCTTGTTTCTGCTTGACATTGTCAGAAACAATTTGATTTCTCCCATCCGCCATTCTGCCGGGAAATTTGTGACACGCCGGGAGTTTAAAATAAATCCGTATAAAGCTTTCATTCTCTTTTTTACAAGCACAGACTCGGCCAATGAGCTCATTATGGTTTCGTCGGTTTTAGCGCAACGCATCCAAGCGCAAGCATCGGAATACCTCGAGCTATCCCAAACTCTTGTCAGACAACACGAAACCAGAATAGCTTTAGAAAACGCCACCAATGAAATCGCCAATTTGACGCAACGCATACAAGCGAAACAGCTGGAGCTGGAAGTGTTATCAAAGAATTCGTGAGTGAAAAAGGATCAATCAAAAGTATGCGAATTCATGACAGGATCGACTAAGTGCGCGTGTGTTAGAAAAAAGGAATGGGAGGATGTGCGTAAAATGCGACATTTAACGTTGAAATCGGCCGCGGCGATGCTGAAGGGGAAGAAAAGTCAAAAACTTGCCAAAGAAGAAGCCGAGTATCAGCGATCATTTGAACTGGAGCAAAGAGCTAAACTAGAATTGGAAAGTTTGCAAGCCGAATTAGGAGCGACCACTTCGAAGGTAAGAAAAACCATCTACTTGGACTGTTCTCGCCAATGATCTTCGATTGATGGGGTCCATACAACGATAGGAGCACGAGCTTCAACAACAAGTAGATATCCTTGGTATCGCACACAGTGATATGGTTCAACTTCTCAATCAGGTAAATGAATGTTGTGATCCATTTATCTGGAAAGTCAACTTAACGTGTCGTTTAACGTAGCTGTTTGCGGAAGGCGATGAACAGTGCCCCCAAGAAAAATTACTCTCAGCCGAACTAAGAAATTACGTGGAGCAACATGAATTGGTACGTTCATCCGACGAGAGCTTTTTTTTTTTTGGACACTTCTTTACCCTGGTTATGCTAGGCCACACGAGACAAAGAACGTTTCAGCGCCGCCGAACATAATATCACATCAGCCATGCGAGAGAATGCCAAAACTTTGCAATTATTAGCCGCAGCTGCTCAATATGAACCTTTCGACATCTTTGGTGGCCCAATGATGGATGCACAGCAAATTGCGTACGTGCAAGGTAAGTACAATAAAATCTTGCTACACGCGTACAGCCAATTTTCTTAATACCGAAAGGAAATGCTTTACATTAGGTGCTCAAAATCGGAATTTGGAGTGTCAACGACGTATACACATTGCGCGCCAGACCTTGCCGGAAATTCCTGTTCCATTGGATACGTACATTGACTTTAACAATTACGTTGATATCAGAGGTATGGGAAAAAATGTTGTTGTTGGCCGAGCATAGAATTTAATGAGCTATTTTTTGCGATACAGTTCAAGCGCAGTACGCGTTAGGAAAGCTTGCGGTGGCTCAGCGGAATATGGAGAACGCTCAAAAATGGATCAAGCAGTATGGAGCTTATGCGGACGGTGCCATTGTTCGTCTCAAGGCGGCTTTAGAAACAACGCAAGAGTCATTGGAGAAGGAACAACGGCGAATCGTTGATGCTGTGTTAGGTGGCAATTTCCAAGTGGACAACGGCGAAGCCGCTCCCGCTTATGAACAACCTCCTCCTGTGTATGAACCTCCCGCCCCAGAAGAAGGACAAGGATCTGAGCCACCGCAGAATTTGGAACTGCCTGCCACGCCAAACACCTCTGCCACATCACCTACTCCCACGACAACTGAAGCTTCAGCAGCACCATCTGCGACCAGCTCCCCACCGACATACCCGACCCATCCACCTCACGCACCGCCTACCGCCACATCACCGGCCCCGATGCCAGGCTCCTTTTCCCATAATACCAATAATCCATTCCGTAACCAAAGTCAAACTTCCTAAGTAATCACAAATAATCAAAACAGATCCAGTGTTCTAATTGACAAAAACAAAGAGGAAAACAAAAAGATATGCCTACTTTCTTTGCACCGGCTATAATGCGAAAACAGTAATAAAATCAGCCATCGTGCACATGTGTAAGCGAGAGCAACTGCTGGGTATGGTCGACTGAGTTTGGTTCATGATGGAAACTCCGAGAAACAATCTCACCCAACACGCGTTGGTCGCTTCGTACACCCTCTCACCCCAATTGCGCCATCCATTGGTTTACTTTAAACATTTCAGTATATTTTGACAGAACTATACATTACACTAACTCCTACAATTTTGCTCTCTACAATCAACCACTACATAACAAGTACAAACGATTTTTTCTTTTTTTTTAAGACAAAAGGAACGTTCCTTTTCTTGGTGAAACTGTTTTGCACGATACTAGGAAGACCAAATTTATTTGGCAATACCAATGACACCGCAAGCCCAGCGGTCACCAGCGTTACCAGTGGTGAGAGACAATTCGTGACCACCCTTGCCAAGATCATCCACTGCAGCGTGGACGACAACGGTGCGGCCAATAACGGAGTAGGGACCAATCAAGGAGATTTGATTGTCAGTGACCTTCAAAGTAGCCTTGCCGTCAGCGTTGGCGTTGATGTTACCGAGATCACCAACGTGGCGGTTCTCATCCTCGGGAGCACCGTGGGTCTTGCTGAAAGGGTTGAAGTGAGGACCAGCGGAGGTGCAGCCTAAAAAAAAAGATTCGCCGAAAAATATGCTTTCATCAGTCATCTAAACTCCACCAAAAACAGCGAGTCTAAACTCAATCTGGATGACACAAGATATTTGTGAAAAAAAGCGACGTGAAGGATGTGAGGCGTGTGTCAATGCCTCCTTTTTTCTTGAACGAAATAGGGTCTGTCTCACTTATCCCACACGATCAGCTTTTACTGTATCAAACCGTGATGAAATCCTTACCGTTGGTGTTATCACCGAATTCGTGGACGTGGAAGCCGTGGGGGCCTTCGGTCAAACCATTAACTTCAGCTTCGACGAGGGTAGGAGCACCTTCGGATTCTTGGGTGAAGGTAACGACACCAGTGACTTTGGAATCACCGCGGAGAACAGCAACAGCCTTAACCATTTTGAATAATATAAAGAAAGATAAACTGAGGAATAAAAGAAAAGAGCAAACTAAAAAGACGCTGTCCCTGGACCGTCCATTTTATATGGCGCCAAATCCATGAACGTGACATCATATTTTGACGAGTGTTTGTCAGCATCCTCTTGAACCAATCAGCGTCCAATTTTGTCGGCTCAGATATCCGTGCTTCTCGGACCTTTGTCCCCGCCCCAAATATCTTAAGCGCCATTGGGTTCTTCATTCCTTCAGACTCTATATTTTTCGAACAACTCCCTTGCCTTTCAACTCGGGTCAATCATATATTTTATCGCATGCACAGCCATGCGAAGTTTCTTTCTCTAGTTTTATTGTGTTTGTGTGTCGCACCAGTTATTGACAGGTAAACATGATAAATATTTACAATTGGGACAGATCTAATTGTTTCAAAAAGAAAAAGCATTAAATGCGTCCGCATTAGATAACAATCCTTTCCTTTTTTTTATTTCTTTAAAGCAATAACTTACCTCACTGGGATCTCTGGAAGAATAAAATTGTTTGATGGTGACTGTAAACATAACAATGAGCAACACCAGAGCAACGATACGGGCAGCCCATGTCGCCATCTTGAAGGGTTTGGAGCTCATTGGTCTCATGGGAGCAATAAGGATACCCATAAGAATGCCCACAGCGAACCCGCCTAGAACAGAATATTCCGTGAGTGATGATGAAAATTAATAGGGGGGACCGTGCAATAAAAAGTCACGTTTCTCATACCGATGTGAGCAAAATTATCAAGACCAGGCAGCAATCCAAGCACCAACGAAATGATGGTAGATATTAATAAACTCATCAAGTCTCGCCATGGGTGAGGAATCACTTTCCAATTGATAAGCACGTCAATAAGCATATAACCTATCAGCCCAAACAGAGCACCGGAACAACCCATAGATGCTGTAATACAACTTTTGTTAAGACGGACGGTTGACGTAATTTAATCAATTGTAGACACTTACCGCTCTGACGGGGTGAGAACATAGCACTAAGAACAAACCCCCAAATGCCTGCTGCCATATACAGAATAATGTATCGCGGGTAACCGAGGGCTCGTTCGAGGTCCGAACCCAATCGCAAGTGGGTCAACATATTCATAAGAAAATGGAGAATACCGGCATGCAAGAAAATAGGGAGAATAAATCGAAATGACTGATTGGGCACGCCGGTTCCATCAAATCCACCAAACCCGCATAATTCTTCCAAAGAACAGGTATCTTGCAGGTTGCGATAACAATAAGCGTACTGTGTATCAGTGTTCACGTCCGGCAATGGTCGCATGCATGGAACATAACGAGCACCAAGATGAATCAATACCTATGTCGGAAAAGGAGACAATAAACCAATTTCGTCAGTTGCTCTTGTTCGCATAATAATAAAAAATGATTGTTTGGTGAAGCTTTACATTACTGGTGGGACCGATCATAGGGTTCCATACGGGAGTGGTTTGAATGACACTGCCTGTGAGTTGGTGATTTTGGACAAACTCAATAATCAATAATGCCAACATGGCTAAAGCGGTGAGCCAGCTGAACCACGGTCTAGTCACCGGCCCCAGCAACATACGCATAAAGAAATTTCGTTGATGGCCGTAAGGCTGGGGCGCTTGTGGTGGTGGATATAGATAAGGGTTGTATGTGCCAGGCGGAGGAGGAGGATAAGTTCCAGGCGGAGCTGGAGCAAAGTTGGCGTGAGAAGAAGGTGGTGGATACCCTTGTGGAGGATAGCCGTAACCCGTAGGTGGTGGTGTAGATCCCAATCGTGCAAATCCGTCAGGTCGTGGCGACGATCCATAACCGTTGGATGGACCCATGAGATGGTCCGTGGTACTGGCACCTCTATTATGCAGTTCATGATCGCCCAATCGGGCTCCGTATTCCGTTGTATGATCGTTGAGTTTTTCAGCCGCAGCTCCAACCGGCATGGAAAAGCTGCCATGATCAGGAACAGCAGGAGGAGCTCCTGGTGTGGATGGTATCGGTGTCGGCATTTCCCTGCCACCGTAGCGGGGTGAAGAAGGCATACGATCAGGCATGGAGGCGTTGGTGGTGAGATTGTCCGTACTGTGAAATGGTATATTGGACGAATCCGGTCTATCAGGTGCTGTGAATCCGGTAGAATAACCGGTCGAATGATTCATGGCAAAAAGAAAAGAGCGAATGAAGAAAAGGTGAAAAAGAAAACCTTTTGATTTCTTGTATCGCTTTTGCGGAACCGCACCGTTTAAGATGCCGACAGGGACAAACAGAAATAGAAACGATAATCGTGACGCTCTTTCTTTTTCCTGCGCTTCTTTTTTAAGATTATTGGGCGTGCCAAGACATGCTTTGATTCGCGTGCTCAATGGGCTGAAATCATGATATCTATTCTGCAAATATATAATCCACATACTTTTCTATCAACACACCCCATTACTGCGGAATAGGTACCATTATATCACCTATTATAGTAATTTCTATCGCTGCAATCAATTTTAACTGTTTCCAGGCCGCTGGTTTCGGCGAGGATGGCAACGTCACTGGCATACGGGTCGATGGAGTGACTGTTGGGTGGTTCTTTTATCGCTAGTTCTTCATCAGCATTGTGATTGTATCGTTCAGAAGACATATTGTGACTGCACGAAGCGGTTGTTTTACGCGAACCACGGTTGGTGGACTCTTCTGCTGCGGAAGTAGATAAATGCGAAGTCATGTATTGAATAATTCGTTTCGGAGGCGGCCAAGTGAACATCAAGCACAAAATGAATCGGAACACGTAGTCAAAAGCGAGCATGATACGGAAGAAGCTCCATGTGTTGGAGATAATGAACCACAGATACAATGCCCCGTAAAGTGTGAACCAAATACCCTGAATTACCATAAACCAGAGCTACAGTTGTACAAAAACATGAGTGATCATAGTAATAAAAATACTTTTGCATCTGCACGCTTCTTTGTCTGCTTTCAACTGATGATGCAGCTGTAATTTTTTTTCCTTATGGAAATTAACAGATCGTCAATGAAAAGAAAGGACTTGTTTACTTACACCCAGCGCAGTCGTTTTGGAGTGATAATCCTCGGTGCGATTTTTTCCCAGACGGATCAATGGTAAAAAGGTGTAATTAAAAATGGCTCCGTCGCTTACAATAGCGAAAAATACACCGGTGATAAAGGCTGATTTGACCGGGAAATCTTCGTTGCGAGCAAACATGAATCCAATTTCCAGCAAAAGTGATGTGCTGGCCAACAATAACCCCGCAAGCGCTAATCGAACGAGCCAATGCCGCCAACATGCTTCCGAGTATCGAATCCGGTGAGCGAGATCTAATAGCATCCAAAAATGCATAAGGAACATCAGAAGAGTACTGACGAGATAAGTGAGCGAATTCCATCTGTCGGCCAAGATGCCCTCTTGGGTTAACGTGTTGACGACGCATGCGGGTAAAGTAGATAAACTAAAGCAAGCAATGAAGGTCCGTAATTTCTTGGGATAACGAATGACTGGATAGGCGATAAGAACGGTTGATAACAAACAAAAGATGTCGCAAGTAAGGAAAATGATCGTAGCAGGCTGCATCTTATGACTGATCCAGATTGCCCTTGAAAGGCAAATCCAGAGATTAAAAGAATGTAAAAAAAAAAAAATACAAACAAATAAGATCTAAAGGAATGCTTAATGAAGGAAGAAAGGTGAAAGCTGTATAGCAAACATAACAGTAAAAAGGATGTTCTTTTTTTTTTCCAAAAAGCACAAAGATAGACTAAAATAGAGATCGAAACGATGATTTAAAATTGAAACGATATTCTGTACACCGTAAATCACTTTTGCTTTCCATAGTAAAAAAAAAAAAAGGCCACCCATCTTCCCGTCCAAGACTCCGATCGGTGCCACATAACCAGGGAACCAGCGGTCCCAAATTTTTTATTTGGGCGACACACACCACCGTTGCCAAACAACCGTGTCAAGCAGTGTCCCCATTTCAAATCGTCGTTTGTGGGACATTCACTTCTTGTCACTTTAGCGAATTTTCTTGCCGGCTTTTAAAAACAACCTTGTCACTTTCCAATAAGCTCGCTGTCGCATTTGAATAAATCACTTGACGTTTTTTTATGGTCTTGTCGTACTAACATCAATTGCAAACGATTGTGTATCTAATGGCATTGCAGAGTTTTGCATTTGAAAATACGCCTTCCTCAAGGAGCAAATACATTATTGCTTACTTATTTCCTTTTGGTCAAACTGATTTTCTCGGAGCTCGTTTCGCATTGCCACTTGCCCACGGAGTAGTAGGATAAAGCTTTGTTCATGCTTATTTTGATCACGGTTTTCAAAGATCATTGAAAAAATTAGAACTCGCAATAAAATAGCAGAAACATTATGATTTTTATTTTTTTTATTCTGAACGGTTCATACAAGCTTTCCGACCGCTGAAATTTGTCAAGATTTGATCGTCTTTCAGTAGTTGATGTCGCGTGAATACGTCCGACTTGTGCCCAAGATCGACAACAATCTCGACGACGGTTTTGTTCATACGAAAGAAATGTCGTAGATGGTCGGTGCTGGTACAGAATCCGGCAAAGTCGATCGTGACCAGTCTTACGTTCCGGATAGAATCATTGATGGCTGCAAACATGTCTTGTGTGTTTCCTGAGCAGCTTGGAAGGGACAAAAGCCATTTTCATCTGAATGGTCCCGTGATTGCAGATCCGATGATGATGTAGTGTTGTATGAACCATAGGCCCTTTCACAATAGCTTACGTGTCAATTTGGGTTGCTTGCAATTCCATGGATTTGATTTTCGCATGGGACGTATCTTGAGTGTTGCTGCGTCTGATATATCCCATGTTGAAGACGGTGTTGCTCGTCAATCTCACATGTCGTCGAAATTGACGCAAGTTGTGCAGATCATCCCACTGGTGATCGCGGTACTCTTCTTGTACCCAAGTGGTACACCCGGCCCTGACTTTGTCTCGTGTCATTCTTCTGCGTTTGGTGCCGCCCCAGGATCCGTCTTTGGTCATCCATTCGGCTAGCTGATTCTTATTGACTGTACCATATGGTAAATAGGCAGCGACGATTTGCAATACTTGCTCTTCGTCCAGCAAAAGCTGTTGGCTTATGCCTTCCACTGGATCAGTAAGAAGGATTTCTTTGATCAGGTCCATAATCGATGTACGGGTGGGTTGACAGATTCCGGAACAATAATCGAAGATAACGTTGCGGATGCTGCCAAGTGGATTGAGATCAGGATAATGGGGCTCCAAGGGATCGCCAGGCCGTGACCGACCTTGAACTCATCTGACTAAACAACTCACTTACAGTCATCGATAGTCCAATATCGCAAATTCCAGTCTTGTCTTCTTGCGCCTGCGCGATCAAGATGGTGGATCGTCATAATAGAAGACAGCAAGGGTGTTCACTTGATTTCAACGCACTTTGGATCTTTTTAGGAGCTTTTGAAAGGCAGCCATATAGCAGATCTCCTTGAGGCAATCAAAGGGCAGCAATATGGGATAGGATCATTTCTCCAGGAGGAATTTGAGGTGCTTCTTCGCCTTGATACGGGAATTCGAAGCTTAATCCCTTCGTCAGCATAAGGGCCGATGAATAGCGGCAGTCAATACCGAGAATCAAGACAGTACTTGTGCACCTCCACTACGGTCTTGAGTTTCCCGTGAGGGCTTTTTACGAACACAGGTGACGGTCTTGGAGAAAAGTGATGAGTGCGTAGCATCACCACTCGTGCGATCGAGGAGCAGCTGTTTCGCATCACTTCGAAACGGCCACTAACGGATACGAGTGCAAGGCAGCAGCAGTTTTCTTCAAGTTTTGCCATTCAAAAAGATGTGCTTTGACGCCAATAAGCTTATCTTTTGGTCAGTTTTGGATGCATGTTGTGGCCGTGATTGGAGAAAGATAGAAGTTCTTTCTTTTTTCTTTGTTTCTCTTGCCATATCTGTATATCATGCTTTATCCGTTTTTGGAATTCGTTGAAAAACATCCAAGGCAGTATCTCTGATGCATGCAAATCTCTCATCCGGATTTGTTTAAATCTAGCTAGCATTTTGAAAAGCATATCATATATTGTTGAAACAGGATTTCCTTGTAAATTATACAATGATAGAAATCCACAAGACCGTAAAAGAAACTAGTTTATTCAAATGCGACAAGTTTATTGAAAAGTAACCTATGGTTCGTAAAAACCGATACGGAAACTCGCTAAACTAACAAGTGCCACAAGCAGCAAGCTGAAATGGAAAACACTGCAACTGCGTCTTCTTTCGGCATCCCATCTTGATCGCACAAGTCATTGTGCAACCGTCAATGAAAAAAGGGAGCAAAATGAAATGAAATGAAAAAATGCCCCCAATCTTTTCCGTGACTCGTCGGATCAGCACAGAACACCACAATATTCCGCTCATCATCGTTCAATTCCCGAACAAAATGACGAACAATATAATTACCTAGGACATGGGGAAGGAATAACCTGCAAAGGATACACTGTTGTGTTCGGCACATAGAAAGAGCCTGAGCGATACGCAGGATTTATTGGATGACCATGAAGGATCCAAGGAAAGATGGATATGGAAAAGCCGGAACCCGGTCAAAGACGAAAAGATTAATTAAATTGGCAAGTGCTTTTATTGGGGCAGTTCAATGGGAGGACAAAATAAAATAAAAAATGGGTAGCTGGTAAACTTTCAACAACTCAACAAACCTACCTAAGTTGATTTGCGTATAAAACGGGATTGATTATTACCTCAGCAAAGCATACGGAAATACCAGTGGCCAGTATGACTCGTGAGCATAACAAGCGCAAGCTGACAGTACGTACGTACGTACTTTGCACTTTTAATGACATTATGTAAGAAGCTTGAGATCGCCTAGAGTAAAATACTTAATCCATCAAAAATCGCCAAAAAGGATGTGCTCCGTTTTTCTGACGTTGTGTGAATGTGGTGGAACATTTGATCTGCGGCTGAGAAAAGACTGTTCGAAAAAAAAAAAAAAAATAAGTCAGCCATCACTGAATTTCAGACAGCATCAGGTAGATGTCTGCATGGTTTTCAAAAACGTGAGCGATAGTATAACATCCTATGAACTGCGAGTATACCAACATCGCAAAGAATATGGTCTTACAGACTTGTGAAATAATCCATCTACGGAACTGTTTTCATGGTGTCTTTGGAACGTTACAAATCATAAAAAAGGTGAGCATCTCGTACAAGCCCTAGATCGTGCCAATAGCGGATGGAGACAACAGAAAGTGGCAAATGCATGCTAAAGTGTCCAAATAGTCTATTTGAATGACAACGCCTAACAACTATCGCTGTCTCAAGACACGGAATGATATTCAAACGGACAGATGACCCTTACGCGTCAAAAGTCGACAACAACAATTTGGAAAGAGGCATTCAATTTTTTTTACCGCCATTGCAAGGTAGATACACTTCTTGACTGCATCATAAAGATGGTATCAAAAAATTTCGAGAGTTTATAAAGTAGAAAGAAGTCTCGCATGCGCGTTATGGACTTGCACTTGTTGACGTGACGCAGAAAACAACGTTTTTTTCACAGAGTCAAATTTTTGGTTGCGCAGAAAAAAGAGCATGTTGCTGCTTTCCACTGCCAGGTCATTGTCCGTTACTTGTCGCTCAGCAACACCACGTCGACCTACGCGATTGTTTCCATTCACAACTACAACCGCTCACTCTTCATTCAAAGCTCATCGTTATTCTTCGTTTACAACCACTGTGAGACCAATGCATTGCCTGGACGACTCTTCAGTGGAATCCTTCATGGTCCCTGGCGCCAAAGTATTTGACCGTTACTTTGAATGCCCTCTCGGTACTATACGGAAACCTTTCTGCAAAGCGGCCAATGATTAAACCTTTATGAATTAGATTACAATCAGCCCTCGAGCGACAAAATTCAAGTGTTTGCTCGTCATTTGGTTCCTGTGGACAAGGTCGATCAAATGCACACTTTACCGTTTTTCCTCTATTTGCAGGTACAGCGGTCCAAGTGGATGTCTCAAAGAACCTGCCGTTCATAAACCACTTTTCTTGCTAGGGTGGACCAGGTTTCGAAGTCGGTTTACCTCGCAGTGCCACTTCGGGTTGGTTGAAAGTTGCATTCGACAAAGGTTATCAAGTGCTGTTGCTTGATCAAAGAGGCACAGGATTGTCTTCGCAGATATCGGCGGAATCACTCGAGCAGTTCGACAGCGATGAAGCCAAAGCACAGTATCTGACGCATTTCCGGGCTGACAATATCGTGCGCGATTGCGAGACGATCCGCCAAAAACTGACAGAGGACAGAGCGAACAAGGCGGAAGAACGACTTACTTTGCTTGGTCAAAGTTTTGGAGGATTTTGTATTGTCACCTATTTATCATTATTGTATGTATGTTACTTGGGTGACCAATGCTGTGGGCCATATTAACTGGTTCGTCATGGTAGCCCACAATCTATCAAGCAGGCCTTCATTACGGGAGGAGTACCACCCATGGTTGATTCCCCGGATCCGGTTTATCGCGCCTTGTATCCTCGCATTCTGAAAAAGAATAAGCTTTATTACACCAAGTTCCCTCAAGACGTAGCACGCGTGCGCAAAATATACGAGCATTTGTGGGATCAAAAGGTTCAATTACCCAATGGCGGCACCTTGTCACCTCGTCGGTTCTTGCAGCTGGGTATTCTCTTTGGCGGTGCCGAAGGTTATGATACATTGCATGAAATTGTGGTCCTGGCTGCCAATGACCTTGATCGTATGCAACGCTTGACTTACCGCACATTGGACCGTATTCAATCCCTTCAAAGCTGGGACTCCAACGTGTTATACGCGATCATTCACGAGGCAATCTATTGTCAGTCTAACACTAGCCGTTGGTCGGCCGAGCGCATTTTATCCGAAGAGCCCTTCAAAGCAGCTTTTGAATGGCGCATTAGCGAGCTTAATCCAAGCCAGCCCATCCATTTCACAGGGGAAACGATCTATCCCTTCATGTTTGACGATTACGCCGAGCTGCGCCCGTTGAAGAATGTAGCGAATCTATTGGCGGAAACGAACTGGGGTTCGTTGTATGATCGAGATGTCCTGAGTCGTAATGAAGTTCCTGTTGCCGGTGTCAGCTACTTTGATGATATGTATGTGGATCGACAGTTCTCCGAAGATACAGCTGCCGATATCCGCGGATTCAAACAATGGATTACCAATGAATATGCTCACAAGTAAGTGCCATGCTAGAATGACCTCTCATGGTTCATAGTACGGATCCTGATAATTGTATCTTGTTTTTTTTTTTTTTTTTTCTCTCGAAATAGTGGTCTTCGTATGGATGGCGAAAAAATATTGGACTATCTGATGCAATTAGCGCGTGGTGATGTCGCTTATAATCGCTAAGCATATCAACAGTGACGTCAAATTTCGGTCTGAATCGATCGCTGCATCGAATGATCTATCTTTGCAACAAATAAATATCACAAAGAGGACAGCCTAAAATAATCGAATAACGACAACGCTTTCATGGATACCACTAGTGGCTGGTCCCGCCTAGTGATGAATCACTGTTATTGAGTGGAACACCCCCGGGGGTAATTCATTGTCTTCAATATTGTAGCAAGTTATTTAATCGAAGTCCACCAATGCAGTGGAGGCTGCCCTTGTATCACGCTGTCGCTGTTACAGTATACAGCTCAACTTTAGTAAAGCTGGCATGAAAAAGTTCTCATGGATGTCTCTCTCTTGAGTTCATTCGTTAACCGCTCGTTTTCCGCGAAATGTTCTGGACACAATTACATGCGATAGTCTACTTACTAACTATCATCGTTCGGGTCCTTTTTTTTTGACCTAAATGAATCGTGGTAGGCTTCATATGGCGAAGTCGATTGATGGGTGATATCATCACGGACTCTATGGTTAAAGGAAAATTGATTGGACACTGTGTATGCGGTGACTATACGTCTTTAACTTGATTGTTAGGTTGGGATGTCACAGAGAACACGTCAGGGATAGTATAATTGTCAGTGGTTGACCCCTTAAACACTGCAGTTGTCATTTACTGAAATAAAATTTTCAAAGCTAGTCAGCAATATCCGATAACTGATGAGTATTGCTCTCAATGAAAAGCGAAAAGCAAATGAACAATTGAAACCGCGTTTTAGGGCGGAAATCTGAACTCCATTGTCGACACAATTAACCGAGATCTTTTACAGATATGATATGCTTTAGACAGTGGATGAATTTTAGGACAGGGTTTTACGCATCGGAAAATGGCACTGAGGAGCCAGAAAAACGGTTTATATGGCAAAGCAAGCTAATGCAGAAAGGATACTAGACTCGTCATAGATGTTTTAAGTGCTTCTACGTGGGAATTTCTGTGGTTGTGGTAAGCCAATGATCAAGCAGCTAAATGATAAGCCCGCCACGGAGATACATGATATAAGGCAGAGGCTATAGCAGCGGTAGAAAAAATAAGGATAAAAGCATTATATGTGCATGTAGATGGAGATGTAACTATATCACCTGCAGATGGAAATGGACAGGAATATAGGGCAATAGTAGCTATCAGGAGAAAAGGTCAAGGTAAAATCCTTAAATGTTGAGAACATGTGAAGAGTTTTGGATTCAACAAAAGCGGCCATTGAACCGAGAAGAAATAAGGGAAGCTTTTTTTTTTCTGTCTTGGCTGCCAACTGTGCTCAAGCCAACGCTTGGTTTTCTTGTTTAGTATCCCTTTGCTCGAGTATTGACTGCATGCTGCAAGCGCTTAAAACTGCCTAGCTCAAGTTTATCTTTGTATATAACACACCATCGACTTACCACTTGCACACTGCATCTTCACTTCATGGCTGGTAACTATTTCCTTTTCGAAAAAATTAAGCTGCAGTTTTTTGTTATGCTTCGTTTTTTACCCAAGTATCAAGTACTAAGCAATTATTATACTCGCGTTCTTTACAGATCTCGGTCTTCAGCATCTGGAAGATGATGCATCTTATAGTGAAAAGCAACAGGATGAAGTTCACTCACTGCCATTGACTCCCGAACAACACCATACTGCAGTCACCGAACGTTCTTCATCCGAAACCCTGGAGCCATCGAACGATACCCCTGATCATCCGTCGGTCAACGACAGTACTTCAGCAACGGTCACATCACAACAAGACGAAGTGCCGATCGAACGGGAACAGCCTCAACAACACATCGCCCAAACCGTACACGGGCCACGAACAGAAGTAGATGACAATGACCAGGAGGAGCCTACCTTCAAGATGGAACCCTCGTCCATGGAAATTATATCTTCAGTTACAGTGGAAGAAGGTAACAAAAAAAGAGAGAAATGGTTTTGCTGAGAAAACCCCTTAGGACAATAGAGGCAAAGAATCTATGGGGTTTGATCGTTGTGAGGCAAGCAGATGACTTACAGAGCGATTGGTTAGACCACGATCAGGATAACGACAGAAACGATGGCGATGAATTGCAGGATGCACATATCGAGGATGAGCCAATGGATCTCGTGGAACATGTGTACAATTATACGGTCGATGATGTGCTTGTTCGAAGGTACTGTTTGTGATTCTGCAAAAGGGATAGTTTCTCTTGTGAATAGTGCGCTTATACGCTTGCTGATCATCAGAGTGATGATCATCAAAGAAATACCGACGATTCTCTCCATGATTGATGTTCATGAAGCAGTGGACCGCGTGTTACCAGTTTTACGAGAAATCATTATTGATCCAGAGGATGCGGCGCGTGAAGCGCTTCTAAGCATATGTAATGATGTGATCATGTACTTTTACAAGGTAAGATCTCTTTCACTGAAGCTATCTAGGTGACACAGATGACTTATGCTTGCGATTATTGGATATCAAAAGAACGCGCCGCCTCTGTTTGAAAACGAAAAAACGGCGAGTGGAGACTCCGCCTCTCCAGATACTACTACCAATGAGGCTACACCAACTGCATTGACAAGCCCCAGCGGCATCGTCGACTTGGCTCCGCCTTCTTCCGACAAGCTCAGATCGAATCCTCACATCCCCAAAAATACGTTCACGCCTTTGTTTATGGAACTGTTACTGGATCAGCGATCCGTGCTGATCTCTTCCAGTCGTGACTGTGTCGTCAATATTGTGAAACAGCTGGCAGCATTGGAAGGAGACCAATATCAAAAAATCATCGATTGTGACATATTGCAGGGGGTGGTTGTGGAACTGATGACGGTGGCGGATGGACAACATGCAGTCGAAGATCAAGAGACAGCACAGACCACTTATGGAGATCGCTGGGTCATAACGTCAGACACTTACCGTCGATCGTCCTTGATTGGTTATGAAGAAGATGATTTCAGTCAAAACAAGTGGGACTGGGCCAAACTCACTTGCTTGCATGTAAGCCATTGTCTTGCCCCCCCACCCCCTCCCCGGGCGGGAATCACGAAAAATTGTGTTGACCAAAACAAAATCATTCCTTTTCTGGATTAGTTGATTACCGCATTGGCTGATACCCTGGGGTCCGAGCGTTGTGCCAAAAAGTGCTTGCCCATAGTAGAACGACTGGCCAAGGATCCCTTGTACAGTGTACGAAAGGAATCGGTCCATGCTGTACATAATCTTGCGACCGCTCTGACATCGGACGTAGTTCTGGATCGCTTGGTAAAGTATCCACGCACAATGCGTCACAGCCCCCCCCCCCCAAAAAAAGATACCTCCAGCATTCTAACTCAGACATCCTGTGCCTCTCCAGCTTCCCGTTTACCAATCCCTTTCTCATGATACCATCTGGCATGTACGCCAAGCGTGTGTGCAACATTTACCCGGAATCTGCGATGTCTTATCTGATGATCGCAAAGAATATCTTGCAGCTGAAGCGGTCCACGTCTTCGAACACGACGTTTCACGAAATGTACGCAATACACTAGCCGAGATTATCGGCCAATTGATTGCCAAATTTTTACCCAAAGACTGGGAAGTGACAGGGGCATCCGGCAAGGTAAATGGAAAATAAGAGCAAGGAAGAAAGAAACGGTCCAATGTATTCATGTCGTTCCCCATCTAGGTTCCCGAGCACCTGTTGCAATTTTTTCTTTCTCTGGGTTCGACGACCAGCGTCAATCAAATGTTCAAATTGGATATGGATCGCGCTATCACTTGCGCTTACAATTTCCCTGCGGTGGTGCTGACGGCTGGGCGGGACTATTGGGACTCGCACCTGCGGGATATGTATCTCAGTTTAAGTAAGGATTATCAGATCAAAGTACGGTGCACCTTTGCCAATTCGTTGCATGTGATTGCTCGTCTCATCGGTCCCAAACGTGCCGAACGTGACTTGATTCAAATCTTTGCATTGTACTTGATGGATCTTGATGCTGTAAAGCAAGGTGTCCTTGAGCATATGGCCGAGTTTTTGGGTACCCTGGCTCCCAATTCTCGAAACGAATACATTCCTATTTTAGCCGAAGTGTGGGATGGCGTCATGACGAACTGGCGTCTACGGGATATGCTGGCGAGTCAACTCCAAGCGATGGCCTTGCTATTTGACAGTCAACACGTGGTCGAACATATTCTTCCTTTGGCGATCCGTGCATGTCAAGATGAATTTGCAACTGTACGATCCACAGGTGTCAAAGCAGTAAGTGACTCTCGATGCACTTGGTTTCCGAAAATGGATACAGGTGACTCACGTCTGTTTTGTAGTTTCCCGTCATCCTGCATATTGTGAAACAGAGTGCTGACGAAGATGGATTGTCAGGGACCATGAGCGATTTGGAAAGTGACGGTTACAGCAGCGAGCACGAGAACCGTAACAATGATGCACTAGCCCTTTTAAGCATTGTCATGGAAAGTTTAGACGAGTTCGCACGTGGCACATCTTATCGCTCCAAACTAGTGTAAGTGGCCACCCGAATATGTTTTTTTTTCCTTTATACCCCGCGGTGGGCATGTGCAGCATCATTGAACGTTGGGAAATGTTAGATTTGCTCACATATGCGAAGCACTTTTGAACTCTCAAATATCTGCAAGAGATGTGGGCACTTTCTTCCTACCGCGATTGGATATTTTGGCAAAAGACCCTGTGGTAAATGTCCGAATTGCTGTGGCGCGCGCTTTTCATATCATATATATCAACCGTGAGTCGTTGCATAGTTTGTCTGTGACGTACAGCTGTTTATTTAGTTTTTGATTGTATAGAAACCCTGCGGGAGGAGTTGAATGAGCTTCAGGCTAACGGTGTGAGCCAGGGGTCGGTATCGGAAAATATGGATCGCATGCTGTACCAGTTTGCGCTTGATGAAGATCAAGACGTTCGATTCTTTGTCATGGATCTGGTAGATCCCGCTGAATTGGATAAGCGATCTCGGCATAAAATGGCGGCGGCAGAGGCTAATACTCAACGAACGGATTCGCCCATGCAGGAAGATACCGAACAAGTTTTCGCTTCCTCGCCCTCCACGACGCTTTCAAACGATACCTTATCCATGGAGGAAGATGATCCGGATGCCAAAGCCAAGTCGGCCGCCTTCAAATTGAATGAGTCACCTCCAGTGGAGTATCCCACTGCTGGCGAAGGAACAGACTCATTGCCAATGTCTGTCGATGAAGACGAATTAATGGTCGATGCACCTCTGGAGTCCAAAATAGACTTTGTGTCAGGTGGTTACCTCCATGACAGGTCGTTACAAAAAAACAATGACAAGGAAGACTACGTGTATCTGTCAAATAATCCCTCGCAAGACGTCGTTTTCGCCTCCAGCTCCTAGCACTTCCTACTCTCCTCTTGCTTGCTGCGCGACCAGTTCTATGAATATTTCCATGCCATGGTGACCACTAATCATAATCGTAATACCCGTTTCCTTTCCTAGATATCGTAGATGTCGTATTCATTGATCTCTTTCCCCTCCCCTGTATGATCATGTTACTTCTTTACCAAAAGCGGTCAACCCGTTATCCGAAATTCAAAACAAACCGCCTTCATACTCTTTTTGCTTTTAACAACAATAATCATCTTTTCCGTCTCACGTTAATGTATAAAACCACAAATAAACGATCATTTACACTGTGCACCTTTACCTTCTTTTTCCATTGAATCCGAAAAATGACCATCTCTTCTGGGACCCCTACCACTTCATGCTACTTACTGTAATTAACCGCCAGCATCATCAAAGACATTCAAGTACACATAGTATGTATGAAAAAAGCCTCTATTCTTTTTCTTTATTTGAATCAATTCATTTCTACATCATGACTAAGAGCTTCTTTGAGAGGAGCATCTTCAGACATTTGAGTTTCGTTGATTTTAAATTGTGGATGTGGTGCATTAGGAGAAAAGCAGTAAATGGAGTATGAAGGAGGAAAAAAAGAGATCAAGTCCATTCGTTCGTTTACAGGCGATCGCGGCTGTAACTATAGAAGAAAAAAATATAGGTTTTAGATGATTTTGATGCGGCGACAAAAAAAAATTTTATGAACTTGAGGACTTACGTCTTGTCGAACTTTTGGTTGACGGTCATGAACTTGAGTTGAGTGTCCTGGTCAATGTTTCTCCAGCTAATAGATACATACAAAAGTAAGAATCATGTAATACACAATGGATGAAATGTCAATAAAAAAACACTTACGGGTAGGGGTTGTTGGTACGATCCCAAACAACTTCAGGGCCGCTGGTAACAAAAATGAAAATTAATTTAAAACCGGATCGTTGGAAAACATTCTATAGAATATTTACCGTGCCAAACGAGTCAGGTACCAGCCAGACAAGCCAACGGCAAAGCCGACGGTGACATAGATGGGGATAATCTCAGGCTTGTACCAGATGTTCCAGAGAGTCTTCTTAGCAGCGTGCGAGGCAGACATGGTCAAGATAAATAAAAAAGAAGTCGAGGTGGAAAAGACAAGTGTTTATTTGGAGTCAGCACCTGGTCCCTGGGCTTTTATAATAAGTTTACATGGCGGAGCTATGGTAATCTGTCTTTGAAAAATAGCAAAATAAATGGAATTTTTGATTGGACACAACGGTGGTTGAATCCTTTGACCAATCAATGATGCAGGGATTTCTTTCACGATTTAAGCTTATTGGTAGTTGGTGTTTTTAGCTTGGCTCGCAGCTCCTCGTTTTCTTGCCGTAACTGCTCGACCAACGTCATCGTTTGATCCCGCAGTAGCTTCTCTTGTTGCCATTTATCAACGGCCTTGGCTTTGTCTTCTTTCAATTCGTAGATATACTGAATTGTCCGCATCAAAATCCCACTTTTATTCTTTTCGCAACCCGGCACCAACTGTGCCAATTCATTGATTCCCTTGTTGATCAATTCTCGGCGACGTCGCTCCACTTGCTTATGGTTTTCTCGTCGGATTCGGTACCATTCCGCCGATCCCATTGTCGGTTTTACACTTGGCATGGTGACAGCGACGTGACGTGGTTGGCTCATAGTTACCTAACCAAGACAACATGAAAAAGATGGCGGCCGTTTGTTGTTACAGCGACTAGTAATGATGGACTAAGTGGATTCATGTATTTAATACCTCCACAACTTTTTCTGGATTTGATGATCGGATTGATAAAAAGGTGTTACGATGTAGAAACTTATGATTGGACAATCCGATAGGGGTCAATGGGCTGAATAATGCGCTCTGAAACCTGATTCTCGAATGAAAAACGATTCTGCCCCGCAGTTCGTTCAATCTTTTCTGCCGGCGATGCAATCGATTAGGATTATCATTTTAGCGTTCTCCTAAATTATTCTGACGTACGAATAAATATAGAAATGGCCAATCGAAATGTGAGCCAAAAAAAAAAAAAAAAATTAACCAACGGAAGAAGCCAGAAAAAAAAAGGTAAACGAATCCTAAAAATTTAACACACAAAAAAAGGGGCAGGATCAAAAGCTCAAGCTTTTGGTGGCAGCAAGAGATGGCCTATTTATATGTGCATGGACAAAAAAAAGAAACTGTGGTTCGAAAATTACAATGGAACATGTGATCGCGAATGCATTCAGTACGGTATCGAGGTCACGAGAGCAGACATATGACTCGTATAGATTGATATAGCATGCACAATTATTACGTTTCTGAAGAGACACAAAGAGGGACAAAAGGCCATCTGTTTAAATATGAAGACAAAATAATAATACTAGTAAAGCGTATGTGCATAAAGAAAAAGGTTATAAGCGAATAAGAAAGAAAATGACGAGACAAAATGGTATCATAGGTTGTGGGGCGATAGTTTAATGGTTGCGATGGTAGACTTTCACAATACCGTCGGCGCCACCGCTCACCATCCATGGCAAACAACGGTGATACTGTACGTCCAGTACACCTTCGTCTCCTTTCTTACGGTGCGCATTAAACTCTTGTACACATGATTTGGACATGGTTAGATCCCACAACCGTATCGATTGATCATGACCTATGGAACCAAATCCATCAGCAATGAACGATAGTAGAAACGATGAACTACGTACCGCCTGACACCAGTTGCATGCCGCTTGAATCGATATCTAAACTTGTTACCGCGTCAAGGTGTGCTGTCATTGTGAAAGAACATTCGCCTAATACATAGCATATTGTTTTGTAAGTTATTGTTGGATTCCGACCAAATGCATTGGCGAATACCTGATTTGATATCGAAAATTTTAATTTGCTTATCTTCGTGTCCTGACACGACCCAATTCATCGTGGGATGAGCAATAACACGATTGATCTGCGTTTTAATGGTACCATCTATCATGCCCAAAAAAATTCTTGTTCAGTGCATTGTGAAAGCCAGCAACCCACGGATCTGACATACCATACATTTCGTCACTCTGGTTCAACGTCAGAATGACTTTTCCTGTTTCGATATCAATAAGGTGGATCTTGGCATTGGAATAACTGACGACCATTTTTGTCAAATCCGTATGGCAGAAATCAATGGAAGTCGGTGAAGGCTTCCCATCTCGAGGCACGTGAATATTATAACCATGTTAATTCCTTTTGTTTCGCCACATCAAGTATTGTATTTTTCATCGTTACCTTGACTCACAGAACCAGTATCGCCCGTCATGATCCCATCATAATTTATAGAACTTTTCAATAGATGACCGCTTTCTTTGGTATCCCATATTTTCGCTGTACCATCCGCCGAAGCAGAAACAAGGAGGGAGGTATTTGTGCGATCGACGGGGAATAATTTGATGTCCCAAATAGCATCCGTGTGACCCACAAATGTAGCAATGTTCATTGAAGGGTCTAGTTTTAAAAACATCATGAGTTGGACTATATCATAGTGTGAAAGGTTATTATCGCACTTGCCTACAGACGGGAAAAGACCGTGACCCGCAGGAGGCAGACGCCACGCCCGAATCGTTGAATCTAAGCTTGCTGAATAGAGTCGGTTCTGCTCTGCAGAAATAGCAATCGAAGTGATCACATGGCTGTGGCCACGGTATGTGATCATGGTTTCAGCTTCTTCAACAGCTCCCCTACAGAGACCCCCATGTGCATTAGATTTCACACATGGACCATTCTCTCCTCTATTCCTAGTGCTCTTACTTTTTCAGACTATCGTTGTCTCTGCCCATACATTGCTGCAAATTATGAACGCGGACAGTACCGTCATCGGATCCCGAAGCCAGAATCATATTTTGTGGATGGAAACACACCGCACGCACAGAATCGAGGTGTCTGGAATAATTTGAATTTAGCCTGTCGCATGGAAATAACTGAAATGGGATGGTGCATTTTTTTTACCCTTTGATGGTCATTTTGGTTTTCCAGAATTTTGTTTGAGGTTGAGTAGTGTCCAGCTTTTATACCGAATGCTGAGGTGAGTAAGTGGGTAAACCCCAGAACGTTTCTTTTTTTTATGCCGCTTACCGAGCTAGGGTCAATGTCTTCAAATGACAGCACTTCCTGGGCCTTGGAAGAAGTAGAGCCGTTCGCTGGACATGAATAACCATCAACAATTAGGCCAGTAACCCATATCCAATGTCTCCATAGACTTACACATGGTGGATTTATTTACACTCTCGAGCATCTTTCGCGCTTTGTCTTCCGAAAGGTTATATTTCTCTTGAATATGCCTGGCCTGCAGTAATCATCCATGCGTAAGGATAATCAATTACGATTGCTCTCCAATATCGTATGGTGTAGGACCTTTTTTTTTTTTTTGCTAACTTACCAGCTCTTCGGGTGAAAAATTATCGACTTGCATTGATTCGGTAGCACTACCTTGTTTGGCCTCTTCCATCGCATGATTGAACATGGCTACTTCATCGACATTTTCCGGAACAGGAACGTTTTCATCTTGGAGAGGGGGTGGCGAAGGAGGTTGTTGTTCGTCTGTCGGTAACGATCTGTTGTCGGCATTCATGAGCATAGGAGGGATTCGTTTTGGATGAGATAACTGAATTGGGGTATTGAGAACAGGTGAGATATTAGCACGCACAGTGCCACCTGCCGCGACTTTGGCATGCAAATGGTTGGACGCAATAGAGGAAGGAGTAGCGAATGAAGGAAATTGGTTTCGTTCATCGGAGGTCGATGAAAGCTTTTGAGACTGCGATGATCGGTTGGCAGTGACAGGTGAGGAAACCGAAGAATCGGATTTAAAAGATGGGTTGGGTCCGTATCCCCAAGATCGCGGCGGTATATCTGATCGTGTTGCATTAGCAAAAGCGTTCGTCCGGGGGAGTTTCTCGGGCATCGATGTTAAATAATTGATCTCTTGTAAGCATCTGACAGCCATCAAAACATTTGAGTACTATTCGTATCAGTAGGGCTATCCAGAGAAACCAACCAAAATGAATATACACATACGATTTAAGCATTTGCCGTGCTCTTTCGCGTGACTTGTGGTCAATGGAATGCTTGGGTTGAGATGATGGATTAGTCGTTGATACTGTGCTACTTTGAGGTTTTTCTGCATCGCGAATGACGGGCGATAAAGCTGTATGGATGGGAAGGCAAAAACCAGTTAGATGAAAAAAAGGACACTATTATGCAACACAATGTGGGGTTCAAAGTACGATCACTTGCGTGTGTTCGGAGAATCTTGGTTGGATGTCTCTTTGTTGGTTTCCAAATGTCGCTTTCTAAAAAAAACGATCCATCACCGTCAGTCCAGCTTCCAAGATCATGATGACCATTGATCATTTCCCATGAAAATTTTGGTTTCACCATTTGCTCACTTTTACGATACCACTCCTTTGGTATCTCCTTTGATCCATTACCTTTCTTGTCGTAGTGCATACTCGAGCATCTTGACCCGTTTCATCAGATCATATTTGAAGTTTTCCGTACCTCGTCGTTCGCCTTCCAAATACTCGATACGCAACTAAGTTCATAAAAATATGAATCAATAGGATTTCAAAATGCTTATCAAGACAAGGTTTTACCTTTAATTCTGTTCGTTCGATGGCCCATTCATTACGTTCGCGTTCGAACCGACGCCATTCCGCCTGTAGAAAGTGAAGAACGCCGGGCAAGTTGTATCCCGTGGAAGCTTCGGTCTGCATGGAAGAAAGGAAAAGAATGTAAAAGAAAAATCCAAATAACAGCTAATGAGGTGGTATGAAGCTAGGGATACTAAGGGAAGGAAGAAGAAAGAAGAAAGAGACAACAAGATGAGTAAAAAAAAATTCCACTATGCAAAGACTATCTCAGAGGATTTACAGTTACGTAGGTGTCAATTTGCTGCCCACAAAAAAAGAAAAAAAAATAGATCGATTAACGTAGGTTCGAATGGTGCAGATGAAGAATTGCTTTGGTCTGCGAGTCTCTCGTTTTTGATATGTCGATGACGGAAATGGGGGAAGACCAAAAGGTTGGTTTGGAAAAAAACAGGGAACAATCCGTGCGAATTCAAACGGAGTTTCAAATCATCAATGGAGGTCAAAACACACAACCATCCTTTCCCACTTCCTCCCCCCCCCGCATGTAGTCGGAAAAGGCATCCTTGAATTACACTTTGTTCTCTTACATAACAACTATGAATCATTTGGTTGACGCAACATTTATATGACTCAACAGTCTGTGCGTCGACTTCATTTTGCTTCTTTTTTCTGAAGGAAGTTTTTATTAAAAGTTCATGACGTTTTTTGTCGTAAATGTCCAATTATCGTTGAGAAAGGAGTAAGCTCTGCTTGCTTTCTCTTCCTGATTTATGACTTCCAGCTCGCTGCTTGTCGAACTCTTAATATGCATAATTCCATTTTTTATTATTATCATTAATTCAATCATTGGATAGTCGTATTTGTCACGCTTTTTGAATAACATGTTGCGGTCTTTTCGCGTAATCAAGCAGAAGCAGCAAAACTCATGCATACCATATGTATCGAAGCCCTTGCGAGGATACACAAAGAAAATGAGTTTGCATACATTGAGTTATTTTTTTTTTTTTTTTTACATATCTCACTCAATCAAAGCAGTAAGCACAGTTCAGATAATAATACATTGCTACATTTATCTTTATATCGTGGCCATTGGCCCACTTGGGTTTTTTTTGGTACTCGTCAAGATCTTTTTTTTTTTTTTTTTATCCAATACGAAGTAAGCGAATGATGGTGACGTGTCATTTGGGGGAAATTTGGCATTTCCCCCAATTTAAAGTTTTTTTTTTTTTTTTTTTTTTTTTTTTTTTTTTTTTTTTTTCTTTACCTCTTTTTTTTCTTTACTTGATTATCTTTCTGTGACCATGGGCTCTCCATCTATTATTTCTTCGCCGGTATTCAATATCGCTTTCTTGCTTATTTCAATGCAATTGGCCAAGAAGGTCGATTGGGAAGATCCTCAAGTATTGTTGATGGCTCGAATCGGTTACTACAGTGCGCAGGCCCTCGTCATCGGTATGGCATACTTGTTAATCGAGTACATCAAGAAGAAGAACGGTAAGTACAGTGCTCTATGGTTTTATAAAGGAGAATGGAGGAAAATCACCCGAGAAACCGCACCGACAATGGATTTGCGAGCAGCCGCGGACGGAAGGGATGGGTGGATGGTCGAGATGAGGCAGCACAGAGGAAACTCACGCTTTTTTTAATGGTTAGACACAACTCCATTGCGCTATGTGAACCAGCCAAAGCCTAGCTTGAGTGGACAGGGTAGCACACAACCTGAAACTGTGGAGACCACCAACAAGGATTACGATATCAGCCAAGTGAAGCAATTCATTCAGTCCACGGCTACATCTATTGCCATGATCTCCCTGATGCACTGGCAATTTAAGTTCACTCAGCCTTTGCTCTTGCAATCCATTCTCCCCGTGAAGAATTTGCTGACACACAAGGTTGCCTTGATTCACTTGTGGGGCGATGCTCCCGAAGGTCCTCTCAAGAGACCTTTTGTTGCTGAATCACCTTTCGGTGCTTTGTTCGGCGGTGCCGGTAACAACGCTGTTGCTGACTCTTCTGCTACCAACACTCAGGATGCTGATAAAAGCAAGAAGGATTAAACATAATTTTAAGCTGTAAGGAATGGAAGGGATAAACGATTCCATGTAGAACGGGTGGTTGGTTGCCTGTAGGATCCAAGTTGTATGTTTTTTTCTTTTTTCTTTTTTTCTTTTTGTTATAGTCTTTTTACTGTTAAAGGATCCTTTATCCATACTTTTCTTTTGCATGATTTTGTCATTAAACATAATTTGTATATTAAAAGGAATAGACATCGATGTTTCATCGTTTCAATGACTCTGGAAATCAGGATATTTGGCATTATCTTTTTTCAAGGTTTATTGCAACGTGTACCAATCAAGGAAGCACACATGCTTTTAAAGCTCCGTCCATCTTGCTCATCTCTTCTTTCCATTTGTCCAACCCAGCCAAAAAGTACCTACATCGATACTTTTTTATTCCCCCAACTCGTGCATCTAGACCCGGCTCAATGATCTCTGATCACTTGTATTTGTGAAAAGAGGGGGTTTTTTTTTTGATAGATATTTGTTTTCATCTGGAATAAAATAAATGATGCGTTCATATATGGAGCAACGCAGAGTAAAAAGTACCGATTGACAATATCAGATATACAGCATAGAGAAACTAGGGTAAGCCTATCGTAGCTCGTAGTTTACGATAAGCGACAATGATAAAGCATGAGTGTAAAAGTTTAGAGTAATACATGATGATGGGTTGCAGGTAAGAACACGTAAGGGAAGTTCAGTGTCACCATGTTTGCGGAACAGTAAATGGTACCGAGGCAGTCAACTTTCTTCAAGCCTTCTCTTTTGCAAATGTTTCTTCCACAGGGCCTTCTTCGCTAGCAACATCGTCTTCAGTCACCATATTTGTTTCGGTTATCTTGTTGGCGACCAAGAAAATCAGAGGGAACGAGATAAACACCATAATCCAACAGATCAGGCATTCCCAGCGCAGTGGGATATTGACAGCGTCAATACCAAAAGCAATAGCCGCACCAGCGGACTGAACTGCTTTGTAAAAACCGGCATAACGAGCAAGTAAAGCAGGGTCATTGGACATGGCGCCCATAAGCCAATACATGTATGATTGATACAATGAGTCGGAGAAACCATACATGATAAACAGAACAAAAGGACCAGCAAACCGTTGATCCGTCCAGTGAACCAAGTCTTTGTAATCATTAAAAAAGGTCAACTGAAAAACGAAGCCTCCAGCCCACACCGCCATCAAGACGGCAAAAATAATGGTCAAGCCCAATAAACCACGACTGCGACGGGACATGCCTTGAAAATCGAGAAGAAAACCAAGCATCAGCGAACCAAGGATCTGGAAACCCCAGTACATCAGATCATTCAAAGCACGCGTAGACGGGCTGAAGTACACGGCGTTCACGCGGAACTGATAAGCATAGAACCAGTTGGAAGCCAAAAAAGCCGGAATCAAAGCCAACATTCGCCACTCTTTCCAGACCAAAACCACCCCCATCAGTTCCTTCTTCCAGTGGGCAGACTTGGCAATCGCCACCGTGGAACCGTCTTTGCGCACCACCCGCGAAGGAGGAGCCAGCGTAAACGACAAGGCAATACCGATCAGCATGACGATAACAAAGGCAATGTAGGTCCCGGTCGAAACACCCGCGTGATTATTTTCCAAATTCAAGGCCAGGGCAATCAGGGAACCAAGAATACCGCCCAGGTTGAAAAGCGTCCAAAATATGCCAACATATTTACCCTTATTCTTCTCTTCAGGGTACGCCATCATGATCGCTCCTTGAGCGGACCAAAAGATACCAGCACAGCATCCCAAAATAGCCCCAGCAGCAATGACAAAGCCTTCGATCTGTTTACGGTCATACACCCAGAGCGCCGCCGAATAGATCGCATAACCTATCGAACCGATCTATACAAGGATAATGAAATCATGAGGATCACATGTCATTGACCAAACAAAAAACCACTCCCGGTTTTTCTGTTGTGTCTGCCCGAACCTACCGTTAAGGTCGTTTTCACACCGATCGTGTTGGTTACGGAACCAGCAAAGAAGCCCACCACAGAGAAACAGGCGTAAAGAGCACTGTTGGCAGCATCGATCAAGTGGACATTGGAGCTCATTGAACCGCCGGCGCCCAATCCGGATAAAGCGTTGAACATACCAGGACAGCATAAACAGACCAGACCCAGTAACGTCACTTGGAAAAGTGGGGTATTGAACCGATGAAATAGTGAGCAGATCATCTGGATGGAACGTGGCGAATGATGAAAAACCGATAAATCAATCAAGACAACGAAGCGCGATAATTAAAAAGGGGCCGCCACCGGTCGACATGCATCCTGCTTTTATATACGCTGTTGTGCTATACGTTTCTTATTTTCCCCTATTTTCGGTTGAACGAATCAAAACAATCGATCGACCGTCAGAAAAAACTCAATGTTCTCTGCCCATGTGCAAAACTAAGCCGCCCATCGACGTTTTCCAAGTCAGACCAAACTTAGCCGGCTAGTCTTCTGTTTGGGCCGACAGACAGACTTCATTGGATTCAGATCCAATAAAGACAACAGGGTCCTGATACAGATTGTCTACATAAGGGTAACTGTTTTGATCGCGTCGATCATATATGACGTCTCTAGACGAATCCGGAAATGGGTGAATCCAGTCTTTTGGAAGAAGAACCCTGGTTTTGCTTATGTCAGGACGTATCAGGGTTGTAGGACAACACCAGAACAAGAAAAGGGTGGGTTTTGCAGGGCGCTCTGTTCATGGGTCTCCCGCGGAAAATGCCAACATAATTTTTCTCACGTCAGATGCAATATTGCAATATGATTGGCCAGTCCAACCTTCATCCAGACTATCCGCGCCAGTTGTTCTCACTTTTCTCTCGTTTCCTTTTCCAACTTGTCCCTTCATTTGTTTCATGATGATATTTCGAGTGGAATTACCTCTTTTATACATAAAAACGAAAAGGAAGGTCGAATCCGGATATATTTCCCGTTTATCAGCGGATTCGAAATCAACGATGAAACACGATTTGTTAATACAGTAGAATTACAGTTTACACGTTGATCTGGGGTTTGATTCAAAATAACTGTTTACACACTGAGCGCTGCGGTTCATTCCAGCCATGGATGGCTTACCCCGCGTCTTTTTTTCATCCTAATCCCGATAAATCGTAATTCATTCGCTCCAAAATACCGTCAAGTGCACGCGCTTCCAACACCACACCACTTGGAGCACATTGAGCTACCTGCTTGACCATCTGGCACAGTTCCACTAGGTTGTAGGCTTGAAATCGTGGATGCTGGTACAGGCAATGCCATATTTCCGAGCAATTCAGCAGTCGGAGTTCGTTATAAGGTTCCTGTTGCTTTTCGTTGCCTTGTTGTTCCACGAGCATCGGGCTGATAGGAACTGGGCGGTTTTCAAGAGCAACGTTCAACATACCGTTCTCGTCGAACAGGGGCTCAAAGAGAAGCTGCGCGAAAGCATCGTCACATACTTGTCGTCCTAGATGCGAACAAAATGATTGTTCATCGGTGATGTGGCACTGTGATAGGGATCTTTCCAGTAATCCCACTCCGCAGTTCATATCGCCGATTGGTTGATCCGTGCTAGGCGTCCTGTCAGTTATGGACACCTGATCTTTTTCGGTCACTTTTTCGGATGTTGTTTCTTCGTGCGCCGTAGATTTTATGTTATTATTCTTTCGCGCAATGGCGCTGATATTCTTACCATGCCCTGCTGCCGATAAGGGGGCGGTCAAATCTCGTGGCCAATCCACCGTATAAGGCTGAAGGCGACGCGATCGGATGCGTTGAGTGGCTTTTTGTTTTAGCATAGCATTTTCAGTATGCAAGCGGTAAGCAATGGCCCTTAACCGTTGGTTTTCCTGGATCAAATGGGCTGTAGCCGCACGGTGTGTATCTTGCACGTGATGGAAAGTCGTTTCCAGTTCCTTGACATACTGTTCTTTTCGTTGTCTGAAAGCACGTTGGGCTGCGCGATTCTGATTCTTCCGCTTGGCGGGTTCTACCAAATCCCTTAGTACGAGAGTGTTGACTTGACTAAAAAAAATACTACCCAAATGCGCGTTATGTCTTATCTTGGCCATTGGATCCTCAACTATCATCCGACAGTAATAACTTGAGTTTCACCCGCTCCTGTCAAAAAAGTCTCTTTTTTCACAGACATCTAACCTTGAACCGTTTCAATGTCAGATATGACTCCACCTAACAAGAGGATGAATGGTTGAGTAAATACCAAAGTCGCTTCTTTGGGTACAGATTTTGAAATATACAACTGTACCTTGCGAATCATGGCCCATGGATGGATCGGCAACAATTAACTGAACCAAGCGCGTTTTTCAAGGTTAGTATTGATGCTTAGGAACGATAACTTGCTTACGGACGTACGCATGACTCATTCTCTCTAGTATGCATGAAAAACCGTGCAATAAGGACCTGTGGGATGCAGATGTAACTTTATACTTTAAACAACGGTAAAGAAAATGGGAAGAAGAATAAAAAGACCAAAACAAACAAAAACCAAGCTTATTACTGTGATGATATAATCCCTCGTGATCTTTCTAAAGTAGACCAAGACCCTATTGCTTGATCTAGTCATCAAAGATTATACTTATACTCGCCTGATATTCTTTGTAATGTTCGTATTCTCAGCTCACTAGCTAGGTTATATCACTCCCAGTATGTGATGACTAGCAGAGGACAAATACACTGCGTTTATGATATCAAACAAGTAAAATCTTTCATTCTATTCAACCGAGTTCGAATGAAAGAACTTACCTGTGATTGTCTTCTCACGGATCAAAGAACGATAAAATACGGCAGATTTTTCTACTATCTAAAAGGAGCGTGTGAATGCCACAGGTGTTTTATCGCAGCGTTTTGTGAAACAATTAAAAAAAAAAGGTTGATAAAAATTCATCACGAGGAACTTCCTAAACGACCTTCGCCTATTTTTCACTATAGTCCAAGTTCCTTAGAAAATTTACTCTATTGATGCTTGCTTTGAACCCGCTGCTCAATAATTGTCGCAAGTCAATATCCCCAGTATTCACGCTCGAGAAGTACGGTAGGTCAACCTGAATTTAGCATCGAGCGGAAGCGAAAAGCAAAGTTTTTGGGAGCTGTCATTCTTTTGAACCTAGTGCCTCTTTCTTTTTGAATCAGAACTTTATGAAAGATTTCTCACATGAGCGTGGTTATTTTGGAAAAAACGCTGATTAGATAGATTTGGTACTTCCAATGATGACCCATAGTTGCCTTTGTTGTTGTTCTGAGCATATGAAATACCAAAATATAACTCAGAAAGATTAGGTTTGATATTACCGACTGGAAATACATGCCTTTCAGCCTCTCGGTTCAGATCTTCGTGCCGGGAAAGAAAGTTGCTATTGCTTCTTTCGCAGTGAATGCACCAGGAAAGCGCATACAGTGGCTATTGTTAATGCAGCAAAACCAGTCATTGATGATTTGTCATTACAAGAAAAAACCTATAATGTCAATATTGGCAACTGAGAATTTCCGTTGCTATGACTTTCACCAAATTTAGCCGATGATTACCATGGGGATTCTTTCACAACCCCAGCTTCTCGTAATTTCCACAACTTTCCTAAACAGGTATTGCTAGCAAAGCCACTCAATGAACTGCGTTCTAGCATATTGCCACCTTTTTTTCTTCATAGATAACTAAGCTCACCAAAATGCAAATGGATATGATCTGAAATGGGACCCGCTTGTTGATGCTCCCTTGGTAGCATGGCTACCCTTCTGAGTTATTCACTGGTTTTGCCAATGCGGGCTGTTCATCGGTCGAGAATCCGTGACAGACAATTGTCACAGTCCCCTTTTTTTCCGAACCCAGCCGAAAAAAAAAATAATATAAATTTTTGACGCGCTCCTGCCAGTGTCATTATGCTTGTTTGTTTCTCAAGGTAAGATATTTTTTTTTTTACTCTCTGTTGTCATGGAGGAATAGGTGCTGTGATGATAAATCTGAGAACCATGTCTGATTGCCCGGGAATCACGCAAGGGCGTCCAAAGGCCTTGTGTCTGCGGAAGAACCCACCCTTGCGCCTTGAGGTTGGATGACAAGCTCAGACGTCTGAGCACTTATTATCTCTGCATATGGATGATTTATTTTTCTAGTTCATCACTAATTCCATGTTCCATTCATAGATGTCCTCGAGAAAGAAATCGGATAATCAATATAGTCAATAATAGATACACATGTATATTTCAATATGATGATTTATAGAATAATGTACGAATAAAAAAAAAAGTATAACAAAATGAACAGAAAAGCTTTGTAAGCCATGATAAAGTGGGGGAATGGTGAGTTATTTTTGCGTGGGTTAACGTGTACGATGAGGTGACATGGATAACTGGTCATAAGCTGGTAATGACGAAGAGAATGGAGCAGGTTCATTTTGCATAGCTGTGCCATAAGATGGTACCCTGGAGAGGTTCATACCATGCCACCACAGGTTTGGGTCTTCCTCGCGTGAACCATCGACTCTGGGGGAAGTGGTGGAGGAAATAGACACAGATCGTGTGCGTCCAGAAATGGTAATCGGTTCTCGATTTTCGGTAAGGGCCAGTCCAGCACCTGACTGCGAAGGCGACGTGGCGAGAACGTCCAATGCCGCTTGCTCGTAAGGAACCGATCGCCATGTTTGGTCATACGACGGCAGCATGTTGAGTTCCGACTGCTGTGCAAATGAATCGATGATAACCACAGGCACGGCACAGCGTAATTCGGAAAAGTGACCGTCCGCATTGACCAGAGAAATGACGAATTTCAGTTTGTGCTTGATACGGATCATATCATTTTCGGCGTTGCAAAAGACCAGCGGTGGGTGTTGAGGCACTTCCAGTTTAAGCACATACGTCCATTTTCCTGTGTCGGTAGGCGGTGGGGACGTGAAGGGCTTATCTTTCTGTTCGAGACGAACAATGCGTGTGTCGGTTTTGGAATGGGTCTTGGTATTGTATGTACAATATTCCTTAAGCACGGCTACGACGGATCGCACCCGCAGCTGGGATGCCAGAGGCGCTATGTTGAAGGATACAGGAATCGTTTCTCCGTAAGCATAAACTTTCGAGGGTAACAGGATATCGTAAATCATTTTATCGGCCCACGTATTGTGGATTTCCAAAGTTTGGACCAATTCATAATCGGAAGGCAAAAGACACCTTACTATCCGAATGGGTCGTTTCTTCACCATGTTATGGACAAACGCCGGTCGCTCGACGGTCGCTTTCAGTCGATAAATCACTTTACCACCCACAGCGTCCAAAGACTGTGGTAAATTACCGGGTAGCTCGACTTCGAAATCCCACCGGTGATGACCGGCCGCCAGTGTGTATGTCTTTTTATGGGAAGAGTCCGTCGCCTGCAGAAAATGCCAATCCTGCTCGATCAATGTCCGTTCTTGTTTATAATACTGTTGATGATGACCCACGCCTAAGAACAAGAAATAAGGAAAAAAAAAAGATCAGTATGCTGAGACTAAAATCCAGAAAAACGAGCAAGGGCCTCCTGCCCCGCAGGCCCCACGATGCCGAGCCGGTTTCCGTATTGCCTGCCTTTCCTGTCTGTCTGCCTTACCTTCCGACCAAGACACCTTCATTTTACCGGTGAAGCGTAGATTGACACCTCGAATCTTCAACGGCTCGGTCAGATTCAGATGAAGAGTTCCTTGCAGCAATTTCCCGGCGGATTCTTCCGGCTGACCGAGAAGAATGATCTCATCACTGACGACGTCGATGTGTAGATCACACGATTTCCAGATGGCATTCACCACCGTATCGATTGGTCGTATGCTCGTCAATGCGGCGAATTTAAGATGTGGTGAAAGTCAAGATAACTGATGTTGATATGCGTAGGAGCGTGAAGGAATGGTGCTTTCAGGTTTGTGCCCACGCTTTGCAACAAAGAAGACAAATGAAATTTGGAAAAAAAAAAAAAAAAAAAAAGGAAAACGGGAAACAAAAAAAATGATCCCGAGCAACCGACCCAAATAAGGGAATATTATATGGGGAACCAAAAAATTTTCAATGGCTTCGACAACTTATACAGTCAATGTTTGAATCTATTCGTTGTATCATCACCCCATCATAACAAGTGATATATCTAGGTCTAGGCATGGCTTTCCAAGCATTCGAATTAAAAAAAAAATCATCAAGTAAAATAAAGAATAACCACATGTGTGAGATAACATCATCACTACGCTGAGTTTTTTCCGTTTTAGGACAGTAGCTTCTTGGTTACATCGATTCTCGGATGGGCAAAGTAATGAAATTTGTTTGCATAATCAGTGTGTGCACCAATATAATAACCGCCGAGCGATCGACTAGCATCCACCGTTATTACGCTTGGATGCAAATCGTTGCATGGAGGTAGACCAATTTCCCCTACTGCTTGGTCACCAAATAGAATGGCTCGCAGGAGAATCCCCAACGTAAGATCTTTGGATGAATAGTAAATTACCGTCGCTTGTCGTCCCAAGCCACCACTGTCATTGGACAAAGAAGGCAAGATGTCAGAGGCAATTAAAGCAGGAGCACACAGGTGAACGGCATCAGGCCGCTCACAAGGTTGCATGAGTGCACACGCTTCAACAATATGGCGGCATCCCAAGGAGTGACCGACGACACGGAGCGTATCGTGTTGCCTCCGAAGTTGAAGAAGACGCCACGCCAGCATTTCGGCCCGTTCCCGGCTTTCATCCGTGGCTCGGTGAAATTGATACGCTAAACGTCCCGCGTGCAAACCTATGTCCACAGCTAAAGCTCCGGCAAGAGATGCAGGTGTCAGCCATCGCAGTTGACCCACTTGTCTCCAAGAACGCGCCAGGAAATAGGCGGCGGTGCCAAGACTGGCCAACGGAATGGGAATGTGCGACATGGGCGAACCGGAAGGCCAAGAGTAACCTAATGCCGCTGGGCCCCATCGATGCTGAGGACTCAGTGCCAGTAACCGATGAGAATGCAACCAGTCTTCAAAATTTTCAGGCGCTTCGCCCTCGGCTAGAAAACCTGTTCCAATGCGTAAGTCATTGCTACATTACCTGTACGAATCAGAAGACTGCCGTAGCCTCTTTTTACACTACCTTTTACATAAACTGTGACTTCCGAACGAGTATCTCGCGGTCGTGTTAGTATCTTTAGCTTGGCTAATTCCGTGAATGGTCGCTTGACCGCCAACGCTCGCGTGGTCATGAATTTAGCATTGCCTTTGTCCTTTTTTTTTTCCACTGGTTAACGCCGTGCTGCGTCGAATTTGATGCACAATGAAAACAGTCACACGGCATTGGTACGGTGCTGGGTCCAGCACTGCATTACCTTCTACGTCCAATGAAAAGGAAGGGTAAAGATGTCTGACTGTGCGCTGCGTGGTGTCATTTCTTAGTTATGTAAAGATCGTATAAATTCAATATTATTCTTGTCACGCTTGCTCGTGAAAGTATAGAAGCATCTTACACTAGCTTGCTTGTTAGTTATCGATGATATGGAAATCAATGTTAAAACAGTCTGCTTGGTTGAATAAATTACTTTTCTGAGCGGATACAATGTCCCCAAGCATCAGTTACGAGCAGTTTAAGGTTGCGTGTCACAACCACCCTTGGGCAAATCCAATGCAGTGAGGCCCTCCCGGGCCAAAGTCCACTGATACAAAGTATTATCTATTGTCAGGGAATGTTATAAAGAAAATGCATAAATGGCCGTCAATCAAGATTGATGTTTTACCCGTCGCCTCTCGGAAGTGCAAGCAGAGGACCAATATCACGATGGCAAGACAAAATAATAGGGCCCAGACATCTCTTTTATGGCACGCATTTAGCAGACTTGTCCGCATAAAAGATTTTCGTGTATTGAAGGTTGATTGTCCCTTTAATTCTCTAGCAAAATGCACTATCATAGTCGACGAGCTGAAACGCGTACTGTATAACGCGCTGACACGTTGTGTCTTGGCTTGATTCAGGTTATTGGACGTTTGGATCCGACCAACCCCTTCTTGCGCGGTTTTGTCAAAATCGGAATTTTCGCGGGAGAAACTCCTCAGCATTCGATTGAAAAAAGTCAAATACCGTTTCATATTGCGTGGCCTTGATAGATCTGACTACGTTAATAGAATCTACATTCAGCGATGGCTTATTGCTATAGGGTACGGTTCCAAGGGTGACGTGTTTCGCTGTTGTAGAAGGTTTCTCGAGCTACATGGTAGAAAAAAACTTTCGCTTCTCGGGTATGCTTGCCCGATCCTTCTCTCGTATGACACCGGTTCTAGTTTACGCCAACTAACACAAGGAGAGTCTCTCTCCGTTCTCTCACTTTCTATTCGAGCTCGACACCGAATATCAAACTTCCCAAGACAAAAGCTTCCTGTCTCGATGGTGATATTCCATAGCTTCGAAACTACCACACTGCACATTCCGCACAGAAATTGAAGGCCGATGTCATCCAAATTCATAATGTAGTTTGAAAGGAAGAAAAAAAAACAATGATGCGCTATGTATATTGACAGGAAGATGGCAAGTCAGAAACTGCTGATACGTACTTTGCATGGTTGATAAACGACATTTCTTTAGGGAGAAAGCGATATCATTTTCAAAACGTTACACAAAGCGCCCCAAACAAAAGCATTCCGAAAAATCAGTGTTTGCTATCTCTTGCATCATTTGATCGGTTTTGCTTGGCCAAAAAAAAAAGGAAAAAAAAAAAGTCGTGTAACTTTCATTGGTGGAAGTGTGAAGAAAACAGAGAAAAAGCGGTTAAGCGCCTCACAGTTAAATTTGATTCTCAGCCTTCCAATAAACTCCATCTCCGAAAAAAGACCCGATTTTTCCGATCTCATAGAAAATCGATTTTTTTTTTTAATTTAACGGTGGGTTCAAAATACAAAGGGTATAACGAAAGATTACGCTTAAATGATACAAGATAAAACAAATTACAGAAAATGACAATAGACAAGTTTTTACATGAAATGGAAGTAAAAAAAAAAAATGGAGAATGAAAAATAACATATGACAAATAAAATAAAAGTTTTACGTTGTAATAAAACCAGGTGGGGCTGAAAGAGGAATACCAAAGAAGAAAAAAAAATTGTTTCAAACAAACGTTTAAGCGAGGGAAAGGTCCACGTGCCTGTCAAACCGTCAGGTCAGCTTGTCGGACAGACAATGCCATTCTCCGGTCGAATGGATCGATGATATGGCCATGCAATCCCTCGGATATGGTACGTTACATCCAAAGCAAGATCCAGCAACTCTTGCTGGTCGGTGGGCTCCGGTGCCGATGGCTTCACTTGGACACCGCAAGCATTGTATAAATCATGGAATGTCGCATCCGATTCCGATTGCGCGGTGTAGGAAATAGTGATATTGAAGCTGATGATTTCACTTGAACGTGCTGGTAGGACCAAGGGGCCCACTCGGCCTTGACCGAATCGGGCGTTTGTGTTGAGGTCCTTGGCTTCGATGACCAATTCCCGAATATGCGTTGGGACCCAATTATCCGAATTGTCCGCCGTGAGATTGACACCCCATATAGTATACATGGATTGGGACGAATTCGTCGTCCACACCGTCGGAATCAGCATATCGGCGTCCAATAACGTTAGTTCAGGCACACGAGGCCATACAAAGTACCATATGACGGCAATGACAGCCGCTACAATGACAGCAAAGAAAGCAATCATCCATCGACTTAATCCAAAGCAAGTGCGTCGTTTTTTCTTTCGCTTCAATTCTGGTAAAGGGTCAAAGTCGGTGACTCCTTCATCTTTTATCGGCAGCATGGTGGTGGGCGCTCGGTCAGACATATCCATGACAATGTCATCTTGCAGAATCGATCCGGCTCCTGCTTTTTCAGGAAAGGCAGAGGTGGACAAGGTATCATCCTCAATGTAAATTGGTGCAATGGGTTGTAAAGGGTCTCGTGAGTGATGGGAGTAAGGTAAATAAGAATTGGTTCGGTCGGGGTCGTTGCCTTGCAACCGCCACGGTTTGATATTAGGAGTGTGTCGAGAAGCGTTGGCATAGGGATCGTCGTTGTAGTAATGGTAATCGTTATACGTCGTTGGTCGTGCAGAGGAAGACATGACACTGGCATTAGGAGCTAGCCGACTTGTACTGCTATCGGATGCCGTGCGTGAATGGATTCCATCCGAACCCGATGCCGAAGATTCCACTGCAATGAGCGACAAAAAAAAAATATACTGATAAGTAACTTGCCGGTCTTATGGTGATGACCAAAAACGGAAAATGAACAAGGAAAAAAAATGGGCTACCGATGACCCCAAAAAGCGGACAGTGCTGAACATACCTGATCTAAAACTCTTGCGTACAGCACGATAAGGATCATGACTATTTTCTAAAGCTGCTAAATTCTGTCGGATATGTCTCCCATTTTCATACATCGTATATTACACAATGATGAGATAAAATAGGCTAAGAAGGAAACACAATGGGCTTTTTGGTTTCTCGAATAATAATGAATTCTGGAAAGAAGAAAAAAGAAACAGCGAAACTAATAAAAGAAAAAAGAAGAAAAAGAAAAAAAAAGCATATTTTTTATATGTATTTTTTTTTTCGACAACCGCACAGACGCACTTGGAAGTCTCAAAAAAAGAAAATAGAAAAAAATAGTTGGCCATGCAAATTCAGGATCCGCCCCAGTTCCCCTTTTCCGTGTGTTCGACACCATTGTGATCATTGCCGAATATTTCATTTCTATACCAGGGAATCACTCGTTCATAGCATGGGAGGGGATGATACCCAAAATTGCACCAAACAACGTGGTCTCCGAGTTCAATCTCTCGTTCATTTTAATGCAAAATGGTTGCTCTAGCCAATTTTCTTTTTTTTCTTTCTTGTCGGAACCAAAAAAAAATATATCATTTGCCGTATAAGCGGGGAGTGACAGCTGATTTGAAAGAAAATATAATAAAGAAAAAGAAGCCTACTTAAAGACAGAGAACGAAGCGAAGCCTCGGATGCAAAAAAAGCTCCAAAAAGAGTCATGTGTGTGCAGGAGAGCGGTGCCATCCCTTTTATCCGCTCAATAAACATCATTCTCCGATATTTTTATTTATTCAACCCGTCCTCGTCATGCCCTTTTCATGAGCAACATTTACTTTGTATATCAGTGCAATTCCTCTATGATTGAGTTATGTGCCAAGCCTCGATACTTACGGACCATGAACTGATTCGTTATTCATGCAAAACTTCTATCCAATGCTCAAAAACGAAACTGTAGAGAGAGGGAAAAAGAGTAGCCGGAATGAATCGCCGAAAAATCAGTCTTGGCCTTATTTCCGAACCACCTTTCACATTGGAAGGCTAATTCTTCTCAACACATTTTGTACGAATAACCATTGAAACGCAGCATTCTCCATTACACCGGAATTGTCGATATTTCCGAGCGTTCAACATGCGAAATACTTTTTTATTGGGAACGCCCCAATTGTTGCATGATCCCTTTCTCCAGGTGTGCTGAACAGGTAAGCTTCCTATTATGGAATTACCTTTACGAGACTAAGACATCGCTGTGCTGGGTTTATAGTTCTGTAGCTGCAGCTGGGTTCATTGGCGTGACCTCTTTGGATCCATGGCTACATTCTGCAACATAACATGTTGTCTGCTTGATTTACCGAGCTTTTCCCAAAACAAATTGTGCCATTTTGTATTGTTGAACGCTTGATATCATAATGACTTTTTGTTCAAGGCGTCCTCATTCGATTGAGCCTTGGCCGCATGTGATAAAATACGTCGCATGAAGAAAACTTTGGTGGGCCTGGGAGAGTGCTGTGACCATTAACGTACCTTCAAGTGAACATGATAAAAAGAAAATGCATGGATCAAATTGTGACCTGTTTTAATGCCAAAAATCAAAATGTTACAAATGTTGCATGAGTACGACGTATATATCACCTTGGCCCTCCAATCAGCGAGTGAATTCATGAGAAAGCTTGATATGCAGTAGTCTCATCGTTTTTTCGATCTATAACAAACTCAAAGCTGTAATATGTCATTGGCAAGCTTAATAAATATTATATTTCAATGCACTACTCTGACAACATTCATTACACCAGGACCGGATTTTTTTAATGAGAGCAACATTCTCTAATTACAGCAGCAGGCTGTTCACTACAGCCATGGTTGTATTGCCTTTTGGAACAAGGTATATTTTGCCTCCTTTCCGCGCCACACTACGTGATAGCAAAAATGAAAGTATACTATGCATTCTTCCGTTGCGTCACCTATTTCAAAAAATATGAGCAAGTATCGCAAAAAGATTTCTCTATGAACAGAAGGTTGAAGTAACGAGGGCACACCCAATTTCAGCCAAAGGAATTTAATGGGATGTGCGCTTGGTGATGGCTGCGTTTTAATTTTCCTCTTTGGGACTTTGACTCGAGCCGTTGCCTTTTTTTTTCTAGACGTTTTCAACCCTTTTTTCCTACAATGACAGACGACGGTCAACTTTCTAATGGTACGTAGCTTGTGTTGATTATGGGTTCCAATAATATCAGTCTTGTTGTTCTTCCGCCCTGCAATGGCCGAGATTCGATGCATAAATACTGATAATGGTCAGTAGATGACGTGATTTTGCTTTTCTGTCGTAATGACCAAGAAAACGAGCTCAGCGACATCCTCGATAAAGGAGAATATACCATCAACTATGCCGATTCAATCGGCAATACCGCTGCACATTATGCGTAAGTAATAAGGGAATCAATGGAGCCGTTCAAATTTATGGGGCTGACATGACATTTAGGGCAAAGTTTGGTTCCATCGGTTGTCTCGAATTGCTAGTGAACCTAGATGACATTGACCTCGATATAAAAAACCGAATGGAAGGAAACACGCCCTTGCATATGGCAGTGCGATATGCTGAACAGGACGAAGAAACGGCTATCTCTATCATAGACTTGTTACTGCAAGCAGATGCGGATCCCAGGTAAAAAAAAAAGTGACCTTGTGTATACGTCTTTTTTTAAACGATCGAACAATCTAAAAAATGGGGTATTTTGGCAGCATCCGAAATAATGCAAATTTAACACCGGCAATGCTACTCGACCCGAGGCGTAAGGAAATCAAGAAAATGTTGGATGAGGCTGCTGTGGCTGCTCAACTGGTAAGTACAACTTGGCTGTGAGATTTCCGGAGAGAGAGACTGTGTACTGATTATTTCTTGATAGGATGATTCGGATATTGTTCAAGACGATGATGAGGGATTCAGTGACGATGATGACCAAGCCAGTGATTAGATATCAGCATGCAACTTATAATCACACAATCGGTAACAAGACCATTAAAAATAAACAAGGACGGGTTTTGGCTTATCCCTTTGGCACCAAAAATATATGCCATTAATACAGAAGCTAATGAATCGGAAAAGGACAACTTGAATGTAAAAATGAGAACCGATTTTGTCTTTGGAGTGAACTATGATATTGTATTGCATTTGCTGTTTTCCTAATGATCGGGAGCTGAGCGGCGTCAATTATAGAAAAATACATTAAATGGATCTCAGCTTATTTCATGACGTATCATTCTTGACGCCCAACTTCCTGTATTCCATAATAAATGATAGCCAACCCAAGAAGGAATTTAATCATGTTTATCGCTGTCGAGTGCCATTGGACGTTGACATCTCAGACAGTGCTGGGTATTTTCTTTCTTTCATTTAACTTTTTATGTCTTTAAAAAAGAGTGAAATCAGATCTTTTGTTCACCGCGCCCTGATGTAACAAGGTAAGGTGGCCGGACGCGATTCGTCATACCTCCATTATCCAATAAGGAAACGGAGATTACTCGTTTGGCAACCGGAAAATCAATCATCATATGTACTTTCCATGAAGGAAGGATCGGAGTTTTATCGGTTGCGTACGTCTCACCTTTCTAAAGGCTCCGATAATTATTCATGAGTTGTGGGTCAAACTTCACTCAGTTCTCGATTATACAACATTTTTTCTGTATAGCTACGTTTGGTCTAATTACTTTATTTTACATTGTAGCAAAAACACTTGATAAATTATACATAGCTCAATGGCCGTTGCCATGGTGACATTGAATGTATCCGAAAAATTTCGCACTATCAGTCGTAGGTGCTGTCCATTGTAATGAGGTCGACTGTCGACAGCACCGGCTGGATCTATGGAGACTCTGTAACATACCTGGTATAAATTAATCATTCACGGTAAAGCTTCTCTTGTTAATGAAATGAGAATCTGAGTAATTGCTTGCATATCGAACAAGGTCAAGAAGCAATTTTTTTCATTTTCCCATGTCTTTCCGAAACAGCACAGACCGGACCTTGCAAATCAAGTTGCCATGCCACAACCTAGCAGGACGGCTTCGCTGGGCAAACGACTGTGCGAGCTAAGGTTTGGCGTCCTTTTCAGCAACAACAGTGCCTATCTCAATGGTTCTCTGCTTCAACAGCAAATCAGCACACAAGGATCGTCATAATATTGGTGTCCTTGGTTTCATATGTTACCGTGGCGTACTTACAGCTTTTGACTGGCAGACTTGACCAGTGTCGAGTATGTTTTTTCCACAGAACAAGGAACATCGACGAAACTATCTAGTTACCTAGTAAAAATAATTAAGCTGGCGAACAGTTGGCTGTCTTCCACACAGGTGGTTTAAGGACTTGGGATCCGCGTCTTGAACTTTAGCGATATCGTACGTTTTGCTTTCGGACATAGGCGAATGGGGAAAGCCAATTGTAAGCTGAGGAATGCAACTGGTTGGAAAAAGTTTGCCTTTCTTCAGATGTCGTTGCACGAAACTCGTTGTCTTCATCTTTGGGCAACGTTGCGCTTGTGCTTCAAATGTCTACAGAACGCGGCACGTCAGGCACAGAAATAGCAGTTTGGGGAATCGCGGTGAAGGGAAGCGTCAAATGAAGCTAGTTTAGTATTGGGCGTACATTGGTAGAAGATGAGCCGAACTTGCGGTAAGATGTTGTAGTTACTCTAACCGATGAAGAAAACCAAAAGCGATATTCATGGCCTTTTCTTCTTATTGTTCTACATGGTCTATTCACGCGACCTTTGCGCGTTTGAATGGACGTTTATAATTTATTGCTATGCTTTCCACAGCGTACATCATGTAGCTGGAGGAGGCACATTCTTTACTTCAACAAACACTGATCTGTGACCAAAAAGTAATGGTATGCTGCCTTGACTTCTTGTGTTATGTTATTTTACAATTACCGTTGAGAAAGACGGCAAAAATGTCGAAATGCTATTCTTGTTTCTTGTCTCCATGAACTACATAAGTTACTATTGTGTTCATGACACTTATGTAGTATGACGCAATTGACTTTTTAAGATAGTTCGTAAAAATATATTGTGAAGCTTGTGTGAAGTTATATGTGCAGAATCCAATGGATCTAAAGTAGAAGTAACAATGATGCTGAGCGCTTGCTGCAGATTCTCTGAAGATGGATCCATACAGGCTTCTACTGTAAGCATTTTTGCTAATATTGAATATATAAAATAGAAAAGTGAAAACTTATTTCTTCAAAACTTCGAATGTTATGCTATTAGATACTTCATACGCAAAGCAATAAAACAACTTATTCAAGTATGCGAACTTTTGTTCTTGTGATTGAATCCTCAGTCTCCGCAACGACGAAAAAAAAAAATTACAAGTTGTGACCATCAATTTCTGCATCACCATTTTGAGACGTCTGCTTTTTACAACTTGATTTTGCTTGATCATGCAATTCTATCAACATGCGGGGCAGATTCTCGACAAATTAGGTCGAAAGGAAGGTACCATTAAGGGCCTTGTTATTGGCGATCCCAAAGTCAGAGATAAGAAGAAAATGTACGCTCTCGTTTGCGAGACTTTGAAATGTAAGTTGATTGGATTTCTTCGGAGATTCGAAACCATTTCCCGGAACCATTCAGACATGTTAATCATCGCTGTTCTTTTTTTGTATATCTACAGACAAAAAGGTTCTCAACGAGATCGTCGATACCACCGGCATTTGTATTCAGGAAAAAAAGTTGAAACGATCCCTCGCCCTTGTCCTCATTCACGATCTTTTGTTTACCAAACGTGGTATTACGGTCAAGAACAGTGTGCCACTCAAACAATGTGTGATACGACATCAGGCACGTCTCAAGGCTGAATTGGCCAAGCTCAAGATTAAATACAATGCAGTCAACAACGAGGATTTAGTGAGTCAGAAAGTGAAAGATGCGGTGCACATCCCTCGATATGTCCGCGTCAATCTTCACAAGACGACCATGGAAAAAGCAATTGGGGCTTTTGAAAAGGAAGGCTATACTCTTATTGAAACTCCCGATGATTTGCGCGTACTGGAGAAAAAAACGTTCTGCCGAGATCAGCATTTGTCGGATCTGCTCGTCATGTCGCCCAAAACGGATCTGCATGATCATCCTTTATACCTTTCCGGCGATATCATCTTGCAAGACAAGGCATCCTGTTTCCCTGCTCACGTCGCCCAGGCACCCGAAGGAGCTCATGCTATTGATGCTTGCGCTGCTCCCGGAAATAAGACCTCGCATCTTTCAGCCCTCATGAAAAACACGGGGCGCATTTGGGCCTTTGATCTGGATGAAAGACGATTAAATCTCTTAAAACGACTGACCACCAAAGCTGGCTGTAAAAGTAAGTTGTTTTACCGGGTTTTAACCATGGTCAAGTAATACCGCTGACCAATAAGTTTTAATCTGATAATCAGATATTTCACCTGTCCACGGATCGTTTTTGGAAGTCGATCCAACGGATCCTCAATATGCCAACGTACGTGCATAATCCCGGTAACATCAAACAACGACCGTGGTACAATCTCTTATCCTTGGAATCTTCTTTATAGGTGGAGTATTTCTTATTGGACCCGTCTTGCTCAGGATCTGGAATCATCAGTCGTTTGGACCATTTAGTGGATGATGAAGATGAAGATGGTAACGCCGTTAGCAACCTCAATCGGATCCCCCTTAATTTCCATTTTAAACATGTTGCTTCTTCTAGAACAAGCGAACCAAGATGGTCAGGAAGGTTCCCATCAACAACGTCTGAGAAGTTTGGCTGAATTCCAAATCTCGGTGATTCAACACGCTTTCAAATGTAGGTTTTCCGATCAGATTCGAACTTTGATAATGGAAACAGGTCATACTGACATCAGTAAAACAGTTCCCAAGGCAAAACGAGTGGTTTACTCAACATGCTCGATCCACGCCGAAGAAAATGAGCAAGTAGTCAAGACCGTGTTGTCTCAAACGGATGATTTTGAATTGGCCTCGCGTGATACTGTGCTACCATCGTGGGTACGACGTGGTATTCCAGACGAATTCGACGGTGATACAAGTAGGTCAAGGTCACACAATAAGAGTTCTAGTAACTGATTTTAGTCCATTTCAGATAAATCAGATGCGGTCATTCGTACAGTGCCCGCGGAGGACTTGACGAATGGATTCTTTGTAGCGTGTTTCGTACGAAAATCGCTGAAACGCTCACTTGAAGAAGACCTTACGTCTGAGCCAACCACTCCAAAGAAGAAGAACAAGAAGAAGAAGAAAAACAAAGCTAAAGCCAAAGCATCCGATGCCGCCGTAGATATTTCCCCATAGAGTTTTTTTTTCCACCTCTTTTATTTGCATTACTTCCAACATCTAATCTATGAATCAATCTTTTTTACCCCACAAAAAGTAATTAGTTGCCCTGTCCTTTTTATCATAAAATGATCATTGAGAGTGTATAATGCATACAAACCTTTTTCTTTTGCAACTTGTGATAACACGTCCACAATAAAAAAAAAAGGCAAGTATTTCTCAAAAGCATAGTAGTGAATTTTTCATGTGAAGAGGGGATGAATGTCTGTCAAAAGGTGGTTACGAACGTGGCTACGTCCTTGGGAACCCCTGTCAAAAAAATAATAACAAAGATCTGATAAGATTATCCGTAACACAGACTCCGCTACACGGTCCATTACATCAAAAAAAAACCGCGCAAACTATCATTGATCATACGATCTATCAGTTCAAAATACGGTATGGCTCGTGACAATGAAGCGCACACGGCCTTCCAGGGAACTTTTTCTCTACTGTTTAACAATGTTACTGGCGCGTAAAGCTTTGTTTGGAAATGATGGACCCTTATGCCATGATGATTGTGCAAAAATAATGGTATGATTTACTTGATTTTTCATGTGAGATATGAAAAAGGAAAATCTATAGATAAAATATAATCGAGGATCTACGTACTTACTCGGGACACGGTTTGTGTAATTGCAGAGGGCGTGTGCATTGGTTAAGAAGCTAGAAGTTTTTTCCCTTATCTGATTATTCTCGATTTGGTGAATTAGAAATGATTCGACGAACCTGGTTCCGTTTTATTATCGGAGAAAGGAGGGGCAGGTCAGTTCCCCGTACCAAAAGATGAAAGTTTTTTCTTCCTATTGGCTTGGGGACTTGAAAATTGAATGCATAGAGATAATTCCGCCTGAAAAAAAAAATTTGGAAGAGCGGAAAGATGAAATATGAGATGGATTCATTTTTTTGGTTGTTCATTTGTCTTCAAACACACGAAATATCTTCACTGTCAACGTTAAGCTTGTTTTTAAAGGCAAAATAACAAAAAGGCGAATATTACCTGTTTTGTCGTTTTGGCGGAACATGATCTTTTTACTAGTGTGAATCTTTTTTGAGTTTCCTTGTCAATTTTTTTTTTATTTTCAGTAAGCGAAGACAGTAACTATAATAAGAAATCTGATAAACTAAGCTGCACAGTGCGATTCGCCATCTGATAACAACTCCACACCGGTATCTGATTTTTTTTTTTTTTTTTTTTTCGCAGAGGATTTATTTATTTATTTTGCTGGGACGATCCGCATTTTTTCTTGCATTTCTTTTTTTTTCAATTTTCCTTCCTTGCACAATCCATTGTATTATTCCTTTTTTAGTCCTTTAACACGAATAATCAATCGGAATCGTCATGGCAGGCCTTGGAAAAATAAAGAATACGTCAAATTTCCATGTAACGGCCTACTCGTATGCCATGTTCTGGTGGGGTCTGTTCGCCATCTACTGTATCGGATACCAGCTGTCTCGTTTACGCGTGTATTGGATCCGTCGTCAACGTGCCTTGGGTAAAGACGTCCCTTACACCCCGTTACCCGGTGCACGGTTTCTGCGTCCTCTCAACCGTCAAGTCAAGATTCCCTTTGTTACCGACATGATTCCTGTGAAGCATATCTTGGGTGTCACCTTTTTCATCTTTATCAATATCATCTTCTTATTCTTTGCTCCATTCGCCCTCAATGAGGGTATGTCTTACGAGGTCCCTCAAATTGGTATAATGGATCGTCGTGCCGCGTACCTTGGCATGGTGAACTGGTGCTTCGTCTTTCTTCTCGGTTCCCGAAATACCATCATCACCAACATGTCGGGGATGACTTTTGAAGGTTTTATTCCGTTTCACCGATGGTTGGCACGTATCGGTTTCCTGGAATTTATTCCCCATTTTGTCTGGCGCATGTAAGTTGAGATTTGCTTTTTTATTTGAACGTGTTTTTCTCTTCAATTGTAGATGGCGCATGCTCATTTCTTTTGGTTAGGATTCACGGTTATCAAAAGTACCACGTTCCCAAGGATGCGTTATTCCGTGATTTAGAGTATACATCTGGCACCGTGGCTATGCTTGGTTTCATGTTAATTTTCGTCACTGCGTTTGAGTACATTCGTCGCAACTACTTTGAAGTATTTTACTATGCTCATTTGACCGGGATCCTGATTGCCATTATTGCCAGCTGCATTCATGAAGTCGGTTGTTTCCTGTACTTTATGCCTGTGGTTGGCTTGTGGTTCTTCGACCGCATGTGGCGTTCGTACCAATCCTGGGCAGTGAAAATCGCTCCTTTGCGTATCGATGAAGCCGTGTCGCAAACCAAGGACCAAGATGGTATTGTTCGTATCCTTTTCCAGCACTCAGCTTTTGCCCGCTTCCGCCCTGGCCAATATGTGTTTATCGCCATTGCCGAAAAAGGTCGCGCTATTGCCCGTTATGCCAACTGGCATCCCATGACAGTTTCCGAAGTTTTCCGTTTGAACAAATCCGCCCCCAATCCTCTGGATAACGCTATTGAAGAACGCGTGGTCGACAACACTGCTAAAGAAAAGATCGAAAAGCAAGTTCAAGATCACGACAGTTTGTTCGAAAGCGATCGTCGCTCTATCACCAGCACGCTTCGACGTCGTGCTCCCGGTGCCGCTGGCGCTGATTCCAACACCATTGCCTCTCTTCACGTCAAGGCCCTTGGTAACTATACTCGCCGCTTGTTGGAAGTCGCTGCTTCAGATGACACGCTCGGTCTCAAGGTGGATGGTCCTTATGGTCCCAAACTCGAATATCAAGATTATCCCGTCATGGTCGCCTTTGCTACTGGTATCGGTATCACCCCTGCTCTGACTCTCATCAAGGATTGCGTTGAAAGACGCACCGCCGGTGTCAAGACGGTCGCCACTGAAAGTCTTTACCTTATCTGGGTGATTCGTTATACAGGTAATTAAATGCATCAGATGACATGGAACCAAAAAAAAAAAAGCATTGATACTGACCTCTTGTTTTAATAATAGATGAACTCGCTCCCTTCACAGACTTGATTGATTACTGGTTAGAAAGATGCCAAGAGGCTGCCCAACCATTGAACCTTCATCTTTCCATCTATGTCACGCGTGTGCAAAACGGTGACGAAAACTTGATTCCCGGTTGCAAACTTCACTACGGTCAGCGTCCTGATATTCACAAGTGTATGGCCAGCATTCACGATGCCCATCCCAATACCCGTGCATGGGTTCACACGTGTGGTCCTGACGACTTTATGCGCACTGTACTCAACTCTGCATTATCCTATCATTGGGATGCTCATCACGAAACCTTTGACCTCTAGAATATTTTTTTTGTAATTTTTTTTTTCTTATTGCTTCGCTTCATAACCTTACTCAACTGTGATAATATTTTTCATTCTTTCTTTTTTTTTTTCTTTCAATCGAACCCCAAACTTCTTTCATAACATATATATTTTTTTTTTTTTTTTTGCTTGGTTTTTCAAGAAAATCCAATAAACACGTGCTAACTTCATTTATCCCACTTTCATTTCATCACACTTTTTAATTCTATTATTCTTGGTATTGGCCAATTTTCGCTTAATTTTTTTCTTTTTTTTCTTTGGCCGGGGATGGCGGACAGGCGGTGCCCGGATCAAAGACAAGGGGATTGGGATTGGAGAGAGGACGTTTACGCGGAGTATGAAACCAGCCACTCCATAGTTGGAACGCTTGCGACATGACTGGAAATTTTTCGTTTTTCCACTTTTTTCCCCTCCCCCCAGTTTTTTGAGAAAATCCTCTTTCGCTTTTTTTTTTCTTTTTATTCCACTCTGGTTGTTTTGTGAGCTTCAGTTTTTCTGGTCTTTTTTTTTTTTTTTTTTTTGTCTCCTCGATTATTCTCCATTTTCACGGTGTTCTTCCATCTCACGTGCGTAACATGGCACCTATCATCGTGAAAATCCGTGGCAATAAGCCGTTTGCACCGTTTTCACAGATGGATTCGGAAGACGACCTTTGTAAAACATGGCGTGTATGTACGAAAATCCGAGATTCGCTGGAAAATGGTTCACGACTGGAAAATCTGTCATGGCGACTATGGTTTCGCAATCACGTCTCCAAGGAATCGGCTTTCCGTCGATTGACCAAAGGTATCACCACGCAACTTGAACGTCACCCTTCCATTGGTTCAACGACACAATTACCACCTTCGGTCATTCAAGCGACAGCTATTTTAAGAGCGAAAACAACCCCTTCGACTACAGCCACGACGGTGTCCCGCACAGAGGATGTGATGGTTCATCCGGCACAGCCTCCGTTACAGTTTTCTCAGCCTACCTTGGACTATTACACCCTCTCGCAGTTCACTTCGGATCAAGCCAATGATCCACCCATTAAAATGGAAGACATCTTTGGCGCCTTGTCGGATATGCAAACTTATCTTCCACCCCAACCTTCCCAACCGCCTCACCCATCCGTCGCGCAACCTTCGCAACCGCAAACACAAAACAATGAAACATGGCACATGGATTATATGTCGAATTCCGACGTGGTCTATACCCCTCACCAACCACAGTCCATGCTTTCTTCGAGTGTTGTACATACACCCATCAACGACCCATCGTCAGATCAGATGAATCAGACTGTAAACTATAATATGTCCTTGTCGATGCCTTCCAGTCCACTTTTGTATGGTCACCCTTTCTCCGCAAGTCAACCTCAAACCCCTATCACCGAATCTGAAGCAATTTACGGTTCTTCGGCCGACAATCTAGCATCGACTTCTGATTCAATTTTTGACACCAGTCTGTATGATGAAACCGATACCGCGCAACGCCCTTACTATCATCCTGTCCCCATGTTTTCCTCCAGCACCGCATCGGTCGCCTTGTTCGATGAAACCCAATTTGGTAATCTGTAAGTATTGGTGGTTTTTCTTTCAAAACCGCTGGTCTTGCACTTTCGAAGAAAAGAAAAATTGACCTAGTCATCGAATCTTTTTTCTTCTAGGAATATGACCCGACGGCCGGTTTACTATGAAGAATCGTCCACTCCACAACAACCAAACTCATCGTTTCACGATCCCACCATGCAACTAGACGAACGTTTATCGACCTCTACTTTGGCGTCCCCTTACGGCGATAGTCAGTTGAAACAGGCCGAAACCGATTTGATGGAAAGTCAATTTCCACAACCGGTGTGTACCAATTGTGGTGCCACCTCGACTCCATTGTGGCGAAGGTCACCGGACGATGATCTCTTATGTAACGCTTGCGGATTGTAGTAAGTTTGAAAGCTCCCATGTTCATCATTGAACAAATTGTCACGGACCATTTTGTTTGTTTGTTTTGGTACTCATTTTGCGTCATTTTGTTCTTGTTTTTCTTCCCCCGGCAACCTTATTTAGCCAAAAATTGCACAATGCACCTCGCCCCAAATCGCTCAAATCCAACAGTACCCGTACCAGTATACGAGAAGAAGAAAACTCACAATTGGTATGCTCCAATTGTGCCACGATGAAAACTCCGTTGTGGCGGCGCGATGAAGAAGGTGCTCCTCTTTGCAATGCCTGTGGACTATAGTAAGTGTAGATGACGTTGAAATCATTGAAAAAGGGAGAAAGCATTACTTACTATGGTTCCCCATTTTTTAACAGTTTAAAACTTCATCATGAACGTCGCCCATTATCGATGAAAACGGATGTCATCAGAAAGCGACAACGCCACGAACCGGGAGGTGGCAATGGTCGAAAGATACTTGCAAAGAAACTGAAACTCGAAGGAAAACTCGATGCTGCCAATATCACGACGCCGGAACCGTCGCCTTCACCGGATGCACAAGTGATGATGCGACAACAATACTTTACAGAAAATGATGTCTGCGGCACTCCCATGGGTTACACTAGCCCATTCGCGTTTCCCTAAACAACCCTACCTGTTCCGGTGTAATTCCTTTTTTTGGCTTACCATTTCTTTACTCTCTTGTACTATAATAATTGTGTATATCCCATGTTCTACTTCCCCAAATCTTGTAATTCATTTTCTATGTATCATGGTATTTCCAGTTACGCGCTCTTCCATCTCCTCTCCCCATCTTTTGAAATTTTAACTCGCCTATAGCAACCACTCGCATTACATTTCCTTTAATTCAATTCATCCCACCTCTCTACACATCCATAGAACAATGCTCTTTTTTTTTTCACCGCAGCTTCTGCTTGATTTGATTCCGACGTGGGTAAAATGTCTGTTTCCGTTGTAAATCACATGGGTTGATGTTGTTGTGGACGGGACAAACAGCGCAATTCAAACATTGGTTAATGCACAGAGAATCTGTTTCCTACATTAGAATATGCCTGCAAGTGATTGATCAGTCAAAAATAATGGTTTTTTTTTTTTTTTTTACTTGCACTAACATAACAAGCATGTATTTTTCAATATGAAATCATGCAGGGAAGTTGCGCGCATGTCATGTTGAATGGCGGGGTATCGCTTTTTCCAAGTGTTTCCACCTTTTGTATGTATGCATTCATTTTTTTATGATGTACGTAAGCAGTTCTTGCAAACGCATGGAGCGTGTTACATTCTGGCCGGAAGTCAGATTAAAACTTTGTGTTTTCTCGTTGGTTTCTTCATGATCTGATGAAGCCAAACTGCAACCAGCCTATTTTTTTTCCGTCTCCGACGGGCCCATGAAAATTTTTCTCCGCCTGCTTTTATTGCCAGAACGGCAAACCCATATCAACTACTTCAAGTGATTTAACTCACTCCTTCGGCTGCCATGGGAATTCCACTTTACAAACCTCGTTCTGAACGGGTTTTTGAGGAAGATTTTGAAGCATCGCCTCTGTCGTCTTACCCCTATTCTTCTCGTCGACGTTCTTCTGTATCGCGTTTACTGTCGAGAGTGAGACAGTCGAGAATAATGAGTACGACTCGTCGACCGGGTGCATCATCCTTTGTACCCACATCCGACTTTGCAGTTCGTCATCGTTCCCGCGCGCTTCATGTTGCACCTCAACTGACTCCCGAGAGCTCGGATTTGGATCGTCAATTCCATATGCGATTCACGGAAAAGCAAAATTTACTGGATCAACTCGAGATTACGGCGACATTACTGGATCAGTTTCTATGCGCGCGATCGGCTCATGGATCGGACAATACGGCTCTGCCAAGTTTTCTGACCGAAGGTGTGTGTGTGAGGCAAAAATAAGGTTAATCATTTACCTGCTTTGAGTGGGGTACTCAATTCAATTTTTCCCAATTTCAGATTTACCCACGGTATTGGGAACAGCTGTCAACTTGACCTCGTCCTCTGTAACGAACCGCATGCCGCCGCTTTCCTTGACGGGGTCGTCGTCATCCTCATTGTCTCCTGCATCGTCTACCACGACGGATTCCAGCCAATCCGATGCTTCTCCGCTACAAAACGTAACGGATCATATATTGCATACCATCTATACCACTCGCCTTCATTATCTAGAAACCAGCATCTTAACCGCTCATCGACGTATCCGAGATCAACTGGCGCTTATAAACTCGTCCGTTCCCATCGCCGCCCTTGAATCATCTCAGAACCCTTCATCCTCAACAGCGTCTACCTACGCCTCGTCATCCTCGTCTTCTGCTTCTCTGCGTTAACAAAAACCCCATCGTCCTCGTATGTTTATGTAGAGAGGTTCTTAATTAGTATTATACCCTTCTGCCGAGAAATGGCTCACACCTTGCGGGGTCAACGACCCATCTCTGATTGCCCCCAAACCGTCACAAGTACGGCACTTATTGTTTATTCAATGGGAAGATATATTTTATTCAAAAATAAAAAAATAAAAGAGGTAAAATAACAAGGATTTTTGATAATCCAAATGGTCGGAAACCACCACGGGCAAAAAGGACAAAACCGAGGAAAATGGGATAAGAAATATAGGAAAGGGGTATGGGTGATCAATTATTGGATCACAGATGTATCATTGAATCGATGGAGTAGCTTTTTCTTAGCGAATGTAAAAGTCTTCCGCTGGGGAAACAGGAACACTGCTGTCTTCTTCCCAAACCGAGTCGGTAACAGGTTGGTTCACGTGGTCTTCCGTCCAGCCTACGTTCTTGTGATCGTTGGTGGTGCTTTTAATTTCTTCTTCTTCCCAAGCGCCTTCATTACTGTGATCGGGAATGTTGATACTTTCATCTCTCCATTCATTGGTGTGAGCAGGGGCTTCTTCTGAGACCCAATCGTTCAAGTGTTCTTCCTCAGCCGTTAACCATTCGTTATCGTTGGCATGAGCAGAGGCGTCCGATGCTTGACCGTCACCGTTCCAGGCATCTGTGGTTCCGTCCACCACTTCGCTGAACCATTCACCTTCATTCAAATGCTCAGTAGGGTCTTCTTCTGCGACCCACTCATTCAAGTGCGTCTCGTCGCTCACCGCCGGTTCTTCAGTGGCATGCTCTTCGGCACTCCATTCACCTTCGTTGGAATGATCAGGGATAGCAGCGGTATCAACAGAGGCCCATTCATTGCTATGGTTTTCATTTACTTGCGATGGAGTGTTGCTGACAACGTCAAAGTCCTCGGTTTGCCAATCATTCAGTGGAGCGTCTTCGTGCCATTCGGCATTGTTATGGGGCGTGGGAGCTCCTTGGCTGTTCCACTCATTGGTATGGCCACTCTGAGTGGTACGTCGATCATCATCGGTGAAATAAGGGGAGTTGTCATGGCTGTTGGCATGCTTGCTTCCCAATTGGTCTAAATCAGCGGCCAAAGCCTTGTTGGAGACAGGTCGAGCGAAAGCGGCGGCATCGTTCACCTCATTCTTGTGGGTGACGACTTGCGTTTCCGTCTGCTTATTTTTGTCAATGTACTTGGTGTAATCTTGATCAAGACTCTATAATTGCGTAAATAACATGAATCAGGACATTGGACGATGAATATGGTTTTCCTTCCTGTCACTTACGGCAATATAGGCATCAAAGCTGGTATGCTGGTTGTCACTTTCTTGCTTGGTGGGGCTGACCGCAGGAGCTTCGTTGGAATGACCTTTGTTGGCGTTCGAATTCTGATCAAAATAAGAGTCCAATTCATCCATCATGGCATTCCAGTTCTTATCATCGTGCGTAGCCGTATGCTTGTTGCCTTTGTGTTTGATATCGTTGACAATTTCGTCGAGTTCCTGATCGTTGACATGGTTAGGTCGGTTGCTGGTGTGTTTAATGCCGTTCATAATGGAATCAAGTTCCTGGTCGTTGAGATGACTGGGTTGCTTGTTTGCATGTTTGATATTCTCGACAATCGCATCAAGCTCTTGGTCGTTGAGATGAGTCGACGCCTTTTGATCGTTATGCTTGAGGTCATTCAAAATAGCGTCCAATTCCTGATCGTTCAAGTGCGATGCTTGAGAGGAACCATGCTTGATATTTTCCACAAGGGCATCCAATTTAGCATCGTCCATATGGTTTGTTTTGGATGATGACGATGAACCCTTCTTCAAATCATTGACGATGGCGTCCAATTCCTCGGCTAAATGTGCGTTCTCCGCAGCATTTTTCTTGATGTCTCGTACCAGTTGCTCCAAATCATCAGAGGAGTGTTCGATTCCTTCGCCTGCGTTGGCATGGCTGGCTTGACTGTGCTTGATACTTTCTACCAGCTGATCCAGCTCTTGATCGTTCATGTGAGCCGTTTGTTGTTCAGGAGCCTTTGTTGAAGGTGTATCCGAACGTTTGTTAAGCTTGAACTCGAGCGAATTATATTTACAATGGGTAGGTTGACCGACACTTTCAAGCACAATATGATGGTTTCCTGTACAGGATATAACATAAGAAAAGGATGCGCATCAAACAGTAAGAGTCAAACTTTACCTGGCTGGTGCCCATTGAGATTAAAAGCGACTTCACCGGTTGTACCACGCTTGGCATCTGTAAATAAGGAGTGAAGAAATCGTTCAGCAAGAGAGGGAAAAAGGTCGAAGACAAGAGTTTGCAAATAATAATTTTCATATAATAATAAATAGAGCTTACCAAAAAGGCCGATGTGATCGACGTCTGTTCTTTCAAGATCGGACCGAAGTGTAATGTTGACTTGTTTGTACTCTTCGGGAGCTTGCCATGCAATGACATGCTTGCTTCCGTCTTCAAACGCATAACCTATCATGGCGGGGTTATTAACGGGGTCCACTTTTATGGTTTCACTGTCTCTAGGCAAAGGTGTTTACCTAGATCATTAGGATACGTGATGCGAAGCTCTACATGAAACAAAAATGATTCACTGAATGAGTTTACAGCTATCATGCCAACAGTAAATTGTAACAAGACACATTACGACTACAAGGGCTAGGTTTCGTGGCGGAATTGTCGAGAGGCGCGTTGCTATGAGGTTCAGGAGTCTTTGTCGAAGGTGTATCCGAGCGTTTGTTAATCTTGAACTCGAGCGAATTGTATTTACAATGGGTAGGTTGGTCGACACTTTCAAGCACGATATGATGGTTTCCTGTACAAAAAAGTAACATAAGAAAAAAGACGCGCATCAAAAGAAATAAGAGTCAAAGTTTACCTGGCTGATGCCCGTTGAGATTAAAGGCGACTTCATCGGTTGCACCACGCTTGGCATCTATAAATAAGGAGACACGAAATCGTTCAGCAAGAGTGAACCAAAAAAAAAAGAAAAAAATTGCGGAGAAACAAGGTCGAGGACAATCATTTTTATGGCTAGTTTGCAAATAAAATTTCTTGTTATAAATAGAGCTTACCAAAGAGGCCGATGTGAGCCACATCTGTTCTTTCGAGGTCGGACCGAAGCGTTATATTGACTTGCTTGTACTCTTCAGGAGCTTGCCATGCAATGACATGTTTGCTTCCGTCTTCAAACGTAAAACCTGTCATGGGCGGGGTTATTAACGGAGGCCACTTTTATGGTTCCACTGTTTCTATGCGAAGTTTTTACCTAGATCATTAGGATACGTGATGCGAAGCTCTACATGAAACAAAAGTGGTTCACTGAATGAGTTTAAAACTGTCATGCCAACAGTAAAATGTCACAAGGCACATTACGGCTACAAGGGCTAGGTTTCGTGGCGGCATTGTCGAGAGCCGCGTTGAGATGAGTTTCAGGAGAAGGACTGGTGAAGAAAGGGCTGGCTTGGACAAACGTGCCTACGTGAAGTAACAAGGCAGCTGCTGTGGACAAACTACCCGCGGTGGACAACAGCTTCATTTTTCAAAGGAGAACAAGAAAAAAGAGAAGCGAACGAAAAAAGGAAAACCGAAAACAAAGCAATACTTTTTTAAAAAAAGGGACAACAACGAAACCTCCAATCTCGTTTTTTAAAAAAAAAAAAAATTAATTGGGCGGGGTCTCTGACCAGACACCAACAAAAAAAAAAAGGCAGCGGGCTCAATCAAATTCAGTAGTTGAACCTATTTTTATATCAACGTTGTACAAAGGCTTATTGTACAAACTTTGTTAAAGAGGTGCTTAACCGTAATGAGATTGGCCTACGGATTCCCAGTTTAAGCCACACGCTTCGCCTCCAAAGCCTGCGGCATCAAATGTATCCTCCAGCACCTCGTCGTTTGTCGCGTAGTGGTTCGTACTACCCACTCGATTTGTACAGTGTCTAAATAATCAATAATGTCAGAAAAAAGAAACAACCCAATCCAAGACCATGCACACGATGATAAAACTACGAACCTCATTCTAGAAGCTTCATGACGTGCTACACCTGTCGCCATGGATTTCCTTGGTATGTGCAGCGTGGAAGAGGACGGCTGACTATTGTGATCCGTGGAATAGGCCGAGCCCTCGTTTAAATCCCCGCCAGTACACCGATCCCGATCTTGCAAAGCCTCAGCCTTCCTTCGATCCAATTCTTCCAGTTCATCGTTCATATGCTTCTCTAGCGCTTCAGTTGCAATCCATTCTCCGCAAATGGTACACATATCCACTTGCTCCACATCGTCACCTGCTTCGTTGTCTGATGTAGTAAACGGATCATTCTCTCCCGGTATATGCGCTACGCTGTCATGATCCATTTGGTTCTTTTTGTGAGCTGCATCATGCGACAATGGGTTTTCTTTTTCGAGTGGCAAAGTGGTATCATCATCCACGGGAGATTGAGATTGATTGTTACGATGAAGGTGTTTCTCCAGTAATAATCGATCCGAAATTGAAGCTTCGTCGCCTTGCTTGTCTGGAGAAGCTCCTATACAATTGGCGGCATGTAATATAATTCTATTCTCTGGGAATCGACAGGAACAAATGGGGCATTCCTTCAACTAATCGATCATCATTAGTCGATAATGATTTGTCAACGTGACCGCGCTAAAATCCCAATTTTTACCTGTGCGGACCTCGGAGGGTTCCTTGGTATGCGAGGTGGGTATATTTGACGACGTGACAGTAATTTCTCGACAAATTGATCCAGATCCAGGGCTTCATCATCATCGCTCGAAGATGACGAGCCAATATCACGGAATTTCCGCCGTTTACTTTGCCATTGGTTTTGTTCATCTTCTTGTGTTGTGGGGCTGAATGTCTGTCTTTCATGACTGTCATCGTCGAACACACTTTCAAAAAATAAAGGTGCCACCGGACTGGACTGTAAGAGCGGTTCGCCTTGTTCACTTGGTAGACGAGGGGTATTTAATGTATCTGAGGACGCAGGAATGGTGATATCGTGGTGAAGGGGACTGCCCTCCGTTTCTTCAAAGAAGAGGGGTCGCATTGGACTTGATTGGAATATATCGTCATCCAACAGGCTGGATCGAGAAGGTCGCTTTGGGCTTTGGTCCAACTCGCTGGGACGGCTATTGGCTTCTGCCTCGATCCAAGCAGATAAATCGTCTATTTCGAAGCCTTCTTCATTATTTACAGGGTGCGGTGCTCGTTGTTGCTCAGATTTAACATTGTCGTTCGCACGCACTGAAGGTTTTTCCTCTGAATTGAAAATCACAGGAATTACATGTTCTTCTTTCACCGGTATTACAGCATCATGCGTTGTTGGTAATGATCGATTGGTACGATCGCCCAGCGGTGCATGCGTGCGATGTTGACGTGATTTGGCCTGTTTCTCGTAATGGCGAAGTAGCTCGAGTTCCTGCTCGTGCTGTCGTTTCGCTTCTTGTTGACTTAATGCCAAGGCGTACTGCAGTTCGCGATCGTGATCGTGATCGTGATCATTGGGTGCGACATTCTCCGAGTGGTTCGCCCATTGAGAATGTGATTGAACCGAACTTGGCTTTCTTTTTGTTCTACTTTTTGTCCTTGCGCCACCGGATAGCCACGATCCTAATGTACTGTTGCGATTCATAGAATTGGCAAGAACTGGAAGAAAAACCTGTGGGTTGGTGAGAACGGATGAATGTGGAATGGCCCTTTCAATTTTTTTTTTTTCGATCCAGCTGGAAAAACACGCCGGACCAGTTATAAAAAGTCGCGTGCGGTTATTTCCGCAACTTTTAGAAACTTGGTATGCACAACGTTTAAAGCAAAATTCATAAGTGTAGTATACATATTCACAATATTTTTATTTTTGTTTCAACGATCAAAGCAGAAATTTACAAATAATGGTAAGGTAAAAAAAAAAAAAGAGGCTTAATTATCCTTGAGAACGACCGATTCACGGTTGAGCGTATTGGCGGCATCTGTACCAGTGGTACCGACTTGAGCCATATAAGCACGTGCCTTGTGATAAGCATCGTTAAATGTATCGGTGGTCACGCCTTGTGCGCGAGAAAGCTGGTTACGGAGAAGAGTTTCACCTTGCTGGAGATGCGCGTCCACCACATCCTTGTTGGACAAGTACAAGCGAGGGAAAATGAAAGCAGAAATCAAAAAGATAAGAAGAATGGTCATGCTAGAGACATAGGCAGAGATTGTCCAGGTAGTGTAAAATATGGCCAACCATTTCAGACTGGTGGCGCTGTTTTCAATCAACACAATACGGGCCAAAGCATGAGCCACGGTTTCAGCAAGGTCGACGAGCACAGAACTGTAGCGTTGAACATTTTGCTTGTTCATTTCGGTTAAGCTTTCCTTCTGAAGCACACCAGTGTAAGGGTGACTGGATTGGCCGTCGTTGAACACCTTTTGGCTTTGTGTCATAAAAGTCACATATAAAAAGTTCAAACCGATGGCCACGGTAAGAAGAGCAGAAGAAATTTGCAATAATGAGTAGTGACGGGTCAAGAGAATCGAGCCCACAGACAACACGAGAATCGCTGCGGAACGAACAGGGTTTTCCCAACGCAAAACGCGCCAGACTTCACGTTCCATATGGTCAGTGGTTTCATTACGGTGCGAGGATCCTGCATGAACGGTAAACAAAAAAAAAAAAAACATCAGAACAAATGCATCATCTTATAATCCACAATGGATTGCTTATTTACCACTGTAGCTGCGAGTGGGTCGATTGCCTGTGTTCATCTTGTCCTCTTTACGCTCAAAAGAGTCATTATTGGAAAGTTTGCTGGTATCAACACCAGGCGCCTTGCGCTGCCGCATCGTTTGATCCATGGTGGATGTAGGGAAACCTGGGTCGCCATTTTGGGGCTTCGTGACGGGATCTTGAGGCGCAAAAAAGGCGTTATCATTGGCGGCCAAAGGAGCCGCCGTGGTGTGAGTGTGAGTGTGCTCTGGTTGAGTGCTTGACAGTTTATCCAACGGCATGGTGGTAGGAGCCGCCGTGTTGGTGAGACCAGTATCAGTATTCTTTAAGGAATGATCCATGGGTGGAGTAAGAGGTCTTCGATGGATCTCGGGTTCAGCAGATTGCATGACGAAGAAGAAAAAAAACCTTTATGCGAGGGGAGTGAGTTTTATTGATAAAAAATGTGAGTAGGGGACTCACCTTGCTTGCCTTTATAACCCTTGCGAAATGTGAGGTTGGTCGGAGTGTCATCGAAATGACGATATCCGCCAATTTCTATCATTGGCAATCCGCGCATAAAATATTTTTTTTTATTGCATTGATATCATAATGACTACAAAAGTTCCCTTTATTTCGCACCACGCTTGTTCATCAGTTCCCCGGTTCCTTTTGTTGCATTTCAGCTGAATAACGTGTAAGTCTCGAATAAAAAAAAAATTGTTGCTCACTGCGTGAAGAATGTAGCCGAGGTCTCCATTCTCTGATTGGCTCCGTTATAACACAGGCCGAGCAAAGCGTGAATTAGATGGCCAGACGTTTGTTTGTCAATGCCATTAACGGTATCGTCTCCACAGAGTAATTTATTGATGTCATCCAAGATCATTTGGCGCAATCCAACCCTTTATGCATAAATCCATCATGTTCTATTCCTCACTTCTTCCCACGAAAGATAGTCGATGGCAATCGGCGGGAAGACGAGAGGAGACCTTATTTTTTCTTGCAACAGGCGCAGAATCCATGGTCATTACATCGTCACATGCTTTTGATGGGCGCAAGTTTAATTGGAACTATCCACCAAGGAGAGAAATAGCTCGACTTTGCCAAATTGATACATTATTTTTGAAATTTGGAACGCAATCAGCGCAAAGCAACAAAAATGGAATGTCTAGACTGAAGCTGAGACGGTTGTTTCTGAAAAAAATGATTATTTTTGGTATCCGTAATAGAACAACGTGATTCGCGGAATTGCCGGATAAACGCTCTTTATACTGGTTGCCCTTTTGCCTTGTCGATCCGTGGAGTTGAAAGTCTCCAACTGGGCAACAGACATTGCCTTTGCGGTGCTGACATTGACTTTTGCACTCTGCTCATCTTGATCAAAAAATTGCCCTTCCGTTTGTTTGCCGGAAAGTCCCTTCTATTTCATCAGGCGTTCAACTAAACCGAGCATCGCACGAAATCGTTTAGTCTTGCCCCATGAAGTCCGCGCCGAACAAAAATGATCACATCAATATCTTCCACACTAAATAGCTACACACTACTAGCCGGTAGCGCTCAAAATCTTGCAAATGCTGCATTTGAGCATAGTTAGCTGACTGTGAACGTTCTGTTCTCACCATAAAGCAGAGGGATAAAGCATGATCATACAGTATTCACTATCTCTAAAGCTGAATGCATTTTATCAAGTATCATCTTGCACTTATTCTCAATCAGTTCCGGCGAATATCAATAGGATAACAAGAAATCGACCCGGTTGACTTAAGGTGCCCGATAGGCTCATGTATCATAGATAAACCTGAAATTCTCGATCATTTCGTCTTTAGACAAATTTGAATTGACAAGGGGCAATACAACTTTTTTTTTCTTTCAAGTGATGGTTCGGAGCAAAACCGATAATACATGGAAAACACAGTGGTCAACGCGACGCGCCAGTGGTGCCGATGAAAAAGATCGCGTGGCCAAAACGAAATTAGAATTCCGATATGTGGCATTGTTTGAAAATTGACGCGTTTTTTGGAATATGTAATTTTCGACAGATGAACGCGTTATGAATGGGCAAATTGACGTCCTTTTGTCGTGACAAAGAATTGCATCAAAGGCAGGATTGTGTGTAAGTACCCATTTCTATTATATTGGCTGCTCCTTGGTTTGAAAAAAATACAAGGGCCAAAAAAAAATTTTATTACCGAGTGGCAAAGACAAGTCCAAATCAGTGCGACTGCTCGAGCGTGCATCAGTTGCAACGATTTTTTTTTCCTTCTTTCTCCACCAATTGTATTTATTATCCTTGCGGGCCACAGCCACCATAAAACAGCGTACCCTTTTTATTACCTATCCTTGATACCTCGTAACCCTCCCCTCTACATAACGATGACGGAATACGTCTCTTCAGCAGCCTCCAAGAAAGAAGAACGCAAAAGAAAGCAAGAGGAGATTGTCAAGGAACTCCAAACTCAAGATCTTGACGGATACCAGAAGCTGTCCAAAATTGGCGAAGGCACTTACGGCATTGTCTTTAAAGCGCGACAGACCAAAACCAATCGATTGGTAGCATTGAAGAAGATTCGTCTCAATTTCAGTGAAGGCGTCCCTACTACCGCCGTTCGAGAAATCGCCCTACTAAAAGAAGTGAATCACACCAATGTTATCCGGTAACATGTCTAGATGTTATAAAACTCTCGCCCTCAGTTCGCTCTAAATGTCTCCCACAGATTACTCGATCTGATCCAAAAGGACACTTCGATTTACCTTGTTTTCGACTTTTCCGAAGTGGTAAGTGTTACTGATGTTTCCCAGTGCAGCGCGTATAGCAAGTCATGATGACTCATTCTCTTTTGAAGGATCTGCGGCGGTATATGGATGCAGTAGGACGAAAAGGTCTAACGCCTGCCCACATAAAAGTAAAATACGCCCATACCGGATCTACAAGCAATTGCTTTATAATTGATCTTTTTTCTTCTTCCGTTTTAGAGCTTTATGCATCAGCTTATTTGCGGTATCCGATATTGTCATTCTCACCGTATTCTTCATCGAGATTTAAAGCCGCAAAACTTGTTGATCGACCGAAACGGCAAACTCACCATCGCAGATCTGGGGCTATCCAGAGCCTTTGCAGTCCCTTTACGAACATATACACATAACGTATGCACCCCACATTCACTGTCCAACCTCATCATCGCCACGCCCTAATACGCTTTATTACGTATGCTAGGTCATTACACTTTGGTATCGAGCGCCCGAAATTCTGTTAGGCAGTCGGCATTATTCTACAGCAGTAGATATGTGGAGCATTGGATGTATATTTGCAGAATTGATGATACTTAGGCCATTATTCCCAGGTACCTATTCTTTTCGATTGGAAAACGAAAAACAAATGACTAAACCGTCTCTGCGTTTTTAGGAGATTCGCAGATCGATGAACTCTTCCATATATTCCGGTAAATCATAACAAGTGTGGACTTGGTATAATCTTCGTGGAGCTCAATCCTGTTCCTTTCCATCTCGATAGTCTACTTGGCACACCATCTGAAGAGGAATGGCCGGGTGTCACAGCATTGCCCGATTATAACCCTGGATTTCCTGGTAAGTATGCTTTGCCCGGACTTGTGCTTGGTGTAGATTTTGTTTGCTGATCTGTGATAATACCGTAGTATGGAATGCGGTAGATTTACGAACAAAATTCAAGACTTCCAAACATTTTGTCGATCTTGGTGATCATGCTTTTGACTTGCTGAAGGTGAGATGACCCGGACCTGATGAAGCACTAAAATATGCTCAAAAAAGTTTTGATTTTTGATCCTCAGTCTATGATTACATACAATCCTGCGGAGCGTATTGCGGCAAAAACGGTATGTTGGTTTGATGTATACAATGAAACTGAGTTGCATTGCTGAATTTTTCATACGGGAGCATAGGCAGAAGAACACGATTACTTTTATGATGATCTCAGCATGTTGCAATTCTAGGCTGGAACTTCGGTAGATTCTATTTCAAACAGTTTAATCTATATATATAGATGAAATTTGCATAGAAAAAGGGAAAGTAATGGAAGCAAACACTATTTAAGAATAAAATATGTAAACCCCCGCCAAAGCTGTTGCGTAATGTGCCTTGAACGTGGACAGGTCGCTTGAAGCGTCTCTGTCATTGAAGTATCACTTTAACCTCGTTGATGCTCACCCTAATTATCTATAATGTTTCCTGCAGACAACAGCGTCTTTCATGGTGTTTACAAGAGATACGAGGTAGTCCGTTGACATGTAACAGGAAGAATAATAGAAAACAACTGAAGGAGCTCCACAATGTGCATTACATGACATTCTCTGCTTGCGCACAATCGTCATGGGCTAGTATGTTTGAGCAATCGCGTAGTCAAATTGCAAAGTTTAACGCGTATTTATTGACTTGACAGACTTACGTGTATCAGCTTCACATTTTTTTACAGTAACTATTCCGTAATCTGTTCAACATTTGATGGATCTGGAGACATTGGCTGGTTGAGTGTAATGATATTGACATTGGAAATAGAGGTTCTGGCCCACAAAATAGGAATCAAAAACGATAAACAGCGAACACTAGCAATGGATCTCCTTTTATAGATACATTCACACATCGACGCCCGTTTTTCGAACAACAATGTTATCGTGGATGAAAACAATCACTGGGAAGCAGGTTTCTGTCACTTTTTCACACGCGGGCATATTTATTTGCTTATTGTGCCATTTCTGTATCCTCCTCCACACCTCGAATATATAAAACATTGTTGCATCTACAAGAATAACAAACAGCCAAAGGTAAGTTTTAGCGAGATCGTTGACAGTAACCGTGGATCGCTCATTACGCACCTTATCAGCACTTCACCCAAGGTGCCCACGGAAACACCTTCTTGGAATTCTTCTGTGTTGGCCAACTTTTAATGTAATACATTAGTATGCAATGTTGCTTTTTCGTTTGACCAGCGATAGGATTTACCTGGAAGTTCATGTACGCATCAACCGATACGAGGTAGCCTTTATATTCTCCACCCCATTTCAACTTTACAATCACGGGTTTTCCGGTCAGTTCGTTAAGAAACGGTTTAGGATTGACAGGAACAAACTATATGAAAGAGATTAGTCAATATTATCGGGCAATGCAACGTGCATGGGTGCCACTTACAGCCGACATGGATGATGAATGTTGTTGTGAACTGAATGACAAGAAAGCGGTCAGTTGAAGGAAATGCTGTGTGTGGTGGCCGTGACTACTCTTTTACCAGCTCGTGACCGCTTTTGAACTTGGCTTGCCTGGTTGCCAATTTTGCGGCTCATAGATGTATTCCCTTTCTGTTGAAATAAAGCTATACAGCAGCTACTATTATTGTTTCTACCCTTGGTTCAATCTTGCAACAGTGTTAATAACAAAACTAGAAACCCTGTGTTCCAACGTTTCACTACAAACATTGGTTGGTTCTTTTTTTCGCGCTCCTCTGATATCTGATTTTTTGATCTTTGTACAAAGACAAAAAAAAGGACCTCCATTGGAACGTCATTAGCACAAAAATAATTCGCGATATGGAGGCTACATTCGGATTTCGGAAAGTGTGGTATGAATGCGATCTATGATCGTGCTTCCCACATCGGGCAGTGAGCGGTATTGTAAACCTTTTTCTGTGTAACATTGAAAAAAGTGCCATGAACCTTTCATGACGTACAATTTTGCCACCATCGGTCCGACGGATACAAATGATCATCAGGGACCAGCGGAAATATTTGCTGTGCTCCGCCAATATAGAATGTGATGTCAATAGACTCAGGCTTGTTCAATATCGTATGATTCCATAAATCTTTAGCCAAGTCTTTGAGATGAGTTAATAGCTAACCCTGACGTCGCCGTCATCGACTTTTTTTCACTCACATCGTTTATCGTGACGCAAAAAAGAAAAAAAAAGGCTAACTTTTTGGCAATATTCGTCAGGAGCTAAAATCTTACTCAAGAACCAATCAATTTATATAATACAACTCCTCCCCCAGAACAAGGCATTGAGCATGGTAAATTCTAATTTTTCTTGCAAAGTAGAGATTCATATTTGAGATATTACAGTAACTAGCGTAAACAAATTTGCATACAATGAATGGTATCAGATAGAAATCGATAGATATGTACAATTTAATGAAAGCAGGAATCAGAGACATATTACGTAGAGCATAAAAGGCGGCGGGTGTAAAGGGGGGGGGTGTGTGTGTGTTGGTTGGACTTTTTTGCCTTTAAGAAGGATTACACGGTGGTGGTCACTGGTTTTTTCGCCGTAAAGATTCTCCATCGAACACTACTGCGCTGTTCCTCGAATTCATCCAAGGCGGCTGTGCAAACACGGTCATATTCCTGCTCGGATACCCCAATTTCAATCAGCCACCAGCGCCGCATGGATCGGAATAATGCTTTGATTTGTTGTTTGTATAGAAATCCGTGCTGGCGATCGACTTTCAACACAAGTTTAGTTAGATCATGGCAGCAACCAAAAAGCCCAGTTCGTAATTATCTCATTTTACCTTCAGCATCGGGCCATTCACCAACAGGGATATCATGAATGGATTCCTGGACATCGACGAAGCCTGCTTCTGTCAACATGTCCTCCAATTGTTCAGCATACAAGGGATCGACGCCAATGGTCGCAGTAGCAATCTTGTACCACTCATTGACCAAAGCAAGCACCGGGCCCGCATTCTGGAATACGATATCTATAGCGAAAAAAATAAAATCATGCGTTGCTTTTGTTAAACCCGGCTGGAATTGAAAAACAAAGATGTTGATGAAAAATGATTACCGTATTCCACGAGTTCAATGCTGCCACCAGGTTTTGCAACGCGAAACATTTCCTTCAGTAAGCAAGGCCAGTCCTTGTAGGGCACAACGGTGGCGGCATCTCTTTGATATATGAAATCAAAGTAATCATTGGGGAAGGATAGCGGTTTCAGAATATTGCCGTACATATAAGTGACATTCGGGGCTCCCACTGTTTGTACGGTGCCACTCAATCGGGCCGTAGGTGCCCACGGTCCTTCTTTTTCATTGGGCGGAAGAATATCAATGCCGATGGTCTCACAGTCAGGGAATGCTTGTCCCATTTCGAGGGCCCATAAACCTGCAAAAAAAAAAAAAAATCAAACAAAGATACAGAACCGGATTTTCACATATCAGTAAATCATCCTATCAACATGTCCATTTGAAGCTTCGCTTTTTTCACCATTTACCTACGCCACACGCGCATTCGAGGATCCGTTTCGGCTGTTCCAATTTGGTCTTGGTGTTACCACAGAATACCTGTTTTAGAACATAATGCTGCAATGCAGACAAAGGGATGACAAACAAGAAAATTTAACGTTCGCACACTGTTCTTTTCCCATTTTTGTTTCAAACAATATTTTTTGATGTGTACCTGTCGTAATTGTCTAGATTTTTTCGTTCAGGACTTAGTACATTATACTTTCTCATCATAAATCAAGAGCCATATCTTTCCCCTTTTTTTTCCCTTGTCATACTTTTCGCGTCCCACAGACTGCTGCCACTTAAACTCTTGACTTATGTAATCAAAAAGCACACTTACCGATCGTATTCCTTCTCATCGCCATAATCATACACGGATATCATTGGATCCTTTTTAGATCCCGCTGTAATGGTCGTATTGGATCGATGAAGAGCTGACCACGGTGGGGAAGTAGAATACTTTTCGAAAAGGATAGGTTCATTGGATTCCTCTCCACGCATGGTGTGAGTTCCTTTCAGATTGGGTGACATGGGTACAGAGTTTGCGGAGCCAGCCGAGCTGCTGTAAGGTGCGGATCGTGAGGAAAGATAAGTGGCAAGTGTCCCAGTTTCGTCATCACTCGTGGACGATATCGTGCTTCCTTCCAAGGCATGGTTGTGCTGAATGCTGTTCCGTCGCAGACGGGCTCGCCGAATGGGTTCCGAAATGACGGCGGATAATGCCGATAATGGCGAGCTGTGATCCGACAACACGACTTGATGTCGAACCGGCATGACGGGATGGTTCGAGCCAGAGGCCGTTTCGGAATGAACACGTCGATCATAAGAATGCGGATGATTATGAATGGATCGCGTCGTGGTTTCCCCCGAACACGTTTCGCTGGAAGGAGTGCCTTTGTGGGAACTTGGCGCTAAGGGTTGGGGAGACTGAAACGGTGGCTGTGATCTTAGACCGGCAAGGACTTTCCTTCGTCGTCGAGGGACTTCTGCATTCTCATGGTCTTTACTTATCTGTCCGCCCATACTGGTAAATAGAGCAACAGATAAAAGCTCCACAAGGATCTATCTGAAGAGGAGAATAGAAAGAGAAAGAAAAAAAAAGAGAGATGACAGAAAAAAAAAAAAAAAGGGCGACAAGTCAATGGAAGTGGGAAATATTGAAATGCACTTTCCCAAAACTTTTGGAATCCAGGTCAAACCAATCTGAGGAAAATTGGCATTGAATTCATACGCTAAAAAATGGCGGACGTTCAGTGGAGGTTGGTCAGCGGACTTTTCCAGAAAAGGCGAAAATCGTTCAGATTCCGTCCATTCTCCACACAGTGTTGGATAAAAAAGCGGCATCATATGAAGCACTGACGTTTCATGACATCGGGCATCGAACCTCTCTGAGAAAAAATTATCCATTTTGGGTTTGTTTATTACTGCAAATTTCAAAAGAAGTCGCGTCAAAAAAGAAGCCGTTTTTTTTTAAATAAATGCAAAGAAAAAACTTTAGATTCTTTTATTTTATGCAATCCATGCTTTGAAAGGTTGTATGTCACAATAAAAAATATTACAAATGAACAAAATTATTTGAGAATAGAAGTGAAAAAAGAAATGCGCTTAGGGAGCAATCAAGACACGGACAGTGTTGGTGTTGCCAAGACCGCCCTTCCAGCCTTGAACCACCACAACAGAGTCGTTGGACTTGACAAGGCCAAACTTCTTGCCTTGCATGATACCCCACTTGATACGGTTTTCAACATCGACTTCCCAGTTCTCATCCACATTTTCACGGTAGATGAAAGGGAAGACACCACGGGAAAGATGGGATTGACGAGCCGTTTGTTCGTCGCGAGTGACAACAATGATAGGCTGGGCAGGTCGATATTTGGAAGCAAGGCGAGCAGTGTGACCCGACTTGGAGAGAACAATGATAGCACCAGCGTTCTGTTCAGCAGCAGCGGACACGGCAGCACAAGCCACGGTTTCGGTGGTCTCGGTGGGCCAGGTGGTCAAGGAACGAAGCTGGTTGAAGAGAGGAGGATAGCAGAGCACGGATTCAGCAAGGATACAAGTAGCAGCCATGGTCTGGACGGCTTCAACGGGATAAGCACCCTTGGCAGTTTCACCAGACAACATGACAAGATCGGCACCATCCAACACGGCATTGGCGACATCGGACACTTCGGCACGAGTGGGACGGGGGTTGTAGGTCATGGATTCCAACATTTGAGTAGCACAGGCAACAGGCTTGCCCATCAAGTTACACTTGGCGATCATCATCTTTTGTGCAATGAAGACACGTTCGCAAGGGATTTCGATACCCATATCACCACGAGCAATCATGATACCGTCGGTTTCAGCGAGAATTTCATCAAAGTTCTTGCAACCTTGGTGGTTCTCGATCTTACAGATAATCTTGACATTCTTGCCCTTCTCACCCAAGACGCGTCGAATATCCTTGACATCTTGAGCACGACGAATGAAGGAGGCAAAGATCATATCCACACCGTTTTCAACACCGAAACGCAAATCGTTCTTATCCTTTTCGGACAAAGCGGGAAGATCGACGGGAGTCTTGGGAAGGTTGACACCCTTCTTGGAGGCCAACTTGCCATTGTTTTGAGCTTGAACCTTGACGTAGTCTTCACCCTTCTCGAGCACCTTGAAGGAAAGCACACCGTCATCGACGTAGATCAATTTGCCGACGTCAATGACCTTGGGCAAGTTCTTGTAGTCGACGTACATCACCTTATCGTCACAAACATTGGCGTACTGATCATCAGTAGAGAAAACCATTTCGTGACCACGGGAGATGGGCAATTCCTTGCCATCGCGCATAGCACCCGTACGGATTTCGGGACCCTTGGTATCCAAGGCAATAGCAATGACGTTGTCAGGACGCTGAGCACCAGCAGCGCGAGCATTGTCAAGCACGGACTTGTGATACTATTAAACCAACCGCAGAAAGAAAAAAAAAAGTAGAGTTAAATCTCGTTTCTTATACATCAAACCGAGAAAATGCAATAGGCCAAAAGACATCCATCACATATCTCAAACGCACAAGCGAAACATAAGAGAGATTGTACTTACAGAATAGTCACCGTGAGAGAAATTCATACGAACAATGTTCATACCGGCATCGATCAATTCGACCAATTTTTCGACCTTGTTGGTACCAGGACCGATGGTACAGATGATGGAGGTCTTTCGGTTTGCCTTGGGCTGGACATCGACGTCCATACCGGCGATCCATTGGATAGGATATTGAACAGGCGAGTTACCCTTGGTAGAGGAGTACATTGTTTGTGATGATAAAGATGAAAGAATGAAAGAAAGCGAGAAAAAAGAAGAAGCAATTGCCCACCAGTAAAAATAGTTGCGTTCAAATTCCCGCATGATTAATATCTTATCGATTCCACAGGGGTTTTACATCATGGTGATAGGTTTTTTTTTCACCTCTTAGAGCCTATCAGACGATTCCTGTCTGAGCAAGGGATTTTTTTTTAAAACCGTGCAAACACATGTTGTTAATTTTTTTTTGCCTTTCACTTTCAAATCGTTTTTACTGTTACTTGGCAACGATTACCCATCTTTCCCGCGTATCGTTATCAAGGCGGGTATAATCCCATCTTATCAGCGTATTTTAGCTTTGGACCTCAGAAATCTTCCCGTCCAGTACTTTTGGCACTGGAAAATTTTTTCTGCAGACGATGGCGGACTATGATATCATCAGCCAAATCGAGATCCGACAGGCGGGATTTTCTTTTTTTCCATGGCAGGAAATGAAAATTCACGGGCCGCCACACGGTTGGCTCACATTAGTTCTGCCGCCACGTTGCGAACCTTATTGGTTTCCATATTTGGTATATTCCTGGGATCTTTTGGCTCTATTATCTGATGATTCAAAAAAAAAAAGAAGAAAAGAAACGCAACGAAGCAAAAGAAAAAAATTTATTCAGATGAAGCAGATCAAATGTCTGGAACCCATGTTGAACAGAAAAAAAGGGAGCTTTTCTGATATAATATACAAGCATGATTGGATTAAACAGTTTATGCTCTGGTCTGACATGATAAGGAATGCTCGTTGCACAAAGCGATAGCGATCTTGGTAGATTACAATTGATAAGTGAACAGAGCATTAATCAATCACACATCATTGCCTCGAATCAAAAGTCCGGTTGAACGCTTCTTTTCGCGCATTCGGATAAGCATGCAAATCGCCCCGAATTATATTCAGAATTTTGGTACGATCTTTCCAGACGGACGGAAATGCATGGCCATGAGTTTGCTTAAAAATGGCTTTGGGCGCGAGTTGGCATTCTATAGACGCACATGCTAATGAAGCCCGTCATCCTCGACGGCAATAAAATGAAAACTTTTCTTTCCCAACCACGGATCGAGAGAGAGAGTCTCATCTAGCCCGATAAGCCAAGGTACTACACTTACAGTGGTGGGCTTTGCCATTGTTTATAGCCGAGACTAGCGTTGGGAGGCTTGATGAAACGGTGGATGGAGAGGAATGATTCATTTTGGCAAATCCCCCATGATTACCGGAGTGCTTTAAATATTTGGTATTCAACGGTTTGGGCAGCTAAGTGAAAATTGATATAAGTATGATCGAACCTCCTGTCTGTTTCGATACCTCTTTGTTAGACTGCTCGAGCTTATGACCAACAAAAAAGTCAAAGTCGACGTAGATGTTACAAGCATCGTTTATCCGGTTTGACTGCCAGTAAATGTGCCGAGATGCACAACGGGAGACAACTCCAATGTGTTATGTCCACTTGGAAGAAATCAAGCGCACGGAGCATAGCCGCAGGTTCTCCAACAGCGACGTCATCCGCGCACGTCGGAAGCCAAGTGTTATGAATTGGACAGGTTGTTTAACAATATCACAGTAAAAGCGGCTGAAGTAGACCTGGCGGTGGTTGCAGTCGAGATCAAAGCACCGAATATGAAGCGTCGTTAGGATAACGTTGAGGGTCGATCGTTTTTTATTATGCAGAGGATTGCAAATGAAAGCAAAAAATGGAGAGTAAGCTTTACCGTAGAGAAGAGAATCAAATAGAGAACAGAACAACGGACAGGACAAGACAAAAAAAACGCGTAGAACACAAGAAACCAGAATAGGAGAACCTTTGAAGTGGAACTCAAATTTGATGGGATACATTGTTTTACCCACACACAAATATGTTATCTGCCAAGAACAGGAACTGTGTGACACACTCTAGAGGGTGGTGGCGAAACTGAGAAAGAAGGGTATGCGAGTGTCCAAGGGACCTGAAAGAAGCCACGTGGTACGAACTTTCGTACCGAAAATAGCAACCAAATAACTTTCGATAAATCCTTGGTTTTTACATTTTGTGTTCACTACATATGATTAACCTATGCCAGAAACATGCCAAATATTGTGCAAGCACATAATATACGGGAAACTGTTTGTATTTGTTAGTAGAAATACAACAACCCAGAAATCACTATTTATTACTATAATATGATATGTCGTGGCGCTTCCATATGATATTACTTATTGTACGGTGGATCGTAGATGCATAAGCAATGGTTAAGCTTGGTATCGACAGCAGAGGAAAGGATGGCGTCTTCTTCATAGTAATGATGTGAATCAACAAAATCAAAAAATTTACCATGGCGAATTATTACTTTGTCTTTTAGTGGACATTTCTTAGTGTTAACCTGTATAGCGTCCGTTATGAATCAATGTAGCATGGTTTGGTTGATGCTACATACATAGAGCAATCAGCTCCTGAATGATGATTTCGCAAATTACCGAGTAACTTTTTTCAATTTGATGTGACACGACTGTTTGCCTTTTTGGTGCCACGATGGCAGTTATCACGGGATCAACCTATCCGAGCTTCTCTGGTAATTGACTGCCAAGAGGGTACTTGAAGAGAGCCAAGACCGTGCCAAGAAGGGCATTGACAAATGAAAACCGCCGGTTTTATCGTCTCCGCCATATATTTGAGGTAACACTTGGCTTCATGCATGTTTATTCCCTCCTAACTTCTTTTACTCCCGCTTCCTTTTTTCAAAAGGTGAACACTCGCTGCAATATCATCGGCAGGATCGCGTGCATCCATTTTTTTTAGACATTAACCATGACCAACAATAATAATACTTCAACAGGTAATAAACGCGCAGGCACATAAACAGAGCCTTTCAAGACGAGGAAAAGAAATAGCATTACTCACTTACGGTAACGCTTGTTCCTTGATAGAATATTTTCCATGGACGCTGTCCTCCTTTGATCTTTTTTCCTTTGATGCCGAATCACTTGCAAGTCAACAAGACACATACTGCTCTCTGTTAGATCCATTATTTTCTGCGAATGATTTCCAGCTTGATGGTCTTCTCGGATCACAATCAACGGGTGCAGCGACATTTGTTGACACCAAAAATACCCCAACCTTCTTTCTAGAATCTCCCGTATCGGAACATTCGCCTGAACAGGAATCATCTTCATCACAGTATAGTGAGGAATCTTACAGTTCCTTTGAACCATACAACTACCTTTCCGACCCATCATATATGCATACTCCATTATCCCCGTTCTTTATCGATACTCTACTTTTCGATCCCGAGCCGACATTGATCGCAGCGGCGAACTCTCCTACTGCCAACAGTCCCACACTTCCCATCAAGAAAACGCCCGCACCAGCCCCCGTTCAGCATCGTTATAAATGTCCCAAATGCTCTCATACAAGTCGACGGTCAAGTAACATGAAAATGCATATTTTGATCCACGATACCAATCGGCCAAAGAATTTTATTTGCCCTACTTGTCACAAGGCTTTTGCACGCAAACATGATATGCACCGTCATCGGCAAATCCATGACCGTCATGCTAAAAGTTCATTAAAGAAGACATGAAAATATCATTACCGTGTAATGTAAATGCCGTTTTTTGCCTTTTTTTTTTTATTTCACACCTTTTTGTGAATCCCAAAATGCTGTGCTGCTGTTTGGACTCAAATCTCCGACAACCAAATCCGGACCGCATCACCGAACACCGGATTTGGGAACCCGAGGCGGAAGATGGTGGAGGGATGGCCTCTTTGGGTGGGAGCTGCGGCTGGATAGGGATGAGGGGAGAGGGGAAAGCAAGACCAAGGCAGTAGCGAGATTTTGTGAAGCATCCATACCATCCAACGTCATCCCTCTTTCATCCTTACACATCTATCATGGCTGCTTCAAAAACTGGTATTGCAGTTGGTCTTAACAAAGGTCACATCGTCACTCGCCGTGAATTGAAGCCTACCATTTCTTACAAGAAGGGTGTAAGTAACCTGGCTGAATGCTTCAAAATCTGTGTATCGGGTGAATTGTAGGGAATATTGAATGAAATGTCTTGAATGCTAGGCTGCTTCCAAGCGTACCACTTTTGTCAAGAGCATTGTCCGTGAAGTTGCTGGCTTTGCTCCTTATGAACGTCGCGTTATGGAATTGATCAAGAACTCCAAGGACAAGCGTGCCAAGAAGCTTACCAAGAAGAGACTCGGTACTTTTCTCCGTGCCAAGAAGAAGATTGACGAACTCCAAGCTGTCATTGCTGAATCTCGCCGTCATTAAACGCATTTACCACTTCATATTTTGTCATCATTAGGATTATTTGTATGTTTGCCAACCCGAATTAAAATATAAAAACTCGTGTGGTGAAAAAAAAGGGCATAGGTTATATAACTTGACAATTTTTTGAGTGGTTCTAAACTTTATGAGAAAGCCGACTGTGTTGGCTTGTTTTGCTGCTTCTTGTAAATTCCACAATGAGAGAGAGTGACTCGGGTTCCTTATGCTTGCGCGACTGAGTCTCGGATTGCATTGTAGGATGAGTGCTGAACACTCTGAGGTTGGCTGTTTTTGGTAATTGTGACCGTGCACTGCCATTCTTGGAAAGATTCCCAATTCCCTCTTGTTCTATTGGGAGTCTTACCACCCAAAACCTTGGAGTCTTTCTACAAACCGACTAGATAAAATAAGGTGCTTTTAATCTGATGAGTGCAATCACAGCTGCAGAGAAACAGAAATATGCCGAAATCTTCCATGCGCGAGGAAACGTCAATGGTTACATGTCAGGTAAACCTCGGTGGTTCCCCACAACGCCCATTATTTATTTTTTTTGACCTTTCTCCACGTTGTATTGCTCACACTGTTCATCATCTGCAGGACAAACGGCAAGAGATGTGCTTCTTGATTCTAACTTACCGGCCAACCGCTTAGAACGCATCTGGTAGGCATTATCAGTGGAAAAGTGGCCGAGTCACTTGCGCTAGTAAAAGAATCACTGTTTTTATTTATTTCGTATGCTTCATGTGGCAGGGATTTGGCGGATATCGACAAGGATGGTTGTCTTGACTTTGAAGAGTTTTGTGTCGCTATGCACTTGACATTTGACTGTATCAATGGAGCTGAAACCCCCATGAGCCTTCCACCTTCGCTCGTCCCGTCCACCAAAGCTCATCTGGTGCCGAACGGTCAAGTGTACCCGCAAGCAACAGGATATCAGCAACCGATGGCGACTGGATATCAGCAGCCCCAACCTACAGGCTATCAGCAGCCGCAAATGACAGGATATCAACAGCCTCAACCCACAGGTTATTCTCCGTATCAACAACCACAATCCACAGGCTACCAACAACCTCAACCTACGGGAGTGATGCCCCAATATACTGGATATTCATCGTCTCCGACAACCGTGGAATTCAGTTGGGACATGTCACCGCAAGATATGACATCCTACCAAAATATCTATTCGAAATATGCAAACGGTTCCGGCAAAGTCAAATGTAAGTGAAATCCGCAAGGTGTCCCTTCAAAACCAAAATACGGGTGACTGATTATGATGGGGTAGTTGGACAAATGGAAGATTTCTACGCTACGTTGGGTCTCTCACGTACAGACTTGACCAATGCTTGGTAAGTCCATGTTTATGTAAACCGGTGACTGGCAATTCTGAACATGGGCAAAAATCTAGGACTCTCGTGGATGTGAATCATACACATGCACTGACACAAGATCAATGTCTTGTGTTTTTCCATATCCTTAACCAGCGTACACGTGGGGCAACCATTCCCAAAGATCTTCCTCCTGATCTTCACGCTGCTTTTGCTGGCGAATATGCAGCTGATCTTGGTGATCGGCCAGGATCGGGCTCCGGTGCACGCAAGGGCAACTCCACATCCATGTCGAAGAGTGCGCAGTTGGCCGATAGTTATGTCAATCGTTTGGGGGTAGCAAGTACATCGCTTAGTTCCAAAGGTAAGGATGATCCAATTCACAAGAGATTCCGAAACCAAGGATCTGCAAGAATGAGACGCCTTTTTATCGATTTGACTCCCTAACGGTTGTTCTGATTTGAAAACACTAGGATCTTCGGTCAAGGGAAACAAATACGATGAAGAGGAGATGTTGAAACGGGAACTCCGAGAGTTGAAGGAGCGTGTGAAGGAGGCAGAACGTCGACGTGATGAAGCAAAGAATACGGAAGAAGACTCCTATGAATCGTTTGCGTCGCGTCCTTTGCGAGACCAGTTCCAAGCATTGTACGATTACAAATTGAGACAACTGACGGATCAAGCGGATGTGGAAGATAAAGTACGAAAGCAGGAACGCGATATTGAAGCCGCACGTGATGCTGTGCGTCGTTTAAATCGGATTGTCGATGATGTACGGAGCAAGAAGCGTGAGTTGGAGGCGTTATTAGAAGAACGCCGTTTGGAAGTACAAAAGACCATGCGTCAGTTAGAAGAAGAGAGAGCTTAGATTCGCTAAGAAAAAAACCAATTCAAAAAATGCGCCGTTGTCGTACAGTTTCAATTAAAAACATCTTGATAAAATTTGCAAAATCGAGTATTTTCGAGTGATCCAAATGGGAGCGAAGATCATAGGGCAAAAAAAAAAAAAAAAAAAGCAATATCGCCTAAAACTGTTCCTAGTAAATAAAGACGACTTTTTCTACGTCCAATGATAAAGCAGGGAAAAGACTCCATCATCGATTGAGCGAGCAAATCGGTGTTAAGGAAGTATCTTCATTATCACCATTGTTCGCTGTATGTACTTCCCTGTAAGAAGGAAGGAGCTGTGTTGTGCTATTTTGATTCTCAGATTATACGAAGCAATTGTCATCGTTAAACCTTTTGAACATAGAATTATTGTCGCTTTTGGAAAGAGGAAGAAAAAAAATTTCGGAATCTTATCCATCATTTTCCAAGGGGGGAACTGTACAAGGAAATAAAGTTATCGAAGAGTTTGCCAGCATTCAGGTACAAACTTTGGATGAGTCAGGTCGATTGCTAAATGCAATGCAATATTACGTAAAAGAAAAAATGAAAGCGGGCTTTGTTTTATTATTCAGAGAATTGGTGAATAATAACTGGCACAAGTCAAGCACCGGCTAATGGTGCGATTATTTCATATGCGATGGCAGGTAACTCGCTGGGTGAAAAGGAAATACGAGGCAACATAAAACAACAAAGAAGAAAGAGGCGTCAGTTTAAGTCGCATGCATATTAATATTATCACGGGAACAAAAGGAACAAGAAATAGAAAAACATTACGATACGAACCTACCACCGCATTCCTGATTGAGGGTCGGCGAGGATACCAAGAAAGGAAACCTTTCCTTTCGTCGGACGATCGCGGCACACGAAGTATGCATGTCTTTTTGCAATTCCGATAAATAGAATAGCCACGTCTCGAACAGGGAGAAGCAGCTAAGAAAAACGGGACAACGACAGCGCCGGAGATCTGCTGTTACTGCCGTCGTCCGTATACCGGGTTCCCCTGGGTTTTTACTGCTGATGGATAATTAGATGGCCATGCACTGGGAGATAAAATGTTAGCAAAGGAAAAGACGGTGCAGAAATAGAAAGGAAAAATGGAAATGAAGAAGAAAAAAAAGGCGATGACTCTGTAAAAGGAAACCGAACCATGGCAACAATAGATGGAATATAAAATGTATATAAAAAAAAAAGGTCAAAGACATGATCAAGTATACCTATGGATGACCCTCGATACTATGTTTATGCAAGGCTGCATGAACCACTAGTGGGTCTCGTGAGGATAGTAAAAGGAACGGAATGGAGGATCAATCACGGTAGAGAGAGAGAGGGGAGGGAGGGAGAGAGAGAGAAAAGAGAAAGAAAGAGAGAAAGAGGAAATAAACGTAAATACCCCGAGAAATGATCACAAAGAAAAATAAAGGAAAGGAAAAAATGAATAAAGTATAAAAAAAAGAAAGAAATGAAACAAAGAGGAAAAGATCTTAAAGATTAAATAAACGGATAGGTTAGGACTGTTGGACTTGATTCCTGTGGTTCCCTTTTTTTTTTGGCAGCGACGCTGGATCTGGGTAAGGTGAAGGAACACAGTCTGCAAGTCATATATTGACTCCTTCCTTCTCATTGGCAATCTCTCCAAACGCCGATATGGTAGATCAGAGGAAAATATTTCAACCGCGCTCCAGGGCTTCGCCCCACCTGCAAATTACGTGGCACAAGGTTTTCCACTCAAATAATCGTCTTGTTGATCTCTTTTTGTTTCTTTTTTTTTTTTTTGGCTCGCTCTTTTTTCTTCCGGTTGGCACTTCTTGGCAAATCCCATAGTGCACCGGTTTATGAATGGCATAAATTTCTGTTGGCTCTTTTGTCATCTTTTCTTTTATCATCTCTTCCTTATGCTTCCTTTTTCCTTCGATGATCATGATGTAGGATTCGATGTCCTTCTGTCTCCTTCCATTCCATCCATTTCAATGCCATAACTCGCAAAAAAGTATGAAAAAAAATATCTTCTTGTGAAACCCATCCGCAGGTACTATTAATAAACACCGTTTCAACTGAACGTCAAACTTAAAAAAATTTATACACTACAAGGCAATAGCAAAACAACAACAACAACAACAAACACACCTACATCTGCAGAGAAATACCAAAAGGAAAAAAATTCTTCTGCATCTGCAAAAGAATGATCTCGTACAAATCTCCTTTTTTTTGCCTTTTTGCCTTCTTTCCGATCAGATTACAGTGTCACGGGTGGCTATCATGGATGTCATCGGTTGTTGTTTTCCAATCTGTACAACTGGTACTGCCTTGTTTGCCTTTACCGTTTGTTGAAGTGCATGCACGCAGAAATCCGTGAATTGGGCATCATGTTTATCGAATATCGCTGCGCGTTGACGGACGGGTACAATTTCCCGGATGAAATACCAATCATGCGCATAATCCTCGCTGTAGATGTTGACATGCACTCCACGACCGTGTCGCAGATGATCTTGTGTGATTCGACGCGCCATCGTCAGAATATCATCCCGCATCACCTCCCTGTTGCCCACGTACACAGCCAGGTGTTGTGGCAAAAATCGTACGAAATCCGACTCCAATAAACTTAACCGAGACAACGGCAGATCAGCAATGGATTCGGTGGAAACATTGAAATATTCATGTTGCACGCATGCAGCTAATCGCGGAGATACGAAATCGTTCTGCTGCCAAAGCCATGCTTCGGTATTTGGTGAAACCAACGGCGATACTAGCACTAGGCCGGCCGGAATGTCAATATCGTGGTGGTCGCTACTACATCGAGCTGCGGCGGTGTCGGCGGCGTCGCCGCCGTCTTCGTCCATGAGATCTGGAGCGAATAGCCGAACGAGTGTCTCGAGACACAACGTGCCTCCTGCCGAATCACCCGTCAACACGATTTGACATGCAGGTACCTGCAATGTTTTCGTCAGGTACTCGAATGCAGCCATGCATTCCATCACTGGTCCCGGATATTTGTTTTCAGGCGCCAATCCTAAAACCCAATTATTCTTTTTCGGTTATACTCGGTTTCACTCGACTTGGCTCCTCCGTGGATACACTTCCATGTCACTGTCTATTATCCAACCTTACCATATTCGATGGAGAAGATAACCGCATTCAAACCATGTCGCGTTTTCAGTAGTTGAAGCCACCGTATGAACGCATCCATGTACATTGTACAATGCCCTACGCGGAAAGCACCGCCTAAATGATTGCATTACATAACAGAATCTCATTTGCTTGGAAAAGTAAAGTACCATGGATATTAAAGATTACAAGGTCCGCTTGAGAAACCTGTGCGACGGCTTCGCTTTCGGTGGCGCTCGCCAGGGACGGTCCGATAAAAGCCCCTTTCCAATGGTCCTTTGCGATATATTTAATCCATTGTGATTGCAATTGAGTCGGTTTCGTCAAATCCTTGATGAGAAATCGTGCCGATGATGCCGGCATGGTCAGAATGAGACGAAGCGTATTCATAATGATAGGCACCGGAACGGATTTCTTTATGAACTGACGTATGGCATCGATAGACATCTTTTCAAACGAATAAAGACAGATTTTTGACAAGTAAAGGTAATACGTTGCAGGAATTAGACAATGACCAATGATCCATATATTTATATAAATGATGAGAACAAATCAACTTGTTGGCTATCATGGGCTTTTACAGAAGATTGTTTAACGTCATGTGGAATTCCACGCTGTGCAGATGAAAAAAATGGGGGAATTTTTCCAAAAATGGAATCTAGAGTGTTTGTCATCCAAATTATTGATAGTCTATTCCATCACGCGCTACGGCTTAAGCTTTGATCATACACCATGATAGGTGATTCTTCAGATGGAAGAGCCGTGTAAGCACTAAACACTTCTTGTTCCAATGCCATATAACCTCTGGCACGGATGGTTTCGTTGTAAGACTTTCCGGGCGTATCCTTGACGACAATTTGAAAGTACTACAAGAAATCACAACACTTTTAGTCTTACAACGAAAGGAAAAAAGAAAGGGAAATGTGCCCCGATCCCGGGGCTTTCCAGTACTTACCCAAGCAACAACACAAAGTAGCATCGCCGCAATCGCTGATACATAGGGCACTAAAATAGCAGGGGTCAGTTTAAATCCGAAGATCCAGTTCTCAGCTGGTTATCAGCCTCATCACTCACCCCAATAAGGATAATAAGGGTTCTCCACAGGAATGAAAACAAAAATCAAAGCATAAACGGTAAAGGACAGGAAGACCAATACGCAGACTATAAACAAGATGTGATTAGTTTCAGTGTTTGTAAGTGGGGATTTTTACATCATAAGTTTACATAAAGGAGCGACGACTGGTCTTGTGACAAATGGTTCTCGTTTCCTTAAGATCAACACGGCAAGGGCAATGAGGGTATAAAACACCTGAGTGATGTGATCATGAGTTAGAAATAAAAATAGTAATAAAAAAGGAGACTTCAGTAGGCTTACATAGACAGGGTAGGCTGCAAAGGCGACAATGAATTGGTACACAGCTCCCGGAGGTGGTGCTACAGTGAAAAGGATCGTCAATGTATACTGCAACAGATAAGCGTTGACAGGGCTGCCAATTTGAGGATTCAAATGACCAAAGGTTCGGCCAAAAGGTAAAAGACCAGAACGAGCTGATTCCATAAGCACTCGTCCAGCAGAAAAGTTGATTGCCGCAGCGCAGCCGAAAGCACTCAACGCAATAAATACCGGTAGTACCGTGGACGCGAAATTCTCTCCCAAGGAGCGTGTAAAACTAGGACATGGATCCGTCACTCTTTCAGGATTTACCATTGAAAAAAGATACATTCTATCACTTACAACTCAGCGGCTACGATGAATTCCGAACTCTTCATCGTTTCCAAGGGCAAGACAACTAGGTAGCCCACATTGGTCAAGACATATAAGAGGGCAATGGTACTGATGGCCGCGGCTGATGCTTTGGGTAAATTTCGGATAGGATCCTATCGAAGGGGCATGACGAGTAGTGAATATCAACTGTTTCATACAAGGGGTGGCATTATTGGAAGAAAAAAGAAAGGGCATATACCTTGACTTCGTCCATGATAAAGTTTAAATTATGCCACCCGCTGTAGCTATTCATCACCTTCAATTACCAAAAGGATTAATTCAGTGGACACTACTTTTTTCCTTCGACATTTACGCAGTCTGGTTGGTACTCACATAGTAAAGCGCCGAGGCATAAGGGCCGATATTGGTTGCTGTACCTTGAAAGGACAAATTGTAGCCAGCATCCACATCCGAAGGAATCGCTTTGACAAGTACCAAAAGACCAATCAGAGCTACCAGAGACAGAACCGCCATCTTTATCGCTGTTAATCCCGCCATAAGTTTCAACGAAACCTAGTTATGATCCATGGTCGTCATTCCCTTCCATTCCCTTTCAGTGGTTAAAAGTAACTGGTGCCTTACCTTGGTGGACATGATATTCACAGCAGTGAGAATAGTAGCCAAAAGGACTGTAGAATTTAGCAACATTTTTAACTTGCATTCGCTGATGGATTGTCACACTTACTTGCCCAGCTACGTTCTAGCCAATTGGATTTGAAAGACGCACCATAGATGGCATAATTCATATACCCACCGAACACGATACCTGTTGATGATGAAGAAAAGTAAAAATCAGCCCACGTAACAAATGAACCGATTTCGACAAACTAACCTTGCGCAGCTACGCCACTGGATCGATTCATGAGGGTCCACATAGTGAAAATATAAGCTAGTAGATATTTCGGTTTTCGATAGCAGTATTCTAAGTAGCCGAGTTCTCCACCGCTGGAAATAAGGGCAAGGGCGAAATCAGCGTGAGTAGGGGATACATGTTGCTTTTGCGCTAATTAAAACATTCATGCAAAAGGGCAAAATGCTTACCTGCGGGGTAACTGATGAAAAAAACATGGAGGATGGATTCAACGTCAGTGATATAGTGTTTCTTTCATGCGGGAAGTCATACAAAACGGTTTTTGCTTACCATGGTTCCCAGCTCTGCAAATGCCCAGGTACCGCAACTAGCGATCAATGCTCCCATGATCCAGATCATGATATTCATACCGCCGGATCCTACCAGTTGCAGGGTAAGGGCCGGTCCAACAAAGATACCGGCACCGATAATGTAACTGACGTTCATCATGGCGCCCATGACCCATCCGATCTTTCGTTCGAGTCGCTGATCTGCTCCGTAACGGATGTTTTTTTTTTTTACCAACCAAAGTTTAGTGTCCTCGTTGCTCATTCGTCCTCGGTGGTTCATTCGTCTTTGTTACCTCCTACTGCTAACGGTTCCATGTGCGCTAATTGCTCAGTATGATCTGCATAGCCTGCCATGCCGTGATTACTTGTAGATATAGTCATTTCAGTGGAAGGAAAGGAGAGAATAAAATAAAGAAATTGCCCCTGCAGTTCAAAATGGATGTACCGGGACCAGCCTTTTTATATGGTACCCAAATCCCTAATTTAGATTGACGGTGGCGCTGCTGACCGTCATAACCAGTGATAGATTTACGTCAACTGGAATGCCTTTTTTTTTGCCTTACTGCTGCCTGTTTAAACTACTCCGTGGGCAAAAAATCAAAAAATAAAAAGGAAATTCGCCATGCAGGTCGATCCTTTTTTAACCACCTGAAGGAAGAAAAAACCTTTTTTAAGCACTTTGCAGTCAGTTCATCATATTGAACTTGCAGAAAATCGAATTCTATGGTTCCTTACACCATGATAATCTCGGAAAAGTGTACCGAATACGGCCAAATACCGTGACCAGATCAGGGTCGTGATACACGTAAAATGGCTCATCGTTCATGGTATTGCCGTATTTGCATTTTACCTGTTTTATCACGATGGTAGAACTTTTATCACTTGATGGTAACTTTATATTCATTAGAATAAAAAGAAGCAGCACTGTTATTTGCAGATGATCGTCATTCATTGGTCCGACATGCATACAAGCAGTTGAGCCTACGATCGGTTGAATGCTCTATTTCGGCCTTCCAAAATTTCGGGTGCCGGTTTGGGGTGACCGGTTTCCTTTTTCTATAGACCCTCTTTATTGCACGAGCAGCCCTTCTTTACTGTCATCATGTCGGATGCAAAGTACTTTCAGCGAGGTAAGTTCTTGGAAGCAACCATCAAATATAAAGATATACATGACTCATGGATATTGAATAGGAAAAATCCAGGAATTGCGTGCAGAGCTCACTTCGGAAAAGCGCGATCCGAAGCATCAGCGCAAGAAGACAGTGATGAAGAAAATCGTGGCCAACATGACCATGGGCAACGATATGTCACCACTCTTCCCGGATATTCTAAACGTCATGAATGTTCCCATTCTTGAAATTAAAAAGATGGTGTACTTGTACCTGATTAATTACGCTCGAAGCAAACCTGACATGGCCATGATGGCCATCACCATGTTTATCAAGGTAACTCTACGACTCAGCGAAACAAAAAGCACAAAGCACTGACACGAAAGGCTTGTCTTCACTAGGACGTTGAAGATACCAATCCGCTTATTCGAGCTTTGGCTATTCGTACGATGGGCTATATACAGGTGGAGAAAATTGTCGACTGTCTCATTGATCCTTTACGCCACTGTCTTCGTGATCGTGATCCTTATGTGCGCAAAACGGCCGCTATTTGTGTGGCCAAGCTCTACATGTACGACAACGTTCTTGTTGAAAATGAGCACTTTATCGACATGCTCAGAGATCTTCTGACCGATCCCAATCCTACCGTAAGATTTCTTTCATCAGCACTACCACGACTCTTCTGGAATGGCTCAATATGACATTTTTTGCGCTTCTTTTTTCCTTTTTCAACAAATCGTATTAGGTGATTGCAAATGCAGTGGCTGCATTGACAGAAATTTCAGAACGCTCGGAACATATTCAGTTAAAGTTGAACCATTCGATTGCAAGCAAATTGGCCGCTGCTCTGAATGAGTGCTCAGAGTAAGTAACTAAAACTGATTTTTCTTTGGTGCAGGTTGTACCAGAGTTAACCTCGGATTTCTGAAATCTAGATGGGGTCAGACTTATATATTGGAAGCATTGATGTACTACGTACCGCAAGAAGCTGGCGATGCGGAAATGTTGGCCGAACGTATCGCGCCTCGTTTGCAACATGCCAATTCGGCGGTGGTATTGACCTGTGTCAAAGTCATCATGTATTTGATGAATTACATGAAGAACGAGAGTGATATTGTCGCCTTTTGCCGTAAATTGAGTCCACCTTTGGGTAAGCAACGAAAAAAGAAAAAAAAAAGAGGGAGTGGAATGTCTTGCATCCTGTGAATGGACTGATAAAAATCGTTTTTTTTATTTTTGTCCAACCCACTCGCAGTGACTTTGCTCTCTTCCCCTCCCGAGGTTCAGTACGTTGCTTTGCGTAATATTCTGCTGGTAATTCAACGTCGACCAGAAGTGCTGCGAAATGATATGAAAGTGTTCTTTTGCAAATACAATGATCCGATCTATGTGAAATTGGCAAAGCTCGAAATTATTTTCAGATTAGCCAACAGTCAAAACGTTGATCAAGTCCTGAGCGAATTGAAAGAGTAAGACATGGACAATGTAGTTAGATCAGGAACATGCTCATTTGTATTATAAAATCTGTACGATAGATATGCTGCCGAAGTCGATGTGGATTTCGTTCGGAAAGCTGTTCGGTCCATTGGTCGTCTCGCCGTGAAGATTGAAGCGGCCGCCGAACGATGCATTACCGCTTTACTAGAGCTTATCCATACCAAGGTCAATTATGTCGTACAGGAAGCGATTGTCGTGATCAAGGTAAGCTCAGAAAAACGGGTCCGATCATTGAATGATCATTCGTTGCTCACGTGGTTGTCATCCTGAGCCTTCATCCATTAACGCTGCAATCTAGGACATTTTCCGCAAATATCCTAACCAATACGAAAGCATCATTGGTACGCTTTGTGAAAATTTGGATAGTCTTGATGAACCGGAAGCGAAAGCAGCCATGATTTGGATTATCGGTCAATATGCAGACCGTATTGAGAATGCCGACGAGTTATTGGATGATTTCCTATACACGTTTTTGGAAGAACCTGTCGAGGTAAATTGACCGGTGGAAGACAAAAAGGGCAGGATCGAACTCAGCAGTATGTTTAACGCAATTCGTTTGGTTACAAAAGGTTCAATTGGCACTGTTGACAGCCACTGTGAAGCTCTTTATTAAACGTCCCACGGCCGGCCAGGATCTGGTACCCAAAGTACTCAAATGGGCTACTGAAGAAGCGGATAATCCGGATTTGCGTGATCGCGGTTATATTTACTGGCGATTGCTATCCACGGACCCGGCTGCCGCCAAGGTGGGTGATTGAATAAATAGTTGGCTCGTATGCCGGGTGTCAACTAATATATGGATTCTAAATAGGCCGTTGTGCTGTCAGATAAACCATCCATATCCACTGAAAGCGATAATATGGATCCTGCATTCTTGGATGAACTTTTGCTCCACATCTCCAGTTTGGCATCAATATACCATAAGAGTCCTACCACTTTTATCCATCATTACAAATCACGGTTTTTAATACCATCACCTGCCCTCCAAAGACAGCCGACTTCATCTACGTTCTTTTCTCCACAGCCTTCGCCGCAACAACCACAACAACAACAGCAGCAACAGCAACCAATCTCATCCCAAATGCAGCAGGCTTTTCAAACAACATCCTCACCGTCCGCCGTAGCACAGCAATCACCTGCAGCATTTAATGATCTAGGCTACAATAGCGTTACGGCAAACAGGTAAGTGAGATTTCCAACCACGGGTGATTTCTGAAGTTTTCTTATTAAAAGTGGTCGATAGATTCTCCTTCAATGGTATCAACGGCCTCAACGGCTTACCATCTGTCAATCCATATGCTACAGATATCGTGAACCAGCAAAATGTGCGACCAACACAACAAGCGGCTGGAGGCGTTGATTTATTGCTCGATTTGTAATAGAAAGTCATAAGACAAAAAAATACACTGTTCTGGTTTTTGGGTAGACAGCGAATAATGTACTGCTGCGATGCGGATCTCGCTCACTTAAGCTGCCTGTATGCCTGAACCCCAATCGTAATAGTAGCTTAAAATACCAAAGAGTTTTGTATGAACACCATGAAAAGTATACAACAATCTCGAGTCACGTTCCAAAGGCTATTTGTACGGAGGCAAGTTTTTACTTTTTTTTTTTTTCAAAAGGACTGTTGGACGAAAACGGGAAAATGGAAAAATGGCTTATAGCGATTTAGAGGGGGAGAAAAATTAGACACAGACGCTACGCTATGACCTTGAGAAATATAAAAAAAAAACAATAGAAACAAAAGAATAAATGCATAACGTAAAGAATAGAATTATTGTACATGAAAGGGGGGAAAACTGGATGACTTACATTATAGCAAAGTCTTCGCCAGTTTCCCATGTAGTGGAATGGGGTTGGGTTTGGGAGGTATCGGATGATAACGGTGAGCTAGAGGACATGGTACGATGATTGCCGAGCTGTTCTTCCAGGTACTTGATACGTTTCTTGTATTCGACTTCTTTGGCACGCAGGGTTCGCTTATCTGATTCCAGCAGAGCGTTACTGAGTACTAATTTGGCGTTTTCAGCCTGCAGCTCGTCGACTCGATTCTCCAGATGCTCGATTTTAAGAAGCTTTTTCAATCGTGAGCGTCGTGCGGCGTGCGTATTCTTGCGTCGTTTCAAGGTATCTTCATCGACCGTCCCATCTTCCGCTGGTTCCGGTTCAGGCAATTTTCGGATCCCACGGGGTTTTGGTAAAGGTCGGTTACGTATCGGCCGGTCGCTCGGTTCGTCAGGATGCAATTCTGTCGGAGGCTTATCATTCCCTCCCCACGAAATATTGAAGACGGAAGAATGACTGCTTGAAGGTTCTGTGGGATTGGTACCTTCGTCATGAGCTGTGGATGACGATGGGGTTGTATATACAGGTGCGTTGGGCGGTAATTCTCGATACGATTCGGAGCACATATTCTGGGAACCCTGATCAAGCGAATTGTCATCGGGAATAGAAAGCGTATTCACATCGTGCCACAGTAAGCCGTCTGCGGTGTCTTTTTGTTGAGTTGCAAGATAGCCGAGATCGGATGCATCGTACGATTCCGGAGGATGGGTCGAAGTGTCAAAATTCAAAGGGGGAAACAGCGATGCTGCATCATAGGCCTCAGGAATAGGAAACCTATTATCACTCATTGCGGTTGAATTAAGCGAATGGGCATGTCCAATATATCAAAAAAAAAAGAGGTCCTTTATCGTTGCAAGTCGGAGGCTCTTCTTTCAAACGATGACAACAAAAAAACTGTAGACCAAACCGAATGCTTATCATTTTTCGACCCAATCTGACTCACGAGATTTGAAATGCCGCATATGTGTTTCTCAAAAATACATTTTCTATTTTTTGCGTTTCTTTCCTTTTTCATTTCGTTTCAGATCAATAAACTGTTCATGGCATTTTGTGTAAACAGAACGGATCCGTTGAGATGGACAGAAACATTGCCGACCATATAATAACATCTCTATTCTATAGAAGTGTCGTATTTTATATTTTCATTGGCGGACATCCGTTACGTTTTTTTTTGTCAGAACTACCCCATGGATAAAGTACACTTTTTGATGGTTTTTTCTTATGGGATTGTATTTGTTTTGTTTGTTTGTTTGTTGTTTTGCCTTTTTGAGCAATAGGACAATAAGTCGCACTTACAATTACATGGATTAGCAGAGAAAAACGGGCGGAACATACAAGTACTAGAATGGATGAAAAAAAAGATCGGAAACGATAAAGCGGTAAAAGAAATAATAGGATAAAGGGTGGGGTTAGGGGAAATAGGCTTGGAGACCTTGGAAAAAGCAGTAATAACCTTTGTTCCTTCAAGTATGCAAGTCTAACTGGAATAGCAACTGGAAACCTTCGTTCTCTGGGTCATTCATAGTACCCTGAATGGTCCCTGGAGAAGAATTGGTACATCGAATATTGGACCCTCGAATCAACTGCTCCAGGGAACCCTAATAGCCGCCGTAACTCATCAGCATCGGTCTGTCCTATCTGCAAATATAATATTTTTGTACTTACATTGGTGATATTGCGTACTTCAATGAAATCCGGTTCAAAAGCAACAATATATGGATAGCTAAAAGCAAAAGCGTCCGGTGCACCTTCCCAATCAATACGGACACTAGATCGTATCAGGCGTCCTCTCTGATCCACGAAAAATGCAAATTCTACCGATAAAAAGTCAGGCTCTCTATTCTCTGATATTGCGACTGTTCAGCATACATACCATTGTAACAAACGAAATATTCTGCAAATCGTACTCTGTAAATTGTGATCGGACGCACATCGGTTCGTGAAAAGACAAACGATAACTCTTCATCCGCTGGGTCCAACAAGGCTTGTCGGTTCTCTCCAATCAGCTCCAGTTTTTCCAATGTGTCACAATTTGCAAGGCTTACCTTGTACCCCGAAATGCTTCATATCAATCACCCCAATTTCGCGTGGACTGGAAATGCAGATCTTGGTCTTCAATAACTGAATTCCCGAGGCTTCACTCGGCAGGTATAGATCTTTATAGGGCTTCAAAGCGACGGAACCGCTTTTCACCAGTCGCTTCAAGTTGAACATGGACTTGCTCTTTTTGCCCTCCTCGGTCATTTCAGGTTCCAGCACACGGATGGTCGTTTGACTCAGTGTATTGTTTTTCACCACACATACAAGTGTACGTCCCATGCATTCTCCGACGTGGAAAAAGGCCGTATTCTGACTTACGGCCCGACCTCGCTTGACGGGAGAATACGCTTCCGAAGTTAACATATCCAGAGGAAAAGTTAACAACGTTTTATCAGCCAAAACCAGAAGCTGTGCCTGATTCACCACTTCAATTTGTGATACTTTTTCCAGAGGTAAAAATCGCGAGACCGTCTCATAATTGGGTCCTTTACATATATACACGCCTTGATCTGTGCCTACTAGCAGCCGCTTGCCATTCTGCTCGTCATCTAGATAATTTACCAGGGAATTGGAAAGAATGGGTCAGTTTTGGGGTTTTTTTTTGGATCTAGTCACTGGGTTGTTTTTACCTAATGTCACTGTATTGTGGACTCGATTGGCAATCATAAAATGAGCTTGAACCATTGGCACCACTGTAAATACACTTTTTTTTTGAGCAAACAGTTGTTGTTGCTCGGCGATTTTCTCAATCCATAGTTTTCGGCTCGATGCATTCGACGGATACAATGTAATCGGTGGGGAACCTCGTCGCCCGTGATGATAAAATGTGATGCCGAGATTACCAGGTTTGGACTGATGTGTATCGGACACCGAAGGTCGTACGGAAGTTGGCGTAGGCGACGTTAACGTGGCCGATCGACTGTACTGCAATATGGCACTCGCACGCTTCGCACGGTTATTGCCGCTCACAGAGATGCTGAGAAGCTCGATTGGAATAGGCTGCAAGAGAGTTATATATAATAATAAAAAAATCAACATTGCATCGCAACATACAAAAAGGATAATTGAGACTGTACCTTGCGATATACGCGGTAATATTCCAAGTGATTGTCGTACTTGATTTTGGCGAAGACAAGATAATGATCGAACAAGAAAGCTTGGAGGTCCGAGGCATCGGACGAACTATTGCCTTTTCGCTTCATGCGTCCTTTCAACAGTAGTTGGCGTTGAGGATCAAGAAGGGACAAGTCCTATGCTTTCAACCACAGAAAAAAGAACTCAGGCGTTGTGATCGCTCACAAAAAACGAGTCCCTTCCACTTACCACATGGTCAATAGGTGGCTTGAAATAAAGTCGTTCATGAATCTGCTGAAGGCTAAAAAGGTTTTCGCATTTGCCGGTTTCCGTATTGACTTGTACCAGAAATCGAGTGATAAGCTCCATGACCTGGGGGAGCGTTTCACGATCCGGGTTCCCCTCGGGTGTACGTTTTAGAATTTCCCTCAACAGCAAATTATAGCGACCGAGACGGGTGGTGGGCTTTGTCAAGTAACCATTGAGCTCCAACCGACGGGATTCGGGTTTCCGCTCCGTTTCTTCCACAAACTGCGAGAATTTGGGGTTGCGCTTCTTTTCCAGTTCAAAGTTAAATTTGCCAATCACCTGATGCGCACCGTACACCACAAAAGGATCGAATTGGCATACATATTTCAGAATGACATCGCCTATGCTGTGGACAAGTTCGTTTTCTTTTTGTCGCTCTATCAACGCCTTGGAAAGCCCTGCATTCACCTTCTCAATATCCGCCATATTCCAAAACACTTCCTGCACGAAATACTCTCGCCGCTCACTGGGAATTACATCCGACGTGACCAAGGGTTTGACCCAGAACTACATGAACAACGTCTTTGTTCGTGAGTTGCTCAGCATTGCCAATTTAAAAATCTCAATCCAATGACTCACGTTGTGAACGTATTGAAGGTCTTTCACAAAGTCTTCTTCGGTATAAATCAATTCATAAATGCACTCTTGTCGCTTAATTTCGGCATTGGGGGTGGCTTCCACGGTTTCGGGAGATACTGAATGGACCCATAATCGATGCGTTTCTTCCTACAGAAGCAGCAAAAGCAGCAAAAACAGTCATTGTAAGGTGAGAGGCCAGATCGCCAATGGCATTAGGAAAGATATTTTTTCTTTGCTACCTTTTCCTGCAACGATGGAGCTTGTGATTGCTTCAGGTTATCCTGGAAAAAATTCATTGGTTATAACCACCACCCAATTGACATATCAGTATGACAATGCCATTTGATTCCATTTTTTACCTTTCTGATTTTTCGCGGACAAAGATGACTGTAACAGGGTTGATCTCGTGAACAGGTGGGTGAATAACACTCTGTCAGAAGAGTAAAGACGCCATTGGGTAGCTCAATGTCATGCTCCAGCACTCCTATACAAGATCAAATTAAAACCCGATTCCTCATTAAAGTGACAGCCATTCGCTAGTTACCGAGATCATTTTTCTTTTCTTCAGTTTCCGCACTGACAGGTACACCCGCCGTATCACGAAAACGGTATAATTCCTCAGAGGAATCCCGAAGTTTATGCTCGTAATTGACGTCGTTGAAGAAGTTTTGATCGTCCAAAGATCGTCCCATCAGCAAAGCCAGATTTCGATCGGTGGTTCGCAGTATATGAACAAGTCGATCCTATCGAAAATGATGAAATTGATAAGCGCTTATCCCCTGGCCCATTCGACAAGGTATAAATGTGGTAAAAACTTACGACGGCGTCCTTTCCAGTAAATACGTCATGGTATTCAATGTCATCCTTGATCATGGTGGTGGTAGTCAAAACTCTGTACAGTTCTTGAGCTACTTTGGACAAAAACGCGGGATAAACAGGTACGCCGTGAGAACGATATGCATAAATGGATTTGCGTTGCTCGTCCCGCTTTTGTTGCATCTGAAGGAAGATGGATTCATTCACTGGGTCCGAGGGGTAGTCGGTGAAATCGCTATTTTCAGTATCATAGGACATGCGTCTTGTTAATTCGGCTAGGGATACCGTCGATATTGAGGCTCGATGCTTCAACGGCTTGATGTCTATGTCAATCAAAGACAAACATTGAAAAAAAAAAAGAGAACACCCAAAACTCTGGATCAATTGTCTTTTCTTCTTTTTTTTTTCGTTGCATACATTGATCAATTGATTCACTTACCACCAATGCTGCCTTTGCGTGATTGAATGGAAGCGTGACTTTCCCAACCGGGATTCAGTTGGCTTTCATCATCATCCGACAGTATATCGGATACCAAAGGTGAGGCACCCGTGGCAGACCATGCAGATTTTTCTTCTTCGAGGTGTTCGAGTTGGTCGTTCTCGCCAATGGTTACTTTGAGCGGGAAATTGATAGGAAAATCGTATACTTGTTCGGCTTCCGGGGAGCAAGGAGACATGTTATCGACCGGTTGAACGCAGATAAGAGACGATGGCGGTCTATCTCGGAAGTTGAATTCTTCGTCATCATCTGGGATGGAAGATGACAGATGAAGTGCATCGTTATTTTCGGGGACGAGATCTGGTGAAAGAGGAGAAAGGTGAGATTGAACAACGAGTGAATGATCGGGTTTGGGGGATCCCGGAGGCGAAGAAAGACCGTTGTTGCTGTCTTCCTCGCGCGGATGAACCGTGCTGTCGATGGTGCACGTTTCACTAATGACACTGCTGATGGATCGATTGAAGCGACTAGTGCAAAAACCTGCTTTCGAAGGAGGTCGGGTATTGAAAGCGGCCAAACTTTGCTTTCGTACAGGCAACTGTTGCTGGACGTAGCTCTTTTTAATGGCTTCTGGTATAGGACCACCGGCATAGTCGATAGTGGGCGATCGTCGTATGGCATGAGCACCTTGATGAGTATACTGAGACGTATCACACTCTACAACGAGAGTCGGTACTTGTTGTGTGTCTGAACTGGGCATGCTTGGACGTTACATAAACTGTCAAACACTAAAAAAAATTACAGGGACACCACACAAGCAGCCAATTGATATTCAATTGTCAATCAGCCAAAAGACTTTTTTCTTGGTTCAATTGGGAAATAGTCAGGCTATCGCAACGAAAGCAAGAATGAAATATCCGAAAGGACAGAGAGGAGAAAAGGATGCGGTGGAACGTACACAGAACAAGACGCCGCAAAAAAAAAAAGGGAAAAAGAAGAAGAGAGGAAGAGAGCAAAGTTGACTAGGACGCAAATTCTCGTGGATCTTTCATTTCATCACCGTCCTGCCATATAAGGCATATATCCAGGCAGGCAACTTCATTAGCGACCTACACGTTGTTTGGCGCAGTTTGAAGTACCAAAGAACGTTTTCTAATCCATGCAATGAAAACAACCGAGAACACAGCTGGGAACATCAGCAAGAAAGCGAATCAACGGTATGATTCAGAACGATTATGTTCATTCAACACTATTGATTGTGATGCTTATCGGGAAGAATTTCAGCATTTGTCACCACAATATGATGGCGTTCCTGAAGTTCCTTATGATCAACGCAAATAAGCTAGAGCGCCCAAAGAAGGCGTCGTCGGAGTTGAGAAAATTAAGGGATTTTTTTTTGACTTTTTTTTATTTTTCGAACTCGGCTCACCTCTTGTAATTCCGCCACTTAAAAAAAAGAACGCGAAAGTTGCCTTTTTCTCGCTTATTTCTTTTCCTTTTTGTCTTTCTCATTGTCGAACTTCAGCATCGTCAAGTTCATTCAACTATCATGGGTCGACTTGGAACACTCGGTCTTAGTCAGGAACAACTAGATAACCTACGATACTACAAATATGCTGCTGTGGATCGGTCGCAACTAACCAAATACGTCCTGAGACACTATTGGAACTGGGCTATTACCTTGTTTCCAACATGGATAGCGTAGGTAAAAGAGTAAGGAGGAGACGCTGTGTACAGTATAGTTAACCAAAATACTTGCTCGATTTTTATCCATCTTGGATTTGAACAGACCCAACCTGATTACATTAATCGGCCTGTTCTTTATGATCATCAACGTCGTATTTATTGCCATCTGGTTGCCGGACCTTGGAACGGAGGGGCCAACTTGGATTTACTTTAGTTTTGCTGCAGGCTTATTTTTGTATCAGACCTTTGATAATGTGGATGGTCGGCAAGCTCGTCGAACAGGAACATCGTCGCCTTTGGGAGAATTGTTTGACCACGGTTGTGATGCACTCAACTGCACCTATGTGGCACTGCTGCAAGCAGCTGCACTTGGATTAGGTCACACAAGCTCAACCTTGATTTTGTTGGTGGTGACCGTGGTGGGCTTTTATTTGTCCACGGCCGAAGAATACTACACTGGTGTGCTTTACCTTGGTTACGTTAATGGACCCACCGAAGGCATTTTGGTCTCGTGCTTTGCGATCCTCTGGTCAGGATTATTCGGTAAGTAAAATGGAACTTGGCAATACCCACGGTTGAGCGTTTGAAACTAAGGGCAAATGATCAGGTGCGGCATCATGGCATATTCCTGTGACGGAGGTTGCCAGATTATCCTGGATTGCTCGGTATCTTCCTGAAGCCACCACTTTTGCTGATGTATTTGTATGGGGCATGGTTTTCTTTTTCGTGGTTACGCATTGCCCTGTTTGGTAAGTAACACTAACGAACCTTAAATACCTTGTTGATGTACGAATAACCCTTTTTTTTGCACTGTAGCTTGTACGCGATTTCTTCAGCATGTCGCGAAAAGTCTCTGAACCAACTTCGTGAATTTGCAAGAGTACTCTTGCCCCTATTGGCCTATGTAGCGGCTATTTGTCTCTGGGTTTTCTCGCCTTACTCATCGATCCTTGCTGATGAGCACTTGATTCTGTTTTCGCTAACCGTTGGTCTCGTGTTCGGCATGATGGCATCTGATATCATCTTGGCTCATCTCACAAAATCGCCGTTCCCTACCTTTAAGCGTGCATTGATTCCCTTGTGGATTTGCGTCCTGATCGTTAACAGTGGTTGTATCTCATCGTAAGTTTTTCTCAGCATCATCCGGATCTGCTTTTCTTCCTCGCTCACTCTAACCCTTTTTCAGAATTCTTGTTTTATCTCCTGCTGTGGAATATGGAGGGCTAAGAGGCCTCTTTGCTGGTTATGTGGTTGTTTATCTCATGTGGGTGACGGCTGTCATTGGCGACATTTGCGATCATCTGGGCATTCGCTGCTTGGCCATTCCTCGAGCTAACCACAACAATCGAGCCGTACCCACTACCATTGGTAAATATTCGTATCTCGTTCGTGTCTTTGTGAGTACGTTTGCTAACGCTTGAATAACTTAGCTGAAACTGAAGCCGATTCGTTACTGGTCTCCCAAGAAGAAGGTGGTCCTCAACGTTCCAATACCCAGACCAATCAACCTTCGTATAACACATTTTAGTGAATCAATCAATACCTCTTAATGTATTTTTTTGTTGTATTTTTTATTTGTATCTTTTGATGACCCCCATTAACTAAAAGCTTAATTACGTTCACCCTCACATTGGCATTGTCGTCTTGATAGATGAAACAACGCTCTTGTGCAAGTACGATCGGACATTGCAAGATTGAAGCGAAAGCAAACTTTTCTAGTCCCCAAAAGTCTGCTAATGATCTATACAGTCACCGCTCGATTTTGGAATTATCCCGGGACAGTGATGCTGAAATCGAATCTTGTTTTAGCATACGACGTATCATAGAAGTTATCATGGCGATTCCAAAAAGTAATTTTAAAATCGAGTGATGACTTTAATGATTTGCTAAGATTTATTTGAATCAAACGCACAAACGGCCCAACCTGTTATTGTGGAGTGAAGCGGAGAATGAGAACTCAAATTTCAAGAGGAGATAAGCATAGGTCCTGCAAGTCCATACAGTTATGCGAAAATATAGCATATCACAAATGGCAAGCAACAGGTGCTGTTACTGCGCTGATGCGTGTTTCAATTGCTTTGCATATCTGTAAGAACATTTTTTGACGTAGAAAAAGCATATTCTTATTGCGGACATGCTCACCTGCATTTCGCATCGGCCTTTGTCATTTATGGCGCTCTCCGTGTTCTGTCGCCATTGCAACATGACGCACTGAGACTGACACCCTGACCCCATGGAGTTAATACGTGGACGTTTATTGTCATAGTAATATCGGTCCGCCGTCAGGGGAAACAAAACTGCAAGCTCGGCAGCAAGACAAGGCACTGGAACCCACTATCATACAGGAAAATCAAAGTAAAGAGAGTAAGCCGATTTCACAAAGCACGTCAGCTATAGGTTATATACTATATGTTCCAACGCGTATGCGACAGAAACTGGTGATTCTGCCAGCATGAGCAAGGTGCCGCAGTCCCTCTTTGGATCGCTTACGCGAAAGAAGTGTGAGGCACTTTTCGCGAGTTTTGTTGCGAGAATCGAGCCAATGAGGTGCATTTGCAGTCAAAAAGAGGGTCACAATCGAAGGTCCTCGAACGATCTTTGAAAAAGATATAAAAAGAGGGCGTTCCTTCCTCATTTTTTTTTCTTTTGTGCGCCAGTTCGGAATCAGGGGCTGCTAGGCTGGTGGTCACTGGTAATGATGAACGCTCCGGTTTTTGGTAAAGCATTCGGGGTATGGCGAAAAATTCGAAAACCATCTTCTAATGATAGGATTGGCCATCCTCTGAAGAAGATTGTTTTCGTTCCCGTCGGCTCTTCCCTTTGGGCGCCTGACTAGCCATCAGCGCGCTCACTGTGGAAGGTATGTCGGTGGGTTTGCTTTTTAATCGCAACAAAGGTAAATGAAAAATAAAAAAGTGAGCTTAATGTCCTGTGGACGAGCCACTTTCATATAAAAGAAAGTAAATGAAAACGCTTTGCTTAGATGAGATACAACATGGATAGACCTCTTTGTTTTATTTGTACCAATGACTCCTCTATTCAATAAAGACGTCCAATCAACGCCTCTTGCCCAAAAAGACCGTCCTCTTTATCCATGTGTTCCTGCCTCTTGCAGCTCACTTGCAACTATGCCGTTCACAACCATTTGGCTCAGTTAACGTCAAAGTGGTATATGACTGTTCCTCTGAAGGAGGCTGCTCTTGGCGTCGAGAATGTCAGAATTCGTAGACGAGCAATGAGGAAGTGTGTTGGCGAAAATAAATCACCAGGAATACTGATTGTAGGTGTTGGTTTTTCATAGTGGTGTTTTGCTAAAACATAAAAGAAAAAGGAAGTAGAGGGGAAGAAGTTTTTGCTAAGGAAGGCGCAGTCCGCCAAGCTTTCCAACATTGCGGTGGCGCTTCTCAGGATTGTGAGGTCAAAATGCGACACGTCATGTTGCAATTCGTGACGATGAGACTCTCGCGATCAGCATTGGGAATTTTAAATGGACCAACAAGGTGGCAAATGCGGCCGCGGTGTGGTTTACTTGCTCTTCAAAGTTGAAAAAGAACGCCGTTCACTGTAAAGCATTACATTATTCCTCAAACCGTGGAATACTTACAGCCCATTCTCAGGGGTCCCAAAAAACTAGTTCGAGAATCAAATATATTCTAAAAGCGAGCATTCTTCAAATAAGCATTCTTAAATTGAGCGGTAACTGTATTATTTTTTTAAATCATATCGTTATTTTTTACTACAGTGAGCTTATTTCAATAAGCACCATTAAGCTGTATTATTTACGAGTACAAATTGGCCAGTGTCATACATGAGGCCAGAATTTCGATGCTACTGGATATACTCGTTCGTCTTTCATGTCATAAGAACGTATGCTGATTACTGTTGTCGAGGTTCGTTGGATGCAAATACAAAGCCAGTTACCGTTCTGTCGATGATATGTGAAAATGGTCTCCTTTTTTGTGAATGATTGCATAAAGAGATGGCAAAAACAAAGTGGCAATACTATACAACAGCAAGGCAATTATTCTTTGTATACGTTGCATAGTAATAATGCTTTTTCAGATATTAAGCCATGGAAACACATCCACTATCAGTTTTTGTAAGTAAACGCGAAAGAGTGAAGCAGCGTATGTGAAAGGTTGGGTATTTTTTATTCGCCGTAGTGTGGCCATATTAAGAAGCTCCAAAACTTTAGCTATGTGGATCATAAAAAAGAGGATGCTTAAAAAACAAAAAAAAGGAAAAAAAAAAGCAGCAAAAAAAATGAAAAGCAATGATAAAAAGCTAACATAACCTGCCAATGATGTAGGATGGAATATAAAGTTATCGTTAAAGCAAGTCATGTCGCTTTGAAAGAAGCATATGGTCTATACAAAGAACAAAATAAGAATAAAAAAAAAACGGTTCAAAAGTTTAAGAGAAAAAATAATGGAGGGGTTGAAAAAAAAGGAGTCAAAGAAAAAGAAGAAAAAAAAAGTTCCACCAAGCCAAAGAATAAAAACAAAGCAAAATATGAACATGCAAGATAGATGATGGGTGAACATAAATAATGAAACCTTTCGTCTAGCAGCCGACGGTACCAGCATTGGCTGTGTGCCAATTCATGCCCATACTAGCAGCGGCAGCAGCAGCGGCAGCAGCGGCGGCGTTCATAGAATTACCGTTCTGATTAGGAGAATATTCATTCTGCTGTTGCTGTCTTCTTCGTCGGTCCTCAACGCGTTGATGCGTCTTCATATGTTGAGAAAGGTTATCTGAACGAGAAAATGTCTTGTGACAGTTGGGGAAAGAGCATGCAAAAGGACGCTCGAGGGTATGAATACGCATGTGACGCTTGAGATGTTCGAGACGCTTGAAACGGCGTTGGCATGCAGGTACAGGACATACGTGTGATTTCTGCTGACTATTGGAGGAGGAAGTCGACGAGGCAGAGGACGAACGACGTGGATTGGAAGGAACAGCGAATTGGTCCGTAACATAAGGACCAGGCATAGAAGCTGATACCATGGCTGAGGATGTCGTGGTAGGCGATCCTTGCGTTGGTTGACGATGAGAAGAAGGTTGCGTATTTGGATGTGGAGGAAGAACAGGCATGGAATTCATGGAATAGAAAGGAGAGTGAGTAGAACGGGTATGGTCCATGGGGGTCGAGGAAAAGAATGGGTTGGGGGACTGCGAAGCGGATTCATGGTTCAACAAGGAATGGCCAGAAGGCGACGATGGACTCAAAGGTGAAGCTTGCATTGTGAATTGTCCAGAGGGATGAAATGAGCGCATGTAAGGATCATGTGGATGGTGACAAGCATAATCTTCTTGGCCCTAAAGAAAAAGAGAGTATTGTTTGTTACACTTTCATTATTCTGGTCTTTTTTAGACATTTTTGCGTTCTTACCTCCGTCATATAGGCTTGACGATGATCGTACATATCTGGATAAGGCATATCGAACGACTCATCCTTGGTGTGAGCAAAGTAAGTGGGCATTCGGTCGTCAAATCCTTGAGAAGTTCTGGCAACAGCCGCGGCGGCAGCAGCAGCAGCGGCCACAGCAGCAGCAGCTTGGCTCGAAGACGTGGTTGGAGAAGACGTGGTTTGAAGGTGCGCATTTTGCTGGGACATGCGTCGGTTCTGCTGCATAATCGTCTTCTTGGTATGCGTACGATAATGAGCGTGGAAATTGTCGGATCGACTAAAGCTCTTGCCACATCCCGGGAAATGGCAGACGTGAGGACGTTCACCCGTATGGACAAGCATATGACGCTTCAAATGTTCGTAACGCTTAAAGCTCCATCCACAGTGAGCGTACTTGCACACATGCTTGTGCTGAGCATTGGGGGCTTGAGACGACGATCCGTTGAACTGACGCGAAGTGCGCTTAGGCATGGGTGATTTGAATGGCTGAGGCGTGGTAAAGGTTGCCATGGTAGGGTCTTCAGCGGTCAAAAATGAATAATCCTGACAACGTGTCGTCATGGCAGCGGTGGCTGTGGAGTAGCTGGACGATTCATGCAAACAGTCATCTACGGACATGGCCGCAGAACAGGAACTTCGTCGATATGCATCTTGATCATGCATGGCTGGAGGATGCGGTATGCCGCTGCCAAAACTGAAAGGACCCACATCGACCGAGAACTTGCGCTTGAATTGCATGGAATCCAATAAAACAGAGGATGGCGATACGGCGGGCGTCAAAGGGGGAGAAATGCTCTGCTTATACAGGCCGGTCTGCATCGGTTGTTGTGTCGTCGGATTAAACACATAAGAAGGAGGTGGAAGCGGCAGGAACGAATTCGTCTGCGTTTGCTGCGGCGGTTGTTGCTGCTGCTGCTGGTGATGTTGTTGTTGTTGTTGTTGCGAAGGATAAGCTCGATGTTGCATATCGTCTTCTTGGTTTACTCCTTTGGGTGAATGAGTAAACGAGGATTGTGAGGTGGATTGCTCATCCAACATGGAAATACTGGGTAATTTTTCCGGGATCGCCGGCGTGTTCGGTTGTCCGTAATTCATGGTTTGGGTATCCATTATGCAAATAAACCAACAGTAGCACAATAATTAGAACCAATAAAATAGAAATTCGGTGTCTTAATGGTGCACGACAAAAGAGTCAAAGAAGGAAGAAGAACAAGAGAAGATGGATAGTAAATAAAAGAACTGATTGTCTCAAGAAGAGCAAGAGAAAGAAGGAAGAAAAAAAAAGGTGGATAGCAATCCAGGGTTTCCTTATATGCCCAAAGAAGAGATGAAGGGAACTGATAAAATAACCCCAAATGTGGGAAGGCTATTTAAACTTGCACAGTGACAGACAAAGTGCTGGATTGAGCAAAATAGACTGATCGACAACCAATGCTCTCTAGGGGATGCACCCAAAATGATCAACCATCCAGTGCGAGGATGTCTGAACCGGTTACAACCAATGTGATTTTTTAGGTTGTGCGCACTTCATTCCCCTTCTATTTTTTCCTTTCAATACATCTTTTTTCACAGATGGTTAAAAAAGAAGCAAGGGGAGACCACAATATCAAAAAGATTAGACCGTTCAATATTCAGGGGTAGCAAAAACGATTGTATGCTCCTCCCTTTTTTTTGCCTTTTACTGCTGTGGTAGGAAAAAAAAATCTCAACTGGCCTTACTTTTTTTTTCTTCCACTCACCAGTAAACCAGTCAACACACTTGCTCATATTTTAAGCAAATACTTACTTTTTTTTTCTATAAACTTTGCTCTCCTCTGTCTCTCCTCTCTTGTGAACCCCCTTCACTTTCGAACTCCATCATTTCGTAATATGACCTAAAGCAGATGAAACTTTTCGTGAATAATAGAATCAAGAAATTGCCATTCGTCCAATTATATTCATGGTTACAAGAGGATTTTTAACATTGAAAAATGAACAATGAAATGGAATCACAGGATACGTTAGCATTAATTTCTTACAATCCCAAGTTATGCCAATGTTGATCTTTGCTGGAAGCGGATTGGCTCGATCTAATATTGACTCCAACCCAATCTGTGCTAGAATGTATTTACACGTTCCATCTACAGACCTCCTTAAAAAAAACTAAGGAGATGAAGGACGCGAGTCCTCGTGCTTCCAAAGCTCCTACGACTGTGGGCCTCTGAACAAGTGTGAATGTGAAAATGCGTATCTGCGTGTGTCTGCGTGCGTGAGTTGGTAGAAGTAGAGATTGGTGATTACTCCTTGATATTTTTTTTCCATTAAAAACAACTCCTTCTTATGGCACTTTGCCGTAGAATAAACTTCAACCATCATTCATGTTCAACTGTCAAGCGCATGCGATATTCAACCTATTTGTATATTGCACGTAACATTTGCTCCTGTCTGTCTTTACATCGACCTTTTTTGTGCTTCTCATCCCCCCCCCCTTTCTCCTTGGTGCTTGAGCACGCAGCTCATCAACAACATGCTGTAAAAAAAAGGCAAGAAGCCCACTTATCTCCTACATGCTCTTGTGGACTCTTCTTTAATAATAGGTTTAGGAGTCACATCTATCTATACCGCTGAAAAAAACGCGATAAGAAATCTCGGCATCCTCGGAAAATGTAGTGATTCAAAAATAGTTGCACTGTCATTAAACGAGCTGTGAGGCATTGCTACAACGTGATTTATTTGTATATTACAACAATAAATGGATCTCGTCCCATTGATAACGGAGATCGTGATTTTCCTCGGAATATTGCTTGAAGTGGCAACCTACAACAGAACATGATTAAGCTTTCACCAGAATAGACGTAAAGGTCATCGTATGATTTAAAGATACGCCAGACGGTCAACGTGCACCCTCGGGCAATGGTCCTGGCAACAATTATGGAGACTGAAGCACGACCGTCTCCTTGGAACTGAAGCTCATTGCAAGTAAAAAAAAAACCCTTATCTCGAAGGTTTTAATCATATTACCCACAACCCCACACACCCCTAGTTTCAAAAATTTTACAGAGGACCCTGGACCTCAACCTTGATGCCAAAACTGCATTAGAACATGGGTGTATGAGACTATTATTGATAGAAAGACTTTAAATCAGTATATATCATTGGATCAAGCACTCCCTGTCGTTACCGCAGACGATCCCTTTTAACGGCATACGCTAATTCCATGGTTGGACCTTGCTTTTGTTTGAAATAAAAGTGATGAAGCGCGTAACAACTGTTGTATCACGCAACTTTCGAATGATAAACAGGATCATGGACTGCCCTTTGCGTTGTTAAAAAAAAAGGGAAAAAAATAACGGAGAGTCGGACAACGGCAGTCATTCCCAATATGAATTAGGATGCTTAGAATGCCAAAAAAGAGACATCGTACCAAGCAATTGACTTTTGGCATGTTATGTGCATCTCCTTGTTGATCGATCGGTTCAGGTTGGTAGGACATAATCCTATAAATAGGCCTCTCTGATGTGATATCGACAGTTGATTATTTACAACTCAAATACGCTACTTTATCAATCTTTGTACATCTCTTTTTATTATGTCTTCCGAGTATGGTGAACAATGAAAAAAAAAAGGACTGTAACACCATATTGCTTTTGCTTCAGGGGTCAACAGCCCGTTTGTGAAACGAGCTATTTCATTCAGCTCATTTTGCGTCATATATCTTTTTGTTTGCGATCTAAACTATTTTTCACATAAAGCTCTCATGTCCGACGGATAATAATCCATTGGACAAACTACAGAGCAATATGCGGGATTCGGTTACGTATTCAATTTTTCGCGTAAATTATCGCAGAGCGGACAGTTACAGAATTTTGCCCTGTTTATAGTTGTCCCGGGACTTCAACATGTGGGACAAAATTGCAGTAACAGCATCGCTGTCAGGTAAATTTCACGACTGTCTATGTCTGATTTATGCATTTTAGTCGTGTGCCTGAGTGTGGGTTTTGGAGTTGATACTTGGGCCGTTCATGCTTGAATACACACTTGTGTAAGCCTTCTCAAGGGTATTAAGAAAATGCTGAACCGGACGCAGACGAATTAGATAAGCACATCTTCAGGTAACTGCTTTTCTCAGTGTTCCGTTAAATCGTATACAACTGGCATTTGCCAATTGGCAATATGAGGAGGAAGAGACAAATCTCGGATCAGGAAGCGATTGACTTTTTAGAGGGGCGCGGGGCCGAAGATTTGGTCGAATTTCCGAAGAAAAGACTCGGGTCCGGCGATTGAACATCCGACGATAACCGGACTCGCGCCGCACTTTGATCGAAGAAACAGGCAAGCTGGGGCAGGCGTTAGGCAAAATAAGGGAAAGAAGTCGGCAACTTGAAGGATCCTTCTTTCAACTAAACCCTTCATCGAGCCGTAAGTAACTTGAACTATTGCAGCTAGATGGTGGATGGATGAGTTAATATTGAACGGATGCAGATGGCCAAGGATCAGAAGACCACCAAGCGTTCCACCCTCGCTGATGTTGTCACTCGCGAGTACACCATTCACATGCACAAGCTCGTCTTTGGCAGGTAAATTTTCAACGCAAACCTCCCATTCAAGCAATCCAATGAAGCGGGCAGCATTCTCATTTCAACCATTTGTTTCCACTTAGATCCTTGAGAAAGCGTGCTCCCCATGCTATCAAGGCCGTCAAGGCTTTCGCCGAAAAGGCCATGGGCACCAAGGATGTCCGTATCGATGCTGGTCTTAACAAGGCCATTTGGGCTCGTGGTGTCAAGCACATTGACCACCGTATCCGTGTCCGCATTGCCCGCAAGCGTAACGACGAAGAAGATGCCAAGGAGAAGCTCTACTCCTATGTCACCTATGTTCCCGTTTCCAGCTTCAAGGGTAATTTCGCTTTTTGTCGTTTGCTTGATTACAAGTTCAATATTAACCAACCAATCTCATGTATACCGTAGGTCTCGAAACCGTTGTTGTCGATGACGAGTAAAGATGCGACTGTCTTGCAAACATTGGAAAGAATTTTGTGCCAATAAATTTAATATCAGGTCGCGCAAACGGTCTTAAAAAAAACAATCGTCAATGGTATTGGATTTGGTGATGGGATTGCTTAAGAAAGCTTTTGCGTCAATGCCGATAGTATGATAGGTTGGGAAAAAGGATTATCACCATGAGATAAGTCAATGGGTTGTGGGATGTGGAAGAAGCTGTCTGTTTCCAAAAGTCACGTGAATGAAAATGAAAATCAAGCAAGCAAGCTCAAACTTTGATATGGCACCTAAAAAAAGCATGTTTTATCAGATACTCATAATATTTTTAATTTTCCGATTATGCTTTACGGACCGACGTTACCGATGGGTTAGGATGACTGAACGACATGGAAGGATCTGACGACATGGAAGGATCCAGATCGGCTTGTTTCACATATAACATCATTTGTGACATGCCTTGATTTTCATTTTATTTTTGTCGCGCTTCCATAATGGGATGACAGATCCATGGCGAGCCGGTGGCTAATGACTGAAAAGATAGTCGATGCTTAGCTGCATTGTCTTGTTTATCACTATGGAAGCAGTAACACGTGCGATTCTTTTGCAAAGAGTTTTCAAAATCGCTGTAATGGGCTTCATCATGTGTGCGTATCGGGCATATAGAGTCACGTTGCATGAAGTTCCACTTGTATCATAATAGTATTTTTGAAGAACAGCGAGCCAGGTGACTTGAGATTTTGACATATTGTATCAGGCAACTGAGCAATAATTAGACAATATCTTCTCGTTGGTCCATCTTTGGCAACGTAATGCAGCCAGTTGATGTCTGGGTGTATAGAAAAAGGAACATTCATTTTTTTCACAGTGGAACAGGCGCTGCTTTGCCAAGGCATGTCAAACGATGAAAAAAATTTTCCTTTGACTAGTCATGACTTATAAAAAAAATACGGCGAGCCCTCTGAATAAATAGGGAGTTCATCGGTTTCATTAAAGGGCAGGGTCGACAGAAAGCGATGCAAAAAAAAAAAAAAAAAAAAAAAAAAAACCGGAAATGAATGGAGTTCATCCGGTCGATTTGATCTCAGCAGCGTGACAATCTCTCAATGGCCGGGTTTTGGATGAGCTATAGGGGGTGGGATCACCGAGCCTCGACAACTTTCGGAGCGGTGATGAAGGAACCAGGAAAAAACTTTATTCGTACTTTTTGCAAGAAAAGCCCAGAGAGATGGAAATAAAAATAAAAGAAAATCCAATAGGAATGCATGTTCAATGAAGTAATGGGTGATAAATTGATCATCATTTATTTTGGTATGATCGTCACACAGGGCCCCAGAATTGTTCATGGCGAGTGATGAGACTCAAATCCGTCACTATGAGTTAACTCGATGGGAATAGGGAAAAAAAAAAGGAATCGACAATGTTCTTTTCGATTCTTCAGATGATCCGGCTATGTCCGTTGTTCAAGTGCTCTTTTTGGCTAATGGCGTTCCGATTAATGCAGAACGTGATTACCACAGTTACACGAAGAAGTATCCTGGGCGACTATTGACTACTGCCCAAAAATGAGCTGCTAACCATCTATTGCATAAATATACGCGAATGTACCGTGATGCCTTGAAATAGCCGCTGACATAATAATGGCATATTATTGCTTAGACGTAATTCTTAGGTCTTGTGCGTGAATGAGGAAATTTTGTTTCGGAGTTGAAGATGTCGTTATCCGAAGCGCATGCTTACATCGTTTCAGAGGGCGGATGAATTTTCGACCGCCCGTGAATACTTTTTCCATAGGTAAAGGGAACAATAACCGATGCGTCATTCAAAGTATAGCATCATTGCAAGAGGTGAGCAGAAAAATATAGGGACATTTGGATAAAACTGTTTTATCAGTAAAGATCAACATCACTTTGATCCTATTTGCGGTTATTTTTTTTTTTTCGGTCTCTAAGATTACCGTTTTGGGATATTGGGTTAGCCTGGGTTAAGCTAAAGATGTCATCAATTATGACAAAATGAGATGTTTCATTCAGGATCGGAGGCAAGGGAATAAGTTTAGCTTCGATGAAAAAGGTATATATAGGGTCGATTCGGACAAGGGTTGTCGGTTCAAAAAGTTTATCTCTTTATTCTCTCGCATTTCACAAGAAGAAAAACAACTACTACAAGTCATCAGCATGTCTTTTACCATTCATCAATCTGTTGCTAACGGCTTCACCAACGACTGGTATGTCAGATCCGCTTGGATCGCCTTCACCACTCTCTGGGTATTCTGGGGTCTCGTTTGGTTCCTTCGTCACGCCTTTGGTGGTGATGAACCCTCTCACAATGCTGTTGCTGGTAATTACAACAATGCTGGTTATAACAACAATGCTGCCGGTGCCGGTGCCTACAACAACAATGCTGCCGTTGATGGCACTGGAGCTTCCGTCCCTGCTACTGATGCCGAAGTTGGAAACAAGAAGAAATTTGCCACACCTACCTGGACTTCCTCTCTCTTCGTAAGTGTTGCAATTGGAAAATAACAGGCGTAATTTTTTGTTGGTTCAGTGACATGAGAACTAACCCATGTTGATTGCGATAACCATTTAGTACCGTGTTGAACGTGCTCAGAACATGCTTCGTGATCTCGTCTTGATGCTTTTGTCTGTGCTTGTTATCAACAACCTTGCTGGTGGTTCCACTCGTGCCGTTATGATTCTCGCATGGATCTTCTTCGCGTTTGCTGTCATCTGGTTCTTTGTTGAAACCGTCATTGAGAACCGCTTCACTCGCTTGATCTATGCTCTCATCTTCTACGCTATTGGTTTGGCCATCATTGGTTTGGCTTTCGCCCAAGGCTTCCACTAAAGGGTTCATCTATTTAGAACCGCATTGTTTATCTTGCTACCTTTATTACTCTTTTTATTATTGACTACAGCTAATGATATTATGCTTTTTTGAATAGTTTGGCATAGTATTTGAAATCCCTTTTTTGTAATAATCTAATAATTATAATCTCGTTGGATTGAAATAATAATGAACTGTTCTAAAATACGTCTTGGTGTGTGCGTGGATTGACATATTTTCCGAAATGACGAAACCGGAACCCTGTTCAATGCAGTCATCTTTATATTGTCTCGAGGACTGTCAATATAAGATCAATCGCGACAAAGACCCTCCCCCCAAAAAAAAGAAGTGGTTCATTTTCAAACCCCATGCATGGAAAATATAGCCTGTTGATCTGTACCCTGCAGCTGTTTGAAAAATGCCTTTTTTGGATTGACGCGGATGGCTGCACGGGTCATCATTGCGTAACCCTCAATGGGGCGGATGATTGTTACATTTGGAACTCTACATCATTTATACGAAATAACGGGATGCTTGCTGAAGCTTATAGACTCGTTGGCGTATCTGTCTTGTCAACAGATTAATTTGCTATCGAACGGGGTATGCATTTTTTGTTCATTGGCATTTTCACAAAACCCGCCACGGACGATCACCCTTGGATGTATTTCCTCGAGCACTTTTTTTTTCTCCCTCAAGTGGAATAACACGATCTTTCGGGCTGCCACTGATTATTTATTTGCTTTTTTACTTGCAACTATTCGTATTTATGACATAACCCATGATGGACATCGATTATTGAGTTGACCAAATTTCTAAGGGAAAATTGGCCTTTTGCCTGCTTCTCATTATAGTGCAAGAATGCTGATACTCTACTTGATCCATTCTTCCTTCCCATATTTTTTGCCTCTTTAATCTTTTTGTTCTTCTGATACCTTCTGTCCCCTCTTTCTCCTTTTTGCTTCTTGCTTTTTTTTTCTTGCTTCCGTGTAGTGTGGGTTCGCATCCTTTCTTTACGAACCAAACTACCCCAAGAGCATCAAATTTTTACCAAAAAAAAAAAAAAAGGAATTTTCATCATAGACTTATATTTCTTTTGATTTTTCTGTAAAATAAGTCGATGCAACTTTGAGCATTGCATTATGGAATATGATCACGACCCACTGTTCGATGCTTCTGGCATGTTCAGCGAATGTGCTACGAATGACCATGCAGCCGATATGTTTGTTCAAAACTTCTCGCCGAACAATCTCGAATCACAATCCTACATCAAACAACACATGTCATCGGGCATACCACTCAACTTGGGCGATCAGACCATTCAAACCCTTGTGGACTGCACGCCCGACCTTATGCACAACGACCATTTGGCAGGCAGCTTTGCTCCGTCCGACGTAGACAGCTTTTACCACACCTTCAGCGAATCTCCGACCTCGTATCTCCAGTATCTCAAAAGCTACTCGCCTTCCCAAGAACCAACCGCGTCCTTATCCCAACCCACACCATCGTCGCTATTCGATGGTCAGTCAAAATCGAAAACGGCTCCGATTGATATCACGTCAAACTTGGATTACAACTATCTCTGTTCTACTACCATGTATTCTACCAAGGATACAAGTAATCATTGGCTCTATGATCTATCTGAACCCTTTTTATCCTATCAGCATGCCATCAACGATCCTACCTTTACTGATCCCTTTTTAAGCCAACCCTCCGTGGCTGCTTTGCCTTCCAATCATACTTCCTCTTTACCTCGAGAATTTGTGAGCCTCAGTGTAAGTCGAATCTGTCAATTTTCCAAAATTTGTAGCCCATGTAAGCACCGGGAGAGTAACCCACTGATTTTGCATTCATAGGATGTGAATGCCTTTGTGGCTGAAACCGATTCCACGCAGTATGCTCCATTTCAGGCTTCCGATTTCTGTTACTTGGACATGGAAAAGAAACCGACATCGACCATGACATCCACGTACTCCGTCCCCTCGTCGTTGGCGCTTCAAACTCAAGCTTTTGCTTATTCCGACTACAACGACGACAGCATGGATGATAATTCTGACAGCGATCTTTCCATATCGACGCGAAGTTGGGTACCAGGTCATTTCATGAACGGATGGCCCAATCCTTCCTCGATGCCGTCCCATTCTTTGCCAACTACACATACCATGCCCGCCATTTCCTCACTGAACAACAATAATAATCACCGTGCCAAACCTCGAAAGTCGCTCTCCACTGGTTACCGCAATCGTACCGATACCAAGTCCAAAACAAAGCAAAAGCAAACGAAAAAGCGTGATAATGCCACGGCGATGCGGTTGAAACGATTTCAGTCTACCCCTTCCGGTCTTTCGACCTTGGCTGGCAATACCATGCGTCATTCAGAAAGTATCAGTACCTTTTTGGCGCGACAACGACTCTCTGACGAGGATTCCGACGATGAACCACTGCAGGAAGAAGGGGACGAGGACGATGCTGTGAAAGACGACGACGACGACGACGACGACGACGACAGTGATGAAGACGCGTACACCACCCGATACAACCATCGCGCTCTCAATAAAACAGCGAAAAAGTCGCGCAATGTCGATAAAGCTTGCAATCACTGCAAGCGGTCGCATTTGCGTTGTGATAACATGCGTCCTTGTCGTCGATGTGTGGCGACCGGAAAAACAGGCTGCGAAGATGTGGATCATAAACCTCGAGGAAGACCAAGGCTTCAGCGACCCATTACTACTTAATAAATAATTCACGATTAGATTTACCCTTCTTTTTTTTGTTGTTCTCCTATTGTTTCGATTACTGTTTCCTATTTCCCTTTTTGATAACCCCCCCTCGTCCCGTCCCCCATTTACCCAACCCAGTGTTTTGTATCATCCAACCTTTTTTTTTCCCCCAGTACTGTATCAGGTTATTTTTGTGTTAAAGAAAGAAAAAAAATTACATTGAACAAAAAGTTTACTGAAATTTGGTTGAGATTTTTCAAAATGCCGTCCGGCGACTCCATATGCGCCGTAATTCCGGAAGGATGGGAATTCCGGGTCGGACATGCACTCGCTGTCCGTCTGCCCCCACATGGACTCAAAGGCTGGTCTTTGAAGCATCCCTTTTCATATCCTTGATCAAACCCAGAAGGAAATGTCTAGAGTTAGTATCCATATCCGTTTTTTCGTCGTTGGAGAGGAGGATTCATCTGCATTTGGATGGAATGGATGATTGGATGCATTTGGATGAACCTAGCTTTTCAAGCATGAACCCCTCTTGAATATCGACCTTGTTACTCCATTCACTCCAAAACCATACTCATATATCGTTTTATTGCAACTCTGTAGCTTTCTGAATATCAGGTCGTTGGGCGCAAGCTCCCTTCCGAGCAGGAACCTTCTCCTAAGCTCTACCGCATGAGAATCTTTGCTCCCAACACTGTGGTGGCCAAGTCTCGCTTCTGGTACTTCTTGAAGAAGCTCCGCAAGGTCAAGAAGGCCGCTGGTGAAATCGTCTCTTTGAACGAGGTAAACATTTGATACAAAGAAATATCGGAAAAAAGAGAGTATAATGGAGTGCTAATTCAAGTTGCATTGGCATTTGAAATGGGTGATTTTTTTTTGTCAATAGATTCACGAAAAGCGTCCCGAACAGATCAAGAACTTTGGTGTCTGGCTCCGTTACGATTCTCGTTCCGGTACCCACAACATGTACAAGGAATACCGTGAAATGTCCCGCGTTGAAGCCGTTCACACCTGTTACCAGGATATGGCCGCTCGTCACCGTGCTCGTTTCAGCTCTATCCAGATCATTCGCGTAAGTTGACAACCAGCAAGACAATGATTTTGCTAAGCAACGAGGATGTTCTTCTTACTAAATTCGATGGGGTTCTTTCTGAAAAAAAGGTCGCTGAAATCAAGTCTGCCGATATCCGTCGCCAGTACATTAAGCAACTTTTGACTCCTCGTCTCTCCTTCCCCTTGCCTCACCGTATCCAGCGCGCCGAAAAGGGTCACCGTTCTCTCTTTGTCGCCAAGCGTCCCTCCACTTTCTATTAAGGGACGTTCTTCGGTATTTCTTTTTTGTCGATTAGATAGTTGTCTGAAGCAAGAAAAAAAATATCAACTCACTTCTGAACCAAACCTACGATTTACGTTATCGAACTCTAGACAGCTTTACTGTATTACGGGGTGGGGGAACACTTATCATGCAAGACTGGGATAAAAAGGCCGATTAGAAGCCCAAAAAAAAAAAAAGAGACAGAGAAAAAGGATGGAAATAATAGTAATGACGAAAGAATTATTATTATTAGGCATGGTGATTTTATATATCGGAAGAGTGGAGCAAGGAACTGTGTTGGTCGTCGTTAAGTTCCACTTCTTTGGCAGATAACGACTTGGTTTGCCTTAAATCCAAGGCGGACTGAGAACTGCCGTAGCTCTGGAATGAGTTGTGCTTGAAAGAGGACATGGCTTCTCGAAACCCAAAATCTAACGAGCTTGCAGGCGATGAATTATGTTGCTTATCGAACGCAAATAACCGTAAAGCGGTTACTGCTTGTACATTCTGGTTATCTACTGCCAAATCCAGAGGGGTCTATCACGATGACCAATAATTGTCAGAGGTCAACCCGTCATTGCATAAAAACCCACGTTGGTACCAATGCCACCCACCTTTCCATCGTTATTCGTCGAGTCAGCTTTTGCATGACGTTTCAGCAGAGTTAGCACAAGATGAACATTGTTTGCCGCTGCGGCATAGTGTAAGCTAGTCCATCCTTTTGCGTCTTGCTGGTTTACATCACTCGACCATTGCAGCAGGAATTCCACGGCTATTTCGTCACCCTGATGCACCGCTCGTTGTAAAGCTGTTTGTTCATCTTCCTCGGGATGCTTGTAATCAATGTCCGCACCTTGGGCTAGGTATTTTAATGCTTCCGGTAACTTGCATTGTGTCGCAGCATGCCAGAATGCCTTTTTTTTTTTCATTGCTTGATCAATTTCTCATTCACTGTCAGGTTCTACATGTTTTTACAACGTACTTGATCCAGGGATGGTTTATCCATATCGGATGTATGATCTGTAAACGTGCGCTTCACATATTTTTCGGTGATCCATAAATCACGTTCACATCTAGAAAACCACCACATGAGAAACGACGTTCAATGCTTTGGCAGCCAAGAGCGTTCCGAGGCCCTGATTTGACTCATGCTTACCTTGAAGAATTAGGTTCAATACGGAATGATTCCATATCTTTGGGTATATAGCTTTCAAAAATACTATTGGCCACCGTATTGCCAATTCGAAGCATAATCTGCAAATTTCCACGTCAAAAGGCACATTCTGTGTATGCAAAAATTCTTTCGATTACTGACCTCTACCGTCTCTGTTTCCCATTTATCCAACACGAGGGCACGGACTTTACTCACATGCACCCCCAAGCTACGATGGATACCCGAGCATTCGATGCACATAATGATACCAAGGTTGGTAGCAGCCCACTCAGGATCTACACGTATTAAAGCATGAGTGATACCGGGGTTGTGCAACTCCATGCAAATGACTTACCCTTGGCCTGACAATCCGCGCATCGATCATTGCCTGGCCTTTTCCGTAATTCTTTCAATAATTCCCGCTCGTTTCCAGATCCGCTGCTACTCTCCTTTAGCTTCAGATGAGGTGATAGATCAGATAATCCCTAAGCAGCCCATTGCCAATTAACATTTGTACTCGTCATGAATCATTTATGACTGAGCTTACTCTTCGATTGGGAGGTCGCTGAAGTGACTGTGCAGGTGCTTGGTCCGAGTTGAGCGCCATTTGACTGGCCATTTTCAGACTCTTTACCCAATCCAACATGTCGAGTTCGTTCTCGGCCTGCAATACGAGAACCCTAATATGATCATCATCGATTGAGCTAATCAAATAACAACACAACTAGACGGCATATATTGTTCACTCACTTCATTGGTGAAATCACTTCAAAGCAGAATCGACGATCATAACCCTCCGTGAATCTGATACTGCATACACGTAAATTGTATCGCTGGGGTGCATCGTCTTCTTTGGATGCCTGATATCATTTTTGTGTCAGTACCATGGATTACATGGAGTTGCTAATTAATCCACTGACCTTGGCGTCTCGAGTACAACATGTTAACTCTTCACCGTCAATGCTGTAATACTTGCGAGTCCAGCTCTGTAGCACTCGGCCCCCTTTTCTTTCAAAAAGATAACCTGATTTACTGCTATTGGCGCCCGATGATGTATCATCGAGCGTTCCAGCTGGCATCTCGTGATGCATTGGGTTATATTGATCCACTGCGTTCTAGGGTAGAGATATGTAAGAAAGACAACGATGGATCCCGGGATGTAAATTGCATTCAATGGGCAGTACCTTGGCACACAGTTCTTGGTACTCTGCACTCTCAGCGGATTCCTCGTTGTATCGTTGACGAGTCTACGCCGACAAAAAGATGAGCGTGTGCATCCTGTCATTGTACGCTGCAAACCTTACATCATGTAACAATCCTAAACACAGGTAAAGGTTATACACAGTCTGCTATTCCCAGTCAAAGATGTGTTGATCAATTACCGGTAAGATCCCGCATATATGGCTCCAAGTCTTTCAAAATTTCGTAGCTTTGATGATGGAATACCGATTCGGTGTACATGTAGGCCAGTACCTGTACATAGAATAAGCATAGTTGCGTTTTTTTACGGGACTTGTTCGTGCTACTCACATTTTCCATGTAATCCACTTTTTTCCTGGCTTCAATATCGTTGAGCTTTTTGACGTACTCAATGTACACTTGATGAAAAACTTTCCGCGCATCAGCCAGTTCTTTTGCCGACTAGCTTCCCTGGTCAGTCCAAGTGACATCATTCTTGATATAAGCACGAAAAAAGCTACCTCAAAAATGGTTGGATCTTTGGGTCGTTTACTCATATATCGCGCTAATAACGTATCGACATCGTCACTGGATCGTTCAAACCGTTTCTTTAATTCCTATATTACCACACCGTCAAGTCAGAACCCACCTGAGCTTTTATTTGTCTAGCTATGGATAAAGTTTTTTACCTTGACTGGATGCAATGTACTTTTGACGAATGAGTCTAATGGGTTGATGAAGGTATCCACAGTATGTGCATTCTGCATTGTTATGAAGGTTAACGTCAAGGTGTAGATACTGCAATTCTGGTTACTCACAAACATGTCTCGGCATTTCTCGACTTCTAATATGGATTTGCCAAACTTTTCCGAAGCGTGTGCTGTAACGTATTTTGGTTCATGAGTCTCGTCCCATCACGAATATTTGCCTTATGCGGAAATACTTGCCAACGATGGGATCATCTTGCGATTGAGCAAAGGAGAGAAACTCGCGTGCTAACTCTTGCTGTTGTTGGCTGTAGGCTGGGTGACGATAAACTAAATTTAGTTGTCTGCTGTCCCATCTGAATCTCACATTAGGTTACCGCTTGATAAATCCACTTGAGAACGCGCTAACTTCAAAAGTGTCTTTAATGAATTCTCAAAATGGTGAACGGATTCTTCGTGAGCATGAATGCGCTTTCGAAACTGGGGAGAGTCGTCAAGACATCCCCGTAAATCAAGCGCAGGCATGAGCGACGGATGGAGGAAAGGGTTTCGACACCGTTAAAACGGGAGGGGATTGTGTGCAGAGGCTTTATGTGTCACCTAGGCTGAATTACAGCGTTGCATCGAGCGGACCTTGAGGATGTGACTTGTCCGATCCGCGGACATAATCTCAATTCTCAACCATGCATCAACACCCTTTCATCCGCCTGCTCATTCATCAATTATCTATATAAAATCGCTCGACGACGTGTGGAAGGATTCAGTCCATCCTTTGCAGAAGTGCCGCGCGTAGATGGTGATGTATTATGATGCGTCGTTGAGCTTTGTAAATCACATGATCTACACTAAGTTATCAGGACCTGTTAAACCTTTTTTTTTTATCTTTCAACCATGCCTCGCTGCCCACTTTCACAATAATAGGCGAAACAATCAGCAGCAAGATGCCGTTTGCGCCAGTTGTGGTCAAACAGAGCATCGTCGTCTTTCAAATAAAAATGTGAGTAGAGCTCTTTTTGAAGAAAAGTGGTTGATGATACGACTGGCGGCTTTGTAGCATCATTCAATTTGTTTTTTTTTTTTGTCAGTTATACTGTATATCGAAAAATACATAAGCAGAGGTGCTTCGATCTATGAATTCATGCATCAGTGGGGTAATTATTGTTTCATCCATGGAAAATCATATATTTTGGTCTTCAATTTTATCTTGATTCTCTCTCTCTCTTTCTTTTTACTGGAAAACTCTCGGTATCATTGTATCAAGATCCCATTCGCATCCATCATCCAGACCATTCTTATCCCGTGTATCAAACTTGGTTAAATCAACTACCATCCTCAAAAAGGTAAGCGTCGAGTGGTCTACCATCGATTTTGCTCCCGCAAAACAGACTTGCCTCTCCTTTGGTTTGCTTCTCATGATATGGTTTTCGAGATATCTTCCCGATTATTGTATTTTGTAGTTCATAGTTTGTATTTTGTAGTTCATAGTTTGTATTTTGTATTTATATTTCATGTACATATTCTTTTCGCAGTCTTTTCCTCTCTTTTTCCCACAGGGTTTTTTATGAGGTTTTTACTGACGCGACCATTGTTTTTTTTATCATCATATACTATATTTGTTTTTCTGTCTTTTTATTCGGGAAACTCTCGATATCTGGAATCCAACTCGAAATTACCGTCACTTCTGGCCACGTCAATATTTTTTGCCTGCCAAGCTGACACCACCGATCCATCGCTTAACTGTCCCTGGAAGCAATTTTATTTACCGCATCGAAGAAGAAGCTTACCTGGCGGTCCGTATCATCTTTTTTTCCCGGTACACCATTTGGTTTAAAGGCAAGTCCAATTTCTTTTCCTTTGCTATGATGTAATGAACGTATACCAATTCAAAAATTTCAATGTCATATAATCCAAGTCATATCAAGCGATCACTGGCTATTGAAAACTCAAATAACATAAGATAAAGTATCTTGACAAAATTTGAATCAATCAAAGAACTTACTAACTCTTTTTTTTTTAAATAGCCAACATACCCACACATCTTTCTAGATCTATCATAGCCTGGGCGGGATGGAACTGAGGGGGTCAATCAGTGCTGCTTTGCACGTGTTCAGAAAGAACTCACGTTGTATGGTGTTGCCATAAGAATGTCATTAATATACCAAAGTCCGTCAAAGTTCTCGCCCAGGTTATGCCGTGTATGCGTTAGGCTTTTTGTCTGACGAGAGTCGCTCAATGTAAGAGGGCGGCCTCCGGTGGCAGGCGGCATCCATTGCACAGCGGGTGTACGGCTTGTTATCTATATAATGCAATAGAAAAAGAAAGAATAAAAGAAACCCGGTGCGTGATAATTGAAATGCTTCGCTCCTCGGCTGACATGGAAATATAGGAGGGCTCATATGGTGTATAAAGTCTATCGGTCTTGTTCTGCCACAGACAATGATTACAAGTGATGATTTTATTCTGAGCAAGGTTATATAAATACAAGAATAAAATGAACAATGGGGAAAAACTGCTCTAGGGGCATCTAGTTTGTTTGCAATGATATTATTACGATGAGGCGAATTCTTCGGTGGAGTAGTATTCGGGGTACTGCTTGATAAGTCTTTCTAATTCACGTTGCTGTTCCCTGAGGTTGGCCGGGATTTCATCGTAAACATCGGTAAACAAATGCTGAAGGGACGGCTTCTTGCGCTTTTCGGCGGCAGCAAAGCTGGTCAAGACTTCCTTTCTGACATCCTTGCGCCAGCTATCTTCCTTTTCTTGATCCCACAGATTTTTGTTCTCCAAATACCGGCGAAGTCGCGTAATCGGATTGTCAAATTGTGCACGCTCTTCCACTTCTTTGCGGTCGCGGTACTTTGTAGAATCATCCGAAGTACTGTGATGGCCGATACGGTAAGTCATGGCCTCGATCAACACGGGCTTGTTTTCTTCCACGGCAATACGTCGTGCTGCCTTGGTAGCATTATAGACAGCCCACACATCATTACCGTCCACACGAATGGTATCGATACCATAGCCCACACCACGACTGGCAATACCGTCACCCTTGTACTGTTCGGACGAAGGGGTTGAAATGGCGAATCCGTTGTTGCGGCTAAAAAAAGATACTCAATATAAGCCATCGTTGTCTCGTCTTGACAAATGCGATTATATCATCATGAGCAGAATTGTAATTACCAGAAGAAAATGGTAGGACAGCCAAGTGTAGCTGCCATATTGAGACCGGCATGGAAATCACCCTCCGATGCTGCACCTTCACCAAAGAAACAGAGCGTACAAGCCTGTTGTCCGGAAAGTTTCAAAGCGTAAGCGGCGCCGGCGGCTTGCGGAATTTGAGTACCCAAGGGCGAAGAGATGGTTTGGAAATTGAGCTTCTTGGATCCGTAATGAATTGGCATCTGTCTTCCTTTGCCATAATCCAAATCGGTCGAGAAACATTGGTTCACCATCTCGTCAATGGTAAAACCACGGTATACCAACATGAACGCTTCACGATACTATCATTCACTTTTCGATCAATATCCAGTTTGATTGATTCTCCCCCACTGTAGTCATTCATACCTGTCCAAATACGACATCCTCCGGCTGCACAGCAGCCGCTGTGGCCATCATGGCTTCTTCACCGTAATGAGTCATGTAGAAACTGATACGTCCTTGACGCTGTGCTTCGTACAAAATACCGTCCATGGTATGTAAAACGAGCATTTTCTTATAAAATTCCACGGCTTCTTCGTTGGACATGGATGGCTCGTGGTCTTTGTTCAGCACTTTGCCAGTATGATCCATGACTCGATATGCCTTCAAGGTTTCCATGGTCTGAATGAACGTCATGTCATTTGTAAATTTATCCGTGGCAGACCAGCTCGGCGCATTGGCTTTGCTTTCCACGACTTTAGCTGTCGCTACTTGGTTGGGTATCTAGGCCGCACAAAGTCAGTATCAGGTTTAAGCGTGCTTGGTGCGTGTGAGAGGACTTTTTGTGTGGAAAACCCGTATCTTACCGTTGCAGAGGCATGAAGCCATCTTCGTTTGAGGTGTGCTGACAGTAACGCGGATGGACGAAAAAGGGAGGAACGTAACATGATACCAAACAAATAAAAAAAAAAAAAAAAGGAAGCTGTAAGCAGGAAAAAAAAGGAAAAAGAAGGAAAGAACAAATGCCAGTGAAAAACGTATCCTCATGAACGAAAAAAAAAACCCTCCACCCCGCGTGTGGAGATTCAAACCGTGTGAAATTTTTTGGCTGGCGATTTCCTTTTTTGGATTTCAGTCGTGGGAAACTGTCACTTTTTTCCCTTGTCACTTTGCAAATATACTTCACAGTTTCATTGAGGAAATTCTGAGTACAAACAATGGTAATCACAAAATTAGGTAAATTTGATAAACTTAAAATGTTTTTAAAGCTATCCGGGAAATGTCCAAGTGGCGAGGTTTGTCTTTAAGGAGAGAAGAAAATGTAAAGAAAAAAGAGTAAAAAAGATGGATTCATTCGGAAAAGATTACAATCCGTCTTGGACATATACCTGCCCATGAATCGTGCCGTTCCTGGTGTGTACTCCAGCATTATGTAACGCATGTCGAGTTGTCGACCGCAGACAACCACCGATCGGCGCCCCCCGTTCGTGATGTCCCTTGAAGTTGCTCTTCTCCTCTTTACACATCATTTTAGTTATCTGATAACCCTTACAGTAAGTAAATGATCAACCAATTCTCCAAGCTCTACATTATTTCACTGTTCTCACAATGCTAAATGTTGTAATATCCAAACGGGAACGTCCGAGTTCCAACGCGACTTGTACTGCATCCATTGCTCTTCTGCGTTTTTTTGTAATTCTATATCTGTGGTACTATTACTTACAATGACAAGTTCATCCTTGCAATAATCCCGAAGATGGTATCCTTTTGCGTTATTAGATAATCATCTTTTGGCTAAAATGCTGAATTACAGTGACTTGCTTCTTTCGTGGGTGGAGTCTAACCCTACGACTCCTGTTGGAAAAAAAGATTTTGCGATTCCGACCTTCACTGCGCTTTTGCTGCAATTTGCAGCTGCAATCATTGATCCTTTTACTGCTGTCAAAAACAAGGTTTATTCTCATGATTAATTTGGAAAATAAAAGATATCCAAAAAAAAATAGGCAATCCGCAGAAATTGGGATTGCAAAAGTTTAAGCGACAGCTGCAGGATTCGAACCTGCGCGGGCAAAGCCCATGAGATTTCGAGTCTCACTCCTTAACCGCTCGGACAAGCTGTCTCACCGCGCGATTAATTTTTTAGATACTGAGGACGTATAGGTGATGACGTCACAATCCGGTCCGGAATCTTGAATCTGGGAGTGAAAATAACGGCGGCAGTTGAGGAAAAAGTTTGATTTTGACAAATTCGGCGAAGAACGGTCCGTGATAACTGACTGCCCGGGCTGATATGAGGGGATTAAGCGGTTCGAAGCGTCCATACATTGTGATACAGTATGAATATAACTTTTTTGGCATGCTCTAACGGTGATGCGCGGAATGAATTTCCCTGAGCTGAAGGCTTAAAACAGTCATGATTTTCGCTGTTGTTCCTTGCATTGTGGCGCATATTTACTACGACGATTGGTAAGTAACTCAAAGAGGCGTTGTTATCGGTTTGAGCTGCATAATTAGGTAAATTTTTTTGCTGGATCTTCTTAATCCTCAGTGGCCAAGACAATCCACAGGTAGAAAAATAGGAGGAAACTTTCACGATTGCTAATAATTTTGAAAGGTACTTGGGCTTCCCGTTTTGGCCTTGAATTTATTATCAACAGAGCACCATTGTATGGTATATGCGATTGATGATCTTAATGATAGTCTTAGAGAATTATTTGCATGCATGGAAAAAAGTCATAACAATGAAGATAATAGAATTTTGAATGTATTTACATACAAATCGGATATAAACATACAGCAAGTGAAGCGATAGACGAAAGACTTTAGAGGAATTCTGTTCCGCTTTTTGAAAAATCTATCAGCTTTCCAAGATACAAGAAATAGAAAGTTAATCTAGAAGGAGGAATCGAAATAAAATGGAAGAAGGGAGGAGGGGAAGAGTAAAGGAGATAAAATTAGAGTCGTTCAACTTGGTCAATCTGGACACCGGTGGCTTCTTCGGTTTTTTCATCAAGGGCGGTGGAAGAGTGATTGACAGTGTTATCACCCGAAGACGGCTTGCTGTCGTAGTGAAATTCGGAAGAATCTTTCAGCTGTGGGTCTTCCTTCAAGCTGTTACCAGGACCAGTGAACCACTTCTTGGCACGGAAATAGTAGTAGCTCACAGAGCCACCAAGCACGAAGACAAGTGGAGCACAGGCGTAGTTCATGTTTTCGGCAGTAACAGGATATTCAGTGGGACAGATGAACAAAATGGATGTGAATAAAATCCAGAAACAGCTGGTGATATTGATAACGTCGGAAAAGGGACCGAGGTGGAAAGGGCCGCGTTGGAACTTGTTGCGAGCGACGGTTAATCGAAGGAAAATGGGAATAAAGTAGGCCAAGGACGATGCAATGGTATTGATGGACACAATAGCATTGAAAGCGGTCGTGTTGACGATGTAAAGCAAACCGACAATGATGGCAAAGATGACGTTACCCCACACGGCATAGACCGGTGTCTGGGTCTTGCGGTTAACGTAGCTGAGATATTTGCTGAAAGGCATCGCACCGTCTCTGGCAAAAGCATATACCATGCGAGAACTACCCAGCGTCAACGCCGAGCCGGAAAAGAACATGGCGCCCATGATAATGACATTGAAAACGACGGTCCATTTGTAGCCGACACCGTCAAGGAAGACCTTGGTCATCTGGGGATTGATGGACGTTTCGACGACTTGGACTTGGAAGTTTTGGACGCAGAAATTGACGGACAATAAGAAAGCGAAGCCGACGATGGCGGCGGTACCGATGGCGTACAAAATACCCTTGGGGGCACTTCGTGCAGCGTCACGAGTTTCTTCGGACATGTGAGCCGCGCTGTCAAAGCCGGAAAGAGTGTACTGCGATTGCAAAAGACCGATAAGAAAAGCGTAGCCGTTGTTGGAAAATCCAGTATCGTTTTCGAAATAGGTAAACACCCATTGAGCGGTTGGTTTGTTGGGAGTCAAGGCGAGCGCGACGGCGATGATCATCAAGGTACCGATCAGATGCCAATATAGAGAGGCTTGATTGAAGAAACCGTTGTATTTGACGCTGATCGAGTTGATGAGACCGTGAATAACGGCAATCACAAGAAAAATACCGTATTGCCAATAGATGCCAGCATCATAATTTTCATCCTTGATAGCGATCACGGAAGCCAAAAATTGGGCAAGACCGAGATCAGCTGAGGTGATGGCCACGGTCAGACCTAACCAGTTACACCATCCTGTCAACCAGCAGGAGATCGGCACCCAGTCGGGAGGGGCAAGACGTGATACCCAGATATAGAGACCACCTGTCACTGGATAAGCTGAACAAATTTCAGCCAGTGACAGGCCTACACCAAACGTAAAGATAGACACGAGAATCCAACCCCAAATAATAGAGATGGATCCGCCAGACATCATGGCGTCACCCCACATCTACGGATAACATTAGAATATAAAAAATGAAATTATTGAGATGTTCTAATGATATTTTACCGGTGTTAAACCCGAAAGAATCGAACAACATCCAAAGGCCACGGCAAAGTTTGACATGGTGCCCATTGATTTTTTCATTTCCTTGGTGAAAAAAAAAGCGAATGTGTGAGTTCGTCGAATCAAAGGTTGCGGAAATGATATTGCGTAGATTGAAAATTTGGACATACTTGTTTGTAACCAAAAGATGCCAGGATCTCTTCTTCCGTTTGGAAGCGCCGTTCGCCGGATTCTTCCACTTCCGTGGGCCGGGTCAGGTCATGGGTCGTGTTAACCATTTAATGACTACGGAATAAGGCTGAATTTTCGAAGAAGAAAAAAAGGAAGATAAAAAGATCGAGAAAACGAGTCGAAAGCGAGGAACCGAACGGAATGAGCGTGTTATTTAAAAAAAAAAAAGTCTAATATCCTGTTATCGAGTAATATGGAACAGAACGTAGACCCAAAAATATAGTAATGAATAAAGAAGCAGAAAAAAAAAGATGATATGTTACAAGGAAGATATACAATAAAAGGAAAAAAAGTAGTAAAAAAAAGTGGGGAACGATGGTGAAAAAAAAGGGCTTTCTTTATAAAATGCACCATGGCTGTTTGTGCATTTAATATTTGCAGACTCCGATCTTGTACAACTTCATGAGATCGGTCCAATGGATACGGGTTATTCAGGAATGAAAGAGAAGATCCCCGAATGGAAGTATTGGGCTCAGTGATTCCTTTTTTGGGTGCAGAATTGAACGCTGTGAGTTAAAGCGTGCCTTTGTTTGCCAGTCAAAGTGGCCCGCTGACAAATATGAGGTTGTACTAGACAGATTTGGTGTTTGGATCCTTTTGATCCACATTCAAGCTTTTCAGCGAGATAAGGACTGTGTCCCAAATTAAAAAAAATTAGGGTATTCTCCAATAACCGCGACGCCTATTTGATGCCGCTCTCCCACGCAAGTTCCAAATGTGGATGTGTCCTGACTAAGGCTTCACACAATTCTCCTTTGTTTTTCATCTACCATTGACTTTTTGTCAGAACCTCTCAGGTCCACTTATGTCACAGAGATGGTCGCCCTTTGGTTTTCCCTTTGCCGTAAAGCCGTTTTCTCCTTATTTAGACCGATAGATCGGAGATTCGCCATGACGACACAGTTTTCCCATACAGCCTTCCATTTCCTGGATGGGTCATTTTACGGCATGGAAGCAGCCATGCTTTACAGCCAGCATTAATAACAAGGTACATTTTGATGTCTCGCTCAATGTGAAGTACCACGATTGGGTATGGAGAGTTTAATAATTTTTCGTCAACATTACCAAAAACAGCTGCGTCGTGGGAAAAACGGCTTTGGTTAGCTCCCTCTATTTGAATTTTTTTGATTCATCTTTTTGTTGTGACAGATCATCTCTTCTATTATCATTGTGCTTTCGGATCGTAACAAAAATCTCATTCGTTTCTCTAGATAACACTATTAGAACTTGGCTATATATACTCTTGCATAGTGTATTACGTTGCTCATGCAACCCATTGTCGTACAGCAACCACAATTATTCAAAGAATAGTATTATCGCTTCGATCTTGTCTCACCGCTTCCGAAGAGATCCTATCCTGAGTGAAATCTGCACCAACCACAGAAAGAGCGCATACTATATAAGAGCTTTCAACTGTGTTTTGCAACAGCTCTTCTCACATTATCTGCAATTGAAGCAGTTCGTCGACTGTTTTGCTCTTATTACTCTCAAATTTATGTCTCGAAGCGAAATGCATATCTTTTGACAAGGATAGCGCAAACATTTTGCACAGGCATTGCTCGTCAACGTGTGTGTGTAATTTTTTTAACGCTCTGATAAGTACTCTGGTATCAGATAAACCATACATTGACTTTGTCATGGCTCGTAACGAACTAATGTCTGATTTGCATACACTATGGATTCGCAAGAATATTGTAACTGAAATCCCGAAATGGCGGCAGTGGCGACTTTTTTTTCTTTCTCCCGAACCAGACGCCCTCTCACAAAGAAAACAACTGTAGCCTTAGGATGACAAGATTACAAAGTAGTTGACTGATTGAGGAAAGCCATGGCAACGACGACATGTCAATTATGGACTTGACGTTCGTAATGTTTTATTGGAATGGAGCATCATGAGTGAATGAGATGGATTTTTTTTTCAGCGTATACACATAGATTAAAAAAGAGATTGAGTGAATGGTAAAAATTATCCCTTTCGTCGAATAAATCACGGCAAACACTATAATGAGATGCACAGAACGTTTTATCTGATAACAGAAAGAGTGGAAACTTCAGCAGGTTTTAAAGTTATGCTCCGCACCTGAAAGTAAAAAAGGATCTGCTAACGATATTTGGTAATTCTGTGCTCGTGATATCAAAGTAAATCTCTGACGTCTTTCAAAAGCTATATTTTATCCTCCTCCCTCCTGGATCTGAAAGGTACAAATCCATTCATCTTTACTTGCCGTACTGAATGACGTTCAGCCGGCTCCACTATGTTCTCTGCTCTGTTCCAAAACTCATTGTCAAACCATGATTTAAACAGCCACACGGTTGCTGTCTACCGCTGTTCAAGTAAAATATGGTTTTGTGAGTTTAAAATGATGGAAAAAGCAAATCAATGTCAGGCGTTAGTGGCAATTGCTGATTACAGCGCCCCTGCGAATGTTTGAGCATTGTGAAGGTATTTTACGCTGAGATCGTCCTATTGTTTATTCAGTATGACCAGCTGTCTAAATGCAACTAAGTAAGAGGCGATGATCGACATTGACGTTATTTCTATTTGACGAGATACTAGAGGTTCCCATAGACTCCAATGGAAGAAAGTAGCAAAGCGCTAAATTCCGAGATGGCGATATTTGACGCTTCGCAGATATCTGATATCACCCATCATGAAACTTGCATACTGCATACTCAGCATGATAGCGATCGCACATCTTGTATGAATCAATGCTGTAATGACAATCTTCTATACTGACGCTTAAGGTCTATCATCTGCAATGAATATGGCATTCATACATGATGATACGCATAGGATACAGGATAATTAGTAGGTTACCTGGTGATCCCATTGGCAAAATCGTCGACAAAAACTAAAAAGGGACCATCGATGTAGATATTTTTCTATAGGCTGTGGCACAAAGCGAGAGCATTTTGAAAACGACGAACATTATAAATTGGAAGTGTTTCAGTAAATTGGGGCTACAGCAATTGCTCGACTTGAGTAAACGACTAGCAAGGCTATCGCCGTAAGGGCCATTAGAGGATCTGGATAAACAATGCATATATACCGACTATCAGGTCATCCGCTAGTTATACTAACGCTGCTGATGACAAGGATGACAGAGCATGATTACTGATGGTGATTATAGTGATCATGGCGATTTTGTATTAGTTTCAGCCTATTCGTAAATTAACGAATATCAAGGAGTTGCCTTTTCTCTCCTTGCACCAAATCAGAACAGTTGGAAATACAACTCCTTGATCTCGAACCCGAGCTTTTTACTTGTCGCCCCGCTTTTTTTCTGATGCTATTTAAAGAAGCGAAAGTATGCAATTAACGCTTGTTAAACCTTCATAACCGTTGGTGATCACAAACAGATTGAAAATTTCATGAAATAACTTTTTTTTTCTCATCCAAGTATCGCTTCAATTTTATTGTACCTCTTGATCTGCTCATCGTTTACAGCCACATAGTCCTTTTTACACGTAAACTGATCTTTATAAAATACGACTTCAAAGATCATATGTTAATGTGTATCATGGTATATTTAGATTATCACTGTTGGTTGGTGATACATAAATCCAGCCATGTACAGTTCTTCTCCACATCATGAGCATCCAGCCTCTCCCATGCCTACGCGACCACCACATATGGCACGTTACCATACCAATGGCGAACAGCATCCATTGCAACAAATGAGGTATCAGCCATCGCCTGTGCCTAGTGGTTACCACACGCCACTCTCAGTTGGTTATGCGCAACCATCCTCCATGAAAGATGGGATGCAGCAGCCGCTTCTACAGCCACAGCCTGCTGTTCAGTTCGCACCTTCCCCCCAGTTTCACTATGGAGAAGCCCCAAGGCGGCAAGCCAGACGATACAAAACAGGTAAGCCTTCCATCAGAGTCGATGTTTCAGCATCCTTGTATACCCACTGTGTGCTTATGCGTCGATTCCAGTAAAAAAAGTCAAGTTAACAGCCGGTAATTTGGTGTTGGAGAATCCTGTACCAACGCGTTATCTCCAACATGTGCAACGAAGAGACGCCCGCGAGTTCACCCACATGCGTTATACTGCAGCGACGTGCGATCCTGCCGATTTTGCGAAACAAAACTACAAGCTACGACAGCAGTTGCTTGGACGCAGTACCACCTTGTTCATCGTGCTGACAATGTACAATGTATGCTTGTTATTTTCAGCGAGCAATAGTTATGGAGACGATGATTGACTCGTATATATTAGGAAGACGAAGTGCTTTTTTGTCGAACGATGCATGGCGTCATGAAGAACATTAGTCACTTGTGTTCTCGCACCAGGTCGTCCACCTGGGGACCCAACGGTTGGCAAAAGGTTGTGGTGTGTATTGTATCAGACGGTCGAGCAAAAATTCATCCACGAACGCTATCAGTGCTGGCAGCCATGGGCGTGTATCAGGAAGGTCTTGCCAAAAATATCGTGGAAGGAAAACCCGTGACAGCCCATATTTATGAGGTACGATTGCCATCTATTTTTGGTAAAAATTTCCATCATTGGGTAAAACCAAGAAATTCATGGACTTTTTATCCACAGCACACCACCCAGATCTCGGTTGATCCGGAAATGCAATTCAAGGGCGCAGACAAAGGCGTGGTTCCTGCACAAATTCTATTTTGCCTAAAAGAGAAAAATCAGAAAAAGATCAATTCGCATCGTTGGTTCTTTCAAGCTTTTGGCCCGCTCATCAACCCGGAAGTGTGTGTTCTATTGGACGTCGGAACCAAACCGGGCCACACTTCCATCTACCATCTGTGGAAAGCCTTTGATATCAATAAGAATGTAGCAGGCGCATGTGGAGAAATCAAGGCAATGTTGGGCCCTGGAGGTTCACAACTCTTGAATCCCTTGGTGGCTTCTCAAAATTTCGAGTATAAAATGTCGAATATTCTCGATAAACCGCTGGAATCGGTGTTTGGCCACATCTCAGTATTACCAGGTGCTTTTTCGGCGTATCGCTATGTCGCGTTGCAGAACGATGCCAATGGTCATGGTCCCCTGGAGAAATATTTTCTGGGTGAACAAATGCATGGCAGCGATGCCGATATCTTTACGGCCAACATGTACCTTGCTGAGGACCGCATTCTTTGCTACGAACTGGTAGCCAAAAAGCATGCCGCTTGGGTCCTGCATTATGTATCAAGTGCTTATGGTGAAACCGATGTACCGGACAGCGTTCCAGAGTTTATTTCTCAGCGACGACGATGGCTTAATGGATCTTTCTTTGCCGGTATTTATTCCATGGTCCACTGGCGAAAGGTCTGGAGCTCCAAGCACAATATTCTACGCAAATTCGCATTCATGATTGAGGATATTTATCAGCTGTACAATCTTATTTTCTCCTGGTTTGCCATTGTAAGTCGTCATTGCCCGACTATTTGGAAACCTTTTTTTTCACCCACCTGCGTCGTGATGAGCTGACCTACGGTTTAAACATTGTAGGGCAACTTTTATCTGATCTTTTACATTTTGACCAATGCGCTAAGTTCCGACGCACTGTCACCCAAACCATTTTCGCCTTCGATTGCCGAAATCCTGCATGTAGTGCTAAACTACATTTACGTAATATTGCTTATTGTGCAGTTCATTATCGCGATGGGAAACCGACCGCAAGGCTTCAAATGGGCGTATACGATGATTATTCTCTTTTTCGCGCTGTTGATGGGCTATATCCTTTTCTGTACGGTGTGGATTACCATTGTGGGAATCCGCGTAGCATTCCAGAGCGCCAAAGACGTCGACGATAAACTGCTAGCTCTGTTACGCCAGAGCGCGTTCCGTGAAATCATTGTATCCATCTGCTCAACGTACGTCATGTACTTTGTAGCGAGCATACTGTTCCTCGATCCGTGGCATATGTTCACGAGTTTATTACCGTACATATTCATGTCACCAAGTTATACGAATGTGCTCAATATTTACGCATTCTGTAACACGCACGATGTCTCCTGGGGAACCAAAGGTGATAACTCTGTTAGTACGGATCTTGGTGTGGTGAAAGCCAAAAAGGACGAGAATGGAGATCATGCGGTAGAAGTGGAACTGCCGACCGAACAAAAGGATTTGAACGAGCAGTACGAGGAAGCATGCCTTGATCTGAGGAAAATTGTCCAAGAACCTGTGGTCCATCGAGATGCGAAAACGAAGCAAGAAGATTACTATCGATCTTTCCGTACACGACTTGTTTTGGCATGGATTATCACCAATTTGGCCTTGGTTGCGGTGGTAACCAACACCCATGAGTTGATTTGGCTCGGAAGTTATGAGGAACGCACAAATTTCTATCTTGGGATCATCTTGTGGTCGGTAGCTGGTCTAGCCGCTGTTCGTTTCTTGGGAGCTGTTCTATACTTGATTATGAAGATATTCACTGGATGAAAAGAGTTGCGAAGATTTAAACAGTAACAACTAAATTTTTTATATGGTCAAAATATTTGTCTATCAGAAAAAACACATAAAACATCTATTCGCATGGTGTATTTTTACATAAACTCGACAGGTGAATGATAGGTGCAAGATTCACAGTAAACGGTTGAGGAAAGAAAAAAGAAGGAAGAAGAAAAAAAAGGGGAAGTGAAAATACAATGGGGTATTCTATTGAGGTTGTTGTCCCATTTGTTGCATCTTCTCGCCGACCTTGGTGTTGACGTCGATGAACTTGGCAACGCAGCGATCAATGCAGACAGCTTCGCCTTGAGTAAGGTCACCAGTCTCGTAGTCCTTGCTGATGCATTTGCTGTAGCACGAATCGGCAATACTAATGTTTTACGGGTAAGTTTTTCTCCTCCAGTTAATTGTCTCATCAACAATTCCAATGTCGTTCCTACCGGTTGAACAAATCAGTGACCATTTCGAGTTCCTGTTCAGCCATGGCAATGTTTTGCGGATTCACCGCTTGCTGTTGCATGTTGGCACCAAAGTAAGACATATTGTTGATGAATGAAAGGCAAAGTGACGATAATCCAACACTTGTTTATCTCTTAATTTACGACGACACTTGGATTGGTCGGGACAGGAATTAAAGAAAGTCACACCGTTCTGTAAGATCCAGCAGCGAAATGAAAAAAAATCGGTCCGCAATAACACCAACGTCCACACATATCCATGAGTGGTTACATTGACAAAAACGATGAGAATAGATAGAAAGGGTTCCATCGATTAGGACATGGGGCAAAGGAAATGCAGGACCGTCCACATATTCGTCTATCGCCAACATAAATATCCAACGCCCGCTGTTGCTTGGTAACAAAGAAGGTTTATTAGGCAAAGGGTAGGTGTAAATGTTCTCTTGTGATTCCGGCTCATTCATTATGTAAGTTTTCTGTAAGCAGGTACAACCTCAGTTCCATTACAAAAATATCTGTACATTTGAAGTCAAATACAGAAATCACGAAATATACGTGGTGATATTGAGCACTTTGGTAGAAAGTTGTAGTTTATAATTACGACCTTGCAAAAGTCATCAATATAGATGCAGGAGATCCTGAGAAATGTGAGGTATAAGCGTGTAAAATGTCAACTATTACACTGATATTGTAGATAAATATTATAAGATATAAAAAAAGAAGGGAAAATAGAATGTAAGAGCAAAGGACAAAAAAAGAAATTGTCAAAAACTGAAAAGAAAGACCACAATAGAGAGGGAAAAGATACATGAAGAGACATATGCAATAGCTGGGAATAAATGCAAAAAGGAAATGAAATACAATGTTAGAATAGAATAGTGACAAATGGGCTGATGAACATGCAGTGGAAAGAAAAAAAAAAAAACTTAAAGTTTAGACATTCAGGGGCGTTTGTGCGAAACAATGGTGTAAGTTCATGAATGCCCGTTGCAACTCCATCTCTTCATCCATCAACTCGAACTCCGCCTCCAGTTGTTGATCGTCACGCGTTTCGGTCTGCTTCAGTTCCGCCACAGCAGTTTGAAACGAATCAATAAGATCATGTACATCATCTCTGAACATAACGCCCAAACGACCGCCCCACACACCCAACGGTAAAGATGTGTAATTGCTTTTGACGCTGATATCGAACAAATCATGCAGCCGCCGCGCCAACCGGGGATCCAGTGACCTTGATTCCATCACATGAATAACTAACAAGCGGAGTATTAATTCGGATGGTTCTGAAGTGGGTTGGAAAGGGGAATGGAAAAAGAAAAACATAAAAAACAAGCAAATAAAACTTGTGATTACAGAACATATGCATCATGAGAAATGAAAGCATTGTCAGAGAGACAAGGATCAGGAATAAATGAAAAAATGGAAAGAAAAAGCAGCAGAAAAGATCACGGCAGAGAAAAAAAAAAAAAAAAAAAAAAAAACCATCGGTAGAAAAAATGAAAAAAGGATGGATTACCTTCCGAATTCAAAGTTTGAGCGACGGAGCCGACAAGAGGACGACCGTGGTAAATCCGCATATCCATCTCAATGATTTCGACAAAACCACCCGGTTTGGTTACTCTCCAACATTCTTTGACGAGTTGACGATACTGTTCAAATGAATAGGACAGGATCAAAAATCGACAATGCACCAGATCAAACGCATGATCCGGCAAACTTTTCAGGCCTTCCAAAAGTGTATCATAACAACGAATGAATTTGAAGTTCCGGGGCACGATACGACGGTTAGGTGAAGGGCCTCCTTCGTAATCATCGATACCCACGATGATCCATTTGGGATATCTGAGCGCCATTTCTATTCCCCAACCTCCTTCTCCACATCTAAATACATCATCAAAAATTCATTTCGATTAGTTCAACAGACTTTGCTCGTGGGGTTGTTTTTTTAACTTACCCAACATGTAACACATGCTTGTCGGCTGTAACATCGAGCGGACTACAAAATAGACTAGCGTAGAGAAAAAAAAAAAAAATTCAGGACCGACACTCTTTCAGCATGAATTTTAAATCGTCTAAACACAAAAAAGCATTTGTTCCCTCCCCCCGTTCCGCTTCGCCTCTTCCCACCCCCCATCCGACCCCCCAAAAAAAAAGAATGCAAGGAAAAAGGAAAAAGCTAGATGATTACCCATCCAAGGCAAGGTGGACCAATTCGTGCTTGACCACCCATCGGTCGGTGCGATCGGTAGGTTCATCCAGGTAATACGGATCGATGTCTTCGTCATCTTGATAATCGAAAAGATGACCGTCTTTCATCAAAGCGGCAAAATTAGGCGATGCTGGTTGAGAACAAAAGATGGAAGCAGGTCTGGATCCCACGCTCACAGGTGTGTTGTCGCCTGATATAAGCGAGGTGATAGAGTGGCGTTTCCCATGACGGTGCTGAGCCATAAGTGAAGGTGGGCGTCGATGTTGATGATCCTGGTAACTGGAAGCTAGTGAGTTATCTGGTAATACAAGCACCACTTCATCGGATCGTCGCGGACTGCTACTGAGGCTGTGAATGTGGTTGGTCCGTCGATGGTGATAATGTGGCCAGTGAAATCGCGGATAATGAGGGTGGCGGGAGCGTGCTTTTGACCATAATTCACTCAACACATTGCGTTCATTGCTATCACGGCGATGACATGATGAGGATGAGAATTGGTCGTCTGACAGTACCGAGCTACCGATGGTTTGTTGAGAGTTTCGGCGTTCTGAGGATAAAGAGTTGGCGACGGTGGGTCGGTGGGGTAATGTGACAGTTGGCATAAACGTAATGGAAGAATTTTTAGGTACATCGATAGGTTCTGCAATGCTACTTCTGGGGGTATCCATGGATCCTTGTTTGCTGAGGTCCTCTCTTGGTGACAAAGAAGGTGATGAACGCATACTATTTGTCTTGCTACGTTGCATCCAGTTTGATAACCAGCCCATAAACCAAGATCCTCTTCTTTCTTTCTTGTTGGACGATGGCATCCTGTACCAATACAAAAAAAAAGAAAAGAAAGAGGAACAAGCGTAACTGTAAAAATAGAAACGGAGAATAGAACTGCAAACGAAAAAAAAAGTGATATAAATAATACAAGTAAAAGAAGCTCAAAGTCTAAGAAAAAAACTGAGCAGAATTTACAGGGAAAGAAGAAAGAGAAAGAGAAAGAGAAAGCCAAGGAAGGAAAATAAAAACTGAACCAAAAAAAGTGCCCACAATCAAAGGATTTTTTTATGGTTTGTGTATTCTTTTTTATTTTTGTATGCGGAGACGAATGAGTGGCGCCGCATTTCGGGGTCAGGGCCGGAATAGGACCACAGGGAAAAAGCGACATCGTTTTTTCTCTGAAGACGTGACAGTCATGCAAACTACTATTTTGTACCCTTGGATTGGCGTGTGTATATCAAAGAGACAACCCTTCTACGCGTGATAAGCATATGTCGTCTCATTTTACCAATGAAGATGGATGTTTACATTATGAATGCTCCCTTTTTTACTATTATTATTATTATTAATTGTTTTCTTTGCAGCCTGTGAAGATTTTTGCATGAATAAGTTCCCAACACTCTAGGAACATGACATCACTCATAAAATACCAAGATTTTACCAGTCATTTCATGCATGCACAAAAGTCCAATCCTGATCGTCCGCCTTGCACCTAATTATCCCTTTTATACGGCACAGCCACAAAGGAAACACGTTTTCCTCTTTACAAGTTCATTCACTCTTGCCATTGAAACGAACATTAACACATGGTCTCTCATGCATTTCGTTGACAGGAACACTCACCAAGGTTCAATGCGTCGGTCCAAATACGGCTTAACAGGGTGGAATATGAGGTTTTATGTTTGTTTGGCTGATTAAATTTATCGGTTGAAAAATGGTCAACATGACGCTATACCATTGTCACATGCCAATTTGAATATGAAGTGAGCAACTAAAAAAAATATGTGATGAATCTTCATATTTCCTTTTGAATAGTACTTCTGCGAATTCTGACGCGATATCGTGTTCACAATAAGTGGCAATCACACGTTGGTGGCACCCATCCACCTGCACGCCACAATATATACACTTTACTATCCAAAAAGTCCATGACACAAACATGATGAAGAATTCTTTCAGGCCAAGCCTAACCATCAGATTTGGGATACACATTGTTACCAAGTCTACTTCCTTTTGTATATCTTAAAAAGGTACCCTTCTTACTTTTTTTTCTCCCTTTTTAAAAAGCACAACTACTTACAAAGGAAACTGCAAGTTCCGCTTCTCTCATTAGAAATGTGGGATTGATTCTAGATATGGTTTCAAGTACGTTCCACGGACGAGGAGCTCTTTGTCAATAATGACAACTAGGGCCTATGCTCCTGGTAATTGTATTTTGACCGACTCCGGTATTGGTTGAAAGAACAGTATCTTGATACTCTTTACGAGTGGAGATGGTTCATTCCACCTTTCCACGCCTACTCTTTTCAATGTTTCTATTTTTCGACTGTTGCAAGGAGAGATATCCAAGGCTTCTCTGCTAAAGTCTGGTTCTCGTTCGTCACAGCCTGGCGCTGAAATTTGGTCGTGGTTTGGATGAATACCTCAAGATCACTGGTATGAGCGGCACAGCTTTCAAGTACGCTGAGCAAACTGGTTCAACGCAAGTCAGTTGGCACGTGCCATGACGGGTTGATCCGTTGTGGTGGAGTCAGGGAAGAGAATTATGTTATTTTATATGCACAAAGACTCTATCCCGGTTAATCCCATCAAGTTCCAGTATATAAAGAACCATCAAGGAACGACGTAGAAGACCAAAAAGTACCGTCGGATTTTACAAAATCTGGAAGTCCAAGAACCTAAAGTCATCAAAGCTGAACAGGTCCTCTCGGGGCACTCGAGCCGAACCATCTCTATTGATAATCATGTCGTCTATCGAAACCGATTTTCGACCTATTCGAGGTTCTCAACAAATTCTATGGGAAATACCATCACGAACCACGTCAATGAAAATCTCCTCTTTCGGAAACTTCGATTCTCCAACTGCATCGTCAAGCAAGACTCATTCAAGATTTGAAAAATATGCTTGGCAAAGACACATATTCGTGAAGGGAAACTGGTCGGCTCTTAACGCTTTGTACCATGAACCGATTCGTGATCTTGGTTTTGGAGGGCTTTTGACGAAGCAAGGATTTTGAGTCATATTTATTGACGAGTTCAAGGCCCACGGACCAATCTTTTCAGGGATTGAATATATTTGCTCAATTACGGGCTATTGCAGATTGGTGATATTATGTCACTCCATGCGGTCATCTTATAATGATCCTGATCATCAATGCGTTCCTAGACCCGAATCCATATCCACAGCCATAAGAAGTTTAACCAACCTACGCTGTCTCATGCAAGCTTCATCGTCCGTTGAACCCAAAATGCTGAGGTTGTTTCACATCTCTTTAGCTTTTACTGTAAAGCAATGACGTCGTCCTTGTTAGCTCAGCTATATTTAGAAAAACCAAGAATGTATAAAAAGAGATTGTCAAGGTTTAAGAAAAAGTGGCATCAGTTGCGAGATGTAGTAAATTTCCAGATGAAACCAAGGCATGGAGACTTGGATCAAAAATCTCGGCATGTCTAAAAATGGTAATCAAGTCCCCCCTCATCATTTGTTTGCCCTTCTTTTTTTTTTATAGCCTGACAATAGGGTCATTAATCTGTTTATTATGACGATGATGTATAAAAATACACATTTTCCCACAGCGGTAAATAGGTACGAATGACATTTCCCACAATAGATATAAGTGCCTTGTCTTCCACACGATTACAGAAACGTTCCAGCCGAGGTCTGTTATTTTTTGGGTATAATTTGTTAGTCAATAACTATCCATGTGAAAAAAAAAATTCTACCGTATTTACCTTGTAATGTTGGTATAGAATGCTCCTCGCAATAGATTAAACCACAACAAATGAGCTCTTCTTGACAGTTCTTGCTTTTCCAAAGGCTTCATATTGCTGCGTCGACCGGGGCCTTGATCAAATTCTTTGCGCAACGCTGCCTGGGAAGCCAGTTCAACCAGCAATGACACCCACCACGGTTTCCAAGATCTTTTGCCGTATCGCATAATAGCCAACACTACCGAAAAAACCCATCATTTAGCGCTCCTCTCCTACAATTTTCCTCCTCCCCTTTTTCCCATTATTTGTATTAATTCATTTTTACCATAAACAAGTGGTCGCAGTATATACAGAATTTCGCCTAGCCCGCCAAGCTTATGCATCGTGTGAACCATTTGACCAGGCTTTTGCAATTTCTCAGGCGTCAATACTTTGGACATAAGATAGTCGTTGATATCATCGAATTTGCGGGAATCCTTGGACTTCTTCATTGGGTTAAACTCAATGGTCGAATCCATCCGGGGAATTTCAATGCCTGTACGTCGGCCTGTCCAACGCGGCACCGACACGTTTTCTGCATCGGCTGCCAATGTCGCTGGATCCACATCTCGTTCTAAATGCGTAGGATACAAGGTCATACGTTGACCGCTTGACTTGAATAGCATCAATCTCAAAATCACTCTGATACGCACAAGTAAAAAAGAAATATGAGTCACACTGAATCACCGTACGTAGCAAAATCCGTGCAATCGAAGCACTTACTTTAATGCTTCCAGTGTGGCTACCCAGCGCCATTGCGTTCGTTTACCCCACTTCTTTGCAACCCCCATTTCCATCAGTACTTGGGTATAAGCGATCACGGACAGCAACGTCGAGACATGCTTATAGGTATGCGATTTGCTGGACCAAAAATTGATATATTTGTTGAAGGTCGATTCTTCAGCTACTTCGGATCTCGTTTCGTCGGCATACGCTTTGGCGGCTCGTCGTAATATGGAATTGTGATATAAGCTTACGAGATTGATGGCAGCGTACACTAACAGGCATCAAGCAAAAAGGTCGAGTAGAGTTGGACATTAGATCATAGGTATATAGTCGCGTATTTATTTGCTTTCAAACAGTTTTTCCCGTCGTTACCTGCTTGAGATGCAAATTCAGCGTCATGGAATCGACCTTACATAATATGCAATGTCAGTTTTTGGATGCCGTGGAGTGAGTCAAACAATGGTACGCATTTACCGGGCAAGATATAAGTCAAAGATCGCAGAGAAGACTCAATGCTGGTAATTTGTGAGGCATTTTTAATCAGAAAGTCCTCATACTTTTGAAGATATTGCATCGTAGGTGTGAGTAAGCAGATATCGTACGAGTGAGAGAAAGGTGGAGAAAGAGAGGGAAAAAAATGGTGGATGGCGGAGTTGAAACGGTTTTCGGGATCCAATGTTTTGCCAAATTTGTCAATCAAGTGATTGGCGCTTTGCCCCTCGCTTTTCGCCTTTCCCTTGTTTTGGTGCCACCCATTGGCAAGTGGAACACAATTGGACGGAGAAACCCAGTTTTCCCTTTTTTCAAAGTTGACATGTGAATTACACAATAGGCGAGTACTTTTTTTTTATTGTATATAACGAAATTATATAATCACGCTAAATGATCAAGCAATGACATATCATAAAGCAAAAGCAAAAGATGGAATGCGATGAAAGATGAAAAAATAAATAAATGTGCATGGGGAAATATCGGTTTCACGGAATCATGGCTTGGAAAAAGTTTGACATGTGAAAAATAAAAACAAAAAAGAATAATGACAAGTAATAATAAATAAGAGGTGGTTTTGGTTGGAAGCTAGCAAGGGATGCTTCACTGTTGTTGACGATCGGAAGCCGCCTCGGACATCACGACAAATCTTTCAAGCACTTTGTTGAACCCTTCTTTCCCTACAAGCGCATTTTGTTGAAATCGTTTCAAAGAAACATCTTCCACCATGTTGGCCCATCGATGCAACGTTGTGCCCGCGGTAATTTGCGCTTGCTGTGTAAATTGTGTACTAAAGAAAGAAAGTATTATAAGACATGAGTCACAAGGTTGTCTCTACTGCGGACTACAAGGATCCAAAGCTTACCGTTGCTTATCCTCTGGGTGTTCTGAATACGCAATCGTTTCGTTGACAGCCAATAAATGGCTCATGGTGAGGTTTCGGCTGTGCATAGTCAATGTTTTCTCGTTTGGGTCAATAATAGAAATTTCATGAACGTAATGAGTGGTATCTGTGCCAAGAAGCTGAACGGAAGAAAAAGAAAAAAAAATTGTCAGCAAATCCGAAAAACCTAGTACTAACTTGTACACTTTTTTTTCTGTATTCACCTTCAAGATAAACTTGGGCATATTCTGGTTCACGGTAATGAGTCGTTCAGTGGTTAAAATGCCGGTCTCAGGATCAACAGAGCGGTTGAGGACATCGACATGCTGAACATGAGGGCAGTGTTCGTTAGGGTATTTCTGCCAGTTGGCTGCTGACACCAAATTCCAAGGGTAGTTGTATTCGTGAACAGACTTGAACAACTTCATTTTCTCTTATCGAAGCTTCCGGAAGGGCAAAAAAAGGTGGGTTGAAACGGGAATAGACAAGAAAAAAACCTGGAGAAACAATTTCAGCAAGGAGAAAAAAAAAAAAAAAGTTGACATATTTTTATTTTAAACATTTTTCGGTCATCAAAAAAATTTCAAACCAAAACAAACGAGCGCATAACTAACCAATCAGATATCGCGTTTGGATACCTCATTGGTTCTCGCTTTCCTTCTTTTTCCGGGTCCTGTTCAAAGATCAGCCGAAGCTGCCACTGCCTCTTTCATCGAATTGGCAAAGTCGCGCTTGACAGCGTCAAAATAATCTGCATCCAATAAGACTTTGATACCGGTCAAAGACAAGGCCTTGGAAGCATTAATGGTATCTTTGTGCGCCGCTTCGGTGCGAGCCGCCGCAGTGAACTCCACCGTGTGGTTGGAAGCGGTGGTGTGAATGCCATACAAGGGATGGATACAGGGCACTTCGTAACTGACATTGCCCATATCGGTCGATCCTCCTCCGGCCTTGATTTGTTCTTCACGCGAAGGGAATCGAATGCCCGTCTTTTTCATATATTCTGCATAAGTTTCAGCCATCACATCATTTTGAATCACATCTATTGTTATATCATAATAAAAATGGAATAGTTAGTCATCTTTTTATGCAGCTCACCCATTTGACTTTATTGTGAACTTTTTTCTTGATTTTGTTTCTCATACCTTTTGTAACACCAATTTCACGCCATGTCCATTTCACCTCACAGCCAGTGGCCATAGCGGCGGCTTCAAAGGAAGCTTCCATCTTCTTCATCAGACGCTGGATTTGAGTATACTTGGTGGTACGAACGAAGAAGAAGGCAGAGGTGTGCGCTGGAATCACATTGGGCTAAAGAAAAAGAGAAATTGAATGATATGACCACAATAACTTGTCTTTCGTCAACCACTTACTGCGCTACCACCATCGGTAATGATACCGTGAATTCTAATTTTTTGTTTGTTTGTTTGATTTCATTAAGCACATCAAATACTGGGACTCGATTTGCTGACTATCCAATTTTCAATCTTACCGGTCGGTTGGAAGCAATTGCTGACGCATCATACTGATACTGTTCCATGCTTGCACCATAGCATCCAATGCATTGACACCTATCGATCCAACATCAATAATCCTATTTCCATGAAAATTACAGCAGAAAACCGAAACTCACCTTCCCAGGGAGATGCTGATGTAAAAAAAGTAAAAAAGGTCAATGAATATTTGTTATGTCTCGTAAACGATCATGATTATTTTATTTACCTGAAGCATGAGTAGGCTTGCCAAAGAATTCGACTTTCACGTCATGAATAGCAATCATGGCACCGTATTGATGGTCAACCGCACTGTAAATGTTGAGAACCAAAAACATTAGTTGTTTCGAAAACGCACTACTTGATTGGAATGCACTTACGCAGGATGCAACATCAAGCAGACATCTACATTGTCTTGGAAAGCGCGCTTTTCCACAAGGACAATTTTACCGATTGAGAGTTCTAATGAACGAGAAAAATTTAGAATTCTGCAACGTTCTCACGGTCTTTGTTACCACACCATGGTTCGCACTTTACCTTCGGCGGGAGTACCGTACAAGATTACTTTGCCGGAAGCTTTACCACTTTCCAATACAGCTTTTACACCGACAGCGGAAGCAAGACCGCTAATGGCGATCAAGTTATGTCCACAACCTTGTCCAAGTCTATTACATCCGGTCTGTCAGTCTCTGTACGACCCGACATTTTTTTTTCCCCATCTGAATTTACCCAGGAAGACCGTCATATTCGGCACAAAAACCAATGCGTCTGCCCGATCCGCGGCTGTATTCAGCAGTAAAGGCGGTCTTCATACCGTAGGCGTGGCGCGTCACCTTGAAGCCTTGTTCTTCCAAAAACTTGGTAAGAACATCATGGGCATGGTATTCCTTCATGCCAGTCTCCATGTTGTCGTGGAGCTGTGGTTTAAAAAATAAAATAAGATAGAGCGTTAAACAAAGTCAAGCCCAGTCTATACCACGCGGGATAGGTAACGTACGTCCAAACTGATTTTACGAAGTTCTGCACTGATATTGTTGACGGCCTTGTGAACGATAGCTTCAATTTCGCCATCGCATTTGACATCAAGATGTTCGAATGCCTGGTTTAAACGAGTGTGAGAAACTGTATTCATGTCCAAGCTAATTCCACATTGGGTGATATTCATATTTCAGCAGCTTTTTATAAAAAATCACATACCTGAGATACACATTCTTCATAAGCGGGCAACCCGGTATCGGGGGTGTCAACAGCTGAGTAGTCATATGCTGGACTGGCTGAAACTGACACCGGTTGTTGTCTCGAGGAGAATCTCGAGAAAATGCTGGCAAGACAAGAGGTCGGCTCTCCTTCAGAGGTATCTAAGCGAGGCATGCTGGCGCTGTATTTGGGTAAGCAAGAAAAAAAAAAGGATAAAGACGGACGGTTGCAAAGAAAAAGAAAAAAAAAGAAATTGAGATAACGTTTAATCAAAGCTGTTGCACAGGGAAATATATTCAAAGAACCGACGTGTCGGAGAAGACCGATCATTACGATCGCGCATTCAACGGCAGGAAGTAGCCATCATTGATATGCACGGTAAAAGGAAAATGATCAGGTTTTCTGCACCAGTTTAGTGACATAGTAAAATACGGGTTTTGTAATGGCAACTGTGATCATTTTTTATGAAGACCGAGCCTTCGGTGTGTATAAGCTGTCACTTTCACATCGGCAGTTCAATAAATTGCTTTACCGATACAACAAAACGGCAAGGGAAAATGATATAGTAAGTGAACACCACGAGGTTTGTGAAGATTGAAAAAAACTCAGGATAAAATACGACATGTCACTCGTAACCCGTCTTTATTTGTCCAACAGAAACTTGGTCCCATTTTATCTGAGTTGCCATATTTATGCATGGCGTGCATGAGATCCGCTTTCCCGGGCCCTGTAAGTAACAATCGCGCTCAATTTTTCCTTTTCCGTTCATTCGATTTCTGCTGCCTTCCATTGCATGCGACTCATCCCACTCTCAATATAACAAAGCGTTTTACAATCCAAGCATGACGGATTCTATCGACCTCTTTTAACACAACTATTTATCAATATTTCTGATAGATGGACGTTACAACTCGTCGGTCTGACCATATAAAAAGCAATCTGCTGCAGTCGGCGAAACATTATTCACTACAACCTTCAATCAAATGCGTCTTCTTTTTCCTCTAATTTCTGCTGCTTGCCTATTGTTGCCTGCTTTGGCTGCTCCGGTCGAAAGCATCGACGAAGCTGACTTGGATGTCTCCGATGTCTCCGGCGTCGATTACGCTTCGCAGGACGATCCGCAATATGCCGCACAGTATGCTCCGTAAGATCTCAATGACGTGTCTAAAAATTATAACTAGCCACTGAAGTTCTTTTACTTTTAGTGTTGAAGAGCAGGATACTATTTGGCCAGCTGCTCCACCTCCATGGCGTCCTACTTGGCCTCCCCCACCCCCATGGCGCCCTACCTGGCCTCCCCCACCTCCATGGCGTCCTACCTGGCCGCCTCCTCCACCTATATGGCGTCCTACCTGGCCTCCTACTCCATGGCCTCGTTGATCTTTTCTACTCTTTCAGTAGTGAGCTTTTAAGCATTGAGCAATCTTTGGGGGTTTGGTGGTCATGTCTGAAATTGTCTCATGTTGGAAGAAAAATAAACTCAGTTTTTGATTGGACCGGGAATTCAGTTGTCCGATTCCTCCGCCGTGGGGACAGTCGATCTTTTTTTTTTTTGTCACTCTTACGAAGAATTTACTTGATTACTTTCCTTTGATCGCATACAAAACTAACCACGCGTATGATTTTTTTTTTTTTTCTGTCATTCATCCAAGTAATACGTGCATCTACTCAAGATTAATTAATGCTGGAACAGTTCAGGCTCAAAAGTTAAAGTCTCTATGTTCCATTATTGTTCGTGCCGAACAAGTTGAGTAACCTCGCTTTGGATTTGGCACAAACGAAACAATGATTGTGCCATCACGTATTGGAAAATGATGTGGCTTGATTGGTGTTATAGTGAACTATAAATGACGTTGCAGATAAGAAAACGACAAGTGCTTTGCAATTGATACAATATCGCCTTCCTGCAACGGTTTGGTTCTTCTACGCGAGCTTCGGTACCATCAACTGGCAGCCAAGTAATTGTATGAAAACTATTACTGCATTATTCGTGTTGTTGATTCCATTGTGTCTCCGCACACTAACTTTTTTTTTTATAGTCAGCATTTTTTTTTTTTTTTTTCGCCCAGAATTCAAGCCATCAAACACCTCCAATTTCTTCTTTTTTTCTTTGTCTTTCCTTTCATCAATTCTCTCCCCCCTTATTTATTATAACTATTGTTACTTTGGTTTCATCTTCATTTGGATGGAGTTCAGCAATCATCCCCTTGATACTTCTCTAATGGCTGCTGATAGCTCGTCTTCTTCTAACTGCACGAACCTTGCCAATGAAACGACTACCCCACTTTCGCTTCATCCACAGCAGCTTTCTGTGAATGATTTACTCCATCCATCTGAATCCGCCGAAAACTTGCTAGAAACACTATCCACCGAACAACTAGAGATCATTGAAAAAGCTCTCAATAAAATCAAAGAGAAAAAGCTGGTCACTGCCGCGTTGGAACAAACCCTTTCCTCCACTTCAGATACAGGTGAACTACTCGCTTCCTCTTTTTCATATTATCATCTTTTCTTTTCTCGGTTATTCACGCTTTCTACGTAGGCGCCCTTCCTCTTCCATTGTCACCCTCCTCATCCACGTCGGTTGCCACCTCGACCAACCGAACACCTAGCTGCGAATTATCGGCCATGATAGACGATACAACGACGCAAAATCTGTGGACTTCTGCCGCGACGCAAGTCGCAAAAGCATTGGCTGATGCCATCTCATCCTCTGCCTCTCATCTCATGCAAATGCCGGTTTTGAAACAAGACGCTTCTGACGACGCCAAGCCACCCTCCTCCAATGCTCGGAATTCGTCCACCGCCCCTGAATTAAGTCACGAACCTTTCACCGAGATCCGCGAAGGCGTCGAATGGGTCAGTTTTGTCTATTCCCATCATCGCACGCTTCGACGTTATCGTATACGCACTGACCTTGATGAAGTGGATATCCATTTATTGGATGAAAACTTCAAAAAAGAGAACTGTGTAAGTCATCCACACCGTGTCTCCTTGGTTACCCTGCTGAAACACAATGCAACGCTTTCTATTGGCTCTTTCCAATACGATAACTAAAATGGATTGTAGGTTTATCCACGTGCCAACCTTCCGCGCGAAACGTACCGTGGTAATCGCTGGGCTTACGAAACCGAGTGCAATATTCTCGGCTGGAAACTTGCGTGGCTCAATAAAGAAGAACTCGCCGGTAAACGTGGCCTGATTCAACGCGCCGTCGATTCTTATCGCAATCGTTACCCCAGTATGCGCTCTCGACGAGTCGCTCGCCAAGAAAAACTGCTCAAAGGGACTTTACGTAAACGGAAACAGCGTGAGGAAGATGAACATGTCCTCTCCGGGAAAAATTCCAAACAATGTATCGTTCCATCCTCAGATGATCGACAACCGAAAACCATTACCATTGAGGATCATGCTACAGGCAACAAATGCCGTATCCGCATAAGTATCGAAACAGTCTCACTCAATGCTATTGATATGGCATTTCGCAAAAACAACTGCGTCTTTCCCCGAGCTATTAGCATTTCCTCTTCATCCACTTCCGTTCCTCAGAGACGTCTTGACGAAGCGAAATGTAACGAGATCGGATGGAAGCTGGTATGTATTTCTTGGGTTACCATTTGTATCGTCTTTTGTTCGTCATATTCAACGAATGGCGGCTTGGTTTTAGGCTTGGTTGAATCCGCGTCAGCTTGCCAATAAGAAAAACCTGCTTCAACACGTTCTTGATACCTACCGAAATCAATTTATGCCTGACCTTCGTACTCGAAAATATTCGTCCCGTGTCCCTCCTGCTCCCTTCACTCCACCCTGCCCGCGTCTTCACGAAAACACCACCCCTTTAACTACAAAAGCGCTCGCTGAACAGCAGCAACAATTAGCCAATCATTCAATGTGCTCTACGCGTCGTAATTCAGAACAAACATGCTATACTGGCAGCACTGCTACGCTGGACTTTCGCGATTGCTTTTCACCGCCAGCAGAAATCGAGTCGCCTTCGTTAACAACCGAGTTGATGCTACCGCCAGCAAGCCAAGACCTCGCAAGGCATACCGACGTGGATGAATCCAGTTGCCAGTTAAGCGTCGGAAGCACCGCTAGTCAAAATCCTTCCAGTCACAGCTCTCCCTCCCCTACTCTCAATATTGACGATGTGTACCAGCAAGCCGCTCTGGTGATCGGTTCGCATGATCATATTCTTTTGAACTCTACCAACGGTATGCCTCTTCTTAAGCAAGGTCAGACTTTATTCTCCAACGACATGGCGATGGATTTTCTGGAAACACACATCAAATACGAAGACGTCAATGCAGGCATAGACGATTTTCACGATCCTCTGCTGGGGCCATTATTCTAATGTATACATCTTCTGCGGCAGAGAACAGAAAACTACAAACAACAACGAAATGTATCAATAACCGCGTTGTTTCTCGCCTCACAAAATTTTGGCTCAAAGCTGCACTCAATCACACCAAGTTTTCTGGGGCGAATGGATATTTGTGTTGGAGATTTAAACAGGGTGTTTTTGTTTTCACGTATAGCTCATTTGTCAAAAAGGTAATTTATATCCAAAAACATTACATATTATAATACAACGAATCTTCTACATATCATGGGCCATACTGTATACTGCAAGGAATTTGTAAATTGTCGTTTGTGACGGTCGTGGCCGACTTTACAATGAGCTTAGATCAGTACAGATTCCAGACATTGTTGCTCAAAACAGTTGGTTGAATCAGCTGTATCATATATTTGGAGGCTGTGGTGATGGATTATGGATCAGTTGTAGTCATGTATACCTCTTTCAAAAGATGAACGCCAGCAGTGCGTCAACAACATGATTGTTGCAATGCAAGGAAACAAAGTTGCGTACGACAGCATACTCTATGGCGCAATACTTTTCATACCAATACTGTGTGATTAAATACAGTAGAGGTTAGGTTAGCTTGCATAACGAAAACATGAACAAGCACGCAATAATATTGTCATTTGATCTGGCAGGTAGTCATGATTGAGACATAAAAACAAATATGACATGCCTTTTTAGGGACGCCTGTGCACAAGTTCCAATGAAAAATACGCCGCCATTCAATGGCGAGCCGTTTGTATGTTGATTTTTACAGGGTAAAATGTTTATGATTGTACAGGGATATGCTGCCACTGCCATTCCTGAAGGGATTTACGGCGGAACGGATGTGCTTCGGTATTAAGCACATACTCGTCCAAAGAGATCAAATCAGGAGGCGAGAATAAAAGGTATAAGTATTTGAGGGTTTCTGCAAAAAGAAAGCTGGATATTTGCCGTGAGAAGGTGGTTTCTTCTTGAACCACACGGATCATCCGTCCTTACCTTTCCATGGAATCCAATTGATTTGATCTCGATGATTCACTTGCTATTTCCACATTGCGAACAGCTGCATATGCTATTGGCGTCTTACACCATCGTTCAATGGCTTGGAAAATTTCCCAGCCATATTCCTACACCTAAGATTAGAAAAACGGCGGATCATCATCTTTATACCTATCCACACTTACTTGGTACTTGGGATCCCCTGTAACACGGTAAAGGATCCAGATACTTTCAACAGTTTCCGGACGTAAAAGGTATCGTCTGTCCATGCTTTGAAGACCCGAGGGTCGGGGTAAGGAAACGGGCGGAAGTTGATACGATTGAGTCACTGTCTCCTGATCATGAGCGTTTCCCGATGTTTCATGTTCCACCAGTGTATCTTGTGCTGAGTTTCCTTGCATGTACCACCAGTCGCGCGATGCCGTTAATTGCTCTCTCGACTTTGAATAGGTCAATGGATTGTAAGGCTCGTCATTTTCGAATTGCCAGTTCTCGGAACATAGACCAGTGGCTGTGCTTCGGTACATGTACACACACGTTTCAAGCAGTCCTTTTGCCACCACCATATCGTCTGGTCTGTCAAATGTCTTTGCGCCCATTGCCAACATCCCCGGTACAAAGCATGTCTGAGATCAACGGAGAATTAACCTTCTGCACGAACGAACAAGCCCAAAACCAGAATTTCGTTGTCCCTTTTTTTCTTCCCCCCCCCCCTCGGGAATCTGCAGCCTTTTAGTAATAGCTTTTGCCCACTTACCAAGTGATCCATCGTACGTTTTGCAGTATGGTGTCTTGTATCAAAAGGAGGGAGAAACAAGAGCTCAGAACCTGGCAATTGACGAAGCATGTAACGTTTCATGCTGTCAATGGAGTGAAGGTCTATGTGACACAATATGCTTAGCAATGAACTAATTCTAAGACACCATCCACTATAAGCTCATTCTTACACAATCGTCCATACTGGGGTACTGACCCTTCCGCCAGTAAATACTCCTTGAGAAAATACTACATGATGCATAGAGCACCGTCATGTGTTCATTAACCAGGGCTAATTTTCGCGATCCATCTGGGCGGAATTTCAAACCTCAAATGCACTGTCACCCATGGCTCCAAATGTGCATGTCGCTAATGATACAAAAACAAACCTCCAGCATTAATAAATTTCACAACACAAAACAAAACAATCCAAACAATTTACCATCCTTGAATCGACCTCTGTGAACGTCAATATCGGTAGGGAAAAGTCCCACAATATTCAATCCATGTCTGTAACCTGCTTTGTCCAACCAATCTGTAATCTTCTGCGCCTTTTGTGCATACACTGGGTTGCGGGTGTGATGAGACAGAACCATAAACTCCAATTGCACCGTTCCCACTTCAGCAATAAGCGTACTGTTGTTCAACGATTCTTTCCTAATCGACCGCTGAGCATTGGCGCGAACTAGCATTTTTTTTTCTGATGGCTTTCTCGCACTGTGTGATAACCTACTTGACCGGATTCCACAGATGGTACGGTAATCCAGAAGCCGTGTCAAAGGCAGGAAGCAATGCCTGAGCTAATTCTTCTGCTTTTTGAAGTAGAATAGGATGCCGTGCGTCTGATAATTCGTAAGCACTCAACAGTCCACCCAGGTACCGGATAATGGATTCGAACACGCTGACATTCTCATCCAGTTGAAAATTAATCTTGCTAATTTCGGGTATAACTGCGTCCATCGTTTCGTCCAGTCCCATGACCATCATAGTACTTAACGAGTCTACCAAACTGGCTCCCCATCCGCCAAACGGATCATGTGTTTTGTTGGTCAATGGTTTCACTTCGTCATGGCCCAAAGCGTACGTTGCTGAATCAACTGTATCAATTTTTTCCTTGATCCTGTCCTGTCATTGCAACCAGATTTCCTTACCATAGCCATTCCATCCGTGTAAAAATGCTTCCTTCACAGCTGTCTGTCGTTCCTTCAATTCAGCCTTTCGTTTACTTGACTCAGGTAAGGACGTGAAATCAAACTGAATCGGTCGAAGCTTGGATTGATACGATAGCTGTTGATGTGATGAAGGTGGTGTAGGAGGTGCTGGATCGTCTTTTACGGTATCACTATCTAGTATGGCGGCATTAACGTCGATGGAGGAGTTCTGTGGAGAAGTAAGCATCCAGGCCTGCATCAAAAAGATAATAGCAACAATGGCAAGCAGTAACAGCCGCCATCGGTACGATATTTTCAGCATCCACACGCTCATATCGTACAAGAGACAGTAAGGGCAAACAAAAAGAAAGGAAAAGCAAGAAATCAGAGAAAAAGGGATTGTTAGATCCGCCTTTTTTTTTTTTTTTTTTTACCTCGCTTCAACTCCGCTTCTTTATTACATTCAATCAATAACCCCTTTCTGTAACTTACATCTTTGGTTTTCGAGTTGGATTGATCTGATACGTTGCACATCTTGGGTCCAAAATTTCCTATTTTGCTCCGTCTGATGAAAAGAGGAATCAGCACATTATTCATTGACTGCTTAGGAGTTCTAAGGTTGTACGATTCGCTGGTGTCGTTTCCCCGCTCTCGTCACACCAAGTTTATTTTTACATGCACCGTAAAAAATGGATCCCATTGAATTTCTCACCCCTGTAGTTGATTCGGCCCAATTGTGCAATTTCTGTAAACTGCATTCATATGCATCAAGACATTGTTTACATGTAGCATCCATTCAAATGTCATTTACAGTCTGGTGTCCAATGACAACGGATAAAAGGATGTCCTTACCCCTTAGCAACAGCCTCACTCGACCTTGACAATTCCGTTTTCGCGATCCTGAGTCACCGATCTGCATGTCTCAAGATAGATCAAACACAGCAAACGCATGTTCTCCAAGTGTGTCCCTTGATATCATTTGGAATATTGACAATAAAGGACACATGAATATACGAAGAAAAGTGAGGGTGATGGATCAGTTATCGGTACTTGGCAGCCAACCGGAGTGGTCCAAGCATGTAGTGGTTGTTGTCAAAGTTGCCAAATATGGCCAAACAAAAATGAACTGCTTACGGCGGAGATAGAAATAAACTATGCCAGTGAAGCGAGTCTCATCCACGCCAAAGGCAGGAAAAGACTAAAATAGTCAGGCAACCAATGTCTGATAATCGAATTTCAAGTATCGTCTTTCTTCCTAGTTTGTAAGCATGAACCGCCCTGTGGAGAAAGATTCAAACATTCTGTATCGTAGAAATTCACGAGCAGATAATTGAGGAAAACAAAATGGTTTGATGCAGTGTGTCTTACAGGACAACTGGAGCGACGATGTCATTACCTCATTGCAAATGAAGTACCACGTGGATTCACGTTAATAGGCCATACGATAACCAATGTATGGAAGACGATCCAGCTGTTGTGCCATTTTGCACTACCCAGCCATGACTCCGACTCTCCCTTTCTGCAGTGTGGTGTGGCGTTCTTGACTCAGTGTTGTCATGACGAGGTTCTGCCTCACGGAATGGCGAAGCAGAACTCGTTTTTGTTTGTTTTCATTTTCACCGAATTGTCTCCAAACCGGGTAATGTTTTTTCACCAAGGAAGAATGTTTACAATACCCGAAAAGGCAAGGCAGCGTCTCCACGAAAACAGTTTAAAAAAGAGCAAGAGGATCGTACTTTGGGCTTCATTATCTTTTTTTTTTCTCCTTTTGCTCTTCATTATCAACCTCTTTTTATTATTTTATCGTTTCCCATATATTTTCTGACAGTTAAATTTATCATCGATGGGCGGAACCATTTCCAGAGCAAAGCATCTTAGTCTGAAATCTTTTAGCACGGGTCACGTTGAACCTCATCCTCATCAACGCCACACTCACCCAACGCCAAAGATTCATTCTCAACCGGCTCAACCTTCCGTGACGCCTTTAGAAAAGAAAACCAAGAAAAACAACGCAAAAGGAAGTCAAGCACGCCGACGCAAGAAAAACAGGAAAGCCGGTAGTGTGTCTGTGCGCAAGAAACCCAAATACAAGAAAGTCACCAAGAGCATCATTGGCAAGCCGACAAATTTCAAGGTACAGTAGATATTGTACTTTTTAATTTTCTTAAAGTTTGTGTAGCTCAGTTTCTAACGTGATTATGACTTGCAGCATACAGGCCATATGGGCGGAGACGATATCCTTTCCGGTCAATTTGATGTAAGTGCTGACAAGACTAGCTGAGCTCTCTCACTTCAGATCCATCCTAACCCTCTAACTAGGTTCAGCTGTTCTCTACCCAAATGCAGGACATTGCTGCTCAGATTAATGCTCCCGAATATAAAGTTTCTACGGTGACTTCATCACCTGCCTCTATCCGTCGATCCACATCCACGTCTATACGAAAGCGTACACAACAAAGAAAAGGTGTTCGCCATCACGCTAATCTTGCTCTCATGAAGCCCCTCTTGGTCGAGGCACCTTCTGTGACAGTCTATTAGTCATGTCTTTCTGTATCTTTTACCAACCACTCCCCCCTTTGCTGTATTTTATCTTTGATGTCATGTAATATAATTTGTATATTTATCATTGTTATTTTCAAACCACCTATTTTTATAAAGCTGTCTATCGCTGGATTGATAAAAAAGAAGTGTCCAAGGACTGATAGATCGCATTCGCGGCTTCTCACGGATTACTCTTTTATAATTGGATGCAAAATAGCGCACCAACTTGACTATCTTCCATATATAAGAGGAGATCGATAATAGGATCGTCTTGATAATCATCCATAATTTCCTTTTTGTATCCAATGAAATTTTCATCAACTGTGCTCGTTATTTTCGCTATTGCAAGCGGTGCCTTGGCATCTTCGGTGACATCTGCAGAAAATACAGCGGGCAATGCTGCAATTGCTGATCCCGGTTATTATCCTCAGTATGCGGAAGGTGTCGATCCCCAGATGTAAGTGAAAGAATGAATCCGGCTGCAACCATGATTAAGGAAGAGTGACTAAATAGCGATGTTTTTCGCAGGGTTGAAGAAGCAAGACATCGTGGTGGAGGACGATGGGATTATGGTGGCCGCTATGATCGAGGCCGTAGAGGTCGCTGGGAGTATGGATGGGGTTACGAACGTGGAGGACGCTACCGTCACCACTAAATATAGCATGGCCATCTCCTTTTTCCTTACAAACAAAGATTTAAACGTAACATGGACTGCTGGAGAGTGAACTATCCACCTGTTTTTTTCCAATTTGACAAATAAAATCGTGTGTTGTACCGATCATGAAGCCGCCGTTTGTTGTCCCGATGATGATGCATTTGGAAAGATGACTGTCGAGGATATAGGAGTCAGGTGCGTGCAACGGTGATTGGCTGCCGTGTCACCGAGGCTAATGATTGAATATGGTTTTTACGATACCGTCTTGGCCTTTTTCTTTTTCCATCTAAAGAAATAATAACTTTTAAGACAAAGGGGATCTTTATTTCGACTGTGGAGCTAGTGCATCATGAGAACCATATGATCGACAATAGATTCAATGGTGGGTTTTGAGAACTTTACCCAATTTGATAAAAATAGACTTTGCAACCAAAAAGCGACGAAAAGCCCCAGTAGAGTGAGAGGCCAATCTGTCAATTTTTTTCGGGTAAAAAGATGGAAAAGGATGATAACCCAGATACATTCTGCACAAAATTTACACAACCTACCTTCACCCAAGAAATTAAAGTTTGAATGAATCGACCGGAAGCAAATGCATCTGTTTCAAGGCACAGTAGTGATTCTTGGTTCGTTCCGTGTCCGAATAATAGGAGCCATGGAGAGCCCAATGTGCATCCGGTGGGTTCGTCTCTCGTTATTATCTTATTCTCAGTAACATTGATAATTCGGCTGTTGGACAAAGTGATCCATTAGGACATGGCTCGGTTGTTTCCGAAATTTCATTCAGTTAATCATTCATTTTACTGTGGATGGCGAGGCTGACGAAGGATTCCATATTATAATAACATCGTTCATATTCCAACAAACCGGGTTCGATAGACAGTCAATGTTCGATGGAAATATAAAAATGGCGCCCGAATGTGCCTAACCATGAATCCCTTAGTTTTCGCACTCACCATGTCAGTTTCAGCAAGAGATCAATTTACACATGCTCCGTTGACCCTACAATCGAGACCCATGGCTATTTCATCCATCATGTCCCCCAGTGCCTCAGCATCGACCGGGTCCGCTATCCGAGACCGTTACATCCCATCACCAGGATCGGTGTCCTCGGCATTTTCGGCTACCTCGGTCACACAAACCTCCACTTCTCCTCAATACTCTCCTTACGAATCCTCTTCTACCGATTCCTCCGGTCCCAACTCTCCCGACCGTCAACTATCGACGTCCTTACGGCACAGCAGTAAGACGGCCCAGAACTACGGTCGCCGTCCATCGTACGACGTGGTGTCGTCCGATCACTCGTCGAATTCGCCACCTTCTCAATCTCTTTTATCGCTACAAGAACGACGACAACGAAATAAAACGGCTTCGGCAAAGTACCGTGCCAAGAAGAATCAGCAGCATGGTGAAATGCGCTCCATGATCGCCACTCTCACGAAAGAAAACGAATTATTGGTACGTCAGCTGGATCATGCTCGATTGGAAAACAGTCGTCTCAAGGCGGTGACGGACAAACTCCGAGGCAAGATGATGGCAGAAAAAATGCTGAAACGTCTACTGAGCAAGGAATCAGGTAAACTATCCACCACTGCACCTGTTGGTTCCGACGACCCTCCTGTAAAATCATGTTTTGTCCATTATCATGCACAAAAAGCGGTCGAAACCCTGAGAGGAATGTCTGATGAGGAAGAAGACGATGAAGATGAAGACGAAAAGGCCCACAAAGATGAGCTGAATTCCGAGCAAGACGAAGATATGGAATAATCTATTTCGATGCGCAAGGTCGCATGCCCACCGCTTGCTTTGGCTTCTTGTTTGTTCTTTTTTAAACTTTCCAAGTTGTAATATATGCTCTAGTCTTTCTTTTCTTTATATTGTAGTTTCTTTTTCCTGGTCGAACCGAGGTAGTGAAGAAAACAAGAAGAAACACGGAAGTAGTCCCCCCCCCCCACAGCTTCTCCTTGATCGCCGGTTTTTATATATGCTTTTAAACTTCTCCTGCATTTTGCAGCGTCACATTTTGTTATTTTCCTTTAAAATGATCAAACCAGAAATTTATGTTTATTATCTCTTTGAGACTGAAATCGTCCATGTTTCCTCTCTTTGCTTTAGAATGACTGTATTTTTTGTCATTTCCGCAGTTTTCCTTTGTCTTTATATTACTGTTGTTGCGCAAGAATCCGGTGTATCCGATGCAGCTAAAAGCTTAGGCTTAAAGGTTACTTGGACAGCACCCATGCCATCAACGGCAATGGATGATGCCAAGGCTTTCATATCTGAGCAATGGTCGTTGCCATATAAGCATTTTTACGGTGATACGAACTTGGCTTTCACAGAGGATACCATTTCTAGCAACAGCTCCTCCTCATCAACTGTGTTGCGAATATTGTACGGTCAAGGATCGTACTCACCATCCGCCACAAGATCCAGTAATGTAGCTCTCGGTGGAACGGATTTTTACACTCAACCACTTCAAAATCAATCCTTTGCAAGTGCTCTTCTGAGCTATGAAGTAGCATTTGCTTCCAATTTCGATTGGGTTCTGGGTGGAAAACTTCCCGGTATTTTTGGCGGTAAGTAGGAGGCCTACAGAGAAGAATGGGGAGAAACATGGATGAATCAGTGCCTTGGTTTGTTTAGGTACGCCTGGAGTAGGCTGTTCTGGCGGACAACAGTCAGACGATAATCAATGTTTTTCCATGAGACTGATGTGGAGAGAAGCAGGTAAAAAAAAAACGATGTATTGTATGTTATTCCATGACAAGGGGTTGTTATTCTCATCATGTTCAATATCATGCAGGAAATGGAGAGGCATATGGTTACATTCCACGAGCTTCCGAGTATTGTCGAAAACATCCATTGACCCAATGTCACGACGATTACGGTGTGTCGTTTTCACGCGGAATGATACAGTTGCAAAAGAATCAATGGACAAAGCTGGAAATTTTTGTACAGATCAACGATCCGCCATCGGAATCCAACGGCATACTGAAAGTGTGGCAAGATGGCAATCTGGTCATTTACCAAAACGATGTCGTTTTCCGCACATCCAACGCGCTGGCGGTGTCAAGTTTAATGTTCAGCACATTTTTCGGAGGAGGCACGACAAAATATGCTACGCCTTCAGACACCTACGCTTACTTTAAAAATATTCAATATAGTGTAGGAGCGCCAGTGGTATTGACGAATTCTGTATCTTTTGTATCAACTTCATTTCTTGTGTACATTATCCCATATCTGGTATTTCTTTTCTTGCAATGCCTGTAGACCTTATTATACAAACCAAATTTGCTAAATCCGGCAGCTTGTGAAAAACTTGTTTCCTAGCTAACCGAAAAGTTTTACAAGATGGTGTCTCCGTCGATTAAATATAACAAAGGTTGTGAAATTAATTCAACTCTTGCCAATAAATACAAGGTTGTCTTTTCACCAAAAAAATAAATGGGGTCATCATTATAAGCTACCAGACACAAAGAAAAAAAGGGAATAAGAACCGAGGATTCTCTCAGCAAGCCATTTCCAAGTGGAGCTCAGTGACGGTTTCTGTGGGACTGCTCAAATGTGTTTGACTTTTTGTCTCCAGAAAAAAAAAAAAAAAAAAAAAAAAAAGATTTTGACTTTTTTTCAAATCCCCTTATTGCAAATAATAAAGAGATCAGACGATCATGCCTGCCGTCAAATCGAACAAAGTTGCCAACAAGGGTCAGAAAACAAAGCCGGTGAAGGCCAAGGCCGCGAAATCGACCGAAGAAACGAAGCCTTCTGGTAAACGGGTGACATTCGCAAAAGACAAAGACTTGGCGGTGGCTGCTCCTGCTAATGCCAAAGCCAAGGCGCCGACCAAGGTTGAACCTAAAAAAGCTGCCATGAAGAAGAAGGCTGCCGAGAAGAAGGAAAAGCCTGTTGAAAAGACTGCTCCGACTGCCGATGTGAAGGTGCAGAAGCGAAAGGCAACATCCGAACAAGAAGAGAAAAAGCCGATCAAGAAATCAAAGGCATCGGAACCTAAAGTGGAAAAGAAAAAGACTAATGTTGCCAAGCAACCCAAGACCGAAAAAGCACCAGCTAAAAAGGCAAAGAAGGAAGAACTGAGCAGTAGCGATGAAGAGGATGACGAGCAGGAAGCGATCGCTGAACAAGTGATCGCCGGTGACGATGACGAATTAACCGAGGAACAAGAGGAAGCTCTTCGAAAAGCAATTTTGGGCGATATGGCCAGCGATGATGAAGATGAAGAGGACAGTTCCGATGAGGAAGTGGATGAAGATACATTTGAAACCAACAAGGAAGTCATTGCCGTGAACAACAAAAAGTTGGCTCAAAGTAAACTGGAGACCAAAGCCAAGTTCGATAAACGCACACCAGCTCCGGTAGGTTTCTTTCTGGAGGGCAGAGGTTTGACCACCAAGACGAGAATACTCAATGACGAAAAACTTTTGTATATGGATATAGTCTTCCGGTGATCATGGCATCATTTATCTCGGTCGTATTCCTCACGGTTTCTATGAAGAACAGATGAAGGATTACTTTAGTCAGTTCGGTACCGTCACTCAACTTCGACTTGCACGTAGCAAGAAAACCGGTGGATCTAAGCATTATGCTTTCATTGAATTTGAGTCAAAGGAAGTGGCTGAGATCGTCGTGGAGACAATGCACAACTACTTATTGTTTGGTCGCATGCTGCAATGTAAGTTATCTGAGTTTGACAGCGAATGAATAAGAGGGGTCATGCAAGGCAACTAACGATCCCGGGGGACTTAATAGGCAGACTGATACCGGCTGAACATGCCCATCCCCAATTGTTCAAAAATGCCAACAAGAAGTTCAAGGTCATTCCCTGGGCCAAGGTCGCTCGTACCAAGATGAACAAAAAGAGAAGCCAGGAACAGCAAAAGAAAGTCACAAAAAGATTGGTCGCGAAAGAAAAGGAACGACGCGAGAAACTGCAAAAGTTCGGTATTGACTATGACTTCCCCGGCTATGTGAGTAACAGAACACAGTTCTACTGCATGTTGGCGAGAAAAAAGATACTTACGCAATATGAAAATCACAGGAATCCATCGCCAACCAAGCCTCCGAGTAAATTCCCCATCCATTCTGCTAGATTTATTTCCATTTTTTTTTGACAACCACAGAACAAGGACAAGAATTATTTTTTTTGTTTTGCATAGGCATTCTTTTTTCCACAGTAAAAGATTATTTTCATTCTATTTTTCGTCTTGATATCATATTTCATGAAAGTATCAGCATCATTCATCAGTGGCCTAGGTGCCAGAGCTGCTCAAACAGCAGTTGATCACCGCACATCATACCACGGGTAAATGACCACACCGCCTTCGCTTCGATTGGTAACGTTAGATCATCAGCCTCTCCACCAATACTGTGTATATACAGTTTACGCGATGCTGCATTGAACGAGCCGCACAGCCTCGAGGCCGATGTTAAATAAAAAATTTGTTTATCGAGTGCTGTTGACGTTTTATTCGACATGGTTTAGGACAGCATGCAGACAGCATGTGGCCCGGTGATAGAACGCTGTCGAAGAAACAATCTTCATTCGGAGACGTAAAACAAAACCGACGATCATCGGCTTAAAAACATGATGGTAAAGGCGGATTCGCAGCGTGTACCTGGACCATGATATCATGGCGTGCATCCATTATTTGAGTGAGTTCCTTTGTGGCAAAGCTCGTGATGGACGTGCCAGATGTCATGATTCATATACCTAGAAAGGATGGTGATACAAGGATGGATCAAAGCATTGCTATGCAACATATTTTCTCAACTTTATTTGACAAAGGAATACTATAGAATAAATTGATTTCGTGGATTCTGCTCCGACCATGAGGCTTTGTCGGCGAAACATTCCAAACAAGTGCTGTCACCATGCAGCCATGATAACTATTGGGTGGTACAGCTTCTATTTCACCGTAGGAGTTCACCACGGACCGCAAATACAAATAGCAAATAAATGTTCCATTCGAAATATATATAAAATTTGCATCGATTGCCAATCTCTGTTTGTTTCGTGAGAAATACTATTTGGGTGATCTTCAATCTTTTAATCGCTGACGCGATGATAGGTCAACCACCGTCAATAAAAATACAAATGGCAAAAATGTATTGCAGAACACGGCCATGTCCGCAAAACCTTCTCTGATATTATAAACCCCGTACGTGACGAGGGTGGAAGAATGGAATCGTTACAGTTTCGAAACTTGGAGCTTGGCATGTATACATATAGGGCCCTTTGTTTTTTATAAGAAAATGGTGTGATGTAACCGAATGAAATTTTACCGCTCGCATGCAAAGTATTCAGAGTCCCCTAAGCGAAAGCTCAGGTGGATCTAGATGGTTCTATTACTTTCTGTCCAGATCATCCTTTTTCTTCAAGATATTCTAACGATTTCATTGGCTTTTAATCTAATCCAAGCATACCATAGAATCACATAGAAGGAAAGAAGGTATTCTTCATGGAAATAATATAAGTAGCGCCGCTCTTCTGACCTGCTCTACGGCGTACAAGCGAACAGATTGATTCCCTCTGACGACATAAAACACATAAATAGAAGCGAGATCGTCTACAATCGTCATTGCTGTCCATTAAAATATTAAAAGTACTGGTAACCTCAAAAACCAGCGATTGCACATGAGAAACAAAAAGGCATATTGTTCCAAGTAGGCTGCGCTGTATAGAAAACGGAAGAAAACTTTAAATGGCAACACACTCTTTCCGTATGCATCTCGTGACACCTAATAATGATTCAGATCTGTTCTTCTGGATGACTATTCATCCTACGTGCTTGCTTCCAAAAATACACAGACGAATGAGCATAGTATAGCTGAGGAGCATTTTCAGCAGACTCGCTCACTGGGCGCTGCCCTTTGGGATAGTTGCTTCCCATAATTGCAAAGAACCGACAATGGCGTATCGAGTTACTCCTGAAACCCGGAAACTGAAAAAAAGAAAGGATCTCCGGTATGTAATCCCATGGCGCGTTGTAGAAGGCGCTAGATTTTTTCTATCATCTTCTTGAGTATTCTTTTGTCAATCCATGACAATGTGCACTGTGACCTTAATTGGCAAGGATGGCTCCTGCGTTATCTGCATGGGAGGACAAGACACATTGTATACAGGATTACAACCTCTGACGCATATCATTACAATAGTGAATCTACAAATGGGGCATATACGATGCAAAATATACATAAGGCATGATTGCTCATGGGATACATTATTTGTCACTGACGATCGCATCGTACAAGTAGTGTATGATTGAAACAGCGACCATCCGCATTGTGTCAAAAGCACAAGGAAAAGAAGAAGACATATACAATGAAAGAAGGACGTTCGCGACGGAATTTTTCCGTTATCAGATGCCATTCGAAGCCAAGCGAACAATGAGAGCACTGTTGACTCCCAAAAACGAAGACCTGTATACTGCATGCAGCCACCCGTCTTTTTTTTTTTTTTTTTTTTTTTTTTTTTTTTGATTTGTAAATGGCTTGTGCGATTTGAATATCAGTTCTGAATTACCTCGAGTAGAAAATTACATGTTGCTTTACACATTCCACCAAGAATAGAGTTGGCGAGTTTAATCATATCACAATTGCATGAGATTGAAAATTGCACTGATTCATCATCATCACAGTAACCTCCCTGCATAATGTTCATATCATCCAATACACACCTTTCCTGATTAAAGGGGTTCGATATTCTGTGATTTATTTTTGTTGTTATAATGACAATAACAATAACAATGAATCTGGGTCATTGCCAGTGATAGACGGATCGGAACAAATTAATTTGATGATGATGAAGTCAGAGAAACATCATCGTGTTGTTTCCTCATTAAACATGGGTGCACGGTTTAACATCAAGCAGACGTAAGTTTTTTTGCTGGAACGTTCGACGATCTTGTATAATGCATAAAGCAACCATCAGAAAAACTTCCCTGTCCGACAACTTGCTGTTGGAAAACAGCAAGTTGTCGCTCAGCAAATGTGACAAATGAAAAGTGTTTCTTTATTTCCATCTTTTATTCGAAGCTGTGATTCGTTCATATATTTCATTCTTTCTTTTTCTTTGAGGAGCTATAATAAATATGTGAAAATGAATTGCAGATGAAAAACCCTAAAAAAAGAAATTCAACAAACCAAACGAATCACATCGATCTTTTTACAAACCGGAATGGATAAGCCGTGAGTAAGTATTAACGTCATAATAATGATAATCCAATTGTAAGTGGCAACCATAAGGGGAAACCTGATGGAATGTAAAAGAAATTGGAAATGAATAGTTTTACTCAATCACTTAACCACTTAAAACCGCAGCGAAGAAGCTCACAGAATTTTCAAAGGTTCTCTGCGTCTGTCTTTCTAATTTTTTTTTTTTTTTTTTTTGCCAATCGTTTGCTTTTGAATATAAATTTGTCATGATCACCAATCAACGTGCTTTCTTTTACCGTCATCACTTTTTTTTTTCTGCCCTCGCCACAAATTACCAAGAACAAAAAAAGCTCACTATATAAAAGCCCTTCTTCATCTTTCTTTTTTTCATTTCAATCAAACCATAGCTTCTTTTTTTTTTGTGTAGTGTTACACCTTAATTACGTTAACATTTCTTCATCATCTCCACCAACATTTACTCGACACATGAATGGGTGCGAGTCTCTTAGTAGTCAGGATTACGCATCACTATCGCGGAAGCGCAGTGTAACGGACGCCTTCCCTGACGACTCGTACGATCACGAATCCTACAAGGTTCCCAAATATAAATCCAACCTTTCCACGGACGAACGCTCCTTTGTCGACTTCACCCGATGCCTTTACCGTGCCAAAGCCGTTGTCAACGACCTTCGTACATTCAGTGCTGCCGTTTGTCCCGCGCCTCATATCGCCTATCACCACGACCCTCTCCATCCTCACAGTCATTACCATAATATGATCCATCAGCAATATGCGGAAGGCCGTTTCTCCAACTCACTTATCAGTTCTGATCAATTCCTGCGGCATATCAACCAATACATGTCAGAAAATTACCACAAATTTACCCAAATGTGCAAATTCCTCCTACTGGTACTTCGAAAACTGGAATCCACAAGTCCTTTACGGCAGATCTGTATCGATTCGTTTCGAAAAGACATCTACGACGAACTCAAGGTCGCCAGCGAGATTTATGCCGAGTTCACTGCCTGTACTCGAATGTTGAACGTGGGGCAATCTTCCTCGTCGTCTTCATCCTTATTGGAACAGCAACCCTATCCATCGTCAAGTACTGGAGGGGAAGAAGGTCAATCTCCTATTGCTTCTCCGGTTACTGAATCCGATTTCGAATGTGAGATCCATTCTGAACCGTCCAATTCGTCTCCTCAGCTGTAGATTCCCTTTGTAATATTTCCCTTCCATGACCCATCCTTACGTATTTTCTTCATGTATATAGTCCCTCCCGCATCCATATAATTTGCTTATTTGCCATTCCTAATGAATTGAGAACATCGTGTTCTATAGAACAATGAACAAATTGTTCTATATACATTTCTATTGTGTTCTATAACATTCTATCCTAAAATCGGAAATTTTTGGTAATGCGTGACAATCACTTTCTGGCCGAAACTAACCAAATGGAGGGGTCGGGTTGTTTAGAAATAAGCACCCAACATCCGAAAACCGGTGCACCCACGCACACAGGCATACTTGAGGACAATTCATTGGGCTTGGATGCGGCAGCTGAGAGGGGTTTCTTTTTTTTTTGGATGGCTCAGGTTGGACCTTAAAATTCTTCTATATTTATAAAATGTCTTGTTTCAGTTGTTTCACGGTCAGCCAAGAACCATTTTTCACTTACCAGGGAACTGGTACGGTTTTGGGGAAAATAGGAATGAACCTCCCTGGTTTTTCTCAACAACCCCACTGTTACTTACATTGGTTGTTTCGGTTTGACGTCTTTTCGGGATAAAATAGACATGGGTAGGTAGATCTTTGATTATAATGTGCACGGAACGCTTATTGCGATCCATGATTGGAGAAATACATAATGTTCTGTTACACAATGAGAATAAACTCGTTGAAATGTCGGGTGTCACACCATGCGTTACCCATCAGACGGGTTGCCATACCACATTGATATGGAGCACGAGAAATCAGTGAATAATATATGTTTTGCCCCCAAATTTTATTCTTTATTACCTGCTGGGATGACCATGTCGCTTACCTGGAATATTCGTTTTAGTGTCATTTTAGCGCATTTTTAGCCCAAGATCAACACTCATTGGATTTCTTTGTTATTGATTAATTGGCGTATACACATGATCGTGCACAGTATTTGTAAGCTGCATATGACGCGTCATGACTTGTTCGCTCGATTTTTCAAGTGTTTGGTGAAGTTTAGCAAGATGGATATCGGTGTCTCCATGCCCTCGTGTCAGACATGATGTAATGGCTCCGCAGATGGAGTTCAATGCCTGGACGCGTGTTGCTCCATAGCAAGGTCCCCTGCAAGAGCTTCCTACGTATCAAAATATGCACAATTTTCATCCTAATTCAAAGATGTAACTTAGTGAATAAGGCGCTCCTTGCGAGGGTTCCTCAGAAAGAGTTTCCGTTGTCGGCACAATGTTCTTCCTATCATATCAATGCCGCATCATCACGCCAATCCTGCAGGCACAAGACCAACTGAATTCCTATAAACATGTCCAAATTGACAGTATATTATCAAAGCTGCAACAAATGATATATATCGCTTTTCCTGATACTGCAAGAAGGGCCAGAAACTTGGGGTTACAAAAGGGAAGGCAATGTCGTCCCTAGTAGCGATCACGTTAACAAGAAGCCAGTCACCAACATAAACTTTGCACTTCCCCCCACCATCAACAACATGCTTTTCCCCTTGAGATTTTCCCATTTAGCCTATATCGATTTCCAACTTTTGCCTTTGTACACTTAGGAGGGCCCTTTTGAGCTTATGTTTCATTTTCGATTTAAATTTACTCAAGGTATCGATCGATCGATCGATCGTAAATGCAATATATGGTTCGGTCTTTGGTCCCGTCACAACATGCGGTTTGCTTCTTTCAAGAAGCCATGGCTTCGTACAAGAGATTATTCTTTTTGCTTTGTTTATAAACATACAAATAACTATCTACATGAGTCGATTCTTTTTTCTATTATCGTTTACACACCACTTTATGACCGGCCTTCCAGTGGTCCTTTTGGCATTCACGCGAGCAATAGGATACACGCTGGCATTGACCACATCGTTTAAAGTCACCTGCGTTTTGCTCCTTTTTATCGCATGCAGGGTTGGCACAGATTGCATGTTTGATATTTTCAGGAGTCGCATCCTTGGCCAATTGTCGAATCAGTTTCTCTTTTTCGGCTGCACTCAGTTTTTCAAAGTTTTCAAAGTTCTCGTTTTCCAGAGCCACGCGTGCCGCCATCTTTGCACGCAGGATGCGAACAAGGTAAGTGTAAGCTTCCACGTTGCCACGGACAAGGGCCAATTCCATGTAGTTTTGAGCCTTATCCATATCGTACAATCCGTAGTCCTTGGAACCGAAAATAAGACCCAACATCAGCATGGCGTCGGCATCTCCGTTGTTAGCAGCATCCTATATCAAACGCAAGCATACATCGGTCAATATTGCAAGCGCACGCTAGCATAATTCTTTCGATGCCATTGTCTTTTACCTCCATCAAATCGATGCCGTTAATGATATAATCATCCTTATCACTACCAGGATTACCGGCTTCCTCGGCAAGCTTTTCATCCTTGGACATCAGCAAATACAATCTGCCCACTACATTGTCATGAACATACAATCAGTTGGGGGGGGGGGGGTTCCAAACGCTAAAGTTAGTTTGAGCAGCTTACAGGCATTGGCCGAGGCAGCAAAGCCCCATTGCTTGGCCCGTTCGAGGAATTCGATGGATTTCTTGATGTCTTTGAAGGGCACCGTCTGAGGCGTATTACCCTGATAGATGAGACCAAGATTATGAGCCGTGTCGGGATAACCTGTTTGATCACCATGATTTTCGATGAATTTTTTCCCTTCGTAGTTTATTCTCTTTCCTGATCAAGCGTTTTACCTTGATCCAAAGCCTTTTGGTAATACTCGATAGCCTTTGTGACATCCAGAGTGCAACCGATACCGTTTTCCAAAAAGTATCCGATCTTGTGGCATGCCATCTAGGAGAGAGAGGGTTGAGCTTTTTGACAAGCGTTTATGTGGAGTAAAGGGTGTGAAACTTACGGGATTGCCTTGGTCGGCGGCTTTGGCGTACCATGTGTAGGCCAATTTCTTGGGATCGTGACCGGGTATATTCTTGCCAGCTGCCAGCTTTTCTTCTTGCATGTAGAACGATCCGATTTGCACTGCCGCCATGGTGTATCCCAGGTCAAATGTGCGTTCAAGCAAGCGTTTCGCACCTTCAAAATTGGGACTGGCCACCGGGCTCAGGCTGGCGCGATCATCGGGACCGGAAGGTTCGCGACGAAGACCACCGTATAACAAACTGCCCAAAAGTAGATCATGAATACTGCATTGGGCACTTTCATCGAGATTCAAGTCCTTGGCCGCTTCGTCAATATTCATATCGGTTTTGGAAAGACGCTCCACAGCTTCCTGCTGAACTTGTTCGAAAAGCTTATACTCTTCAGCATACTTGTCTTGGGCGCGTTCCAACTGCATAAAATAAATGACCCCCAAATAGGACATGATACGATCAATTCCGCTGTCTTCAGTTTCGGTTACATTATTGACAGCAATTACCTTCTTGCCGACACTGTTACGCTTTTCGAATTCGGCTGCCAGTTGCTGAGCCGCCACCGGCATGGCGGTGGGGAGCTGCTTGGCAAATTCGGGATCAGATTCGTTGTAAAGCGCCACCAGTAATCCGGACTGCTGCTGGGTCAATCCCAAGAAAGCAGGAACCTCCTGAGCAGGAGCAACATCGATATTCGGGTCGGTTGTCTGTACTTGAGCCATGATTTAACAGATCTGACTTGCTGATTTTTCCCTTGATCTATCGTGCAAGAAAAGCGGATAACGTAACCGTCAGTGGCTTGCATGTTTTTTCCATCTCAAGAAAGTTTCAAACTCCGTCAAAGCAACAGCACTCATTCATCAGCAATTATCTGAGTCCGGCCAAACAACTGGAACCAATGGCCAAGAAGCACACTCCAGTCGACATTCATCATTTTATCCTGCGTTGGACTCACCAGACGAAATTTCGAGTACCTCGAATAATCACGCTTGCTTGTACGCGTTTAGACTGGCAATAGAATTTCAGATGGAAAAAAGAGTTGTATAATACCCATCAATACTGGCAGGTAAATAGATGCCAGTGAAGCACAATAAAACAATAAGTCAGTATAAGTAGAAATATATACAGATAAAGATAATAATCGGTTGATTCATTTTCCTGTGGCCTTCAGAAGATGTCCTAAACTTTCGTTCGTCAGGCCAGATTTTCTGATTATGTACGGTCCTAAATCGATGATCCTTCAAAGAGCTCTAGCAACCATTCCTCAATCTCCTTATTCTCACCTATGTAAAGTGCGTTTTTTGAGTGGCTCTGGGAGACATCCTTCAAGGATAGCTTTTGCAATGTATAACAGCACTTATAGAATAGCGTTTTTATTTCGTAAGCCAGTATAACCTTGCTGTCTAAAAAGCGCGCAACCATCCAATTTTAAATCTCAACTTGAGTACATTTTCAAACCTTTGACCAAATCTCCGTAGAGCAAAATGACTTTTTTTTTTGATTCTCTTGCAACAAATACAGTGAGCTGTCGACTTATCTTCCTCCAATTGATGGTTGGAAGAAAGCTGGTGTCCCGACGCCCATCGCGGATTATCATTCAGGCGAGTAGATTCGTAACTTTAAACTCAGAAATGAGCACTCGTTATCATATGATCGTGCTTAAAAATTCTGATGTCCCCTCACATCGTTCAAGATCAAGCCAAAAATGTTGCCGTCATACATGCATACAGTATATGCATAATTAAAGCGATTTGGTAATGCATCTATTGTAGTTTAAGTGGAATAGAGTAACACTAGTACGTCATAAGCTGCCAACAGTATTACATTAAGATCGTTCGACCAGCCGATGGCACGGAAAACGTCTTGGTATAACCAGCAATACCCATTGTTGCACATATATGTGGGTATACATCAAAGACTCACTATAAAGCAAACAAAAAGACGAATTCTTTAGCATTGTCAACATTAATGTCTCATTCCATGCATCGATAGCTTTGTCTGCGTCTCTCTTTAACCTCAGGAAACTCGCTGTGACCCCAGATCATCAGTCGGCTATTGAAACTTTTGGGGATTCGAATAATGTCCGAAGCCTTTTTTTTTATAGAAAATGATCCGCCACAGGGGAAGACGCACAGGCCGAAGCGCTGTTTTGAGAGTTTTCTCAGCATCTCCTTTTGTGGCATCACTGTTGTTATTCATTTTGTAAGCAAAAAACCTCCAATTGAACTTCGTTCATGTAGCATACCAATCGACTGTTTTGTCTGAGAACTGCTGTACGGTTAAATCATGCATATGATTTTTCAAGGGTGAAAAGCAAGAATGGGGTTTCAAGGCACACTCCTTGCTTTTCTTCTGTAATTTTCCTTTTTTGCAACATTTTTGAGCTTGGTGCACAAAATAATAAAGCGGACAAGTTTATTTTTCTGGATTTTTGTTTTCATTCATCGATAACACATTGAATTGAGTTTTTGAAAGATGCTTTCCTATACTGAACAAGACAGTCCCGAAAACTACGAATTTACGGTTTCTTACAGTGATACAGCCGATACCAAGTATGCTCGATGCCCTGAATGTTGTATTGGTGGATCTCGCATTAGCACGGCCCATGTATTCGATAATCAAACGCACCTTCGTTGTCGCAAGCACGCAAGGCTGTACTATTGTCGCAGTGACGATTTCGATGTCATTGCGTTTCCGTGCAGTGAAAAGAAGGAACACTTGGATAAGCAAGTCGTGATCCAGCGGAACGGAGTTATGGTGCCCACAAGCACGACGAATCGGTCTAATCAAAGTTCCACAACAACGAGTGCTCATAATCACCAGCTGGTGTCCATGGCCATGTCGAGTGAACCGTCTCTGGCCTCGGCCTCCGCTGCTCATTCACTTGCCAGCTCCAATGTATATATGATTTGTTTTATCGTAGCTTGCATTTTCACATTCATGTACCGTTCAAAGTAAATAAAAAAAAATCAGCATCCATCACATCATTTACCCATGTCTGCCAACCAGGTTAAACGGCTGCATCCTTGTCCTTCAATGCTGGGACCAATAGCAGTAGATTCCATTTTTTAAAGTTGACAATCCGCATTGCACCCCATCACCGCCACGTTGCACGTCTTTAACCATAGTGCAACAGTCTGTGCCACCCTTTCGGTCAAGGCACCATCATCACTTTATCCAAAAGGCCAAGTGTGAGTCCGCCTTATTGACTATAGAACAATGAATGTAAATTTTGATATGCAGATCGTACAGGATCAAGAAGTAGGGTGGCAGGAAAAAAGGGGGCGGAGGTGACTCACCTCCATCCCCGCGGGATATTATGAGGCCAGCGAAAGCAAGAGATAATACTACGTGAGTTGCGTGGAGTGCGATTGGACCGATAAGCAAGGTGTTAGAGCGGAGGTTGGTTTTGGCCCAATCGGTTGACGTGCTCACGTCAATCTGGGCACCTGTACTCTTATTGGCTGCACAAAACGGTGAGTCAGTGTTGACGAAGGCTGGGGACACAAAATAAGGATGTATTGAATCTTTCAGACTAGAACAAACCCAGTTACCCTTTGCCCCAAAAAAATTGAATAACTAATGATAGCACGATAATTAACTTGATAAATAAAGAGAAAGCGAAGTCATCGACCCTTGCACAGGGTATGTGTATGCATTGAGAGGTGCCAAAGGAAATAAAATGAAATGAAAAATAGAATATGCAAGCCAAAAAAAAAAAAGGAAAGATCGTTTTGGAACCTGCTTCCACCGAGTTCACGATAAGAGTATAAAAAAAAAAAAAAAAAAAAAAAGTCGTAAAGTATAAGTATGAAGGCCTGTTTTCCCGTGCCTCGTTTCCGCTTTTTCTTCTTCCACACATCCTTAACTTTTCGGTTACAACAACTAGTGCAAACGAAAAAAGAAAGAAAAGAAATACGTCTTTTCGTTTTTTCTTCTTCCTCTCGTCCAATCTCCCACTGTATAGTGAAAATCCGCATCCTGGCTTAACTGACTCCACGTTTTGTCATTTTGTCCGTTTTTTCAGTCTTCCTCCTCTTTTTCTGACGCTGTGCGTTTGGTCTTTCTCCTCCTTCCCTCCAAGCCTGTTCCGTCCTACCACACACACACACACAATCTAAAAACCATGACCGAAGCTGACGATTTCTTCTTGTCCACCACTGACTTGTTTGGTAAGGACCAGCTTTTGGCCAATTTCTTGCAAGACACTTCGTTGCCGTCGCCTCCTTCAGAAGGCAGCAGTTTCCCTTCACCGGTCAATTCGTTCTCGTCTTGTCTTGACAGCCCTCCCTTGTCAGCGACTTACTTTGACACACAATTCTTGCAAAACTTGCCCGCGGCCGTTTTGCAGTCTTTGTCGGCTTTGTACCAGCAGCAAGAACCGGAGACCAACTTTGACCAGTTTGTCAAGTTTGAAGATGAAGCTTTGGCGACTTCGACGACACCTGTCATGACGAGCCCTATCGCTGGTGCTGCCACGCCTCCCACCCCTACTACACCTTCCATGCCAACCAGCGTTGTCCCGGCGATTTCACCCTCGATTGCATCGAACGGTTCTGTGCCCGTGGTAACGGCTCCTGCCGCTCCCGCTCCTGCACCTACCAAGAAGTCGAGCCGCCCTCCTCGTCAGTTGGAATGTTTCAATTGTCATGTCACCAAAACGCCACTGTGGCGCCGTACTCCCGATCGTGTGCACTCGCTTTGCAACGCCTGCGGCTTGTATTACAAGCAATACAACACCCATCGTCCGTTGCACGTTCGTCAAAAGCAAACGGCCTCTTCACCCGGCAAACAGTCTTCGTCGGTGAATTCGTCCGCTTCGCAAATCCAAACTCCGGGTTCGACAACGGCGCTTCCCGCCATGGATGATGTGGCCAATCTTCTTCGACCTGTGCTGGCTCAAGCGGCTCCTTTGCTTCACGAGGGTGCATTGCTTCAACCATGTGTGCAGTGTCCTACGCCCCAAACTTGGCGCAAGAACGAACGTGGCGAGCATGTATGCAACGGTTGTGGCTCGGTTGGCCAACTTCGTCGTGAGCAGCGTCCCTTGGCAATTCGTAGCCCTCAGAAGCGCGCAAGAGAAGATACGGCTGAGTTGTTGCCTCGAAGCAAAGTGCCTCACATCGAACCTGCCCCGCCCAAGGAACTGAGCGATTTCGACGATTCTCGTTTCAAGGGACTTTTGGGTCGTATGAACAAGGAGCAAATGCACGGTTTCCTCGGTATGTTGGAACGTCGTTGTGCCATCTTACGATCCATGCTGTATCCTCAGCAGGACTGAACCTTTACACTTTCTTTCTTTATTTTTTTCTGTACACACATTTCTTTCTTTTTTGTCTGATATTTTTTTATTTCTCTTTTTTTATTACGCGTTCTCAACAAACGCTTTGTATATGTTCAACACATACCTCTTAAGAGCTCAACAATGCTCGTTCTATATCTATTTTTCCTTTTTCTTTTTTTTTCTCCACTTTCCATTTTACACTTACTACATCTCATCATGTCTCATTTCAACAATAATTCCTATACCGTTCAACACACTGTATCTATCATTCAACATCCCAATAAAAATATAAAAAACCTTTTTTTTTTTTGTTGATTGCCAAAGAAAAAAATCTTGCTTTTCTCAAAATGGATGAAGCTTATCTTGAATTTCAGAACCAATGAAATCGCCTTGTAATCATTTGTGTTGCCGACAAGTAAAACTTTGTTCGAGATTTTCGTTCTAAAGCATCTCATTTTAAAACGGGCACTCTTGGGCGGGAAAAAAAGACAAGGGGAATATTTGGGATGTGCTCATGAAACAAGATAATGTAGTCATTGCAAGATCATATATGTTGCAAAGGAAATGGTACGTTTTACTTGTTAATGTGGTTTTATGATAAGTCTCTAAGAAAAATAATAGTGTTTTCTAAAAGAAAAAAGAAAAAAAATACATGTAAAAAAAAACCTCTACTAAGCGTCACTTTTTATCAATTCAGACGTGTATATACACGAAACCGACTGCTTCAAAAAAAAGGGATAGACGTAATAGAGGGATCGTTAATAAAAGGGAATAGACAAGAAAAAAAAAGATTTAAAATAAATTATGAGTTGTTGTTGCTGTTCAAAACCTGGGCAGCGTGGGAAGTCTGATAGTATAAAAAAAAAAAAGAGTTAGACACAACGAACAAGAATTTCAATGATGATTACAATTATTATTTACCTGCACAGAAGAGAAGCGACGCATTTCCTTGGGATCGGAAGACATCTTCTTGCCCAAAAGCTTCTTGCCAAAGTTCTGAGGACGTTCCATGGACTTGAGCGACTTGGTGCGGTTAGCGTAGTAACGGGCAGAAGAGGCACCGGACATGGCGGAAGCGCGACGAGATTGACCAGCCATGGGAGTCTTGGTTTCCTGCAAGGTGTTCTTGGGTTCGAAGAGCTTTTGCATACCGAACTTGATAAGATCCAAAGGAGCGAACCAGACAAAGTTCCAGATCCAGGCAATACCGGCCCATCCCCAACCACAGCCCTGGATGTTAGTGAAGGGCCAGTCGGCATAGACAGCAATGAAGGTAGCGACCAACTGGGCGACAATGAAGGCACAGCACAACATGATGGAAGGACGTTCAGTGAAGAACCAGCCACGGGAACGAGTGACGAAAATCAAACCCTGAGAAATGGTCGACACTTGAAGGTACACAATGGAGTGGAAGATGGGATGGTTGGCTTCATCGTGGTAGTTCTCAACACCAAACTTGTCTTCGAAGAAAGTGGTCTTGAAGATAACAGCGAAGAAAACAACGGTGGAAGCAGTAAGGTAGAGACCGTAAGCGATGGCGTAACTGAAAATTTCACGCAAGTTCCAGGCATCGGGGTAAGGAGAAGGCTTGACACGATCGGTAGAGATAGTCATGATGGTACCATCGTTCAAAATGGCAAGAATCAAAACCATGAAGGGAGGGAAATCGTGCTGGAAGGCCCAGATAAGAATGGAGAAACCAACGACAACACGAATGGTGACGGAGCAAGTATAGATGGAGTAGTTGCGCATACGTTGGAAAATCTGGCGAGAACCAATGATGGCTTCAATGATAACGGAAAGACCGGGTTCAGTCAAGACAATATCGGCAGCAGAACGAGCGGCATCGGAGGCATCAGCGACAGCAATACCGACGTTAGCCTTGGACAAAGCGGGAGCATCGTTAACACCATCACCAGTCATGGCGGTCATGTGGTTCATAGCCTGGAGACGTTCGACAATTTCGTACTTGTGTTCGGGGTACACACCAGCGAAACCATCAGCCTGCAAGACCATAGTATCGACATCGCTGTAACCGGAACCGGCAGGAGGACCTTCCTTCAAAGTCTTGGACAAGAACATGTTATCACCCATACCGAGACGACGACCGGTTTCCTTGGCAATGGCAAGCTGATCACCAGTGATCATCTTAACCTGGACACCGAGAGCAATAGCGCGGTCAATGGTTTCCTTGGTATCGGAACGTGGGGGATCGTAGATGGGCAAAAGACCAATAAGACGCATACCGAGACCTTCACCGTCAACTTCACCGCTGGGGACTTCGTCGACAGCAACAGCGAGAGCACGGAGACCACGACGAGCAAACTCATCGACATCATCGTTGAGAGCCTTGATTTGAGCTTCGTCCTTATCACGGGAGCAGAGATCCAAGATGGTGTGGGACATACCCTTGGTAGCACGGTAAACCTTGCCATCGGCCAAGTTCTTGTAGGTGACTTCGGTACGCTTGTTGACGGGGTTGAAAGGTTCAAAGTGCATTTCCTCGATACCTTCACGGGCACCCTTGGGATCGGGCAAGGAGTTGACGATACAGAAATCGATGGCATCCTGGTTTTCGGTACGGGAAGCGTAGGCGGAGAAACGGATAATATCATCACCATCGAATTCGGCGTATTGCTTGATGGTAGGCTTATCGACGATCAACTTGTTCAAGGTCAAAGTACCGGTCTTATCGGAACACAAGATGGTCACGGCAGCCATTTCTTCAATAGCAGTGATACGGGTGACAATAGCCTTGTGTTCAGCGAGTTGCTTGGCACCAATAGCGAGGGTGACGGACAAGACAGTAGGCATGGCAATGGGGATACCACCAATGAGCAAGACAAGCATGTTATCAACACCACGACGGTAATCGTAATGGAAAGCAGCCCATTGAACAATGATGACGATGAGAAGGAAAATACCGATAGTGCAAAGACAGAAGTTACCAATGTTGGCAAGAATCTGCTGCAAGTGACCAACATCATCAGAGGCATCACCAACGAGCTTGGCAGCACGACCGAAGAAAGTGTTCAAACCAGTACCAATGACGACAGCTTCGGCTTCACCCTGTTTCACAGTGGAACCGGAGAAAACTTCATCACCGGCTTCCTTGCCAACAGGAAGAGATTCACCAGTAAGAGCAGCTTGATCAATAGACACTTGACCGTGAGCCTAATAGAAAGTAAAAAAAAAGGGGGGAGTAAGAAAAAAGTAACAAATAAAAATCATTAGCATATGAAAAAATTTGGGTAAATATTTGCTCTATAAATATATATAAAAAAAAAACTTACAGTAATCAAACGACCATCAGCGGGAATAACGTCACCGAGTTTGATGCTGATCACATCACCGGGAACAAGTTCAGAGGCTTCCATTGTTTTCCATTCACCATCACGCTTGACCTTACACTCAGGAGCAAGAGACTCCATGAGAGCCTTGACAGCGTTACCGGCTTGACGTTCTTCCATGAAACCAATGATCGAGTTGGCCAAAAGCAAAAGGACAATACCGATGAAATCGGGATAATCCGGGGGTTTGCCAAAACCGTTGGACATAGCAATAGCGACAATGGCAGCGGCTTCCATGACCCACGAAAGGGGATTCCACATGAAGCCCAAGAATTGAAGGAAAGGGTTGACTTCCTTCTGTTCGAGTTTGTTGTGACCGAACTTCTCGATACGTTTAGCGGCTTCGTCACTGGTCAAACCATCGGTGCTCGTCCTAAAATTGATGGAAAGGGAAAAAAGAAAAAATTTAATTGGTTGCGGTGAGATAAAAAATTGAAACAGGACGGGTTTTTCATTAGATTGGATATTGTTTATTTGGGACTCCACAGGAACCAGGGTCGTAAGGAAATGAAAAAAGTGAGACTGAGGAAAATGAGCAACTTACTGCAAGAGAACGAAGACGTCGGTTTGCTCCATGGTGGAAAGATCGAACTTGTCCTTATCGTAAAGTTCTTCGACGGTCAACGTCGTAAGGTTGCCGTCGAGATTTTGTTGGGGAGGCTTTTCAGTATTATTCTCTGCCATGGCCAATGATGGGGAGAGTAGAGGAAATTAAGAAAAATACGGGGAGTAACAGTTGCTAGACAAGCAGCAAAAGTATTGGATTATAAGGGAAATAAATGGCGAGGCAACAGGAAAAAAGGAAAGAAGAGAATTGCGAATAATCGACAAGGGCGGTTTCGTTTATATAGTCTTGATGGAGCTCGAAAATGGCAAAATTTTCTGGTTAAAGTCAGCCAACACACAAACCAGGGGGGGGTGTTGGGAAAGCGTCAGCGCACACCAATTTTTTTTTTTTTCCACGTCTCGGCTGTGAACCTTTTCCTCCTCTGGCAATCAGAAACCTTGCCGATTTATAATAACCTTTATACACGATTGCCCAAATTTTACAAGCAGTTAAGATCCCGCAAGCTTATATTACCAATCACAGATTTGGATCATCGTCATATTTTGTCTCAGCGCCCCGCACTTGCCCGCCACGTTTCCAGCTTATTTGTTTTCCCAATAACTGACGTCATAAAAGAGCAGGAACAAGCCTAAAAGTTAACAAACGAGCTTCCTTAGTTGATTTTTTTTATGGACTCATGTGCAGGGTTGAATGCTGGGTTAACAAAAACGAGAAAAAAATGTACGGAGATCTGAAACGGGTCCCTTAACCAGTGAAAGTAAAGGTGCCTTTTTTTTTAGGGTTGATCCTTGAATTTTCTGTGGTTGACCTAATATATTGGATCTGATGGCTGTCTCTGATCCTGATTTTTTTTACCCGCCTTTCCCTTCTTCACTGGCCTTAAAAAATTTCCCGTGCCTCCTTTTGAGGGCATTGAGATCAACTCATAAAAAGGATAGGGCAAGGTAAGCCATTCTATGTAAACATGTAGACTTTTGTTCTATCCTGCACTTTGACCATCATTTGACTTTCTATCGAAATGTAGTATAGAACGTTCCTTGCAGTATTTACCGTGGGGCCGGAGGACAAGGATCTAAAACCTATTCTGTGCCTTTTTTTTTGAATAGGTATTTCTCAGTCTCAGTAACTTTGACTCGCCGGTCATTCTATTATCCGTTGCTTTTGGTCCATTCGCCTTTACAAAATAAAATAAAAAAGTTTTTGGAGTGTAGGTCGGACCACTGGGGGACTTTTTGGCAAAGATCGGATAAGCGCGAAATCATGAAATAGTCACACAATAGCACATGTAATCTATACCTATTTTTCACACGGTATCAACAAAATCCTAAACGAGCGTCTTTCCACATGATCAGAAATATCCTTTCACACTTTTCCATCACGGTCGAAACAGAAAAAAAAAAATTGAAGTGTTTTTCAATGCAGTCATTCCCTTTGAGTGGTTAGAGTTTTATGACACTTAAACAACGAGCCACTCAAAGAGGGAAGATGAAATCAATAGGGTCATGGATCATAACCTATCACAGATCAGTGTCAAAAACATCGACGTCATTTGGTGAAAACCAATGGCTGCGCTTTTCTGCTGGGTGGTTTTTTTGTTGTTGTTTATTGTTTGGGCCCAATTTCCCGAAGTGACTTTATTGTTGGAGGGGGAAAAACTGTCCAATTATCGTGCATTAACATGACAACCGTATTGGAAAGTGCTGAATTTATTGCCAAGGTAGTGTCAAAACCATAAAGTTGATCATGATGATCACGAGGAATGAGGGAATGGTGGGATCAGCTTGAGTAACATTGAGGTCGACATTTTAGCACAGTGAACATGTTCACATTCCGTTAGAGAATATTGACAGTGCAGCTGAAAAGGTAATAAAACGAATTCCCCCATTGTTGTCCATATGCCCGAGGAAAGGCTATTGGTGGGGTAGAAAATAAGATGAATGGAAGGTTTTTGTTTCTGATACATGCACGATTCAGATTTTGGAAAGCATGAAAACCCGGGTCTACAGCACTAAAACTTGGAACGAACATGTACTCCATCCCAAAATTGCCAACAAAGATACGGTTGATTGGTGAGACCCTAAAAAAACGATTTCCAATGGCTGGCGAATGACATGGTCATTGAATCATTTGTTTACAGGATTTTCTTAATTGATCTGTTAAACTTCTCATTTTGGAGCGACTTGGACGTGGCCGATCAATCCACTCCGCATCCGGATCGGTACGCAGTTCAGTACAATGACCGACGTTACACTGGTTATTGGTCACTTTGTGCTGCGATCAATCGAGGTTAGTCGGACGATGAGATTTGGGGTGCATGATAGCACTTTGGTGAAGCACTTTTTTTTTCCAAGGCATTGATTTGGTCCTATCCTCCATTTTCCTGTGATGGGGATACCAATTTTTTATTTTTTTGCAGCTTTGGACAAAGGAATTCCAGTGACTCAACCGGCTTGGTATCGGGATGCTTCCGATGAGGATCTCAAGGCTGTATTCGAATCTGATACCAAGGAAACCATTCCATTACCCCAGGAACGCATCCGGTTAATGCGAGAAGCAGGTCATGTTTTATGTGAGGTAAAAACTTTCGTTTTTTTCTTTTTCGCTTCATCCTGGGTTTCTTTTTTTTCTGTTTCACTATGCATTGTTACCATTTTTATGAATTACCATTTATATGTTACGATAGAGATTTAGTGGATCATTTGTGAACTGTATTGAACAAGCGCAAGGCTCAGCACAAACGCTATTAGCGATAATTCTTGATCATTTTCCCTCTTTTCGGGATATCCATGAATTCCACGGCCGAAAAGGTAACGAAGCAGGAGCGAATAGAAATGCAAACGATCCCAACAGGGTGTGATGGCTGAGATTTAATTCGGGATTTTGTTTTTTTGGGTTGGGAAATTACCTTTTAGTCTATATTTTGAAGCGTGCCCAAATTCTGATTGCGGACTTATGGTAATTGAAGTCTATTTGTCCGTTGTACTTTTTTTTTCTTTTTCTCCATGCCCAAAAAAAGCTTACTGAGAATTCCGCTCATCGGTAACCGCTTCTCCGCATTTTGTATCTGATAACTGATACGTTCTTTCATAGGGCCTGCTTCGATGGACAAAGTTACGGCTATTTTAACGACATTGATACCATTACCATTTTTGCCGACTATCGGTAAGTGACTTTTTCTCTCGGCGGAAAAAAAAGGGGGGGTTGGGGCCGCGAAAACAACGGACTTGGACTGTTGTAATCAAGAAGGAAAAATGAGAAGAAAAAAAAAAATGCTCATACTATAACTGTTTAGTGTACCACAGGTGAATAATTCTTGCTGATTTGAACCCCACTTCTGGTCCAATAGCGAAAAAGTTTTCTCACCGTAATGATGATGCGGATAGGCACTGTATCATTTAGGCGTTTTACGGTATTCATCGGATCTGCTGGCCAAGCTCGAGAAGTATGAACGGCTACCAAGCGGTTCGCCCGATGAGGTGGAGATCCGCGGCAATTCTATTTGGTCAGTGGAACTGATCCGTCGGCGTATCAAGGAATTGCACCCCCACACCCATATCAATGCGATCTTGCTGGATTTCTATATTTGGGATCACGCAAAGGAGATACAGGACGATATGATCGTCCCAACTCATCGCACGCGCTCTCATTTTTATTAGACTGCATCTATTAACTTTAGAACTTGCAAACCATGACCAACTTCAACATCTGGTTTTCAAAGTCCCCATGAAAAAACCCAAATCACAGCTTGTATTAAAGCGTTACACAATGCATATCATTGATTGACACGAGTTCAACGCTTACGCGGCATGTGTCTAGCGTTCTGCAAACGAATATAAACATTTTTTTTTACTTTGATGAAACCATCTTATCTCGAGAATATCAAATGTCACTCCCATTACCCATCTAAGCCTGTGAATACCAAAAAGCTTATATTTCCTCTTCAATAATTTATCCTATCTATTCGCTGAGGTGGGACACGTGGAAATCGGGTATTTCTGGGGCACCGCTCGCTTAACACACCGACGACCATGTCGCAAAAAAGGCGCAAAAGATACCACTGGTTTGTCTGAAAATGACGCCTTTTTTTTTCTTTTGCGTTTTGCGTATCTTTTAAGGTTATAATCAGACCATATGACTTTTTTCTTTATTTCAGTTGTTGCCATTTTGCTCGTTTCCCTCTTCTTTGATGATGTAAGGAAAGCGAAAAAAAGAAAATTGAGCTTGCATGCTTGTGCTTTCTTTTTTTTCTGGTTCCGTTTGGGTTGGTTCCTCGGAGTATCTTTTAACGGCATTTAGTGTCCACACGGGTTGAAACGCCTTTGAGAAAAAAAAAAAAAAAAAGGGCTGTTCTTTCACCATGAGCACCCGATGTCCATAAAAAGATAGGAGTCAAAAAAAATCGCAATATAGCAAGAACATAAGGAGAGGGTGTAAACAAGATGCCGATGCGGATCGTTGATCAGGAAGAAAGATTATGTCCCGCTTCAGTAACCAGATGCAGCGGGCATTAAGATGCTTCGGGAACAAAGCTATATTCAAATTGCACCATTAAGAGCGGGAAATTGACGGAGAATTGCAACAAAGTCTATATTTCTTCAAATTATTCCGCTCCTGAAGATGATTTATTGCTTCAAATCCCAAGGTACTGCTTGTTCTGCGCAAGTTATGTAAGCCCACTTTTTTTTTTTTCCAAAGAAATGGTGTTATCCCGCTGGGTCAGATACAAAAATAATAGTATCGTATCATGTTTGTTACCAAATCAAGCAATGTGTTTTCAACAAGCGACACTAGACTTAAAATGGGAAGTGAAAATGATGAATGATGCTTTGTATAATAATTATTTACAATCGACAAAAAAGGGTTGTCTTGCCTGTGAGAAACGTCGTCATATCTCACATATTCGACCATGTCAGTCGTATAACATGATCCGTTTTGCGTTGAGTGGGTTTGATAAATCCCAAGAATTGCAGCTCCGCCACTGAACGGATAAATCGTGCACTAAACAAGGGGAAAGGGACCATTGAGAAAAAAAAATAACTTCCGCATACGGGGCCACCTGGAAAAAAGAAACACCATTTTCGAAAATCAACTTACTGGATCTCCTTTTCATCCAACTTGCGTTTGTCAGATCGTTTTTCGCGCTCAATGATACAACTGAAGGCGACAAACCAATCGTAGAGGTTGATCATGCGTCCACACTCGTTGTAGAGCTTATACAGAATACAGGTATCATGTTCCGTAGGCCAGATTTGGTCAGGATCCACATCTGCACAACAATCACAATGAAGATAATGATTGGATTGCATCAATGCCGTTTGAATCGTAGCACGTGGTTGAGCTTCCAAAGACTAGATAGAAGAGAGATGGGTTGGAATTGATGGGTCACGTCGATGCAATTAGGGGCGACCCAAATTTTACCTTTTCGTGCAATCTGACAGTATTGTAATACACCAACTCGTGCATCGGTAATTCAGTATAGGATCGCAAATAAGTGCTAGATTCAAATAAAATAAAATAAAAAAAGACATGGCTCTGTGAGTTGATACATGACAATACGCAACGATAAGGATGGAGGGGGGAGGAAGAAAAGATGGAATGACTTACGCGAAGAGGCGGTTACACCAATCGGCGACATCCATGGCAATTTTGGACCATTCTGCTCCTTTTTGCTTCAGATGCTCAATGGATTCTTGCTGCACACGCTGTGCGGTCTGTGTGGATCGTCGTTTTTCCAGATCTGGGAGTACCATGCCTTCCAACCGTCGTCTTTTGCGTTCCATGCGCTGGATAAACGCTTCGCTACCTTCCATAATCCGATTTAATCGGTTATCCAGATCGTCCAGAAAGGCAATTTCTTCTTTATGGTGTTGCATGTTTTCTGGATCGGACTCTACCCACTCCCGTAATTGATCCAGTAAATCTCCCAGGGCTTCCGGTTCCAGCTTTCGAATAAGATTCACAAGCCATTTGGTGACGCCTTTTTCACCATTCAATCCCTCGGGTGATTCGAGTGCCTCGAGAAGTAGCATCCGCTTCGATTTCCGCAATGCGGAAAACGATGGGAACTGAGCTTGTAATACGTGAAGCAATTCGAGACCCAGTTTAAACTCGCGCTGATAACGCAAGATGCTGCAGAGAAAATTGGGAATCGCTTCGGTTAAAAGATATTGATCGTCCGTCAGTAAACGATACGCCAATGATGGATCTTCCCCAGCCAGTTTTTCAACGTGAGTACGAAAAGACGACAACATACGCAAACGGTTGAAGTGATGTTCCCCAAGCATCGTTTTCTCGTACCACTCCTTGGTGATTTTCTGCATGCTCGTTTTATCATGGTACAGCAAAGTTAAAAAGATGGATAACGGATTGGCATAAAAGTGGTGCATCAGAGCATACTACAGCGGAAGTTATTAGCATATATAAATTGCGCAGTATGCAAATCTGCAAAAAAAAAAGCCTTCTTTTTTTTACCTTGATGCTGGCTGTGACCTTGCCTATGGAGAAATCATACAGATAGAAATGATCCAATAAGAATTTGTATGGACGACAGCCAAATTTCAGGGTAAAAGATTCCTCGAGAAAAATCTACGCAATCGATTATGAGTATATGAGAAAAAGGTATCTAGCGATGGAAATAGGATGGTTGAATATTACCTTTTCCAATATGCGATTGAACCATACATCGCTTTGTTGAAGCCAAAACTTCTCGATTCGTAATTGACTCAAAGTAAACTTGGTCAGTGATTGTTGAAATGTCTCCATGGATGTTGCCACGCCAATAACAAAACATATAGGAAGGCGCAATCGATATTCACTGTTTTTGGAGAATTCAGTAAAGCAAAAATCAGATAGCAATATTTCGAGCTTGCTATGGATTTACCTGCAAATGGCAATAAAATCTTGAAGCACCAAAGGTTCAAAAGACTCAAAATCCTGAAGGATAATGGCAAGGTTGGGAAGCGACCCTTGATCATGATGATGTTTGGTGATATGTTTATACCATCCTTCCAGAATTTGCATATCATAATTAGGCAATCGTGTCGGTTTGCGTCCTGAAGTCTGTAATCGATACACTGGACGAGGTGTCTGCAATGCAGGTTAGAAATCAGCTATCTCTTCCCCTTTTATACAAAAGGCTACAGTGATATTGTACCTCCAAAACATCGCTCGATCGAGATTGCGGATCCTCCTCCTCCTCCTCCTCCTCCTCTTCCCGGTCTTGATCTGCGTCGTCTCCATCGTTGGTTGTTAGCAAGTTGCTGTCCACAAACTGTGCGATCATATGTTTCATCATCGATTTCACGTTTGAACAGTCTTTCGAGTGTAGTAGAGAAACATAATTGGCCCTTTTACGCTTGTTCAATGGCGAAGTAGGCTCTCGCAAATGGCTCGCAATCTGCTGGAATTGGGTGTCGTGATCTGGGGTATTGATGCCTGCAAATACAAGGCCGGTAGGAATTTCGTGGTACGGTAATGCAAGATATCTAAGTATCTGATGTTAAAAATTGCAATATACACTCTCATAAGATCCAAAGCTTGAAAACTGAAGAAAAATGTACCCGCTCATGCCGTTGAACTGATCCTGGGCACGGTCGACAAACTGACTAATTTCTTCCAAGGCGACACGGTTCATGTCGAGTAAGATGGTCTAATCCAAAGTAAAGCAGGCATAAGTCAAATATAGCGTGACTTTTAAGGAAAGAAGATCGTACATCGATGAGCGTGCTTGTTTGCTGCCATGTGGATTCAAAAGCGCGTTTGCGGGTTAACATGCCGTCCACCGATTCTTCTCGATCAAATAACTGCTGAAAGCCATTATGTTCGATGGCATTGGAGTCGGTAGCGCGTCGGGTGATTCGAATATCTGCAAGAAATAAGTTAAGAAGCTAGATCATCTTGGGCCAATGGAACACCAACTTACTTTTCGAAATTGGTCGCTTCCGTTTCGAAGATGCTTTGATCGAGGACGATCCCGAATTTGGTAACACCAAGAAACAGCTCTACAGGAATATAAGTAAATATTGAGCTTTATCCTTTTAGTACAGAGTCCTATTATGCACCTCAGAGATTGAGTTGAAATCGTCCATGGTTATTGCTCGTTCCTGTAGCTCGATCAACCCTTGGTTGTTGAATAACGCAGCAACAGAAAAAAAAATCGCGACTATAAATTTTTTCACTGCCCGCACTTGCCACATTTTCAACGATTTCCGCCCCTATCGACGTTTTATCTGGCAGAACCATGCTGGGCTGGTCATTTACGATAAGGCAATGAATAAATGATATACCGTAATCGTGTGTCGTCCCTAGTACAATTTCTGTTGGATTCACTCCAAAGGGGCCTTCCAGGCGTGCTTTACTCTCTGTTATTCATTAAATTTGCTTTTGTTGCCTAAATTACAAATACACGATAGTCATATTGATTAAAATCATAATATTGAAAAAAAAAAAAGTCAAATGACAATAAGTGGAGAAGCAACAAGCCAGGTATGAAAACATGTCAAATATGTGGTCAGACGGACGAACGGAAAACAGGGAAAATAACGAATCAGTATGGTAATAAAGCAAAATTATGGAGGCAGTTAACGTACTTGCAAGCCTCAAATGCCTTTGTTGCCCGGAAGAATCAATCAAGTTTGGACGAAAATACGTAGTATACTTCATCGCTTGTCAATAGGCAAAAACTCGCACCGGAGCGGTCGACGATTGTGAGTTGATAAGCAATTTAATGAAATCAATATTTACCGGTTTTATGTTTCAATATCAACGAACGTGAGCTCGCTTTTGTCCAGTTACTATAAAAAGGCAACCTCAGAAACGAAGATGATTTTGAAAGCTATGAGAGAAGTTAAGGAAAAGGACAGAACACTGATATACACGTTTTGGGCGCCAATTTCAATAGGCCATTCAACGCGTCACTTAGCGGGAGTTACTCGTGAGAAGCCTCAACATATCAAATGACACAGGAAAAAAAAGGAGCCGCTAAATGAGCAGGCATAAGGGTGGCAGTTCGCAATGCATTTTATGATATGAATTATCTCCCCTTGAGCATCAAATCACAACCTTTATATGAAGCAGGCTTGGAAAGCCGGGATTTCGATCATGGAGCGGCGGTTTCAAATAGATTGCGACTATGTGCAGTCACACTGCCAATCATGACGATTTCAGAATGACTTCATGGAAGAAGAAAAAAAAGATTATTCACCGCTTCTTCTTCCATTTACTTAATTGCATCAACTCCATAATGAACCCTCTTATCTACAGACGAGCCCTCATCGGCCGAAACTTATTACAAAGCAGACTGTCAGTCGCATGCTACTCCAACAAGAAGCAATCAGAAAGAGATCCTACAGAATATCTCAACAAACTCAAAGACGACGAAGTCAGCTATCGCCAAAAAGGTGAAAAAGTCGACGACGATTACTGGCAAGGCGAGCTATTAGACAAGAACAAGCCAAAAAGCTCTAATGTGGATGTAAGTCTATTGATATCATGTCGTGACGAAAACTTGCTGTTTCGTACTGATCAATCACATCTTATGTATAGGTGGAAGGCTTTTCCAGCAAAGATAATCCCCACGAGGCAGAGTCAACCACCAACAAAGAACGCAAGAGTATCAAAAAGCAGTAATAGCTCATAGTAATATGTAATAAAAAAAAAATTCATATGCTTTGAGGAACATGACTTGTGCTTCTGGAAAATGCAAATGCACAATTTTCCCCAATGAGAAATTTCTTCCCCGCCACTTTCCTAAAAAGGAAATGAGACTGTCTTTTTGGGCCCAGAGGTTTTTGTAAACAGGCGAGCTTTATTTTTCTGTTCTTTGACCCCCTGTGCTCTACAGAATACCAACTGCCTAATTGTCATGTTTCGCTCCTGGATTCAAGTGTGTGGCCGACGATTGTATTCCACCGAGGCAACGCCGAGTTACTTTGTTTCAAGAACGGCCAACAAGGGATTGCCCGTTTATTCCGAATTCAAGAATGGTGGCACCCAGCAACTCACCATCATTCGTCGCATAGAAGGCAATGCCGAAGCTTTGAAAAACGAAATTCTGCCATTGTTCCCTGACGCACCCAAAGACCATATCCGAATCAATCCTACCAATAACCATATCATTATCAAGGGTGTTTACGTCAACGAGATCAAGGAATGGTTGGTCAACAAAGGATTCTAAATGGCACTGTTGACAGTGCATTCTGAGGTGCACCTTGTGTTATGGTTTCATCGTGTAAATATATTTTCATCTAGAAAGACATCCAATAATACAAAAAGAATTGTCATTGGACGAACGAGTCAAAAATAATTGTCACTTTCCTTGTGATACTCCTTACAATGACAGGGACTCTTTGTTTTTTTATTTATTATTGTTGTTTTTCCGTCATTATGAAGCCCTGACTTGATCGCTTTTCTTTGTGTAGTCATGTGTTTGCAATGGCTGATGGGGTGTATATGGAGACAGTCCATTCGTAAGTGAAAAGGTATTGATTGCACGACAGCCGATCAAGATCAGGCTGTGCCATGCTCTGAAAACATTTGGAAGTTTGATGGTTGCATATTTCGATTCGTCGCTTATTGTGGATTCGTATCGTCAGTTTTCTTGACAGATGCTGGCAAAGGAATTGTCTAGATTTTTGCAATAAAAAAGTTAATGGTGGGGTAAAGATTAATGGGGACACGCGCTAATGATGGTCATTGCAGTACCAAATCAGGCTTCATGATCTAGTTTTCAAAACGTTAGCCATTGTGGAAAAAAATAATTAAAAAACGAAGCCTGGATGTACCTTGTTGACGACTGTACTGCCAACGGCCATGCCTGTGCAGAGAACGAAGAATGTAGTAAGCTTGCTAATCTTTGCCATGGCGTGGAGAAAAATGGAAGAAAAAAATTTTGCCTTGTAAGCGAAATTAACCAAAAGTAGGGAAAAAAAGCTGTCAAAACCACATCGAAATTCGGTATCGCAAAAATATCTGCAAGGCTTGCTACGTGAACATCCCCCATTACCATATACGATAGCAAGACAAGAAGATGAATAATATTTTCCTACATGGTACCTTTGACGTTACATGGCGGATGGACATGTTTCTTTAGGTGGTTTATTCGTGGTTATGGAAACCGGCGGATTTCGGGATATACTCCGGTTGTTTTGGTCCTTTTGCAGACAAAACTCGGTGTATCATTTTTATGAACCAGGAGGTTCCGCATGTTCCCATATATGATATCAGGATAAATATCAAGTTGAAACGTAAGCAATTCAAACTCACAGGAATGGGGTCTCTTTTTGCTGACAAATATGATACGCTGTCACGGAACAAGACAGTATCCACCTACTGTTCACTTGCAGAATTTCATTCGGACACTTGATATTCTTAAAGGACTCACTGTGCCGAACAATCTCAAGCTGCGCTAGTAAATTGTACTCCTGTCAAACGGTTGCGGAAAAAACACAATAACATTATCGTTGTGCAGATTAAGGTATCCCCAATGCCAATAATATTTCGCTCGATTAACAAAAGATTGCTGCTTCTCACAAATATCAATTGCAACTGATTATAACAGCAATGTCTTTCTGCAAATTAGCGTTTTCCCTGTCCACCACACCTTGTTACAATCGATGGAAAAAGCACGGTTCACTAATGCATGTCGTGGTCCAAAACCTATGACGAGACAAACGCGTCGGGGTGTGAAAATAACATGGGTGGATGGAATTGGCATGATTCTGACTTCATTACTGAATCATAGTTTATCCGATTAAGGGTTGCCGGTGATCTGTCATGATAACAAGGGTTTATAACCTATTTCAGTTGCCACTAAAAAATTATCGTACTTTTTAACTTCTCTATCTCTCCTAATTACCTTGGAAGAAAAAGAAACCGTTCGTTACACGCTACAAAAAATGACAAAGATTAGCATTGGCCAGTATCTCATCAACCGCCTGAAGGAGCTCAATATTGACACCATTTTCGGCTGTCCTGGCGATTATAATATGGTTTGTATGCTTTGCTCATAGATGCCTTGGCAAAGATAGCTTATAATATTCGTTTTCTTATTTTTCTCGCGCAATCAGCCATTGTTGGATATTATTGAAGGTAAAAAAAAAATCGATGTGTCCTTGAAAGATGACGGCATTGCACAGTTATTCACGCTATGATGAAACGAGCAGATGATAAGGACATGACGTGGGGAAATGATGCAAACGAATTGAATGCTTCGTATTCTGCTGACGGTTATGCTCGTGTTCGTGGCGCCGGTGTAAGTATCCAAGTATCCAAATCATAAAAACCGGTTTGGGTTTTTTTGAATGTTTATTCACCTGTTGAATAACAATGGCTAGGCTGTCGTCACGACTTTCGGTGTGGGAGAATTGTCGGCAGCCAATGGCACGGCTGGTTCTTACTCTGAAATGATCCCTGTTCTCCATATCGTTGGCGCGCCTAATACCAAATCTCAAGCTGAAGGAGCCATTTTACATCACACTTTGGGCAACGGCAACTTCCGTGTCTTCCAAGAAATGTTTGCCAACATTACCGTGGCCAATTCCATGATCAATGAAACCAATGCTTTCAGTGAAATCGATCGTGTCATCAAGAAAATGTGTCTGAGCCGTCGTCCTGCCTATCTTGGTATTCCTATCGACCTCGTCACCAAGGAACTTGACGCGGGCGACATTAAGCCTTTGGATCTTTCTTTGCCCCCGAATCCTCCCAATACGCAAAAGGCCGCTTTGAAAGCCGTGCTTGATGCTATCGAGAAAGCCAAGAATCCTATCATCATGGTAGATGCTTGCACCCTCCGCAATAACCTCACGCGTGAAGCAAGAGAATTCGCTGACAAAACGGGATTCCCCACCTACGTGGCTCCCATGGGTAAAGGAGCTGTCGATGAATCCGCCGAGCACTATCGCGGTTGCTACAGTGGTTCCGTGTCGTTGAAGGAGATCGCCAAGGAAGTTAGAGATTCCGATTTGATTTTGGAAATTGGCTCGGTGCAATCCGACTTTAACACAGGTGGCTTCTCGTATGAATTGGATCAGGACAAGATTATCGCCTTCCACACGTTCGCCACCATTGTCTGTCGTGCTACCTACGAAAAGGTCGGCATGTCCGAGTTCCTCCCTCTGGTTATCAAAAACTTGCCCGAAAAGAAACGCCCATTCACTTTGGGTCCTCGTGCTCAACCCAACCCACCGGATAATGGAACGGAAATCACCCACAGCTACTTCTGGAACAAGATGCCCGACTACATGCCACCTCGATCCGTGGTGATTGCTGAAACCGGTACCGCTGAGTTTGGCGTTTTCAATATGCGTGCACCCAAGGATTCCACTTTTATCACTCAGGTCCTCTGGGGTTCCATCGGTTACACCGTCGGCGCGTGTTACGGTGCGGCCATGGCTGATAAAAGCCGTCAGGTCTTCCTGTTTGTCGGTGATGGTTCCTTCCAAATGACAGTCCAGGAAGTTTCCGTGATGATCCATCAAGGTGCCACACCCGTGATTTTCCTTTTGAACAACGACGGTTACCTCATTGAAAAGTTGATTCACGGTCTTCACCGAGACTACAACAACTACCAAATGTGGAAGTATGCCGACACCATCGAGTACTTTGGCGGTAACATGGAACATAATCACAAGTTCCCTCGTCACGCCAAGATTGGTGTGCAGAGCAAGGTCAGTACCCGCCAAGAATTTGAAGCCGCCATGGAAAAGGTCGGTCAGCAACCAGGCCATATCCATTTCCTTGAAGTGATCATGCCTCGCTTCGACGCTCCCAGAGAATTGTTGTTGCAGGTCGATACTTCCGAAAACCGCTAAACCTCATTTTTCACTTAATATGTATGGCTTGATGAGAACCATGTTTATATTGTAACTACCTTGTCGATTATTTTCAAACCCCCAAAACTCTTCAAATTACGTTTCTGTTACAGTAATTCATGTGCATAATGAAAAATGTAAATAAATTGATCAAATGATACTCGGTAGATTGTTGGTTACCGACGATGGTAAAAAGCGCTAATTTATTTAGAAGATGTGAATGCATTGGATGATTCGCATATAGTACATTTACAACAGATGAGTTGTTTATCAATACGCTACTGCGTCTTCTTTGTCTCTGAAGACGTTCCATCCGTTATTTCCTTTTGCTTTGTTTCGTCCTTGGAAGTATCTTGTCCCACTTGACCGTACTCATTGGCTCGTGTAGGATCCACCTTGTAAATATATCTTTGATAGATGTAGATAACAAATACAGCATCATCACGTAAGCACGCAATACGATGTAACGTAGGCATCTTGATCACGAAAGCAAACAAGTCATCTAAAGTAAAAATATCAGATCAGTACATGTCAGTCATACTTCTTGCCATTACGGGAGTTTACCAATGAATGTGTTCAACGACTTGTACATCAGTGTCTTCCATGGCATGTGAGCAACCTACAAAGAACGGTATATGAATTGATCTGCATTTGACAAGCCGCCATTCATTGTTATTTTTTTTTTCTACTTACACTCTTTAGACGATAATTAATGTAGAGCTGTGGAAGCATGGTGATGAAACCAAACATGTATACAAACTCCACCAAGGTTTTGAGAACAAACGAATACCAGCCTTTATGTTCATCGTATAAAAGGGAGTACACGGCATATCCGAACAGCAAAGGATAAGAGACCCACATCAGATACTTGAACGCAATCGCATCGTACTTGGCCGTCTCATCCTCTTCCTGAGTGTTTTGCACAGGTTGCGACCGCAATGAAGGGAGCAAGGATCCGCGAGTCCAGGTCAGTTCGTACTTTAACGCTTTAAACACTTTCCAGATTTCAATGAGCAAACCAAAACCTTGTCCAATGAGAATCATCCAAGAGGTTTCCTGGTTGTTGTCCATGAGATATAAAAAGATGACGATCTGGAAAAAGATGTTGACAAGGATACTGCGGACAGACACACCAGCACTGTTGTCCTTTTTCTTCCAGAAAGTGATATCTTTTTTTTGGTGTATAATGTATGTGTAAGTATGACATTGTAGCACTATTCATTTCTCTCGAAACTCACCGTTTTTGAAGGCTAACATTTCAAACAAACTGTGGAGCAAGCTTACACAGATGGTGGTGCCGAGCAGAATGGGGTTTGTCTCCATAAACATGCGCTTCACTTCATCCATTTCGCCCGATGACATGCCACCAAAGGCACTGTTGGCTTGCTGTTTCATGCTTTCATCAAAACTGGCGTAGATGTTGAACTTCCACATGGACAAAGGTTCCAAATGGATAGTCAATGGCAATACACTAAAAAACATCACAAAGTTAGCATGGACAATGCCTTGCACGGTTGTTTGGGATCCTCGCCCACTTCCCCGGATATACCTGACAGTGGAGTTCACAGGATAAGCGTTTTGTTGCAAAAGCCAAAAGTCGTTGGGGTAGATAATGGGTCGGTAGAAACCAACTTTTCCAGTCTCATCTCTTGTCAAGCCTGTATCAAACGGTATGTCTGTAAAGAGAAAAAAAAACCCCCCAGCGCAATTAATCACATGTTGCTGTAAGACCGGCTACATCTGTATACGAACGTTTCAATACAGGTGGTTGCAAGGTGTTCTTTGGAATGACTGTCTTTGAATCGGTAATAATGGACAGAGTCACATTTTCATGCCAGTAAGCCACTAATGGAGCACGACGTGTGATATTGGCCAACAACCCAGAAGCAAGCAATGATTTACCGGTGGATGTGTCCTCTTGTACTTCTTCCTCCTATATCTTTCTATTAATACTCACACATCCTCAATATCAAGCCGATCACAATACTTGCATGTGTGGGTTCATCGTCTTGTTGGTCCTCTTCGTGGTCATCCTCGTCTTTGCGATGCAGCAAATTTCTTTCCTTTACACTTGCTTTCTTTGGATAGAATTTCGTCAAAGCTACATATCAGCAATGAGTCACAAAATATTTAATGCGTAAACTGGCACTCATAAACTTACTGTGACGGAGATAAACCACGGCATCAGGAATAAAGGACGGGTTTTCGGGATTGATCGGCATGTGCTTACGGCGAAGGAAAATATGGGCATACAATGTACCATTATGTTGCAGTGACTGTAAAGGTGTTTGCAAACAGTAAGCCATTACGTTTCAACGAGATGTGCTGATCGTCTTTTTAGCACTTACATGTGTTGTCGGAATCCAAACTTTATGTTCGCGACGATCAGCAGCATCGCCCAAAGTGATATCTTTGGCTTGCCACACAGGTGATGCATGATAATCGACGAAATATTCGTCTTCGTTGGCGTAAATATCGAGATCCATAGGTGTTCCCTTTTGCCACAGTGGTACAAATGTATTAGGTAATGATTCCAAAGGAATCATGGGACGATACGGCGAGTAATACACGCCTTCGGGTACAGGTATGTCGAACTCGGCAAGAGAAGTCGAAACGCGAGTCGCATCCTCGTTGCCTGCCATGGAAGCGGGTCCGGGCTGCGTTGTCGTGGGCTCCGGAGTGGGTGGTTTCTGCAATCCTAGATGACAAATCGTGAGAAATTGTTACCTTCCAGTGAACTCGATCATGGGCTTCTTACCACTCGTCAGCCATCTCATAAGGAGCCAAATGGCGACCATTTGAATAATCGATCGTCCATACTTGGCAAAGAATCCTTGATCTTGGTTTTGTTGCTGGGGCTGCCGCGTCGCCTGGGGACGAGGTGCCTCAGTTTTAGGTGAGCTGGATGGCATGATCACCAGAATACCAAAAGCAGCACGTCTGTAGAAGAAGAAGGATATGCAACCAATGAGGAGGCAAAAAAGCGCAAATCAAATAACGGCGGGAGAAATTTTTTTTTCCACAGGCAAAAATCCCAATCGAACAAAACCCTTGTTACACACACATCGATGCAATGCAAGACTTTTTACATTTGGTCAACAAACCCTCTCATGAAATATTGTTGGTTGAAACAGACCTTTATTTATTTGCATATATGATAAACATCATAAAGAAAGAAACAAAATAACCAAAAGAAAAAAAAAGGGAAAAAAAAAGAAGAGCAATAATGTGTAATGACTAAACTAGCTTTCCTCTACCCTCTGTCTCTATCTCGACGTCGACTACGATCTCGGCTACTTCTATCTCTACTGCGATCCCTGTGCCGATCTCTATCTCTGTTCCGACTTCTCTCCCGATCTCGGTCTCGGTCTCGATCTTTACCTCTGTCGCGATCCCTTTCTCGATCTCGATCTCGATCTCTTCCGCGGTCCCGATCACGGTCGCGTTCTCTCTCACGATCTCTTTCTCGACCACCTCTTTCTCTGTCTCGATCATCCTCGCGGTCTCTGTCATAGTCTCGGCTGCGATGTTTCGACGAATGACGATGACGTCCTGAATCTGATTTTGTCGTAGAGCGTCTGTATCTTTCTTCTGGTATGATGTGTGATCGCACTGGCGAACGGCTAACGGATGAATGACCTCGTCGTCCTGTATCCTCGGCACGTACAGGTGAGCGTGAACGACTGCTGGATCGTCGACGGCTTCGGCTGCTGGGAGAGCGGGAATGGCGATATCGATTGGAAGAATAAGTTTGTCGTGAGGGGCTTCTGCGATCACGTTCGGCTCTTGGTCCGGTGGGCACAGCTTCTTCGGGGCCTGCCATATCGATGCCCTTGGTCGACATGTTGGTGTCACTATGCTCAGCTTCACTTCGTCTCTCGCTCACAGAATTGCTTTTCGGTCGCATGTGAGGTACGTAACCACCTCGACCTCGTCCTCGTCCACGCATTGGTCCACCTCGACCTCCGCCGCCCATTGGAAAGGGAGGCATGCCATTCGGTCCACCAAATCCAAACATCTCTTGCGGTGGCATACCAGGGAAAGGCATACCTGGAGGAAACATGTCATCTGGACCGCCCATGAAACCGGGAGGGAAACCAGGACCTGCCATATCAGGTGGCATGCCTACATCAGACAAAATCAGTTACTACGATCTTTTTGTTTCATTGCTTATATCTCACACCCTCCTTTTACGCAGTGCAAAAAAAAAAAAAAAAAAAAAAAAAAAAAAAAAAAAGAGGGAAGACTTACCGAATCCCCATTCTGGACCGCCCATGGCCATGGCCATCATTGGATTCATACCCGGTGGAGGCATGCCCATTCCCATCCACGGCATATCAGGTCCAGCGCCACCAAACATGTCCGCTGACGGTGCTCCCACCATCATGGCAGGATTGCCAGGGAAACCCATTGCATCCATGTCCATGCCGGGCCCAGCTGAAGGTTTATGCTTGGCGCGAGTAGTACGTTCTTCTGATTCGAATACCTGGATAGGCAAACCACCTTTTGTCCCGATAGATGACTGTTTGCTAGTTGGTGGAACGGAATGCTGCAACTGGGAAAAAAAAGACAGAGTGAGCTTAACGGGTTCGTCGGTGTTATGCTTTGTTACAATAAGCGTCTTTTACCGCTGACGTGTCAACATCCATAGACTCTTGCTGTCCCGATTGCGAGGACGATTCGCCCATATGATCCTGATCGTTTTGCTGTCCGTCCTTCTCCATGGCGGCTTCTTGTTCCTTAAAGGCTTCAATGGCATGTCTCAGTGACCGATTGGGGATCAACTGCTTTGCCTGAATATCTTCGGTGTCACAAAGGGGACATTTGCTGGTTTCGGTAAGCTTGTCCGTAATACCTATGAAGAAATAAAGAAATCTATTGAGCTATCTGTCGCAATGGTAATTTTCTTTGCAAGAATTTAAAGATGATGGCAGCCAAAATAGGATCGTTGGGAAGATGCAAAATGATTGCATCGTTCCCAGGGGAGCATTGTCCATGACGCGTCATTTAGGCTCATTCGTACTTCTATCTCTTCTCTCTTTCTTTTTTTTTTGTGGTCCTTTTTTTTCTTTTTCTGCGAGCCTCGTCTCCTTCATCATATCCTTTTTTTTTTCTCCTGTTCTTTGCACGGTATCCATACAGGCAATGATGTTTCCCCGAAATAAGTTGGAAGATAGGAATACGTATTGCAAGAGCATGTATCTTGTCACTTGCCTGACCCATAAAATACAAATATACAATAACATAAACTAATAGACAGTCATAATACGTACATTCTTTACAAAAAGACTTGCCGCAGCACGGAATAAGAACAGCCTCCTTCATCAGCTTGCCACAGATACGACAAATAAGTTCCGTTGGTCTCTGATGCGCCTGATGTGCACCATTTTGATCCATAGTCCGTTGCTGAGCACTAATAACATGGTAGAAAAAGATTCAGTGTCATGTATCTATTAAAAGGATACTTGAAAAAATGGGTTTGTGTTTACCTTCCATTGGTGCTTCCAGCGCGAGGCACAAATTGGCCTTTCGGTACATTGGGACAGTAATAAATCCAGTGACCTTCAAAACGTAACGTTAGTTTTTAAATCGACAAATGAGAGAGTCCTAGCTCCCGCGAAAAAAGAAGGCTCGGCATGTACCTGGTTGTCCACATTTGAAGCACACATAGCCGATAGGAGGTTTCTGAGTTTCTGGAGGAATGGTCGTGGTACGTTGCATTTGGCGTTGTTGTTGTTGCTGAAGTTGTTGTTGCATTAGCATTTGTTGCAATTGTTGCTGATATTGAAATTGAGGGTTCATCATCATATTCATGCCCATCATAGGATCGAGTCCCCCCATGGCGTTCATGGGTGTTTTACGAAAAGATTGAGGTGATCGTCCTTGCTGTGAATCCATTCCACTAATGTAACGGTATAATTAAACTTTGTTAGCACTGATTCAGCAAGAAAGGTACTATCAAAGTCGTCGCTTTTTCACTTCAGAAAGAAGAAAAGAATGACGCGCGCAAGTTGAATGGTGCAGTGAGTCCTGATATGGTTTTACTTACGCATTCACAGGAGGAGCTGGTGAGTCTTTCCAAGCGTCGGAATTTCGTTGAAGCATGGCCTGAATCTTTTCATCTTCACTTCTGTTATCGTCGTCCGCCATGGTATCAAATAGATCCGTAAACTGGGTCCAGAAAAGTAAGTGGGGAAAGGCACTTGAAAGAAAAAATAATGGCCCAAAAGAAAAAAATATAACGGTCGTAAACAAAAAGCAAGTGACGTTAATTTTCTACATCCGCTTTGATCACTTTGCCTTTTTTAGAGATCATGGTTGGCTCGGGAAAGGTTTGAGAAAAGTTCTCTCATCACTTTCCTTTTTCGGACACTTCGGAGGGTTGCAGAAAACCTTCCTGTTCCTTTTTCCACTTGCCAGGTTTTTCTCCATTGCCTTTTCTTCCATTCCTCTTGACTCACCTCGACCCTTATTTACCTTACCTTTTTATCACCTTTTCTCTGTTTATTATTTTATATCACTCTCTCACTCACTTGTCGCTACCTCTCGCGTCATGTCAAACTCGGATTTTCTTGCTGTAAGTGCCGCCCGTGGGGTTCACATGGTGTATTTCGCACTCCATTCTGAACCATATCTCGCTGTTTGACAGAAAGCCATAGAGATTGTAAAAAAGGCTACCGAAGAAGATCACAAGGGCAACTATAAAGAGGCCTACACACACTATCAAAATGCTCTCGAATACTTCATGGCCGCTATCAAATGTAACCTGGCACAAAACCGCCAAGCGAAAGCTCATGCTCCATGACTGACCTTATGCTGCCCATTGCATAGATGAAAAGAACGATCGATTAAAGGAACCGATACGAAAACGCTTTGTTGAATATCTCGATCGTGCAGAGATGCTCAAGGAATTTTTGAATACCCAAGAAGACAAGAAGCAGCAAGAAGTGGTCGGCGCCAATGGTGCCAGCAAGAAAAAGACGTACGTCCCTCTGGTTTCATACTTTTTTCGTTCTGTTGTAAAATGGTTTGGCTGACTAGTTTTTCATTATTCTTAGTAAAAAAGGTGATGGGGATCAAGACGATGACGATGACCCTGAATTGAAAAAGATGCGTGCGAGCTTAACTGGTAAAGATCTATTTCCAACTGTTTTGCATGCGATGGGAAAACTTATCTTTTCTCTTCCAGGTGCCATTTTAACGGAAAAGCCGGATGTCAAATGGTCGGATGTAGCTGGCTTGGAGGGAGCAAAGGAAGCGATCAAAGAGGCAGTCATTTTACCTATTAAATTTCCTCATTTCTTCACTGGAAAACGTAAGCCTTGGCGTGGTATCTTGCTGTACGGTCCTCCCGGTACAGGTAAATCCTATCTTGCAAAAGCGGTCGCTACCGAAGCAAACTCCACCTTTTTCTCCGTCTCCTCATCGGATCTGGTATCCAAATGGCTCGGTGAAAGTGAAAGGTACGTTGTGTCTCTCACATTCAGTCGCAACGACGGTGTTACAGAAGGAACTCGTGGACTGATGAGATGGTTAGATTGGTGAAACAACTTTTCCAAATGGCTCGAGAAAATAAACCAGCCATTGTGTTTATCGACGAAGTGGATTCTTTGTGCGGTGCTCGAGGTGAAGGCGAATCGGAAGCGGCTCGTCGTATCAAGACCGAATTCCTGGTGCAGATGAACGGCGTGGGTAATGATATGGACGGTGTTCTCGTGCTTGGCGCCACCAATATTCCTTGGCAATTAGATGCCGCCATTCGTCGAAGGTAACGCCAACAAAACTCGGTGCTTCGGTTGTTCGCCTACTCATCTTCGTCTCTCTTTTTATTTTCCATAGATTCGAAAAACGTATTTATATCCCTCTTCCCGATGCTGCTGCGAGAGCTACCATGTTTGCGCTCAACGTTGGATCGACCCCTTGTCATCTGACGGCTGCAGATTACAAAAGATTGGCCGATATGACTGATGGGTAAGTGTATTGCTATTGTCTTTGTATGTGTATCATGGCAACTGATGGTGATTTTTTCTGTTATCAGATATTCTGGTTCGGATATTGCTATTTTAGTCAGAGATGCGTTAATGCAGCCGATTCGTAAAGTTCAAATGGCTACACATTTCAAATGGGTAAGTGATTCTTTTTGTCTGCCGCTGATGCCGAGATTTTTTTATTGTTATTTTCTTACATGTTTGCCCGTTTATCTCTTTAGGTGGAAGCTCAGTCGTGTCTGGAGCCGGGTGTGACAAAACAATACTTGACGCCTTGTTCACCGGGAGATCCTGAAGCGAAAGAAATGACTTGGAATGATATTGAAGCCCATCAACTGCTGGAACCTGAATTAACGCTCCAAGATTTTCTGAAAGCGGTGCAAAATTCACGGCCAACAGTGAACGCGGCAGATATTCAACAGCACGTTACTTTCACAAACGACTTTGGTAAGACACTATTACACTGATATCATACAGATTACCTGCAAGAAATGGCTAATAATTGTTCTCGAAATACAGGTCAAGAAGGATAAGGAAGAAAAGAAAAAACTTGAAGATTAGTGCACCGATATGACATGTCACAAAACAAGAAGATTATATTCATACAATACACCTTTACACCTTTACACTTTTATGGTTTTTTTTGTGGTTTTTTTGTCACGAACATTGGGAACTATGATGTTTCTCGTCCACGCTTTGTGTATAGCGTAAGAAATTCCACATATAGACATGGACTTTTCTTGATTTGTATTCCGTAACACTAGCCACAGTGGAGGAAAAATTAGTGATATCACTGCTGTAACTCAAACACAATTCATAGCCGCGATTTTCACTTCTTCTTGATGATTTCTGTTGGCTGGAACGAACATTTTATTTTTACGATATGCATCATGGTGATCCATAAAAGCAACAGGGACAGGATGGTGCGCGTCTACCCTGGTACACGCCGTCGGCGGTCAAACGCGGAATTTTTGGATATTTTTCACGCGTTTTACGCGCCGTAAATGATGCTGCGCCAGACGTGGCGCATTAGACAGGTCAAATCCAGTTATGCCTTAAAACCTACCAAAAACAAAAAAAAAAAAAGAACAAAACCGTTTCCTCTCATCGTCTGTGAACGTCAATAAAAAAAAAAAAAAAAAATGTGTGCTAAACAGAAGCGCACACCCAGAATTGAGAGAACCGAAAATTTTCAAATTCCTATAAAAGAAAAAAAATGAAAGAGTTTCTGACTTTACTTCTCTTTCACCCACTTGTCCTGAAATCACACCGTTGCTCATGAGTGCACCTATTAGCGGTAACAACCTCATGCTTAAGGGTACTGCCCGTACCATTACTGAATTCTTTGGTAAGTGAAATAAACGACATGTACCGTGATGGGTGTAACCGACCTGATCTCCTTGATACTCTCTTGCAGAATGCTGCGTAAGCTCGTAAGTACCAGTTGTTTGCAGTTTGACATTGACCTTCGTCACATACTTACAGTGCATGTTATTTTAGTATTTTATATCAGCGCGGCGTCTATCCTACTACCGATTTCGTGTCTACCCGAAAATACGGAGGTCTATCTGTGATGCGCACGGTTAATCCATCTGCTCGCGCCTATTTGGATCGAAGCCTTCCCCAATTGTCTGGTATGGAATTAACTGGTAAGACTCAATCTTCACTACCTAGTATTAAATTGGATTGGCTTCTTCTAGAATGGCTGTCGCAAGATAAGCTCAAAAACCTCATGGTTGTCCTCCGCTCTCGAGACACAGAAGAAGTATTGGAACGATGGCAGTTTGATCTCAAACGAGATGCTGAAAAGGATGAGTAAGTTAAATAACCAACCAACCAACTCTGTGTATTATCATCTGCTTAACAGTGGATATTCTAGATCCTCCGAATCGACTGTTCCCTCACCATCAGACGCAGTCCTCGCTGAACAAATCCGCGCGATTTTGCGCCAGATCACAGCCAGTACCAGTTTCCTTCCTGCCTTTGACGTCCCGCCAACGTTTCATATTATGAGTTACGCTGAAGATGATGTTCAAATACCTAGCACTTGGGAGGATGAAAGCCCTTCTTCCATTCTGATCGAGGGCGGTGGACAACACGTGCGACTTCGATCGTTTTCTACATCGGCTTACAATGTCAGTTCGTTGATTGCGTACCGTCTCGACAGATCCTATGAAAAGAACATGTTTGAAGACGACAAAGATTCTCACAATACTTCAGCTACTTCAGCAAAAAAGCGACCGGTCACGAAACCTGCTGACGATGATGACAACAAAAAACTAAAGACCCATTAGTCTCCTATGCCATTAGTCAAGTACTTATGCTTGCATTACACCAGTTTCCCTCCTCATTTATGCCACAGTTTAACATCGCACCAATCACACGTTGTCATCACAGTCTACAATATTCAACCTTTTCGTGTTATCAACCAACATATTCCCTATGCCGTCGTTGCCTAAAAAACAATAAATTATTGGCTTTACTCCTTGTCTACCGAGCATTATTCTTTTAAACGAACATTTACCCACCTGCAGCAGTAAGTGGTGATAGGTGGATCGTTGAATAAAAGCGAGGATAATTGAAGGAAATGACTGGAGGATCTTGCAGCATCATTCCGTAGTTTGCTCGCACAATGAACTCGAGACTCAGATAACAGCGTTCTTATATTGCTTTTGAGAAATGGCGTTCTGCTGATACTATTCCAATATTTATTTTTGTATTTATGCATACAAGATAAGGTAGTTTTAAATAATCGCTTTTCATAACTTCACCAACCGATGAGGAGCCAAGGACTACAAGATCCGACCCAATCAAGGCTACTCAAGACACGAATGAATACAAGGACATATCCGCAAGCTTGGCACCATGCGACTCATGTTTATCGAATAAGTCAAGGTGATCGTGAAAAATGATACACTAAAGAAGAGCGACAGCGAACTCTTCGCAGCGTCAGAAAAGAGTGATTTGGCGGCCTTACAGTTAAAGCCAATTTGATTTCAGCTTATATTTTATACGACTTGACACATGAATGAAACAAAACATTTTTCCATATAAAGAGAAATGATTTTCCATTATTTTGCTAGTCATATAATCCGCTCATACCACGCTATAAAGAATAAAGCACAACACCTTTCGTCCCAGGTATGACTGTTATAGGTTTTCAAAAAATATTTATTTTATCAACATACAATTACGAAAAACGTACATTTTTATATCTTTTTAAAATTCAGCCAAAACTTCGAAAGGCTAATACTCACAATTCAACATACATATATTACTCCAGACATTCCCTACCTTCTTCCCTTATTATTTACTATTTTCAGAGACAAAAATCAAAGCTATTGCACGCAATTTCAAAGCTTTTTGTCCCTATTTACTGGCTTATAAATGTGCGAGCAGTTGTAAAAAAACAAGAGGGGTTCTGTGATGTAAGGGTTAGCATATGAGACTCTGAATCTCATTATCCGAGTTCGAATCTCGGCAGGACCTCTTTTTTCTACTATTTTTTTTGCTGCTGGTCTTTTTCATCCATGGCTTTTTGAGAGTAAAGATGTAGAAAAAGTCATTTTTCTATTTTACTCGTATCTCTGGGGAGAGAGAAGAAGATTAGCAGGGCATACAAATTCATTGGCAAGTTGTTCCATGCCTCTTGTGTCTGCAGGTAAACTCACAAGCAAGAGTACTCCCCCCCAGCCCCCAAATAAAAGAAATAAAAAGTGAAGACAATTGCTGTAGGCAGAAATAAAAAAGGAAGTACCGAGGTAATCAGTGTGCCGGTCGGTGTGATGAAGCACAACAAAGGATCAATGCCAAATGCAGGAGAAAAAAAAAAGTAGTGGGATCATCATGGGAAATAGCTGATTATGTCTATTTTTTAGGTATCGGGGGCCAGTTATGCTTCCAGAAGCTGTCGATGGAAAATTTTAACCACAGTGACTGGTTTAACAGCTTAGTTATTGGCATTTTTTGATCCATTGGGTATGAAGTTTGCATGTGGAAGAACAGCGATAAAGCGAGAGGTTCGATGCTTATCAAAAAGTCAATGGTCATGGTAAACTAGCAACGTGGCTGTAAATGTCACATTTCTACTGATCCTATGATTGGAGTCATTGAAAAAAATTCGACATATTTTTTTGAAGAATGTAGACCTCTCCTTTATAAGCAAGTTAGATTTTCATAGAGCGGCAAGGAACAACTACCTAAGATGCCGATCGTGTTGTAGACAAAAAAATAAAAATCGCTCCAGTTTATGTATCTGGTACTGTTAAGAGAAGGCCATGAATGTCTAAAGAACAATAGAAATTATGCGCGACCCGAGCCATGGCTGTTCTGGAAGTCTAAGCCTTGGTGTTTATTTTTGACGAACCGAAAGGCTCTTATGCTGTATTCTCCGACAAAGAACGCTGTCTTCATTAGCCGGTTGCTGATAATTTAGATAAGCGACATGACTAAGCTTTAGCTGTGAGAGATATGACATAAGTGAAATAATGGACAAAGACAGTATTACAACAATAAAGGAGTTACCTGTTTGACTGGTGTTTAGTTCTGCCTTCCATATGCTTGCGCCTATACTTTTTTAAAACCTCCTTTTGAGTCAACATGATAAATTAGGACACGTATGCCTGGGAAAAATGGTGGGTTCCCCAATGCCGCGTGTTTCAATGCTTCGTTGTCCATCGCCCTGCTTAAAATTTTGACATGTCTATTCGCAAGAGAAAAAAAAAATTGTCCAACTAACTCAAAGATAAGCGATAGCGTCATGGGAAAATGTAAGGGAACGAGGAAGCAAACTCTTTGCGTTTAAAATAAAAAGGACTAATGTCGAACTCTTTTCTTTTTTTGCGTCTGCTTGTATAAACAAAATCTTTTCACTCATCCTTTGGCATATCTTTACATAAATCAATTTTCTTGGTTTTCCTTTGTTTTTTTTTTCAAATTCATTGTTTGTTCCACTTGGTGATTTCTTTGGCACGCTCTATATTTTTTTATTGTATTAATATCCTCGATTTACTATGATAACCATGCAAGGTAACTATTGTACATAAGAACTTGATTACCATCGCTACTTATGCTTCATGTCCATGGGTATGATATGTATGTAGGTTTCCAATCCCATTCCCCTGAGCCGTTGTATCCTCCTGCCATGTTGTGGGCTGATATGAATTCTTCCGGCGATTCGCTAGTATCGCCAACCTCTGCTTCATCGATGGAGACTTCTAGCATGAGCGAAGTAACTGCCTCTGCGATGGCAGCTGCTGCGTGTTATCATCAAGGTTTAGGTGGTGACTACTGTTTCTTTGATCAAACAGCGAATCTTCATGCTACATATTTTCCACATTTGGGAACCCCGTCTTTGGATTCGGGTCATCCGGCCTTCTTTGGATATCCACCCACACCGGCCGCCAGTGACGACTGGTTTCAATCCAACGAAACATCATATATGGGCGCACTAGATCCATATCCTTGTAAACCAATTTCGTCGCCTTCGCGCAAAAAGTCGCGCCATGCAAAATGCAAAGAGAAAAAGAAGTGCTCGAACTGTGGTGCCACCAAAACTCCGTCTTGGCGACGAGGTGTCGCCGGTGGCAAACTGTTATGCAATGCTTGCGGGTTATAGTAAGTTCTACATTGATTTTTTTTTCCACAACAAAGAACATACATATTCTAACGCAACCTAATTTTTTTTTTTTCGCAAGTGAACGAGTCAATGGCAAAAAACGACGGGTTTTTATTCAACCCGATGGATCGACGAAAGTGGCACGTGGAGGTGCGCCTGATCACGAAACTTGTGCCGCGTGTAAAACCCAAGAAGCAAAGCGATGGCGAAAAATGCGAGATCAAACATACTGTAATTATCCATGTTTCCTTTATTTATTTTTTTCTCATCATCTTTTGTCGTATGATGACACTGACTATTTATGATCTTAGGCGATCGATGTGCATTTTCCAAGGAAAAATGCGCTTCGGGATACCATTCACCCTCCGTTTGGCCAATGTCTCTATATACGGATGCTCAACAATCACAATGCGCTGAACAGAATATGTTTTCTGCAACCGATAATGCTACGGAGTACTGATATTCACAATAAACAAGCAGCGAAAAAAAGAAGCATCCCGGAAGAAAAGGACGGGGTCGGGATTTTCTCATTTCCCATATTCCCTGTCCAATGAAAATACGGATCCTTCTTTTTGCTCTTTAATATTCTTTTTTCATCGCCACCATTCAATCATTCTTCATATTTTGTAAAATAAATTGTGTTTATTTCTCTCTTATCGTTTACATGTGACAAATTATCTGTTGTTATTTTTCGAGTAATTATTGCTTTGTACAGTTTCAACTATGGGCCCCACAAAGTTCATAAAAAAATGCAATGAAAAAAAAAAAAAAAATTCGCACTCAACCTCATGTCAATTTTATTCAATGTCCGCCTCTCTATTTTTTGCCGCCCTTGTCGAAGATGGGGTCTTGTCAGAGTGGCAGGCATCTTCCCTTCTTTTTTTTAATTTTTTTTTTTTTTTTTTTGGCCACGGTCTTTCTTTCTTCTTTGCTTTTGTATCGCCTGTCAGTTGTCTGTAGCGGCGCATACGATACCCGCCCTTTGATTTGTTTGTTGTTGACCTTTGTTACCTCTCTTATCTGTGTGTCCTACGTTACAAACACTCATGTCCGAAAACACTTCTTCATCGCGGGCATTGCGGCATGACACTTCCAATGCATCGGTATCGCATGCAAAGCCTTCCAAGCAAAGTTTACCTGTGTCCATACACCCAGACGATGCAAAGGATAAGGTGTTCACGGCTATCCTGAAAGCCCTATTAAAAATGGGCAATAAACCGAGCTCGCCTAAAGAACTGGCCAATATCATTGTCAAGCACAAATATGCAACCTTGGGGTAACTTGGTTACGAAACCGGGGTGAATGCATCGAGTGTTACTAACCCAACATGTTGTTGCTTCCTTTATCCAACTTTTTAGTGGTGCGACGCCGTTCGCTACCGTGTCATCGCGCATATCTCAGCATTTCAAAAGAGCCGCTGAACATAAACCTCCTCGACCGCCGCTGCTGGCCAAGCATGTGGATCAAAATCACTCACGCAAAATTAATTATTCTTTGGCTACCGAGAGCGTTCCAGCGAACGAATCGTCATCCTCTAATCATTCCCACAAAACTGCATCCCCTTCATCTCCTTCAGAACTTGACCATTTATCTTTACTCTCGGATGCATCTTCTCTGTCGTCGGAAGATGAGTCCAAACACCCACTTCCATCATCGTCTACTGCATCTCATTCCAAACGTCGCGAACCCACAAAATCCCACATGCATACACGCTCCTCCAAACGGAAAAAGAAAAACCAGCGTTGGCTGTCCCCCCTTCAACCTGTCCCCACGGACGCTGACGATGAATCCGATCAAGATACGCCGCTGGCAAAACGCCCCCGCATGGAGAATGAGCAAACACCTTCTTCTGTGTCTCCCGTTGCGCCATCCCCGGAGCCTTCCGAATCGGCGGTGGATCATACGTTTCAGCCTACGACTTCCTCGGTGCAAGAACCGCCCTCGGATGATGAAAGTGAAGCCGACTATTCCGATTACTACGAGGAGATGCTCAAGGGAGACGAAACGATGGCTCACATTGAAGTGAATCGTGATCGGCGCCGATCGATTCGACGGGCCAGCCTTTTACCGCAAGACCGAGCTGCCGCTGCTGCGGCAGCGGCCGGACCTTCCATGTCATCCCCCCGTTTGATGGGCCGAAAGCTATCCCTGGGCAACGCTTTGACCGATCATGATATCTGGACGCCGTATACCTTTGATCAAGAATTTGACAACGTCTTCATGTCGGATGCAACTACCCCCAATCAAACGTCTTTCAATATCGCCAGTCCAGAATCCGTGTCCGTTTCGGAGCTAGATGACTATTTCGCCAGTGATCCTTCGGGTCGTGCCGCCCGGAAAAAGAGCATGTCTGTCAATCTCGGCTCCAAAGAACACTCTTTACTGCAAAAGACGTTGCTTGCAAGCAGTCATCGCGGAAACAAAACCCTTGAACCGATTCCCAGCAACCCTCACGCGATTCGACGTGTGTCTCGCACCGACCTGATGGTCCCCCCCAGCTCTTCCCAGCCTGCGGCGGAAACCAAGCCGAAATTAAACGATCTACCTCCTTCCTCCTCCGAGACTGAAAAAGAACAGCAAGAAAGCACCTCGTCATCGCAGGAAAAGGCAGAAAAAGAAAATGAAGAAGAGGAACAAGAAGAAGAAGAAGAAGAAGAGTCGAATATGACCCGGATGTCTTACTCCAAAGGCGGTCATCACTTTACCATCACACGAAAAGTGATTGGCAATCTCGAATGCTACGAGCTGGATTCGCCAGAAGATATCCCAGATACAAAAATTTTGCGTTTCATTGCATCCAAGGATGGCGCCACCGAACATATAGCGCTTCGCACACGTCACGCCGATGGAAAAGGACGCCGCAACAGCCAATACTTTTATCTCGCTGAGGGATACGTCAACGCAACGCAACTTCGCAAAGCCGCGCAACCGGTGCTAGGCAAAGGTTCTTTTGATGCAGTAGCGGAATCACAAAGTGATCGACATGTTGTCACGCTTAGTAAAGGCCCTATGGATTGTCGAGGGGCTTGGTATGTTATCCCTTATAGTGTTTTTATTTGTTGATTCTTGGCTTATGATGATTTTTTAATGATGATACAGGGTGCCACTGAGTCGAGCGCGTGAGTTGGTGGATGAATTTGAGATTGAAAGTTCGCCCGGTCTGAGTAAGCTGCTCAGTGATGATCCGATGACTGAGGAAGATCGCGAATCTCTAGGTACCGTCGATGAAGAAGATGGTAAGTGACAAGAAAGATAAAAGCAACGTAGCATACGGATCGCTAACAATAATCCATGCGCAGAAGTGACATCGATCACAGAGCCATCAGGATCGACGAAGTTGCCAGATGTTTCCACCAAAGCGGAAGAAGTCATGGTAAAAGCGGTCGAGTCCTTAATACGGCGACAGTCGATCCAGGAAACGTCCTTGACTCACACAGATACCATGGCCGAAGATGGAGATGATTTGTTTGTTAAATTTGAAGACGATGATGAACCAAAGCCTGCGGAATCGGCGGTCGATGACCCTCCTGCATCGGTCAAGCCAGCGGAGGAATCTTCAGCCGCCACGCCCACGGCATCTCAACCCCCGTTGACAGCAGCCGATCTGTTAAAGACCATGAATTTCCAAAATCTCAACTTGGCCGCGCTTCATCAAATGTCAACCACGATTCCCAGTCTTGCGCATCTGCAACCTACGTTTGATTTGATCCGATCACTGGCTACTTACATGCAGGTCATGGCCAAAGGCAATGCGGCGCTCGTTCCCAATGTTGCCTCTCCGTCATCCACTGTGCCTGGGACGACGTCCTCGTCACCATCTTCAACCAACATCATGCCTGCTTCATCAGGTGCTGCATCATCTACACAGCCACCACCGCCACCACCGCCGATTGATTTCAAAGCATTATTAGCCCGATTTCCAGCTTTGCAAGCCTTGCTGAAACGCGAGATTCCGACCCCACCTGCCACCGCACCCGTTACTACTCCCATGCCTACCCCCTTACCTGCCGATAAATCTCCCAACGATCAGACTGTCATGATTCATCCCACGACGACGACTCACCCGCCAATGTATATTACGCTGATCGACCATGTCGCCGTGTGCGTGGCAGTGCTCACCAAGAAGGAGACGCAAACCGAATATCGGATCATGCGTCGCTTGGATACGGGATTCATTAACGGTACTTCATTACTGACGGCGGGCGGCATTGAAACGGAAAGCGAGCGTAGCATGATTTTAAGTCTTGAAATGGAACGCGTACGTATGCCGAACCGAGCCAGTCCTCTCTTCGGTACTTGGATTCCTCTTCGACGCGCTCAGGAATTGGCTGTGACGTGCTCGATCCAGAATCGATTGGGACCGTTTTTAAGCGACAATATAGAAAGCATATTCCCCTCTCCTTTACCCATCTCGGTGCCAAGGGTACGAAAGAAACCTACGCCTCAGTTGACGCCCTTGGCTCTTTCTGCTCTAAGAAAGATGTCACCGGGACGCCTGGACGGCGGTTATTTAATGTCCCCCGACCGTCGCACCGAAGCACCTTCCCAAACACGCGCGGCCCAGTTGCAGCAACTATTACTGACGCATCCCAACAAGACTTTGAAGATCGGCGATCACAAGTTGAAAGCGCCTCTGTTGGGCCGATTCGATGAAAATAACAGTAAGCAAAACCGAGAAGTGCTGGTGATCGACTGCCCGGCCGTGACAGCGTCTACAAGCGGTGTTTCACAGTCCACGCCAACATCGCCTGTCGCGGCCAAAGAGGAGGCGCACGAAAGCGACGTGGACATAGTGAACGACGAAGCTTCCGACGAAGATACTGATACCGATACAGAAGTAGAAGAAGTGCGCCTCAGTATGAAGAAGATGCGCGATGCGGCTATTGATGCCATGGAAACGGGTCATTCCATGGATTTGGAGGAATTATTAAATCGAGCGAGCAGTCCTATCATGCATTCGTCGCCTCAACGACGACCTTTGTTACATATCCGACCTCCTCGAGAATCGATGAAACGAAGGCGGCACTTGTTAGAAGATGCCGAAGAAAGTAAATATCATCCTACCCAACAGCAGTCGTTTGGTCGCAGGCGTCCAGGAGCTGCTACAGGCACAGGTGGCAAATGGGCCGGAGGCGGTAAGTGGGCGGCCGGTGGTGGTAAAACAATGCCTACCATGATCAAACGATCCGCGTCATGGAACGGAGCGTTATCAAGTACACGGAATCCAACCTCAACTGCAAGCACGAAAAAACAATCCATAGCCGCCAAACGATCCAAGCACCGTCAAAAGGAAGCGGAGAATGAGGAAGTGGCGAACCGGGTGGTGGAACATAAATCAACTACTGCTAACGAATCAAAGAATGTGGTGGCCCCACCTACCAAACCAGCATCCGAAAGCCCTTCCAAACCTGACGCGACCACATTACCGGTGGTGATTGAAGAAGATGACGAGGACGAAGAAATTAGCATAGGTGGCAGTGACGGTGATGATGACTTGCGATAGCAGACTATCTTGTTAATGTCGTACAATCCAATAAAACAGTCCCCATTTAAAGAAGAAGGAAAAAAAAAGGATCTCTTTTTATTTCGTTCGTAAACTAAATTCTTTTAACCACCAATTTTGGTGAAGCCTCGCATGCTTTCTTCTACAACTAAACCAGGACGCGTATTGAAAACGTACTTTTCGCGTAGAATCGTAACGACATCGTAGTATGCACCAGGGGAAGTATCAGTCTCCATCAGATCTTGCTCACTCTTTTGAATGACTGCAAAAGGTTTCGGCAACTTCACCTTTTTGCCTTCCAAGCGATGATGGCCAATGGAGAGAATGGCTTTGTCCTAGCATATTCGAGAGATCAATGGGTCAACCCTTGTTCCATTGTTTCACCGTGTTATAAGACTCACCTTTTCAAGCGTGAGATCGCCAATATAGGCATCGCTCACATTGGCATGGTCATCGGCGACGAAGCTTCCTTGGAAGTCAAGATATACAAGTTCCTGCTTGTTTTCAGACCTCGATAAAGGACGAATCACAGTGTGGACCATGAATCTTGAGAGTCAACGACAGTAATGCTGGCTTTCACGCAAAGAAACAGGACCAGGACGCACCCCACGAGTCGTTTTTTGTAATTTTTGTTTTCTCATTACCATTTTCAGACATGAATTTTCAAGCAGCGTCACAGGCCATCCGAATCATCTCGTATTTCAGCACACACTTCACATCATATCGATCAACGACTTTATTGAGGCACCATATAGAATGGCAATGTAAAAAAAAAAAAAAAAAAAAAAATTGTAGTCTTTATTCTTGGACACTATACTATGGGTTACTAAATGAACACGCTTATTTTTTGATCATTGAAATGATTGAATATTGTTGCAAATTTTCACAGTGTGTGGTTGACTCTTGTTAGTGTGTTCATACGTGTATGTCTCCTATTCTTCCTTTTTGTTGGAGAGTAGCTCTTGCTTATGTGCTGGGAGGATTCACAGCGCACCTAGAAAAGAAAAGACGAGCCACTTTAAGTACGATGAAGATGCCAAACAGACGCATACAAAGACAAAAAGAAACAACTTACATCCAAATACGAGTCTTGTACATTTTGAACAATTCACGAACCAGTTCTCGGAAATCAATGCGTCGATCGGCCACAAAGTAAAAAGTCAATTTACGGCGATCCCTGAAATAAGTGTGGGTTATAAATCGGATGACATCCCAGTTTGACATAGCAAAGATCACTTTACCATTGATATTCTGCATCGACCACTTCCATAGGCAGTTTTCTCTGCTTGGTCTTTTGCTGGCAAATAGCCAAGGCGCGATGTTCATCTTGATCTTTGACAAGAAGCAGATTGATTTCGTCGGGCATGGCCAGTCGATAAATGCGCTTCACATTAACCTCACGAGATTTGGCATCTTCCGCAGTATCTTCAGGATTCTTTTCGGCTTGTTGCTGCTGTTTACGTGCTTGCAATTCCGCGATTTGATCGACGGACAGGTGACTGCGAGCAATTTTGCCGAGATCTTTGCCACGGTCGGCTTCCACAATCACTAAATCACCCACTTGAAGTTGTAGTTGAGGGTCGGCAGCGTAAAAGAAATCAGTGCGACCCGCTTTGAATTCGATCATGTAGAGCATGGTATCTGTAGGCAACCGTTGAAGAGGCACCCCTTTACCGATGTCATTCAAAGCGCGTGCATCGGACGGATCGAGCCCATCGTCGTTGGTGGGCATGGGACGCTGATGAGGGTGAATATGGTGCGGATGTTGCTGTTGGATAAGGTGATGATGGTATGGACTGAACCCTTGAGGGGGCATCGGCTGGTAGAACTGGGGCGTAGGTGGAGGAGGTGGGTTGGACGCCATCAAATAATCGTGACGCAGCAAATGGGTCTGTTCAAGTTGCTCGGCAAGTTGTTGAATGTTGGTCGGGGTGGCCTGATTTAACGAATGACGCCTTTGCTGAAGTAGATTGAAGCCTGAAGGGCCATCGGTAGGGAACGTGTAGTCGGTGGCGGAGGAAGCAGTCGATAATCTACGTTGCAGCAATTCCAAGCGTTCTTTATCTCCCATGGACATGGGCGCATTCGCAGCGTTCCAAAATTGGGTGGAAGAACGTCGACGCTGGGATAAAATATCATCCTGTTGTTCCGAGCCACGACGAAGCGACTGAAGATGCGCTCTTTGCTGCGAGGACAATAATCCAAAGGCGGCCCCGGACGATTTCGACCGTGCTCTAAATCGAGCCGCCGATAACTGATCCAATTCGTCTTCCAGCACTTCTTCCTCCTCTTCCATTGTAGCCAACGAGGTCTTGTAGCCCTGTTCATCACCATCCTCATAATCGTCGTATCCGAAAAAAGTAGGATCCTGACCCATAGAGAAAGATAAGCTACGTTGCTGGCGATAAATCGGTTCGAGTGATACACCGGGTAACATTGGGACCGACAGGATGCTGTTGTTGTTCAATAACTGCAAATTGGGATCGTCCATGACGTCAGTATGGTGTGGATGCCAGTGATCATTGATATGATTATCTTCGTTGAAAAGTGAAGGACCCTCCCATTGGAACCCGCCAAAGGAACCCCATTGCTGATTATCGACTATGGAAGAACGTCGAGGACCGGCCGATGCATTGGTTGAAGTGGTTGCAGGATGCTCACTTAAATCGGATGCATTGAGTCGCGGCGAATTGGAAGGACTATGCATATACGCGGTCATCGATAGGCTGCCTCTTCGACTGGGACTTCCCACCGCTTTCCACGATGCATCTGTATTCGTTGGGCTTTTGATGGGAATACCGCCCGGAACCTCAGCATCTTCCTAGAATAAGCCATCAAAAACGTGGGGTCTTGGAAACAGGTCGTCATACCGATGGCCACAGCACTTACAGTTCTTCTTTTGGATGGTTGAGGTAGAGGTATATTCTAAGGAAGAAAAAAAAAAGAAGAAAAAAAGAGTGCAAGATAAGCAACCATGAAATATGAAAATAACAATAACAAGAGTCGTCTAAAGTCTGGTCGAAATGTACCTGTGCCATACGTGGTTAAGTATCACTGTCTATTGTGCTATAAAAAAAAAGAGTGACCAAAATGAAAGAAAAAAAGAAAAACAGAAATATCAGCATGTGCTATCAATGAGGTGGATCTGAAGAAGTCATCCATATGAATGGCGAGCGTGAGGGTGAACTGAACACGGCGTCGCTGTTTCGGTCCAATTGGGTTGGTTTGACATGGTGGAATGGTTTACCTGATTGTCTAAAGCAGATAAACTTTTTTTCTTTTTTTTTTCGTCGAGAAAGGAAAGTTATGTATACTATAGTTAACCGTTAGCACAGGTCAACCATGAGTTCACTTATGTGTGTGTTTGTCAATGTTGTATTCACCTATTTTTTTGGTCTATGAAAAAATAAAGGAAAAAGAAACACTGGGCAAGGGGTATTTCATTCGGGCGGGTTGAGAAATTGGGGTTGTTGACTTTTTGTTCGAATGTGACCGCCCACCTCCATTCAAAAAAACAGTGGAAAGGTGAGAAAAAGCGACTATCTCGCTATTTGAAGTTTCCTCAACGGGATTGCATTTCTTCACCTACCGATAGTCTCTTGATTTCTTTGGCTATTTGGGATAGGCTCGCTCCAACTGATAAAAAGGGATCCAACTCGGTTTTTGAAACATGTCGCTTGTATGAAAAGGAATAAACGCGGGGTTCACATTCAGCCAAAAGAAATTCAGATTACTATTTTTGGCAAAAAGCCTTAATTTTTTCTCCATTTTCCCAACTTCTTTGACTTCCACAAAGGAAATTCCACCTGTCATGCTCACCTCCTCTCGTCCATTACTGCAACAGCACGTCTTATCGAATGCAGCGAAAATATGGAATACTACCATTCGTATACCGAACCTCAAAGCAGCCGTGCCTGTAGCTGATTCCATTTTTGATATCGATCAAACTGCTGATCTTGTCGTCGATCTTTTACGCCATTATCAAGGCAAAGTACTTGTCATGACAGGTGCAGGCGCTTCCACCGATTCAGGAATTCCTGACTATCGAGGTACTCAGGTTAGTACCATCCCATTTATCATGTCGATAAGGGTGACTCTTTTCACAGTGACCAGTGTCCTTCCAGAAAGCGTCCATCCTGCAAAAATAAAAAGTTTCAAGAAAGAGAGAACGATCAATGTATTTATGCCCTCTTTATTTTATTTATTTTATAGGGAACCTATGTACGTAATCCAAAACACCGTCCAATTCTTTTTCAAGAATTGATATCGTCCGAAGATTTTCGTCGTCGATACTGGGCGCGTGGATATTTGGGATGGCCAGAAATGAGCAAAGCACAAGCGAATCCGACGCATTATTTACTGGCCCAACTTTTGCGAGACCAGTACATTCAGCATATTATCACTCAAAACGTCGATCATTTACATCATTTAGCTGGCACGTCACCGCAGCACGTTACCGAACTGCATGGTTCACTGCGAGAAGTGGAATGCTTGTCCTGTCGAACCAGTGTCGATCGTGATCTGTATCAGCGTCGACTCAATGCAAGGAATCCAAAGTGGGCCAACTATGCTCGTTCACTGCAACTGCGAGGTGAAAAACCCAAAACCAATCCAGACGGCGATGTAGAACTGCCAGGCGACATCACCTACACAGATTTTGATATCCCCCCATGCCATGTGTGTTCAAGTCGCAAAATGAAACCTAAGGTCGTCTTTTTTGGAGAAAATATCCAGTCCACCATCACCGCTCAGGCTGAGAACCAAGTACGGGACAGTAGTGCGATGCTTATCATTGGCAGTTCATTAGCGACCTATTCGTCCTATCGATTAGTGCGATTGGCCAATGAATTAAGCAAACCCATCGGTATTATTAATTTGGGCGCCACTCGTGCGGATGGCTTAATATCATGGAAAGCCGAAGTCGGTTGTTCTCCCGTACTAGAACATGTCGTTAGAAAATTATCCATTAAACCCTAATTATGACCAGGCACTCATTCATAAAAGACATCCAGTGTGCATATTGAGCATAAGTGGGGAAGGAAAAAAGCAGCAGTGAGAAGGGGATCCAACGAAATTTTTTTTTCCTTTTTTTTTTCAATAGGAAACGTGATTGGCGGAAGAAATCCTCCAGCCGGTCCATTGAAAAAGACCACTGTCTTTGAACATTGAATTCTCTTCACTCCTCTTTTTTCCTTGTTTTTTTTTCCTCCACTTATTTTTCCTCGTTTGCTTTACCTCGTTCCTTATCGTCTATGCGTGTAACAGTGAAAACAGCCACCGTCACGAACGATGAACCTGCTACAACGCTTGATCTCAACACTGTCAAAACCACCGGTGATGCTGAAATGCGCACTCGTCCTCGTATCTTCAACCTGACAGAAGCACCGACTTATTACCCTACAGAAGAAGAGTTCACCGACCCTATAGAGTATATACAACGTATTCGCGCAGAAGGAGAGAAATACGGTATCGTAAAAATTGTCCCTCCAGCTCACTATAAGCCTGAATTTTCTCTCAATACGGAGGTATTTATCTATTCCATCCAACATATTCACTCATATTTTTGTTCCACACACACACCAAAAAAAAAAACCCCTCCCCCTCATGTCATGGCCATGATGAACCCTACCTCTCATCACGCAATTGTCATCGTTAGGTCTTCCGATTCAGAACTCGCATTCAAAAACTAAATAGCATGGAAGGCGAAACAAGAGCCAATGTGAATTATTTGGAACAACTGTACAAATTCCATCGTTTGGCTGGTCATCCAGTCAACAAAATCCCGCAATTGGATAAACGACCTATCGACTTGTTCAAATTGAAAAAAGAAGTCGCAAACCGTGGAGGATACAATAGTGTAAGTCCTTCATCTCCTTTTTCTTTTATTAAAAAAGCATATATACAGAGTCTAGCAGTGGATCACATCATCATCTATTGAATTTGTCGTATCAAATTTTTCTAACCATCCTCATGTTGGAATTTTTTTTTCCTCTTCCTCTCCTTTTTTACAGGTCGTCGCCGGAAAGAAATGGGCAGAAATTGGTCGAAGTCTAGGCTATACACGAAAACAATGCACATCCATGTCCAACGCTCTGAAATCGGCCTACGTACGAGTGATATTACCTTACGAAGTTTGGTTAGCCAAACATAAACAGGAGCAAGAACAAGCTTCTGGCAACAACTCTCCTTCCGTTTCACTCACAGCAATGCGACGTGATGGTAACTTGCACAGAAACAAAAATCTCCACACTCAATATTTATCACTCGACTCATGGACCTTTTTTTTTTTCTCTCTTTTCATTACATGTGCCCTTGACTTTTTTTTTTTTTTGGTATAGATTTTTCCGACAATCAATCTTCGCAAAACGGTCAAGTTTGTGAAATCTGCCGAAAGGGAGATCGAGAAGAAGAAATTTTGCTTTGTGATGGTTGTGATCGTGGCTACCATATGCATTGCATTTCTCCACCCATCAATTCAATACCAAAATCGGATTGGTTTTGCGTCAAATGTCTCACGGCCGCCGGTGGGGATTACGGTTTCGAGGATGGCGAAGAATATTCTTTGCAAGCCTTCCAAAAAGTCTGTGACAAATTCAAAACCGAATGGTTTTCAAAAACCAAACCTGTCAGCTCTTGCCGAGAAATATCAGAGGAAGACTGCGAAGATGAATTCTGGCGCTTGGTGGAAGACCCTCACGAAACATGCGAAGTTGAATACGGTGCGGATCTCCACAGCACACAACATGGAAGGTAAATCGAAAGGAAAAATAAGGCCATTGTTATTCAAACGGAGCTCCAATATTGACAATCATCATGTGGCATGATTTGCCTCGTTTTGGAAACTTAGTGGATTTGCGCCAGTCGAACGGAATCCCGCCGGAGGTTCCTCTGGTGATCCCTGGAACCTCAATATGATTCCTATTTTACCTCGATCGCTCTTCACCTATATTAAAACCGATATCAGTGGAATGATGGTACCGTGGCTGTACGTGGGCATGTGTTTTTCCGCTTTCTGCTGGCACAATGAAGATCATTACACCTATTCCATCAATTACATGCATTGGGGCGAAACCAAGACATGGTATGGTGTCCCTGGAAGTGACACCGCCAAATTCGAAGCTTCGATGAAAAAGGCGGTCCCCGAATTATTCGAACAGCAACCCGATTTACTATTTCAACTTGTCACCATGCTGAGCCCTGGCCGCCTTTTAAAAGATGACGTAAAAGTCTATGCCGTCGATCAACGCCCAGGCCAGTTCGTCGTCACTTTTCCAAAAGCTTATCACTCAGGTTTCAACCATGGCGTAAGTTTTAATATCGGTCCACAATGGGTGATATTTTTTTTTCTATATGCTGACCTTTTTTCTTCTTGTTGTGCTGTCATGTCATCTAGTTCAATTTTTGTGAAGCGGTTAATTTCGCGCCTTCGGAATGGGTAGATTACGGTCTCGAATGTGCGGAACGGTACAAACAATATCGACGCCAACCTTGTTTCTCTCACGACGAATTGTTGATGACGGTTGCTATGCACGATCAATCAGTTGAAACGGCAACGTGGCTCAAAGATGCCCTGGCAGAAATGGAAAAACGAGAAATCACGGAACGTAATCGACTACGGAAAAAGTGTCCTCGAATTAAGCAAATAATTATGGAAAAGAATACCGACGATGCCGAGAATGACCAAGACGACGAACTGCAATGTATCTTTTGCCATTGTTACACCTACTTATCACACGTCGCCTGCGATTGTACCAGCAAAGTATCATGTCTTGACCATATCGCTGAAGTAAGTCATGCGTACCATGCATCGCGTGTTACCCTGTGCTAATTCGTTCCTGAAAAAAATCAATAGTTATGCACGTGCGAGTACACAAAAAAGAGCCTCTGCATGCGATATTCCGATCAGCAATTACATGCGTTCGTGCAAGACGTTTTCAACATTGCGAGTGTGCCTTCGGCATGGAGCCAGAAACTGAAAAAGCTCATGTGCAGCGACCCTGGCCCCAGTCTTAAAACCCTCCGTCAATTGTTGCACGAAGGCGAAAAGGCGTCGGTTCCTGCCAGTGAAATCGATCCGTTACGTGATTTTATGCACCAAGTGAACGACTGGATTGACGAGGCTAATAAATATATCGTTCGAAAACCACGACGACGCGATTCGCATGAACTGGAACCGTCGACCGAGAACTACCAAGGAACCCGGTATCGTCGCATGCTCGAATTGTTGGATCAAGCATCGCGCATGACGTTCAATACTTACGAAATTAAACTGTTGCAAATCGCCACTCAGAAATTGACGAATTATAAACAGGAAGCGGCCAAGATACTTGCTCATCCTTCGGCAACCGTCAGCGATTACGAAGCGGTTTTAAACGAAGGCGTTCGATTAAACGCAGACGTCGAAGAAATGGCCGAACTTCATATTGCCATCAAACGCCGGAAATGGATTGAACAAGCACCGAAAATACTCAACGCCACCCCCATCAATTACGACCAATTGAAGCAATTACTTGACGACGCACGAACGTACAAGCTGCCACTGAAAGACGATCCAGTTTATCAGTCTGTGGTCGAAAAAGAACGACTCGGTCAAGAATGGATTCAACGTGCCGAGAAAGCACTTAAACAGCAAACTACTTTATATGAAATTCGCAGTGTGCTGGAAGCCGAAGCAGGTGTACCGACGGTCCCGGCTCTCGTTAATAGCTTACGTGCGCTACTGAATCGCGCCATGAGTACTGTGCAAGATGCCGAACATTTGATCCAGCATATTCGGGCACCATCCGCGGAAAAGATTCTGATGGCCGAACTTGAACGGGTGATCAAAGCGCTGACGATGATTCCCGTGGATATGGAGGACGACACTTCCCTGCTTCAGCAAGAATTGCACTCAATCGAGGCTTGGCGAGGCAAAGTGAACAAAGTTTTTGCTGCGGCATCACGGACCAATATTAAATCTGTATCGACAATTTTGACCGAGGTGCTTGAGAGTATCAGCAGTATCATTGATGAGGATCAGTCGTCCGAAGATGCCTACTGTGTCTGTCGAAGGCCCGAAAGCGGTTTGATGATTGAATGTGATGTGTGCCATGAATGGTATCACGGCCCCTGTGTCAAAGTATCTCGACGAGAAGCCAAGACGCAGAACTCGTATATTTGTCCGATATGCGACGGAAGCAAGAAAACGATTCGATACCTGACTCGACGACCGCGACTGGAGCAGTTGGAACAGTTGATTGAGGAGGCTCAAGCATTGAACTTTGTGCCACCGGAATTAGGCAGCATACAAAAGATCATGGATAAGATGACGTACTACCAAGGAAAGACGCAAGACTTTTGTCGATCCAAGCCGCATTTGGGAGTCGAAGATCTGGAAATGATCAAAAAGCATCTTAGAAAATTAGAAGGGCTTGAAATCGATTTGCCAGACGAAACCGAATTCTTGCGAAGAAAAGTACGAAATTTGTCCCCTGTCAGTTTAGCGACCCCGCCAGCTGAAACCCGGCAACCTGTCACGAACCATGCCTCGTATGCCTCTCAATCCAATACGGACGATCGAGTCTACTGTATTTGTCGCCGAGGATACGATGCGTCGGATCCCGAAATGCAGATGATTGAGTGCGAAGATTGCAATGAATGGTTCCACGTCGGCTGCGTTGGACTTACAAAGACACCCTTGGACACCATCGGTCATTACGCGTGCCCAGCGTGTGCAAGGAAAGCGGGCGATACCAGTCCTAGCTTCATACCGGATCGACCAAAATCACAGACATTGATCAAGTTGACTCTGAAACCGCCAGCACCACCCATGCACAGCCGAAAACGCAAGGATTCCGACGACGAGGAGTACCATGATCATCGCAGTCATAGCCGGCGCTACAAGCGGAAGTCTGAGCATGAAACGCCCATCGCCCCTCGTCATCCCAATCCCCATTCCCATTCCCATTCACGAAAACGGAAGCACAATATGGATGTAAGTCAGCCGACAGCCGCATAGTGGAAGGAGTGGACCCCGGGAAGATTCGTTTGCTGACAGCCTATTTCGTACACGAATTCTTAGATGATGGCAACAGCTCCTATGCGTCCTTCTTTTACTTCCAACCCCAACCCCAGTTCCAATCCCACATCTACTTCTCACTCCCATCCTTATTCGCCACGTTATCGTATCATTGCTCCTTCTCCCATCCCTGCTGCATCCAGTAATGTCTCTATGCATTAATTCTATATCTTTATCGACATGTCACACTCCCCTTTTGTTTCTTTCACTAACTAAAAATTACATTTCAATCATCTCTATCTCTCTCTGTGAAACATTGCCACCGAGATATTATTGCCCTCCCTACTCTTTGTTGTTTTTTTATCAGTTAATGAAAAACGTTTTAATTATTCTTTGGGATGCAAATGCATCTCATTATTCCTTTCTTCAGGATGGAAACAGATGTGTTTGAAAGATGAATGTATTATATTGTTTCTTGTTTCTTAATCACGATTCGATAAGATGAAAAAGTGCTGTATGTAATTAGATTTCTTCTACATAATTGGAGGGAACCAGACCGACGGTGCCGTCATGTAAACGGGCTCTCCACCAATCGCCCAGATCTTTATCAATCACGGTTAATTCTGTGCCCGCCGTGAAAGTAAGACAACCTTCACTGCTTGGACCTTCGTAATCATAAAGAGCACGAACAGGAACACTCAATTCCGGTTTGTCTGCGAGGGGGGAAAATCATCAATACGCATATTCAACACTTTTTTAGATGACAATCCTGTTCAAACTTACCCTCGGATTTACGTTCTACATAGGTCTTTGGGAAATAACCAGATTGATGGGTGGTGGCATGGGTACCGAACCACCAATCGTCCGCTTCATTGACATCATGGGTTAAAATGACATCGTCTTGTTCAAATGATAAATCATCGGCACCCTGGCCCTGATAACCCCATAAGGCCACATATTCCACTAAAGTAAACAAATTACGTTGAACGTATCATAAGGTCAAGTTAGACACCATAATCAACGGTTCCGTTTGTCCCTTTTTTATATTTACCTGCATCGGATGGTGACTGTTCCTTATGTTGTGCGGAAGGTTGTGGTGCTGGAGGATGTGTTGAGGGGAGCGATGACATCACTGGAGCGGCAGAAGGAGCCGCTACGGGCTCCGGCGATCTGGCAGGTTGGTGTTGAGTTGGTGCAGGTGAGGGTGAGGGATTCTCATCTTCTTGAACGCGTCCAGCCACGGCGGGTTGACTGCGATCATTCGTTACCGCCTTTTTCAATCGTGTGCCTTGTTGAATTTGACTTAATAAAGCGTTACGATTAGGTGTACCAGATGCAGCGGTGCTAGGCGCAGGCATAGATGCCGGTGCAGGAGCTGGAGCTGGAGGAGCGGGCGGAGGAGGTACACCACCAGATTCAGCGGATGGAGCTGATGGAGCTGGTGGAGCTGGTGGAGGTGGCGGCGGTGTTGGAGTAGCTGCGGTTGCAGACCCAGCAGCTGGCGACTCTGGAGGAGTAGCAAAGGCTGGTTTCGGTGACACCCCACGCGAAGACATAGTCGGGCCTTGAATCCAAGCATCATAGGTGAGGCGTTTTGTACAACCTTTTGCATAAAAAAAAGAATGAGATACTTACTTTGTTGTCGCTGATTGATGGCATCAAAAAGCAAGCCTGCCAAGTTTTTGGCACTGCCTGCGGCGGGGAATTCGACCTCGTCATCGGAATCGTCGTGATGAAGAACGTCCCAGCCGTCATCATCTTCGGATTCGCTGTCGCCCTGCGCGCGTGCTTTGGTAGCACTGAAGGCAGAAAAGGCGGCAAAGGGATTGTAGCTCACTCGCTTGTTATTGACTGGAGCTGCCGCCGCTGCCGATTCCTCTTCCTTGTCATCTTCCTTTGCATCGGGTTTTTCCATACGTGCTCCTGTGGGCATGGCCGGAGCGGAAGCTGCAGCTTCGGATTGACCTCCTCCTTGCAACTTGGCAAATGGATTATTACTGCTCATCTTGGCAGCGGGACTAGTGGTGGCAGTCGCTGTTTCCGTCGAAGGCGTAGCAACTGGGGGAGCTGGTGGGGGTGGAGGCGGTGGGGGTGGCGACGAGGCAGATGAGGTTGTTGGCACCGGGGCGGGCGCTTCGGATGGAGTCGATGGAGCCGATGGAGCTTCGTTGGAAGATTGACGTGCGGCGTTTTCGGCATCTTCCGCTTCTTGGATAGCCTTCATGCGAGCTAATCTGGCCTCTTCTTCCTTGGCCAAGACGGCTTTGCGGCGTTCTTCCAAATCGCGTTCTTCGTCCACTCTCTGTTGACGTTCACGCTCCTCCTCCAGACGCAATCGTTCTTGCTCAGCGACTTGTTCCTCTTGTCTCAATCGTTCCGCGCGTTGTCTGTCAGCTTCGGAATTCTGCGCCTGTCTTTCGGCTTCCTGACGCTGTCTTTCCGTATCTCTCAACCGGTCTTGCGCCTGACGTTCGGCTTCACGAAGTCGCTCTGTACATATGCATGCATTTAAGAATACTATTCTCATGTGGTGGTCGAATTAAATAATTCTTGCGGGGTAAACTTACGTTGCGCTGTCACTTCCTCTTCATTGACGTGAGGTTTCGCCGGCGTCGTTTTATTTTCGGCGGTCGGAGAGCGAACCGAAGGATTGCGTTTCGCGTGAAGCGCGGCCAAACGCTCCTGAACACGTCGCTCGGCCTAAAAACAATCAGTGTCAGGGGACCATCCGTATTTCACATGGATAAAAAACGAGATCATTAATTGTTCATTACCTCCTTTTTAATTTCTTCGGCTGTTCTAGGGCGTGAGGGCGAAGCAGCGGGTGAGCTGGTATTTGGTTTATTGGCGGTCAAATTTGTTTGACTGGTGCTGCTGGGAATGGATCGACTGCCACTCATGGAAGGACTGGAGCTCACACTTTGACGTTCCGTATAAGAGGGAGTGATGGGTTCCGTGATGTATTGGTCACGTTCTAATTGTTCCAAAAATCGTCGAAGATCGTACGCCATATCATGGCGGTCCTTTTCAAATCGTTTCTTATCCTCTGTGGCTTTGGACGTCTGAAGGGAAGCGAGGAACTGCAAATCCCCGCGCAAATCTCGGAGGGCTTCACGAGAACGTTCCATTTCACGCTCGTAGCGATCGGCTTGCTGATCATACTCTTGTTTTTCCTGTTCGGCTCTTCTCAAATCAAAGGCGGAATCGGAACTATTGACCGAGTTGCCTGCCTTGCGAGCAGCCATCATGGCTTTGGCTTTGGCACGGACACGATCGCTTTCAGTGATGGCGCCTCCCGGTCCGGTGGGTTGAATAAACGCCATGAAATCTTGAGCACCGTCTTGTTTCTTTGAACGACGAACTTTGGCATCTCTTAATTCCGCTGCCGCAGTACGCAATTGGCGAGCAAGCACGGGAATATCACGATTGCACAGATACTGGATTTCCTCTTGCAATGACTTCTGCGTTTCCAGCAAATCCAACAACGTATCGTCGTTTTCCTGAACCTTGTAGGCGGAAGGGTTGGATCGCATCGCTTGCCGGAGTTCCTGCTGCGCTTTTCGAATCTTTTCCTTCAATTCCTCCAAAGAATACTTGCTGCTTGTGGATCGGTACTGCGAACCTTTGTTACGACCTGACGATGATTCGACCTGTTCCAAGGTGCGTTTCATGTGAGCGATCTCTTGACGCAATTCATCCAAGGCACCGTCTTCTTGGTCCTGATCTCCGCTTTCTTCGTCACTGTCGTCTCTTGTGTAACGTGATCGTGGAGCGGCTCCGTAACGGTTCGACACGGCTCGACGAGCATTGGAAACATAACCACCACGACCTTCATCCCGATCCCTGAGTTCCGGCGTACCGGCTGGTGATTGAGTCGGCGAAGGCGATCCAAAAGGAGGAGGTCCTCGATGACCACTAATGTATTTCTTCAATACATTGGAGGGCGGAGCCAATTCAGATGGGAGCACAGCAGGAATTTCGAAATTATTTAATTTTCTGTAAATCAAATGCATGGCAATAGCGAATTCGTCGACATCCAAACTGCCCTTGTTATCCCGATCGGCCAAACTCCAAATCTTCATGAGATCCGATTGTTGCAAACCTGATTGCGTCAACACGTTTCTTGCCACATCGCCTGTCATGTAACCTGATCCCGAAGTTTCCCAGGCGTAAAAGATTTCTCGGTAGCGTTGTTTCTCCTCGGGACTGATCTTCCACGAGATCTTTTCGTTGGGCTGGGTTCCCAAACTGGGAATGAGCAAATTGGTGGCACCCGATTGATTGGGCATCATTTTTTGACTGAAATCGGTATTGTCGATACGGGGTTTGTTGTTCATCTGCGGTGCCAAAGGACGGCCAATGCCGGTGGTCATGGCGGTCTGATAAGGAGCGGCACCGGCAAATCCTGTCTGCATGCTTTGCTGATAAGGGAGGGGTGAGGTTGGACGAGCATTGTAACCCATGCCGGTCTGCATGGGCATCTGCGGTTGAAGGTTGGACATGCCGGTCATGGCGGGCATCTGCTGTGGCATACCGGTCATCATGGGCATTTGAACCTGAGGGGCTCCAAACCCGGACATTTGAGAAGCATTATTTTCTGTGGAGTTAAGTGTCGCAATAGCGACTTGCACTTCTTCCTTGACTGAAGAGGGCAAAGAACTAGGAATGGCTTTACCACTCAGTTTCGCTGAAGTCAAGAACATAAACAGTGCAAACTCTGGAAACGTAAGATAAGGTGCATTGGCCAGCGACGACAAATCCCTAATATTAGAACACAGGGTAAGCAAGTTGAGCCGAGAAGGAAAGTGACAAGCAAGAAGATGACCTACCAAATCTTGGCAAGCGATTCATTGTCGAGGTTTAATCCACCAAAGAATGCTTTGACATTTTGCGCTATGGAAGAAACCCTAAGCGTAAGAAATACAGCTGATACTTGAAAGCTCTTTAAATATATACCATATATCTTATTGCCTCCAGTTGGACCGGCTAGGCGTACAAATTGCTCTTCGAATCGAGCTTGGTCAGTAGGGGTGATGAAGCTAAAGCGTATTCCTAAAAGCAGTTCTCTTTATCAGTCACATAGAACTACCAGACGAAGCATATCAGCAAGGTAAGGAAAACGTACCTTTGGATGGAGAGGAAGACGGCAGGTTCATTCCTCCTGCTGAATACATTATGAACTGTGGATGAAGAGGGAAAACCGAACAGTGGTCATAACTCAGTCAGAAAAAAAAAAGAAGTTCTTTTTTCGGTCCACGCCAATCATTTCCGAATATGGAAGGTGATCCAAATTGCGGATTCTCGATCAAGTGAAGAAGCTCGTTTCCCCTAACATGGTTGATGACGAAGCCGCTGTCTGCAAGGCCAATTGACTCGCCATCGTGCTTTTTTGAGCCTTTTTGAATATGAATCATACTGTAGCTTGTTGAAAAATTGATCGATGGCTGAAAGAATGTTACTGCGGAAAATAAGTTATGGGCTGTTCGCTACCCTTTGCTCACCCTATAAGTGACGGCGGATTTGAATTGGCCTCTTTTGGATTCCACCACCGGCAGCAAAACCGGACGAGCACCAAGCATTTTGGTAGACGAACGTACTTTGTCTTTACTCCTCATGACCGTCGACTATCCTTCTTCCGTATCAAACAAAGCATGGTGTCTCATTGAATCGGATCCTGGTAAAAACGCGCGAAAATATTTTTGATCTTTGTTACGCGTGCTGGACGCTTTTCAAAGCTCATAAAGTTATTTAGCCATCTTTAATGCCATGATGCAAGAATACGGCGTAAAAAATCTCAAGGTGGAAGAAGTCTGGGATCTCAATATGTTACCTGACACGTAAGTCTCCTCGGCTGATGGCATAAAGAGGAAAAAGAAAAAGAATGCTTGTTTTAACATTTGCACTTGGACGGCTCTGTTCAGACCAGTTCACGGCCTGATATTCGCGTCAAAATACAAGGAAGATCTCTTGCCTGAGCATCCAGAGGAACCAGACGAAGGCGCTGAAAAGGTCATATTTTCTTGTCAAGTCGTGCTCAACGTGTGCGCCACGCTGGCCCTCTTAGGCATTCTCTTGAATTGTAACGATGATGTGGATATTGGCAATTATTTACGCCATTTCAAACACTTTACCAAAGATTTCGATCCATGTGTAAGTGCTGAACCTCAAGCCAAAGAAGTAATTCATAAGGCTAATCCTGAAAATTATAGCTTCGCGGTTTGGCCGTGGGTAACAGCGACATGCTCCGTAATACGCACAACACATTCGCGTCGTAAGCATTTCTCAGATACTGTCTTTTTTTTTCCAATGACACTTACACGGGCTCTTTCTTTTTTGATTTCATTCATAAAGAAATCAAGTACGTGCCGAGAATGCTTTGCCTCGCATGAAAGAGGCGCCAAAGAAACGAGGGAGACTCAAGAAGGACGCACGACAATGGGTAAACGAAGATATGTATCACTTTGTCAGTTACGTGCCCATAGAGGGTTATCTATGGGAATTGGATGGGATGAAGAAATACCCCGTTCGACTGGGTAAGCATAGGCAAGCCTTGCCAAAGAGAAACGCCTCTTGTGTATAAACATTCTAATAATACCTACTACATGGTGAACTTTAGGACCTTGTGCGGCTGATAATTGGCTCGATGTTGCGAAACCACTATTGCAAAAGAAAATGATACCGTAAGTCGATGCGACTTGTGCGGCTTCTGGAAAAAAAAAAGATGGTTGGATGACTTATGTGCATTGTAGACAAAACGAGGATGAATCTATCGATTTTAGTCTCATGGCGATTGTGACGGATTCCACGGCCAAACTGCGTCAACGGTACGAATTTAATAGTCTCTACATTTCGAAAATCGACGAATTGCTCGATGAATTGCATCCTCCGTGGCGCGATAATACTCAGGATAATCTTGGCAAAAAGCGAACACATGATGAAATGGAGTACGACAAGGATGCACTGGAAGACATCCTCAAAGAAGATATCCGCCAAATAACCGTAGAAGGACTGCGAAAGCGGCGCTGTACACTCGATGAAGAAAACAAAGTGGCACAAGCCCAGTTGCGTGATTCAGAACTACAAAAAGAACATGAAGAAGTAAGTATGGCATCACTGAAACATAAAAAGATCAAAAACATTGAACAATGATTGCTTTTTGTTTTCTTATAGATGGAGAATGCACGACGTAAAGCGGATTACTTCCCTTTTATCAAAGCCTTATTTAAAAAGCTGGATGAGAAGAACATCCTGACCAAACTGATTCAGTAATTCGCACGCTTCACATTTTCATTATTACCCCCATCTTCTCATTTTATTCATCATCTTCATATTCCTTTTTTTTGTACATCCATGATCCAAAGCTGCCTTTTATAAAGAAAAAAAAATTGTATCTTAGTAAAAGGAAGCATCAAACGCATACTCATGCTTTCTCTTCCCCAACCTGTTTTTCCGGAACATCATAACTCTAGACAAGGCATGATCTGGACAGTGACATTTTGATCTTTTGATTTTCCCTTTTTTCATCATGCTTGCTGAATTTGTTGATGTTTCTATCCATTGAAGCGAAAGTGACTACGGGAAGTGTTCGTAATCATATCACTCATAACATTCGAAGCTGTTTGTTACAAACAAATGCCCGAGCAAAAGACGCCTCCACCTAATAAATCAAAACCATGATCAAACGATGTCCCGTTTGGAGTCGATTTGTATTTTAAGCCATTGTTTGTGGCAAGAGGTTTCCTCTGAGGAAACAGCGATGAGGAAATAGCGATCAGAGGGAATAAATAAAAACACGTATTTATTTTATATAACAATACAATATGGAACAAGCGGGTGGTAATGGCCTTGGGATATAATAGATGGTCTGTTTTAGGTAGATCTCAGATGGTACACTTCTGATACGCGTCTGGGGTTGCGTCGACCGGCTTCGCCAGAAGCGGCCGTACTCGAAGCCGCCATTTTCAGCGAATACACGAGTTGGATCATTTGATCTTCTGCGCGCATCAAATTCATACCATGTTGCGAGGCATAGCTTTTTTCCGCACGCAAGATGCTGCGAATCTGATTCTGGCATTTATCAAACACCTGCGCGTTTTGCTGGTAGTTTGCAGGCTGAATATTCGCTCCAAACCGGTATTTCTCTATTTCGTGACACAACGATGCAATATCTTTGAGTCGAGAGAGTGAATCTTGCGAGCCTGTATTTTTGCCGTCATTGTTCTGATACCGCACTGTTAGCAAATGCTGTCTGTTTTTTTTCTCCCACTGTGTTCTTGTGATGCTGTTTAACTACTTACATTATCGGGTGTGGTATTCGTAACAGCAGCGGGCACGTCAGACCGTTGAGCTACCATGACGAGATCTTCGTTGGTGGTGATACCAAGCTCAAGCAAAAGAATCTGGGCATCTGGTGAAAGGTGACTCTTGGGATGCACGGCATCGATAAAACCGATGGCTAAAAAGTTGTCCACGGCATTCTGGCTGGCTTCGGTCGATAGGACTTCACGGTAAATGGTACGTCGACCACTGATCAGGTGGGCGGCAATCCATTGAGCAAGAATAGGAACAATCTTTCGCGGCATAAAAGGCAGATCGCGAAGCGCTGACAAGGAGCATGATGTGATCCAATAAGCATCGAGGATGGGATATAAGAACGACGCCAATAAGCATAACTGAGTAAAGACATGTTCATCGGTGTCCGATGTCACTGCTTTCTTGTACTTGTCCTCCTCCACCGCGACAAGGATACCCTGAAAGACGAACTGATCTAGCACACATTGGAATGTCTACAAACCCGTCTCAGCTTAGTATATCACGAGGCATTTTTCTCTCTCGACAATATGCCTTACCTCCTCCACATTCCATGGATATATAAATTCATCCTTGAAGAGACGCACCAAAAAGGCAAATTGATCATAAAGTTCATTTCGCGTGATTTCGAGAGGGGCGGCGGACAGATACACAACGGCCAGTATTGCTTTAGGTAAGAAAATCTCAATCAACTAAAGAAGTCGGTCAGGTGACACATGTGGTTCATGCCAAAAATAAAAAATGTATCTTACCTGGCTCGCCATGTACGACAAGTCCATCACGTTATCGGCATGCTCCACCACACGCACTTTGGTGTTGTCTGTAATGCGCTTGCTGTCGTAGATAATGTTGGTTCTTGCATCGAGAAAATTGAGTGCGTAAGCAACAATCGTTTGCACATCCTCTTCTTCTATATTTCACGATCCTTGGTTAATAAAATTTACGTATCACGATCATCCATGAGCGATGTTTACCTTCCCAATCGAGCTTCATCTTGTACTGGTAGCAAATTTCATGGCGCAACCAGCCAACCAGCTCATAGATTTTTCCTAAAAAAAATTCAAAATAGGCGTGAATAGTCGAAGCAACATATTTAGATCTTTTTTGTCGTCTGTTTACCCATGGAAATCCCGTTAATGGCTCGACCGAAAAGCACCGTAGCAGCAACAAGAGCCACTGGGCTGACAATGGTAGCCTCGTGCTGCTTACGTTGAACCGCTTTCGCGATATAGTCAGCCATGGCTTCCTTACGATGAGCCGACGCATCTCTGCCGTGGGATCATGTCAACACTGATAATTTACCGTACTGCCTATCCATGGCACTTACTTCAAGTTGGAAGTCGAGCAAGGACCGGTGGCTTCGATGACGTCCTGCAAAGATAATGATTCGCCAAAACTGACGAACACACGACCGTATTTGCCCTGTTCCACGGCCCCATTGTCTTTGTTGGCGGCACGATCGGCCACTGAAGCACTCGGTCGAAGCAACGAAGATGCCAGTGTCGTCGAGGTCTCTCTCGGTTTCTGGTCCAGCACTTGGTCAATGAGCGTACGCAATTCCGGGATCTTTTCGTAGGTTATATTGATAGGCACAAAGGTGACATTTCTGTGATTGGACCCGCTTTCAGTCGAAGGTGCGGGCGAAGCAGGGGGAGAATACGGATCTTGCGTTGGTGTTTTGGAGCCCTTTTCGAGTGATGCGTCCAAAATCATTTCAATCATGCCATCGGGATATGCGCTCTGCACGCGACCGGTACGAGAACGTGTCTTTTCGATCAACATGGATAATGCCCCGTGTTCATTCAGCAGAGCTTCGGTGTAAGCGGCAGTGACAGCGGTGTTCAACGGCGAACGTGTTTTCTGATCACGTCGTACAAAGAATGCGCCGGCAATTCTCATTATATCAGAAATAGGGCCGAGCAATGCCAAAGCTAAAACATGATGCATCCATAAGAGTCCATTGATACCCTTTTTTTCACATTGAACAGTCAGCCGTGCTTACCTTCGTCGCATACAATAGCGGGGACGGGCAAATGATATCGAAGACAAATATACCATATTAGTAGTTGATCCATCATGGTTTTTGACACGGGCATGTAAACCACATTTTTGCCCTGGATCTGCTGTTTGAGCTGTAGAAAAAAAAAAGATGAGGGTTCAATATCAAGTTACCCCTTCACACGTCGCACTCTTTGGCATTTGCCAAGTACCTTTGCCAAGTCTTCTTCGCAGATACGAATACTCATGAAAAGACGTTTAAATAGAGCATCCAAGAACGCCCCGGCGAACCACACATATTCAAGCTGAGTGCGCTCGCGCATACGTTGAAGAATTTTGTAAGCTTCGCCGACCACCGTTTGCTGAGGCACACCGGAAGTCTCGATAATCTGGGTACATTCCAGAAAAAAAAAAGAATCAGTGTCATGTCTCCGCTGCCTATGAAAAGTATAGCTTACCTGCCGTATGCTGTGACCTACGCGAGGATCGTTCAATACCACCACACGAAGAGCTTCGTCATGATCCCGCGATTGAGACGACCAGCGACCGAGATCGGCCATACGACGCCCGTCTTTCAAGATTTCCGAATCATCATGGCACCAATCATCTAAACTGGCGTCAAAGTCATTGACCCATTCTTCCGCCTTCTTTTTATCGCGTGTATCGAGACCGGGATGTTCAAGACAGTCGGTCACCTGCGCAAGCATGCGATCGGTGCGTTTGTTGATATCGGCGGCACTGAAAATGACGGATTCGATTTGCTTGTCGATGATGGAATTTCGCACGTCGGGCAATTTGGAGTACATGGCACAATCCCAGCCAGCGGGCAGGGTGATATTTCGGAGACCCACCGCACCCTGAGAGATGAAAAGGTGTGTATTGAAGCTGTAACTCAGCATGTAGGTTTCCCAGTCGATGGTTTGATACATGTCCAAATTGAACAGTGGATCGGCTTGAAGCTGGCCACGGACAACGTCGACATTTTGATGATCAAACGTCCATCGGTGTCGTACAAACGGATGGTTGGCTTCTACGGCACGCGAGGCCAATTCTATGGCTCGATTCGAAAGGTTGGGATCGGAAAATCGTTTGCTGATAGGGTTATTGTTGGTGATGACGGTGGTGACCGAAGTCAGGGACTGGGGTAGCCGGCTTCGCATAAATGTTTTTGCACGGTGAAGTGCTTTATTGTTCATAAAATACTGTCGGCCCGGTGGAAGATTGACGCGAGAGTTGCGATTCCAGTAATGACGCACCGCTTCATACATTTGTCGCCAGGTAATAGAAGTGATCGCCGTAGCGGAAAGCTGATAAATGATGGGAAAGTACTGAATCTGGGGGACAGCAATACTGGCGGTGTGATCGTCTTCGTCGTGGAGAATTTCGTTGTAAGGAAGAATGAACTTGATTCCCGGCGGCATCAAACGAATAGGACAGCCAATAATGACTTTGGCGAGATAGTCGACAGGCACGATATCGGCCGTCAAATCGCCAATATCCGATGGCAAGGCATGGATACCGTGCCCCAAAAGATAGACGGCAGCATTGGTACCGGAGATCCCATCCATCCATCCCGGAAGAGGCTCAAAGCATCCTGCGCCGACCTGGGTAGCGCGAACAATAGCCACCGGCCACTGGTTCTTTCCTCCCTGGGCTTCCTCCAACCGATTGTAATCCACTCTCTTTAGTATCAAATGCTCGGTCAAGGATTTTGTAAAGGTATAAGTATTTGGATAGTACGCCAAAACCCGCTGGGTCATTTTCGGAATATCTGTTCAAGGTATATAAGCATCTTTCTCCAAATTATTCCCTTTTCATTCCCATGTTTGTCTGGGTACCGCCACCGTCGGCACTCTTTTTTTTTTTTTACCTTGTAATTCCAGGGCAACAATTTCTTTGAGTAGTTCTTCTGGATCACCGAGCTCCATGGGATAAACACGTTCCTGCACGTAGCCGTCGGGAAGATTTGCGTTGAAATAAGCGGTCGACATGTGAACAAAGACGTCTATTGAATCACTGGGTTAATCTCCAAAAGATGAGCAAATCAAGACAAGGAAGTGAGTTCTACCTAAATTGCGACATTCATCGGCTAAATCCATTAGACGTAAAGTGCCCAGCGTGTTGGTCTGTAATAAAACGTTAAGGTTAGGGTCATCATGAACTCGCCCAAACCCGGGACTCAGAAATGGCTTACCTCTAGTGCGAGATCCAATCGCTCGTGATAATCCAGAGTTGCCGCACAGTGGATTACAACGTTCACATTATCAATAATCATTTGACGATCTTCTTCCATCATGGACAAATCCGGCGAAATAATGTCGCCGGTGACAGGAACCACTTTGTCTATAATCTTTTGGAAATAGTACGATCCCAACTGCCGTTTCAACGTCATAAAAGCCTGTCCATGGCCAATAATAAATAAAAGCAAACGGTCACCATTAACAAAAATTCATCAAATCCATAGTCATGATTGCATTTTTACCTTGCTGGAGATGATCTCACTGAAAAAGCGATCAGTAGGTCGACCGACTTTGCTACGTTTGTTACTTCCATTTCGAATCAAGATGTATATTTTGCCAACATCTTGACCCACGGATTGGATGAGCTTCCACAATACTGCTTTACCGACAAACCCGGTAGCCCCGGTCAAAAGGATATTCTTGTTGTGATAAAAGTCGTTGACGGGGCTTTGCCGGCTCGGATCAGTAGGCTGGGCGTGGTCGGTTTCGCGCTCCGATCCAGCGCGAGCAGCCGATGGAAGCGGATCAGCTGTATCACTTTTTGCAGTCGAGTCGTGCTCCTCGATAGGCAAAGGCAACGGCGTAGTATCTTTGGGTATGGGCGTTTGTTCTTCTTCATCTTGAGTGATGGAACAATCTGCAAGTTCGTTTTCAAAATAGTGATCATGGTGATCATCTACAGGGGAGATCTGGATGGTCGGTACAGGAACCGCATCTTTTGCTGTATCCACCGGAGGCTCTTCAGCGTTAGAATCTTTGGGTTCCTGCGCCACCGGAACTTCTGTAGGAGATCCAGCTGTTTCAGATTTCTTGACCTCGGGATCATGGTCAGTTACACTTTTAGATTCCACATCGTCACTCTGATTCTTCTCCGCTGGTGCAGTCTCGCCCATGATATCTGTGTCCTGGATTGGAGTGGCTGCTGTGGTTGACGGAACGTCTGAAGAAGAGGACGCGGGAAGCGGTTCGTCGGTAACCGACTCGTCTGAAACCTGCGCGTTGGTATCCTTGAATGGCTCGGGTTGCAAGTCGGTGGAGGCATCGGCAATGGAGGGCAAGGGCGATTCTCTTTCAGCAAGTGGTTGCGACACTTCTGTTGCTGCTGGCATGGGGATCGATGATTCGTCAGGGGAAGGAGGAGTATGGGCGGTGGTGTCGGTAGCGGGCGAGTTCGCCCGAAGATCGACCTCAGACTTAGAGATATCAACATAGGACGTCTCGTTACCGTTATCTGAAGAAGAGGAAGCGGGAGAAGTTGGCGATGGAGGCGACGCGAGTGGGGCTTCTTCGAGCTGATCGTCGGCTTCAGCCGAGGCGACGGTCGTCGAAATGGACGGAAGGGGTGCCTGTTCTTTGGCGGTCACTTTCGAGTCCACGGCTGTATCGTGAGTCTTTTCTTCTTCCACAACTGGCCCAGACATTGACAAATAGTTTCTCTACGCAGCGAAATAACAAAGCTGCCACAGCAAGAAGAAACAAGAAAAGGTTATTTGACTTTGGGTCGGGAATACCTTCTTTTTTTTTTCTTTTTTTTATATTTGGTTGCACGAAGCTACTAAAGATGCGATTTCCACTGCGCTCTTTCGTATAGGGAAATTCTGACGCAGCCCAATTTTTATCATTTCAATTTCCGATCGCTCCAGCCTCTTTTTGGGTGGACCCGACCTTGGTGAGACCTCTCAACATAGTAAATAAGCCGCCTTTTACCATGCCGGATGCCACCCCCAAAGAAGGAGAAGCTGTTACAAGACAAAAGTACGAAGAAGCCAAAGCTGAATTACAAGCTCTTTTGAGTCGCAAGAAGCAAGTGGACACCAATCTAGTAAGTTATTTCGAAACATGCCAATGACCCAATGATTTAGCTACTGAAGCCAATGGATTAGATCAACTTGGAACATTCGATCTATCTCTTTGAAGGATCTTATTTGGAGGATACGCAGCACAATGGGAATATTATACGGGGTTTTGATGGTTACCTAACCAATCGACCGGACAGAAGAAAGCAAAAATTCACAGAGTTGGATCGTTTGTTTTCACTGTCCTCATCCACGTATCAAAAGGTGATTATTAATAAGAACAACAATAACATCGGTGTGAACAGAGCTAACAAAGGAATGTGTTTAGGCTTTGGCGCAGAAAGAGTTGGATCAAGATTCTAGCCAAGATGAATCCGCGTCGCATATGCGTAAAGAGAAGAAACGCAAGACAAAACTTGGTAGTGATGCAACACGTAAAAAGAAACGATTTGGTTCAGTAACTGAAGATGAAGTAGATATTTGAACACACACACATTCTCTCACACTCATACTCACTCTCTCACACACACACGTAAAGTAATGACCTTTACACCTCTTGTGTTATCATTCTCCCTTTCTCTTCACTCTTGTTTCCTTCTCTCTACTTCCTTTTTTACCTTGTCATCCTATTTTACTTGCTGTACATACTTGTTTTTCTTTCATTCAATTCTTGTGTGGAATAATAAAATCCATTGTTTGACTCTCCGCTGTAGTTGAGCTTTCTTTATCAGTTTTTTCCTTTACATCATGTTCGCCACCAAAGTCGTGAGATCCCCTGAGATGGTCAATAAAGTCCTGCAGGTACCGTTTTTCTATGATCTTGCGAAACACTTTGAATTCTGTTGATTTGTACTGAAATCCTTTTTGTAGAGCTTTTATGCGGCCGGCGGTTACGACGCTCTTGTCCTACCCAAGGTAAAACCGAAACCTAGGGTTGCAATCTCATGGCGTCTTCAAAATGACAATGACCAACATTTTGCCGTGACAATTTTAGCTTTCTATTGTAAACTCGGAGACAGGTCGTGTTCAAGCTAAATTTCAAGTCGAAAAACAGCATCTGGTAATGAACAAGGATACCAAACCGAAAATGTTACCCCACTCTCATCGTTGACAATGACGAAATTCATTAGAACCGTCTGCAATCGGTGCATGGGGGTCTGTTGGCTACCGCGGTAGGGTGATTGATAGATGGTGCCTATTTTCAATTTCTAAAGCATATGCGCTAGGTGGATATTGGTGGGTCTCTCGCCCTCGCATCCCACGGATTATTTGCCACCGGGGTCAGCACAGACATCAATATCAGTTACATCTCCGGCGCCAAAGAAGGACAAACAATCACTCTCGTAAATACACATTTCTGGGACGATCGCTTTTCCATACAAACCATCTAACAACATGCAAAAATAGGATGCACGTTGTGATAAACTTGGAAAAACATTGGCTTTCACTTCGATCGACTTGACAGCAGATGGCCGTCTAGGTACGTGAAAATTCCATCCGAATCATTGTCATCAGCATCCTATGTTAATACGGTGTGTGTTTTCATTTGCAGTTGCTACGGGTCGCCACACCAAATTTGTTGCCCAGGCTTACAGCCATCCCGAGAATGAACTCGGCCGCAAAAAATCACATTAACTAACACTAAACGACATACCGTCATAGAAAATACAACTGACAGAGCAATCTGTTTGCTGATCAACTTTTGTGGTTTAAAGTCATTCCTTCCTTTTTTTTAAAAAAATAACTGATCAAAGCAAACTGGGCCATCCCAATTGTCTTTTCGATCTATTATTACCACTATCAGATGAAGGACAATGTCTGGAAATCACCTAAATACAATAAAGTCTCAAAAACTATCAATAAATATTCCAGGACGCTCATAAACTATCGAACTTTCTTCCGTTTCACGACCCTTCGTGTCCAGGCAACCTGATTGGATCGGAAAAAGAGCATCCGAGCTTCCGACGTTCGCATCGATATGATTGGCGGAAAAACTTTTGAGCGGCCGTCATTATATCATTGTATCGATGATCATAAAATCATCGAAAAGCCTTCTTGGCTCAGTTGGCAGAGCGTCTGCCTAGTAAGCAGAAGGTCGCCAGTTCGATTCTGGCAGAAGGCATTTCTTTTTGGACTTTTTTCGCGTTTTTTTTCTTTTACTACACCTTTTTTTTTCACAGGAAAACACAACGATAACAATATTAAAGTCAAGTCATGATCTTCCATTTTTTATCATTAATTTACGGTTATACTCACTTGAGCAAGCAGTTTTTGTGATTTTTTTTTTGGAGGTCATTAATTAAATTAACCTTTGGGAAGGCGTTATTTATACGATTTATTTTCTGTATATTTTGACTGGTAAATAGAAAGAAAGCCAAAGCTAAAAATAAAAATAAAATAAAAAAAAACCATATACTGCATGACAATAGAGCGGAAAAAAAAGAGACTTTGAGGACCTATTTGAGCGTCGGTTTTACAGTTTAAAACGGGTGGAAGAAATGGTTTCCTCTGAAGTTGAGAATTACTACGCCGTCAAAAGTGGGCTCATTGAAACTGGTCCTAAAGCCGTTGACCGAAAAAAAAAGTCCATCAGACCGTGCTACAGCAAAAAAGGCTACTAAGTTTGATAACGATTCTTAAAACTGTATTATCCGATGAAAACAAAATACGACCACAAGCACATGGATGGAAACTCTAAAGCATGTATATTTTGGAATGAACAAAATGCCGATAGGAGAGAAAGAAAGAAAAAATTACAAAATGGAATCACAAGGGATGATGAAGTGATGTTGTTATTATTATTAACAGTTGGTACTTTTTTCGCTTGGATCAAGAGGATCGAGCGGAGACGATGAATGCGTTTGGAGATATCGATGAATAAAGTCTGGAATCAACGTGCACAAGCGAGCAGGATATTGATCATAGAGTTCAGGTACATCAAAGGCTTGTGCAAATCGTTGGCATGTTTGAGAGTAAAGGCGTTGACCCGCATCGTCCAAATCATCTCGGGAACGAACAGATCGCTTCAACTGAGGAGAGGTATCGCTCGTGACCAGGAATACCTCTTTCGCAACCTTGCATGCTTCCAGAACTTGGCCCTTATCAAGTAAGGTCACAATGTACCGATTCCAGTTGTGCTCATCAAACGCATAACCTTCCGAGGTTAATTCACTCCACAGCTTCTCGACTTCGTCGTGCCGGTCTTGCAAAGTCAATGCGTCCATGTAAATCGATAAAGCAAATTGAGACGGTGCCACCGCGGTTCCCGCATCAAACGACCACAAAAAATCGGGATCTAACGTCCACAGCTCAAAGTCAACCCTGTTGCCCAGCGACACGGGCACGGAACCAATATCGTCTTCGAGATCCACATGGCTCACATCCCGTTCACGAAAAGCCTTCCACAAACGATCGACCACATGAAACTGTTCCTGATCTTTGTAAAAATTCATCAATGTCGTACATACCACGGCATTCAATGGAACCGAAAGTTGGAGCATGCGTTTCACCATTGTTTTCACGCTCTGCACATCGCCTCGCAAACGATACGCATTCAGTAACGGGGTAAATAAGTGAGGCGGCGGTCGATCGATGATGGGGTTGGATGGATGGTCTTGATTCAGAACGTCTTCAATGGTGGTCGGCAGTTGATCAATGTATTCCTTCAAATTGGACACGGAAGCATCGGCTAAACGTTGACGACCGGGAAATCGTCTTCGAGCTTCCTTGTCCTGCAAAGAGACGTCACTGAGCGTGTTTTCCAAAATTTCTTCAGCGAGCGCCAGGCTGTCCGATCGGACACACCCGTCAATCAGGACCGATAAAGTTACATAGTTGGGTTCCACACCAGCTTGGGTCATTCGTTCCAGGACCTGCCTTGCTTCGGCGGGACGGTTGCAGTTAAAATAGGTCTGCATCAGAAGGGTCCAAGGGATGACGCCGGGCTTGACGTGATTGGTGTCCATGGTATTCAGCAACGATTCCACGGCCATGGGTTCCTTTCGACGCGAGAAGAAACTGATCAAAAGACCGTAGGTAAACTCGTTGTGTTTTACGAATCGCTTCACCATGGTCTGATAGGTATCGAGCACTTTGGTCATTTCGTTTTGCTTGACGTAGACGTACAGCAAGGTGTTGTAAGTGCGGACGGATGATTGCCAGCGTTTCTGCATCTCGTCAAAGATACTTTCGGCCTTTTCGATGTCACCGGCTTTGGCGTAAGCTTCCAGAATGGTGGTATATGTATATACATTGGGCTTGACACCGAGTTGGCGCATCTTTTGAACAATGTCTTCCACGGCTTGCACGTCGGCCAAATCGGCATGGTAAGCCAAAAGCGGGGTAAAGGTGATGGGAGAAGGAGGAAGTTTGGCATCCAAAAGCAGGTTCAGCAGCAGACCCGTTGCATTCTTCAAGTTGTTATCGCGGATATACGATCGAATGAGAAGGTTAGAAATTGCTTCGACGCTGCGAAGACCATACGATTTTTTGTTGCGGACAATACGAAGAATGTCGATCGCGGATTGACGGTCGCCGACTTTGAGAAAACATTCAATCATGGATGAATAGATGTGAGGGTTCGGTTTCAGGTCGTGGTTAGAAATCATATCCTGATACAATCGTCGCACGGTGTGAATGTCGCCCTTCTTTGCAAACATATCGATGAGGGTACCAAATGTCCTGACATCAGGTTGCAGGCCCACTTCATGGAGCATATCGTACATTCGCGTCGCGCCCGCCAAATCGGGTTCCGGTCGTTTGTGAACGTGAATGTCAATCAGAGCATTGAACGTGACGATATTCGGCATCAAACCTTCCGCTTTCATTTCGTCCAAGATTGCCGTCGCTTTTTCAATGTCACCGCTTCGACCGACTTTGTGGATCAGGGCCGTCATCGTTCGTACGTCGCGTTTGATATTCTTTCTCACAATCAAATCATTGACTTCCAGCATGTATTCAGGTCGACCGGCGCTGGCAAAGAACAGCAGCATTTCCTTGTAAATGACGGGATCCAGATCATGACTCTTCTTACCGACGTGCATGCCGAGCTTGTTCCAGAACCATTCCCACACCGTATCGACCATTTCAAAGGAGCTGTCGCCACGACGAATGTTCTCGATAAACAGACGGGTTGCGGCCGCTCCGGGACGAATTCCGCGATCGAGCATTTCACCGTAAATATCCATGGACTTTTCCGCCACCACACGTTTATCAAAGGTCTTCATCTGGGCTTGGTATTCCTGCAGCATGATATTGTACGCTTTCTGAATATCGGCTTCCGGCAGCAAAAATTCCTCCTGAAGCAAATCGTGATGGATCTTTTCCATCTCTTGCATCTTTCCGTTGGATCCCAGTAACCGCATCAGCAGTAATTTCTCCTTTCGTCCGAGAGCATACCCCATGCTTTTCATATCTTCCGTCACGGTCAATACATACTCGAGTGCTTCCCGGGGCGTCGAAGCTTTGTTGAACTGTGAAATCAACTGTTTAAATTTATCGCGCGAGATGTATTGAAACATGTCGCGCGAGCGCAAGTCGGTATAGCATTCCCATGCCAGCACTGGGTTCTTTGAGCGTAGCAATTGCAAGGTGATATCGATCAAAAAGTGAGCGGTGGAGGCATCGGACTGTTGCAAGGCAGCCGACAGAATTTCATCGTAATTTTTGGTACCGCTCAGCAGACTTTCGTTCGATGGATGGGTCACTTCCGACGTGGTTTCTCGGGCTACCGTACTGGTATTCTTGGATTGCGTACTATACTGTCGCCGTAATGCGGAACAGGATGGTCGCGATGGTTTCACGGGAAGAGTATCGACTGTTCTCAGTACCATACCATTGTCCTGCCAACGACAAGAACCATTGTGCCTGTCGGTTGCTGTGACGTTGGGCAATGACCTTGCTGGTGATTTATGAGAAGGTGCGTTGTGAATGGCGTGAGCAGGTTGCTTCAATGCCCCTTTACATCGTCTGGTATGTGTTCTAGCAATATGACTGCGCAACCACAGATTTTCCAAAAGCTGGGCTGCCAACCAAGCATTGTGGGTGTTTTTGCTTCTCATGGCTGCCGTGATGGTGAAGAAGAATGAAAAAGAAAAGGGGGGAGGGCGGTTTCTTTTTGGATCCAAAAAATGAACCGGAGCGATGTTCAACAGTACTTGGTCTTGTCTACAAACTGGGCAAAAAGAGGTCTAAAGTTGCAGCCAAGCCAGCATCAGCTTACGTATGAGCGGGACGTACAAAAAAAAAAAAACGGATAAAATAAAACTTTCAGCAGGCACCTAGGCGTAGCTGTCGTGCCAATGAAATGGGAAGGGGGGTGGGGGCGACAATTTGCGGAAAGGAAACACCGTCCATGTCGATATTGAGGCTTATCAATCATCCCATGATTGGACATGTTTTACACTCCGATCCACCTCGTACTCAACTGGGCACGGTCGTATGAAGGAAATGCCAGAACTCGGATGTTCTGAGAACCTTCAAGTGTATGCATGCGTGCCACTGCGAGCGGTTGGATCAGACAAGGAACGAAAGAAATAATAAACATTATAGTTCCTGCTTGCACTTGTGTCTTTCTTGGTAGTCCAATTTTTTTAAGCTTCTGTTATCGATTGCTTTGGGCAGACTTCGATACAGCTGCAGCGGCCGAAAACGATTTGGCTGAATTTCACAGGACTAGCCAATAAAGCTTCATATGCAATAACAACAATCTAGTTGTATAAGAATATGCATTCTTTGGCGGTTAAAAATAATGGTACTACTACCCTGATGGCCCACGCATGGACAATAATAGTCAAATCATTGTACGGTCTATGTAATTTGACGCTGGGTTGTTATCGGTGCCTGTGCACTGGATAGTTAATCCAAAATCAAATGACAAGCGAAAAAAAATGGTTGGATCAGCCCGATGGTAAAAAAGAGATATTTGGCAGGGCCATGGCACTTTGAGAGTTTATTTTGACATGGCACAGATGACACGTTCACATAACAGTGAAATTGACAAAGACACCCACATACTAACAAGCCGTACACCCGCTGTGCAATGGATGCCACCTGCTACTGGACGTTACCCCCTTACATTGAGCGACATTCGTCAGACAAAAGCCTAACGCATACGGCATAACCTGGGCGAGACTCTTGATGAAACTTTAGTATATTAATGTCAATACTCTGGCATACCGTACAGTCATGATTTCCAAACATGTGTGCAGCACCTTTTGACCCCCTCTGTCCCGTCCCGCCCAAGGTTATAATAGATCTAGAATGATGTGTGGGAGTGTTGGGTATTAAAAAAATGAGTTAGGACGCTCTTTGATTGATTCAAATGGCGTCAAGATATTTTACCTTTGTTATGTGAGGCAGCAGATATCCAGAGCTTCCCGGCCGAAAAAAAAAGGAACGATACAAATATATAAAAAAGTAAAACAATAGGTGCGTCTGTAAAAACCCCTAAAAACCCTGTGGGAAAAAAAAGGAGGAAAAGACTGCAAGAAGTCTATCGAATAAAATACAAAGCACATACTACAAACTACAAAAATAAAATGGTCGGGAAGAAGATCAAAGACAACACCACGGGAAGTAATCCAGGTGAAGCCAAGCTGAGGAGGACGCGTAAGCGTTGCCGATGAAAAAGAGAGCCACACCACCGACGAGGCCCTTTTGACGACAAAAACCGGATTGGCAACATTTGATGCGCGAAACAAAGTCGAAAGATTTGGAGGGATGGATGACTTGCCAGGCGAAAAAGAAACCGGAGAGAAAACCAAAAGCTAAGGAAGAATAGGAAAAAGAACAGGTGTTTTTCCTTGTTGAAGAACTGATAAAAAACCATTTGATGGTACCTTCTGATTGTGATGGTCGATTTAACCGAGTCAGCTACACGGGAAAGCCATAGTCGTGGCGATGGACGCAGCTAGGAACTTGATGAAATAAAATAGTACCAGGGCTTCTTAGGTGAACCGAAGTTAGAGAAAAACGAAGACAAAAAGAAGAAAGGACCTAAAAATAAAAGCTTTAAATATAAAAGCGAAAAAGAAAAGGCTTCAAAAATAGAGCTCCAAAGAACAATGAATTCACTCTTTGTCAGGAAAAAGTCCAAAATAAAAACTGAAGATAAAGACTGTAAAGATAAAAGATGAAAGCAAAGGACGAAAGCAAAGGAGCATAAGACAAAATACAAACAGTAAGATATAAAGGAATAATAAAAACAACAACATAAGGGTAAAGACGCCACCAGAACCATCAACAAAGAACAATCGGGCTGATTCGTTGTTTCCATGCGTGACACTCTGGAGAATTGCGTCGTATACGGCATGTTGATCACGGTTTAGGCCCTCGTGTGTTTGGGGAACATTGGCAGCGTTTGCGATGAGATCAAATTGTTCTCTTACCAGTCTGGGCTGACGGCGAAGTATGCTTCTGCCAATTTCTTGGCGATCAGGAAGAACAAAGCGATCGTAATTCAGCAGTGAACTCGATTGGCGGTTCAGATGCTCTTCAATGTCCAGCAAAGCGCGATCGTACACGATTTATTGATGATCATTGTCTTGATTTTGATTGCTCCAAAAATGGATATAGTCTTCTGCCAAATGCTGGCGGAACTGCATCCAAAGCGCAAACGGGTCAGGAGCCTGACATTTTCTGTCCTTGTCGGCATGATTCATTGCTGCTGCAGCACGATCGTGGCCTTTGTGTATGTACAGATATTTGACGCTTTCCAGAGAAGTACAGATTTCGACGTTAATGTGAGCGTTATATCTTGCACAGAGGTACGATTGTGGTGAACAACTCATCTATTGTCCAGCTGGACATGGTTCATGACCACAAAATCACCATTGTTGCGACGACGGTATAACGGGTAACCACTGTGATTTCCGATAGTAGCTTCATTGAAGGAGCGCGGGTAACGCTTTTTACATGAGCCGTTTTCCATGCAGGGAGACCTCGGATGCGTTGTTCCACACGGACCGTGCATCATACATCTGCTGACGGTGTCGCAGAGATCAGGAATCTCTCTCTGTCCGGAAGTTCGGCACACACGATACGATCATAGTCATCAAATGTTCTCGGCTTATCCTCCGGAGTAACACCAAAAGCAAATGAAGATGCAGTAAGCCTCGCTTCTAAAACTCCGCCGTGTGTACATGGGTAACGACTCTTCCCAAACATGGTTCTTCTTTAGATCTTCCATCAGAGCTTTACGCTTCATGTTATAAATTCGAGCGCAAAGGTCGGGCCGATCAACAGCTGTCTGGTTTCGTTGCAATCAATCATATATATTTGTTTTTCAAAAATTACCCAATCAAAGCCGACAAATGTAGCAAAAACCCAATGTGACTGCCTTGCGACTGAAAATTAGCGCGCATAACTCCCAAACATTTTAATAATGGTAGGTATATGAGCGCACTGGCCTTGCTTATCTGTGTCAATAATGCGCGTCCGTTTATGACACTCGATCCATTTTTTTTCGTTCTTGACACGGCGCGCACATTATTATCATTCCTAACGCATGGCTCTGTATTTGCAATCTAACAAGGACGGACGATGATGGTGTGGATGAAAAATTAGACTGATTTACGGAATTTAAAGTGAACCTTCAAAAAACGCGACCATAACAATAGAAAGCTATTTACTTGACAATAAATCAAAGAAGATATAATACATGATGAAAAAGCGAAAAATAAGGGGTTATAGCTGGATGAGATAGGAGTTTACGATGCAGGATGGCGATGAGAAACAGGGGGAAGGAACATGGACGACCTCTGAGGGAGTTTGGATGGAACATTAAAAGCGATTCGCGATTTATCCGAGGGTAGACGTGACGAGTATCGATCTACAGAGAAAATTTCAAGGTGATATGAGCAAAAGACTCTAGACAAGGAAATCCTTCACAGCACATATACTTACTAAGGCTGGATTGCGGGATGGTATATGTATGGTTTTTTCGCTGGGGCGACTCATCTTTGAGGGACTGCACAGAAGAAGAGAGAGTTCGATTCACCCGTTTGGCTGGGTCGTAGTAACGGTGCTCTGCTGGTTCATGACGAAGGGAGGAATAGCGAACAGAAGTCGGTTTTGTTGTAGTATGGCCCATGCTCTGAACAAGCGTGGAGGGTCGAAGTTCTTCGCCACTGAGTGTCTTGCGTCGCGTTTTGATCAACGTGGTATCGGTAACTCGATTCGCGGTGGAAGTGACCGGGACTTCGGACTGTATAAGAGCGCTTCGTCGACGCTGACGAATGGTGGCTAGCACTTGTTTGGCCGATTTTGTGACTGACTGCGTGGTGGGAACCGAGGGGGCACTCCTGTCTTTATCGTCATCATTATCATCACTGACACGCAAATGCGGATTAAGCTGTGAAAATAAAAGGCAGTTTTTGAGATGAGTGAATCCCCAGAAAACCAGGTACAAAGAAAATGGTTTACCTTGGAATGCTGGTCCACGGTCATGGACCGCATGCGGGATTTGTAGTAGTATGCAGCCTCGAGATGGTTCTCCCTATCGATGACGGCCGATCGATGCATATCGTCTCGTCTTCGTGAATCCCGCATCGACGATCGAGGAGATTCTTCATGTGCAGCAGGATCATACCCCATGGTTCTTGCTCGTGAATGCTCCAGATGCGAATCTCGTTGAGTCGTCGGCTCATTTTTGGAATCAAATGGTCGCCAATATTTGAGCTTGGTGGAGGTTGGCAGAGGAAATGTGTCAAAGGCAGTGGAGGTGTGAGGTGGAGAGTGAAGCGGATCATCGCTACTGGGAAAAGAAGGAGCTGACTCCACGCTCGAGTTGTCGGAAAGGAACGAAAGCGTCGTAGACGCGGAGGAGGAAGTGTGGGACGATTGATGCGAGAGGGTAGGTCGACTAAGATGTCTTTCCTTTGAATTTTCTCTGGCCAAAGGAAACCGGCCCGTGACCGTTGTACAATACTTTGTCTCTTCAAGCGGAACGAGCTTTTTTGCCAACAATCGGGGTGATAAACTGGACGATAGAGCATCGTCCTGTGCAGAGGATTTATCACTTGCATAAGAAGCTAACGAGCGATGGCTATCATGACGTGGTGGTAGTCGACCTCTTGGCGATCCAATGGGATTTGGGGTTTTTGCTTGGGTGAGAGTGTCATACAAAAGGGCGGAACTTCGACGATCTGTTGTTACTCCTCGTTGACCTCGCGAACCATCATCACGGTAAGGCATTGACACCGCTCGCATCCTTCGCGCCGTCGATTCCGCAGCTGACAGTGTCTCGGTGTCCTGACGTTGATGTTCGGGCATCGAGTGGGTTCGATCCCGTAAACGGAAAGGTTCATCCTGCTGAGCCATGGAATACCGTATACGCTCACGGAGGCTGTAGGATGCGTTGGATTCACGATTTGTGTTGGGCATGGGCGCAACAGTATGGTCTGTATGGAACGGTTTTGGGGAGCAAGAGGAAGAAGAGGAGGATGAACACAACGGATCATCGGCAGGTGGCGAACCAGCAGCATGATCACGATGGGAGTTCAGTAAGCGATTTGTTCGGACTTTGAGGAGGGAGTAGCGGCGCTCTAAAAGGGCATCGCTATCTCGTCGTAAGGATATCAGTGCGTCCACATCAAGACTTTGCCGTTTAGCAGCCTTAGCGACCGGGGAGGATGCGGGTAAAGGAGAGGGACGGGAAGTGGTGGTGGAACGCGGTTTTTCATTGGTGGTATAGGAGCGTTGTCTACGAAGAAGCGTGGCGGAAGGAGAGGTGGTGGTGGTATTGTGGTGGTGGCGGTGAGTGGTTGTTCCAGATTGGTAGGAGGCTTCGACAATGTCAAGTAGTTGACGTGTTTTTTGGACGGACTGGTTTTGAGCTGCAATGGAGGTGGGATCGGCCACGGAGCTCCTGCGGAGAGTCATATTGTCTGCAGCAGCCGCAGAAGAAAGGGATGCATCTAATGAAAATTTACGTCCACTGAAAGACGGTGTGGGGCGGGGTGCAGTAGCATCTGCGGACGAAGATGATTCGGTCAATGATGCGGTAAGCTGATCTGTTCTCTTCTTATCGGACGGTAACTGAAGAATAGGGATGGGTTGACTGGATATATCGATTGAAAATTTGCACGAGAGAAAGGAGAAGAAAAGATAAAGATAGAGAGCCAGGATTTTTTTTTTGGGGGGGGGAGGAGGAGAATCGTATGTGTGCGTGTGTCAGTAAAATATGAGTAGTGGAGCGCATCTTGCTTCATGCAAAAAGGAACTTACAGAATGTCCCTTTTTGGATGTCGTAGAGGTGATCGACGATGAATATCATGACGGGTGGGGACTCTGCTAGAAGGACGTGACAAGGCAGCATTGAAGACAGCGGGATCAATAAAATCATGCAAATCGCTGGAGACAAGGTCGATCACGGTTTCTTCATCGCCTATAAACAGTAGTAGAGAAAAAAAAAAGAAAGTAAATATGGCCATGAACTTTAATGATCCGGTTGGATTTGAAAGCGCTTTGCAGGTACCATCATTAATTTTCTTGAATAACATGACGCTTTCGCTTCTGTCTTTTGCAGTTGATGAAACGGTCTCAGGAGAGTATCTTCTTTGACGTTGCCGTGAAGCGTAGTGAAAACCACTGGGATCTTCCTCCGTGACGGATGGTGGCATGGGCGTGATCAAGGTACGTGTTAATCGGAGAAGTTCGTCGTCGTCAATGCTGCGAAACGAAATGCGATAGTTATGAGGTTGGCGATCCATGGCGGGAGTAGGTGTACAACGTTCATCTTGTTCGAATGCGTCCAAGTCGATAATTTCGTCGGCTTGGAGACAGTTGTCTAGGTGAGAAAGGCGTGAATAGGGCATATAAAAACTAATTCGTTATATGAAATGTATGTAATAATGTAATATGTATTGTACGGTATAATCTATAAGCGTGTTAAAAAAATAGAAGAAAAGATGCAACCAATAGAAACCAAAAAGAAGAAAAGTAATGAAAAATGAATTGAACAATAAAGATAAACAACAGAAAGGAAAAGGGATGTACGGTACAATAATGAGGAGACGCAAAAAGAAAAAAAGATTTTGCAAAAAAAAAAAAAAAAAAAAGCAACCGCACCAAAAAGGTTGGCTGCAACAAAAATGCTGACGAGGTCAGTGCCCAAAGACCTTTAGGTTACAAAGACGTACTAATACGATCGCTCAACGTCATGAAATATAAAACGGCAACCACGATAGGATTCATAATTTGGTTTATATTTGTACTACAATGCAATCTCTTTGGATCCCTTCCCTATTTTCTTTGTTTACGGATGGGGATTCACCCCCTTCCAACGTTCTCCATTTTCAAAAAACGCTGACAATCCCAACTATTCAAACCTACCCCACATTGAACATGTCTTTTTTTTTCACTTGAAGTGACTCACAGTCGTCTTAAACCTTTTATCCAAACGCGCATGACCTTCTTTTCCACTGAACGAAGAGGGAGCGGAAGAGGTGTTGGACAATCAAAAGCGAAAAATGATCTGTTTTCTTACTTTTTGACTCCTTGTTGTTACGCCACCATTTTATCTGTTTTCCGCCTTGCTTTTTTTCTAGGCTTTGCAGACAAGAAGAAAATCAAAAAAAAAAATTGCGCTCCACGTGAACGATGCAATGGTTTTTTTTTTTTTTTTTTTTTTTTACTTTCGGGCGAAAAAGGTGTAAAAAATCAAACGGCGACAGCGAATAACGAATAACGAGCTGAGAAGATCACAACGCCTCACAAAAAAAAACCCCTCTTTACCTAAAATGAGCATTCCGAATACATGAGAGAGCGTTGGGTTACCAGAGGCAAATATTTTGTTTACTTTGAACGGTTTTGCCCTTTTTTTTCCCTTTGGCCCATACAAATCACAAAACCCCCCTTTTTCTTTTTGATAGATCGCGGAGGCTGCGTTCCGAACACATTCGATCATTGGTTCTGTGTATGGTAAACAAACGATGACATGACTTGGTGCATCGACAGTGGACATCCCCTTCTCAATCCGTTCATTGGAGCAAATCGCAAAACTGCCGCTTTTTTGAGCGGGAAAATCGCGCTGTTTACGGTCAATAAAGGAAATCAATCAAGATAGACAAAATGTTTGAAATATGGATCGAGCAGAAAAAAAAAAGCCCGCGATGCGCTATTTTTTGTTCCTTTTTTCTTTTTTCCAAATACACAACACATCATCATTATCATCATCACACACATGTATATTCCCCCCCCCCCCCAATAAAAACGGATACCGTCGGAAAGGGGTAAGAAAAATAATAATAATAATAAAAAAAGACAACTTGAGTTGTAACGCCCATCAACAGAACTTTAAATTTTGAGATTTTTTTTTTTAAGTTTGGAAGTTCCCATTTCATGATCATTCAATTTTTTTTTTTTTAACTTGACCCATTTTTTCCCCTTCTCTCTTCTTGTTCCATCAATATGATCATCATTGATAATGTTAAATATGCGTGTATCAGTAAGTTAAAAAGACTGAATGGTCATCGTCATCCTTATGATCCATTTCCTAAAAGACTCATTTTTTTGACTGCTTCCTTTCATTGTGTGTTTTCATCCACTTCCTCTCATAGCATGTATCAAGGTCAGTAGGCAGAAACAAAAAAGAAAAAAGAAAGAACCCGGATACTTGTCACAATCCAAGTTATTGACAGATCATGTCATTTTTATCAAATGAAAAATTTCATGGCTTTAATTTTCCATATGCAGGGTCACCGTTCTTCACAATGCACACATAAAGATAGACAACTCTTACCCATTCGACCTAAAGGAAGACCTGTCAGTCAGTGCGAACGGTGTCGCGAACAACGACTCAGCAGTAAAGTTCATCAAAAATGCGTTTGTTCCAGGAAAAAAACGGCCATCGGTAATTCATCCCTCTACTCATCATTTCTTGTATTTCTAATATCCTTGTCAAAACCAAATAATCTGACCCTTTTTCTTTTTTCTCTCAAATAGATAAGAAAACCTTGAGAAAGAAGCCATTCAGTGCGCGCCAAATGATGGCAATTGAAGCCCTACTCTTGTAAATATTTCGACTGCGCGAAAAAAACAAAACAAAAAAAAGAAAAAAAAACATTAGCATTACATCCTGTTATTTAGTTACGTTATCCCCGAGTCTTTCTCTTGTCTATTTTAGATGGCGTAAAATTTGATATTATACGTTCTTCATTTTTCATACCAGCCTATCCTTGAATATCATTAAAAATACCGTCATGCAAAACAAAACTGCCGTGCTGTTGCGACGGACCAATTCATCATCACCGGCACGACAGGCGCCAGGACCAAAGTTACCTATCCAAAAAAGAGAAAAATTGCCGCGTTGGCACCCCACCCCCTCACACTAAACGAATCTCCCGCTTCCGGGAACCAATCACATGCGACAACTTTTTTTTTGGGCACCGCATGTCCCTCACCTTCCTAGTTTCTCACTGCAACCATGGATCCACTGTCGTTCACACTCTCATTAACTGTATATCATTCAGTGACTCTCCTCTAATTTCTTCTCTAATTATACGTCAATAATTATAAAGGCTGCGAGATAATGCGTTTTAACCATACAGTTTAGATGCCTTTTTTTTTAACTAGTCGTCACCAAGACAAATGACTGCAAATGCCTCTTATACTACGCTATAGTACGCACTTATTGTCCAGGTTCGTTGATCCAGTTTCATTGGTTCAGATAACTTGCAAAAGTAATTAGAGAAAACCCCCTCATTTTGTGATTCTGAAAAATGACAGTTCTAACAAAAGTCACGCCATGACTTGCTTTTTGACAGAAGTCAAATTTTGAGATAGGCGACGGCTTTTTGCCTGAAGGAAATGTCGGCCTGAACCCATTTTCACCGTTTGTCTCGTATACATAATGGGTAAAAGGACTACCTAATGGATCGACTTGACTCATTACGCTAATATTAATCTTGTCTCTTAGCTTTTAATTTTGGCGCTTCGAATACAAATACCACGACGGGTGGATTTGGCGGGTTTGGACAATCAAGTAAACTATCTTTTTTCTCTTCTTTTTTCTTGTGCGACGCGATATTTTGCAGTTCACAGGGTAGCTAATGGCATGAACGGATTAGACACCAATACCAATACACCATTTGGCGCTCCTGCTGCTACCTCAGCACCAGCTACCACCGGATTCGCATTCGGTAACAATGCCGCCACACCTGCCGCGCCGACATTTGGCTTGGGCGGTGCTGCCACCACCACTACCCCGGCTCCTGCAGGAAGTGCCTTTGGTACAGCCTTTGGCAATCCTTCCGCCAACACCGTGTCGCAGTCGCAACCGCCATCGTCAGCTTTTACGTTTGGTGCGTCAACTACTCCTTCAAGCGCATCCGCAACAACGAGTGCATTCGGTGCTCCAACATCCACGACACCGGCTTCCGCGCCATTTACCTTTGGTGCCAACAGCAATACAATTGGATCAGCCACCACCTCCACCGCTGCACCCACGTCCACACCAGCTTTCAGCTTTGGCACCCCCACTTCAACCACTACTCCCCTTGGATCGACCGCCGCAAGTCAACCGCCCGTCTCGGGATCGACCTTTAGTTTCGGCGGGAATACCTCCAGTGCCAGTGCCGCTCCTTCATTCAGCTTCGGTACCTCTTCCACCGCTGCCAATACCAGCTCTACCTCCATCCCATCCGCACCAAGCTTTAGCTTTGGTGCACCCACTCAAGGAGCTACAGGTTCGAATGCCACCGTCACATCTCAACCGGCCTCTGGTTTTAGCTTTGGCACCGGGGCTACTGCCTCCACCGTGTCATCAGCTCCAAGCTTCAGCTTTGGTGCTGCTACAAGTGCATCAGCCTCCAACGCATTCGGTTCCTCGCTCACAGCAAGCGCAGCACCAGGTAAACTTATAATGATTTCACACAAAACCGCAATTGGAAACCAATCGGGGACAAAGCTGGATTTTTGTCCATATGGATCATTCCGTGCTCATGATGCTGATACGGAAATTCTCTCTTTTTTTTTCTCTTGTTACAGCCGGTTCATCGCTTTTCGGAAATACTGCAACAACTGCTGCGTCCAGAGGTTCGACAGCGGGAGGGTTTCAGTTTGGTGGCACACAGTCAGCTACATCTGGATCAGGATCCACATTCAGTGGGTTTAATTTCGGCGGCAGTTCGTGTAAGTAGTGTACATGGACAAGGCTGGCCTAATTTAATTTTTTGCCTAAACATTGAACTTCTTTTCAGCGAGTGGAGCAACAACGACGAACAACCCCACCACTTCATTTGGTGGACTCGGTACAAGTACATTAGGATTGTCGGGTCCTACGCTGACCACGGCCCCTACGGCATCCACGAACGCCAGTGCCAATGCTCCCGTATCTATACCCGCTTCCTTGAAGAACAAATCGATGGAGGATCTGTTAAACGTATGGACCAAAGAATTGACCAAGAAAACCGATGAATTTCATAAACAAGCATCACAAGTGGCGCAATGGGATCGTCAACTCATTAAAAATGGAGAACAGGTAAGGTTCAAAGACGGAGGTTGAAACAACCCAGATCATTTAGCTGACCTTTTTGGACTGCATAATTTGGGGGATCAACAGATTTCACAATTACATACTAGCACAGAAGAAATCGAGAAATTTCAGCAGGAAATCGATCAAAACCTGGAATATGTCGGAACTCAGCAGGAAGAGCTCAGCAACATCCTTGATGCCTACGAACAGCAAATCAAGACCGTGTTTGAGGAGAGCAATTTGCAACAAGCGGTTCAGCCTGCGGATGTTCAACGAGAAAGAGCGTATGGTCTCGCTGAGAATTTGAACAATCAGTTGGATGATGTCAATCGAAATCTGACCATCATGATTGACGAAATCAACGGCATGAGCACAAAGTCGCAGGTGAACTCTAACCAGCATGATGACGCCGATGTGGTAAGGCCCCGGGATCTAAAAAAAATAATGAAACATGCAGCACGCAGTGGACTAAAGAGAAACTGTATCAAATTCTTGTAGGTGGGGCAAATTGTCAAGATTTTAAATTCGCATTTGTCATCATTACAATGGATCGACAAGGCCTCTGTCTCTTTAGAGAGTCGCATGGGGGAAGTCATGAAATTGCAGGAAGAAGCTTTGAAACATCAGCAACCTATCTTGAGAAAATAAATAAAAATGACGCATGTCAACGGCCAACCGTAAAAAAGATTCAAAATAAAAATACAGAGAATACTATGGGTGGAAAAACCAGAAAGAAACAGGTGTGATGAAATGTGGTCATGATGGGACATTTTTCTTTCTCCTTTTTGTTTACCCCTTGGGTGCATAAAAGCACCTGGGCGGAGATTTTGTGTGAGTGTGAAAATTGTATTCATGTCATTTGGCACATTTCGCTTTCTGATTTCATCTTGACAATGTGCTTGTTTCTTATTTTTGCTGACTTCATTTTGACATCGATGGGACTCAATGGCGGATATAAAAAGTGTGCCGATAAGAGGGACACCAATGTCAAACCCGAATATAACTGAACCCACTCCCTTCTTATTGTCATGAGCGAATATCAGTCCAACGACTTTGTCACCAGAAGAAATGATCCTTACGCCTCAGGCGGTTATGACGGTAATGAAGCATAGCTTTGCAGAAAAAATACTATCATGTGCATTTATTTATTCCTTATTCAACGCTAGAGGACGCTCCATATCGTCCCGATCCCAATGCAGGCGGTATGTACTGGAGAAAAGGATTGCATGAAAAAAGAGTGAAAATAACATTTATCCAAAAAATTTCAGGAGAAAATCCTGGTCATCGTTATGACTTGAGAGAATCCACTGAAGCAACGGAAAACAGCCACGAATATGATGAGTCCAAGATGTTTGGTGATGCGCCTGCTTTCAGCATGGACGAGCCTAATGCTGATAAGGACGTTACACGCCTAATCCAAGGAGAGGTCGCAGCCAGCCATCGTCAGGATCGCTCCCCCGAACAGCGCGCCAAGAGCGCTCAAAAGGCCAGCGATAATTACGAACAATTGACTGGTAGTCCTCTTGAAATCGACAAAGGTAAAACGCATCACAAACTATACAACTTGAATTGATCAAACATGTATACTCACTCATCGCTATTTTTTTTTTTTTTTTTTTTTTTTTATGAAGAGGGACGCGTGGTTGAAGATAAATAAGCATCTTCATCCGATATTGTATTTTTCTCTTCTTGTGTACATAATACGATGATAGTGTGAATAATAAACGAAAAAAAAAGCGAATTTTCCATCGCATGGCTACAGTGTTTTTTGAATATCGGATAGCAAGGTTGACAATTCGTCGCTTTTAGGAGCGAATCGTAGGCCCATGGATGCCGCGGTTTCGGCTTCCTTGGTGCGTTGTAAGGCAAACAAGGCTTTTGCCTTTCGAAGCCAACCTGTGCTCCAATCTCGTTTTAAACGCGTCACCATCTCACCATCTATATAGGCTGCAATATAGTTCTGATCGGCAAAATACGCGGCCGATCGATGACTGAGAAGAGCAGTGAGTTCTTCGCGTACAACTTGGAACGCAAACGGTTGCCAGAGTGGACGAGAGAATGACAACTGAATTGCTTGAGTATAGAGTTGGACGGATTCGGCGTAGTGATGGGTTTCAAATTGCTTGTTTCCTCTCTCTTTGAGACGGGCAATCTGTGGCGTAATGGTACACTGCGTGTTATCGGTGGGTGTTAGTTCTGGCGTGTTTTTGAGCGTAGCGGCCAAATCGTTATGGTGAGACCAGTCCATGTCGCATACGTCGCACGTTTCTTTCTGGTGAGATTGGCAGCATACACGGTCGCCGTCAGTGCTGATGATGATGGAGGCCATGGATGAATGGTGTGGGTCAACAACGTTCAAGAACGGACAGGGGAAATAAAAATGAGTGAAAAGGAGATAAACTCGGTTAATAGGTCTTTTTATTTATTTATTTATTTGGGTTGGCAAAAACTGGCCAATGTCATAAGGACATTCTTTGTTGCTTGGATGCAGTCGTCCATAGAATTACCAGCATGTGAACGGCCCTGTTTATTGCATGAAAAAAAAAAAAAACTCCACTTGCCAAAATAAAATAAAAAAATTGGTTGCACGTCAAAAAAAATTCGGCAACGGCGAAATCGGCGAGTAAGTTAGGAGTAGACAAACGATTACCTTGGGTTTTGTATGGCATGCCTACGCATCAGGTACCATAGGCACTTGCCACTCGGGGTTCTTGGATAAGTGACTTGACAAAATTTCATCTTGGACTTAGGTTTCGGACAACGACTGCCGCGTCGCTAGAGTGAACAAGGTACCCTATCGTCATTGCCCAAAGATCCTTGACAAACAACTCACCTTTGTCTTTTTGCCCAATGGCAGGAACCATGCTTGGTGAATTTTTTCGATCAACCTTTAGCCTTTAAGAGGTAGGAGCGCTAATATAAGTCGATGCGAGTCGCAAAGCTAAAATGTCGTTCACGGCAGTGACAAAGGAGATCTGGATCTGGTCATTGATTACTATTCTATTGATCAACTGCCGAGTCATTTACGCTCCTGGAGCTTTGAGCTGGTGAAATCCAATTTGTATCACATGTAAGATTTGGGTGCTTGCTTTAAATGTGGATCTAAGGGAGTAACGGTTGAGTACCCGGGACAGGTACGCTGCTTCTAAAGATGGCTGGCATGACGAACAAAAAAAAGAAGAAATGCGAGGGCCGGAAGCTCGCTATCTTATTGCTCGATCGGCTTCCGATCCTTCCGATCTGAAAGGATTCTTATTATTCCAAATGACCTATGAAGAAACAATGGATGATGACAAGATGGCCGCCGTAGCCTACTGGTGAGTCTCCATTAATTGTTTACAAATTGTCCTTCTGCTGTGATATCTGACGCATGGTCTGACGTGGTGGTCAAAATTTAGTTACGAACTACAGTTGGTACCGGAAGCTCGGAATCAAGGTTTAGGAGAGTATTTGATGCAACTGTTGGTGGATATTGGGCATCACTGGGGAATGGAAAAGGTGATGCTGACAGTATTTAAAGGTATATATATATATATATATATATATTGCATGGGATCATCCGTGTGAGTGCCGTCTCTGTGACGACTTATATATGGGTTCCATCACTTTTAGCAAACAAAAGCGCAATTCGGTTTTACACAAAGAAGCTCGGGTAAGTGGTGTTTTTTTTTTTCATCGTCGCAGTCATTTGAATGCTCAATTTTTTAATACGTGCAAGTAGATTTGATTTGGATGAAATCTCTCCAGGGGCGTGTTTATCAGCTCTGCAAGCCCGTAAATTTGACTATGAAATTTTAAGCAAACCATGCTAAAGATTCCACCGAAGAATGGATTGCGGTTCGAGAGGACATTTTGAAAAAATTTGCTAACGTCAGTTACAGTCTGTTTGTCGTGCTGTTTGTTTATATGGAAAAATAGACCATGTCGTCTAAAGTTTAAGGGCTGAGGTTGAGTTTGTATCAAGGTACCTTGAAATGGGTAATGTCAATGACGGAGGAGCAATAACGTTTGATAGTCTGACGATGGTATCATGGAGCTGGGTCACGTCTCTCTGGAGATCGGTGCATAGGCTAAGTGTAACGGTGTACAGCCATATGATGAATTGGAGTGTATTCATGGTCTGTCGAGAATGGGCGTGATGATTTGCAGGGTCAGTTTACTGAGATGGTGAATCAAATATGCTAAAGTCACTAGAAGAAAGCAAGAAAAAATCGGAATTGATAACCTTAAAACAACACCCACATCCTCCCTTTTTATCAAAGGCGACATTCCATTGCATAAAACGCATTCCCATGAAGTAGAGTCCACCAAAAGAAATATTCATTCACCTATGGACATAAAGCACTTGGTTGTCCATTGTACTTCATTGGCCCTGGAAGGGTGAACGATTGGCCGTAGTCACGGTAAAAGGGCGCTGGACACAGTCTCCTTTTTGAAGAAATTCGATGCCGATGATGATGTTCCTTGTTCATGTGCAACGTTGATTTACCTTGGGCGGATATAGTAGATGCGTCTTATTTTGAAACCAAAGAATAAGATGGGGGGTAGGCAACCAACCAACGAACTAGTGGTAGGTAATCATATCACTGTACTGTACAAATAAAAAAAAAAACCGAGAACTCAAAATGAAAAAAAGAACATTGTCGTATGCAGGAGTACGTATTAATAGCTTTAGCAAGTCATTGCAACAGAACAAGGACGGCCAATGTGACACGGTCGCCATGTTTCTGTGATTCCAGAACCACAAACCAGCCAAGAAATACAGTTACACATGAATGGCCATGGTGAACGTTATACGAAATCGGCCGAAAACCTCGATTTGGGAAAAAGTTCTGTCTGAGCCAAATCCACTTCTAGCACTACGTAATGGCTACCTTGTTTTGCAGCCACTGAGATTCCTTTTGTTATTTTTGGATTGATTCACTCTTAGCTGTAACAATTGTCCCTTATTTTTATGTACCTCTGTACCAAGCATGACTTCAAGAATCACTTTACCATCGATTCATTGCTTATTACATGCCACTGGCTTGGAAACGAATCATCACGGCTACCTTCCTGATCTGCCGCCATTATCACTTCACCATGACATGCCGCCGCGTGTCCCGCAGCAGCAACACCAACAACAGCACAACGATGCATACCCTTCGCCACCAAGCACAACGCATGTCGGCCCATTATTTACGAGGCCTGCGATCCCCAAGCCAGAAGAGACCGTGATCCCGCCGCAACGACGACGAGCATCTTCCTTTTTTTCTTATAACAATGAGCATATCGCTGTTGCATTTTGTACGTCTTCTTTTCCAAAGCAACAGCATACCGATGTATCGCTTACAGAGGCTACCAACGCAGAAACGCAGGATGATGATGAAACGAGGGATTCGGATGACTCGTTGCTGCGACGACCGTCGGCTCAGCTCTCTCTGACCCACCATCCTCGACGTAAATCTTCCAGTGCTTCTTCTTCTTCTTGCCTGGATGAAACAAAGAGAGATATTGCCGACCACGTGCGTCAGATGCAATGGCATCGTACCATCAACCTTTCCGATGATTTATGGGTAAGTGTTTTTTCTTTTTCCAGCCAATATCACATCAATCAAGCAGCATGGTTTTGCTCTCTTTCATGTGTAGGAGGAAACCTGTCGTCACTACTTGCAAATCCGCCAAATGAAAGAAATGAAGAATCGCCACCCCAACCGCAAATGTAAGCACATCCTTGTCAGCATCTTGTACGTGCTTTGTCGAAAACACAACGACCCTCGCACCTTTGCCGAAATTTGTACCGCAGCCAATGTCCGCAAGCAAGAAATTGGGGCCTATTATCGCCTGGTGCTCAAATTACTAAAGACATCCACGGTCGGCTTACGCACCGTCAATATCGAAGAGTGCTTGCAACGTTGGTGTAGCACCATGGAATTGCCTCCGCTCATCCTACCAGCCGCGATCTGCGTTTCACGCCGCGCGGCCGAGCTGAATTTGACTCAAGGCAAATGTGCAATTTCCCTCGGCGCCGCCAGTATCTACCTATGCTGTCAAACATGGTCCCATGTACGCATCCAAAAGAACTGTCCCATTAATCCATTGTATGACATTTGGCAAAGCCATAAAGAAATTGCCATGACCGCCGGCGTCGTGACCGCCACCCTCATCGGTTGCTACCGATTGCTGCGACCGCATGTCCATACCCTCTTACCTGACTGGTTTCTTGTCGCGGCCGCAAGCGACTTGTCTCAAGACCCAGCGACCCGACCAGTCTCGAAATAACACCCCATTCTCTTCTTTTATCATTTCGCATTTGAACCAAAACAGACTTCACTCTTTCAATTCTTACTTCCATAGATGTAGCATATGTTTAAACCACGCATTCTCCTATACATTTTATTTTTTCTTTATCATGCGAAATCAATACAATGTTCACACAAGTGCGATGTGGCATGAACTTTCTTTTAAACAAGGTCCACGACACATTTGATGAAACCAACGTTCAACTATGATAATTCTTTTTACGTACCAGCGGATCAACCGGTTGTGCGTCACTTCCTTGATCCTTCTTACTTGTTGGATTACCCACAGGTTCCTTTCTTGACTTTGTTGTAAAAATAAATCCCAGTCGAACATTGCATGTCCTTTTTATAGCTGGTTACAATCTTGTCTTGTACTGCTTTGTCTTTCTGTTGCCATTCCTCACCCCAAGCATATTACTCGGTCTTCCAACCTTTTCACCATGTTACATTTTAGGCCACACTGCATGTTCAACGAATCGAATTCTTTTTTGTTGAGAAATCAGGTTGTTTTGAGCCAAAAGGACTGTGGTAAATGGTGGCACCTTTCTCAACCGCAGTGTCACATGTTGTTGGGGCGATCACAGCAAGTAACATGGTAGACGTGCATACAAATACAGGCCATGCTCCAGCTCTTGCCCTTTTTTTTTTTTTTTTTTTTTTTTGTCGCTGGAGTACTTTTTAATTTACAAAATAAACAATCACTTGTCGAAACCCAAAGTACCAAGAAGCATCTGCGTGAGTTCTTGGGTTCGTTAGCTGGGTTCTTTTGACTAAATGGATGGCTGCTTTCAGGGCCTGATAAAATACATGTAATTAGAAATCATTGGAAGAAAATCACGCTGATGCGGATACCATGCACAATATGAAATGGTTTAGATGATGGGGAGTCCAAAGACGAGTTAAATCTATGCAACATCAGAGCGCAAATGATTGCGGTTTCGGTTCTACTGCAGCCTGCTGCTTTTCACCGAACGGAAGCGCAACGTGGGAGGAGGAGGTGGTGGTAAATCTCTGGGCGGGTAATTCGTAACGGATGCCGAGTTGGGTCATGATATCTTTGAGGGCAATCATGAACCGTGTCTTGCGTTGATGGCGTTTACCGATTTCCTGCCAGTTGCCCTTGTGAGGCAGCCACAGGGTCAGGATCAGCTGGTTCACATCTACAATGTCGGCCACACGCAGATCAAACCCAGGGGCAAAATCGCGCGATTGACAGTTTACCCAATCAGTGATACGTTCTTTCAGTATATACAATTGCTCGGTGGGTGTACGGAAATCGATGGTAAGCGTAATGGTTTCGCCCATATCGCCGGATCGTCGCACATTGGTAATCAGTTTGGTCATCAATACCGTCGTCGGCGCGTACACCATTTGCCCATCGGCGCGAATAAACACGGTGCCCATGAGGCCGAGATTGTGGACCAAAAGGTACTGTCCATCAATCAGCACATAATCGCCTGCATCGTACGGGTGCGTGACAAACACGAAAAGGATACTTTCAAAAGTGTTTTTCGCCGTGTTGCCAAACACAAATGTCAGCGCCAACAGGCATGAACCCAACGGAACAAGCGAATGCCACACATCGACTTGAAAGATGGCTAGACATATAAAGATATTGGCAATAATACTGATCAGCAACAGCATGGCATCGATCTTTCCCAAGGCTTGACCAGTATCGCGCAACGACTGAGCCAGTGCTTTGCGTTCCTTGTAAATGTGAAGCACCGTGTCCCGAAATTCGCGGCGTGTCAGATTCCCATTGCCGTCGTTATCGAACACGGCAAATGCTTTTTCGGCTTCTTCATCAGAAGAAAAATACGGACGAAAATCGTGCACGTCCAAACACCTTTTAGGATCCTCGCCGCCATAAGGTACGCCGTGAGGGTAAGCCAAGGAATAAAACAACTTTTTTGCCACCTTTTTGGCAAACATTGTAGAGTTCACATCAACTTTGGCCTTTTCAATTTTTCCGTGCACATTTGGTTGATCGGTCAGAACGATATGCTGGAATCGTTTTTGCAACTGACTGAAAATGTCAGTGGTACTGTTGTGTCTCGGCAACCGTGCACTATCGTTGTTGATATTCCCATCCGCACTTGCTCCTGGCGGATCATCGGCCAAGGAGACAACGTCCGGCGGCGTCGTACCTCGTGTTGCCGCTGCACTTCGGAATGGACGCAGGGGCACCCGACTATCAGGCCTGGTTCGACGAACTTCAGACTGACTTAGGGAGTCAAGAACTAACCTCATGTTCGATGAGCTCATAAAAATAGTAATAATAATAATAATAACAAGAAAAAGCCAACAGGGCATCAAGTTAATTTTGGCCACACTTACTTTTAAGGGCGTATTTGCTTTCGCGGATACGGTCTTCATAGGCGGATCGATGAAATCGGGTGGCTAATAACCCGGCATTGTCACATATTGGTTTCATTGTTCGCCATCAATATATCATTTTTCTATGCATCGTAGCAAGGCGAAGCAACCTACCGATGATTTGGATGATCAGCTTTTGCACAAACAGAAAACATGCCGTGAAAAAGAGACAGGAAAAGATGTTGCAAATGACGAGGGAATACGGTTGCTGGGTTACTGACTAGAAGAAGCGGGGTATTTCATTGTCATTAAACGGAGACCATTTGTCATTATTTTTGTATAGATTTACCGGAAAAGGAACATCCAACAAAAAAGCCCACGAACCCCAATTCCAAGCCGCAATTAACAGAATGGTCAGATACCGTTTGAGGCTCATATAGTACTAGAAAAAAAAGCGTCATCGCAATGAATCATTGTGTGAGCGGCTAATTTTTTCAGGCGAGGCCTACCTCTAGACGAGTTTTTACATGTTCTGACCTTCGGCCTTTGCAAACCTTGGTCCACAGGGAGACGGCGGACGGGACGAGTTCGACAACCATGGTAGTGAGCCAGCCGATATGCCACATGAAGGCTGCCCACAGCATCCAGCATTCAACATTGCTTCGGACATTTTTAAATTCGGGCTGTTCACGTTCGCCCGAGGTAGGCGGCGGAAGAAAAACGTACGAGGAAATGGCAATGCCCAGGAAAACAATGGACCCGGTGACAGCAATAATAAATCGCTTCATAAACGGAGACAAAAAATGCCAGCAGCATGGTCGTTGCATCACTTCGTGAAATTTTTGTCGTGCCGTTTTGCGTCGTCGAGGCCGTGGCTGGTCGGGATCTTCGTTCCAATCAAATTCATCGTCGTCGTCTTCTTCGTCAATACGATGATGCCTATGCTTTTCATGCATATCATTGACTATTACGGCAGGTTCCTTATTATCCGAAAAGGGATTTTCGTCTATTTGGGTCAACGGGTCCTTCCAAGAGGTTACATCACCGTGCTCATGGGATGGGTGGTGAGCCACAGCGGGGATGCCTTGTCGTTCAATGTGGACGGTGTAAAAAGCAGATGGTCTCGGACCCGAATAGAGTTCTTTTTTTTGTGCAACCACGGATGGATCTGAGCCTACTTTTTCTATTTTACAGGGTTGGACAAACAATGCATATAACACCAGTGGATGTGGGCCGTTTTTTTTTTTTTTTTAATACCTTGAACCCTCTTTTCTTTGTCAACCGAAAACGCATGCACGGAATTGACGCGCTTCATCTCGGTCGAACGTTGAATGTTCGAAAGAAAAAAGAAACCACCCACTTAAAAAAAGGGAATCCATAGAAAATCGAGATCCTTTTTGTCCATCGAATCATTTTAAGGACAAAAATGAGGCATTCCCATTGGACGCTGTTCCTCAAATTGATTGGTTCCCTTTGCGAGCAATTTTTTGCAGCGGGAAGACTAGACTTGGAATGGCTGCCCCATCCTCCTTCACTGATAAACATGGAGGACAATGAAATAGAGGACACGATTTTTTTTTTTTTTTGGATCTCCCATGAATTCAGTAGATGAAAAAAAAAATTATTGGCACGACACGAGAGAAAGCCGAGCTGGCTTGTGCGTCTGTCGACTTTTTTTTTTTTGAACGCAAAAGAATCGCATACGGAGCCAAGCATTTTTGTGACACGGTGCGCAAGCGGCCATTCTGTGTAGATGTATTGTCAAGAAGATGATTTGACTTTGACAAGCTGACAAATCGAATACTGAACAAGCATTGTTTAAACACGTCGAGGCGGTTGATGGGGCCCCAAAAAAGAGGAGGCAATCTTATTCAGTCAGTAGACTACAGCGTAGAGCCTACAAACTAGAGTTGTCGCCCATTCTGTCGGAGCTAAACCCCCATCAGGGTCCAATGAAGCTATTGTCTGTTCTGTAACGTAAAATGACATTGTGTTTAAAAGGCAGAACGCTCCAGTGCACGTTTGGATAAAGTTTCCTCATATGCTACCAGTTGCTAGGGTTTTTGTTTATCTAAACTGTAGCAAGTCCATGGAATGGACCTTTTTTTTTGTTATTCTTGTTTCATCCTCTTCAGAGCATGATAAAACGCCTTGGTTGATTGACCCATCGATATGTTATCGACGATGTGAATCCGCGGAACCAAATCGATGGTGTGATCATGGCACATACATACAGTCAGTCAATCTATTTATTTTACTGCGTGCTACTGCTTACTGCGTGCAGACAAACAGAGACCGTTCATCCCTGTCACAAGCTTTCCCAGCCTAGGCTTTTTTTTTCATTCGTTACAGTTCGCCAGAAAAAAGTTGGTTGGGAAAATGGACTAATGGAAAATAAACTATGCTCTCACCTGCCTGTTTGTCAATCTGTCTAGGCAAAGGTGGCTTTGCTTAATGTAGAGAGAGAGCTTCAGTCTCCATTCCAAGTGATATCATTGTGGCACCGTCATCAATCAAATAGAACTTTGGAAGATAATTAGGCTTCTGGATCGACTTTCTGAGAAAAAAATCTTGGCAACGGAAAAAGGTATCCAAGAAAACGTTGGGCTGCATAGTCGCATCATCGACACATGAAAGAAAAAACAAGGACTATTTTTCTTTGTCTCTCCGTCTTTTTTGCTGTTGTTGATGTTGTTTTTTTTTTCCTTTTCGTCTTTCAGGGATAGGCTTGGCTATTTTTTTTTTTTTTTTTACTTGATGCGACGGAGATGCTCGGGAAAAAAGCATGTGCAGGCAACGTGCCTTTTTTTCATGTATGCATGTCAACCCGAGTTTATACCAGTTTAAGACCAGTTGCCCAAAAGATTCTACTCCTTGCTAGAAAATTTCCCATGACAGAGGGTTTGAATAAGAGATTTTCTTTATCCGAGATGGCTTGGTGTGTGTAAACAGTGTTAAAGGCTGTTGGTCCATGTCACGAGGCAACGGCGGGGTTGGAAAGGGAAAGAAGCCCCTCTTGGAAGCTGTGGTGTAACCAGGCAATTTACAGTCTGCCTTTGAAAAAAAAAATAGCCTGGAAAAAAAGGTCCAAGCAAAGCCAGTGGGAAGGTGAAATCGTATTTTAACAGGCGTTATCCCACTTGCTTTCTTGCTTTCTTTTTTATCTTTAACCTCCAAATCTTTTTTCTTTCCTTCTATATCCTTCTCGTCGTGCTGGCTCACGGCTCTGTTTATTGACCCTCAATAAAAAGCAACCCCTTCCCATTTCATTCCCTTTGATTATTTTGTTGTTTTATTCCTCCTCCATTGATATCTTTTTGATTGCTCAATTTGTTCTCTGTGTTTTTTTTTCTTCCCCGACATTTGTACAAGCAACCTCCATTCCAAAAAAGCTCCTCCTTCTTGTTTATTGTTTTCAAAAAAAAAGAACCATGAATGTAAAAAATCAAGCACACATTGCACGACCGTTTTCCACGCATGCTCGGCCTTTCGACCGTCCGACCGCTTCCAGTCGGAAACGAACCCATTTAAAACCGCATCAATTGAAAATACTTCTTGAATCGTTTGCCGATAATGAGTTACCGGATGCGGATATCCGTTATCGACTGGCCCAGACTCTGGGCGTTTCCACTCGCACTGTCCAAATCTGGTTCCAAAACCGTCGGGCCAAGAAGCGCAAACTGGAAGCACGACCAACCACTGCCTCCGGCGGGGTTCAGCCACCGACCCAGGAGGCTGTCAATTCATCCACGACCGTGGCCCACAAACCCATTGCTCCTTCCATCCTCTCCAATTACTCGCCTCCTTCCGACTTGCAGCACCTACCTACCGCCCATCTTCAGCCGGTCTTGCAAGCTATGCCCTTGCCCACCCCGGGCCTCAATAGTCAAGGTAACCTTCAACATTTTCGCGCCTCACCGAGCTTTTCTAACCTCTGTTTTTTTTTCTGCAATCCAAAAAAAGAAAATCAATTTGCATTGCCAATGAGTAATGCGACAACCATGGGGCAATCCAGTGGAATGCTTGTTATTCCTGCTCAAATGCTCCGGATTGGTAGTTGGATCCGGTTTGCTCACGGGTTGCCGGAAGCGGCTTATCAATGGCATCTATTTTGCTATGGCGATGCGTCGGAACGTCAATTTATTTGGCAAGTGGTATCGAACAACAACCATTTCCGGATTCACATGAAATTCGAGGCCATCAAGGAGTTACGACTCAGTCAACAATGGCAACCTGAAACAGGCAGCATGGTAGGACAACTGGACATGGACCTCGTCGAACCCTATTTAGCGTTTTCCATGTGGCGCATCGGCATCGATCATCAGTGGGTCCGTTGTGGCGACTTTACCGAAGACAAACAAGCCACCTCTTCGAAACTTCACACATTGCAGGGCAATCATGAAGCGTTCAAGCAAGCTCTTCTCGAACTCATTGCGCAGGCGCCCGAACTCGCTTGCAAAATTGTCATTGCTCCGTCTTTGACCCCTTCCTCATTGACGGCCTCCATGACTCCGCCCCTCATGACTTCGCCTCCACCCTTGGATTTTGGTCGTGATTTCACACTGTCTCCTTCAGCAACACCGGAAGTATGCGATTTGCAAACCTATTCCAACCAACTGCTTCAAGCCGATTGGTCTTACTGGAAAATGACCTCGGGTTTTGTTTAAACTCCTGCTTCTTTTTTTTTTTCTGAAGGACTCTTCTTTTTTTATATCGTGGAGCTTGTTTTATTATGATTTCCCCCTTATTTTTTTGGCTGACAAAAATAAAATTGACATCCAGAAAAAAAAGATCTCTCACTTGCCATCGTTCAATCTCTCAGTTGTTATTTCCCTGATATGAGGATGAGTCACCGCTGCATGACATAGGGACTCTTGTTTACCAAAATGTCGTCCAAATTGGAGTTTCACAACTCGATGCCCAGCCTCACTGTAGATACACATGCTCTTTTATCCTACATTCTTCAAGCGTCCACTAAACAAATGTAAAAATGGTGATTCCCAGTGTCGAAGCCATAGAACTCAACTGCTGCAGCCCGGTGATTGTTCGCTCATTCGACGAGAAGAGCCAACTTTTGTTGGTTTCTCGGTCAATGTTCATGTCGCTGAGCTTGTTTGATTGGTCCAATCGTATCAGCCAGTCCGACCGGACCAGTGTCAAAAAATAAAAAAAATCGAGGAAACCAATGACGATACGATTCCTTTGAACTAAGCAAAAAAAAGTTCGTCCCCCCAATTCGTACCTCGTTATGACAAACTTTGGATTGGTGGTTGCTGCTACGGAGGAACTGGGCATTGGCATGCTGAGTACCCTCCCTTGGCGCATTCCCAAGGATATGGCCTTTTTTAAACATGTCACTATGCATGTGCCCAAAGAGTTTCCAAGCAACCAAACCACACCACAAAACGCGGTTATTATGGGTCGCGTCACTTGGGAATCCATTCCTCCAAAATTCCGTCCCTTATCCGAACGATTCAACATTGTCGTCTCTCGAAACCCCACTTATGATCTGTAAGCCACTTATCGCTTCTCATGGAGAAAGGATCTAATTCTTGACGGATCTTGTAGACAACTGGCTAATGCTCAACAGCCGTCAACGCTTTTGGTAAGTTCACTGGAAGAAGCATTTGCTGCAGTGGATCCTCAACAACATCCGCGTTGCTTTGTTATTGGTGGAGCACAAATGTATCGATTGGCTATCAAGCATGCCACCTGCACTCACATTCTGCTGACCCGCGTCAAATCCAAAGTTGACTGTGACACTTTTTTCCCCGAGATCAACGAAACCGATTACCGGCTCGCCTCTCACGAAGAAATGGAAGCCTACGTCGAACAGGAAGTCCCGCGAGGATTGCAAACACACAAAGATCTGGAATATGAATTTACTATGTACATTCGTCGATCCTTTCAACCCGTCTCGCCTACTATCGAAAATCACCCTGCCTAGAAATATAATAAACAATCACACCTAATGTATGCATTCAATGGAGACCTCAGTGTGGTGAGGGAGATACGTAGTTCATCACAAAGCGGATGAGGTATGGTGCATAAGTTTTGAAAGCTACAACGGAGATGGCAAAGGCTGCGGGAGGGCCGGCGTACTCGAGAAACCAGGTGACAGTCGAAGGACGAAGTTTCTTGACCATATTTTTCACTTGGATCTCTAACTGTGGTAAATCGCTCGAGTTATCCAAAACGATATCGGCTCGAGCCACTTTTTCATGCATGGGCATCTGGGCTGTAATGCGTTGATTCGCTTGTTCTTCCGATAGTCCATCGCGTTTGATGAGTCGTTGCAACTGCAGCACATCTGAACTATAGGAGGGGTCGCATTAAATCATGCTGTATAAGTCCGCCACCGCATCTGATTTCGTTTTTACCAAAAGACCACGACGGTGGTACCCATAAACTTGTCCAACCCAGCTTCCAGCAAGAGAGGTACATCAAAAATCACCATATCGGCGCCTTTTAACCAGTGCAAAACGGCTTGTTTGAGGATTTCCAGTTTCACATAAGGATGAATGCATCGATTCAGAACTTGGCGTTTCTGAGGATCCCGAAAAATAATGTCTCCCAGTTTCGCTCGATCCAAATGGCCATCCGGCAGAAACACGTCGTCGCCAAAATGCTGTCGAACAAGACGATTCGCTTTTCTTCCCGGTTCGACCACCTGTCGGGCAATCAAGTCGGCATCGATGATGGGCAACTGCTGGTCTCTCAGCATACGAGATACCGTCGATTTCCCTACGATTCATGCACACACCATTTAATCCAATCGGTCAGCTTTGTTCGTACGGCACTCGTACCTGAGGCAATGCCTCCCGTAAGTCCTATCAATTTCATCGATCGGGGAAGTCAATAAAAGAGAAAAAAATAAGGCACTTCTGCCCCACCGTTATTAGAATGAGCACATGACGTCAGGCGCGTCACGCCGAACTCGAATGGCATGAGATTACTTTTTTGCTTTCTCTGCCATTTTCAACTCTTTTTGTATTCTCGATTTTTTTTTCCAACCATGGACCATCAAGAGTCACTTTCCGAAGCGGATCAAGTACGTAAAAAATATATAGTCTTTTCTCTTTCAGCTTTGCAAAAGTTGACATTATGGCTCACCCATGGTTATTTGTTTTTGTTAGATCCGATTAAAACGTGTTGCGAAACTTCAGCAACAGGCCGAGGAACAGAAACGACGCGCGCAACAAGAACAAACCAGTTTGCCCTTGTCTTCTTCGACAGAAAAACCTAATTTACAACCTCTTCCTTCTCTCGAAGAATCACTGGTACCTAAAGCGACACTCCAGGTGAGTCACCATTTCTTAAAACAACTTTATACAGCGATTACCGCAGAACAGCAACACGACATCTCTCAAATCATGATATTGCCAATGGCGGCTATTCGTTTACTCAACCGCTGTATCGAGAGAGGCCCTTTCTTGTTTTTCTTAAAAAGAGCCGAAACCACACCCACTAACTCAAAGGATCGTCATTCTCTTTAGAAATCATCTTCTGTGAAACCTGCCGTCGCTCCTTCTACACCTCCTGCCCCGGTTGCTACACCAAACAAACCCTCCTCGCCATCCATTACTTCTCCTACCAGCAGCCCTAGCTCACAATCCATTGCGACCGTCAAACCTGCCAAATCCTTTGAGGATTGGCAGAACGATGTCATCTCACGCATATTACAAATCACATTAAACGTAAGCTTGTTGCAAAAGGACATTCTCTGGAGAATCACCCCTCACGCATCCACTTTTCTGATTTCTGGCGGGAAAAAAAGCCAGAAGCCATTTATAAGCAGGGACGCTGTGTGTATTTGCAGGAACTCGCTCGTGAATTAAATGAAGAAAATGGTAAGCGAAACCGAATCATTGGATCAAAACAAGGCGGGATGAAAATAGGCTTACAGGTGTGATGATTGGACCTAGTGCCAAATCCACACAAACTGACTCGCGAGTTGTTGGACCGTGCGTTGGTGGCTCGATTATCCCTTGATCCCAATGAATCGCATGATGAGCTTCCTCAGGATATTACCAAGGATTTATCGGTGCCTCATTTTGATTACCTTTTGAATTGCTGGAAACAGGCCCATGATATTCGCAAAAACACCGTGACAAGAAGTAAGGTAACCATGATCTTGTGCTACTGATATTATTCCTCCGGCATTGAATAACAAGATACCATGCATCAGAATCTCGACAAGAAAGTGTTGGATGAACGCCTGAGCGTGCTAGACGACATCAAAGCCTTGATCATCTCATATTCTGGCCTTATTCTTCAAATGCCCGACATGTTTCCTCAATCAGTCAAGTGAGTCAGTTCGTCAAGAAATATGTATATCACATCAGCTACTGAGCTCTGCTTGGATCCTTTTCTAGTGGCGGTCCCTATGGCCCTGAGCAGTTGATACCAAGACTGATGGCCGAGCCAGATTCAACTCAGGGATTGCCCGTTCATTATTTGTCTGAGCTCGTGGCCCGCTTCGAAGACGATGGTCTCGATGTGGTAGGTTTTCCCCATTTTTCTCTCTGAATGTCGGCATCACACATATTTAATTCGTTTCCCTCGATAGATTCTTGGCCCAGCCTTGGAAACCATCTCAAAGAATATCGCTCAATGCAACATTCTCGATGACTTCAAGCCTTATCTCCAGGTACAGAAGGATTCCTACCCTTTTTTCCACCATGGTTCTGATATGTTCTGTGTTGACCCTTTTTTTGATTAGTCCTTGATGTTGTTATGTGAGAACAAATCGGTAGCAGCTGCTGTACGTAACTTTGATGCATCAACACGTATGATTATCGAAATTAACCATGGTCCCTGCTTTTTAGTTGCCGAGTATGCCTCGATTCGATCCTGCCGATGCTACTCCTCGTAATTTGGAGGATGTGTCATTATTAGGTCCATTCTATAAACTTTCCGGTTATCCAGATTCAGCGGTAAGCTTCTTGATTGAATTGTTTACCAGCCGTGGGTTTTTTCATTTACCTTGTTCATTCTAGCCCAAAGTTGCGGAACGATCGTTTCAGAATTCCGAGACCCGCAATGATGCTGACATTGAGTTTTCTAAAACCGGACTGCGCGGAAGCGTGAATAATTTGCAGGTAGGTCCCAATCCTCAGTCAAGGCACATTGAATGGCTACTCATTTTTGCTCTGTTTAGCGTTCTTTATTCGGAATGACCAACAACATTGTGCGATCGAGTCCTAAGGCGCGCGAGCACATGCTTTCTTACTTTGCCCACATCTTGCGTTTGAACGATAAACGTGCCCAAATGCAAGTGGATCCCACGACGGTAGCTTCGGATGGATTCATGCACAACATTACCGCCGTATTACTTGATTTTTGTGAACCTTTCCTTGATGTTCGCGCTTCCAAGGTAGGATGACGTCTGGGACCGCCGTCTTGCAGTTCGTTTTTTTCTAGGGTCAACGGAATTCATCAGAATTTCGTATCTTTTCTAGATTGATAAAATTGATCCTCACTACTTTCGCACGAGCCATCGCATCGATGTGATGGAAACCACCAAAATCAATGCTACCAAAGAGCAATCGGATGAATATTACAAAGACCAATCCTCTACTTCATGTAAAGTATCCAATGACCATCCAATCGCGGATCACGACCCAGTGTTGCTAAATTTTCCCCTCATTTTTATAAAATAGCTCACAGCTTCATTACAGAGATCTTTTACTTGACATTGACGTTTTTGCATTATGGTCCGATCCGCTCGTTTGTCAACTACAACGAATTTATGCGAGAATACAGCGAGTTAAAAAAGCAGTGCACTCGATACGAAGAAGAAGCCAGCCGATTAGCCAATGTAAGTCAAATAGAAAAAAAAAAGCAAAAAAAAAATCATCGTGCTGATGACTGCCTGTCCAAAGACACCGCAAGGCATGATGCAAGATTTCGTTGCCAAAAGACTCAAGGTACATACACACACAGACACGCGAACAAGGATCGATCTTGTTTTGTCGGCAATGTGATGTTAACTGAGCTTGTTACTTGTAGGCGAAATTGGATTTGATGACTACGCATAAGCTGGCGCTGGAGTCCATGTTGATGGATCCACAGTTGTTGACGCATATCATGCGATTTTACAATCTGGTGATGGCATGGCTAATCCGCATGGTGGATCCAAACGGTCGGCATCCTTGGGAAATGGTAAAATTGCCTCTTTCCAAGGACATTCCCGAAGCATTCGCCATGTTACCTGAATGGATCGTCGAAGACATTACCGAATTTTTTATTTTCGTTGGAAAGTAAGTGAGATGCGGAGATCATGGCTTTTGCTATATACAATAGATATTGATGAACGGGCGTTGAACAGGTTCGGCTACGAGACTCAAGTCATGCGACAAAATCCTCACGATGAACTGGTCATTTTCATCATTACCTTTTTACGCAACACCAACTACATCAAGAATCCGTACCTGAAAGCCAAGTTTGTCGAGGTAACCCAAGGCGGATACCGTACGTTTTCCACCGATTAGAGTGCTCATCCTTTCATATGTTTGCAGATCCTTTTCTTCTTTACTTTCCCTATTGCCAAGGGCGTTCCTGGAGAGTTGGAAAATATGCTGAATTCGCATCCTCTGGCTCTAGCTCATTTGGTGCCTTCGCTCATGATTTTTTACGTTGGTAAGTACGTCATGTGGTTTCATACAATCTTTTTACTGACACAAGTGATTATAAAAATAAAAAAAAGAGGTGGAGCAGACAGGTGCCAGTTCACAGTTTTATGACAAGTTTAATATCCGTTACAATATCAGTCACGTCATGAAAACGATTTGGAATCATCCTACACATCGTGCCAAACTAAGAGAGGAGAGCCAGTAAGTGATCAAGGACAAGGGCAACGTGAGCTGGATCCATTGAATCGATTTTCCCTTTAGGAATCAAGAACTGTTCACGCGCTTTGTGAACATGTTGATGAGCGATGTGACGTATCTATTGGACGAAAGTTTGAGCAAACTGTCGGAAATCCATCAGATTCAAACGGAAATGGACGATGCAGCCGCTTGGGCCGCGCAACCACAGGTAAGTCTTTGAGAATCGAGAAACGAAGATCTAGCTGGTTTCGTTCTCATATGGATTGGCTTAGCAACAACGGCAAGAACGTGAAGGGACCTTGGTCTCTTTGGAACGTCAAGCTCAATCCTATGTTGCGCTCGGTAACGAAACGGTGCGCATGCTGAAATACTTGACCTCTGAAGTGGTGATGCCGTTCCTGGTGAATGAGATTGTGGACCGCTTAGCTGCCATGTTGGATTACAATTTATCACAATTGGTGGGTCCGAAATGCACGGAACTCAAGGTAAATTTTTTTCTTTTGGTATTATGGGGGGGGGGGGTACCAGGATCACGACACAAAAAGTCACAGGAGACTCATGTCATGATATGAAAAAAAAAAATAGGTGAAGAACAGAGAAAAGTATCATTTCCGACCACGAACATTGTTATCCGATATCATTGACATTTATCTCAACCTGAATACCACGACGTTTATCGAAGCGGTGGCGCGGGATGGACGTTCTTATCGCAAAGAGTATTTCTCCAAAGCGGCTTCGATTTTGTCCAAGCATGGATTAAAACACCAGGATCATATTGCCGCTCTGGAACAGTTTGTCAATCGCGTAGAGGAAGCGATTAAACTCGGTGTGGAAGAGGAGGAAGAATTGGGCGATGTGCCGGACGAATACTTGGGTAAGATAATGAGCAGCCATAAAGTCTAACCATGTGTATGAAAACTCATCCGCGTCTAATATTCATGATAGATCCCATCTTCTTTACCCTGATGGAGGATCCAGTACTTTTGCCAACGTCTGGTGTGATTGTGGATCGCAGTACAATCCGTGCCCACTTACTGGGTGATACACGCGATCCTTTCAACCGTGCTCCATTGAGTATGGAGATGGTGGAACCAGGTAACTAAAAAAAAAGGAAAGCGGATCCTTTGGGTGACAGGAAAGCTAATGGCCTTTATTATTTTTCTTTTCGAATTGCAGCTACGGAATTGCAAGAGAAAATCCGAGAATGGAAAGCGCAGCAAAAGCAAAAAAAGCAAGATACCATGGATACTAGTGATTGATGATAGATGACACACCGTTCCCCCCTCAATAAAACATGAGTTGCGTTGCGTTGCATTAACAAATGTATGCTCACAAAAAATTATGCAACAATACAGCAAGGTCGTTGAATAGGATGCACGTTTATCAGATTTTATTTGCTACTGTTTCTCGAGGATTTAGTGATTTTTCTCTTTTTGACTTGATATTCACCATCATCATCATCATCTGTCTCGTCATCCAGGGAGGGTTCTGGGAGACCGAGACCGACACTGTCCTCCTCATTTTGTAGCGCAATGGCCATGGCCAAATCTTCGTCCGTATTGGGGACGGCAGGAGAAGAAGTGGCGGTATTAATAACCTCCTCGTCTTCCACCAAGTCTTCCATATCCTCATCCTCCTCCTTCACCGGGGTCGCCGACCGTGCCGGAGACGGTGATTCTGTTACCTCCGTCTACACAAGAAATTCACAGACGTGTTTAGAGAAGAAGAATGTGGATTAAATTCAATAATGTGCTGACGGTACCTTTAGTTTCTCCATACGATCCGGTTGCACTGTGCGCATCTTTTGAATCTTTTCTTGTACGTTTTCCAATTCTTTCCTTAATCGACGCAAATCTTCTCGTTTAGATTCAAGCAGCAGTAAAGGCTACAAATAGATATGATAAATCAGCAGGGTTAATGAGAAATCGGGTTTTTGCTCTCTTACATCTTCGGTCTTTGGCAACTCGATATGTTTCCATTCCGATTCCGGCAGTTCGTATCTAAGGGATGGGGGTCAGTCACAGGCGTGAATCACTTGGAGTGTCGTTATCCCAAGAGGGGTGTCTTACGTTTCCTTATTTTTGATCAATCGTTTTCGAAGTTCTTCTCGAGATAATTTGCCGCCCGTGTTGACAATACAGTTGTTCTTTCGTTTGATGTGAGGGCCTTGAATCTTTGAGTTTCGTACACCAATCACTTTGGGATCGATATGTAACCCGGCAAATTCTATGTTACCGTCGTCAGTCATACGATTCAGCGAATACTGCAGCATCATGGTATTTCTATTTTACCTGCTGTACTCTGTTGGCCAAGTAATCGTTGCAATTGGAGATTCATCTGTGCATTGGTTTTACCAGGCAAACATCCGCTTTCAATGATTTTCGCCCAGTTGCCAATACCAAACTTGATGAGCGCTTTACGTAGAATTTCGGATTCATCTTGTGTCCAACCTAGTGTCGCAATCATAGTGAATCAGTGAGTATTGTGACATGAGAGAGAATCGGTGGTTGACGCTGATCATTGTCGTACCTGGTGACAGGGTACAATTCCACAAACTGGCGGAATCGTTGGATCGAAGCACATTACGTGCACCGGCCGTCATACTTCTAGGCTTGGCTACTTGGCTGGTCATGATGGTATGTGATTTTGTTTGCGCGTATGTGTGTGTGTGTGTGTGTGCGAATTAGAAGGTGGCGCGGTCAAGAGAACAAGCGTAAAAAAGAAAAAACAAATCGCGTTCAAAAAATTGGAGGCGTCTCGAGGCGCGTCGACTTTTTTTTTTTTCCTTTCTATTTTTGTTTCTCCGCTGCAGTAACCGTTCAATATGCACCATGCTGCATTTCCTCTAATGATCCCTGTCGACGACAGTGGATTGGCATTTCAAGGATTCATTACTGTCAATGTACGTGTTGGCTCACAGCAAGCAAGGGGGTTCCAAGAGAATAACGTATGCATCACGTTCGTAGGGCGAGGATCACATTATAGATGTTCGGTTACCTGATCTCACCGATCCTACCAGTCGAGGCACGCTGTATACGAGTCCCAGAATGCAGCATATTCTGCGCCATCATACTGAGCAAATCCAGCGCATGCTCGATCAGTCGGACGATCTGACCTTGTTTCTTACCGAGCTAAAGAATATTCTCGTAAGCTGATGAAACAAGCGTTACCACAGCGTTGCCGCTCAACTCTTTTTCCAGGAGCATGACGAGCGCATAGTGGCGTCGTCCATGACCGCCCATTCTCTATCTTCCAATCACTACAGCATTCTCGTTGCGGAACTGAAGCGCGTTGGATATCATACTATTCAAAGCATGAGTGATACCATGGATAAAATTGACTTGGAGATCCTGTACGTCCCCACCCTCGATCCGCTTGATCTGGGCATAAGAGTGTAAAAATTACTTATTGGACTTTTTTTTTTAATAGCGATGACAGAGAGCGTTCGCATATCGTACGACTGACCATTCCGCACAATTACCCTGTGACGCCTGCGACAGCTTCAGCGGATCTTCCGGGAACATTGGATGCAGCTGCGACGTCAGGAACCAGTCTCACCACGATTGTGGAAAACATACAGTCGGTGATTCATGTTTACCAGGATCTGTTTGATTGTATGGATGAATTGGATACCATGACCCGTATTCTGGATCCTGACCATCCCACGCGAAAGGACATGTGGCGCAGAATCGCGTTGGGTCACCACTGTTCCCTTCACCTGGAAATTGACCCACAGCATCCGCGGCAGGTGCCGAAAGTTCGATTCTTTGGTAATGTGAAACGCGTGGCGTCACTGAAAGAAAAATGGCATTCAGCCTTGGATCAATGGTACGTAACCCAAGTAGAGATGAAAAAGACGGCAAGGTGGTTACATGGAATTAATTTTGTATTAGGGACTCTGAGGAACGTCCTTTTCAGAATTTGTGTAAAGTACTCCAATTACCGGGACAACATCCTACTAGTCAAGACAGTCAAGGCGCATCCGGTGATACGGAATGCGCTATTTGTTATGCTTACAAGCTCCAACACGGTGGACAAGCTGCGCAAACTCCGGATGTGATTTGTGCCAACGAGCAATGCAACCGCGGCTTTCATCCATCCTGTCTATACGAGGTAAGGATGTCTGAAAAAATTCGGTTCAAGGTCAGTCATAACATTTCAACTATTTCATAGTGGTTGCGGTCCAATCCAAATACAACACGAAGTTTCAATATTTTATTTGGGAAATGTCCTTATTGTGGAGAGGTAAGTCAAAAAGAAAAAGAAAAAAAGGCATGCGGAAATACGAATGACATGGTTGAGAGGGGGTATATTGTCCATCAATAATATGTATATACAAGACTAAGATGAGAATACTGTTTACAACAGAAAATCACCATCAAGGCAATTCTGTGAAAAATATACAGAATGGGAAAAAAAACATAGGTTTTATGCTGTCATGACCACATCATCGTATGCGGGAGGATGGTCGGCATGAATACTGTTATCGAACATGTCAATTCTTTCTCCGGCTGACTTGCAATCTCCATACAGCGGCAGTTTGACATAGTCCTTGTCGCCAAGTTGACCAATATTTCGACTCAACAAATCGATGGGGGTCTGAAACGTGATAGTATGCTGGACACGACGAATGTTGTTGTTCTGGGTCAAGGCCGGGAAACTGACGAGCATGGACACGAACAGTAAATGGCTGACGGAGAACTCGGGATACGTCGAAGTGGAATGGACCAAGCCATCAGCGTCTCTGGGGATTTTGTAGTACATGGTGGCTTGCCATGGCTTATCGAGGTCGTCGGTCGGTAATGGTGACGAAGCGATCGAGGAAGCGTCCTTGGAAGGGTGGAGAAGATGGCATGACTGGCTGGTCTTCATGACTTCTTCGCGGTTAAGCACTTGTCGACGTTCCAATAGTTGTAAATAAACGTTCTTGATACGCATGTTTTGCACAATTGGCGCAATTCGGATACTGATGGGTAAATTGTCCCCGAGGGCGACGGCCTTGCTGTCGATAATGACGTGGTATTGACAGCAAGAAGCATAGTGTTTTCTGGAATCGATGGTGTCGGAGTAATTGTCACCCGTCAGCGACCCTTCAAAGGGAAGTCGGGCCAACTGAACGGCTTGCGTGCAATCTTCGCTAGTGTCGGATAAACTCGATGTGGAACGGTAAGTCATGGACGCGGTGAGGTTGTAACGGACTTTGGCTTGTTGACAATCGATGGATTCCGGAAGACCTTCGGGTAACTGCATTTCAAAGGCAAAACAAGTGGTGCCCACATGCAACAACAAGGGCGCCGCGCTGCGAGCCGACGAAGGATGCAGCACTAAATCTTGTTGCGCCACCGATTTCTGGCAATCCTTTTTTAATCGAATATCGTTGATATCTATTTTAAAGTGAAAAGGAACCAAGTCGTTAATCATCTGGTACTCAATTTTTATTGATGGTGTTTGCTGCAAAAATACTTACTCTCAACAGATTGGGTCGTCAGTTGTCCATCAAAACGCAACGACAACTTTTTAAGGGTGCAGCTACGGTGGGAGTGGACAATAACATTGCCGCGGAGGACAGGAGCTGCTTCCTGATTGGCGCCCAAGAACAGTATAGGTTCAAGAAGTTGGATAGATAATCGACGCTTGGGCCACATCATTCTGTCGAAAAAAGATATTTTAAAGTTGGAAAGTAAAAATGATTTACAAGTGAAGAAAAAAACAAAAACAAAACAAAAAGGCGATCGTCTTTGTAATTTATATAGCACCCAGGAATGCGGAGTAAAACAAAGGCACCCGGGATCTTTTTAGTTCAGTTACTGGTTTCAGGTACGCCAGTTTTAAGCTGAAACGCTGCTTCATATTAAATGAGATCGCAACAGCAATTGGTGGAGTTCTCCATGGCTATTCATTTCCTGCAACTCCGCCGCTCCGCCTATACTTTTTTCATTGACAAATATATTGGGGAAGGTGTATCGGCCGGACAAGCTGCCCAATCGTTGCTTGACTTGATCCGCGTCGTCTAGAAAAATGACGTCAATTTATAAAGGTATATTGTTTAACCCACGGAATCGGTGGAGTTCATTTTTTCTTACCCCGTAAATCTACTTCCACCACTTTGTATGGTTCCTTGAGAGTGAACGAATCCAGTATCGCTTTGGCTTTTTTCGAGTACCTATGAACGTGCAAGAAAAAAATAATAATATTTGCTTGATAAGTTACTTTCAATTCCCCGACTCTCCCTATCAAGTTAAAACAAAAGAAGGATTTCTTTTGTAACAGTATGATAGAATACTTACGGACAATACGTTTTAGAGAATACCACAAGTGGGTTATCCTGAAGTAGGAGCAATAGTTCAGCCTTGAGTTTGTCATCCGCGGAATGAGAAGGTTCCTTCAATGGAGTCATCGAAAGTCCACTGAATGACACCAACACCAATGAAAGCACACACAGCAATGCTACAGGAATGATGATCTTGGCACGTCGGATACTCATCCACTTGATTCGTCTCTGATCATGATGCACTTGATCATCTTGCACTGTCAATGGCAACAATGCCATGGCGATTTATGTAATAACTGGATAAATGCAACCAACCAACCAAAAAAAAAAAAAAAAAAAAAGCCAAAAACGGCAAAAGCCGGGGCCAAAAAAAGAGAGGTGAGAAAAAAAAATGATTGGTTCGGAACGAATAAAATTAATGTCTCTTTTTTTTGTGTGTTATTGCCAAGTGGATCTTGCGGGATTCTTTACTTTTTACAATCTAGTCATTTTGATGACACCTTGGCCTATTAAGGAGGGGTCTTCTATCTCGGGCTTTCCTTGGACAATACGCAATTCACATCGACGAATAAGGTCCGGGGCATTGGGTTTCTGTTCGATGAGATCGGCTTCACCATGACTGGTAATGTTGACATATTTCCGTTGGTATAACCAGGTCTTCTTGGTTACGGCATTGACCGAAGACACTACTTGCAATGCAGCGGTAGCCAACGAAGCTCCAGTTTCGTTGGCTTGCTGTAAACGAGCGACCATGAGAGCGGAAAAGAGATCACCTGTTCCGGTGAAATAGCCAGTGTAGGTGGGAAAGGCAATAATATGCTGTTCTAAACCATGAGAGGTTTTCTCGCTGGTTAAACAATAAAGTGAATCTTCGGAAGAGGTGGGAAGACGGATGTCGGCCGGAATATCGGATAATGGAACAGCCATTGAAGTAATGACCACTCGCGGACAACCAAACGTATGCAATTGTTCTGCAGCCTGGCAGGCAGAGGCTAGTGAATCAATTTTCACTTCCGCCAGTGTTCTGTGTTGGATTCCCCATGTGTCAGAAAAATGAAAAGAAAGCCGCGGATGTGCATTTGTAATTATACAAAAAAATCGTGAGATAAAAAAAAAGAACCTTACTCGGCTTCGAATTGATTCGGTGTGACCAAATCTGCAATATGCATAATTTGACGGTACAATGGCACAATCTCCGGTGCCACATATAAACAACCGCCATCGCCCATGACAGTATCGCAAACATACAACAACGACGGATTCTTGGTTTTCAACTTCTTTACCATCTCTTCAATTCTTTCCAAAATGGCAAAGTTACCAATATACCCTACCGAAGCACACTTTCGTTAATCCACCGTGACTCTTTCAACGTCACAGTCTCTTTGTCTTTACCCGTCAACACATGTGTATAATCGTTGATTAATCCGTTTTTCTCCAGTCCATCAAATAACTCTTGCACATCATCCGCTGTCAGTTTTTTGCCGGTCCAAGAAGGATATCCTATATCATACCACATAGTTTTAAACAAATGGTTCTACTTGGCTCAGCCACTGTTATTACCTGTGTGGTTCGAAAACTGGACGGTGTTGAGAATATCGACGTCAAATCCGAGCGTTTGAAGCGGAAAGCATGCCGCTTTGTTGCCTATACACCAGTTTACACAAACTGCTTGGCTTGCCACATTACGTCACGGGTCATTTGGTTTATTCATCTTACCACAATAGCCGGAGACCTGTCAAGCATGACCCGCAGGTTCGAGCATTAGCATAATTCAGCTTCAATCGTTTGACTATAACTTTCTGCAAATGTAAATTACCATATGGGACTGTATACTTAATACTCGGCGGGCGGGTTCCTCCATGGCGTATGAACAATGAATTGAACGAGAATAGGAATTAGCTGGTTTCTCTCCAAAGTCGTCGCAATAAACAATTTTATAATCGGAGCCCTAAAACAACGCAACAAAAAAAGCAGCCAAACCCCCCAACTCATCTGTGACACCCAATAATCGCATACCCTTTGCAACGGATGGCTCACTCCGCGAATACATATCGTCGACCAATAGCCTAATAATGATGCCTTTCTGAAGCACCTACCCTCTTTAATTAGCAATCAGTTGAAAAAAAAAAACAAAGCACGCAGTAATATCTATCATCCTAGTTAACCGCTGCCGAAAGGGTAGCTTGATGCAATCAATGTATGCCCAACTTAATCTCATGTCCAAGAGTGTATCGTATCCTTTTCGGTTATAACGAGAAAAAGAGAGAAAAAAAAGCGTCTATTTTGTAAACTGAAGAGAAGTTTGTCTACCGTGCAATTATTGCATATCTCTCCTATGTCTTGTGATAAAGTAAGCCCAATGGATGCCGCATACCAACGTTGGGGGGTGTTCATGCATCAAGGGCCCAGTTGAAATCTTTTTTACCAAATTAGGTAGTTGGTCCCTTCCACGCCTTTCACGAAAAACACTCATTATAAGCTAATGAATGAATGGTCAAACTTCACAACACTTGACAATACACGAAATTGTTATTATACAAGTCGATCGTAGCTTCCAGTAGCATGAAATCATGGAGAGGGATGGTGCAGTTGTTGTCAAAAGTGCGTTTGGAGTCCAGTGTTGTTCGGAATTTGCACGTCACTTGGGGGACCCCGCCTTTTTCAATATTTTTTTGTCTGCTGCGGCCGCTTTTTCCTTTTACCTATGCATGTTTTCTTTTGACATTGATGAGTGGAAAGAATCAAACTAGATCGACGACTCGATCGCAAAGACAACCGAGCAATCGTCTATTGGACGGATTCTCTTCCTCTTCCCCGGCCCGTCCCCTCGAAGACTTGAACCGCACCGAACTTGCGGAACTCCGAGACCGCAACCGTCGCATGCTCGACAATCCGTAAGTTTTTTCACAAATGAGACTACAAGGTAGATTTTGCATCGGCTGAACTAGACTCTTCACAAGATCATTGCTTCAAACCTTACCCGACAAAGGCGCCAAACTCAAAGACGTCAATGCTCGAATCGAAAAGTTGCTAAGCACTGACGCCAACGAGGACGAATATCAGCGTCCCGACATTCGACAAAAAACCGTCGATTCCGCCAATGCCAAAGCAAAACAACTCGACTCAGGTTTGCACACTCAAAGCTCTACATCGACCAAAGAGACCAGCGAAGGTAGCACCGGACAACAACAGGTAAAATAAAATTGGGAGCTCTTTCACTCCGAATTCACAGCACCTGCCATTCTTACGTGGAAATCAATATTTGCTAGACGCGCGTGCGCATGATGGGCCTGGATGAATCGGTTCGTCTTCAAGAACTTCAACTTCAGCAAATAAAGGTATGGTCTTCACTTGACAGATGTTGGAAAAGGAAATTACGACACTTACCTTATGCATCCAGGAGGAGAACATGAAGAAACAAATGGAAGGTATCCAATCAGAGGCAGGCAACGACGATGAAGCGAATGAACTAAGGTAATGGCAAACGAAAACCAGCAAAGGGATACAAAAGATCTAATGCTCGTTTAAAATTTTATTGTACTATGATGTGCTACAGCGCCACATTTGGACGGTTACGCCTTGGGCATAATGATTCTACGGATGAGGATGAAACGACCGATGAAGATTCTGATGAAGAGAGGGATTCTGTGTACGAAAGTGAAGAAGATGAGGGATTCGAGGATTACATAGACGATCGACGATGACAAAATAATAATAAAATGATCTAAATTTTGGCGTTTTTCCTTTCTAAAACTTTACGACTTTACCCGCCTTCTTTTTGTTGGCAACAGGCTTGATTGAGGAGGAGGAGGAGGAGGCGATATCCTTTGCACCTTTGGTTTCGTCGGTCATTTTCTGCTTCTCAGTGACAAAAATGTGATAATCATCATCATCGGCACCTTGGGCCAGATCAATCTTGCCAACAAAAGTGACGCCCGCTTGTTCCTTGGTGACCTTGCAATCCTTGGCCAAATGATCCACTTGGCCACAGAACCGACATCCTCCACCATTCGGGTATAATCCTTTATCGTTCTTGGAACATTGACCAGACAAATGGCCTTCTTCATTACAGACAAAGCACTTGGCATACGGCAACTCATCTAATAATTTCACGCTTCGTTTACTCCGGTGTTCCTCGATGATTCTCTTTCTGCTGTCCCGATTTGTACTTACTGCCTTTTCTGGGTTTCTTGCAGTTTTTCAAACTGTGCTCGGACGATCCACAGTTGTAGCAGATTCCTTGCGCGGATTGCTTCGCCTTGGGACAATTGCCTACGGAATGTCCCTTTTGTCGACAGCCAAAACAGATCTATGCCAAACAAGAATTCCATTCATTAGCATCACTTCATCATTTAAGATATGCACCTCGCCACTTACTGTGTTCTTGTCCTTGGACATTTGCTTGCGCTTCTTTCTCTTTTCAATTTCTCGCAAAGCCTTTTCGGACTTGGTTCCTGTATCTGTAGAATACAGTCAATTCTTGATGAGCATCCACTTACTGTAACCAACTGCTGTTTAATGATCCGTTACTTACTGTCGTTGGTGAAACCTCTCTTTCGATTGTTGCGATTAGGAGCATCAGAGTTGTTTCCGCCTTCGTCATTTGATTTAGCGGGAAGAAGTGGAGTGACATTGAAGCCGCTGGCTTTTTCGTGAGTTTTTCTTTGCAACTTGGTATACCGAGTCATGTTGGCAATGAACAGAATAGGAACTGATCAGGAAAAAAGAAGGCTGAGAAAAAAAAAAAAAAAAAAAAAAAAGAGGTTCAACTATGCAATCAAATTGTGGCTTAGGCAGTCGCATGAATCGAAAAATTGTTACTTTTTATTCATTTATTTGTAACAAGCCGTACACCCGCCGTGCAATGGATGCCACCTGCTACTGACGTCACCTCCTTACATTGAGCGACATTCGTCAGATAAAAGCCTAACGCAATACGGCATAACCTGGGCGAGACTCTTGATGAAACTTTGGTATATTAATGTCAATACTCTGGCATACCGTACAGTCATGATTTCCAAACACGTGTGCAGCACTTTTTGACCCCCTCTGTCCCGTCCCGCCCAAGGTTATAATAGATCTAGAATGATGTGTGGGAGTGTTGGGTATTAAAAAAATGAGTTAGGACGCTCTTTGATTGATTCAAATGGCGTCAAGATATTTTACCTTTGTTATGTGAGGCAGCAGATATCCAGAGCTTCCCGGCCGAAAAAAAAAGGAACGATACAAATATATAAAAAAGTAAAACAATAGGTGCGTCTGTAACCCCCCCCCCCCTAAAAACCCTGTGGGAAAAAAAAGGAGGAAAAGACTGCAAGAAGTCTATCGAATAAAATACAAAGCACATACTACAAACTACAAAAATAAAATGGTCGGGAAGAAGATCAAAGACAACACCACGGGAAGTAATCCAAAGAAGAGGAACCTGAGGAGGACGCCTAAGCATTTTCCGATGAAAAAAGAGAGTCACCACCGACGATGCCCTTTGACGACAAGAACCGGGTTGGCCACATTTGATGCGCGAACAAAGTGGAAAGATTTGGAGGGATGGTTGGCTTGCCAGGACGAAAAGAAAACCGGAGAGAAAACCAAAGGGTAAAGAAAGAATAAAGAATGTGAGTTTTTTCTTGTCGAAAAACGGATATTCACATCCCACAAAAGGTACCTTTTTGATATTTAATCGACTTGACCGGTTACAGATACACGCGGGTAAACCATAGTCTGGATGATGGATGATGAATGCGAGGGGATGCTATGATAGTGAGAGTTGTTTAGGTAAACAGAAAAAAGAAAAAAACGAAGACAAAATATATGTGGATTTCCCATGGATGAAATAATAGTCACCTACCGATGCATGAATGATGAGCAATATCGTCAGATCAGCTACATGGGAAAGCCTTACTCTAGAGAGAGGTAAATCAGAGACAAAGAAAAAATGGAAGACAAAAATATGTGAATTTCCCATCGATTAAATGATAGCCATACCACTGATGCATGAATTCATAGATCGAAGCACGTCTGCTTATGTATTCGATTCATTGAAAATTGAAAGAGAATGAAAGGACATATACAGTATAACTGACAGAAAACCAAAATTAAATAATGCTACAGAACACCCAGATCGACATCATCCACCACCTTTCTTCAAAAAGAAGCTCTACCCACATTTTATTTGGACGACAACGATGCTCTGTTTGACCACAACTGGCGCAAACGGCATCTTGCTGCCGATTGTTTCGCCTATTACCGTGAAAGTGGGCAGCGAGTCATGGTTGAAAAATAAAAAATAAAAACGGTTAAACAGGTCCTGATAACTTAGTGTAGATCATGTGATTTACAAATCGCTAATTTCCCAAAGATTTATTTATTTGTAATGTGATGCGGTGGCTGGAAGATCATGGGTCCGGTATTTGCAGTTCTTTGCCCACTTGTTGGAGCATGGTATACCAGGCAGGCACTTTGGCCAGGTGTGCCAGCCGTCGCTGATAGATGGTTGTCATAGCAACAAGACATTTATCAATGATATCTTGATTAGGGGCCGGAGCGCCAGGAGCTGCCAGTCCCGGAATTTCCTGTGAAGCCGATTGACAGCGAACAAAGGGCCATATTGACTTGTACAATAACTCACCAAGATCCTTGCCAGACATGTACGGGAAAAGATGATAGATCGATGACAATGGATGCGGTAATCCCTTAAATTAACTCATATCAGTATCATTCATCGCTGACTCTTGGTCCTCGGTGCTTACCATTAATAAAATTAAGCGAGTGGTTTCTTCGAGTTGGGTGGCAAATTGTAAAGCACTAGCCGCTTCAGCGACTTCTTTCATGTGCCAAAAGGCGATAAAATAGACAAGGATACTGCGCAGGAGATCGTAAATGGGAAATTGGGCGGAAAATTGACATTTTTCAATAATGAGAAACAGAGCAGGATGATCCTTGAAAGCATTGCCAATCAGAATGTCACTATCATTCGTCGTCGGCAAAAAAAAAAAAAAAAAAAAATGGAAAGAGAAAAGAAGAGGTGAATATGGTGCCTCCATGCAGATTTACAAATTGATACGCAGTAGTACCTGTTGGATGGAATGTTTCGAGGAAGAGCATCATCATAGGCTTCCATGGTCACAGCAGAAGAAGGCCATTTTGATAATAAATGGATCAAGAAAGGACTCGTCGTTTGGGTAGGGCCTGTGATGACGAAAGTAATTCAAGATATTTGAATATTCTGTCAGCGGATGATCTTTGCAATGTACTTACCATTTTTCTGACCATTGGATTCGCGAGGATAAAATAAACTGGCGGTACGTTCAATGTTGTCAATGTAGATATCGTCTCGTATATCTCTGTCCTGGTATTTGAGTGACTGAGCAGAAAATAACCAAGATCATTTGATTTTACCTTTCATCGTCAGGTAAACCGACGATACCGACGAACTGGGGTGGTCGGGCACTTTTTCCTACATACAGCGGCCGCTGTGTATTGTGTATTTTGTCCATGAGACTCATTTTATCTTGCTGCAGCGCATTCACATCCACTTTTGGAAAGATTTCCAGCCCGCCATCGAGAATGCGATCCATGGTCATACACAGCATGACCTTGGCTAACGGAGGCTGCTCACAGAAGCGTTGGACTATCAAAAATATACGCATCAGTGTTTTTGCTCTCAAAGTGCCCATGTAGATTCCCAGCGTACTTAGTCGTTGTAATTCGTCCAATAGATGCGTCTCGTCCCGTTCGCCAATGTGCAGGTAACGATGTTTCATATGACGGAACCAGGCGTCCAGAATGGATTTCGATATTGTCACAGGGTCCGCCCCATGGATGGGCGTCTCCTGTTCCCAGAATCGCGAATTGGACAGCACGCGAAAGCCCAAGGTGCGACATTCCATGGAGGGATGGTTCAGAAATAAAAGCAACACTTGCCGCCAATAATGTGCAATGTAATCCTTGAACGCGTCAAAAATCAGTTGCGTATTGTGCTGATCGTCCGATTGCACCGGTGCCTCGAAAAGCATGGCCAGGTTGCCCAGGATCTTTTCCACATTGATAGATCCTTCACTGTCAGCAATATGCATTGCAATTGTTTTTGAGAAAATCTTTTCCAACACGACACTACTCAATCATAGATAAAATCCGTCCATCAGTGCCCCTACTCGACATAGCAAATCACATCGACTGCCATTGTTTTTTCTATATCAGTTTACGTACGTAAAGATACCTGGATACTTTGCATGGGCTGAGGCTGCAAGATGAATCACAAGGTAACGCGTTCCCACGTCGGCAGGACAAGCTTCGTCGGTAGGTCGATCAATGCGAGTGATAAGGTTCACGAGAATATCCGTAGCCGCTTCTTGTGTTTCACATTTCCTCACGGCCAGCTGCAGCAAAAAAAGGGGGATTTTCAGATTATCGATGCCACGTGTGAATGTGCTGGCGCTCAGCAGCTCCACTGTCCAGCTGACGACATCGATAGAAGAAGGTTTCAAATCCAATCCCTCAAAAGAAGCACGAAGTAGCTCCAAAATCGTGGATTCGCCGGTCTGTTATCCGCCCAGAGTTAATAATACCAAAAAAATTAAAGGGTGCACCGATGAGTTGCTTACCGGAATCAGAAAGCCCATATTCAGCCTGGTGTCGTGAGCCAATGTATCCATAAAGATAGCCACATCGAAAGCATGCTCAATAATGAGCCCCTGAGGATTCAGCGCCACACCGCTTACCCAATTAGGTAGCACATCAATCACATTGACGACACTATGCAATCATTACAGTTAGTAAAAAAAAAAACAATCGGGATATGGTTGTGTCGTTAGCATTTACCCCCGCGGTAAAAACACTTGGGAGAATCGTGTACGGCGTTCATACACCAGCATGTCTCCAGTGGCATCGTGATGCACAAGTCGATGAAAGATATCCGACCAGCATGCTTTGAAAGAAAAAAAATATATACCCAATGGCCAACGGAACGGACCGGTTAGAACCAAGTCATAAGAAAATCTCAAAACAGGGAATCAGAAACGCCAAATGGTCGCCAGCGCTTCAGTAGTACACATACCATTGGCCAATGTAGGCGTAATTTGTGATAATGAGAACAGGTAACTCAAACGATATTGATGTTTCACAAGCATATGATCAGAAGGATGGGACTCCTTCTGAATATCGGTGAAATAGTCGTTCAATACATCCATCACGGACTCTTTTAACAACTTGGGTTTTTTTTCCGACAGATAATCGGACAGTTGGCATGCAAACATTTGAAGTTGACGTTGATCCTCGGTGACATCGGTCGGTCTACCATTTTTTTTTTTTTTCGTTTTTGTTTAGCGGTGCCTTCTCCTTGATCAGTTGACTGAACTGAAGCCACTTACTGAACTGTGTCCATGAAAGGGTTTCCATATTTAGAAAAACCCAGGATCAAGAATTCGTGCATACGGGGAAAAACCCATTGTGGCAAGACGTCTCCAATGAAGCCCAATAACCAAACCATGCTCCTGCTCGTATGCACAGACTCCTTGCCAAGCTAATTTGGTGCAAAAAAGAAAAAAAAAAGGAAAAAACAATGTCATCATGATGTCAACCCATCCCAACAACTAGAACACGATCCAGATCAAAAAATGAGTATACTTGCAGTGAATAACAGATCCAAATCACTAAGAGCATCAGCATGAATAAGTACGTCTTGGTTACGGATAGAGTTGCACGACGTACCTTTCCTCAATTGATTCATGAAAAGCAACACAATCAATCAATACGCGAAGCAGGACCTGATTAATGGCATCTTCGGATACCGTGGCAATCCATTGATCCATCTGTTGACTGGACTGATTGGCTGTGTGAAGCAATTAAATGATATGTTTAATACGAAAAAGGCAACTGCAGTTTATCGCCGTATTTCAAGGGGCACTATGTTCAGCATACCATGTTCCGGCATTCGTGCTTGCAAGGTATTGTAGATCCACTATCGAGTACGAGATTAGGCCATGTGGCTACTTTGAACAAGATACAACGACAAAGACTAGGGGTACCATGATAACGTTCTTGCCATTGTCTGTCAAAGACAGTTTCAATCGCTGAATATCAAACAATATAGTTCGAAGATCGTCATTCAAGGAAGCTTGTTTAAATGGAAATGGAAACTGTTGAATGGTGGACGTAAGCGATTGGAGTTGGTCTGCCGAACATGAATGGGGCATGGTCCTTTACGGGAATCGCGTCGTCCGTGATAATAATCTTCTCAAGTCAAACAAATCAAAGCCGTGGAGCACCAATTAAGCAGCCCATTGTGACTATCCAATTTCTATCAGCTCCCGCTCATAAGTTTTCGTTCATGCGAGCCCATAATCCTTCCGCAGCGACACCGTAATGGCAATAACAAAAAACAAAAGACCGTATTTTCTGCTATACCACGATTTACTCAAGCAAGCGGTGTCTGGCACAATAGCATCTTGCGAAAGTTCATGACCTTTTCTTTTTTTTATGATTCACTCGGCGTATCCATGCCATCAGTCGTCTCAAATTCAGATAATTGCATAATATCAATCTCAATCTCAAAAGACCTCTCTTGTCAGCCATTTCAGGATCTCTGGAAATCACGCTTTTATCAAGAGCTGGATAGAAGTGTGATGATGGTCGTGCTGTATGCACCATTTTTTCTTTTGGCAATGACGGACGAACAGCCGTCACTGAAGCTACCGGCCAACTTGCGGATGCTGTATCTTTTTATATTATGCAGTCTCTCCGTAATTCATTCCCATCCTGTATCTTTTGGACAAGGATGCGTTTGGGAAGAAGTCGAGTGTATCGGATGATGGGTGGAAAGAATTGTTGCACGATCCATGCGATGATGCCCCACCGGAGTTGGGGTCGCGCTGTGTCAGAAATTTGATGGTCACGTTTTTCTGAGCAGAACAACAGAAAATTTGGTGGACGTGTCCTCCTCTTTATTCTTATTCAACTCCCCTTTTTGCAAAGCGAAAAACGAAAAAGAACCATCATGTCCGATTCGAGAGGAGACGATCAGTCGTGGAATAGTGGATACCAGCAATGTAAATTTGATTAAACCAGCATTTGGCTACGGGCCAGCTTATGTTTGTGAGCAGATGAAGGGCACACGTCTGCTCGATCATATGACCAGGGAGCCGATGCATCATACTACTCTCAAGGCGCGGCCGGCGACAGTTATCATGACCAAAGCGGTTATGGTGACAATACCGGTTATCAAGGAAGTTACGGTAGCAGTGATAGAAGCCAACGATACTCTGGCCAAGATCGGTCGGAGAGATCGCGCTACGGAGGAGGACGTTCTCACGACGCCGAAGGTCCGTTTTTTCATTTTTCTTTCTTTCTGTCCTCTGCCTTGTTATCTTCATGTCATGATAAGAAAGGATGAACTAAAAAAGCAAGTTTTTTTTTTTTTTTTTAGGTGAGAGTATTCATCGCATGGAAGATACAGTTTACATCACGAACTTGCCGCAAGATGTCACGGAAGAAAAATTGGCTGCCCATTTTGGTTCCATCGGCTTGATAAAGATTGATAAGAAGACAAGAAAGCCCAAAAGTAGGATTCAATCATTTTTTCCCTTTGTGTTCTTTGCTGCTGACTGACGAGTGGACTGACACGACACATGATTATTTTCGGACTCACCCTCAATTCTATTTGTCCTCTTGTCCTATTCAGTTTGGATTTATGTTGATAAGGCCACGAATTTACCCAAAGGCGATGGTAAAGTAGTCCACCACCAAATCATTGGGAAATGGATGATTCTCAATTGTTCTTTTTTTTTTCGATATAGCTACATTGACGTATGATGATCCACCCTCGGCCGATGCTGCTATTGACTGGTTTGGTGGTAAGTGGAAATATCGGCGTATTTTTTGTACAGATGGGCGATGCTGCTTTGTTTTCTTTTAAGACTTTTTTCTTTTTTTTGTGGCGTTCCGTGATCATGCTGATTTACTTTATTTCTGTTTGTAGGCAAGGAATTTATGGGAAACGTTATCCAAGTGAGCAAAGCAGAAAGAAAAATGGCCATGCCTCGTAAGTTTGCAAAGTAAAAAAAAAAAGTTTAAAAAAATTGAGAAATTACTAAACCTTATTCTTAACACATGCTTACACCAGCTGGCGGTGGTGGAAGATATGGCGGACGTACCGGCGGCGGTGGCGGCAACAGCAGCAGTGGTGGTTACCGTGGCGGACGTGGTGGTAGCAGCAGCGGTGGGGGAGGAGGCTATGGTACTCCCAAAGAAGGCGATTGGACTTGTGAAGGGTAAGTGAGAATGCTTGTGACTAATCTCAAAAAAAGAAAATTAAATTGATCATCTATCGATTGTGTAGCTGTGGTGCCAATAATTTTGCACGACGAAACGAGTGTTTCAAATGCCAAGCTCGACGACCGGAATCAGCTGGTGGCGGCAGTGGCGGTGGCTACAGCCGAAGTGGAGGAGGAGGAGGCGGCGGTTATGGTCGCGGTGGAAGTTATCGTGGCGGTGGCGGTGGCCGCGACCGTGATGATGATCGATCCAGTGGAAGAGGAGGACGTCCTCGAGGCAATGGTCGAGATGATTACGGACGTTACTCGGGCGGTGGTCGTGATGAAAGTTCGTACAGAAAAGATAGATATGACAGACGTGATCGACCCTATTAGAAATTTGAAGGATAATACAATATCGTTGAGATGACGTGACAAAACAAAACAAAAACCTGGGTGATTACCATTTTAAGGGCCATCTCGAGTGGAGAGGTAGGCTGACTTTGTATTTTTCTTTTATTTTTTGCCACCACGAGTTTTTTATTTTTTTGGTGAAAATGAGCACAAGTGGTGATGCCGCATATAGCCCGCAGGACTCTATTTTTTTTTTTGGGATTCCCCTTATCAATTGACTGGTCCAGACTGTAAGGATTGATAGTGATTCCTTTTTGGATCTTCGGCTCCGATCACCCTATGGCTTATTGTTCTACATCCCTTTCCCCAACTGGGTTACCTCTTATTCTTTCTTCCACGCAACTTGTGGACAAGCTTAGGCTGTTCTCTCCCCCCTAATCCCTTCCACAGACATACCCCTCGTTTTTTGCTTCTTTTTTTTTTTTCGTGGTTGCTCCCCACCCATCACCCCCTTCTTTTCTTGCTTATTAGGGCAAACTCTCTTTTTTTCTTCCTTCTCTCTTCGCCTTTTTTTTTCTTCTCTTTTCTTGCTTTTGTTTCTTCTCTCATTTTTTTTGTTTTCTTTTTCGTTTGTTTTCTATCCTCTTCCTTTTTTACTTCTTCTTCCTCCCTTCTTTCCGACCAGACAAGAAAAAAAAAGGATCATCCGTAACAACAACTTATAATTGAAAATTTTCTATCATGACGACTTCGTTGCTCGCAGCCAAACCCTACCACACTCTTTCTGCACCACCGGCTTCCTTGACGAATCGTTATGAACAAGTTCCATCGACAGGCTTGAACCCGTTACCTAGCAGAGCTAGATACTCGGTGTCGAGTTCATCGTCTACACACTCCATGCTCCATTCCGACAATTTCACAATGCATCCCGATCCTGAAATGTGTGCACTCCGAAACATGCTTTCAGCTCAGCGTCGTTTATTACCCTCTTATGCCAGTACCCCTCAATCCTCCGCTGGATTACCCACCGTGACTGCGGTTGGCCGAGTGTCTCCGCTCACCAATCGTTATGCGTATGTCGAAGCATTAGTAGGTAAGGGACAAAGAAAGAAAAAAAAAACTAGCCAAAGCTCAATACTTGGAAAGGAAAGGGATAGATGAGGAGGTGAGGAGGAGAAAAGTCGTAAAAAGAAACAGAGGGAGAAAAACGAGAAAAAAGCGCGCGCGCGTAATGTGGGTGTGTGGATGTTGTGGGGAGTTGTAGGATACGAAGGGGAGGGACCATTCCAACCTATTCTTTTTTTTCTTCTTTTTTCATTCTTTCTACTTTTTTTTTTCATTGTTGTCATGACAAGAAGAATGAAGAAAGGATTTTTGGGATCAAGTGGTTTTGTTTTTTTCATTATTTCTATTCATCATTGTCATGAAAGAAAAAAAAAAGAAGAGAGAAAAAACAGAGCTTAATTTTTTTTTGTTTTGTTTTTGCTTGTTTTATGATATTAGACACGAACGCGCTTGCTGTGGAAAGTATTTGGTATTCAACCAATTTACAATGTACACGAACGGCGGTAGTGCCTTTGCGAACGTTTATCCAAGAAGTATTGAAACGATCACGAACGACGTATTCGACATTGCAGACAGCGTTATTTTACCTGATCCGAGCCCAACCGGCCATTGTCGCGCATCTCCATCATCAGGAATACAATCAAACCAAAGACGATCGCCAGGGACAGTGGGAAGATGCTTACATCAGCTGCGGTCGACGGATGTTCCTTGCCAGCCTCGTGGTTGCTTCAAAGTTTGTACAAGATAAAACGTATCGCAACTCAGCATGGGCGAAAATTGCAGGCTTACCGGTTGCGGAGATCAATGCCGCGGAGCGGATTTTTTTGCAACTCATCGATTATCGCTTGTACATTGCACAGTCCACGTTTGAACAATGGCATCATTTACTGCACGTGCATGTCGAAGCCCGAACACAAAACCAACCAGTGCCCTTGCATGATTTATCATGCTTACCCTTCGGTACGTCTACTGCTCCATCTTCGACCTCGGCGACAGCCAATGTGACTCCCACATCACCTTGTTCATCCTCGCCACGATCTCGTCCAGGATGGACATTGGTGCTTTCGCCCACCTCGTTCCTTCCTCGACAAAAGGTTTACCATCATCAACATCATCACCCACATTCTCACCATCCCCATCATTCTCATTCGGCTGGTCACCATCACCACCACCTCTCCCAGCCAAAACACCATCATCCATATCATCATCATCCTCATCATCATCCGTCTTCCACCTCATCGGTGACGACGGAACAGGATGGTCACCGTACACGATCGACGGGTTATGATGACCGACGTTCCGTCTTGATGCAACTGTCTCCGCCACTGTCATGTTCACCTTACTCCATGAATTCGACATGCGGTACCTGTTCTCCCAATACACACATCCCACCCGTGTTATCCCTGTCGCTGCCCAGTTCCAGTAACTCCTCTCCAATGCAAACGCCTACCTTGGTGTCTCCTGTACGTGTGAATCACAGTACATCTGCTTTCACATGGAAGATTGCTTCGCCCACCGTTCATTATGATCCTCATCAACACGCGACGCATTATCCTTCCCGTTACTCTATGCCCGTGCAAGAAACTTATGGCAAACGCAAATCCGATTACGACGAGTTTCATCGTGGTTATGCCGTTAGTTACGTTCGTCAGACCAAACGTTCCCGACGTTAAACGAAAACAACCATCACCATCACCACCACCACCAAAAAAAGAAAAAAAAAGCTATCCAAAAAAAAAAATCGAATGATGTATTTCAAGTCCATCTATCCTTGGAAGGAAATCCAAAAAAAAGCCCTCCTACAAAAGAAGAAAAAATATTCCTATTGCCTTGATCTCCGACCAAAGTCGTGTATCCCTTTTTTTTTTTTTTTTTTTTTGCTTATTCTTGTTCACCTTGTTTTCCTGACACTTCCCGCCCCGCTTCGACTCCGCTGTCTGCCTCCTGTTTACTATTCTCTTTTTTTTTTTTTCTTTACTGTGTTCGTTATTTATCATCAGGCAGTGCCTTTTTTGTTTTATTTTGTTTTTCATTGTCATTCTATCGTTGATTCGTTCATTCTCTCTCAAAATGCTGCAATTCAGTATTTTTTTATATGATATTTTTTTCTTATTCCCCCTTTTTCCTCTTTCCCCCCACCATTTCATTCTGTGTGGTCTTCCCTTTTTTTTGTCGCTTGCTTTTTTCCACTCCCGATCCTTGGTTTTCTCGGCAAACTCTTGAATGAGATCCGTCTGCAAAATCAGTCTTTGAAGGTGAATTCAATTTATGCATTCCCTTTTTTCCAGCAGTGTTGAAAATGACCCTGTTTTAGTTTGCGCACCATTTTTTATTGTATGCCCTCTTCCCCTTTTTGATTGCTTTTGAAAAAAAGGAACAAACAAAAATATTCTTTATCTCACCTTCCCCTCTCCCTTGCCTTTCCTTTGATTTTCTTTATCTTCATGGCATCTTTTTTATATATCTTTATCACTTATATATATATATTACACATATATCGTATATATATCAACCAAAGCCAATGCGATTTTTTTATACATCATTATTTATTTATCATTGGTTATTTCAGTACAGATCATATTTTTGAGTACATAAACAGCTGTATCCCTTCATCTTTATTTAATTTGAACGCCGTTGAATTCTCTACTGCACTGAAACATGCGTTACGGCAACGGAACAAAAGGCAACGGTTATCTGATGGTTGGCATATTTTTTACAGAAAACCCAGTGCACAAACGTTTATGCGTACCACCATCCTTGTTTAAACTCAGGTGTCACACCTCAGAATCGGAGCGGAGATGGTTGTTTGGCATTTATTGTTCATCTCAGAACAATGGTATCCTGATCATATCGAACCCAATACCTTCATTGACAATTTGAAATCAGTAAAATTATAAGCACAAGCTAAAATTGAGAATCTTTGGGCCGACGGAACATCATGAATGGTTTAAATAGCACACGTAAACCGTGAAGTACTGTTGCCGAATTCCTGGATATTTACAAGGCAGTTGTCTTTCTCATGCAATACAGCTAACAACCCTGTAGACAGCTGTGACTCGGGTTTGTATATATGATGAACTTTAATCTGACCACATTGTAAAGAGAAATAACATACAGAGAGGCTATCAACCACCCCATGTTGAGGCTCACAAAAAAAAAAAAAGAGAGATACATCCTAGTGTATTCTGTGGGTTGTATTTTGCTGTCTGGCCTTGCGACTTTATGCATACAGTCATCACTGTTGGCCGACCGACCGACTGCTTGACAAACTGTCTAAACATCATTCTACATATCTTTTGATCATACTTTCCATGACACAACCCAAAGGGACATCCAGTGCTCGATTGAACTCGGGGCAATGAGAAATGAAGATGTATTGCAGATATTCAATGAAAAAGAAAGATGTATACCCATACAATAATAATTTCATTAGCGTATCAGCCGCCCACACTTGATAAAATTCATTTGTGTTGAGGCCACAGGGTGAACCGGGGAAAACTGAGTTATAGCACCAATTAACTATGATTGGATAAATATTGCAACGCCGCTAAGTGCAAAACCAACTTTGAACCATCATGATTGAAATGTCAGAAAAGGAAAAAATTTCGATGTAATTGAAGAAATTCCAGGCTGTAGGTTTTGTGTCTTTTAGCGTCTCACTGCATTGATTGCAGAATTTCACCTTTTTTTTTTTTATTTTACACTCATTTACAACCTCTTGTCATAAAAAGTATTGTCTCTCTCTCTCCCTTTCTTAGTACTTTCCCTTGGTCAGCCCGTCTTCTCCCTTCTCCTGTTTTATATCCATTCGTCTCTTTTTGGTACTCTTTTCTCTTTTTTTTTCCGGTTCATCGTTACTGAATCCTTATTTTTATTATTGTCCTCTCTACGTACAGTTTTATTTTCCCTTTTTGGTGGCGTGCCTTGTCTTTCTCTTTTGTACATGACTGGATTGGCTAGCTTGGGCCATACTTTAGGTGATTTCTCAATATTACGCTTCAATGCATAAGCCAGCATGTCGACGAATCGTGTGGGTGGCAATTACCCGGCTTTGCACCATAATCATTCCAGATGTTCTTCTCAGGTTTCTGGGCGGCATGACAACCTCTGGTAAAGAACCTAACATCTTGTTTATTCAATGTGCGCTATTCGTCATTAGGTTATTAACTCCTCACGATGTGAATTCGCGATTCTCTTTTTCGTTTAGCGGCTCGTCAGGCCTGGCGGGAAAAAATTACTCTGTTTACTCTTTATTTAGCCATTGCCGGCCTCTTTTGCTTTTGGCTTGAATATGTGTCTACGTTTTTTTGTGATCCGGCCAAAACCTATCCCTACGATACAGTCTACAATCATACCAACTATGCTGGCATCAATGGCTGGGCCGTCAATTGGTCCGATCATGCTGCATCGTCGGCCATGGCCGCTCAAGTCAGTCAGTATGCCGGTTACGATCTGTCGCCCATGTTCCCCAATTTTATGAAATTGCATCGTGACAGTCCCCACGACACTTACAACGATCCTGTGCTTCGACACTGCATCGCCGATGCGGACACCGCCGCCAAAGCCGACCGTTGGCTACAGTACAAACTCACCCACGATCCAGGTTACGTAGCGCAAAACGGTAAATTGGTTTCTTGTCCCATGCCCGATCAACGCAACAAGACCGGTGCGCCTTGCTATTATACCCACGATGTCAATATCGAAACCCAGCAGTTTGGCCTCAAAGGCAAGATAGTCTACAAGCCTAGTTTTGTCGCCAATAATTGCAGCACCATGCCTGCTCGCGGCAGTCCAGGTCGTGCCTACGTCATTCTTGATGGCAATGTGCTCGATGTCACCGATTACCTCGATGCCGCCACCAACATTGTCAAGGTCTCCTTGGATACCTACTCGCGTGCCTTTGCCATGGATCGATTATTTCTGCCCTTGGATTTGAGTGTGTTGCTATTTATCAATTTAGGAAACGACGTCACCGATTATATCCAAGGCAACATTTCCGGCGATCCTCAACTGTACAAAGCATGTTTAAAGACCCTCTTCTTCAAAGGCATCGTCCCCGATAATATTTCCACGGGATGTGCCCGTATCAATCCAGCCTTGTGGGCAACCATGGGATGCGGCCTCATTTATTTCCTCATCAAGATGAATCTGGCCAATTTATCCCGCATCCAATTCATCCAAAAATCCTTGTTCAAATCGGATCCGGAACCTTCGGCGCTAGGTCAACATGCCCAACCTCACACCATTCTTATGGTACCCTGTTACGCGGAACCTTCCGACACCGTCAAACGAGCCATTGACACCCTCGCACGCACCAATTATGACGACGGCAAGAAGCTCCTCCTTTTCGTGTGTGATGGCGTGGTCAAAAATCCTCAGGATACCAAAGAGTCGTATCTGTGCATCTTGGAAGCGTTAGGCTACAGTTCCACGGAACAGCCCGTGCCGCAGGCGTACCTGTCGCTGGGTCAGGATCGTCGCAAAGTGAACTATGCAAAAGTCTATGCGGGCTATTACGAGACGGGACGTAATCGTGTACCGTTCATGATGATTGTCAAGATCGGTGCTGTCAGAGAAAGAAACTCATCGACTCGACCTCCCGGTAACCGTGGCAAGCGAGACTCCATGGCCTTGGTACTGGGCTTCCTTGAGCGATGCATGAATCTGGCCCATCATAGAATGACGCCGCTCGAGTACGAATTGTTCAATCAGTGTTACAACATTCTCGGCATTGATCCTCGTGTTTTCAAATACTTGCTGGTCACCGATGCCGATCTTCAGTTGCAAGCGGATGTTGTGCAACGGCTTGTGTCACGTTTGGAACGGGATCGGCTCATGCTGGCCGTGAGCGGCCATGTCCGACCGGCGAACCCTGAAAAAAACTTTGTCACCATGTTGCAAATTTTCCCCATTTATCAAACCTTCTTTTCCGGTTTGGCCTATGAAGCGTGTCTTGGCAGCGTCACCTCCATCAATGGCGGGTTTGTCATGTACAAGCTGTGGGCCGACAGTCCGTTGATCGACAGTTCCGACACCGTGATTCCCTTGCAGAGTCGTATGCCCACCAGTATTGGTACGTCGACAAAATCGCTGCGATCCAAGTGGCCCAAAGTGAGCGATGAAATCAATCCGTTTGACGACCCTTCTTCCATTAAATACGCGTCGTCTCGCCGTCGAGTTGCGGAGGATGGAGTTATTGTGGACGACGACGATAACAGTATGGATGGCATGACCATCAGCACGCGTTCGGAATCCATTTTATCCTTGACCCCGAATCTCGATGTACGCGCGTGCTGTATTCATCCCACGGTATTGCGCGGATTAACGACCCCCCAGCCGGATACGTTGCACATGAAAAATGTGCTTTTACTCGGTGAAGAGCAGTACTTTGGCATTGTTCTTTTACGTTCGCATCCCGGTCATCGCTTGGGTTTCGAACCTGAAGCGATTGGCTATGCTACGCTGCCTACCAATTTTTTCGCACTTCAAGCGTTGATGAGCCGAAATCTGCGTGCGACTTTCCACAACCAAATCGAGATGCAACGTGTCGCGAGTCAACTTGGCTTTTCGTATTGGGTATTGTCCATCACAAAACTGCTCGATATGATTTTTTCCTTGCCCATCATCGTCTATCTGTACAACGTGTATATTCGATTCTTCATCGGTTCCGGCTTGGCCTATACCATTATTGCAGGCAGCTTTGCGTGTTTGGTGTTGTTGCACTTTGTGTTTTTTATCGCACGACGTCAGTTCAAGTATGTGCTGTGGTTTGCTCTGTACTGTGTTTTCTCCATGCCGCTATTTGCTATTTGGTTCCCATTGGTCGCGGCTTGGTCGAGCGATTATGCCGAACGATGGTACGATGTGTGGCCAACCCAAAAGGGTTACGGCGGCCGATTGCATGGTATTATCGACGACCCCATTTTGGAGCCCTATACGGATCAGGAGTTTGAAGTCGTCAGTGATCCTGACGAGCAAAAACTGAAAACAGAGGACGAAATGGTGTCGCGATTGCGACTGGGTGAGTTTGAGACGTTGGAAGCGGAGCGCGCATACCGTCGCGAACTGGAAGAAGCGGCGGCCCTGGATGCAAATTTTACTGGCTTCACTGGCTTTGCCGGATCGAGAGCTAGCACCATGATGTCTAGACGATCGCAACCGGCTGGTATCACGGATCCCGAGATCTTGCCTTCGCCGCCTGTCTCCAAACTCGTTGATCAACGGTTCCCCTCGCATCAAGTGGGTAATACCAGCGGATTTCAGTCGGTGGCCGCCGTCGTTGACACTTACAGCACAATGCGATCGGGGGTTCCACTGCAAAAGATCAGTACCGTACCGTCCACCGAACATCCAGATCCGTTCTCGGATCCACTGTCTCCGGCCTTGGAAGATCCTTTTGACGATACGTATGCTACGAGCAGTCGGCATCCTTCGCTGAAAGAACATAGATCTCGGTATGCAGGTGGACATCAGCGATCGGGCCCTTCACAGACATCCAACCCAGGCGTGTCCAATGGTTCCGAAGGTGCCAGGTTTTACACTTTGGATATCGACTCGGGGTCACCGCGAGCCACAGTGATCAACAAAAACCGATCATTGAGACACGCACGTTCAGTGTCCTTGACGGAACCGGCGCCGGCACGTCGACGACGGTCGTATTCGGCGGAATCCATTCTGTTGCCTTGCCGTGAACCTGGCGACCATCGTTCGTCGGTGTATTCGACGACCTCCGTAGCCAGTTCCTGTCTCAGCCTCAATCTCGATACCATAGCTTATGACGAACCCATGATTTACGGAGGCGGACCGCGACATATCATTGATGCATCTCATACGCCGGATGGGTCCAATTATTCCGCTCACGGTGATATGATGGAAGGTCGATCCATGGCTCTGCACGGCAACGTTGGTCTCAAAATACCCGAACGCATGAACGCCAATCTTCGTAATTACAATGGGCCTACTCCTCCACTTCCTATCGTGCGGCATCGTACCGTTCAACGTCACCCCTCTTTACATCAATCTTCCACTTCGCATCATCGACACCGTCGTGATCCAAGCAACATCACCATAGACTCCTCTACTACAGCCTCTAGCAGTGCTGGCACTAGCAAACCTAATCACCGACGCCATGTCGGCCCTTGAAAACATCCTCATTCCATCCCACTCCCTCTCATCCTCCATTTGTTTTTCCACCGTTTTCTTTTCACGTCAACGATCTCTGTGTCATTTTTTCTTATTATTTTTTCACATACATAGTTGCCTACCAACCTAATTGCACACACTAATTTGTAAATTGAATCATTTTGTTTTTTATTCCTGTAAAAACAACACACGGACAAATTTTTCATAAATTGACTGTTTAAAACGACCCAAAATGTTCGCTTTATTGATAATGCCGGTAGTGAATGAGAAAAGGAATGATTTGCTCTATGATTGATTGACTTGTGTGTGTATGCAGGTGTGTGTGTGTATGCGTGTGAATGGTTTGGCTCGTGTCATACACACTGAACTCATGATGAAAAAAATGCTAGATATAGGGCCTGGTTCGTTTCGCCATCTGTCTGTATTTCATTTGACAAGCTTGGCTTGATCGTCCGGTGTTCAGTTCCCGCGCCACGTCATGCCAGAGACTACGCCCTTTGTGGGCACGAAGGCGGAATGTTTCGACGATTTCATACAGATGGATTTGCTCTTCATATGCCCATGGCCCTGTTTTCAGGCCCGGTTGCAAGGTGACTCGCCATCGTGAGCGACACTGCGTGGGGGATCGTCCTTGCACCATACTGGCGACTTTGCTCCATGAGATTCGATTGTCTTTCTCTTGCACGCGGTTCACAGCAAACAAAAGTTCGCGATCTTCCTGATCGGACCATTTACCGGCCTTATACAAACTTTGTTTCCACACTCGTCTACAGTGATCCGGCGTGCGGTCAGGAAGATAGGACTGGCTAATTGCTATCCAGTTGTGACCAAACATAGCGACCCCTTCTTGAAGCAATTCTCGCTCGGCCTCGGAAAATCGTTCCCCCTTTTTCACATTATTCCGCGACGGCAACGTATCTTTGCGAGATTGCCCTGTTGTTCTTAGAATTTCGTCGTTTGGGCCATTTCTTTCATCCCGGGACTTTTGTACTGCGTTAGGTTCTTCTTGGGTCCATCTGCCACTCTTGATCTTTGGAGTAGCCGAGGGTTGAGTATGCAATGATGACGTGGCAATAGGTATATCGGAAGTTGTTGTGGAGGGATTTTCATCGACCGCAGGTGACGACGATGGGTTGGAGATGGAAGCTGGGGCGTCCGCGGTGGACGGGGTATCTTTGGAGGTAATCTGTAAGCTGCTATCCTTGCCGGCGGTGATGTCGACTTTTCCATCCAACCAAGCAATCATCAGTTCTGCTACGCTTCGTTTCCACTCGCCATAGGTTTGGTTGGGTTGACGCTCAATGTGAAAGAGAATATCCAATACTTTGACGCCCTGACCGTAAAACATGTTGTAGCACATGGTTTCGTTGCGACCAGGTAGTTCGGCGGCGATGCGAGCCCAGTTGCCACTGTAGAGTTGCGTCAACTCCCAGAACCGACGAGTTTCTTCGGGTGACCAGTGGACGTCCTTCTTCAAACCGGGATCGACCTTGTTTTTCCACATGTAAGCACACATGAACGGGGTTCGACCGGGTAATCCTTCGGCTACGGTTTTCCATTTTTGACCATAGATCAAGGTGCGACGCAATAAGAGATTGCGTTCTTCGTCGGTCCAAGGGGCAGCGTTGATGTACGGTTTCAAGACCCTAACATATCGCATGCGAATCCAGTGGGGACTGCGATCTGGCAGCAGCTCGTTGGCGATCTTGACCCAACGATGACGGTATTTTTCTACGCCTTGGCGGATCAATTCGTCTTCCTGTTCCGTGAACGGTGCTCGGGAATATTTTGGATTAAGGGAAAGACGCCATAAATTGGCCAACTGTCGCGAGGAACGTCTGGGTAGATATTTGTCTCGAATCGCAGCCCAGTGGCCTTCACCCAATTCTTGTACGCCTTGAAGCAACAGTTGCCGTTCTTCCTCATCGAGAGGTCCTCTGCGTATGCTGGGATCCAGCATGTCTTTCCACCGAATTTGAACCGCATTCGGCGTTCTTTCTGGCAGACAATGTTCGACCGCAGCTTTCCAGCGTGGTCCATTATGTTTCACGTAATCTTTCAGTAACTTGTCTTCGGCCGGTGTCCACGGTTGTCCTTGCAAAGTGTAAATGCATCGTTTCCAAGGTAATACAGCTCGCAATGACCCAGGTCGAGTAGCGAATATTCGAAAGTAGGCATAAGATGTTCTCAAAACATTCATTCCACTAAAACGAATCTCACCGGTTGAAACTCCACACACGATGTTCCTTTATCCTGTCCAAAGTGGCTTGGCTGGCTGTCTATCCCATCCTCCTTGTCATCAACAAAATCTAATTTTCTCATATCACACCAAGCTATCAAATTATCTGTCTTTTTTTCATTCATGCTTCGATATAATCGACTTAAGGATGTCTGGCAGAAAAGGAAAGATAATTGGCGCTCTGTAATGGCTTGTGTTGCACAAAGACCTTCCCTTTCCAGCAGTGATCCCTCGCAATAGGGTATTTAAATTTTCTATTTTCAAAGCGTGATCCGAATCCACATGGGCTGACAACTCTGCTATAAATCGCCCAAGAGAAAGGGTGTATGATATTTTGGTTCATTTGGAACCTTTTTTTCCCTTTTTTATTTTTATTTCTGTAAGACTTGGCGTAATAAGGACTTGACATACGTTAAAGGAACTAGTGTGAAAGATACATGTGCTGAAGCATGTTGATTTTTGGATCTGCTGACCCCATGACACCCAGGTTTAATGGCATGGCAAGTTGAGCAATGACACTCCGCCTTACATTAGCATTTTTTCTTTCTCGTTTTCACGTGCTGAATAACAGCTGCCCATTTTCATTGCAGTCATCTTGTATTCTAGCTCCGTGCATCTCTCTTTTCTGATTCTCTTTTCTCTCTCAAAAAAAAGTTTTCCATCGCTTTTAGGTCCAAGCACAACAGGATCAATATTCAATGGATCTTTCCAACGCTGTCATGGATACCTTGCAGGATCCTCTGAAACATGCGGTGGCTCCCTTGCTGACGGCATTTTATAACCTCTTTTATCTTTTGTACAATTATTTGGTACAACCATGGATGGTAAGCCATAATAATATGGACTGTGTGATTGCATACTGCATAGTTCTTCTACATCAATTGACCTGTTACAGAGGATATGGCGCAGAATCAAGCACAACAAGCCTGAAAATCGGCTGCTTCACTCACTGCGACATGCAGATGATTATGAATCCTGGCGTACCCAAGCTCAAGAACTTGATAGGTAAGTGTTGTATATGCTTGCTTTGCACATTGGTTTGTAATAACTTTGTTTCTAGTCTTTTACGTAAGCGTGATTCTTTTTTTTTTTTTTTTTTTTTTTTGGGTGAGATGAACAATGACATGACGAAAATTGATACAATACACAATACACAGAAAATGATCTTTGGAAGTCGCAACCTGTGTCACGACTGTACGACTACAAGTTAATTTCATCGCGGCTTGAGCATCTGCAGAACGCTCGTGCATCCGACGACGTGGAATGCGTCATTTATCTATTGAGAGGCGGCTTGCTCCGAAATTTTGGTGGCATTTGTGAGAGGAAATTGTTCTCTCATTCATACTATGGGTAAATCATTTGGTTACTGCAAGCCCTTCGCCACCGATATCTAATTTTTTAAAAAACCGTTGACACTTGTAGAACCAAGAATATCGTGGAAGAGTATATGGACGAAGTTGTAAAGCTCATTGAATACATTGAAAGCAAAAGAGGCTTTAATCAGCAAGCGAAGTTGAAGTTTTTCAGTGACAGTCGGCAAGGTTTTGGCTGCTCAGCTCTGGTTCTTCAAGGCGGCTCCGCTTTTGGTATGTTTTGCAAAAAAAAGAAAAATGAAGAGCATCCATTGAACTCTTTACGCTTGTGTTTTTGCCGCCTCTTAGCATTGTACCATTTGGGCGTGGTCAAAGCGTTGAATGAACAAGGTTTATTACCACGTATTATTAGTGGTACAGCGATTGGCGCCATGATTGCTGCATTGATCTGCATTCATACAGACGATGAATTGCCGGTGAGAAGTATATTCATTACGACAATACAAAGACATACGTAACTGATACAGGTCTTACTTAGCATGTCCTTCAACCGGATGGGATCAATCTGACCGCATTTTCCAAAAAGACAGATCAAGGGTAATTCTTTAATGCAAAGTCGACCACGTCTATTGGTAACATATCTATTTCAGGCACATCAGAAGACGTATTACACGATTTTTAAAGCATGGTAAGCCAGTACCAGCTTTTTTTTCTATATCATCGGTATAGTTCAATTGATGATGGTTCGGTTTTAAAAAAGGTTACTTGATGGATATGAAGGTGCTTCAAGAGTGCGTTCGAGCCAACGTGGGCGACTTGACCTTTGAGGTAGTTTTTGGGACTGTTGATTATTTATACTGCATTGGATTTCAACGGTGGATTGAATTTTCCAGGAAGCGTACGCACGATCCAACCGTGTTCTCAATATCAGTGTATCCTCAAGCCGCACCCAAGAAGTCCCTCAATTGCTGAACCATTTAACAGCGCCCAATGTTGTAAGTCAAACCGTCCGATACGGATAAGCTAGTGAGAGTTGACGGAAAACAAACTAGTTGATATGGAGTGCTGCATGCTGTTCTACTGCTTCTGTGGGATTATTTGAAAGCTGCGATTTGCTGGCCAAGGATAAGAATGGCAACGTTGTAAAATGGAATCCATCAGGTACGTCTAAAAAGAAAATGTCTGCCTCGCATAAAAATAACTGACAAATCAAAATTCACAGCTGTCAAGTGGAATCAATGGTCGGAAGCGTCACCAACGGAAAGGTAAAGAGAGCTCCATTGTCATCACCAACACGAGGCTGACGAAATATGATAGTGAGACACCACTTTACCGACTCTCGGAATTATTCAATGTGAACCATTTTATCGTCTCGCAGGCCAGTCCATATATTATCCCTTTTATTTCCAAGGCCGATAACCTTCAGCATGCCTCGCTGTGGAATAAACTAGTGTATGTCGCTGCTAGTGAATTGAAACACCGACTATACCAGGTAATTCATGGTGAGGTCTTTACTTGTCTAAAGATTCTTTATCTAAACCGTTATCTTTTTTTTCCCTTTTTTCTAGTTGAATCAGCTTCACTTGCTGCCCCGCGTTTTCCGGGGACTCATTGAGCAAAAAATGTCGGGCAATGTCAATATTGTTCCCCATTTAGCACTTTCGGTAATTCATGCAACCCATGCTTGTGACACGATGAGAGATGATCATAACATTGATTTGACGTTAGGATTACAATATCTTGTTTTCCAATCCAACACATGCATCGCTCGCTTACTGGTAATTTATGAACCCCACAGCAACAAAATGGGAAAACATATTCACATGCTTTTTACGTACAACGCCAGGATTATGCATGGAGAACGATCCACTTGGCCTTTGATTTCCTTGATCAAGGCAAGGTGCATGATTGAATTGGCACTCGATCGAGGTAAAAAAATACATATAACGTTTATCCAGATGTTCAAGCATAGATAACCTCTAAATGTTATATAGCGGTTCGTCGACTCAAAGCCATGAACGTGGAAAAACAACCTATTGTCATTGAGCCCAGTGCTGTAGAGACCAAAAAGCGGGCCCGATCCATGCACTAAATTCATTCAAACCATGACAATAATACATAAAATGTACTTCCTTTTTCTTATTTTATTTATTTCTATGATGCCATGGCTCTGTTTTTCCATCGTTGAAGGATATCTTTCCATTTCTGATACGCTTCCGATGGCACCAGGTCATCTAATAGTGCCGCATAGATTTAGTGTTGGTTAGTCATCGTGATTGCGAGACCACGAGATATTTTACCTTCAGTAATGGCATGACCCTCTATGCCATATCTCTCTATTAAATAGGACCAAGTTTTGGTCGATACAATAACGACATCCGTAGTGTCAACAGAGTAGGGATTGAATCGCACAGAAAGTCGGATCGATCCATTTTTGACGCGATAAGGTTGATGATCGATCTTTTGTTCGGGGGCGGCGGTGCGCCATCCTTCGATAAACAGTTCCCACTGAACGATCCAATCGGCCGTCACGAAGCGGAATCCTTCTTCGTCCTTTATCATACGCTGTGGCGTATCTGCCCAACGAAGATACCGCTCATAACGACGAATTTCCCGCAGAGAATTGATGTAGCGGGCTGTTTCGGTCGAATAGAGTGCTTTCGACCATTGCTGGCAAATGGACGAAGCGAAATATTGCTCAGCAGGATCGGCGTCAAGGCCACCCAACTGGATGAAAATACAATGGAAGAAACTGTGAATAAAGCAAATCACAAGTCAAAGGAATTTCTACTTACCCAATCTACGCAGATCTGACAGAATAGTTCGGCCATATTCAGTTTGACAAAGACGTCATGGCTTCCTTGTCGAGAGTGGAGGCGAGCATGCCGATCACAGACTAGTAGGTCAGGTGATGAGAAGGATTTTGCATATGGGTTGGCATTTCAATCTGTTTTTTTACCTACGGCGTGGCAATGATGATCAACGCAGACAAAGATATTCTCCATGCCAGAGACGTGACAAAATTTGCAGGTGATGTGCTGCCACCGGTCCATTTTCACAGCCGATATTTCCGGCCATGGATCGTCCAAGCGATATCTGCTCAAGTGACGACAGGCGGCGCGGCCAAATTCATGACGGGTACATTGGATGTAAAGCCGTCGGTAAGTCTGTGTAGGACAATTGTAGGTAATACCGTGATCTGTACGACACAGTCGCTTCCACAAGGAATCCACTCCACCCAGCGGTAGTAATTTTCGACTACAACTGGCCAACCGAACAATATCCTTGGCGCCAAGATATTCAGCTATGCAGATGAGAAGGTCAAGGTTCAAAAGATCAATATTCATAGGGAACAAAAAAAAGAGAGGGAAAGAATGATGCAAAGAGGAAAAAAAATGCGAGAAATGTTGGATCAAGTATGAAATGCTCCTTTCTCGGACTCTTACATAGACCACAGATTGATTCATCGTCGGCATTCCTTATTCTGTAAAAAGATATGATGATAGAAGTATTTATTATATGACGGCATTGTTTTTTTCAGATTTTTTCCCTTTTTTTTTTCTTCTCTTTTTTTTTCTAAGACCACGCAACGTCCCGCCGTGGTTTTTTAAAAGACAACACATCCTTTTTCATCTGTCAACATATCATTGTAACCACTAGTAACTAATTGATTTACGATTTTCGATCGATTCAACCCAACCGAAAGGCGATATAAATTCAAGGGGAAGAGAAATAAAAATAAAAAAAAGGGTAGGAGAGAGAAAAAAAAAGAGAAAGTGATAATGAAGGAAAAAAAAAGAATAAACACCCACTATTGCCGCCAACCAGCATTTAGTTGCATCAATGTTAATACGGCATCCATGGGGTAGTCACCACCACTTCCTTGTTGCTGTCGTTGCTGCTGCTGTTGCTGTTGTTGTGACTGGCTCCCTTCAGATTGTTGTGAGCTATCTTTTTTCACCGCCGAGGAGGACGATTCACCTTCTTGCTTTGTGGCCGGCTGCGAGTTGTTGGCAGACGCAGCGGCGGTGGCGGCGGAATGAATGCTGGAGCTCAGTAGCGCGGCCAATCGGTCTTCGGGTCTTGTGGAGTCATGCTGCATGGGCGTCGACGTTTCAGATGAATTGGGGGAGGAGGAGGTACTGAAAGTCTGGGTGGGGAGTTGGTAGTCGGTGGAAGTGGGATTCTCCGTGGACGCTTGTTGTTGCTGCGGTTGATATTGTTGAAGTTGTTGCAAGAAATCCAGAAGTTGAAGGGACAACTGTTGCGATTTTTCCTGCGCTTTCGCTGCCGAGCCAACATTGCTGTTGCTTAGTAATTTGGCCGCCGCCGTAGGAGATAAAGCGCCCAAATTGTTGCAAAGCATGGATAAGTAGTTTGTCTCATGCAATGCTTGCAATTGCTGAGCATCAAGATGTGGTTGTCCACCGGCTAAATCCAGATTGCTCGATCCACTGTCACTGTGACCCCCGCCCGTGTTGGCTCCAATGGCGCCATTCACTGCTTGTTTGCGACGTTCTTTTTCTTTACGCTTTAATTGCCGCTTTAAGAATTCCTCCTCGATCCAACGACGCTTGTGTTCGCTGTCGTCCTTGCCAAAAAGTTTATGCGCACGCTTGTTCACACGGCATCGCAAATCGTTGTCCTTGTCTATGAAAAGAGAACACATGATACCCCGTTTAAAAAACGTTGTCGCGCACTGTCTACGATGATGTGACTGAAAATAAAAACGAATTCTTACTTCGTTCCTCGTTTTGTTCTCTCCATCTTTTCTTTCGTTCGCGGTTATCTGCTCGTACCTTGAAAACCAAAGAAAAAAAAAAAAGGAAATGAATAGGCGAAACGCTTGGAAAGGAGTAGAGTTTTTTTCAGTGGGTACCTTTTGGTTGATCAATTCTCGTTTCAACATTTCCGCTGTGATTTGTGTGGTGGAGGATGAAGGAGTATTGGTGTTTGATACAGCTTGTTGAGAGGAAGAGGTGGCCTGATTGGCGGCGGCGGCGGCAGCGGCTACGGCAGCGTTGTTGGGATCAAAGTTTGCAAAAAGCTGATGATAGTTGCTACCGTTGGCCATGGCAGCGGCGGCAGCTTGAGCAATGGCCTGAACCTGAGCCGCATTAATTTGTTGAAGCTGGGTGCTGGTAAGATTTAATCCGTTCAGATCGGCGCCCGCGGTAGCAGCATTCGTTGAAAGACTAGCAAGGTGCGTATTGGTATTCTCTGCTGCCGGTGAGGCAACAGCAGGGGAATTCGTCTGAGTCTGGTCCGTCGACGTGGCTTGTGGTGATGCTTCCGATGGTGGTGGTTGTTCCTTCGGTGGCTGCTGCTGCTGCTGCTGCTGCTGTTGTTGTTGTTGCTGGTTTTCGTTGACTTTGGATGGTTCTTGGTCTTGTGGCTGTTCTACCTTTTTGACTTCTGATTGGGACTGGGCGGGGGGCAATGGGTGTTCCTGTTCCTGGTGCTGCTGCTGCTGCTGCTGCTGCTGTTGTGAGTCAGATTGAACGTCAGGTTGGGTTTCAGGTTGTGACTCCTCCTTGGCCTGCTCTTCTTTCACGTCCTCCATGTCTTGGTCAGACAAATTTTCTGGCGCTTCTTGTTCGTCGACCGATTCCTCTTTTTTGATAACTTGAGACTTTTCTTCCGAATGGGCAGGTAACCGCCGCTGCTCATCCTCGGAAGCTTGGGATGATAAATTTTGCTCCATCGTGAGACTGCAATTTGGCAAACAATCAGAAATGAAAAACAAGGCCAGAAAAATTATCCAAAATGAAAAAGATAGAACAAAGTCATTAAAACTTGTACTTTCCATAACCACTTTAGAAACCCCCAAAAAGCAGGCCATTTACCTTGTCAAAACTATCACAGTCCAGAAACTCCAGTGCAAAGAAAATGCTTAAAAGGACGAGCAAGGCCCACTTGTTTGGTCGTCACACACGTCACAACCCAAACTTGTTCGGAGATTAAATAAATCGATTCTTGGCCACAGGGCCCTTGACCAATCACAGCTCCAAGGACAAAACAAGCTCCTGTGTGGAAGCTGCTTTCTTTCACCTGGTCCTTCATTCGATGCCTCCTAGAGCACTTTGCTAGCCTTGTTTTCTTTTTGGAAATAATTTTTTAAATAATATACATGACACAGTCAAAGGCCATCTGTCATGAGTTGTGGTATATACCCTATTGCTGTTTATAGTAGTCTTGCTAGCAATCGAATGCTTGTAAACCCATCCAATGACCAAGGTCGTATCGGAAAAAAATGAATCAAGTATTCCTTCAAGTAACCCACCCAGATTGCTAGATAAACTGCCAATCTTCCCAACTCTGTGTATAAGAAGAAAAGAGTAGCTTTAGTCAAATATAGACCGCGAATCAAGCCGTGTGAAAATTAGACAATGCAACTGTATATCAAAAGAATGATTGTTTCGAGCTAAGGAAATCAAGGAACTGAATATAGCCATGTTACAATCAATGTCACATAAGTTCAGATACTCACTACACCAGCAACCCTGTTTTTTAAAGAAAGAAAGGTTACGTATGCCTTTTTTTTTAGCAAGAATCGCCACCGTCATCAGGCAAAGTGCTAAAATGCAAAATAGGAGATGCTTACCATATATGGCATATGATGGACGAGAATAATGGCGACTTTTGCAATTGAGTATGTTTTCACAAGCCATTTTTGAGAAAAAGTGCGAGCAAATGTCACTAAGATAGATTGCATCATGTATCTTTTGTTTTTTGCCCTGAACAATGACATGGTCCTTCCGTTATCGTCAGGAGAGTCATATGCACAAACCAATCATCGTCTCAGTCACTGCGTGGGCGACTGATGAACAAATCTTTCTGCACCCAAAAAAGGAACTTAAGTAAAAAAAGAAAAGGACCACAAAATAAATCACCGCCTTTTTCCGCTGCATATTGCTTTGAGTTACCTTTGGTTGAAAAAGAAATGAAAGCCTGGAATTACTTATCCTCGGGCTGGACGAATTTCGCCTTGCCCACCAACATTCAAAAACGACTTTATAAATTCCTACTGCGGAAAGCCATTGGTCAGTTCTTGACCAATGAACTCGATCTCGATAACTTTGACATTGAACTCGTCAATGGCTCTGTCGAATTGCGAGATCTAGACCTTAATCTACAGGTAAAACATTATCAGCCAGTGCTATCATGGACCCTCCAACTAACTGTGAATCGACCGCTTTCCCAGACCCTGAATGAGTGTATAATCGATACCCCATTTGAACTGGTGGGAGGACGGGTGGCAAGCATAAGCGCATCCTTGCCGTGGGCCAATTTTTGGAGCGGAGATATCGCTCTCAAGATGCATGGTCTGCATTTGACGATTCAACCAACGAAAAAAAGACCCAAGCCAAAGAGTAAGCCAATACCTTTTTGTCACCACACTCGTTCGGATATTCAGACACTGACTTTTTGTGTGTGCGTGTGTGTGGATAAAACTATAGCCCAAGCAGCTGACGATGAATCGCCTATAATGTCATCCTCGCTCCATTTCGCTGATGATTTTTTAAGGACAGAAATGGAACCTGACCAAAACCAAGAACTTCGGCAGTCCATTCAACAGCTGCATGAACAAGAAGATACTCAGGACACTATGGATATGGACGTCGAAGGTCTTCAAGTGTTGACTCGTGTGATAGACAAAATGCTCGCCAAAGTCAAGATTGACGTTGTGGATACTCTTGTCCGCATCAGTCACACATCAGCTGCTTTAATGCCACCTGATCGCCACTCACCTACCATGGCCCCAGTGCAAGACCGTTACTATCTCGATATCCATATTCCAAAGATTGCATATTTTGATGAAACGCCCGATTTTGTGAATCACTCATCAACCGCGCAACCACCACCCCCACCACCGCCCTCCGCTTCGGTCGCGGAATCCAGTATCCTTCTACCGCCCACACCTAACCAAACTGTCAAAGTGATCACATTTTCTTCCCCCACCATCTCCATTCGATCTCATTGCCATTCGCAAACCGCTTCCCCCATACCTGACTATCATTCTATGGGTAGTCACAACAACGAGAGCCCCACGGTTCACCTGGACGAAGAGGATTTGTCACAAACCGAGTTTTATGAAGCTGAAGAACGACATAGTTCGTTGTATCAATCATCTCTACCCTTCACTGACACCATGAGCCATCCCACATCTCGCACTCGTACTACTTGTTCAGAAATCCCTCCCAGACCTTATGACGCTCTCCTTTTCGCCAGTCTTGGCACCGACGACTTTATTCGGTTGACCCTCCGTCCGTCTTACAATTATCCATCTGCCACTGTGGATCCGACCTCGGGATCGGCTATCAAACAAATTGAATTGTTGATTAGCCATATACGAACCGTGACCACCCCTCGTCAAATCGCCTTTCTTCTTGAACTGTTCAATACCATATCCGATACTCTGCCATCATCTGTCAATGCTACTGATAGTCAATCGAACACTCAACCGTCCATGCGTCGAGAAGGTTCTCGAGACAACTTTACTCAACAACTTGACCAGTTAATTTATCACCCACTGCCATCCGATCCTTCGCATGATTCCCTTTTTAATACCTTCAAGAAGCCGGACTTCACTTCACTGCCCGCACGTTCCTCTCCCCAAGTGCCAACCACCGCATCGAGCTTGTCCAGCTCTGTTCATCCTCCGCGTGGCACATCTTCCCCTGACATCAAATTCAAATGCCAAATATCCAAATTCGAGTCCTTCTTCTTGTATGACGATGACCCAGACTCATCGCACAGTCAGTGGACGAACACGGAATCCACGCCAGCCACTACGGTCAGTCACTTGAAGCTCGCGCTCCATCAGATGATTGTTCGCATCCAACGGTTTCCGACCAACGAATCCTCCTCGTCCGCTCCAACTCGACCTCCCTCTCATCGTCCTCCACGCTCTTCCCCGTCCGACATGAAATATCCGAACCCATCTTCCTCCGTTTCTGCTCTGTCATCTGTCATTGATTTCCGTATATCGGACATTAGCTTCGATGAATGGATTAAAAGACCCAACTCATCCACGCGTGGACGATCGTTTACAGAGAACCATCCTTCCTCTTATCAAACACGTTACGACTGCTACAACCCCGTGCTTGAATTCGATCGATCGATTCGCCAAGATTACAATGATGATGTAGAGTTTCCGTGCTATGCTCCCCATCTATCTCGCGGAAACCACCATACCAGTAGAGTGGAAGCAATCCGAATACGAATGGAAACCAGTCAATCAAAGGAGACAAACCGGTTTATGCATGGTAAAAAAACAATGATCATGAGTGAGTGGTAATGAGACGGAGAATGCTAATTGTGCCAACTCTAGCGACATCGATGGAACAGGAGACCAATGCCGACCTGCAACCATTCACATTGCATGTGGATCCTCGCATACTGGATCGACTGGAAAATTATATTGACGCTGTTATGCACGTCAACGATAAGCGAAAGCAAGAGGACAAGCCTGAAAGCAATAGGTAAAGTATATCCCTTGTTAATGGCCCATGACAAAAAAAAATAACCGGGTATCTAGTCACCATGGCTATGGCCAAAATATTTGCAAAGATTTGGATTTAGCATCGCAACGTCATCGGCAACGGAAGAAATCTCGCATACGGTGTGCATTTATCCGTGTGTTGCTTTATGTGCCGGACATGAGTGATGCGACGAGTCGAGAAACGGTCGTCAGCGATCGTATTCACGCCGACTTGTTGAGTGTGGATCTGAAAAAGATAACGGCCACGTGGAGTTCGATCTGCGATGCACCGGATACCCCAGGAGAAGACTGTTCACCACTCGGGCCACGGGGTGCTTCGCCATACCAACGATTCCAAAATACCCAATTGGATTCCGAACCTCAACAACAACCCATCAAAGTGAATGTGGAAATCAACTGTATCAATGTATTTATGAAGTCCTGTGACGGTAAGACAGCCTCCAGACCTTTTGCAAGTGACCAAGATCATCTAATAGTCGTGAACCGTCGTCAGATGAGTTGACTCGTTGTTGGTTTACCGCCAAGACCATTGCTCCGGAGCAAGTGGCTCGATCAAATGCGTTTTCGACCTCGCTATCACCGAGTTTTGAAATCACGCTGCGATCGTCGGGCTTGAATCCGATATCCTCGGCGAGACCTGGATATTTTGGTGCTGGATCCGATATTCCCTCCAATTTATTCGATCATTTGAATCGAAACGAAGCATTTGACGGCGAACAAAAGCTGCATGTCCCCATGGAAGATCAAGCCGACTCGGCCATGATGTTCAAGCAAAGAACCGTGGAAACTTCGGTAAATTACACCAAGCTTTGTCACTTGATTTCAGTTGATGGCAAAAAGGAAGAAAGAGGCTAATACCGGTACAGCTTGTAGTGGTGAATTGCTATTTCCCAAAGACAAGGATGCTGTTGCAGAAAAAAGTATGGGACACGGTTCAAATTGTGCAGAATGATCTTTTGCTGTGGCAACCTCGATTTCTGGCACGGTTACCGATCAACCCCCCCTCGCCTTCCAACTACCAAGATGCATCCAGTGATACGTATTCGGAATACCACGGACTGGATTCGATGGAAGGCATTCACCCCATGAAGGCATCCAGTATTCTTAGTCAGAGCCAGGAACGTTTAGGTCCACATCAACTGGCTCAGGAGTCAAGCCTACTAGCATTGGTCGCTGTGATCGGGGATGGTAACAACAATTAGCCAAAAAGACATGTGATACAACACAGTATACTCATACGACGTATTTGTAGCCGTGTGGGATCTCTGCTATCCTGTCGACTCTGAAACGGATGCGATCTATCGGGCCCATTTGTCAGAATTCCGATATTTTGCGGTCATCAAACATTTGGGCATGGTAATCATTTATATCATAACCGTGCGTAAAAAGTGCATTGATGTGTTGACCCAAACGTAGAACGAAAATATCACCACTTTAGACATTGACGAACTTACACTGGATGACATTTCCGACAGTTACCATGCTGTCCCTCTCTTGTATAAAACAATACCAAAGGTTATTAATGTAAGTAAAAAAAAAAAGTTGAAGCTCTCCTTTTTGATGAAGGAACTGTAACTGATTCTTTTTTCTTCTCAAGGTTAAACGAAACACACCAATGGTATCTTTATTTTCGCGTCTCATCACGAATCCCGATCTGAACAAGCAAACGAAAATGACGAGTATTGTGGTTTGCAATCTGTGCCATCGATTTAACGGGGATGCCAGCTTTATCGACAATCTGGTGTCATTCCAAAAAGCACCGGATAACGTAAGGGACATTTGTTGTAACTATGCAGGCACGCGTTCCTCATTTTCGTATTTTTTGTCAGATGGTATTCATTGACCCGCCCGCTCAATACATCAAAGTCTATGCCCACGTCCTCGATACATCGATCGATTATAAACCATTATATATTCCATCACGGGGCGTGCTGGTGATAGACGATTTTCGAGTACGTATATAAGCATTGTTCTGATGGCGTTTTTTTCTGATAGCGTTGTTGAATCGTGGGTCTAGGTTGTTACGGGGTTGACTCTTGGACAACCAATCATTGATGTGCAAACGTATGTTCAGAATATCGAGCTGCTTCTGATAGATGATGTGGCCGAATTGAATAAAGCCTCGGACACGGCGGGAATGGAGCATCAAGCACCCAAGAGCATGGATGCTCGAAAGTACTGGTCCAGTTTGGGTTTATCCTGCGTCCTGTCAATGAAACACCTTGAAACTCGGGTCAAGATCAAAGCCGACGATGCAATACGAGCCCCCAATTTTGATATCCATTTGGTGAACAACATTATTACTTTGGAAGGCTGTGCCGATTCTTTTCAATCGTTTCTCAGCTTCATTACCTATATTACCAACGATGGAGATCGCATGCATTTAGCGAAATCGAAAAAAGAAGACGGAGTATCCTCTGCAGATGAGCCACCACGACCTCACGAGGAGAAAAAGAGGCAGAAATCGCATGTATCAATGACCACCGCCAAAAGTGAAAACATGTTGGCGAGCGTCGATGAAGACACGTTTCGTCATATCTCGGATGCGCGACATGTGAAACGAAACGAGGCGGCTAGACCCCCCAAGGAGTTGAATATTTTGGAAGGCTATTACTCGAATCGCGGAAAACCCACGCCCAGTCCTCCGACCGGGTCCATTACTCATCTCAGCAGTTTTAGCCATTTAGCCCGTCGACCGCCCAAGCCGCGAAGACGGCATGCGCCCAAGCCCAGTGACGATAAAATCCGCGTCCTCGCCACCGACACACATCAGTTGGAGTTTGTGGAAGATTATTACAGTACGAACAAGAGAGCTCATGTCAAGAAGTCGGTGGTAGATGTGCGCAATGCGCTCGTGTCGGTGCGAGTGAACGACTTTGACATTTTATGGAAGTTGTTCGATGGGTACGACTGGGCCTACATTCGTTCCAATCTCACCAACCGATTTTACGGAGAACCGACGGTGAAACCGACGCAAAGCACTTCATCTTCCACCACCACGCGGTATGGTAGTGGCGAACCCATGTCACGTACCAGCAGTGTGGACAGCGGACCATCCATCCGATCAGGCCATCGCCCGTCGTCCTTTATTCCGCATACACCGTCATTCTCCGTGTCGTCCGACTTTAGCTTTGAATCGGTACGTTCCGATGGAATAGCACATTCGGACGAACGAAGAAATTCGTACCCTAGTCAGGCGCCGCCCCACGTATCGCCTGATGCCCGATCGTATCGTTCGTCACGCAAACACAAGCGATATGGACAACGCTCCCGTCAAGCCAAAGTGGAAATCCGACTACTCGGAATTTCAGTAGATTTCGATCTGATGCCAGCGACGGAGCAAATTGGATTTCATTGTTGGTTGACCGTGCGCGATGTGGAAATCATTGATAATATTGAGACATCATCGTGGAAGATGTTTCTTGGTTACATGCGGCCTGATGCGTCGGCGATCCCTCGCGAAAGAGATTCCAATATGGTGGATGTCAGTATCACTGGTATTCGTCCGGTGACACAAGATCCAACGCAAGAACTTCGGCTCAAAATCAAATTACTGCCTATTCGACTGTACGTGGACCAAGACGCACTAAACTTTCTCGTAAAGTATTTTACATTTGACAAGTCTCATTTGCGATCGACCGCCGCCACCAATGACGCCATTGCTCGCTTTCAAGAGCCATCAGTGGACACGCGCCACGATCCATCCGCTACTGATGATGGCGCATTTTTCCGTAAGATACCATGTTCTCCTTGGGATAGAGATTAGCACGTCAAACTAAACCCTTTTTGGATAGAACATGTGGAGATTTATCCCATTACGCTCAAAGTGGACTACAAGGCCAAATACATCAATTACGGCAATATCAAGGAAGGCCAACTTTTGGAATTGATCAATCTGTTCAACCTGGATGGGGCGGAAATGAAATTGACCCATATTCGCTTGACAGGTGTAAAGGGAATGTCACGATTGGCGGATAAAGTAGGACAAGAATGGTTACCGCACATTAAGAAAACCCAAGTCCCGCATATGGTGTCAGGCGTTGGACCTATGCGATCCATCGTGAATATCGGCAGTGGTGTAGCTGATCTCATTCTATTACCTTATCAGCAGTACAAAAAGGACGGCCGCATTGTGAAAGGTTAGTTGCTTTTCTTTTGTCACACAGATTATCCATTCTTCAGTGTTGCCCTTTCATTGACGGGTTATCTGAGCGTTTCCTTTTCTTATCTGATAATCCGTTGTGCAACGTTTCCTTTTTTTGATGCATATCCGAGATGGTTTTTTTATTTTTCACTCGTTTTAACTAAAGATTTGAATCAGGTATCCAAAAGGGCACCCAATCCTTTGCCAGAGCTACGGCGATAGAAGCGATCAAGCTAAGTGCTCGATTTGCATCGGGAACGCAAGTCATCTTGGAACATGCCGATGGTTTACTGTCATCCGGAACGCCGTCTGTCGACTATGCTATCACGGAAACAGCTATCAGTGGATCACCCGACTCGCAGTTTGTCTTTGCCCATTTAACGGAACGGGATGTGACCGATGCTGACACGGCTGGTTCTTCCAGTGGGAAAACAGCGGGTGGCCGTGTGAGCAAGTTTGCTGATCAGCCAAGCGACGTGTCTCAGGGATTCCAATACGCTTATCAGAGTCTAAGCAAAAATCTGGGTTCGGCAGCTCAAACCATCTTTGCCGTGCCGACTGAAATCCGCGACCGAAGTCAAGGCCAAGGCAACGCGGCAAGGACCGTCATCAAAGCCGTACCCGTGGCCGTCATCAAACCGATGATTGGATTAACGGGAGCCCTTCAAAGCGTATTGATGGGTCTTCGTAACAGTATTGACCCGGTCATGCGACTGCAAAGTGAAGACGTAAGTTGCAATTCTCTGACCTACAGTGATACACCAGAAAACTAAACATTGAAATATAGAAATACAAAAGACGAACATGAGGTGGGCAATTTCATTACTCTCCACTTACTGTATTTTATTCAAGTGTGATCTTTCCTGCAATTTATTTATACGCTTAATATTTATTTATTGGTTATCGTTATTGTTCTTCGTATATCTCCATTTCATCATCAACATCAAACTTGCTTGATTTTTTATGCTCGGGAAATCGAGTATTTCGTAGATGAATCAAATGAATCAGAGTTCAAAGTCGGATGAACGTTAATTTGGTAAATAAGGAATTAGTCTCTGCTTTGCAGTTGAGCTTCCAAACGCCGATTGGGTGGCGCAAGGATCGGCCCGTGTTTCCGTATGACATTCACTGTGGCTGAATATAACTTCCCCAAAGAGGATACGAGATCTCATTTTACAAAGCGAATTTTTCCTTTGGGTAGATCATAGCCGGAAGGTAGAACAATGTTGCGCCCCCCCCCATTGTCTCGAAATCGTTATTCGCGCATAAAACGGGACAATCTTCGGTTTTTACTTTGTTTCACCGCATGTTCCTTTCCTCGTTTACCACCCTGAAAACAATCGAAAGTTCTATCCAAGGGATTGTTAGGAAGCACGATGTGGCTGCTTTCTCAAGGTTGCTGAATTCAAAAGAAAAGAACCGGGAAGTGTTTACGTACGAGTATATTTTGTTTAAGGGTTTACGTACAACATTCACTGTGGCTGAGTATAGCTTCCTAAAGCGGATACAAGATCCCATCCTACACATAAAAGACAGGACAAACCCCCAATCCTTGCTTTGTTTCATCACTTGTTTCTATTCCTCCTCAACCACCATGCAGATAATCGAAGATATGTCCGGGAAATTCTCGAGAAGCGCAATGTCGTTGTTTTCGCAAGATCGGACAGCTGTATGTACTCGAAAGAAGTAGTCAACTCGTTTTGCGGGTGATTGTGTATGAACAGCCCTAACCCGTTTTTATAGCCGAGTGCAAACAAGCCATAGCTTTGTTGACGGAGCTCGGTCATCCACCTTATGTCATGGACATGGACCTAGATCGTAAGAGGTGGCCACGGCACATAACTAGCTCATGAATTAATTGTTGGTTTTCAAATAAAAGCCGAAGGGGGTCAAGTCCACCATTTCCTCCAGTGGTTTTCCGGCCAGGATACGGTGCCAAACATTTACATTAAGGAACGACATATTGGTGGATTGGATGCTCTGAAGCAGCTTCATGAAACCGGTCAATTGCAAGCTAAGTTTTAATAACATAAACACCCATTATATTTGTCTCAGGATTTAGTTTCACCATGTATGATATGAAATGAATTTTCTGGATTGGGTGCGATAAAAATCGTCCGAATGGAAAAACGAATACACAGTTGTTGCTTAGATGGAGGAGATAGAAGGTGGAGGAGATAGAAAATTGTTTGTATCTTACTGTATAAGTGGACGCTGTACTTGTCTTGCGTATGAACTACAATACCGTATGGACGGGAATAACAAATTGAGAGTCCATGAGATGAGTGTGGGAGTGATTTAAATAACTCGGAGTGCCATATTAGGAGCAAGGGTCGTGTATTTCAACAAACTCTAGGTTATTCATGACCATTTGGTACAGTGTTCCCTCGATAATTTCACGGCCAAGGGGGGGGGGGGGTCAAGTGCCTTGAAAATATTGAGGTGTTGAAATTAACGAAATTCGGCATAAATATGTTCCGGATAAACCGGAGTGTGATTGGCCCATATTGCACGTTTTTCCAGGCACAAATGGAACGTTGTGTTGTATGTAGCCAAATTGCAGGAAGCGAGGCAGGTGTTAAAGAGCACCAATGATACGGTCAGACATGCTCAACTATTTTGTGTAACTATGCATTTTTAAGTTCGTTTAGGCAACGTGTGTGCTCTTCAACACGTACGAAAAATTGGCCTTGCGGTTGGCGAATATGTTTGTGCTCCTCATGACGTATAGGCTCATTGTTTTGGTTAGATCAAGTCTGTGTGGCGCATGTATGCAATCCCGGTCATCGATTAGCAAGTCGCGTCAGGGTGCTATTGACAAATTTTCGGAACCCGTCGGTTCCGAAAGATATTAACAGTGGATACCTTTATTTTCCAAGGCCATAATAGGCGAGATGGTGATATATCAGACACTTGCTACCACTCTTCATCACCGTCGTAACGTAATGTTACTGTCGTATTTATTCATTTCAGAAACAAACCGAAGTAGTTATTAGGTCCTCAGACCTCCAGTTTATTAACGCTCAGTAAAAGGGATGCGACACGGATGCCGGTTCCTAATGGGGGAAACGAAAAACTGGGCGGTCGATTGAACCCAAGCCGCGTTCTTTTTTTTTTTTTTTTTTTTAAAAAAAAAAAAAAAAATCCTGGCTAAACTGAGATTCAACGGCTTGCTGATCGGGATTTGCAATGCAAGTCATGGCGGACGGAACGTGGCAAGAGCCGTCAAAATGTGGTTTCTGTGGCGGTCCTAAAACACATGTTGAATCAACGAAAGCCTGTCAATCGGTCCCCATCACAGAAGTGAGCCAGCCACTGCAAGAGTGAAAAAAAAAGAGACTTGTGTCATAATCGACCAGAGATCAAAGGCTAATATGGAAATACCTAAGACGAATGCTAGGTTTCACTGTTTCATTACTGCATTCATTTAAGGTTATCTCTCTGCAATCTGATTAATTTTCGTGACCTTGTCTTCGCAAACGCGACATCTAAGTAAATAGGGCGCTTTTTTGATTTGTTATGAAGCATGCCGTAGATGCATCTGGTAAAAAAAAAGTAGGACGATGGCTGATGTTATGAGTTGTAATTATATTAGACGGTGTTGAGGATGGTTCTGTGCATTGCAGGTGAGCCGCCGATCGCCGAGTCGGGTTAGACAAGGATCGGGGGCATGTTTATGTATGACCTTTACCGTGACTGACTTTAACTTACCAAACCGGATACGTGATGTCATGCTGACACATAAAAAGCCAACAGGATGGTATCGACTTTTTGCTTTGTTTCATCCACTTGTTTACTCCCTCACTAACCACCATGGCGGTCGAAGAATATGTCCAAGAACTTATTAAGCAGTACGATGTCGTTGTTTTCTCAAAGTCATATTGCCGTATGTTATCATCAGAACTGGGCCAACCCGTTTTGCGGGTGTGCGTGAGTGTGTGCGTCTGAACAGACCTAACATGCTTTATAGCCTATTGCAAACAAGCCATAGCTTTGCTGACGGAGCTCGGTCATCCACCTTTTATTTTGCAAATGGACCAGACTCGTAAGTATGACCACCACGAAACATGGCTATGTCATGAATTAATCGCTCTTTTTCAATGAAAAGCCAACGGGGATGAAATCCAGGATTACCTCGAGCGGTTTTCCGGTCAGCGTACGGTGCCCAACATTTTCATTAAGCAGAAACATATTGGTGGATGTGACTCTCTGATGCAACTCCATGAATCAGGTCAATTGGAAGAAATTCTTTAAATAAAATTATGACGCTGGGAAATTGAAAACACAGTTGTTGTTTGATGGACGAGATGGAAAACTATTGTATCTTCATAGCGGTCACCGTACTTGTTTTGCAAACGAACTGAAAACACCACATGGTTAAGGATAACAAAGCGAAAGTTCATAAGAGAAGCGTGGGAGCGATTTAAATAATTGAGATGCTATATCGGGAACAAGCTCACATTTCAACATACGTGGATTACTCACACGCATGACCCTCTGTAACAGTTAACAAAAATAATAAATGCACACGCCTTTTATTTTCTGCAATAGACAAAACCTCGCCATCGAAAATCACAACTGTAGTATATAATAGAAATATAGTATATAATAGAAACTTGGCTCTCGTCCCATTTGTTCTAGTCTTTACCCTACATTGAACACGTAATTCTGATAAAATTGAATCGGGAGACATAGGGCTTCTTTTCAGCCGCAATAAAGTGCGTCTCTCTTCGATGTATCCCAACCATTGTTGATCTTGCTGCATTAAACACATGTGTGACCTACATATCGGAACCCTCGGTTCCGAAACTCGCCAATGGCACCCTGTCCCGGCCTGCCAATCAATGACAGGACTTCGCGAACCTGAGATGCGAACAATGGATACCTTTTATATCCAGGCTTAGATATGATGTCTTGAGGTATGTAATTTTGCTACTACCTCATATGGTTGTGCTGGTATAACGCAATTGTCGATTGTGTGCATCCCTCAGAAGCAAGGCCTTTTGCAGGTAGTTTGGGTCGGTAAATCTACTTGCAAAGACATAAACTAGGGGGATATCAAAGGAGGACAACTTGTTGGAGCAGATCAACCTGTTTATGAATCCGGATGGGGCTGCAGTAAGACTAATTTATAACCGCTATTTGATAGGTGTTGCGGTAAGAGGATAAAGTAGGACAAGAATTGTTGACCGAGATTAAAAATATCAGAGTGTCGCATAAGGGTGTCTGGCGTCGGACCGTATTTATACATCGTGAAGATTTGGAATGGTGCGGCTGGGGTATTTCCGCTATCTCGTTTAGCAGAGCAGAAAGTACGAAAAACGTATGAATGATTGGTGGCTTTTTTCTCTCACAGAATATCTTGTGGTCAGCGTTGCCTTTTGATTTACGGCTATTCGAAAATTTCCTTTCTTGTCAACTTCCCGTTTGCGTCAATTCCCATTTTTCATTGCTATTCCGATGATTTGCGAGTTGCCCTTTCCTGTTTTTGATGGTTTCGTCGTACAGAGCTCCGTTCTTGTTTATGCTCAATCTGATGGTTTTTCTTTTTTCAATTGTTTAATTGAAGATGTGTATCATGTATTCAGTAGGTTACATCTCGTTCGCAAGAACTAACCAATAGAAGGTATCCATGTGAGTGCTCAAACATTAAAGAAGATGCCGATGGCATTCCGTTGACCATGCTAAAGTACGTTCAAAACAGCGCTCAGTAGATCACCAGACCCGCTGTCTGTTTATGCCCCATCTAATAGGATGGGATGTGACCATTACCTTCTGCGTGGGATTAAAAACAGACGGTCAAGTGAAAAGGTGTCGCTGATAAGACCAAGCGACATTTCGCGATAATTCCTGTCCAGGATTTAAACTTCAGAGACTCAAACCATACTTGGCGTATCGACCGAGATTCGCGATGTAAGTCACGGCGGACGGAACGCGGCCAGAAGTGCCATAAAGCTGAACCTGTGCTTGTCATCAAACTCATGGTTGGCTCACCGGGAGCTCTCCCACAGATCTTGCTAACAGAATTGAGCCGGTAATAATGCGACAGCAAGGGTAGAAATGGAAACTTGTATGGAATCTGACCTCTATCTATCAATATGTATGATTACAGCCGGAGACCAAAAACAATATGGAAATACCAATGATGAACATTAAATTTCCCCATTTCATTAGTGTATTTTCTTAGTAGTTATCTATCTGTAACTGTTTCTTGTTTATTATTTATTTATTTTGATTTCCGTGAGCCGTTGTTTGTCTCAATCTTGACCTCTAAATGAATGAAATCTTCTTGCCTATCTTTTTTTGGAATGGTCATGAAGCATGCCGTAGATGTATACAATAAAAAGGTGCACAAAGTAGGATAACAGTTGATGTTGTGCAGGGTTGGGGTGGATATCTCTATGCATGGCATATGAGCTGGCAAACTCCGTATCGGCTGGGCAAGAATCGAGGCGTGTGTTCGTACGACATCCAACCGTGACTGAGATTAACTCCCCAAAGCGGAAGGCGCAATTTGCTTGCTGAGATATAAAAACGCACCTGCTCGGTACCCTTCTTTTTTGTTTCTGTCGAGTATCCTTTTATCTTCACATCAATCATCATGATTGAAAGCGCACAAGTAGCCATTTACAGATACCCTGTTGTTCTTTTCACCAGGACCGATTACCGTGTGTATCACTAGAACAGAGTCGTTTGGAGGGAAAGATCGAATGTAACGCCTTTTTTCATAGCCGAATGCATGTCGGCCAATGAGTTGTTGAAAAAAACCTTTGGTTTCGACCCTTATGTTTTGTTCCTGGATCAAATTCGTAAGTTTAGCTATTGGTGAACGTATAAAGCTGGTGAGCTCATATATTCTTGTTTTTCTTTTTTTTTTAAAAAAAAAGCCGAAGGTCCTGAAATCGAGGATTTCCTCGCGCAATATGACCACCAGCGTAGCGTCACCAACGTTTTCATTGCCGGGAAGTATGTTGGCAATTTTGAAGCTATAGTACAGCTTGATCAAAGCGGTGAATTGGAAGAGAAGCTTGAATAAGCACATATTGTGTTTACCCAACATGAAGGTTTTAACCCTGTGTATAAATTTTTAATTGTGTACAATAAAATCGTTCCACACCACGACCGGCAAACTGTTACATTTTTTTAACTTGGAAGGCAGAAACCTAATTGGGCGTAATAATTGGGTACTGTACTGTTTTCCCGCACGGGTTTGCAGTAACATGAGATATGGGCATTGGTATATACCTTGTGGGTCCATCAGATAAGGGTAAGGAGAATGTGAATCGTTTAGGGGCGTCGTACCTTCACTGAGCAATTTCAGAGGTACCAGCCATTAGCCTATTCACAATGAAACACACATATGCGGCAATCTGTCAATTTGCTTCATTAGTGAGCTTTCGAGTTGAACTACTTATTGAACAGAAAATCCGTGGTTAGACAGCCGGACAATGTTCGCGACCGCTTACTTCTTCCCAACAATGCAGCTCGACGAGAAATTGATCCGGTACAATTACTCCCATCGTGGTAATAGTGGTTAGGTTTGGTGCATCAGTAGTCTATTGTGGCGGGATTCTGTGTGACCTTGACTATCAAAAGGTAGCTATGGTATCTAAATTGGGTGGGCTTCATACGATATTGAACAGATACCGAACGGTTTCATTTAATTTTGAGTCTATAGGTATTGGTCGATATACACGCAACTGCATCTCAACCAATTTTACAATGAACAATGGCCAGTTCTAATAAGACGGCAGCGACCAAGAAAACTTCTCCGGGGAGCAATATCAAGTCGGAAAGGATAATTACTGTATAATAAAAAGCTATCGTATAGTGGTATGGTCAATAATGCATGATTGACAATTGTATGCAAAAATGTGTGATGAGTATTCGAGATGGTATGGAAAAAGAGTGACAATAGAAACATGGATGAATTTACCTTGAGTGAGGTACAATGAAAAACGCTTTGTCTGATGGCAAGACCAAGTAGCTGTCAAAAATTCCGTAACACATACACAAGATCGTCCGTATGAAAATATTAGTGATACAAAATTTAATTTTGAATTACCATCAAGGCAATTGTTCGTGAAACTTTTTTTTTTCATTTCCGTACATGTGAGCTGAGTGTTGGGATCCATGCACATCTTAATGAATTTAATAATATGAATTCTTTTATGAGCGCACAACGCAGACTCAATGTTAAGCTAGCAAAATTACCATTCTCGCTGTAGTTACATTTGGCTTGGTTGAACGGCTTATTGAATCCAATGTTCGATCGGGCTCTTTTCTGTTGTATTTTAGGATCTCCGTCCATTGATGTCGATGTATCTCAGTCGCGCCCGGATAAGATCATCCATATTTCCACTATCCACTCGTTTTCCGCGCCATCTCGGGTACGCATCATACATTTCTGTATATGATCGCCATTCTCATGCTTTATCGGCGGCCATACCACCATATAATATATACCTTCCCATGATATTTAAATCCAGACGATTATAATTTCACTGGAAACCGATATTTACTGCATTTGAACTTTACCGAATTTATAATGTACTCATCATTTAAAAATATGAAAAAGGAATCCACCCGGCAGACTCACAATATTCTAGTTCTATCTCTTTGTATTATGTATTTCTGGTAGAACCTGGATATTGAGCTAGTTTTTTTTTTCGACTTGATATTGCTCGACAGATAAGCATTCTTGCTCCGAGTCGTCTTGTTTGGACCGGCTTTGTTCCTTGTAAACCAATTGAGATGCAAGCACAGGTGCTTGGACTGCTACGTATAGACTTGAAATTAGATGGTATCTGTTCTCCTTCTTTCCAACACCATATGAAGCCACTCACATGAGATACCATAGCGACCCCGCCGTTGTATTGTAAAGTAAAAGCCAAAAAACTAGTACACTATTCACTTTTTACGTCCAAATAGTTTCTCCAAGCCAAATACTGCAACAGTTTGCCGATGGTACGGGAACGTTTTTATTGTACACAATCGAAAATTTATAGACATGGTCAAACCCAGCTGTTTTCCACCTTTGGACAAACACAATACATGCTTTACATATCGTCGAATTCACCGCTTTGTTTAAGCTTTAACGCAGCCTCATAGTCACCAATATACTTGCTCTCAATGAAAATGCTGGTCCCGTTACGCTGGACGTTATACACTTGCTCGAGGTAGCTCTCAATCTCGGTGCCTTGGGCTTTTTTTTTTAAGAAAAAAATAATATTAATTACTAGCTCTAAACGTTCACCAATAGGTAGACTTACGATCATGGTCCAGGAACAAAACTTCAGGCTCGAAACCAAAAGTATCCTTCAACAACTGAAGGGCCGGGATGGCTTTGGCTATGGAAAAAGGCGTTACATTCGAACCTTCCCTCCAAATGGCTTTGTTCTAGTGATACATACGGCAATCCGTTCTTGTGAAAAGAGCAACAGGGCGCCTACAAAAGGTTTCTCGGACACGGTCAGCCATGATAATTGATGGGAAGATAAAAGAATACAGGACAGAGAAAATGGATATCGAGTGGTGTGGTTTTTATATGTTAACCAGAAATCGCGCCTTCCGCTTGGGGGAGTTCATCTCAGCCACGATGGGATGTCATACAAACACACGTCCCCAATTCTTAGTCAATTCGGAGTTTCCCAGCTCATATGCCATGCATGGAGCTATTCAACGCAACCCTGCACAACATCAACCGTCATCCTACTTTGTGCACCTTTTTCTTGTATACATCTACCGCATGCTTTATGACCATCCCAAAAAATGGATAGAAGATCTCATTCATTTAGAGGTCAAAATTGAGAAGAAGAACGGGTCACGGAAATCAAAAATAAATAGTACACAAAAAACAGTTACAGATAGATAACCTTAAATGAAATACACTAACGAAACTGGGAAATTTAAAGTTTATCATTGCTATTTCCATAATGCTTTTGGTCTCCGGCCGTAACCATATTGATAGAGCGTGTGGTATCATTATCCAAGTCAACTTTTCAACATTGCTGTGGCATTACCGGCTTAATGCTGTTGGGAAGACCTGCGGAAAATCTCCCGCTAATTCAATCGTGGTTTGATGACTGCCACAAGATCGGCGTTAATGGCAGTTCTTACCACGTTCCGTCCGCCGTGACTTGCATAACAATCTCGGTCGGCGCGCCAAGTATGGTTAGAGACGCTGAATCTTATTTTGGCCGGCATCGGCCACCTCTCGTTCAATTATGCATACATGGGCACTGCGGGTATGATGATCCATTGACAGCTATTTCGGTGATACTAACCTTTCACGACTCTTCTGTCATTCTGTACGTTGCTATGACAAAATAACAGAGTTAGACCAACCACCCACGCCCATCCGAAACTGTCCCGTGCCATATGACTCGTCACATTTGAAAATCTTCCCACGAAATGAGTAGATAGAAAAGAAAATTTCGCTTATTATTTGTTGACCTTGCGTTCTTTTTTCTGTAAGTTTTAGCTCAAGAATAATAAGACACTAATCGTTGCCTGTTCTTTCCGAAGGAAGGAAAAGCAGCCGCATCCAAACATATTTTGAATTGCTATCAAGTTACAAGTATTACCAATGCTGTATATCGATATCGAGCTATTGCCCTGATATCAGGAATCATCTTAATACATTGCTAGCGCATTTTCCGTTTGCGGAGGCCAGTATAATATTTAAACTTGTAATGTCGGTTCACTTTCATTCTGCGCAATTTAGATTAGACCATGTATTAATTTGCTATGCGGTTGAAGACAGGAAATTTTTCCAAAAGGAGTACTGAATGATTTTGCCTATTTGACAGTTTTAACATAAAAGATCTGGTTGTATTCTACACGAGGAGAAGGAAAATATGATTGAAGGAAAAATGCGACAATAACAGAAAGAAGATATAGAGGTATAGATGCCGTGGAGATTTTATGCATTGACAATCAGTAAGAGGCGACAGAGACGTTCGACTAGCACCTGGTGTATCGGTAAACAATTACTTCTAGAGGGCATCACATTAACGTAAGAAAGGGCATGATATTGCTTGATTATATCTCGTAAAGTGCTGTAAGCTGAATGATCGGTTTGATTGAATAAAAGATGCACCTATTCAACGTAGGTCCATGAGTTCCTGGCTATTTCTGCGAAACACTCTTGCTTTCATATCTGATTTCACTTACTTCGACGACCAAAGGTGAGCCGTTGAACTGATCCTGCGGGGAAGGTTCAGTGGGGGTGTGAATGAGATATCCTGTGGCCAATGGCAGCATCCATCTTTCCGTTTCGGTGACGGCATCGGTCGCGAGGATCCCTTGAGAAGCCTTCTCTCGCTTGCGAGAGTAGGCCACTCGATGGTTGAGCAAGAGCGTCCGTGTCTCTCCTTGACCTACCGGGGTAGCATCCGTAGAAGTACGACTTGACGCGCCACCTAGACTGGACAGTGGTCCATTGCCCGTGGGCGTGCCGATTGATTCTGGTGTTCCCGTGGTCGCGCTAGATCCAGGCGTCTGGGCAAATTCAGGTGTAGTTTCTTGCTCGGCTGATGATACCTGTACGTTCAACGACGATTCCAAATCCAAACTCACAATGGTGGCTTTCTCTTCACTGGGAAGGACGTCGATCCATGCTATAAAGCGGAGTTAGTGATTAAGCACTCACAAGTTTTACATGTGCATCGTTTTCTTCTGGTTTCTTTTACCTTGAAGTTCTTCTTCAAACATCAGGCCAATTTTGGCAATGACAAAAGTCCATGGAGCTCCTGTCCGTCGTGCCATTTCTTTGGATCGCCACCACGCTTCTTCAAAAGCTGCATTGTATTGAACGCCTTTTTCAGCTGGATTGTCCATGGCAAGCACCGTGAATTCCAGCAATTCACCACGATTGTCAGTCCATACAATGATCATCCACCGAAGATCCAGACTGAAGCAATAGCCAACGTGAAGCGTCGCATGCTGCTCCATAATGGCCGGAAACGAATTGAGCGGTTTTTTAAGTGAGAATTGAATGACACTGGGTATGGACTTGGTTAATACAAAAGGAGGAGCATAAATATCGGCGACAGCTCGGGTATCATCAACGGTACTCTACATCGGGCCAATCCAAAAACAAAAAGGGGGGTGGACGAAAGGTAAGTAAGTGGTGAATGATGAGAATAAATCTCCAATGCAAAAAAAGGATATATACCTGGTTATGGTGCCTGCCCACAACGAGATGGCATTTGCAGTAGACGGAGAAAACGATTTCCTTGAGGCCAAACTTTAAGCATCCGCCAAAAGCGCTCGGGCGGATAATATGCTCCATGGGCATCAGCTGCAGCACCAGTCGCGCCCGCGTGCGTTCCGTCACGCGAGTGGCCAATCCCATAGCCGCCGCATGATATGCGACCATCAATTTTTGGAAACAGCGGCTGAGATCCAGATTAGACGACAAATGCGACGACGGATTCACAATGTAAATGACAATGTGCATATTTTCAGCCATTGTTTCGCCTAATGCCGAACCGAGATTTTGACATTCCGCCATGTAACTTCGCAATTGCCGATCATGCCAACTTTCTCCTTTCGATTCCGCTACGAAATTTACATTTAATCATCCATGGCTTGCTCTGAAATCGTGCAGAAAGCAATTCCAGTTGCTACGATCGAATCACTTACGAAGCAGGGGAACAGGAACAAGTCCGCGACGATAGGCACCGATATTTCCGGGATGATGAACACCCAAATTACACGTCTCATAGACAGTGCTCAACCCTTTGAAAAAGTGGAGCGTTGCCTTCTCCAGTTCATCGTTTCTCGGGAATACCACGAAATAGCTAATGTTCTTCTTGCTTGAAAAAGGTTCCAACCGCAATTTCTCCCAAAACGTCAGAAGCTTAGGAGACCCTTCAATAAAATGATCTTGACGACTGACAACAATGTCGGGCGGATACAGTGTATCAAGGTTCGGTTCCGCGGGTCGTCGCTTCTTGACTTGATATTTGCCGTATTTGGAATGCGCTTGATTTGTTTCTATCCCACCAAGATTGAGTCCATTGAATCCCAATCAATAGACACTCATCAATTTACTGTACCTGCAAGGTCATAATATTGTTGAACGTTCAAAGGACCCTTTACACTCACAGACCCTGGAAGGGAGGCATGACCGATGCTTAAAGTGTCCATACTTGCTGACAGGGTTGTTTTGTGATGCTGATCAAAAATTTCGAGCAGTGCATGTTTAAAATCTTGAGTAATCCGATCAAAATCGCTTTGCAGCGAAGGGACATGGGATGTGTCTAGTGCAAAATCAATGTCAGTCGTATACATTGGATTGTTTGACCAAAACAGTGTGACAAAAGCTTTTTACCTCCGTGTAGACTTTGGATCAGATCTCTGCGTCGGGAGACAATGATTTTCGCTGATTCGCCTTCGCTCAGTTCGCCGCCACTGGCGGAGATGGAGGCAAGTCCGTCGGTGAATGGATAGCCTCCCAATACCGCCTGTTGACACAGGTAATCCAACGCTTTGAAATCGCCTTCGTCTGCACTATTATTCAAGCATATCGGACTGGAAGGAGCCGAAGCCACGGTGCCGGGAAAAGGATGCTCGTAATCCAAGAGAAGCTGGTTCGCGGTTGATTTCTTGGGTTCGATTTGATGGTCGCCCAGTAGTTGGTTGACGAACGATGACTGCACCTGTTCCAAGGTTTCCAGATATTTCTCGGCATAATCCTCTTCGTCACTCGTATAACTTTCATCGGAACTACTGCTACCTCCTTCACTGCTGCTGCTACTGCTACTGGAACCTGACGTACTGCTGTTGTCTTCGGAAACAGGCGCATGTAAATTTTGTATGTCTGCTGCGCGGGTATCCTCATTGTACTTTGGTGCTGATGCTTCCTTCCTTGATACCGGTTTCACGGATGAAACTATGTCCTTGTTCTGCTTTCTCTTCTTTTGCGATCGTTTCTTTACCACCGGAATGTAATCCGGTCGATAAGTATCCCGCGATGATTTTCGCCGCCTTGATTGGCTTTCGGTTTCAGGTGGCATGTACATAAACTTGCCACCGATACAGTATTTCGCATCATTAACGCCAGCCGTAAAAGCGACGGGTGCAAACTCTGGAGGAACGTATCGTTGCTCCATCGGGTATTCAATGATTTCAGGCCATTGTCGGTGATCTCCGCCTTTGACAGCTTTCAATTCGTGATATTCCCGCTTGATAACGGGGCCAGTGACCGAATTGTCCCCGTTGGGGGTCACATTGTTGCTATCCAAGGTGACGGCTTCATGCATCTCTGTATCGGCCATCATCGAATCGACATTCACCGGTTCTACTTTGACCGCAGTATCGACATCCATTGCGGTATCCAGCACAGCATCCGATGGATTCAGCAGTTGGTCAAAGTTCAGATCTTCGGGTTTCACGTTCAACGCATCATCGTTCAAATTTTGTATTGGCATATTATCTAATAACATGATACCATGATCATCATGCTGACTAGCCACTGGGGCATTGGCAAATGAAGCCGCGGTTTCTAGTGCTGCTTGCGGCTGCTGCTGCGGCGGCGGCGGCGGGGGAGGTGGTTGCGATGATTGGACGGTAGATGGTGGTTTCGTCGGTAATGCTTTTGTGCTCGATTCTGACTCGAAAAAGTTGAAGTCTTCCTCTGTGACATCGAAATCAAAATTATCCAAATCAGCCATGCCATCATCGGTCCAACGGGTCGATGGCATATCCATCATCACATTGTCCATGCCGATACCGAGATCAAATTCAGGTTCCGTTCCGACCGTACTCTGTTGAGCAGCGTAGTCACCCTTATTCATTGATTCAGATCCCACCTCATTCCCCGTCGAACCTGGTAATGATCCAGATCCTTCCACTGACGTTGCAAACGGAGTCTGCATGTTCGATTTTCCCGTAGGTGACGCAACCGCGGCATTGTTATTCACTCCGGCTAACGGGAACGTATTTGACGCGCCGTAGACTGTCTCTGCTTCCCCGTTCGCATTCTTCGCGTAGATGTATCCATCCATGACTTGCTTCGGATCAATATCGAAATGGGTCAGGGCGAAATCCATCAATGAAAGTTCCGATTTCTCCACGGTGTCCATATGGTCATATGTATCTTTGATAGCTTCCTTTCTTACGCTGGAAGTGGAGGGAAGTGCAACGGCTTTGGAGGCCATCAGTGGACTTGAAATGACTGGTTCATGTATAGCCTTTTGTAACGCGCCTTGGGTTTGCGATGCATCCGATACTGATAATGTTTCCAAGACAGTGGAAGCTGTGCGATATTTAGGGTTGGTGAAATCCCAAAAGTCCAGTGGCTGTTGCGTCGACGGTAATTCGCGAGATTCATGAGACAATGGTGGCCCGATGCCGTTCCACTTGGCGGCATCTTTTACCCGCTGAGACCAGGCCCACCGACTCCATTTCTCGCCCAAATTCTCGATCTGCCCATGATTATAACCAAATATGCCGTTCATGCCTGCGGCGGAGATAGGAACGGCATTCGCGGATACAGGGATAAAGATTAATGCGGTCGGATACAGGATGAAGTGATGGTTCGATGATCGCACAGCGACTACCGACGGGAAGGATGCTCCTGAATGGTCCATGTTTTGAATTAAGAATTTGAGAGGAATATTGTACAGTAACGACCATTGGCGTAACACTTGTTCTTGGATGGAAGGCGAAATCTCGCGACGTATTAACATTAGCTGGGCCTTTTCACCGGTAGGACTTAGCACCACTGTTAACAACAACGATGTATTGAGAATTAAGCTCAAACATAGGACACGCCATCGATATCTTTCATTTTATATCGTGTACTCACCCTGTGTCCCTCGCGTTTTGATATCCTGAGCGGTCAACGGCTTCATGCGCATTCGACGAACATCGGGCTGGAAAATAAGGTTGGTGCTGGTCAGATAGAGATTGTAAGTGCAGCATAATAAAGAAGGGTTGGACATATCGGCCAAGGCGCCCCCGGGAATATTGTAGTTGGTGCGGCTAACGTCGCTCTCGGAGTAAGTGGAAGGGAAGATGAAGAATTCCCCCAAAGGAAATGCGCCTTTGCGTACAATATGTCTACGAAAATAGCTTAACAATGAGCATGGGTGGATGGCAGAACACGAAAAGACGTCTAAAACTACCTCTGGACCAGGTTTCGAGCTGATTTGATAAAGAGTTTATATTCCTCGGCCAACGTGACCAATTTTCGCGAGTTGGATTGGGTGGAAGAGGTTAATGGCGAGGCGGTGGGTGATAGGCTCTTTGAATACACATTTTCCCAGGTAAATGATCCCACTTTGATTTCTACAAATATAAATCTTTGTTAAGTTCTTTGCCCTGACCATCCACTGCGATCCACTACGATCTACTGCGACCCATTTTGGAATGGTCTTTTGCCACCCTCAATTTTACCTTCCAAGGTATTCAGATATTGATCCGAGTCGATTTTTCCCGTGTGTCTTTCGTCAAACCAGAATACCCAAAGTTCTAGTGGGATTAAATCGTCGCCCTGGGGTTCCGATTCTCCGGGAGTGTCTGGTTTGTCACCCTCGGTCGCCGGTTTGGGTGTAACACGCCACATGCACGGAATGGACATTTCGATCAGGTTCCGGAATGCCTTGATCAGAATGTTGTTGGTCGGGCTAAATGTCAATTCTCGTCGATACACGGGCTGCGTGTCGCTTTCTGCCTGTCCTTCGCATTTCAAGAACTCGACGACCAGAGATCGTTTGCATAGCTGACTGTAGACTCGATAGCGGATTTGCGAAACGCCGCTCTATAGACCCCATTTAAAGTTAGCAGAGATAACGACAACCCTCAACACCCATTTTACAAAGAAAGCACTAGTTTACCACTATGAGTATATTGGTTAAACTGGAATCGGTCAGCATCAAGACGAAAGGATCATTTAAGTGAGCTTGACAGCAGAATTCAGAATCGAGCACAAAAGATGGCGAAAGCAGTCAGTAACAGCGCCTTTTTTTTTGCCTCTCTTTCAACAGCTGTGCCCTATTCCAAAAATCGCAGGACAGCCCCCAACGTCGGCGTTTCAATAACAAAAAAAAGCCGGGCTTGCGTCACGTTGCAATTGGCAATCTTTTCAAATGGTGAAATTTTGGCAATCACAACTTGACAATTTGTTCTTCATAAATTCACAACTTATATTATGTTATACGAATATCATGTATAACAAGCCGTACACTTGCTGTGCAATGGATGCCACCTGCTACTGGACGTCGCCCCCTTACATTGAGCGACATTCGTCAGACAAAAGCCTAACGCAATACGGCATAACCTGGGCGAGACTTTTGATGGAACTTTGGTATATTAATGTCAATACTCTGGCATACCGTACAGTCATGATTTCCAAACATGTGTGCAGCAGCACTTATTGACCCCCTCAGTCCCGTCCCGCCCAAGGTTATGATAGATCTAGAATGATATGTGGGAATGTTGGGTATTTAAAAAGATGAGTTAGTAAGCTCTTTGATTGATTCAAATATTCGTCAAGATATTTTACCTTTGTTATTTGAGTTTGCAATAGCCATTGATCGCTTGACATGACTTTTATATGACATTGAAAAAATTTTGAATTAGTATACGTTCATTATACATCATAGCAAAGGAAAGAAAATTGGACTTGCCTTTGAACCAAATGGTGTACCGGAAAAAAAAACGGATGAATACGGACCGCCAGGTAAGCTTCTTCTTCGATGCGGAAAATAAAATTGCTTCCAGGGACGGTTAAGCGATGGATCGGTGGTGTCAGCTTGAGCAGGTAAAAAATATTGACGTGGCCAGAAGTGACATTAGTTTCGAGCTGGATTCCAGATATCGAGAGTCCCCCGAATAAAAAGAAAAAAAAAAACAAATAATGTACATGATGATAAAAAAACCAATAGTCGCGTCAGTAAAAACCTCCTAAAAAATCCTGTGGGAAAAAAAGAGGAAAAGACTGCGAAAAGAATATGTACATGAAATATAAAATACAAAATACAAACTATAAACTACAAAATAAATAATCGGGAAGACATCTCGAATACCATATGATGAGAAGCAATCCAAAGGAGAGGAACATGAAGAGGACACGTAAGCGTTTTTCTGATTAAAAAGAGAGCCACACCACCAACGATGGCCTTTGACATCATCCGGTTTCGCCAGATGGATGGATGGCGAGAGAAAGTCAACTCGTAGTATCCAGAACTTGTCAGGCGAAAAGAAAACGGAAACCGGAAGCTGGAAGAAGGATGGAAGTAAAGGAGAGGTAATTCTGTTTTGCCGGAGCAAAATCGATGGTAGACCACTCGACGCTTACCTTTTTGAGGATGGTGGTCGATTTAACCAAGTTAGATACACGGGATAAGAATGGTCTGGTGGATGGATGCGGATGGGATCTTGATACAATGATAGTGAGGATTTATCAAGCAAACAGAAAGAGAGAGAGAAAATCAAAAGAAGAAAGATAAAATTGAAGACAAAAATATATGGTTTTCCATGGATGAAACAATAGTCGCCCCACTGATGCATGAATTCATAGATCGAAGCACGTCTGCTTATGTATTATTCGATTCATTGAAAATTGAAAGAGAATGAAAGGACATATATACGTATAACTGACAAAAAAAAACAACAAATTGAATGATGCTACAAAAGAACGCCAGTCGTATCATCAACCACTTTTCTTCAAAAAGAGCTCTACTCACATTTTTATTCGAAAGACGACGATGCTCTGTTTGACCACAACTGGTGCAAACGGTACTTGCTGCTGATTGTTTCACCTATTATCGTGAAAGTGGGCAGCGAGGCATGGTTGAAAGATGAAAAAAAGGTTTAACAGGTCCTTATAACTAGTGTAGATCATGTGATTTACAAAATCGCTAATTTCCCAAAGATTTTAATTATGTAGACTAGTTGCGCGTGTGATCTTGAAGATCACAAAGTTTGGTTCTTTGGATGTGTAGTAGGGATGTTGCTCTGAGGGAAGTGGGAATAGTAGCTGATTAAAGATGTGTTTGGAATTGGATATTCCATTTGCAATATTCAAAACTCCGCACTCGAATTTGTGTATCCAAAGGTCCCGCTTGTAATTATGTAGATTTGAAATAAGGACGATATGGATATAAAATATTTTATAGCATCTATGAATTTTCAACAAGTGTAATGCTGCAGGTGCAGGGAAACAGATGGCTGCATCCGGTGTCGGCATATGACCGCCAAGTGATGAGCACTACATAAAATGGTAAAACTTATCCAAGTCCAAGTTATGAAATCTATACCTCTGAATCCTTTTTCAAGTTCGTAACTTCACTTTTTCTCTATCAGGAATTGCCATGTCTCATATGACATTGCAGCAGATACAAACAGCCGTCATAGACAAAGACTTTGTATCCGAATAATCAAGATATGCTTCTAGAAAGGCAAAGGACACAAAGCAGTACGCACGCATTCAGTAAGCGATTCAGCAAAAGCATAAAATCAGCAACAATATTATGAATGGTAAAAAATAGGGGAATGATTATTATCGCGTAGAAAAAAAAAAGAAACAGGAGGGCAAAGAATCAAAAAAACAAAGAGCGGTTCGATGGCAATATGAATCTAAAAGTTTCCACAGATGGTCAATTCACGCATCTGGCCCAATACATCATCGACACGTCGATCGCTTCCCATGTCGCTTTCGGGAGGGAAATGGTGTCGCAAACCTTCCAGCTGCTCGTATCCGGTTTGCGCAAATTTCAGTTGGGATTTCACAAGCGCTTCAAACGAAGGATCAAAGTAAGGCACTCTCAGTTCCACAACTTTTGGCAAGTCAGTGATGAGAATGCTGTTGATATTTTCGTACATTTCGCGCGCCATGTTAGCCTCTTGTTCAGCCTAAAATAACCAATCATGCCGTCAGTCTCCGATCTTCTTCACAGCTCATGATCCTTTGTAAATGATCGTAAGAAGGAAAACATTGATTACGTAAACTCACTCTTGGCAAACGTTGTGGATCTTCGCTAGGCTTGTCAATCAATTTGCGTACTTTGGATCGACTGGAATCGTAATCTAATAACTTTTTGTTGCGACGCTTCACTGCTTCATTGATTTCAGGGAAATAAGAACAAAAACGAGCTAATGGTTCCAAAACCGTAGCACGATAGGCGGCATCCTAAAAGACACAAAAAAAGTTCAATGATTCGTTAGATGATGCTGTGATTATTGCATAGTTATAGTGCAATTGCTTCCGTACCAAATCGGTCCGTGCGTCTTCATCCAATTTCTCCACTGTACGCTTGTATTCGGTGCCCATGGCACCCATCGGTGCGATATCCTCGTAGAAATTTTCAATGGTTTGTGCAATACGCAACTGAGCGGCGGTCATGGCTGTATTAGCTATAGTCAGTAATCTATCAACCGATAAAGTTGATTTTTCATGCATCTACCTCGCACTGAGTCTAGATAGCCTTTGGCCTCTTTGGATAATTTCTCAGATTTTTTCTCAAGACTGAGTGCATGCAAAAAATTCTCTCGTCAATAGGAGGTCATCTACGTAATGTGTTACTCTTACATCTTGAATCGTTCAAATTCTTCGTCAAATTCGCTGTCGGTTGTTCTGTCACTGACACCTGTGCGTTGCATCAACTAGGAATGTAAAAACGTCAGTGGAGGCTGTCGGTGTTGGCCATGGCGGGAATGATTTAGCTTACATTGGTGCCCGCGCGCGACAAGTTTTTCTTGAATCCGGAACTATCCAGTTATGGAAAAAAGTCAGCAAGAAGGCATCCTATTAGGTGACTACCACACAGTAGCATAACGTACAGGAAACTCATGGACTATATTGTCAACTCAAAAAAGTCAAAAAATTCGTAAGGAGGAAACAAAAAAAACAGACTGCCAAGGCGGCCTTTCCACAACTCATCATCAACGTGTTACGTCATGTTTTAAACTCCGCGAACGCAGGCTGGACATGGCTTTCCGTTTCGCATGGTTTCCACCAGCAAAACTTCACTCATGCAAGTAATACATGCATCGTTAATGCACGTCAATTTTTTGATGGATTAGCTTGTCCCATATTGTAATAAAAAGCTTCAATTATTGGAGATCAAATTCTATGCTTTTTTTTTGCATGACATCTTACTGCAAGCGTTTTCTTTTTATTTTTATTTAATTTTGTTGTTGTTTGCCGAAGCAGGAAACCAAGTGATGAGAGATCATAAATGATCATAAAACGAAAAAACATACAACGCCAACAAAAAAAAAAAATTAACGATCCGCAGCCTTGGTTGTGAATGAATGTGGAACTTGTTTTCTTTCGTTTTCTTTTGTTTTCTTCTGCTATTAATCAGATGGCAGGATGAGTAATCGAAGTTTGGAGTGCATGACGTTTTTTGTATAGTCTTGTGGCATGTTACAACGAAAATTCTGTGGTTGGTAGAAAGAAGTTCGAGAAGCATGTCAAGGATCGATGACTGTAATTTGTCAGCAACGGTATCGAGTAAAAGCGGTATACCAACGTTAAAATCCCGGTTGAACGCATGCTGTGCAACCGAGATGGGGCTATCGGAGTGTATGAACTCGCGTCTTCTATGGATTGCCCTGAATAGGCATGTTCTGCAACCCTGATCGTTTCAATGGTCTGTTTATAGCAATTGCCCAGCCATCTTTGCTTGTGTTGTGAACTTTAAAAATGGTAAAGTATAGTCGATTTTTTATCCTCCCCAATGCCCCACTTCCGTTGTTTGGTGGCCATTGGGGCTTTGGTGTACTAGAATGTGTTTCAAGTGGGGCAACGATTGCGACATGCATTAAACAGCAAGTCATCCACGTGTGCTGGAGGTGAATATGAAGGTACATTTTGAAACGCCGCTCATCAGGAAATTAGTCGCGAAACACAACGAATCGTTTTTGTTCCTTTTTGTGTTCCCATGGCAGCTTATAAATCAATAGGTGGGGAAAGGGGGAGAAAAAAAAAGGAGGAAGAAAAAAATTATGAGGGCATCTTGCCATCGGTATTCGCCATCTGGTATTACACTAATGGCCGCAGTAAAATCTAATTGATTAGAAACTTGGTCCACCGACGGATCAAATTACTCAAATAAAGTTTTTTTTTTTGTTTTTTTTTTTCTGCTAAAATCTCAAGGAATAAAAAAAAATTTGTATATAAACCGCACTTCGTAGGAGATCAGAAAAAAGTTTTTTCACCTCTTTTTCCCAGCTCTTCATGGAGAAAGAAGAAAATACAACGTACATCAACAAACGAAGGTCTTCCGACTCGGCTTCCACCATTGCCCCTGTTCAGTCCGGTGTATTCACCGGTCACGAAAGCAGCTTTGGTGAGCCGAACGCTAATGCAGTCAATATCGAAGGTAGAATACTCGAATGTCCACACAAAAATACCCCTTAATATATAATTTTTTTCTCATGAATGATTTTTATGTGATGATCTGCGTCGTTTTAGCTGCGTTTCACGAATTCGAAGATCTTAAACGTGAATTAACCCACATCAGTCGCAAAACCACCAATCCAAGCCGTCTTGAAAATGGCGACACGGACGAGTTCAATCTTAAAGAGTTTTTGCACGATCTTTCCAAGAGTCGTGATGCGGCGGGACACACACCTAAACATCTGGGAGTTATTTGGAAAAATCTGACAGTCGAGGTAAGACAGAAAAACCAAATTCCGCCTCCCATAACAAATCAGCATGACTCAATAACGTACTATTTTCTCAGGGCCTCGGAGCCGATGCATACACCATCCCCACGGTGCTCAGCGACACCCTCAAGGTTCTTCAATTCTGGCGCTATCTTGGTCTCGGTGGCAAATCAAGAAGCAAAAAGACCATTCTTCGTGATCTTAGCGGTTTTGTCAAAGAAGGCGAAATGTTGCTTGTCCTTGGCCGTCCCGGAGCGGGGTGTACAAGTCTTCTTAAAGTTATCTCGAATCTGCGCGGATCATTTACCAATGTCGCAGGTACTGTAAGCTACGGTGGCATTGATCATGCTACCTTTGCCAAACGGTACCAGGGTCAAGTATGCTACAATGGCGAAGAAGACCAACACTATCCCACATTGACCACCAAGCAAACTTTGCAATTCGCTTTACGCACCAAAACCCCCGGAGCTCGATTGCCCAACGAATCCAAGAAGGAGTTTGTCAACCGTGTACTGTTCACGCTCGGTAACATGCTGGGCTTGACCAAGCAAATGAATACCTTGGTCGGAAATGCGTTTGTCCGTGGTCTCTCGGGTGGCGAAAGAAAACGCCTTTCAATCGCCGAACAAATGACTACCGAAAGTACCATCAACTGCTGGGATTGCTCCACGCGAGGTCTCGACGCCGCCTCCGCTTTGGACTATGTTCGCTCGCTGCGCATCATGACCGATATTTTCCAAAAGACTACCATTGCCACCTTATACCAAGCATCCAACAGTATTTTTGACCTGTTTGACAAGGTGCTCTTGCTCGACGATGGTTACTGCATGTACTTTGGTCCCGTTGATGCCGCCAAAGAATATTTTGAATCCATGGGCTTCTACTCTCCTCCTCGCAAATCCGTGCCTGATTTTCTCACCGGCCTTTCCAATCCTCTTGAACGAGAAGCCAAACCAGGTTTCGAACACCGCGTGCCTCAAACCGCGGCGGAATTCCAAGAACGCTACTTGGCCTCAGCCATCCACACCCAGATGATGGAACAGCTGGACGCCTACGAACGAGAATTGGAACGCGAACAACACGCTAACATCTTCCGAAAAGCTATGGACGAAGAACATCAGAAACGCGCATCCAACAAATCCCCTTACACCGCATCCTTTTATCAGCAAGTCAAAGCACTCACTATCCGCCAGTACCATCTCCTCATCAAAGATAAAGAAGCCCTTGTTTCCCGCTACGGTACCATTATCGTCCAATCCTTGATCATGGCCTCCTGCTTTTACAAAATGCCTCATGATGGCACTGGAGCCATGGCTCGCGGTGGTGCTATTTTCTTTGTCATTCTATTCAACACCCTGGTATCTCAAACGGAGCTCATCAGCTTTATGATGGGAAGACCGATTCTGGACAAGCATAAGCAATACGCACTGTATCGGCCATCGGCTTTCTATCTGGCGCAGGTTATTATGGATATCCCCTATGCTGTCGTGCAAGGTAAGCACACGATCTTATTACTGTCTGCACACATGACAGACAAACTAATCACATTCTATGCTTTTTGCCTCTAGTCATTATCTTCGAACTGTTGGCTTATTTCATGATGGGTTTTAACCTGGATGCTGGTCGATTCTTCACCTTCTTTATTGTGATCGTCTTCGCCAATTTGGCATTCAATGGCTTTTTCCGTGTCTTTGGTGCCATGACCAACAGTTTCTTTATTGCTTCCCAGGTCTCGGGCGTTTGCAGTATTGCCGTCTACACCTACTGTGGCTACTTTATCACCGAACCTTTCATGCATCCGTGGCTCTCTTGGTAAGCATCATAGGGCATAAAATTATCTGATACCGTTGACTCATTATGCCAATTCTCTTCCAAAAAAATCCAGGATCTATTATTTAAGCCCGGCTGCTTACGGCGTGAAAGCGGTCATTTCCAATGAAATGAAAGGTCAAATTTACACCTGCGAAGGTCCTGGTAACTCGGTACCTTATGGTCCAGGTAAAATTGGGAATACACCCTTTTCAGGCTTTCTTGCCTTCATGTCCTAATACGTCTATTGTATTTTCTAGGCTATGACGATTGGCAGTACAAGGTTTGCACCATGAAGGGTGGTCGTGCTGGAGAAAACTTTGTCCTTGGCGACAACTATCTCCGCGAAGCCCTGAACTTTGAACCTTCAGATATCTGGGCTCCTGATTTCCTGGCAATTGTTGCCTTCTTCCTTGGATTCACAATCATCATTGCCTTAGCCATGGAATTTTTCGGCGGCGCCACCGGGGGTGGATCGCTCACCAAGCTGTACAAGCCCGGCAAAGCCCCTAAACTTGCCACAACCCCTGAAGAAGAAGCCGAAAGACGTCGTCAGCAAGCCGAAGCCACCCAGGAAATGGATGCCATTGCTACCGGCACCACCTTTTCTTGGCATCACATTGATTATACTGTCCCCATCAAGGGTGGCCAAATCCAGTTACTGAACGATATCAGCGGTATTGTCAAACCCGGTCATCTCACCGCCCTCATGGGCTCCTCTGGAGCCGGCAAAACTACCTTACTGGATGTCTTGGCCCGTCGAAAGACATTGGGCAAAGTCGAAGGAAATGTGTACCTGAACAGCGAAGCCCTCATGAACGACTTTGAACGTATCACTGGTTATTGCGAACAAATGGATGTCCATCAGTCCGCTGTCACAGTGAGAGAAAGTCTGCGGTTCTCGGCCTACCTTCGGCAACCTGCCGAGGTGTCCACGGAAGAAAAGAACGCCTACGTCGAAAAAATCATCCACCTTTTAGAAATGGAAGATATCGCCGACGCTCAAATCGGTGATCCTGACTCTGGCTTCGGTATCTCTGTGGAAGAACGCAAACGCCTGACTATCGGTGTGGAACTCGTAGGCAAGCCTCAACTTTTATTCTTGGACGAACCTACCTCCGGATTGGACGCTCAGAGTTCGTACAACATCATCCGATTTATCCGCAAACTGGCCGATGCAGGTTGGCCCGTGTTGTGTACCATCCATCAACCTTCGGCAATCCTGTTTGATTATTTTGACCACCTGTTGCTTCTCGTACGCGGAGGTCGCACCGCTTATTACGGCGAAATCGGAAAGGATGCACGTACGATGATCAACTATTTCGAATCCCACGGTGGTCCTCTTTGCTCACCCGAAGCGAACCCGGCCGAATACATTCTGGAAGTCGTCGGTGCCGGTACCGCGGCCAAATCGACCCTTAACTGGGCCGACATTTGGGCTAATTCCGATGAAGCCAAGGCTTTGGAACAAGAACTCGATCAGATTCATCAGAACGCGGTGCAGCAACCGACACGCAAAGCATTGACGTATGCCACTTCGTTGGGTACCCAATTATGGCTCGTTCACAAGCGCATGGCTCTGGCTTACTGGCGTTCGCCTGACTACAACATTGGTCGATTTATTACGTGTATGGCCATCTCCTTGCTCACAGGTTTCACCTACTGGAAAATGTCCATGACTTCTTCCGACATGATGAACCGTATCTTTGCCCTATACATCTCCTTCATCATGGCCTATATCCTGATCGTCGTGGCTCAACCGAAATTCATGTCGGAACGCTTGTACTTCCGTCGCGAATACGCTTCCCGTTACTATGGATGGATCCCGTTTTCTTTGTCGATTATCTTGGTGGAAACGCCGTACATCATCTTCTTGTCGGCCTTTTACATGTTTGGCTTTTACTGGACGGCCGGCCTAAAGACCACGAGCTTGGCCATGGGCTACTTTTACTTGATGCAGACTCTGTTTGTATTCTGGTCCGTCACCCTGGGCTTTGTCATTGCTTCCATTTCCGAGAATCCGACGGTGGCTGCCGTGTTGAATCCCTTGATCGTCTGTATCCTTGTCTTGTTCACAGGCTTGATGCAAACGGTGACGGCCATGCCCCATTTCTGGAGTTCGTGGATGTACTGGCTAGGTAAAGCGCGATTGACCCATACTTTTTTGTGATATTTGTGTATACTCATTTCTATTTGACTTTAGATCCTTTCCATTACTATGTTGAAGGTCTGGTGGTAAATGAATTATCAGGACTCAAGGTCTCTTGCAACGATAAGGACATGGTGAAATTCTTGCCTCCACCGAATATGTCGTGTGGTGACTATCTCAAGCCCTTCTTTGAACATGCCACGGGTTATCTTGCCAATCCCAATGCTACGCAACCCGAGTATTGCAACTATTGTGCTTTTTCGACCGGTGATGAGTATCTCAAGACGTTCTCCTGGGATGTGGCCAACCAGTGGCGCAATATCGGCATCATCATTGCATTCTTCATTTTCAACGTCTTTGTCTTCCTCGCCATGGTGTACTGGAAGAGAAAGCCTCGCAGATAAACGTACTGTTTGGATCTCCTATTTTTTTTATTCATCCTGTTCATGGCTTCCGTGCCAACACTTTTTTCATTCATTCATTCATTCATTCGTCGAACATACTGTAGTTTTAGTTTCAATCACGTCATATCTAGACTCTTTATTCTCTTTTTTCTTGTCTTTTTTGTTTCGTTTACATACTTTACAAACTTCAAACAATTGTGAATCCGTATTTGTATCAATATCATATAAAAAATTTGTATTACTTGCTGAGCTCGTTTCACTTTTTATCTAATGTAAGCAGCTGCAGCGAATTACAGCTACAGCCTTGGACTGTGAGCACAGCTTGAGTCCATTGCCTAGTCGCCATTCTTCAAGAGGATCATGGACCACCGGTCATACTATAAGCTTGAAACACTGTAAAATGCTGGAGAAAACGAGTAGGTCAACCATGCATTGCCACCAGGAAAAACCGGTATAATTGACGTAGTATCTTGTCCAACAGTGATCCATACATGTACTATTTAGCCTGACAACACATGAACAACAAGTAGGAGTATGTGAGAGACAAATAATGGTGAACACTAATCTGCGATGACCGCATCACATGGTCAAGTGGGAAATTAACGCTAACCATTTACAGCCACTCGAGGAATACAATACTCATTTCGTACGCTGCACTGTATACTAGGTATAATGATTATTCATCGACCAGATGGCATGAACGCAATGTTATTGGTCTGGATAAAAAAAATTTTTTGTTCTTTTTTTGTCAGGTTCCACAAATCATGAAGAACCAAAAAAGAAAGAGTATGCAGAGAAGATATATGAGATAATGATATACAGAAATTACAGGCTAAATGAATAAATGATAACTAATGAGAGACATAAGAAAGAAGAAAAGAACGGAAGGGAAAAGATTGGAGGGAAACGATGGATATATATATATAAAGGTCCGAAAAGCGACGAGAGGGGGAAAGATAGAATGTCGTTGTTATTCTTCTTCTTCCTCCTCTTCTTCTATAATGGTTTTAGCGCCCAGCGAGTTGTTCATTCGTTCGCTGTTCATGCCGTAGATACTTAATCGGGATCTGGACAGACCCATATCAAATCGTCGTCCTGCTAACGGTCTTGTATCCTAATAAAAACACATGTTTAGTGAGCAAACTTGCACCATGTCACGGGACTTTAGCGATTCCTTACCATGGGACGAGACGTTAATGGACGAGGGTCCATGAGTGAAGGTGGTTTTGAAGGCTGCTCATCCATTTCTTCCTCGGAAATAGACGTAGGAGGCGACGACAAAGGTGAACTATGGGCGTCTTCGTCATCAGCATCATGATCGTCTTGTTCGTCTCCGTCTTCATCATCTTCGTTGAATGAGCTATCAGAAGACGAAGAAATGGAAGAGGGAGGTGAGATCGGCGAGGAAGCTATAGTTGGAGATAGTGCATGCTTTGATTCTTCCTGGATGATCATATTGTCATTGTACAGTTTAGGAGAGCAGGAGGTAATAGGAGAACATTGCTGAGCGCACAGATCTATTTCTACAGCCGTGGTTGGCACGGCGGTGGTACATTGGTGAGGCGGAATGCAGATCACAGACAAACTATTGGTAACGTTGCGAGGCGTGGTCCATGCGCTTTTTGGTTTCGGTGGTTCATTGCTGAAGGAATATTTGGTGTGGTGCTTGGAAGAAGAAACAGTGTGTACAGAGGGGGAAGAAGTTCGTACAAAGGATGTCGCACTGTAGCTTAATTGATCCAATTCGTTCATGGGGGGAACGGATACGGATGGCATGACAGGCTGATGTCTGTTTTTCAAACTACTGGAACGATACACTGGTGGTGAAAGCGGCAAATGGCTAGGTGTGGGTAATTGAGGTGGAGGAGGAGTAGGTATCGACATAGAGGATGTAATGGTGGATGACGATGAAGATGGTGTCATTTGTCGTGATGGAGTTGGACGCAATTCGTCTCCTTTGCCAAACCACGATTTGACCGAGGTCAGCCATCCAGTCTTCGGCTCAGGTATCCGTTGGGGTCCGTAACCATAAGTTGCTACTGACTTGGGGCTGATCGGCGATGAATAGCTCGAATCTGTAGACAAAGAAATGGATGCAGGTGTTGATGAAGGGGGAACCTCGGTTTGGACGGCTTGATCGACTTTTCGAGCGGCGGATGGATCGAGGGAAGGCTTGGCATGAGGAGCTTCCAACACTTTAGGTTGATGACTCATGTTGTCCAAAAGCATTTGCCACAGCGCGTTGCGAGAATTGCCCATGGTAGATCGCATACTGCTAACTGCGGTTGCATCGAAACCCGCTGACAGCAAAGCCGAATATAATTTTTGCTCAGTGGGTGTCATGGGAGGTTCGTCCGAGGAGAGTGCGATGTCGGTGAAATGGATGGAAGGTAAAGAGGCGCGTTGCTTATCGTTGGCATTGGATGCATACGACATGTTGGTCGTAGCACTCAAGGCAGGGGCGGAAAACCGAGTGGATCGTGGTGACAACTGCCATCCGAGGCTATTCCGCACCTGAGGCGAGAACATGGCGTATCGTTCACCGTTGGGTTTCTCGGTAGTGGGGGAACCGTAATCACGATGAGAAGAAGCCACAGTTACACAGTCTTCGTCATCCTCGGGTCGATTAGAGAAAAGAGAATCGGCATCGGAATAGGTCGAATCTTCGTCGTCCGTCACATCCATTCGCATCCACGGATGGTTGAGTATTTGATCAGTGGTCAGTCGATCCGCAGGATTCAGCTTCAACACCTGCCGAATCAAATCACTCGATTCTAGTTGAAAGTAACAACGGGAGTCAAGGAAACAAATGCAACAGATGGATCTGGTGAGTTGCTGTGTTTTCCTGGTCTGTCAGTGTTATTCTTGTTACCTACCTGAGGAGAAATAGGATGGAATTTGGTATTCAAGATTGACAATTTTGCGTTGCATGATGATTTCGGAATCGTCGTCAAACGGCAATTCGCCTGCTAAAAGGGTATAGAGAATGACGCCCAATGACCACACATCAATTTCGGGCCCTGTATGTCTCTGACGTTGAATGACTTCGGGAGCAGAATAGGCGAGACTGCCGCAAAATGTTTCCAGCATCTGATGCTTTTCCGAATGACGAGCAAATCCAAAATCGCAAATCTTGACGTTGTCGTTAGCGTCCAACAAGACATTTTCCAATTTCAAATCGCTATATATAAAGGGTGAGGGGGTCAGTTGGAGAGCCTATTTTTATGTTGATTATTGCCAGTTACCGATGGATGATCCCATGGGAATGACAGTATTTGACAGCATCGACGAGCTGCCTGAACCAAAACTGAGCGCGTTTTTCCGTACATCGTCCAAGGCGTGATAGGGCATCAAAAAGCTCGCCATTGGGACAGTATTCAGATACGATATGAATGTAAGATTCCGTGGCGATGATTTCGTACATGCGAACGACATTGGGGTGAATAAGCTGTCTATGATGATGGATCTCGCGTGCCATCAGCGAAGCATGTTGTTTGCTGATCCTTTTGACAGCCACTTGTTGACCCGTCAATTCGTGAATTCCCAATTTAACTTTGCCATAGGTACCCTAATTAATTGAGTGAGAAAAAAAGTAGAAAACCAAGACAATGCCACATCCATGGTTTCGCTAAAGACATAACAACAAGGAAACATTCGAGAGACTGAATAGTGATATTATTTACCTCTCCAATGGTGTCACGCAATGTGTAATTTCCAACAGTTGTCATTTTATGGGAGGATAGTTCTTTGAGGAGATCATTATAATCGGCGGCCAACTAGGACGAAAATAGATTAGGGTGTTTAAAAAAATGAGTCGAGTCGTTATGCTTCGTGAGGTTTTGAACACCGAAGTAAATAAATAAATTGGGAAAAAAAGCCAGAAAAAGATGAATACCTTTGCTTTTTGATTACGTGCAATGGAAGTACGATGAGATAGCATGCTGAGGATGAAGAGTGTAAAGATACAGGATAAAAACGAAAGGAACGGAACGGGTTAAGTATGGATACACGCCAAAAGAGAGAGCGAGAGAGACGGACGGACACGAGAATAAGATGAAGAGTAAGTGAAGAAAGGAATGTCAACGATGGTAATAATTGCAACCTTTGAAGTGGCAATGGTGAGAATGGAGTTTGAACAAGATGGAATTTATAATGAGATCATTAAATGAGAAAAAGGGAATTAGCAATAAAAACGGAGTAAAGAATAATAAAAAAAAATGGACAACAAGGCAAGACAACCAAACGCCCTAACAAAAAAAAATGAAAGAAAGAAAGAAAGAAAAGGAAGAAAAGGAAGAAAAGAGCGAGCGAGTGAGTGTGCGTTGAGTAAAGAGACGAAAGGGAAAAAGAAGAGGAGAAAAGGGGGGCCCAAAAAGGACCAAATAAACCAAAAAGTAGACTCAAAAGAAAAGGAGGAAATCGTCGCTTGGATTTTATTTTTGGTGCGCTTGCAACACATTCAACTAACTTTTACAGTAACTCGCGGTTGCACAGATCATCAACACTTTATTTCTCAGATATAAATGTCCTCTTTGACAGAAAAGTAAGCCAACAACAACAATAACAACAACAACAACCCCGCTCATTCCAAAACGAAAAGCATATACAGTACAAAAAAAGCACTCCACTTTTATGTTATTTCCATTCCCTCTATTATTATTTTTTTACTCATGCAAAGTAATTCAGCATATCACGTTCTTGCATCGCCTATTGGTTTGCTGGAATTCCCTTTTCTATTGTTATTCAGCAAAAACGTCGCTCATTACCTTCTTTTTTTTTTTTTTTGGTAGGGGATCAGTGGTCCTAATTTTATTGGAGCTTTCAATACCTAATCGAGTATGTCGTACAGCACCAGTGCTTCCAACAAATAATGTCAATGGCAATCAAAAACCAATTTCATCCTTTTAGAAAATAAAGTCACTTTGCTTTTGCTTATAACAGGCCGTACACCCGCTGTGCAATGGATGCCGCCTGCCACCGGAGGCCGCCCTCTTACATTGAGCGACTTTCGTCAGACAAAACGCCTAACGCATACACGACATAACCTGGGCGAGAACTCTTGACGGACTTTGATATATCAATGACAACCTTATGGAAATCATATTTTTGTCTTCAATTTTATCTTTTTTCTTTTGATTCTCTCTCTCTCGGTATCATTGTATCAAGATCCCATCCGCATCCATCATCCTGACCATTCTTATCCTGTGTATCTAACTTGGTTAAATCGACTACCATCCTCAAAAAGGTAAGCGTCAAGTGGTCTACCATCGATTTTGCTCCGGGAAAACAGACTTACCTCTCCTTTGGATTGCTTCTCATGATATGGTTTTCGAGATGTCTTCCCGATTATTGTATTTGGTATTTTATATTTCATGTACATATTCTTTTCGCAGTCTTTTCCTCTTTTTTTCCCACAGGGTTTTTTATGAGGTTTTTACTGACGCGACCATTGTTTTTTTATCATCATGTACTTTATTTGTTTTTTTTTTCTTTTATTCGGGGGACTCTCGATATCTGGAATCCAGCTCGAAATTACCGACACTTCTGGCCACGTCAATATTTTTTGCCTGCTCAAGCTGACACCACCGATCCATCGCTTAACTGTCCCTGGAAGCAATTTTATTTACCGCATCGAAGAAGAAGCTTACCTGGCGGTCCGTATCATCTTTTTTTCCCGGTACACCATTTGGTTCAAAGGCAAGTCCAATTTCTTTTCCTTTGCTATGATGTATAATGAACGTATACCAATTCAAAAAATTTTCAATGTCATATAATCCAAGTCATGTCAAGCGATCAATGGCTATTGAAAACTCAAATAACAAAGGTAAAATTTCTTGACGACACTTAAATCAATCAAAGAGCTTACTAACTCATTTTTTTTAAATACCCAACATACCCACACATCTTTCTAGATCTATCATAGCCTGAGCGGATGGAACTGAGGGGGTCAATCAGTGCTGCCCTGCGCGTGTTCAGAAACAAATCACGTTGCAACGTATGCCATAGGTTGTCATTAATATACCAACGTCCGTCAAGAGTTCTCGCCCAGGTGATGCCGTGTATGCGTAAGGCTTTTTGTCTGACGAAAGTCACTCAATGTAAGAGGGCGGCCTCCGGTGGTAGGCGGCATCCATTGCACAGCGGGTGTACGGCCTGTTATGCTTATTGAAGAGTAAAAATAATGCGAATTGGAATGTTGAATTCCGCTAATTGGTTGTCCCGTTTTTTTTTTTTGTTTTTTGTTTTTTGTTTTGGCTGATCTGATTAATATTTCTTAACTTATTCTTATGGTTAAATTGTTGGGCTTTGGTGAAGCCATCAGCAATCATTACATGAGCGCTCTTTGTCTTCATATCGCCAATTGAGCAGGTTGTCAAGTCCAGTGTATGAATACATCCTCCTATCTGCCTTGCAGACATTGAAAAGTAGTCAATGCAATGATTAATTTGTCTTCATGATCTTTCCTTCTCGAGTCATTTACCCAACCATCTGGCAGAATGATTAAGAAATTTTGGAAACCGCATGGATACAAGCTATCACATGCTTCATTTATTCTTGTCATTGATGTTTCTCTTTCCAAAAAATCTTCCCTTCATTTTACTTTTGACAACTGACCAGAACTGTTCAATTGGATTTATTCAGGTGAATAGAGAGTTACAAATCAATATCGTCGAAAATGAATTTGCTTTCCGACACCAGTAGTGCTATGGGTAGGAGCATTATTTTGACAAGGTAATGTTCCTTTTCGGATTATTGTCCATTCTACCAAGAGTAATCTTTAATGAGCTTAGACAATCCATACAAATTTTGCTACAAAAACTCGGTAAACAACACCATGCTTGATCTTCAGTTCTACAGAATTGAGTGGACTTCAAAGTCATAAATTGGCATGCACAAAGTAGACTTATGTATTCGCTGTCTACATCATGCCTTTGAATATATTGCGGTATACATAGCTTTTGTTATAAGGCCCTCTATAACACAAGAATGAAATCGAAGATACATAGCGTCATTGAAAAGAAAAACTGAACTGACGCATAGTAATCAAGGGCTATGCAGATGTCATTGTTATGTTGAATGCAAGCTATAAAAGAAAAAGTGGGGGTGCTACACAAATCCTGAAAAGTGTAACATTGCAAATCGCCAATTTTCTTCCAATCATCCATGGTAAAAGACTTGGCTTGTTTCGATTTGGCGGATTCAACACATTCATGTGGAGAGGCCCAAGAAAAAATGCTGGCTATATCTATAAAAGGCAATCGAGGGTTCATTGCGTGGTCATCATGATTAGACACTTTGGACATTTTTCCCTCCCCTTCTTCTCTTTCTCCAGCTCCCCTTTCTTTGGTCGGTGCATCATTTCACTTATTCCATGGTAATCAACCTAAATTCCTATCCAATGATCAACATTGTTCTATTGAACCATCTTTCCCGATATCAGTCGAATTCTGCATGGCCATCATCATCTCAAAAAAGTGGCAAAAGTAGCACAAGTGATAATGGACATTGAAAGACATGCAACAATAGAATTTTTTGTCAGAAGTGTTGCTAAATCTCTGATATCTAGGAAACCCCACCACCTGAAAAGACCACATTTCCAATCGATATATTTGACTCGTTTTCAGCAAGCACGGTGCCGCGGTCAGACGGGTATTCAAACGAAGCCAATCGAATTCGACGACGAGCAGTGACTTCCACCGATGATCCAGCATGGCATCGCCTACACAATGACGCTGAGGACGACCAAGACATCTTGCTCGATCGAATAGGTGACCGATTGTCGTTGCTTCTTCGAGAAGCTCACGAAGCTGTCCTCGATTATCAACCGAAAACGCCCACGGCTAAAAGAGTCACTCGACCCAAAGTCCGTCGACGCTCGGTGCTAATAGCACCCAAGCCATCCCGATCACGAAGGCGACGGCTGTCATCATCTTCCACATTCAACATCGCTACCGGCCATGCCTCGTCTTTTTCATCGACAGCATCGGCCTTGTCTCTTAATGCATCAATATCATATTCATCCACCACCGTATCTCGAGACACTGTTCATCATGTTAGTCGCCGTCTGAAGCGAGAAACGGATTTGGGAACACGGATGCACGATCCAACCGTGGAATCGTATGAGCGGTTACACCAATCCATCGTGATGTTAGACTCGTTATCGCGAGACTTGCATGTAGCAAACGATTCATGGCAACCTCAATTATCGTTACTACTGGTATTGCTGCCCTTGTTTTATATACCGACTCTCATCCTCGGCATCGTGCCAACTATTCCCAATATCATGACCGGCTGGCTCTTACTATTTTCCATGCTGAAAATCCGCCCTCCCGACACACAATACCATGAATCCCCACCCGGCTCATTTGCCAACAACGACCTTGATCAATCGATGACCGTAGAAACATCACGGTATCCCATAGGACGACGACACTCCTTCTAACCCATTCATTTATACGTGACATTCTCTCTTTTTTCATCAGACATACAACATTTCCTTCCATATATTACGCTTTGTATTCTATGCTTTCTCTCTCTTTCTCCCTCTCTCATTCTATGCAGCTGCTCATATCATTTTGCTTTTCATCCACACACTCTACCACTGTTTGCTCTTTCTCGTTGTTTCACACCATATCATTGCCCTTCCCTCACCCCAACATGATCACGATAAAATGACAAGTACGATTTATTTTCTCTATATATAAATGCAGGACATGTAGGTGTATCTTGCATTGCATGGTGGCTTCGATTTTGCTGAAAAGAAAAAGAAAAAAAGAAAGAACAAGCAGCACAAACAAAAGGAGAGATGATGTAGATCGCAGAAATAAAGGAAGACGGGAAGTAGAACAGGCTATTACGATTAGATGAGGGGAGTTATTAAAAGAAAGAGGGCGTATTTACATGATAATTTGAGGTTCAGTGATATTAGAGGAGATGGCCTTGTGTGGTAAGATGGAGCCTCCGTTCACGTAAATTTCATCGTTGATGGTGACATCGTCTCCCAGAACGGAGCAGCCTTCCAACCGTGACCAACGACCGACCGAGGAATGCCAGCCCACGATACTCGAGTTCACCCAAGCAAAGTCTTTAATTTTAGCCCCTTCAAGGATAACACAGCGTTGCAGACGCACACCATCACCAATCACAACATCCGGTCCAACCACGACGTTCGGTCCAATACGGCAATTCTTGCCAATCTTGGCACTGGGATGGATCATGACATTTCCCTTGTGCACGAAATCGCAATCGACGCCAGCAAGCTCGGGGGAGTTCTTCTTGGCCAAATGAGCCAAGTAAAGACAGGTACCGGTCAAGAAGTCCTTTGGCTGACCGACATCCATCCAGAATCCTTCCAGATCAAAGGTATGCAACTGACCGTCATTGGCAACGTGGGGAAACACTTCTTTTTCAATCGAGGTAGGCTTGAGTTCAATTCGATTCAAGACCGAGGGACTCAAAATGTAAAGACCGGCATTGATTTTGTTGCTGATGAATTCCTTGGGCTTTTCGACAAATCGTTCTATTTTAGTCGATCCATTTTGATTCACCACTACACCATATTTGGAAGGATCGTCCACTTTGGTAACCTAGATAAAAAGCCCGCCTTAGCATCAAAAATAAAAATAAAAGACGAACCCTTCTCTTTTCCGAACTTGTGGTGGGAGGGGGGAAAGGACCCCCACGCTCCATCTTCTGTCGGTGTCTTATCCTTGTTACTTACCACAATGGTGCCTTCGTTGCCGTGACCCAAATGGAAATCTCTCAATTGTTCGAATGGGTAATCACAAATGACGTCGCTGTTCAGAACAAAGAATGGACTGTCATCCTTGGCCAAAATGTCTCGTGCCAAAGCCAAAGGTCCCGCCGTGCCAAGAGGTTCCGTTTCCACCGAAAACGTAATCTTGATACCAAACTGCTTTTCATATTGCTGTAAAGCTGCCACCATAATTTCAGGACGATAATTGACGGCCAGCACAATATCTGTCACGCCCGCCTATACAAACAGTCAGTCAGATAAACTCCCTGTTTCTAGATGACCCCCATGGGAACATTACCTTGGCAAGATGTTCAATCTGATGAAGGATCATGGGCTTGTTGGCAAACTCCACGAGGGGCTTGGGCAGAGTGAGGGTCAAAGGACGAAGACGAGTGCCGAAACCTGATATATAAAAAAGAAAATCAGGGAACCGCCTTAGTGAACGAGTTTATCGCTACGTTACCTCCAACGAGAATGAGCGCTTTCATGGTAACGAGACAAGTAAAAAAAATAAAGGAGGCGCAAGTGGATGAAAAAAAAAGGTCCTCTGACGAGAAGTAAAAAAAGATGAAGAAGAAAACGGAAAAAGCGGGCAGACAATGATAACGTTATTTATTGGCAAAACTTGGCACAGACTCAGAATTTAGGCAACGCCCAAATGGAAAACGCGCGCTATTCTTGAAAATTCCGCTCTTAGTGCTTGGTCTGCCGATCCTCTCGAATATGTCTTTTTCAACGTGTTCATTTGTCGTCTTGCGCCCTTCATAACTTGCGTGACTCTTCTTTGGAATATTTTCACGCCGATGACTTTTTGGTTAACTTGCCGTTTGGCCATTTCTTGATGATATTATGGAAAAAGAAAAAAGCAGCCATCCCCTTAGAAATCAAAAAAAAAACATTACATACAGATAGATCCGCCGCAATAACAAACTCCCCCCTTTTTTTGGCAAATCAGTAACATCTATCTTTATCCATCGATAAAAGGCTACTATGGAGCGACCGATTTCGCTTAGTCCAATTCAGCCTTAATTATTGCGAAACATCCCGATACTGGCGTTGGTATGTGAACTGCGAAAATATGATGGCCTCACCGTCGGTGATCCAAATAGGCAACCTTGGCAGAATGGGTCCTAACACCTGATTTCGAACCCAAAGAGGCTAATGACGTTGTACAAAATGGGCAACGGATCGTCATTGATGGCTTCCCAGTTTTTTCCAGCCACGTCGCAACATCCGTTTTTGAGCCAAGCACGGATATTTTTCTCGACAATTCTTTTCGAAAATGTACCGTTTGAATTCCAACCACCTTGCTGCTTACAGTAACGGATCCATATATCAACTAACGGCCTGTTTATGTTCCGCTCACTGCCACATGCAGAAAAAAAGAGTAAACATTCCCGAGGAACAAGGTCTATTCCAATATTACCTACGTAAGGAATCAACCCATTCGTTCTTTCCTCATGTGGCACCATTTGTGTAAAAATAGGGAAATAAGTAACAATAACAATGTAAAAACAAAGCATCAATCCTCAATATGATTTATCAAGGCCTTTTCAATCTTTACTTATTGTTTCTCTCTTCCGACGTCTCCGAACGTGAACGGATTCAGAAGCTTGGCATAATGGCAAAACGTACTTACAGTGAAGATGCTAACAATAATAAGGCGATAGAAGCGTAGCGAACGAAGAAAAAGAAACTGTTTATCGTTCAATAGGGAGTTGCATGCGTAAGAGGCGTACATCTAGTTACAGATCAAAAGAGAAAATCATAAGCTACCCAAGGAGTTTCCAGAGTAGACGACTTGATTCACAAAAAGAACATCCCTGCATTATCCTACATCCGTCAATCGGGCACTGTATATGAATCGGAACTACATAATTTATCAGAGAACGCCGTCCGCTAAGCAATTACGATGAGTGGTGAAATTTTGGGTTGTTCTCTCACAACTGGACCTTCAGTTTGTATGATGTGGGATGAGTTGATTTCACCCCAGATCATGTTACTCAGCTTACCACATAAACGTGAGGGGAGCATTATGGTAATATATCGAGAATTTCCTCTGACAAATTATAAAAAATACTCGTTAATCATGTATTTTTCCACCCAAAGCCATGGTTCAGGGCATCCTCTCCATCAAAGGGCGCGAACCTCTTGGTAACTCGGAGAAAGTTCAGTGTTATTTCAAGCTTTTGGCTTCTATGGGGCACAGATGTTCCAAAAAAGGCAATACAGTGTTTATAAAAGTGCTCCTAAGGCGTGTCACCGCCACAACTAAATAGAGATTATTATCACAAGACTGCATAGAAACATTATCTTTCATTGCCTCATGAACAAGAATCAACAACGTGATTGGCATCATTAAAGAAAGTGATGAAGAAAAAATTCCAACGGTAATCGACCTGGACCTTTTTGCCACTCAAAGCGCCGGAGATGAAACAATCCCGAATTTCGACCCAAATGATAATTAGCCGCTTTAGCCAAGTGCTGCAACATTGTGTCGAGGAACTTCCAAGGATATTCGTAGAGTTGAACAGCGAACTACATGTGCTGCAAGTATTTCGTTTGTTCAAGGTTAGATGATATGAAGCAAAGCAATTCCATTTATTGGGAGGAGCAAGTCATTGCTGTTTGGCAAGGATAACATCTATGATTCACGATGGGAAGCCAGATATAGCGGGCATTGACATGTTGGTTCGGTGGTTCACCAGGGATAAGCTCCAGATATCTTCTCGAATTGTGCTTAATAATGCGCTGCGTGACGGTACCAATAAGAATGAGAAGCATACGTCCCGGCCATATGAACTGGGAATTCTCGTAGATCGATTACTGTCGAGTTTTTCGATCTAAATCGAAGGACTCACTCAGCCACCATATTTCTGTCATACTTGTTGAAAGTACGGAAAGTGTCACTCATAGGGAAGGTCATGCAAGCGAAATCTAAAATTACGTATATAGTTATTTGTATCGTAGTCATTTTGAGGCAAATCATAGGAACTATCATATACCTGTACAAATCAAAAAATACACTTCGACATCACAGGAAAGGGATAGGTAAAAATTGGGTATTATTTGGGTTAAAATGCAAGGTTTGGGTAAAATGCATAATTCCCCTAGTTAGTGCCCAACTGTTACCTTATTATTTAAAGCAAAAATTGGGTAAATAAACAGAATCGTAAAAAATTGGATAGTTCATTTCAAACGTTTTATGCAATCAAATTATGATAACGTGACCCATATTACTTCTTTTGTATTCAAAAGGTCATTTTTTTCTCTGCTGGTGATTGTGAAAAAGTCATCTAGTCGAATTCCATCCCCGAACCTCTCGTTGCTTGATTTTTACAGTTTATTCAACTTTTGAAGTCACAAATAAAATCGGTGTTCAAATGACCAATAAAAAAATGTGGAAGCAACCAATGAGAAATCTGATTGAACGAAATAAATTGGGAAAAAGATGATAAGTCAAAAAATGTGGTCAGACAGACGAAAAATAGAAAAAGAGCAAGTCAGTATGACTATAGAATGCAGATGGCTTACCTGTAAACATCTACAGGCCTTCGTTGCCCGGAAAAACCAACCAAGTGGGCCAGGACGGACTACGCAGTACTGTTCAGCGCTTGTCGAACGTGGAGAGCACGCGCCGGAACCGTCGATGGTCGGCCAGTTGAATAAACTATTATAGGAAAATCATATTTAGAATTACAAATTTCTATTCTTAAAGGATCAACAGCCTTGAGCTTACCTTCAGTTCAATGCAAAAAAAAAAAGACAACCTCGGAGAAAAAGATGATCTTGAAAGGTAGAATGGAGGTTCGGGGAAAAGGAAAGAACTTTGGCAGACGCGGTGGGATGTCCATTTTATAGACTTTTTTGATGGACTGCTGTTGAGCCAGTCACTGTTGGGAAATTTCGTGAGAAGTATCATCGCATCAGCTGCGATGTACAAAAAAAAAAGGGGGGGGGTGGTAATAGAGCAGAACTCAAAGAAGCAAACAAAAAACTTTTCATGTCTTCAAACCAAATGTGAAAGGACCGTAAACCTAGACGCGGTACTACAAGAAGCTTTTGTGGTCTCTTGCATCCGAATAAGGAGGCCTCAAAACATCAGCTGCAATGCACAGTAGACAAAAAAAGAGAGAAAGAGAACAGTGTTCCACGGAATGACAGGAAGCAATCAAGAATCGTGATACCATTCTTTAGGATAAGTCGAAGTACAGGAAAAATAGGGACCGGATGATATCAGAATTGAAAGGTGGCATCATCCATGATCGAGAACTTCTGTTCACTTGCCTTTACTATTTGAGTGAAGAGTTGTATTGTTCATTTACGGTACATGCAGTTATGAATGAAAAATATTTTACAGGCGGTGACGACGACGAAATTCGTACCCAATTTTTGCTTTAAATAATAAGATAACAGTTGGGCACTAACTAGGGAAATTATGCATTTCACCCAAATCTTGCATTTTTACCCAAATAATACCCAATTTTAACCTACCTCTTTTCTATGGATGATTATGGTGATTATGGGGTTCTTACTGAATCGCTGTCTGTTTCACACACTTTAATTACTATCCTGATGCAATTGGATCATTGACTTTGGATTAGTGTGTATGAACTGAAACCTCGCACGCTGGACAAGGTGAGGTCTATTTACGGTATTTCATAGTTGCATTAATATCTTGGACGATGTACTAAGGACTATGATGCCACCGATGAACACATGCCTTAGTAGGGAGGGTGGAAGATATCGACTCGCGGCTACGACGACTGAAAACTCTTTGCCAACTGATGTATTTGATTTCCATGGCTCGCTAGCTAAAATACTGAATATGATCCAATTTTAATCATTGCGCAAAAAGCCAAAAAAAAAAAAAAATCTCGCCATTGTGCGGTGGATAAGAGTTAGTCGTGATCGGCCGCTCGAATAGTTATTTCGAAATGTGGGGTTTTCCACCTAATGTTTGGTCTCAAATTAGCTGACACGGTCGTACAAGGTTGCCAATGGATCGTCTCTTATCTATCCCAATAGATAAATTACTGGGTTTTAAGGAATTGCTGAGTAAGGGCTTTTTGAGAGGATTTGACCCCCCAAAAAAGCACTGTTCCACTTGCAACAGTTGCTTCTAGTTTACATGATCTATATTACAATGGCCTATTTATGCTCTTACATCTCGCGCGACCTGCAAAAAAATAAAAAGCAGTCCGCATTCCCGGGAAACAAACTGTATTTTAATATTACCTACAGAAGAATCAAATGTTTATCCTCGTGTGAGAACATTATAGAAAGAACAGCCAAAAAAAAAGAAGACCGACGATAGACAGTTGGAAGCATGCCTATTATACCATTGGTTCTGTTTATTCCTCTTCCTGTTGTCTGGTTACCGTATTCTATTTTCTCAATCGCTCAAGCGGCATTCCGATGCGTGGCACGTGGACGACTAGGCGAAAAAGGGAGATAATGTGTATTAGGAAGCCAAGAAAACAGAAGGATGCATGCATAAGCTGGGCGTTTCTATCGACATGCGGCATATAGGTCACATATCTACAAAGTACAAGCTAGCAACAGATAATCGAGTCAATAACACCGGCATCATTTTTATTACTAAAGAATAACGTGCCATAATAAGAGACAAAAAACGACGTTTTCCAGTATCCAGATGTCGATAAATAATGTCTATTTGTTGCCACGATCTGACGCCGAAGTGGCGGGTATAAATGGTGGGCGAACATGGATTTATCTGGTTCTCCAAAGTAGAAGCTGACCGTGAATTCAGGGTGGTGCAACGTATTATATGACGTTATTCATTGGACCTTTTAGAGGATCCTCTTGTAGTTGCTGAGACGGTTGCAAATGCCACAAGGTAAAAAAAAAAAAAAAGCTCTATCAACGTTTTTGGAGATTATCATCTGATGCACTGCCTAATCTATAACTTAATCATGAATGCCTAGATCTCTGTAAATACACAGGTTTTCCTTGCCGCTTTTTAGTATAGAATGATGAATTATCGCCGAATGAATGAGAAAAAGATCATAAGAGGATTGAGTGTGAGTCAATCCTCGGAAGAGGTACTTTCAAGCCGTCCAATAAGAATAAGTACCTTATGGGAGTGACATAATAGAGGGGTTCGATAGCAATCTGAATAAGGTATGTCTCAAATAAATCAGGTACTTTACGTTGATTGGGTAGAGCTCCGAATCTGTGTTTTGCGATTGGATAAAATGTTGGATTCTGCAAAATATTTTTTTCCGATTAAAGATGTTGCTGCTTTCAGGCAAAATTCTTCTCATTTGGGATGATGACGCTAATGTCCAAATTAGGTTAGCGTTTTTTAACATCGTCGCTTTTTTTTTTCTCTGTCCTGCCCGAGCCAGATAAATTTGTATCCCAGCTCGTCTACTCCGATGTTCCCAAATCTTACAGCTTGTGGGTTCCACGGAAGGGAACGTTGGGTGTAAGAAGTCAAGGAGGAATGACCATTCAAGAAGGCCATGGAGACAAAAAGCGCTAGCAACTCCGACTGTGGGGAAAAGTCGGTATTTTTTTTTCCTGTTTCACGCTTTTTTTTGTTTATATATACCTAGGCAAATCATGAATCTGCAGAAGCTTTTCTCCATAATTATTTTGAATCATGTTTCAACTTAAAGGGAAGGCTTTGTTCGCAGCCTCCACTACTTTGGCTGCAACTGGTTTCTTACTATTCGGTTATGACCAGGTAAACGTCCGGACCTTTCTCTTTTTTTCATGCTCCTTTCAATCGTTTCAATTCCATTAAAAACTCATCCGAAATATTTTATTTTCGATTTGGATGTTAGGGTGTCATGTCCGGTATTGTCGATAATGAGCATTGGAAAGATTTAATGGGTTTCAGCAATGAAAGCTCCACATCTGCACTGGTGGGTGCGGTGGTGGCCTTGTACGAAATTGGATGTATGTTTGGTGCCCTAGTTACCGGCAAATTGGGTGATATGCTTGGTCGACGAAATACGATTCGTCTTGGTTCAGTCATTCTTATTATTGGCGCCGTTTTGCAAACCGCCACGGTCAACATGGGCATGACCATTGCTTCCCGTATCATTACGGGTTTCGGTAACGGAATGAACACCGCCACGGTACCCGTCTATCAATCCGAAGTGTCACCTCCCAAATCTCGTGGTGCTCACGTCTGCTTTGAATGTTTCCTACTCGTAGTCGGTATTGGTATTGCCTATTGGTTGGAATACGGTCTCTACTTTGTCGGTGGCGAATTCGCGTGGCGATTCCCTTTGGCTTTTCAAAACTTGTTTGCCCTCATTTTGATCGCCGGTACTTTTGTCTTGCCAGAAACTCCCCGTTGGCTCGTGGCGCATGATCGGGATGAAGAAGCGAAAGAAGTGCTGGCCCGTTTATGGACTGACGGTGACAAGGATCATCCTCGATGTATCGCTGAATACGAAGAAATCCGTGACGGTATCGATCTTGAACGCCGCGAAGGCATCTCCTCGTACAAGGAATTGTTCTCCAAGGGCAAATTCAACAACCGTTACCGTGTGTGTCTTGGTATGCTGAGTCAAATCATCCAGCAGCTTTGCGGTATCAATGTGACAACCTACTATCTGGCGACGGTCATGGCCCAAGCAGGCATGGACCGAGCCACGTCCATGTTAATGGCCGGCGTCGATTCCATTGTGTACGGTCTTGGCTCCTTGTTGCCTATTGTCCTTGTCGAAAGAATCGGTCGTCGCAAGATCATGATCTGGGGTCTTGTCTTGCAAACGATTACCCTGGTGTGCATTGGTGGTTGTCAAAAGGCCCAGATCGACGGTTTTACAGGTGCTGGTAGCGGCGCGGTGGCCTTTACCATGTTATATAACTTTGTATTTGGCGCCAGCTGGCTCGGTATGGCGTGGTTATATCCTGCAGAAATCTTTAGCACGGGCCTTCGTGCCAAGGGCAATTCGTTCTCTACGGCGGCCAACTGGTTGGGTAACTTCGTGGTGGCTATGATTGCTCCTGTTCTGTTCGAATATATCACGTTTTGGACCTATATCCTGTTTGCTTTCCTCAACGTCATCTTTACCCCCATGGTATATTTCTGGTTCCCCGAAACCAAAGGTCTCTCGCTGGAGCAGATCGAAATTCTGTTTGCCACGGAAGAACTCAAGGACGATGCCAAATCGGTTGCTTCCCATATTGGTTCCAATTACGACAGCGAGAAACCCCACGATCCCGAAAATGGATCTGTCCGACCCAAGAGTTACCGCAATCAAAGCAATCTTTCTCAAGACGTTCAGCATGCTTCGTCTCAAAAATTCGAGACATCCGTTTCCGAGAAGGCTCCCAACTACAAGTAATTCTTTTTAATATGTCTTGGTATATGTCTTTGTCTCGCCTCTTTTTCCCCATCTGGGATTTTGGTTTCTCTTTTTTTTCCTAATTTTCATTGGTAATTTTTTTTTTCTTACTTTACTCTTTTCCATTATTCCAAATCAGCTAGTTAAACTTTAATAGCTATCCCTTCTTTGAAGATAATTTATTATTTTATTGTTCTTCTTTCCTTCCTCCCCCCCCAATGTCTCTATTTTTTGTATACTATTCGTCCATTAGAAAAAAACTCTTTTTTTTTTCTTATCTTTGTTAATTAAACTTTTTTTGTGTGCTTTTTATTCAAAGATGGTTGGAAATGGTATGAAAAGTGTGTTGATAGATGGTGGTGAAAGAAGACGACAGAAAAGGTGGATCGGGACCATGTGACACATGATAAATGACCGCAATATGCAAATCCACCAAATGGAGATTATAATTTCATCATTGAAAAGGGTCATTAACCTGATCTGGAAACCTAAATTTTTTCCTCACCAGATCTTTTTTTCTTACTCGACGCGGGGAAGATCGGGAAACCTTGCCCTTTTGTCCTTGTGTATTTTCGTTCCCACAGTTTTTCGGACTTGTTCCAAACTTTGAGAACCACATCATCATCATTGAGAGAAATCATTATCGCTTTTTTTATTCGGCGGGACGTGATTGGTAGGTGGCGGCCCGTAAAATTTGGATATCGTGAATTTGGGACAAACCACCGGTACTGGCGGTCCAGCCAATCCAGGCGTTAGTAGGATGGTTAATGTAACGGCAGATGTCAACTTGCGTGGTCAGTACAGGGGTGTAATCTTTGTCCGTAGGATGACCCTTCACATCTGTCGCTAAGCTTATCTCTATCTGTTGGGTCCCGGTAAGCACCCTTACTCTCACATGAATCCACTCGCCACAAGTCATGATAGGAATTCGGGATGTGTGACCCAAGGAAAAATCATGATGGGCCGAGTTACCCAATGGCGGTAAGCGGCCCTGAATACTGATATGATTACCCGACGGGTCTGCGCACCGATCTGAGCTCTTGTAAGTATCGAATTCAATGACTAAACTTTAATCCCACCACCAGCAACCAGGGTCAATTCTTCCATGAAAATCCCAAAAATATCAATCATTGGTTCTTTTTTGTTACCTGTTACGTAGACCGCCATATCCTAGATCACAACCACCTACCGGCAAAATACATTTTAGTTCCAAGTGATCCCATTTTCTGGGCCAAACGGCTCCAAGCAGTTCCACTTACCTCGTCCTAATGTTACATCGGAATCGCCACGTATGACAAAGGCGAGCCCATCAGCTCCTTCACGAGATGGTTGTCCATTACGGTCGGTTATACGAAAGGCGAACTCTACCTCGAATCCTCCTGATGTGAGGTCGAGAGACGTCTCGCAAAAAACTCCGCCGCATTGAGAAGGTTCATCTTGGGTTAGTCGCACAATCGCCGTTTGATTGCCATTGTCAAGGACCGTCGCCGTGCCCGCCAAATGCGTATGTTGTGTGTCACCCACGTTCGGTAAAACCACTGAATAAGATAGAAAAATAAATCAGACCCGCAGAATACAAGCAGTTGAAATACCCCCCGGCCCAATTCTCTGAAACAGATGAATGATGGGTACCTTGCTCACACGACAAAACGTATTTTTTGATTGGATCGTGACCGCTTTGGTTTGCATGTTCTCCTCTGGCCATGCGCCAAGCCAACGACCCTTGGAAAACGTCATTAAATAACATGAGAAGCACTGTTGTTTTTGCTTGACATCATCTCTCCATGACATACCACTTTGCCGACCGACAAGCTCGTCGTCATTGACATGCTGACGTTGACTCGCTTGCATTAATTCTTGCTCTTCACGCGCATGACGTCCCTTAAGTTCCAGTCTTCTTGCATCCGATAATTGACGCTGTCGCTTGGTTGAAAGCGTCTCCAAATACTGGATAATGGCAAAGAATTGTAAACACACTTTTCTTTCCACGTTGCATTTACTGTTCCCGCTTTCCCCTTTCCTCCTTACCCCTCAATAAGAAGGGGGGCTAGCCGAAAATTTCTCGGTGGTTTGTGTCGAATGCGTACCTTGCATAATCTGTCTTCATCCACCAAGGTTCGCCTTGACAAGACGGTTGGCCAGTTGCGCGTGTAACGACGAGTGACATCGACGACTTCTTCACATGAGAAAGCAATACAGTAGGTGAGCTGCTTGTTCCATCCGGCACTGTAAAGAAGTGGCTGCCAACAATGGATCAATGACAGTGGTCGATAGAGGGTGATTCCTTCATCCACTTACACGGTCGTAAGCTTCTTCACACGCATCACAATGAATCCATCGCTGTTGAGATTCGGAGAATACTTCCGTCCACACATGATCTATTTTGTACCATCGATTCTGTCAATATCTAATCTGGATAATACTTCCTTTTTCTCTCCTTCTCAACCTGTCTTATCAAACACCAATCGCGCTTCGACGCCAATGGCACGACAACACAAGGTGAAACACTACGATTATGCAAACCTTGTTTTTTCAGTATCACCGGAATTTTTTTCGTCAAACAGCATGAAAATTGGTACTTGCATTTGCCCATTCACCGCACCGACCTCGTCGGGTGACCAGCAATCGGCCTGGATCACTTGAAGAACGTCATGGTCATTCAACGTTATTTACAGCACTTTGTTCTCCTATTATCCGCTTACTTGTAGCGTGGGAATCGCGTATGCTGCTTGCACGTCAAACAAGCATATAGTTCAACAGTGGGAGCATCGTACTGGAGATCCTCCGCGGTAGGCGTGGTATGCATGACATAGCGCGTTTGCCCCTAAATTCAAACCCATCAATCTGACTATCCGTTCGTTTTTTTGACAGCGACCAATATTTCACAAAATCTTACACCACAGTGATCGCACAAAGGTTGATCTACCCAGGTAAAAAATTCATGTTTAAACCAGTGCAGCAATCGTCGAATGACGCGCGAGTCGAGATCATCCTCGTACGATTCAGTCTCTGCTTCATCGTATAGCCGCTGAAGAGGAATGCAGTCCATGGCCTTATCCTGCAAAAATAGCGTGCCCACATTTTAGCGTTTCGCTTCCATTGCCACTTTTACGCTAAAAAAGTTGGCCTACCAAAAGCGCCTGGTTTTCGTACCGCAACACACCTTCACTATGCTTTCGAATTTCACTTAGAAACTGATTGTAGTCATTCAAAGCTGCGGTGTGAGATGTCAAGGTAGAAGACAAAGTGGAAGAACATCGAGCAGAATTATCTGCAGGGGGCCGAGTACCACGTTGTCTTAGCAAGGTGGACCATATGGACATGACATGGTCAATTATTTCATTGGCTTCCTCACTGTCCATGGTTTGCTGTGAAGTCAGGAATAAAAGCAGCAGCGCAAAGCAATTATAACTCCGCAGCTGTCGAGTGATTTATTTATTACCAGATCATGGATTGGATTCCGTGCTCGACCATTCGCTCTTTTTGGGATCATACGTATAAATCTATACAAGTTGGAAGCCTGTTCAGTTGATTAATATTAACTTGTTGAGAAGCTGGAGTGATTACCTTTCTTTGGGGCGGAAACGTCACGTGGTCAAAGTGTTCCACTTGGATTATCTTGAAAACGAGAAGGCAAAAGTTGTCCATAGCAATACCATGGAGGAGCTGGTCGCTGGACGCCGTGGTGTCTGCAGGAAATTCGAGTCGCTGGCAGGCAAAGGCTTTGGGATCCATTTTCGGGACTTCGCCTCGGGACGGCCATGTGAATGTGGCGCGGACGGCTGGATCGAGCGCTTTCCATTGTCTCTGACGTTCATCTTCCCAATACTGTGAGGCAGAGGAGGCATGATCCGTAACATTGGGAGGCGGAAATCGAGTGACCTGAATCGGTGCAGAGGCAATGTAAAACTTGCCTTTAAATTTGTAATATTCCTGGGTCTTTGGCATCATCCTATGCTCACACAAGGTTTATTTTTTTATTCTCCTTTCTCTGCGGTCATACTAGATGGAAAATGGTCATCGAATCTTACCAGGACAGTTGCGCGTTGGGATCTGATTTGATATCGCCCATCAAGATATTATCGTTGACTGCGAGCAAAAATTCCATAAAGCGTGGATCATCCTCGAGAAAGGCCTGAAAAGCAAGACAATGCATCGATGCGTCGCCTGAGCGTCGTAGGTTGGACATGGACAGGTACACTGGTGAACGAGACGAGTTGAGTTGAGAAGGCTGTACCTTGTTCTACTCGGTGTCTGAAAGACCCGAGGGCGGGAAAAGAAGGTTTGACTTACCTTGGTTGCAGGAACCAAAGTAGTTGTCTTGATAGCTCTTGCATAACCAAGGATACCAAGGAGGAGTAGTTCGATGGCTCAAGATGGGGGAATCAGGAGAGGAGGAAATAGCCATGGCGAAAGGTCGAAATTGTTCATTCGAGAAATAGTGCCAAGTCTAGCTTTTGAAAAATTAATAAAGTGATCGCCCAATATGAGAAAAAACGAGTTTTTCGTGTCACCCGTTTCCGGAGACTGAAGTGGCTTGAGAGAGTGGGTTGTTCTCTTTCCACGGGTCTGACGCGTTTGACTAGCTGCTAGTCTATTGGCGCCTTCTCTTTTTTTTTTATACTAACGACATGCTTTTTCTATGGAAGTCAACCCTATGAAGGAATCTTTATGACTAGATCGATTTTGGAAAGCTAATATTTCACTTTGTTGTCGTTGTCTGCGGTTGCAAACGTTGTATAACCTATAAAAATAAGCCACGAGTCTTCGTGCCCCTGGAAATCAATGATTGGTTGCGCAGACAATGAAATTGTTTTGTTGTATTTATACAAATAAAAAATGGAGTATCCTCTGCTCTGCATCTTCCTCTTCTTCTTTTCCTTTCACTAGTGATTCAATACGCAAAGTACCATCAACATCATTAACATCACTGTTTCCATGCATTGCCAAGCGCTCGGGTGCGAAATGATCTGTAGCATTCTTTAGGGACCGAAACCGTCTTCCTCTCGGTAGGAAACAAGTTTTGGACGTTGCAACGGACTTTTGGGCCAATTCAGCTCCAATAAGCGGACATCAATTGAAGTGACCTCTACGAATTTTTTTTGGACCAGTGCAGGCTGCTGGTTTTGTCAGAGACATCTCGACGCGTTTCAGCAGAAAACAAACCGATTTTCTGACAAGCTTCGCCCGAAATCCCGGAATGTCAAAACAGCTCGCTTCGGATGATGCTTTCAATATCGAAGAATTCATCCAAACGTCCGAAACGATTCGTTATGCGGGACGCTGTGAAGCCTTTCGGCATAATGCTATCTCAGCCAAACTCGGACTGAGTAAGATGAAACGCGACCATTACCAGTTTCTCTTTGAATTCTACGATTTCGCGTATGGTGACGAGCAGCGGTTCTGTGATTATCTACGCCCACTACCTTCACATAATTCTCTTGGTTGGCTCAACCAAAAATTTGCTACGTTAACTCTGCACGGACAAATTTACAGAAGCAAGGAATCGTCGGTCCAAAGCAACCATTCCTCTCACGCAGAATTTTTAAACCTCCGATCAAAGCCTTGGTCAACAGAAGACTAGCCCATTTGCAACGTTGCCATCGTTTAAATGATGGGACTTTTTTTCCGGTTGATCCCATGCACTTGCTCGGTCTCCAATAGAGGTACATATGTGCAAGTCTTGTTCGAAGGTTTGAATTCTGACACGAACCAAGCGTGGTCTGGGCACGTCCTATAATTTGTTGAACACAAGCTAAGGAGAAACGAAGATTAAGCTTTTGCTTCTGTGTGCGCTGGTTGTCACTTTTACGCAACCATAATTGCATTTCTGACGGCGTGATGATCGAAGCCCTGGACCTCAGCGAATAGACGGTGGATGACTCTCTTTGGCTGATGATACCCCCCCCCCCCAGTTTTACGTCCGTTCCTGGCAAGTGCCTGCCAACGATTGGTCGCCGATTGGAGCGACAGAGACATCTACCAGGCTGGATCGAAGCCTTCATCGACTTTTTGGAAGCGTTTCCTGGGGAGGACTACTATGCTCGTTACGTAGGCGTGTGCAGGGGCCTCCAGCGTCCCATCGATCGAACCATGGATGATATGCTCAGCAGAAGGGGACCCATGGCGGATTTCCTCGGTACTTTGGGTGATTTGGATATCGAGTTGACTTGCCATACCTTTGAGTTCACTAACGCCCGGCTGGATCCCGAAACGTTGATGGCCGAGCGAGATTTGCAGGAACAGGTACTGATCGCCTTTTTCGGTGAGGACCGCCTTTTTCGGTGTGGACCGCGTTTTAAACCGCCAACCAGGAGGTTTACTCTTCTTGCGCCCCCAGCGAATCTGGCGTACAACTGTTTCAGGTCATTGAAGCTTGTCCTCCATTCTATCAAAGGGCACACCATTCTGGTTTCACGCCGATGTAGCATTTCCCTTGTCACCAACTTTGCTGGGACCAGCTGGATAGAGTCTGTTGGATTTGACGACGTACCAGTTGGTTACAGTACAGTGGTCATTCTGCATATTGACCCAGGAAACGATAAATACCGTTCAATCATGCCTGGGATGAGAGATATCATCAATCTCACGTAGCAGATCACCGTTGTCATCGCGAAATACATTGCCGTGGATACACCCATGTCCATGCGGGATGCTGTTTGCCAGCAGATCTTTGACCTATGTCATCCCACGTCGGCACGGCTGCCAGAAGGTTTGGCACATCTGTATGCGGAGCTCCAGGGGAGCAAAGCTGCCTATTACCAGTACCAGGAACTACAGCGTCGGCGTTTGCCGCCATCTATTCGCACCGCCGGCAACGACAATGTGCAGGCAGCAGCAGGAAATCGGAACGGTCCGCTTCCAGACAACCATGTAATTTCTGGAGCTCCACCAAGCTTGGGTTGGTGAATGGCTGTTGTGGGTTTCCGATCCGAAGAAATATTTCGAAATTTCGTTGACTTCGTTTTGTTGCCAGCAATGAAATTGTTTCATCTGGTGATAGATTAAACAACTTTGCTCTTTCACACAGTGGTGACATATTTCGAACTATGAAAGATGATCATTAACTTGGCGCAATGTGGCGGTTAATCATGATAGCAGTATTCGCCCTGACCTGTACTATATGATCTCATTTCTGCCAAATAGAGAACGATATTGCCCATTTCCTTCGTCTTGTTGTTTATGTATCCTTATAAAAATTTGCCTTGTGGTCGTCTCTTTTCTCTAGATTTTCAATAACTCGCTTTTGCTGCGATAGTGTTTTTTCTTTCGTGTCGCCCAGATTTTATATGCATCGCCTCATATTAGGCTCATTAGAGTACGAACTTTGTAGTTACTGTGGAGTGGGTTCAGAAGGGAAAGCATAATGGCAATCCGATGTTTAATGGGGTGAGATGCGCAATACCGAAAAGTAGGAAAAGAAAAACTAAGCTCGACCAACAGAAATGGTAGTTTTTATTTAAAAGGTTTAAGAGACCATACATAGTCTAAATTTATTAAGTGAACTATGATACAGTATATACTCGAATGAGTTAGCTTTACGACCTGCATCGGAACGGAAGAAGCTCTAACCAAGACTTGGTGAGATTCAAGTCGCTTGCTGTTCGGCTGTAACAAGGGTACAGTGGCGGCCATTGATTGATTCTCCCGGTTGCTTCATATGTGGAAGAAAAGTGCACTCGAGCTTGCTTTGCGGAAACGTCTCCTGGAATGCTGCAACGAATCCACTTCTCTGAGCCTGCGAAAAATCCATCACTAAGCCAGAAAAGTTCTTCTCCAAGAACGAAGTCAAAGGTACGGAAAAAGGCGAGGAAGTAAGCCTTGAAATGGCTGCTGGAGAGTCCATCCAACACTACCTGAAAGACGACGGCATACTTGTTCAGGTCTTAAAAAACCATGTTGGCCCTACAGAGGTAAAAGCCATCTGCGAAGCAGTCGTACGCAACATCGGTGAGCAGATTGACTGACAGATCCACGCGGGCTGCAATTGCAGGTGCACAAAAACTGATACACATCTGTCCCGGCATCATATCCACCGACTGGAGGAATCCGGGGAAGTCTTCTGTAAGACGCTTCGATGCGTCGTAGCTCGATTCAATCCCTGGGTTGCAGCCGAGTTTTCCGTTTTCCATGAGTGCAGTACGTCTCAGACTCTTAAGCTTGCCGAAATGGTGCAAGTCTTCATTGATATCTCGCACAGGAAGCACCAGATATTCGGGGCGGATCATCCAGGAAGGAGTCGGCTATTTTATGCAGCGTCATTTCCCGTTGTGCCTCCAAAGTGACTCGTTTTTCGCGATGGCGATCAGCGCGGTTGAAACGATGGAGTCTACCGTCAAGTGTCAGTATAAAGCGATGCAATTTAGAAAAACTACTCACTCATCGTGGACGCGAGAAAGTGCCCGCAAGTAATTTTGGAAGTCGGTGGCATTGCCGGTTTTACCGCTGTTCTCGGCGAGTTCCGTGTACACTGCTTCAATTCCAGCAGCTCTTCGATTTTTCAGCTCCGTTTGGAGCGCCCAATGGAAGATGCTTTTTCGTCTATAAATCAAGCACTGCGACCATTCTAGTCGTTGTTTCTTGGCCGATGTCTTCTTTGCGTTGACTTGCGCTTTTTGTTTGCACGTTCGTTTTTTAGATCCTGTGAAAGGAAGTGCCGAGAGGCTGATTTTCCGGCAAGTGGCGGGGAAGCTACAGAGAACAAAGAACAAAAATCTATTCTCGCGTTTGATTGAGATCGCATTCGCGAATAAGTTGAAGGAGTTGTTCCCGTCGTTGTTGTTGTTCGGCAACCTTTGAAGTTCCTGATGCTTTGTCGGTCTATGGTTCGGACAGGCAAAAGATCGCGCGGATTTGTGACACTTTTTCGTCCTCCAAAACCCGTCTTTCGAAAAGAGTTCGGCGTCCTCGGAAGAAAACGCCAAGGTCCAAACGTACCGTGAGTGTGGTGAGCTTTGTGGGTAAGTTTGCCACCGTAACCAATCAACTTGAAGTTCACCTTCACATCGCACGAAGATGTGAATCACAACCGTTTTACAAAAGATGTACTGTCTTGACACGGCATCTCAATGCGCGCAATCGACGAAACCGGCAAGGCACAACTACGTGATGCTGTCACCACCCTGGATACGGTCTAGTTCTTTTGCAGCCACTCCGAGCCCATGTCGGTGTCATACTCCATTTCTGTGAATTCAAAAGCGCCAAAGGTAATTTGCTGGATTTTGTCTCCATCGGTCCACTTGTCAAAAAGTTCATGAAGGAAGAAAGAAAAAAGGTGATACTGTAGTTTGATTACTCAATGGACGCGACTGCTGCTCCTTTTTTTGTAGTCGGTATTTTAAAGTTAGGAAATCACCACAAAAACACTCACCCCGCGCCAAAGGGCACACCTCACACGTTTGAATTTTTTTTGGGGGAGGAGTTTCTGGCGTTGCTCTTTTCTGCTGCGTTAAACAAACAGCACCATGACGCTGTCGAATATACCTCCACCTCTTTTAAGGTAAAACTCATTGATATTTCTCATTACTCAAACACTATACAGTCCATGGCCTTTGTAACCTGATCTGTTTGTTTTTGTTCTTTTGTCTGGGTTTTGAATTCATTCCAGAGCCAGCCCACCCACCACCGTTTCCTCAGTCGCCACTATTCCATCGCCTTACCATCACCTTCCACCACCCAATATTGCAGCCAAACCCGTTCCCTCGTCTTCCAATTATGGTCTACCACCGCCCAATGTCACTAACGACATGCTTTATTCCAACGCAGCCGTGTTACCTTATCCCGCCCCACCCATGCACCACCACCATCACCGGCCACCTCCGATTATGCCAACCTTACCACCTCCCATTGTTACCACAGCACTCACACCGTCTCCCGCACCCATTGACTTGACATCCTCGCCGACTTCGGCATCCTCCGTCGCAGGGTATCGCCCGCTCAACGTTCGAGACGCATTGAGCTATCTGGACCAAGTCAAAATACGGTTCGCTGATCAACCCGATGTGTATAATCAATTTCTGGATATCATGAAAGATTTCAAGAGCCAAGCGCAAGTATCTCGTATACATGTTTTAATGGAAATGAACTCTGTTTCTTATATGTGTTCATTCCATGTAGTATTGATACCCCTGGCGTGATTGAGCGTGTGTCGATCCTGTTCAAAGGCCATCCGGTGTTAATATCGGGGTTCAATACCTTTCTACCTCCGGGTTACCGAATTGAATGCTCCACCGATCCACGACACCCTGATTTGATTCACGTCACCACACCTTCAGGCACCACTACCACCGGCCCTAGTACACATTTCAAGGTGGAACCGGCCCCTTCATCCCAACCTCTCGTCCAACCCTCATCCTACTACCAGTCACCATACGGACAAAGACCGGCTTTAACTCCCGTCGCAGGCTTTCAAGCGACTCCTCCTCCTCCAGCAGCACTCGTACCGGCAACCACAGCAACATCCTCGACAACTATGTCGTTACATGAATTGCAACAAAACGTGTCAACTCCAGCAACTGAACACGGGTATTGGCCAACTTATACAAAGCCATCCTCGCAATCTATGCTGCCTCGAGAAACAGATTCCGCCACGAAGTCTTTGGCAGTAACTCAGAAACGTCCTCCCGTGGAGTTCAATCATGCCATCAACTATGTCAATAAGATCAAGGTAATTGATGATGCCTATTTACATTGGGTGTCGGATCCGTTTTTACTTAATTCATTGTCATGGGGATATTTCATGGTATAGAGTCGTTTTGCGAATGATCTAGACACCTACAAGCAATTTCTGGAAATTCTGCAGACATATCAAAAAGACCAAAAACCCATTACTGAAGTAAGTAGCGATGACTCTCGTGAGGAAGAACTAAAGAAAAAAGACGGATAAAAGGGTTTTGTTGACACCCTCTGCTTAGGTTTATAAGCATGTCCATTATTTGTTTCGGAATTCACCCGATTTATTGGACGAATTCAAGCAGTTCTTACCCGAAATCACCGGGCAGACAACGAATGATGCAAACTCGGACAAGCGCCGTTGGTCTACCAAACGGGCAAGTGAAGATGATGGACATCACGAACCTTACAGTTCCACCTATTCGAAACGAAAAAAAATCCATGTAAGAGGCATTTTGTACGGCCACTTTTCTGTTCTAGAGACTCACACACTCGTTACAGGGGAACAATGGCAAATATCAAAAGAGTGACGCCGAGGAACCATACGCTTATCCTGCATTATCCACGATGGACCCTGTGATGCCGTCCATTACCATGGAAGAAATCGAGCTATTTGACAAGATTCGAAAACATATCGGCAACAAGCCTTCCTACGAAGAGTTTTTGAAAACTCTGAATTTGTATACCCAGCAAATCATCGATATGGATGGATTGATGAATCAGCTGAAAGCGTTCCTCGGCAGCAATAAGGAACTCTTTGATTGGTTCAAGTCCATTATCGCCTATGAACCCAATCATCAGATCATCGATCACGGATTCAACGATGTTCCCAAACCAGATTTGAACGAATGCCAAGCCATCGAAAGTAGCGCCAGCTACCGCATTCTACCCAAAGAAGTAAGTATTATTAAAACGGGATCCCTTGAAGGAATGCTGTGGAGAACTGACAATGGGTGCTTTCAGTGGCAAAACCAGCCTTGTTCTGGACGCGATCAGATGTGCTGGGAAGTATTGAACGACGTTTATGCATCACACCCCATCTGGGAACGCGAAGATGCCGGCTTTGTCGCTTCAAAAAAGAATCAATATGAAGAAAGTCTGCACAAATGCGAAGAAGACAGGTATGTTGAACCACCTCCTGCCTTGCCGAGATTTTCTATCATTGATACAACTTTTTTTTTTTTTTTTGTAATGATCATTGTGAAAACAGATATGACTATGATCTCAACATTGAAGCCAATTTAACTACCATTGCTTTATTGGAGCCTATTGCCGAGAGGATCGATAAAATGACATTAGAAGAGAAAACTGTGTTCCGACTGGAACCAGGGCTGGGCGGGGAAACAGTTTCGATCTACAGACGGGTCATCAAAAAAGTGTATGGCAAAGAACGCGGCGAGGAAATAATCGGTCTGCTCTATAAGAAACCCGTCCAAGTCGTTCCTGTTCTCTTGAGACGGCTGAAATCCAAACATGCAGAATGGAAGAAAGCGCAAGTAAGTTGTTCCCCTATCCGTAACTGGCTGCAATTCAATCACAGACTCATGCCAAATATCTTCAGAACGAGTGGTCCAAAGTGTGGCGCGAACTGGATAGCAAAAATTATTATAAATCACTGGATTACCAAGGACTCACGTTCAAGAGTAACGATCGCCGCACGATTGCTACCAAAGCGTTGGTTGCCGAGATTGAAGCGCTGTCGCAGAAAGAGAAAGAACGCAGACTCATGCCTTCACGGGTGAATGTGAATCCCCACTTTCGATTCACACTCAGTGATACAACCGTAATCAAGGATATCGCCAAGCTGCTTACATCATTTATACAGCAACAACGATCATTCTCTACGCGCAGGGAACGCGCACAGGCATGTGAACTGATTCGAGTCATGATCCCTCTTTTCTACCGCCTCGATGATTTCAGCACGGACGATCTCAGGCACACGGTAGAAGAGGTCGAAGAAGAGGGAGACAGGAACGAGGAAGTCAACGATGAAGAAGGCGAAGAGGAAGACGATGAAAACACATCAGCGCACACCGATGATTCGGATACAGATGGCCGATCGGGTCGACGCAACCCTGACGACGTTAAAGAATCCGGACTGTTACGCGATGTGCTTTTGCGGAAAAAGGAACTCGCGGCTTCAGGGAATAGAGAAAATAGTCCGTCCGAATCGCGAGACAAGTCTCCCTCATCCTCTGAGGAACCGCCCAATCCAGAGGTCGAGTCCAGTGCTACTGCCGCGGATATCTCGGGTGTCAAACGATCCTCCTCAGAAGCCACGTCAGCCTCTCGTGATGGCCGTGAGGGCAAGGAAAATATGGTGGACATTGTTTCCTCCATGTTGACCGGAGCATTACGAAAACATATGACGCAGGATTTTTTCTGCAACACCAACTTTTATTGCTTCTTCCGATTGTACCAGGTAATATTAATCTTATGGACAAGCGAATCAATGCAAGTGATTCTTAGAGATTCCTCTTTTTTTTCATTTCCAGATCGTATACGAACGTTTGCTAAAGATGAAGAGTATTGATGCTGACATCAGAACCAATGCTAGCAAAGGCAAAACGGTGAGCAAAGTAGCTCGTGAATTGGGAATCCAGTGCACCCGCTTTAACGGTAAGTGATTTAGTCCGTTCCTGCCATGCCAGTTCGGTCACTGACTATGCTACTTTATCACAGATATCGATTTATCTGCCGGTCACTATGCAGCACTTCTTACATTGATTGGCCGTTATTTTGAAGAAGATGGGCTGGACCAACAAGGCTTTGAAGACGGAGCTCGTTATATTTTTGGCATCCAGGCGTACATTCTGTTTAGTATTGACAAGATTTTTCAAGCCATGATCAAGCAGGTAGATTGAATATCAGACAGACTTTGGCGTGTCTACAGTGTCCCTTTTCAATCAGATCGAGGGAGGTTTAAACATTTACTAACTCATGTGTAATTGTTAGATTGAAGTGATACTGAATGATACCAAGTCGGTGGATCTCATGAAACTATTCCGTCGTCATTGTGAGCTCGAAAGCCCGACCCCACGTCAATTATCCGTATATCGCCTACGGGCCGAAGAAGCGATTGGCTCCAATGAGCATACATACCGAATCCAGCTAGTGAGTAATCTTGACAATTTTTTTTCGGCTTTCTGGGCGATTGGATTTAACGCCACTTGTAATAGAATATCAACACAAAGACGATGGGAATTCAACTGCTAAGTGAAGAGGATGTGGACGATGATGCGGACCCCGAAGATGATTATGAAAGCTACGTGACGAGTTATATGAATTGGTCCCAAGTCACTGAAGGCATTGACACCACGCAATTAACACCCGTCTATCTCAACAGGTAATATCTCGGATGCAGTTTGCAGGAATTTAAGCCGTTTCGGCCTTCACGGCTTTTAGAATTTGAATTCTAATTTTTTTGTCATGCTTTTTCATAGAAACTTGAAATCGAAATCTTCCTTGTCGGGACCCGTTTACGTTCATTCAAAGCTGCAATACAAGATATGTCAAAATTCATACCATATGTTTTACATCATTGGTTCCGAAGATGGATTTATGCGCAAAAAGGACACATCATTGAAGACTGCGATGGATATTGATCAGCTGTTGCCGAGTGATCAAGCGCCGAGTGATGAAGCATCGAGCGATCAAACATCATTAAAATTTACCCAGTGGGTCAACAAGGCAAACGCAAGCAACACTGAACGTCAAAAATTGGAAGAGGACGCTCGACAGTGGCTCCAAGGCGCTTCAACAGTGGAGGAGTGATCTACCATAGTCCCAGCTGGGGAACCATGACTTCCCCATTGTTATGTATATATTATTGCAGACACTAGTCCAGGCATGTCACCAAGCTCCTTTCTAGGTGGACTTTGTATTATTTCTTTCCTTCTTCTTTTTTTTATAAAGTTACAGTTGGTATTTTTATAATTGCCATGAGCATTTTTGGTCATGAAAATTCTACTCGGGCTTTCCTTGCTTAAAGTTTTTCACCGCTTCATTATAAAGCGCATCGTCCAACAACACAGCTGCCGCGGTTTGCGAGAGACAGCGGGCAGCACAAAGGGTATCCTTATGAGCAATCTCGGTTCCAGCCGCCTGAGCAAACTCTACCGTGTGGTTGGTGGCATCGGTGTGAATACCGAACCTAAGAATAAATGAGAAATGATGTGAGTGAACCTGTTTCATCTCCATTAACGGCTTTGGATTTGTTTTACTCACATAGGATGAATGGTGGGAGTGACATAGCTAAAGTTGCCCATATCGGTGCTTCCGCTGACTTGTCTCATTTCCTCATTACGGTCGGGGAACTGACGGCCTTCTTCCTCCATAAACTGCTGGTAGATAGCAGCCATCGGCTCGTTCTGGAAAACATCTATCGTACCCTCGAACATCAGCCTCGGTTGATCATTTCTTTCTAATCGAATTCAATCCTTTTACCTTCGACGGGACCATTGGGGGCCCATGCGAGTTTCACTTCGCAGCCAGTACCACGAGCCGCCGCCTGGAAGCATTTCTCCACCTTGACTTTAAGCTCAGCAAGCTGCTTGCGAGTGGCGGATCGCACATAGAACGCTCCAGAAGCATAATCGGGAATCACATTAGCCTGATAAAGTAGCATACAGCCCACTTAGAATCAATGCTTTCCTTGAATCCTCTTTTCCGGTAATTTTACTTACGGATTTGCCACCATCTTTGATGATACCGTGGATTCTATAGAAACGAGTTTAACGGGAGAACTATACATAGTATACCAAGGAAAACCCAAACGTGGCTTACCTGCTGCTTGGCAAGATCTGCTGACGCAACATGGCAATGTTATCATAAGCTTGCATCAAGGCATCCAGAGCATTGACGCCATTCCAGGGAGCCATGCCTGCGTGCGAAGCCTTGCCAAAGAATTCCACCTTGAGAGAATCGAGAGCCAAGAAAGGAGCAAACATGCCGTCTTTGGCAAAAGGATGCTATGAGTAACAATCAGTACAGGTCAATATGTTTAAAATGAGATCCAAACCAACATCGCCGTATCATGCATCCTATGGCCATGAAATTCAAATAAAGGACACTTACGAGCATCATGGAGAAATCCACACGCTTTTGCACCTCTTGCTCGCGGACAAAAGTGATTTTGCCACTGGTGGATTCTTCGGCGGGAGTACCGAACAAGACAACGGTACCTTTGACAAGATTCTGTTCCAAAAGGTCCTTGACAGCCAATGCGCAGGCCAATCCGGAAATGGCAATCAGGTTATGTCCGCAACCGTGGCCCACACTAATTAATCACAAAAGAAAAATGATTTAGAGACGCATAAATCCGAATTTTTTTTTTTTTTTTTGCGTTGGACTAGCGCTGGGATTTGCAGGCGCCTGGACGGTTCTCTCAAGAGGCCATTCAGGATACTTTACCCTGGGAGAGCGTCATATTCACTGCAAAAGCCAACGCGACGTCCTTCGGTGCCATTGGAGTATTCGGCAATAAATGCGGTTTCCATGCCAGCGGCATGGTGGGTGATGTGGAAGCCTTTCTGTTGGAGAAATTCTGTCAAGATGCGGTAGGCATTGAACTCGTGTTCGCCGAGCTCCGGATGGTCGTGGATCTAATAGAAGCAAATATAAGATAAGCGGAGTCCGAGACAGCCTTGCGCTGGGTGAAAGCAAGCACCGTGGACAGTACCTGGAGACTGATCTGTCGAAGTTCCTCACTGTGGCTATTGATAGTGTGAGCAATGGCGTTCTTGATTTCCGAGTTCATGTTGGATTGAAAAAGAAGGATTCAAAGGGAAAAAAAAAGAAAGAGAAAACCCAGAGTGGAGAGGAAAAAAAAGGCCCGCCAATAGCTGAGATAAAAAAGACGATGCAACTGGAGCTCAATTTTTCTTTTGCAAAGGTTGCAATCAAAAGTGATTGTGCGACGCCGCTGTCTTTGCTTTCGTCTCCGAGCCCCCGGCTCACAGTGACAACACCATGCATCTTCTCTCAACAAGGCAACCGTGGGCTCAAGGAACACGTTTTCCAATCCTCCGGTTCGGAGTTTACGTCGAATGACGGGACGACATTCATCATGGGTCAAGTCGTATGTTTACGGTTCATGCACGCAACATAAATAAGCTCCTTTGGCCTCTGATACAGGGCGCTTAATGTCTCAGCAAATTGATTCCTGAGAGTTCAATCCTTGACGATAGGTATCCAAGAGGGAGTAGGAGGGTCAATTTTTTTCACTTAATGTATCCGTGAGAAAAAGGACATGGCAGCTCAAAATCGAGACATCATATCTTTGAGCCGACAGGGAGGGTGATCACATCAATGCCATGCTTAGATTTACAGAATACACTCAAATCTCTTTGCCAATAGGCAGCATGCACGCAAATAAGATAAGCAGAATTCTTCATCATTCGGGTGTTCGCCTTTGGCTGTCTGTCCAATCATGCCTGGTGATATCCAAAAATGGTTAAATGTGTCCAGTTTTGGCATTTCCCAATTTGACGTGCACACCGACAACACCCACGAACAAACCTTCGTCGCATCGAAATTGCCCGTGAATTCGCCCCAATGATACTACAAACCTCCACGCATGATTCGTATCATTACATGAGGAAAGCGATGCGACAATTATCAATTTTTCAAGAACGCTACTACTTAAAACCTACGACAAACATCATAATCGACTGAATACAACCTGTTCTCAACAACTTCCTTTAGTTTTATCGAGATTAATGTGCGATAATCGGTTGTGCTTATTGGAATGATATATGCTATAGTTATCAATAAACCTTGTCGCCTTGAACAATGGCACCTTATGAGGTAAAATAGAACGTCAACCGCCCGCAATGAGAACTAATAATATGTCCACGAACCGGGAAATCAAAAACTGTGTCCAACTTGGTCTTCTCGAGAAATGCGGGATCTTTCTAGTGACATGGTATCAAAACTGTGTGGAACTGAGACTTGAGTGCCATTGTCTGCATATCGCTTTGTCGCCATATTCACGAATGTCACAACCAACAACGTGGCGACCATTCTTCCTTGAAGACAAAGGCCCTCAAACCTCTGGTATAAGAAGAAAAGTGTTGTCCATGTTGAAAGCTAATGAATACATTGACAGGTTCAATTCCACAGGAAAGTCACAATCGATGCTTTTGCAAAACCATACATCACAGTACGCAGTCGCTGCAATGCTTACGAGATATTATATTCCAAACATGCTTTTCAAATTGATGCAACATAACAATTGCAAAGAAAAGCCATGACATTAATATGCAAGTAATACACGGCTCTTTTTCTTTTCTGCTTCAGATTGAATGATATTCGAATTACAGACAATCGAAATCAAACCACCAACCCTTAAACATTCACTCTGCGGATAATGCATCATCATTCCCAACTCCCAGTTTTTTTACACGCAAAAATACGTCACACATGAAAGGATCCACTTTTAAAGATAAGCGAATGCGTTAAGAGTCGTCGATCCATGGCGGCGGCCTCTTATTTTTTTGTTTGTTTGGTTTCTCGGTTTATTGTATGTGTGTGTGTATGGTTATACGTCTAAAATCTGCCTTCGTAGAACTTTTCGAGGAAAGTGGTAGGTTTGGGTGCTGCTTCATCCTTGGAAAAGTAGTTCATGATGTGGTTGGTTTGCTTCCATACATTCATGGTTTCTTGATATTCCATCTGGCCTTTAGCCAACAAAACATCCGTCACACCGATATCTTCCACGTAGCGGTTCTTTTCGAATTCTTCGCGAATCTTGGCACGAACAACAGCCGAAGGAAGATTCAGTTCGTGAATCTTGATAATTTCAGGAACCTACATTGACCAAAAAATAAAAAGGGAAAAGGGTCAATACGGACGCGCATTGAAATTCGTCGTTGTCCCATTGGAGGTTTAAAATTAAAAGTGGGCTACTGACCGATTTTTGCCATTTTCTGTATAAAGCCAACGATCGGCTTCGCGCTTCCGAAGCCGTTTTGGAGGCAGCAGTGGTCACCGCGAAATTGGAGACGCCAAAGATTGCAGCGGACATGGTGTATTAAAGCAGGTGAGGACAGTTCTTGCTGATACCACTCCCCCATTATTTTGATACAAAATTTCAGCGGACCCCAAACCTCCAAAGCAAAAGAATTGCGTCACGCTACCAAGAATATTAGCAGTCACAGGTCAAATTGCTCTCATCTAATTGGTTTGTATACGACCATGGAGGTGGACAATCATGTTGATACAAGCTCTTCACCAGAGTGCATTGAAGTATACATTGAGTTATTTTCCAGAAAGAAACACTGATGAAATAACAAAAAGTCTATGTGACATTTTTTTCATGCACATACTGTTTCAGGCTTTCCAAGCAATGGTCTTTCTCAGTGACTTGAGAGCCACTGACCCAGACAGAATAAAGTCCATTACTCGTCAAACATAAGCTGTTTACAGTACCAGTATCTTATGATCTGAATAAAAATTTTATATCAAAAAGCTTAACATTTTGAAAGAACGGATGATTTGCATTGAGCGATATCAACAATAAATCTAGTTGAAGCCGTCAGGCGATTAATCTGCAAGCAAAAGCAGGTCGTGAAAAAGCAATCATTGGTGAACCAGTATCTTATGTGTATAGAGCAAGAAACACCGTGACCTGACTTTATGCAGCCAGAATATTCCGTGCAGTGAGTGCTGTTCACACCCGGTTAGTGATCTTACTATGCATCATGACAATGTAGACTATAGCACCCGGACTCTGGAAGAGCTCACTAAACAAATTGGGCATTTAATCCAAATGAACATTTAAGCAAGATCAAGAATCAAAAAGCTATTGTATATGTATATGAGGGAAAAAAAAAGAATAAGATATGTATATATGTATACGTCGAACAAAGAAAAAAAAGGCAACAAGAAGATTATAAAAGAAAAATTGAATACCCGAGAAGAACGATCAACAAAGCATAGAAAAGAAAATGATGAATGAGAAAGAAATGGAAACAAAAAAAATGTCCAGATAAAGAGGGAAGACGCCATGATTCGTCAATTGTTCATTAGTTGGAAAGGGATTACTGCATTTGGCCGTTGTACGCATGGTACGCGTAGTACATGCCAAAGATAAGAAACAGGACAGCGCCAGCCAAGGTCACTAAATCAATTCTGAGTTTAGATTCTCATGAAGGATCGGCAAATCGCATAGGTCACCAAAGTAACTCTGCATTTCTTTACCTGTCCGGACAGAAATTTTGGCTGCCAGCATCCGTCCTCCGACAACAGCCAAGGCTGTACACATGGCGTGACCAATAACCACTCCAGCCGTTACCCAATAAACATTCTAAAGTGAAAAATTTATATTAGTTTCTCCTGAACCCATCTCTTGTTTGCCAGCATCCTGCGAAATAATAATAAAAAAAAAATCCCCTTACGTTGGCAGCCGCTAAAGCAATGGTGGATATTTGTGATCGATCACCCCATTCACCAAGGAATGTGAGAACAAAGGTTTGGACGAAAATGGGAGAAAACACCAGTTGCATAAGATTCATCAATCCTTCCTTGACTTGCTGCGGTTTGCTTTGATCTTGCTGAGCCGGTTCCATTCCACCTACTTCCATGGATTCCAAATGCTTGGTGCGATCGCGATCTTCCACTTCCTTCAATTCTTCCTCCACCTCCATCATCTCATCATTGCTTTCCTGGCCGTCCATGTGATAGCCTTCCCATATCATGCGAAGGCCGAAACAAAGAAATAGCATGGCCGCCAACAGATCCGTGTATGCTTTGGGTATCAGATTAGGCACAACGTGACCCAAAAATGCCGACAGTATCGACATGAGTGCCAAGGATGAGAATGCGGCAGCAAACACCACCAAGCGAGCATGTTTCATTGCCATGATGGCGGCAATCAGAAATGTCTTGTCACCAATCTCGGACACAATGATCATCAACAGTGAGATGACAAATGATCGTTCCACGACTTGTCCGTCGCCGTCGATGATCGTTTGTAGGCTCACATCACGCCACTGAAATCGTTCTTCTTTGGCCGCCAGACTCTCGTGAGGAACAAGGATAGGTGCGTCGTCCACCTACAATACCTGATTAAGTAACTCCTACTTTTTTTGGCCATTCACATCTCTGGTTTTGCATGCAACGTTTCCGTGACCAGTAGCCGTAAGTGTTGGAGAGCATTTACCTGTTCCACAACAATATCCTGTGCGTAAGCTGCGTGGCATAATACAAGGCATACAGCGAAGCATGCCAGCCAACGGTACTGATGATTCATCGCTTTTTTGCAAAAGGCGAAGAAAAAAAAAAAGGAAAAAGAATAAGGGAAGGAGAAAAAAATAAAGCGAGTCGGTGGTTGGAAAAAAATGGGAAAGAGACTGGACAGGAAAAACTGATCATTTTTCTTTTTATTCTGCCAAGCTAGGATTGCCTTTTTAAGAATGGACTCCAAACTGCCGATATCTCCCAGACCATCATATTCATTTAGGAGCTATTTAAACTACCCTCTTCGTCAAGAGACGAACCATTGAATCATCTATTTAGTACTGCATATGGATCAGCTCAAAAAATCAAATATAGTTTCCCAAATGTTGCAGACGGTCCGTTTCCACGTAATCCACATTACACGGATCATCGGATGTTGTCACAGTCCTCTGTTTTGTTTCATCGTTGCCACTTTCGGCGTACATTGGGCTGTAAGGCACGCTAGAAAACAATCGATCTATGGAAGGCACGACAGGCATCGTGTTGTTACTGCTGCTGTTACGGGGCACTTTTTGGGAGCTGTTGTTTCTGAGACTGCCTATAAGCGATCGCCATAACTTTGTGACCGACGACGATCAGTGCACGGCAACCCCCACGGCGACCTGGGACGACGGGCAAATATACAAGTACCGAAGAGCGCTTTTTACCAAAACCGAACCGTGCAGCAACATAAAAGCGTCGGCTGCTCGTTCATCAAATTTGGCTCTGAATGATGCAGGCACCAACATGCAGTACCCCTACTGGATCGGAAATTGACTTCCGGCATCCGACGGGGGTTCCACTCCGATGCAGTGATCGATTGCAAGAGGAAGCGATGGCGCTCATCAGTATTGAATCCAACACAATTTCAAATCGAAAAGGCTACATTACGCCATATTTGGTTGCGTTCCACTAATTGAGAAATTTCCCACGCTGAACGCATTCATGTTGATCTCAAAAGCATTGATCGTACGGAAATTCATCCATTTCGCTGGCTTCAAATTCGAGCCCCTTTTCATTACCCGAATCCCATGCGGGCGGTTATCTCCGTCCCATGCTCGGCCGGAATATCGTAGACAACATGATTCAGGTCAAAGATTTTTGTGATAAAACGCATTGTGAACTGCGCTTCATCGCTTGCCGTCGGATCCCCGTTGAAATCTAAATTGAAGAGCCGATCCATTGCGCCGTCATGGGACATGTTGGGTTGGTAAAGATGTAAAAGGGGTCAGTCAATTGAAATGTCGATGCATGTCGGCACTTTCGCAAGTGTCAAGGACAATTGGAAGCTGTCGCAATGGTATTGGTAACATATTGCGAATATACATCACCTGTAACGGTAGCACAAAGCAGGCCGTGTGGCGTTGGTCAGTCATCCATCCATTGCAAAGTTCGCATTTTCCTGAGAGGATCTCAATTCTATCTTGCCTTGAACTCAACTTACCGGGGGCATTGATTGTATGATCAGCATCTCCTTGGAGTCATAAAAAAAGATCACTGCGGTATATCCACTACTTGTCGAATTATCCATCCTAAACTTGTGTTGCCAAACAGGAAAGATCGGGATTCAGAGTATTGCCATTCTGAGTAAGCTTCTCCATTAGAACGGCAATTGAGCCTCTTCATTCACAACTCGGATGTCACCGAGATAAATTCATACAGATGGTAACAGCATGTGTATCCTTCCAAATACCCCCTATAGTAGGACTGCTCACTGATATTAATCAATTCCGACTCAAGACTAAAGTAAATAGGCAAATCACATTAATCGAATTAAACATATCCAATAGTCTCAAAGGCTTCTCATACATTACCATATTACAATCATGGTGTAATCTGATGAATGAAAAGCCCATCAAATCCGCCAATTACATAACCCGCAAAAATCACAAATTGTGATCCTCAATTTTGTGACAAAAATGCTAAAGCACTATCATACAAAAACTATGACATCTACACCAACCTCTTCATAGGCACACATACACCTTGCAGTAATCTATGTTTCGGCACACTTGTATTTGCTTGTCATTCTCTGGATCCTTTCATATACTTTCACCACATGTTTTTTTTTTGTTGAACATTCGTCGTCTTGCTTCCCGTTCATAAATATCCACTCAAAATAGCAATATGGCTTATTTTTATTATTTGAAGTTGACTTTTACAGTTAGCAGAATAGTCCACAACAAATGTTCGAAGAGTAATTTTATTTAGCTAGCTACGTCGCATCATTCATCGGCTCTCCAAACATCAGCTTTTAATTTGAGAATTAAGCTCATTGTCCGCTTGCCGTGAACGTTCTCAGCACACACAGAAATCACAACATCGTCGAACTATCTCCACATTCCGGGATGGCCGGCTTTTTCTACTTTGTTGCCAACCAAGCTCTCACCGTTGCAATTGTGGATGCGCTTTAAAATGAAATCGGCTTTTGCTATAAACATCGGCTCACAGAATTCCGCTCGTTAAACTGTAAACCGTATATGTGAATGAAAGTCGTATAATAAAAATAAAGCTTTATTTGCAATTGATGGTCAATTTACGAGACAAACTAAGTACAATAGACAACAACTACAATAAGCTAAATGCTAGAGCACCAAGTAAAAAGGGACTTGGAACCAGCGGCATTTCCAGGCAACCAGAGAGAAGGAACCGTGGCAAAGAGGAGAGACAGACAGCGGCGGAGGATGATGGATGACAAGCACTGATAGCCTTATTGTCACATCGGCTGCGGAGCATCCTCTTTACTGACTTGACCTTTCTCTGTTTTTACAGTAGGTCGGCTAATTTTTCTATTGCAGTGTCGGTACAGCAATGTCGGGCAGCGTGACGTAAGGTAAGTGAGGTAAGGTATGTGAAATGGGTGGGTTAAAAAAAAAAGACATGAAAACAAACTGCAGTATAAAAAAAAAGACCGCCAGGGGAAAAAAAGTTGGCCGACGAAGGAAGAGGAAAATGAAAAAAAATGGAAGTATGAGAGATGCGGGAAATGAGGTGAGGCGATGAGATGAGGTGAGGTGAGGCGAGGGTGAGGGAGGTTGATGGGTGGCGAGGTGGGTGGGGCTGACGTTGTTGTAGAGAGACGAATTTGAGCCGGTTGCTCAAAGGGTGAGTGATCTATCTTCTATTTTTTTTTTTCGCTTGTCATTTTGTTTGTCATCCATCATTCTCCGTCGCTGTCTGTCTCTTGTCTTTACCATGGTTCCCTTCTCTGGTTGCCTGGAAATGCCACTGGTTCAAGTCCCCTCGGATCGGTGCTCTAGCATAGTTTCTTGTAGATGTAGTCTACTGTACTTAGTTTGTCTCTTGTGTATGTAAATCAATCGCTTTCAGTATTGTGAGAACATATCTGAAATACATATGTGGAAGCCTGGTCGTTGTTTTTAATTTTTACGTTGTTCCTTTTTCTATCATATTTTGCAAAGCTGTAGTTGAGGTAAAAGTCTAATTTATTTGTATCATACTAAACGAAATCAACGATTATTGAACATCGCAGGGATCTCCTACAGATATGAACTTCATATTGGAAAATGAAAAAGGTCGAAGTTTTCACATCATCCGGGCGGCATTCGTGAAGCCCGGTTACAATTGGGTTTCTTTCATGCAGGACACTTGCGGCGGGAATATACAGCTCTCAATGTCATATCTATTATCTCGAGTATTAAGCAGGTGTATTTGCTTTAGATAGGGCTTTCATTGCGGGCACATCCTCTTTTTGCTGTCCCCTTGAGGGAATGCCTAAACGACCGCCCTTTGGACTGGTTGAATAAAAGGTAAACAAAATTAAAAAAGAAAATTGCCCTTCACCTAATAAGTGACTTTGCCTTTAACTCGAAGGATTTACATGATATTATTACTTACGCTGAGGAAGCAGAGCACGTAATGATAAGAAAATTTTTTGAGGACGACCATAGTGGTTCCTGATTCAACAATGCGCGTGGTGGTTTTTTAGAAGTCATTTCGGTGATACGATTGACTATGTTTCGCTTCACGTGTATTTCATTCAACAGCAATTTTTATCTGAACAGCATCAAGTCCCCGTATTGCTGCTCTACACTTTTCGACGGTTCTCATCTAGTAACTAAAAGCTTCTCAAATAAGAGTAAGCGGCTCGCATTTTGGTGTGATGAAGACTTGCAACCGATCGTATCACCACCTGGATATCAAAGTGACACCCCGATTACAAGCAGCGCAGAAAAAATAGAGCGCTCAGATCAGCCCTACATTCATGCGGAAAATATTAGGTATTAGGCAAGCTTCAAAAGCCTTGCTTTACTAAAGCCGCTTCACGCCATTAATCACTACAACTACTTTTATTAGATGCGTTTTAAGTCGATTAAGAAAATTATCCACTGCATTTCCTAAAAACCCGATTTAAATTCTGCGACTCAATTGAGAGCGACGGCTATTGAGCTGAGCATCTTTGGGGATCTGGGATCACGACATTGACTGCCATCAGAATTCGCTCATTATCGCCTGTAATGGCGCGTACATCATTTTGTATAGACAATACCTTCTGTACATCGCCGTTTCCTTTCCCCATAAATTCATCCCTCTACGAATCAGTCGCAATTAGGGATGCCTGATTCTATGGTTTCCAGTTACCCAACTGAGAAGTATAGTATGGACTATACAATAATAGGCATCTCAAATTCACGTAGTGTTCGCTTCCTTTTTTCCTTTGGGATGAATCACCAAAAAATTGCCACCCGTTCAGTATTATTTTGACATGCAACCCGTGAAACTTTAATTTGCGCAATCACATTTGCGGTGATCTCCCAAACTTGACAGTTTACCCTCTTTGCACCAATGGTTCCATTTACCTCAGTTACATTGGGTTTGCGACTTTCCGCCTCTTTTTTTTTTATTGAGATGGAAACGAGTTAGAAGGTGTGGTTTTATCAGCCACGCCATTTTGGTTACATCCACGGAGTTTGGTTTCAGATGATAAGAATGGTTAAAGCGAATTGGGAATATTCCTGGAAATCGATGACCTGAAAGTGTACGCGCCATCAAAGAGGCTCGCCCAATTTCAATAGGTAAAAGGTTGCCTGGGGATTTGAAGCCGTCTTGGTAACTATAGTTTGAGGTCTATTTGCTTCCGCTGCTTTGACGATAATATGTGTCCTGGACAAGGCGTAACGAAAAAAATGGGATCAAAAAGGAGCTCTTTCTTCGATGAGTTGAATGCACCCGTGATCCTGTGACGCCAACGATGGCTTTCTGAGCCAATGGGACCAAGCGGGGTTCAAATGAATTTTTCAAGTGAGGGTAAAAAAAACACGCCCCAATTTTTCTCTTTTCTTTACCAAAGTGGCACAGCTGTGGCGTGTCGTTGATGATTGATTACAGACTTGAATCCTTTTCTTTCCATAGTTCCGGAGCAGTTATTGATGTGTCTTCTCTTATCTCTATCATAGGTTCACTGGCTGTGGCAAACGACGAACGACGAACGACGAATGACGAACGGAGCGACCAAGGTACACACCAGGGAAGCCGCTGTGGTATGACAGAGAAGGTCCCTGTGATTTGACGGGGAGGCTCTGGGGCATCATTCGGTGGGCTCACTAGGAGATGAAATCTCCTCTTGAGATCATGGGGTGCATGCTGCGGAGCCCGACCTGCCGAACCACAGGGAAGTTTCTATGTGATGTCACGGAGGATCCCTGGTGTGAACCACTCTAGGTAAGTGGTTTGCAAACTTTTTTGGGTCTTTAGCGTTGACGGCGACATCCGGCTTTTTTCGATTGGTAAGCATTTTTTTTTCTTTTTCTTTTTCTTCCCCCATTCTCGTTCTGTCATCGCCTGTCACCAACGTCATTCGCCATTTGCTTGCTGCTTTGGCTTCCTTGATCTCCACACCGACGATCGATTCAAGTCTGTTTCACCCGCTGGCCGCGTCAAAGTAATTAGTCATAGGTCACTTTTTGTATCATCTCTTTTATATGTATATTCCATTACATCGATAAAAAAGTGTTTACCCTCTATTTAAGATAAGTAATTGGGTGGAGTGGTGGCATATAGATGAGAGGAAATGGTATAATGATACGTACAAAATACGACATATGCAACAAGTACAACCTCCAGAATCGAATATCGGTGTATCCTAGGAGCGGCGAATACTCAAGCCAATCACTTCGGTTGACAGAAAAACCACAATCCGATACGAAGCACAACTCCCAAGGATGGTCTTCAGCAAAATCAACAGAAGAGTGGAGTCCATACACGGTAGAATGCATTCTCAATTGCCGACATTTTGGAGCCTCAGGGCAGATGTAGCAGCTTCTGCGAGGGACTTAGTCAGCCAACGATGGCAGCCCACAGGCTTATACCTATTCCTACCTTAGAAGTTTTTACAGCCACGACTGGAGAAAATGGAAAACATTGTGTGAGACAAGATGCCCTCAACTAGACCCGCAAGAATACATTGTTTATAATGCGTTTGTGTTTCTCATGAAAAACCGCGGATATTTCACTGCAACACGTTGATGAAATCAGATCAGCGTTAGCTTCGGTGTTCAAAGCCATTCACCCGATTGCTGTATGATTAACAAAAAAATTGGGGAATGGCTACATCAAGAAATCAATAACCCCGGATACTGACAAACTGGTGCATAAGGATCATTGGAACAACAATGAGACACCAACTTTGACTTTTTAAGGTCTTTTAATGCAATCAGGAAGAGCAACAAGGGTAAAAGAAAGGGATTGAATTGATATATAAAAAAATATGTGCATGCAACGATGGATATAAAATGAAAAAATATTAGAGGGAAGGTGGGCATGATGACATTCACGAAACTAGTTGTTCCGCGAGGCTTTTCTTTTTTTCGAAATCTTCTAATTCCTCGACAAGATTCCGGCGTTCCTCCATGATCTGTTGGAGTTGGCTCTCCAACTCATCCAATCGAGCCTGGTTTTTTACACGATCTTCTTCCAGAAGATGCAAACCTTCTTCAAAGACTCTAATCAATCAGTCAATCAAACGTAATAAATATAAAAATTCGACAAAATATATGCATTGAGCTTTGTGCTTTGCGTACCTTTTCCAGCCTGTTGTGCTTGTTGGCTTGACTGCATAGACGACTCCGTCGATATCAAGCCCGTTGAATGGTATGTATTGTAGAAAACGGAGGCCGTGGTATTAGTGGAGAAGTGGAAGAAGGCAACACTACAGCACAGGTGAGAGACCACTCTTTTTATTGCTTTTAATCGCTACCAACCTCGCTGCGTCATTTTTGGCAACATGGATCAAATCCACTACGTCTATTCCGTTGAGCATATTCACCCTCCAACGTCTCAAGTACATTGTGCACGTAGTATGCGACAGTGTACTGTAACCCATCTGCTTGGGACGTCAGCAGCTTGTCGACTAGGCTGCAAAAATGGTAACGGATGGGTGTGTTGACCGCAAAACATGGATGCGATTTGACGTATGCCAGAGTCCCTTTCCCAGCTCCTTTCTGTCATTAGGCTTCTGATGACATGTTCGTTGCGGCGAGCTTCTGTATATCCAGGCACTAATGCCGCACCATACATCTTGAGCGTCGTTGGAGCAGGCCCAGCGATGATACTCCATACTGACACAGGGGCTTGATGTCGTTGCGTCTTTAGTTTTGGATGATGTCGTAACCTTTGTACTCGTCGCCGATGTCGTGGAGGCCGTTTCTCGACATCTGCCGGAATGAGCGCTGTTCCTGCCGTCCAAGGCCCACTTCCAAGGCCTCGAATTCGGAGATACTCTTCTGCCTCCTCTTCGTCCAGGTGGGCCATTGGGTTTCTACCTTGCCTCGGCGACCTGATGAATTACCGTGCCAGTCCTTGCACCCAAGAACCACCTTTCGTAAATAGCACTGCATGGTTCCATGGTTGGCGGACAATGAGTGAGCTGCCCAACCCGTCCACAGGCAATACGATATTCATGCCGCCCTCGAAGTCGCGACAGCTGTTGTTGATGCTCTTCTGAATGTGGCCTACCGAGAAAACGTTTTTAATTTGCCCATGCACCTTCATTCCTCTGGGCTCTTGCTTGCTAAACTTCCAGCTGCTCCATGTCATCCGGCTGGGGCCCTCTCTGACGACGTCTAATGCCAGCCAAACGTTCAGGCAGGCTCCTTCTTTCAGCATCAGCCAGCTCCGTTTTGCTCTTGGAGCAACTGCTTCAATCCATTACTGCGAATGATTCGTTCATATTCGGCCTGTATGTCCTTCAAGCAATCCATGAAATCGTCTTCTGGTGCTTGGAGGACCCAGACCGGCATTCAGAGTACGCCTAGCGAAGATTATCCAGGAATGAAGCACAACACAGCGTCAGGAAGATTTCCTTCGCCTTTCTGGCCTGGACAATGAGATCATACCTGAGAGATCCCGGATCTCTCATGCTTATTAAGAGGGCCAAATCAGTCTGTGAAGGCCCGTATTCCGCGATGGAAACCTCTCCAAGACAATCCCGAAAAGTTGTCCCAAAATTGGTAGTTGGGATGGCGGCATCCACGAGGGCCGAAAAACCCGGTCAAATGCTCGGGTGAGCAGACCTCTTCCTAGAATGCAGCCGCCGTCGCCGTGTCCGTCAACGCCTTCTGGCAGCCTTCACCCAAACTGAATGTGTTCAAGCTTGGATCGGCACGTTCGCGTTTGAGGGCCTTGATTGTTCCTACGTCCGCAACGTTTGGGTTGTCTTCCACGCCATCGGGTATCCATCATCTTTGCCATGGCCGGTCTACCAAACCATGAGTCTGCAATTACGCTGCGGCCAGCCAAAAACCAGGGCTCACGTAGACGCTTGACAGTGGCAATCAACTTCGGCACTCCAGGTGCATCATACTTTCTGGCAACTGGGTCACTAACGGTATCGAGTTGGATTATGCGGCGGGTATGACAGTCAGCTACGGTCTTAAAATTCTTGTCCGATTGGACGGGGTTTCCTAGGAACCTTCTTTAAGTTTGGCATTCCCCAATACCGAGCCACTGATTCATCGATTCATCTAGTGACGATATAGGAGCCATGTTCAAGGGCATTGGCTAAGTTTCGGTTGAAAGCTTGAGAATTATTCGAATTTGGTACAAAGTATCCACCGGTTTTCTAGGTTGGGATCATGAGTAAAGTTGTAACTATTCATTAAGCCCTCAAGTCGCTTTCCAACAGCCTCAACTCCTTTTACAAAATTTCATCATCATAGTCTATAGCTATCATTTAATTTGTCACGGCCTACGCACACTAATTCCACATCAAAAATAATAGCAATATTAAAAGAACAATAAGTGCATGGGTTATCTGTGAATAGCGTCACAGCATATATTGCTTGTTCATTTACTCAGACCTCGAGTCTGAACTGACAGAATCGGATTCGTCTACTGTAGCTACTACGGTATCTCTTACAGGTTTATCTTGATCCGAGATACTCGAGCGACAATCACGCGCAATATGACCCCGTTTTCCGCAACGATAACATGTCTTTGGTGGTCGAACCGGTCTTTCTCCTTCTTCCGTACCGGCGGATGGACACTCGCGCGCAATATGACCAAATCGACCGCAATTGTAGCACTTTACACTGTCCGCTTGACAGTCTCGAGCAAAGTGGTTATAACCTGCAATGCATTTGTTAACCCATCGTAGGGTGCGGCATATCAATTATCTTGATGCCCCTTGTCCCACTCATCCTCTACTTTATTTCCCCGATCCATTGATTCATCGAGTTCCGACTTACCACTACATTTGTAACAGATCACACGTCCATTAGAGGGGCCAAAGCCGCCACGGCCACGGCCACGATAGTTGCCTGAGAAGCCTGCTTGGAAACGTGGTTGTTGGAACCGGGGATTAAAATCGGCTTGGTTGCAGTTTCTGGCAAGATGGCCCTAACACCATAAAAATAAAGAAAAACAAATTCAGTTTGGTGGGAACGTGATCGAAAAAGGTGGGCCTCCATGGTCGGCTCATTGACTTACAAATCGACCGCAATTGTAACAACGAATTTTGGGGCGTCCATCCGGCGGTCCTCTCACGCTTGGACACTCGGCTTGAATATGCCCCACTATTCGAACGGCGTTTTATTAGCGTCGGTTTGATGCTCAGTTAATTACAGTCGGCCGATCTGCATTACCACCACCACATCCATAACACTGCTTCGTATCGACCGTTCTGGGCTGAGTACAGGTGCTCGATTCGTGTCCTGCCTCTTTGCAAATGTAGCATAATCGTTCGGGCTCAGGACACGCTTCCGCAATATGGCCCACTGTAGTCAAGGGTTGAATGGTGTGTTACTTGGTCAATTGCTTGTACTCGTCACTGATGGATATGAGAGCGCTTACCGTTGCCACATTTGAAACAACCTCTTCTAGCAAACACCATTGTCAACCTCCTATCTCTCTGTTTCTGTTGAACGTTGGAAGAAGCCAAAAAGAAGAAAGAGAAATTCCCAAATCGAGGAAAAAGAGAAAGAAATCTCTTTAATTTTTGGGTGGGCCTTCTGGTCGGGTGACTTTTTTTTTCCCGATTTGAGTTGTATCCACTCTTCAAAAGCTCATGGACGCTTCCGACGACGATGAGCCAATTGACTTTTCGCAACTTACAAAGTAAACCCTTTTCCATTCACTTGTCTCACTAGACTACGTTTAACTTAAAATTCTCTTCGTCGGACAGACGCGCTCCAAGACGTAGCACCAAACATGTCAACGTCGCTGACCAAGATCCGGGCACAAACGCCGTTGAGCAATCGCGTGCTGCCTTGATGGAAGTGATCAGTGAAACGAAACGCGTCAATCCTCGAACTACAAGCAGGGCGCAATTCGATCGTGACACTGGGTTAACTACCGTGATTCAAAGTAAAGGCACGCACCTGCATACCGTAGGACACACCTCCAAAGGTCAATTACGACTGTGGCCCGAAGAAGCGGCTTGGTTGATTAGCCGCCACGCTCTCATTGTGACCGACACCAATGATCAGGCCTGCTCGTTCGAAGACTATTGTCAGCTTATGTTCAGCACCGTAGACGGCTGGCTGAGCTATGAAAAATACCAAGTAAATTGTACCCAAGCAAGCGTTTTCTATCCACTGCCACTGGGTTACTGACATTGCCCAAGGTATATGCCTATTTGAAACGATTAGGTTACATTGTTCAGAGGACACGCGCCTACGAGGAGTCCTTTGTTCAACAAGAGCTTCCTATCCCATGGCATCGTCGGATATGTCATTTGGTCCATCGCTTGTATGCATGGTTCTCTCGTTGTCTTATCTGCTGTTGGCCTTTTCCGACCATGCCATTGGTGGTAGACAAGCAATGCACCAATTATCGTAAGTCTCTTTAACCGGTGATTTTGTATGTGTCGCTCACGCATTACATGCATCTAGGGCAAGTTTACTCGACACTACGCGTTATCCCATCGACTCCGTGGTATAAACCATTTGCGCCTGTCAACCAGTATCAAATCGCTTGGGACGTCTACAGGCCCAATCCGCAATGGAAGAAGCGTGATCCAGGAATTCCGGATTTTCGCGTCGTCGTCGGCAGGTACGCGGTCACCCTTTTTTGATGCGCGTGACATTTTTACTAACTAAATTTACAGTTTATATGATCCTGTTCCTTCCTTGGAAACATACCAGCAATTGATGCACCACCTTACGCAACTGCCTATGCCAAAATCGTCGTTCCGCATCGCCAACACTCAATCATCGGAACACGCCCCTTCGTTTTTAATGGCTCTTGTAGGTGATACAGAGGGAATCACCTTTCTACGCTTCACAGGCGACGGTGTAGCCGACATTGCTGCCGACATCTAATCTATAGGGTGCCGTGACTTTTATTCGATCTATTGTATTATAATTCGATTGACTCTATTTATTGACCCTTTTCTTTTCGCATTTCTTGGACCTCGGATATTAAAAACGCCACTTGTTCTGCAGCTTCTTGCAAACGAACATCTTGCTCCGTTCCGCCCCCGAAATGGCCACGGTCAAGATCCATTTTGAGCAGCACCTTGTTCGATTTTTCACCAAACACTTGACGCAACCTTGCTACAAATTTGAGCGGTTGCCAATACTGAACCCGTTGATCTTTCATTCCTCCCGTCACCAGCAGTGAAGGAAGACTGGACATCGTGCTGTTGCTGTTGATATTTTCGTATGGGGAATACTTTTCAATCAGTTCGTACGCCTTTTTGTCTGCGGAAGGATTACCCCATTCGGGGTATTCGACTTGTGTCAGAGGCAATTCAGGGTTCAGCATGGCTGACAATGGATCGACAAACGGCACACGAAGCACCAGCGCTTTGAATAATTCTAATAAATAAAAAGGGGACAGCTAGGGTAAGCGATGAGCCGATAGACGTAGGGCATTTGTACATACCTGGTTTCATGTGGGTCATGGCTCCTGCAAACAAAGAAGAAGAATTGTATTTAGCAGACTCTTGTGGGTGGTGGTCTTTTTCTTTACACGCTACTTACCAACTAGTAGGCCCCCGGCGCTTGTTCCCAAGCCGGCCATATACTGCGGAGCAGTCAACTTGTTCTGAATCAAATGTTCGGCCACGGATGAAAAATCGCGGAAACTATTCATTTTGTTCTGAAGCTTTCCTTCCTCGTACCAATCGCGTCCCAATTCGCTTCCACCTCTGCGTGACAAAAAGACGGTTAAAGTCTGAACTCATCCCGCGGATGACCTGCGATGACAAACTTACCTCACGTGTGCCAGAGCAATGACCCATCCGCGCTCTAATAAAGGAAAATGCTCGATACGGAAATCAGGATCGGTGGCCACACCGTAAGCACCATAGGATCGCATCAACACGGGATTGCTGATCAGCAATTGGTATTAGCGTACGTGAAAATTAATAAAAAAAAAGGTGGACATTACCGGCTATTTAGTTGAATGTTCTTTTGATGGATCAAAGTGACCGGAATTTCCTTTCCATCATGCGATTTAGCATGAACTTGAGTACAGGTATATTTGTTACGATCAAATCCTATTTTTCGAAACCTTGAATAAGCTGAAGCGTCACGCAAACATGAAAAGAATTTTTTGTACCTCGGACCGTTTGAACGCGAATCGGTTTCAATTGACGTTTTCTCATGTCGTATTCGTAAGTTGACTCGTGATGAAACGGCGAAGTGAATGAAAATCGAAAGGTATCCGTATTGAAATCCTGCCACACAGTATCATGAGGATCAATGATCCGTCTTGTACGTCTATTTTCTGAAATCTACCTGATTGGTCCCTGGACAAAGAACGCAAAACTTTTCCGTGAGGGGGACCGAGTGGGTTTCTTGGGTGTGAACGTCGTAGCATAAAATCATGGGCAACCCATCGCGCCGCCCGTAAATCACGATATTGTTCTACAGGTTGACATCGATTTATGACTGCGTCTTCCTCTGTATAACAAACTAAACCTTTACTTGAAATAAGTCCACGTCTTCAATTTTCTCGGTAGGCTTCATCTGGATCACATCTTCCCAGTGACTCATGGCCATGTTGGTATCATGCGTACGCACAAGCTTGAAATTGGTAGCTCCGTGCACGTTGGTTAATATATAAAAATTGGACTGTTACAGAGAGTGTGAGGCTCCGATGAATTTGCAATTCGTTGCTTTTCGCTTACTTGATGATGATCAACATAATATTCGACACCTTCGCGTCTTGGTTCGATTAATTGAATTTTGGGCAGGGTAGCCGTCGTATAATCATGCGATGCGTCAATCACCCGAACTTCCGAAGAGGATAGCGTATTACTGTTAATGGTAACATATTTCTAAAAATCCAACAACGCCAGTCAGCGTGCCTCTGAGTGATGGATGCATGCTAAACCTACCATGTCCTTGGTGCTCGTAATATCAACAAATGCTGTATCATCCATTTCTTCGTAGACGAGTATATCATCCTCTTGTGATGTCCCAATTCGATGAGCATAAACCTAGACGAGACTCATTAAACCAAGCTACTCTATCGAATTAGCTGCTGCCGCAATATTACCCTGTAAGGCCGTAATTGGGCATTGGGAACCGTATAATAAATAGTGTCATTGTTCGCCCAGACAAAGTTGAAAACGTCTGTCAAGATCTCGTTCTGTCATCCATACCAAAAAAAAATTAGCAAATGGCGTGCGCCTCATAAAAATGCATCCAGTTACCGTCCACTGATCCCGGTGGTTGAGATCCTTCAGATGCAATTCACCATATTCCATGCCTTCTCGTTCGGTATTGTAAGCAAAAATGGCGTGATCTGGAGAAAGCAGGACCTTGCGAATCGAGATATTCATGGCTCGAAGAAATCCAGAATCGAGGAGCACTTCCTGTAAACACAATAGTCAGTGCATCGTTGGACACGAAGAAAAGTCGATGCTTCCATTACTTCAGCAGCGTCACGTCCTTGGGCCAACGATTTTCGCAAATAAACCATCCCGTGTGAAGATGTCGACGAATAATATTCATATCCATGGGCAACCGTCTTGAGAGGTGGAAGCACTTTGTTCGTGCGAAGACACTGCTTCATTTCCTGTGTTTATTCTTCATTAGCTGCTTTTATGAATACTCGCCCTGGAATTCCTTACTTACGCGTAGAATGATCCGTTGCAAGAAACGATGTTTCTTTAGAGCTTGCCGGGAATACCTAAAATATAGATCATCCACAACGTCAGCTGTCGTACTATTTGTGGAATTTTTTCGAGATTTGCCGTCTTACTCATTTTCGGCATGGATATAAGCTCCCAATTGCTAGAATAAATGGATCCAAAATTAAGAAACCTCCTTTGTGCTGCCAATGTGTTATCGAAGAGAATAAAAAAAAAAAGGCAACTTACAGGATGGTTCAACTGCTCCATCCAGGCAAACTTGTCTACGCGCTTTTTGCCGTGGTGAATCGTTTCACTCGCTATGGCTGTGGGAATGGGTGGTTTAAGATCACTAATGTTCATGGTCAAATGGTGTCCCTTTGTAAGTTTCTTTTTTTTCCCTCTTTCTTTGATGGGTTCTTTATTCTACTTACCGGCACAGCGCCTGACGTATGGCCGAGAAGAAAGAAGCATACTGGATAGTGTGAAGCCTAACCATGATCATTTAACCATGAGTTCATCCCAACCATTCCAAACAGTAAACAAACAATAATGCTAGATCCGTTGGCTTTACCGCAAGTGTTTCCCGCTGTATCGGGTGTGATGCTTGGCGATCTGACCGACAATGAGGAGCATGAGGATGACGCTTCTCTTTCTGTGTGCTTTTTTCTTGCTTTTTCGACCTTGGCAAGGAGAACTAGGTCACATATCAAGTCACGACAGCTGGAGGGAATGAAAGCAATTTCCATTGATTATCCAATAATGTGGGCTCATTTTATACATCAGCATGATCATTATTGAAGTTCTTTTTCGTTTTTTCTTGCAAGGCGCAGAAAGATGATGAGCTACATTGATGTTGATGTATTGACGTGATGATCTATTTTAGGGTAGAAGACGGGAGATGACAGAATGATGTGAGGTTTTCTAAATATTCTATTTTTTGTATTTCTTCAAAAAGTCGTCTTTAAAGGGAGAGTTTTTGGGCAAAATGATGAAGCTTGGAACACCATTGGTGACGACGTATTGATCCAAGGAAAGGATCTTACCGAGAGGATGCTTCTTACCAATCTTGATCAAACTGGGACGCAGTCCTTGATTGTTTTCGAAATACACTTCGACATTGTCGGGTGTGTACTGGTGGTTCGCATCCCAGGGGGCGGGCTGTTCAAACATGACTTCCAAATGGTCCATAAAAGTGTTGGTTTCGTTGAATTGCTGGATGTAGTCGCTTTCTTTGTATTCCGGATACAAAAAGAAAACGGGCCATGACAAGGTTTGGGTTTCAGGATCCAGTACAATGCTGGCTTTCTCTCGTACTTCCTTGTCCGTCACTTCAATCTTGATCTTGCGATCTTTCAATGCTTTCTCCAGGTTTTCCTTAGCTTCACGATCCGCCTTCTCCTTCTCCTCCTTTCTTCGTTGTCGCGCTTCCAAAGCCTCTTGTCGCTGGATGCATTTCTCTTTCATCGCTTTGAGTGCTGTGTTGTCCGGATCCACCGCCAATCCGTGCTCGCAGCAATCGTGAGCTTCCTGCGCGCGATCCAATGCAAGCAGTGCGCGCGCGGATCGATACAATGCTTTCACATGACGTGGATTCATTTCCAAGCATTTGGCGCAATCGCGCAACACCCGACCGTAGTTGCCCAATTCCAAATTCACTGCCGCTCGATTGGCTAAACATGCTTCGGTGATCTTTTTATCCGCACAATCCGTGTCAATGGCGCGGGTGTAAAAGGTAATCGCATCCTGATACTTGTATTTGCCTGCCTTGAAGCAGTCATTGCCTTGATTTTTAAAGTTTTCCGCAATTTCTATTTGACCATGAGAGATTTAGTCTCAACGCGGTGATGTCGGCTTTGGAATGGATTGACTTTTATACCTTCGGGTGTGCCGTCGTACACCAAGGATTGCAAAGCACTCAGAGTGTCGTTTTCCTCCTCGGGAAGATGGTTCATGAACAAGGGAACTTTTTCAAATTCCTTGTCCAGATTGTTGGGATCCATGTAAAACTCCGAGCGCAAAGGCTCTGGACCTGCGGAATCGGCCATGTTGGTAAAAGCGTTTATTGAAGAACAGCAAAAACAAAAAGCTTAAAAAGTGATGCAGCCCAGCATACAATGCCAGCATTAGGCGAACGGACTTTGCCGCAAAGCCACCGGATAATCCGTTCCCGAATGCGGGGTTTTAAAACTACTGTAGATAGCTTTGAGAATGACGTTTGGAACGAAAAGTGCTCCAATATTCGATTCATTTCAAGTTACATGTATAGACCCGCATTTCGTCAGTTGGGGCAAACGGCTGTACGAAGGAATCACCGGGTGCTTAGCAAATTATACGAACCCGCAGTCCGATGGCAAGCCCTGGAGTATTCTTCACTGCGTAACGGCCGTCAGCTCGGTAAAGCATTTCCCTATATTACTGGTCGTCCTTGATAGCTGTGCTTATTCTGCTTCTTTTTGTTTCTTCTAGGTCCCCGAGGTCGCATATTGAACCATGTCGAACGAAGCCGCATTCCACCTCGTCCTACACAACTATCGGAAGCGACGCCTGCAGCGTCTTCGGCAGCGTCTTCAATCCCGACCGAAACTCCAAGCAATGTGATCATCAAAGACGATGACCGATTGTCGGCTGATCCCGCCCATACACTTGTAGAAATTCCGCAACGAGAAGGCCAAATCATCACACCGGATTACCATGGAGCCCCAGTCTTGTCTCAATCCGCACTAGTGGTGGGAAGAGAATTCGAAATGATGAATATCTTTTTGGTAAGCTGCGGCAATGTTGTGTTTTCTTTTCTTTGATCATATGGGCTGATAGGCTTTTTTCCAACCGTTTTACGTGTAGGGCTATGAACAAGCCAACAAGTACAAGATGATGGATCCTAACGGTAACTTGATGGGCTACATTGCGGAAGAAGAAGGATTGGCCAAGGCACTGAGTCGACAGTTTCTGCGCACGCACCGTCCTTTCAATGCCACCATTATGGACGTGCACGGCAATGTCATTTTCAAGATTTCTCGGCCTTTTGCGTTTATCAATAGTCGCATTTTTATCCACACATCCGATGACCAGTTGATTGGCGAAGTACAACAACGCTGGCATCTACTTCGTAGAAAATACGATTTATTTATTGGGTATAGTATTTCCTCAATCATGGATCGATTGCGGCGGGCATTGAACTGATCTGAGAAATCTTGTTTCTTTATCTTTGAAAGCAAAACGCAATTTGCCTCCATTGATACACCGTTCCTCGGTTGGGACTTTTACCTGCAAGACGAACAAGGCGGCTTGCTCGGCAACGTTAGCCGAAACTTTGTGGGGTTTGCGAGAGAGGTGAGCTGGGGGAAATGATGTGGGTCAAAGACACCATTTTATTCAACCATTTTTACAATAGCTTTTCACGGATACCGGTCAGTACGTTTTGCGAATGGATGCGGTAGAAGGCAATGCTCGTGGTATGACGCTGGATGAGCGTGCGGTGACCCTGGCGTGTGCTATTTCCATTGATTTCGATTACTTCTCACGACACTCATCGCATGGTGGCGGCGGATTCCTTCCCTTCCCATTCTTTGGTTTTGGAGGAGGGGAAAGAGAAGGCGAAGCGGGAACACCGGAAGATCAAGGTGCCCCTGGAGCTTCCAATGAACCGTCTGCAGGTCCATCAAATGTCAATATCCCTCCCAACGAATCACCCTCGCCGTTTAACGAACCACCGCGCGATGACTATGGCGACGGCTGGTTGAGCGATGAAGAAGCTGGTGTCAGTAGCCCTTCAGACTCTGGCTTTTTCGATTCACTTCAAGACTTTTTTGGAGATGATGACTGAAAATTAAAATAATAGATATTGAATAAAGAAACTATGCAAGCAATTTGAGCATCTGTCTGAATGGAGCAGAAATGCGAAAACTCAAGGAAAGAGGAAAAGCACCACAAATTTGCGGGGAAGGTTGGGGTTTATTTTCTGCAAAAAGGGCGCTCGATCTGAAGATTTGAAAAGTATACTGTATGACTGCATCAGCTGCAGCAAAGCAGTTGGCCATTCACACTCGAACAGCTTATAGATGGTTAACTACTATAATGCGTGTCGTACCAGTATAGTCATGGACAATGTATAACCATCCATACTTATGAAAATATGGAAGTACAGTACCTTAAGTATTGGGGATACGAATGCGTGTATCCCCCCCCCCCGCTTACTCTCCTGAGCTCCACTCAATAGAACAATTCTGGCCAGCGGCAACATAAGGTTAAGCGCCATTGGTTTTTACAGGGAGATATTTTGACGAAAAGAATCACGGAAGCCTGTACATAACACCATGGAGACGTCATTAACAGAGGCTTCGTTTTCGCATTCTTACAAGTGGTGGAATAAGTTTTGAATTAAGAAGTCAATGTAATGACCACTGACGACTTCTCAAATGCCAATAATACAACAATAACAAAAAGGAGCAGCAACCAGGGCACACCATCGGCACACGATTAGTTTGATGACAATAATGCGAAAAATTCACACAAAATTGGAAACTATCTAGAACAAGACAAACATAAAAAGACAGCGACTAAAAAAGCCTCAGCGTAAACGAATAACAACTTGTGCATCCGTCGTCTTGAGCATATTTGCATGTGTTCGCAAGAAAAAAGGACATTCATCATTGGCCAGTCGGCAGAAAAGTCAATATGCTGCCGTCATAGACATCCATCTTGTCATACAGATATGCTAAAGTCGCAGGCAATGACCAGATTCCAACATGCTACAGTTATAACAAGAGAGTAAGCCCATGTCCACGTCACTAATGTCGTACTTGTCACCTGGGATTTATTGACGAACAAAGAATATATATCATGTTTAAGCGAGAAGGAGAGAGATAGTACATGAAAGAAGCGAGAGATGACAATGAGCTCATAATGGAATATAAGTGATAATAATTGCAAAAAGGTAGAAAGCTATGCTTCAAATGACAAAGTGCAGAGTTTTTCTGTATTCTTGGTGTTGTCAATGAGTGCGTGGATGTTGGGATGGGTAGGACGCGGTTTTTGGAATTGATCGGAACGGATGGCTTCAGGAAAAGGTCGACAAAGACGCCAGAAAACTTCAGACATTTGCATCAATGTTTTCAGATTCTTCCAGGATATGAATGTCGATAGGTCGCGCAATGATGGAGGATATGACAGTCTGGCAATTTCAAGCATGGTGTAGATGCCAATGTGGCGCAGCCGCATCATATAGAAGATGGTTGTGAAGCCATTGATTTGGAACGAAATGCAACCAGTCAAATGATGCCAATCAATTGCTTCTTTGGACAACACTGTTAAACGTAATAAATCATGGCAGAGAGCTTGGGTGTCAGGTTCCAACTTGGGTTTTTTCGCTTCGCCAATTCGAAAGGCGAACCAAAACTAAGGTGATCAGATTTTGTAATTACGACGCCGGGCTTCTGTCGTAACTTCCAGCCACTTCAACCTTAGCCCACCACAACAAAACATTCTTGTTGGGATTGGACAGAATGCGAGCTAGTACAGGGTGGAACTATGTGATGATCAGCTCGTACTCAATAATCGTCTCCTTGTCCTTAATAGTATCCAAAGGTAGTTCGTTCATAACACTCGATAAGCTCCGAATCACCGAGTATTCATCCACAGTTGTGCAGAGGTATGCCAGTTCGCTCGTTGCTTGGTCTATGGAGATCGTTTTTTGCAACACGGATTCGATCGTCCGACTAACTGAGCCATAAATCTGAATTGATATATCCATCTCCGTTCCCATTGATTCTCCCCATAGCATTGAGCACAAGAATTCCAGATTTTCTGAAGTGAACTGTTCTATCATGGCTTCGCAATGCTGCTCCGGACACAGAAGTAAGATGTGCGATAGGGCAAGGATTTCGTGGGGATTTGATTCAATTTTAAATTCCGGTGACATGATTGATGCTTGCTGCCGGAACTGTGGTATAGATAAGCAATATCGGTGTCGTTGATAAACCAAGGAAATGGACGATCGTAAACCGGGACAGCTGTAGTAGAAGGAAGAGGTGTAGACGAGAAAACGGATGCTTCATTTGAACCAAAGGTGAATGGTCGGGGGAACTCGGCAACTCGTTGTGGCTATCGTCTGCAATACTCTCTCGATAGCTTGATTGTGACATGGCAGGTAAAGTCAGCGCTTCAAGTGACTTCGGTGGTGTTCGGACTCGATGCAGTTGAAGAAAAGAGTGGGTTCACGTTTCCAAGAGAAAAGGAGTTGGCGTTTCCAGAATTGTTTTTCCCAATATTGTTAAACGCCTTTATTTAGTACGTGTCATCAGATTACCAAAAGTTCCATTTCTTTTCAAGCACAGCTTACCATGAGACATGCATAAAAAGACTCGACTAAGGAGAGCTGAGTCTGACAACAGTAGTTGTTGTATCCCATGAGAGTTCGTCTCATCGATGGCGGCGTTTATATCGCGGTCCTAAACTCTGGTTCAATAAAAGGAACACCGATGGTCATTATCAATTCCTTTCTCCTTGTTTTACTTACAATGATTTGGCGGCATTGTTAGCCGAGTTGAGTCAAGCTTGATCCTGACCAGGTCACTCATCCCTACTATGTCCAATGAGTCATGCAGATACAATTGACCATTTCTATCATGATTCACTATGCGACCAATCGGTTTTTATGCAATAGTATATCATGAGTCAAACTTGATCCCGACCAGATCATTACCAGAATACTGATTATTCCGTTGCTGTAAGCTTTACTCGCGCGTCCATGGCTCTCTGCATGGACTTGAGATCGAACCTTATTAAGCGTAAATAATCAATCTTAGATCTGCTTGGATTAAGAATGACAGACTTAGCAAAGCAGCAAAAGAACTGGATAATAAAGAAGGCTGATAAAGAGATGCTGAAACACTTTATGATAAATTGGAGAAATGGATGATCTCTGAAAACTGTACGAGGCCAGCTATTTTTATTTCGAAAAATAAGCATACATTTAGATTGTGCTGAACGCTCGAAAGCTATTGTTAAGGTGATAAGCTTACCTCCAGTCGCTCCAGGGTTATAAATGCTGCCAGCGACCGTCCGTGCTTACTGCATTCAAACCGGGAAATAGCTATATACAGAGATGTGCCTCGTCAGGTGAGTATTTTCGTTGACCATCGTCATAAAGTCATAAAGCCGAGAATCCTTCTTCAAAAACATATGTACGGTCAATTAAAAAGCTACGAATAATAAGAGTTTCATTGTCCCAAATATATTCTTATATGCTTAGTTCAGTATTACAGACCTCAAGGTCTCCTTTTCGTTATTAAGACGAAATAGTTTGTTGTTCTGTGTCCAACAAAATTTCTTTTCCTAGATGTTTAGTCGATCGGGAAGACATGGCGAAAGATCCAGGCTAAATATCTATCAGAAACAGGTCCTGTATGTTTCCAATGATTTCACATACCCTTCAAATAAAATAAAAATATATGGCGCAGTCGCTTTGTATTTAGGGGATACGTCTGTCTACGATTTTAACCTTAAGGGGGACCCTCTTGTTTATGACTGTAGCGTATTGGAACTGGGTCTCTGCCTGCGACTTTAGCATATCTGTCTGACAATATGGATGCTTAGCAGCATATTGGCTTTCCTCTGTCTACAACTTTAACCTGATGGGTTACTCTCTTGTTATAACTGTAGCATGTTGGAATCTGGTCATTGCCTGCGACTTTAGCATATCTGTATGACAAGATGGATGTCTATGACGGCAGCATATTGACTTTTCTGCCGACTGGCCAATGATGAATGTCCTTTTTTCTTGCGAACACATGCAAATATGCTCGAGACGACGGATGCACAAGTTGTTATTCGTTTACGCTGAGGCTTTTTTAGTCGCTGTCTTTTTATGTTTGTTTTGTTCTAGATAGTTTCTAATCTTGTGTGAATTTTTCGCGTTATTGTCATCAAACTAATCGTGTGCCGATGGTGTGCTCTGGTTGCTGCTCCTTTTGTTTTATTGTTGTATTGTTGGCATTTGAGAAGTCGTCAGTGGTCATTACATTGACTTCTTAATTCAAAATTTATTCCACCACTTGTAAGAATGCGAAAACGAAGCCTCTGTTAATGACGTCTCCATGGTGTTATATACAGGCTTCCGTGATTCTTTTCGTCAAAATATCTCCCTGTAAAAACCAATGGCCCTTAACCTTACGTTGCCACTGGCCAGAATTGTTCTATTGAGTGGAGCTCAGGAGAGTAAGCGGGGGGGATACACGCATTCGTATCCTCAATACTTAAGGTACTGTACTTCCATATTTTCATAAGTATGAATGGGTACATTGTCCATGACTATACTGGTACGACACGCATTATACTAGCTAACCATATATAAGCTGTTCGAGTGTGGATGGCCAACTGCTTTGCTGCAGCTGATGCAGTCATACAGTATACTTTTCAAATCTTCAGATTGAGCGCCCTTTTCGCAGAAAATAAACCCAACCTTCCTCGCAAATTTGCGGCGCTTTTTCTCTTTCCTTGAGTTTTCGCATTTTTGTCCCGTTCAGACAGATGCTCAAATTGCTTGCATATTTCTTTATTCAATATCAATTATTTTATTCATTCATTTATCTCTTTCCTTCCCCTTGCTTCTCTTTCTCAAAATTAAATGACTATGTTTTAAAGTCAATTTGCTTCTCAGTTTCGCCTCAATGATTCTTGACATATTACGCCAGTATATCAGTATCCCAAGTGACCAGTCCAGAATGCCTGGGGATACTGATTTTTTGGTGTAGTTATGCAATTTTTTCTTGTTGTGGTATCGTTGCAGCGGTCGGGTGAATCACTTTGAACACCTCTGCTATCGCTGACCTGATTTCATCAAGACATTGTATCCTGCGGGTCTAGTCGAGAGCATCATGTCTCACACATGTTTTCCATAAGTTCGATTGGTGCTTTATCCATAGTGTCTTCTGGATTTTAAGAGTGTTGTTGTCTGCATAACCATCATATTTTATTCCACAACTGCGCGGCCTTTGGAGCCTGTGTCACTTTGACTGACAGAGCGGAGTCAATTACCTTTTTCTGCAACCGCCAATTTTTACTTGTTTTTACCGCCAGTATCCACCAGCTTAACACTATTTATCTTTTTAACCAACCCAATTCTGATCTGGAGATATTGTGATGCGGAAATATACTAAAGAAAATGATCGACTTATATACTGATAGCACTCCATCAAGTGATGCACATTGATTTGCGATTGTCATGAAAAAGCTTCGTATGGAAGTAATTAACATAAGTATACAGCGATATAGCCGATGTATGGTTAGAGATTTGGGGGGAGGCTACGCGAAATGCGATAGATATACCATGGCTAAACTGCGCGAATACGTAATGTGGGGGGAGGGGTTCGATCAAAAAGCTGGGGAAAAGAAAAGCCACATTACAATTCCCGTATTGAAATTCCCACAGAAATTTGAAGTTTCTGTTTTAAGCTCTTGTCTTTCTTTATCGGCTTTTTTCTCCATCATGTTCCGCCACGTACTTCGTCGTTCATTCCACTCGTTACCCAGTGCCAGTAAATTCGTCGTGACTCCTGAAGTCAGGGAGGCCATTCTGAATCGCGGTCCCGTCGTCGCTTTGGAATCGACCATCATTAGTCACGGTAAGCTTCCCTGCTATTCACTTGCCCATGGAATTTTGAGTCCTGTGCCGCGGATGTGTGAGCGGAAAGCTTTCTTACGCTCTCAGTGTAGGTATGCCTTATCCTCAAAATGTGGAAACCGCGCGTCAGGTAGAAGATATTGTTCGTCAGCAAGGCGCCGTTCCTGCCACCATTGCGCTTTTGGACGGCAAGGTTCATATCGGTAAGTGTTGCACCCGGTTTTTTGGGTTGCCTCCATGGCAGGTTTCAGATCCGCTAAAACGGGAACGATCTTTCACAGGTCTTACGGATGAGATGCTTGAAAAATTGGGCTCGATCGGCTTAAAGGCTCACAAAGCTTCCCGCCGTGATCTTCCTATTGTGATGGCTCAGGTACAAAATTCATCACTGTCAAAAATCGATGTAATTGATATGCTAAAGAAAAGTTTTAGCGTTTGCCGGGCGCCACCACGGTCGCCAGCACCATGTTTTTGGCCAGAGCGGCAGGCATTCCTTTGTTTGTCACCGGCGGTATCGGCGGTGTTCATCGTGGAGCTGAACAGTGTACGTGTATTGCTTCCCCAGTGGTGAAAATGGCTGATCATCCGAGATTCACATCACATATTTGCTCTTTTTTTTTTTTTTTTTTTTTTTTTTTTTTTTTTTTTTTTTTTTTCCTATGACAGCATTTGATATCAGCGCCGATTTGATGGAACTGGGAAAGACGCCTGTGGCTGTGGTTTGCGCGGGTGTGAAGAGTATTTTGGACATTGGAAAAACTTTGGAAGTTCTGGTAAGGTCAAGCCAGAATGTCAGATATTCGGAACCAGAATCCCGGAAATCACACTCAACTTTTGCTACGTTCCTAGGAAACCCAAGGTGTTTCTGTCACCACGTACGGTCCTACCAACGAATTCCCTGCTTTTTACTCTCGTGACAGTGGGTTCAAGGTAAGTAAAATAGAGAATAGGTGATGGAAGGAAATGGACGAATTCTCACGGTTGAATACCCAGAGTCCCAGCCGTGTGGATACCGCCTCGGAAGCTGCCTCGATCATTGGTACGTGACAGGCTCAGCAAAAAAGGGAAAAAAAAAAGAAAAAGGCGGGGTAAACGGATCACGGGAAACTGATTTCTTCTCAGCGGCCAATCACGAGCTTTCGATGAATAGTGGAATGGTATTTGCCGTACCGATTCCCGAGGAATCGGCCGTCGATTCCACTGCCATTCAGGACGCTATCGCCACCGCCGTGAATGAAGCTCGGTAAGTGCGCATACGACGACAAAGGGATGTGGATAAAAGATTGACGGTTGTTTGGCAATATTGCAGCGCCAAGGGCATTACTGGCAAAGAGGAAACACCTTACCTGCTCAAGCGTATTGTCGAAATCACTAAAGGCGAATCGCTCGCCGCTAGTACGTATGTCATGGAGCGGCCAAGGATTTCATATTCACCACTTTCTTTTTGTAGATATTGCTCTTGTGAAGAACAACGCCAAGGTGGGAGGTCAAATTGCTGTAGAATTGGCCAATATCCGACAATCGCTTCCCTAAATTTTGAGGAATTGCAAGGCAAGTTGTGCAAAAATCATCGCCATGCTTTTACCATACTAGATAAATATACAAAACCGTGTAATAAAACTGTACATCGTAACATCTCTTCATTGTTATTGTTGTTTTGGTCAGTCATGCCATTAATCAGAAACACGTTTCGAAACAGGAACAAGCTATTAAAGTATGACAGTCAGTTGCGAGAGTGAAAGTGGTTGGTGGCGTTGCTGGGTGTAATGACATAAGAAGATGCGCCGATGGATGAAACTGTATCAGAAATAAATCGTTGGCGATAGGTTTAACATTCCTAATTCAGATGAACTTTTTGCTTTCGGGTTGGTCACGGTTTAGTCAAAGCAGCACAAATCGAGAAGAAATGGCATCGCACAGTATGATATTATGATATTCCCGCCCCCCCCCAAAAAAAATACGATAAAGAGCACAGTGCGCTTTCTTTATCGTGTCGCCACGAGTTCCCACAGCAAATAGGATCACATCAGCCCAGATTCCCGTAGACAGAAGTTAGCCACTCTTCCATTATTTTTATATACGATATAGATACGATGGATGTCTAATAGGGAAAGAAAAGGACAACAGTACTATTGTTGTTCATTTTCTAATGCTTGAACAATGTCACGCCACAAGTCGGCCCCCTACATAGATGAAAATTAGATCAGGATAGAATAACTGATCAAATGGCGCACTGGAGTACCTTTTGATAAAAGTCCACTTTGGCATCTGTGTAGCTTTTCAGGACATCATGCATTTCGGCCCTTTGGTTTTTGGCAAAATACTCGTCTTCCTTTTGCACCTGATCGCTAAACGCATTGGACACTTGGTTTGTCTCCTTTATAGCCTCTTGTAGCTGATGTGGCGACGAAAAAGCTTCATCAATAATTCCAAAGATCACACCCAATGTCCAAATTCGGCACTCACCTCTCGTATGCGGTCATCTAACCGCAGCATTTTTTCTCGTCGCACTTTTTCGGTATCTGCGCCTCGTACTTCGTTTAATTTGTCGGTGAAGTAACCGGTGATATTGTAGCTTTCATGTCTAGGTTGTATCATCTTTTCCCGTTCCTTGATGCTGGATTGGAGGTAATCCGTCAATTCTTCAAAATCGAGCTGCTTCTGATCCCGCAGTTTAAGCACGCCCTGAAACAAAGATGTCAGCATTATATCGAGCTGTCAAACACCGATGTCCATTGTACCTTGAGCACGTTGTAGTATGCCATGTAATCGTGAATCTCGCCCAACCAATTTAATTCGTGGACCGACTAAAGTCAATATTACTTGTGAATAGAGTGGCTCATATACCGTGTTTGCGGCAAACCCACCAATTCTTTCATATTGCTCGCGTAGGCAGTATTCGCATCTGCAAATTGTTGGATAATGGGGGTGATGTTGGTTTCGAGATCGGCCAGTCCTCGAATACACTCGGCAAATTCCTCGTAATCATGCGACAAATCTAGAGAAAAATTTAGCATCTACACCAAAATGCAGTGTTTATCAGAGGAAAAGTTACCTTCGGTACGTTTGTTTGTCCGCGCGAGTGTTTTCTCTAGGAGAGCCAAATTTTCTTCCAGACGATGGATGTGTTCACGCATATCAATAAATCGTTGATCAGGTTTCCGGATTTTGGCGAATGCATTTAAAAGGGAATCGCCAAGGGTATCCATCACTGTTTCTTGTCCTTCTCTCAGCGATCTTGCCGAAGCATCATTCTGATTCAACATCCGTTGGTGAGATCATGGGCACCCACAAAGCAGCATTCCATTTAGACTAATGAACTTACAAAGCCAGGACTCTCCAAAAACATGACAAAAAATTCGGACTTGCCAAGGATGGGATGCCGCGCAATACGCATTAAAAATCGCTCCAAGCTAATTTGCTCCCCTTGTGTCAGCACACACGCTATTCACTAACCGTTTCCAATTCATTTCTCCATTTACCTCACTCGCCGACGTTCAATGAATTCTTTGCTAAATCGATCGCCCTTCACATATTCTAAAGACGAAAACAGGTCGAGTCAGTGATTCTTTTTCCAAGGTTACACATTAATCGATGGATTTTTTTTACCCATGCGGTGTTTATCAGGCAACGGCGGTACAAAACAAGCGGGATAATGCACAAACAATACATTATGCAACCAAACAAAATCTTGAAATCGTCGACGAACAATGGCTTTCTGTCAAAACAGGGTTTTTCATGTTATAAGTTTCTTTTTTTTTTTCGTTCACGAGACCGCAGCAGGTGGATATCGCTTACATTGGATTGGACGTTGTACGATATATACGTTCCTTGTTGTCCATCGTTTTCCTTGCGTGGTTCGGTGATGGCAATTTGATATTGTTGTTTTGGCTTTGTTTCGTGGATTTGCTGGTAATAGGGTTGACTACTGCTACTACTACTTGCTTCAGCGGGTGAAGCGTGATCGTCGGCATGATTTACAGTGTCATCAAAAACATCGTGAAGGACATTAGGAGTTTCCAGGGGTAACGTGGTCGAGAAATTCAGCGTGGGCCGTATCTCCTCCTTTCAAAAGTAGATATCAGTAAAATGAATGCCGGTAATACTGTTGATGCGCGATGAGCTTACGTGAGGGTCATGACTAGAGGAGTGAGCAGAAGGCAGGGTCTCACCCAATGCTTCTGTCATGTCACTTAATGGGTCGAATACGGCTGGAGCATCCTCATGTGTCGTTGGTGCTTTATCATTGTCATCCCAGTCAACATTGTTAAACTCGTCCATGGTTGCCTCAAAAATTGCAAATTGCAGCGGCAGAAAAGGAAAGAAAGAACGAAATATTTCATCGTCCATTTCCATGCTGGCAATATTTTCATTCGCCGCCCAACTTGGCATTGCCCCATTTGGAAAATGAAGTACGCATTGAGTGGAAGCTCAATGGATCACAAATCAACTTAGAATCATCAGCAGTATGGGAAACAGGTTTTCTCCTAGATTTTTCTATTATTCCATTATACCAACAGCATCAGAAGAATACAAAGAACGAAAAGGAAAACGTGGTGGTTTGCTTATGTTTTTTGGTTTAGAACACGAAAGACAAAGGTGAAGACATACCTTGATACGGTGATTAGGGTTCAATCAAAGGATTCACCACCTGCTTACAACAAGATAATATCTTTCCGGCAGTATATTTTTTCTCCACAGACCGTTTTTCTAACTCGGTCTCATCCTGTTATTCTGGCAATCTAGCCTGTGAAAACGCGAGAGCAAATCCACTCTAGAAGAAGAAACCCCTAAGAAATGCGGTTGCAAGGCAAACGCTAAAAGTAAAGGCCATCCTCACAATTCAGCGCCAAAAACTGCTCAGTGGCTCCAGTTATATGGCAACATATCCTAATCCATACGCAGAATAATGCGCCTGCAAAAATCATAACCCACAGTCATTTCGTTTCATGTCCCTGAAGTGTTGCACGTTCCAGAACAAATGGAAAAACCCTATTCATAAGAGAGCTCAGTCTTCAATTATCCAACCAAAAGAAAAGATACACGGAATGCAGCAGATTAAGCTTCATGCGCACTTCTTGGTCAAAAGGATCACGGCTCAACAAACGGGGGATACTGCGCAGTTGACAAGTGCGTGATCAACTTCGAAATGAGAATCAGATTCGGCGATGATTGCCGTTTTGAAAAGCAACAGCAAAATGAGCTCCATCGACGCCATAAACTGGGTCGCCCCTCTTTTTACTGGCAATATAACTGCAAACTGCTGCACACTTTTTGCCGCTGCGCAACTTCGAAAGTAAGCACTGTCCACAAATGCACTATTGACACAGAAAAGCAAAAACACAATAAGGAGAGGCCTGCTAAACAAGTCTTTTTTATTTGTCATACTACTTTTCTACTTATTATTCTACTCTATTTGCCTCTGGTTTACCATGAGGAATAAATACAAGGGAACAGTTCTAAAGCGGCCATGTAGACCACCCAGCAGCCGCAGCCAAAAAAGCTGGTGTGGATAAGGTGTGAAGAGAGGGGAATTTTACCCTCTTATCTATTTTTTTTTTGTCATTTTTGAGAAAATTACTTTTTGATTCCTGCCGAAGCAGGCCAAAAAGAAAAGCCATGCGTGCCAGGAACGCCCACATGGGAACTGAAAAAGAACTCCCCCGGGGTGAGCCCACCTTGCCGTACATCACTCCCGCAAGAGTTAACGCCCGACCAGCTGATGAACGGATAAGCACACCGGTGCGAAGACAGAAGTCTACGAGTAAGCTAACCCCAGTTACGAACTTAGCCCTGCCGCCGTACAACATGCCGTTTCATGAACTCGCAAAATCGTCGCCTTTATATACCCCTTCACATTTTGTCTCCGCCCACCCTCACACCTTCGCCCAATAAAAAAACGCTAAAAATGGATGAACCAGCCACTGTAACTCCGTCCCCAATTCCTGCAATGCAGAGAGCGAAGGGCAACTTTCCTGTTTTTCGCATAAAAACAGCGAGTGGGGGCCTGTAACAATCCATAATGCGACATAAATTACGCCTTTTGCATAATGTATTGCCGAGTATAAAAAGGCGTGGTTACTCAGAATAAAGTTCCTCTAGCATCAATAGTGCAGCAGTATTATCATGCATAAGCTTATGGAGAGTATTGTATTCAAATAACAAGCCGTACACCCGCTGTGCAATGGATGCCGCCTGCCACCGGAGGCCGCCCCCTTACATTGAGCGACTTTCGTAGACAAAAAGCCTAACGCATACACGGCATAACCTGGGCGAGAACTCTTGACGGAACTTCGGTATATTAATGACAACCTTATGGCATACGTTGCAACGTGATTTGTTTCTGAACACGCGCAGGGCAGCACTGGTTCCCCCCCTCAGTTCCATCCCGCCCAGGCTATGATAGATCTAGAAAGATGTGTGGGTATGTTGGGTATTTAAAAAAATGAGTTAGTAAGCTCTTTGATTGATTCAAATTTTCGTCAAGATATTTTACCTTTGTCATTTGAGTTTGCAATAGCCATTGATCGCTTGACACGACTTGGGTTATATGACATTGAAAAATTTGAATTAGTATACGTTCATTACATCATAGCAAAGGAAACGAAATTGGACTTGCCTTTGAACCAAATGGTGTACCGGAAAAAAAAAGATGAATACGGAACACAGGTAAGCTTCTTTTCGATGCGGAAAATAAAATTGCTTCCAGGGACAGTTAAGCGATGGATCGGTGGTGTCAGCTTGAGCAGGCAAAAAATATTGACGTGGCCAGAAGTGACGGTAACTTCGAGTTGGATTCCAGATATTGAGAGTCCCCCGAATAAAAAGAAAGAAAAACAAATAAAGTACATGATGATAAAAAAACAATGGTCGCCTCAGTAAAAACCTCATAAAAAACCCTGCGGGAAAAAAAGAGGAAAAGACTGCGAAAGGAATATGTACATGAAATATAAAATACAAAATACAATAATCGGGAAGACATCTCGAAAACCATATCATGAGAAGCAATCCAAAGGAGAGGTAAGTCTGTTTTCCCGGAGCAAAATCGATGGTAGACCACTCGACGCTTACCTTTTTGAGGATGGTGGTCAATTTAAACAAGTTAGATACACGGGATAAGAATGGTCAGGATGATGGATGCGGATGGGATCTTGATACAATGATAGTGAGGGTTTATCAAGCAAACAGAAAGAGAGAGAGAAAATCAAAAGAAGAAAGATAAAATTGAAGACAAAAATATATGGTTTTCCATGGATGAAACAATAGTCGCCCCACTGATGCATGAATTCATAGATCGAAGCACGTCTGCTTATGTATTATTCGATTCATTGAAAATTGAAAGAGAATGAAAGGACATATATAGTATAACTGACAAAAAAAAACCAAATTGAATGATGCTACAGAAGAACGCCAGTCGTATCATCAACCACTTTTCTTCAAGGGAGAGCTCTACTCACATTTTTATTCGAAAGACGACGATACTCTGTTTAACCACAACTGGCGCAAACGGCATCTTGCTGCTAACTGTTTCGCCTATTATCGTGAAAGTGGGCAGCGAGGCATGGTTGAAATATAAAAAAAAAGGTTTAACAGGTCCTGATGACTTAATGTAGATCATGTGATTTACAAAATCGCTAATTTCCCAAAGTTTTTAATTATGTAGACTAGTAGCACCTGTTGATCTTAAAGATCACAAAGTTATGCTCTTTCGGTCTGTAGTTTGTTGTTAATCTGAGGCTAGTGGGAATAGTAGCTGATTAAAGATGCGTTTGGAATGGGATGCTCCATTTGCAATATTCAGAACTCCGCACTCGAATTTGTGTATCCAAAGGTCTCGCTTGATGGTACTCTAATCTTTTGTCAATAAGCGGTTGATTTTTCGGTAAGATTTAGTTGATGTGCGCATAAATCTTTGCGTATTCAATGGACAACAGAGTAGTACAGTCTCTTTTTCTTTTTTCCCGGGGGTCTTGCCCCCCTGACCTACCGCCACATAGCGATCATTTTCTTCATCCACGACAGAGGAACAACAATATGTACACCAAGTTAGGAACAGAAATAGTCAGACATCGATATAATATTAAATGGAGAGAAAAAAATAGATAATAGAAAAAATCGTACTTGGGGAAACATAGCATAAGGATAAAATCAAAAGGAACATAAGGACAAAAAGCATACAGTAAAACATAAAGGTGAAGAATAACTTGAAAAATCATAGCAAAGGATGAAAGCAAAGGAGTATAAGACAAAATACATACAGTAAAATATAAAGGAATAATAAAAACAACAACATAAGGGTAAAGACGCCACCAGGACCATCAACAAAGAACAATCGGGCGGATTCGTTGCTTCCATGCGTGACACTCTGGAGAATTGCGTGGTATACGGCATGTTGTCACGGTTTAGGTACTCATGTGTTGGGGAACATTGGCAGCGTCTGCGATGAGATCGAATTGTTCTCTTACCAGTCTGGGCTGACGGCGAAGTGTGCTTCTGCCAATTTCTTGGCGATCAGGAAGGGCAAAGCGATCGTAACTCAGCAGTGAACTCGATTGGCGGTTCAGATGCTCTTCAATGTCCAGCAAAGCGCGACCGTACACGATTTGGGGCTGCTCAATTTTGGTGATCATCGTCTTGATTTTGATTGCTCCAAAAATGGAAATAGTCTTCTGCCAAATGCTGGCGGAACTGCATCCAAAGCGCAAACGGGTCAGGAGCCTGACATTTTCTGTCATTGCCGGCATGATACATTGCTGCTGCTGCACGATCGTGGTGCTTGTAAACATACTTGTACAGGTATTTGACGCTTTCCAGAGAAGTACAGATTTCGACGTTAATGTGAGCGTTATATCTTGCACAGAGGTATCGATTGTGGGGAACAACCCATCTATGTCCAACTGGACATGGTTCTTGACCACAAAATCACCATTGTTGCGACGACGGTATAACGGGTAACCACTGTGATCTTCGATAGTAGCTTCATTGAAGGAGCGCGGGTAACGCTTTTTACATGAGCCGTTTTCCATGCAGGGAGACCTCGGATGCGTTGTTCCACATGAACCGTGCATCATACATCTGCTGACGGTGTCGCAGAGATCAGGAAATTTCTCTCTGTCCGGAAGTTCGGCACACACAATACGATCATAGTCATCAAGTGTTCTCGGCTTATCCTCCGGAGTAACACCAAAAGCAAATGAAGATGCAGTAAGCCTCGCTTCTAAAACTCCGCCGTGTGTACATGGGTAACGACTCTTCCCAAACATGGTTCTTCTTTAGATCTTCCATCAGAGCTTTGCGCTTCATTCGAGCGCAAAGGTCGGGCCGATCAACAGCTGTCTGGTTTCGTTCAACCAATCATATATATTTGTTTTTCAAAAATTACCCAATCAAAGCCGACAAATGTAGCAAAAACCCAATGTGACTGCCTTGTGACTGAAAATTAGCGCGCATAACTCCCAAACATTTTAATAAGGTTGAGATTGTTGGGTTGCTCATGCAGGAATTTTGCACAAGTTTCGTGTTTCAGGCGCCGTTGTCTACGAGAGAGAGCATCACACTGAAACTATGGGCTGCTATGGTTTATCGACTAGGTTACGTTTGGAATAAAGAAGTCAGATTTGGATCTGCATATCCCTACCAGAGCATGCCGATGTTTATTTACTGGGAGACGTGTTGTCCAGTCTGCGGAAGCTTCTCATTGAAATTTTGGTCGGCTTGGATGACTAACTTTCGGGATCATCGGTGATAAAACTTGAATAGAGAATAGATTATGCTTGGATCATGATGGATCCAGATTTTTACAGTCGTTACTACGTAACCTCCAGGTGCATCCATCTGCAGTACCAAGGCTACACTATTCGCGTCATCTAAAACATTGAAACTATGGCAAACTGATGCTATACTGGTCATGTATTATAAGCGGACTTTTGATCATCATGCTACGAACACCAGTCGCCCACTCAACGTCAATCGCGACATGTATTCCGACCGTAACAGGATATAGAGATATTTTTACAATAAACGAGCAAAGAATGAAAAGGCGCAAATGACGGCAAAACAATGGTGGGATGACTTGGCTTGCGTTCTTGGCCTCTGTACTGACCGCAGGTCCTTGCCAAAGTCTTGGATTAGGATGTCACGTCAGTAGAAACAGGTTGATCATCGCCCGCTTCATGGAGAATAGTAAACCGAGTTGCCCACCCGCTTCAACCCATTGCATTAATCCTTTAGAAGTGATTATTCAGACGATAGGCGGGTTAACAATGAGGCAAACATTGACATGGTAACTTTATATAAAAACACAATATTGTCATGATGACCCGACTAGAACCTTAAGAGAAAATGTAGAATGATCGGAGTATCTTCTTCTCTATTAAACCGGGTATCAAGCAAAAAGAATAAATAAGTAAACAAGGAGAAAAACAAAAAATAAGACAATTAAATGTGAGTCAAAGGGAGACAATAGAGTTATTTTTTTTCTTTTTTTGGTTCCTGCGATCGTTTGTGTGTTTAAGTGAGTCTTTTGAGTGTCTGTCTCCCTTTCTTTCTGTCTTAAAACTGTAGCTTAATCTAAATTCCCCTCTTCGTTTGTGTTTCGTGAGCTTCCTACAACATCCATGCAATGCCGGCTGCTGCAGCCAGTGCGACAAATGTTTTGGTCGCTTCGGGCATAAGCATTGCGGCGGCACCTTCGGCAAATATGCTTCCACTGGATTGCGATCGATCGGTGACTCCGGTGGCTGAAGCCTTGATGTTGCTTGTGGTGGACACCGCAGCGGGACGGATTTCAATAGGGATCGGCAATTTGGTGTTGGTCGATTTATCGCTGAAAATGACTTTGTAGTTGCCTGGTTTCACCATGGCAGGGATGTTGTAATTGATGGAATGTTCAAAATAGGTCAGATTGCCTTCATGTTTGACCGACGCTTCCGTCTTGGTCACATCGGCATTTTCAGCAATAGTCAACGTCGTGTTGGTCGCATTCACACTGCTCGCTAAAGCAGACGAAGCCACAATCACAGGTTCTAGAGTAATTTGTAGCACCAGCGCTATCCATCGAGGCCACAGTTTAGTGCCCCAAAACCACCAATCTCAAACTGATACAGTGTGTAGGTCCATACCTGAGCTATCGACATCAGAGAACAAACGATAGGTACATGGCAGAATTTGACCCACCACATACGGCCCGTTACTGACAGGGCTTGTCACGTTGTAATTCCGAGTCGGTGCCGTCAGTTGAGCCGAAACAGCGGCACACAAGGCTAACAATGGTACTAAAAACTTCATTATACCCAAAAACGACAAAAGAGAGACCAAATCAAAGTCGACAAAGGAGAAACGGGAAAAAAGGGGAAGGAGAAAGACACGGTGAGGAGCTTTTACGGATGAATGTCATTTATATTGAGCAAGAAAAAAATCCCAAAGGGAAAAGGGGGGCGCCAAACGGCAAGGCAAGGGAAACCCTGTCTGTCAGGGATTGAACCAAACACAGGCTCCAGTTCAAAATGTCTCGTTCCCATGGAAATCTAAAATTATGCTTGCCCATGCAGAGATTTTGAGAATCCACCACAAGCAACAATGCAGAAAAAAGTTTGAATTGGACGATTCAGAATCGGTATTGAGATGCATAGATGGAGGATAAAAAGTTTTTCTCTTTTCTTTTTTTACTGATGGAACATGACAATGGCTGCTAGGACACTCATCAGTGTAGCCAGTACGGGAAGATTCAATGTATTTCCAGTTGCCACGGCGGCCTCCATACCGACCGGCCCGACAATGGGGCGGGCAGTAGGAGCGACAGCAAGGTTGTTGGGTGTGGAATAGGCTAAATACGGTGGTGGGACAGAGACAGGATAAGACCAAGACACGCTCGTGTATTGGGGAGATGACAGACCGTCGCCCAACATGGTGGGTGATATGCCGGGTGGCAGCACGGCCGCATTGGTGGTTTTGGACGGTGGCAAGTGGTTCTGAGTGTTCCTCATATTGCGGTTATTGACGGCATTGACATTGGTATTGGTGTGACGAGCATTGGCGGCGTTATTGGTGGGATGTTGCGCGTTTCTGTTGTCTCGGTTATTGGTGGGTGTCGCTTTGTTGTTGAGCACCGGTTTCCGATGCACATTTTCTGCATGTTGCTGCTGCTCTTCTTTCGGTTTCTGCTGCTCCTTGGGCTTTCTCTCGGATTGATACCATTTGGGAGGGCGCAGATTATACTCGTCTTCACCGACTTCTTCATCCCAAGGTGAAGATTCGTCCTCGTCTTTCCAATATAAAACATACCAAAAATATACGATTCAGTCGCGATGTATACTTCTTGATACATGTTCCGTCTTGGGTTCTTTTTTTCTTTTCTCGTTCCCATCCCCCCTTTTTTTTTCTGTTGCTTTCTCGAATTCTGAAAATCCCTCCGCTCCCCTTGATCAACTTCTCTTATCAAGTAATACCTTCACCTGGTCCTGCAGCTACGAGGGTATGTGTGATACATACAAAAAGACACAGAAAAAGAAAAAAATGGTATGGCTTCATAGTCGATAATAATAGTTCCTTCTCCTTACTGCCAAAAAAACCTCAACGGTTTATAACCACTTTTCCCTCACAGTGTAATTATGACCTTTTTGGTGAATTGTAAAGATTTAATGAATTTTTTTCAACCTAGTGATCAATTTCATCCCTGTATTTTTTTTTTATTTTTTTTTTGAATCGATTATTCTAGGAGTAAAAAGTTAACAAAAGTATCAGGAGCATGTGAAAGGGCAAGTGAGCTAGAAACAACAGCAAGAACATGCAGAGAAAAAAATATAATCCGAAAGAGGAAGATCTGGGAGTCATCAGAAACCAGTGTTCAGCCCCATTGACTCTTTCAATTATATATAACTTGGAAAAAGGCTACAAAAAAGTAACAAAAAATCTTTTGAAGAGAATAAAGATAGCAGAGAGTGAACAAAAACAAAGTAACAAGCATTACAGTATCACATCAGCAGAAAGGTGGGATCCGGTTTTAAATAATGCAATGATGTTAAATCGTGACCTTTGTATTGTAATTCACTTTATCGTGGATAAAATCGAAGTTTCCATTCTTCTTTGTGTTCATGACCATGAGAGTACGATCGCGGTCTTTTAGGAACTTGGGGCTGTGCTTTTTTCTTTTGTTGAGACCGTGAACGTTGTGGCAAATTCCGATGGTCGTTTTCAGCATTGATGGAGTGATTCAAAAATGGATTGTATGCATCGCGATATTTGTTGGCTTCTTCTTCTTCTTTTTGAATCTTTTCTGCAAGTTGCGCATCCTTGTGGATCTGTTCATACCGTTCTATGAGCTCGCGTAGTTCCGATTCGGTTATATCCAACAGATCTTGATCATCTTCGTCTCCTTCATCTTCATTATCCTGTCGCCCGGTGCGACTGTCTCTGATTTCTTCCTCAAATCGACTGGACATACTCAACATGGAGGTCAGATCACCGTCATCCTTGGCTCGATCAGCAAACCATATGCTGGAAGAAATTGCATCATGCGTGGAAGCGTGGCTGGAAATGGATTCGGTTCGCCAGGAGCGCTGCAACAAGCTTCGCCATTCCGAAGGAATCTCTTCGTCAGGAATCGCATCGTCTTCCACTGGGTGGTCTTCTTCTGTATCGTCACTGCCATTATCCGGAATAAGCGCTTCATCGTCATCATGCTGTGCATTAGTGTCCTCCGCAGCAGGTGGTACGGCGCGCGATCCGACACCCTGCTGTAATAAGATCAGACATCCCAGTAAACCGCTCATAAATACGCATGGGGTAACCAAATGGAACGACTGTAGCAGTGCATAAGCCTTGTATAGGACGGCAATGGATATGCCCAGTAAAAAATACAGCGATATTCGTTTTACATCTGTCACTGGGTTAGTTTTCAAGTCATGAAATGTAGAACAATGAACGTACTTACCAAATTTTAATTTGTAGGATTGAATGCCTTTGCCAGGTGTCGTCTGCACTATTTGACGAGCCGTTGTCGTCGTCGCTGGCGTCGCTGCTGCTGCTGATGGTCGTGGTGATGGAGGCTCGAGGGAACGGTTAGTGTGTTCAAGTTGATCGGTCAACGGCAAAATTCTATAGGGAACCGCGTTGGACGTTGGTGAGGTTGCAAAGGGTTGGTATGGTTGGCTCGGTTTTCGGTGAGAATCAAAAACTGCATCGATGGGTGTAATGAGTTCCGTTCCGGAATCCATGCGATCGCCAGAAGAAATGGAGCTGCGCTTCGATAGTGCCGGTTCATCGGTATCAATGGCCAGTGGTGATGAAGCGTGATCGGTTGAAGCAGCCTGAGGTCCTGGAGTGGCGTAAGCCCACGCGGGAATAGCCGGCACCGGCGGCGTTGCAGGCTCCTCGTCGTCGTCCAAAGGCCGATTTGTGCTCAACAAGTGCATGCTGAAAAGTATTTGAAATTCAATCAAGAATTCAATCACGCCTTGAGAAATTTTGTACTCAATAGGTGTATTATGATCAGGATGGCGTAGAATTCCCATGCAAAAAACAGAGGCCAGGTTAGCGGCATCCATGCGATTATCGGCGGCTTGGCTTGCAAACAAGCTGAGTAGATCCAGCAGATACAGCAGCAGGTGCTGGTGGGCCTCTGGCAACTGACCAATTAATTCCTGAAAGGCATTGATACGATCCGTAGTGGTGTGGTAAAATCGGTCACCTAGGAAAGGGTCATTGTTAGTGTATGTGTGTGTGTGTTGCGAAAGTCTTTTCTTTCTTTTGTTTGTTGAACGGAGAATCAACCGGAACCGATTGTTTACTCATGATATCGCGGAAGGCTTGATAGTAGTGGAGAGGGATCACAGGATCAGGAAGTTTGTTTAGAAATCTGCGAAACAAAGTAGCCACATCGTGGACGCTGTAGCCTTGCCAAGAGACGTGAAATCCGTAATCCGTGCAAGCCTGGTCAAAAAGTGATTCCAAGGTATTGACTCGCTTGGTGCTTCCCGAAATGCGAAAAATGCCTTCCGTCGATAACGCTGCTCATCAAATTATATTAGTTAATCATGGAGTCAAAAAAAGAAAAACCATGATGTATTTGGGGAAAAAGAAAAAAAAAATATCCATGCATCGTGTCATTAATACTTTACCGTGTTGTTTTAGGTAAGCGCCACATTTTGCCACCACAATAGGAACCGATGCAACTTTTCGGTGTTTGACATTATCTTGGTCAATGTACCCTACCCCCGATTTCGCATACACAATTGACTCCATCAACGGAACACCGAAAATGGCTTCAAGGAAATATCAGCGTTGTGATCCATCATCATCCGTTTTGAAATCAATCTCACCTCGGTTGCATTTCTTGCTGCCATGCAATAAAGGTTTGCGTGATGGATGATCGCGGATTTTTCGTAGCCAACTACGGAACGAGCGTCTTTTGGTAACAATGTGAGGATCTTGGATAGGTCCCATGGCATCAAAGCGTTAAAAAAAATTACAAGAGAAAATGAAAAGAGAATGTAATAAAAAAAAAAGAGAAAAGCAATGGAATGAAATGAAAAAGGATGATGAAACTCGATTCACCTGTTATGCTAGCTCGCTTATTTTAGCTAAAACTGTGTAGTGTGTGACATATCTAAACTCTACATCACAACGCTTGGTGGCCTTGTTCAAGTAATGACCGGTGTAACAGAGCCTTACCTTTTATAATCCTGATATTCCGTCAGTCAGTTCAGATCCATGTCATTTCAATTCTTCTGTTCTTCCATGAAGCTGATAAAAAAAAAAAAGAAGGGCCAATAGCTTGAAAAGGTGGTAAGCTACTGTTCATTCTCCTCGTATTTGTGAACAATCGAACTTGTCGGCTAGTCTGTTCAAGCAGATCCCTACGTGCATCACAAATTTGAAAAATGTCAAATATGGCAGTTCCGATCTTCTCAGAAGAGAAGCATCAAAAAACTCGACCACTTGTCTTTCACCACTATTTATGTTATGTGATTTGAAAGAAGACTTACCTATCCATATTAAAATCTGAGGTACCGGATACTTGTAACTTTATCTATTGAATTTAATCATGTCGTTTTCGTTGGCCCATTGACGTATTGGCACATTCTGTTTCTCATGGTCATGCTTTGGAAGGACTTTAAAAATTCTAAAAAGATTTCTTCGCATGTTAATTCGGTTTAAACTATTGTAAATGGAAGCACGGTATATGGATTTTTCCAACTTGGTTAGTCTCTAATCCATCGTCACTGCAGGTCGTACAGAAGGTCTTTGTACCACTACCGATGAAATAATAAGAAAAAAGAAAGAGTTAAAGTAATTTTGATGACCATTGCACTTTTTGAAGTATAGACTAGTTTTGATAGTTCAAAGTTTGTTTGAAAACACAAACGGCGATCTTTTTTTTTTTTTTTTTTTTTTTTTTTTTAGCAATCATCTTTGTGAGGCCTTTTGCAGGCGTGTTACTATAATTTCTAGTCCAATGAAAAATCGAATAAGTGCTACCACATTCTTCTTCCAGGCATTAACTGAGTCGTATAACGGCAAGTGAGATATGATACGATATTAGTTGTGAAAGTTTTTTTTTTTCGTACACAAAGCACTGGTTGTATTGGCTCTTGGGCGTCTTCTTGCTTATTAGAGTATCTTCAAACTTCAAGGCAGTGAAAATTTTGACCCATATTTATTGTTGGTTATGACGAGTACAAAATGATAGGATTAACTGCGGAAAAAGCATGATCTGGTAAGTATCATGATATGATACCTGTTCAACAATATGATTTTCATACATTGTGGGATGGGTGCTTATCATGCATGATGGTCGCAGGTGCAACCTGGAAAAATTCATTCGATGGCAAAGTGGATGACTCACGATTTGCTGGAGCGGAGGTGACTGGCAAAATTATCAGAAAAAGATTGCCCTTTTTTGATCTTTTTTTTTTTTTTTTTTTTTTTTTGGTCTCTTTTTATACTTCCATCGTAACTCCTTTCCCCACTTGAACCTTTTAATTCACTCAGTATGAGCACCTTTGGAAAGATTTACCGGGTCACCACATTTGGTGAATCGCACTGCAAAGGCGTCGGCGCTATTGTCGACGGTGTTCCGCCCGGCATGGAGCTTACAGAAAAGGACATTCAAACGCAGCTGTCACGACGACGACCAGGACAAAGCAAATTAACCACACCTGTAAATTGAAGGACCCACTTTCATTGTCACTGCATTGCATTTGACTGACCCTTACATTGTCATTTTCTTTTTTGTAGCGCGATGAGAAAGACCGAGTGACCATCATGTCTGGTACAGAATACGGTGTGACGCTTGGAACACCCATCGGTTTACAAGTACCTAATCTCGATCAACGTCCTCACGATTACAGCGAAACCGATGTGTATCCTCGTCCCAGTCACGCCGATTACACTTACCTTAAAAAATACTCTGTCAAGGCTTCCTCCGGAGGCGGTCGTGCGTCGGCTCGTGAAACCATTGGCCGTGTGGCCGGTGGCGCCATTGCTGAGAAATACCTCAAATTGGCCTATGGCGTTGAAATTGTCGCTTTCACATCGAGTGTTGGCAAGGCCGCCATGCCATTCATTCACGATCTCGCCGAAGAAGACAAATTGAAGCCTGAATTTTACGAATTTTTGAATACCGTCACACGGGACCAGGTCGATGCGGATATCACCCGCTGTCCCGACGCCACTACGGCTGAAACTATCAAAGAAGTAAGTAACACAAACCGACCAAAAAGAAAAAAACGCCAACAGGGTCATGCACCAAGGTTGAGTGCACATGGAGGAAGCATGCGTTATTAATCCTATGCGGTGTCGGACACTAGGTGATTACCAAGAAATCGGAGGAAAAGGATAGCATTGGTGGTACAGTGACATGTGTGATCCGCAACTGTCCCGTGGGTCTGGGCGAGCCTTGTTTTGACAAATTGGAAGCACTTTTGGCTCACGCCATGCTGTCGATTCCTGCGACCAAGGGTTTCGAGTTTGGTTCGGGTTTCCAGGGTACAAAGATGGCGGGCCATCAACACAACGATCCTTTTGTCAAGAAGGCCGACGGTTCGTTTGGTACCGTCACCAATAACTCGGGAGGCATTCAGGGCGGTATCTCCAACGGCGAAAATATCTATTTCCGAGTCGCTTTCAAACCGGCCGCCACCATTTCTCAAGATCAACAGACAACCTCGTATGATGGTGTGTTTGGTACCTTGGCCGCAAGAGGTCGTCACGATCCCTGCGTCGTCCCTCGTGCTGTGCCCATCGTGGAAGCCATGGCCGCTCTTGTCATCATGGATGCCGCACTGCAACAAGAAGCTCGCCAGGCCGCCATGTCAAGGCTCCCTTCCATCGACATTCATCACTCTCTTTTGGGAAAAGCACCTAAAGAATAGAAACATAGAAACAATTATGTATAAAAAAAAAAAGAAAAGACAAACAAAAAAAGTGGATTACTATCTACATGCCGTTTTTTTTATTGTTACAGTGAATGCGAAAGAGTTTAATGGCGAGATCGTTTATATCGAGGCTGATCCGGTTGCTCTTCTTCCTCCTCTTCTGCCCGCTTCCTCTCCTTCTTCCGGATACTCATTGATCCCTTCTTCAGCTTCATCATCATCGTACGCATTTTCGTTTACACCCGGATTGCTCTAATAATGATATTGTTTCAGACTCTCGTGGTCCTCGTTTGATCCTTTCCCTGATAGATCCACTTACTCTTTTGGCGATTTGTTTTTCGTCTTCGGAACTGTCATTCTCGTCAATATAGGCCAAGTTGATCTTAAAATCGCGAGCCGTGCTGCGCTTCATGTACTGCATGAGATCGACCTTGGACTTGCGTGTCAACTGAATCAGATGGCGTTCAAAGTGTTCCACCAAAAAAATCAAATGAGGGATCATTTTGGCCTCACGAAGCACTTTGGCCTACATTAAGAGAGAGATCCTGTGAGTTTGGATCGTACGAGTTGATGAAGCCGTGAGCTCCGTACCTTTTCTTTTGCACTGACAATCTTCTTTCCCTTTTTGCGTCCGCCGGAGCCCACTTCATCTTGCCGTTGACCATGTACTGTGAGGAACTTGTACATTTTATCGGTCACGCCTTCGCCCGCCATCATGATCAGTAAACTGAATTCCTTGGATATCATCTTGGGATTCAATAGTTTCTAAAGTATCAAAAGAAAATCGATAAATAGACCATTCAAAAAGAATCAAAAACTTGCGTCGCTTTACATATTTCACAAATGCTGCCAACATTTTGTATATTTTCGAAAGCACTTTGATCAGATTTTCTGCAAAGGTTCCTGACAGTACGGCTTTGGTCAATTCACTGACCACCGTAAGGTAGCACATGATACGTGCGCAAACCCCACGTTCAAACTCGAGCACGACTTCATCCTCTACATTGGTCCCAGTAGCTACTCGAATCGTTTTTTCCGTCAGTGTCAGAAGTAGATCCACTTGATAATACCATACGTACCACAAAGTTTGAGACGGTTGATACACCAGAACATGTCGTCGGCTGATTGGTCGACGAACGAGAGTAATTGCATGGTGATGACTCCGTGAGTTTTTGGATTGATAAGAACAAAGACGATTGCCGGTTGATCGGATTGGCTGTTGGCGGTTGTCGCCTCGAGATCGCCCATCAAGGTATGTATATCTTTGGCAAGGGACACCACAATATCAAAGGACGCTGTTTCCGTCGACGCTTGAATCAACAGAGCAATCATTTCTTTGGCAATCGTGACATCTTCAATGGGCCGTTCACGTGCAAATTCGTCCAACCAATTCACCATGCGCGTTGCATATTTCGTAAAGTCGGTGGCCGTCCGATCCAACTTTTTCCACAAGAACACAATGATTTGCATCACGCTCGCAGCTTCCTTGTAAAGTTGACCTTGATCAGCAAGGTATTTGGTCATGATATCCTTGAATTCAGCCACGGTATCCGATAAGATTTTATTCGTGGTGCGGGATGACGAACCGTCCCGTGCGATATTCGGTGCAGCCACCGTTAATAACTGATCCAGGTACCGGACAAACCGCTCTGGCCAAATTTGAACCGTGGTCTCAAAGATGACCTTTGTGGATTCGATGATGGTACCAAGTACCGAATGACCCTGGAGTATACAAACAATTAGCAACTTGTACAAAAGTACCTTTAGAGCAGACGTAAAGAAGCACCTTTTTGGGTTGATGGTTGATAAAACTACTGTCCGAGTCTTCTGTCATGAGAATGTGCATAAATACTTGACCCAGTTCGACGCAATTCTTGAAATGATCGTCATCAAAATCGGTCCATTCACTATTGACAGCCTACAAGAAGCAACAAATGAGGGTGCTGTCTCAATCAGGAGTGGCAAGTTCATGATGGATACGTACCTGCAGCAAGCTCGATTGGGTATTGGAGATGATAAAGTGAATAAAGTCGATGTCGGAACGCAGACTACGCACAGGGGTTTGCACGTTGCCTTGCAAGAAGAGAGCTTTGGTAACAGTCGTAATGAATTCCAAGGTGAACATGGAACCGCTGTGCTGGTGACTCGCTAGTTTACGTCCTGAAGAAAAGCATTGAATATGGGCTGATGTGACGCCGGAAAGAAAAAACATGAATACCGTACCTTTTTCGTTGGTAGCATTTTCCTTGAGCAATGTCATCAAAGCTTTGCGTTTTTTAAAGATGTTTAGAATAAGCTCAAAAGATTCGACATCGTCGCCCTTGGTAATAAACTCATGCTCGATAGCCGTCTAGAAACGATTATTAGCGGACAGTGTCCCCTGTTTTTCGAAACAACGATCCCCATCACTTTCATACCTCGTAACATCCGAGCAATAGATTCGAATACAACTTGTTGCGCAAACCGAGGTGAGTAGCCATATCGAGGTTGGATGTCTTGTCGAGCTCATAGTCTTCCAGATCCGATTTCGATAAACGAAAAGTTAAAGAAGCAATCGCATCTCGACAGGTCTCCAGTGTCGTCATGGTCACTAAATCGTTAAACCTGTTGTCAGACTCATGCACCGGTTTGGAGGCATTTCTTTTCGTACCTTCATTATGTGACGTGGCCGCCAATATGCGCATTGTTTTCAGGAGATTGAAAAGCAGAATATGCACAGGTTCTACCATTTTTGGATATCCTCCGGTAAGAGCATTTTCTATACAAGCATCGAGCTTCAACGGAGTCGCCACGCCCGTATCCATTTCGTATACTTTGAGGAACTATTGTGAATAGAATGATGAGATGATGCAAGAACATCCATCATAGAATCGATCTCATCTTTGTTTGTACCTGCGAATAGAGGATGTCAAAGATATCCGTTGCCAGAACACTGTGTTGGTGAGCGAGATCGCCTAGTCCATTGTATGCAATAGCACGAATTTCCGCTTGTTGACTAAAGCATCTCCGCAGCAAACCTAAAATACACAGCATGAGATTTCCATGGTACCCTACGCCATGTTTTTCTCAAGTGAGGTACCTAGAATCTCAAACGCTACGCCATCCGACGACATTGATCGTGACGACGAAGATCCCGCCGCATTGTTTCTCTTGGTCGACAACTGGGCACGGAGTAGATTGAGGAAACCATTTACCGACACTTTTCGACCATCGACATCTCTAAAACAAAAAAGCAAGATCGGTTGGCCACCGTCATTCCATGCATTCTACCTGTCCCTACGTACTTGGCAAACATGCTTTTTCGTAATACGAGGATCAGACCATCACGGAATTGTTGGTTCGCTTGGGCCACGGGTAAAATCGCTTTCAACAAACGTTCAGCGGTGGCGTGAGGAAGAAAGGACAAGTAATCAAGGGTATCTTTGATCTAATTTAGATCTTGAAAAGTGAGCAGTGGTTCACAAGTCAGGAATCGAGGGGAAGAAAGATTACATTGTTCAAATAAGCATCCATGCCGTCCGCACAGGTCGTGATGACATTATCGAGCAATTCCAGGAAATGCATAGCACTAGGCGACCGTGAAACAATGCGTGAAGTGATTTGATCCAAGATTTCACCTCGAACGATATCATGCAACTAGTCTTTCTGTGAGCTTGCTGAAATAAAAAAAAAAAGGATCCTTTTCGCTCTCGATGGAGTGGTCTAGCCCCACTTGCCTGGAACATCTTGGTCAATATCTCGATACCAAGCGATGCAATGATCTCCATAGGTCCTTGATGGTGTCGATTAACGCGCGTTGGGGCAGCCACTAAAGCTCCATGAGTTAACTCTGTTGATATCCATTTTTTTTTCTTTGCAAAAGTAAAAATGCTTACCTGAGGTTCTCAGCCAAGCGCTTTGATTCGCTGTATCGATCAAGATCATGCCCAGTTGAGTAATACTTTGGATTACTTGATCCCACCCAGAAGCGGATTTGTCAACAATGTCCAGTAGTATCTGGCGCACACGTGTGCCGTCCACATGGCAGAATTCTAAAACCGCATTTAACGTAAATCTCCATCGCTTATAGAATTGATGCTCCCGGTTGAATTGTACCTGTGATCCATGCACATTTTTGGACTTTTTCAGTGTCTTTGTAAATGGCAACAATATTGGACTTGATCAGATCGAAAATCTAAGCAAGTGATTCATATTCAGATCCATATTCATACCGCCCATAAAAAAGGAGGAACCCTTACTGTATCTTCCAGACGATGAATACGAGCGGCTGACAATAGGCAGGCCAAATTAAATGTTTCCATAAGGTGCATTTTGTTGGATTTCATGTATTTGACGAGTTCTTGACCAAGGTCCTACACCCAACACCAAGATCAATTTTTTTTCTTTTTTCATCATTCCTTTCGTGTTCTCACTGACCTGATCTTGCTTGATGGCAAATGAAATATGAAGCATGACGGTACCCTCCATACGACTGTGGCCATTTCATCATGAGACACATAATTTCCCCAAATCATACCCACAATTAATTTCTTTACCTAAAGGCCGGGTTATTAGTATTCGTTTTGGCGATTCTGTTAAAGTATCCGCAGAGTTCAGCGAGAATCATGCGTTTATGACCCTTTATACAATCGTTAACATCTTGCTTTTGCTTTTGAATGACCAAAATCGAAGCCGTACCTTGCGTGTTAACAAGAGCAACTGATAAATGACGGGCGGAATTTCTTCAACATCCAGATCATTAAGTTGCCTACATATCCACACAGAGAGAGACATGCTTGTCAGTGGGGATATGAATAGTTCGGATCATCCATCCATGACTAACCTAAAGATCCGTGTAACGACCTCTTCCAGTTGTTGCGACGTTAATTCCATATCATTGAAAGCTGAAGCGAGGCTAACGGTTAATTGAGGATGCCATTTGGAGACGCCAATACATTTGATAATCTCGTTAGTGCTATCCTTGACTTCGGCCGTTGATAGGACATTCCATAGTTTGGCGAATATTTCCATCATTTTGGGTTGCAATGCAGTTTGCTGTTGGATAGCGTGAGCCATATCGAGAGCAGCTTGGGACAGAACATTCAGTGGCACGGTTTCCACCTATCGGCAATAAGGCTCAGTCAAACGGAGTCAAAGGCGAGGAGGGGGGGGAGAGGGTGTTGGTCATTATGCTTTACCTCGGGCAGTAGAATGTTGACAAGGTTGTTGACCACCTGGGCCTTTTCGGTAGTTGTGGCGATGTCTTCATTATACAACCTGCAAAGTCGCGTTATTGGTAAGAAAGACTTGTCGATCAAAAATTTTTGCTTTGTACGATTCATACCATGCCATGGCCTCCTGAAAAACGATGGATCGTCGTTGAGTACATGTTTCGCCACCATTGGCAGGAGATCCTTTTGATATGGTTTATTGTTAATAGTCAAGTGGCTTGCCAACGCCTACAAGGATGCCTTTTTTTTTTTGCCGTACCTATAAAGATGGCTCTAACAATGAGCAATGGATCGATATCGTCTCTGACATTGTTGGCCAGTTTTTTCCGCAGCACTTGTGCGATCTAGCAGAATTGAGGGTCAATGGCACTTTATCAAAAAGCGGCTCAAAGAAATGGTTTACATCGTTCAGTGATTGCTGCTCAAAGTATTCCTTTAGATTCTTTCCATTGGCCTGTTTGCTTAATTTCAGAATGGTCGCTTCCATTGCAAACGCGTGAACGGGGTTTTTGGCAACTGGCATTCATCTTGACGCGTTTGAAACGCGAATTTCGTGAATCATCACAGTCACAAGGATCGTCAAATCATTCAAGTGAAAGCATTCTGTGCCACTCTGAAAATGCGAATCCGCCATCCTTCATGTGCAAAAAAAAAATTATGCTTGACATACAGATAATATGCCACCTACTAGGCTATATCTATTGTGGATACCAAGAAGCAGATTCAAGTCCCAAATAGATGATGGACAAATCATTGAGATATGATCCAAGCTGTCACAAAAGGCCATTATACAATTTGAACCGAAAGAAGGATTCCGCAGCAATTATGCCGATGCGGTAGTCTCTTCAGAATATGCATACGATTATCAATATCTGCGAGAATAAACATGCAATTTATGGATCATCGCCCCATAACAGTCCGAACGCGAGTGGATAAGACTCCGTTATTTATTTCCAAGCTGTTTCTCACACTTCATTACCTACCAAGAAGTTTTGGTAGAAAAGCGGTATCTTTCTGAGAAGCTTGTACCGGTATTGTGAAATGTCCCAAGAAGCTCCAAAAGTGCGGCAGTACCAAAGGGGATCCATGCCGGACGACCTTGACGGAGATTGAAAAATCCAACGAACCGAGTTCGGCAAATGCAGTCACGACCCGTAGCCCGCTACACCGGAATCCCAGCGCAGGGTTGGTGCTCAGTTCAGCGACCGGCTACGATAAGGGCCACGGCAGTGGGAATCGTGGAAACTCTCTCTCGACTTCTTTGTTCATATCAGTATGGTACGTTTGATTTCTCGATCATGAGGATACCATTCGATACGTCTATTTTTCTAGTTGGATTGTACGGATGAATGCATACTTCGAATGGATGGATGGATTCGAATGGATAAATCGAGTGGATATCCTTTGAATGGATAGATGGACGGCAGACTTTTGACATACAAAGAAAAAAAACACCAGTTATTTCGCATTCAAACCTGTTCATCCAAACATTAGAAAGACGTTTTTTTTTCATCGGCTGGTATATTTTCTTTTGAAAGCGCAAGTGACTAATGGCGTTGTTTTCTGGTTTTTATGTAGACCTGCAAGAGAAGAAACAACGGACGTAACAAGCACGGCCGTGGCCACAACAAGTTTGTTCGCTGCATCAACTGCTACCGCTGCGTCCCCAAGGACAAGGCTATCAAGCGTTTCACCATCCGTAATATGGTTGAAGCCGCTGCTGTCCGTGATCTTCAGGAGGCATCCATCTACGAGGAATACGCCATTCCCAAGTTGTATGTCAAGTTGCACTACTGCGTCTCCTGCGCCATTCACGCCAGAGTTGTCCGCGTTCGTTCCGTCGTCAACCGTCGCAACCGTGCTCCTCCACCAAGATTCCGCTTCCAGCAAAAGGTAAAGAAAAAGGGAAAAATAAATAGTGCATGGTCTCTGGGCATAATACTGATATTCAATCTTTAATCACAGAACAAGGCCTAAACCGGTTGTCATGCTAATCCCATCAACTCGATTTCTGATCACTTTGTTCTGAAATAAACAAAAAGAAAGTCGGATCATCCGCTGTCCTGGAGTCAATTACATATTGGGTTTTTATTATTTGTATTTTTTGGAGGGAATCTTCTATCTCTGGCAATGGGGGTAATATGGGACCAAAATGGTGGGTGGGACGCCTCGATTAGATGCCAATAGAGCACAACATGAGGGTGATGAACGTATCATCGGCAGTTTTGATGTCTTTTTCGGCCCGTTTGATGCCGGTAAATATGAATACTTGCTCTTCTTCACCAAACATGCCTCCTCCTCCTTCTCCCGTCGATAGATCCATTTCCTCATCGTCTTTGGTCGAGTCTGTCCCATCATCATCTGCATCGTATCCGTCCAATTTGCGCACAGGCTCGTATTCAAAGAACCGTCCAAAGTAATCCTGCCAGAACCCGACTTCCTTTTCCAGCGAACGGCATTTGTATCCGATCAAAACCCGGGTGGTGTCATTGCATACGTGAAGCAGCGTGTCGGTTAAAATATCGAACAATTCGGGAAAGTACACGCAATCCGAAATAACAACCAGATCAAATGGTCCGTCGGCAAGCAAGGCGTCGGCGTCGGCCTGGTTACCCCAGTGCAAGCGACGTGCAAACACTTGAGCGTGACCCGGTTGGTAGTGCGTGGCAATGTTTTCTTCAATCAACGGCACCACTTGCTCCAAATCGGTAATGTATACCTGACACGGTTCGCGCAACATATTGGCAAGCGCAATCCCCACATAGCCGGTGCCTGCACCGAGTTCAAGGATCCGGTAAGGTTTGGCACCAGACACATCGACCGTGCTGTCTTTAAAGTAGGCCAAGGGTATCGGTTGCTGAGGCGTGATGAGACGTTGAACGTCGGGCGAAAAGTAGGCCTGAATAGTGTATGCACTGGAGATTGTCGGTCGGAAGTGTTTATTCAGTTCGAATGTGTCCATGAATTGGCCATCCACTCGTTTTATTACCTATGCCAAATCTTGCCTGCCAAGCCAAAAGTGTTGACGTCTTGACGCAGTGCCAAGTTGGAAGAAAACGACCGTAATGCTTCAGGAGGTCCGTTGGAAGCGCTCACATTCAGACCCTGAGGCAAATTGCCCACTCGGAACTCATCCCGTTCATCAGCCATGCCTTTGACGGCGCCCAACGAATAATAATAAAAGAAAGAATCGCCAAGGAACAAATCTTGAAAGTTCCGTCCCGAGCAGTGATTATGACGTCGATTTAAAACACCGCTCAAGCTTTCCATGAAAAACCCACCTTTTGTCGCTCACTTAGGGTTGTTTTTTTCTCTTGTTGAATCCATCATGAGTTTCAAAGTCAATTTCAACGCGCACGGCAAGGATCTCGAAGCAGCATATCAGGCTGTTTTGAACAACAATGACCCCACAAACTGGCTCATCTATTCCTACGACAAAGGCACCAGCGACCTTCGTGTTCAAGCAACGGGTGGTAGGTAGACGTTTTGTCCTCGATATCCGTAAGCCAAGACTCACCCATTTCCCATACAACTTCTTTTAGAGGACGGTCTCGAAGAGTTGACCGAAGAATTTGCCGACGGCAAAATTCAGTTTGCTTACACTCGCGTCATTGACCCCAATACGGAGTTGCCAAAGTTTGTCTTTATTGCTTGGGTAAAAAACGAGAAGAAACGACAGTTTGTCAACGAGTCATCATCATCTCACACTCATCTTGTTTTTTAGTGTGGCAGTGGCGTTCCTGAGACCCGCAAAGCTTTCTTTAATAACCACATGAATGATGTATCCAAGTTCTTTAAGGTAAATTTTCTTGTGAACCACTGTTATGCCAAGACGTGACTTCAATTAACGGCTGCTTCTCTTAGAGTTTCCATGTGCAAATTAATGCTCGTGATGAGGTACAGATCCTAGGTACTGCAATCTTTTGGACATGTGTATTGAGCTGGATGTTGAATTAGGCCGATGTGGAACCTGAGCTTATCATGAAGCGAGTCAGTGAATCTTCGGGAGCCAAATACAGTGTGCATAAAGAGCAAAGCAAACCGCAGCCAGCAGTGACACCCGTGGTAAGTTGAGTGAAAGGGTTGCATGGTTCGATAAGAAAAAAGAGAAGCTCATGATGTATGCTATACAATAGGGTTCCGTTTATCAAAAGACGCAGATTCCTGATATTGCATCCATGCAAAAGGAAGCCATGACCAGAGACAACATGCCTGCTCCCGTGGTAAGTGGCCGACGGCATTAGTGAGATGGTGCGCTTTTTTTTTTATTGTCCATGTAACTCATTCACGATTCCTATGCCAGGGAACTAACTATACACCGGTGCAAACGGCACCCAAGCGTCTTACCACTCGATGGGGTTCACAGGCCCAGGATTCCGGTGCTGCGGCGGTACGAGCGGAACGTGAGAAAGCAGAACGAGAAGTACGTGAACGTGAAGAACAAGCGGCTCGCGTTCAACAACAACGCGATATGGCTAGCGATCAGCAGCGACAACAGCAGATGGAAGCGGAAAATCAACGTCGTCAGCAGGAAGAAGCAGCACGTCGCGAACAAGAAGACGCTGCACGCCGTGACCAAGAAGAAGCGGAACGCCGTCGTCAACAGGAGCAGGAAGAACAGGAAAGACAGCAACGTGCAAATGAAGAGGAGCAACGACGAGCTGAAGAAGCCGCAAGACAGGAAGAGCATCGACGTCGACAACAACAAGAAGAAGAAGACGCACGACGACGTCAACAGGAGGAAGACGAGGCACGTCGTCTCCAGCAGCAACAAGAGGAAGACCAAAGACGGGAAGAAGAGGAACGGTTGCAACGCGAAGCTGAACGTCAACAGCAGGAGCAACAATCATTGCAAAGCCAGTTGGATGACACGGCGGATCGTGCGGTTCATAAAGCGGCCAACGTGGCTGCAGATGCTTCAATGGCCCAGCATGGTCAAGGTTTATGTGCCGTTGTGTTGTTTGGTTACGAAGCGGGCGAATCCAATGAAATGTCATTGATGGAAGGCGAAGTGGTCACTCAGATTGATCAAGTCGATGAAGGATGGTGGTTTGGTGTCAGTGAGGATAATACCAAGCAAGGCCTGTTCCCAGCCAATTATGTCCAACTCTTGGAAGAAGCTGAACAACCACCCCAGCAACAGCAACAACAACATCAAGAACCAGAGGCTGCTCCTCCTGCCCCACCTGCGCCCGCTCCACCGGCTGCGCCTGCCGCTCCTCCCGCACCCACTCCTCCAGCGGCTGCTCCCAGTACTCCTGCTAAGGAAGATTTTGGGCAAACCGCGGTGGGACTCTATGATTACGAGGCCGGCGAAGATAACGAGATCTCTTTTAGAGAGAATGAAGTGATCACACACATCGAATTCGTCAGTGAAGATTGGTGGCAAGGCGTGGCTCCCGATGGTAAATCCGTTGGCTTATTCCCAGGTAAGAAAAAACGCTCATCATTCCATATTGCCAACCGAAATAAGAATTAACACCTGAATATCTTTACAGCAAACTATGTACAATTACAACAATAAGCATCGACTCCAGTCAGATGAGTGTCGCTTTAACAGTGTATTTCTTCCTTTGCTTTTTCTTTGGTCAGCAACCCTTGTTCGCTGTTTCATCTATTCATCAACGTCCCGTTATAATAGAAATGACAGTTACACATGGAAACGTGTTACCAGAATAGATGATTCAATAAACCCATATTACTACAGTACACCTTTTCCATCACCATCGTTTCGTATTTTCCAGCCTACTGAGCATCAACACTCGAACTTTTTTTTATGTTACATATTGTATTGGAACTGCTATCATGTCAAGTTCAATGATGCATCGTATAAAGATCTGCTTTACAAGTTATAAATACTGTATGGTGTGGTGAGAAACAACGATCTGTAATTTATGGGCCAACACTGTGAAAATTTCAGCGCTGGCTTATAAACTTGTCTTTCCACTACCGTCATCATGGCGGTAAGTATTTTTCGACTAAAATAAAAATAAAGAAAGACACCCTATGCATACATCGTATCTAAAGAATAGACCTACGTGGTGTTCAACGGACCATGGACAGCGGCTTTTTGTTGCATCAGTTGCCCCAAACCTTGGGGAAGGATATCTTTTGATCGGTGCGACATCTTTTTTATGGCTTCGGTGTATCTTGTTGTTGCCATGGACAAAGTTAATCGTTTTCTTTGACACAAAAGTTGAAATACAAGCAAAGACAGTATGAGTAATTATGTCAGTGCATGGACAAATTAATCTTCAAGCGCACACTCTGGACATTATACGATTTGACATGCTGTGGTTTCGTTTTAAGATAGATCTGTGGGACTGAAAAATGATTTCTGATATCTATCATAGCTCAATAAGTAATACCCAGCGGTATTGTATGGTTTGATTAAATATACCAAAGATTCACCTTGAATTTATCCAGTCATTTACACATAAAAAAAAGCAAAAGGACAATATCACGATACGCAATGCGGTAAAAAGTTTTGAAACGTGTTTGAAAAGTGTTAAACCATATCAAAGAAAAAATGGAAATCAGTTACCATGGCTTCGCTCATCATTAACTAAGCTGATTGAATCTGGGTACATCATAAATAAAGAATCATAATGACAATTCCAGTTTTTTCTTCAGAACATATGATATATAGTGCAGTAGGCAAAAAGAAAGACGATAATGAAGAAATACTGATGATTTATAAAGGAATTTGTGTTCTGATACACTATGAAAAATGCTGCAATGGGATGACAATGGTCATATGACAAGCTCTAAAATCAGGCACAAATGCAATTGTTGTCTACAAAGAAACAGTTCAAGTATAATGTACTATAGAATGTATTGACACAGACACAGACTGCAGTGGACCATGATGATTGACGGCTTTTTTATTTTTTCAATGTTTTGACAATGTTGGAAACGCGGAGGACAAGGGCGTGCCGATCCTCCCTCAAAGTATTTTTTTTTTTTCGTGGGTTATAGAACTTTAAACCTGTAAAGAAAGATCATGTGGTTTGATCATGAATCTCTAAATTGCAAGGACATTTGGAATATCCACAGGATCGGATTAGGAAACTGTCGGCCATCGCAGATCAAAACTTTCCCCTGGTGTGTGCCAAAACCGAACCATTATTATTTTTGTTTTTTTATCACGCGAAGAGTCACAGTGTCTTCCTTTTTTTTTTTTGCCTATCTTATTGATCGTAATATCGGATCCTCTACTTGGAGCATCCACCTGATCACGGTTTTCTCTTTTAATCATGCTGGCCAAGGACGAATCAAGCCCTCCTGAAGCCTTGGAAAAGAAACATGCCTACCATGGGGTCCACTCCAGGCACGACTCGTCTTCCGAGATATCCGACGAAATCCTCTGTGAGTAGACAATTCGCCCATGGTCTCATGTCGTTATAGTTTACGACAAAACTATGGACTTGATCCATGGCCGGATGAAGTACTCACATTGTTCATTTAGATCATCCCCACACCCTGACTGCATTACTGGTATCATTGGCATGGCTGTTTTATGCAGCCATTCGATCGAATAATGAGGATACAGAAACAAGCGTGAAGCTCGGCATATCAGCAGCCATTTGCTGTTTCGTGTTTATCGGTATGATCCAATTCCGTGACGGCCCGTTCCTTAGGCCGAGTGTCCCCTTTTGGAGAGCCATTCTTGCCCTGAGTGTACTTTATCAGCTGTTACTGGTCTTTATGTTGTTCATGGTAAGCTTCAAATTATAGTGGATCGGAAGAGTTGGCATTTTTAATAATGGGTGGTTAGAACAAGGACGATGCACGTCAATTCATGACGTACTACGATCCCGATTTGGGCAAACCGTTACCTGAACGAAGTTATGCTGATTGTTGCGATTTGACGTGGGATAATATCAAGGTACGCTTGGAAGGAAAAGTGGTACAACATCGGTAAAGCAGAAGAGTGGATGGGTTGAAAGGAAGAAAGAAGGAAGGAAGGACAGAGAGGGAGGAAGGGAAAGAATGTTGGGATGGATCAGCTCAAGGGAAGGATGTCAAAAAAGCAAACACAAAACTGACTTTTGATTGGACGCAGAATCAACTGGATATTTTTGTGGCGGCTCATGCTTTTGGTTGGTATGGTAAAGCGTTGATCTTGCGAGATAATTGGTTATGTTGGATTCTTTCCATCACGTTCGAGACTTTGGAGTACTCGTTGGAGCATCAGTTGAATAATTTTGCCGAATGCTGGTGGGATCATGTGAGTAGTGAATGTCAACAACGAGAAAGCATGCTTAGACTTATATTTTTTTTTTTTTTTTTTTTTTTTTTGCTGCGGTTCGTAGTGGGTTCTTGATGTATTACTGTGTAACTGGATTGGAATTTATTTTGGTATGAAGACATGCCAATACTTTGAGATGAAGGTAAGCAAACTAAAGAGGTTCTCAAGGAACAGTAGATATGAAAGAAGGGCGTCTCCCGTCATGGTAAAAAAATGGATGGATCTTTTCTGGTGGATTAACTTGGGGATTTTTCATTTTTGTAGCAATACTCTTGGGTTGAATTCCGCCAAATCAAGTCACTGAAAGGGAAAGCCAAACGGGCAGTGCAACAGTTCACGCCACATGATTGGACCCGGTTCGAATACAAAGCGACCAGCAGCGTCAAGAATTATTTTGGAACCTTATTCCTGATTGCAGTGGTAAGAAAAAAACAAGAAAAAAAAAACAAGTGTGACCTTTGGATCGATCTGCATGGAGAGAATACGGCAATTTCTTACGTTTATATTCCACAGTTTTTGCAGTGTGAACTTAATTGCTTTTATCTGAAATATCTATTATGGGTTCCACCAGAACACGCGTTGAACACTTATCGATTGATCCTCCTGTTCTTGTTTGCTCTGCCCGGAGCAAGAGATATGTATCAATACATCTCGGACAAGTAAGTGATCCTATGATTCATGTACTGATGGCGACGGAATGCTGACTGGATCTCTAGAAATACACGACGTTTAGGAGTCCATGCATGGTTGTTGATTGCCAATATCATGACGGAAACCTTGATTTGTCTGAAATTCGCGGAGAATGAGTTTACCACGCCCGCTCCGATGGCCATAAAGATCGCATGGTCTGTTGTGTTTTCCATCATTCTCGTCATCTTCCCCGTATGGCGATTTATCATTCGTCCGGTACGAAAAGAGGAACATTGGGTCAAGGAAGAATAACTTGTATTCTATCTAGAATCAAAACCAAAAAATTACCTTTTAAAACATATATAAAAGCTTATTACTCTCTCATCGCGCCATGCCCCATTTTCCAACCAAAAAAGGATTTTTCTGCTCTTGCAACACCCAAATTTTTTTTTCTCCATCGTCTCGGGCAGGCTTTTAAAGTTCAAGTCCGAACAAATGGCGCAAGAAAACGGCAAGAACTGCCTGAAATGGGCAATGGCGGGTATTAAATTTATCGATTGGTAGATGGTTTTTCCTGCTCAAGTGCAACTGACCCTGAATGCACATTTGAATGTCCTCAATTTGTGCTTCCTAGTTTTTTTCGCTTAATTTTTTTTTTTTCCTTCTTCTTTTAAAGTTCTTTTTTTCTTCTTTCCTTACTCCAATTAATATATTGATACCGATTTACCAGGGAACATACTGCGTATGGATCATTGTAACCCATATGTAAGTTAGCTGTCATTTCTGTCTATGGATCGGAATAACGCTAATAGCTAAAAACTTTATGATAGAATCCCTGGATAGGCGATGATTTCACGCCATGCTTCAGAAAACAGTAAATACACCAATATCTTTTATTTTTTCGGAGGAACACAATGGCTCTTGATAAAGTATCATGAGGGCTAACCTTTTTGGTGCATTTCTCGCTAGGTATATTGACGCTTACTTACCGTATGCGATCATGGCATGTTCGGCGATCATGGCACTGATCGGTGTATTTCGGTGGCGACGACGATGCGTCATGAGCAAATATGCTCCGTTGAAAAGTCAGCCTTCGGTCATGCCATCCTACGGCACCGTACCGGATGTTGCTGATGATCACTCTTCAAGCAGCAGTAGCACACTCACGCCCGAAGCAGAAAGTCAGATGGTGACCTCCAGGTGGTCCGTGTACAACTTGGCAAGAGTGGCGTTGGCAGTTGCGCAAATCGTTTTATACGTACAGATGGGTTTAGCCAAATTGAGCGATACCACCGATCCCTATCTTTTTGGTATCGTCACAAGTTCTCTGGTGTTTTGGGTGAGTGATAGATACGAGTCGGATCGATACTGTAATGCGATGTATATTGATTTTGCCTGAAAAAAAAAAAGGGTTACTCGTTGATACTTGCTCTTGCCAATGTATCTAGTCGCTACAAATCATTGGCTGATATGCTTTGCCATCATCTCAATGGACTCTACGTTTGCAGCTTTATCATTGCTTTGATTGATGTGCGTTCCAATTATTTATTGGGTGGACTGGAGAATATTGGGCTCGAGTACCGCCTTGCTCTAGTCTCGTTTTCCCTTACTTCACTGATGTTGGTCCTTGTTATCAATGAGGAACGTCATGCCCCGGAGAAACCCATTATCACTGAAACTGTAAGTATGATACCATGCCGTGAGAGGAGTTTTGGAAAACCAAGGCGAAACTAAGAGTATCGGCTATTAGGGACGCATCATGTCGGGTGAGAAATGGGCTTCCATTTATTCCCAGTTCATGTTCACTTGGACCAATGCCATGATGAAGGAAGGAAGCAAGCGTACGTTGAACGACCAGGATCTTTTGGAATTACCTGCGGAAAACCGAGCCAAGGATACCCTGATGACTTACCGATCTCATCGCACCAAGTCCATGGCATTGTCTATCTTCTGGACCTTCCGACGGGCGCTAACGTATCAGTTCTTTTATTGTATGGTGTGGTCCGTCGTCATGTTTGGTCCTCCCTACTACCTCAACAAGATCATCAAGTTCATTGAACAAAAGGATACCGCCCAAGTGCCTCTCTCCAGTGCGTACTTGTATGTCTTTGGCCTGTTTGTCACCTCCAGTTTGCAATCGCTCGCTTATCAGCAGGCGCTGTACATTGGTCGTACCCTGGGTATTCGTATTCAATCCATTGTGGTGGGTGAAGTGTTCAGCAAATCGTTGCGTCGCCGAGATGAAAGTGGTGCCGCCGCCTCCAAAACCGACGATGATGACAAGGAAACCGAAGGCAACGTCAATAATCTCTTGTCCGTGGATGCTCAAAAGATGGGCGAACTTACCGCTTACATCTTTTACGTGTACTGCTTTCCTCTGCAGATCGTCATTTGTATCTGGAGTCTGTATCAGTTGCTCGGTAAAGCATCTATTTATGGTGTCGTGGTCATGCTTATTCTTCAGCCTGTCACCTATTTCCTCAGCCGTCGATTCCAAAAGTCGCATCAGTACGTCATGAAGTGCACCGATAAGCGTATCAAGCTGATGAATGAATTGTTGGCCGCCATTCGTATCGTGAAATTCTTTGCCTGGGAAAATCAGTTTCGACAACGGGTGGTCGCGGCGCGTGATGTTGAACTGAAAGCGATCCGATCCCGACTTTACATGTTTATGTGGATGGGCAATGCGTGGTTCCTTATCCCTATTCTGATCATGGTCACCGTCTTTTACGTCTATACCCGAGAACTCGTTTTAACCGCTTCGACGGCTTTCACAGCCTTGGCCTTGTTCAATACCTTCAAGAGTGCCTTGGACGAATTGCCTATCATCATCTCCTATGTCCTTCAAGCCAGAGTGTCACTTGGTCGTGTTGAAAAGTTTTTGGCCGAAGATGAAGTGGACCTGTCCATGCAACAACCCACCACGAATACCCACATTGGGTTTATCAACAATGCCAGCTTCAGCTGGGACAAACCTTCTGCGAACTCGTCTGAACCGGTGAAGCTTGCTTTGAAAAATCTCAACATCTCTTTCCCCCGGAGCAAGTTGTCCATTGTGTGTGGTCCCACTGGTGCCGGCAAAACGACGCTTTTGGCCAGTCTGTTGGGTGAAACCTATTGTGTATCGGGGGCGGCTGTGCTGCCTCGTCATCCCGTCACTTCACGCAGTCCTCTGGGTGGTGCGGTCTCGGGCATTGCCTATGTTGCTCAGACAGCTTGGTTGCAAAACTGCAGTATCCGCGACAACATCCTGTTTGGTTTGCCGTTTGATGAAGAACGCTACCATAAAATCTTGTACATGACCGCGTTAACCCGTGATCTCGAAATTCTCGAATACGGTGATTCGACTGAAGTCGGCGAAAAAGGTATTACCCTCAGTGGTGGACAGAAACAAAGGTAAGCTTGGAAATCCGACCGAGTGAATACTAGGGGGGCTCTTTGCTGATGGCGTGATCTGCTGGTTTTTTTTAGAGTGGCAATTGCGCGTGCTGTCTACTCGCAAGCCGAAACCATTATTTTGGATGATTGTCTCAGCGCTGTGGATGCTCACACTGCTAAGCACTTGTATGAAAACTGTCTAACGGGCGAACTCATGCAGAACCGCACGATTATCTTGGTCACGCATCACGTTGGCTTGTGTATGAAGGGCGCTGATTACGTGGTGGCTCTGCAGGAAGATGGTACGGTGGCCTCGTGTGGTACCCCTCAGCAGGTTATTAAAAGCGGTGTATTGGGTGACGAAATTGTGCAAAGTGATGAAGATCACAAGAATATGAAGGAAGAAGCGGCCGTGGAGGGTCCGATTCCCGTTGTACCTAAGACCATTGATCGATCGCACAAGGACGGCGCCGGTAAATTGACCAAAGACGAACAACGTGCAGAAGGCGGTGTCTCGGCTGCCGTCTATGCTACCTACTATCGTGCCTCGGGCGGATTTATCTTTTGGATGGCTGTTTTGTTGTTCTTTTGCTTGGCTCAAGCATTCACGGTGGGTCAGGATTACTGGATCAAGATTTGGACGGCCGCCTACGATCAGACGAGTAACATGATGGGCGCCTTTTCTACCACTCGGTTCGGTTCCATGGACACCGCGGCGTTCTCTGTTGCTTACGTGAACCCAGCAACGTCCACATCCTGGACCGCCAAGATCTCATCCGTCGATGATGCTTACTACCTCGGTGTTTATTTCCTGATTGGCATGGTCGCCTTGGTCATGACCACGTTGCGATCCCTGATTCTGTTTGTCGGTTCCTTACGTGCCTCGAAACGCATCCACTCTCAGTTGTTGGATCAAATTTTACATGCCAAGGTCCGCTTCTTCGATACTACACCCGTGGGTCGTATTGTCAATCGGTTTTCTTCCGATCTTGAAACGATTGATCAAGCCATCGCTCCATCGCTCTCACTTTTGGTGTATTCCATTATTGCCACCGTTTTCGTCGTGGCGCTTGTCAGCGTGATCACGCCGGCCTTCCTTGTGCCGGGCATCCTGATTGGCGCTCTTTACTGGAGTATTGGATCGTACTACCTTCGTACGTCTCGTGATTTGAAACGCCTGAATTCCGTCTCTCGCAGTCCCATCTATGTTCAGTTCAACGAAAGTATCAATGGTGTGTCGACGATTCGTGCGTTTGGCAGTCAGTTCCGATTCATGGAAGAGAACTTTAAAAAGATTGACGGCAATAACCGTCCGTTTATCTGGATGTGGGCGACCAACCGATGGTTGCACTGTCGTGTGGATGTGCTCGGCGCCTTTGTCGGTTTTTGTACGGGTGTGGTGCTCTTGGCGGCTCGTCAGTGGATTCAGCCGGGTTTAGCGGGTTTGTCCCTCAGTTACGCTCTTACCTTTACCCAACACGTGTTGTGGGTGGTCCGCATGTATGCTGTGAATGAAATGAATATGAATGCGATCGAACGTGTGCACGAGTATTTGGATATTGACCAGGAACCGCCGGCCCACATCCCTGAACGGTGTCCTCCGCCCAGCTGGCCACACAGTGGTGCGGTCAAGGTGGAAAATCTCGTCATGCAATACGCTCCAGAGAACCCACCGGTCTTGAGGAACATCTCGTTTGAGACGCGGCCTCGTGAAAAGATTGGCATTGTCGGTCGTACGGGTTCCGGTAAATCGACTCTGGCGCTGTCTCTGTTCCGTTTCATGGAAGCCACGGAAGGTCGCATTGTGATTGACGGAGTCGATATTCACAGCATTGGTCTTGAAGATTTGCGTTCGCGATTGACCATTATTCCGCAAGACCCTGTATTGTTCTCCGGTACTTTACGCTCCAATCTGGATCCTTTCGGTCAGCACGACGATGCGGAACTGAATGCTGCTTTGAAACGTGCCCATTTGATGGATGACGGTAGCAGTATCAGCTTGGACGCCGTTGTCACCGAAAACGGAAACAACTGGTCCCAAGGGCAGCGTCAGCTCATTGCTTTGGCGCGTGCCCTGGTGAAGAAATCGGCCCTGATTGTACTGGACGAAGCCACGTCCTCCGTCGATTTTGATACCGATCACCGCATTCAGCAAACCATTCGTCAGGAATTCGTGGATTCTTCCCTCTTGTGTATTGCGCATCGTATCCGTACCGTGGCGGACTATGACCGCATCCTTGTTCTCGATCACGGAAAAGTAGTAGAATTCGACACGCCTTATTGTTTGATGACTACCGAAGGCAGCGTATTCCAACAAATGTGTGAACGTAGTGGCGAATATTCAGATTTGCTTGCTATTGCAAAAGCCAAACATGAACAAGACCAGCATTAATTCCTCTCTCTTTCTTTTTATCCAATCTCCTCATTTTGCACCCTCCTTGTACCCCCAAAGGTGTGATTGTTTTACTCCTCTTCACTATTTATCCAATATCTCATCTCATATTATTAAAGTTTTTCAAACATACAACGCGATCGTTGCCGCTGCATGCACGTAGTCGAAGACATCTATTACACACTTTATTGAGAGACAAGGAATGGCTTGGAAAGGGGATAGCAACGAAAGAAAAAGTAAAAGAGGGTAAAATCATCAGCAAAAAAATTTTGCCGGTTTGTTCGATGGACGTGATCTAGTAACGCGCTTTGAATTGGATATATACATTCTTGGGATGCGCAATGCCATATCCGAATGTTCGCAGATCGGTTTTATGCATGGTATTGGGAGGTAGTGTCCATTCATATTTTCGCACTACAGTTTAACGGACAAAAAGGATTAGCTTCTGCATCATCCCATCGCATTTACACAGAAAGTACTCACACAACATGGCCAGAATCACCCGCTGTTCCATCAAGCTAAAGTTCATACCGATACACTGATGGCTGCCATAACCAAACGGCGACCACACCAAGCCTTGAGCTTCGGCATTCTTGGTACTTTCGCTCACTTGGAACCGATCAGGCTCAAAAGCCTCGGGGTCATCCCAATACTGAGGATTGCGTTGGGTCGTGATAATGTCGGCTTGAACAAGCGTGTTTTTGGGGATGACATGGCCCGCCAATACGGTATCCTCCATGAGACGACGTGAAAGCGAGGTAAAAATAGGCGGATGCATGCGCAAAGCCTGATGTCAAAGTCAGCGAGGCAGATCTTTCTATGATCAAGGCTGATACACTCTTACCTCTTTGATAACATTGAGGGTATATTTCAACTGTTTGAGTTGGTCAACGTTGGGTATCACATTTTCAGGCGCGGATCCAAGAATTTCCTCCACTTCCGCTCGGGCTTTTCGTTGAGCATCCTGGTAAAACAAAACTTTTTGTGAATATTGCATGCCTTCCCTTTCAGAGAAAGAAAAGATAAATTTCGATCTATCATTGTAGCTGACCTGATTGACCGCCAAGCGGTAGATAATTGCTGCCAATGTATTGGCCGTTGTATCGTGACCTGCAAGAAAAAACTCGGTTGGCATGGTTTGCTTTTTACAACTGAGTGTCCTTGTTTACCGTACCTGCAAGGAAGAAGCCGCAAATGGTTGTGCGCAACTCTTCGTCCGAGAGATACCCTTCGCCATTCTTTTCCGCTTCAATCATCAATGTCAACAAGTCCTTTTCATCATCGTCGGTCATGTGGCTGATAAATTTACGCTTTTGCTGGACCATGCCGTCCAGGAGCGTGAGCAGTTTGGTCATGTGTTGGTGGACGACGGCACGTTTGCGGAAAAGCCAAAACCATCGGGGGTGATCAAAGGACTGAAAGACGCCAAAGAAAGGGTGAACAATATTCATTTTGATTTCTTTGTAGGCCGTGACCCATTCGTTATCAGCATCCGTAATGGCTCGGAAGTCAAAACCTGTACATCCCATCGGTCAGTGTCACCGAAGGCGGGTAATACAATAAACTAATGAGATTTACCAAAACCAGCAATGCCAATGGCGTCCAAGGTCACTCTCGACGTGATCTCCGTTACTTCAATGGGCTCTGCAGTATCGATAGCCAAAAACATTTTCTCTGCCAATTGACCAAAGAGCTTGATTGGCATGGTCCGATGAAACGCCGGATTCGCAACCTATAAAAAACTCACAGGCGTTAATACATTTTTCAAACGGACTCGCCAAAAACTAAATTAAAGTGAAAATAGGTAGCTGAATGAACGAGTGGGCTTGCTTACCCTTCGGTGACGTCTCCAATGCTCTCCTTCGAGGGTGGCTAGGTTATTGCCCCCGAGCCATCGACCCACAAGCGAGAACTTTGACCCGAATAACCCTTGCTTTTTCTGAATACGGTCTACTCGTGCCGTGTACAGAGCGAACGATGGTAAGACAATGGGGACTTCGGGATCGGGAATTCAAAATGATCGAAACGTTGTCCTACCTGGCTGCGTCAATATCGCTTTATTGGCTCCTGGGTTCGTACTGAACAGTGTCCATCCTGAGCGCATGGGTTGCTACAGAGTCAAATATATGAATACGCGTTGGTAGAGCAATCCTGCATTGACTGTCTTTTAGCTCTTAGAAACCAGTACTTACGAGGTAAAGCCCGTTGGCTTTGTCGATGATGGGAAGCACCTTTCTTTGCCGAAGTTCGAACACGGATTCACCCATGAGGATGGACTTGATAAGATCGAAATAAGAGATGTATGGAAGATGCCTCAGCTGGGGTGGTGGTCGATTGATATTGTAAATAACACGACATAGCAACACACAGGCGGTAACACATCCGAGCGTAATCAATCTTGTTTGTTTGCTGTATGACAGTATATAGGTGGTATAATAGTCAACCAGAGCCTAAATGGGCATGGAAATTGGTTTCAGATGTTGGTTTCATTGTTGGGTTTTTCCCTTCTATGAACTTAAAAGGCTTACATCAAGATCGCCGTGATTCCTATTCATTGTAAAAAAAGTGAAAAGGAGTTGCAAAAGGAACAAAGGGAAATGGGAAAAAAAAACCAAATAATTGTAGTAGGGAGGGAAGAAGGAAAAATGATCGGAGTGATCGGCATATAAAAATCCTCGATATTGTCAGTGGACTGACCGTATTTTGGTGTTCCTGGTTGCATTCAGAAGGGGAAAGAAAAGGAATCACTGACCTTTTATCCACTTTATTGTACGTGAATGCATCTTTATCCAAATTAGCAGCAACATCATATCCCCACCGTCAATTAGGGTTGTGTTGGGTCATTTTTTTCCGTCGTCTTCGGACCATGGCCGACATCTCGAATGCTGCCCTTCAATTATTGGGAAAAAAGCCATTGTATAATTATCCATTTTGGTGCACAGGATTTGGCGGCAAAAAAAAGAGAGTTTATGTTTTGGTGCATGCCACCGCCGGCGATCTAATGAATTATCTCCAGGTATACATCCATAACAACAGAACATTCTATTGTAGCTCGACAACAACTACTCAATCTTGGTCGCCGTGATCCTCAGCTAACCCATGTAGATAGAGGCTGTTGAAGAAGACGAGTCCCCAGGGTAGAAAATGTTGTGAAAGGGAACACAAACAAAAACCGGTTACTGTATTGCTGTTTTAAGTGAGTTATCCTTGGGCGCGATGGCCCTTACCTTTAATAGAGCACCCTGTCATTGGGTAAGCTGTGTTTGACTCCATTCTACAACCCGCCACTGCACAAGGACTGTTCCACTTTCGCGACTAAAAATGTTGCTTCAATTTTTTGTAACACAGGTTTGCACCGCACCTTACAGCATTTGTCAGTAGGTTACACTATTTTACCCTAGGGTTACATTAAACCACCGAGTTGAGGAAAAGAGCTGCAAATAGGTAGCAAAGCGCAATTTAAGCACGCGCTGCGTTATCATTTGCAGTAGATATGTAGCAGCAGGGCGTCCATCCGTATCCTCTCTGCATAATAAAACGTGAGTCCACATTATCTTTTGCAAGCATCAGCTGCGATGCTTATTGCAGATTGCATTGACAAAAAGGGGACAAAGAGACCTATATGAAACCAGCAACAGATTCCTACTTTCCGGTCACAGCAATACAACGATGTTTTTGGTTTCGCCAAATCGTAGCAGATTCCGGCAATGGCGATATCTTGGGCACTTTTGTAGTTCAGCAATAGTTAATGTTTTGAAATGCTCGAAAACTGGCTTTGCAAGGCATTATTGATCCCTTGAAAGAAAAGAAACAGAAGATTACCGGCCCCGTGACAATCTCGATGACAATGCTTTTTTTGCAGCATATCACACCGGCAAAGTGGGGAAACGTTTGTGACGTGATTCCATGACAAGCTTTATTGCCAGCGTATGATCCGTTGGTTAATACTACCACAACTTTACTGAATATGAACATTGGCACAATGATGATATAATAATCAGTCTATTGATAATCGCAATCAAACAGACAATCATTTCCGAGTAAGGAATAGGAAAATGTATGTGTAAATATGTATAGATGTTGGTGTGTGATCATGGATACTTTCCAAGAAAGAGAAAAAGAACAGAAAGAAAAAATTACAAATGGGAAGAAACCCTTATAGAATTAAAAAAATGAAAAAGAAAAATAGACCCAAGTTTAAACATTATCCAATAACCATTTTTCCCTTCTCATTCGAAATTGCTGCTGTTGCTGTTGTTGCTGCTGTTGCTGCTGCTGATGCTGCTGTCGTTGTTGCTGTTGCTGCTGCTGATGCTGCTGTTGTTGCTGCTGTTGTTGTTGTTGCTGTGCACTGGTTTGATCATTCAAAACTGTCATGTTATGGCCATGTTGTTGATGGTATCCTAGGCCATTGGCGGTACGATAGGCCTTTTTGCATCCTGGTATGTGACATTTGAACGGTTTTCCAACAATCCCTCCTTCGATGGTGTGAGCGTGACCAGACGAGCCTTTGGCTTCTCTTAAATGATATTGTAATCCATTAATATTTTTGTACCGTTTGGCGCAATTCGGCATGGCGCAGCGATAAGGTTTCTCCACCCCTTCGAGATTGGGATGCGCACTCTTCATATGGTAAAATAAACCGTTGGAAGCTGGAAACGTAGCATAACATCCCGGCACATCGCAGCCATAAGGTGCGACATCGTTGGACATGGGCGCCATTTCCTCAGTTTCGTAAGACTGCATGCCACGTCGATCACCGGGTTTGGTGGACACCTGTGCTAGTATGGACGGATCTTGAACATTCATTGGCGGTGGATTGGAAGCCACGGGTCCAGGGGACGATGCACTAAATGTTTCACGCCATGCCCAAATGTCAGTCAAAATAACCCTCCCCGTCTATTTTTCTCTCACGCTCATCACCACTGGGCCATTCCCTGTATTTAGTTCACACTGATAACGTACCCTAACATCATTCCTTCTTCGTTCCAAGGCGGTCGCCCTCGGACAGTATTAGTCATCATGGCCGGTGATTGTTTAAATGTGGGTGACCCCAACGCCGCGGATGGCGCTGCGCTGGTAGCACTGGACATGGTGGAACTTAGTGGAGGAAGCGTAGTGGGTAAATCAGGCAACGACGTCGCCGGATTGTGAACGATGTTGCTGATATTGACCGGATTATAGGCATTCATATCATGTGATAACTACAGGGTGGAACGACAGTATCAGCCAAAAAGTCCTGTTTTTTTCTCAAAAGCACTTTAAAACAAAAAGATAAATCCAAGTGACGTACAGGATAATTGCCGTAACGAGGTCCTTGTCGCGCTTTCTGCATGGGCATCTGCTGGGAAGCAGAGAGAGGTCGCACAGAATTCATGGCATTGTAAGGCATGGAATGGTAAGCTTCTGCGTTGGTGGCTCGTTTCATGACCGGCGATGCATTTTGAGGATGAACGCCATCCTGCTGTGGCGAACCAAATGTTCGATACTGTTGCTGCATGGAGGGACTTGATTTGGGAGACACGCTCATTTGCGGCGGCATGATATTAGACTGATGTTGTTGTTGTGGTTGTTGTGGTTGTTGTGGTTGCTGTTGCTGTTGCTGTGGTTGTTGTTGTTGTTGTTGAAGATAAGCATAAGAGGAACCGGGTGGCATGGAAGTGGCCGTTGCTTGCGCGTCTATTAATGGGGATTGATAGGGCGGATTGAACTGTTGTCTTTGTTGGTATGCATATGGTTGCCTTGATTCCTGTGATGAAGGTTGTTGAGGAGACTGACCGTAATTATATAGATGATGGTACTATGAAAACAGTGAATTAGACTGGATGGTGATGTTAGCCGTGACAAGTGAGAAATACCATGCTCTTTATTTTTTTTTATGGCAGGAAAAAAAATGTACCGGAATAGTACCACTTTTGGATAGAGAAAAAAAAAAAAAAAAAAAAAGATGTGTAAGGAAAAAGGGAAATTGAAAAAAAAAAGTGCAAAGAAGGAGGAGGTCCCATTTTTGGGCACAGACGGTGGCTTTCTTTTTTTTTGCCGGACACAAAAATTTTGAGCATTGTCAGATCGATTCCCCGAACATCACCCGCCACGATTTTTTACAGGCAAAAGAATTGAACTCGGCAACCTCACAGAATCTATTCTTTTATATATAATGCTTCTTTGTTTTTCAATCAGTAGAAACAGGTGGATCCTTCTCACGAACAACAGACATAGAACAGAAGGTGGCACATTGGATCATCGAGGTCCTCTTATACTTTATCAGGGCCCCACAATTCTGCCTTTATTTTCTTTTTCTTTTTTTTTTCTACAAGGATATTGAATACAGTGGAGAAATAATTGAGGTTAAATAAAAAAGGCTTTAGTTGCTGTTACTCTTGTTCGATTCCTCAGCCACTGATAGAACAGCTTTCAAATGTACATAATCCACACATTTTCGTACATTTCGAAAAAAACAAAAATACGTTTTAAGGCAGATAGACTACAATGCATGCCTGCCTTAGTGGGTCACAAAGTTATACATTTCGAAACTATAAGACTCTAGTGCCTGACTCTGCAGAATGATTGAACTCTTTCTAATGCACCATGTTGTATGACGACTTTAACATCCAAATAAGGAAAACACAGCACCTTTTTTTACCAGCATAACTTTTTTTTTAGCGTTACACGAAAAAAAACTGTTCTTTTTCCATGGCATGAAAGCGGTCTGTAGTTTGTAAACCTTGATTGGATTTGTGTGAAATAAATTAATCAAGGCCACCACCATAAGGGACCAAGTGAGTAAATAGTGGTCTAACCTCGTGTGTAGCTAATCCATGATCACAATTTCTTGGTAAAGAAGCGACTATCAGTCTCTTTCAAAGACACAGCAAAAAAGTTCACGAATGAATGAAAGAAAAGTCTCTGAATATACCCATACAAGCATCAAGGGGAGGAAAGGGAGAAAGAGAGGCGAGACTTATTAAGGAGCAACAAGAATGTAGATCCTCCTAAGATGAGGATGGTACCCCTTTATTCTTGGGTTTTATTGATCCACTGCAAAGAGATATGAAAGTCATAAAGGGCAAAAAAAAAAAAAAAAAAAAAAAAAAAAAAAAAAAGATCAAGGATGGGGATGGGTTCGGCTGCCCACCGAGACGTGAAGTTTAATGCTACACAAAGGCTGGCAACGAGCTTGTCAAAATCCATTCACATGACCCGAAGCGACCCAAAGGCCTTGATCTCTCCCCTATTTTCCTCCATAACCCTCCCCTCTTTAGCATACACACTCAGTCACTCACTCGCTCGCTCGCCGTTCTTGTTTCTTTTTTTCCCATCTCTTTGCCATCGCTTTTTCTTTCTTCTTCTCCGATTGTCCTTTTGGTTACCATGGTGCGACAAACCGTCTCTGAAACAAAGCTTCGAAAAATCCTTGAACTCAATGACAAACTAAAAGAACAACTGGAAATCCCACGTATACCTGTTTCTGAAGCAAGTCGATCGTAAGTAAACTTGACCCATAGTTTGCGGGGTTTAGTATCAACGGAATCTAATTTCTTGTAGTCTCATTGAATATTGCCAAACCAACCGAGATCTCATGATTCCATCGGTATGGGGAAGTCGGAATCCCGACCCATTTGCAGAACCTGCTGGCGGATGTGGTTGTTCCATGATGTAATTACAGTCAACAGTACCCTTTGTTTGGTCTCCCTTTTTCTTTCCTCTATATTTTATAATTTTGCTAGAACATTGAAAGCCCCATTTTTTTTTTTTTTTGTCTCATAATCATTTTTCACTATCAAAAATAAGAAAAAAGAAAAATAGCACGTAGCCTATAATGATGTTGTATTGTTTCCCCTTAATCCCTAACAGTTTGTTGAAAATTGATCAAAATGTTGCTACCCTGTGACTTTTTTTTATTTTCTCCCTTGATAGACTTTCATTGTTTGATGGAGCAATGATTTGAGTGTCCTTGCACCCACTTAACAATATACCATTTGGGGTAAAGGAAAAACGAAATGAATATAAGGGGCTACGTACAATGACAGCAGCCAGAACAGTGGTTGGATTCCCATCCTTTCCTTGATTGGTATGAATTGCGCTTATAACCGACTGGATGCCATCAAATGCGTTTTGATCCTATAAATTAATAAAACAAAAAAGGGCTTAAAATTGATCATCATGGCAACCAAGCAGTATACTACCGCTTTCTTGTGGTACGTATGCCTATTCGTAAAAAAAATTACAACCAAATAGTTGGTTCTCATAAAGAGTCTCTACTTTGGATACCACTTTGAAGCTACGTGTGACAATGAAAAGATGAAGCACCCATCCGGCTTGAAACAAGTGAGAGCAAAAAGGGAAATTTTCAGTCGCAGCCAAACCATGGATTCAATGCAATCAATGATGGCTTCACATTCGTCCTGTCATGGCGGACTTTGAACAAGGCACGGTGGAGAAAAAAAACAGTTGGGTTTTTTATTTCAAAGGGATTTTTTATTTTGCTCTTTTTTTTTTTTTTTCTTTCCGCTTGTTCCTCCCCACTCTTCATATCAGACGGCCATGGATAAAACTGATCAGCAAAGAAGACAGCAGTTCAAGAACAAGGACACTTTTCAAGCCGATCAAGTCCGAAATCGACGACAGAAGCATTCGGTGGAAATCAGAAAGCAGAGACGCGAGGACAATTTGTCCAAGCGCAGAAATCTCACATTGGGAGCAGGGTCCATGTCTGACAGTGAAGACGAACTAGGCGTCGAAATGAGTACAGAGGTAAACCTTTTTTTCTTGAAGTGTAGATTGTCGGTACCATAAGTTATTAACCGGTCATGCCGCAGTCGCAACCCTCGTTGGCGGCTTGGGTGGAAGCGGTGAACTCCAACGACGTCGAAAGACAGTATGACGCCACTACCAAATTTCGCAAACTTTTGTCCAAGGAACGCAATCCTCCTATTCAGGATGTCATCAACACCAATGTCGTTCCGAAATTTGTCGAATTTTTACGATCGCGTCACGGCTTGTTGCAGGTACTTTCCCTTTTGAATACAAAAAGGTGTCGGTTGCGCAGTCAAATAGCTCACTCGTCTTGCTTTTTTTTTTCTCTCATTAGTTTGAAGCTGCGTGGGCTTTGACTAATATTGCTTCAGGCACTTCGCAACAGACGCAGTATGTGGTGGAAGCTGGGGCTGTGCCTATTTTCGTGGAACTACTCAGCAGTGAAGTCATGGATGTCAAAGAACAGGTAAGATTTTTTTTTCGCGTTTTCATTCACTCAGCGGAAACCAATGTTATTTACATGTATTCCTTGTCTCAGGCGGTGTGGGCGCTTGGTAACATCTCGGGTGACAGTCCTGCTTGCCGCGACTACGTGTTGCAAAACGGAGCTTTGCCTCCCTTGTTGGCCATCCTCAATGAGAATAACAAACTGTCCATGTTGCGCAACGCGACTTGGACCTTGTCCAATCTCTGCCGAGGAAAAAATCCTCCTCCCAATTGGCAAATGGTACGTTGTGTAGCGAAATATCGGCTATTTTGTGTGAAAAAAAAAAAAAGGTCTCACCATTGGATCATCTAGGTGTTACCGGCTCTTCCTGTGTTGGCGAAACTCATTTATTCCGCTGACGAAGAAGTACTCATCGACGCCTGTTGGGCCATTTCGTACTTGTCGGATGGATTCAATGACAAGATTCAGGTGGTGATTGAATCCGGCGTGTGTCGTCGTTTGGTTGAATTGTTGAATCATCCTTCGACTTCGGTGCAAACACCGGCGCTTCGATCTGTGGGCAACATCGTGACTGGCGACGATTTACAAACTCAGGTGGTCATCAACTGCGGTGTCCTTCAATCCCTTTCGGCGTTGTTGAATAGCAGCAAAGAAACGATTCGTAAAGAAGCTTGCTGGACGATTTCCAATATCACGGCCGGTAATGTCAGTCAAATCCAAGCCGTCATTGATGCCAACATTGTGCCTATGCTTGTGCACATCTTGGGTACCGCCGATATGAAGACACGCAAGGAGGCTTGCTGGGCTATTGTGAATGCCACTTCTGGTGGTTTGAAACGACCTGAACAAATCCAATACATTGTGTCTCAGGGTTGCATCAAGCCTTTGTGTGATATCCTGACTGGTATGGACAATCGCATTGTCCAAGTGGCGTTGGATGGTTTGGAGAACATCTTGAAAGTGGGCGAAATGGAACGCATGAACAATACCGAGGGTTTGAATCAGTACGCTTTATATATCGAGGAGTGTGGCGGCATGGAAATCATTCATCAACTCCAGAACCACCAGAACACGGATGTGTACAAGAAGGCTTACAATATCATTGATCGCTATTTCAATGATGACGATGCTCAAGAAGATATGATGAATGAAGCCGGTCAACAAGGTGCCGGTTTCCAATTCCAATCAGACGTCAATATGCCTCAGGGCGGTTTCAACTTTGGTGCTTAGAGAAACAAAAACATGCTGCTTTTTCTTTTCTTTTCTCTTCTTGGTCCGCTTATTATTATTCCTTTTTCTTCTCTTTTTTTTACGTGAATCTTCATCGTTGTTGGTTTTATTTTGACTTCTCTTTTTTTTTTTTTTTTTTTCTCCCATTGTACATTTTATTTTGTATTCCTCCATCCCCTTTATCGCAAATATACTGCTTCTTGTCCCCCTCCCCTCCCCCATTTTATGCACTCATCTTTTGATCCCACGCGCACTGGGTGATGCATCCTCTTTTTAACTGGTATAAAAAAAAATTCTGAAGATCATATTGTAGGCAAAGCGTTGTATTTGATAACATGATGGTTTTCGGGCATGCGCTGTTGTATTGCAGCACCTATTCTTTGACTGGTAATTTTTTTTCTTTGGGAAGGTGGCTTGGTTCTGTCCAGAGATTTTTTGACGCGCCAAAATCATTATAAAACAATCCACTGCCTGTGATGGATCCAAGAACATCTACTTCAAGACCACTTTTGATGATACTATGTCTTTGAAGAATCATTTATAATATTTTCAACCATGATACATCATATAAGCCAAAAAAAAGATAACTATTGTCGAGTTTTTTGTTCTTTATTTTGCCCAATTGTCAACAAAAAAGTGAACAGTGGACGTCAGTGTGTGTGGAAAAAGTGGTACCAAAAATTTAAGCCTCCTGTTCCTGTTTTGATGAAGCCATATAAGTTTTTCCCGATTCATTGTATATCTGGTATCTGATGAATCCTCCAACTTACCTTCTTGAAAACATAGGTCAAATGGCACTTGCCACAGTACTGACGATCCTGATGCCAGGCCATGAAGACACCAGCACCGCAGGTGGCGTTGGGGCACTCACGGCGGAGACGGGTGACCTTGCCAGACTCGTCAACCTTGTAGTACTTCAAGATAGCCATCTTGACTTTCTTGCGCTTGTGCTTGATCTTCTTGGGGGTAGTGTAGGTCTTCTTCTTACGCTTCTTACCACCACCCAACAATTCAGCGTTGAGGTGGAGGGTAGAGTTGTCCTGAACACCGTAAAGGGAGAGAGCCTCGGCGTCCTGGAGGGACTTACCGGCGAAGGAGAGGCACTGGAAACCAGCATCAATACCTATAACCCAAGTTGGTCAATCATTGGCTCGATGGAGGTGACGGACAAGATGGAACGGGAGCGGAAATGGTTACCTTCACGAGCGGCGATCATGGACTTGACATTCTCAACGGAGGTGGTGGGGGCGACCTCGAAAGCGAGGGTGTTACCCGCAAGAGACTTAACGAAAAGCTGCATGGCGACGGAAAGAGGAGGAAACAAAACCACCCGGTGGCTCCACTCGACTTAATATTTTGGCGCTCACGAAAACTTTTGCAAACTGCCATTTCATTGGCTCAAATTACACGGTGGCTTGGGTCTTTCAAGTTTAATCCCCCGCCCCTGCAAAAAAAAAAAAGAAAAAAATATTAACGGCTGTGTTTGTGAGCAGCAACAAATATGGTCAAAACAGTGAAAGCCTTCATGATTGGAAAAAAAAGGTACAGAAACCTTTTAACCAACAGTAGTGGTTAAAGGTTAATATAGAAGAATACAATACTTGTTCTTTCGATAATAGACAGAAGCGCGCGTACAGCTCTAAAGAGCAGAAACTAGACTTTCTAAAAGCGGCAATCATTCAAGTTAATCAAGAAGTGAGTCCTGATTTATGGAAACTTTTTCCTTTATCAAGAATATAAAAAAGAAAATAGATAAATGGGATAAACAAATAAGCAATGGTGGGATAAGAAAATGATGGGATAGCAAGAATACGGATCTATCTAGCTAAAAGAACATAGAAAAATAAAATAAAGCGCGCCACGAAGCACACCATGATGTGGGGATGGAGAGGTGTATACATATAAAAAGGGGACATTTTTTTTTAATCTGGACATCTAGATTGGAGATATAAGAGGAAACTTTGCAAAAAGAAAGTCTCAAAGCTTCAAGGGCTCGGCCACCATGCCGCTGTCAATTTGCACACTGTGGACCTTGTCCAACAGAAGACCCGACTGTTTCAACATCTTATTAAAGTAGTCGATGGATTCTTGCGATAAGTGGGCCATGTTCTCCATTTCAGAACGTTTCGCTTCCTTGTTTTCAATGGCTTTTTGCAGTCTCGATTGGATTTCCCATCCTTCGACGCGCAACATCTTGCGAGATTCACGGGCCAAGCGTTGACCTTGACTTTCCACATACGCCGAATCACGCACGGCCGCCTTGAATTTGCGCACCAGTTTACGTTCCACGGCATAGCGCATGTCCGACACAACGTACACAAACGCACCGACACCAGCAATGCTCACAATGGGCACGATAAGACGACGCATGCTTTGCGCATTCAAAACACTCGTCATGCTCCACACGCTGGACACCGCATCCTTGATAAACAGCATGCGGCTACCGACCATGGCCACTGCACCAGCCGACAAGGCACAACCCGAAAGCTTGTCGTCCAAGATAAGGTCGAAGAAATCGGACATCTCCACTTCGATGGTAATACGACGAGGCGTTTTTAGCAGCATCTTTTCCACATCGGCGGTACGAGGATAGTTGCCGAGATGTTCCACGCCCATATCATGAATACGTTCCACACAGTGCGAGGTTTCCTGACGAGCATATCCTTCGCCTTGACGCACTTCACGTCCAAGTTTCTGCGACATGGAATCGGCAATGTCTTGAGCATACTGCCAGATGAGGAAAATACCCGGATACTCAATCTTATTCACGGCTGATCCAATGTTCTCCACGGCGGTGTTAAGTTTGGCGACGCCGTGACGCTGGATACCGGCGACGGTAGATTCGGCCACTTTTTCGACTTGATGCAATAAGCGATCACGGACACGCAACAGGTTTTCATACACGGGCAGATCACGTTGTAATTCCTCCGAAGCCTCCTGATACTCTTGTTCAGCCTTGGATCGGTTCACTTCGGACAATACATTGATATCCTTCAAAAGGTTGACCAGATAGTTCTTGGCCGGCAATAACTTGGACTTGGTACGATTGCCAAGAACAAAGGCACGTAAACGCTCTTCCAAGCGAGCAAATTCGGGAGCGTCGAGTTTGCGCGAACCCAGTTCAAGATCGACTTGACCAGCACTGACAAAATGAACAAGGTCATCGGCATCGGCATAAGTGGCGGGGGACAATTGGCGAATTTGTTCAAGAATAAGACGTTTGCAACGTTCTTTATCGCGAATAGAATCGAATCGGTTAACGACGATAAAGATGTGGGTTTTTTCATTGGCGGCGTTCCACAGGAATTCTTTACCCTACATCATCATTATAGTTAGGACCATGTGGTACAAGTGACTCATGTCAGGGGCAGGTTAGAAAAGAACAAAAGGGCCGCATGGATGCCAGTGCGGATAGAAATTTGGGGTAAAAAAGGAGGAGGGGAAAAAAAATAAGCAAGAGGCTTATTTTTTTTTTTTTTTTTTGTATTGTTGACTCACCGAAAGCGTAAAATGATTTTCCGCGCTAACAACAAACACGACGACGTCAATTTCTTCTTGGCGAGCAAACACGGCTGTGGTTTTAATCGAGTCGGTGTTGAGACCTGGAGAATCGATCAAGGCAATGTCGACGACACCGTTGTGCAACAAGCTTTCTTGAGCGGAGCGAGCATCGTTGGCATAGATTTTGAGCATTTTATAATGTTCGTATTCGTCCGTGATCACCTTGTAAAGATGACGGTTTTCGATAATGTGATAGGTATCCGGATCCAGACGGTTGTACTTTTCCACATCAGGAATAGCATGCACCTGCTCCAGACCGTCATTCAGGGTAGCATCCAGCACTTCACAGAAAATGCTCGTGCACGGCTGCTGGTCGATGGGAAGAATTTCCCGCTTGAGCAGGGCATTGACAAAGGTGGATTTGCCGGAATTCAAATCGCCGGTCACCAGGACCTTGGATGAAGTGTCAGCGACCCGATGATGTAATTTTTCAAGATGGCGAGTACATTGCAACAATTTATCGTCCAACAGAGTGGCGATGGATTTGGTTTCCAAGGTACTGATATCGGCGGCGGAGTGACCAATCTTCAAGTCCAGATTCAAAATATTGAATTCTTTGGTGAGTTCATTGTTGATGCGGCGATTGTTTTCCACAACAGCAAACGTATTATTGGTTTCAAGTGCAGTCTGAGTGGACGAACGTCGAACGGCTTCAATAACAGATGAAGCGTGACCGATTTCGGGTTGAGACGCTGTTTCCAAATGATAATCCGCCATGGCAGGGGCCAATGTCTGAGCACGTTGAGGAATGGGCCGGTTGCTAGGTCGTGGCAAGATAGGATAATGAATGGAAGCTTGTCTCTCTCGCAGGTCATCACACACGCCCATGACGGCAGTAATGTGAGACAATAATCGTTGGCAGCTGTCACGGTACGTACGTTGTTCCTGAGCAGCATTGAGCCGGTGTTGGTGCGTGCGAGCGGCGGAAGTGGAAGTGGAGGAGGAAGGTGAGAGTGTAGCAGGGGAGTTCAAAATAGGAGAAACGGGTGAAAACGGAGAAGCTTGACGAAGATCGAAGGGTCTAGTAAATTCGGTGGATTTGCCAGGCAGGTTAAAGTAGCTATCGTCAAGAGGTTCAATGGTAGGTGCGGAATTTCTTCTCAATGACCTTCTGGAGGACATGAGAGACGAAGGAACTCCAAAGTATTTTGGCTCAGACATCGTCCACAATGATTAGGGAAAATGGTAAGCAAATTCCAATGGTTTCGTGGTACAAAGTAAAGTGACTAGGCAACCAAGAGTGAATGGAGTTGATTGAGAGTTAGAGTTATGGGAGGATAGGTTTGAACACTAAGTGAACAATACCAAGCAGGAAATAAAAATAAAACAAGTATTAGTTAAAAAAAAAAAAAAAGGAAATATCGGGTCACCCTCGTCGCAATAAAAAAAAAAAAAAAAAAAGAAATTACACGTCACCCGGACTGACCGTTTCCCGTCGGGCCATTTTTTTTACGCCTGATATTTTTTTGGCTGTTTCTCCAACGAGGGGGAAAAAGGGTCGATCTTTTTTTTTGAGAGAGAGAGGAAGGACGGGTAAACCATCCTAAAAGGGGAAAACAAACGTTTTTTTTTTTTTTTTTGTGAAAGTGTCGACCATGTCGTCGACTGTGGAATCTTCTTCAGCAACTTCGTCGTCTGTCCCTTTTTCCGTGCGTATTCGTGTAGATATCAAACCACCAGAAGACTATCCCGTGATATTCTCGTATCAGGAATTGCTTAAACGCCAACAACGAGCCAAACCACCTCCACAGGCACTGTCCATCGCATTACCCACCAATCCCGTATCCGAAGAAGACAAGTTCTATCAAGGATTGCTGGAACGCGCAGCCAAATATGATCTGGAAGACACAGAAGACGTCGATCAATCCGATGACGAACCGGCTCAAGTACGATTATCCTTCCCGCGCTGAGCCTTAAAATCCCGCCTGAACATACCTCTCACCTATTGTGCCTTTGTAGAATTCCAAGCGAGGTCTGGTAGTCGATGAATACGACTATGAAGATCCATTCATCGACGACAGTGACATGCTACTGGATGAGCCCTACGATTATCATGTCCCTGAACACGACGGCTACTTTGTCTATCACGGTCCACTCGATGGCCACGACACGTACGTCTTGCACCCCAATTTTTTTTTTTTTTTTTTTTTTGAAACCAGCCCGCTAACGTCTTGTTTGTTTTCGTTGGATAGTGCACGAGAGCGCAGTAAAACAGATAAAAGAAAAGTCAGTAAATCCAAACCCAAATCATCCACCACCACCACCAAGAAGGAAACCTCACGTAAGTTTAATGACGACGTGCTCATCCAGACAGCCTATTGATCTCTTGAATACGCAGACACGGGAACTTCCGAGGATCAGAAAAAACCCACCAAAGTCGCTTCCACCAAATTGAAAAAGACAGCATCCAGTGGAGCTCAAGCAACCAAAGTAGAGGCCTCTTCATCAGCGTTATCATCCAAAGCGGCGACCAAGAAGCCCGTCGATTCAACCGAAGGAGGCGGACCCGAGAAAAAGAATAAACCAGCGGTCAAAGACAAGAAACCATCCGCTTCCACATCCACCTCCATCACTACCGTCAGCAGTCAGGAAAGTGCGCCCACTCCTACTTCGACATCAACCTCCACCACGGCTAAAAAGAAGGGCACTTCCACCACCGAATTGGTAACAATTCATCTTTTTTTTTTGTCAAGGCACTGACATTGATTCACTGGACTCATATGTACCGAATTAGAAACCGCTGGATCCGGACATGGAACTACTGGTTGAAAAATTACGGCAAGATTCTGCCAAAGGTACTGTTATTTAGGCTAAAAAAAAATGCGACATGGAATACATTACTGATGGTACCTTTCTATCTGTAATTATTGCTTCTTGGGGAATATCAACAGAGAGTTTTGCCAACAAGGCGAAATTTCCTGTCAGTCTGCGGCCGACCATGCTTGATATTGGTACTTTGATGTTTCGACAGAATCATAAGCTGGACGATAATTTAGTGAGCCATCTCATGACAATTTTACCCTACAATCGATTTACTCTCAAGGTATGTTCTGATCAGTCAAAATCCCATCCCAATGATCCGTCTGTATACCATTGTTTTTCTTTATTGGCGTTTAGAAATACCTTATGACCAAAGCCGGTCCGCTGCGTGTAAAAGAACTCCAAACAAAAATTGACGAATTATCCGTCAACCTGAAATCCATTGTGGATAAAATGATGCCCGAACAGCAGCGACAGCATGATGAAAAAGTGTCGGCCGTGCAGCAGCAGAAATCTCAATCCACAGACCAATCCAGTCAAACTGCGAATTCCGCTGCTCCGGATCCAGCCCCTTCCACCGAAGAAGATCCAGTCCTAGCCACCAAGTTTAGATGCAACGATGAAGTTCGAAGGATCATCTACGAAATCATGAAACTCGACAGCATATTAACGATTTTGAAGAATGAAATTGCGTAAGCTACTCTTTGTTTGTTCATGATGACAAGACTCGACCATTATTAATATGTCTCCTTCCTTTTTTTCAACAGCGGGCTGACGAATAAAAATGAAAACGTGATGGCGGAAGGTAAAGCAAGAAAGCAAATGTATCAAAAGGTAAGACATCTCGTTTGTGTGTGTGTGTTTGTTTGTAAAAGGAGACAAAGAAGCGATGAATTGACTGTGATGGAAAAATCATTTAGCTGTTGTCATGTTGGCCCGAGGGATGGATGACAACGTATGAAATCAGTCGGCAGTACAGTCAGTATAAATTAAAGATGGATAAAAATCGCAATGATGATGTGAAGCAAACATCCGCCACTAACGCTGCCAGCAACAAAAAAACCGGTATCAAACGACCGGCGGTCTCGACAGGCGGAAGTGCTGGGGCAGAGGATGTGAAGAAACGTAAAAAGTTGTCTCCGCAACCTCCTAGTTCACGACCACTTCCGGACAAGTCAGAGAGTAACAATCCCACACTATCTTCGACGACGTTGGCCCCCGAAAAGGACAGCTTACCCAAACAGCGTAAGTCCCTTTGTTGCATTGCTTTGTTGGATGAATTCAAGAAGAGTAACTTTCTTGTTGCGTATAGCATCTTCGACAGCGGAAACATCTGCGTACTTTCACCCATCTTCTACTGACACCCCCACTGCGCCTGAAACCCCCAGTCATGATCATTCCCTTTCCTATTCGTCATCGTCTCCATCGGGACATCCTTGGCAAAAGTCTCCATCCATGAAAATCGAATCATTGATCAGTGGTCCCAACCCTCCATCCTGATCCTACGTCTCCTCACGTATCGTATATAGGTTTTTTTTTCCCTCCATCTTCCTTGTAAGATAAAAAAATCGAACATACCTAATTGCATTCTTTAATACACAAACTTGGCAACTAACCTTTATCATGGATCGGCCCACCTCCTCTGATTCTCTTGCACAAATCGAGGCAATTGCACAAAATGTACCCCCAGCATTTTGTACAACAATAGTAAGCGCTCAATGCACCTCATGAAAAAAACAGCCATAAGCCCTAGAAACCAGTATGAATACAGCTCTTTATACAATGAACGACCACTCACTTTAAGAATACACGATTTAAGAATCACTTCCCAACCATGTATGGTGTATAATATTCTCAAGTTCTATATTGGCATCAGTTATCACATCGGACCAAAAATATTCCTAAACCGATAGCGCCACTTTTATTTCTATATTACGAGAAATACCTCGCAATAGGAGCTTGCTTCAACACCGGTTGTTCCTCATTCTTTATCTTGTTATATGCTTTCCTCATGTGTAGCGTTATTTCAATATCGAGGTTGTTCTCGAGCAGATAATGGTCGAGAAAATACTGGATAATACGTTTCTTTTCCGCTTTTGTGATCGGCGGAGGTTGCGGTTCCGAGTCATCTGAATTGGGGCATGAGATCAGCGTTCCTATTGATTCATTGTGAATAATCGTCACCTACCATGATCAGTTATGCTTTCATCTTCTGCGATACCCAACTTTCATAAAGGAAGGCGCCAATCTTAGGAGCATGAAGGTCCCCCGACTCTTCATCAGGAATAATATCGAAATCGCTCATTCAAACGTTCTCACCATAAATAATGGCCAAGCTAGCCTTGATATCCCCTTCTATTAGTTGTTGTCGCTCGTTATCCGTCAATAGACCAGCGTCAGAAGCCCTGCTACTGTGGAGGCCCGTATGCTCAAACTTTGCAATCTTTGTTTTTTTTTTTTTTTTTTTTTCATCTGTGTCCAGGCGATACGGGTGAATTCCAATTGCCTGCTTCTGGTCAATTTGTAATCGTTTCCTTGACGGATTTGAACACACTCCCCAGTTGTATGAGTTTTATGATACTCTGTGTTACAGTCACGATCTGTCACGACGCGACCCTTGGTGGCCAGAGTTATCAAATCGACAGGCATCACTTTTTGTGGCTGCAAGGGCGCGATCCTAAAATCAAGTGGCAATCACATTATATTTTTCCATTGATGAGGTAGTCTTGTTTTTTAACCGAGTGAATAGCCTATTGAAAAGCGGTCGGATGAAGAACATATTTTTGAATAAAGGAGTTTTCATGGATGACAAATGAAAAGATGGCATGAAATATAATGATAACAACAGGTGCTAGTTAGAAAAGAGAGAGAATGAAACAGCCATCGAAGAAATATTGGTAAAAACCTCAGAGAATGCATGTGAAAAAGCTTCAAAGGAAAACCATGAATGATTCATTGACCATCTTTACCCTCAGGCACACAGCATCACCGCGAAACAGGTACAACATTTTGTTGAGATTCAAGCGAACCAACTACCGATCGTCACCTCACCAAGTACACTGTCGCACAATGCTTGCCTTTTCTCTTGGATTGCCAGGATTCGATCTTCGACCGTATTGTTGATAAAAATGCAATGCACTTACACAGGTTTGGTCTGTCCGATACGATGCACACGATCATGGCTTGGTTTTCCAACGACGGATTCCACCAATTATCCATTATCACGACTCGGTTGGCCGCCGTCAAATTCAACCCCAACGAACCACATTTCGTTGACACCAGAAGTACCGTCACTTCCGGCTTCTCAAAGAAGGAAGTCAAGGCCGCGTCACGCTGTTTGACATTCATCGAACCATCATAGCGAACAAATTTGTAACCTTTTTGTTCCAACGCGTCTCCCACGATATCCAGCATCTTCACAAACTGAGAAAACACAATCGTTTTATCTTTTCCATCCATGGTCTCATGAGTATCTTTGAGAATCTCCAGAAGCTTGTTTATCTTGGCACTTGACACGAACTTTTTCGCGCGATCAGTCGTCTCATGGTTTTCTTCCAATTCTTCAGCGCTCTCGATAAACGTGTGGTGCAAATCGGGCGCATGCATCTTGAGAAAAGCCTCAAGAGATGTCACCCCTTCATATCCGAATCGCCTCGACATTGTGGGCAGCTTTTCGTAAGCCCATCCGCCATATTGATAAATCTTTAGGGAATGTTAACACGTGTAATTCATTGTGCAAGTTCCGTCCACAAGTACTCACCGTATAGACACTTTCGACATAGAATATGGCTACATGCCGCTATCACTCGAGCTTGGTCCACCATATCCATACAAACAGGGCACTAGCAAGTCACATTAGAAAGAAAACATGAATAATCGACGTATATAACGTGGCAAGATTAAAAACTAACGTTGATGATGTCGCTAAAATCGGTATTTTCACGCAAGAGACGATTCACTGCAGAGGTTGGCATGGATTCTGCAATTTTTACCCTGGTGGCATTTGACTGTTCTTCTTCGCCGGGATATGGTTCTAATGTAAGAGAAGGATGCAGACATGCTTGACGAAGACGGAGTAAGAGGACCAGCACCTATACCAAGTTCCAAACTTGCTAAGTTGATCCCACTACGGAAAATGGGTTGCTGACATCTTACCACAGCATACTTATTCATCACGTTATTCGCTTTCACAAACTTGTTGAATCGAGCTGGTGCTTCCTGTTGATGCGTCCGTAGTTTTGACGTTCCCTTGGGGAAAAGTCAACGTGAGTAAGATGCTCCACTCGTTTGGGAAGTTGCAAGATCGGCTCGCCATTGACCATTGCTTGCTTGGATCGTTGAAGAGCAATAGCTAAGCACGGGCTGGTTTGCAGTCATATTGGCAAAACCAGGATATTTTACCTTTGAGCAAAATCTCCACTTTTTTCAGCCTTTCATATATAAAGCAATGACAATTTGATTACTGTAGCCTAATATATCATCTTCATAAGCTTACCTTTTCGTGAAAACCTTTCTTCATCGGTGTAATAATCTCTTTATGAAATTCCTCCCAATTGATACATAAGAACTTGATCAACGAATACCTAGGAAAAAACGACACATACTAAAATTGGGCATGTCTGCGTTAAACCGTAAATCGTGGTGCCACTTACACTTCCTCGACCTTGTTTTGGATGGAGGTTGCAGTCAGGCACTATCGATATTGCGTGTCGATAAGATAACTAAAAAAAATAAAATTAAATGACTAAATATTCACACTGCTCTTGATCAATAAACATTTATAAGCTTACCATGATTCTGCCATCATGGTTTTTACGTTCTTAATGGTGTGCGCTTCATCCAAAATGACTCTGCAGACAGCGGATGGGTATCGGAAAGGTTTAAGCGCGAAAAGAGATAAAGACTAACCGATGCCATTTTAATTTACTAAGAGGACCATCTGGTGGTTTATTAGGTGATAGCAACTTGACAGCCAGCTATCAGCCTTCAAATTCATGACGGATACCCGCCGATAATGATACTTACTATCGTATGAAGCTAGTTTACTTTGATCCGTAGGACGACAAGGCCCATGATAAACGACAACGGATAAGGGTGGACCTGTCTTTGTGGTGATTTCGCTCTCCCACTGCGAGATTAACGATACAGGAACACGACAAGCGTACCTTTCGTCTTTGTTCTTTGGTCACTCGATGCCGTGGCGATAAGAGTCTCTGGATCGCAAGGACGTTCCTTTATCAGTGCAATGGCTTGCAGAGTCTGCCAAGGATCGCGTTTAGATAACCGCCCCGAAATCGCGATTTCAAAAAGATTATCTTGCCTAGACCCATATCGTCCGCCAAGATGCCACCCTTGCTGGTTGAAGCTTCTTGCCACTTCATCCAGTTGACACCAGTTACTTGATGCTTCAGCAACGGAATGGTAAGACCCTCTAAGACGCTTTCTTCCTCTTCTGCAGGCAATTGCTCATCCGTGCAAAGGTTGGACAGCAAGGCGCGTAACTCGGCTTCCGATTGACCAGGATCCGAGACGCTTTGAGCTTCTGGTGCTGGATCAGCTTTGACGCGGGTAGCAGAACGAATGGGCATGTTTCAGAAATAACGCTTGTAAGGCAAAGAAGGGAACCTTTTGAAAATCACTCTGGATAGCCCGTTTGCGGAGGAATTCACGAAAAGCTCAGATCGGAACGATATTCTGGCGCTCCCAAAAAGGTTTTGTCCGAAATCCATACTTTCTCAAAAAACGAAAATGAGACCAAGACTTTACAAAAACGCCAAGATTTTAATTACAAGAGAAAAAAGCGAGCTAAAAAGTATACATCAGGGAAGCTAGTTTTAGTGAGAAACGTGCCAAACGCGGATCAAGTTATCAGAGAAACCGGAGAACAGAGCGGAGCCATCGGCTGACCAAGCAAGGGATAAAGCGTCAGGCACCTTTCGGCTGCCAGAGGGCGAAACGTCGGGACTGACGGCGTCCACCAGTTCCTTCTTTTCAAGATCCCACACCTTGACTGAGGAACCCACTGCAGCAGCCAACCAATACATAGAAGGAGAGAACACCAAGCTATGCACCTCGCCATTGGCTTCAAGGGAATACAAATGCTTCGACTCATTCATATCCCAAAGCATGATCACACCATCCTTGCCACCAGAAGCACAAAGCGAACCATCTGGTGAAATAGCGACGGTGTTGATGTAGCCGTTGTGACCAATAAAGTTGGTTCTCAAACGCATCTTCTGGAGATCCCATACCTATACAAAACAACCCATATCGTTAATAAAGACCATTGCCAATACAACATTGGAAATAAAATAAACGAAGAGAATGGCTTGATTGAGAAGGTTCAGTTCGTTGTGGTAAGTTTGGTTTCAAAGCCCCACTTGAGCTCTTCAAAAGTAGCAAATATATTTTTTGATCATCATATCTTCTCATGCCAAAGAAAGAAATAAAAGCAGAAATTCCAGTTTACCTTGACAAGCTTATCCCAGCTGGCTGAGACGACCACTGGAACAGCGGGATTGGGCGAGAATCGCACACAGGAAACCCATTCCGAGTGACCATCGTGGGTGAGATCATACTTGCATTCACCCAAGGTGTTCCAAAGCTTGATGGATCTGTCACGCGAACCGGAAACAATCTGACGATTGTCGGCCGAGAAAGAAACAGACATGACATCCTTGGTGTGACCGACGAAGCGGCCTGTGGTGACGCCCGTGTTCAGATCCCAAAGACGCAAGGTGGTATCCCATGAAGCCGATAAAACGTACTGTCCATCGGACGAAATGGCCAAGTCTTCCACAAAATGATTGTGGCCCAAAAGAGACTTGCGGGGAACGCCATAGTTAATTTCATCCCTGCAAAGAGGGCAATCGTGAGCAATTTTTCTTTCGAAAAATGACATTCACTTTAACCATATCAAAGGCGTTCAACCCTATCTCCTTGGGGATAGGGATCGCCTACAATAAAAGAAAAAATATTTACCTGCGAACAGGTCAAGGCGTTAATATCATTGGATCTTTTTGGTATACTTATACAAACCGCAAACCTCGTCAAATTCCAGACAATAAGCGACTTATCTATGACAAGTTTACAATTAGAATGGGTGTGTCGCGTTGCCATCATTCCAGCATGCTACCAACTTACCGCGCGAACCAGACACCAACATATCGGGAGCTTCGGAAGAAGTGACTAGCGAGGTCACTGCAACGATATCCACGTCAGAAAACACATGTCCATTATCACAATATGTCATAACCGTGCGAGTCTTTACCCCAACCACCGTGACCTATGCCAAAAAAAAAAGTTCGAAATGTTAGTCCGAAGCTTTCCATGTGTCATCCATCCATCCATCCCCGTATTCATGGATCCATCCTCCATCCATCCACCCATCCATCCATCAGCGCCATCATTTCATATTGCAAGTACTCAATTACCTTCAAGATTGCCTCGGAAAACTAGAGATGGCATAGTAGAAAAGAGATGAATTTCGTGATCATTCGGGGCGTGATGGCTGTAATAAAGACAAATTTGTAGCGGCGCCACTTTCAGTGACTGGCCCGATTTTTTTGTTTCCCCGACCGCCCTGAAAAGTAGATCATGGTTAGGAAATCATATTTTTTTTTCTTTTATTGCTGTCTGTAAGATATACGTAAACCATACAACCTGAGTTTTTGTAGCAAAATCCAATATCTAAACAATTAAAGAAATGTAAATCACATGATCTACACCAAGTTATCAGGACCTATTAATTCTTTTTGCACCTTTTTTTCTTATCTTTCAGCCATGCCTCGCTACCCACTTTTAGGGTAATAGGCGAAACAATCAGCAGCAAGATGCCGTTTGCGCCAGTTGTGGTCAAACAGAGCATCGTCGTCGTCCAAATAAAATGTGGGTAGAGCTTTTTTTTTTTGAAGAAAGGTGGTGGATGATGTCGGTCTGGGTGTTCTGTTGCATTATTTAGGTTGGTTTTTCTGTCAGTTATACTGCATATCATATGCCCTTTGATTCTCTTCAATTTTCGGTGATCCAGTGATATATGGAGCAGATATGCTTCGATCTATGAGTTCATGCATTGACTATCGTTTCATCCATGGGAAATCCACATATATTTTGTCTTCGTCTTTTTCCTTTTTTCTTTGGTTTTCTCCTCTATTTTCTGTTTACCTGAATAACTCTCACTATCATTGCATCCCCTCGCATCCATCATCCATCATTCATCATCCAGACTATGATTTACCCGCGTGTATCTGTAACCGGTCAAGTCGATTAAATATCAAAAAGGTACGTTTTGTGTGATGTGACTATCCGTTTTTCGACAAGAAAAAACACACGTTCTTTTTTCTCTATCCTTTCTTTAGCTTTTGGTTTTCTCTCCGGTTTTCTTTTCGCCCTGGCAAGCCAACCATCCCTCCAAATCTTTCTACTTTGTTCGCGCATCAAATGTGGCCAATCCGGTTTTTGTCGTCAAAGGGCATCATCGGTGGTGTGGCTTCCTTTTTCATCGGTAACGCTTACGCGTCCTCCTCAGCTTGGCTTCACCTGGATTACTTCCCGTGGTATTGTCTTTGATCTTCTTCCCGACCATTTTATTTTTGTAGTTTGTAGGATGTACTTTGCATTTTATTCGATAGACCTTCTTGCAGTCTTTTCCTCCTTTTTTTTCCCGCAGGGTTTTTAGGGGTTTTTACAGACGCACCTATTGTCTTACTTTTTTTTTATATATATTTGTATCATTTCTTTTTTTTTCCGTCGGGAAGCTCCGGATATCTGTTGCCTCACATAACAAAGGTAAAATATCTTGACGACATTTGAATCAATCAGAGAGCGTACTAACTCATTTTGTTAATACCCAACATTCCCACACATCATTCTAGATTTATCGTAATCTTGGGCGGGACGGGACTGAGGGGGTCAATAAGTGCTGCTGCACACATGTTTGGAAATTATGACTGTACGGGTATGTCAGAGTATTGACATTAATATACCAAAGCTCCATCAAGAGTCTCGCCCAGGTTATCCCGAATGTGCGTTAGGCTTTTTGTCTGACGAATGTCGCTCAATGTAAGGGGGCGACGTCCAGTAGCAGGTGGCATCCACAGCGGGTGTACGGCTTGTTAAGTAAAAATACATTGGATTAAAAAATGTCTTTCCGTGAGCAAGACTCATAGAAAACAGTGGCACATTTGATTTGAAAACCCTCTCCTGGAAAACAAGCTGAACATTCATCCCATGTATCGAAATTTGTAGTATCTTTCGTTCTACAAAAGTAGAAAGCATCCAATAAGACATTGCAAAAAATATTTTGGCACCTGTTTTCGGTGCATGGATTACTGTACTCTCATAATCAAATCTTGGAGCTCGGAAAGAGAAAAGCCAACTTATTCATAGCAAAAATTTCTGGATCGCCGGGTTTGTTAATGCGCTTATAGTTTACATTCATCAAATTGATTTGCTAAATCCCAGAATATCACTACGTATTTATTGATTATCATATAGTGTTCAGTAGCATGATCGATATGTATCCCTGAAGCCTGCTTATTGTTTTACATGTTACAAAATCAGCTGTAGCATGATGAAAACCAAGTTTTCGTCAATGTTTATATTACGAGCCTCGACTGAAGATGTGCGATTGCTCTGAGAAACAATAAATCATAACATGACTGACAAACTGCTACAGTATTCATATTTTTATCTGGTTTATTACAGTAAAACAGCTAAAAACGGCAACTTTGACCCAGGAAACGACAAGTGCTTCGTGCAGACAACTAAGTGGTATGGAATCTGATCCAGTATTGAGCAAGGGCATGCCAACATCTAAATTATGTGCAAATCGATTTGATACAATTATGCCAATGTGGAACGAAATAAAAGTCTGTTATATCTTGTCGTATTCACGCAATGTGTCAGAATATGTTTGAGAATAAGGTGAAATTTGTTGCCAGTGTTCTTTGGGATACAATAATGAAAATGCTGGAAAATCGAATATGATATTTTTCCTTTTGTGTCTAGCACTTTGTGGTTCTGGCCCCATGGGTATTCTGAACGATAACAAAACACTATATTTGCAATTATCTTTTTCATCTACGTCTGTCTTATTATTATCCTACAGTACTTGACACCATTTCTTCATACAAATTTGCTTGAATCTACTGTGCAGGAGTCGAGAAATTCTTTATGATCGGAACTTGTCCGAGTCAAGATGCGTTTCATTTGGTGTGAGAAAAATACGAGTCAGAAGAGTCAAATGTATTTCTGAGATCTGGAAATGGAAGTAAGCTGAGAAGAGGAGATGAAAAAGTATGGATTCTCATGCGTAATAATATTTGGACCGCACGATGAACCACGTTGGCAGTGTGATTGTCTTCGGAACACCCGATTAGTCAGTTTCAGGTTCCGCACACGATGAAGATCAAAAAAATAAAAAAGACGCAGTGCCTGAAATTGGGAATTCATTGTAACCGCAAAAGCCTTTTTCTTTTTCTTTTTGCACAACACACATGGCCCATTTTTGATTTCATTTTTGATCGGATGCAACGTCGTTCATTCCACATCACTTGTCAATGATGACGGCATCAGGGGAAGTATATTTTTTGAAAGGCAAGAAAGAACAAAACAAGTCGTCCCGTGTGTGTGTATTTGGATTGTGTGAAAGTTAAAAAGTTAAGGACAGTTCTAGACTGTGATGTAGGTTGTTGCCACTGTTAAAATAAAAAAGACTGCACCCATAAGTTTTTTTACAGATGATAAGAATAAAAACAAACTCCTGATATTTAAGGAGGCTTTCGGTAGGGAAGCCAAGCATGTCGGCTGGGCGAAGCATGTTTGATGGTGCAACCCAAAATCGTCTTTTTCCCATTTCGAGAAATTTTCTTTTTATCTTCTCCTTCTCCGCAGAGAACCAATGACAAATATAAAAAAAAAAGCGGTGAATTTTATGGTGTGTTTTTTTTTTTGACAGCATAAAGTTGTGCACCAATAAAAGGACAGTGTAAGTGAGAGAATTTGCAAAGTTTGGTTCGGCATCTTGAATTGTAAGCTCCTTGTGTCAGCAATAAACTTCCAGGCACCAAGGATAGAGGGAACATCTTGGTTTGATATCAGAAAATTTTATTGTTTATTTTGCCTAAATGCATATGAAGCTTATTTGACAGTGGATGACCAAAAGGTGATGTTCCGAAGGGAGTCTATCATAACAAAAACCCTCAAAAAGCCGCGGTAGGTGACTCAAGCTGGCATGGGGTGACAGGATATTGGTCCATCTTGGGTTATCAGAAGGCTCTTTTTATGGCATCGGGTCATCCATTTTTGGTGATCCCGACAAGTTGGGCTTCTCCGTATGATGAGCGCATGGCGATTCGATTTCTTGCTTTGGAATATCCGCTTGCCATTGGTGAAACGGCTCAGTTGTCGAATCCTTCAAAACGGACGGAACAGGAAGTTCCGACCGTCCGATCTACCAACAATACTTTCGGATCACTCTTTTTGTGGTCGCAAGTTTAGCATGAGAAATAAAGATCAAACCTATTCTGGTGGGTGGTTGTATATAAAGAAAACCTTCCCATGCTGCATTCTTTTAGATTCCTTTTTTCCTTTTTGCTTTCTTTTTTTCTCTAGTCTCTTTTTTTCATCTCAACTAACTTAACTTACTCCCCTTCCCCCCAGCCTATTACATTACACTTGCATCACTGATCTCCTTCTTATGATACATCCACCCACGGCCATTCCTGTTCGATCATATCATGCCACCACTCCATATACCGCTGTATCTGACCTGTTTTGGAAACCTTTGCCTTCCGTTCTCATAGGTAAATAGTTTTGGTCACAATGGCTTGACGTTTTTCATTGCGTTGCTAACCCGGTGTGAATCCTGTTAGATTTCATGGCTATGTCTCTTTGCGATCTAATGCCACTCAATCCCAAATCATCCAATCTCCGCCCCAGTCGTCGTCCGCTTCCCGAACTTGTCTACTTTATCCAAAAAGTCACCTACCAAGCACGGATCAACTGCCGCACCGCCCTTGTCGCTCTGATATACTTGAATCGTGCCAAAGCCGCTTTACCAAAAAACGCTGTTGGCAGTGACGACACTTGTCATCGTATGCTTCTTGGCGCTCTGCTTTTAGCTTCCAAATTCTTGCAAGACACCACCTGGTACACCGTCAAAGATGAACCACTGACCAACCGTCGATTACACGACGTCTGTTGTGGCATCTTTTCTTTGGACGACATTCATCAGTTGGAACGCGCTTTCCTAAAATTAATTCGCTATGAATGCTGGGTCGATGATAAAGATGTCGATGCTTTTGTATTACATCATCGAGCCGACTTTTTTCTCTAGGCTTTCTCTTCTGTAACCACTTGTACATACTTGTATTCACTGTATTTTGTATATATCGACTTGTTTTTTTTTCTTGGCCCACATGTCCATTTTTTCCCCTTTACATTTTTTGTTGTTGTCTGCTTGATCGGGCTTTTATTGTAAAAACACCAATAGGAAGAAAATAATAAATCACCAAAAAAAAAAGGGAACAAAGAGATTCAGTTGGTATATTTCGTGCTTGATATACAAAAGCGAGAGGCTTTTGAAAGGTTATTTAGGGGGAATCGGCATCTTCCGGGGCGGGCGTAGTGGAAGATTTGTTGTCAGAGTTTGCGGAAATGGATGATTTGTTATTGGATGCGTTATTGGCCGCCGCCGAAGAAGACGAGGGACAAGTGGGAGTGGTAGTCTCTTGGTCATAGTCGCCTACACCTTTGATGCTTTCCGAACCATCGCAGTTGATGGTAGGTTTTCCAGAGTACATATCGAGAGAGCCAATATCCATGGTGAGATGTGTGGAAATAAAGAAAAAGGGAGGTTTCAAGAACTGAAAGAAAAGATGAAATTACGGAACACAACTGAGGGCGATTCTCAGCTTTCTATGCGGTTCAGTAGGAACAAGTGAACAGTCACGCACTAACAAATTAGCCACTGTCACTCGTGTGCAACCTCGCCGGAGGTCACGATAATAATAAAAAACATTACCAGCAAAAATACGTAAAGACCACTATGTATAAAACTTCTACGACAACGTGTTACACATCACAATGCAAACAAATCGAAAAAATGGCGGGCTATACGTGATTTGGAAGTGACAATGAATGAAAGCTCGGATAAGAGCCTCGACCATTACAGGGAAGCACCGGGGATTAAAAAATTGCGGAGATAGTACCAAACGTCCAAGCGACCAAATTGAAGATCTTTTTCCCAGTACGCTATGGCTACCAATGCATGCTTGCTTCAACGAGTTGCTTCACGTGCGCCAGCTTGAGTGGGCAAACTTTTATGCATAATCGGTACATTAGCTTGATATATTTGGTGAATGAGAGATAAAAAAGTGGGCAGCAAGAGGCGAAATAGAAGGACCGATCGACAGCATCGATACTGAGCACCGGTAGTAAAGTTGTTACCAAAAGAACTATGCTTACACATGCTCATTTGATCTACCTGGAAAAACTTGCTCGGAAAGGTCCGGTTTTACCAACGCTATCCGTGCTCGCAGTCAATTTTATTTTTCACTACCATATATAAAGAAAAGACATAAAAATTCATGTAAAGGAAAGGCATAAAACATATACAAAGGCATAATTATTTCAATCGATAGTAGCAGCGTTTGAAACTATTGGTACTGGTATAGCGAGAAACAATCTCCGTTATGGAGGGGTCTTGCTTCGCAGCATTGAAGCAAGCAGTCCAATTCATTCTGCATTTACGCATATCCTTTTTAAAGTCATTGACGAAATTTAGTATGGCTTCTTTTTCCCGCTCTGTGTGAGGCTTTCTGGTTAGCTTGTCTGACACCAGGTCCTCCGCTTCTGGGTCTTCCATAGGCGTAACACATTCGGTTTCCGCACCCAGCAAGTCGTTGATATTTCGCGCGACATGAGAAGTGTACTCCATGCCGGCCGATGCATAGCGCACAGTTTTGGCGGGGTCCGAACGTGCATGCTTGACTATTTTTTCGAACTGATCGTAGGTATCCATGCATACCCGCTTCAACTTCTCCAAGCGAGTAGCTTCATGTATGCCGTCTTGCTTGGCAAATTTCATGCATAACCGATACATAAACTTGATATACTCGTCGTCCCATCGAGAGTTTCCAATGATACTGGGTGAACGAGATATGAAAAAATGGGCAGCGGCAACGAGAGGAGGCAGTGGTTCGTCTGAATCGACCAAATCCATGATGCTGTCTTTTGTCAACAAATAAAAACGCTTCGCCACAAACGAGCACTCCATTTCCAGCATATACGGCCACTTTTCGGTTGTCTTGAATTTTTCCACCAGGAAAGACCGGTCTATCTCACCCGTATGTATCACCAAGACGATTGGGAGAACGTTGTATCTTTTGTAGACCTCCATGCAATAGCAGAAGGCACGATGTATAAATTCCAGGTCCACCCTCGCCTGAAATTCCAGAATGATTGGTGGCAAATCAGCCAACCTGGCAACGTAGATAGCATCGCATTCCCTGTCCAAGAAATTCGATGGTGCGGCAGCATAAGTTCCAGTAGTTGAGTCCAGGAGAGCCGCAGTCAGCAAATCGATGAATTCAGGCTGCACGGCAAGAAGACGACTCAGCCTATCGGCTCCTGGTTTATGTTGTTTTGGCAGCTTGAATTCCAGCAGATCTGTATCGACTAGAGACGAATATGAGATTAAAAGCTGATAAGAGATAAAGCGAACAAAACCACTTACTTTCGTCCATTGTGGCGGAACGCGAAAGAGAAGGGACAAAGGCGCTGAGCACCGATAGCACCGATAGCACCGATAGCACCGATAGCACCGATAGCACCGATATCCAGCACCGGCACCGATTACAGCACCGGTAGAGCACCGATATCCAACACCGGCACCGATTACAGCACCGATTACAGCACCGATATCCAGCACCGGCACCGATTACAGCACCGGTAGAGCACCGATATCCAACACCGGCACCGATTACAGCACCGATAGCACCGATAGCACCGATAGCACCGATAGCACCGATATCCAGCACCGGCACCGATTACAGCACCGGCACCGATTACAGCACCGGTAGAGCACCGATATCCAACACCGGCACCGATTACAGCACCGATAGCACCGATAGCACCGATAGCACCGATGTTGAGCACCGATAGCACCGATATCCAGCACCGGCACCGATTACAGCACCGATAGCACCGATAGCACCGATAGCACCGATAGCACCGATAGCACCGATATCCAGCACCGGCACCGATTACAGCACCGATAGAGCACCGATATCCAACACCGGCACCGATTACAGCACCGATTACAGCACCGATATCCAACACCGGCACCGATTACAGCACCGGTAGAGCACCGATATCCAACACCGGCACCGATTACAGCACCGATAGCACCGATAGCACCGATAGCACCGATAGCACCGATAGCACCGATAGCACCGATAGCACCGATAGCACCGATAGCACCGATAGCACCGATATCCAGCACCGGCACCGATTACAGCACCGATAGAGCACCGATATCCAACACCGGCACCGATTACAGCACCGGTAGAGCACCGGCACCGATTACAGCACCGATAGCACCGATATCCAACACCGGCACCGATTACAGCACCGATAGCAGCGATGTTGAGCACCGATGCTGGATATCGGTGCTATCGGTGCTATCGGTGCTATCGGTGCTATCGGTGCTATCGGTGCTGTAATCGGTGCCGGTGCTCTACCGGTGCTGTAATCGGTGCCGGTGTTGGATATCGGTGCTCTACCGGTGCTGTAATCGGTGCCGGTGTTGGATATCGGTGCTCTACCGGTGCTGTAATCGGTGCCGGTGTTGGATATCGGTGCTCTATCGGTGCTGTAATCGGTGCCGGTGCCGGTGCCGGTGCCGGTGCTCATATCGGTGCTATCGGTGCTATCGGTGCTCAGCGCCTTTGTCCCTTCTCTTTCGCGTTCCGCCACAATGGACGAAAGTAAGTGGTTTTGTTCGCTTTATCTCTTATCAGCTTTTAATCTCATATTCGTCTCTAGTCGATACAGATCTGCTGGAATTCAAGCTGCCAAAACAACATAAACCAGGAGCCGATAGGCTGAGTCGTCTTCTTGCCGTGCAGCCTGAATTCATCGATTTGCTGACTGCGGCTCTCCTGGACTCAACTACTGGAACTTATGCTGCCGCACCATCGAATTTCTTGGACAGGGAATGCGATGCTATCTACGTTGCCAGGTTGGCTGATTTGCCACCAATCATTCTGGAATTTCAGGCGAGGGTGGACCTGGAATTTATACATCGTGCCTTCTGCTATTGCATGGAGGTCTACAAAAGATACAACGTTCTCCCAATCGTCTTGGTGATACATACGGGTGAGATAGACCGGTCTTTCCTGGTGGAAAAATTCAAGACAACCGAAAAGTGGCCGTATATGCTGGAAATGGAGTGCTCGTTTGTGGCGAAGCGTTTTTATTTGTTGACAAAAGACAGCATCATGGATTTGGTCGATTCAGACGAACCACTGCCTCCTCTCGTTGCCGCTGCCCATTTTTTCATATCTCGTTCACCCAGTATCATTGGAAACTCTCGATGGGACGACGAGTATATCAAGTTTATGTATCGGTTATGCATGAAATTTGCCAAGCAAGACGGCATACATGAAGCTACTCGCTTGGAGAAGTTGAAGCGGGTATGCATGGATACCTACGATCAGTTCGAAAAAATAGTCAAGCATGCACGTTCGGACCCCGCCAAAACTGTGCGCTATGCATCGGCCGGCATGGAGTACACTTCTCATGTCGCGCGAAATATCAACGACTTGCTGGGTGCGGAAACCGAATGTGTTACGCTTATGGAAGACCCAGAAGCGGAGGACCTGGTGTCAGATAAGCTAACCAGAAAGCCTCACACAGAGCGGGAAAAAGAAGCCATACTAAATTTCGTCAATGACTTTAAAAAGGATATGCGTAAATGCAGAATGAATTGGACTGCTTGCTTCAATGCTGCGAAGCAAGACCCCTCCATGACGGAGATTGTTTCTCGCTATACCAGTACCAATAGTTTCAAACGCTGCTACTATCGATTGAAATAATTATGCCTTTGTATATGTTTTATGCCTTTCCTTTACATGAATTTTTATGTCTTTTCTTTATATATGGTAGTGAAAAATAAAATTGACTGCGAGCACGGATAGCGTTGGTAAAACCGGACCTTTCCCAGCAAGTTTTTCCAGGTAGGTCAAATGAGTATGTGTAAGTATAGCTCTTCTGGGAGCAAGATTCCATAATTGTGCGACTCGCCCGATCTTATGGTCCTTGATGTCGTTTAGCGATTTTTTCGTTGTTCTAAAGGTGCAGTAGCGGTCGAGTGAATGACTTTGAACGCCGATCGATGCCATCGCTCATCTGTTTTCATCCAGATATTGTAGTGAATATCCACGGTTGTCCGTGAGAAACTTAAATACATTATCGACATTGCATTCTTGTGGGTTTAGTTGACGGCATCTTATCTCACACGATGTTTCCCGTTTTCGCCAGCCATGGCTGTAATCTCACTTGGTGTTCTTTCCGATAGTATGTTCAAAGAATTCGATTTCATCCGTGTCCATACCCTGCTAAATGAAATAGGTGGGCAGCGGCAACAAGAGGAGGCAGTGGTTCGACTAAATCCATGATACTGGTTTTGGTCAACAAATCAAATCGCTTGGCCACAACCGAGCATTCCATTTTTGCAGCATATACGGCCATTTTTCGGTTGCCTGGAAATCGGTCCGTCCCACCCGCTTAATCACCAAGACAATCAGGAGAATATATGTATCTTTTGTAGACTTCCATACAACAAGAGAAGGAACGATGAAGAAAGTCCAGGTGCACCTTCGCCTGAAACTCCAGAATGGTCGGTGGAAAAGGCATTAGCCTTAGCCCCCTTGGTAAAGTAGACGATATCGCACGTTTTTGACCAGGAATGTCGTCGAAGTAGCAGATAAATTTCTGTATCAATTAAAACTATATGAGTTAAGCCATTCACATGTACTGCAACAAAAAAACCACTTACTCTCATTCATTGTGGTCAAAAAACGGAAAAGGAAAAGAAACCCCCATTCAGTGACCACCATTGGCACTCCGGGGCGCGCATGAATATTTTCTGAGCCATTGAATTGAACCATGAAGTAATGATGGATTCTGACCAAGTCTTTCAGAATGAGGGGTAGTACCGTATGATACCCTATCATAAATTCTTGGTTTATTTAGCTCGGACTGCGTGTTTTCAGCTAAGCTTCGATTGGGAAAAATAGTACAGGTCTCATTTCTCTGATGAGAAAATATATGATGAAAGTTTATTAAAACCACTGCCATCTGCTCAGTATCGGTGCTCATCGGAGCGATTGATCGATCCTTCTAGATGTTTTGCAGAAAAAAAAAAGAAACCAAACCAGCTGTGACGGGTACAGTCATGCGCGCATGCATGCATGCATGCATGCATGCATTGTCGTAAGTCCCTCTTTGAAACAACCATCAGTCAGTCGTGACGTACTTATTATGAGGAAACACTTTGCTGATAAGTTGGATCTTGTCAAGAAAATATTCACACGGATCCCTCTGGAAAATAGCATAATCCACAAAATATTTTATGGAATAATGGACACGATCTTGCCGGTATCCTTCCAATCACCTGGTGCTATACGTCGGTGGCGTTTTTGTCCTTCATCTTGGTGTCTCGCCACAATGAACGAAAGTAAGTGGTTTTTGTAGTATTAAATGTGATTAGCTATGATTTCATAGTCGTTTGGTCGAAATAGACCTGTTGAAATTTAAACTGCTCAAACGACATAACCAGGAGCCGATAGGCTGAGCCGTCTTCTTGCCTTGCAGCCAGAGTTCATCGATTTGGTGACAGCGGCTCTGGTGGATTCAACTGCTGGAACCTATAACGCTGCGGCCAATTTCTTGTTTACCGAATGCGATGCGATCTACCTGACCAGGTTGGCTAATTTACCACCCATCATCCTGGAGTTTCAGACAAAGGTGGGACCTGAACTTTCTTCATCGTGCCTTCTCCTATTGTATGGAAGTCTACAGAAGATACAATGTCCTTCCCATTGCCTTGGTCATTAATACAGATCACTTCGAGCGATTTCGCTGGTGGGCAAGGTCACAACAACACAACAATAGAATGGAATGTCCACTCTTGCCGAAGGCTGTTTCTTGTTGACGCAAGATAGAACCATGGATTTGATCGATTCGGACGAACCCTGCCTCCTCTTGCGGTCGCTGTCCGTTGATTTTTTTCTTTTATTTTGGTATCTCTCATTCACCAAGCTTGTTCATAGATTAAATTCCCATGCCATCTTCATTTTAAAAATCAAACAATGCGGTTTTTAGATATGATACTTTCGCCTCTATAATTGCTCGTCTCAAGTGCGAGTTCTTCAGTCATCTTTAAGGACGTAATAAAATGCTTGAAATTTATCTCCTCATCAAGCAAACATGGATGTGAGCCTTTTCTCTTCATTTCTCAGAGTTATTATATAACGCTCCCATCGCACCGTTTAGATCGTTTTTATTCTGTACAATACTAATCTCAAGCTGTTTTGCAGCAGCAGACGCACACACACAACTCTGTATATTTATCTTGCAGCGGCTTGAAGAATATCACTTGTCCTCATCAGAACTATCGCGGAAAATTTTGCTTCTCATTAACAAGGTCACGCGCGGTTTTACATTCTTTCTCCCTGCATCGCCTTTATCACACCCATCCGCTTTTCAAGAGGCGGTTGCGCTCAATACTGCGTATGAGAGCTCCATGTTACATAACGAAACTGGTCCATAGGGGATAGCATTACTCATTTGGTTATGGTCTCCCATATTGGTCTGCGATAGAACCTTCCACAAGTTCAATCCAATAATTGAACGTTTATTATGATGTTGTTCATGGTAAAATATTGATGCGTTGATTAAAAAGAAAAAAAAATCTGGGATTAGCGAGAAGCAAAGGATTTACGAATAGCACTCTTATCCGGATGACGAAGACGAACAAGAATGTTTATGCCGAGACTCATGCATGGAAGGCGTGAATAATCCTTCGTCATCGTCTTCTCACACAGAACCGTCTACGAGGCTCGAAGCGTTGGGCCCCACTCCAACAGAGCCTATGGGTACCAGAAGGGCCACATAGTAGAGACAAATCCTAAGCATGGAAAAGTATAGTTCGACTGTAAGCACCCTGCAGTAATCGTCAACACGAGGAGGATGGCACTGCTTTATAGGGTCGACGACAATCGGCCGCCGATTAGGGATCCGGTGGCCAGCTGGGATGGGGTCGGATATGGTGGAAAACGCGGGATGCAAGGCATGTGACGCTGCCTGAATGATAGCCGGAGGTGCTTGTTCTGTTGGCGATATGTGGGTTCGCACTTCTGTGAGCAGATGTTCGAGAACCAGATTGCGTTGGGATGTTGTAATATATACGGAAGCCCAAGTACCGAAAATTAGTGGCAGACACTTGAACGTGGTCAGATGGTGATTTTTCTGTCATGAACGAATAGTCCACTGAAGAGCAAGGAAGCCAGCTTGGGGAAAAACGCTTCACTTTGTTGATTGAAAACTGCATTAGAGGCTCCCAGCAAGAGTGCAGACCGGTCTGAAGCTGAACCAAATCTTGAGGGCAACTGTGGAAAACGCAAGGTATCTTCAGCGTTGCCGTGCATTGAAGAGCGGGCAAGCTAGGATCCGCAGGGTCTGTAAGGTGTGGGGACGGAGAAGTTTATTTACGATAATGTCGGTAAAGATGAAGCTGGGGAATGGTTCCAAAGCCGATCAACTTCAGGCGTCGATTACATCGCAATCACTGTCCAGGAAATTGGTCGGTGGAGCAGCATCCATCCCAATGGGTGAATCCGTGAGAGCCGCAGTCAGAAAGTCGATGAATTTTAGGCAGCTACGCAAGCAGATGGCTCAGTGTATCTTTTTCCTGGTAGGGTTGCGACCGAATGCCAAGAACGATAAACATTCATGATCACGTCGTGAACTCGGTTACAACTTGGATTCATGTCATTAGGCAGTTTCAATTGCCACAGATTGGTATCGACTAGATAAATATGAGACCAAAGCTAATCACATCTAAATGGGACAAAAACCACTTACTTCCGTCCATCGAGTGATGGGAAGGTGAAAGAGAAAAATAAAATACCACGGCAACGATACTGTGCACCGATAGAGTGCTGACACGACCGATAGAGCACCGATACTGAGCACCATACAATGGCTAGCTCGGGCAACGGCGAATTAGGATTTGACTTCCAGAGAGGGAGTCTGAGAAACGGCTACTACCAACATCAACTGGGGGAGAGTGTTGTATCTTCTGTAGACCGCTATACAATAAAAGGCACGATGTATGAAGTCTAGGTTCACCTTTGTCTGAGATGCCAGAAAGATCGGTGATAAGGCATAAGCCATCTTGATGAAGCAGATTATGTCGCATTCTTTGCTCAGGTATATTGTCGAAGCAGCAGTCAGGTGGTCCAGTCGCAGCGGAGTACGCGAGAGTACAGTCAAGTCGATGAATTTTTGATTGCAAGGCAAAGAAGATAACATCCCTGACAAATCTGCATCAACTAAAAATTAAATAAGTTAACCCAATCATATATATTGTACTGCAACAAAGAACCATTTACTCTGGTTCATTGTGGTCAAGAAACGGATAAGGGGAAGAAAACCCCATCGGTGACCATTGATACTCCGAGGCGCGCACATATTTTCTGAGCAACGTCATGACAGCTATGATAGGTAGTATAGAAGGCTATCTCGTATTACAGGATTCATTTTATCTGATGAGAAAAATGAAGCTTCGCATGCACTGATAGCAACTCCAATATAGTCGGTAGACTTTTGTGCTCAACTGCTCGATATCGATGCTATCGGTGCTCGACACCGGTGCTATATCAGTGCTAACGGTGCCGGTGCTCAACATCAGTGCTATCGGTGCTCATTATGATGCCAGTGCTCAGTATCGATGCTGTCGATCGGTGCATTTTGCAGAACCCTTCCCCCCTCCAGCTGTGACGGGTAAAGTCATGCATGCATGCATGCACGCATGCATGCAACAATTAGTGATGATGACAACGGTGGCGTTTTTTGTCCTCCTCTTTCGCCTCTCGCAACAATGACCGAAAGTAAGTGATTTTGTAGCATTAGATGTAGTTAGCTTTAATCTCACATTCGTCTCTAGTCGATACAGATCTGCTGGAATTCAAACTGCCCAAACATCATAAACCAGGATCAGACAGGCTGAGCCGGCTTCTAGCTTTGCAGCCAGAGTTCATCGATTTGGTGACTGCGGCTCTGGTGGATTCAACTGCTGGAACCTACAATGCTGCTCCAACTAATTTCCTGGACAAGGAATGCGATGCCATATACGTGACCAGATTGACGAATTCACCACCAATCATTCTGGAGTTCCAGGCGAGAGTCGACATGAATTTTATTCATCGCGCCTTTTCCTATTGCATGGAAGTGTATAAAAAATACAATGTCCTTCCCATTGTGTTGGTAATTAATACAGTTGAAGCGGACCGGTTTCTCCTTGTCAACAAGTTTAAATCGACCGAAACATGGCCCTATATGCTGGAAATGGAATGCTCGGTTGTGGCCAAGCGTTTTTATTTGTTGACCAGAAACAGTATCAAGGATCTGGTTGATTCAGATGAGCCACTGACTCCCCTTGTTGCTGCTGCTCACTTTTTTATCTCTCGTTCGCCAAGCATAATTGGGAATTCTCGGTGGGACGACGAAAATATCAGGCTAATGTACCGATTATGCATGAAATTTGCCGGCCAAGATGGCGTACAGGAAGTGAGTCGCTTGGACACATTGAAGAGGGTATGTATTGACACCCACGACCAATTTGAAAAAATTGTCAAGTGGGCTCGTTTGGACCCTGCCAAAGCTGCATGGTATGCATTGGCTGGCATGGAATATACTGCCAAAACGGCACGGCAGATCGACGACCTGCTTAGTAGCGGAGCGATTACTCCCATGGGGGACCCAGACACCGAGGATCTAGTGTCAGACACGCTGGCCAGAAAATCGCAAAAAGAAACTGAAAAGGCGGCAATCTTGGATTTCGTTGAAAAACTCAAGACTAAGCATAGGGGAAGGATGAATTGGGCTGCTTGTTTCGGTGCTGCGGCTGATGAATCATCTATGGCGGAGGTTATTGCTCGGTACTCAAATCCGGATAGCTTCAAACGTGCATACTATCGATTGAAATAGCCATGTCTTTATATGTTTTTTTATTCCTTTCCTTTGTCTGTTTTTTTTTTTTTTACATATTTTTTTACTACATTTTCCTTTGCGTATTTTTTTTTCCTTTTTCCATTGTATATTTTCTTTCTTCCTTCCTTTCTTCCTTCATATAAGCTATTGGAAATACAATTCAGTGCGAGCATCGATAGTTTCAGTAGAAACCGGACCTTCCTTAGCAAGTTCTTCCAGAGTAATTGGCTGATTGGTCTTCGTCAAGGATTCACAGTCAAAAAGTATCGTGAAAGTTACCTGGTTTTTTTCGAGGAGGGTCTCCAGAACCCTGAAAATATTGAAGGGTTGAAATTACCGAGGGACCATTGTAACTCGGATCAATACAAGCATACTTTTGATGAAGCGAAGTCAAAAAAATGTGGCACAGGTTGCAAAGGCCGAGCTTTATTCTCTTATGGAATACTGTCTACAGTAAAATAACGACGATAATTAACTCATTTTCCCTTTACATCTTCAAAAACCGCCCAGTCGCGGAATAAACTATGATGCTGATCCAGACAACAACCTTAATACCCCAGAACACGATATGGAATCACTATACGCCGAGTTTGTTAGATGGTTTATCTTGGAGCAAGGAAAAAACAAGATGGGAACACAAATTCCAGAATATGATCGAAGAGCTTGATAGCACTCAACGCGATGGAAATGTTCAAACAATCAGAACGAACATGTAGTAAAAAATACGCTCTGAATAAATGGACGACGCTAGAAAGAATTAAGTATAGTACTGAACTTTACGAAGAGACCCCGAAGTTAAGATCGATATGTCCGATGTTGATTTAATTTGTACTTTATATACAGGCGTGTGCGCGCTTCTGCTGCTGCAAAAAGCATGGGATTCGTATTGTAGATCATAAAAACCGACCTCAATGGCACGATAGGACTTTATGACTTTATTACGTCGTCCAAGAGGACCGCAGAATTTGCACTAATTACAGAGGTGAAAGCGTCATATCCGAAAACTACATTATTGCTTTTCAAAATAATGAAGACATTGGAATACATAATCTGCCAAAAAAGCTTGGTGAATGAGAGATATGATACCCTCCCCCCAGAAGAAAAACAAAATCAATGGGCAGCGACCGCAAGAGGAGGCAGGGTTCGTCCGAATCGATCAAATTCATTATCCTATTTTGCCTTAACGAGAAATATCCTTCGGTAAGTGTGAACATTCACTTCCAGTATGCAGGGACGTTTGTGTTGCCTTGAACTAGCTCACCAGCAGAAACGTTCGAAATGACTCGTACGGATTACCAAGACAAATATCTTCTGTAGACTTCCATACAATAGGAGAAGGCACGATGAAGAAAGTTCAGGTCCCACCTTTGTCTGAAACTCCAGGATGATGGGTGGTAAATTAGCCAACCTGGTCAGGTAGATCGCATCGCATTCGGTAAACAAGAAATTGGCCGCAGCGTTATAGGTTCCAGCAGTTGAATCCACCAGAGCCGCTGTCACCAAATCGATGAACTCTGGCTGCAAGGCAAGAAGACGGCTCAGCCTATCGGCTCCTGGTTATGTCGTTTGAGCAGTTTAAATTTCAACAGGTCTATTTCGACCAAACGACTATGAAATCATAGCTAATCACATTTAATACTACAAAAACCACTTACTTTCGTTCATTGTGGCGAGACACCAAGATGAAGGACAAAAACGCCACCGACGTATAGCACCAGGTGATTGGAAGGATACCGGCAAGATCGTGTCCATTATTCCATAAAATATTTTGTGGATTATGCTATTTTCCAGAGGGATCCGTGTGAATATTTTCTTGACAAGATCCAACTTATCAGCAAAGTGTTTCCTCATAATAAGTACGTCACGACTGACTGATGGTTGTTTCAAAGAGGGACTTACGACAATGCATGCATGCATGCATGCATGCATGCGCGCATGACTGTACCCGTCACAGCTGGTTTGGTTTCTTTTTTTTTTCTGCAAAACATCTAGAAGGATCGATCAATCGCTCCGATGAGCACCGATACTGAGCAGATGGCAGTGGTTTTAATAAACTTTCATCATATATTTTCTCATCAGAGAAATGAGACCTGTACTATTTTTCCCAATCGAAGCTTAGCTGAAAACACGCAGTCCGAGCTAAATAAACCAAGAATTTATGATAGGGTATCATACGGTACTACCCCTCATTCTGAAAGACTTGGTCAGAATCCATCATTACTTCATGGTTCAATTCAATGGCTCAGAAAATATTCATGCGCGCCCCGGAGTGCCAATGGTGGTCACTGAATGGGGGTTTCTTTTCCTTTTCCGTTTTTTGACCACAATGAATGAGAGTAAGTGGTTTTTTTGTTGCAGTACATGTGAATGGCTTAACTCATATAGTTTTAATTGATACAGAAATTTATCTGCTACTTCGACGACATTCCTGGTCAAAAACGTGCGATATCGTCTACTTTACCAAGGGGGCTAAGGCTAATGCCTTTTCCACCGACCATTCTGGAGTTTCAGGCGAAGGTGCACCTGGACTTTCTTCATCGTTCCTTCTCTTGTTGTATGGAAGTCTACAAAAGATACATATATTCTCCTGATTGTCTTGGTGATTAAGCGGGTGGGACGGACCGATTTCCAGGCAACCGAAAAATGGCCGTATATGCTGCAAAAATGGAATGCTCGGTTGTGGCCAAGCGATTTGATTTGTTGACCAAAACCAGTATCATGGATTTAGTCGAACCACTGCCTCCTCTTGTTGCCGCTGCCCACCTATTTCATTTAGCAGGGTATGGACACGGATGAAATCGAATTCTTTGAACATACTATCGGAAAGAACACCAAGTGAGATTACAGCCATGGCTGGCGAAAACGGGAAACATCGTGTGAGATAAGATGCCGTCAACTAAACCCACAAGAATGCAATGTCGATAATGTATTTAAGTTTCTCACGGACAACCGTGGATATTCACTACAATATCTGGATGAAAACAGATGAGCGATGGCATCGATCGGCGTTCAAAGTCATTCACTCGACCGCTACTGCACCTTTAGAACAACGAAAAAATCGCTAAACGACATCAAGGACCATAAGATCGGGCGAGTCGCACAATTATGGAATCTTGCTCCCAGAAGAGCTATACTTACACATACTCATTTGACCTACCTGGAAAAACTTGCTGGGAAAGGTCCGGTTTTACCAACGCTATCCGTGCTCGCAGTCAATTTTATTTTTCACTACCATATATAAAGAAAAGACATAAAAATTCATGTAAAGGAAAGGCATAAAACATATACAAAGGCATAATTATTTCAATCGATAGTAGCAGCGTTTGAAACTATTGGTACTGGTATAGCGAGAAACAATCTCCGTCATGGAGGGGTCTTGCTTCGCAGCATTGAAGCAAGCAGTCCAATTCATTCTGCATTTACGCATATCCTTTTTAAAGTCATTGACGAAATTTAGTATGGCTTCTTTTTCCCGCTCTGTGTGAGGCTTTCTGGTTAGCTTATCTGACACCAGGTCCTCCGCTTCTGGGTCTTCCATAAGCGTAACACATTCGGTTTCCGCACCCAGCAAGTCGTTGATATTTCGCGCGACATGAGAAGTGTACTCCATGCCGGCCGATGCATAGCGCACAGTTTTGGCGGGGTCCGAACGTGCATGCTTGACTATTTTTTCGAACTGATCGTAGGTATCCATGCATACCCGCTTCAACTTCTCCAAGCGAGTAGCTTCATGTATGCCGTCTTGCTTGGCAAATTTCATGCATAACCGATACATAAACTTGATATACTCGTCGTCCCATCGAGAGTTTCCAATGATACTGGGTGAACGAGATATGAAAAAATGGGCAGCGGCAACGAGAGGAGGCAGTGGTTCGTCTGAATCGACCAAATCCATGATGCTGTCTTTTGTCAACAAATAAAAACGCTCCGCCACAAACGAGCACTCCATTTCCAGCATATACGGCCACTTTTCGGTTGTCTTGAATTTTTCCACCAGGAAAGACCGGTCTATCTCACCCGTATGTATCACCAAGACGATTGGGAGAACGTTGTATCTTTTGTAGACCTCCATGCAATAGCAGAAGGCACGATGTATAAATTCCAGGTCCACCCTCGCCTGAAATTCCAGAATGATTGGTGGCAAATCAGCCAACCTGGCAACGTAGATAGCATCGCATTCCCTGTCCAAGAAATTCGATGGTGCGGCAGCATAAGTTCCAGTAGTTGAGTCCAGGAGAGCCGCAGTCAGCAAATCGATGAATTCAGGCTGCACGGCAAGAAGACGACTCAGCCTATCGGCTCCTGGTTTATGTTGTTTTGGCAGCTTGAATTCCAGCAGATCTGTATCGACTAGAGACGAATATGAGATTAAAAGCTGATAAGAGATAAAGCGAACAAAACCACTTACTTTCGTCCATTGTGGCGGAACGCGAAAGAGAAGGGACAAAGGCGCTGAGCACCGATAGCACCGATAGCACCGATATGAGCACCGGCACCGGCACCGGCACCGGCACCGATTACAGCACCGATAGAGCACCGATATCCAGCACCGGCACCGATTACAGCACCGGTAGAGCACCGATATCCAACACCGGCACCGATTACAGCACCGATAGAGCACCGATGTTGAGCACCGATAGCACCGATAGCACCGATAGCACCGATTACAGCACCGATAGAGCCCCGATATCGAGCACCGGCACCGATTACAGCACCGATAGAGCATCGATGTTGAGCACCGATAGCACCGATTACAGCACCGATAGCACCGATAGCACCGACAGCACCGATTACAGCACCGATAGAGCACCGATGTTGAGCACCGATAGCACCGATTACAGCACCGAGACACATGCGCCAACTTTACCATGATGCGATGAATATCGTACGTCGATGCGGGCAGCCGGATCTCTTTATTACTTTCACTTGCAATCCTCAATGGGTGGAATTCAGGACGAGTTGGCTCCACTCCAGACAGCTGTTGATCGGCCTGACCTTTGCGCTCGAGTTTTTAACATGAAGCGTAAAGCTCTCATGGAAGATTTGACCAAGAAGCATGTTTTGGGTAGGGTAGTTGCCCATGTCCATACTGTGGAATTTCAAAAACGAGGATTACCGCACCTCCATCTGCTTTTGGTGTTACATCCGGACGACAAGCCACGAACGCTCGATGATTACGATAATATCGTGTCAGCTGAATTGCCGGACAGAGAGAGATATCCAGATCTCTATGATACCATTAGCAAGTGTATGATGCACGGTCCGTGTGGAATAATGCATCCCAGGGCTCCATGCATGGAAAACGGCTCCTGTAAGAAGCGTTATCCGCGTTCCTTCAACGAAGCAACTATCGAAAATCACAGGGGTTACCCTTTATACCGTCGCCGCGACAATGGTGATTTCGTGGTCAAGAACCATGTCGAACTGGATAATAGATGGGTTGTTCCCCACAATCCATACCTCTGTGCAAGGTATAACGCTCACATCAACGTCGAGATCTGCACTTTTCTGGAAAGCGTCAAATACCTGTACAAGTAATGTATAGAAGGGTCACGATCGTGCATCAGCAGCAATGCATCGTGTTGACAACGACCGAAATGCTCAAGAGCAAGTGGACGAAATCACACGTTTTATCGATGCACGTTATGTTTCAGCTGCCGAGGCCGTCCATAGATTACTTTCATTTTCGATGCACCGTGAATACCCAAGCACGCAACGCCTAGCCGTTCATCTTGAAAACGAGCAGGCTGTGCAGTTCCGAGAGGATGAAACCCCTCAAGTCGTTGCCGATCGTCAGCGCGAGACAACGTTGACTGCGTGGTTTGCACGAAATCGAATGGATCCTCAGGCACGACTTCTCCTGTATTCCGACATTCCCGCTCAGTACGTTTACCATTCGAGATCCCGTAGATGGGAACCCCGACAGCGTGGATTTGGTGATACGATCGGGCGCGTGTATGCGGTTTCACCTCGCCAAGTAGAGAAATATTATCTTCGGATGTTGCTCTATAGTGTCCCCGGAGCTCAAAGCTTCGAACACCTCCGAACAGTGAATGGTGTCATTATGGCAACTTATCAAGCAGCTGCACGACGGTTAGGACTTCTCGGAGGGAATGAAGAGTGGTACAACTGTCTTCAGGAAGCGGCCACCTACCATATGCCGTACGCTCTTCGGTTTTTGTTTGCCGTCGTTGTCAGAGAATGTCAGGCACCCAATCCCTTTGAGCTATGGATGCAGTTCCATCAGCAATTGGCAGAGGACTTCATTCATTTCTGGAGAACCCAAAATCCGGGCGACGTCGATCAAGTGGCGGCACCGCAAACCGTGTACGATCGCGCGTTGCTTGACATTGAAGATCATCTCAACCGTCAGTCAAGTTCTTTGCTCAATTATGATGGTTTTGTTCTCCCTGCTCGCCAAGAAATTGACAGAATGGGACGCCGTTCTCAGCTTCGACTCATAAGAGAGCAATACGATCTTATCGCAGATGCCGCCAACGCACCTGGAAGTCATGAACGCTTGAACGAAAACCAACGTGCCGTATACGATGCAATCATCCACAGGGTCTCGCATGGAAGCAATGCATCAGCCCGATTGTTCTTCGTTGACGGTCCTGGTGGCACAGGCAAGACCTTCCTCTTCGACAGTATCCTTATTGCAGTACGTCAACAAGGCAGAATAGCTCTTGCTGTGGCTTCAAGTGGCACTGCTGCATTATTGTTGCGTGGTGGACGAACGGCTCACTCACAGTTCGGCATTCCGTTGAAAGTAGACCAGCATTCAATGTGCCATATCCCACGACGATCCGAAAAAGCAGAGTTGATGTATCAGGCAGAGTTGATTGTCTGGGATGAAGCTACAATGATGAGCCGACACGTTTTCGAAGCCGTTAGCCGTACATTGCAAGACTTGATGGCAACCAGAGATCCCGCTCTGCAGCATGTTCCATTCGGAGGAAAGACTGTCGTTTTTGGTGGCGATTTTCGTCAGGTTCTTCCGGTCATTCCGAGGGCAACGCGTCCACAAACTGTCGAGCAGTGCTTGAACAAAGCTTCTTTTTGGTCTTCGGTCGAAATCCTACGCTTAAACACCAACATTCGCGTTCAACAGGCACGCTTGGTCAATAACGAGGATGCAGAGATTCTAGAGAACTTTGCCACATACCTTCTGCGCATTGGCAACGGACTGGAACCGAACCATGGAAACAGGGGCATCCAAATCCCAACAGAAATGTTATTGCCATCCTCCAATTCGAGCGACCTCATCAGTGCAGTATACGGCGCCAGCATTCGAAAAGTTCCGGCAGCCGAATTCTTAATTGAACGAGCTATCTTGACACCAAAAAATTCAGACACAGCTTTTCTGAACGAAAAAGTTATCGAGAGGTTTCCAGGTGAAGTGCGTATCTATCGAAGTGCCGACAGCATGGACTCTGAAGAAGAGCAATTATTTCACCAAGTGGAAATTCTGAACTCCATGAGTCCGGCGAGCCCACCACCCCATCGATTGATCCTCAAAATCGGTTGTCCTATCATATTGCTACGCAATATCGATGTCACAAAAGGGCTCTGCAACGGAATCCGATTGATTTGCCGTTCATTCCAACCCCATGTCATCGAAGCAGAAATCGCAACTGGCGTGAATGTTGGAAATCGCGTGTTCATCTCGAGTCACTTTGACCAACGAATCGGACGAAAATGGAATTCATTTCAAGCGGCGCCAATTTCCCATTTGCGTCGCGTTTGCAATGACAATAAACAAGGCACAAGAACAAACGTTCGATGCTATCGGACTATTCCTACCGGTTCCGGTGTTTGCCCATGGGCAGCTATATGTTGCTATGTCACGCGTACGTAGACCATCAGCGATAAAAATCTTGATCGTTCGGGATGCAAATGATCAATCGACAGAAGTATGCACCAAGAACATTGTCTACCGCGAAGTGTTTGACAGCCAACAGCTGGATCGTTAAGTCCTTGAATCACGCACTGCGCTATGGTCCTATTTTGTATCCTCATTTATGTATTTTATGTTTCTTTATGCCTTTTATTTTGTGTTTGTCATTGTTTCAGTACGTTTTATTGTATGCTTTTTTTGCCTCATGTTCCTTCACTATTATCCTTATGTCTATGTTTTTTTTCAAATTATCCTCCTTTATCCCTATGTTGTGTTTCTATCATTCTTTAATGTTTTACTGTATGCTTTTTGTCCTTATGTTCCTTTTGATTTTATCCTTATGCTATGTTTTCCCAAGTATGATTTTTTCTGTTATCTATTTTTGTCTCTCCATTTAATATTATACGATGTCTGACTATTTCTGTTCCTAACTTTGTGTACATATTGTTGTTCCGCTGTCGTGGATGAAGAAAAGGATCGCTATGTGGCGGTAGGTCAGGGGGGCAAGACCCCCGGAAAAAAAAGAAAAAGAGACTGTGCTACTCTGTTGGCCATTGAATACGCAAAGATTTATGCGCACATCAACTAAATCTTATCGAAAAATCAACCGCTTATTGACAAAAGATTAAAAAGAACACCATGACCTTTGGATACACAAATTCGAGTGCGAGTTCTGATTATTGGAAATGGAGCATCCCATTTCAAACACATCTTTAATCAGCTACTATTCCCACTAGCCTCAGAGTAACAACAAACTACACACCGAAAGAGCATAACTTTATGATCTTTAAAAGATCAACACGTGCTACTATTAAAATTCTTGCCAAACTAAAAACCAGTCGCCGCACGCCTAAATTTGCGAGCTAAAAAAAGCTACATGGTGTTCCTTTTCATCATATGGATTTGGCAGCTACTTCGCTTGGTGTTATTTATTCATTCAAAGATGTTGGAAAAGTTCAATGAAAGGGGAGAACTTTCTGTAAAGGGCTATTGTCAATGTCGATCTCGCGTCTTTGTAGCATTATTTAATAAGTTGTCTTTGTCTGTAAATGTGTGTCCTTTTGATTTTTTCTTTCCAGTTTTCGGTGATTAAAGGTGCATGAGCAGAATGCTTTTACCAGTGTAGCTGATCTGGCGACATTGCTCATTGTTCATTCATTGGTGTGTGTCAATTTTTGTTTATTTTAAAGGCGATCATTCATACTTATAGAGCTCTATTTTCATGCAATTTCTTTTTGCTTTTATCAGATTTTATTTTTGGAGCTTTTTTTTCATTTAGAAAGTGGTCATTCACACTTCTTTTGTAGCTTTAATTTATATGCAGCTTCTTTCTGCTTTTTATCTTTACAGTCTTTATCTTCAGTTTTTATTTTGGACTTTTTCCTGAAAAAGGGTGAATTCATTGTTCTTTGGAGCTCTATTTTTGAAGCTTTTCCTTTTTCGCTTTTATGTTTAAAGCTTTTATTTTTGGAGGTCCTTTCTTCTTTTTGTCTTCGTTTTTCTCTAACTTCGGTTCACCTAAGAAGCCCTGGTACTATTTTATTTCATCAAGTTCCTAGCTGCGTCCATCGCCACGACTATGGCTTTCCCGTGTAGCTGACTCGGTTAAATCGACCATCACAATTAGAAGGTACCATCAAATGGTTTTTTATCAGTTCTTCAACAAGGAAAAACTTACCTGTTCTTTTTTCTATTCTTCCTTAGCTTTTGGTTTTCTCTCCGGTTTTCTTTTTCGCCTGGCAAGTCATCCATCCCTCCAAATCTTTCGACTTTGTTTCGCGCATCAAATGTTGCCAATCCGGTTTTTGTCGTCAAAGGGCATCGTCGGTGGTGTGACTTTTTTTTTCATCGGGAAGTGCTTACGCGTCCTCCTCAGCTTGGCTTCACCTGGATTACTTCCCGTGGTATCGTCTTCGATATTTCTTCCCGACCATTTTATTTCATAGTTTGTAGTTTGTATATTTGTATTTTAGTTATAGTCTTCTTGCAGTCGTTTCCTCCTTTTTTTTTCCCACAGGGTTTTTAGGGGATTTTTACAGACGCACCTATTGTATTTACTTTTTTTTTTTTTTTATATTTGTATCGTTTCTTTTTTTTCGGTCAGTAAGCTCTGGATATCTGCTGCCTCACACAACAAAGGTAAAATATCTTGACGGCATTTGAATCAATCAAAGAGCTTACTAACTCATTTTTTTTTAAAATACCCAATAACCTTGGGCGGGACGGGACTGAGGGGGTCAATAAGTGCTGCTGCACACATGTTTGGAAATCATGACTGTACGGTATGCCAGAGTATTGACATTAATATACCAAAGTTTCATCAAGAGTCTCGCCCAGGTTATGCCGTATGCGTTAGGCTTTTGTTTGACGAATGTCGCTCAATGTAAGGGGGTGACGTCCAGTAGCAGGTGGCATCCATTGCACAGCGGGTGTACGGCTTGTTATTGTATGCCTTGCGTTTATACATGCATTTGTATGTCTTCCCTTTACATGATATTGAAAAATAAAATTCATTGCGTGCACCGATAATATTGATAAAAGCGGACCCTTGTCTTACGTGTGGATTCCATTCGACTTGCAGAGATCCACACGGTTGGGCAACCATTAGAGAGAAGTATACTCTAGTTGAATTCAGTCACATTAAAAAATGGAAAATTTCTTGGGATTCCTTCATAAAAAGGCGACATGTTTCCAGTCAGGTCTTTCTAGTCATTCGCCAAGATCGACGGCTTTTGTACCACGGTACGCTGTATTATGTCGCTTTTTTTTTATCACAAGGTTGATTCGATGGCTCTGTTTGTACGCCAAGTTCCTCTTGGTACCCAGTGATGCAATATCGTTACCTTTCTATCACACTGTGACGCGCATATCAGTTGAGAGAGGGCATGGACAGGGCGAGAATAACACGACCGCTAAGAGCCATTTTCATTAAATTCACACAGAATCATTGGAAGCGTTACACAAGATGATGAGACTAAAAGGAAGTAGGCAGCGAAGCGAATATGATCCTAGTTTACCATTTTTTTTTTATTAAGGTACAGCACTGTACATGAGTGGAATCGCAGTTTTTTCATATTTTGAAAAGGAGGATGGGATTTAAAAGGGAGAAGGAGTAAGGCGAAGGTAAGGCTTGATCACTTTGACTCCCTTGGGGAAAATCTTTTGAGCTTCTTCGGTGGAAACGCTGGGGTGAACAATCACATCGTCGCCCTTCTTCCAGTTACCGGGGGTGGTGATTCTGTGCTTGTCGCCGAGCTGAAGTGAATCCACAACGCGCAGGATTTCATCAAAGTTACGGCCAGTGGAAGCAGGGTATGTAAGAATAAGACGGATCGTCTTCTTGGGGTCGATAATGAAAACAGAGCGCACAGTGAATGGAACGCCCTTGGCATCCACGTTGGTCGCGTCCTATCATTGTAACGACATGAGTCTCGCTGTTTATCGCTCACAGTGCGTTTTCCCCAACTTACCTGACGGTCCAACATATCGTAGAGCTCAGAGATCTTGCGATCGGCGTCGGCGATAATGGGGAAGTTCAGCTTGACATTGTTGATTTCATTGATATCGGCAATCCATTTCTCGTGTTCTTCCAGACCGTTGGCAGAAAGGCCAATCACTTTGGTATTGCGTTGTTCAAATTCGTCCTGAAGGGCGGCGACCAGGCCGAGTTCAGTAGTGCACACAGGAGCTACACAGCGAGATGAAAGTGTTAAAAATCCGTCATCATGGATCACCTTCGTTTCTCTTATTAAACTTACTGAAATCAGCTGGATGCGAGAAAAGGATGGTCCACTTGTCACCGATAAACTCGTGGAATTTGATGTCACCCTTGGTGGTTTGAGCTTCAAAGTCTGTATCATACCATCACGGGAACCGTCAGATTAGTGCCTGTTTATTGTTTGCCAGGTTTACGACCTTTTTCAATGGATTGCTTACCGGGAGCAGTAGAGCCAAGTCTGAGAACCATGTTGAGAAAGTATAGTGTTGTGTGTGTGTGACAAACAGAGTCGTGTTGGAATCCTTATTTTATAACTTTTTTTTTCGTCGATAAAAAAAAATCATGTGCATGACCGATGTCGCCATTCATCAATGATTGGTTGATTCGTGTATGGCGACAATTTCTAGTACACGATGCTCATCCTCTAATGATAACATCGCTCCTCCAATCCACTCATCGCATTTTAGGTTTATCACTAAGCTGTGCCATCACTTCTTCAAGCCACAGGCGTTACATTGATGATACCTCCCAATCCAAACGGAAATTCTAAGTTTACAGTATACTGCATTGCCAGAAGTATCAGGCTGAAGCGATAATAAGGATTGCAGTCAAAGTTCTACCATCTTACTCTCCAGAGGTTTAAATAAAATGATACGAAATTTATACATGTTTATTTTTTCCATTGATGGCTGTCTTGCTTTTTATCAGGGTAAACAGCTTTATAAAGAGATAAGGGAATCGATTCAATAAAAGAGCACATATTTTTCAATGAAATGATTTGTCAAGGATGAAAGATGAAATGTAAAGTATAAAACACACGACGAAAGTGAAAAAAGGAGGGAAAGGATGGAAAGGAAGGGCCGTGGAAGAAATATTTTGGAGATAGTGAGATAAGCGGTGAAATAGGGGAAGCAATGTAAATAATAAAGTCCAAGGAAGAAAAAACTTAATCATCATCATCATCACCACGAAGAGTGCCACCACGGAACAGGTACAACATTTCGTTGAGACCCAAGCGACCCAACGGCCGACCGGTGCCTTCGCCCAGTGCACCGTCGCACAACGCCTGCTTCTTCTTTTGGAGTTCAAGGATGCGATCTTCGACAGTATCAGTGATAAAGATACGATGCACTTCTACCGGTTTGGTCTGTCCAATACGATGCACACGATCGATGGCTTGATTTTCCAACGCCGGATTCCACCAGATATCCATCATCACCACTCGGTTGGCCACCGTCAAATTCAATCCCAACGAGCCACATTTGGTCGACACCAAAAGCACCGTCACTTCCGGGTTTGCAAAGAAGCAGGCCAATGCTGCATCTCGCTGCTTGACGTTCATGGAGCCGTCGTAACGAACAGTTTTGTAACCTTTTTGCTTCAGCGCAGTCTCGACGATATCCAGCATCCCCATGAACTGAGAGAACACAATGGTTTTATCTTGGCCACCCGTAGTCTCATGCGTTTCTTGGAGAATCTCCAGAAGCTTATCGATCTTGGCACTCGACAGGAACTCTTTGGCACGACTAATAGCCGCCGCAGTTTCTTCTGTCACTGAATTATCCTTGACAAAAGTGTTATATAAATCGCGCGCATGCACCTTGAGAAAAGCTTCCAGCGAGGTCACACATTCCCGATCCAAAGGACCACGACATTGTGGACAGCGTTTCACAAGCCCATCCGCCGTATTGATATAATCTGAATCGACCGTTAATGCATCTAGTTCCACTGAAAATCTATTTTTTTCCCTCGAGTACTTACTGAATAAACATTCACGGCACAGAATATGGCCACATCCTGCTATGATTTGAGCTTGGTCCGCCATATCCATACAAATAGGACACTAACAGAAGAAAATGGAAAATTGATCAATACAAAGAAGTATGGTAATATAAATAGTAGAGAACTTACTTCAATGTCGCTAAAGTTCGTATTTTCATGCAAGAGACGGTTCACTACGGTGGATGTCATGGTTCTGGCAATCTTTTCTTTTTTGCATTCCGACTCTTCTTCCTCGTCCGGGTTCTCCTTCAATGTGAGAGAAGGATGCAGACACGCTTGACGCAGACGAAGTAAAAGAACCAGTACCTAGAATGAACTCCAATAATAAGTTGACTTGCTACAGGAAATTTGCGCCTTTTTATCCTTACCGAAGAATAATTCTTCATGACGGTACCCGCTTCCAAGTACTTGTTGAATCGAGCTTGGGCTTTGCTGTTGATATATTCGTAGAATTGGCGCTCGTCGGGCGAAAAGTCAATGTGAGTAAAGTGCACCGTTCGTTCGGGGAGTTGCAAGATAGGCTTGCCATTGATCTTTGCTTGCTTGGATCGTCGAAGAGAGATAGCTAAATGAGAAAAAAACAAGTGAGTCACACTGGAATCATCTTGGAAACCATATCTCTGATGATTACCTTTGAGCAGAATTTGCACCTTTTTAAGAGCCTGCCAAAATAAAATAAAAAGTAGGGCAAGTCAGTACTGTATGTTAATGCACCAGCTGCGGCACCGTTTGACTTACTCTCTTATGTAGACCTTGCCTCATAGGCTTGCTGATTTCTTCACGGAATTCATCCCATTCGCAATAGGGCCTGATACGCAAGAACTTGATCAACGAAAATCTAGTGAAAATGCGCAACATAATATAAGACTTGACATGTCCCTGAATTGACTCGTATATCGTCATGACACTTACAATTCTTCAATCTTATTCTGGATAGGTGTTGCGGTCAGACACCATCGATATTGCGCATCAACAAGACAACTAAAAAAAATCAATGCATCAGTATCCACCACTGCTCCGATCGATTGACCGCTATCCATTTTTGATGGACTTACCATGATCGGGCCATACTAGTGGCTTTGTTCTTGATGACGTGAGCTTCATCCAAAATGACTCTGGAGACAATATATGAGCAGCAGAGCTTTTAGCGTGAAAATAATTCAAACTTACCGATGCCATTTTAATTTAGCGAGAGGACCAGTATATGTGTCATTCTTGCCATAGTCCTGTATTAATACATGATAGGACGAGATGACCACTAAGAGAGCCGAGTGTCAGTCAATCCAAATTCTGAACCTATGCACCACACCCATAAGAATGGTCAAAACTTACCATCATAGGCAAGTAACTTGCGTGGATCCGAGGGACGGCTAGTTCCGTGATAAACGAGAACGGATAAGGGTGGATTTGTCTTTGTATAGATTTCGCGCTGCCATTGTGAGATTAGGGATACAGGACAAATGACCAGCGTGCCTTTCGTTTTTGTTTTTTCACCACTCGACGAGGCTTCGGTGAGTGTCGCCGGATCACAAGGTCGTTCTTTGATGAGCGCAATCGCTTGCAAAGTCTAATCGTCAAGAGAGGCCATCAGTTAACCACGGCAAGATAGCCCCATTTTTTTTAACCTACCTTGCCTAGACCCATGTCATCTGACAAGATGCCGCCTTTGTTGGATGAAGCTTCTTGTCGTTTCATCCAATTGACACCAATCACTTGGTGCTCCATCAACAGAGTGGTAAGGCCTTCTGAGACGGGTTGTTTCGCCTCTGCAAGCACTTGTTCATCATCGCAAACATTGGCTAACAATGCGCGCAGCTCGGCTTCCGATTGACCAGGATCCAGAGGACGTTCATAGTCTGGCATTGGAAATCCCTTGTAGCGGTTCACTGCAGGAACGCCATACCGTTCGTACATGCGCATGCGTTCGTTGTGCTGTTGTTGTAAGTGAATATCACCGAGGAAGGAGGCGAAAAATCCTGGCATTTCTTCTTCGCTCAGCATATTCGCATCCTCTTCCTCCTCATCGAGACTGTCATCCACCAGCGTGATTCGGTTCAATGCAGAATTGAAGGAAAGTTGGGGTCGGAAAGACGCTGGTAAGCCGTCCAAATCAATGGGTTCATAAGAAGAACCTCTTTCAAACAAGGCGTCTTCTTCCGTCAAGTCAATAAGATCAGAGTCAGAGTCGACGAGGACCGCTGGCTGTTTGCCGCGATTTCTGTTGGGCAAAGATGCCGCATTGGACGATGATGCCGTCGGTATAGAGAAGCCGATGCCGGAGCTGGAACTGGCGCTGGCGCTGGAAGAAGCTGCGGCAGGTCGAATCTCCTGCAAACGAGGGCGTTTGGGGAAGTGCTGGTTGTTTGCACGGACGAGTGTAGGTTGTGTGACTGGATATGAGGCGGGCATGGCATTGTTGAGAGTGGATGGAGCAGAGAGGGCGTTGTTGATACTGGGGTTAGTGCTCAAGCTGGGTCCGTTACTTGACAGCCGAGCTTCCTGGTCAAACTGGGCCTGTATTTGTTGAGCTAATTCCAAATCACGCTTGGTGGAGCGTTCCAATTCTTCAACAATGTCCTTTTGTGCTAGTAATTCGTCGCGATTGATACCCAGTGAAGCTAGTGTTTCTTCTGAAAGCCCTGCTTCAGCAAAAAAGGCACGTAAATCGGCTTCGTGATCGTTGTTGGATGGACCTTCTCCAGCTGCAGAACTTTCGCCTGCTGCAACTGGTTGCGTCAAATCGCATACATAGTCATCGCCAATGTCATCGTCGTCGTCGTAGTTGTCTGTGGTGGTGCGACCGGCTGCTCCCTGCTGAGCTGTGATATCGTGATCACCGTCAAACGATGCTTCGTCGTTGTCTCTTGACCGTTTTCTCGACTCTTCCGCAGCGTCCAAATCCCACAGTGAGATATTTTCCTTTTGGTCTACACTCATTGCAGGTGCCATGGGAGGATTCCAGGTGCCAAGATATTGTAAAGAGATAAGGGGCACACTGAAATTCTTGGAAAAAATAAAAAAAAAATCAGAGACAAACTCACACGTTGGCTCAGTGGCTTCATGGTCACTGAAACCATCGCTGGTTTTTTTTCGAATTCCGCTTGTCCTCAACGAATTGCGTCCCTCACTATCGCTATAAAATAGGGACTCTTCAGGGATAAAGAAAATTTCATTGAATGTGTGTCAAAAGCAAACACTGTGAATCTCAAGGTACACATCCAAGCCTCCCATAGGCCGCGATATTGATCTCCTCTGTTTTTCATATCATCTTATTATTGAATGCCCGAGAAATAGGCTCATTGGTGATGAATGAATCAATTTACAAGCAGTAAAACCTTCAAAGAGAAAATGATCATTGTAAAAATGGGAATCGGTTATGTATATTTCGTCGAAAATGAAAGAATAAGATCAAACAGGAGATAACCATGGCAAATCAGACAGAATCAAGGGCTGAAGTCTTCTGGCTGAATGGAAAAATAATGAAGCGAGGACCAAGATGGTTTCCCGACTCTTTGAAAAAGAGACAAACAAAGTGCTACTGGTTGAGTGGGACAAAGTGACCGTGAACGGTTGCCACTTTATCACAGCCTCATTAGTTGAATCTTGTAGGTGCTGTTGTTGTTTGCTGACTGGCTGACTGCGGATGGCTGTGAAACTCGGTTCAATGCATTTATCCGATCCACCGTCGACAAGAAGATGGGTACTGCAAGCTGCCATCACTCATTCATAGACAGCAGCGATGTCGGCGGCCCATATAAAAACTAGTTTACTTGAAGTCCCGGTTTCCTAGCGATAAGACTGTACATTAACATGAAACTAATCGCTGTGGGTCTACCTTTGTTGGTAACAACGAATGCAAAACGCGATAGGTATGCGTCACGACATCCTCTATGGGGTGGCCCCCCAAAATCGTTTATTCCTTACACGGTTGGAACATGGATAAAACATTCCCAGGAAAATAAAGTCATTCTATTGCAGCCACAAATACGCTGGGTCATCTGGAACCATTCAAGATTTGTGTATGTTTATGGACCGCCTGTTTTTTTTAGTAACGAAAAAAAAAAAAAAAATTCAAGCCTATGTACCGTAGCATTGTTGTTTTTACTTGTTCTCGGTATTGGTTGCCTTGTTTATTTCTTCCGGTTTATGCAAGAAGAAACTTTGGTGATCGGACATCTGTTAAGTGTACGTAGTACACAATTCGCCATCACAACCCGAAAAAAAAGCAAAGAAAAAAGTTACGGTTGCACATTTTCATTCAGACAATGGCATATGATGTGGGTTCACAGAAACGAATGGAAGCTATATGACGCTCATTAACCAAAAACTACCAAAAAAAGGAGTGGCCTTTTTGTAAGCGAGAGATGACTATAGTAGATAGTAACAAACAAGCAGAATGCAAAACCCATTTATCAGAAGCGATTTCAAAGTGCATGCAGAGGTATTTGTAACTGGCACTGGACGGTTTATAAAGTGACGATGAGACTGCATTTACCATGGAGAGCACTACTGCGACGCATGATTTCAAGATGTCATGGTTACTCAAAACATGCACATAGAGTTGGCAAGAATGATCACAAATTTTACCTTTGTGATCACGTTGTGGCACCTTTTTTTTTCCTTCTTCTTTTCTCTTTGTTTTGACAGTCTTTTACTAATACAAGCAGCAGTCATTTAGAAACCTGCAAATGACATCTGCTGACATCAAAGTAAATCCTTCTCGATCACTAGCACGTAATGCCACAACAAGTTTCACATATATATATAGGCGTATGATTCGACCTTGATTTTTTTTCTCTCCATCATTTACCACCTTCATAGTCTATTTCTCTGTCAACCCACACTCTAACCACTTGTAATCTGCTATTCACTGATCATGGACATTCAATCCAAGAATGGTTATACCGTGAACTCGTTTGTTCGTGAATCTCACGTTCGTCTTACCTGGATTGCCTTCTTCACTCTGTGGGTTCTTTGGGGCCTGGTCTACTTCTTACGCCACGCTTTATCGTGCTGCAAGGACAAAGGCACCGCGGCAGCTGAAGACGCCGAAGCCGGTGAAAGTAAAGCCAAGGAATCAAAACATCACAAAATTGGGGTAAGGAAACTAACAATTGGACCTGTGTGCCTCATTGTGCGTGCGTCTGCATCGAGTTGTCTGACATATTTGTTTGTCTATCTTTCTAGGACCGACTTGCTAATGCACATCGGGTGCTTTTCGAGAATACTCTGCTTCTGTTGTCTGTTCTCGTGCTCAACACATTGGGTGCTGGTTCGACGCGTGCTGTGCTTATTCTGACTTGGATTTACTTTGGTTTCACCGTTATCCATGCCTTTACTGAAATTGGTGTCGATCATCATTTCGTTCGTCTCTTCTTCAACCTGGTGTTCTACGGTATTACCCTTGCTATTGGTGGTCTTGCCTTTAGCCACGGATGGTAGACCGTTAAGCCTATGTTAAGTTACTTCCATGCTATATTTTCATGGATATCTGTACGAACATTACTTTCTTAATTTTTCTTTGCTCTGAAAAGGCGATGTTCTTAATCATAATCTATTTGTCTCGGTCCACATGGACTCCAATTTCTTACATAAAGTTTTTAATGTTTACTATTTTACTCGAAACGAAAAGATTTTTTTTTTTTTTTTTTTTTTTTTTTTACATTGCTCTCACTTGGTTTATCAGCCGCATCAGTTGCATCATCTGTGGATGGATGCTTATTAATGACTTGGAAGCCGCGCGATCCGATCGGGAAGTTGGATTGAAACTCCGTTGAATGTGTTCTCAGTTTCATGCAGCCTGCCGCATTTTTTAGAGTCATGAACAACTTTTTATGAAATACGCCATGCCGACACAATTGTACTTGGAACAGACCATATGCCAGTACGATCACGCGACATTTTGTCGTTTGCTTTTCTTTCCGCAGATGTTGGAGAAGGAGGCGCCAATTTCTTTTTTGATGAGGTTTATTTTGTTTATCGGCAAAGATGATTTTTATAAGTTCATGTTTTGTCCGGCGTTGTAATATTGTTGATGCTGATAATATTGTTCCCACCCTTCATGACCTGTACCGGCCCCGGGAGCGGGCGCTCTCATCGTTTGTGGATCGTACGCTGTGGTAGGCTGAACCCAGTTTTGTTGAGCATAAGGTCCGGCAGCATAGTTGTACGATGCGTAAGGGTCTCCTCCGTATGGGGTATTGTTGTTGTTAGCCATGCGATCTTTTCCCCATGACAGTTTAGCAGGCCGACCGCCAATTTGAAATCCTTGAAGTGCAAAAATCGCCGCTGACGCGTTTGCATGTGTATCCATTCTGTCCCGGTCATCAAATAACGGGTTACCCATCGCACGTCAGTATGGAGGTTCATCCATCCAGTGATTTTATCTCAAGTTATGCTTACTTTACAAAAGCGAATCCGCGGTCGGTCTGTAAGCGAATATCGGTGACATAACCGTATTGCTGGAAGTAGGGAGCAATATCTTGTTCTGTTTTCGTAAACCAAAATATCCGTCAATCATCATTGTCATCGATAGCCGTTCTGCCATGGCTGTGCCCTACGAAACGATCTTACGTGTGATGCCGTGAGGTAAGTTACCAATGTAAACAGTAGTCTGATAGGGAGGGGTTTGGGCAAAGATTTGTTCATAGGTCATATTCGGTGCTATTACAGATGGATAGCCTTCTAAAATAGAGACGTCACGTCAGACTTTGCGCCATCCAGGTTGTGTTGGCAAACAGATATACTTACGTTGGGTGTTATTACTGGTGTTATTCTTTTGGTTTGCCCAATTGCAGCGAATAGCTCGAGATCCCAGCCATTCACCGTTCATGGTGGCAATGGCTTGCTCCGCATCGGTTTTATCACGAAAAGCGACAAAGCCAAAGCCTCTCGATTTTCCTGTCGTCTGATCCCACATCACTCGCGCCTCTCTAAGAAATTGAAAACATAAGGTCATTGAATAAGCTTCATCCAAAGTGATGACCCAAGCCAAACTTCACAGCAAACAACACGTACGACATTGTCTTGAAAGGTCGAAAAGCCTTACTTAACACTTCATCATTGACTTCCGCACTAAGATCTCCAACAAAAATGTGAAAATGATTACTTGTATCTTCTTTCTGATTGGACCCTTGGGTAGCCCAGTTCACACGGATTTCTTGACCAAACACCGTTCGTCCCGTCATGGATTGCAATGCCTGATCAGCCGCTTGATGTTCGCTGAACTCCACAAACCCATAGTTGAGCCCTCCGTGCGTGAACTAGACACATACACACAAAAGAAAAGAATCCAAAGGCACATTAGTATTTCCTCTTGAAAAGATTGCAATGCTTCACCAGAGAAGAGGATCCATTCTTTTTTCTTAGAGGCGTCTCGCTTTTCTCTTTTGATTTTCATGCCCTCTTTTCTCCTTTGTCATCCAACCGTTTCTGATATAGCTCTTTTTTTTTTTTTTTTTTTTTTTTTTTTGGTTGTTGTTCCTTTTTTTTTCTCGTAACTTTGTCACGGAAGCTCTGTCGACAATCACAGGTGGTCTATTGGTGTTCAACGTCTCGAGTATCAAAAAGACAGGATCGCGTCCTCAACAAGACAGAGAACAACATCACTACGTTGGCAGTTTTCGATGAACGGTATGACCTTATTTTCTTTCCCGAGGCCCAAAGCCCGACGTTTTGTCCTGTATCTGGACACCATATTTCCCTTTTCACTTGTGCTCCTTGTTCATTGAATGGATCCTGCACTGGCCAGTGTGACAGCTGATAGATGAACGGATACTTACGTTGCGATCTTGAATGATTTTCACATTATCAACGGGAGCGACCACGGAGAAAATCTGTGAAAGCATTTCATCGGTGACTCGAGGATCGAGATTGCCAACGTATAGAGATTTGCACGTTTCGTTGGATGCTTGTGCCATGGTATTAAAAGTGACAGACTTGTCAGACTACAACCGAAAAAACTTATGAGAAGAAAAAAAAGACCACACCGATAGAAACGGGTTTTGGGGAACGAGTCCCGAACTGAAAAAAATTTGACGTCACATTTTCCTTCACGTCATTTATTGAGCGGTTTTTTTGGAGGCAGGATCTTCGCAAGAGAGCCCACTGCCAAAAATCAGGGCCTAGTTGCTGCAAGTTTCTGTTGTTTCATGATGATGCATGTTATCCAGCTCCCTAATGGTTTTCATTGTTATCAACCGAGCAGATCCAAGTTTATTCTTGATGATCTCCAGGGCCCATCAATGCGACCCGCTTCGGTCACCCTCTTATCTTGTCACGGTGATAAAAAGGAAAAATGCACTATTTGGGAAAGTTCAGAGTCGCTTCAATTTTCGGACTGCTTTATAGCTATCCAAGCGGAACACGCTCTGAGTTATCACCGTTTTTGTCTTTGGCTCCACCCACCGATACACAGACACTGTAACCCCGCCCAACTCTTTTTTTTTTCATATCGGTTTCCTTTTTCTTTTCTTTTTCCCTTTCGCTGTTGAGTGCTGGTGAACCTTTCATTGTATTAATCTGGGTCAATAACTGAGGAAGGAAACAGATATCAGTATGGCGACTCCTCCCACCACGGTTTCGTCGTCGTCTTCTCCTGCGCGCAACTCGATACAAAGCGTCTCTTCCTCTTCCGTCACATCAAGTGCTGTTTTCGTTATTAATGCTCTTGAAAAGATTGCCAATGCAAAGGAAGCAAGGAAAAACAAAAACTTGAAAGAAGCAGTTCAGAATGCTCAAAGTAAGTGCCTTGTCACCCGTTCATCATACGTTCGCTTTTCTTTTTCTACAACATGAAGCACTTAACCAGCCGTTGCTTAGCTATGCTGAAAAACGATGAAGCACCTCCGGCAGGACAAACCCGGTACGTTGCCCAGTGGAATTCTTGGTCTAATTTTCTTTTTGTTCAGGAACCACCCAACTCACTGATGCTCTTTGATGCTGTAGATCCACGGTTATTCTGACCGCTTTACAATTGGCCATTGAAACTCATTCAGCACCACTCATGACCATTTCACTCGATTGTCTTGGTAAATTTATTACCTATAATTACCTCGGTGACATGGAAAACGAGGTGGCCCAGATTCAAGTCATGGAAAAAGTCGTTGACAGTATCTGTGATTGCTTCATCGGTGAAGAAACCGACGAAAAGGTCCAATTGCAGATTATCAAGGTAAAAGCCAATCAAAAGTTAATAAATCGTCAAGCGACATGCTATTCACTGTTAGCGACTGTATTAGGCACTGTTGGATGCGGTGTATTCATCTAGCAACCCGTTGCATCAGTCGTCCCTATTGAAAGCGGTCAGGACCACCTATAATATTTTCTTACTGTCTCGAAATTCCGCTAATCAGAACGTTGCGCAAGTCACTTTAACCCAAATGGTCGATCACATCTTTCGCAGAATCAAGATTTACCCGCTTCAATCCTCCCACGCTTCACGAAGTTCATCCTCGTTGAATAATCTATCTGCAACACCCACCTCCACCACCAATTTAAGCACAGCCGTCACTTCTCCTTCTGAAAATGGTGGTCACTCCAGCTCTACCGGCAATTCAGCCGATCCTTCCGCCCTCGAGGTCGAGGCCGATGATTATCAGCAACAAATGATTACCGAAGCCAGTATAGCACGCAGCGAAATTGATAAACGACTTCCAGTCGGCCGAGTGAAGAATAACTCTGAGGATTTCCTGAACGATACCGCCAATGTGTTCCAAGATGAAGCCGTTGGAGAAACAACCTCGGCTGCAGCGCAAGACACCCGTACGCAACCCGTTAATCCAACCTCCGAACCTTCCACCGACGATCATTCACCAGCAACCGATGCAGACCGCGACACCGCCACTCCGGATGTGAATGCACCGTACGTATACTGACAAAAAAAAATAATCATCATCGCGTTGTTTTATGGGGTTATTCATGCAAAAAAAAAAAAAAAAAAAAAAAAAAAAAAAAACCATGGTTGTGCGTTACAGGGAGCCTTCCGAGAGCCAATCTTCCTTTGAGAACGAACGGGTGCAGGTCACCGACGCAGAGACAGAGGCCGATTACTATATCAAGGACGCCATTCTAGTTTTTCGAGCTCTTTGTCGGTTGTCCAAGAAAGCCAATGCATCGGAATGGTAAGTTTTTCTTCGTTTATCCGTGGATTTCATTCACCCACCACTCATATTTTGATCCAAAGGAGCAACGATATGCGATCTTATTCCATGCGGTCCAAGTTGCTTTCACTGCATTTGATTTTGACCATCCTTACCTCGCATATGGATGTTTTCACGTCATCAGCCATTGTATTCTCTGCTCCCGCACAAAATGGCGCTGTTCACCACCGTGTGAACCCATTTATACAAGAAGTAAAGCAATACCTTTGTCCCAGTCTGGCACGCAACGCCTTTTCCATGGTACCGCAGATTTCCGAAATCACTTTTGAAATCTTGTGGAAGGTCATCCAAGGGTTGCGCTTGTTCCTGAAAGTAAGTATTGATTTGTGATCCGAGCATGATGAGTTAATATAGTTGATGATGAACCTTTCAAATGATTATGCAGAAAGAGGTCGAGGTGATTTTCAAGGAAATCTTTCTTCGCATTCTTGAAATGCGCAACGCTTCGTATCAGCAAAAATTCTCCATTCTCAAGATTGTGTACCGGATATGCAGTGATCCTCAATCGCTCGTGGATATCTACTTAAATTATGATTGTGACCGACAGGCCCTAGATAATATCTATGAGAGGTAAGATTTTGGCAGGATCTGGAAGGGGTCTCGTCAGAAAAAAAAGATTAATGGCCTCCTTTTATTTAGACTTGTCAATGTACTCTCCAAAATTACGACATCTCATACGGCACCCGGTAGCGCCAAAGATCACGAAAGTCATTCGATGCCGGACGGATTGAATGTGCAACACGGTCTTCACGCTTCGTCCGTGGTCATTCCTCCTCCTTTGACCACCGCCAACGTGCAATCCAATGAAAAGAACAATACACTGAATATGAACATGCCCGAGTCTGCGATCAAGTTCAAATCCTTGGAATCCTTGGTCGCCGTGCTTCAATCGCTGGTCACTTGGTACACTAAAGATTCGGTCAGCGTATCAGCGGATTCGCAAAGCGAGGATGAAGGCAACACGCCACGAGACAGTGAAGATGCCAGCAGTCGTCACCGAGGATCCATTGACAAATTTACCGCTCACAGCAATTCTTCCGTTCCTCGTCTTTCTCCTGCCGCATCGTCGGGTGCCATCAACGGGACCAGTAGCGGTTCGGCCACCCCTCGATTGGACGATCCCGAACAATTTGAAAATCTCAAGCACCGAAAACAGCTGTTGCAAAAAGGCATTCAACAGTTTAACTGGAAACCTAAAAAGGGTTTGCAAATGCTGGAAAGAGGAGGCTTTATTCAACTCGACAATCCACAAAATGTCGCTCAATTCCTTTTCAACACCGAAGGCATCAACAAATCGGTATTGGGAGATTATCTGGGAGAAGGGTAGGTGGAGGGAAAAAGAAAGAATTGAGTGACCTCACCCCATACTCATCCGCTCCTTATAGAGATCCGCAAAATATTGCCATCATGCACGCTTTTGTCGATGAAATGGATCTCAGCAATATGGTCTTTACCGATGCTTTGCGCCACTTTCTCCAAGGATTCCGTTTACCGGGTGAGGCTCAGAAAATTGATCGTTTCATGTTGAAATTTGCCGAACGATACGTCCACGGTAATCCGGGCGTGTTTGCCAATGCAGGTAGGTTATCGAGAAAAATATGAGCCATCAAATTTGGTCCGTTCATCATCAACTGCATCATATGCTGATCTTTTTTATCGTTTTCAGAAACGGCCTATATGCTGGCCTTCTCTGTGATCATGCTGAATACGGATCAACATAGTCCGCACGTCAAGAGACGCATGACGTTGAATGACTTTATCAAAAACAATCGAGGTCTGGATGATGGCGCGGATATTCCCACGGAATTGCTGGAGACGCTTTTCAACGATATTGTCAATAACGAGATCAAGATGAATGATGAAGTGGAAGCGGAATCGGCCTTGGTCACCGCTCCCGGTGGTGTGAGCGTGTTAGGCATTACAGGTTTACAAAACGCGTTGGTCAGTGCAGGCATTGCTCGCGATGTGAAACGAGAAGCTTATCAAGCGGCCACGGAAGAAATGGGATCAAAAACGGAAGCCATGTTCAAAAATATGCTGGCCAGTCGACGCCGTGCCGGCGAAAACGAGACCATCACCTTTTACAGTGCGTCTCATGTGGAGCATGTACGACCCATGTTTGAAGTGGCATGGATGGCATTTTTAGCCGGTATTTCTGGTCCGCTTCAGGAATCCGACGACCTTGAAACCGTGCAACTGTGCTTGCAAGGATTCAAGTACGCGATCCGCGTGATCTGCTTGTTCCGTACCCTCCAATCCGAAGACGTCGAACTTCAGCGGGATGCGTTTGTTACCACGTTGACCAAATTCACGTTCTTGTCCAACCTCAACGAAATGAAACCGAAAAATGTGCAGGCTATTCGTACGCTTTTGGAAATTGCCGCGGTGGATGGTAATTATCTCAAGGGAAGTTGGAAAGAGATCTTGTCCACGGTGAGTCAACTGGAACGGTTCCAGCTCATAACGAGTGGTGTCGATCAAGGCGTGACCGACGTGTCGCCACGACGACAACCGCAGCAGACTCATCAAACCACCGCCACCGAGGGATCTCGCCGCATGTCCAACATTGGAGGTCGACGAGCTGGTCGCAGTGCCACCCAGTTGTCCCTCACCGAAGAAGTCGCTTCAGCAGGTAGCTCACAATCGTTGGTGCTGGCCGCGGACAGATTATTTACAGCTACGGTGAATTTGAATGGAGTATGTTTTGACATGAACGATAGTTTTTGATCAGTGCAAGTGGATCTGACACAATGTTTGGATGGAATTTTGTAGGAAGCGATCGTTGATTTCGTACGCGCTTTATGCGATACTTCCTGGGAGGAAATTGTGTCGTCGGCACATATGGAGCATCCGCGCATGTACAGTTTACAGAAGCTGGTGGAGATTTCATATTACAACATGAACCGTATTCGTATGGAATGGTCCAATATCTGGAGTATTCTGGGCGACTACTTTAACAAGGTGGGTATCCATAGGAGCCGAATCCGCGTTGTGTCTGTGCTAAACGTCGTCACTAGGTTGGATGTCAATCCAACTTCAATGTAGCGTTCTTTGCTCTGGATTCGCTGCGACAGCTAGCCATGCAATTCTTGGAAAAAGAAGAATTGCCTCATTTCAAGTTCCAAAAGGACTTTTTGATGCCATTCCGCGATATTTTGGCCAACAATCCTGATGTGGCTATCAAGGACATGGTAAGCTGTCGTTGTATAGGATTCTCATTTGCCAAATAAGCATGTAACGCAAAGCCCTCTTGTTGTAGGTTTTACGTTGTTTATCGCAAATGATTCTTGCTCGTGCACATCATATCCGATCGGGATGGAAAACAATGCTGTCCGTGTTTGCTACTGGAGCTCGTGAAACATCTGGTAAGTCGGCAGGTGATTTAAGCGTTAACGGGAAGACAACTCACGTTTACTGTATCACAGAATCCATTGTGCATATGACCTTTGATATTGTTCGCAGTGCTACCAATGAACGCTTCGTCGACATTGTCACTAATGGTACCTTCCCGGACTACGTGTCGTGTCTCGTCGAGTTTTCAAAGAACAAGAAATTTCAAAAGATCAGGTACGACTTTTTATTGTTCTATTTTGATGGTTTGAAGGGTACGGGAAATAATGGTGTGGATCAGTTTGCCTGCTCTAGACATGATCAAGAATACGATTCCCAAAATGCTCGACATTTCCGAAAAGAACAAAACAATGGAGATCAACGATGCTCATGCCCAGTCGTCCAATGCTACCCAAACCAGCGCCTCGGGAGACGAGTTCTTAGTCAAGTTTTGGTTTGTTGTGCTCTACGGTTTGAAGGAAGTGACGATGCAAAGTGATGACGTCGAAGTGCGCAAGAGGTAATAATGCAAAAATTTGCGAATGTTTTTCTGGGTGCTCACATCTTGATGTCCTCGAATCCTTTGCCAGGTCGTTGCAATATTTATTTGAGACCTTAAAAGACTATGGGTCCACCTACAGCCCCGAATTTTGGACGACCATTTCGCGACAAATAGTGTTTCCTCTGTTCGATGATCTTCGCGCCAATTCCGCCCATCAACGTACCATGTCCCCCGAAGATCTCAGTGTCTGGCTGTCCACTACCATGATTGAAGCGCTTCGTAGTGTGGTGGATCTGTACACGTTTTACTTTGATCACATGAAAGGCATGATGCCCCACGTATTGGAACTGTTCCGTACATGCATCACACAAGGTATCTGTTACTGGAATGTTTGAATGGTTCGACTGTGACTAAATGATGCGATGCTTTATTATTTCTGTGGGTTAGACAATGATCCCTTGGCACGTATTGGGTGTGAATGCGTTCAGCAGTACATTGAAGCCAATGTCGAGAAATTCGATATTGAATGTTGGGATCGTGTGACCGATCTGTTTGTGGACTTGTTCGACAAAACTACCGCCAACGGTCTGTTTGATGATACCCAAGATTTGGTGGAAAAGGTGCGCTCGGCCACCGCTGGAGGTAAGGATACAACTTGTACCCTCTGTCTGTGTGTGTGCATGGGTAACTGATCGTCTGATCCATGGTTTATCAGCTGATCCGGGAGCTTCAAACGGCTTGGAAGTTACCAGTGATGGTGGGGCGGCCGGATTGCCACCAATCGAAATCAACAGCGAACGTCAACAAAACTTCCAACACGTTATTGTTCAGTGCGTATTGCAACTCATGTTGATCCAGACCGTCAATGATCTGCTCAGTGAAGATGCGGTCTATTGCGCCTATCCAGCTTCCCATTTGATGAAGTTGATGGGCTGTCTTGGACAGTCCTTCCATTTTGCAAAACGATTCAATATTGATAACGATCTTCGTATGGCACTCTGGCGATTCGGTAGGACGTTAATCATTTTCATCACATAATACCATGGGAGTGCTGATGATCTTGCTTCTGTGATGTTAGGTTTCATGAAGCAGTTGCCCAATCTTTTGAAACAGGAGACTTGCAGTGGTGGATGTTACGTGTCGGTATTGATGCGCATGTATGCCAATTTGGAAAACATCAGTGATCGTGATGAACAGCGGGAAGATATCGAAAACATCTTGATACCGTAAGTGTTGGAGTTTTTTTCTCGATAGTGTGCATTGACTTATGCGGTCAATTTGGCAGGTTATGCAATGAGATCTTTACTTTGTACACCGGGCTTGATCATGAAACCAAACCAAAGAACATTGCTGCCTGGACACCTGTGGTGGTTTCAATTTTGAACGGTTTATCTCAGTTACAAGATGAAGACGTAAGATGCAATCAACCATATACGACGACCGCACATGCTTATTATTTTCTTCTCCTTCATAGTTTTTGCGTCATGTACCGCAATTTTATCTGCCAGCCGTAGAACTTCTTGGTCAAGAAAGTCTGCTGCCAGAAATCCGTATTGCTCTTCGTAACCTACTAATCCGAATTGGAAAAACTTATAAAATCACTGTCCAGCCCTAATTTATAGATTTCTAGTATCTGCATTTGTACTGTTTATTTCAACTAAATCACCAAGCGTGCCCCTTGCTTTCTACTCTTCCTTTATCAGACATATTTCTCCCTCTCTTTTTTTTTTTACAGTAAAAATACATCATACACTTTATGAAAAAAAGAACATGATCACCATGTTTTTGGATAATAGGATCGTATACGGTTTCAGCTTGTTATAAGCGTGATGACAGTAATTTTCCAGAGGGTTCTGCATTAGTTCGTGATTTTGGGTGTGGGACACCGAGGATAGGGGACGGAGTTACTGGAGCTTAGCGGCAATGACCATATCATTGCCAATTTGTTGGTATTGCACATCCGAAAGTGAGGTTAGAGACCGGCCGCTGGTGGCATCCACGCCGTCACCTACCAGGACAGGCGCTACAGTCACAATGAGCTGGTCCACAAGTGAACTTTTCAACCACGACTGGATAACACGTGCCCCTCCTTCCACCATGAGCTTTTCAATCCCGTGTTGTCGCAAAAGTGTTAACACCGATGGCAGCGATGGGTCCGTCACAATAAAGATACGAGCACCGGCCGCTTCAAGTGCTTGCTAAAAAAATTAACAAGGTGTGGGATGTTTAAGTGATGTTTCACCATGGAGCCATCGCTGTTATGCCAGAATGACATGAGCAGGTGGGCGAGTTACTCACCTTGGCAATGGTGGGCGCTTGAGCTGTGGTCACGAGCCATGGCTGTTTACCGACACCGTTTTGGTAGTTTCTCAGTAAACGACAGCTCGCCGGTAAATCTAAGCGGGAATCCAGAATAATCGGCTGCGGTTGTTTGACATCCTGTAGCTCCTCAGGAGAAAGGTGTCGCGCTCCAAAATCACGATGCCTGTCAATTGTGCTTGTTCTATTTTCCAAAAGAAGTTTCTTTATTATGGCCTACCTGTGAGTTGAGGATCATCAACTTTGACGGTCCCGATACCGACCATGATACCGTCGTGAAGTATCCTTAGCCGATGGGTCATAGCCATACTTTCTTTTCCGCTGAGAATAAGCTGTTCGCCTTTCCGTGCGATTTTCCCATCCAAACTCTGAGCATAAGTCAAAGTCACAAAAGGCCCTTCCGTAGGCAACACCTTGTCTAAAAATTGACGCGCTTCTTCATACATCTTCCGTGACCGAAAAGGAAATTGACGAAAAAAAAAAGACAAACAGGCAGGAAGAAAGGGGAAGCAAGGAAAATGGGAACGGAGTCGAGTGGAATGACAAGTGGTTTCAAGCGGCCATTGAAAATTCCGAAAGGACCAGCGCGTTTTGGGGTGAGGCACGGGTTTCTTTTTTTTTCTTGTTCTTTTATTGCGTGTGTTAGAGAATCGGGCATATACAGAACGGAGTAGGTGAAAAAAAACAAAACAAAAGAGTCATGATAAAGAACGTACCCAACGTAAGAACATTATCAGGAGTGAAAGGAGTCGCACTTTAATAACGAGGGGGCTCTTTTTAGGAGAAAGGGTAAAAACAAAGATGAGGGCGATAACGATGAAAGAAAAGAAAGAGACATTCCATTTCCCCTCTTTTTATGCTTTGGCAGCCGCTTTCTTGGTGGTGGTCGATCTCTTCTTTGCAGCCGCCACGATCTTCTTCTTCTTGGTCGCAGTGGAAGCTTTCACGCCTGCCTTTTCAGTTGATTTGGTTTTCGTGGGAGTTTTTTTGGTCGTCGTCTTCTTGGGAGCAGCGGCTTTTTTTGCTGTTGTGGTGGACGTAGATTTTTTTGGAGCCGCCTTTTTTGTGGTAGTGCTCGCTTTCTTGGATGGTGAAGCTTTCTTGGCCGCCGACTTCTTTTCGTCCTTCTTTTCAGACGACACCGCCTTCTTTTCAGGCTTGATTAACTTTACAGTACCCGAAAGACCTAATGCAAAAAATTTGGTCATGAGTTGGCACTGAGTGAAACAAACAGCGAGCATGCGGGCCTGCCTGCCTGCAAAAAAAAAAAAAAAAGAACAGCCTTTTTCGTTTCCCTGAAGCTTACCCTTGGGCAAAGCAAAGATGTTCTTTGCTGCGCCTCGCTTAATGGCAGCGGAAATCTGCGTATCAAAATGGGCACCAGGTGACACTTTGTAGTTTGCCAGAATATACTTCTTGATAGCCGGTCTGGAACTTCCTTTACGCTCCTTGAGAGCAAGGATGGCCGCTGGAGAAAAACGTGATGAGCCAATTGAACCAGACTCTCTTATCAAGAGCGTACATACCTTTGATCATTTGCTCGTAGGTAGGATGATCCACCTTTTTGGTCGAAGAAGTAGAAGCTTTCTTTGGAGTAGCCATGATTGAAAAAATGGGGAAAGGAAAAAAAAGAAGAAACTCACCAAAAAAAATGATTTTTCTCAAAAATTATTGCTTTTTTCCCTTCGCATGTTTCCATATTGGGCAAGGCAAAAATGAGACTTCACCAATCATATTGTTTGCAGGATGCCTTGAGCCACTGGACCGGCCCTGAACAGCCTTGCTCCCATAGTTTTATGATAAGAATTTCATCACTTTACAACAAAAAGTAACACAATTTTGGAATTCTCCCAGATTTTCCATTCTCCCAAGTCCCCTTTTAGTGCAGCGGATGATGTCGAATGGCATTGTCAGATGAAGAAAAATACAAGCTTAGTCTTAGAGACGCCGCCTTTTTGCAACGCACAAGTGACATGGGATGGTTGTTATCTGTAAAATCTTTTATTTTTCTTGGAGAGGATATGCTCTCTCAAAGACACATGACAAAGAAAAAGAGTTCTTACCGGTCATTGAAGCAAATTGTTTCACATTGGTGCACCGCCAGAGAATTCCGAATGTCCTTTTAATTGCGACTCACTGGTATATACTGCTAGAGCATGGTTGCCTGTATTTCAGGACAGCGATTGAAGTTCTCAAAGTACTCGTTTCTGTAATTCAAATCAAATGACGGCTCAGTAGCATGTGATATGCGAGTGAATGCGCGCCATTGCGGTGCCGGAAGTTCTAGACTCGGTTAGGAAAATAAATCGCTGCAAAGATTTTGTACCAAAAACTATCCGCTTGGGAGAATGTGTCCTTGAGAATCTTTGGCACCACTGCTCAGAGGACCGTTTACTTGCGGAGAAGGTCCGGCAGCGGTGTATGGATAATATTCTTTGTATTACGTTCGGGGTTCGCCCGGCTTTTGTCAGCAGTTCATCGGTGTCTTGGACCTTACTCTGTGTGGAATGCTATGATTTGTAATTTAATGTAAAAAATGCCAGTTTAACGCAAAAGGGGTGACGCTACGCCCTGCTTTGTCATGGTCGTAGCTTGTTCATATACGCATTTCATGGTACAATTATTGGGGAAGCTGCTGTTTTTATCTGTTGTAGTTTTCAGGATATTTATCGTTGAATTTGCGAGAACCAGGTTGCCTAAATTACGACAAATTTTTTGTATCTTGCAATAAAATGGTGGGAATCCTGAGGGTAGAAATGACCGCTGCCGTGCTTGTCATGTAATGCTATTGAGACACGCACGCATGAGAGCTTTTACTTTTCAACTTGTGATATTCATACTTGTGGTGCAGAAACCTTTAGTCAGTAAGTAAGCACATACACGGTAAGAAACGATGTTTTCTTTTATGCAAGGCGTTGATTGCTTGGATATCGAATGATGGATAACCCGCAATTGCAACTATATCATCGAATGTGAATTTTAGGTGACACCAAAGGCCCAAACCTGGAGTTTCATTCTCATTGTTTCCATATCAATGTGCCACAATTGGTGAGCCCCCCCCCGCCTTGACCGTAAGCGAAACTGTCATATCTTACCCCATTGAGTGCCCTTTTAAAGAATTTTTGGTATACAAAGTCATTTGTGTTGAACAATCCGCCATTGACATTGTTCCGCGTCGTAGTTTCACAGTGGCACGACTCGCTTTTTTTAGGATGATGAAGATACGGCCCTTATCTGTCATGTGATGGCCTTGTCAGACAACGAATTTCATACACTTCAAATGGGGATAAGGATCATCCGTTTATATATAAAAAAAGGTAATATACAATTTAATAGCGTTTCCTTCATTAACGATAGTTCTTATAGTAGGTATAATAGCATGGCATAGTTATGTACAAAAAATAAAGAATACATAGTATAACAGTTTAAATGAGTGTTTCCTCTTGTTGGCGTAAGCGTTGTTCACGGAGGTATTCAAACATGAGCATTTGTTGGGCTACCAAAGGATCCGAATGACCTGGCAAGAGCAATGTCATGAAGCGTGGCATGGGCCGATGTTCCAAATCGGAAGAAATGTTGATGGCTGTTCAAAGAAAAAAAGGTTTATGAGCTTTCGACTGCCCTGGAAATTTTCGCGTGGAATAAATGGTTTACCTGCTTGCAAATGTTCGATCCATGAAATCATTTCAATGTAGGAGTGGAGGTGAAGTAACAGCTGGGGTCCGTTGGCGGTGGTCAGACGTAATGTGTGTGGTCTTCGGTTATAATCCAAAGCTTTTCTTGCGTCGGCACCTGCCAAAGACAGTGTCATGAGTGGCGCATTTTCTTGTCGCACTTTACTAAGAAAAGGAATCCTTGGATGATATCGATATTTGCAATGGGCCTCGCTGGGCTCGGTTTTGTAGATACGGAGCACTGTGCCCCATAGTGCAACGTACAATCCACGCCAGTACCGCCAACGGCTTTGCACACCGGGTGCATCCATTTCACGCTTGATACTGACATGGCCCATTTTGTATACCGTGCACTCATAGGCCGGTAGTTTTTCTTCGCTATTGACTTGTTCGCACGTCTGCATGAGTGAATTGCATCTTTCTAATTCCGGATACTCAGGAGGGGATATGATATCATCACCAGGATCCGATGTTGGGTATTCCAGATACGCGGGAAGTGAAGTGGGTCGTTGTGTTTTGACATGCTGCGATCGTGACAGTAACGGCGTCGGCGTCGACATTGTATCGGGAAGAGAAACACGATCACATGTCTGATACATGGACGAAATATACGACGGCGGTGACAGACAAGTCAGAGGTGTCGTTGGATCACATGATGACGTCTGACGCAGCGACAATAGGTATGAATCCAGCGCATTCACAGCGCGTAGAATACAAGCTTCATCCTCATCTTCCGCATGCGTGAACAACTCATCGTCTATCCGAACGACTTCCGTGTTGGGAAGAGCAGAATGGGGAGGAAATGGATCGTGGTAAGACTTCAACGTGCTGGTGGATGGTGGCAGTGATTTTGATTTTTGGGCGGTATATTGGCGATGATGGTGGACACGGGCTTGCATGGATCGCGCACAAAGAGATAATCTTCGACAAACGTGGGGTTCTTTGACACCGATGTTTTCAAAATCGGCGGGGTCGGTCATGGCCAGGAAATCCGTGAGATCCAATTTGTGTTTTTGAAACAGGGGAATCCAGCTTTCTAATGAAAGGTGCCTGAGGAGCATGGAGGATATATCTTTATTTCAAAAGATATCTGTCGATGAGCCGAGGCCTTTTTCATTCACTTGATAAAAAAAAAATTCAATGGTGATCTTTTATGGGTACCTGAGGATGGATTCATTGTGCAGGTTTTCGTGGTTAAATGGCAGAAAGAGATGAAGGAAAGAAAATAAAAGAGAAGAGGTAAGATCGATGAAAAGAAGCCAAGACAATTCGATTTAAAACAGAACATTGGTTTTTATTGGTGATCGCTCAGTGGTACATGTGATGACTTCAAAGAAGTTTGTGGAGCTTGGGATTTCTTGGTTCAAACACTACTGTAATCGGATTAGCGTCCAGAAATTCACCACCTTCCCCCGCCCTCCCCCCCAACCACCCCTTCTTCTCCCTAGTTGGCTTTTTCTGTTTCCCGTCTTAGAGTATGATCGTTTTTTTTTCAGCCTAGTTGCATGGGTTTCTATTGACTTTCAGTAGTCTGATTGCGGGATACTGCCTTGTTTTGGTAAAGACAAGAAGCGTATCCAACTCCGAATGCATATTGCCAGTCGTACCATAACCATAAAATCCGCATCAAATGAATCAAGCTGTACAGAAAACAACCCTTTGCATGAAATTTTTTTTCTACTTGGCATCCCTTTCTGCTTATCCTGCCTTTTGCCAAGCCGTGATAATAGCTAGACTGATATTTTCTGAAACGAAGCAGCATGTACCACATTAGGACGCGCCCATATCTGTGATGCGACGTAGTTGGAAGACTAGCTCTATTCTGGGCAATATAGGAAAATAAGACATCCCCACCCACGTCGCTAAATGGTATCTGTTTGAAACTGGGAGTTGGTTTGCTCTACGTAGAACGGATAATAAAGTTGCGGAGGATCCATGAAGAATTTAAACTTGTTCACAGGTTAATTTCTGATGACACTACTCGATTTTTGCCATAACCGCAATCCAAAGTCTGTCCAATCCTGATGAAACTAGGTTTGCAAGACACTGCATCGTCCGTCTTCTTGTTTTCTTTTGCAGATGATGTCAAGAGGTGGAGTAAACTGGAAATGACGTGATAAGGTTGGCAAGGATGTGAAACAAGGATGAACTGAACTGTGATGTGTAAAAGATTAGCCATTTTGGAAATACAGCAACCCCCGGCTTTTTACGTATTGTTTTGACATGAGTGTTCGCTGCCATCGTTGTAACTGGTAAGCTGTGCAGATCAGAGCTACATAATCGCCAAATGTTTATGTTATCTGTATCCCTTTTTTGGTCATCATTTATCTGTCCTGTCCAGAATCGGGTTTAGCGCGCAGCATCATTTGTTGATTTTTTTAGCAGCATGGTTCGATTCAATGACCATCCTTTTTTCGTTCTTCCCAATCAAGGTTTCATTCCCAAATAAACATAAATCGTTATTCATTCATTGTTGTAAACCAAAATCTGCAATTCGAAGATCCTCTTTCGTTGGATATGACTGCATTCTCTAAGGTATACTTTAGTCAGACACGGACTTTTCATTGCTGCTCACTGAATTTTTCTCATGCCATCGGAGAACAGAAACGGAAAATGGATAATCAGAATGAAAAAAAGAGCTTAAAAAAGTGAGCTCGTCACAATTCAACCACAGCTTTTGGTTGTAGGACGAGAAAACGAAGGAGGACAAAAAAAAAGGACATTATCCTTCGTGAACAAAAAAAAAAGGCGTTGGTTGGAACGGTGTTTCCTGGAGTTACCTTTATTTTTTATTTCTAAGAAACCGACTCTTTTTACGATGAATCGATATGTTATTACATTAGCAACTGATTTTAAACGCGATTAGGGCGATCACTATGCCATAGATAGCTGAAATGAATCATGGGAGTGACAGCTGGAGAACATGACGCTGTTTGCTACCATGTGTAACCTGTGCATACCAATAAAACAACCGGATGAACCATTTTTGATATGTTGACGAGATAGACAGTGCCGCTTGGCGGCTAAGGAAGCGATCTTTGGCGGAGTCGAATAAAAAATGCATGACCACTTGACAAAAAGTCGGTGGTGATACAATGTAACAAACTAAAGTGGGGCTGTTGCCATTGTCGAGTGGTTCGAGTCAAATCAAAATCACCAAGTTACCAAAATGAAAAATGGAACCCGAAAAGATACCGTCGCTATATTTCATCCACCCTTTTCCATGTCACATCACGCCACCTCCATATCTATTGGTTTTTCACTTTGAAAGGCAAATGTAATCCATCATACGAGCTGGATACGGACTAAACGTTGGGATTCAAAAAAAAAAAGTTCAAGTCGAAAGAAAAATGAACTTGCCAATACCCTTTTTCTTCGTCTGTAGCACAGTGATGCATTTTTCTTGAGAGTACCCGCCTATAATTGGCCAGGAAGCAGGATCGTTTTCTATTGGAGACACGTTGAAGTTTCAGGAGATAGCCAACGCAACTTACTAGCCATTATGCATTTTTTTTATCGGGCGTTAGAAGACAATGACATGAAACAGGGACAATGTTTTGTGCGAGCAGTAAATAGATTTTGACAATTAAAGTGTGGCACAATGTTTATTGGCCTAAAATGGTTTATTGATGCATACGTGGGTTTGTAAACCAAACATCAGAAGAATGCAAATGTGAACATGGTTGCAAGATACAAATGATAATCTGAATAAAGATGGAGAGGTTTCGTTTTTTTTTCTTGTTCTTTTTTTTAGTAAAGGGTATGACGGTAAAAAAAAATAATGGAAGATTTTACTTTGGATTGCCTCGATGATATTTCCAAGCTTCTTCGTAAAATCGCACCATTTGTTGTACGAGATTCTGGCGTTCGGAAGGCTTGTAGCGTGGATTGGAATTGACTTCTTGTATAGCATTCTTGATGTTGTCGATATTATACATGTTTGGACAAGCATCCCTTCGGTGGGTTGCATACTTACATAAAATACAAGCAATCACAGGCTCGTCACCGGCTTGAGCAGACCCGGCTGGAGGTTTCTGATTGGTAGCGACCGTGGTGTGTCTGACTTGTCCAAACGTCGTGGGTGCATGATGCGCGTCCCCGGCTGGATTCACATTTCGAACATGCTTATACTGTACCGCCGTAGCTGTGCCTGTAGCTACTGGTTGCTGCTGCTGCTGCACTGTATTCGTCAAGAAAATTGGATTGGATAACGAACCCAACGGTGACAGCTGAGAAGGAGGATGGTTCACTACAGGCTGTTTTTGCCTTGCAGGCTGATGCACCGGAAGTTGGCTCATGGCCGGCTGCTTTTGCATTGCGGGTTGTTGCGACGACGGATGCCGCGGTGGAGGTGGTTGCTGGACTGCTGGCTGGACAGTAGCTAGCTGGGCCGAAGCCGGTGTGGTTGTCACAGACGGGTCGATGTTGAGCAGTTGCTGCTGAGCAAGTATCCTTATAAGTTGCTGGATATGGTCTGGGGAAAGATTGGCAATAGTTGGCGTGCTAGACACTGTGTTTCCTGTAGCCTTCCCTCGGAGATTTGATGCATTTGATGAACTCAGTACATGTGACGAATTCGATGTTTGAGTGACATTTTGTGGCTGAGAAATTGGTCGAACGCCAAAATGACGTGATGCAGTTGATACAGACGAATTGGAAGTGGAACTCGATGCATCCCGTGCTACTGCCGTCGGTTGCTGAGAGGCAGACATCTTGGTGGCATTCTGATACTGATAGTTCACAGATGGAGCAGTTTCCTTTCGCAAGTTACTGGGAGCAGACGGCGACGGCGTTGGTGTTGGTGTTGGTGTTGACGAGGCCGATGCCGATGCCGCAGTGGCAGAAGGACTGGTGCTCGCGTGGGCAGCAGATTGGGCATTCGCTTGTCTTCTGGCATTGACCAGTTGAAGAAAACTAAGGTAATTGGGATCAAATAATGGCTGATCCGACGGATCCGAAGTTGGAGCAACGGCAGGCGGCGTTGGACCTGGATGTGGTACTGACTGACCTTTGACTGGCTGATAGGCAATCGGTGGTCGCATAGCTGTTGCACCAGGGGATACGTATTGATAAAAGACAGGCGGGTAGGGTGGTCCCTGATAAAAGAATTGTTGAGGTGCAGCGTGGTAAGCGACATTCGCAGGCTTATGGGTTGTGGCAGGGTGGGGTGGCATGGACTGCGGATGAGGTTGAGAAGTACGATGGCGTTTCTTCATCAAATTGGGATCGCTAATCACAGTTTGCAAGGCTTGTTGAACGGAAAACAGAGTAAGAGTGGCCGATAGAGGCTCATTGGCCTTATCGGCCTTTTCCGCCGAATGTTGCAATTGTTGCCGTTGCTGCTGAAGTCTTGCTTGGATCAATTGTTGTATCTCGGGCGTTCGTTGATCAGGGACTTTCGACGATGGACTTGAAGACGGCTTCGAAACAGCAGGTCGATATTCAATAATAGTGGGCGATGCAACGGGTGCCGCGAGTTCGTCTTCACTGATATAGTCGTCTTTCTCCAGCACGAAATCTTCGTCGTCCTGATCAAGCACCGCTTTACCCTTGCCTTTCCCTTTATGCTTTCTTCTCTTCACATTCATTTCTTCTTCCATCGCTTCTTTTCCATTCTTGTAATACGACTATTTTTTTTTTTAGAGAAAAAACCACAAGTGAATAAATGGTGCAGATGAACTGAGTATGAACATCTCCAGCTTACCACAAGCACTCGCTTACGAGCTCCACGACCCAACGCTTCCTTTTCTTGCTGTTTCAGCTTTAGCTGTTGTTGCTTTTCTTCCAAAAACTTGCGCCAAAAGTTGCTGTCTTGCTCTTCTTGTGGGTCCGCATCGGTGGTCAGATCGTCGCTCACCGATTGACCATCGGCAGTCCACACCTTGGCAAACGAAAAGGAGAATGAGTTTTCATTGGTTTCTTCCACGCCTTCCATGGGTGAATCCTTGGATTCACTGACTTGATTCGACATATGACTTCGATCCAACAGTTTATCAATGGCGGCCGAGTCGTACACAATGTCTTTGGAATTATCGCCTTCAAATAATGACTGCGCCCCAAATTTCAAAATACTTTCCACGTCTTCCGATTCGAGTTCCTTGTCGTCCATTTTTTCCACCACCAAATGATCGAGAATCATCTTCTTTTTACCAAGCTGCATAATCTTTTCTTCTACCGATAACCGCGTCATAAACTTTAACACCAGCACCGGTTTCGTTTGACCGATACGATACGCGCGACTGATGGCTTGCATATCAGCGTGTGGGTTGAAATCTGCGTCCCACATCAGCACCGTGTCTGCCGAGGCCAAATTGATTCCCACACCACCGGCACGCGTTGTCAGCAAAAACACGGAAATATCCGAGTCCCTGGCATTGAAAGCATCAATATTCTTGACACGCTGGATTTGCGACATTCCACCGTCCAGGCGCACATATTTTTCGTTTTCATATGCAAGATAATCCTCCAAAACATCCAAGGTCAGCTTCATTGTCGAGAAAATGAGGATACGATGGTTTTGCGCCTTGAGTTTGGGTAACATTTGATGGAAGATTTTCAGTTTTTCGCATGCTTCAATGAGCAAGCGGTGAGTGCTGCCTAGATCCGGCTGTGCAATTTCCACGTCGTCCATGAGATAGGGATGGTTGAGGGTTTTCCGCAGCTGCATTAAAACGTTGTGGTACGCTTTGGATGCTTTGACTTGCGACGTGTTACCGGCCAAGGCGGCAAAGGAAACAATGTTCCTAGACAAGATCTGCTTGTAGACTTCTTTTTGCAAATCCGTCATGGAGATGGGGACAATGATTTCCGAGATGGGCGGCAACGTCTTGAGCACCAGTTGCTTCGTGCGACGCAAGAAGTAGGGCTTCAATCGTTCATGCAATTCCTGAACCACGTCGTGGGATAATTCCGCATATTTTTTCTCCAGTTGATCCACGTCGGCGAATTGGCTCGGATGAACAAAGTGCATGATATTCATCAATTCTCTTATATTGTTTTGAAGCGGTGTGCCTACGTAAATGAAACAATGATATATGAATAAATATAAAACAAACAAAGAAAGAAACGTCTTCCAATATCACTGATCTCTGCATCGTTCATTTACCTGTGAGCAACACGTAGTGACCGCATCGAAGCGTGAGTAGTTTTTGAAACAGTTGACTGGCGTTGTTCTTTAATCGATGTGCTTCATCGACAACCATGACGGGCCAAAAGTTGACGCGCTGAAAATATCCCAAGTCGGATAAGGCCGATTCATAGGTGAAGATGATGGCGTGACACCGCAAAGACTTGTCCTTTGTGCTGGAAGGAAAAATCTCGTAATCGCGCGCAAGCTTTCGACTGCGGCTCGATCCGTGATAGGGAACCACCACCATGTCAGGTGCCCATTTATTGAACTCTCTTAACCAGTTGGTGGCCGTACTGTTGGGTACCACAATACAAAACGGGAAAATGTCATAGCGTTTGTACAGATAAGACAGGAATGATACAATTTGAATGGTTTTTCCTGCAGAAAAAAAAAGTAAATAATGAACACCACGAGTGGGTCATGTTAGTTTCTCATGGCGCGTACCTAGACCCATATCATCTGCCAGAATACATGGATGATCATGCTCCCATTGATATGCAAGCCAGCTGTAGCCATTCAAGGTTAGAGATCGACAGCGAAACAAAATTATTGGTAACAACTTACTTTAGGCCGTCCAATTGATGGGGCATCAGTGTACCGCCGGTAATGAAATCAGGCTGCTTTTTTAATTCGTGTTTGGCGTAAGCTTCCTTGGTGGCGACGGTTTTCACTTCCGCTACATGCTTTTTCATGTGTGAAGGGGCCGTCACTTTCTCCGCTAGACGGTACAGGCGCAGCGCATCTTCAAATGCAGGATAGAGATCTGATGACTTGGGAGGCGGGGAATCCCAGCAAGCTAACGACACATCACAAACAATTCATTGAGTGAGTGAGAATGCAGTTGGCAAGTTGCATCCTTTTCACAAAATACTTTACCATCATCGTAAGTCAATCCGCAAAATGTCGCCAACACTTGTTCAATCTTTTTGCTGTAGGCATCCTCATATTCTATGGCCAGAATACGATCCACCATCATCCATTGTCGCGGCACCACTTCGTCTTCCGTCTTTGGCTTTTCTTTACCCATGCGTTGCAGCAAGTGCTTGTATTTGGAAGTGGCTGTGACCGCAACCCAGTTTTCAGACACCCACGTCAAATGTCGATACGACGTATCCTCCCACTTTACCAAGAATTCGCGGGTTGGCGATGGTTTGACCACGGACTGAGATGTCTCTGTCTTTGTGGCGGTGGTGTCGTCGTCTGACTTGTTCACTTCGTCTGATTGCACGGTACGATATGTCATGATGCGATCAACGGGCTTACAGTACACGATGCATTCTGCACATTTCCAAAGGCTCTTGCAAGCTTCGTAAGTCGCGTCCTGGATGTTTTGGCTTTGTTTGAAGCGTGTTTCTTCATCGGGAAATCGTGGAAGACATTGAGAGTGAAAAGCGCGCAAGCATTGCGTGCAACGGAAGAGCGAATCGGTCTTGACACTCGATTCACCGGATGCTTTGGTTGCCGGTGATACGGTGTCAGATGTATCGTTGGTGGTGATTTGAGTTTCTGTGACGATATCTTCTTCTTTCGTAACAGACGTCGTATTATGAACACCACACTGGTTGCATGCGGTACTCCTCTGACACCGGAGACATCGAAAGAGATCCGAAGTGCCGTCCCCCACTGGATTTGGGTAAAAGCATTTGTCGCGCAGAGTTTTGGTATTGGGAAGACATCCTTCGTGAGTGGCGACAGCACAAATGTTGCACAGGAGCAATCGTCCTTGTTCGTCTGGATCGGGTTCCTCGTCCGAACTGGTCTCGGGGAGAGGCGTGGATCGTTGGCGACGTCGGCGATTGGTGATACCTTTCGGGGGACCGTTGACGTATCCTGTTTGTTTACATTTCAAGCACCAGTTCCAGTGCAGATCAATAAACGTTGCATCATTGTATTCTTTCACGTTGGCTTTGAACAATGTGCGCGGTTTGGGACTATCGACACGAGGGAGTGTGTTCATAAAGTGAGTAGGTTTTTGGATCCGCCGCTTGTAAGCTTCGCGGGTATGGGTGATGGTTTCCGTCTCTTGCTTGGGAGACTCGTCGTCGTGATCGCTTGGGAATGATTCGTCATACTCGGCAGCGGCCCATCGCACCCGTTTGCGCGTCGATCGCGATTCCGGTTGAACACTGGGGATACTGTCGGGGGTGGAAGTTCGGCTGCGTCCAAGATTTTCGCGAAGACGTTCATGCTCGAATTCCTCCAGCTGATTAGCGAATCCCCGTAATACCAGGGGGGATTCCTAGGTAATGATCCGTTAGAAACGATCCGGTGGACATGACAATTAAAATTATTATTGCCAAAAAGAAAAACCCTGAATCGCGTTTTTCCTTACTTCGGTCTTTTTGCCGTTGCTCCAAAGCACGGTGTAAGTGACTTTGCCGTTTCTTCTTTCTTTGCGGCTGAGAATCTTTTGAAGACCACCGTGGGTCTTGACTTTAAGTTCTCGGACGGAATCTTCGTCGGAATGGTCGGTGGAATGCGCATCGGAAGAGTCAGTGTCGTCAATGCGAGGGGATCGTCGTTTTCGGTGAGGTGATGGTGACTGCTTTGACTTGTACGCACTAAACGGTATGCATGATGCCAGATCGACGGCAAGGAGGGGCTGCCATTCCGTTTGCAAACTCTGTATAGTCTGAATCAAAAGACCATGCTTGTCATCTCATGTGCCTCTTGATAACGTACCCGTAGCGAGATCGTCTTGAAAGCGGATTTCAATTCTGACTGCGTCATCAAGTGGAATACGCGAACAGTATTTTGCGAAACACACACGCGCCACTATACAGTAATAATAACAATAACAAAAACAAAAAACCACCACCGAAAAGCAGGGAAAAAATATCGACTTTTTTTTTTCGTGAATTCCATCCTGCCGTGTGCATCAGTGACAAATGGAATAGGCGATCTTTCAGAAACAGTCATACGACGGATTTTCACTGAGCGTGGATTGGGTGGGAAATCATCCACATTTACCTGGTCCTACTTTTTGGGAGCTTTTTTCTAAGCGTAGTCGCATTCGTGCATCTATTGATCTTGCTGTAATGTTGTCACTTATTTTTTGCGCTTGCTTTTGAATGTCATCGCTGAAGAGCATCCTTATTTATCATATAACGTGATAGACAAATTCTAATTTTGGATCCGCTCCCACAAACTAGGGGAGCGGATTCACAAACAGCCGCAGGTGGTTCAAGGGCTCCACTCATTTCTCTCTCTTTTTTCTGGGCTTTCCTTTGGTTGGATCCGTCATCCTTTTCTTTTTTCGTTTCTTATTTCTGTTTTGCCCTTTTTTTTTCCTGTTTCTCTTTTCTTATCTGCTCATTCTATCACTGTCGACTTTTATTTAATTGTCCATCATCATTGCCGTTGCTAAAAAAGACTGGGCGAGTGTTTCTCTTTTTTCTTCTTAGTTTTTTTATTCACCCTTTTCTTTCCCTGTTTAATTCCTTCGACGGCCCAGTAAAACAACTGTGTGGACGCCCTTTGTGAAAGTCGACCACTTACTGATAAACGCAAACAACGCATCATGCAAGACGACAGTCGCACCGATCTGAACTGTCTTGTTGGCATGGGGAATGAAATCCCCTCCGATGATAGTATCAGCAACCTTTTGCAGACAAGATATAAACGAAATCAACCATATACCCGCGTGGGCCACTCGAATTTAATCGTTGTCAATCCTTATCAGCCACTGGAATTGCTGAACGATGCAACACTCCAGTACTATGCGAATATGGGATACCGAAATGTGATCGAGCAACCAATGGTTCTCCAGCCGCATGTTTATGAATTGGCCGCGATGGTGTATTTTCACATGCGACGAACCGGTGAAGATCAAAGTGTCGTGCTAAGGTAAGGAAAATAAAATAGTATAAAGATAGACCCCACCCATCCACAACCGAGTGTCGGCACTTGAACTTCCCAATGGCAGGGCACGTTCCCTATTGGTGGATTGCCTCGACGGCCCAGTTAACCTGTGAAGGGTGGAAAGTGGTTCCTTGGATGCGACTTACTCACTTTGCTTTCTCGTTTCTATTCAATTGCGTTAGTGGTATCACTGGTTCCGGTAAAAGCACTACGCATCAGCATTTGCTCAATCAGCTTCTATTGCTGTCCACCCACAGCAAGAAGGAGACCAAATTGCAACGTCAGATAAAGAACGCCAATGTCATCTTGGAAGCATTTGGTCATGCACGCACCGTTCAAAATACCTCGGCCTCGAAATTTGGGTTATTTCAAGAATTGCAGTTTAGCGAACGAGGTCGTATCCTGGGAGCTAAATGGCTTACTTATGCCTTTGACAAGGCCCGCGTCACGACCCTGGCCAAGGATGAACGCACGTATCATGTATTCTACTCATTGCTTGCTGGCACCAACGTCGACGAAAAAACCGCGTTGCATATCAATTACCCACCTGATCATTTCAACTATCTCAGTCAGTCCAAATATATCTTTGGTCCTGACCGGAACGATCAATTGACCTTTGATGACCTCAAGAGTGCACTCAAAGTGTGCGGATTCAAAGCAAAGACCGTCACGCAAATCTTTCAGTTGCTCGCTGCCATTCTTCACTTGGGCAATCTCCAGTTTGTAGGCAACGAGGTCGGCAACGCTACCCAGGAGGCGTGCACGGTGAAGAACTATGAACTCTTGGAATTGGTCTCGGCCATGCTCGGTGTTTCGCCTCACAAACTCGAAACGTCACTCACGTACAAGTTGAGATTGATCCGTAAAGAGCTTTGTACCATGTTCCTGAACCCTCAGGGTGCCGCCGAACAGCGTGACGCACTGGCACGTTCCTTATACCACATTCTTTTTCTCTGGCTGGTGGAATCCATCAACGCAAGGATATGTCACACAGACAATGACCCGGCCAATTTTATTGGCATTCTCGATCAATTCGGTTTCCAGAATTTCAAAACCAATTCCTTTGAAGCCTTCTGTGCCAATTTTGCCAATGAACGAGTTCACCAATTTATCATTCATCAACAATTCGATCATAATCGGGGCATGAATGCGGCCATGGTGCGTGATGGCATCCAACTTCCGAAAATTACCGGCTATCAGGATGCTCCGTGTCTCGAGTTACTCGTGGGAAAAGAGAAAGAGCCCCTGGAAAAGAACGTCAGTCGATCCGCCGCTCTCGGTTTAGGCGGTATCATCGGGGCCATGGATCGCGATTGTGCCAAATACCAAACAGGAGCGACCGACGCCACCGATGCCAATTTCCTCGCCAATCTGCAACGTCAATACGGTTCGCATGCCTCGTTTGCCAAATCCGGATTCGCATACGCATTTGGTATCAATCATTTTGCAGGCCCCGTTCACTATACGGTCGATTCGTTCTTGGAGAAGAATTTGGATGATTTATCACCGGATTTTGTCAACCTCATGCGCGACAGCAGCAACAACAGCTTCCTATCGTCCTTGTTCCAGAGCAGTGCCATGGCCACCGAATCGCATCCCAAAGATGAACGTACCATCGTCAAAGCTCAACTTTCCAGCAAGCCGACGCGCGCGCCTTCCATGCGACGCAACAACAAACGATACAATGCCGCGGAGAATCATGCCGCAAACCTTGGATCTCAAACCCAACTGAGCGACACGGACTCGAGTCGAAAGAACAAACATCTCAAAGACATTGAAGACACTTATCAGAACATGCAAGTGACGACAGTAATGGATCAATTGTACATGACCCTTCGCGATCTATTTTATACCATGTCAGATACCCACATATACAACATCATTCATATCAGACCCAACGATACCCAGTCACCGGACGCATTTGACGTACGACGAGTCAAAGCCCAAGTGGCCGCTTACTGTCTTCCGGACCTTACCTTGCGTTCCCAACAAGAATATGCCAATTACTATTCCTTCAACGAGTTCCTACTTCGGTACCAGCGCCTGATTGCTTCGTTGCAAATGGACGACAACAAGTCCGAACGTGACCAACTCAAAGCGTTGAAGAGTATCATGAACTGGTCCGATCAACAAGCGTACATTGGCCACCAAATGGTGTGGCTCGCTTATGATACCTGGAAGGAGCTTGAAAACGGTTTGCGAGCAGCAGAGAAACGCGAACGGGAACTGGCCAAGCAAGAATCGGAACCCAAGCCAGAAATGGCCGTGCCAATGGCCGACGATCCCAATGCATTGCACGCTGCTCCTTATCCCGATGGTTTTGGTGGTTATCCCACACCTGCTGGTGGCTATCTCTATCCGGCCGATCAGGCGCCGCCCGGGTTTGCCATGGGCGACACAGGCCACTCTTCCTTTTACGATGATAATGCCAGTTATGTCGAAAGTGATGACGGTATGAAACGCGAAATGGACAGCAGTCAGTGGGGCGATGAATCTGAATGGGGCATGAAAGGTCTTTCCGAAGGGTAAGTCTCTGCGGTAACATTGGTTGGGAAAGGTTGGTTAGCAAAAGATGACGGGCTTGTGATGGGGAAACTGTGTATCTACTTTTCCTTTTGATTGTTAATCATCGAACGCCTGTATCCATAGATTCGGACCAAATATGGATATGAGCAAGATGGTCGAAGATTATCACGTACCGCAACATGAACAGATCGAGGAAATGCCTATTACCGCTGTGCGTGTGTGGTGGGTTCGTTTTGTGTGGCTCATGACGTGGTGGATTCCGTCGCCGTTCCTTCGATGGTTTGGTAAAATGAAGCGTGAAGATGTCCAGATGGCCTGGCGAGAAAAGGTCACACTCTGCATCCTGATCTTTATCTTTTCGAGTATTGTCATCTTTGTTATTGTCGGTCTGGGCGAACTCATCTGTCCTGGAACGCGAAACATGTATTCGACGGCCAACGTTCAAGCCCACAGTACTCCCGACGACATGTTCATGAGCGTCCGTGGTGTGGTATACGATGTTACGAATTTTGCTCGCAGTGGCCATGGTACGACCGCTTTACCGGCGAACCGCGATACCATGGTTGAATTGGCCGGTCTGGACGTTTCGACTACCATTCCTCCTCCGTTGACCGTGGCGTGCGCCGGCTTGGTCTCATCCAATACCATTCATGTGAACCCCAACATCACCATTGTCAAGGGCACCTTTATCCACTACTCGGGCGATCAGATCCAGATTCCGACTTTGCAGAAGATGAAAGACGATCTGTGGTATTGGAATTATTTCTTACCGGAAATGAGCCTGTACAAAAAGGGCAAGGTCGTGATCCCCATCAAGCAATTGAAGGAAGATTTTGAAGGATGGGGTCGTTTGGCTCTCGCTATCAATGGCAAGGTGTACGATATCAATGACTATATGGCGACGGCGAGAACATTTGACACTGGCTCCACGGCCAGTGATTATCACTATTTGTCAGAAACGGTGGAAGAGATTTTCAACAAATTCAGTGGCACCGATGCCACCGAGAAGTGGAATCAGTACAAGAGTTCCATGTCGCCCGAAGTGCAAGCCGCCAACCTGAATTGCCTCAACAATTTTTTCTACATTGGCGATGTGGATCAACGCGAGTCTCCCCGCTGTATATTTACCAATTACTTGTTGCTGGCGTTTGCCATCATGATGTGCGCCGTCATCTTTGTCAAGTTTCTGGCCGCCCTTCAATTCGGCGGAGCCCCGACCCCGGAAGATCATGACAAATTCGTCATTTGTCAGGTTCCCTGTTACACGGAAGATGAAGAATCGATCAAGAAGACCATCGACTCGCTGACGGTGATGAACTATGACGATAAGCGCAAGTTACTGTATATTATTGCGGACGGCATGATTATGGGTAGTGGTAACGATCGACCCACCCCGCGCATTGTCTTGGACGTGCTTGGCTATGACACCAAGAACGATCCGGAACCGTTGATGTTCAAATCAATTGGTGAAGGGAGCAAACAACTGAATTACGGCAAAGTGTACTCTGGTCTGTACGAGTGTGAAGGCCACGTGGTTCCCTATGTTGTGGTGGTCAAAGTCGGCAAAGCCTCTGAACGTGCCAAGCCTGGCAATCGAGGAAAACGCGATTCGCAAATGATTTGTATGAATTTCTTGAGCAAGGTCCACTTTGACGCGGAGATGACCCCGCTGGAACTGGAGATGTACCATCAAATCAAAAATGTCATTGGCGTCAATCCTTCGTTTTACGAATATATTCTTATGGTGGACTCGGATACCGAAGTGTTACCGAACGCCTTGAACCATATGATTTCCTGCATGCTTCATGACGGACGGATCATTGGTCTTTGTGGAGAAACCAAACTGGTCAATGAAGATCGCACTTGGACCACCATGATCCAGGTCTACGAGTACTACATCTCGCATCACCTCGCCAAAGCGTTCGAATCCCTGTTTGGATCCGTCACTTGTTTGCCCGGTTGTTTCTGCATGTACCGTATCCGTACGCCAGTGAAGAACGAACCGTTGATCATCTCGCCCAAGGTCATTAGCGATTATTCGGATAACCACGTTGATACACTGCACAAGAAGAATCTCCTGCACTTGGGCGAAGATCGATACCTTACCACGTTGATGATGAAGCATTTTCCGCAATACAAGATGAAGTTCACCGCGCATGCTCAATGCAAGACGGTGGCTCCCGATCGATGGAAAGTGCTCTTGTCGCAACGTCGTCGATGGATCAACTCGACCATCCACAACTTGTTTGAACTCGTCCTGCTTCCTGACTTGTGCGGTTTCTGCTGCTTATCGATGCGATTCGTGGTCCTCATTGATCTTATCGGTACTTTGACCCTGCCGGTGTCGGTCGTGTACCTTGGTTACTTGATTTACGTCATTGCTTCGGGTACGGGACCGATTCCGATCTTGGCTCTTTGTATGTTGGCCGGTATCTATGGTTTGCAAGCGATTTTGTTCATTCTCAAGCGACAATGGCAACATATCGGTTGGATGATCTTTTACATCCTGGCCATTCCGGTCTTCTCTTTCTTCCTGCCCATCTACTCGTTCTGGCATTTTGATGACTTTTCATGGGGTAACACACGTGTGGTTGTGGGCGATAACAAGCAAAAGAAGATTATCATGGCCGACGACGAGAAATTCGATGAAAAGATGATCCCGCTGAAGAAATGGAGCGTGTACGAACAAGAACTGTGGGAAATGGGTTCGATGGGATCTAAAGAGACCGGAGTCACTGGCCACACCTATCGCAGTTATCACACTCAGGGCACACGGCTCCAAGGCGGAGGATCAGCGTTTTTCGATAATCGCAGCCAGTACGGTGGAAGTCAAATTGGCCAAGGGGACTACGATTACTATCGCAACGGTAATATGACGTCTTCGACAGAGAAGCACCGTAGCACGCCATCGGGTCACGGTCTTCGCTATGCTGCTTCAGTGATCACGCCCGGTTCGGAATACGGTGGCGATTACATGAATGCATCGCCTTTACGCGGTTCACGTACCATGTCGGTGAACAGCTTCAACCATCCGGATTACATTGGTGGCTTCGGACACCCTGTGCCTGGTGGCGGTATGATGCCTCCGCACGATCGAAGCAGCATGGTATTTGATCGCAACAACGCCTCTGCGAATCGATCCATGATGGCTCCCATGGCGACCGAGTATGAAACGTTACCACGACCGATGAGCCAGTTCTCCATCCCCGTGTCCCAAGGCGGTCTGCAACCGATGATGTCGCCTGGTTTCCCAAGCGATGAAGAAATCCTGCTAGAAATTCGAAACATCCTTGCTACAGCCAACCTCATGAGTGTCACCAAGAAACAAGGCAAGTATCTCCATTGTTTGTGCAATATGTCGTTATGTCAACGTCTAACCATTTTTTGTGTGTGTATCATAGTTCGCGAGCAGCTGACGGCATTCTTTGGATTTGACATGACACCAAAGAAAGAATACATTAACACTAGCATTGAATACATTCTACAGGGTCGCCTTTAGTTTTTATTTGTCCTTATTTTCCTTTCTGTCATTATGTAACACTCAAATTCCTCATGCATATCGATTCCTTTTTTTTGTTTTTTGTTTTTGGCACGATTGACCTTTTTTCTCCATATTGCAAGCTTTTCGTTTTTCTTTTCTGTAGTGGGGCCTCATTCTATGCGCCCTTTGACATGTAGATCCTTGTAGCAAGATGAGATTATCTTCTCAACTTTGTCTCTCTGTCAGTTATAAATGTAAAAAAATTAAAAATGAAAGAAATCTTTTTTTTTTCCTTGTGGAATACTAGATTCTGTTGATTCATAGTACACTACCATACGCTGATTCTGGCAATTACATTTGAAAGGTAAATATCAAATGCATAAAAAGATCTATTTTTTTTAATTCTCTAATCTCATTCGCGTTGCAGTAGGTGGGAGTGTACTTGTTGCTGTTTCTCAAAACTTCAACGATTATTTTATCGAAAGGGAGAAATTCATGAATTGATCAACCAGCACTCATTCAAGGGGGTTTTTTGCCCGTATGTTTATATCCCATGGCTTACTTGTAGTTATCGCTAGAAACGTGGAAACATCGTTTTTGCCCTTTTTCATACAATGGTTTGAATTGCGTTCCTATGCCATTTTCAACTTGGGGAAACGTGTATTTTATCGTTATTTTCTCTGGCAGCTGTATTCGTTGCCTTTTTAAGCCGCCAAAAGCTAGTTCTTTTTATCATGAATCATGCAGCCAGTGCAAAGAAAAGTTTCATTCCATACCTCTTTTATTTTCACATGCCCTGCACAACACGCCAACCTTTTTTTTTCACTCCGAAGGGATGGGCTACCCATTTTATCTGATCAGGCTTCGGGGACTTACGTTCGTCTCGAAGATATAATTTTTTTTTGAACGGTGCATCTCTGCCAATAAGGCCGGCTTGTCGGTGCCCTGTTGATTTCATTAAACCCAACCTGAACGGAGTTTGAACAAAAGGAGCCATTTCGGGGCACGTGCCGATGCCAGGACGGACAAGGTCAAAAAGCGAATAATATTGATAAAATGATGCTGAGTTGCACCGAGGATAATGCATTGTCACGTACTGCGGGAGGTTGTCATATCTATTTAGTTTCTGTATAAAAATAGCATCACCATGCTATGTCACGACACCTTGGGCTTGGAGAGAAAAAAGGAACAGAAACCCGATAAAAAGGGAAGCGGATTTTTTATTCTTGCCAGCTGTTTGATTGGAAAGGTTTCAATAAGGCAACTTGCGACATTCCCAGTGAATTCGGGCGCAGTCGCATATTTTCATATCGTTGAAAAAGAACCATCGAAATCCCTTTTTTTCTATCCTATATCCTCTTTTTTCATCTTATCTGGAACTCGCTTATCTCCTTTTTTCTTTATCAAAAGTTGACATATATATCTTTATATATACACTATCTGTTAAAGCAGTGTGAATGTTGCCTCCAAAAGAAGCGAGGTTAAAGGATGCCGTGGTAGGCTTGCACTGGGCTGCGGTCACCGGAAACCTTGGTAAGTGAAAAGGGAGAATTAAAAAACTTCCAAGGTGCCACACTCAACCCATACTTGGTCTTTTTTATTTAATCTCGGATACACACTCAGGCCTCGTGAAATTCACACTCGACCATGGCGTTTCCATTGAATCCACCATGAACGGCCTCTTGCCCTTACAAACGGCATGTATAAGCGACGCTAATATTGCCATTGTACAATACCTCATTGACCGAGGCGCTCAGGTCAATGCCCAAAAGTAAGTGCACCAAAGGCCCGAATCACCTAGATCAAGTGTAACTCATGCTTGAGCCCTTTTATTTCCTTTCTCACTTAGGTGGTCGAAAAAGCACTGCGCAGACAAGTCACAAACGGCTTCAGGTGCAATAGGTGCTACCGCTCTTCATGTCGCCTGCACTAACGGTTGCACCCGCATCGTGGATCTGTTGCTGCGCAATGGAGCCAAGGTGAATATCCGCGATCAATACGGCGTCTCGCCTTTACAAATTGCCAAGCTGAAAGGCCACACTACCATTGTAAATACTTTAGAAACCCTGCAACAAATCCAGCAATGCATGAAATCGAGCAAAGAATCCGACGATGACGACGCTGCTGCACGAACGAATTGGCACGGCATTGATACAGCCATCAATGGCTCGTACTCTGCCAGTGTTTGCATCCCAGATGATAAAAGCTGCTATGAATTATCGCTGTACCTGGGCGGACCAATCGCATCTTCAACGTTTACGCTCACTCCACCATCATCATCATCTGACCTTTCGCTGCCTGAAACTTCTTCTTCGGAATCTACATCTATGACCACCATGTCTTCCTCTACGGATGGAGCGCGTGAAGAAGAGAACACCAAAGATTATTACGGTCAAGGTGTGGTTTTCCCTTATCACGAGGACAATTACTTGACTTCGTTGGAACGACGTTCGTATGGCATTGAGCCGCTCCTGTCCAGCCCTGCAGATGATTCCAATGATGTGGGATACGTCCACCACAAATCGTTACCGATGTTGCCGCAACAGTTGGAAGCGATGTGCACAATTACGCATAAACGATCCATATCCGATAATGTACAACAGCTACGAACCCGCGCTTTGCGTAATATGATGACGAATAATGGGAAGATTACACCCCTGAGTTCTGGAAACCAAAAGATGGAATCTCTCCACCAACGTTGTGTTAATGACGCACACACCAAGTTTCATTCTCGACCTCACACTTCTCCAAATCATCGCCGTCGGCAGAGCCTTTGCGATGTACGCCGCTTTACCCCTCTCAACGCCCTGTCATTCTCCAGAGATACATCCTCGGACAAAGCCTTGTCAGATTGCGATTACGATGCAACTTTCAAAATTCGCAAAAGAATTTTCATCCCAAACTGGATTAGCTGGTCAAAATCCTGAAATGCTTGTTCAATTTTCTTCCCTTCCTTTCTCTCCCAAAAATGTACAAATCATTCAGCATCCCTATCTTATACGCACATCCTCTGTAATCATTGTTCATACACATATGTAACTATTGTTCGTAAATATCCTTAGCATAACATCTCAATAAAAACAATTGTTTTCTTCTTCCATCGGCAGCAGCGAATTCCAGGTTTTCTTCGTTTTCTGAGTTTCGGCTGGTTTTTATTTTTTTTTATTCTTTCCCACATGGACCCTACAAGCCAGGATGCCGAAAGCTCTCTAACGAGATGTCAGGTTTATTTTGAGACTCTTCTTGTTCTGGAATAATGTATACTGTAAATCGCGCATCTGGATGGTCGACCGCAGTTGCATTATAGGCCAATTCTAATATGATAGGATACCATGTGAACGTAACCGGATAAAATTGAACCGCGCACGCACGGCATAGAAATTCCTTTGAGATGCCAAACAAATGACCTAAATTTCGTTTTTTTTTTCCTTTTGCCAAAACTTTTAGCGCGCAAGAAAGAAAAAAAGAAAAGAGAAGATGGATGAAATAATGCGTACAGACTTTCGGTCATTCCATTAGCAATACTGCAATTGACAAACTAGGAAACCGATGGGGTAAACTTCTGCCATCACCTCTGTGTCCAATTCCTCGTTGTCCGTTTTATTACAATAACAGCAGCAGCGATTTTGAACAAGTTTCTATGCTAATAGTGCACAATTGGTTTATACGAGCGCATCAGAACCTGATAGTATTTCCAGTGATTGCAAAACCTGGCCATCTGTAGTGGAAATCATGGCAAATGTCATTCATATAATAACGCGATCATGTCATACTGTATGTACAGTTCTCCGAAAGTCCGATGGAATCACGTTCATATAGCAAATGTCATTGTCAAGACTGCTAAATACCTATAGGACACCGTTGATCAGGGTTGACCAAGATAATGGTATATTTCCCAAGCAAGTTACTGTTTATATTTCTGGGAATTCGTTCCTGAGAATCATTATCCAAAATGGTCCAAGAACAGCACAGCCCCCACATTATACCTGTGCGATATCGACTAACCACTTTAATGAATCGTGTTGACAGCACGTCGCTCAAAAAGTGATCGGTTTTACATGGGTTGTCTCCTGTGGGCGAAATCATTCTTATATAATTCCTAAGTCTTTGGAGTTGTTTATTGCAGAAGTTGTACGCTTCTGGCAAGTAATAATGTTTCAGCTATTCTATGGATGAACTTGCGCAACATTCTGTTTATTCGCACATCTAGCCATTTTTTTTTCCCATTGGATAAGTTGTGGAGTGGGTAAAAAGGTTAATTATCTGGTCAAATGACATGAATGAATGAGGCAATGGAATATTAAACGATGTGTTACCATAGTAATAGTGTCCAAGTGACGTTTTCCATTCCCATTCAAAAGTGTTAGTTTAGTGATTCTGGGGTATAATCTGGGTTCCCACGACTGACGTTTTAGCAACCTTCGGTGCCTGAAGTTGCAAGTGTATAAAAAGGGCGATCAACAGACACAGACTAGCGTCAACAGGTATTACCGATCTTTTTTTTTAAAAAAAAGAAATCACAATCAACAATGACAGCTACTGTTTCCCGTGAAACCATGATTGAAAACTTGCGACGTGCCGTGAAAGTGGCTCAACGGGCCAAGACGTTTGGCAAGCATCCTTTTGGTGCCATCCTCGTAGGTCCTGATGGTGACGTGTTATTGGAACAAGGCAATATCGACACTCTTCATCATGCTGAAAGCACCATTTGCCATGTCGCATGTAAGTAACATGTTTTAATATCCATGCATCCGAGAAGACAGTCCATTTCTTCGTATTGATTCGCATGATCGTTTAGCCACCAATTTCTCCACTGAATATTTGAAAGGTTGCACAATGTATACCAATTTTGAGCCCTGTGCCATGTGCGCGGGTTCATGTTACTGGGCTGGTATTGGCAGGGTGGTCTACGGTATGTCTGAAAGCCGTTTGTTGGAAATGACAGGCAACAATGACGAAAACCCCACCATGTCCCTTCCTTGCCGTGTCGTCTTTGACGCAGGACAGCGAAAAATTGACGTTCACGGACCCTTCCCCGAATTGGAGGATGAGATCAGCGCCGACCACTTGGAATTCTGGAAATCCCACGGATGAATTATCGTGCTCATGATCGTTTAGATTACATGTTAAACAAATCGTTGGTTGCACTGAAACCACAGTCAACCGGGTTTTTCCTCGAGGAATCATCCAACGTCTTTCACTAACTTTTTGTAGGGCCGATTCAAAGACTCAAAATCGAGCTTATTCATTTGCGCATGCTTTTTGGCTCATTTGAAAGACATCAGTGTCACGCATGCGCCAAAAATGGTTTCCGCATGAGCTTTGTAAAAAGGACCAATAACCATTTGTCTACAATTCACCCTACTCGTGCATAACTTTTTCTCTGAGTTACAATAACCGATTCCCAAAGATAACTGAACTCAGTTGACGAAAATAATGAAATAAATAAAAATGAAGAGAGAAAAACCTGTTTGTTGTTTGCTGAAGGGTTCCGGTTATACATCGTACGCTCCTTTTGTGGCGCATCATTAGCCTTTGTCGTTTTTGTACAATTTAAATTAGGACATCAAAATTGTGCCGTGCTTTGCAATGATCTGTGGTTCCCACACCCTAACCCACTGCTCGCTTGTTTGAATTACATTATTATAAGCAATATACGATAGTTACCACATGTATTATTAGGAATCTAGTTTTTAGCATCTTCCTCGTCATTACCGTATTGGAAAGTCTAAATGAGAAACGCTCAAGTGCTTGACCTAGTCGATCGGCTATGACACACAATAAATTCACTCGATCATGCGATCCGTAAAGCAGCTATTTGACACAGTAAGGAACGCGATGATCATCCGTTGAGAAGCTGAAAGAACGGCCTGTATTTTATTGATACTTTCCATTACTGTTGGAACCAACAGTAGTTCATTCTTTTGCGCGGGAAATTGAATTGTTTCAACCCGATCTTTGTATTCTCGCCGTCTAGCAAATACATGCCATCCTCCAAAAGTACGTCAGCTAAACCATCTATTCATACGTACTGAGGTCGTATTCCAAGTAATATCTTCGCTACATCTCAGCGATCACTGGATTTCGTCACTCTTGCGGCCAATAGTCAGCCCAAGCTACATTAAGAACTCCAGGTCTATGCTGGCCCTGTTGGTGAGGCCAATCATCCATTTACAAAAGGAAGAGCTCGAAATGGAGTATTTCATGAAGTTTGAAATTGCTTAACATATGTCGCGGTCACATGCGAATATACCATATAAGCATCAACTTGTTCGCTACAGTCAGCGCTCGGTTTAAGGATTCACCTGGGAACCACAGAAAGTAAGTTCTAAATTGAGTAATTCCTCAGTTAAGTGATAATTGTATTTGATTAACTTTACAGATTTCTGTTATGCAGACCAAAGGAGGTTTCGTTGCACCGCTTTACGAGCAGAGTAGTCCCGCTGAGATTCAATACAACATTAGTGTTATTCTCGTTATCTGCATTTGAAGATCTGGAAAAAGAAGATCGTAGTAAGGATCCTTTCGATTGTTGCATATCTTTATTCATTCATACATTTTTCGATTGTTGCATATCTTTATTCATTCATACATTGTTATCGGCCAATTTATGCTTTCTATCATGGGACGAAGACGACGATGATTAGTGATCAGTGCTCTCATTTACAAGCATGCATGGAGTTAACCATATTGTGAGCCCTACTAGTCGTATGACTTGCTCTCGGTGATAAGTCGAAGTTGTGGATGGGGACTCTTTGTTTTCGTTTTGTTCTTTTTCTAAGAGGCAATTAGCCTGATGCTTTATTTGTTCGTACGTCACAATGAGCGTTCTGGATGAAAAGACTCAATCGGTAACAGAAAAGGAAGTTCATCTGATAAGGAAACGTACCAAAACCGGGTCACCCCTGTTGTGGAACACTAATTCGAAAAATGGGAGAATAAGATACAGTAAGGCAGTGGATATATGATATTTTTTGATGTTCTAAAAAAACAATCTTATGAGCAACTAGAACTCTATGGTTGTTATTTTGAGTTGAATTGCTGATTGTGGATAATCCGATTTTTGTAAAGGTGTGCAGTTGTTGCTATCGCTGGATCGCTTTTTGGAACTTTTATGCGGATGCTATACGTTGATTGCCAACTTGACATGAGAACCATAGTTGGTCATGCCAAAAAAGTCCTGAGGTCTCTAATAACAAAAACACATGATACGGCTTTTTCTTTTGGAAGGAATACATTATGGTCTGCTACTCTGTTATCAAATATGTTCAGCCATGTCTTCTGCCATCAAACGCTCAACAGTGGATCTAAGCTGTATCATATATAAAATAGTATTTTACATGTCCTCTCCGATGTGTCTTCTTGCTAGAGATGAAAATCTACCGGTTTCTAGACCCTGCTTGTGAGCGTCACGTGCGTAACATCCTTTCCTTTTCAACAACAGGGATGGTAAGCCAAGCTGTCGTGAAACTGAATACATGCTTGCATAAATATTGACAGAAAAGCGTTACGGTCGTGTCAAAATACAATCGTAATATATATCGCCATTATTACATATTATTGACTATCTCTGTTGTTCTCGCACCTTTAATGAGCAACTTCACTCCGGACTCCAGCGGGCAGAGCTCTGCTTCAGGTTCAAGCTCGATGCATCCAGAGTTTCGACAAAATCCGTTTTTAAGCGAAGCTGACCCAGAAAAATGGGATTTACGCAAGGTCGTAAAGAATATCGAACTTTCCAATCATCCGCTTCAAGACGTTCTTAGAGAAGTAAAGCAATATCTGGTGGAAGTAGAGGATCGAGGGAGCAGCTTGCAAGCGAGAAAAGCCCAGGAAATTATTACCAACTGGAAGGTAAGTCAATGTCCTGCTTTTCAAAAATTATTTCCGTATGCAGCCACGCATTGAGGGTCATAGCGTTGCGCTCTGCCAGTTGAATAAGCTTCACTGATTTGACATGTCAACAGGATGAGACTCGGACCCTACAATTGAATAGAAAGGGGAAGCTCACCCAAAAAAGGGAACATGGGTCGGCAAGCTCTGTTGGGGTCTCCATTGGTCATATTACGGGCAATGTAGTCATCCACAACTCAGCCCAATTACCGGCTAATTCAGGCGATGACAGGAGCTCGATCAGTAGCGTTGAAGAGCACCGCAACAAGATGTGTCGCGTGTACCTGCAGGGTAGTTACGTTGCTGAGGAGGACATGGACGAGCAAAAAGAACCAGCGAGAAAGGTATGCAACATCAATCTCATGCCATTCATCAACTGATAAATTTTTGCGTAGTGGATCGTTCAAGGGAAAGATATGACAGCGCATTTAATCGCCTATAGAAAGAGAAGTATCAAGCTGGCGCGAAGTGAAGCACGCCTGGAAGATTCTCATATTCTGTGAGTGAAAACAGTTGGTTCTATTTGGTACATGGTTATTCATATCTTCCATATAGTTCCCTTTCATTCATTTATATTCTCTCTCCCAATGACCCTTGTGCGGTCTCTAGTCTCCCTCCACTTCAGCAATACGCTGTATTTGAGAATTTGTTGCAAACTCGACCTCATGTGTCCGACGATTTGTGGGACATTTGTGAAGAAACCCAATACGCATTGGCACGCAACCAAGATGTCAGGCCGATATTTCAAAGGAAATTTTTAGAATGTGATGACGAGATGTACTACTGCATCGATATCCTAAGCAACTTGATCAAGTTCCTTCCAGCTAAGAAAAGCCATCAAGTTGAAACGGCAATTATAGACACCGTCAAAGCTTTCGTAATTTCATCCCTTAACGTTGATGGTGCAAAGGGGGAATGGTAGGATGGGATACAAGAAATGTTAGGAATGATAGCAGTAAGCTAATAGGATGACATTCAGGCAAACCTATCACATGCCTTACGTAGATAGCTCCAGCGGCAAATCGACCTCGATGATGCCCGATTACGTAATGTACGCGCAGCCAACAGCAAGAACCAACTTCGACTTGTTCTTCGTGGAAGTTAAGAGCTGGCCCAACAAGGGCAACAAACATGAAACAGACACAATAAAGCTGGGAAAGGAGATGAAGCTTGGCATCGACAAATTGGTGAACCGAAGCGTCGAAGATCCGATGACAGTTGGGATGTTGGTGGAAGGTATTAAACAAGATGCATAAGAGTGAAGATGAAAAAGCGCGTTTCACTAACAACATTCAAAGGCTGTCATGTGAAGACGTACTATATGGATTTAAAATTCGACGGCCAATACAGGATGGTCGAAATGGCTCGATACAAACTTCCGGGCAACCGGGTGGATGGACTGTTAATTGTGCCTCCGGTATTAGAAAGCATGAAACAGATGAAGGTAGCTCTTCCGATTGTTCTGCAAATGTTATCGTTATTTCTGACTTTATGCTACAGTTGATCATTGAGCATACGATGAAGAGTCTCTATGCAGCGGTCAAAGCAGGTCGGCCAAAGACACCTTCTGGGTTATCCGGGTTTGTCAGATCATCCTGTGGTAGCCCCACTATGACCAGAAAGTGACCGAGGGCGGAAACGAAATCGTTGTACTATTATCAGAGCTATTATTTGTAATATATAGGAGGAAGGAAGCTCAACTTTTAACTCAACGAAAATCAAAATAAAAGAAGTGTTAGCTTAGGTCGAAGTCATCTTGGCAGGGAGCTTGGTAATCACTGCCAGAACCAAACGAGCGACAAGGCCGGATAGCAACGAGACATTATCCACAAAGCGCGATATGGCAAATTACAAGGAGTGTGAAATGGATGATCGTGATATACATTCTGATAGAGTAGAGGGAAGGTACTTGTAATACCATTTGTCGAGGCAAGCTGCCAACACTGTAGCTCCTAGATGAAAAAGAAACCAAGGGCACCTCAAATCGAGTCCACGCGAACCAACGCGCTGGACAAGCGACGAAGAGGGGAGTTAAACTATTTACCAAGGGATGACATAATTAACAAGTAGCACTGGGAAGTACATGGGGAAGAATACAAATGCAGAGTGGCCGCTGTGGCCAGCTTGGGTATTAATGGCGCCGACCATAAAGTAATTATATGAATGATACATGGACAGTTAAAGTGGGTCAGCTGATGGTAAAAATAGTTAATAGGACGAGAAGCAGGATGCGCCGATATCTGGAAGATAGCGTGGCAAAAGTCTTGCGAGGAGGTCGACGCTGAAGACAGCAGGCAGACAAAAGCACAAAGCACTGAGCTGCTGTCAAACCCACCGAATAGTGCCATCTTGTATAATAGGAAGCAAAACGTCTGAAGCGCAAAGATGTGCAAAGTAAAAATTGAGGCAAATGGTGGCGTTGAACAATGAAAAAAAAAAGAAAAAAAAAGGATCGTATCATAATAAAGATCCTTTTAGACAGTTGCGTATATTTTATTTATCGGTTAGTACGTTGTCGGCCTAGTTATACTTTCGCGTAGGACGGAAATAACAAGATCAGTGAGCAGTACTTTCGGTTATGAGCATGTATGAATTTAAACCCATATTGTGATTCATGGCGGCCTTAGGACTTTTGCTTTCGGTGATAAATCGAAGCTGTGAAAGAATACCCCTTTGTTTTCTTACTTTTTTTGTAAGGGGTGATTGGCCTGGTGATTTAGTTGCTCGTGCGTCACAATGAGCTTTGTGAGGCACCCGGTTTTGTATAGAACTGTGCAGCTGTTGCAGTCGCTGAATACCTTTTCCGGAATTTCCATGGGAACGTTTTGCTTTGCCAACTTGACATGATGATCAAACTGATTCTATTTTGCGGATCTTCAATGCGGCAAAGGCTATATGGTTTTAATAAAAGGCATATTATGTAGATTCTTCTTTAGATGTTTCAAGAACGTTGCATCGTAAGTAGAAAAAACATCTGACGTGTTTCCTCTGATGCGTCTTTTTGCTAAAGGTCGAAATCTGCCGCTTCCAGACCCTGTTGATAAGTCACAGGACACCATCCTTTGACCTTGAAACAGGGATTGATAAGCCATAATTGTTGTGAAACTAAATACATGCTTTGCATAAATATTGACATGAAGCTACAGTATACGTCATGTCAAAGTAAGTCAGGCTATAAATTAGTTATGATTACATATCGTTGATTTTCCATTGTTGCTCTCGTGCCTCATAATGAGCAGCTTGAGTTCAGGCTTTACTGGGCAGAGCTCCACTACAGGTTCAAGCTGGACGGATCCAGGATTTCGGCAAAACCCGTTTTTAAGCGAAACTGACCCAGCAAAGTGGGATCTGTGGAAGATTGCAAAAGATATCGAACGTTTGCATCCTTTGAAGGCAGTCCAGGAAATCACTAACGAAGTAAAGCAATATCTTGTGGAAGTCGAAGTTCGGGGGACCAATGTACAAGTGAAGAAAGCCCAAGAAATGATCAACAACTGGCAGGTAAATCATGCTCTAAATTTCCCAAATCCACTTCTGTATGCAGGCATGTACTTGCGGGTCTTAGCACAGTAGCCTGCCAGATGATAAGCTTTACTTATTGGACATTTCAGTAGAACGTTAGCCGGGCTCTCAAGTTTGATACAAAGAGGAAGTCTTTCCAAAAAAGAAAACATGGGGCGGCAAGCTCTGCTGGTGTCTCTATTGGCCAAATCACGGGCACTGTAATTATCAACTACTCAGCCCAGTTACCGGAAAACTCGAGCGATGATAACAGCTCGATCAACAGTGTGGAAGAGCACCATAACAAGATGTGCCGCGTGTACGTACAGGGTAGCTATGTTGCTGAGGAGGGTATGGACAAGCAAACAGAACTAGCAAGGAAGGTATGCAACATCATCTCATGTCATTCATCAACTGATAAATTTTTTGCATAGTGGATCGTCCAAGGCGAGGATATGACAGCTCACCTAAGCGAATACAGGAGGAAATGCATTAAATTGGCGCACAGCAAAAGACACCTGTCATACCGTCATCTCCTGTGAGTAGCAAACAGTTGGGCTGTATTCGATACTTTGTAACTCATATACTCCATGTAGTGCACTGTCGTTCATATATCTTATCTCGCCTACCAACCGTTGTGCTATAACTTCCTTGCATCCATTCCAGCAACAGGCGGTATTCGAGGATTTATCGCAGAGTTTACCACTTGTGCCCAAAGACGTGTGGGAGTTTTGTCGAAACGCGCGGCATGCAGCTACACGAAATCAAAACGTTGAGTCATTCCTTCGAACCGAATATTCTGCACAGCAAGGAAATGATGTGGAAATGTTGAACTGCATTCAGATCCTTTACACCTTGAACGGAGTCCTCCCAGCTAACGACAGGCATCCGATTGAATCGGAAATTACCGTAAGCACCATTAAAGCCTTTATACCGTCGTCACTCTACGTTGATGGTGCAAAGGACGAATGGTAGGATGGATACAAGGAAATCAATGCTGATAGCTGCAAACTAATAGGATGACATTTAGGCAAACCTATCACATGCCTTATGTTGATTGTTCAACCGGCAGATCGATCTCATTGAAACCGGATTACGTCATGTACGTTGAACCAACTGCAAAAACCAATCTCGAATTGTTTTTCTTGGAGGTCAAGGACTGGCCCAACAAGGGCAACGTCTATGAAGCAGACACAGTAAAACTAGGAAAGGAGATGAAGCTTGGCCTTCACAAGTTGGTGAATGGAGGAGTAAAAGACCCGATAACAGTTGGGATGTTAGTGGAAGGTATTAAATGTGTGATATAAAAAAACGCAAGTTCGTTGACAATACATTGAAGGCTGTCATGTGAAGACCTATTACATGGATCTAAAATTCGACGGCTTATACAGAATGGTCGAAACGTCTCTATTTAATCTGCCAACGAACCGAGGGGATGAACTGTTGCTTGTACCACCAGTGCTTGAAAGGTTGAAGCAGATGAAGGTAGCTCTTCTGACTGTTCTTTGGATGACTATTGTTATGTTGACTTTATGTTACAGGTAATCATTGAGCGAACAATGAACAATATACACACGGCGATGGATCCAGCCCGGCCAAAGACATCTTCCGGAATTTAACCTTGTCGAACCCTATCAAAAACCTCAATCGGGGAAAAAACTTTCCAAATGATATGGTATAATGATACTTTCGATTTAACAATCGCATTTGGAATACCCTTAGACTGTAACATCCCAGCATTCTAATTTTTTTTCTCATATCAGTTATCAGCCTAAGCAAAATCATTTTTCTCAGGATTATTGTATCAAGTTAGGATCATATAAACCACTGTGATTGTAAACCACGGTCAGCTGCTTTTCGATCTTCCACAGTAGACAGCCATTTAAATTATTGAAATTAAATAGTCATCAATAATGTTTTCAGATCACTCCTTGATTGTTCATTACAACAAACCGTGAATGCCGGTCAGAGCTCATCGATTTCATTTTCTACGGCCTGTATCTCATTCTGTTTGAAAGGATGAGCAACATATGCACCACGTCTAAAAATCATCAGTATGTGTGAAACAACTGGCAATTATTTCCTGCTTCACCTGACTCCAAGCAATCCGTGTGAATTCCATTGCCTGCTTGTCATCCGCCGTATAGATTTCGGGCAAGTTACATTGACGTCCTTGACTACAGCCCAATTGTACTGGAGCTTCCTATTTAAAGTATACTTTTATCAAATTACCAAAATCAGTTTAGATTTACTATTATTTATAGCCACACGTAATTTAAAGCCGTGATGCTTAAGTTTGTGATCCAACCATCAATTTGCTTTAAAATTTTTGGTTCCAGTATTTTCGAGATGACACCTTGCAATAAGAGTCCGATGTTGAATTCCTTTTCTGCCCAAGCAGTTGACTGCGTTGACTGCATTGATTGTTGTATACTAATAACAAATACTGTAGGCAGGTTTTGTTGATGGTTGCTTAGGGCAATTTTTGTTCTTGCAGTTTCCATATCAGATATGTTGTTTTGGGACATTGTTATATGAACATAGAAGGTGTCTCAAATTGCGTATCAAAGTACAATTACCATAGACACTACCATAGACCAATATTAGATGACTCTCATATTTGTGATACTTCGTTTTTCTAAGCATAATCTAATTATGAATGATTGTCAAGCATATTGGCAGTAAGGTAAAAGGTAGATCGCGAAATCATGAATCATATAATGAAAAATCAAAATACAATACAGCAATATCATAAGTTAACAGACCAAATGCAGACAAGATGGTTGCAAGTCAGTAACTTCCTACAAGTGTATCAATCGCTTTATGCGCTTCAAAGGATTTGTGACCATTTTACTCCTCTATCCTTAACCTTGGAATTGTTAAGCAAGTAAAAACGTACCCACATATGATATCAGATATTTTTACGACTCAAACATAAGCTCGTGCCCACCAACACATCAGTCACTGCCTTTCCTATTATCATTATGTACAAATAAATCTCATGAAAACTCGATGAGTCTTCTCTCCCATTACTTCTTTGTCACAGTTGGTGTTCCACACGACAAGCGGAGAAAGCCTAAAGCCTCGGAAGGCGTTTTCAGCCGGGCCGGATCCACCGCCGCGTGTATATTCTTGATCGTTTGTTCAGTCATCACCTGTAACATAAAGTCAACATAACAATAGTCATCCAAGGAACAGTCGGAAGAACTACCTTCATCTGCTTTAATCTTTCAAGCACTGGTGGCACAAGCAGCAGCTCGTCCCCCCGGTTCGTTGGTAGATCGAATTGGCAGATTTCGACCATCCTGTATAAGCCGTCGAATCTTAGATCCATGTAATAGGTCTTCGCATGACAGCCTTTTAAAATATTGTTAGTGAAACTTGCTTTTTTTTTTCTATCACTCTTATGTAAATCATTTAATACCTTCCACTATCATCCCAACTGTCATAGGATCTTCTACCCCTTCGTCCACCAACTTGTCAATACCAAGCTTCATTTCTTTGCCTAGCTTGATAGTATCGGTTTCTTCTTTGATGCCCTTGCTGGGCCAGTTCTTGATTTCAATAAAAAGCAACTCGAAATTGGTCACACCTGCTTCGGTGTACATAACGTAATCCGGTTTGAGCGAGGTGGACATTCCGGTCGAATTGTCAACGTAAGGGATGCGATGATGGAGCCTAATGTCGTTCTGTCAGCTTGCGTGTATCAATAATACTATTTCTCGTAACAATTCCTACCATTCTCCCTTTGCAGAATCAATCGTGAGAGACGACTTCACAAAGGCTTTCAGGCTTTCGGCCATGACCGAAGAATCAACCTGATGACTGTCATAGGCCGGGAGAATTCGGACCAGGTTGTAAAGGATTTGCACGCACTGCTGCATCTCCTCATCACATTCTTCTCCTGCAGAATATTCGCTTCGAAGGAACTGTTCGACGCTTTGGTTTCGTGTTGCTGCATGCCGCGCTTTTCGACAAATCTTCCACACGTCTTTAGACACACGTGGGAGAGTCTGCGACAGCTCCTCAAACACAGCATGCTGTTCACACAAATGCAAGGTGGATGTAGCACAGTGGTCGATAGGCGAGATAAGATATATGAACGAAAGTGCACTACATGGAGTATATGAGTTTCAAAGTATCGAATACAGCCCAATTATTTGCTACTCACAGAACATGACGGTCTGATAGGTGTGTTTTGCTTTGCGCCATTTTAACGCATTTCCTCCTGTATCTGTTTAGGTGGGCTGTCATATCCTCGCCTTGGACCAACCACTATGCAAAAATTAATCAGTTGATGAATGGCATGAGATTGATGTTGCATACCTTTCTTGCTGGTTCTTTTTGCTCGTCCATGTCCTCCTCAGCACCGTAACTACCCTGCAGGTACACGCGACACATCTTGTTGTGGTGCTCTTCAACGCTACTGATCGAGCTACTGTCATCGCCTGAATTAGCCGGTAATTGGGCTGAGTTGTGGATGACTACATTGCCCGTAATATGACCAATGGAGACCCCAACAGAGCTTGCCGACCCATGTTCCCTTTTTTGGGTGAGCTTCCCCTTTCTATTCAATTGTAAGGTCCGAGTCTCATCCTGTTGACATGTCAAATCAGTGAAGCTTATTCAACTGGCAGAGCGCAACGCTATGACCCTCAATGCGTGGCTGCATACGGAAATAATTTTTGAAAAGCAGGACATTGACTTACCTTCCAGTTGGTGATAATTTCTTGGGCTTCTCTCGCTTGCAAGCTGCTCCCTCGATCCTCTACTTCCACCAGATATTGCTTTACTTCTCTAAGGATGTCTCGAAGCGGTTTCAACGGATTGGAAAGTTCGATATTCTTTACGACCTTGCGTAAATCCCATTTTTTTCGGTCAGCTTCGCTTAAAAACGGATTTTGTCGAAATTCTGGATGCATCGAGCTTGAACCTGAAGCAGAGCTCTGCCCGCTGGAGTCTGGAGTGAAGTTGCTCATTATGAGATGCGAGAACAACAGAGCCAGCCAATGATATGTAATCATGGCGATATATATTACGATTGTATTTTGACACGACCGTAACGCTTTTCTGTCTTTATGCAAGCATGTATTCAGTTTCACGACAGCTTGGCTTATCATCCCTGTTGTTAAAAAGGAATGGATGTTTCGGGTGTGACTCTCACAAGCAGGGTCTAGAAACCGGTAGATTTTGTCATCTGTCGCAAGAAGACGCATCTGAGAGGACATATAAAATAGTATTTTATATATGATACAACTTAGATCCACTGTTGAGAGTTTGACGGCAGAAGACATGGCTAAATATATGTGATAAAAAGAGTAGCAGACTGTATGCATTCTTTCGATAGAAAATCTGCATTAACTTTCATTACAATCACAAAACGTTTTTGGCACTGATGATAAAAGCAAACCTGGAGCCTCATATCAAGTTGTCAAACTATAGCGAACATCCCCATGGAAGTTCTGGGGAGGGATCCAGCGATAGCGACACCTTCGTACAAAAACCGGATTACAATCTGCCACTCAACGCAAAATAAACAAGCATACAGAGACTCATAGAAATTTATTTTATACATCTAACAGTGCGGTATATTCAGTATCTTGCTGTATCTTATTCTCCCATTGTCCGTATGTATTCCACAACAGGGATGATCGGGATTTGATATGTTCTTATCAGGTGAACTTCCTTTTTCATTACAGTTGAGCCTCTTCATTCACTATGCTCATTGTGACGTACGAGCAACTAAATCACCAGGCCAATCACCCCTTACAAAAAAAGTAAGAAAACAAAGGGGTATTCTTTCACAGCTTCGATTTATCACCGAAAGCAAAAGTCCTAAGGCCGCCATGAATCACAATATGGGTTTAAATTCATACATGCTCATAACCGAAAGTACTGCTCACTGATCTTGTTATTTCCGTCCTACGCGAAAGTATAACTAGGCCGACAACGTACTAACCGATAAATAAAATATACGCAACTGTCTAAAAGGATCTTTATTATGATACGATCCTTTTTTTTTCTTTTTTTTTTCATTGTTCAACGCCACCATTTGCCTCAATTTTTACTTTGCACATCTTTGCGCTTCAGACGTTTTGCTTCCTATTATACAAGATGGCACTATTCGGTGGGTTTGACAGCAGCTCAGTGCTTTGTGCTTTTGTCTGCCTGCTGTCTTCAGCGTCGACCTCCTCGCAAGACTTTTGCCACGCTATCTTCCAGATATCGGCGCATCCTGCTTCTCGTCCTATTAACTATTTTTACCATCAGCTGACCCACTTTAACTGTCCATGTATCATTCATATAATTACTTTATGGTCGGCGCCATTAATACCCAAGCTGGCCACAGCGGCCACTCTGCATTTGTATTCTTCCCCATGTACTTCCCAGTGCTACTTGTTAATTATGTCATCCCTTGGTAAATAGTTTAACTCCCCTCTTCGTCGCTTGTCCAGCGCGTTGGTTCGCGTGGACTCGATTTGAGGTGCCCTTGGTTTCTTTTTCATCTAGGAGCTACAGTGTTGGCAGCTTGCCTCGACAAATGGTATTACAAGTACCTTCCCTCTACTCTATCAGAATGTATATCACGATCATCCATTTCACACTCCTTGTAATTTGCCATATCGCGCTTTGTGGATAATGTCTCGTTGCTATCCGGCCTTGTCGCTCGTTTGGTTCTGGCAGTGATTACCAAGCTCCCTGCCAAGATGACTTCGACCTAAGCCAATCACCTCTTTTACTTTGATTCTTTTCATTTTTTCCGCCTTTCCTTTTTGTCTTGCATATTTTCTATCTTTCACTTTCTTTCAATCGCTCGCCCCAGTCATAGCTACACCTGGCTTCTTCAAATAAACAGCGGCTGAATCAAGTCAGCCTATACAAGTAAAAGAAAATGGGCAACACTTTCTAAGCTTTCTAGGACGCTTCCTAAATTTAACGATGGTTGCACCCTATGTCAAGCTTTTTAATTTGGATTGGGAACCGTGAATCATTGACTTGTTCGCTCTTTTATGAACTGTACTTTAGTACAGTACTGAACAATACAGCAAGACATCATACATGCCGTTACAATTCGGAACCTGAGCCTAACCAGAAAGCATCCTCACTGATGCGAGTCAAAGTATATTGAGCTTGCCATACTAATCTGCTTGTGGTACACAGCCAATGGAAATGACATGACAGGCTGTGAATACTGCCGCAGCAAATCTGCCACACTTTCTGGCCAAAAATTCGACAACGTCACAGTGCGGTGACGGTAGATAGGCTAAGCACAATATATGGAGCGGGAAACCCGCCAAAATGGATCAAGTCCGGTTCCCATGAGGAACCGAACAGGGAACTATCAACTTAGATCGACAAACCACAGTCAGAAAAAAAAAACTGTTCAGATACCACTCTTGCTTCCAACTGAGCATTAATACTTCCCTAGTGCCATACAAGGCGTAGCACTCATCCATCTTCTAGCCAAGCTGGGACGAAGGCAGACCTTGGTCTATCAGACCGTCTGGGCCGGGACAGAGGGAGAAGCGGGACGAAAGCAGAGACCTTCAAACCTCCTGCCGCTGCCGTGAAGAGCCGGGACGAAAGCAGAAACACTCAACACGTCGACCCCCATCAGAAAAGCCGGGACGAAAGCAGAAACACTAGACTGAATGGTGACGGTAGATGGGCTAAGCACAATATATGGAGCGGGAAACCCGCCAAAATGGATCAAGTCCGGTTCCCATGAGGAACCGAACAGGGAACTATCAACTTAGATCGACAAACCACAGTCAGAAAAAAAAAACTGTTCAGATACCACTCTTGCTTCCAACTGAGCATTAATACTTCCCTAGTGCCATACAAGGCGTAGCACTCATCCATCTTCTAGCCAAGCTGGGACGAAGGCAGACCTTGGTCTATCAGACCGTCTGGGCCGGGACAGAGGGAGAAGCGGGACGAAAGCAGAGACCTTCAAACCTCCTGCCGCTGCCGTGAAGAGCCGGGACGAAAGCAGAAACACTCAACACGTCGACCCCCATCAGAAAAGCCGGGACGAAAGCAGAAACACTAGACTGAATGGTGACGGTAGATGGGCTAAGCACAATATATGGAGCGGGAAACCCGCCAAAATGGATCAAGTCCGGTTCCCATGAGGAACCGAACAGGGAACTATCAACTTAGATCGACAAACCACAGTCAGAAAAAAAAAACTGTTCAGATACCACTCTTGCTTCCAACTGAGCATTAATACTTCCCTAGTGCCATACAAGGCGTAGCACTCATCCATCTTCTAGCCAAGCTGGGACGAAGGCAGACCTTGGTCTATCAGACCGTCTGGGCCGGGACAGAGGGAGAAGCGGGACGAAAGCAGAGACCTTCAAACCTCCTGCCGCTGCCGTGAAGAGCCGGGACGAAAGCAGAAACACTCAACACGTCGACCCCCATCAGAAAAGCCGGGACGAAAGCAGAAACACTAGACTGAATGGTGACGGTAGATGGGCTAAGCACAATATATGGAGCGGGAAACCCGCCAAAATGGATCAAGTCCGGTTCCCATGAGGAACCGAACAGGGAACTATCAACTTAGATCGACAAACCACAGTCAGAAAAAAAAAACTGTTCAGATACCACTCTTGCTTCCAACTGAGCATTAATACTTCCCTAGTGCCATACAAGGCGTAGCACTCATCCATCTTCTAGCCAAGCTGGGACGAAGGCAGACCTTGGTCTATCAGACCGTCTGGGCCGGGACAGAGGGAGAAGCGGGACGAAAGCAGAGACCTTCAAACCTCCTGCCGCTGCCGTGAAGAGCCGGGACGAAAGCAGAAACACTCAACACGTCGACCCCCATCAGAAAAGCCGGGACGAAAGCAGAAACACTAGACTGAATGGTGACGGTAGATGGGCTAAGCACAATATATGGAGCGGGAAACCCGCCAAAATGGATCAAGTCCGGTTCCCATGAGGAACCGAACAGGGAACTATCAACTTAGATCGACAAACCACAGTCAGAAAAAAAAAACTGTTCAGATACCACTCTTGCTTCCAACTGAGCATTAATACTTCCCTAGTGCCATACAAGGCGTAGCACTCATCCATCTTCTAGCCAAGCTGGGACGAAGGCAGACCTTGGTCTATCAGACCGTCTGGGCCGGGACAGAGGGAGAAGCGGGACGAAAGCAGAGACCTTCAAACCTCCTGCCGCTGCCGTGAAGAGCCGGGACGAAAGCAGAAACACTCAACACGTCGACCCCCATCAGAAAAGCCGGGACGAAAGCAGAAACACTAGACTGAATGGTGACGGTAGATGGGCTAAGCACAATATATGGAGCGGGAAACCCGCCAAAATGGATCAAGTCCGGTTCCCATGAGGAACCGAACAGGGAACTATCAACTTAGATCGACAAACCACAGTCAGAAAAAAAAAACTGTTCAGATACCACTCTTGCTTCCAACTGAGCATTAATACTTCCCTAGTGCCATACAAGGCGTAGCACTCATCCATCTTCTAGCCAAGCTGGGACGAAGGCAGACCTTGGTCTATCAGACCGTCTGGGCCGGGACAGAGGGAGAAGCGGGACGAAAGCAGAGACCTTCAAACCTCCTGCCGCTGCCGTGAAGAGCCGGGACGAAAGCAGAAACACTCAACACGTCGACCCCCATCAGAAAAGCCGGGACGAAAGCAGAAACACTAGACTGAATGGTGACGGTAGATGGGCTAAGCACAATATATGGAGCGGGAAACCCGCCAAAATGGATCAAGTCCGGTTCCCATGAGGAACCGAACAGGGAACTATCAACTTAGATCGACAAACCACAGTCAGAAAAAAAAAACTGTTCAGATACCACTCTTGCTTCCAACTGAGCATTAATACTTCCCTAGTGCCATACAAGGCGTAGCACTCATCCATCTTCTAGCCAAGCTGGGACGAAGGCAGACCTTGGTCTATCAGACCGTCTGGGCCGGGACAGAGGGAGAAGCGGGACGAAAGCAGAGACCTTCAAACCTCCTGCCGCTGCCGTGAAGAGCCGGGACGAAAGCAGAAACACTCAACACGTCGACCCCCATCAGAAAAGCCGGGACGAAAGCAGAAACACTAGACTGAATGGTGACGGTAGATGGGCTAAGCACAATATATGGAGCGGGAAACCCGCCAAAATGGATCAAGTCCGGTTCCCATGAGGAACCGAACAGGGAACTATCAACTTAGATCGACAAACCACAGTCAGAAAAAAAAAACTGTTCAGATACCACTCTTGCTTCCAACTGAGCATTAATACTTCCCTAGTGCCATACAAGGCGTAGCACTCATCCATCTTCTAGCCAAGCTGGGACGAAGGCAGACCTTGGTCTATCAGACCGTCTGGGCCGGGACAGAGGGAGAAGCGGGACGAAAGCAGAGACCTTCAAACCTCCTGCCGCTGCCGTGAAGAGCCGGGACGAAAGCAGAAACACTCAACACGTCGACCCCCATCAGAAAAGCCGGGACGAAAGCAGAAACACTAGACTGAATGGTGACGGTAGATGGGCTAAGCACAATATATGGAGCGGGAAACCCGCCAAAATGGATCAAGTCCGGTTCCCATGAGGAACCGAACAGGGAACTATCAACTTAGATCGACAAACCACAGTCAGAAAAAAAAAACTGTTCAGATACCACTCTTGCTTCCAACTGAGCATTAATACTTCCCTAGTGCCATACAAGGCGTAGCACTCATCCATCTTCTAGCCAAGCTGGGACGAAGGCAGACCTTGGTCTATCAGACCGTCTGGGCCGGGACAGAGGGAGAAGCGGGACGAAAGCAGAGACCTTCAAACCTCCTGCCGCTGCCGTGAAGAGCCGGGACGAAAGCAGAAACACTCAACACGTCGACCCCCATCAGAAAAGCCGGGACGAAAGCAGAAACACTAGACTGAATGGTGACGGTAGATGGGCTAAGCACAATATATGGAGCGGGAAACCCGCCAAAATGGATCAAGTCCGGTTCCCATGAGGAACCGAACAGGGAACTATCAACTTAGATCGACAAACCACAGTCAGAAAAAAAAAACTGTTCAGATACCACTCTTGCTTCCAACTGAGCATTAATACTTCCCTAGTGCCATACAAGGCGTAGCACTCATCCATCTTCTAGCCAAGCTGGGACGAAGGCAGACCTTGGTCTATCAGACCGTCTGGGCCGGGACAGAGGGAGAAGCGGGACGAAAGCAGAGACCTTCAAACCTCCTGCCGCTGCCGTGAAGAGCCGGGACGAAAGCAGAAACACTCAACACGTCGACCCCCATCAGAAAAGCCGGGACGAAAGCAGAAACACTAGACTGAATGGTGACGGTAGATGGGCTAAGCACAATATATGGAGCGGGAAACCCGCCAAAATGGATCAAGTCCGGTTCCCATGAGGAACCGAACAGGGAACTATCAACTTAGATCGACAAACCACAGTCAGAAAAAAAAAACTGTTCAGATACCACTCTTGCTTCCAACTGAGCATTAATACTTCCCTAGTGCCATACAAGGCGTAGCACTCATCCATCTTCTAGCCAAGCTGGGACGAAGGCAGACCTTGGTCTATCAGACCGTCTGGGCCGGGACAGAGGGAGAAGCGGGACGAAAGCAGAGACCTTCAAACCTCCTGCCGCTGCCGTGAAGAGCCGGGACGAAAGCAGAAACACTCAACACGTCGACCCCCATCAGAAAAGCCGGGACGAAAGCAGAAACACTAGACTGAATGGTGACGGTAGATGGGCTAAGCACAATATATGGAGCGGGAAACCCGCCAAAATGGATCAAGTCCGGTTCCCATGAGGAACCGAACAGGGAACTATCAACTTAGATCGACAAACCACAGTCAGAAAAAAAAAACTGTTCAGATACCACTCTTGCTTCCAACTGAGCATTAATACTTCCCTAGTGCCATACAAGGCGTAGCACTCATCCATCTTCTAGCCAAGCTGGGACGAAGGCAGACCTTGGTCTATCAGACCGTCTGGGCCGGGACAGAGGGAGAAGCGGGACGAAAGCAGAGACCTTCAAACCTCCTGCCGCTGCCGTGAAGAGCCGGGACGAAAGCAGAAACACTCAACACGTCGACCCCCATCAGAAAAGCCGGGACGAAAGCAGAAACACTAGACTGAATGGTGACGGTAGATGGGCTAAGCACAATATATGGAGCAGAAACCCGCAAACGGATGGCGTCCGCGTATTCTGTCGCCACGGTCACGTGAGAAAATAATGCTTTGTGTGGTCAGGCTCCTGACGCTGCAGTCGTTCGTGGCGCCGCAGTCCTTATTGTACGGTATCATATGCATCAATGCTTAAGTCCTGAAGAATATCGAAGATAGTATTGTGCCCATATGTGTTACACTAGAAATGGCGGAAAATCAAAAGTACGGGTGATGAAAGAGAGTTGAAGAAGCTTCAGGTTGTGGGGTGCTCAATTATGGAATAGAACAGTTATAAATCGCGTTGGAGGGTCTTGTGTAAACTTCCTTTTTTTGATTTTACGCTGCAGAAGAAGTCACGAAAAATTGATTGGAGGTGTGATGGGTTCTTGGCGCTGATTCTTCTTAACTGTGGTTCTTCCATCAAAAGCTCAACAAACGCTTGACACAGACACTCTCAGTGCCTCTATCATGCAACTTATCGGGGATAGCATCTGAACCACTCAGACTCAGGTGGCCAAAAACAAGCACTATCATTGGCGGTAGCCCAGAAACATAGCTATCAGTGGATTCCCAAGGCACGATCGCTAAATCAAAATAAAAACCAAAAAAAAAAAATGCGACTTCTTTTTTTTGGCCCATGACACAAAAAAAAAGGCGGGAAAACCCGTCGGGTCGGGTCGTGACTGGGAATCGCGAAAAAAAGATATGACTTTGTTGTTTCCAAGATCCCTCTCTTTCAATTTTTTCTTACTGCACCTGTAAACGACCTGTAACAATCCAACTTTTTAATACATTTTGCGTGTTTCTCGTACGTATACTATGTAGTTTACTTTGAAATTCTTGTGGGCATTCCCGTTCTTTCATTGTTACAATGTTGCAAAATAGAAATAAGGCTCGCTGTTAATCTAGCCAGGAAGGGTTTCAAGAAGTACAATGGGTCAGCACTGTAGTGAGATTCATTATCTTTCGAATCACTTCGTATTTTTATTGTCTTCACGTACTTTTCAACATAAAGAAGCGATGGTTCATTTTTTGACGAACGCGACGCGTGTAATGGCCATTTTCCTTTTTTGAACGTGTCATAACTAAAAACGAAGCGTTTTGATTGGATAAGAAATTGACCAAAGCCAGTGGTCCAAGTTTGGATGAAAGAAACAAAAAAAAAAGAAAAAAAAGCTCCTAGTCATCACTTTTTTTATTATTATTTATCATTATTTCCTTCTGCATACTTGCGTCTCAGTTTCCGTTGAATTTGTAATGACAAGCGTTAATGCAAATGGAGCCGATTCGACATCGTCGATTTTTGACGATGAATTAATTTTTAGCATTACCTCCCATTCGACGACTTCGTTGGCCATGCATCCTATGAATTTAACGCCATGCAGTGGATTATCCCGATTAAGTATCGGATCGCAGTCGAATACGCATTCTCGTACAAGGCACATGTCGTACCAGCGTCCCAGAGTGAGCTTCAACGATCGACTTATGAAAGCTATACGAGAAGAAGCGCCCGACCATCCTAATTTGACAATGGTCTTGGGTCAGGATAAAATCAGTTTCGATCAATTCGATAGCTTTGTAAGTGACCAAGGCTCATGATCCAATGTCAGCGTATACATTTCCTTACTGTGTAATGTTACTTTAGAAGGAAGATGAATCGCCTATCTCCCAGCCAGAAATGGAGGAAGAATCTGATGAGGAAGATATTCGCAGCTTTTCATCCGGTCCAATGTCCCTTTCTCCCGATCGTTTCTGGACACGCGGTTCACTATTCGATGACCAGCACAATACCGATGATATTGACGGGCTAAACGAGTCTTCCAAATCTCATACTATGGAGCTATCTCCCAAAGATATTTTCGACGACAGCGAAACCAGCAACAGCTCTCAGCCCACTTCCGTAGACTCACATTACGATCCCAGTCGTTCATGGATCACGCAAATATACGAAGACAGCAGTAGTGATTCGGAAGAGATGATCCCAAGTAAAGAACAGGAAAATAAGGAGAACATTGAAGCAGATAACAATGACGATGATGGCGCAGATGAGGAAAATCGGCCGCCACGAGTATTTGGAAAAAGAGAACATCGAGCGAGTCCTGTAAGAATTCGATACACCAAACGACATGCCAATCGAACTTGTCCACCCACCAGCAGCACGACGGAACGTGATCCTTTACAAGAATTACCGATTGAAGAATACATCTCTGACGAAGCGAAACGGGAAGAAAGTCCACGAAAGAAATTATTCATTGAGAAAGGCGGACAAATCACGGCGGCCCCACAAAAGATCCGGTTCATGCGTTCGTTGTCTCCCACTCGCAAAGGGAAAGAGCAAGCACAGTCCAGCACCTAATTTTTCCTTCTTCCCACTCTGCCCCCCCTCCCCCTTTGTAAAAGTCTGACCGAACCTTTCCTTTTATTTCATACCACTTTTTCCCCATATCCATGTAAACTTTGTATAGCGACTTATTCATCTGGCGTGGTTTTCCACTTCATCGAACTCTTCATGATCTCGATGTCTTTTTTCCTGTTTGTCTATCGTCCTCGTTTCTTTCCTCCCTTTCTTTTATCGCATTGCAGTGTACGTTTTATAATCCCCTTCACCCGCATTTGTTCCCTTGACAATCGTCCCTCTGTTCCGTAATCACTATTCCATCGCCAAGTTTCATTTTCTTTCCAATATTAAGCCACACTCAAAGCTACACACAGGCACTGTCACACACACACAAACAGAGGACAAGGATTTATGAATTGAATACCTCCCTTTAGCTTCTTTTTTTTCCTCTCTTTCTTTTATATTTATTCACCTTCACTCATGGCAGCATCCTTCAATAAATGTGTTTTTTTTTGTAACCAAAATTATTATCACTCGGCATGATCTCTCTTAAAACAGTCTTTTTAAGCGGTGTGCTACTTTACTATAGTCTCAAGTACGAGCAATGAATTTTCTTATAATGACAGATAAAGTACAGTTATCTTCATGATGACTTTTTTTTTTATCGATCGTCTGCTGGATCCAGACATTAATACTGTGAAAAAAAAGCGCATTAGCCTATATTAATAAGCCACATGATCAATCACATAGTGCTTTTCTTTTTAACTGCTGGACTTGCTTTGCTCTGCATGTGCCATGAAACAAAAAGATTTGCTAAGGCGTCAGCAACGAAAAAAAAAAAAAATCCACCCTGTGGCGGAGACTGAACTTATGATGACGTTGCGATGGCTGGTTGCCAGCGGGGAAAAAGAGAACGGACCTGGGGGCTTTTGGATATCACCCTGGACAAAATATTTTTTTGGGCTGTTTCTCTCTTTGGACCATAATGAACGCCATCTTCCGTCGCGCCTACACCACCAAGAGTCTTATCCCTCCCAACGTGGCCGCTGCTACCAAGCTCTCGGGATCGGCCAAGGACGCTCAGATCAACCAATTGGTCGATTTCTACAAGGTAAAACCCTCAATCCTCCAATTACTTGTCTTGCAATGCAACTCCTCCGGTTCTGACAGTTTCCTTTCTTTTCTCGGATAGAAATTGCCCAAGGGTACTGTTGAAGCCTCCAAGCCCTCCGGACCTTGGGCTCGCTACAAGGCTCGCTACATTGATGGCGACAATGCTTCCATCACTCCCTTGCTTCACGCCGTCTTTGGTATTTTCGTCATCGGCTACACCATTGATTACAACTTCCACTTGAGTAAGTGAATTACTTTCTTTCCTTGCTTGCCCTTGCGCATTTATACTCACTTTTATTTGTCAATAGAGCATCACAAGAACGTCGAACATCACTAAATATGACACATAATCATGATTTCTTCAATAAAACGTGTAACCTTGATGAAAATGTACACGAAGCGCCCCCCGATTCAAAAGAAAAGCAGTTATCGATGTCAGAAAAACAACTTGCACATCTGTTTCGAATCAATTCCCTGGATAACCCGCCAGAAAAAAAGAAATCTGTGTTATTTGTCGGTTGAAGATGGAACAATAGGGCATTTCAAAACTGTGTATGTAAGAAGGGGGAAGCGAACAAGAGGAAGTGAGAGGGTGAGGAGGATGGGTAGCTAGTCTTCAGCGGAAGAATCGAACGATGCCTCGGATTGGTCGTCTTGATCACCATCATCATCGTCTTTGTCTTCATGCGCAGATGGTTCATGAGCGTCAGGATACATCATATTACCATATTCCGTACTTTCTTGCATCACATCCATGGCCTGTTGGGTGATATCCCGACCGTCATTGCTTGACTGCCGATCAGTCAAGTCTTGCTTAATGAGGCGATACCCTACTTCTGGTAACAACACCTGTTGCATATATTCCAGAGGAAGCTGCGGCTTGGTCATATCTTTTGTCAAATAATTGGTATTGATAAACAGCTTTTGAAGCTCCCGCAAAATGATCGAAGCACCTTTGGGCCCATAGTAACCCGGCTACAGAATAAAAAAAGTAAGAGAAGTGCCCCTTAACTTTTTTTTTCCCTCTCCCTGTGCCAGGTGCAAATACTTACCAGTGTTGCATCAAAACGCTGCATCACACCCATCGTACTTCGTGCCTTATTTTTTCCCAATGTCTCGTAAGCTTTCAAAGCAATATTGCGGTAAGGACTGTGTTCTTGGCCAAGGATCACGGCTTCAAGTTCGTTGCGCATACGATGAATTCGGCCCTTGAGTTGATCAAAGTCGATGAAGGACGGGTATCCCTTTTGTCTTCCTTCGGGTTTCACGGTGATCTCGATTTTATGCAAATGGCAAAAGCTTTCTTGTTCTTTCCTCGGTATATTTCCTTTTTTGATGAGGAAGGTTGTACGGGTATAGACATCCTGTTCCATTTGTGCCTCTTTATCGCGACCGCCATATTTCTGCACGAGTTGCGCCAAAGCTTCTTTGACCAATCGGGGTAAACGTGAAGGTAATTCCTCATGGCAAAATGCACAAGAAGCTAGCAACGGTTTTCCTATAAATTAGCGTCGAGTCGAGTGAAGGGAACAGTTGGATAAATTTACCTTGACGCGTTCGATCGTCCAACGAAGATTGCATTGATGACTCTTTAAACTTTTGCAGCATTTCTTTCGCCAGTACTTTTTCCTCTTGCGATTGGCCGCGTTGCAGTTTAGGTAATTGCAAGCTATTTGCCATGGTAGAGCGTCGTAAAGAAGAGCTGGGTGCCTTGTTCACACTGTGAGCGAACAAATCGTTCTTCTGTTTCGTGGAGGCTTTGGCTATTTTCGAGTCGCCTTTTTCACCAAATGTGAGTCACCACAATGCTTCCATCCTCAAATAATTATCTGACAAACCTAATACCACTCGGCTCTTCGGATACTCGTTACGAACGTCATGCGTTTTGGACCGTTTGACGGTCTGACTCGGACGACGTTCAGGGGATGATGCTCTTCCTTTACCACTGGGTCGAGCGTAGATGCTCGGTTTTGCACCCTTTTCACCGCGGCGGGTATCCGAAATCATGTACGGTATTGGTTTGTGATGACAGTGTGGTGCTTGTGTGTTAAATCAAGATGGATGCAAAAAAGCTTTCAGAGAAAGGGCTGAACGCGGAAGTTAAAATACTCGTCCCACACGTGATCTGGTTATCTGGTTTTTTCTTTCTTTGCTTAGAAGAACATGATGGAGGCCTTTTTTTCTGTTGATGGGGGTAGTCAAAGTACAAGATATGAGTTCATGTTGCTCATATTCTTGTTCAATAGCGCTTTTTCAGAAGTGGGGCACTGGCATGCTTCGTAAAGTCGTAAAGTCACTGTCCGCCAAGCATCATTTTGTGTTTGTCATAATGCGTTTATAAATATGATATATCGTTAGGTTTTATTGTGCTGCAATATGACAATGTTTTATAGGACGTTGTCTTGACAAAAATCAAATCTACCTGTTTTAATCTAACCCTACCAAGACCGCTTCAAAGGTATACTCAACTGCGAAAGAGGCTGCTGATAACCCCTATTTTTAGTAAATTTACAAAGCACTTGTATTGTATATAACGTGTAAATATTTGGGTGTACGGCTTGTTATTGCCTTGTATAGTGTGCTGAGATCAGAACACAGTGATGTCGATGGAAGGAAAACTGATGCTGGTGGAAGGACCTGTCTAAGCGGAGTTCATATTCTAGGGGCGACCCGATTCGGCAAAAAGCAGTCGCATATCAAACGAAAAAAGTATGCTCAGAAGAGAGAAAAAAGGCGCTGGCACTGGACAAAGCAAGTTTGCATCGAGTCATTACCAGTCCACCAGCACAGCATGAGTTACGAATCGAGAGGCTACAACCGATCGCGTCACGAAGGTACTTTAGGTTACCGAACTAGAAAGCTCATAATAAGGAACCTTCAATCTGACATTTGTGCACCTTAGGTGGCGGTCGTTACAGAAGAGGATCCGGCGGACATCACGGAGGCGGTGGTCCGCGTTACAGAGGTAGGAATAAATGATACTGTACCCTTACCGGCCGACATTGAAACGTGTTTCTTATCATTCATTCCTTTTTTTTTAAAAAAAAAAAAAAACAAAAAGATGACCGAAGACCTTATCGACGCCCGTACGATCGCGAACCTTCGCCTCAAAACGACGATGTGGACGACATTGAAGTGCGTTTGAAGGGACTTATTGTCAAAATTGGTGACAAGGTAAACGTTGGATTGACCTACTTTTTCGAGTCCATTCATCCCTCATTTATTATCTCTAGATCTCGCCTGAACTTGAAGTCAACTTGAACAAAATGAAAAATATTCTGGATAACGATTACGCCAAGTATCCCGATACCGTTCAAAGCACAATGAAAGCATGGTATGACCTCATAGTACAACTGTGGGAAACGATAAGGGGGAGGGAAAACTGACTCTGGGATATAGTATCAGCGAGATTCCTGCAAAAGCCCCGGTGTATGGCTCACTGATGGGTTTATTGAACGTATCGAATAACGATTTAGTCGCACGCCTTATGACCGATTTTAACAATCTGATGCAAGAAACCGTGAGCAGCTGCGACTGGTTCAAGCTGAAGCAGTTGATCCGCTTTTACGGCGAACTGACGAATGCTAATGTGATCACCTCCGCAGCTTATTGCAACCTCCTCAACGATTTATTAGCCGTCTTGGAAGAACCTCATCTTCTTCGAGTAAGCTGAATATGCAATGTGAAATTAATTATGCTCTGAACTAACATGGCATGCGATTGTTCCTCAAAAGCGTCGTGCTGACAGCGCCGTCTATATTGTGTTATCCACCTTGCCTTGGGTAGGTTGAATCATCCTTGATTTTTTTGGTGTCAGTATATCTCATGGTACTGAATGAATAGAGTGGCAAAACATTGAGCGAATCCAATTTCGAGGATTTGAACCAAATCCTCAAGAAAATTGAATTATACTTGCAGCAGCGAAAGGAAAGCGATGCAGTGGATCTTTTGCAGCAATATCACGGCGATGACTCTGTGTCAAACCAGGATGTACGTTTGATTTCTTTCTCAATGACAATGTCACAAGATATTAACGATGTTTTGCATGATCAGTCATTGGCTCACATTTGGGAATTGATTCAACAATTGCAAAATAATGGTTGGAACGTGGATGTCCTGCCAAAGCCTTATCGCTGGTTCCGTCAAGAGTTCGAGGCAGCAACACAGGTACGCTAAATGATTGGAGAGGGTGTTACACAGTGAATTTAATCCGGTGCCATACAGCATGAGATTCCTCGTTTGGAGTTGCCTGCCCATTCTGATACTAGCATTTATTGCACCCCCACGAGAATTCTGAATCTCTTGATGGATGAAAACAAGCAGGTAACGCAAGTCAATGATTGATTTCTCTATTTCGTCGATTTTTCTTATTAAAGCGGCTTTATAGAGCGTGGGTCACTTGCCGGATCATATGAGCTTAAATTATTTCATATTGCAAGATGTCATTGTGGACACCCTCCATATTTTCGAATCCAACCGCAAAGAATGTGCCAAATACCTTATGGGTATCCCCAACAGCTTCGAACCTGGTCACTTTGAATCATCATCGTCCTTGCAGAGCGCCGATCGAATGGATGAGGATGAGGCCGGTTGGAGTTTGCCTGATCTGTTGTTCGAAGTAAGTGAAGATACTGATTTTCTCAGTGTGGGAGCCACAACTTTGTAACACTCTTTTTTACTTCTCTTTTCATAGGTGATTATAGCGCAAATGTTGGCGTTGCCATCGGCTCCCTATAGACAAGTATTCTACAGCTGTATTCTCATGGAACTTTGCCGCGCAGATACAGCCAATTTCCCTAGAGCATTAGGTCGAGGTGTCAAAGTGATGTTTGAGCGATTGCCCAACATGGATGCCGAATGTGTTTATCGTCTGTGGTGTTGGTTCTCTCACCATCTTAGCAACTTTGGTTTCCAGTGGGATTGGGATGCTTGGTAAGTAAATTAGTAACAGTATAATCATGAGAGAAAGCCACGAATTGGATTCAGAAAAAAGCAGAGCTGATATGTATATATTTTATTTGCGTCTATAGGAAAGATGCGTTAAGTTTGGATCCGCTCCATCCTCAATTGTGCTTCATCAGAGAAACTTTGGAAAAAGAGATTCGCCTGAGTTACTATGAGCGTATCAAGTCCATCATCCCCGAGGCTTTCCGCAGCGTCATTCCTAGCGCTGCACCCGCCCCTGATTTCAAGTATAAAAACCCTGAAGACCCACTTCACCAGTCCGCAAAGACCATGATTGAAAATATGCGTGCCAAAAAGACCGTGGAAGAAATCCGCGCTATTCTGGATAAAATCAAGGAAGATCAAGCCTCACAAGGAATCAGCGAAGAAGAACAGAACAGCGCTGCTCGCGAAGTATTTTTGCATTCACTTTTATTGGTCGGCAGCAAGAGTTTCTCCCACGTGCTGAATGTCGTTGAACGGTAAGTTCATTGAAACAAAGGGCGAGTATGGATCGACGTTGCTGAGAGAGCTCAACGCAATATGTAGTTATCTTGAAGTGATGCGTTACGTTAATTCCACTCCGGAAGCTCGTCTACACACCGTCCAGGTGGTAGCCTCTTTTTGGAAGAATAACACCCAGGTAAGCATGTTAAACTATGTCATGTTTCAAATATCCACTAACAAGACTGGTTTCCATTGTTTGTCCCCCAGTTCTTGGGCATTATATTAGACAAGCTTTTAAATTATCGCGTGGTGGATCCAACCTCTGTTATTGCTTGGGTTTTTGAAGCGGATCAGTTGACAAATGCGGGACGGTAATTTTCTATCGATGGGAGGTTTTTATTTTATTATACTGATGACTATGTATAGATCTTATCCTTGGGAGATCCTGAAAAATACACTAAACAAGGTGGTCTCTCGAGTTGTGCAGGTGAAATCCAAGTTGGAAAGCTTCCAAAATCTTCATACCGCGAATCAAGCGCGACGAGCAGAAGAGCCTACAACAGAGAGTAAGTGAAAGAGAAGAAAGAAATGCACATATCGCCGATGAAAGAAGAAACTGATAAACTGACTTTCTCGTCATCTAGTGGCACAAGCAGAAGCTCAACAGGAATTGGATACGTTACGCATTGTGGAAAACTCGCTTGCTATTGTTACCCGAGAAGAGAAGGAAGTGTTTATGGTCGTGTATCAGAAATTCGTTCATGTTTTACAGGAAATGCTGGTTTCCTATTCTGCACAAAGCATAGATCCCAATCAAAACTGGACATATTGGTGGGTGCTTGGATGGTACAGAGAAGTGCTTCGCTTGGTAAGTCCCCATGTGCCGTGCTAGGATGATTTTTTTTTTTTGATTAACTTACAAACCATGCCACAGTATTTCAAAGAATGCACCGGTTTTATGACCACCTTGGAAAGCATTGTGTTTACTCCCGATATCGATCACCGTATCACAGGTGTCTTTCAAGAGATTCGATCTCTCAGTCAAACGTTCAGTTCAACTGTATAATAAGCGGTTACATAATAAAAATTTTCACCTGGTCACCATTTTTGTGTGTTGTATGTCTAGGCACCAAAAACTCTGCGCAAGCGAAAAACTCATTCAAATAACAATGGAAAATGATTCCACTGTTGAATTTTGTGACCAATAGAACGCAATATCGCAGATGCCCTGAAACTATGCTGTTATTGTGAAGGCAAAAGGCCAAACAGACCATCTTATACAACTACAGCCCACTTTTCCCAGGAAAAGATAACGATCCATAAGAAACAGTGCAATTTCTCTTACATTTTTTTGGGCCAACTAATTCATTTGTGAGGTTTTCTAGTAAAAGCAATGTTGCTGCTTGCTATTGGCGGTATCCGTTCCAAATGAACTACTTATCTGACATGGGTAAATAACGATTAAAAGATCACCCTGGGCTCCTCCTTCTATGACACTATTTTTGCAGTTTCGTGCATTTCTTGATAAAAAGTAAACGAAAAGTAGGTGAGAAAAGAAAGAGAGTTGGGCATTGACTTCAGTAAGCCTTTTTTGAGTGGATTGGGGAAGGTTGAGGCGGGTGGATGTTGTGCGTTGCTGCATCCCTTTTCAATGAGCGACTATCCTTATTTGGTAATGACAATTTTTTTTGTGACGCTGTCCCCAAATCCGAAAAAAGTGACCCAAATTTGAAATATATAAAGACTCCTGCTGTGTCCCCCTTTGCATTGGATGTGGAAAAATCTCAAAAAGCCACCCTTACCACCAAATTATAAGTCTGTGAAAACGGGATATTCCTCTGATGACGACAAGGTAAAATCCTCAGTTTCAGACTGATAAAACCTCACGTATTCCTGCCGCCTTACCCTTTCAACTCACACTTTACCTTGTTCATACACGGTCACCAGACTCGATCGTCTAGTACTTTTGCTAGATACTGGGTCAACCGCAGCAGTTAGACGAACCGCCGCCCAGCAACTAGGCGAGATTCAGAAACAGCATCCAGGCGAACTTTATAATCTCTTATCCAGGGTACACTAAAGAAAAAACAGTGAACAACTCACTTGACATGACTTGGTCGTTACTGACGTTTCTTTTTATTGTTTTTACTTCGGCGTTCCCCTTCATTTTCTTTTTCGTTGTTGGTTTTGGTGTTAGGTTGTCGTTCACTTGCGAAGCAAGGCATGGGATACACGATGGGCTGCAGGTCAAGCACTGGAAGCCATCGCTGCCAATGTTCCTGCGTGGGAACCTACAAACGAAGTGAAACAGGAGCATGCACCGGATGAGAGCAACGATACCCATAAGCTGACCTTTGATCAGTTTGATCTCGCCTCCGTTCTTCAGCATGGCAAGCTCTTGCTAGGATCAGCCGGTAAAGAATACGACATTGACTTTTCCGACATGACTCCAGAAGAACGATTGCAACTTCAGCGACGCAATCTCAGAGAACGTTTAGGTTTAGGCAGTCAGTTTATGGACGGTAAGGAGATACTCTCTGCTTTTTTTTGCGTAGCGTTGAATGTGAATAACACCCCATGGCTAATCTAATCCACGATCGTCGCTATTACAGTGGACTTGTTGGACGATGCCGATTTGGACACTCGCAAACACGGCAAAAAACCGGCTCATTCACCTTCGCCATCCCCATCCAATTCCAGTACCACATCCACAGCCAACACCGCGACAGCACCCGTTGCGCCCACACCGGCCATTGCTGAGATTAACATGGCAGGTTTGTCGGCACGTGAACGAAATATGCTAAAGCGTAAAATGAAAAACGACGCCAAAGTGAACAAGAACAAGGAAAAGTAAGCTGATCAACCCTCCTTCCTTTGCTATGGTTGCTTTTCGTCAAACCATCGCTCAACTCGACATTGTACATGTTTTTATTAGAGTTCGTGTTGTCGCGTTGCAGAGCAAGCCAGAAGCCTCGTCTTTGAAACCTGTCAAAATGGAAAAGAGAGAAGGTAAGCAGAATTCAACTTTAAAGGCTGTGTGATTTGGCTGATGGATTGATTCATTCACACGTCCTTCAAACAGAATTCGACATTACAGCTCAACCACAGTCGGATAAACTAGTCGTGGAATCCAAAAAGACGTCTGCCACAGATGATGCATCCTCAACGGAACAGCAGCAAGATTGGCCCTTTAAAATGATTTGTGAACATCTCTGTATGGATCTCTTTGACCCAACCTGGGAAATTCGTCACGGTGCCGGTATCGGTCTTCGCAGTATTCTCAAAGCTCACGGCCAAGGTGCAGGCAAACTATGTAAGTGCATCTACATTAGATAGATTCTGTTCCTCTGGAAATACTGAAAAAAAGGCGTCTTCTTTTTTTTTCTGGCGCAGTGCATATGGACATCAAAAAGAACGAAGAACTGCACAATATTTGGTTGGAAGATGTGGCGATTCGATTGCTCTGCGTATTTGCTCTTGATCGATTTGCCGATTTCATTTCCGATCAAGTCGTTTGTCCAGTGAGAGAAACGTGTTCGCAAACGTTGGGTGTGGTTTTGCAGTATATGCAAGTGGATGCCGTTCAAAAGGTCCATGCCACGTTGCTGAAATTGATCAGTCAGGACGGTCCCGCTTTTGGCGGCCGATCCATTTGGGAAGTGCGTCATGCCGGCTTGCTCGGATTAAAGTACACCGTCGCGGTACGTAAAGATCTCGTTGAGACTTTGGTGGATGGAACCACCAGTGCAGTTATTCTTGGTTTACGTGATCACGACGACGACGTACGAGCTGTCAGTGCCGCCACTTTGCTACCTATTACAGCCGAATTCGTCCGCATGAGTTCGAATGAACGGGTACACACGGTGATCATGACATTGTGGGATTGTCTCATCGACCTCAAAGACGATTTAACAGCCTCCACCGGTGCCGTCATGGATCTGATTGCGAAAATGTTTGAACAACCCGGCGTCATGGATATTGTTCGCAGTGGATGCTCTTTGGGCAATCTCGTCCCTCGTCTCCATCCGTTTTTCCGTCACACAATTACCGGTGTCCGTATGGCTGTATTAAATACCTTGGTCACGTTTCTGGAATGCGGAACCGCCGCCGAATGGGCCGATGAACGTATCTACCGTCTCGTATTCCAGAATCTGGTCGTAGAGGAGAAACCCGAAGTGCTCAAGAGAACTTTGGATGTGTGGAGAGGATTGACGATTGGCGGTTATGTGCCACAGCCTTTGGTGCTTCAGGGCACACAGACATGGCTCGGTAGTTGGTTCGAAGTTGCCATGACGCCGATCGGGCAACCATTGGATGTTGCTACGCATTTTTACAAACCTCCGGGAGCGTTTGGTTTGGGCGGGAAAACGACCGTGGACAAACCCGGCAAAAAGTCAGCTGCCAGTAGCAAGAAAGCGGCCAAAACCAATGGCATTGCCGGGGAAAGTTTACGCATCGGTGAAGGGCTGGAAGAAGACGCAGGGCATAATCTCGACGCAGGCATGATTGCCCAGGATTTCTCCTTGATTACCGTCGAACAAGTGATGCGATGCCGTATTGCTTGTGCATCTGCGTTGGGTATGGCCATGAGTTGTTGGCCCGATGATTCCATGGAGCTCTCGTACCAAGGTGTTTTATTGACGCTTTTATCATCTCAATGGGCATTAAAACGCCAACTGGGTGCCATGGTCGTGGAAGAATGGGCCAAAGCCGTATTACAAACACGACATAATGCCAAACATATCAGTCACGCACCTCCGGACGCTCGATTAGCGACTTCCCACAAATTCCCTCAGACACTCTCGGAAGCTATGATTGCCAACCTCGAAAATTCAACAACAGACACCACTGGCTTCTACTTTGAACTTGTTCACCTTTTAAAACGCATTCGCGGTGAAGCCCAAGCTCTGATCAACGGATTTTCCGAAGCCAAGATTCCTGCCAATACACTGCCTGCATTACCGGCCTTTGTCATGGGTGAAGTGCCTCAAGATCAAGGTCCCTTGTTCAGCATTGAAACAGCCAGCTGGGTCGTCAGCGAATTTTATCAGAAAACGCTTATTCAGATTCCCAAAGGAAAGGGTAAAACCGCGCTTCTCAAATCGCTGGAGGAACGACAGCATCGCGTCGTTGCTTCCATTGGATACTATGAAGGACTCAAGCAAAAGGTGGAAATCAATGTGTACTCGGCTACAGCAGGCGCCATTGTTGAATTGGGCGTTCTTCCCTCAAAACTTAATCCCATCATTCGCAGTATCATGAACAGCATCAAGGTAAGACATCTCCAAGCACGTGTGTGTGTGGGCGGATATGGGTGTGGGTGTGTGCTTGGGGACTTCGTGAAGCTGACATGCATTTGTTCTAGTTTGAAGAAAACGCTGAATTACAACAGCGATCGGCGGCCACACTGGCGGATCTTATTGCGCTTTGTGCACGCAATGGCGGTAGAACCAATCCCACCGATCTGATTCTCAAGAATTTATGCATTTTCCTCTGTTCCGACACTGGTAAAACGCCCATCCTCGAAGAAAATCAAGCCACTTCCGGTATCTTATCGATTCAGAAAGAAGATGTCACGAAAGCAGGACCCGCCAAAGAACTCACGCCCGAACAGAGTGAAGCCCAATTGATGAAACGAGGTGCAGAAACCGCACTTCGTGAACTGTGTGATCGTTTTGGTGCCCAAGTGTTCGTCATGGTACCAAAACTGTGGGAACGAATGACATACAATCTGAAGCAAATGTTTGCGCCAGACAGCAATGTTTCTGATGTGGCTGCGGCGGATAAAGCCATGAGCGCCGACATCTCATTGGGTCAAGAAGTCATTGACACCATCACAGTGGTTACCACAGTGGTTCCTTACATCTCTTCGGAACTGTGGCCCAAGGTAAGTACGCCTGATGAAGCAATCTTTGTGGATAAGCTTCTCCAATTTAAATGTTGTGAGTTGTCGCTAATGATCTGATTGGATTTTTGATTAGATGGTGGAAATTGTTCCCTATGTTTGCAAAGCGTTGCAGTCTCAGTATGCGGTGATTCGCCAAGTGAGCGCCCGATGTCTCGCTACGATTGCCAATGTGGTGACCGTGCAAACAATGCAATTACTTATTGAACGAGTCTTGCCGCAGCTCGGTGACGCTTTGAACGTGCATCATCGACAGGGAGCTGCAGAATTAGTGTATCATTTGGTGCAAACACTTGATACAAAGATTCTGCCCTACACCATCTTTTTGGTGGTCCCGATCTTGGGACGTATGAGCGATCCGGACGAAGCCGTACGATTAATTTGCACCAATTGCTTTGCTCTTTTGATCAAACTCGTGCCTTTGGAGGCCGGTATCCCCGATCCTGAGGGCATGTCGGCAGCACTGCTCGCTCACCGTGATGAAGAACGCAAATTCTTGTCCCAGCTATTGGACAGCTCCAAAGTCGAAAACTTTGAAATTCCCGTCAAGATCAAAGCTGAGCTTCGTAAATATCAACATGAAGGTGTTAGTTGGTTGGCGTTCCTGAACAAGTTCCATTTACACGGTATTCTCTGTGATGGTATGTGCAACTGTTGGGTTAACGTTTCAAAAATGTGATCTTGCTTTTCTCATTCATGTTTTCCATTGTATCATCAGATATGGGTCTTGGTAAAACTCTTCAATCTATCTGTATCCTTTCAAGTGATCATTATTTGCGTGCCCAGCGTTACGCTGCCACTCAAGCACCGGACTCTATTCCATGTCCATCGGTAGTCATTTGCCCGCCGACCTTGACGGGCCATTGGTATCACGAAGTGCTCAATTTCTCTGAAAATTTACGCCCTCTTCTGTATGCGGGAGGTCCCACGGAGCGTAAACGACTTCGCGCCTCTCTAACGAAATACGACGTTGTCATCATGTCTTATGACATTATTCGTAACGATATTGACGACTTATCTCACATCACTTGGAACTATTGTATTCTTGATGAAGGCCACATCATCAAAAATGGAAAAACGAAAATCACAAAAGCTATCAAGACTATCAAATCCAACCATCGCCTCATTTTATCCGGTACTCCGATTCAGGTACGCATAACACATTGGTTTCACAGAGAGAGAAAAAAAAAAAGGAAACTAACATAGGGAAAAAAAACAGAACAACGTCCTCGAACTGTGGTCATTATTTGATTTTCTCATGCCTGGATTCCTGGGAACTGAAAAGATCTTTAATGAACGATTCGGTAAACCGATTCTGGCAAGTCGGGACAGTAAGAGTTCATCCAAAGATCAAGAAGCAGGCAAGTGAAACGCTTTTTTTTTTCTTTGTTGACGCGGCAGCTTTTATTTACCGTGATAAAAATTGCATTACAGGTGCGCTGGCGCTGGAAGCTTTGCATAAACAAGTTTTGCCCTTTTTACTTCGCCGTCTCAAAGAAGATGTACTACATGACCTACCTCCTAAAATTATCCAAGACTATTATTGCGAGCTCGGTGATTTACAGGTAAGAACTAATTTATGTGACACTTGAGTTTGTTTCCCCTTTAGGAGTGGACCATATGATCGTATCTAACGAGTCATGGGGCCATTCTCTCTTAGAAAAAACTTTATGAAGAATTTGCACGTTCACAAACAAAGAATGCAGTGGAAGCCGATCTTGAAGCGGAAGAACCATCAACTGATCAAGTAGAGAAGAGTGGCAAATCCGCTACCCACATCTTTCAAGCATTACAGTATCTTCGTAAACTGTGCAATCACCCCTTGCTGGTGGTCAACGAGAAGCATCCCAGTTATGAACGGGTAAAGCAAGACCTGGCTCGATCCAATACATCATTGCATGATATTCACAACGCACCAAAACTATTGGCATTAAAGTAAGTGGGACGGGAGGGTGCCCCTGGTTCGGAGAGACACGGAATCAGATTGGAGCACGAAAAAAAAAAGTCATAGGGACAATGAAATCTGATATCATTATCATTTATTTGTTTGTCTAAAAAAACTTTCAGGCAGCTGCTTGGCGAATGTGGTATTGGTGCAACGACCACGGAAAACGAGTCCGATCCCGCAGCGATGGCGGTGGGCGCAGTGAGTCAACATCGTGCGTTGATTTTCTGCCAACTCAAGACGATGCTCGATATCATTGAGAACGATTTGTTGAAAAAGTTGATGCCTACTGTCAGTTACCTTCGACTGGATGGGTCGGTAGAAGCGAATCGGCGCCATGACCTTGTTCAAAAGTTCAATGCGGATCCTTCAATTGATGTCTTGCTATTGACAACGCATGTGGGTGGACTTGGGCTTAATCTCACGGGGGCGGATACCGTGATCTTTGTGGAGCATGACTGGAACCCCATGAAAGATTTGCAAGCCATGGATCGTGCACATCGTATTGGTCAGAAAAAAGTGGTCAATGTGTACCGATTGATCACGCGCGGCACATTAGAAGAAAAGATCATGGGTCTCCAAAAATTCAAACTTAATATTGCCAACACGGTGGTGAACCAACAAAACGCCGGATTACAGAGCATGGACACGGACCAAATCTTGGACTTGTTCAACGTGAACGAAGAAGGCGAAAAACGTCGAAAGAAGGCTGCCGCGGAAGCCGCCGCCGGCCCAGACGGCATGGGTAAAGCCAAGGCGGTTATTGAAAACTTAGAAACACTATGGGACGAAAAAGATTACGAAGAAGAATACAATATTGATAGTTTTATCAGTAGTCTAAATTAAATAAAACCATTCACAATTTTATTATGCATCATTACATCTGCTGCAATTCTTTGCACTAACCAAGCTGGTTCTAATGTATCATTGGGAACAGCATGGCTCGATAATAATGATGATACAATGCAATTGGAAAGGTACATCTTGTGGTTCCTGAGATTTTTCAGCTTCGCCGGAAAATCTTTTTGCAATCGGCTCAGTTGACCGGAGCGAACATTTGTCATCGGCTTCACGGCATTCCGACAGCAAAAAACTTTTGGCATCCGTAAAAGCAATTGTTATGATTATCAGGAGATCCAATACGAATAATTCATCGGTTCAACTTTTTGTTTGTATTATTTTCACTGTGTTTTTCTTTTTATTTGAAACTTGTGTCAATGAAAGATGCCAAGCTATATTTAACGGACTTTAATGCAGCAATCATCATTGGCTAGCTAGCTTCATACAGGGAATATAGATGTATGGGGATAACAGATAGACAAAAAGATATAGAATGCAATGTTATGATGAGGGAATATTTACAAGAGAGAGAAGGAAAAAAAAAGAGATGCGTGCTGTATGTACAATGATCAATGCAGATTTGTTTCCCAGGAAACTTTAGATATTGGTGTTTCATTCAGTGCTTGTGGTGATTCTGACGCTGGTGATGGTGATGGGTAAAATAAGGACAGTAATCTTCGTGAGAGAATTGCGAGACATCGACGCCACAGTTTGGACAGAAATTGTAGTATTCGCCTTGGTTCACGGGTAATTCCAAAGATACAGAGTGGGTATAAGGATGCATGGTGAGTTGTGTTTGACTTTTTGGGGTTGTAAAAGACGTTGAGAAAAAAAAAAATAAGGAGGCGGCCAATGGAACAGGGCCTTTTATATATAAAATGAATAAAAAGATGTACCACCTGCCTTTTCATGCTGCGGATGCAGCTGCGGATGCACGGGAACCAAGGAAAAAAAAAGTTTCTTCTATTTTTACCCAATGGGAAGTTTCCAAAAGAGAAAATTTCTTCTTTGCTGAGTCGTGTTCCACGACCGTGGAGCTTATTGGTGTTCTCAACAATAAGCTTTTTTGCTTGTCGGATGCTTAAACGGGCTGAGATGGCGCCAAGTTCATATGAGTATGACAAAGATAGGGAAACGTGGACGGCCATCGGATTCGTTTGTCCGAACGCTTTTGTGGCGCATTGCCACGGTTGGGACGGAAATAGAAGACAGGTCTCCAAAGTGTTTTGTAAGGCGGGAAAATAAGCCACTGGAAATGAAAAGGTTACTCACCTGCATCAATCTTGCCTTCGATTCGTCGGTGCATGCAACGGGGTTTTTTCTTTTTATTTTTTATTTTTTTCGGCGCCTGTTGGTTGAAGCACAGTGCACATCGACCTCCCCCTCCTCCGCTGCTGCCATGGCATTACCTTCGGTTGTTGTTCTTATTAGCGGTTCAGGCACCAATCTTCAAGCTCTCATTGACGCCACTCAAAATGGAAGCTTGAAAGCCAATATTGTCGCTGTCATCTCCAACCGCAAAGCAGCCTACGGTCTTGAACGAGCGGCCAAAGCTGGTATTCCTACCCAAACCGTATCGTTGAAAAAGTTCAAAGACCAAGGACAAACGCGTGTCGATTTCGATATTCACGTTGCGCAAACCGTTCTAGCTTATAAACCGGACCTTGTCATTCTTGCCGGCTGGATGCATATTCTGTCGCCTGAATTCTTGAGTTATTTCAACAACAATGTCATGAATCTGCACCCCGCACTTCCCGGTCAATTCGACGGAGCCCATGCGATTGAACGTGCTTTTGAAGCCTACCAAAAGGGCGAAATTCAATATACCGGCATCATGGTCCATAAAGTGATTCCCGACGTCGATCGAGGTCAAGTCATCTTACAACGTCAAGTGCCCATTGAACCCAACGACACTCTCCAAGACCTCGAAACTCGCATTCACTCGTTTGAACATAAACTTATTGTCGAAGGAGCTCAGAAATTCTTGGACGATCTTCAACAATCCCAATAAGTCATGTCTTCTTGTCTTATCTCTGTGTCTCTGTAATATATCATCATAGAATGGATTCGGTGATAAACGAAACATTGCTACTCAGCAACCCGCCGCATCCCCACGTTGCCAATGGAGACAAAACTCTTTCAACCTTGACTACAGAAAACTCACGTCGAACAGAAAAAAAAAAAGAAAAGCCAATTTTGCAAAATATATTTTTCCTTTGTATATGACTTGATTTTGAAATGAAATTGAATCATTAGGTGTATAAAAAAAAAGACAAAATAGCAGCATAGGTTCGCATGAAAGAGCGACAAATTGATTGACGGTGGTTTTTTTGATTACCATTTTGATTTGCCTTTGCCCTTCTTTTTCTTTTTGCTGGATGTCGAACTCTTGGCGGGAGTGCTGGCGGGCGGTGTTTGTGTTGCTGGCTTTTCCTCAGGGGTTTCCACGACGGGTGAATGTCGACCAGCAATCTTGGCACTTCCTGTACCACCGATACCGCCACCCGATACAGCCGCACCTTGAGGACCCTTGTTTGCTGCCTTTTTGTTTTTGCCCTTGACACGATATGTGGATCGTTCTCTCGCAGGAAGCCATCGCTCCGGATCGGGGGTTTGATTGGGGTCGTAATTCTTCTTTGGCAGTAAAGGCTTTCTCTTTTTCTTCTCTTTGGGTTTCTTCACAACGCCACTGGACAAAATGAAAAAAAAAAAATTTCAGTATGAATCACTTGACTTTATGACTTGCGGTTGTGCAAGGTTACCTCTTATGTTCCTTCTTAACGTAACCACGTTTCACACCCGGCACAATACGTTCTAGGGTGTCCACATCGACGTGATCCATAGCAATGCCCGGCAAGGCTTCGCCGTATTGCTCCGCCTTGACAGGATCCACCTCTGCGTACACGGCAATTAAACCTGCCAACGACTGTAAATCCGTAGGATCCGCTTTTACCAATTGTTCGAAATCGGACACAGCATCCTGGTAACGGCCCGATTTCAATTTGAAAGTAGCGGTTTGCTTCAAAATGGAAGTGGAGGTGGTGAACGCCAAGGCTTTATCGGTCTTCCAGTACAAAGATGCCTTATCGAGGGTTTCCATGGCTTTTTCCGATTGTCCCGTTTGTTCATACAACCATACAAGCAGGGCCACCACCGCAGGCTGATAAAAGTCCTTCTTATTATCTTCGCCCACATGGGTCAAGTACGACGTCAGCACGGTTAAAGCGGCCGCCGGTTGTGAAGAAAGCAATTGCAGTTGAATCGTGGCAAAACGGATAGCCAAGGAGGCTGGGTTCTTTTCAGCGTACTTTTTCAACTCATCCACAGCGGCTTCAGCCTTATGCTGGTGGTAAGTGGCAGCGGCCAAAATCAAATACAGCTTGTCGTCGTTGGGATACTTGTCAAGCAATTTCTGAGCCGCATCTCGACAAGCTGCATACTGCACATCAACGAGAATTGAAGTAATCATTCATCAGATAAGTAAAATGGATATTCAAAAACCGTTGATTTCTACTCTTTTTACCTTGCTCTGATACAGTTGCAACAAAGCTTCATTGCCAGCGATGACTCTCTTTTGATAACGTCTCAATTTGGTGTCTGCTTCCTTTCCAGTAGCAGTCTTTAACTTTTTGGCGACATCAAACAAATCGTTGGTTTGACGGATGGCGGCAATGTTGTTGGAGACTACGGCTTTCACATTGGCGTCATTTGCACTACACCACCGAGTTAGTCAAGAGAGTCACTTTTTCTATGCCTTTTTCTTACGGCCCATCATGATGTCCAAGTTACCTGGAGCTCAGGACAGATTCGTAGATTTCCGTGGCTTCGTCTGTGCGGCCTTGCAGCTGATAAGTGTAAGCCAACTGAGCAGCAATCGCTGCCAATTCCTCGTCAATCTCTTCGCGACTCATGCCTGCCTCGGTCATTTTCTCGCTGCAGTGGCCTGTGCTCACATATTTAATCACTGCGCCCAACGCTATAAACCATTGTGCAGAGAATTCGACACTTACTTCGAGCCGTCTCCAGTTGTTCCTTGGCCTTTTTGAGATCGCCATTGGCGAGATGGACAGAGGCTGCATTGTAAGCCATTTCATAAAGCCCACTGTTGGAAGAACCAACATTGACGGTTTCCATATCCTCCAAGTCCAGTTGCGTGAATTTCAAGCTAGCTTTGGCGGCCAACAAGTTGACTTGAATTTCATCGTACAAACGATCCCGTTTGTCGGTTTTATCCAATAACACCTCGTAGGCTTCAATGGCTTCCTTGTAGCGGTCTTGTGCATAAAGCTATTGAAACATGCCAATACACGATATTAGTATCTATGCACACTATCAAGTCTGCTAGCATTCATTTTTTTTTCTTTTTCCTCTGCTCTGCTTACAATTTGAGCTTCCAAGAATGCCAACGCCAGATTGTCGGTGTGACGATGCTTGACTTCGCTTAACAAGTCGATCGCTTGTCGCAGTTGGTTGGTGCGATAGTAACAGTATATTTTTTCAAAGCTCAAGTCAACTTGACTGTCGCGAAACTTGCGTGCAATAAGTGACAATGCTTCTGTATACTTTTCAAGTCGAATAAACGCCACCACCTTGCATTGGAGTGCGAGTGGATCGTCGGGACTTAGTTTCACCAGTTGGTCGCAAATCTCCAAGCTGCGTTCATCATCATACTCTTGCGACGTTCTCTCGAGCTCTTTAAACAGATGAGCCGTCTGTTGTTCTACGCTGGTCGCCATGGAAGCCGCGTTTGTTATCTCTTTTCCGTTCTTCGGCAACGGCAGCGCAAACCGACCATTGTTGAAAACGTTGAGACAACCAATTGGTATTTTTTAAACACCGCATTTGAATGCTGATGTCATCCGCCCAAGTTTGATTTTTTGTTTCTTGATCAGGCTTTACAATGTTGCAATGCTTTGCTATGAAAAAATAAAGCTCCCATAAAGATCAATTTTTCGCTGCTACTTCTAAGTTTGTTTGATGGAATGACATTTCACTGATACCCACTACTGCCCTGTGCACGTGATCCTAAACAGCTATACTTTCAGCACTGCAGGAAAACTAAAAAAAAAAAAAAAAAAAAAAAAAAAAATTCAATGGATGATCACCTGTCGCCAACGGATCAATAGTAGCAGATGGATTAATGACTGGGCATGGTACTACAGCTTTCATTGACATGAATATATACTTTTTTGCTCTCTGATCAAAAATGACCAGAAAGCTTGTGGCAACAGGTTGTACAGCATTTGGCGAATATAATTTTCAGGGGTAATGATAAGGTGGGTACGAAAATAAAAAAAAGCCACCAAGAGATCAATATGGCAAGATTGCAATCCCTATTCATTTGTGTACGGGGTCAAGTAACTGGTGTATTCTGCATAATCATAAAATCAACAGAGAATTAAAGAAAAGAGAAAGGCTACGATACCGTCATCGTGGGCTGCAAGTGTTGGAATACTTTAAATCATTTTGCTTTTTGGAAATGGGATAGCGCATGTTTTCTTTTTAAGTTATCAGTCAAAATGTGAACAACAGTATACCGTGAAAAGCAAGTCCTGAAAAGCTATTGATGCCGCGTATGCAGCGTCTGTGCAACCCTTGGATACATTGGTGCTTTTTTCATCCAGTGCAGTATTAAAATAAAAGAGAAAAAAAAAGTCATGATGTGTCCTAACCCTCCATTTTTCTTTTTTATCTGTCCACTTCCTCATCAGGGAAGGAACGGGTTACTTTGAACAAACCACCTTTTTTGTTTTTATTATTATTTTGTTACTATTATATTACTAGTTTCTTTTTTATTTTATTTTATTTTTTTGTTCTTTGAATGAACCCATTTCAGGATAAAGACTATATCCAAAAACCAGATACGATCGATATTCTTGTGTGCGAAAAGCCGAACCTACACCATGTATTTGAAGACGCTCCTCGTTCGCCCACCATCGATATCACGCCGTGTTACTTCAATCCGACCGAACTGTTAAGTCAGCCACCGTCACCGACAACGATGCTCAGTGACACCTTGACAACGTTCTTAACCCCATGTTCCAGTGCCAAATCCACCAAGCATGTGCTACTGAGCAGACTAGCGCAAAGTACGGTGGGCAGCAATATTCACACGGAGTTCCGAAAGTATGCACTAGGCAAACCGCATCTGCAGGATGGTTACAAAAATGACACATTCGCAAGCTGCAAAAAACCGTCTCACAGCTATGCAGCTCGGTTTCAGGATGGGCTTCGTCGCATCTTTAGTCAATGTTCCACTGACAAAATTACCGAAGCGCGATGGCATGCGTACCAAAAGCAAATCATGGTCGGTTGTTGCAACAAGATTCCTTATGAGCACAAAAGTCAACAGCAGCCACGTCTTCATCGGTTATTTGTATTCGATCAAACAGGGGTTCGGGAGCACCGGTTACGGTGGCGACGGCCGAGTCTTTTGTCCCATGATCGTATATGCGAAGTTGCAACAGAAGGTTCAGAGTGGAAAACCGTCCTCGAAAATGATGATCAAGCCATGGATGGCCTTATACGTATCGGTACGCTTGCTATTCACAACGAATCCGATTCTGATTCTGGACAACCGCAAGTGCTGCAAGCCGATCTCTTGCTCCCTCACTATACCCTACTTCACTTGATGAAAGACGTAGCGGAAAGAGCAATCTCAATAACAAATAATGAAGATTCGAATCAATACTAGCCAAGGCCACACCTTTTTTTTTTTTTTTTTTCATCTTTAATTTTTTTTTTTTTCTGTGTGTGCTTCGTTTGAAAGCCAAAAAGAGATTTATGGTTAAGCTATTCTCCATTTGACGGTTTCTATGATCCTGACATTCCATATACGGCATATGTTTCATCTCTTGTGGCTCGTTCATCATTGAAACAAGGAAACGATAACGGCAAGTTTCGTGCAAAGACCTATCGACGATTGGTCCCGGACAAGCTTATCGATGGCCACGGAAGCTTTAATATGGATATATTGAAAGGATTTATCAAGGTTTCATTTTGACGCTATTACCTGTTTCTGACATGATATATAAAGCATCCTCTTCCCTAGGTCCATGCAGGATATACGTTGTCCATTTTTTTTGTTCATACATATCTATTTATACACAAACTGTCTATACCATATCTTGCTCTTTTCTCTTCTTTTTTTTCCATCAATTTTTGTCACCGTATATTCTGCCATATTACAATAGAAAAAGGGAGTTCATACCATCCATCACTGTCATCCAGACTCTCCGATATATACCATGTACACTATCTGCAAACTTTTGTATGTCACTGTATTTGCATTGCTCTCTGCCGCCCCACCTTATTTACCGCTCTACTACGATGCTGTACTCGGATTCTCATCAGATCAGATTGGATTTGTTCTAGCCATCGCCCCGTTTGTGCAATCGGTGGCCTGTCCGTTATGGACTTTTCTGGTGGATAAACGCCCTCACTTGCATGGTTCTGTCATGGCGTTGACCAGTTTCCTTGGCGGGATTTCGTTGCTTGGTATCATGGGGCTCGGTCATTCTATCCGTACCACGTCAGTGGTCTTGAATGATACAACGGTGGTCATCTGTACCTCGGCCCTGGCGTTTGCGTTTGCGTTTTTCACGTTACCTAATACCTCGCTGGTGGACAGTGCTGTCATGAAGATTCTCGGTCCGGATAAACTGCTTTATGGTATGACAGAAATTGTGTGGCGAGATGTCACGGCATATATGGTTAATCCAACAAATACACAATTTAGGGGAGCAGCGACTTTGGGGATCGCTGTCGACGGGCCTTACGATTCTGTTGGTAGGACAATTAATTTCCTATACAGGCAATCTCGATGCTTTGTTTTGGGTCTTTGGTGGGTCGACCCTGGCGTTTGTGGTATGCGCAGCCGTAGCGAATGTGAATTCGAATGATATTGTGCTTCCTCTGGAAGATTTGGAGACGGAGTATGCTCAACAACCACTCATGTCGCCTTCAAATCAATCCATGGAAAAGTATGGTCATCGTGCGCCGGCCAATTATTTGAGTACTACCCATGCCGCGAGTTCCCTTCGTCCGCACGAGCAGTTCAAAGGCCATGATCCCCTCATTTTCAAGGCGGCCAGCATTGTGTCAGCCCACACGGTGCGTGAAGAAGCCGAAGAAGCACTGGATGTGGTGGGCGTGGATCTCGGATTGGCCATTTCTCGTATCAGTTCGGTCGATCAGTCGTTGATGCTCGCTCCGGACGCGGAAGTCCCACCCGCCGATGTATTCAAATCACCGCGTGTGCTGTGTTTCTTGACAACCACCCTGATTTTTGGCGTGGTGCTGTCCATGATTGTCAACTTTTTGTTTCTCTTCCTTAGCCGAGAAATGCATACCCCCGCTAGTTGGATCGGATGGACAGGCCCCATGAGTGGTGTCACCGAGCTTTTGTGCTTTTGCTTTTCCAAACAGGTACTTTTTAAAAGAAGAGGCATCCAAGGACTGTCGTTGAAAGTCAAGTATCCACGCTAATCATGGTTATCGGTGTTTTGTTAGATGACTGAGAAATTTGGTGTGACAAAAATGGTGGTGATCGCCCATGTTGCTACCTTGATCCGTTGTCTGGCGTATACAGTTTTAGTCCCTGATTCCTTAATCACGAATATTATTGCGCTCCTGTTACAAATGCTTCACGGTAGGTTTTTTACCCAAGTGTCTGATTTTCCTGTATTGTCATTAACATAAAAACATAGGCATCGGTTTCGGTATCTTTTGGGCAACCGCGGTTAGCGAAATTGACAGTTTTTTCCCTCCTGAACAGCGTGCAGTGGCTCAAGGTATCCTGGGTGCTTTACATGCTGGTCTAGGCACCGGTTTGGGCGCCTTCATCGGCGGTTATCTCCTCGAATACTGTGGTTCAGTTTGGTTGTTCCGTGTCGCTGCCTTGCTGACATTAATAAGCACCGTCATTTTCTGTGTCGGTCGACTCAAGCGATACAACTTTTGAACCTTGAAAAAAGTAGAATATGTTGTGTATTTGTAGCAAAAGAAAAAAGGTCAACTTGCATAATGCGTTAAAGAATGGAAAAAGAAACATATGGAAGAAAATAAAAACAGCAGCCATATCAATAGCGAAGGAATATAAAGGAAATCGAGCCAAAGAGAGAAATGCAGGATAAATGAAGCGAAAAAGGTGATGTCGTATGTGATTTGATCTATTGATTCTTTGGTACATGAAGTATCTTGTTCCTTGGCCCGTCGCTGTGGGATACTTATTCAACGTCATTGTCAGGTGCATCTTCCATCATTTTGTCCCCGTCTTCCTCGTCGGCATCCTCATCCTCATTATCATTATCATCATCATTATCATTATCATTATCATTTTCATCTTCTTCCACTTCATCCTCTTCATCAACGTCTTCATCCTCCTCCTCATCCTCGTCTTGCTTTGCCTTTTTATGATCGCCGAGCTCTTCATCATCATCATCAATGGGACGCTTCTGTCCTATGGAAGTTGAACCTTCCTGATCGGGTTGATCCGTGCGAGTATCATCCCCTCCTTCCTTGGCTGCGTCTTCGGATTTTTTAAGCTTTTTGCTCTGTTTCTTTTCTTTTTGCAGTTGCTGGAATGCTAGGCGAACCAACCTCGTGTTACTAACTTGGGTGCGCGCTAAAATAGGTGTAACTGCACTTACCAGTAAATGATTCCTTCAACGGCGGGATCAGGTGATCAAGTTCCAAGACCTCCATGGCTTTAAACACATCAGCAGCACAAATGGTTTTATGATTGGCACTTTTGGCGAGATCGTTCGCCCTGGAGAATCACAAGCGTCAGTGACTGTATTTTTGATTCTCTACGGATTTTCAATACGCTTACACTGCGCTTAAATAGTTGATAAAGACGGTCGACGCTTTACTCACGGCTAATTTGGCATCTTTTTGTAAGGCGGTTCCGGAGGGAAGCTGTGCGAATCGTGCCTCAGTCAATTGATTCACACGATCGATGGGTCAGAAAAGACGCCTATCACTTACGGCATGTTTCAGCACTCTTGCCACGTTGGCTTTAGGAAGTTCGTTATCTTCGATGGAGGACATGATCTAATTGAGTCGCGATCAAAGTATCTCTGCAACAATTCCCACTCCTTTTTTTCAGCTTCAATGTCGGGCGCGTCCAAATTACGCTCCTTCAAGTCACACATTTTGGAATTTGAAACACAGCATTTTGGTTTTCCCCCTTAATACTTCGAAAGAGGCTGCAGACAGGCATCAATGGATTAGATAACTGTTTTCATTACATTATAAATATCTTCTAGATGGATTAATTAGACGGTTTCAAAGGGTTTACAAAAGACCCACGGTTCGAAGATGCTCACGCAAGACGATATCGTTGACAGCAGACATAACAAATCGAATTTGTTCAGTATCGGTCGCGCACGTAAAGTGAGTATAGACTTGCTTCTCGTTGCTAACTCTGTTGAGATTTTCAAACCGACGTCGAAAGTACTCGCACGCAGCGTCGTAGTTGTTTCCTCCTAAAGTATAAAAAGTCGTGTTAACAGGGACCCTCAGGTCTAACCTCCAGACGACAGGTCCTCACCAAGGTAATCGGGAAAATAGTTTTGCAGAGGTCGATAGGACAGTTTTTGACGAAATATATCGGTTTTGTTCAAGAACAGAATGATGGATGTTTTGCTAAACCATCTTGAGTGGCGAACCGATTCGAAAAGGATGAAAGCTTCATCCATGCGACTCACATTCTCGTCTTCCATAAGATTTTGGTCGTATTCTGATATGGCGACCAAAAAAATTATGGCTTTGACATTCTCAAAGCAATGGATCCATTTCTTGCGTTCCGATCGTTGTCCGCCCACATCCAGCATCCGGTAAGTCAGTTCGTCTATGGTAAACCGTGTTTCCGAAATCCCTGTGGTCTTGACCCGCGACCGTAGTACATCCTGATTGGTAGGAACGTAATCCGCTTCGCCAATACGCTCAATGCAATCGAAGTAGCTGCTTACTGTATGAATATAGACTGCAAGTCATCACAAGAGAGAATCCAAGGATAACTTACTAGGATGCTGAGTCATTCAGTTGATATTCATTGCTTCGTTTGTACGTTGTCTGTACGGCGTGATCTCCCCACAGGCTTTGGATCGCACGGGTGATATCCATAGGCAGTACGGTGTATTCGACCTGAGTCGGTTGCCGTGCAATCAAATCGAAACAACTTCCATTTTTGGAAGGATTGGACAAGGCAATGCCTCGTTCTTGCATGGCTTCGAGAATGACGCGCATCGATTGAATAGTGTTGCTAAAGATGACAGTGCGATATGCCAGACGTTCTTCGCGCGTGAATCCGCCATCGTGGATAAGTTTCATTTGCTTGACGATGGTCGATTTCCCGGATTCTCCGGCGCCTGTGACATGTCAAGTGTGAGAATCCGTCATTTGGAACCGAACCGGTGGTTTGCGATGCACAACGCTCACTGACCTAGGAGTAACAGTTTGACTTCATTCCGTAACTTTATCCTCTCGGCCCGTAACTGGGAATCGATTTGATGGCTGTGCAATCGGTCGATTTCATCAACTGCTGGCACCGAAACACAGCAGCCCATGGGAGAAAGAAGCAGCGGCTATGGAACGGGAAAAGAAAAAAAAAATAATTGATCATTACTCATGGTTCACACAGTCTAACCGTGGGTCCTTTTATTGCTAAACGAAGGAGAAAAAAAAAAGAAGAGAGAAGCAGGACCATGAACTATTCCTTGCCATCGCACTTTTCAGCAATGCCACTTTCTTTAAAACACCAGATCATGGCGCGAAAAAAGCCAAAAGATACATACCACTAATGTAAGAGACAAACATGGTGATGGCGGAATATATTATTAATGTGGATGTGGCAGGGTCGATGACATCTGTACACGAAATCACATATTTGGCTTTATCGTGCTTCATGATTCAGTCCCGCGCATATTAACCAATTTCCGATGGTCGGAGTACTGGTACCATTCTCCAGCCTCACAAACCAAGTTGCCATCCACTGACACGCCACTGGATCATCCAAGGAACATATATTCGTCAGGAAAAGTATTCATTATACGATAGGGTAGTATGCTTTGCGAATGGGAGGCAGTAAGCATAATGTGCACCAATGGATTCGACAGGAAGACAGCGTCTATTGACACGTGTAACGTGGATTTGAAATGCCTACTTCAATATATTTAAGGATCTTTGGTCTGCTGATGAAAGCTGGTAAATGGGAAGCCATTTATTGGGATGGTGTCATCTATCCAGAAAAAAAAAGATACCGTTGTTCCTTTTTGGTCTCAGGGTAATGATTACTTTGTTCAACATGGAAGAAAGAACGGTATTTGAAGGGATTTTTTGCCAATATATCCCCCAATCGAATGTCTATTTTTATTTGACGCGAAGCCTGTGCCATATTATTTCCGTTGATGTGCCAGATATGCAACTTTCCGTCCCTCAGTGATCAATTCTGGATGCTTAGCACGGTATAGACAGTATATAGATTCAGCATCCCAGGGATATAAGGTCCCGGTATACCCAAGGTAGCTGAATAACGATTTCAAGAGAAAAATTATGAAAAGGCAGAGGTAAGTCTAACAGAGCCATTTTATGCATACGCTTTCGACGCGTTTGTTGTGACTTGGCTGATTTTTGCCAAAAGTGACTTTACGTATTTAGGACGCTATTACAAAATTAAGCTACAGTTGCTGGCGGGAAAAAAAGGTAAGAGAACGAGACGATTAAAATATTTCGAAATTTACTGGGGAAACCTTGCGCTTTATTCTTGCGCATGGATAGCTCCTATCAAAGTCGAGTCCAATCTGTTTGCACTTAACTGATAACGTAATTCGAAAATGTTTTCTACAGTGTCCTAATTCCTGTAAGACGTCGAATCAGTTGATGCTTGTTAATCTGTTAAGAGCACAATAAGTGCTACATGATAATGGGAAACAACGTTATAAACAAAAGTAGCAGTTGCAAAGATTGGCCAGGCGAATTGAAAAACTAGACTAGAAATGGAAATAAATATTGTTCCGCAGAGGGACGATGTTCATGCAAAAAAGGCCAAACCAATTTTTGGAATAATCTTCTTTTCTCTTCTTTCTTTTTGTGATAGTCATACGAGTATTTGCTGTGAACACATAACATAAATGAAGTTGTTTAAATTCGTCGGTATATTTTTCGTACTTGTATCGTTGTGCGTGATGACGAGCTTGGCCGAATTCTGTACGTATATCCTATTGTTATCTATTTGTCTGTGTGGGAATGAATGAGGACTGGACATGTACAATGTCAATGGCACTGTATCAAGATCAGGAATGTTATACGGTTCAATGGAATGGAAGGTGGACCCTGGGTCTACCGATAATGGCTGCTAAATTCATCAAATCCTATAGCCGACAGGGCGACGTATATTGTCGCTTTGAAGGAGCCTGCAACGGAAGAAAAATTTCACGAAGCCAAGGCTGATATTGAAAAATGCGGGGGAAAAGTAACTTACGAATTCCACAGCGCATTAAAGGCCCTGCTGGTGTCTTTTCCAAAGGACAAGGTTTCCGTCTTAGAAAAGAAGAGTTACGTGGATTTCATTGAAGAGGATAAAGAAGGTAAAATCTTGACTTTTTCCGACGCTTAAATGATGTGCTTCATGCGTTTCTTGTACTGTAGTTCACACATGGTGAAAATAACGGGTTCTAAGACGAATCAATGAATAAAAGTCGCGTTTCTCGATGAAATTTGCATAAAAAGGTCCAGCTTCCGTACAAATGAGACAGAAAGCCGGACGTCTGGCTGAATGAGCGTCGCTCTCGATAAAGTTTAGTCTATTTTACCAGCGTTGCTGAGTTTTTTTGCTGTTATTTTAATCAATATGCCGAAGCGGTTCCCTGGCATTGTCGTCTTTTTTTGTCTTCCTTTTTAAATACAAAAAAAAATAAAAAACTGAGAATGACTTGGGCAAGCACTTGTTTTACGCGAGCACTTCAGTTGCGTTATCCAATTGTGCAAGCACCGTGTGCCGGACATACGACTGTGGATCTCGTGGCAGCTGTGAGCAATTACGGTGGGCTTGGTTCATTGGGGGCTGCGACCATGTCGGCCGACACATTGCGTCAATCCATACGGTCCATCCGTGAAAAGACATGCCATCCTTTTGCTGTCAATATCTTTTGTCGTCCGGATCCTCCTGTCACGCACACCATGCTCCAACAGCAGTATGAGGCAGACAAGGAGCTCGCAGCTATCCGTGCGCAGCTTCATCTTTCAGAACCCGAACAGTATACGCTTCGTTCGCCGCCGCTTGATGACCAGATAGCCGTGATTCTCGAGGAAAAAGTGAAAATCGTATCTTTTACGTTTGGCACCTTGCCACCCAAACTATTGGACCAATTGTGGGAAGCCGGGGTCTACACGATTGGCACTGCGACAACGGTTAACGAGGCGTTGTTCCTCGCTGGATTGGAATCCGGCAGTACTCGGCGTCAAGCCCATTGCATCGTCGCACAGGGCTTACAAGCTGGCGGACATCGAGGTACCTTTTTAAACGCACCGGATGAACAGCAATCGACGCTCCAATTAGTGCGATCCATCAAAGAGGCATTTGCAAAGTATCCAGACGCCATCCCTGTGCCTATTCTTGCGGCCGGCGGATTATCAAATGGTGCCCAAGTGTACGAAGCTTTGAACAAGGCTCAAGCGGATGGTGTCGTGCTTGGCACGCTATTTATGTTATCCAAAGACTCTTCGACTCCGGACGCCCATCGACGCGTGCTCTTGGAAAGCCAAGAAAAAACCAAGCTGACACGATCGTTGACCGGCCGCTTCGCCCGTGGGTATCCCAATGCATTCATGAACCGTATGGAGACCGTCCCTGACGACGGGATCCCGTGCTACGACATTCACTCTTCGAAAACCAAAGACATTGTAACCTACGCTACGCAGCATGGCATGGCCGATTACATGCTACTTTGGTCGGGCAGCAACGCTCTTGATGCGGCCAGCTTTACCAACCAGGCCACTTTATCAGCTACTGAAGTGATGGACAAATTGGTTCAAGAAGTAAATACCCTTGACGACACAAAGTAAAAACCCTCACTATCTCGATCCGGTATTAAAATAAAGTTTTATTCGTTGTCAATACGACAACAATGTTGGGATAGAAATGACTGGTTTCTATTGATGAATTTATGTCTTGGCTGGCCGTTTCACTCTGATCAAGAAATTTTCTCGTGATTCTTTGCGTAACCATGGGTGCGAAAATCATATTCCGTTTGCGCAGGCGCGATATGATTCTCCTTGGTCAAATCACCTTTTTTAGGCTTGGGTTGGTGGTGCAGAACTTTTTTTTTAGAATCAAATCACTCCTCATTCGAACCCAAATTACTGAAGAGGCGGACCCCTTTAGTGATGTTTCGATGCCTTGTCCGTTTATGCTGCGTCGCCACAGAAAAAAGCTTGTCATTTTTTTCACGGTAGTGTCAGCATTGCTATGGTTCACTCTTGTCCATCAGCTGACTACCGTGCATCAGTAAGTTGACCCCTTTTTTTTCACTCCATCTGACAACCAACCCATTCCATGTCCCTCATGAATTCAACAGAAATGCCACCATGAACGTGTCAGCATCCAATAAAGACACCATTTTTATTGCCGCCAATCTGTTCAATAGTGAAGACATCTTGCCGCACTGGATTGCTGAGGTCAACCAGTTGATCAATTGGATCGGGCCACAGAAAGTCTACATCTCTATTTACGAAAACGGTACGATAGCAACAAAGAAAAACGATGGTGAATTTCTTTTTTCTGAATTCTGACTTTTGCCTCGGCGATTCCTTTAGGCAGCACCGATGGAACCAAGGCCATGTTACGAGATTTTGACAGTCAGCTGGAAAAGGATCATGTTCCTCATTGGATCGTGGTGGATGCCGCGGCGAAAACCAAACAACGTCGGATACCCGTGCTCGCCAATTTACGTAACCGGGCCCTGTGGCCCATTGGCAATATCACGACCACCCATTTTGATAAAATCGTCTTTCTCAATGACATTATTTTCACCGCAAAGGATGTTATTACCCTACTTGATACCAACCAAGGCAACTATGATGCGGCGTGTGGAATGGATTTCTTTGGTGAATTTTATGATCTCTTTGCCACACGAGACATCCATGGGCATTGGCTAGGGTCAGGCAATTACCCTTACTTTGTCGACAAAACAAGCCAACAGTTGCTACGCAATAATCGACCTATACCCGTCTACAGTTGCTGGAACGGCATGGCCGTATTTGATGCCAAACCGTTTGTCGAGGTAGGCCTCACCTTTCTTTTTCCTCCTTTAAATTACGTGTTACACAAGGCATGATCTAGCTAAGATTGACATTTCGGTTGCTTAGCATCGTGTGGCCTTTCGAGCTCTTCTTCCAGAGGAGCCTGATCCACCATTAGAAGCGTCAGAGTGTTGTCTTATTTTCAAAGATCTGCGTGATGTCAAACCGGATCTTCGCGTGTTAATCAATCCCTCGGTCAAAGTTGCGTACGATCGCTTTCATTATTGGTACAGCCGTCACATTCTTTCATGGTATCAACCATTTTATTCACTGCTCAACAAACCAAACATCCCGACCATACTCGAGGAACCCACTTGGAAAAACAAAGTAAAACAAGCGTTCGATGCTCACGTAGATCCCTCTGATGAACCTTGCTTTTGGACTGGTTAGCCCCCACGCCGCATCTCTGTTAGATTCGTAGATAGAAGATTTTTTGTATTTTTTGCATGGCTCTTTCTACTTTGGTGATGCAAAAAAAAAAAGGAGAAATTGACCGATACAAAAACCTGCATCTGCGAGAAAAGCAGAGTTTCAGAAATAGAATAAAAAAGTTTGCCCGGACCAGAATTCACCACAAAGGTGCGCGTAGAAGCCTTGTGGGGAGGCGAACCCTCCTCGGCGATGCAAAACCTGTTGAATGATGGTGAAATTGGCCGATACCAAATCCTGAAACCCTGGTTCAATGCGATGCAATTGTAAAAGGATGGGCAAGGAAATCTTTTCCAGATATCAATCTCTTTCTTTGATTTATACTTTTCACAGATATTCAAAATGAACAACAGCACATGGGACAAAGCCGCTGGTGATGCCAAGAACAAGTTTGGCAATATGACTGGCAATGACCGCATGGCCGCCAAGGGAAACGCTCAGAACACCACTGGCAAGATTGAAGAAACATTGCAGAATGCCAAAAACCGTGCTTCCGGAATGGCCGAGCAGGTCAAGGACGAATTCAACGACATGACTGGCGGCAAGAACACCTCCGGCAATGCTGGTACCACCAACCAGTACAATCAATAATCTCAGCTGATAAATTGAAAAAGTGCAGTGGATGCCATTGCATGAATAAAAGAAACTTTTTTGTTTGTTATACAACGTATTTCCATTGTGTGAGCAGGAAATTCATTTCTTGGTCTTACATCTAAAATCTATACATGGTGGACTCTCTTGTGATGCTTTTTAAAAAAAAAAAAATCTAAATGATGCGTTCTACCTCGTTGATTAATTCTTGATAATCAAAGGTGTGGGGAGCTTTGTGGAACTTCTCGACTAGGCCGAGTTTGGCGTCGCCACCGGTGACATAGAACTGTTGCAGTGCAAAGGCCAAAAATTGGGCATTTTGTGTATCGATCATGCGCGGGTTGTCGGAAATATCGCCCTTCATAAGCACGATGCCTTTACTCTTGGCCAATTCGGGGAAATGCGTAATGGTCAAGAAAGGTCGCGCTTCAGTGCCCTTGGCCTTGTACTCTAGCAACGAAGTGAAATTGCATTGATGGAAATTGAATTGCATAAACATAAACTCCACTCCGGTTTCACGAGGCATAGGAAGAATGAACTAGTCATCACAATTAGCATTTTGGAGTTCTCTTGTACGGTGGAGTCACAGCTGGTTTTTGCTTACCATGGGATAATCTTGACTACGCTTATAAAGTTTATCGTACATCTCGCTGGGAATGACAGCGGTGATACAATCTTTGTCGGCATGATACTCGGTCCAGATTTTCTTAATGGTATCCACGTCTTCCTTCTCCAATAGCTCCAATTTAACAATCTTATCCAGAGTCTAATCACAATCAAACAGTGTGAGCGTACAAACGGGACTCAAAATTAGGTCCATGTCCCGAAATCAGAGAAATGCTTACAGGAGCAGAAGAGTCGTAGGGTAATTTGGCTTTCTCGGTGACGGTGGCCGCCACCTTTTCGGCGCTGTTGGTCACCTTGGGCTTCACCGGTTGTGGTTTGGCCGCTTTTTGTTTCTTGGCCGCCTCTTCCGCCATTCTAGCCTTCAATTGCTCCACTGTTAATCCTTCCCTGTAATTGTTGGTTTTTGAGTTAATACAACAACTAGCATGCTGGAATCAAACATCTAATTCACTTACTTTTCGGCCGCCTTTTTCAATTTATCCGCATATTTCGATTCATAGTCCACGACAAGTTTTCGTTGGACATCCTGCGTGAACTGACGGGCTCGAACTATTCATTGACAGTTGACCCCCGCTTAGTCGGTCATGTACGCATACACACATAAGAACTATTTCGTCAGCGTACCTTGACGGAAGCGAAAAGCCGCATTATTAAAGTGTGAAACAGCTGCTGCTGATCGAGGCGCCAAAGCGAGGCGTGTAAGTGGGATGCAACGTCGAAGCATGGTGCACCGGAATGAATTTGAGACGAGAGACTGTGCACAGAAGCTTTAAGTCCAAAACGGTGATCAAGCCAAATTTGTGGCTTAGACACTGACCCCACCCCACGGGCCCCATGGCTATTTTATTTTTCGCCATCTGAATAACCCTCCTTGTGTCATAGACAACGAAATAAAGTCGTAACAGTAACTCTCTCTCGTTATGTTACGACGACAGTTAAAAAGGATCTAATAAAATGAACCTTACTGATTGATGTTTTATTGCCGTAAAAAGCGCTACCAACTTGAAGAAACCTTGTAAAAACTTATCAAAGATCAAAACAACAAAGTAAAAAATGTCTTGCTGTTCACTGTGTATGCCGATGCATTATTTCACGACTTTGCAAAGACAGGAGCCTATATTATTGGGCTATTTATCTGTCTCTCCTAGTCGTCGCAATGCCTCTTGTAGTTTAATAACTTTGTCTTATTGTTTATTGATGGCAATAGTCGAGCGACAATCTCTATGCATATTAGGCGTATCATACATGCCAATGAATTGCTATATCACTCAGGGTATTGAGGTGCTTACATTAGGAACTTGACGGGAGACAGCTTCATCCAGGCACCTTTTGCTGCGAATCGCAAGAAGTGGAACGCATTGACAGAATACGGCGGTAGCAAAGATTGGTAACAATTTTCGCGTGCTATCCATCAGACAGTAGATATTTTAGAATGTTCGCAGCTTGCTTCAGTGGTAACAGATCAAAGATCCTAATGGGCGGCACAACTTCGCAAAAAAAAAAAAAAAAAAAAAAAAATTGCATGTGTCAATGTTTTTTGTTTGGATTTGCAAGAAAAATATTGTCATGCACTGCGCATCATTTTTCTTTATTAATGGGCTCATGACGCACGGCGACCGATCAACGTCATCTGACTGGAAGGAAGTAAGGAGAAAAAAAGAAACTCGTAATATGCACGATCAAAGTTTAATTGAATATGGAAACTTGACAACGTGGTATAAAATGTATTAAGAACATGCCATGCATCACAGAGTCTCGAAAGAGAGAGGTACAATAGAAATGGATGAAAAATGTGTATATTTTAGATTTTGTACAGATGCGTATAATGCAAAGGAATTTTTCAAAAATTGTAACATCTTGATGATTGTATCGAACTTCTAGACTAAAAAAAAAAAGGATGGCTTTTCTTTGGTCTTTTTTACTTTGCAATGTACATCGGAAAACCACGAGTCCAGCACGGGGAAACCTTGCATACATTGACAAAAGAGAAACATCACTGAGGGTTACGGAGAGTGGAATAGGTTGAGGACAAAAAAAAAATCCATTTATAATTCGGACCAGCTGATCTTGGCCACACCGATATCAAAGTCGCCTACAATCTTTTTGAAGACGCGAGGGGTCAAATCCAGGTCACCATACTTGCAACCGGGACAGGCATCGTTAACAGTGACGGTAATGGAGCCCTTGGGACCCTTGACACGAAGCTTCTTGCCACACCACTTGCTCTTCTTGCTCATGTTGCCATACTGCGATTTGTTGAGAGCAACGATCAAAGAATTGTCATTTTCCTTGGGACCGCAAGCGCCACGATCACCGCCTTCTCTGGCCGGGCTGAACCACGTCGCTCTTCCTTTGTAGGTCTTTTTGCCTCGTTTTTCCAATTGGCGTTTTTCAAGCTGGTAATCTTGCATATCAGGAATCACTTGAATGTTTTGTACAAGAGTCTCAGCGGACGAAGAGGCCAGCTCCTCGGTAGTGGGGGTATTCAACGTAGGTGCGGCAGCAGTGGAAGCGATGGCAACCGAGAATAAAAGACCGACAACAGACAGAACGCGAACCATGGTGTTTAATTTAAAAAAATAAAGGGATGGATGGTAGGAGGAAAAAGAAGTTGGGATGGAGAAACGACCGGCGTTGACGAAGAAAGTGGAAATTGAATGAAATGGGAAGGGAATATGTTACAAGAACAATGTGCACATGTTGTCAATGGGGAAGGCTCCTTTTTATAAGAGTTGATGTTCGTTTGGCAATCGATGGGTAACTTGTTCTCCGTAAAATATTTTCAACCGGCGAAAAAAAAAGTTCAGTTTTCATGATCTCTTTGGAAAATGGATGTGACACAACGTTTTATTACTATTCCCAATAAAGAAAGTCCCCTTCCACGTCGCTTGTCTTTTCTTGCACCATCCTCCCTTCCGGACCCATGCATTGACCAGGTCCAGGCTTTCATTGGAGGCGCTGCATTGAAACCTTTTCTTTTTTATTATTTCGGGGAGTGGCGAATTGCCTAAATTGTTGTCTTGGTCGCTGGCATCCCACTGGACACACACCTACACTCGACGTTAAATGCTACCCCAACCGGTAGGTTGCCATGCCACTTGCTTCTTTCTCTAAGTAAAACCTCACATTCTGGATCGCCCAGGTCGCGTAACCAGCCCATCCAACTGGGCTGAGTCCATCCCTTCCGCCGTTCCGTCACACCATTTTTTTTTTTGGTTCGGGTTTTGCCGTTCAGCCCACATGGACCTGTCATGCCAGGTCCCCAAGACAACTTCTCCTGGAAGCATCCACGAAGAAAAAATGAAATGACTTTTTTTTTTTATTGCCACTTTCCCCCAAGCTTCGAATTGTGCATGCATTTTTTTTTTCATTTCATTGTAGCCCGCTTCATGCATCAGTAAACGACTTGCACTGACTTGATGGTGATCGGTGAATGATCTTCCTTGCATTGCTGAGATGGTGAAGCATCAGATAACCACGTAGCACAAAACACTTGGTGCCGTTGCACAACCGCTGAACGACAAAGCCTGGGTTTGTCAATGATGGTCCTCGTTGATGTTAGTTCCTGAAACCTGAAACAAAAAGGTTTTCCATGCCCTCACAGGCACCCATCGATCGCCTAAACGCGAGTGGATGGCGTGATCCATGTCCAAAGGGTCACAAAGAAATCAAATTCCAATATAATGAAATGCTTTCTTCCTCATCATGCACTCTTTTCGAATCCAAAGTCTTAATTGGTGAATGTGCTGTAAAAATAAAATACGTTGTCGACGTTTGCCTGGAATATGTATACTGCAGTAAGATACAATTTGTATCCTATAGTGCGAGCGGTCACCGTTGAAGGGTCAAGCTGGGTTTGATCTCTCTCGATAAGTGGCGTTCCTGTGCAAAAGTAACCACATTGAAACATCAGGGCACTCTCCAAACTGCAATTGCCGTCCATCTCATTGCGTCCACGTTGGGATGAAACAAGGATCTTTTTTCACTTATACGACGGGTTTCATTGGTTTATTCTGAACACGTTCAAAGTATATATTTGGCTGACGTTATATTGGACGCTATGACGCAAATCGGATGAGATAAAATCAATAAACATATCCCGCCGTTGATAAATCCTCCTCGCTATTGTTTAAACAAGCTAGCTGTTAAATGATCAGATAGTACAGGTACTGTAGACCGAATGGTTTTTGTATATTTATTGAACTTGCGTATTATTAAAATGGACATCATAACCTGTGAAGATTGGCACGTATTACGCGTGTATGATACTTGATCAAAATTATTTGAGGTATAATGATATTGTAGCCTGCGTAATCCAACAACGATCGCTATCCAGCAAATAATTGCGTGCAATGAAGAATCATTGTATGTACCACGTTTGATACAAGCAAGCAACGCCATCTTGCAGTCATGGTTCGCTTTGTTCGATGGAGTTGTTTGCTTTTTCTCTCATTTTTCCAGTCCAAGTCAGAATACCCGTTTTGCCAGACTTGAACTGCCACTATATCTTCCTATTCATAGGTGGCGAAAGCCACCTTCGTTGAACGCATGATGCAAAGTGAATGCGTTATCGAATAGTAGATGCTTATAATGTACAGAGCTGTATATATCATTATCCTGTAGAAAAGGGTGGCTAGATGCGAATTCAACGGAAAAAATATATTAGAGAGCCAACCATGACAGAAAAAACAACAATCGGGCAATAACAAAAGGGCCAGTATCCCGAATAAGATTTCTTGCGCGTTTCTTTTTTTTCCTCTGTTATTATCATTGAAAGCGTTTTTTCATAGTTTTGATGACAAGATTAGGAACGATTCTTCTTCAGTGTACAGGTAAGTGCAACTGTAGAATGAACGAGGCGGGGGAATGAAATCTCTAAGACTGGGTGTTTTCTTCGATTTTGCAGTGGTGTGTTCTTTGCTGATTCCATTGGGTTGGACGGCCGACGAAAATGGAGGTGCATTTAGACACCGAATGGACCATGATAGGCCCAACCACCATGGCGCCAAAGAGCGACCCGAGTACCATCGACAAGACCTGCCACACGGCGATCCGCACGGTTACGTTCACCATTTCAACGGAGGTCATCGAACCGTTCTTAGTTACCGATTAGCCAACTATGAAAAGTCAACCGCAGCGCCCACTGACCCCACGAACCTTCCAAACCCCACGAGTCTTCAAACTACCAAGTCCGGCTCTGCTCCCGACGGCGTCTCACTCTATGCCTCTCGTGCCCTTACATCGGCGGTCCTGTTACCGAACCCACCACAGGCCAGCCCCACAGCCGACGCCGCCATGGCCAAAGGTAACATTGGCCATTCTCATTTTTCACACTCGGAAAATTTATGTTTGTTGTTCCAATGACTCACAATTGCTCCTTTTCTTTGTAATTGCCATTTAGACTTGACGGTCCCTCCACCCGCACCAGTCGACGCCAATGCCAATGCCGACACCAACGCCAACGCCGACGCTCCTTCGGATCAGCTATCGTCGACTGAAAACGCTCAAGCTGATCCGTCGCCTGCGGAAGAAGATATTCAAGCCGACCAAGGTCCCAGCCCGGCACGACCACCCGTAGCTCAAGTAACAGGTTGTCGAACGCACGGTCAAATTGCCGTCACTTATGTAAGATATACCAATTCATAAAAGAATCGTCAAGTGTATATTGGGTTCGTAGGCTGATTATGTGTATTTTGTCTTCCTTCAAAACACAGAGCGAAGGTCCCAGCGATGCTACAGCGCGTATTGTACGTCAATTGAATAATGCGAATGCTCGTGCGAATTTCTTTGTGAATGCCACTTGGTTGTATACGCAACAGTACGCCATGGTGTTGCAGAATATTTACAATGCGGGCCACTTTATCGGCATGATGTATCGAGTGAAAAACGATGATTCGTCGTCATTGACGGATAATGAAATTCGCGACGATATCCTCAAGAATGCACGCACCATCGAAGCTCTCATCAAAGTGTCACCGAAATACGTTCGTCTTCATTACACAAAGGCCCCCGACGCACGTACACAGAACATTCTCAGTGACCTCGGCTTTATCCTCGTGGGATATAATCTCGACAGTCAGGATTACTCGCACAAGGTCCCTGTCGGCCCCGGTTCCATTCAGGAACTGTACAAGCAAACTTTCCAAAAACAAAAGGAAACCTACGACGCCAAAGGATCCTTCATCTCTGTCCAGTATGATATTCCGGATACAGGCGCTCTGGTTGCCGTCCCCCACATGATCAACACCATTGATGAAGAAGGATACACCATGGTTCGACTGGACGGTTGCTTGAACGATCCGAAACCATACAAGAAAGGTACGCTGGGGAATCTAGCAAAAAAAAAAAAAAAAAGGGCGAGGGGGAAGGGGAAGGCAGGATTCAGGTCTGACGCGATATTTTTTGTAGATGCCTTGAGTAAAGAGTACGTGAGCGACAAGTTCTCGTTTGGTACGAATGGTTATCATTCTGGGCAAAACCATGTGGCCAAAGATGTCATTGATGCTTCTATCCGTGAAGCGATGGATTCGGATATTGGAAAAGAAGACAGTGGTGCTACCAGTGAATCGCTGAAAACCGCCCTTCTGGTTATGCTGATATCCTCCATCACGTTCATGATCTCGTTCTACCCATCTCTTTCCGTTGTCAGTCTTTTACGAGTCGTCTAGACCAAAAAAAAAAACCATTCTCTTTTTAATTACAAGATTCTTTTGGTTTTTTTTTTTTTTGAAAACATAAGTTATGTGAATCACACCGTTTCGTTCTCTGTATCTCTTTTTTCTTTCTTTATCGCTTTATTTTTATTCCTTCTTCAGTGTAGATTTTGGCTGCAGAAAAGTTCATGAAAATGAAAAATAAATTAGAACTTCTTTTTTAAATTGGCAAGAAAAACGAATTTGTTATCTCACTTACTTTCTTTCCGGCAATGGAAAAGGTCAACTTTGAAAAGATGATGCTGAGCACAAATAGAGCGAAAAACGCGGCAGAAGCCACCAACGGTTTCTTGAACAAGTCCAAAACAGAGTACTCGTAGGCGATCTATCAGTTTCCAATGTAAGAATGCCTCATGCTGTCATACCCAGTGAAAACAAAAAAACAATACCTGAATAAATTGCTCATGTTCTCGAACGACATTGTATTTCTGGAGGACAAGTTTGTAACGGCCAGTGGAATCGAAATTGGTGAAATGTTTTCCGTGCTCAATCACATCCAAATGGAATGGTGCATACACTTGCACATTGCTACCAAATTGATACATTCATGGGTTAATTTACCCCCCAAAAAAAGGAAGCTCGGTACAGGGACTTACCGAGCACCTTCGGGGAGCACAATGTTCAATGTGACTCTGTCAATGGCCATTTCTTTTGCATTCTCAACAAACTTCATGTTCAGAATGTAACGACCTTCCTTCTTGGAATAGTGGACAAACTGACTGGCATCGACATTGTATCCGTGATTCCATGTATAATTCCAGCCTCCAAACAGAGGATAACGAGGAGCAATATCCAACACGGTTGTGCGAGGTTCATGACGCAAATGAGAAGTGGACACATTGCCAATCTCGTCTCGGTAGTAAACGTCGCGTGCAAACGGAGGAAGGTTGAAAGTAAGTCGTTTCAACACATTGGTCTGAGCGTGAACCACCGCCGATTGCTGGTACTTGATACGACTGAATTCACCGTCAATGCTGTAAAAGAGAACGCAGAAATTGCAAAATTAATACCACCCTCCCCAAGTCTTTCCATTCAGTTTGACACGAACCGAGCACCGTCATGTCGCAAGTTATAGCTTTCTTCGACGGCCATATTGCGGGCCCAGTGAGACACGTAAACATCGCGCACCAAATCAGTCACGGTCAAGATGGGCTTGCTGTATTCGTAATGACATTGGAGAGGTTGATAAGCGTAGGGGGTAATGGATTGGAAGGGACCGTAGATAATCTTGTTCTCCGCTCGAGTGACTAAATCTTGCGCTTCGGTAAACGAGACCACGTTGTTCGTAGGTAGACTGTGACCCAAATAAAACGCATTAGCGACCCTTGACAAAAGTAAATATACATAATTTAAATACGATCATCAACGTACTGCAAGGTGGTCTTGGTTTCCTCGGTGGCATAGGGCGAGTAAAGGTACATGTTATTCACGTAGGTCAAATGCTGTTTGGCCACCTGAGGCATCTTTTTTGGCAACGGAGCTACAACGTGGGTATAGGCCACCTTGATGCCGATACGGATATCCTCGTTGGGTTGAACCGGTTCCGGCAACGTCACTTTGTAAAGCTGATGACCTCTGTAACCGTAGCATACTCCATTCATCAGTATACTCGCGTGAACAATGGACAAGGTTTTCACCTGGATGGATTACCTTTCAGAGTCAAAGCCAACCTGTTCGATGGATAGACTGGACTTTGGTTCCTGACGCAAGAAAGCCGAGATGGAAGCTATACGTTCTTCTACAGGTTTGGGGATGGTAACAAAATATTCGCTGACGGGCTGGTTTTGGATATTCTTGGCACGAATGCCGATATCTTCGTGAACTATGCTCGAGCGCAAGTCAATGACGCGCAACGCTTTGGTATTGACAAAATCAGGAGCAATAGGAATCGTGGTTTTGGCAACCGCTTCTTCCAAGGCCGAAGCCATCAAGGCCACCGCCAAGAAAAACCAGGTGATGAACCAGACGCGTGCTGGACTTGACATGGTTTTTTCTAAAAAGCTACACGATATAACGGACTTTTTGTCTCGCTCCAAAAGGGAAAAATGAAAGCCCACCAACACTGACTTCCGCCCTCTCTGCGCTGTCATCCTCCCCGCCAATCAAAATGTGCCACGTCATCCTTAAGCCTCGTTTGCTCTTGCAACCAACGGTACTTTGCCGTTTTCAAGGTTGCGTTCATGTCCTGTGGAAGTATAAGTATTTCTGTAAGAGTTTCTTTTTTTTTGCTTCTGTATATAGCGATACGCTGTATAGCAAGTGAATGAAAAGAAGGCGTTTACAAGTGCATTTTATAAATGACAAGTCTTAAAAAAAATGAAAAATAATTTACAAAATGCTATGTTACAAGCGGACATGAAATTGAATTAGTTAAGTGAAGTGAGCAATGATAATGTCAATACGATAGTAATGATGTAAAGAGAAGAGCGACAACGGACAGATGAATGTGCAGAGGACGAGGAAGGAGAAATGGAGTGGGTAGGTTGGGGTATATGGGCAGGACCGTGCACGGTGCTGACAGCAGGCGAAGGATTTTTATCGGTGCCCACCAAACTGGCCGAGGGTTGCCAGTATTGAAGATCGGGCCGAACGGGTTCGGCTTTGATGGAAAAAGTGGGTTGAATAGCATACCCTAGACCAGCTAGCGTACGGACGAGATTGGGACCCAAGGGACCCAAAGGGAACTTTTGCGACAGCATATCAAGGTCGACGCCCGGATCGGCCTTGTATACCATCAAGTAATCCTCCGTGTCGTTGTACAGATCATAATCGACATGCGACATACTGGAACCACTGAGAAACGGAGTCAAGTTGGTTTCGAGCCAGAGGGTGGTGTGATTCCCCACCACCACGGCCAAGTTGCGTGAAGAGGTGGCGCGTTTGTAAATAAATTCGGCATAATCCTTGATATTGGAATCGCACCAGTCGTTGATCATATCCAAAAGGCTCTTGTACAATACATTGCTATTGCCTAGCTTGTTGAGGATCTGGGTCATGGTGGAAAGCTTGGTCTTATTGTGATGGATAAATTTGTCCAGTGGAAACTCGACAAAGCCCCAAAACGGTTGGAGCCCGTCATCGGATAGGAAGCTTTTTCGTATTTGCGGGGTCTGATTGGGAGGGGACAGCATCATTGGGGTCAGGAACGCGGTCAATGGATCGGCATAGGGACGAAATCGGTGATATAGTCGGTCCGTCCAACCCGTAATAAAGCCAAGACCGTGAATGTACTCATGAATTACCGTTCGTAGAAAATCGGTCTGATCGGACTTCATCTTCACTCCCTCTTCCTGTGGCGGAAACCGAAAAATGAAATGATGGTTAAAACCCCATTTGGGCAACATGGATAAAACTTCATGCTTTATCAGCGTACCTGAAAGTACCAGTTCACTTCACTGTTGAATTGCGCATTCATATCGTAAGTTGTCCAACTGGGTCTCAGCACGTGGGTAAACTGTTTGAGTATCGCTTGAGGGTACATTCTTGTCACATTATCCGTCGGATCTGTCATTAAATACGACACTGTAGGAAATGCTTGACCTATCGATCCGTTTTTGTTCAATCAACCAGCTCAACGGCACGGGGCCCTTTCCTCTAGGTACAAGTAATTAAATAATTACCTATCGTTCGTCCGTCTTTATCGGTGTCGCATTCATTGAATGTTTTGCAGAATGGTAAATAAGTGGCATTGACGTGAATGGCGGTTTCCAGTTTGAGGACACTGGAGATGATATCGCCGGCTTTGGAAAACAAGGCCTTGGCCTTGTTGCATGCGTCAATATCTGGATCGCCGCATTGGAAATGAACGTAAATGCGAGGAAGGTCCTGGTCATTGGTGGCGGATCGTTTTTCGGATAAAGGAGGGCAGGACCGGGTTCGGTGGCGCAAGGGCTTCTGGTAATGATCTACACAGTAAAAGGCAGATCCCAAGACTCCCTGACTGCACACTATTACATTGAGAAAGCCAAGTAACAGCCACCAATTCATGTAAAAAGCACAAGACAAGAAAAAAAAAAAGAATAGCAACCGCACTAAAAAAAAACCATTTAGTGGGGTGGCCTTTAGCTTTTTTGGCGGAAACAAAGTCGCCACGTGACATGGTCCTCTTTGCGGATCCTGAAAATTACAATGCCAAGAGTTTTGGATTTCGTTTCTTCAAACCGGATTGGAGGAACTCCAAGGCCGGGAAGCGCAGATCTTGTTTTGTTACGCCAAAAAAAAATGCCTTGTCCTTGACCTTTTTCCATGACCAACAGGTGAAGCATGGCATGTCATTGTCCAGGATTATCATTGGACACAATGTGCTTCATGGTTGCACAAGTATCATCTCATTGTATCTCCTTTCATCTGAGGTGTTCTGCATCCTTCGCTGGCAAATTCATAGGTTTCCCAGTTACGCATGTATTATGATCGCCAGAGCTTGTGCAATTTTTAGTAATTCGGTAGAGCGCAGCACGCGCCCTTCAATACGCAGCACGGCAGAGAGGCAACTGCTACCGCACAGTTAGACGTGTGCAGCTTGTTTCCATCTTCAGCAAGCGATATATTTTATCCGAGCCAGTTGGAGTCGTTTGTATGATGATCATGCAAACAGATAAAGAGACATTGGTTGCACAAAAGCCTTGGCAAACTTACGTGGCCATGGAAATTTGGACTGTTTCTATAGTACCATCTTCAAGTGGTGTTGCTGCGAATCGGATGAATCAATAAATCAGTTGACTTCACCAGATGTTTGTCGAGCTTTTTGCACGCAAGTGCCTGAGCAACAACAGATACGACGCACTCAAACATCTCTAACCCAATACGTTAGACACAGGTACATGTTTGAAGAAAATCATGACCATGGGCAATTTTTCGACTAGATCAGGCATGTCGTGAGTATGTCTGATTAAGACTATTTCATATTTTAAAAAGGGAACAACAGCTCTCGAGTTGCACATGTCAGCACGGTTGATTGTGGCCGTTCTCTGGATATCGGTTCATCCGGAAAACCGACCGGGAACAAACTCGATATTTCAGTTTGACCAATAAAAAGAAAGAAACTTTGTCTTTGTCATCCATGGAAGATCCAACAATGCGACACAGAAAAAGATCTACAATATTCAATACCATAGTCATTTTTAGGCACATGGTTCCGGAACACTTATGTTTTATGTCTGAAGGGAGAATGCAGGGCTCCCATACATGTCTGCCTGGTAGGCCAATAGTTTCGGCCAATATCACCAAGGCGCCATATAATTTGAGAGAAGCTCTGAAAATTATCACAAATGATGACACTCATTGTAGTTTGTAAACCGACTGTATGCATAACTGCAATCAAGCCAGCCAAAAAGGGAAAACAGTAAATCATCCAACAATGAGTTGTTTGCACTAAAGGTGAATGAGACTATCTCAGCAACTTTAGGCAGACGTTGCTCTTTTCTGTGCTCCAACCGACGCATCAAGCAAGTATTTTATACACACAACATGTGATGCCCGACTTGCCAAAATCCAGAAGAGCCGGTGTACATGAAAATCTTGAACTGTCAAATATTTTCTGCTTTGATTCAATAAACATTGGTAAAATCATTCCCCCACTTTTGTTGATAAAATGAACCTGGTCGGCGTTTGTAGGTCAGAATTCATTCGAATAATAATGAAATCATATTGTGTCGTTTTTCTTTCCTCAAATGAACCGAAATAGAAACCTAAAATTATCAATGGAGCCGCATGTTGGTGATCCATACCGAAAAATTGTTATTTTATCCTTTCTCCGAATTAGTCACTGAAAATGAAAAGACAACTCGCTAAATGATCAATAAATGACAAAACATTGAATTCACTTTTTTCTTTAAACGAGACACAATATACAGGATATAAAGGGGTGGGGGGGCGGTTCCGGATGGGGGAACCAGAAAAAAAAACCAGAGTGGGGGGGGGGGTAGTATGAAGTTTTCAGACAAAATACAGGTATGTGCAAAAAGAAGGAGATAATGATACAGCAGATTTTTTTTGTTAAGCTCCTTCTTGGGGTGTGTTGGTGTTGACCAGGGCAACAATGCCGTAACTACATGCGGCGGCTATAGCGCCAATGGCAAGGGTTTGAAGGGCACCAATGAGAGCTTGAGCAGGACGCAAATATATACTCTTGACATAACCAAAGATAAACAAGGTCAAGGAAGTGACAAAAATAGAAGCCCACAAGGCATTGATGGTATCGGCAATGAACATGTATGGCAGTAGAGGGATAAAACCGCCTAGTAAGTACGATACACCAATCGTAACCGCCGAAATCTGAAGAAGTAAAAGTTAGAGGATGGTTTGTTTGCGTGACCGCACCGTTTTGTGTTCCCTTTTTTTACTCACCCAACTACGGTTTGGATCTGGCATTTCAAGATTGAGTTCAAACCGCATCATGAAATCGATGAATTTTTCGGTATTTTCTCGAAATTTCACCAACATGGGTTCCATCGAAGCTCGATCGAGACCATACGGTTCAAATAATTCCACAATTTCCTCTTCTTCCTCTTCCGGGTATAAATCCACTTCTCTCGCTACAAAGAAAAAGAATAATAATAAAGGAACATGAGCAATGCAATTCCATTTGAAAGTCATGATCGCCACCCTTGTCTCGAACCCCCTTCTCCCCTTCACACACACAGACATCAGATGAACCTCAATCAACTGTACCTTCTCGTTCTCGTTCTGTGACATAGTGATCGGCTTCCGACCGAGCAGCAAGATAACCACCCAATCCCATCGAAATAGCACCCGACACCAATTCTGTCCAACCAATTATTAGGAAACCACGTTCTATTATTGACAAATTGGCCATCTGATTCTTTTTTTACCTGCTAATCCGCCATAAATTACAATGCGACTGTCACCTAGACTTGAAAGACCAGCTGCCAAGGCAAAGGGAACGGTGAGACCATCGGACAAGCCAAGAATACAATCCCGTACTAATTCCGGTCGTGAAAAATGTTCTTCAATGTGGCCCTTCCAATGATTTTCATTGGCATGACGATGAGGAATACGATGATCGGATTTATTTTCTTCGTCGTCCATAAACTGAAGTGCATGCTCCTCGTCATACGCACTGTCCGGGGGTGAAGACAGTAACCCACGTTCATCTTCTTTTCGAGACAGATCAATAGAGTAGTTGGGCACCGATTCGTAATCATCTTTTGATAACTTGGTCATTTTTTTTCTAGACTTGGAAATAGGTTATATAAAATACAGAACAGAAGACAAAAGGGTTGCAAAAAAGAAGAGTGATCAAAGAAAAAAAGAAAACAAGAAGCGATCGAGACGAAGAAACAAGGTGCCTTTTTAAGGTAAAATGGGAACAGGATCGGGCGACCCAGCATATCCGGTGGGAAAAGCCGGTAATTAAAAGGGGTGAGAACGGCTGCAACGAAATTAAAGCTATTAGGGGAGAGTTTATCATCCAATCATGTCCACCCAATACTTACAAATTACCTATTTTAGGGAAATTTCTCCACTGAAGGTATAATGAACCTAACATCCATGAATTTCCACATGATGTGGATGAGAAAAGATGCCGCTCATTGTAGAGTAACACGATCAAATTAAAGGCCGGGGAACAACGGCATATGAATTTAGATGTTGCACAGACGTTTTTTTTTTCCTTTTTTTTTTTTTTCTTTTTCCCTGAAGCGTCGATTTTGAAGTGCATCAGTTTTTTTGTGTCTGATAGGTCCTGTCAAATCAATGTTACCTAGATGACGCTTAAACGTGCATATTTCACGTGAAGGAAAAACGTCCTTCACTATCCATTGCATTGGGATTATAGAGACCATCAACGGCACACTGACAAGCCAAAAAAGATCCAAAAAAGGAACCAGCATGTTCCGAGATTTTTTTGGAACTAATTCTCCCGTCGTTACGCAGCGATCAGTTGTCTCCAGATTTCCTGGTCTTGCCCGTTACCATGATCTCATTGGCTGTGGAAATTTAGCTAATACAGGAAAAAAAAGGTGGGTATATTTCTATATTACCAAAAGTAGGCAATTTATCTGTACCTTGTCGAGACCATGTCCTTGGCTTTGCTATCCCAGGGCCCCGGGTTACCAATAATTAGCAGATCGTTTAAAAAAAAAGCGTATAAACAATAAGAATAATAAAAACGTATAAATATCCTTCGGTGGTTCTGATCTCGATAGTTTTTTTTTTTATCCCGAGGGAAAAACTGGCAAATTGAAAATCGATTCACTGCGATCTGCGGAAAAACAAAAGTAAAGGTATGAGCACTGCCCAGCACTGCTTACCCATGGATACGGGTGCCGTTTTGTTCATCGTTCAAGCTACTATCGCCATACTGATTTATCACTTGAGATAGTAAAAGTGTCTACACATTTTCTGTGTTAAAAGGCAATCGCGGGCTAATTGACACTGGCAAGGTCACTGTTACAGTTTTGACAGATAGATGATGTATCACAAAGATACCACTCCAAAATTTTTGCCAACCAATCGAAATTAACCTGAGGTTTACTGATGATTCACTTTTGCTCCCATGTCTTCCCACGCATTCATCCTCACTGGTCTAATTCAATTGGCACCGTCCTACTCCTCACACCAGCAGTAAGCCGATAACGCGAGTCAATGGAATTATCATTCGTCCAATTTGTCATTGACTTTGTTGGCGGCTGCTCAGTGTATGCGTGGATTTCTAATTTAACAGATCGATATCCGAGACCAACCGCTCGAATTAGAACTGCAACAGCAACCTGCATTCGAGTGGCAATTACAGACCGAACCATGATAGAAATTTTCGAGAGAAAAGATATGTGTTCTGCCTTGAGTTCCGTCATTTTATATATTATTGAAAGCATTGCACCCTTCAATGAATATGAACATGACAAAGCAGTGCATCTAAAGCTGAGCCTTTCTGAGCACCTAATAACCACTATCACACTCGCGTACCCTGAGCATTAGCCCATAGAACTGGCTAGTATGCAGGTGTTAGATCGTCTAATTTAGGATTCTTCTCTGAAACTGTGATGGGCAAAACTGGATTTACCGGAGCCAGCGAAGCCAGATAATGACCAATGCCAGAGAAAATAAACCATCTTAATCCTCACCTTTAATGGTCATTACATAACTAAAAAAACAAGCAAAAATATGAACTAGAGGTCTTGAGCAACAGTAACAGTGCTCAAGGCAAGAGCAAACGCTACTACGATTCTTTGCATGGCTGTGATGATCCTAAAAGGGGTATTTGCTCAGTTTCACTTGCTGTGGATGAAGTAGCCCTGCTCATTTACGTTTGAGAGGAGTTGTAAAGGTGTAAAGTCTCGCGCAGCCAACGACTAATTAAGATAAAAAAAAGATACATGTCTTTTTCGTATAATTGAACTACAAGTCACTCCTTTAGCTGAATTACAACAGAACGAAGAGCGGATCAAGTGACGTTTGGCTTTTTTTTTATAAGCTGAAGATTTTGAAACCACGACATTGCCCTTTTTGAAGCGATTAGATTTTTATGCACTGCAAAGAGGAAACGAACACGGCGGTAAGCAAGGAAAAGGAAAGACCATTATGCCCACTCATTGATGCCGAAAGAAACATAGATTCAAGAACAGGATTGGCTTTTGCACGAGATTATGCCGCCCATGGTGCAACAGCTCCAAACCCACTTGGAGGTAATTCTCAATGGTTCGTAAAGATCTCCCTACAGACACTGACCCGCCGTGCTGAATTGGTACCCTCTCACTGGTTGCAGAGAAGCTTGGAAGTGTTGTCGAAAACAGGTATCAACGGTAATGGCATGATTTCTTTGGACCAGAATGATAACCACCCAGGTGGGGTTTTCTCACAGGCAAATCCGATTCATTGGCTCTTTCCACTGCACAGTAAGTGAGCCAGTGGGACCCGTAGAAGAAAGAAAGCGTTTGTTAACGGTTTTCTCGGATAAAAGCAACGAAGCGATCAAAGGATTCATCATGCTCAGCGGAGATTACATCAACAAAGGCGTAAGACAAGGTAGCACGCGTTTTTGAGAAAGTTCAAGATAATTGAAGGCAGTGTTATGCATCTTATCCAGGAACTGCAAATCAAGTTACCCAATTACCATGCCGACACGCCCATCAAGGCTACCATTGCTGGCTCCACACCGTATTTTCTCGAACAAGTGCAACAGGCCAATAACTATTTGGCGTTGGCGCGAAAGCAGACCGAGGCGCTGGAAGCCCCGTTTGCCAAACAATCCATTATTGCAGTAAGATCCCCGCCCCATCCTTGCGTCCACTGTTGTGGCCCATTGACCACGTATTTTTAGCTATTGGATGATGTGTGCCAGTTTGTCGACCGTGCTCAGCATGCTTTTGATTATCCGAATGAAGCATCGTTATTTCCGTACAAAGTGTGTCAGCCAAAGGTACGACACTGTGTGACCCCCGAATTTCAAATTACGCCGTCGATTTTCCCATTGACCAGACGAACAACCCTTTTTTTTTCCCCAGTTTTTCAACCCTCCACTGAAGCAAGATCTCGTCATCGAATTCTGTTTGAACGATGTATATGTTGTTTGCAATGTGTATGCGTTGGATGTATCACGGCATCTTCATCACAAGGCCGGTCATGATCATCGTCAGATGTAAGTGAGCAATGGGGAACTTGAAGATGCCCGATTTCGAAAAAAAGTCTCACGGTAGTACCAGAACCTACAAAGATAACACCGCCTACGTGTTGGATGAAGCCGCAACACAGACCCAGTCCCCTATGTTAACGGAACTGAAATCATTATTGAAGGTGATCCGAGAATTATGCCAAACGTACCGACAAATGTTGTTGCAGATCGAAGTATAGCTTGCAAAAAAAAAATGAAAATGTCACCGCTCCAAAGCGTCCCAAAAAGGACTGTAAGAGCTCAGCACCCACCGTATTGCATTTTACACTTACATAACACGCATCTCGTTTCCATCGAGCTTATCGACCATTCATCGAGAACGAGTATGTCTACAAGACGATATGAATCCTTGGTAATGAAACAAAAACACTTTCACGTGTCATGGCGATTCACAAGGATAGATTGCAGATCACACAACTGAGCAAAAATGAAAAAAAAAATACAAATGGAAATTTTGTGTCTCATTACTCGTAATGCAGTGTAAAATTGTCAAAAGTTTTATTACAAGAGTCGTAAGAGACCCTATTTGGCGCGTCAGCATAGGCGGATAAGAAATGCTTGTTCGCTGATGCTTGCATGCGATATTAAAGAAAAAGGCACATACAACGTGGAATCTAGCTCGCGCTATTTACGAATTCAAGCCATCAGAAATCCGAGTTTTTTTCGCATGCAGTACCGTTTTTGCTTCCAACATTGTAACCGAATCTGGCTGTGGAATTGTTCTTTGCAGTTGCCACTGCATATGCAGCATGGAACGATGTGATAAATTCAAATGTTGCGATTTTGGCAAGTTCATTCAGACCCTCCACATCGCCCATCTTTTTGTCCAGCAACATGTTGTCGATTCCTCTTCAGAGAACGTGCAGTTGCTTCTGAGACATTAAAAAAAAAGACGAATAAGGAACAACCCATCGAGTTTTTATTGGGCTCAACGTCACTTGTGCCGGTTCCAATAGATTCAAGAGAACGATATTAAGCACCATGATAACCCCAGGTTTCTGGGCATTGTACGTTATCTAAAGTCGATTTCCAGGTTTTCCCGCCACTTGAGATAAGACCTACAAGACTGTGCTTGGGTAAGTTACCGTATTCGGCACGACTTTATTTTTTCTTTTGGCCGCTGCACGGTTATCAGTAAAACATAACAACAATGGTTTATTAGTGTCAATGGCAAAACCTTGTACTGCATTTGCTTGTCCTCATTGGGTGATCAGTGCTTTTTACCGCACGCAGAAAACTGGATTCTACTGTAGGAGACATGAATTTATAACCATCATCTGGATATCAATGCTCAAGTGTCCTGTCACACAGTAAAGAAGTTGGCTGCAACAAAAAGGGACGGGCATAACCCATTTCATCTACTCAATTTTGAGACACAAAAAGCTGCAACTCGTGCATAGGCCATGCTTAATAGAGGTCTGCTGCCAATGCTCTGCACTGTGGAGGGGAGGAAAAAAAAACGGACGCTAACAGACGCTATTCCATCTGATAAATTACGAATTCGGTTTTTAGCATGTGGGGGAGAAAGCAATTGTTTCCAAAGTAACTGAGCCTCAAAAATCCAACCTTTTTTTTTTTTTTTTATAAAGCGAACAAAGGATCTTTGACTAAACTAGCTCGTTAGAACCCAAGCTAATGAAAAGTCCTCTATTTTGTATGCTGCTCTATGGTCCGATCTGCAGAATAAGTGACGTTTGATAATTTTTTTCTCACAACCGAAATACCACGGAACGTCCATGTTCTGTTGACGAGTGGGTGGCAAAAAGTGATTTAGTAAGGGAGCATTTGTGTCACGGCGACCATTCTTTTTTTGTGTTGCCGGTGAACCAAAATGCAGCTTGGAAGGAGTTTGCTGAGTTTTGAAACCAAAATGGCCAGGTTATACCATCCTCAATTCTTGCGGAGACAATTACCTGATTAAGGAACATTGACCATTTTAAAAAAAAAAAACCATCAGCGCTTGGATCTTGAGATCGCGTTCTTTCTCAATTGGTATTGACACTTGTTTCTTTTCTGCGCCTTGCTTTCTTTATTTCTTTTCTTTTCTTTTTTTTTTTTTTGAATCTATTTTATTTGGGGTGCGCTTCTTGTTGTAATATATCATGGCATCAGAAGAACAATATCACGCTATCAAACCGGATCCGGCCATGATGGAAGAAGTGGAAGACTTGTTGCTATCGTATATCAACACGGATTTGATGGAAACCAGTCAGTGCTCAAGTTCCGACCAACCACCTTCACCTCCTTATTCAACATCATCATCCGTGGACGATGGCGTTCACGGCAAGCTGAGTAATGTCGGTACTGATCTGGGTCTGGGTTACGATTCATCTGGTGCATGGCCCATCACCGACATGCCTGCCCACGGTTCGCCTTACGACGGTTGTCTTCCGTCGGAATGGATGTCCCAGTTACCGTTCATGGTGCCTTGGTTACAAACGTCGGTGCACCCTTATGCCTTTATGAATGATCCTTCGCTTTTGACCCAATCGGGTCTGCCACGAGGTTTATCAGGCCGACCATCGGTGTCATCATCACGGTCCTCGTTCTCTTCCGCTTCTTCGTCCTCTTCTGACAGTGAACAGCCCAAGAAAAAGCGCGGAAGAAAGAAACGTGACTCCAACTCTCAAGGCACCACCACCCCAGGAACCCATTCAACACCCCCCATCCTGGCCCCCGCACCGATCAAGCCCACCCTGATGCCTCTTTTACCCGCCAGTCGACCAGAATCCACCACGGATTCTGTACCGGTGAAAATCGAGCCTACCACCGATCCTGTATGCCTCTCATCGACTCCGCCCGTTGGATTAACAACTGGCACGGTGACTAAAGAAACCCCTACCTATGCTTCGACCGACGCGGATGCACCGATGCCGGATCCTAAAGTGTTAGCCGCGGCGAAACGGCAAGAACGCCTCATTAAAAACCGAGCGGCGGCGTTACTATCGCGGAAACGCAAGCGGGAGCATTTGACGCAGTTGGAACAACAAACTCAAGTGTTGACGGCGGAAAACGAAAATTTGAAAGCAACCGTGGCTAGTTTGGAGGCGAAGCTCGTATCATTAGAAAAGGAAAACTGCGATCTGAAAAGCTCCTTTCCCCCTGCTGAGAATAGTATGGATTCGGAACCGTTGGCGACAGGCGCCTTGTCCAAATCTCCGCCTCACAACAACAAAAGCGCCAAAACAACCGGCATGGTGTTTATGGTATGCCCACTCTGATTTCATCTGATGATATGAACCTTAAAAAATTTATTTATGTGATATAGATCCTCCTCTTCTCTTTTGCTTTGTTCAATTTGCCTTCTCACTCATCCAAGCAACTGACCGTCGATGAAAAGCAATTGCCCTTGATCACCTCCACTAGGTAAAGTATTGGAAGAGCCATCGATCAATGTTGGATTTGTCATAGACTGATTAAATGTTCCATGTTACTTTTTTTTTTTGCCCCCCCCCTTTTATATATATCTATATATATTTGTGCCTTGCCTCCTTTGCAACTCCTTAAAAATCGTTATAGAGGCGTGACTGACGTGCGTTATCCATATCCCGGCGAACAATCACATGCATGCAACAGTGGTGCGTTGCTTGATACCCCATCAGACGCGAATCACTGTTCGTCCTCCGTCCGATCCACTATTTCAGCCTCCACCGATCTCGTCACCCTGGAACCCATTGAAACACGGACTCTACAAGCATGGATTCAGGATAAAATGGGAAATCTCAGTAATACAGATCAGCCACCATCCAGTGGAACTCTGGATGGTGAGATCAAGCGCGAGGAGACGAATAAGCGGCCTGACATGTATCTGTACAGCTCTCAATTTGCGCGGATGATGCCTAGCCGGAATGAAAGCGGGCAAGCAGTAATAGACGACGTGATGGAATCCCAGAGTTTGGAAGCGTTCAAATCGCCGTCGTCGGTGGTATTGCGGTTAATCTCACCTTTGGACACGGATGCTGGCATGACGCGACAGGAGATGGAGCAGTATTTGCGAATGGATGTGCAAGTCATGGAGTCACGTGTGATTCAAGGACCATTGATCGCCCAACACCAAGACGGCTATATACAGAGTCGATTGGGTGGTCTCAAACGCAAAAGAGAAGGACGTCGAAAAATTGCAGGAAAAGACCGTCTATCTCGAGTTGTGATATAGCTTTCTTTATATTATATTATTCCCTTTTGTTATTTCTCTGTCATTACTTTGTCTTTTCAGTGTTCATAGTTTTTTAATTTTATTTTCTTCCTTGTAAAAAAGTATATACATATACACACTTGTTGAAAATATATTTAGAACCCTTTCATCTATACTTGACTACGTCATGAAGGACTCGAACTTTCCACATTCCCTGTCTGCAGCTTTTGTCGTATGAGATACCCTACGCTGCCCGGCCTCATCTAGTCATACACAGAAAATACTAGTTTCAAGAGAAACGTTCTTCTATAAGAATCATACAGAAAAATATCCCTTCGATGAGACTTTTTTCTTTTCGGTATCCATATCTTTCGATTGACACAGCGCCCGACCTGATGAATGGGAACCTCATATCAGATTTTATTCGCTGCGTCGCAGCCACCCGGTTACTGGATTTTAATTATAGAGTCCGGCCGTCCTTCTTTGAAGAACAAAAGTAAAATGACGCCATGGATCTCTCAAAGGATAGGCTCGCGTTTTCATTACGGTGAATCTGCACAATGATTTCATCATTCACAAAGCGCGTTTTCAGCGGACAGTGGATGATTACGTCCGCCAACAATTTTCATGCAAATCCTTATGAGAAGAGCCGATGATAAAGTGGGGCCAAGCAGGCACAACAGTACCAAGTAAACTCTTCTTCATGCTTTCGTCGACGAAACGCTTCATCCCACGCATCGTTGCCATTTTCGTCTGCACGCGTTTTCCATAACAAGTGGACGCCTTCTTCATCCCCATTTGGAGCGAGGCTTTCTTCGTGCTCGTCCACTGAAAAAGGAAAAAGAAAGGGCAGAGCCTCAATCAGTGTCTTGGTTCCTTGTAAAGAAGAGTTCCAAGTTTTTACCGTTCATATAGTTCGCACGCGAACGCTGCTTCATCCTTTTTAGTTTGGCTTCTAATCATTCGAATTGTATCAAAGACGGATTAAAACCACCAACTTAATAAATTATCCAACTTTCTGGTCCAATACCTAGAGCCTGAACGGTTTTCTGCGATTCGGCTTGCTCTTGGTCGGTTTGGACCACTGTCCAACGTGGTGATGATTGAACGTGGATATCACACGATGACGACGGTTCGAAATTCGCGTCACCAGGTATTGACCCATTGAACTTTTTCGCAATGACAGGGTAAATACATGTAATCTCATTGTACCATCACAGAATGTGGCCGTTAGGTACTCACTTTGGAGGCCTCCTGAAGGAATGGGTCTGTGTTTTCGTCGGCGAATGCCGATGATGAGCTCATGATGACAAGATGACCCCGTTTCGTCTAGGCTATTGTAGTTTGCGTTTTTAAAAAAAAAGAGACTCGGATGAATAAATAGATAAAAAAGAAAAAAAAAAGATAAAATTTCTTGTGTATTCTTTATTCTTCACACTGCTACAACACTCTTCATCATAGTAAACCGAATTGTTATAATGCCTAGCCAACCTTCTTCTCAGCAAGCCGATTCGAACCAGCAGCAGCCGGCTCCTCAAACTTACAAGGCTTACCAAGACACGGCGCAAAAACGAGTCGAAGTCAAGCCGCAACCCGGAGACGAAGCCCCCGGGCATCGTACCCAAACTGGTGGTGACGCCGAAACGGCGGTCCAAGGCAAATCCAATTGCCATATCATGTAGTTCTCTTTGGTCTAGTTTAATGATTTCTCTTTTTCCTTCTCCGCTTTGGACAACAAGAAGGGTATCTTTTGGGTCCCAGTGAACCGTAAGAGGTTATTGGTGCGATAAGAGTTTCGGATCCACGATTGGATGAGGCCCCCCATTATATATTTCTTTGTATTCAAAATTCTGAATAATATAGTTTCTGACCACTTTCCCTTTTTTGATCACGTGGTACAATTGCGTGATGATGGTCGGAAAAAAAAAAGCCCAAGATAAAGAGGTGAACCACTTTTTTAAAGTTAAAGATTCAGTAGCACCATGGTTTCTGTTCCCATAAGAACTACCATTGTCCAAGTAGCCCATGTTGTGAAGGGTGTCATTTTCTTCTTTTTTTTTTCCTTCCAAATATGTGGTGTGGTAATAGCTACGGAGCGGACGACCAAAAAATGAGCACTAATTGAGGCGGCAACTGAAAATGAGTCAGCCTGTTATATCCAGTTTCCTGGGGTGACTCACCCATTCAAAACCAACGTCCCAAAAAAAAAGCCATAAACAAAAGAATTCTGTAGTTCGAAATTCTTTTTCTTCTTCTTTTCTCCTTGCTCTTTTCAACTCTTTGTTGTTCTCCTTTTCCTTTGTGAATACTTCTTGTGCTTTAACCTTCAACTGCTAGTGAGCTTTATCTTGTGGTTCACTACTTTGATTCTTACTTGTGCTTCTCTTATTTTATTATTATTTTTTTAAACCCTTGCTATCCCACTTCCCCCTTTTTTTTTTAACTGCTTACCGTGTGCATCACTTCGTCAAGATGCACGCCGCTTTCTAATCGTTTATTATTTTAAGCCCTTTTAATTAATTTAAAAAAAAAGTCCCCAAAAGTTTTTAGTCTTTCTATCTGAAAGAAGAAAAAAAAAAGAAAGTAAAAATGGCCTACTATTACATGTTCAACGGAAAACACGTAGGAAACGACGTCGATTGATACAGAAAACCGCCAAGCAACCGAATATTACAAGAAAACTGAATCTCCCCAACAACAAGCACTGTCAAGATATTACCATCCCAACAGAGAGTCAAGAGAACGCTTTGAATCCCATCATGAATACAACATCGTCTATTGATCCTTTTGCCTTCCTCAGTGAAGGTCTGCTCCCTGAGCACCCCTATTCTCAGCCATGCCAACCCACTCCACCCCAGCAACCTGCCGCCGCTTTCCTGTTTGAAAATGACTCTTCTTCATTGGATCAACTGTTAGCCGCCGCCTCGCCTGGTTACTACTATTCACCTTCTTCGTCTCCTTCTTCCGAGTCGAGCGCTTCTATGGATATCCCTCCTTCGTCCTTGTTACAAGACTCTTACCTGGAAGATATCATGGGCCCTTGCTCAGGCGACTCCATGCTGGATCAGTTTGTGAAACTGGAAGATCTCCAGCCTCTTGGTGTTTCTCAAAAAGAAGAAGCAAAGACCCCCATCATTCATCACTATGAACCTCAGACGTCGCCTTCCCCTCCTTCGTCTCCCAAGGAAGCCGCCAAATCCAAGCCCAACTGTCTCCCTGGCCAGGCTACCATGCCTATACGTATCACTACCCACAAGTCGTCGCGGCCTCCCAAGCATTTGGAATGCTACAACTGCAAGGTAACCAAGACCCCTCTTTGGCGTCGTACTCCGGATCGTGTCCACACTCTTTGCAACGCTTGCGGTTTGTATTACAAGCAATACAACCAGCATCGTCCTTTGCATGTCCGTCACAAGAACCATTTGGCTCGTCATCCTTACGCGAGTGAACGTATCCTGGTCCCTTCGACCATGGTTGCGGACGACGATGTGTTCCATCCTACCGCTGGTGACCTTGTCAAGTGTGTGAATTGCGAACAGACCCAGACTCCGTTGTGGCGCAAGAATGACCGTGGTGAACCTGTTTGCAACGCTTGCGGTTTGTATGCCAAATTGCATCAGCGCGATCGACCCGTGGAAATGCGCAAGACGACGATCCAACGCCGTCGAAGAGATTACTGGCTTGACGGTGATGATTCGGAAATGATCGTAGGCTCGCCTTCGGCTCCAGCCATGATTTCGACTTTTGCTGTCCAACCTTCCGGTTATTCGTCGGTGATTTCGCCGCCTTTGTCGGCCTCCTCGACCATGCCTTCGTCTCCTGTGCAAGAAGCAGAAAGCGATCCTTCAGCCTCGTCGTCGTCATCACCGTCCTCCCCGGCTTTGGAGGACACCAAGTTCGCTTCCCTTTTGATGCAAATGAACAAGGATCAAATGCGAGGTTTCCTCAATATGTTGGAGCGTCGATGTGACTTTCTCCGCACAGTTCTAGATTTTGTTCCCGAAAATTCATCTTTCTCTCAATTGTAATGATTTTTTTTTAGTCCCCTTTTTTTTATATTCATTTTTTATCAGTTCCAAGAAAATAAAGAAAAATTTTAGAAAGGAAAAGAACAAATCAAAAGACTATGGCCATTGATGAGCAGATGATAGTATTCAAAAGTTTTTTCTCCACCATTGTGCTGCATTGGTGTTTTATCTACCTTTTCTTTTTTTAGACTGACAAATTTGGCGTGGAGTGTGTGAAAAATAAAAAAAATAAAAAAGACAAAGGAAATGAGAAGAACAAAAAATATTAAAATAGGTCAGATGATAATCAAGAGAGAAAAGGAAAGCCAAAGAAAACCAAACGAAGGGAAAAGAAGGACGCTAAATTAAGGCTGTTTTTATGCCATGCAATGGAGGATTCAAAGAATGACACAGAAGAACGTATTTTTTAAAGACGCATGGTAAGTTCGGTCAAGAAGGTGAGAGAAAAAAAACACACACACCAACACACAACAAAAAAATGCCTTTTTTTTTCTTTTCGCGTGATGAATGCACCTATCAGAATTGCATTTGTTGTCGCAACCGGTGCAAAAAGGGAAATTGAGGCGGCTTGTAAAAAAAAAAGCCCAGTGGATGAAAATGGGCTTTATCGGATTCGCCACTTTCCCCCCATGAGCCAGTCAAATGTCGACTTGACCTTTAAAAGGAAGCTCACAGAAACCGAATGGAGTCTGGGTCCGACCGCAAAATCACAAACACTCACGGGAGAAGAATTTGGTCCCTGGCACGCTCACCAATCACATTGTCGACCCCACTCATTGGGTCCACATTGCATGGAACTCGCAAGAACTTCCCAAAGCGGTCAAAGGAAAAAGAAAAAAATTGTTTTTATAGCGCCGCTTTTCTTTCCTTCTCCTTTTATTTAAAAAACAAAACGGATTTCGAAAAAACCACACACAAGAAAAAAAAATATTGTCGTCCAAAAAAAGAAGGACCCACGACTCTATCAATTCTTTTTTTCCCTTCCTCTTTCTCACTTTGCTTCTTCTTCTTCTTCTGTCTCTTATTGCTTCTTGTTGTTTCCTCTTTTTCCCAACCACTCATACATCTCAACTTTTTTCTTCTCTTTTTTTTTTCGTCTCTTCATACTTTCGATGGATAACACTGTTTGGGATTACGATCAAATCCTGGAAAACTATGATCAAAGTCTTGAAGATTTAGAACGACAAAGAGAACACCTTAAAACTGTCATGGAAAAAATGGGTCAAGAATGGGAAGAAAGGTAATGATTCCTCTCTTCACTGATTTCATCCCCTCTTTTTTTTTCTCCATTTGTTTCTAATTTTTTAATCTCTTGGTTTTTTATTTTTATCCTCCAGTGGTGCAGGTATTGGCTGGCTTGGGTCTTTGGACATACCGACGGCGGCCCCGATCGAGACGTGTTCGACCTCAATGGATGAAACGAACAATTCGACGCCGATATCGACATTGGAATCTTCGTCCTCATCTTCCGCCACCGTCGCCCCCATAACGAGTGCCATTACGACCGATACCATCGCGACAGTTGTCGACGAACTTTCACCCATTTCCCCTACCACGAATCCAAAGACACTGAGTGCGTTGACCGAACAACCGCTGCTAAGTAATATTTTGCGTCCATCCACCGGTCCTTCGCCAGATTATCTTCAGTCTCTTTTGAACGTCAACGAAGCTCTGCTGGCTCAGAGTCTGGCCAACAGCTCCTCGGCCTGTTCAACCACCGTGATCGGTGAAAGTCCCGATATGGAGAGTCATCATGATACCCCAACGCCGACCTTATCGCCCATTGAAGATCATCACAATACACTGGGTGTATTGCCTACCATCCAATCGCTTCGTTCGTCCGATTTGGACCTCACCATGGCCTCGCCTCCCATCACACCGGATGAATCAGCCAGAGAAGCCCCGTTCCTGGGCAACAGTGACCCTGACTCCGAAGTCATCGACACTTCTCCCCATCCCCTAAAGCCGTATGTTCGCCATCCTCATCCTTCGCATCACCAGGATCTAGCCCCACCGTCCGTTGCTCCAACTTCATTAAATTTGCGCAGATAAAAAAAAAAAGAACGACGCCGTCTCTTGTCGCTCTTCGACCTCGCGGATAGTTGGAGAACCCAAAAAAAAAAAAAAAAAAAAAACGCACAGACTAGGGGTGAACTCATGGATTCGGACCAAACCGAATGGCGAAAAAAGAAAACCTTACGCAAAAACGTCAAGAAAAACCCACCAAGGATCTCAAAAAAAAACTCTCATGGATTTCCCTTTCTACGATACCATACATCAAGCATACTTCATGGACTTTCTTTTTTTTTCTCTCTTTCTGCCGACATTCGTTCTTATCTTTCGTACATTCATTTTTCTTTCCCCCCTTTTTTTGCTAATTTTGCGCGCCTTAATTCCACAGTGAAACTAATTCTCGCCTTTTTTGCTTCCCTCTTTATTTCTTTTGTTGGTGTTAACCTCTTTTTTTTTTCTTCTTTCTTTCTTTGTTCATTCATGCATCTCATTCTTCTATAATCATCTATACTATCATGTTTTCTCCATTCTTCATATTGCAACAAGAAAAAAAATTGTCATCCAATATTTTTTCACATGGTTCTTTTTTCTTTTGTGTATATGTCTGTTGTGCCTGTGGTCTTTCTTATTTTAATTTTTATTTTTTTTCAATATGAACATCTGTCCACCGCCCGTTTGTGAGACTTTGAATGATTGGCTGAGAAAATTTTTAATTCGTTATGTTCCACCTTAATCAATCGATAAGCGACCATTTGAGCGGAGCATTGAATCAGTCACGGGTTCAAGTCACCAAGAGCCACTGACCGCACCGATCTCGGTTGCAATCAATCGCTCGTTCCTGAAATTTTTATGGGGGAGTTGGGGGAAGAAAGCGAACCGGTCACTTTTGCCAGGACTTTTTCTTTTTTGCATGTGCTTATCGTGTAACTCATACAATGAAATATCTTTGTACAGATATGAGAGCTGGTGCCAAGAAAAAGAAGAGTACGTGGATGGATGCTGTAGTTTGGAGATCACAAAGATCAATGGGTCCAAACTTAAACAGTAGAAACTGTAATGTGATAGCTGCATAGATTTCTCCAAGGCCATCGAGGATCGACATGGCTCAAGAGACTAGACCATTTCAAGAAACCAATCGAGCCGTTCATTGGATCGTTTGCATTAATCAATGATTTGCTGGTGACCCAGTCCAACTTTAAAAAGCAAGGCCTCAATTTTTTTGAGTTGCAAAAACACGCTAACTTACCCGACTGCCAAGCAATGCCTTTATTTTCTCTTTAACCTTTCGGTGATCACTTTGTATATAATGACGCGTCTTTCATCACCATTCATGGCCATTCATGTGGACATCAAGAATAAAGTATACCGCAAATGAGTCATTGTAACCGTATACCTCTCAATACCTTTTTGATCGGCCGAGCGGCTCGTATGAAGCCGCTCGGCCGTTTTTCCCCAGTCACAGACCCCGCTGATAAATCACCGACCACCCGAAATCCCCGGTTCGCGATGGACCCGCCATCGAGCCTATCATGTCCGCTCGCATTGCCCGCCGCCTGATAAAGGGACTTATCGTAAGATATTTATTGTTCGGACCCTCGTGTGTGAGCTGACCTTCATCCGATTTGGTTATACCGAAAAGAGAAATGCGCGGTCCGAACAGACACTGTTATGTCCTCATTTTCATTGGACAATCATCCACCCGCTTAAACTTGGATCACGCGATTCATCGAGCGATCATGCCATTCCAAGAAGAATAAAAAAGCATATTTTTCAAATGCAGAAATCGTATTTCATATCACTGTGCATATGATGGGTCAAAGGGTCAAAACGATACTAAAAAAAACTCTCGTATTTTTCGGTTTTAAATCACTGGACGACCACTGTCTTTTTTTTTTTTTCCACAAAACAACAGCTTTCACCGATATGCTATTTCGTCGCGTTTGAACTAGGCAAGATGGACTTTATGTTGAAGCTTCTAGTGTTATTACACGCAGCAGCAAAAGGTATAAAGACAGAAATGACTCTTTTTTTTAATGCAGCGGTGATGATGACCAGGTGACAAATAGAGTAAACAAAAGATATGTGAAACTGTATATTAAGGTTGTGTGAGCAGGCTCAAGAGTTTTCCATCTGCCTCGATTGATTAAAGACGAGATCTTTGATCACCTGAGACAACAATCCATGCATTGCTTCACATGTTATCTTTGAGCTGAAATCAGAAAATTAGCCATCTATCCTTGTTGATTAACAAAGACAACCATTGAATTGACGTACCTGTCTTTTGTTACACGGTTCAACTGGCTTTCGTCATTCTTTTTCCGGTCGCCGTAGTAACCTCCCATCCTCCCTACCATGCTCTCATTGGTTTGTTCCACTTTTTGCGCCAAATCGCATACTTGACGCACAGAATATTCTCGATTCTACTCGAAAAGAAAACTATTCATTACAAAACCATCATTGTATAGAATCCAATGCCTCGACTTACCGTTAGCAGCGACGACTGAGACAGTGTATTTACCCAATATTTGTTCCATAGCACGTTCAGTAATTCGTGATCCAAGGTGGATTTAAAGTGAGAGATTTCCAGTGGATAATATCTGTCCGAATTTTTCAATGCCGCATAATCAGCAGGTTGGTTCAACAAGGTAGGTGTCCTGCAACCCGAGTTACTTACGATTTCGCATGCACACCAAAGTCTTCAATCTTGTTGAGTGGGATGGTTTGGTACTCGGAGGGACCCTCTTCTGGCGCTTTGTATCCCTGCAAAACCCATCATCAGCCAAATTGAGTCTCTCGACCCCCATCATCCCACTTTTACCTTGGGGTATGTTCGAAAAGCGCCAATATCGACCTTGCCAGCAGACATGGTTCTGTTGGGATCGATCTATTCACACACACACATCCTCGTCAGTAGGCGTCGTACCTTTTTTTCCTGCAAAAGCATGATGATTGTCGAATATCACTTACCACTACTGCCACAAATGGCTCTTGATACTGCTGATTCAGCATCTGTGTACTGACATCAATTCCCGATAACCAGCAACCGTATCCGGGATGTGAGTGGTACCATCCAATAATGTTTTCCATACGTCCCACCTACCAAAAAATATCATGGTGTAAATATTTCTTCCAGTGACCAACGTTCTAATTCATCAGAGGGCCGAAAAATAATCATGGCGTTTACCTTTCGCGCTTCTTCTATATATTGGACCATATATTCATAGGCTTCGTTTTGCGCATTGACACGTGTCTCGGTGCCTTCCACGGGTAACGCAAAGGCATCCATCACGATCATGGTGTTCCCAGATACTTTGCCTTGCATCAACCCCATCACTTCAATAGCTCCACCCGAACGCGCGTGCATGACCTAATTTGATACATTGGTTAGTCTCATGGGCACATCACTGGAAATGCTGCCATTTCTTCTTTTTCCTCTCCATTACCATTTTAATGAGTGCAATGGCGGATATCTTTATATGCTTGTAATGATGTGGACTAGGTAATGATCTGGTTTAGCGTTGCCACGCCATTCGGATTACTGAATAGCGCGATCTTACTCTTTCTTCCACGGCATTTGGTTGACGGCATCTCTGCTTGCTTCTGCATCATAATAATAGATCTGGTCTTGTGTTGGATCGACACTTTTTACATTATTCTCCAGTTCCCACGTTTTACGAGCAATCTCTGAATCCATGGTTCTCTTTCATGTATCCTGCGAGTGAGTCTCAAAGGAAAAGGAAAAGAATCAACCAAATCCACTCCGAATAGGTTCGCGCGCATCATGCAACCGACAGTCACACCATGCATCCTAATCCAAATGTCACCCAGCTGATGTCCAGTGCCTGCCAAAAACTGCAAACTTTTGTTGAAGCATCATGCTAATTTGTGCGGCATAAACAGGGCACCATCATCATATGAACCTTTTTCATAGTCTTAAAACGTTTTTTCATCCTTCAGTAGGGAGAGAATCAGTGCACCGTTTTTATATTTTGTCCTAGCAAAGTCAAAGAAAGATGACGAAGCCAGAAAAGAAACAGTGATGATTCAAACAAGAGGATACAGATGAAGAAAATTATCACCATCGAATGCGGGGTCCAATATCATCGTCATCTCTTGGTCTTCTCGAACGCGGTTTCCAAGCGCCTCGTTGTTGACCACCAAAGGACCGGTTCTGCGCCGGATCCATGAAAGTTTCATTGGCCGCCTCGTCCGCCATGACCTTGAGCCAATCGGGGACCTCCTGTTTGGCTTCGGTCAAAAGTTCGACCATCGGCCCCGCAATATTTCGGTTGCTGCTGTTGAAGAATGCCGTAGCTAGACCCGTGTTGCCTGCACGGCCCGTTCGACCGATTCGATGAACGTAATCGTCAATATCGCTAGGCAAATCAAACGAGATCACGTGTGTCACATTGGGAATATCCAATCCACGCGAAGCCACTGCCGTGGCCACCAGGATCGGCGTCTGGCCGCTTTTGAAAGCCTGCAATGCCGCTTCACGTTCATGCTGCAGCCGATCGCCGTGAATCGCCGCCGCCGAAAGCCCCTCGGAAATCAAAAACTCGCACACTGCATCAGCTCCTCGCTTTGTTTGAACAAAAATCAATGTCAATCCAGCCTCAGCCGTCTGCTGGAAAAGTTCCACCAGCGCCGACCGCTTATCGTTTTCCTCTATATATCTAATGAAAATCAAAATTATGGCCCGTCAATATACACTTATCAGCCACATCCTTGTGACAGACTCAGCTTACTTTATGTTCTGTGTGATATTTTCACTCGTGGCACCTACGCGACCAACGGAGAGGAAAATATAGTTTTTCAAGAAATCTTGGGCCATTTCTTGAATGACACGAGGAAACGTTGCCGAGAATAAGAGGGTTTGACGGTTTTCCACCGAGGGCATGTCTTCAAATAGGACAATTTGTCGAATTTGCGGTTCAAAACCCATATCCAACATGCGATCCGCTTCATCCAGCACAAGATAGCGAATATTGGCCAATGAGATACGCTTTCGGTCCAGTAAATCCACCAGACGGCCCGGGGTGGCTACCAGCAAATGACAGCCACGACTCAGCTGACGAATTTGCTGACTGATGTCTGCACCACCATAAACTACACATGGCCGAACGTACGATCGATAGGTGAATTTTTTGGCCTCTTCATAGATCTGTAACGTCAATTCACGTGTCGGCGCTAAAATGAGGACTTCGGGATACGCCATATTTTGATACGCTCTTGATCCCTTGCCGGATGGCTTAGGAAGCGCCGCAGGACCATGTTCAAACAAAAGTGAAAGAATAGGAAACAGAAAACCGGCCGTCTTGCCCGAGCCTGTTAAGATAAAAAATGACGTGAGCCATGATCCGGAAAATGCCAAAAATAAAATGGGCTACACATACCTGTTTGCGCACATGCCATCAAGTCACGTCCCGATTTCACGATGGGAATACCGTATTTCTGAACAGGCGTAGGCGTGGAATACCTTGCCAATTCAATGTTGCTCAACAGATGGACATCCACTGATCGTTCTGTAAACTGCCAAATCGAAAAATAAAAATAAACAACAACCCCCGACGAGCGTCAAGTAGATGCCATGGTCTTACTTCTTCTAAAGGTGGAGGAACGTCCTTTCCAGTGACTTCAACGGGAATATTGTCGTATCGATCGAAATTGATGCCGGTATGCATGGATTCTTTGCCGGTTTTGAACAGTTTTTCTTCCAATTCAGGATTGCGAGGCGCCAATTGATGAACGCCATTTTCCCAGGTTCCTCGACCCACTTCCGTTCGCTTCTTTTGTGGGTTCTCCAGTTCCTGCGCCCATCGCGCCGATTGGGAAAGCCAATCATTGCCGCCCTTATTACCACTGTCCCAACTAATACATAGTATACCTCGAGGGTCAGTCATACACTGATCAACGTTCTCTCTCTATCTCTCCTCTGCCACTCCTACCTATCGCTCGATGCTGCTTGGGTTGGGTTCGATGCTGTCTCGCTCACGTTCCAAGGGGCGTTCGTAGACCAAGACGACGGTTTGGAACTCTCAGGGACCGTGCCCCAAGATACCTCTGTCTGAGTGACTTCCTGTGCCTGACCTTCTGAGGTTGACCAGCCATTGGATCGTGGAGGTCGGACACTTTGTTGATTATTCGTATGGGATGATCCTCGACCTCTCCACGGCCGACCACGCATGGGAGGCTGTCTCGGCGTACTGTTCCAGCCACCTCCTCGAGCTTGATTCCAACCGTCATTATCGGTATGACGTTGTCTAGACTGCTGTCCCCAAGCGTTTGGTAATCCCGACTGACCTCGACCTCCACGATGTGCTTGGCTCACAGTGCTCCAGCTGTCATTTCTTGACGGACGGGACTGTTCCGCTAAGCTCATTATAAATATTGCTCCCTTTTTCTCTTGATAGTTCAAAGTAGCTTACCATTGGATGGAATACCCCAGCCTGAACCATTGTTACTGTCCATGATGTCAATGATAACGATAAGCAGATAGACTGTCTGTTGAACCTAAAAAAGAGAGGCCATTGATGTAATTTTTTTTTTCTTTGATTCGTCGGTTAATCAAAAATTCCCTCAACAATGTGAGGATGCTTGGAAAGTCAAACTTGAACTTTTTATGAATGTCCATTTTTCAATAGAACAAGGTTCGACCCACGTACATTCTTTAAATATTCAAGTTCTATGCAACCCTCCTTTGATCTAGTTCAGTGCAGTCGTATCTTGTCTTTTACTGTTACGCTAGCCACCCAGTCAATCAAGCCAACCGTCACCAATATGCTATTTGAAGCCACCTTCCCATTGCTTTAAAAAAAAAAAAAGGTCAACACTGCACTGCTAAATTGGCGTTTTTTGTATGAGAATCATTTTAATCAGTCAATTGAGCGAAGCGCCAATTCATAAGTAACGAGAATTTTTGTTGCGTTTTATATCAATGAAGGGTTTGGCTTTTTTTTTTTTTATTTACAAGAAAAACGGGGATAAGAAACCTTAGCGGCTATTCACAGAAAAGGAGAAGGAAGGTCCGGCCTTCTCTTTTAGTTATAAGTATCAATACGGGTAAGCATCACATGAAGAGTTTGATGAATTCTCTCTAATTCGTCAGCCACCTGGGCTTGACCTTCGGTTTCGTAGACATCGGCTTGCATGCTCTTGTCCACGTCATCATATACCCCATTCTTGTACTTGGCATCAATATCAGCAAGCTTCTCCTGTAAAAAATTGAAGGGAATTGTGTAAGTACATATCAAGTCAGCAGCAAAATGTTCATATCATCGATATATTTACCTGGAGCATGCGGACATCATCGGCTGTGTACTTCTTGTGAGAGAGACGCTGGGATTCCTTGGCAACTTCCATCAAGTGGTGGTGGACGTTTTCGAGATTCTTGGCCATCATTTTGGTAAAAAGGTTTTTGTGTGTGTGTTGGATTGAAACGGTAGAGAGGAGTAGAGATATGGTCTTCCCCAAAGCTTAATTTCGTGCCGGATTTTATATTCACGACGTCGGCCACAAGAATCTCGCCACTTTCCCCCGGTCGGCGCTTCAATTTCCCATTATGCGTGCACCAGTAACTGTCAACGGGCTTGGAAATTTTCCATTTTTCGATCAGCTAATTGGCCATGACAACAAAGATTTCTCAAGTGCCATGGTTATTGTATAACAGGGTTGTTTAATGGCTTGAATAAGAGTTCTAAAATCCAAAAATACAAGTGGTATATAAAAAAAACCATCGAGTCTTTTCGTATGCTTGGTAACAGAAGGGAAGCGAGGAATTCAGGATGAATCACCCCATCTTTTGAACAAAATCATCCCCGCAATAGAAAGATATTTGAAACCTGATGATGAATGAGCCCATTTCCAGTATTTTTCATTCTTTGGAATTTTTCCACCATGGTTTTGCCGCACGCCATTGGGTACCATATACTTGCACCAACGCAATACACACCACATAAGCAACCAAGTTGGTGACAGCCATCAGGGTACTAATAATTCATTCAACGGTCAGGCCATTTCCCAAGAAGAAAACCCACAGTACTAGCCTCCTCTAAGAGTACTGGAACCGAGACTGGGGAAAAGGAGAAAAAGAAAACACTTACTAGGCAATGCCATCTCCAACCCCGCTTCGAATGTTGACGGCCAACAGCGAAAATATCGTCGCCATAATATTTCGTGTAAAATTATTAGTGGACACCACTGCATGAAAAAAAATTGAGACCAATGTTTCAATTTTTTCCGTTTTTTCCTTTTTCTTTTCGGGAAAGAGGGGAACACTCACCTGATGCGGAGCGGGTAATAAATGATTCCACCAAGTACGTATTGCCGATGGTGATGGTGAACATAATACCAAACGTTGCTGTTTAATTTTCTGTGAGCCAAAAATAGACGCACCATAATAAACCATTCAGTGGCTTCCTTTTAACTCACTTAAGCAGTATCCGATCAACGGGGTAAACCAATGTAAATGAAAGTGGAGAAACCATCCATACAATAGACTTCCAATAACGAGGAATGGAATACCGAGATAGAGCGGGGTCAAACGGTACTCTTGTTTGTGCACTCCGTGATGGCGTGCGACTTGCCACGCATACACGCGGTCAGATACCAGGCCAGCAACGATGCTGCCGCTTGTATTTCCTACCCCGCCGGCTAAATAACATAGCCCGATGGACCCTGTCGAGAAGTGGTAGATCTGACTGTAGGTTTCAGGAAGAATGGTCACGAGAAAATAAAACCATCCGAAACTGGTGCTCAATGGAATGCACACCAGTAGAACTTCGGGCCGGAGAAGAAATTCCAGACTGGCAAACTAAAAAAGAAAGTGTAAGAAAAATGACATGGTTAAAATGATACCGTTGGGACGGATGTGAGGGGAGTTATGTGAGCAGCTTACAGGATTGAATTTGAGATTTTGTAAACGTTGTTTCCATGAAATGGGGTCCGAGGAAGTCGACGAAAGAATCCCATCCGAGGGTACGTACAGTGTCTCTTGGACAAAAATAAATGTTAATACAGCAATGACCGCGCCAAGGATAGCTTTGATGTAAAAGATCCACTGCCAGTTCAAGTATTGGTCCACATAACCTCCAATGATGGGCGAGAAAGCAGGTCCGAGAATGGTTCTATAGGTGGATAAAAAAAATTACGCTGTTGGTTTTACGCAATTTGTCATGGAAAAACCCAAGGCTTACCCGAGGATGTAAATACTCATAGCACGACCTCGTTCCTTGGATTCAAAGAGATCCGCCACCGACCCTCCGCCCACGGCTTGGCCCGCACTGGCGAAAAAGCCCTGTAACATGCGGAAGACGAAAAACAGGCCAATCGATTTTGCAATGCTGCAAATAATAGAACATACAATGAAGAGGACCATCGCACTAATATATACCCATCTAACATATTCCAAGCAGTTTAGACCCTGAAGATCATTTGGATCCAAAAAAAAAAAAAAGTTGATCTCTTACCTCCTACCCACACGTTCACTAAAGGGTGCCCAAAATAATGGCTAATAAAGTAATCCGTGTTAAATTTTTTGATGATCGTTTTGTATGACCCTTGGTTTGATGACTTACAGCTATGCCGGTACACAAGATGTAAGTCGCAATAGTAGCATTGATCACCTAGCCAGATCAGAAAAAAAAGAGATCATCGTTTAAAAAATGACGTAATCGGTGGCAAGAATTGGCAAGTCCTCAACTTACCACTGTGGAGGTTCCAAAATAGGCACGAATACTTTCCAAAGCGGGCATCTGCATGTCCCAACATTACTCTTTGTTAAATATACCTGTTTTACACAAAATGCCTTGTTTTATCCTACTCACGTAAATGGCGGATGAGAAGTAACCAATGAAAGCATTCATGGCCACGACGATGAAGTTGGACCATTTCTTTCTGTTGGGCCATTGCTGCAGACAATGATCATGATTAATAATACATTCACGAGCTGATCCTGGGGCAAGTTTTTCTGAGCATGGTGCCACCTACCTTGGGATTATTTTTATCATGGATGGGTTGATCCTTTTCGTCACTGGAGCTACATTGGGTAGGATCCTGGCTTGCTTCCGAGGAGACAGATCGATTTTCTGAAACAAAAAAAAATAAAAAAAGGCACCAAAACCAGGTGAGTCCCTGGAGTCGTCGTTTAAGGAGAAATCATTGGATTTCTTTTCAAAAAACAAGTGTAGTTTACCCCATGATGCAGGCATGTCCAATGCAAACTTGAGAAAAGAGGAATCCACAGATCAAAAAAAAAAAAAAAAAGAGATGGTTTAATCGGTTTCCTTTTTTTTTTTATTCTCAGAAACTCTTTTCCAGAATTGATCCGCTCCATGTGGTATAAAAAAATGGGCCGCAGCATCAATGTTGTTTTTTTTTTTTCTGTCTAGCCGTCTTTTTTCTTTTCTTTTTTAAGTTCATTCCGGATAATCCTCATCCGAGAAAAAAGAAATTACCATATTAGCCAAGTGCGCATGCACACAGCCTCAATGAATTTTACGGGTTATTATTGCTGGGGAACCGCGATCAACGCACAATTCTCCAAGCTTGTCTCTGGATCCACGTAATAAACCAATCGGGTCTCAAATCCATGTTGCTGCAAGAATTCCAATCGTCCGGCATCCAGTACCCGCTTGCATTGATAACCAATTTTCTCTCGCTCCACATGATCTCGTCCAGAATAATGACCACTGTCACAGAAAAAAAGGTCATTAATTGAAAATCATCGTAGCCTTGATCAATGAAATTGCACTCTACCTTGTCAAATCGGCATCAGCGGCTTCTTGTGTCATTTCACTATGTTCGTCCTCCTGGGCTTCAGCAGGTCGACCGCAAATGGCCCAGCTGCTCATCTTGCACATGCGATCAAAATCCAACTTGTTTAAACCAATCTGCTTCAAGTATTCCGTATTCGGATACATTTCAATTCGGCAAAGCTGATGACAACACAGAGCTATAATGATCCCCGATATGGGTTGCGGACTGATACACCCAATCCAGAATGAGTCACCAATATTTTACCTCGTGGCAAAAAAAAAGTTGCTTATTTTCAATGACTCACTTGTTTCCTGTTGCTCGTTCATGATCCACGTAATTCATTAAACATTTCAGCGTGATATCCGTGGCGCTACCGCACAGATGTTTTGACAATGCGACCATTTTCTTTTTGCGTCCATCACTGTCCAGTAACGATTTGACTTTGGATAGATCCAAATCTTTGATGTCAATTTGTATCCGCTGCACCGTCGAAGGGTTCGTTCCACGACCCAAAAGAGCCGGATCATACTAGAGTAGACGCCATTCTTCAGCGAAAAAAAAACTAAAAGAAAATTGGCTATCATCGCATACCTTTCCACGAACGTTTTTCCGGTCTACCAGGACATATGTGGCTTCTCCGTTTTCTTCCGCCACCGCCGCTTTCAAGTAGTTGGACAATTCACCTACGCAACATCTTTTTAATGATTTGTTCGCTTCACGGGGTTGCACAGCATCCAATTCACACCTTTACCCGCACCAAACTCTATAAAACATGCTTTCTTGTCGTCTAGCATGCCCGCCAATTTCATGTGACCCAACAGAGATGACTAAACCCTTTGAATTAACCTGCATGTCCCGTGTAACCTCTACCTGCACCTGCATGCTGTCGTTCCTTTTTTTTTATACCTGTTGATCGATGTGTTTCGTAATCTGAACTGCTTGTCTACACAGCATCGGGTCAATAATTTATGCAAGGTACCCATTTGCCAGTTGTATGATATACCTTCGATCCATAGTCGCTTCATGTGTTTGCACATCCTTTTCAATGGTGGGAACGTGATCCGTATAGGCTTTTTGCACTTTGACGATCAATTCATCCAACTCTTGTTTCGGGAGTTCAGCCAGTCGTATACGGGCAATCCATGGTTGCGTTTTCATGACTTTGTGCAAGTTTAACGTTTTCTGAAACTCGAGTTCCTCCTGCGACAAGGGCAGCGTGCAGTTGACATTGACCGCATAATGTTCCTCTGGTGGTTTCGGACGCGAATTACAACGTGTCTTTAAATGGTTGTCCAAGTCCTTTTCAAAAATGGTGCTAATGGAAAAAGACAGAAAAAGAAAACATGAGGGATTTTCGGCCCATTCAAATCATGATAAAAGTCAGGTCTTACTGGGATGGATCGTAAGGACAAGGAATACGCTTATTGGAGATCTCGTCGGTGCCGTCTTTTTGCTGCTCAATTAAATGTTCTCCGCAATATTTGTTGGTTCGCTTGGCCGGCAGACTGCAATACCGATGTTTGCGAGCAACGTAAAAGTGACCTAAACAAAGCATTCAGCAAAATACAGTAAAAGACACATGCCCTGAGTTGCGTTTTTACATTGTTGGGGACGATTGGGAGGTGGTGGTGGAGGAGCTTTTGCTGCTTTGGCCTTTCTTCCCACCTCGGAAGGTTTGGCATGCGGTTCCTTGGGCATCCTTTCCTTTATGTCTGGGCTTGCACCACTGGTGTGGCGGATGCCATGATAAACTCCCAATCAGCTTCAGTGGCTTAGAGATAAAAATTCATGCCAGAGGAGCAGCGCCCTGGGGTTTTCCCAACCACCCCGCTCGCAGCCAATCAAAATTGAGTAATCTCTGATCCATCAACATCAGCGTGTATTCAGGGAATTTGCATATTTTGGCATATTTTGGTAGATCTGTCGTTTTAAAAAGTCTGGGATATTGTGAAAAAATTGATATGGAACATGATAACTTGCTGAACCTGGCAAAGGATTGGCTGGCCTTCCCACAGAACATTTCCTAAAAACAAAAGGCTCTTCACCAATCCATATTTCCGTTTTACCCTCAGTTCTGTGGAGAATTCGTGATATAACAGCAATCATAACGGTGGGCATCTTATACATATGTACCAGCAAGCTAGATTGGATCTAGTTGCTTGGCCCAGTGGGAGATGCAAACCGTACAAAACAATTGAAGTTCTCGCTTTGCGGTTCTTCCTTTGCAGCATCCTATTAGCCCTCATTTAGTTGAATTTTAACCCCACTGAGATAAATTGAAACTTGTCAAAAATATCATTGAACTACTTCATGCTGCACTGACTTGTGTGCGCCTGAAAATCTGAGAGAAAATAGGCATTTATGCTGTATTGCCAGCCAGAAGAAAGCAAGTGCTGCAGATCTGTTGACAGATTTGATCGTATGGGTCAAAAGAATGTCTTATTCTCAAGGATTTGGGTCATATCCTGCAGTAAAAAGCATTGATTATTTTTGTTTCCCGGCGGCTACCTCAGGCTCACCATGATCACCAAAATATGACGTCTTTGTGACCCCTGACGTATACAGAACTACTCACATATGTGTATGTATACGCTGGACTTATCAGATTTACACGAAAAACCTCTGTCTTTTCCTCGCAAGATAACAGTGTGTTTACGAAGGCAATAATTCTGTGCCGGTATTCTAATGAATGTGGAGTCCGCCCAATGCAGAGCTGCCGCGGTTGCGGGGGCCGTGACGGTTTCTGTATGTCATCAAGTTTGAAATTTTCATTTTCCAAAAGAGGATAACGCTGTCCGTTTTTCCCACTGTGCCATTTTGTCATTTGTCCTATTGTTGTTGTCTGATTACAGAAGCGATCTATTTCCTATTTGGTCCATCGTTCTCTTTTTATTCCTACGTTAGATTTTTTTTATTCCATCGTTCCCATGCAGCAGCAAAAACAACCACCTGCGTCTGTACTCGACCCAAGTAATCGTCCTGTGAACAAACCACCCCATGCAAAGGATCAGCTACGTGAGGCGCAAACTCTAGACTATGTCGTTCGTTCAGGATTGGCAGGCGGGATTGCTGGTTGCATGGTAAGTTTTTCTTCTCTTTGGCAAATCAATGGAAATGGAAAGAATGGTTATTCAAACGCAAACATTCCCAGGCCAAAACCGTGATTGCTCCACTGGACAGAGTCAAGATTTTGTTTCAAGCACGGAATCCCATTTTCGACAAATATGCTGGTAGGAATGAAGCGATTAGTGAAAGTGGGGAATGGGTTCATTAACAAATATTTCCCAGGCACATTTACGGGAGCTTTCAAAGCAGGGCGAGATATTGTGAAAAATTCCGGTATCATAGGACTGTATCAGGGTCATTCCGTCACATTACTCAGGATTTTCCCTTATGCGGCTATCAAATTTGTGGCCTACGAACAATACCGAGCGGTAAGTCTGACAGTCTGACCCAGGCGTGCATGAAATCCGTGCAGATCAGGCTAATATTGGAAGTAAAATACAGGTCCTTATGCCGACCAAGGCGCGTGAAAGTTCTGCAAGACAATTCGTGGCAGGTTCATTAGCGGGTAATATGGTGTTGCGTTGGATACATCATAGATAATCTGAAAAAACTGAATGGATCGATTGTGTTTTTTTTAGGTGTGACTTCGGTTCTTTTCACTTACCCTTTGGATTTGGTGCGTGTGCGTATGGCGTATGAAGTCAAATCATCAAAGAAGAACCGCATTGGCCTTTTGGCGATCATCAAACAGATCTATAATGAACCGGCGGCTGTACAACAAAAAGTGTTTGGGGGGAAGATTCAGAATTTCTATCGTGGATTTTTACCTACCGTAGCAGGCATGATACCGTATGCTGGCGTTTCGTTTTGGACGTACCATATTGTGACGCGGTTCGCTCGATACCACCCATATGCCACGCCATATACACGTGCATCGACCTATTACGATTTTGATCCTCTGCGAGACGATCTGACGCCACATCAGCAACGGTTGGTCAATAAACCGCCACTGAAAGCGTGGGCCGAATTGGTGTGTGGTGGATTGGCAGGATTAGTAGCACAGACAAGCAGTTATCCGTTGGAGGTAAGAAGAGGCTCTGAAAATGATTGCAAAATATGGATATTAAGACCCCATTTCCTAGGTTATTCGAAGACGAATGCAGGTGGGCGGTGTGCTGGATCCCAACAAATTTGTCGGTTTCTGGGAAACCGCAAAAGAAATTTACCGACTCAAAGGATTCAAGGGGTACTATGTTGGCCTAAGTATCGGTTATATCAAAGTCACCCCCATGGTCGCCGTCAGTTTTGCCGTCTACGAACGAATGAAGCGCGTTTTGGAGATTGATTAAGATGGAAAAGAGAGACAACGCACGACAAAAAAAAAAAATCCACTCTTGCAAACCGACAAAGATGAAATCACCACAGGAAACAGAAAAAGAAAGAAACGGACGAAAAAGCAAAAAAAAACAAAAAAAAGATCCGTTATATATTCGCCACCCATTTTCGCTCACTCTGCCTAGCTCCTTGTTATACCCTGTAGAAGACCAAATTCCTATCGGTGACCCACTGTAAATGATACTGAATCTTGCACAGTTTTATACAATCCTGTAGTATATCTTTTCTTTATTTTCACTAGAACCTGATTTTTATTTATTATTTCATCTCCACCCCAAAAAGAAGTTTATTCATAATGGAACGATGATACAACTGCAACAAAAGGCTTGTTTGAAAAAGTAATGTAAATGATTGGCGGATTAATTACGGAATGAAAGGATCCAGTTCCTTGGTGAATAGGGTTTTCTGGATGAGATGTTTTCTATTTTTTCGAAAATTTTCTTTCGGCGACGAGATTTGATTGGCAAGGTGTGAGATGGTGATTTGGGTCCACGGAATAGGTTTTAATAGATGTCAAGAAGTCCGTAATACTGCAATTGAGCATGTAATACGTTGCTCAAACGGCTGTATCGAGTCAAAACGAAGACCATGAAAAGTAATGATTCTACAAAAAGTGCGGGTGTCTTGGCAGTGATGATAAAGTGTGCTACAGAACGCCTTTTTTTTTTTGCGGCTCCGTCTTTTTGGACGTTTAAAACGCCGCTTTTTCATTAGACTTTTTGACTCTTTGGTGTTCAATCGGCAAGCCGTTTCCCTTGTTGTTTTTTATATTCTTGCTTTTTTTTTTTGAAAAAAAGCAACCTCATTGTGCCGTTTCATGTCGTCTGTATTTGTTCCCGATAATAGCGGGTCAGCGTCACCACAGAAATCCCCAGAATCAAGTCGACCGAAGCGACCTCGATCCAGTCTAGCAGTAAGCAACTTCCCCTTGATATTTTTCCAACTTTTTTTCTTATTTTCTCGCTGGATGCGCCTGCCCCGCATGTTGGAATAACGACTAATCACACCTTTATGCATGTTTCTAGTGTATTCGTTGTCGAAAGAAAAAAGTCAAGTGCGACTTTGTTCAGCCCACATGTGGTCGATGTGCCATGGCGGGATTACCCTGCAGTTACGCTACGCCACCTCGTCGAGTGGACGGTCAAGCGTTCGATAAGCTCGGCAATCACGTCGAGGAACTGAAAGAAAGAATGCAGAAAATGCAAAGCGAACTGGCCAAGATGAAGGACAATCTGCATCCGTTTTCGGGCAGTATTGGATACCGTGCTGAAGACGACCAAACTGCTTCGGGACCATCCACCCCGTACGCCATGCCATCGCAAGCTGCTCCCACGGACATGTTCCCTGCAAGAGAACCCATGGCCGTTGCCGAATCATCGTCATCGCAACACTTGTTACATCATTCGGCTTCGCAACAGCCCGTGACCTGGAAACTGTCATTGTCCCCCTCGGGATTACGTATCGATACCAACATTGCCAGTGTCGCCGACTTGTACCGTATTCTGCTCAACGGCATCAGTCAGCTCAATATCAATGCCGATTCTGCCACCAGTCTGTTCAGTACTGATACCATTCGTGGCGAAGGCCGTCGTAACCGTCAAGCGAGGGGACTTCGAAATGCGCAGAGAAACAATGCCCTGGAGTCCGGCGACGGCATGTTCTCGGCGACGGCAACGGATCCAACCACCACGACCATTGCCACTTCGGCCGGTCCTTCCACTTCCACTTCCACTTCCAATACGACAATGAATCATGGGCAATCCGCTGGCGGGGGTCGACTCTGGGAAGTGGATGATAACGAAGCGCGCAAAATTATTCAAGAAAACACCAAATCTGACGATTCCTTGCCTCCTGATATTCTCCAGGGTCTTTTGCGCAATTGCTATCACCGATGCTTTTTGGCCTATCAGATCGTGGACAAGGAAACCTTTGTGAAGCAGTGCACGGACGGGCTCGAGTACGAGTCCCTTTTAGCGAATTCCGTCAGCGCGTGGGTTTCCAAACACGGATGCATCTATCATAACGCGGCCCCCGGTCAGAATCCTACCACCATGGGGGAAGCCTACTTTATGAACGCACGTCAGCTACTGAAGAAATGTTTTGACATTAGCAGTCCCACCACCATTCACGCGCTTCTCAACCTGTACATGTACCAATTGAACAGTGAACGATCCAGTCTCGCATACCTGTACATTGGTCTGGCGATTCGCATGGCTCAGGATCTAAAGTTCCATAAAAAGGAGCATATGCCGGCTGATCCGAAACAGCGCGAAACCAATAAGCGATTGTGGTGGTCGGCGTACTGGTTGGATCTATGTGCCGCACTTGAATCCAACCGACCTACCATGGTCGATGACAAGGACTGTGATTTGGAGTATCCTGTGAAGCTGGACTCAGAGGATGAAGAGACCGGGTACCAAATCGATTTTTGTGTGCATTCCATCAAGCTCATGAAGATCAGAAAAGATATTACCAAACATTTACCGTCCGAGCAATCCGGACAATCGTTGCTGTCGGCTATTTCTCGGTTGGAGAACGCTTTAACCAATTGGTTGAACGAGTTGCCTCAGTCACTGCGTTTTGATCCCGATGACAAGGTGTTCCGTACCACGGGGTCGTTCCGAGACGAAGCGTGTCTGATTCTTAATATTCAATACCAGACGACGTGGATCATGCTTCACGAATTCTTCTTACCGAAACAGGATCAAACCGCTACACCCGTGGCTTTGCTGTCGCTGAATATCTGTACGAAATCGGCCAATTTCATCAGTAAGATGCTGGATATCTATTCAAAGAACTTGTGCTGGTGCCAGTTCTTTTACGTGATCGATGGCGTCATTGCCAGTGTCGCCATTCATCAGGTGAATGCACTGTCAAACGAGAAAGAAGTGGCGTCCTTGGCTCAGCGAAATCTCATCGTCACGGCCGACGTGCTTAAGGGATCCCCTTTGATGTATATGGAGAAAATCAATGAGATTGTGGACAGCATTGAAGGATTCCTGAAAAAGCACGAGCTCCCCATGGACGTGAACAACTTACCGCCTGTCAATGAAGATTCCGTCAATCAACAAAGCATCTCGTCCGTCTTCCATCCCGCCATGCTGGATACCCACCCGATGACGCCTCAGAATTCGACGTTGAATAACTTTGGCTTACCATCTTTTGGACAGGGAACGCCTTTGAGTCAGTCTCGCCCCGATCCAGACTCTCCTTCCATGGCGACGAACGCATCGCGATTTGGCAGTGTGGGCAGTATACCAATGAATTCGCCGCGATCGCAGACGCCCGGTTCCGTACCGCACACCACGATGCCAACCTCGCAGATGTCACCTCACACTTCCATGTTTACCCCTCAACCGGGATCCGCCCAAGATCTCTCTTCGCTTTCCAGCCCGATTCCCATGTCGTCTTCTTCTTCTTCTTCTAACCAGCGACCTGGATCCGAGGCCAAAATGCGTGAAGCGCCCACCCATCCACAAGCACCACCACATCAACAGCACCAACAACAACCACAGCCACAGCCACAGTTTAGTCGACCGACATCGCAATCGGTGCCGTTTGTCACGGCGTCGAACCTTTCCAACAACTTTGGCTTGGGTAACATGTTGTTCAATGATCCGGCCTTTATGAATTTCAATATACCCAACACGTCGCAGGATATGGATCAAGCGCTGTTTAGAGACATGGGATTCTCCAACTTGGGCGGCGGTGATAGTCGGATGAACTCGGAGGACCAGTTGAATCAGTCCAACATGTTTGCTTCGCTGGACTCCTCCTTGTTTGGCGAAAGGAATGCCTACACTTCAGCGAGCAATCCCGCGGCGGGTACATCCTTCAATTTTGCAGAGATGGGTCAAGGATCCATGTACGGGCAACAGGGAGCGACTAATGAAAGTATGGGGTATCCAAACTACCTCGGAGATCCTGAATTATTTGGCCTCTCCACCAGTTCTTCCATGCTTCCTACGTCGTCACAAACGCAAGCTTCGAATATGATGGATCCACAGTATCCGCTCAATGGATCGGTTTCTGGAACCTCGGTACCGAGTACGATGATGGACAGCGTAGAATCGACACAGCCAATGGACAATGACCAAGCGTTTGATCCTCGATCGTTATTTGGAAATATGAATATAGACCCTGCAACGATGAATGCGTTTTTACAGATGAATGCCGCTTCAGGTTATTCGCCATTTTACGGTCAACAACAAGCCGCTCCTGGACAAGCGAGCAGCAGTCGATTTGCAGGCAGCAACGCCATGACGGAAGCCATGTTTGCTGCGAGCCGAAAGAGACCACATCGTGAATGGGATGATTCCGCATAGTTTGTTGTGCATTATTTTTTTTTCTACATCTTTTCTTCCTTCTTACTTGTAATTTTTTTTTATCTCTACCATTATCTTTCTATTTATCATTCGTTTTCATTTTTCCTTTCACGCAGAGGATGCCAAAATTGAAAGAAAACAATAATCCAATAGCGAAAACAATTTTCACCAGTAACACTTGATTCATGTCTTATGCAGGATAGCACAAGATTTTTTTTTTTTTTTTGGCGCGCACGAAGTTTCTGTCTGTAAATGACTTTTTTTTTGTTTAAGCCAAAAACTAAGAGGAGACCGTATGCATCATTCTTTCTCAGAGACAAATAGATGCTCATAAAGTTCAGTACAAGGTAATGGCAAGTTTGAAAGCCCCTCATTGTTGCTGCACTCTGCGCTCTGCGCTTAACAAGGACCTACTCAGTCTGTAACAATATCTGATCTGCGCTGCTGATTTGAGGGTGGAAAAAAAAGAAAATAAGAAGAATAAGAAAAACATGTGATGAAGTCATATTATGGTATGGTAAAGCGTGAAATCTCGGTTCCTTTACTGCTCAGTGACGGACCGATCATAGTCAGGGTTGCCTTGTAAATGGATACCAACTGCGATGCGTTTTTCTTGTTTCTTCCTTTTTTTTTAAGATGTTTGGAGAGTCAGCGATGTGCGCGTTCAGTAGGGACCGACAGATAATAAAATGAGGATTATTTTCTTCTAAACTATCTACTTTAATCTGTTTCATTCGCCTTGGAGAGCGTGTTTGCTTGTAAATCTGCAACAGAAATTTTTTTATGACGAACACATGAAAAATGCATTTGCTCAAGATGGTAATAAGTTCCATTCAAAGGGAAGCTTCAAAAAAAATGTCACGCTATAAGTTGTGTGGCATGGAGCTATTTGCTTAAGGAAAGATTACATAGACATACTGCGGTATATTTCTTTTTTCATTCCTATGCTGTATCATGAACAGGTTTCAACTTACTAGGGACACACAAAAAGTCAAAAAAGATGAAACGTACACATTCTGGCACCGGAGGATACCGGCAGAACTTTATTATATTTATCAATGAACTGCCTTTGTTCGGTCTGCACGACATCTCTTGCGGATGTCTGAATCCGTTGTCTGTAACTTGTATCTGTTGCTTAGGAAACGCGGATAGTTCAGGAACGTATGAATGGATACAGCCATGGAAATGGATCTTTATGGAAATATTGAGTGTGCAACAACAATGACTGGAAAAAAAGCTTACATGTTTGCCAGGTCTCTAAATTTTTGGGTTATAGTTCAGTGAGTCGAGGCCAATGATTGAACGGAGCCAAAAGAACAAAAAACTTTATGGGCATAATTGGCTTCCTTTTTTTTTTTGTTTTTTTTTTTTTACAAAATAAGTGCTATCCGAGATGGATACACACACCCATGTGGCTCTATTTAACTGGACAAACGTAGCAATGTTTACATTTGTGTGCCCAAAAGTGTTTGTTTTTCTTTTTTTTTTCTTCCTTGCCTTGATGTCTAAGAAAACACGGTTATATTGGCTCAAAACGAGCGATAGATGTAGATCTAGATGATCCGAGAGTCGCGGAATGACCATATTTTTCATTCCCGCTTTCTTTCTGTAGACAAGAATGGGAAGAATGGGTCAAAACAAAACTCCAAGATTACCTATGGGAACTTTGTCTCACAATAAACCTGGGCCCACGTTATGGAAACAGACAGGCCACAACAGAATCCCTGGCCGCTTTTTTTTTCGCTGTTTGAACACTAAATTGCCAGAAAGGATGCGTCCCCAAAAAGCTTGTTTTTATTTTGAGAAGAAAAATAGAAACTGTGGAGGAAAACGAAGGAAATCGTTCTACATCATTGACAACTGTGCGTCACTCACTGCCTGACATTTAACATGAATGATCATCGGGTGATCTTATGCATTGACGTATTTGATAGGATTCAGTAGAAAGGAGCTGGAGCCTTATCACCATGGACAATGCACGATTCGCTCATTCTATGTTTCAGTCACCAGAAATGTAAGCACAAGACATTATAAGGTTTCTTCTTTTAGGTTGATCGTGTAGTCAGGAAATTTACATCATTTTCAATGCGCGATATGTATGAAAACTTTAAAAAAAATTGAGACAAACGAGACGATGCTAACTGATAAAATGATCCAACATTCAATAAACAGTCAATGCAGGAGCCTGGATGTGTGTAATTATATATACAAGGTACAATGACGAATCATGCTCCTTCTGATGCATACGTAAAAAAAAAGCCGTTAATGATCTTGATCTAAATCACCATCACTTGCAAAATCGAACAAAATGGGGTTGAAGCATATAGTTTTCCTTTTGAAAAAGAAATTTTGAACAGACACAACATCCTGATATTATGATGTTGCTTATCAGATTCAACCACTGGCATGGCTGTACTTTCTACCTCGTGTGAACTCATTATCACGATCTTTTTTTTTTGTGATCAAGAAGATGAGTAACATGTATATCTTTTTTTCTTTTGCATGAAACAACGCTTTGCTCTGTTTATTTTATTATCAACATATACAGTACATAGAAAAAAATGAAAGAAAGAGAAAGAAAAATCGCATAATGTGCAGCGGTAATAAAACAAAGGAAGTATATAAAATGAAGAACAGGATCTTTGATAAGAAATCATTGATCGCAAATTGAGGGGAAAATGAATGAAATGGAATACAAAAGAAAAAAAAAATGTTGGCTGCACTTTTGAGATGTTAATCAATTGACATTGGAGTGAGGTTTTTTTTTTTTTTTTTTTTGTTTTTGTTCATGAAGGAGTGCTCTTTTTTTTCACGGTCTTCAGAGTGTATATATAGATCGCGGCGTTCAAAGAGGGCGTTTATGCCACATTGACGCTGGTGCGATCGGTTAAGAATTGCTGCCATGCTGGATCGGGTAGACAAGTGGCGAGCTCGGGCGTAATCGATTTACCAAAAGATAAATGGTGCAAAACGTCGGTATCTTCGTAGATGGCTCGTTCAACGTCGGCTTCAATGGATACAATGGCACTTTTACCGTCTTGGGTCTTATCAATGAGCGTATTCTGATCGGATTCTACCGCAAAGAATGGGAGAAAGATCACTGAATCGTCGGTGGTAGGCTGCTGCTGATTCCGATGAATGAGATCACACACTTGCAAATGCTACGAAAATCATTAAAAAAGGAACCATTAGTTTTCGTTCTGACAATGGCTATTTTACACATTTCATTTACTTACGCGCGTCAATTTTCCACGGATTTGCATCCGGGTGCGATCTACCATGGATTCGAGTTCGGCCTGCCGACGCTCTTCTTGTTCAATTTGTTGCAATAAATCGGCATTTTTATTTTTGTTATGAGCTTGATCACCCTGATAACATGCTGGCACTCCCAGCCATTTGATTTCCTTCTTATCTTTGGCAATAATGCCCATGGCCATGAGAACATTCAATGCATCGTAAACTCGACGCCGAATATTTTTCTGATCGTAAGCATGCGTGGAAGTACCATGGGAAGACTTTTTCATAGGGTCTGATTTGGGGCCGGCGACATTCATATTATTACGGATATCCATCGCCAGTTCGTCTGCTACTCGGTTGTACGTCGTGACCCCGTGCTGAGCCACCTTATCACACAGTTGCTTACTGAAGTGACGTAAACCCTTGGTCGTGGGTTCCACCAACATCTTTTGCTGACCAGATCCTGCATATTTTCTTTTTTTCGATGGCTGCTGATCATCTTTCCGAGGTTGAACTACCTGTCGCTGCTGCTGCTGTTGTTCTTTGGGCTGCTGCTGCTGCTGCTGCTGCGGTGGCGACGTGGGTTGCTGCGGATGAAAATAAGTAGGATACTGAGGGGTGGGCAAGAAAAGAGATGGCGGATGGTGATCGTGGCCCTTTTGACGTGGGCGACCTCGTTTCAATGTGTGACTGAAATGAGGTGGATACGAGGTACGTTGGTTCTCTCCGTCGAGTTGCTTGACTTCGGGATCTGAATTCAAGAGCGAGGCAATGGAACCTTTGCGGTTGGACGGGGCGGGAGGGGACCACGACCTGGGATAGGCCCAACCGGTTTGTTCAGGCGACGGGAACGTGCAGGAGCGGGGAGAACCGGACGACGAAGACGATGAGGAAGAAAAGTCGAGAAAGGGTGGCGATGGACTCGTGGAAGGACTAGACGTAATGGTATGAATAGGCGGAAGATGATAGTCGTCATGGCTGGTCAATGGATCGGAAGTCCAACTACGCGATTTATCAAATAATGACGGGAGTGTAGGGGCATGAAACGAAGTTGATGGAAGCGTGGCAGGATTCGGATAAAAATAGGCTGACATTGAAAGGAATAGAACAGATTCAGTGAGCGAGAGGGACGAAAAAAAAGAGAGAGATAAAAGAAAAAGACGATTCGAGTGAACGAGAGAGGGATCAGAGAGGATGGATAAGAAAAGACGAAGAAGAAGAAGTTGAAGATGAGTTTTTGCCAAAAGAAAGGACGATTGAAGTGATAGAAAGAGATCTTTATTGGGTTAGAATGGAAGGACTAGGTGAAAGGAAATGGTAGATGAAGAGAATAAAGAGAGGGAAAAAAAAGGGCAGGGAATAGGTATATATGAAGCTAAAACATGAGCTCATGTTTCTGTTATATAAACAACAAAAGCTTTTTTTTTTACAACCGGTCGGTGGCATATGTCGTTATGGTTACGGATCGTTTCAAAAATATAAAAAAAGTTTTTTCTTCTCGGGATTGCCAACCTTGGTACTTTCGAATAAGAAGAAGATCCCTGTCTCGCGGATTCACCTAAAAAAGTATAAAAGATTCCCATGACTTGCTTTTCGGAAGGGGATCCCGTTGGAAACGCGCGCGCGCGTCCGTCCATGTCGCCTCTGGGTCTTGTCTCCTTGGCAATCGCCGTTATCCGATACGATCACAGATTTTTTGTTTTCTTTTTTGTCCCTCCCTATTCTTACTGTACTCATTTTAAAGTTGCAAGACCCCGACACTTCTAGACACTTCAGTCACTTCCAGGTATCCGACGCCGTCTTCAACATTGGCCGCCCATTTCCCCCCACGCACATGCTTTTCACCAATTTCGCTCAATTTCCGAAATCACAAACAAAATAATAATAGAAAAAAGAACACCAGCTCCATAGAGACGGAGAGCAACCGATGAAATACATTTTTTTCTCTGGGTCCATATTCACCTTCCCCCCCCCCTTTGGTGATATCGGGTGGTTCCTTTTTTTCTTATAATATTCATCATCCACTTCTGGAGGCTTGCCAATGCACAACCAAGTGAGACCAAAAGGAAAAAAACGACCCAAGATGGATTAACTCTTTCCCGCCAAAACAACCAAAGCATAAATGTCAACATAATCATGTGTTAATCAATATTAGCTTCCCGATCTATTTAATGTCACGATCTACTTTTTGAAAGGGTAAAGAAACTAGACTTTCCCTTTTCAATGTCTGATACACTTTAATTATCTCATCTCCCATCTACCCTACTTCTGTTTTTGTTTTGGGGAGGAGCGCTGTCTGTATTTTGGTTTTTTTATTTTTTGTTTTCCTTTTCTTCTCCCTAAACCACCCCCCCACTACCCCCCATTTTACTAGTACCTTATCCCAAAGGTCTCCATATAAACAATGCTGCACAAAAACCAACCAGCAACCAAAAAAAAATCATACATGCTTGTTCATATCGATGGCATACCCGATATCGCACTTTGATCGCTTTGAGGAGTATTAGTCATGTTGAGAAGAAAAAAAAAGACGAGAAAATCCAACCTGTTTGCAAGCTTACGGATGACAATGAATCCAATGTGGAATGAGTCACCTTGCGTTTCTTCTAATGCTGCTTTGCCTTTTTAGCTGATGCCGATGTTTCGGAAACGCTTATGTCAGTGCACTAGGCTGCTTTTTTCATAACGGGCTAGAAACTCCTTTTTTTTTCTTATTGCTTGACACATTTTTTAAACGTAATCTTATGATGGAGCCAAGAAATAAACTTAAAATCCTGCATAGCGAAAAACTTTTTTTTTGTCTTTCTTTATTTTCATATGGTGTTCATAACAATTTTTTTCAAAAGAAAAAAAAAAGTTGATAATGCGTGGATTAGCGGTTGTTATTTGATCCCGTCAGTTTGGCCACCGTAAACACGGTCAGAATCACAACACCTAAAAAGCTGATGGATGCAGGAAGAAGGTATTCTTTGGGTATAGGCAGATTATAATCGTCCTTTTTCTCTCTTCGAGGTTTCTCTTTGGGTACTGATCGTCCTTTACTGTGTTCATCCACAAAAGAGGCTTCGTGTGGATGGTTTTCTGACGCCAACGGCATTTCGTGAGACGAAACTTGGTTTTTCTTTAGGATTGTTTCGTCCGTTTCGGGTTCCATCGCCGTGGCTGGCGACACAGAAATCGTTGGCTGCCCGGCAGGCACATCAAAGGCCGCCGTCGAGTTGATCATTGGTGACACCCCAGCGTCGGCAGCGGCAGCAGCTTTGCTTGATTCCGTAAGTGCATCATGAACAAACAAGCGAACGCGATCATGCCCCAATTTGCGTGCTAGATGGACCGAATCCACCATATCCGCATCGCACGTCATAAGCACTTTGTCATCCTCGTCGTCCAAGTAAGAAATGCTCAACCAGTCTTCCTCTTCTTCTCCCGTCTCCCTTGCTACAGTAACATACGATTGCGACAACGACAGGTGTTCCGCCATGATCTTTTGTCGAATGATATCGCGCAGAGCTGCAAAATTGTTGATCTCGGAACGAACGCGGTGTGTCTTGTTGGCATACTTGAATTTGAAAGCAAAGGTACCGTGAACGTGCGATGACACCGTGGACCGCATATCTTCGTTGACCACGGAAGCGCTGTCGCCCGGGGTGATCTCTGGATACCCTAAACCGGTGTAGGTTGGTGCGTGACCTGGAAGCGAAGGAGACAACATACGATCCGGTTGCGGGGTCGACGAAGGCGATTGAAACATGTGTGAGTTGGCCGCTTGCGAAAGTGAGTCCGAAATGGCGGATTCCGTCTCTGTATGATCTCCAGCAGCAATACTATTCCAAAATTTGCTGCTTCCGTCATTTCCGTTGCCTTCCATCGAGTTGATCTATATTCATTCAAATCCATCATACCATCAGTTAATCTGTCACAGGTCCATTTTCATTTTTTTTTCTCCAGTCACCTGTTCCAGTGTAGCATAAGTCAACCGCAGCACGTCAATCAGTCCGACAATGTTCTTATCTTCATCAACCACCGGAAGATTTAAATAGTGACCATCTGCACCATACCAAGAGACATAAAAAGAGATAAAGAAAAAGTTATGTTACAGAAAAAAAAAGTAGGGTTGAGCATGGGTCATGGCTGCCATCAGAAAATCTCTTTTTGGTTGCCGTTGTTTTTGTTTTGTTGTTGTTGTTGTGGTTGTTCCTTATAAAGTAGGCTTACCATGCATTTTTTTCAGCCCATCCAAAATACTGGTATTCGGTGTTGCCGTGTCTGGATGCGGAGTCATCACTCGAACCACCGAGCAGTTGTCTGGAGCCAGCCCAGCTGCAATCACACGTAACACAATGTCCTTGCTCTATACTCACCAGAAGCTTAATTTTTTTTTTCGGCATGCACACTGCGCAGCAAAACATTATCTTTTTTTTTTTTGCGATCTTACCGTGAAGATACCGGCCAGACCACCATGGTCCATCACGAGTACCGCCGTAGTATGGTGTTCCTTCATCAGTTTAGCCACTTCTCGTACTTGAGCTTTCACGGGAACTTGCACCGGTGCAGCATGGTCCAGGACCATGGTCAAATCAGGGCACGACATTTTATCGCGCAATGCCTCCATGTATTGCACAAACTGAACAGGACTATTGACCCATTCGCGTTCCACGCCTTCCAACGCATCGTACAGTTTGCGAGACGATCCATATGCTCGTTCCATTTTGTTCAAAGCCTCGTACAAACATTTGGTGATGTCCAATAATCCAAAAATGTCGCCTTCCTCGTTACATACAGGCTATAAAATCACAAGAGATAAAATAGACATGATGTGAGAAGGACGAACCACCAAAAAAAGAAAAAAAAAAGTTAAAAAACCGAGATAAAATGAAAAAGCGGTTGGGGAGTGTTCTCAATTACCAAGTGACGGAACCCACGGGACACCATCAGATTCAACGCATCGTGTGCCGATGTGTCTGCAGTGACACACATCGGACCTCTTGTCATGATGTCGGATACTGCAGTGGCTCTGTGCAATCCATGTATCAAAATATTTGCATAATCCAGACTTTCCATTTGAATTATTATTATTTTTATCATTGTACCTTGCATCCATTTCAGCCGCCACCACACGGTAGGCTAAATCCTTGGCCTATAATAATCCAAAATGAACAATCATGCACATTTCATTTTACTTTTTCCTGGGCTTTTTTTTTTTCTCTCTTTCTTTTGGTCTTTCGGTTTTTTTTTTTTATCTTCTTGTCTCCCTTATTAGTTACGGTGTCTGAATGGCTTACCGTAAAGATACCACTCAAATGCTCTTCATCATCCACTACGAGGACACAATCGCTACGTTTAGCCGCCATTAATTGGGCGGCTTCAATCACCAGGATATTCTCCCTGACTGTCAATGCTTGCGCGGGACGCAACGCAGATACAGTTCCCGCCACTTTCTTGGGTTGCCGAATACGGGTCGACCCACCTCGCTTCTTGGATAACCCTTGCTCAATTTTTTTACGAATAGCCTTTCAAACAACGGGTGAGCATTGCCATATAAATGACGTGAATCGTTTTTCCCTTTTTCTTGTGCATGTTTACCTCATCCCGCTTGGATTGTCGCTGACGACTTGACACCGACAGCAAGTCGGAATCCGGTGTAGCTGAGCTAAGATTCGCACTGGTGGAAGACGTCGGTCGCCCGGACCGTTTGGTGTGTGTGGAAACTACGGACATAAATCGTCTGTATACAAGATTAAGGTTGATAAACTGAAAGCCGGCAAAGAATAAAAAAAGAGTTACGCTTCGCTCAGGGTGCACAGAACCGGAAAAAGATGAGTCGAATGCGGGGATTTAAAAAGCGCAATAAGAGGCGCCAATTTTGAACATCTCTCTTTTTTTTTTTTTGCTTTATTGTATTCACAATTTTGCATCACATGAAAAAAAAAAGTCGCCTGATCTACGCCCCTCCACAAAGTACCATCACATCACCTCGGCGTCGTTTATCATCGTGAAAATGGGTATTGAAGAAACGTTGACAGATGTGATAATGACCGTCATCCAGTATTTGTTTCACTTCCGGATCATGCAGCAAGTTCTCAAACACCACCAAATGCGTAGGCCACGGCCGCGTAAGCTGGCTAAGGAAACGGGCCGGATTCGCATAGAACTGGTCAGCTTCATCCACATAGTTTGGATCATGTGTGAGAGGCGGCTCACACGTTAAAAACCACATATCGACCTTGGGATTGTGTACAATGGACTGCCATGGCGTGGAATGACACGGCATAAGCACGCCTACTAAGGGCGGTTGCTGTTGCTTGATCCAAACCATCACATCCATTACCCCGCGCTGGTGCCATAAATTGAGATAGATTCCCATCGGGAACTGGGTGAATATCAAACCGAAAATAATTGACTTTTTGTAACCTTGCAATTGGGACAACCCGTACGCGGCAAAAATCAAGAGCAAGGGGAGAATCGGGAAAACAAAGCGGAATTCCTTATGAGACAACAGGCTGTACACTAGTAAAATCCATGCCACCAGCTGCCCATACAGCTTGGCTTGCCTCCGATGCTCGGACTGGGTCAACTTGTAATAGCCATACATCATGACAGGAAGAAAAGTCGTCGCCATCACGGGAACACCTTGACTGAAATACCAATGCCACGGATGGGTACCGTAAAACAAGGAAATCGACGCTACCACATTGACCTGAAAGAAACGAAGGGGAGCCACCACGGGGTCACTTAAAATCGCTCTCCAGTGCCCATTATAAATTCGGGTATCTAAAAGAATCACGCAAACTAATGACACGATACTGTGGCAGTTGAGGGTCATTATCGCAGATTCCAAACAGAAAGCAACCCATATCTTACCCAATCATGGCGGTCTGAAATAGAATCGCCCATCGCTTTTGTGGACTATTGATCAGCAATTGTAAGCCGAGAAACACCCATATCAATACGTTGGTGGGTCGTAGAATACATGCCACGGAGGCCAAACCAAGTGCGATTCGATAGTGTCTATCCATGCATTTAGATCGAGACCGGAATATTCCTGATACACCAGAGTGTATTTCACGGTTTTCACTCTAACCTTTGCCACCGTCGATCGAGGGAGATATCTACCAGGCCAGGGAAAGGCCAGTAATTTAACGCCAAGACAGTGAATACGGTTTCCATGGCATTGGATAGCGTTCTCGCCGCCATGAAAAAGTTGAACCACGAACAAAGCGTGGCAAATAACTTGGGTGCCAACTGCACAGTTAGATACGGTTGAAACGTTTTTGTGCTCGAACAAACTTACAATATAAGGGGCAATATTGTTTTCAATGGTTCTTTTGGCTAAAGCATAGGTCGCATAATCGGCTACCGCAGCGAGACAAGCTTGAAAATAGCGAGGAGCGAGGATCTATGTGACGAAAGCATAAAAATCGTGCGGTGATCGATGCCTTTGATGTCTCCTTACCAATAAATTTGTGTCATCTAAACCTAGCATTGCCACAAGCTTGTAAATGGCTGCAAACACCAGTGGGTGGGCATAGCTGCGTATTTTCTCTCGCCATTCCCACGTGACATAACCATATGTGCGGCAGGTTAAGGATAGAAAATAGAGAAGACAAGTAAAAACTGAGTAGACAGCGATAAAAACACATTAAAAGGATATCCAAAGACCATGCGATGGGCCACCTCTTGGGCCTGCCAGTACTCGTCCGGGTTATCGTAGGTTCTTGTCAGCGCTGCATTGATCAATCGAAAGACCAAGCATACAGTAAAAACAAAGAGTCGCGATGATCGTCCCGATCGTTGTTCTGCCAAGGCACTGACGTCTTGTTTTTTCTCTTGGACCGGGTTATTGCGCGATTTGCCACTTGTCCGATGGCGCAAGGCAGCTACATTGTCTGTCATGATGGACACTGAAAAGCACCCGAATTCTATCGAATACAGAGGTGAGGATGACTATCCAATGAAAAAGACCGCGTACTGATTTGCTTGCAGGTCGCGGCTCTTGAAAAATCCACGCTGGCCGTTTTCCGGGCTTTCAATCCTGCTGTGTCATTGGCCTTATGCGCCTGTTTTTATCTGTAGCCTCTCCTTTATGCACTTTCCAAAATGATTCTTGAGACCTTTGACACCCATCGTTCTTTCTTAGATACAAATTATTATTTCCATTTGATGGCACACTGACTTTTTCACCAACGCCTGCAACGAAAAAGTAATTCCACAGTTAAAGATGAACGCCTCCTACAAGAGAATTATAATTCTCACATATCTCATGCCGCCTTCAAGATAAGTTCATAGGATAGATTCAATGAGCGTAATTTTGCTGTCAGCGCGGTCCTGAGTTAATTTACACACTAAAAGAGTTCTTTGAATCAGATAATGCTATGCCAACTCAATTGACGTACTCAACACTTGAATTCATACAACACATTTAATCTGTTTAAGCAGTGACACTGTGAATGGAAAGAATTGTCTAATTGGTAAAATATTGGGAGCAAGCGCCTGCAGAATGTTGCCGCAGCTGCTCGCCAATAGAGCAAAAACCGAAATGAACGGGTCACGTGATGACTTTCAGAAAGAGCGAAACAGAAATAATTTCAGCAAAAAGGCCCAAAAAGTTTTGACTCTCTTCGTTTCACTGAACGCATTTACAGTTGCACCATGGTCAAGTCGAGCATTGTCGTCCCTCCGCAAGCTACCATTCCATCAGACGAGCGTAAACGACCTTTGGATCAACCGTCATCGGGCGAAGGATCGTCTTCCGCTCCTAACGAAGACGGAGAGGTTCGAGATCTATCATCCATTGACACAATATAGTTTTGCTCACCCATCTTTTTGCTTTTTCTGCAGGCGAAACGCCCACGATTAGATCTTAGTGCAGCCGGTAAAAAACGTGGTCAGCGGTTATTTGGTGTTCTGCTTGGTACGCTCAATAAATTCAAAGACGACAATGAACAAATGTCAGAAACAGTAAGTGGTTTGGTTATAGGTCCTGTGCCTTGCTGTGAGAAAGTGGCATTGACTTCGATTGAAACTTGACTGTAGGAAAAAAGACGACAGGAGATTAACCAAAAGTTACGGGAGAGATTGGCTCAAGAAAAAGAAGAGACAGCAAAGAGACTACAAGCAGAGCGTGAAGCAAAAGAGGTCGAAAAGCGAAGGTTACTGAAACAGCGTGAAGAAGAAAGAGTAATTATTTTCATGTTCCACTTGCTTTTGTCTTGTTCACTGCATCACTCACGCCTATTTTTCTATCTTTTTCTTTATTTAGGAATTTAAGGCTTTATTACAAAAGGAACACCTTGCCAATTTTATTCAGACTAGAGCCACACCATCATTATGTTACAGACCCAATGAAATCCCTGTGAAGTTGCTCCGGATCATTGATCAGCAAGTCGAGGACGCGCGAAAGGAACGGGTTGCTTTTGAGGAACGTCGACAACAGCGAAGGAACTCGGAAGCGGAGCCGTCAACGTTGGATTCAGCGGAAGTGGACACTGATACAACACCTGCAGAGACAAGCGAGGAAAAGAAGCCAAGTGATGTTAGTTCAACCGGTGCCCAAGAAGAACGGTGAACTATTCACTAGAAGCATCGTTAGTGGATGAAGAAAATAAAACGAATTAAAAAAAGTGATGAAAACAGGGCTTATTTCATTCCGTTATTTCAACGGAATTGGGTGCTGTGTTGCGGATAGCGAGAAACGGCATATACTGGAGAACCGACGGCAGAGAAACCGTGGGCTCTTTCCAACTTGCCCATCCTATGCATACATGCGGAGTCCATGGTTTCTTGAAAAATTGGGCATGACTGTACAAAATACACTATAAGCATTGGGCGAAATCCTTTCATTCATCATTTTGCCACAGACTCAAAAGTTTATGCTGCTCCCAGAAAATAAATGCGTACACCGCATTAATTCAATGATGAAAAGATGTTTTATAGATGTACTGGGAGTGATATAAAAATACACTGAAAATTCAGGGCGGTATTGCAATGAAAGCCACAATGATCGGTACATTCAGGGCACACTGAAATGCACCGAGTTCAGCACGGAATCCTGAAGGTGCTTGATTTCTCAAATGATGAGGCATTCATTTTTATCCATACATCAATCTTTGATACTCAATAAACGGATGCCACATGGCTGTTATCGTTAGTAACGATTTAGTTGATTCGCAGCAGCTGCAACCTCATAATGATGAATAGCAGCCTGAAGAGGCCTCAATTGTTATCGTGATCATTTTGCACTTTATAAAGAAAGAGCGGATCTATAGGGTAATGAATGGATATCCATATTCACATGCATACCGGGCGGTTCTTTTCTTTTTTTTTTTCGGTTGTTCGTTCGTGCGACTGTTTTTTTTTGTACAAAATGTTACATCCGAATTTATATATTTTAGTGAAGCATGTGCTTATTTATAAGAGTAGATACCGCGACCACTCTTCTTGCCTAACCAGCCGGCATCAACAAACTTTTGCAAGAGAACACAGGGACGGTACTTGGAGTCACCGGTGTTTTCGTAAAGAACCTTCATAATGGCAAGACAGGTATCCAGACCAATAAAGTCGGCCAATGTCAAAGGTCCCATGGGCATGTTCGTACCCAGTTTCATGGTGGTGTCAATATCCTCCGCGCTGGCGAATTCCTAAGATAAAAATTCCATTAGCCAACCTCATCATCGCATTGTCAAGTCGAGGTCAAGCGGCCTTCAACACTTACACTCTCAAGAAGCATGACAGCTTCGTTGATGTAAGGCATCAACAATCGGTTAGCAACAAAGCCGGGAATATCCTTGACAACAGTGCAGGTCTTGCCCATGGCTTCGGCCAATGTACGTGTTTGATCCAACACGGCAGTGCTGGTTTGAAGACCGGGAATGATTTCCACGAGCTTCATCACGGGCACGGGGTTCATGAAATGCATACCGATGACCTATCATGTGCAAAACGCGGGTCAAAAACTCTACAACGTTCTGCTCATTTTCAGTTGCTTGTGGCAAAGTACCTGATCGGCTTTCTTGGTAGCGGCGGCAATCTTGGTGATGCTGATACTGCTTGTGTTGGAAGCAAGAATAGCATCGGATTTACAAATCGAGTCCAAATCCCGGAAGATGGCGGTCTTAATGTTCAAGTTCTCGGAGGCGGCTTCGATAATAAAGTCGACATCGGACAAGCCAGTGAGCGAATTAGTCGTGGAGACGAGTTCACGCGTCACTTGGGCATGTTCGGCCGTGATCTTGTTCTTGCCAACATCCTTTTCCAACAGTTTATCTACACAAAGGAGAATCAACAGGCATCATTATTTTTGCTCGGTGATTTTATTCCCAGAGAGAACCACTTACTCATGAATTGGATGCCCTTATCGGTTTGATCCTTGTTGATATCCATCAAAACGACGGGCAATCGGGTGACGTTGGCCGCAACATACGCGATACCCAGACCCATTTGTCCGGATCCCACCACACCAATACGCTTGATGTGATCAATGTTCACCTTTTGTAACCGAGTGGTGAGAAAGAAAAAAAATTGCAACAGTCAAACAAGGCTACGCCAAAAGAAACATACCTTGCTTCGAGGTGCAGAAGAGGACAAACCACGAGCTTGTACCTGGTGACAGGTTAGCACAATTCAGCAGTTGTGTTTCACATGACCGTTTTCCATGCTGAACCTACTTTAAAGGTTTGGAAGGCAATGGCGCGAGTGGCGGCAACAGTGGCAAGCATCTTTCTGAATGACTAAAGAGAAAAGGGAAAAACCCAGAAACTCAATGCTTCATTTCATGTTCATAACCAGCTGTACGTGAAAATCACGTGCTCGTGAGAAACAGAGGACAAATTGAATTCGTTCTTCCTTTTTATTCCCAGAAAAAAAGAAATTGAAAGGGATTTCTATCGTTTAACGTTCCCCAGCCTGACTGCTCTTCTTAAAAACAAAACTAGCTAAATACTGAAGAGACTCTTATTTTTTTTCATTTTCCTTTTTTTTTATATTGAAAGCGGGGGAGCAAGCAGCGAACCGCTCATTCCCCCAAAGCAAAAATTGTGGTCTCGAGACACCCGAAGGTGTTCGCAGCGAAGCCAACTGTCGCTGTGCAATGACAGCCAACTAAGCTGTGCACTCGGCCTCCTTGATCACCGAATGCACGACCCAGGTAAGTATGAGTTGCAATTGAACGGGCAGCTCGTCTTTTTATAGTTTTTGGGCGCTTTCAAAAGCAGTCATTTCTGTGACGAGTTGGGCACATTATTCTGTACTCCGATAAACGGGCACTGAAATAACCGAGAACAGCTGAGTCAGGGGCACTGCTTCATTGGGATGAATGGACTGCTTTTCAAATCACCTCATCATTCTCTCATTTTTTTTTCTCATTGCTGAGCCCCAATAGGAATGGACTCTAATCTTCTTTTGGTGGATAGGATGATGCTAAAGAAGATATGCAAAACAAATAAAAATAAAAAATGCATCGATGAAATAAGTGGACCATAATACAAGCTTTTAAAACATTAAATATCTTTTTGCAGTCAGATAATGGAATGACGTACGCGAAATATCCGTCAATTTAATTGCAAACAGTCTAAAACAATGTATTCTTCTCATTCATCTTTGGTTAGATGGAGTAAAATAAAAGAATGATACCAGCCAACTGCCGAAAAAAGGGTCAAACCGCCAAGACCGAAAAAAAGTTGATGTTTAGACTGTTTGGCTTGGCGTGTGCCTGTGCCTGTGCGAGTAAAAAAATCTGCAGACTCTGGTACACTAATGATTTCGCTCGCTTCACCCTACTCGCCGACTAGCGTGATGTCCGGAGAAGACAGGAAACAAGACCTTTCTGAAGATTGGCTACTAACCAAAATGTGACTCCTTAAACGACATCGCAGGCTTAACAAAAGCGAAAATGACCGACTGCAAATGGTAGACTTGCGAGGAAAAAACAGAATACTTGAAGTGGTTATTTTCGAAATTTGTGTAGATTTTGGCAACTGACACCAACAGACGTATGAATTTTTTTAAATGCCAAGGCAAGTTATACAGTTTAGTAAATGAAGATGATGTATTGAACCAATTTCAATGCCCTTGCTCGTCGAGGAAGAGAGACATCTCCTCCGATATAATGTTATGTACAGCGTTATCGGTGATCATTTGATTTGTCATTGTGCATTGATGCTAATATATAGTATTTTATTTATAAATTTCATTTTGATGCGCATATCATTTGGTGTAAACAATACACATAATATGCATTATTGCGATTCAAAGGCAAAAAAAACAGTGTTCCATGTTCCATGTGCATAGTGATTTTTCTTTTTGCCGCAAACAATTCGAAATTCGCGGTTTTCAAACTCCCTCACACAGGAACAAACATACGCATTGATGCGTTTTTCTTTTTTCGACCACCCAACGTCTTTGATGCATAACAGTTTTGTCTTTGAAAGGTATACGAGACCATTATACTTCGAGGGTTTGAAGGATGTCCATGTCAGCAGTGCAATGATGAGGGTGAAAAATGTCATCAGCGGTCTGTGAAGTAAGAATATTGTTCTCCTCAATCGTCTCAAAACATAGGACCAAATCGAGTGACTGTCGAAAAATGTGACACAGCGATCGCAAATCCGCTCTCCCACCTTTTTGTGAATCTGAAACGGCATGACTTCTGCAACTGTTGGCCTTTCATTTCGACGTGTCTGCAAATTCATGCTAGAGTTTAATCGTTTACTTCTGTGAAGTGATCCCTCCCTATATATCCTTTGATACCAATCTGAATGTCTTCATCATCAGAGAAGCCATCTACACCTACTGTTCCTCAGATAATCTTGACAGAGGTACTATCCTCCAACCATCACCATGAATCAGAGCATGCAACTCCGAATTCCCCTGAATCCTTGTCCCCCACACATTTTCGATCGTCTTCGTCAGCATCGTCTGGTTTTCGGTGGAGTCCAGCCTCATTGTCTCCAGTAGCTCCCGTGCCCGCTGCAACCAATCCAGCGCCTTTACCACTCACAAGGGACCTGCTGCAAAAGAAAAATAAATTGGACAATCTATTGCCGAATCGACCACCGTTTTTTAATTCCACTCTTTCTGCTGTGGATGAACGAGTAACGGCCGGTCTTGGCATCTCCACCACATCTCATCTTCGTCCTTCGCTGTCCCCGGGTTATCCAACATCGTCTCTCTCGGATACCGGTCTACGTTCTCGACGCCATTCGGCTCAGTTGGAAGCGATCGACAAATCCAAACTGAATTCACCACGAACGAGCGACTTGTCTCCATTCTCTTGGACTTACGAAGCCGACTTGCCGAAATCTCCTTCAGGGTTGTCGTTCAATGATCTAAAACTGACATCACGCACCTCGTCGTTGACATCCGTCACCGGGTCCTCCGTTCGAAAGAGCGAGTCCATGCGAGCCTATGATACCCGAACCCATCATTACATGCGAACACATCCTTCTCCATTGAGACTGAACCGCCATCACATGCCTACGATATCGCACATGTCAGAAATGTCTCAGCGACGACGAAAACATCGACTGGTCGAAATACTGTTTGGCGGAGCCCGACGAGTCATCCATTCTCGAGTGTCGGAAACCAAAGCGTTGGCAAAATTGGACAATGTTGATTTGATTCATTGTTTAACAACCGATCCAGGCCAATTATCCGATACGACGCCACCTTACTCAGCACCACCTGAACCACCCTCCAAACTCAATTCGTCGCCCAAAGCGAGTATGGTGAGCGACAAGCAAGGCGCCATTGTTTTGTCCAAAGATGGCAATACCGATCAACATGATCTGGTCTACCGCTCAGAAAAGAACGAGGCTGTGCCTCTTTCAGCCGGGGCCTCATCGTCCACTCTCCACCGACAACTGGATCGGATTCGATCTGCACCGGCTCCCTTGTACCGCCTGGAAGGTCGTTCCTTGCACATCTTTTCCCCCACCAATCCCTTGCGCTGCATTGCATGGAAGTTTATCAGATCAAGGTAAAGATTTTGCCGCCATGTTTATTTAGACCCGCGGCTCGGTGATTGAAATTTTGGGTTTTTGTTTTTTGTTTCATGTTAGTTATATTGAATCCTGGATGTTGATCCTCCTGCTACTGCAATGGTTTGTGCTTGCTTGCGTCCCCATCCTCAGAAATACAGAGAAAACCGTATTTGGGGCTCATTGGTCCCATTACATTATATTCGCTATTCAAATCGTCTTTACGTAAGGCCCGATCCGGGGTTATGGTGTCAAAAAAAACAACGTCCGTGCAGCTACTGACCTTGTGATTTCAGCATAGAAATGATCTGCAAAATTGTCGCCTACGGACTCATTATACCTCCCGATGTTGATAAACACGCTGTACATATCATCTTTGAGCCCGTGGGTCGACTCATCCGTAAAACCTTTTATTGCACATCCGAATTGACCGAAGATTCATCTCCACCTCCCACAAGTTTCCCCGTAAAAAAATCACACAACCGAAATCACAAAGCTTATCTCAACAGTTTCGGAAATGCCATGGATTGTGTCTCCATTATTTCCTACTGGATCGACTTTGCGCTCATGGTCCACCAATACCCCTATTGCTCCCTATTCAAAGCCCTAGCTGCATTACGTCCCTTACGATTACTGTGTATATTTCCCGGTACAGCCGTAAGTATTAATTTTCCTTTTCGGTTGTATTATGTGCCAAAATGTCTCATCCATCCACGACTGTGGTTGTTCTCCGTTGTTAGGTTATTCTTCGATCTTTGGAAACGGGATGGCAGTTGTTACTCGATGTCTCTGGGTTCATCTTTTTCTTTATGCTGTTGTTTGCCCTGGCTGGTTTGATTACTTTTCAGGGTGTTTTCTCTCGGCGATGTTACCAGTTGATCCCGGGAAATGAACGTAAGTGGACCTGTGAAATGCAGTGTGACTTCAGCCAACTGATCATGTTAAATATCGTATACAGCCGTTCTGGTGCAACCGGCGCAGTATTGCTCGGGCTATTACAATGGAACCGATGTGTTTGGACCGTACAATCCGACGCTCGATGAATACGGCTATGCCGGTTATCATGGCCATCTTTGCTCGATCGGACAAATTTGTATGGAAGTGTCGTCCAACAATCCGTCTTATGGGTTCCTCAATTTCGATACCATCTTCTCGGCTTTTTTAGCCGTGTATACCTTTGTGTCCCTGGAATACTGGACCGATTTGATGTATCAAACCCAGGATGCTGATTCCACTACCGCCGCACTATACTATTGCCTGGGTGTTTATGTCATTGCTTTTGTACTGATTTTTCTCATTTTTGGTAAGTTCGCCAAAGGCAAATTCTGGACGTTGCGCGTCATGGTTGCGCGGTTTTTTCTTTTCCTAATTATCTAACGTCTGTGCAATTTGTAGCTGTCATTACATCGGCATTTGCGAAAGCACGTGCTGAAAGTTCGCACAGTGCATTCATTGCTAAACGGAAACGTCGCGCCTTGTTGCGCACCGCAGAAAAATTGGACGATCAGGAAGAACCCGTGTGGATGTACGAAGACCCGTTGATGGACTACCCGCTTGGGTTCAACCGACTACGATTCAAGCGCAAAATCGTGGCTTTGGTGAAGAGTCGAGAATTTTTTTACTTTGGAGGATTCTTGGTCTTTTTTGATATGGTCTTCATGTGTATACGTTCCGCGTATGCCAGTGAAGACATTCTGGAACTTATAGGTGAGGCTTCAAAATAGTGATTCGGATCTATTTGAAAACGTACTCACATGAAACAATAGACAATGCCGAAACCGCATTTACATTTGTATTTGCCATTGAAATTTTGCTGCGGATGATCGGTACCACGACATGGATCCAATTCTGGTCCGTGGGCAGAAACAAGTTTGACCTGTTCCTTGTGATCGCAACATGCATTATCCAATTACCAATGATCCAAGATTCGCCTTCGTACAAATATCTGACCATTTTTCAAGTGGCACGTCTTTACCGCTTGTTCATCTGCATTCCGCGAGTCCAACGCTTACTGGTGAGTGTAGATGATGGCAGTTACCAAGAGTACGATTAGGCTTTACGCTAATGATTGGAATACAGTATGCGGCTCTTGGCACGGGTGAGAGTTTTATCAACGTCCTCATCTTCTTGGTTCTGTCCACCGCACTTTGTTCGCCCATCTTTATGCAAATGTTTGGTGGTGATTTTGTTGACTTTATCGAACCCAATGCTACAGAAATGCGATTCGATACATTTTGGCAGTCCTTCCTGACTCTTATTGTGGTATGTTTAGATTTCGTGCAACTCTTTTGAGGATGGTCCAACTCAATGTCATTGCTTTTTTTCAGCTTTATACCAGTGAAACATGGACTGTAAGTGCAGGAATGGAAGTAGATGATAGTGTCGACTAATGGATAAATGTACTTTTGTTTGATAGGACGTCCTTTATAATTCCATGAAAAGCCAACCTCATGCAGGCGCCATCTATTCGGCAATTTTTCTCTGCTTTTATTTCGCCTTTGGTCGTTGTAAGTGTGGATGTAACATTCGTCATCCAATGCCTTTTATTCATATATTTTTTTGCTTAGACATCATGTCTGGGCTGTACATTGCTGTGATTCTGGAAAATTTCGAATTGGAAGATGAGTTTATCAAGGACTATCAAATCAAACGATTTATCCGACGACGAATGATTAAGACTTCCGATACCGCAGAAACCATTTTCAGCAGGTGGGTGCCGCAGTTCCTGTGAAAATTTGACAGGCAGAGGACACGCACGCTAAATCCAAGCTTATGATACTTTGTAGAATATTTGGTTCGCTTTACGACAATAAGCCCGATGAAAAGCAAGTGCACGTACATAAACTACCGGACAATCTCACCGCTTCCATTACCAAGGCGTCCATGATCGATATCCTGACAGATCATTCAGAAAAGAAAAAGGTGCCGCATGTCTTTATCAGTCCTCCCCGACGAAAAGTGACCAAACTTTTTGGTAGCTTGATGTTCCCCACTGAAAAAGAAGAACTAAAAACGAAACTGCGAGTGTAAGTCAACTGGGTGTTGATGGTACCAAAAATGGGTTTCAACGATTGACTTTTTCTTTGCAGGAATGCGCGTTTGATTGATCGTTTGGCTGAAAAGGATGACGATCCAGTGGAGGATTACGAATTGATTGTCGCCGAAGAAAACCGCAATGCTCAGATGGAGGATGTTAATAATGCAAAGTCGCTCTTCTTTTTTTCTCCTCGCAGCCGAATTCGATACTGGTGTAAAATCATCTCTGGATCCAGCGCAGACGGAAAATCGGAACGACGCAATATTTTCAATTGGTTCATCATGGCTTGCGTTCTCCTGAGTATTTTCATGGTCATCTTGGACGAACCATCGACGAGAAAAATGCGTGATGGCATATTGCCGCAGTCGACGTTTCACACCATCGATATCACGCTCGACGGCATTTTTATTGTGGAAATTCTTATTCGAGTGATTGCCGACGGACTCCTTCTTCCTCCGGGTGCCTATCTTCGGAATCCGTGGAATCAGCTGGATATTTGTGTCGTGATCCTGAATGTTGGCACGGTGTTTGCCGGTAGCGAACAAACCCCGCGCGCCCTCAGCACGGTGCGTAGTTTGCGTATCCTTCGTTTGATCCGTTACTTTAGTAGCGTCAAGGATGTGTTTATCGATATTGTGCATGCGTTCCCGCTGATGTTGGATGCGTTACTGTTGACCTTTCTAATGCTGATCCCTTTCTCGGTCTATGGTGTGAATATTTTCGGTGGACGGTTCTGGCTTTGCAATGACGAGAGTGTCAGTGGCCGATCCACATGCGTAGGCGAATATCTCCATGATATCAGCTCGGACGATGACATGTCCGTAAATATTCTTGTGCCAAGAGCGTGGCAAAACCCCGAAGTAAACTTTTACTCGTACGACACGTTTGGATTATCACTACTGCAGTTATTCACATTGACTTCCACCGAAGGCTGGGTAAAACACTTTGAACTTAAAAACAATAACATATGAATTAGAACTAACAGGACTTTCTAGGTGGATTCCATGTTCAGCTCCATGAGTACGCCTACCGAGCCGGATGCCCAACCTCGCTTTGACTGGAATTCCGCCATGATCTATCATTCCATCTTTTACGTCATTTTCATGATCGTATCTCACGGAACCGTTCAACTGTTTATTGGTGTAGGTTACACTATCTTGCTGCGAGGAAATGCTGTGATCCATAGGCTAACGGGCGTATCTGTCCATCGATTAGGTTATCATTGAAAAGTTCAAGCAGAGAAATGGAATTGCGACACTGACGACCGGGCAGCGACAGTATGCCGACTTGCAACGGCAGTTGGCCCAGATGAAACCCACCACGAAAAGTTTTCGACCCAAATCAAAGATCCGCGCATGGTGCTATGATCTTGTAGCCAAGAAACGCGGGGTCTTTAATAGGCTGATGATGGCGGCTGTGATCATTAATATAGGTAGGCGAGCTGCGGTTCTTATTTAATTATCGTGACCCCACTGACAGCTCCACAAAGGCATCATTGCAAGCGAGTTCCAGAATGAGCCTTCATGGCTAGAAGACTTTCAAGGTATCATTGAACATAACGCTCGCCTCCTGTGGCTGCTGAATACTGACTTGTTCGCGACAGAATATGCCTACATTGCATTTATTCTGATTTATATTGGCGAAGTCATCATTCGAATGCTAGGTTTTGGCTGGAAAAAGGTAAACCTTTTGAATTGATCGGTTGGAAAAAAAACTGCAAAGACATTCATTCGTTGAATAGTGGATCAAGTGCAAGTGGGATTGGTTCGACGGTTTCATCGCCAGCAGTGCACTACTTTTATTGCTGCTGAGATTTGCTATACCAGATGTGAGTTGGTCCCTTCAGGCGTTACGGAAGCGTAGGTTTTATTAACAGAAAAGATGCAGTTATGGACACTACGTGTCGAGCGGTATTTTCTCGTGTTGGCAGCTTTCCGATTAGGTCAAGGTCTTGATGCTTTGCAGACCCTGTACCACACAGTCGCGTAAGTAAACCAGCAAATATCTCTTTTTGAGCATGATGATTGATATGACTGTGGTTATTGTTGTTTTAAGCATGTCGATGCGTTCCATTGTTTCCGTCTCGGCTGTATTTATGCTTGTCATGTGTCTTTTTGCCATGATGTTCATGCAGTACTTTGGATTGACAAAGTATGGCGTCTATGGCACCGAACATTCCAATTTCCGTGACTATGGAAATGCTTTACTGCTGCTTGTTCGTATGACAACGGGTGAAGCCTGGGTTCGTATTCTATTCATCTATTGGCGACGAGTTTAACGTGACTGACCAACTCTTGTAGAACGCTGTCATGATGGATTACGCCGTACAAGCACCCAACTGCGTGCATTCAGACAATTATCTGGAGACTGATTGCGGGTCGCCTGGCTGGGCCTACTTTCTTTTCAACTTTTTTTATATCATTTGCACCCATATTTTTCTGAATTTATTCACTGCAGTAAGTATCTTTGGTATGATGGGGATGTAGGTTTCTCCAGCTTAAAATATGGGTTTGATAGGTTATTATAAGCAACTTTGAGTATGCGTACGAGACACGGTCTCGTTTCACGCTCATCACCAAGCAGGACCTGAGAAAGTGAGAGAATAAGCATTGCGAAAATTAAGGCGATGATTGTTGGCTCACAATCTTTTATTAGATTCAAATATGCTTGGGCCGAAGTAGATCCCAAGGCGACAGGTTTCATTCAGAAATCGGATATTGCCAAGTTTCTGCGAGTAAGTGATTGAAAATAGTTGTGTGCATGAATCGTCGAACTGACATAGGGCGCATTAAAGCATCTCAAGGGTCGTTTTCAGTTGAGAATCTATGACGATATCCACAGTATCCGGAATCTACAGAAACTAAGCAAAACAGGTGCGGTCACGAACCACCAGAGGGGTTCCCTCAATGAAAAATTCAGCATGACTGGATCCCATCCAAATACGGCCGATTTCTATTACAATTTCACCGAAGTCAACAAATGCTTGAGTTTCATGGACTCCAACGAGCTTCAGAAACGCCGGAAACTGTATAATCTCACATATATGGTAAGTGGCCGAAAACGACCGTGTAAGCCCCTTTTCTGGTCACTGAAGCATGGAATCTTTTTTTGACAGGAAATTCTGGATGCGGAAACTCCGAGAGGGATTGCATTTGCGGATGTCCTTACGATCATGACCTATCGGTTCCTGAATATTGAAGAATCCCTAACGTAAGCAATGTTTGGCATTTTGACGATTGGAATAATGGCTCACTTTCTTTGTGCTGTCATAGATTGGAGCCTTTGATCGAGCGATTAGGAAAAGTAGATCAGTTGAGCAAGCAATATGCGACGGAAAAAGCGTGCGGTGTTTTCTTGACACTGATCCAGCGAAAACATTATTTGCATCAACTGTGGCTGAAGAGAAACGAAGACGAGATCAACAAGCTGGGAGTCGGCAACCAAAGCTCACTTTTCCCGGACGGATCGCCTCGTCGTCTGTATGGACCGCCTACTTCCCCTTTTCTCGGTACAGCCGCAAGACGAAAAAATCAATCACCAGGTGAGTTGGGCATGGTGGCGTTTTGGATTTTCGTTCTGACAATTCGAAATACTAGTTCCACGAATCGTCATCGATGATGTATCGAGTGACGGTGACAGCAATAATGAACAAGCCATTTCCCCGCTGTCTCTGACAATACCAACCTCGCCGTTTTCCAACTTCTCAGTCGATTCCCCTTTGGGTGCGGATTCGTTGAGTGTGATGCCAGGGACTACCAGCCTTCCGTCTTCACCCATATCAGAGATGGGAGACAATAACAGTGGGGGTTTGTCTCCCAACTCCCCCTGGGCTGGCTTGAGCCCTATGACTCGACAACAATGGTTACTGGTCGATGGAAATTCCAATCTATCTTCTGATCAAGCAAATACCCTGATGAGTTCTCTGTATACCAATATGTGGTCAGGTAAGAAGCAAGAGGCTAAAATTGGGATTTCACAACGTCAATAACATGTCCTTTTTACCAGATATGTTGGAACACGAACAAACGTCCACACGATGATCGATCTCCTTGGAGCGCTATGACGCACGAGAAAACAAACTAATTTACATGTAATCATATATATCATCCATCTATTTGCTTTATTGAATATCTTAGAAGCCATTATTGTTCATCTATATTCGCATTCATGTATCTCCTGCCATCAAGTTATATAATATCTATTTGCATTCCTCTCACATGTTTGAAGATGCCGATGACGGAGACCTCCTTCACACAGCAGTTTTGGCCTCAGTAAAGGCCATCGATACATAATTAGGCACCGCTTACAAAGCTTTTGCATCACCTGTATCAAGGTATCACAGATTTATATAAGTCGAAGCCACTGTGTTAATGCAGCAAGCAGAGTCACTCGCCTTTATGACATCACTTTTGTGGTTTCGCTTCCCTTGACTGCCGCCTAATGTAAATTGAAACACCGACAGCTGAAAGTGCTTTTTTCTGAGACGAACGTGTCGTCTTGTCCTGGCTTTTTTAAACCGTCTTTATTGCTGCCTTCTGCAATTGCGTAGTTAAATCATGAGATTCGCCGTTTATGGCGGGATATCGGCTTCACTGGCCGTAGGTGTGGTTGTCTCGGCCATGTACCGACGCTCCAACTTTTATGCGGCTTGCATTTATCTGTCGAAATCGAGCGCTTGTATCATGGTAGCGTATTGCACCGTCAATTTTCCCTGTTGGCTCATTCCGTCCGTCTCACCGGCTTTGTTAATAATTAGATTCTGTTAAATATGGGACTGGTCATCTCTCTTCTTTTCGGAAAACTCATGCAACGCATTTTCTTTGGAGAGCTACGTGCCATCGAAGTAGAGGCAAGTCAATAAATTACCCTGATTAGGTCATAATTAGCACAGCGTTTTTCCGTCCATTCTAAAGCGACTCTTACAGCATTTGTATGAACGGTCCTGGTACGCGGTGACAGAGACTTGTCTTGCCATGACCATGTTTCGTGAAGAATTCGACTTGCCCTTCTTTATCCTTTTCACTGTACTTTTATTCCTCAAGATATTTCACTGGTTATGCGAGGACCGAGTCGAATTTGTACGTCGATCGCTGTTCAGAGTGATGCTGCTGCTGGAATCTAACGTGTGCATCTTCAATAGATGGATCAATCGCCATCGAATCAAGCGGCTTTCCACATCCGTATCATTAACCTGATGACGATCTTGCTTATTGTGGACAGCTTATTTGCCAGTCATGCCATCAATACAACAATGACCAACGGAGCTAATACGATGGTGATGTTTGGATTTGAGGTAAACTGACACTGGATAAAATAGGCGGTTTTGCATGGTTTTCTAATGCGATGATGATGCCAGTATACCATTTTGATCTGTGATATTCTTTCCACCATTGGCAAATATACCCTGAATGTGATTGATATGCGAAGCGACGAGACATGGGAAGAAAAGTCAATGTGGATATTTTATGTGGATTTGATCACAGGTTGGTACAAGCGATGTCGAGATTTTTCGAACATTGGTTTCATTTATCATTTGACGGTGCACAGATTTCTTCAAGATGATCACCTACATCATCTTCTTCCTCTATATTACCTTTTTCTACCAACTGCCGCTGCATATTATTCGTGATGTCTATGTCACTTGCCGTTCTTTCATCCAAAAATGTCGAGATTTGCGCCGATATCGTCGTGCTTTCCGTAACATGAACGAGCTTTATCCCAATGCTACTGTGGAAGATCTGGCACGTACCAGCGACAGCACTTGTATTATTTGCAGAGAAGAAATGCATGCAATTGACCCTACGGAGATTCCGGAAGAAAACCGCGGTGCAAGAAACCAGCAAATCCAGGATCAACCCAAAAAGCTTCCGTGCGGCCACATCTTCCACTTTCACTGTCTTCGTAGTTGGTTAGAGCGACAGCAAAGCTGTCCCACATGGTAAGTTATTTTTTTTGGGGGGATGCGTGTATGAAGAGTATAGTCGATACTGAGATCCTGCTTTTTCTTGTAATAGTCGCCGTTCGGTTTTATCCAACAGTAGGTATCAAGAATGATATCGTTCTCATGTATAAGCTTTCTCACAGTTCTGTATTAGATACACCGAGTCCTCCCCCTACTACACAACCTGCCCCCAACAATGGTAGTGCACAAGCAGCGACGAATGCCAATCCAACGTCCAACACCCATTCCTATCCCCACCACTCACCTTATCAGCAGCAACCGCACTCAACCAATTCAGCAACAGGAGCTGCAGGCGACTATTCAGCCTATGGAGCCAGCACATCTTCATCGTTTTACGGCGGTCCCACCGGGGAACAGTGGCAGAGTTTCACTTCTCAAGCCCCTTTTGCTGACGCCAACTTGAGCCGGACATCTTCTGCGACCTACTTGCCCGGAATCATTCCGCTGGTGCCCATGACCGCCAATCCTTCGCAACTGCAGGACGTACCTTCGTCGGCCGATATTGTTCCTGTGACTTTAACGGATGAGCAGTTGCAAAGCCTTTCCACCGTCACCCGTGATGCAATCGAACATCGCTTGCGTATCTTGGAGCAAGTACAAAACCAGATTTTCCAAACAATGCAGACGCTTGCCACGGTACTTAGCGTCGTGCCCGGTCCAGGGGTCGGTTCCAGCACAACTTCCGAAGGAGCCAACAGTGAAGCATCTGCCAAGAGGTCTGAAACAGTTGCAGGTCAATCAACAGAGGAACAGAATGCAGAAGAGCCGAGAGGCAGTCGATGGAAGGGTAAAATGCCAGAACGCGGTGCGGAATAGGGTAGTTCATCCTTTGGTCATTAATTTTTTCATCCCCCAAACTCTTCAACGCAGAGTATCAAGTCTTTTCAATGACAAAAAAAATTATGCTATTCACAATGCTTGCTCCTACCTGCAAATGGGTGCGTTCATAACAGTAAAACCAATAACATCATTAGTTGCACAGCCAGAGCTTTGTTACATTGAAAAACTTTATGGTACAAGGCAGGAGCCGATACAAGTCAGTTTGTTATGCTATCGACCGTTATCCGAACTACCCTAAATCATAAGGGGCGGATCATCTTGAAACTGTAATCGATACAATGCTTTTAATAAATAACCGTTATTCGTATTGTATCTTTAGATAAAAGCGATGCATGCCTGAAAAGGGAAAATGAAGCACCTAGCTATGAGTTTCATCTGCGCTTTAAGCTCAGGGCGGCCATTTTACGCGCCAGATACAAAGCACGACGTTTATGATATATCGAGACAGGTTTTATCATTTTTTTGGTACCTGTTCATCGATTGCAATGGATACGGGGGTACTGACTGGATGTATACCTCACTCGAATGATTCAATCGATAGACACAGTAAAACGCTTTATTTTGTCAAGAATTACATTTTACTTGCATCATCCGCACCTAAACACGACGATTTGTTCACTATAATGCGTTTACTCACAAAGAGTCAACCAAAAGTCTTACCTGCAGCGAATTGTTCGTAGCTTGCTCCCAGTTCGGTGAGCATATCGTGTGTCAGCATCGCTCGACGATGTTTCTGGAAAGCTCTTCTCGAGGTATCTCTCACAATGCTGCAAGCGCCCCATGTAGCGTACAGAGCGACATCGTCTTTATCAACCTCATTACCGTGCCTAACAAATTCATGTTAATTATCGAAAAAACCAAAGTCCACCGATGAAGGACAGAGATGACTCACTTCCAAACACCGTCTTCGTAAGCTTTTCCCCAAGCCAGGAAGGTCGCAATTGTGCCAGAAAGAATATCGCCTTGACCACCGACTCGGCGCAATCCTCCTTCCGTTTCACATTTGAGCACTACACCCCATCAATATGAACATGTGTTAAAATTTACATTTCGACGCCAACTTTCTCTATGTATTTACCTTGTTTGCCGTTCGAGATGATATCTACAGCTCCTTTCTGAACGATGGTGACACCACCGAGAGCTTGGCTTAGCTGCTGTGCCACTGTATCTTTCTCTTTGCTGTCATCCACTTTCTATGCCAGACCGAAACGGAGTTAGAATGGCTTCGTGCGGTTGATGTAATACACCCACCATGCGCTCGCAGAGACGCTTGAATTCAACAACATTCGGTGTGAGCACAGCCTTTGTGTAGTCCTTTACGGTTTCTGGATGATTTTGTACGAGGAAAAGTCCATCCTAAACGATTCATGTGAGAGGGTGCTTACTTTTCAGTCCCAAACTTGGTGATTGATTGACTTACAGCATCAATAACGACCGCCATATTTTGTTCGCGAGCTTTCATAATTAGCGCTTTCGCAGTATCCTGCATCGCTTCGTCTCTCGATAAGCCGGGGCCGACCACAAGAACGTGAAGTCGGGAGAGTACGCCCGAGATTCTCTCAACAATACTGCCAGCGTCCATCTTTTCCTTCTCCAATTTGCTACATGGTGTCAGTGAGCAAGTCTGCAGCTGAAGTTTCTCGGTATTAAAAAACTTACTCCTTGGTTCGCATGTAAGGATGAACAATCAAGTCTTGTTTTGTTGCACGATGGAAGCCCGACGTTAGTTTCAAGTACGTCAATTTTTTGTCACCATCAAATCTTACCAGGCGCATAAGACTATGAATGGCAAATGTAAGTAATAGTTTTAGAATTTCTATGCTGCCAAATGGTTTACCTTAATTACTGTACCAGCACCTGGCTCACAGAAAATGTGGCAAAGATCCGCGCCCTAAGCACAACAAGTTGTTAGCTTTATAAATACTTTTATAGTCACCGATAATCTGGAAAACTAACCATTTTCATGGAAGCAAGGCCACTGAAAAACGGAGCTCCCGTATAGCTTTTGACCAAGTGAAAAAAAAAGAATAGAGTAAGACAAGAGTGGGTCATTTCTAGTAGTTCATTTTGACATGCTTACTCTTCGGAGCCTCCGACAACACCAACGCGACCTAACCGACGTGATGTTCCATAAACACATGACACTTTATCATGACTCACCACTCGACTTACCAGCTTGTCCTTTATGCAATTCACCCGAAAGCGGTGGAATGAGTTTTCGAACTTTGTTGATATCTGGAATTTTGGGTGGCATTTTTTTTTAAGAACGAGTGCATGAAAATGGCGTGCATTGTGCGCCTCATTATAATAGAAGCAAAAAACCCAAGTCACAATGACGAAAAAATTGCCTCATTTGGCGGCATCCCTTTCCATCCGTCCATTTCATCCGGATATTTCGAGTTCCGATATCTGCAATGGGCTGTCAAAATACTGAAGCGAGATCAAACAAGGGGAGCATTGACGTTGAAGAATCTCCTTTTGCTGTAAAGGTCACATGGATATGCTTTCAGAACTTTCTGAAAGATTACGATGGATCTCATTTATGGTTTTTATATTTTCAACGCATTTGTTATGAAGCAAGGAAAAAGGTCCTTTTAGCGCAAGCAATGGAAATCATGATTATCAAATTTAAACGATACCATACGTCGAATGTGCATAAAGTGTCATAAACAAAAGATGACCTTGCTGAATCGCAACATTGGACAAACCACTTTTTTCTTGTCGGCCAAAACCAAAATTGTAATGGAACGCATTCATGTTTTCATTTCTCAGATCCACCATTCTTGCACTTTTTCTTTCATTTATCTTATTTTTTATATTTTTTATATACCACTATTCATGGGCAGTACTACAACGTTTACCGTGTTCACTGAGATTCAGCGTAAAGGCATGTTTGTCGCAGGAGCTCTAGCGGCCAGTGTCTCGCTTTTATCTACCTTGTGCGTGTTGGTTTGCTACGGCATCCTACTGCACTTTAGACGCTGTGATGCCAACCGCGTTTCTTTGCGCTTAATTATTGTATCATGTACCCTCACATTTATTTATTCGGTTCTACAGATGGTGACCAATGAGATCAATGCAAGGGCAAACTCGTGTCATATTATTGCATACATTCAAATATTCAGCGATGTTATGTCATGCATGTGTTTGGGCATGATTGGATTGAATTTGGTCATGATCTTTATTGTGCGTGTATCCGAGCCGAAAAAGCTAGAAAAGTATTATTATCTATTGGTCGCTTTGGTGGGACTCCTATCTTTTATCGTTCCCTTGTCGCTAAATAATACACCTGATCCCATCGATCAAACTTGCTGGTACGTATATTGTTCAACTTTTTCTTTTTCCATTTTCTTTACATAATCTATTTTTATGGCACAAAAAAAAGGTACCATTTTTTCCTTCAAGGTCGAAAGACGCGAATCTTCAATTGGGCAAGTTATATCAAAGGTTTTATACGAGCTGCGAGATGTGTCAATGTAGGTAAGGTGAAGGCTAACACTACGGCGTTGCGTCTTTTTAGCTGTGGTATTATTCATGGTTGTCATTTGCGATCGCCTTGTCCACACTGTGTGCCATATTATCCATCCGAAAATTCATAAATGAGAGAAACCTCTTTACGTACGCGCTGAACACCGTATCACAAAGAACCAGCTCTGGATACTTTCGTCCCACAAACCATCTGCAGCAGCATATTCGACGAACCACAGTGCTTTTTCGTCAAGTGGCAATTCGTTGCATTTGCTACCCCTTGTGTGAGTGACATGGAAGAGGCATAGGCAGATTCGAACTATCTCTCATACGAAAAAACATTTCTCATGCAGTACCATTGGTATCCAAATCCTGGGGTGTCGCGATTGAAATTGGCTTGGCCGTAGACGCCACCATCCCATACCCGATTTTTGTTCTTGATCGATTCTTTTCAGCATTGTTGGGTACCTATCAAATACTTCTCTAGTAGGTTGTGATGTGTATATTGAAAGAGTCAACCTGTTAGGATTTTTTGTCAGCTGCATCTTTTTTGGCGATCCAGTCGTCATCGCCGCATTTTCGGATTTTTGGTGTTATATACGTCGACGGTACGTGGATGAGTACATCCGAGTCCGCTACGAACCTCCAAAGGATGAGGTCGATCTTATGAGGCATCCATCAGTAGCTGAGGTGATGGGGTCTGAAAACTTGGAACCCAATGAGATATGTCAATCTGTTACCGTCGAAAAAGGGCCAGATAAGCAATCGGTGGTTCATGTGCGAAAGTACATTCCAGCCGGTAACAAAGGACACAGTCAGCCGGTAACGATAGGTCAGCATCTAGGAACAAATAAGAGGTAATTTATCACCGCATATTTGTGGTGTATTCCGAGATCGGATCAAATATCGCTAATAACAGAGTATACGATGGTAGAGGGGTCAATTACAACATCTGTCACGCTTGCGTGCCGTGGTTATGCGCGTGCGGCCGACCACCAAGTAAAAGGGCAAAACCTAGGGTTAAAAATGTCGCAGCACGATGTATCAGAGGGATTCCGGATGCGACCATGTTTCATGACGTTGAGGACCCAATGGGTTCACCATCGTGGAATGAGCAGCAACCGTTTGGTCAAATTCTCAAATCGTACAGATACCCTAGAATCGCTACTCTTCTTCACTGGATTCTCGTCTACTGCTTTCGAATATCGCCCAACCACCAAAGACTGGAGACCCACCCTCATAAACCAAAGATTAACGAACCAGACACTCTCAAGAAAGGGGATAATCATAACCCGGAAAGCACCAGTGAACCACGAACATCGGTAGCGGGTTCCAGTGATACATCAAATGAACATTCGTTTGTGTCCAATGAAGCAAAGGATACGTCCACGCACGATCAACATTCTCACAATGCCTCACATCTAAACGACGGAATCGACAGAGTCCACACCGCTCCATCAGGTTCATCCACGGAAAAGGAACCATCCGTTGCAAGCGACGCTTGGCGACCCCATTTGCACAGCAATCGCCGACAGGATACCCCCACGAGCGAAAAGGAAAACAAGGCATTGATAAAGTACAGTGGGAGAAAACAAATCTTTGGGATGCATAAGCGGTCTGGAAGCTTCCAGGAATCATCGACTCAATCACCATCTAGAAAGAGAGCCCAATCGACATCGCTTATTTCGGATCTCATTCACAAGTCGTATTTCAGGTCGCCGCCTACTACTTCTGCGCCGATTCCCTCCATCCATGAGCCAGATCTCCGTTCGAGTGAAACAGGTTCTCGACCATATCATCACGCAGATACAATAGCCAAGACTGGTGACGAGAAAAGGAACAATACACCGCAATCTGAGCACCATCTCTATCCACACTCCTACCTAGAAACTGCCGCCCATCCTAAAATGCGCAATGCCTCAACTGTCCCTACAACCAATTTGATGCCGGAGGAACCACCCTCTGTTCTCACACCTCGTCCTGTAAAGCATTACGTATCAGAGCGACCGATCACAGATAGGCTGACAGCTGATCTGCCGGTACGGATATCTCCGTCTGCTTCACCTGCATTATCGGCTGTCAATTATAAAGGGCAGACATCCACCCATCGTCGTCCGTCATCTGCACCTTCGTCACGCCAGTCTTCCCCATTATCCGATCTATCGTTTCAAAACGTGTGGATATTCAATGAAAATGAAGGATTCAGCGAAGGGGTGACGACGATTCATTACATCTCCAACTGGGACCGTGACAACGATAAAGAACGCATCGAACGGTTCATAGAATACTGGGGAATAGAAACCATGATCCTCAAGCAAGCTGAACTGTCCGAGCAACTCATTCGTTACATGTAATATCTTAAGACTTTTGTAAATCGACAAGTCGAAGGAAAAAAAAAACCTTCAAATAGGATGCAGTAGAGGGTGCGAGGAGCTAAATATACCGTAAAATTATTCATCTGTCGTTGCATAAGTTTATAGAGGATAAGTAGCAGCGTTAAAAGAAAAACCAAAGCCGTAACATAAAAAAGCTGCAAAACCCTTTTCTATTCGTAAACAGACAGGAGTATATTCATACAATGGAGAACATGATCAAGATAACTGATACCTCCAATGGCTATAGATTGCCTCCCGTTTGCTGGATATTTTGCCGTCAGTGATTTGATGCATAGTGTGCTCCGAAATGGTCATAGGGTTCCGGGCAAAATCGTGCTTATCGCCTTTAACTACACTTTGGAAACAAGTGATGCAAACCTTTACGACCTTGTTCATTTGCGAAATAAAAAGTGTGGCACTTGATCAAGCCTGGACGGCAGTTGAATATGGGCAATTTCGCACATAGTGTAGAGATCACGTTTTGCCCGATCGACAATGTAGAAGGTGGCATTCTTACCTATGTGGTAATAAAAAATGAGAACCTTATAGACCTATTGAACACAACAAATACTTTACCAACTACGGGAAGGCAAAAGTTGATTTCAACTTGTGCTTATCGGAAGCATCTTTGGCCAATGCTGCGATATGGAACAGATCGAGCCGATAAGCCGGTGATCCAGGGCCTGGTACTGGTTCAGATAATTGGTATTTACGGCTGGTTGAAAGGCCAATGCCGCGGAGCTACCATCTGCTGGATAATGGCTGAACGCCCTTTTACTTCGCCACAACCGAATCGATCGTCCAGCATTGCTCCATGTATGATATTGATGGATGCGTCCGATCGAATGTTGGCTTGCTTTTCGTCATCACTGACGGATGTCCTACTAAAGTTTTATGAATATCAAGTCGTCCCCTGTCCATTATGTCCTTTTCATCCCAGCCAAAAGTTGCAGTTACCATCGAAAGGCAATATTATTATCCAAATATTCGAACAGAGGACTAAGGATCGCTTCCAGTATGCCGAGTGATAAGCTCTATTTCTTTTGGTCCACTTTCGAAGATGCGCCGTGGCAACCTCTCCACCCTACTACTGGTTTAGAATCGGAGGTGATCTTTTTTCATGGCATAAAAACTTACATGTTGCGGATGGATGGCTAACAAAATCCTGCTTCGGTTGTTTCTGGAAAACTTCCAGATGGCGCCACTAGATTTCGGCATGGCATACAGCAGGGTGTCTCGGTCGGTGAACGCGAACGCTGCGGAGCAACGGCAATCTGATGAGTAGCAAAGTCATCCTCCAGGCACCGCCTTCTAGACACTTTATCCAGGTTTTTTTTTCTTGGCAGTATTTTCTTCTTATTATCTACGAAATTGTCAGTATAACAATACAACACGATGGTTTGCTATAACTTACTTTTGGTTGCATACGAGTCACTGTTCATCTCGTATTGCGATATTCTTTGGGTCACCCCAACTGCGCACCTTTGCTGGAGAGCCGATTCTGATTTTGAAATTGTGGTCAATTTGACTTTTCGCGATTGTAGGCACCTAAATCTCTCTGCGATATTGGCGTAAACCGGGTCCTACAGAAGAGCCTTCCGCGCTGCTCATTGTGCCGTAAAATTCTGGTTACATTATAGTTGAGGTATAAAGAGAAGAGGTGCGATATGCAAAAAAAAAAGAAACGAGACGTCCTACTATGTCCGATGACAGGTCATCGCAGATACAATTGATCATTTTTCTATCACGTTTCATCATGCGGCCAATCGATTTAATGGAAATACTGTGACATGAGTCAAGCTTGATCCCAACCAGATCATTCACAGTATTTCCATTAAATCGATTTACCGCCTCTCTTGCTATAGCTTTATTAGTTTGTCATAATGGCTTTATGAATACACTTGAGATCGAGCTTTATTTAAGCCTACTTAGACTTACTTGGATTTGCGAGTTACACGTCTGACAAGGAAAGAAAGAACTTGATTAATAAAGAAAACGGATAAAGATCATGCTGAAACGCCTCTGCTACATGAATAGAATAGTTCAAAAAACCTGACAGTGTAATTTTGACCAAAAGTGCCCGCATTAGAGTGTACCCCTATATCTACAATCTCGATTTTTTCCTCTCTGGGTCGAGGACGATCCGTTCTTACGCATTGCAGATCTCCAAACCTCGATTTTTGCACTCTTTGAAAAAATCCAGGGTTATGACATTTTACTAAATACCTGCATTTATACTTTGAAACACATGCGTCTTGGAAAAAATCGGGGCCCACTGTAAACCGTCCCTTAGGCCGGTTCCTTCGCGAAATTTGACACCTTTTTGATAAATTTAAGTTTCGGGCTCTTCCGCTACCTGATGACTGATTGTGTTTAGTGTGGCTCCAGCTGGATCCACAGCCAATACTGTACGTCGATACTAATGGCAGCTGTAGGGTCAGTCTCGGTACATAATAATCTACAAGGTCTGTAAAATTGGGCACACCGCTGCCAAGAGGCGATAAGTGATCAATGGAGTCCCTAATGCTAACTTGTAGAGATGCTGTATGTTCTGGTATTTAGGATATAACACCTGATTCCGTTAGGAAGAATAGCGCCGCAAACTCTATTGATAAATGCCTTGTACTTTAGCTGGTACAGTCCCTGCTCCTCAAATAAACACGCAACATCGCGGCGATAAAACATGGCGCGACGATAAACCATGGGATGCAGCATTCAGGTGGCGCCAGCGGATCCAATATCCCAACTGGACAAGCAGTGCAGCTAACTAATGATTAATTAAATTTGATTATAAGCATATATCATTCGTTATCTATTCATTATGACAATAAAAATATAGATAATAATGATTTCAAATGATAATGAAACATAAGAATGATAAAAAATTATCATAGATTCACGAATTCTGGATTCTTCTAAAATCTAATAAACAGAGTATATCTTACTTTGTTTTAATGTATTTGTCAACTCCCTGTAAGGTGGTGCTCAGAGCCCTGTGGAAACGAGGGCCTCAAGTACATTTTTAAAGCATTTTTTCAAGCGATCCAACGGTCTTCCATGTTTCTTTCGTTGTTGACTAGTACGCTTCCTCCTCCCATACAAGTATCTATACGTCTTACCTCATCTATTATGGCTATGGTTTATATTTGTCATCATCTTTGTAGATGCTATGGAACATTTAATATTGAACCCTCCGGGGCTATCTGTTGCGGGTTTGGGAGGGTCAATGTGAGAAAAAAAAAAAACTGGTAAGTCTTAAAGTTGTGGGCCTGATTAATCTACTGTAAAAACGATACAGGCAAAAAAGGCTGCTTCGCAGATTGCTTTCGTCCGAGCCTTCAATACCGATGATTGGAGTGTTCTTCCTGGCGACTCTCATAAGATCCAACGCTTTTACCAGTACGGTTCAACAGCTCTATTATTTAATACATGACTATTGACAATAAATTATAAATAGGGAAAATCTAGATGTGCGCAACCGTAAGTTTGTGGCTTAACCGATGAGGAATTGAAGAAAAACCTGGAATAACATGGCTGGCAAGTCCAGTCTGTCGTCCCGCATGGCTTCTGAAAGGAAAGTGCACGAGTTGGAAGCAAAACAGCGGACACTCCTTCCAGTCGCATCGTATCAAATTGGTAGGACGTATGATTCTTGTCTACATGTTTTTCATGATGATAGGGTGCTAAACATATATATTTGCAGCATATATGCGCATAACGGCCTTGGGTTTTTTCTATTTCCTAAAACGAGGCATGCATATTAGGCCACAATGTAAACTGCGGGCTTAAAGATTGATCAAGAATACGCAGGGAGATTCTGTGAAATAGCTAAATAAGACCTGATCATAGCATACGAAGCGTGGAAGATGTGAATTGAACCAACAAGGGAACGTTTTCATTGCCAAACCTCGATTGGCAGATCGTACAAAAATTATCAGTTCAAAGAAGATCTGTGGGAAACAATTCTCGACCTGGATAAAGTGTATCCAAAACGGCTACGATTTACTTGAGTGAAAACAGGTGATGGCAACGATTGGCAATATCTTGAAAACCGGCTAATTTGCGATAATAAAAGTTTGTTCTATGTAGCGTACTCAATTTGCCAAGGCGCAGCTTATGATCAGTGTAAAGTTGTGCAAACGTTGAGATCACCCGTGCGAATTATCGGCATCAATCCGGGTAAGTCTGTTGGCAATTATTGTTATGCCAATTTGGATTACAACTAATCATATTATATGACAAGTATTCGATCCGTTATTACAAGCTGTGATACTGATACATATAGATCGGACGAGCAACGAAAGAGCTATGTCTTACAATCACATATCAGTAAGTGAATACAGCGGCTGATATTTATCAGGACAACTCCGTCTAAGTAATCCATTAGAGTATTTGATATACTTTAGGCAGCGGAGCATGCCCAGTTGGACAGCGTAGATGGAACTTAAAAGCAGAAAGCACGACGGCATCCAACCGCCATATTTGATGAACTGAAAGTAATGTCACCCCGTTTCTCCTCCATGTGAGCTTTCAAAATTTATATGTAGGCTATTCACTGGCATTCGGAACAAGTAAGTAAAAGGGAGGGTGAAAAAAAAAGGTACAATGTAAGCTTATTATGGTCTCCTCTGTAGTTCACATGCTACAATTGTGGGTTTTGCCATCGGGAAAAAGGTGCCCCATTCTATAAACACAGATGATGCAGGAAAAATGGCCAATGCACTGCTTGATGACACCTCCAAGCCTAAGATTGTAAGTTTGCAAGTTTTTATGATCTATCTCAACGTATAGTAATGTACATTTTGATAGCCTCCCAGTGATGTATAAATATTCTCGAAAATCCCGCCGCTGAAGTAGGGGAATATCTCGCAAGGAATGAGTGCAAGCTTGAGAGTCCGGCGAAGTATGTGATCAAGATATATAGTAGACCGCATTGTTCAACAGAGAAACACTAGGAGATTCCGGAAAACCCTTGCTCGGAACGCATTATTAACTTGCATTGACGAATACCAAGCCAGAGAAGGTGCGCAGTCGGTGCGATGCACAAAGACGGCGGCAGTACGAGATTGGAACCGTTAGTTGTATGCAACCAGTTAAAAAAAAAAGGTAAATGGTTCAGAAGGCGGTGGTTAGAAAATGATGGGAACGTAACTTGCTACCCATCAAAATGCCGTCTGAAAAGAGCTGCAGGTAAGTCAAGACGCTCGTTGAAAATATAGCAAAGGACGCTGATATATAATAAGAGGCAAATCTTGACAGAACCTCATTTCTCGATTCGACTATGCCCACGTGCAAGTCGCCTAACGATGGTTTTCAAAGCAGTGGTAAGTAATGACGTGATTTGTTTTTGTTGGTTTTTTGTATGGTCTCGTCCTGCAAAGTAGCTCCTTGGTTGAATCATCCTTTTTCGCATGTCTGCTAAGCTGTGCGAAAAAAGGAAGTTGCAATGCAAATTTTATTGAATGAAATTTTCGCGTGCAATTTGTAGTGTTGGCCTTTGTTTCAGTTCACTTCTCTTAATCCTTAATTTCCCAATGTCCATACTCTGCAATCTTTGTCTTGCCGACTTTGGCACGAAAGTGAAAAGAGACTTCCACATGATTATTGAACACGTTAAGAAGGTGCAGATTGGTAAGTGTGGTTTTATGGTTGTGTCGTATAGGTAGGGTCCATATACCACTACATAAGAATTACCTCGGTTTAAGCAGATAAGAGACACTAGAGTAGTTACACACTATTTGTACATTCAAATCCCGATACCAGTTATTATCTTTGAATACCAGATACTAAAGAGATGATCTCTTTCGAGAATAAACAACAGTCTCACCGTACTCAACGTCTCTATCCATCTATATCACATTTTTTACGGTGAATACTACCAACATGAACCCCACCAACGAGAATTCAACCGAGATGCACGCATCCAAGGACGTGCCAATGACGGATGCATCAGATGCATCCACCGATCAGGGTTCCCCTATGGCCCAGTCAACTTGGGCATCCAAGCATGTTTCTCCGACTGCCGCGCTCAAACGCCGTCTAGAGGATTGCCAAAAGGAACTGGAGGAGTTACTTATTCAGTTGGGTACTCAGCAACATCCTGCAGACAAAGCAGGCGCTGTTAGAGACGAGGCCCACAAACTCTTGGCAGAGAGAGACTCTCTCCGTCAACTCCTGGCCGGTTATGACGTTCCGGATATAAGGAATCCGCTCCAGTCCTCTGCTTGGGAGAGTAAGATTGGGGATTCTTATCCTATCAAGGGTATCAAGGGCCCTAAAATTACTGCTAGGGACATTCCTTTGTTCCAATGGCGTGGTTGTCCCTGGACCTTGAATAAGAACAGAGATGTTTTCACTTCGGTGGAGCACTTCTGTGCCAATTTCCGTCGCCTGTTGGTTCAAGCCAATTATGAGCTTGACCAGCATTGGGAAGAATGGTTTATGTTTGCGCTTCCGGACAAAGCAGATGATTGGTTCAACGCAAATGTGGCGAACCGTGGTTTGGGATGGGAACAGGCATGCGTTCTCTTTAAAGAACGTTATGAAAATCCCGACCATTATAACAAAGCGGTGAAGAAAATTGCCATTATGAAAATGAATGGGAGCGAATCCCTTACTCGTTTTGGTGAGCGCTTTTTGCGCGCTTTGAAAGAGTGCAAACTCATTGACGGTCCTCTGGCTGCTGGTGTTTTCCAGATAAACATGACCGCATATATGGAGAATCAAGTGCTCAACACTTGGACCCAACGTAACGGCTCCAAGCCTATCTCTTCTGTGGAGGCCTTGCTCCAAATTGCTCCGTTCATTGTCGACAAGAGAGTAACGGAGGGTGGTAGTCACCATGGTGACTACAAACACAAGGCGGGTAAGCATTACCACCGATCTGTGTCTCCCATTTTACGCAAGCGGCCCTTTAAGGGTGAGAACGTGAAGAAGGAGAAGGTCGAAAACAGCCGACCGAATTTGCCACAGACTTGCCTGTATTGCAAGAAAGCCTGGTTCCAAGGCCACCGTTGCGAGGCTTACCAGGAGGCGCACAAGATTAAGCGCCAAGAAAAACGTCTCCGTCGTTTGCGCCTGGATGAAAAATCCGGCAAAGCCAAAGTTGGTGCTAAGCAAGCACTACGTAAGCAGATGCAGGACGACCACCCTGCCAAGGAGGTTATTGATACCATCCTGACCGAGCTTGAAGAAGAAGAGCTCAGCCGAACTGCACAACGTAAGTCTCTTAAGCTATACAGTATCCGCAACGAACAAAATTCAAGTATGCTAAAGACACCTATCATGATTCAGAATGAACGAATCTTGGGTCTCGTGGACACCGGTGCAGAAATGTCCATCGTCAGCAAAAACTTGTGTTCGTTAAATAAATGGCCAATTTTTAATGCCAAAGGATCTATCTTGTATGCTAGTAGAGGAGACACAGTGAAGCGCATTGGAACTACTGCTCCACTGGATATTATTTACAATGGTCGTAACATCCGTCATAGCTTTGAAGTTATGGAGTTAGCAGATGAATGTGAATTAATTCTGGGTATTGATTTATTGCCGCAACTTGGAATTGCTCTCACTGGCGTCGCGACTGATTGGGATACATCAGAAACCCATCAGGCCAAAGAGGAGATGGCAATCGTGCCAAAAGCCGAAACATATCAACCCAATGAATCACCAGCAGGTACAGAAACAGAACATGTTCACTTCATGCGATCTGTTCAGCCGTTTATTAAGGCCAATGCTGCTATACCTAAGGGAAGTTTTTGTACTTTACCTGAATCTATTATTCATCTATCAACGCCCGAAGGAGTTACTGCATACCAAAGACAGTACCCTTTGCCGTTCACCATGAGACCAGTCATTGATAAGGCTGTTCAAGGTTGGTTGGATGAGGGAATTATTGTCCGTGCTGCTGTGAATTCATCCTGGAACAGTCCATTGACTTTGGCTGACAAGAAGGATGCATATGGCAATAAGACTGGCAAACGACCTTGCCTGGATCCCCGTCATATCAACAAACATTTACCTGATGATCGTTACCCTTTACCATTGATCAAGGAAATTTTTCAATCCTTAGGAGGAAACACTGTGTTCACTACATTGGATCTAAAAAGCGCATTTCATCGTTTCAAGATCCACGAAGCGGACCAGCATAAAACCACGTTCACTCACGATGGTATTCAATATATGTTCCAAGGATGTCCCTTTGGTTTGAAGCCGATTTCATCCAAGTTTCAGAGAGTGATGTCTTTGATTTATCAACATCTGCCATTCGTGCGGACATTTGTGGATGATATCGTTATCTTCTCTCCATCGATTTCTGAGCATATCACACATGTTCAAACAGCCATTCAGGCTCTGACCGAGGTGAATTTACTGCTCAATCCTGCAAAATGCCATTTTGCGCAATCTTGCATCTTCCTACTTGGTTTTTGCATTTCAGCTGAAGGCGTCGTACCTGATAGCCGCAAACTTACCAATGTGATGTCATGGCCAATTCCACGTACTGGTAAGGAGGTCCAGAAATTTATGGGTGTTATCAATTATTTCCGCGATCATATTCCTACCGTTGCTACCATCAGTGCTTCTATCGATGCACTTCGTTCGGCTGGTAGTTTAACGAACCTATGGACCGATGTGCACACTAAGCATTTCCAGATGCTTAAAGATATACTGGCTCAACAGCTTTTGCTGGAATATCCTGATCTCAACAAGCCATTCCTTGTCGCAACTGACGCATCCAACTATGGTATTGGTGCTGTATTATTTCAGATGCAAGGTAAAAGGAAACAATACATTTCCTTCATGGCTCGAGCTCTCAGTAAGTCCGAACGCAACTACTCAACTACGAAGAGAGAGTTATTGGCCATTGTTTATGCTCTCCAGAAGTTTCACCAGTATCTTTGGGGTAATCCGTTCACACTTTATACGGACCATAAGGCGCTTGTTTATCTTCACACTCAGAAGATTGCAAACCCCATGATGCTTACCTGGTTGGACACTATCCTCGATTACACCTTTACGGTTGTCCATTTACCTGGTGTTCAGAATGTTCTCCCTGACTCTCTTTCTCGCTTGTTTATCCCTGATGACAAGCTGGAGGGGGATATTGTCGTCAAAGGACCGAAGCCAGTTGTATCAAAGAAGTCTACTGATGGACACAAAATATTCAGGATTAAATCCGTTGCTTCAACTGATGATACGATGTGTCCACCAGAGAATGAAAGACACGGTATCTTGGAAAAAGCACATTTACTTGGAGGTCATGAAGGAGCTGAACATATCGTACGACATATCCATGCAGATGGTATCCACTGGAATAATATATTCCAAGATGCTGTGACATTGGTCAAGTCATGTATTGAATGTCAACGCTACAACATAGGGCAGAAAGGCTATAATCCCTTGAGACCAATCTATGCATACCTTCCTGGAGATCACTGGGCTGCTGATCTTATCAATTTTCACAAGACATCTAATGCAGGTAACAACTACATTCTGGTACTTGTGGATATTTGCACTCGTTTCTGCATTTTACGTGCTTTACCGAACAAACAATCAGATACACTCGTCAAAGCATTTGTCGAAGTATTCTGTGATTTTGGAATACCCAAGGTTATACAATCTGACAATGGTTCTGAATTCAAGAATCAGTTCATGAAGAAGTTTGTTGAACACCTGGGAATTGACCATCGGCTGACCACACCCTACCATCCAAGAGCGAATGGTGTGGCTGAACGACATGTACAGGAAACGATACATATCTTGCGGAAAAAGATAGAAGGTGCTGGCAAAGACTGGGACTACTATGTTCCCAGCACACAATTACACATCAATAGTCGCATATCAAAACGACTCCAATCCTCGCCTTTCTCTCTTATGTTTGCAAGACGATTAAATGACTTTGTGGACTACCGCTCAAGAAATGCTGTACCGAAAGATCCAATGACACATGAAGACTTGATGAAGCGTGTGGAACACATGACGGATATTGTGTTTCCGGCACTCCAAGAGAAAGTGAAGCATCATGGTTCCAACATGAAGGACAAATTTGATACCAAGCACAGACTCATGGATTTCCCAGAGCGAAGTCACGTTATGGTCAAGGTACAAAATAGAGCTGGTAAATTAGCTCCTATTTATGAAGGCCCATACACTGTTCTGCGCAAGACGCAAGGTGGATCATATGTTCTTCAAGACGAAACTGGTGCACTTATGCCCAGAGACTTTTCGCCCTCTGAAATGAAACTGATCAACGTAGATGATGTGGTTCCTGAAGATGAACTGTACGAAATTCAGGCCATTATTGATCATAAAGGTCCTAGAGGCAAACGCGAATACCTTGTAAGATGGAAAGGTTATGGTGCCGAGGATGATCAATGGCTCACCGCTGATAAATTTACCGACCCTGCATTCATTATGGAATATTGGAACAGACGTGGATCAAACGAGACAGAAATGAATCTGCCTGAAGATAAGCCTGTGAAACGCAAGGGTAAAACACAAAACGTCAACCCCAGACGTAGTAAGCGCAATAGACAATAAGTGGTGGTTCTCAAAAGATAATTCCATACTAAGCGCATAAGTCTCTGTAATTCATGAGCTAGTCTTTTCCTCATGTATTTTTTCCCACAGGGTTTTTTAGAGGTTTTTACCGACATGACCATGTAACAGAGCCTGCTTCAACCTGGAGGGGGGTAATGTCGTATAGGTAGGGTCCATATACCACTACATAAGAATTACCTCGGTTTAAGCAGATAAGAGACACTAGAGTAGTTACACACTATTTGTACATTCAAATCCCGATACCAGTTATTATCTTTGAATACCAGATACTAAAGAGATGATCTCTTTCGAGAATAAACAACAGTCTCACCGTACTCAACGTCTCTATCCATCTATATCACAGGTTGCTCTTAATCTTTATTAGTTACTGATTCCTACATGCGTAACGTGAAGGGGAGTTGACAGTTGTTCGAAATCTGGAAGGATTTCCGTGTCCGTGCTGCAAGAAATTTTTCAAGCATGCAAAAACACTGAAGGAACATTTGATAAAGAAACAGTTGCCATGCTGGTACCTTTATGATTCTATCAGTGATGCTGCGCCGCCTCAAACTGGCTCTGTCGAAATTCCGGCCTCTTTACGCGTGAATGATGAGCATGACAATCGGTCTACAACTGCTACAGCTTCAATAGGAACCCCCACCCCATTCATCACCATGACGCCAGTCTCTGGAAACGAGGACGATGAAACCTTGGGTAAGTTACCAGTGCAACGACTACATTTTTTGTACCATACATCTCGAATAAGCTAACAGCGTCAATTATGCCATCCTCAACTCCAACCTCTCCATCCATTTTATCTCAATTATCTGTGCCCACTCGATTTGCAGAGATTCATATTGCACCACCGCCAGCAGAGGATCGCATGTTGTTCAATGACATCAATATTTCTACTCAGTTTTACCATTTTAAAGAAGACGTACAAAATCGCAAGACACAGTAAAACATTTAATAGTAGAAAATGATACACTTAGAAAAGAAAATGAAGACCTTCATGTTAAAATGAACGAATTAGAAAAAGGAATAAAATTAATAAATGATAAAAATACGAAAGAAAAAGTTATACCATCAACAAAATTGAGGAATAATAGATTAGAAAAGATATATCATAAATGGAAAGAAATATATGGTATATTCAAAAAATACAACAATAACTATAAACTTATAAAAGAAAATATTTCCGAAATACAGAATTATGTAAAAGATAAAAATATTTATAAAATAAAGGAAAGGGCATATAAGATATGTAATTATTTTAATAAATTATTAAATAAAGAAGTAGATGAATATTTACCTATCTTTCAAATTATTAAAATAAAATAAAGATTGTATTCTACCATAAATATTTAACAAAAATAATATGGTATTTAAACTTTTAAAAAAATCGTATATGATATTTTAAAAACAATAAAAAATAATATTTTAACTTTTTGAAAATTATTTAATTAAAATAAAATTGAATTTTTAAACTAATAGAAAAGAGAAACAAAAAAATGACGAAATCAGTTATATGTTCTTTTTATGAAAAAGGATCTTGTAATTTTATGAGTATACCCGAAAAATGTAGATATACTCATGGAGTAGAAGATTTATTTGTAATTGATTATTTTTATGGTATGTCATGTAAAAAAAAAGATTGTAAGTATAATCATGATATTAAAAATAATGTAAAACTACCATCTGACGTGGTATATAATAAAATTATAATTATAGATAAAAGTAACAATATTAATGAAACATTATATTTTAATAAAAAAGATATCAATAAATTATTATTTTTTGCAAATAAATATGCAGCAAGGCATAAATATGAGTGTTGAAGAGCATATGCAACACCTACTTGCTCTCTCATGCATATTGTTGCTGAAGCCAGCATGCACACATCAAGATTTACACAAACACATTGATCTCAACACGTGTGACACACTTTGCCAGCAGATCATTCAAATACATAGAATGACCAACCAATCCTTTCCCTCTGATGTCAAACTGCAACTCGAAGATATAATGATGCAATTGGATGTGGTAAGTTTGAGAGAGAAACCAGAGTAAAAAAAATGCATAGTTCTTTTTTTCTTATTTATTTATTTTATTTTATTTTGGATCCGTATTAGGATGGTGATTGAGGCACGGCATGCACACGCCTAGCAGCATCACGAAAAATCTGGGGCTTGATACAGAACGACGATGTCCTTAATCCTGTCAACAGGATTTTGTTATCAATTCGAAACATGTAAGTTTTTAAGCTGTGAAAATATCGCATCCGCTGCTAAACCAGTAGTAGGGTGGAAAGGTTACCACGGCACATCTTCGAAAATGGGCCAAAAGAAACAGAGCTTATCACGCGACATCTGGAAGCAATCCTTAGTCCTTTGTTCGAAGATTTTGATAATAACATTGCCTTTCAATGGTACTTGCAACTTTTGGCTAGGATCAAAAGGATATAATGGAGAGGGGAGGTTTGATATTCATGAAATTTAATAGGACATCCGTCAGTGATGACGAAAAGCAAGCTAACATTCGGCCGGACGCATCCATCAATATCATACACGGAGCAATGCTGGGCAATCGAATTGGTTGTGGCGAAGTAAAAGCCCAGTACCAGGCCCTGAACCACCGGCTTATTGGTATAGATCTGTTCCGTGTCGCGACATTTGCTAAAGATGCTTCGGATAAGCATAAGTTGAAATCTGCTTTTGCTTTTCTTGTTGTTGGTAAAGTATTTGTTGTGTTCGATAGGTCTATAACATTCTCATTCTTTATATCACATAGGTAAGAATGCCACCTTCTACATTGTCGATCGGGCAAAATATGATCTCTACACTATGTGCGAAATTGCCCATATTCAACTGCCATTCAGCCTTGATCAAGTGCCACTTTTTATTTCACAAATGAACATGGTCATAAAGGTCATCACTTGTTTCCAAAGTGTAGTTAAAGGCGATAAGCACGACTTTGCCCGGAGCCCTATGATCATTTCGGAGCACACAATGCATCAAATTACCGACCACAAAACATCAAGCAAACGGAAGGCAATTTTTAGCCACTATAGTCACTAGCTATCATCGTCACCAACATCATCAACATCAACATCAACATCAACATCGCCATCACCAATCACAATCACAATCACAATCACAATCACAACCACCACCACCATCACAATCACTACCATATCTGTCCATTGTACTATATAACCTTCTATCTGTCATTCATTGTATTTTATATCCTTCTCTCCTTTATACATAACCATTGAAAATTTGTGGACCTATTTAACTGCTGCTTATACTGCCGTTCAACTGGAAACCTGGCTAATCAAGATCTTTAGAGTGAAGTGAACGGATATGCACAGAGGAAAATAGGTGGAGAGGGAACGGAAATATCAGTAAAGATAGCATAACAGAGAATAGTAGTAGATGATCGATTACTAAAATAGGTGGAGGGCAGATGGATGAGCTGTGATTTTACGGCCTAAATTTTTAAAAAGGTCACCATTTTCTTATTGGTCGCAAACTTGATGGCCCTGAACTAGGTGCTTGAATTCCCCCTTTTTATTTGTCCACTTTATTTCAACACTGATTATTCGTTTACGTCTCCTGACAGTAAGCTTAGGTGCATATTATGAATAGGTGAGAAGTGGCATATCAATAAGCATCAAACGGAGAGCGAACATACCAAGTTTGACTGGTGAACTGAAATCCACTGGGTTGTTTTTGGGGTTCCTGCTGTTCCGCAGTTTTTTTTTTTTTCCCTACTTACCGTGACTGCATTCAGCAGCTTTTTTTCTTACCGTGACTGCATTCAGCAGCTCTTTTTTCTTACCGTGACTGCATTCAGCAGCTCTTTTTTCTACCGTGACTGCATTCAGCAGCTCTTTTTTCTACCGTGACTGCATTCAGCAGCTCTTTTTTCTTACCGTGACTGCATTCAGCAGCTCTTTTTTCTACCCTGACTGCATTCAGCAGCTCTTTCTTCTTACCGTGACTGCATTCAGCAGCTTTTTTTCTTACCGTGACTGCATTCAGCAGCTCTTTTTTCTTACCGTGACTGCATTCAGCAGCTCTTTTTTCTACCCTGACTGCATTCAGCAGCTCTTTCTTCTTACCGTGACTGCATTCAGCAGCTCTTTTTTCTTACCGTGACTGCATTCAGCAGCTCTTTTTTCTTACCGTGACTGCATTCAGCAGCTCTTTTTTCTTACCGTGACTGCATTCAGCAGCTCTTTTTTCTTACCGTGACTGCATTCAGCAGCTCTTTTTTCTACCGTGACTGCATTCAGCAGCTCTTTTTTCTACCCTGACTGCATTCAGCAGCTCTTTTTTCTACCGTGACTGCATTCAGCAGCTCTTTTTTCTACCCTGACTGCATTCAGCAGCTCTTTTTTCTTACCGTGACTGCATTCAGCAGCTCTTTTTTCTACCCTGACTGCATTCAGCAGCTCTTTTTTCTTACCGTGACTGCATTCAGCAGCTCTTTTTTCTACCGTGCATGCATTCAGCAGCTTTTTTTCTTACCGTGACTGCATTCAGCAGCTTTTTTTTTTTTTAATCATATATTCCACGTTTTAAAACCGCCATCTCCATATATACCAGTCACAACATATTCAACCAGTCGAAAGGGCGGTCGACACTCAATTTAGACATTGTCTCAAGTGGACAGCAAAAAGAGGCTGTGTCCGTAATGAAAGCCCACAAGCTTAGAAATCTACAAAAAATACATGTGCATTTCAGATCTGTTTATACGGCACTGCAAGTGGTTGATTTACATATACAAGGAACATTAAGTACAAATAGACTACAACTACTATAAGCTAAATGCCAGAGCACCGATCCGAAAGAGGTTTGGAACCACCAGAGAGAAGGAACCATGACAAAGGCAAGGACAGATAACGGCAGAGGATGATGGATGACAAGCAAAATGACAGCGGAAAAAAATATACTCGCCCTTTGACAGCAACCGGCTCGAACTCGTCTTTCTACTAAAAAGGTCAGCCTCCCCAACCCCAATCTTCTCACCTCACTTCACTCACCTCATTCCCACTTGCATTCCCTCATGTTCCATTTTTTCCATTTTCCTCTTCCTTTGTCGGCCAACCTTTTTTTTCCCTGGCGGTCTTTTTTTTTATACTGCATTTTGTTTTCGTGCCCTTATTTTCAATCTTCTTTCTTGTGTCCTTTTTTGTTCTCCCTTCCCACCTTTTTTCCGCCTGGCTTTTTTTTTTTGCAGTGTCTTTTTTTTTCTTGTTTTTAACCCACCCATTTCACCTACCTTACTTCACTTACCTCACATCGCGATGCCCGACATTGCTGTACCGACACTGCAAAAGAGAGTTAGCCGACCTACTGTGAAAACACAAAATATCCATGTCAGTAAAAAAGATGCTCAGCAGCAGATGTAGCAATAAACAGTCGCTATCAGTGCTTGTCATCCATCATGCTCCGAGGGGGGTTAAAGAGAAAAGAAAACGACGCGTGATATCTGTAGCTTTATATTAGACAAGCGGTGAGTGAACATGAGAAGTAAGAAAACTAAAAAGAAAGAGAAAGAGGTGCAAAAAAAAAAAAAAAAAAAAATTGCGCATCGTTTGATTATTCATTCTTTTTGATCTGTCAGAAAAATACTTTCGCATTAAGGCTTGATTCATCAATTCCATTCATTTCCATTGGATCCGAATCCTTATATTGACATCATTCCGACAAAATCCATGCCTCTTTTTTACAACGAATGGCCCAACTTTGGTTACCGTCGTTTTTTGATCTAGGTTCTCGGTTATCAAAAAAGGCACGCCTATGATAGCAAGATTAATCTTCTAACGAGCTTCCATCGATGATGAAAAAAGACGTGGAAAGTTGGGAATCCACCATTATTTTCGGCAAGGGAAACGACGGTGTGAAAAAAGTAAAGTGTCGGGTTTGAAGAAGTCATGGAAATGAATTGGCCAGCTCATGGACTTGGCCAATGTTTTTCAACCTCACAACGTCATTGTTACGCAGCATCAATTTTTCTCGATGTGCAAACATGGACGTTAGATTGTTCTCGAACAGTGATAACGAACGGGAATGTCCACGGCAGTACACCCCGATGTGTAAATGACGGCCAACCTTTGCGCACCGTTCAGCAATTGCCTCTGATCGACCAGCTCAATTTGCTCGTCAGCCGCGAAAAATGCATTGCGAGCTGCCGTATTCTACCGAGCGCGAAACCACGAGAAACCGGATTTGCGACGCCCTCGGTGCTCGCCTATATCGCGAGTCCGATTGATTGCGCCACGCGGATATCAATCGTTCTCTGGGCGTGGGCATAAGTATTATCAAACAACTTACTCCAAGTCGGAAAGGAGGCCGACGGAAGAAGGCCAAGGTTCTGGAAGAGGACGTCCCATCCATCGACTCGCTTACTCCGATTGAACAAAGATACCTGGAGGGCCGGTGCATCCTGATCGACCCGGATTGTAGTGTTGAAGAACATGTGCAACACCTACTTGCTCTCTCGTCGATATGATTGCTGAAGCCGGCGCGCACCCACCAAGATTTGCACAAACATATTGACTTCAACACGTGCCACGCACTTTGCCAGCATATCATCGGAAAAACTACTGTCTCTCACGAAGTGAGTGCAGTTGGAAACATCTGCACTGCTGGTAGCTTCCGTCCCTCGTCCCAAGATCAAGGAACTGAAAACTTACAAGAGTGGCCTTAATGCTACCCACATCGACAGTTGGCTCGCGGCATTGAGCGATATTCTCAACTATGCGCGCTCACCGACCCGGACACCCTGCTGTATGTCTTGACCCTCTTGCGTGGCCGTGCGAAACCTGGTGGCGCCATCTGGAAGTTTCCCAGAAAGAACCGAAGCAGTGGGGAACGTAACCGGTGCATTCGCCCAACCAAAGTCAAAGTCAAACTGCAACGGTAAGTTTGAGAGAGAAACCAGAATAGAAAAATGAATAGTTGTTTTGTTAATTATTTTATTTTTTGATCAGTATTAGGCGACGGTGATCGAGGCAAAGCATGCACGCGCCTAGCAGCATCACGGCAAATTTATGCCCTGATGCAAAGTACCTCGCTACGAAAAAAAAAAAGGTCTTTGGCCCATTTCGATGCACTCTTCACCCCATCCCGCTATAAGCTTAATCCTGTCAACAGGAGTTTGTTATCCATCCACCCGATAAATGCAAGATCTTATGTCAAGATAAAAAAAAATCGCCCCCGATTCTAAACCATTAGCAGAGTGGAAAGGTTGCCACGGCGCATCTTCGAAAATGGACCAAAAGAAACAAAACTTATCACTCGACATACAGGAAGCAATCCTTAGTCCTCTGTTCGAAGATTTGGATAATAGTATTGCCTTTCGATGGTAATGCAACTTTTGGCTGGGATGAAAAGGACAAATGGAGAGGGGGCGATTTGATATTCAGCATTTCAGTTGAAATAGGACATCTCTCAGTGATGACGAAAAGCAAGCCAACATTCGGCCGGACGCAATCCATCAACATCATACACGGAGCAATGTTGGGCGAACGAGATTAGTCGGGCGAAGTAAAAACTCAATACCAAGCCCTGGACCACCGGCTTATAGGCATCAATCTGTTCCGTGTGGCAACATTGGCTATAGATGCTTCCGATAAGCACAAGTTGAAATCTGCTTTTATTTTTCTTGTTGTTGGTAAAGTATTTGCTGTGTTCGAAATGTCTACTGTATAGCATTTTCATTCTTTATTATCGCATAGGTAAAAATGCTACGCTCTACATTGTCAATCGGGCAAAAAGTGATCTCTACACCATATCCAACTCCCGTTCAGCCTTGATCAAGTTCCAATTTTCATTTCGCAAATGAACAAGGTCACCAATCGTTTCCAAAATGTTGCTAAAGGCGATAAGCGCGACTTCTACCCGGAATCCGTTGACTATTTTGGCACGTTATGCATAAAAAAACCGACGGAAAAAACACCTAGCAAACTGAAGGCGATTTTTAGCCATTATAACCATTAGCCGTCTTGATCATGTTCTCCATTATATGAATATACTCCTGTCTGTTTACGAATAAAAAAGGGTTTTGCAGCTTTTTTATGTTACGGCTTTGGTTTTTCTTTTAACGCTGCTACTTATCCTCTATAAACTTATGCAACGACAGATGAATAATTTTACGGAACATTTTGCTTCTCGCACCCTTTACTGTATCCTATTTGGAGGTTTTTTTTTTTCTCTTCGACTTGTCGATTTACAAAAGTCTTAAGATATTACATGTAGCGAATGAGTTGCTCGGACAGTTCAGCTTGCTTGAGGATCATGGTTTCTATTCCCCAGTATTCTATGAACCGTTCGATGCGTTCTTTATCGTTGTCACAGTCCCAGTTGGAGATGTAATGAATCGTCGTCACCCCTTCACTGAATCCTTCATTTTCATTGAATATCCACACGTTTTGAAACGATAGATCGGATAATGGGGAAGACTGGCGTGACGAAGGTGCAGATGACGGACGACGATGGGTGGATGTCTGCCCTTTATAATTGACAGCCGATAATGCAGGTGAAGCAGACGGAGATATCCGTACCGGCAGATCAGCTGTCAGCCTATCTGTGATCGGTCGCTCTGATACGTAATGCTTTACAGGACGAGGTGTGAGAACAGAGGGTGGTTCCTCCGGCATCAAATTGGTTGTAGGGACAGTTGAGGCGTTGCGCATTTTAGGATGGGCGGCAGTTTCTAGGTAGGAGTGTGGATAGAGATGGTGCTCAGATTGCGGTGTATTGTTCCTTTTCTCGTCATCAGTCTTGGCTATTGTATCTGCGTGATGATATGGTCGAGAACCTGTTTCACTCGAACGGAGAGCTGGCTCATGGATGGAGGGAATCGGAGCAGAAGTAGTAGGCGACGACTTGAAATACGACTCGTGAATGAGATCCGAAATAAGCGATGTCGATTGGGCTCTCTTTCTAGATGGTGATTGAGTCGATGATTCCTGGAAGCTTACAGACCGCTTATGCGTCCCAAAGATTTTCTCCCACTGTACTTTATCAATGCCTGTTTTCCTTTTCGTTCGTGGGGGTATCCTGTTGGCGATTGCTGTGCAAATGGGGTCGCCAAGTGTCCCTTGCAACGGATGGTTCCTTTTCCGCGGATGAACCTGATGGAGCGGTGTGGACTCCGTCGATTCCGTCGTTTAGATGTGAGGCATTGTGAGAATGTTGATCGTCCGTGGACGTATCCTTTGCTTCATTGGTCACAAACGAATGTTCATTTGATGTATCACTGGAACCCGCTACCGATGTTCGTGGTTCACTGGTGCTCTCCTGGTTATGACTATCCCCTTTCTTGAGAGTGTCTGGTTCGTTAATCTTTGGTTTATGTGTGTGGGTCTCCAGTATTTGATGGTTGGGCGTTATTCGAAAGCAGTAGACGAGAATCCAGTGAAGAAGAGTAGCGATTCTAGGGTATCTGTACGATTTGAGATTTTGACCAAACGGTTGCTGTTTATTCCACAATGGTGAACCCATTGGATCCTCAACGTCGTGAAACATGATCGCATCCGGCACCCCTTTGATACATCGTGCTGCGACATTTTTAAACCCTGGTTTTTCTTTTTTATTTGGTGGTTTGCCGCACATGCATACCCATGGTTCAAAGGTGCAAGTCGGTAAGTGTGGTTTTATTGGTTCCCTCTTACTTTTTATTCATTCCTGATTCTTACATATACCAAAATCATAAAGACGAATTGACAGTTGACCGCATTCGAAAGACTGAAGGATTTCCATGTCCATGCTACAGGAAATACTGCAAGCATGCAAAGATATTGAAGGAGCATTTGGTGAAGGAAACAGTTGCCATGCATGTACGTATGATTCAACCGCTAATGCTGCGTCTTCAGCTGGCTCGTTGAATTCGTCTATTTTTTTATTTCGACCATTTCTTTTGTAATTCTCGAATTTAGCTTGTAAAAAGAAATGCAGCAAGTTTCTAAGGAAACATCGATGACTTGAATCATTGAAGCTTATAATAGCTTTAAATTAGGTGATTTAGAGGGAGCTCAAGAAAAAAAAAGCTGCAAAAAACTATTTATGATCTCTGTATAACAGACATGAAGATATTCATACAACGGATAAGAAATGACGATGATGATTAATGGCTATAATGACTAAACATTGCCTTTCGTTTATTTGAAATTTTAGCCTCCGATTTGGTGCATAGCGTGAACAGTTAGCGTCACCGGATTTTGGGTATAGTCGTGGTTATCGCCGTTTACTACACTCTGGAAACAAGTAGGACCTTGATAACTTTGTTCGGTTTCGAAATAAAAAAAAAAACCGGTAACAAGCGGTATAATCACAACTTCGGTTTATCCAAAGCGTCTTTGGCCAATGTTGCGACACGCAACCAGATCGATACCAAAAGCCGGTGACTGAGGGCCTGGTACTGCGCTTTCACTTCACCAGTATTGAAACTTCAGCGATATACGATGTCCGAAAATTACAGCTGCAACCGACTCAATCGCTCACAATGCTCCATGTATTATATCAATCGATGCGTCAGGTCGTACACTGGCTTGCTTTTCGTCATTCCTGACGGATGTAGTATTCAATTGATTATTTACATGCGATTTTTTTTACAGCATAAAAACTTACATGTTTCGGTGGACAGAAAAATCCTGTTCACAGAATTAAGGACAACATCGTTTGTATTAAGGCAAAACGGTGGCTCACGGATGTAGTACGACTGTAGTATCGTGATAATTTTGACAGTGACAGTGCTAATTTGCCGTGATGCTACTAGGCGCGGTGCATGCGTTAACTCGGGTCACCGGCCTAATACGGATCAAGAATAAAATGGAATAAATAAAAATAACAACAAAAAACAAAAACAAATAATATTTTCTTATTCTGGTTTCTCTCTCAAACTCACCGCTTTCATTGCATCATGATTTATTCAAGTTGCAGTTTGACTTTGGTGGGCGGAATGCAGTGGTTAACTCTTGCTTGAATGTTGCCTACTGCTTCGGAAACTTTTAGATGGCGCTACCAGATTTTCGCACGACCATGCAAGAGGCTCATGGCATACAGCAGGGTGTCCGGTCGGTGAGCGCGCATAGTTGGGAATATCGCTCAATGCTCAGGAACTAACTGTCGATGTAGGTAGCATTACAGTCACCATCGTAGCTTTCTGATTCTTTGAGCTCCGAACGAAGACGAAGTTACCACCGGTGCAGGTGTTTCAACTGCATCTCATGAAGTACAGTTGTTCACATTCGGATCATTTGCCGTGTTGTTCAGGAGTGAGGGAAGCAGCCTTAGGAGGAGAGGTCTTGGATTGATGGGCCATGATAGTATAGGGGAGAGGTAAAAGAAGAGGAAAACACGGAGGAGGATCTAAAAAAACCGGGTACGTGAGAAAATGATAATTTTTCATGTGCTTGTATAAGCTACGACAGAACCTTGTTTTGGCACGATAATCATACATCCTACGATGATAAAATATGGAATCGATATTATTTCTATGATCACCGAAAAATTTGATAATTCAGAGCTTATGTGTATCAAATAGAACCTTCTTTAGACGCATAATCTACCTCTCTACTGGTTTGAGACTAGACTAGTGAGCGAATAGAACATGAGAAGGACAACAAAAAGCAGCCAAGAGCAGATATTTTCCTGAATTCCTCAGTTTTCGTAAAAAAGCATGCGTTGACAATTTAATAAGAATACCAGTCAGGATAAAAACAGGACAAAAATGATATGAGAAAAAGAATCGAAAGAGAAGTGGAGTAAAAGAGAGAACGGATAAAGTAAACAATACTGGTGTGTGCTTGTGTGCACAGAGGAAATCGGAATGATCGTAAACATCTTGATGATGGAATCGAGCTGACGGCAGTCGCTCGATGGGTGCAATCACGTGGCACTGGAGTACAAAGGAACATGCACAGCACGATGTGTCACCATCGAACTCACGGTGACTATTGGAGGAGCGTATAATCCAAGATACTTGGCCAGCGAGGACGAAGTTTACATTTCGTACAATACGACGTTACTCATATATCCGTTAGGATTAAATGTGCAAAAGTGCAAGATGTCAACCAGAGTGAAAATGAGATTGTTACTCACAATGAATGTGATGGGTATTTGTATAAGTCTTGAGTAACCTCTGTAGGTACCAGTTTCCAATAGAAAGAATGATGTATATATTGGCGGAGGAGATGATAAACCGATAGAAAGTATATTTGGACTTACAGAAGGACGAATTCCATGACAGATGAGAGGTCGGATTGTGATGTCTGTGTCCGATTTGTAACTGATCATGTTGAAATATCATACACACACACATGAGGCGACTTGTTATTTGTGGTATATCCACTACTTGCCGTATTATCCATCCTAGACTGGTGTTCCCAAACAGGAAAGATCCGAGACGTGTTTCCATTCTGAGTGAGCTTCTCCATTAGAACATCGACTGAGCTTCTTCATCCATAACTTGGATCTATTGTCGAGATCCATTCATACGGTTAACACTGTCACATAACAGCATGTGGATTCTTCCAAATACACCTTATAACCGAGAACTGCTCACGGATAACTATCATTTCCGACTCAAGAGTAAGTATAAATAGGCAGGTCACATTAATCGAAATAAAGATCTCTTCTCATTGCCTCTTTTGTTCTAATATTCTCTCATATATCACAATATTCTATCAGGCGAACTTACTGTCTCGAAAAACTGTACGTTTTAATATATACAACAAGCTCGAACTGAAATATGAACAAGCAAAACACATCAAGGAAATAAACAGGGATTTCCTTTGAGTTAGCGAAAGGTATAGTTCAGCGGCCGCGCTGCAACGACCACACACAGAAACGATGGCGCCCTGGGACAACCTAACGATAAACCAGGCGACAGTCGCAACGAGTTGTGTCTGGAAACGGATCCTTTTTGGGAAGGACAAGAGGAGAAGCGTCCGCGCCAACAAAGTCTGTTTTTAAACGACTGAAGCAAATTTCTTAGATGGAAACGCAAAACAGGACTGATGACAAACGAATCGATAGGTCAGGGCAGAATTATCATGATCCATGAGTTTCTGATCTCGTAAATTTGCCCAAAGTGTCAGGCGAGAAATTTAGAGGGGAAAAAAGGAACGCCCAGTCAATCACGGAGAAGTAGCCGAGCTCCAAGCTGTACTCATATGCAAAATTGCGCGATACGGTGTGGAAGAGGGACTGCATAGTAGCTAAAAACATCCGCTCTGACTTTCTACACATGGGGTGCAATAACAATGAACGTCCTCTATCATTCAGACGGGGTGCTATAGTAAATTCCTTTTTTTGAAGTTCATGAACCAAGTGCAACACAAGCATCCCGTAAACAGGTACTTTTTTGATTGTTATTATAATATACATGTATATATTTTAGTGTGAGAAGTAGCATGAGGATAGCATTTTAAACAGATTCTTCCTTCTTTACAATTTCTGTTTCTATTCTTTGCAAGGGTTTCGGCAGCAAAATCTCGTTGATTTGCAAAAAGTAGACGGCGAGACACATGAGGACCATGCCAGCAGTCATACTCATAGTGACGATTTTTCCAAGGCGGAATTCGGGGGCAAGATCAACTTCCCACACGGGCACATTGATAAAGTTTGGCGCGAGATTGCCGAGTGAATTGACAATGGCAATGGCAAGGGCGCGGGTTTCATTGTCACAGGCGTACAGTTCGTTACACCAAGTCATCATGATCGGAGAGATTCCTAGTACCGGTGCCACCATGTATGCGGACACAAACAAGAGTCCAATAGGGACGTTGCCTCCGTTGACCGCCACGAGCAAAATGTACCATAAGAGAGTCCACAAACCGCCCACGACAATATGCCAGCAACGATGGCCTCTTCGATCCGATAACCAGCCTTGGAAAATAATCACCACGCCGGCCCACAGCCAGATCGGGACCATCATATAATTGGCGAACGAACTGGTGTAACCGATTTTTTTCAGAATAATGGGAAATTGCTGAAGAATACCCATCCCCATTTGCATGCATGTGAAGATACAGACATAAAGGTATACATAAGGTGTGGTAATCAGATTTCGCAACGTCACCAGATTCAAACCCGTCGACATCACCTTCTTTCCCTGTCTTTCGAGACGGGCGATGGCCAGTTCACGCATTTCACCCTTGATGAATCGTGTGTTGTGAGGAAAATTGGGAAGCAAGAAAAAGCCACAGATGCCAACAGCCACCGCAATCAGACCTTCAATAATGAAAAGCCACTTCCAACCACGCATCCCGTGAGCTCCGTCGAGGCTACTGGCAATAGCACCTGAAATAAGACCACTGAAAGCTCCGGAAATCTGAGATCCAGCTACAAAGATGGCCGTTCGAGCTCCCAGTTCTTGTTTTGTGTACCAATTTCCCAGCAAAAAGACAATACCGGGGTAAAACGCCTAGGGATCAGTCAACATCTCAGTACACCTTGTCGAAATAGGATACCGGGTAAAAAAACCAGACTTACCGCTTCACTGAAGCCGAGACAAATACGAAGACCCCACAGACCTTGGTAGTTGGTGACGAGGGCCATGAAGCATACAATAGCTCCCCATACAAATACCACACCGGGAAGCATGATGTTGGGACGCACTTTGGTAATGATGGCATTGGCTGGAATTTGCAGTACGATATAGCCGATGAAGAACATGGTGATAGCCCAGTTGTATCTGGAGCCAACAAGTTGCAAATCTTCTTCCATACCATTGGTAAAAGCATTGGCTACATTCATCGTTTGTTAAATAAATTCGCCTTGGCAGCCAACGACCCATTTTCCTCATGAGGTGATGCACTTACGCATATTGTTTCTATCGAGACCGTTGGCAAAGTAGCCAAAGAAGGCCCAGATAAGTAGACGAGTATCGAGTTTTTTGACTAATTGCTTCTCCAGTCTCTGTTTGGCTTCTTGATCCGTCTGATCCAGTATTGAGGGTGGCGGAGACAGTGATTCATCATAATGCGGCTGCTCCTTTTTCGAAAAAATCATTGTTTAAAAAGATGTATAAATGAGTACTGAGAACAAATGTAAAAAAAATAAAAATAAAAAATTGTAAATGACAGTCAGGGACTATTGAACGTTCTGTTTTCTCACCTTATATTGCTTACATAGAGACCAAACACATACCATATTTCCCCGCATTTTCCCTGGAGTTTGCAAACATCCGGGGCGACTCCGATGACTGAGAAAGGTCGGTGTGTAACGTCAAGACGATTTACCGCCGCCACCAGTCAGTACCCTGTTTACGAGCCGAAGAAATTACTTGATTGGGATAATTATCTTGTTGCATCTGCACATCATTTGCCGAATACTGCAGAATGTTGAGACCTTTTAGAAACTGAGATCCAAGTGACGGTCAATCCCCAACTCTATTTTCATCCTTTCATCGTCCGCTGAGCGAATCATCATCCTCCTGCACCTTCATCACTAATTTAAAACCGGGGACCTTTGCAGTTTATCCAGCTTCGAGTCACAAGAATTTAAAAGTCAAACGACAAAAAAAAGATGGAGAAGCAATCGCCAGCGACGAAAAAAAAAGTCAGATGCAAGAAAAAGTGGGGAAATCATAAGCCAAGCGGAAGACAGAATGGAAAAACTAGCAAATTATTATGGCAGTATAGCTACATGTGCATGTATTCGCTCGTAAACGTCAGGCTGGTCTTTGTTGCCTAAAAGAGGACGAACTACCTAACCGCCATGTACCGCAGGTCAAGGTGCAAACACACAATGAAAAAAAAAAAAAAATATACGGCGACAATGCACGAAGCAACAAGGAGCCAGCTGGGAATTTTTTTCCATGAAATTGAAGTCCCGTTTTCGCAATCGGATCCGTAAAGTCTGACAAATATCTTTTTCCGATTACGGTTCTTTACCGTTCCGAGGAAAACATACAGGAGCAGGGTAGAGGATATATTTGTTGAGCCATCCAATCAACGACAACTTATTTTCAGACAATAGGATGGTCGTTTGTTAGTTCGATCGGGAGAAGCCAAAAGAAAAAATCTATCCACTGTTTTTCATCGTCAGACAAAATGTGGGAAAATACGACAATAGTTACGTTGATAAAAGCGTCCTTTGAAGGATCTTGTCCCTTTTTATCATTATAAGATTCTTACACAGTATGCTCTGAAGAAAAAGCTCGACGTCGTAGGCGATAAAACATGGACCTTTATTACAGCAAGGGACTGTGGACCTCGAGTTGGACAGATTCAATGACCGACATTTTTTGGATTGGCAATTCTGGATGATCACTTTATCGGGGAACCATGTTGAGGCCGGGCATTTGCATTAGCTGAAACAGAACCGGGATTCATACTCGATGATACGCCGCATAGCAAAGTTGAGGACGAGGTTTCTCCGATAACGCTGGCAACGACGATGACTCAATTAAGAAGCACTCTGGCAACCAGACAGAAGAATGATGGCTCGTTATTTTAGCGAGAAATAAGAATCATATGAGTCTGTTTGATGTTGCACACTTCTCCTATGAGAAGAGCCACGCGGTCCTCAAGCTGTGCGACCTCTTTTGGCTTTTTCTTAATCAAGCTTATGCTCGATTCTCTCGCCTCCTTTTACTGTATGTGACCTTGCAACCTAATCTTCGGCAGACATATCATATTTAACGTTTGGGTAAGAAAAAAAGAATTTATTAAAGCTTATCGAAAAATTTCGGTGTATACAATGTTTTTCGTCATTGGTCGAGCTGATTGTTCATCTTGCTCAGCCATGACGAAGAGATTCCATTAAAGAACACAGGCAAACTGTCAGCTAAAACAAATTAAGAAGCTCCTATAAATTTCCAGATCGCTCGATATCAATGATATTTTTTTTTCTTTTTCGACAGTTACTAACCCCTTAAACTGACTGCATACGCTTGCTTCAAAAAAAAACACAAAAAGTTAATTGCTCCTCATCTTCATCTCCATTTGCTAAAAGAACAGTGAACTCGAGTTAAGGGGACCTGCTGAGTTTGTATCGTTTGTCCTCGTTGCCTTTCTGAACAAGTAAGTTAAGTGCGGCTCGTCATTACGATTCGACATGCGGATGAAATACAAAATATATTGTAGAATTTAAATAACCTTTATACCATGCTTCTCAAGTACCCTGATGACAGTGATGGGTGACCAGACTTCTGACGTGCTGGAGATTGCACTGTTTTCGGACTTTAGGCTGCGTAAAAAGCCTTCGTTGTCAATACAACCGGAAGACACAGTGATTGGACGGTTGGCGGCGATTGCGGCGCCGAATAGAGAAATGGAAGAGATATTGAATCTCCATGAACGGTTATCGCTTACCGAACTAATTGAAAGGTGTGATGTGATTATCAGCAAGATGGCTCGGTGGTTTGAAACAGCGCATCTCGCTGTGTTCACCATGGAAAAGAATATCAAGGAGGACCTCTCCACCAACCTCGATGATATGCAATCCTTGGATCAAGCGATCGCCACCATGGAACCCATGGTCGCTTTGCTGACAGAAGTAGGAGACATCATTGAAGAAAAACATGAGGAACAAGAGGATCAAACGTTCGAACAACGTCAGCAACTGATAGCGGTAAAGGTATCCATCACCAAGATCCAATCAGAATGGTCCGGATTACAGCACTTTCTGTCATCGATCAAAGCCGAACTGAAGAATTCCACCGATAAACGCGAGCTGACCTCACTTATCGAGAACGTTTTACTGCAGATCGATGATCTAGCCACCGTCATTTTTCAGTTTCAAGAACAAAGACATGTTGCCGCCATGCATCCAGGGACCGATCTCAGTGATATACTCTCGAATGCCAACAGTCAGTCGTCGATCATGTTAGACGATAAAAGTACAGATGGAAAGGATGACGTGCTGTTGACGGAGATCGACAGCAAAATCGAACCATTATTCAACAACATCGAAAAGATATATGTACGAATGACGTCTCAACCTCCGAAAGATGCGTCCGGCATGTTGACACGCAAATACCATGCCGTACAAGAGCGATGGGACTCGTTGCAAGTGGACATTGACGAGTTGAAGCAGGAGTTGAAAGAGGATCGTTGGTTGGCGGTGTTTCGCCAGGTGGCCGATCAAGTTAATGTCATGATCGATGGACTGGAGCGAACGGTGGCCCATTGTCAAACCGTCATTCAGTGTGTCCGAGATTGGCAAGCTTCCAAGGAGATCGCGTCATCACCGCAACATTTAAGCACGTTTGATAAACTATCCAGAACCCTGAAGCGCTCTTTTCCTCGATTGCAGCATTCTTCTTCCTCCCGTCAGGCCGAGTCCAGCTACGAGGCCAATGTCCCCTTCCATCCCCCTATAGATCGCGAAAAGTGGAACTCTACGGAAAAGAACTTTCAATCAAAATACAAGTATTACACCCCCGCCATTGATCGTATGTTGGCCATGGTGGAGAATGGAATTTCCACACGAATTACCAGTACCACTGGCTTTGTCACGCAGCGTCATCAAGTCATTATGCAGCGTTGGCAAAGACTGAAATCAGTCATGAACCAATTGCTACTGCATGATCTACCTGAGATTGGTGCGATTTTCAGCGGAGGATCGGCTCAACCAACGCGCTGTTACGATCCTGAGTACCAACGCCGCTTGCCAAGTGTATGGCAATGCCCAATGTATAAGGCACAGGAAACCATGGCAGGAAAGAAGAACAATACACCATCATCCACCACTACGGCAGCGAGATCCATGCAAATGCATCCTCGGATAGATGTGTCTGTCACCAATCAATCCCAGCTCTCGTCCTCTTCAGATTACGTTTCGACCCATCATCTACCAACGAGCTCCGACCTAATGGCTGGGCGATCCAAATCCATTCACACAAGCCATGAAAGCTTGTATGATGCAACGCACGGGTCCAAATTTAATCACCATGAGCTACACCACGCCAGCAGTTTTAGCGGATTACGATCCAGTACATCTGAATCTTCGTCCACTGGCTCGTCTTTGATTGTGCGACGGCGATCCAATGCCGAGCAGACATCAAGAGCAATGAAACCAGCGTGGAATGCCAGCATCAGAGCCAAAGAGCAAGAGTTTTCATCAGCGTCCCCATTGTGGAAATCAGAGAGCAAAACAGATCTCCGAGGCACTAGGAAAAGTCGGATTCCCGAAAAAGGATCGGAAAGAGAGAGAGCGGAAGCTTCATGGATGAAACCCACCAAAAGTGTATTGCTCCGCCATCGGTCCCAGAGCATTGATCGGTCCACGGCAGAGCACAATGATTTGCGGCCAAAGACACCTGTCGCACGATCCAAAACCCCCAATCCCGGTCATCGGCGGACCAAGACACCCACGCGGCTTCCAGCAAGACCAAAGAGCAGCCTAGACAAATACAACCCGCGTCTAGCCGTGCCGCCTCACGATCGCGATCGACCATCATCATCTCACCGACGATCACTCACTCCTTCCTTGATTCCGCGAGCAAAGACACCTTCCAACACCTCCATCCCTAGTCTCATCACCCGCCCTCGTTCCTCATTCGCCAATCATTCGTCTTACATTCCCCCAGTGCCGTCTTTGCCTTCCTATGTGGAACATCGTTCCGCAACGCATTTGGAAATGACGCAAACGCCTTCCTCCGATTCTCAGTTGTCTTCCAATCTCCATGTATCCACCTTGCATCATTCACCTCCTTCATCTCCCAGCAGCAAAGGAAGCTCACCATCCGTACGGCATGAACTGCGCAAAAAACAATCGGCTTCAATGCTGCTGCAACGAGATCCCTCCCCATCCCGGATTTCTCACATTCCTCAACCTTCTCACTTTGGTGTGGCCGGACCCTCGGTGGAGAAAGAAGCCTCGTCCGAATCCGATACGCACATCGCACTCGAAGATCTCCCTCCGTACTTGCCCGACAGAAAAGACCCATTGGACGTTGAAGTCGCCAACGTTGTTAATGCAAGTCCTATTGCGATCAAGTGCCAAAGAGCGCCCTCCACCCGAGGACGGTATTATTTTGGCAATGAGTTGAGCCCGTCTCTTGGAGGGGGAAAGAAAATGTACACTTGTAAATTAATGGATTATGGAGATCGGTATGCGCGGCGAAATAATGGAAAAGCCGTACGGAATAAAGTGCTTGTTCGCGTAGGTGGAGGATGGCAAGATCTTGAAATGTTTTTACTGGAGCATGCCAGTCTGATGGCAAGCGACGTCGTGGTAAAATCATTTGTAAGCAGTCGTAGCCAACTTGGTTGGAAAACATAATAAATAAATTCATAATATTCCATAAATTGCGATGCAGTTGAAAGACCCATTTCATTTGCATTCAATGAAAAGGAAAATGGGTTCACTGTATTAGGCTTGCATTATTCACAGGTATAGCATGTGAATGCCACCACGCACACCCACCCACGCACAGACATACACTCCAAAAAAAAAAAAAAAAAAAAAAAAAAAAAAAAAAAAAAAAAAAACTTGTTGGACGCTGTATACCGTTCTTGAATTTTACTGAGGAAACTGCATGTCACGTAAGTTTCCAATGGAATTAGTGTAATGAAAGAACAGTTGACCGGATTTCCTAGTGACGAGAGCGCAGATCACGCCGTGGTATTGTGATTGTGCCGAGTGGTTATGTGGTCATCTTGTCGCTAAAAAATGCATGTTCGCAAGAGCTATGCTGTCAAGCCGCATGTTTTCTCGATATGCAAGCATGGATGTCACATTGTTCTTGAAAAGTGATAACGCTCGAGAATGTCCGCATTCCAGTGCGCCTCTTTTGCGAGTGGCAACCAACCTTTGCGTACAACCCAGCAGTTGTCTCTGATGGATCAGCTCGCTTTGCTCGTCAGCCGCGTTGAAACGCATTGCGAGCTGCAGTATTCTACGAAGCTCGAAACCACGAGAGACAGACCGTCGGAGGGGTACTATGGAGAGTTATTGGATCAGTTGGCAGATACAACTCTCGACCAACGGAATGGCTAGATGGTCGGCGTGAAGACATCTTGTATGCACCGATCGAACCAGCTACTACTGCCCTACCACCGATCGTGGTTGAAATCCCAAAATCACTGCCGATTCCCGTCTCGTGATAAAAGGACATTGACACCAAGGTAGCAGTCGCACCCAAGGTTCAATATTTTATCAAGTTGTCAACCGACTATTGGGCACAGCAGGACTTTGACTGCAGTCCAAAATGGCGTTAACCGAGTGTTTCTTACACGTTTAATGAAATACGCAATTAACGTGTATGAAACGTATCACAAGGAGCCGACGGTTCTCGTCATCAGCGTCGGCAGGCCAGTACCGCAAAACAGAAGGAGATACTGGTGGATGACCAAAGAAGGTCATCATTATTGGGTTTTGAAAGACACCACGCTTCTTCATGACAAAAGAGACGCTGGCAAATTATCTGGAGGAAGACGCGTTGCCGCCGCTCGCAGGAGCCGGCCATTTTTTCACATCGCAGAGACGGTAAATATGCTATTGATATGAAGTATAAAATAACACATCTCACATGTTTACAAAGGCGCCTCTTAGCGATGGGGAAACCATTAGGCTCCTGTGCCAAACTGCCAAAGAAGAACTGGAAAAAAAAGAACCCGCCGAACAGGATACATTTCTTCCTTTCGTTACGTTCGCATATAATGGCCCCTCAGTCATCGAAGAAATCAAGACTGAAGCCTATAAGCTGCATGTGATTTCGACAATATGCAGGCAAACCGAAAAGCAATTCGAAAAATATCAAGTACCCTGCAGAAAGTCCACCATTGAACCTTTCCTGGGTGAATCGCTTCTGTCACCAGTGGTGGCCATTGCGTATGTGTTCATGCAGCAACGTGTGTTTCTTCGAACACAAGGCTCACCTGCACGTGCCGGACAATCAAACCATAATAACCGGAACGAAGGCGTGGAGCTACAACACGGTTTACGGTGACAATTTGCGGCATTCCCTTTGTCCGCATTGTCATGTGGGTGAACGTCGACAACAGCCGAAGCCAACCGGTTGTTCTTGAAGCACGGCAGTATTTCGGTCAAATTCGAAGTGTATTTCTTCATACATATGAAGGCAATTCCAAGCTGCTCGCTTTCGTCGAGATATGTCGTATCTTTACTTTGCTGCCGATTGCAAAAGCAGTTCACATTGGCCAACCACCCCTTCAAGACCGGCAAATGGATTTTCTATCAAAGCGACTTTATTTTTCGTACGACCGAATGTTATTCTCGTGATTGGGCGAATTTACTTTCTGGACTGCATAAAAGAGGGAAAAAATCTCCCGCATGGGCGTGTTTTGGAACGCGAATAACTTATTTGTGCTCCCTCTTTTCTTCACTGACGTTTTCACCCTCTATTTCGTCCTATTGCGCCTTTTTATATATTTTGTTTCTTGTACAATAAGCTGATCTCTTCTAACTGCTACAACAACACAGTCTATTTCTCTAAAAACGAAAAATCGTTCCAATTAATTTTCCCTTGTGAACTCCATTTTTCGACAAATCCGTAATTTGAAAAACGTCTTCAAATGCAAGGCATCTATTCCGCCATTTACTCAGGTGTGCCTGTGTATGAAATGACAGCCAATGGTATAGCCGTGATGCGGAGAAGCGAGGATGCGTATCTGAATGCAACGCAGATCCTCAAGGTGGCAGGCATCGAGAAGGGCAAGCGAACCAAGATCTTGGAACGAGAAGTGCTCACGGGCGAACACGAAAAAGTGCAAGGTGGTTACGGCAAATATCAAGGCACTTGGTAAGCATGCTTTTCTGTGGTATCCATTCAGTAAGACATCAGAATTGATTCATCTGTGATCGTGGAACGCTAGGATTCCTCTGAATAAAGGAAAGGAACTCGCCAAACGATATCAGGTGTCGGACATCTTGGCACCGTTGTTGGAATATAATCCACCGCGGCCCAACAGTAATCAGCAAGACGAAATACCCACAAAAGAGGAAGTCATTGCTGCGCTACGTAAACACCACAGTCGAGAAAACTTGCTCATTTCATCTTCGCAGCCACCATCCACCTCCTCGTCGCCTTATGCTCCATCCACGTCACGCTCCGTGTCTTATCAACAACATAAATCACCATTGACGCCGTCTGTTGCTGCGCCAATTCAATCATCCTCCTCCTATTCGCAACAAAAACATCCTTCCTCTTTGGTAGCGGAAGAAAATCAGCTCAAACGCAAGAAAATGCGAGTGGAACCCACCCTTGATTACATTGAAAACAATTCGCTCAACGATGCCCATCGCGACATTCTCATCACCATTTACAAGGCAGACGACCCTGATCGAGTGGCCGCGTACTTGCAAGATATCAAGCGGAATCCTGGCGCGACCGCCGATACCATTCTCGATAAACAAGGCAACACGGCGCTTCATTGGGCAGCGGCTTTAGGCCGATTCCATACTGTGGAGCGATTAATTTCCATGGGTGCCAATATATGTCAGCTGAACAATGCGAACGAGACGGCCTTGATCCGAGCATCAATGACAACGCACTGTTACAATAACAACTGTTTCGATAAAATCTTGGATCGACTGTATCAATCGATGCAATTGGTGGACAAGAGACGAAGGACCATCCTACATCATATTGCGCTCACGGCCGGTATCGAAGGACGCAGCGTTGCAGCCATGGTATACATGCAAGAGGTTCTCCGTTACATGGATATTCATCGACCAATGATCTCTCTATTGGATCTACAAGACGATGCTGGCGATACAGCGCTTAATATTGCTGCGCGATTGGAACGTTGGAATATTGTTGATATGCTTCTGCAGGCAGGTGCAACCGATGAAGTCGAGAATAATATTGGATTAAAATCCAAAGACTATGAAAAGGGCGCTTCACTGGTGAGTGACAAAATCACAGAAAAGGCAAAAAGGAGAAAAAAAACTCATTATGCGATTTTCTTGGGGTAAATAAACAGGAGAAGCGAGACTCCATTGACAGTGGAGGTGGGGATGAACGTCCAACTTACGAGCAAAGCCATCAGACCAAACGTTCCTCGGGATTGTCACAACGAGGACTTGAAATTGTATCCAGTTGAGTACTCGTAACAGATAAAAAAAAAGGCAGAGAAGCTGACGTGGGATATCTCTTTAGCTGTGCAAAAAATAGTTGACGCTTTAGATGAAGAGTATGGTGGCCAATTGACGACAAGAGAACAGGAACTACAGCAGACAGAAGACGAAATTAAAAGCATATCGCAACAGCTCGAGCAAGCGAGAAAGCAGCTAGAGAAAAGACAATCACAATCACAGCAGTTGGCGGAAGTGGAACAGAAAATTCGCAATCTCCACCTAGCGCTACAAAGTGGATTGAAACATCTGGAAGAACTTAAACAGAATTCCAGCCAAGACTCCAACCAAGAGCTCACGTTTGAAAAGATTGATGCGATCGATCCGGAAGAGAATATCGATGCCGTGTTTGCACTACCGGATATGGTGAACCGCGCGGCGATGGAGTCATTGTCGGCGACGCAGTTACACCAGATGGCGCAAAAGTTGCGAGCCCGAGTAACGGCTTATGAACGCAATGGTCAAGATCTGCAAACCGAAGCGGATCGTTTGCGAGCGCAATCGGCAGAAAAGGAACTCCAGTGCAAGAAACTGATTGCCGCCTGCTGCAATCTTCCTATTGACAAAATTGATGAGCTCGTGGAACCACTAACACTGGCTATTGAGAGCGATCCGCCTGATTTGGATCTCGCTCGAGTGATTGGGTTTATGGAGAAAATTCGACGTCAGGGTGCTTTTACGGACACCGCGTCTGAGCCTGGCAGCACGGCTCGATCTGGTAATACCACTATTTATGGCCATTCCGATTACGGCAATTCTTCCCAGACTGGCAACCTTTCTAGAGTAGGATATTGATCTCATTATTCTTGTTCTTACATTCTCATCATTTGTATACAGTTTCAGTCACAAGAAATCTAGCGCTTCTCCCCAAAGAATTGTTTGACGGCAGTTAATATAACACATTATAAAAATAAATATGACGTCGATTGAGGGAGCTGGTGCAAACAAAAAGATGTCTTAGTGTGGTGCTTTTTGTCGCTCATGCGGAAACTTCAGACACAAATACATGGGCATCCTACTTTAAACAACAATGACAAGAGTGCTATCCGTCACCGCGTCTCTGTAATTCGCTTCGTTAAGGCTTCGTTTTGCATGAAGTTGTCCTTTTTATGGTCTATTTGACAAGGATTACCAAAAATGCTCAATGGGAAATCGAGCTCCGGGCGAGTAACAGTAGCAGAATATACACAATAGCAATCACTTGTGTCCGCCAGCATGCGATCTTTTTGAGATATAATATATGGATACAGTAGAGGCATTTTCCATAACAAATTAAGAGGTATTTCTCTTATGATAGAGTATTTATCCAGGTCATCCTAACGGATGAAAAAAAGGAGAGATGCAAGGTACCACCGTGGCCTCCCCTTTCCGGTTTTTCGGACAACATTGCACACAAAGTAGACCTTGATGCTTTTTAAATAAATTTTCTCTCTTTTTTTTATTGAGTTTTCTTTCATTTTTTTCAAAGTTGCTTCCATCTTCTACTTAAAGATAACAAAGATGATAATCCATAAATCAAAGGGGGAAATGGTGAAAAGAGAAAAAGAAGAAGAAAGAAAGAAAAAAAGGGCAAAAAAAAGAAAATAACGGTCACCGCCTATTATCACTTTTCGCTTATAACAAAGTCAACCCTGTAAGAAGCCAACCTTTGTTCGCAACATATCGCAATTGCGAAAGAACGACGAACAAAAAAAAATATAAAAAAAAAAAAGAAAAAAAAGGGTCCATCCATGTGAATGGTAAAAAAAAAAAAAAGTAAGGGGAGAAAATTAGCTTTTTTGGATGGTTTTTTTTCTTCCAATAGCAAAAGTATCAAGGTATTTGATATGTAACTGATATCAATTTACCATTTCAATTCTGCCAGATGGGAAGTGATTGTTGGTAACGATCAAACGGATGTGTGGATTGCAAGCCAATCCCCTGACAGCGATCAAAGAATTGAGTACCGTTACCGATGGTATTCCAGGCGTTATAACCGGACGACGAAGTACGTAACGAGGTCAGGAGATCCGCACCCAGAAATCGTTGATGGCCGTGGTTCGGAACAGGCGAAGGGTGGATCAACGGAGGAAGACGCAGGTCTTTCGACAGGGCCATGTCTTTTGGAGGCGAGAGGGACACTGAACAATGGGTGCCCTTTTGATCTTCGAACATGGCGTTCTCGAGACTAGCGAGACTGAATCGATTGGCGGAAGTGGAGGCGCCACGAAGCGTCCCTGGACGGCTCTCACGTGAATAGGATTGCTTGTCAAACGGGAACTTTTCGTTTTCAGAATAACGATGTTGATCCAGAGAACGCTCTCGATTTTCCTGCATAATGCTGCGCAATTGCTGTTCCAGGGTCTGTCGCTGCTGTGTTTTACGGAGTTGGTCTTCCAACTCTTGTTGCAACTTGCGACGTTCCTCCAATTGCTGTTGAGCTCGACGCAAACGTTCTTCGACCTGTCGCAGCTGCTGCTTTTTACGTTGATCTTCCAGCTGTTGTTCGGCTTTACGCAAGCGGTCTTCCAATTGCTGTTGCTGCTGAGCTTTGCGACGACGATCATCGAACTGCAACTGTTTGTGAATACGGCGTTTGCGATCTTCCACCCATTTTTGCTGATGGGCTCTACGTTTCTGCTCTTCGATTTCACGAATATTCTCTTCATCAACACGTGGTTGTTTCGTTTCTTGTGACGATCCTTCAAAAGACCATTGACGTCGCTGTTCCTGTTCACGAAGATGATACTGCCAATAACCGTCATTGACCGGTTTCTGTTCACCAGGACATAATCCCAAGCTCTCCAATGACGCCATGATGAGCTGTTGTCGTTGCAAAGGCGCTTCAAATGCCATGACGGAGGCACGTTCACGACAAGCTTCGAGGATCTTTCGCCAGCGGAAAAACTCCGTGTCGCGAACAAACAGGTTGTAATCCAGAGCGCCAAGGAACTCCGCCTCCATTGCGTTCAGATCATTGACTTTCATTCCGCTAATTTCTGACCAGGTTTTGTTGGTGTAGGTATTGTCGTCAAGAAATTTGTTGGCTTTAAAAGAATGAACAAAAGAGAATGTGAGCATACTGTTAAAAACAAATCACGATATCTGACCTCCACGCAAAAGTATATAGAAGCAAAGCATACCTAGCATCAATGAAACAATAAAGAGACGATATTCCGAGCCTTCTGCGCCTTCAATGGTGGGATTGGCTTGCAGAAGAATGGCGACATATCTGAGAGCCACGCATACGGCGGAATCGGAAAGTTGGGTCGCATTGAGCACCTAGAGAATTGAAATACACAGAGGAAATGAGCACAAAAGAGTCGAGGAAATTTTAAACAATGAAGAGACTAAAGAAAATAACGGTACCTGAAAGCAAAAGCGCTTGAAAGCCGGTGAAGCGGTAATGGACGTGACAGAACACTGACGTGGCGAAGTGCGATCCTGAGGAGAGAAGGGGGGAGAGACACAGTATTTTCGCGCGTGCCACATCAGGTATATCATCGATGATGCAAACTCGGCCAGTTGCGGAATCACTGGCGCTGACGAGTCCACCAATCCAGGTCCAGGTGAGGGCGAAGGGACAAATGGTTCGAACGAGGAGTGCGACTTTGGCGAAGCACGTCGGTAAGGACCAAACGAGATCTTGGTAAAGTCGGTGGACGCCGTAGAGTGAGTTTGAGTCACTGCTGGCTTGGGAGGAAACAGCGTATAATGCTGCATGGGTTCCACTTGAAGATGCATTCTTGGCAAGTCGGCTGTCTGCACAGAAGCACAGGAATGAGCGGACAAGTGAAGAGATCGTAACCGCAGATCCAAGATTGATCAAAAGCACCTGATCGAAAAGATAAGGAGTCTAAGATCAAACGAGCTGACCCAATCAGACGGAAAACGAAATGAAGAAGAATATATAAAAAAAGAGAAAAAAAGAGAGAAAGAGAACAGACAGAGAACAGAAAAAAGAAGAATGGCAAGCAAAGCTTAGATATTCTTCTTTTTATTACGTGCTTCTACCGTCTCAATCAAGAAAAAGAAGAGGTCAGACAAAGAGAAAAGAAAAAAAAAGGGTAAAAGAACCGGACAGAGTCGGTTAAAAGAAGAAAAAGGTGGTGTGGACAAGCCCAACACTCAACTGCAGGGAAAAAAATCTCTCTTGTTGTATGATGCTGATAACCGTCACTGATTGGCTTATTCACTGCAAAATATAAAAAAAAAAAAAAATTTTGTCGGTTCGAATCTTTTCACGTGAGAAAATCATTGGATGACCACCTTGTCCTTTCTCCTCTTCCCTGCTCTGATTGTTTCTTTATTATTGTCTTGTAGCAAAGAAATCTCTATCCTGCATAGGTGATGTAGGCGATGAACCGGATGAAAAGCTTTCACCGGAAGTGGTAACAGTGTGAATGGTAGGCGTCGTCTTTGGTAGAGGAGGGGGTATAGGGAATGCATGGATATCTGAGAATGATGACTCCGATTTTAATCGATCAGAATATCGCCAATCCTAACATAATGAACATCTTTGTTGTTAATTTCACACAATCATCCAATCAAACAATGCTTCAAAAAAGCTCCATGACTTCTTTGTTTACCTTTTGTAGATCAATGACTTCTAGTTCCATTCGTTCAAAGTCCCTTTCCAATTGAGTCACAATATCGTCCTTCATACGTAATTCGCACTTTAAGGTTTCTGCATCCTCCTCTTTGTCTCTCAGCATCTCGCATAGAACATCTCTATCGGCTGCCATTGTCATGATTTCCTGTCGCAAGCCCACGTTTTCTTTTTCCAGTGCGCACGCTAAATCACCGCCTGACAGATTCGAGTGGATCACCGGACGACAAATGTGCTGCGGTTTAGGTTTCTGTACTTCGGTTTCCGGAGGTAATGTCAATACCGAGAAACCTTGCCTTAGCGGTTGATTGGTATAACAGCAAGTTTTATCACATGTCGGTTTTCCTTCCAACTAAAAAAAAAATAGCGTCATTCATTATACATCGACGTCACGGGTGTCTTTCTTTATTTTTAATTGTTTCACTCACCTGTCGATACAGTAAATTGATCATCTGCACCAAATACTCATATTCAGGTCCCACTGTTTTCATTTTCCGAATTTGATCTTCTTTCAATTGATTGATCTCTTCCTACCAATGACAGATAGCCATTGACCGTTAACCAATTGTTCACACTCACTCAATGACATGCATTTTTTTTCCTTCGTCTCAATGGATGATCGTTGTATTGTTTGGTGGGAAATTCACTTACCGTTTTGGCATTCAACTCATCTTGCAATAACCTATTACTTCGTTGCAAACGTACATTAAGCTGCAAAAGTTCGTTCATCTCTTGTTTGAGTTCTCTTGTTTGCTGATCGACCAGTCGATCGCATTCAAGTTTAAGAATACGATTGGCGCGCATTAGACGAATGTTGGAGAGGGTAAGCTGATCAATTTCGTGGTCGACCTGTTTTAACCGAGTATTGGCGTCACCATCTTGGATAGATCGCCGTGGGTATGACTGTGAAGGCTTTGGAACGGTTGGGAGAGCGAGAATACGTTAGGTATGACAGAAATGGAGGTTCGAAAATAAAAAGAATTGATAGAAATATTTATATTACTGTTTTATGAAATAGTTACCAATGAAGCTAATGAGGAATCGTGAAGAGGTATTGAATAGTTCATCAAGTTGTGAAGAGGATTAAGTTTGTCGTGAGAAGGTGGAACAGCCGGCATGGAATAACGATGCATGGCCATGTCAGTATGATAACAAAGAGTAGTTTATAAAATAAGGGGATGCAGCATAGAGAGTGTTCAAGGATCGGCACCTGAAAAAAAAAAGTAATTCAAATAAAAAAAAAGAGCAAAACAGCCAAATTCTGTTTGTATTCCACATGCTTAAGCAGGCATGATCCTTTTTTTTTTCTGTGCTTGATGGGAAGCGTTTTCTTGTTTTGCACGTTGCATACATATTCCTTTGGTGTACGTCTCCTTCGAGCAACCTTTTAAGATAAAGTTCTCCTGATTCGTGGTTTCGCTAATGGCCAATGGATAGCTAACCAAGCCATCCACACCCAAAGATAAGCATCTCCCATATTCAGATATGCTTAATGAACGATTGTGGTGTGCCAATATGATCGCCCGTTGAAAAATTCAAACCTTGTATGTCCGCTCGGAAAAAGCCTAAAAAGGGCAAAACGGTGGACATCCCAGGGTTCCATCCAACCATCGTGGCACTCCGATCGTCAGAATAGCCCACAAACTCATTGCCTTGACTGCCATCAAAGCATTGGGGCGGTTGTCGATAGAAACAAGGTAAAGCGCTCACAGCATCTTTATTTTTCTGTATTCTATGTAACAATATTTAATGCATGTTACACGGCTCAACTCAGCAAAAAGGAAGAAACAAGCCCAACCGAAAGCCTGGTAACTCTCGGAATGCATGACGAAATACCATCGTCGGATGACTGACATACTGAATTGTAAGTGCCCTTTCCTGATACGCATTATTATTAACCTTCTGAATTCGATCTGACGATCCTGCACAAATTGCCGCATCCTGTCTGCAACTGTGAAGCAAGGCAAGTATAATTTAACCACAGCAACGGTGGATCTTCACGATCTTCCTCTATCAAAGTTTGTTAGCGTTTTTATAAAACATAGTTAATATGTTCTGATTCTAATGAACTAGACAAAAAGCTTGACTTGAGTGATATATTGCCCGCTTTGACGAGTTCAACTGTTCCTGATCTTTTCATTTAGTGATAAACCAGCTAATGTGTACTTTTAGATTCTTTTGACTGGGTTACTCACACCAGCGTTTTTTCTCGTTTATTACGTACTATACTTTATCGAACCAAATGTAGGTACTATATGTCATCAACTACATCGCATACGACTTTTCGAGAGACAAAGCTTCTCCGTGGACGCATCAGGATCGCCGTCATTTGGAAGCCTCTGACTTGACAATAGTTAGTTCTCTCTCTACCACACAGCATACAATTGTATGTATTGCATACAGCATTGATGTGTAGGGATGGCCGTAACCGAAAAGGGTGTCTAGCGTTCAAGCTGCATTTTGCTTGGGTGCACAAAAATAGGGAATCCCCCGCCTTTTAAAACTCCGTCAGTCTATTTCCTGTGGCAAGGATGCTGTGACAAAAGGCTTCTTCTGCAACCTTTCAAGCATGTTTTTCTGCTTTACTTGTAAATGGAGTTTTCACTTGATAATCTGATATAGCAAGCATAGCTAATAATGATTTATTTCTAGTCGGGTTTGATCAGTTCAAACGTAAATCGTCTCATCACGTTTGGCATTGTCCCAACTGTTCCGCTCATGACGTTTACTTGGTGAAAGCCAATGAATGCTTCACTTTTTGCTTCATTCCGCTCATTCCTTGCGGATCCACCAAGAAACTTTACGAATGTTTTACTTGTGGATGGGTCAACGTCTATCAACCGCCAAACTAAGCTTTTTTTGATGCGTCCTATTTTCTCCATGATTTACCGGCAGAAGGTAAAGATTGACATGATTACCCAAATTGACATGCAGCGCATAAAACGATTGGCCTAACGAAACAATCAGCTATTTATCATCGCTATCGAACCGCTCCAATGCCTTTTTTTTCTTTATTTGTATATGCATCCAATATTATTATACTCGCTTATTCTCCTTTACTGCTACTTTCTTTATTCAAATTTGCTCAAAAACATTTTTAATGATATCGGCGATGTGTTGTTGCAGACTTTTCTGCAAAGTGTTTGCAAATCTTGGCGCCAAGAGATTGGTCAGAATCCTATAAAAATCGAAACGAAAAAGCCCAGGGTGAATATTAATATGCAGCATTTACATGGAACCAAACTATCATGCTACCTGTGCTCTGTTTCTTCGACCCGTAATGACACGTTTTCCATGGTGCAGCAACACTCTCTTATTTCTATTCCACTGAGTCGGGTGGCTGTATTTTCCGTGCTTGCCACTACCTTGATGTAAATGTTGTTGCAGAGCACCTTGCATTTTCCATGGTCAGCCCACATTGGGAAGGAGGTTCGATTAAATACGTAATCCATATTTTGACACACAATGGCCGACCCTTGACTATTTTATGTGAAACAAAATCATTAATGAGTCTTTGTTAGATGCAGTCGCAAGCATTGATAGTAAATACATACAACTCGTAGTGAGTCCAATTCTCCTCATGGGAGCGATCCAACCACGTATATTTCGCATCTGTCGTGATTAAGGTTTCTCGATGGACCTTGACCATCGTTGGCAACACCTGATGCCAATCAAGGATGATATTGCTCAAGGAAAAATTGAAATTACCCAGTTGACTAGTAAAATAATCATTCATGCAATCAGATATAGTTCTTTCTACCTCTCGGTAGTGACCTCGCTTACCCGTGGATGGAAGGGATGGATAACGGACCAAGCTTCTCGCTCCTTTGGATAAAATTAACGTTAATACAAAATTCGGTTGTTGACAAGATATCATCATCCAACTCACAGTATAGGAAAAATGGCTCCGAGGTCTTTCCAGCAAGTGTCGCTTAGATTGAGACAGGAACGTTGGTCATCCCAAAAGATAGACCGAGCAATCTTTTTAGTTTGTCGAAACAGAGAAGCCGGGAAACCTCCAAAAAATGGTTCCATGAGAATTCGGATATCGCGAATTGCTGTGTTCAAAGCGTCGAGATCGGTTTGTTTCTCCAGGTAGTCTGCCAATGTTAGAAGCAGCTTGTGGCGAGTTACCGCAGAGCGGGTTGACTGAGGGACTGTGGTTTGGAATGGGCCAACGTCATTTTCATCAACCAGGGCATCCGCTTCCTTTTTCGCATTACACCATTCCTGGAAAATGGCGTTTACGGGAGGTAATCCAAGCCGTATCAAAGTGGAGACCAGTTCATCGATGTACTTGCGACTTTCTTCGTAACCTTGCAAGCTGATAAATGCATTCATTGTTGCTTTGACCATGACCGATGGATAAGCGGCTCCTTGTTTTTTCTCTTGCTTCAGATGATTCATGCACCGAACAAGATTTTCGATCGCTACCACCGTGTATTCGTCCATCAACAATGACTTTAGCAGGGGATCGGCTCGCTCAATTAGCTTTTGAACAGCAGATGGATAATGAGTCTGTTCTACGAATCCATTGTCTTGCGCTCCTTCACTTGCAGGGTAACGATGGTCGATGACATCACTCAGTGAGAGCTCGGGCGGTGCTGGTACCTTGTGTTTTCCTTTGTGTGGAGCCACACATCCCTGAATCGCCTTTGTTTCGTTAATTTCTATAATCCATCAGTTAATCTCAATCCACAATTTTGCAAACACAAAGAAACCGACTAAATGGTTTCGATATTACATACCAGTAATGAAGTCTTGCACAATGTCTGTACCGACGCTGATCACTTCAATCAGGATGGGAGATCGAAGGAAGGCTTCAAAGACATTCCAGCAAATTTGGTCAACCTCTTGCTGAAACCAATCTTTTTCCATTGTTCTGCATTAATGTCGATTTCTTCCGAATTATAGTTGAGTTTGCTTTACCTTTTAACTCTGGCAACGCTCGAGGCTTCCAAACCAGCACATAGTAAAACTGCTTCCAAACGGCGTCTTTTCCCAGCTGTTTTGATTTATGTTCCCAGACTTCTTTCCATGCTTGCAAAAAGTACATGATATCCGTGACAAAGTCTGTTCGGGGTACCTGGCTTCCCTCTAATAGTTGGCTTCCCTCTAGTAGTTGGCTTCCCTCTAGTAGCTGGCTTCCCTCTAGTAGCTGGCTTTCCTCCATTGGCTCATCTGTTATTGTATGTATTTCGTCTCGATCATTTTCCGAGGCAAATCCATTAGGCCCCATTGGCAAAGATGCCTTTTTGTTTTGGCTAATATGAGTACATGTTCGAATACAACTAGGCGCTATATAATATGTATTGTCAATACTTACTGAAGATGCTCGGGATGAACTCTTGAAATTTTGTTTTATTACAGGAGCCGACGCTTCTAGAGTCTCCTCAAATTCCTCGCTTGCCGGGGTTGTAATCATATTAACATCTGGATCCATGTTGATAAAGAAACTTATTTCGCTTTCAAGAGCAGTTGTCAAGAAAGAAGAGATGGGTTTATTAAAGGTGATCAAATGTCATGCAAAAGCAAAAGCAGAAAAAAAAAATCACTCATATGCCAAATTGATCTAACCTAACCTACTGTAACATGAACATGAGAAAAAAAAACGCTTTCAAGGTTTCTCCTCTGCATGATTTTGATTTTGAAACGGCATAGGTTTATGTATAGATGATCTGCTTGTTATACTTGTTTTCATTTGCAACAACAAAAAATGTCGTATGGAATTCGTACAGTGATTCGGGACCGATTTATCAATTGATGATATCAATAATTATCATTAGAGTGATGCTTGGGACTCGATATAAATCTTCTTTGCCAGATGACAGCATAAAGTGCGTCAGTGATCAACACACTTTTGGCAAAATAACTGAGCAAAACGGGTATCAGAGCACGACCATTTTTCTACGCGCGACGTTGCTGATAATCAAAGGGCGGTGATCTCTGTTTTCCGAATTCGTTCAGCGTATGCTGCACCTTATCAGAATCTTGGATGCCATAAAAGAACATGGTGGAACCGTCCTGTTGTCGTCGTAATGATCCGTCGGACCGTTCAAAATGCCAAGCACCGTCCAGATTTCCGTCTATATCCTGTGCATGGACAAGCCAAGTAAGCGTGGGGTAGTCCTTTCGAATCATGTTCCAAAGGTTATCTGGAACGTTATTTAGTACAGCGGTTTTGGTGGCTAATAATTTCTCCAGCACAGGCGGGTTGGAAGGATTCGCAGGGTCGCTTACGACAATCGCCAACACCTGACCCGGTTCATCCGTGTACAGAGTCATTTTGGGTTTTTGTTGAAGTTCACGCAAGTAACTCGCCACTGAAATGTGGCCCGATTTCACCTTGCGATCTTCGGTTTCGAGAATGCGTCGCAACTTGTCCAAATTCATTTCATCCAAGTTGTTGTACTTGAACAACTTGTGTCCTCGTCGGATGAGGGTCCCTGCACCCGAGTCCGTAAAGAGCTCTTTATGCAAATGGCCGGCTGAAATAATAGCCACCGAAGAGGATCGCGGTAAGCCATCGAGTAACTCTTTGCATTGTTTGATTTTAAGTCTTGTGCCATATTTCACCCAAGGTTCCTTTAACAAATCTTCATATTCCTATCCTTCCATGTCAGATATGAATGTTCTGCATGTGTTGGGTTGGGGGGGGGCCTTTTTCCACGAGAAGCTTACCTCATCCAAATTAATAACATCAATTTTTTCGCCGGTAATGCCGTGATAAAGCCCGTTCTTTTCGTTCAAAAAGACAATCTTGAGTGGTTCCAAGGCAATTGCCAGTTCTGCAGCGGCGACATCGGCATTGACATTCAAGATTTGACCGTCCACTGTCTCTGCTAGTGAGGCTAATATCGGTAGTGCGCCTGCCCGAATAGACGATTCGATCACTTCTTTGTTCACGGCTGTAATTCGACCCACATAGCCATACTTTTGCTTGTCCAAATATTCAGCAACAAACACACCACTTGGAATCGGTCGCGCACGTGTGCCGTGGCGTTCAAGCGCATCGACCAGTTTCAGATTTTCGCTCAAAAAGATTTTACGAGCCATCTCCAAAGTAATATGATCAGTGATGCGTATGCCTTCTTCGTATCGCGGTTCTACGCCGACGTTAGCCAACAATTGGTTCAGTTGCGGGCCTGCGCCATGCAGCACGATAGGATACAATCCCACTCGATTCAAAAAAGTGAGAGCGGATGCCAAGGTCTCTAATTCATCTGTCAAGACCGCCCCGCCTATTTTGATGACGGCAAACTTTTGCGACTCCACTGATGAGAAATGACGCAGATATTGCTCGACCTCCTTTCGTGAGCCAATATTATACAATAACTTGACGATGATATCCTGTGCCAACTGAATAAGTCTCGATTGGTATAGGTGTAATGGGGGGGGTGTACCTTTTCAGCACTGTAATGATCAATAGGCTTGCTGTAACAACGTGGAGCAAATGCTGGCCAACGTGATGAGCAGAAAATAGGAACAGAGGACAATGTTGGACGCGTCACTCTTGAAGATATATTGAGAAGGCCACAGATACCGATCCTTCGCACAATCAAGGGCATTTTATATGGTTTACTCGTTAGTTTCCTGTCGCTCTCGTGTGTTGGGCACCAAATGCTTGATAAAATCAAAGGAATGAAAGTGGGGGAAAAAAGACTCAGCGTTGGCCTTTGTTTCTTTTTTAATAAGTCGGTGAAACCCAATGTAAACAAACAAGGGCATCTCGAAACATGATTTTCAGACCTTGATATAATGCAATATTACAAGCAGATGGTTTGTCTGATAACTTCGAACATAAAATAGAAGCATTAGCAAATTTATTTGATACTTTTACTTCATCAATTGAAGCCGTTCGCTGTTGTAATGGATTGTCCAGAGTAGAGTTGTTTTTTACATGTTGCAAGTTTTATGCAATTTCTGTCGGAAGCTCTCGGAATTCTATCCCGAAAATTTTCTTTTTAATTTTGAGATCGGCGGAAAGAGTTGCATTGCCAACAGGAGGTGGCTTGGGTCCACTGCGGTTTCTCACTCTCCCTCGAACATTGGACCATGAATCAACTACGCAATGTCTCGGTCAAAGTTCCAACACTCGCACAATGGAACAAGAAATTCAAAATGAAAGGGTCCATGCGTTACCCACGAGCGACTTTGGCCGACATGGATACAGCAAGTAAGCCATTCTTTTCTGCAGAGCCCCGATCGATGGCATGTGATTAACTTTGTTGATTCCATAAGCACAAGCATTGAGTCGATTGCAGTTGCCGCATCCTGAAAAAATGACAGTTGTAGAAATATATCCAGGTAATGCGATCCACATGGGATTGGTTCCTCAGGCAGTCATTGACAACTGTCTTCTTTTTCATCAGGACTCGGCACCTGGACAGCCGCCTTGGCCAATGCTGGCTTCAAAAAGATATTAGCACTTGAGCCACAGCAGCATTATTATAAGCATATGATGGTAAGCCTTGTTAGGTTTGGATGGGCACGGCAACTTTACGAGCATTGATGTGGGTATGGAAACTAGGACGTCAAAACGCAAGCAGAAGATGTCATCGTGCCTATAAAGAAAGACGGTTATGACTGGTCTACTTATGTGGAACTCAAGAAACCAGAGTACCTCGGTCATTTGGAGAGACCTGACTGGTCCACAGGTAAATACATGTCTGTTATATGGACTGTGGTTTGGGTGCTTAACCTTGGCGACGTAGTCCATCCGGAAATTCTATTTACTGGCACATTACCAAAATCCTCGGTGGGCGAGCAGTTGTTGGCCCAATTTGCCTCTTGTATCGTGAACAAGATGGCACTGCATACGTTGGGTCGTATACAAATGGCTCTATGGATGCCTGACATGCTTTATCGGGTAAGTATCCTTTGTCGGGTCGGTTGGTTATTCGTCAAATATCCGTTTATTGAGCTCATCAAATTCGATAGAAATTTGTGGCACCTCCCGCTTCCTCCAATCGATGCAAAATGAGCGTCGTTGCTGAAGCAAGCGCAGACGTAAAATCCCTCTATTCGGCAACACCCAACGTGCTATATCCTCACGTGAGTGTTCCTCACATTGTCGGTTCATCAACGATTCAACTGATTGATTTGGTCGTCATCATAGGAAGAATACCACCTAGTACATATTGTACCTAGAGCCACCCATAAATTGACCGGTAAAATTGTTATGCGTTAGCTTCTTTTACATGGATTGTGGATTCTTACACAGGTTTATTATTCAAATAGCGCAATGGGATGTTTTTGAGTATGTCCTCAAACATCTTTTTGTCATGCAAAAACAACCTCTGTCCAAAATTGTCAAGTAAGTGACGACTACCACTGCATTCTGTTTTTCCAGTATATTCATTCAATTCAATGTTACAGAACACTCGGACCCGGGGCTGACATTATTCTGCGGAGACTTTCATTTGACCCCGAAATCACGGTGGGCCATATGACAGCCGAACAATTGAATGAAGTGGCTATCAAATTCGATCAGTGGCCACTGCGACCGAGAGTCTTGTTTGAAGACGCATCTATCCTGGCATAATCCATTTGACAATACACCATTTAGAATCTAAAAAACTTATATTGTACATGATCTAGAGTAAACAAGAAATAACAATGTATCTACAATTTTGCAAAGCCTGACGCGATTTATCCCCTATCATCTTCTTGATTTGCCTTTCTTCATTGGAACAGCAAGAGCATGCCCGGTGGCCTTGATGTGCGTAAACATTTGGTTACGCGTCTCGAAACTTTCCTGACAAACGTTGCATTGATGCTATACCAAAAAAAAAAAAAAAAAAAAAAAAAAAAAAGAACATCTTAATATTTTGTTTCGCCTTATTTTTAGCCTCGTCATTTTTCACAGAATCCCCTTACCGTCGCTGCAGCCTCTTCCTTTTGCTTCTTCTTTTCTTTTCGTTTTTCTCGTTTTGTTTTCGCCGACTCCTTTGGCATGGCCGATGACTCGCTCGTTTCTTCTCCTTCCTCTACCGAGGCTGGAGTATCAGGTGTCCCATCTGCGTTCGCGAAGAAAGCATTCTGTTAAATAATCCATCCAGAACGTAAAACGATACATTGTATAGCCTTACCAGCTTCCATGGTTCTCCGACCCCCTCGTTTTTTCCGTCGACTCTCTTCCAGTTCCAATGCCGCTGTAAGAGCCGCAATTTCGTCCTCATTTCCTTCTTCATCGAAACCCCAGCGTGGAGCCGATTTTCCCTTTTTCTTCTTCTTTTTCTCTTTGACTGGAAGAGGGATGATTTCTTCCTCTTCTACTTCTTCTTCTTCGTCTTGTGCAGGTTCCACTGTCTGATCTTCTGGAGCAGCAGCCATATTTGCAAAGTCGAAATCTTCCTCGTCGGCCATCATTTCTTCCTTCAATGCTTCGGCCAATTTGATGTGCTTTTTACTATTCTCGTGGCTGACAAATTGTTGTTCGCTTTTGTAGAATTTATCACAAACCACGCAATAAAAGGCACTCTCCTCCACTTCTTCCTCCTCGTCGTCGTCGCTTCCTCCAATGGAGAGCGAATCCAACGGATGATGATCCACCTTGGCCCACTCTTGTTCCTGGTAAGCATCGATCTGCGCCTGTAATTCTTGCTTTTCACGTTGGATTCGTGCTTTTTGCTTAGCGGCCGCTTCCTCTTTTCGTTTCTCTTCTTCGGCTTGGAATGCTTTGAAGCGCGGATCGCGCTTTTTCACGAAATTGGCGAGACTCTATATCATGTGACGATAAATATGGAGTTGATGCCGACGGATTTCCATTTCCTTGCACTTACTCGCATGGTATCATTGTATTCTTTGCGTGCTGTATCTCTGGCCTTTTTATTCTCTTTTTCCATGGCTCTTCGCACATATCGATTCGGTGCTTCTGATAAACGCCATTTATCCATCCAAGAAAACGATTTCACCGAAGAAAAATTCAACCATGCATTGTAAAAATCGCGCACGTAACCGCCGTAGCCTAAATAGCGATCATTGTCTGCATAAGGTGTCTTGGAGTCACCAAACGAAGGATAAGATGTAAATGAACGCTGGTCATCATAATCATCGGGTGGATCGTTTCGATACGCTTCTTCCTCTTCGTTGCTAAGTTTTTGGAACAATTTTCGGTATACTGTGAAGAATCCCTACAGCCACAAAACCGACAGGTCAGTGTGTGGAAACGTAACCTATTGGGAATAGCGTCCCCCATTTACCTGATCATTGTCATTGTAACCCTTAAACTCGGAAACGCTAAAGTAACGCATAAGATCTTCCGCCGTGGTTCCTGCACTGCTGTCTCGTTGCGCTTTCTGATCGTCTCCGCGTAAAATGGCATCGCGATGGCTGTCATACCTGCAAGTTCACACAAGTTAATCACGACATGGGCCTAACAGTTCAGTGTCACTGAGTCACATCCTACCATGACCGTTCTTGCGGGTCTGATAAGACTTCGTAAGCTTCTAGAATGAGTTGAAATCGTTCATGGGCTTCTGGTCTGTCGGGATTTTTATCTAGAATTTATGTGAGTATGGATCCCGTCGTTGAAGCCTGGCGACCGTGGGACCTACCTGGATGCCATATTAAAGCCTGTCTGCGATAGGCTTTTTTAATGTCGTCGCCTGTGGCTGTTCTTTCAACGCTGAGCAGATCGTAATAACATATCCGCATGGCTGCCAATACGATATCACACGAGTTAAGACCCTCGGCTAAGGGAAAGAGAGAAGAAAAAAAAAATCCAGAAACTGAGAAGCGCAGCAGAAATTTGGGTGACTGTGAGTGGAGTGCCATGCCAAGCGGGAAAACGCCAGCCAAGCAGGAAGAGAGGACGTTTTGCTTTCCCTTCATTCTCGATCGTCACACACCTCTTTTTTTGTAACTTTAGAGCGTCCCTAGCCTCTTACAACCATGAGGATTGCAGGGCGTTTGACCACAGCTGGAAGGTCAGCATGGACGTGCTTCCTGCTTCTTTGTTGCATATTCTCGGCCTCGGCACAAAACTTTAAATACACGAATCGATTTCCACAAAGCAAACTTTACAACATGTCCCCGCGATCCATCGGCCTACAAGACATGGACGGCACCATAGCCGCATTTGCCGACTTTAACGGAGATAAATTGTAAGCGAGCTTGATTCGCCCTTCACCTCGCCTTCTTCCAAATCACTCACTCGACCTTTGTTTTTCCTGTTGCAGTACCGATATCTTTGTTCTCAGCACAGACCAGTCATCTGTCACTGTATATACTTGGAACCACGGTAAGGTTCACCATGCACATTATTTAAAATAACATGGACTCATGGGTGGTTTGGTTGCAGCTTCTTTTAGTTTCATGCCAATACCCAACGCACCGCATATTCAGCAGCACGATTTCCTAATCACGAACATTGTTCCCGGCGACTATAACTATGACGGCAAATTAGATATTCTCATCATGGGACAAGACAATCCAGATCGGTATCCCGACGGCGAAATAAAATTACGGATCTATATGGGCAACGGGAACGATACACTAAGTAAAAATGCAACAGCTTCCATGATTACCACAAGAGTCTGTATATTTAATGAAGTTTATGTGTTCTCTGGAATAGATCCGGAATATAAATCGCTCCCTTCTGCGAAGAAAGCTTTACCAATGGTACTCGATGTCAATGGCGATATGAAAACGGATCTCCTCGGTTACGCATGGAATGATGGTGGTAACACGCCAGATTTAAGCATGTGGATCAACACCGCCGATCCGACTGCAGCAAATCAAACAAGCATCTACAACATGTATTTACATTTGTATTATTTTTTGATAATAATATGTCAAAACTCACTCAAATGTAGTTCCTCGGCCGCTCAAATATTCGATCAAGCACAAACAAGCAAATGTATATGGTCGCATCCTCATTCCAATGCTTTTCTTGATCTGGACGGCGATTGTCTTGCTGGTACTTACCAAATTTCAGAAAATCTACTACAGCCTACATGCTTTTGCTTAACAGTTTGTGTCAGATGTTGTGTTTATATGTGAAGGACAGTCGGGTCAGCGGCAAGTGCAGCTGTGGACCAATCAAAGGGAACAAGGGTTCAAGATGGCCCAACAGTTCGATCTACCACGCGGAGCAGGTTCCATTAGCTTCGCAGATATGGGTATATTGAAGCAGCTTTATCTAAAGCAAACACCCGTTCTCAATCGTCTTGGTTTCTCTTAGATGGTGATGGCTCGGTCGATATGATATTCCCAGTATGCAATAATGACAAATGTCAGATACATGTGGTTTACAATCAACAAATGGGACTCTGTGCAAAAGCTGAAGAAAGTGAACATGGTGGACGTTGCAGAAAAGCTCAAAACTTGTGCGTTGCTGATCCTGAATTCAAGTTTGATATTACACAACCGAACAGTCAAGTAAGTTGGCGCCGACACATCTCGATAGGCAAGTTATTCATACCGATTTTCTTGCAGAATTATGTCGTATTTGAAATGTTCCGCGTGCTGGATAACGATGAATCCATCCGAATGGAAGATACCGCGTTTCGCGGCACTTTGCCGATTGTCGTGCAACCAGGTCAGTCATCGCTTTTTGCGTTGGTTGCTGCAATTCTCTGATACGGTAGAAATTAGGCGATTACAATTTGGATGGTTACCCCGACCTTCTTGTCACCACGAACAAACGAGTCATCCTGCTTGAATCCATATTATGTACACGTACGTTGTGTGCTGACGAAGCGATCCAAGCATCCAAACGAAGCTTTTCACTTGTCAGAAAAGGTGTCAGTGCATTAACTTCGATCAAGAATCCACGACAAGCTGCTTTTTTCGATATTGATGAAGACGTAAGTGATGTGAGCGTGCGTAGAAAATATAATCATGATTTTTTACCCCCATCTTGTAGGGATCTTTGGATATGCTGGTTTTACAACCCAAAGGCATGTCCACCAGTGTGAGCCGAACTCCACATTTTGTTATCAACAACTACTTCAATGATGCCTTTTTTTTGAAAGGACTGGGTATGACAAGAGCTGTTTCTGCATTGTGCTTTTTCGCAATCCATAACTGACAAAATTTTCTTCAACCAGTATCCAACGGTGTTTGTCCTAGCTACTGCCCTCATGAACCTGTATTTGCAGATCCAAAGGTACTGTATCGGTCTGGTATGAAAAATCCAACCATCTGGATTGATGCTGACGGGTGCCAATTTTCTTTTTCTCTAGCCCTACGGTGTCAGTTATCCTGGAGCGACTTTCAAATTCACAGTGCTTGATACGTCGGGTGTAAAACGTGCTCATCAAGGTTAGCAGTCTACACCGTCTAAATCATATGGCACACGACGTTTTTGATGGTCATTGATGAATTATGTTGCTGATGGCTCTTTTTTCTCTTGTGCAGTGTCTCAGTTATCCCAAACATCGTATTTGTGCCTTCAAACGCCTTATTCATTGTTCGGTCTCGGTCGAACAAATAACTACGTAGAGGAACTGTTTGCTGGTGTGACCCGTCATCAGGTAAATCGACGCACTCCCCTTTGCATTATTGTGGAGATATTAAATTTTCTCTCACGGCATTGATTAGAAAATGAATTATCTATTCTATGAGGGCGTGATTCCCAATTCACAGCTTGTATTTATCCCCTATCAACCAGAAACAGTTCAAGACAGCTCATCGTAAGTTTTGCTTGCTCTTGAATTATCCTGTGCAACCGCTCACTCGTCGTATTGCTTCACAGATGGAAAGTTGAACTATACATCCAACCGGCTGCCTATGTGCCGTGGGTCTTGGTGATCTTGATCGCCGCAGCTGCTATTCTCGGCATCGTTGTAGCTATTCTTCATTGGAGTGAAAAGCGTGAAGACGAGCTGGAAAGACGAAAGGCACTGCACATTATCAATTTCGACGCTCTGTAAAATATTCCCTGTTCATACGTTGTGTTCATCCTTTTTTTTTCTCCTCATCTATTTTAATGAAAAAAAAAGCCATCACCTGTTTATAATTATTGATTAAATACATGTATGCGTTTGTTCGTTTTTGTTTATTTGATATAAGCAATCTAGTTCTTTTCTTCACCACGAACTTCGGCCATGGTTTGAGCGCCAGTCAGGTTCCACTTTCTCTGCACGAGATGAATTCGCAAAGGGATCGTACAAAATGAAAATTCAAAAGTGACGTATCGTAAATGATTTGAAAGGAACGATTCGAGAGTGAGAGAGAGAAATGAACGAAAAGCGAAATGAAAGTTGAGTGAGATATGTTCTTTCTAGCGCGTAATTAAGAATGGCTTACATCAGTGCCGTAAGCTAAAACGGCCAATCCAGCGGGTACAATGATACCCCAGAGAAGGGTCTTTCTTGTGTTTCTTTTGTTCCAGGTGAACCAAAGGTGGGTATTCTCACGAACATGGGCCCATCGCTCAACTGCGGGATCTGCCTTGAGACCAGCCATTCTTGTCTTGTTTTTGGAGGGATAGACTTGTACGGCTTTTTTGTGTTATTTGCCAACATTTTACGAGCCATGCTCATCGTGACTGTTTCCTGTTACATCATCACCTCAGCGGTGTTTCGAATTCTGTCAAGCTGTCTGCATTTTGCCATCTCTGTGATTCCATTTTATTTTGAATGGTATGCTTTGCCGCAGCAACACTTATTCCAAACGCTTTTGTAGCTGGTACTAGCTCTATTGCCGGTTAAACAAAAATAATCTCGTTGATTTTCTGGGAGTAGGATGATTCCGGAAACCCCACTCTTTTTGTCAGGCAAGGCATGATGTTTGATTGTCCAGGCACTTCTTTATTAATTTGGTCAACTCGAGTCTGCATTGCCTCCATGCGCTTCATTGATGAAACGCCTTGCAGCAAAAATACATCTGTCTCAAATGCTTCGCGGTTGATGTCTTTTTTTCACTAGGTAAAGAAGAAGCAAGTTTTCTACTTCCTGGCCGAAGGTGACTCCTACCATGAAACTTTTTAAATAGGCAAGGTATGATAACGGTTGATCATCGTCAAGCGTTTTATCAAATGACGTGTGTGTCTGTTACAGTCATGCACAAGAACAAGTCGCCTCCTTGTTTTACAAATGTTCAAATCATTGACAAACACAAATCTCAGTAGTCGGCGTTCATGCTATAGGATATATAACAGAGGAGATGATACAGTGTTATTGCCATCGCGTGTAAGACTAGAGTCAGTGGTATCCAGCGAGCACAGAATTTGATAAAAAAAGACAATCAGAGTTCATATATGAAAAACAAAAGGATCTACACAATACATAAGTTGCCATGGGAATTTTCTGAAAAAGCTAATTTTGTTATTTTGTGCTTCCGCCAGCCCGAATAGAAAATATATTATTGAAAGCGCGACAGATGACGAAAGGAAAAAAAAAAAAGTGGATGAAAACTATATACAAAATTACGAAGAAGGGACAAAAGGTTGTAAAGAATAAGAATATGGGGGAAATATTGAGCGAACAATAAACCAGCCCCGCTAGACTTTTGTGCTAATGATGATTACATGACTGAACAACAACCTCCGCCACTGGTGGGTGCAAAAGGGTCATCTTTACCGTCAACATGTCCCCACACAGAAGGAACCAAAGGATCCCGGGTCGTTTTGCAATATTCAATGAGACTAAGAAAATGAAAATGGCCACATCAATATCAAGTCAGAAAATGCCTTTTACGCGATCTGGATGACTTTTTTTGCAATCTCATCTTTTTTTCTGTTTTATGAATGACGCATTTACCTGGCAGAGGCTTCGGATACTGGAATGCGAGGAACATCCAACTGCTCCCGTAAGCGTTGATTGTAGTCGAGCAATCTCTTTAACTTGGCCTCAGAAATATGCTGCGACTTTTTGACATTCATAGGGGTATATAAGTTTGTCATTGGAAAGTAAGATGATGAAAAACAACGAAGAAAAAAAATCCAGCTTGAGAGAACCGACGGACTGAAGGGCGGAAGAAAATGAGGAACCTGAATCCATCCAGACACGTGCCGTGTGTTGCTACTTTTTCAATCCCAGAAAACTTCGAAAAAATCCACAACTGCTCGCATAACGAGAGCCATTCTTTGCTAATAGATGGTGTCCGTCATGAATCGCGTAATAACGTGCGCGATATGATATTCTCCGTCCATCTCCACAGGAACCTCGGTCCACGGACTCCATATGCCAATACATTGAGAGGACAGCAATTTTTGTCTTGCGGATACAGACAGGGACGAACAACTGGTAGAAAGCATGAATAAATGACGCTCTTCATTTTCCGATGGCTCGTAGGGTGGCAGTACCACAGGTTGAGAGAAAGATTCTTCAATGATATCATCTTGGCTTGAAAAATCCAGATCGGGTGTACGAGACGCCGCCATCAATAACGCTTTATCACGTTCTTTGGCTACAACACACCATGCAAAGATCACACCAAAGGTTTCCCATGCTTTCACGATTCGAAACACCGTAGCGTCTTCAAACTGATCGCACACCTTGGCAATATTTCCATACTTGGCCACTGATGGAAAAGAAAAACTCAATTTGATGTTCCCCCCCCCCAAGAAAAAAAGCAACTCAACTTACTGTTGGCTTTCACTAAACTTTCCCATGCCGCATAACTTTGCTTTGATCGCGTTATATGCTTTAACGCGTCTAAGGCCAATCCATTCCTTTTTCTCAATGATGAGCGGAATGAAACAATAATACAAAATAATAGCGGCCATCACTTACGTCTGCAATGGGATCGGTTTGGATTTGGGAGCTTGGTCCGGCCGCGGGTTGACATGAAGACTCAGAGATTGCGCATATACAGAAGGGACGATGGAGGAGGCAAGTTCAAAATGCAAATCCGAGGTTTTCGTGCCTGATGCATGAGTGGAAGGGAGTAACTGATTGGATTCCGCATTATGTTGTTCTTCCAAAAAGGAGGGATGTGATTCATTGATCTGTACCGGATCACCTGCTGGAGACCACACGTCGAATCCGTCCAAATACGATCCTTCCATATGGGATCCCGAGTTGAAATCGCTTCCAATGATACGACTGCCATCTTCACTTGTAAAGCTATTGATAGAATCACTCAACAATTCGCCTCCTCCAAGTGCCTTTGTTTGCAATATATCGCGTGGTGTGCCACCGCGGGGTATATCAGGTTCAAATTCAAATGCGGACTGTGTCGAATAGATCTCTTCCTGTGGTTGAGGTGAGATGGCGTCATCATTCTGGCTGATCACGCTATCTGTCTGGTCCGATCGACTGGCTGTGGGAGGTTGCTTGGCGTGACGGGAAGGAGATTCAAGCAAGCGGCTTTCCGTAGCCTCGAGTTGACGTGCATATGCAAACGGATCGAGATCCACATCGTCATTGGGCAGCTCAGAATCGTGGAATGACGATGTAGAAGATTGAAGCGACGAAAGTGAGTCATTGACATGGATATCACTGACCACGTCCGTTGACTAAGAACAAAACGCATGAGAACCATGTTAGCATGGATGCAAGAACTCCTTACATTGGAAGCTAAGCTGGCATGAGTTTTACTTCTCAATAATGATGGGGGCAATAGTTCTTCTGACTAGCGTAGGAAAACGAATGAGTGATGTTTTCATGATACCATATTGGGGTTGCGCCACTTACGGTTCGCCGCTTCATATTGAGCTTTACTGAAAAGAAAAGCACAATGCACAGGCAAAAGCACCAATCACAATTTTTCAATTGCCGTCACAAAAAAAAAGAAACTGCAACGCGCCGCGGTGAAAGATAAATCATGCAGCGCCCCTGAACACTGAGACTTCCCGAGATTCGGTGATCATTACCTAGTCCTCTCCTGTAATTTACTCAAAAAGGCTAGTGGTATCTCTACCGTGATCTCCGAGCTGCTTCCGTTCGTCCACACAAGTTGTACATAGTATTCCGGATTTTTTTTATTTATTTTTTTGTTTGACCAGAAAGAAAAAAAAAGGAATTGTGTATAATTACGAATGTTATATAATGTTTCCATGAAAACAACAAAAATTATATGGATAAAAAGGGGAATATGTAAAAAAGACAAAAAAGCATTAGAAACAATGGGAATGGAGGAGAATCACTCGCTTACTCGGATGAACTCGTGGGTTTAGCCACTGCATCATCGACCGGGGCGGTGGACTTGGGAGCAATACCCATTTGGGTGACATCAAACCCGTTTTCAGCCAGGTACGCTTTGAAAGCCAAGTCCTCTTCCACCAAGCCTTCGGGACCAATGTCGGGAATAAGGAACCAGGCAACGATACTGGCTGCAATGGCGATACCGCTACCCACCAAAAAGGGGCCGCGGATACCACCCATGGAATTTTGCATCGGAACGAAGGCAAACGTACCAATGGTTGCACCAACTTTGCCGAAAGCTACATCCAATCATTTTGGTTACATGCGTGACGATGATTCTGAGATGCGGTTCAACTGTAGTAGAGGCTAATAAAACTTACCAGCAGCAATGCCGTAGCACGTACCACGAACAGCGGTAGGAAACAGTTCCATTGCATTCAATCCCATACAGTCACCAGGACCGAATTCGCCCAATGCAAGGAAAAGGCCAAACATGACCTAGATCGAGTCATCCCAAGCAAAAAAGAACTATCATCAGTATTCCGCTTTTTTCGAAAGTAAGAAATTTATACTCACAATAAACATGGGATAACAGTTTTCGGTCAATGGTGCATAGACAGCTCCCATGATAATGCCTACAATACCTTGAAGAAGCAAACCAATCGCCAAGGTACGTCTTCGTCCGATCTTGTCTACTGCAAAGGCTCCACCAATAGCACCGGGAAGATAAAATCCGTACAAGAGGATGTTCCATGCGATGACGGTGATGGGCTTTCCTCCTGGGGCCACTTTGTCAACGATGATGGTAGAAAAGACACCACTTGGATACGAGATGAAGTCATAGACAAACCATAATCCCGAAGCAATGAGCAATCGGAACCAATAACGCTTGATGATGAGCCAGTAAGGGACCGCTCTTTTGATGGCGCCTTCTTGATAGCTTTTGGTGTCGCCCATCTTTAAGCGGACTATGATGATGATGATGATGAAAACAATGGCATCAACAGATGAGTTTTCAAGATCACGTTACGTCTTGGTTCGGCTTGTTTTTCCAAAAGGATGATGTAACTTACAGTAAAGAACCGATAACGGTGGTAAGACACCGAGACCGAGCGATAAACGCCACACTGGTTCAAGGTTATCTTTGAAAATGGCGAGCAATATGACAGGTACAATGGCAGAGATGACATACCCAAGATCGATCACGAAATTTGTCACCTAGCACCCTCCATGAGTGAATTTCCATCCTCCTAAGTAGCTGGCATTCCATTTTTTTACTTACAAAGACAAACAGAGTACCGCGACGACCCGGTGCTACTTCGTCTGCAGACTCACCGGCAGAAACGCTAGAACAAGGGTACTCACCACCGACACCTACACCGATAACACCGCGTGCAATGACCATCATCCAAAGCAATCCTTGTGGCGTGCTACCACTGGAAGCACATGATAAGATGGCACCTACGATAACCAGTACGGTGGTGGCAATTAAACCCATCTTTCGACCGATACGATCGATAAAGAGACCGAAGCCTAGAGGAAAGAAAAATAACCCAGAAGACAGAAAAAAAAGGGCACAGTATCACATGCGTAACAAAAAATTCGAAAGAGGCGAATCAAAAGGACAAGTTTTTTTGGCCAATGAGTCAAGTGATCTGCGAGACGTGATCGAATTTTTATGTGATGCTTACCTAGTTGACCGACCACGGCTCCCACGAACATGGAATAGGATAAACGAGACGAGGTTGTGTCGTCAAAGATCTCTTTACCGTAAATTCTTGTGAGGAGCAGGTTGATTGTACTGATGACACCTGATTGATAACCATCGGAAAGCAAAGCGAATCCACTGAAAATGACATTGAAGTATGAAGCGGTTCTCGATTTTTGGCGAGGCAATTCTTCGATGGACGCGCTATCACTTTCTTCGCTCACGTCCTTGGTTATTACTTGATCCACATTTTCATCGGAGAGAGGGAATTTGCTTATAGAACCTCGAGAGCTACTAGCTTCTCCCACTGTCATCTTTGTATATTCAAAAGACTCTGAACAAGAAGAAAAAGAAAAAAAAAGGAGAAAAAAAAAACTAATACAAGATTAAAGAGAAGAAAGAAAAGGGAAAAAAGAAACTCGAACGAAATAGGCTTCTTTAATGTGAGAGAAAAAAAAAATTAGGGATGAAAAAAAAAAATGCAAGGGATGACAGCTCGGCCGGGGTTATTGGTAAAGGAAGACCCACTATAAAAATAAAAAAATAATGGGCAAAAAACGGCTGATTATCTGACCAAAGAAGTTGACAAGCAAACTTGTGTTAATTCTTTTTGATCAATTTATCCTGCTAACTGAGCTTCCTCCCGTCTGAGATCCGAGGAGAATCTTTTAAACTCCAGTCGAGCCAAACTGAATCTTGGTGAGCGGGTCTTTTTCTTTACCAAAAGCATTGTCCAATAAAACACTCCCACTTCTGACTTATCTAAAATGTGTTTGTTCCTTTATGCAACATATGACAAGCTTGCAAATCATCATGTTTTTTTTTCTTTAAGCATGACAATGAATATGATTCATGGTACAAAGTTGAACAAAGAATCTAATCTTCATATCACGTTACAAATTCTTAATTGTGATTGTATACGTTGTACCAGTTCCATCTCGTTCAAAAGAAACTTGGCCCCAAATGACAATGGGACTGCTTACGTGACGTGCTTTTGGCGGCTCAGTCCGACCACCATCATCATCATCTGCTTGAAAAACTGCTAATGTAACAAAGAACCCTGAACAAGTAGTGTAGTGTCCCCACAGTTTTTCACTATCAACGCCATCTCTTCCAGCTTGCCTGTTTCTTATTGGATAATGGCGATCATGTGAAAGTTTGGGGCAACGTTACAGATTCGGAGAAAAAAAAATTGAAAAAAGATGGGAGAATGCTCAATTTCTCCAAGCCAATGATATTTCCTGTTTCAATGGTAACGGTGGAACAGTGACGTTGTGCATGGTTCACTGTATGATCGATCCCAATGTAAAATGGATCACACGCCAAGAACGAGAATAATTGGGAACCAAATAAGAAAAGAAATACATGATGCATACATTTCTATCACCAAGCTAATTTGTTGCAGAGGCAAACCATCTTTTTTTATGGTTTTTTAAAGGAGAAAATGGGAAAGATGATCGATCTTGGCAGATGGCTCTTTAGCCTGTGAGCTCTTTTTTTCACTTTTTAGACCGAAAAGACATCTTTTTACCTTTTTTGGTAATTTCATTTGTCTGACACAAACAGGCGTTGCCTTGGGTTTCATGGAACATGTGTCTGACTATTGTGTTAACATCACGATTGGGGACACCACTCAAATGTCGAACATAAAAGAAAATAAGCCCAAACTGGGCGTATTTCCCACTCTGATAAGGTCCCAATATCGCCATTTTTTCCCTTCTTGGGGATTAAAGAAAAATAAAAATGTTGATGGCGCGAAAAAATAAGCCGAGGAGGGTTTGTTAAGATTTTTGAGTTCAATAGAACGCGGTCTACAAGCAATTTACATAATGAAATCGTCGAACTCTAACTCTATCCTTGAGAACGGTCCGCCAATAGGTACGTCCCTGTGAACTTACGACAGTGACCCCCTAATTTCTCGCCAATTCTTTTTGATCTCATGGTTCTCGCCCCAAAAGCGCGGAAAAAAAGTTATTGCGGAGAAAGAAATTGCCACAGACAAAAAAATCCGGTCACGAAAAATATTTTTCAGCATATAAAAAGGGAATCTGTCGGCGGTTTTCGTGAAAATTTTTTTCATCGGCGATGGGGAAGCTCTGCATTTGACGCGAACTAAACATGCGAGGATGGCCCTTTTGGGTTCGTTCAATCTATTAGCGTTAGGGAAGCTCTCCAGGGTTGTGGTTGCTTGGGCTTTTAGTCCTAGTGATAGGCCAGTAATAGGTGAATATACGGTTTCAAACCTTGAAATCGTGCGCAGTATCCTGCTTGGAGGGTTTCGGCCTGAAGAGGAGTAGGCTCTGCTGTTGCTTTTGCTTGCCGTACCGACAGTTATTGCAGTGCCTGAATTCTATAATTCAGTGAACAGAATGGGGACTACTCTCCCTTATCGCCACCATTTTTTAAAACAATAAAAGGAAATGAAAAAAGAAAACAATCATTCTTATCGTCATTACGATAGTGAATGGTAAACCCGTATAGTAGGGATCTTGAGCCGCAACGTGGTTATAATAAAAGGAAACCTTGCTTTGGGGGGGGACTTTTCCATGAACCTTGTTGGAATGGCAATAGTAGGTTCCTAAGAAAAGCATGGCTAGCTAGTCGAGTACTATTTTTATTCACATATGCGCTAATATCCAAACTGTCTATGGCGAGGTTCAAATACAGGAGCTATGTAAAGTCTGTTGCTGTAGTTAGTCTTTGTTATCCAGACATGTATCGCAACATTTTTTACTGTATACATGAAGTTGCCGCTGATGCTAGTGAAATAAACCATTTAATTTGCCATTGCGCTCTTGCTATTTTAGCTGTGATTCCTTTTTCTGACCTTGTCATCAGGAGATTTTTTTTTTTTTAAAAAAAAAAAAAAGGAGAGAAAAAGAAGGTGGAGAAAGGCCGAGCTCTTAACAAGACACGCTAATGCAACATGGGTAGTCGAACTGCAGTCTAAAAGAAAGCAAGCTGGTTTATGAAGTTCAGCAAAAATAAAGGAGACCACTGTCCTCGGGAATATTAGCAGTTTCCGGTCAATGGAATGATTAGAGCCTATTACCCCTGATAAATTTGGAGATGCCGTCCATTGCCTGTGGGTGACCTCATTAAGATAATAGCATGTCTGTGAGTAATTTTACTGCCACCTAACGTGAATATGTTTTTATTGGCAGAAAGCATAAACAATCATGATATCATGTCAATCAAGCGATGATGGCCCAAAAGCTGGAAATAGCAACACAGAAAAGAGGGAACCTTGATTCATCATTTACTTCTTGGCAAAGTAGAAAATAGAAAAAGAAGGCATCATGATTCAGTTGATTATGTTTGTTGTTTTTTGATTTTCTGCTTTCTGAAAGAAAAATCAAAAATAGTCGAAATCATAGAATACCAAAAAAGGAGCCGGGGGAGACGATCTCTTTCTTGGAAAGGGATGCATGGGGGTAAAAGGGGACAATGAAGCGCAGACAGAAGCTAAAAAGCTTTATAAGCAAGCGATCAAGCACCGCTGTGAATTTGGAGAATTCATCTATTGACCTTTGAACTCATCTTATCTCTATGGCACACCGTCGATCCTCCAGTGCACCTTCTACTTTTCAGCGATATGCTTCTTTGACAAGTCTGTCATCCAACGAGATTGACTATGGTAGCACAATCATCAATGATGACAGTAACTTGACAAGATCGCCCTCCATCAACAACAACAACAACAACAATACATCCCAAGAACGCTGGACAAGCTGGGGTGACAGTTCCTTTAGCAAACGAACCATCACAGAAACGCTCGATCCAGCTGAAGCGCTAACAAAGTCTTCTTCCTCTACCATCGATGAACCTTATTCTGTATTTTCCAAACGTAAAATAAGATGGATCGTCATCGTCGCCTCCATTTCCGCTTTTTTTGCGCCATTTTCTGTCAACAGCTACTTTCCTGCCATGAACAAGATTGAACAGGTAAAAAAGAAAAAACCACACAAATCAAAACATTCACCACACGCTGCATTCTCTAACATCAATAAAATAACTCGCTTCCTGTTGTCTTTTTTCTTTTTGCTATCCTGCCCTTGGGATAAAAGGATCTTCATGTCACTTCACAGCAAATGTGAGTGCTGTATCACCCCATTTTTCCATTGACGTTATGACTCATTCCAAATTTGGTTTCCCAACTTTAGCAATTTGTCGGTGACGATGTTTATGATATTCCAAGCATTGTCTCCATCATTTTGGAGTTCCCTTGCCGACAGTCGTGGACGGCGTCCCGTGTATCTTATCACGTTATTGATCTACATCCTCTCATGTGCGGGATTGGCGTGTGTATCCAACTACACTTTACTGCTGGTGTTTCGTGCACTGCAGGCATTTGGTGCAAGCTCAGTCATTGCGATCGGCGCAGGAACGATCGGTAAGTGGGCACTATGACGTACTAAACGGACGTCGATCAATTGATGTGAATGCTGACGATCTTTTTCAGCTGATATCACCCATCCCTCGGAACGAGGTGGCTACATTGGCTGGTACTCATTGGGATGGAATATTGGTCCAGTGGTGGGTCCAGCTATCGGAGCCGTGCTTTCACAGTATCTCGGCTGGCGTTGGATCTTTTGGAGTTTGGCCATTGTCTGTGGTGTGCACTGGTGTATTATCGGTCTCTTTCTTCCGGAAACCCTGCGATCACTTGTCGGCAATGGATCAGGTTACGCTAATCCCACCCCTTTTCAATGGTATCGGAACTACAAAAGTCAGCGACAGCACGACGCCGTCACCATCACTCAGGAGAAGCCAAGCACCACCACGCATGTCAGCCGGAAAAAAAGTTTCATTCAGAAATTAATGACCCCTTTACAACCTTTGCTCTATGTCAAAGAAAAAGATACCGCCATCTTGATTGCTTACTACAGTGTCCAATATGCAGCCTGTTACTGCGTCACCACCAGTATTCCGTATCTGTTTATCGACATTTACAACCTCAATACTCTGATGATTGGTCTGTCGTACCTTGCCAATGGTTTTGGATGCATCGTCGGGTCGGTGATTCAAGGCAAGATTCTAAATAGGGATTACCGTCGCGCGCAGAAAAAGTGTGCAGAAATCGGGAGCACAGATATTCCGCTGGAGCATGCAAGGTTACGTACGGTGTGGTTTCACGCCATTTTATTCAAGATTTTATTGGTTGCTTACGGCTGGTGCCTTCACATCAAAGCTCATTTGGCGATTGCCTTGGTGATCCATTTTTTTCGTAAGTGAGGGGCTTCTACTTTGAAATTCATCCACCCCGTCGGTATTTGACTTGACTGATCATATGATATGCATTACTAGTCGGATTTACCAGTCAAGCTATTTTTAACTGTATCCAAACCCTGTTGGTGGATTTGTTTCCCAACGCGTCTGCGTCCGTGACAGCATGCAACAACATCTTTCGTTGTCTTTGCGGAGCCGTAGCCACCACCTTGGTTTTACCGGGGGTCAAATTATTAGGGGCGGGATGGATGTTCACGCTGGTTTCCGGTATTCTTCTTTTGTCCCGGATACCGATGTTCTGGGAACTTTCACGTGGGCCTCGTTGGCGCCATCAACGTGAACAACGACAATTGCATGTATGAATAGAACAATACAAGATGTAAAAAAATATTCTGAAGAAAAAAAAATTTGAACATGTATCATACATTTGAATTTCCCTGTTTAAAAGATGTTGCTGTGATCCTATACAGTTTTTTTTTTTTTTTTTTTTTTTTTTTTTTTTTTCCTTGTTGCTAAAATAAAATGCCATATAATACTGTATGCCAGAGAATGAAAGAGGGAGGGAGGAAGGGACGTGCGTAGAAATGATGTTGAATGAGATGAGTTCACTATGCTTCAGAAGTATCACTGCTTGTATCGCTGGATACAATATCCACATCTGCAGCTTCTTCCCCGTCTTTGATGGTTCGCTGATGCTCCAATAGCATGGCTAACCGATCCCGAGACAATACAAAGGGAGTCCATGTGAGTTTGGCGGGATCGACCGTGGGATACCCTCGCCCTTCCACCTTTTGCAAATGCTCACGAATGACTTTACAATCAATTTCCAGGACATATCGATCCAGGTCCGTATCAAAGCGGATCATATGATTTGCCTGCAATGTTGAAATGATATCATCAGGAGTCATGCTTGTGTGGACGCTCAATTCTGTGTGAGAAAGATGAAAGTAAAAGCACAAAGGTCATACGGTATGTGAGTGATTCGAAGTACAAGCATGAGGAAGCAATTCACTATTGTGGACCTACCTTCGATGCTGATATTTTGTACTTGATGAACAAGTGTTTTGAATAATGTATTTTTCCAATAACTGCGGTAACTTAGTAAACCGAGATCTGACAGTGGTCGTTCAGGAGAACCTGTTTTGTTTTCATTTTTCGACAGGAGATAGCCTAAAAGAAATGGAAAAAAAAACCGTACATAAGCGATTCCTTAACATGGTGCGGGTCGCATCGATCCATAAAACGTACTAAAATCAATTAGATATTGGCCGAATCCTCTTCGCTGATAAATTGGCATGGTGAGAATGCAGGAGACATTATAATTCATGGCGGATTGTTTTTCCTGTCATGGATGTTGTCAATATAAACACTTTGTTTTTAGTTGATTAACCTGGTGCACTTGCCTTTGAAAAATAGCCTACAAAATGACACCCTTCATCATCCGTTTCGGTCATTATGTAAAATAGGAAGGGTTCCACATCGTAATACAGTGTTTTATGATCCAAAAACATCTTGGCAAGCAGACAGAGGTTTTGACAGTAAATCTATCATGATTCAGCAGTGATACGGTTTCATTATTAGAAAAATAAGTGGAAGTTTGATGGCCTTAACCTAGAAACCGAAATACTTTACCTTGTTTTTTCGGCCATCCACTTCAAAAATGGAAATTTTTCCGTCTCGGTAGATTTCATCACCTGGCGGATGCTTAATTGGACATTTGATCTGCAAAAACGGAGGCTCGCCTTGTTAAAGCAAAGTAGATAAATGAATCAAAGCATTTCTTTTCTTTTCTTACCTTGTGGCGTTCCGCAACGTAGCTGCTTTTCATGTATTTCATGCAGTACTCACATATGTACAGTCGTGGCTGCTGGCTGTATTCTTCGGGATAGGGTGCCACATACCAGGTATCGATCAAATAATGGCCAAACCGGATTTGGCTAATTTTCGGGACTTCCAATGCAGCGCTCCAGTTTTGTTTGACCGAGGATTCAGCCGTCACAGAAGATGATCGTGAACCGGCCGGTGACGTATCTTCCTCCAGTGTCAAAGGCTGCTACAACCAAGATTAGCGAAACGAGCCAATGTAAAGAAGAAAGTCAATTTTACCGTGGCGATAGATTTTGCTTCTGCAAATCGTTGGGTGTCCCGGTGTGTAGGTGTGCCTCGCTTGATATTGGCTTCTGCTTTCGTCAATGTGTGACCGAATGTCTCATAAAAGTCCTCATCCGCTATTGACTTTTTCCTGCCATTCTCTATTCTTCGAGCTCTCTTCGTGCGGTGGACCGTAGACGCGTCGGCAGTGTTACTTGCGTTGGTATTTTTGACGGTCAATCGCACTTGCAACGGCGAGGATGATCGCTTGTTTGACCGGGTTGAATCGAGCGGTGGTCGTCCTCGTCGTCGTCGCGTGGAAGGTAATGATTCCGAGGAAGATCGTCGGGTGGCGACGTGGGATGTCCGTGCGGAATCGGACAGTGGTGTAGATGAGGTATGTTTTTTTGAGGATTTCGTGTTGATAAGGCTATCGTCGCTATGGTCATCGTGCGACCCCGCTCTTCTTTTACGTGTTCGTGTTATCATGGTTGGTTTTGGAGGTGGGTTGACCACTGTGGCCCGTGTGTGATGTAGTGTAGGATGAGCAGCAGAAGATCTATCCGATAATGAGATAAAGACGGTGTAATCTTGTTCGTTTTTGTCGTTGGCGGGGATGTTATCGGTTGCAATGGGAGAGCGAATAGAAGATGGCGAAGGCATGCTGGAACATATGCTGCAGTGCCAATCATCTGTGTGAAACAATGATTGAGATCGTGGTTATTCTCCACATGCCCAAAAAAAAAAAAAAAAAAAAAAAAAAAAAAAATTTGGAGGGTTCTCAATATTTACCGTCGGGTATTGCCTGCAAAGGTGGATCACAGCAAAATGTGTGACATCCTCTATCACAAAGACTACAAAACACGATCTTGTCCTTCAATATATCAAAAAATAAAAGTATAAAGAACGATGCCATAAAGATAATATAAGCGGTGAGCCTCTTTTTTTTGAATTATACTATCGTGATCATCATCCAAAATGTGTACGATACCTCTTCATCTTTGCGGTGACAGACAAAGCAACTTTTGCACTCATTGCATTGCCAATCATATGTCTGTGCAATCTCTGCCGATTTATCATCCAACTCGGAACACACTGCATGGACTGCCCAAAAAAAAAAAAAAATAAGTCAAAATAAGGAAATAAATGACACGCCAAAAAAGAAAAAAATATCGACTCCCTTGGCAGACGCTAAGAGTTTCTGAAAATGACAAGAAAAACTAACCATTGCGATGACAGTCGAAGCATTTCAAAAGACATTGCGCTTTTCCGTCCTCATCAAAGTCGTATATGCCATTGCAGTAACAGCAGTATCCTAAGGTATACTAGAGACTCGCTTTTATTTATTTTTATTTTGAAACCGTACCAGTAACTGCACGTCTAGCTTACATCAGGAGGAAACCGCGAACGCGTAGTCATCGCCGTGTCAGCGTTTTTTAAACAATAGACAGTAATCAAGGAGTTTAACCGAGTCAATACACGGATGGATGATCGTGATCTTTTGAACAATGGCAATCCGTGTCAACACAAGCTGGAATTCTTGAACGACTGTTTGAAAAATTGAACATATTCCCAGCATTCGCCCTGACTCCTCAAGTTTCCCGAAGGTAGTCGTCCAAAAAGCAAGTCACAGCACCTTCAATTTTTTTTCCCCATTCCATAGGCCGATCGGCACACCGGACGGATAAAATGCAGTAAAAAAAAGCTTCTTGATGCACAAAAAAGTTCTTTCTCCAAATTTGACTTTGCTCAATTAAGACAATCTCGATGCCTATCATTATCAATCCCATCCTGAACATAGGCTGTTGTTGTTGGACTAATGGTGCAGCTGGTCACGATGTCCACATATTCTTTTTTTTTTTTTTTGCATAAGCTTTGTCTGTGCGGTACAAATACCTTTTTCCAACGTGCTTTTGGAATTGAAACGGCTTTACTTTGCTACACGAGGGCGTACAGGTGATCAAACAGCCATACACGAGGTATGGCGGGTTCAAGGTACCTCAGAAATGATTGGATGGGAAATCTTTTTGTTTTTTTGTGAAATTTGTTGTTTGGGTTGCATTAACTTGAGTGAGTCCCGGTCGATCTGCAACTTGTAACAGTCAGGACAAAAAACAAAAGGTGTGTAACTGCTGTTTTTTAATTTAGTTCTCGTTTCATCCGCCAATGACGATCGATGTTGACTATTTATCTTCCCCGCAGAAACTAAGACTGAGTAAGTATATAACTTTATTTTATCGCTCTGCATCTCGCGTTACTCGACCATTCCTCTTTCTTTCCAATTTTTTTATCAGATTTTCTGCTTCATATTGCTGCTTTTCGTAAATTTTTCTATTATCAATGCAGTAATATGTCGGTTTTATCACGCTCTAACCACCATGATACCTTGCCGCAACCTGCAGTTGCAGAGGATGCCATAAACGAACATTCCCCTCTTTTACGAGCCTCATCGAAAAATGCCATTGATAAGCCTTGCAGGAGCGATAGTGGCATTTCCGTCAGCCAGTTGGCTTGCGGTAAAAGCAACCGACCGGGCCTGCAATTGGCCATAGGCGAGATTCGATCCATGTTGAAGTTGACGTGGCCATTACTTGTCACCTTTCTCCTGGGTATTGGCATGCGACTTACAGACGTCAAATTCTTGGGCAATCTCGATCCTCAAAGTGAGTGATGGTAAAAATTTCACTGTCGTTCATGGATTGACGCCCTTTGCTTGGTTATCTAGTCATGGCGGCTGTGAGTCTTGGCAATTTGTATACCACTGTAGGTGGTCTCGCCGTCGGCACCGGCTTGCTGACAGGTAAAAAAAAACAAAATAAAAAAAAATCAGTAGTTGATGCATATCAGATGATGTAATTCACACCATCATCAGCCATCGATACTTTGGTAGCACAAGCTTTCACTGGTGCCGAAGATCGGTACACGCTAGGCATAATTTTTCAAAGAGCAGTAGTCATCATGGCCATCTTCTCGGTACCAATCACGTTGCTCTGGTATGTTTTGGTGAAAAAAGAATGCGATGAAATCCAAATAACACATGTCTTCAAAGGTTAAACGCCGAGTCTCTTCTTGTGTACATGGGACAAGATCCTGCCCTGGCTCACCTTGCCCAGTCGTACCTGTATGTCTGCATCCCATTTATTTTTCTCGTTTTTGTTTCCACAGCAATACGCAAGGTCATTCAATGCTTAGGTAAGTGGTTCTAATATTCTTGATACGTCATATTACGAATGAGTCTAATCATTGAATGGCATAAAAAGGTCAAATGCGAGTGACCATGTATATCATAGCGGTGATTTTTCCGTTCAATATTGCATCCAATTATTTCTTTCTTCAATATCTCGATCTGGGTCTACTTGGAGCGGCGTACCATATCCTTTGCTTCCATGTTATAGTGTTCATCACTTACTCCATATTTTTGCTACTCCGAACCGATTTTCTATCATACTATCCGCCATGGTCTGTTCACGCTTTTCGAAAATGGCCGACTTTTCTGAAACTTGGTAAGCTTTTTGTTGCTATACGACTGGCGGCCATGTTTTTACTCACTTTTTCGGTCCAGGCATTCCGGGAATGCTTAGTGTATCCACAGATTGGGCGTTTGAACTTTGTGCCATTATCACAGGTAAGGAGAAACTCCCCAAATTTGATGGATTTTCACAAAAAATCTGAAATCAATGGCAGGTGTACTTGGCAGAGATACGCTTGCAGCGCAATCCATCATTTTGACGGTCAATCATTTCTTGCTAATGTTTCCCAGGTAGGCTGCAAGAGGTGACAGACATCCACACATCGACATTGCCCTTACAAATATTTTATAGTTCTTTATCGAATGCATTGGTGGTCCACCTTGGTCATCATCTTGGGGCCTCGCGTGCCATTGAAGCGCGGTGGGCTGTCCTTGTCTCGGTTTCAACCAGTGTCTTTATTGTTTCACTCAATGCGCTTTTGATGTATACCATGCGATTTCAAGTGGCTGCCTTTTTTACAAAGAATCCAGGGATTAGCCAAACGGTAGTGGACCTGATGGGAGTGGCTAGCATGGCCCATTTTGCTGTGGTTTGTTCTCTATTGAATACGACACAACGCGCGAGGCCCTCAATTAACGGATGACTATTTTTTGTTTGGATATAGGGTAATAGTGTGATCTTTTCCGGGGCTTTGAACGCCTGTGGAAGGCAATCTCTTGTGGCTTGCTTCAATTTGTCTTCCTATTATATGGTGGGTCTTCCCGTCGGTTTGTGGATGACAATGGTCCATGGTATGGGGTTACACGGTGTATGGTCAGGTGTCATTATTGCTGGATGCATCAAGACCATCGGCGAAGCGTATGTGATTCTTCTAAATACCGATTGGGAGAGTGAATGCCGGCGAGCCAAAAAGCGACTGCAAACCCAAGAAGTTCCGTCACAGTTGCCAAGATGTTCATCATAAGAGAGCGCTCCTCCGGGCGATTTCGGTAATTTCAAGGGTGAAATCAGATACAGCATACCATTTTGATCCAGACAAGTTTCGTAACGGGCAGGAGCTAAGAATAGATAAAATTAGCCGCGAGCAGGAAGTTTTGAAATGCAGACTTTCCTGGGGTTATCAAATACGAGTACCATAGTTGGAAAAAGGATTCACAATCATTAAAATTTTCAACAATTTTGCGATATAACTGACTGGCAACATCACCACTCTTCTTTTTTTTATTCTAGTAAATAACCATGCGATACTACAGTGAATTGGTCACCGTACTGTAGATCATCTATCCGATCACAAAAAGCTTAAGTAGAAATTGCCATCCGAAATAAAACCTTTTGCGGTTGGACAGGAATAGAATTATATGCTAATGCAAGACAGTAATACAATGGCGTTACACCGCATAACCATTGAAACAATGGATGATCAGTAACACTTGTCACGACTATTGAAACGGTTCATTCCAATCGATAGCCGGTAGTGATCAGTCGTGAAATCAGAGAAAAATGAGCACTTTTGGTGAGGAAAAGGAATCGGTAACTGTATATATCTTCACACTATGCTCCATTTTCAACCTTCTCCTCGAACCACCGCTGAATCAAAATCGAAATAATTTTTGTCAAAACCAAATTTTTAAGCTCTTCTCGTCCACTTTTTATATCTATTCACCATGAAATCACGGCTGTCAGCTTATTGCTTTGCAACATGTTGTTTCATTTTTATTATCAATATGGGTTTATCACTTGTTTTCGCGCAAGAGGCAATATCACATAGCAGTATACCATCAACTGTCAACGAGGATGACCTACTCAGTAATTGGGTAACCAAGCGACCATTATCATGAAAAGGATTTTTTTTTTCATAGCTGTTTTAGCATTGACACAGTAAATGTATCATAGTTGAATGTATCTCCAAGCACGTTGCTATCGTCAGTAGCATCATCTGATCCAATTGAGTCTACTGTCTCGTCCAACCATGCAACAACATCACCGGGTCCTGAAGCGCCCGCTACTACTCACACAATGCCATCCAACACCGTTGATACGCTGGAAGAACCAATGGCGACTACGCAAGATGCTATTTTCACATCAGATAGCGTACATTCATACGGCAGTTTGAGCGAAACAGGGGATTCTCCTATCCCATTGTCGATATCAGCTGCTTCTACTGCTCGAGTGAGTACTACAGCGCGACATGAAGAAATCAGTCCAACTTCGTCCATTAGAATAATTGCATGCTCCAACGCATTGGATAACGGACCTATAGCCGTTGCTTCATGTAGCAACGTCGATACCAGCCATCTTCCTTCTACCAAAACCTCGCCAACGGTAGTGGAGCAGAGCGCCTCGTCTGTCATGACACCTTCGCCAACGGAATATAGCGTTCCGACGAAAGATAGTGTTCCAGAAGATGAATTGGTGCCACTGCAAACAGTTTCCGTTGCCTCAACTACACGCATCAACGGCGACCCCATAAAAGAAACCCCAAACGAAAAGTCGTCGTCGAAACAGAGTGATTTGCCACCTTCATCCACAAGCATTATATCAGCAACAACAGTCATGATAGAATCAGCACCGACCGACCACTCAGACACACCTAAGCATTCAAAAAAGCTAACGCTGGATAATGCAGTTCCAATGTTATCCACAGAAGCATTAACGATTCCTTCATCAGAGACCGTACCCTCGACTTTTTATTCGTCCTTGCAGCAGTCTGCCCATGAACCCTCTAGTGCTAAAAGCACAAAGCCGACAGCCAGCGCCAGTAGCACAAGCGAGATGGCTGCTCAAGCGTCTGCCAATGTGAATATGTCTGCGATGACCTCTGAAGCAACAAGCATGCCAAGTCAAACAAATCAGGGAGACCCGTTATATTCAATGAGCAGCAACTCGTCTCTGGCAAACAATACTCCCCAAGAAGGCAAAGATGGCATACCGGAATTTATTGCACCAAATATCAGGAAACCACTCCCAGGTACAATTATTCACATAGATCTATGACTTTGAACCGGATGAACTAAACGCAAATTAGCGGCAAGCAGCATCGCTTACATACGGTTCAAATATCTGTCCTATGAACAATTACTGCAAAGCCCGCCGTTAACAACCCAGTTTCTTCAGTCACTCCCGGTACTGATCAGCAATGTGTTGAACACTACGGTCGATGATATTATGATTATTTTTGTCACTAGCTCCACCAACCATATTAAAAAGCGAGATGAAGCACCAGTGGATGGCCTCGTTGTATCTATGGCGATTCCGGCGGAAAAAGTAAACTTGCTACAGGATCTGGTGGCGAATCCTGCAAGCGCGCTTTACCAACCATCGAACGGACAGCTGGCGATGCTGATTGACCCCTCATTCTCGGTGACGAAAATCGGTAAAACCAGTACAACATAAAGGTAGACAAAAGAAATCTTATATTTCTTTTAATAGACAAAGTGACGCCGTTCAATGAAGCAACACCTGTCGATGTCCCAGCAGATGGATCTTCATCAGGAGCTCTGGCACCCGAGACAACAGGAACGACCGCCAGTGCGCCGATTCCTGGTTTATCCCGGGGAGTTCTCATTGGCGTTGGTATATCTATCGGTGTCGCAATTTACACCGTCATTGTCTTGCTTGCATTTCGTCTGTATCGGCGTTGCAAAAAGCAACATGCCAAAAAACGACATCAATGGGTGGCCCAGAACATTTCTGCACCCATCATGCAAGGGAACTCGGGATACAACGCCCTGTGAAAGCCGTCGATTATCTGATCGGTTGTCTTTAAATTTGCAACTCATTATTTGCGAGCCATATCACCATGATGCCACCTCAATAAAAGAAGAATTTCCATGACTATCAGACACAAATTTTCAGATTATAGTCAGCACATCAGCAGCTACAATAAATCAATAAATATTTACGGAAATGGTACATCGATCAGTTACTACTTGTTGTCGCTAAATATGCTCAAAACGAACGTTCAGATGACTTTTTATTAGCCTTTTTTTTGGAACCCGAGTATCTTTTTCACTCAGGAAGTAGCGCTTTTCGAGTGAAGCATCATCTCCGATGCATTTTCTGCGAAATTGAATGAAGAATGCAATATATTGAATGTTTTTTGAATTATGATGCATAACATGAAGGAGAATCCAAGGGGGAAAAAGTCTTTCATAATGCTCTTTCGATGATTTGGAATACAGTCGCCATTACTCCGTTCCAAAGTATCGGTCTGTGTCATCAAATTAGTTTCTCGTCCCACGATTGTTTAGCAAAAACGCAACACTTACCTCCGAAATTACCAATACCAGGTTCGATCCACAAAGTTTCTCGAGACAAAACAGGATCGACCATGGAAGTCACGATCTTTACTCGTGGAAAAGCTTTGGCGATAACGTTCAAGCCCACTGGAGCTGCAAGGTATGTTAAAAAGGTAATGTTTTCCTGTAGCACGACTGAGTCAGTATACTTTCTTTTTTTTTGCATTATCATCTTTTTAGCCACTCTTACCTCTGGCACATCGTGGTCCAACAATACACGCAAAGCCATCAGGCCAGCCGCACCGGTTCCAATGGTTGCGTCCATGAGAAGTACGTGGAGTTTATGAACGTTGGAAGGAAGTTTACAATAGTGTAGCTCGGGTTCACCGGTATTAGGATTGGTTTGAATCAATAACTTTCCAATCGTCACATCACTGCAAACTCTTCGAAGACCAGCTTCCATTGTACCGCCCGCTCGAAGAATGGAAACACCACAAATCTATCGTGCCATGTCGTTTTTCCTTTAGTCCTTGAAAGCTTGGATATTCTCCATTGGATTGTCGAATTTTTACCTCGCTATTGAACTTTAACCCTTCGTAGGTTTCACCCACAGGGGTTGTGACTGTAGTCTTGTCGTGAGGAAGTTGGCTCAAGCCTCTGCATGAAATGCACAGCAAACACGAAATAGGTCAGCCAAAGGATTCCAATTTGGAGTGTCCCCAACGTCTTTCACTTACGTTTCCGCAATAAGAGTGGACAGGCGTTCTGCGTAGAACACAAACTCATCGCGTGGTGTATTCTTATCTCGGAGGATAGTGTGAATGCCCTAGATACCGCGGTTTGGTCACTTGGCATTCTCCAGATTCCCAAACCTAGACCAATGATCTTACCCTGATCTGATTGGTGGCAGGCAAGACGACCACCTCACGTGGTAAAGTTTCTCCCACGGATGTTTTGACAAGATCCCATCGAAGTTGAGTGGTTTTCTCGTGCAATTGACGTTGCACATGCTTGGTGATAAGATCAATGGCCACAGCATTTTCAAGACCTCTTGGAATAATCTATATCCACCATGAATCGTTCCAGTAAAATGGATGATGAATAACACGCGTATGGTCATCTCTTCAGGCATTCGAAAGTTACATACCACATCAGCGTATTTCACGGTCGGTTCGATGAATTCATCAAATGCTGGTTTGACAAATCGTGTATATTGCTATTGAACCATCTCGTGAGCGATTTTTGTATTCCAAAGCAATCGAATGAGTAACTGCATACGCTCAGGGCACCAGGAATATCTCGGCCACGTTCGGCAACATCGCGCTGCACTGATCAAGAAAAAACGAATTGCATGAATTATTATTTTTTTCGAACGTGAGAGAGTTCCGGTTTTTTTTTTTGTGACTTACATCGTCTTGCCAGTCGAATGTCACCATCGGTATCGACGAAAATCTGGAAAATAGTGAAGAAGAGAGATAAGCGTCGGTTGGGTAGCGTGTGAACATTCCCATTGTCGCCTCACCTTTAAATCCATGAGATCTCTCACTTTCTTATCGTATAAAGCGAATATACCCTCAAAAATGATGACATTAGCACCATAAATGGTGGTACACTTTTCCTCTCTTGCATGCGTTGAAAAATTGTAAATGGGCACATTGACGGATTTGCTGGAAAATTGGATAAAGAGATCAATCGTCTTTTTGTAGGTGAGAAATCAGGTTCCAAAAGGCTGCTGCTTACCCTTGCTTCAGTTTCTGAAGACAATCAAACAACAGATCATAATCGAAAGCAGAGGGAACATCAAAATTGAAATTACTAATCGAAAGGTGGCGTTGAGTAATTGGGTTGTTTGAGAAGCATTGATTTTGGGGATCTTACCATTGATGTGCCAAGGCACTTTGCTCGGGCGTCAAGACATTGTAGAATGAATCCATAGAGAGAATGACCACCCAAGGGACATTCAAATTCTTGAGAATTCGCCTTTATCATAGTTTAAGGACCTGGATTGCATTTTACAGTCGATTTGCAAAAACTTACTCGGCGACACTCGTTTTTCCACTACCACTACCACCTAGCAACAAATTGCGTTGTCTCTCAAATTTCAGGACTCTTATTTTCATGCATAAATTTGTCCAATCACTGACCTGCAATACCAATAACATAACTCTCAGTAGTAGAACCATCCGCACTGGAATATCAGACGCAAGGATATTTAGCATATTTCGTTTACAAGTGCTCATTTGTTATAAATCAAGAAAAAAAAATTCGAGCCGGGAAAACTCCGGATTCGATATGGGAAAAAAGCGGAAAGCGGCCAAGTAGTACGTACCGATACCAGGGACTAGAAACATAAAAGCGTACACAACGTTAATGACGATCGGCAACAAGTTACCCTGTCTACAGAATACCTTCTTCCCGAGGAACACAATTGGAATACTTTGTTGCCGCCCATGTTCATTCCAAGTTGATCAGCTGAGTGATTCAATAGATGGAAAGAAAAAAAAAAAAAAAAAACTGAGAAGAAAAAAAAAAGTTTTTTGGATCTCCACTGAGAATAAAGTTGCTTCGCTTTGTGAGTAAGCTACGTCATCAGTCCGCGATTTCGCGAGCCTGTGAAAGATAGAAACAGAGAAAAAAGGGCATATGATCTAGCACTATTTTCTCATGATGATGTTCAGTTTGAACGGCCATTTGTTTGTTCATCAATCAGGTGTACTTTTTTAGTTGGTTCTTTTTGGATTTTTGGTCCCAAGTGAGAAATGTGTTTCGAGCGAAAAAGGCGATTTTGTATCACATATCAAGATTTTTGGTGTGGCGCCAAAAGCTTGTCTTTCTTGATGGACGGTGAAACTTTAAACCTCAAATGAAAAGGATGCATGGCTTCTTTTTCGTGACGCCACTCTCGAAGAGCCCAGTCAACCCCCTTGGTGCCGGTGTTTATTTGCGTGAACAATGCCTTAAATGCTCAGCTATACACCTAACCGAACATTAGCGTAAGTTGTCATGGTACAAGAGGATCGGCACATGCAGCTGGAGCTCGGAACGGATTGATCTTGAGAATGAGGATCGATTTGGGGTTGGCGTACGGGTAAAATGATGCTTCAAGCAGGGTTCCAAGGCAAAGTGAGATTCAAGTTTGCAAGGAAAGAAGCACGCCTCTACTGACTTGGCAGTTTTACCAGACGCATCAAAACGACATGGAAAAAGTCAAATAGACAAAAAATGAAATAAATAACAAGACGGTATAACTGTAGTATATATAGTCAATGACTTGTAACCTTATGGTAGGTGTTCGTTGCTGGGGAAGACCTCACCAGGTCGCATTTTGGGATCCGTATTTGCGAACCACTCTCGAAAGGGATCAGACTCACATATTATGCGATGTAAACGCACTTGAATAATAGAGATACATAACGGTTAGATTATCTTATACACTTGACTCGGTACATATCATTGGAATAGAAAGCGTGTGACTTGAAGAGTCAAAGTGTCTGACGAAAAATCAAAGAAGTACTGAATGCTAGGTGACGAAGGAAAAAATTGGACCGAAAGAAATTGCAAATCCTGAAGAATTAAGCTTCCGCCAAAATTCCTCGGAATTGTTGCACTGTTGAATCGTTTCAGCGTGTTGTCTTCCTTGTTCTTCTAAACATATATTGGCAAAATGAAAGGAGAGAAATCCCAGTCAAACTCGTCATTAAGCACCGAGAAGAGAGTCAACGTTAGCCGCCCGGTGGTCGCCAAGCTTATAGGATTTTCTTTTGCCATGTTCATCTTGCCCATCGCTACCTACTTTCTGACATTAGACGGCCTATTCGCCGGTATGTGTATTTTGTCTGTCTTCTATGGCTTTTGAGCTTGCACATATTCATCTTTTTACAAATTAGGCAACAATACCTACGCAGCAGGATCGGCAGCTCTGGTTGCTAACCTGGTAGTCGTCGCATACATCATTGCCGCGGTCATGGAAGACAACCAGGACGCTAAAACTGTCAAGAAAGAATAAAAGCAAGATGTGTCATTTCCCGCGCTGAACCAAACGCATATCAAGCCCATTCATCATTTTCTACTGTATTGCTTGGTTTGTTCTCTGCTTTACCCCAACGATCAGGCGTCTTCTTCGCATGGCCAGTTTTTTTTTGACCGATTATGGTATTCTGCATACGAGGAATGGGCGAAAAAAAAACCTTACCTATCATTGTTATATATACAGGCCCCACATTGCTTACGATATTCCCGTTCCATCAATAAAGAAAAACATTCAGGTATCACAAATTTTCGTGCCATGTACGACAAGGGCAAAAAGTGGGTTTCTGTCAAGAATAGTTTCTCTTGCACGGCCAAGCGGTATCATGGGTAATCTTTTATTTTGCTTCGGGATGGTATGGGTGAGGGGTATCTATGATTTAAGTGTTCGACTATAAGCTACCATGCTTTTTGTTACTGTTGTACACGATTTCATGTGATTGTGAAAACTGCGGTGATTCCCAGCCCACAGCCGAAAAAAAGGTGCATTAGTTGTGCCATTCGATAGGTAGACGTGTGCGTGCGTGCCTGTGTAAAAACACCCAATGATGGATACACAACGTAAGATGGGGAGAGTCGGCTACATGCTGAATATAATCGTCGCAGCCAAATAATGAATCATGTAATATTGCACAGAGACACTACTCGCTGATTAGATGATGAGGTGAAAGAATTTACTGATCCTTCTGCTTTGCAAAGTCACAGCCAAGATAGCTAGTGATACTGATTATAAAGTCGTGAAACCGATCGAGTTCTTGTTGATGCTCTGGATACCACGAAGCTCGTTTCCGCTTTTCCCACTCTGCGAGGTTAGCCAGTTGTTGCTTGATAATGTCTGCTATTGAAGTATATTCCAAATGGATCCACCGATTATTCTTGACAAGACCCCACATCCGACTAGGGGCTGTGACCCGTAGAAAATCATCAAACAAGCTGACAAACAGGAAAAAACAGAATAGAAACGAAACCGTGGTGATTGCTATGGCACCAATGGTGAGGTAAGATGCCATGGTCCAGAGAGACGACGGAATCGCTGTGTTTTGCCACAGTCCAAGTACAAGCTGCTTTCCTGGCAATCTGGAAGATCGATAGGCATGTAGACCGCTCGTCATGATGGTGAAGCTGATCACAAATCAAACTTGACCGAAATAAAAAAGATATGAAAATCAACACTCGCAGAAAAAGGGAGACCTAGAGCGACGAAAATTCCAATGTAGTTGATGTCTTTGGGCTTGGCACGCAATGCCGAGTTATCACGTGAAAGTCAATCTCCTCTTCTTGCTGATGTTTGAGAAAAAATCGACAATATTGTTTTAGATGCATCATCTCATGAAAACAGGTCTCTCACTTGAAATAAAGCACAACAAAAAAACTATCAAGCTTATTTTATTCCTTTCAATTTTCGTAAATTGATGCTTTCCTATAGCTCTTTTTGTGTGCTTGACTCGTTTCTCTCAAGAAAACAATGATTACAGAATAACATAATTGATAAAAGAATCATTCATACGCGCAAGGTATAGGATGGACATGCATGTTTCTTCAGTAACTCAGAATCGTCACCGGCGTAGGGCAGTGACCAGACAAAAGCAGGGCCACTCCGGAACAATGGAACGGACAGCGAATCGCAGCAGCAAACTGTGACTTGCTTATCCCGGTTCGGTGCGGAGTTCATAATGCACCAAGCTTACCCTCTGGGACATGCTGATTGAAGCTCTGCCACTATCTTTCTTGCAGCATATCCATCGCAATGGTGAGTGAATCCGTCCAAGAGAGATAGGGAAGATGGGGGGGAAGGGATGGATTATGGTTATAGTGTATACGCCGAAAATGGATGATTATTTTCACGATCGATTAACGAGACGGATGAAGCACCTACGGTCGAAAACTTGATCTATAAAATGTCACGGCAATTGTAACCAATTGAATCAGTGAAATTCTCATCCACTTCAGCGCGATCACTTTCTTTTTGTTCCGTGAGAGATGGGGAGATTGGGGGGAATCGGTTATGTATGTTTGCTCTTACTAATGATACTCTTTCAATTGTGTGCAGGTTGCCGTTAAAGCCCACGAACTTCGCAACAAGAACAAGGCCGAGCTTGTCAAGCTCCTTGATGAAGCCAAGCAAGAACTTGCTTCTCTTCGTGTCCAGAAGGTTGCCGGTGGCTCTTCCTCCAAGCTCCAGGAGATCGGTCGCGCCCGTAAGAACGTCGCCAGAATCTTGACTGTCATCAACCAGACCCAGCGTGAACAGCTTCGTCTCTTCTACCAGAAGAAGAAATTCACTCCCTTGGATCTCCGCTGCAAGAAGACCCGTGCTATGCGCCGAGCCTTGACTCCTTTTGAGAAGAGCTTGAAGACCGTCAAGCTCCAGAAGAAGTTGACTCATTTCCCCCTCCGCAAGTACGCTGTCAAGGCTTAAGAAGCGTGTTGTTATCATCAAAAAAACACCTGCCCAAAGTCTTTGTTTTATTCTAAGCATTAAAAAACGGAAAACAGAAACTGCCGGTGTGTTGCACGGAATTGGAATTGTTGAATTGAGTATCGTGATGATTTGGTTTGCAAACTTGGCATCTGTGGAATGGGATATAGAAATGGGAAAAACAAGGTATGCGAATCATGGCATTGGGTTTACGGATTTTTTGTGGTTAAAAGTTGGTGACGATTATTCCTGATCGTATACGTGCAAGATCCGCTGCGATGTGTTTATTTCGCTTATCGCATACATGGTTCTCATCGCATACATGGTTCTCTTGCATGAACAATATTGTCAGCTGTCTTACCAAGACAGCTATAGCGCTCATAACATGTACCTCGAAAATAGATATTCATATCGTATTTTTGAGGTATGCCTCATCGAAATGTGATTCTGCATAACAACTCAATGGTTGCTTCATTTTTTTGTCCACACATGGACATGTAAATTATTGGTGTCATACAGTTATCACTCGATTTAAAAAATGCTCGATTTTTAGAATATATCCGATTGAAGATTCACCTTTTGGGCTTTTGATAATTGTAGGCTGTAAATTATTTCTCGCAGTTATCACTCTCTGGAGCAGGAGTAAGCTAATCATTTTCAAAAAGGCGGCCATGCTTAAAAAAGATACGAGGCTGGAGAAAGTTAATCCCTTTCACCATAACTAATCTGTCGCTTGTTGCATGACAAGAGAAACGGTCTCTTGGTATCCGGTATCCAATCTTTGCTTTAAAAATAAATGGTTTTACATTCAAGTTGCTATGCTGGTTCATTTCAAAAGGACCAATGCTCATCGCGAGGGTCCCATCACTTAAAAAAGGTGCAACGTAAACTATGGCACTCGACCTCACATCCTGATAAGCACCACCACCGCCATGTTCGAAAGCTTGGCGGACTGTGTTCCTTCCTCAGCAATAACTCCCTCTTCTCTACTTCCTCTCTTTTCACGGTTTAGCAAAACACACCTATAGCAGTTCTGTTGATCTTGCCACAACTACTTCTTTATTACTCCGTCGCGTTTGCCGGTCTACGATTCTGCCGCTTTTGACGCCAAGAGCAGCCTCCCTCAGTGGAACGACCAAGCAATAACCCACTTGACGTTAACTGAGCCAAGTAGATGTGGATGGCATAGTTGAGAGTGAGCTGCGGCAGGCAGAACATGTGAATAAGGCGGACGGTTTTGGGCAAGAGGAGTTAATTGGATGTCTTTATTGAATTGAGGAATCATGTACAAATAAAAAACAAAGGTCTACCCTGTTGTACATACATTTCCTAAGCAAACCATTTTTCATTTTTTTTTATGAAGTGGCGTGTGATCGTCCACAGGACGTTAAGCCCACTTTTTATTTTTATTATTCAACCCACAAAGGGTTGGGAAAAGAATAATAAAGGCAAAAGCCTTTTTTATTTTTCATTTACCTTTGTTGCGATTAAAAAGCAAACCCACCGACATACCTTCCACAATGACCGCGCTGATGACTAGTCAGGCGCCCAAAGGGAAGAGCCAACGGGAACGAAAACAATCTTCTTCAGAGGATGGCCAATCCTATCATTAGAAGATGGTTTTCGAATTTTTCGCCATACCCCGAATGCTTTACCAAAAACCGGAGCGTTCATCATTACCAGTGACCACCAGCCTAGCAGCCCCTGATTCCGAACTGGCGCACAAAAGAAAAAAAGAGATGAGAAGAAACGCCCCCTTTTTATATCTTTTTCAAAAATCGTTCGAGGACCTTCGATTGTGACCTTGCTTTATGACCGCGAATGCACCTCATTGGCTCGATTCCCGCAACAAAACTCGCGAAATTCAGCGCCTCACTCTTCTTTCGCGTAAGCCATGCAAAGAGGGACTGCGCCATGTCATTCATGCTGCCATCAGCAACCCATGTGCACCACAGTCACTCTATAACGTGCAGTAAAGCCTATGGTGAACGCTGATGCGACATGCTTCAGATTTTACGCACTCTCTTTTATCTTGTTGCATGCTAGAAAGTTTCCCTACCTTGCCCTATTACTTTGTATCAGTTTTGATTTTGAAATCGTGTCTTCAATATTTCTGTGAGTATAAGAACTCACGTTACCACTCTACAAACCAGGGTGCTATTCCCATGGTGCCGTGTTGCAATGGCGATGGAACACAGAGAGCGCAATGACCAAGAGGCATGAGAGCAAGTTAACAGAATGTACTTTGAGTACGTCAAAAGGTGCCCTTATGGATATGTACAATAGAAACACGCATCAGCGCAGTAACAGCACCTGTAGTTTGATTTCTTCATTTGCACGTTTTCGCATAAATTGACTGACCTGCAGGACCACTGTTATCTCCTCTTGAAAAATTGAGTCCTCCTTCTCCGCTTCTCTGCACAGTGACAAGTTGGGCTATTTTGTGTTCGATAAAAAGATGCAGCCGTTTGTGCGTTTGATTCGAATGAATCTTGGCAAAGCATAAAGACACCATTCGATTTTTCACTCACTTTTGGAATTTTCCATCGTCATTTTTATTATACGTTGTATGCTACATCAAATTCGATTTTAGCATCTTCCATTTTTTGTGCTTTCCCGGGATGACCCCAAAACTGAGCGGTGACCAATTCGCCACTCGATTTAGGACTACTCGAGTTAAGCATATTCTCGATTTAAGAATTAATTTTGGCGGGATGATTCTTAAATCGAGCGGTGACAGCATTCGCAAAAGTAATGGAATTTCCGGTCGTACAATTCGATCCATCTTTTATATGGTCTTGAATAAAGCAAAGGAAAAGCAAGTTGATTGTCGGTTTGTCAATCATGGACACAGCTCAGTTATCACAAACATGATTATCCCTATAGCTTGCAGTTGCCATCTCTCTGCGATCATCGCTTCTTGTTGCCCTGCTTACCGCAGCGCTATTCTCGCCTTGTTCTCTTTACTAGAGGTTCATAGTCAGAATGAACGACGGCGTGGGGCCAGTAGTAAGGAAGGGTTGTTGAATGTTTTCAAATTGTCAAGACTTTTTTTTTGTGCGATAGCCGATTGATGAGTGTGCATAATCTGTTAATCTATATTTGCATGTATGCCCGAGTGCATGGTTTTGCGGTTTAATTAATGGACAGATCACGATAGCTTTTGGGGAGAAAACATTAACAACAATATATTCAGATCAGTAAAGCTTCTTTTTTTTCTCAGACACGTTTTCTGCAGGTTATACTTCCATTGGCATGCTTTGATCTTCCACAGATGCTGCCAACTCCATGGCGAGAGCTTGACTTGTAGAGTCTCCGTTACAATAATGAAGTAGGTGGTCATCGCGCGCACGGACGTGGATGGCCGCATTTTGCGGTAATTCATCCAAGATATCATACATGATCGACAATGGTAAATCGCGGTATCCTGCTGTGCGACAAACTTGCCCAAAGTACTGGAATATAAAATGAAGCGCTGTTTGTTGCAGTCCTCTTTGACCTGCTTCACCTGCGCACCAGTAAAGTTTGCTCACCACTTCAACATCAATCCCACTGTGCAAACGTCGAACGCATAATGCTAATAAACGAGGTAACTGGTACAGATTAGCCATGACAAGCAAATCTGATACAAGGTCCGTCGATAACGATTCATCCAACGTGTCGGTGTAAAGAAATCGAACAAACGCTTCCAAAACCGAAAAAGGTTCAGGAAGGGTCAAGGAACTGTTCAAGGATTCCACCATACCAGAATCGAGGAGATGGGTAAAATGTGGCCATCGCGCCACCATGACCAGTCGATGAACACGAATTTCCCCGCGCTCGGGCTCAATCGTTGAATGAATAGAGAAATCGGCCGTCTGTTGCCCAAACGCGGACTGCTGGAACAGAAGTCCCACCAAATCCGAACCCAGCTGCGGAGGTGGGACAGGGACAATGCCATACTCTTTGAGATCCATGCGTAACACGACAGAATAATACTCGTCGGGATCATCGTCGTCAGCGCCAAAGAGATAAAAGAAGGTATCATGTTCGGCCATGGCAAAGTAGTGCCAATGTTGATTTTCACAACGGGTAGGTATGTCATGGTATTGCCATTGCATCGATGGTAAATCGAGATGCCAAACACCGGTGGTCATCTTTGTCTCTGCAGAGGCTTGCGATACCGGATCCGTGACAAGGACGACCAACTGATCCCCGCATATCTGAGAGAACCGCTGCCCCGCCAGCGGTGGAGCCGACGATGAATCAATTTCCAAATGCGTGACGGTGTGTCGATCCATGTCGATAAATGACAAGTGGTTGGACCGGCTCATGTCCACGTGAAATCCACCAAACAGATACAGCCGTCCATTGTACATAAAGGTAATATGCTGAAAACAGCACACAAAGGGGATGGGCTTCTGCCATTCCCAAGTGATCAAATCCAAAATCAAAAGAGTTTCTGCGTATTGATTATGTCGGGTCAGACCTCCTGCGATGTAGAGCTTGTCGTCATAGATTGTCGCCGAATGCTTGACCCTTCCTTCAGGTTGATAGCCTGTTGTGGTGGGATGGATCCATGTCATGGTCTGCAGATCGAGCACAATGATATCGGCATAATATTCTTCTTCGTCTTCGCCTGTTCCGCCATAGATGATAAGTTTATCTTTTCGCCACAGTGTTGCCGAGTGATCGTTGCGTTTGGAAGGTGCTTTTTCTTTTATATAGTACATGCACTGCCATTCGTACTGATGCTGGTCCCTGCGCGTTAACTTGTACAAATTATTGAAGACTTCATCGCTGTATCGATCAAAGCCGCCAAATACATAGACAGCGTCTCCGACCGCGGTTAAAGAAGCTCCCACAAGGCAGGCCATGCTTTCGCCGGTTGCACGTGCCGATTTGGGATAATGTTGAGGAAGCGCTCCATTGGTGATGCCGGATGGAGTTAACTCCTGCTGCGTCTGACTGTGAAAAGAGTGAGGCGTGCTTGGTGGCGAATTGGGCATATCTTTGCAGAGGATAAAAAAAAAGATTATGACAGGGGAGGTTTTGTGTGGTATATAAAATAGATATGTCTTCTTTTCTCCAAGCCTAATTAAAAAAAGGTACTGTAATATAGCTCAATGGGACAATGGTCAAATGAGCTTCAGGACAGGTCGGCCTTTTTCGGTGCAAGAAAAAAAAGAGAGCTGCATTACAACTGGCGGGCACTGGAAAAGAGGGGCGATATGCGGAGCTTTAATGTCGTCTGTGCGGGAGCGTGACTACCGGAGGAGAGAGTGGGAGGGGGGTGCATGCCTCGAACAGTGGAGCCGTGGTTCTGAGCGTCCTTCCTTTCTCGACGAACATCTAGCAATGGTATGTACATGGACCTTTATATGAAAATTTGATGATGCATCAACTGACCTATTCATCCATCCTTTTCATCTATCCGATAAACTACTCATCAATACAAACTTAACGCTCATTCCATTGCTTGATCTTGTTCATTTGCATCCGTTGTCGTTTTGATCGATCATCCATCCATCCATCTGCTTCTTTTATTCATCTATCTACTCAAATCTGTGAACAACTTTGCTTCGTCCTTTTCGCCATCAATACACCATTTGGAATCACATGATTGATCAACACATCGAATTGCGCTTGTTCACTTTTGCGATCGTCATCACCATTTGCCGTCATTGACTTCATTAGGCCAAGCGTACCAAGAAAGTCGGAATCACCGGAAAGTACGGTACCCGTTATGGTGCTTCCCTCCGTAAGCAAGTGAAGAAGATGGAAATCACCCAGCACGCAAAGTACACCTGTACCTTCTGCGGCAAGGTACGTTTTAGCCCGCCAATTGACATTCCCCCGAAATGAAGCTAAACTCCTTTTTGTTTTGGCATTTTTCATAGGACGCCGTTAAGCGTACTGCTGTTGGTATCTGGAAGTGCAAGGGCTGCAAGAAGACCATGGCTGGCGGTGCTTACACTGTCTCTACCACTGCTGCTGCCACTGTCCGCTCCACTGTTCGTCGTCTTCGTGAGTTGGCCGAGATCTAAAGGCGCATTTTCACCTTTCTCTTTTTTTGAACCAACCAAAATAAAAACCCTTCTCACGCATGCCACGTTGTATATTTTCTCTACAATCTATCGAAGAGCTTCCATTTCTTTTTTTTATTGCTGTCCCGCATGTATGTGTAGGTGTGTCATGATGGTTTCTTTTCCGCAGTGGATTCCAGACACGACCTGCTATCGATGTTGGCCTTTTCGTCGTCGTCGTCGTCGTCATCGCTTTCGAGATTGATCAGCGAACTGAAATCGGCATCGGCAGGCTCTTCAATAACTGATTTGACGGTTACAGCGTTGCGTTTCATCGCTTGTTCCCGTAAAATTTTGGCTGTGACAAAGAAATGGTTTCGCTGACTCATGGTGGCCGCTCTGTTCAAGAGGTCTCGGGATGTCTTTTTCGTAACAAGTAATATGCACATTTCGTTGTATCCATGGTTCGCGGCATACAGCAGTGGCATGTTCACGGAGGTATCGTGGATGGAATAGGTAGGATCAGCTCCATGTTCGACAAGATATCGTACAAGATCGATTTTTCGCTGTTGAACCGCCACATACAGTGGTGTTTCTTCCATGGCATTAATCACGTTGACGTTGCATCCTCGTTCCACCAAAGCCTGAACGGCCTCAAAACGATTCCATTGAACTGCTAAATGGAGCACCGTCGTTAACTTTGATCGATTGTTGACATCCGCCCCATGGTCCAAAATAACCCGCATGAGGTCCATATGACCTAGACTGATAGCCAGCGCCAACGGTGACAACCCTCGTGCGTTGGGTTTGTCAATCATGGATGCATCTTGAAGAAAGACTTTAGCCGCTTCAATAAAGTCATTACTCACCGCTAGATGGATGAGGTAATTGCCTTGACTGTCTTGAATGTCCCTCGAGGCACCGGCTTTCAGCAAAAGTTCGGTGCATGGAAACGACTTGGCAAACAGTGAGTTGCTAAGTGGCGTGTGTCCGAGCGCATCCGTCACATCCACATTGGCTTCGTTTTCAAGTAATAATTCCACAGCATCAAAATGGCCTGCACTGCTCGATGCATGTAATGCTCGTTCGTTGTGTGGACCGTGGGATGCATTGACGTCTATATGCGGTTGCAATAGTAACAACCGTAGCGCTTCAATGTTCTTGTGATGGGCTGCCAAGTACAAAATTCCGTAACCATCGGCACTGAGCATGTGCACATCGCCGCCTGACCGGATATACTGGTACAACACTTTGATATCAAAATTATTCAAGTTCACCGACTTCCAAATATCTTTGTTGGCATCGTCGAGGGGGGAGCACTTGTGGTCTACTTTTTTCGCCGCTGAGGTATCCTCTGTAGGGCTTTCGTGCCTTCGCTTATTGGTTTCGGTCATGGTGACTACCAAACTGGTGAAAAAGGAAAAACAACCATCAATTTCTAACGTTTCAATAACCGCCACACCTATCTCCGTTTCCAAGAAGCTTCCATATCCTGTTCTGAGTGGTAGAAAAAGGTTGCTAACAATTATGCAGCCGAATTTCGCTTTAGCCACATTCACGGTGACCGTAATACAAATATCAAATATCAGCAACAAAGGCAGAAATCATCATAACAATTTGCATGCGAATTTTTTGAAGTGAAGCTCCGCACAAACGATAATGACTTCATGCATCGTCTGCCGTCTCACAAGTAGTCCCTGAGACCGTCAAAATCTTCTTTCAAATGCGGCTCAAAAAAAAGATAACTTTTTTCTCGTGCAAGACAACAAAATGACAGTGAACTCAGTTATAAAATATACTTTGCATTTGATACTTATAAGCCTTTGACATACAATGAAATGCTATATTTTATGCATCGATTCTTTCGAAAAGCAAGCACCATTTTAAAAGTAGCTCGAGCGCTCGAGGTCGAAAAAGAAAATAGTTACATCATGTGATCGTGGGGTAGAATCTTGCCCAACATTGGAAAAAAAACTGTAATGCTTTCACCGATTTTTTAATCAAGGGGTCGTATACAAATATAAGGACGGACTTAATCTCTTTTGTTTCTTCTCTTTCCGTCTAAATTTTTCCCACACTCTTCATTCCCATGTTTCGTATTCGCCAACTCTCTCATGTTGTGCCTCGTCAAAGCATGACACGTCCTTTGCTGTGCACAAGACGTCCATATCATGACGACGGTGTTTACGGCTATCGAGTGGCCAAAGAGTACAAAATGCCAGACTATAATCAGGAAGAACTCGCCAATCGTATGGAAAATGGCAGCTTGCTGCGCTTTGTCCAAGCCTACCGAACCTATGGCCATAAAGGCGCTCATCTCGATCCATTGAATATTATGCAAAAAGAGTAAAAATCGAAATCCAGTATGGCTTACCTGTAAAAAAAGAACCACATTATATTCATCGCCATGTATCATCGTTCAGAGAAGTCCTCAGTTTGAAACCCGAACGCTACGGGTTATCGGACAAGAACAAAGTGTACAATCTCTCAGGTTATTACAAGCTACAGTCGATGAAATGTCAAATGACTGAACTTACTCTACTACTTCCATTCAGGTATCTTGCATGTCAACGAAGCTCAGCATGACGGTGCTCGTCGAGAAGAGGCTGATTTCAAAGCCATTCTCGATCATTTGAACAATGTCTATTGCGGGAAAATTGCCTATGAATTCATGCACCTTCCAGTAAGTCACTTTTGTCTTTTCAGGTACTCATGATTGAAAAGAAAATAATAACTGGACATGACACAGTCCGCAAGCGAGCGAAGATGGTGGTACCATGCTGTCGAATCTTGGAACAAACCGCAACTGACGGCAAACCAAAAGAAACGGATTCATGAGTTGCTGGCCAAATCAGAGGTAAGCTTCTTAGGAACTCTAACCATGTCACCTATCAGTTTCCATGTCGAGTTCATTTAAAAAAAAATTGCCTGTGTTTTTTTGGTTAGATCTTTGATCATTACCTCGCCAAGAAATTCCCAAATGTCAAGCGATATGGTTTGGAAGGCGCAGAAAGCATGATGGTAGCTCTTGATCGCCTGTTTGAACTATCAGCCAAAGGTATGCGGATACCGCCATCATATTCTTTGAAACGTTGAGCAATAATCACTTTTGCAATAGAGGGCGTGAGCGATCTGGTCATAGGAATGCCACATCGTGGTCGACTCAATTTGTTGTGTGATTTATTGGAACTTCCCCACGCTGCACTGTTTCACAAGTTGAAAGGCAATTCGGAACTACCCGAAGACACCTTTAGTTCAGGCGATGTTATCTCCCACTTGAGTATGTTGCCAGCTTCACATATGTCACTCGAACATGTAGGCTAACACCTTTTTTTTTAGTTAATAATCCTGACTTGGTCTATGGCAGCGACAAGGTTCATGTTTCATTGCTCAGCAACCCTTCGCATCTGGAAGCCGTGAATCCTGTAGCCATGGGAAAGGCGAGAGCGAAACAAACGGCGCTATTGTCTTCCGCCGATCCTTCTTGTAACCTCGGAGATCGCGTCATGTGCGTCCAAATCCATGGTGATGCGGTATGTGTGGCGGAAATCCGTGTACTGAACAACCGGGAAAAACTTACGACAGATTGTTCACTAGGCATTTACTGGCCAAGGTGTTGTTACTGAATCGTTCTGTTTGTCCAACTTGCCTCACTATTCTTCCGGCGGCTCGGTTCACATTGTCGTCAACAATCAACTTGGTTATACAACACCAGCACAAAATGCACGTTCCTCAGCCTACTGCTCTGATATTGGCAAAATGATCAATGTTCCTGTGGTTCATGTCAATGGCGATTTCCCAGAAGACGTGGCTCGCGCCATGGATCTTGTGTGTGAATACCGTAACAAGTTTAAAAAGGTAAGACCAAAGATTCGCTGTCATGATTTTCTGAGAAAAAGGAATCGTTTGCTGATATACCACGATTTACACAGGATATCATTCTGGATCTGATGTGCTACCGACGTTGGGGACATAATGAGTTGGATGAACCTGCATTTACGCAACCACTCATGTACAATACCATCCGTCCTCGTGTGTCTGTCGCTAAACTTTATGAACAAAAATTGCTGGCTGAAAAGACCCTGGCTTCCGAAGCCGATGCCGAAGCTCTGCGTCAAGAGGAACTACAGAAACTCGATCAAAGCCTCAAAGAAGCCGAATCCTACAAACCAAGTTCCGATTATCACTTGCATGGAAATTGGCGTGGTATGCAACATATCACGACTGGTCAGCCTACCGAAACGATGACTGGCGTTGACATTGAAGAGTTGCGAGCCATCGGTCGCCAATCTGTGACACCACCGGAAGACGTTCAGGTCCATCCTCGTCTTCGCAAATATCATGTGGATTCTCGTCTGAAAAAGTTGGAGCAAGGTAAAGGCATTGACTGGGCTACCGGTGAAGCCTTGGCTTTTGGTTCCCTGTTGAAGGAGGGTTACGATGTGCGTATTTCGGGACAAGACGTTGGTCGCGGCACCTTTTCCCAGCGTCATGCCATGTTTGTATCGCAGGACACTGAGAAAGCTGTGATTCCACTCAATAATTTAAGCAGCCACCAAGGCTTATTGGAGGTAATCAGATTCGACCACACAAAGAAGAAGAAAAAAATTGTATGGTCCTAAGCTGAGTTTTTTCCCTTACCCCATATTTTCAGGTTGCCAATAGTCCGTTATCCGAATTTGCGGTGCTTGGCTTTGAATATGGCATGTCGATCGAGTCGCCTAATCGTTTAGTGTTGTGGGAAGCTCAATTTGGTGACTTTTTCAATGGCGCTCAAATCACTATTGATACCTACATCTCTAGTGGCGAGGAGAAATGGCTTCGACAGAGTGGACTCGTCATGCTGTTACCCCATGGTCAAGATGGTGCCGGTCCCGAGCATTCATCCAGTCGCGTGGAACGCTTCTTGCAGGTAAGAAAAAAGTTTGAAAAAGTAAAACAATAATCGACAAGCACAGCTGTAACAAATTCAATTGTAGATGAGCAATGACCCGATCAATGTCGCGGATGCTTACAAGTATCCTCCAAACTGGCATATCGTCAACTGTACCACGCCAGCTCAATATTTCCACGTTTTGCGTCGCCAGGTATTACAAAGATACAGATTGATTCAGTTCCTGTACATATGCTAATTTAATTGATCAGATGCTCCGACCTTACCGAAAGCCATTGATCGCCATTACCCCAAAGAGTCTCTTGAAATCTCCAGTAAGTACTGGCCGATGACGTTGAAAAAGTGATTTACATATTAAACTGGGTGATGTCGTTTAGATGGCAGTCAGTTCTTTGGAAGACATGGCCCCAGGAACAAGCTTCAAGCCCGTCTTGGACGATCCAGTCACGATGATTAATCCTGAAAAAGTGGAAAAAGTTGTGTTTGTGAGTGGTAAATTGTACTATGATTTGGCCAAGACCAAAGCGGCGAAAGAGTTAGATGATCGCGTCGCCATCATTCGTATCGAAGAATTATCGCCATTCCCAAGAGATGACATCCAGAGAGAAATTCAGAAATATCAGCAAGCCAGCGAGTTTGTCTGGTGCCAGGAAGAGCCTGAAAATGCCGGCGCTTACACCTTCATGGCACCTCGTCTTTCCCAGATCGTTCCCACGAAAGAGGTAAGAAACAAATTTATTTGTGATGCACTGAATGATAGCAGTAACTGATAATTGGTCTTTGGCCAGATTCGTTACATTGGCCGTGAACCGCTCTCTGCACCCGCCACGGCCGTGGCCTCTCGCTACCGCCGCGAACAGCAGCAATTAATAGAAGACGCTATCCACATGTAAAAATTGACCTTTAGCTTTTCTAGCCGCCTACTAGATTAAAAAAGATACGGACATTGCAATCTCTTTATAAACAACAAACTAAGACAAGTGCAATAGTTATCGAGTTGATCATCGTGAATTACTATAACGCAGCACTTTACTTTAGAAAATATAATGTGACAACACGGGCCTGCAACGTCCAAGCGCTCGCATATCATCAATCCATCACCGGAAACCAGCCGAATAGTATCGCCGGAATTGCTCAAAGACCCCGGCGGGCAGCGATGACTCGGCCCGAATTAGTCACGTGATTATTACTAATGTGATATTCCTGAAAATCAAAAAAAAATCGGAGCTGATTTGGCCGAGTTGGTCTAAGGCGCCGCACTCAAGTTGCGGTCTCGCAAGAGGCGTGAGTTCGAATCTCACAGTCAGCATCTTTTTTAAATCTTTGTCAAGACTTAACGAACCAATCAGATTGCGCGAATTGCCGAGCAATGGTTTTTTTTTTTTGGCTTTTTGAAAAAGATACCCTTTTTTCACTCAAGTCAGATCGAATACATTGTTTTGCAGACTAATAGTGGCTCAAATGTGTAGAGTCTAGTCTTGTTATTTGTATAGTGGGTTCGCCCTTTTTGAAGTAAAGATCATGCATGCATATGCATCCGTTGCATTTGGGGTGGGGAAGAACAAAGTAAGAATAAGCTCATGGATATCCTCGAAATAATTCGAAAGGGTTCCTGCAGCTTTTCAAATTAAGAGATCGTATGATGGCATGGCACTTGTCTTTTGTAATATGAATGCGAAATCCAAAATGATCGAAAAAAAAAGGAAGGCCTACCCCTCGTTGCTTTATTCTCGGTGTTCCTGCACATACGCGAGAAGCTATTAGTGTTTTTACAAGTTCGTCAAATAAAAAGTTGATCGGCTTCGTACAGCTCATATTCTCGATATGGGGGTGGTCGCCCTGAATGATACTGACGCCCCATATTTGCATTTCTGGATTGAGCTTCACTCGCTTGTCATCTCACATGGAGCCATTAGCAAAAGCGATTATCCAATTCATCTTTTTTTTTTTTCGGCTTCCAATCGACTTTGTCCGAGCATAAAAATCGCTCCTATGATAAGAAAACTTAGTTTCATCAAACTCTTTTCCGAAGTATATATAAGTCATTGTGTCCAGACGGAAGGACAAGTAATCCGGCTGAAAACGCCCGCCTTTCTCATATGTCAGGCTTTTTTTATTGTATTGAACACGTCTTTCGTTTGTAAGGTTCCATCAGTCTCCAGGATCTTTTTGTTATATGTCTGCGCGAAGAGGCATACAGCTCTGATCTGCGCATCCAGCAAAATTGATTCACGTGGAAATCAGAGTTAAATCGCTGATTTGCTGTGGACAAGTGATAAGGATATGGATCATGCTGGTTTGCTGTTAGGCTGCTTGGTTGATGTTCAACATGCATGCATACTATCTAATACACACTTTATATATTATTACGGATAGTCGTAGTAATGTTTTCAATCAAATAAGTGAGTTCGATAAATGATCTTTTATCCTGCAAGTAAAAAGGTTAATAGCAAAAAGTGAGAAAAATGAAACGCGTCAGTTCTAATTAACAGGTTTTAAGATAAACTGGGTAGCAGATATACACAGATATCATTCTTGGTAAAATATAAGGAACCGCAGTGAGCGATGTACCACTGTTTCGGGTACAATACGCCCAATGTTAAAGGAGGACAGAAAATAGATCGATCGGCGAGTGTGTGGTATTTCGAAACTAACATGTCTATAACTGCATACTGGAATCATGCGTTGCTGTGATTTTTACAAACAGTGCCATTTCTCTATCCGGCTGCAAAAAAATATTTAAAACTGTGGTTCCTGTGACTTACCTGATTTTGATGTCATCTTTGGAGAGTACAAGGAAGTATCCTTCACAGTATGCTCAAAAAGGGTTCAGTATAAACATTACTGTAGCAGGCTCTACGTTCAGCAGGATGCGTAAATCCCAGTTTCTTGTCCAACGAATTTTTCAACAACTGCAGGTGTGCCGAATATGGCAGCTTCAAATGGTGAAACTAAAAAGAATATGACGCGCATTCTATTTGTAGTTTCTTGCTCAGTTTCCCCACAATGACATTCAGTTGAGGTTTCCTTCTCAGGTTGGTCACACATTGGTTCCATCTGTGATTGAAATCCCGTTTATGAAAAGCAGGATCTTGCATATAAACCCTGCAGGCTTTCATCTCCAATCGTCCTTCCCTTGAATTATAGTCGTAGCGCTGTCTATATGAGACGTTGCTACGGTGAAGATTAATAGATAATTGCATGGTTATAGTTTTGGTGGAAAAAGGACCTCTGGAATGTTTTTTGTTTCTGCGTATCACAAAGATGCCCAAACAGTGTTGAGATAGGGGACGATCCATTTAAGAACATAATTTTCAATACATGCGGTAAATTGCATGTACACCTGGGACAGATAATGACGAGATTTCTTTTCATGAGAAAATGTTTGGGACTTCAATGTGTGATTTGTATGTAATCCAAGTGGAGGCTAGTGGTTATCATATCAACGGCATGTTTCATGAAAAAGAGAGTGTAGAGTGTGAAATGTTGCCTTCTCGTTTAGGGAATAGGAAAAAGTTAAAGATTGAATCATGACTGGGACGATAAGAAAACGAGCTACTTTATTGGGTGCGGATAGATGATGGTTTTGGGATCGTGGGTGTTTTTTTCCCTTACTTTTTGATACGGGACATCAAAATTTCCAGGTGTAACTATGGCGAAAACTTCGCCGGCAAAGAGAATAACCATAGTTCCAAGGCAGAGACCATTGAAGGGAAATGAGTTTCAAACCTAGCAAACTTATTACGCACGGCCCTGGGTGTTGACAACATTAACATTCCCTCTTCTGGATGGATCAGTTCTCTTTTTCCTTTCACCGCTTTCATTGGCCTGGTCTGAGAAAGCCAATAAAAAAAAAAGAAAAAACAGAGAGAAAAGGAAAAAAAGACCGATGCTTTTCATACCCAGCATCATAAAATGGAAATGCGTGGGGACCCAATTTTTAGTGTGTGCCTAGCTTTTTATTTTTAATCGATATCAGTTTGTTTTTTTTTTTTTTTGCTTGAATCCTCGGAATTAAAACGTTTTGGACCATGAACCAGCATAATGTCATGGCGGGATGTCTACGTAGCATGCCTAGTGACACACCGTTATTTGAACCTCAAGCCGAAGATATATTGACCGATGAAGATCTACTCGATCTATTTCGAATTGTCAAACAATTCCTACGGAAAAAACCAGATGCTGAGCGATTAGCGAAATTACTGTTTTGTGTGTCATACGGCCTGGGCGACAGTGTCAAATCATTTCGACCGCTGCATGAAGATAAATTGTATTTTCGAGATGACAATACAGGAAGTTATGGCATCGTACGATTACCAGGCAACACACCATGTTGTAAAAGCGAGGATACAGCCAAACACCGATGGTCGGAATCACCTTCTTCACCCCTCTCTCGATTTCTAAGCGTTTCTTACCTTACGAACTCACAACAGACTCAACCCCCCACTGTTAATACACCTGCCGCCGAAGGTGACCTCACCGTTCCCGGCGATACATCGACCGATGCGTTCTCGGTTCGCCCCTACACAAACTTTCGCCCACTGTACCCTTCTCAACGGATAGACACCACCGAGCCCACGAACACCCGATATCCGCCCCTTAATACCCTAATGAACAACAACAAGAAAACCGCTACCGAGGTCCTGATGGAACCGAAGCAGCGGGGATTTTATTACCAAGATGGTCGCATCGGGCGGGAACCGGCGCTTCTGCAGAGGTACGCCGAGCAAGGTGTGCTCACCCAAGCTTCATTAATGCGCAAACGAAGACGACAATTCTCGGATATCGAGTTTCCCTACGAATTATCCACATTACCAGCACCAGCCAAGAAGCCCAAAATTCCACATCGTAACGGTGAATTTGAGAAAAGACGTAAGGGTGGAAAACACCATAAAGGGATGGAATCAGGAAATGCTAAATATCTGTGTATGTGTGTGCGTATTTTTGCGTATGTGATTTAGGCGATAATATTATCAGTCGTATGCGGAGCATCACCACGGCGGATTTGGAACAAAAGGCGCAACGAATTGAACCCGAGTTTACCTTGGCGATCGAACACGCAACTGTACCTACCATTGACGGGGTCCTATCTGCTGAAGAAGCAGCGGAGCTTTTGGAACCCGCTTTACGCATCCTAATGTTCCATTCCAATATGAAACCTCATCTCGATAACGGCATGAATCAGAACGGCATATACTACAACACCGACTACTTTAGGCTTTACTTGGCGTTTGAGCAATTCCAGCGTATTTTTGCCGTACTGTTTCCACATGAAGTGGTCAAGATTCCCGAGCATCCAGTGGACAGTGATAAGGACCGTGACAGGGAGCGAAATATCAATATGAAATCATATCGACGATGGATTGAACCTTTGCTGGCGGAGACGAACTGGCCGGCATTTCGACGCAATCTTATGGTGGGAGAGCGAATGATGCAATTGACCAAGATCGTCGGTCAAGGTGTACTGCTGATGACGAAGGAACTTAGCGGTTCCAAGTTACACTTGACGTTTACAAACCAAGAGTGGGATGAGTTCATTACCGGATTAAGTACGGGCAAGTGGGACGAAACGGTCCAATGGGAGGCCACGCCTGGTAACCTGGTGGTGGAATTACGACGAAAATTTGCCACGCAATTCTGGTTCCATCCCAACGGGGTGATCAAATCGTCCGCCGAACGAAAAGAGGCCATGCGAGCGACAGAAAATGATGAAGGGTAAACTTTATGTAGAAAAAAAAAGGGCCCGAGAAATAGATACAGCAATTGCACTTGTATTTTCATTTTGTTGTAGAGCCAAAAAGCCAAAAAGTAAACGTTAAAAGTAAAAAAGCTTATGTATGTGTATCTGGCACGGTTGGATTGGGTCGCCACAAATGGGGGGTTTCTGTCCTATGCAAAATGGAATTGAGGCTCCGCAGACTCGAACCTCTTTTCTGCGAGTTTTTCTTGCACCTACTGGTTCACTCTTGTCCTCTTTCTTTCGTCCATCGTTTTCTATACGCTCATTAAACCGAGGATTATGCATGCCAATGGACCTACTGGTAAGGTTGCTGTGATACTAATTCAGTGTCCTGTAGTTACGTGCGTCTGATGAGTATCCACGTAGGATTCTATAACGTGCCCGTAACGAAATTCCTGTTGTTATTTGTCGGTGGTTGTTCGATCCTTTCTGCGATTTTGAATTTGAAACCCGCCTTTCATCTTCAATTAAGCCCTCACATTACAGTTCACCATCAGGTAAATGGCGGTACGATTTGGTTTGTCACCGTGTTGCCAGCTGACGCGGAGTGTTCGTAGTTTTGGCGTCTTTTGACTTCTCACTGTGCGTTTGCGAATTCCGGCGATGTGTTCTTTGGATCCTTACTGTTATATGTCATGCGTGTGATTGAGCGACTGTATGGGAGCAGTAAATATGCAGTAGGTGATCTGGGTTGGTCACTTGTGCCATCGTTATGCCCCTCGATTCACTGAGTTTTGTTTAGGCCTTTGTATTTCTGGCTGTCGTTCTTTCAACACTGTTGGAAATTGGAGCGCTTGTTTCGCTGGCCCGATTGGGATTACGTAGTTTCCCTGGAGGACCGTAAGTGGGAGCTATCATTGAGAGATGGGCGGAGGGTTTTATGGTCGGGTGCACTCATTCTCGTTACGATGATAAGGTTTGCGCTTATTTTTGTCATGGTTTATCAATACCACCGTGTGATTCCAGTCACTTACCGATTCCGAGTGTTTGGGGTGACATTCAATGACAAGTGTTTTGTCTATTTCCTTGCGCTGCAGGTACATATCTCGAAACACTATGCCAATGATATTATATGCTGATAAAAGAACATGGATTAGATGCTGATCAGTCAAGGTTTTTCTACAATCATACCTTGTGTATGCGGTCTGATGGCGGGTGCGTTATGGCGATCCGATATTGGCAATATCAAGCGATGGCGATTTTCATGTCGAATCAGAGAGTTCTCAGCACGATATATTCAGCCCATGTTGGCCACAGCGCCTACTGCTCGTTCATCGGCGCCTTTACCCCGACAAGGGCAAGTTATTGGGTTAGCAGTCGATAACGGGTTGCTTTCAGGGGGCGTTTTAAGGAATCGGAGGTCAACGACAAACGATACCAATCTCCCAACTACTGGCCTTCCGATGAATGGCGCCTCTGTTCGGGTAAGGAGTGCAACAATGTCAGTACCAGGAACTACAGCAAGCCAACATTCATTTTATCTTTTTTAGGAGTACATTGATACATTTACTGGACGAGCACCCATGGCAGCAGCAGATGTAACAGCACCAGCTGAAGAAGACATCATGATGCTGAGCATGATGTTTCCCGAACATCCTCGAGAAGCCATTATCAGAGCCTTATCGAGCGCCAACAATGACTTGCAACGAGCAGCTGAAATCATGCTTAATACACCTGCACCCAGTGGAAGCAATTCTGCATAAAACCCACATGTGGCACTAGACATGCATTGGCGAAGAATGATGATGGCGCTGTTTTATACACCGTGTAATATAGAGAACAAAAAAGATACACATGAATCATAGAATCCTGAAAGAAACCACACAAGAGGAAGAGAGAGAGAGAAAGAGGGAAGGAAGTAGAGTTACTCCATCCTCCTATTTATCCCTATCATTGTTATATAAACACCACATTTTATATGTAATGCATCTATCAATAAAAAAGACTGACGCAACCACGCGTTTTTACTGTTAATGATGGAATGCCTTGTGTATTTCTTGTATAAAGTGATATTGATTTATGTGTTAGGGTTGGACATGGAAATAACAAGGTACTCTTTTTGTTTTATCTACAGGTGGGAGGAGTGTCATCAAGTTTGAAGGGGGTAATAAGATCTATTTTCCTTATGAGTAGGAAAATAAAATGACAGCAGTGATATCATACAAGTGGAGCGATTTAAGGAAAAATGGAAGTAGTAAAGAGATATAGTAAAAAGAGAGGTGTCGAGGCTTGACTTATTCATCGATGAGAAAACTTTCCATTAATGAATGCACTGCGTCTTGTACTCGTCGATCAAATTCCCGTGACAGGTCCACCTGGACGCTCTTTAGCCATGTGGCAAGCCATGCTGTCAAGGCTTTCGCTTCTCTGGTGGTGTGGCTACGGGCATGGTAGTAATAGGCCGATTCATCGACGGTTTCGGATTCTTGTTGTTCAGCGTCGGCTTCGTATACAACCGATGATTTATTGATTTGGATCTGGTTGCTATGACCTTGGTACCACCGGATACGTGCCTTGCGGATGGAACGGCCGTTGAAGCGTCGGATAGGAAGAGATTGCTTAATGATAATTTCGGATGCTTCTTCCGCGTTGACAATTAGGCTTAGCTGTTTGGCCATTCGATGATTCAAAGCCAGCAACGATTGGGTCATTTCCTTTGCAGAGACAGGCTTGATATCGGTATCGGTATCATCATCAACCACTTCATCCACCGATACCAGGGATGAAACGGACACCACCGAAGGAAGGTTGGCTTCCACAAGCGGTTGGACAGAAGCCAAAAGATTGCTCCGCATGAAGTTGAGATGATCATGCAGATTGCGAACAAACGGACGGTGCGAAGCGCGACAAGGATAATCTAGAAAGGGTGATCACGGTTAGTTTCCGTTTACCACCGATAGTGTAGACTTGACATTGATCTTATTACCTTCTTGAGGTGTACATTGGTGAATGGCCATGGACGTGTGCGGAGCGGCCGAGAGAATATCGTCGGTAACGCTTTCCATCACCAGGTCAACGACCGTTTCATAGTATTCGCCCAGACTGCTGATCAGGACGTTCATAGAAGTGGCTGTATCAACATGGACGGTGGAGGGTGTATCTGCCGAAGATGTTGTCGGAACAATCGGAAAAGCGGCTGCGAAGGAAGTGAAGAGGGCGACGTAGGAAAGGAATCGTAAATACATGTGAAGGAACGGTATTGGGTTTGGTCAAATGAACCAAAGGAAGGTGAAAACAGGAAAAAAAAAGATGAAAGGAAAGGGATTAAAAAAAACCGAAGAAGAAAATAGGGAGAGAAGGAGAAAAGGAGAAAAGGGACGATAGTTGATGCACCTTTGTGTGTTTTTGTCTTTCTTGTTTTCCCTTGGCTTGGCCTTTCCCCTCCTCGACATGAACGTGACACGAAGAACTTCCACATTTTCTGTGCGTCCAATTTACTCTAAATTTCACTTTGCATTAAAGTGTTTTCCATGGATCGATGATGGATGGCAACTGATCGATAAGGAAACAAACCATGTGCGTGAAAGAGAATTGCCGCTTGAGAAGAAGCTGGATGTGACGTTGCAGTCGGTTTATTCTGTATTCCTTGGTTAGCCCTTTTAGTCTAGTCACTCTGGATCTTCTCCTTGTCTGTGCGTTGACTTGCAGGCCTTTGAATGTTCGTTCTTTCTCAGTTTTCGTCCAATCTCTTTTACAAAACTTTTTCCACAGGATAAAACAACCACGGAACCTAGTTTCTCGTACGTTCACAGTAGATGTTTTGCGCGTACACATCAAAATTGTAACGAGATCGTGACAGCCGTCCAATATGAACCTATCCAGATCGTGCTACATTCGGACGTTCAACCTTCCATTGAGTTTTTCGTCAGCTCACTATCGTGGCACCTGTGGATCTTCCTGCTTTGAGTGGATGATCCTTCTTTTCCGTTTACGACTAGTACTGCAACTTCAAAGCACGCAATTTCACATATCATGTCCCATTACCTAAGTTCTTATACACGGAATAACCGATATATTTCCGCTGAACATTGCAGAAATCGATGGAACGATCCGTCACCACAAATCAAAATATTTTAACCACCAGAATTCTATCCGGAAACTGTAACAGCAAAATAGCCAAGAGTCATTTGAGAAACTTCTTCCTTCACCACGGTGCGCTGGGTGTGGCTGATACCTGGCGCCTTTTTTCTTTTGACACGGGACTGAAAATGATCAATTCATCAATTTTTCAGCCAGCAAATGTGTATATACAAAATAGACATGCCTCATGAAGTCAAAAATCAGAAGATATGAGCCGCGGCGGCGGGTTGAGAACAGCACATGGGCATGATCCGTTGATCCTTATTCAAGCGATTGACCGACGGGAATCCTGTATTCAACGCTGGCAGTCTAACCCTATCGAGCCAATGAAGAACCCGCTTTATTTTGTACAACCTTTGTGTTTAGGATAATCGGCATGGGAATTTCATTGTGTTTTCGATTTCGATAACCGCCGAATCTTTTGAAGAAAATCTCTTTCCGTTTTCAAACTGTTGACGCGTTTAGATCAGTTGAGTGCTTAAATCAAAGGTCGAATGGTCACAATTTACCTGAGTAGCGCCGTCAAACCGAAACAAAGAGCACCTACACCGATGTGGAGGATCTTTTGATGCAGGGTATACCAGCCAATGTTAGATTCGGACCAACGAGTTACGGCCCACGAGATGATGAAACCAAGTACTGTGGTACGACTTGGAAGCCATTGACGCAAATGCAACCGTATTCCATTTTGGTAAAAATAGGTAACAATATAATGCCAGCTGTAAGCAATCCGCACGCCAAGATTGACCATATTGGCAAACACCAAGCCAATCGCACCCAACTGAAGCACATGCATAAAAACAATTCCAGATACCATAAAACATGCCGAAAAGCCGATCATGTAATAGCTTAGCCTGGTCAAATCCTGTCGCGACGCCACTGCCTGAACAAACGCTTCCGTAATACCGTTGACTCCCATCACCGGGACATACATACAGTACGTTGCGAGAACAGCAGGCGCATTTCGATCTACCGACCATGCTTTACCGACGAGAAGATCGATCAGCGTGGCAGTGTAGTTGGTCGCAAAGCAAGTGAACAGCAAACCAAGCATGACGTGGAACTTGAGAGTCACCAACAAGACATCGGCAGCCGTAGCCACATCCGCCTCGTTTTGTTTCGTCTTTTCCCCCAGGAGCTTGGAAAAGAATGTACGTCCGGTTTCTTCCAGTGGCTGAAATAAGATTCGAACAATAAGAGAACCTAGACCGGAAGCATTTTTTAGATTGAATGTTATCTGTGTTTTTTGTGCGCCCTCGGATTGACGAACCATAATTGACGACAAACGCATAGATTCCCTGATCCTCATCCGAGCTGAGCACCGAAATAAGCATTTTATCTCCTTCCGTCAGCACATGTTTCAACAACGATTGCTTGGTCAAAGTCATTGCCAAACTAAGTAATTTCGCATCGAACCAATAACTTGATGATGTTTCTCACTGGTAAGCTACTTTGTGATTGGAAAATTTCCTCGGCCCCTTCTCCTGTCCCCAACTTACGTTTTATCAGCGGCCACCAGCTTGCGAGGGAATAAAATGTGTTTGTCGATCCGTTGTTGTTTTACTTGTACAAAGAAAAATCCGACGTAACCAATAGCCATGGTCAACCCAAAGGCGAGTTGGGCTACAGCAAACGCAAGTACCCCGTAAGCATTGGCCTGCGATGATTGGTTTTGAACGCCTAGTAGCGTCAATCCGAAAGTGATGAAGCATCTTAGCAAAACAGCCACGCCTTCGACGGACACACGTAGTCGGAAATAGAGACGATTCAAAGCAAGCACGAATAAGGGTTCGACGAGCAATTCAGCAAAAGCAGCGATACCGAAAAGAACGACTGAAGTACGATAATAAGGATACTTGGCGGCTGTCACATCATCGATTTGGTTCAAATAATAAGTGCAAGCGACAAAGGTCGTCACCAATCCGATGGCGGTCGGAATATAGGCAAGGTTCGTAATTTTTTGCTCGCCGGAAGAAGCGTGTTTTTCGTATTTCTCTTTCTCCAATGTCGAATCCTCATTGTCACCGCGCAAAAGAGCACATCGAAATCCTTCTCTCGAAATGAACAGGATAGTTGAAAGCAACAACTCCAACTTGACAGAGGCAATGCCCAGCGTCTCGGCTGTGGTGTACCTTAAGACTACTTGATGCAGTGTAAATGTTAACATGCGCGATGCCAACTGAAGAAGCACTAAGTAATAGGCTCCTTTGGCTGACGAGAATAGCAATGAATCCTTCTCATCGGTAGGCGCTTGGTCAGCATGTGGTGTAGGATGTTTTGGAGGCATAAAGCAGGAACGAAAGAGGCGGATAATGACGATGGGATGCAGACACGAATGGGAGATTTAAACTCAGCACATAAAGAAAAAAGTCAAAGAATGGCAATTTGAACTCTGTTCCGATCTTCCCCATCTTTGATCATGACTGTGCAAGTGACAACAAGGCCGATGAATATTTGTACACATTGATCAAGACGCATAGAGTTTGAACGTGTCTTTTTATGGGGAATCATCCTTACTACAAATACTTTTTTTTTAATTAAGGATGGCACTTCACGGAGCAGGTTCAGTTGAGAACGACACAATTGGAAGATGCTGGTTCAGGGAAGAATGTGCATTGAACATCCAAACTCATCCCATATTATCTGGTTACACAGCATTTGTTCGAATTGGCAGCATTCCTTTTTTTATTTCTTTTTGAATTTTCCCTTGTTGTTACTTTTTCCTTTGTTGTCGCCTGTTTCCTTGCTTCTTGAACGACGGTGCCTTTTTTCTCCCTCTGTTCAACCCAACCGTGTAGCCCATGGAAATTTTTGGGATCTCCAAGGGCAAGTCAAAACAACGGCGTAAAGAGTCGTTTCCAAGCGACCCTACATTATCGGTGCCAGGCACCGTCCGACATTTACCAAAGGAAGTGCCTTCCAAAGCCTGGACACCTTCATCATCTACCGCATCAAGCAATTACACCACCGCGCCAGTGGATAGTTATTCCTTGGATGAATATTATCAAGGTAAGCTAATCAGGAGATCTCTTGTTTTCTATTTTCGATTTTTTCAATCTCACTTTCTTTGCTATTGTCAGGACATATTTCTCCCAGTGCCAGTTCGCGATCGTCCCACATCACCACTGGTAATGATGCCGATGGTCATGGTCAATATGATGGTCTCACTGAGAAAGAAGTCGAGGATCTCTTTGAGAAGATGCTGGTAAGTGATCTCATCTGTTTTCTCGCGCTGACCATCAGGGAAATATCAAAAGCAGACTTGACATTGATCAGTAACGTTGTAGACGCGACGTGGCATTCACGATGCCAATGCACGAACAGTGATGCTGTCGTTTCCTACCGAAAAGAAGTGGCTGATGGTGTCGCAAGACAGACAGACGGAAGTGACGATTCCAACCACCACGCTGAACAATAAGAAAACAAGCAACGACCTAAAGGAACCGGAGAAAAGCACGCCCGAGTTTTACATTAAACAATTTCTGGAACCGGACATGCGCGGAGTCACGCCACGTCTAGTCGCGCATTTGGCTGTCAGTTTACGTACCATGCCGCTCAGGTAAGTTATCTCACGTTAGAAAAAAATCGGATGCGCTGCATCTGCTGATCTTCTTCTCTAGTTGGGTACGCCAGTTCATCGAATCGCGTGGTTTACAAGTAATTAGTAATGTCATCAATATTTTAAACAAACGCGAATCAAAGTAAGTTTTTGTTCTTTTCTCAAGAATATGTGTGCAGTCGGAAAGGAACACTCAAACATCATCTACGTCGCTTAGGACAGAAGCCGATCTTCAGATGGAAGCCGAGATTCTAAAATGCTTCAAATCATTGATCAATAACAGGGTAAGTGTCTTTAGAATGGAGTGGATAGGGGATCATGAGAAACTTAGCGCTTGGATGAATTATAGTGGGGTGCACGAGAAGTGATCTCCAATCCGCAATGTATCTATCACATTGTGTTATCGCTTGTATCGCCGCCAATTCAAACGCGAAAATTGGTATGCGAGGTGTTGGCTTTTGTATGCCATCTTGATCTGCCCAAAGGTCAAAATATTGTCCTTCAAGGCATGGATAAACTGAGAAATTACAGACGTGAACTTGGAAGGTTTGATGGTTGGTTGAAAATACTCGATGCCACATTGGAAGGACGAGGTCGCATGGGAAGTCTAGTCGGCGCAAGCGAGGATATCAAGCGACTGGGCCCGCAAGGCGCACCCGATAATCACTTGGCGGATTACGCCGTAAGTAGGCGTCGGATAGGGTAATGCAATTGTTCGGCTCAACTTACGGTAAATCGCATATTACTTTTCTCTAGTTGTCCAATATGATGCTGGTCAATTCAATTATCAGCGTGGTCGAGGATGTGGAAATCCGTGTGCACCTTCGAAATCAGATGAACGCGTGCGGCTTGCAACGTATCTTTGATAAAATGCTAGAGTTCAATAACGAGCATCTGAAGCGCCATATCAATATCTACAAGCAGATGAGCGACAATGATTACGAAGATATCATGGAAATCTACAACGAGCGGCTTCTCAATGATATGAATGATCCTCGCGATGTGTTTGAAACGATCCTTAGTCGAGTGGAAGGCACACGTAGTTACGATTTCTTCCTCAGCGCTTTACAACATCTGTTGCTTATCCAGGATCAAGATGATACACAGTAAGTGGGCCTGACTACTTGATTGACCTCTCATGAGAAACTGAATTCTTGTGATCGTTTGTTTCTTTCGTTGGCAGAATACGTTATTATCAATTGCTGGATAATCTGATTACGCAAATCGTGTTGGATCGAAAAGGACTTGCAGCGGATGACTTTTCGGGAGGATATGGATGGTCAGTCTCAACTTTGATCGATAAATTCGCCGAGCAAGATCAGTTAGCAGCCGCCATTGCCGAAGCCAACGAAGCCAAAAAGCTGTACGAGGAAGCGATCAAGGAAAAACAGGAACTGGAGCTCGAGGTGAATATGAAAGGAGGTATGCCACTTGTTTGATAGTTTGCCAATCTATGGGATGAGAAAACTGAATAGGGCCCTTGTTCCCTTATGTCACTGTAGATGGCTTGATCGGACAGCTAAAGGATAAAACAAATTCATTGGAAGATTTGCTTCGAATGTCACGTCACACGATCGCCACTTTGCAAAGAAAGTTGAAAGATGCTCAACAAGAGTACCATATCAATTTGACGGCAATGGATCAGGAATTAAAGACGTTGCATAAGAAAGCCGTCGAAGCAAACAACGTCGATCAACCGCTACCCATCGAGAGCGAGGATTCTCAGGATAATCAATTTGTTCTCAAGAGGGATGAAGTGAGCCGAGCTTATGACCGTTTGCGTGCCCAAGCTATTCTCGAAGGCAAACCATCCGATGGCGATGATCTTACGGTAACACTTTTGAAATCTCTATTGTTACGAGTCTATTGACTGACATTTCTTTATCCACAGAACCTGCCGAAAGCCGAAGGATTATCGGAAGCCTTCAAATCGACGCTTGTTAATCAATTTAGTTCCTCAGCCCCGTCAGGATTTGTTATTCCTGGTACTATGCCATTGATTGGTACAACCCGCCGAGGTGGAGTTCACAGCTTGAATAGAGACGTGTTGGATGTGGATCATTCATCAAAGCCGGAAGGACAAGATGCCGTACGAATGCATACGGTGGTGAAGGGACATGTGGACGAGTTGCTCAAGGACAATACACCTGTTGAAGGAGAGCACGCTGATAAACCAATCGGTGCCTTGGCTGCGGAATTGCAACAAAGACTGCAACGACAAGGCCGTCCTTTGGCCAATAATGCACCAACAGATTCAGTCAACGATCAAAACCTGCCAACGCCCCAATTGGATCAACGAAACTCATCAGTCAGCGGCGAATTATCTGAAGCAGAAAACCGTCATTTACCACTGCGCAAATCAAGTGCAGTTGAACACTTACCCAATGACGTATCAGCTACTCAACAACGCACATCATCCTCAGCAGTTGAAAGCATGGACCATGTCAAGGATAAACACGCATTGTCTTTGGATGGGTCTAATGTCGCTAATATGAAGGCTGTAGATGCCATATCTTCGTCCAACATTGCAAGTGCAACTGCATTGCCGGTGGCTTCTAAGGACAGCGTTGCGCCAGCTCTATCGTCCTCGTTGGACGCATCTACTACTGTACCTTCCACTGGTGCTCCCTCAGCGGCTGCGCCTTCAATTTCTTCGGCTCCTTCGGCTTCTGCCCCACCGCCGCCACCACCACCACCACCGCCGCCGCCTCCAATCGAAACCACATTTATACCTTCGGCAGCCACATCAATGGCTGACAAAGCGACTTCTATACCACCCGCGCCACCCGCGCCTCCCGCACCGCCCGCTCCTCCACCACCAGGAACCACCGCACCAATTGCACCGCCACCGCCACCGCCACCGCCACCGCCACCGCCTCCACCACCACCTCCTGGTCCCAATGCTTCGGCAGGCCCTGCACCTCCACCACCTCCGCCACCACCACCAGGTCCCAATGCTCCAGCAGGTCCTGCACCACCGCCCGTTCCTATGGCTGCTATGCGCAAGGTGATTCGTCATCAACCGAACGTCAAAACACGAGCTTTGCAATGGACCAAACTGCACGCCAACTTTGTCAACAAAACGGTATGGGGTGTGGACGATATTGACGAGGACGCATTGGAAGATGAATTGGACCATATTGGCGTGTTCAACACGATTCAAGAGTTATTTGCACAACGAGTTGTGGAGCGCAAACAACGGCAACGAAAGGAACGCAAACAAGAAATCTGTATTTTGGATCCTAAAAAGGCTTACAATATTAGTAAGTGCACAAGACAAACATCTAAGGATTTATGGATCACTGGGTACAGCGAACGTCACTGATTACTATTACTTCTCACAGACATTGCATTGCTGGCCAAACTTAAACATATACCATTCTCCAAGGTTGCCGAACGCTTCTTGGCCGTTGATGACAAACTTTGTACCGAGAATCTCCTGCTGAATTTACAAGCCAATGTACCTACAGCGGAGGAAATGGGCAAGCTTTCTGTCTTTGTCAAGAGTGCTTCAGAGGAAGAATTGGAACAACTGTCGCGACCAGATACTTTCTGCGTAGAGGTAAAGTACTCATAGACTTAACATCTAGCGTTTTAATTGAATGCCATGTTTAACATGCTCTGGGCAGATGATGAAAATTGAGCGATACAAAGAGAGGGTGGACTGTATGTTATTCCGAGCTACTTTTGCCGAAAAGCATCAACAACTGAGTAGGGTAAGTGGTGGGAGGACCATCGTTGTAGATTAATCGCTGACCTGTTACTCATACATTGCTGAATAGAATATGAGCTCAGTACTGGAAGCTTCGATTGCTCTCAAAGATTCGAGTTCGTTCAAAGAATTGTTACGAGTGAGTATTCTCGCATTGCATAAAGTGACCGAGACAATCATTTCTTCTAATCCACTATGCAATGTCACAGCTTATCCTTGTGCTCGGCAATTTCATGAACGGAAGTACATTCCAGGGCGGTGCATTTGGTATCAAGATTGGCAGTATCAACAAGGCAAGTGTCACAGGTGTACCTTATTTGACTTGGACCGTTGACCCTTACGCGTAATTATTTTATCAGCTGGTAGATACCAAGGGTACGGAAGGCAACACGACGCTACTGCATTTCCTTGTCGATACTGTTGAGGAAAAATTGCCTCGATTGCATAGTTTCTTGGATGATTTGACAGAGACTGGCCAAGCCTGCAGAGGTACGTTTTCTTCTGATTCAGGGTTGCTTTGGCAACGAAATTTAATCCTCACCTCCGTCATTTGTTGTGTAATAGTGACCTTGCAAGATATGGTGAAGGATTACAACGAAATCCGAAGCGGTCTTCAGAAATTGATCCAGGAATTGGACAACCATTACAGCGACGATTATGTGGCACCCACAGGAGATCGTTTTGCCGCTGTTATGCGGGCATTCCGTGACGAAGCGATTGATAAGTTTGAGGAACTTGAAGTCCGGTATACCTCCATGGATGTGGCATACAAAGATGTTGTTGCGTTCTATGGCGAGAATCCAGAGCAAATGAAACCGGACGAATTCTTTGGCATTTTCAAGACGTTCACATCAAGCTGGGAGGTAAGACACGATATGATCCTTTTGGCATACATGATCGATCATCTGACTATGTCCAAACTGTGATGATTAGCGTGCCATGAGTGACAACAAGTCAGCTCGCAAGAAGTTGGAACAAATGGAACGGGCACGCCAGATGGATGAAGAACGTAAAGAGCGCATGAAGAAACAGAAAATGCGTGGTGTTGATATCAGCGATTGTAAGTACTTGGAAACGCTCATGATCATTCTCAAAAAACAAAAAAAAGGACTCATTGTATTGTTATCATTTGTAGCTGGAGCGTCCAATAATGAAGAAGATAAGCATATCATGGACAATTTACTGGACAAATTGCGTGCCGGTGAATTAGAAACCAATACCAAGCGAAGGGCAGGCGGGGACCGACCGACTCGACAACAGCGTTTGCAAAAAAGTGAATCCGTTGTCCTGCGTGCGGAAGATTTGTTAAAGAGCATACAAACAGAAGATCGCAGCCCGCCTGCGATTCGATCCAATAGACTACGGTCATCAAGAACTAGCAATAGCTCCCATGACCGGGAAAGAGCATCTCATACTATAGAGTAAATTACTTTTGTTTTTCCTTTTGCATACTTTTTTTCTTTTTTTGGTAGGGAGCCGATGGGTTCGGTGTTATTTATTTGCCCGCACGTCCGGGAATGGAGAGGTACCGACAAGATGTGTTTTATTAAACTACAACGCGCAAGATGGCGAAGGAAAAGAGAAACTACTGGGAAAATCTCGCAAAAGATATGACTGTGTTCAAAAGTGGCAAATGACTTGACCTGGATTTCACAACAGGCTGCGTCTTTCTTGATGAGTTGACCTTTTCACATTAACAAGCCGTACACCCGCTGTGCAATGGATGCCGCTTGCCACCGGAGGCCGCCCTCTTACATTGAGCGACTTTCGTCAGACAAAAAGCCTAACGCATACACGGCATAACCTGGGCGAGAACTCTTGACGGACTTTGGTATATTAATGACAACCTTATGGCATCCCTTACGTCGTGATTTGTTTCTGAACACGCGCAAAGCAGCACTGATTGACCCCTCAGTTCTATCCCGCCCAGGCCATGATAGATCTAGAAAGATGTGTGGGTATGTTGGGTATTTAAAAAAAAAGAGTTAGTAAGCTCTTTGATTGGTTCAATTTCGTCCAGATATTTTACCTTTGTTATTTGAGTTTTCAATAGCCATTGATCGCTTGACATGAGTTGGATTATATGACTTTTGATTTTTTTGAATTAGTATATGTTCCTTACATCATAGCAAAGGAAAAGAAATTGGACTTGCCTTTGAACCAAATGGTGAACCGGACAAAAAAAAGATGAACACCGACCTCTCGATCATTATAAAATGAAGAGAATGAAAGGACATATACAGTATAACTGACAAAAAAAAACAAATTGAATGATGCTACAGAAGAACGCTAGTCGTATCATCAACCACTTTTCTTCATAAAGAGCTCTACTCACATTTTTATTTGAAAGACGACGATGCTCTGTTTGATCACAACTGGCTCAAACGGAATCTTGCTGCTGAATGTTTCGCCTATTATCGTGGAAGTGGGCAGCGAGGCATGGCTGAAAGATAAAAAAAAAGTTTAACAGGTCCTGATAACTTAGTGTCGATCATGTGATTTACAAATCGCTGATTTCCCCCAGACGTAATTGTTTAGATTTGAAACGAGTTATGGCTTGGTCAAAGAAGGGAATTCCTGCAATATTACAGTGCCCACAACAAAAGCGTTTTAGGTGCAACATATGCCACTGGTTTAATCAACGTCAGTTTGAAAGTTGGTATTAAAAAAAGAAATTTTCAGCGTGCAATTGAGCATGGGAACGGTAACAGGGCATTGTCTGATTTTCCTGAAGGCCACAGTTGGTGAAAAGGTCACCTCTCCTAAAAAGCAGAAACATTACCTTTTCATGGATAATGCTCCTATACATACTCAATTAGTATAGGAGAGTTGATCTAGTACCGCGGATATTGGTATGTTTATCTTCCTCTATGCTCTCTTGAACTTGATCCAATTGAGCAGTTTTGGTCCGTGGCCAAGAGCCAATTAAGTTCCTGAAAAGAACCGCTGAAGCATGCGATAGCTTAAATCTAAGTGACTCCAATTCTCCTAATATTGCTGAAAGTGTCTCAACAAAGAAAGATGATAAACTTCCAGCAAAGATCCCAAGAAAAAACCGCTTTGGGATATCAGAGCAAAAAACGGGAATTATAGCAAAAAAGATGGATTTTTCCAAAATCAAACAAAACCTGCCCTGGAGAAATCAGAGCGAGAACTAGTTTCTTGCATATTTTTTTTAACCATAAACATGCCACTATTGGACATGCGCGAAAGAGAAGGTATTTATTGATTGAAATTGCGAACACATTTTTTAATTTTGGCGACAACATCTTTGTTCGCCCGTGATATATTGGATGACATGATTTCTGCCATTCGCTTTATTATTTGGTTTAGCGACGAGTTGTGGAGTATTGCATCAGCATTGGAATCATCACCGAAGAGTTGCAAAAGGTCGTCCAATAAATCGCTCATTTTTCCAGTTGTAACGCATTGGCTTTTGCACAGCACGGATGAAGTGGATTATCGAAGTGGTTTATTTGATATAGATATTGTTTTTTGTGCTTCCAACTATTTCCGAAAACAAGGATTTGAGTGTGATGACATGAAAACGGAAGATAGTAGTCACATACCTCCCCGTCCCCTCAGATCATTGGCAAGGTTAAGCTAGAGTCCCGATGGTGCTTTGCGGACACGGCACAACTGATCTTTTGTTCCTTGGACGCTTGAGAAGGATACCATTCTCGTCGGCAGGTTTGCAGGTTCCGTTAGCGGAAGATGCTACAATCCGATATTTTGGTTGTTTGACCTTGGTATATTTTTGATCGCCATAATAGACTGCTACATGTCTTCCATGTCCAGGTCAGCGGATCCAGTCATCTCCATGCATGAGGCATGATTTGAAGCCATATCACTTCTTGAAGTTGATGATCCAACCCTCGCTGAGCTTGCTCGTAGCATTGTCACCATGAAATGTAGTTCGAGTTGTCGTGCTTGTCCAACGGAATAGAAAGACTCCAATGAGCATGCGCCCCTGTCAAGAGCCAGATTTTGCGCTTTTTCCCAGCTGTCATTGTCGATCAAAATTTTTGTGGTTTGTAGTGATGTAACGAAGAAAATGACGACGACCAACATCTGGGTCTCTTTCGCAATCCAAACGTAAAGTTGATGTAACCAGGGCTGAGCAAGATTGGGTGCCAATGATCAGTTTTCGACCATCCCTTGTGCTTCTAACGCACGGCCCAACGTTTGGATATAATGGCGATTTTGGAGGAAGGGTTGAATCTTCGGCTGTGAATATTTCGCGATGAATATCGACGTTTTTTGTGCGACCATATACTTCAATGGTATTCAGTAATATTGCTTCAATAGTCACAATATTCAGCAAGGTAGCACCAGCCAAGACCTGCGCGCATGCGGATTTGATTCGTGGCACATGCATCCAATCCTTGTTCAATAAAGCAGCTACATCATCATTCAAATTGAAGTGATGCATTTTCATGAGCATGTTGCGATAAGGAGAACAGTGAATGAGAGGCGCCAGATTTGGGCATACAATGGTGTGTGTGATATCATCGCGGTCGTATTTCCGTTTTGCTGGCAATATTGATTTGCTATCAAGGTTGAGTGCCAATGATGAGTTTCCGGCCATCTCGTGTACTTTAGCTAACGCTTTTGCGGTACGCGGTAGCTGCACGCCATTGCGGTTGGATAAAGACGGTAAAGAGACTTGTGCTTTTGAAACACGGCCAGATCATTTTTTCGGGGTTGACATTCGGCGTTCCTTCTAGCACCGTTGATGGATGGCGCGTTCGTCTTGCACCTCCCTTGATCTTTAGTGTTACCACCTCTTCTTGGTCTATCACTATGTCGGCTTCCAGTGAAAGGTCCCCGGTTCCGCTTCTGCTGAACTCGAGCCAGGTTTGGGAATCGGCCTTTCTGCTTTCGAGTTGACGCCACCAGATATCAGCTCTTAATCAAGGTAGCTGCGTACTGGATCTCGTCGGTCTCACACATCTTGCAAAGCTTAGTATATCTTTCAATACTACGGAGCCAACCATCGACAACTTGGGCTTGACGGACGCCACTGTAAGTATGAGGCTCATGGATTTTGGGTCGTATAATTTGCGCCAGTTCAGCGGCAGGTGCAGCGAGGTTCATTCCTCGCAAAAATTTCGACGAGCAAACGCACCACTCGGGCACCATGGTCTTCTTCACGCATGGTGACTGGTAAGAGAAAAAAGAAAAAGGAGAAAATAAAATAAAATAAGAGATATAAGAAATATCAGGGGAATTAAGGGGGTGAGGTCATCTGCTGTTTCATGGGTTTGTATGAATCGTCTTGGGACATCGACGAGTCAAATTCGACCTTCTCGTGCGTTTATTTGGTTAAGGGTAGGGCCTTCTTAGCGAAATTTTCAATGAACTTCCTGTAGTAGCCAACCATAAGGAGCGGACGTCTTTCTTTGTTCGGGTTTCGGCATTTCCAGGATTTTTGCGGTATTTCCTCTTGTTGGCGCTGGAGAACCGTAAACAAACTCGGCCGCTGGCAATACGAAGACTGGGACAGATTTCGGGACCATCCATGCGACGAGTAACTTTTGCCCAGGAAGAGGTCATTGCTTCATCGGTGGCAGTTGCACGAGCTTGTTTGGACGCTGGCAAAATTGGTGGTTATAGGGCCAGCAACAGAAGTGAGGTTCGTCGGAGTGGCAGCGGCATGTTTTCCGAGTCCTTCAGATGTGCTTCAAGGGCAGCGTTTTTAATGCGCAGCTGTGAGTTTTTCTCAACACCAGCTTCAGAACGGGTTACCCGTTCTAGGGCAGAGAGAAGATCAGATTATGTAGCGGCAACAGTTCGTTGAAGAAGCGCCGAGACGACATGCATCAGGTTGACATTGGTGAAGGCGAATGGAGCTTTGCTTTCTGGGGACATGTAGGACCAGAACATCGGACGATTTGGAACAGAAGGTAAAGACCAAGAAATGCCGCCGGGTGGCGGGAATCAGCTGGAATAGAAGCGGGTCATTGCAAGGCGGCGGCCGCCGGCCGGAGGGGGGGGGGGGGGAACTGTCTACAGACGTGGCAGTGGTATCAACAGGTACGTACGAACTTTGATGGATGCGACAGAAAGTGGCAGAGAATTAGGAAACCGGGAAAGAGGTTAAAAAAAGGGGGCTGCCTTCAACCAAGCTTTGATTTCTCCATTGCGAAGTTTGATTTTGGAGCTCGGATTTCTCCAGAAGTGCTTGGTTCAACATTTGGCAGAGTAACAAAACCTTTGAGATCACTTAAATATAAGCTATCGCATGCTTCACTAGTCCGAATCATTACATTTCTTTTTCCGGTGCCAACACACCGAACAGCTCAATCCGATTAAGTTCAGGAGAATACTGGAGGATTCGATATTCTCGAAGGTGGATATATTTTTCCTAAATCAATTCAACAATGGAAAGGAGCATTGTCCATGACAAGATAATGTCCTGCGTTTCTGGCTTGTCGATTTCATCTACTGTGACCTTCAAAAAGATCATATAGTGCCCTGTTATTGTTCCTGTGCTATAACCATGAGTCGCACGCCCAAGCTTTCTCAAACCGATGTTAATTGAACAGTTGCAGATATTGCACCTAAAATCAATGTTGCATTGGATTTAGTTGTGGGTAGTGTGGCTATTGCATGACTTCACACTTCTTTGACCAAGTCATACCTCGTTTCAAATTAACATGGAAGGTCGATTCATCGAGAAAGACACAGTCTGTTATGAAATCCAGGTCAGTCTGTTGCCACCTTTGAACCCATTCACCATCCGTGCTGAATTTTTTTTCTTCACTGTAATTCATCAAAACATGCATCCTTGTTCCTCCCATCTATTCTTGGCCATAACCATGGCGCAACTTACAGCGGCACCCTATCAACTTCTTTTAAAACCAAAAACTGATGCTGAAGCTTGTATCTAGCGATCGTACATAGTGCCACCATTTTGGCTACAGCAGAGGTGAGTCTCTATTCGCGGATCATCGATTTATTTGGCTAACCTACCGGAATATATAACAGTTCCCCTTCCTCCAGGACGCACTCGACAAATTTGGCTTTTCCGAAGTCAGGAAAGCTATCCAGATCAGGATGTTCAACATCGACCTGATGGTTCAAAAATTTGAATAAATGATTGTTAATCCCACAGCCCATCCTTTACAAAACTTACTTGACTCGTATTACTCATCATGCCTTCATGAGGGTAAAGCATAGATGTTTGATCCGGTGCATATAAACGCAAATACTTGCGACCCACCACTTGGGCCAGGACGTTATGATATGGGTCTTGATGAAGAGGGGATACTGTGCCTTTTGGTCCGAACCATGCATTCTTAATGACATCCGGGGGCGGGCCTTTGTACCAGTCCGTCGGTTCTGGAGCCACATAGCAATAGTCTGGGATTTGAATGTCATTTTCAAGTCGAGGGATTTGATAAAATAAATCATGCTGGGCTAGATAGGCCGGTGGTGTGGTTGGCTTGAGTACGTAATCATTGACAAACTCTTCAAATCGCATCATTTGCTGCTGCCATTCAACATCGGTATATTTGCTTCCAAGTTCGACGGGGACCACGCGATCGGCCGCCAAAGAGAGAAGATGGTGTACACTGTTCCACGGTCGTGATGACAACGCTGGCCAATGATCTATGGCTCCGCAAATAATCACCGGCTCCGGCATCTGTCCCTGCGTACGAAGTGAAAACCATATGAAATCAGGCGGTTCACGCATGCGTTCGATTGGGAAGCGCAATTCAGGCGCGCGTTCCTGTGTCGCTTTATCGACAAACACTTCGTCTTTGATCTTGATCCGCTTTTCACGTCGATCCTCACCCTTCAATTCCCGTAGCTTGTCAGACAACCACTGCTGAATATCTTCCAGTATCTTGTTGGCCAACGTGCGGCGCCCAGCGCCTGGTGCTCCACTGACTATCATCGCTGTGTCAAGATCTCTAATGAGTTGTTGTGCTAAACTCTGTGCTTGGTGATCGGGTACTTGATTTTCCACGGCATCTTGCAATTCGCGCAATAATTGAGAGGTTTGCAGCAAACTGGCATCCATGAGCAAATGGCGCCAACAGGATGGAACGTCCTTGTAGGGATAAAGTAGCAAAGACTCATTGGCCAGATCGACGAGAGCCGCGACTTTCTCTTTATCCACGCAATGGACATTGGCGAGAAGAGATGTATAAAGTTCTACGACCGATGCACCGCAGCCGCGTAGATCTAGGCTCAACTTAGTAATACGGCTCAGCAAAATGTCATCAGAGTTATACAGCGCATTAAGGAGGTCTACCTTCTTCACGCTCGTCCCGTTGCAGGAGGGTAATGGTGTTGACGGCGAGGAATTTAAAATTCATGCAATAAACAAGTAAGAATAAAAAAAAATGGAAGCGCAGAAAAAGACAGTTTTTTTTTCCTTCAAAATTTTCATCTATGCATGTGCAATTCATTATTTGCTGTGTGAGAGACTGAAAGCATCTAATGAAGTAGTAATAACTGCTACAACAATTTCCATGGCAATTAACCAGATAACAATCCATTCCAGCTGTTCGCCTGTCCAATTTCATGAGTTAGGATATGCAACCCACGACAATGTGCTGAACCAATTGTGCTTACCATGCGAGCTGTTTAAATGATCTTTCAACATCTCCAAAAGATCGCTAATGACCTCCACACGTTGATTCAGCAATTCCACGCGCTGAGATATTTCCAAATAAGATCGAATCGCGCTGTATAAAGGTTCCAGCGCAGGTTCTGACCAGAAGATTTCGGGCGTATCAAGAATATTACTGACAAGGTTGACGTTAATACGCATAATAAATAGTTGTCCGATTCGTTTTGTGATGGCCGTTCTAAACAAAATCAAGGCGATATGCACGGTTTAGCCAACGGGTTCACAAAATATCACTTGATGTCGCCCAAATTCCTTTACCTTGACATATGGATATTGCCACTTTCAGCCATGACTTGTGGTATGTATTTGGTTTCGTTGATCGTATCATCAATAAGACGTTCGAACAAAGTCATTTTGACACTTTGAGCTATGGCATGCGCAATTGTCAATTTGACAAGGTAGTTGGATGGGTGTCGGAGAGTAATGATATCGTTGTAAATGCTAAACAAAAAGAGAATATTAACAGTTGCTCAACGACACGAGAGAGTCCAATTTCTGAATTGCCATACCGAGGTTGATAATTCTCGTTGTAGTAGTAATGAAATTCTTCAGTTTCTACGTCGTCGAGCTCTGATGACAAAGGAAATTCAGATCAATAAGCGGATCAAACAAGATGGTGGTCAGAAGAATTAACATACCTAATTTTTCTTCCTCAAATGGTTCCAGCTCCTTGAGGATGCGCTGCTCTTCCTGTAATGTCATACCCCAAAACACAACGACACCATAGTCAAATAAGAACATCTCCGGCAAGACCTTGGTTAGATGTTGTCCTTGTTTATATTGAGGTGGTGAAACCGGGTATGTCAAGGAATACGGCGTATACAGACTATACCATAAACAGCATGAATACCCACAATACGGAACCCAGAAAGCATGAATCGCGAAATTTATTCTTGTAACTCTTGACCTACCATTCGTCATATCGCTTGGGTGAGGCGCCATTGGACTGTTTTCTCGATTGCAGGTATTTTAGCAGATCATCCATGCGATACGCCCTAGCCACGTGGGAAATAAGTATCAAAATTGAACAAAAAAGGATACACAAACACACTTACGAGGCAGTACAATAAGCGGTGACTCGCGACAGTTCATCTCGGTTCATTTTACTTAATCGTTCAGCTTCAATCCTTGCCGAGCCGTGCGGGATTTGCGCCAACTGTGTATACACATCGGCGTCGTCGATATCTTCTGGCAACACAAGGTTTTGTTCGTCATCTTCGGGAAACAGTTTTAACTTTTGCGATATTTTGGTAGTTCGGTTGGGCTGCTTGGGTTTGGCTCGTATACTGGTGGTAGCGGGTGTCGCCGTTGGCTGTCCAGATCGGGATGCAGTCTTGGCAGCTGTCGATAAGGGAGAGGAAAGACTTCCTTGGGGAGGAGGTAGTAATGGTGTACTCTCCGTTGTATTTGCCGGAGAACTAGGATATTGACGACGTTGAAATTTCGACATGCTGTCCGACTACGTGGTTCGATTTTCACTTGGGAAGGGGATGATTAAGTGCTGTAAGAAGAAAAAAAATCGGAAACAAGTGAGATGTGGTGCGCACCGCATCAGAATGTGACAGCCTTTTTGGGTCATTGCTGTCGAAATTCGAACCCAAACCCCTTTCGTGCTACTTGAGATTGACACTTGGTAACCCATTTTGAGCAAATTATAACCCTACATGCACATTTGTTACGTAATGTAATGAGTTGACAGTAATTCTCATAAGAAATACAATCGCATCGTCTATCAGCCATATATATCGTGCACCAAAGCGTACCATGCCAAACAGATAATTTTCAAATCTTCAATCCAAATGAAGAAACTCCGCACTTGCAACCGAAAACGAACCCATGAATAGAAGGGTCAAGTGTCCATGCAACCTACTGCTCATCTAACCCTTCGGATAAGATACCTTTTACAAGAAGCATAATTACCAAGTTATCATTAGCATAACCAGTCTGCAAAGAAAGCCATTGTTTAGCCTACTTAGCAGTAATGCGTCATTTTTATATATTCCCATGATTTTATCTACGAAGTAAATATTTACGGTTGCATTGCATTGATCTACAATTGGCAAGGGCTTTTCAATTGTCTTCGTTAAATAGGCCTCCACTGCGATTCCATCTGGTATACCGAATTTTGCTATCGGATTCGTATTACGCCAACCACATATGACTCTGGGTTAATTAACGACAGTTTTAGATACCATTGAAAGTTCGGCAAATCTAAGTTAAAGATTTACCTCACTTGCCCATCGGTATGGTGAAGCACATCTAACTGAACCCTGCGAATATCTATATAATTAAAATCTTTGAAAAATTAGCGATTTTGTAAATCACATGATCTACACTAAGTTATCAAGACCTGTTAAACCTTTTTTTCATCTTTCAACCATGCCTCGCTGCCCACTTTCACGATAATAGGCGAAACAATCAGCAGCAAGATGCCGTTTGCACCAGTTGTGGTCAAACAGAGCATCGTCGCCGTTCACATAAAATGTGAGTGGAGCTCTTTTTTGAAGAAAGGTGATTGACGATACGACGATCTGGTGTTTTGTAGCATCATTTAATTTGGGTTATCTGTCAGTTATACTGTATATGCCCTTTCATTCTCTTCAGTAATCGAATGATACATGGAGCAGATATGCTTCGATCTGTGTAGCTCATCATTCATGCATCAGTGAGGTGACTATTGTTTCATCCATGGAAAATCATATATTTTTGTCCGAATTTTTTCTTCTTCTTTAGTTTTGCATCTCTTCTGTTTGCCTGGAAATCCCTCACTATCATTGCATCCATCATCCATCATCCAGACTATGGCGTGTATCTGATCCGGTCGATTCGATTATTATGAAAAAAGGTACCTTTTGTGTGATACGACTATCCGTTTTCGACAAGAAAAAATTTACCTGTCCTTTTTCTCTATTCTGTCTTTAGCTTTTGGTTTTCTCTCCGGTTTTCTTTTGCCTGGCAAGCCATTCAAGCCATCCATCCCTCCAAAACCTTTCTACTTTGTTCGGACACCAGATTGTGGCCAATCCGGTTTTTGTCGTCAAAGGCATCGTCGGTGGTGTGACTCTCTTTTTCATTGGGAAACGCTGACGCGTCCTCCCCAGGTTCCTCTCATATGGATTGCTGCCCGTGGTATCGCCTTCGATATTTCTTCCCGACCATTTTATTTTGTAGTTGTAGTATGTATTTTGTATTTTATTCGATAGTCTTCTTGCAGTCTTTTCCTCCTTTTTTTTCCCACAGGGTTTTTAGGGGTTTTTCACAGACGCACCTATTGTATTTACTTTTTTTTTTATATTTGTATCCTTTCTTTATTTCGGTCGGGAAGCCCTCGGTATCTGCTGCATCAAACATCAAAGGTAAAATATCTCAACGAAATTTGAATCATCCAAAGAGCTTACTAACTCATTTTTTTTAAATACCCAACATTCCCACACATCTTTGTAGATCTATCATAACCTTGGGCGGGACAGAACGGAGGGGGTCAATAAGTGCTGCTTTGTTCATTAAAAGTGTTTCATGGTATGCCAGAGTATTGACATTAATATACCAAAGTTCCATCAAGACTCTCGCCCAGGTTATGCCGTATTGCGTTAGGCTTTTTGTCTGACGAATGTCGCTCAAGGGAAGAGTGCGGCATCCAGTAGCAGGTGGCATCCATTGCACAGCGGGTGTACGGCTTGTTATAACCATCAGTCCGGCTAAAAACAAAAGATACTCGATCATACAATGCATATGTAGCAAAAGATAATATCGATGAATAATAACAGATAATCAACTAAAAAAATATACACATTATTTACTACATTTACTATGCGCCTGTTGTTGCGTTGTAAAATAGGTTACTCTTTTATTTTATCTCATATTGAGCGGAAAAGAAGAACTCCGGTTTGAAATGAACACAATGGCTTTTGCAGTCGCGCGCAGGCCTTCGTTTTCAACCAACCAGAGATGTCAATTCGGAATCAGGAATGACTGATGACTTTGTTGTGCACGATGGAGAATTAGAGTAACGTCAAGAAGGAAACATGTACAAGAGAACTGTATATATGGGAGCTTTGGTCAGCAACAGCCTCATGCGTTTTCTTTCTGTGAAACGTTAATGACGTCCGTATTCTGTATCTGGCTGAATCTGTTTGATCGAAAGGAAGTAGGATTATTTATTGCTCTTCCATAGATGTTGATAAAAACAGAACCACTAATAAATATATGCAAATGACGACGGCGATGTTTCCTTTGGTACTGTTTGAACGCATGGTTTCGGTGTTCAGAGTTGTATTTTATGAGAAGTTCAATGACCGCCACAAGTTTCGTGACCAAAAAGCTAACGTGTTGCAGCTCATTCTTTTAAATCATCACGGATGGTCTGTTTCAAATCACTCCATCGTCCAAGTTGTCTAGTTGCCGAGTTTGTCCTTGTCAAGGGGAGTAGGAAATGTCGCATTATAGACAGCACTTTGCAGTACACAAGAACGTGAACAACTCACACAACTTATTCACGCTCCATCCAAAAATGAGATCGGGTGGGTTGCATGAAGGAGTGGTGAGGGCGTGGTCTTCAATGAACGTTAGCTGGGGTTCGATTCCCTCCCCCCGGGCGCAAGTTCTAGGCAACCCACCCTCTTTCTATTAGCCAAGTTTGGAGGTAAAGATCCTGAATGTGAAAGAAGAAACATCATTAGGTTAAAAAAATGATAGTTGTGGCCTGCGTAATCCTCCGTTGCAGAGGCTGCCATCTTTTTGATCCAGTTGCTAGAGTCCGCAGCGATGTGCTGGAACGATGATCTAAAAAGAGGTGCGACTAGCAACCATATAAGCTATTTATATTGCGAGTTAATGTCACTGGCAATAACAAACAGAAATAACTATATAGGTCCTGCGCAAATTTTCTAAAGTTACTCCATTGTAGCTGCTGCAAACTATTGTAACCACAGGCGGCTGTTTGCGGGAAACAAGAGGTTCACAATGAATATTGTGCTTTGAAGAATGGTAAATTCAAGCAGGCTCAAGAAGAATAAGGGCTGACTGTGGTGATGACCTAAGAGCAAATCAAATAAAACCAATGAAATCACATTCAAAAGGTATTGATCAAAAGTTTATTGATAAAAACAGACGACATGAGGTATGCAAAAAGGTATACTCGGCAACTGTAGATTTAGTGTACCAACTTTCCCGAAAATCTCACAATAAAAAGGTCATTAACCCAGCTGCAAGATCCAAGGCATGTCCTCGAGAGTCGCTCCAGGGTTTGCAAGGAATGATATTTGGTCGCGGTGGTGGTACTGACGTTTGGTATGCAAATGAACACAGTGCTCACCATCAGCATACAACCCAATGATTGTTTGTACAAAAGAAACAAAAAAAAATATTAGCATAGTCTCCTTTTTACACCAGGTCGTGATCAACTTACCAGCACCAATTATCATAGAAGGTTGATTCCTTGCACATGCAGTGTGCTTCCACGCGGCGCCAAGCTGTTAAGAGCAATGACGGGCTCGCATTATTTCTAACAGAAGATCACCCTCCTTCGCATTGAAAACTTGCGGAAGTTTCGGCTCGCACCAAGTGCCTTGTTGAAAGACAGCAAACCCTGAAGAATGCTATATGATGTAGAGAGCCGCTACACATGCCCAAAGTCTACCCCTACACGGTGCCCAAGCTGTTGAAAACAAGGACGGACTCGCATCACATCCAACAGAGGATTACCCTCCTTAACGTTGGTATGCTGTAGAGGCTTCGACTCGCACCAAGTGCCTTGTTGAAAGGCAGCAAAGCCTAACGAATGCTATATGATGTTGAGAGCCGCCAACGTTTGGTGTGCAAGATGATGTAGAAAAAGAAAAAGAAATGGTTGAGTGGACAATGATTCTTCTTTATTCTCGGCTGTTCTCCTACAACTGACATTCGCCGTTCAACAAATGTTCTTCCAACCGATGTGCCGACGAGGTAATTTGTAATGTCGATAAACATTCTACTGGTATCATATATCAAATGCTTGTGAACTAGTCAATCAAATTCCAGAATATGATACCCGTAAATAGTGAGGCGCGATCTATGTTTTCAGGGCTTCATCTTTGGTTCTGTCACGCAGTTCAGACGTCCTTTGAGATTATGCAATGGTTCGTGTCTAAAAGACAGCCGCAAATTTATATTACCTGGTGACTAGAAACCATGATTACAGAACGTGAACGCATAGCAACATTTATCAGCAGTAGAAATTGATTTCGATGCGGGGATACGTAAATGAGACATGTATGATAGGGGTTTATTATAATGCAGCTTAATCTCTCCAAGCAATGTGAACTTCATCTGTGCGATAGCGTTGTGTACAGGTACTCTTTTCCAATGGCGTAGTGACGCCGGTTTTGTAAGCGAGCAAACCGGCATGGGCGATCATGATGCCATTGTCGATACAAAATCTGGATACAACCAGTTATTCAATTGTTCTGTGATCGCCAAAAATGCCATAAGCCTACCTTTCATCTGTCGCGCATACAAAACCTCCGCGTTCCGCGGCCATCTGACCCATCATTTCCTGTAAACGCACATTACCTGAAAGCAAGATAAATCATCAACCTACTTGCTCAGCTAGATTCACCCCAAATACTCTATACTTACAGCCAACCCCGCCTACTAACAACACTTCTTGTGATTCCACATGGGCCATAGCTCTTTCTGTGATTTCCACCAGCATGGCAAATAATGTTTCTTGTAACGAGAAGCATAAATCTTCGGGCGTTACTTCGCCAGTTACCAATTGTTCGTTTGCAATTTGTTCAATATGGGATAAGATGCCGGAAAACGAAACATCCATGCCCTTGACGGTATAAGGTAACGGTACAAATTTGGTCCCTCTATGCTGCTGTGAGCCTCTCAAAATCACCTCATCTGTATTCACCGCCCAGTGTACTTACCGCTTCGCGTATTGTTCAATGTTGTAGCCGGGACTGGGATCGTTGGATAAATTCAGAATACGGGCGAATCGGTCCAAACAGTTACCAATGGCGATGTCGAGTGTTTCGCCAAAAATGCGATATCGTTGTTGTGAGTAAGCAATGACTTGGGTGTTACCGCCACTCACGTAAAGCACGACGGGATTTTGCGCACCAGTGACCTCGCGTCCCATTTCAATATCTGAAGCAACGCATACACATTTCAGTCGCAGAACAAGCAGCCTTCCTTCCAAATTGATCATGAAATAACTACATACGTCCAATACAGTGATTCACACCAACGAGAGGTTTGCCCCAAAGTAAAGACAGGGTTCTGGCTACTACAGCAACCGAGACGAGCGGTGCTCCCATGCCCGGACCTAGTCATTGCGGTCCATTTGTCAGACAGAAATTAGTTTCAAGATGCATACACAGTAACATTACACTGTCAATATTGTTACCTTTTGTAAAGCAGATGACATCGACGTCTTTGTGGGTAACGTTGGCTTGATCAAGCGCTTGTCGTAGCACCTTTAAAATGCAGTCGCGATGATGCTGGGCTGTATCACGAGGCAAAAATCCCTGACCCGGGGGTGTAATGTAGGTATCACGGATATTGGCAAGAACGTCTACCTTGCCATTCTCATGCCTGATAATACCAACTCCTAATTTGTTGGCTGATCCTTCAAATCCAACAGCGATCGTCATTGAGACACTTGAGATCCAAGCTGGTTCCGTGCTCTTGCCAAATTTTGCGTTGATTGAAAAAAGGAGGAAATCAGTCACCGCGTCGGATTCCCAGGTTGTGCGCAATTTTTGTGAGTTGAAATGGCGTTATACAGAGAGAAATAAAGTGAAGACCTGGCGCAAAAAAAAAGAGAATAACACCGGCAAACTGCAGGAGAATACTGATGCATTACGCTAGAAGAGTGGCGCATTTGTCTTCTCGCCTTTATTTTCAGAATGAAGAGAACCCCATTAATTTCGAGTATGGCTTAGCAACGTGGTTGATGATGAAGGCGATACAGTTGCCGTACTCGATTCAGTTACCAATTTCAACGAGCACTTGAAGAGATCAATTCTGCGCTCCGCGCCTCCTTTATCTCTTAATGTCCCGAGGAACTTCATGATGTAATTCGCTTAATTCGGGTTTTCTTACGCCTCATAAATACAATGTCAGAGTTTCTGTGATTCTAATGAATGCAAACCTCAAATAAATGGATGTCGATTGGGAGACTCAAGCAATTATTCATCGCTTTCCTGATATGGGTGGCTGTAATTGTTGTTCCCGTAATGCAATTACGCCATTATTGCTGTCAAACATCCATCCAAATTCATCCGTATTAAGCGCATCTTCAGCAGCTTGGCTATCCGTCGCCTGTTTTAACTCAGGAATGGATTCCGCGCGAACAATGGTCAATAGCTTTGTGTCCAGAGTCCTGGTGGGTTGAGACTGGCCAAAAGGACAGGGCGGATTGGTGAAGTCCATGTCGGATATGTCACTGCTCATGCTGAATACAACAGAGTGTACCAGGTGTCCCGGTCCCGAATTTGACAAGAATACGTGCCAAGATGAAAACTCGAGCAAAGAGTGGGACGAAAAAGTAGATACAAGAGGACAAAGGCTAATTATTCCCTTCACCATAATCAGTTGTCGAAATTCCAAATTCCTAGGGTGACTTTCGGAAAAGAGTGTAGAACCATGGAAATTGGTGTGTCTACCTCCCGTTTTATTCACCGGAATTGCATCCAATTGAGCAATTTTGATCTGTTGCAAAAGCAAACTCAAGAGAGAACAACTTTGAAAGAGATCCTGACTACCAGATTCTTATTGAGGATCTTCAAGGATTGAAGAACGCTTGAAAAAAACGCCAATTCAATACAGGATTTTTTTAATGTAATCTCCCAGAGGAAGTTGCGTAGTATAAGGGAAAACAGAGACATCTCTGATGAAAATCCCACAAAGTGTAGTTACAAAATATCACAATGGCGACATTTGTGCGCTACATATTTAAAAGATCCACAGCGAGCTATAAATTGGCTAGCTTCCTTGTAGTTTATTCCCAACGTGTATATGATTGCTTCAAATATCGATCGCTGGCGGCACCGGCATATTTTTCAGCTGGACGTGCTTTCGCATACACAGTAAACCACGAGAAACAGAAGAGAAGACAATACAAGGACCGACTTGCAAGCTTTCCTTTTTTCCACAATGACCCTCGTTCCCAATTGGTTCCTCAGTCAAGAAGAAAAAGAATAAAAAAAAAGTTAGCAATAAGCAACCATTATCATGCGTGTTGGACATTTCTTTCGAACATGTCCAGGACACTTCACTAGGCTTCCACTCCGAAGGCGTTCCACATGCGTACAAAGGCCCTCAAAATTTCTCGGTTATGGGACAGGTGATTACTGTTCACTGATGAAGCATCAAATAAACAGCAGCGCGTTAGTGAAGTCGTCAAGGATGTTGTGGGGATGAAAGATAAAGGTTATTTGTCGGTTACACCACTGAAGATTTTGGAGCCCAAATTTGGTAATTCAGGATAGCCTAGGCTTATCATTGGTTGAAGTAAAAATGTTTTTTGCAACCTGGCTCCGAACTTGGCTGTCACGGATCTCAGCTTCACCGATCACCACCGTTGTTTTATTTAATGCCATCAGTAATTCAATTTCCAAATGTCGAAGGGTTTATTTTAGAAGTTCTCCATGGTGCTTAAAATAGGGACGAATTAAAATTACATTGAAAGCGAATACAGTTTGGATTTTTGCAATTGTGGCTTTTATTGAATCAATTACATATCGATTACCGTATCTGAAATACGCCCCTGGCATTTTCTATATAGGCCGTTTATACTTACCTTGATAACCATTAGAGACTTACCTGTGAAAAATACTACGAAGGTGTGCACTCGATACTAAAGCAAGATAACTGAGTTGACAGACAGTCGGATGTTGCATTTCACTTTGTAGACTACTGCTAAAGCAATAGAACGCTCACGAATGGGAACAGCATAGCGACCCAAATGGGCTTGTCAGAGAGAATCTACAAAACAACTTCAGTCAGTGAAAAAGTCATGGCTTTACTTTTCTATGGGACTCACATTGATACCAGCAGACAACACGATAGATATACTATACGAATTAGTTTAGAAAACTTATCGTTTATTTGGTTATTATTTGCGAGAAACTTACGTAGTATAGCCGCTCTAAGATTCAAAGGAGCATTGGATCGCCATATAGTCTTTTGGTATCACGTAATGCCTCGCTTTGGGCAGCAGCGCGTCAGAAAACCTACAAAAGGCAAGTTAATGTGAGCTGCCACGATGCTTTCAACACCTTTTTTCTCTTACCAACTAATTATGCATTTTCCAGTCATTGCGGAAAGCATTTACTCAACTTACGCATCCTGCATAGAAGAACCAAAACGGCATCGTTAGGATGGAAGAAAAAGAAGTACACAAAAATGCTGAAAACTATATAAAAAAATCCCTCACTCTTTGGAAAGCGAGCAAAACCTCAAATACCACATGCTTGCCATTCACCGTCCCCCAGAAGAGGTTGCCGTACAGTTTTCTGCTGATGCCAATAATTCGCTGGCATATATGACTGGAGAGCCTGATGCTCCAAACGAACAAAACGTATCAGATAACGATGGCTGCGGAAGCTTGGCTGAAGGAGAATGACAGCAGTTATTTAGAGCAAGGATGGAGCCAAGTGGCCGACGTTTTTGACGATGAAGATCAGCAAATGATTGATGATGATGCCTATCGAACGCTCACCGATGATATGGCGTTATCTGCATTAAACAACCATTCCACTTTTGACGTTGATGTGCGCCGTTTCCAAACGTGATGCGAAATGGAACAGCTTAGGATAATTTTGTTTCGAATTATCGCCTTTTTACACTCAAGCAATGGTCCTTTTGCCGTTGATTGATGGCGACTATGACATGGTCTCACGTCAAATCCTTAAAAGGTCCTTTTTGTATTGCCGCTGTTGTTGAAACTCAACGATAATGCTGTGCAGAGGAAAGCTTTGTTCAACCTCCCAAGATTAATTATCTTTGAACTATCAGAATCGAAAGGAAAACAAACTGCCATTTTTGCATCGGAATTTGTCGATCTTCTGTCGAAGGAGAGGAGTCAATTACGGTCTGTTTGAACTTTCCCTTCGAATACCTAAAGTCACTCATCGCCACTCCAAAGCAAGGCGAATCGACCACTTCTTTGCCCGATCGCACTCCCGAGAAGCTGGCGAGACTGTAACAGTGTGGTAGATGGAAGGAGCAATCATACTTTCAGCAGTCAATGGGAGGGTTGATGGTATTGACTTCTGGCATGGCGACCTGGTGCGCTCAAAGGACGTCCTTGAATCGATCAATAAAACCACATTATATAAACTACGCCCTGTGAAGGCATATAAAACTTTTATGCACCTTTTTTTTGGTCAACTTGACTCGTCTCTCTTTTTTTCTTTTCATTTTTCGTTCATCCTTTTATTGACTATGTAATGGCGTTTTCAAGCCGCGCAGCCATAGATCCTGATCTGAGTTCAGTCTCCAATACTGAAGACGATGGCGATTTCTATTCGGATGACGGCTCCACCGAAGAAAATGCTGCGGAGGACGAGTTTTCGGAAACACGATTTACGGCAACTTTATAAAGATCACTTGTTTCCTGAATCCATCCGCTACAAGAAGAGATGGAAAGAGTGGAAGTTACAGCACAGCCAAGGTCAAGGTAAGAATTATCATCTGGATTGTTATCTTTGATTTGACGCTGACATCCCTTTTTTGGATAGTCATTTGCACCAAATGTGGTGAGACTGGTCATGTGAATGCCCGATCGGCGTTATGTCCTCAACGCAAGATAAGGAAACCTGTATCATTGAATGTCAAGCTTCTGTCAATAGCTTGTGAAGAGGCTTTGGCCACCTTGGAGAAAGATAACCATTGACGCGAATCTCGTGGCAGACGAGTTTGGATGGGCTTTCGACGGAAAAGTCTGGCGAAATTTGAACCTGGGTATATCGGTGCCCGATAATCCATATGAGAATGATGTCTGAAGCAATATCCTGGGTAAGTCGAGCGCGGAAATGAATAAATAGAAGCCAGATTGCTGAAGCCAAAATTTTGGCATTTCATGGTTCATTCTGCGCAACCAAAATAGTGGAAAATTGGCTAAAGATATTTTCTTGCTTGCGCCAGAGATTTAGCAGGAAATGTGCAATATGTTCTCCGGTGGATGTGCAAATCATTTCCGGAAAAAGTGTACACTGGCGTCTTTACGCTAAAAATGCCCAATATACAGTAATCATTAAATTAACAGGTTCGTAGTCCTCTGAACTCATCGGAGTTTCGACCTCCCAATGCACTTTAAATTAACAGTCCCAAGTGACCGCGTTTCATCCGCTCTTCAGCATTTCAAAAGTTTTTTGAAGGCTCTCGAATTCTTGCTAGATCTATTAAACACACATCATGGCAAAGAGAAAGGTACAGATCAATCGACGTCACAAATTCATACAAACTGTGATACTAATACAGTGATATTTCTGTTAACAGAGAAAGAATAGAACCCACGTTGCTCCTACCGAGGAGGAGATGAACAAGATCCCGAAAAGTTTTGTCATGCGATCGGGTATCGTCGGTCAATCAGTCACTAAACTAGTGCACGATGTTCGTCGGATCATGGAGCCCAATACAGCCAGTCATTTAAAGGTAACCGTTATTTCGACGATAAGGATCTAGTGACCATGGTCGCTCTAACAAGTGCCATCGTATATAGGAACGAAGGACGAATCGTTTAAAGGATTTTGTCTCAGTGGCTGGTCAATTGGGTGTGACCAATTTCATGATCTTTAGCCGTACGGAAAAGAATGTGAACTTGAGAATCTGCCGTGTTCCTCGAGGCCCCACCTTGACTTTCCGTGTGGCAGAATACGCGCTGGCCAAAGATTGTTTGGCATTACAGAGAAATCCCAAGAGTTCCGACGCCGAGTATCACAAGAGTCCCCTTTTAGTATTGAACAATTTCAAGCAAGAAGGCAAGGAGTTCAAGGTCATGACAGCCATGCTTCAAAACATGTTTCCCGCCATCGAGATCCAAACGATGCAACTGTCACAAGCTAGACGTGTACTGTTATTCAACTACAACGAAGAGACAAAGATGATCGACGTTCGCCACTACAGTATAGGTGTGAAGGCGACCGGTGTGTCCAAATCGATCAAACGTGTCATTAATACCGATGTTCCCGACTTGGGTAACTTTGAGGATATCGCCGACTATGTGCTAAAGGAAGCCATCATCTCCGAAAGTGATGTCGAAGATGGTCCTGAATCCACCGTCACATTGGCCCAAAATTTCCCGGGTCGAAATAACCGAAAGAATGAACAGCGAGCCGTCAAATTACATGAACTGGGTCCTCGTCTTACATTAGAACTCATCAAGGTTGAAAATGGTTTATGTAGTGGCGAAGTTTTGTATCATCGTTATGGTAAGTTTTTTAGCGTGTTCATCAGATGAGCCAGCGCGCATGTATACTCACATTGGGTTATTCTGCAGTGAAAAAGACGAAACAGGAGATCAAGGAGCATGAAGCCAAGCGACAGCGCACACTACGGGAGAAAGCAGAACGTAAACGACAGCAGGAGGAGAATGTACAACGTAAACAGCAAGAAAAGGAAGAGCATCGTATACGCACTGGTGGCGCTCCAAAGAAGGGCAGTGATGATGAGTCGGATGATAACGAGGACAACCAAGAAAACACTCACGAAGCCGATGAGGAAGAAATGGAAGAAAACGAGTTATCATTTGGCGATGAAGATGAAGAAGAAGGAGAGGAAGAAGAAAGCGAAGACGAGGATTAAAACTCTTGTAATAAAGTATCTGCATTGTATGTTTTTTTCAGAAACGAAACGTTTTGTTTTAGGAGTAGTACAACATTTTTTTCTTTAGTTCTTCTTATTATATCCATTGAATGATGCCATCATCTAGGTTGTTCAAACGATGGTTCGGATGGGGGTCTGAATGGGTTGGTGTGAGGGAAGTGGGTGGTAAAGCGGGAAGAGAAGGTAACGATGGCATATCTTGGACGTAGTAGGGCGAATGGGATGGGTGTGGTTCTGGATGTGTATAGGGATGTCGATAAGGCTTGTGTACTTTGTGGGATAAATCATCGGTGAGCAGTGATGTAATGCTAGTATGATCTTGCCGTGGTCCAGTAGATAAATTTAGTATGTGGCCATCCTGCTGATTCGGTTTTTGGGGCGGGCGAGCGTAATTGAGATAGGGTGCCGGTGCCGATTGATACGGCTTCAGACTAGGGCGCATTTGCTGCTTGGAAGCCGGCGACGGAAGAGGAGTGGTAGGCGAAGACGTGGGAGACGGTAAGTTGTAACCTGACATAGAGTACATCGGATCAAATAATTGTTTGCGATCAACGTCAAAGGACATTCGATGGTAATTCATGGCTTGATTCTGTGAATAATATCGCTGGCGGTAATCCCCTGACGGCAAGGACATGCTTCGAGAGGCCGTCGTAGGTTTACCAAGACCTCCGGCATCTAAAAAATCAAGCAGAAATAACCACGGTGAGAACGACCTGAATTTAGTTTCATACTGGTGGCTCATATTTTCGTTTTGCAGCAAATAAGAGGAGAAAAAGACAATACACGAATGGTTGCTATACTTACATGTGACAAGGGATGTGGGTGTCAATGGTGATGATGCATCTATGCTTAGTCGTTGATCAGGTTCTACCATGGGAGGAATACGAAAGTTTTGTCGGATGAGCAACTCTGGCGATATTTCCAAATTAGCGATTTCCGGTACGGCGGATGGGGTTCGGAATCGTCGAGCAATCACATCATCCGGATGATAGTAAGACACCAAATGTAAATGCGAACCATTGACGACCAGTGACATTGTCTTTTTAATCAGACCATCGTCCTTGAAATTGTAGGCTTCAGACAATGAGCCAACCAACTGGCGTTCCCGACTACGATCCAAAGGCCCGTAATCGGCACTGTTGCTACGTTGTCGTGCTTTTCCAATCTCTATCAGCGAGTTTTTTCGCTTCTCTTTTCGCTTGTCGAGCTCACGGTATATCAAGAAATTGCCGAGAATTCTGGATGGGCTCCAAACCAATCCGTCCGTCCACCGCTTGATACCTATCAAAAAAGCAACCCATAAATATCCCATTCCCTCATCTTCCCGTTACCTTTTTTTCGTTTTTCGCTTCGTTTGATAGAATCCTTTTCGCTTTATTTTCCTTATTTTTAAAAAAAAGACTTACCGGATTCTTTCTCGTCAAAGACAAATACGGAACCGGAACGAACGAGTTTACGTTCCTTTTCCTGCAGCCGTCGAGATATTTTTGGCAGCAGACATCGACGACAGGCTTCAAAGACTAGCAGGCAATCCTGGGTGGTCTCGATGTAACCATGAAAGGTCTCTACAATAGACATATGGGTGTGGGAGTAGGAAAGACGCCGTGGAATGGGGAAATATACAAGCACAGAAAAGTGAGAGAAAGGGAAAAAGTAAAGGGTGGGAGATTCGCTGAAATAACTCTGGTTTCGTATGGCTCAGGAACCTCCAATCAAAAAACATCTCAGAAGCGGGGGGTGGGGGTGAAAGGGCGCAAGTTGCAGCTCCTCTGCAATTTTTTCAAATGCCGAACCTTTCATTGCAGGTCACGCCCGTTCCCATGCTTACCGCACAGACAAGAAAGGAGCATCTCCATCTTCTCATCAACATCATGCTCCATGACAACACACTATGTAAGAAGCATCATCAGTACCTAAGCATACATTGGAGATAAAGTAGATAACGGGTAGATTTGATGGTACCTTTTTTTCCTGCCATATACTTGCCTATTTTTCCTTTGTCCGGCTTTACAGTGGCTACCCCGCCGTTGATCGTTGGCTAAAAACATCCATTCAACCTGAAATAAGCTTTTTTTTTAATTTTTTTTTTTAAAAATGTTGATTTTTTCACTTTTCATGTTAATTCGTTTTTCTGCGACTCATGTAAATTTTAAACTATGGACGCCATCTATGGCATCAAAAGGCAGGTGTATCTGGAAGCCGGTTATGGAATCAAGCAAGATTTGTCTTGTGAGAGTCCAGACTTGACAAAATGGGCTTGCATATTAAAAAAGATTCCGAGGAGTCGTATTTCTCCATTTTATTTGACTAACCGATCTCTGAAATCCCCGCATGCATTGTTTTATCGGCCGATTTTTCTAAAAAAAAAAAGGATAAGTAGGTTAAGCTTGAGAAAGTCAATCTTGATATTGAACATACTTGATCGATCTTTGTGACACCGGTATGATATTAAAAATTCAAATCTAATGTATTACTTGGCAACCATCCATGACAGCAGTATATATCACAATATTGATTGACTACCATGGTATACATTTCCCTGGATTAAAATGGTAGCCAAGTTGGTTACGTTGTGTGGTTCATCTCAGATGCCTTTTTTTTCTTGCGTTACCGGTTCTCCTATTTGATGGTGAATGATCTTGCTCTTTTGGATCCTTGTCAGATCGTTAGAAAAGCTTATTATGTAAATGATCATCCAGTAAAGCTCCCTGCATGAAATGGTGCAAGAATACTGGAAAAAGAATTGCCGAGAAGGACCATATCATCACCGTCTTTTCCCTTAGAGACATCCTTGTTAACGATTGCATATAGCTAGCCCAACATGGATTTGGCAACAATCCATATGTAGCTTACGTGGTGGTTGCTTAATTGCGCCTCCTATTGAACTTTCTTTTTACTTACCGTTTTCAGAGGCCAACTTTCTTGTTCTAAAGATAAACTCCGCCGTCCCATCCGCCAGCCTGAAGGTGGACAGTTGTGAGTATTTAGCTTTTCTCCTTAACATCCTGAAAGTTAGCCATGTTTTTTCTTTGTTTATCCCTTGAGGGCCAAAAAGACTAAAAATCCTACTTACGCGGCCGACGCCTCATCATTATGCAACCAAAATCTTGCTCGCATATTTGCCCAACTTTGTTGCTTCAATGGTTATGTCGGTAGGCGAAATTCAGGAGTTGGGGAGCAGGGGGTTTTACCTGCATAAAGCTTGAAATCGTAGACAACAGTGACCAATAGCCATGCCATTGTCTTTTTTTGTTTATTCTTTAACTCCTGTTTATATGATTTGAATAACTGGTTCTTTGTATAGTATTCGATAGGTTGCACATCTCAGACGATAAGACCTAAGCCTGGGGGGAAGGTATCATTGCCAACCCGGTTTCATACAATGCCCTTGTTTGTGAGATAATTTCGAATTTCCGGTCAAGGCATTTCTATCGTTTCCGCATGCATATCCGATGTCAGGGTCATTTTCCTACTTTCTTGCATAAAGCCACACCTAAAAATGCTCTGAACTGTAATCTCTGTCAAGTTAAAAGTAAAAAGTTGGACTATTCTATGATGTTCGAAATGTTCTTTTCAAGGTACCATTTTTGAGTCGGCATTAGTCATGATGGTGCCATTCCCCTCCAATTCCGGGTTTTCTCGTTTATAGATACATGGAGGTTACCTCAAATATGGATACGTACATTTGCAAATAGTATCCGTCGGCAAACGCTGAAAGATAAACCATGCATTGTTCTGCGTTCTCCACATTTATGGTCACTCCAGAGAATCATTCAACAACGAAGGCGACAATCACGCTGACCCTGCATTGTGTGATTCACCTCAAATGGATCGATTCCACGCCGGTTTAGTTTTATAGCTATATTGTTTACATTTCCCCGATGGATGCAAATCTCTCATATTGCCATTTCAGGCACGAATATTATAAGCCCCTCATCGAGACTTCTTCGTGGCTCTCAGACCAACCTCCCAGTATAACTGTCGTTCTGAAAAAAAGTGACACATGTCGCATGATAAGGTAAAAAACTATCATCATTTTATATCACATATCCTATATATATGAAAAGATATGATAGGTAATGATAATGCAGAGCGCAAAAATTCGTTCGGCGCAGACGCGTATCATGCCCCATTGTTTAAGTTAATCATTAATGACAAAGATTTTCCCAACCGCCACCAAACAGAAGAAAAGCTGATACAGGCACAGGAAGCAGTGTATTTAAAGACATAGCTGACATGCTGCAGCGGTATATTATAATCGAAAACATCAAAGGACAGTATCCTATATCACTGTTTGCTGACATCTACCTACTTCTGTCACGAACTAAGACTGATCGCGATCTGCCCTTGGCCCCCCCGAATCTGCTTTCCAGAAGCGAAGATCATTATGTCCTTTTTGCACCATTGCTCTCAGCAAAATTATGCATAAGGCCATTGCCGCAATGGTTTTGTTTGATGCATCATAGTAACGCTGCTTGCAGAAGTGTGACGAATAAAGCACAGACGAAGTCCAACTTTGTGAAGTTGCATCTAATGGCAGACAGTCCCCAATAGTTTAGCAAGGTTTATACCGTACGTCTTGTCATCTGCATGTTGAGGAGGTGAGGGTGGTAAGCGTTAGATGGAGATTAAAGCACCCTTGAATTGAAACGGTTCTAGGATTATTTGAAGGAATTATCAAGTCACGTGTTAAGGGAGGACAATAAAATTCGCAAGGGCAAGTCGGGTCAGACAAGTCTAGTGGACAGCCAAAAAAGATCCTTCGTTCATGCATCATCTACAACAGTATTTGCAGCAATCGCAACTGGCCGTCGCCAATGGTAACCCATTAGCACCAGGGTTGCAACTGGGAGGCGGCAACACGTTATCGCAGTACTTTGCTTCGGCTCAGCAACCGGCCATGACCGGGCAACCATCCATCATGTCACCTCATCAAGACTCATTTGCCGCTTATGCCGCCATGATGAACGGAGCGCCCACTCAGCCAACATTAGCAAGCAATAATCTGGCATCGGCCAATTATTCATTACTGCAACCGGATCATCCTATGCAGCAAAAACTAGCGCAGTCAGACGAAGAAAAGATTTACGCACTGGTATTGGAACTTCTCAATCCAGACATACGAGAACATGCACTCCTTGAACTCAGCAAGAACAGAGAACAGTATGAGGATCTTGCCCTTGTGTTATGGCATTCTTATGGTAACTGATTTTTCCCTTCAATGATGAGGACGGTTTGAAAGACAGCATGGAAATTGATGTCTGGGGACTATCTGTTGCAGGTGTGATTCCCGTCTTGTTGCAGGAAATTGTTTCAATCTATCCGCTTTTATCCCCTCCCACCCTCAGTGGAGCCGTATCGAATCGAGTATGCAATGCTCTAGCATTGCTTCAATGCATCGCTAATCATAATGAAACTCGCGGCTTGTTCTTACGTGGTTTGTATCAATTTGACGACGATCTTGACTATGCGATGTGTATCTGACGCCGTACGATTGTCCAATTTCTCGTATATAGCGCATATCCCTCTGTACCTATATCCCTTTCTAAATACCACAAGTAAGACGCGTCCATTTGAATACCTTCGTTTGACAAGCTTGGGTGTCATTGGCGCGTTGGTCAAGGTAACAGGATATAAACCCGAAGCACCAGGAAACGGAACATTAATCTTCCCTGTTGGTTCCTTCAGAACGACAATCCTGAAGTGACCAATTTCTTATTATCGACCGAGATTATTCCCCTTTGCCTTCGTATTATGGAATCTGGAAGCGAATTATCAAAAACAGTGGCGATCTTTATCGTGCAAAAGATCTTGTTGGATGACACAGGCCTGGTAAGTTAACCCTATGAGTTCCTTTTTTTTTCGTCTGCAATCTAAGGCATATTGACCAAATATCAGTATTATATTTGTCAAACCTATGAACGGTTCTATGCCGTGGCAACCGTGCTTCATACGATGATCAACCAGTTAGTGGAGGCTCAGGCGATGCGACTTTTAAAACATGTTACCCGATGTTATCTGAGACTGTCGGAAAATCCAAGGTAACGATCCATGGTCATTCATGAGTGTTAAGTTTGGAATGACTGATCTTCTTTTCTGTCTCCCTAGAGCACGAGAAGCGCTCCGACAATGCCTGCCTGAACCGTTGAGAGATGGCACATTTCATCAGGTGCTAAAAGATGATATTGCCACGAAACGGTGTCTCGCGCAATTGTTGATCAATTTATCGGACGGTATGAACTGATGATGTTCTCATCCAAAGCTGTGAATAATCTTTCTATTCTGTTAACAAGGTATGTATCTGGTGATTGTCAGTTCAAGCATGAATTACTCATCCACAATGTCGATGCTTGCAGAAAAAATCATGATAAAAGGCACATTTTACCCAACCGTTCATGCACACCGTACATTTCACCCGCACATACCAATTGACATGAAAACCGATCTTGTCAACTGTCAAATAGTATTCACATTATGTATTTTTGTACTTAACGCCGGTCCTTTGAGCAAATATACAATTTATTCAGCGAATTCATATTGAATTTCTTTTTTTATCTCTGTTGTGTAACAATATTTTGAATCAAAAAAATGTGGACCCCAAAAATAGCACTGCATGGTCCAATCGAATAGGTCTTGTAACCATATTCATTCACGTCAGTGGGAGCTTGGGATGCAACAGTGAACGGTCTACAAAAACCGTCAGAACGGAACAAGTGTTGGGTTGATGGCATGGTGGAGATGGTGCTAGGATAGCATGGATAAGAAATAGCATATATTGCTGAATCAGATGGTAATTATTTCGAAGAGTATAAAGAGATAGCGAGAGTTAGAGAGAGATAGGAAAATCAAGGTTTCCGAGATGTGGTTGATGGGAATAAAATTGTAATAGACTATCAAAGAATGATGCAGCAACCACTGTTGCTTTTTTCTTCTGGTCGATTCAACTGATGCAAAATCAAGGTAAGAATGCTGTTCACCGTGCTTTATGCATGTTGACTGCATCTCTACTTACTAGAGCGGCTCTTGTGGCCATCTCAAACACATTATCGATCCCTTCGCCGGTGAGGGCACTACATTCAAGATGATTGGTGGCACCAATATTCCTTGCCATTTCCTCTGCTTCACTGTGCTGTACATATCGCGCTTCACCTGTATGTTTGGAACGCGCTCTTTCGACGTGTTCTTCCGCCAACGGATCCTGAGTACCGTCGCGTAAATCTTTCTTGCAACCGATCAGTAGTACAGGAGCCTTTGGGCATTCTTTATTCACTTCCTCGATCCACTAACGACAGCTTGAGCACATAAAGGACAAATTTTTTTGGTGGTTGTTGCACCGAGGATGCAGTGTATGACATACCTTGGCCGCGACGTTTTCCAAGCTGTCGGGACTGTCCATGGCGTAAGCAATAAGGATCACATCGGCTTTTACGTAAGAGTGGGGTCGGATACGCTAACAGCATCGATAAGCAACGTGTTCATCCTTTTTCTTTTATAATTTTTCTTTTCACGTCTGTCGGATAATGTGACGATGGTATTTTTTTTTTTGTACCTCGTATTCTTCCTGTCCTCTAAAAACAAGATACAGTAATAACAAATGAGTGACTTGTTACTCGCTTTTTTTTGGTGGTGGGGGGGGGGAAGAATAGCTGCTTCGGTCTTACGCAGTATCCCATAAAGCCAACTGGATCGCTTTTCCGTCAATGACGATATCTTTAACGTGATTTTCGAAAACAGTGGGGAACTTTTTTTTTTTTTTAAATGCATACAACTTTTTTGTCAGCGTATGTATTCTTTCGGCGATACTGCTAGGCGAATAAAAATTTGACTTACATATTCCTAAAAAAGAAAAAAAAGAAGGTCAGGGTACTGATTAGATGGCAAGATTGGACTTTTGGCAATGGCAAGAAAGGTCATTTGACGAATCAAGTACAAACTCTTGGAAAGTAGCCTTGTGTAAAGACGCTTAATAGTGAAGTTTTGCCGCAGTTGCCATCGCCGACAATCACGAGTTTTCGTCGAATAAAGTCAGTCTGTATGGCCATGGTGCCTAATGGTGAGAAATAGAAAGAAGAAAAAAAACCAAGGCATTTTCAGGTCGTGCAATCGTACTTTTTTAACTCGACTTTTTGCGACTGCGCCTTTACTACATTTTGAATAAATCGTGTAACGGTTCATTACGTTTCTTGAAACCACGGAAACAGAAAAAAATGGGACTCAGGCACGCACGTATACAGCCTTTTGCTTCTATCACAACCACCACCCACTCATCCGCGATTTCATTTGACGCTCTAATCAAATCGCCCAATAGGATATTTTGCCAATCATGACACGTTGTCGGGTTTCATGCTTAAAATAAAGTTGCTCTCGCACCGGATTTTCGCTTCCAAGACAACCATTTTAGACGTCTCAGCGTCACACAATGTGTATACAGTGCATAATTGTGGAAAGAATGGATTATATGATTTTTAGACAGTTTGCGATTAACAAATGTTAATAAAGCGTAAAGAAATGACACTTAGGTACAAAGTAAAGGAGAAAAAAATAACTAGTGATGATAGAGAGGAAATGCGGGTTAAAAGTTTTTAGGATGAATGGCCTCTTAGTAAGCCTTGTCTAATGCTTGCTGCAAGTCTTGCACAAGGTCTTCCACGTTCTCAATACCAACGGAGAAACGAACCAAGGTGTCAGTGATACCCAAAGCAGCACGATCCTCGGCACTGACGGCGGCGTGAGTCATCACAGCAGGCACTTCCACCAAAGATTCCACACCACCCAGAGATTCAGCCAAAGTAATGTGTTGCAAGTTTCCGAGCATTTTGTTCACGTTATCCAAAGTACCCTTGACGCGGAAAGAAATCATACCGCCAAAACCACGTTGCTGACGCTTCGCAAGTTCGTGCTCAGGATGGGAAGGCAAACCAGGATAGATCACTTCTTCAACGTGTTCATTCTTTTGCAAGAATTCAGCAATAGCCTTGGCATTCTGTTCGTGACGCTGCATACGGATTTCCAGTGTCATCAAACCACGACGAGCCAAGAAGGAATCGAAAGCCGAGGGAACGGCACCCATGGAGTTTTGCATAAAGGTCAACTTTTCGTACAAAGCCTTATCGTTGGTCACGGCAACACCCATCACAACATCGGAGTGACCGTTGATGTACTTGGTGACGGAGTGCACGACGATATCAGCACCCAAAGCCAAAGGATTCTGGAAATAGGGACTCATGAAAGTGTTGTCGACCACCAAGATGGCGCCGTTTTGGTGAGCATACTCGGCCACAGCACGGATATCGATGATACGGAGAGTAGGGTTGGTAGGCGACTCCAACCAGACAAGCTTGGTGTTGGGCTTGAACTTGTCCTTGATGTTGGCAGCATTGGACAAGTTAACAAAGGTAGCATCCACACCGTTGTGCACAGCGACCTTGGTGAAATAACGGTAAGTACCGCCATAAACATCGTTGACAGAAATCAAATGACCACCGCTGTGGAGCGTGTTGATGATAGTAGCAGTAACGGAAGAGCCCGAGGCGAAAGCCACACCATACTTGCCACCTTCCAGAGCAGCCACAGCAGTTTCAAAGTTTTCACGCGTAGGATTGCCTGAACGAGAGTACTCGTAGCCCTAAACGATCCAACATCCCAAAAAAAAAAGAAAGAAAAAAAAAGCCGATTAGCGCGTGAAAATTTTTAGCCAATAGCAGGCATCATTGGCTTACAGTGTGGACACCCGCTGCGGATTGCTTAAAGGTGGTGGACAAAGACACAGGAGGAATGACAGCACCAGTAATGGGATCGGGATTCTGGCCAGCGTGAATAGCGCGGGTACCAAAGCCAGTAGTTTGAGAATCGGAAGGAGACATATCGATGTAGGTGAGAGTGAATGGAACAAAGAAACAAGTAAACGGCGACAACAAGGTTCAAATAGGTCTTCGTTTTTCCACCTTTTGGCACTAAAATCACCGTCACAAATTTCCCACGAACCAATGCGCATTTGCCCACAGCACGCAATGAGGAAGGTGTCGCAAGGAACTCCGACTCCCCTCCACAAGCCACCGTACAAACAAAAACCGCCATTTTTGCTTTTGATTTGACAGGTGCAACGCCAGTTGGTACGGATTGTGTTTTGTTTACCCGCTTACGACTACCAACAGTGCATGTATAAACATCGTCACGCGCGCATTGAAAGAATTTGGTACTTTTTTTTTTTACGTAAAAAGCAAAAAAGTAAACAAAATAAAATAAACTGTAGTGAAACATCCTATTATTTTTGGTTCTCAGAACGACAAACATCGTTTACTAGTTTCTTCGTAGATGATAGTGCTCACCTTTCTGCTTTTGTGTCCTTCTCAAAATAATGTAACGGCAACGATTGCAATGCAAATAGTATGGCCTTCAAAAATTAGTAAAGCGTTCAAGGGATTACTAGATGGCTGAGTCGCGGCCAAGCTGAAAGCGTCGGTTGGCCGAATGTCGGACCGACATCAAAATCGCAATTGCACATATGAAAGACATCATGGCCAGCATCGATTAAACCTTGAGTTTAACCTTCATCACCTTCTATTTTTGTCTGGCATTATTATCCTATAGCAAGATGATGGTCGAGAACCTTCGGCAACTCTTCCAACCTCCCGTTCAGGCCTGTTTGCCGATCTAGGAGTCATGTGATACAAACGGATTATAGTTGTTGTTGCACGACCAGATTTTTGAGACACGCGATCACAGCAAACGGCAGTATAGAATGAGATGTTCGATCACTTGAATGACTGTGGATAATCACTGGACGAGCTGTCGATCGATGTATAGAGAGCGCCCTACGTACTGTACATACCTCCCAGACATAGCTATCGCCATTCTCAGCACTGCATCACATATAATAGGTTTTTCTTTTTTATTTCTGTGAATCAGCAGAGAACCAAAACAAACGAAGTCTTGATTAGTCAGCTTCTGCTTTCAACCTGGTAAATTCGCAGCCGATCGTGGAGATTCGTTGCAGTCGGTAGTTATCATTTTGAAATGGTGAATTAATTCCCAATCTTATCACAAAAAAGAAGCATATATATTATATTTGTAATAATTTATACAATATGCAGATTTATAATTTACAAATCGAATTTCTCTCGATCATTATTCACCTGTTTTGTCGGTAATTGGTGATTCCATTATGAATGTTTGTATTGTCGTCGCCTGAAACGATAATATCAGACCAGCACAAATCTGTGCTGGACAAGGAAGACGTTTTGTTGTAATACCAGCTTCCAATGCGGATATCATGCAGTGAAGTTACAGAGGAGCGTCACATCATTATCCCATATGTCTATATTTCACGAGAATTTTGCCACCAGCCCCGTGCTATGCATGAGACTACGATGTCGCATTTATCCTGCCTTGGTGTAACGGCATTGCAAACTTTCTGATCTCGGCTTGTTTCTAACGGGATCGCATTAGTTGGCTCAAAAGTAGCACCGATTTCTTGAGCTTGTTTAAAAAATACGTAAGATAATAGACAAAACCCTTCAAATGCGTGAGTACGACTCCCGGAAAGCCAGACATAATTGACTCATGCTTGATCACTCTCTCTGCTTCGCAGTTCTCTCCATACATTCACGTAACTCTAAGATGGCTCCTGCTAACTTTTGCAAATTCTTATAGAGTGGTTTTGCGATGGCTTTGCTGAAGCCTGCCAAGAACTGTCAGAAAGTAAAATGCTGAAGAGGAGCATATAATAAGTGCCTATTTTCTCTTTTACCAACTGATAAAGGGGGAAGTGATCTCTGGAAGACCATGCGAAGACATCAAAAAGTCTCATTGAAATCGGTCTTTGAGAAAATTATACTGCATTTATGGAACTTACACCAGCACAGCATCATAACAAATTGTTACATTAAGTAAATGCAAACAAGGCTCATTCGCTCATGCCACACTATTGCTCTGTGTACAGTTATGAAGTGATACCGATTTCGGCAGCAAATGAATTCACACCCATTAAATCTTATGACTGAGATATTTAGAATGGCTGCTGTTGCTACCGGTATACCGAATTGAGGCCGTGCATTTGATTGAGACTTCCGTGATCGGTTAAATTCGATCCAGCTTAATATCGAAAGTGTCACGTACTATAATCTGTTTTTGGGCTCTCGCATGGTTACAGTGACCGCAGCGTTAATGGATATTCCGATCATTGCATTGCTTGTCGATTGCTCTTATTGGCAAGGCGTTTTTTGTCTTTCCGACTTTTCATTTGCCTCATTTCCAATTTTCAAAGTGACGACCTGTGACATGCTTGAAACTTTAAAGAGTACCATTTAAGAGGAAAATCCTGTTACATAAGAAGTTTATGCAACTGGATCTTGGCATCACGAACTGAGTATGCCAAACAGAGTTTATCGGCGACTGAACCTTGAATTGACTATTGCAAAACTGCATAACGATTGTCACCAGGACAGGCGTCTGTTTCAAGGCTTGTTCTCGGCATTATTCACAGGGTCGTATAGTCAAAGTATGCAGAATAAACTAATATGCGGCAGATTGGTATTGCCGGGCCTACCAAGCAACCCACGCTTATTCCACAGGGATTCACAGAAAACTCAGAAATACCGTCATACAATAGACAGTGCGCTAGACCGCATTTGGGGAAAAGTCCTGTCATCTGCTTTCTCTAAATACAGTTTCATCGGTTAAGCTACGCACGTCAATGGCCACACCTATGTGATAAAAAGGTATATATGGTTCACAGGAGAAGTCTAGACAGCTAAAAAAAACTTCCACAACGGTGAAATCGATTATGTAATTTTGATTCCCACAAATAATTCCAACCCTATCGTGCGTTGTTCAAGTCCGCAGTCGACTGTATTACTGATTCTCCTACATATAAAGCGACCGCTTAGTTTTGCCATCGCACAGACTTTAGTTCCTTCATTGAACCTCCTTCTCATGACCACTACTGACAATTGTAATCCCCTAACGGTTGCCATCATCGGGAGCGGGTATTTACGATGCGTCCAGTAAAGTCTTGCCATACACGGACATTGATGAAAGTGTTGGACTTAGATTCAGTGGCATTTGTGCTGCCATTCAACTCAAGGAACAGTTGGGCATCACGGCCCACGTCTTTGAAGCGTCGCAAGATATAGGAGGAACTTGGCACCATAATACATACCCAGGATGTGCCTGTGATGTGGCCAGCCATCTTTATTCATTTAGTTTCGCCAAAAATCCATGTAAGTTTCCGAGAAATCAAGAATATCTGTAAACAACCGAGGAATCGGTTCCTAATTGACAATCCAGCATGGAGTCAGCGATACAGTCCGCAACCGGAAATCTATGAATATCTCCGCCGTGTCGCCAACAAATACCACATTTATGAGCAAACCAAATTAAACACCGAAGTCGTCAAAGCCGAATGGGTGGACGAGCGTCAGCAATGGAAACTGGAATTTCGTGAGCGAGGTTCGACCGAAACGCATACGGCCTATTTCAACCTAGTGTAAGAACATAGCGTATGAGAACCGACATTGAATGACAAAAAAAAAGCGCCAACCAAAAAATCGCATGATAGATTTGCAGGTCTTGGACCCTTACGAGTTCCCCATGTACCTGAAATTTTCAAACAATTCGAAGGCATCAAGGTCCACACAGGCTTTTGGGACAAAAATATCGATTTCACCAACAAACGGGTGGCTGTTATTGGCAGTGGTTCCAGGTAAGCGGATAAACCTCTTTCGTTTTTTGACAAGCAGTGGAGCCCTAGTTTGACTGACGTTGCGTGTGCCTAGTGCTATTCAGGCGATTCCCAAGCTTGCAGAGATTGCTTCGGAAGTGCATTGTTTCCAACGAACGCCTGCATGGGTGCTCGCTCGGAAACAATATCATTACTCGGAAATCGTCAAAAAGTTATTTTTTTGGCTCCCTTGGCTCATGACGATTTATCGTTTCGTGCTTTTTTTACGAAATGAGCTCAAATATATGCTTGGATTCGGTTATCATAATTCATGGACCTATCGTGTGCATCAGCGTCAGACAATCAAGCAGATGACGAAGCGATTGGAAGCCCAGGGACGACCCGATCTCGTACCAAAGCTGATACCTGATTATCCTGTGGGATGTAAGCGTATCACGCTTTCGGAAGACTACTTGGAAGCCGTATCACAGTCGCATGTCACAGTGAATCGAAGCGCCATTACCAAAGTTGAGGGACGTACTATTACGACAGCAGATGGAAAGGAAACAGAAATCGATATTTTATGCCTGGCGACTGGTTTCAATGTTCAAGGTTTCCTTGGTAACTTGCAAGGTAAGTGACCACTTGATTACTTTGACGTGAATCGGTTCGTTATCTAAAACTAATCTTGCTGTGCGTCAAGTGTTTGGTCGTAATTCACAATCCCTCAACAAGCTTTGGGATGAAAATTATCCCGATACCTTTAAATCGGTCACTATTCACGGATTCCCCAACTTTTTCATGCTATTGGGCCCTGCTGCGGCGCTGGGCCACAGTTCAGTCGTTTCTATGGTGGAGTGGTAAGCACGAACTTTGAACTCGTTTTTTTTTTACGGTAACTGGATGATTGATTGAATGTTTCACAGTCAAGTCAACTTTGCGCTGGACCGTATAAAGCGTATGCAAAGCAAGAATTTGGCTGCCATTGAGCCAAAGATAGAAGCCCAGAATGAATTCGTGGCAACTTTGAAGAAGGATCTCAAACCAACCGTGTGGAATAGCGGTTGTCGATCATGGTATATGAACAAGGATGGCGAGGTAAGTGATGAATAAGTGATCATGGATCCATTTATAACCTGTCAATTTGGAGTCTAGGTGTTCTCGCTTTGGTCTAGCACAGTTACAAAGTTCTGGTGGACGTTACGTAATACGGACTCTTCAGATTTCATCGAATATAAACGACCCTAAGATGATCATCACACGGTTAATTCTAGCACCTGACAGCCATATAGCGAAATTTCTCAACCCATTTGTAGCAACTTTTTCAATAAAGCAAATGATAATGAAACAGGCAGTTCAATGTAACCGCATGCGTTGTCATTCGGTAACTTACAGGGTTGCACCGTGTCACAGCGGTGGTGTCTTTGTGCTTGTGCTTGTGAAACCAGTTTAAATCCTTTTTTTGCAGAAAGCCACACTCCGTTTTTCGAAAGATGGATGTATTGTCCCGAATTTCGGGTTAACAACGAGAAGAACAGTAAAGTTGTCAGCTTCATCAGTATTTCTTATTTATTTGTTCTTTGGAGGCTGAAGGTGGGTGCTTTAAGCCACCAAAGATGAGTTGTCGAAGCAGCCAAGGTACGGGTCCCTGATCCCTGATCGTACGCCACTAGGAAAATGCTGCCAATCCAGAATAAGCATAGTATACCCATTTATAGTTTGCAAAAATGAGCCTGCTTTGTTTCGGGAATACAGTACATTTATCTTGCTTTGACTGATCTGCACCCAGTGAGAACACGGGCAGAACGGATATGGGCAAGCCACATATTCCAAAAATAGCAATTTCCATTTCTAGATCGAACAGAGAAAAAAGATCTTCCGTCTTTTTTGCCACGGCAACTTACTGCAATATTGGGCCTTTTTTTTTGTTTCAGTGAAACCGTGATTTTGCTATGGATTATGCAAATGATGCATAAATTAATTATACATATAGTCTTTTTTTCCTCTGCTGCTTTTTATTTTTCATATCATCCGGTATGGATGACGCTCTTGTAAAAGGCGCACTTTGTCAAAGTAGGCCAATTAACCAAAATAAAGAAAAAGGAAATTCGAACATTCAAGGCACAAATAGCCCACGGTGCGTTCTTTTTAATACCAGCACCTTATCACACGGGAGACTTCTCATATTCTTTTGGAAAATATTCAACTTCCGCCAAGAATGAGGGTGAATAAAGCTGGCATCAGGTTGACATGGTGACTCCATATTGTATCGGTGCCCAGCTACTCGCCTACAGTAACACTTTGTTAAGCTTTTGTGGATAGTTTGAACACCAAAAAAAAGCGAATCAAAGCGGGTATTTTTCTGTTTTCATGATTATCGTATTCTATTTATGAGCAATGGCAATGTGACGAGTGCTGAATGGCAAACAAAGCTGCTCGTGAATAGCCAAGAAAAGTACGGTTGAGCATACTAAACTGATCAACAGGAACGGTCCAATAGCACGCTTTTTGTATATCATGCACAAGTAAAACCAATATTATATGACCGACGAAACGTCTGATTTTTTGAACTTATAGTTCAACCAAAACTTGAGTATGGGTGCAAGCGGATGTATGATTCATATTAAGTTGTGATTGTTCAAGGTTCAGCGGCAGAAAAGCTTATAGAAAAAGGGGACAGCCGGTGCGCCATGTTGAAAAAAACAAAGTGGGTAAAGGGCAATGACGTAAAGGCATTGAACTTCCGCTTTCTGATTTTTTTTTTTTGTGTTTTTTTGTGCTTTTTCGAAGCCCTCTGCTATTAACCTGCTTTCCCTTTGTGAAATCTCAACCATTTGCTTGCTTCTATTCATTTTCGGATCCCACGCCTCCGACCTGCCCTGCAGGATTCTTCAGGTTCCGCTTTAGAAAATGGACTTGACACAGAACAACGAAACTCTCGCTCCTCCCATTGAACTCGGAGTGAGTCGACCCACCGTCACCATACCCATGAAGCCCATACCATCCTCATCGAGTCCATCCTACGCCGTCGCGCCATCTTCTTCGACAATGCACGCCATTCAAAACATTTACACTACGACGTTCTCTCTTGTAGGCACCGAGTTTCTTCAACGTTTGGTCCAGGAGCTCGCTCGGTGGATAAAAGTGCCCACTGTTCTACTTTTGCAACTCATAACGTTGGATGAATACAAGGACTCTTCGCTTGAAGAAGAGTTTAAGCTGGTCTCTGAACAGGGGATCGCTCACCACACCAACAAATACCCTCTCCATTCACCAACTGGTCTAAGTGTCTCCGAATCTTGTTATGATACTGACCAGTCTCAACGTTTCATGTCGGACGGTTACTCGAATTCATCGGCCCTCAGCAACCAGCTGTTCCTCACTCGAGCGTCCTATGCGACATCAGATACAGAAACACTGTAAGTAGTCTTCTCTTAAACCCACTGCAAGGGGAGCACACGATTCTCTTTTCTGGATTCTGATCAACTGCTTTTTTTTTTCGTCCTTATTTTTCTTTCTATTTTCATCCATATTGTTCGGAATAGTCAACCGTGCACGGCGATTCCCCTTTCATTACTACAGGACGGACCACATATCAAAACGCTTATCGATGGTTCCTGTTGTATCACCGAACATGCCATGCAGTCGTGCTCTGTCTACGGTACATATCACGGGTTTGCCGGTGTACGATTGGAAATTCCTTCCGAAGATGGATCTAGCGAGACCTTGGGCGTCTTGTGCGTCATGAACGATCATCCGATGAGTGAAGAGGATCTTCGGACCACCTTCAATCTTTTCGATGCACTGAAAGAACGATGTGCTCGAGAATTGGAACGAATACGGGAAGCCGAACGACTGATTCAAGCCAAAAATGCCGCTACGTTGGATGCTGAAAATAAGATCAAGTTCTTGGCCGATATGAGTCACGAAATAAGGTGCGTCTTTATCGGTTGACCATGCTATCGTGGAAACAGATCCCTCATATTTTTTATCCCATAGAACCCCCATGAACGCTGTCATTGCCCTGACCGATCTGTTACTACAGGAACGAAGCACCTTGAACGAAGAACAAGCCGAGCATCTAGAAGTTATCCAGACGAGTGGACATCATCTTTTAACTGTAATAATCTCTCTCTTTAGCTCGTTTTATGCATAATGCGTGTGTTTTGTTTTACCGCGGTTATTGATCGGATATTCATCTATTAGATTATCAACGATATTCTTGACATTTCAAAACTGAATCATAACCCGAATTTCAAGCTGGAAAGTCGGCGATTCAGTTTACGGAAATGTGTTAAAGGTACGTTTGCAAAACATTAATAGTTTTCCAAAGGAAAAAAAAGAATACTTACCTTATTCAATTTTCATCTTAAAAAAAAGATACGCTCAATATGGCACGGCATCAAGCTTCCATGAGTCAACAGAACAAAATTGTTTACGTTACAGAATGTCCGATGGATATTAGTGACAGTATGCCATTGCCCCAAGTCATAGCTCATCTCGAGAAAACTGGCGTTTTGTGTCCCTCGCAAATACAGCACAAGGGTAAAACCCTTCTTCCCCTGATATGGAAAATTGATAACGATATACCCGACTATCTCATGGGTGACACAATGCGTTTGACTCAAATTATGCTTAATCTATGCTCTAATGCGGTCAAGGTAAGAAAAAAAAAAAGAACCAACCATCAAGAGAAGCTACTTGATCAATGCCAGTGATTATCTTTGGTTGGAAACTAATAAATTGGTTGAATAGTTTACAAAACATGGTGGCATTCGCATTCGCATTAAACGATACGTACCTACGCCAGCTCAATCCAGTTCACAGCAACCTACGAGGATGACCTTCAAGCAGCGTTACGATGCTAAAATAGAAACTATTTGGACGCAGGCGATGCGAGGGAAAAAGAAAGGAGGGGACGCTGGCGCTGGCGCGAGCGATGACGAGGAAAATGCCCAAGCAGAAAAAGCCATTCTCGAAATTTCCGTCACAGACACAGGCATCGGCATTCCCGCCGATCGGTTACCCAAGCTGTTCAAGTCGTTTTCGCAAATCGATATTTCCACCGCACGTCGTTACGGAGGTACAGGGCTGGGCCTTGCTATTTCTAGTACACTTGTCAATCATATGGGCGGAGGATTATGGGTGGAATCAGAAGAAGGCGTCGGATCTCGATTTGCCTTGACTCTGCCCATGACGATCGCTTCAAGACCGCCGATGGAAAGTCGCACTAATACGGACACCAGTGGAGGTAACTGTATCACCTCTCCCCCTTCTCCCAGTTCCACCGCTTCTGATGGTAGCAGCAGCGTCCATTCCAATCTCGGCGATCGTATGAACGATAACATGTTGTCGTTTCACTCCACCACCTCGTCCACCGCCCCTCCATCTCACTTGTCAAGCTACTTCCCTCCCATGATGAGCTCCTCACTCGTTAACAATAGCGGTCATACACGTGCCAAAATTCAGCAATCGCAATTACCTTATTCGTGTCTTTCCGCGCGGCAGCAACAGCAACAGCAACCGTCTCCGCCGTCAGTGACCTCGCCTGCTTCGCCCCAGATGCCTCAACAGTTTTCTCCACCATCGGAACCCGGAACACGCAGTACTCTGTCATTACAGGCTTTTGGTAACAGTAGAGAACATGCCTGGGGATCCCAAAGTCAATTGTCGATACCGAGTATAGCTCCCACTACGCCTTTGCCGGTGACTCATTCATCGCATGGTTACGCCAGTGACAAGAAAATGGGCATGCGGCCCCCAGCAAGTGCACCCGATTCACAATTAAACTCCACTAAAATGAATACGGATTTGTTGTCTTTACCGTCCATGCCACGGTCGGGCCGTATCGTGACCACCAAGTATAATCATCATCGCAAACCAGCAAGTAAGGAAGAAAATCTCGCTAAACTGTATCCGATCAAAATCATGTTGGCCGAAGACAATGTTTGTAAGTACTATGGGATCAATACAAAGAAGAAGAGGAAGGAGTGGAGCAATGCAGCGTCAAGAGTAGCCATCAAACATGCAATACCAGATATGAGAAAAGTGAGTGTGTGTCTAATGATGATTGTATTGTGTAGTGAACCAAAAGATCGCCATCAGCATCTTGAAACGACTCGGTTACCAAGACGTTACCTTGGCTAATAACGGAAGAGAGGTCCTAGAGTTAATGCGAAAAACAAAATTCGACTTGATTTTTGTAAGTGTATAACTTAAACGTAGGGAGAGTATTCTCTTTCTAAACCTGGGTGTGTTGGTGTTGATTAGATGGATTTATATATGCCGGAGATGGATGGTTTGGAAGCTACGCGTGTAATCGTCTCGGAGCGAAAGAAAATTACATGTTCACCACAACATACTTCGGGACCAGCCGAAGAAAGTCCACTCCTGAATGCTGCCGAGGTGTATATCATTGCTTTGACAGCGTCGGCTTCGAGACAAGACCGCCAAATTTGCATTGACGCCGGAATGAACGATTTCATCAGCAAACCGTTTACTATGTTGGAGATGAAGTCATCGCTAAAGAACTGTGTGTCAAAACGGAAAAAACGTAGAAAACAGCAAAGCAAGGATCACAAAGATATGCTGGAAGATGATCCAATGGTGGGTGTGGAAGAAACGCGGCCAAACGATGAAAGTAACGCCGACAGTCCGATCAGTAATCTCGGGTCGCCGTCCAGCTCAAACAGCATTAATGACAGATGACCCAAAAAACCAAGGAGGTAGTCTTGTCGCGGAGCGGTCTTGCTATAATAATTTTTGTTATTAGTCTATTTCTTTTTTTCTCTCATTTGTTTTGCTTTTATTTTCTTTCTACTATCGTTTTATATCTTGCGTTCCTTGCGTCTATTGCGTGAATTTTATTTTTACTCCTTCGTATTTCGATTTCTCGACCAGCATCCGTATTTTGTAGATTGCTATCTGGCAAGTATGTATTGTAAATTGTTCTTAACATGGAAATTTGATCTCTTTGAATCCCTTGTTTGTTGCACTTATCCATGCCACAGGATCAGCTTGGATGAAAAATAACTACCAAACTTGCAGATTAAAATTGTAATGTGCAGTACTCAAATTTTCGAGTCATATCACTCTTCCGTGGAGTGTTGGTAGGCAGTTTTCCTTTGTTTATTTGAGCATAAGCTACTTTGATGGGTGACCGCACATGGCAAAAGCTAAGTCGATCGGTTCAAGTATGTGCAATGACATGAAATGCCAAGAGTGTATTCTCTAGTTGTGTTCTCAGGAAATGATAGGCTATCATGCTTAAAAGAAGATGCTTTCGCTTGATAAGAATGTAGTTCGTAAAGAAAAGTAAACCATTACTAGAAGCACATACTTTGCTCGAACAATACAGACGTGAGAATACTTTTTCGCAGCACCAAGGTCCTATGTTAATCCAAGTGTCTACGTTCATTGATGGACATATTATACAAAATCAACGACCCTCGGTGCCAATCTCTGCCGGAATGTTACGATCGACCAACTTGCATATTTTTTCGGTAAAGACTTTAAAAAAGAGAGTCTATCAAGCACAGTATAATTTGCTGGCATATAATGTCTATCGATTTCTCATATGACTGTACTTACCGCGCATTGCATAAGCTTTTAAATGCAGCAAAACTCCATGCATGTCAAAAATTGCGAGCCTTCAACAAATATTTGCGCGCCGGTGAAAGGTGACACCCAATTTTCCGGGTTTTCAGCTGAAGAAAAACGGCATAATGATGCAGCTTTTACATCGTTTGGTGTACAATGAACTGTATTCAAAAGTAGCACAAAATGTATAGGCGTACAGTCAACTGGCTAACTCCATTTGAAGAAAAAAAGATGATCATTTCCAAGTGCGTGGTAAACATGGTAACAAACGCCGTCAATGGTAGCTTAGCTGCAAGTTGTGCTTGCTAAACGATTGGAATTTTAAAATTTAAACTTGGTTGAAATGTGAATCAAACAGCGGAAAGGTAGCGATGGCATCATCCCATTCGTCTCAGCTCATCACCTTTATTTCGAAGATTTTCCCTATTATCCGCCATTTAAGCTTTTTCATTGGCTTCCGTGCAGTGACTCGCTCCATGGATGTTTAATATCAATATATCTCTGTCACCTAGTCATTAAATTCTTTTCAAAGAAACAAGGTACTTCTCTTTATGGCTTTCCTCGGAAGACGACGGTTTTAATTGTTACCTCATGTGGTCCAAGTCGATTGTTTCCCCGCTTTTTTTTTGGCACTACCTTTTTTTTCGCCATTTTGGGACAACTCACGAGGGGTCACATTTGCGCGATTTGATTGGCGAATCGGTGATCTAAACAAAAGATTACAAAAAGGAAAAAAAAAGCGCACGGCGTCTTCATTTTCTTGGCCTTGCAAACTTTCTCGACTTTTTTTTTTAATTATCCATTCTACCTATTTTATGAAGGATCGAATACAAAAATGAAGTTTGCGAAGCAAATTCAAACCGCTGCTTCCGATCTTCCCGAAGACTGGCGACCTCATTTAATCCAATACAAAACGTTGAAGAAATCGATTCGTTCCGTGGTAGACGAGCTCGAATCAAGGGGGTTAACTTCCCACTTGTTGACAATACAAAACGACAAGAATCCCATCGACGAAAGAATTCAATTGGCATACACTTTTGATGGTACGTTGCCTGAGGAATAAACGAATTGTATGTAGCCAATAAACTGAACCTTTCGTAGGAGACGACAAGGATCCTCATCCCGTTATCAAAGTGACCATCAAAGATCCTCAGTCAATTTGCACAGCGCGTCAATCGATTGCGTATCTCGAGCACATTTTGGAGGACATGAGTGTCCACCAAGATGAGACCAGTCAACCGCTACTATTCACGATCGAACTTGTGAAAGATTCTGAGTTTTTCCAGCTGCTGCTAGACGAGCTGCAACATGTCGCTCACTTGCATGATGTGGAACAACGGCGATTCACGGAAAATGTGAATGACTTGGAACAACGTTTAACCTTGGCAGTAAGGCACTTTAGTAACCTTGTTACAATGGCTTTCAATGGTTAATGAAACCACGGATCTCTAGGCATCGCCGTACAAAAAGGATTTGTATGTGTGGCGAGAGATTTTCCAGCTGTATATGGAAGCCTCCATTTTTGAAACCAACCATGGATGTCACGTTATATCGTATGAAAAGAGCAAAGAACGGTTCCAATGGTTAGGACAAGAGCTTATTCGACAGAAATTGGTATGCAGAGTTTCGAAAAATCTCGCCATACTAGAGTCACCCTGACTGAGATGCTTTGCTCCGACTTTTTTTTTTTCTAGACGAAAAAGCTTTCCTCAAAACAATCTCGCCTTGCATTGGCCCAATTTATGGCGCTTAATGCAAAACTGGTCGATTTCAAGTACTTTCAATCGTTGAACCAGATGGCCATGACGAAAATATTGAAGAAGCATGATAAGCGGAGCGGTCTTTGGTAAGGCAAAAAAAAAAAAAAAAATTTTTTTAGGGGGAGATTCCACTTTTGGATAAATGCATTTGAGTTAATTTTTGGTGAAAATTTTACCGTTTTCAGTGCCAAGTCAGAATTTCCTTATCTCGCCAAAGTCAATGCTTTGTTTGTGCGAGGGATCGTGCTGTCGCTCTATAACGGAATCCAATCGAAAATCATCACCATTGTACCACAACCGGATGATTATGGGTGCCCCGTTTGTCTAGGTAAAGTGCATAATGAAATGCTTTTTTTAACATCCGGCGACGATCATATTGACGCCATTTGCATCATGTAGCCATTGCTTGGCGACCGATTCGGCTTGTATGCGGGCATGTATTCTGCGTCCGATGTCTCATCAAGGCCCACCGGAAACGGTTGTTGAACTGCCCTATCTGTCGACAGGAACATGCAGTAGGCAACGCCGACGCAAACAACCTCGATCAAAGCTTGCAGAATTTCATGCTTCTCTACTTTCCTCGGGAAATCAAGGAAAAACGACGAGAAAATGAACGTGAGCACATGACTTTGCATATCTCACCCGGCATCCATGTTACATCTACACGCCCCGTTCGGCAATCCACTCAAGTGAATGATTGTCATCATCGTAATTGTACCCTTATGTAATATATACCCCGCTTCCCATCCTATTTCCATTATTTATTTATTTTTTTCCCATACGCATAATATAAATATCGTATCAATCGAGTTAGTACTAAAGAAACTACTTTTTCGTTTTCTTCCAATGAGAATATTCTTATGCAAATATGCGGTGCATCATATGACCCGCGCCATTGATGATGAATTTTGCATGTTTATCATGCAATGTGGCCTTGCATTTGAAACGATGGTTATGCACCCAAGAAGTCAAAACTCTCTGATTTTGGATTACATTGTATAATGTATTTCCGAAGCACTTTCATAATTACGCAGAGTGTAATTTTTTTGACTTGGGATACAGACACTCGGTCAAATGTCACTTGGCAATCACACCGTTTGTCATTAGTATTATACAGTGACAATTGACAATGATGGAGAATGGTCGACAAGAACAGTTGACATAGTATCACCAGGTACTTGGTTTGGCCTTTTCAACAAATTGATAATGATTTAGACAAAAGCCAATACCAGACAATACGCAAGTGAAGCAGGCAAGGAAGAAAAAAAAAAAACTCTTGTCAGGAGAGGTGAGTGTGAGAGCGAGCCAGAGATTTCTTGGATTGACGGACTTTTAAAGTGTGACAGGTGGCGCTCCGGATTGGAAGGCCCAATCGCCTCACCGAACCGGGAAATCTAAAGGCATCGACTGGGCACACATTCAGAAGGTTCCTTCTCTGCAAACACCATGGGTAATGCATCCATCCACATCGCAATACGACATCAATCCATCCTTTGCTAACTAATGGATAACAGGTATCAGCCGTGATTCTCGCCACAAGCGCAGCGCTACCGGTGCTAGACGTGATCAGTACAGAAAGAAGAGAAAGTAAGCCTTCTCAACCCACCATTTTTTTTATCTCATCAATGGGGACCATGGAAGAGGATCAAAAAGAGAAGCTACGATTTGAGGAAGCATTTCAGCGTCCAAAAGATCGTTGAGAATAGTATTCAAAGCTGGGATACCATGAGAACCAATAGACAATCCAGAGATTGACATTTTTTGTTTTCCTGTATTATAGGTTCGAGTTGGGTCGTCAACCCGCCAGCACCAAGGTTGGTAGCAAGCGTATTCACTTGGTCCGCGTCCGCGGTGGTAACTACAAGAAGCGTGCTCTTCGTCTTGAAGCCGGTAACTTCTCGTGGGGTTCCGAAGGCGTTTCTCGCAAGACCCGTGTCTTGACCGTTGTCTACAACGCCTCCAACAACGAATTGGTCCGTACCAACACTCTCGTCAAGGGTGCCATCATCCAGATCGATGCCACTCCTTTCCGTCAGTGGTACGAATCTCACTACGCTCTTCCCCTCGGTAAGAAGAAGGCCAAGACCACTGTAAGTAAATCGTCCATTTCACTTTTTGCGAGCGTCATTTGCCGTGGGGATACGACTTTGGTGCTCATTTTGTTGTTACTCTTGTAGGAAACTGAGACCAAGGAAGAGAAGAAGTCCAACAGCGTCCAAAAGAAGCTCCAGGCTCGTCAGACCAAGGCTGCCGTTGATCCTCTTTTGGATGATCAGTTCGCTGCTGGTCGTCTCTATGCCATCATTGCTTCCCGTCCTGGTCAATCTGGCCGTTGCGACGGTTATATCCTTGAAGGCAAGGAGCTTGAATTCTACATCAAGAAGATCAAGGTAAAATAATTTTTTTGGGTGCATCTGTATGTTCTGATTAACTGACTTGATTATTTCTTCTTCTTCTTAGTCTAAGAAGCAGCACTAAGCTGTTCGGCATGAGATATAATTATTTTTCTTGTCATGTCTTTTGCACACCATGAAAGTCACTTTCAAATAAAATCAATTTGCTGCGTATATTCTTTTATCATACATGCTATTGTTCTTGTGATTGCCAACCTAAAAGCATAACTGAGATTACGAGAACAGTAAATACAACACTGTCAAATGAGGGTCAACCATGCGTGAGGGAAAGAGTCGTAACGCCCGTACGGGTGATATTTAAACTCCGCATCCGGACCGTCCGAAGGGCGCTTGTTGGGTGGGCAGAAAGGGAATAGGGGAATCCCTAATTTATCAATCAGCAGCCATTGAAGGAAGGTGTTCTCCCTCTTTTTGCTTCGATATCGTCACGACAATGGTATGTAGGCCTTCAATGTCGATTAGATTTAGGACGGATCGCTGTATACGGATGAGCCAACGATGAACGATGGATGCATGGGTCGATCCAATGGATGACTTTTTTTCATCGGCAACACTTATACACCTTCAAGCTAATGCGATCACGCATTCCACCTGCCATTTGTACATTACCGCTTTCGTTTTCACACGACACAATGCTTCACAGCAGTATGCGCTTCTTTCGGGTGTATGCTTCACCTTCAATGCTTCGAAAAATGGCTCGCCTATCTTCCAATTATCAACTTTACCTGCTGTCGTGGATAAGGCATTCTCTCATCTGTGTATTTGGCATCCGACCTGAATCTCGACATTCTAATCGCTTGGTTGCTTGCGTGATCACAGTAGAAATAACGTGCCTTGTTTTTCTCCTTTTCGTTGTTGTAGAGCGCCGTAGATCAGAAGACCAAGGCTAACCCCATGCGTAGCCTTCACATCGAGAAGCTTGTGCTCAACATCTCGGTCGGTGAGTCTGGTGACAGACTTACTCGTGCTGCCAAGGTGCTCGAACAATTGACTGGTCAAACTCCCGTCTACTCCAAGGCTCGTTATACCGTCCGTACCTTTGGTATCCGTCGTAACGAAAAGATCGCTGTCCACGTTACCGTCCGTGGTGCCAAGGCTGAAGAAATCTTGGAACGTGGTTTGAAGGTCAAGGAATACGAATTGCGCGCTCGCAACTTCTCCGAGACCGGTAACTTTGGTTTCGGTATTGACGAACACATCGATTTGGGTATCAAGTACGATCCCTCCATCGGTATCTACGGTATGGATTACTATGTTGTCATGGGTCGTCCCGGTAACCGTGTCGCTCGCCGTAAGCATTGCAAGACCACCGTCGGTCCTCACCACCGTATCAAGAAGGAAGAATCCATGGAATGGTTCAAGTCTCGCGTAAGTGATCATAGAGTGGTTTATTGGTTGAGCGACTTCATAACTAATTTGTTTCTTCATATGTTCATAGTTCGACGGTATCGTTTTGAACAAATAAGTCAATGGAGCTGACGTTCCTTGTTTCTCACATACGCCATCTGCATTGAGCACACAATAAATTATCTTTATTGGATGATGAAGAAAAATAGACTATAGCAAAAGGATAAGTCTTGGATAGATAAGAGGTAGAGATGCAGATAGAGAAAGGAAAAGGGGAAAGGGTCTGGTTACCCTCCATGGAATCGCGAATGTGAAATGGTGAGCTGCTCTTGAACAAGAGAAAGATGAAGGGATCGCTTGAAAACGGAAATGCTGGTGTATTCACGTGTAATAATGACTGTCGACGTATATGAGGTCGAATGAGTGTTGGGCGTATTGCTTGACATTGGATTGACTGATCGGAACTAAATGGGTGCTGCGGCTGTTTTCCAGACACTTCGATCCATGGGACAATGTTCTCCCTTGGTTGATTTACGGAACCAGTTCATGAGGCAATGCAAGTGGAATACGTGTGTACATTCGCCCCAAATGAGAGGACAATCATCACCAGGCATGGTGCAATCAGGACAACAACCATCAAATTCAACTTGACAAATACCACACACATCGGCCTTTTCGACATCCCACGCCCAATACGCAGCCATGGTCCACGATTTAACCTTAATTTTCATGAAGGTGAAAGGTTGTGAATCAGCGTTGGGATGGGAACTTTTGATTACAATTCAAGTGAAAATAAAAAGGTTTCATTTCAGGAACTGTGACGGGTTTCTAACGATAATTTACAATTTTTACATTGGACTTTCATGGTTATAACGCCTAACATTGAACCGCTGAGATAATACTACGTAAGACATCATGATCAAAAGGTCTTTGAACACTTTGGAATCAGCAAGTTCTCTAAAGGTATCCTTGTAGTTCTTGACCGTGCTCCAGTTGGCCCATCCTAGCTGGTTGATATTTTCTTCTGTCAATAATCTGTCCATCAAGTTGATAATAGGCAAGTCTTTGCCCTTGGAAGGTGGCGCTACGTAAGGATGCTTGGTACGCTTGTAGATTTCGTCAGTAATAAAGGGTTGTACGGCTTCTTTGAGGATCCATTTTTCGTTCAGAGTGCCGTCTTCGGAGGCACGGATTTTGACCGATCTATGATTTTATCACACAATTAGTCCATCATGTGTTTCCATGATTAGATCAGAGTAGTCAATACGTACGGAGGCAAACTATTCACATATTCACACAGAGGATGGTCCATGAACGGGGTTCTCGCTTCAATGGAATGGGCCATTTCACAACGGTCACCGAGAATATTGCATAGGAAATTGCCCAAAAATGTTCTGCTTTCAAGGTACTATCGATAAAGTAATTTAGCATTGACTGGCCATGACTGTAAAATGTGTAATTCCTTTTCTTTTCACTTACCAATGCAGTGTGAAGGGGATGCCACTTGGTTTTTGCCTTGTGGCGGGCGACGCCACTCACCGCTTCGGCAATAGCCAAACCGGGAATCACTTCTCCGTGCTTGCTGCGAACTTCATCCGTATACATTTCTGAAGGTATCGAAAGGAGATCTTGCATTAGGACATGGCAGCTGACATTGTTAACCATTTGCCGGGCGACGTTATTCTTTGTAGAAGCATCGGTTGCTGTAGGGATGATAGTCGAGCCATCGGCCTTTTTAGTTTGGCTAATTTCTTCAAAAAGTTTATGGCGGATATCGTCTGGCAAGGTTCCAAATCCATCTGGAGAAGTAAGGTCGGCTTCACGGAGATAGTCGGTGTGAAACAAAGAGTAACCCGCAAAGTGCTCATCTGATCCTTCACCCGTCATGACGACCTACACAATCAATCAAACATGATCAGTGATTTGAATATAACCTATCGCTTTTTTTTTCAATATTACCTTGAAGCCTTGATCACGAACATATTTGGACAAGAGGAACTTGCCCACACCATTAAGGTTGAATTGCGGTTGTTCAACGTGCCAAATGGATTCTTCGAATGAGCTTAAAAGATCTTCTTCTGTGACGGCAAGTTTATGGAACTTTGCATTGCAGAATTCGGCGGTACGTTCGGCGATATCACCTTCATCGTAATGGTCATCACCACTTACAAATGAAATAGAGAATGCATCAATGCGTGCATTTGGATCTTTCTCCCGCAAAAGGTGGGTAGCAATACCAGCAACACATGCACTGTCGATACCACCGCTCAAGTACACACCAAGAGGCACATCAGCTCGCAACCGCTGTCTAACAGCGTCCACCAATCGCTCGCGCACTCCTTGCACCATTTCATCAACAGAGCGGGTTTCCTTGAGTGTTTTATCTGGGTAATCGGCATCCCAGTATTGACGTACTTCCAACGAACCTGAGGCTGTAGCACGAAGATAATGGGCGGGTGGAAGCTAGGGTAGGGGGGGGGGGCAGAGCATACCGTCAGTACTCTTTGTTGCACTTTGATGATATTCCTTAAAGTATCTTTACCTTGTATACATCCTTGAAGCAAGTTCTGTAATCAAAAGTGGCACCGTCGTGCAAGATACTGTCGACATCCCATTCCGGTTCCCAACCCATAGGCAAAAAAGCCTTGACTTCACTTGCCACCAAAAGAGTACCGTTGCGAACAGTGTAATACACGGGCTTGATACCAAATCGATCTCTGGCTACAATAAGCTGGCTTCGCTTGGAATCCCACAGACAGATCGCAAATTCACCGCGAAGGTACTCCAAAAAGGATATGCCTTCTTCCTCGTATAAATGCAGCGCAATTTCGCTATCACTGCGGGTTTTGAATTCATGACCTCGAGACTTCAGTTCGTCCATAATGCGTTCAAAATCGTAAAGTTCACTGTTCAATCACAGGTACATCTTATCAGTTTTGCGTCTGAAAAAAACATGCAACTGATAAATCGCTCTATTTACCCATTCACCACCATATGAAGATCGCCTTGCTTGCTGCTCAGAGGCTGGTGGCCACCTTCCAAATCGATGATAGAAAGACGTGCATGTCCCAAACCTTGCAATTGGGTTTTAGTTAGTGATATTCTTGCTGGTTCACTACCAAGCCTACTTACCACAGCGACCACAGGGAGAGATATACTGTCCTTGGGAATCCGGTCCGCGATGGTGCAGGTTTTTCAATGATCCGTCGAGATCAAATTTGGGGAACTTGCCATCTCGGTAGTTGGCGTCAAAGTGAAAGTAAGCAGAGAAACCACACATTCAGGTCTAAAAGTAGGCGGATAATAAACGGTTGACGAGATTATCAATGGTACTTTTTCGACTCTTCCCATCCATTGTATCCACCTTTATATTGTTCAGGTTCCATTTTTTACTGATACCAAATATGGAAAATCTGACATCAGAAGTAGCGCACATTGGCAGGCGGAACAAAGCGATTTTGCGTATGTTGCAGCATATTACTGTTGCAGGAACAAACTACTTCCGTCATCCAGCTGCACTATAAGAAGATGCAACCTTTATCAGCAGCTTTAAATCATCTGATATATGTAATTTAATGACTTGAATTCCCAAAAAAATAGCCACTTGGTGATAGTTTTTGTGCCTTGGGATGCCGAATTGACCTGACACAATCACAGGTTAAAAAAAAATTCCGCCGCAAAAACCAGTTTTGCCGGAAATCAGAGTCGATCTGTTTCTTTTAAATAAGCCAAATTGATGATCGTGGATTTAATCTTTATTGCAATAAACCGTGGGTCTCTGAAATGTTGGGGCCGTCGCATATTGTAGAAAAAAAACAGTATCAAGTATGCTCCTTCCATATGCATGTAGAAAATAGCCCTGGTTTGTGAAAATAACAATTCAATGCGCCGCACCAGCGTCATTTGGTTATTGTACAGCCAATTACACATATTCATGCAAAGTGCTAATGGAAATACTGTTTATGGCTTCGAGAACAACGTTCGTGGTAAAAGGGTGTTCCCAGAGTGGGTAAATATTGCCCCGCTGTTGCCTAATTTGGCTACCTTCAGAGACAGGAAATTGCCAAAGCAATTTTTTTTATTTTCAACAGATATCATGCAAGACATGAGTAAGCATCAATTTGAACCTTTAGAATAGCAGTTTGTGAATGTATTCTTCCATCCTATTGTTCCTAGGGCGCAGTAAGCATCGATCATTCGATGTCAGTGATCGAAAATGGATCTTTTATGGAACTTTTAATTACAAATTCCGATCCAGATGGATTGGCTGGTATAATGTCTTGAGTGTGAGGAGCCAATCTTTTCTTCGCATACAGTAATGGCTGGGAATACAAGTCCCGCCCAACTTGAAAGCAACAAAGGAACTAAATTAGAATAATTACCGTTGAATACCTTCTAGTAAGGCGCGTCTGAGGTCACGAAATGGTGTGAACTTTTTCCCGTCCATGCTGACGGATAAACTTGCATTACATCTTAAATGTATGCATACTTCCAAACTTGCAGGAGCAGAGGCATTTTCGGGTCGGCACTGTATCATATTAGTAATGTTCCACCTCCCCCACGCCACTTTTTTCCAGCGGAAACAATGAGCATATTGCCAAGCTACTATAAACGCCACGACAACGACGGTATTTATCCATTGAATTGATTGGTAACTGAAATGTGCGGACAGGCTCATTCACAATGAACAAGGGCTATTGATGACTTGGCTGGCTGGCTGGCTGGCTTGATGTCTCGTTTACACTTGCTTACAAGGTAATTACTGGGCAATTGACCTGTGTGTTCCATTCTTAGTTTCAACAAAGGACAATATATATTGTTATCCATGATTGACAACATTCTACACGATTCAATACAGTATGCCAAGAGCCATACCAGATAAAAACGTGACAAAAGATGAAGAATTGCCTTGACACCTTTTTTCATGCCATATTTTTCATGTTTTGCCACTTTTCCATCTATTGCCATTTTTCCATCTTCCACCACTATTCACCTTTCACCGCTTTTCATATTTCGCCGCTTTCCATTTATCGCCACTTTTCCATCTGTCGTCGTCACACAAATTGGATTTTCGAGTGCATGCGGTGTTAGAGCTTTCTTGGTCGCTGCATAATTTTTTACTGGAGATGACCTCTATCCCAAATTACATCCCGGCAACTGTTACAAATTCGTCGCCGCAAATTTTTAAGCGAGTGTAATTTTTTCATACCTTTTCCTTCATTTGTGCCTTCTAACAATTGGTGAACGCCTTTCAAAAGCGCGTGCGGTGATGTGGAGACCAACATGGCTGGGTTTCCGGTTTGTTCAGCTAGTTCGCTTCGGATTGATGGTCCACTTCCATTTCGTTCTGGTCGGTGAGAGCACCGGTGATTGTTCGTCACCCTCCTCATGTTTGCAGGATGGGGCTCTTTGTGCATCGCCGAACATCGTGAAGGCGCCCTCGCGTTGTATCATTTAAAAAACGGATGATACAAGCAACCGAAATATAACCAAACGGGTCGGTGCAGAGCCAATACTCTGCTACGCAAGAGCGCCAGTGTACTTTGACTGTCAAAATATGCTCAGAAATGGCGATCGCAGTGGTCTATGCCTTACGCATCGTAGAAGCTTCATTGACTCCAGCGACGCCTCTGAGGTGAGGAAGGCTTCAAAAGGGATTCTAAGATAAGCCTTCCGACGGCCAGCCAACGTTACTCCCGTGTTAATCGATGCAGCCTTGTGCCTCCCGGAAATTCGGTGCCATACTGTATGCCTGCTACCGCCATGGTCCTACTCCCCGAAAAGGGCGATTTGACATTTCGTCGTGCTCGCCAACATGATACTGAGGACTGTCGGGTACCCATCTCTCGCGCGTGACATATCGCCAATAACGAGGCCATCACAAATTGACATGTTTCAGCTGGATGCGGTCGCTTTATACGAGATGTTTGGCTCGAAGGATGCGCAGCTGGTTTTGTACGACGAAGACAATGTAGCAATTTTAACTGTGCAAGATGCTACCAAGCACAAGGATGCGGTTTTGGGTTCATCCTTCGACATGGCACGTGTTCAGCATCTATGCGGTGATCATGGACTTGATTTCCATTCTCGAATGGCCGCTACTCCTTCTGGCGTTGCTCGGGTCCTTGGATATGTTCGAGAGGGCAGGCATGGGCCAAGCTCTAGATATGAAGATCGGCAAAAATTCAAGTCAAAATCTGATGCCGAAACCCACGTCGATGATTTTGAAGAAAAGATCGAGAAAGCTGGAAAGTACATTCAACTTTTGAAGACGTCGCATCCTAATATTTCACGACGACAAAAGGAGGCTGATAACGCATTCGAAGATGGCAAAAAGAAAAACGTTGATTATCTCCACTTGAAGGAGTTTCTCTCAAGAACTGGAGACCGATTTCTCTGATCAACATTCACCTGCAGGGCGCGACGATAACAGACGGAAAACTTTATATATCGTTGACGCTTTGCAGCTCGATCCCTTCTCCGCGATTGACAGCAACGACATTGAGTACAACGCACTGGTCCATCGAGAAGTGACATCACTCCAGTTATTTGGTTACAAGATCAGAAGAAACCAAAAATCAAGATCTTTGGCGACACCTCAGACACGGGTTGGGGAGTAACATCCCCATACGTCGAAACAGCAGGATATTGGACAACCCAAGAAAAGGACCGGTCGGTTACTTCTTGTTTTTCACCGGGGAGTCGATCAACGTAGACTCTGACAATATTACAGCACTCAGTCATCCCTCCGACGTCCTGCTCAAACTGTTATAGCATGCCGGAGGTCCTCCGGCATGTATTTTCATTGTTCCCCCACAGCGTACTTCTAACCCAAAGAAAATTCACGGAATTGACTGACAGTCTATGTGAGTTAGTCAAAATTGACTGGAAACTGCACCCGCAAGCCAAATACTGTGTTGCCCAACTTTTTGCAGGTGCGATCTTGTACCGTACGGATGTGCAGGAAGTCATCATCCTTAATACCGTCGAGGCGTACGGCCGTGGAAAAACTGTCGACCTTCATCGAGAGGCATTTGGTAGCGTAGAAAACGAGCCTCTGCAGACCTCCGAGCCGCCAGCATTCAAGACACGTTATGCCAGTGTGTGGTCAACGACAATTACGGCACGAGATGGAAAAAAGTTGACTATCGGCATGGAAGCATGCAATGTTCTCGTGACCTCCTCTCTGCGATTGGATAAATCTGCTTTACCATGCTTGGTCGCGACCACCACAAATTTCGAATTGCTGACGAAATCAGATTCTTTACAATGTGGAATATACCTGGACGAAGCAAGTATACAGGAGGCTTTGGCGCTTACAAGTAACGAAACAAACTCTATCACAAGGCAAGTCAACTTATACTGAGTGCTCTAGGTGTTTGTCAATTTTCACGTTGCGGAGTGCGGGATGAATTTTCTGGGCGATCTTGTGGTTGCTCATGCACAAGTTATTCCATCTGAAGGTGACGTTGAGGTCCTTCATTATAACATTTCCGGTTCTGTCACTCTTGGATTTTCAACTATTAGCGGATCCGATCACAGCGAACAAGAGCTTATCAGTGTTTAATACGATTTGAAGAAGGCCAACATTGCATGGGAAGCCTACCTAAAGGCTAAGCATGCAGCCTGGTACATCCCGGACGCCCCTTCTGCCACACCGGTTAACCGAAGTGTTCCGCATTGGTCCCAAAGGATCTGCCTTCCTTCCAGGTCAAGGGCGGACCTATTCGCGGCCCTAGCAAAAAGGTCCATGACTCTGTGAAGGCTCTTGTCGATGCTTGATTCCGCAGGAAGGCACTGTCCGATAGGGACATTATCTTCGCGTCTTGGGAGCTCTTCAGCAGTGCGAACGGTTTCCGATATTACCTGCTTAACCAACGAGATCCGGAATAAGATGGTCACCTTCCGTGCCTATTGCATGTAAGGGAGGCCATGGAAGCCGAATACCAGCAGAAGAGCGCGTTCGGCAGGTTGACCCAAGATTTGCGGGCGCCTTAACTTACTTTCTCACGCGTCGAGCCAGTCATTTTACACGCAACCGAAGGCATCAGCCATATTTCGTGTTCATATTGGCCGATTTCAACAAGGTTAGCAATCCTACAGCGCAATTGATGAAGGAAGTCGCTGTACCAGTCTTGCGATATGGCAACTGAGCAAATTTGAGAAGGAAACGGTTTTGCACTTGTGGATCAAGCCAATGGCAAAATGGAAGCTGTACTACAAAAATCATCGATCAGTTTGGTCAGAATGACCACGTTCCGATTCTACACAACAGCAAATAAAAAGCACATCTTGAGGAAGTGACTGTTCTCCTCCATCGTATCTGGCAACAGCCTTAACAAGCCGCCACTAAAGCACTATGTAAAAGTAGGACTGTTAGTCGCATCATATTCACTAGTATTATATGAAATTGCGATAGTTAATAAATAGCATGGAATGTAATAGCGTTTGACAGGCGGACAAAGTACCACCTTTGTCATGTAATTTCTCCAAGCACTTCACGACCACCCATTGCAGAATATCAACCATAGCAAATCGTTACAAAATAAAAATGAGTCGCTTTTAGATACTTTCATTTCCGTAATTACCGGTCCTAAATGGTTCGTCGCAAATGTCGACAGTAAAAAGTATAGAGCATTACAGATAATACCGTGCTGTGTCCGGCAGTCATGGATATAAAAAGGTACTCGTTCATAGAAAAGCTTGTCTACCACAGCACCCTCTGCTTGTGTGACCTTTGCCTTGATCATCTGGCAGTTTGTCCACTTGCATATCAGAAAAAGGTTGAACCGTTAATGTAACAGCGCGCGCGATCGTCAGCTGGTCAGGTCTTCTGGAAAACTCGGCCGACCTATATGATCACTACCATGGATTTAATTTTTTCGGCTATCTCACAAACGATCCTGCTGTGACAGAAATCGGAGACCAGAAACCGTAGTGTTTAACGGCATGATTGTGTCAGAGTGGTTGCACAAAGAACAACATGGTGGGGTTGACCATGCAAAAGTGTTGTTGTTCATACTTTCCGAGTTTCTTGACTTTCATTGCATCGTATAAAATTCTTGATTATTTTACGGATGGTGTTTCGCCCTTTTTTTTTCTTTTTATAAGGGGCACCGAATGTTCTTCCTTTTCGGAGACAGAGGGTTGCAATGGGCGATTGCCATATATGGAAAAGCGAGAAATCGCCATTGCATCACTTGACTATGAAATGAACTCACCATTCCTTTTTCTTCTCATTGGACTTAATTTTGCTTTATCGCATAATAACCATCTCTACTTTTTTGCTCCATAATTTTTTTTTTTGGCATGATGGATTTGGATGGTCCATGGTTTATTGAGCGAGCGACCAATAGAACCGTGCTATTTCGAGGTGTCAACGTGGGAGGCGGTGCGAAATTGCCGGTCGGCATTCCCTCCCATGTCAATGACGGATATTGGATCGACCACGATCGTAACATCAGTATGGTCGGTCGACCGTTTCCTATCGAAGAAGCCGACGATCATCTTCAACGACTGGTGGTTCTGGGCTTCAACTTGTTGCGTTTTCTTGTAACTTGGGAAGCTATTGAACATGAAGGTCCGTGCGTACTGTTTCCGTCACTCGATACATTCACATACGTTCCTTGACAAGGAAACTGAGTACACCCATGTTTATGCGGTCTTTTCTTTTGTTTCACATTTCCATAGAGGCATATACGACCAACAGTATCTGGAATACGTGATTCAGTTATTGGACAAGTGCAAAGCTTTCAATTTGAAAGTATACATCGATCCACACCAAGATGCTGTAAGTGTTAATTCAACGAGTGAAAAAAGATCGAATTATCGTAGTTCAAAGTGATTCATGGGACGGCATTTTCATCGTTAGTGGTCGCGACACTGTGGTGGATCTGGTCACCCAGGGTGGACACACTCGCTGGTCGGTTTGAACCCTCTCAATTTCCAGGTGACCAACGCTGCCATTGTGCATAATTTATATCCGGAGCCCGATCAATTCCCAAAAATGATATGGAATACCAATTATCAGCGGTTGGCAGCATCGACCATGTTTACGCTGTTTTTTGCGGGGAAAATCTATGCTCCCAAATGCCACGTGAACGGTGTGCATGTGCAAGATTATCTGCAATCCCACTATTTTCGCGCTATCGAAGCATTGACGAATCGAATTCACCAACATGGCGGTCTGGAAGATACAACGGTCCTTGGTTACGACACCATGAACGAACCTGGTCAAGGCTACGTGGGTTTGCTAGATATCCGGAATTTGAGAGACAACGATCTTGATTTCAAAAAAGGGCTGATGCCAACCGCGTTCCAGGGAATGGTTTTAGGCTCCGGGTATGCAACGCATGTTCAAAATTGGAAATTTACATGGTCAGGTCCCAAAAAGGTAGAAGACGTCTACGTTGATCCTCAGGGCACGTCCGCGTGGCTAAGTGAGCCGGAGTTGGAGGCAGCAGATCGCTCATTCGGTTGGACACGATCCGATGCCTGGTCACCCGGATGTATATGGGCGCTGCACGGTGTTTGGGATAAGGAGACACAAACCGTGCTTCAGCCCCATTATTTCAGCATGAATCCAGTGACCGGCGAGCCCGCCGATTACAGTCAACATTGGATTCAATTTCTGCAGTCGTATGCAAAGATGTTGCGCAGCATCCATCGCGAAGCCATTATTTTCGTGCAACCACCCACGTTAGAAACTCCACCCAAGATTCCGACATCCTTGCCGCGTTTAGTTTATGCCCCTCATTGGTATGACGGGTTGACCCTGGTAAAGAAGAAATGGTGCAGTTACAACGTTGACGTAATCAATCTCAGTCGAGGCAAATACGGTACTGGACCCATGCGATTTTTGAGAGCGCTTCGTTTAGGCGAAAAGGCCATTCGCCAGTGCTTTGTAGACCAGCTCGCTACGATTCAGCAAGAAGGGTGGGACAATGTGGGACCTTATCCCTGTATCCTAGGGGAAATAGGCATTCCTTACGATATGGAACCTGCAAAGTCCAATGCTTTACAGGTGCTGTGGGGCTGGATTTTATTTTGGTGCGTTTATTCTGAAACCGGACAAGCATCGGTGATCGGTACACCCGAAGCACCGCAAAACAAGGCCATGGATGCTAATTTGAACGCACTGGAAGCCAACCTGTTAAATTATACGCTCTGGCACTATGTTCCCGACAATGATCCTATTTGGGGCGATCGATGGGATGGCGAAGATCTCAGTATCTGGCAATCGGAGGGTCCACCCAGTTACGGCGGCAGTTCAAGAACATTGGTGGATGAAGTGAGCCACGGAAAATACAAAAAGAATCCAGATATTTCACCTTGGAATGACGAAAGTGACCTGGAGTCGGCCAGTGACGATCAGCCGACCGCCAGGTTAATCCCAGACACCAACGTGCGTGATGTGATTTCTTTACACAGGCCGCATCCATGGAAAGTGGCAGGTATCCCAGTGTCGATTCAGTTTATATCACCCACCAATCGTCATCATGCAGCGTATTTTTTCACTTATAAACGACGAGAAGATGAGCTGGTGAGCGGGCCCACAGAAATTTATGTGCCGACCTGCCATTTTGCGACTCCGGAATCAGACGATAAAAAGAAGACCAAAATCAGTCTCAGCCATGGTTACTGGGAGTGTAAAGTGATCAACGACCATTACTGGATACTTCTTTGGTGGGTGGACGATAAAGAAGCCGGCAGCCAGTTCGAGCTGAAGCTTGAATGTATTTAGTACCACGTGTGGATGTGCAATCAAAGCCTCAGCAACAGTGTGGGCCAATCATTGGCGCAAGTGTTGCAACACAGTAGTGATTTTCAGTCATTTTTACAATATCAAAAAGGTGTTCGTTTTTTTAAAGTTACGCTGGTGGAAAAAAAATTGTCCAATGTGGTGACCCCATTTTTTTTTGCCCATATTATTTACTTTTTTTTTCTTTTTTTCCCTCTTCTCCTTTTTTTTTCTCTACTCCATCTTCGCTCACTCTTCTTTCTTTTTTTCTTTCCACAAGCCAATAGGTCTTTTTTTTTGTTTTTCTTTATCGTCCAGTAGATATTGAGAAAACAGTGAAAAAAAGACTACAAAGGGAAAAGAAAAACAAGTTTTGATAAAGGAAGTCTTTACAAAAAGCGAAAAGAAAAAGCGAGCTACTCAAAAGCAACAACCAAGCAGACGTAACTTTCTGTTGCTTTAAGACTCGACCGCGCCTCATTACCAACAAGTACTACAAAACTTCGCACACCATTCCGCCGCAAGTTTTGCAAGCTTCTTATTCTGAAAAATCATCTCAAAATGAATCACACCCAATTCAATACCACCATGCCGTCCATTGCTCAACCAGCGATGCCATGCAACCAAACCACGTATCAAGGCAACGGTTTCCTGACAGCGACCTTGTCCGGTCGCCCTACTTCCATTCACGGGCCATGCCAGAAGATGCCACTACCGAATTTTATCCTCGTGTACCAGGAATTGCCACCATAATGTATCCCACTGCCTTAAACCATGTATCTCAATGTTCCCCACCTACTGACACTGCTTTCACGGATTTCCCCCTTTCGCATTCTTCTATTTATTCTCCTTCTCCTTCGTTATTTTCTTCCTCTTCCAACTCGCCTTCCCCTTCAACTTCGTCTTATTCTACTTTTCTTCCTCACCGTTCTTCTTACCCAGCATCTTCTGGCCCCGTTAATGTTTCCGAATTTTCTATTGTACCGCCTTCTGATCAGTCCTCGCCTGATCATCTTTTTTCCTCTTCTTCCAGCTCAGCTTTGTCCCGGTATCCAACTCGTCATCAACGCTTGGAACGACCTCACCCGTATGCTCATAGACCCGCTCGTTCTACTCGACGATTCTCGACCATTAAACCGACCCCACCCTGTTCATGGCAAGACCATAAGCAGCAGATTGATACTATTTCCGAAAACGATTACAACGAACCCTTGTCTTTGTTCGGCGCCATCCCCGAACCTGTTACTGACTATTCTTTAGCACCTCTGTTACCATCCTCTGGAGCGTCTTTTGTATTGAATGATGATGATGCCGTGTTTGAAGAAATTCAACAGTTTACCGATGCTCTCATCCCAGCTGCTCAAGATATTCCTTCACCACCACCATCACCATTGATAACCTATTCCGATGCCCAAGACGATGAAGATGTTTTTGAAGATTTCGCATTATTCCCATGATAATGTGTGAACACATCTTTTTCTTTTCTTTTTCTTTTTCTCTCTGTTATTTTCTATTTTCCTCTTGATTACTATTTTTTTTGCGTTTCTACCTTTGCGGGCTCGAATGTTTTTTTTTTTTTATATAATCTCATTACCTGATAAAAGCGAGTTTTTCTTTTTCTGTATTTGCAGTCTGTCCGACCACAGTTTTGTTGATTTAATCATTATTTTTGGTATCTATTTCCTTTTCTATCTCTTCCATTTCGGAACTCTGAAGATGATTAGCTGGCCATCTTCTGCAGGTTCCATTTGTCTATTTAGTTGCCTTACAAAGACGCTTTGATCCGGTCTACTCTATCGAGTAAAGCCTGGGATTTCTTGACACCTTCTTTACGCTCCATACGCGCCGTTTCCAGGTTACCACAAAGGAGACCATCCAACTCAAATAGCGTCTTCATTAATTGTTCACCCAAATATACGGCATAATCCTTCAATTTCTTGTGCTCTTTGGCATCTTCCTCGGATGTCTTTTGGAACGACTTGACACGATCCTCGTAGCGATTGATGTCCTTGGTAATGTCCGCCATATCGCTCTTGATTTTTTCCAGTTTCGCAAGAAGCGCCTTTTCCTCCGCTCCCATGGCTTGCTCCTGTGATGCCGCTGGTCGAGCATGCGCAGGCTTGTCAACGGGTGAATATGAGTCATTTCGGAATAAGCAACATAATCCTTACAAACTCCCTTACCTTTTCCGGACGGGGGGAACTTAGCATCATAATTTTCGACCGAGCACGTACACCATAGTTACTCAAGGTTAAGGCATCGTTTTTCATGACGGCTATTTCGCTTAAGTGAGTCGCCTGCAAAGCAAGTTTCAATCCAACTTCTTTGCCTGCTTACCTCCGTAGGCGAGCAATTTCATATGTTCTGGTGCAACGCCAGTTAATCGAGAACATTTCTCTTTTAATTCCTTGACCGTGACTTGCTGAATATCGTAATTGTATTCACTGAGATCCACATCAAAACGATGCTTGCCCCATTTCAAATGAACAATCGGTGGTGTCATAATAGGTACTGCTAAACCTGCGTTGAGCTGTGAGAGACGAATTTTTCTGCAGACTTCCTCCTTTGACCCGGCGACTTGCCGCCGCTGTCTCCACGGGCCAATCAAAAGCAAACAAAATGTTCCCGGATCATCAACTCCGGTGGCGTTGGCACGGCCCGGCTGTTCTAAAAATAAAAAAAATTGCCGGTCGAGACGTCTCGAACTGGACGTCTCGGCCATGAAAATTGGACGCCGTCCATGGACGATAATTTATTATGCACTGTATGTACACTACAGGATCGATCCAAATTACCCTGCTTGTTTCCGCATAAGTGGTGGGTCATCGTCAACGTCTCTGGTCAGTATCAGTTCGTTGGGCATGGAGCAATCTGAGACAAAAATCTTTCGGCAGTTGACCTTTGGAGAGAACCGGTCTGGAATTGATTTGGCAGTCTGATTGGATCCTTGGCATGTTTAACCCAGCATTGATATCCCTGTTCCAAACCTGGGACACATATCAGCTGATTGACATCAAACCATATAAAAAAGATTTCGTAATTACCAATTGATTCGAAATACCATTCTTCGATTTGCCTGTGGGCAAATTGAACTGGATAAATGATGCTCTTGTACGAACGTCCTAAGTGAAAGGTCAGACTACTGCTGTACAATACTGCCCACATCATCATTACTAGCAGATCTTCTCTCTGGGTTCTCAGATATATGGCCTAACACGCTTTTATCTTCACAAGACTTTTTTGCTTCGCTTTCCGACCCAGGCCCTTCAAACGCAGGCAATTTTTTGCTAATAACATAATAAAAAGAAGTCAGGCTGTCAGTGAGTTGATTTCCAAAGAAAGTGTAAAACATTTGCCAGCCCTTGCAAACAGCAACTTGTTCGTCGCAAACTTCCACGGTAGTAGCATCGCATTGGCCACACACTTTGCTGGTTCGATACTCCTCCACACATATTACAGAGACTTTTGAGCGAGTATTTTCCGAAAGTGCTTATTCCTTATTTGTCAGTATAAGTTATAGGGGCGCTGGTAATCCGACATATCGCGGAAACCGGAGCGTTGCCTCTCAAAGAGCGGAGATCCGCATGATCAAGAGGAACAATTACGATAACCCACTATTGGGAAACATGTCGGTCAGGGCAGCCTGAAGGAACTGAGAACAAGACCAGCCTCTGCGCATCGCTCCAAATGGATTGATGAGCAGGTGAAGCGCAAGCTCACTTTGGCCAAGGTATATAATGGATAACATCGCGAAATGAGATTCATACTCATTATCATTTATCATTTTCCTACTAAGGTCCGGAATGGTGAAGCTGTCTGTCGTATTTCTACATCATTATACCATTCTGACTCCTATTCAAAAGCTACCACTCCATCATATCACTTCATCCATGATTAATTTAAATTTTCCGATCTACAAGAGAAAACGATTACCAACGACTCGTAATTATCACCTATCGCCCATATGTCAAATCAAACACGTCCTATCACTCTCATGTTCTGAATCCACTCATTCCAAAGCCATATGCCACACGTTGGCTGTGATCGCTCCCAGTACATCAGTTAATGGAAAACGGCACATCGGTCAATTGAAATCAATATGGGGTAGATGGGAAACGAAACAGGACACCTCAGCAAAGAAACAGAGCACCTTACCTCGGTGTCCTTTTTTTCTTTAGTGAGCTGTCCCATTACTTTCTGAAATATATATGAGAGCTTATAGGATAAAAGAGACAATAAGAATCCTTTGAGACTATTGAATATCTTTATTTCTATTGATGCAGTTTGCCTATTTACACTTTTCTCATGAGTCAGAATCAATAGTTATCAGTGAGTGCTCAGTGCTTATAAGGTATATTGCAAGGACTCATGTGTTGTATAGATGGTAGAGGCTTGAGTACGGTGAGACTATTGTTCATTCTCGAAAGAGATGATCTCTTTAGTATCTGGTATTCAAAGATAATACTGTAACTAGTATCGGGATTTGAATGTACAAATAGAGTGTAACTACTCTAGTGTATCTTAACTGCTTAAACTGAGGTAATTCTTATGTAGTGGTATACTGTATGAACCCTATCTATATGACAGTACCGCTTCTTTATAAGGTGTATTGCTTCTTTTTTAAAGTGTACCGCTTCTTTTATAAGGTGTACCACTTCTTTTTTAAAGTGTACCGCTTCTTTTTAAAGTGTACCGCTTCTTTTATAAGGTGTACCGCTTCTTTTTTAAAGTGTACCGCTTCTTTTTTAAAGTGTACCGCTTCTTTTATAAGGTGTACCGCTTCTTTTTTAAAGTGTACCGCTTCTTTTTCAAAGTGTACCGCTTCTTTTATAAGGTGTACCGCTTCTTTTTTAAAGTGTACCGCTTCTTTTTTAAAGTGTACCGCTTCTTTTTTAAAGTGTACCGCTTCTTTTCTAAGGTGTACCGCTTCTTTCATAAGATGTACCGCTTCTTTTTTAAAGTGTACCGCTTCTTTTATAAGGTGTACCGCTTCTTTTTTAAAGTGTACCGCTTCTTTTCTAAGGTGTACCGCTTCTTTTTCAAAGTGTACCGCTTCTTTTTCAAAGTGTACCGCTTCTTTTTCAAAGTGTACCGCTTCTTTTATAAGGTGTACCGCTTCTTTTTTAAAGTGTACCGCTTCTTTTTTAAAGTGTACCGCTTCTTTTTTAAAGTGTACCGCTTCTTTTCTAAGGTGTACCGCTTCTTTCATAAGATGTACCGCTTCTTTTTTAAAGTGTACCGCTTCTTTTATAAGGTGTACCGCTTCTTTTTTTAAAGTGTACCGCTTCTTTTCTAAGGTGTACCGCTTCTTTTTCAAAGTGTACCGCTTCTTTTTCAAAGTGTACCGCTTCTTTTATAAGGTGTACCGCTTCTTTTTCAAAGTGTACCGCTTCTTTTTCAAAGTGTACCGCTTCTTTTTTAAAGTGTACCGCTTCTTTTTTAAAGTGTACCGCTTCTTTTTCAAAGTGTACCGCTTCTTTTTCAAAGTGTACCGCTTCTTTTCTAAGGTGTACCGCTTCTTTTTCAAAGTGTACCGCTTCTTTTTTAAAGTGTACCGCTTCTTTTATAAGGTTACCGCTTCTTTTTTAAAGTGTACCGCTTCTTTTTAAAGTGTACCGCTTCTTTTTTAAAGTGTACCGCTTCTTTTCTAAGGTGTACCGCTTCTTTTTCAAAGTGTACCGCTTCTTTTTTCAAAGTGTACCGCTTCTTTTTCAAAGTGTACCGCTTCTTTTATAAGGTGTACCGCTTCTTTTTTAAAGTGTACCGCTTCTTTTTAAAGTGTACCGCTTCTTTTTAAAGTGTACCGCTTCTTTTCTAAGGTGTACCGCTTCTTTTTAAAGTGTACCGCTTCTTTTTTAAAGTGTACCGCTTCTTTTCTAAGGTGTACCGCTTCTTTTTCAAAGTGTACCGCTTCTTTTTCAAAGTGTACCGCTTCTTTTTCAAAGTGTACCGCTTCTTTTATAAGTGTACCGCTTCTTTTTTAAAGTGTACCGCTTCTTTTTTAAAGTGTACCGCTTCTTTTTTAAAGTGTACCGCTTCTTTTCTAAGGTGTACCGCTTCTTTCATAAGATGTACCGCTTCTTTTTTAAAGTGTACCGCTTCTTTTATAAGGTGTACCGCTTCTTTTTAAAGTGTACCGCTTCTTTTCTAAGGTGTACCGCTTCTTTTTTAAAGTGTACCGCTTCTTTTTTAAAGTGTACCGCTTCTTTTTTAAAGTGTACCGCTTCTTTTCTAAGGTGTACCGCTTCTTTCATAAGATGTACCGCTTCTTTTTTAAAGTGTACCGCTTCTTTTCTAAGGTGTACCGCTTCTTTTTCAAAGTGTACCGCTTCTTTTTCAAAGTGTACCGCTTCTTTTTCAAAGTGTACCGCTTCTTTTATAAGGTGTACCGCTTCTTTTTTAAAGTGTACCGCTTCTTTTCTAAGGTGTACCGCTTCTTTTTTAAAGTGTACCGCTTCTTTTTTAAAGTGTACCGCTTCTTTTCTAAGGTGTACCGCTTCTTTTTCAAAGTGTACCGCTTCTTTTCTAAGGTGTACCGCTTCTTTTTCAAAGTGTACCGCTTCTTTTTTAAAGTGTACCGCTTCTTTTTTAAAGTGTACCGCTTCTTTTTTAAAGTGTACCGCTTCTTTTTTAAAGTGTACCGCTTCTTTTCTAAGGTGTACCGCTTCTTTTTCAAAGTGTACCACTTCTTTTTTAAAGTGTACCGCTTCTTTTTTAAAGTGTACCGCTTCTTTATAAGTGTATTGCTTCTTTTTAAAGTGTACCGCTTCTTTTATAAGGTGTACCACTTCTTTTTTAAAGTGTACCGCTTCTTTTTTAAAGTGTACCGCTTCTTTTATAAGGTGTACCGCTTCTTTTTTAAAGTGTACCGCTTCTTTTTCAAGTGTACCGCTTCTTTTTAAAGGTGTACCGCTTCTTTTTTAAAGTGTACCGCTTCTTTTTTAAAGTGTACCGCTTCTTTTTTAAAGTGTACCGCTTCTTTTCTAAGGTGTACCGCTTCTTTCATAAGATGTACCGCTTCTTTTTTAAAGTGTACCGCTTCTTTTATAAGGTGTACCGCTTCTTTTTTAAAGTGTACCGCTTCTTTTCTAAGGTGTACCGCTTCTTTTTCAAAGTGTACCGCTTCTTTTTCAAAGTGTACCACTTCTTTTTCAAAGTGTACCGCTTCTTTTATAAGGTGTACCGCTTCTTTTTTAAAGTGTACCGCTTCTTTTTTAAAGTGTACCGCTTCTTTTTTAAAGTGTACCGCTTCTTTTCTAAGGTGTACCGCTTCTTTCATAAGATGTACCGCTTCTTTTTTAAAGTGTACCGCTTCTTTTATAAGGTGTACCGCTTCTTTTTTAAAGTGTACCGCTTCTTTTCTAAGGTGTACCGCTTCTTTTTCAAAGTGTACCGCTTCTTTTTCAAAGTGTACCGCTTCTTTTATAAGGTGTACCGCTTCTTTTTCAAAGTGTACCGCTTCTTTTTCAAAGTGTACCGCTTCTTTTTTAAAGTGTACCGCTTCTTTTTTAAAGTGTACCGCTTCTTTTTCAAAGTGTACCGCTTCTTTTTCAAAGTGTACCGCTTCTTTTCTAAGGTGTACCGCTTCTTTTTCAAAGTGTACCGCTTCTTTTTTAAAGTGTACCGCTTCTTTTTTAAAGTGTACCGCTTCTTTTTTAAAGTGTACTGCTTCTTTTTTAAAGTGTACCGCTTCTTTTCTAAGGTGTACCGCTTCTTTTTCAAAGTGTACCGCTTCTTTTTCAAAGTGTACCGCTTCTTTTTTAAAGTGTACCGCTTCTTTTTTAAAGTGTACCGCTTCTTTTTTAAAGTGTACTGCTTCTTTTCTAAGGTGTACCGCTTCTTTTTTAAAGTGTACCGCTTCTTTTCTAAGGTGTACCGCTTCTTTTTCAAAGTGTACCGCTTCTTTTCTAAGGTGTACCGCTTCTTTTCTAAGGTGTACCGCTTCTTTTTCAAAGTGTACCGCTTCTTTTTCAAAGTGTACCGCTTCTTTTTCAAAGTGTACCGCTTCTTTTATAAGGTGTACCGCTTCTTTTTTAAAGTGTACCGCTTCTTTTTTAAAGTGTACCGCTTCTTTTTTAAAGTGTACCGCTTCTTTTCTAAGGTGTACCGCTTCTTTTATAAGGTGTACCGCTTCTTTTTTAAAGTGTACCGCTTCTTTTTCAAAGTGTACCGCTTCTTTTTTAAAGTGTACCGCTTCTTTTTTAAAGTGTACCGCTTCTTTTCTAAGGTGTACCGCTTCTTTCATAAGATGTACCGCTTCTTTTTTAAAGTGTACCGCTTCTTTTCTAAGGTGTACCGCTTCTTTCATAAGATGTACCGCTTCGTTTATAAGGTGTACCGCTTCTTTTATAAGGACTGTTATCCATATTTGCTCTTTTGTGTGACATCTATTCTATTTTTTTTTAATTATTTCATATATCCAAAATTATTTTACATATCTTTAATGAGGAACAGCCACTATCCTCAGAATGTATCATGAATGTTGATGACCTCACAACATTATGATACCACATCCATAGACAAGTAGCAACATTACGTTTATGCTACCCATATAGGATAGCTCTACTGACTTCTTTTTTAGTTTATAATACAACTAACAGTTTAATAATACAATAATATATTATTTTTAAATTTTTAAATTTTAATTCTTCTGACATTTTATAATATTATGATGATAGTGATAATTCCTCAATATATTTTATTTATTAAAATCTTTTATTTCTTATCATTTATTATTAAATTTAACTTAGCTATTTTTTTTTATGATTTTTTTTAAAATTTACTCTATTTTTTTAACCCTTCTAAATTAACTAGTCTTAGATATCTGTCAAGATGTACTGCTTCTTTTATAAAGTGTATCACTTCTTTTATAAGGTGTTCTATAAAGTGTACCTGTTGTATAGATAGGGTTCATATACCACTACATAAGAATTACCTCGGTTTAAGCAGATAAGAGACACTAGAGTAGTTACACACTATTTGTACATTCAAATCCCGATACTAGTTATTATCTTTGAATACCAGATACTAAAGAGGTCATCTCTTTCGAGAATAAACAACAGTCTCACCGTACTCAACGTCTCTATCCATCTATATCACATTTTTTACGGTGAATACTACCAACATGAACCCCTCCAACGAGAATTCGACTGAGATGCACGCATACAAGGACGTGCCAATGACAGATGCATCGGATGCATCCACCGATCAGGGTTCCTCTATGGCCCAGTCAACTTGGGCATCCAAGCATGTTTCTCCGACTGCCGCGCTCAAACGCCGTCTAGAGGATTGCCAAAAGGAACTGGAGGACTTACTTATTCAGTTGGGTACTCAGCAACATCCTGCAGACAAAGCAGGCGCTGTTAGAGACGAGGCTCACAAACTCTTGGCAGAGAGAGACTCTCTCCGTCAACTCCTGGCCGGTTATGACGTTCCGGATATAAGGAATCCGCTCCAGTCCTCTGCTTGGGAGAGTAAGATTGGGGATTCTTATCCTATAAAGGGTATCAAGGGCCCTAAAATTACTGCTAGGGACATTCCTTTGTTCCAATGGCGTGGTTGTCCCTGGACCTTGAATAAGAACAGAGATGTTTTCACTTCGGTGGAGCACTTCTGCGCCAATTTCCGTCGCCTGTTGGTTCAAGCCAATTATGAGCTTGACCAGCATTGGGAAGAATGGTTTATGTTTGCGCTTCCGGACCAAGCAGATGATTGGTTCAACGCAAATGTGGCGAACCGTGGTTTGGGATGGGAACAGGCATGCGTTCTCTTTAAAGAACGTTATGAAAATCCCGACCATTATAATAAAGCGGTGAAGAAAATTGCCATTATGAAAATGAATGGGAGCGAACCCCTTACTCGTTTTGGTGAGCGCTTTTTGCGCGCTTTGAAAGAGTGCAAACTCACTGACGGTCCTCTGGCTGCTGGTGTTTTCCAGATAAACATGACCGCATATATGGAGAATCAAGTGCTCAACACTTGGACCCAACGTAATGGCTCCAAGCCTATCTCTTCTGTGGAGGCCTTGCTCCAAATTGCTCCGTTCATTGTCGACAAGAGAGTAATGGAGGGTGATAGTCACCATGGTGACTACAAACACAAGGCGGGTAAGCGTTACCACCGATCTGTGTCTCCCATTTTACGCAAGCGGCCCTTTAAGGGTGAGAACGTGAAGAAGGAGAAGGTCGAAAATAGCCGACCGAATTTGCCACAGACTTGCCTGTATTGCAAGAAAGCCTGGTTCCAAGGCCACCGTTGCGAGGCTTACCAGGAGGCGCACAAGATTAAGCGCCAAGAAAAACGTCTCCGTCGTTTGCGCCTGGATGAAAAGTCCGGCAAAGCCAAAGTTGGTGCTAACCAAGCACTACGTAAGCAGATGCAGGATGACCACCCTGCCAAGGAGGTTATCGATACCATCCTGACCGAGCTTGAAGAAGAAGAGCTCAGCCGAACTGCACAACGTAAGTCTCTTAAGCTATACAGTATCCGCAACGAACAAAATTCAAGTATGCTAAAGACACCTATCATGATTCAGAATGAACGGATCTTGGGTCTCGTGGACACCGGTGCAGAGAAATGTCCATCGTCAGCAAAAACTTGTGTTCGTTAAATAAATGGCCAATTTTTAATGCCAAAGGATCTATCTTGTATGCTAGTAGAGGAGACACAGTGAAGCGCATTGGAACTACTGCTCCACTGGATATTATTTACAATGGTCGTAACATCCGTCATAGCTTTGAAGTTATGGAGTTAGCAGATGAATGTGAATTAATTCTGGGTATTGATTTATTGCCGCAACTTGGAATTGCTCTCACTGGCGTCGCGACTGATTGGGATACATCAGAAACCCATCAGGCCAAAGAGGAAATGGCAATCGTGCCAAAAGCCGAAACATATCAACCCAATGAATCACCAGCAGGTACAGAAACAGAACATGTTCACTTCATGCGATCTGTTCAGCCGTTTATTAAGGCCGATGCTGCTATACCTAAGGGAAGTTTTTGTACTTTACCTGAATCTATTATTCATCTATCAACGCCCGAAGGAGTTGCTGCATATCAAAGACAGTACCCTTTGCCGTTCACCATGAGACCAGTCATTGATAAGGCTGTTCAAGGTTGGTTGGATGAGGGAATTATTGTCTGTGCTGCTGTGAATTCGTCCTGAAACAGTCCATTGACTTTGGCTGACAAGAAGGATGCATACGGCAATAAAACTGGCAAACGACCTAGCCTGGATCCCCGTCATATCAACAAACATTTACCTGATGATCGCTACCCTTTACCATTGATCAAGGAAATTTTTCAATCCTTAGGAGGAAACACTGTGTTCACTACATTGGATCTAAAAAGCGCATTTCATCGTTTCAAGATCCACGATACGGACCAGCATAAAACCACGTTCACTCACGATGGTGTTCAATATATGTTCCAAGGTTGTCCCTTTGGTTTAAAGCCGATTTCATCCAAGTTTCAGAGAGTGATGTCTTTGATTTATCAACATCTGCCATTCATGCGGACATTTGTGGATGATATCGTTATTTTCTCTCCATCGATTTCTGAGCATATCACGCATGTTCAAACAGCCATTCAGGCTCTGACCGACGTGAATTTACTGCTCAATCCTGCAAAAAGCCATTTTGCGCAATCTTGCATCTTCCTACTTGGTTTTTGCATTTCAGCTGAAGGCGTCGTACCTGATAGCCGCAAACTTACCAATGTGATGTCATGGCCAATCCACGTACTGGTAAGGAGGTCCAGAAATTTATGGGTGTTATCAATTATTTCCGCGATCATATTCCTACCGTTACTACCATCAGTGCTTCTATCGATGCACTTCGTTCGGCTGGTAGTTTAACAAACCTATGAACCGATGTGCACACTAAGCATTTCCAGATGCTTAAAGATATAGTGGCTCAACAGCTTTTGCTGGAATATCCTGATCTCAACAAGCCATTCCTTGTCGCAAATGGCGCATCCAACTATGGTATTGGTTATGCAAGGTAAAAGGAAACAATACATTTCCTTCATGGCTCGAGCTCTCAGTAAATCCGAACGCAACTACTCAACTACGAAGAGAGAGTTATTGGCCATTGTTTATGCTCTCCAGAAGTTTCACCAGTATTTTTGGGGTAATCCGTTCACACTTTATACGGACCATAAGGCGCTTGTTTATCTTCACACTCAGAAGATTGCAAACCCCATGATGCTTACCTGGTTGGACACTATCCTCGATTACACCTTTACGGTTGTCCATTTACCTGGTGTTCAGAATGTTCTCCCTGACTCTCTTTCTCGCTTGTTTATCCCTGATGACAAGCTGGAGGGGGGTATTATCGTCAATGGACCGAAGCCAGTTGTATCAAAGAAGTCTATTGATGGACACAAAATATTCAGGATTAAATCCGCTGCTTCAACTGATGATACGATGTGTCCACCAGAGAATGAAAGACACGGTATCTTGGAAAAAGCACATTTACTTGGAGGTCATGAAGGAGCTGAACATATCGTACGACATATCCATGCAGATGGTATCCACTGGAATAATATATTCAAGATGCTGTGACATTGGTCAAGTCATGTATTGAATGTCAACGCTACAACATAGGGCAAAGGTTATAATCCCTTGAGACCAATCTATGCATACCTTCCTGGAGATTACTGGGCTGCTGATCTTATCAATTTTCACAAGACATCTAATGCCAGTAACAACTACATTCTGATACCTGTGGATATTTGCACTCGTTTCTGCATTTTACGTGCTTTACCGAACAAACAATCAGATACACTCGTCAAAGCATTTGTGGAAGTATTCTGTGATTTTGGCATACCCAAGGTTATACAATCTGACAATGGTTCTGAATTCAAGAATTAGTTCATGAAGAAGTTTGTTGAACACCTGGGAATTGACCATCGGATGACCACACCCTACCATCCAAGAGCGAATGGTGTGGCTGAACAACATGTACAGGAAACGATACATATCTTGCGGAAAAAGATAGAAGGTGCTGGCAAAGACTGGGACTACTACGTTCCCAGCACACAATTACACATCAATAGTCGCATATCAAAACGACTTCAATCCTCGCCTTTCTCTCTTATGTTTGCAAGACGATTAAATGACTTTGTGGACTACCGCTCAAGAAACGCTGTACCGAAAGATCGAATGACACATGAAGACTTGATGAAGCGTGTGGAACACATGATGGATATTGTGTTTCCGGCACTCCAAGAGAAAGTGAAGCATCATGGTTCCAACATGAAGGACAAATTTGATACCAAGCACAGACTCATGGATTTCCCAGAGCGAAGTCACGTTATGGTCAAGGTACAAAATAGAGCTGGTAAATTAGCTCCTATTTATGAAGGCCCATACACCGTTCTGCGCAAGACGCAAGGTGGGTCATATGTTCTTCAAGACGAAACTGGTGCACTTATGCCCAGAGACTTTTCGCCCTCTGAAATGAAACTGATCAACGTAGATGATGTGGTTCCCGAAGATGAACTATACGAAATTCAAGCCATTATTGATCATAAAGGTCCTAGAGGCAAACGCGAATACCTTGTAAGATGGAAAGGTTATGGCGCCGAGGATGATCAATGGCTCACCGCTGATAAATTTACCGACCCTGCATTTATTATGGAATATTGGAACAGACGTGGATCAAACGAGACAGAAATGAATCTGCCTGAAGATAAGTCTGTGAAACGCAAGGGTAAAACACAAAACGTCAACCCCAGACGTAGTAAGCGCAATAGACAATAAGTGGTGGTTCTCAAAAGATAATTCCATACTAAGCGCATAAGTCTCTGTAATTCATGAGCTAGTCTTTTCCTCATGTATTTTTTCCCACAGGGTTTTTTAGAGGTTTTTACCGACATGACCATGTAACAGAGCCTGCTTCAACCTGGAGGGGGGTAATGTTGTATAGATAGGGTTCATATACCACTAGATAAGAATTACCTCGGTTTAAGCAGATAAGAGACACTAGAGTAGTTACACACTATTTGTACATTCAAATCCCGATACCAGTTATTATCTTTGAATATCAGATACTAAAGAGATCATCTCTTTCGAGAAAACAACAGTCTCACTGTACTCAATGTCTCTATCCATCCATATCACACGTGCCATGAAATGCGATACACATTCACAAATTCACCGTCTCCTTGTCACCCAAAAGTCACAAGGATGCACATATCCTCTCGGCTGTTCGTCCATAGTACATTCACGGGCAATACCTACAGAATAAACGTTTTCATATAATACATTATAGTCAAATGACGATCCGTCATAAACTATATAAAGAATTGATCTGCATCACTTTTTGAATACCCATCTCTTCTTTCTCAAATAAATCCGAGTCAAAAGGTTTCTATTTTTATATTTTATCTTATCCATCAACACCACACAACGAACCATATTAAAATAATGCAATTCGTGAAGAGGAGTCGAGCGAACACCCGTTCCTCTCACATTATCCGTTTTGTTCCTTCCGGTTTGTCTGCATTATCCAGCATAATGCATCCAGATAGCTTTGGTATTTTGTCGTTTGACCCAAGTCGACGTGTTTAAACCCATGAAACTACTTCGTTGATTTCGCGTACGGGGAAAAGACCTGTTTCACTTGTAGCAGGCACGGGGCACTGTTGTGTGTAGAGAATCCACACACTTTGCGAGCAGCGGGGATGTCACACGCACCCATCAATAGTGCTGCTCTCACCATGGTTACTTCTTCTGGGCTCTGGTAGGTCGTTATGGGCACGCCGGTATACAACTCCTTCAGTTCATTGACCAACGGCTGCAAATAGCTGCCAATGTCAGCCGTGCTGGGTTACGGAAGGACCAGACATAACATTAACAAGAATGACATTTCTTTTTTGGAACATTCGTCGCGCTGCAGTTTGTTACCAGTGAGGTAGATGGCTCCACATGAATACTGTGTCCTGCGAAATGGCTGAAACCAGTCGACTAGAAAGAAATAAATATGTGTGTTAAGCGTACAGAAACAAGAAAACAAAAGATAAAATGTTATAAAAGACGAACCATTTCAATGTAAGCAGCAGTGCGCGCAACAAAAGGAAGGCTAGCATCATTAGGGGCGCGAATGCTAGTCCACATGGTGCCATCATAGACATTGTAAAGGCATTCTCTGGTTTGCAGATTACGAGTTCGCCATTTTGACTTTCTGCTCAAATCCAGGCCGCTGAAAGGATACCTTCAAGTTTTGAATCAAGGCGTTGTACGGGTATTCTTTCGTGGGTGCACCGTTTCCGATAGACAATAATGCTTTCTAAGGTTGTCGATGGAATTCACGGCCGTGTTGCAGAAAAAGAACGTAAGTCCAGCATTGAGGGGCTTTTTGTCGAGAATATACCCTATGGCACTGGGAACATCCACAAACTAGACAACATGCTCCGCAGGTCATCGAAGCCTACATGTTTCCGCACAGTGGCTGGAGTCACTGGCAGTTACACTTCCTTGTCAAACGCAGCCAAAACCAGACCGAAGAAGCGCAACAACAACGCTGCGCCTCTTCTTGTGAAAGATCAAACCGGTACAAAACGAGAACTACTTGCATGAAGTGCACCGTTGCAGAGGCAACTTCTATGAAATAAAACCCTGAGCAACTGATTTTATCACTGTTCGTTGCATATTGTACCATTCCTGACGATCGTCCCACTTTCAGCGAATGCAGGATCTCCATTCACTTGGGCAGCTTCATCATCGTAATTCAGTTCAAGTCCCTAGCCTCGGCTCCGCTTTACGATAAGAGACCAGTTCCGGTTCCAGGACCAACGGTTCTTCGGTGCCGAAATCCAAGTCCATTACTAAAGAAAAATATGCATAAGTACCGTGTTATAGTAAATTGAGTGTGCGATTGTTCTAGCAGTCAAAGGAAGTAGCTGAAGTTTCACCGGTGGTGTTATCTAGTTACAAGAATATTTCATAATTAGTGACCAAATGCGTCAAGAGTGCCGCGGTAACTATCTCACTCGATGTTCCGTTTCGGACACGGTTCCGTTCATGGCGCTGATGAAGACTATATGCAACCGTAGTTTGCATCTCATAGCCAAGACGATTTTGGCCATGTGTAGACCTATCGCACTTCTTAATATATTTTGCTTTCGCCGTTGTTATTGTAATAACAGAAAGACAAAGATCTTAGCAGTTTTTTTGATGCGACGAAATTCAAGAATATACTGTGGCCACTGTAAGCCCATAAGAGCTGATTTTCCATTCCAATGAATTGGGATGAGTTTTGATGGGCCATCAAATTCCATTAAAAATTAACATTTCCCGCTGTGGTCCATGAAAATGAGTCAAAGTCCGAAAGAAAAGCAAAAAGAAATGACCCACTTCTGTTTTTCGCGTGAAGCCTGGTACCGATTAATTCCGTTGGTTTTCTTTGAACAAATGCATCGCCGAAGTCACATTTATTGCAAACCATATTTGTAGTGACTTTATAAGCAATCATTCTCCATAGGTCCAGTAGGAGTTTTATGGTAGGTCTAGTTATTCATATGGGACTCTCCCGTTTTCATTGCTTGTGTATTTTCTGTCCCAATTCGGTTGACTTTTTTTTTTTCCTCTGAAACCTGGATGCATATTGTGTAACGATAACGACAAGTTCCGCGAAAAAGAATGGCTTCTAACGAGCTGCCATCTCGCTAGAAAAAGACGCGGAAAGTTTCGATTCCAGTATATTTGAGATCGGCGGATTCGATGGTGTAAAGAAAGTGAAGTATCATGAACGATCAAAACGTGGGATAGCTTCGCCAAGTCCATGCGCATTAAAGTTTGATGGATTGGCACTCCGTTATCAAGAAGTGTCAGGGTTGCGGTGATCCCAAGGCCAATGACCCGCGCATGCGCCACCCATGGAACAAACTTTCTTATCTGTTCGCCAATCCATCAAACTTTAATGCGCATGGACTTGGCGAAGCTATCCCACGTTTTGATCGTTCATGATACTTCACGTGCTTTACACCATCGAACCTGCCGATCCCAAGTATACTGGAATCGAAACTTTCCGCGTCTTTTTCTAGCGAGATAGCAGCTCGTTAGAAGCCGATCTTTTTCGCGAAACTTGTCAATCCTGGTTACACAATATGCTCACAGGTTCAAGATGAAAAAGGTTTCTACCAACCAGAATCGACAGAAATATGAAATACATATTCTTCTTTCTTCTTTCCTTCTTTTTCCTTTTCTCCAATTTATACTCCAGAATCGACCGCAGCTATCAGTATTAACTGATCTTCATCGTTTCTTTATTACTCTCATCTGCTCTGAACTGTTTTTATTGTTCTTAATTGATTTATCCTACATATCGCCACTTTTTTACCTTGCACATATTATATCCTTCGCTCTTTTTATCTTGTCGATATTCTCAAAATGATCACATATGGACAAGCATGTTGCTTGGTCTTGGATTTGGAGCCGACCAAAGAGAACAGGAAAAGGGCCAAAGAGACTTTAGCGCAGGTATCCCTTGGCGCGACGTACCTTGAAAATAACGGACATCTGGAGCCCATTGCATTGAGTGAATCCAAAATTGGAAAAAACCCGTACAAATACAGACGGTATCCTTCTACGCCGCCCAGCAGCCCTGTATCTTCAGATATTGAGGACACAGGTAAGTGTATGTGTTATGATCCTGTCAGAAGAGAATTGATTAAATTGCAATCTTGTTTGTAATTTATAGTATCGGATGAAGTGGAGCAATCAAGTGTTAGCAGCTCTTCGAGCGAGGAGGACGCAGCCCCAGGTAGAACAAGCAAATAAGCACACGATTACGCTTTACGTACTTAATTTTATATACTTAATCGATTGCATTAGAAAATTATTCAACACAAGGAATCCTCAAGATGGCCAAACTTCTATTCACCAAGGACAACATAGATACTACCGATCTATATGACAAAAAGTGGCTCACCACTCAAGACATCTTCACGAGTTTAGCAATCCAATTGCCGAGGTTGAGCAGTGTGATGACTACGCGACAGCTTGGCCTATTACTGAGCAAGCACCACGATCACTTTGGCTCCCCAATCAGAAAGAGGGTAAACGGCAAATTCGTACATTGCAGGGAGTTATTCCATCTGAAAGAATGCGGGAATAGTATGTATCATGGACAATCTAGACGTTCAGCTTGATCTAACGAGTACATTTACTTTTATACGTAGACGTTATCGAAGATGACTATGCTTTGTTCCTATCCCACATTCGTGCCTCTGATGGAGATTGGGTCAATGTTGGCTACGTGAGAAAATCTCCAGGCGAGGAACTTCCGTCAACAAGAGCAAGGCTCATCACTTGCATGGCCGAAAGGTTAAAAAAACGATGCCACTGCCGAAAGATTTTCGTCTCGGATGGCTCGACGGCCAATGAACCCATCCTGGCCAGAGATGCTGACAGTGGCCCCACCAGTTACGACGGAAATACGCAGGGTAATATATAAATCACCGTATATATTACCGTGGTGAAATTGCTTAAAATTATTTTATATTTACTAGACATGTTTTCCTACTTCACTACAAAGAGCAAGAAAATTCGATTGTGTGTCATCGATTACGCCGGTTTTTCTACGGACCCAGACGACATTCAAAAAACCATGAAGTAAGTATCGCAAATAAAGAATATAAACGCAATTGAACTTATCACATTTCAATCTTAGGCTGACAAGAAGTATTAAGGAGCTGGTGGTGCTACATCCCCACCGGATTGAAATGTTCACTCGCATGGAATTGAAGCAGGAATCAATATTAACGAAGTTTAAATGCCGAACAGGACCGGTACATCGGTCAAAATATAGTGGCGTTGCCAGAAATCGATCCTCCTTTGTGTAATTGCGGAGTGGAAATAAAGTTCGTAGTAGTTGCCTAGCCAGATTGCGTATTTTGTTGGTTACATAAAAGTAGACAGAATTCAGATGAAGCAAATTAAAAGTTTCGTTTCGAGATATGAAAGTGCCTCGCTGTACGTACATCGATAAAATCGCTTCTGAAATCCTCCTTAATTTTCGTAACAAAAGGTTTATAAGAATTTTTGATCGACCTCAACACCAAAATCGGCGCGAATAACATCGTAACTCAAACTGTGGCTTGATTCAATGCACCGTAACATGGTTGCTGATTACTCGGTAATTTGTACTGTCATGCTGCAGCATGAAGCTCATTTAATTTCACCGCTGACAAATCTCAGATCAAATCGCCATTTCCAGGATCCCTCGTATCCAGCTTCTGCGGGTTCTGCTATATTTGACAGATCCATCCAACTATCTCTCAATTCGTCACACACTTCAATCTCACTTCTCGACAGCCTTCCTCTAGGATCATTAATGGCGTTCACCCTGAAGTCCGTCAACGTTGCTCTGCGCTTATCATCGTGGAAGTCCTGGCCCACAGTTTCGTTCCGCTCATCATCGATAGTAGGTGATTAAGCGGAACTCTATTTCATACCCCTAAGCATTCTCGAAATTCGTGAAAACCAAATATCGACAATATTGATGTAGTAGACATTACTGACAAATCCTTAGAATAAATCATACGTTGTTCCACCTCCGGCCGGGATGATGAGGACGACGATGTACCTGACGATACTGTATGATGTGGCTCGTCGAAGGAGGATTCCAGCGACAATGACAATGACTTGAATGCCATCTCTGACGATGACGAGTATCACGAATGTTTCTGCCTTGACAGTGATCACGGTAAAAGGCCCCTACAAATAAGCTAGAGTTCGAGATCAATCCGGTGTTTGTCATCGAATTTTGTTGTTGGCATTACCATATAGTTCAGCACTTTCCTTGAAAGCAAGAGATACGCCGCCAGCCGTATGATTATTTGTTTTAATAATTAATTAAATGATCGATTATCTGACATGTACTTACTTGAACTGTAAGAAGCTTTACGATAATCCTGGAATGAACTTGATTTGCGTGCAAGCATGACAGATAAATGTGAGAGTTTGATCGTTTAGGAATACAGTCGTTTAAATCCATTTAGTGGTTAGAAGGTAGTGTTCCCAATGATGTTCAGCCCCTTGGCTTATTTGCCAATACTGTAGTTTATGTAATGCTCCCAGCAAAGTGCTCATAAGCTTATTTTTGAACAGGGTTCTATTATCAGATTGATGTCTCGGGATATAGCGAAAGTCACAAAGTATTTGTGCGACTGTTTTTACTCTGTGTATCTGCTTGTTTGCTTGGATAGTGCTTAAGATAGAGACTCTTGCACAACATCGAACATGGCTAGCACGTAGTGATTGTTACTGTTAGATGCCTTGAATGGTCCAACAAGGTCGACAGTCCAATGATTACCACAAATATATGCATATATTGGTCGCAGTGGGTGATGACTGTGATATATTAGAGAATTTAGAACAAAAGAGACAGTGAAAATCCTTTGAGACATGTTGAATATGTTTATTTCGACCCTTCATTGTGATCTGCCTATTTTTACTTTAATCTTGATCAGAAGCAATAATTATCAGTGAGAAATCCTCGGTTATAAGGTGTATTTGGAAGGATCCACATGCTGTGATGTGACAGCGTTACCCGTATGAATTGATCTCGGCGATAGATCCAAGATATGGATGAAGAGGCTCAATCGGCGTTCTAATGGAGAAGCTCACTCAGAATGGAAACACGTCTAAACCCCGATCTTTCCTGTTTAGGAACACCAGTCTAGGATGGATAGAACGACAAGTGTTGGATATACCACAATACATCTTTACAAATGATGCTGTGTTTGGCATTCTCCACATGCCTTAATTAGCTCAATGACGTCCTGTAGCATGTTATTCCAATGCATACCATCAGCGTAAGATGAGCTTTATCATATGTTCCGCACCAGCATGATCAGTAGATAGATGTGCATTTTGTAGGATCACATGGTATCATTCTGTCTTGTTGTGAGCGCGTGGAATCTCTCAATATACAGACAGGAGGTTTTTTATTTTATTTTATTTTGTTTATAGTTAACTCTTCGTCTGTACTATTCTTCGCAGGTTTATATGCATATATAATGTAATGTAGTATATGCTCCTAAGCATTCACGGTTCGCGATACATCATAAACTGTAGGTTCACATTTATGCTTGAAAGGGGCAAACAAAATCTTATACGGGGAATCGTTGATAATTTGTAATAAATGTTCATTAAGCGGTTGGTTCAAACAAATGACCTATCATCTTGTCCAATTTGTCTTTATCGTACTTGATGTATTTGGCAGGATTTTTGGTAAAATCCGTTCCTTGGTATCTAAAGCAGGGATTAAGCATTGATTCCTCCAGTGATACTCGTCGGAAACACTTACTTGTCAAGGAATCGTCCGTACATGGGGACAATGACATTTTTCACGTCACGAATTACTTGATTTCGCAGCTCCGCATCCGGAATGGCATAAGTGGTTTGAGCGCGCCATGTCTCATCAAACTCTGTGTTGAAGTTCTACAAAAAGATACGATGAGACATGATAGATCGAATCGACGTCAACCATTCTCGCATACCTTGAAACGATCTTTGATCAGCTGACGTTCCGCGCTGCCCATCGCATTCTTTATCGATCCTCCCCGGACGTAAGTAACATCCATCAAATTCTCCACGCACGGCTTCCATGATTCTTGATAACTGTCCAGCTGTTTTTTCACGAGACGACCAAACTTCATCTCTGTACCTTCGTCAAATACCATATTCAAAGGTGGCGACCGAATTTGGCGCAGGATATGATTGTAGTTATTCAGTAAGAAGATTGTGGCCAAGGTAGGTTTCTTGTAACCGCGAGATTTGGTTTGTAAAGATATCGTCAATTGATCCAAGGCATCCACTATGATCCAAAAGCAATTGATCAGTTAATCTAGCGTGAACGACCAGATTCAATAATAATACCAAAGAATTTCTGCAATAGGGCAGCTCCCATTGCTGATTCACCGGAAGGTCCTCGTTGATTATTAAGCACGGAAGGAGATATCGGGTTATGCCATCCATCATCGCCCAACGCAACAAGCAGAGGCTCCACTGTTTCTCGCCACACATATAAACGTTTCAAATAGTTCAATGTCTACAACAATGATTTGTCAATACCAATAGGAAAAAAACGATCATTCAAGTACGATACATGGGAAAGATACTTGCATTACTTGTCAATTCGTGAACGGTACCATCGTTACTCAAGTTGAGGAAAGCGTTATTCTCCTTTTTGCCTTTGACGTCCTCCATAAAGTCATAAAAGCATCGTAACGCCGTTAACTTGAACGCAGAAGCCAGTTCAGTCAGTTGGGGCAAGCTGATTTCCTCGCCCAAATCGCCCCACAAGGAGGAGTAATCCTTCTCGTATTTCTCGAGGATGTCGAATACAAACACCGCATCTCCATAGAAAAGTCGCTTGGCATTAGCATTCACTTGACGACCAGCAGCTGTAAACTCTGACAAGGCCGGGGCAATGCTGCCCTGTAAAGCCGCTGCTCGCCGTGATCGGTTACCCAGGATTTTTTCTGCAAACTCGCATTCAGCCTACGCAGTTCCAAGTGAGTATTTTGCATGCGTTTTTCTCGAGTGGACCCATTAGTCTTTTAGCAGATATATGAAATACCTTGACCATCTTAACAAAACATTCAATGTACTTGAGAAATTCGCTCGACCCTTTTTCATAGGATGCACCTTGATGTTTTTCGGACCCTTGCACAGACTGTGCCAAGGAATGAAGCGACTTTGTCAAATAAGCAGATCGGATTTCAATGTAAGGTTTGGTAAAATCAACAGTATAACCGATCTCCTGTTCCGAAGTAGCGATATACGTAGATAGTTGTGTCAACTGTTTCATGGAATGGGAGTTCATCAAATCCCGATCTATTTCACATCAAATAAAAATCATGAGTGCATCCATGATTTTGCGATTTATCGTCCTCAAGTTTGCTTACGGGAGTTGAGCATGGTATCGACATCCATTGGACTGCTCAAGGAAGTAAGCCATTTACGGAATAGAGTTTCCAGATGCAGCATTCCCGCTTTCAATAGCTGTTTCTATAAAATGACAAGGTTGGATCACGAGTGATTCGTTGCAAAATTGTTCGCGCGTGGTGAGTGAGCATCGTTTTTTACCGTCTGATGAACCGCCTTATCCACTGATCGCAGTTGGCTCCTTTCGACGGTATCCACGGCGTCCTTGAGTTTACCCATCGCTTGCAAGTAAGGCAACACGTTGTTTTCGTTTGGACTATTTTGCTTAATATGGTCAGCTCTAGTCACTGCCACCGTCGCGTCATGTCGGTATTTACCCCTTTAATATATAAGCTTCTTCTTTACTCGGTAGATTTAAGCAGTCCACCACACTTTCTGTTGCTTTGAGGGTTGCATCAATGTCTAATAGCGACCATTGGTTACAGAGCCAAATTATCATGATGTGCCATTGACATACTGTTGGCGAGACGAGTTAGATTCTGGGTGGATTTATGGATGGGCAGCATAGAAGTTTCCAGTCGTAAAAGTCGGTCATCGAAGCTATCCAATATTCCAACCTAATTCATGGTCAGTGTCACTCATTTCTGCTGTCGAAACACGTTTGGCCTGCATAATACTCGCTAGTTTGCCTGAGAGACCGTCCATCCGGCCCAGCTGTTTTTGGAGATAGTCTAGTTCGGTTGCATCATCGTCCAAGCGATTGGGATTACTGCGCAGTGTCCTAAGAAAGGATGTGAGAATCGTGCAATGAGCTGGTGAATGGTGTTCATCTTGCTTGCCTCTGCATGATGATCAATTCGGACTTTTGAAAACGTAGGACCTTTCTCGTTCTGCTTCTGTTGCCTGAAATGAACCTTTTTCTTTTTTGGAATCTCCTATCTCAATTTTCGGTATTTAAAAATCACGACTCTCCCATTCTGATTCGATGAATAAAATATCATCATTGACATTTTGCATTACATCGAAACTCTAAAGAGTGTCAATGACTTGTAATGATACCATCCATACCGTCATATTGGTCATTCATCTGGTCCCATGACGGTTTTCTCTCAGTGGCTCACAATGCTTTTGCAGATAACTCTAACAACCACTTACCCGCCAACAACAGTTGCGAAGAAGCGGTCACCCACCTCCATCGCGGCATTCTTTGCCTGTACATGAATGAGGTGTTAATTGTGCATACTTTCTCCCGTTAACTCTGTTATCTGACGTCTATAGTTGAGCGTTCGCCTAATAATTTACAGAATTGCATGACGAGAATAACAGATGATACTAGCATCAATTTATCAAAGGCCAATCTTTTTATCTCATGGGCGTGCATTGGTTTATCTTGTCTGTTTCACCCCATTAAAAGAAAATGAAACGATCGAAAGCATAGAAGAAGGATAACAGTACAGTGTGATGTTTCATACAGTTGTCATGTTGAATCTTTATATTATTTAGGATAAAGAAACTGCATATAAAATCCTGCAGAGATCGAAAAAAGGACGCTGTCGCGTAGATGTGCATTTTGTAGGACACGGCGAGAATTGCACATTAAACGCCATTCGCTTCATTTTATAGAGTAGTTGGTGCTGATAAAGTCACTCATGCTGGGAATATCCATTTGTCGTGTCACTAGGGCGAATGCTTTGGCTTTAGTGCGATCTGCCCGTCTCGCTAGTTTTGCCCAAAACATTATACAGTATATCATTGCAATCAAAACAACAAAGGACGTCGCAAAAACGAAACTTCAATTCCATAAAAAACTATTCCAGTTGACATCTTGCCTTGTTGCCTCTGTTGTGTTGTGGCAGTGTTTCTTCTTCCTTGTAAGTTATCAAAAATTATTTGATCGCTTTTTTGGGGTTCTGCTGCATCACAGCAGATGTTTTGATGCTTCTCACAAGTCCTCTCAAAAGTGACCGGCTCAACGACAGCCGAGCAATGGAAGTCTATAAAATTGGGTACCCATCGTGTCTCTCAAGGTTCTTTTTCTTTTCACGAAACCTTTTGCATTGCACCAAAGGTGAGCTCAAGATTGTTGAGGCTGAAACAATATACGCATACCTATAATATCATACAAGGAACTACGACAGCTCCGGAGCGTGTTTTCCACGTTGATATGCGATGAATGGTACTGTGTAATCTAGCCTGCACAGTTGACTGGTTTCCCGAGGGCAAGCAAAGCCCGTCAGACGGTTACAGATAAGTTATTTAACCGTACCCAAATTTTGCTATACTACCATACTGACCTACTATTTTTTTTAAAAAAAATCCCTTCCGTTTGACTACTTACATAATATAACTTGTTACTCTTCCAATTTTTATTCAACTTTTTTCATTTTGGCAGGTTTCGTCATTTGACTTTATAATTTTTGATTGAATAAAGTGGAGAGATCATGATGCATGAACGGAGTATGAATCATGGACGGAATGAGATTGGATGAAAACACGACCAAAAAAGTAAGGGAAAAAAACCATTAAGTGACACCAAAGGTTTCAGGGACACTTCTTTCTGGTCTACATTGTTACAGGACATGGCTCTTCAATGATCACATATTTTATTTTAAATAAGTCTGGAGATATCATATATCATTCATCGAATACAAAGCGACAACTTACTACAGAAGAAAGTCGAATCTGCTACTTGCCATTGCTCTTGACCAAAGACCTGATCCGCTCCCATCTGAATGGTCGACTGCAATATTTAAAAACAGGCAATAAAACAATCGCATTCTGGGAAGTAGGTATTCTGGTTTTCTTTCAACGGAAAATATATCAAAAGTACCGTAATCTCACCTACTCTGCTTGTTGCTTGGATTGTGTGTGTATGTTAGAAACACAGTTTACTTTATGTGGCATGGACAAACAACACCCAGATTCCCGTCAGCTTGCTACAGCAACACCTACGTTCCATTTACTGCTTCTTGCGTTTCACGTATGGCCCGCAATGGCATTCGCACGTCCAAACCAGCATGGGATCTTCCCGTTCGCAGCGCATCCCTCTTATCTCCTTATCTGGAATCTCCGATTGTCTAAGTCGGCTTGATTTCTTAACAGGACCACCTTCACTGCGATCCAGTGGTATGCTATGCTTCGTTGAGCAGGTGGAACTGCACGAAGATCTCCGTTCAAGGCTCGTTAGCTGTCTTCGAGAATGTTGCGAGAACGCCTTTCCGTTTTCGTCGCGAGCTACCTCATCGAGCACCAAACTGGCCTCGTTCTTTACTCCGCCTAAACGAACGATGACTGTCCGGTCCCATCCTCACGATAAGACTGTTCTCATGGAATCGTTCCGAGGAACAGAACCTGCATTGCATCAATGGACTGACGCCTTCCTATTTGCGAGGGAGAAGATCGTGGTTCGATGTAGCAATCCTCTCCAATCCATGACCTGCAATGGGGATGATACGGATGATGTGTCCGACAATTTGCTGTATTACCTCAAAAGTCTCCTTGTTCAATATCTAGATGTAAGAGCAGAAAAATACCGTCAATATAGTAAGCGCTCTCACTTGGCTTGTTTTGCTGTGATTGGTTCGTTGTTTTTTTCCTAATGAAATGGGTTGGCATCATGTTAGATACCCGTCAATCGGGGAGCTCTCCACAGGATATCTCCCGTCAAAGGTAAGAGTCCCCGATCGTAATTATAGAAATCATCAGATCCGTTCCTGGTTTGTTATTAACTTTATTTTTATTTTATTTTTTTTATTTTTCTTCGCCTCTGGCCTGAATCTTGACCTTATAGTTCAGCCAACTCTCTGCATGAAACCACCTCGGTTAACTCGACCTCCTTACCCACCTTATGCACCTCATCATCCACATCCGATACGCCGAGTCAAAAATCGCCATTTACCTTTGTATACAGCTCATCGTCGTCCGCCCCACCATACAAAATCCGGGAAAAAACGCCGTCTTCTGTCATGGTGGTGCCTTCCAACGTATCATCTCCTTCCATCTCCTGGAGTTCGCCACCTCCTTTGATTTACAACCGTTTGCTCAGTCAGTTTTCACAGCGCAGTTCACATACCCTTTCCCGTTTCAGTTCCATCGATCCGCTTTCTATACCATCCCGCGTTGACAGTCATCACAGTAGTGATACGCAGTTACCACCGAATGCCGCCGCATTATATATCCATCCGTCCAGTAGTAATCCTGTTTTGTCTTCTACCAATAACTATATGTCCAACAGCCTGCCGTCGGAACCGGCCGCTTTTCTTCGCGAACAGTTCCCACTTCGATCGTCCACCCATTCTTCGCCTACCACACGGTCACGCAAAAACAGTTTCACCGAGCAGATCCCTTCCAAAGATTCCATCAAGCACTTGATCACGAATCTCTTGCATAGCGATCCCGAAGATGACACCCCAGACGACGATTTGTGGGAAACTCACGGAAAAGTGTTCCGTGGATGGATCAAAAAAGAAGGGCAACTGTTCCCTTGTCGCATCTTTTTGACATCTGTAAGCAACGAATTTTGCGCCATGGTGGTGTGTAGGGATGATTTGGATCGGTCTGAAAAGATCCGCATTGCCACTCAACCTGTACGAACTCGTCCTTCGGTCTTTCGCCAAGCACATCAACTACAATGTCTGCAGCAAAATCTGCAGGACATGCTGCAAGATTTTTCGGCGTTCTTGCTTACTAAAGAAGCCGCCCATTTCACCATTCTGTCGTTCGCTGTCGCTTATCCTGGTTTGTTACACTTTATGCATATGGAAAAAGGGATCATGGTGGCTCCTCAGCTGGTGGATTTGAATGAATTGGATAAAGATTTTGAAGTGCTGCATGGAATATTCAGTCGGTACGATTTTCACTCGAAAACGACGCTTTATTCTGCGCAATGGCCTCGCGCCACAAAGCTAAAACGACTTGTAAGTGTGACAAATGAATACATGTTGTCCTCAGTCATTGGTAATTGATATGCCGTTGTTTTTATAACCAGAGTGACCAGATGGCGTGCCTGGGGGACAACATGACATCAGGTAGTCGCATTGTAAGGGTTCTCGAGGATAAAGGCCCAGGGAGTCCTTGTGAATTCACGTATCTGTACCAACGTGGCCAACATGGAGAAGAGTTGCGAGCTCTCTATTTTGGATTTGTCCCACCGGAACGCATGTGGGAGATGCATCAACGGCTGTTTCAAGACATCAGTCAACGCATTTTGTAAAGAAAAAAGGAAAAAGAAAAATATGCAATTCAGCGTAGCTTATTTTATAAACAAAATACAAATCAAGTGTACAATTCCTTCACTTGGATGTCAATACAACCCAAAGTAATGGAATCAGGGAGAAAGAAAACATTTAAAGGCTATCACACTCTATCCGTTATTAAGAAAAGTTCTTTCTTTCCCGTCTATAATCTAGTCTTCTCTCGTGGCGCAAAGGTAAGGTTGCTCGGTAACGTATCTGCGTTGTCTTGGAAGAAGGCTTCAATCGACGATGTCGCCACTTTATCTTCAGGACGTTGGAAGAATGCCAGCATATCCTCAACCGTTTGCATGTTATTGAGTTCGAGATTCGGCACTTCCTTGCCGATTTGCTTCATGCTCTCTTTCACGATCTACTCCCAGATGGGTTAACATCAACCCTGATCCATTGTGAGCAAATAGTGGCGGACAACTCACCTTGTATTTAACATCCAAATCCTTTAAGCTCAATGATTTCCAGTCAGCATCCGTTGCATTCTTGTTGTGTTCGAGCACAATCGTACGCACTGTCGAATGAATAGATTCAGGGTCGGTCATAATATCCGCATTCTTCCAACTATCGACAATGAGCCATTAAATAATCGTTCCACATCTTCATAATCGCTTCAAATACATACGATACGATCTCTTGGTCATCGTGGTATTTAACGTCAAAAGTAACAGGGTCAATGCTTTCGGTATTGCTAGGGGCCGTGGCAGCTTCCGGTGTTGATGCGGGCTTTTTGGCCCAGGGGTTGAATTTACCAAACAAGCCTTCACGTTCAGCTAATGTTATTGAAACTGTATGGAAGGCTGCGGTACGTTTGTAAAGAGAAGCACGAATAACAGGAGTGAGCAACATGAGGTGGAGTGGCGATATCAAAAGAAGCTTGGGTTAGGGGCACTCGTTCTGGCAGAAAAGAAAAAGCCACCGGGGGGGACATGACTTGTTTTTGCTCCGCCATTACCAAAAATGGCAACCTTTCTGGGTTGCGACAAGGAAATTACCAAATAACAAGCCGTACACCCGCTGTGCAATGGATGCCGCTTGCCACCGGAGGCCGCCCTCTTACATTGAGCGACTTTCGTCAGACAAAAAGCCTAACGCATACACGGCATAACCTGGGCGAGAACTCTTGACGGAACTTCGGTATATTAATGACAACCTTATGGCATACGTTGCAACGTGATTTGTTTCTGAACACGCGCAGGGCAGCACTGGTTCCCCCCCTCAGTTCCATCCCGCCCAGGCTATGATAGATCTAGAAAGATGTGTGGGTATGTTGGGTATTTAAAAAAATGAGTTAGTAAGCTCTTTGATTGATTCAAATTTCGTCAAGATATTTTACCTTTGTTATTTGAGTTTTCGATAGTAATTGATCGCTTGCCATGGCATGGATTATATGACATTGAAATTTTTTTAAATTAGTATACGTTCCTTACATCATAGCAAAGGAAAAGAAATTGGACTTGCCTTTGAACCAAATGGTGTTTCCGAAAAAAAAGATGAATACGGACCACAGGTAAGCTTCTTCTTCGATGCGGACAATAGAATTGCTTCCAGGAACAGTTAAGCAATGGATCGGTGGTGTCAGCTTGGACAGGCAAAAAATATTGACTGGCCAGAAGTGACGGCAATTTAGAGTTGGATTCCAATTGTTTAGATTAAAGTTTGAGTTGCAAGCGTGGTGCGTGAAGGGTAAAGTTAGATTGAGATGTATGTAAACATGTTCTGTTATTGATGAAATAGAGATTAGCACGAAAGGGTTATTGTACTGTAATATGGCTCACCATTATTGTACATATGGCATAATCGACCATTTTTCTGCAAGTGTTCAGACGCTTCTTCATAAATGTATGTAGCTGCTTCAAAAAAAAGAGATAAATAAAAGCTTTATAATGGTCTAAGTTTCTATGGGGGCCTCCGATTAAGCAATTGATGTGTGATATGAAAACTGTTGAGGTGCTCACTCGTTCGTCTACCTGGTGATCAAAAATAAACTGCAGGTCGTGCTATTTGTTCGTATTGTATAACGAAGCATGACTTGCATTCGAATGATATTATCGCTTTATTTCGAATATATCACACTATTTGACGCTGTATTTGTTTCTAGTAGATGGCTCGCTTTTTCTTCGCAGATCGCTTGATTTGTTCATGGTTGGGACTGCTAAGCCTCTTTTAGGGATTGGAAATTGAAGGGTGCCAGTCAATCCCGCTAAAATGTGCCTCCGCTGCTGTTGTCGCTCTTGTCGTTCGTAAAAGACACTTGATTCAAAATGTCTGCAGAAAAGAGGAAAGAATCAGCCAGTAGTGCTCCCGCAGGTGCAGTCGTCAAACGCGCAAAAGCTGACGACACCAACGATTCTTCTGCTTTGATTACCTTGTCAACTGAAAGATCGGGAACCAGTAACGCCATCGTGGGCACTGTAAGCTATCACTAAAGCACCAATCACCGCACTGGCTCTTTTATGGACACATTGGACTCATCTCAATATATAGATTAAACGTACATCTAGCTTAAATTCACCCGTAATGCAATTAACTGGCCATGAGGTATGCTCCGTATTTATTTGACTCCATCAGCGGCAACTCAATAACATCATACTTGCCTTCTCATTAGGGTGAAGTCTTTTCCTGTAAATTCGATCCCACCGGTGAGCATATTGCTTCCACAGGATTCGATAGACAAATTAGTGAGTCTTTGCGCATCAATGATAACACAATATTGAAACTGACAGTTTGACTTTTCTTCTCTCTTTCACTTAAATAGTGTTATGGAACACGTATGGCGACTGCCAAAATTATGGTGTATTAAGAGGACATTCAAACGCTGTTATGGAATTACATTGGTCCCGCGATTCAAGGCAAGTCATTATCGAAAAGTGAAGACTGGAAGGACGAAATGGAGGCTGACAATCGGAATCCTATGTCACACAGTCAAATCTTCAGCTGTTCAGCAGATAAATCGGTGTCTATTTGGGATGTGAAAGCAGGTGAACGTGTTCGACGATGGAAGGGACATACGCAAGTGGTGAACAGCTGTCAGGTTGCTCGTCGAGGCCCAGAGACAGTGGTTTCTGGAAGTGATGACGGTTGCATAAAATTATGGGACAGTCGAGAAAAAGCAGCAGTACAAACCTTTGAAGATAAATTCCAAGTCACCAGCGTTTGCTTCAGCGATGCAGCAGATATGGTTTTTGCTGGTGGTCTCGATAACGAAATCAAGGTAAGACTGATCAACAGGCGAGTGGTCAAGCGGGGGCCCATTACTGATGCAACATTGAATTTAGGTGTGGGATTTACGCAAAAAGGCAGTGGCCTACACATTAAGCGGTCACTTGGATACTATTTCTGGTATGTCCCTGAGTCCCGACGGATCCTATCTCTTGTCAAATTCTATGGATAATACAGGTAAATGACAGGGTCAAAGACAGCAGCATAAGAGCAGTTGAAAAGAATGAGGGTTATTCATCGCAAACGTGTTGATGTGTGTAGTGTGTATCTGGGATGTGAAGCCGTTCGCTCCTGCCGATCGACGTGTCAAGGTATTCGAAGGCGCACCTCACGGCTTTGAGAAGAACTTGATCAAGCCATGCTGGTCGACGGACGGAAATCAAATTGCCTGTGGTTCGGCCGATCGATCCGTTGTCATTTGGGAGGTATCATCGGGCAAGATCCTTTACAAGTTACCGGGCCACAAGGGTTGTGTCAACGATGTGGATTGGCATCCTAAAGAACCCATCATTTTGAGTTGTAGCACAGATAAGACCATGTTCATGGGTGAAGTGAAGCCCACCCAGTAATCCCTGTTAAATAAATCAGCCAACATAAACGAAATTGTATATTTATATGGCTTGCCTTTACTGTCCCAATTCTCAACCCTCGGTTTATGATTAGATCATAGATCAACCTCATTGTTTACTCCTAGTCTCTCGCTGCAAGAGAGCCATGGTGTGTAATAGTTTCTCGGTTTGTGCTTGTCATACCGTGTTTGATCCAATCGTGTTCTCGTTTGGGCTTGACAGACTTTGCGTGATTAAGCTCGAAATGGCACAATCCAGCAATCAGGTGGCACGGATGAATACATCATGCACCATATGCGGAGTCCCGAGTCTCGTCTACATGCATGTCTGGCGCCATCCTTATCAACAAGGTGCACATATACAGAGCAAGGAATAGGACAAGAGACCTGAATTATCAGCAACCGGTATTATTTGTATATAGTCATGGTAGCTAAAGATGGGTGACCGCTTGTGCAAAGTTTTACTAGAAAAGATCTCATCGATATAATAATATAAAAAAATTCGAAAAAAAAACTGGACTTGTATTTCATTAAACTTTATATCCTGTTGGTGTATTGTTTTCTTTCCTCGTTTCCTACCATCCTTCCTCTTCTTCCGCTTCATAATGTCGAACAAGTCGAAATCTAATTCCGTTGCGCCATCGTCATCTGCCACAGCGGCTGATTTCCTTGCGGGAAAGTATGTATACAACGTTTTACATTTCTCGATGATTTTATGTAAAAATAGGCGTTGCGAAAACCAGCGCTTGGAAAATTTGCTGACATGGTGCGAACATCAAGTTTTGCTGGTATGGCACAGGTTATAGTGGGGCAACCTTTGGACACTATCAAAGTCCGCCTACAAGTCGACCAAAGCCGGTTCAAGGGAGCTTGGGATTGTGGTGTACAGACGGTAAAAAATGAGGGCTTTTTCGCTTTATACAAGGGTAAGTTGACAAAACCAGACTTTCTGAATGGTGCCTGGCTCGCGCATCAAGAGCGTAACTTCAGCTCTTAGGGATGGCCAGTCCGCTGGTCGGCATAGGCGCTGTTAATGCACTTTTGTTCGCAGCCAACTCCCGAATTAAAAAGGCTATGCAAACACACCCGGACGATCCGCTATCCATCGGTCAAATCGCCCTTGCTGGCGCCGGAGCAGGTATGTGTATATTTGGTAAAGGGAGAAGTAACGCCCGTGGAAGTTGAACCACAGATGAGCGATGTTTTTCTTGTCATTCCATTTTTTTTCATACTCCTGATATGGTAATTGCTTGATTAGGGATTGTCAACAGTGTTCTCGCCTCGCCAGTGGAATTACTCAAGATTAAAATGCAGGCTCAGTATGGAAGCGCGTCCACTGGCCAGACAAGTTATTACAAAGGTCCTATCGACTGCGTCAAGCACTTGATTCGGCAACATGGCTTCGGAAATGGGTTTTTGCTGTGGGGCATGTCGGCCACGGTGGCACGTGAAATTCCAGCATATGCCGGATTCTATGCCGGCTTCGAAACCATGAGAAGGACCCTCACTCGCGATCAACAGGAACCAGCTTCCGTTTGGCAACTTATGGCTTCAGGTGCAACGGGCGGCATAAGCTACTGGTTAGCATGTTATCCACTGGACGTCGTCAAATCTGTGGTAAGTTACTGAGTGTATCGATAAGAAATCAATGGGAAGTATCTTACGGAAAGAATTTTGTGTTGCGTACATTGCGTTTTTTCCATGTATCAGGCTCAAAACGAAGCAACGCCGCCTAAAGGCTTCTACATCATCCGTATTCTTCTTCAAATCTATGCTCGGGACGGCGTTCAAGGCTTGTTCCGTGGTATTACACCAAGTATCGTTCGAAGGTAAAAAATGCGTCACTGTTTCATTCTGCTATGTCGTACTAACATCACCGAATAATTCTTGTGCCTAATCATCCAGTATTCCAGCCGCAGCTGTAACTTTCACCACCTATGAGTTATCCATGCGCGCATTTGAATCCGCAGGCTGGGTATAGGCAGCTGTCTGTGTTGACCCCTTTGGCAGATAAGAGAAAGCCACTTATTCTTGTAGCGCAAGAGTTATCTAGTTTGTAATCGACGCTGTTATCAAGTGCTGTATATCCTGGTCATATCTTTGTATCATATCATAAGTTCATTGATACTTTTTTTATGTAAAGCAAATTTTTGTACGAGAAATAGAGTGACAAGTTCGACAGACTTTCTTCCTAACATTGAACATCCCTAACAACGAACTGATATTTTACGATTGGACAGAGATGGCCCATCCTACTTTGTACCGTGTTGTTGGCCATGAAGAGCCACAGAACACAACTGAGTAAGCCCAGAATAATTGGTATCCTGGTCCTCATGAGGTTCAGCAGCGGAAGAGGTCATTGACGAATTGGAAGAACTAGGAACGGGTGTCATGGGTTGTGGCTTGACCCATCCTTCCTGTTTGTGAGGCTCCATGCTTTTCACATCATCCGAACCCGGACCCTTTTCGGCATTCTCATTCCCACCCAAGGTTGGCGACGTCGAGGTCGGTTCTTGCTTGGTTTCTGCAAATGCGGGCTCCTCCTTATATACAATATCCGAATCATGGTGAGCTTCTGAATCGCCCGAGATACTGCGATCTCGAGTGGAGCCTGCATTCGACGAGTTTGCCATCATAGGATAAGCCATGGACGGGTACATGGGAAGATAAGCTTGCGGTATGATCTGATCCTTGGAACAGCCGTTGTATCCACCGTAAGTATGATACTGCTGACCATACTGATTGAGATGGTTTGGAATGTCAAATGGGACAGATCCAGCGTTGAAATTGAACGTATCTTCCTGCTGGGGTTCCGAAGCTGGACTCTGCTTTGTCTGTGCCTGAGAGACTGATTGCTTCTTGTCACCGGCTCCCTGTGTACCTTGCACTTTTTTATGAGCCTTCCGTTCCACGGTCGATGATAAAAGAAAATTATAAAGAGCTTTTTTGTATACCCTACCTTTTTCTGACTTGGCTTGGCGTTTATAAGGGCCGCGTTTGATGCCACGTTTACGGGGCTTTCGCACCGAGTCGACGCAGGTATCCGTAATACCATGTTTGACGCATCGAGGACAAGGTCGAGCTTCATCACATTTTTTGCACGATTTCTGGCAGTTGACTAGGCCATGCGAAACCATAATATCAGCATTCTAGGTTTAGCCATCGATCCGGCGCGCAGTGGAATGCTTACCGCAGGCGTTTTTCACTTGTTTGCGTTTGCCAGAACGTTGCGGTCCAGCATCATATCTAGACGACGTAGGAGCAATAGCTGCGGAGACGTTATCCGTTGCCATCGAAGAAGCGATGATTGCAGCTACGGAATGATCAGTGCTTGTAACTGGAAAACCTTGTTGATAGAAGCTTTGCATATTGCAGGATCGGAAAGTTTCAAGCGGAGACCCTGCCGGCAAGTGCAACCTAACTTTGACCTGATATTTAGTTCCACTGCTTGATGAAGGTTTTGCTGTGCCATCCAAATCACGCGTAACAAAGACTTAATGCAAAGCCGCATCTCTAAAGTCTGTTGACTTTGAGTCGTGATGGCTGTCAAATGCCACTGATTGCAGGTCATGGTCATTTTGACGACGTCGCAGCATGTCCAACACAGCGGACCTTCGCGGTGCTGGAAACTGACTTTTTTTTTTGTCATGAAGCACACTTCAAAAAAACAGTAATCCAGTCACCGACGTCCCTCGCTCCTTTCAACCATAATAACCATCATTAAAGGGAAAGCTGCATCTTACTTACAATTTATCTATCCGTCAACAAGTGTGTTTGGAAACTTGCAAAGCGAATAAACAAGAAAGGATTAGCTGCTGTGACGATGTTCATCGTTGGACAAAGTTAGTCTATAGCAGTCACTATGGCAGCACAAAAATTTCATTGGCTGAATTTGCCAATGAACAACCTGAATGGTTGAGAATGACCCTGCCTGTGCCTGACGGGTGTTGGGACCTTTGGTTCGATAAGTCAATTCTTCTCTTGCACCAACATAAGAATTTCTGTTTAAAGCTGAGCTCATTGTGGATTGAGCATGCTGATGGTGAACAAAAGTTTGCGTAAGCATTATAGTCCTGAAGCCATCCACTGCGGAATGCACAACTTTTGGCATATGGATATGCTTGGACTTTTTCTCGCAAAGAAAAAAGGTCTGAATTCCTCGACTATTACATAATATTTTTCAGCGATTCAATGAACATTCGCTCGGCAATAGATACACTTGTGAGGATTTATTTGCAGCAGAAAGAATTGGCTTTAATTACTTGAGATCAGATGTTCCGTTGGTGGCTTCAAATCGACCATCCATATTCTGCTTTCTTTTCAACACGACGACGCGATGCTGGATAGAAGCAATGACTAAAAAAGGAATCAGTGTCAAATAGCAACCTCAACAGCAGCATTATTTAAGGACCATAGATAAAACTTACATTTGTTGATAATGTGCTTATCATCGTCTTCAATAGTCGTGCCTTCATCAGGTTGCACAGCAAGTATCGCTTCCAACATCCATATTGCCATTTGATAATCTTGTTCGCATTCTGAAATATTTTCTCCTACGAGCTCATGTACAGCCGCGGCTCGACTCTAATCTCCATGGAAGCGGAAAAAAAATAAACATGATTGGATCAGCACTCGGTATCCGAAACAAGGTTACCCTGCCAAAAGCATCTAACGTCCACCACAATCATGCCGAATCATCTTACCGTTTCCAGAGCTCGATCATAAAGCAACTTCTCCACGCACGCACCTGTTCCGTATTGGTCGTCTTGTTCACATTTCTTTCCTGCAAAGGTTGCCCGATCTAGGCACTCGTTGAATCGATCGCGGATCCATTGCACCACGTCGTTCAGGCGAATAGATATTGGTTTCACTTGTTCCTCGGATAGTCGGCTCCAGTATTGTCGTGCTGTATCCATACCAAGCTGTAAAAGAGAAAGTGCCTTGATATGCAACACCATGGCTTCTTCAGCGATAACAGCTTCATTCATGGACCGGCCAGAAACCAGCTGTTCGAATTTTAGATCGGCAAATTTGGCGACAGCGTGAGCCATGCAGGCGGCTTTTTCAATTTGTTTCATCATGCGCTCCTCTTCAGGATCCATGCCATCCGGTGAAATTAAATTACGAGGTGATCCGCTGAAATGGCGTTGAAGTTTATTCAGGGTAGGAGGTGAATTGCTTGTACCAAACAATCGTACCGATGCCATCGACAACGCTTTGGCGAGAGCCGAGCCTGCTGAGCCGACACTGATTTTGCGTTCGCGATTATGTGCGAAAGGCGGTGTCGAGCCTAGTGAGGATGGAGACACTTGAGTCGTCTGCTCGTGGAGCCCTTTGGTTGGGATAGCAATCTGACCTAGAGACGGTCGATAATTGGCGAGTGCGCCATCTGTGTCTGCCCGAGGAGACGCATCGATTTCTGCATAGAGAAACATGGTCAGCTTTAGATTCGATTCAATAATTGGTATTATATTACCATCAGCAAATTGATTGGTCTCAATAATACGGCGATCCAAGACGACGTATTCCCGCAGAACTTCTTCTTCGGCATCGCCATCTCGTATCGGTCGTTTGATCATGGTTCCGTTTTCATGAGAATCGGCGCGTGGTCGTGATTTATGTCGTATCGGACGTCCGCGAGCATAAAGTGGCGACAAGTTTTCATCGCTTTTTTTTTTGACAACTCTACGTTAACCACTGGTATTGTCTAGTTTGTGTGCGCTGAACTCTTGTATTTACCTTGTTAGATGCGTCTTGGTGGGAGATTTCTCGTGATCTTGTTTTTGAGGGCTTCGGACAGGGCTGGATAAGGGACGGGGTTGACGCGGCGGAGAGGATGATTTGGCAAATGGTGGTGCTTCGTAAGCGGCAGCCGAGTCATGTCGTGGACGTTGACCGGAAGAGGGCGAGAGGGAATCTCGATAATGGGATAATGATCGCTGACGTGCTGGAGAAGAGAGACTAGGTGTCAGCGACAAGGTATTGATCGGAGCGATATCTTGTGTCACGGCAGGATGATTGAAAAATTCTTCAAACGTCATACGTTCGACCGGATTCTTTTTCAATAGTTTTCGAATCAGATCTTTCATGTCATCGCCGATGATAACAAGCGATCGGTTATTGGGTGAATTGGATATAGATGACAGCTTTTCATCTGGAAATCGGATGTTATCGTTGTTTTCCTGAATCTTTTTTAGTAGTTCTAGATGATTCTGAGCCCGGAAGGGCGGACGACCGGTGATCATTTCGAATAAAACAGCGCCGACACTCCACAAATCCGCTTTTGCATCATACTTTTTGTACGACAAGATTTCAGGACCCATATACAGCGGCGATCCGCATAAAGTATCTGCTAAACTTGCGTTGGGCAAAAACCGGGCGAATCCGAAATCGGCTACTTTTAGAACGGGAATATCTGCATTTGCCACATCATGGTGACCAGATTCTTCTGGTGGGATCAGCAACAGATTCTATCCAACATATCAATGCATATCAGTCAACGAAGCATAGCCGCTGCAGGGCCAATTTTTACCTGTGGTTTGATATCTCGATGAACAAGATTTTTGGAACGTAAAAACTCCAGTGCAGAAGCTGTTATGGATGGGAACGATGTAAAAAAAAAAAAAAAAGAAAAGGAAAAAGACAAATGAGATAACATGACGGTAAAAATGAGCATCATGCATGATCCTACCAAGCTGCTTCAGAAAATGGCGTACGACTCTTTCAGGCATTCCGCCTCCTGGTCCTCTTGATGATTTTGACGTCCTCGTCCGTTTAATGTATTGAGATAAATCACCCATCGAGCAATATTCCATAACAAGGTAGATGTGTGTATTCGTTTTCTGCATGAATTAAACGGAACGATGATTGAATATACGTCAATATTTCTTTAGTTTTAAATTATTCATAGGTGCAACAAGAGCAAAAAGTCCTTACCTGGCACTCAATCAACCCCACTATATGAGGATGTCTTATAGCTCTTAGAATAGATATTTCTGATTCAAGGTTCTCCAGTAATTTTCGTGTGAGTTTGGAGCGCAGTACAGACTTGACGGCTACGGTTTGCTTTGTAGTCTATGCGCGGTTTAATATGAGATAGTGGGTTGATAAAGACTGACGAGGGTGAATGATACCTTATGCTGCGCCTTGTAAACCGTAGCAAAGGATCCTTGGCCAATCTTGGCGCCAATAATGTAATCACCGACTAGGTTCTCTTGTGCATCGGCTGGTTTATCATTCTTTTCAGTGTAAGATGATGTTGGGTTGGAATGGCTGCTCTGCAATGATGTGGGATTGGAAGACATGGCATTGATAAGTCAAGTGCTGAAAGGAACGTGACTATCTAATGACTGTGGGCTAACAGGTCCTTTTGAAAGCAGGTCATGTGAAGAGGTTTCCAGTTTGGGATAACAAGTGATTCAACAGAAGAAAACAAGCCAATAGCAGATCTTTATTCCAACCAAATTCCTCAAAAGGATCACTTGCATCATCGAGTGAAAAACTTATCTCACGGTTTAAACGTGATATGCTTGTTTCATTGCAAATGCACAATTATTCATCACGTAAATGACTGTATGGTGGGTTCGCATACAATGCTTTACAACCGAGATAAATGACTCTATCTTTTTTCGCTTTGCATCCCTTACAGCATATTATGCGTTTGCATCGGGGAGTGAGTGTTTTGTGTCACCGACAACATGCAGCCGCAACTTGTATCCCCGACTCCCTTATTTGAGAGCGCTGTGGCAAATTGCCGGACCAGTCGTATCGAATAGAAAAAGTAGACTATCATCTATTTTTGGTTGATGATGTGAGCGAGGTGTACTAAGAGGAAAGGAGGTGCTTTGGGGTGTGGCTGCGAGAATGATTCGGACAGAGTTGTAGCGACCTGTCAATTGGCTGGTGGTTCCTTGGCGATTTCTTTGTACAACCTCTCATACAGCACACAAAATACCAAAGGCTTCTCAACAATTCAAGCATTCTGGAAAGCTCGCAAACAGCTTGTTGACTTTGCAAATCTTCTTTTAAAAGAAGCCATTTATTGTGTTTTCGGCTGCCCTATGTATTTTATTGGGATCGATATGGAAGAAAGATTTTCATCCCCGAATGTGATGGGCCAAATAATACGACTCCAAGCGTATTCCCCGCAATGTCACTTGTCAACGACTCTAATAAATTGTTCACTGTATCTTGCAGGTATGAGATTACTGTACTTGACAACTTTTCTTATTTAGGATGACCCAATATGCCAAATCAAGAATATGCCACGACAGTCTTGGCAAAAGTGCGTGGTCAGACCAGCCTGGCCGGAGATGGTAACATAACTGTCTTGCAAGCAGTACAGATCGAGGAGAAATCCAACCTAAAGGGTTGATGGGTATTTCATGATTTTATACCGTTCCCAGTAGGTAAGAATCGGACGATCGAGTCCTTGATGATCCCAATCAGTTGCACAAGCCGGTGCTTGTACTCCTGGCCAACAGGATGTAGCCTTTTTGGAACCTTTTTTGTTGTTTTCAGAAAGCGCATCTCGTATCTATTGCCAAACGTTCATCGACTCATCTAGATAGATGTACTTTCCGAGCGTCATTGCTTCTATGCGATTATCGTTATATGCCCTGAGGAATCTCTCATCTGCTGAAAAGACTCTCCGAGCTCCCTACTTGATCGTATCAAGTGACAGCTCATACAGAAATGTTGTGTTATCTTTTTCTTGCGGATCGGGCATATCGAACGCGCGGAATCGGGTCCAAAAGGTTCCAGTCACTTAATACAATATTGTATCCACCACGAGAAATCAATGCTGTAAAAGAAAAATCCTCGCATATCAAAAGACCTCAGAATCCTTTCCGATTTGCAAAGGGAACCGTGGTCATAATTGGGTGAAGAGCAAGACCCATCTCAAGTACTCTTTCATGCAAAGTTCTTACCACTAACGCTCAACCGTTGATGCGTGATGCTTGATAGACGTTATTACCGATTAGCGAAGTCGGTTCAAGCACAAGAACAAAGAATACTGGGCTATGAATCACTTAAGCCTATCAGCAAGACGAAGCTGAGGAATTGAAAGGATTGATTGTGGCGTCGCAGAATTTTGCGGCACGGAGCTTCCGGCGAATCAAATTGCGCTTTTCCAGTGTAATCAGCTGCGTAGACTCGTCGAGTCTTCTTGACAGGCGAGGATCGTTGACAAAAATGCCTCTAGCAAGGGTGATCATAATCTGGGGGTGAGTCCACCCAGAATGACTTTATACCATTATTTCATTTCCCAGTGGTGAGAGCTGTACAGGTACGCATGAACCAGGCACACTGCAGTCGACGGGTTCTCAAAGGCGTGGGCTGGCTTCAATAGTTTAAAAACCGGCCGCAACTCGAGACTGTTTTGCGCAAGTGAGGAGCATGATTGGTTATGGGGAAGATATCGATCTTGATTAGCTTGACAACTTAAAACAAGCAAAAAAGATAAAAACGTGACCGGAATTCAACGTCAGGGGCAATTGCCTGCACAAATTAATTTCTGAAAAGGGTATTGTATAGCCATGTTTCAAGATATAGGCTAGAAGTAAAAGGAGGATCATTAAACATATCAACAGAAACAGCGTGCTCACCGACAGAGTGACTTGCACACGTCAATAGGGTACCATATAAATAAGAATGTTTGCATGAGGTTGCATGTTAGTCCATTTCGGGCTAAATGCACATAGAGTTTGCACATAAAAAAAAATTAAAACATCTTTGCTTATGTCATAAAACATTTTTTTAGAAAAATTTTCGAACTTACCACCCAAGGCCAAGCTCTTTCGAAAGGCTCGTTGATAGTTCCTTACTATCTAGCAGCAGCTACATTGCCATCAACAAAAAGTTAGATTAGCTATTGATACATCATAATGGTAACTTTATATATTACCTAAAAATGCATGCTGGTTTTTTTTGGAAAGGAGTTCGTACTAGCTCTGGGGTCACAGTCTAATCCGCTACTTCTTTTGTTGATAGTGAATAAATCCTAGCAAACTAATGTGGGCCAGCTTCTTTCTACCTGCAAATAATGCAGAACTTACCAAGCACAAAGGCTTTTCTCCTTTATAGCCGGCTCTGTACAGTGTTTGTGGCCTAATCAGGCGTTCCTTATCTGCGCCACGTTCAAAGCGTTCCCAGAGAAACCGACAAGAAGTTGCGCTTTGGTCTGGATATACGTTGCGGTCTGGATATACGGTGTGGTCTTCGTGTGAAAATTCTTTCGTGTTTGTGATGAGAAGGATGGAAAGGTTGAGAAAGAGAGAAAGAAGAAAGATGAGATGTGAAGACGAAGAGGGACAAATTGTACGTGTATTTATACAAACAAGAGACATATCGAATGGTGGCAAAATCAATAGGTCAACAAATGTGAAAAAATTCGGTCTCACCGTATTCTTTGTCACAAAAATAGTTTTATAACAATGTCTCCATTGGAACATCCAGTAGCTGCATGCATCATAAACGGATGCTTGTAGTTCCGCTTACCGGTTCGGGACATCGTTACAGCATTCATCAAAAAAAAAAAAATGGACTGGTTTTGAGCAGCTTGGCGTCTTAAATGTAGTCATCGTAAAAACAAATATAATGAACTGATTTCGGTCAGTTTCTTAAAAGGTAGTGACTTGGCAATTCGAATAACAATGAGTTTCGGAAATGTTGACCGAATCCACCAAAAATAAATGATGAAATGAGTTTTCAATAACTTCCGGTATTTTGATTGCAAGTCACCATAAAAAGGGGGTGGTGACTTGGGGTTCAGTAAGATAACAATGAATTTTGGACATCTTTGATCTGCATTCACAAAAAGAAAATTTGAGCATCTTCTGGCATCTTGATTGAAGGCGCCACAAAACAAATATGTTGAATGGGTTTTGAATGGCTTCTGTTATCATAATTTGAAGTCACCACAAAACAAAAAATGATGGGATGGTTTTGAACAACTTTCGGATCTTAATTGCTGATCATCACTAAAGGGGTAGTGACTTGAGGTCCAAGATAACAATGAGTTTCGGAGATCTTGGTCACATTCATCCAAAAAGAAGGGGTAATGACTTGGAGTTCGCGATAACAATGAGTTTGGACACTTTAGTTGCATTCACCAAAAAAAAAAAAAAAATATTGGAATAGTTCTCAGCAGCTTTCGGCATGTTGTTTGAGACGAGAAATGCAAATAAGACGGAGTTTTTTAGCGAACAGAAATTGAAGCGCTGGCGCAAAGAGGATGCCACATCGGAAGTCGGAGCGGGACCAACCAGGATTATGTCGTATCCGACATGATCTCATACAAACTGGGTCATCATTGTATAAAAACTAGAGCAAATGTAAACCTCATCATTGTTCCTATCTTCGATTTTCCGTTCTAAAAATAAAATATACAAGAGTCCCATTGACACTTTCCCGTATTTTTGGGTTCTCAATGTCATTTCGTTGGTTCAAATCAGGAAAAGATTACTGATGCTTGCATAACGATGAAATAACGCTATGACGAGTAAAATATCCATACCAGGAACAATTTCCCTCAGAGCTCCATGGTACAAAAAACATGTTCACAATGGAAAATTTTTTGCTTACTATAAATACTTTCCTGATTTCCTACAGTTGACCTTATTGCGTTTTTAATCATTGATATTCCAAAGTCTTTTAACACCTGTAACTGAATATGCGTCGAACAGCCTCTCCCCTCTCCCAGATGAACCTGTTCGAAGAAGACCACGTCGTGTCCGTCGGCTATTTCAAGAAGGTGAGGGTAGAATGTCCCACTTCGCTCGTGAATGCAAATTTGCCACTCTGCTGCGCCCTGAGTTCCGGTACCTGAAAGATCGAATTCGTACCATGGCCGAAGTCTTTGCCGTTGCTCGTCAGGGTGCATTAAACCTGGCTAATCTGCATTGTCATCGATGGGTGGAAGGTCAATTTGCAGAATGTCCTCCAATGCATAATCCAGTCTTTTGGTCCCGGGCGTTGAAGATGGTGATGACCAATGTCCACGAAGTCGCCCTGTGAGTACACTGAACTATACAATTGAAACCTGTACGGTTACTCAATGATAACTCTATCCTATCAATGTAGCCAAATTAAGGCTGAGAGCACCAATTAAATGCGACGTTTGCCAACCACTTTAGACCAGCAACGATCGATTCTAACTCTGGTCAAAGTCAGTAATGAGTTTTGTTTTATCGCTGTTATATATGTATTTTTACTGACCATACTGTATCATATTTATATCAGATTTGTACCAGTTCCCTGCGTTGACGTCTTCATTCGTCCTTGTTGCCGATTTCTTTTGCCACACAGCTACTATGAGTAAGTAAATCGAATTTTTAAGTCAAATCAGAGAACCAGCAATATTCATGATTGTATTTTCAAGAAGCTGTCGAACATTTATCCCGAAACTTACGGGGTAACATGGTGCATGTATGGTCGGCTTTTTTCCTTGGACTACGCAATGCCGGCCATAACCTCCCAGCAGGACCAAAGAAGCTTGGTATGTTTGCAATACATTGTATATTGGATCATTTTATCTGATTTACACTTCGAAAACTTTAGCAAATGCAATGGTGAAGAAGATTCAACAACGGCAACATGTTGACGCCGTCGACTTCTCCAACTTCCAAGTGGTCACAACGCCCGAAGTTCAGCTCATGTACAGCTATGAGAATATATACAGCCATCAGTATGCAGTTTTTGACATAGGCGTTAAAACGCACTTTGATGCATACTGTTTCCTCTTTTAGGACGAAGATGTTCCGATTCCGTGGGGATCGCCGACGTCGACGCTGGTGTTTGAATGATGAGGGGCAAGTCCTTCATCATACCTCCGCATGTCCAGATAGCCGACAAGTTCGTGAGTACTTTTATATTTTGTTACATCAGGCTTTTACTCTTACTGATGAAGTGGTATTTTTAAAGCGGCGAACGATTATCGCACCAATGTGTATCCCATTCGGCAATGCCCTCAATGCGAGTCAGGGCAAGACGAACCGAGAAAACTTGTAAGTGCAACAATATAATCTGCCTCATTCACACAGTTTCAAATTAAACTTTTTTTTCTATAGCTTTGGAACCGCGATGTCAATGCTGACCGCAACATGCGCCGTATATTAGAGGCCTACATGGCAGCTGACTGCCAGCTCGACTCCATACCGGAAGCCCTCCGTCGAGCATAAGTGCGCAGCTTTTGTTTGTAACTTCCTTTATTCGGTGGAAACAGTCAGGCCCTCGGGTGGACCGGCAACAATTCCCTTTTACTTCTTACTCCCGTCACACTATTCTCTTTTTTTTATGAAACCTTTCATTTTTTAAATTGCTTTATGCGGTGGAAACAGTCAGGCCTTTACGCTAGACTGGCAACAATTCCGTTTTGCTTCTTTTACCCTATACTATTTGTGATACATTACAACAAATCATGTTTTCCATCTATATACATTAAACCTTCAAAGTCGTTCATGATTAAATATATATTATGAAGGAACTTGGATACATATGATACAGCTCGTAATCTGCACTAGTGTACTATCGTCAGTCTTGCCGACACACTACAGTAATGGTGCGATCGCGCTTAATATCATCCCACCCTTCGATGAGAAGGCAATCGATACAGAAAATGGAAACATTAATAATTTGCTTGCTTCATATTGACGAGAGATTGCCCAAAAGGCCTACAACATTAGGCGAATGGCCAACGCATTGGAGGACGTTAGTCAAATACACAAGTTAAGTAACCCAATCACTCGGTCGCATTCATCGCTACAAAAAAAAAAAAATTGACTTTTTTTGCTTAATTCTCCACTGAAAAACGTAAGTCATGGATAAGTTAATGAATGGCAAGGGCTTGGGACCTTATTATACTGCATCTTATTGTAATAGATTAAAAAAAAAGCAGGCGATCTCAAGGAGAAGAGAACTCATCAGCAAAGTGAATACCCAACGACCGGTAGTCACTTGAACGTAGTGCATTCATCCATCAGTCGCAAGTCAAGTCAATCTCTCGGGTGTTTATCCTGAACAGATGGAAACTGTGGAATTCAGGCGATCGCACATAGCGCTAAAGGCAATGGACAGTGTTGGCAGCTGGTCAAACCAGATATGCTGCGCCATCTGAAGGATTAACTGGATTTCTATCTCAGTATTCTCGGCAAGGACGCTTACCAAAAACTTTCTACAACATTGAACAGCACTGATGCACCTCAACGCCTTCAAGCTTTATGGTTTATGATTCCTTACTGTGCTTTAATTGCATGCAACACTTACAACATTGCTATGCCACTTATAGTGAGCAGCAAAGCATCTTGTTTGTACCATTTTTCTCTCTTCCTTCATCCGTTCATCCGATTATCCTTCAGCTCACGTCAAGTCATTTTTATCTGGTGACTATAAAACCAAGACACAGAATCAAGCTCCTGCCACTATTCGTCGCTCAGAAGATATATGTAAAAGGTTCTATGATCTAACCGATCATAAGCTTCTTTCATGCAATTTGTAACTATTGCCCACTAAAATTGATCTCTAACTTAATGTCAAATATCAGAGCTGTTTTTGAGAATAAAATAATTCAAGGCAATACTGTTACTGTCGAGTCTCATTTATGTGCATAAAAAGTCGCAAATGCACATAAGCTACGTCACTAAAAAAAAATGAAATTTAAGTGATGGCACTTAAATTCAATTTAACAGTCCCCATTATGTGCATCTCCGTCTGCATTTAGCAAAACCGCCATTTGGCCGCAGACTCCGATGTGAGAGATTCCAGGATGAGCCGTGTGACGTGCTTTTTCCACTTCGTCCAAATCCAATTTGACGAAAAAAGGCCAAGGCGCGTACATCAAATTTTTGCTCTTGGGGGTCGTTTCCACTTTGACTGTATCCGTAATGAAACGTTCTCATACCGGTGATACCATCGACAGTCGTCATGTGAAAGCTAGAGCAAGCTATGACAGTCCTATGGAGGTCTCCAGCAACACCGCTTCACCGGCATGGTCGTCCGTATCCGCTTCACCAGCCCATCGATACCCTCCTCGAAATTCTCGCCCCTTTTTCGGGTGCTCTCGAATTACTGATTATGAATTCGAAGACAAGCTAGGCGAAGGAACTTTTGGGTAAGTATGCAAGGAAGTAATGCAAGAATGTTTATTAATTAAGTTTTTAGTGAGGTGCACAAAGCGAGAAATCGTCATACAGGTCAATTGGTGGCTCTAAAAAGGATCCTCATGCACAACGAGAAAGACGGGGTAATTGCACAAGTGAAGCTTGACGAAACGATGGGCTGAACGCTGGTTCTTATTAGATTCCCATTACGGCAATACGTGAGATCAAGATCTTGAAGCAATTACGACATAAAAACATCGTTCCATTAACGGACATTGCGGTGGAGCGAGGTAATACCGGCCTTGCACTGATCCCTTTTACTTCTTGTTATTCAATCGAGCGGACTTGTAGGCGATTCAGCGAGGAAAGAACGAGGTAGCATTTATATGGTGTTTCCCTATATGGATCACGATCTGGCAGGCTTGCTCGACAATCCCTCTGTTCGTCTTTCCACATCCCAGATAAAGACGTATTTGAAGCAGCTGTTGGAGGGCACAGCGTATTTGCATCATGTTTGTATCACCATTCATACTCTGTACTCAAGAACACACATACTAACCGCTATTTTGTGGTACCTTTTTTGCTCACAGAATCGAATTTTGCATCGCGATATGAAGGGTAAGGCAGTGTGCCGGACGGCATAATGTGTATATTGGAAAGCGTGTTAAGCTGTCCAATCTTGTTTTCAGCTGCCAATCTCTTGATCAACAACGAAGGTATCCTCCAAATTGCGGATTTTGGTTTAGCAAGAGGCATGGAGGATGAGAATCGTGAATATACAAACTGCGTTGTGACTCGATGGTACCGTCCTCCGGAGCTCTTCTTGGGTGAACGAAGATACACAAGTGCGATTGATATGTGGGGCGTAGGGTAAGTTATTTGTTGGGAGTATAATTGTTGTCATGGCGGTGAATTGGGTGTCGGTTTGATTTACGGTTAATTTATGCATTTTCTTGCAAACTTCAAAGGTGTGTCTTCGGAGAACTCTTGAAACTACGTCCGATTCTTCAAGGACAGGACGATATGGATCAGTTGAAACGGATATTCCATCTCTGCGGATCACCGACACAGAAATCCATGCCGGGTTGGGATAAACTGCGTGATGCACATAAAGTAAAATTTGAGCCTTCTCCCAGGCGAGTGAAAGACGAATTCGCAAAGTTTGACACACATGCCGCCGATCTCATGGATAAACTTTTGGTCCTGGATCCTCATAAACGCTTGACAGCTTTGGAAGCTCTGGAGCATGATTACTTTTATTCCAAACCATTACCGGCCGATCCAGCAGAGTAAGTTGCTTAAAGGGATGGTTTAGCTAAGACACTTTGAGTAGGCTAACGGTGGATGGTTTGTCTAGTTTACCTAAATATGATGCCTCCCATGAGTATGATCGTCGACGAAACAAGCAACACGACCATCACAGCTCGCGCTTCAAATCGAACAAAATGCCTTCTAGAGCCTAAGTGTCCTCATTACAATCCGCACTCACGTTCCCCTTTCACATATGTACACACATATACATATATGCCGCAACCTTGTTTTTGTTTGTTTCTGTCGATATGATCTCAGCCATTATTGCGACGAGACAAGCCATCCGCCTCCTTCAAGTGATACGTGGATTTTTGACAGATAAAAAGCTATGTACTAACGTTTAATGCCATTTTTTTTATCATCCGTAGAACATTCTATTTTTACAAAATGCATGTGTTATCAATTATTTTCTGAATACAAACGTATCCTCATGAAAACTATCTTCTTTTTTCAATCGACGAAAAATGGTTTCCATGAAAAATGATTTCGATGAAAAAGAAAAAAAAAGAAAAAATTAGGCATCAACCGAAAACGAATACGACCTAGAGACTAGCTCTGGGTGTTGTCATTCATTCATGGATAACAAGCTTCGATTAAAGTAGATGAAGCGTCCCTGGTATGCTCAATAACGCCTGCTACTGAGATTGCAATAGCCAACATAAAATCCAGCGCATTGCATAGGTGTGCTCCGATTTTTTCCTTCAAATACGCAACGTGCATGAACACTCATGACACTACTATGCGATAACAACCGAGCGAACACAGCAATTGATGGCTTGTTATTTATTGCTTTCGTTACGTCGGACCAATTCTAATCATATTGGCCATTGTAGCCACAAAAAGTTACCACGCTTAGCAAGACATTCAAACTCCCGATATATTCCCTTTTTAAAACTTTTAATAAGCAGCAGTATATAAATCTTCTATTATGCACAGCACAGTATAGTGAAATTCGCTTTCAAGATCCATTTACTCGATCTTGGCGAGGATTTCGGAGTCACGGAACAAGAGGTATTCCTAAATTGAGGCTATTAGAACCATGGCAACCAACCGTACCTGATCAAATCAATAAGGCTTACCTCGCCTGCAACCTTGACAGAGCTACCACCGAAAGGAGGAAGGATGACCTTGTCACCCTGGGCAACTTGCAAAGGAATGTGGCCACCTTCCTTGTTAAGAGCACCCTTGCCAACAGCAACGACAACACCCTCATTCAAGGTTTCCTGAGCCTTCTCGGGGATGAAAATACCAGTGGCGGTTTTCTAACATTTGCAAAGCCAATGAGTTACGGCTCACGCAATGGCGTCCGCAGTTGGTTGTCTGTTCTTACCTCTTGAGCCTTGATGCGCTGGACCAAGACGCGATCGAGAAGAGGGACAATGTTCTTGAGCTTAGTGGCGGTAGACTGTAGCGGGAAAGTCTATGATAAGTAAATGCATCAAAATGAAGAAACAGCTAAATCTAAAACTTACCATATTAAAAGACGAAGGGTAAGAAAGTTTAAAGAAGTACGTCGAACCGCAACTCGGGTGGGAATTTTATTTTGACTGGGGACAGTTTTCCAGCGGTTTCTATGTGTGACTGCTTTCAAGGTGAGCTCGAGGTGAGAGAAGATGGCTGGGTTCAATTAATGTGGAGTGGGCCTTCAAAAGTGTAACTTCTTTGTAGCGCCTCGCTGTATATATCTAATGCAGGTTCAACGATAAGGTCTATGCTTTCTCTTTTATAGCCGCTTGGTATAGAACAGCTAGTTAACTTTTATAAAACAGCGTGTATTTGAGGGATAAATACTTGTGTAATCGTAAAGGCATCTGTCAGACATATCTCAAGGAAGTTTCTAGATGATTTGTTGAATGCACAACTTCAAAAATATCAACGCACACTGGAATCACACAATACTTTGCACACAAAAATTAGCTTTCAAGTAATCCATTGCAGTTGCGAATAATGATAATATGGATTATCCTCTGAAAAAAGGGCCTTATCCTTTTTTTCCTTGTTGCATACAACGTACAATTTTAATTCCTACACACTGTGCTGCGTTTGAAAATGCATGCACCCGATTGGTGAAGCGCTTAATAATAATGGTTAAGCACAACGGAAAAAAAAAAAAAGGAAACAGGTTGGACTACGGTGCCTGCTCCTCCTATTGGCAGGATAATTTCGATTCGTTATCGCCTTTTCTGGGCATTTCATGCAAGGGATAACTACGTGCAGCAAAATTTTAAGTTTCTAGATCATCCTGCCGGTTCATTAACTCGGTGCTCCGACTTCCACGTACGAAAAAAGAAAAAAGAAACAGCTTGCGTTCAGCGACCATCTTGTAAAACATCACAAATCCCCAATAACAATGGGACTGCATCATTCTTCTGCTTTAAACTCTGCTTCATTAACGTAATATATTTTAAATCGAGCATTCATTTGTTTATGAAGCGGCTCCGCGATGTATCGTCCAGTTAGACTTGATCTATCATCTGACAGAAAAGTCTCCTTGTTCGGGGAGACAACGGGGAACTCAAAAATTTTTTTGGCTCTTGCACTTTTTCCCTTGCGCCCTTGTCATCCTTCAGTCAGCCAACAAATCAAATGACGTTAATTAACGGCCTGTTAGGAATAATGAGGTGCATCGTGATCCACAGCCGTTGCCGACGCCTTTTTGCATTATTCCTGTAGACCAACTTGGACCACCTGCTAAGCCACCGATTCTGCGGGTCCGTCCAAAGCAAAAAATCCAAATTGTTGTTCTTGTAACGAAGAAATGAGAACACTTGCACCATACTAAAAACCTGATGTGCCAACTACATTATGATTTGAGTTTCAATAAAAACTAGCTTACTCAAAAGATAATGATAGTCCTCCGAACGATGTTTTTTGTTTATTTCAATCGATCCACCTTTGGCATGCGTTTTAAATTGAATACAGTAAGCAAGCTGCTAGAATGTTTTATACAACATAGTGTAGAGTACAAGTAGAAAGGATAACTTATTTCAGAGCGGCCACTTGAATTTCGGGAACGGCGTGATTAAAGACGATGTAGTTATTTTTGATAAAAGTGTCGCCTAGAATAGCAAACGGCAGACCAGCATAACCAAAACCAGCGACACACTGACTACCCTGTTTGCTGAATACCAACGAGTCCGAGGGGACCAAGAAAGCCTTGCCGCCTAGCGTGAGTGAAAGCGGTTTTAAGCTGGACGTGTTGCAGGAAATCATAAAGGTGCCATCTCCGTTATCTTTGGCCTTGTAAGCAGCAGCAACCGTTTTGGCCACTTTGTCGGTGAACAATAAGAGCGTGGTGCCTGTGTCGACAATAGCATCGAATCCAGCAATCTTCTTGGTGCCAACAGTTGCAGAGTCAATTTTGATACCCCAATAGCCATTCGAATTGTCTACTTTGACGGTGTGTAGATCGCCGGTGAAGCGGTTCTGATCGTACTCGCCGAACCGAAATTCTAAGCATTACTCCGATAAATGGTTTGCTGCATATCAAGTTGGTTTTTCTTATCCAACTTACCACCGCCACCTTTTTCGGTATGTTTGCCGAGATAGACACCGAAAATGGGCTTGCTGATCAGTTTTTGGGAGATTAAATTATCCATGGGGGTTTTCACACCGCGGACGGTGGTGATGGAATTAAAACCAAGGCCTAAAAGGCCGTCTACTGGATCGGTCTGGAATGTATCAGATTCGGTCGTAGCCAGTTCGATGATTTGGTCCTTGATTGTCAGGTCGCCTAAGGTCACGGTGTCTTTTCCGCAAATGCCGCTGGCCTTGGAACCGTCACCATAGGAAATGGACCATTTACGTCCGTCCTTTTTGTAGGTTTCGGATTTATTGGGATCAAACTTGGTTTGCTTAGATGCGCAATTATGACACAACGTGGAAGCTAACCGGATATTGCGAGATAACAAAAAATTCCATCGAGATAAGGCATCCCGTTCAAGGAACCGATGAAGAAATTAAAAATTACTTACCAAACCAAAGATCCGATGAGCCGGTATCAAAATTTAATAGCAACTTTTGAGGAGGGGTGCCGACTTCGACGGTACCAAAGTATTCCACGTCGGTATGATAATCGGTCATGGGAACTGAAGTGGTGCCTGAGGACATGGCTGAAATCCCGCCGAGATACTTTGAGTATTTCGCCTGCACACGAAGTACACTGGCCGTAGCATTCTGCTTATAATGCGGATTACGCACCAAAGGAAACTTGAGACTCTCAGTGTCCTGCATGGGGGCAGCCGAGGAGAACTGGACAGCGGCTATAAGAGCAGCGACACAGAAACTGAGTTTCATGACAGTTTTGAAAAAGGAGAAATAATTAAAAAAGAGAAAGGAACTGGAAGGGGTTTGTCTATGAATAAGATCCGACTTGTAGTTTTGTTGGCGAAAAAAAAACAGAACAGCCAGACGAAAAAACAAGTAGAAAGATGATCAACAAAAAGGAAAGAAAGACAAAAAGACAAAGGGAAATGAATGAAAATTGAGCCGAAATAAGAACCTTCATTTATATCTCCAGAAAGTTATCCGATCTGAGTAATGATTGTTTGTGTACCCTCAAGAAGTTCATTTACAAGGCGAGAATCAGCGAATTGATCTGCTTGGAAAGAATTTCGAATGCCATGATTGGCGCCATAGCAACAGGTTTAACTTTAAATAATGACAGTTAAAAATGGTTATATATTTATAAAATTGAGCAATTAAAGAGACGACGAAAAAAAAAGGCCAAGTCTATTAGAGATAAAGTAAATGTATTGACGATCTATTCCCTTTTAGCAGAAAGAGAGGTTTGTGGCACCTTGGCAATACGGTCAAGTATAAATGCAGGTACAACATGGCTAACTGAGTTTGGCGCCACCGACACATGGTTAGTTTTTCATATCCCTGTAATCCAAACGATACTGCTCTTCCATTGATGGGATGCACAGGTATCGTCACCCAACAAAAAAAACTTTGTTACTGTTTGCACCTAACTTAGACTCATATTTTTATTTTTCGCTCACTGCATGGTCCGGTTCCCGGAACTTCCGGGCTCCCCGTTACGTCGACATGAGAACTTTTTTTTTTTCTCTTTTTTCCTTTCTTTTTCCCTGTTTAGCGTTCTATGATTGGATTGCAAATTTCAATCCCGACACCAAAATTTTTTTTTTCTTGTGTTGTTTTTTTTCTTCAACAAAGACTTGACAGCGGGAGAAATCTTTTTTTTTTCACTCCCTCTCTCTCTCTTTCTCTCTTTTTTTCCCTGGCTTTTTTTTTCCCTTGGGGCTTGTTAAAAAAACCACAAAAAAAAACTTAAAAACATTAAAAAAACCCTTATTTTTTTATAATGTCTTCTCCAGTCGTCAACCCCACACCTGCCGAAGCCGCCGCCGCTGCCACGGAACAGCCTCAGCAGCAGCAACAGCCTCAGCAGCAGCAACAGCAGCAGCCTTTGCCTCAGGAGTCTATTGTCGCCGCCCCAGCTCCTCCTTCTGCTTCGTTGTATGTCGGCGAACTTGATCCCTCGGTTACTGAGGCCATGTTATTCGAGATGTTCAACTTGATCGGTCCCGTTGCATCCATCCGTGTGTGCAGAGATGCGGTTACTCGTCGTAGTTTGGGATACGCTTATGTCAACTTCCACAATGTGGTTGATGGCGAGCGTGCTATGGAGTCTCTCAACTACACCCTTATTAAGGGTAAGCCCTGCCGTATCATGTGGTCTCAGCGTGATCCTTCTTTGCGCAAGACTGGCAGCGGTAACGTCTTCATCAAGAACCTTGATGCCTCCATCGATAACAAGGCTCTTCACGATACCTTCTCTGCTTTCGGAAACATCCTTTCCTGCAAGATCGCCATGGATGAAAGCGGTAACTCCAAGGGCTACGGTTTCGTCCACTACGAGACTGAAGGTGCCGCCGATAACGCTATCAAGCACGTCAACGGCATGTTGTTGAACGATAAGAAGGTGTAAGTGTTTATTATCTCTACTGTTTTTGGTTTCTCTTCTTTGGGGGGGTTTGTTACCTGTTTCTATGAGACGTGGGTTTGCTTGGGTGCAAGCAAAAGAAACGATGGTGATGAGATACCACGGGAATGGCATGGTATCAGGATGTGAAAAAGAAAAAAAAAAGGAACAAACTCATGATAAAATGAGAACGCCATAACGGGATGATCATGACGAATTTTTTTGGGGGACAATCCGTATACTGATATTCCAAAAATTTGGATCTTTTCTTTTTTCTTCTCTTTTGCAGTTATGTCGGTCGTCATGTCCCCAGAAAGGAACGTCAAGCCAAGATCGAGGAGTTGCGCGCCAAGTTCACCAACGTCTACGTTAAGAATTTGGATCTTGATGTCGATGATAAGGAGTTCACCGAAATGTTTGGCAAGTACGGTCCCATCACCTCTGCTGTGATCCAAAAAGACGAAGAAGGTAAATCCAAGGGCTTCGGTTTCGTCAACTACGAGAACTTTGAAGACGCTCGCAAGGCTGTCGACGATCTCCACGAGAAGGAACACAAGGGCAAGATCTTGTATGTCACCCGCGCTCAGAAGAAGACCGAACGTGAGGAAGAATTGCGCCGTCAGTACGAACAAGCCAAGCTTGAGAAACTTGCCAAGTACCAAGGTGTCAACCTCTATGTCAAGAACTTGGATGATGATATCGATGATGAGAAGCTCCGTCAGGAATTCTCTGTCTACGGTGTGATCACCAGCGCCAAGATCATGAGAGATGAACGTGGCAATTCCAAGGGTTTCGGTTTTGTTTGCTTCTCTTCGCCCGACGAAGCTACCAAGGCTGTGACTGAAATGAACGGTCGTATGATCGGCTCCAAGCCCATCTATGTCGCTCTTGCTCAGCGCAAGGAAGTCCGTCGCTCTCAGTTGGAGGCCCAGATGGCCCAACGTAACCAACTCCGCATGCAACAAGCTTTGTCCATGCCCGGTGCTCCTGGTTACATTCCCAACCCTATGTTCTATGGTCCCCCTGGTGGTTTCATTCCTCAGGGTCAGCGTGCCGTCTTCCCTCCCAACGGCATGATGCCTCGTCCTCGTTGGGCTCCCCAGCCTCAGCAAGGTCAGCCCATGCCCGGCTATCCTCAGCAACAAGGTTTTGTCAACCGTCCTCCTCGCGGCCCTCGTCCCGCTCGTGGTGGTGCTCAACCTCAGCAAGGTCGTCAGCAGCAAGGCCAGCGCAAGCCTCAGCAACAGCAAGCTGCCAAGGAGGATGAAAACACTTTGACCGCCGCCGCTTTGGCTGCTGCTCCCCCGGAGATGCAGAAGCAGATGCTTGGTGAACGTTTGTACCCCTTGATCAATGCTCAGCAGCCCGAATACGCTGGCAAGATCACCGGTATGCTTTTGGAGATGGACAACAGCGAATTGTTGAACTTGTTGGAAGATAAGGAAGCTTTGGATGCCAAGATCGCTGAAGCTATGGATGTTCTCAAGGCTCATTTGCAAACCTCAAAGGAAGAACAGAAGGACGAGCAGTAAAATAATCTTTGTTATTATTTTTCACATATCATGGATTTTTTTACATCTGTGATATTCTAAAGAATACTCGGTAGTCTTATTTCTTTTTTTTTTGTGATCATTCACCCACTAGGGAAAATAAAGGGAGATTTATATTTTAATCCATGGTGGCTTTTATGCTACGTATCTTTTTTTTTTCTTGTTCCGTTCTCACTTCTAACGGGTACCATGTTCATTCGTCATTGGGCTGTTATTGGTCGGCAAGCTCGTTGTTATTCGTCTCGTACTTTTAGTTACGAAGAAGCGACCCGTTGGCTAGGGAAATTCACCCAGGATACCATTCCCAAGGACCAGATCCAACTCGGGTTCAGCCGAAGCAGTGGTCCAGGAGGCCAAAACGTCAATAAAGGTGATTGCAGCCATCGTGATCGGGGATTCTCTCCTGTACTTTCTATTTAGTCATTGTTGCATTACTTTGTTACAGTGAACTCCAAAGCAGATCTACGCTTAGTCCTGAATAAAGCCACCTGGATACCCGAATACGCACGGGAAAAGCTAAAGGTCTGTCCTTTTCCATTACTGTTTTTTCCTTATCCATGATACTTACCTTGGGACCTTTCAGGCTTCTCACCGTTTAACAAAATCAGGTGAAATCGTATTCACATCGGATCGCACACGATCACAAGCATCCAACGTGCAAGACTGCTACCGAAAATTAATGGACACAGTTCGAGAAGCTGTCCAAGTACCGAAAGACCCCGATGCAGCCACCTTGGCCCGGGTCGCCAACCTGTAATTTTTTCGCTCCAAAAAAAGGGGATCTTACTTTATTCGAATGAACTTATTTCGCTAATCAATGAATACAACGAAAAGACAACGCGTAGAGAATCAACGACGGAAAGAACGCAAGAAAATGCAATCACAAAAAAAAAGTTCACGAAAGTTTAAAGGAGATCTATACTGACAGCAAACAGTTTGCCTGAATACCACTCGACACACTATCCAGCTCATGAGCCATGCAAGTTGAATTCAAAGATGATATCACATTTCGATCTTAACCGCAACATGCTTGTATTGACGATTCTACTGCACCTCCTTTTGGCAATTTTTACTTGCGTTGTTATCTTGATCCTTTTGCACCAGAACATACCATCCCTTTCGCCAATGCATATTGCTTTTTGGCAAAATAGGAGCTGAAAACATCGATTTTAATGGCTAGGCTATTTTGAAAAAGGATCACACATTGTATAAAAATGATACAACCATATGCCCAAGCTCGACTTGGGGCGAAGCATGTAAATCGATTATCCTGTAATTGATATTCTTCCTGCGTCTGAAAGCTTGCTTTGGTGTGCAAAAAGCAACGGGCACCGCCTGTTGTAATTTTAAAAGCATGATCGCGTGCAAATTGGCATTAGCGTGGCTTCCTCTATTCTGGCCGTGTCATGATCGATGCCATCCCCTCTTTATTAAAAAACGCTGATGATGTGTGATGTATACAGTGTGCTTTGTATTATCCACAAAATGAAAAATTACATCTACTTTAGCAATATAATGAAAGAAAACTTTCGATGTTTGTTGTTTATTCAGGTGATAGATATTACAAGAGAAGGGTAGCCCAGCCAGCCATCATGGCCAATCCACCCAAAGGTGTCACAGGGCCAAGAGCTCGGAACTGTTCACGCTTCAAGGTCAACAGGTAAATTGTACCACTGAACATGATCGTGCCACCCAAAATCAAGGGCGAGGCGGCAGGATGAATTCGTCTTACAGTGGAGGGAATAGAAGACAAGGCCAATAAAGCAACGCCGTGCATTAACTGAAATTCAGCCGCCATAGTCCAGTTCTGCGGCAGCAAGAAAAATTTCACAAATCATTTGTTATTTATCTTGTGGGTTTTCTTTTATAGTCATCTCCGTGTGTCCATGCTAGGAAAACATTGACTTACTCTAATCTTTGTCTGGTCATTGTTTACATGCTTGGCGAGACCATGTGCACCAAAGGCACCCAAAGCCAGTGCAGTAAGACCTTGCTCAATTTGTTAATATCGCGTATATTATCAAACCATCCCTCTAAATGCTGCTTACCTAGGACGCTGCCAGCTTTCCAATAAAAATTTGATGCCATTGTAATAGAGAATAGAGAATAAAGTAAGGGTCGGTGCGGCCCTTTTTTTGAGGAATTCGGTATCGGCTGATAAATTTGCCGGTTGCTTGTCTTTGGTCGCGCAGAAATCCTCACTTCAAAAAAAAAATATGTACCCAACTATTCTTTTTATTTTACACATTTTTAAATTTAACATCGTCGGGTGGTGTGTCCTGAGGGAACGGTGGAGGCGAGATTTCCTGTAGCGTGATACCGTCAGACATCTGTTTCTGAGAGCTCTGATATGATGCTGTCTATTCTTACTTACCTCATTGGGACGGTGGGTTGGCGACGTATCCGTCGAGAAAGGCCGCTTCCCGAGTAGTCTTTCCATATCTTCCTTTGTAATGACCTCTTTTTCCAGAAGCAGCTGCGCTACTTTATTAATGAGCGGTTTTTTCTCTTGCAAAAGTCGTGTCGTTCTTTGGTACGCTTCGTCAACGAGTTTGCGAACTTCAGCATCAATCATTTGGCCGGTGGTTTCCGAATACGGTTTTTGAAATTGGGGTTCTTGCTGCGATGGATCGTCAAATGATAATGGACCCACTTTGGAGCTCATTCCGTATGCAGATACTTGCGCATAGGCCATTTTGGTCACTTTTTGCAAATCATCCTGGGCCCCCGTTGTGATGGTGTCAAAGTGGAGTTCCTCGGCTACTCGTCCGCCGAGGGTCATACACATACGATCCAGCAATTGCTTTTCACTGTACAGATATTGATCCTTTGGAAGGTATTGCGCGTAACCCAAGGCGGAGGCTCCTCGGGGAATGATCGATACCTTTAGTAACGGATCCGCGTATTGAAGGAACCAGCCCGCCACAGCGTGACCTGCCTCATGATAAGCGACGGTTTTCTTTTCTTCAGGTGATAACACACGCGACTTTTTCTCTATTCCGGCAATCACGCGTTCAATGGCTTGCTCAAAATCCGGTTCCGTCACGGTATCTTTTCTATGTCGCGCTGCGATCAAGGCTGCTTCATTGCACACATTGTGGATATCGGCGCCGGCAAATCCAGGCGTTAAATTGGCCAGTTTTTCAGTCAAGGCGTCTATATCCGTCACCCCCAGTGTAATGGGTTTGAGATGCACTTTGAATATTTGTTGACGACCCTTGACATCCGGACGATCAATGGTTACACGGCGATCGAACCGTCCAGGACGTAGTAAAGCCGGATCCAGCACATCCGGACGATTAGTGCCTGCCAGGACCACCACATGCTCGCTCGTGTTGAATCCGTCCATTTCCACCAATAACTGGTTTAGCGTGCTTTCGCGCTCATCATTGCCTCCAAACTGGCCTCCTTTGCCACGCGCTTTGCCGATCGCGTCAATTTCGTCAATAAAGATAATGCATGGTGCATTTTTCTTGGCGGTGGCAAACAGATCCCGCACACGCGAAGGTCCTACGCCGACGAACATTTCCACAAATTCGGAACCACTCACACTCAAGAAGGGGACTCCCGCTTCACCGGCGGTGGCTTTCGCAAGCAATGTTTTGCCCGTACCGGGTGGACCCTATCACAGAGAAACATAAGCCATGCGAGCGGATCAATGTATTTTTTCCCAATCTCTGTTCCAACCGATAATATCGCGCCTCGAGGTATTTTTCCACCTAATCGTTCGTAAGCGGCGGGATTTTTCAGAAACTTTACAAATTCCATGATTTCCTCCTTGGCTTCGTCCGCCCCGGCCACATCTTTGAAAGAAATGCGAACTTTGCTTTCCTGATTGAATAATTTTGCTCGGCTTTTACCGATATTGAATAACCCTCCTGGGCCTTGTTGACTGGCGGCTCCAGTTGCACGTTTGGCCATGTACAAAAAGAAGCCTATCAAAAGCAGCGTAGGGGCTAGCTGGAGTATGGCATTTATGACGGAAACGTCTTGATGGTATGCTATAGGAATTCGTTCCGAACTGGGTATATTGAGTCGGTTTTGCGCTTCTTCCATATGTCGTTCAAATATATCAACAGAGCCAATTCGGAAGTAGTACTTTCGGTGCGGCGTGGTAATCACGTCGGCGGCCTCGGGTCTCAACGCAACTCGCACAGCGTTGTTATTCATTACATCCAGCTTTTGCACGAGGCCCATATCGAGCAACTTGGTTTGAAATTCTTGCCAAGTGATCTCACGATAATTTTCGTTGCGCGAGGACATGATCCACAGAACTGTGGCCAACACCACGATCGGAATCCAAGACTGATAACCAGGCGGTGGCGAAGGCCCTTTATTGCTGGTTTTGGCTTGCTGTTTTGTCGACTCGGAAGCATGACTGTGAGGCGGCGGCTTTACATTGAAAAACGACTCGAAGCCTTTAGGAATACGATGCGGGCGTTGAGGATTGGGAGGCGGTTTCGCTGTCAGTGTGCGACAAGGAACGAGTGTGGCTGGTTTGACGTGTAAGAAAGATATATGGAATAAAGGTGCTCTAGGAAGAATCGGCTTTGGTTTGAAGAGGCATTTAAAGCTCCACATAAAAAAAACGAACGTAAGAGGATCAAGGATCTATTTTTCGATTCTTTTTTTCACATGAAGAAAGGCGGAAATTTTATTGTCCATCGCTTGAATTGCCTTTTCGAGGTTCCGATTTCGACTGCTCGGTGCTGTCTTGTTATACAATGGTGGTGGCTGTCCTATTGATAGTCGCTACATGCTTGATTGGTTCCGTCTATCTGCTGATTAACTATGCATGCTCGGGTCACGCAACATTTGTGCGTAGCATGATCTTGATCAACCACGGCATTCATCAAGCTATTTGGGTGCCGTCATTACTACGTGTCTATTTATTGGGGATAGCCGAGACCGTGCTTACCGTGATTTTTAAGCGGGGCTTATTCGGAGCGCCCTCGTGGCAGTATTATCACGATAAAGTTGATACGCTCATTCACACCTATCGACAACAGCATGCAGGGATGCCAGTTCGAACCGTTATAGTCACAGGTAAACAAGGAAGCGCACTGCAGATAAGTCTTTTTGACCGGAAGCTCAGTTATTGTTACAAGGTGGTGAAACAGGTATCGGTTTTGAGATTGCTCGTGGTTTGTTAAAGGCCGGTTTCAAAGTGATTATTGGTAAAAGCATAAATCTTGAAAGATATGCCCTTATTCTTTGATTAACAATTTTTCTAGCTTCTCGTATGACGGAAGCGGGGAAGCAAGCACAAGACAAATTGGCATCTCATGGGGATGTACAGTTTATTCAAATGGATCTTTTATCATTTAAAAGCGTACATCAGTTTGTAGACCGATTGAAAGCAAAAGTCCCCAAAGGCAGCATTGATATTATGATTAGTAAGTTTGCAGGAACTTCTTTTAAAAAACACTTGATGATCTAATTTTTTTGATTGAAATTATCAGATAATGCGGGCATCATGAACACGCCTTGTGCTCTGACGGAGGATGGATATGAAGCACAATATCAAACGGTATGAAATATATGCTTTGAAAAAAGGTCTTTTGGAGGACAAAAACGCTTACGCTTTCTTGATGTATTCCATAGAACTATCTTTCGCCTGTTTTGTTGACGATGCTCGTCCTGCCGTGGATGGCTGAGGATGGTCAGATTCTGTTTGCTTCCAGTTCGACAATTTACGGCATAAATGGTATAAGCTCTCAGCGAGCCAATCAAACGTATCGATGGGATGGTCTGTCGCCTTATGCACACAGCAAACTGTGTCTGGCGCTGTTTGTCCGCACCCTTGCTTGTCAACTAGAGAAAAAACGTTGCCGCATTCATGTCCATGGTATAGCCTGATTCTTTTTTAGAGTCAACATAAGAAGGAAAAGCTAAACAAGTTTCCAATTTGCTAGCATATCATCCTGGCACCGTCTGTACGAAATTATTCGCTTATTCAAGCGTGTTCAAGTACCGCATTTTCCATCCGCTTTTTGCATTCATCATGCTTACACCAAAAGAAGGCAGTACAACACCCTTGTACCTTTGCTTATCCACTTTGTCTGACACCAATGGTCAATACTGGGCAGAAGGGGTGCCAATGAATATACCCAATGTAGCCTATGATGGTCAATCGGATATTTCCAAAGAAGAACTGGATCGCATTTTATGGAATCAAACCCTTCGAGCATGCCATCTCAATCCCCGGATATTCGATGCCTAGCTCCGATTGTCCCAGATCCCCCGATACCCAGATTGCCATGCAATATCTTGTCATAGAAAAACTAGCCATCTAATCAGCACATCTTTCAACAGAAATAGCCATCATGGATCAATGCCAATATATAAGGATTGAGTAATACTTTTTATCAGATTGTAAAATACAACAATCTACAACTGTATGCTTCTAGAACTGATTATAGATGAGAAAATAAAAAATGTCAATGCAAACAAAAGTGGGAAGAGAATTAAAATGGGAAGTATACATTCATGAAAGAAGAATAGAAAAGAAATAAAGTGAGAAAAGAGAATGGGTTGTCTAGATGATGGTCTTCTTCTCAGCCTTTTGCTTAATGGTGTCCAAGGAGATGCCGTACCAGCCGACTTCACGACCAACTTCTTCGATGGACTTGCGCTTGGTTTCGGGGATGAAGAGAAGAAGGAAAATAGCAGTCAAGAAAGCAATACCGGCAAAGATGATAAACACGTAGGGACCGCAAGCTCTCTGCAAGGTAGGGAAGATGAGACCGATGATGAAATTGCAAAGCCAGTTGACGACGAGACAAGCGGACGAAGCAGCACCGACAGCATAGGTAGGGAACACTTCAGCGGTAAGAATGAAAGGAATGATACCCAAACCAACAGCGAAGGAGGCGACGAACAACATGATACAGACGACTTGCAAGGGAGAGACGTTGAAACGAAGACCGATGGTCATCAACACGGAGAAGACGGTCATACCAATGGCGGAAATAAGCAAAAGCACCTTACGACCAAGACGATCGACCAAACCCAACGCAACAAAGGTCAACAGCACGTTCAAAGCAGCAACACCGACAGTGACATAGGGAGCGTTGTCGCCAAAGGAGTCCTGGAAAATGGAGGTGGAGTAGTACATAATGGCATTGATACCGGTCAATTGAGAAGCGCAATGGACGACGAACAATTTGAGAGTAAGACGGGCCAACACGGGAATAGTCATGACTTGGAAGAAGTTGAGGTTAACTTCGGCATCAAAAGGCTCGGCACCAGCGGGTTCATCAGCTTCCTTGGTTTCGAAACCAGCAGCGGAATCACGATCTTGGTGGGCTTCGTCAGCGGGCTTCTTGCGGTCAGCACCTCCACCCTTAGAAAGAGCCAAAACCATATCAGCGAATTCTTCCTGGATGTCACCGTTACGGAGTCTCAAAAGTTCAAGACGAGCTTCATCGATACGGTTCTGGGAAATCAACCAACGGGGAGAACGGGGACAGAAGGGTAAACAGATCATCTGAGCAATGGCGGGAACGACCGTAATGACGGTCAAGACACGCCAGCCAACCGCGGATCGGAGACCAAGAGAGATGGCTTCGATAACAAGGATACCGATGGTCATGAACAACTGCAAGAACGAACCAAGCAAACCACGCGATCTGGGAGGTGCAGTTTCAGCGATGTACATCGAAATAACGACAGTCATGAAACCACCACCAATACCAACAAAAATACGGCCGATAGCGAACATGGCCGAGTGGACCGAAGTAGACAGCAAAATAGCACCGATGAAGAAGGAAACATTGATCATAATCATAGCATCACGACGACCCCACTTGTCCGACATGGGACCAGCTAACATGGCGCCGATCAAACCGCCCACTGCGAACATACCCGTGGCAACACCCCTAAACAATTGACATCGGGTTAGCGGAGCTCCCATTTAGAATTTTTCTAACCCCGCCATTGGCATGGCGATCAGAAAAAAAAATAAAAAATCTTTTCAGCTTACCAAATCCAATCGCTCATGGGGAGACATTGGGGCAAAGGCGAGTTGGGATAATAAGTCTGAACGCCGTGAGCGACGTTGGGACAATAACGAACATTATCTCCGGGAATGTTCAAAGCCGAGGTGTTGAAACCGGAATTCAGTGTACCCAAACTTGCGATGATGGCGCAAAAGAACACGAACGGTCGTACTTTACTGTTCATTGAATCCATGGTGATTCAATATTAAACAATTAGATAATAAATAGAAAAGAATGGGAGAGGGGGAGATTGGGAAAAGAAGGGTAAACTGATTTGCGATTTGGGAAAAAGATGGGAAACTTGGATGGGAGAACAAGGGAAATGAAGCTCTATTTAAATGGCATGGTGACACCAAAATTTGTTCCGAATTTTTCAGTGGTGTGATTTGCGGTCAGTCAAAATGAAATCGGTTGAGTCTCCGCTGCCAATGACGGTCATTGGTGGCCACTTTTGGACCAGGCTCGATTCATTGGCCAGCTTGATTCAATCAATCCAAGCACCAGTAAGAAGCAAGACCTTGATCATGGAAAGAAAAACACATTCCTTCTATGGACATCATTTTCGCCTTGAAGGAAAAAAATGTTCCGTGGTCCTCGGCGTTCGCGAGGGCCTTCCTCAAACCTTTTTTTTTCTTTTTATTCTCTCCGCTTCTCTCAAGCTTTTTCGATCTGTCTTTCGCATGGCATTAAAGAAAATCGCTCATCAGATGATTAAATGGAGTTTTCCAAAAGTCCCATAGAGAAGACTTCGACAATACATGTTAATGAAAAAGGTTTTATTGAATTCATTTCAAGGTTACCGTTAGCTTCATCACCTATTTTGTTGCTTGGTTTCAGTAGTAAATCGTACCATATTTCGGAAGAGGCCGATCCCACTGTGTCGATGAGCGAATGATGAAATATGGAGTTTATCCAATCCTTACCTAAGCACTGTGAAGAAAATGTAGCCTGATCAGCGTCTCTGAGGACGGCTCAACTGAATCAGTGTTTCACTGTGCCGGTCAGGGTGCCTGAAACGATCTAATAGGTTTCTGTATAATAATGAAAAAATTTCTTGAAAAAAAAACTGGAGGTTTTCTATAATCTACAGATCCGAGATAACGGATCCTTCAAAGTAATCGTTTTTTAGAAAGACATTACTTTCCAAAAACGGATAACAACAATAAGCACTGAGAAGATGTAGTCTTCGAACTTCTCTACATATTCCATGGAGTTGGGCAATCACCTGTCAACAAGCAGGGGCTTCAAATCGCATGCACGAATTGAATAGGCGATCTTTGATTACTATTTTTGTGGCGCGGTCACACCTTTATTCGTTCGGATGATCTTTCGGTAATAGAACCCGTCTCGAATTTGATTGGCTGTGTAGCCTTGTGAAGAACCGGGAAAACTAAGCTTTCTTACCGATGTGAACCCGCATTGAGGGATTTTCCATGTTGAAAAAAGCATCCGTTTTCACATCAGAGTTGTAGGAAAGAGCATTATAATATGGTGTCATACAGTCTACCTGTACGATACAATGGAATCTACGATTTGATGTTGTGTCCATGCTGGGGCTTATGTCCATGTGTGACAAGAAAAGGAGAGGCAACACGCTTTCCGCCTTATATAAGCCTTCCCAGGCAAGGGTCTTATTTCCCGCCTTTATTCAGTCACTTTATTAGGAAACTCACACCGACGCAACTGAACAAACTGAAGAATATGGATATAACGGCTGACCCTTGTTTAACTTTTTTTCATTTTTTTATTGCGTCCGGCAGTTTGGCTTGGTTCATGAGTAAACCTGGCTTTCTCAATTCTTGCGTATGAAGCATCAAACACTTTGTTGGCAAGTCAATAAGTAAACGAAAAAAAAAAATTGGGGATCCACTTGCTGTCGCACATCAACAATCAAATCACGTCCTCATCCCGGTAATTATTTTAGCTGTAACGGGAACTATGCATGGAAACCGAACGCGAAAAATCGAATGTCTTACTTCTTAAATGTTCGCTGTATCACATCTATGATAATGAGTTGCAATTGGAGAGAGTGGAAGGAAAGTTACAAGATCTGAAAGTTGATTATCATAGAATGCGTGGCACGTTCAAACTTAAAGTACTTTCCTCTAAGTGCATTTTGAGTAACCGATTAGCCAAGCCACATATTCTGAGTCTTTTTGCAGTGAAGCGCACGAGACACCGTAATGCATGACCATGTATTTTTTCTTCAGCCGTTTACTATGTGCAGTACTGGCGTATGTGTTTATGACTCTGCTTCATTGCGTCGTTGATCTTGTCCTGTTTATGTGGAAGCGTCTAATGCTCGCTCCTTTATCCAATCGCGCCGTTGTCCAAGAGAGCACAGGATGATTTTTGAGTGTGTTCAAACTATTGTAAATAGTCAAAGCGGTGACATATTCAAAGGAAGAGTCGCACAACGTGCTAAAGTAAGACAAATGACTTATTTTCATTGTCCAAAATTATCTCTCGTCAATTATGTATCAGCTGCTGGCGCACCTTGCAGCGCCCAAGTGTTGACTTCAGCAGGTGAAGGTCAAAAGATCGAATGTGGGCAAATGTGTATTATAGCATATAGCCAACAAACTATCAGAAGAAAGAGTCGCTCGTCGATCATTTCATTCGTACGCTTTCCGTCTTTTCGCTTCCTACCGACGTTGAGCAAGTCCGGAAAGATCCCCAGGCGTTTTTATCTTTCAGAGATTCAATATGAGTCGCAGTCGCCTCAGTCACGAGCTTATTCTGATCAGCGACATATTGTACTTCATGGTTTTGGGGGCCGCTATTCTCGTCAATTAATATCTCCATGCCCGTCTGATAGAAAAATGTTGCACTCATATTGGTAAAAATTCAAGCATTGAAATGATACGTTTTGCTGTTTGCGCAGCATATGCATCACTTTATCGTAGTATCCACCCTTGCCTGGTGCCATATTAGGAGAGACGAGATTTGACGTTTTTCCATGCTCTGTAAGCTTCTCCGCTAAAGCACCGCTTGAGCTCTTCGTTTAACGTTGATCCATCACCAAGATTAGTTCCATGTTTGACTACACGTCATCTGAGACGTATAAGAGAGACTGTGTAGGGAACAAAAAATTAGGGGTCAGAATATGGCAAGGGCTGTGTTCGTCAAGTCGGCAAAGGTTGGTTACTTTTCTGGAAATGTTACACAAATAGGATCGGGATCCCCTTTTTGTTTGACGAATGGAGTTGCCCACAGTCTGGCCTATTGGGAACATGCCTGAGTCAGACAAAGTCTGACGGATGTCTTGAAGTAATTTTGGCCATCACGGGAAACGGTGAATATGATTGGCCAGTTACCTGGAACAAAAAAAAATTCGGAAACGGAACAAGTAAAGACCGGCTTCCTTTTTGCCAGGTTTCAGTCCTTTTCTTGGATATTCATATGCCGCTCGACGTATGCAGCAAAAAATGAGGGCCCCAGTCATGGCATTGAAAGAAGCGGGCTGCCAGTTAGGCAACCACAAGCAATTCAACGTATTGCGATCTATCTTCTACATTGTCTTCGAAGGTCTGAAGAAGAGGCACTCTTAGCCCCGGGATCGACAACAAGTTGATCCATAGAAACAACCGAAACTTGGTAAAGCAAGTCCGCAGGGACCGAAATATACGGACTGAAAGGAAGATCTTACCAACCGAACCTCAACGAAAATTCATCCATCTACGGTTCCAAAAACGCTGCGTAAGCAAGGCTTATGACGCAACAAGGAACGATTATTGCTCCGTTCAGAGCGAAAAAAAACAAGGCTAAAATTTGCTGAAGACATCGTTACATGTCAAAAAGATAGCATTGGATCATCCTGTTCTTCTGGGGCGACATCGACCAGCTTTTGGATTAGCTAGCGGCAGAACAGAACATATCGCCTAAAGAAGAGGTGGACGCACATTTGCAAAGCGAAACCACTAGTACACTTCTCGATTTAGTGAAATGTGCCTGGTAATGGGTTTGGACCTTACTTCGCCACTCTCATTATGTTTGACGTTGAGAGTATAAAGAAGGCTAGGTGTATGGCTTTAATCATGGTCTTTGTCCAAACTGAGTGAATCATAGCTTGCTCGCTCCTGCTGGGCCCAGTGTAGTTATTTTCTTTCCTTGCCTCCATGTGCATGCAAATAAACAATTTTGGGTACGCTTCGCCCGTTGCAAAAGAAAAACTGATACATTGTCTTTTCGATCACCATTTCAACCGGTGATATATGCCTCGTATTAGCAGACACTCATCCACATGCAACATGTAGTTAAAACCGGGTAGTGGTGTCACAACAAAGCACGGACTGCACATTGATTGTCATCTGTTTGGCTATCTTTTTTTTTATTCTTTATTATTTGAACACTGACGTTATATTAATGAACTGTTAGAAAGCGCATTGAGGGGTATGTAAGTAATATGAATGCATAGGTTCATGTGGTATGGCTTGAAGATGATGGGAAAATATACAAAAAAAATGAATGTTAAGTGCAGGAAGGATTTTTTCTTAGAACGCTGGGAATTTGGAGCGGTAAGGATCGCCGCGCACACGACCGTAAGGATGTTGAGGTTCCTTGTAGCGTTGGAAGCAGGCAGTATCACCATCGTCCTTAATATCGGGAGTATGGGGCGGTTTGGTCTTTCGGCGCAAAACTTGGTGAAAATCGATATCGGCGAACCAGGGATGGTCCTTGATATCGCGGGTGCCGTGTTCGAGATTGCCGTAACGGCGAGTCAAGTCCGGAGTCAACAGCCCCATTAAGAGGTCCTTGGCCACCGGCGAGATATCGTCAGTCCATGTAACGCGGCAATCGAGAATCTTCTCATACAGAGCGACGGGATTCTTATCGACAAAAGGTGGTGCGCCAACCAGCATCTCGTAAATAAGTACGCCTAGACTCCACCAGTCGACGGCTTTGCTGTATCCCTTGGATCGAATAATCTCTGGAGCAAGGTAATCGGGAGTGCCGCACACCGTCCAGGTCACATCATCGACACGCTTGGCAAAACCAAAGTCGGTCAGCTTAACGTGACCCTTCCCATCCAGCAGGATGTTCTCGGGCTTCAAGTCACGGTAAATGATATTCTGCGAATGAAGATATTCAAGAGCTAAAATCACTTCAGCTGCATAGAATTTTGCCACTGATTCAGAGAATTTCTAGAGAAAAAAAAATAGACTATTAGTATTCATTTTCCAAGGTGTCAAGTCCGTTTGATTATTCGGAATATTTCTTACCTTTTGTTTGCGCAAGATACGGAACAGTTCACCGCCGGGAACATAGTCCATGACCATGAACAAATGAGTGTCATCCTGGAATGCGTCCCAAAGATTCACGAGGAAAGGATGCGAGATTTCTTTCAGAATGGTGGGCTCATTATTGGTATGCTCGACCTGACGGAGGCGGACGACATCATACTTGTCAAGGGCTTTAATGGCATAATGCTTTTTATTGAATTTGGACTGAGCCAGGTGGACTCGACCAAACGATCCGGTGCCTAATGTCTCTTTCAAGATGAAGTCGTCCAAGTGCAGTTTTCGGTGAGGTCGTTTGCGGCGTACCGTGCGAGGAATGGCATTGCTGCTTTTGGTGGTAACGAGACGTGGGCGAGGAGTGTACGAGGATTTGGGATGCGCAAGAGGAGGGACTTTTTCGCTGGCCACCGAAACTGCGGTGCTGGAAGCAGGTGTAGCTGGTACCGATTCGGAGGAAGGTGTGGAAGTGACAGTATCGGTATGTTGAGTGAAATAGGACTCTTCCTCGACAGGTTGAGGAATGGGTGAAAGGGGCGAAGCGAGGGAAGGAGAGGAGGCAAGATAATCGTATTTAGACAAGGCAGAAGCAGGCGCAATATAGTCATCTTCTAAAGAAAAAAAGAGATGTTTAGATATTTTTGTAAACGGTTGTTTAGTATGCCAGAAAGGCTTACCATAACGTGATGTATTGAGCTCTGTGTCGTCTTTGGTTGGAGGATTGATTGGGGTCATCCAGCTACTGATACCCATGCCGTGACCTGAGCAAGTACCTTCATTAAGTTAGTCATTGCGTCTTGTTGAAAAAAGCATATCGTTTATTTGTAGAAGTGATCCATACCTTGAGACCAGTCACTGGCGTCGTCACTGGTGATACTGCTAGAAATACTGGGTGTCTTTGAGATGGAGGATGGCCGTGAAGAGGCGGCACTGGAAGGTTCTTTGCTCTTCCGCCGTAGAGTGAGCGTCGATCGGCGTTTACGTAGCATGTCAACTCCTTTATTCAAAAGATCCATTTTTTGTTTATAATCGTTTGTTCTAGGACAGCTTTAAACCATCACTGGGTTTTGGAGCCTTTATATAGCCTTCTGTGCTTGAAAAAAATTAAGGTGCTGTCTCGGATTGCGGAGTTGAATCTTAATGACCCTCTCTGTTTGGGTACCTTTGAGGCGGGCTACAGCGACCATTATCACATTCAATTTGTCAACTTTGATCCTCCGATGCATCTCCTTTGGCTGATCTCAACAAAGATAAGACTAAATTACGTCGTCAGAACACTGCAAACCCCGAAGCAATAAAACTTTATATCAAGAGTGGGGCGCGGTTTTTATCCATTTTTACTGTGAAGAAAAAGTAAAGAAAATGTACTATTCTAACTGTCAAATCATTTTCTATTTGTGATACAGATTTGCCACCTGCTATACTTAGGAGTCAACAGGGTCTGGTAGTGCTCATGGCAACCAAGAGCCACGTGACTATAGGTCCGCTGGCCAATCGGGTCGCCGAAACTGGCCAAATCGGGCTTTACGAACATGAAACAGAAAAAAGAGAGAGGGGAAAGGGGGTTGTCTCGCAACCCGCAAAAGAAAAAAGATCGGTATCCCGATCCATTCTTCATTATGCACTTTTTCCCTTCAAAGGTTTGCTTTCTTTCCTGCTTTCTTTTTCTTCGAGTAACCATGATGGAAGCCAAAGAGGAGTTACAAAGGCAAAGAGCACTAAAAGTCATCGGGCCATTTCATGATGACGATGAGCGAAATGAAATTTTACTTTATAAAGAAAAATGTTCATCGCAACCATATGAAAAAACTTTGTCTAGCGTGGTAAGGTCCCATACCCAAAGAAGAAGTAGCCAAAACAGGTGTTTGGGGCATCAATTGGGAAAGATGAAGGAGCTAAGATAAACAAACTCAGAACGTCCAATGGCATCATGGCCAATGGCATCTCAACTTTGGTTTTCTTTTTTTTTCAATCATGGATTTATCCAATCAAATTACATGTACTAGTCACAAGTCCCCTCATCGGACGTCGGAATTGGATGATGAGCCGGATCTGTTATTCGACGAAAAGTTTGGCGCCGCGATAGATGATAGGAGATAAGGGTGCAAGCGAAAGGGTAGGGTACACGAGAAAATGGGTGTCAATGACGCATTGTACCCAACATATTTTTTGCTCAAGAAAGGATAATAAAAGACAAAATGTATCAACCTGCCAAAAAAAGCTCAAGCTGAGGGTCTAACGAACCCCGTGAGACATCGGTGAAGATTAGCTCATCCCAGAATCGGAATTCCCTACCGGAAGAAAACTCTGGCGACGGAAAAAATGAGAGCGTACCGGACTATGGTCAAACTCGGAAACTTCGTAGATACGATAAGATATACTTCCCTCTTTTGAGTATTCTGCTATTACAGTAGCCGATGGTTGGTTTTCAGGTTGCTTGAGACAGGTTCAGAGACAGACACACACACTTCAAACTCGGCTCCCAAGGTACCCTATTAGAATAAGAGCTTTTTGCAGCAGAACATGGAATCAGCAACAAGAATAGGATGCAGTAGCACAGTTTCACAGGTGCTTTTTTCGTCGACAGTTATTTTCGTATGCACCATAACAAAAAAGCGATTTCGATAGAAAGGTAAAAGAAGGCCCTGGTACCCAACTTGAGACTATATTGAATGGGAGCCAGCATCGGATACTGCCGACTGATCATACGAGAATCCTTGTTCAATAATTGAATGAATTATTGCTCTAAATGTTACGTTATACAGTATCGAAAACGTAATGGCACCATTGCCTTCTACCACGTTTTTCTTACATGGTCCGACTTTTTTTTTCTATTATATTTTATTCAAAAGCAATGTGTGTGACTATGCTTCGACAGCATCGAGTGCATCTTTGAACATCTTGAGCAAGCGGTCTCTTTCCTCGAGGCCGACGCTCACACGTACTAAATGTCGAGGTACACCGAATTGGGCGGCCCAATCAAGTTCAGTGTAATGGGCTAAAATGGTGTAGGGACTAGCGAGAGTAAAGTTGGTGCCCAAGGAAGGACCTTTAGCACAATGCAAGTTATCGTAGAATTGAGACGCAGCGTTCTCGTGTTGCAGCACCACCGAGAAAAGTCCGCCATAGCCCCCGCCATTAACATTTTTCACCGCATCATAGTTTTCTCGACTGACAAACTTGGGATAATAAACACTTTGCACTGAAAGAAAAAAAGTGTTTCAGCATGAGTATCAATTCTATCGTTCCTTTCTCTTCGCCTCCTTCTCAAGCAATATACCTTTGGGATGATTGACCAAGAAATCACATAAAGCTTCAGCATTTTCATTGATGATATTTGATCGTGCTTTGAAGGTTCTTGAGTTGCGTTCCATGAAAATGGCATCTTCACACCATATAAGGTCCTCAAAATCAGCTTCAATGGCTGACTTTATCGAGTGGTAGTGCTTGCGATTGGGATTCAATACCATACTACAGAAATTAAAAAAAAAAAACCCCATACGTCTTATTATCGCTCATTCCTTTTTTTTTTTTTGTGAGGGACAATATCTCTTGCTCCATATTACCTGCCGCCCATGACGTTGCTGTCGCCCGAGAATACTTTGGTCAAACTACTGACGACCATATCGGCCCACTCCAAAGCTGCCACGTTGCAAAAGTTGCCAATGGTTTCGTCGACCACGATCAAAAAGTCGTATTGATCCGCTAATGCGCGGAGTCGTCTCATGTTGGGCGATTTCAGCAAGGGGTTGGACGGTAACTCACAGAATAAGGACAAGATGCGATCGCCGGATTGTAATAAAGCTTCCAACTCATCGATTTGTTGATCCTCTCCCAAACCATAAAAGTGACAGCCAGCGCCAAACTTTTGAAGGATCTTGAGCGTATCTGTGTAAGGAAAACTAGGAGAGGGAAAAAGATGGCAATGGTGCATGAGGATTTTCTCCAATTCATCTTGTGATGCAGGCGACTAAAAGGAGGTATTGGGCACAGAAAAGAAAAACCAATATTTACCCAAAACAAACGCTCTTCAGGTCCGCATTACCAATCGTCATGGCATAGCGATGTGCATGATAAATGGCGCTCATGCCGCATGGAAACAGATACACATCGTCTTCTGCAATACCTTTGATCCCACGATCGCCCTGCAAATTACGCTGTTCTTTCAGATCCGACTGTGTTGCCTTGTCCGCCAGCATATTCTCCTCCTCCGCCTCCGTAATAACGCCTGCAATGCGGCGACGCAACGCTCGTTTTGCACGGTCAGCAAACTGGATCGGCAAGTTTCGACCGTATCGTTCCTCGACATAGACCAGATGCTCAGCCTCGCAAGAATCTTCCTTTTTCGGTGTAGGCGCGGCAGAGGGTGCCGCCGATTGGTATCGTCGATTTCCCTTGGGACGCTTCAGCAAAGCTTCTTTCTCCTTTTCAATTCGCTGATTTTCATCCAAGATACGAAGGCAATATTCGGCCATGCGAGACGAAATATTATCACCGGCATGCTGCCAGTATTGCTTGGCAACCTTGAAAGCATCTTTGGGGAAAAGAAGAATGTAGGTCCGCACTGGTTGCAATTCACTGCTGGCATCGGCAGGTGTAATGTCGAATTCCGCAATACGTAAAAGGCCGGAATGGGAATGGGCAGGTTCGTAATAACGTTTCATAAAGTCACGGCATCGTTCAGCAACTTTGCGTGAAGGAAACAGCATCCCGTCCTCGGTAGGCTGGCCAAACTTGGCAAGCAAGCGAGCGCATAACTAATATTTCGATCGAAACCGAGCCAAAAGCACCCAAAAAGAAAAATTAAATACATCCAGAATCGACAGCAAGAACAGGAGAATAATAAACATTAGCCTCGCCGGCTTTGTTTACTGCTTTTTTGTTAAATGTTTTCTCTCTCTTTTACCTGTTGAATGAGGGGGTGAATAAAGAAGCGGGGATAGCCACACTCCATTTTGGCAGTAACGATGGGATTGCCTTCTTCGTAATAGATATTGTCTTGCCATTTTGGGAACATGACAGATACAGCATGAGGAGTATGAGCCGGAATTGCCGCTCCCACTTGGGTTGGCGGTTCAGGTACAACAGACATGATATAAGGGACAAAAAAAGAAGCAAAAGGACAAAAAAGAGTAGGTGGACGAATCGAAATCAATGCTGATAAAACTGGAGATGAGTCAATCTATGGAAATCAATTTGATGCGACATTGGTGACTGCGAATCTCTATGTCTTATGGAAGATCTCGATTTCCTTTTTTGATTTGCTCCGCTTCCATCCCAGTTCATGTGTGTGTGTGCACAACAACATGCTGCATGAATGTTCTGCGCCTTAGACATCACTCGCTCCAACAATAAATAAATGTGAATAACCAAGTGCGTTAAACGCAATCACAAAAAAGCAACAACAGCTACTAACGTACGCAATCGTTCATTTTCCATCTGCCTATATAAGCCTTTTACTCTGAACAAGCCGTTTTTTCTGGACTTGTTGATCGCAGTTGTATTATTTACTTCAATACTATTGCTTTTTTTTTTCGTCACTTTCCTAGTTTTCCCATTATCCCTCATTGAATGCGTCTCTATTTGGTTGTTCTCGTCTTTTTGAGATGGTGTGCGTACGTAATGGCCAAAAGCCCTCCCCCGGAGTACGTTCGATTACTAGAGCACTCTTTATTATTTTACGAAGCACAACGCTCAGGCCGCCTTCCGACTGATCAACGCGTAACATGGTAAAAAGACCCTTGTCTCATGACTTTCCACGCAATGAATTGCAAAACAAGATATGAAAAAAGAGTTACACATGATTTAACCGTGATATTAGGCGTCATGATTCTGCATTATCGGATGGCTCCGATGTGAAACTCGATCTTACAGGGGTAAATTTTGTGAACAGCTTCTTGTATTTCGGTGTATTTGCAATGCTTAAAATTCATTCAACTGTTGCTAGGGTTACTACGATGCCGGTGATTACATCAAGGTAGATAATCAAAAAGCGACATACAACATGAATGTTTTTGGTATCTAATGGACTGAATGTGTACTGGCACACGATACGATGCACATCAACAGTCAACATATCCGTTATGCTATACCTTGTTTACGCTGAGTTGGGGCGGTAAGTGCATAAAAATGATGAATGGCAGCATGCATCCATTGCTCACCTAAAATTATCCCCGCGCTTACCAGGCATCGAGTATATGGAAGGCTACAAGAAAGCCAACCAATTAAACTCTCTAAGAACCATGCTTAAATGGGTATAAACAATTAGACCGTGCTTGCTTCAATATTTGGATTTTAATTTCAACGTCTGTCAGGGCACCGATTGGCTCATCAAAGCTCATCCAGAACCCAGTGTTTTATTTGTTCAGGTGCGGCATCTTGCAATTGAAAATTGGCACGATATGTTTTTATTTACCAAAGCCCTTTTTTTCTTTTTTTTTTCCAGGTCGGCGATGCGGTGTTGGATAACAATTATTGGGGTACATACATTGAAAGAGAAAAAACCATGGTTACTTTTGCAAACATTGATTTTCAACTAACAAGCCAATTAATTACTGTTGGAAACAGGACCCGATACAACGATTCCATTACCTCGTCCTTCGTATCAAATCAATGCAACCGCTTTTGGTACCGACGCTGCGGCTGCTGCTTGTAATACTCTCAACTGCATACGGGAAAAAATGAGGCCATGCAGCTAACTCTGTGCTTGTTTTCATTAAATAGCCACAGCCTTTGCTGCTGCTTCTCTGTTTTTCAGATCCACGGGCGATTCCGACGATCAAGCATACTCCAACACTCTGCTGCAGCATGCTACACAGCTGTATAATGCGTCCATCAGCATTCAGCCTTTCAAGCAGTATCAGGAATCCGTTCCCGCCGTGAGTGACGTTTACCGAAGTTCAGGTAGGCAAATGATTTTTAATTCGTGGATTTTCACTGGGCCTTTCAACGAATTCACAATCTTAGATTACCGGGATGATCTGATTTTCGCCAGTTTATGGATGTATCGAGCTACAAACAACAATGATTATTTCCATAATGCAGAGTTGTATTATCAGAGTTTCATGTCCATGGGCCATACATTACCCACCGATTGGGATGACAAGGTAAAATCTATCTAAACACTGAATTATCTATGCTTTTGCCAACTGACATGGTCCGTCTTAGTATGGTGCCATGTACATTCTTTTTGCCGAATTGACGCTAAACCATGGTGATACTCAGCAAGCGACGGCGCGGCGGCAAGAAGCCGAGCGTTATCTCGATGGAATCGAATCTTTAAAGACTGCCAATATGACGCAAGGAGGCATGCTGTGGTGGGATTCTGTGAGGTATATCAGACATTTGTGTTTTAGAAAATTTATCAAAATGAGAAAGTCTCATAGTGAACGATGATTCTTTTTCTTTTTCTAGCAATATCAACAGCCTTGTCTGTGCCCTCAGCACGAGCAATCTCATGTTTCTGTATTCAAAAACAGTCCTCCGACCACTGGCTGCTTCGACGTCCAATGAAGTCCATATTACCAAAGCGCTTAGATACGAAGGTATGGTGGTGCTTCTTGACAATTTCTGATGGAATACGTTGGAGCTTATAAAGTCTTTTTTTCCATGCAGCGTTTGCTCAGCGACAGCTTGATTACGCGTTTGGCAAAAATCCGTCTCAGCAAAATTTCATTGTAGGCGAGCGGCCCAATTCACCCAAGAATCCTCATCACGCGGGCGCTAGTGGCACGGTGGGATTTCTTCACATCAACAGCACCACACCTTCGGCCCACATTTTATACGGCGCATTGGTCGGTGGGCCGGATCGTAACGATTCATATACGGATAATCGCACCGATTGGCGCCACAGTGAAGTGGCGCTGGATTATAACGCGCCTTATCAAAACATTTTAGCGCATCAAGCGATGTATTCTCCCGTCAATCCGTTCTATATGCCAAACGATGGTCGTTTCAATGATACGGATGTCAACCCCGATGGTACCCCGTCCTTGTTCCCCAAATCGACGTCGATGCCTGCGTGGAGTTTAGTCCTGTCTGTCGTATTGCCTGTCGGTGGCGCTTTCTTATTGGCCTTCTTTTTATGGCGACGGCACAAGGTCGGGTCTTCGGATACTGTTCACAGCGAGGAGGAAGATGATGAAAAACGTGCGTCTGTCAACTCTAATACCCCGATTCTCGAACGACCCGCTGCGTCTTACACGCAAGGTGAAAAGGGCACGACTTTCAGCATGTTTTCCAATGCACGTTCGTAATATATATTTTTGTATCATGATTCAATCCTCGAAATCCTCATCTCCTAGTACTTCCACTACTCCTTCATCACTTGATCCATCCTCCCCTTCTTCTCGCTTTGAATGTATATTCTGTGTATTATGATAGCTTGCTGATGCCTATGTAATATCAGGGTTGTAGTTTCATATTTCATACTAAAAAAATTATAATCGTTGGTCGACCGCTTACCTGTGCCTGGGCCTGTGGAGTTGCCTCATTAAAAAAGTCGTCCAAATCTTGATGCTCCGCATTTTCTAGTTTTAATGAAGCCAAGGATAGCTCGGGATTCTCGGACGATCTTGGTATATCTGGATGGGATATAGATCGTTCAATGAACGATTCGAGGATGACACGATTTTCTCACAAGAAGATACATACTTGAATAAAGAGAAGAGGTCTCAAATTCTCTACGCCTTCGGTAATCTTCCAGTTCGGCTTGGAAGGTGGCATCGTAAAGTTCCAAACGCTTCTGTGTCTGTAGTCGATTGTGTTCTTCATACGCTTCTTTTAGTCGCGCTTCTTCCACTCTTAAAGTTTTACTGCCATTCATGCAAATCCGTCAATAATGATCCTCGCAACACCTTTTTAGTTTCCCTGTTCACTTACTACTTCTCTTCCATTTTTTGGGCATGTTCAACTTCCAGCTGTTGTTTCCATTCCTCAAACTGTTGTCGCTCGTGGTTGACCGATGCAGTTCTGATATCCGACGCCAGCGCGGAGAGTTTATTTTTTAAATCGTCTGGGGAAAAAAAGGAAAGCAACGTGTGAGCCCTTTCTATGGATGAATTTAGTTTGGCAACCCTTTGTTTCCCGGTTAACCTGCTATTTCAGTCATTGTAGCCAAGTTTTGCTGTATTGAGTCCATCGTTTTCTTGGAATTATTCAGCTGTTCGCAAGTAGCGACATGTTGCTGACAAAAATCCACCAAGACACGCAATAACTGTTCTGCGTTCTGAGATAGGCCATTTAATACTGCGAGTTCGTCCCCATAGCCCCAACTCTCACAAGACTTACATCGGCCTTTCGTATGTTGTCCTGATTCCGTTCCTGGACGGCTTGCCATTTCTCCTCCAGCCTACAGTTGTTTGAATCAGTACATGGTAAAATGAAGCGGGACGCTTGTCTGTATTGCGTACGCATTTATCAGGTGGCTGGTTGCTTCCAATTCTAAAACGGATGGGTAATTGCGGGTATCGACTTGGTTTTGCGAGCTGTAAAAACGATGGCAGCATCAGTGTTTTTATTCTGTGGTGCAAACATGGTTTTAACGTACAAAGCCTCGGAACGATTGGATAGCAAAGCATTTAGATTTTGAAATTCGGATTTGAGCGCTTCAAAACTAAGAATGTCAAGAGTAAGTCCCAGCTCTCTTTTTTCATAGAGAAAGTATGCGGGCTGATGCCTACCGTTCCAAACCGCGGTTGCGCCATTCTTCTTCGTTCAACCTAAGGGCTTGCATAAGTCTTAAATGACCCCATTGGTGCTGAAGAATAAAAAAGGCTGCTTTACCCTACTGCATTGGTCAATGAGCGTATATTGAGGGAAATATTCTTGAACTGTTGAAACATGAAAAAGACCCGTGGAAACGAGAAAGAGCGACTGTGTCCTATTATGGCAATGGCCCGTCCTCATCTCCCTTTGAATTTCCGTCCTCTCTCAACGCATTTTTTTCTTTTTCAAGCTGGAATAAAAGCGTGTTTTTTTTCGTGTCTCCATTAACAAATGACAACGCAACAAATCTTTAAAGCGACCTATTCTGGCATTGCCGTGTTTGAAATGATGGTCAAAGGAGTGGCCGTGATGCGACGACGTTCCGATTCGTATTTGAATGCAACACAGATTCTCAAGGTCGCGGATTTCGACAAACCTCAACGGACGCGAATTCTAGACAGAGAAGTCCAGACGGGCGAACATGAAAAGGTGCAAGGTGGCTACGGAAAATATCAAGGTAATATCGTTTATCTGACAGTAAGAGGCTGGTTGACAGATCATAGAAAAAAAGTCTCCAACCGTGGATTTTTTTTCAGTTTGACTGAAATAATGAAATAAATACATAAAAAGGCACATGGGTTCCTCTCGACCGCGCCATCTCGTTAGCGGAACGATATAATGTAAAGCATTTGCTGCAGCCAATGTTTGAGTTTATTCAAGGCGACGATAGTCCACCGCTCGCACCCAAACATGTCACGGCTGTATCGGCTCGTCCACGGCGAACACGCGAAGGTCGTACGAGAAAAAATCCCAGCGTGTCTGCGCCTCATGAGAACGTTTGTCAACAACCGTCGCTTAGGACGCCTTCCCCGTCGACTGGATCCGAAACCAAGGAAGACCTCACGCCAAAACCCAAACGAATGAAACGAGACACGTCCGACGAGGCAACCACCGGTCATCACGCAACGTACGCCGATCAACTTATCGACTATTTCATGTCGGAAACTGCGGAATTGCCGCTATTCTTACCGCCGCATTTCGATATGAACAAAGCGATTGATGAAGAAGGGCACACCAGTCTTCATTGGGCCGCGGCTTTGGGTCACGTGGAAACGGCACGATGGTTACTGAATCAGGGTGCAGATATTTCACGGAGCAACTACAAGGGGCAGACCGCCTTGATGCGTAGTATTCTTTTTACCAACAATTACGCCAAGAAATCGTTCAAGAAACTCGTTGGGCTTTTAAAAAGTACCGTCTTTCAGGTGGATAAACGGAAGCAAACTATATTTCATCATATTGCGCTGACAGCGAGCGGGAAAGCCAAACACCACGCTTCACGGTATTATCTGGAATGTCTGATCGAACAATGGGAGGAGGAGGAGGCGGAGCCTGAATTTATAGCGCTGCTGAATGCCAAGGATATTTATGGCGACACGGCACTAAATTTGGCGTTCAGGAACGGCAATGAAATGATGGCGAGTCTATTGATAGAAGCTGGTGCCAAGCAAGACAGTAGCGATGATCAACGTACTAGTGTGTTCCAGGGACCTTGGCAACCTCGATCTTCCGGAGACAAGCGTGCAATACCTAGAGAAGAACTAGCGAGCCAAGCCGATGCGGCGTACAAACTGCTCATGTCAGAAACACGGCCACCGTCGGCGATCATGCATGTATTGGATGTATTTGCAGAAACTTATGAACGGGAACTTATTGATAACCGTCAGTTAATGCATGAAAAACGTAAACAGCTGGCATCGGCACGAAAGCGGTTGGAGACTATCGAGCGGGGGTTGGAAGACGTTCAAATAGCCCCGCAGCTGCTGACGGATCTGGAATCAAGGAAACATACACTGGAAAACCATCTACGGAAAATGATGCAGTATACCCAGAAGCAAAAGCTTAGCCAATTGATCCAAGAATATGAAGCGTCCTTGAACCTCCATTCCGTGCAGTCACTATCCATCCATTCACCACTTGAACATACCGTATTGGAGCTGAGGGAGCGACTCGGTCAACTGCAGCACGCACGGCGAGCGCTCGTGGACGAAATCATCCGTATACAATCCCAGTTACCGGGAAAACGGTACCAGGCGTACAAATGGCTGATATCGATGTGCTGCGATGTTGGCTATGAAAATGTGGATGCCATGCTGACGCCTTTGCTGTCTACTATGGAACAAAGCTCGCCGGTTCCTGGCGGATAAAGTGTGGTCTCGAATTTTTTTTGGATTTGATGACCTTGGTATTCATCGAGAACGTCAGATATCCCAAATAATTCGTGTAAATGTTTCATTTTCAATAATCAATAACCACTTCTTTACCATGGTGTGAAGTTTTCGATCATGTATCAACTCTCCCCGCTCACTCCAAGGTGGAATCTTGAGACACTTTTTTCAAATACTGGTAGAAGTAAGAAAATGGCATAAGAAGAAATCTGTATAAAGCCTAAAAATGAGTTGATCATACCAAAGCGTGGTTGAATCTTTATCCTTCCTATTTCTTTTCAAGACTGCGTAGAATTGTCATGTCATTATCAACAGTATTCTATGGGTAACATCAAGGCCTGCGAATTGATCCGTTAAATCTTGCATCAAGCGTAACTAGCATAAGGCTTCTTGTTAATTTGCTTAAGCGCCTTTTGTTCTCCAAATGGTCGTACAGTAACAACGTTTGACTAATCTCTGAGTTCGCGCCAGCCGGACAAGATTGAGTACGGAAACCTGATGTTTCGATGGTGAAAAACTTCTCACCACACGCGTCCACAGACATATCCTTGCCGATCTCTGCCAATCAAGTACATAGTCAAATCAGAAAGGAAGAGAACAACGCGAAAATTGCAATCATGACTATTAGAAATAAACAAAAAATTGATCACAACTTTAACTTTCGGTGGACATGCTTGCCCAAATAAGAAAACGAGTAAGAAATTCCATCCTTACAAGATAATCAAGCTTCTGAGAATTATTTCGCTGTCTTTGTGACACTCTGAAATGATGGTCTTTGCATATCCACAAACGCAGCATATCAAGAGCTGTTTCGATGCAATGATGAAACAGTTTGGCACTGTATGAATCATCGTTGCCCTGTTATTATATTTTGTTCAAGGGATGGACAAGTGCCGCAGTGATTGACAGACTTTTAGAAGCTCCCATCACGACCCCAGGGGTTACTGTAATGAGGTAAGACGATTGAGTATTATCACTTCTTTCTTCTATAGGTTGATTGATGCAATGCAAAAAAGAAAAAAAACCTGTTATTGACAGAACATGATTATCAGGAGAATGAATGAGACTTTTTAACATGATATGACCTTGTTGACCTGTGCCAAGTTGGGGGTTTCTTTTTTCTCTTTATCGTTGGTAAAAAAGCGATCATGGAATCACAGGATCGGACACCATGACAGATAAACCTAAAAAGGTGATGTTTCACAAAAAACGCACTCGGTCATCTCCTCATGAAACCATGCAATCGAATGTCCGATAGACAAGTAGGCACATCCTATGACTTGTTGAAAGGAAACAAAAAGGTCCAATCCTGCATAGGATGGTGCCAAGCAAAACCGGGTTCTGTCTGTCAAAAAGACGTGGGGATTCTGAGAAAACCCAAGAACACGTCAGGGTGAAAAAGTGGGAAAAATAGTTCAGTGATGGAAAATGACAAGGAGACGTGACACTGGTTGCCAAGACAATAACCTGTGAAATCGAGCATAGCGATATTGAGTCCAAAAGGACGGGTTTCATGCCTCTCGCTCACCCCACCTCATATTCTCCTCATTATGATTCTCATTGTGCGCGGAAAAAAACCATCAAACCCAATTGCCCCAGTGCCAAGACCAGGAAAAGAAAAAAAAAAAGGTTCGCAGAGCTGAGTGCATATCGTTTTGCCAAGACCTGGCCTGGCGGTAGGGCGATCCTTTTTGTCCAAATCGGGACATATCCACTAAATATTTGGAACCCCGATTTCAGGTCGTTTTGGGAGCTGTTGCATGGCTCGCCAAGAGCTGGTAAAAAAAAAAAAAAAAAAAAAAAAAAAAAAAGAATGATGATTATATATACATTGTATTACTGCATTTTTAATGCTCTTTTACTTTTTGTCTCTCTGTTATTTGAAACTATACTTGATTCTCTCTTTTTTATTTTGTTCTTACGTTGTCCTGTTGTCAGGTTTAAACAGCCATGCATTCTATCAACACATCCGTCACCAACACATCGTTACCTTCCCCTCCTACCTCGCCTGAAGTCTCCAATAGTAGCCAGAAACGTAAACGCGAAGATGACTATTTGCACACCCCTCGAAAACGACAGCAATGTACTGAACTGAATCTCCAGCATTTGCGGGCTTATCTGGAAGCGGGCGGATCTCCGAATGTCCGCGACGAACGACATCGGATTCGACTGGTCGAATGGACGTGTCGTGTGCACAGTTTGAGCGCACTGCGACTTTTGTTACTGCATAAAGTCGATCCGTACAGTGTTCTTCACTTGGCAGTCACCGTCGGATTTTTGGATGGCGTGGCAGAAGTGTGTGAACAAGGTATCAATATCAACCGCATCAACACGTTGGGCCGCACCGCCCTGCATATAGCAGCACAACACAATCGGCCAAAAATTCTTCAGTATTTACTATGCAGAGGAGCCACGCCCAGCCTACGAGATCAACACGAACACACACCTTTACAATTAGCTATCTTTAATCATCATGTGGACTGCGTGGAAGTCCTGTGCAATGTGACGAACGAGCCTGACGTGGTGAAAGACGCCGTCATGATCGGTTACGCTCCCGTCTTGCGGCTACTGTTACGAAAATACCCACTTGATCAGCACAGCCACGACGTTGATTGGTTGCAATTAGCAATTCACTGGAATCGATTGGACTGCGTGTCTGTCTTGGTTGAGGAAGAACATACAACGATTACATCAGACGCCATTTATACCGCCGTGCAGCAACGGAAACTCGATCTCGTAAGGATGCTTTGCGGTGGCAAAGGCAGTCCTTGTGTCAAAGGCCATAATCCAAGCCTGGTTTATGCAGCAAGCCACGGATTCAAAGAAATGTTACCTCTGCTACTGACGCAAGACACCAGCAAAGCGTGTCTACAACAAGCCTGGATCATGGCCGATGCGAGCATTCGACACTATCTCATTCAGCTTTTAAACACTCATCACCAGCATACCATCACCCCCAAAACAACATGAATTTTTTCTTGTCTAAAAAAGTCGCATAATCTCCCACTAAACTACCCAATAGGATGCAACGTAATACAAAAAATAAACAGACCAACGGATGGCACACATCCGATATATAATGTTTATCACGTAAAACAGAACTAGAGAGTAAAGCTTTGATCATCGAATAGGGGATAGAAAGGTTGGAAAGAGCGCAAAGGTTGGGTAAATACATAGGAGAGAAAAGGAGAGGCAACGGAGAACTGAGATGGACCTACAAAGCAAAAGCTGCAAAGAAACACTTGGCATTTTCCGATGAGGCTGCATTTAAGCTCGACAAGCTCCGAAAGCTATAGCAATCATACATATTGAATCAATAAAAAGGATGCCCACTGCCATCAAGGTGACGATGAGTACGTACCAGGGAAGCCACACACAGATGCGGCGATAAAGTAAGCAATCAACTAGCGATAACGCCCACATTGAAACATCAGCAACCGTTTAAAGATCGGTATGTAACAAGAGAAGCACTTACAAAACAAGCCAACGCAATCAAGCACATGAGTTTGGTATTCTTCCACCACATAGCTCGCTAGATTCGATAATAAAATGTTATTGGCTCCACTGGAAATATTGACAATGACACTGCTCTTTGGCTTCTTTGTTACCTTTAACTGCGTGCTGCGCTTCTTGAAAGCAAAGGCTTGTTGGTTCAAATTATCGGTTTTATCCACGAGCAAATCGATGCGTTCGCCTCTCTCCAATACTCGTTCTAACATGAATTATGGATGAGTATCACAGGAAACCTTTTTTTTTTCCAAAAGTCACCCCTTGGCGTTGCAGTGAGACGTACCAATATTGTGCACCATCACATCTTTGACTTGCTCGATTTCACCATGCACTTGCTTTAGTCTATCTGAGCTTGGATGCGCAGAGAAATATTCCTAAACAGGCGAGAATAGGGTTGGTAAGAAATGGCGACACCTGGGCTTGGTGACATTATACCATTTGTTTGGCAATGACTCGTGCAAATTCATTGAGACCGTAAGGTGGCGATTGCAATGCTCTCTCTTTTCCATAAGTCGAAAGAAATCGGTCCTTCAAATCTTGTAAAAAGGTGAATGGAATACGTCGGCCAAACTGATCGTCAGCCATACACATGTACGTCAGCCCGTCCTCGCAAATATAGTGAAACAGGTATCTATGACACACATGAGACGTAGAGTCCGCCATGACAATGGGCCAAGCTATGACTTACCTGTCGTAGACATAAGTAAGCTTAGAATTGTTGGGTGGAATCTTTTCCAGAATGGCTTGCGTTACTACACACGGAATAGATGCGGAATGGAAAGAAAAAGTTAGTTGGGGTTGGCAGAAACCAAATGGCTCAAGATGCCGATTTCGGTGGTTACCTGTGCCAAAGTTTCCGGTGCTGTTGGTATGTTCTGCCAGAATGGTAGAACCACGGGCTACCAAACCATAAATAAGCGACATGACAAACGTTTAGGTCAAGCTTTGTAGAATGAGTAAAAGAAAGTGAGTAGAAGAAAAGGAAAAAAAGTTTTGAATTTTTTTTTGGGGGAGGGGGGAGGGGAGGGAAGTCAGCCTTCCATTTTTCACTCCACGAACACTGTTCTGGCAACACGCTTTTGGTACAGCCTCTATTGCTCAATTATTGCATCTTTTTGCATCTTATGATTACTCCATGAAATAAACATCCGCTAGAAGAGTCGTATTCGTTTCTTTAATGATTTCTTGCCATCGGTCTGGAACGGCTGACATCGAACCTTTTTGCATAACACGGCTTGGGAGCCGCGGTCGTCATGAACTAAACTTGCAGCAGGTGGCCAGCTAGTAAGTCGTCTTTGTTTAAATTTTGCATGTATAGTCATAACAAAGCCTTTTTTTTCCTTCTTGTTTCGGTTATGCCATTTTTGCCTTGCAGCCGTCGACATCATCCTGAAGACCTTCATTGGCTCATGGCACGGGGCTGAAACCAAATGGAGAAATTCCGACAACATTCTCCTTGGTTTCAACTTTTGGTCGTTTTTTGACACATTCAGCTTATTCTTTTCACTGATATATTTGCATTTCGGCTCATATTTCTACACTCGGGTCGTTTGGCGATCGCCTTTTTTTCATTTGCAATGCTTTCAAGACAAGTATTCCTTCTTCTGTTGTTGCTTGCCCCATTCGTCGCTTTGGCCGATCCATCGCGACATCCGCCCCAAGGTGCGGCAGCGCACATGGTTCCCGTTCAACAACTTTCAAAGGGTCTCACATCGGAATCACCTCACGATTTCTGCCATGTTCGACCGATGCTCGGTTGGCAATGGCAATGGACAACTCAACCAGATCTGGTTTCGTACTTGCGGCAACTGTTAACACGCATAGGCGAATGGTTTCATTGGATTATTTCCCGTATTTATTCATCTTTCGATCTATTGAAGGATCTGTACACCTCACCTTCCTTTGAGTGGCACCAGTTGATGGTTTCTCTCGGTTATCGGCCGCCATTCACCACGCCGGCGTTCGTGATAGACGAACCCAAATTCTTATCGCTGCGCAGCCGGTGGCGCCAAGGCCAGTTGGACACCGTTTTTTCGTCTTACGAACAAAATTGGATCAAAATCAACATGAAAGAATGGGTGACTTATTCAGAGTGGGAGACTAAGTCCGCCTTTACGGAATGGTACGCCCAGTGTCAAAACAGCGAGGTTATCTCACGTCACGATCTCATGTACCAGTACAATCGTCTCGAAAAAAAGCTGTATCGCCGATTTTATGAATTGAATCTACTTGGAAATGACTCGCTCCGCACCATCTACAACAACCTACGTGAGGAAACCATGGCGATCAGCAAACAACGTTTTGTCCAACATCTTGATCGCCTCGACGGACTGCCCGACACGACCGATCGATTAACTTTCTGCCAGCAATGGAAAACGGCTCAACTTCATACGAACAACGCATGGACCTCTGCAATGCATGAACTGGAACAGCAAAACGTATACTTTATCCAACGTGTTATCGAATGGTTTCTCTTATTACTACGTCTTATCATGGAAATGATCCGCAATCTATTTTCACCCAGCCGATAAAAATGGCGTCTTCCCTATGTACACCCTATGTCTATATCAATTTGCATCCTTTCAATTCGCCAATCACCAATCACATGTACATATACCTCAAATCTTCGAACTACAGTCCTACAGTATTCAATGGACCATTCATGGTATCGCTTGAACTCACAGGCTTTATAAAGTTTGTTTGTAACTTCATTCGGAATAAAGAAAAAGCGCTGAAAAGCAAGACGAAATCCATCGATCCTTGATATGTTTCATCATTCTCTTCATAGTTTGAAATATTGAGATTGACGCTTATATCGGCAAGACGATATTGTATACCGGTATTACGATATTCAGATCACCTGATCTCTGGTTTAGTGTAATTTACAGTGTCACAACTGCCGATAAAACAAGGCACCTCCTACACTTGCCCTGGAAACAAAACAATAGTGATTGCGTAGTTACAGAAATTACCAAGTCGCTAGAAATATCGAAAAACCATTGCGTGAACTTCAGGATGCATAAAATCTGCTTTAAGGGCATTGATCCTTTGGCTTGAAGCATAAACAGTTTCCAAGTCTTGAAAGAACCTATAGAGCATTTGGCAGATACTCGTTCTTTGGCGGACTTTTTACACACCAATGCATTAACCTGAAGATTTTCGATCTCGATTTTCCAGCCATCTTTTTTTTTTTTTTTTTTTTTTCTGATTTCGAACTGGCCGTGAATGGCGCCAACACTGCAGTATCAACTGGGGTAGTGCATTATGACATGAGATCAATATGGCTTTATTGGCAATTCAGACCAAGCGGGGATTCTGTCCCACGTTTGAATTGAGTCGATGAAGTCATTCACTTGATGATCGTCATAAAGCATAGTTTAGCTATTTATGTGTACGCTATCGGATAGATAGATAGATACTGCCAACTTCAAGACTGGATCTTGGTTTAAACAAAATGGCGGTTTTGCCATGTTACTTATCGCATTAGCTTGAAATCGATGAAAATGATGTAAAAAGCCAAGATGCGCAAAAGCCAAGTCAAGTGTGCATCATGGGGTGGAATGAATGATCTAAATTTTCTTGATCATTTTAACAAATCGGGAAAACCAGGGATCATGTGGCATGAGAGAAAAATTTCTTGCTCTGTGACCACATGATGCCATCGAAACGGAGATTAGAGGTACATGATGTGTAGCCATTTATGGTATGTTTAAGCAGAAAAAGAAATAAACAGGCTCGTAGGAACAATTGGCTTGAAAGCAACACTATGACAAATACTGTATCTGTAAACTTGGGAATAACGGATGAAATGGAATAGAAACAAGAAAGGATCTGAGAGTAAGGGGGGGGGGGGTGTAAAAGGATGAATACAATAGTGTGTTCCTATCAACTTGGAAAAAAAAAGGTTCATGCACAGAGCAAAAGGGACGATGGATGATATCAATTTTAGATATCGCCAAACAAATCCTTCAAACCGCCTCGGAAACCGTGATGCTTTCGTCTGCGGGAATCCGATTCATCTTCGCTATCATTGAAGATCAATAGGTTGGGTGTATCTGCGGGAATCTTTTTCAGGATATTTGGGGTAGCCAACTGGAGAATCTTGTCCTTGATCTCTTTGGGGCTGGCGCCATTCTCCTCCAAGCTCAGGAAATAGGCAGCAAGACCGGCGACATGGGGCGAAGCCATGGAAGTGCCCGAAATGGTATTGGTGGCATGCTTGCTACCTCGCCAGACTGAGCGGATATTAAGACCCGGAGCAAACACATCGACACAAGGACCATAGTTGGAGAAGTACGCGCGGTCATCTTGCAAGGTGGACGCACCCACAGTGATGGCTTGTTCGGCGGCAGCAGGAGAATATCTGCAAGCATCCTCATTATCATTGCCAGCGGCGACAGCAAAGACGATGCCAGCATCGACGGCCTAACCAAACAAAAAATATTGTAAACAATGAGATGATAAGCATCGCTCCTTATTTGTTTTTGAATATCATGACATGCGACTTACGCCATTGACGAATCGATCCAAGGTAGGTGACTTGCCACCACCCAAACTCATGTTGGCCACGGAACCCTTGAAAGGCTGTCGACTCGCCTTGGCACTTTCGGAAGCCTTGATATGTTCACTGGTGGCCCAATCCACGCCTTTCACCACATCGGACATGGAACCACTGCCGTTGGATCGTAGCACCTTGACGGCCACGGGTTCGGCTTGCTTGGCCACACCGTACTGTTTGCCAGCAATCGTACCAGCGCAATGCGATCCATGTCCATTACCGTCTTCATCTGCATCACCCACAGGCACCGTCTTGCCCCATGTGGCTCGTCCTTCAAAGTCCACATGATCCACATTGATACCGGTATCAATCACATAGACCTTGATGCCTTTGCCACCATCGCTGTTGTACGAATATTTGTTATAGTCTCGGAAAGTGAGGGTTTCTCGGTGTGAGATACGAGCCAGACCCCAGGGCGCATCTCGTTGCAGTTCATTGGCATAGACCATGGAATCCTTTTCGACATAATCGACATCGTCGGATTGGCGGATAAGATTCAGCAAGTGCGAATCAAATTTACCGGCATAACCTTTGATTGAAGGAGTGTCATACACATGTTCAATGTTATTGAGGACACGCGGTTCGAGCCATGTTTCAGCTCGGTTATGGTCATTCTTCTTTAGCATGGTCTGAATCCAGCTGGCATGTTCTTCGACTTTTCGTTCATTGAGATGGTTCTTCAAGACCACGATGTAAGAGTCCTGAATGGGCTCGGCTTCTGCGGAAACATAGAGAGGAGCGATGTTGGCTTCTTCATTCTGTGACAGAGGTAAAGCGACGGCATAACCGGCCAGCAACAACGCAGTAGCAATAATAGATGTTTTCATGATGGAGTGAATGAAAAGATGAAAGGAAGAAACCAAGTGATTTTTATAGTGATAAAATCAATGATTTTTTTTCTGCGCGTTTTTAATGCTGCGCGATTATGAAGGCACTTGACCACATTTAAAGCATGTGACTAGCGGAATTATCACAGATCATGCTGATCCCATTATCATTGAATTGCGACTCTCTCACTACTCTTTTGCAAGCTACCCGAAACCTAATCCGATATCCTATATCACGATTGGTCCGATGGTCAGGCCTGCTGCGTGCTTTCTTGGATGGATAGCGTGATATCATTCAGTTTCGTCGTTACACCTGCTGTTGTTGTTATTATTTCTTATTTTCAAATGATGACTGATAAAGCATTTACAAAGTTAAAGTTTCTCACGGATAGAGTGTTGACCTCATTCCATTTGAATTAGTCCATTCAATCCATAATGGACCAATGACACAAAAGGAATGCTGACTACCCCTTAAAATTCGACGTATCTTTTTCCACATTCGTTTTTGTTGTTTTTTTTTTCACAGCGTCCGCATACGGATGACCGGATGCTATCTTTGAGAAAAACACAAACTTCCATTTTTGTATAATGCAGGGACTGTTTGTTACAACTTTCTCCTGACGTTTTGTTTCGACGATTTTGTGTCAAAACAAACTCTCTATACTGCAGTAATTTGAGTCATAGCCAATAGTCTCAGGTCACCATGGCGGCCAGCCGCCATGACAGCATTAGCAGTGCACATTCGTGAGTCAATCCAGGCACCGGCATTCCATCATGTCCATGTCGGATGTAACAACATCACGGCGGGATCGACACGATAACCCTACGGCAAGGGACATTTTTTTGGGTTCACCAGTGATATATTTTTGCTTTGCACCACTCAATCAAAGCTGTTCTTATCACTCTCCGATAAAATGAATGATGGACGGTGAGAGTGACGAATGAGTGTCGATAAGTCGGACGTGAAAAAGAAGGCTGTGGTGCCCTGGATTCGGGTTGGTTCACTGATAACCCGTCTGTTTAAATAGGTACAGCACTCTGCGCAAGTTAGGAGCCTGAAGCTGAGAGCAGATAAAAGTCATCTGCAACTGCATTACGTCTGTATCTTTTTCGCTCAATTCTGTTCGCTCTGCGGAGGAGCAGGGGGGGGGGAAGGAAGGACGATCCGATAAAAAAGGTCCTTCATCTGAATGGGTCTAACTCCCTTTCTTTCTTTGCGGTGAGCTTATCAATGGATTCGCAAGCATGCTAGCGGTTAGGTGGGATGGGAAAAAACTTATTTTCCAAAAATGGCACTCAAATCATGCATGATGAATGGTCCAATCAACACAATGGATGGTGATTCGCAGTTTCTCATAGTTGCCCTTTTCATCTTATCCAGCCTTCAATCATCACCATCACCAATATAACTGCATCATATATTCTTGGAATAACAGGTTATGGTTCTTTCTATTCCCATATAGTTTGGCTCTCTTTATTCAAATGAAATGGAGCATATTTTAGGTCAGCCATTAGCCTTGTATATTTGCTGATTTTTCTCATGACTCGCTCTGATTGTCAATTGGGTTTCCTCGCAGATGCAAATATCACAGCGATATGTTATACCAAGCATCGAAAAGATACGCCGGACGAACAAGGGTCATGAAGTTGGAAGAAAAATATTGAATTTAAGGTTGGACAGTTTAGTTAATATTGCATCATGCTTTTGGTTACTGCCACCGATCTACGTAAGAAAACGCGACGCTCGCCGTTTTTTCATGATTCGCTGAAACCGAAAAATCCTGGTGACGCAAAAAAAAAAAAGAAAAAAAAAAAAAGAAAGAAATTCCAAAAAACTGGTTGTTGGCACCTTTTTGGCTGTTGCTCTTGTGGCGTTTTCGGACATGAGCGATCGTAGCGGTGTTTCGACGTCGCAGCCAGCACTGATGCACGGACCGAACGACGGATTATGGTCGGCAGCGACATCCTCATCGCAGAGCGTTCTTAGTCATGATGAAGGTCATCAGCTCGAGATTGCTGTGATTGAATCGACCATGATGGTGTATGAATTTGATAAAAAGAAGAACCGAAAGCGCCGGCGAGCTCTATCTGTAAGTTGACCTTCCAATCAATTGACGTCTGCGTTTTCCACCGTGCTATGGTCGGAAGTGGTCAGTGTACCTGGTTTATGCTTCCTTGAATGAAACTTAGCCCATGGAAAACGCTATGGAGAATCAAATTTCGTAGACCGATGCTGACCGTTGGGAAAAAAAAAAAATTTATCCTGTTGAAAACCAATGTGTAGGTATTCAATGTGATTGTTGAAGATAAACGGCAAAACCTGAGTCTTGTACGCTATGTGTTTGACTTTATTGAGTTTGATCAAAGGGTAAGTGGCGGGATCTATACTTGGATGTTGACTGGTAGGGGAACGATGAATTGAAAAGAGTGTGTGTAGATCAAAGCACATTATCGTCGATGCAAACTTTCCTTGCCCCAATTGACGCAGCCGGATCTTCTCATGAAGCGCAAGGGATTTCGATCATTTCTCCTCAGTTTCTCCAACAAGTACCAGAAATCCAATTCAGAAAAGATCGAAATTTATCTGAGGCGATGTGCGCTCGATCCGGTCATTGGTCGCTCATCTTTACTCCGTGACTTTTTGTCTGCTCAACGCGATGAAGATCGCGTGGCTTCCAAGCAACTCATACAGAGCTATGTTCATCGCCAACTGATAGAGAATGAAAGGAATCAAATGATGTGCGATTTCACATTAAGCCCTCCATCTTCTCGCACCCCTTCCGTCATTTCCATGCAATCCATCCAGCCGCAGCACTCTAATTTCACTTCGTCAGTATATCGAGGACGACGGTCTTCTTCCATCTCACTTTCCTCCATCTCTTCCAACCATTCCGTTCTGTCCATTGCCATGTCTGACTCTCACGTTTACCGTCATCGTCGAGCATCTGAATTGGAAGATCCCATGCCCGATTCTTCGCATCAACATCACGACGGCAAGATCTCGATTCAAGATTTCCAATTCATCAAGGTGTTGGGAAAAGGGTGTATGGGCAAGGTAAACAGGAAGGAGAAAGCGACGATTTTAGGGTGAACAATGGATCGTAACCTGACATCAACGGTATGCGTAGGTTCTACTGGTACGACATTTACAAACATCCCAGCTATTGGCTTTGAAAGCGATCAGCAAAGAATGGGTGATTACACAACGTGAAATAGAGCATACAAGAATGGAACGCGATATTCTGGCGACCATTGCCAAGATTCGGCATCCCTTCTTGGTCAAACTACACCATTCATTTCAAGATGCAAATCAATTATTTCTCGTTCTGGACTATCATGTTGGAGGCGATATGGCAACTCAGCTGGCTAAGTTCTATCGGTTCCCACCTGAACGATGTCGATTCTATACGGCCGAAATCCTTTTGGGCATGCAAGAACTGCATCGTCTCGGCGTTCTGTACCGGTAAATACACATAGACTGCCTTGTGCTCAGGCGTGACATTCCTTTTTTTTGTGGATTCGGGCATCCATATAAATAGAGAGTCACCGTCAAATATACTAACCTGGGGCTTTTGCTTCATGATAGCGATCTTAAACCGGAAAACATTCTGTTGGCTGCGGATGGACATATTGTGTTGACGGATTTTGGATTATCGAAAATGTTCCCATCCGGTAATGTGGACGATCAGCGAACACGGACCTTTTGTGGTACGGCCGAATATCTTGCACCGGAAATACTTCGATCAGAGGATTACTCGTACGCGGTGGATTTCTGGAGTTTGGGAACCATTTTATTCGAAATGTTAACGGGTGTGACCCCTTTTTGGGCCGAAACGCATGCTGAAATGTACCGCCGTGTGCTGGAGGACGTACTCGAATTTCCGGAAGACTTTGATCCTGTTACTGCTGATTTCATTTCCGGACTCTTGCAGCGCGATCCCGATCATCGCTTAGGGACAGGCGTTGATGGTCCCATCATGATCCGATCGCATCCCTACTTTGACACACTCGATTGGGCCGATGTTTACTATAAGCGTGTCCGACCACCGTATGTCCCTGATTTACGCAGCTCAACGGACTTTAGCAACTTTGATGCCGACTTTTTACAAATGACCCCGCGACTTAGCCCGGTCGATGACAATGTGCTCAGTCAAAGCTTGGAACAAGCATTTCAAGGTTATTCCTACACAGGCAGCCTGTACATGGACAAGGACCATGACCATCTTTACTATCACGACAGCGACGAAGGATACGATTTCTATACCGAAAGCGATATCCAGCCCAGTGAATACTACGCATCTCAATATGACGAAACAACGGCTACTCACCATTATGGAACAAGCGAGGATCCAACGCTTTCAAGCCTCGGTGACCGTCGACCACGAATGTCTTCTTACTCCCTCCATTCTCCGGATCATGATACATATTAACTTTAGACTTTCAGCTTTTCACTTAATGTATTTTTCTCTCTTCCTATGTAATCTAATCAGAAAAAAAAAATGAACCCCCAATAAGAAAACAGACAATATCATACAAACAATGCCACTGCATCCTTTTGACTTGCCCCATATTCCGTGCGTCCAAAATCAGACTATCGTATAATACCATGCCTCAGATGAGGGTCCCGATCAGTTGATGTCAGGACGTGCAAATTGCTCTGTTAAAAAGAGAAGGGCATTGTTTCAACCAATAAACTAAAGAAAAGAAAGTGACCAAATGACGAAGAAAGGACGAATTACTGTTTTTAATGATTCTACCAAAAAACAATGTACAATTAAGGAAATAGGAAAAAAGATGAAAAAGGGAACCGATTTATGATTTGATGCAGGAACCCGGGGTGGGTGTCGGTGTTTCTAATGCTGGACTGGAAGGAGGTGTCACGACGGAGGATCCTTCAGCGGTGGAAGGAGCTTGCGTACTGCGATTGTGAGCCATATGTGCTTTAACCAAATGACCAGCAGCTAGTGCAGCACACAACGAAAGTTCACCGGCCATCACGGAAGCGCAGATAATTCTTGCTAATCGCTGTGCGTTTCTTCCGGGATCGGTGGGATGCGGTCCACGAACTCCCAGTAGATCTAACATTGCTTGCTGAGGTGGTAAAATGGTGCCTCCGCCAATAGTGCCCACTTCAATGCTCGGCATCGTACATGAAATGTGAAGGTTGGTATTATTGTCGACGGGTTTCATCAACGTGATACAGTTGGAACTTTCCACATTCTGCGCAGGGTCTTGACCTGTCGCGATGTAAATGGCGGTCAAGATATTCGCGGCATGGGCATTGAACCCACCCACCGAACCGGCCATGGCCGAACCTACCAAGTTCTTGCTGGTATTGAGTTCCACCAGCGCGGCGACGGTGGTTTTTAATACTTTTTGCACCACGGCGCCGGGAATGACGGCTTCGGCTACGACGGATTTGCCACGGCCTTCGATCCAATTAATCGCTGCCGGTTTTTTATCCGTGCAGTAATTGCCAGAAAGCGAAATAACTTGCATGTCCGGGAAATAGTCGGAAATCACGCCCAGCGCTTTTTCACATCCCTTGGAAATCATGTTCATCCCCATTGCGTCACCGGTGGTCGTCGAAAATCGAATAAACATGAGCTTTCCTGCAAGAGCAATCTTGAGCTTGCGCAATCGAGCAAATCGGGACGTTGAATTGAAGGCGCTCGTCACTATCTCATTGCCTTTTCCTTCCACCCACTGTTTGCACTCGGCGGCTCGTAGAATGTTGGGGAATTCCACGCACGGGCCGCGGGTCATTCCATCTGCAGTAATAATCGTTCGAGCGCCACCGCCCGCATTGATCGCTTTGCATCCACGGGCCGTGGAAGCGACAAGACATCCCTCGGTGGTAGCCATGGGAATATGGATCATATCACCGTCAATCGACATTGGACCCGCCACACCCAAAGGAATTGGCATGTACCCAATTACGTTTTCACAGCAAGCTCCCATCACTTTCTCGTATTGGTAATTTTCCAACGGCAACGCACTCTCTTCCAATGTCTTTGAAATCGATTCACGTGAAATCAAGGCGCGACGAATCAATACGGCTCGCTCCAAATCTCGCAAGACTTTCTCCAAGGCATACGTGGCAAGTTTTCCGGCCTGAACCAAGGAGATCACTTCTTCATCGGTCAAATCATCCGGCGTGTTCAATAAAGACTGGCAGATGTCCAAAGGACGTACCGCGGTAGGCATGGGCGATGAGCGTGAGGAATGACGACGATGTTGGGAATGATGAGGACGGAGTTGCGGTGGCACAGGGTGGAATTTGGGTGATTTGAGGGTATCCCCTTTTGAATTGACTTTGACATTGTCCTGCGGTTCGACCTGTGAAACCGATAATGGATGTTGATCCGAGAGTTCAACGACCGAAGACACCGCACCACTGACTACGGTCTTGGACCGAGGTTGCCAATGTTCGACGAGCTGTTTCGGCTGCTTGGCCACATTGAACAGGTATGTATTGAGGAACAAGGAAAAACAAAGAGCGATAGCCAACCATTTGCTAATGACGGGATGCGCAATGTACACCGAATAGATATCCAGCATGGCCTCCAAGCGATTGGTGACGGCTGTAGGGAACATGGTCCAACTGGCGGTAGAGACTTGGAATACCATGGGTGGGAATACCTTAACGACAAACGGGCGTGACGCTTGCGGGGACTGACGATGCTGTTCGAGGAGTTGTTGCAAAAGCGGTGCAATGGAAGGATCACTGGTATCCACTTGAGGTCCCGATTGGAAAGTCGAACATAGTTTGAAAATGTGCATGCCAACAAAACCAATGATCTAAAAGGTCGGGGTGGACAAACGGAGTTGGTTCAAGTTTTTTTGTTACTGTGCATCGTTCATGCTCGTTGCACTTACCAATAAAAGTTTCACACGGCCGATCATTGGCGCGTCCTTATCCGTCGTGTCATCACCAGCGGCATTATCGTCACTGAACGCGTTGACCACTGTACGACGGATGTAGCCTGTATTAGCCGGCGGTTTCAAGGTTTCCTGTTTAGTTTCCGTCGAACTGTTGATTTCCCGAATACGTCCAAGCTACCCCAGCAAAAAAAAAAAAAAAAAAAGTTTTCAAGTGACCCGTCAATATACATTATCTTTTTCTCCTTGATCCATGATGATGAAACAAAAAAAAAAGGTATCTTCCTTGTTACTTTACCTCCAATTTCAATGCCAAGACCGCGGTATACCAAGTAAACATCAAGATGAAATCATAAGTCACCAAAACAGCGCTCAAAAGACAGAATTCGCGTAACCCCGAAAGACCTAATTTAGCCCCGATGGCCAGCACAAAGATCTCAATAAAGCAATCGCGTGCGATCTGCAACCCCACCGAGTCTACAGCACGACGGATCGTTTGACGAATATCCTGTTTCGTGATAGGCGACTGTTTGCTGTATTGTAGAATACGTTTCGTCAATTTAAATGGACGTTCGAATCCAATGGTGACAATCAGAAAAGGAAGCGCTTCACTGTTAATGAAAAAGAAAGAAAAAGATTGAACATGTTCGTTAGTCATGCAAGGCTGTCAATGACTCTTGCCTTTCCATCACTTACGCCAGGACGGTGGCATGAATAGCTACACCAAATGCATGCACCGTCAGCAAGGATAGCATGAAGGAAAAGAATCCATTGATCAACACAGCCGTCGCTAAATAATAATAATAATAATAATAAAAAAAAAAAAGGAAAATTCCTCAAAATATGAGATCTACTGCAGAAACATATAGCCATGAGAGTTTAGCCCCACATACCTAATGTGTAGCGGGAACCAATGCGGCGCATATTGATGTACAAGGATACAAAGGTGGCGATCATCATGATGTAACCCGCCATGACCACCATGATATCCACACTGTCAGCTATCTATTGGTAAAAAACGTCATTTTTTAACAGTGAGTTGAGTTACAAGTCCAGTGCGGGAAGAACGAATGAGATGGCTTACTTCACACAACTGTTTAATGCGAATGGTGATGTTACGGGTAATAAAAAAAAGCCAGACGAGCAGATTTTCTTGCTGATCGGAACCGGAGAGTGAGATGAGATCACCCGATTCCAAAGTGGCGACTTTGTGTTCCCATTGATCTGAAAGAGCGCTTCGATACGCATTACTGACATCAAAAGCGTAGGACAACACCAACGACGTCGCGTCTCGCTGATCCTTATTGTTGTGGTTGATAAAAAATATACGAGCCGAAGGATCCTCCAAAATTGTCGAACGAACGTCGTCGTCACGATTCAAAAATGTTTCGTTGTATTGCCACAGTCTCAGAGGGGAGCCAAGGAAACACTGATGACGATCATCTTTGTAGCATAAATCGTCATTGTACGTAAACTGGTCCTTTGGGGTATCGGGCACATGAAGATCGTTTTCGATATATTTCTCGAACCGAAGTACGGATTGCAGAATGGCACGATTGAAGACACCGTGTTTTGGATTGATGACCATGACCTGCTTCAGATCGACTTTGACGGCATCTTTGTCGAAAGCCTCCGAAGGGTACCCGCGCAGAAGTGTCATGGCGTTGGACTGAGGATGAGCTACCATGGTCGTGGCGGCCAGTCGTGAAGTGGTGCCCGTGAACAGGTCCGACGTCCGTGCCAAATTAAATAGATAGAAATAGCTAAACGAAGCAAGCATCAAAATGGTGGCAATAGTCTCGATAGGGTTGCGAGCGGATATGTGCGACACGCGATGGATGCCTTTGCCCAGCACGGCAGATATGGACCGAAACGCCGTGGTGGTCCGTAAACGGTTCGGTGTAGTTGACATGACTAGAGACCGTTACGTGGATACCATAAAATAATGACAACAAGAAATGGGAAAAGTAAAGACGGTTTAAAAGAAAACGAAACTAAGCGACGCCGGATATCGTTGTTGAGGCAACCGCCACCGTGACAAGTAGGACTGTGAATGCAAGGTTTAGAAAAAAAAAAAAAAAAAAAAAAAAAAAGAGGAGGATGGATTGGGCGGAAGTTTTTTTTTTTTTTTTTTCTTTTTCTGTGGTTCCAGGTTTCTCAATTCAACGATCCGCCAAACTTCGATTCTGTGAATCCCGAAAAAGAAAAAGGCGCAATGGCATGCCCTCAACACACATAGTATTCAGGCGCCGATTAAATAAGTCGCTTAGTTTCAGAAGGAAAAAAAAAAAAAAGAAGTTGTTCCCCGAAAAAAGGAAAAAGAAAAACACCAGAAACAAAAAAGCGACGCGCCGCGCATTTTTACAACATGGGAGTGGAGAAAAACAAAAAAGTAGTTTCTAAATGGAGATTTTGGAATCTTTAAAAATGGGGTTTTGGAGATTAAGTAAATACAGTGGGTGGGACAGCTTCTTGAACAATACTGGAGGTCAAGTTCTCCTGGCATAAATAATGGGTGGGGAAAAGGACTAGATGGCCACGAATATCGGCCAGCTTGGCTTCGACTTCCTCGTTATTGAGTCGCCATGGTTGAGCAATGTGACCATAAGGCACACGAGCGGGATCCGGCACAAACCGTCGATGTGCATCATACGTATATACTAACGAAACATTGAGCATCACTGCAACTAAAACAAAACATTCGTCTATGCAGCTTCAGAATACCCTTACCAGTGTCATCGGGAACGCATCGGAATACCGATTGGTAAATATTTGTATTCTTTTCCGCCGTATCGTGCCACAGGTTGTGCAAGTCGTCCGATAAAGGATCAGTGACAAGTTGATCTTCATAAGTCACAGTACGATGAGGCATCGTCGCGTGGCCAGTGCCAGTCGATTTTAACAACCCAAGATGCTCTTTAAACAGATGCATACGTAGTGTTAAAGCGTATCTTGCGGCCTTGTACTATATTGAGAAACTATTGTCAAGTTTCATGTCTATTTGTACACTGACAACGAGCTTACCGGCTGTCCGTTCATGGTGGACGATACGAGATCGGAATCTTCTATGACAACGGCTATTTCCGAGTCGCGATTTCCTAATTGAGACCTGTGTACAAATAAAAAGCATGAGACTTTTTTTTTACAATCAATTTTCAGCAATGAAACTTCCAGACATTTACCGATCATTCAAGTTGGCTAGCATAGGCATCCTTTAGTGGTTGGTTTTTTTTTTTTTTTTTTTTTTTTTTTTTTTACTCCCGGCAAAAAAAATAGTCATGTTAGTGAGACTTTTCCTTACCTGAGCCACAAATCACTGTTTTGTCGTCCACAATAAGAAGCTTGGAATGGATATATACTTGTTCGGTCACGATATCCATACGGCCATCGTTCATATCTCCGCGATCGTTACTGCCACTGCTTCCATCGGACCTGCTTCGCACGGGATCCTCTATACCCGAGTTGTTGCCACTTTTAATGGTGGCCAAGGATGCCAATGACGACCTTGCTCTGGCTCTTCGCGTACGAGGTTGTCTTCCACTGTTCGACCGATTCACTCCGCCACTGTTGCGTCGTGAATCGGATTTTTGAGGCAACGGGTCAGAAACAGCACTTGTTGAGCTCGTTGGTGATATCGGCGTTGCATCATCGGTACAAGGAGGTGGTGGAGCCGCTTTCGCTGCAGAATGTTTAATGCGTCCCCAATTTCGCAGACTGTAAAAGCCAATATAGCGTTCGGCTGGAATGTTTTCCTGGTACAATGTCTCTAGAATCGAGCTTCCTCCTCGTGATATCGATAGGTACTGATAGTGGGCCACGGACCTGCATCGGTTTATACATTTGTTGCCATGAATTATGAGATCCAGTGTTTCAAATAATGAAGAAAAACAAATCAAAGAAATGGAGGTTAACGTTTACCGAAGGGCCATGGATCGCTTATCTGGTGTCGTAAAGTCGCCTTCAAAACCAGGTGCACATGGGATCACCACAAACACTCTAAACTTTTTTCTTTCGCGATGAGCACGCTTGATTCGCTCCACAATAGCCTACAATTGACATTTTCTTTAGATGCGGAAATAACGCCGGCAGGTCCAAGAAAGCCACGACTTTATTACCTGTCCAATTTTATTCTTGATGAGTTTATCTTCGGGATGCGTAGCAGTAACTGGAAACCGTAAAGAAAGAAGAAAAATTGGAGTTTTATCAGGTCTGTCAATAAATCAAATTTGGTGCATTGCCGCGCTCTTACTGAAAAACTGATTTTCGATGTAAATGTAATGCTTCGCTTTCGAAATGCATTCCATGTACGCTTTATAGATAGAATACTGTGAAAAAAGGGTCGTCGTAAATGAGTGATTGAATACGCAGTGTGCGGTTGTGGATTACCTCGCGAACGATACCAAGACTCCATTCAGCACTGCTTCGGACCACTTGGACACGACATGTCCCGCGGAACTTGCTCTCATCTCTGGCGGCCACATACTCACCTTTGGGCATCAAGAACGGTATGCTGTTCCTATCCTTGGCACGCGTGGATTTGATGAAATTCCATCGCTGAATAAAATGGCGCGCAATGTCTCTTGCTGGTGGCCCAACCTACACATTGTGTCACTCTCAGGGGGGAAGCCCATAAAGCGCAGAAAAAAAGGAAGGACGACATACCATTGCTGTGTGCACATCATGCCATGGCATCCGTGGTGTCATTTTTCTATCGATCAGTTCCATATCATATTGCGATACTGAATTTATTGGGTAAGTAACTTGCAGAGCCAAAATTATTCCATACTGACCTTTTGTAAAATCCTTCACTCGAGGATTGGAATAATCCTGACCCGGAAAGATTTCTGAATTACATGGATCGTCCGAGCAATAGTCTGTCAGGTCATGACTTGGGGTATCATAGCGTCTTTTTTGATGAAAGGAGTAGTGTGAGCCAATGTCAAACACGCTCCAATGTGTCATAGTTACCCAAAGCATAAATCAAAACCGCCAACAAAAGCGAGGCGATAATCTACCACGAGAATTTTCTGATTTTACACTGTGAGTGTGTGGCACATGGTTTCATACATTTCAGAGCGTTTCTTACCTCATGATGTGCCCAAAAAGCCGACGTCAAATTTGCGTGCCGCTGAACTGCATGATGGAAAAAATCAGAAATAACGCACTGTCAATGTTCAGTAATCCGCCTACTTACCAATAATATTTGGATGTGCATTTTGAAGCCAATCACGGGTGTGCTGGGAGTCGAGGGGAAGAGCCATGGATATATTTTTGTAAATAACAATATAGATCATGACCCCTTCACTGGCTTTGCGTTTTAAAAGGCGATCTATTCTGTATTCCTCATTGCCTTTGGGCGGTCGTCGCAAATACTACAGGAAATCATCAGTATTTTGCTTTTCTTTTTTTAATTGATTGGTCAATTCTGTTGGCTTACCAACTGCGGGCTCTAATGGATAGGTAAAATCACCGGTGAAAAACCCAAGGATTTAACTTGAAATCCAATTCATCAATCGCTTTTCATAAATCACTTACAAGCCACCAATCTTCGATGTAGATGTCAGATTTAGCGGACAGAATGGCTTCTGCCACTGCAGCAAAGTAGTCTACTCAGCATTACATCAATAAACAAGGCAATTGTTCCGCCGCCTCTCAGAGAAATTCTTACCTTCACCGTCCACAAACCATTTGACTTTGGCGTTTTCTCGAATGGGAGCATACGAGCCAAATCGATGGTTTGCAACCCACGGGCTCTCTTTCTCTATTTTACGAAGACTGTGGACCCAGTCTTCAATGTGACGATTGGTGGGTCCTTTGATTTCGATGCGTCTGGAACTGTTACACAGGGTAATATGCGAGGCCTGATACGGGGCAAATGCACTGTGACCACGTTTAAACTTGAAGTGGCTGTCAAAAAGAAGCACATCGGAAGGCGTCGAGGAATCGATATCCTTGCAAAACGCAATGTATCTGGGCATGTATCATGTCTGTCAACCTGCCAACGCATGTGACTCGGATTGAATCGACTTACGAGTCTCTCAGAATAATCCATTCCTTGGCCCATCGGCTCCGTCGGACGAGCTGCATGAGTGAAGGCGACGCTGAATTCATCTTGTGTTCCAAATAGCCTTCTTTGCCTTTCCATCCCATGTCCTTGACAATACTAATGGCACTAATTTCTAGAAATTCACACAGATCGTAGTTGACGCACATTCTTGAACCTTGGACGAGATCTTTCAAGTATTGTTCCAGGGCCTCTCGTCGTTTTAGTGTGACATCACGCCATACCTCGTCGCGCTGATCCTCTTCACGTGCAATCCGCATGGACGTTAGAGCCGCATTGCACAAGTGAGCTAATTGGCTTGGGAAAGAAGGTGGGTGTGGAAGGTAGCCAGAGATCCCAGCTTTAAATTTGAGTGTCAAGTGCAAATTATAAAATTCGAGAATGGTTCGTTTGATGACCCATTTGATTTCGCCATATTGTAATTCTATCCGAAATACCCACAACCGGTGAAGCGACGATTGTTCGATTTCACTGTCCGTAATAGCCACCTATTTTGTCACAGGTTAGAACTCCATGGCTTCTATTTGTTTGTGCTTGTGGGCCAAGCAACTTACCGATAGAACATCAAACAGAATCGGCGGCTGGAAATATCGAGAGTTGCATGAATTTACGTCACATGGATCGAGCAAGCAAAAAATAGGCAGTTGGACTTACAGCTTTTCGATCATGTTCATCTTCGGATACAATGGCCATGTAAAGTGGAGCAGCCAAGGCAGGAGTGTACCAAGGTGCAAGAGGAATTTTGCTATACTGTGCATGTGTATTGGCTGGCTTGCTCGTCACTTGAGATAGACTGTTCAGTACACGAATTTTTTCTATCGATCGTCCCCATTGCGCACGGGCTTTGGGATTGACGACTTCTGCATGATAGAGAACATGTAAACCATCGTCAGCGACCAGAGTAATGAAGTCGTAATTTTTTTTTTGAAGTTACCAGATGGTGGGTTTTCTTGGTTTTCTTGCGACGCTTCTTGATCGTCGCCGTCGTGGCCTGTGAATTTACTGTCGCGGCGAGTGGGGTCTGACAGATCATGGGATTTCTTGGATGGATGCTTGGTAATATCGACGGAACTAGGCGCACTCACATCGGACTCAAAGGGATGCTCAAAGTAACTTGTTTTGAGTTCGGCCAACTTGAGTGCTTTTGCATTTTCCTTAGCCACTTCTTCCATGGAAGGCAGATTATCGTCGAGACTCGGGGCCGGGATATTTAGCATTAATTGACGTTCATGGTCCGAAAGGTGAAGGTCTGTGCCGACCACCAACTCGTTATCGGGCGTGCCTTCCTCTCGTTGAATATTGACCGACATGCGTCGAATGAGCGACTGCCACCTTTGAACAAATGCATCGCCTGTCTGCGTATTGGCGGTGTCGTTACTGTCTTTCCGCCGTAACGGATCCAGGTGATGCCGAGAATGACTGTCGTAGGAATTGGTGGGTTTCAACTCCTGTCGTTGCTGTTCCTCCTGCTGAATAAAATATTCAACATTGTCGAGGATGGGATTGGACATGGTCGAAAGAAAAAAATAAAGAGCACAAAGAACTGGGGACAAAGGAGAAATTTGTCAAAAACGATATTCAGTTTACCCAAAGTCATTCTGTATATGGATATTCGTTATTTTGGCGGATCACACAAAAAAGGCTAAATCTACCAGCCAGGACGGTGAACAAGCTTCCACACAGTGTAATATGCACTTTTGTAAGAATGCGGTAGTCGTGGTTAATTTTATAAAATAATTATATGCAGCTCGATGATGGTCTGTTCAACGAAAGCCTATCTAGCTCCTGTGAGAAAAGGTTAGTTTCCCATACCAGCAATTTTGATGCGAAACAGTTGGACGTCCTCATTCTCCGAAAAAGGAAATCACTTGTTTTCAGTTGACAAGGTGACGAAGGACAATCAAACAGTCCAATCATCTGTAATTTTCCCCCTGAATTTTTTTTTTCTTTTGTTTGTGTAGCAACAATCCACCCACCATTTCATGATTGAAAGTACGGAAAGACGCCAAGGATAAAGTTGAGAAGTCTGGGAAACGAAGCCAAAGGGTGACAACGATATGGAAGAAGGATGACAAGCCAGGATTCGAATGAATAACAAAGATAATATGGGGCTTGTTGATTTTTTATCGGGTGAGTTCAATGCATGATATCTGTATGTTTAGTTCATTTCACCATATGATGCTGTAAATAAAAAAGAGAAAGAAAGAGTAACCAGCCCAGCGTAAGATTATAACACAAATTCATGGTAAGAAAGCCAAACAAAATATTCAAAGTTGTATAGATTCACGTTCCGTCCATCTAGGTTACATCCATGGTCAAACAGAGATCACGCCAAACCGCACCATCCATTTCATCTACCCAATATTATTAATTTTTAGATTTTGGTAAAGAATTGAAAAAAAAATAGTACATTGGCTGTTCAAAGCCCAATCATAATATAAATGTATGAATCGTAATAAGTTTAAGGGGGTCATTGAGGGATAGCAAGACAAGAAGAGGAGATCCATAGGATGCACTACACGAGACTACTTTACGCCGTGATTCTCTCTTTGTATCAAGCTCCGCTGATCTCTCCTCGTTGGTTTCAATAGGCAGAAAAAAAAGTCGCACTGAATCAGTGATCCCAACCCCTTTATCTTCAGGTCGATTTTTCCTCAGTTTTTTATTTTTTTTTCTTTTTCTGTTCATTTTGATTTTCTTTCAGCTGCTTTTTTTTTTCTTTTCGACTTGCGGCATATTTTTTATCTTTTTTTTTTAATTACTTTGCCATTACCCTTTAACCATGTCGGAAAATGATAGTATCAAGGCACCGGAGCGGATATTTCAATTCAGAAGGGGACCCGCCGAAACAGCAGAAATGAAGAAAAAGCGGATCGCCGAAGCATTAATTGACGATGAATTGCTGTTGGCTAGACTGGGATACAAACAGGTACGTTGTCTCCAAGCAACCATGGTTATAATCGTTGTCTAGTCCCTGTTGTCTAGAAACCCACATGTTGGATCTGCTTTGGCACGACCTGATCTCAGTGTTCTTTTCTCTTTTAACCTCACCGTGTCATTTTTCACCTTGAATCATAGGATCTAAGTCGACAATTATCTACATTTTCCAACTTTGCCATTTCTTTTGGATGCTGTTCTGTGCTAGGGGGATTATTACCAGTACGTTTTTTTACGTGAAAAAAATAATGACCCTTAGCGAATTGGGCAATTTCCGTGATTTATTAACCCCCATCTGTTCATTAGCTATGGGGTACAACACTACTAGCAGGAGGAACGTCGGCTACAATCTGGGGCTATCTTGTTGTTGCGATCCTTACTTTGACCATCGGCTCGAGTTTGGCAGAAAGTAAATAACCTTTGCCCTTTAACCAAACAAAAACAAGAAAAAAAGAGTCGTTTTGCATGGATTGCAGCATTTTATGCGACAAATGACGCTAATTCACTTTTTTTTTTTGATAGTCTGCAGCGCCTTTCCGACGACAGGTGGATTGTACTTTTGGACAGCCCAACTTTCTGATTCTGAATGGGTACCGTTCATGTGCTGGATTGTAGGTGCGTCAGATAATACGAAATCAGCATTATTACAGTTACCAGATCTTTGATTCTTATTATGCAAATTTTATTTTACTTTTCGCCGTTGCATTGTATTTTAGGTTACTTTAATTGGTAAGTCTTCTGTTTGCTTTTCTTTATACAACCATGCAAGGAAAATCGGACTCTGATCATTTTCCACCATCCCATTTATCCGTGGCTTTTTAGGCTAAGTTTGGCTGGTAATACATGGACTGCAACCATTGATGGCGTTACTGTTGAAGAGGTCATTGATCCATTATTTGTTTTGTTTTTTATGTGTTTCATCTGCAGTTGCGATCTGTGCCAGCGATCTCGGCATGGCAGGATTTCTCACGTCAGCTGTATCTCTGACCCATCCCGAATTTCAAAGTAATGCTTACATTGATTATGGCGTATTCATTGGAATCTTGGTGTTACATGGATGGATGAACACGCTTCCGGTGCGATCCATTGGCTTCATCAACAATTTGTCCGTTTGGTGGCATATCATGGGTATCATGTTTATTGTTATTGTCGGACTGGTCCTCACACCCAACAAACCTTCTGCTTCATTTGCTCTCGGTCACTTTTACAACGGCACCGGATTCGAAACTAATGGCTACGCGTGGTTGTTGGGTCTGTTGCAAGCTCAGTTCACACTGAACGGATACGATTCCGCCGCTCACGTGAGTGAAGAAACACGATCGGCTCAACGTGGATCGCCACTGGGCATTGTGCTGGCTATTGGTATTTCGGCCGTGGCCGGAACGGTTCTCATGATGGCCTGCGCATTCATGATTCAAGATTTCGATCGTCAAATCTTGCATTCCCATTATTCCATGACCATTACTCAGGTGTTCCTCGATGGAACAGGAACCGCGTGGACCATGTGGTTCCTCGTGATCATCTTGGTGGCCATGTATTTCGCGTAAGTGGTTGAGACTGTCCAATGCTTGTTTGATACAGTGGACCTGTTGCCCTAGATACTCATGATCGCTTTATTTACTTATTTTTCTAGAGGCGCTGCGGTGATTGTAGGCTCTTCCCGACAAACGTACGCTTTTGCTCGTGATGGTGCGATGCCCTTTTCCAGTTGGCTTGTTAAACTGACTCCTGCTAAAGTGCCGGCCAATTCGGTGTGGTTCAACATTATTTTCTCGGCTATTCTTGGTATTCCTTACATGTTTAGCGACGTGGCTTATGAAACCATTGTCTCCATCAATACCATTGCCGCCAATTTGTCTTATTTTATCCCCATTTGGCTTCGCATCACCATGGCCAGAAAACGATTCCAAAAAGGACCTTATAACATGGGTGCCTTTTCTATACCATGTGGTAAGTATAACAGCTATTGTTTTCTTTTTGTTTTAGCACACACGACACAAGTGATCAATCACAACTCTTTTGATACGGAGTGGCTAATGGTGTTTCCATGTTGTTTTAGGTATTATCGCGTGCATGTGGATCGCGTTTACTTCAGTGCTTTTCATTCTACCAACGGTATGCATTTTTTTTTAATTCTTTTGAAACATAAAGCAAATAAGGAACACCACGTGCTTACGCTTCCGTGATACTTGCAATTTTTAGCAATACCCGGTCACGGCCAATAACATGAACTTTGCCATTGTTCCCTTTGCTGCGGTCATTGGCATCGCTTCATTGGTATACGTGTTCTCTGGCCGTAAATGGTTTACCGGTCCCGTGCGTAATATTGATACCATTATTGTCCAAGAGGAAAATGGCAAAGTGATTCGCGAAACGCGCCGTGTGATTCTATCGGATGAAGCTGATCTGGCCGACTGTGATGAAATTGGAAGCCAGGATATCTGGGTCAGTGAAGCCACCACTTCAATCAAGCCAAGTCAATCCCTTAAACGGACATAAAAACACCATTTTCTTTCATTCATCCTCTTTGTACATTATCTTGATTATTTTTTTTTCTTGGTATTTTTTTTTTGCCCCGTTTCTCTTTTCTATTTTTTCTTTTTCTTCTAACCTTTTTTCTTGATCCATTTCCCTTTTTTCTCTTGTTCTTTTATAGCGATCAATAGATGATCGGTCCATGAAAGTGGTTCCGATTCAAAAACACCCGGAAACTGAAATTATAAAGTAAACACGAACCTTTCCCCGCATTTTTCCCTATTTTTATTGATTTTGCAAGGCAATGTATAATTGTGGAGACGTTGGAAAGCGGTGAACTGGGGCCGTATGGGTTGATGAAACTCAGCCGGCTCTACATTTTGCATAGCTGGCCACGGAAGAGTTTCCTTTTTTGTCAATTTCCGAGCTATTCGATTGGCTCCGACTTTGACATCTCCTCAAATATTAGCCGAACCAGGGAAACCGAGAGTAGAATCAAGGGCCAAAAATTGAACCACTGTCGATCCATTCGCTCAGGGCACCTATTGACCAAAAGTGTCCTTCATAAGAAACATCACAAATAATACAATATTGGGTATTTGTTAATATATTTTCTTTTTTTATTAGAATGGAAAGAAGAACGGTTTTGCTGTGGCCATTTCCTGTCCATTTTTTTTCTTTTTTAGGGCATGAGATCATCGTCATCATGATCGGAAGCAAAAGGATCTTTTCTCTTCAACGTTGTTCCGGTTCTATAAATTACGTTTTCCGCTATCCTACCCCACATTTAGTTCTTCAATTTCAAATTGTGGAGCTTCCGAGAACCCTCGGATGTAGTATGATGGCCGTAAAAGAGAGAAAATTCGCTTTTCATTTAATGAAGGTCCGGAAGCCCAATCTCAGCGGCATCGGCTCACTGCCGTTTTGCGACGGTTGGACGGTTAAATTAAGCAAGGCAGCCGAAGAAAAAGAATTGTTCCAATATCGGGTTTTCTTACTCCGCAGCGAAATTGAAAGTTAGCCAGTGAAGACCCTCCCTATATAAAGCATGTCGATTTCTACAGATCCGAAATTTCAAAAAAACTTTTTTTTTTCTGTTTTCTTCAACAACGTATCCCTGTCGCCCTTCTTCTCTCCACCTCAGTTATTATGGCTTCCGTTAGTGCTGCTTTGAAATCTCGCGTGCGTCGTCCTCAGCTTTTGAACAAGGTCATGAAGGCCGAAGACACTCTCAAATTCTTCAAAAACGGACAGTAAGTGTTCGAATTTCTAGGATCGGTCTGTTCGTTTTTTTGACCTTGCCATCTGATCATTGATTTATTCAGATATCTCGGTTGGTCCGGCTTCACCGGTGTTGGTTACCCCAAGATGATCCCTATCGCGTTGGCAAATCATGTCGAAAAGAATAATTTGCAGGGCAAGATGAAATTCAATTTATTTGTGGGTGCTTCCAGCGGTGCTGAATGCGAAGATCGATGGGCTGAATTGGACATGATCGATCGTCGCTATCCCCATCAAGTGGGAAGAAACATCAAGCGAGGCATCAATGAAGGCCGTATCCGATTTGCTGATAAGCATTTGTCAATGTTCCCCCAAGATTTGGTCTACGGTAAGACCCTCTGTTCCTTTCTCTGGATTTTCCCGTCCTTTCCCGCCACGGCCCGACCCTGACATTTTTTCATTCTATTGTTAGGTTTCTACACCAAGGATAAAGCCGATAGCGATAAACTGGATGTAGTGATTGTCGAAGCCACCGCCATCACTGAAGATGGTTGGATTGTTCCTGGTGCCTCCGTGGGAGCTACACCTGAATTGCTTCAAATGGCCGATAAAATCATCATTGAAGTGAATACCCGCATCCCTTCCTTTGAAGGACTTCACGATATTACCATGTGCAATATGCCTCCTCACCGCAAACCCTACCTGATCATGAACAGTCAAGATCGTATTGGCACCGTAAGTTGATTGTCCACCACAAAGGGCCCAGAAAAAAAATTTTCTTCGGGGATTTCTCTAATACAAACCCATGATGCAATGTGTTTTTGAATAGACCGCTATTCCGATCGATCTTGATAAAGTGATTGCCGTCGTAGAAAGCGACCGTCCAGACCACACTGGTCCCAACTCTCCCGCCGACGCAAAATCCCAAGCCATTGCTGGTCACTTGATCGAATTCTTCGAACACGAAGTTAAGATGGGCCGTCTTCCCGAAAATTTGTTGCCCCTGCAATCCGGTATTGGTAACATCGCGAACAGTGTCATTAAGGGATTGGCCGAATCACGTTTCAAGAACATCACTGTGTAAGTGTCTTTTTTTTTTCCTGATCGGGGGAATGGTGTCGTTTGCATGATGAAATTTGATGCTGATTCTCTCTGTGACTTTACAGGTTTACCGAAGTGCTTCAAGATACCTTCTTGGACTTCTTTGACTCTGATAAGCTCGATTTTGCCAGCGCCACTTCCATTCGATTCTCTCCCGATGGTTTCGATCACTTTTACAAGAACTGGGAATCGTACAAGGTAAATTTTCGAGAAAAAGGGATTAGGGTAAAAGAGGGCCCCGTGGCTAACATGACTTATGTTTAGGATAAATTCTTGTTGCGTAGTCAGCAGGTCTCCAACTCACCTGAAATCATTCGTCGTCTTGGCTGCATTGCCATGAATACCCCTGTCGAATTTGATATTTATGGTCATGCCAACTCTACGATGGTGTGCGGTTCCGGTATGCTGAATGGTTTGGGCGGTTCCGGCGATTTCTTGCGTAATGCCAAATTGAGTGTGATGCATACGCCGTCCACCCGTCCTTCCAAGGTGGATCCTCACGGTATTTCCTGCGTGGTGCCAATGGCTTCGCACGTCGATCAGACTGAGCACGATTTGGATATCTATGTGACTGAACAGGGTCTGGCCGATCTTCGTGGATTGTGCCCTCGCGACCGTGCTCAGGTCATCATTGATAAGTGTTCTCATCCCGAATACAAGCCATTGCTCCAAGATTACTTTGACATGGCCACCAAGAAGTGCCTGGCCAGAGGCATGGGCCACGAACCTCAGATGCTCGACAAGGTCTTCAAGATGCATTCCAACCTCTTGGAAAACGGTACCATGAAGATTGACTCGTGGTAAACGACAAAAAAAAATTAGAGATTCACCAATCTCGAAGGCCTTCCACACTACCATTTCCTTTCCTTCCTTGCATAATCTGTACCATAAAAGCACTTTCTTTCTATTATCGTAGATTATTTTTTTTTCTTGTAATATCCTAGAAAATCCCTCTCATCCAATTTTTTTCTTTTGTATTTAAACACCTTTTTTTATATCACGTACAAAAGAACAACGGTTCGTTATTTTCCTGTACTCTGTTTGTAGTGGCTTAGTGTATTTCGTATTCTGTACGTTTTCTCGCTGGTATCCTTTGATATGTTTACTTCTCGCGTTCACGAGGGGGTGCTGCTCTCATCGCTTTCCTTGACCCATGTACAATTTAACCCAAATGATACCATTGCTTACTTTTTGGCCTACATTACCTTGGCACCCATCGCCATCTTGGTGTTCTACGCCTCGGTGATTGTCTCAAGACGAGAAGTGACCGGTATTCTTATGCTTACGGGCCAGTTGCTCAATGAGGTGGTGAATGCCATTCTAAAGGAATATTACCAAATGACACGTCCCAATGGTACAATCAGGAAATACTCGTGTATTTGAATGAAATTTGGAGTATTCACTACATATGTAGGTCATTTGGGGACAGGTTACGGTATGCCGTCGAGCCATGCCCAGTTTATCTGGTATTTTGCCACTTACGGTATCTTGTATCTGTACACGCACATGACCTTGGAACACGGTGCTTGGAAATCAGTTGCCACGCTGGCTATTTTTACTCTTGCTCTATTGGTGTCCTTCTCCCGGTAAAAATTCAAGGATACTGCTGTCATCTTTATGGCCAACATTAGCATACTAAAAGCTCGTCCGTAGAATTTACCTCGGCTATCACACGGTATATCAAGTGCAAGTGGGCGCAGGCATCGGTACGATCTTTGGTATCTTGTGGCATTGTATTGTTGAGTATGGTTTACGAGGTAGCGGATGCATCGATTACATCTTGGATCACCCGTTGGCCCAGTGGCTCTATTTGCGCGACATGCGATGCATCGACAACGTGGCGAAATGGGAATACATGCAATGGAAAATCATGCGCCAGCAACAATCTCAATCTCGATCTCAATCGTCCAATAGAAATACTGCCAAGTCCGAATGAAAGTTTTTATGTGATCTCACCCATATACCTTAATTTAATTCATAGAGAACAAAGAGAAAGACAAGTGGTATGCAAATTGTAAATGCTTATCAAATTTGAAGACTGCTGTCCTAAACCCCGTTGATTCGAAACCTCAGAGTAGCATGCAGCATAATTTCTTTTCAGAACGTTCAGGACGTGTTTTTGGACATCCAACCGGAATAACAACGACGAATTTCCTGAGTCAACACAGGATATCGGCTAAATAGTCATTAGTCACACAATACATCAATTTTTCCATAGATCCTATCTGTTCTCGCTTACAAAATGAAACCCGGGCTTCGCTTTTTCCGCGTCGCTGCTTTTATGTTTCTAGAAGGTGCCAAAGAACTCAACTCCAAAGGTGCAATAAAAAGTATCCCAAGCGATACAATCAACCAATCTCATTACTGCCGACAAAAAAATCCCAGCTGATTGAGCATCGTACCCACTTCCGGACCAAAGGATTACGGTTGGCGAATCTGACATGGTGGCGCAGTCGCAATTATAAGATCAGGGATTCTCTAATGGGCAACCAAAAAAAGGCCAACAAATATCCATCCCTTTGAGTGATAACATCCCTCGCTTTCACAGCGTCGCAATGGGGGGAGACAATAGTCTGCATGAAGGGCGGTAGAAACCAAGGCTTTTATTTACGTTATTGTTTTTACTCTACTCTATTCTACTCTAACTAGTTATGACCCATCCGACACGGCCAAAACTGGTGCGGATAAGGTGTGAAGAGACGAGGTTTTTAACCCTCTCTTATCTCTTTTTTTTCATTTACTTTGAGAAAATTACTTTGATTCCTGCCGAAGGAGGCCAAAAAGAAAAACCATGCGTGCCAGGAACGCCCACATGGGAAAAGAAAAAGAACTCCCCCGGGGTGAGCCCACCTTGCCGTACATTACTCCCGCAAGATTCAACGCCCAACCAGCTGATGAACGGATAAGCAAACCGGTGCAGGAAGACAAAGTCTATGAGTAAGCTAGCCCCAGTTACGAATCAGCCCCGCCGCCGTACAACATGCCGTTTCATGGATTCGCGAAATCGACGCCTTTATATATCCTCTTCATTTTCGGCTCCACCCATACCGTCAATAGGAAACGCTAGAAATGATGAGTCAGCACGCTGCATTCGAAGCATCAAAAATATGGCTAGGCTCCAAACTGCGGCACACAGCCAGGGAATATAGAGATTTAAGGCAATAAAAGAACTTAAATGAAGGAAATTTGACTCTTCGTAACATCGTCCTGTTGAATCTTCGCACAACTGATGATTCAATCGCAGTTGTTCAATGGGACCATAGCACTGAAGCTACCGGTTGCTGTGATCAGCACGTATAAAGGCCCTTGGGAATTTTGGATTCCCGTATATCTACTGGAGTAAGGCCACGTCGCTTTTTACCACCAATAATGCGATCGATGTCTGCGCAAGCTTCTAATCGAAAAGTCTATGACTGGCTCTCAATGCCATCGGTGGTGGCTGGCTTCGAAAACAGTTTTTATGCATGGATGAAGGCTGATCTGAGTTGCTCCTATTGACAATACATGTACTTGACATGCGCGTACCTCAATATACACGACCGCTTGCCAAAAAAATATAACCCCCCCCAATTGTTCTTTACAGAATGACTGCACATGGTGCGCGCGGAAAACGTCGCACGCTTCCAGTGCTTGGTAAGATGGTAAGCGCTTATTCTTTTCGGCAATCGTAAAAGCGGGAACGGGGTTTCAAATACGTCCATCCATGAGGCGGAGAAGACTCCTTTCCTGAGCACAGAAATGGCGACACCTGGCGACACCTGTGCGTTCTTCATATGATTGCCATCGTCAAATGATGTATCCGTGGAGGACCCTGGAAAAATATTTAAGGCTTATCATTAATTGTATCAATTGGTTCCTGAATCTATTCATGATCCTGAGAAAGATCATATGGTACTACGCGTCATTGACTTGAATGAATTCATATTCCAGTTAACAATATGAAGCCCGTCTACTTTTAGCCATGATCCACATTACCAAGCAAAGTCAGGTTCATTCAAATACATAAGTCATATAAAAAACAGAGGCAATTTTGAGGGTGGTAACAGGCGCTATCGAAGCATCATTGATAATGACTTTTCTGAGAGTTGCACAGAAAATAAGAATAGTTAGAAGTCCTATTGTATGGAAATCGATATATTCCAAATATGCCTTTGTGTAATGTTACGTTCCTGCGATCATTTTTATGCAAGCAATCATTTTTATGCAAGAGAGTATTTCATGTTCTACGCGAGATCGGTTTTGAGTACAAAGTAATACATCGCTCGTTGTGACCCTGGAGTGATACCGATTTTTTCGAACTATTACCGCACCGCACCTCACTGCACTGCACAACATGCCGGGCAATTTCAATCCAGCTGAATATATCTATCTGAAAATATAGAAAATATCATACTAAGTAAACATTCGAAACATCGCGCGCTTATCGAAACTTTTAGGCAATGACCCCTTAAAGCACGGCTATATCTTCAAGGAATTGGTAGAATCCACTTTGGCCGGACGCAAGGAGGTAGTGATAGCAGATCATCGATGCCAAATTGGAAGAAAATCTTAGTGATGGAAAATGCTGAAAATTGAAAGCAAGGCACCCAAGCGCAGTATCTCTGGTCATGCTCATTAGCAGGACATGAATTTATAAAGACATAATACAGTCAAGAATAAAAAGAAATAAAAACGCACGTCCTGGAACATGGGATATCTTAGGAAGGAGTAAGAGAGAGGGATGTTCAAAACACGTCTCCTTCAATTTGTAGGGCCTAATTTACGGAGACCTGCATGATAAGATTTATTCGGTGGTGCCACTTTACATTCGAATATAAACCTCACAGTTTTCTAGAATTGGCGATTTTTCGTACAGATATTGGTTCCAGCATGAAGTTTGCTAATGTGACATTTTTCTCCGTTATTGTGCTGATCGGTATCGCCAATACAGCCTCCATTCCCAGTATTTCAGATGATAATGATCGTGATCGCAGCAGTTTGGATACTCTATATCCCATTATTCCAGAGCGAACTCAGATTCCCATCCGTATACCCACGTATGATACAGCTTTAGATAACCACAAACTAAGCAAAAGAGATGCAAATACGGCAAAAGAAATCAATGGCACCCATCCACAGCTATTGTCCGCTGATTCTACGGATGAAGTTTTTACTGCGTCTGCCGAACATCGCGACAGACTAGTGTTCCACGCCAAGTTGACGTCCATCGGCTACTGTGATACAGTTATTACAGGCGGCAAATTTGATTGTGACCAATGCTCGATTATCAAGAAACCACACCTTGTAGCAACGTTCAACGATGTCGCTCATGATACGGCCGGTTTCATTGTTCGGGACGATGAGGAGAAAAAGATATACATGTCTTTTCGAGGTTAGCTTTTATGGCTGAATGCACCCATGAAACATGACAAACTGATTTCTTCTACCTTTGGCTTGCCATCATTCTAGGTGCTTATTACCATCAGAACCCTCTAGAGGTGAGTAGCACGGGAGAACAAAGCAGATCATACATTGTAATTCGGCTTCGTTCTCACTTCTTCAATAGGCGATTTCTGTTCAACAGACCAGGTACGCACCAGTCCAAGATGCGCTAGTGGCAACCTGTAAGTAATAAGTGAGTTCACGTTTGCCATTTGATTCCCTTGGTAGGTAATCGGTTTTGAATAGCGTCTTATGACTCATATATTGAGATCCAAACACTGGTTATACCAATGTTTGCCAAGGAACTGGACGCACATCCAGATTATACACTGGAAGTTTCAGGGTAAGCAGCCGGTTGAGAGGTGCTTTTGCTGTGCGCTTTTTTGACAAGGGTTCAATGATTTAGTTATTCGCTCGGCGCTAATACGGCTATCTTTGCCGCGATGGATTTGTATCAACGCGAGCGACGAATCACCGCTGATAATCTTAGTATCTATAATTTTGGTTCGTAAATTACGTTAGCGTCTACGTTCTCTATATACTACAGTGTGTGAGGCTAACGCTGCAGACTATATTCATAGGCGGATTTCGTCCCGGTAATTCGGTATTTGCATCTTACGTGGAGGGAACAGGGATCCCGTTTCAGCGGGTGGTGCAGTATCGAGATGGTAGGTGGGCGATGTTATTTCTGGGAGTAATACCGTAGCTAAGATACACATGTTTGATTTACTAGCCGTGCCTCACTACCCACCTTCAGTTCTTGGCTTTTCTCATGCTGGCACCGAAAATTGGGTTTCTAAGGATGGAAACAAAGTTTGTGAGTGATTCGCAGTTCAATTTTGGTACGAATCACACAATACTTATTGCACGGCCTTTATTCAAGATATCTGCAAGGCTGAATTAGAAAGCGCTCAATGTTCGAATTCGGCTCTTCCTGCCCCAGACTTGAGTTATCATTTGAGGTAAGCGGTACTCTCCTCGATGGCACCCCATGAAATTCACACGTCTCATCACATGCGACCGCTTAGATACCTCAATGTCGATATGAATGTATGCGGCGATTCTCAATAGTGCACTCTGCAATCCTTCAAACTTTTGGCAAGATAAATCGCGAATTGCTTCACTTTGTAACAGTAATAATTATTGTCACATTGTGGCCAAATGCATTATTTCATTGTTGAGCTATATAAAACCAATTAGTTTGGCAAATAATCGATATGTGCAGACACACAGAAGCGAATATTTTTTCTAGAAAAGCGTGCCATTGCCTCAAAATTCTGTAACATCATCAGAGATATAAGCTTCTGCTAGCCATTACCTCATCCGGCGATATCCATCAAACTGGCACTATTGTTTCGATGGCACTAGCATCTATAATTGCTGTATGTGCCGCATAAGCATCTTTTATTTCATGCATCGATTTTCGCTTGGTAAGCAGCTTGTAGGGAATATTTCAATTGGCTATACGGGGATTCCATTTTTGTGGATATGTGAATCTGTGATTTCTGAATGGTAACTTATTAATATCATGGTAACGGAAAACAGTGCCAATGCGGTACAACAGTCACTGGACAATGTTTGTCGCATAGCACGAATAGCACAAAGAGACAAGTGCAACGTGTGTCAAAAGCACTAGGTGGCACAGAAAAAAAAAGCTTATTTGGTATTGGATCGTTCGGATGATCGAACTTTAACTGACTTTGAGATTAATTACTTTTTTAACTATTGTTACTGATCACGTTGCGGTATCTTATGTGTGCTGTAACGATGATCTTGAGCAGAAAATATGGTCGGTTGAGAAAATCATATGTGTACCTTTTTTTTAATTTCATCTGTGTGACGGGAGTGGTTAGGAGAAGGTCACCACTCGGCTAATTCCCATCGCTAACTTCACTGACAATGGACTGCGATATAAATACACCGTTAGTTTTACGATAGCGAAAAAATAAATAAAAAACCTTACATTTTCAAGCTGTGTGCTTGACCCACCTGAACTATTTCTTGAAGCAATGAAAGTAGCTGTTGTATTACTATCGTGTTTAGCTGGTTTAAGCTTGCTTTTTCCTTTGTCCAACGCGGCACCCGTGGATCCAAAGACGGCGGCTGCAGTCTCACTGCCTCCCATTATTGCCAATCGAACCCGACTTCCGCGGACCTTGCCAATGGCTGATCTCATGTCAGAACAACGCGCCATGGATAGCAATGGGAAACTTCCTAATGGCACCGAGAATAAAGGAGGCATGGCACTAGATGCTCCTCCTCAACCGGCGACGCGTCCCCGTGCGGCGTATGCATCGAGCAACACTGGTGTTTCTCTCGCATCGGTAGACCACATTGAGGAGTTGACCTTTTACACCAAGTTATCGTCCATGAGCTATTGTGATTCTGTGATCCCGGGTGGAAAACTTGATTGTGCACAATGCTCGGCCGTCAGCGGTGCCACCATGGTGAAAACTTTTTCCACGCTTCTTTACGACACAAATGGTTATATTATTCGCGATGATGCCAAAAAGAAGCTTTATTTGACTTTTAGAGGTACGTATAATTACTTTTATTCTCTGTTCCTGAACAACGATTCACTGACACTGACCTTTGTCCTTTGTTTAGGCTCTAGTTCCATTCGTAATTGGATTGCTGCAAGTATTTTCTACCTGACGATTCATCTGTGTAAAGGTGAATGACATCTTATTAACTCGTTTGGTTAGGATTTCACCTTTATTGCCACCAGTTACACGCCGGTGAAAGGCGCTAAAGTTCATACAGGTAAGAAGCGAGGATCAAGGTGACACACAAAGAAATGAAGAAAACCTGCTAACTATTTCCATCAGGGTTCTATAATTCGTACAAGGAAGTCGCGCAAAATGTGATTTTAACAATGCAAAAGGAGCTGGACGCTCATCCTGACTATGACACGGAAGTTTCGGGGTAAGCTATGCGAGGACGAATTAACCTCTTTGTCTAGGTTTGGACTCTTTCAATTCCTTTTAAACATCAATTTGATAGACATTCGTTGGGTGGTGCAATGGCTGTGCTTGCTGCATTGGATCTGTACCAACGTGACATCCGATTTACACCCGACAACCTTCGTATTTTCACTTACGGTTAGTATACTCTAACGAGATAAATGCTCGCTTCTTACTCACAAAAATATACTATGAATAGGTGCCCCACGTGTTGGCAATCCTGATTTCGCGTACTATGTTACAGGTACCGATATCCCATTCCAGCGCGTGGTGCACGATCGCGACAGTAAGTACAACACCCAATAAGACCCACTGGAGAACGACAAAAATTCAAATCATTCTCAAATACACTGCAATGACCAGTTGTGCCTCATTTACCTCCGCAAGCCTTCGGTTTCCTTCATCCCGGTATTGAAAATTGGATCGTCGATGGAGAAAACAAAGTCCGTAAGTAACACAGACCGATCAGGGCCCCCACATTAGAAAAGATACTCTGCAGGTTTCATAACGCAAACAATCATAGAAATATGTGAGCACGAATTGGAAACCTCTCTTTGCTCAAATTCCATTGTTCCCTTCACCAGCATTCTCGATCATTTAACGTAAGCAAATCATATGTGCCTCAATGATATATTCAAACTCGCTCATGCTGGGACAACCCTCTTTCCAAATAGCTATTTCGACATCAATGTTGGAACTTGTTAATCAATACAGTCCAAGTACTAGGATTTACTTACTTAATGCTACAATGTATTCTATATAACAGCATTTTCTCTATTAAAAGTGATACGTCCATGCGAGTATTTTCTCTGTCTCAAAAAAGAGAACTTGAAGCGGCCCAAAAATTTCTTCAGCAATAAAATATTGCACACTGCAAAACAGTCAAGTTATAAAATGTACGGAGTCGACAAAATGACAACCCTTTGCAACAAAAATGTACTATTTCCCATAAATTCCTGGGCGAGCAATAGTTAACGGACGTGTGTTCACCCGCCCTTTAAAAAAAAATCGTTATTTTTACTTTTATTTTTGCAACAAAAATGTCGTAACTGACAGGAGTACTCAAATCTGAAATTCCTAGCCGTATGGCATTTCCTTGTTGTGATTGGCTAGACGCTTTATACTCCGCCCGGATGTTTCAAAAATAAAAGTAGGGCCCACCGTGGATTGAACACGGGACCTAGGGATCTGCAATCCCTCGCTCTACCGCTGAGCTATAAGCCCTTTTTGCAAAAAATTTTTGAATGACCAAATCATTCGAAATATCACCTTTGCCGGACAATCACGTGATGGGCCGACAAAGTGTCGGGATTCGCTGTCAAGGTTTACCGGAATTATCGGAAAGGGTGCTTTTGCCCCGGAATACTGTTTATTTTTATTTTTGTAGTGTGACTAAGAAATAAGAGAGGCATTGGGGAGACTGATATATAATGGGAAGGACTTGCAGCCTCTTTTCTACTAAGCAACGTGTTTCCAATGGTCAAACTCTACTGGGATGATTTGCGTCTGTTAAATTTAAAGGGTAATTATGTTTTTATGATCTTTCTGACTGCAGACGATTTCTTTCTTTTATCACCTCCCAAGCGAATATCATCCTTGTAACCGCTATATTTACTATATGGCTAAAGTCATGCTGCTATTTCCAATTCCACTGGCTGTTGCGGTTCCGCTCGGTCTCTCTATGAGAAATGTGGATCATAAATATGCTAACGGCAGGTGAACATTGCAGAAGAAAAGGGCGTATACACGTAATGCCACGGGTTATCGGATCCTGGCTTTTGCTTGGTTTTCGGATCATTGTAGGATTCTGCATGATTATCATGACCAAGAGTAAAGACGTATTAGCAAATGACATTTTCGACAATGGATTATATTACATTCATGGATCAACAGAAAATTACATGAGCAAAGTTGTAATATAGAGGTAGTAATAGATTGGGGAGTCAAAAAAGAAGACTATAAAGATGGAAAAAAAAGGTTGCCTGGTTTATGAAGATTTAAGCAGCTTGCGAATGAAATCAATGCGTTTTAGTTGAGCGGAAGCTGGATTGCGTTCCTTGAAGCCGATGGGCGGTCGCAGTAATACAGTGAATTTTTCAACAATGAATCTTCGACGTTCATCGCGAGACTCTGAGGGAGCATAGCGAATAGCATCTCTGAGGAAATCAATGATATACAGCACAACATTAAAATGAATGGCCGGCAAATTCTCTCTCAACTACAAGGAAGAGGCTGCAAGTTAAAAAAACATCGATCAAACCTCAGACAATTCAATGGGATACTTACCAGTGACATGACTTCAACCATATCTGCAGCATCCAAGGCTTGTGTATACAGGTCGCTAGGTATGACCGGTTCGGGAAGACATTCTAGAAACGCGATCAATACATCGATCATGGAATTGGCGCCAATGGCTTCCTTGTGCGCATTGTCGTTGGAAGTGCTGGTATCATCGTTGCTTTCATCTTCATCGTTATCGATGCTTCCGCCCAGTAAAACCGAATTATCGAACTGTTCACCGGTATCAAGGCATTTTCGGATATACTTTGAAATTACAGGGTCCCCGTGCTTCAAAAAGAGAGAGGTCTACATTGACAATCCATGCATTCATCCATCATCCAGGGGTTAGAACGCAATATGGATGACCAGCCGCCTTTCTGATACTTACAATGCACAACATATTTTTATTCCACAAGAAATTCAAGACGCGCCATAATTCCTTTGGCAGGCTTGCTTGCTGTGGTCGTACTTGGGCTGGTGAGGCGGGTTGCTCTTTGGCGGTCACGGCGCCCAGGGAGACTTGGTTCACAGGCACCGTCATCTGGGCGAGTTTGTCCAGCGGCATACCGAAACAGGTGGGAATGTAGTTACCGGAAATCACGATAAAGAAATCTTTGCCATTGACTAAACGCAGCACGAGGATGTCGTCAATTTTCTCTTGGCCTTGGTTGAAAGGGGGCGAAAAAGTGGGATCGATCATCAATTCGAATTGAATTACCACTTTTTCACCGGGGCCAATGACGCCTGACAAGGGCTGAATTTGAAGCCAGGGCGGGCACACGTTGTCTTGATCCATCTTGGATATAAAACAGAACGGCGCCAGCACTTGGCCGGTATTTTCCAGAACAATCTTCTTCTCCTTGTATTCCAAAAATTGAACATCGCCAAAATCGACAAACGACGTAGAAATCTGGCCCTTGGTCAAATTGTCTTGCGTCTCTTTGAGCTGACGGATCAATTCTTCTCGAGTGGCTTTTTGTTTCTTTTCATTGATTTTTCGTATCTATGCCCATCATTGTAACAGCCTCCATCGTCAGCGCAAGAAATTCACTCATGTCGAAATGACGCTGGATAATTTACCTTGGCCTGCATTAAAGCGCGAACGGGTTTGTGATCACTGACCATCATCTCCATGCAATTGTTATAATCGAGAAGTTTCAATTTCGACGTTGGTTTCTCGTTGTCGTCTGCCGAATCATCCACGGTCATCTTTTTCCACAAGATGCGGTCCGTCCAGGAAGGTGCTCGGCGCTTCTCACTGTGAACACACATCCATCATTGAGTTTCCCATTTGAATGTATTTTTCACCTGTAAGTGAGTCTCCATTTTTACCTTGTATCGTACTGATTGGTGCCTGGGTCATACTTGTAGGTAGGTAAAAAGTTGATTTTGCCTTCATCAAACATGGGAAAAGTTCTGCCCGCTTGTCGCTCGATGGATAGCTAGAGAAATCACATCTCATCATCGTACCGTACCCTATAAGTAATGTGTATACAATGGATGATTTACCTGATCGTATTCCAGTAAAAGGTCCAACTCACCACGTTGTACTCGTGCCTTGATCTCTGGTTCGGTCAAATTAATTCGGTAATTGAGATCGCCTACCCAGATCAAATGACTATCCGGAGCCGTCAGCTTTTAAAAACGGAAGAACCCCCCCCCCCTCTCCCTTCCTATTCCACCAAAGAATCTTACTCTGCATGGAAAATGGAGACTTCTTTCGACCAGGGACGGATGACGCCATTGGAGTCCAAGAAAGCAACGCCTTCATCGCCACCATTGTTCCAAGAGTAATTGACGTAATCCGTAATGGGATCCAACTGATTGGGAAAAAACAAGCGTTTGGAGATCTCAGTAAAATCCTGATTGCGTTTCTCAGTCTTGTCCAAAAAAGCGGCCAGATGGCTGGTGACAAAGCACAGATAGGAATCGTGATAACGGAATCGAATAGCCACGCCACCTTTATTTCCCTAGCAATGACGGTAAAAAATGCACTTTCAGTATATGCGAATCTTGTGTCATACCGTCTGCATCTGTTTACCATCATGTTCATTAAACCCACTCCTGCGTAACAGGTTTGTACTTCAGAAACGGCGGGCATAATGTCCGTTTTTGCAATGACAATCAAGAGCATGGTCACCAATTGTTTCGATGCAACCTATGGCGATGAGCCTGTAAGACAAATTTTAATTGTTAAAGGGCATCCAGAGGCGTTGTACCTTTGCATAGTTTCGTTTCGCACTTTTCAGAGTTTCCAGGATCGCATGGACCCATGCTGTTTCTTTTGCAGGATCATATCGGATATAAGCCTCTGTACCTGTCTCCATTTCTTGCAATCTACCGTCATTTATCGACGTGTTAAAAATAATTCATTTTGACGGCCGAAGCATGCACAAAAAGGACATTTTACCCAATCACGTAAAAATCTGGATCAAACTGACTAGCTTCCTTTGTCCTTAACGTGCCGAGCAACCAGGTGGATAATGTGGGTGGAGGAGAGCTTCCATGAACATTCCAGGTACCTGCAAAGATACTATGGGGCGCCATTTCCATGTTATTCAATCCACGTTTTTCCTCTTCCATGTAAAACTGACAGGGACTCCTACTTTGCATCCTGCCAATCGACAAACTGATCCTCCTGATCCATGAGTCTGGCGTTGATCCAGTGTTGTTTCGCTGTACTGTGGGTAAGCTCGGGGGCTCTTTTCGCACGAGCGGTTTTGGCTCTTCGTAAGTGAAGATTGGCCAGTGTCTCGGATCGCTGTAATGGAAGCACATATGGAATGGAACTGGTATCCTTGGACGACACCGTACTTGCGCGTGATAATTTCCTCTCATCCTTTATAATTTCTGAAAATTGGATAATAAAATGATTGAGTACCTCACCCTATGCCAGTAAACTTGAAGAATCCTCGACAGCAGCAAACCTCACCTTTTGCCTTTTTGTATGCATCGATCCAGTGATGATTATCTCCTCCTTCACGATAACCGCATTCCTCTATCAACCCATGACACGCATTGTTATCACAAATGTTACAAGTGAAGCGTCATTCGCATTGAAACTTTACCTGCTATGGAGTGCAATCGTCGCACTTCTGCTACGATATCGAGCATGGCCTGTTTTTCAGGAAAGGTCATGCATATCGAAGTCTGGTTGTGTGAAAATTTGACCAGCAGAGCTACCCGTTCAATGGAACCCGTTGAGTAAAAAAAGAGGTAAAAAAAAAAGCTCAGTATGGATGCTCAAAGTTGTTTACCTGGTTGTGCATTTTTTTCTTGATGTTTGACTTGGGCTTTGGCAAAAAACGTGAGAGATTTAATAAAGCGTGTATGTTAGCTCCGACGGATAATTCACCACATCTTACAGATATCAATTTTCAGGCTGGAATAAATGGGCAGTACTTGCACAATGACGGGCAGCGTTCGAGGGTCTTGTTGGTCCTTCAACACCAATAGACTAATCCCATAACGAAGCAATGAGTCGGTCGTATTCACTTTTTGTTTGACTTCTCTTATAACACCGAGTTACCAAGCTTCCTGCTTGTTTTTTGTGGCACCATCGCGGACCACTACCGCCAAAATATGACCTGGCTGGGCGTGAAGAGCTTCAGAAGGAACGGGGGATTCACTAGAATGGAGTCTAACTACACTGCAGTACGATGGAGTTAAGGAAGTCGTCCGTGTGTATCACAGAGAAAAAGGACACAAATGCCAAGAAAAAAAAGAGTTGTCGCTTCGGAAGGACGAACAGAAAAAGGATATGTATTCGGCTTTATCGGGAGGCAATACGAGACCGTCTACGGCGGGACTGGTAGACTGTTTACGTGGAGGCGATGGCATTCTTGAAACTGTCAGGATGAACAGTGGAGTGCGGTAACTTTCTTTTCTGGGTTGTCGGGAATGAAAAAAATACGATTGACTCGAAATGGCCATGGTCCAGCGACACCCAAACACGGAGTTTAAAAATGTTTTGCCCATAATTGAAAGAATGGCAGTGCCACTGGGACTGTGGCTTGTGACGAAGGGGGACTCAGGATCAGCGGGGCGGTTCGGTTCAGCTTTTTTGGTCCCCCTCACCATACGCGTTTTGTTCTTTTTGCTGGTCATGGCACTCACTTTAAGAGAGGAAAATTTTATTGTCATTGACAATGGATCGCAGATAATTAGAGCCGGCATTGGCATGAACGACACCAATAAGCCTCCCAGTGTGGTAAAAACTCACCGTTCTTTTTCCCTAAAAAAACCATAGGTCCCTCTGTATCGACTCATCTTTATCGTAGAACTTGTCAATGGCTGCATATAACCACCCCATTCAACGTCACACCATCACATCCTGGCAAGATATGGAAGCATGCTGGTAAAGTTCCTTATTCTCTTTCCAGTAACCGTTTCCCACGTTCCTTTTCCTCAAAACCCATTCCTAATTTCGTCACCCTCACACCCATCAGGAATCACATTCTTTTCAAAGAACTGGGATTAAAGAAATCACGTAACGAAAGCCCTGTCTTATTAACCGTGCCTGTGCAATGGACCAAAGAGGAATACGAACGCATCACACAAATATTTTTTGAAGAATTCAATGTTCCCGGTATCTACATTACTCAACAACCCGTGCTTGCTTTGTACGGATGTGGATCGGTGTCGGGCATCGTCATCGATATCGGTGACGAAATGACAGGTGCAGTCATTCAAATACAAAGAATGAAAAACACTCCATGAACTGACAATTGTATCAAAAAGATGTCAATGTGGTCATTGACAGCATTGTGCAGCAGCATTCCAATTTCGCGATCCCTATTGGAGGACGACAATTTGATCAATATTTATTGCGGTTAATGAAGGAGGATAGTGCGTTGGTGGAACAGATGAAAACAGCTCAAGTCGACCTGGATGAAGAATTCGCAAGATATGTACGAGAGCAACCGGACGTGTGTGTGGTGTCGGTAGGCCATACAGTGGAGGAGAACCTTTTATCGAGCGAAGTGCCTTCGGCCGTTGATATCGCACCCACATCAGCCACAGAAGAATTTCTAGATGGAGCCACCGATGGAACATCCAAATTGGAAGAAGAACCTACCGATGTTCCAGACAACGTGGAAATAGAATACAAAGGACACAAGGTATATCAAAGGAACGGTCCACTGCATTGCATCAAGACGGATACAGGATCTAACGATGACGCGAGTCTAGTTTACCGTGGGGGCTTATCGTCATAAAGTGATGGATCCGTTGTTCACGCCTGATTTATGCGGCTTTGATGCGCTTTCATTCAATGATGCAATGCGCCTTGCTGTGATGAACTGTGAACCACCGGAAATGCGGCCTAAATTATGGGAAAACATCGTCCTGACAGGTGGATGCAGCCAAGCGAGCCAATTGCAGAGACGGATAAAAGCGACGCTTCAAGTCTTCTTGCCTCGGTCCGATAATGCTGGTGACTCCCAGCCTAGAGTCTTGGGCTTTTTAAGGATACCCGACTATTTTACGGTGCTCAAAGATCGTCAGTACCAGCGCTTGTCTACATGGTTGGGAGCCGAAATCGTCGCCAAGGTAAGAGACCAAACAATCACATTAGTCCTACTCAGAAAACTAACATATTAATTGTGTACCAATGGTCAGCTCGTATTTATTGATGCCAAAAATTATATAAGCAAAGTAGATTATAATGAGCACGGTCCATCAGTTATCCACACCAAAAGCTTTTGAAATGACGCTCTTTCCCCTTCATCCACAAAAATCATTCAATAAAACCTCCGCCGACCAATCATAAACCATTTTTCACAGAAATTCAGTGTCCCTCTTTTTTTTTTTTTTTTTTCTTCTTTTGCTCCTGTCCCGTTGGTTCTGCACTTCATTTTCATCTGGCACCATGCGCTTGAAAGGCTTTTCTAGCAGAAGAGCATTCACATTTCTTCTCATTGGCCTGTTGGTGCTTGCGACACTTGTACCCAAAGTCAAGGCATGGGAACAAGGTAAGCTTTAAGGGAAAAGAGATGTTCATCATGGGAGACCAAGTCAGTGCATGTCAGTCTATTAAGCGCGCGGATGATGATGTATAGGCGACTTTGAAATCTTTGATCTGGTTGATGAGCTTGAAAAGTCCGAAGGCAAGGACGTCAACTTTTACAGCTGGTTGAATATTAAAGTAACGTATCGCTGGGGGGGGGGAAGAGCGGCATCCCATCATTGATTTTTATGATCTAACTTAATTTTGTTGTAGCCCAACGCTTCTCCCAACGATATCGGTAAAGCGTACAGAAAAATGTCGCTTAAACTTCAGTAAGGCACCCTTCATTGAACTACTCTTTTTGTTCTCGCTCTTTCCCCTTTCTAATTGACCTATCATGCTGCGTATAGTCCTGACAAGAACAAGTCCGATAAGAAAGCCAAGGAGCGTTTTGCACGATTGGGCAAAATCGCCGCCATTTTGCGTAATCCTGCCAGCCGTGAACGATACAATTTCTTTTACAAGAATGGTGTCCCGCGTTGGCGAGGAACCGGATACCTGTACCAGCGTTTCCGCCCTGGTGTGGGTTTTGTTTTGGGCTTCCTTTTTGTCGTGATCGCCGCCATGCAATACATGACCCGATGGATCATACACTATCGCGAAAAATCAAAGATCAAGGAACTCATCGATGAAGCCCGATCCACCATGCATGTGAATATGCCAAAAGGCCACACCGCGCCTTCCTTTGGTCGAAGCTATGTGACAATTGGACAACGTGCGTTGCGTTGTGAGGTGAAATCCGATACGTACATCATTGTATACCCCGAAGGCGAACACGATCCCGTGCATTTGGATATCAGCAGCATGGCTCCCCCTCGCATTTGGGAACTGTATATTTTCAGATGGCCCGTCTCTCTGTATTACAAGGTATCCGGTAAAAAGCACCCAGTGCCTGCTGCCGAGTCCGAGGAAGAAGGAGACGATGACGATCGCAAAGCCGACGTAGACACAGACGAAACCCAAGGTCAGAAAGCTGCCAAAAAGAAGAAGAAGTCGGAAAAAGTGGCTGTAACAGGATCTAAAGTCGGTGGTCGAAGACGTGCTGTTAAAAAGAACCAATAATTTATCTCAAGAATCGTCTTTTGGTGGATGCATTTTTGATTAGACAATAACCTTTTTTACATGAAAAATTACACCCTATTTTTACACGTGTAAAATAAATTGAACATATCTTACGGCAATCCTTTTGCAAAATGGGCAAGATACACAAAGGTAGTGTCCTTGCTTGCGCAGCGGAAGCAACACCTTGAAGGGAAGAGAGTTGCCCTTGTTCGTTGATCGTGAAGAAATGGATGAGCATGGAAAAAAGAAAAAGACGCCGACGAATTCAATGTCCGACTCTTAGTTCATTGGAAATTTGCGTCACTTCTCGTAGATGAAGCTTGGCAGGCAGTTTTGGACTTTCTTTATCCTATTTTATTTAGCTCTCTGTATACATACACACCATGTCTGACTTTGGCGATTTCAATTCTCCCAATGAGGATCCTACTGCTGATTTCCTTGCTCGTGAGCGAGCGGCCTTGGGCGCAGATGCCGACTTATTTGCTACAGATGATGTGAGCTCACCTAGTCAGTTTACTGGTGCCATTTCGCCTGCGCCCGTCTTACCTTCGCCTTCCGCAATGGTATCTCCCTCCACCGGTGGATTGGGTGCCCAAGACTACAACGATATGCCAACCTCCCATACTGCCGTCTCCCCCAACGGCGCTGGTGACTACTCGGCTTTTGAGCACGAATTCCCAAAGGCCGAAGATCTCGAATCGTCTCAGGTAAACCCGCTTACTGGTGACAATGCATAAGACACTGCAGCTACAACATGGTTTTCTTTTTCAAATAGGCTTTCCACAAGGCCATGTTGCCTGATGAAGAACCAGAAGTCGTACGGTAAGCTTTAAGCTTTGTTCATTGTGACTCATTGAGAAAAGAACCAAGTCTCATCTATGGTGTTTTGCGGTACACAGACAATGGCGTGAGAAGCAAAAGGAAGTGATTGCACAGCGCGATGAGGAAGAGGAGCGAAAGAAGCAAGAAACCATCGAACAAGCGCGTGAAGATATTGATCGATTCTACGAAGAATATAATGAAAAGAAACAGAAAGCCATCGAAGAGAACAGGTCAGTCAACCACAGGTTCTGATAAGCATAAAAGCTTCTAACTGACGAGGTCAACACGGTATCTACAGAGAGCGCGAGGAAAACTATCAAAAGGATCGCGAAGAAGCCTCTTCTGCCAATGTGTGGGAACGTGTGGTGCGCGAATTTGATCTGTCGAGCTCTGCCAAGGCGGCTCGACAAACCCGAGACGTGAGCCGTATGAGAGAACTGATGACGGATCTTCGAAAGGACCCCAAAGCTCCCGGTACCATTGTCCAGGCATAAAGAAAAAAACTTGAAAATATTACACTCTTTTATTGGATTACTTCTTTTTCCCTCTTACTTTATAGTTTCAAACTCATGTGTGTATGCTGTGCTCTAATAAGCTTATGAAGCTCGTTGGAGATGCTATTGACTGACACTGCAATGTTTAACGCGAAGCTTCCTGATGCTCAGGACCGCGCTGACTAATATCTGTGCTTCTCAAGGGAGGCACCATTGGAACCAGTAGATTGCGATGGAGTTGACGTTAACGTTGAGTATATCAGAACTTTCCAGTTTTTGGAAGAGAAATACTAAATAAGAGCCTGAGTTGCAGGATGGTTGGAGGTTTTCGAGGGGAATTTTGGTCAAGGTGGAAGAGGCATGCAGGAAATGTCCGCTCCAACGAACGAAAGGGCGTCGGGAATTGCGCGTGTGGACAAAAATGGCAATTCTAGCGTTTGGGATTTTGTTCGTTTGTGTTCTTTTTTACTTTCTTTCTGCAACTGACATTTTTTTCTCTTTCCCGACTTGACTGTGTGGAATAAGTATGGGTGTCAATGGGACCGAACCGAATGAACCTTCCGGCGACCAGCCTCTTGAGGAAGAATTTTATTCCTCATGGGCACTTCTTATCCTCATGACGCTGCTCATTGGAGCGCTGTGGACAAGCTATTTCCTGCAACTACGCAAAATTCGGGCCATTCATGAAACCGTCATCTCCATCATGGCAGGTATGCAGCCTTTGATAAAGTGTTGGCTACTAGAATGCTTTTGCTTACGACATGCCATCTGGGTGTTCGCTTCAGGCATGATTGTCGGGCTCATCATCAAGCTTTCTCCGGGGACTATTATACAGCGCATGGTCCAGTTCAATCAAGGCTACTTTTTCAACCTTTTACTGCCTCCCATCATTCTCAACTCTGGCTACGAACTAAAAAGGGTAAGCACGCCTGACTGACAACACAAACGGGCAAACATCAAGTAAACAGCGACTCACACACAAACTCGACATAGCGGCATTTCTTTTTAAATTTTGGTACTATTCTGACGTTTGCCATGGTGGGCACATTTATAGCGGCCATTGTCACAGGGTAAGATGGGCAGATGATTTTGTGGAGTAGCCAAGGGCAGGGCTAGGACTGACGGACTTTGGGATGGTAGAACCTTGGTATTCCTTTATGCATTTTTCCACCCCGAAGGGATCCATATCAGTTTTCTGGACAGCATGATTTTTGGATCCATTCTGTCCGCCACGGATCCAGTCACGATTCTCGCCATCTTTTCTCAACTGAATGTGGACCCTCAGCTATTCTCGATTATTTCGGGTGAATCACTGTTGAACGATGCTGTCGCCATTGTGCTTTCCGAGTAATGCGTCGCCTTGTCTCTTTTTTTGTTTCAAACGAGCTCGTCCACGGAAAACTTACTCATACTTTTTTTATTTTTGATCCCAGAACATTGCGTCAGTTCCGTGGACAAGAAATGCATATTATCAATGTATTTAAAGGCATCGGTTACTTTCTTGGCGTCTTTTGGGCTTCCACGGCCATTGGTATTCTGTTTGGTATCTCGGTCGCATTGATGCTCAAATACTCCCAGTTGTATCGTTTACCAAATATCGAAACATGTCTGATTGCTCTTATGGCCTACAGCAGCTATCTATTTTCGAATGGCGTACAAATGTCAGGCATTGTTACATTGTTATTCACCGGGATCACTTTGAAGCACTATGCATATGACAACATGTCACTGCGCACCAAACGAGCTACACGCTACGTTTTTCAAATCTTGTCCCAGCTATCTGAAAACTTTATCTTCATCTACTTGGGTGTGAACCTTTTTACACAAGCCGATCTCGATTACAAACCGATTTTTATTCTAGTCACCACGGTAAGTAACCCTATTCTCTAAAACCTTTGCGGGTGTGCTGTGTGCTAAATGATGAGCGTAGATCGTCATTTGCATTGCGCGTTACTTATCGGTCGCACCGTTATCTCTGCTAATTAATTGGATTTCCCGTGCGTTTCGGCGACCCGAGCCCTTACCGCGATCTCATCAAGTGATGCTGTTTTGGAGCGGGTTGCGTGGGGCCGTAGCCTTTGCGTTGGCATCGGGCATTACGGGCGAAAGCGCGTCCGCTATGCGAATCACCATCCTCGCTGTCGTTGTATTGACCGTCCTGATATTCGGCGGCACCACCAATCGCATGCTTCAAGTGTTGGAAATCCGTACGGGGGTGACCGAAATGGACGATCCAAGCAGTGACGAGGAAGAAGATGTGGACCCTGGTCAGTGGCGTCGAAGACCGTCGTCTTATCGCCGACAAAGCAATGCCGGTAGTCGGGAACGGTTGCTGGATTTGAGCGACGATGAAGGCAGCCCAAGTCACCACCGACGTGGATCTTTCAGAAATGATCCTGTGGATGTCTCCATCGGTGGGCTGTTATCCGGACCGTTAGGCAACCCTATTCCTGACCCAGATCGAGCGCACTGGTTCATGTCGTTTGATGAAAAATACCTGAAACCGTTCTTCACCAAACGTCAAGTGCAAGCACGGAATCAAACGCTGGCAGAGTACTGGAAGCAAAAGCGACGGAACATGGACCGAGAAAATCGCCACATGCTCGCCGGGGTCCGCGGCATGAGTTTCGGATTGGAGTCGCAGGCAGACGATGACGAATTTGATAACGAGGCAGTCAATTTGAATACCGTGCATGGTAACACAAATCATCAAAACAATATACCCATTCAGTCGTCGTCGTCACCCCGGTTTCCGCGCACCTCATTTAGTAATGCGCCTTCATCCAAACTGGTGATTGGATCTGGAAGAGTGTTTGGCCGATCACCATCGTCTCCGCCCGACGGGTAAACAAACAGACCGGATCGACCATGGCAAAAAGGAAGTAGATTAAAAAATTAGCGATAGAATGAACTTCCAATCCCCTTGGCATCGTTTATTATCCAATGTACATTATTTCATTTCTCTACATATTAGATTCCAGAAAACAAAGAGAGCTTTTAAAGCATTTCCGATCTGTGAAATCTGTTTTTGTTAAAAATGGAATGCAATGGGAGGAGGGGGGGGGGGATGTGTAACGGCTGTCATATAAATTCAGAACACTGCATCAAGGACATGTGCAAGTCATCCAGCCAGATCAAATTTGTTCCCTTGGACTAAATTCTACTTTTTACATCTCCATGGATAAGCGTTCACGGCAGTGAAGTTGGTTTATTGCCTCGCTACATGTTCATCGGCGAAAAAGCCTGAGAACACCCGTTATCAAACGCCCGCTGTCCATTCATGGAAATAAAAAGGAATCAATGATACTGATGCACCAATCATATTTCAAGCTCATCACATCAGTGATCCATTCACTACACGCTTTTTTCCATGCGATCCATGCAACAGGCACATGAACGGAAAGCACAGTTTTCTTTCGAAGCTCTATAGACAATTAGACAGTCCTAAAAGGAATATGGAATTTTGTTAATCCCCATTTCTCTCTTTGCTTGTATTGATCAACATTAAGTACATAAAAAGCCTTACTTGCTGCGAAAAACCCTGTAATTGTGGAATGCGCAGAGGAGCCATGGTTACAGCACAAATCGCATCGGAACTGGGAAGTTCTTGCTCTGATATTGCAATGTTTAACGTAACGGGAACAATTAATGCGAAAGTTGTAATCTTTAATTTGTTTAGATTGCAGTAAAGCCTCGAAAGCTGGTTGGGCGTCCAGGAAAAACCTCATAAAAGAGTTGCCAGGTAGCCGACAAGATGTATAAAGAAGAACCGATGTACAACCTCAGTGGTCATTAAGAACGAGCAAGCGACGAATGTGACCAAGTCAACAACTCGACGAACGATCATTTCATGCGAACAAGCGGCATTCTTCTTATACAAATGAACAATACTGAATAATGGGACCCTAGGCAATACCAAATACCGTTTTTCTGCTTTATCGATGGAGAAAAAAGAAGGAATTTTCATCTATCAGGAACATTTCAGGCATCTGTGTCTATAACGTACGATGCACCTTCCAACTTATTTTTCTCTCCATCGTACATTCATCTTAGTTGCTTACAGTATAGACTCGTCCTTTTTATTCCATGTACTTTCATAACCGAATCTTTGCATACTCACATTTTCCACTAGTTATTTCGTTGCGTTTGATCAAACAGGTCCTGTACGTATACCGAGACGATTACAATGTCACCGGCTTAAACCTCCACATGTTTGATAGCTCGCGCACCGAAAACTTTTAAAGGCAAGGTATTGTGCTCAAATGGCTCGGGTTTTAAATCTTATGCCGCATCAGTCGTTTAAGGTACCTGAGCTTATCTCTAAAAAATGTACAATATCCATCCGTGTGAGACGACGGCTCCCACCATATGATGACAACAGTTTCTTTTGGGTGAAGTGAAAAAAGTAGAACAAGACATATTTGTCTAATGAGTCTGCCTTTTTCCTTTGGGTTCCTCTCTCCACTAGAGCAGTTCCCGAATTAATTTTAACCTACTTCCGCTCGAACAAATTATACTTGTTTTTTGCAACTGCCATTACGGTATGCGAAATTCTTCAGTAAAGCTGGACATCAGGGTAATGATACCACAAGTTGCCGACTCATGTTTCAATACGACGAATTGAGGTTATTTAGTATGTGGCAAACACGAAATGAAAGATCCCGATGGACGCGCTAATGTCAGCTTTTCCCTCCTCAGACCCCCTTTTTTGTTTTTGTTTTTGGCTTGATGGAAGATGACATGGATAAACGCTTGATTCCAATGATATCATTGGAATACATTGGCGTGGAGGCCGAAAATTGCAAATTGGTACCGTCTAGATGTTTCTCGATTTATGAGTGGGCAATCTGCGTGGAAACGCGATCGGACACTTAACACCTTACAAATTACATATTGCTGCACCGAACAAGGACAAAGGGGCTGATGGAACCTGAATACACTAGAATGAAATGGATCAATCCAACATTGCCTGACAACATACTCTATGATACTAGATATATGACTCAAGCTGAGCTGTAGATATCAACCATCATGCAAAGAAGATTCAATAAACCCTTTCCACCATGTATTGGTTGGATAACTGCAAGGAAATCCGGCCCGGAAATACCCAATACCCTCAACTTTTACGCACCAATATCAACGGATATACAGTAAAAACATGTCTCATAATATAAAACAACATATCTATCCTGGACAGTGATAAATTCTTTTTTATATCCTGAAATAATTGGAACAGCTATCTGCTTATCCAGTACTTGACGTTTTGTCAAACGTTGATCCAGTAAACATTGTCATTTGGACGCGCGATAGACAGATAACTAGAAGGAGCGGTTTGCTATAATATTGATTGCACATGGTCTCATGATGAGAAATGAACAAATATGGCATGTCAAGCAAGTCCTTGACTTTCTGCAACTCAAAAGTGAATTGGTTATTCAAAATAGCTTTTCCCCAAAACGTTCACCTGTGACCAACTCAATTAAAAGAGTCTTGCGCTTCATATTAGAACTACGGGCACCAGGAAACACGATGTCGCCCAGTGATACAGGAGGTTCAATTTTTCGCTTCCTTATTTGTAAACATTGCTCCGATTCAATACCTAACCCCGACCATCGAAGTGACTGCCACGAAAAACTGGATGCCTTATTTGTAAAGCAGCAGACAGTGGCTGTGAAGTGGACCGTTCCAAGATATTGAATGTGGTATTGGGGTAAAGGATTTTATATTTCCAGACGCGCTCTCTCATACTAATCATATTATTCAATTGATAATGTGATGGAGTTTTGTGATGACTAAATGGATCAGCTATGGATTTCAAAAATAAAGGATGTAGTTGATTTGTCTGCCCTGTTACATTCATGTTTTGGAAAAAAAAACTTTATCCAACGGCAAAGGCAGGGTGCTCCACAGATAAGCGTCAGGTTACGGTAGATATGCATTTACAAGTCAGTTGATGTGTGCATGATAAAGTTTGGACCGATTTGGTGATAACAAGTCATTGTAAAAAATGATCTTCACAGTTCAAGGCACATGGAGGTGCACTCCATCGTCGATTTGTGTTATAGATCGATGGGAAGAAATTCTAGATTTATGGGACCAGCTTTACAGAGTTAAGAAAAGTAAATGTTTGCATAGGCTTTTTCTTTATCATTAGCAAGCTTTTCGCCCTTCCAGGTTGTCTCATTCCCCTTTTTCATGATGCAACATGGTTCATTCAGTAAAAAGGTAACGTGATAGACGAGACATCGACAGATCATGAAAGCACAGAAGACCAGAGAAGATTCTCCTCAAATCTAGTACTGAGTCCCAAATTATCGGAACATGCCAAAAAGGATCGTCCCCTTGAGTTCCTTTTCTTTCCTTTTTCTAGTCGTTCGGAAAGTGGAATAACCTGGAAAAAAAAGTTTTTGGGCCTAGGCTTCCACAAATAGGAATCCGCTTGCTCGGTATACCTCTTTTTCTATGGCTTCTCGTGCATATTGTTTATTCTACCTTCTTTTTTTCTTTTATTTCATTTTTTTTTTCACCTATTATTTTCGTCTCCTCAAGCGATGGAACCCATGAATTTCAAAGAGGTCCTGGCAGCACTCCATCAATTCGAATTGAACCAGACGACCGATCCATCGATTATCAGTGAGGAAGACCATCGTTCGCTGCTGGAAATTCATCAAATATCACAGCGGATTTTGAAGCATGACTCCTTGCCACAGACCGCCGATTGTGTTGTATCTGAAACATCAGTGGCCACGCATGATCCATGTTCAGCTTTGGAGCCGCTTCGTGAACAAGTAAATGATTCCTTTCTTTTGATTTTCTTATTTTAATAGTTTCTTTGTGGGGCGGGGGGAGAGGCGCGCACAGAAAAAAGAGAAAAGAAAAAAGATGATCATGGACAAGCAAAAGAAGAAAAAAAAAGAAACCACATGTGATGTATCTTCTTTCATTTGGTTCAGCAATTGTTCATTCTCCAATGATCATTGTTTCTCGAGGGATAAAACTTTATTGGAACCGTGTTTTTTCATACAATCCTTTTTTTTTCTTTTGCCTTGTGTTTTTTTTAATATCATCTTTTCCAGGCACAATGTATTTGCTTGGATGAAGTTGCCCGTGTGACCGCAGCAGTTCAGCAAGGCGATCTGGAACATAGGATATTATGCCCGATTCATCTTCAGTCAGCGCAGGCGTTGAATGACATGGTTGATTATATTAAAGAAATCGTGACACAAACAGTCGATGCAGTCGCCAAAGTCAATCAAACAGGCCAATTAGGTTACCAAATTCGTTTACCGGAACACATTGTTCCCAAAGGCGTCTGGCAAGACTTGGTGGATCATATTAATCTATCATCGACCAATCATCGCGTGCATGTTCAAGAACTCACTCGGATAGCCAAAGCAGTGGCCTCGGGTGATCTCAATCAACAACTCATGTTTGACGTTCAGGGCGATGAACTCCGACTCAAGGAAGCCGTCGATGAAATGGGTAAGTGGACTCTTAGTCCATAAACGAAGAAAGTAATGTTAAACAAAAACTTGATGCATCAATTAAACTTTCTCCGTTTTCTGTGCGACAGTCAATAACCTGAGATCGTGCGCTTCGGAAGTGATCCGTGTAATCCATGAAGTCGGTACTGAAGGCCAATTGGGGGTTAAAGCAGATACAGATCATGTCTATGGCATATGGAAATCTTTGACCGACAATGTCAATATCATGGCCGCCAATCTAACCGCCGATGTTCGTGATATGGCTTTTGTCTGCAAAGCCGTCGCACGAGGCGACCTCACCCAAAAAATTACCGTGAATGCAAGTAGTCGCCTTTTTTTTTCATTCCTTTGTTTCATGTGGGCATTAGACTGAAACTCCATTTTAGGTAAAAGGAGAACTCTTGGAGCTGAAAAATACGATCAACCTTATGGTCGATCAGGTAACGTCCCCGCTTTTTGAGTAGCAGAAAATCATGTTTCAACGGGAAGTGATGGTGCTTCGAAGAAAAAAAAAAATCCAATCCACCATCTGACTCATATCTTGTTTTGGCGTGCGGTCGGTGGCCAGTTGTTAGGATTTGCTACGGAAGTGACACGTGTTGCATTGGAAGTCGGCACTGAAGGCAAATTAGGCGGTCAAGCCACAGTGCACAATGCAGGAGGCACATGGAGAGATCTAACTAATAATGTCAATTTGATGGCCAGTAATTTGACGGCCCAAGTGCGCGATATTGTCGCTGTTTGTAAAGCCGTTGCTCATGGGGATCTTTCCCGAAAGGTATTCCGTCCCATTTCCCAGTGCATGATTCCCTCATCATAGTCCGCCGCTCACCCTTTTCTTTTATCGTTCATGAACCCACAGATTACTGTCAATGTACGAGGCGAAATGCTCGATTTAAAAAGCACCATCAATACCATGGTAACATTGACCCATATTATTCAACCAAGTCGACAAAAAAGTTTGCGCAGCTGACTCTCCCCCCCCCCTTTTTTTTTTCTACTCAAGGTGGATCAACTACGAATGTTGGCGGCGGAACTAACGAGGGTGGCAAGAGAAGTGGGCACAGAAGGCAAACTAGGCGGCCAAGCGGAAGTGCGTGACATGGACGGTATCTGGTGTGATTTAACACTCAACGTCAATACCATGGCTGCCAACTTAACCGCCCAGGTACGAGACATTGCCATGGTATCCAAAGCAGTGGCCAAAGGCGACCTAACAAAAAAGGTAAAGTCTCAAAAATCAAAAAAATTTCAATAGCCGAGTCAATCGAAAGAGCTGAATGCATGAATTTTCTTACATGCAGGTGACCGTGGAAGTTCAAGGCGAGATACTGGAGCTCAAGGTCAGTAGATGAAAAAAACTTGTGAATGTGGCTTGCCAAAGCCGAAAGGGACCACACATCCATGTTTCCGTTGGGCTGATGATAACTTTTTTTTTTTGGATAGGAAACAATTAATACCATGGTGGATCAGCTTCAGATGTTCGCGACCGAAGTGACCCGTGTAGCCTTGGAGGTAGGCACTGAAGGGCGACTAGGTGGTCAAGCAAATGTAAAGGACGTGGCCGGGATTTGGAAAGATTTGACCGATAAAGTCAACATCATGGCCGCCAATTTGACTTCACAAGTGCGATCGATTGCTGCCGTTACCATGGCCATTGCTAACGGCGACTTTTCTCGAAAAATTACGGTCGACGTTCGTGGCGAAATACTCGATCTCAAGGTGTCTGTGAACGACATGGTGGATCAATTGCGGTTATTCGTGGCCGAAGTGACGCGGGTGGCTCGCGAAGTGGGTACCGAGGGAAAGCTCGGCGGTCAAGCTGTGGTGGATGACGTTCGCGGTACATGGAAAGACCTTGTGGATAAGGTGAATACCATGGCCGCTAATCTAACGACTCAAGTCCGATCCATTGCCGAAGTGACTACCGCAGTAGCCAACGGGGACCTCAGTAAAAAGATCGATGTGCCCGTCGACGGCGAAATTCTTGACCTCAAAATCACCGTGAACAGTATGGTGGAAAAACTACGCATGTTTGCAGCCGAAGTGACGCGGGTGGCCAAAGAAGTCGGTACCGAGGGCAAACTCGGAGGTCAAGCCGTCGTCAAAGACGTAGGAGGCACCTGGAAAGATTTAACCGACAATGTCAACACAATGGCGGCCAATATCACCGCCCAAGTACGAGATATTGCTATGGTCTCCAAAGCAGTCGCCATGGGAGATTTGACCAAGGTGGTCACCGTAGAAGTAAGATGTGTCCTCTTTGACTGGCCCTTCACTTTTACTGATACGAACCTTTCTCTTTTTTTCTTTTGATTCATCGCAGGTGAAAGGTGAAATTCTTGATTTAAAATTGATTATCAATACAATGGTGGAACAGGTATGAGTTGGCTAATTTGTGGTTGTGTACACAGATGTAATTGATGCCTTTTTCGTTGCTTCCATTTAGTTGTCTATTTTTGCAACCGAAGTATCGCGTGTGTCGCTCGAAGTGGGTACGGAGGGCAAGCTGGGCGGTCAAGCTGTGGTAAAGCATGTGGATGGTATCTGGAAAGATTTGACCGACAATGTCAACATGATGGCGGGCAATTTAACCACCCAAGTACGATCCATTGCGGCCGTGACCATGGCGGTAGCTCGAGGCGATCTATCGCGCAAAATTGAAGTAGACGTGAAAGGAGAAATCATGCAACTCAAGGTAAAGCATTCTCTCTCTTTATTATATTATATAAAGCTAGATAACCGAAGAAAATTTCTCTTAATGTAAGCATCAATTGCTGATGATATGGCTGATGTAGGAAACGGTAAATTCCATGGTAGATCAGTTGCGAACATTTGCGGCTGAAGTGACCCGTGTGGCTCGAGAAGTGGGTACCGAAGGCAAACTAGGCGGCCAAGCCGTAGTAAAAGATGTGGATGGGACATGGAAGGATCTGACGGACAATGTGAACCTCATGGCAAGTAATCTGACTAATCAAGTGCGTGATATTGCCATGGTATGCAAAGCCGTGGCTTGTGGCGAACTATCAAAAAAAGTAGTAGTCCGCGTCGAAGGTGAAATCCTCGAATTGAAAAATACCATCAATACCATGGTGGACCAGCTTCGTACATTTGCCTCGGAAGTGACCCGGGTCGCCAAGGAAGTCGGCACTCAAGGCAAACTAGGCACCAAAGCGGAAGTGCTCGATGTGTCCGGAGTATGGAAACATATTACGTCCGATGTGAATACAATGGCATCCAACCTCACCACACAAGTACGCGCGTTTGCGCAAATCAGTGCTGCTGCTGCACAAAATGATTTCAGCCAATTTATTACGGTCGAAGCTTCCGGTGAAATGGATTCACTCAAAACCAAAATCAATCAAATGGTCCAATCATTGCGTGATGCATTGCAAAAGAACACACAAGCGCGCGAAGCGGCTGAGCTCGCGAATCAGAGCAAGAGTGAATTCTTGGCCAACATGAGCCATGAAATTCGCACCCCCATGAATGGCATCATTGGTATGGCGACGCTGACACTGGAAACGGATTTAACGCGCGAACAACGCGACAATCTATTGATCGTCAAATCATTGGCATTGAACCTGTTGATGATCATTGACGACATTCTGGACATTTCCAAGATCGAAGCCGGACGACTGACGATTGAATACATTCCCTTCTCACTCCGAACCACCACCTTTGGTTTATTCAAAAGCATGGCGTACAAAGGTGGCAACAAACTAAAAATGATCTACGAGGTCGAAAAGAATATCACCGACTGGCTTTTGGGTGATCCGCTCCGATTAAAGCAAGTAGTCACGAACCTGATTGGCAATGCGGTAAAATTCACGGCCGAAGGCGTCGTATCTCTCACCATTCGAGCGAACCAGCGCCATGACAATGGACTGAACCTTTGCTTTTGTGTCCGAGACACAGGCATTGGCATCTCTCAAGACAAATTGGCCGTGATCTTTGATACCTTTTGCCAAGTGGATGGCAGCACAACGTAAGTCCCACTATGGTTACAGTTGCTATGGCTGATTCATTCATCTGACGCATTTTTATGTGGATATATTCTTAGTCGTAAATATGGTGGAACAGGGCTTGGTTTAACCATTAGCAAGCGTCTTGTGGAGTTGATGGGAGGTCGTCTGTGGGTAGATTCCACACCTGGCAAAGGTTCTGAATTTTACTTTGAAATCCCGGTCTTCTTTGGTGATCCTGACCAGGAGGGATCCGAATCACGGGCTATTGGCGAACGAAAGCTATTGTACATTACAGAAGGGCCAACGGAGGATTCCGGAGTAAAAGAAGCATGCGAACGACTGCAGATGCCGCTGACGTTGGCGTACATTCATCCAGAAACGAGCCAGATCTACATCAACAGGACCAATGAACTCCTGTGCTACAATGACGAGACATTTGATGTGGTCATTACCACGTCGCTTGCATTGACCCAACGGATCCGGCAAGACATTCCTCAAATTCGACATACCCCGATTATGCTGGTATCTTCCGATCTTCAGCGATTGGACATCCGACACTGTGTACAGCTAGGCATTGCGAGTTACATCAACTCTACAAGTGAATATGCCAGTTTGGTGACCGCTTTATACGTAGCCTTGGAGAACAACACCTATGCGCCAAGCAATCCTCCACAAGCGACATCTCTACGTATTCTGTTGGTAGAAGACAATATCGTGAATCAGAAATTGGCGGTCAAGATGCTGGAGAAGATTGGTCACAAGGTGACTGTAGCTCAGAATGGCAAAGAAGCGGTCAATATGTTCAAGGACAACCATTACGACATTATATTAATGGATATCCAGGTAAATACACGGCCTCAGCATGCTTTTTTTAGTTCTTGTCATCCCAGAACACTAAATATTAATTTTTTCAGATGCCTGTGATGGGTGGATTTGAAGCGACCGAGTTAATTCGGCAATACGAGGCCACGTTGGAAACCACAAGTCGTATACCTATTATTGCATTAACCGCGCACGCCATGATTGGCGATAGGGAAAAGTGTTTAGCTCATGGAATGGTAAGAAGAGAAACATCAAACAGGACGAACGATCTATGATTTGCAAGTGGGATACTAATGAAGGACGTTTCTTGTTCTCGTATTTCAAAAAGGATGAATACGTCAGCAAACCATTACGGTTGCCCGAGCTTATCGCCGTGATTAACAAATTTACAGCCTTCCATACGTCACATTAATTGAGACCAAACCAATGATGTGATTTGATTTCTTTAAATTTTTTCTTGTGAAAGAATAATAAAAAAAAAACCCTTTTTTTGGTTTTCCATTTTATCAGAAAACGCACCCGACTCTGCGGAGTCTCTTTTTTTTTTGTGGTTTTAGGAACCGTTTTATCTCCATCAGCTAATGTTTAAGTCTCGTATTTCCTTCTTTTTCCTTGTGATTTTGATTTCTTTTGTTCTTGTCTCTTTTCGTTCACTATGTCTCAATTGAAGCCTAGCTTACCATCTATACAATTTTTACTACAACAAACATCTCCTCAAGGTGAGTACATTATTCTGGTTGAAATTTTCTACCGATGAGACGTTACCAGGAACAGATCGGTATTTCCGTCATGCATCGGGCTTTTACCCGATGCGTATCTGTACGACGATGTCTATTATATCGGGATTTGGGATCCATTTTTTTCTCTGACATGCATCATAGTAGATAAACCGTATACCCCTCGTCACAGGAAACAATCTCACAGTATAAGCAGTCTGCCGGTGGATCTGCAAAACTTATCCTTGAATCAAGTGAATGGACCTCCGCCGCCATCGCCTCCACCATCACTACCCTCACCTAGTTCACTGCAATCACTACCATTGCTACAAACGCCGCCTTCCGCTTCAATCCTTCCAAAGCCCTTGAATACTACCGCCAATGGTCTGTTAGCTCCTGGTCCAAGTGGATCCGCTCGAAGGACGCACGGTCGCTCGTTGTCAGAAGTTACCATGCCGTCGTCCTTGTCGTCCTTGACACCGACATCCCCTGGTTACAAAGGATTCTACCCCACTCACCGTCGTGCTGGTTCTGCGACCAATGTGGACGACTATATGCATCATCATCATCATCAGCAACAGGGATCTTTTGGTCCTGACCATGACTTTTTACTACCAACGTATCGTCCGTTCAATCCATCCGTGGCAGATCCGCCGTCACCTCACAGCCAGCCTCCACTCTTTATGTTGCCTTCATCGCCACCGCGCATGTCATATCATGGAAGCGAAGAACACAGTCATGATGAAGACGGAACGAATAACTCGCTTAACCGATACACATGTCCTTATTGCCAAAAAGCATTTTCGAGACCTTCTTCCTTGCGTATTCACACTTATTCACATACAGGAGAAAAACCCTTTGCTTGTCCCGAAGAAGGCTGTGGTCGTCGATTCAGTGTTCAAAGCAATATGCGGCGGCATCAACGTGTGCACAGCAAAGCCCGGTCGCCGAATCGATATGCGAAACAATTATAAATAACAAAAAGCCTGGTCGCTTTTTTATTTAATGATCATCAATGAATTACTTTTTTATATAATCCCACAGTTCACCTTGCAATCAATGGCATATCATCGTACGGCCAGGAGAGTCTACCGCAATTGTGAAAGGCCGAAAGAAAAAATAGGAAAAATCAACTTGTTCATGCAAATTGCGCATAAAACAAAACATATTTATTCACAAATTCAATGGTGTAGCTAAGAAGGAGACAGATCTCGGGTACGTCTTGTCTTTATGGGGGAGTGTGATGAGTTGTAGGATCAACCTCGCGTAGTATGAATATGACTTTCTGAATGTCGTTATATCAGTCGTATTGGATGGGCTGATATTTTTTCCCCAGTTTAAAAACTTTCATACTCATGCAATGCAATACGATTCTTATAATGTTTGCTACTTTCGAACAATTATTCCAACGAGTGCAACGTGTCGTTGCAAGTTCATGGACATGCTCAATTCAAGCAGTACATGAACAAATAAATAGGATGGCCATTGTCCATTGTTGCCCTAATTCCGATGAAATATTTTCTTCTAGCAAGGAGTTTCGGCGATCATTCTATTAGAAAATTGTCAGGACGATCGAAGGAATATGATATCATTTAACAATCGAGCCATGGAATATCAGAGTGTCCATTGTTTCAAATGTTAACCAATGAACGATCTATTAGGGATGTGATTGCTTAATTGTTCAATCCATAGAAAATGGATGTTTTCTATTGGATAAATTTATCAACTTCTTTATGCCATTAAAGCGGCTCAAACGGGGCAAAAATATCAGCAGAGGAAGGGTGCCACTAACCAGTGTGGCTGCTCCATACCGTATTTGTGGTCTATTGAGACTACAAGGATTGGCGCATGACATCGGACTTACCGAAAATGAGGAAATTGCATCGATTTGGAAGCTTTTCCCACTCGATATGCACACAATTTGTCACAATAAAAAGAACGGATCAACGGCAAATCAATGCATCAGTCGATGAGTTGATTCATTCCGCGGGGAAGGAAGGATCCAAGAGCTCGTTCTGCTGGGTCAAAATGTTCCAAAAAAGGAGAGAATAGCGTTGCGGAGTTAAATTACGTAAGAAATGGCCTTCGAAAATGATGAAAAGAATGTCATATTTGTTCGCGCCTCATTCTGACGATGGAATTTTCGAATGGGAAGAGATAAACCACTTCCGTTAATTGATTGGTTTATGCTGCTGGTTTGATCCGGCTGAAAAATATAGCATAATGATGTCTATAACCACTTTTTTCAGCTGTAAAGTTTGACGAATGTTCATCTACAAAATAGCATGCCCCGATTCACATGTATTGGGGCACATCAAGATGTCATTCCATTTGTAATGCGTCTAAAACGTGCTTTGTGCTCAAGCGTTCCTGAATACCAGATTCTACAAGATTTCCAGGTCATCATCCTTTGACGCTTCAAAGTGCCAATGCATATCACCCGCCCGTCCAATCTTCGGATCATATTCAGGAGTCTTCCTACATTCACGAAAATGGATGTCATGATCCTTATACAGTATGCGGCAACTTTAAATCTTTGGCACAGACGAGAATATGGGTACCTTAGTTCGAACTGTGAAAAGCTGGTTTTTCTTTGCTGCAGGGATCTATTGGATTCACAAGGTACGATCATTGGTCCAAGCTAGTTGTTTTGAAAATCACTTATTTTCGGGACACAGGCACTCTTTTTTTTATCATATGAAGCGATTGATATTCGCCCTACTGGCACCGTTTAGAAGAAAAGTCACGTAAAAGATATACAACATAGAACAAATTGTGAATTCTCTTGAAGACGTGAATCAGATCCACCGCTTAGCCCAATGCCGCAATCGCATAATCGTTAGAAGAAGAAGAAGCTGAATCATCTCCAAAGAAATTAAGTGTCGATGGTATGCTGTATGAACAGCTATGGTTAATTTTATCTGAAATTCCATGGTTAATATTGTGGTTGACAGAAAAAAGGGGACGGCATTCACGAAAAGAGAAATGAATCATCCTGGAATTGAAGAAAAGAGGCTGAAACCCAAAGAGACAAAGAACGACAGGCATCAATTGTTGAGTAAGTAATGCTTTTATCTATACGAGAATGTACTAATATGTTTTGATTATTGCAGTTGTTCTCCTCAGCTGACAACCTCTGCAGTAATGCCAGAAAAATTTCTTCATAACTTTCTTTTGCCAAATAAATGGTCAACGGCAGGTGGTCCCTTTGAACGTAATACACTCATCCTTCAGTCACAAGTCAACCTCTTCGGTGTTCAGTCTTGAAGCAGATGGGAACTGTGGATTTCGGGCGATCGCACATAGCGTTAAAGCAATGGACAGTGTTGGCAGCAGCTGGTCAAATCAGATATGCTGCGCCATCTGAAGGATAAATTGTATTTCTATGTCGGTATTCTCGGCAAGGACGATGTCCAAAAACTTTTTACAACATTGAACAGCACTGATGCATCTCAACGCCTTCAAGCTTTGTGGTTTATGATTTATTACAGGCAACACTTACAACATTGCTATTGCCACTTATAGTGAGCAGCAAAGCATCCTATTTGTACCATTTTCCCTCTTACTTCATCCGTTCATCCGATTATCCTTCAGCTCACGTCAAGTCATTTTTATCTGGTGACTATATAACCAAGACACAGAACCAAGCTCCCGCCACTATTTATCGCTCATGAAGATATATGTAAAAGCTTCTATGATCTAACGGATCATAAGCTTTCTATTCATACAATTTGTAACTACTGCCCACTGAAATTGATCTATAACTTCTCAACTAACATCATATATCATAGCTGTTTTTGAGAAAAGTCAAAGCAATACTGTCACTGTCGGGTTCGATTATGCCATAAAAAATCATAAATGCACGTAAGCTATGTTACTAAAAATGAAAATTTAAGTGATGTCACTAAAATTCAATTTAGCAGTCCCATATGTGGAATCTCTATGTGCATTTAGCAAAAACCTGCTTTATTGATCGGTTTCCTTTTACCAATAATTTTCAAACCAAGTACACCAAAGAAAGAGAAATATAGGAGTTCCTTAGAAAAGAGCATAAAAAAGCTGTAGTATTGCAGTGAGTAATTCCCTGAACCTTGTCAGAGAAAGCCTATGAACTGCAAGCACTGTATACAAGCTTATTCTTTCCGTAGCGGAACATAGTGCAACCACTTGGCATGTCGCCTCAAACACAAACTCCGACTGTGCAGTCAAAGAGACACTTGCACTTGGAGTATTTTTAGACTCTTTTTTTTTTTTGGTGTGTTGGCGCTTTTTTCTTTTGTTTCTCTTACAGCTTTCTGTTTTACAGTTATTATGACCAGCGGTAACCCTTTTGACGATAATCCATGGTCCAACAATGGCCCACGATTTGGTAATGCCTACGAGAACGATTCAAACAAGTACGACTACTCGCCTTCACCTATGCCTCAGCAACGCATGCCTTCACCTTCGGACTACCAAACACCTGCTGCGAATCGTCCTTGGGCTGAATCCAACAAAACAGAATATGCAGAACACCACAGTGCTTGGAACAATACACCACCTCCTTCGCAACCTGCAAACGCTTACCAATACACGGGTACGCGTTTTGGAAACTCCAACGATTTTGGCGGTAACGCTTATTCGGCCACGCCCGTATCACCTTCACCGGCTCCCACCCCGGCGTCCACCACCGCCAAACCCAGCAATTCAGAGGTTGAAGCTGCATTGCCGCCCGTCTGGAAAGACAAGTCTGGCCATCCTTCCAAGCTTCGCCTATTGCTTCGTTTCCTCCAGTTTATCGCCAGTGTAGGCCACCTAGGCTTTGCGGCAGGAGCCCTACCTGTAAGTCATCGCGAGAAGATAAACATCATTGTATTTTCAATTCCAAGTGACTGATAAACAAATGGTTATCATGATTCCTAGTATTCCAAAATCGACAGCATTCCTTTTGACAGCAGTGCTTGCTTTTACTTTCTTTACGCGGTGGTAAGTATGAATTCCATAAGAGACTTCGATGACGACATGATTATGTTTCAGTGGATGGCTGATTTAAGCATGCATACAAACGTGTAGGCTTGCATGTCGATTATTTGGTCTGTATTCCAAATGTCGTTGTTTCTTCACCGACGCCTGTTTCACGGAAATAAGATGAATCGAGTCATCATGTCCGGGATCGACTTGTTCTTGACGCTGATGTGGGGTATTGGTATCATTGTGGAAATCGCAAAGTTTACGTGCAAACCGGGCGGTTATGACGGTTTCTGCAATTTCTACAATGTCAGTATTTTCTGGGGTTTCTTGGCATTTGTACTTTACATTATTGCGATTGGTTGGGATATCATCGGTTCCTGTATGAACCGACGAAGATAAATCCGGCGACAAAACCACCCTCCTTCATCCGAAAACGATATAGACCAATCCAACCCAACCCAAACTTACACATTTTATCCATATCTATGCTCATGGATATGGAAAAAGAAGGAAAAACAAGGAAAAGAATCCAAATGAAGCAGAAAAGAAGGAAAAAGAACACAAATCCAAAAAAAAGTTCACACTAATCTATTCCAGCCCTCTTTTTCTTCTTCAATCCTCTGTATCATATTTCTGTTTCCATTCTTTAATACTATTCCCAGCTTACTTATCTACTTTTTACTTCATTCTTATTATCACTCTTTTTCACATTCTTCAATATACTTATGTTTGAAAGCGAGAGCAAGAAGCGATTAAAGAATTTTTTATTTTGGGGAGCTTCTTTTTTTGTGTTTTTTTTTCTTTTTTTTTTAAGCGGGGAAGGGAAAAGAAAAAAAGAGTCAATGGGGATATGAATTATGTCATGTGTATGAAGTGGCATGCGGTTATTGAATGATCAAAGGGGGGAGAGGGAGACGAGAAAGAAAAAAAGAAAAAGAAAAACTTTTTAAAAAAATAGAATATGAATAAAAGCAGTATATATACATCGAATGGCAAACAGAAAGGGAAATAAAGAGAACGGGGAAGGAGAGAGCAAGCAAGTGGAATGAAGCTCCAGGAAGCGAAAAAGGGAATGAATAACAGATGATGCCGCCTTTTTTGTTAGAGGCCCATTTCGCGTAGTTCTTTGACAAGCGATTCGGTGTTATCGGGTCTGGCTCGTTTTAATTTTTCCACCTTGTCGGCTGCTTCAGCGATGCCCTGAAGTTTTTGATACAACGCTGCAGCTGTCCATTCTTCCGAGGTGCGTCGCGGAGGCCGTTGAGTGGTTGAACAGGACGATTCTATTCGCGTGGATTTCGATCGACCAAGGATCGTGCGTCGTGGTTTGTGAGGTGTCCAGGATGATTGTCGTTTACTGATCGAACCGCAGCGCTGTTCTTTCAATGTGCGTCGTAACAGTCGATCCAACGTTTGTGCATGTTCAAGCGTATTATTCGTAGGATGAGGCGTTTCGGCTGGACTGCTGCTGCCGCTACCACTGCGACTCCGATGACTGCGCACGACTTCTAAAGAGCAACTGAGCTGATGGGCAAACATGGAATCGAGCAGTGACGGTTCTTGTGGTGAAGGCGGAGGTGCACACAGAGGTACAAACCCATTTGGATCTTCTTCGTCCAACAATGAATTGTCCGCGTAAGCAAAGCTATTGACTGAATTTCTTCTTTCCGTTCGCATGGGCCATGGCGCAGCTTGTTCGTAAAGACACACATTCTTGTTCACCAACATGAACTGGTCCGTATCGTTGGTATTAAAAAGAGCAGCAGAATCCATTCACAAGCAGTAATAATGAATAGAAACCAATGGAGTGACAACTTTTGCTTTTTAAAAGAAGACCACCACAGGGAAAGTGTGTGAAAAAAAATGGGCTGAACTTTTCAGTTGAAAAGAAAGGCGGAAAAAGGAAAAAAAAATTATAATGAACCCGCCCCACGGTTCCTTTTGACCAAATCCATTCGTTTGACTGTCACACCACTCTCATCCTTCGGATTTGGCCAAAACCGTCTTTTTTTCCTTCTCCTCCCCAAATACGTGGCGGACAATAAAATTTTACTCATCCCACCAATCACACCATGACATCTTTGAAAGACCATCCCAATTCTATTTCACATCAGCCAAAACCAATCCAACAGGAACATCTTCTGCACCAAAAAATAAAGTAGATGTAAACCTTTAATCACAATCAACACAAGGTACATAATGCTTGTTCAAAAGGAGGAAATACCCGAAAAATCTCCAAGACCCTCACAAACCCTCCCAAAGATCCATTAGAAAAATAAATCATCCGAGCTGCGGCACAACCCATGAAATGGGCATAGAGACAAAAGGTCATTGTAGACAAATACATGTTCCTAACTGGTAGTTTTATAGAACATAAATCCTAAACCACATCGAACTAGCATCCATATGCACTAAGATAAATCTTTGATCCATAACACTAAAAAGAGATGCGATTCAGATCCCCCGACACACAAGGGTTCACTTTGTCATGCTCACTAGGCAATTTTTAATCGTTTTTGTACCATGCATTTTTTTGACATGTTCACGGTCGTACTGCAACCATGTGATACCCTAATTCTTGGAATCGAAATTCTGTCATTTTGTGGCATAGATAAAAAGATACCTTGTACTTATCCAATTGTCCTGACTACCGAACATTAGTATATCCGATGACGAGCGTTTTTTCTCTCTGCGCCATTTTTAGTTTTTCGCAAGTCGGTTTTATATACTTCTTTTTAGATTCAGATCTATGTTGGATATTTGATACATGTACATTTTACACTTAAAAGTTGTTTAATAGTTCTCCCAGCCCTATCATAACCATATTAATGAATTTACCCATGAAAATTGTTGAACGTCTCTTTTTTAATACATACCACATTGTTGAGTTTGTCTACTTTGGTGAGCACTTCATTTTCCATCTTCTTCATATAGCTATCCATTTGCTTCAAGATACCGGGAATTGAGGCACCAAGAATACGGATAGCAAGCAAAGCAGCATTGGTGCTGTTGTTGATAGCAACCGTGGCCACAGGAATACCGCGCTGTGATTATGATAAAGCGTTAGTGTCCCTGAAGGAAACCGTGTAATCCATCGCCAATACTTACGGGCATCTGTACGATGCTGTGAAGAGAATCCACACCGTCCAAGGAGCTGCCCTTGACAGGGACGCCAATCACCGGTAAGGGGGTCATAGCAGCCACCATGCCGGGAAGATGAGCCGCGCCACCCGCACCGGCAATGATAGCCATCAAACCACGCTCCGCAGCCGATTGAGCGTATTCCACCATACGCATCGGGGTACGATGAGCAGAAACAATCGACAATTCAAAAGGAATACCGAAATCCTTGAGAATCTTGGCACCGACCTTCATGACAGGAAGGTCCGAATCGGAACCCATGATAATACCCACCAAGGGGCGGAGTGTCAATGGGCGTTCCACATCCGGTTCAATCGCCTTGAGAATCGGCTTGATACGTTCCTGGACTTGCATCATCGATTCGCCCACCACCGTGATGTGACCCATCTTACGACCAGCGCGGCATCCCTTCTTTCCGTACAAATGAACAGTCGCTCCGTCCACAAGCAAAGATTCGTGACAAGGAGCGTAACATTCTTCCATGCTCGACGAAGCTCCAAGAATGTTCACCATGATTGCCGCAGGCACCTTCAAAGCAGTACCTCCCAGAGGCATATCCAAAACCGCACGCAAGTGATTCTCAAACTGAGAGGTCTCACACGCCTCGATAGTGTAATGACCCGAGTTGTGAGGGCGGGGCGCAATTTCGTTCAATAAAATTTCACCTGAAAAGAAATCAAAAAGTTTTTGCCCGGTGAAAAAGACTGATGTATTCCCTTTTTGTTCTTCAATCATCCCTTACCATCTTCCATCACAAACATTTCGACACCAAAAATACCGGCGCCGGTAAAGGTCTTGATGGCATTTTCTGCAATGTGTTGCGCGCGACGTAAGACAGCACCATCCACTTGAGCGGGAGCAATGACCAAATGGCAAATGCTGTTCTTGTGAATCGTCTCGACCACAGGATAAGCTCGAACTTCACCGTTGGCACGACGAACCACCATGACGGCTAATTCTTTGACGAACGAAGCCCACTTTTCCGCATACAAGGGCGTCTTTGACAATGCATCCATGGCAGCATCGACATCAGTTTCGGACTTAACAACATAGTTTCCACGACCGTCGTAAGCCAAGGTCTTGGACTTTAGCATGAAAGGATAGCCGAATCGCTTGCCGGCTTCCAAGACCGCCGCCTTGTCGGGCGTGTCCATATACTCGGCGACAGGAATGCCGTGCGACGACAAATGGTTCTTTTGCACATATTTATCTTGGATCATCTTGATAGTGGCAGCCGAAGGATGCACCTTTACTTTTCCTTCGCTTTCCACGGCAGCCAGCATGTCCGTGTTCACATGCTCAATTTCCACCGTCATCACGTCCACTTGGTTCGCCAATTCGCGAATCTTGTCGCCATCGTTAAATGCACCCTCGATATGTTGTTGTGTAGCTTCAATCTGCTTAGCGGGAGCATCCGTGGGTGCGTCCAAAATCACCACTTGAAGATTAAGCCGAGAACCGGCTTCCACCATCATACGGCCAAGCTGACCACCTTTGTCAAATACCAAGTTAAAAAACCACGATCCTCTCGGGTCAAGGTGGCTTATTCATATAGACAGCTTACCACCAAGAATGCCGACTTTCTGGGTATTCATTGTCTCGTTATCAAAGAAGCTCAAGGCCGGTTTTTGAGCAACAAGTTCAAGCTAAAAAAGAAGAGGACGGAGAATCGGTCGCTTAAAAGCCTAAAAAAAAGATTAACGATCCCCAGCACTGACTCAAAGTTTGTGACTTTGGATCAAGCCAGGTTTTCCGAAAGCGGGGCACCGGCTGGAGGGCGCACGGCGGAGATTCAATTGAAAGGAGCGGGTAGTGGGTTGGTGGTCGTGTGTGTACGTCGGCCTGCATTGCAGTGTCCCGTTTTGAAACAGGCCCTTATTCTTACTGTGATGGGCAACAGTTTTAGCACCAGTGAACTAAAGACCCACATTGCCCGAGACCTCAAAGTCGACGTGGCATTTCCCTTCTTCCCTGCAGGAAGGTCACAAGGATCCGCCGCATGTTGTGTGGTAAAGCTAGCATAAACCATACGCATAACCACGCACTTCACAGAAGAAACCAACGTCTCTTTTTTCTAGGTAGACACAGAATGGGTCGAAGTCATTACCAAGGGCAGTACCGACAATCGTACCATTACCCTCAAAGGACCGGCTTATATGCGTCACGTCATGGCCACCGACGGCAATCCCCAAAAGCAATCGCCCACCGTCAATATCTACGTTAACATTCTTTCCAAAGACCCCGCCAAACGTAACACGTAGGACCCGAAACATCTTCATTAGCTGTTGATGTCCTTTTCTTGCATTCACCCACTAATTAGGAGCTTAGGCTGCAGTTATTTGAACAAAAAGTGACGCTCGACGAACGCAGCCAGATGAATGATCTTGATTGCTGGCCTTTGATCCATTATATCCAGTCCTTGTTGGAAGGTGAAGGCCATGATAATCAATTGGAAGGAATCGTCGATTGCTTTGCCAATTTTGACTCCATTTTTGACAATCAATCATTATCCTATAATGAAACGCTGACAGTAAGTTTTTGGAAGCCCCTATTGACAAAAAAAAAGGACATATCTTAAAGAAATATATTCTGTTAGAAATTCGTTCAACACATTCAGCAGATGCTATGGCCTCGCAGTAAACGATACCGGATCGTACAATGCGCGAATAAAGAAGATGTTCACAAACTATGCCTCGAGCAAGTGAGCGGCCCTGATCGTCTCGCAACTTCCGAATCTCAAGATGTGCCTGCAACTAATAGTACCGCATCCATGGATGCAGCCAATTCCAACCTGCCGGAAGTATTTGCCGTCGTTGAATCGGAAGAAGCCTACTACTTTTTAGCGTCCTACCGAGGCACGACTCTGCAAGATTTAATCACGTATAATCCGGGAGTGCTGAGTTCGAATTTGAAGAAGGGGTTTGTCATTTATCAACTCTTGCGTGCTGTGGCCAGTTTGCACAGCCGAGGCATCCTCCACGGCAGGTAAAGTTTAAATTAATATTTTGAGGACTCTGAAAAAGCAGAGCCATGGTGTTAATGGAACCGCCTGCTTCTTATTTTTTTCTTTATACGGTTGTTAGCTTGAAAGCATCCAATATTCTGGTAGATGAAAATCTGTGGACTCAACTGGCTGGTATCGAGTATGCTGCTAGTCCTGTGGATATTGGTAGGCAATACTGAAAGAGAGAGACGAAGTGATTTAAGGCGGAAAAATAACTCGGGAACTACGCGTTTCAGATATCGAGCGGCTCATCTACGATAAGCTCACATTGCACATGACGAAAGGTATATTTCTTTAGAAGATGTTGATGCTTTCTTTTTGTGAACAAGGCTGACTTTAGTGAATATACTAGAAATCGAAGAAGATCCGTTGGTAGTCCAGTGGGTGCGTGGCAATATATCCAACTTTTCCTATTTAATGGCCCTGAATCACTTGGCAGGTAAATAGGGATAGATCATTGATACAAGACAAATGAACGCGTTTGCTTACGATTTGACCCCTGGGTATGGTAGGGCGACGAGAAGGCGATCCCAATTTTCATCCCATATTACCATGGGTGACCGATTTCACGGGCAAAACGGTTGCGGACGGATGGCGCGATTTTACAAAGACCAAATTTCGCATGAATAAAGGTAAAACTATGTGGATGCATAATAGAAGCCTATTTGGCGTCTAAATCCGTGGTTGTCGATCTTTAGGTGACGAACAATTGGATTTCACATTCGATGGTCCTGTCCCTCATCACATCACCGATATTTTATCCGATATCACCTACTATGTCTATCTGGCGCGGCGGACTCCCGTACCCGTAAGCGATCATTTATTCGCCAAAAGGGCCTTTCGATTGTTAATAGAGGTCCCTTTTTGTAGGTACTATGTCAGTTTGTCCGATCCAAATATGAACCCAATGAATACCCGTCGTCCATGTACCGATTATACCAATGGACACCCGATGAATGTATACCCGAATTCTATACCAGTAAGCTCATATTATTCTGTGCCACGCCGATTTGGAGGATTTTAATTCTAAATCTTCATCTGTTGTGTGCAGATCCTACCATTTTCACATCAATTCATCCGGACATGCCGGATTTACAAATCCCATCGTATGTTGCTTTATTAGGGGTTTACTTGTTTCGTGATATCAGACCATTGGTTAACGACCTTTTTTTGACAGATGGGCCAATTCTCCGCAAGATTTCGTTCGTAAACATGCTGAAGCTCTGGAAAGCGAGCATGTGTCCTCTAACCTCCATCATTGGATTGATTTGACCTTTGGATACAAATTGACCGGTACGATTGATTCGAATCTTACTCCCACATGCTCGTCTGTTTCGCTGACATGCTATTTCTTCTTGTAAAAGGTAAAGGCGCTGTGGAAGCCAAGAATGTGGCTCTTCCTTTGTTGGCCGGACAAAACAGTTTTATGAAACATGGTATTATTCAACTGTTCAAAGACAAGCATCCGCAGCGTGGCTGTAACTGGAGTCACTCTTTCATGTAAGCTTGTCATTTGGCTACGGCAGGCAGTTTGGCATTCCATGCTAACCAGAAGGGATGGAGGATCACAGATCAAAGGAACATTTGAAAAGAAGAGTTAGTGATATAGATTCATTTACACCGGCAAGTTCGACAATTGAATCCTCGGCCGCCGTCGGTATGTCGAAAAGCGTGAAATCTCAGCGACTGATATCCGTTTCGCCTCCCAATCCGTCTTTATGTGAAAGCCCTTCGAGTTTGAGTCTGGCGACCAGAGACCGAGCTTCCTCGATTCATTCCACATCGTCGTCCATTGATACTTCCATCTCGGCGGTCAGTCGAAGCATGTCTGTGCCCGAAAATTGTACCGCCATGACTTCGGCCCTGCGCACCGATCCTATCCGGCTACCGACGCAAATTAGCGATGATTATTTTATGGAGAATCTCGTTCACTACGAGGATATGCTTGCGTTCGCTATCAAGTACAAATTCATCAATGACTCTCCGATTCAGACCAACCCTGTTTTTCCCAACCCTTCGCGACGGTACAACATCAACCCCCAAGATCCACCGTGCTTACCCACCAACAAATTCTCTATTGGCACTGCCTACGATATGTTCTGCTTGGGCGAAATCATTCGCAGTGTATTCACGGCCGGCAATGCTAAAGTCATGGACATGGAAGGGGAACCGTCCCAATCATCGGCAAGCGGTTATTTCGAAGTCGGCAACGGCGACGTCGCTTACGATATCGCACCCACAGGCAGAATAAATGCAAGTATCTTTGAGAAACGGCGCTCATGATCACACTTGTCTCACAAAGAATTATTCCGTTTTTTTTTTTTATTTTCTTTCCAACTCTGGTGGCGTATTGTCTGGTGGATTCGATATTTGGGTTTTCCTTGTTTTTACTTCAATGTAGCAGATGTCACCTGCTGTGGCAGATATAATTGATTCTTTGATGATCGAGGACTGGCAAGCACGACCTTCGGCCAAAGCCATATTATGCGCTTCCTTTCCTACCATGTCCATTCGTGATCCGAAACGGTCTTTTCCCTTTCATGAGGACATTCCCGACATATACGAATACCTCGCGGCATTTTATCAAGCGTAAGCCATATTGTCTCTTTCTGTGTAGACTAAAATGTATCATCTCTAAGCTGCCTTTCTTCTTTTTTCAGAGAATGGACTCGACGTCTTTATTTGGCCGATAAATGGATTGATCGAATATGTGACCTAGAAGACGAAGTAAGTTCAGACTTTTTTTCAATCACACATCACGATACTCACAATAGATTAGGGTTTCTTCTTGATATTGCCTACATTTACTCAATTATTTTTCCATAACGAAACGCGGGTGGGGTCCATTAGTCTTTTCCCAAAACTGGCGCAGCGATTAGGACCTGAAAGATCGCGACGGCATCTTTTGAAGCCAATCATTGCCATGTTTGAGGTAAGGCATCACATTTTGTGCTGTAATTCATGGATTGGTCCACTGAAAATGGGTCGCGACGTAGACTTTGCGTCCCAATATCCCGAGAATTTTATTTGATCAGCAAATGATCAAGGAATTCATTAAACGGCTTGGTATTGCTACGTTTCTCCAGCAATTGCTGCCATGCTACCTCGAAGCTTTAGCTATTCAAGACGAGCAAGCCAAGGCGGTGGCGGCGGATGATCCAACACCAATAACGGATGGTACCGAAACTACGGCCGTTTCCACCATCGTCCCCACCGGGGCTGTGTCGGAAGTGGCGGGCGATGTCCTCGTTCACATCTGTACACTGCTGGGTCCAGTGTTGACGTCCAAGCATATTATGCGTCAAGTGGTCAAAGCCATCTTTCGTGATAATGTGGCCAAACCGCTCTTATTGCAAACCGCCGTGAAAATCGCCTCAAGTTTTGGTGAAACTTTTACTGCGATTCAATACGGTTACCTGATCTCTCTGTTTGACACTTATCAAAAATCAATGACCAAGCGAAACGGTAAAATCATTGGCAATCTTATTACGTTACTCGAGGCACTTCTTCCTTTCATGTCGGCCGAAGCGATCGTCACTGAATTGAAATCGGGTTTTGTCACCACGCTTTACAAACTGTTGGAACCCTTGCCACCTTCCGAAGGGAGCCAATCCATTCCCGAACCGGCGTTGCAACTTCGTTTGACCATCAGCATGCGCACCATCGAATTTTTGCTTCAAATAACACATCACATACCAAAATCAGACTGGGAAACCATGGTAAGGGAACCGGTTGAATGAGGTTACAAAGAAAAGCGATATTAAAAATCCATAATTGCAGATTGCTCCTATGTTACAAAAGTATTTCTCAGGATTCACTAATACTGTTACAGGAGAAGAGCATCGTCAAGGAAGTATGCCAGATTCATTAGAAACCCAGAAACGCTATCAGGTAAGTTACCCGGCTGAAAATGTTGGTCGTTGTCCTGACGGAGTGCTTGCCTGTCTTTCACAGATGATTTACGCCTATGTGCAATTTTGTCATATTGTTGGCCGAGAAACCATGCACCGACTGATACCGACAAGGTACCATGCATTACCTTCATCAATTGAAAAAAAGGGAAAGTGAAATCTAATACAAGAGGCTATTAGTGATGCAATTGAAAGTATGATGCGGGATCACTTCACTACAGGTGAACCTTCCACAGTTGACCGACCGCTGTCCGCCGTTTCCGACGCGAGTCCGAAATCCACCAGTAGCCATCATCCCGTTCCTTCCAATAGCTCGTTCACCAGTCATAAAATGATGTCGTGGATCATGCCTTCCAAATCAAAGTCGACCTCTACCGACGCCAAGTCCATTCAAAAAGAGTCTCCAGAACTCAGGCCTTCCCTTGCCGTGGATGTGGACGTCGATATGACACGATTGTATGAGCTGTCCATCAAAGACCTTCCAGATTACACAAAGTCCATCAGGTTGAACATCGCCCCTATGGCGTCCAAAGTTATTCTGGAACCTTTAGAAAATGGGACTGCAGCCCCCAGTCCGACATCAGCGGCGCGAGAACAAACTCCTATTTCGTCTCCAAAGACAGTCGACAAGGAAAGGTAAAGCATTAGGCACATGAGGCCAGGCAAAATTTAGACGATCTTTGCTGAACAAGCCCCTCGTATTTCAGCAAATCCAAGGTTCCCACGAGCGTGCTGCCCTGGAAAACAAAGTGGAAGCCTTCACCTGAAGACAAAAAGTAAGCCGATTGTTGTGGCGGGGTATGCTTGGGAATCCACTTCTCATGGCCATTATAGAAATTGGAATCGGTTCCTTTCGACAAATTCAGGTACGCGAGCATAATGATTTCGTGGAAAAGCTGATATCTAAAAGAAAAAACGTTTGTACAGAGGAAATGTCGAAAACGATGCAGTTTTCATTCAATGATTTGAAATTACGAGGGTTTGCTGGTAAATTTATTTTTTCGGTCACAGGCATCTGTATTATCCTCGCTCAAACCGTTGTTTAGGCCACACAGGCACGGTGAGAACCATGACAGTGAACGAGCCTGCCAAAATTTTTGCTTCGGGATCGCGAGATCGCACCGTGAAACTATGGTCGCTCAACGTGCATGACGGCATTGAGCATTGGGCGACGCGTCCGTTCTCGGAAAGTCTCGTGACTTACACCGGTCATCGCCGTGGAGCCATCAATGATGTGCATTTTCTTTCAGGAGGTGGCAGTAACGGTTTAAGCAATATCGTCGCCAGCTGTGATGGGCATATTCACGTAAGTACATAGCACTAAGAGCCGCCGCGTACATCTGCATCGACTCACAATGAAAATTTAGCTATGGGAACCAGAGACGGGCAAGGCCATTCATCAGTTCAACATTGGTCGCGCTTCTATCGTATCAGTGAAACCTATATTCCACTCGCGGTGCTTGGTGGCTGGTGCGCTTGAAGGCCATATCACGTAAAAATCCATTTATTGATTCTCCCCTCCATTTGCAGCTTTGTAACCATATGATCTGGTCTTGCATAGATTTTTTGACACGCACAATCATCGTGCTCTTCATACATGGAAATCAAGCCTCAATACTACAGGTAAAAAGTGACACCAAAGCAATCATGGTTACCTGGCAGGATACAGTCAATTGAATTGTTTGGGGTTCACTTAGGCACGGTACGAGCCATTACAGTGAATCAGGCAGAAACGCTGATTGCTGTCGGATACTCGACGGGCGTGATCTCGTTATTGGAATCTCGCACGGGCACCCTTGTTGCCAGCTGGAAAGGAGGCGACACCGAGATCACCATGGTAATTGCATAGCGTGGGTAAAACATTCTCGGAAACAGTCAATCTCAATCATTTTTGTAGGTTAAATTTTATACTGACGAATTGGTTATGACCTGTGCGCCTGCGGATCATTTGATTTGTTGCTGGAATGTTCATCGCTTAGCGCTTGTCAAGACGATCCCCAGTAAGCAAGAAAGTGGAGTTGGGTTTTGGATACATCGATGATTGATTTGTTATCCTATTATAGTTTCTCAAGACGTTGTCTCCTTGGATATTTTCAAGGACGAGATTTTGACGATTAATGGCAACAATTCCGTGTCATTTATACCCATCAATGACGATGTAAGTTCGCTGCCTGTCTTGAAGAATTAGGGCGCATGTGTTGATTATTGGTTGTAGTTCCAATCGTATTCTTCAAAGTTCAAATCTTCCATCATCAAGTCACAAGTCAGTTCCCTGGCTATCGTTCCGACCGATCAATTGCTGCTGTTTGGATGCACCGAAGGCGAAATCTTCCTATACGCCTAACATCTCCAAAGAAGCAAAGCGATCATCTGTCATATTCAATAAACAGTGGAGCTCGCTTTCTGTTGGTAACTGTGATCTATCGAAAAAGGAAAAAATGTGCTTGATATTCGTCGAGTTTCAAGTGTTTGGGGCGGGGGGTTGAAGATATATGCTCTTACGCGGAGTCCGAAATTGCCAAGCCAAGGGAGAGCGAAATGAGATCAAAAACGATCAAGGAAGAGAGGGGCAAGTTGCACAGAACGTTAAGGATTATTCAGCACCAAAATGGGTGCCAGGAGTCTCAATGATGCAATCAACTCGCCATTCAACTATGCTGACATAATCCACGTGTGATGATTCAGGGATAACTTGTTTTTTTACCCCTTCGTTTTCTGTAGTTGGCAACGGCATTTCATTGTTTGTATATACTTCAACGTAGCATCGATAGACATACTTGACACTTGAGCATATCATTGCAAGGGACATAGTGTTAGTCAAGCGGTGCCTGAGAAATAAGCCTAAAACGGCGATCGGGAGGGACGGACAATTTTTTTTTCTGTTTCTGGAAGTTATTTTTGGGAGATAGAGAGTCAACAAAAAAAAAAAGTTTGATAATCGGGCGCCCCAACCGCGATCGATCTGAATTCAAAGACAGCTATAAAACAGTCAGTCATGACACATCCCGCCCTGGGCCAGGAAGCGACCCCGACTCGACTGGTTGCATCATGACAAGCACTTTGGCCATCATGAACTTCCTCGGTGCTTCAGTGTCCGAGGCCAAATTGGCCGCACACGAAACAAGAGATATATTCTTACCCAATCAGATGGAGCATGTAGCCCAAATTGCTGTCGATGTAAGCCAATCCTCCCATTGTCAATTTGCTATTCTGGTTATTCCATTGTACTTAATTGGTATTCTCTTCATCTTTACAGATTGGTGGTTCATTGGCCAAGGTTGTGTATTTCACGTCGTTGGCCGGGAAACGAGGTGGACGTCTCCATTTCAAAAAGTTTGAGACCGAGTATATCGATGACTGCATTGATTTCATTGCCGAGTTGATGGACGATGCGCGTCAGTTGACACCACCCGGGACAGAGCAGGTTCTCAAGGCAACCGGTGGTGGAGCGCATTTGTTCTACGATAAGCTGGTCAAACGATTACCTGGTGTAATCGTACAAAAAGAAGACGAAATGGAATGTCTCATTGCAGGTACGCATAGTAAACACACCAGAACCGAGTGCACAGACAATTCACGCTGACAAATGATGGTTCCGTTTTTTTCAGGCTTGAACTTTTTTATTACCGAGATACCATATGAAATATTCACTTACAATGAGCTGGCCTCTGATCCAATCAAATTTGAAGAAAAGACCAGAGAGGTATACCCTTACATGGTAAGTCCAAACCGTTTATTTTATTGAGTGCAACAACACATTGATTTTTTTTTTTTTTTTTTTTTTTTTTTTGGTCTGACAGCTAGTCAATATCGGTTCGGGCGTGAGGTAAAAACGAAATGCAAATCAAAGCAAGGCAGGTCTTAATTATTTGGGGTTTCAGCATATTGAAAGTGACAGGGCCCAACGATTTCAGTCGCATCAGTGGCACTTCGCTGGGTGGTGGTACCTTGTGGGGCCTTTTATCATTGCTCACCAATGCACAGTCATTTGATGGTACGATGTTTTATCTTTTATTATCTTGTGGTATGGAAAAACTGCTGACAAAAGGGTGATAGATATGTTGGAAATATCCAAGGATGGCGATAATCGCAATGTGGATCTGTTAGTCGGTGATATCTACGGATCCGATTACAGCAAATTGGGATTGAAGGCTTCACGTATCGCTTCCAGCTTTGGCAAAGTGTTCAAAAAGGGTGTACGACAGGATCGTAATGCATTTGAATCCGCCGATATTGCCAAAAGTCTGTTATACATGGTTAGGTGAGCTGGGTTATTCACGGAAATGACACAGAGTGCTTGTCCACTGAACGCTTTCTTAGCAATAATATTGGTCAAATTGCGTATCTCAATGCCCAACAGCATGGGTTAAAACGTATTTATTTCGGTGGTTGCTTTATTCGAGGTAATGATGGGCGCCTATGGTTAAGGTCGTTGCTTCAGCACTAAACATGTATGATTTTGTTGTCTAGGTCATCCCATCACCATGAATACATTGTCTTATGCCATCAAGTTTTGGTCCAATGGCGAAATGAAGGCCCTATTTTTACGTCATGAAGGCCATCTTGGCGCGACAGGAGCGGTAAGTGAAAAAGATCATCCAAGAAAACAAAGTTAAGGTGCTCATCGACCGAATATTTTGTAGTTTCTTAAACATCAACCAATTGGAGAAGCACGACATTCATATTCATTTTCAGAAAGTTGTATACCCAATCTCAATAACTTGGGTTGCGTTTATGCGGGATTAGATCAATCCAACCGGTCCATGCGATCAAGTGCGTCGGTGGAATAAGTTCGAACATGTTTTTTTTTTCATCCTTACTGCCGAGCCCATTCTCCCTTCAAAGTATCCTTTTCTGCCCGCCATTTCTTTTTACCATTTAATTATATCGACAACTTTTAATACAGTAGCACTTTTTATCATCATACTTTAATTCTCTGTTATATCCAATTCAAGGCAACAGATACAGTATGTACTCCATCCCTGAAGAGTGTATGTTTCATCAAGGGTCGGTGCTTCGTGGGCTGTGATCGTGGCATAGGCGATTGTTTCTAGAAAAGTTTTCGTTGCTGTTTTTCACAAGCAAACCTTGGGAAATGTGTGTAACCCTAATTCAGTGGTCAGAGAAGTGCATCAACCCATTCTCTTTTTACTATTTTTGGAGCAGATAGTGTCCAAGCCATCCTTGGTGTATAGTATGTGGGAATCTGTTCAGTCGTCGGGATCTGCGTCAATCCATTAATGAGAACTACTGTGACCTGGGCTCATGATATTGACCCGATCAAAGTTGGCCCCTTCTTCATTAGGTAGTGCCGCCAAAGTCAGCAGTGCTTTATCACAATTTGCGTTTTTGTCATGGTCCATTTGTATTTGTGGATTCGCCGTTGTCACGGTTATTGGCAATATTTAAACCACAACATGCCCTTTGGTGGATCTGCAGCATTGGCGACGGTCTTGTCACTTGTGTAATTCAACACAAAATGAGGATGATTAGGTCGCTTGACCAGGTCCATTCAATAAATGGACGCATATGACCCATTCATCAAAGGATACCAACAGCTACTTAAAGAGTTTGATTGAAAAAACCCAACAATAAGTCGTAGTTGTCGTCTGTAAGAAGCAATATCCTTTAAAATCATCATTACTGCAGCCACCTTTCTTGCTTCATGCTTCAGATAATCCTTATCATCAAGTCAACAAAGTAAAGACCAAAAATAGATGATTTGAATTTATTACGAAAGATACTGGTCTTTTATCTACTCTCTTTTATTACTACATAAAAACTAGCATGCAAGAAAACTAAACTGAAAGAATAACCGGCAAAATTGTGGTGACACCCAAGCCATGAAAAACCCAGGTCTGCCGAAGTCAAAGACGAAGACAGCTTCCCCATGCCCACCCCTACACTTTTGTGGGATTGGTAAAGACCGCAGGCTTGGCGTACTTTTTCGCGTTCATGGTACCACGCTTGCTACAAAAAGAAAGGAAAGTTGTGTCAAAAAAATAAAACGGGTTTTCTTTTATATCTTTTCATTTCGTGGGAAGATTCTCAAATTACCGCTACGGGGAATCTGAATCTTTTGAGGTTCATTTACTGCGCTTTGATGTGTTTCCATCAAAAAGAACGTTACATTTCACAATGAATTCTCTCTGTTGAGAAATAAAGGACATGAACAATAATAATGACGGTCTTGAAAGTGATACAATATTGATAAACTGAGGACGGCAAGGTGATGAACCAGGGAACATAAATTTCTGTTATCCTAGATTTAGTTTGTGCGGATACAAGTCTTGGAAAACAGAAAAAAAAAACAACCGCAAATGAAGGCCTAGCCAAACATTGACCGGACCGGCCTCCGGCGTGACTTGCATTGCATTACCTCAGCATGGACGCGCAGCATATACGTTTGACTCTAGTTTGTGGATGCGGATCTCACTTTTTCTTCTCGTTTCTCCCTCTTCTTTTAACGCCTGTTCGCTAACCAACATCGCCAGCCAAGCTTTCACAACAAGCAGCGAACAGCCAAGCAAGAATGGAGACAGCAGCGTACCGCGAACAAGCAAATGACGAGCGAGAACTACCGAGTGGTCAAGAACCCACACTGGCGCGATTATACGAGCTGGCAAAACAGCATTACCGAACAATAAAAGACAACGAAGCGCATTTGTTCGAAGAACTCCGGGAGTTACTTGACGAGCAAGGCGCTGAATTGCATCGACTGTCCCAACTGGTTGACAGTGGCACCTCATTGGCGTCGATTGCAAGCGCAATTCAAGCCGCGCAGTCGCGAAACACAGTGCTTAAAAGAAAATATGACATGACTGATCCCACAACCGACGAAGGATCAGAAGTGGAACCAGATATGCCGGCGAGGAAACCCGAGAAAGTGTTTGTCCGGCAATTCTGGAAGCGAAAGGTGGACGCCGGCTTATATGAAGAGTTCCAAGAGACCGCTGGACGTTCAAAACCGGGAGTTCGACCAACTGTCATAACCGGTTGACAGTGGAGCGTCATCGACGTCGATTTCGAATGCAATCCAAGCCGCCCAAAGTCGAATCAATTCTCGCAAGAGAAAATATGGGCTCCTGGAATCCGAAGTGGACGAGGGTGCCGAGGAGGACACCAGCGCCTCCGAAAAAACAGGCCCCACGGAGGTTGTTGAGAACTTCAAAAGAGAAAGATTACACGCCGGCTTCCAGCGGATGGACTGGAAAGGTTGCCTGGCTGAAAGCAGAAGATCGGGCGTTTTCGACCATGCGAATTTCGAGTCACTACTTGAACGAAATATAAACAGCATGATAGAAGTCTTTTCTTTTGCACGTCACATATTAGGTGGATTTGCCTTCCAACTGGTGAGATTTACATGACCTTATTACTTACACTCAGGAAAAAGAGAACATGCGATGATACACCTCTTTTTAGAGAATCACCATGGCCGTTCCTGATCCACACACCAATGCGTGTTTTTTTAATATCAGATTGTCGTCTCCGAATTCATTTCAGTGATACGATTGAATATGTTTTGCTTCACGTGTATTTCATTGTCTTCCGACAGAATTTTTTTTATGAACAGCACCAAATTCCCTATATCTTTTGTCTACATTGTTCGAATGCTATGATATAGTAACTGAAACCTTGTCGAATAAGAGTAAGCGGTTCGCACTTCGATGTCACGATAGAGTTGCAACCAATTGTATCACCACCTGAAATTAAAGTGATACCCGATTACAAGCAGCGCAGAAAAAGAGAGCGCTCAGATCAGCTCTGGATTCATGCTGAAAATATTAGGCACGCTTCGAAAGCCTTGGTTTCCGAAAGCGCTTCATGCTGATATTCACTACATCTACTTTCTTTAGATGCATTTTTTTAAGTCGATTGAGAAAATAATCCACTGTATTTCCTAAAAACCCGATTTTTAAATTCTGCGACTCAATTGAGAGCGACGGCTATTGAGAGCTGAGCATCTTTGGGGTTCTGGGATCACGACATTAATCGCAACGACATTTCATTCCTCGGCAATGGCGTACATCGCCGTTTTCTTTTATTTTTGTATACTTTTTTAATCTTCATATCCCTGTACGTACTACGAATTTATCTTGGATAAATCATTCATGCCGCTGTCGCTTACACTTGCAACAGTGTTGCTGTTTTGCACTCAAGTATCATTATTTACCAAAATTAATAATTACTTCTCTTCTGTTGCAGTTGGGTATGAGGGAGAGAGAGAAAAAGGTGACAAAGTAAGGCGAGAAACTGGGATTTACCATATATGGAAATCCTAGCCCTTTATAAATCTATATCGCAAAAATAAATGAAGGTGGGGGAATAGCATAGCGGTGAGCGTTTCTGAGTGCCATGTCCGCGTCAGCGAATTCGAATCTCGTTGCGGTTATCATATGCTGTCCAGTCATCTTTTGAGATTTTTTTTGATTTTTTTTTGGTCTTGGCGGGTCTTAAAAATATCACAGAATGGGAAAAGAAAGCGTCATGCATACAGAAAACGGGTGTTTGGTCTGATTTTCATAGGCCCAATCCGTGATGAATTTTTAGTTGATGTGTAGAAATACTACGGCGTCAATCTAATGTAGGATGCAGTGTTTATCCAAAGATACAAAAGAATAAAAAAGCAAGATCAAAAAATACGTGAAAGCTTTATTCGTATTCCATGATAGTTATTTTTTTATATTAGGCAATGAATATTGTTATCGGATAAAGAATGATTGCGTTATGCTATGAATATACGAATCATTATGTTGGTATGATTGGTAAGAGAAAGGAACTGAGAATTGCATGGAAATCATCATGCGATGGATTTTCTGAGACGTATGCATGGAAAATGAGTGACAATGAAAATGGATATGTTTACCCAGGAACGGCTGAGATTGTATAGTGAAGCATATAGTAAAAATAAATATTGTATGTCATGCACAACATGCTGGAGGGGAATGTTACGGTACAAAGAAAATATATACTTTTTTCTGGATTTTGGCATTATGTCCAACTATAATAAAAAATACATAATGCTGCTTTTTCCTTTTCTTATTTGCTTCTAGTGGCATTTTTATCTGTTTTACTGTAGATACAGTCACTGCTCAATCTAAGAATCATCCCGGAAGCCACGAAAAATTGATTCGTAACTCGTATCATTCTTCAATCGATTTGGTAACTTTATGCATTAGATTACTGTACGGATATAAATTACCAGGCTGTAGCAAATTGAGACCATAACTTGGGTCAATAGAACAAATCAGTATAACTGGGCTGCGATCAAGTTTACCGTCAAAAAGCTTTGATTAGAATGCGATGGTTTTTACCTGTAACATCTGGAGGCAGGTGAAACAAGCAACCTTTGCCAAATGCTTCAGGCATAAGGGTATTTCCTGCAGTGAGAATTTTATTGCAGATCGTTTTCAGGTAATGAGGTATAAGAAGATCAAAGAGCAGCTGATCATGGTAGATTACGAATATCACAATGATTCAATACGATATTAAATCTGGGTTACATTCAAGGAGCCAGGTTTCAGATGACAAAGGATTGTTAAATCAAACTGATGCGCCCATCAAAAAGACACGCCCAATTTGAATAGGTGAAGGTAGCCATGGCTATGAAACACTGTCTTGGCAACTATTAGTTGAGCTCTGTTCTGCTTCCGTTGCTTTGACGATAAATACGTACTGGACAGTGTGATATATGAGAGAATTTGAAAACGAAAAAGACAATGAGAATCCTTTGAGACTGTCGGATATCTTTATTTCGATTAATGTGATCTGCCTATTTATACTTTAGTCTTGAATCGGAATTAATAATTATCAGTGAGCAGTCCTCGGTTATAAGGTGTATTAGGAAGGATCCACATGCTGTGATGTGACAGCTTTACCCGTATGAATTGATCTCGGCGATGGATCCATGTTATGGATGAAGAGGCTCAATCGTTGTTCTAATGGAGAAGCTCACTCAGAATGGAAACACGTCGAGTTCTCGATCTTTCCTGTTTGGGGACACCAGTCTAGGATGGATAGTACGACAAGTAAGTGGATATACCACAGTGGCAAAGTGGCAAACGTAACGCAACTCGAAACCTTCGACCATAAAACCTGGTTGAAGGTTCTCACCTCTTCTTGGAAAATTTTGTTTGCAGTATGCCTGATAGGTGCCAGGCTGAATAGAGAAAGAAGGCGGTCAAACACTCTATTAAATAATATTTTTTATATTTATACATTTACGAGTTACCGAATATCTCGTCTATGGAATATGGGGTTACTCGGATGATCTTTTATTATGGACGCTGTCTATCAAAACACATCATTGCATTTTCCTTTTTTTTCTTTTGGAAATCAAAAATTTTCAATATTCGTACCCCATTTGAGACGGTCATTATTATTGGTCGCGCCCTTTCTCAACAGAGAGAATTCATTGTGAAGGACAAGGACTCGATCACTAGTAAAATCAAAAATTTTCCTCTTTTGTTGGGTATGTTTGCAGAACCATTGTTTTCTGATAGAATATCATTGTCGAAGTAACGCTCTTTTTGATGGAATCACATCAAAGCAAAGTAAAGAGAACTTGAAAGATTCAGATTCCCCATAGTGACACATTTTGGAAAGGTGTGCTTCAGGAGTAATATGCAACGGGTTATCCTTTTCTTTTTTCTCGTATTTCTTTTTATTCGTGGTGTTCCTGTGATTCTTGGGGTTCTTGATCTAATTCAAAGAACCAGTCTACTTGTTGAATAATGGCTTCAACGACTTTACTTTGTAAATCGGTGTGCATGATACTGCTGAGATCTTCCCCGCATGATCGCAATAATCCTACGGAAAAAATGAGCGCCAGATTGGATGTTTCCATCTTGTTGATATCGCTGTAAGACGCTACGAGGTTCAAATGTCGCATAAGGTATTCGAGGACGATGTAATTGTCTTTCGGTAATACGTGGATGATGGATTTTATGCGGAACATCCGTTCATCGTAATCCGGTATCCCTAACCATCAACCAAATCAGTTAAGCTTTTATCGATTGCATGCCAATTTGCGACCTACTCGCTGCTTCAATAAACCAATCGTAGTATTCAAATGTCAGTAACGGATTCCGCAGTTCACGGAAATACAATTTGAGTAACCCTGTGGCCACGTTGATGTCAGGTTCGTCCACGAGAGACACAGGCTCATCTACACGTTGATAGCATGAAAAAATAAGGCCAAAGTGGAAAAGAAGATTACAAGTACACTTACGACGATTGAAAGCCTGACGGTATTTTTGAATGGCGGAACTGGGTCCTGACAATCGATAAATCCCAACGGATTCAAGCCCTGTTTTACCATTTAATATCAGCATTTTCATTCCGGCACACGGGCGATCCACTTTTAATCCAAGGCCCCTCGTTTAAAAAAGAAAAAGAGAAACTCAGTACCTCGTGCTTCGACCTCCTGAATGCATAGTTGGATGATGCGTGGTATGCGTCCGTCCGATTCAAGATGAAGATAGCCACCAAATACATCATTCTCTGCAGATGACACGGCTTGTCCACGAACAGGCTGTATACGTGGTTTGACATCAGCCTTGCCACCGCCAGATTTGTTAAACCAGTGACCGAGCATCTTGGGCTTGCCATCCGTTTTATCCACAGAAGACCGCAATTTTCGATCGCGATCTTCTTGATCTATGAGGTGGCAAAATTCGTAAGTGTTGCTAAATTCAAGGACGAAGAAGCATTTAGGAGGTTACCTTTCTTTACGCCTGCGTATTTTCGGTTCACTTTCATTTGTTGCGAGTCATAGGTTAATCGTTTCAGCAACTGCAAAATTTCTAATCACCAAAATATGAGTTTAGCTTCATTCACTGGCGGAGATCCTCAAAAGTGCAATGACCTACCTGTATTCTGTGGCCGACAACAAGTCAAAATCATGCATATGAAAATAGAATTTTGTTGGCGATAGGAGGGATCTCGAATGAACTGAATAAGGAGCACGTACCTGATTTTGACCTTCTTTGCGTGCAATGAGTTCACGCATGATGGCATCGAGCCAAGACGAGAACTCTTTCTCGTTTGCGGTTTGGATGTATATCTTCACTTTGCGGGGTGTAGTGATTAAAAATACATATTTGCGTCTGGTATCATGTTTTCCGGCAGGATCAATCTGACAAGCATCAAGGTCAAAACTTCCAACTGGAAGAAGCGGTTTGGACGATTTCTACACAACCGCAAAGGAAACAATCAATACTCGCTCATGCTGACGACGCCGTACCAATTTTTTTACCCTGTTTTTAGATGGTCCTTCTTTGTAAAAGATCAAAAAGCCGCTAGATAGAACGGCATAGTACATTTTCCAGGAACTCAGTTTTTCACCATCGCCTTTTTCAGCAATCATTTTCATTTGCACAAATCCTTGTTGTCGAATCCACTCCGAATGCAAATGATCGAGTTCCTATAAGACACATACAGTACGCCACCATCAGCGGATTTGCTCATTCTCACTCAGCTTGTAAATCAAAAGCACACTTGCCAGTTGTTTTAATTCCGCAGCATTCAGTTTCTGTAAACTATTGGCAAGATCGGTGGTTTGATCTGCGTCTTCTTGCATTTCCGGTGGCGACATCATGAGATTGCCAAAATTTGTCAAGAGGTCATCGCCCAAGGGACTTTTGTCGCTCATCGGCGATCGTACCGCTTCCAAAGCATGCGGCCGATCCCAACGCGATTCCCCCGTTTGTTCGTTAAAATAGTAGATCGTTCCATCGTTATCTATAAGAGTTCAGGTCAAACCGTTCTTTTTCCCTTTCTATGCCATTCACTTCCTGCCTAAGCATTCGATATCAACTTACCGTAGGCATGCTGCCATCCGTCTGGCAACGCATCAGGAATAGATGTTTTGGACCGGGGAGGTTCGTCTGAGATATCGACAAGCAGAGCTTCATGGGAGGTTTGATCGGTAGGATCTGACATGGATCGTTCCACGAGCGATTGAGCCAGGTGAATATTCGGTTCACCGGCAGGTCGTTGTTCGGGAAGAGAAATAAACGATGGCGGGGTTTCCCGGGGTGGTGAAAGGTTCAACGGACAAGGTCCGTGAGATGTGTCCTGAGGTGAGGTCAGTGAAACCTCGTCGGCCGGAGGAGACGTAAGTGTATCAAGAAAATGGGATGGTGATTCATCGGGGTAGTCAAAAAGGTGGGCCTGTCGGTGATTGGCTGACAAGTTATCGTTAGTATGAGGAAAGGATGAACCGATCATCGTATCGGCTGGACGAGCAGGAAGTACAGGCGGAGGCGTATCTCTGTGAATATGCTTCATTGTTATCAGTATCAACGCGTGGAAACAAGCCCTGCCAAATCTTTGTAGTTTACCTCTATTCCACTCGACGGTCGCCCAGTCATGACGGTATTTGCATCTACACAAGTGTCATTGAGTAAAGTCGATGGGAGGAGGCATTAGAAAGGAAGCTCGAGGGAAACAAGGATGACGGATGGGGAATTTACTTTGTTGTTGTTGCTCCGCTTCGGTTTCTAGACGAATGCGATTGGCAGGAAAGAAACCGATTTCGTCGTTGAGTTCTCCTAAAGACACCAGATGGTTTTCTGTGTTTATTATTTCTATCAAAAGAAAGGGGAGGTCGGGGAGATAGAGAGTCGGACGATTACTAACCTTCCCACCTAAGCATCATGTGAATGAATACATTTGCAAGTGGCCATATTATGCATTCAGCATTAAAAAAGTGTTTAGGTTTACCAGTCATCGTTATGTTTCTCCAACAGTTTGATACGGTCGCCCTGCTTAAAAGAGAGCTCAAATTCGCCTTCGGCGGTATAGTCCCATACGGCAATGAGGTATCCTGACATGGCGCGCTATTTACAGTAGCAGCCGAAAAGTGACGAAAACAAAGTTTTAAAATGGCTCTGCAAGTTGCGGTGATAATACGTCAAAGCAACCGGGTGCCGGGTGTAACGAAGGTAACGAGTTGGAGCGAAAGTAACAAAAGGCTTGCAGCTGAGAGAGAACAGTGGCTTTACGTTATATTAACGGAATCCCCAAACCAAGCGATAGTGAGAAAGAAAACGGACACCCACAAGAAGAGAGGAAAAAAAAGGAAAGAAACTCACTGAGACCTAATTTCCAAAAAAGGAAAAGTGCCCATTCGATCCTTCAGCAGCGCAAGGTTTTTTGGATGTGCTTGATGCAAAACGAAAAGGCGGGGTAAAAATCCGTCTTTCTTGGTTCCTGAATCATGAAAAAAAAGGTTATTTCTTTTTGCCCAGTCATACAAGACAGAATACGTAGCTAACTGGCTTTATTGCCGTGGTGACGAGTGAAATGCAGCTTTATCTGAAAAAGTAACGCGCAGCAGACAGAGAAAAGGAAAAGACATATTCTTTAAACTTTTTTTTTTGTTGGTTACGCAGGCAAAATATCACCTTTTTTTTCATCTCCTTTTTCTGTTTTCCTATTCCCTTTTTTTGCTATTTCGTTTGATTCGATTCTCTTTTCTTCATCACAGCCTTTTTTTTTTTTTTTTAATTTCTCTCATTTCTTGTACCTTTTTATTCTATTTTTTTTTTTACAAACAAATTTAATAATATCATTTTTCTTTCTTTTTCGTGTTAGATATTCTTTCGTTCATTTCTTTTTCTTTTCCCCCTTCTTCTCGTCTCATCTGGTTACTTGGTTACTCCCATACGATGAATTGTCATCGACGCCATGCTGCTTGGCAACGATGGCTGTTCACCATACTCACCTTATTACCGTTATCCCAAGCCGATTCGTTCAAAGAACCATTGCTTAACTTTGATACCATTGGCCAACTTGGTTTTGTGGGCGATTATGCGGGTATTTCCCCATTCACTGACACGAATCAGTCGGCCTCATTTAATACCACTTATTCGAATATCGTTCTTCAACAACACGGCATTTACACCCTCTTCGCTACGACGAACGGCGACGTGCACACCACATGTCAGTTAGTCGACGATGTGTTTATCGGAGGAAGCTTCACCGCTGTCAACAATACTATCGTAAATCACATTGCTCGATACGACGCTGCATCGCACACTTTTGTTTCGTTGCAACAAGGTTTAGACGGCCCGGTTCACAGTGTCTACTGCGATGAAACAAATCATGCTGTTTATGTCGGAGGCGAGTTTAGAGCACCGATTGGCATCGATAATACTACAGCTCAAAACTTTACTGGAAGTGTGGGCCTTTGGCAGAATAACCGATGGGTCAACCTCCCTTGGCAAGGGTTCAACGGTCCTGTTTATACCATCACTCGAAATCCTGCTCAAGATACCATCCTTTTCGGTGGTCGTTTCGAAGCGACCGGCGACGGATTTTATTATAATACCAACAGTAGTCAGCCCGTTAATCTAGACGCATCTGCGGTAAAGACTCCTCGATCCATTACTAACATCACTGTGGAATCTTTCAGAAAAGTCAACTTTCTCATACCTCTGTTTGTTGTTTATTTTGTCGATCTGTAGACGGTTTCATCCGGTAATGGCGCAATGAATGGCGATTTTACCGATCCGCGAAACGTCATTTGCCAAAATAATAGCGGGGCTTCTTCTTCGGCAGACCAGCCTTGGTTGTTACAGGACGGGGTTCCCGGTTATTGGGAAGCTCAATTCGCTTATCCCATCGAGCCTTCCATGTTCCGTATTGCCAATACCCATTTACCCGATCGAGGCACGAAAACATTCGGGTATGTAGTAGAAAAAAAAAAGGAATTTAGTACTTGGGGGTTTGTTTATCCATACAATGCACCTGTGTAGTATTCTCGCTTTGGGGTCCAATGAATACTTTCAACTTTCCTACGTCGATCCTATCACCCAACAACTCATGACTTGTACGCAATCATGTCCTTTATCCGAAAATCCTCAACTTGTCAGTGAGGAATTCACAGTGACAAAAACGATGGCCACTCAAGGCATTCGCATCATGATTGATGCATGGTACGGTGCTGGAGGTGGGCTTGGCGGAGTCGAAATTTTTCAATCAGGTCTGTTCATCATCACCATCACTGCATATCTCATTTTTCGTTTTTCTCACACTGATCTCATCACAGATATCGCACTGCATGCCCACAACAGCAACGGCAACTCTTCTTGCAATTCTGCTGCCGCCTCACGTACCGATGTCACCGGCCAGTGGGAGGACAAGTTTGCATATGGTGCTTACCAAAACTTTTTAACATCCACTTTCCCGGCTACCCAACTCGCCAGTAACACGGCCTCCATACGTTACACCCCGTAAGTGTCCCACATTTCACTGCGGATCCGGTGAAACAATGTACCGACGAGCCGATGAACCGAAACGACTGACTGACCTTTCTTTTTTTTTAAGGTATGTTCCTGTTCAGGGAAATTATGCAGTGTATGCCAAGACCCCAGGTTGTGTCGGTACAAGCAGTTGTAATCAGCGCACACAGATCGAATTTACCATGGAAATGACACCGGGAAATACGACAACGATGATCTTGGATCAGGCAGTGTATGAAGATACGAAAACATTGATTTACACTGGCTTGGTGGCGGCCAGTTCGGAAGCATTTCGACCTTCATTAACCCTCAAGGTCGCACCAAATGCTACTCCGCCCGCCAGTGGCACCGTCAGTCTCGTGGCAAATTCTATTGAATTTATTCGAAATGGAACAGGTGCTACGCTCGTCAGTATTCTCGAATACAGTCCGCACAATCTCACCATGAACATCTCTCCTGCCTGGAGACCCTTGGCAGGTGAGACTGATCGACTTTACAATTTTTCCACATGAATTTGTGACGTTAACCGATATACTTTGGTACGTGGATTGTGGATTGTGTAGATCAACTGATGGTCGGTTCCGTGGTCAACACCATTGACGCGTCTCGAGGCAATGAAATTTATTTGGGCGGTCGATTTTTCAATCCGAATGGAACCTTTCGTAATATTGCAGCTTTCAACTATGATCGATCGCTTATTTTACCTTTAAACGACGGAGGACTGAACTCAAATGTGACCGATATTCGCGTGATGGGGTCAAGTACGTAGTATATTTTGGTCTTGTATCGTGTTTAGTGCGAATGAAACGGACTCAATCCTTTCATGCATAGATGTTTATGTGGGTGGGCAATTCAATGGGACAGTTACAGGCACTCAAACGGGCATCAAGTATGCTGCTGCTTATGATTTGACAAGTAACACGTGGTCCGGTCTCGAAGGGGTAAGGCAGAGCGCCCGAGGACTCCTCGGTTGGGAACAGAGATTTTCATGTGACAAAGAGTAAATTAATCGCATTCTCCGCCAAATTCAGGGTCTCGATGGTCCTGTGACCCATATGATGGTTTCAGCCGATCAGCGTCAACTTACTTTGGCAGGCACCTTTTCACATGCTTTATGGAGTGATCAGCGTGTGGCTACAGGACCGACGGGAAACGCGATCTGGGATTTGTCGCGTCGGCAATGGACTGAACGCGATTCCTTGATTGTCGGTGAAATAGTAGCGATGCACGGTATACTCAATAATCGAACCATGATCGTCGGTCGTATCCAAGGAGCACAGACTTTCCGTACCAATGGCATCTCCTTAACGGATGGTCAAAAGCAGTGGCAGCCATTGATCTCCAACGATCGTGACGATGTGCTGATCAATGCCGGCGTGTTTTGGCACAATAGTTCTCATCCCAACAATCAAACTGTCACGATTATTGGCGGAAAATTTCAAACCGACAATCTAACCAATTTGGCCATGTACTACGATGACGCATGGCATGAATTGGGTCGTTTAGAAGGTGAAATCTACAGTTTAGCCGTCCTGAAGAATTACCTCTACATCGGTGGCCAGTTTAACGGCACTCTCGGTACAAGCCAACCGAAAAGTTTCGCCATTTACGACTTGGCCACACGCACCAGCGTGGATGTCAGTGGTATCTATGGTAGGTCATTGCAGGGAAGGATGAGCAAAACAAGATGAACTCAACGTTTCTCTCTTCTCTGTCTCTCTTTCTTTCTTTTTGTGTGCTGTAGGCGCTGATGGCAAACCCGGACGTGTGAATGTCATTACTTTAAGGAGTGATGGAAAAGCTTTATTCATTGGTGGCAATTTTTCGTTGGCTGGGTCCTTGGCTTGTGCTGCTGTATGCACGTTGGATACCAACACCCGACAATGGAACATGGTAGCTCAGGGCATGACGGGCCATGTTCGTGATCTGACAATTTCAGGAGGTCAAATGACGGCCGTTGGAGCCCTCACCGTGAACGATCAGCCCACCTACATTGCCAAACTTCCAGATCAAGCAGCCACCTGGATCAGCTATTGGCCCCAAACCACTGCAACCTTTGGCGTGCCGACTACCGTTCTCGGAGGTCCTAACCAAGCCGTCATTGTTGCCGGAAGGTAAAAAAAAATCAGTTGTGTTCTTTTTCTTTTCCTTGAAAGACGGTGCTGGCTCTGAATCGACTGACGAAATGATGGTTAGTAATGCCAGCATGGGTTATTTGGGATCGTGGGACGGGCAGCAGTTCACCGATTTGGGATCCAATTTTGGCACAGCGACAGATATCAGTCAGTTGATGTATGTGCCTATTACCAAATCGCCAAGCGATCAACGATACCCTGCCAACACGGACGACGTGCTAATGGCGATTGGAAAGTTGATGATTCCTCCTTACGGCAATGTCAGTGCCGCTTTTTACGATGGTTCTTCATGGTATCCTTATATTTTGACAACCCGACTGAACGGTACTGCTGGCCAGATTCATCACATTTTCCACGGCTCTTCCTGTTGTAGCGTGGGCGATATTCGACGTAAGTCGTCTTAAAGACCATAATTTCTTTATAATCCTCCCCTCCCTCAATAGGTTAAAGCAACGTTGAGGCTGACCCTTGGACTATAGATTATCTCCCTGTGCCTGCCGTCATTTTGATTTCCATTGCGATTTCACTGGGTATCATCTTTGTCCTTGTAGGACTTGGATTGATTGTGTTGTTTATCCGGCGTCGCAACGGTGTGGACGATTACCCAGAACCTTTGCAGCCATGGAAACAAGGAATGCAACGGTCAAGTTTGATGGAGATGCTGGATGCGGCTCCGTTAGGCGGAGCTCTTGCCGGAGCGGGCGTTGGAGCTGCAGCGAGTGCCAGCAGAGAAAAACAAAAGGCTGCATCGAATGAAATGGATCTATCCGATAAACGACTGAATAGAATGGGACCGGCCGCGGCTGAAAAGAATGCAGGGGTGTCTTCGTTTGGCGCCATGATGGCCGCCGCGCTTACTCAAGGGAACGATGGTGTGGCCAGCGAAAAATCTCCTCACTTATACTATGCAAAGCATCCATTTGAAGCCAAAGAATATGGTGAACTAGACCTGAAAGCGGGAGATGCCATTGTCGTGACGGATACAAGTGATAATGTATGGTGGATGGGTTACAAAGACGATGGTAAGGTTTTCTAGTCACTCCAGAAAAAGTCTTTTTGTTTATTGCTAAACACACTAAAATTTCCCGTTTTTAGGTTCGGGAAATCCCATCTCGGGTTTGTTTCCAAGCAACTATGTGAGATCACCATCGCATCCGTAAAAACACCATCTCGTGCATATCATTATTTATATCTCTAGTGTATTCCTTTGCACCTCTTGCATACAGGCATGATACTGATGAAGGAAAAATCCGAGGAGAGATCTCCAGGACCGGTTCCTCCATCTATCTTCATCTTTCTTATTTCCCCATTCCTCTCCTTTTTCTAGTGTTTTTTAATTAATGCCTTTTTTTTTCCCTTCGTCTTCTTTTCCCGCATGACATTCTCATTTTATTTGATACTTCTTTTATTTATCCTCCTTTTTTTGCATTCTTCACACTATAAATCGTAGCTTTGAGCTTATTATACCACATCCAACTTGCATGTGACCCCATAAATGATTTGATAAATATGTCTCGGCAAATGTGTGATCATAATGAGCCATGTCGGAAAGCGTTCCGATACGGCATCTTTGTGATGGGGCGGTGATGGCTGATTTTCCTTCTTCGGAGGAGCGGATGGTACATTTAAGGATATGAGGAAGAAGGATGAGGTGACAAGAGCAAGGACACGATGTACGAACAGTAAGGAAGGAAAATGACGTGGAAAAAAAGTCAATGGCAGTTGTCAATGTTTATGCAGCTGTGGATGTTTTCCCGCGGGATTACTCGTTCTTCACGGCACAGCACAAAAAACAGGCCAGTAGACTACATCATCACAAAACGATGTGTGAAAATCAGATCAATAAAAACGTGCATTTCCCCGTTTTGCTTTTCTTAGCGGAATTGCAGGCAGCCAAATGACTTACCATCCCAGACAACAGGGATCTTTGTTGGGTGCATGAACTCTAGGTTGTACAATGACGGATGCAGGAGGTGGCGTGGGTTGATAATCAAGTCCAGCTATTGTAAGAGAAAAATAAAACAAGAAAATAAATAACAGAGGAAACCTCGGTCACTTTTATTTTTTACCAGTTTATGGTAATTTGAAATTGTTGTCATCGATTCTCCTTTGTCTTTTACCTTGAGTAATATACAGACTCGTGCCTCGTTTCATGGGTTGAGGTGTATAGTACCTTTCAGGCGGTCGTACCACAGGATCCGACGAAGGCTTTTCAAAGCTCTCGCGTAATTTCTCGTCAGTCCATACATCGTGATGTTGTTGAATCATGCTCATCGATTTTCCCGTGTTTGAATATAAGCCAGCAATAATAAATGAGGATGCTAAAGGTTGAGGACTAAAAAGAGAAGAAAGGAACAAAAAGAGATGAACCTTAGGGTTGAAACATCTCGTTTTATTTGTTGTTGCTTGTTTATGGACGTTCTCATTTGGATTACGCTTTCTTTTTCCCTTTTTATCCTTTTTTTTCCCTTTTTTTTCACCACATTTGCTCTCGTTCTTTCTTTTTTCTTTGCACAGTTTACTGTTGACCCTACCGTAACATTGCTGGTTTACCTATATTTTTTTTTCTTCATCCATTTTGAACCTAAACACCGCAACCTCCACCTGCCCAAAGATAATCCCTCGCCGTTACCATATAAAGGGTAGAAAGTTTTCGGAAGGCTTGATGGGAAAAATGGACTTCTATTTCATATAGAGAGCAAATGGGAGGTTCAGGTGCATGTTGCAACAATTTCGTTGGCTGTTCTGTGTACAGTATTTTTTTTTTTTTTTAATTCGATGTACTATTGATTTTCATATTGGTGGCCCCGTTTTTAGCGGTCTCTCGAATAGGATCGGGAACGATCACTGCCACTGGGTCGATAAGAATGACGGCTACCGCGGTCGGTAGATCGTGAACGAGAACGGGATCGATACCGATCGCGAGGACTGATACTTCTTCTGCGTCTGTAAGATCGATCATCATCTTTGTACCTTGAACGTCGGTCCCTTGACCGACTACGATCTCGTTGACGACTGTGTCCACGACGTCGTTCATAATCATCTATATCATTTCTGAAATCACGTTGTCGTCGTCGATCATCCCCACGATCTCGTCGTCGAGGACTTTGGCTACGAGAGTGGTCACGGCGGTATCTGGAACCGCCTCGATCCCGGTCATCGAATCGACGGTTGTCACGTTCGCTTCTATTTCCCACGCATCAGAATCCACGCCCAAGATCCAGGGACAATCAGGCACTTACTCATGCTTTTGACCCTTCATTTCCGCATCATAATCCTCCAGCTTTTTGGCAAGATCGCGCGCAATTGGAACAGGAATGCGAGGTAACATGGTGCCTTGATACTTTTGTTCCGTAATTAACAAGCGACACAGCTTACCAATTGTCCTAAGAAAAAAAAAGACACAGGGACCAACTTTGATGAACACGGGAAACATGCGCGAGATATACCATGTAGAACAACTTACGATTTCTCCGGTTTAGGACCACCAGACAAATCCAATTCTTCATCGTCCTCCAAATAATAAGAAAACCAATCCCACAATTGAGCCGGAGCACATACGTAACGAAGATACAGGAAGCCGATGGCACGAATATAACTGATAACGGAGAAAAAAAAAACATAAAAACCGCATCAGCACAGTGTTCCGAGATGTCGTATGAAGGAATATCTCTCAATCTTCGTTGCATTACGTTATACTTACGGAGAATCCGGGTGGTCAATCATATTCTCGATCTGTTTCACGGTTAAACGCAGTGTCCACATCTTAAACAAACAAACAAACGCAGTGGACGGCATGGTTCCCTTGAGAAATGGCGCTACATGAGCAACATGAGGAATGAATATACTGACTATGATCGGTCCAACTTCGAAGAAAAGCGTCCCACTTACACAAGTTATAGACTGCAGGATAAACAATGGCGCGCCAAAAAGAAAAAAAAAATGAAAAGAAAGGTGGCAATGCATAAATGGAAAAAATAGGTTAGACACGAAAAGCATGTTCTGTTGAACCAAGAAAAAAAAAGGGGGAGAATGTCTTGAGCAGATAAAGAAAAACCCCCAATGGACAAACCTTTCAACACACTACAGAGATTGAAAGTTTTGCGGCAGTACCTTGGTTGTAAATTTCATCTACCATTTCGTGGAATGTCTTTTTTTCACTGTCCCACCACGTTTATGAGTTAGTAAAAGCTTTCAAACAACAAGAACCTTCAGCGTGCCAACGACTTACTAGAGAGACTTGAAATACGGTGAAGCGAGAATGTTCTTGTAAAGAATAGCATTCAAGTTCATAGTCGTTTCATTTCCCCATGTTTCCAATTTATTCGACGCTTTGGATCCGCTCATGATGGCACAGCAAACAAAGTAAGCCCAACGGAAAAAGTCAAGGGAAAAACAAAAATTCCCTCTCGTTTTGTGCGTGCACTCATTTTAGATTATTTTTATTTCAATCCCCGTCCGTTCGATCCACACCCTTCGCTTTACTCTTTTCTTTTATCATGACCGCCACAGCTGCCTTCGAAGCATGGGCTGCCCAGCATCACATTGACGCACCGCATATTGCCATTAAACAAACCCAACATGCCGGGACAGGTCTTTTTGCCAAACAAGCCATTGTTACCCATACCGAGCCTTTGTTACGCATTCCGAATGATATGCTCATTACCACCAAAAACGCGACACATTTGCATCTGACGGAAGAATTTCGGAACACTATTTACCAGTTATTTGACGGTACAGACGAGATGCATTTAGAAGGGAAGAATGAACGCTTGTTTCTCAAGTTATTTTTGGTGCATGAACGGTTTGTTCATGCCAATGACTCTTTTTGGAAACCGTACATGGATGTGTTACCATCGCTCGCGTTTTTCCAAGAAAACCACGTCCTGTTCAAGAATTATGCCGAACATTTAGCTGGAACCACGTTGAGTGTATCCATCAGTGCCAAACAAAGAGCCTTACAAAATGAATTGGCGACGTTGCAAGAAAAAGCGTGTGGCTGGCTCGACCAAATTACGCTTGAACAATGGTTTTGGGCCGATGCCACTTTTTGGTCTCGCGTGGTCAGTCTGGACGAGGAAAATGAAGCCGTCGACAACGGTCAAGCTACCCATCTAGCGTTGGTTCCATTTTTTGATTTTGCCAATCATTCACTGACGCCCAATGTTCGATGGCAGCGAGACTCTCAAGATAATAGTTTCTTATTGATGCCTTTTGAAGATGCAACTATTGGCGCGCATGATGAACTGTTTATTTCTTATGGCGCCAAATCCAATCAGGAGCTTTTGTTCTTGCATGGATTTACTTTAAGTAACAATCCGGAACCTTTACGTCTGCGATTGCCTGTCACCCCTTTCTTAGCCGGTCCATCCCAACCGGCCATCAGCCGATTCCTGCAACAAAATGCCATGGAACCATTCGTTGCCTTTGGTTACTCACACGACTCTGCTCCATCGTCGTCGTCCCAAGTTTTACCAGATTTCCCCATTGCTCATCAATTATTTGCATCCACGGGATTTACCTATCCTTCCATTGTTCTCATGTATCTTTTGGCACTGGATGAAGACGACGGTTTACGAATTGATGAACAAGAAAATATCGTGCTTGGCAACAAACAAGTCGATGCAATGGATGGCGTCGCCGAATACACATCGCAGCTTGAACATTTCAAAGTGATTCAATTACGTGTCATTCTTCTTCTATTAGATGCACTGACGTACCATCACGGTGAACTATCTCAATCCATACCGGAAACCACCCACCCTTCGGCTTTAACGAATCACATCGCCGCCTATCGTCTAGAAGAGAAACACTCTTTTGAATGTGCTATTGACGCCTTGGCTCTTCTTCGTGAAGAGCTTCTTCAAGAACCAGTCGTTATACAATACATGAGTAGTCAGGAACAACAGTAAACAGTTTCAATAAAAATACACATATACTCTCCTCTGAGATGTCTGTAAGAATCCATGAAAAGGAAGTGGGAGAGGCGCTATTTTAGAAAGAGTGCAAGGTTTACTCACAACGCCGTTGGCAAGAGAATATCTACTTTGAGCATGTGTAATATTGGAAATGTTGTCAAAAGAGAATTCTGTCAGAACGTGGGTTGGCAGCGGAGGTTCGAGCACCATCGATTCGGTAGACGTTAGCACCGTTTTTCGCATTGCAGCGTCGTCAGCGGAAAGTTGAGTTTCGCTTATACTTTTTTTATCAGCTATTAAGCAAGAACTAAACGATGGTTGGAAGCTCTGAGAAATCTGGCGCAGTGCCAGGTGGCGAGTCCTTATCGGAAAGAGCCATATACAATTTGCAAAATCCCAGTATTTCAGGACGACAATGTCTGGCGGTGAACGAAAAAACAAGCGTCACATGCATTTCGCGCTTGATCCATTAGTCGGCCAAAACGGTTCTTGTTCCCCTGCCCCGTATAACCAGCAAAATGCAAGACAAGGTGAATGCCGGAAAGCCCACTATTTTAAGAATCATTTATACGCTGACATCGGATTTCTTTAGAACGATCTTCAGCCTGTACGAGAAATTGAACTGGAAGCCGATCATGAATTTCGATTCGAAGTGGAGTTCAACAAGCGATTTGAAATCAAGGTAAGAAACTTTGTTTTCTTTTCTTTTTTTTTTTTTCTTCATGTCACTGTTTTGGGCGTTATTCCTTTCAATGGGCTTATTGGAAAATGGAAGGTGGGTGTGAAAGGAATGGGAGTGGAATAAAGCGACCAAGTGTGTGACAAAAGAGGAAACATACGAAACTATAGTGCAGCATACACGACACCCTAATAAAGGAAAAGAGTCCCAGCAGTTGTCATGTTGAAAATTAGCGTGGCAGCCTTTTCTTTTTTTTTTTTTTTTTTCTTCCGGCCCATGATGTTCTCCTATCTGAAATATCAAACTATAGCTTTTGAAAGGCACAGCGGAAATATTTGGTACGGAATTAGCTGTCGGTGTGACATATTCGTTCAGTGGACGCAAGGCAGCCGTTTATACTTGGCATGGTTGTACTTTGGAGATATCCTTTATACTCGCACTGGATGATCGATCGATCGATCCGCTTCCTATACGCATGCATATATATTTGTTGCTTTCATCCTTAACTCTATGATTACATCCGTGGACAATTTCTTGTAGAATATACCGCCAATGAAACACCCATGACGAGCTATTTCAATACTCACGTGGCACTACAGCAACTACGGCAATCAGCAAGAGACAACAAAGAACAGGGACCAAGAGTAAGTGGGTTGCATTGGTGTTCTGCGTTGGAAGCAGAACAGAAAGGGTGACCGATAATTTGATAGGTCCTGGTGATCGGTCCTCATGATGTTGGCAAAACGTCCTTGTGCAAACTTTTAGTAAGTTACGCGCAAAGACAAGGTGAAAAACCCATTTATGTGTCGTTGGATACGTCGGAGGTAAGTCCTGAATCAGGAACCAGAAGATATTTGTATAATACTGTGCTCACGGGTGTTTAAAAAGGGATCTATTACAATGCCCGGTACCGTGACAGCTACGACGATGAACAATATTATTGATGTGGAAGAAGGATTTGGATCTTCAGCAACGACGGCGGCTTCCATGGGCTCGACCACAATGCCATTAGCGTACTATTACGGCTATGAAAACCCTAGTGAAAGTGTTAAACTGTACAAGCTGGTGGTATCCCGACTGGCGCACTCGGTCAAATGCCGTATCGCTGCTGATGAAGAATCACGTACCTCGGGCCTGATCATTGATACTGCCGGGTTGATTGATCAAGTAGGCTACGAACTTATTCAGCATGCAATTCAGGAATTCTCAGGTAAAGTCTCGTTGGGAAAATATCTCTTTTAGTCGTTGCGACTCACAGCATGGACAATTGTAGTTAATGTGGTCATCGTTCTTGGCCACGAACGTTTGTATAGCGACATGACACGTATTCTGAAAGATCGGTCCTCTATCAGCGTGATCAAGTTGACAAAATCCGGCGGCGTGGTAGAACGCGATCGACAATTCAAAACACAATTGCAACGCGCCAAGATACAAGAATACTTTTACGGTACACCAAAGTGTGAATTATTCCCTTATTCTATGCTCATCAATATGAGCGATGTGAGTATATGGCGCGTAGGCGAACCGATTGCGCCTTCTTCCGCTTTGCCAATTGGTATGGACAGCACAGAAAATGAGACTCAAGTAGTCAAAGTCGATAATCACGATATGTGCCTTCACTCTATCCTGGCTATTCTCAATGCGGATCCCTCCGAACCCGAAAACAAGTTGCTGGAAAGCAACATTGCTGGATTTATCTACGTGTAAGCATCTTTATTTTCTTTTGTTTTTCGTGCCTGAGGAAAGAGGCAACTGTTTCATTGGATTGGAGTAACATGGATACCAAATTCTATGGTTTTAGATCGGATGTCGACGAAGAAAAACAAAAAATGGCTATTCTATCTCCTGCTCCGGGTCGTCTACCTCGACGTCATTTATTAATGGGCGCATTCAAGTGGATGGAAACATAGATCATTACTGATAATAAAAACAAAAATAAAGCGGCGTCAGGAAATCATTCAACTCGGGGTTATGTGTTGCGATTAAATAGAATTGGGGGCGCCAATGCAAAAACTGGAGAGTAAAATATGTGATAATGGCGTCAACCGCCTTTCGGATCTGAGACTCCGTTCGATCATCATAAAGCTGTTAATTGATAAGATAGATTCAAATTTTGTGTCCCCTCCTTGTGCATGTATCTAAACTGAATGCCTGTGTATAAAAAATATGAGGCCGAATAGGGAGGTGGTAGGCGGTATCATAACCATGCAACGAACGGTTGATCAATGAAAGAAAAAAAAAATCGCTTCATCACGTGCAGTTTCCCATCCTGCGGCTCCTTGTCTCCGCCTTTTCAGTTCTTGAACTTTGTCCACTGCTTTTTTGTTCAGCATTTCAGTATTTTTTTGCCATGGCCGATTCGACCAATGAATTGGATACTGCTGCAGAAAAGGCAGAAAAACTGGTGAAGCGCATGTCAGCCGGCGCCACATTGTCTGACCAAGCATCCGAAAAATCAGTGACCAAAGACGACAAAGTATTAAAAATCGCTACATTCTCCTTGCAGAAATATTTAAAGGCAAGCAAAGAGCATCCCATTCATCATTACAAACTGTATCTTAGCAATATCCTTTTCGTCCTATATAGGAACCGGATTTCGCGACGGAATTCTTGGAGCGAGGTGGATTGGAATCATTATGCGAAATTATCAAAAAGTCATCAGGAAACACGCTGGCTTATGCTTTGAATTCCTTCACTTCGCTTATGGAGCACAACACGGGCTGGGAATCACTCAACGACGACTTTGTAGCGGATATCGCTCACATCGTTGTCTCGGAAACCTTGGTCACCATTTGTCGACCGGCTACCGCGATACTGATCAAGATTTTATGCGGAGAAGAATCGTTGTTTCCTTCCGTTACTTGCCTTGGCTATCCGACTTTACGTAAAGCCATGGATCGTGAACCTGAACTCCTAGCTACCTTGGTGCAACGACTTCAGAGTCCGGATTATACACTGTGTCTTAACAGTTTGTCCTTACTCACCGCCATGTTGAAGCATGTGACCGAAGAATATCAGAGCGAACTTCCGAATGAGATTTACGAACTTAATGCGTATAAACATATCCTCGTATGTCCAGAGAAAAAACAAAGCTTCCCATATTGTTGCTCGCGCAATTGACTGAAACGACGCTTCCTCCTTTGATTTAGCGATTGATGAATAACCATCCATCGGAAGAGCTGAAAGAAAAAGTACTAGAATTTCAATCAGCTTTGATCCAGAACGCCAATCGCCGCCGAAGTACTCCGATTTCCCTCCATAATTCACGACACGCCAAGATGCTCAATGAAATATGGGAAGCGGCGAATGTAGCCAATATCGTTATTCCGGGGCTAAGAAAATGGAAAAAGATCGGTTTTTCGGTAAGCTCTTCTTGAAAAGGAAAAAGAAGCCTTGTAACCGGTTCCTCAATCATCTACGATTAGTCCGAAGTACCTCAGCGCGAGTTTGGGCGGACTGGTCTTTTTGGTCTCCAACGTATGCATGCATTTGTGATGAAAAACCGGGATTCCTTTGCCAAGGTTACTATTGACAACTGGATTTAAGATTTCCCTTCTTTTTACTAACGACGAATCATGCTCTTTTAGTTAACTCTGGAACAAATTCATCGTCCCGAAAACAAACGTTGTCCGTTTGCTAAAGCCAGTATTGAAGTCACTGATGTTTTGTGTAGTCACTGGAACATCAATGCAGGATGTAAGTGAAATGCATCACCACGCAAGCGAGACAAGGCGACTGATCAAGATTGCTAGATATTGCTGCGGAATTTGAGCCGCTATTTTTTCAGTTTGATCACGTCCACAACACCACGATGCAATGCTTCTATCGAATCTTTCAGGACATGGAAGCTACATCGACTGATTTTTCCAAAGTGTCGGCATTGATTCGTAGCCAAATCCGCGCCGTGTTGAAAAGTGATGGGATCAAAGACATCTATGAGTTTGATCACGTCATGAATGGAACCCCTTATCAAGTGATTCGGGATCGGCGACTCCGCGAACTGGAATGGGCCGACGACTTACTGGGACGGGAAGCGATTCGGTAGGCTTTGGACAAATCAACGAACGATCCATAACGGGAATAGATTTGACTAATGACAGCCCCCATTGTTGAATAGAAATCTTCGTGCCCGGCTTAACAAACAATCGTATGAATTCATCAAGAAGCAACGCATTAGCTGTTTGCTGGAAGGAGCATGGTTTCCAACACCGATATCTTCGCAACGTACAATTGCAGCTTCCAGTAGCAGTGGAAATACCACTCCAGCTCATCCCCACAGTGTCAGCGGTACAGGGGCGGTATCGACGCTTGGAATCATGACGCCTAATATTGGGCAATCGTCCTCGATCAGCTCATCCCATCGACGGTGGCGATATTATAAACTAAGTCCTTCGAAAAAGGCCCTGCAGTATGGTGACTTCTCAGAGAAAATTGCGAATGTGATCAACAGCTACGATCAACTGCCCCATAAGATCGACCTGAATACCGTCAGCGAAATCCGGAACCTTCGAAAACCATCCAACGCCGCCACCATGAACCATCCCAACCTCTCCATGAACACCTTAAGTCCGGCATCAGCGGTACATTTACCATTGACGGAAAGCCATGGACTGGCATTTGCGCTGTATTCCAAGGACAATACCCCTTTGGCCGAGTTCCATTGTTCATCGACCACGCAACTGTCGGAATGGAAAGATGGATTCAGCATGCTTCTTGATAAAGGGATTACCAGCAAAGACACAGCCGAATACCTGCATTCTCTTACAGAAATTGGAGTCAAAGTGAAATTACTGCAAATTGCCGGCGATCGAGTGGAAATTCCTCATGGCACACTGGATGTGCCACCAGTTCCTTTTGGATTAGGAACAGGCTTCTTTTACGATATAGACTAAGTTCTTTACTTCTACGTTACAGTGCTATTATTTTACTCCAACCGTTTATCACCTAATCTTCCTCTTTGTCCGTTTCCTGCTTTTTCCGAATTGCCTTTTTTCATGAACTACTTTTCTTGTAATCAACCATGATTGAACTTTAACCTAATTAAAATCAGATCCAACGCTTTGACCCCGGATGCTTACAGTACTTTACCCTTTTTCTTTTTCTTTTTCTTTTTCTTTTTTTTTTTTTTCTCTTTCAGATCCTCGGATTATTGATTTTTCATATATTTTCGAAACTGATTTCGAAGCGAATCCGTATTTTTATAAATAAGAAGACACTTTTTCTCTGCTTTTGGAGAGACAGGCGACCCAATCCATCCGCGTACGCCCACTATCAGGTCTTGTCTGCCTGTACTGTTTCACAAACTCCATCCCGACTTTATCACGGCATGCGCTGCCTGACGCCACCATTGTATCCTCCTCTTTCTGTAAATTTGACTCTTCATGTGAAGATGGACCAGAATTATCATCGTATCTGCGCTCCAGGCACTGATTGGTAACCTGCAAAACCTCTCGACTTTCTGTCTTGCTTTGATATATTGGTGGGCTAATTCGTAGAGTCGCTTTATGGTATGATCTTGGCGACATTCAGCTTCGACTGGCATTTTCGCATGATAAATGAAAAACAGACCAAGGGTGACAAATCGGTCAAGTGGGGGAGTATGATTGCATTCTTCCAGGTTTATTTTCGAGACAATAAGGCAGTCTTTTGCCCAAGGGTTGGAGGGGAAACTGTGACAATCTGTGACACTGGACGGTGTCTTGGTCTCCATGACATAAGTGGACAATTTATCCACACAGATGATTAAAACGAGTGGATCGCATTTGTATTTGTTGTATGCTTGCAAACAATAATGGTTTACGCGCTTTATGAAGTCTTTATCGACGCTTTGCTCTACTTCGATGATGATGGGTGGCAATTGTTTTGTCGGGCCTCTGGGTCCCAGCACTAAATCCGAACGAGAACCGTCGCTCCACTCGCTACTACCAACAGTGTATTCATTCTCGGTGTTGTTTAAGTGCAACATAATAATATTTGTGACTTCAGAATTGGAAAGGATTGTCTTCAACATGAGATCGCTGCCAAGTGGTGTCGAGGTAGACATTGGTTGCAATAAGTAAATCGTAAAGCGACAAAACGGCAGACCGAAAGCGAACGAATGCTTTCCAAAAAAAAAAAAAAAAAAAAAAACATCTTGCTCTCGAAATCTCGATTTGGAAATCTCATTCTTCAGCTGACAACAAAATATTGACTGAACCATCATTGAACTGTAGCCACAGGGCATTTATTTTTCGTCAGTTCCAAATGAATCCATATCCTTGTAAGTGTAAGGACCTCTTTTTCTGCCTTCGGGGAGATGGCTATCCAATCCGTCCACTATTAGCCCTCGTCTGCTTGAAGGGTTTTTCACAAACTCCATCCCGGCTTTTGTAGCTTGAAGAACTGCCTGACACCAGCACTGTGCGGTCCTCATTCCGTGAATTTGACTCTCATGCGACGACGATGGACCAGAATAATCGTTGCATATGCGCTTCAGGCATTGATTTGCTGCTTGCGTTTTTCGGGTAGCTTGACTAAGTGACTAAGTGCTTGTGACGACGCCTCTATAATGGACTGCGGGGATAAAACTTAGAATGGAAGTTCTAGTGACATGCGCGAACCACAAGAAACTGTACTTTTAACTAGAGGAGAATGAAGCTATGTTTTTTTTTATTAGCCATACGAATATTATATTTCTATGCTATATAGCGTCCCAAACTAGGACCCCCTGACAAATTTGCTATTTTGGGCGTCCACCATTTCTGTATTGCGTTGAAGATTGCCGGTGGGCCAACTCGTATAATCGCACCATGGTCGGGTCATGACTACACTCAGCTTCGAGCAGCATTTTCGCACAGCAAACGAGAAATAAGCCAAGGGGGACAACATCCAGGAAGTGGGGGAGTGAGGGTGCATTCTCTCAGGTTTTTTTTCGACACGATTAAACACTGTTTTGCCCAAGGATCACACGGGAAGTTGGAGCAACCTGTGACAACGGACGATGTCATTTTCACGAACACGTAGGTGGACAACTTCATGCAATGTTTTGCGTTAATTATTCTATGGACAATATGGTATAAGGCTATGAGAGAAGGCATGGCATCCTTTTTCCTATTTTATCATTTAAATTAAATAAAGGCGGCGTCTTTATCTACCAAGAAACAGTGTGAAGCAATATCGCCGTTTTTCCTTGATTTTCCCTGCTCTTTGGATGCTTTGAAAACGTTTCTGAACTTATGAAAACAAAAAAAAACAAAAGCGGCAAACTATCTGTAGCTTGATTACCCATGATGATTTTTAATTCTGCAGAGCACCGGCTACAATTTTTTCAGCGGCTGCGTTTTTGTACAACCGTCACGCTGTTAAGCCCGCAGTCTTAAGCTACACACAAAACGCATTCACTTTAGTTTCTGTTGCATCCTCGATTCACCATGCCGTCGCTGCAAGTATATGCCAGTAAAGTCACCCAATTCTCCAGAAATGAGAACGGCAAGCAGCTGGCCGCGCTATTTTCTCTCACCGACCAGCAAGGATCAAGCATGTATGATCACAACATGACGGTAAAGACCAAGGGACAGTTCCAGCCCGTCGACTGGTCAATGGTTCTTGCTAAACGCACTACATTCTTGAATATAGATAGCTCAGCTCGAGGGTCAACTTGGAAAGAAATTAGCCCAGCCTTGGAATGAGATCGCCGTCAAGCATTTGAAGGCTTTTATTCTCCAGTCCGAAGGAAGATACGGTGAAGCTTTTGAAGCGCAAAAAGATTTGGTTCAGTAAGCTGCAGTCATAAAATCTATACGAAAACCTCGTTTTGACTTACCCTTCTTTTTAAAAGAGTTTTCCAACGAGCCATGATCTCGTGGGATCGCTGGTGCCTTCCTATTTTGTACGTGATCAACAGCGACTTGCGAATGCTGGCTACACAGGTAAGTTTTATGGGTGACATCGGGACTATGCTCTATTGAACACTCACCATGGACACTTTCCGTCTCTTTTTACAGGCAGATCACATGGAAGTTGCCGCTGAAGGCCAGCGGAAAAAGCTGGAAGACGCTGCCAATGTCATCAGTAAATCGTTTACTTATTGTATCACGGACAGGTAAATTTGATCGGTTGAAATCATGTCTTTGTATTGTTTGTTGATGGGATACATTGGCAGAGGTGTGCTGGCAACGTCCAAAAAATATGGCACCTACCGCGTGATTGGCATGTTATTCCGCATCTATTTCAAGGTACGTTCGTACAGCGACGCATTACGAGAGTGCGAATACCTCTTAACAAACTACGTCCTTTAGTTGAAGCAGCCGAACCTGTGCAAAAACATTCTTCGCGCTCTTTCAGCCGCTGATATGCCCTCGATCGAAGATTTCCCTAAAAGTGATCGTGTAACATTCCGATATTATGTTGGCAGATTTTTCTTCCTGGAAGAAGATTATCTTCGAGTAAGTAATCAAACGGAGACGATCATGGACATTGATTTCGTTTATTCATGCGACACAACAAAATGTAGGCAGAACAAGAATTGTCATTGGCATTCAAAGAGTGTAGTCGGCATCAGCAAAAGAACAAGGAGTAAGTATTTATTCTTAAATCGGCTTGTTCCATTGACAATATTGGTCGCTGATGAAGTGCCGGTGAAATAGATTGATTCTGCTATTATTGCTACCGATCCGTATGATGCGTGGTGTACTGCCAAACGATCGATTACTTCGATTGTACCCGCGAACGAGAGAGCTGTATGGAAACATTGCAGCTGCTATTCGTACAGGCAATGTGGGCCAGTTTGACGCAGCACTCGCTAAAGCCGAATTACAATTAATTCAAAATGGAACATACTTTGCCGTTGAAAAGGCACAGATCATGGCTATGCGACGGTTATTCCACCGAGTGTAAGTAATTTCTCACTCAATCGTCTATTGACCTTTCATACTCAGTTGGTTTTCTTTAGATTCCTATTGCTTGGAAAGAATACAAGGATACCCATTGGAACCTTCAAGGCGGCCTTGGAATACACGGGACAACATATGGAAGTGGAAGAAACAGAGTGGATGTTGGCCGTGATGATTACAAGGGTAAGATTGAATAACGGGTCGAAAGTATGGATGGAAAAGATCTTAACAGTATGCACGAATTTTAGGGCTATATGAAGGGATATTTATCGCATGAAAAGTTATATCTCGTTCTAAGCAACAAGGATGCTTTTCCTGCCATCACCACCTTGTGATGGTGATTTTGGTGGTCTTTTTTTTTTGCATGTGCTCCTTTGGTTTTAAACACCGACATACCATCTTTTTTAAATCCCGATAACACGCACAGCGCCCAAATTCTGAATCAAATTTGCGCTCCACAACTGCCCAAAAAAAAAAAAAAAAATGGAAGCTCGCTTTTTCTTTCTTGCTGCTTTTTTTTCTTACTTTACCTTAATCTAATTCTCTAGCCATCTTTTGTTCAATATGAAGCTGTACTCTATTCTTATTTTGCGTAAAGTCGGTGATAAAGCCAAGATTTTGGCTTCTCAGTTTGACTTGTCGAGTTTTGGCTACTTTCAACGCAGCAGGTAGATGACGAACGCAAAAACGATCCGCTGTGAACATGCAATGAGATATGATGCTTACTGGGTGATGGAATGTAGTGTGCAAGAATTTATGAACTTCTCGGCAGCTACTATTGCGGAGCGTACAGCTGTGGGACAAAGACAAAGTGTGGAAAGTGAAAGTACGATATTCAGTGTGGAAAGGAGACGAGTGATGACGAATTGGAATGAATACTGACCGACAATATAGACAATGTGGCGCACGTATACAGCCATCCGCAGAATATTGTTGGTGTGATTGTCAGCGATAAAGAGTACCCTTCAAGAGTCGCATTTTCCTTGCTCAACAAAGTGTTGGACGAATTCCTTGTCAAGTTCCCTGCCTCGAAATGGGATAATCCTCCACTGAACTATCCTGAATTAACCGACTACTTGCGCAAATATCAAGACCCCAAACAGGCCGACGCTATTATGAAAGTACAGAATGAACTCGACGAAACGACCGCCATTCTCGTAAGTGTCATCGTACTAGAGGAGAAAATGGCATAATGGGACCCGTGACAGTGACAGCTGACGATATTGGCTATTCTTTTTTTTTTCAGCATAAAACAATCGACTCTGTGCTTCAGCGTGGTGAAAAGGTAAGTTTCGCGATTGGAGAAGATGGAGAAAATAAGAGAGAATTAAGGACTGAATCACATATATGCGATTGTTTGAATAGCTGGACTCCTTGGTGGATAGATCAGAAGCGTTATCCAGCCAATCGAAAATGTTCTACAAAACCGCTAAACGGACCAACTCGTGCTGTGTTGTTATGTAACTTCTTTTTCCTGACGGATCCTTTCCTGCATTGATTTTACTTTTTTGTCAAGAGAGAAGAAATACCATTCGAGAAACATCCTTTTTAATTATGTATATGGCGAATGAGTATCGAGATAGACACTGTAATCCTTATTGAAACGAGCTTACCGTTTTTTGTTTTTTTGTTTTTTTTTTATTTTTGGTCTTTCCATTCTTCTATACTCAAAAACAAAGAACCTGCTGTTATTAACTGCTTATTGAGGAATAAACTCTATGTTCGGTTGTGGAAAGAAAACAGACGTTCGGAAAAACTTTAGCTCTATGGCGACAGGTGATAAAATGCACATTCCATCAATAAATATCAAATCGTGGCAAGTTACACCAACTCTTCAATATGCAGCAAAGAAGGCATCAAATTATATTCCTTGTCAAAGCGTTGCTGATATCAAATCTGAATAATACAGGAGAATCCTCGACAAAAACACACTAGCAACTTTTACAAGACGTTCTTCCAGCTACTGTCAGGATATCATCGATGATATCATATACAAAGGATCGTGCATTATCCAGAAGTTCTCATATTATTATTCCCAAATGTAATGATTCTTATGGAGGAGCATCTTGCGCTTTTTTATGTAGCAATGGGCAGAAATTAATAAAAGCGTACACGACGTCATAAAGCTAGAAACCAATGCATGTGAAATCCTAAAGGTCTCTGCGACAGATTTATCAATAAAAGGATGTGTATTAGGACAAAAAAGTAGTGGATTTACCACATTAGTGGGGTTTTTTATTATTATTCAATGCTAGTATGCTATTTAATGTTTTATACACGGAAGAAAAAGAGGGCATTATGATACGGGGGAAATTTTAGCGCATGAATACGAATGATATAGGAAGGGAAAGATATTTAGTGCCATTTGTTTCTAATGGAAGACTGCCAGTCGCGAGCCCCTTCGAATCCATTACGTCCACGGTCATAATCGGCGAAAGCCTGGTAGATTTCTTGCTGTGTGTTCATGACAAAGGGGCCATATTGAACGATGGGTTCTCTGATAGGTTTTCCGGCAATAATGACAAAGTGACAGTCATCCGAAAGGGATTCGACGGGGATATGGTCGCCTTGGTTTTCACTCAGTACCAAAGTATGGTGTGCCTCAGAGGCGTGTTTGCTACCACCAAATTTTGCGGAGCCAGAAATTGTGTAGATAAATCCTGCATAATCGGTTGGGATTTGCTGTTCGAATGTCTTTCCTTTCATCATCTTCACATCGATAAACATGGTGGGTGTACGTGTCATCACTGGACTGTGGGCACCGTGGGACTCTCCCGCAATGACGTTGACGTTTACACCGGGCTCGGGAGAGACATGGACCACCTTCTCCTTTGGGAACTCTTGGTAATTTGGTTCAGACATTTTATCCTTAGCGGCAAGATTCACCCACAGTTGCAGACCATGAGCCCGACCATTGGTAGCAGGAATCTCAGCATGGACAATACCCTTGGCTGCAGACATCCACTGAAGGTCACCGGGACCGAGGTGGCCTTTGTGTCCTTTGAAGTCTTCATGCAAAAACTCTCCTTCCAACATATATGTCACTGTCTCAAAACCACGATGAGGATGATCGGGGAAACCGCCGGGAGCCTTGACATCGAATTCATCAAGCATCAAAAAAGGGTCCAGGTTACGGAGCGCATGACTACCGATGCTTCGATACACTATCAATACACGTCAAAAACCATAATTAGAACTGTTATTTTCATTATTCACAACAAAGGTATGTATTTACCTCTTGCACCTTCACCATCCATTTGTTCACGGGAAAGGACGGACTTGACAATGTTTCTTGCGATTCTAGCCATAGTAATTTGCTTTGTATTAAACTTTGAGTTTTGTTGAATAAAAAATGTTGCTGGGTTCGGAAATCATTCTTTTATACTTTTCAGGCAGTTTCAAAAAGACCGTTCATTTGTAATGGCTGACAAGAGGGGTCCAACATTGAATCTCCGCCGATTTGTCAGAAGCCCAATTTCTTGACACACAAATTTAAAATGAGTGGTCAGTGATTCATATGTTAGACATAACCTGATTATTGTCAATTGGCAAACCCTCTTTTTTTATGTTTCGTTTTTTTTAGTTCGTTGTGTATTATATTTCTTGTACTCTCATCTCTACCAATTACGCTTACATGACTTATGTACAATTTCTAGAGGGAAAAAAAAGAGAAAACCCTATGTTCTATAAAGTAAAAAAAGAAAAAAAAATATGGCAGAAAAAGAAAAAACTTGTCCTTTTTTTTTTGTTTTTCCTTTTCTTTCTATGATATGCCCAGAGACCGTTTACTGAATTCATACACTGCATAGCTGATGCTAACTGATGGCACAACCTATCATGACAAATCAAATATGTGTCAGCACAGCCGGTATTAATAATGGTTTTTTCTTTTCATCTCTTCATTTTTTTTTTACCTTGAAAAGAGTTGGACCAAGCCCTTTATAAAATCCTCGCACACCATCCGCTTGAAATGTCTTTTTTGCCGCATCCCAGGCTGAGTTGTATCTATGTGGATGCCCAGGTGTACCTTGAGCTTGTAATCTTTTGGACCAAAAAAAAAGAGGTTAGCGATCAAGCTTCAGACAGATGTGGGTATGAAAATTACCTTGTTCTGATCATATTCAGTGGATAAACACTAGATGCACCAATGGAACCGCTGACCATGCCACACGCCCATAATACCAGAACATTCGGTTGTGTACTTTGACCCGTCTTTTTGTCGGCCATTGCTTGTGTATTCATGTATTGCAGATAAGTGACCTTCAAAGTCTCGTAAATGCCCATGTCCAACGCTTGGTATGGAAATACGCCCATAAGACCTAAAAAATAAAGGTTTGTCAATTAAAAACGAATTTCATGCATGCTATTTCCAAACTCCTAATATGTACCTAGAGTAAGCCCTGGCCAAAATGCACGAATACCGTTTGCACGGAACATGTCTTTTGCTGTTTGAAGGACAAAAGATCGAGGGGCCGCACCCGATGAGGGTTTCGACGGTATCGACGCGCCAGCTACCCTGGTGGACATGATCCGTGTCTTTAATGTTTCCACGGGATAGATACAAAACTGTGAACAGAGACCAGCTACACCACCAGCCACAAACCGCGCACCCACAGGAATAGCATTTTTGTCTTCCGAATGTGTCAACTCTGCCAACACGGTTTTGGCCGTCTCGAATACATAAAACTTGATGGCCGATTCAGGCACGATTTTCATCACATTCAGGCCGTTACCGACAAAGAAGGCGCGAAAGCCGCCTTGTGAATAAATATTTCGCATCGCGGATACGATGGATGATGACGATGATTCGGCGACGGTTTTGGATGCTGCGATTTTGTGTGATGTATTATAAGAAGTCTGCGTAATAAGGTATACTTTGAGCCGATCGAAAGGAGCGGTGCATGTTCGCGAGACAGCACCTGCTATGCCGCCTGCGGCGAGGTATTTATAAGCATTCCGTGCAGCTTCATCGGTATGAGGAAAGATGACTTCGGCGTCAGGGGTGAGTTGCGTCGAAGTTTGGTAATAACGATAAATTTCAGTGATGGTTGTTTCTCGTGGAAGGAGCTAAATAAAAAGAGAAAAAAACAATAGTCAGTACATTGAATGATGGTTCAGACCAATCCAGGAAGGAAAAAAAAAAAGTGAGGTTCCGTTTCTGATTTTACCAGCAAAAAGTCTCGCCAGTCTTGGAAATCAATATATCCATTACCCTCTACAACATAAAAGCAAAATTGTTTTAATAGCCGTGCGTTGACAAAAAAAAAAAATAGTTATTCCTGATGGATCACGTTACCCGTGTCAATAGCTTGTATAAATTCTTCAATATCGTCCCTGGTAACTCGTATGCCAGCTGCTTTTAATGCACTTTCGAGTTCGTTTGGATGAAGTCTGTAATCACCGGACTTGTTGATCTGGGCAAAGAGATCCCAAAGTTCTTTTTCCTTCTCGAGAACATAGGCTTTAAACTCTTCAAAGTCAATGACCCCGTCTCGAGCGGTATCACAACGTGCTAACAGATCGGTGGCATATCGTGTGTGGGCAGGTAAATGGGTAAGTTTCAGGAAACCGTCGAGAATAGCGTCAGCGTCGAGAAATCCTCGATTGTCACAGTCGAGGGAATCAAATAAACTTCGTATACGAATTTCTCGGTCACCGGCTTGCTCATCATAATATGGATGAGGCGAATCAACTACAGTGGACCCTGGAGTCATGTCACCTTAACCCTATGTATGTAACAGTTATATAGGAACAGCCAGAAAAGGCAGGCCTTAAAAACTTGGTAAAATAAAATAGCAAGCCGCAAAAAACAGATAGGAACTAGCGGGCGCTCTTCCAAAAAAACTCTGAAAGGGGGAGGCAAAAAAAAAAAAAAAAAGAAAAAGATGACGACAAGTTCGTGGTGGAGATGCCTAACTAATTTGGAAATCCGCTCGTTATGAAATTCGGTATCGCGCTAAGTGGCTTGTCTTGAAATGTCGCATTTTAAGGATATTTGTCGCATACAGCAGGGCAGCGCTGTAAGCCACTGCGAACAGTAAAAATGACCATGGGTTGCAGCAGAACGAATGGTGTAACCTTGCATTATCCTTGAGATTAATGGACATTTCATCTCTTTCGCGAGAAAAAAAGCCAGGTGTCTCACCGTACTTTTCATATGTTTCAATCTCAATTTTGCAACACTTTGCAACAAATAATCATTCGTATAAAAGTCCAATTATTTTTTTCTGTCCGCATACCCTGAACATTTTTATTTCATTATTGTTTAAGCAGAACTTTTTGAACAGCTTTAAGCACTTGATCATGGATAGAAGCATTGGCAGCCACTACGCCCTTGTTCTTTTCTAATGTACGACCGATGGAAAAGTCCAATGGTTGTCCGTGGATATCGGTGACTTTTCCTCCCGCCTCAGTAATCAACACATTACCCGAAGCATGATCCTATTTTACCAGCACAATTAACTTTCTTTTTCTTTCCATGTCTAACGTTTGTCAACCTACCCAGATCTTTTCTACATAGGTCGCACTGGTAGGCAAACGCAGATAGATATCGGCATCACCACGTGCAATGGAGCAATACTTGGCTTGGCTATCCATTCTTACAGCGGGACGGGTGATTTCCAGGCACTTTGCAATTTCCGCAGCATCTCCATGCGATGAATGGCCAGCTTCTACTGATTCACAGAACGAAGCATCTTTTGTGGAAGTGATCTCCTTGAAGCGGATAGGTGTTTCCTGAGGGTCGGAGAAAGATCGCTGTAAAAAAAGATCGGCAAAACAAAAAAGCGGAAGGGTTGATTGTTCAGTAACAAGATCATGCGTACCTCGTTGTTACGTTCATGCTTTTACCTGGAAAGCACCTTGGCCACGAACAGCAATGAATAAAGAGCCGCGTTCTCCTTCCGGTTGTGATGCATCGACGGGAAGATTGGGGCAACCCATAACACCAAGTTGAACCACACCATCAACGATCAAAGCCAAGCATACAGCGTATTGACCACCTCGAAGGAAGCCCTTGGTACCATCAATGGGATCCAAAGCCCAATGACCTATTGCGTCTGGGGTTAAACCTAAATCTTAATGAAGAATTGCCATTTTGAACTTACGGCCGGATGGTCCACCAACATAATTTCCACGATCAATAGCTTTCAAAATCTGCATTGGAAAAGACAAAAACACGCCTTAGAAACAATGCCATATTCTTGCCAGGTTGGGATAAACGACTTACAGCGTCTTCACTTAATTGTTCGTCCGCGCTCAAAACGCCATTGGTCAATGAGTGAACCTTTTCTCTGAGTACCTTGCCCGAATCACCGCGCAAATCCTTGGAGTCTTCCTCACCGACGATAGGGTCCTGAGGGAAAGCCTTTTCGAGGTAAGTGTTGACAATAGCCTGTGCAGAAAAGTCGGCCACTAGCAACACGGTTAGTCCAGGTTGAAATGCGTTGACATGCTGTCGTTCATGGTACCAGTGACAGGAGATTTGTCGTTCTTTGTCAAAGTCTCATTGGCGACAAGGTGGTTAAAGACAGACTGGCACACTTTGCTAGCTTGCAAAACGGCACGAATAGCAACGGTTCTTTCCAATGAAAAGTCTAGCAGTTATATAATATGAATAAACAAATAATCATCATAGAGTAGGTTTTAATATTAAACACTTACCAGACATAGCGGATGAAAGAAGGTTGTTCAACCGTCGGGCGGCAAAATATATCATTTGAAAAGATGGAAATGGAGGTAATGTCGTGATTTCGGTAATCAGCAAATCACGTTCGGTTGATTCGGAGGATCAATTACCTGTTTGGCGTGCTATTGTGTCACACTGAACTGCGGAAATGTTGGGATGCGATCGCTCCGAAGCCGTATTAGAGTCCATGGAGCAGTTTTTCCGTACGAAAAATCCCTGACCATATTTGCTTAGGCCTTGTTTGACAAGTTTTCCACAAGAAGGATGTACCAACCACCACATTTGCTTTTTGGCCTTGTTTGGGTAGAATATGCACACTATAACATTACGGTATCAGGATACAGGTATGCCTATTTTTAAACGACTCACACCCTACATTGGCAGGAAACAGGATGTACAAATTTGGGCAATTTAGATCGACGTGATCGACGGGCAGTGTGTTTTTATATAAAACGACAAAGACAACGAAACCGTATATGATACAAGCCCTGACTAAGGCCATGAGAGGGATACAAGCTGCTAAACATGATGCTACCCTGCACGATCTCCCACTCCGGTTTTTAACGAAAACAAGGCTATATCAGCTAATCCATAGAGGTGTCGCTGCGAGATATACTACGTAAATGTCGCTGTGAAATTGCAGCTTATGTGTTGCTTTAATATTTTATATCCTTCGTACTATATTGCCAAGCTGCCCTTAGATCTTGTTAATACTGATGCAGATATTTTACACACAGCGATTAAGAATTATACCACATTACGGCACAGACTTTAAAACCTAGGTTCGGATTGGTGTGACTGAAGGTATTCGTTGTTGCTTTATCTTTTGACCAAAAAAGTCACGCATGATTTCTGGTTACTGACAAAAATTCCAGAGTGGGATTTTTATGCTTATTCCTTGGTGATTCAGACAATGGACACTGGCCTCACCAATGCCGATGACGAATTCCTGTTTCGAGAAACGCATTACGCTCGATACGGGTTTGAAAGAACGTAAGCATTCCTGCCCTCCAATAAAGTAACCGCCTTCGTTTCCCAATTCTTTACACGACTTTAAAAGGAACATCTATGGATTAGCCACGGTCGATTCGTGGCTTCACACGTATTTGAAAAGACAAGATGAATTTCCTTCCGATCGAATAGAAAGCCTTCCAGAGCCTGCTCCTGTGGAAGACGCAGCGCAATTGCGTAAGTCATCACTATTTGTGGGCTTGATCTGCAGACTCCTGATATCTCGCTATAGCCGCCAAACGTTCTTTACGCCATTTGTTCGCAGCTTCGACTTCAGAATTAACCGCCTTTATCTCTCGCGACGGCTACTGGAGCTCAATATGTGTTGGACTCGGTCTGGAAGCAGGTTTATTTTTGTTCCTATTAGTCAAAATGACATAGCGTACAACGATCAAGCACTTATATCGACATAGGGAAATCGGAGATCATCTCGATCGATGTAGTGGAAGAGCATAGACATGATAAAATCCGGTTTATGCTGGCTGTGGCAGTAGCGGAAAAGGCAGATACCGACAATGACGATACAGGACTATCCTTTAGCTTGCGTATCTATGGTCATGATATATTTGCCAAACCCTATTTGGAACAGACTTTATTCGAGTTGGAAAGTAAGTCAAGGAGTCGAATCACTGATGGGACAGCAGTACATTAACGGAATTGTGCAGAGTCCTGCCAAGTGATACCTTTACTTCATGCACCAATGCAGATATGTCACACCAGGTAAATGCATGGTTCCTTCAAACGGAGGCAGTTGTCTTACTTATCTGATTTTTCCCAGTATCAAGGACGCAGAAGGAAATAATCAAACTGCGTTTTTATTATCATCCAATGAAGGAGTGATTCATATGTATATACAAGTAAGTTTATCTTAGTTTTTATTACGGAGAACCCACGTTTCGCTGATACTTGGTATGTTTAGGATCCACAACAACTCATCTTTCGAGAAATATCCACAGCATCTTACTTTCCTATCCTCAATCGTGTATCGGACCTGCGGATAAAGCAAGTATTTCATAAGCACATAGATACGGCATTACCAACTGAAAAAGGCCAGCGTACTTACCCGCACAAAACGTAGGATCCTATTCACTCATATTTACGATCGCGCCAATGGGCAACGTGTGATATGCACAGCTGGCCAAAACGGCGAGATCTTTCTGGGATTTTATGACCAAGGTAATTTCTTTTTTGTAACAGTTATTGCTCCGTGGATTATTAAACAGTGACAGTAGATGGTCACGAAATGAAATCCCATGCCATTCAAATGTTTACGCCTATTTCATCCGTGGTTATTTTTCAGCCTCGGGTTTCCAAAAAAGGTGAGCATCCAGGCATCGACAAGCTTATACAACAATCTCATCCATGCAATTCTTAGTGAGAGAAGACGATGGATTGCATCTTGTGATCACTTGTGCAATTGAACAAGCTGTCGTCTATAGGTAAGCCACGCCAAAGGTCAATGAATAACCCTCTTCTGACAGCTTTATGGAAATATAGATCCATTGAAACAAATGGATTATCACGCGGTCGAATACTTCCCCAATCCAATCTGTACGATAGTGTATTATGTTCCCATGTCATGGACGTTGACTGGGACGGTGAAATGGAAATCCTAATCGGGACATACGGACGTCAGGTGTTGATCTATAAACAAGGTAAGATTGATCGAAGAACTAGTGATTGCAAAGGTCAATCAGTCTAAAGTATGCTGGCGTGTCTCATGCCTTTACAGTGGCAGGTACACAGGATTACAACGTTTTATGGCGTCGACAATTCGCTTATCCGATCTACCGAATGACTCATCTTGATCTAAATCGTGACGGTCTTGATGAACTCATCGTTATTACAATGTATGGAGTGCATATTTTCCAGGTAAGCAACAGAGACATGGTGTTATGTATTTCGACCGAAATGATTAAAATATTTTCAATCTACAAGCCAAACATGAAAAAGACAAAGGACCGGTTGCTGAAGGTACTTCAGTTTGTGGAATCTAGCAAACGCCAAAAATACGAGTTGTTACTGGAACTGCAACACCAGAAAGAAATGGAGAAGGCTATTGTCTTCGAGTCCTCTTGAATGCGTTTACTTGAATAATAATGTACAGCGACTAAAGAAAAAAAAAAAAAACTTGGATACTCAATAAATAAAGTAGAAATAGAAGATGTGGGATTGGCTACATTACAGGGAAAAAAATTTAAGAATAGAAGCAAAGAACGATGATGTCTTAAAAGCGGGAGACAGACTTATTTGGATGGCATGGCGACAATTTTGAAATCATCCTCCTTGACGAAAACAGCACGCTGTGGATCCGTTTGGAAATAGCGAACACCGTCAACAGCACCATCCGATGTCCCAACTAGAATAATTTCGAATCAGTAAGAGGAAAAAGTATAAGAAAGAAAGTTTAGTATGGACTTACGTCGACTTTCCAGTTCTATGCCAACCCATGTTCCCTTTGCAAATTCCACGGAACCAATGTATTTGATGGTTCCCAAGGTTGGAAGTGGGCGTCGCAGAAGCTCCACCTTGGTTCCTATTACTGGAAGTACCGTCGTCTGTTCATCATCACTGGTGCTGTCGCTTGTATATCCTGCAAAACTCCATCTGGATCGCCGCGGAGACCGGGCACGTTTGTGCTTGCTTAAACCTGGGGATTTCGCTCGCAATGGAGTGGTAGGCAGTTCAAACCGTAACCGGGATACCCGTGGTGCATCGTCGGGCCCTGTTAAAGGATCTAGGGGAAGTAGTGCGTCGGTAAGGGAGGACGAAGAACGATGGGATATAAGAGGTTGTGATTGAGTGGCATTCCTGATGGGTAGCTTTGTCCTCTCGGCGTGCGATGATTGATGTTTCTCGTCGATCTCGTTGGTAACGTTACTTTTCTCTTCGTTAGTCTCTCGGTCCAGTTCGTTTGATGAAAGCGGGATATCCAAAGATCGACGATGTTCCGTTTTGCTGCTGCTGTTGCTTATTGTAGCGAGAACCGAGTCACTCTTATTTTGCGTTTTTCCACGAGGCCGCTGGAATGAAAAGCTGGACGAGGTTGTTCCGAGATTTGTCGCATCTTTGTTCGGTCTTGCAAGGTCCTCCGATAGTTTTGATTTTCCTTGCGCTTTCGATGGTTTCAACTTGAGACTGGACAAGATTGAAAATTCGTAATCGGACGATTTGGCGAGGGTTCGATACGGCACATTGATGTCCTCTGACATTGAGCGGAGCACGTCCTTATCGAGTGTCTCAAATCCTCCTTGTTCTTTGACACCCATCCACCGTTCAGACAGATAAGCGGCACAACGAGCCCGAGCCTCGATCAACACACCATCTACAGCAACGTTTTTGACAACTTCTTGGCGACCACCCAAATCACGAACAATCCCTTGGTACAGGATTCCAGCATTCCGATCGTTGATTCCTTCGTCGAGAATATACTTTAATAAAAATGCAAGAAAATCGACCGAGAATCCAAACCCAATGCCGTCAACGCATGATAAGAGGATGGGATATTCAACGCAATAGTAATCGAAATGCAAGGACACCAGAGCTATGGCATGATGTAACAGCACCTGTATCAGATCCAAGGAAGCGGCTGACCATGTTCGCAAAGGATCAATGCTCCGAATTTTTGAAATACACAAGTGAATGGAATGTAAGACGTGAATCGCGTTGTGTTTGGTAATGTTGGCGCGTGTTTGTATCATCAATTGATCAATGAGTGTTGCAGGTTCGGTTGACACGGAGATCTCGGAAGAGGATTCGTTCGATGTGGACACAGTGACAGACGGAGATTGCAAGCAGGAAATCGATCGAGATCCGGGTTTTCCCGTCATTGACTGGACCAGAATAGCAAACGGTTTTTGAGACCACAAAGCAGTAAACGTTTGAATAGGATCCGCGTAGAGTCCGAGTAAAACAGCACGTAGAGACGGATGAGAAGCAAAAGCATACTTGTCGGCAAAAGACAACATGAACGGTAATAAAGTAACGCAGTCAGAACAGACACACTTGAACTGATGACACAGAATGGCCATTTCATGCAACACTTCAGAACAAATTGTGTCGACATGGCCAAGGTACTCGGCCGCTCGGAACGTTTTTTGAAGAATACGGAGGTAATGCTTCTTATGCGTGAGCTGGGGTTGATGTTTTAACGAAAAGGGCTTGGCTGAATCGGTTAATGGCGGCAACAGCAATACGTCCGTATAAAAGTAGTGAAGGATAATTTCCAATGCTGCCGATGAAAATAAATCGCTTGGCAAGTGGACCGTGGAACAAGAAGGATCGTGGAAATGGGTGTTGAATATGCTTTGAAAATAAGATGACTGGGAAGCGAGAATAAAACGATGGGCGTGAAATGAGACGGATCGTTCGCTGGCAGGCGTCGAAGAACGGCGTTGGTTTGATGAGTGTTTTCCAGGCGCTTCAAATATCTTTAAAATGACATCCGTTCCCAAGCGATCGGTGCGCATACGTTCCAGATCATCCATCAATTGTTGCGTCTGATTCTCCGTCTTGGGCAATAGCGATACCTGCAGCTTTTCCTCAAGAGCCAGAATGTCATTCAAGACATTGGTCGTCGAGGTAACTGTCTCAGCAGCGGCAGTCGATTCAAGCGACAGCGTTGCCAATGCTAGTTCATCATGACCAGACGATGCATCGTTACGGGTGGAATGGATTGGTATTGGAGGCGACGTGACACTAACATTATCCAAATCGGCAGTATACCAAAATCGGAGTAAAGATACAAATAAAGGATAAGATATGATAGAACTGATATCAAGGTGAATTGTGCCGAGTTCGTTGACGAGTTGCGGTAGGTATTTATCACGAAAGCTCTGGGGTATCCGTGCCAATAAGATTCCTTTGAACAGTAAACGAAACAGATATATTAATTAACCATAACGAGGTCTCTTTTTTTCCCTTTTTGTTGTCAAAAGGAAAATAATAAAAGTAACAAAAAAGCAGAAAGCAAAAAGCACAGCAGAAAAAAACAAAAACAAAATGCGGATGGTTCATCCTTTTTTACCTTTGTGGGCCCATCGTTGACGGTCCTGAAAATCAAAGCACACATCAGCTAGATAATCCTCTGCATTTTCGAAAACGGCATGGAGTGATTTTTGAAGCTTCTTCGGTGCTGGTTTGAACATTAGCAAGGAAAAATTATTGTCATATGATTTTTGCTCCCAAGCAAAAAGAAGGTGAAGAAGAGACTTGAGAAAAAATCAACGGTTATATTAACTTTTTGTGTCACCTGTGGCGTCTGAAAGAAGAAAAAAGAAAAAAAGAACACTTTTATTGTCATAAGCAAAAAAAAAATGATGAGCCGCCAAACCGCAGCAATGCATGTTACTAATTATCCACAAACACCAATAAACGATATCTATTGCTTATGTCTTAGGCAAACGTAATAGTAGTGTCGTGCTGTCCCCTTCATTGGCACTAGGATGACCCTGCGCTTCAATAGGAGTTCTTTCCAAATCTGCAGCATCTGAAACCTGGCACTCTTCAGTGATTGGTGCAGTATCGGGAACGAGAGTTTTTTTCACAAATACTGCATAAGATGACTTTGGCTTCTCAAAAAAAGGTCATAAAGAGCCCACAGGTTGCGTAAGCAGAAGCATAAGCATGCGCTTTGACTTGTTTTTGCGCATGTTTCCATTTGTTCCGAAACTCCCTGGCAAACTATGCTGAAACCGGTGATGGAGAGTCAAAACGAGCGAAAAAAAAAAGCGCCAGAGCAACGGCGGCCGACTCCATAAATTAACAGTCACGACGTCGCCCAAAACAAGAGATTTTCAGGCTGCCACAGCAAAAAAAGACGGACCCCCGACATCTCCATTGGCAACCCGAATCACAATCATGTCATTACGTGCACTGAAATCCTCTCGAGAAATTATTTCACGTCTTACATCCGGAGCAGCAGCAAGACAATTGCCCTCCAATGTCTCAAAGATTTCCTTATCCTATGCCATTAAGGGTAAAAACGAAAGCGCATCTGCAAAGTAAGCAAACCATTTTCGTCCAACCTTTTATCCCAATATTTGCTGACATACTGGAATTTAGACATTTCTTGCACGAAAGCCTCCCTTGCATTCAATATAACAATCCCAATGTCGAATTTGAGTTGAAAAAGTCGACTGATCCCTCTATTAAACCAACGGTTACTGTTCATTTCGGTAGGTGAAAGTGTTTTCGGCCCTGAAGTTATTTGTCGGTTTTTTTTTTTTTTTTTTTTTTTGCAGGGCTTGTACTAAATATGACTTTTTTTTCTTTCAAAACAGGTGACCGTTCAAAGGTTATCGATATTTCTCGCTTGCATACGGACCTGATTTGCGATCAGTTATTCGACGCAAAACCATAGAAAGTGTAAATTTGTTGATGTCAAATCTCTGTCCATAGAATTCCAACCGCTTAAAAAAATCAAATCATTCCATACAAATTGCCAACTTGCTTTGCCCGTGCGCGTTGTCGCTTTCTTTTCGATTTGATATACAATTAGACCAAGACCATATTCCTCCCAAACAAAAATAACACCTCGCTAGAAACAAGAATAGGATAGATCATTAGATTCTAAGCAAGACTTGCAGATAAAAGCTCCGCCAAGCCGATAATGAACACAAGAATACAGCAATCCTGAACGAGACATGACCAAATGAGCCTGTACCGGAGAGCCACCGTAACAATGTTACCGAATGGGGACGGCAGTTGCGCTGCCAACGCTCCCAAGGTTGATGTACTGGCCATGGTCCCCTAGAGAAACAGTTCAGTTGCCATGCACAACATGAAAGCTTGAGCATACTATCCCTTTCATTACCTTTTGATATACCATCCTTCCAGTTTGCAGCAATAATTCTACAGTCACGAAATACCAAAACAACGGCTAATAGATGGGGTCAATCAATAAAATTGCCCGCAAAGACCCGTGAAGCCCTTCCAATAAACACTTACAACGTGAACATCCGCATAAGCCAAGTGACCCATCTCATTGGGGTTTGTCCATAATAAACTTGCAAACCGCTCGATACCAACTTTTGTCCATTCCATGTATACGGCATAGCAACCCAACCAAATCATCGCTATAAGATGCAAAAGCTGCCAATACTTTTTGGATGTATCTGCAACAGTTTGCTGCTGTTGTTGTTGCTGTTGCATATTTGATAAGAATGCTGGATTGAATGGAAACTGACCACCTAGAAGCTGACTGAGGTCCGGCATATCTGGATTTGCTTCAGCACCGGCAGTGGTGTTGTTGGAACTTCCAACAAAAGGACTGGGGGTGCGTCCAAACAAGTTGAGATCCAGTGGCGGTGGAGCACCCAGTTCCTCACTTGGATCCGCATCGCTCGGCCGTCTTTGACGGGATGGTGTAATAGGGCTCTGCTTCCGTGATCGCAGCGTTTCAGACGAGGGTTTATGGAGCAGAGCTGGTGATGTGGATCGCGAAGGCGACAATCGTTGCGGCTCCGAAGGTGCCAAAGATGATGCTGATGTGGAAGGAGAAGGCGTAGGCGAAGCTCGGTTGGCTACATGCCCGGAACATACGTGAGCATGGGGTGACTTACAACAGTATTGGGCGAGCCACCTTTGTTATACTTACGGAATGCGGTGCCCGTTATTCTATTGAGTCTATTCTCAGCTGAGGCCAGAATGCGCTGTTGACGCTTCTGTCGACGACGTTCCAATTTCTCTTGCTCCGTTAATTCAGGCATAATTCAACCTCTAGTGGCAAAAAATAAAAAGAGAAGATAGAAAATTCGCCTCGCACACAATACGCGCGCGCGAAGTTGCCAGCACTCCCACTATAAAACCCAGCAGCGGAGATGACAATTTTGTCCCGGAATGGATACCAGCGGACGACTTTGGTTTTTTGCACATGAGTGTCATTACTTTACAATATGCACGACTGTTTTTTTTTGGTGTACTCCACACAGAGTTCACATAAATTAATGGCGTGTATTCTTAAGTATGAGCGGACGTGGCCATTTGCGTTCATGAGTAAAATGCGTCATCCTACCCTCGCCCTTCTGAAATAGCCGACGGACACGTCGTGGTCTTGCTCGAACAGGTTCATCTGGTGGAGGGGAAGTGGCTGCTCGACGCATATTCAGTTGTCTCACTACCCTGTTCTCTGATGAATTCAATCAGGATGTCTGCAGCTGACCAAAACCAGTTCACTCTAGTTGATTATACGGCGACTTCAATCGAGATACCACGAGCTGTTTCGAATCATTCCAGCATTTTTGTTTTTGTGGTGACTCCAATTAAGATGCCACAAGCTGTTCTAATTCAGTTCACAATATAAAGTATATATTTTGTGAATACAATCAAAATACCAGCAACTGACCAAAACCCAGTTTCATCATGTTTGTTTTGTTGAGAAATTGATTATTGTCCCATCACCCTTTTTTTAACGAACTCAACCAGGATGCCAAAAGCTGTTCAAAGCCGGTTCATCATACTTTTCTTTGAATGTAATTAACATCTCCAGAACAGGTAAGCAGAACTACTAAAGCGTGCGCTTATGATGGATACAACCCGTGCATAGAATTCTCACGCTCGTCAACCCAATGATTTTACTATTTTTGATGTGGCGTCTTGTTTGTTCGGGTATAAATAGACCTACACTTGTCCTCTTTGTCTTCAAATCTCATCTTTCTTATTATGTCTCTTTCTCAAACTTTCCATCCTTCTCATCACAAGACCGCTTTCGGTCACAAAGGCGGCGTTATTGCAAGCAGACGATGCGAATTCTTTCGATCTTCTCTGGGAATTTTTGGGGGATGACGTTATGTGACGATGCGGAAGGCCGTCTTGCGTCATGGAGCGGGAATTTGAATTGTATTCAATGCGACTCGGAGACAGTTGAAGTACGAGATGAACAGTTGCTCGTATGCAATCACAAGTGAGTCATAGCGAACTACATATTGTATCGTCGCACTAACTATGTTGTAATAACAGAAAGGAGTATTGTCGACTGAAAAACATCGATAAAGGCGAAGAAGACGATGTTTGGATGATGACGGCAATATTCTTTGCTATTCATCAGAATGTCGTCAAAGCAGACCTGCAGGTCAGTGGAGTTATGCTGTAGAGTAGTACTGATACAATCAAGTAGGCCGAACTTGGCAAAGCATCATTTGTCCGATCAGACTGTGCCCCCAGTGCAAGTCGGCCAATGATGACTCCAAAGGATTGGTAAGCAATAGGGTCCGAACTGCTGTGGCGATAACTATATATAACGACTAAATCATTGGTTGTATCAGATCTGGAACAGAGACATCAACGCTGCTGTGAATATCCGTCGCATTCTCCAGGCGTACATAAATTCCGGTTGTCGTCTTGATTCAAGACCTGCTTCCCTGCAAAGACACACACAAGCTGCGCTTGACGACGAAAGCCTCGTCGACTAGCCTCCTGGTCCAAACAGGTTAGGTCTGGATTGATACGTCAATTCGAATAGAGTTTTAAACTGAATGCCATCAGCAAAGATCAACCAATTATTTTTTTTATGTACAAACTCTATGTGCATTCAGCAGAACCCACGGACTCATCATTATCCTCACTGTCATGAAGAAGCCGGTCACAGGCATGACCTCTCGACGAGGCTAGCTCTTGATGATGTTGCAGAAATAGGAAATTGGCTAAATTTCATGTTCAAGAAAAATAGCAAATAAAGGAAGAAAGAGCTCCTTTCGCATTCAGAATCCAGCACCTAAATTTGTCCGAGTCATCCGCAACAGACAGTTTATCGTATTGTAAAAGCCAGTTATATTACGCAGTTCAGGAAATCCGCTGAACCCCTTTTATTCCTTTTTTTTTTCATCCGATTGTACAATCTTTTATTTCTGCAGCTGAATATATTCCCAACAATAATCCAGTCACAACACCACGGCTGGCACCAGCTTCTTACAGCAAGAATATGCAAGTGTACCTCTGGTGCCCTTATTGACCCATGTCCAGATTATTCGGTGGGGTGCGTGTATTAATGAATTGCACTTATCGTATAATAGTTTGCTTTCTAGTACCCCGTCTACATTCAACACTTTGAAATCAATACATATACGATTGTTAAATGAGCCTCTATTTTTCAAGATCATCTCCAACTTTATCTACCAGGACACAGCTTCAGATAATATCGCTCTTTTCTTTTTATTCTTCCTGTCATTTGCACAGCTTGATTTTGTAGATTCACAAAAGGCCTACTTACCATGCTGTAATGCCTGGTTTTCCGTTTCCAAGTTACCAAATGAATGATTTATGACTGAGCAACGTAAATATAGCGTCGAGTCACTCTGTTCTAGGGGAAGCTCAAGCGGGGACCAAGGTCTTAGTTCGCCATACAAAAACTATCATTAAAAATAATGCTAGTTTTGTACAGTTCCGTCTTCCCCAGGACGAAGACCTGCCTTGGTATCGGGGAAGAAAAAAGTGAAAGAGAGTGCAAAAGAAAGCTGCCTTCAAGCGCTTGACAGTTCGGACATCAACAAGACAACATACACCCATTCACATGCACGGATACCCAGACAACGGGTCGAAACCCTGTAATCGCGAGATTAGGTCGGATAGCGTCGTGACTAACAGCTTCAGAATGTAGCCGCCCATCTTCTGTCTTCCCAGCTCTCCAACAACCACCGCACACTCTCCAGAGAGATGAGCTTCCACAGCAATTGAACCTGCACCGGCAAGCGAGCTTACTAAGTGGCTTACGAAGCAACGACCAGGACCGCGTAGCATTCTTTTTTTCTTTAGTTTTTTCATTTCCTCGAGGAAAAAGAATGCCCAGAAAAAACCTAGAAACGACCCCCAGAAGAGAAATGCGGAGCTCGCGAGACACAACCGACGCTTGCAATAGACACCACAACCCTTGAGCCTTTTCGTTCTAAGACAGGACACACGAGCCAAAGCAACCGGAAGCAAGAGGCATGAATCACTCCAATAGATTAGGGTTACATCTTGAGATACTGATCGCGCTCAGTACAAGTTTGCTGCTTTCACTTTCATAAGAAACCATTGGCGGAATGGAGTCAAAAGAAAAAAAAAAAAGTATGTGAGAAGAGATCGCTTTCAAAAAAATAGGCCCAGTCTGAACCGTGACGTCATCTTGACCGTGACTCTCTTTTCCTAGAAACGGCATCTTCTTCTTGCGCTGGATTCGTGGGCTGTTGCAGAACAACCCAATAATATACCCGTTCCATTTTTTTTCTTTTTAAAGAAAAAGAAGTGATTGATATTCTTGAATTTTAAAGTAATCAAACTGCCTTTTTTTTCTATTTGGTCATGCCGGTCCACCATACTAAACACAATTCATTAATCGACGCAATATCCTCTTAACTTGCCAATACAGTGTGCCTTATCGGAAATACTCCATGCGTTACCCTTTTTCAAATGTGGCCCGTTTCTCTATACAATTATTTTATTCAATACATTCTATATCTAGTAAGCTACCGAAGCATGCAGCTTGTAGTTTTCTCCGCGCGAAGATAAATGGAAATCATAATTGTGGAAAGCGCGCACACATCGCCATGCTTCAGCCTCTGACTCAAATTTCACCAAAAACTTGGCTAAAGCGCTGTGTGATTTTCTATATAAGCGAAATTACGAGGGTTAACCATCATTGGAGACCAGTCGCTATCAATGACCCTAGACCCAAAATGTGGGGTAGGCTAGTACTTACGTTTTCAAATGGACAACGTTATCCGGGATGCCTTCTTCGGGAAAGTAGTTCCTTGATCGGAGCAAGCCCAACAAGTGCTCAGGGCGTGTCTTGGGCGGAAATCCACTCATGATCACCGAACGACCAGCAAAACTTACAGAATCTGTCACGGAAACCAATTCACTGGGTCGATACTTGTTAAGATACGCCGCAGGTCCATCCTTTGGTATCCGCATCTATTGCCAACGACGAAATCAGTCACTGTCTCCAATCACATCCGATCATTTTTTTGCTTCCTTACATAGGTCAGCTTCACTAAATTTCCACCAACATAACGCATGTTTGCGTAATCATACAGTCGCTTTCCGTTATCGGTGTCGTTCATATGGACAAGGCAACAGCCGGTGAACTGGAACCCAGAGGTACGAGTAAATATGACTACACAGTCATTGTTATTGATTATCTATCCCCTCCAGTTTTAAAAACGTTACCCGGTACTTACTCTCGCGAATTGCTTTATCGCCTTCAGGGAAAGCTTCTCGAGCCAGTTTCTTGATATCTTCGGCTGTGGCCGTCACTGGCATGTGATCAAATCTGATGACTTGTGATGGTTGAGCGACTCGTCTGTAATGGTTCTTTGAGAGTTTTCCTGTTTTACAATATAAAATATGAATACTGAATAAGAGAAACGAGGTATGTTGAGAAAATATACCTTCGTTAAGCTTCATGAATTTATTGGTGAGATTATCAGCGATACTGCGAGTAGGCTCAGCCATGGTTTTCTGTTGAAAAGCCCATGCGGTACCGTGGAAATGGCGGGATGCTGTGGGAAGCAGTTGAGGTGCCGCCAAACGACGAAGCACATGAGAGACTCGCTGCTGGGCCATTTCTTGCAAACAATAGCAGGGTTTTTGTGGACGTTGTTACAAGGCTTGGGAATTCGAAAAAAAACACAGGAACAAAATGGCAGCTTGAACAAGTCACACCCCTCGGATTTTCAGATTTTCAATATCCGTCTGCCCGCAAGCATTGTGCTTGACAGCCGCTGTGCCGAGTTGAGCGTGCACCCATTTCCTATCAAGGATCTACTGTACTAGTACATGGTTGCCCTCTGTTTTTATAAATTTTTATAGACGGATTTCTTTAAATCAATAACATTCAGTGATAATTACTATATTAAAGTTGCTGGAGGACAAGTGGCACTTTATTTGATACTTTTACTTTATTGCTTTCACTATAGTAACCAAGTGGTATCTGGGACGGAAGGAGTCAGACTTGTAAGACTTGTGGAAGCACCGCATTCCCGAGTAATCAATAACGCAAAAGGTGTATTTTAGTTCGATCTTGGGAATAACAAACAAATACTCTACGCACGAATCCAACGTGATATTTAGCTGAATATGTTATGACAGGAAGAGTTGCAAGAAAGCATAAATGGTGATTTTGACAAAAATTTTACAGGTCCAAATATAATGTGCTTTTCATCCGAACCATTTAATATTATGACGTTTAACCAATCAAATGATCCATAACTCTATCCATCAGATTGGTGCTTTCGTGTGACATGCGGATCTGAATATATACCATGCCGACCCGAAGGTTTTCTCTCACACTCTGCTACATTACTTATCAGTGTTTTCTCCCCTCTCATCATTGGTTTTTTTTTTTTGACATGGCAGAACCCGGTCAAGTTCATATGTAAGACTGATTCTTTATCCCGACGAAACGCGCTCATTAACTCTGCGACTTATCTGACAGTCATAAGATCACTCCACGCGATCGCAACGTCGCCACAGAGAAAAATGTTATTAATAAATACAGTAGCACTATCACTCAAAAACCCACGGCTGGTGCTGCACAAGCTCAATGTAACTCGAATTGATTTTTATACATTAATCCAATGATTATTCACCATATAGTTCCATAGTGTATGCCACGGGTTTGAAGGATGATGATATGAACAAGGCTCAAGTGGGAATTGCCAGCTTGTAAGCATGGGGAGCAGGGTATATGTGAAAAATTTTATTTGCAGGAAACTGAATGCAAATAGTGGTTATGACGGAAATCCATGCAATATGCATATCAATATGCTTGCTGAGAAAGTCAAAGAAGGCGTTTGGAAAGCTGGATTAGTCGGATACCAATTCAACACGATCGGTGTCAGCGATGCCATTCCAATGGGAAGTGCAGGCATGTCATTTTCGTTGCCTAGTCGCGATATCATTGCTGATTCCATTGAGACGGTGCGTATGCATGCCAAGGATCCAGCTGAACAAACCTGGAAAATACTAATAGACTATGGCCGATGTGATCTAGGTTATGAGCGCTCTTTGGTATGATGCCAACATCTCATTGCCTGGTTGCGACAAGAACATGCCAGGATGCATGATGGCTATTTCTCGTTTGAACCGTCCAGCCATTGTTATTTACGGTGGTACAATGCGTAAAGGTTATCGTACTTTGGGTAGCTGTGCCAATAAGGAAATTGACATTGGCAACGCGTTCGAATGTAATGGCGAATTTATTAGCGGCAAAATTACGGAGGAAGAACGCAAGGATATCATCCGCAACGCATGTCCTGGTGCAGGCGCTTGTGGCGGCATGTTTACTGCCAACACAAGTAAGTAAATGGTCAAAGACTCTTGTGTTCGGGCTCAATGGCTGATCATTCGTTTCACTTCCAGTGTCTAGTGCTATTGAAGCTCTCGGCATGTCGCTTCCTTACAGTTCCTCTATTCCTGCTGAAGATCCTGAAAAGGTAAAGGAATGTCTTCGTGCAGGTGTTGCTATCCGCAATCTGCTTGAAAAGGACATCAAACCCCGTGATATTATGACCAAGAAAGCATTTGAGAACGCTTTGACTGTGATCATGGTCCTTGGTGGTACGTACAACGATTTTGTCTATCAATCCAGAATTTATTATTTTGCTAAAAAGCGATCTTTAGGTTCGACAAATGCTGTGTTGCACATGCTGGCTATGGCTCGAGCTGCTGACATTCCATTAACACTTGACGATATCCAAGCTGTTTCCAGCAAAACTCCATTTTTGGCCAATCTGCGACCAAGGTACAGTATATCCTTGAGGTATCATGTGAGAGATGGACTTTTAATTATTGGTTGATGTAGCGGTAAATATGTCATGGAGGATTTGTATGCTGTTGGCGGTGTTCCAGGTAACTCTTAGAATTACTATGCCCGTTTTGATATTACATATTCTAATAATGATATTATCACACAGCTGTACTCAAGTACCTGCATGAAAATGGCCTTATCCATGGCGATTGTTTGACGGTGACTGGTAAAACCATGGCAGAAAACTTGGCTGAAGTGGAAGGTCTCAAGGAAGGACAAGATATCATCTATCCTCTGTCCAAGCCTTTGAAACCGACCGGTCATTTGACAGTATTACGAGGCAATTTGGCTCCCGAGGTAAGTGTTTTGGAAGATGGTATATATCGCATGTCTCAATATCTGATGGCGAGTTTTCAGGGTGCTGTGGCGAAAATCACTGGCAAAGAAGGTCTTCATTTCTCTGGTGTGGCTCGCGTTTTCGATGAGGAGAATGAGATTTTCACGGCCTTGGAAGAGAATAAAATTCCAAAGGGATCGGTTGTGGTTATTCGTTACCAGGGGCCTAAGGGAGGACCTGGTATGCCAGAAGTAAGTATACATCGAGTATCATCATATTTGGCCATCCATGCTTAACTTGAGAACGCTTGAATTCTAGATGCGTATGTATACAAAAAAAAAAAAAAAAAAAAAAAAAAAAAAAAAATCGGGAAACAAAAGAAGGAGACTAAGCGAGATCGAATGAAATAGTGAAACCCACGGCAGCTATCATGGGTGCGGGCTTAGGAAAGGATGTTGCCCTTATCACCGATGGTCGCTTTTCTGGAGCCTCACATGTAAGCGTCAGGCACGATCACCCACTGCCAGAAGCATGTCAGAATTGGCTAATATATGAGATAGGGATTCATTATTGGCCATGTATGCCCTGAGGCTCAGGTTGGGGGTCCCATCGCTTTGATCCGTGATGGAGACAAAATCACTATAGATGCCAAGACGCGAGAGCTTACCTTGCACATCTCCGATGAAGAAATGGCCAACCGCAAGAGCTCTTGGAAACCAAAGGATCCCAAATATACCAAGGGAGTATTGGCTAGATATACAATGACAGTGAAGAGTGCTAGCGAAGGTGCTGTGACCGATGAATGGTAGATCAGATGTATTCGATGCTATAACGTATAATAAAAAAAAGAGACTTTTTACTCCATTTTCCTTGTTGATAATTCAAATCATTAACGTATTGCAATGTATATACAAGCTTTTTTTTTGTGCTATTATTCAGTTCTGTTAAAACTCTTCCTCTTCTTCGGCTTCTTCTTCCACCACTTCTTCCACTTGCTCTACTCCTTCAGCGAGGTCATCTACTCCTTCAGCGAGTTCTTCTGCAGGGTTTTCATCCTGAATATCCTGGATATCCCGGATTTCCTCAACATCATCAAGATCCTCTTCGTCGATATCGAACAAGAAGCGTTGCGCATCGTTGACCCTAAAACCGATGAAATTAAGCTTTCGTATTGATTGAGAGATGACGTGAAAAGTACTTACGGAATTGTAAAGTTGGCGGCCTGGCGAATATCACGGCTACTAGCACCGACGTACACGGTAAATTGGCCAACAGGGATAACCCAGCGTTGCTTATCCGTGTCCCAGTAGCTTAATTCTGTCGGTCCAAATCTGAATGTCACTGGCTCTGCAGGTGCGCCCTTCTTTAAGTTGATCTTTTCAAAACCTCGCAACACCTTTGGAGGTTCGTCAGCATCTTCAGGGAAGCCAAGGTAAGCTTGGACGACTTCGGCCCCGTCCATATTTCCTGTATTCTGCACCATGACGGAAACTTTTACGCCCACATGAGTAGGATCGATTTCAACGGCGATCTTGTCATAGTTGAATTTCGTATACGACATTCCATATCCAAATTCAAATAGAGGTTGGATACCGTTGGCATCAAACCAACGGTGTCCGATTAGTAGTCCTTCTTTATACGGAATCTATTATTTTTTATCGGCATTAGTTACAAAGGTTTTACATAGCCAGCGAATGCGTCGAATGCTTACATTCATATCTTTGCTGACAGAGGCCGGATAATCGTTGACGTTTTTCGCAATCGTGTATGGCAAGCGGCCTGACGGGTTCACCTTTCCCAAAAGAACATCGGCAAGCGCATTACCGGATTCTTGGCCCGGTAAACCCGGCCACACAATAGCTTGAATATTCGGATGATTTATCCACGGCATAGTAATGGGTCCAACAGAATGAATGACGACGATCGTATTCTTATTGGCGTTGGCCACCGCTTCGACCTAGTTGATATGATCAATGAATATTTCACCTTTTTTTTTTTTTTTGTCGGCTGCTGGAATGAAAAAAGGTAAGCCTACCAAGCTGTCGCCATTATGCCATAAGGAGATATCATTACGGTCACCCTTATTGCCTTCCACCGTAATGTATTCTTCTCCAGAATCAGAGTTTGCAAAAACAATAGCAATATCGGCCCCCTTGGCAGTTTGCGTAGCCTTTCCGATATCATTGTCCGCACTTGCATCGATTGTTACAGAGTCTGGAAGGGCGTCCTGCAGACCTTGCAACGGCTATTGGGGATGTCATTGGTTAACAATTTTACGAGCCTCTTTGTTGACAAGTCGTACTAACCGTAATGAGATAGGGAAATTCCGCTGTTCCTGATCCCCAGCCTTGAGCGAGGGTTCCCTTGTCACACCCATGGTCGGGACACGAGTTTAGATCGCTGATGCAAAACTTTAGTAAGCCCATTTGACTCATATCACACGATATTTATGCTTACGATGGGTTCATGTCAGCATCCTCTCCAATGACAGCTAGTCGACGAAGTTTGGAGGGTTGAAGCGGCAAAATGTTATTCTTGTTACGAAGCAACACAGTGGATGCTGCTCCCATTTCGCGGATCAATTCCTTGTGGTTATCCTGTACGTCGATATGTTGACCGCGATCAGGATGGAACGAATCAAAGTTGACAGGTGGGAAATTTTGGTCTTGCCCAAGTTTATACCATGCAGCGACAATGCGCGTGGCCATATCGGTAACCTGCGTGCGTGTAAAAAAAAAAAAAAATTGGTTTCAGTATATCATCTTCATTGTGTGCATGTTTTCTTTGTAGATCATACTCGAGCTTCTGTCACTTCACCGCGACGAACAGCATCAACTAGAGTGCTACCAAAATAAGATGTGCCAGAACCGAATTTGACATCGCCTAAGAAAAGAATCAAGTGTGAGTTTGCTTGATTCGGGAGTTATAATGGTTGGTTTTTTTTGTTTGTTATACCTGGCATCGTCATATCCAAACCTCCGTTGACACTGGGGCTGGTGGAGTGTGTAGCGCTCCAATCGCTCTGAACAAAGCCTTTGAATCCCAGTTCGCCTTTCAATAATTGATTGAGAACATATTCACTCTCGCAGGCGTATACACCGTTCACTTTGTTGTACGAGCACATGACGGAAGCAACGCCAGCTTCCACCGAGCGCGCAAACGGCCATAAATAAATTTCATGCATGGTGCGATCGTCAATGTCCGAAGACGCCTTTTTTGAAGAAATAGAATGAATAAGTATTTACAGCCATGGTGATTGCCACAAAAAACGGCTTACCTCATTGCGGTTGGTTTCCTGCTCATTGCCAATGATATGCTTTGCAGTGGCCATCTGTGAAATGTGGGTGAACGGGTTGTCCTTTGTATTAAGTGACTTTTTGACTTTTTGTTCTTACCACGCCTTCGCTCTGAATGCCTTGGATTGTCTCAGCAGATGCTATTCCTGCTAGATATGGGTCCTCACCAAAGCCTTCCCAGTTTCGTCCTCCTGCGGCTGTACGCGCCATATTCATACCAGGACCCAGTTGCACATTGATGCCCTTGGCTCGGAATTCCTTGCCCATATACTCGCCACGTCGTCGAATAGCAGCTTTATCAAACGAGGCAGCAGCATTGATACCAGCGACACCTGAACTGACAAGATCAGCAAAGCGGATTCCCAATGGAGCATCTTGCAGGCATAATTCTGGAAAATTAGGATTCACACTACGACCGGAATTTCCCACACACGGGCCATTGGACCATCCCACACCGGTGGTCAGGTTGACTTTTTGCTCCAGAGACATTTGTCCTACAAGCATATCTGCCTTGACATAAGCTTGATCCCATGATAGTGGAGTGAAAGCGGATATCGATGATATGGCGATGGAGGAGCAAGCCACAAAGGTAAATATGGCTCTCGAAAGAAGATACATTATTATTTTAACGAACAACCTACAACGTCCGTAAATATTTTATGGTACCCGCTTATAAGGGGCTTTGGATATTCTGCTGCAAACTATTGGGTCTCACCGAGAACAAACAAACATGTTCCCTCAACAAGGTCCCTAAAGAACTAAAGTAAACGGTCCGCTATCTAGGGTGATATTATCGATATGCGCATGTGAATGCCAACACAACAACGGATTACTCACTTTTCCGCGTTGTATCTCAGGCTACGCATGAACGTGCAAACACTCTTGCATAATTTTACTGTGAGATGAATACATATCCTTTAGGACCAATATTTGTTTTTTATCGAAAGCATATGCATATTGCAAACAGTAACTACAGCTGCTTCCACGTGGCAAGCACAAGCGGGTCTCCAAGTTCATTTTTTTTGACGGGGACCTTTTCCCCTCGCAACCTCGGTTGTTCGGTGGTAACGTCCACTGTACGAGTAGACGAGTGGATATCTCTTCTACCGCAATAATCGGTTTTTTTTTCCTTTTTTTTTTGGGGGGGGGGAACACTGGACAAGTTAATAATATACCAAAGAAATAAAAAGACCCAGTAAACAAATTTTGAGACCGATTCTTTTATGCGAGCCACTGCAAATGCAAGGAGGACATATCGAGTAAGATCAAGGTTCGGTGCTAAACTTGGATTGACTCATTTGGATCACGCTTGATTGGGATTAAACCGCTGTTGCATCAGTCAATCTCAACGATGTCAAAAAAGTTCTTTGAATAAATCTATCGTAGAAACCAATAAGCTTGGGGACGCTTACTTTCAAATTCAACGGTAATTGTATAAGCAATTTCCAGTTTGCTTACTTTACCATTTAAAAAATAACAATCAAAAAAATCAAGCAAACTTGACATCACCCTCGTAGCTAAAACTTTATATCTTATTCAGACATTCGCCTGTCAATGTTTTTTGAAAAACCCCAATATACATGTGGCCAACAATTGAAAAAAAAGTGGTTCGTGACTTTATGTATATGATAGGAAATAGCTTCAATTGGTTCCTATCCCTCCGTTCTTTTTTTTTGGCTTTTACTGGGCAAATACTTCACCCCCTTGCTTTCCAACGAATGCGCTGATCTTCTTGACTTGATCATTCCAGTCCTCGAGTCTTCGTCGCATGCCGTCAATTTGTTCTTTGTCCAAAACGCGTGGTTGTACCCAAGTCACGATCACAAGCTCATCCACTTGATCAATAGAACCCTTGATCAAATTTAATGACAAAGCCTTCATAACCAGATGCTCCACCTTTTGAAGACACAAATTAGACAATGCCGCTGCTATCAATAAGTGACTCTTTAACATACCTCGTCGGAAGGCAATCTCGTTTCTGCAGCAATATCTGAAAATGGAATCGATCGATTATCAGCAGCACGGCGGAAAACTGCCTCGATCAGGGACATTAATCGAATCTTTCGGCCAAGGGCTGCATGATTCTGCTGAAGCAATGGCTAATTGACAAAAATGTTTAGAATCCCCTGCTGCGGGTATTCAGTTCGACATGATCGGGTACCTGTTTGCTAAAATGCGGTGCTAAAGCTTCAAACTTTCCAATATCACCACTGTTGAATGCAAACAGTAATGAACGGAGCCAATCGTGCTCCGTGTTGGCGAGCGAATCGAGGATAGGGTGCATCAACTAAACGAAAAAAGGGATTTCAATGAGATTCCATTGTCGCAAATAAAAACCAAAAATCCCCAACTTACCAATTCACCAAAATTATAAATCATTTCTCCCAACAACGCTGCCAATGACAAATCATATGCTCTGCCCACTTTTTCACTGTCTGAAAGTTCGTCGACGTTTACGCAGGCCAAATATAACAGTGCGCTCTTGTAATACTGGGCATATTCCGCTTTGACTTTATAGTACTCGGCGCTGACTCGGTAAAAGCTGGCATAGATGACGGTTTCCACGCTGTCGAAACGATCCAAGGTCTTTTCGGATTCCTCAATCGCTTTTTTCACTTCACCCAACTGATTCAATTGCAATTTGAAATGGGCCGTTTCCATAATGGCGTGCACGTAGACATCTTTTGTCTCGGAAGTGTCCACTTTGGCAATGAGTTTTTCAAGGAAACTGACTGATTCGTTGGGATCTACAGTATTTTTTTCTTGCGGTTAATTCCAACTGGTGCAAGGGCGCTCATTCATGAAAAAGGTAATATACCTTGGAATCGGGTGGCGGCTTTGAGAGCAATGGATACCAGTGATAAGCTGTTGATTTTGCTTTCCCAGTCAGCAACAAAGTGTTGATAAATGGGAATCTGGAATGGTCCTGATTCTTCTTGTTTAAAAAACTCCAAGATTTTCTGCGTCAGCTGATGCCATAATCTATAGTGCAAAGGTGAGTGGGTCGGTGCCTGTCATCCATCCCATCTAATTCGGTGCTGTAACATACTTTCTTTCATGTAATTCTTCAAAAGTAGTAAAGTATTGTTGTAAATGAGCAGGTGCCTTTTGACGTTCCTCATGCAAGAATCGGGTAACGTCAAAATCGATATCCATTTGCTGTGCCATTTTTGTGCAGACTAACGTTTTTCAAAGAGAACAACCTCGATTACGGATTGCGCGTCTTTATTGAAAGTGGCGGACATTCAAAGCATGCCCTTATTTTTCGAGTGAACGTCATCAAAATTACTAAATTTGCACCGCAACAATTCCTTTTTTAATCACAGCTTACCAGGCATGCAAAAATGGGCCTAACAGGAGGCTAGTTGACGATACTTTGTTCGCCGAGCGCAGATTGTACGCTCTGGGACCGTCGAAGAGCTGCCGGACGGGAATCGAGACGATAAGCTGATTTCTATGTAGGCCTGTCGAACTCGTCTCAGGTTTTACGCCAGCATTAATGTCCCTGTTCCAGATCTAGTTTCTAAAGTTAATGTGATCTTGCAAGTGAGGCCATACCGTTCCTCCTTACCCAGGGCTAGGAAACATCTTTTTCAGAAATGCAATGAGGGCACATTCCTACCGGATAAACAATGCTCAAATACCCTTGACCTTAAACTTCACTGTCAGATATGTACGTTAAAGCGGTGGATAATTCTGCTTACCGGGTCGTCTCGCTCGACAGTCAGAGCTGTATCCAATGATGTCGTTATTTTCGTCAAGACATCTCCGTCGCAGTCTCTTGTCAATTTCTCGCACTCGTTTCTTCTTTTTTCTAGGTATAATTGCGTGAATATCGATCTGGATATCTGCCCGGGCTTTTGATAACTTGCTTGTGTTTGCAAAACAGCTGATTGTTGTCTCGGACTTCGATCGTCGTGGTATAATAACTGCTACAGACTTTACTCGTCCTATACTTATCTACACAGAGCACAAGTGCTTTTGTGCAAGTACGAATTATCGATCGTCCAATAGCATGAGGGAATCATCGTGGTCGGTCTTCTGCGGCGACAAAGCTAAACTCACATGGACGTTTTAAGCTGTAATTTCTTCTTCCAAGTTCGTTGCATCATGTTGTATCGTGCGTGTAGCCGATCGAAAAGCTTTATGAGACAAGAGCCCATCATTCAAAATCACAAGGAAAATTATTTACCTTCGTCAACGTAGTGTTGTTCATACGAAGCATCTCATTCATTTTAGCCCAGTAAAATTGTATTGTAAATGCTCGTCATATAATCGATCTAGAAGGTTGGGGTTGAGGGAGCCAGTAAGCAGTCCTCCAAGATTACGGCCGTCGTCCTTCCAATGATAGGTCACCTTCACATGACCATAGTCGGCAGCGAACAATGAAGCCGAAATTGTGTGGCCGTGCAACCACAGCGAATAGAGGGGCGAGTGCGGCGCTTCTTTGCCTGAGATACATATGTATTTAGCTTCCCAATGGCATTCATGATAACTACAACAAAAAAGGACGAGGCTCGATGGACCCTGAGGAACTTCCAGCGATACTTGGCTTTTTGTTTCCCAATAAATCTGAGCAAGCACATATTGCGGAAGTATGAAAATATCTGCCTTTGCAACCGCATGCGGAGCCATTGAAACTACGATACAGTTGCGGTGCAACGTGACACCGACATGAACAGAGAAGTTTCTATAGGCTTAGCTGATGTCGCGTCTGATCCTGCATGAGCTGTTAAAAGAATCAGCGTTAACAAAGCCCAAACTTAAACTGTCATTTTTAATTTCGTCAAATCAAAATCATTTTACTGTTTTGGTTGGTGATTCTGATCTCGCTCAGGGCACCACTATAAGCTTTGAAATACCGTCTCCCATCAGATGAATGCGTTTAAGACTCTACAAGAAATAAAGGTCAAGGGAAAGATTAAAAGAATAACAACATACACTTCTGTTTTTGTAGCGAAGCATAGTAGAACTTTGAGGCGCGTAAAACCAAGTTGTGTATTGGCAACTTTTTGGAATTTGAGCTGATCACATCCCCTGGATGACGTTCGTTGGATGCTTGTATATTTAAAGCCCAGTTGCTCGATTGCGGTTTGTTTATTTTTTGCTTCTTTCTTTCGCTCAAACTTCCATCCATGCAACAACCACCACCACCACCTCAGACCCAATACTATCCACCGCCAGATTATTACCCACCACAACCTCCGCAAGGCCACTATGTTTATCCTACGAACAACACAGGCTACGCCGAAATGGGACAAGCGCTCGGTGAAGAATCGAAAATCCGTCCCTCAAGCGGCTGGAAGGATATCTGGGCGATAGGGTTATGGCTTTGCAATTTTATTGCTTTCATTGCTGTATCTGTCATAGGCATCCGGACCTTTAGTCAGCATTCAGGCCCCTCTGGAGGCAATCGTTCTCCGGTGATTACGTTTGATGCAGACACAGTCAAAATGTTCGGATATTCGGCAATCGTAGGCTTTGGGCTAAGCTTTCTGTATCTTTTATTGGCGAATGCGTACGTGATCTTTGTATTTTTGAAAGATGGCGCGGTAAAACTTCTAATTCGATCCTAATATCCGATGATGACTCTGTAGCTTTCCAAGACCAATGATCATTTCCACGTTTGTTGGAAGCATCATCGTCTATTTTGCGGTGACCATCTACTACTTTTACCGTCACTACTATACAGCTGCCATTATATTCCTCATTTTTTCATGTCTGTATCTCGCGTGTTTCTGGTTTTGGAGATCACGCATCCCTTTTGCCACAGGTAAAAGTCTTGATTTTCATCCCAAAGTGCAGGATCAAAGTTTTCATGTGAAACATTTTTGGTGTTCTTTTTGTTCAATCGCAGTCATGCTGGAGACGGTCACTTCAATCACTCGTCGTTACAAAAGCACGCTGGTGGTCGGTTTTATCTCTCTGGTCGTGCAGACAGCGTTCAGTATATGGTTTATCATTACAGTAATTGGTGCCTACGAAACATATTACACCCCCACCGGTAGCAACACGCGGATGAATCTCGTTATGGTCTTCCTGGTATTTTCCTTTTATTGGACTTCGCAAGTGATCACCTATGCTGTTCATGTGACCCTGGCCGGAATCTTTGCCACCGTGTATTTCTTGGCCTACCAAGTCGCTCATCCTGTTTGGGGCAGCGCTAGACGAGCCTTAACGACCAGTTTTGGTTCTATTTGTTTCGGAAGTCTTCTCATCGCTATTGTCAACTTGATTCGTTTTTTGGTCTCTGTGGCGCGCCAAAATACGGACAATGCCATTTTTGCTTTCTTTTTCTGCATTTTGGAATGTATCATCAGCTGTATCGAAGGATTCTTTGAATGGTTCAGTTACTATGCGTTTAGCGGTGTCGCGATATACGGGCAAGGCTTTATCCCTTCTGCCAAGCGGACTTGGTCCCTTATGCAGGACCGCGGTCTCGAAGCTCTGGTGAACGATAATCTCATCGGAAACGTTTTATTCATGGGTAAAGATCCAAAAATTGCATGATGTTTTGATGGACTGCAATGGCTTAACATCAAATTTCCTTGGAAAGGCGGATTGTTGGTGGGCGTCTTGTGCTCCCTTTTAGGGTTCATCTATCTTGAAGTTGCACGACCAGCTTATAATGCTTCAGGCAACATGGTGCCTATTGTTGTGCTTGTATGCTTCCTGATTGGCGCATCCATGTTTTCATCCATCGCTACCGTCATCTCTAGCGGTGTTGCCACAACCTTTGTATGCTTGGCTGAAGATCCCGAGGCATTAAGAAGATCACAACCAGCCTTATACGAAAAGGTACTGTATCTATTCTTGCATTGATGAAAGGCACATTGGTTCAGATGATTGATAACATATCTGTTTGGTGTAGATCCGTGAGACATGGCCACAAGTTGTGCAGGGGATCTAGTTCGAGAAACTTTTACATATTTACGCATAGAACCGATGTAATTTAATCATATGAAAGCAGGATAAAACTGTTGTAAAGAAATCACAAATCGCCAACGTTCGATATTGTTCCTAAATTTCCATTTGTAGGTTCCTCCTGCGTCATGCGATGGAAAATTTGAAAAAGCGACGAGGGGAAAACATCGTCATCAAAAAAAAAAAAACGCGGTTGCGGAGTTCGTGTCTCGGTTGGAAGGCATTGATCATACATTAACATGAAGGGTCGTAACTTCACTACTTCATAAACAGAGAAACGTATGGTTAGACTCGTAGTGCCCATTCTGTTCGAATAAAGGGAGCCCAAAGTGTTTTCAAATCGAGAAAATCTGTTCAGTAGCTTTGAGAAAAATGTTGTTTATTTTTCATGGCCAGTTGTCAGGGTCGATGCAGAGGTCGATAATGGGTCAACTATGACATGCTTGTTCCTTTCCCGTGCCACATTACCGGTATTTAAAGAATCGTCCAAAGATTCCTTTTATCGCTCCCTTCCGGTACGATTCCTAATACGTGAGGACTGGGAACAGATGAGGGAACGGGAAAATTTCGGAGTGGGAACCCGGATTTCCTGAAACATGCACTCTTTTCAACTTGGTCGCTGACGGGAAACCTTGTTTTTTTTTTGTCCAGTTATGGCTTTATTATTTTCTTGATAACAATGGGTTACTTTTTGCTTGGGAGCCCATTTATCCCTAGTCGTGATTTTTTTTCCTTTTGGTAGATGAAGCGACAAAAAAAAAAGTATAATGATAAAAGTAAGTGTGACGGACAAAGTGTCAAGTAATCCTAAAAACGGGTGATTTACAAAGCAAGCTTCTCCTTCAAAGTGTTTTCAAGCTTGAGACCATCCTTGGCAAAGTTGCGGATACCTTCGGACAACTTCTCGGTAGCCATAGCATCCTGGTTCATTTCCCAACGGAAAGCCTTTTCGTCGTTGAAGAAGGAAACCTTGGCGAGGTTGGCCTCCTTGGCACCTTCAGGGCTCAACTTGCGGTCCAACTTGGCTTCATCCTTTTGCATTTCAGCCAACAGGGCAGGAGAGATGGTCAAGAAATCGCAACCAGCCAATTCCTTGATTTCACCAACGTTACGGAAGGAAGCACCCATGACGATGGTGTTGTAACCGTAGGTCTTGTAGTAGTTGTAGATCTTGGAGACGGACAAAACACCGGGATCTTCGTGGCTTTCGTAGGTCTGACCAGTGCTCTTCTTGTACCAATCGAGGATACGGCCAACGAAGGGAGAAATGAGAGTGACACCAGCTTCGGCACAAGCAACAGCCTGAGGGAAACCGAAAAGAAGAGTGAGGTTGCAGTGAATGCCATGCTGAGTCTCAAGAACATGGGCAGCTTGAATACCCTCCCAGGTAGAAGCAATCTTGATCAAGACACGCTCCTTGTCAACACCGACTTCCTTGTACAATTCAATGAGACGAAGAGCCTTTGCAATGGTGCCTTCCTTGTTGAAAGACAAACGAGCATCGACTTCGGTGGAAACGCGACCGGGGACGATCTTCAAGATTTCCTGACCAAAGTTCACCAACAACTTGTCCATAGCCAATTCAACCTGCTCTTCACCACTACAGTATCAACATGACGCGTTTTTTTTTAGTTCCTATACAGCCTCCTTCCCTTTTTTGTCTTTTTGATACATACGAGGCCTTGCTCTTGGCATAAGCAATAGCATCATCAATAAGCTTGGCGTACTGGGGCTTCTGGGTAGCGGCCAAAATCAACGAAGGGTTGGTGGTAGCATCCTGAGGCTTGTATTGGGCGATGGCTATCGGGGAGGGGAAGGGGGTGAGTAATTCAATCGACAGCCTGAGATATGTGCCGTTCCAACAGTAAAACGCGTTCGTATACTTGACGAATATACTTACTTTCAAAGTCGCCAGAGTCGGCAACGATGGTAGTGTACTGTTTAATTTGGTCGAGAACGGACATGTTTTGCTTGGAAAATGAAAGAAACAAGAAAAAACCGGAAAGTTGGGAAGTTGCCTGAATCCTTACGATACACAATATAAAGACAGTCTAGTTTAAATTAAATGACCGCTCCGAAAAAAACATGGTTCACAAGGTGCATCTGGGAAAGTAAGGGCTGAATACAGGATGTGCGTTTTCATCATAGAGCAAACCGGCCAATCATGAAAGAGCGGGTCTTTGAATATGCTTACTGGCAAAATATGTGTATTGCTATTCATTGATTGGCTCATGGATCTGAATTCAAAACGCAAAATCATGAAGATGGCGCTGATACCAGAAAAAGATAGCCTTTGAAAAATTTCCCACTTGGGACTGGGGTTTTCTTGAAGACCATCGGGAAGAGAATCAAAGAAAAAAAAAGCGCTATCCGATCGCTGCCCTTTTTTTCAGTGACACGATGGATCCGTTGCACACATTTTATGGAAACAAAGCATAAGGCGATTCTTTTTACATACTATTTTACAATTTACTGCATTCATGTTCTAGTGACCGAACCAAACAGTGCTAACGATATCCTGTTTTGACACTTGCTGCTGCTGATGCCGGGGGAAGCTTCCTATTCTGGCAATCGGATAGATCGAAAATCCGATCGCAGCAAATGATCATATGTACCCGGTTCAACACTTTCACTGGTCAGAATGTAATATAAAAGTAAAGATGACCTCGCCAGCCCAATCCCAGTGCGTGTATTGGTGATCATATATCCCATTTCGACCTGTCGCTGGCCGTTATTGCTTAGGATGAACGGCTGCATATAAATATGATTGCAAGTGGCAGTGTCGTGCCCATGCATACCTTGTATTTATTTATCCAGGTACTATGGATGCAGCTGGTTTCGGCTAATTTGGAATAGTGCTGGTCACTCTTTTACCTTAACATAGCAAGTCTACCAGATGCTGCAGGGTAAAAGACTCCCTGAGAACTGTTCCTTTACAGTGTATATCATTGGCGCTGAGCGAGAGACCCAAACCGAGCTTGTATGCAGTGCTACTATGCAAGGTAGCTAGCCGGCTACAGTCGCAGAGGGGAGAGAAAAACTAGCAAAGCACTGATCTTTGACGAGATGCTACATGGCAACGCCTGAAACCCACTGATCCCAACAGCTTGGCAACAAAGAGAAGAGTATAGGTATATTTACAGAAGGTATCCCATTCGTGCTCCGAGAGAGAGTTAAGCGGTGTCAAGGGTTACCTGGCAAAACTGTAAAGTTCTCCCGCTTAAAGTTTGATAAGGTTCAATGTCAAATGCATTATACTCCAAAAGGAAGTGTACATTTCGTTATAGTTTACTTGGGGTACCGGAACATATATGATGGTGTCATAGCCTAGAGTCAGGACGCAACAAGATCATGCCCGTGATGGATATAGCCTACCAGTGAGGAAGAATTGATGATGGGCCATAATTTACAGGCTTATTCATTGTGACGTATGCTCCTGATTATGCGCTGTGAGCAAGTGCATCAAGGGCGAGTGGTACAAGGTGTCCACGGGTTTATGTTTAATCAGCCTAGATCCTTCCATGTGGTTCCACCGATGAATGTAATCGGATGGCTAGTTACTGTGCAATGTGCATACTCCCGCGCATTTAGTATGGTCAAAGCATTTTGACACAAGTTTTGCATATAAACTGAGCAAACCCGTAATAATGGCGGCTCAAGACAGCTATAATCAAGACATCAGCTGTAGCTTTATTGATGATTAGAAAAGCATATTTCAAGCAACACTCATTAACGATCATGTCGTGACCAATAATTTTCATTCAACCAGCTGTCAATGAGTAATTTTTTCAAGGGCTGATTTGGAGATTTTCCTCAGGGAGCTACTGGGCATCTTCGAGTACATTGATATAATAGACTCCTGCTATGCCATTTCCGAAAAGGATCCTTTCATCGTATTGCATAGTACAGGTGTATCTACCATGATGAGCCAATCGTGGAGAAAAGCAACGATTGGAATGACAAAGATCGTATTGTCAAAAAACTGCGGCAAAACGTACGCTTAAGGAACTTACTTGATATGGAGCTGGGTTAATCAGGAGATGATACATAGCAATGTGGAGAAAGATGAGAGCTATCATAATATGAAAATACAATCTTTCATGACTCTTTTTTCATAACCTGATACATAATTCTCAATAAAGGGATTCATATTATATCGTAGTAGTCCTCTACTTTAGCTGTTGCAATATGTCAGTCTCGGTGAACATGACTCAATCTGCTCACTTTGGGTTTGCAGAGTACGACTAATTTTCTCAAGAGACACGCGGCATTTTCCAAAAGTCGAATCAACAAGGATACGCTATTGTATCGAATTTAACTTTGGATTTCATTATCAACGATGCATGTGCCTGAAGGTTTCACCTTGGTCGAAAGGGAAAAAAAAAATAAGGGACGATGGCTGAACATCGCTACAGAATAAAGAATATGATTTCTTTGTTATCCTGTTTGTTCAAACTTGATCAATCCGAGTATATAGCATTTTACAAATTTATAAAATAGGCTAGTGTTTCTTAGACAACGTATGTCAGTGGGAAGGAAAGGAGCAAACCTTGGACAGTTTAAAGAGCAATCTATAGTATAAGATATCATATAAAAAAGGATCAGTAGTCGATAGCGTCGAAAAGTGAGGCGAATACGCAATCCGCTTAGAGTTTGGTAATCTCCCAAGTGAAAATGTCGGGAAGCGACTCTCCCCATTTACAAATGTTCCCCCTTATCCAAAACAAAGATTGTCGCTTTTTTTCTTTCTTTTTGTTTTCCTCCTTCTTGACCAATTAATAATCCATGTCCCGAACGGCGTCTTGTATAGTTCGAGAATATAAGCTTGTCATGGTCGGTGGCGGTGGTAAGTAAAAGCTGGCAAGAGAAGAGACATAGTGCAATTGCATATGACCAATCTTTTTTCAAAAATTAAACACACGACGTTACGGTGTGAGTGAACTGAAAAAAGAATGATTCTGACATGACCATCATATAGGTGTGGGGAAATCCGCTTTGACCATTCAGTTCATTCAATCCCACTTCGTGGATGAATATGATCCAACCATTGAAGGTAGGAAGAGATTCAGTGTTGTCCTCGAAAGAATTCCAAGGCTGAATGGTTGGGGAAAATTAATTAGATTCGTATCGCAAACAATGTACAATTGATTCGGAAACGGCGTTGCTGGATGTTCTTGATACGGCGGGGCAAGAAGAATACAGGCAAGTGAGACACGCAACTGTATATCTCATCTTAACATGGACGCGTACAGTGCTATGCGGGAACAATACATGCGCAACGGTGAAGGGTTTATACTGGTCTATTCCATCACGTCACGAATGTCGTTTGACGAAATCTCCACATTTTATCAACAAATTTGCCGCGTAAAGGACCGAGATAGCTTTCCCAATGTACTAGTGGCGAACAAGTGCGACTTGGAATCCGAGCGACAAGTCTCGACGCAAGAAGGCCATGAACTAGCCAAACGTTTTGGAAGCCGTTTTATCGAAACCTCGGCCAAACAACGAATCAATGTGGATGAAGCCTTTTACGAAGTGGTCCGGGATATACGACGATTTAACAAAGAACAGGAGATGCCACGTCGAGGATATAAGAACTATGAATACCCAGATAGTGCTTCTGATCGATGCTGCATGCTGATGTGATACCCTCTTTTGATTCTCCTTCATTTCAATTTTTTTATTTCTTTTCCACTTGGTTTCTCGTTTCTCTTGTGATTATTCTTCTTTGTTAACCTTCCCCTTTTCCGCCCTTTTTGACATAATCACGCGCTGTATCTCGTTTTTCTCCATAGTGTCTCCTTAAATAACCCCCCCTTGATGTCCGTCTTATAATCTGTTAGTATAGATTACATGTTGCGCTGATGATATTTCGAAAAAAATATGTGTTACATGCATTTACCCGAAAAAGAATATTGCTTTGGGTGGTTGACCGATGGAAAAAAAAAAAAAAAAAAAAAAGAAAAAAAAAAGAGAAAAATTGCTGGGAAAAAGAGAATCCCAGTTACATGGTGAAAGTCACATCCATTTTGCCGGATGGGTTTCTCAAAGTCTTGTCGATTATTTGGCATTTATATAGGGTCCTCGTTTGTTTTCGCTACTATTATCCTGTTCCTGGCGTTACAACCTGTAGGATGGTCCCACTTTTACAACTCTCGTCCTGCACGTGGCGAAATGGGGTTCGGGAAATTCATGATTCGTGGTACTCGATTCGTAGATGGTGAGATTAGCGGTTCCCTTTCTCTATTGTTCTGTCCGTGACTAAAGATGATTGGCATGGACAAGGTAAATCCACACCGTTTGCATATGCTTGGAGACTAGTCGATCCGACGAGACGTTCTCGGGCTGTAGCATGGATAGGTTATATCGTTCATCAACTGGGTCAATGGATTATTTTGGCCCTGGCGCAAAAATCGAAGCAACGTTGGGGCACCGATTATCGGTGGTGGAATTGGAGCATGGTGTGTCTGAATGGCTTTATGCTTGTGTATAAAATTGCTCAGGCCCATACTTTCTATGATGGGTTAGCCGTCGACGTTTCAGAAGCTGTTACACAAGGTTCGGTCATCGCCATTCTGGTAATTGCATTGATCCTGGCCATACCGAGGTTAGTGCAAGAAATTTTTTTGTTTGTTTTCATCGTTTTCACACCTCAAAAAAACACGCCATTAAAAAAAGTCGCGGAGTAATATTTGGCCTGGGACGAAAACCATCGTCGGAGCTATTTGCGGAAATGATGCAATTCGCAAAGAAGTATCATGGATACCTTGTCAGCTTTGGAACCGTCACCAATTTCCACTATCATCCAGCGGTAATTTTAATATACTGCACTCTTTTTCAAAGGTAGGAATAATTACGACTAATTTTCGGATGATAGGAAGGCACGATTGGCCATTATGGTGGCTTTATATATCAATGTCTATTTCTGTGGCAATCCACCAACTTTCTCCATCAAGTAAGGCAGAAACAACATCTTATATTGCAATAGCCCATTCATGATTCGTTCACCGAGTAGAGCCATCGTAATAAGTCATGGATCTTGTTCCTTGAACTGTGGGTCTTTATTCACGGTTCTGTTACCGCCTTGATTCAACCCGGTAGTACCTGGCAAATCTTCTCGTTTGGATTCCTGGCTGTCTTTTTGCTCAACCAGGTGTATTGGACCCGTCTCGCTAAGCACCCTTTCATCCTTGCAACCTTGTACGCTTTGTATGGCATCTGGGTGGCCTGGGTTTTCCGAGAGGATAAGAAGTATTTCCGCATTATTTTCATTCCCGCTGCAGAGTATCTGTGTCTTGGGTTTACAGTCGCGGTCGGCATGCTTACAGCCAAGGTGTTGCGGTTCATCAAATCCTATCATCTCAAGGTCATCGTTACAACAGTCATGTATGTGCTTACGGGCATCGCTATTAGTGTTAGCTTGGCTCTTATATTGGGCGGCAATATCCGCGTTTATAATGACTACTAAGTCATGCAGAGTTTTCTTTTATGATCAACTGCCTATTTATTGTCAAAAATAGACCATTTAATAATACCCCCAGTATGATATTGGTTGCTTTGTTGTCTCATACACTACAAGGTTCAGTAGCCAATCTCACCCGAGGCGTGATCAATGTGTCGAAACGTCTGCATCACCGTTCAATGGTTCATTTTGCTTTCAAGATTGAAAATGTCGGTAAATGATTGGAGCAATTTGTTCACGGCATGAAGGATAGATAAGGGTTCTATAATGTTATATAGGGATAGACAGGGAAGTGAGGGAGGGGGGGGGGTTATGGGGGAATGAAATAGATAGGGTAACACATCGTTGTATAACTTAAAAAAACAGTATGCTTATAAGACAAGGCATTTCAATTTCTTCTTGTTGTTATCTTTGGAAGGCATTTGTCTGTTAATTTGTCGTACCAAATCATAAAAGACTTCGTCGACATTGATTTTCAGTCGTGCCGATGTTTCGTAAAAGGGTTTCCCTCCCCATTGTTGCGATAACATCATTCCTTGTTCTCGTGATACCATTCTTTCTTCTTCCAGATCGCACTTATTGCCAACCAATACCATGGGTACCTATTGTTTTTTCTTGAGTTAAGTCCCTCTGCTTGAAGATTTTCTCCCCATCATCTTTCACCCCAATACTTACATTGGCTGTGTCTTTCACACGTAAAATTTGCTCACGTAATTCCTGGAGATCCGTCAAAGTGACCATGCTGGCGATGGAAAAAACCAGCAGAAATCCCTGGCCATTCTTCATATACAGATCTCGCATCGCAGTAAACTGCTCGGTACCAGCTGTATCCAATATCTCGAGCATGCACTGTTGTCCATCGACTTCCACCTGTTTGCGGTAAGAATCCTCGATAGTCGGATCATATTTCTCGACAAAGATGCATTGAACAAATTGAACCGTCTAAATGAAGAAAATAAAAATGCTGCGTTAAAAAGGAGTGCATGTGGATGATATAGAGCGCAGTAAAATGAAAAACGAACACAAAAAATATAAAAAGAAAGGAAGCGAAAAGGGGACGGGGAAGAAAGTCTGCAAATGAGATTCAGTAACCAGCATTACCAAAGCTGACTTGCCAACACCTCCGGATCCCAAGACAACGAGTTTATATTCTCTCATAGGGATAAGACGTAGCTTGAGTATTATTGGCGAACGGAAGTGTCAAATCAAGAAAAATATATATTTTTGCTTCTTTTTCTGCTGGTTGTTGCTGAAACCGAACAAGAATAAAACGGATAAAGAACCAGAAAGCTAATGAGGAAGGAATGGTGGAAATGACAAAAGGAAGTGAAAAGAGAGAAGAAGTGAAAGGAAAAAAAAATAGTCGGGGACAGTGGGGAGGAAAGGGAGGCTGTCATTCACGGGGAATGAGTTCAGGATCAGTTGCTTTATTTTTGTTTCCTTTTTGCTGAATGGGTTACCTTGTTTATCTTTCCTTCTGTTGACTGAAAAAAAAAATCTTGAATGGAAAGATCTAGGAGTTAGTCAGGCAATAGTGTCTCTTTTCGATACGAGAAGAAAGGGTTGCTACCACTGAGCAAAAGATGATTTGATTGCAAAAAGCATGTTCCCGAAAAAGCGCCATGTCAGGTTCCGCAAATACTGTATAACAGTAGTTGAGCTATAGAATTCCAATTTTTTTAGAGCTCATCATCGACATTGTTTATCTGTACGAACATTTGTTTTAGGGGGACATCACCATTTCTGTGCAATGTCAACAATAGATGTCGGTTCAATCAAATTTGTTTAATTTATTCCTCGATGCTTCTCGAACTTGAAAAATTTCAGATTCATCCCCTAGAAAAAACATTATGTACTCTCTCTTTGAAGTATAATATGCTGCCACTTTCTAGTATGTCGGTAGCCGACAGTCACTTTTCAATAGGTATATGAAGACTTGGTATAGTATTATATCATACTTCTGATATCGCAAAGCAGCACGATGCTCAAATCCATTGATAACCATATGTAATCATGACTGCTATCTATAAATGATGCCTATAGTAGATCCATTGTCCTTATTTGAGATGGGTGAATGGGACCCTAGTACATATCTCTGCCGGAAGAAGCTACAATATTGCATCATTTGGAGATTGGTTGTAAAGTACAGCTAGTATCCCATTCCCCACCTTCGCCACAGCAAAAAACCTGCAACCATTGAGTAGCAGCCACTTCCCCAATACGCGACTTTCCAATGGCCCCATCATGGAATTTTCTTCTACTCAAAGTTTCAGCCAGTGCGGGCGCAAGTGCGGGTTTTGTGACATCATGCTTCCGGCGGCGAGTTTGCCTAAAAAGGTAAGCAACACGACTTATCGATTTTCTGTCAGAGTGCAATTCCTGAACTCAATTTGCTCGGTTCAACAAGCGTATTTTATCTTTTCCCTTTCCTTCATCAAAACATCTACAACGATTTGCACCGCCATTCGGGTTGCTTCGGTCTCCCAAATTAACACTTATTACCCGGCTTACATTCATAACAGACTCTATTCTATTCTTTACAGTCACCGTTATTAGGTGACAGCTGCACCCCATTCCTTCCTTTTCTAATTTCCCATTCTCTCCACTATGAAATATATTACCATTTGCAAAGCTCTTTATGATTATACAGCTCAAACAGACGAAGAACTTACTTTCAAAGAAGACGACATTTTATACGTAATTGACAATGAAGATCCCGACTGGTGGAAAGCCCAGCGCAAGACAACATCCCTGGAAGAAGTCGGTCCACTTGGTTTGATTCCAGCTAACTATGTTAGCGAAGTATGTATCATGTTCCTTTAATTCGAAAACCGCACATTGTCATGATTATTCATATTCATGTATTTTTAGGCCGAACCTATCGGAGCGATGAAAGCACTGTACGACTATACAGCTCAACAGGAAGAAGAATTATCCTTCAAAGAGGATGATGTTATGGTACTTTATGAAAACGACGATCCGGATTGGTTTCTTGTCAAAGCCAAAGATGGACAGATCGGTCTTGCACCCAGTAATTACATTGAAGAGGTATTTGTTAGCACAATGGGGGCAGTCATCCTTCCGCGCCGTCTTAAAATTTGATTCATCTTGAAAAAATTCAGGTCAATGACCAAGCAGTGACCACGTCAAACACTCCTACGCAAGCCGCAGATACCGCGGCTCAACCACCCGTTTCCGTCTTTTCCGCAATATCGGTAAGAAATGCGTTTATCGATCTAAATCGCTCAGCACATCTAAATTATTGCCAAAATCGTAGAACACAGCGACCGATAAACCCTCGGTCAACTTGCGTGATGATGCAATGTCGTGGTCCGTGAGTGAATATGATGTGGAAAAGAAGAAAAAGAAGAAGAAGAGCAAAGGCAACCTTTTGGTAGGCAACAGCATGTTGTGTTATGGAAGCGAGACCGACAAAGCATCCCCAGTTCGCCAGTTCTCCATTCTTGATGTCAGTGATTATGTTCAAGATGGCAAAAATTTGCATATCGAAATGAACGATTCAGCAAATACCGTCTTTGACTTTCAAACGGCATCCAAATCCGAAGCCAAGGCGATCATGTCCAAAATCGACGAGTCACGATCCATTGCCAACGCAAGTCAAACCAAAGCCGCCCCCGACACTCAGACGAATGCGTATGAGAATGACCCAGCTCATATCGCTGAAATGGCGTCGTATGATCAACCTTCATCGTACGATACGTATCATCATCCGGGATCTGAGCCGCAATCCATACCTGAACCTGAACCAGAGCCACAGCCGGCAGAAGAAGAACTCGAAGAACCTCCTGCGCCCGCATGCGAACCACGATGGGCTATTGTGCTTTACGATTTTGATGCGCAAGAAGAGGATGAAATTTCGGTCAAGGAGCAAGAGCAAGTACTGGTAACAGATTATGTCAGCAGCGATGAATGGTGGACCATTGAGCTTCAAAATGGTCATACCGGTATTGTCCCCATGACATACGTTAAATTCCAAGAGGATTACGAGGCGGATCTTGCTGCTGAAGATGAACAGCGTCAAAAGGCCGAAGAGGAGGAAGCTGAACGGCAAGCACGGGAAGCGGAAGCCGCAGCGGCTCGACAACGCCGACTGGAAGAGGAGGAGCGCGAGCGTAAGCGACAAGCCGAAGAACGAGAACGCGAGGAACAACGTCAAAAAGAGGAAAAGGAACGCGCTCGACAAGCCGAGGCCGAACGAAGACGACGCATGCAAGAGGAAGCCAAACAGCGGGAACTGGACGCGAAACGACAAGCAGCTCGTGCCGCTGCCGCTGCCAGCTCACCACCGACGGCCTCCTCAGCCACATCGCCTCGTCGTAGCCAAATCCCTGCACCCCCACCGCCTGTAAAGTCAGCTCCTAACAAGATGTTACCGTCAGGCCAAGCTGTCAAGGGCATTTCAATCCCTGCCAACCGTTCCTTGCCTGATCGTCCGACTCAAGCTCAAGATCCCGGAAAACCAGAAACGTCCAAGATTCGAACGTGGACCGATCGTACTGGTGCTTTCAAGGTGGAAGCTCAATTCTTGGGTTGCCATAATGGTAAAATTCGATTACACAAAATCAATGGGGTCAAGATCGATGTTCCATTGCAGAAAATGTGCCAAGAGGATTTGCAGTACATTCAGAGGGAAACTGGACAAAAGCTCGTCGAGGACAAGAACGATAATATCCCTTTGGCTCAACTGGCTAATCAGCATTCCGACGCAAAGCGCTCTTGGGATTGGTACGCTTACTTTGTCAAAGCCAATATTCCAAAGGAAACCAGTCAACGATACGCAGCTGCATTCGATAAAGCAAAGTTGGGCGAAGCGGATATCGATACGTTGACTCATCGTCGTATGAAATCGCTGGGAATGTCCGAAAAGCACGTGCAAAGACTTCAGAGGTTTATTGAGAATAATGTGGCTGATCCTCCTTCGGAAGATGAAGGCATGGGCTCTCAAACGATGAAGAAGGGTAAGAAATCGGTCACCTTTGGAGCCACCAGTGTTATCAATGATGAGGAGGACGATGACGAGGAGGAAGATAATTTGGACACCATCAAAAGACAAATTGAGGAAGATGAAAAGTTGGCCAGACAGTTGCAACAACAAATGGATGGATCATCGCAGGCAGCTGGTTCAGAGACCCCTCGGGGAGTAGGATTACAACGTCGCGGTACAGGACGACCCACCCCAGCAAACGCAGCGCCCAAGGACGTGAATATGGAGTATTTGGAGAAGATCAAGAGCCAACTAAGTTCTGAACCGTTGAAACCGCAGCCGGCGGCACCTGTCGCTTCACCTAAACCAAATCCTCCTGCGGCCGCAGCACAGCCGCCGCCCCAGGCTGCAAAGTCGGCGTCCACTGGTTTCGAGGACGATGCATGGGCACTCCGACCAGGATCCCCCGCTGTAGCCAAGGCATCTCCTGTGATTGCCAACAACACGGGGGCACAACCCAGGCCTATGTGGTCTGCGCCAGCGCCTTCTTCAGCCTCGCCCATTGTTAATCAACCGACGGCTAATAATAACATTCCTCCACCTCCTCCACCGCCACCCATGCCTCAGCAAGCACAGCAACCTCCTGTTTCTCTTCCTCCGCGACAGCGCCCTACACCACAAGTATCGCAACAGAATCAGGTGGATCCGCAACTGCTGTCCCAATGGACCGGTAAAGTGAACGCAAACCCTGCCCCGGCAGCAACACTTCCTCCGGCTCAGCGACCGATGTCTCAGATGGCACCGCAACCATCGATGAGTTTCGCACCAAGTCCTCATATGCAGCCATCACCGCAGCAATTTTCTCCTTCGCCTAGTATGCAAACCATGCAACCACAGCAACAACCGATGAATGCTCCGAATCAATTCGCCATGCAACCGCGACCTTCGTTTATGGGGCAAGCCCAACAACCACAGCCAACCGGAATGCAAAATTTCCAAACCAATCCACAGTTTATGCAACAGCAACAACAGCAGCAACAACAATTCCCGCAATATACCGGCATGCAGCCACCCATGACAGCGAGTGTACCTTTGCAGTCAGTGCTTCCTCGACCCTTGGTCCCTACCAGCACAGGTATGGCTTCCATGCAAGTTCAGCAGCCCACTGGTATGTCAAGTCCTGGACAAACGAATGCTGCAGGTGGTTCCCGCTCTTGGGCTAATGCAAGTAAGTGCCGAGTTTGTTATGATTCGCTAGTCCACTCGAGTCAATTGACTAACCTTGTCTATGTTATAGCACCTGATAATCCTTTCGGAAACGCGGGGATGAACCGACCTCAGATGACAGGCATGCAACAGCAACAGCAGCCAATGGCTTCCACGAATGTCTCTACCGCATCACTGCAGCCTTCTCAAGTATTTGCTCAAATGACGGGTCATCAGCCGAATATGCAGAACCCTCAAGCGACCGGATTTGCAGGACGGCCCATGATGTCGCAGCCGACTGTGTTTGGTCAACAGCAATTTGGCATGAGTAAGCTACACTAAGAATGGAAAACAACGATAAAAAGTGTCTAAACATCTTTTTCACAGATCCCAACGACAAATATTCAGTGTTTAGGCAGGTGGATAGCCATACCACCGGTGTTTTCCAACCGGGCCAGCCGCAACAGCAGCAGCAGCAGCAGCAGCAACAACAACAACAAAGTGAGTCACTGGACGATTGCGCAAAGTTTCCCAATATTAACCCGTTCTATTTTGCAGTGATGGGTACATTCCAGCAACCACAGAATTTTGGTACTTTCCCCAACCAAGGTCAACCTCCATCACAACAATTTTACCAGCGTGGATGGTAGAGTGGTGCTGGTGAAGAATGTAGATACGCCTGACCGTTTCTGTACAAGGCTGGGATATATGGCATAGATTTTTGTATTCCTTTGATTTATCTCACAGCTCGACTATAACTACTTGATTCCACAGCAAGAATCGAGATAGTCCGAAAAAGCAAACTTTATACCATAAAAAACACCTTTTTTTATATAAAGATCATCAATGGGATACGGCATCTATAATGGAATTTGCCTTGTAATCTATTCCTTGATCTCACCGCAATCAACAATCTTGATGTCAGTATCAACCATACCACTGCCAGAGCCATGGGATTCCAAGACCTGTAAGACTTCCTTGCCTTCAGTGATTTCACCAAACACGGTGTGAGCACCGTTCAACCAAGGGGTCTTGTCGAAAGTGATGAAGAACTGGGAACCATTGGTGTTCTGCCAACGTAGGGAAAACTGTGAGTATATTCGCGGCCTAATTGCATAAAAACTTCCAGTAGTACTTACAGGACCAGCATTGGCCATGGACAAAATACCAGGACCAGTGTGCTTCAAAGTGAAGTTCTCACTGAAAAAAAAAAAAAACCACCAATCCAGTTAATATCCAAAAGTATTGACACAGACCCATTTCGTATTTTGGCGACTTACTCGGGGAAAGTGCGACCATAGATAGATTCGCCACCACGACCGTTACCATGGGTGAAGTCTGGTTATTTGAAACGATCAGTCACTGAGACAATTATGCTTTCTTAATCAGTTGCCAAGTACTTACCGCCACCCTGGGCCATGAAACCGGGAATGATGCGATGGCTAAAATGAGAGGGAGACGCGTTATTAGTGAAATGAGCACAAAAAGCAATTTTTTAAACTTACAAAGAGCTGCCCTTGTAGTGAAGGGGCTTTCCGGAGACACCGGTACCCTTTTCACCAGTGCAGAGAGCACGGAAGTTCTCGGCGGTCTTGGGAACAGTGTCCGAGAAGAGCTATCCACGAAGGTTGGAATTAGTTTTAAGAGTTTCTGAAATCATTACTAATTACATTCCAGGAATTTCAACTTACCTTGAAGGTCATACGACCGCTGGGTTTGCCATTGATGGCGATATCGAAGAAAACTTTGGGAAGGTTTTTGGCAGCCATGGTGTCAAGTGGTGTCAAATTAATAGCAGCTTTTTCGGCCTCTAGAAAATTACAAGAAAAAAACAATGAATCATGGGTGGCGCAAGTTTGAATCTCCGTTGGGTGCACCTAATTTGTAAATGAAAGACAACCTGAAGCGACCGGTTGCTTAATGGTCTCAGCATGCCAAATTGTCCATGATTCATCGATGTCTACTTTTAGTTGAAATCTCACATGAAATGTTCCCTCCATAATGTTTTGTAATACAGAAATTTGACAAGCTGAAACATGGAATGAAGATCGATCAAACTGTGTCGTAACTTTCTCGCCTCCTTAATACATAAGGGTCACTGAAAAAACGGGCAAAAAAATACCGGTTTGAACTGTAGTACAACTGAATTTTACCTATCAAGGTGAATATGCCATCGCGAAGATGACCAAAATCTTGTTGTTGTTGGCCAAAACCCCCATTTAAAACTCATACACGCAATCGATCGATCAGAAAAAAAGCTCATGTTGTGAAGGTCATAGAAATCTGTAACACCTATTAAAGGTAAATCAAGCACGAGAACAATCCTGACGCTGTGCAGTGGGTTGCGGTGAAACATCTCTGAATGTGTCCGCGAACGGGTCGAAAAGAAAAAAAAAACATGTTTTCTACTCTGGAATGGCAATAGGATGGAAACAGTTTGTCACAAACATAACCCACAGAACAATTTAAGATATCGCACGCAGTTCTCTTTTTTTCTTCATAGTGCAGGAAAAAGCGCGAGACATCGTATTTGAAAAATGAGGTCATTCATTGGTTCGAAACAGTCTCTTTATCCGATTTTTCATATTATTATCTTCAGATAAAGAAACGCTTAGTCTTTTTTAATATAAAGTTTTTCATATCGCTACTCTAAAAAGCTTTTTTAAAATGAAGATATCCAAAAAAAAAGAGTCTATGGTGATGTTCACATATAGATAAAATATAGGTTGAGGAAGTTTCAAGGAAAAAAAAAAAAGACAAATGTGATAGACCATAAGTTCATAGAGGCATAAAGATTCTCACCATCGACTGTGGATGTTCATATCGACGAAAAGAGCGTCTCTTACACGTTATCGTTGTGTTCATATGATGATTGATGCGGGCTAGATGCCACTGTCCACGAAGACGAGATGGGATAAATAGGATAATTACTAGGATGATCGACAGATGCTGCTAATGCAATTGAAAAGGTACGGCAGGACAATTGGTCTAAACGCCAAGGAAGAAGAAATTCTCATTGATAAGCATTAAATTAAGATACTCTTTCAACCACATACCCATAATACTAGGGATCTCATCTTTTCCATTCACAGGATTTTCAGTCAAGCTTGAGGCATACGTATTTAGACTGGCCCCGGAAGTATCATTCATCCTTGATGGCAGTGACAGTGACGGAAGCAAGGATTGTGCAGCTGATTTTCCAGCGCCAGAGATTGAAGCATTTGATGAGAGATGATGAAGGGTCAATTCTGAACCATTTACTTTGACAGTCGTCCCTGTAAATAACAGCCAAAGTAGTTATAGCGATTGCTAGTTACAGTCAACTTTTTGTAGAGCCAATGTTACCCAAATGACTCCCGCCTGAATGGGTTCCAGATGATCCGGTGTGCTGGTTATGAAAGAGATCTCTCGTGGGGCATAGATTGGCGGAAGTAATCTCTGGTGATACCGCAAAAGAATGTTCACTGACTGATGTGGGACTTGCCGATAAATAGGGGCGTGAAGAATCGCATGCTGAACTGCGTTGCTGTTTTCGTTTGCTGATTCGATGTATGCATTCGATACGATTGGAAGCACAAAACGCACAAGGTTGGCCACCGTCGCACTTGGTTTTACGTTTGCGACACGTTTCACATGCAGATCCAGAACTCAATCGACGTGGAATATCGGCAAATGTCGTGGTAGTTACAGTCGACATGCTCGTGCCAGTACTCTTGGAGGTAAAAATGGTTCTGCCCGTGGTGATGCCTTGATCATTGGAACGATTGGTTACAAAGGCCATACGCCACGGCTTGTTTTCCCGAAAACCAGAAGCACAATGCGAACAATAAGGATAACCCGTACAAAGACGCGTTTTATCGGTACAATGCTGAATATTGATTGAGTTTACTGACGAATGGTCAGTCATAACTCGGTATCAATGAACAGATGCAAACAAAGAAAAAAAAACAAGAATAAAAAAGAAAAAAAACCTCCCCAAAAATATCAGGTGGAGAAATGGATGAAAAAAAAAAAGGCAAGTTTGAACAAGGCAAGTAAGGAAACGAGTTGTATACTGTAGTGAGAATCAAAGATAAGAAGAAAAGAAGAAAAGTAAATGTATGATATTTAAAAGGATGGAAGACGCAATGACACGGGATAAGATGAAGTGTTTGAACAAGATGGCAAATGCATTTCCAAAATAGTGCAAACCATACTGTTGCCTCCATATAATCAAGAAGTTCTGTTCTTTTTTTTTATCACGTTGTAGCAAAGTAGATCGGGTCATTGTGGAAAATGCACTTTACCATATTAGTTTATTTTCCATTTCGTACGTTTGGGGGGGCTTTTCACAAAATCGGATGATTTTGCGTATTTACGCTGATCGACAATAGATGATGATGATGATGATATAGCTTATTACCTACCTTTGCACCTCGTTTATATGAAATTCTATAACCTATGATACGTAGAATTTCTTAAAATAGCATCGTAATTGCATGTTCCAACTCGTTCTGTATGGATCCTTTTTTTTTCGTACCCACATGGTCTATTGTAATTAACTAACAAGCCTCCTGGATGGTATCTCACCCTCACCGCCACTGTTGCCTCCCTCGAGCAATCAAACAAGACGAATGGTACGCTTTTTGATGCAGACTCTTATCTTTAAAAGGAAACTCAAGAAGGAATCAGATTTTGCTAGATGATTTCCTTTCTTCATGAAGCGTGTTTCGATATCATACAAATCCATATAAACATTTAATCTGAAATGGAAGCCATTTGTTGATTCTCCTGTATGATACGATGTAAAAGCATTCCTACTACTCTTTTTCCACCAGCTATTTTTTTTTTTTTTGACAATCTTTTGGGTTCCCTTTTGTTTTTGTTTACAGAACAGATCACGAGAAATTTCGTATTACCATCTGATATCAAATGCTGGCATTGCATACAGACCGGCACACTGCTTGGTCCGGAGAATGAGAAGTTTTTTTTTTTTTTTTTTCTGATTTGAGCAAGTCACGTAATATTGTATGCTGGCATTGTCATTGGCTCGCTTTAGGAAAGCTGTTTTGGGAATTTTCCTTTACTTTTTTTGGTCCCAATAAGTTTACAATGCTTTATTGTCAGCCGATGGCGCTTTCATGGCTTTATAAAAGTTTCTTAGCCGAACCCAAACACCACAGCAAGCGACCACTCCTACAGCCGTAAATGTGGCAGCCATTAATATAGGTATCAGGACAACGCATCCAATGGTAATAAAAGCGGATACTGTCAATATCCACATCGTGGTAAATGTGCAGGTCGCTATAAAAAGTACGAACAGTGCGTATGATAGGAATATCGTAGTTGGAGCAAAGGATAGTACTGCAACGATATAGACGAGCAGTCTAAATAAGGGACTATATATATCCATTGTTAGCGGTTATATGTTTTCTCAGCAACCATGTGTTTTAGGATCGTAACTATTGCCAGAATTCGTCGAAGGATTGACGTAGAATACAGGCGTAAGCGCGAATCGATTGGATAGAGTTGCCGGCATGCTGTTTTAATGCAGCTGTCAGTGATGATAGACGATCATCCTTGTCCATTTTGATAAAACGTAGAATTTGAAAGGAGAAGAAGAGCGAATCAGTTGGACCGGAACTGCATTTCCACAATAATGACTAGGCGCTGAAAATCAAAATTAAAAAAGCAAGTCTCATCTTGGTCCCAGCGGAGAAAAAAAGCTCCGAAACGCGTTAGATCATCTTCATCTGACCACGCAATAAAGCTTTTTTTGACCTGAACGATTAAACTCGTGCACAGTATTTGGCCTCAATTCCGTGTGATACATAATCTTGTCAACATCTTTGATAACCATGTTTTGGTAGGCTGAATCAAGACTGTATTAAAAACACAAGGCGGTATACTATCATGTTTTCATCTGATATCCTAAAGCATTATTGGTGACAGTAATTGGCAGGCCGGTTGGTCAATCGAATGTGCTTTGCAGCAGCAGCAGCAGCTTCATCATGTTACTGAATAGTACAAAATATAGGATATTATTATCAGTTGATGGATTGGGAGGTGATTTACATATCAATAACAAGCTGTACACTCGCTGTGCAATGGATGCCGCCTGCCACCGGAGGCCGCCCTCTTACATTGAGCGAATTTCGTCAGACAAAAAGCCTAACGCATACACGGCATAACCTGAGCGAGAACTCTTGACAGATTTTGGTATATTAATGACAACCTAATGGCATCCATTACGTCGTGATTTGTTTCTGAACACGCGCAAAGCAGCACTGATTGACCCCCTCAGTTCCATCCCGCCCAGGTTATGATCGATCTAGAAAGATGTATGGGTATGTTGGGTATTTTTTAAAAAAAAAATGAGTTAGTAAGCTCTTTGATTGATTCAAATTTCGTCAAGATATTTTACCTTTGTTATGAATTTTTCGATAGTAATTGATCGCTTGCCATGGCATGGATTATATGACATTGAAATTTTTTTAAATTAGTATACGTTCATTACATCATAGCAAAGGAAAAGAAATTGGACTTGCCTTTGAACCAAATGGTGAACCGGACAAAAAAAAAGATGAACACCGACCACTCGATTATTATAAAATGAAGAGAATCAAAGGACATATACAGTATAACTGACAAAAATACCAAATTAAATGATGGTACAAAGACGCCAGTCGTATCATCAACCACCTTCCTTCAAAAAGAGCTCTACTCACATTTTTATTTGAACGGCGAGGATGCCTGTTTGACCACAACTGGCACAAACGGCATTATCTGGCTAAAGAGGCGCAAAATTAACAGGTTCTGATAACTTAGTGTAGATCATGTGCTTTACAAATCGTTAAAAAAATTGCATATCAATAATTCTTGCTCTGTTTGTGTCTCAAAATTCAAACTTGTTTAAAAGGGTCCTCAAATGAAGTGACCGGCTGGTTTTTTTTTTCTTCTTTTTCCTCTCGGTTATTCTTATTATCTTGTATGATAATGAACTAAATGACGATTTTTTGCTGGGATGACGCATGTCAGACAGCAGACAAGGGGTTTTTTGAATTTTCCAGCTAGGTATGGAAAAAGGGATTTCCAGTCGAATGCCGTGTGATTCCCTTTTTAAAAGAGCGACTGAGAAATTCACAAAAAAAAACAACGGTTGGCTGGACTCTTTTCCCAAACGCGCACTTTCTCTTTTTCTTCCATTTCCACTCTTTCCTTTCCGCTTCTAATCCGCCTGCACCCCCAGATTTTTTATAATCAAACTTTCTCTCATTGACAGTTGCATAAGATTGTTATGGCTATGGACTTGAGAGTAGGAAACAAATATCGCATTGGTCGCAAAATCGGTTGTGGTTCATTTGGAGACATTTACCTCGGTAAGTTTCTAACATGCCGGCTTTTCCGCAGTTTTTTTTCTTCTCCAATCATGCCCATGAATACTTAATCCATTGCATAATTAGGTACAAATATTATTACCGGTGAAGAAGTGGCTATCAAGTTGGAGGCAGTAAAGACAAAACATCCCCAACTCGAGTATGAATCAAAAGTATACAAGGCTCTGTCAGGTGGTGTCGGCATTCCATTCGTACGTTGGTTTGGCACAGAATGCGACTACAATGCCATGGTGATCGATCTTCTGGGACGTATGTATCATGCTATACTTCGTTTCTTTTTCTTGTTCTTTTTCTCGTTTTTTTTTTTCCACTGTTCAAGCAAGGAAAAAACAAAAAAAAAGCGCTGAAAAAGCAGTAAGGGTTGTTATATTTCTGATAACATGAACACTCACCATTGCTTATATATATATACATAGCTTCCCTCGAAGATCTGTTCAATTTTTGTAACCGCAAATTCACGTTGAAAACTGTTCTCTTATTAGCAGATCAGATGGTATCTATTCTGGATTATTTACTACTTTTTTTTTTTTTTTTTTTTGGTTATAAGAGTTTACTAATCACGATTTTTTTTTCATTTATCAGCTCTCCCGCATCGAATATATCCATTCCAAGAACTTTATCCATCGTGACATTAAGCCTGACAACTTTTTGATGGGGATTGGCAAACGAGGAAATCAGGTCAATGTGATCGACTTTGGACTTGCCAAAAAATATCGTGATCCGCGAACGCATCTTCATATTCCCTACAGAGAGAATAAGAATTTGACAGGCACAGCAAGATATGCAAGTATCAATACACATCTGGGCGTCGGTACGTTTGAACCATCCACTTGAGGCAAATATGTCATACGAATTTTAACCCGTGCACTGCCATTCTTATTCAAACAGAACAATCGCGACGTGATGATTTGGAATCGTTGGGCTATGTTCTCATGTACTTTTGTCGAGGCTCCCTGCCTTGGCAAGGATTGAAAGCAGCAACCAAGAAACAGAAATATGATCGAATCATGGAAAAGAAAATGACAACACCGACTGAACTGCTATGTCGCGGCCATCCCAGTGAATTTGCCATATTTTTGAATTACACACGTTCATTACGGTTCGATGACAAGCCCGATTACAGTTATCTTCGTAAATTATTCCGTGATTTGTTCGTCAGAGAAGGATTTCAGTATGATTATGTGTTTGACTGGACGGTTTACAGAGTGGTACGTCCTCTTTATATTTTTCAACAGTTCCAGCAAAGAATGTGTGTTTAACTAGATAAAAACTGATGGATGGGTTCTTAGAATGGACAACCGCCGCACGTGCCATCATCAAGCGATCCACAGTTTCACCCGCCGCAACCGCAACATCAGCAACCGCAACAACCGCCAATCCAACCTCAACAGCCCCAGGCACCGCAGGAAGGACCAGACGATATGCTGAGAGCGTCGCAAAGACGACTCCCGACTACGGGGATCTCAAGCTCACGTGCCGTTGCTCCATCAGGCACATTACCAACTGACCCAACCAATATGTCATCTTTCCGTCGATCCAACTCTGCCGCCATCCAGCAACAGTCACTGGCACCTGGCGCGCAAGGTGGGAGATCAAGCGCTATGGCGTCTCCCCCAACACCAAGAAATGCCCCTGTAGCTAAAGTAAGTTCAATGGATCGAAAATGATGACATTCTCTTTTAAGTGCTTACACAGCTCTGTGTGTAGCCTTGAAACTATGGCGTTATGTGATATATTCAGAGGCAGCTATTATATTATGTGGCGATACGAGCATCTACTGCCATGGGAACTTCCATTACGTTATCTTTCGTATCGAACACATTCAGAAAACAGAATATCGTAAAAAGTTATCCATGTTCTGTTGCTTTTTCTTCTTTCTTATATTTTGTCGATCATTTTTCATCTTTTGATGTCCTGCATTACATGTTTCTGTTCATTTATTATTTCTTCTGTGGGGTTCGCCAGTGATGCGCGCAACCCTTTGGTTTCTTTTTTTTTTTTTTTTTAAAAAAAAAAAAAAGGTCATCCTTCTCTTGTTTTGTTGCTGATATCATTGAATAATTGCAGTATACATGAATGAACAGTGCTTATACAGACTCATCTGACTAGATACGGTAATGTACAAGGTGAAGAGGAACGGGTGGATGCAGAGGAAAAAAACAGAAAAAAAAGAGAAAACTAAATGGCCATGCTGATCAACAACATCGGAGTGGTATAAAATGCTGCTTGTTTTCTATGATTCCTCGTAAATCCCGGATTGTTCCATTTCCACGCCAAATTGTTCATAGGTCACTTTGTACTTGAGCCGTAATGGACACCGTTGAGGATTTTCCAAGGTCAAATTTTGAGTAACAACAGCTTCTGATTTTGATGGGATCACTTGAGCCGACGGATTTTCCATTGCCAGTGTCATGGACTAGAAGATGACGGATTTTTGCATTAGGCATCAGAAAAATAAACTCATTGACGGTCGCTCTACTGTTACTACCTTTGGTGTTGCCATATGCAGGACCATGCGTTCCATAGGCACCGTAGATCGGTTTGAGAAATACGCTGTTAAGCGATAGATGGAGTCCTGCACAGACCCCTTCAGTACAATTTGAAGTCCGTTTTTATCCAATAAAATAACTAGCACCACAATTTATATTAGAAATGATCTGTTTTGATTAACAATTGCTCCAACTTACTTTTCTCATCTTCTTTGCCGTAGCGCGTCGTTTGAGTCATGTTGGAGTCGGGGCTATCCACAGTAGACACAGGAGACATCATGGGTAGAGGACTTGTACCGCTGTTGTGCATCAGATCACCATTCTTCGATACGGGTGGAAAATAAGATGTCGTAACTTGTACTTGCTGCTCAAACACGTTGCTCAATTCATCAAAGACGCTGATATCTGAAGATGCATTCTGCCGTGATTGATCCTGGACCGGCGATGTCAATGTGTTATCATCCAAGTCGATAAGACTAATAGCTTGAGCTGGCGCATCTTCTTTTGGCGGCTTTGTAGGCTTTGAATCAACACTGTAATGCGTATCGTAAATGCCTTTTTTGAGATCAAAGTACTTTGCCATTACGTTTTGCAATATATCGTTCACCGTCAGCAAATCCTCTAGGAAGATCGTTAAACCATATGATATCCATAAACTTTGTATCCAATAGTTACCTAACCGCTCTACATCGTTTTCTTGTTTGATCATAGTAGCAATTCGTGGAAGCGTGGTTTCGCAGGTGTATTTGAACTCCTGCCATTGTTTTATATGAGCAAAATCCAATGGCATACACACACATTAGAATCTTCCGTTCACACTTACGGTCATCATGTCATTGACATCCACTTTTTGTCCTGGTTTGACCTTTTCAAGCATATCATACAAAAGTTGCGCTTTGTTCCGAATCTTTCGCAGTTCACCCGTGAACTTTTCCTTGTAATCTGGCTGTTGTTGTTGATTCTACCACCAATACCCATCAGCTTTTTTGATGCGTCGAGGCACAAGTCTTCCTCCGACCCTTATACTTACATAACCGGTCATGATTTTCATTAAATGATTGGCCTCTGCTAGATCCTGTGGTCTACCTCGTCGAATCAGTTCTTGTAATTTCTGGCATAGTAAACGTCGATCAACTGTCATTAGTACTATGTCCATGATTGTCTTTCCCTTGTTGCAGCAGCGATTTAATACATACGGCTGCCTGCGCCACTCTTTCTTCCTCTTCAATCTCTTCCGGTGTTCTCAACGTCTGCCAAAGTCAATGATCCATTAGTCAACCGTTCTATATCATGTCATACGTGCGTTTTCCCAAAAATCTCACCTCTGGTGGTGTTAGTTCATTGACAGAAGATGCACGAAGTTCGGGAAATCGATATCCTACGCACGAAGCGACTACTTTTAGAATTGCAATCGATCATCGCGCCAGCTGTGCCTACCTTTGGATCGTAACAAGCGGTACATATCTTTGATATGCACCAGATCCTCTTTATAACGTGATAATTCTGCCAGCGCCACTTTCCATTGTTTGATCATGTAGAGAATTCGTTCCATAATCGGATTCATCTGCGATGCACTGGGGACAATATCAAAGTGATTCCAGCCGTTGGGAGTGTCCGGTACAAGGGTGCGTGTAGGAGGACGTTCAGGAAACTTTCGTACCAGCGCATTTAAAAATTCCTTTGTCGCTATTTGAAGGTGGAATGGGTAACCGCAATGTTTGACGCACATGTCTAATAACTGCTCGTCGTGTCAGTTTCCTAGATAGTAGAAATGAAGTAGATCGCCGCTTACCGTCAAAGCCAGCATGCCTTGATGGACATGTTTACTGTTCACCAAACGCACGATTCTCATGGCGGCGATCCGAGGTCTGTAATTTCTCACATTAGTCATTTATTTATTCCAATGGTGTTCTGTGTGGAAACGCTTTGTTTTTTTTTTCTTTTTGCAAACAACAACTTACAGGCTTCCTTGCTTTTGATTGATTCTGTCGCAGATTTCCTTATTGAGCCGTGCATCCGACTCAAATCGTGCCGGATTGCAAGCATCCTCTGTTTAAAAAGACGTTCAGTTGCAGCGATCTAAAATCTCGGGCGAACACATACCAATCATCTCCTCCAGCCGCATGTTGAAGAGTAAAGTTTTTGGAGAAGGCCAGATTCTCACTGTGGAACCCAGCACATACAATTTACAAGAACAAGTGCGGACTTTGAAGTACAGTGAGAAAAGGTTCCTGTTTTGGGACCACGCAAGTTGCAAGGCCAAAAAAAAAGAGACACCTGATGCGGATGGGACATCGTAGGTCGCCAAAACTCGGCCCCCCTCAGTTTTGGATTTTGGGCAACCCCCTTATAAAAATATGATATAACTTCATCTCTTTTTAACAACTCCCCTCGTATGCAGGTTCTCTTCCTCGTAAACGCAGCAAAACTGTATTAGGCAAACCTATTCCACCCGTTTGATTGATCCTTTTCCCCGCCTTCCTTTCTTTATTTCCTTTGATTGTTGTAGTCTGTCATTTGCCTTCTCTTCCACTCGTTTTTTTCCCTATTCTCATTATGACATTCACCACTGAATATTATGAAGCAGTAGACCTCCACGTTCGATGGTCTGACACGCAAGATTTGGTATTGCGTATTTCTCCTCATGAAACAATAGCTGATATCAAGCAAAAGGTAAAATGCCACATCTTTCAATGTCTCTTTGTTACAAAATCGCGTAGTAACCAAAAAGGTGAAACCTCAATATTCACTCCATAAAATTAGATTCAGCAGTCGTCCGCCGTAATACGAAATAAGTATATTCGCTTGATTCATAACGGTCGAATCCTTCATGACAACACCACTTTGTCCGACCACAATATTGGAAAATTCAGACTCAAAGATGCCAAGGTTCAGCAAACGTCACCTCTGCCTGTGTATATTCATTGCTCAGTATCCGAATATGTGCCAGAGAAAAGAATTCCTGTCAAAGCCAAGGTAAGCAAAGCCACTGATCAGCCTATTTTTTTTCATTCGCAGCCTGAATTTATGGTGTGACAGACTTCGGCTTTGACATCGTCCAGAGGATTTGACCGTTTACGAGACTCGGGCTTTTCCGATCAAGATATTCAATTGATCCGCACACAGTTTCATCGACTTCAAGGAACGCTTCGTACACAAAGTAATACTCCATTCGTTTTTTTTTTTTTTTGCTCTGTCTAGAAATTTATACAAAGTGGATTTGCAATAGATACACGGGATCAAGCCCAATATCTGGAAGAACAATGGATGGAGCATTCCGAAACCGCATTATCCGATGAAAGTGAGTGATTTGATTCCTCTGATAATTAAGAACTATAATATAAAAAAGAAAAAGGGTCTAACTGTTCATTGGCCAGCTCTTCAGGGTACCTATAAGGAGATGATATGGGGTCTTATGCTGGGCTTTTTCCTAGGCATCATTTGCTTTTTTTGGTTCCGAGAGTCCGTATTCAGTCGGCGACATTTGATGGGTAAGTTACAAAATGACAAGGCCAATCCTCTCTTTTTTGTCACATGTCTAACTTTGGTCGCGTCTTCCCAGGTATTGCTGCGGGTATCGCCATCAATATCTCATTCGGTGTACTGCATGTGTATTACTGAAAACACAATCAAATTGAAACGACAGCATAAACACTAGGGAAAAATACACATGTTCAGATCTATCTCCATGTCTGTCCCTTTCCTTAACCCCGTTTCTGAAATTTCTTCCTTCTTTCTTGTGCGTGTTTCTTTTTTTTTTCCTTTATTTTGTTCTGCAACCCCTCAACAATTCATTCATCTGGTCACTCTTTCCCTTCAATTTCTATATTTAGCTTTGTATGATTTTTGCAAAACATGGATTCAACTCAATGCCTGGTGTTTTGAGAAATCCATTGAAAAACATTATAGCTTTTTTATTGGTATACATCACCAAGAGCGTCACTTGGAGACAATAAAAAACAAGAAAAATTTTCAAAGAAAGGTTTGTGCATGTCGCAGTATAATCTCCGCCATGTACCTCATTGTCTTTGTCTGCTTTTGCCTGTGCACACTGTCGGCCCTTTGTGTGCTGGCAAAGTATGTTCCTGATCTTCGTTCGTCCGTACTCGCTCATGGGAAACTTCAAAGTGTAGCTGATCGTCCCACTTCCTCGTTGAGTCGCGTGGTAGCTAGCTGGACCGTACCGAAATCTTGGTTTACTCATTTCTACATCGTTGGGCTCGCTTTTGCCTTGATCTGCTCCGCTGAATTGACAGCTGCAACACTTAGGCGTAAGTACGGTCTCCTGCTAACATTTCTCCGTCATTGGGACAACCCTTACTGGGGAGACACATTGTCCCTGACGGAAAGTTACTTGGGGACCACACTCATGACAATCCACTTGGCTCGACGCGTCTACGAATCCTTCTATATTGAAAAGCTATCTCCTACAGCCCGCATGCATGTCTCCCATTATTTAGTGGGTATCGGTTTTTACGGTGCTATGGTATTCGGTACCTGGCTTGAAGGAGCTGTTTCTTTTGGCGTCTGGCCAGGTAATGAAAGATGGACTTACTCTTTCGTTATAGTTTGTATTAAATCCGGTTTGTTTGCTTTACATTTCATAGAATCTAGCCCAGCTTTGCGTTCATTTCATTACATTTATGCATTGATATCTGTCACGCTTTTCATTTATGCATCGCTTCATCAATATCGTTGCCATGCCATCTTGGCTTCTCTCAGGACCAAGAAGACGAATACCACTTACAGTATCCCTCGAGGCGATTGGTTCGAACGGATCGTAACGCCCCATTATTTCTGTGATATCTTGATTTATGCATCCTTGTGCATCTTGTATCGCTTTCGCAATCGAGTACTATTATGTGGTTTGATATGGACAACGCTGAATCTCTCCGTCACAGCTAGTGAGACACAGAGATGGTATTGCCGTACATTTGGTCCACTTTATACCACCACATTTCCAAGGAAACGGTGGATTATAATACCTTGTGTTTACTAGTTCGCCTCCACGTTCTTTTGATATCTTCATACTAAAGACGATTAATGAAGAAAGTAGAACAATCCTATAAAATCTATTTCCATATTCATATTGCTTTGCTGAGTACCCGGTTACCTTTTTTTCTGTGTTCGCTTCGCTTGATCCGTCATAATGTGAACCACTTTTATAAAAGCTATTCTAGTTTAAGTCTACATGCAAATAAATCTAGATGCCGCAAATATGTTAGTGATTATAATCAGGTTGAAACCAGTCCATCCAACACTGATGCGAGGTCTGAAAATGCATGATTTGGATTTGGACAAGGGCATCCGAAATTCTTCTTGACTGTGACTTTTGAAAGTCCCGGCAGCGGATGAAATAGACCACCATTGCTGGCTACCGAAATTTTACTGCTTCATTTTCGTGTTCAGCGCGCTTTCATGATACCGAGCTATGAGCTTGTTTGATACCAATATGGTCCTCAAAGGACCTTTATTACTAAATAGAGGTATCGTGTTTGTCATTTCGCTCTCGCATGTCCTTCACTACGTACTAAGAATGTTCCTTCTAGATATCAAGTGGAAAGGACAAGATCAGCTACCTGGTACGGCATTATTACAGCATAACCATTGATGACTCTCTATTAAACGACTCGTAAAAAAAAAAGATATCCTTGCTGCACCTGTCACGAAGGAGGAACAGCTTCGTTGTTCACGATTGACCGACGCCACATTTCGTCTCGTCACCATGATTCGCCTCAGCTCCATCAAGACCTACATGCTGACATCAAAAGAGATGCAAGTGTACGTTCACCAAATTGGTTCATCAACAGACAATATGCCTGATTGTTATTTCGCTTTCCCTTCCTGCAGCTTCACTCCTGATGCATCAAAATCCTCTGGCGAATTTTTAAATCACGTGTTTGCGACCAAAGTAATGCAATTTGACCTTGGTTTTTCTATATACATGATTGCTGATGGCTTGACACGTAGAGCCCCTGGTCCGAACAAACTGAACTTGCCCTTATTTTGCAACTAGAGATTCTTCCGCATCAAGATAAACATGCGGATCCTTCAACGCCGGTTCCCTCAGGTGCGTTTCATGGAAACAGCCAGCGGTAATTCGATCTCAGCTTACAGAGTTCCATTAGTGGATTGTCATGACAAAAACTATGCCCTGCTTTATGGTCGTCGGAATGTTGAAACATCGTGCATTGAAATATATCTGCATGGTCTGCGAAGCGCGCTATCTCTTAGTAGCAATGACTCCACTGCTGGAGGCAACCGATATTTGATCGAGAGACAGTTACGCTGCCAAATTCTTGACGCACAGGACTGCCCCGAGCTGAAAATGATCCAATCATTGCGGCCTTCACTCTTTACAGCCAAAAAAGGGGATCTTGGAAAGCGAGATTATGGAGAATTTGTGATGAGCCAACTGCGTGCATTGGATAAACAGCGAGCAGAAACAAGCGAGCCTGCACGGGATTTGGATGTCTTCAATAAACGGAAGCGACTTTTACCGAAGAAGAAAAACCCACCCCGCGACGACCTCTTACCAATAGAGAATATTCTACCGCCTCAAAAACGGATAGAGGCAGAACCTCAAATGCTTGCTGCACCGGATAAATCGGCATCTACCGCAGATACAACAAAAGAAAATAAGACGGTAAAAATGTCTTGGCATTTGAGGTGAATTGCGATTTCTAACGTTCTCAATAGCGTTTGAAGGCCATGATCTGGGCTAAGTTGCTCGACTTGGGTCATGATAAACGCAGCGAAGATACCAAACTCTTGCTTCACCAAATTTACCAAAGCTGTCAATACATTCTGGTAGGTTGAATCTCCACTCAAGTTGACCCTTTTGATCTCACGCGTCTCTCTTTGTTGTTATAGAGACAATCGTTTTCATCCGAGAAATTAGACGAATCGGTGTGTACAGTGCTGATCAACAAGCATCTACACTTTTACAAGACTCTCGACGACTTTATAAACCTCTGATCAGCCAACATTTTCGCATATCATCCACAAGGGACTCAAGTCATTGACATTTTTTTTCATGGGGCATTCATTTATTACCGGCGTGTAACTGTCCGGGCCGTGAAAAGAGGTTCAGGGTCATCTTAGTACATAGCAACTTCATACCATTGTCATATATCGATCATTCTCTTTACACTTGTAGTAGCAAGTAAAATTTATATATAAGGCGTCCATTAGCTATAAAGTAACCATCATGTAAATGTACAATTTTGAATAAAAATTTCTGCTCATTCTTTATGCCCAGTGAGTCCGACCAGTGGTGTACCTATCCGCGGACGGCCTCCGCTTAAGGTTGACTTTGGTTGCTCAGGAAGCGGTCTTGATTTGGAGGCGTCAAAGTATGAGTTCCGAGGGGTATTCCAGCTTCGATCTGCCAAGCTGCTCGGGGTATCATGGCTCGATTTGAAAAAGCCGTTATTGTCGGTCTTGGTATGCTGGGTTCGGGGAGGCGGTTGTGGGGATGGACTACGACCTCGTGGCTATACAATAGATAAGTGAGTATTCTTGCCGTTTCACACCAGTCTATATAAGCTTACCCTTGAAGATGGAACATCAACGAATCCAGATGTACTGTTATTATCGTCGATTAGATCGTGGCCCAGCGAAGCCATCTGTTTCAGCTTGGCGATCTGACGTATCAGCGGTTCCATATCTCTGGTCAAATTCACCACAGTATCTTCACGCGATCGTTGCATTTCCTTCGATACTCTATCGTATTCCACATGGAGTTCATGAAGTTGTTTACGTTTCTCGTCCAGTTCTTGCTTCAGTTTCCCGGAATCGTACTTCAAGCCGTCTACATCGCTTTGCAATGTACTGCGCTCTTCCTGCAAACGTTCAATGTCCATTTCCAATGCTTGCTTTGCGCCTGACAGCTTGCTGTGAAGTTCAATTAAACGATCAGTACCGTCGGATCCCGCTTGGCCGTCTTTCAGGTTGCTGGGTGTATCGCGACTCTGCAGATGATCGACGGCCCGCAGAATCAAATCCTCAATCATCTTATACAGCACGCCCGTGTACTCTTCCAGATGTTCTCGCATGCCGGTCATGGACTTGTCGATATATTCACGCGCGTTCTCTTCGTAACGTTTCAACTTCTCCTCGGTATTGTCATGTTTGTTCTTGCCGGGTTCTTGCCAGTCGACATTAAGATGGCTGTTGAAAGCACTCTTCACCGCTCGACGCACCGTTTCTTCCATACCGGCATTGCTTCCCCCAAAGCGATCGAGGATCCGTAAACTTCGTTCCATAAAGGCGCGAGTAGATACCACCAACGTGCGAATGTCATCGAGATCAATGGCATCGGATTTACTGCGTTCAAGGTTGCGGAATTCCATGAGATCCTGGCCGTCGTCTTCATTTGCGATACCGCTGTCCCGATGGTTGCTTGGTTTCAGCCCCATGCGCGTTAACCGTTCCTCGGCAACCATGAGCCGCTCAACCGTGGTCTCCAATTGTTCTGAAAGAGCAGGCAGGTCAGGAATCGAACTTTCTTTAATTTGGCTGATAACATGTTGGAATAATTGCCCGAGCACCTTTAGACTGCGTTCGTACTCTTCGCGACCTTGCTGCTGATTTTGCTTGAAATCGTCCATATACACTCGAATACTTTCCGTAATATCTTGGGATTGGAGGCTATCCTCTTTAGCTTCGCGTAATTCATCCAGCTTCATCAACATCATGCTGACTTCGGACCGCAGATCTTCAAGAGAAGAGCTCAGTTCCTGCTGCTGGTGATGCATGCTAGTTTCCTTGTCCTCTGACGTGGAGCTTTGCATTACATCGATCTTTTCTTGAATATCCTTGACCATCGATGCCACCGATTCCATTCCTTGTTCGCTCGAGTTCTCTGTTTCGTCCTTTTCGGTATACATTGTCAAAAGTCGATTTTGAGAAAGTTGAAGCATCTCCACCATTTGCGTCAAGACATCAAACTTGCTTGATAACGATAATCGCTCCTTGCCAATGGACTTTTCGCTTCTTACGCTCTCCTGGTTGTCATCAACGGATCCTTCCGATGTACCCACTGAACCTTCGTCAGCGCTGGTATCACTACCACCTACGAGTTCTTCACGTAAATCATCAAAGTCTTGTTTGAGTTGTTCAAGGGCCTGCGCTTGTCGATTGTCTTTCATCGTGCCATGCTCGTTTTCAGCTTCGACAAACTTGATAATGTCAGCTTGCAAATCTGACCAGCCAGTGCGAGCCTCTTCGAGTGATTCACACAACTTGTTGACGCCTGCCTTGATATCAAGAACATGGCTTTGTAACAATGGCTGGTTTTCACCGGACGATTTGATGAGATCACGCAGCGATTGCAAATTGTACTTCATATCCGTTACGGCATCTGTAATAGAATTGCTGTCGTTTGAAGTAGACTTGTATCGTGAATAACCTGACGGACCATTATAGTAGCTCTCTGCTTTGGACCGGCTTTCTTTTCGATGAAAATCTGCATTCATATCCTCCAGTTCTTCTACCCTTGCCTTCCATTTCCGAATTTCCAGTTCCAGCGATGTAATTTGGTCTTGTTTATCCACCTTGATGTCCTCAAGTTCTTGCGCCTTGGATTGCCAAGCCGACATTTCGCGTTCTAGCAAGTCACAACGGGTATCCATTGTCTGACGCATATGGTCAAGCTCTGTTACCAAATCTTCTTCCCGCGCCAAGCACTCGTCATGGATGTGCGCTTCCTTTTTCGATATGGATTCTTCCAGGGCAATCAACTGGTCACGCAACGATTGGTTTTCTGTTCGAAGGTTCTCATTGGTTGACTGCAGATCTCGGTTGTGTTGCTCTGCACCGTACATCCTGGTTTGAAGCTCGGTATGGGTAGCGATCGATACCTTACCCATGATAGAAGTAAGGGCATCGATCCATTCTTTGCGTGATTGAAGATCATCGGTAGCAAGGATTATGTCTTCACGTTTGACGAGAATACGTAGCTCCCATTTCACTCCTGCCTTGTATTCTTGCGCTCGCGGTTCGACCTCTACGGCTTCACTCATGTCGTACGTGTGAATATGGCTGGAAAACTAGATACAATATTGTAAGCAAGGGTTGGTCCTTTAAGCTTGTATAACTGGGATGAACACACCTTGTCATCTTTATAAAGATAAAGTCCACTCGGTTTGATGGCATTGCCATGTTTGGCCACAGCGTACACAGGACGCCATTGCTAACACGGAACATTGTAAGTTAACGAATTCCATCCAGCAGCAGTTCCCCTTTGTGTCACTTACCATCAGACTATTCTTTTTATAGAGCCAGCCTTCTCTTGCCACCTAGGGTGCCATGAATCCCAAACATTAAAAAGTTAATCACCGGCATAGCGATCTTTATCATTAACATACCCTGAATTCTTGCGATCCGGACGTGGGTGCATAGCTGGCTGATGGGCTTGATGAAGTGGTCGAAATTCCAGAAAGGAAACTGCGGTCTGAACGGGCATTTGATACAATCGAGGCAACAGCCGATGCTGTATCAGAGATTACGCGGCGGCCATGAACGTCCTCATCTTCTACTGCGTCGTCTTCATTTCTGATATCCGAATGCTCTTCATCCCTTTCATCCCTTTCATCCCTGGAACCAGAACGACTAGGCTCATTTCCTTGAAGGACAATGACTCGCGACTTGACCGGAGAGGATGGAAGCATATCTGCACTGCGACGGTTGGCCGAGACTGACGGCTTTGGGGATACACTGCGCTGCTGTTGCTGTTGTTGTTGTTGCATTAACCATTGATGATGTTGCTGTAAGGCTGCTACCTTTCCTGGGATAGGGCGGCGAGAGAGTTTATGATTGCGGGCGGATTCATTGGAGAGTGAAGAAGAATTGGACGAGACCGATCCATGCAACGGGCTGGGAGATCGACGGTCTCCGGGAACTGGGGAAGTGGATCGGGAAGGCGAGTGTCGCCATATGCCAAGATTCTGCTGTCCACCATTACCTGCGGCACGAGCATTCTCCAGCTCCTTTCTATAGTTTCCGTACATTAAAAAGAAGAAGAAAATGTGGAGGAGAGAAATAGGTGAGCTGTGGGTGTGTAAAACGCGGCATAATTTTTATATCGCTGGTGTTCAATTATCGTTTTCATCGTGGATTACCATTTTTGGAAACGTGGAAACAACAGATGACATTCGCCATATTTGGTTATTGTTTTTGGTTGCCTGCGAGTCATGTCACTGTTTGAGTGCCACTGTGTCCAGAAGATCTAATAAAGGTCTTTTTAGCACAGAAATCGGACCGTATGAGCACATGCATCGATTGATGACTGACTCGCGGCCCACTCGAAGCGAAACATGGATTGACTTTATGGTTGGCAGATCGTCTGCAGTTCAACAGAATTGTATGATTAAAGCCGGTTGCTGTCGCCATGCAAATACCGCCGCTGATAGACAACAAACAATCCGGGCAACATGCTGATGTGAGCTTCACAGTACCTGCGCATATGAGCTTGGGGAGATCACGTTGATTCTGTTGTCAGTGAGAGAGATCATGATATGTTCTAGGCTCTGCAGTTCTACGACTTTTTTTTTCTTCATTCATTTTTCGTCTTTTTGGACAGCCATTTATTGCGTCAATAAAGATGGTCTGATAGGAAAATGATACAAATTCTTTTGATAAGTATGTGATTATTCAGGAAGATGCAGTGAACGAGTGATGCTGATGGGATTATTGTCATGCGGGAGAATCGTTTTTTACTGGTGATGAGATGCATTAAGTTGAGTATAAAAATGAGAGTGTGTGGCCGAGCGGTCAGTTGGATAAAAAGGAGTCAATCAGGGTTCCGGTTGCTGGGTACCGACGGCATGGAAAAAAAGCATAAATGTATACTGTAGCATTTCTTCCAAAGGACGTACATCGGCCCGTCCAAGTTGGTGACGACGGTGAGAGATGATTGTTCTCAGAAGCTCCAGCAAAACCGTTTGTCGAAACTGAACTTCCTGAAGCCACAAAAGAGACCCGTTGTTCTTATCGAGAGAAGTAAGTTGTTGCCTGTCCTGCGGAAGAAAATCGGAAGGTTCTGTGATGAAAAAGAAAACGATGTAATCCGAAGCCAAGGAATTCATATCTTGTGCGGTAATCAGATCACTTCGTAAAAGAGCGCATATGAATTTGATCAGGATTTTGAAATCGCGACGTTCAGGGTCTTTCAGACAAAGCAGACCCGTCTGAGCGTGGTGACGCCTTCGTAAAAGTTGAAATTCATGTTGAATATGGCGCATGAGGAGGCGATGGTACAAGGGCGCCGGGTCGGTGAATAGAGCCGTCAGGGTCATGTGAAGGGCTTGCAAAAGATCGACGATTAGCATGCCAGAAGTATCTTTGCCATCGCCTGGCGAAACGCTGAAATCCATGACTTCTTCTTCAACGTTCAAGACTACGTCTCGTTTATCGGTGAATATGTGATGGACGAGGATGGCTAATGCTTTATCGAGTATGAAGTCTAGACCGGGTTCTTCAGCGTCGTCCGATGGCGTGCGGCATGCGATGTGTTCGGCTAGATGATTGGCGACCGATTGAACGACGGAAGCGCTGATGTGCGTGTCGTGTACACCGTGACGTGAGGCAAATGCCACTGCAGCATGGACCAAGTTGGCTAATGGGTTGATGATAGCTGGGCGTAGAAGCTCGATATCATATTTCCGGCGGATAGTTTTGTACGCTAACAGTCGTGACCGTTTGGAACACGTGGCCAAATACCAAAGGTCTGAAAATGATAACAGATCAGTAATCTTACTGATGAGTTCCACGGGTAAGCACAAAAGGGTATCTTCTTGCTCCATGAAAAAGCTGGCAGCAGTGAAAGATAAAGTCTGTCTGGCTTTGAAATAAACTTATTTGGGGAAATTGCGCTTTTCCAGAATGGAAGGATGGAAAGATTTTGGCCCTGGATAAGGAAAACCGATGTGACAACTATGCATGGTCTAAAGCTTTTGATTAAAAATCAATCTATAGTTTGGGTGCCACTTTAGTTCAGAAGCAACGTATCAGAATGCTTGCAGGCGTACCAGCAGAAGTGTTATCTTTGTTTACCAAGATTTTGCAACTAATTTACAGCAGTATGATATCTGTAGCTGCATGAAAATGAAGGATTCAGAATATCATACACTCTTCAGCAGAAGAATCGGGACTGCATTTATGCCAAACTCTATGTTCTTCAATGGGATCACGAAATCACGATCAACAGCCCTTAGGAATCTGTCTGCCACATTTTGACAACATCATATTTAAAAGATGAGAAAATTGTTCTTTCCTCTTTATTACACGAAGATTTATATAATGGACACTCCCGGGACCAACTCAACCACCAATGATCAGCGCCCTAATAATTACGATAAAGCAAAGACAGTGTAAGTAATTAACACAATAAGTTCTAGGCAAGAGTCTCATATCTCACTTTAGGAAAATGCAAAGAATACACCTTAGCGCACTCCGAAAAAGGATAGCAAAAAAGCGACGCGTAATAGCAATGATGCAAAAAGAACTTCAGATAATGGAGAATCGGGAGTCCATGATGAGGGCCGGTCTCGAACGAAAATGACGAAAAGGGAGCAGTTTTACTTCTCTTGTAATTTTGTATTTTTCATGAGTTACATTATTGCTTGATAAAAAGAAAAAAAGCATGAATTGACTGTGCCACGATTCAGTATTCCCGGAAAATGCGAATTTTTGAATTGCATGAAAAATGATTTAAAAAATGTTGAACAGTTGCCTTCTGGTGAACTGCGCCACCAGCAAAAGACACACAAGCAATCAGGCGAGCTACGCACCTCTCACTTGCCTTCGTGTTCAAGGTACTGCAAAATAAAAGTTATAATAACCTTGGTCATTGCTTAAGCGTGTAACGCTGTAGAACGCGCTTTGGAGAACACCATTTCCTATGCTGAAATGGAGGATGATAAAGGCGAAAGTGTTGTCAACTTAGGTGACGTTATCAATGGAGTTGGAGACAAGGTTCTGCGTGTGAACCAACTTAGGAAAGGGCAAATTGGATACGAAGTACCAACCCCAGGTGTTCACGATCATCGCACCTTTGAAGCACGGCTCCTATATCCTCGCGAACGCTCAGGGAATGAGAGCTGTCAACGGAGCAGAAAATTCATTGAAAGGGAACCACAATTTGCGACCTCGTTGACGAACCAAATTCGCTTTACACTGGTGTCGCTCTCGGGGATGGGCCAATTCGTGCAGCTTCCCTGATGATCGCTTGTGATATACCAGCAGCAAGTAAAGTCACTGGTTCTACAGGTATGTAATTTAATGAGTACCATTTTTACAGAAGCTCATACAATCTACTATTTATCTGGCATTGACTCTTTTCATGCGTAGTACAAATGTAACCGTCGATCTGATGCTCTGCCGGGTAATCACTTGAAACGCTGTTACAGGATCCATCCTGGCCGACAGTGATCACCCTGCAAGCATTGGTCCATCGTGGGCGAATGGTTTTAATCCTACAGGCAACAAGTGCAAAAGGTTTTAGTTCGTCCCAATTCTTCAGTCGGTCAACGAACAAATGCAGTAGACTGCTTATTGTTTGGCGTAGGTTCCGATTGGCACTGTTAATACTTAGTATCTCATTCTCTTAATCAGTTAAAGAGCCTTATGAAAGTCGTGTGTGTGCGACCCATGGCTGTTATTCTCCTCCATGGAGAGTGCTCATATGTGCAAATCTGATAAATTAATTTTAGTAAACAAGTTTATTTATCTCGGACTAACTACCTCTTGTCTCGCTTCGCTTCGACTGACTGAGCCTCTACACTTCGCTTTGGGTTATTCCATCTATGCATTTGAGAGATATGTGCGGAAAGTTTGGAAAGATGAAGTTTCACGTGGGCCTGTGTGCACTGCGAGCGGGAATTAAAAAGAAGGAGCTGAATTGACTTATTTCTGCCATTTGAGTTATCGGTGTGGCACACCGCGATTCTTTTTCCACCTTGAGACATGACACTGGTAGAGGAACAGTATCCTTCGGCTAAGCTGTCCGCAAGCACCACTCCCGAGTTCACCGACTTGACTCGATGGCGATTGCGCGTCGAAGAAGGTGCTCAGACCTGGCATTATCTGGAAACAGACGAAGAATGCAAACAGTGGCCTCAAACCGTGTGGGATAAATACCATCTCGGCCTTCCTATTGTAAAAATCGAACGATCCACCACTTTGATCTACACTAAAATCTTATAAATGCTTTAATAGAATGCGCCAGTGTTGCCCGATGCAAAGACTCCTTTGGAAGCTGCACGGAACGGATTCGAGTTCTATCGGCAATTGCAGACCGAAGATGGTCACTGGGGCGGGGAATACGGTGGCCCAATGTGGGTACACATTCGACAATAGTGCGACGTACACTCTTTAACGTACTGTTATTTAGGTTTTTAATTCCGGGTTTGATCATCACTTATTACATCACGGGCACGCCGGTGCCAGATCCTATGCGTCGCGAAATTATTCGCTATCTGTTGAATCGAGCTCATCCCGAAGATGGCGGCTGGGGTATTCACATTGAAGGCATTTCTACAGTATTCGGCACGGCGCTCAACTATGTTGTCCTGCGTATCCTTGGCCTTGGCCCAGACCATCCAGCCATGGTCAAAGCACGAACCACGCTGCACAAATTAGGTGAGTTGTAGGAATTTGAATCAACCATTGTTCGTCGGTTTATTGATGCATAAATTATTAGGTGGTGCCACCGGTGCACCCTCTTGGGGCAAATTCTGGCTCGCGGCTCTTGGTGTATACGATTGGAAGGGCATGAACCCCGTTCCACCAGAGTTATGGTATGATCAACTGAGTTTATAACTTGTAATTCTTTTTGGCTAATGACATAATTACCCCACAGGGCACTCCCCAAGGTCCTTCCATTCTGCCCCGGTAACTGGTGGGTTCACACCCGCTTAGTCTACCTTCCAATGGGCTATGTCTACGCACGTCGCTTAAGCGCACCATTAACCACCTTTACCCAATCACTTCGAGAAGAATTATATGTTCAGCCATATGATCAGATCAACTGGAATCAACAACGTAACAATATTTGCGAAGCCGATCTATACATGCCTCACAGCAAAATTATGGACGTTCTTAATGGTATATTTCTTATCGCATCTAATGATCCCAGGAAAACACACTGAAAAAATCCAACATCTCTCTCTTTAGAAATGCTCACGTATTACGAAATGATTCCTGGAAAAATCAACAAATTACGCGATTACGCATTGAATCTTACGGTTGAACAAATCCGCATGGAAGATGAAAACACTTTCTTCTTGGACATTGGTCCCGTTAACAAGGTGATGAACTGGCTTGTTGTCTATGACCATTATGGCAAGGACTCCAGAGAGTTCAGGGAGCATGTGCGACGTAATTTGGACTTTATGTGGATGGGCCCTGAAGGCATGATGATGAACGGTACCAACGGAAGTCAGCTGTGGGATGCCACTTTCATCGCACAGGCTTGTGTGGAATCCCAACTGGCCACCGATGAACGCTATCGCGAGAATATGATCAAGACTCTGGAATTCATTGATCTGACTCAGGTAGGCATGACCGATTCCGTTTACAAAAAAAAAAAAAAATAGTACTTATCAAGGTCCATTTTTTTTTCTATCATAGATTCGTCGCAACGTGCCCGAACATGAAAAATGTTATCGACAAGTATCCAAGGGAGCTTGGCCGTTTAGTACACGCGACCAAGGCTATACGGTGTCGGATTGTACAGCTGAAGGATTGAAGGCCACCATTCTTTTGCAGCAAACGTCAGGCATTCCTCAACTGATTACGATGGATCGACTGCATGATGCGGTGGATGTGCTGCTGACCATGCAAAATGCAGATAATGGATTTGCGTCTTATGAACCGATCCGTGGTCCTCATTGGTTAGAACTCTTGAATCCAGCCGAAGTGTTTGGCAACATTATGACAGAATACAGTTATCCCGAATGCACCACCGCCGTGCTTATTGCATTATCGACTTTTCGAAAATTGGATCCCGACTATCGCAGAAGTGAAATCGATGCCACCGCAAGTCGCGCCTTGTCGTATATCAAAAAGGCTCAGCAAGAGGATGGGTCCTGGTACGGTTCCTGGGCTATTTGCTTCACTTATGCCGCTATGTTTGCGCTACAAAGTTTGGCAAGTGTTGGCGAATATTACGAAAATAGGTAAGAGGAAACAAAGAGAGGAGCGACAACAGCCGAGTTGTTTATCGATGTTGACCCTTTCATTTTTTTAGTGAATACGCACGTAAGGGATGTGATTTCCTTATTTCGAAACAACAAGCTGACGGCGGTTGGGGTGAAACATACAAGTCTTGCGAAACCAAAGTGTACTGCCATAATCCCAAGTCCCAGGTCGTCAATACAGCTTTCGCTGTAATGTCTCTTATGGATGCAAAATACCCACACAGGGAACCCATCCGTCGCGGTATCCAGCTGATCATGCAAAGGCAACAGAACACGGGTGAATGGTTACAAGAAAGCATAGAAGGTGTATTTAACAAAAATTGTAAGTACAACAAATAGAGTGCTTTGAGGGTGACCGTGTCAGCATCCTACTCACTTTCTCTTTTTTTCATCTTGCATAGGCATGATTTCGTATCCCAACTACAAATTTTCCTTTACTATTTGGGCTCTCGGAAAGTACGCCAAGATCTATGGAGACGAGGCTATTTTCCCTTGATGAGACCGTCTATTTAACCACGATATCCCCCAAACTGATGTTTCAATAAACTCCTTGTTCACCAAAAAAGGATGAGAATTTACCATAAATGGCTTGTTCCTGCCTTACAACAACGTAACTCCCGTTCTGCACTCTGGTTCCACACAAACTCCGATGCTGATAGCAACCAGCACAGTAATTTTTTGGATCCTCAAACGATTATTTTTTTTGGTCTCCTTTGACATTCCTTTTTTAATTTTTTCTCTGCATCTTTGTCTTTTCTTTCTTTTTTTTTTTTATTAATTCTTCCTTGCCAAGGCTTCTGTCAGTCGACGTGCACTGTTTTGGTGTGCTTTTCAACGCAACCTCCGCAATCTCATCCGCATACTCATACTCATACCCATAAAAAAATGACCACTGCAAATCGCAGTCGAACCGCCTCATCCGATTCCTATTATGATACCCCTTCACCGCATCGTGTACCCATCAACAGCATCGATTACCATATAAATAAACCGCTGATGGTGCCTGTTCCATCCCGTTATTCATTGGATCAGCAGGATATACCCATCAGTAGTAGCATCAACTCATTTCAATCTTACTATTCTGCCGCTGCAGACACCAGCAGCCAGAATCTACGGATACCATGGTCTAGTGACAAAAGTCATTCTACATGCACACCGAATGAAGAAGTAATAAGAACCCCGCTGTGTTACTATGGATCTTTGGAGGAGCTTTCCCGATCGCAGAGTTCTTACTTGGACACATTCAGTGAATATGAAGTGGTGCTGGATGACGGGACGAGACAAAAGCGATCAGTGTCACTCACCACCATACCTACGTTGCGATTCGACAACTTTTGCGGTTTTGTGACAAAAGGCGACAGACTAATGGAAGGGGAAGACGAAATATGGTCCGCTTCCAAGGTGGCACGACCAAAGGCACTATTACAAAACGAGGCACAGTGAGTTTCATTTTTTCGGATATAATGCTTTGTATAACTGAAAGTATACTTTCTTTCTTTTAATTCCACTTGTGGCTAAAAGCACGATTGGGGAAACCACAGCTCTCTTATCAGACAGACTCCAATCCGATTCCGATTCCGACCATGCCTCTACTCCCATCATCCACAGTAATCACTCCAAGCCTCCGCGTCGGAACCGCCAACGAAGACACGGAATTGTCAAAATCAAACAATGGTTCCAGAAATGGCAATTGTCCTACAAGCAAAAGATGGTCCTGAAATGCAGCACGGCCTTCATGCTTAGCTCCCTCTTCACATTCGCTCCCTTTCTGAATGATCTGATTGGTGGACCGAACATTTCGAGCCACGTTGTTGCCACTGTCACTCTTTTTTTCAATCCATCGAAATCCGTAGGCGACATGATCGAAGCCGTTGCCTTTGCTCTCAGCTTTACGGCGGCGGCTATGCTGTTTTCCACACTGAGCATGTTGCATGCGATCTATTTGCGAAGTCAAGAACGGTATTGGACTTCGTGCATCGTGACACTGGGGTTCTGGTTGGCTTCTAGCACATTCTTTGTTTCGTTCATCAAAGCACGTTACGCTAAACCGAGTATTGCGTCAGGTAACAGGATCCCTTTATGCATAAAAACGCGTCCTATTATACTAACGAAAAAAAAATATTTACAGCTTGCGGTATTGCTTTTATGATTATTTTTCCTGTGATTGTGCGCGAAGGACCGGCCGATCGGACCGATTTCGATCCATCCATCATTCAGGAAACTTTTAAAACCGTTATTCTAGGCACCACCATCTCTGCTGCTGTGTGTTTCTTTATGTGGCCCATGACGGCAACGAATAAATTAAGGTATAGTTATGCATCCGTCGTGTAACATTTTTTCACCGTTACATCGCATGACGCACGCGAATAACTCCTGGTGCTTCAGAATAGAGATCGATGAAACACTGACGTCAATCCGGGTGCTTCTTAAATTGTTGACTAAAACGTTTTTGTTGGATGCCGATCTACCGGATTTTACTGCAAACAAAAGTCTCGAAAATGCCATCAATGCCCACTGTAGCAGTTTCACGGCGCTTCAGACCTCGTTTCAAGATGCGAAGAAGGAGTTTTTCCACTTGGATATGTGGCGTCACAGCCATGAATACGAGACAATTATTGACAGCCTGCAACGATTGGCGCAACATGTTGGAGGTCTGCGAAGCAGTTGTGGTCTTCAGTTCGAGCTGTTGAATGATAACAAGCGGAAACATCGAACTATGCACAAAGTGACCAAGGTGTGGAGCGTGAAAGCAGATGACCAACGTCGCCGGTTGGAACAAGAACTACGCTGTGATCAAGCCGATTCTCCTACGCACGACGACAACCCGGCTTTCCATCCTTCTGATAACGCTAAATCACCGCTGAATCGGTCCTCCCGTGATTACTTTTCAAAAATGGATGATAGCGAAAAACATAGCGCCCTTGGCCAGTTTATACGCACAGTGAAACCTCCCATGAAATCACTGGCTTATACTTGCAAACAAACGATATTGCATCTTCAAGCCAGATTCTCAGGACGAACAACGCCGACAACACCTTCATTTAGCCTGTTGCGGCAAAACTTGGCGATGGCCATTGCCCTTTTCGAAGAATCGCAACACCATGCTCTTACCAGAATGTTTCGTCGAAAAATGTATCAAAATGCCAAAGGTTATTTACCGGGCGAACTCCATTCTCAACTCATGACACAGTTCCCGGCAGATGATGTGTATTTGGTGTACTTTTTTGTTTTTTGCTTGCTTGAATTCGCAAAGGAACTGATGGTGCTGGTTGAATCCGTACAATCCGTGTTTGAGCCGGCGATGAAATCAGACAAACGTGGCTTCTGGCTATGGTGCAATGCCATCTTTACCGGCGCAGGTTAGTCAAGCTAAATACTGCTACTTTCTACTATCCGGGCAATGAAGCTTACGTTCTTACACGTAGGTAATTATGGTATAAGCAAGGCTGATGCATCCAAACCGCTCAATGGCTATGTTCCCAACAACAACAATACGCTCAATACATTGCATACACCGGCTCCAACCACATCTTGGCGAAAGTTTGTATTGCAGTTGTGGAGTTTTTTCTCTTGGTTTCGACAGCATAATGTACGGTATGCGGCCAAATCTATGTTGACAGCCATCGCCGTATCCTCTATCGCGTTTATACCGGCAACTCAACCTTATTTTATCTCGCTTCGTATGGAATGGACGCTTATCACAGTAAGTCGACCTATGGAATTTGACTTTTGGTTTCTTTCTGTTTACTAACTCAGTACCGGTGAAAATTCATAGGTCATGGCAGGCATGGCACCTACCGTGGGCGGCACCAACGTAACAGCAGTTTTGCGTGTCTTTGCAACGATCGCTGGGGCGATTATGGGTTATATCGTATACAGTTTATTCCCAGCAAATCGATGGGTGCTTTTCACCTTTACATGGCTATTTACCATTCCCTGTTTCTGGATGATGCTTTATCATAAGCACGGTCGGTTCGGCATGTACGCGCTTTTGACTTACAGTTTGGTCGTGCTTCACAAATTCAACCATCGAGCCGATAATACAGTGGATATTTTTGAATTGGCATGGATGCGATGCGCTGCAGTCTCGGCTGGTGTTATTATTGGTAATTTTATAAGCGGCTGCAGCCTAGTGACTGAGACTGGTTTGAACTAAGTAACCTGCACCATAGGACTCATTGTAACGACTTATATCTGGCCGTATGAAGCGCGTAAAGAGCTACGAAAAGGTTTATCTGATTTGCTGCTCAAATTATCGTGGCTTTACAAGCAACTTGTGTCTGAATATTCGGAAACCGACAAGACCAACTACGAAATGCTGATCGAGCAAGTGTTCAACGTCCAATATGCCGGCAGCGACCCCACAAAGGAAGAGATCGGCGCTCTAATCGCTAGAAACAAGATTCGTACAGCGCAATTTCAAAAGGTGGAGTTGGATCTGCAAGTCAGTCTTGTGGAACTTCATGGACTTTTGGGTCATGCTATAAACGAGCCGCGCCTCAAGGGAAAGTTCCCACAAAAAACATACGAAGCAATGCTCCAGTCCTCTCAGAATATTCTCGACAAGTTTCTTTCCATGCGAGTGGTTATACTGAAGGATGTGTGGGCGTTCCAGGTCCGCCGCGATTTCGTGTTGCCTGCAAGCAAGGAGCTGATGGAAATGGCGGGAAATGTGTTGCTTTATTTCTATCTACTGGCTTCCGCCCTGCAACTCAAGACGCCGTTGCCGCCGTATATGCCACCGGCAGAGAAAGCACGTGAAATGCTGATGATGAAGCTACAAGAACTGTCACGAGCGAAAATGACGCCGACCGCTGCCAAAGACGAATGTTACATGGTTTATTACGCCTATGTAGCGATCATGGAAAGCATCATTCAGGAACTAGAAAAGGTAATAATTTTTAAAATGATAAAATGAAGTATGCATGGTAGTAATTAACTTGTTATTATTTTGCTTAGCTTGGGCAACACATGAAAGATCTCTTTGGAACTCTCGTACCCGCCGATCAGTGGGCGCGCTGTTTTGGGATGCTCGATTTAGAGCAGTGTAACGATCTCAAATAAAACAACCTGAATCTTTTCTGACATGTGCTTTTTGTTGGTGGCTGATTTTATTGGATGTGATTGGTCCTTGCTCCTTCCAAAGGACGGGTATTTTCTGTGGTGCTTAATTGCTTCGTTTGTGCATGTGGATGGATCTTGCTAGTATTGGTGTTGGATTGGTTCTTGCTTGACGCTGAAGCATATCATCGCGTGATTCGCGACAGAGATCATTTCTTCCTTGATGCCCGTAAAAAGGAGGTCTTGCCTAGATTCCGGGGAGCGCGACGAAGGAATCGTGGGTGGTGTGGACGAACTAGGTCCGCAGGAAGAATCGCTAACGTCGATCTCCAGGATGTGTATAGCTGCGGCGGCGGAGTTCAAGCGAACGGATCAATGATCGATGATTTTATTTGGCCTCAGCCAAAAAGATCGAGACACGACCTGAAGATTTCCGTTTCGACGGCAGGCCATCAAATAGTTCTTTTAAGGGATCCAAAAACCAAGCAAAGGATTCCTTTTGACTGGAACAATGCTGGATAATAGCCAATGCGTACGGGTACTGCCGTTCTGGCTTTAAATCCTTTGTTCTAATATAGCTTAGAAGTCGCTGGAGGGATGACTGGAAACGCAGACGGAGATCAGGTAAGCATGAGTACGTCGCTAATCTAATGGCCTTTTGATAATTTATCCGATCATTTGATTTATCCCGCCAAATACGCTTATATGAGGTTCGAATGATGGTGGGCGGGGCCGTTGATTGAGGATATCCTGGCTGTGGACCCTCTAAAGGTGTTTCCGTAAAGCAGATCCTGTGGAATAAACGTGGCTACAGATTTCACACTGGTGCATCCAGGGAAAACAGGAAAAAAAAGGTTATAGGTGAAAGCACAGATAATGATGAAACGTAACTCTTCGATCGTTTTTTTTTATATTCTGATCCTTGTGCCCATAATCTGATTGGTGGCCATTTAAGAGGGAGCAGTGTCATAAACTATGCGTCATATTACCAACGGTTCGCTTAATGTGTATCCCCCTTACACATACAGATTATATAACTCATAGATAGAAAACAAGGGTATTATTTTGCAGTAATAAGGGTGATGGGATCAGCGATGTCGTCAATGTGCACGAACCTGATTGGTTTCTTTTGTGCACGACTTGATCGGTTTATTTGTGATGATCTACCTTGATTCCCCGGGGAACTCTCGCGAGCTGCCATATGGTGATCGATAAGACAAAATGCTTTATTTTGGATCGTGTTTCGCATCACCTTTCTCAAGCCTGGCTTGGCACACGTATTACTAAACTCGCTGTAGGCCATACAATAGTCTCAGATTTGGGGTAGCATAAGTGCCTGGAAAGTCATGTCATTAGCTTCATTGCCTGGATCTTTTGCTGTAGCTAACAAGTCCACGGACAATCAGTCGCTTTGCTTTTTCACTTGTTCCCTGCGTACTGTATATGCAATAATATAATAATACAGCATGCATGAGTTAGGAATACCGTGAAGTAGATAAGTTACGCTATTCATATTTTCATTTATATGGTTTAGTAAAGATGCGGTATCCGATAAGATACGAGCGCGTTATACGATAGATGGTCGTAGGATCCGTATAATGCATGGAATGGAGATTGTATATAAGGCGAGTGATGAGTATCTGAAACTATATGGAAGGGAAGTGACAACGAAAAAATGGAAGTGTGATTAAATCGACGTTGATTAATAGATGTGTGAGATACAATCCGATTCAGTAGTGAATGTAGCCCGCAGGGAATTGTGTTAGGCACGGCACACAGTGATGGTTCTTTGAAAAAGTCAATACAGTACTCCTCTCTTTTAATCAACATTTTAATAAAGAAGGATGAAGAGATAATAAAACATGCTGTGTTATTGTACAGTGTTACAGCAAACTATACAAAAGCGCGGTCTTTCCTTATCCTAGTTGCTGGCGTCTTTTGGTGTCTCTGCAGGCATTATAATTACAGAGAAGCTTTGCTTCATGCCTTCTGTACATTGTTGCTTCAATGTCATTTGACATAATCCCAAGTTTCTAGTTTCAACACCGGTTTCTTCTTGTACATGCACCTGCACTGGCTACAATGTCATTTGACACAATCCCAAGTTTCTAGTTTCAACGCCGGTTTCTCTTGTACATGCGCCTGCACTTGTGTGAAAGACAGATCTTGCGTGTTTTTAACGAAGCGGTTACTAATCTCTAGTTTTCTGAGAGTTTCGGTCACCCTCTCTGGTCGTGTATTATAGTATATTAACGCGGCATCCTCATTACTCAAGGTGCACATAAAATCAAATAGGATCGTTTTCAGATCTTCGCTTTGAATTTTTCTCCCGCTACACATCTCTTCGTAGAGCAAATAAACTTGAAAGTTCAGAAAGATCTTCTTCTGTGAACATGACACGTACATCGGGTGAGTTTTACCGTATTTTCGAAAGGAATACAGAAGTTAATAATAACATGCAGTTCACTTATAGCCTCAGATCGCTGGCCCGCTTCAGACGCATAAACACGAGGAAGCTGATGGTGATAAGCACTAAGTTTGTGAGCGTTAGATAAATTATCTGATATAGAAGCATAACAAAGTGGTGGGTGTATGGAAAATATAACAATAACATGTGAACATGATTAAAAACGTTGGACATAGGTGATATAGAGATTGCATTTTAAGAACGGCATAGCAATTTGTTGCAATCTGTTAATGAGTATCTGACTTCTCCCAGCTCTGCAGATCTGTCACACGCTTGCGAAGGCAATCGGAAAGTTGACCAGCAGACAGATCTACGCCGACCAGAAGATGGAAAAGGACCTTTTCTATGCGATAGCCGGAGTAGCGACAGGCTGATCTCTATCAAGAGCGGCGTCCGCGACTTTTTTAGGCGCTGCGCCGACATGTTTCTCTAATTTGCGCGACTGAGTTGACTCCAATTTTGGCATAGCAACCCAATTACTCTACACACATTTATTGCGCCCCATTTTCTGACTTTATTGCAGATGAAGTGAAACCTTTAGAAATATTATTCTTTTAATGAGTTTTTTATATTAGGTTTTTTTCATTTTAAAATTGCCAACATCCTCTCTGAAACAGAAAAAGGATGCCTTGTAATAAAAATAATGAAACTGTACAATTATGACGAATCGAACCTGATGAGGGAAAAATCTAATAAAGAGTATCTAAGAATCTAGAGCTTGGAAGGGACTTCCGGTAATGGTCGACCGGCTTTCACCCACTCTTGGAGAACTTGACGGGGTTCGCCGAGGACTTCGGCTGCACGAATACGTTTATCATGACCCAGTTCACATTGTTCTCCGCTTTTGCCAACCACCACACGATCCGTGGTCACAGGGGCGTCTTTGGATGCCGGATGTTCCGGGGACTCGCCTTGCTTGATGTATGCGCGAACTCCGTCAATCGTGACGGGACCATCCGGGTTAAAGTATTTTTTTGCTCGAGTCATATAATCATTCACCGTATCATAGCATTTGATGCGACCACAGGTATTTTTGAATTGGGCCGCACATTTCGGACAGCACAGCAACAAGAGGTTGCATGAAGCATGAGCGCAATTCTGGTACCGATTGCACGGTTCACCGCAGATATGGCATCGCGTAAACACTTCGTCTGTAATGCGTTCTCCCATGCGAGCATCAAAAGTGAAATTCTTTCCACGGAATAGGGAATGAACCTGCTTCTCTTCCTCGATCCATCGACCGTAAGCGGTAATTCCTCCTTCAACAAGATGGACTTTTCGAAATCCCGAAGCTGATTGTAAAATGGCGCCTGCCTTGGAGCATCGAATACCGCCCGTACAATACATGAACACTTCCTGATCCCGCGGCAAATCCTTGGTAATTTCATTCATTGCCTTCATGCTTCCCTTGAATGTACTAACATCAGGACGAATGGCACCTTCGAAAAAACCAATTTCACTAAAAATGGTAACACCTGTCAACTATATCGATTCATGCAAAATCAATTCTTCCCAAACAAATTCATTTACCTCTCATAATGATTACGCATGTCAATGAGTACCGGATCCTTTCCATGCTTCTTTTTATAGTTTAGCAATTTTTCATGCCATTGCTTTGGCGATAAATGCGAAGGTTGACTTGTTAGATCATACGTGGCTGGATCGAGACCGTCAGCGACAAGCTAGCACAACTCCATGTCAATCAAGGGTCAGATATAAACGTTGTTATAAACTAATTCGTACCTGTTTGCGAATGCGAACGTGCAAGGCACGGAAGGCTCGAGGACCATGCTCGGTGGCAAAATTGAGATCCATGAGGCTACCGCCAAACATGGGCTTCAGGACATGTTCGCAGTAATCTCGAAGTTTAATAACGCTGGCTTCCGGGCAAGAAAGTTGTGCGTTGATGCCTTCGACTGAGATGTAGATGCGGCCCACAATTCCCATTTCCTCAAAAGCCGTGAGTAGTTGTTTTCGGAGCGGAAGTAAACTTGCTTCAGGCAAAGCGTGGATCTTGTAGAAAGCCATAGTCTTGTATGCGCCCTTATCGGAAGCGATGGGTTTAGGAGTGATGGCCGCCTTTCTGCCAGTGGCTGGTAATTCGTGGGCTGCAGAAGAACAGGAACGAGAGCCCAAAGGACCGGAAACGAGCCGATGCGTCCAATGGCCAGTTTTAGGACCCACGGCCACCGCAGATCGTAACTTGACCGGCTCCAGGGAACGAACAAAAACCCGCGCCGACTGCCACTGAGACAATGGCGACAAGCGATGAGAGATACGCTGCAGCATGTCGAAGAATGAGTGCAACCGATTACTCAGTTTCTGAGTGTGTTCAAGCTTTTTTCTTTTTTTCTTTTTTTTTAAGTGACTTTCAATGTCGCGGTATTATAAAAAAGAAGTCGCATGTTAAAAATTTGACAAGGTTGGAACCTGCAACCACCAGAACAATGGTCAAAAAAAAGGGCATACCTTGCCACGGATACAAAAGAGGGATAGCGTAATCTATGATAGACAATATGGCTTATACTGCGGAACTATAGTTATAACTGCTTAAAGACACATCACACATATTCTGTAAAGGATTGCCGCCATACAACAGCGAAGCCGGTTTGAGGCTGAAAACGCCTTGTCAACTTGACGCGACCAACAATAAATGTATTTTCGTATCATGCATAATATAATAGAAAGGCTCCAATTTGTGCCATTCATTGGTTAGAAATAAAGACAAGGCAAGAAGTTACCAAGTAAATGTATCTAAAACAGTTAAAAAATACCACTAGAGCAAAAGGAAAAAGAAGCATTATGTATTTTTTTTTTGAACATAGTGCCAAAATCCAGAAATAAGTGTAGATTTTCTTTGTGCCGGAACCTTCCTCTTCAGCATTGTTGTGTTGGACATAGTATATTTATTTTTACTATTTGCTTCACTATACGATCTCAGCCGTTCCTGGGTAAACAATATCCATTATTCTATTGTCACTTCATTTTCCATGCATACAGTTTCAGAAGATCCATCGCATGGTCTCCATGGAATTCTCAGTTCCTTTCTGTTGCCAATCATACCCAATCATACGATACCTATTCCATCATACATGATTCGTATATTCATAATATACAGTAACGCAATCATTCTTTATCCGATAACAATATTTATTGCATAATATAAAAAGTAACCACCATGAAATACGGATAAGCTTTCGCATATTTTTTTTATCTCTTTTTTTATTCTTTTGTATCTTAGACACTGCATCCTTCATTAGATTGACGCCGCAATATTTCTACACATCAACTAAAAATTCATCACGGAGTGGGCCTATGAAAATTAGACCAAACACCCGTTTTCTGTATGCATGACGCTTTTTTTTCCCTATTTTGTGATATTTTCAAGTCCCGCCAAGGCCAAAAAAAATCAAAAAAAAAAATCTCAAAAGATGACTGGACAGCATATGATAACCGCAACGAGATTCGAATCCGCTGACGCGGACATGGCACTCAGAAACGCTCACCGCTATGCTATCCTCCCACCTTTATTTATTTTTGCGATATAGATTTATAAAGGGCTAGGATTTCCATATATGGCAAATCCCATCTTCGCGCGTTACTTTGTCATACTTTTCTCTCTCTCCAACTGCAACAGAAGAGAAATAATTATTGATTCTGGTAAATAATGATACTTGAGTGTAAAACAGCGACACTGTTGCAAGTGTAAGCGACGGTGACATGAATAATTTACCCAAGATTTTTGAATTGAATTTATCTGTAGTACGTACATGGATATGAAGATTAAAAAGTATACAAAAATAAAAGAAAACAGCAATGTACGCCACTGCCGAGGAATGAAATGTGGTTGCGATTAATGTCGTGATCCCAGATCCCCAAAGAAGCTTAGCTCTCAATAGCCGTCGCTCTCAATTGAGTCGCAGAATTTAAAATTGGATTTTTAGGAAATACAGTGGATTATTTTCTCAATCGACTTAAAATTGCATCTAAAGAAAGTAGATATAGTGAAACCAGCATGAAGCGGCTGTCGGAAAGCAGGCTTTTGAAGCGTGCTTAATATTTTCAGCATGAATCCAGGACTGATCTGAGCGCTCTCTTTTTCTGCGCTGCTTATAATCGTGTGTCACTTTAATTTCTCCAGGTGGTGATACAATTGGTTTCAAGTCTCTATCGTGACATTGAAAATGTGAACTGCTTGCTCTTATTCGACAAGGTTTCAGTTACTATATTATAGCATTCAAGCAGTGTAGATAAATGATATAGGGAATTTGGTGCTGTTCATAAAAAAAATTCTGTCGAAAGACAATGAAATACACGTGAAGCGAAACATATTCAATCGTATCATTGTATGAATTCGGAGACGACAATCTGATATTAAAAAAAAACACGCATTGGTGTGTGGATCAGGAACGGCCATGGTCATTCTCCAAAAAAAAAAGTTTATCATCGTGTGTTCCCTTTTCCCGAGCGTAAGTAATAAGATCATGTAAATCTCACCAGTTGGAAGGCAAAGCTACCCAATATGTGACGTGCGAATTTTCCTTTTTTTTTTTTTTTGCTGTGTTTTCCTTTTATTTAAGCAGTCGAAATGCAACTAGCTCTCGATTTCGACAAGTTGAGACAGCAAAATGAAGATGTGCCTGTAATGAAATCACACAAGTTCAGAAATCCATAAACATATATAACTGTTTCGCTTTCAAAATAAATAATCATATAAATGAGAGCCTGCCGCAGAACTTGCAGCTTCTACTCAAGAGCGGCAAGCAAATGCAGGGTCATCTGATTAAAAGAAAACACTTCCTTTTTGTATTTGCCAGCAGTGGCTGGAAAATTATGGAAGTGTGCCGGGCAAAAAATTCCTTTATCATGAAAAACAAACAGGATTATGATATGATATTATTCAATTAGGAATATTCCAAGAAATCCTAACTGAAGCTTGTGCGTGGCAACTATCGGTTGAGCTCTGTTCTTCTTCCGTTGCTTTGGTAATAATATGTATACTGGACAGGACGTAACTAAAGTAAGGGGATCAAAAAGGGAGTACTTTTTTTCGTTGAGTTGAGTGTAACCGACGCCGGGCGGAGCTGGGTTTAAATGGATTTTGCAAGCGGGGGTTAAAACACAGGCCTCAGAGGGTTTTTTTTTCTTCATTTTTTTCTTCTTCTCTTTTCTTTACCAAAGAAGCACAGTTGTGGCGTGTCGCTGATGACTGATAACAAACTTTACCCTCCCATTTTATTGCCATAATTCCGGAGCAGTTATTGATGTGTCTTCTCTTATCTCTGTCATAGGTCCACTGGCTGCGGCAAACGACGAACGACGAACGGAGCGACCCAGGTACACACCAGGGAAGACGCTGTGGTATGACAAAGAAGGTCTTGTGGTTTGACAGGGAGGCTCTGGGCATCATTTAGTGGGCTGACTAGGAGATGGAATCTCCTCTTGAGGCCATGGGGTGCATCCTGCGGAGCGCGACCTGCCGAACCACAGGGAAGTCTCTCTGTGATGTCACGGAGGAGCCCTGGTGTGAACCACTCTAGGTAAGTGGTTGGCTAACTTTTTTGGGTCTTTAGCGTTGACACACATCCCGGTTGGATTAGGTAAGTGGTTGGCTAAAAGGCTTTTTTTTTGGGGGGGATGTCTTTAGGTTAGGTTGACGGCGACATCCCGGTTTTTCGATTGGTAAGTAATTTTTTTTTCTTTGCTTCTTTTTTTTTCCCATTCTCGTTCTGTCATCTCCTGTCATCAACGTCATTCGCCACCTGCTTGCTGCTTTGGTTCCCTGGTCTCCACACCGACAATCAATTCAAGTCTGTTTCACCCGCTGGCCGCATCGAAGTAATCAGTCATTGACCGCTTTTTGGATCATCCCTTTCATATGTATATTCCATTGCATCAATAAATAATGAGACTTTTTTTGCCCACTATTCAAGACACCTTCAAATTAGTAGCCTTTCAAGCCATTCATAATGTAAACTTGTTTTTTGCGGACACTCATCATGGCTCTTACAGATCACATGCATTTTTGATCTCATTGCTTGGTGCAATATTGCATTTTTGATTTCATTGCTTGGTGCAATATTACATTTTTTCAATGAGGTTTTGATGAGGCTTTGGTTGACTGGATGACACTGTAACGTGATGTAGACACTAGACGATGACGATTCAATGATTCCCAAGGTAGAATATTTTCTGTATGGTTCCTTTGGTTGACCCTGTTGTATTGACATACATCTTTATTATTGAAAGAGTATTCATACAGACCTCTTAGCGACTCCTGTGAGTATCCACGAGCCAGGTCATTGCATAATCAATCTTTAAATCATACAAATCATTTCTATCGGCGGCACCCTTTTTGAAATATTGTGTTATATTCTGTTTTGTCTTCTATTCTCCAAGACTGCATTCGTGTGTACCCTTTTTGATCTACTTTCCGGAGATACAAGTGAGTATGAGGCAAGTGGTCCCTCTACATTTTCAAAGTCATGGGAGGCATCAAGTGTCTTGCCTGTTAATCTTTGAGGAAAGGGTAAATTTCCATAGCCTTAAACTTATAGAAGGAGTTGAGATTTTCGAGGGTTAAATATAAAGGACCGCTGATACTTTGTACTTTTTAAAACAAAAAATGTCGGTTAATGACATTGGGACCCTTTTACTCTCTGATATCGCTTTCACAGATGTTCCCAATAGCGCAACACGTGGTTTGAATATGCACGAAACATATCGCAATTAATCAGCTCTCGATGGCTCTGCATGTCTCTATCATTCATTATACCTTTGCATATAGCAACAGCACGAACTCTTAAATATCAAATATAGATGGCAACTATGAAATCAACTGGCCGAAGTAGAGATTCTATTTAGACGCATATAAATGAAAACTAGCACATGCTTCTAATGCGAGCAATGCATCCAGTTTTTCCTTTCACGAAAAACAAAAAAGCTTCACTCCAAACAACATTAGGTTCCTTGTTCAATCCGATGTAGTTAATGGAGCATTTGTAGATGAGGCCGACATGCCCAGCCATTGATTATATAGAAAATGTAAGCTAAAAGAAGGAATGCATCTCAACGTCATTTCGATAATACATAATCAGACGAAAAAAAAGGGTGTTATAGTAACTAAGCAAATGTTTTGGTATGTATTGATTAAATAGGATTTCGTTTTTTTTTCTTCTTCTATAGATCACTACAGCTAAAGGGGAATTGAAAAAATACATGAACTACAGTTTAAATAGTTTTTAGTGTACAGATGTATGTAATGAGTATAAAAAAGTGTGTTGAGACAGGGTAGAGAAAAATGCTAATCAGAAAGAATATATAAAAGAATGAGAGTGTATTTAGTTGGCGTTCAAGGATTGTTGATGCACCAGTTCGCTGTAAGTGCCATTCAGTTTCAGAAGTTCCCAGTGAGTGCCCTGTTCAATGACTCGGCCGTTCTTCACAACGCAAATCAAATCGGCATTCTATACAAGAACAAGAAGAGTTAGTGTCCATGTTGCAAAAATCACTCCAAGCAATTCAACAAATACTGTACCTGAATAGTGGATAAGCGATGAGCAATGGTAATGGTCGTACGGCCACCTTCCTCAAGAATGTTATCAATGGCGGCTTGCACCAGCTTTTCGGATTCACTGTCCAGAGCGGAAGTAGCTTCGTCCAAAAGAAGGATCTTAGGCTTGCGGATCAACGCACGAGCAATGGCAATACGTTGCTTCTGACCACCAGACAACTGACTTCCTTTATCACCAACACGGGTATCGTAACCTTGGGGTAGACCGATAATGAAATTGTGGATATTGGCCGCTTTACAAGCGGCTTCGACATCGTCTTGGGTAATGGTCTTGTGTTCGTCAACACCAAATCGAATATTGTCACCAATCGACATATCGAACAAAACGGGTTCTTGACCGACCAAAGCCATGTGGCTGCGCAAATTGTTCACACTGAAAGCCTTGACATTGTGATCGTCCAAACGGACCGTACCATCGAGAGGATCATACCAGCGTTGGAGCATACCAATAGTGGTGGATTTACCGCAACCCGAGGGACCGACGAGAGCAATAGTAGTACCGGCCTTACCATGCAAGTTAAATTCACCACTGAAGATAGGCACATCGGGGCGCGAAGGGTAGCGGAAAGTAATATCCTTAAAGTCGACTTCACCCTTGACCTTTTCAGTTTCAATGCCTTCCAGATCGGGATCGATGCTGGGAACACGTTCAAGTACAGCAAAGGCAGCGAGAGAAGAAAATTTAGCTTTGGCAAAGGTTTGGGTAAACACACTGGCACGTCCGACACTCTGGGCGGTAATCATAATCGTCATCATGGTGGTGAACATCTGAAGGAAATCGATCTTTCCATCGCTCATTAAACGGATACCAGCATAGAAAGCAACAGCATTGGTGTACACAGTAATACCCTGGTGGAGACCGTAACCGAGGGAAGCAGTGATGGCCTTGCGGCGAGCGAGTTTGTGAGGATGATCGGTGGCCTTGTAGTATTTTCCTTCAAAGAAAGGTTGCTTGTTGAGAGCACACACCGTACGGATTTCTTTGATGGCTTCACCGGCGACTTCACCACTTTGCTCGTTGGCTTTCTTGGTCACATCTTCGAAACCACGATGAATCTTGGATTCATAACCGGTGGCAAACATGATGAAAGGAGCCATACACAAGATGATCAAAGTCAAAGTCCAACTGTGAACAAAAGCAATGACAAGACCTAACCAAAAAAAAAAAAAAAAAAAAAAAAAAAAATGGAAGGGGGGGGGAATCAGTATCTTCAAAGCTCCGAATAAACAGCTGTAGTAATGATTATTATTACTTACCAACAATGCCAGTAACAATGATTTGGGTGATATCACCCCATGTCTTGGTCACCATTTCGTTGACGTTCTTGGCATCGATAGCGAGCTTGGAGGTCAATGCACCGAGACTGTGTTCTTCTTCATCGAAATAACCGATTTCCTGTCTCATGTAAGCACGGAAAATGGCGCCTCGAAGACGTTTAGTGTAACGTTCACCGGCGGTTTCGAAACTGATGACTTGGGTAGCAAAACCGAAGAGGGCAGCAATAGCGACGACGACGAACAAGAAGGCATACAAATTGGCACCCTGCATAGGACCAGGAGCAATGGCAGAACGTCGACTAGGATCGGCGCTCATGATAAGGATGTTGATGACTTGAGCGAGAATCAAAGCGAAACAAGGGAAGACAGCACCAGCGATGGCCGCACCAGCCACACCAAGAGCAAGTAAAGGCCATTCCGGACGCATTTGACGGAGAACTTTGCCGATAGGCGCCTTTTGTTTCTTGGCCAACTTCTTTTCTTCCTTTTCCTTTTTAAGTTTCAACTGGAAAGCATCGACAGAAGAACGGCTTGTAACCTTGGCAAGATCCAATGATGGCGCTTTTTCGGCAATAACCTGGATATTTTCCACGGCTTCCACTTCTTCTTTAAGCTGAACGGTTTCCTTGAGCAAGAGTTCTTCGTCATCAATTTCTTCTTCCTGGTGACCGACTTGTTTGGTAGCAATTTCTTGTTTTCGGACCAAATCGGCGTACACACCATTCAATGCAAGAAGTTCGTTGTGGGTACCCTGTTCAATAAGATCGCCTTGCTGCATAACGACAATCAAATCGGCGTTGCGAATAGTGGACAGACGATGAGCAATGACAATAGTAGTACGGTTGGCCGCAGCAGCATCCAAAGCCTTTTGCACCAAGCGTTCCGACTGGGTATCCAAAGCAGAGGTGGCCTAGACAACATGACACAAAAAAAAAACACCAGTTAGTTACGGAATTATTTCATCAAGCATGTAGGACAGAAAAATTCTTACCTCATCCAACAAAAGAATGGAAGGATTCTTGAGAATGGCACGGGCAATAGCAATACGTTGTTTTTGACCACCGGACATCATACCACCGTGTTCACCGACCAAGGTATCGTATCCATTAGGCAATTGAGAAATAAACATGTGACAGTTGGCCTTTTTACAGGCGTCGACAATTTCTTCAGGAGTCACCTCGCGCTGAACACCCATGAGCAAGTTTTGACGAATCGTCATATTAAAGAGAACCGGTTCTTGACTGACGACACCAATCTGGTCACGGAGCCACTTGACATTCAACGACTTGAGATCGCGGCCATCCAAAAGCACTTGACCAGCCAAAGGATCGTAGAAACGCTGGACCAACTGAACACTTGTGGATTTGCCAGAACCTGAAGGACCCACAAAAGCGACGGTCATACCGGGACGAATCTTGAGGGTGAGATCCTTCAAGATGGTAATGTCGGGACGTGTGGGATACTTGAACTGAACATTGCGGAATTCAATTTCACCTTCAAGCTTCTCAGGGATGATGCCTTCGGTGGAATCGGGATCAATGTCAGGAACACGGTCAATGGTCTCAAAGATCTTGTAAGCGGCACCGGCGGCACTGGAAACGGCGGACAAATTGGGAGGCAACTGCAACAGAGCGATGGCGCCCATGATCATGGCAAAGAACACCACCATGACGGTGGGACCTTCAATTTCACCTTGCATGGTAAGTTTAGCACCATACCAGAAAGCCAAACCATAGGTACAGAAGAGGACAAACATGAAACCACCAAAACCGAAGCCAAGAATGGCACCACGCTTGATACCTGTAGCCGCGGCCTTTTCCAAACTTTGATCGTAGCGACGGGCAAAACGCTCTTGCAGCGAGAATGAGTATACAGTGCGAATACCGGCAAACACTTGTTCGGCCACGGCACCGGCTTCAGCATACGAAGTCTGCGTCTTCAAGGTATATTTGGTAATGAAATAACCCATGGCACCACCGGTACCAGCGAGGATAGGCATGGTGGCCAACATGATCACGGCCAATTGCCAGCCCTTGACAAAAGCAACGACGAAACCAGAAATGAATTGAGCAATGGCGGTGATAAAGAGACCAAACTTTTCTGAAATGCCGTCTTGAATCAGTTGAGTATCGGTGGCAAGACGCGTGGTCAGGGATCCTTCTTCGGCTTTATCGAACCAACCCATATCTTGACGAAGAATGGCATGGACGTACATGGTGCGGATGCGGCGGGTTTGGTTTTCACCGGTCAGCACCCAGAAACAGTTGGCACAGTAGGCGGCGACGAGGACGGCTGTACCCATATAGACGAAAATCAGAATCAAATTCATGGAAACATCAAGCATAGCACTAGGGTTGGTCATGGCGGTGCTGGAAATGCTGCCCAGCAAATCACCAAAAATGACAATCGTAACAGGCTGGATGGCACCAATACCGGCGGAACAGATGATGGCGACGAAAATCATGAACAAATCCCGCGGGGTGGCGAAACGGAAAAGTCGATAGAGAGGAACGGCTTTTTTCTTCTCTTTCTTCTTCTTTCCATCCTTCTTCTTCTTGTCCTTGTCGTCGGTGATATCGTTATCGTCGTTGCTATGTTTTTCGTCCGTCGTGAGTTGTTTCGTAGCGAAGGTTTCGGTAAGGTGACTTTGGGAATGTTTCTCATCAATATCAGATGACGGTCTGTCGGGATTTTTGGACGTGCGTTTCTGGTCTTCTTGGATCGTATGACTCGTCGATGAAGACCGCGACAAGACGTCTTGATCCGTTGCGGCCATTATTTATAGTACAAAAGGGAAGGGCACAACGAATAAAGAGGGGAAGATAAAGAATTCTCGCTGGTAAGAATTAAGTTCACAGAAAATATAAGGAAGAAGAGAATGTCAGGGAAAAAAAAAAAAAAAAAAGGAAAAAGAATGCTTGTACTCCTGAAAATCTGTGAATTTGAAAGAAGTAGTCTGGCAAGGAAGGAAGGTGGGGCACGCAGGTATTTATATTCAGATCAGAAATTGCAAAGATTTTACGTGTATCCAAAAAGAAAAATTGCAGAATATGGTAACCGCAGCAACCGGGACTTGGATGGCCGGTAACCGAGCCAAGCAAATCACTGAAAACTGTAAAAGCGCGCAAGTAATTTTTTTTTTCTTTTCTTATTGGAAATAATCATCCTTTTACGGATTCGGCACCTTTTCCTCACTTTCGCGGTCCCGAGTATACTATACAAGCGATGTGATTGGCTCCACCCCTGATTTTTTTTTTGTTTTCTATCTCTTTTCCGCCACAGCGTTCCAATTGATTCATATTTCCACGTGACCTTCCGATTCCGCTGAGAGAAAAAAGAATGGGCGGGGCGGGGCATGCGCCGAATTTTCTTCAGAGATCAAATCCAATATTTTGTGCACCTCATTACGACGTGAATGCACTATTCAACAGTTTCAGGTCGTTCTGTGCCGTTTCTTTTTCCAGAATAAGCAGTTTAATCCGTTGTCTAGGGAGAAAGAGTCATATTAGGGAAAATCCTCCGTGTATCCTTTGTAAGGAAAAGGCTTCCATGTAAAAAAGCAAAAATGTGCATACCTATCCTTATCTTGTATATGCTTCGGCACCGATGCCGTGTATTCAGATTTAGTAATTCGCGCCGTCAATTTTTCCATCTCCTTGGAGATCTTGGTTAACTTCTTCTCCAGAAGCTTCTTTTTCGTCTCGACCAATTGAGTCACATCGGCACCTTTTGCGGCCGCACATTCCAGCTGAGCGCGTACGACCGCTTGTGTGGGGACGAGGATTTTGAGATGATCGTCAATAGCTTTTACGGTATACCCTTCGAGCGATGAGTCAACCTGACCCGTGAACGCAGTTTCACCGTAAATAAGAGGATACAGCAAAAAAAACACACAATATGGTTTGACTTACCTTGGCATCCAAAATGCGTAGTTCTGACGCTTTGACAAGGTTTTTGATTTCTTCAGCGTACAATGCGAGCGGCCCATCGGACGTAACCAATCCCGGGTTATCGCAATAGATAATAAAAGGTAATTCTTTACTAACACTGATTTGATGGCCTTGGCGCAACGACCGTGATGCATGAATGATGGCAAGCACAATCTATTTCCATTTTTGTTTACAGGCATTTCAAATGGGTTTCGCTTTTGTTCTTTTTTTCTCTTTTTCTTTCTTAGTCATCCTTTTTAAGTAATCGAGTCTTACCTTGAAATGGGATTCGACTTGTTCACTGTGCAAGTGTGCATACTGATCCGCGGCCGGGTACGCTTCCAACATGATGGAAGGGGGTTGGGATTTGACGTGTGTACAAGGTAAAATAGACTTCATATGTTGCCATAATTCCTGTACAACCATATTATTCGACATTTTTACCATTCACAAACATTGTTATAAAGACCGAACTGTTGATGTTACCTCTGTGATAAACGGCATCAAAGGATGAGCTAATCTTAGCGATGTATCCATGCACGCGTGCAGAATATGTAACGTTGTTTCCTAATGCAGAGGACCGTTGGTTTATCCGGAGATGAAACGCACGCTGATTGGAGGCAAATCAATTTACCTTCTCGGCAGCCGCAAGATCAGCTTTATTCAGTGCGGTTTTTGAAAACTCCACGTACACATCGCACACATCCTCCACAACGAATCGGCGTAACGCATCAGCTGCTTCAAACGGACGATAGTTCTCAAACCCGTTCTGGCATCGCGCTACTGCATCGGCCATGCGTGATAAGATGTACCGATTGGCGAGAGAAATATGCGCCGGATTCACTCCTTCCAGTGGATTGCTGGCCACTGCAAAGCCCTCCTTTTCCAATCTTCCAAGACCAAATTTGAATAAATTCCACAACTTATTGCAGAAGTAGCTGGTTTGCACCACGTTATTCATTTCCATGTTAATTTGTCGAGTCTGTGAGACCAGCATGAGCTCTTTCTGTAGCCTCTTGGCATGATCACTTCCTTCGTCAGTTTACTTGCCTGTTGCGTGTATGCTACCAGAGCAAACCGTAATGAATCAGTACCACAGGCTGGTATACCATTCGGATATTCTTTTTCCATATTCTTGATGCTCCTAAAGTACAATGATAATATACAACACGATGAATCGCTGCGATGCAGGAACTTATCACGTTTGGTCGACTTACGTGGCAATTTCCTTTTTGGGCAGATTACTGTGTAATAAATTGTCTTTCATCACGTCCAAGCTGACTCCGTCGATCACATGCAGGGGATCCACCACGTTGCCCAGTGATTTGGACATCTTGCGTCCTTGTGAATCTCGTACCTGCAGAAAAAAAAATGTTGAGAACCCCCCTTGAATACAAAACAACAAACATGCTTTTTTTTTACCATTGCATGCAGATACACATTTTCAAACGGCGCCTTGCCAGTAAAGTGATGCGCAAGCATGGCCATGCGTGCCACCCAGAAAAACAGAATATCAAACCCGGTTTCCATCAATTGCAAAGGATATCGCGGCTGAATTAGGCAAATAATTAGCATTAAAGTAAACTCACCAAAAGCCCAAAAGAAAATTCTTGGCGTAGATGTGCCACTTACCGGGATGGGATCATTGGGATGACCTTTCCATCCCAACGCGGATAACGGTAGCAGACCGGAAGAGAACCATGTATCAAGAACATCCTCATCCTGCAAATGCATGAAAATGATTGCATCAATTGCATATTCTTTTTTTTGCCTTATTTGCAGGCAAACGTAAAGAAAGAAAGGTTTACCTTTTGCAGCTGATACGATGTATTTCTGCCAAATCCTTCTTTTTCCAAAAGCTTCTGCGCTTTCTCCGCGGCAATGACGGAATCAGGGGCCACCACCCAATAGTCTAAATATACATTATAATGGAGATCTTCATTTTTTTTTCATAGTGAGGCATATCTAATTATTATTACCTTTATCTTGTCGTTGAGGATGGTCCATAATAATTTGATAGGCGGGAATCTCATGACCCCACCATAACTGGCGAGAAATGCACCAGTCTTGGATATTATCTAAAATCCCAAATATGAATGATTATCATCTTGGGATGCCGGATCCTTTTCGCTTGTCTTACCTAGCCAACGGTTCCATTCCTGCACATGGTAACTTGGATGGATTTGCATAGCCCCGTTCTCCACCTTTTCCTTTGAAGCGGCAGCCAACTCTTGGCAGCGAATGTACCTATGTTCATTGCCAAATCAGTCTGGTGACAAATCAAAAGACCGTTTTCTCTAGTCCTACCACTGCGGTTGAAGTAAAGGTTCAATGATGTCGCCGGAACGAGAGCAAACAGCGACGCGCATGGCATGTTTATCATTTCTTCCTTCATAACAACCCAACTCTTGAAGCTTCTTAATTACGATCTCACGAACATCAAATCGGTCTTGCCCCTAGACATGAACATCAGTCAACTCATTGCATCCGGCAGTTTATCACTGTTATACTTACCACAAGTTCAGGGAGACCACAATGTTCATTCAGTTTCCCCAGCTTGTCAAACATGCTGACCATGGGTAAATTGTGCCGACGCGCACATGCGTAATCGTTTGGGTCATGCGCTGGCGTCACCTAAGTAAAGAATGAATGATGTTCACTCTTTTAAGTCAAAATTTCCCTTTTTGTCCACTCCATTTTTTTATTTTATTTACCTTAACGACGCCAGTACCAAATTCCATCTCGACAAGCTGATCATCGCACACAATAGGTAACTGCGTGCCCAAGATAGGATGACGCACAAATTTACCATGAAGACCCTGGTGATAAAGTGTGAGTTTAAATTTTCCTTGTTTGTAAACCACATATAAAGAAGACAATCGGGTACCTTGTATCTGGGATCGTTTGAATGGATGGCTACGGCACAATCACCCAGCATGGTTTCAATACGTGTTGTCGACACCGTTAGATGTTGCAACCCATTGGGATCGGGGTCCACAATGGGATACGAAAAATTATGCAAGACACCAAATTCAACCCTGGATTGAATGTATCAATATTCATCCTCTTGTCTTGGCTTACTCCTTTCCTTACCCTTTGGATCGTCCCGGTAATTGCAGCAACGTACGACCTTGAATCTCTTTGTAATCGACCTGCTCTCCCCATCATCCATCGTTATTTTGATGCGTCATCCATGTCTCTACAACAAGGAACGAACCTCAATATCTGAAATAACAGTCTCCAAAGCACAACACCAATTGACAAGTCGGGTTTCGCGATAAATGAGTCCGTCCTCGAACAAGCGAATAAATGCGTTTTGGACAGCTTCAGATCGAGGCTGATCCATCGTAAAGAAGACTTGGTCCCAGTCGACGGAAGCTCCCATACGTCTCATTTGTAAAAGAATGCGATCGCCGTACTTTTGTCGCCATTCCCATATTTCCTTCACGAAAGCTTCTCGCCCGAGGTCATGCCGTGTGACATTACGTTCCCGCATGAGCATTTTCTCAACCACCGATTGTGTACCAATGCCGGCATGGTCGGTGCCTGGAATCCAGGCGACATCGTAGCCGCACATGCGTCGCCAGCGTACCATACAATCCTCTATGCTGACTGTGAGAGCATGGCCAATGTGAAGGGATCCAGTGACATTGGGTGGTGGCGTGAGCATGGTGTAAGAACCTCGCTTTTGATCAGGGTAATAATCGGCACTAGAAGCTTTGAAAAAACCTTGGCTCTCCCACCATTGGTACCATCCCTTTTCCACGGTTTTCGCATCGTACGTGTCTGAAAATTGTTTACGTGGTTTCTCTACGGCTATGCGATCCGTTCGCGATGATCGGGAAACAAGGCTGTATGAAAGTGGCTGTGTTCGTGTTCCGTGACGGCAGAGTAATGCGCATGACTGACGTGTATACAATGATAAAGCGCTTCTTCTTTTAAGCATAGCCCCTGAGGCGGCACCGTACACCATTGCCGATCAGACGGGGAACGCTTCAATACAATAGTTCCACTTGGTTTTCGGACGTTTTCAAATTTCATTCCCCCCGGTTCGCCACAGGCGGGGACTCCCCAGTCATCTTTTTTTTTTCAATTTCAGAGAATCCTTCTACTGTTGTAACTGAAGTTGCATAGAGTTTTAATGCAAAACTTTGCGGGCGTTAATGTAGCTCGCAGCACAATTTATTGACTTCATGACCACTGAGTTCAATTCATCTATTAAGCAGGCACAATCTCAAAGGGGTATGGCTTGGTCAAAGAAGGAAACTCCTGTAATAGTTACAGTACCCACAAGGAAAGCGAACACAACATTGAATTTAGGTACACTGTCTGTAACTAGTTGAATTAACGCCATTTTGAGAGAAAAAGAGGAATTTTGCGTATGCAACTGATTGTTACCGTCGACATAGGAACAGTAATAGGGTATTATATAAAGCTTTTTAAAGACCACTGTTGATAAAATGGATAAGTACGGTTTCAGAAATGAAAGGACATTATCTCGTCATGGATAACGCCTCTATTCATAGCTCAACTGACATTGGAAGTTTATTCTACTCTTGAGGATATCGGTATGTCTATGTACCTTCGTGTTCTTCTGAACTGAATGCAGTTGCGCAGTTCTGGCCAGCTGTGAAATGTAAAAGTGAAGTGAAATAAAATTTTTTGGAAAAAGAGACACTTTATGTCCAGAATTAATGAAGCGCGTGTGACATTTATATCTGAGTGACTTTAGAGGTTTCGTTTCCCATTCTGCAAAGCGCTTCAGTAAATGTCTCAACAAGGAGAAACTGTGAAAAAACAGAAACAACGAAAAAAACTGGTGAAAGATCTTCAGCCAAATTGGCTGGCAAGTGGTGAAAGAAACAAAAACAGCAAGAAAAACTGGTGAAAATAACCTGTCTTTCACCACTTCCCAGCCACTTTGCTGAAGATCTTTCACCAGTTATTTTCGTTGATTTTGTTTCTTTCACCACTTGCCAGCCAATTTGGCCGAGAATTTTCACCAGTTTTTTTCATTGACTTTGTTTCTTTCATCACTTGCCAGTCAATTTGGCTGAGGATCTTTCACCAGTTTTTTCCGTTGATTCTGTTTCTTTCACCACTTGCCAGCCAATTTGGCTGAGGATCTTTCATCTCATCTTTTCTTTTTTTTTTCTTTTATCTTCTCATTTTTTCGGTGTAAGAGAACGAGTGATTTACAGCTTCTCCTTGTGGAGAAATAAAAAGCGTCCTTTTCGGACAAGTCTTTAACTTCCCGGTCGAGGTTTGGGCCAATTTCCAGGGCCACACACGAGCTAAAATTCGGTGCCTGGTGGCTTATCCTACAAAACAACCCGTCCTTCCACTTCAATTATTGCTCATCCCACTTTGGTTTCTGCAAAATCGTGTGGAACCATGAGACTCCAGCGAGTGAATGGATAGAGGCCCAGCACACAAGGAAAAACTTAATGGATAGGGAAAAAATGATGCAATTTTTATTAACAGCAGGTAAAGTAGGTTCTACTTTTCACGGCTTCTATGGTTTCCATCACGATGGTGACTTGCTTGAGACGGTCCTCTTCGTCTTCGGAATGGGCGGAACTGGCATCCGAATCGTTATCGGTATCGCCGTCGCTTTGGGAGCCTAGACGCCAGTCTCTCACGGATTTACTGCGACGACCTAGATCGAGTGATAGACGATGACGCACCCGTTCTTTCCAACGGGGACGTCGAGGCAGTCTTTCGTTGGTCTTGAGGGCCGTATTATACGATGTGGATCGTGGCGGACCCGGTGGTTTGGTTGGCGAAGTGTCGCTCTGTGGATCGGCCGATTTGGCGGTTAATGATTCTGTAATATCCTCATCTCCATTATCCTCGGTTTCCTCGGTTTGCTTGCTAGGATCTCTTTCATTCAGTATCCGTTCGTCATATTCAATCAGAATCTCTTCCTGGTTCACTACGACACGTTCCGCTGCTACGAGATCCAAAGGAGTGGATGTGGGGTCTTTCAATGTTCGAACGATGTTGTAGCCTTGGCCTTTGAGCACCGACATTTGCCGGCTAAACATTTTCTCATCAAAGTCGGAATCGACCATGAACAGTTCGCGAAGCTCCTGGATCGTTTCTCTCCACCAAATAGGATCCGACAGGATAGTCAAGAATTGATGTCGAGTCGCTTCCGAGAAGGGTCGAGCAATGAGTGCTTCAGGCAGAGCGAGCCAGCCATACGGATAAGATCGCCATTGGTCGGGATGTTTAAAGGGAAAAGCCAGTCCATTGTCAATGGCGGCAACGTGAATATGTGCTCGACGTGTTTTGGAAGGTTTGCCATTGAGGCTTGGTGTGCTGTGATTATTGACCCAGTAAGGGAGGGTGCCTCGCTCTCCTTCACAGTACTTGATCATCCAATTATCCAATCCTCGATCTACATGGGAATTTTTTTAAGTTAAATGAACACGGACAAATGGTGCAGCAACGAGGTGTGCTTACCTGTATTGCGGATCAAGTAATCGAGAATGACAAGCTGCTCGAACTCCCGTTTGAACTGGTCTTGAAGTCTGGAAGTCCATCGAAATTTGGGAGGGGAATCCATGGACGCCGATCGGCGCTTGTTCCGCGCCGCCGTGTCTCTCACCATGGGTGGTTTATGCTGGGAACCTTCCATGATGAGTTCTTCTTCGTCCTCATCAACGTCCGTGGCTGGATCGGTATCATCGTTTCGGCCAAGACACCCGCTCCAGACAGAGTTGGCTCGGCCTAGATTGAGCGAAGAGTGAGCCGATTCCGGTAAGAAGGGATGTTCGCGCAGAAATACGGTGGCATCCTTGTATTTATCGAGAAAACATTGGAAGCTGCCAATTTTAGGTGGCAACCCTAAATGGGATGACCGACGATCCATGTAATCATAGTGGAACGACGGTGAGGCCAGATGCACTACGTCGGTATGTGGTACAATCATCGTGCCGAGCCGCCGGTCAATCAGTGACGCTGCGGATTCGGAAAGGTATCCAAGATTGGGAATAAGGCAACTGCGGCCAAAAAAACAGGGAAAAAGATTACGATGAATCCACTTGGTCCACTTGGGATTCAAGCGGCCATACGGTTCTTCATTCTTGGGCTTAAATACACCCACAATTTTGCCTTCCCTGTTGCGACAAAAGTAAGACCCACTGGATCCTTGACTGATGCGCGTGGGCTGGATATCGTCATCAATCGCGGAACGCACCGATTGCACGATCTCTGCAAACCGTTGCTTGCTGACAGGGATCGGGTCATCGTAAGCCTATTTGCCGGTGGACCGTGAGTCGCATGACAACGTTGAGTCATCCAGTCACGGACATCCCCCCCCATCATTTTCTCTTAATCTCCTGTAACAAAAACTTACCCGTGTGGACTCGGTCATATCTTTGAGGGTCATGGCCGAAGGATCTCTTCTCTCTTCAGGCACCCATTTGACAAATACCGAACAGGTTACTTTATCGGAAGGATGGAATTCATCGTCCGCCACCAATAAAGACGGAATAGGGGAGTACACGTTTTTCTGCCTTGTGGTATGTTTATCGGCTTTGCGTCGTCCACGGTACCGTCGCCGATGCACAATCGTCCAACCACGACTGTCGATTTCCTTTAGCAGAGGATCGGCTTGGGTCGGCATATGACCGTTCTGAATGTCGGCGAGAATGACACTGGGCAAAGAGTCGAAACTGGCAGTGGGACCCAGCGATTTTCGAAAGACGACGTTGGGCAACTTGCTCTTCAAGAAGCGCTTAGTGGCATCGGGTATATTAGGCCTCTTTGAGCTGAATGATGAACGTGGCACGATGGGAGGAGGTTCAGAGGTTGATTCGGATGACGGCAGATTGGGAAAAGGTTGTGGCAGGGTTGGCAAGACATGATGCCCGGCAACCAGAATAGAGTTGGGGTGGTGTGAAATAGCTTCTACGAGTTGATCATAATCTTCATCGTCGATATCGTCTTGCTGCAAACGGCTGTAGGCACCTTGCCCTGACGAAGTGGAAGGATGGTGGGACCGACTAAACATGCGTTCAGGAAAAGGACAAATAAAATTCTGAATTCAAATGCATGATAACTGGGGATTGGCGCGGAACGAGCTTCATTTGGACAAAAAAAAAAAAAAACAGGGAAACCAGTCAGCGGTTGGTCCGAAAGCCCTCGGCCAATCAAAGGCCTTGTTTGTCCTCCCCTTCAAGTATCTGTAAAAACCCATCAAGCGTCATTGATATAAACAATGCTGCTGGATGATTAACGATAAACAAAAGAAGAATAATAAATAATATAAAAACGTAGGACATAAAAATTCTGCAAGTGATTAAATGATATAAAATATTACTGTACTAACATGACATAAATCGGTTTGAACCGGTGTGAAAAAAATAAAAAAGAAATAAAAATACAAATGGTTATCAGAATGAAATCGCTAATAAATAAGTCAGGAAGATGGATGAGAAGGTGAACTGTCATTTTGCGGTTGTGTGAGTGTAATGGATGGTGCCGTCGTCATGCTATTCGGTGCATCGGACAACGATAATGATCCATTGGTGGTCGTCATAATGGCTGCACGAGGATAGGAAGGTGGTGGAGGAAGAAGTGTGACCACGGGATGACTGTGATTTTTGGGATTATTGACGATTTCAAAGTAGTGATTATCGGGCAAACGCACCGCCGAGGTCATTTCGTTCATACGGCGTTGACGGGCTTCCGCAAGTTGTTCTTCCAGTCCTTCAATCTCTTCCGACCGTCGACGGTTGATCTGAATACTGATCCCTGCACCGACAATATACAGCGCCAACGGTACCCACAACAGATAGGCAACCGGAGGCAAATCCACAAACACCGAAACCGCTCCCACGAAAACCAGTAAAACAATCCAAAACGCCATATGGAATCCCGTAAACTGCACAAGGCAACATTCCTTGAGTACGTCAGTGGTGCGAATTCGTTCCGTATCGCCCGGAAGAGGCCACAGTAATCGTTGCATTAGCCCGTGCGTCTCCCGATTATACAACACTTCCAACCTTCGCATCGCTTCCAGATCTTGCTCTCGTAGTCGCTCAGCCTCGGCATTGGCGCATTGCTTGTAACTAGGTGGTCGCGAGAGTGTCGTCGGCGCTCGGAATGCTGAAACAAACGAAGCCGCAAACGACCGAGATCGGAAACGAGGTCGCCTTGACGGCGCACGACTGCTGACGGGCGAAAGGGTCAGAGAAGGTGGAGCTTGAAGAGACGTGGCTCTGGAACCGGCGGGGGCAAGGGCATTGGGTGATTCGACGGTCGCATTGGATATACTGTTCCGCGCGTTGATGCTGCTGATTTCGTCTGTATAGGAAGAACTGACAGATGGCTGCCGACCGACCGACGATACCGAATAGGGAAGAGGTTGCTGGTTGGATCGCGGTGACAGCATGGTAGATGTTTCAACGGCTGCATCGGGCGCGATATAAGCATTGGGCATGTTAGTTATTGTGGGCCGGGATACTACGTCTTCTTCGTCGTGTCGACCGCGATGTAGGTGGGAAAGCATATTCCACAGCATTGGACGCGATCTTTGTGAAAAGAAGGTCGCTCGGCTAGCGGTAGGTCCAATCTCTGATAAACCGTCAGGGTACTGTATAGATGAGGATAGCGATGGAACGGTTTCTATGGCGCTTGCTGCCGACATTTCTCGACGATGTCCAGGTGAATTGGATTCCCGGCGATCTGCTTCGCCTTCGATATCAATGTTAGCCATTGAATCCGTCATGCGCACCGCAAAAAAAGAGGAACAAATGGAAACAATTGAATGATGGAGGAAGAAAAAATGTTGAAGATCTATTACTTCATATTAAATTCCCTCTTTTTTGTATAAGTAGCGAAAAAACTCAGAAAAAAAAAAGTAGGGTTAAGCAAATGTTTAGCCGTGCCATGGCAACTGGGCTTTCAACTCCTACCGTTCGCTCCCGTTGACGAATGTAACTGTTGTTCATCATCCGACGAGGCCTTTCAAAAGTAGCTTCTTCATGTAGTCGTACACATTTGCTTTTGTATATATGGCGACCCTGTTTTATTTTATTAATATCAGTGCCATTATATCCGCGGGGTGGCGGGGGGCTCCTTTTGAGGAAAGCATGACGACTTAATCAAATCAATCACTGCCAATCTGAATGTTCTGCAATTGAAAGAGATGAGGTATAGTTTAAGAATTCATAGTCCGACCGTCTCACACATGCCCAATTCCTTACAGCTTTATATTCTTCCCCATGATAATTTAACCAATCTCACCCCTGTTCCGATCACAGTAACCGTTGTGAAATATAAGAAAGTATGGGCGGTAAACGTCGGAATCTTCCGTAACGTGATTTTCCAACCCGGGGTAACGCAAAAAAAAGGCACGCCTGTTTCATGGACGCTATGTTCAGAAAATGTCATTTTTCACACTCATTTTTATTTGGAGGAGTAAAATGAGTATATTGATCGTGCGTATATGATTTGTAGCATTCTTTTGTGGTTCTGCACCTTCGTGAGCCTTCCCTCATTTCACGTCTAAAGGAAGTGCCGAAACAATAGTTCCGAAAGCTTGGACGATCGAATGTCTTATAGAAAAGTGTCTGTGGAATCTTTTCGTGTTCCTATTGTCATCGGAAGACATTTAAAAAACACAGACGCGACAATCTTCTGAATTATCCGCACGTGCTCGCAAAATAAAATAGCCAAGCACCATAAAACTTCTCGCTGATGCTAAAGATAGGAATTTAAAGCCACAAGGATGGGCCCATGCATCTCTGTATGGTTTTATGCGAACAACCCATTTTTCCCATCCAACAAGTAATCAAAACTGTGGATCGACAGTCCATTTTTCTATTTGTACACTTGAACTTCAGTCTAAAGGTTTATATTTTTGCGCAATATGGCGTAATTTGCGCCGAATACTCTCTTTCTGATGACGATAGGCGACCATGGTCTGCATGATCTCGCTGGGCGGTATGACAAATTCAGGGATCTCTTGTTCAAATTCGGCATAAATATTATCGAGTGTGGATCCGTCTTCTGTGCCGATCACCATGGTATAGATGCGCCGGATTTGGTAATGGGTTGCATACGTCAAATGAAGATGCACATCCATCCGTCCTGTGGTTCATAATTTTAGCTATTACTTTTTTTATGACTCTATTCTGCGCTGGTTTTTTTTTTTTTTTTTTTACCTGGTCGAACAATCGCTGGATCAAGAATGTCATGATGATTGGTGGTCATGATAAAAATGATGCCGTCTTCCAATGTGTGGCCATCGAGTATGGATAAGAATGTGCTGAGATTGAATCGATGCTCGGGAGGAAGGTCTGTGCTTCCGTTTGAATGCTTTGTATATGTCATGCTCCGCTTATGCACGGTCTACTCTTTTGTCTATTAGGATACTGGTATTTTTTAGGATTTGAACATGATGTTACCGTTGTCATGGTGTCGATATCCTCAAAAGCAACGATTGCGTTGGCGGGTACATTGATGAATGCCTGCACCAATTCAGCATCGGTGTCAATGTAATTCAGATTGATAAAGTATAAATGCCGCTTTAACGCCGAGCTGTGTTACCAAATCAACAGTATTAGCAATGGTTAAAGGGTTTCATCTATGGCAGCATGTGGCATAATGACGCTTACGCAATAGCAAAGATGAGGCTTGTTTTTCCGGTGCCCGGATTGCCATGCAACAAGTAACCACGGCGATAAGGAAACCCTGTCCTCTGGTAGAAGGATTGATTGTTCATGAACGATTGGAGATCGTCCCGTATCAGCGATTCCGTTTCAGGACTCAATGCTACGGTGTCTAATCCTTGGGTTTCGTAAAGCGTGCAAGTGCGTGTCCATTTACCGGGACTCGTGTAATCGTATCGTGACCGAGTCAGCTTTCTCAGAGACTCGGTATGATGGATGTAATCTTTTGCCACGGCCGTTAAAAATGTGGCAATCGTGGAAACGGTGATATTATAATCATCGTTGGGCACGGTGGTAACGCGAATGGAAGGATCATGATTTTCCGGTTGCATTTTGGGCGCTGTATCATCCCGGGGAAGCATGGAGGCTTGCCCGTTTTGTTCAAAAGAAATGCGAAAGTGCACCTTGTCATGTTCAATGATGTGCTCTGTGCCAATCCTTTCAGTAATCATATGGTCGCTTCATGCTTACAAGCCAGTGACGATTACCTTGATCCGGCTGAGGTTGCATATTAAATGCCGGTGGTTCCAATGCATCGTGATCGACTTGGAGATCAGGTTTGAGGGTATAACGACCTCTAGATTTTGTTTGGGCCTGCTCAGATATCAGAAACGACAAGGCTTGATGAAAGATGTTGGAGGCTAGGACGATCATGTTATCACGGTGATGAGCTCGAGTTAATCCGAGAAATAAAAATGCTCGTCGATCGTTCATGAGGCGTTGCATGGGCGACTTACTGGAGCGATAGTCGTCCTGAGTAGTAGGCTCAATGACGACTGTAATCTCGCCATCGTTCAACGGTCGGTCGGTCCGCTTATCGCCTTTGAGTGTACGAGTGAAAAAATGGAACAAAAGCTTGGCAGCCACCAAGACCAAGGTCACGGAAGCGGTGACTACAAACGTATCGACAGCGTATATCCCAGTTTTGTGGACCAATCGATCGATCCTAGTAGGAAGATAAGCGTAAAGAACGGATTCCAGCTGCGGGAAAGAAAACTGGCTCAATATTGGCGCTAAAATGGCATTGATATCATTATTTAACGGTGGTGGGGGTGGGGGTGCACTGGCCATGCCAACTTGCAGGCAAATGAGTTGACCTAGAATTCCCTTTCCTGGGCTGAACCCACAAAAGAAAAATAGATGGACATCGGAGTTTTCATGGATTCACTTTCGAAACCAAGGCAATAGATCACCGTCCATTGGCCAACATCATATTATTACATCGTCTTAAGTCCCCTGGGGTTCTGTTGGTCTGCATGAATTACATTGTCCTGTGAAATATCGTTACACAATTTTGGGCAGCTATCACTGGGGGCAATAAACCAGTGTGATTAATATTGAAGCTGGCATTCTGGTCGTAAAAGCTTTGGTCAGAGAATCATTAGCACTAATCAGCATAGAGGAGCATGAGCACAGAAAACAGATTGGAACGCCTCTCTCAAAATTTTATTAACCGCCGTTGGCATGGGTAAATTTCAAGATATTGCGTCTATGGCTTTTTTCAGGCAAGTAAATTTAAGACATGTGATGAAACCGATGGCCACTATGCACAGGCAATAATAGTACATGAGTCTGTAAGGTCTTTTAGATGAATTAGAAGAGGGTGTAGAAATTAATTACAGTCGGGATGCGACGATTGTGTTCTCAGATGACATGACAATGGGGTTATCCGATTCATCGAAGAACATATTAATAGAGGCTACCAATGAATCCACTTGTTCCAGTGTGTTATGACCATGGAGGCAAATCCGCACGCGCTCCTGCCCCTTTGGCACCGTAGGCGAACATATAGGTTTCACAATGAACCCTTTACGGTTGAGATAACCTGCCAACGCACGAACTGCCTCATTACCTAGGTAAGATGACATCGTGAGTCAAATAAATACCGCAAGGTAACTCTTAACGACAAGATGGGGAGACATTTACCATTGAGGACGACCCCTTGTATAGGACTGGATGAGGCCAACAGTGTGCCCACAGGCAATCGAATGGTATCTCTGAATCGCTGTATTATAATTTTCAAATGGTCTTGAATCTGTAAGCCTCACTCATTGTTAGATGAAAATCGTCGACACGGAAGTATTTTTTTGGCTTACAGGTTCGGTTTGCCCGCTACCCAAGATGGAGTAGGCACATTTAATAAGCGCCAGGCTGCTATACGGCATAAAAGTGGAGTAAATCAGAGGACGGGCGTAATTGATGAGATATTCACGCAAGGTTTTGGAGCCAAGGATGACCGCTAAGTATCCGGTATAAGAACCCACATGTTCATGCCCGGTAATTATCTCGGTGACCCCTACCTCCATTGCTGGCCAGCGCCTTGCTAAATGTGTGAAGGCGAGCGAACACATCCTTTTCCAAACCCAGTTGATTGACTACCCCGCGACCATGTTTTCCATACACACCGGTACCATGGGCCTAGAAAAAAGATGGATTAGGGATCGGCATGAAAAATGGAACATTCTTGGAAAAAAAGTTCACCTCATCGACCACCAGATACCCGTTGTCGCGATGGGGCCAATAGTACTTCAATAGATCCACGATATCTTGCAACGGAGCCACATCGCCATCCATCGAGTAAACTGTTTCCACGGCAATAAATACATTCTTGTCTCTCATCGGAACGACCTTTTCCAAGATTCGCTTCAGATCATCAATGTCGGAGTGCTTGAAAGGAAGACGATGACTGGCGCGCGACATTCTCATTCCTTCATGGACACTGGCGTGTACCAATTCGTCATAGATGATGATATCGCCCTTTTGAGGTAATGTGCTGAACAAGCCGGAATTCGCATCGAAGCCCGAATTGAAAATCAAGGCGGCTTCGGCTTTGTGGAACTGGGCGATCTTGTGTTCCAGGTCTTCGACGTACTTGGAATTACCGTCCAACAACCGCGATCCGGTCGATCCAAGGATATATTTCATGGAGTGTAATTCTTGCAGGAACTCGTCCCGCAACAACTGACTATAAGCCAGGCCGAGAAAGTCATTGGAGGAAAAGTCAATGGTGCCTTCTGGATTCACCACCAGACGACGAATCTTTGCAATTTTACGTCGCTTCGCCAGGGTGGCTTCCAACTGCATATCAAGTGGCGTCATCAAATGGGGGTAAAATAAAATAAGGAAGAAAAGTGCAAAAAGCGAGTGTGATACTGTATCTGTCAACGCTTAGTCAACCCCATTGAAGAAGGAAAAAAAAAAATAGGATCGACCCCAAGAAAGAACCTGGCTTTCTCTTTTAAACGCCGCTGCAAGAATAACGCCATTCACTTTGTTCTCTTTGTTTCATATACAAGCAACATAATGTGAAAATTCAATCTCTTGGAGAAAAGAGGACTTTTTGGAAGCTTGAAGATTAATGCAACAAGGAATCATCACTTATTTTGGCTCTGTTTGCACAGATGAGTACGCGTGGGCAAAAACAATGGACTCCAGAGGCCAACGGTTGGGGTTGCAACGCCTGGATGGGCCCGACCCTGCGCGGGATAAAACGAAGGAACTGATAACTGTTCCAGAAAAGGATTAGATAACCAACTATTGGCTAATGAACGGATATCGTATTATTACTCAGAGTATTCGTTTTGCTTCGTTGCTTTTGCCAACGGGAGTGGGCGTTCGTTATTATTTTATTGGGATATGAAGGAAAGACTTCCCCCCTGTCCGTTGACGCCATATGTTTGCATTTCCAACAATTACGATTACTTTCCACTCCTATCGAGTCGTCGGTTGGTGGCCGCTGTGGCCATTTACCTTTCTTTGGGCTTGCCATGGGTTGACATTCCAGTTGAATACTTTTTTGCTTCCTGGGACGGGTGCAGGAAATTTTGTAGTTGCCTTATCTCCTCCAGAATGAACTGCGAGTTTGACACCAGTTGGCCATTGTCCTTAATACAATCTGATACTGAACTGACGCTGTGGAGGGTCAAGTATCAACAACAATGCCAGGTATGATGCCAGCGACTTCTTTTCATCGGCGGCGGTTGATACTCGTAATGAGTTTGATTGTCCATCAAGCGCACCAGGAGATACTGTTATGTTTTCTGCGTAATATTCCTGGAAATATTCTATGTTCTCGGTAATTTTCTTGGTAATCTTTAGCTGCTTGAGTTTATCAGCGTCATGTTACCCTTGTTTTTATACCTTTCCTGCCAAAAGCTGGAATTTCATGATTTAGAACTTTATGGAGAATATGCCAAAAGAGTTATTCTCAGGAAATGATAATGGTATAAAAGAACGTAGGTCATGGAAAGAGACTTCAGGATCTGTTTTTGCAACCTGCACTTCATGTGATCCAAAGTACTGATCTCGACCAAGCAGTTGAATTTCTCAAACTTTTGACGATTAGTCCAATCAATACCGCCAAGTTAGAGATGTATCACAATGACTGTGAAATAAACGGTAGACATTCTGATAAGGTGGGAGTTACGGTCATTAGTCAGAGCGGGAAGCGATTATCTCCTTTTGGGCTCGGAGAATGCGGCACATTTTCAGATAGTGCGCAGGCATGCTACAAGTAATTCAAGTTGGTTCCGGGTTGTTATCCGAAGCGGATGATCAAATCTTGGCTTGGCATCATTCTACAGATTCAGGAAAAGGACCGGAAAAAAATCATCTTTTTCATAATTATAGAATTTTGTTTATAGTGTTTCCTTTGATGTAATTGAGTAAAAAGAGGGGTCTTTTTCGTTTGTATTATTTTTCTTTTCCAAACAAATACGGTCATCCTAGGATTTTGGGGGGTGCGGCGGATGTGCTCAACGAATTACGATAGGTTTTGATTACATTGTATACCACCTGCACATCATTCAATGAACTCACTCCATCTTACTCGGCTCATCAGGAGAAAATCAGCTTGGCGTGATCGAGCCAAGGAAGCGTAAACCCCCTGTCTTCCTTTTTCCGACAATTTTACCAATGGACCGTTTCCGTAGCGTGTCACCGTAGTAATGTTTCATATTCTCTCTCCACCATCATCAACCTTTTCACTCGTACTGCCGTTGCAAAAATACACACGGTGGTTCACCTTGTTGCATTTCTCGTGCTTCATCACGTCACCTTGTACTAATTCTAAAGAAGGGTATGAACGTTGAATGACATGGGAAAAGGGTGCTTCTTTTTTCGGCTTAAATTGCAATTGGTGTCGAACGGCCGGCTAATAGCAAGGTAGCTGGATTCACAAAGACAAGATCTTGTGATGAAGATGTTTTTTTTTCTTGATTTCCCCCGTAAGAAAAATAAAGGACTTTTTGTTTTCATTTTTGTCTATCACTCAATTTACCACATACAACAAACAAACACAGGGATCAAGAAAATAGTTTCATGATGCAAAAGAGAAAATTTATCCTTTTTTATCCGATTCGAAAAAAAGCATATTTATAAAAAGCCCCAACGGATCATCGATCTTCTGTTCTCCCCATCATTTTCGTACATCTCTCTTTTTTTTTTAAAAAAAAAAGAAAGAAAGAAAGCAAAATGGCATTAACCTCTACTTCTGCAACGATCGACGCCGTGGAACTCAACAATGTGCTCCACAAGGACCCATCTTTATCGCCGTCCTTTCGATTCAAAGGCAGTCCCGAGCCGTTACTGTTGTATATCGTGAGCAATGTCGATTCCATGATTGAATGCTCCAGCATAAGACAATATTACCAACATCACTTGCTACCACCGCTCCCTGTTTTCATCCATCATCTATACCGATACTGTCACCTGACACCTAGTGTTTTGGTCGTGGCCCTGATTTACCTCAAACGCCTAAAGACAAAGTTGCCCTGCCAAAGCCAAGGAGGTAAAAAAAAAAAAAAAAAGTATCACTTGAAAATTCTTTCTTCTTTTTGATCCTCACATACATGCGTAGAGTATGACACGCCATACAAGCTTTTTCTCGCGGCCGTCTTACTTGCGCTCAAATATATCGAAGATTCGAAGAAACATATTTCATTACTGTATCATGTCGTGTCACCGCTCTATACCAGAAATGATCTAAATGAGATGGAGCGCAGTTTCCTCGGTAAGTCGCATTAGGTCCCGATCTATCATTGGCTCTACTAATTCTCATGAACCCTTTATTTCTTAATTCAATTCAAAGCCATATTAAAGGTAAATTAACAGGATGCGAATGCGCTGGAGTTCTGTTTCATGGTTCTTGGCGCGTCTCCGTAAAAGTAACAGATGAGAGCAATCATATAATCAAACTGACTCCTTTTTTCTTCCTTCCATTATTGGTACTTTATTAGTTTGATCTGTATGTCGACTTGGCGGAAATGTGTCGTTTCGTCAACGAGCATCAAGAATCTTTGGGACTCCATCTCGGTCTCACGTAGTATGATCGCTGTAGATGATGACGCCGGTTTCAGCATTTCCGAATTACCTAGCTAATATTTTGTTTTCTGGCTTGCTTGTTCTTTCGTTTCATTCAGTTCTCTTTTTACTGCCTGAACTTTGTTTTCCTGCATTGTTACAATATTTGTATTTATACTTGTTTCTCTTTAAGCCGGGTAGCCTTGCCGTTACTCGATCTGATTACTTTCTCCTTTTTTTCCCTCTTGCATCGTCCCATTTCAATACACTGCATCACGCTAGACCCTTTTTTGCCCTTTCAAACCGATTAAAAACACTGCAACAGCTCTTTGTCTTTTCTCATCTTGTGACCTTTCCGGTAGTATTACCTTTTGTATTTATTTTCTCCTTTTCCAGCTTGAATCAAATTGCACCCATCGTAACACACAGTGGAGATGATAGGCTGTACTACTTTATTCTCAAAAGATACTATACGTACACTACAATAGTTTAAAGATTCACATTAAAAGCACAGTTGAGGTAAGATGACCATGTATGAGGCTAAAGAAATACGATAGCTCCTGTCTCCCAGATCCGTAGCTTGGTTGTTTGGCCTACCAGCCTGAGATTGGCACCCATACATCAACGACGGTGTCACCGCCATTCTCGGTCACAAGGTAGAACCGATGACATGCGGTGGCAAGACAACAATGGTTAGGAATAACGCGGATCAACTGGCCACAGGTAAACAACGGATGCTGCAATGCCGCAGTATCCAAATCGGTAATAACGCCATGTTCTTGGGAAATCTTGGTCAACGTCCATTGCTTTCCACTTGTTTTATCAAGGATCGCCCCAAATCCTCCTTGAGGAGCAGTATCCTTGGAGAAGGCCAAAGCGCCTCCATCGATCAAAACACTTCCCCTGTCGGGATACACACTGACCACTCGACAGGCCACAGAGACCGCCACATCGTCGAACGAACAAAGTTCCGTCGCCACTTGTTGTCGGTCCAATAACGTGTAAGCACCGGCATGCACCTCGCTGATTCCGTCCAAAATATGTTTCACATTGTCCTTGTTGTTGTGTTGATGCTGCATGAAAATCGCCTGCACGGTCGGAGTAGCACCAATCGAAAGGTAGTCGATGTTCACGCCATGTTTACGGAACAGATCACGGAATGCACGTGCCATGTCACACTCTTTTTGGAGGTACTCAAGTGCCTCTTCCGCGCTCCGTGAATTATACGAATGACCCGCGTGCGTGTATAGGCCGCTTAGCACAATATACGATGACGAACCTAAACGTTTGGCCAGCTCCACTGTTTTAGGGTCTTCCAGTGCTGTACCTGCACGACTGTTTGTTGTTTTCTGTCATCGATTAGCCGGTTTCATTTCCCTTGGATTTTTCCCATCCCATCAAAATACGTACTGATAACCACAGTCCACTTTTAAAAAGACACGAATACGGTGAGCTGTATCATTGGCTCCATACACAGAATGATGGTACTTGTCCAGGGCTTCCAGTGTCTCCAAAGAATCTAGCAATAATGCATGCTCAGTTTCCACTTTTGGTCTCACTCTCCTCCTTTACTTTCACTGCCTACCAATAAATATCTGGAAAGCCGGCACTTTTTCGGATAAAAAAAAGACCTCTGAAAACTTGTCCGCACTGATAGGGAACCCTAACAGAATCTTTGCATAACCATGAGCGACGATGTGACTTTTAGGCTTGGCGATGATAGGGACGTTACCTGTTTAAGCTTTCCCTCGGATACAAGCGATGACGCCATGACAGCATACGCTTCCGCAAGTGTTGACACGACAATGGCGTCGGTACGGGCACCTTGCAACTGGAGTTCCGTAGCCTCAATGGTCTATGCATGGCTTTGTTAAAAACAACGATGCTTTTCTTGTCTGATGTGGGGGGAGGAGAGGAGGACCTTACCTTATGAGACTTTATGTGGACGCGTACTTTGATACCGTACTTGTCGGTGAGGAAGTTTAAGCGTTCGCAGTTGCGTTGAAGAATGGTGCGATCAATGACCAGTTGGGGCGTGCGCAAGTCCTGCAATCGTTTGCCAATCAGGTCTTTGCAAAGGACGGATTTCCATTGTTTCCATTCTGGATAAAAGGATAATAAGGGAGTATTGGTCTGAGTGACAAGCATACTAGGCACGTAAAAAACGACTTGTTTTTTCTGTGTGGGATCTTTTTGCCTGCGGCACGGAACTCATCTTCATTTTTTACCGTTTAAGGAAATGACCAGAGTCCGTCATTTGAGTTCTGGAAGAGAAGAAAACCCAAAAATGGACGTCATCGAGGGGGTTAGGATGGACTAGCTGACATTTCCAAATTAAACATTGACCCCTTATTCAATTACTGTGTGTGCGTGCGTGTGTGTGTATGTGAGAGCAATCCATTGGGTTTGGTGACATTATCAACGGATTTAGCTGCCTTTTGCAATAGATGGCTCCAATGCAAGGGGAAGTTCATGCAAGATGCCATTCAAGGGTTCTTTTTTTCTGTCAAATGCGGCGCCTCTTCAAGTCACACTTCCCCCGAAATAGGCGGTCTACATCTCCAATGAGCATAATGAAAATCACCCTGGTAACTGGTAATAGAGATGAATTGATTCCTTTATGTGGGGAAAGAGAAGCAAAAAACCCCAAATAAAAGAACGGAACACACCACTTCTTCGTTATTCGTTATTCGCACTAAAAAAAAGAAAAAGAGAGAGTCGTAATTCATCCCAAAAGTTAATATCTGACCAAGTAAGAAACTTATTACATCTCCCTGACTCTTATCTCCAAGCCGAATAATTAAAATTTTCATGCCTCCTTTTTTTTGAATCATTTTGATTGTGCTACTGCACTGTAACTAGATTTTTGCTATACTTCTTTTTATTGTTCCTCCCTTTCGCTTGCAATTATTCATATCAAGCAAGCTTTCATGAGATGACAGGTGTGCCATTGTCCCGAAAAGGGGATATGTAGTTGATCAATAAACAGGGAGAAAAGTGGCTTCTGACAAGCCACGTTTTACTGCTATCGGCAATCTCACGAAAGGGAGGGTTTTGTATGAAAAGTATATATGGAGCCCACCTTCTGAGATGGGGTTTTCTACTTTTTTACTTTTTGATTATTTTATTTATTCCTAGGCCACATCATGCGTTTCAATCTTATTTCGCTCGGCATTGCTGTTGTCGCTATCTCTGCTGTGTATGCCGAAGACAATGACGATAATGAAAGACCGTACATGAGAGCAAATAGAGGTTACTCGCGACATTGGGAAATCAAACACAATACGCCTCCTCTCTTGACACTGGGTCAACCTCCCAGCAACAGCGCCGCCGGTACCCCACCTCCTCCCGCTTTGCCACTCGGCAATTTGATTCAAGCCGCCGTTTCCAACAACGGTGAAGGTATTGCTTTTACCAATCCTGAAGAAGGCGACACCTACGTACGCAATGTCGAACAGCACAAGCATATCAGTGGCAGCGGCAAGAATACCGATTCCGTTGTTCAGGTGGCCAAGAAGAAACGCGGTCTGGCGGATCTGTTAGCCAGCCTGCGCACAGGAAAAATATCCGGCTTTCAATCGGGTCCTTCTGCAGACGGTTCTGGCAAGATGGTGTCTCCCGCAGCACTCGCCCTTAACTTTCCTGACAACACAAATAATTTGCTGACCCGCCGTTCGTCTGTTCCTCTGGAAAAGCGTCTGAAAATTGCTAATGGGCTCTTGACACCAAGTGAAGACGGTTACAAGCCCGCAAGCATGCTTTCCAGCGAATTTTATGAACCAACGGAACCGCAAGAAGCTCAAGAAGCTCAAGAAATTCAAGAATCATCCTATATTCCCAACAATCTTCTTGCATTAGCCCTCTAAATATGTTTCTCAACTCGAATGCACTCACATGCGTTTGACACGTATGATTACACTGTTTTGTGGCCCGCTCTTTTTCTTTAAAGTTCGTTCTTCTTTTATTTATTATCATACTCATCTTGTAGTTATCCCCATAAATTCATTTAAAATAAATACTTGCTATACCATACGCAAGGAATCGCCTCTCGCCGATAAATGACATTTCTTTCAGCGTTTGTTCACTTTACAGTATGAGAGATTGTCATTTTTCGATCTCCAAGAACGAGTCGGCTCGGTGCCTCGAAGAATGCACGTCTAGGATTGAAGGATAAACGTGTTATATGAGGTACCATTTTCGTACAATGTTACTGTCCTTTTCGGTCTTTATTGGTATAAGAATCTTGATAACCCAGTAATATTTCTAGACACCATGAGGGATACAACGGGAAATAGGCGGTGCTGCTTCACCTTCGGCTGACCAGAGGGAGACGGTAATGGCGGTTGTATAGATCATGGAAGCTAAACCAAAAATGATAATGACAATATCAATGGTGCGTTGCTGCCATGTTTTAGCGATGCCTTTCAGATGGAACAAGGGTGGGAAGAGGAAGCACAGAGGAACACAGCATACAGAACCGATCAATGATACAAATTTGTCCAAATCAGCCGACCCGGCCGTGGCGACAAGCGCACATACCACCACGGTCATCAATCGGAAAATGTTCTTTTCCCACTTTACCACAGGATTGTTTTTGCCGGATCGAGTGAACAGTCCAGTCTCCACAATACGGATAGCAGGGAAAAGCTGTAACGGAATCGACAGACAAATGGCCACAGCGTACAACCCTTGGATAGTGTTGACCAGAGGATTGGCAGGCAGGTTCAAAAGAATGACGGTTTGCACTTCATCGCCAAAGGTCAAGTAAGAAATGAATCCAACCGACAAGAATAATAGGGTGACCCCGATCATGGTACCCGACAACACTTTGGGGAACTTTTTAGGCTCGGCCATGGATTCGGTAATAGGAATAACTGCAGATCAATCAGCGATGAAATCAGTAACCGCACCTTGCATCTTTTTTTTTTCTCTCCATGCAGACAAATTGCCCTACTTACTGAGACCCACGCCTTCAAAGGTAAAGACGGCGGTACCGATAAACAGCGGGAAGGATGAAGGATTGACCATCCAGATGATGTTACCGATGCCCTTGGTAGCCAAGGTGAAGAAATCATAGTAGTACAGGTACGCAAGGCCCAGAAGGATAAACACATCCGCAATCAACGCAAATACGGAAAGCTTCTGAATCTTTCGGATCATGGCCAGAGGGACAAAAATGGCAATTTGGAGCCAGATTAAGTAAGAAAGTGGGACATCCATTTCACAGTTGGACACGGCTTCAATCAGAGCCTGCAAGTTCTGTGCAACAAATACCATGTACGCACATACGAAACCGATCTTTGCCACGGTGTGAGTCAAATCATGAAACATTCCCCATATACGCACTTCCAGTTGCTACTTACTTGAGAAACAGTAATGGCCGTTAATACTAGCATTCGCATGGCCGGACCAAACAAAATACCACCAATATCACCAAAAGAAACTGGCACCTTGTTCCGTGTTTCCACCAATAATAAGAAACTATACAGGGAAACACCCGCGATCACTGACAACACGATGGACGAGAAAAACAATCCACCATTATAGAATCTGTGTAACCATCCCCAAAATAAGTTAGCTGCAACTTGGGCTGCTATCACCTGCCGATCACTTACGCTTTCGGTAAAAACATAACACCTAGTACGAAGAAAACGAGTCAACGTGAGCATTTTTTTTTTTTTTGGACACCAAAAAGATAGAGGCAAGAAATTTTATTTTCTTACCTGTACCAATGAATGATTTGAGTAACAAAAACACGGCTTTGGATGGTGTGGCTGTCCCCTGAACGGCATTTTCCTGGGCTCTTTCAATCAAAGGAGTTTGTTCCCCGATAAGGTCATCGGCGGTCTGTTGTCGTTTCAGTCGATTACGCCGACGGCGGGCTGCCAAAGCTTCATCGTCTTCATCTTCGTCGTCACTCAAATCCTCACCACCAAAATGGCCGTAAAGGGCAAGGAAGTCGACAAATGTGCGCGTCATCCAATGAGGAGGCGCTTTCCCCTCACGGGCGGCTTTATCCACGACAAAGTGACGTCGGAATCCACCCGGATCCTTGATGTGAACCAGTGCAGGATCGCTCGGTTCGGTTCGAGGGTAATAGACGGACTGGGATCGTTTTTGTTTGGATCGTCGTTCGTTCTCGACGGTTTCGGTCCACTTGTAGATTTCGTGGGTGATGGCGCCGCCTGGCAACTGATGGATGTTGGTGACACCGCGATGTTCGGAGCCCGATTCGTGGTCTGACTGATGGTTAGTATCGTCATCGATATCTGCACCATGGCTTCGAAGACTCCGATTGGGAGAGGAGCCGTAAATGGATCCTGCGGGCGAGGTTTCCACCAAGTGCCGCTTTACGGCTTTGGCTACATGATCTTGATGTTCCGTGGTCAAATGATCCCCAAACATGGCACGACTAGTGCCCGAATGGGACGTACTGGCCGGTTCAATATCTCGAGGTAAACTGCTACCGTAATGATGCGGAGTAAAACTGCTGAGACTTCCAGCAGGGGAAGTGCCATAGAGATTGCTCGGAGGAATAGGAGAAGAACTTAATCGGGCAGTGGACGACGCTCGATCGAATGAAGTTGACAACCCATTGTCTTGAAGCGCTTGACTGATGCTGAGGTGGTTGTCGTCTTCACCTGTAGAGGGACTAGTGTTGGGTATTTTGGCATTCTCTGGCCGAAGCGATGACATGGCGTGAGAGAATTTCGATAAAAGACTTGACGTTTTCTTTGTTTCTGGGGGAAAAAAAAACCACAAAGGAGAAAAAAAAACTCAGTTTTTGAGTTTCGGGCTCCCCACAATGCGGGAATAAAAAAAAATGTTGGCAAACGACGACGTCTAAGAAAGGAAAAAAAAAAGCAAGGGAGTTTTTATCTATTTCCAGACTCTTTTTTTTAAGTTCAAAGCGACTCTTTTCAAAGGATTTCGAAAGTCCTGTTTTTAACAAAGAACTTCTATTCTTTGGTCATCATCATTAGTTGTCATGAATAGGAGTGGTATCCATCTTGTGATGGTGTCAAACCGCACCACCTGCTCATCTGATATGACTGGATATGACATCAACTTCTCATAATAATACTGCTTCGTTTCCAGTAACATGTCTGTTTAGTCAAAGAAGGCTTCCTTGGAAGAAATACAAGGAACGCAGCAGCCAAGAGCGCGTTTGATGTTGAAAACAATGATAGTCGTATCTATATCAGTTGCCTAGTGACAGAGATGAAAAAGAGTGGGATACACAGGATACAAAGCGAAGGATATGTACAAAAAGGAAAATACGGTCTCCACTCTTCATGAATAATGTTGGTATATAGGCATCAAGGCAAAGGTAAGGAAGACGGCCCAGGATGCGACGAGCCAGAATGAGTAAATGGACACATACACATACGACTTGCGTTCACGAAGTTGAGAACCGATGCCTTGAAGTTGAGCGGAAATCTCGGTGGATTTCGATTCGTAGGCTGGGCCGTACCGGTATTGTTTGGCTTCTTCTTCTTGCAGTTGCTGAACACACCTGAGACGTCGATCGCGTTCCTTCTTGTCGGCTTGAAGCCAGCCGTTCAGCAGTTTTCGATCCATCATCCAGAAAATCGCCACCACCAAAATTGAACAGCCGGCCATGACAAGGTAGAATATCATGACGCCATGGTATTCTTGCCGAAGGTCCGCTTGATCATCATGAGGGTCGCCATCATGATAGGTTAAATCCTGCACGTACCCTACAATGACAGAGACGATGGTTGTGCCGATATTATTGGCACATTTGTGAAGACCCATGCCGGTCCCGGCGAGTTCATGCGGCAGAAGCAACGAAGTCGAACTCAGCACGGAAACAGGACCCAAGGCCAAAGCAAGTGAGAACAGAATCATCCCCACGGCAGGCGGAGCCCATGTATACGCCAAGCAAACCATCGACGCGGTCAAGACAAAGGTGGCAAACAGCACTATCGAAACCATCATCAGCAACAGCGTGAGCTCCATGAGTCTCCATGTCACTTTCAAAACAAAACAAAAAAAAAATATATAAAAAAAATAGACATTATCCACTTACAGCTTGTCAACCGCTTGCCAAAGCGGTGAACAATGACTCCCATGACAGGTGCGGCGACAATGGGGACCACTTGAGTTAAACTACTTTGATACTGATATTTCATCAGTCACTAGGTGCCTGAGAAATAGAGACATGATCATATTACTTACCCCGGCCATGATGCTGGTTGTTTGGAAGCGAAACTGCACAAACTCACTGTGGCGCCCAGAAAATAAGATCGGATCAGACACATTTCTTTGGTTTTCTTCCCGCATGATGTATGGATAACTTACGTGGCGATATCATCGAAACTGCTCAGGACACTGGACATGATGAGTTGAACCCAAGGCACCATCCAGAAAGTGGCGGGAATGTACAGGAAGAGGGAGGCCGACCAGCGGAAAGAATTGGTGATTATCGAAGACGAGTTGTCCTTTTCTGTGCGTTTGAATTGGTTACGGTATTTGGCTTTGACCTGAACAATTTCTTTGCCAGTGACGGTCGCCCACCCGTTCTTGTACATGATCATCCAATAAACCGCATTCATGACCACCCCACTCGCGCATAGCATGGTGGCGACGTGGATCGGCAAAACATCCGATCCGGTTGCTGAAATAATAGGATAGCAGACCATTTTTGCCGCCCACTTGGTGAGCCGAGCAATGCATAACAAGATGCCAATAACAATGGCCAGTTGTCTGTCCCGGAACCATCGACTGAGAATGCCTTCTTGCATAGTAACAATCATTCCGCCCCCGAGACCATAGATTATCTGGCCAGTGATCATTATTGGATAGCTGTTACGGATTCCGGCAATTGAAACAAGGAGACTGCCAATGAAAATAACCATACTGACTATGGTGGTTGCACGGATGGACCCTAGGTGACTCACATCATCGATAAAAGTACCGGCCAGCAACGGCAGCACCGTATTGACCAACGAGACCGATGACAGGAGAATACTGAATTCTGTATTATTGATATGCATTTTCTGATAGGATAAATGGCAAAACGGGATTTTCAGTCCGGGAAAAAGGAAATGCAACGGTTTTTTTTTTTTTTTTTTTTTTTTTTTTACGGACTCACGTGCTTCAATGTTGTTTTCAATGTTCCCATTGTCGCCTCAAGATAATGGCATCCCACTGAAACAAACAAAAAAAAAAATCAGGGTGAATATAATGGCGCGTGGTGGTGTTGTATGAAAAAAGCGGGAAACGTACCAGGCAGTGCCAGCATACAAATGAGAATGACGATCTTGAGTTGAATGGATGCTTTCATCAAGGGATCCTTTTCCGATTCAGGATCGGTTACCTCGCGATCGCAGGCATTGAGTTCCTCGGGTGAAAAAAGATCTTCATGAAGTTTATGACTGGAGCAAGTGGATTGGTTGGAGACGGGTTTTGGGTCGACCGCGGATTGGATCTGGTTGTCGTCGTCGTCTTTCAAGGATCTCATGCTATCCCCTGCAGATCCATTCAATGAAATTAAAAAATGCAACACGACAAAGACGGATAAAAACGCGGTTATAAAAGGAAGAAAAGCGACCCAAGTTCCATGGTGGTGAAATATATCTATTTATGAGTATTTTATCCATGGCAAATCGGCATCTTGGATTCACTGCCGAAGAAGTGGATAGTGTTTTGTCCAATTCGTGGTTTTCGGAGGCAGCTAAAACTACAGCCAGAGCCGACTTATTCCAAATTTGGTAATGGATGACACGAGCTGCAGTCATGGTGTTGACTTTATTTCATTGCGACCGAAAATGCGTGAGGCATTGACGAGAGGGGGTAGCAAAATAATATATAAAAAAAGAAGTTGAAGTTTTCTGTTTTCTCAATTTTTCTTGGCAAGTCTTAAAATTGGGAGATCAAGACCAAAAGTCCTGTTTGTTCACCATAAAGAGGTCGGACAGAACCACGGGAATTGGAAGTCCTTCCAGGCTTTCGATGATTTTTTATTTTTCGTCCGAGCTCTCTAGTGCAACGAAGAAAAATCAATCATACATATTTTAGGGGTAAAAGCGCTTATACAGCATTATTCCACAAAAGCTGCATCATCTACATATGGAGAATACTGATTTCGTAGTAACGTATGTCCCGTCAGAGTATGATGTAGACGTTAATTGCGTGTTCGGCCCACGTGGCTCGGATACCTCTCTTCCAAGTAACTGACCCCTTGACTCCTGTTTTTTTCAACAGTGCCAATGGACTAGTGCACTGTTAATGAACTCTCGCATCGCTATTGATCAAGTGGAAAATAATAATGGTCACTGTTAGTGTTACCGTGGGTTTTCCTTTTTTTTTTTACATTATATTTATGCATTTCAGTGGCATCAATTCTAATCACGCTAATATCATTCTAGAAATGCACTGTTTTAATAATAGAACCACGAAATGAATCTCAAGCAGCATCCCACTGGCTACAAATAATATGGAATGGTTTCCGTGGCAGTTGTTGGAAATTTGATTCGAAAGGGAAAAACAAGAAGCAATACAGTAATTTGTAAATTAAGGTTCTTCATCTGAGCCGTTGATACATACTGTACTGCTTATAGCTATTGACGGATCTGCTTACCAATCCAAATTTTGTAAATGGTGGCACATTCGGGCAACCGAAAATCATGCTTCCCCGTCTCTGTAAGTGTATTGTACTTCGAGACGGGCTTTGAAGCGACGTGTGTAAAGAATATTCGGTGCCCCAGTCAATCTGAACAACCGTCATCCATGACAAAAACCTGTAGTTGAATCAGCCTTTCGCTTCCACTCTGAGCCGCACCTACTTTTTGCATCAGTGGCGATATTTTGAATGTCTCGTGACATAAGAAAATCACCATGGTGTTTTTTTTTATGCATAATAGAGAGGGTTTTGATTGTGCATTCAGGCGATGTTCTGTAGGCTTTGGAAATAGCAAGGCTGTGATCCAGTTGGTGCAAGAAAATGCTTTAAATGGTGTTCTTTTGATGAATATTATGGATAAATGGATGATGGGGGATTAACGTGCTACTGCCATTAGCAGTTTGGCTTGGATTAAAGTGATCCCCGTCAAAACATTCCATTGTGTTACATTGATCTGCATGCAAATGGATGCATCTTTCTATTCTTTTGTACACATTATATCGCGATTTGCTATCCATTTTACCAATGAATTTAGTAAAATAAAACGAAGGTCAACATAAAAGATAGGAGGAACACATCGGCTTGGGAAAAAAAGCAAAAAAGAAAAAAGAAGCAAGTAAAAAGTGCGATCCTTTTTATTCCTCTTTTTTTATTCTCTTGCTGCTTGAATTCCCCTATTCCGTTCCTTAGATCCCCTTCTTTTTTTTTCATTTGTTTGTTGTTACCTCATCTTTCATTCAAGTTGCTACAATGCACAAAGCCGTGGTATCTCTTGCGTTGCTGCAGATTCCTCTGTGTTTAGCCGCCAGCATTAAGAATCTCGTAGTTTTCGGCGACTCTTACTCAGGTACGGCGACGTCATGGCTGGGTTGGAACCATGGTGGATTCAATGCACTCACCATGCACTTGTGAATAGACGTTGGCAATTCTCAGCGATGGAGCAACGGTCCTCTTTGGAGTGAAAATGTGGCCGCAGGTTGGAATGCGTCGTTGTTCAGTTTTGCCTACAGTGGGGCTGTATGCGATAACAATCTGTATCCGGAACCAGTGGATACCAACGAATGGATACCCAGCATAAAAGACCAAATTGAAGCCTACTACAATTTGCAACTCAATCACGACCCAGAGGAAACAGCTTTCGCTATTTGGGTGGGCGTCAATGACATTCACCGGGCCTACGAACAACAACAAGGTGAGTCATTGAACTAACGCACTTGATGCCATGTCGCCTGCTCATCGTCTAATCGCATTCGTCTACGCGCATGGTTAGGCACTCTGTTACTTCCTGACTTTAGATCTGTGGCCGACTGTATTGGACAGCAACTGGTAAGTCAGAGGGGTCCAGGCCCACTCAGATCAAGATGGAAACTCATGAATTGATATAGCGAAGCGTACGCAAGGTGTTCAATTCGAACCATCTGATCCTGTTCAATGTCCCACCACTGGAGAAGATGCCTTACTTTGCTGATACTGATTTGGGCGAAAGCCGCAATCGATCGGCGATAGAACTCAACAAACTGCTTCAAAAGGATGTTGTCAACTTGAACAAGCATCATCATGCGCTCGAATTGGATATGGTGGATGTTCATTCCTTAATACGCGATATCACCGCTGATCCATTCCTTTTCGACTTCTCCAATGCGGACTCGGCTTACTTTGATCGAGAGTTCACTGAAGAACACATTGACGAATATGTATGGTGGGACAGGACCCATCTCACTGCAAGTAAGTTTCTTCAAACACATTCACTTATCTTTTTTTTTTATTTGTTGTGTCTTTCTTATTTCAGCATGCTAACCATGTTTTTTCATCCAGGTGCTCATCGTATTATTGCCAACAGTATCCTCATGGCCGGTTCGTTTATGCCGGCGACTTCGGTTAGCAAAGATATTGTTCAAAAGATTGAAACCCCCGATTCTCTGTATCGATCCCAGGTATACCATGTATCACCGCATGCGGGCGTCATTGAACGATTAGTGGAAGAACTGAACCAGAAGCCTGTGGTGCCACCGCCGCAACAAGCATTGGAGGATGAGGATGAACCATATACCTTGACTCAAGCTTACGGGTTGCTGAGCATCGGCGCTTTGTTATGTGTTGCGTTTGTGGTTTGGATCAAGCGACAGCGGAATAAGACTCATGGATGGAACAACTACTCGGCGTTTGGCCGATCGTCCAACCGTGGACGGTTTGTACCACTGCATAACAGTGAAATGATGGAAGCATAAAAAATACCAGATTTAGCAATCACCAATTTTGGTTTTCTTGTTTTGCCACTAAAAAAGATCCCCAAATACTTGTCATTTTCTTGTTGAAAGTATGTTTTTCCCTTTTTTTGTTTTGTTTGTTGCAATAAATAGCCATGATACACAGCGATGGATCCTGCCATGATGCATAAGGTGGAGTGTCCATCATTCACTGTATGAGCTAATCTCTTAAAGTAACCATGGATTCGTAACCAAGCTATCGTTACGGGAAACATGGGCATGAAATGTTTGCTTGTTCACGACTCCTCAGTGGGGTTTTTTGACACGGAAATCCCCGCAAACCAACAACAGAGAAAAAGAGGGTCGCTGACTCCAGTGAACCCTGAAAAAGAAGCTAACGAGTAAGAATGCACCATAGTTATAAAAAAAACAAGTAGGTTCTAAACTGGATGGTCTGTTTTAAGCTTCAATAAACACGCTCATCTTCCGTTGCGTTTCCAAGGATGGGGTCCGAAAGAAGCCATTCTCTTTGTTATCACTATCAATGAACCGCAGGTGAGTCTTTCTCATTTTATACTCGCTTGAAGAACGGGAAACTTTCATCGACCCGCTCACAGTCTAAGAAACTTATTTTTTTCTTTTGTTCGCTAAAAAAGGAAATTTTACAAGTAACCACGTCAAGTTGGCCGATTATATTAAGGGGCGACACAGAAATACAGGCGTTGCAGAACTGCATGGTGGATTCTTTTTTACCTCTTTGCTGATCTTATTTTTCCTTTTTTTTTTTTTTGTTTTTCTTCCAACGTATTGCATCTCGGCTTCCATCATCATCAACAACTGGTTAGTAACTGGTTATTTTGTGATTTGGCGTTTTATTGTATGAGAAAATAGTGTAAATAATCACACTATTAAAGAAAAACGAAGCAAGAAATCATGGTCCCAGTGTGTTTAAGTTTTCTCACTTTATTTTTGTTTTATATTTATATCTACAAAATCTAGAAGCGAATCGTTCTCGTTTTGATCCATCCCATAGAGATAACGCGTAAAACTCACATTTCGGTCCAAAGAAGAGCCAAAAAAAAAAGAAATATCTCATCATCCTCCCTGCCTTTTCACTTTCTCATGTCCAACACGATCCAGCCTTCCGCGGCTATGCAACCCATGGCACAAGACACAAAGCTTCATTATTCACCCATGGATCTGTGCGACTCATCACAAGCCCACCCGCACGGGATTCATTCACAATGGATCCCTACCACGCCTTTACCTTCACACAAAGAGGTGAAAGCCGAGCCCGTGAAAGCCGAGCCCTTTTCTGAAGATGACCTCTCAAATCCTGTGCCGGCAAACCCCACGTTGCTGCTGCCACAGCTGCTTCGACATTTTCCCGATTTATCAGAGTTCATTTTCCACCCTTACTTTTCCACCTTTTCGCGCTACTGGTTAGACCTCCAACACAACATCTTGCTGGCCAAGGATCCTCAAGCCCGTCCCGCCGTTCAAGCCTGGCTTCGTACCGCGGCGGCTCAGTTGTACCAAATGATGATTAGAACGGTGCAGTACAGCCGCAAGCAAGCTACCAAAGACGATGTCGAAGCTCAATCGCGTCGCATGTTTTCCGCCTTTCGCCGACTCCGAGATCGTACCGAGATCATGCAACAACTGTTCACCATCATGGAGAACGGCCGCGTCTTCTTTGGTCAGGACCCTGAAACCGCCATTCAGCCATTGGTTTCCGCTTTAGTAGCTGCACGCAAAGACAATAGCACCCCAGTCAGTTTCACAAACCTGTACGCGATTCAGCCGTCCTCGGATTATTCGGTGGATCCCGCAGTCTCCCTTCGCAGCTTGTCCTCCTCCTCTTCCTGCACCGATTCCACGTTTGACAGGCAGGACATCAAGCTAGAGTCTGCGGCTTCTACCTATGATGACTCGCACTCTTCTTCTGACATGGTGACTTCGCCTATTCCCGTCTATGGTCCCACCGATGTGAAACCACTGTCCATCAATCTGCGTCAGGCTCCGTCCAATGTCGATCCGGCTTTGGCTTCTCGTACCGTACCATCGGAGGCTTCCCTTCTTTCCTGGAGCCAGTCTTCCACTCCGTCCGACCCGGCGTCTTACAGCATGCACCTCACCTTGAGCCCTCCATCGTCACTTCTTGGTATGCCTGAACCAAATATGTCCCATCATCGAGGACATCATGGCAGTTATTATTCATCGCCGTCATTTCATTCCAACCAAGGCTCGTTACGGGATCTTCCTTTTACTTGGCATGGTCCCCGCTGTTGCACGATGCCGTATCCCGACAAGACCTCTCAGTGTCCATCGTGTGCTGCTACGCAGCCACCGTTCCCGTTGCCGAATGCTGGCTCTCACACGTTTGTCCAACCTACCGACCTGGTACAGCACAGTGCGGTGTGGTCGGTTCCTGTCACGCCGTTAGATCGTCCTTATCCGTCCAATTTTTGGTCCTGTCCCGCGAGTCCGGGCGGTTACGAACCACCGCATTACTGCAAGCTCGAAAGTGGCCAGCCTTTGTCCAAAGAAGAGGAAGATGGCAACGACGATGGTATTATGGCCCCACCACCGAGTGTCATTGACGATGACCAAGGCCGCGAAGGGACCGCTGAACTCACACTGCACGATGATCAGCGTGACGAAGATTATCAGCAACCAGACTACGGTGATGAAGACGAAGACGACAATGAAAGCGACGATAAAGACGGCGACTTTGAAGCTTTCTTGGACGAAGAAGACGATGATGCGTTGTGGCGGACAAAGAAAGCCCCTCGTCGTCGGAAAAAAGCAAGCGTCGACGGCGGCCGATCCCATGGCAGGACACCGGCGGACAAGAAGTATCCCGGCGATTCCGGCCGAGGGCGCCATTTTTCACGACGCACGGCCACATCTTACGATGCGCAAACCACGCACTACCTGAAATCGGTGTTTTTCAACATTTACAGTAAACGTGACAAGCTCACCAAGGAACAGCGTCGCCAAGTGCAAGAACGCACCGGATTAAAGCCCCGCAATATCACCTATTGGTTCTCCAATCACAAACGGCGGTTTCAAACCTCGCTTCTCGTCTTCAAACAAACCGTTCGCATCAGTGGCGGCCGCGTAAAAACATACGACGATTTTCTCCGTTGGCGACAACACCGTGGATTGCCCGAAGAAGTTATGGACGACGAAGTTCTCCCCCAGTAAATAGTTCCATCCTCTTGTTCATGATATAAAAACAAAAAGAATGCATTGATCTGCATAACTGTGTAGCAACTCTTGAAAAAAAAAAAATGATGCAATAATAACCCAATTTTGACATGCTTCCAAAGTTCTTTTCTTCATTCTGTTCTGATCAAAAGCTGATGTGTCATCATGGGCCATTTTTCCTTGATATTCAGGGATGAGTGCCCTTGTTAAATTGTGAGGATGCTCCACAGATAGCGATGTCTAATTTTGAGAGAAACGAATAAAAAAGAAGCTCAGTCACTATGGTGAATTGCAAGAGTCTTCTCAGTGAGCATTACGAAACCCAAAATTATTTAAAGACTCAGATCTCTCCTTCAACCTGAACAAAGTCCTTGACCAGCACCGCATTGCAGGGTTGTTGAAGCCTCACAAAATTATACGCGCAACCTTTCTGCCAACGATGAAGCGTCTCATTGAAGTGTCGCATTCAAATACCAAGACTACCGCCATTTATTGAAAAGATTGCGAGCTAAGAAAACGCGTAAAGTTTGCTCGGAAAAAATGGGCTCTCAATTGTGTCGAAGCAGGATGTACAACTAGTCTGAGTATACATTTAAACAGGTAGAACCCGGACCGACATCTGCACAGAAAATGAAAGTCTTTTGACCCCTATTTTTCCTGGTGCGGAAATGCCCCAAAAGTCATTTTGATATCTGACGAGGAAACATTTTTGAAGAAGACGGCTTCATCCTCGTGTAAAGGTGGGCGCCGCGTATTTGTTGGGGTGAGTAACTAGATTGACAAGTAGATCAAGCTTGCTTCGGAGAGCAGTGGATATTGAATTGTCCTCCTTCATGTTTTTCTTCTATATGGGCTGCATTGAAAACGTTGAAGGATCTGTGTTTCGTGCAGCATTCACTACATATGTAATTCTACTGACTATGGCATATTGAATGCCTGTAAAATGTTCAATAACCTTGATTAAAAAAAAAAAGGTCCAATGAGCAACGGGTGGAACGCCTGCATCTGCATGAACCAGCGCGTTAACCTATGGAAAATGAACCCGTATCGTTGTCACGGCAAACTTAAATTGCCATGTAATCCATATTCGAAGTTGCAACTTGCACCTGTTAGCCTCGGTATAACACACCAATTCCAGCTCTGTATTTTTTTTTGTCCTCTGGCGTATATAACGCCTTTGACGGCGGGTTCACCTGTTTTTACACCTCTTATTCGCTTTTATAACTTATTCATTTACTCTGTAAACTATGGGTACGGCAATGACTCTGTCGCATTCCTACCGGATTTCGATCCTCGCATGCTTCGGCGTTACCATGCTTTGTTGCTACATACTATCTATGGAGATGACAGCTATTCGGTGGTGGAAACTCAAGAAGCTGGCTCTGGCCTTGTCCGCTGTCAGTTTGATCCTCATGTTAACATGGAATAAGATAAAAACACCACTCATGTTCATGTATTCGTGTTTCTTCAAACCGTTGGGTGATCATGGTGCCAACTTGCAAAATCGTCTGGAAAGCTTCTACCGAGATCAAGCCAATAGTGAGTGACATTTGAACTCTGTGCAACTCAATCTCCCCTTGATTTGCTCCTTTTTTCGCCCCTTCTTTTTTTTTTCTCCACTTTTCCCACCCTGTGCATCTAAAAAACGTTCATGTCCATGCTAAGCTCACCAGCACTATTATCCTTGTAGTCTACGATGCGTCCCGGGGATCTTTATTAAGAGGAAGAAAAACCATGCTTCGTTTATGCTCCGCTCAGCTGAAAGAGCAACTAGCACAACAAACCGGTGCAAAAATCAAGCCTGTTTGGATCGATCTTGGTGGTGGCACAGGTTCGGAGCTTTTACTGTCACTTCTCGGAATAACCACGTAGTGTGGCTGACGACGGGTTATTTTTCTTCACTTAGGATGGAATATTGAGCAAATGAATGAATGGTTTCCGATTGACCAATTTGCCAAAGTCATTCTCGTGGACCTCACACCTTCACTGTGCCAGGTGGCGCGTCAACGGTTTAAGGAAAAGGGATGGGCCAACGTGACTGTTTTATGCCAGGATGCAGCGACATTTCAGCTGCCTGACAACGAACATGGATTGGAGGGCACAATTGATTTGGTCACCATGTCCTATTCACGTAAGCGCAGCTATGTTCATGGAGCGTGATGTGCTCAGTTCATTAATTACGGCGGTGGGTGATAGTATCGATGATGGATCATTTCTATCCGGTCGTCGACAGGGTGCAGTCGTTGTTATCTCCGCAAGGCATCGTAGGGGTAGTGGATTTTTATGTTTCCGGTCGTTCCGCGGCAGCTGCAGAACAATGGTCTCCTCAACATAACCGGCAATGTAACTGGTTCACCCGATTTTTTTGGAACGTATGGTTCGATTTTGATCATATCAATCTCAGTCCTGGGCGACGTGACTATCTGGAATATCGGTTTGGGACCATCAAAACGCTCAATCGTCGTAATCATTTTATCATTCCATATGCGATTCAAATCCCTTATTATGTATGGCTCGGTTGCTCCAAAGCACGTCAAAGCATGATGCACAGCCCGGTATCGGATGATAACGTGAGCATTTCCAGCAGCAGGAGCAGTGCTTCGGATTCATCACTGCAGCAAGGATTTTCTCCTACTTCCTTTTCTCTTCAGAGCAATCCTTGGCGACTTGATTACGATAACGCCTTGCCGCAACACACTCAATTCCGATCGTATATCTATGCATTCACCTGGGAGGACCCCCGTGTGGACCTGCAGCACATGTCGATCGGAAAAGAAGATATTCTATTTGTGATTACCTCGGCGGGCGACAATGCACTGGAATATGCTATTCAGGGTCAGCCGAAACGGATTCACTGCGTGGATATGAACCCTTGTCAGGTACCACATGCGTAACTTTTATTTTCCATTTGTTCGCTTTTGAATCGCGACGCAAAAGAAAACGCGATGCACCAATGTGGAAAAGAAAAATGAGGGCTAGTCTAAAAAACTGGGTTGCGATTTCCATGATTCACGTGCTAAATTTAACATTTTTTTTTCTCGGTAGAATCATTTGATGGAACTCAAATTAGCGGGCATTGCTTCACTGTCCTATCACGATTTCTGGCGAATGTTCGGTCAAGGCAGACATTCTGGCTTTCCAAGGCTGTTACACGAGATCCTATCTCCGCATCTCAGTCCGTACGCGCTTCAATACTGGGTTCAACACACCGATCGTTTTGCCTCGAAATTCTACAAAACGGGTTATTCAGGTCTAGCATTGACGTTGATTGAATGGTGGTTAAAAATGAATGGGCTTCTGGAAGATGCTCGAAAAATGGCAACTACATCGTCCATGGAAGAACAGAAAACCATTTGGGAAACCCGAGTTCGGCCTGCCATCTTCTCACCCATGATACGAACGGCCATGGACAATCCATTGTTTATGTGGAATGCTCTGGGAGGTAAGTAAAAAATAAAAATAAAAATAAAAAATAGACAACTCCGAAAGGAGCGTGGTGATATTCGTTCGTTCCAGTAAAAATAACTGTTTTTCCTAAATATCATAGTTCCAAAGAATCAGATGAAGATGTTCCTTAGTGAATGTACGACCGAAGAATATGTGGCTAATACGTTGGATCCCATTGCCCACCAATCGCTTATCAGCGGAGACCAGTATTTCTATTATTTATGTCTTATGCAACATTACCATCCCGACAATTGCCCTTCGTATTTGACACAACAAGGGTTTCACACTTTGAAGGTAAGGTGAAATTGGAAAACCAAAAATCAGTAACCTTGGTAAATCCCAACCATTTTCAATCTCAGACCTCCGGTGCACTGGGCGCTTTCAGACTGCACACCGATTCTATTCTCAACGCGTTGCAATCGCTTGACGATGACTATTTGACTCGATTGGTGGTGATGGATCACATGGATTGGTTCGACGAAGCGCATTGTGAAGAGCTTGAACAGGAAGTTATGCACATGGCACGCACCCTAAAGAAGGGTGGCCACGTCTACTGGCGCAGCGCCAGTCGCCAACCGTGGTATAATACGTTATTTCAGAAGCATGGATTCAGTCGTGTTGAAGGTCTGTCGGTTCGCCAAACTGGAACAATGATCGACAGGGTGAATATGTATGCAAGTTTTTACCGGGCCATTAAATAAACTTTTGTTAGATGCACGTTATTTTTTCTCTATTCGTGTTGGTTTTTTTGGGAAGATTTTTACATTGCTATTGTTTGTCTTGTGTAATTTGTGCAACCGTTTGATGGTATGGCAAACTCATGACGATATCGTACTTTTGCGGTTATTGTTGGATTCTGTCTGATTTGCCAGAAATGGAACGTTGGATAATTTCTTTGGAGACTTTTCTCTCTCGTTCTCATACGATTGGCCTGGTGTTAAAGGCAAAAATAGATAATTTTAGAATTCCCAAAAGTGTGGTGATTCAATTACGTGAAAAATTTTCTGTATCGTGAAGTAATCCTGCATTTACTGTGAGCAAAGTTGTTTGAGTACTGTTCATAAATCTTGTATTTTTATGACTGCAAAAGATGGAATTGCATAAAAAAGAGTGAAATATCTGTCATCTGAAAGGTTCAATTTGGGATCTATTTTTTTTTCGGGCTTTCCGTGAGTTCCATAGAATTTTTTTTTTGTCTCGCATTGGTGAACTTCGATCTGCTTCTGCTTGTGCAATGTTTCAAAGTGCAAATATTATAAATATACAGGAAAAGGGCGGCCCTGGGCACGGATTTTTTTTTTTTTTACCTAATTTCGTTCCAGTCCTTTCTCAAAAAAACCAGAAAAGAAAATAGCTCATTATGAAAGTTTGGGCCATTACTTTTAGCATTGCGACGCTAGTGGGAGGTCTGGCCAACGCTGCCGATGTTCAATACAGTGTGGTAGCGTTTCCGAAGCAATCCCAAGGCGTGGCTGTTTCCGTTGGCGGTCAGAACCATCCATTGTCAGCTGATCAGAACGTGCCCAATCTCTTCAAGGGCAAAGCCCCTTCAGGCGATTCGTATCAATATGTCATTACCGAAGGCCAGCAGTCGACTGCCGAATCTGTTCAACGTAAATTGGCTCAGTCTGCCACTTCCACTGGTAACGAATTCTTTAATCGCTCCCAAACCGTCTTTGACGTGCCTTCACTTCCTCAGGCATACAATCCCGTTTATACACGTAAGTAAACAATTTTTCGAACTTCAAAACGTGATGTTTGGCAATTTAATTGGATGAAAACGATGGATGGATTAACATTTTTTCTCTGTGCTTAGCCCTTTACACCAATATGAACCGTTCCAATGAAATCGCCACAATCGTAATGAAGGCGGACGGCGCTGCTTTGGAAGCCATTCTTAAGGATCCCTTGGGAGGTGCCAAGGCTGCCGAGGTGTATTCCATGGCCTACATCAGCAGTGAAGAAGTGCATACCTTCAAGGGCGCTTCCATCAAAAACAGCGGTCAATCCACCAAGGATTACGCCAAACAGTCGTACAAGATCGAATTCAATAAATTCAACAATGCCACCAAGGGAAACAAGGAACACTTGTACGGTCGCTCTGTTGTCAAGCTTCGATCTTTGCCCACAGATCCTACCTTTGTGTAAGTCAGCAATGTTCGTCAGGTCTCTCTTTTAAATGTGCATTTGGTTGATATTTTATTTGGATTACAGGAGAGAGAAGTTGATGCTCGACATTTTGGGCGCCTCGGGTGCCGCTACATTATCAGGCAGCTGGGCTCGTTTATACGTGAATGACGAACCTTATGGCTTGTTCTTGATGATCGATGATGCCTCTACTCGTTTCATCAACGCCGCTCTCCACGGTGGCAATAATGATTACCCTTATACTGGTAAGCACGGCTAGAATCTCGATCGCCATTGATCTGTTCACTCACTCAGTTTTATTTCTGCGTTTTTACAGGTGCTACTTACAAGGGCAATGCTCTCAGCGATGACAAGGAAGCCAACCTCGTGTATAAGGGCGATGATCCTACTGTTTATCCCAAGGATGTTTACAAGATGGAAGATACTGGTGAAACCGAGTATAAGAAGAAGAACAACACGCTGACTCCTCTGATCAAGTTCATGAGCGACTTGCAACACGTGCAAATTGCTCAGGATGACAAGAACCAAGGCAACATCTCCAAACTGCTGGACCCCGATCACACCTTGATCCAACTGGCTGTCAGTTTCCTCAGTGGTTCCTGGGATGGTGTCTGGGCTCAGGCTAGCAACTACTATTTGAACCAAGATTTGAGTTCCCAGAAATGGACTCTGATCACTTACGATTTCGATGAAGCTCTTGGCAATGGAGCTCCTGAAAACCTTTTCAATGTGACTTATCAAGATTTCACTCCCCAGGGTGCCAAGCGTCCCATGATCGAGCCTTTCATCAAGTCTCCCTACTACAGCAAGCAATTTGAAGAAACCGTCAAGACCCTGGTCAAGCGTTTCTTCAAGCCTTCCGTCATTGAACCTCGTTTGGAAGCTTGGCATAAGATGCTTCGTGAAGACATTATCTGGGATCGTGCTCTTCCTGCCCGATCTCCCGGTCAGCCTGTCAATTGGACCGTAGACGATTTTGACAAGAACTTGAATACTACCGTCCAGGGTAACCTTGGCATTGCCGAATGGATCCGAAAGCGTACCGATAGTGTGAAGCAGCAATTGAGTTTCACCGAAGAGGATGATCTCCCCGGCCTTCCAAAGTACACTGGCGGCCGCGTCATGGACAAGGATGGCAATGTTCACAGCATGAACAAGAACCAGAACCAGAACCAAGATGGTGGTAACACCAACAACGGTAACAATGGTGACAACACCAGCGGTGAAACCGGTGACAAGGCTAGCAATGCTGGTGTTGCGGCGTTTACTCCTGTCTCCATGGCGGTCGGTATGACCGTTGCTGCTGGTCTCTGCGCCATGCAATGGGTCCTGTAAACAAGAACGGATGCTGGATTTCCTTCTATTCTTTTAATTTTCACCACTCTTTTTTTTTCATCATGATAATATGTGAATAAACCATTGATATCAAATCATAATTCATCATCTATTCATACGGTCCTGGAAGTAAATTGTAATAGAACTTTGGTAGTAAGCTTGTGATTGAACCAATTCCGTGAGTTTATGAACCTTGGCAACAGAAAGGGTAGCTGTTGCCGAAACCGCTGTTGTCAAACCCAGATAAACTGCCTTCATGAATAATATTCATTACAGTTTGGACACAGTTTTTCATATTTCGTTACTGGTCTCTCTGAGCTGTCCGGTGTATTGTGAACAGAAACCACGTCAAGGTCAGTGACAGAAGAGAGCGTATGCTGATCGTTATATTTTTTTTATAACATAAGCAATTAAGCACACATTGATTTTCCAAGGCTGCCAAATCAAGCTTTTATCTCTCTTCCAAAACTTTTTGTATGTAACAAGCTGAACAGAAACTGGAGCAACAAAGAATAGCATGGTTTGGGATTAATCTCGGTTGAAGAGATCTCATTTGTGCACGAACATTTGGAGCCAAAGACAATCCACCAATCAGATGCGTAGTTGTTCGGTTTCCATAGCAACGAGTGTCCTATCGCGTAATGGGTGTCTGCGGCGCGTTAAATTTTCGGTCGCGTGCGCAGTCTCACTTCAAAAGATGCGTCGCGACTTTGGGGAGCGCTGGTTTGATCTTTTTCCACGAAACAAATCATGTCGCAGCCGATCGAAGACGAAGAAGAAGACTACGGACCATTGCTTATTTCTCATTTAGAGGTGAGGTTTTAAAATCCTGTCTTACTCTAGAATGACAATTGAACCTCGTTACTGAACGGTACTGATTTTTGTAGCAAAGCGGCATTTCGGCGACAGACATCAAGAAGCTAAAAGATGCTGGATTCTTCACAGTGGAAGCCGTGGCTTATGCTCCGAAAAAAGCATTGCTCGCCATCAAGGGCATTTCCGAGACGAAAGCTGATAAATTCCTCGCTGAAGGTGGGTGAACCGTTCATAATGGCCAAGTGCTGCGGTTGGTGGGATGCTGATGTTCAGTTACTTTGCGTTTCCAAAGCTGCCAAAGTTGTCAATTTAGGCTTCACTACAGCGATGGATGTTCACCAACGACGACAAGAGATCGTCACCATCACAACCGGTTCCAAAGATCTCGACAGAGCACTGGGAGGTATGAATGTTGGATCCTACAAGACGGATCGCTGCCCTGCGTCATGAATCGTTCATTAACCTGTTATTTTCGCAGGCGGTATTGAAACGGGGTCAATCACTGAAATTTTTGGCGAGTTCCGTACCGGAAAAAGTCAACTGTGCCACATGCTCGCCGTCACTGCCCAGGTAGGCGACAGATGATCCTTGTGCTTGCTTGGGAAACGTTGATATTCTAACACTACGCCACAGCTTCCCATCAGCTTTGGAGGAGGTCAAGGCAAATGCTTATACATCGATACCGAAAGTACATTCCGTCCGAGTCGTATTCTTTCAATAGCACAACGGTAAAACATGGTACGATGCGATGGCATGGAAAACAAGGCAACTAAATACAGAAATTTAGGTATTCATTAAATGGAGAAGAAACATTAGACAACATCGCATACGCACGAGCTTACAACACGGATCACCAAACATCACTACTTATTCAGGCAGCAGCTATGATGTCGGAGGCAAGGTAAAATTGCGTGAAATCTGAAAAAATGATTTGGAGTCAATGATAGCAAGGAGGACTGATGGATGATTTGCAGGTTTTCGGTGCTGATTGTGGACAGCGCGATGGCGTTGTATCGTACAGATTATGCAGGGCGAGGAGAATTAGCCGCACGACAAAATCATTTGGCACAGTTTCTACGGCATTTGCAGCGATTAGCAGATGAGGTAAGCTAAAACGAGGCTGAACCCAAAAAATGGCTGATCGGAAACTCATCTCATCGTTCTTGATCATAAAAAAAAAGTTTGGTGTAGCCGTAGTCATTACCAATCAAGTCGTCGCTCAGGTCGACGGAGCGGCATCCATGTTCAACCCGGATCCCAAAAAACCAGCAGGTGGAAATATTATTGCTCACGCTTCCTGTACAAGGTATTTATTGGAAATGTTGGGTTCTCAGGATTCAGTAAAGGGAAAAAAGACATTATAATACAGAATGTTATTGTTTCTAGATTATATCTTCGAAAGGGACGTGGCCCCAACCGTATATGCAAGGTGTATGACTCACCATCATTACCAGAAAATGAATGTACATTTGCCATCCAGGAAGATGGTATTTCAGACGCTGTCGAAAACTAATTTACCAATCAAAAAACTGTAAAGCATCTCATGAATAAATATATAAACAAGCAAGCCTCCGGACAATATTCCCATCAAATACATTGACGAATGTCTGACTGTGCATATTGCATGACGAGCATCACTCCTTTGGAACAAACATGAGTATCACACTTGACTACAATAAATATGCTAGAGTTAGGACAAGCCATCTATGAAGTCCATGAACTTGAGGTGGTGAAACTGCTGTATGCTTTTGTCCATTGTCAGTACTATGATAGCTTGATTTGCTACCATGCTGTCTTATTCGGCAAGTGAAGAGCCTGTTATTTTCATCTTGATCAAACAATGGTTTCGTTATTGTTCTTTTATAATACGTCGATTTACTCAATGTTTGGTTATCTTTGTACCTCTTTTTTTTTTTTTGGCACGAAATCATGATCAGATTTTTTTTTTTTTTGCTACAGATCTGGACACACGTTTGAAGGAGTTGTTCCGGGAGTCGCACCGGGACTACCTGTAATGGATCTCGTGATCAGCATGTGAGAAACCAAGTTTTCCATGATAAATACCCATTTGCATATTATCCTTTTCGACATTTGTTTTTATGATCCTTTGTAAGACTAGCATCTCTTATTCATGGAGTTTGAAGAAGTTAGCAAATTTATAAGACAAGAAACGGCACAAGATGTAAACTTATCTACGACATCACTTGATCTTCGACTTCACAATCCACGCATCGTCGATTCCCCATATATATTTCCTGGCAACAGTTTCCATCAGCAGGACCGACATGACAGTGAAGGGCTTTCGCGACGCATGACCAGTGTGACTAAGTTGGTTCGACGATTGAAACGGTCGAAATCAAAGTTGACGAAACCGGACCTTCTGCCAGATCGTTCTTTGGTTGATTCTCCGGGCAGCCCCATAGCTTGGGATGGATTTCAGCAGGATCTGGCCTATTACCGATTATTCGATGGTACCTCAATTTATATCAAACGCATGCTTGAAACCTCACCTTAATATAAAATTGCATAATTTTGTTTAGAATCCTTGACATCCTCAGCGAGCGGATCAAGGCCTGCAGGAATTTTTTCCCGCTCAAAACGTTTACGCAAACTGGACCGCAACGAATCGGATCAAGAAATAACGGATAATACAGGAACCCGAGAAACCGACGGCGAAACGTCCCCTTTTTCACCGTTTGAAGAGACGACTACCTTGCAACGGCTGAAACCACCGCGTACCTATCGAAGTTTGGATGATATGTCTTTGAACCGAAAGCGCCCGAATTCTAGCATTGTACCGTTATATGACGATGACCGATCAATCATTAACACTGTGTAAGTGGGATGGCCCTCATATCGGGAAAACGAGCAAGATGATAACGCCAAATTACTTGTTATATCAGCGATCCCGATCTATTGATTGGCTCCTTAAAGAAAGAGGCAGATCAGTTTGAAGAATTATTGGTGTTCCAGTTGGACAAAATCGAGCAGTATAAGAAAGAAATCATTCATTGGATAGCCAAACTGAAAGAAATGGACGATGCTGTTGAGGTTCATAAGCGAGATCAGAGGAAATCGATGAATGAAATGATCTGAATCGGGTGAATTTTTATAGATATTGAGCAGCAACATCACAACAATACGCTCCGAAAAGTTGATGACCATGAAGCAAATACTCAACGAGACAAACAAGCGAGAACCCTTTCTGAAAAAGGCGCGTGATCAGCACAAAAAAATTGTGCGTGGTATTGAGCATTACAGCAAATCCAACGATTCTGGTATCCGTCTCAAGCAATTGTTGGCCAAATACGAAACGGCTCATCATCGCGAAATGATTTCGGCAAGGATTCGATATTGGATTTTCCCCATTGGTAAGACACATTCCCAGATCGAGAATGCTCGTACAACACCGAAACAAAGAAGAACAAATAAAGTAACCCTAGAAACTCTGTAGTTGCTGCGTTATCGATAGGTGTAACGTGGTTGTGTTTACCATCATCCTAAAATTGCATTCCCCAATATCCCTAAACTCAAACATTATACCCAACTGTCATCGTTTGTTTTTTTATTATCATTCGCCTCCAATACAATGAATGTTTATGACAACATTGTTCCTTTCACACGTGGAGCGCTTGCACGGTTTTTCCAAAAGCCGTGCCGATCCATTCGGGCGCACCTTTACTCCATGATAATGAATTGATCTCTGATTCGGCGGTATACGCCAAGACCGGATCTTTGACCGATCGTGGCAATTGTTGGCTGTGACGTTGTTGCTGCGATGGTTGCTGATAATAGGAATGGCGATGCGATCCTTCAACATCAGCCATTTGTCGTTGGATACTCCAAACCAGCACTTGAGAATCCTCCCCTAGTAACGAAAATTTTTGTAAGAAAAACAAAACGGCTCTCCTTTCTCGCATCTATGCTTTCTATAATCTTTTTTAAGGCAAGAAACACCCACCTCCAGTAGAAAGGAGATCAGATTGTGTGGTGGACCAGCTGATGCAGTTGACGCTTCCTTGATGACCTTTCACAAGCTCGGCAACAGGAGCACTTGGATAACGAATATCCAAGATTTGAACAGCCGAAGAATCCATATGAAAGGTGGCCAATAAATTGGGATTGCATCGGTTGAATTGCAATCGCAAGAGTGGAAATGTGCCTGGATTGCCGGCCGTGTATTCTCCATTTGATCGGCGCGGAACATTGGAGGCCGCTGGAGGCGCCTCGTATAGAATTGTTGAATGTTCAAGCGATCTGTATGACAAAATAAATGATATGAGCTAGAATAACAAACTGTGTATTGGATGATGAGGATAGTACCTTAAATCGAACAGTCGAACTGAACCATCGGCACCAACACTGGCAAAGATATCAGCCGATCCATGCATGAAGCCTACGTCGTAAACATCGCTGTCATGGGCAATTAATTGGGTTTTGGCTTGATTGGTTTCAACATTCCAGACTGTGCATGTTGTGTCGATGCTGGCTGTAACGATTAATGATGGATCTGTTTCGTTCCAGTCAAACGAAGTGAGCGGAGCGCAGAAATCGGTTTGTTTCATCTATGCATTCTTCGTTGAACTTGCTGAATTTGGGAGAGAGGAAAGACCTCATTGGTGCCTGTATACTTACGTTGACCAGTTCAGCTTTTTTCACTAGCTGTTGCATATAATAAGGTGGGCTTGATCGGCCACTGGAGCTATTGATGGAATTGCTGGTATTGCCGTATCGTGGGTTATCCACCAATTCCCATATCCGTAGAATGTCGCCCGTCGTAGCAAGAAGATCCGAGTTCCGTGCATCACCCTGATATTGAAAGCCGGTAGGAGATTTCAATCTACAGGCATTACATTATACTCCGGGAAAGTGGCACATGAAGGTCCATTCCACATCATGACAACCAAAAGAAATTGAAGTGCAAACAATCTGTCTCCTTCTTTCGCCCTCCCTCAGCCCAGAAACAAATAAAATAAAAGAAAGCCAGACCAGAAACATACCCTCCACGGTTCCCATAAAACTTTGGTCAGGGGATAGTGTGAGTCCGCTTCTGCCACAGCCGTAAAATCTCTGGGTTGATGACTGGAACCGTAAACACCATCAATCAAATCAGTGCGCTGAATAACTTGTAGCTATCAAATGCTAATGTTACTGAAAGGTTTTCTTAGGGTTTCGGTTCAGATGGTAACTTACCTTGTTGTTGCTATCTTCTATGAAGCTACCAATGGCCATACGAAACGCTTTGCGCTCATGGGGACATTTGCTCCAGTCGAGAGCAAACACCGACCACGGAGCATCATACTGGTATATCTCTTTGGACGAGGAATTGGACGTTTGTCTTGAGTTATGCATGAGCGACAACAAAAACCGAAAAAAAAGAGAAAAGCCAAAGATACCAACGCGAGAAGCCAGATTGCGTACCAAGGCGTTTATATTGATGTCGACGTCATCAATCAATTAATAAGGGTAAGTGGCACAAGTTAATAAAAAGGAAGAATAAGGAGCTCATTTATGACGATCTTCATCTCCTCTGACTTGCTCAGTGTTTGAAGGATGTCTTGTTTTAGATTTATCTGACAATGTGTATTGAGGACATGTCTGTCTCGTTCAAAATTACATACAGCCATCCATCAGGACAATGCAGAGTCCTGTCTAATGACGTGAACCACTTTTTTTTATTACACGATTGATTGATCACATAGTAACAAGAGCATCTAAATAAGTAAAAATGCTTTTATATTGGGAACTGGGCATATAAACATGGTACAATTTTTGTCAGCTTGTTGCTTATGCGACGATCCGCTTTCAAACAACGTTGGCGCGAGATTGGAACCCAGCACCATCGTCGAATCGATCATTGGACACTGATTGCATGTTTGCTAAAGGTGCATTTGCACTTGACTAGTCTTGAAAGTTTGGAAATACCAAGCATCATTGCCCAATAGCTTGAATTGTCTTTCGATGCTTCGACCCCTTTGTTTACAAGGCAACCAATCTTTCTCTATCAGCGCTGGCTTAAAGCGGAGGAGCCTATCTCCACGGTATCATGTCAAGAACGCTGCAGTGGTCCGAAATAATACTCACCGCCCCTTTAGCCGCAATTCCAAATCAATTTCTCGGTTCTTCCAATATACGCTCTCAAAGATTTGCAAAAAAAAAAAAAAAAAAAAAAAACTTGTCGCGGGCGATGCTCTGTTTTACCGTCACGCAAAGATACTATGGCATTCACAGCGTTCATCAGCAAACTACAGTACCAAAGTTTAATAACCTGATTACAATTATTTTTTCGTGTCGTTAGCTGCGTACCTTCACTATATACAGTCTGTACAGTAGCACTACTCAAGGGACGTAGCAAAAGACAACAGCGGATTGTTCGCAATAATACTGCATCGAAAATAATGGCAAGTGTAATCAATGAACAAGCTTTTAGATGACGGCATCCACAAGCTTAAGGTACGACAGTATTGAAGGTGGCTGAATGATTTCTGGGGATGAAAAACTTTATTGGCTAAGTAATAAGTATTGGAAAGCCTAATTAACAAATGCTTCCAGTCGTGCAAAAAATGTCTTTTTTTTTTTCAGGAGAAACTTGTGTTGACGATGGGATAATGGCAAAAGCCAAATTTGACAATAAGGCATATGATGTGAGTAATTCACATCCAATGTGTGTTCTGGAAGATTGGGTAAATTACAATGTTTGAATATAAACTGCTCTTTTCTTTACCAAATATAAACATTCTATTTTAAAAAGGTGAATCGCAATAAACATGAGGTTATTGGATCGTTCACAAACGTAGCACTTGTAGCAGAGGACCATTTAGTGAAATGCTATGCAGAAAGAGATTTTTTTCTCTTTCTCAAAAATCAGGGACCAGTAATGTCAAGCGATTTATCAAGAAGCTGCACTGTCCCATGCAGCGGTGGCGAACTCCTTGATGCCCTGAATGCAGACAATGCAGAAAAAGCTCTTCTTGACATGGCTTTATTCAGCCACTTGTTTAATGCTTCTCTAGGCAAGCCCTGTGTGCTTGCCGTTCATAGCTTCCCTAATTAATAACAACAGAACTGCTACAAGTTTTTCCAAGAAAATGGAAAATTAGCTTTATGATCCTGATCAGGCGATCGACCATGGCGGTCATCTGACAAAGCAATGAGAATCTTCCAAAAAGACACGACATCAACCAAAGGCCGAACAAAGATTATGTTTTTTACACTAAAACACCGGTGAAACTTCCCTAAGCTTGAACATTGTTGTATTATGAGCTAGACAAAATCAATTCCGGATATGCTATGACGCGCTTTGACAGCTAGGTTGGTACGGAGGTTATTTTTTGCTGCGCCTAAGCCCCTCATCTTCCACGATGCAGCAGCAGCTCTAGCACCAGCATGGAAGAAAAAAAAGAGAGAAGCACACTATTTTCCTCTCTTCTTCATATGATGATCTCAAAATAAGGCATATTATTTTCTATATTACTTCTTATATTGAACGTGTTGATTGGGTGTCGATCAAATAAGCACTGATAAAATCATGATTAGCCTTAAACGGGCGTTTCGCTGGTAACCAAACAAGGCAATAGCGGAAATTTTGCACGCCCGAATGATCAAAAGGTTAAAGATAGCGGCGGGTGCTGTGGTTTTCATTTCTGGGTCGTTTCTTTTTTTCTTTTTTCTCGTCTTTTGTTCGATTTGTGCTGAACTGAACCGAACCGAACCGATCTAGAAATCACGGAAACGGCCATTCACTGGTTTTAATATCAGTATCAAGTGAACAAGTGCGAAACAAGTGAGGATGATTGTTTTGAATGACGATGTGCGATCTGAAGCATGACACGCCGGATATCCTAGTTTGTTTCCGTGCGTAATAACAACTGCAGTATATTACAATTTTTTATTTATTTATACTTGGCTTGACTCGTCGGAAAACCACCATCTCCTCCTTCTCCTTCTTAACCTGCTTGTGTTGTCCTTTTTTTTTGTTTTTCTCTTTTCTTTTCTCTTCTCTCATTTGATACCCCTTTTCTCTCCCTTGAACCTTTTTTTTTCTGCGTCTTTACATTTGGCTTATAAATGGCAACCGACGTTCTTCGTGACAAACCTTCAACATCCGATATTTCATCATTTCCCGCCCAATCAACCAAAGGGAAAAGACAACGGAGTATTACTCTTACTGGTCCTGCCGCTTCCAATCGAATTGTGGCTTCTTTGACAAGGAGAAAAACCGATTTACGTACACAAACGCCACCTTCTTCTGATACCGACAGAAACATTAAAGATACCACCACTCGAAGATCGTCCCTCAAACATGTTTCTTCCATTGCAGGGCTAATGATGCGTCGTTCTACTTCTACCAGCTCCACTGCCACCAACAACACCAAGCCAGATCCTGTTCCTCCTCCTCCCAATTTTCGTTCGAGACGAGACTCCATTACGCGGGCCATGGTGGCCGGGTCGGCAAAGATGGCTTCCTTGGCTACGTCCAATTACAACAAGAAAATTAGCCATGTGCCTACCAATGTTCAGGATCCTATCAACGGAAAGGCAACGAGAGGAAGTAGTATGCATTTGTTAAAGCGACGCAATAGCACTATTATCGATCCCAGTGTTGTCCCCACGCGTCCCGTCACACTTCGACCTTCGTCGTCCACCTTGCTTTCGCACCGCAGAGATTCCGACCATGAAACAACGGCAAGCAAGCAACCCCATCCGATGGCAGCGGAGCCTCGAACGCCTGTTGATGATATCCCCGCAGCCAACAGCCATGCCTCCTGGACATTTAGCTTGCGACGACCCTCGTCACCATCACGACTACCGTCACGACGTGGATCCATCGATCCCCAAAAAGGGCCTCCCCGCAATACGCTTCGTCGGTCGAGTGTCGTTAGTGTGCCAAGCCATCCATCTCCTGGTATCAGACGTGAGTCCACCAACGGATCTATTTGCAATGCAACGACAACCCAGTCAAAACCACTCCTTCGAAAACAAGGTGACACAAACAGTTCTACAGCAGTGATGCGCGCGGCACCAGGTATGGTCGCACCAGATGCTGCAGTTGGCCCCTATCCTACTGAACCGGTCATCCAGAAAAAGACAATTCAAATTCCTTCATCTATTTGCTCCTCTTCACCATCACCATCCGCCGATCCGCCCACGGCGACGCCTGAACCATGTGATACCGACAGTTCCAGCATGACGTCGTCACGCAGAAGTAGTGAATCCGGCAGTCAACCAGCAGCACAACAACAACAGCGATGCCATCAACACCACCCATTGTCGACAGTGAATGCTAGTTTTATGCGCCGATCCAAGTGTGCAGCATGCAATCCCCACGCTGCCACGTCAACTACCAATGGTGGCCTTGATTCTATTTCTACACAAGGAAATGCATCAGGAGGCATCCTCACTAACCGTCAAAGGGCGGCTTCCCAATCTGGTTCTTTCCAAGGCAGCTCCGGAAGCAGCAGTGGTCAATCCGTGGTTTCCGGTCAGCGATCTCCATTCTCGGCAGCATCCAACGAATATGGTATTGCCAATGTGACCGGACCGGGCCACGACAAAGGGTCTGGTACGGGGCCATCTGCTAATGGGGCTAACGGGGCCAATGGTGGTGTGCCTACTGGGCGTCTTGACTCTTATTACTATTTCCGTCGACACGGGCGGTTGCCTTCGGATGAAAACGGTCCTGCGACCAACGGACGATCGTGGGCTGCATTCGAAGCACACTATTTTCAATCGAGTCACTCGGCAAGTTCAATCATTGATCACTCGGTCCGAGATTATGGCAAGCAGCCAGATACCAACACATTACCTTGTAAATCCAAAAGTCATGTCGAGCGAATTTTATCACGATCGCCTACCACCCCTATCCCTGGTGCCGATCATCCTGGCTCTCTCACTTCCGATAACGCGAGTCACGAGTTTCCTCCAGACCGCCGATCCTTGCCAGCGACTGCATCGGCATCCACATCCACATCGGCATCGGCATCGGCATCGGCATCGGCGTCTGGCTCGGAATCAACGCATGGGGCCAATGCCGGTCATGCTGTGGCTTTATCCTATCCTACGATTCTTGGTGTCCAAGAGCAAGTGACAGAGACGCCTTCCGACAGCCGATCGACTGCAACAACCAGCGCTTCATGTTCGTCTCAGTTGATGTGTTCAGTGGAAAAAAATGCACGTCAACCACAGGCGCGTTTTCAACAACTTTTGGCCAATTCCATGTCTCAGTCGCAGCATTTGGCCAAGCTATCCCAGGACTTGCTTTCAGTGTCACCGAATAATCTGGCCAAACTTTCTTCCGACCGTTCCGATCCACGTTACCATCAACAAATGCAGGAATGCAAAGCAATTGTCAAGTCGCAGAAACAGATGCTGGACGAAATGGATAGCTTGTTAAAGGCCATTGAACAGACAACAACGACGGTATCCGAATCTTTCATCGCCACGCCTTCATCCTCTATTAGCTCAGATTGGATGGAGAACAAGGCCGCATGGATGCGGTGGAATGTAAGCCGATTGATTGGTGGAACCGTGGGTACAGGCGATATTGTTGGCTATGAAAAGACAGCCGATGGCATGGCAGTGGTGGTGGTTGCTGGAACAAGTGTGACAACCGAAGCGTCACTGCTTCCAAAGGTAAAGTTTCCCATGCAAATCGGTATTTCATAAATTTTTATTACTCCCATGCTAAAGCTTTTACATTCAACTATGATATTGCAGCACTTGGGTCCTGTGCAAGCAACGGCTGGAGTCTACCACCATCGGTACATATTACATTTGACAAGGGACGACCAAAAACACAATTTCGCGTTGTTGCCTGTAAGTGAATGGCAACCGGACCATGAGGCTCAACAGTGTGAGTTGAAAGATACTGGTTGTTCGGCCCAATTCGGCTGGCTTCAACGGCGCCATCACTGTCGCAAGTGAGTACAACTCCATTTTGTATAAGCTTCTTTTTTGTTGTTGTTGTTGATTTCATCTGACACATACTGTTTTGTTGATGTGTAGATGCGGCCGTGTCTATTGTCACACCCACAGCACCAACCGACTTCCCTTATTTGAACCACAAACCGAAAGAGCCCACTGGTCGCGTGTCTGCGACAGCTGCTTTTATCAATTGGCAGGACCACATTTGATCAACAGCAGCAACAGCACCAGCACCAGTCATTGATAGGACTAGCCATGCAGGAGGATACTATCTGTTCAAAAGGGAATTACCAGCAATTACAGCCTCTATATGATGGTCTTCCGTAAATGTTTCATCCTTTCGCAGTGGTTTATTGCAGCACCTCCGTTTCAGCTGCTCCGGTGTGAACAAAAAAAAAGTGCTGCTTTTCTATTTGTAATACAATGTAACTTACAATACGCTATGACTTACTGTTTTCAAAGAAAAACATATGAATTTCCATTTAGTATCCTTACTAGTAATCAATTCGTTTTTTTATACCTCTTAACAAAGATCTATTTCTATTTATAGAGTCCAATAGTCTTCAAGTGATCGGATGCCCCTTTGGAGATATTGACACTTGGTCGTCATTTTCAACAAGATCTGTCCTTCATTAACCTATCTCATATTACAGTTAGGTTAAAGCATAAACAAAAGAGACATTTGTTATGGTGGCAAAAGTATGGAATCCCATAAACCATTATAAAGGATACAGCCATGTCGTAGCGGGAACTAACTAAGTAACTTCACATGTAGTCAGACAAGAGCTGAAAAAGCTTTATATTGGGTAAGTTCTTGGCTCCCGACGATGACCGCATCTTTTAGTTCGATCTATTTATCTATTATACAGAATGGCGTGCATGGATTACGACCTACAGTATCCTGCAAAAAGCGTGTGTCGAGAAGCTGGAATGATAATATTGGTGAATTGATCCTTTCATATTCCATGTTCATATGGACATGAAGTAGGAGGTAGTAGTGTGTTTTAAGAAAAAAAGCTACATTCTAGATGGTGTGTCAGAGAATGTTTGACGATAGACTTGAGAAACGTAAAATAGCATGGCTCATGAGGCCACGTGACGGTGATTTAGGAAAGGCGGAAGTCCAACGTGGGAGGTGCCCAAAAGAAGGAGCGAAGCATTTGAAATATTGTCGTGTTTTTCTGCAAGAATCACAGACAGCTGCGCAGTGCGAACCAGCGATGCGTTTGTTTGTGGTACATTTATAACTGTGAGAGTTTTACGCAGGCAAAATTCGATGTGAGTATTGCGGGGTACCAAAAGCTGGCCAAGTGAAGTATCAGATCAACAAGACTACCAAAGAGAGGGCAGATCAACGGTGTTTAAAAATATACCAGGCTCGAAGAAAGTCAGCCAGAGTCAGCCCAAGAAATTGGCAAAGCGGCAACTCTAATTTTTTGTCACGACTGTAGCCAAGTTCGTGCTTCCCCATCTTTACTCACAGCAGCACTTTTGACATTCTCCATTTGTATTCATTGTGTTCACCTTTGTCATCTCGATTTTAGTCGACGCACCTTTTTTTCTGGCTTGTATTTTTTTAGTTGGAGTGGGTGATATCCTAGTTTGAACCTCTTGCTTGGAACTCTCCTCATCCGAGTAACTCGCTCCACGTTTTTTCCAGTTTCTGTGCTTCAACACCTCCACAAAGTCTTTTTTTTTTTCTTTACCCTTGACACTTTTTATTCCTTGCAACTCATTTGATAGTTCGCCCCGTTTTCGGTTGAGGCCAAGTTTTCCTACTTTAGTTCTCTCTTCTTTATACGTTTTCCATATTTTCTCTTTCTCGGCCGTAACGCAACGATTCTTGATTCCTTGGAAGAATGCATCGTACCGCTTTCGCCGCCGATTACTCTTTCCGCTCACCGGATATTCAACAACCAAAAGCGCGGCCTCATCCACAGGGACAGGTAACCCAAGTAACCTCTGTCGCCAAGCTTTGGCCAGGTTCTCATTTCCCGTTACTTTTATAGTTGGCTTTCATGATGGCAGACAAAGCAGGCCGTGAACGTGATCTGTGCGCCGATTCACCACCACTAGGACAAGAACGAGCCAGCAGCGCACCACCGGATCCGTTATTGTACCACACATGGATGGAATCTTCACGCGCTCCAGAGCTCCCTTCACACATGCAGTCGACGTGGAAGACGAACGCAGGTATCCCTTTTTATGCTCCAACCTCGGCCGGAAATCAAGTATGGTCCAATCATCCTACCCCCAGTATACCATCGTTTTCTGCTGGCACCTATGGTAAAGTATTGAGTAGACCTTGATTGTCGCCAACGGGGTTTCAGTAGTATCTAAGACACATATTAGCTTTAGATCAGACAGGGTACTTTGACAGTGCCTTGCTTGACAATGACAATAGGCAAGTTCATGATATCAGTGGGAAAAAGGCCGAGATCAATTCCGGCTGGGGATCATCCAATTTGCCTTCACCCTCATCGGAAGGAACGCTGAATGCTGGCATTCATCAACGATCATTTCCTGTAAGCTTGCCCATAATCAATTCATGCTAAAAATGTCAAAAAAACAACTCACAAAAATATATCTTTTAAATGGAAAACCCTGGTATCCTTAGACATTGGATCGATCACGTTCAGGAATGACAGCATCGCAGTCGTCGAACAAGCCGGGCCATCCTCTCGAGATGCGAAAGCTATCTGACGATTATCGTTCTTATTTTTCTCCTCTCTCCAGTCCTTATGAGCCTTTGCCCAACGGTCAAGAAATAATGCATGGAATTCCAGCTTCCCCATTTGACACCGATTTATCTTTGTCACAAACCAACTCACGACCTTCATCCCCTTTTCTGCAACGAACCATGTCCCCACCTCCACGTGCCAATTCTACTCCACCTACCCAACAGTTTCGTCATCTGCAAGGAGGAGATGTAGAGAATCGTGGTTACAATAGCTTGTTGCACGCCACTTCCAACTTATCCATCGCCGACAAGGTAAGTGCGAAGTCACCTCAGTCTTGGACTCTACTGCAGCAACTAAATAAACTTGGTACCTTGAAATTTTTTTTTTTGATTTGTAGCCTACCGAAACATCCAGCATGAATCGGTTGTTTCAGCAGCGTTCATCTTATTGGTTGAACCAACTGCCGGGAAACCCAGCACGACATCAGAGTCTAGATGCTGTGTTGACCGAAACCAGTGCTTCCTTTATGCCAACCTCAAAAGCCATGATACCTCCAGGTATGTGATGCAACGTACTTTTTGATTCCATTTCTTCTCCCGTGGCAATAAGCTAACAATTGCATAAAGGTACTTTGCCTACGGGACAAGATATCCAACCTGGAATGATCGCCGGTTACGGTTTACGGAAATCATCTAACGTATGGGATGGCAGTGGAGAGATGGTGGGCCTTGGTAATCCTGGACATCCTCCGATGACCGGTCGTCCGTCGCTGAATAAATATGCATCCACGCCATCGTTACCTGGGTTTGGTCACTCGGACTTTGCGACCGAAGAAGATCAGCTTCGATGGTTAAACGACGACCTCGCTTTTGCTTCGTCCCAGCCTACTTCGCCTCCGCCACCATTGTACACAAAACCCAACTTTGTATCCATGGACCGCACCGTTGCTCCGAATGGATACCTAAATGAGCGTATGCTACATCAATTGCATTCCAGGGAACGGCAAATTCTCATGCAACAAGAACAAATCTTGCTGTTACAGGAACAGATGCTCCGACAGCAACAGCAACAGCAACCATTGCCTCCTCACGACATGCTTCGTAATACGTATACCGTGGCACACCGACCTGCATCTGCTGCTGGCAATCGTGGGCTTTTACATTTACATGAATCGCTCAGCACGCCTACCACCGACGTTATCCCCATCATTCGTAGCCCCTTATTGGAGGCTTTTCGAAGCAACAAAAATAAGAAATACGAACTCAAGGCAAGTTGTCATTGTTACTACATCCATCGAGCCAATTTCCAACGTTTTTCTCCTTTTTTTATTTTATTTTCAACAGGATATTGTGAATCACGTCGTAGAGTTTAGCGGGGATCAACACGGTTCGCGATTCATTCAGCAAAAATTGGAAACAGCCAGCAGCGATGACAAGCAGCTCGTCTTTAATGAAATTTTGCCAAACTGTCTTCAGTTGATGACCGATGTCTTTGGAAACTATGTGATCCAAAAACTGTTTGAACACGGTAGTCAAGCGCAAAAGACGATTTTGGCACGCCACATGGAGGGACATGTTCAGTCGTTGTCGCTTCAAATGTACGGTTGCCGTGTGGTGCAAAAGGTGATTTATGAAAATAGAAAGATGAGCAATAGGGAGGATTTATTGCTAACATGGTTTTGTGAAATTTAGGCTCTGGAGCATGTGTTGACTGATCAGCAAGCTCAGCTTATCCGTGAATTGGATGGCAAGGTTCTCAAATGTGTGAAAGATCAAAATGGCAATCATGTTGTACAAAAAGCCATTGAAAGAGTTCCTGCTCAGCATATCCAGTTTATTATTGAAACTTTCCATGGCCAAGTATTTCATTTAGCCACGCATCCCTATGGTTGCCGTGTGATTCAACGCATGTTTGAGCACTGTCCTGAAGAACAGACCGTAAGTCACGAGGGAAAATATAGACGCCTTTTAGGCATGCTTTGAGGCTCAAAAATTTTGTTTCATGATTACGTAGAGCCATTTATTGGAGGAACTTCATCGCAGTACTCGGTTATTGGTCCAAGATCAATATGGCAATTATGTGATTCAGCATATTCTTGAGCATGGCAAGCCGGAAGATCGCGCATTGATTATCCGTAAAATCCGAGGTCATACGCTACAATTAAGCAAGCATAAGTTTGCCAGCAATGTGGTGGAAAAGTGCGTGGCGCATGGTAACAAGCAAGAACGCCAAATGTTGATTGATGAAGTGCTCCAAGCACGTCTCGATTGGTAAGTGCCGTCACGGCATCATCCCTTATGGATAGCAATTGTTACATTTTTAACCTTTTCATTCGTTAGCTCGTATCCTTTGGTGTCCATGATGAAAGACCAATATGCCAACTATGTAGTGCAGAAAATGCTGGACGTGGTTGATGGTGAACAACGAGAGCTTCTGGTGCGCAAAATTAAGCCTCATTTACCTGGTTTGAAGAAATACACCTATGGTAAACACTTGATCAGCAGTAAGTTGTCCCCCGCGGCTGTCCACTTGTCGTTCTTTAGTGAATCGTGACTCACATTGTTGAATATGATGTTTCCGTGTCTTGCAGCATGCCTAGAAGTAGAGAAAAAGTTGCTCCTTGAAAAAGAGGCTGAAACGGCAACTCAGTTGGTGAAAGAGCTTGATGTTGCCGAGCAACCAGATACCCAAGAAGAGACCTCCGCCTAACCTGTATTATGCGATTCGATGTAGGCCAAAATCGGTATTTGTAGAGATATTACTGTATATTTCTGTTTGATCCAAGGATGCAAATCCTTTGGTCACCTTTGATTCTTGTTTTTCTTTTTGTTTTGTTTTTTCTTGTTTGTGTCTTTCTTTGTTTGTACTTCTTTGACGCTAATTGTACATTCCATGAGCGTTCTAGAATAAGTGTTGTCTTCCCGCTTGTATAACTTTTTAGATATTTCCCCCTCCAAAGTAAATTTGATATCAACATCAGTATACCTGTTGCTTTGCTTTTATTCATAAAGAAGTTGCACAAGTTCTTTTTCCTCGTCCATTTATTTTCAAAGCTACCGCGTTATGGCGGTTGCCATAACGAAATCAGTGGACAAGGACTTGGTGATGCCCATATATGTAATATCTTTACAATCATTACTAAATCAAGGCTGGTGGAAATAAGGCACAGAACATCAACAAGACGGAAAAAGGCGATAAACAAAACGACCGGCCAACAAAAAGAAGCGAAAGCGAGCAACAGCCAGCTTGAAGATTGAAAACCAAGAAACATGTCGTTGTGCATGTTCCGTGCCCTAGGCATGCTGCTTTGAATCATTTGAAGGTAAACTGATTATATCGATTGCGTTGTTCAACGAGGATATTGACACCTTGTTTATGCTTTGGATCCCAGAAAACGCCAAAGAGACGAACGAAATATACGATTGCGACAGAACATCAGGAATTCATTAGCTTAAACGAACGTCACTGGTATCCATCAATCGTCCTGATACCAGCCGAAATTCGACCAGCAGGTGAATTTTCCATGGTAATATACAATAACAAAAATTGGGTACAGAGAATAGAACGCATGCTGTATTACAATTTGATTAAAGAATACACGGGAGCGTCCAACTTCTTTGCACCGTTGAGGAATTCGAGCTCCATGACGAAAACGTATTCAACGGTAGTGCCACCGCATTTGCGAACCAATTCACCGGCCGCACCGGCCGAACCACCAGTAGCAATAAGATCATCAATCACAATCACCTTGGCACCAGGTTTCACAGCACCCACTTGCATCTCAAAAATATCCTACAACCATTTTTCATTGGCGCGAAAATGGGTTACAGATGAGATTCATCTCCTACAGCCGCCAACCATCCAGTTACCCGCACCGATCGATTGTATTACCTTGCCATATTCCTTTTCATACACAGCAGAAACGCATTCACCAGGAAGCTTTCCTTGCTTACGGACAGGAACAAATGCTGCACCAAGACGGAGAGCGACCAAAGGACCGAACAAGAAACCTCGTGCATCCAAACCTTGTATAAAAAAAATAAAAAAAGGCCTTCAATATGCGACTGTCACTCAACATGGTGCCTATGCAACTTACCGACAACAGCGTCAATCTTTTCTTGATAAGTGGAGTTGATGTGGTAGACAATGTTGCTGATTAAAGCTTCGACGGCTGTGGGGTCCTGAAACACTGGGAACATGTCCTTGAAAACGATTCCCTGATCCCCCCCAGTATTTGCTTCATTAGACTGACGATGCAGTGATGGGCCACGATTCGCAACAAATATATACCTTCTGGGGAAAGTCCTCATGGGTACCGAGGAGGTTCTTGATACGTTCGATATCGTAATTGCTCATAGTAAAATGAAAGAGACGGCTGGAAAGAAAAACGAAAAACCCAATTTTTTTTTCCCTTTATTGCATGTTCCCCCCAATCATTATTAAGTGACTGTCAAAAGATTTTAACCTTTATTGCCTCGGTTGCCTAGGGAAAAAAAACGAAAGCATGGTTACTACAGTGATGCATTATAAAAATAAAAACAAAATCCCATTACCCCATCCTCGTGGATTCGCTTCTACAAATTCGTCCCATTCACGTTTCTTCATCGTCTCGGCATCGATTGCTGCCTCATCGTTATCATCAATTTCAGGCTTAGGAGGTTGTTCTCCGCTACAAATTTTCGAAAATGGATGATGAGATTCAAGAATGAAAGCGGGGTGATGTTGCAGTCTGTGGATTCCTTACCCGCCCTCAATGATATTGCCTCGTTCCTTTTCTTGCTGTAGGTATTCATCAATGGTCATTGTAGGTAGGTTCCAGCCTGGTTTGAACACTTGATCTTTCAACTGTTGACGTTTGTTGGTGATGACAAACGGTTGCAACGGTTTTCCCTTGGGATTCAGTAACGGTTTATCACGACCCCAGTTCTCTCTTGGTTTCGGTGGCGCTCGCGTATCCGCATCATGAATTGTACCGCGCTTTGCCATCATTTCCTGCATAATTTCCATTTCCTTGACCATGACCATTTCCTGATTGATGCTGTGCAGCTGCTCCAAGGATTTCAGGATCTCAATATCAATCTCGGCCAAAATACAATCGCGTGCCATATCATCCATATCTTGATCCTCTTCTGCTGCACCCAACTGTTTCTGAAGTGATTCGATCTTTTCGCGGATTGCTTTTTCTCGTTTAAACCGTTCAATTTTCTGCTGTCGCTGGATCGCTGGGTTTAAACTTGACTTGGATTCGGCGCTGTGCCTCTCGAACTCCTCCACATCCTGCTTGCCCATCAATTGATGCTCTTTGCATACCGCAAGAAATTCCTTGTAGTAATCCTAGTAAATCATGAAAATGCCCAAAAAAAAGTAGTTTAGAAGACATCATTTTAAATAACCCTTCCATTCTGGTGTGGACAAAAATAACAAGCATCTTTTTGCCCCTGCTCGCTTTTCTTACCTTGGCAATTTCTAACGTGGCTTTACGGTTTTCTATGCCAGTTTTCTTTAACGTCAGATTACCGAGATAAGCAGGCACCATTAGGAAGCGGAGATCGTTGGTATTCACGTCTTCAATAAGTTCGTTACTGCTAAACATATCCAGTCGTGTAATGAGTTCATTGACTCGAACGAGTCGGGCCGTGGCGTCGGCCACTTGATCCTGGTAAGCCGGGTCATTACTGGCCAGACTTGATTCTTCCAAGTCGAATAAAAGCTTTTGCCCCGTCCTGAACAGTTGCCCAAGTGGCAAATTCTCCAACTGCGCCATGGTCTACACGAAACGCAAGGAAAATATGATGAACCGATCAGTGCGCTCCGCTTCTTTTTTCCGGCCTCACTTGGAGGTTCCACAGAACAAGTCACATCCCTGAAATGGGGTTCGCTGGACCTCTGGAAAATAAGCGACGTCCCTCCCTCAATAAGAGGATTCGTTTATTGTGTGTTGTAATAGAGCTAAAAAAATATATAGCTAATAATAGTTAAAGAGCATTACATATTAGAATCTACAGTAGCAAAGAATTAATTATAATGACGGATGATTAAGATGTGTTAAATAACCGGATTTGTTCAAGAATATCGGTGCAGGCAGGCACATGTGAAGTCTGTTCCCAGGTATCGAGTGTCGAGCAGTGAAGTTGTTGATCAGATAACCAATTGATATACTGCTGTTCAATGATCTGCGCTTCTTCATTGTTCAAAATCTGAAAAAGCGATAACAGATCACTGCGCATCATCGCCATGTTCTGTCGACTTGTATCCAGCTTGATCGCTTCCTTGTAATACTGCTTATCAAACCATACATTGAAAGGCAGTTCTCTGGACGGCACAGGTTGATGCGCTTGCACAAATTGTTGGTAACTACAGAAAATTTAATGTAAGCGTTCAAAAGCAACTATGGAGGATTAGATCACACAGAATCGGGTCATACCAAGGAGTTCTGGCATATGATGGTTGGAATTTTGTATTGAGGATGCCTTCATCCAGATCTCGCAGGTAAACAACATGTCGCACAATGGTATCGTTTGTGTGAGTTTTGCGCTCGAATTGCTGCATCGATGCAGTCTCGCACCGTGCCCGACCAGGATAATTCCACCATTGGAGCGTGAGGCTCGTCATGGCCATGCCGTAAATAAGCAGCACAGTGATGGCTGCAAGAACAATAACACCTCTGCCTGCTAGTACTTTGACAGTCTCGGGGAATAAGGAGTGTGAATGTTTGAGCGATAGCGAGGATGCGGTTTTGTTGTGATACTGAGCAGCAGAGGCGTTTGAGGACGGAGCGACTGGATTCTGTTTGCTGCTGCAGGCTGCCGATGGGATTTCTCTTTTGTTTGAAGCAGAGGGTTGAGTTGCCATTTTGTTTACTGAATTCGAAGGCACAGCGGTCATTTGTGGACTTAAATGAACGTTTGATGGGTGTTCTTTTTCAGCTCTGTCAGAATGTTTGATAGTAGCATCATGCGTGGTCGGTGTATCAGGTTGAACGGATGTCTTCTTGGTCTCTAATGTTTGCACATTCTCAATGGATACACCTGCTTTTTTCAACGCATGGCTCTGTGCTTGGCTTGCTTCGGCGGCAATATTTTGCGCGGTGTCTTTCAGGATCGGGATAAAGACATTGACACTGTCAGCCATGCCTTTGAGTGCAGCGCGAGTGACAATGGCTATCAACACATATATGTATATTAATTACCCGATAAAGTTCATGGTTTTTTTTTCTTTTTGCGGTAGGCCCTCACCTCGAACCATGACTCTCTGTACCCATCGTACGCCGAGATGCAAAGATAATTTGCATTGATCCTTGGAAACATAAGTGATGCAATATTTTACAGAGGGTATAAAGGCTTCCGCATACGGTAAAGCGGCCGTTTTGGTCGAGATTTGCACAACGTAGCGACTGCAGCGGACGATAAGCAACCGACCAATATCCATCATTCCTCGGTGGCTGTACTTACATGTGATCTTCTTTCTTTAGCAGATTCTGAGTTTCCACTACCTCTGCTTCCTTCATACGAACTAGGATCATCATCGCCGTGATTTATAAGAAAAAGGTATCCCTTTTATAGCACTTCTCTACTCCTGTTTCTTACCGATGGGATTGGAGACCGGCATCCAATAGCTGAGGAATCGTTGGGTTCCGTTTTCAGTGTTTTCCCAATGCGTCACTTTCAGATCTGTCAAGCGTAATACAGAAAATACATGGATATGATTGTTTACTTGGTCTTTCTACTCGACGTCACTTACCATGGCCGGCAATAGCGGCTGTTTTGCCTTGCCAAACGCCACCATCGGTAGGAGCTGCATTCTGCTCGTCGGAAAACATCAACTCAAACAAGCGTTTGGCCGAAATAGGAAAATCAATCTCGGCTTCTAATCGGTCCAAATGATCCTCGCATCCACACTCCACAGGTCCCTCTGGAAGCTCAAAGTTTGGCGGCAATTCATCTGCATGTAAATAAAAATGAGCAAAATAAAGAAGAAATCTTTATAGTTTAGTGAACAGGCAAACCACACACCTGTTGCATTGGCACCGCTGGATTCAATCGTAGCTTCACCCGCAGACAAATCATCGCTAATTTCAGGTGTTTGATCTGCCTCCTCCACTGTGGTAGTGGTGCTAGACGAAAGATATGCCTCGTCACTCTGTTGAGCGATGGACCTGGAGCTGATAGCTATGACCATGCTACTCTGTTTTGGTTTGGACAAGGCGAGTATTTTTTGATATACGTTGCGTAATTGCATAGGCTACGCGAGTGCAACTTCTTTTAGCAAATCTGCCATAACAAACGAGCGAACGATCACCATACAAACCTCGGACGATTTGGCATTATTGAGAAGAAATCGAAGCTTCTCGACCACCATTTCAGGACCTTGAGTTCGGCAGCTCAACAGCAAGGGACTTGCAAGGGATCCGGAGTAGCCTTCGACAAGGTCAATCGCTACCACCGACTCGACTGTATTACAAGAAGCCTCTTTCTCCTCTGCCAGTCGTACATCAGCAATGTCTGTGAACCGGACAACGACCTAGACGTAACCCTCGAAATGAATATCAAATATGTTTTTATATTCCTTCACGGGTTACTTACCGAATGCACAGAATGCATCACCACACAACTGTAGAAATAGAGAGCATCTGCAGTCAAGAATAACTGTCCAGAATAGGCGTAGCCTGCGGGAAGTGCGTCTCGTATCAAAGCAATGTCTTGCTGTGTCAAAACAGCATGGTCCAATTTATCAGCAGAGACGTGTTCGGTGATGGCTTTCATTGTTCGATTCGTAGGCTTTCTTCTCACACATGCAACCAAAACTAACAGAAAAAAAGTCACCGTCGGTACAAGTCCGGCAATAAGTGGCTCAAAGTTACTTACCATCCAGCACAAGTTCTTTAGGCACCATTTCGGGAAAGTAATATCGAGCTTCACGATTTTTGGATTCCAGGTCGGATGCGTAACCTTCTATATTGATGGGAGGCAGAGACACGGTGGGAGGATTGGTAGGCCAGATAGGTTGACGTTCGGAAGGTGAAGTTTTTGATTCACTGGATGAACGTAGTCGAAGGGTTAAGCTATCGGATCGCCTGGAGTGACCACGATTAGGGATAATCGCCCATGGTAAGACCCACGGAACAGAGATCCCTTTGTCTTGTCGCGATGAGAGACTCCCTGTTTTGGATATCCCAAAAGTTGCATCATCCAAATTCACTTGAACTGCTGCTTCCAGCAAGGCAGGGGTCATGGAGGGGGCGTTGGCAAGGGAGGTTGGATGGCGCGAGGATGGTTTACGTGTTTTTATGGTTCGCACAGAGGCTGTGTCGGAATGAGCTTGATTGAGTGACATGGTCTCTGGAGAAGAGGGTCCGCTCATGGTGGATAAAATAGACAATCCCGACAGATTGGATCGGAAGGAAGTACTGAGTGTGACAGGGATATCGGTCGGTGTGCTCACAACGGTGGTCGATTTGGATTTGCTCGATACCAATCGGGGTGATCGTGGACATGGGGGATCGTTTTGATCCGAGGTTGCATGGGATACGCTTTTCTGTGACGAGAAGCTGTTATCACGAAAGAGGGTATCATCACTTTTTGACCGTTGTTGTTGATTTCCTAGAAAACAAGCCAGCCATTCCTGCAATTCTTCCTCGGTTTCCGCTTGCAGGCAAATCGATGATCTGTTAAAAAAAACGTTAACCTCGGAGCGTCTTTTCGATTATCCCCTTTCGCCAGTCAATGACATACCGTGGGCCTGTTTGAATCTCGAAGCAGAGTCGACGTTGACTGTTATTGGGTGATTGGATAGAGCAGTGAGAGAGAGGTAGTCGCATATCAATGACGATTGTGTTTTTGCATTGCGTGTCCGATACGGTACTGAGCATTCCAAAATAACCGTTATGAAGGAAACACCACTTTCGCATCCACAGATTGTTGGACACACGCAAGAATAAATATCCTGAATGAGACTTTGGTGGTGATTCGCCAAAAAAATTCGTTCTGAAAAGGGCGGCGGAATGACGTCGTCGAGAAGCGATGGTCATACGAGGTCGCTTCTTCTGGAGATATTCTTCCTGCAAGCGTTGGCATGTCTGTTCTTCTTTCCAAATATGGAAGTTACACGTCAGGCCGTCCTACAATGCCCGGGTTGCAGACAGAAAATAAGCTTCTGGGTTCTAAATTCATTTTTTTTTTGACAGCCATTTTCCGCGACTTACTTCCGTGAGCCATTGCTTCCACGCGGCCAACGTACAACTCAGATTCTGCCACATCTCGGCATGATAATAATTGTCCTTGTAAGAGTCCGCGGCTGCTGAAAAGGCTTCAATCAAATGTTGTTGGAACACGGAGCGAAATTTGAACAGGCGTAGCACATGCTGACTGGACATTCGGACGTATGTCTCACGTGCATCGTACAGTTGAAGCTGTTCTTCATAGAGATTCGACCGATCTTTGGACTTGCTAACGGACGCGTATTTCTGAAGCTGACTTTCATACTGATGCAAAGCTTTTTCATGTTGCTTTCTAAATTGCTATTGATACGATTTGCATTCGGATGAGAAAAAAAAAATTAGCCACCCTTGGCACATATAAAAAGGGACTTGCCTTATACTCTTGAAGATGGGTTTGGATAAACTGCTGCAATGGATGAATGAATTGTTCCTCGAGGTCGGATGCCTTTAATAGTACACAACATCGCGTATTGAAACAATTAACGGGCCGAATTAGCCGTGAATTTCATTGATCGTCGTTTTTCATTTATTTTTAACTTACCAGTTTGTGTTGAAGCGATACTTGGTTTTGCAAGGTGCGAGCAAACTGACCCATCGCACCGTTGGTAAAGTTGGAGTCTATTATTCCATAATTCCGAAATTAGCATGGATCACACAATAAGCGGCCGCAGTTGTGTTACCTAAAAGCAGCTCATCAATTTCTAAAGGGACAGCTTGACTGCAGATAAGGTTCGCTTCTGCACTCAATTCTACAGCAAAATAACAAGGTCAGCGACATGAAAAATGACACCACATATCCATGAAAGGTATATTACTGGTCATAAGTTGGGTATATGTTTTAAAATGCTGCAGAAGTGATTCGAGCCAAGTCTCGAGACGTTCCAGCTGGTCATCGTAATGGTGAATGTTGGCTCGATAGACAGGTGAATCGGTAATGGCGTCATACAACGTGACAGTTGTAGGTTTGAATGCAGAAGAAACAGGCGGCATACTGCACACTGTCTCTCTTTCTGGTGGACGAGGAAACAGTCGAATGTATCCAATAACCGGGAAAAAGAACACAGATACAGTCAAGGGGCCAGGTGGTCCAGCTTTTTTTTTTATATCTTATCACGGCCGGCGCGAGATTTTGCCGGTCACCCTCAGCTTCATATTCATATGATAACCAAAAAAGGTAAATCGATTCTAATTGGCTCATCAGTTTCGTAATAATCATGTTTTCCCAAAAGAGGGTTTGCTCTTTCTCTTTGGTCTCTTTTTCCCTTCCAGATTTTTCTCACTACCATGGATCCTGGACAAACATTGTACCAGAAAGCACTTCGCAGTTTTCTGCTGACGAAATATACGACTGCAGCGTCCACTTGTTACAAGGCCGTGCAAAGTTTACCACCGAAAGAAGCGGACAGCGACAAGGACACGGAAGACTTGAGACTGGCTATTTGGACATTATATCTCAACATTGCCACGACACTGCTGACACAAACACAACTAACGCCACACATTACCAAATTATTTGGACTTGCTCCTACCGCGGCTCAATCCAACGAGCATTTTGGTCATGCTCTCTGGACAATGGTTGCTCAAATGTACGGCGATGCTGGTCACGTCGACCCCAGACTCGTGTCTGCTTGGTAAGCATAATTAACCGAGCTTCATTTCGTTGCATGACCATTCATTGTTTATTTGTTTGCATTGTTGTCTTAAAAAAAGCCTGGTGATGGCATTGAAACTCGATATACCCAGTGTGGGACGACAAATTGCAGAACAATGGTATGCTAGTATGCCTGATACGACCATGGATCATCTTGCTTTTGTGCAAGCCGACCCCGATTCCTTTTTCGAAGCTTACATCGATACCATCCATCTCTACGTCACTCGCATTCTCCCTCTGTTGCGTGATTTTGAATCGGCCACTACCTTTGTCGAATTCAATTCTTTTCTATCAGATGAGAAGAAGGAAGTAAGTATAAAAAAAAAAAAAAGGAAGGGTGGCAAAAGTACCATCTGGGAAGGAAATGAACTGGAAACTGAGACATTTGGAATCACTAGCACTTGCAGCAGCTGATTAAAGAGTGTCAGCATACCGAAGAACGGGACCGACAGAAAAAATTGGAAGCGGAACAAAAAGCAGCAATCGAGGCTAAACAGCGGGCTGAAGCCGAAGAACAGAGACGAAAAGAAGCGGAAGCAGAAAGGCTGGCCACTGAAGCTGCCGCCGCAGCGCATAAAGCGGGCAAACCGAATGCGGAAAATAGCGAAATGGCGAGTAAGAATGAAGCCATGGAAAGACGACTATCAAATGCCACCACTTCGGCGCCTTCCACCTCTTCTACCAACAATGTCACTTTACCGCCACAGCAAACCATTCACCTCAGCCGAAAATCGAGTTCCCCGGATCGCAGCCTAACCATTATCAAGGCGTGGTTCCAACAACTGTTCAGGAACGGATCGATGGGTTACATTGCTATTTTGATTGCGGTTTTTGCTTTGGTGGGAATGCTGCGTGGACAACGATCGCCAATTTCGCAAGCGGCCAAGGCGATTTTCACAAAGCTGTGGCAAACTGTACGTATGGGCACCAAAGTCACTTATATGTAGATTAACTGTATACAGATAAAGCAAAACCGACACTTTTTTTTATTACTCGGAATTCCTTTGTATAACACTGCAAAAATAAATATCCACGCCTATGACTTGTAAGAACTGTAATTTCACTGTCGATTTTGTAAATGGAGGAGCAGACAAAGTACGGTATTCTTTTTGTTGGGTCTTGTTTTTGCCAACTGTGACATGGCAAATTTAACAGTGGGTGACACTCTGAACTGTTATCTGAAAACAGGATTGGGCGAGTGTTCAAGCATTGTTTACTGTATACCAAGATATACTGAAGTTGGATATGTGTACAATGAAGAGTGGTGTTGCATACAGAAAGGGCAGCCTGATATAGCCACTTTTTATTATTATCATTATTATTTGTAATAGGTTGGTGAATACAATTATAAGGAAAGGTTAGCGGGGGTGCTTTTAGTGGGGATGCTTTGGGAGTATTCGGTGGAGTAGGGTAGATGCGTGGTGGTGAGGCTGCTGATGATCCAGTAGGCAATGCTGCCGATGAGGAGACACAGAACAATGACCCCGCTCACCCCAAGCAAAAATCGGTATTTTCGACTGTGTCTCTGTCGTTCTTGGAGCCATTCCGACGGTTCTTGCTGTAATTTATTGGGCGAAATCGACCGGATCGAATTGACGGCCGTACTTGAAGGTGGGAACACGGACAAACTACTTCCATTTTCGCTTTGATTGTAGGCATACTGTCGAAATAGATGGGCCTCTTTGGGTGACTGAACCGACAAAGAGTATGGCGGAGTGGACATTGGTTCCATTATGGAAAAATGGTAATTAGCACCAATGCACGAAAATGTCCAACAGCGACGACAATGGAAGAAAACAAGGGAAATCAAAACAATGATCATGGTTCGGTTGAGTATGCCCTTTTTGATCGTAGCTCTTGTTTCGCCTAGACTTTTTATTTTTTCCGCAAGGGAAAAATTGCAAGGCCAATGACATGTATTCCTGGTGACACACAGGAGGCAAAACCAAACAAACAAAGCAGACAAACAAAAATGGATCAACAAACAATAGCGTCACGTATGAAAATAAGATTTATTTGTTATGACAGCCGATGAAACAGCCGATCGCTGGTAGATCAATGCATATACAGTGATGATATAAATAGAGGAATGGATGAGGATAAAGTTAGGGACTATGTACATAAAGAAAGTGGGGGAAAAAAATGAAAGAGTAAGAAGACTTGGCGTGGTGATCTAGGCGTACACATCCACACCATTCCAGTTGGCGGTGGCCAAAGGACACTGATCCACAGAGTCGGGATTGTTGCCCCACCAGCGAGGAAAGTGGATTTCCGAATTCTGGAAAGCGAAAAAGATAATAATGGCACAAATGGCGACGCCGGAATCCAAAGCAGCCGACAAGACGTAGTTGTACTTTTTCCACCAAGCCGAACGGCGGCGCTTGATAAAGAAATTGAAAATGAAACCCACGGTGGCCCATGTAGGCATGGTGTTGGTAGGCGCAGGAGGATAGGGGGTCGGTCCCAACATGAACACCGGTACACTGATGTGACGAATCCACGAATCAGGGTAACGCTTGTGCAAGAAATAGATGGGGAACGGAAGCAAAAACCCTGCAAGCAAAAAGTACGGAATGGAATGGTACAAGGAGGAAGGCGCAAAGAATTTCTGAGGACCAATCAAGCCCCAAATGACTGAAGACGCACCAAAAAGGCCGGCGTTGGGACACGTCCAGGGATAAGCCGACTTTGTACAGATGTTGGGAATGGTGTTCAAAAGATAGTTGGTGGTACCAAGCGAGACGAACGATGCGACAATGGTGCCGACGATTTGGAACGAGAACATGTGACGAGGAGGAATCTTCATGTAATGACCGAGCTTCAAATCTTGGGCAAACAATAGAGCCTGACGTACGGTGATGTAACCATACGTCTTGAAAATCATGTTGCCGATGGGATGACCGGGACGAATAGCACCATACACCCATTCGGTGATCATGGAAATGGTCGGTGCTTGCGAAGTAATGGCGGTGACGATACCAATGGGCAACAACCAGATGAAAGCCAGCACGACGGCGATAATCAGAGACCACCAAGGCATGTCCGAGGGCCAAACCACAATGGTGGCGAAACTGGCACCGAGAGACACCAATAAAAGAGCGCCATACCACCAATCGGGCACTTCCTTGTAACGATCCATGAGACGGGCGTGGATATCATCTGACGATTGACGCGCGTTCTTGAAACGTTCCCAGATATCCTTGCCGTTAAACAGAACCGTGTGAGAGATGATCGCACCCAAAGCGGCTAAACCTTGACCATAACAGATGGCAAAGAAACCGGTGATACGGATAGGCGAATACTCTTCGTAAGCGGTATCGTTCAGGTACTGGTCCGGCGTAAGCACACGGCTACGGTTGAATTCCTGACCCCAGATATCGTACTGGTTGGTGTTGTAAAATGGGAATTTCTTGCTCTCATAGGTATTTGTATAGTAAATGATAGGCACGAGAATCCAAATAAAGAAGATGAATCCGGCAAGCATGTTGGCCTGTACAACCCATGGGATTGCCAACGGACTCGGGTACCATGCAGCGAGAGAACTCCAGTCCAGAGTGAAACTGCCAATCCCCAAGCCGTACAGACCGCTGCCGATTTGAGATACAAGGACAGAATCGCGTTTGATCCAGCTAATGCAACGAAAACGGAATTAATTAATGACTGATAAGGCAACAAGGATTATTCGGGATTGAAACTTACCAAATCCAGGAGATGGAGGTGATGACGGGAATGATGTAACCCGGCAAAAAGTACCAGCAAAATGAAGCAATGAAAGCAATGACAAAGAACTTGTTACGCGACAAGGAAAGGCCGGGGGTGGTTGCTTCGGCATCGGCGACTTCCTTGGGCACCTTTTTGTGCAAGGTGTGGAAAAGCGTGGCATTGACCAAATTGATAGGCCAGACCATGCTGGAAGGTCGCACAAGGTAACGACGAAGAATGCCGGCAAAACCAAAACCCAGCAGACTGGTTGTTAGGACAAGGAGGATACCACCTCCAAAGCCCCAGTTTTGGTTGTAATACAGTTTTTGCACCACAATGATATCGATGGCATCGAATGAGGTGGCTGCCGCATTGGCCATGACGGTAATAAGCACATGTTCTTTTACGTTGAATGGGCCGGGATTCAGGTTGAAATGGAGTCGACCGAGACGGAAATCGTAGTTGGGTAAAATATGTTCGGAAAGCTTGCCGGCAGGGAAAGCCAGCAATTGCACGACAATTACTTTGATAGTTAACGGATTAGCACGGAACCAAAAAAACTATAAAGAGAAAATATGACCAATCAGTATCATGTTCTTTTCTGCACATCCTGTGATCCGATGAATCACACTGCATCCGGTGTTACTAAATGCTAACGTACCTGATTTGAGAAAGAAATGGCTGCGGAAAAGACAATGCCCCAAAACCAAGCGCGAAACGTAGCTGTGGGAAGGGTAGGATCGTCGGTAGGAGGGACGCTGGCACGTACTTCTTCAATAGGGGAATCATCAATGTCTTCGATCGTGACCTTTTCAAGCAGTGATGGATCGGTCGAAGATGATACGGAGATCTTTTCCGCCAGTGAAGGCGCTTTGGCTTTTTCCATAGAAATTTATGAATAAATTAAATGGAAAAAATTATGTATAAAAAAAAAATTATAAAAGTAAGCAGGTGAACAAAAAAAAAAGTGGCGGTAAAATGAGCAATCCCTTCCGTATTTAAAGGATCTGCTGGAGATCAAAAAATTACTTTATCATTGAGCTTCTTTCGGAGTTGCATGAGTTTACACTGAGAATGCATGTCCAATCAAAAGCGACCATTCCGATTTTCAATGCTTGAGCACGCCATCGTTTACAAATCAACGACGACGACCGCTTGCGTGCTCGAGTGTTGCCCTGTGTAACTCGTTGGATTTTTTTTTTCTTCCTTTCTGGCTGTGTATGAGTCGCACATATCGATCAGCACGCAATCTTATCATCAAGAGACCGATTCTGTTTAACCGCCAATTACTTTATTAGCATTTTTCCATCTCGATTCCCACACCTTGATGGTGCATGCTTGCTCATATGGGCACAAAATTTGCTCATATTTGAATTTGCTCATATTTGTGATGTTCACCATATCCTAAGAACTCAGGCCATAACTATCCAATTGCTGACAAATTCAGCAGGGAAACAACAATGACAATAACTCCGCTCACCTTTTTCGCTGAAAAAGGTTGAATATGCTAATACGAGACGAATACCCGGCCAAAATACCAGACATGAAAAATAAAACTTAGTTGCCCATTGATGATTATTTCTTTTTTAACAATTACTTCTCTTTTGGTGAGAAGAAATTAACATGAATGCGATAGATTATAAAAGACAATAGTGATGAACAATAACGCAATATTGACAGAAAATGTTTGACAACTCAGCGTCAGCCAATGAAATGAAGAGGTTCGAAATTCGTCAAATTCGACGAATCACATCTTGCACCAAATTGCTTGTGCTCCTCTTTGACAAAGCAAGCTGAGTTCCATTTTTTGGGAGAAAAAACATTGACATACTTTTTGAAACAATTCAAAGACCTCCAAAAAAAGAACTGCGATCTTCAGGGAAAATAAGGAAAACCCATCACACACAAACAAAAGGAAAAGAGAAAGGAAGAAAGAAATGCTAGCGTGTTATTCGGAGATGGACTCGTAATATAGAAATAATGCTGTGAGCCGGTTTTTCTGATGTGCAGTATATCCTTGCAGTGGAATATACGGATGTTCCTCGGATGTTATCCTTATAACATTTCCCTGCTTTTTTTTCTGAAATTCTCACATTAAATTGAGGCAAAAGAAAAAAAAAAATTTAAGCTACTTGTCTACTATCGTGTCAAGATAGAACATTATGGAATAATGCTTTCTATCAGGTTAAAGGGAGAAAAGGACGCATCGTAACATGAATCGCCATGACAATTTATTGGAAAGAATCCCTTGTGTGTCCTTCCTTTTCTTTTTAACCTTGCATCTGCGCATACGCCATCAAAATAAACGTGCGCCATTTTTTTATTTTTATTTTTTTGATCGACGCGAAACTTGTATATACTTTGCCTGCCATCCCTTTGTCCTACTGAAGGAAAGTTATAACCATTGCACATCACAGAGCGTCTCTCTCCTCAACAGGTCTTCTCCCTCTTCAGTTATTGAAGGAAAGAACTTGATAGAAGAAGCTATAGTTAAACTCTACTGAATGGCACACTGAAACGTCTCTCATCATGTGTGTTCGCTAAGATCAACGAAGTAAAATATTTCATTTTATTATTGGTGATACGTTATGCCGAAAACACAACGATCGTCGCTTTCACCGCGGCAATACGTTATTTGATGGAATGGAACCTTTGGATCTCCAGACTAAGGAAAAGAGGACAAGCAGATCTAAAATATTGGAAAAGAAGACTCAAAAAAAGAGTTCTACTTGACGCGTAAACAAGGAAAACCAAGTTTTCTTTTCTCCTTCACTGAAAACGATAGGTTGATACAGTATGGGCAAAAAGAAAAAAAGAGGGGTGAAATCGTTCTTATTTGTTATATATGGCTAGAAAAGAAAAATAAAGGAAGGAGATCGTCGATGTATCCCGCAAAAATAATCCAACAAACATTATCGGGTAGAGAGTGGCGACCGTCCCTTACTTCACTTAACATTTTCAATCCTTCCAAAAACAAGGGCTCTCGGTAATTCATAATAGTAATCGTGGCAAAAGCCATTCTGGGCACTCGTGAGACTGAAAAAAAAACATTTCTGCATCCATTCTCGTGACCTGTTTTGACGGCATCGTTGATGGTGAAAAGATTCTTTTTTCAGAGGCCAAGAATCCCTATATGTCAACATCAACTGAATGTACCTTTTTACACCTTTGCCTTGATAACATCCATATCGTCACGAAACTGTGTACAAAGCTAAAATATGTCGATGATAAACAATGATTTGGGAAAAAAAAACAAGGAGCAACCTACATTTTCGAAGTGGGAGGTGTTGGAGGGACTCTTTTTTTTCGGTCTGCAGATTCTTTGGATCTGCTCTATCTATTGCTTCCCCCCCTGAAGAGCTGTGACGGTTTGCGGAATTGGATGTCTCCCAATAACACACAAGCAATGAGTGCTCACAGACAGACTTGTTTACTGGGGAAACGGGCTGCCAACAAAGCTTACTGCTATTCACGGCTTTCCTCATCCAATAGCTCCTTGCATGGCAACCCTCTCTGTAGCTCCTTACTTGTCAAGTCCAAAATTTGCCCGTGATGAAGCTGCCTCGACTTTGATCCACTAGTATATATACGCCCATCATCGCCCTACCAAGGCATCCCACTTTTATTTTTTTTTCTGCTTTTTTCACTACATTTTTTTTGGACTTCCATGGATACTTACGAGCTCGCCAAACGAGCCATTGCGGCTTTTGAAAGCTATGACAACAACAACAATAACTATAACAACGGTTACAATAATAATAACCAAAACAACAACGGTTATAATAACAACAACAACAACGGTTACAACAATAATAATAACAATAATCAGCAGCAACAGCAACAAAACAACAGCTACAATAATAATAGTAATAACAACCAGCAACAGAATCAAAATCAATACAATCAAAACAACCAAAATAACCAGAACAATCAGAATAACCAATATGGCCAAAGTACGAGTACCCAGCATCAGGCATCAACAACAACAACATCGCGTTCCGAATCCACGCCGTATGGCTCCAATAATTCAGATAATTCAAGAAATGAGCAAAACAACAACTATAACAACAATAATAATAATAATAACGGTACCAGAAGTCAAAATAACGACAATGGATACAACCAAAATCAAAACCAAAACCAGAATCAGAACCAAGGCTATGGCAACAATAACAACAGTAACGGCAATAACGAAAATCATTATCCAACGCTGTCATCGCAAGCTTCTTTGCAACATGGTGACAAGTCGCCTAACGGAATTTTGTTTGCCATCATTGGTATCGTGGTGGGCTTGGTGTTGATCATCATTACCGGCCTATTATGGACGTGCCGACGCCGAAAACAGAAAAAGAAGGAAAGCATGGCAAATGCATTTTTCGAATTCTCGGCATCCAAAGGCGGTGACAAGAAATCCAAATTGCCTACCAAAACAACCGAAGTAGGCGATCCGTAAAAGCAAAAACCTTAAACTTTTTTTTTTTTTGTGGGCGCATGCCAGATGCGCCCATCTTCTGTTTTCTCATATTCTTCTCTCTATAGCCTATCCCTTGCTTTCCTGTTTCCTTTCCCGTTATATTGTGCATAATAATGATGAATCAGCGGGACGCCATCCAAAAGAAAACCGGCTTTTTCGTCTTATCTCACTGCATCCTCATTTTTCCATCCAATCCTTGTTTAATAAAATTTGCCTCTTCTGATCGAAAAAAAAAAGTTTTTTCGGGTATAGCCATTTTGGATGATCGGTCGCGATTCGATGATGCATTGAAATTTTTGGATTCTCGACCCAATGCACGTTATCCCTGCCGAACAAAACCATGAAATAAAAAAAAAGCAGGATGTTTCCGTAAACGATCACTGGGAATGATGAAACTGGAAAGCGCGAACTATCCATTTCACTGCTCGACCAAATAGAATATTGGGAAACATAAAAAAAGGGCATGTATCGTTTAGTGTACAAAAAAGTATGTGGGAAACGAAAATGAAGAAATTAAAAAAAAAATAGGCGGGTGTACTCTATCAAACCCATTGGATCATCATGGCAACCGTTACCAAAGTGCATCCTAGGAGAGCGGCTGACCATTGAGAAGCAGTGGTGGTCGCTGCGTTCGTCTTTTCCTTTTTGGTAGGAGCGATATAGTTGTTCTGATCCCATTCTTTACCACCAGTGTAGGGACCAAGAGGGGGAAGATCATCTGCATCGGTGAAACCAAGTTGCTGTTGAACAGCCTGAGATCGGACACGGATCCATTCGGTGACCCCCATGGAAAGGCCATCGGTTGCATTCATGTTATTATCAAAATTCCAGAGCGTCCACGTAGGTTGTAATCCTGGTGACTTGGCAGGAAGTGAAAGATCCCACGCCACGTCTTCGCGAAGCATATCCGCAAAAGCCTTGACTCGTGGTTCCATGACATTAGGTTTGAAGAAGCGCTTCACGAGGGTTTTGAGAATATCTTCGAATTGGGCTCGATAATAGGGAGACTTGATGAAAGCGTCGACGAGAGGTCGCTGAGAACCGGGTCGCGTAAAGTTATCATAAGGAGTGCTCGCCATGTAAGCCGGTGCACCAATACCAAGGGTTTCGTCAAAATCGTACGTGATCAATGTCCACTTTTTGCTTTGTGTATTTTGGTTCAAATAGTAATTGCTGGCTTGATGCCACACGCCGTCCCACGAGCCCGACAAGAAATTGATGGCCAAGTGAATCATGGTGTGCTGAGGATCGATCAGCTCGGCAATAGCACCTGAACTTTGTTCATCCCTCGCTTGAGTGGGATCAATTAAACTTAGGCGGCGAGTGAATTCAATGAGAGGGGCCTTTTCTTGGTCCTTTGGCAAATCGGTCTTGCTCAGCTTGCCCTTATCCTCAAGCTCATAGATAAAATCGTTGTAAAGCGTAGCATTGTCACCAAGATAGACCAAGTTACCCTCCGTTTGCGGATTGATCGCATTGCCCTTGTACGTGGCACCTAAATAAAAATTAAAATAAAAAACGGTCATTTTTCATGGCCAACCTAGCATTTTACTTTTGGTCCTTACCAGTGTGAGGATCAGCGTCACCTGCGTGTAACAGACTGTCAATGGTGGTGGTGCTCATATCATCAATCATCAGATAGAGGCCAAAAGGTTCGTTGTTGATGTAAAGACGAACAAAATTGCCGCCCAAAGTGGCGCCTCCAGAAGCAGCAAGCATATCCAATAACAATTTTTCGCGACTAACAAAGATTGGATGAGTTTATCATCCACATTTGACAGTTCCCCCAAAAAATACTATGATAAGATGGAAGGTGCTTACATAAAGGTGGGGTCGGTTTCATGCGCTCGTAATTTGAAGCCCGTACGACCAAAGATCAGCTCCTTGCTGTTGGCCTTTGAGAATTCGTTCAATTTCACCTTGTAGGATTGCTTGGCGAATTCCTTGGTGGATTTTCCACTGTTCTTGATCCCGGCCAGCGAAAAGGTGTGGACATCGTTGTTGGTGATGTAAGCCATCTTGTATACCTCAGTGTACTCGTGAGCGCCCATAGGATTGCTAAGGATTTCATGCAACCCCGTTTGATTCGCTTCCAAAATCATGGTAGCAATTTCATTGGACCGATTCATGGCACTGAATAATGCTATAACAACAGGAAAAATAAAATTAGAAACGATCCATGATGCATGCTTGCAATGGATGGTGTCACGGTAGTCCGACTTACGAGGATAAATGGGATTATAGGCTTGAGGCAACTCGGGAACGGAAAAGACGGTTTGTGTTCGATTAAAGAATTCGTTGCCGGTACTTGAAGCGTCTTGGGCCAAGCGACGGTGAGTGGATTCGGGGTGGTTGTCGATAACATATTGATACGTTTCACCGCTGGGCGCAGTTCCCGTGAAAATATTGGGATGTTTTTCACTGGCTTGGAGCGGGTATTGTTGTCCGCCGACGGAAACAGCAACGGATTGTTGATTTTTAGGGAAAGCAATGACGGCATACTGAACATCGGCAGCCTCCACGGCGGTCAAGGCTACAATAGTAACGATACTTGAGGTGATAAAATGTCGTAATTTCATCACGAGGGAAAGGAAAGAGAGTGGACGGGAACGATGTGATGATAGGTGGATAGGTTAAAAAGAAAACAAAAGGAAAGGAGCGAAGGCAGATGAAAAGGTTGGATTTACGAAAGGTCAATGTTGTACTGGAAAACGAGACCTTTTTATACCTTGACGATCCTTTGCTTGGGCTATCAATTGCCAGATACGGGTAATTCTATTACAGGACGGAAGATCTGTGTTAAGATGGGTTTCTGGTAGGATTATTTTTGGGACGATTTTTCTCTTTCTTCTTTTTTGCACCTCGCTTCTTTTTTTTACTATCGATTTGGACAGTTTTCTCAGACAGTGCTTGACGCGATACCATTGTTCTAAAACTTTTCAGCCATACCTGTCGATGACCGTCGATGGTTCTGATGGAACGTCCCAAAGACTCATCCTCATCTGTAATAACTAAAGGCTGCAATTGCATAAATAGAAATCCATTATTTCTTCTCATCTACCCCACTTACAATTGTATGCTTCTGACTTTCTTCTGTTTCGAAAATCCAAGTTCGGTTTTGAGCAACCTATCGCCCAAAGTTGGAACTCCGATCACGGATCTTTAGAATGGTCGGTGATTTCCGCCCGTTCCATGTAGTCTCATATTTCTTTTTGCAAATCAAATACTCAATGCATGGCTTGGCGAAAAATACCAAAACAGTCGTCGGGATCTTCAGGATTCCCGAGAAAAAAGTATTGTTATACCAATATACATTTCGAAAAATAAACCTGGTTTGCCATAAGTCACTTATTTTTCTTTCCCTTGTTGAAGTGATAAACCTATCTGGAGCTTCTTTATTTTCGATAAGGATTGTTGAACATTGATTGCCATTTTGTGAGTGAAGCAATTACGATATTCTTTTTGTGTGGCATGCGAGCCCTTGTGTTTCAACGACTACCGACACTCAGCCCGAGGATTCTCCGAATATGAAAAAGTGGCACTTTTTTTTTTCTTTCGCTCGGTAAACGCAAAGCGTGTGTTACTCATCAAGGGTACTTCATGTTGGCCTTGCGTCACATGGATCCCGCATAAACAAGTAGGTGTCCTCCCAACCAAACCAAAAAGTCGATGGCGGGGATTGAAATAAACAGTATAGCTTTGACGGAATCGGTGGAAACAGCAAATAGGTAAGCCAAGCACAACAACGTGGTGATCGGAGATCCATCCCTTTTTGAGACCACCGTCGCTGAATACATTCACCTAGTGCGATGAATAAGCGAAAACAAGTTTCTTACCATCAGATGCAAGATATTTTTAGTGAGACATCTTTTTAGCGTGGTCGACTTTATAATCGGGTAGAAAATCATGGACTTTGCGAGTCACCGGGAAAATAAACGCAGAATGCAGGTTCCCCGAGAAAAAAAAAAAAAGAAAGAAATACACGCGCAATCTCACCTCCTCAAAAAGCAAAAAAGGCAATTATGCCTGTCGAATGACTGATCGTCGCCTCCAAGTAATCCGTCCATCGTTTCATAAGATACAGTAGCATAATCTAATCTAAGCTAGCAGTGCACGCCACATACAGCAGAATCATTCATGTCATTGTGGGGGTAAAAAAACTGGATCGACACCACTTCTACTGCAGTGTTATGCGTTGGTGGTTAGCATGTTTCTTTGCAAGTTAGTGACATAATTCCGTTTTATCATAATAAAATGATTCAGCTTTTTGGAATTCATCGAAAATCAAAACGTAATATCATACTTTATCATGAAGCTTCTATTGATTCTCTCCTTCCGTGACAACTTTTTGATGGCTAACCATAAAAAGCCATACCCCGGTTACCATGCTCACTGTTATGAGCCAGTAACAGGTTGTGTTACAGGAAAGATCTCCCATATACAATGAGCTGTTGCCTCACTTTTTTAAATTAGTGGGGTTTTTGCCCACGAGCGCAGATTTGGCATACACGATGGCTCTGCTTATAGTATAAAAAAAAAGACTGATAATTGTCTCGAGAGAAATGGAAGAGCACGGTGAAACCAAAATGGTTGTTACAGTATAAATTACAATAGATACAAATGATGCCACAGCATTAGCTAAGAAATGATACATATGAGATGTTAGAAATTAGAAGAGATACAATTAGAGTAAGAAAAAAAGAGCACCCATTAGGGAGTTTTAAATTGGAGAGGAGGCATGGTCGCAATTTCGGTTTTGTTGGTGCGGATGATGGATCGTCCTATTACTTCACGCCCGTCCCTTCCGTCTTGGTTACTACCGTGAGATGGCTCGGGTTGGCGGAATTTTTCTGACCCTTGCCATGGGAACGCTAAAAAGCTGTGGCGTAGCTCGTCGCGTTTGGCCAAATCCAACCACAGCGCTTGCTCATTGTTCCATGGCTGGTGATGCTCCCACTGGTCCAACGACGTGGATGTTCGACATTGCGTGAGCCGTTCAGGGCAATAGTGACTCGGAATATCCGTGGTCGGATAATTCGATTGAAGTAACTGAGGATCGCCCAGCCATAACCACATGCCGTAATATAGCTGACGTAGCTCTTCGTTATTTGGCTTGAATTTTTCCTCATTTGTCCAGATCGCGGTGGTGGTCGTCGTCTCCTTGGCACTCGGATCTACCTGGTGTAGTTTGTGTTGACCATGGTACGTTTGCAAACCAGCAATACAGTCGCGTAATTTTTGAAGCTGATCTTTCTTTCGGCTAAACAACAGTTCCCCATAGAAAAAGTGGCGTTGCTGCAGACACGCATTGGCGAAATACAAGGAAAAGAAGATTTGCAGATACAGCGGCAGCAGCGGATGTTCAGGAGGCATCACCAGAATATGTTGCAGCCACCGATAAATAGCGAGAAATTCAATCGGCTTCTTATAGCGAACATGCATTTCCTTGAAAAGATTGCCCAGTTCCACCTCATTTAGGGGCGTCCCATCCGCCGTGGTTTCCTTCCCATGATCCTTTCCACGGGGATGCTCACTCCATGCTTTCACAAGATCCTTTCGATAGGCTTGCTCCTCATTGGTTTCCATCAGTAATACATCAAAAGCGAACCAGAATGAATGCGGTTCAACGCCCGGCGTTTTGAACAAATTGCTCGTTGTCAGTGACAGCATGGACCATTCCCCGGTTAAAAGCGTGGTATAACCGGCTTCCGGAAGCATGCTTTTAATCAACCGCAGCGCAGTCCGCTGTTGCGCCGCCAACGTCGATATTTTGTTGGATGTCGCCAGAGATGGCTGTCGTTGCTTTTCCAGCGTTTTGTATTCTTCGGCCAACATGCTGCGAACCAGGGTCTGGCGTGGCAGACAAAATCCAAGCAAACAGAGCGTGTCCATGATGGCGACATAAGGTTCGCTCCACATCCAGTCGCGTTTACGAAACACCGTCTTTAGCCAAGAATGCAGTAAAAGATCGCGGTACGAGAACCCGTGGCTCCCCGCCTCGGCAAAATCACTCACTGAATCAATAAAATTACCGTGCCAAACGTGTGCGGCTATCACTAGCGCCATGCCATGCGTTTTCTGCGGTTGCCAAAACGCCCCAGTCGCTCCAACATCGGTCAGCCATTCCGCGGCAGCTTCCACCAGTAACGGATCCGGCTTAAAGTCAATCACATGCCTCAAAAACGCGCTCACGCTTTCGTCGTTGAAGAAATCGTCGCCGTGCATGTAGGCAAATGTGGGAATGATATCGGCGAGGACTTGGATTACAGATTCAGGTTTTCCGCGTCGCAGCATCAACAGTAACTTGAGCCATCCGTTGCTGGATTCAAAGCGAAGAAAATGCCGGCTGGTCGACGACAGCAGGAAAATGATGTACACCAACAAGCTAGTGTGCAGCCCCACGGTCTCGTGATGGTAGTGTAAAGCTTCTTTGAGAAACACCGCCGTGATGGTCTGATCCGCGTCACACGCACTGGAGAAAATAGGGCAGTTATACAATTTCAATTTTAGCGCGGTTCTCCAACACCAATGGAGGGCATCGGATGCACTGGAGGTCGTTACGGCCGTGGGAGTCGAGAAACATGGCAGGGGAGGCAACTGGGAACTGAAAATGGAACGCATCGTTTTCAATAAACTGTTGCTCTTGTCTGATTCCGGAAGGGTTTGATATTTTTGGCATAATTCCAGCAAGATCAGGGCCAGCATGGAGTGGCAATCCAAAGCAATGAACGGCAACCGTTGCGGTTTCCAAGGCTGAGAATTTGCGGTGAACGTCTCTCCTTCTTGAGGTTTGTATCCAAAGTAAAGATGGTCAATGACATAGCGTGCAAAAGCCGCCCGTGAATGAGTCGGTGAATCTTGATGCAGTAACTGACGAAGTATAAGCAAGTCTTCTCTGCGGATCTTCCAGTGATCCAAAGGTAATGAATGGAACAGATACAACGCCATGCCTTCCATGACATGGAAATGATCGGCCGTCCAACGTAACAAGAATGAAATGACAAAAGGATGCTGTATACAGATGGGATAGAAATGATCGCGAATATCCTTGTAATAAAGATCTTTGAGATCGTCTTTGATAAACGCGACCGAGAACAGAATGTGGGCAATGATCGTAATTAGGCAAGCGGCGTCTTGTTGCTGAGGAGACGAGGGGTAACTGGGCTGCGATGGAATGGAGGTAATGATATTGGCGAGGCATTGAAACATAAAGGTACTTTGAGCGTGTTGCTGACGCAGGATAAAAAGAAAGCTGGTGATATCCGGTAATTGATCGAGGATTGCAGAGAAGGATTCCGGTACGGGGTATGGGTGCATTTGCAATAAATGCAGTGTGATCTCCCAAAGCGCTTCCAAAGAGACGACGTGAAATGGCAAGGCTGGCAGAAAATGGTAAACGCTGGCATCGTTGAGTTGAAGATAGTGAACGGCGATATGGGTAATCAAGTCATCCAGTGGTTTCTGGTGCATTTTTGTCGCTCCATCTCGTTCGAGGTGTTCGGCGAGGATCTGAGTGATGTAAATAGCGGTTTGACTGATTCGTTTCACGACGTTGGGATGAGTTCCTGACAAGTATGGAATACCCGAATTGAGAGCAGACAGCAAACTTTTAGTGAAATCAAACAACTGGGCCTGGCCCGCCATATCGGCCGACAAGGGAGTCAACCTCGCTTTGGGAATAAGACTATCGAGACATTGGTCGTAAGTGCGCTCCACATCCAACTGATCCAAACATGCCAAATAATCTTCTTCGGTCCACTGGGATGAGGATGGATGACGATCGGATACTACCGCTGATCGAGGATCTAAAATGCGATGTACTGCAGTAAGGTAGTGTTGCATACTTGATGGTGTAAAAGCGCGACGATTGGTCGGGTGGTACTGGATCAAGGGCACGGCCCAGGTACTGACGCCGGGAAGAAGGATCAAGTGATCCAGCAAAATTAAACGTTCCTGCGTATTTGAAAGTCGAAGGAACACACCTCCGCATTGCAAAATCCACTGGTGAAGATGCTCCTCCAACGGCTGCCAGATTGGTTGAGACTGAGTTTGATGTTCCTCCGTTAATCGTTGTTCCATGCCAAACAAGGCAGCCAACAGCTGTGACACTGCGTCCAAATCGTGCTTTCTGTCATTTTCATTTTTGTACCCCTCGTCTGGGATAGTTCCGTGCTCGTGCTGTGTTTCCATCTCTGAGCGACACCGTAAACCGGACAATATGTCATTTAAATAACTCTGAACGGTTTGATACATCTGTGTCTCGTGGTTGTCTGTGACCTGACTATCTTGCGATGGTAACATGACGGTTGGCTGATCTATTTCCAGGTTGTCTTTGAATACGTTGGTGGTGGACGATGGTGGGGTAGCAACGATGGTGGGGTCCGTCGAGGCACTGGGGCTTTGTTTCAACTGACGTAAAGTAGAGTCATGGTGCTGTTCAACGGCATGTTTACAGTCGGTCAAGAGAAGTTGAAGTTGGTCTTTGGGGTTCATGGTGCGAAAGAAGGAATCACGGTAAAGGGAGGTAATGATGGGATGGTCAATCAAGGTCGTGCGGTCATCGGATGAAGGAAGCGACACTTAGGAACAAGGAATCAGGGCGGGTACACAACAAGAAACGTTTTTAATGGTCGACGTCTCTTCCTCTCTTTTTCTTTTTTGTTTTGTTTTGTTCTTTCTATCTATCACGTTCAAGTGGAGTACCTTTCTTGATGGATTTTTTAGAGAAATGGGCGAATTGAGTTTTCAAAAATTTCAACTTCATCACGCCGCCACGGAAAATAAAAAAATAAAAAAACCAATGAAATGTGGAAAATACAGTATGGATGTGTTGTAGTTTTTAGTTTATAAAAAAAAAAAGTACAGCGCAAAGCAGGCATTCATGCTTCCAATGTTTTTTGTTTTGTTTTGTTTTTTGATTGCTTACCTTGCATACGTATTTAGAGAAAAAGCGAAGTAGGCGAATTGCGTCACATTGGCAGAAGTGTGCGGTCAGGGCCCCGTACACTGTTTTTTTTAAGTGTGCAACCTTTTGAGAAGAGTGTAAAATGTCATTAGACTACAATATCACATGTCCATAAATGATGGCTCCAGGCTCAGAGTGTCCAAAATGAGTGACATATTTTCCAATGACCTCTCTTTATCCTTTCTCCAGATCGGGCAAGGAATTTTTTGACTAGTGGCATTCATTGATTTCAGATTTTTGAAGGCATCATTATTTTTATCGACTCGACTATTGTGTGTCGGTCCCAACATTAGCAGGCGTTTACTTCCGTTCGACTTGTGATGCGATATTAGAGTACGCACGACAACTAAGCGAAGCACGTAAAAAAACAATGCACAAGGTACCCTCGATGAGCCCGATCATGTTTGGCAAAATATGATTGTACTTTCAACCGTAGTTCTGGAAATCCAAACCGCAACAAAAAAGCGCACTGTAAATCACAACTGTAACTAAAAAGCGTGCCCTCAAGCGAAATCGTAACTGAGGAGAATTTCGTTTCCCTTTCCGTTACAGATGCGGTTTCCGCATTTCAGATGCCCACAAGCCGTCAAAGTGGGTGATGCATGCGTATTTCTTTAAACCTTATCGCGGGCCTTCCTCACTTTTTTGATTTGACACGCTTGCTTTCACGCTCGATGAGACCCATTTTGCAAAAGAGTAATAGTAAATTTGCATTTGTACCTTTGTCCTTGGTTGCATGATCTTCCAAAATCATGGATATTTTGTACAAACCTGGATGTAACTATAGCAGCTTCATTATCATCACTGGTTGATAATAAACTGACAAGGGGAGAAGGAACATTTTTGACCAATCTAAGCCTTAATTTCGCTACAGCTTTGGTTTTTGACAAGTGATTTGCCTGCTCAATTGGTTACGACCCAGGAGAATAAGGAGCAAACATATACCGATACACCGATACCTTCGGTGGTGGATATGTATGCTTTTCTCTGTCTCAAGGAAGAAGGATGGATAGGAACCACAGTGTTCTGTAATCCAAACTGTTACCTGGTTTCAGTGAAAGACTGAAATTGTCAAGAAAAAAAGCCGCCATAGCAAACAATTGACCATTATATAACGATTCACGAGTTCACCATGGTGTTTGTCAATGCTACGTCCCTGAACGTTCTTATAAGAGAATCGCATTCACAGTTTCAACTACGGTTAAAGGAAAACTATGTTTTTGAGAGACATACACAAACGTCATCATCTCATTCGAGAGGCTATTGAAAGTCAACGGAGCTTTTGGGTGGTAAACAGTGGATGTCTTTTGAACGTGTAAATAGAATTTAGGTTTGTGAAATGGGGAACACGAATTTTATTTTTGGAAACATGAGCTATCACCAAGATGGAATGAACGACATTGAGCTCACGATCGACGACATGTATTTCTGAAAATGACCGTATAGTAAAAAGCTTTCGTTGTTATTGCAAAACACCCTTTTCATCACAAAAAGAGGGCAATAAAAACATCATAATAACACGATCTGTATATAAAAAAAAATGGTTTTAAAAGAAACGGTGACCATCACAACAGTTGCTTACAAGACTCTATATTTTTTTTCCCTGTTCCTTGGTAATTATTATATATTTCACTTTTTGACCCTTTTTTGCCTTTTTTTTTATATTTTATTTTTCCTTCCCCTCTTCCTTTTTATTTACACTTTAGTCCACTTCTTCTCTTGCAATTGCCTCTTCTCTCGTTTGTTTCCTAGTGTCTCTTCCTTCTTTTACCTTTTTTATTTTATATATACCCCGTTCACACGTATATCCCATTCGATTCATTATACCACTTTTTATACCTCATTATCTACTGTTGATCTCATTTTTTCTCTTTTCGTTCGTTTGCCTTTTTCCCTTCGTTTTATTCATATCGTTCATTTCTCATTTGTTTTTAATTCATTGTCAAAACACAACAGCCTAGGAAGAAAAAAAACCCCAAATCATGTCGTCGGTTGTAGTTTATGCTGCCAACCTCTCTAGCCCAGAAGGTCATGCCCCATTGAGTGAATCGCAAATCACCATGCTCAAGAATGAACTCATGGCCCGTCATGCCCAAATCACCACTATGCAATTGGCAACTTGTGTCCCTTTGTCCACTTCTCCTCTCACTTCCCTATCACCGTCGTCGCCTTCGTTATCGTCGTTGGCGTCTCCGCTCCATGCTGTGTTCATCGGTTCATCTTCCGCTGTCGAAGCAGCGCGAGGTGATCTTTTAAGAATGTCGCCCCTGGAGGTATGCTCAGCTTTTTTTTTATCATTATTATTACTTTGTATGCTTTGAACCGAAAACAGAAAAGGACTAATCTTTCATACTCTTCTTTTATGATTAGACGAAAACCATCCTTCAGTCCATTGATCCCGGTTTGCTGCATTCGGATGATACGAGAAAGCGATTGTACGAAGGGTTGGCGAGGCTTGCACGCGAGACGCAGACGCAATTAACGGTTCAAAAGACGACGCATCCTCACGTTCTTGTTTATGGTTCCGCCAATGTAGTGGAACAAGCACGCGTACGAATTCTCGTGTTTTTGGACCAAATGGTAAACAACCAAAAAAATATCCCATTCAAAACAAAAGCTTCAGTTGAGATGGCTGGTGTAACCGAGATATCATTTTTTTTTGTTGTTGTTTTTTCCATAGATGAATTTGCGCACAGACACGCTGCAATTACCCTATCACTTGCATAACCTCGTTGCCGGTCGTAAACATCATCGCCTATTTTCCATCATGGAAGACACAGTCACCAACATCTATCTCCAGTCACCTTTCGCTACATCTTCGTCTCACTCTACCACCAACCCCACATCGCCTTCCACGCACGGCGTTATCTATATTACCGGCGACCCGACCGGAATTCAAAAGGCCAAAGAAAGCTTGCAAACCGTCGCGGCGCAAAAGGTAACGCTTTCTCTTTTCGCTCTCTTATTATTTATGCAGTTGACATAAATGGGAATTCACGCTGTGTTATGACTGTCGGCAGATGAAAACCGTGTGTCACAAAACCATCACCATGCAGGCCCGAAAGCTAGACTGGATGATCGTACATCAGCACGAAGAGTTGCGCTCCATCATGACCGATAATGGTACAATTCACTTCGTTCCATCGACATCATGCGAAGCAAAAAAAATTATATGCACACCTATTTTGACCATCCTGACATTCCAATCGATACCTAGGTTCTTTTATTGCTTTTCCGATGCTAGGTTCCGGATCTTCGACTGTGACAGTCTATGCCGAGAATAGAACCAATGTGGAACGCACCCTGCGTTTGATCAATCATATGGTATACATGCCTATTCTCTTGCCAAAAAAAAAAAAAAAAAAGACTGACACCCAAACCTCATTATGCGCGCCATGGAAACTAACAGTTTCACTTTCCAATCCTAGGCTACGCGCATTTACAAAGCTAGCTTTTATGTACGATTCGAAAGCACAAACGACAGCGACAGTGGAGCGACATTGGCAAGGCCATCTACCGCATCTCACCATCAGCTTTCCCAATTGATTTCATGGCTTTCCCAAAACAGCAACGCAGAAGTAAACTACAACGTGGATTCTTGCCAATTAGAAGTATTCGGTACACAAAAGACTGTTGGTAAAGTATACCAGCTTCTTTCTGACATGCCTTCCTTCAAAGTAAGTTCAACCTACAATCTTGGGGGTAATTATTGTTTACTCTAGAATTAATCTCCATGTTTTTGAAAATGAATAGTTGCATCATCAATTCACCGTGTTCGCTTTGGAATTGGCCACCACACAACGCGAATTCATTAGTGGCAAAAAGAATGGCAAGATCAACAAGATCATGAAGATGTGTACGGCAAGGATCAAGTTTGCTTCCATGAATGAGTACAATTTTGTCATCAAGGTAGAAAGCGACCAATTGGCCAAGGCAGTGGATGGTCTTGTTCTCATTCAAGACGAATTACCTGCCGAATTGTCGTTCCATGTACCTGAAATCTATCACCGACGCATCATTGGCGTAGGCGGCAAAAATATCCAGCGCGTCATGAAACGGTACGGTGTGTATGTAAAATTTTCAGGGGCTGAGGAATTCGCCAGCTTGGGAGGGTATTTCGAGAACGACCACAACGTGGTGGCAAGAACACCTATGAAGAATCAAACCAATCTTGTCAGTCTGCGCCAAGCCGTCATGGATTTCATCGCCTTTCCAAAAGACCGCGATTTCATTGTACGTCCAGTGGCCATTCCGTCTTACCTTCACCGCACCTTTCTGCATCAACACGGCAGCAAACTCCGCGAACTGGCATTAATCAACAATACCAAGATAGAATGGCCAGAACGATCAGGGAAAGATGAAGTGTGTCTTTTAGGTCCTCGCTCGCATATCGGCAACGTGCGTCAGTATCTGGAACATTACCTTGTCCACGACGACATTCTCATTGTTCCCACGTCAGTCAAATTGGCCTTTGATCCTGCCGACAGTTTCATGAACCAGATTCGACAGCATATCCTAACCGAGACACGGATCGAACTGCTGCCGCCCCTGAAAGATACATTGTCACCGACCGTATTCAAAGGGGACGAACCGTCCAATCTGGTTCTCGACCCAGCGATCTACCCCTTGGTCGATGAAGCGTACATTTTCCGTTTCCGATATACAAGAGACCATGAGAAAGCCTTGGTCACAGCGAAAAGGACCCTGGAACAGTACCTGAGGATGCAGCAGCCTACCACACCACCTGCGAAATGCGATCCTCCCTTGCCTTTGGAACTGGACATCACTCGTCTGGAAATCCAAGGCGAAACGATGCTGTCTTCCCTTCTGGCTACTTCAGGTACGGATAAAAAACGAAGGCATGTTTGATTTTAATGCACAAGACTCACGATTGATCTTCCCTACAGACAATTCCACCATGAGTTTACCGACACATATTTATTCAACCAATTACATCCAGTCCTTGTGGATGGATCTGCCCAAGTCGCAGTCGTCCCCGTCCCCGTACGACCACGCTCGACGTACGCCACCGCATCCGTTACGAACCATTTTCGAGACCACGCCCAGCCCACCGCCTAGTCGAAGTACCAGCAGTGAGCGCTTATTGTCAAATTTCCAGTCATCCCCCGATACGTCCATGCTGGCGCAAGCGTATCAAGGCCGTACGGAACGCTATGCCTCCAGTGTCTTTACTTCACCCACCAATTCTACCGGTAAAAATATCTGGGCTACTCCAGGATTAAAACCAAGCAAAAGCACAAGCGTAAGTATTTTTGTTTTCTGTCTGATTGCTGTATGCGACTGAAACATGGCTGTACTTGTTGTGTTCACTGACTTTTATCATTTGCTGATAGACTTTCATGTCACGAGAATCGTTGGATCCGATGTCGCTGGAAAACAGTTACAGCTTACCATTGATACAACCAGTGTCCAACAGGAACGCATCGCAAGAAATGAACTATTTTGCCGTACGGCCTCGTCCTGTCACCTCTTTATCAGCATCGACGGCCGTGACAAGGACCGAATCATCTTATCGATATCCCTTCTTCGGTCATCCTTCCCTGGACGAGTCCCCAGCCGAATATCTACCGCGGTCCATGTCGTTTGATGCACAAGGTCAGATCGGTGTTTCCAATCGATCGCCGCTCGATACCACTTATACGTATTGGCCGACAAGCAATGGTTACTCCAGTCCACTGCAGCTGTTCGATCATGGCGTCAAGACAAGCCAGCCAATGTCAGCAACTTTACCTTTCACAGCGACGACGACAGGCACGAATATAACACAACTGCCCACGTATTCACAAGGTAAAACAAAAAGACCCTATATTCATTGGAAATTGAAGAAGAATGCTCACCCACATGTTCATTTTTTCCCCAGGAATGATGCATGACGATCTTTTACCTACGTTTTCTTTTAGCTCTCCATTTCCGTTTACCTCTTTCCAGCATACACCGGCCGTCCCTTCGAAGAATGGGTCCAATAGATAAATTGGAACCTTTCGAAAGCGAGTAGCCTTGTTTGGAATTATACCCCACACAGACTTCTTTTCAGCTTATACCTATCCAGCGTTGAACCGCATCTTTGATTTGCCATTATAGATATCACTTATCGTTTATTCTCCCATCGTATATACTTATTTTCTTGGTTGTATTTTTTATTGATTTGGTTTCTTTTTTTTTTTTATCACCATATCATCATATACCTACCCATTATTAAAATGTTTGGGGAGTTATGCGCGCTAATTTTCACTCACAAGCATTCACACCGGGTTGTGATTGGGTACTTTTTGAAAAATAAAACGTTTCTGATTGGGTAAAACGAAAAGAACCACATGATTTATTGCGGCGGTCGAGTTGGGGACCTTTCCTTTATTGAATGGTTAGACCGTGATACATCAATTCAATTTAGCAATTTAACAAATGCTAGATTGATATATTCTGTAACTCTTTTATTTGCTTATCCTTTCAGTTCTTTCATTAAAACACCTTTTGTCATTCTCAAACGTTTTTTGCGCTTCTTGCAGTCAGTCAGGACATGCTCGCTCCACGTCTAGAAACTGTCCCAGCAAACCCCAGACGCGCCCAACAACTGTTGCTACGGTTCAAGGATCGGTAGAAGTGCGTTGCTCTACGTGTCAGCAAGTGGGACATCAGCGACCTAGCCATTCAGCTTGCCCATTGAATCCGAGGAGATTGGCTATAAGGGAAGGAAACGACAATGATACTGCGCAACACATCCGTAGATTACCTGTATCCGCTGATGGTACCGAGCTTCCCTGTAGACATACCTTGGGACGCATAAATGTTGTCTGCAATTTCTGTCAGGCACACATGTGGGCCAAAGAAAGCTCGGATCGAACTCCAATCCGCAGTTCCAACTCTGCGGTGCCCAAGGTTCCATTGTGCTTCCACCTTTGGAGCCTACACCACCAACGATTGCGCATCTCCTTCATAGCGACAACGTAGAAAGAAGAGACTTCCGTGAGCAGATCCGCGCCTATAATACGAATTTGAGCTTTATTTTGGTAGGCGCCCAAAATAGATGAATCTGTAGCCAACAATCGCCAACGGAGCCTACTGCTACCGTATCCAAGGAGGCATTTACCACCAGATCGGTGGTCCACTTCCACCAACCGAGAGTCATACCCCTGCGTTTGCCCAAATGTACATTTATGATTCCGACACACAACTTGGACATCGGCATGCTGGGGTGCCCTATTTGCAAAACGCCACCCTTCTCATTCTGCAAGATCTGCTTTCCAAAGTCAACCCATTCGTACCGTTGCTGCAGTCGGTGGCCCAAGTTTCTGATGGAGCCGTAGACGTGCGACTGCTCATAAGTGGGGAAGACGCTCCTGATGTTCGTCGATACAACGCACCTACGGCTAGCGAAGCTGGAGTGATTCTGGTAGACAATAAAATCAAATAGTAGCCGCAATATTGTGCTCCGATCGAGAAGCCATGAGCTTCAACGTATCAGCGAGATGAACCAGCACCATGATGCTCTCCAATATGTCCTGATGTTCCCGCATGGTGATCTTGGTCATAATATTACGGTTATGCAATGGTATAGCTACCATTTGATAGTGCGAGATAACGGCCACGACCTGCTTTTGTACGGACACCTACTCCAGCAATATATTGTTGACATGTACGCCAAGATGGAGCAGGATCGGCTGGCTTACTTGCGACCCAACCAGACAAATCTGCGCACGGACTCCACACACTGAAAAGCACTCTCAAAATAGGGTCGAAAAATTGGCTATTTTTAGATCACAACTGATGAAAAAGGAAACGACGGGTTTTTTTTTCGATCGAGCTCATACAAGATGTCAATCGCGGGGTGATTCTGTCTTTCGTCGTGTCAGCTTAAGATTGTTCGTAGCCGGATTCTGCTCATTATCGCGGATCGACCCAAATGTTGGCAATCATCCAATTAAGGTCATCTTCAATTAAACCGTCATCGCCACCTTAATCACCACCTGAATGGGGAAAAAAGTTAATTAGAGGCTGAACAACAGCTCAGGCACACAAAGGCACACCTTTTTCTCAATGATACTTTTAACATACTAAAGATATGTCTTGTGGAAATACTACTCATTGTTAAATTAAAATAAAAGTGGCCAAGAAATGTTCAAATATCATCAGTTGGCGTACCATGTTTATGGCGTAAAGTACGATTCGCTGAGAAAAATGTCGAATACTTGCTCGACCACTGTTTAGCTTTTGGTTTGCTTGACAGCAGTGCCAAGTTATTGATAAAAGAGCTAAATTCTACGTACTGACTATGGTATTGGGCCGCTGCTTCAACCATTAAAAGCCGTGCTACTTGAGAAGCTTGCAGTAGAAATTGTTCCCATGCTGTTTCGTTTTCGTCTCTGCACACCTTTTTTATGTGCCAAATTATCACAACGAATATTACTTGGCGTGACGCGACTTTATAGGTCAGTGTTTCAATTTCGTTTGCTTATCACTGACGCGGCATGAATTGAAGTTGCCAATCTTTCTCTTTTTCTCTTTTTCTCTTTTCCTTTTTCCCCCTGCCTGTTTTTATTTTACGACGCATGGTTGACCATGATCGAAAAGGAAAAAAACGTGCCACGACACCTCCATTATCCGGTATGGAAAAGATCATTCAGATGCATGAAAACTGTCTGAACATTCTTTGCTTTTCTAGACCCCAATCCTAGTTCATCCGATGACGGTTTCCAGGCCCCCCCCCCCGGTAATTCCAAAACGTGGTCCAAGGATCAAAACTGCTCATGCCAAAAAAAGGCGAAAAGCGATGGAATCCAGGGTAAGATTACAGAATATCATTGTGTAACGCGATTCATTTCTGCATTTTGACCACTTGCAGCTCCGACATCCGACCAAGAAGGTAGATAACTTAACTTGCATCCAGTTTAATTCCTGTGCTGAACTAAAAGATAATGATCTTCAATTATGTAGGAGAAGCATCGTCATGTACTTCCAAAAAAAAAACCAAGAGCGAGATCAAGTTTGAACATGCGAACAAAAAACGCAGTGCCAAGCATGAAGCGAAGGCCAAAGAGGCGGAGGAAAAAGCGATGAAAAAGGCAGCGAGCGGTGTTGCAGTTGTCTGTCCGACATGCCATCAACTTGAGCAGAGTCGCTCCTCCAACAAAGCATGCCTAAACTATCGCCCCAAGCGCATCAATGCAAGCGAGCTGAAGCGAACATCCATCATTAAAACTTCGCTCAAAAATACTTGCAGGAACGAAAGATTCATCGCCGCGTTACAGAAAGTCGTCGAGCATGTTCGCGATGTAACTTATGTTGGTTCGCTCTTCGCCAATCTTCATATTTTACGATGTATCAATGAAAACCAACGGCTTCCATCTTTCTCGCACGGATTGTTCTACGATCTTTTCAGCACGATCATGGGAAAAGGCAGCAAGGCCACTGCGGAGGTCAAAGAATCGATTCCAGCAAGTTCCCACTTTTTACACCAAGGAATTTAAGTTACTTATCTATTTCAACGGTGATCAGTGAAGTGGCCAAGCAATACGACGAAATAGCGCGGAACCATGTGGTCTCTAATTTCAAACCAAAAACGGTTCAATATCTACTGATTCGCCTTTCCGATGACCAAGGTTCATTTTTTTTTTCCAAGCATTCCCGTTTCCGGAAAAGATTGATAGCCACTTTTATCTACGAAAAGGCAGCTGGAGATCAGGAGCCGCACTGGCCCACTTCGGTCGAGCGAACAGAAACTCTAGAAGTCCGAATTGATGAACTCAGTCAGGAACTCTCGCTTCGATCAAGCTCGTCAATGATCTGTCGCTCAATGCAAATCCCCACCAGTACATACCATGGATGCGTCAAGTTCTTGATCGTATGGAGCGAAAAGTGTTTATTCAAGAACAAGTCCCACAAATATTTGTTTCTTCTACATATGTATCGAGAATTGTGCACGATGTAAGTAACGTTTTTAATTTCATTTTTACTTTTAATTAATTTTTGCACAAAAGATCGGAAAGTCATTTTATCAGATACTTAAGGGGAAGAATTTATCCAAGAGGGTCGTATCAAGCATGAACGTCGCGGTGCGTGATGCGATAATGAACAAAACACATCTGCGGATACCCTCCAAGTGCAAGCCTACTGCGAGCGATGAATATGAGGGACTGAAGAAGTTTGTCGAAGCCACGAAAATCGCAATCCAAGAGGAATGTTTCAAGCCTCTGAATACATCGACCCCAAGGGTTGCAGGAGATATTCTCTGCTACCGGTGTATTAATTTCAAAAATGCCACATCGCGCTTGATGTTCAGTCATTTTCCAAGCTTCTATGCTCCAGTGGCATAACGAAGAACATTCACAAGCAAAGAAACTGCACGGCAAGGATATTTTCGCCTTTTTAAGGTGGAGAAGATTGGTTTTCCTACGCTTGAAAGTCTGGAAACAGACCGCTGTATCTTTTGGTAACGTCGAATCACTTTTGGAATCCTATCCCAACGTCATTGCTGATTGTTCAATAGGGATACAATTATCACTGATGGCACCGACGTGCAATTCGTTTTGAAGAAGCCGAAACGAATAACTCCAAGAAACCACTGACGCCCCGAGACCTTCAGGCAGATCTAAAAGGCGTAACAATCTGGGGAGTTGACCCTGGGGTGACTGACGTTTTCGTGACAGTGGATGGTTCTGGAGCAGAAGCGCATCGAATTCGCAAGATCTCCACTCGCGAATATTACGATGTTTGCGGATATAACAAGGCCACCTATAAAGAGGCAATACACAGAAGGCGCTCCGGAAGTGAAGAAGATCATCGATAATCTACCATCTGTAAGAACAGCGAGTGGTCATCGTTTCCTTGAACCCGTTCGTGATCGATTACTACATCATCGTACGATTTGCGCTTTTTACGACGACGGTAACAGGTACGTGAATCTCTATATCACTGTTATGTCAAAGATTAACAAGCTGAAGCTGAAACCATACATGGATAAACAGAAAGGAACCGCCGAGATTGCGAATTGTCTCCTGGCAGGGAGCAAGAAATACGATGCGAAAAAACCAAGTCCACGTCCCACGTCCGACAACGGTAAACTGGCAGCCAGCATGTCCCAATGACACGCCGAGTGATCAGAAGAATTCAATCATTGTTGCATATGGAAACGCCTCATTTTCGGGAACAATGAAGGGAAAGTTGTAGTGCCCTAAATGCGTCAATCGTGAAAAGGTTGAAGCAACTTTCTTGGACAAAGTTAAGGAACGAACAAGAAATAGTGAAGCGAAAAGCAATAAACATATTCATAAAACGAATACATAATCAGAGTAGTCATGATTGACGAATTCCTCACGTCACAGATACGCCCGACATGTCAAACAAGAAGAGTGCAAAATTTGAAAAAACGTGGTGATTCCGGGGCGAAAATCCATGCTATCCTCATGTGTGAAACATGCAAGACGGTATAGAATCGGGATGTAATGGCAGCGAAGAACATCCGCTCCGTTTTTTTTATTCATGCGCGCAATCAAAAGAACGACCGACGCCATTCAAACGACCCACAACAAAACCGAATGCCGATGAATGCAAGACGTCGGCGTCCAGTAGCAAGTAGCCTGCCGAAAGGCATTGGGTTACTTGTTACATTACAGTATCTGTTTTTGTGTTTGCCTCCTTGTTTTCATATGTCCACTTTCGCTTTGTTTTTTCTCATACCGTTATGACTTAAAATTCAACATTTGGGCTCTCAAAGGGGCAATCATTTGATAGAAAGCAAATGCATTAAATATTATTAGCCAGCGGTTTGTTTCAAAGCACTTCTAGTAATCGATGATAGTCCTCTTCAATCGACAAGTACGTTTCGTGCAGTTTCGCTTTGCGTTCTTCAGGCTCCATATCCGCTAATGCTTCCTGTCATATGCAATGAAATTATGATGAGTGCGTCATTTTTTCATCTACGTGATGGAATTCATGGAAACATACTCTGTTAAAGTTGTAAAGACGTTCTTTCACTTGAAGTCGATACGTTCGGTAATCGTCAGCATTAAGCTTATTCAGCCCGGAAAGCAGATATATTTCAATGCACCGATGGACTTGTCGCTGTATCATCATTTGGAAGAGTCAATGGTCTGTGGATTTCATGGTCACAGAAACGAATCACTCACCTCTGTAAGTTTATACTTTTTGCAAAGTTCCTTTACTGTCGCTTCGGGAACAGGCGCCGATACACCATCGAATGCATGCTGGTGCAGTAAATGGCGGAAATCGTTCTTGTCTCTCATATCACAAAACTCTTGATTCGGATCCTCCACTAAATACATTCATGTTAGTACTATAAACGGATATTCTCAGCTAAAGTCCCGGGAATGACTCACCTGTCAGTTCAATCACATCCTTTCTTGCCGTAAAATATTGGTACAAGGTCTGATACAACTTGCCTAAGCAATCCGTTGGCGATTAGCCACGGACGAACATTATCAATGTGCAGTAAGAGAGACTTACTTCCGTGACCTTGTTGTTGAAAGGGTGGTAATACCAGGAATTGACTGAGGGATTTCCCATGTCAGTTAAGGTCACAAACAGACTAATGGGTCATCTTACCTGATACGCATTCGTGTATTGTCAGGCCAGCAGAAAAACGGATAAGCAGTGCAATAACCGACGAAATGATAACGATACGCTTGTAGGGTGCCTTCCCGTTTGTATCTAATTTGCACAAGTTAAGCACACGGGCACCAAGGCGTCGATCAATCAAATGAGGTATTTGACTCACATTGTGTAGATTTCCCATTTTTCATCTTCGTCATCAATGTAGGTGGCGCCTTCCACAAACAGCGGCACGAAGAATTGCATACGACGATGTAACTTTCGGAACGAATGATCGGTAAAACTTGACTAAGAACAAAAAGCATCCATCGGGTATGAGATCGTGAATAACAGGTGCCAGTGATGCCCGCAGTGATTGGTTCACCTTGTAAATCTCAAAAGTTTCTTCCTCGCCCTCTTCGCTTTCACGCGTGTATTCCGCCAACTTTTCGCCATTGGGTTTAAAATCAACCGAATCCTCACGTACATAACGAGAAAACTCGTCGTAATTCTTGCAGTAGTCTGGAAATATGGTAAGCCGATGTCCACGGATAAGCGCGTGCTTGCGTACCTGGAGGCAAATAGCCTTTCAATATCGCTTCAATATCATCGGCTTGTACCTCGGGAGCGCCGTCGGATTTTGAGGACGATGCAGGAACATATTTATCGGAATAATCGATGTGAAGGTAGGGTCGTAATGATCCCGAAGTGTAATAAATCTGACAATCACGTCAACGCTCATAGGATCGGGAATCGAGATGGCGTATAATAGACTACTCACCTTGATACTCAGTTCCTTGTAACCGAAAGCGGTTTCATGTTGTCCAAACATTGAATAGGTAAACTCGGGCTGGATATCATCGTAGATAGTAGGTTCACTGGCGGCAAAGTCTCCCTGTTGCTGACGAACTGTGCAACGCCCGCGACAATGAGAACGCGATTAAGTACACGTTCTCCATTAAGGCTGACCTCTTTGCTATCACAAAGCCCGGATTACCTAATCGTAACTGCATGGCTTCGGTAGTATTGCAAGACCATTTCGCAAAGTCGGGTACAAGGGCTGATGCAGGATGCATATCCTCTGCTTCCATGGTAGTAGATGTCATTTTTCAGTTTTTGGGAGACCGAAGAAGCGGTTGGCAGAATCGCGTTGCTGAAAGCGGAAGACGGAGCTTGAAAGTGGAAAAGGGGGAGGTGTATGTGACGTTTTTTCTTTACTAATTGGGCTGAGCCACCCATTTGTGCATTTTTTCCAGCGGGGTGCTTCAGTGAACCATCTCCGGAGATCGCTTTAAATCCATTGCATCGATTCATCATGCCTCTCACTCGAGCCAGGCTTCGAAAGCTTGAACAAGAAACGCATACATCGCTGCAGCCAAACGAGGTTGACGATACCGTCTTGTCGCAAGCAGCTTCTACCAGCGGCGAATCGACCACACAACAAGCACCAGCGACAGTATCTGCACAAAGGAAGAAGGCACAGCCAAAGCGATCTGGTCGCAAATCGAAAGCTCAATCCGATGAACCGATCCCACAGTCGAATGGCGAGAAAGAAAACCTGGAATCCTTTTCTGCCGTAGTCGAAACAACTGAATCAAAGAAGCAAGCACTTGTACAAGAAAGCGAAGAACAGAGCGACGAGGAAAGCGAAGAAGAGAGTGAGGACGAAAGCGAAGAAGAGAGCGGGGAGGAAAGTGAAGGGGAAAACGTATCAAGCGATGAAGAAAGCAGTGACGATGAGGATCTCGATTCTCTATTGGATAAAGCACGGACCGCCTTGGAAAAACAACGTGCAGACGTAACAAAGGATGACGATGCGTAAGTGACCTTGTTAATATATGCTCCATAATACGAATGCTCTTTCTCATATGTTCCCTTTTTTTAATCTTCTCAGATCATCATCATCCGCCAATAAGTTTAGGTATTGCACGCGAACAGGTTATCTCTTCACACAGTTCAGTAGCTAATTGATCTTGTAGCTTCCCCAAACTAGACGCTGGCGTGTCGATTGAGGATCATCTTTACATCAAAACCCAAAAGGACCGTGCGAGGTTAACGTCAGAGACGGTGTCGATCATCAATCCTGGCGACAAGGCGCCTGCCAAAGGTGACAAGGTGATTGAGACTCACAAGGTCACAGAAAAAGAAGAAAAGCCGCTCTCACGAAAGGAACGACAACAGGTAAATCAGCAAATCGAAGGTGAACTACTATGGGTCCTGTCGATTGACTAATCCGTACGTGGATATATAGCTTCGAGAAAAAACAACAGGAAAGGGATGGTTCGACATGGAAAAACCGGAAATTACACCTGAAATTAAGCGTGATTTGCAAATTTTGAAAATGCGTCATGTTTTGGACCGCAAGCGACATTACAAGAAGATGGGCAAGCGGGCCGATCCCACTTATTTCCAAGTTGGCACGGTGGTGGAGGGCCCTACGGAATTCTTCTCGGCACGTATGACCAACCGCGAGAGAAAGAATACCATCCTTGATGAATTATTGTCCGACGATAACCGCAAACAATATTACAAGCGCAAGTTCCTCGAAACCCAAGAACGAACCAGCAGCGGTGGCAAAAAGCATTACAAGAAGCAAAAAGTCAAGCGTTACTAGATCCTAAAGTTCATGTACATTTCTCTACCTACAATTTGCATCCCTTTTTTCTCTTCCATCTTTCCAAAATCTTGAATAAGATGATATCATTTCACATTTCAAAAGTGCTCAGCTCAACCATGTCCCTTTGATTTTTCCTATTTTAATCTAAACAATTAAATCTTTGGGAAACTAGCAATTTTGTAGATCACATGATCTACACCAACTTATCAGGACCTGTTAAACCTTTTTTTTTTATCTTTCAACCATGCCTCGCTGCCCACTTTCACGATAATAGGCGAAACAATCAGCAGCAAGATGCCGTTTGCGCCAGTTGTGGTCAAACAGAGCATCGTCGTTTTTCGAATAGAAATGTGAGTAGAGCTCTTTTTGAAGAGAAGTGGTTGATGATACGCTGGCGTTCTTTTGTAGCATCATTCGATTTGTTGTTTTTTTTTGTCAGTTATACTGTCATTTATACTGTATATGTCCTTTCATTCTCTTTCAATTTTCAATGAATCGAATAATACATAAGCAGACGTGCTTCGATCTATGAATTCATGCATCAGTGGGGTGACTATCGTTTCATCCATGGGAAATCCACATATTTTTGTCTTCAAATTCTTTCTTTGTCTCTGATTTACCTCTCTCTAGAGTAAAGCTTTCCCATGTAGCTGATCTGAGGATATTGCTCATCATTAATGCATCGGTGGGGACTATAGTTTCATCCATGGGAAATCCACATATATTTTGTCTTCGTTTTTTTCTTTTTTTCTTTGGTTTTCTCCTCTATCTTCTGTTTACCTGAATAACTCTCACTATCATTGCATCCCCTCGCATCCATCATCCAGACTATGGTTTATCCCGCGTGTATCTGTAACCAGTCAAGTCGATTAAAATATCAAAAAGGTATGTTTTGTGTGATGTGACTATCCGTTTTTCGACAAGAAAAAACTCAGGTTCGTTTTTCTTTAGCTTTTAGTTTTCTCTCCGGTTTTCTTTTCGCCCTGGCAAAGCCATCTATCCCTCCAAATCTTTCTACTTTGTTCGCGCACCAATGTGGCCAATCCGGTTTCAGTCGTCAAAGGGCATCGTCGGTGGTATGATTCTCCTTCTTCATCAGAAGTGTTTAGGTGTCCTCCTCAGGTTCCTCTTATTTGGATTGCCACCCGTGATATCATCTTCGCTATTTCTTCCCGACTATTTTATTTTTGTAGTTTGTGGTATGTACTTTGTATTTTACGATAGGCCTCCTTGCAGTCTTTTCCTCCTTTTTTTCCCACAGGGCTTTTAGGGTTTTTTTTTACAGATGCACCTATTGTTTTACTTTTTTTTATTTTATATTTGTATCGTTTCTTTTTTTTCGGTCGGAAAGCTCTGGATATCTGCTACCTCACATAACAACGGTAAAATATCTTGACGACATTTAAATCAATCAAATAGCGTACTAACTCATTTTTCTTAATACCCAACATTCCCACATCATTCTAGATCTATCATAACCTTGGGCGGGACGGGACTGAGAGGGTCAATGAGTGCTGCTGCACACATGTTTGGAAATCATGACTGTACGGTATGCCAGTGTATTGACATTAATATACCAAAGTTCCATCAAGAGTCTCGCCCAGGTTATGCCGTATTGAGTTAGGCTTTTGTCTGACGAATGTCACTCAATGTAAGGGTGTGACGTCCAGTAGCAGGTGGCATCCATTGCACAGCGAATGTGCGGCTTGTTATTCCAATACACAGTTCAAGGAAATCTCTGTTCTCTAAAAAAAATTCACCGATCGCTTTATTTTTTTTTATTTTTTTATTTTTTATTTTTTTGAAAAAGAATGCCTTGGGTGGATAGGAGTATTCCTCTTGCAATTGCGACCGAAGCATATATTTTAAGACGAGAACTGTGGTAGAAAAAATAAAGAAGCAACAAACACAGCCGTGTACAATAATGCTTCGGGCAATAATTGTCATCTTGCTATGATGAGAGTCATCTTCTGAAATTTTTAATTGTTATCTTGTAAACCGTTTCCCGATTATTATTAGAAAGATAATGCTGTATCGACCCAGTGTGTCAATACTCGGTTTATTTGCGTTGCACGGACTCTCGTCGACCGCAGCGGCAGCGGCAGTCGACGGTCAATCCGCCGCCTTCACTTCGCCCGTGTATTTAGCCGATGTGGCTGGTCCCACAAATGTACCGGATTTGGCGACGGCTTATCCAGCAGAGCAGCATATTCAGAGCAAATCGTTGAACATCGATTCATACAAGCTGGATCGGTCGAAATACCCGGAACCGTTGAAGCAGCCTCCCACTGACAGTCCGGAGCTGCGAAAAGTAATTGCGTCGTTGGATTGGAGCAAAATACCGGCCATACAGCCGCGCAAAGTCGTGAATTGGGTATTGGACATTAAATCGTACGATGTGAATGCGGATCCCGATTGCTGGTGGTCCAGCAGTCTGTGCAAACGGCCAAAACTGGCTTATCTTCCCGAAGACATCTACATGTGTCCCAACCCCGGCGACTGGGGACTCAATTACGATGATGGGCCTTACCGCGTGTGGTTCCCGCAAAGTCCCACCGATAAAGATTGGGAAGAACCACGTTTTTACAACTTTTTGGTGGAACACGGAAAACAAAAAGCAACTCTTTTCTGTAAGTAGTTCTGCTTTTTTTTTCGCGTGTTATTAAACATTTTCATTGATTGATATGTGGAACTTTTAGTTGTTGGATCCAATGTGATGGCTTTCCCTGCCGCTGCGCAGCGTGCACTGAATGACGGTCATACGATTTGTTCTCATACATGGTCCCATCCGCAAATGACGACGTTGACCAATGAAGAAGTCGTCGGTCAACTCTACTGGACCCAAAAAGCCATCAAAGAGGCTTTGGGTATTACACCCAAATGTTGGCGTCCACCCTACGGTGACGTGGATGATCGCGTACGTGCTATTGCTTGGCAAATGGGAATGCGCACCATCTTGTGGGATCAGGACTCTAATGATTGGAACTTGGTATGTGGAAGCATCAATACGTTTATCAGTCGCATAAAAAAAAGACTAATCAAGAGATTACATAAGTATGGCGGACCTGCTAGAGGCCATTTAACCGCCGAAGTCGTGGACAAGTACTTTGAAAAATGGATCGCAGCACGAGTAAACAATCAAGATAATGAGCATGGTCATATCACGCTGGTAAAATATCAATCCCTTCGCACGCAGGCGGGCAAAACGTTATTTAAATGTCTTTTTTTCTCCGTTACTATGTAGGAGCATGAAAATAGCAATTCTACAGTTTCTATGGCGGAGCGCTGGCTTCCCAAGTTGCAAAAGCATTTCAATGTGATGCCTATCCATCAATGCATCAACGATCCGAAGCCTTACTGGGAAGAAAGTTGGGTATATCCTACTTTAACCGAGGGCGAACCCAACCACGTCTTGCAAGCCACGGCTCGAAAGCCAGGTTTAGAGTCGGCTTCCGCGCCTCAAAATGCGGCGATGAAGTTTGTGTCACCCAGCTGGGGTGTCCCTCTCCTGTTGGTAACATATCTCTGGCAATTACAGTGGTGATCAACCACTCAATAAAAATATGCGCACGTTTATGTCTGTGTATCATTACACAAACGTACACAAACATACACAACATACACAACAACGCAAAATAAGCGACACAACATGCTGCAGTGTTCTGGACCTGTGTCACGCATGTCGGTGAATTCTGTCGCGGTTTAACCCTGGGTTGAAACCTGAATTCTTCTTTACATCCTATTGAAACATCATGAACACCTCTTTGGTAGCGAAACGACTGAGATGTCAAGGTTGGAATTGTGCGAGATGAAATTTTTTGATCAACGCAGTTCGAATCATGAAAGTGTGTATTGCACTTACAGAGCGCGTACAGAAAAACAGAGGAACGTTTTTAAATGAAGTAATGCATGGAACTTTCGGAATCTTTTTTTTTATCAGAAGGCGTGTATTAAAATGGTTGCATGAAAACAAGAAATGGTTGAATAAAAAACAGGAACGAAAATAAAGAAATAAACAACAGAAAATGAACAAGTATAACACGACAAGAATAAACCAACAAAACAAGAAGAACAATGAAGAAGAACAAAATAAAAAGAGACACAAGAATGAGGGATGTGAAGTGAGCCTTATTTATTTAGGCGGGGGCATGGGAGGACGGGCGTTGTAATACGGTTGAGACGGTTGAGACGGCTGAGCAGGCCGCCTTTGCTGTGGGTGATGGAGTTGCTTAGGACCGAAATTTTGGCCGCCTTGAGGACCCCATGGACCTGGAGCCGCGGCGTGAGGTTGAGGAAGTGGTTGCATTCTTGGTGTTGGGTGCTGATTCGACATCACGTGTGGCTGCATCGGTTGCGGATGCATGGGCGGGGCGTGCATAGGTGGGGCATGCATGGGTGGAGGATGATGCGGTTGGGACTGAGGACGGTACGAAGGATAGTATCCCGAGCTGGCCTTTCCAGGCGCTTCTTTGGACGGGTCAAAGTAATGCATGGGTTGCTGATGTTCCGATCGTGTATCGTACGACAGGTTGGACGCCGAATCCGAGTCCATCATGGGTGGATCTGCCAATAAACCACGACGACTGTCATCCTCTTCGGCCACAATGCTGTGCGTCAAATGCGTGGGCCCCAGCTCTCGTAATTTTCGTTCACGTCGTTTCACGGCTCGCACGCGTTTACGTTCGTAATCCTCCCATCGTTTGAGCGGCACTTTGCTGGGATCGAATTCACCATCCTTTTTACCGTGATCTTCGCCTTTGACTTCGCCTGTCACTTTGCGTGTCTCACCCCACGAGAAATCGTCAAAGTGCCAGAAGGAGTACACTGGCAACACAAAATTCCAGATAGGCAAGGCACACAAGTACACCAACATCCACATAAGGTACACCCATTTACGTGTAGTGATGAGAATCAAGAACGCCGGGGAAAATAGCACGATAATCAACAGAATCAACGGGACCGCCATGGTGAAACTGGTGATTTTAGTCGCAGCCATGTTCGCAACCAATACCACGGTCAGTACGATAGCCACGGGCAACGTCAAGGTACCGATAAGATCCATCATGACAACAAACTGCATGGAAAAACAAAAGGTACCACACAGGTTACGCACAAGCACCAATTCGAACAAATTGTGGATAGTAGAATTGATCCATCGACGACGTTGTGACAATAACACCTTGAATTCATCAGGTACAATGGTCTTACAGATCTAATTGCAACCGGAAAAGAAAAAAAAAGTGCCCAGATTAAAAATTCTGCATCCGTGCTTCTTCCAGCGCCGATAAAAATAGAGAAACATGAAAAATTCACGGGCACGGTGGATGATGACTTACTGCTTGTGGGGTGAAAACCATTTTGCGGTAAGGGAAATTACGTAACATAAGGGTCGTCAGGAAACGATCTTCACCGAGAAGCAAGAGATTCTTTTGATGCAAGGTGGTGACAGTGTTTTGCGAGTATTCCTGGACAATTTCCGGTTTGGTGATGATGGGCACCCAATCTCCGTCACCTTTGCGTGCTTTCAGTCTGTACATACTGAAACAACCGGGCAGACATGTCACGCCACCAAACACGGCCTCAAACCCCTTTGCCAAATGATGCGAAATGAAATATTCATAGACCTGGATGGCGGTGACCCACGACCCGCGTTTGTTGGCGATTTTGGTTTCACCGCACAAACCCATGATCAAATTATCGTTCACCATGCAGTTCACGAGCAAGCGGAGCGACGACGCATACACTTTGGTGTCGGCGTCTACCATTAGGACCAATTCAAACATATCCGGTGTAACCCCCATGAGATAATGGATTTTTTGGAAAAGCTCATAGTCCAGCGGGGTCATCCGATCGTTGTAAGTGACGCGACTGAAAAAATTCATCAAGATCAACTGCGAATCGCGTTTGCCTCGATTGCCAGGTTTGGGCTTTCCTTCTTCTTCGGGCGCACCACACTTGACCACCAAAATCATCGGCACCTTGTGTCCTTTGCACACTACATGATCATCGAATGATTTTTTTTGGGTTGTAATAGAGGAGAACAAAAAAAGAAAAATGGGAGGGGAGAGGAGGAGAAATTTCAGTCAGAAAAGATAAGAGCGATTGATTGAAAATGCGATTTCCTAATATGGCATTCACGTTTTGCGGTAAATAAGACACTTACCATAGTGACCAGCATACACTTTAGCGCAGTTGTGTTGTTTGGCGCCTGCAGCCACCGCAATGTACGATTTGGCTTCGGCGAGTTTCATTTCAGGGTTATCAAATGTGATAAGGTCCAGGCACATGTCGGGAGTCGATCGTGTTTCGCCACTGCCCGTGATAATGCCGTCGGCAATGAGAAACAGCAATTTTCGGTCGTCAGGGTATTCCGTGGCGGAGAGTGATTCGACGGTTGCACGGATCCCTTCGGTGTTCTCTGAATAGCAAGTAATTAACATGACTGTGTACAGATCATTGCCTACTTCCACCAATGTTTTCTGTGTCCCCAAGGTTGACCCAGAATCCATTCGTTGTGGTTTCCTAATATCCGACATCTCCATGGTTTGGTTCATCACCGAAGCCGAACGAGGAGCAGGAGGCGGTGTCCGTGACAACTTGCGAGACAGGAACCATGAGAAGATTAAGGCCATGAAAAAACGAGCCAGGACAATAGCCAATACGATGAACAGTGAGCAGAATAATACAATGGAGGCCGTGAAACATCCCGGCGTGGCTTTGTCAATGTGACCCGCACGGTACTTTTGAACCATGCAGTTGATGGAAGCGCGGAGTTCAGAGCGGCGGAAGAAGTTCTTGGTACCGTCACGACCACCTTCGGCAAACGTTTGATTGAGAATCTCACGAATCAGGGTGTCGAGCGGATCGTTGGGAATGGGAACAGGATGGGCATTGATGTAAGGATCCATGTTGAGGACACTGCCGTCAATGACGAAAAAGTTGGTCAAGTTGGATGATGCTAATTGTGTCCAATCGAAACCGACGAGACGAGTAGAATTCTTGAGATTGAGCTGATTCATGGTGGCTTGATTCAGGGGACCGAGTGAGCAACCTTGATAGCCGTTATTAGGGACACAAGGATTGAAGGTGACGGCCGCAAACTGATTTGCCACCGTGTTCCCCGTATCCTGACAAGCGGCCAAATTGGCGCCATGCTGGAAATGGTTGGTGATGTCTGTGCCTGGAATAAGATCAAAGAGATTGATGTGGCCGAGAGTTTCTGTCTCGCTGATATTGAACTGCCATCCTGCGATACCTAACAACGATGCTGAAACACCGCATCCAAGGAAAATAAAAAAAAAGCAAAATCAGGGGAATGGTTTATGTGGGTCGATGCGCATCACGGAAAAAGGAATCAAGGAAAAAGGCAAAAAAAAAAAAAAAAAAAAAAAATAGACGAGTGGTGGAAGATCATGGGGAACAGGGGGGAAACAAGTGCAAAGGGGAAGAAAGGAGGAGGAAGAAAGTAAAGAAAAAAAAGTGACATAGAGAAAGACTGACAGAGAGGGAGAGAGCGAGAAACAGGAATAGAAAGAGAGATAGACATAGATATAAAGATATAGAGATATAAAGAGAGAGAGAGAGATATCAGAGAGAAAAGAGGGATAAGAGACAGATGAAAAAAGGTAGAAACGTCGGCATGGGATAATGGAAAAAGACGAATTGGGGTTTTGGATCCATGCATAAGTAGAATCCAATGCTAGGTGGAAAGAAAAAGAAAGATGTATTCGAAATATGAAAGGACACTTACCACTGTTGATGGTATCATTGTACGAGGCATACATTTGCTGGTTGTTGGATTGATCGGGAGGGCACATGACGGAGCTGAGGCCAATGGTAATAAAGGCGACAAAACCACCCATACAAGCAATGATGAAGCACAAGGTGATTTTCTCGCGCCATGCTTGTTGCATACCTGCATCGGTTTTCCCCATTGCCCGAAGCATGGGAGGAAAAGCCCAAAAGGTGACGATACGAGAGATCAGGACCCAAGGATCAAATAAGCTGCGACTCGTGGCTTGTTTGCCTGTCAGTAGCGGTGGTGGTTCCTGGTATCGATCTGGACGAATCAAAGTACGTCCTCGTTGGATATTATGGCTGGCATTCGCAATACTATTGGCGCCCGGTGCAATGCGTCGCGTAGGCGCTCTACCCAAGGTGGTGGGTTTACGTCCCACCGAAACCCCGTTGCCATTGTAATAGTGGGTATCGACCGAGGAGCTGTATGAATTCTGATGGATCGGCATTGCACCGCCAGTCGGGGGTGCATCGTGTGGAGCCGGCGTCATGGTATCAATATAATGGATGGTCTATCGTTTTATTTCGTTTTTTAATCGTGTTTTCAAAAGGATAGATCGATCAAGGAACGGAGTGTCGACGTAATTCCTTGTGCAAAATAAGGGAACAAAAAAAGGAAAGGCGAACCAAAAATGAATGGATGAACCAAAAGGAAGGGAGGAGGACAAAGGATGACCGAATAAAAAATTGAAAACAGAAAAACTCGGACGGAGGAGAAAACACTGGTATGTCCACGAAAATGAAAGAAAGTAATAAAGAATTCAAGCAAGAAAAGAAGCAAGAAAAAAAGGAAAAGCAACAAAAAGCAAAAAAAAATTTAAAAAAGATGGGCACACAAAAAAAATAAAAAGAGGTCGGTGGATTCCAAAAAAACAATTCAGTCTTCGGGAAACGTTACGTTGAAGCCAGGGGAAGTTTAAAATATACAAAGGCTATTTTTAAACGGCCAAAGCAAGGCCAGAAGGAAAGAAGATCTCATGGACACTTACTGTAGGTAGATTGACTGTCCGCAAATTAGGAATTGGCAAGTTGCACAATCTCATCGTCGCGGGTTCTCTGTTTGTAGCTTTTTTCATTCTCCCCTTATTCTCTCTGAATTCAGGAGTGTCACACAAAACAAGGTTGGAACGCTTTTTTTGCAACTTACAGGTGGTTTCTTTTTTTATTATTATTCTTCTCTGTGATACTCGTCGCATTACTCTGATGGTTCCTTTTTGATTCCACTCAAACGATCCAAATAATCCATATGCGTCATGTTACTTGATAATGCCTCTCTGCTCTTGGAATACAGATTGGGGAAAACCGATTCCGCTTGGATTGTCTATGCATTATCATTGATTTAGCCACACGTCTTTGCTCTTTGTATCAACCCAATTCCATCCCATTTGCCACCAACGGCCCCAGTTAAATGGAACATATCTCCTCCTTACGTGTTCATCATAGTATGCCATGGCTTGCCATGCTTCTTCATCCGCGTTACGCACTGCCATTGAATACAAATTCCGCCGAGCGGTTCCTTCATTGCCTGAGTTTTTGGCAGAAAGCTGCAAAGAAAAATAATAATGTCAGTGTCCAATTGATTCTAGAACGTGATGATCCGCAATATTCTTTGAGGAAGCATAAGAATCTCGGCAGACAGGCAGAAAGACGGAAAGGGATACATCGAAAATTGTCTGTGTATCCTCATTTCATCCCTCACTTCCTTGCTGCGAATTCGTTCACGTAATTAAATTATCTTACCTGTACAGCTTGCGCTTTGGACTGAGAAGGACCGGTTTTCGCTTCTTCTTCTTGTTTCTCCACATCCTGAATACGCTTATTCGCATCTTTATATTTCTGATCAATCTTGTCAATATAAGTGAGACCCGGCCGCATTTGGATCATGGTATTCAGCGGCGTCAAGTGCACTTCATCTGATCAAAGCTCAAGGTGAGTTCTTCCAGTGACTCCTTTGTATCATGCAATCATGACAGATAACGTACTTTCGTGGATCACACCGACCAAATAATTGGTCTGTACAGGAATATTCGTGGAAGTCATGGTAATTTTATCGAGTAATTCTTCTTCTTTGTTCTTGTGCGCAAACCGGCCCATTTTTTCTTCTTCATGTTCCTCCATTCGACGATCGTAGGCGGTCTTGATCGCCTTGTCGTTCATACCCATGGCAAAATCTTCACCTCTTTCGGTACTGTAGTGAGAGGATCGCGTGTTCAGCGGTAGATCGAGTTCTACCATTTTGGCATTGGGTTTCATGCGCGCTGCAGTCGGGCCATTCTTCAAAAAGGGAACATTGCGCAGTGGGTATTGGAACAAGTATAAATGGTCAGCTAAGGTCGTGCTCAAATACACGGGCAATTCCGCCACTAATTCATCGTCGCCTTCATCCAACTCCATATTATCATGTGTCGGTTCCAAGCCCGAGATCCTGGCTTCGCTGTTCGATTGTGATGCGAAATCTGTCATGGCTCTATTCTCGATCGTCTAAAAAGCTAAACGCTCAGGAAGGGGGGATGTAAAAAAAGGACCAACCCACAAAAAATGACCGTCACAAAAATCGTGACAGTGAATGAAAATCAAAAGTCAGTGACCCACAAATGCATGAAAATGGGAATTGTATTAAAGAACATGAAAAGACGGAAAAAGAAAAAAAAAAGGCATGATTATACAGTCTGTCTATGACGAGGGCAAATACTATGAAGCAACGATGAGTCGCGCGTTCGGCTTAATTGAGATTTAAAAATTCGAAATTACCTTGTATGGATTGAGAATATGGTTCGGATCCAGCATGTTCTTCGTCGTCTTCATCAATTGAATCATGACTGGTGACTTGGAGTATCCCAAGAACTCATTCTTGGCCACACCCAAACCATGCTCAGCGCTAATCGATCCCTGATGTTTGGCTATCGTGCCAGTATCAGTACTTGCTATGTTGCGAATACAAAAGACCAGACGAGGTACTTACCAACCCATTCAAAGAGATAGGGTTCTATCAGGGACGACGTCTTTGGGTCAAGACGTTTGGCAGCAATGTTGAGGTGGAGATTACCATCACCCACATGGCCATAAGCGACCACGTCCGTGACAGGAGAGTCTTCCTGGCCATAGACGCCACCATCCTTGAGATGCTGACGCATGTCTTGGACACATTCATAAATCTTGTTCACGGGCATGGAAATATCGTATTTGTATACGGCCGGTTCCTTGCCCATGGCTTCCGTGAAGCCCTCACGCAGACTCCACAGGCTACGAATTTGGGTTTCGTCTTGCGCAACCACACCATCTTGTGCAACCCCATCGGTCATCATTTTTTCAAGATAATTCGTCAATTTCTAAATAACAGGAATTTGGCGCGTTAATCAATCCATATCTGTGAACCTAACAACCTCCGCCACCCACACAAAAGCCTTCCGTTGATCGATACTATAAAAATGCTTACCTCGTCGTCATGGTCCTTATTGGACCCACTAGTTTCAATGAGCACATAGAAGGGGTATTCTTGTTCCATGACCGCTTTGGGAGTGGCGTGCTTCTTGAACATTTGAAGTGCATTGATATCCCAGAATTCAAAAGCTAATGTCGATAGTCCATCATTTTTTTTTCATCGTCAGTAAGTTTTTTTTTTGTTTTTTTTTTTTTTTTAGCCAAGACACTAAAATATTATGCAATTCCTTTACCCGACAAGATCTCCGAGAGTTCACTGCGCGATTGTTTGAACGCTTTCTGCACATCTTCGAATGAATTCAAGCCGAGCATCGCCACGTTGACCGCCTGCAATTGTCACGTATTTAGTATGCTGTTGTCATTTTTCATCCGTTTGCAATAGATAGATGTATCAACCTTTGAACGATGCGGGGTCAAAATGGACACCCCGGTGATTACGCCAATGGTACCCTCCGAACCAATGAATAGTTGCTTCAAATCGTAACCTAACATTTCCATGGAATCCAGCGTGAGCCGTGGGTTTTTTTACGCCTGATTATTCACACTCCGACATCCCCACCTGTGTTATCCTTGCGCAAAGTCGACATATTGTCGAGCACCGTACCGTCCGCCAGTACCTAGTCCACGCACACAACATCAATACAGCGTCATCCCTCCGAGCAAATTATTTAATGCTTACCACTTCCAGACCGAGGACGGTGCCGTGGAGCGAGCCATATCGCAGTAATCGAAGACCGCCGGCATTGGTGGCAATATTACCGCCAATATGACAGCTATCACCGTACACACATCAGACAAAGAAAACATTAAAAATGAAACAAACACCACTGATACGTACCTTCCCTTGGCTCCCAAATCCAGTGGCATCATGTACCCCTTTTCGGCGAGCCAGTTGTCCAAGACTTCCAACACACATCCAGCGTCGGCAGTAAGAATACCCGATACGGAATCGAACCCACGAATTTTGTTCATCGCTTGCAAGCTGAGAACGATTTCATCGAATACAGGGACAGAACCACCCACTAACCCGGTATTACCGCCTTGAGGCACCACTGCAAGTCTGTCATCAAAAGTTGATCCATATTAGTTTTCCAAAGCAACGTAGTGTTATCATCGGATTCGTCAAGGAAGAAAAAAGAAAACCTACTTTTGTTCGTTGCAGTATTTGAGAATATCTGACACTTGCTGGGTGGTCTTGGGTTTCAACACAAGCTGGGATTTACCGCGAAACTTGTTCATCCAGTCCGTGTTGAAAGGAAACAGATCGTCTTCGTTGTTATAGATATAACCGTTGTCGCCTACGACCGACTTAAAAAACTCGACATCTTCTTTGGAAAGCTAATTCAACATGAGAAAATATGAGCAACATGGCGGCTAGTTCAGTTTTCCTGGGAAGAAGCAAGATGGAGATTACCTTTTTGAAATGATCGTGACGAACGTAACCGGGGAACTTGTCGACGGTGTACTCGACGGTTTTCTGGTTTTTGGTGGTGTTTGCATAATACCGCGTAGCTTGGATAAGCGGCATAGCTAGACGAGGCGAATGGCGGACCATAACGGGTTTGGCAGTAGCAGCGAAAGCTCTGGCGGAGCTAGTCGCCATCGTGCGAAGACGAGCCAAGGTAGACATTTTGGTATAGAGTAGTGTGAGAAGAAGAACCTTATTGGAGGTCCGACTGCACGGTTCTCCTTCTTCTTTCGATTATGGACGTGACGTGTTCTATCACCTAGCGTCATCCATCTTTTTTTTTTTTTTTTCGGTCACCGAGATGAAATATGCCATCCATGCCGCTCAGCGCCGTTGCAAAATAATAATAAAAATAAAAAGCCACCAAGAGCGTAAACTATGAAATGTCATCCATTTTCTCCCAACGAATCCATCAAGTAAGCTTCCTCTGTCAAAAAGTTATCAGGAACGCTCTGCAAACGGCGAGAAAATCATGAAACCCCTTTGCTGACACTGTTGCTGTAATAGAAAATCAAATATTTGGTTTTGGAATGATCGGATCATTTGAACAAGGTAGCAAATCTTTTTTCTTTCGTGTTATTATTATTATAGTCGAGCTAGACGATGATAGGTTGATAATCAATCGAATTCTGGTCTTTTGCGTGCATTGGTTATAATAAATGATCATGATGTTGGGGATTGGCACAAAAGATTACAGGACCCATTCCCACTGGTTGCACCGTTTTTTCAATTCCATTTCCCATCTTCCCGCGGACAAAGTATTGATGATCTCTTCCGAAGGTGCGCGTGACTCATTTTTTACCTGGATCACTTCCTGCACCGTTCTCCAATCCAAACACATATTCCCCAGACGAAACACATTCAAACAATGTATCCTTAACAGCCAATTGCTTACATACTGTGGCCGCCTCAAATGAAGGTCGCCCCCTTGCCAAATCGTCAACTGCCTCAAATTGCATAATTCCATGATCCTATCTGCCGTTTCCGGAATGATCTCCACCGTGTACAAGTGCAATTCTCGTAACCGTGGTAAATGATGTTTCGAGAGTCCCCCGAGCCAGTTCCGTTCCTTTGTTTCACTCTCTCTCTCTAACGCCGGCCGTAGACGTAACTCCAATATCTCCAGGGCCGAGGAGGCCTCCAGCAGCGTTGTCAAGCCAGACGCGGTGATGGTGGGAAAGCACAAGCGCAGTTCGATGAGATGGGAAAAAGTGGCCAGGTGTCTCAAACCTTGATCGGAAACGAGGAGATCGTGCTCTGTACGGTTACCCGTCACACTCAGTCTGCGCGGTGGCGTTGACTGGACATGGGACGATGACACGGATAACCGACCGACTTTGGCCGACATGGGCGTGGACCCGTATTTGGAACCTGGGTTGGGGGCCGGGATAGATGCGTAATTTTCAGGCGGATGTCGGCCATTGGTTTTGGCGGACGGAGGTAACATTTTTGGGTAAATCTCCATTTTCGGCGACATGTCGAGGCGTCGAAGCGTGGAGCATAAGTTGAACACTACCGTATCCAGATGGCCTGTGCGTAAACAGGTTAAACGAAAATCGTCCAACGCGAAACGTCCAACCACACGCGCAATACTGGGTATCAGACTCGGTTCAGTGCAGGAAAGATGAAGACATCGTAGCCCGTGCCCGTACTGCTGTAGACACAGTAGGGTTAAGTTGGTCAAATCAATGTTTAACATTTTCAAACTGGTCAGTCGCCGCCCCACGGACCGCAACAACGTTTGAAAGGCCGGCTGGCTGATGTTACAGGAGGAGATATTCAGATGGCGTAAATTATTGGCGGATTTGAGAGCGCGGCACGATTCCACGCTGAGATGCTGATGCTGGAGCGATAAATATTGCAGAAACCGGGTATATTGAATAACAGTCCGCAACACGGTATCGGGAAGGCATAAACTGCGGTGCGGCTGTTTGGATAAATCCATCGACAACGACGACAGATTATGCGATGGTCGTAGTTGATACAGATGCTCTCGTTGTTCGAAAAATTGTCGGCCGTGACTCGAGTAACAGTCCAAAGAAAGGTGGGTGAGGTGGGGTAGTGTGGTCACGACGGTCAGAATAGCTTCCGGCGATAAATGGCGACATCCGCTAATGTTGAGGTGTTGAATGGTGCGCACACACGGCTCGGTAGGAGGCCGGTAGTTTTGGTAGCTGACAATAGGTAAAGAGTGTCTGCGCAGAAACGAGAGCAGCGTCACATTGGTCAAGGTTTCGTGATAGGGCGACAAGTCCAACGGGGACCAGCACCAAGGTTCCGTTTGTAACAGCGAATGAAACAAGGTACATGTGTTGGAAAGTCGGCATTTGTCGCGGACATCATCCAACTCATTTACAATTCGCAGTAAAAGTTCAGTAGGCAGCCCAGTCAACATGGGTAAAAAATATGCAAACAAAAAAAAAGATACCAATGCGCTCTAAAGCACCAAGGCACGTCATGGTTTTTCATGCAACCATGGCAAAAAAATCGTCAACGTTACGCACACCAAAAAACCAACCATTTTTTCGGAATCGTTCCCATCAACGCTATTTTTTTTCGTATTTTCATTTTCCGTTGTCAGCATACCCTATAAATTTTTCCCCTCTCTCTGTTTAAGATACAAAGAAACCAAATCCGCTCTTGAGGGACTTATTTCATACTCCTCTTCCATTTATCCCTTTGTCTCTCTTCGTCTCTGAATATCCAGGACATCGATGGCAGTCTACAATGGAATTGTCACGTTGATTGGTATTGTTGTGGAGAACATTGACGAAAAATGACCTCAAATGGTTTCCTCGGAAGAAACACGTGTTCCATTCAGCCTTGATTATGGAAAAACAGGTGGTAGCGGATTTGACTGTGCTTTTTTCCATGTTGTTCTTCCCGGTGTTTGAGATTCAGAGCTTGTTTTCCTTTGTAGGGCGATCCCCCTCAATCGGCGATTCAAACCAACGTGGAAAAAGATCCCCCTTCGGAGACCCAAATTTTAGAATATTTCGAAACATCACTTGTCAAAACGTGCTGAATGGTATTTTCTCCATATTTTTTGCTGCCAAGATGTTCTAGTAGTGATCAGCATATGTTTTGACAATCACACATTCTCAAAAACCATTACTCAACGACCATGTGCTTATTGATGATGTTATGGGACAAGAATTGACGCATGAATGCATACAAATGCATCCGTCCGTTCTTCCGTGCCCATAAATAACATGGTATCAAAATAAACTATGACTCTGTTTGAAAGCAATCAAATAAATTTAGCATTAGGCCCGTGAAAACCTTGTTAGTTCGCCGCTGGAGAATGAAAATCATGGTCCTGTTCCCCATGAACTGATTCGTGTCCATAGAAATTCGCCAGGAAACATAATCAGTGGTGGTGTGTTGAAATTATCTAAGTTACAGGTTGACACGTACCGAATCAAATCCCGCGCTCCGGTCCGGGAAACAGGACCCGTCCCTCAGATCAGAAACACTTCCTTAGAGCATACACCTGGCCTAGGCTTTGGTTTATGGCACGAGAAACAAGGGTACTTTTTCTATCGGAGTGACACCTCACCCTTAATTTTTTTTTTCTTTTTCATTTGCTTATAAAATCAAAGGTTTTTTTCTTTCAAAGCCGAGGTTTCTCTAGTTATCCATAGATCGCACTGCTGGATCAGTCCCTATACACTTATATCATATTACACAATGCATTCCTCCCTTTTTATCTTTGGCCTCGTCTTTCTTGTGGCCACCCTCGTTCAGGCATTACCCATAAACAAGAGAGATGGTTCCCTCTACGGCGTAACGTAAGTAACATAACCGATCCATCGTGTACCGGGCGTTGGAATTCTCATGTGTATGTATCATCTTTGCTAATCGATTTCTCGTTTCTGAAACAGTTATACCGGATTGAACCCTGATGGCAGCTGCCAAAGCCCTGCCCAGGTCCTCAAGAGCATGCAAACCTTCAAGAAGCATGGTATCATGAATGTTCGCACGTATTCTCAAGAGTGTGATCAGTTGCCTCATATCCTCGACGCAATGCAGAAGACCGATCCCGCCATGACAGTGCTGGCCGCTGTTTGGATCGAAGGTTCGGACCGGGATGAAAAAGAAATCAAGCAATTGCAAAAGGTGCTGGAATCGGGCAAGAACCGTCACGCTATCCGTGGTATTACCGTTGGCAACGAAGTGGTCTTCAAAAACCACATGGATCCTGGTTCGCTTGTGGAAAAGATGAAGACTGTCAAGGGAATCGCAAGCAAATACGGCATCAAGGTTGGCACTGTCGAAACTGCTGATACCTACACTGATGAATTGATCGATGCCTCGGATCTTGTTGTGGTGAACATCCATCCTTTCTTCCAACCCGTTAAAATCTCTGACGCCGCCGACGCATTCGTTAAACAATACAATGCATTCAAGAAGAAGGCTCACGGTAAAGAAGTTCTTGTTGGTGAGACTGGCTGGCCTTCGGCCGGAGATAGCAATGGTCCTGCTGTTCCCAGTGTGGAAAACATGGCCACCTATGTTAACGGTATTACAAAGACGGATATCCCCTACTACTTCTTTGAAGCTCAAGATGCCAGCTGGAAGGGCGATGGTCATCTTTCCGTGGAACCTCACTGGGGTCTGGAAAACCATAGCGGCAACTTCAAGTTCGCTACATAGATATTTTTTTTTCTTTTTCAAAAGTGCTGGTTTCTTGAGAAAAAAGAATAAAAAGAGTTTCAATAAACTGTACTGATTGGACAAGATATTTTTTGTACGCATTTTTTTTTCTTGGGATGTGGCCATCTTTTTTTATGGTGATGAGCTGCGAACGGGCGATATGGTTTCTTTGTGCAACGCTGAGTGAAAAATGGACATGTCGAGCATTTCCTATTTCTGATGATCTGTCTGCCATTGTGTTTAGTCTGTACCACTTTTGATATTAACTGAAGCCAACAAAAACAAGCGGATGGATAACTCGCATCACCTCTTTCATCCTCTTTTTACACTTGCACTCCTCGTTTCCCATCGTCCTTCCTTTTTTCGTTTTTCGAATTCCTTCTTTGTGTGAAAGAGACCCTTTTAATATGTACTTATTGCGTTTCTTGTTCCTTGTTACGCTTGGTGCGTTGATGGCCACCGCCCAAATGGGCCCTGAAATTACAAATCCCAAGCGCAACGCGACGATTAACGCCGGCGAGAAAATCAACATCGATTTTGAATATCAGAACCTTGGCACGGGCGAATACTCGGTAGATATTTCGCTTTGGTTGGATCCTTCCTTTGAGACCTTGCTGCAAAACATCACCACCAATCACGAAATCGACAGTGGGAATTCCACGGGCGTTCATCTCGACATGACCCAGAATGCCACTTACGAATGGAAAGTCCCGCACGGTCTGAACGACACCGTCTACTTGACCGTCACCGAGTATGTGCAGACCACCGCCTTCAAGAACCTCCGCGTCCATTCTGCCCCGGTCATGTTGCACTTTAGCGCCGGTACTATCCACTTGCCAACCCATCACGTAGGCTTATTGCTTCTTGGTCTGGTTATCTTTGTCTTTTCCTCCCTCTAGCTTCCTTCATCGGCTCTCCTTTTTCTCTTATTTTTTTACTTATTTATTGTAATAAAGTGAATCATTAGTTACTACATGTTAGTTGCAGCCTTGCTCTCCACGTACGACATGGCTTAAGAAGGCGACATGGATCACAAAATCAGCGTTCAATAATTGATGGCGGGAAGGCAAAAAGATTGTGATACGGCATTCAGGCATCTATTTTCCTCTACATCAGAGCATATGTGGCCGTCCCTTCCCACCATTAATGTATTTTTCAGTGATGAAAAGACCAGGCACGATGGTAACCAGAGTTCCTGAAAGAACAGGCTGTCTCACCCTCTGAGATTTCTCTTGTATGGTGTCACGTCAATTTTCAATAAAAAAGTGTCACCAGAAAATTCAATGTGCCAAATTCAACAAGGTAGAATCCAAAAATAGATCAATGACATATGAAATGCCCACAGTGCCCAAAAAATAATCAAACTATCTCGCGTTTATTCGCATCAGGTTCAATCCTCAACGAAGAGTAAGCTTTTTTTTTTTTTTTGGTGGTGGTGTGACATGCGATTATGGACCGCTTCAGTGTTGGAACAAAAATTCATCCGATGTCCTCCCAACTTATCAGCCAGATTGCATAACGGATATCATGCAGATGATCGAACGATCTGTTTTTTCCATTGATTTGCATGTGAATATTTTATTTCAATGGACGGATAAATGCCATAATTTCATCCGTTCACAACATTTCTGATCGTCGTCGTCATATCGATGAAACAAAAAATTCAATGCACGGCTAACACATAAAAAAAAATTAGGGCTGATTTCATTTCCTGACGATCCGGAGATCAACTGATTGCGATATTTCATTCTAATAGTAAGGATGTAATTGACGTTTTATTAGGCCATTTCACTTTATTACTTGCAGCCGTTTGCAGAAAAGACGTCGCATAGAAGTACGTTCTTCACAGATCGAAAATAGTTGTCGGAGATTCCATATTTGGGCAAGTGTACGAAGATCTTTTTTTTTTCTGTCTCAGTCTCATCCACCAATGAAATGTTTCCGAGAATGTATAGTGAGAAGCTTTCATTCGGGTGGTGTTGTATCGTTGTCGATCTAATAAAAATAATTGAGCAATCACTGGTCGAGCAGCATTTTATTTCTGCTAAACTCCCAAAATTTTCAGAGTTAATTTTACATTGAGCCACTTATAAACGCGCTGTGTGTTTACAAGCAGTAGGAAGTTTTGAACACTTGAAAAGGGCAATGTATCAGCTTTGGTTTAGAAACTGTCTGATTGCGTGCTATTCCTATGACAGCAGTTCCCACGGATAACCGTCTTCGTTGTGATTTTTTTTTCGCCTTGGCTAAAAATAAGACACACTTCAACCGAGACATGCATGCATCAGGAGTGGGTTTACGAATTTTGTTTAGCGACGCTTGAAAGCTTTTTTTTTTTTTTTCATGAGCAGGATTACAAAGTTCTTCCTTTGTTAGATAAGAACAATGACCGTTTTTTTGTGGTTATCAGATATACTGAACTTCATGCCCCTACGCAGATTAAAGGTAAGACAACAGTCGAATGATTATAGCCACAAATCGAGGTTTATCATTGGCTCCCTCATAATAGGCTGGCCTTTCTTTTGGCAAGTCTCAGGATAAAAAATGCCTGTGCAAGTGGTCGTTGTTGGTGTGCGCCTTGTCTTGATTTGTTCCACGTGGCTTTTCGTTCCTTGACCGGCCTGTCCGAAGTTAAGTTTAAGAACCAATTTCAGCGACAAATGAAAAAAGAAAATAGCTTAGAAACATAGCACAATTCACTTGTACATCATAGTTAGTTATAGTTGCTTGATATGCATAGTTTTAAGTGAACACGTTATCTGTTCATTATCAGGCTAACCTTTCTACATGGTCTGTCAAAACTCCGTCAACTCCTCGCCATTGCGATTCCTGTCATTTATACAGATCTATTATAGTTTACTGAAATAGAATGTCTCTAATGATTTGGCGTATTGTTGGATTGTATTACTAGGTCTTAAAAACGTCTTTTGGGCCGCAAGGTACTGAAAGTTATGAACAATTACGCCAGTATAAAGTACTTCGCTTCATCACCGTTGATTATCTTGTTAGATAAAAGTGAAAATAGGTTACTCTTGTGCACATATATAAGATATTTCCATCTTCATAAAATTCTGTTTACAGAGTGATTGGGCTAATAGACATCATTATGAGATATTGGACAGAGGCAACAGAAACGCATAAATGGAGTTTGAAAATCGCAATCGTCACAGCAGCAAATCCCATCAATGCTCCGCTTTTCACGCATTATCAGCATTTTCTTTGTTCCCTACTTGGTGCCTTTTTACGACTTGGCGCTATTGTATCGCAATTGATCATGAGCCAACGACAACCGACGCTATATACCCAGTTATCCACCGCTAATTTTGCTGAGCCTGATTCTGATTCGGACGATGCCAGCGATGCTCACGAAGCAGCCATTGTGCCATTGTCCACTCGTCCTTCCCAGCCAACCACGGTACGAGTGACTCGGCCCACCGCACCGGCTGATTTTATGTTGCAAAGACAACCGTCCTCACAAAAAGATCTTTTGGATCTCGCATTTCGGTGAGTGGGCCAATCGCGTCGCCCGATAAATAACCACCCGTGTGACCATTAACCAACGGAATTGTCTATGTAGACCGGCCGCGCTGAATACGCGAGTGACATGCCAAATCTGTCGTTCCCGAGAAGGATTGGATAAATTGCATCCGCAGTATCAGCTTTTTATTGAACATATAGCGACGGGTGAAATGCAGCATATCATGACGGCCCGAAAGGAAAGAAAAAGTCAAACCAGCTATTACACTATCACAGGAGTCGTCCATGACGATAACGCAGCTCCTCAATCCATCGTTCTCGGTAAAGTGAGGCAAGTCGCTTGATCAACGATACCCGTCAATGTTTTGATTATGGGAACTGACTTGGTTTTCCTTGGTGAAATGATAGATCGAATTTCCTGGGCACTACGTTTGTCATTTATTCCCATGGTCGCAATCCCCTGAAAAGAGAAGATGTGACGGGCAAAAAAGGGGAGCTCCCCATTCGCGAAGAATTAGGGGCTGTTCTTTATGTGAGTTCATACGTGCCCTGGGTTTACGGATGGGGGAATTGTTGGGTGTTCTTGGTTCTTAATACGTACTTTTCATGTGGCTCCTAGGATCCCAATATTCTCGGCTTCAAAGGACCTCGAAAGATGACCATTCTTATGCATACACTGACCCGCGATGGCAAGCGAGCTGAATTTCGACCCACCACAGTAAGTTACTTGATGACCCCCTTCCACTGCTTTGTCTGCAGTATAGTTACTAAGAGAAAACCGGAACGACCCCTTCCCCCCAAAAAAATAAGGAGTCGGAAACCTTACTTGGAAAATATCGGGATGGTACGGCGCGAGATTTGTTAGTTTTGCATAATAAGAGCCCTCAATGGAACGAAGGTAGGAGAATCATGGACGTTCTTTATTTACTGATGCGGTGGTACTTTATCTCACATTCTCGTTATCAGAAACTCAGTCATTTGTGCTAAACTTTAATGGCCGTGTCACTCAAGCATCGGTCAAAAACTTTCAGATCGTGCATGACAACGATCGTAAGTGATATTATTCACATCAGCACATGTATCCGTGAACTCACTGTCTTTCATTAGTGGATTACATTGTCATGCAATTTGGTCGTATCGAGCGTGATCATTTCACCATGGATTACAAATACCCGATTTGCTTACTACAAGCTTTCGCTATTGCATTGACCTCATTTGACGCCAAGCTGGCATGTGAGTAGCCATGAAAAAATAATACAAATAATGCAATAAAAAAAGGAATAGCGACAAATATGAAAAAGTTGACTCGTTGATTTGATTTTCATTTCGGATGATCAAAATGTCGCCTCCTAAATATCATTATCCTTGGTCGTCACTGGGATGACCAGATCTTCATTGGCAAGCACGCTACGGTATCATCGTCCTGTCTTCAGACGTTAATTCGACGTGGTAATGAAAATGCAGTAAAGAATTTCATTCCACTGTGCAGTACAAAAATCCGTTCGACACCAAAGTAAAGCGTCAGTTTTGTATCTCCACCATCATTGTTCATAGGCCATAATCACAGCTTCTCCAATCATTCTTCCAAAGGCCAATCATAATGGAGGTCCAATGCGTCATCAAAAATAAAGGCTTACAGCATTGTTACAGAACCACCCCGCAATACTCTACAGCTTGTCACACTAGTATATGATTTGGCTGTTCCAAGTTTCTGTGGTAGTATAGGGCCTTTTTCAGGTTATCATCCAATTCACAGTCGGATGTCCATCATACAAACGCGATCTGCTACCTTAAAAGTATGGACAATAGGACGTGGGTAAGTAATGAAGGTCGCGTCTCATTTGTTGATGTTTACAACGGAAAAAAAAGGACACCACGTCATTGATGCCACTGGCGGACAAATAAATCGACACGGCAGGAGTAACAAAAAAGCTTAAATGACGCTTGGCGAACTACAGCAACACTCGAGCCCAGCGCCACAGCAGCGAGTTGGCCTGGGCCAACGAGCGATTGACAAATCATTAAAATGGTCTAATATTGGCAAAGAGTCAGATCCGTGATCTGCAAAGTTGGCGGACACGAAATAGATAGTGCTTTCTATTTTTACATCACGGTAAATTTGCTTTGGTCGGGCCACTAGTGGGTGGGTGGACGGCAAACACGTCATGGATCTCAAAATGACCGCTTTAAAATGAATTAGGATTGTCCCGTTTTCCAGCCACCCATTCATACCGTCTTCAAGTCTGGAGGACTCTTTACTTCTGGTTAGGTTCCAGTTAGGTTTGTTTTTTTAATTTACAGTTTTGCTGAGATACCATATTCACTCAGTCGGCCGCCCTCCACAAAGGACGGTGGTTGGACACCTTACGGATTGACCAATCATGTACGAGATCAGTCAGCCCAAGCGCTATCTGAGACATTAGTGCTCGGAGATGGAAATGTACCAAAAGTCTTCCCGGTCACCGTAGGATTAGGGAGTGAATATCATCAAAAAAGTACGGCAAAGAAAAGCATAAGTGACCATTTTGAAAGTGAAAAAGATAATGCAGTGGTGATCATGGGAATGAAGGGAAAAACAACAACAACAACAAGAACAAAAAAGCTGGGCCAAAAAAAAAGAGGGGCATAGGAGAAGAAAAGGAAGGTCTCACCACGTCCACCCGATTAGGTAAACCCATTGTCCCCTTGAACCGGAGAATTCTTTTCCGGGAAAAAAAGGTCTACTTCAAAATTTTGACACGTCCCCAACATAGAATTAAAAAAAAAAGTCATCTAAAAAAAGGTATAAAAGAACGCAGAGTCTAGAAAATGAATTGCAGAACTTCTTATTTTTGTACTTTAAGCCGTTTCATTACGCTGCCCTGAATCGTATCCAACTTAATTGAACAAAAAAGAAGAAAAGTACAGTTGCTATCATGAGTCAAACAAACACAATGATCGAAGGAGGTAATCGTGCCCAACGACGAGCGCAAATGCGTGAAGAGAAGAAGGCCATGAAGAAGATCATGAAGAAAGCCGCTAGTATGGGTGTTCCCGTGGATCAGCTGCAGAAACAGGAACTGAAAACGCCTTCATCACTCCCACCGCCAGATCAGCCTACTTTAGTCTCTGCAGGTTATGAAAGTACGACTCCCATCGAGGTTCGCGATGCACCCTCACCTGCTTTGAGTGTCTCCGCGAGCACCGCAACTACATCTACCGATGCAACATCCGATGATACGGAGAATGACCGCGATGAAAAAGAACAAACCGAATCCGTCGCTTCGCAACCAATCAATACCAAGGTACCCGCGCTGCAAGCCACTCCAGATCAAGCGGGGTCTGAACCTCGGGATTTGTCCATGCCTTCCGAAAATCATACCGAAATCAGCGCGTCCGCACAAGATCCAGCGTCGATTCCCAAGGAAACCGAAAATAAAGAGACTGCCGAGACGGCCGCAACAACTGTTGAAAACGAAACTACCAGTGTTGCACCCGAGTCAATGGAACCGGTGAACCAGGACGTACCACCCGCCACCACGGAACCGGAACAATCTAAACCTTCCGGTACAACGACACAGAGTTCTGACACGACTGACCATGAAACAGGAGCCAAAGTGTCTGTGATGAAAAAGGAAGTACCGAAGAGAACTAAATCCATGTCACTCAAATCATTGAATCTTTTCAAACGAAAGGAAAAGGTAAGCAACAGGATGATATAAAAAAGAAGGTCCGATTAGTTCATTGACGATTTTATCTTTAGTCAAACGAGGAAAAGGAGAAAACGTCCAAGCGATGGCAGTTTTGGAAGAAAACTAAGAATGAAGCATCTTCATGAAAACATCCCTCTAGATCATTTTGTACATTCCTATGTCTACACTTTATAATAATCCTTCCATTGACTCTATAGCATAATACATTACGCTTGAAACGCAAATACATTTATGACGATCCTTGCCGCTGATCTCATTTAGAAAGCAATAAAAGATATGCTGAAACCACTAATTAACGATACTTCTCTACGTTTCATCTCAATCAACCCATATTATGAAACTGTGGGATCAAAAAAGGAATTTTCCACCAGTCGCAGCGATATTTTTATCAAAACAGCCATTCATTAAGCGTGATACAGAGAAGCATGTAACATGGCGTTTTCAGAAACAAAGTCCATAGCGCTGCAAAGAAAGGAAACAGAAGATGACTGCTTCTTAAGAAGCAAGTTCAAGAAACTCGAGTGATAAGGTGCTGGACATTTAACAGGACGATCGGTCGATCTGCTACCGCAATGTATGTGTGCTGAGTCATGATAGAATAGATACGAAGATAGGATGCTGATAGACATTTCAAGGTTGATAAGATGCCGTCATGAAATTGAATGGATGATCTTTACTGAAAATGGACACCACAGCCAACAACTTGATTTCGTTCCCGAGAGTGTGATTGCATATTCAATTCCTAGTTGCCCAATTCATAAAAAGAAATGATAATGTCAGTTAAGCTCATTAAAAATGGCATTCAAGATTGGCTGGCCGGAAACTGTATAAAAATCCCAGTGTATCTGGTGTACTGCCCGGCGTCTCTACGCGGAAGGCTGACATGTTGGACAAACAGCCTGGATCGCATCATATCCATGCGGCGAAGCACACTGCCCCAGGTTGCCGGTATGTGTAGAGATTTCATCTTGCGCCAAGAGCCTTGTTGGACGACAGGACGTTGAAAAACGCTGTCTCCAGGCTGAACAAACATGCTACGGGAAAACAAGGATCTTTCTAGATCGGATTTGCCTATCCAAACCCAGATTGCCCAATTCATGAAGACAAAAGAGGGTGTTAGCTAAGCTCATTAAAGAAAGTCATCGAAGTTGACTTCCGAAAACATACCTGTCAAAAAGTGGCAATGCATCCAATGTAGGGCGCAGCGTCTTTGCGCAGAAGGCTGTATTTGATCGAATAACGCGATGATGACGCCATACCCACTGATTGTTGGATCGATGAGGCTGCCATCAGTAGGTGCGACCATGGCGCAGTAGGCTAACAAGGTATTTTCTGGTGGCATGATAGCGGATTTCTCGTTGCTACTTCAGGAAAGAACTGCTAAGCGATTCAATAAGGCGATTGCATTTTGCTGTAGTAACTTACTGAACGAAAAGTAGCTAATGTACTGCTCAGCTTTTCCAAGGAGATGATAAGCCTTGGACCAAATCACTTGTAACGTGTCATATCGACGCGGAGATGCAGAGTTGCAAGCTCGATGCTGTGTATGGGGGCTTTGTCTTGCGCTGAAAGGCATCGTAGAAAGAGTTAATGACCCTGAGCGATGCCGTTCATGACGGATGAAGATAGGGTAGAAAGGAGAAGAACAGTATAGTTTCTTTTTGTTGGCATAACAATGAAATTTAGTATTGTGTCTTGATCCCTTCCCTGATAATGCTGTTTACCAGTGACACATGGGAATAATCTGGGTTTTACGTGAAGACAAACATGGCCAAAGCTTGGACAGTACCTGCAACAACACTTTGCTGAACTATTTTGACATATAAAACAAGAGTGGGATTCGATATTGCCAGGCGTCTAAAAAAAAAAAGCCGAATGTCGATGTAATCTTACTACAGCTGTCTTTACTGAAGTGTATATTCGATGTAACTGACTGCTCTTGCAGCTGATAAGAGACTGGTGGCAAACTGAAAGATGTTTGCTGGCGATGACATGTCGGGCTCATATTGCAATATTGTCTCTTTGCAAGCTACGATTGGTTGCATCTCCTTACCTTTACCGTCACGAAAGGACTTCCCCTTTTTTTTCCTGCCGTCTCTTGGAAACCTTTGAATCAGCAAAGTTAAAATGAGTTGCTTTACTCAACATGAATATTACAAGTTTAACTTTAGACATGTATGCTTCGTTTAAAGGGACAGCGATGGTACTTGGCTTTTTTCTCTTTTTTTGGATGATGATGATTAAAAGTCGAGTCGAATTTTGGGGCAAATCACTTAGAAAAGCTTTTTTTAAATTCTCGTCGCCGAAGCGAATACTGGTCGGTGGGTCGACGATACACAAATAAGGGCTGCTAGTGAAGCTTCCACAAGCTCTTCTATATGATACTTCTGTATAGAAGGCCTGCAATTATCGGATAGACGTGGGTGCAAAAGCATGCCGACATCACGCTGTGCCACTTCAGTTACTTGCTGCCGAGGAATTTGAAGCCGATCCTTGAGCAAAGCGACTAACTCGTCTTGTCGAGAAACTAACTGGACCTGTGGAGCAACCAACTCGTTCTGTCGAGCAACTACTTCTGCAAGTGTACGAGCGATTGCTTGCAGGCACGTTGGAATAGAGTCAAGTTTGTTATGCTTATGTTTTCCAAAAGTAAAAGCGCTGGGGGCCTGAAAATCCCAAACGTGACATCACCGTGCCTTTGAAAGCTCGCTATGTTCTTGGCGAGTTTTCCAACCATTTGATATCCACTATGGTCGAATGCAGACAATTGCTCACTTCGTTAACCAATAGCCAAAATTTGCTTGACATAGGTTCGAGCGATATAAACAAAAATATGAATATCCTTTTACAAGAAGTTGCTACGTCTTTAAAACATTTCTGCCAAATCTCGTTCAGCTCCCTGAACTAGCACCCACTTTCTGTGATCCAAAAGATGGTCACCGAATAAAAATGCATCCAGATTATAGATACGAGACTTTCTTCACAAATAAAAGGACAACACATTGGGTAAAATGGAATGAGAAAGAAGAAAATGTTATCTTACTGCCATAAATTTGCAGTGGTCTTCAGAAAACAAGATGTAGGTGGACCCCATTTGGTTGGCATGCCTGATTAATTATTGCTGCCATTTGATATAATAATGCGATCAGGTTTTTTCTAAGGCAACGGGTTAGCTATATTTCCAATAGCAAAAATAATCTATTTGATTGAGAATAAAGCAAAGGTGCGCAAATTATGCTCAGTGATTATATGTGAGCTGTTTGTGAAAGACTCGTCAGATAATAGCTATGTACGAGAATCTAGATCATCTATCTCGCCATAACACAAAAAATCGAGCTGAACAAACATGTTGCCTGTGTCCTAATTTTCTGCATTAGGAAGACGCACGGTTCAAAACAAACTTTCAAAAGATCGTCAGATGACCCTTCGACCGGTGCTCCATAACAGGAAGACAGAATTTGACACGTTCGCTCTTACGTGAGCTTTTCTTTAAAATAAGAGTCCTCTTGATCCAATATTAGAGTTCGAGACCATAGTAGAAGAAAGGATGAGGGCAATATCCTTAATACAGGTTGTAGCATCTTTAAACAATTCGTCAGGCACCAATCCGTCCAGGGAGAGATGGAATCCGTTTGTAAGGACGGAGCGATATTGGTAAAGTCGATATCGATCTTGTGATCGCGTCGACAGTGGTTATGAAAGGTGGATGAATTAGTCCAATCGACAAAGGTAGCGATGCCATCGATGAAGTTGTCGTGGCGACGATGAATAGAGGATCTGATTGAGGTGTGGTTTCACAGATCCACGAGCACGCTCGCCGCCGTGGTAAGTGATACAGAAAGCTGGACCCAAGTTACAACCCGGTAGGAATGGCGCATGAAATCGTACGAGTCAATGCTGCGTTTTCTGATAGCAGAAAGTATTTCCTTCCAAAAACTTATTCATCAAAGGCGGAAAACCAGTCGAAAGGACTACCAAGTAGGCCTGCCATCTAAACCGGTAGCACATTCATTCCACCAGTGAATGGTTTTCCCCCATTTCCTCGCCATACTATGTATATCCCTAGGAACAAAACACCGGCTGAATATTAAGACCACTCGCAACTTTCAGCCCATCTCATTCAAAAGAAACCAGCCATTCCTGTGCTGAAGCTCAAGCAACATTTGAATCCCAGTCTAATGTGCAAAAGATTGCGACCTGAGGGTACCCATGGTTAGCGGGATCACTCCATCTTGCGCAGCTTGCAACTAGGCTCAAAAAGTTATCAAACATTCGAGAACTTCCGCATGCCTCTTCAGTAACTGAAAGCAACGCAAGCCACTTTTTAATTTTCTTAAAGTACAGTTCGGTTGGACAGAGCATTGTTAATGAAGGTTACACGATACTACATTGAAATAAAATGTAGCCTCCAATAAATTAGGTTTCAAACATCCAATTGCCTAAAAGCATGATGCTGTCATTGCTTGAAACATGGCATAGTAATGTTAAGCGAGCTTACAGTTGGATTCAGTAAAGAAAGATGATAAAAATAAGACAGGTAGGAGGTGGGGAGACGAGAAACCGGGAGGGCCTATTGCGTCTATCTTTTTTATTTTCTTTACATAGCTGCTGCTATTGCGGGGACTAGAAAAATAAAAATAAAAAAGTTTAATTGTCTGTGCAATCTTGTTGGTTGGCAAGGTGACACCATCTTGTATAATCGGAAAGGCAATAATTATCATCGTGGAGGATCAAGGCCCAACACTGGCGGATGATTTGACACGAAACGACACTCTTTATATGGTGCGCTTTCATGTGACATGTGGATGAACGAGGATGGAGAGTCAAGAGAACCACGCATGCATTTTTTTTCTAATCTACACTTTGTTTGGATGGGCTATTTTTCATCTTTCTATTTTGCTTATTTTGCTTATTTTAACTCTTTTTATTTTATTTTATATTTCGCTCTTCTGTTGTTTGATATTCAAAATTCTGGACAAGATTCGATCTTTTTTTGTTATCGATCCTCCACTCATTCCTTTCATTTCATACATAATTGACTTGAGATCTGCTTATTGCTTACATTCGTTTTGTAGTCGACTTGCTGCATACGGTTTCATCATCACCCCCTGGACTCCTTTTCACCACCACGCTTTCTATTCAACGTTCTACCTCTCTTCCTTTTTTTTCTCGCTTATCAATTTTTCCTTTTCTCTCTTTCTCTCTCTTTTTTTATCTTGTATCTATTCCACCTGATTTTCCACTTGGATTGATTGTGTACTAAATATCTCCTTACTTTGTCTTTTTTTTTTCTTTTTGGAAACTTCAAGACACACCTTTATTGTTTTTTTTTTATCTTGTTCGTTCCTTTTAATCATTAAGTCAAAGGATCGCCACACGAATTTTGACCCTATTTCTCTTTCACTCTTAATGACCGTTTCATCATCCATATAAACATGGCGCACGGGACAACAACAACAGCAACGACCATCGTCACTCACAGTAGCACATCCACTACTACCACCTCATCAACCGCCCCATCCAATACCACCGCCGTTCAAGTCGGTAGGTCATTGTTCCATCTCCACACTTTTTTTTTTATCAAAAAGTGATTCGCATTATTAACCGATTCGATGTTGTGTTCTTATTATTTTATGGACGATCTTTCATTATGATGCGGTTGATCTGAATATCATCATTGTTTCGCAAATCCACTTATCCTGCTGGAAAACTTTATATTATCCTTACGAATGTCAACCTTTACATGATCAACAAATAGCTCTTCGCGTCCGGCCTCTGACACAACAAGATCGACTACAACCACGATTTTCTCAATCGACCAATTCTGATGTGTTAAAAACATTTAACAATACCATCACCATTGTGCCCCATCAAAAGTCGTTTACATTCGATTACATGTTCGACACAGAGAGTACCCAAGAACAAGTATTTCTGGGTGTCGCCTCCGGCCTCGTGGATCGGTTTCTCGATGGTAGGTTATTTTTCCCATTCCAAAACCCACCACGCTCTTTTCCGTGTTATCAAATCTCATCTTTGACCCTTTTTCACGTTGATCCCAGGTTACAACGTTACCATCTTGGCTTATGTGAGTAGTGCTCGATTTAATTTAAAGCCAACCCTAAATTGACCTCCCCAATTTATTTTTTTTGGTCTCTCCTCCTATCACACCTACACCACCCACAGGGCCAAACCTCATCTGGCAAAACTTATTCCATGGGGACTGCTATGGATTGCGAACGGCATCCGGATCCCGAACAAGAAGGTAAACTACAAACGCACTTGCCAAAAGATAACAAAAAAAAAAGAAACAAACAAACAAATACATTACATAAACTTGGTGCATCGGCGACGTTGATGGATGCGCGTTGTTTACTATTTGTTAATGCTTTTTATTTTTATGTTTATTCGCGTCGGACCTTAAACTTGCATCTAACTTTGTTATGTTTAGGTATCATTCCACGCGCCATGACCGCTTTATTCCAACGGCTTCAGAAAAATCAACCCACACCCACTTCACCTTGCACATCCCAATCTTCCACACGACGTCCTTCGGCCAACAGTCTTCCTCTCACCTCGGGTTTACGTGCGCCGCGACGCACCACGTCATTGGCCAAATTAAGACCAACGTCCATGGTGACGCCAGTAAGGCGGCCATCCGGATTAAACCCTCCTGAGAAAAATGACAATAGCAAAGCACCGCGTTACACCGTTCACGTCTCCTTTGTCGAGATCTATAATGAAGAACTCATTGACCTGCTTAATCCTGCACCACCATCGGAACGACCAGCCGTTACTATCAGAGAAGATACAAAGGGTCACATCTATTGGACAGGCGTTAAGGAGGTAGCTGTGGGAACCACCGAAGATGTCTTGAGGTACAGATTTCATGCATGCAGCTGGGTGAACTTTGTTCAGAAAAAGAAAAAAAAATTAAGGGCAAGATGTTCATTTACTTTTTTTTTTCTAGATACCTGCAAATGGGAACTCAGAACCGAGCCACAGGGTCAACTGACATGAATGCCAAATCTTCGCGATCACACGCTATTTTTTCCGTCACCCTGAAGCAGGAGAAGTGGGTACCTGCCAGCGAAGCCAAATCCCAACGTCGACGCGAAACCAGTCCCAGTCCGGCCTCGTCTCGTTCGTCCATGGCTAGTTTCCCCATGAGTCGCCGCGCCAGTACACTCAATGTAAAAGCCATGGTCGGTCAAATGGAGAAACAGAACCATGGGCCTAAACCCACTGGTGCCGCCGCTGCCGATGAAGAGGACGGTGAATGGATGGTGCTGAGTTCCAAGTTCCACTTTGTGGATTTGGCGGGATCCGAGCGATTAAAGCGAACCGCCGCTGAAGGTGATCGCCGAAAGGAAGGCATCAATATTAATGCAGGCCTGTTAGCCTTGGGTAACGTGATTTCTGCATTATCCGATCCCTGCAAACGCTCCACCCATGTTCCTTACCGCGATTCCAAACTCACCCGGTTGCTTCAAGACTCACTGGGTGGCAACGCCACCACCCTCATGATCGCATGTGTCAGTCCTGCCGAAATCAATTTGACTGAAACTGTTAATACCATCAAATACGCTCATCGAGCACGCAGTATCAAGAACAAGACGGAACGAAACGAAGCCGAAGAATGGATGACCAATGATAACGCTGATTACTTGCGAGGCTTGATCGCCAAACTGAAAGCCGAAGTTCGCACCCTCAAAGCCCACGGACCGCCAACGTCGCCCAAGCAACCACTGACTCATTTCGTTCATCATACCGATGTATCGCCTTCGTCGTCCTTGTCCGACCACGATCACCCTCAAATCAGCACCTGTCCGTCCTCTTCAGCCACGACCACCATTACTGTGCCTGACATGGAATTTGATAATAATCAAGCCTTGGTAGCAGACTTGCGTCGCCAAATTGAAGAACTGCACAACGAGGTCACTGTCACGCGCGAACGCAATCAACTGGTGGAAACCGAATTGCGCCAGAGTCGGCAACAAGCCAACGTGAAATCGCCCCTCGCCAATAAACGCCACGCAAGACAGACAAGTCCACGATCATCAAAAACAGATTCTGGGCTATCCAATGTCGACTTTCAACATTTGGTGGAACCGGTCATTGAAGAGTACGAAAAATCCATTTCGGGACTCGAGTCACAGTTGGCCATGGCCCGCGCCGCTTTGGCTCACTCGGATCATGCGTTGGCAGCTCAAGAAGCTAAAATCGCCGAATACGAAACCATGCACGAAATCGAGAGTCGCAACTTGGCCGAACTAAGACACCACTTAGCCCAACTGACCGAACAGGGACACACCAACGAAGCCCACATTGCTGAATTGGAAGCCAAACTAGCCCAAGCTCAGGTTGACCAACCCAACAAAAACCAAAACAGCGATACGGCATCCGAGGCATCAACGCAAACACTGGAAAGCCAAATCGCGGAAAAGACGGCCCAAGTGGATGAGCTGCAACACAGATTGGCCGATGTCGAGACCATGCATCGTGAATTGGCCGAGTTGCGGGACACCCAGGCACACGAAATTGAGCGACTGCATCAGACCGTCGAGAATGCCAAACAGGAACTGGAGCAGCAAAAGAAGCTTCATGAGGAAGAACAGGCGACCTCTCTGTCCACCATTGAACAGTTGCAAGCCACTATCGATGGATTAACGGCCGATAAAGAGTCTATGAAGGAAGCGTTGGCCGAGGCACAAATGAGTGCCCAAGATTTGCGAAAACACATGTGGGAACAAGAACAGGGCACCCAGCTCACACTGCGGTTGCGATTGGAAGAACTGGAAAGAGTCAAGCTGGATCTGCATGCGCTGCGTTTGGTAGAAGAGAAGCAAGACCGCATCATTGTTGGCTTGGAGTTGAAATTGGAAGAAATGGAACGAATGACGTTGGGTTTAAAGGAACAGCTGGCCGTCCGCGATCGTCAGATCACTCAATTGGAGCAAGAAAACACTGCAAAGACCGAATTTGCCCAAGAAATGCAAGTTCAAGTCTGCAATCTCTTGCGCCAAATCAATGGCATGGGATTGGAAAAGAAGGAATTGGAGATGTTGTTGAACATCGTCGATGGCCTTTTGCAAAAGCAAGAAACCGTTTCAGCCAAACATATGCAACTGATTGATGACTTGAAGCAAAAGTGTCTGCTCCGCGAAGAAGCGTACGAGGAACAGCAACGCATCACCGACCTTTTGGAAACGCAAAAGAAAGAACATACTGCCTCCCTTCAAGCCATGGAAGACCGTTCGTCCGACAACGACCAATTGACACAAGTGTTGGAGAGCGAGCTTGCCGACGCTAAAGCCACCTTGGAAGAACAAGCCGCTTTGGTGAAGCAGTTGCAGCAGCAAGACAAGCATCATCAAGCGGAACTGGAGCGATTAGCCCACCTGGATGACCATGTCAACCAGCTCGAAACGACGCTGACGAAAGTACAGCAAGACCACCAGAACGCTATTCAAGAGCTTGCGCAGAAACAAGACGAGATGAACAAGCTCCAGCGCAGTTGTGAGAAAGCGACCGAAAAGGTGGCACGGTTGGAAAAGACGATTGAAGAGATGGAAAAGACAATCGAGACCCACCGTGAACTGGTGGCGGCGAATGATGCTTCTGGCATGATTGTTGATTTGCAAGAGAAACTGAAAACGTTGCAGCATGCCAAGGAAGAGCAAGGAACCACATTGGAACGCCAGTTGGACCAATTGCATGAAGATCTGGAAACCAGCCAACGATCGAACCAAGACCAGGAACATGTAATTACGTCGTTGAAAGAAACGGTGGAGACGTTGAAGCAGCAGTTGGAAGAAGCCATTGCCAGTCATACTCAGAAATCCGGTCAGATCCAAATGTTACAAGAACAGTTGACGACGCGACGCCGAGTGTCCAGTTTCGAAGAGGCGAGAAAACGAACGTCGGATTCCGACAAGAGTCGCGAAAGCAGTTCATGGAGTCACACGGAACGCAGTTCCATGAGCAGTACAAACGGTCAAGATTTGTTACGACGAATTGAGGAGCAGGAAGCGCAAATCCGGGAAAAAGACGAAAACTTGACCCGGCTGACCAAAGCGGTGTCGGATCTGGAAGAGAAACGCAAAAGTCGCGCGAGTCAAATGGACAGGGACGAATTCAAGCATGCGTTGGCGAAGAAATTGCAAGATCCTCAAGGACAGCAGGAGCTGATTGATAAGATTGCTCAGTTGACCGAGGATAATTCGCAGTTGGTAATGCATGTGGATGATTTGGAAGCGCAACTTGTGCTGCAACGAAGCCAACTGACGCTGGAAACCAAAAACTTGGAACTGGAAGTGATGAAACTGACGGCGGCTAATGATCGTTTGGAGAAGGAAATGGAGCAGGTCATGCCACGTAGCAGCCATTCCCACGTCGTAAGCCGGGAATCGTCCAACTACACTTCGCCACCACAGACTCCGCGCGTCGTATCGCCTTCCAACAGCAGTTTGCACTACAAACTTCAACGCGACATGTCGTCTACCAGCCTGAAATTGCAAAAATCCAGCTCGTATCGATCCATGACGTTACCCGAGGACGATGAAGCCAGCAAACGGGTTTCTTCCAGCTCAATGCGATCCGAACTCACACCTCGGCCCAACTCCAGTTTACGGAATCGATCGGTGACACCTGTAGCGAACCTTCCTCCACCGTCGGCGCCACCTTCCAACCCTCTTCCTCCCATTCCCACCCCTCTACCGCCGATCCCTGTTTCTCCAAGCAGTTTACCCGGCTCACCATCGGTTGGTCCTACACGGTCGGTCTCATCACCATTACTGCAGCGCCAGAACTCGAGCTCCACTAGTTTCAGCGATGCTCTGATGAACAATACATTGACGTCGGAGCAGTACGACAAGATTGTGCGTTCCTTACAGCGTAAAGCGCAAGTCGCGGAAAACGATGTGCGTGCACATCAGGAAGTGATTAGCAAGTTGGAAACGCAACTGTCGCGGTCTGAAAGCTCGGTGCGCGATGTGAAGAAGCAACTGGACGTGCTGAATCGCGAAAAGCAAGCGTGCAATTTGGAAATCCAGAACCTGCGTGCCCAAGTAACGCAAATCCAGACTCAGCAAAAGGCTACCACCGAACAAGCCGAAGAAGAACGTCGAGAACTAGAAGAATTACTAGAGAAAGAAAAGAAGCTGAAAGAAAAAGCCGAAAAGGCGCGTCACATCCTCGAAAGTCGTATGGAAGAACTAATGAACAAGAAGAACAAGTTTATGTGCTTCTAAATCCAAAATAAGGAGCTTTCTTTTTCTTCATCTCTTTTTGCATTTACCAATCATACACCCTCTCCGTACATTCATTTTTTATTATTATCTCTTTTAGCTATCATACATCGCTTTACGACCACGCCATTCCTTTCTTTCTCTTCCCTTGTACAGATGATTAATCTTTATCGTATTTCTTACCCCCCTTTTTTCTCTCGATATATCCTCTACTAATGATTGATACACATTTGCTTTTTTGTTTATTTTCCTTTCACCGCTGGGTTTCAGTTTTGATGATTGACCCATTTGAAATAGTCATGGAAACTATAATATCATACCACTTGCTTTTTTATGTTGTATAGAGTAAAATGTGTGACACTTTTTTCTTCTTCATTGCACGTTATGTGAGGATCATGGTTCTCTATAATTATTTTTTTTCATTTTGTTTATTGGATGATTTGTGCCTCAGATATTTAGCGTGTTCTTGTGGATCTATCACCAATGCTGTAAGCCCGTTGCCGTTCCGGATCAGAATAAGAGGACGGACTGCCACTGATGGTGCTAAATTGGAACTGGGATCCACGTGGACTGGTGGCCATGGCAATGCCGTTGGAGGAAGATGAAGTGGAAGCACGAGGCGTAGGTGAGTCAAAACTGTCCGTCCCGCGAGTCATGGCGACGGTGGTGAGACTGGGATGCACACCGCTCATTAAAGAAGATGGGTATGGACGAGCCGAGGCATTGTATTTTAAAGAATGTGATAGGGAGAAGGAAGAATCATCGTTCAATGGCATTTGTGAAAGTGCTACAGAAAAAATCTTAGAAAACTATGCACACTGTACCTAGCCATATGGCATTCAAAGTGAATTACCTTTTAAATAATCTTGCACAGCACTGCTGTAAGCATAATCATAAGCTGTAAACCGTGCATCGTTTTGTAAATCGACATTGCAGCCTTGAGACTATGAAATTATCAATCATCAATAAGGGTCGGTAAGCGATTATCTTGCCTAATCAAAGCATTTACCACGAGTAACTCCATCACGGTGGTGTGACCCCAAGCCGAAGCATGATGTAAAGCCGAGTTGCCTTCATTATCCACATGGTCAATGTCGGCGGATATAGATAGCAGGTACTATCCATAGATTTCGATTAAACTTTTTTTGCAACGAGTGACATAAAAAATTTAAAAGTCGACTGGAATTAAAGGACTTACGTTGACAAGATTGGCATTGCCATTTTCCGCTGCATATAATAAAGCGGTCCACCCATTTTTGCTAATGGCATGGATACACTCGGGGTATCGTATCACGTAGTTGTAAAATATCTTGCACCATATGAGCAATCGCCGAGGAACTTTTCAGGATGTTGGTGACACCTACCTCTTCGTGATTATGCATGGCGGCAATCATGAGCACGGTAATGCCTTCATTATCCTTGCGCGAAAAAGAAGTCGGTCAAATCAATTATCTAGCAAGACAAGCATGTTGTGTGGATGGTTCTTTACCACGGATATCACTTCTTCCTCGTGGCCCATTTCCAGCAGGAATTCTACCAGTTCGAGGTGACCATGTTGAGCTGCATACATGAGGGTAGTACTGGCAAAGACGAGCATAGCTAGTGAGCTGACTTGAGGCAATAACAGAGCAAAAAAAGAGTGGTAATACTTACTAGCCGTTATCAGGATCAGGATTTTGAATGTTGGCCACTTGTGTAATGAGTCGTTTGACAGCGGCCATGTTACCATCTGTCAGACAATGGACCATCAACGAAAAAAACGTGATGAGCATGCGACTTTGTGCAGTGGAAGGGGTTCTTTTAGGTACCTTTGGCAGCCTGACGTAATCGAACTGCCGCACTTTCTCGCACTGTGGCGGCCCTGGATAAATCAAAAAAGGTTCGGTGGGCTAATCGGTTTCTGGGTGCTATATTCATGCTTGTAGGATACGAGAATCATGAAAATACAGACAAAAGAGGCGGTTTTCCAATTTTGGGTTCAAAGTTCCCTTTGTGGGAGACGCACGATTTAACTTTTTTTTTTCGGCGTGTTTTTTACTGCCACTTGGCTCGACCTTCTTTTTCTTTTGCAAGTGTACTCACATATACCCTCGGCTTTGACCGGTTTTCTTGCGCAGTTTGGTAGTAGCAATTCACAATGGATGCTCAACAAGACGATTACGATGACGACACTTGCGTCCAAACGAAAAGTTATTTTGAACACGAAAAAGAAACACTCCAACTGGTCGATGCTCTTGTGCACGATCCCGAGTCGGGTGCAGCCGCATTGAAGCGTTTAAATGACATTGTAGGTTTGCGAGAGAGAGATATTAGGATGAGCTGACACCGTTACTCACTCGAATCGTGGCATCTTGCAGTTCGATACGTACCAGGAACAAGCTCATCTTCTCGATCCTCATCTCGACGCACTGATTCAGCCTGTCATTGCCAAACTCCGCCAAGATATCGAGCAGACCACCCCAGCTGGACCGGAAGCGACGCATGCTCTCTTCCGTTACCTCTACCTGTTAAGCAAGACACGCGGCTACAAAACCATAGGTAAATCAGGATACACGATCCATGACAGATAAACAATGGGAGAGTAGCTGACTATTCCCTCTTCCAAAAAAAAAAACCATTCAAATGAATAGTCAAATTCATGTCGCATGAAGTGAGTGATCTGGAACCGGTATTTGATTTCCTGAGTTCGCTGGACACTTCCATTCCAGACTATTGGGAGAGCCGGTACATTGGTCTTATTTGGCTGTCGCTGATCTGCATGATTCCCTTTGATCTGAAACGCGTCGACAGCAGTTCCGAGCATGAATCACAGGTATCGTAGCCGTCCTTACTCACGCCCGTGCCGTACCGTCCTTGGCCATTCACATCCCAACTTCCTTTAGATTCCCTTGATTGACAGAATGCTCGCATTATGTAAACATTATCTAAAATCAACAGGCAAGGAGCGGGATGGTGCGAGTATCCTTGTTGCGAGATTGTTGAGTCGGTAAGCGTTAATTATGGCAATGCTGGATATCCCGGTTTGGAGATGCTGACCTTGATGCGTAGCCAAGATCTTTGCGGCAATTATCTCGTGCCTTTTATCGAGTGGTCGATGAAACGATTAAATGAGGATGCCGATGTTTTCGAGGTAAATGCACATGGACGGCTCAATAATGTATGGACAACAGGCAAAGACTGAGTGCGACTTTTATTATCGTAGGCGACGGGAATTCTCACGAGTCTGTGTATCACCTTTCAAATTTCGCCTCGATCCGCCTTGTTACCCACATTGGACGATTTCATGATTCCTTTATTATCCATGCCGGCTTTGTGTGACCGATTTGCCAATAATTCCCTGATTCGAAAAATTCGCATGAAATTGACCCAGCGTGTCGGTTTATGCTACCTTAAACCGAAAGTGGCTTCGTGGCGATACCAGCGAGGTAATACGATGGTATCTTTCTCATTGTTTCCGTACTAAACAATCTCCTGGGATCAGGCAATCGATCCTTGCGTCAAAATCTTGAAGGCACGGTACCTGTGAGCGATAACACGATGAAAGCTGGACTAGCGACAGAGAAGCAAGAGGAAAGCGACGACGATGAGGACGACGACGACATTCCAGATAATTTGGAAGTAATTATTGAGATCTTGCTCGGTGGATTGCGTGACAAGGTATAGAAGGAAAACAACATCACGACGGCCGTTCAATCACTGATACCGCTGTCACTGTAGGATACCATTGTACGATGGTCGGCGGCCAAAGGAATAGGACGAATTACACAGAGATTACCGCGTGATTTGGCGCAGGATGTAGTGAGATCGTTATTGGAATTGTTTGAGGAAAATACATTGGTGAATCGAACCACGAACAAGTTGGATCTTACGGCTGTATCGGACAATACCTGGCACGGCGCGTCGTTGGCAGTCGCTGAATTGGCTCGACGAGGTTTACTGTTGCCGGATCGTCTCAAGGAGACCATTCCATGGATTATTCATGTAAACACCATCACTTGAACTGGCTTCAAAAAAGCGGTTTTCTTCTGACATGGATTGGTCTGTAGGGACTCAAGTTCGATCTGAAACGTGGATCACATTCCATCGGATCGCATGTGAGGGATGCGGCTTGTTACGTTTGTTGGTCCTTTGCTCGTGCCTATGCGCCTCACATTCTCGTCCCTTTCGTCCAAGAAATCGCTCAAAACTTGGTCGTAGTGTCAGTATTTGACAGAGAGATCAACGTCCGCAGAGCAAGCAGTGCCGCGTTTCAAGAAAACGTTGGGCGACAGGTAACACCCATTGGTCCCAAAGATGACCATCACACCTCTGCTCACTTTGTACATCCCTTCTAGGGTATCTTTCCACGCGGTATTGAGATCATTCAAATCGCAGATTACTTCTCTGTGGGCAACCGAACCAATGCTTTTATGCATGTGGCGGTAGAGATAGCCAAGTAAGTTTCATCCAATTGAGTCAGTGGGGAATAACATGAAAAAAGAAAGATATGGTCCTCATACCTGCGACATCCAGGTTTGAAGAGTATCGTTATCCACTCATTGATCATTTGGTCACTGTTACGGCGCGACATTGGGATAAGACCATGCGTATCCTTGCGTCGCAAGCCATCCATTTATTGGTTCCATTGGCACCCATGTATTTTATCGACAATATTCTCCCTATATTGGCAAGTATACTGTTCTATATGCTCGTGGCGATCCACCGGTTTTGTTCACACTCAGGACCATTAGATACCCATGGCCGTTTCCAAAGATATGCAAATATCCCACGGAGCCATGCTCTCCGTCGCCGAAATATGCTTGTCACTGTATTCGTGCCGTCAGCAGGACACGGTCCTTGATCACCATTGGCAGAGCCAGCAAAGTCTCATCCAGGTAAGCTATTTTCTGCCGTTCGACTAGGCTGTGCAGATGATTCACCGTTTACCTAGTCCATTGCATGCATTACGGCCCTACTTCCGCCTCGTTCACTGACCACGTTTGGCTCAGAGCATGTGCGTGAAGCGGCATGCCACTTGGTAGAATGTTTAGCACGGACCTACTTCCCTGTATTGGATGTGGAGGGGTCAACGACATTGATGGCATGGAAAACTCTGGTTCATACGTCCTTGGAGCGTAAAGAAGAGAATGTGCAGCAGCATGCCGTCTACGCATTTGGTGCTCTTTATGCGACGTATCCTCTGTCCAAAGAAGAACTGGATGACTGTATCAACAAGATCGCGTCCACGCGCTTTCTTTACGGAAGACGAGGGTATGCTTTAGCTCTGGGAACCCTCTCTTTCCATGCTGTAGAACGGCACGCTTGGCTTCACAACGTGATTATGGCACTTTGTTGCGCTACACGCATGCATGTAAGTCTTGTTTACTGAGCCAACTTTGGTGTTGAGGATGCACAACATGTGATGCTCATCAGATTTGCAGGAAGAGCAGCAAGCCAACGACGCTGAATCCAAGCGCAATGCTGTGATTGGTCTATCGCATCTCCTGGAAAAACTGGAAAACAATGATCTTTTACTGAGTAGGTGAACCTGTTTCTAGAATACCACCACTGTGGCAACTGACTAGTTTCGTACACGGTTTCCAGTTTCCGAATGTGATCACGAGCACATATTGCAGACGTTGCAGACGTGTTTGCTGGATTACAGCACCGATCAACGCGGTGATGTGGGGTCTTGGGTGCGTATGGCGAGCATGGATTGTTTGGCGTCCCTCATTCCGCGCCTAGTTCAGTTACAGTGTGCAGGCGCCTTGACCTGCGTGTCGTCGGCCAAGAAGGCAGAAATCATGGCCGGTTTGCTAAAACAGGGCGTGGAACGCATTGATCGAGTAAGAGCCAATGCCGGCACGGTAATCCGTGATTTTATCTATGCGAAACAAGGAATTCCTCTGGACATACCGGGACAATCTATGTTGGAAAAATACATTGCAAAGTAAGAAAAGAAAGGACGCGAGTACAAAGAAAGATTTCATCCAATAACCATGTTGCTTTTTATTTTTTCTCTTTTTATTCCAGAGATCTCGATTGGTCTTCGCCGGCCATGTTGTATCCTGTCATGGTGAATTTATTGGCGTTGCCTGAATATCGATTTGATCTGTTGACGGGTCTGATTGCTAGTGCAGGCGGCATGACAGAATCATTGGTAAGAAGCTAGTGTTCTATGGTAAATAAAAAGCGTCCTTTTTAATTAACCTATTGTCATTCACTTAGGTTCGTCATTCGAGCGCTTGTCTCATCGATTACGCAGATCGGCTGCCGGTGACGGCAGACGAAACAGATCTTTGCTTGGAGCTTGTCGCCACCGATATCCTTCAAATCTTTGCCAACTACGAAAAACAAGACCGAGTCACTATTCCTCTACTGGATGTCGTCGGATTATTATACGAATCAGCTGTGTTCACAAAAATTAGCAAAGAATCCATGTAAGTGGGATTTCGCGAAAAAGTTGCTGAAAAGTAGTTGCTGACAATGCTTAACAGCCATAGCAAAATTCTACAAAGTACTCGCAAAGAAGCTCTGCGGTGTAAATCCATTCGCAAATTGCTGGCAGTTATCAAAATGTAATATTTGGAAGGAACAAAAAATTGGAGGGATAGGCAAATCTCACATTGAGGTATAGATATGTGGGGTTGATGAATATGAATGGCACCCAAGTCAAAATCCGTGCCATGCAACAAATGCTATCGTATTTGGTTCATGCTTTTCCTCGAGTAAGTGGTTCCTTGCATATAACAAAAAGACAAAAAACAAACTAATTTTATTCGTTATGAAGATTCGCATGGAAGCGTCAGACCAGTTATATACCTATTTATCTTTACTGGATGCCGAAGACATGACGGATGGGACTATGGCAGCGGAAGAGGTGCTCACCACGACGGACTGGTAAGATGATAACTCACCCAGTTGACATTGCCTTCACATGACCCACTTACCAAACCACATGTTGTTTTGCTGCAGGGCGGATTCGGTGGATCAAATCAAACCTGTGCGAGACACTTTATATGAATATTTTGCTATTCCAAAGCCTGTGCTGAAATCAACGAAATAGACACATTTTTACATTTTTTGGAGATTCGACCAAAATTTAAGATTCCGCCAGAAGCGGAAGGTCTGAAAGGCGGTGGCTTGTGTGTGTGTGTGGATCTGGTGGTCTCTTGGACAGATTTTGTCTTTATTTTTATTTTTTCTGCTTGTTCAATATGCGTCTTCCGAAAAAGAAAAAGTTGGGAAAAACCCTTAACAAATTGTTGACCAAGGTTTCCAAGCAAAACGCGGCTGCAGAAAAGGCGAAAAAGCGGCAGGAACTATATGAAAAGTCTAAAAAGAATGTGGTGGGCAAGACCGGTACGCCACGACCCAAACCGCAGTACAGCTCGGCAGATAAGATTCTCCTGATTGGCGAAGGCAACTTTTCATTTGCACGATCGTTGGTGGATCACTACCTTACGGAAGGCTCCGAACAATTGTTCGCGACATGTTACGATACCGAGGCGGTATTGTATGAAAAGTACGGCGATGAAGCAAAAGACAACATTGAAGCGGTGCGTGTCATGGGCGGCACTGTGCTGTTTGAAGTGGATGCGACTCAGTTGGCCAAAGAAAAGGCACTGAAAAAGCATCGCTTCTCAAAGATCGTCTTCAACTTTCCCCACGCAGGTCTCGGTATCAAGGATCAGGATCGCAATGTACTGGCGAATCAGGAATTACTATCAAAGTTCTTTTTGTCGGCCGAGCCTCTTTTATCGGATGGAAAAACCAAGGGGCTTGAAAAGGACATTGACCAAGACGAGGAGGATACCGAGCAGCACAACGACGATTACAAAGATCCATTGCCTGAAGGCGAAATCCACGTGACAACGAAAACATGTAAGCCTTACAATTTGTGGTCTGTCCGTGGACTGGCGAAATCGACGGGCAAACTCGCGGTGAAAACAACGTATGCTTTCCATTGTGAGGATTTCCCCGGGTATGAGCATCGTCGTACGATTGGATTCAAGAAAGGGGTCAGCAAATCGGATAATGCAGAGATCGTGTCGGCTGAGCCAAAGACGTTTGTGTTTATTCGCAAAGCGGCCATGGACGAGGAGATTGAAAAGAGTGTAAAAGGTTCCTTGAAACGCAAAGCGGAGCAACGTAAACCAAACATCAAAAAGAAACGCAAGCGCACCAACGATGCATCCAACCACAGCAATAACAACGACGATGACTCTGATTAGAAGATACGCTTTCATTGTATATATCCCAACCGATTTCTTTTTTTTTGACCTATCACCTATTCGTTTCTATTTTTTCCTTGCATTTTTTTCAACTGTATTAAAACACAAACCTCATTTATGCATGCGGACTATGAATCGATGGACCCAAACAAGCCCAAAAAAAGAAAAGGATACAAGAACCTCAATGTTAGGCATCTTGAACGGGCTGTCTCCATGATATTACTGTATGTTTGTTTCTCTTTTGGCCTCCCTGTCTTTTACAACAACATGTCATTGTTTTCCATATAGGCCTTTTTTTTCTGAAGGAGCAATTACTGTATTATTGTTATGATTATTGTGACTTGAGCCGCTTGGGTGTTTTTTTTTACTCTCTATTCTTTTTTCGTGATGTTTAATCAATCCCCATGCGACCGAGCTGCAAAGCGGGTTGGCTAGTCGACCAGTCGTGCCATCAGTTATATTGTTACTTTTTTTTTTCTTCAGGGCTGGCATTTTTTCAGTGCCCGCCATGCCGGGTTGGACGGTTGTCAGAGCGGACTAGTAAATATCACCGCAAAGCTAGGTTTACTATAGCCTCCAACGTACCGATGCTCATGAAGATAGCCATGCTCTTTACTGAGGAGCTAACCGATTGCTCAGGCAGAAAGGAGGAGGTACAAAAGAGGAGATTGGGGGAGCGGGTTTACCATATGAAAAAAAAATAGTTGCAAGCATAGAAAAAAAAATTCTTACTTGCACTGGTTTCAGGGGCTTTGCATGTTGGATAAACAAGAGGACAAAGGAGGGAACGGGATAAAGAACTCTGAAAAAAAAACGCTCATCGAAAAATGAATAGAAAAAAGCAAACCAGAAGAAAAGAATAAGGCTGGACAAGAGAATACAGAATCAAAAGTATGTTGCGTTAATGATTTGTTGATTGACCTGACAGTGCACGGAGGGTGTAAAAAAAAAAAAAAAAAAGAATCGTCTCTGAAAGGATAAGCGGCTCATCGGACAGTATCCGTCAACTTTATAGTCACACAATCCGTTTTGTGATCATTTCTATCTTTTTCATCTCTTTTTTTTCATTTATTTATTTATTTATCCGCTTTCTCAAACTTGCACACTTTTTTTTCTCTTTTATGACCTCAACAGCAGTAAGGTAGTGAAAAATCGATAAGACAAAAAGAACACTCAAATATCACCCTACTGGTAACAAGTCAACCATCGTATTTGACTTGACTGACACTGTATCCTCGGATATGACATTTTGGTTGTTAGGGTCGCCTTGCGTGTTAGGCCACTGACACACAGAGAACAACTCAGTAACTGCAGCGAATGCCTTACGTTCATTCCCAACGAACCTCAAGTGCTCATTGGCACCGACAAGTCATTCACCTACGATCATGTTTTCGATACTACAGTGGGCCAGTCCCACGTTTATTCTACCGCCGCAGCCCCACTATTGCATAAATTTGTCGATGGGTAAACGTCGTCTCAGCCTCTCTGGATTAAAAACCACGAGATCACCAAAAAGAAAAATAATGACGTTTATTCTTTGGATATATTAGGTTCAATGCGACTATCTTGGCCTACGGGTATGCGCTTTTTATATTTATATATATTTTCATTTCATCCTACACGATAGTAGATAATAGAATAACGCACTGTTGAAACACGGATGGCGGCGTTATTTTTTTGTTTTTTGGTACTTTACGTTGCTTACGGTGATTTGTTTTAAAATGCTAGTCAAACGGGGTCCGGTAAAACCCACAGTATGGGAACTGGCTTGGCCAGCAATGCCAATAGTGAAGATGAAGGTAAATAGTCTGTAGATCAAACATACGCATGATCGTCGCTTTATTTTATTTTTGTTGATATGCGAGTGCCATTGGTGGAAAATTGGCATACTATACTAACGCATGAACGATTTTAGAAGGCATTGTGCCACGATGCATTGTCGAGTTGTTCAGAACCGTACAGCAACGTGTTGATGAAGACCCAGATTACAGCTACGAGATTTATGTGTCGTTCTTGGAGCTCTACAACGAAGAACTCATTGATCTCCTGAATCCACAAACCATGCAAAAAAAGAAATCCGGCAGTTCCACAAGCGCCGTCGAAGTCACCATACGAGAAGATATCGCCGGTAACGTGTACTGGAGCGGTGTCAAAGAAGAACGATGTTACAGCCCTGAAGAACTATTAGGGTACGCTAAAACATTCCCCCCCCCTTCCCGCGCCTCCCCACATCCGCAAAAATCTATCCATATATTGATGCGTTTGTTCCTTTCTCTATTAGCTTCTTGGCCAAGGGGTCATTATGTCGAACAACGGGTTCCACCGATATGAACACGGTGTCTTCCCGTTCCCACGCGATCTTTTCAGTCATACTAAAACAACAACGCCCTGAAGAAAACGGCAATGGCAAAGTCGCCAAATCTCTTGTCAGCAAATTCCATTTTGTCGATTTAGCAGGCTCAGAACGAGTACGTATCCACTACCCTCTCGTTTTTGCTTTTGTTTAGAAGCAATCTCCCAAGGTTGTGAGCACCACTCGTAAGACTGACTTTTGCTTCACCTAGCTGAAACGAACAAATGCTCAAGGAGATCGAGCAAAAGAAGGCATCGCTATCAATGCGGGATTACTTGCGCTTGGCAATGTCATTTCTGCGTTGGGCGACGAGCATCGACGAGCAGCCCATATACCTTACCGTGACAGCAAATTGACACGGTTACTGCAAGATTCTCTGGGCGGCAACAGTCGAACGCTGATGCTGGCTTGTGTCTCACCTTCCGATACCAATTTTATGGAAACATTAAATACCCTTAAATACGCTAATCGTGCTCGGAATATCAAGAACCGGGTCACCATTAATCAGGATTTTGCCGGCAGCTCTATCGAAGTCAACCAGCTTCGCGCTCTTGTCACGCGACTACGCATGGAACTTGCTTCCATGCGCGCAGAAGACGCCACCGACCATTATGCGGGATCGGCCAATCACCGCGAGAACGATGTACGCACGCTGAAAGCTGAAATGGCGCGTTTGCGCGAACGGCTTCAGGACATGTCGGCAGAATTAATTCAAGCAACCAGTGAACGAGACACCCTTTTGATGGAACGTGAACTGGGCGAATTCATGGAAAACGCAAGCGACGAGCCAATTTCAGACAATCCCGTAACGGCGGACGAGACGACCTCATCGCGTTTGCAAACGCATCCCATGATTGTCAAATATCAGCGCACCATTCAGGAACTAACCAATGAATTGAGTGACACTCGTGATCGATTGACATTCCTCGAAAATGTGAAACCGTCCATGCAAGCCATGGCGATGGCCAGCACCTTGCCTACCCATTCCGCCAGTTTTTCCAGCTCCACCAAACCCAGTACCGAAGCTAGCATGTCCGGTCAACGTCGTCGTCGTACGGTGCGCCGTCGTCGTCAAGGCAAACTCAGCGCCACCTCAAGCGCCACCAGCATGACCGCCCACTCCATTCGATCCACGCGACGGTCCAATGTGCCCCGCATAGCAGCCCGTACACGTACCAGTTCAAGTGTCATTGAATATGAAGACGAAGACGAAGGCTTCAGCCAAGACTCTCAGGAACACACAAGACAAGAAGTTAAAGACCATATTGCCAAAGCGCGTGCCGATATCCGCAAAAGTATGGAAATTCTTCAGCTCATCAAGGTAAGAAACCGGACGAGACAGAAAATAAGGGAAAAGAATAGGAAACTCATGCATATCCTGTAGCCTTTGGAAGAATCGCCCGATGCCTGGGAAAATGAATTGACGGTATGTCAAAAAATTCCCTGACTAGTCATAATCATTGTATGTACTAAGAAAAACTCCAATATTTCATTGATGCAGGCATTCAAACAATCGGAAGAGTCACTTCATCGCCACACACCATCCGATGATGAAGGCATGTTTTCTTCCGCCTCATCACCTGTCGAGCCAAATGCGCGCGACATGTTGGATGAAATTCAGTCTTTGGTAACACCGCTTCTCTCTATTCCCAACCTTTTACAAACCAATGACATGCATAACTCATCTCTTTGTTACTTTCTACTAGGCCGTATCCGTATGGGATCAAGACGAAGAAGCAGAAGAAGAACGGTCGACCGCGCCTTCTGAAGACAGGGCGGCATTTTCCAATACAGAGGGTAGCAGCATGTCGAGTTACCCGGATTCCAAACCATCGTCGCTGTCGCGTGAATCACTTCATTTCAATTCAAAACTGACCCGCATGCTGCATCAGATCCAATCGGACATCAAAGTCAAGGAGGAACTGGTATCGCATCTTGAGAAATCCGAAACCGAATATACCTACATGCGACGAAAATTCGACGACAAGATCCATCAGCTGCAATCCCAACTGTGCGAACTTCAAAAGGAACGTGACACAGCCCTGATGCGACTCCGATCCAACATTGCCACCAAAGCCGATATTTCCAATCAAGTGCGTGAACGACAACAATCCATTGAAATACGCCATGCCTATGAAGCCAAAACCAAAGCATTGCTGGCGGAAATCCACGAGTTGAAGCGAAAATATGCTCAAACCAACATGACGATGCAGTCGCATCGAAACCAAAACGAAACCATGTTGAAATCGCTCAAGGTGAACGTCGAAACGCTGAAGATGGAGAAGAAACGCATGATCAAGCGCATGAAGCAAGAAACCGAGCGGGTAAAAGAACAAATGACGATGCAGGAACGCCGTATTCAGCAGTTGCAACGTCAGCAAATGGAAGCGAATTCGGCGCGACGACGTCTGGAACGAGAACATGAAGCACAAAAACTGACGTTGAAAAAGCGCAACGAAGAAGTCATGATCAATGCCAGTCAGCTGAAACAGCTTACCAATATCCTCAAAAAGGCGGTGCGTGAAGGGGGCGTGCTCGATGAACGCTTGCTCGGTAAAGTGTCGCACATCATGGGCGGCAGTTTTGCCATTCTCACCCGTGGCAACCACGGCTTCTCACGGCGGTTTGGACGTAAGAAGATCAATCCCATTCCAGTTCACATTCGCGCCACACGAAAGAAGGAACTACTGGATAAAGCTGTCGGTCAGTACATCCAAGGAAAGCAAGCGTTGGTGGAAATGGAGCAACTTCTCCTTCGTCGTGAACGCTTGGCGGAAGAAAAGCTCGAACTTGTCGAAGAACGCAAGCAAGTGTACCTTGCTGAAAAGCAGAATGCCGGGGACACGGGGGAAACCATGGACACCATGGCGCTGGAATTCATGGATGAACGCATTGAACTGATCTCGGCAGAAATCTCGTATTTGTCGGCTCGTATTCGTGCGCTTCAATCGGAAGCCGCAGGAGAAGTGATGCGGGGAGACGATGGAGCGGTGGAAACGGCGCCTCCTCCAAGAGTGGAAAAGCACGTCACCTTTGCCGACGAGATCATTGCGGATGATGCCGTCAATGATGAATGGGCTGATATGGATGCTTTTGAGGAACAGTACAGCGTTCCATCACACGCAGCGCCTGAAATGGCTTACGATATGACCACCAAGCTCTTGAAATCATTGGAAGCTGACGAATGTGTACAAATCATTGAAGCTCTCGTGGACGATCTAATGAATCTTCGGATGAGCGAATGCAACCGACAAGTGACGATGCAAAACCTGGAAAAGACGGTCCTCGACTTGCGTCGCACCTTGGTCGTCATGAAACGCGCAGCTATTGCCACCACCGTAGAAAACGAACGACGTATTCGCAAATTGGAAGATCGAAACAGCAACCAGCATCAGCACGAGGATGAGGACAGTGCTATTGATGTTAAAATTGAAGAGTATATCAATAACGGCAATACCATTTTCGACAAAATTTACGAAGATGGACTTCGCGGTTTGATCAGTACGCCAGAACCGGCCATTGGTCATGATTCACGCGGCTCATCGGCTATGTCGTTTGATGGGGAAGCTACTATCACTCCGTCACCAACCCAACCGAATCTACCCATCAACAGTGTCACGGTCTCTGGCCCGCCCATGGATAAGATGGTGCGAAACATGATGATGACCCGTGACTTGACGCCTTCACCTGACCGGTTTTACAATATGATCCAAAAGCGAATCTCGTGGCAACAACACAATACCGATCCTTCCGAGTCTCCTATTCCCATGACGATGGCGAATCCCGCAGAATTTGCACGCTACGCTGCCGACCGTGATTCGTCCACGTCGTCTATTCGCAGCAGCCATTTACGTCGCTCGTCGTTGCAATCGGATTTTTCGTCATCGCAATCGCAAAATTCGTGGCACCAACCGACAATGCATCCACCCAAGGTGGTGATGGCAGCGAGTCAGTCGTTACTTCGTAAACGGTCGCATTCGTTACAACAGCCACCACCTGCAGCTGGCAGACGACGTGCATCTTTCCGTGAACTTTCGTTAATGAACGATGCCGCCCCCTTGGCCGTGGATCAAGGTATGGATCCTTATCAACAACGAGTTCACGCTCTACCGCCTTCTTCTTCATTGGCGTATCCACGGCAACCTTCGTCCAGACGATCGTTGCCTCCTCTCCCTCCTCCCAGTGGCGTGAGCATGTCAACAATTGAACGCTGTGGCACACCTTCATCGGGCAATGTATTTGATCGACTCTCTCAGACCCCGACACGAGCGTCCAGAGCCAAGATGGCCCATCGACACAGTAGCGGCAGTGTGGATGAACTCCGACATCGTTGGGAAACAGAGCAACGTTCCATCCCAGCTTTAGCTTCAGCAGCAGCAGCATCAGCAGCAGGTTCAGGTTATTCAGGGTTCGGTGATGATCAAGAACAAAGGATACGTGCATAATTAAGGACACGACATGTTGATTACAGCTTTTTTTTTATTTATTTTTTTCGTGTATACCCCATTTTCTTATTCCCTACGATATACGTTTTTATTCTATTCTTATTTGTTTCTTTGTTACCCTCTCTATTTTTATTTTTTTTTCTGTTTGAGTAACCAAGTGACAGTCTTTTTCATGGTATTGAAATTTCTATCATCGTGAACCGACTGCCAAAATGTAAATGAATGTGTATGGTTATTCACAGCTAAGCCCTTGAAAAAACTACGACCTGTCGTTTCTATTTTTCAATGACATGTGACATTCAAAAAAAAAAAAATTAATTGGCATGGTACAATGGTAAGCAAAGGCAACATGGCAACACTATTCAAAAAAAAAAAAAAAAAAAAAAAAAAAAAACTCAGAAAATGGGTGGACGAGAAAAAAAAAAGGTTTGGATGCATCCCTTGGTGTCAGATAAACCGGTCAGCGGTTGAGGATTATCCCATATCAGGTGAATAGACATTTTTGTCTTTTGAAAAGATACTGTAGACTGCCATCGGTATTCGATTAATACTCTTAGTTGTATTCAAGTAGTAGATGAAGGACGGGTTGTACGGAAAATATGCTTATCAAACCTTTGTTCTCCTAAAAGAAGCAATCAATTCCTATCATGGCCTTCTGTTCTCATTCACTAAATCTGTGCGCCGTGTAACGCTATTGATTAGAGCGGACTTTAACAAGCTTGAACCTTGATTTTGAGAATTTCCAATGGCTCCTGCATTTGACAAATGGTGACCCTGGCCATCATCATGGCACAATCAATTTTTTTTTCTTCTAGAGAATCAGATATGTATTTGTATTATTTTCCGGTTGGGGGAGTGAACATATAAAAAGAAAAAAGAAACAACAGTAACCTAGAATACTTCAACAATAACAATAAATAAACAAGAAATGACGCATATATACATGCCACAAAAAAGAAAAACGAAAAAACAAATCAAAATAAAGAGAGCAAGCCCCCGAAAAAAAAGGGAGGAGGGGAACGGGGGGGAAGATCAAAACAGAAAACGAAAAAAAAATATCATACTATAGAAAAATGAGAAAAAAAAACAAGCTATATGAAAGAAAAATAATCAAGTTGCAAAGAAAAAAGGCGGGATGTTTATCGAGAAGACGATCGCGGACGACTGGTCACGTCCGAGTAAGAAGAAGAAGTGTGAGGTTTGGGTGTACACATGAGCGGTAAGCGTTTGCGCGGTAATTCGACTACGATCCGTTTTCGACGAGCGTTTTCACGGCAGGCCATTTCGCAGAACCAGGGAGTGTCACTTGCGACAAGGTCGTCGTCGAGAGGGCCGGTGGGACAACATTTCTGATGATACGCTTTGGGACATCCTTCACATCGTACAAGTACATTGCCTGCAAAAGATTCCGGTCGCTGGCAAGCTGAACAAAATAGTTGTAGTACAGGGCGGTCTCGTTCTTCAATGGATTCAGACGCAAAACTCGTCAAATCCAAACGGGGCAATTTGCACGCAAATCCGTAGCCTTTGTAATCACATCCGTGCTTATTGCAAAGCGTCCGTTTTCCCCATGGCCCTGGGCGCCAATTCACGCCTTCCGTCGTACCACAATAACGGCACCAATCCACATTGGCCATCGTCAACATCTGATAAATTGTTGGTTGCGCCGTAGGTCGAGGAGACACCTTTTCCATCAAATCACTGTCATCCACCTCCTCATCTTCGTCTTGATCGTCGTTTTCGCCCTCGACTTCCTCTTCTTCGTCACTTGCACCATCCCATCCTTGGTGACCGCGGCCAGCCGTCACGATATCCTGAGTGTCAATGGCGGGACTACTGGATTCATCCCCAGATGACCCTTCGTCAAACCCAAAATGATCAGTGACGGGGTCCTGTAATGCGTGAGGATAATAATGTCCGTGGCGATCTTGATCTTCGATTTCTTCCTCCGAGTCGTCTTGATCGTCGAAAGGGTGATCGAGGTCACTTTCATCTTCATCGTCATGATCAAAAGGCGAAGCCGGTGGGGTCAGGGACGGAGTCATGTAACGGGAATATTTCTTGGCGGCGGGACCCTCCGCCAAAGCCGGTTGTCTTTTCAGCGAACCGGTCAACTGAATGTAATCTTCGGTAGCGGGAGGAGTGGGTAAATCGGTCTGGTAGGCAACGGGCGATAAAGCCAGCGAGGAGGAAGGTAACGAAAAGTGACAAGGATGGTGAGTGGAAAAGGGTTCATCCAAAAGCGAGGTATCGAGATCCAGACCAAAATAAAAGAGTGGATCCTGCTCCTGCAGGACATCGGAGGGCGAGACCTGCGGGGAGAAGAGACCACTGCCATGTTCACGAGGCGAAGAGGCGGTGTCGGATGACGAAGACGAAGACACCTCATCTTGATCACATTCACTGCCAAAAGCAGGCGAGAAAAACACATCTTTGACCAAATCTTTTTGTCGGGTTTCAAAAGTGTCATAGGTAATGGTTGCATTTTCCAACGTGTGATGGATAGGCCGCGGTTGATTGGTCGAAACGGGGTAATAATACGGTTGCTAAAACAACGCACATGAGCATGGTCAAATACGAAGAACAATTACAGACGGCTACTTACAAGGTGAGTCATCATTCTTGGGTAGCGTGGTTCCGTAACTTGGTGGGAGCGCTGATAGTAGTTTTCTAGAAAGGTAGGTGGCATGGAAGGAACGATGACAGGAGCAATTTCTGGTCCAGTGGATTTGATGTGTTGACGAGGTGCAAGGACGGGGGTAGAGTGTCGGTACATGGACATGGAGGCCGGTCCAGTCAAGGTAGAGTTGTAAAATTCTTGTGAATAATGCGTAGAATACGACATGTTAGTTTAGTCAAAGCCAATAAAGAAGGAAAAAAAAAACGAATGTGGATGATATAGAGAGAGAACGATCAAAATGCCATTCAAGATTTTGAAGGGATAATGCAAATGATGACGATGGAAGAAAAAAAAACAAAAAAAAGTAGAACAGATATGAATTAAAGAAAAGAGAAAAAAAAAAAGACGAAAAGAACGGAGGAAGGTGGAACCAGAGTGCATCAACCATCCGATTATATATGAGAATAGGAGTTTTTTTGAGTGGGAGGGAAAGGGAGAGTGATACACAACCTCAAGTTTGGGGGAGATCAAAGGAGCAGGATATGGTAAGTGGAGGTGAGTGATTAGGTATTAAACCTTGAGGGAAAATCATGTACTACGCATATCGGCTATCCATATTTTTTTTCCTAGTGGCCCCTCTTCTTCCAATTTGTATACCATCCTTTCATTTGCTCGTCCTGCCAAGCTCCGCTCCAATTCTAATAATTATCATCCTTTTTTGGCGACGTTGCGGGCATTGGCAACAAGGGAAAAATTTATCACCATGGTCCTAGCCGACGCAACCTTCTCTTTATTTTCTGTAGTAGGCTAGTGTATCTTTGGAGATAAAAACATGGTAATGTATTAAAAAATATATGCAACAGCTACCCAGAAAATGCATGACATTTCACTGGCCAAGTATCCTTGTCATGGAAATTGTGTGAACTTCACAAGGCATGGATTTTCTATTGCAATCGTTCACAGAAACGGATGAAAGGCCCGCTGTGGGCTGAATCTGTAAATGACTTGCCTTTGTTTGAAAAAAACCAACACATCTCCTGATATTTGGCCTGCTCATGGCTCGTCCCATTTTTTTTCTTTATTTTCTGCCCATTCTATATAGGAGAAAACTCCGTACATGGAAACACTCATCATCCTCGCTTTTTACTTCAATACTTTTTATTTATTTTTAATTCCTGTCGAATCATTACCATGAACCAATGTGTAATGGGAGAAATATATTTTTGTTTAGCTTGTGGGGTCTTTTTTTTTTTCTTTGGCTTGTGTGTGGAGGAGTTCAATTGGAGCGGGGCATTTCATGGAGCACATGCAGCACATTTTACTGTTACACACCTCGTGTATCGTATATCAATAGCGACGAATTGTCAATGATGAAATGGTTGCTTCGCTAAAAATACAAAATGGCAAACGACTCAGCAGATCGTGTCGGCAACCGGCCACAGAAAAGGGAAATCCTGCGCTGTAGTGGTTCCAACTTTCAAGTGTTGCTTAGCTTGTCAATGACAGGGTCATGGACTATTTTGTAGTGATTTCCTGTTCACTTATTGGTTTTTCTCAGTTCCGTGAAACGATGAGAATGCTGCAATGTTTTGTTACGCAAAAATGTCCAGTGAGACTAGCATCAAAATTGAGACATACATGTTGGCACGGACAAACTTTGATTCCCCAAGTAACCAATAACCTTTCAGGCCACGATTTTTCTATTTTACCTAACCAACATGGAAGGTATTCAGCCTTGAAAGGTGGCTTGATTCTTTTAATGAATGCAATGCACCTTGACCTATGCAGGATTTGCCTGAACAAGTATTGATGATGCAATCATGTGCGTTTCCCTTGGTGACAACACAACCTTTTTTTTTCATTCACCGCATATCATATCAAAAAAAGTTGATGCCTGTGCAATGTTAAGATAACCTTTATTTTTTTTTATAAAAAAAAAAAAGCCAAAACCCAATCCGTTGGCCGTTATTGGTGAGTTTTGGTGAGAAAAGAGAATAAGAACCATGCCATCAAAAAAATAAGCGTTGTGTTACTTTAAAATTGGATAGGTGTTGAACCCTGACCGAAATAAATCAAAACTGCCATTCTTAGTAGCGATGGATGGGTTATGCAGCCATGTGTCCGTAGACCTCGTGTTCGGGCAGTAACCAGTCAATTAAAAAAAAGCCATTCTCGAAAGCGAATTTAGCTAATGACCATTCTATGTCCAGAACGACCAATGGAGAAGATTTTACCGCTTGGATGGGAAACTTTGCCATCCGGTTGATAAATTGTACGACCGTGTATGGTCAGTTTGTAGAAATTGCATCACTATAAATAGATTTCACAGCATTTGGATCGACGCGCTGAACCTTCACTTCCGATAGACCGTCAGTCTAAAGTGCATTCTTATTTCTTATTTCTGTGTATCTACGACGTGCTGATCTAATCCACTCCACGTGTGCCTGATATTTTTTTTTCATCGATACACAACATCAATGGGCACATGCATCGCCATGATGAACACACAAAAAAAAAAAAAAGGATATGGATAACCCAATGGGTTGAAAGAGAGGATAATTACAAGTATGGATTTCTGTTCTTCTAGATTTCTTGTTTTCTATAAGCATTCCAAAGCGTCAATGGAAGTTTCCAGTCTTTTCGCTGCAACTTGGTATCAAATACGTTAAAGTCGACTTTTTCTAATGCTTCTAGATATTTGATCGATGGTACCTAGGATGCATCCTTGTAAGCTTCCCTTTTTTTTCTGCCACTCTCTATCCGACTTACAGCGTGTAATAGTACAGGGAACGCCGCAGGAGGGACCGATTTCAGTAACGACCGAGCGGTCAATAACTGATCATAGGCCGCTGTAGCTACTTCAAAAACAGCATCGTCCACTCCCTCAACGTGGCCTCGGAATAAATCCTCTTGCGAAAGCTTGTGCTGTCATGATGTCCACGTTATATTTCTGATTCGATACCCTGTCACTCATGGTTACTCAGTTACCTTGGCCGTGACTTGAGCTGGTAAAATCAGTCGTTTTTGGCTCAGATGGAAAGGCAGGGCACGAAGAAAAGTGGCAATACCCATCATTTTTCCGAGATGGCTAATCGTATGATCGGCATTGACATCCCGGACACCCAGGGATTCCAATTGCAGGTACAACAAGCTGGAAGCCGTATTCTCCGCATAAGTTTCCATATCTTTGATAGTCATGAATTGATGGTCGTCCAAATTTTCAGACTAATCAATGCCATCGCCCATTGCAAGCAACATAGTTAGAACGCTCCCTTCTTTTGGCTTTATCGATTTTGGTCAATCGCCATCGCTGCTTACCCGTTCGGAAATGATCCGCTTAAACCACATGGATGACAGATCACACGATTTCAAGGCTTCCGCTAATGCTAAAGCGATCGGTTGCTGCGGTGGTCGACCCTACCAATGCCACACAATTCAGATCTTGGTTTCCCCAACACCAAGACTAGCCACCGCTCACTTACTGCAAACACTTTGTCGATCGTGTCTTTCCAGAACTGCATACGCATTTTACCAATCTCTGTTTTGGAAACGTTTTCTCGAACCGATGCCAGTTCCACGTTGAATGCTCGGATCGCATACTGTGCATTACGCAGTTGAGCAGGGTAGAATGGAACACATAGATAAGCGTCGTAATCTCGCTGTCTGTGGATCGCACATATCAGTAAAACGGCGATCTTTGACTTCCCCTTGTTTTCCCATTTCTTTTTACCGGACTGAATCGCGACAGTATTTAAGGGCTGATTGGGTTTGTTCGAGGGTGGTTGAGTAGTAGCGTGGAAGCTTGGTATAGGATCGAGCGACGATCGTGCTTTGGATGGTGCGATGGATGGTTCGGGTGCAATTCATCGCTTCTTTGTAGTTGCTCTTAGATGTGCCGATTCGACCTATACACCACACAAAAAAATATATACTCCAGGGGCGGGCACCGAAAATTTGGGACGGTGATTGCGCTTTTGGGAACCACGGGAAATTGCATGGATGCTCGCGCTTCTCCATACAATCCCGACTGTTGATATAAACGTCTTTTTTTTGCGCCAACCTATGTTCCATTCGCATTTATACTTATTTTTTTACCCGAGTTGCTCAGGCCTCAAAATCAGTCATGGCCTATATCGTGATATTCGCGGTGTTTCGCTGCGATTTGCGCAGTTTGGAGCAACGGGAATCATTTGTTTTGCTTTCAATAAAAATTTGCATTATTGCAATCATTTGGAGAAAAAATTATAATAACAAATGACATTATAAAATACAGAAGAGACAACTACAATAGACTAATCTAGTGTCATGGTCGGTGTATGTGGGGTGTTGGCCAGTGGTTGTCGCTGCCTTTGGCGGTTGCGGAACATGAGTCGGCGTTCTTCAATCTCTTGCATTTTGACATCGTAGGAAATATTGCCTTCCTCAAAAATCGTCTGTTATAAGCAAGGAGTTAGTGTCTTGCATACACTTCCAGTTTCAGTGTCTTTATATACCGCGATGAATCGATGACAGTTAAACAGACGCCGCGGCTCCTTTTGAAGGATCTGAAACGTATCGATGGGATCTTCAATTGCTAATATTTTTGGTTCACATATTTTAAGAATGGTCAATGCGGCACGGAAAAGAGTAACATAGCCTTCACTACACACACCGAAATTGGGAGAAAAGGTGTTAGAGAGATACTAGGTTATTCACTTGATAAATATGGATACCTACATGTATAAGCTATCCCAGACACGAAGAACGGTCTATTTATCCGGTTCGCAGAGAAAAAAAAGAGGATCATCAGTGTTAATTTTTGCGCAGGAATCTCTTTGGCAAGAATTTATATTCACCTCTACGGGGAGGATATTGATAAATAGGGTCATGAACCAGTGACCGGTGACGAGGGTGATGGATGGTAACCGGTTGGTTTGCTCACATTCCCAGAAACATCGCTTATTGGCAATCTTATTCCACACGCCTGGCATCTTTTCGTAGATGGACTGCATGAGCACAGCTTGTTCTATGGTAGCTCCTTCCAAAGATGAATCAAACATGCCAGGGGGAAAGTACTCGGTGATGGTCATCACCAGTAACCAGAACGCTTCCTCCTCTTCCAATAAAAGAATGAAATACCCCGCCAAAAAGTTGAGTGACTGACAGTATCCGACTTGGGGCAAATAAAGGCTGAAAGCAAGCAAAACACGCTTGAGCTTTTGGAGGTGGTCGTTCGTACTTGGATCCATCGTTACCGACCCATCCTCTTGAGAAACCGCGCAACAAAAATGACTGTTGTCTGGAAAGGTGCGGTGAAGGTCTAATCATGCGAGGATAGTAAGCAAAGATTCATGCTTCTGTTAAGCTCTATCCCTTTCTATTTCACTTGGCGCCTCACCTCGCTGAATAATGTCGGCGTATTCGTTACGATCTCCCATTTCCTCGGCTTGTTGGAGTAATTCTTCATAGTGACCCACACAGGTGTCCATTTTATGCTGCGCTCCACTGTAATGCAACCAGGCCTATCGGATTCTTTTCACTGAGTTGGCTGTATATCATATTGATCACTTGGGTCGTGGGCTAACCTTTGCTCTCAACTCTTGCGGTATTCCTTTTCTTGCATATCGGATCACTGAAATGACAGAATAGAATGAGTGCTCTCCACTTTTAGTGACCCATAATCTCTTTTTAGCAGCCTACATTTAGCGTCTTTCGATGGCCAATGGCCCTTGTTTTCTTTCATGTATCCTCGCCACTTTTCCGCTTGTCGCGCCAGAATTCGCTGATAATACACTTGAAACGTTTCCAATTCTTGAATATCAACCCATTCCACGGGGCGTTTAAAACCGTATGCGTCTCTGATGAATCACAACTCGAATCAGTCTCGGTACCTGAAAGCGCGCAGGCGGCGGGCAGAGCGTGAACTTACCTCTCTGACAGTGGTAGAGATAATTGTGGTGGGACTGTCACCATCATATCAGCCAAGGACGAACGGTCATGAAGCGAGGATTTCTCAGTGACCAGGCTGGAAGAGCTAGGAGAAGAGCGTAGTGATGGTGTTGAGATATAATGGTCTTTATCGGATTGCGTGGACCGGGGTGAAGGCGGTAGAGAAGGTATCGACTGATGGTCGGTAAAATTATGAATGGATAGTTTCCAATGCTGATCGCTGCTGTGGTGAGTGGCTGTGTAAGGTGAATACGGTCGACTTTCTTTTTCGCCTGGCAAGCATGAAAACATGTTCAAGTTTGTGCGATGTGAAAATAAAGGAGGTGTTGCGTCGACTTTTGTCTCGCCCGATAACGCTCGATGGTCTGCGCAAGGTTTCGATCGTTCAGTCCATATTAAATTAGCCAAAGCTTCCTGAAGCTCTTGTTGATAGTTGTATGCTGCCTCCGTTTTAAAACGTCCATTTTCTACTTTTGATGTCATGGATAAACTTTTTTCTGTATATGTTATTATTACAAAACAATAAGTGTGATATTAAAAAAAAAGAAAAAAAAAGAGGTCAGCGTTGATCTGTCGTTTTAAATACCAAGTGGAAGGTTTGAAAATATATAGAAATAGATTGAATGAAGAAAGAATATAAGAAAAAAAAAGGGAGGGGCGAGGGGTCAACATCAAATGAGGAGCTAAACTGGGACGCCAAAGAAAATAGAAAAAAGAAACAAGAATGGAAACACTTCATTGTCATCAGATCCATAAGGAGATATCCAACGTTGGCAATCCATCCTCCATTTTCGTCGAAAAAATAAATCAGTGAGTATGTGGAGCTCCCTAACGGCTTTATTTCTTTTTTTTTTTCGTGCGCACATTCACCATTGTATGCAGGTCAATTCCGACCGAATCCAAGCACTACTTTGTTGTTCCAGGGTCTTGCTTGGCCCATATTTTGCCAGTAATATATCCAGACATCGTGTCACCTTGTCAAACAAATGCGGTCGTTTTGTCAACACGACAGTGAAAGCTTTCAAGACGAACCTGAAAAAAACAGTAAAACAAAATAAGAAAAAAAAAATATTTAGCATTCAGGCACAGATAGTTTCACACACAGAGGATCATCTCGCTTACCAAATGATGGGATTCTTGTCGATCCCTGCCGGCAGCATGCCTGTCACGCACTGTATCACCTGAAAAATAATACCTTCCACGGTGTTCAAAAATTCTGCGCTGGATTACAAGTACTTTTTCATTCATCTTACCAACGACAAACGCTTGGTTGACAAAATGCACTCCACTTGAATAAAGCTCTCGACAGTAAGCGCCCAGCTTGATAGCGCATAGCATGGATGCCCCAAATATGTTGCGTCGGATGGAAGCTTTAGAGTTGGTTCGCGGATTCAGCAATATCATTGGTAATTGTGCGGTGATGGATCTAGCCATATTGACCATGTGAGTAAGATGCCCTGAATCCGCGGAATCATGCTTACTGAATGGATCTGAGAAAAAGCGTTTCACCGGGCGATTTTCCATAGCCTACTGTCAATGTATCGCTGATGGCTATCGAAAATTTATATGCATAAGATGGGGTGAGCGAGTGAGGAAAAATCCGATCCAACCGATTAGGCGCTTACAGCATGAATGATATCGCGTAAAGTCGTAGGCAACATCCAATGTGTGGGTGTCGATCAGATGGGCACACCAAGGAAATTCTATCGTCCTATTTTAGCAATAGGTGATGCATATCCCTTGTTTTCATTCATTTACCATGAATTTCCTTGTCCAGATTTGTTAATGTTTTGCTTTTATTGACAAAACAACCCCATTTTGGAAAACCTAAAAAATAATGTTAATAAACGATCCTAGTTTCATTATACTGCAAACGAATCCACACGTACCCTGGTTCATCTTCTCCTTAAATCGTCTGACAACATCACGATTTGTACTGATATACAAGAAATCGTCCACATACCGTAGGAGGATCTAAGTCATTTTTATCCACATTAGAATGTCACGATACCGCCAAAAAAATCCCCATGGGCAGCCCGACTACTTACACCATCTTGATCGTCTTTTAAGAACCCAAGCTCCTCATTTTCCATTTGGCCATAATAGAAGCTATCACATTCATTTTCATTAAATGGAGACCAGATTACATCATACTTTTACTTTCCCGGTTTTACCTGCAAAGAAGTGTGGATAAACACGAGCCTTGAGGAATACCGATGGATTGTTTATAAAACTTTCCATCAACCTGTTACAGAGTAAGCATACATTCGTCAGAAATCCCGCAACTCGCTCAAGTTTTTCACCTTGACAATGGTGTTGGTGATGTGATCCTCCATCAGCTCGAGTATTTTGTCTCTTTCTTTGCAACGATAAACCACCTAATTTGACAGGTGTTAGTTGCATTTCGAGTGACGTGATAGCCAGCCATGAATCAGCCCTTCTTACATTATCAGTATAGATAAATGGTCGACCTGGAACATCCAGCATCTTTTGTGCGTAACAAGGAAACGAATATATATCTAGCCATGGCATCAGCACAGAATCTATATGTCAGCGCTAATAGTATTACTCACTGTGTACATGACTGGCGCTTTGCTTGTACTTTCGTATCAATCGTTGCTGTGCCACGCCTGTCATGCTGTACTTTCGCAAAACGTATCCCTCCTAATCAGCAAGAATGAATCGAAATTATTCAGACACATAGGTTTACTCCAGAAATTTACATCCGATACGATTCGGTTGAGCAATTGCAATAATTTCTGCTGATCAATGGTGTCGAAACAGTTCATGACATCGCATTTCGCAAAATAGAAACGTCTATTTAACGTTGTAGGGATTAACCTCTTTTCATGAAGCAATCGTAATTCAAGACTTACGCTGCGGGGTGACGTTTGGTCACTGATTTTTTGTACTGCATGATGTTGTTCCATAAAACGTCCATGTGCATGATGGAGCTTCCTAGTACTTGACTTTTGCGTGTCTACCCAAACCCATGTGAACGACAGGAAAGAAATTGAACAGCTTCATTTTTCCGCGTTACCTTTTCCAGATTCAGAATCTGTAAAGCATCTCGAAGTGTCGTGTTGATAGATCTTTTCTTTCCCTTGGCGTTTGCCTATCAACATTTTGCGTCATTCAATGACTGCATTGATTGATTCGCGCTGATCAAACTTACGATGGACAGTGTTTGCGACATATTGGTAATTGTTCGCAGAGTCTCTTTCTTTGGTAATAATCGGATAGAAGCAACGCCGAGTCGGGTGTTCGGTAACGTAGTCTGCGATAATCCATCATGGTTATTTAGCACGATGTGTCCAAAGCTATTTTTCTCCTCAGCAACCTACTTTGTCTGACTCAATCAAGCTATACCGTTTGGAGGTCAACTGGTGGAGGAACGGACGGGAAATCGCTTGCCATACATCGTGACGGTAATAAAAAATGCGATTTCGATACTGAGAATGTTCGGTGACATAAAATGAAGACTTTTTGCAACCGAAAAAAAAAAAAAGGTCAATGGCTGCACGATTGACAAGAACAAAGGCATCGGGCACCACTTACTCTTATGAGCGGAATGATGTAATCGTTGAATAACCACTTTACAAATTGAAGGATTAAAGACGTTCTTTTTTGAAGATCCGTCGGCACCATTCGCCTGCGTTTGGCTCCACTGTCGGCGGGGCATGCCCAACTGCAGTCGGTCACCTATTCATAGTTTGCATTGGGGTCCCGGAATAGGTTGTTTGTAAGGCTTTTTTACCTTGAAATGCTTCATGATTTCGTGGACGCGCAAGTTCTCGCGTTTTCTTAGACGTATGAAACGTTTGATCGCTCTCGTAATCACCTCCCAGTTATGTTGCGAGCCCCAAATATCAAAGGGAACCGTGCGTTTCATATAAGCAATGACAAATGTACATACCTGAATGAAATGCCTAAGTTACATCCTGCTTTTCACGGTTTTGTTCAACGACTTACATGATCATGGTGTGTAAAAGAGGTAGATACCGAAAACGTATGTGTCTGCAATGCTAATGTAAGGCAAAGGTACATTTGAATTAGGTTATTGCCATACTTACAGGGAAAGGACAGGTGGCGTCGAGTAACTTTTTGATGTGGCACTGGCGGTGGTCCTTATAGAGCCGCAATATGAGAGGTTGAATGGAAACCAAGCGTTTTGGTAAGTTGGTGTTCTAAAGGTTTCCAATACATTAGCATTCAGTCTGGGGGTTAGTGGGGGAACATGCGCTCAAATGTATTGCTCACTCACCGCGTTGCCTGACCGACACTCGCTGGGAAAGATGACTCTTAGGTATTGACGCATCACTGCATCATCATCACTTTTTGTATCATTCGATCGCTCGTGAAAGATATCTATTCATTGTTGTATCAGAATCAAGACCACCATACAGTTATGGGTTACGGCATGAACTTACGATAAGGAGGAAATACCATGATGGGTTTCCCATCTTTCAATATAGGAGAGGCATAATACAAGTTGAAGCGATCAATGGCAGTACTTGTTTCGCTCTTGCTACTTTCATTGCATATCATTTCATGAATCAAGCCGCCTGATTTAATCCCCACGCGGATTGCCAACATACCTTTCCAATGGGATGTTCTTCGCTTTCGAGTCTCTAGCGCGGCTGCTCTCTTGTTGGGATCCAGAGAGTTGACGTGCAGCGGCTGCCGATTTTCGTTGCTTGCGACTCGGCTTCGTACGCTTCATTTTATTGGAAGGGATGTCCTGAGCAACCGCTTCAGAACTATCGGGGGTATAATTTCGTTTGCTAGGAATCGTTTTATCGACCTGATTTTCTGGCAGCGATGGTTCGACAGTAGAAGCTGGGGTATCGGCGGTCGGAGTATTGGAAATGCGTTGACGTTTATTCTTGGTAAACAAACTCAGTATTGGCCGTCGCTTTATAAGGGAACCAGTATTTGATTCTTTCAAAGTGTTCCAGAGGCGGCGTGATAAAGAGCTGTTAGGATCACATAAATCATGCAAGAAAGTAGACCGAAAGTGGGACAAATCGTTGCTCATCCTCGAAGATGCGATATTATCCTGAACAACTTCATTGACAGGCAGACCTAAGCAAGCCGAATCAAAAACGGTTTAGTACCAGGTCCTTGTTGTGGCATGATAACCCATGCATGCGTTTTACCTGATATTTGATAAAATGATCCGTGCTCCAATCGGATCAGGATGATGCTGCTTTTCATCAGGTTCACGAATCGGTCTTCCCCCAAGCTGTACCAGAAATTTCAAATAAGCGTATGTGCATTCATCAAGTAAGACTTTTGTTCACATTACAGTTGCAATACCAAGGCCCAGGCGGGGGACTGAAGTTCATTCACCAAAGTGTTTGGGTATTTCGTTTCGATCGATTGCTGACCATCGCTGTCGACGGTAGACTAATCAAATGGTGAATATCATCAAAAGCCGACGAGATGTTTTTTACGCAATATAGTTACCAAACTAAAGCCAGCAGCCAGCACATGTTTGTATTGTCGTTCCTGTAAGAGTTCCTTTACGATTCTTTCCACCACCTATTGATCATACAATGATCAATTACTTGTAGAAGTGCATCGCGAATAAAGTGCTTTAACTACACCTACCCGAGGTACGGGACGTGGCGATAAATCATCCACTTGGTTGAGTTCTATCTTTTGTCCGAGTGATTGTGAGGTTGAAGAATGCGCGACAAGAGCTTGGTTCAGGAGCCGGATAGATACGTCGCGATCATGGTCGGGCAGATTAATGGATTCAATAGTGAGTTGCCATTGTTGTTCAATGTATTCACCAAGCGACTGACATGAAGGGAACAAGTCGCGAATAAAAGATGGGATCATGGCATTGCTGGAAAGCCGGGAAGGACAGCTGGATGAAGGCGAGGCTTTGACCCAGTTTATTAATGCAGATCTCTGTGACTGGTGATGGAACCAAAAAAGGCATGAAAATTTTAATAAAGAGGCTGACATGGTATATCTTTTTGATGCGTTTAAAGTATCGATGTAAAATATAAACAGCATGGAAATGACAAGAATGCTTTCATGATAGGTTGGAGGAGGGGACGATGGGAATGGATCTAAAAATATCTTAGGATGTGGATTTCTTTTTTTTCTGCATCTCTTTTCGAAACGCCAGCTTCGCCAACTTTTTCTCTTGTCGCCGACTGAGCGATGCCGTGACACTATCCTTTTGCTCACTGCCGTACATCTTCATCTGATTAAAAAATGTGTTGAGATGATCAGGAGTCACATTGTCCAATGTAAATCGACCAAATTTGCCGAGACGATATTGCTTGATAAAGAATTTGGCGGCCATAGTGAGATCGAGCTCACCGCCTTTGACGATGGCTCCGATGCGCCGCGCCACGGATTCGAGTAGCACTTGGGCGTCGTTGGTCGGTTCTCCGTTGGGAAGTCGAAACCAGGAAGCGTAATCGTAGGCTTCGAATTGGTTCAGACGGAACAGTAAGTAGTCCGCCATGACTTGTTCGTCGGCCAAGTGGTCGCGAATGCCGCCTGTCAGTGCCACCTTTAAGCTTCGTACCGGATCGGCAATGTGAGGCACCATAACGCCGGGGGTGTCAATCAGGTAGACATTGGGATCCTCGAGGACCTTGACGGTACCTGCCACCGATCGTGTGATGCCCGGCTGAGCTCCGGTTGCGGCAGCTTTGCCTTTGCCAACGCCTACACGACGAAGTGAATTGATAAGCGAGGATTTGCCGACGTTGGGCATACCGACGATCATCAACGTGACTTGCGGAATGGGATAGCCGAGGGATGCGGCGTACTTTAATATATCGCGTATGCTTTGATCGGTTTGGCAGCTCGTGAAAATGACGGGTGTTTGAGGGGCATGACGAGCAAATGCATTGAGAATGGGGGTTTTGGTGTCGGGCTGGGCCAGATCAAACTTGTTGTAAACGATGAGTCGAGACTTTTTCCCCACGACTTTTTCAAAGTTGGGATTCACAGACGACAGCGGAATGCGGGCATCGCGGACTTCCACGACCAGATCGACGGCATTCAGCTTTTCCGAGATCACACGCAGACCTTTGTTCATGTGACCGGGAAACCAGTTGATCACACGATCATAAGGAAACGATGTTCGAGGCACGAAACGAGCAGCCATAAACACACACACGAGATTAAGGGAAATAGAAAGAAAGTAAAGAGACGGATAACAAAAAAGAGGCACCCAAAAAAAGGCAAAAAAAAGCTCCCCAAATCCGGTAATGCGTGACTTCGGATTTCTAGAAACGTCGGTCATCGTGTCGATTTCCCGCTCATTTGCTGGTTCAAGTTGTTTTTCTCGTGTGTTCAATCTGTATTTTGCATTTACCCTTCCAAATGTCGGCCAACGATACACCCACTTCATCTGCAGTCAACAGTGATACGACGGCATCGGCAACTGCGACAGCTGATGCTGTAGATTATTCCGGGTATTACGATCCCAATCAGTATTATTATGGTTATGATTATTCAACAGGCAGCTACACAGGTGCTACGGCAGCCGACGGGTCAACAACGTATGCCTACGACCCTTCGCAGTATGATGCGTCTCAGTACGATGCGTCTCAGTACGATGCATCACAGTACAGTTATGATACGACTTATGATGCCAATTACTATGCACAATATTACGCTTCGGCTGCTGCTGCCGCCACTGCAACTGCTTCCAGTGCCACAGCCGCGGCGCAAGGCAACAATACGACACCTTCACGATTTACACCTGTTATTCCTACCGCGGCAGGACATAGCAATACACCCCCCGTGACGATCTCCACTTCAGGTTACACTGGCCCCAAGTCCGTATCGGCCACGGGGTCGCCCGCGGAAAAGGAAGAGAAAAAGAAGGGTAAAAAGAAGAATATGGTGCGTGCCGCTGGTGGCGAGGTGTGGGAAGATCCTACTCTGCTGGAGTGGGAAGATAACGATTTCAGATTATTTGCTGGTGATCTCGGAAATGAGGTCACGGATGAACTGCTGTTCAAAACGTTCCAAAAATACCCCAGTCTGCAACGAACGCGTGTGGTGCGAGACAAACGCACCGGCAAATCCAAAGGATTTGGATTCATCAGCTTCAAGGATCCCAATGACTTTGTCAAAGCATGGCGAGAGATGAACGGTATGTTTTATGAGAGTTAATATGGTTATAATGGTCATCAGTGGATACTGACGCGATGTGTTTAATGTAGGCAAATATGTCGGTAACCGACCGATCAAGCTCAGAAAAAGTACATGGAAGGAACGTAACATGGATGTACGAGTAAAGAAGGAACGCGAGCGAATGGGACCTTATTCTAAACTTCGATAGAATAAAAAAAAAGACCCAATCCATTCATGATCACTCAATGTAAGATACAATAAACTATTTATATTCTTCGATATCCAGTAAATTAGGTACACAACAAAGGGTATTCAACCTCTTCTTTTTTTTTTCTGATATGAGATTCTTTTTTGATTATCCGCTATGGTAAACAACAAGCAAGTAGAAATGATGAGAGTAAGGAAAGGGTATCTGCATAAAAAGTATTAGCGAAGGTGACAACCATCGGGATGATCGGTGAGAACGTTAAGAGCGATCAGGATCACATCAATGGTCCACCAGATACCACCGAGACCAGCCGTGACGAGTTTTAGGATACCCAGAAACACATAACCAAGATAGAAACGATCCACACCTATCAAGGCACGACCATATGACGGTGAGACATAGTTTGTACAATTCAAACATTTGAGATGACAACTTACCGAAGGGACCAAAGAAGATGGACAAGATCAAGGCGACAAACCAGCTACGGTCGGAAACACATTGATGCTGCAATAGATCGTTGGAGTGCGAAGAGAAATAATAGGTCAAGGTGATCACAGCCGTGATGAGGATGATGATAAACCAAGTAATGAAAACACGGTGGCCATGGAGACGCAAGGTGTGCTTCAACTTTTGCAAGCATGTCTGGGGCTCCTGGACCGCGCGTTCACCGACAAGAGGTGTTTCTTCATCGGTTCGAGGAGGCACGCTACCGTATTCTGTGGAAGCCATTATGAGAAAGACAAGGAAAAAGGACAAGAAACAACAACAAGGGAAGAAGAAGGAAAAAGAAAAAAAAGAAAAGAAAAGAAATGGATTCACAAAAGAGGCTTGTTATAGTGTAGCAATCGGATGTGCAACATGACACAAACCTTTTTTTTTTTGTACTTGTCTGATTCAATGATGCATCAACTCTGTCTGTCCGTTTCTTTGCATACTTATGCGGTTGTTTGAACGAAACGTCACCTGACAGAAATACCAACGTATTGGCTGGCATCAAACGCTGCACGGAGCAGAGTGATGACCTATGGCCATGAAAGACGAGTACTTCTAGCTTTCGATCGACATACTGTACCCTTCCGTCGAGGCAAAAGAAAAAAAAAATGAAGGTCTCAGCAAGTCAGTTCGGCAGTTTAATCCTTTTGAGGTGAGTACGGTATCACGGGATGGAAAAAGCCAAGCGTGTTTGTTTGTCGTTGCTTTTTTTTCCCTTCCGCATTCCATTTATTGAGACTTTTTTTTTCTCAAATCATTCAAGACATGCACAACGAATACGGTAAAGGAAAAAAAGAATAAAAAAAAGTCGTCGGTTTAAGAAGTCGACATACGTCTTTTTAAACAATAAAGATGCAGCATCGGAAGGTTGTCGCGAAAAGAAAATAAGGTATGACCTGATGTGCATATTCGCTCCGGCGTCCAAAAGGGAAAAACGACCGGCCCGCGGTTCGTGTCATCCCAGTTTTTTTTTTTAATCCAACAGCGTCCTTCCTGACACCTTTTTGATCAAAAAAAATGCCCATATTCATCGACTTCCCGTCCAACAGGAAATCTTTTGGCAGTTTTTATATCTTAAACGTTTATTAATGAGCGATAGATCCTTGATTAATCACAGTCAAAAAACAGTGTGGCAGTAGAGATTTCTCTACGTATAGTTGGTACTCTGTTATAGATTTATAGAACCGTTTGAACGGAATCTTCCCGTGTGGATTAAAAGACCCTGTTGATCCTTTTGCAAAGTTACCCCAGCAGGACGTCTCAGAGGCTCGCTGAAATTCCCATTTGACAAACGTATTATCATCTATCTATGGAATTTATATAACATTTGTCTCTTTTTTTTTTAAAAAAAAAAAAAGCAATTAATCGCAAGTTGAAGCTTTTTGATTTTATTTCTCTCCTATTCCATTCGTCAAAAAGCAAGGCGATGTGGAGAAGTCCTGCTGCGTTTGAAATTGTGACGCCATAATTTTTTTTATTTTTCTGGCACGATTCAAATGGATGGGTGCAGTGTTTTGCGGAAAAGCGAACGTACCATCTACCGGGATCTATTATGCCACGAAAATTCACCGTGTTGGCAAGCGTTGTTGCTGCCTCAGCTATCATCTACGAACTCAACCAGGATGCTGACCGTCGCGCCGCCATGTATCGCAATGTCATGGAGACCAACGAAGCTGCTCAAGCTTCACAACGGTCCTTGCTCGAATCTGCCGAAACTTACGTCGATAAGCGTTTAATTCCGTCAGGTAAGCTTTTCAAACATGACCCAACTGCAATAGTCTGCGAGTATAAGTGACTCACTCCATACGTATAAAGTGAAAGAAAGCTGGAACGACCACATTTCAAGGGCAACCCACGCTATCATATATTCTGAATTGCCTGACAAGGCAGTCGCTTTTTGGAAGAAGCACGTTTTGGGCCATCCTGAAAACTAAGCTTTCAGACACACCTCCGTACCGATGGAAACCACGGCTACCCGTACTATTGACACTGTATCATTTTTTTTTTCAGATGAAAACACTATATTTATTTATAGATCCATGCACGTTCATTAAAAAAGTATCTAATCACCAATTACCCTCAATATATCTATGTCTTTGCAAAAGGAAAAAAGTGAAAAAGTGAAAGTGGCTACTTTAGTAGTGCACGAAGAATAATGAAAAAACTGTATCAAACGGTATGAATGAGATTACTGTGTCTATGCGGTTTTGCGTGTGACTGGGATCATGCTTTGAAAAAAAAATCACAATTGACAAAATTTCAATATTTTTCATTCATGATCGCCTGTTCATCATGATTCCTCGTACGGTATTGTGCAAACGATCTTTTAATATAGTGCGGCCATGTTCTACAGCGTGTAAGCAAAAGAGGAGAGATATATCAATGGCAACATGGGTCTAATGGGTTTTCTCGTGTTATATAGTACGCATCTCACGTCCAACCATATGCGCATGTCGGCATTTTTCTGATCAACGCGACGATGCCAGTTCGCATGTCCCGAATACCCCAAATTCATCTAATGCCTCGGATGCCTCGAATGCCCCGGTGGCCGATAGCGAAGTGCCGTTCTGGGAAGTCGCTGTCGAAGACCCAAAGACCGATTCGCATGCGACGAAACGAACATCACAGACCGAAGATTTCAATCTTTTGCTGCAAGAACTGTTTAAAGATGTATCGTCAGATGATGTAAAGTTCCGTTCTACACCAGGTTACGATCCTGCGGTGGCCAAGAAGAAGAAAGCGGATAATCTGGTAGAAAACCAGCTATTGCAAATGGTCATTCATCACAGTCACCCTTGGAAAGCAAAACCGCAGCTCGCCTCTCAAATCTTTTCCCCACTGACCCATCGACCCAAGATTTACGAACGACAAGACGACGTGCGCGATTCTTTTCATAAACAACAAAAAATTGGTCATCTCGGCATGCAGACCCGCGATCAAGAAATGCGCGCCGTCGATAGAATCATGGTCTGTGAAACCAGTCAGGAACTGTTGAAAGAAGTGCTGAAAGAGATGAACACCAACGACGATCAAACTTACCCACCTTACTATGCCAATATCCTGCAAAAAGCCATTCATCAGGCTTCCATGAAATTCGGCGATGGATACCTGGCTTTAGCGATCTTTGAACAAGCCAAAGCCAAAAGTGTCGAGAGCTACGTGTTTGGATGCACCTCGGATGTGTATAATGCGGTGTTAATGACTCGATGGAAGCTCTGGAAAGATATCCAAGGCATGTTGAACGTGATTGAAGAAATGGTCGTTAATGGTGTGGCGTTTAATGACGAGACACGGCATGTTATACGAATGGCCCACGAAACGGTCGATCCGGACCACATGCTGGAGAGTGACATGCAAGCGGAGGGGCTTCCGTGGAACATGGATGAAATCCGATCACTGAATATGATGAAACTTCTTGTATCAAAGTGGGGTATAAAAAGTTAAGGAATGATAATAATAAACAAAAAAAAGAGCCTTTTGTACATAGAGCAATCCCATTGGTTCGGCCCCCACCTTCTTTTTTGTCTATTGTTTGGTTCGGGAGGATCGGAGGAAGGGGACCCACACTACATCCAAAAATGTAGGCATCTTATTAGTGGATACTTCCTGCGGAGCCTGAATGCTTAAGAAACTGTCAAATCTTTGATTCCCTTTTTTTTTTTTTTTTTTTTTTTTTTTTTTTTTTTTTTTTTTTTTTTTTTTTTACTTCATCCTTTGTCCGCATAGAGAGAGAAAAGTGCTTTTGCTTTCAAGCATGGTAGCAGGTCAAACGAATAAACCATCTTCTTCCAAAGGCTACGCTACCCGAGCTTCCAGGGCGGCAGCTCAGCGCGATCAGTCATTGCAGTCGACCGCTGCGGCATCCAGTCCTTCCGCTGCCGACATGAGCGGCAGCGATGACGACTTTCAACCTTCGATTGTCCTACGTCGTCCGCAGCCCAGAATCCGATCCTTGTCAAGTGGATCCCAGTCATCGGCTAATAAGCGCCAAAAGACAGTAGCGAGCAATGCCTTGGACGCAAGCATGCGCTCTTCCCCCTCGTCCTCTTCTACCGTCTCTGATCGTAAAGGAAAGGGAAAGGAACAGGTGCCTGTCACACCAACCGGTTCGACCACCTCGGTCGATCTCGATGAATCAGTCGACACACCTATTACCTTGTTGTCCGATGCTGAGGAAAAAGAATTGCTTGAAAACGGTGCGTCTCCTGCCGCAGCACTACCTGAAGAAGCCGACAGTCAAGATCCTATTTCCATCTCCGATGAGGAGCCGTTGGAGGACGACGAAGACACGGATGATGAGAGTGTCAGCGACAGCGAAAGCGACGCTCCACCTGCACGTTTACCGCAAGCTCGTCGTCGGGCTCGCGGTTCTTGGGTAAGATCATCGTTTTGACTTGGGTTTATGCGCGTTGATAGTTTTGACCATACCGGATTTTTAATGTTGTGCTTGAATTTAGTTCCAAAGAACCAGCGAAAGCATCAATGTGCAACATCCGGAACTTAAAAATGTCTGGAAGGATCTCAAAGAAAAGGAACAATTGCCAATCGTTCCGGTAGACCAACCCTCGGATCTAAAGTTGCCGCTTTTGCCCTTCCAGAAATATGGCGTTGGCTGGATGCTCCAGCAAGAAAAACTCAATGATGTAAGTCTATCTATACTGTCCATATTCGCTCACTCAATCATTAACCTTTTTGTTCTTACGCGTGTATTAGTTCAAAGGTGGCATTCTTGCTGTAAGTCAATCGCAAAACGCATTTTATTTCAGAACAAACGCTTACATTTTTTTCTTGTTGATGAATCAATAGGATGAAATGGGTATGGGCAAAACCATTCAAACAATTTCACTCTTACTGTCCGACAAGCAAAAGCCGAACCTGGTTATTGCGCCAACCGTGGCTGTGATGCAATGGAAACGTGAAATTGAAACACATACCGATAATGCTTTATCCGTCTATGTATTCCATGGTAATGTATACGTTGGAATCAGTGGCTTTTCGTTTTCCATACTAACCAACCTCATCCTTGTGATCATAGGCGCCAAACGCACCAATGAAATAGAAGAATTATTAGCCCATGATGTGGTGTTGACGACCTGTAAGTGGACTGAGCAGTTTCTCCTTCTTTACCGTGACTAATAGAAATCTTTCGTTTCTTTCAGACGCGATTGTAGAATCTCTTTTCCGTCGTCAAGAATATGGTGTCAAACGATTGACACAGATTATCAAAGAAAGATCCATATTACACAAAATTGATTGGCACCGTATCATTCTGGACGAGGTAAAATTAGAAGGTTCTTCTGATTTGTTTCCCTCACCTTTCTAATCGTCACCTTGGTAGGCTCATAACATCAAGGATCGTTCATGCAACACCGCTCGTTCAGTGGTAAGTACTTTAGTACACATGTTAATTTTCTCTGCTTTATTTGACATGGTCTACTCTAGTTTAATATGAAGGCCAAATTCCGATGGTCGCTTACCGGCACCCCGCTTCAGAACCGTGTTGGTGAACTATATTCCCTGATTCGCTTTATGCAAGCTGGTAATTTGTGTTACTCGCAATTTATTGCATGTTTGTTACTTGTCTAATAACTTGGTTTCTCCATTATTCAGATCCCTTCGCATATTATTTCTGCAAAAAGTGTCCCTGTAAGAGCATCAACTGGAAGTTTAGTGACAGAAAGGGATGCGACCATTGCGGTCACAAACCGATGGAGTAAGTGGCGTTTATGGTATGAAACGATGATGATTATTCATTGCTTTATTTCTTTTCTAGTCATTGCTGTTGGTGGAATAACGAAGTGCTCAAGCCGATTCAAAGTCACGGTCATGTGGGAGAGGGATCTGTTGCGATGGACAAGCTTCGTTTGTTACTGGACAAGATGATGTTGCGGCGTACCAAGATTGAATGCGCAGATGATCTTGGCCTTCCTCCACGTACCGTGACTATTCGGCGCGACGTGTTCAACGAAGAGGAAGAAGATGTGTATAATTCATTGTTCACTGATTCAGCCCGCAAATTTACCACCTACGTCGAAGAAGGCTCCGTACTCAACAATTATGCCAATATCTTTGAACTGCTTATGAAAATGCGCCAAAGTGGTATTGTATCGTCAGTGAACACAGCTCTGCGACCTGCATGTACTAAACATCCACTTTTTCCATGAAACAGCCAATCATCCTGATCTTGTGACAAAGAAAAAGGACATCTCTAACGACAAACAACTCGTCTGCATGCTCTGCAGCGAACCACCAGAGGTAGGCTTTTCTTCTTTCTTAGAAACCGGTTAAATAGAGGGTGACTAATGCATGAGTTGTTTTCATTTTTTTCCGCGCATGTTAGGATGCCATTGCGGCTGCTTGTAAACATGTCTTTTGCCGAGAGGTAAATTAGATTCAAAATATTAACTGGTCCGTGAGTTATGACTAATACGACGTGGATGCGTCTGTAGTGCTGCGTGCAATACTATCAGAGTTTTGATGGTGAAGGTGCTCTTGGCTATGGCAAACCCAAATGTCCCACATGCTTTGCCGATTTTTCAGTGGACTTTTCGCAACCTAGTATCGAATTCGAAAGTGGATCGAATACGCATGCGGCCTTTTCAAAAACAAGTATCATCAATCGTATCAATATGGATAAATGGAGAAGTTCCACCAAGATTGAAGCCCTTGTTGAAGAGCTCTCCAAATTACGTGCCGAAGACCGCACAATCAAGAGGTAAGGGGGAGGGCGTAGAATGCTAATGGATCAGCTCTGTATTGACATTTGACTCCTTTTTTTTCCATTATCTAGTATTGTATTCTCACAGGTAGACACACAAGAGACGGGAAAGGTGATGGTTGTTGTCGCAAAGGTGGACTAACCTTTTCTTGTTTCTATGATCATTAGTTTGTGAGCTTTCTGGATCTCGTTTACTGGCGTTTATCACGAGCTGGTTTTCAGTGTATCCGACTGGATGGTACCATGTCCCCTCAACAGCGCGATGCGGCTATCAATCAGTAAGTCACATGCAGGTGACAGTGGCATCGATGAAAAATGTTTATAGTTTTTTTTTTTTTTTTTTTTTTTTTTTTGCTTCCTTACAGCTTTATGACCAAATCCACCGTGACAGTATTCCTGATCAGCTTGAAAGCGGGCGGTGTCGCTCTTAATCTTACCGAAGCCAGTCGGGTGTTTATCTGGTAAGTGGACGCTCACTTTTTGTTTCGGATGCGATGTGACTAATTTGGGCATTTTTTCAACGATCAAAAAGTGATCCTTGGTGGAATCCCGTAAGTTTAAATATTTTACAACATGCATCATGATTTACTTATAGAGTTATGCCTCTCTTTCATTTTAGGCTGCCGAATGTAAGTGTTTACATCATGTGTAATTTTTCCAGAAAAATCATAGGTGCTGACTGACATTGTGTTTTCTTACCTTTTTCTTTCTGAAACGAATAGTACAAGTAAGTGTCTAATTAGCATCTGGAGATGGATACCGTGTCGGGTTTACTCACCAGATACTGCTTTTATAGGCTATGGATCGAATTCATCGTCTTGGACAACATCGACCGATCCGTATTACACGTCTCGTGATTGAAAACAGTATCGAAAGTCGTATCATTCAATTGCAAGAAAAGAAGCAGGCCTTGGTGGACAGCACATTAGGTAGGCTTCAGTGTTGGATGTGAGGTCTTTGTACAATCAATTTATCGTGCAATCTTAGGCAATGATCGATCGGCGTTGGAACGTCTTAGTGTGGAGGATCTGCGGTTCTTGTTCGTCATGTAACAAACGAAAAATTACAAGCATTCGGGAAATTCATTATCATTACATATCGCATATTTGGCATGGAGCAATGGAAAAAAGTCAGAATACAGAAAAGAACAATGGAAAAGTTTAAATTTTATCAATAGGTTATTAAATATACAATGAGGGTTAACGTTTTTTTACATGATGGAGTTACAAATAGAAATAAGCATGCATGTTACTGTATATGGTATAGAAAATTTTAGTGTTACAGAATCGCCTGGGTCATGCGATCGCGGAGGACTCGACGTTTGATTTCTCATGGGGCTGAAAGAAGGATTCCGCGCAATAGACGAACACCTGCCACAGATGCACCATGCTTAATAGCCATTTCCAGAGAGGATGACGTGAGGTGGAGAATAGATGGATATAGTCGCTCTTGTTCGTACGGGAGCTTTTCATTCTCTGTTCAGCGGCATTTAATACGATGGAAGGAATCCCCGACAGTTTCTCGTAGATTAGTGTTGCCTGATTCTGAATGTGTGTTACGAAACCATCGAACGAGGGCGGAGATGATAGTTTTCCTGATGGTGTTGATTCTTCTGTATTCTGAATCAGGCCGTAACGTGGGAAGGAGCGAGGTGTGGATGGCGAAAGAAGCGTGCTGGGGACCAATGGACTCGACATGATCATATCTGCCAATGACTGGTAAACGACCATGGTTGATGTAGACGCAGAGGCATCCGCTTCACCTGCGTGATCAACTTCAAAAGGGATATCGACTTTTACATCGGGCGACGACTGTGACCTTGATGCTTCAGTTACTGGCCTTGGGAGCGTCAAGACTGCGTCCGGCGCTAAAGTTTCTTGGTTGAAAAAGTGTATGCAATGCTCTGTTCCTCCCGTTGAACTGTCTCGTTGTTTGGTTGCCCGAGTGTCATTGTAATGTTGGCTGATGGCTGACAATACAGGCGAGCTGGAATCGTGGTTGGTCCCGCACAAGGACAGTCGAGGTTGATTGTCGAACGGGTTGCAAGCTGACGAACTGAGCAACGCCGGAACCATCGGCAACAGGGCGCCGTCTTGATGTACTGGATCGCTGTAAAGATGCCAATCGTTGGGTTCATTGGATCGGATGATAGGACTCATGGCCCAAAGACTACCGGTCATATGATCGTCCAAGTGTGAGCTCGTGGGCGTAACAGGTTCACTTGATTCAGGTGACGACGAAGGAGACAGATCGGCATTCGGAGGGTCCTCCATCGTGTCGGCACCATCTTCGCTTGGTTCCAAATAGATCCCGCGGTTCTCTGGCACGTAATCATCTTGTGGATCAAAGCAATGCCAGGATGTTTCGCCGGTATAAGGTTGAAAGAACGATAATTGATCGTCGTCTTGACAGACGGCAGAGTGATGTGAAGGATATATTTGGAGATCAGCTCCGCCGTCAAAAGATACGGGGTGATTAGACGCATCGGAGTCCGAGGGTTGTGCGAAAAAGTCATCCACAGGATCACACGATTCGATGGGTTTATTATCGTGTAAGGTCATTTTTGGGCGCTTCGACGCACCGGACATGTCGGCTTCTTCATCTTGGTCCTCCCAGTCAAGGTCGTCGAGTGGGTCCTGGAAAAGATATTCGTCTTCGAGGGATGGAAGCAGCGAAGGCGTGAATAAAATATCGTCCTCAGCCAGCATGACGGTGGGTCGAACCTCCGTCAATCCGACCAGGGTCTGCTGCGATTTGCTGTAAATGGTATGGATCAACAGGTTTTCATGGAAACTGTAGGGCGCTCGTCGTCGGTACAGCGGATCATTTTGCAGCGAAAACTTGTCGATGGTCGCATAAAACGCACGATGAGCTGTTTCAAGCTCAGCTTCGTCGCTGGTGAGATGAGGTTCAGTGGGATACAACTCAGCTGGCGCTTCATTGGCGTGACGCCGCAACGACTGTTGATGAATTGCATAAAAATCGTCTTCAAATTCGTCTTCGTCGTAATCTTCCATGATATCGTAAGCATACAGATGGTCATCGGCTTCCATTATGTCTTCATTATGGGCGTGAATATGAGGAGCAAAAAATGCATGCAGGCATTCCGGATGATGGTCGGACGGATCAGGTTGAAGTGCATGGCCACTGAATCTTTGAGAGTAAACGTCGTCTTCACTCAGGGCAGCTTCCGTTCGATCCGGATACCCATAGTCAATATGGTCCAGCACGTCGGACGTCTGTAAGAAGGGGGTTGAAACATGTAGCATGGTGTGTGTGGCTAGTGGTTGTTCTTTGTCGTCTAGGCGATCTGACAAAGAATGGGTTATTTTTTGTTTTTTGAAAAACGAAGCAGGAATACAAAAAGACAAAAGTGTGCAGTATTTAATAGATGCGAAAAAAAAGAGATGTGCTGGTGTGTTTGCTTTGGTTTATTTTATTTTATAGGATGGAAACGTTACAATAAAAAAAGGCATGACTTTTTGCAAACTTTAAATCGTCTCAATAAATGATATTTGAAGTACAATTTGTGTAACATTGACGAATCAGGTTATTGTCTGCAGTTCACTACATCATCTCAACCCACCTTGTTTGCTTCATCATTTTGGTTCAGTCAACACGATGTCTCAAGTCCAACTGTCGGTCCTTTTAAAAAAACTATTACAATCACTCCAACCGAGGTGTTTGTGATACACGATGTTTGATAATACCAAATGACACCAATAAAAAAAAGCCCAAGGGCGGAGTTCATGTCAGGTCGCGATAGTGATGTTAGTTTATTTTTACAGGGAACAGCTTCTAGTGTGGTAAGACAAACGGGGAGAGTTTGGTACCACGCCTCGAAATCTGTGAATGAAACATCCTGTTGTGTAAGCTATTTATCTAAATGAGGTCTAACATCTTTTTTTCTTTTCCAGTCATTGATTTTTCTCGTTTTCGCATGTTTTCATTAACTTTCTATTATGTAATGAGGAAGTATAAGAGAGATGAAGTATCAAGCGAACGCAGATACTGGAGAAAAAGATGGGTGGGTTTAGAGTGTAAAGGGATTTTTTTCGCCTTATCCCATGTCAGTTTTTATTGTTTTTGAAGGCGCGCAAGTGTCATTGCTAAAGGTGATCACCGATGTATTTTTCACAGTCAGATGAAGAATCCGACTGACGTCCACACCCATATGTCTCCCCGTCTCCGACTTGATCTTTTAGGCATCAACGGATGGAGTTTATTACGGCCTTGTTCAATGATCTAGCAAAGATTTCATTCAACCTGTAACCGTGTCCTCCCATCATATAATTTACATGTTCTCAGATAAATGTGAATAAAACATGATATAACAAGTGTTTGATCGTTTAAACGCCAGGTCGAAAAATCAGTAACATCAAACGCCATGTCCATTGTAGTCTGTTTAACGTTTTATGAAGTAACCCCTATCTATTTCGGTACCGTCAACATCATAAGATACTGAATCCATGATGCCCATTTCTTTACAGTCATCTGGATCAACAAAAAAAAAGTCTAGTCACTATTTGGTATTCGATGTCACAGAAGAGACGATTTCCGTCCGGCAATGAAATTACTTGATCCAAAAAAGAACAAGTCGCCTTGCCGTTTTGGAGTTCTTGGTTGTATGGAAAAAAGTTTGAAGCATAGTATTATGCTTCTCCGTTAATGACATGAACTAGCAACCTTACATTTGTTTGTTATGGTCAGAGATGTCATGTACTTTTTCGTTGTTCGTCTGCGTAATTCTTGTTCCTTCGGTAAGGTAATTGTTGATGTCATCCATCCTCAGGTGTTTCTTGTTTCGGCCGATTGATGCTCGAACCTGCCAGTGAATCAAGAGCAGTCATCTGTCTTAACTCTGAAAGCATATTTTTTGCCATGCTATATTTTTTTCACTAGTTGACGTCCAATTGACAAAGTTGGCAAATAGGCGGGTCACCGACGTTTTGTTTTCGTTTTTTACTGTTCCTTTTTCACAAGGCTTTTGACAGCCAAACGATGCCGGCACGGCAAAGGTCCGAAATCGGCAGCGCAAAATCCCTGTTCTTTGGGAACTGTTCTAGTTGCCTCGTAATGACAACATTTATGCATATTGTCTTTCTCATAACGTTGACGATAGACTGTCTGCGAACAGTGTTAATTTTGAAAGAAAACAGCGCCCAGAAAATAGAACATGGTACTGGCAAATAGTTCCATTTGCAAAAGTGCAGACTATCATAATGAGGACGAACGAAAAGATTGAAGGGATAATAAAAACAAGTTACATTCTCAATATAACGTTTTGCTTAGTAGTAACAAGAAAATCAAGTTTATCGAAATTTTTGTGATGGATGGGGTATACAGTTGGCATGAACTACTCTAAATATTATTTCATTACATTAGCGTACAATGTCGTTGGGGATGATGTGGTTGCTGTGGTGATGATGGTTTATCATTGACTTCACCGTTTTCTTGGTCACCGATCGGCTGTCTTGTTTCTGGAGGCGGATCTTGTCCTTCTAGTTTTTGCAGTTGCTCTAGTTGCGTCGCTGCACTTCGATGGCCCATGTTGGCGGCTTCTTTATACCACAGTTTGGCTTTGTCGATATTCTGGTCGGTGCCGATTCCCTTCTCGATGTAGAAACCGACAGTATAGAATGCTTTGGCCAATGTCCATCGCTCAGCACCAGAAATACTCGCAGCTCGTCGTGCCCACAAATACGCTTCTCTGTCGGATTGTTGCAGTACGTCCGGCGATCCCGTCAGATACCATCCCGAAAGCGCCAATGCTGCTTCCGCACTCGCTTGCTGCGCAGCACGCGTGTACCAGTATATTGATAAACTGTCATCCACTTCCACAAGTTCGCCGTGTTCGTACAATTCTCCTAACTTGACTTGACTCGGCGCATACCCCAACGTTGCGGCTTCATGAAGCAGTTCCACGGCATAGGCCGGGTCGGCAATAAAGTTGGAGTCGTTGCATTCGCCGTTCAATTGGATCATCGCCATAGCATGCAAGGCGTGTGGATTATCCGAGGAAGCGACCGAGGCGGCCCTCTGGAGCCAGCTCACAGCTTCGCGTCTTTGCGGCGTCTGTCCACAGTAACCCCGCAATAAGATCATACCCAGTTTGTACATGCTGGGGACATGGGTCAAATGGGCTCCTTTGCGATAAAAAATCATGGCACGATTGTTATCTTTGCGTGTGCCGATGCCGAGTTCGTGGCATACAGCGGTTCTGTAGGTCGCATCGTGATGATTTTGTTTCGAAGCCTGGACGTACCACAAGAAGGCGCGTTCGTGGTCGATTGGCAGACCGAGGGCTCCCATTCCGTAGCAGTTGGCTAGCAGGTACTGGGCTTCACTGTCTGCGGTCTTGCCTATGCCTTGACCCACCGTAGCTAACCGTTTCAATGTGCGTTGGGCTTCCACCAGCATCAGTTCGTTGGCATCGAGTTTTTTCTTGTCTTTCTTTCGGAGCAATTGATCGTCTTGGGATGAGGGTGAGATCAGCCATCCGGCTTGCATGAGCCCATAGCAGAGTTCCAGCTGGGCCCAACGATCGCCGGTCTTCCTCGCTTTCTTTCGCAAGGCATATATTTCTTCAATGGTTTTAGGTATGACCCATGACCGCTTGTATCGGTCGTCAAACGTGGACGTGGAACCAGTTGCCATGGAAGACCCCACGCGATGCTGGGATGTAAGAGGCGAATGGTACGTGAAAGGTTCTCTGCAGTGATGCGAGTTGAAATGCTTATTGTCGACAAATCGCGATGGCAGTGATGCGGTTGATGTTGATTGCCGTATATTGGCGGCGGTATCCTCAAGGAAATGATTTGCATTGTCGGGTGCAATATGGCGATATAGACCCGAGAACTCGTCAAAGTACCATTGGCCCACTTGATGCGGTTCGGTTCGTTGTCGATATTCATGGTTGATCATAGTTCGAGGATTAATGGAATCGGTAAAATCTACTGCTTCTTCTTCGTCGTTATCAGCGTTGTCTTCGTCTTCGTCGATGCCTGGATCCATGCTCTGGATGGCGCGTGGGGTCGGATTGGTTTTGGTTGGAGGTAACGCCTTGTTTTTCCAACTTTGTGTTGTTTCTAGCTGATGACCCATCGCTACTGCACAATGAAAGAAGAAAAAACTCGGTGAAAAGTCAAAAGAGCAGTTCAAATTGCCATTATCAAGGAAAATTGTGCTGCTTGCGTACAAGTTTGCTTTTCTTGACGCTAAATTTTCCGAGGATAAACTGCGGTCAAATAATAACAAATTCACCAAGCAAATATATGATCCTTTTGTCTCAAAATCCATTTATTCTGCGATGTCAATATAGATGCCCTGGCATTCCAGAAAAGTATACTACTTGCTAGTTGAAAGATGGAGGTACAACATCATTAAATGGGTTCGGGTGCAGGTTCAGCAAGAGATTCAACAGCCGCTGGGTTAAATCCATCGCTTCAATTTGGCTTTGTTTACCTCCAGTAAATAATCGATTCACCAGCAAACCATGGCCCAGAAGCCAATGGCCCACTGCAATATTAACGTCAACATCAACATCAACATCAACATCAACATTAACTGCAACAGCAAACGAAATCTGCAAACATGTATCTGTTCCACCGAACCGATCCACCCGTTGATTCGGTCACAAAAAAAAAAGTGATATTCAAATCAAATCGGTTTGATAAGCTTACTGCTGTATACGATCATTCTGTATTGTACAGCGTAATACAGGATAATTATTGGCTGTCATAATGTTGGCAAGGCTTGTAATCAATTCGCCTAATGCAGTAGGCGAAAGATTGTACAAAACATACTATAATATTAATGGTTGCGAAAATGAATGTCCAAAAAGCAGAACTTAATTGGCTATGCTAACTGCAACGACCATGTGCTATTATGGTACATCAACGGAGCGATTCAGTTGAAAAAAAACCAGGATAAACTTTTTTTGTAACCGTAGGATAAAAGCAATCAGCTTGTAGATGATAAAGGTTCTAGAAAAAACATTTATCCTGACATTTTCCCTGATTGATATGTGCTACTTGAATCATAATATTCGTCATCAAGAGTTTCTAATGGTGATTGTCTCCCAGACACTTGCAAGCAAAAAGTTTTCTCCTATACAGGTTATTCTAATACTTAGAGAAAGTTTTTATCATTGCACCGTTAAATATCTGCAAATCCATTCAGAGGTGATGATACATCCCACAAACAAATCATTGCTTTTACCGTCTGGCCAGGGAACACTACCCCACGCATTTTTGGAGCTTTGGAAACACCGACGAAAACAAAATTATTGCCCTTTAGATCGGTGCCTTTGAATACGGCAGAGGGCGATAGATTGATTGGATGGCAATCACGCAAACGGGTTGAAGCAGTCTGTCACACTTCTCAAGCCGGATAAAGGTTTTGGAAGGCCGCCTTTTTTTCTTTGGTATTTGCTGTGTTTACCTTGGACAAAACGCAACATATGATTGGATAAGTGAACATTGAACCATGACCCTGGCAATCGGATTTTGTGCGGTAACTGCAGGTCAGCTCAATCGTTTTTGGTTGCCTGTTGTCATTGCTTGTGGGTGAAAAGCAAGAATGCGCGAGTGAAAGAGGCGGAACTTAGTTTCTAAGCAGGATCGGAAATGCGGAACGATGTCATGCGAAAGCTAAACATCGGTTTGTTTCCCACGGTGCCCAGACGACGGTTTGGTAAAGCACTGGTAGACGTATTAGGTCATCGGAATTACGAGCAATGACCATTTTGGGAGCCTACCCACTGCATGAATACGGGACGACGGAAGCTTTTATAATACGACAGACCGGTCAGTCAGCAAAATTGCAAACTATGCATGTGATATCGCAATAACTAACGTACCAAGAAAGGCCCATGCCTACATTTTACCCCGCATTCACCCACCACCTTACTTTGTTTTGATAGGCACGGAGATTCAATCAGCGATCATCAAGTGTCATTTTCATATGCTTCATGGAAATCCTTTACACATTACAAAAAGTTCGTAATGGCTTCAATATAAAACCGAGAAACCTCAAGGCACCCCGATGGTTCTTCTCCTTCTTTTATTTTTATTTTTACTTGATAAATTTTTTATTTATTGATCATAGAGAAATATGAGCCGAAATAACAACAGCAGCACCAAAACACCCCTTCTTACCCATCTTGTTGCAGGCGGAGCGGCCGGTTTCATGGAAGCATGCACTTGCCATCCTCTCGATACAATCAAAGTGAGAATGCAACTCGCCAAGAACATTCAAAAGTCGGCATCCGTAAGTTAAAATGACCTTGTCTGCGGTTAGTGAGCGGCGATGGTTGACGCTGTTCTTTGATCTACAGGGAAAACGCCTGGGATTCTTTGGCGTAGGCATGAAGATCGTAAAGAACGAATCTTTTTGGGCTTTGTACAAGGGTCTTGGTGCGGTTGTATCTGGTATCGTCCCCAAAATGGCGATTCGATTCAGCTCGTTCGAACTCTACAAAAGTTGGATGGCTGATGCGGATGGCAAAGTAAGCACCACCGCCGTCTTTCTCGGTAAGTGGTCGTCAGCAGGGCTACCTTGGTTGTCTCGTGCTAACATAGAATGGTTCATTAGCTGGTCTTGCCGCTGGTACGACCGAAGCCGTTTTGGTGGTATCGCCCATGGATCTTATCAAGATTCGCTTGCAGGTGCAGTGACCGAGCGTACATGGGGAGGAATACATGGAGCAGATTGTTGACTTATCGTCGCGTAGGCCCAGCGTCATTCGATGGCTGATCCAATGGATATCCCAAAGTACCGCAATGCACCACATGCTGCCTACACCATTGTCCGTGAAGAAGGTGTTCGTGCTTTGTACAAAGGCGTTACTCTCACGGCATTGCGACAAGGTATGTATTCACCGGACACCTCCAGGGTCCTTTCTTTATGTTCGTTAAGGCGATAATGGCATGTACTTAAATGGTTTCCTTTTATTAGCGACGAACCAAGCGGCTAATTTCACGGCCTATCAAGAGTTGAAGGCGATGGCAAAGACGGCACAGAAACTGGATGAACTGCCTTCATATCAGCATTTGGTATTGGGTGGTGTGTCTGGTGCGATGGGTCCTCTGTGCAATGCACCGATCGATACGATCAAGACTCGCATACAAAAATCCAGTGTTCCTGGTTCCGGTTGGGATCGTTTCAAGGTGGTGACAACGGAGATTATGCAAAAAGAAGGTTTCCGAGCATTTTACAAGGGATTGACACCACGCTTGTTACGTGTCGCTCCTGGTCAAGCTGTCACCTTTATGGTGTATGAAAAAGTCAAGTCCTGGATCGATACCGTGACCGAAAAGGTCAAGGAAGGAGAACCCATTACCAAGATCGTTACAGCTCAAAAGTAAAAGAAAAAGACTAACTAACCCACCAAGAAAACAAAACAACACGATGTATTTTTATGATCTACTACAATATAAAACGACGCACTCATTCCTTTCTCTCTATCTTCTTTGCTTTCATCTTTCCCGGTAATAAAGAATAAAAGTGGATTTTTTATTCTCTCTATCCTTGCTGCAAGTTCAGAGACAACTGCCTCTCTGGAGAAAAAACGAAATTCCCATGTGTGTGAATTGCATGTGATCATCAGATACACAGTATGACATTATTTATTTGTTGGATAGAATCTATCTAGAGTTTAAGCTTGAGCAGCAAAGACTTCGGCAAGTTTGCCTTCCTTGTGAGCGTCTTCGAGAGTCTTGCGGAGAGCTTCCAACTTGGGCAAGTCCTTGTTCTTTGCAATGATATCATCGAGCAACTGAAGCTGGCGATCGATATCATCGGGGCTGGGCGTGGTTCCCGCGGGTAAAGCGTAGTTGTTGTCCTTGACCAAGTTCTTGATCAATTTCTTCTCCTTCTTGACCGCGCGCTTAACGGCTTCCTTATCCTTCTTGGCGTTAGCCTGAGCTTCCTTGGCTTCAGCTTCGGCCTTCTCCTTGGCGATACGTTCCTCTTCAGCCTTGCGAGCAGCTTCTTCGGCAGCGGCCTTTTCAGCAGCAGCCTTGGCATCCTTCTTGGCGTTTCTACGCTTCTTATCTTCGGCGCGGAACTTGGCGATACGAGGATCCAGGCTTAAGCAGACATCGACAATCTTGCGAAGACGGGCATTGTCTTCCTTCTTGAGCTGAGCACGCTGAGCACGGTTCTTCTTTTCTTGGTAACGCTTGTCATCACGGCTGTCGGCACCTTCGGCACCTTCCTTATCGAGCCATTCAAAGGTTCTCCACGAGTCAAAGTTGTACCAGAAATCGTAGAAATGTTCGACTTCTTCCTTGGTGGATTCTTCGTTGCCGAGGAGGGGCACGGGCTGCTTGTTGGAGAAACGGGATTCACGTTCGAACACAGGACCCCATAATTTGTAAAAGTTGCCGGTGGATTTAGCAGTGGGCACATCTTCATCGAGATCGGCCATACCGAAATCGACGGAATCGTACTGACGACGGAGGACAGGGTTCATCAAAGTATCGTAAGCCTTGGCAATACACTTGAAGAAAGCATCATCGTTCTTATCGGCCTTCTTATCGGGATGGTGCAACAAGACCATACGACGGTGAGCCTTCTTGATTTGCTCCTCGTTAGCCTTGTAACGGTACTTGGTCAAACCCAAGACAGCATAGTTATCCTGAGTCTTCCACTGTGTGGGGTCGGTGTTGACAGTGTTGGTATCGACTTCCTCGTATTCAAAGTCAACCTTTTCTTCTTCAACGACTTGTTCGGCCTTTTCTTTAGCTTGATGAAGTTCATCTTCGGAGAAAGTACGGTTATGTCTCTTTCTGCGAGCATGGGCCAAGAAGTGAGGACCCACAGGTTCAAGGAGACGATCGATGGAATCGCTCAAAGAAGAGTGAACAACGGAAGCCTGATCGGCCTTGTAAGTGGAAGGAGGAGGGGGAAGCAAGAAATCCAAGGTAAGCGACATGATGACAAGGTCGGTAGATGAAGAAACACCCTTTGCCCTGTCGGCCCAACCGAGTAATGAAAAAAAAAAAAAGCATTACTGCGTAAAAATCAAGTCACGGCAACCAATTGCTTATCAGTGGCAGACCAATCAAATGAATGGTTTTACCATGTACCCGTCTTCTGTTTTTTATTGCTTGCCAAAAGCTTATTATGGACCGAAACGGCATTAACAATCTTGTTTTAATAACGTAAAAGTAGACATTGATTATCGTTTTAAAGATGCATTGTGTTGGCGTTTGCAAAGTAAAGGAGGCTTAGCTCGACGAATTAATGTGAGGCGGAGATTCAAGTGTCCAAGGACAAATGGGAAGGGTCATGAATAGGATTTGGTGGATTAATTTTTTTTGATGCGTCCAGCGCTTTTATCGAGTCGTCGCTCTTTGCATTTTTGGCCTCGTGTTTCCGTCATGAATACAAAGGTTCTGCCAGTCGATATTACCCACTTTCGCTTTCAAGCACAGCCGGACGATGAATTTGGGGTCCAAAATGCGAAACCGGTCATCACCAAAGAGACGGATCAAACCGCCATTCTCGAAGCCGTTCGAGAACTGAAAGCAGGTCAAGCTGTTGGCATACCGACCGAGACAGTGTACGGATTAGCAGCCAATGCTTTGCAGGAAGATGCCGTGGCCAAGATCTTTGCCGCCAAGAATCGACCGGCAGATAATCCACTCATTGTGCACGTTTCTTCGCTGGACATGCTGAAAACGTTCATGCCGGACAACACCATTCCGCCAGTGTACCTTCCCATTATCAAAAAGCTGTGGCCGGGACCCTTAACCATCATTCTTCCGAGCTCTCCTATGATTCCCTCTACCGTTACCTGCAGTCAACCTACTGTCGCCGTCCGCTTTCCCTCTCATCCTGTTGCTCGTGCTCTCATCGACGCCTGTGGATTTCCATTGGCCGCGCCTTCCGCCAATTCCTCGGGTAAACCATCTCCGACTTTGGCGAGCCACGTTTTCCATGATTTGCAAGGCAAAATACCTCTGATCCTCGATGGCGGACCTTGTGATGTAGGTGTCGAAAGCACAGTATTGGATGCTCTTCGTACTCCGCCCGCCATTCTACGTCCTGGCGGCATCACCTATGAATCCTTGCTGTCCCTTCCTCACATGAACAAATTGCAAGTGTATCGCAAACATTTTGTCGATGAAGCACTGGAACAAGCACCGACCACTCCCGGTATGAAATATCGTCACTACTCTCCGGATGCCAAAGTCGTGCTTTTTGAGCATTCAGACAAAGTCAGCGAGACAACCGTGCACGAGGTGTTTGAAACGAAATGGAAATCTGAATTAGCAGGATTTCAGAAAGCGGGTGTGACGGTGCGTAAAGTGGGAGTTCTGCAGACGACTCCGGAAGGAGAAGCATGCCATTGGGAACAAGTGCAATCCAAAGACGGGGTAGAATACATCGAGATCCAAATGGGACGACGTGGGCATCCGGAAGAAGTAGCGCGCGGCATGTTTAAAGGATTACGTGAACTGGATTCTCGCGGCGTGGATCTCATTTTTGTGCAAGGGATTCCCGAACTCCACGAAGGCATGGCTGTTATGAATCGATTAAGAAAAGCGGCCTCCAAAATCATTGACCTCGGGGAACTCTAAAAAATAGAATATAGACAAGTAAAAAGACACAGAAAGAGAAAAAGGATCCGGATATGAAAGTAATGCGTATGCTTCATTCCCACATTATTTGTATAGAGGAATAATGGCAATTTAACTGTATATAAAAAACCTCAAGGCATTGCTATTTCGTTGACGCTACAGATTTATTTCTCGATTTTTATTTTTAACCATATGGTGAAATTTCTAATTTAATGACTTTTAATCATCATCACCGTTACGTTCTCTATACTCATCCAGCGGTTCCACCATGATGGCGTCTTCAAGGTCAAATGTGATGCCTGGGTCAGTTTTGATGGGGCTATTTTGCGTTTGAGCTTGGGCCATACTGAATTCCATATTGTTTGTATTGGCGCTCTTGAATTGTTCAAGCTGTTCTGGTGTTAAATGCATGACGGGAACAATTGGTGCCTTTGATGCGCCTGTGTGGCTGTCACTTTGCATGAGGGGCGCTAATCCAAACCATGTCAGCTGTTACTTGAAGGGTTTCTCAAACAACAAACTGTGTATATCTCCTACCGCTAGCTACCAGCACTCCAAAGTTGACCAAGACTATCCATGTTGCGCGCATGATTGATAATGAAAAGAATTGGTTGCCTTAGATACGAATTTGTAACGTTTTATATACTTGTTCATTGCTTTACTGTTGGTTCATGAAGCCGCGGAGCTTTTTTTCCTCTGCGAAAATAAACTCGGGCATATCATTCGCCAATTTCGGCACACAAATGGGGTCTAGTTCAAAAGCTAACCAAGGAAGGCGCATTACCTCTATCAATGGGCCGATTAAACTTTTTTACGATCTGTTTGTATCCTGTGGAGATGAACAATCACTCTATGAAAACACCATCCTCTCCTTTCCCATTTTGGCAATACGTGATTACAACATTGGAACGCGCTGATGACTGACATGGATCGATCCAACGATGGACACATGATTTTATGCCAGTTATTGTACAAACGAGTTGATGTGAGAATGTTTCGATGAATAGTCTTTTTTCATACGTATCTAAAAAACAAAGAAGATGGCTTGTTGTACATTGTTTTCCAGTTTTATTTGTTATTCGCAACGCGACGTGCATCCATCTAAGCCGCGTGAACAATTTCTTTCCAAAGGGTATCATTCAGGTAGTGAATATTATCGCACCCAATGCCCTTGTTGATCTTGCGGCTGTGACGAGAAAGAAAATAGATTCCATGATTAACTCACTTTAGCCAGAACAATAGATAGATAGATAGATCAAATATAATCACTTACATGTCTTGTGTGCTCATCTTCAGCAATCCAACCGCCAATGCATTTTCTTTTCCTTCAGCCATGATAGCCACCACTGACTCGTTGGGTAGATCCACGTCCATACGAGCCCCCTTGGATGTTAAACCGGGACACATGATATTGGCACCCGAAAGCACAAACTTGATAGCACCTCGGTCTACCTGCAACTTGGGCAGAATATCCGGATCTGTATAAAAACAACAAACATATCATCAGTCATTGAGAAGGGTGTGGCTTCTGACGATGTACTTGATTCGGCCTGTATGCTTACATTTATGGAGCAGCACCAGCGTGGGGAAGTAAGGACCGTCAAAATGCTGGAAGAAGAGAATGGTGCCATTGACGGACAAGAACGAAATGTGTTCGTGACTATTTGGACAAAACGGTCAGAAATTGAAGCCTAATGAAAACGTCACTTATTGGCGCAAGGCTTTACCCTTTAATTTGGACAATGGGGGTCTTCTTCGGTATCAGATCGTCCATAATGGGTTCCATCATGGGATACTGTTCAATGAGCTTGGACCGAATTGCACGCTGCACGGAAGACTTGAGCTGCGATTGACCGGCAATATTCTCAGGAAAGTTGAATCTTGGATAAAAGAAGGGATTGATGTTAGTTTTTATCGCACAAGGCACCCGACAAGGTGTGGAATGTTCTTGATTACTTTTTGAACATGTTTGTCGCAAGGTGATAAGTTGCAGCAACAGAAAATTGTGGCACGCTCCCCAAAAATGACAACCCCGTTTTGTGAATCCGAGTCACGCCGACCGAAATACCGTCCCTCTTTGCCGTCCCCGCTTCCTTTCTCCCTTAAGCAGGTTATATCCTCCATGGGCTCCAATTCATGGCTTCACCGCTTCCGGCGTCTTGATGCCTACGCAAAAACATTAGACGACTTTCGTATACGAACCGCCACTGGTGCCACAGGTAAAAAAGAAAGCGTGACGTTCATACAGTGGTCTTCATGTTTAGGCTGACCAGTGTTCATCGGTTAGTCAGCCTCATCAGTGCGATCGTGATCGCTGTGCTGGTTATTTTCGAAGTTGGTAGATACCTCACGCCAGAGATGCATTCAGCTATTATCGTTGACGGCGGAAAATCGGTAGCTATAATAAAAAGGCAATGAATTCATTGGCCCATATCTGATTAAACACCCACTTTTGTACAGGAAAAACTCCCCATCTCTTTCGATATCACGTTTCCAGAACTTCCATGTTACTGTAAGGGCAATCCAGCTAACATTTATTTGAGATTACTGTCTTAACGGATATCTTTGTAGTATTGAGCTTGGATGTGATGGACGAAAGTGGCGAACACATCAGCGGTTATGAGCACGACGTGACAAAGGTTCGATTGGACGCCGCTGGAAAAGAAATCACAAAGGAAAAGGCCAAAAGTAAGCAATTTGACTTGGAAGTTGCCATAGAAAATTCATTGACGGGTAGCTAATAACGCGTCGGATCAGGTCTGAGCAATACACTTCCTGCACAGGATGTCTTGGCCTCTGATAAGTCCAGCTGCGGCGATTGTTATGGTGCAAATCCAAAAGGCGTAGCCAATCCATGCTGTAACACATGTGAAGATGTCCAGACGGCTTATGCCGATATGGGATGGGCATTCAATCCAGATACGGTTGCACAAGTAAGCCTCAATTTAGTAGCCGTGCCCCTCGTCTTTATGCTGATGCTTTTTATTTTTCCTTGATGGGCGCGATAGTGTATTCGAGAGGGATGGAAGGAAAAGATGGAATCTCAGTCGCATGAAGGATGTCGCATGCATGGCCGTCTATTAGTGAACAAAGTGCGCGGTAATTTCCACTTTTCACCTGGCCGAGCTTTTGCGCATGGTGCGGCTCATGTTCACGACGTTCGATCCTATCTGGCCGCCAATCATAATTTCAAGCATTCTATTCATCATCTTCAATTTGGCGATCAAGGTTATCAATTGTACAAACAGAAGCGCACCAAATCATCTGGTTTGACCAATCCACTTGACGGTACCGAGTGGGGTTATCCAAAAGGTTCGTATCGAATGAATACATGTAAAATAACGGTAGCGTTGACTGAATTGGTTTGATCATTCTAGCCACCATGATGTACCAATTCTTTTTGAAAATTGTCCCTACACAATTTGACTATTTGAACGGCCGTTCTCTGCGTACTTTCCAGTATTCCGTCAGTCGCCACGAGCAAGATCTAGCCCAGCAACCGCAGGGAGGATTACCAGGTAAGCTAATTTTTTGGACCTTGTCATTTCATGTCAAAGTCTGACCATTCAATAGGTGTATTCTTCATGATGGATTTTGCTCCTATGCTCATTGTGCATACAGAACGTCGGATATCTTTTGCCAGCTTTATGACCAGCCTTTGTGCCATTGTGGGAGGCATTTTCACCGTGGCCGGTATCGTTGATGGCATTTTATACAGAGCAGAACGAACATTTGGGAAAAAGGCAGAAATGGGAAAGCATCTGTAAGTAAAATGGAACATCTATCCCCATCACTCCACCAACAAAAGTTTTGGCAATGACGCACAGTTCGCAAACGATTTCTTTTTTTTTTTTGGGTCAACGAATATTACGTGTATGTATGGATATTGGCTGATGTTCATTAAGATATCCAATTCTCATGTGCTGGAGAATAAACATCTAAAACAACTATTTGTTCCTGTTATACTTGCATTGTCATGGGAAGCGCATAAAAAGATTTGTAAGAAAATTTAATTCCCAGTGGAAACTGCAATTGATCAAAACTCGCAAACGTCCACATTGGCACTTGAATAACTTGATCGAGTTTGACAAGTAGACAAAAAAAATAAGCAATGCTCACCTTTTTCGCCTCAAGTAAGTAGCATTGGTAGGGAAATTGTTAAAGAATTTCACCTTATTCACGGCATGTCTAAACAGTTACTGCTTCAGGGGGTTGGCCAAACTCTGGAAAAATATGGCTGCGAGTGGTTTTGGAACTCCGTACCAATGCAATCACAGTCATCATTAATTTTTCGTTCTTGCAGCTCATTGGTTGCTCCGCACGTCTGAGTTAAATCCATGACCGGACGCGACATTTGACTGTGACAAGTCAGCATTCCATCATCCCGCGTACAATTTTTACACAAAAATTGGTAGTGAAAAGTAATTGTTGAAGCGTCCACTGCTTTCTGTAAAAATGCAACAACGTTTAATGCATTGCATCATGTCAACAATCGTAAGTAACAAGGCTAAAGTCATCAAATTGGTTTCAACAAATTCCGGTTGAGGTGTCTTCGGGTTACCCCACAAATGGCTTTTTATTTTATTTATATGGTTATTGATCTGCACAAATGACGATATGGTATGTTCGAACTTTGAATTCTTCGGATGTCGTGGGATCTCGGACGGGGCACTCGAACGATTTTAAGACCGCCCGACTTTTTTAGTGCTACGCTTGCCATATTCATCGCCACTGCGGAACGGAAATACCCGTGGCGTTTCGTCATGCATATCGTATACATTTCATTCGATTCTTTAAAGTATGTCAATTGTTCGCTCGAGTGACGCGTTCTCTCATTGAGCCGTGGCATGGAGAAATCCGCTGCTTCGTGGAAATGAAGTTGCGCTGGACAGAGGGTGTCGGAGCCGTAAAACAGGCGCTGACTTGGGTTAAGAATTGGTGCCTAGGTCCCGGGTTATTTCGCGTCTGATTTCATGTGATATATATGGCTATGTATTTTCATTCTACGCGCTTTCGACGAACAGGTATATATATGGAGTGCGCACGTCCATTTTGCTGGCTTTTTCTTTTCTTCTTTAGCTACTGCGTTTTCTCTTTAGCATTTCTCTTTCTTGTTCCATCATGTCCGTCACCAAGGTTCACGCCCGCCAAATTTTCGACTCTCGCGGTAACCCCACCGTCGAAGTCGAAGTCAGCACTGCCAAGGGCATCTTCCGTGCCGCCGTTCCTTCCGGTGCCTCCACTGGTATCCACGAAGCTCTCGAACTCCGTGATCAGATCAAGGAAGACTACGTCGGCAAGGGTAAGTGTCCAAAATAATATATGGGTTCCATAGAAATAGAATGGAAAGAACCAAACATATCAATATCATGCACGTCATGTTAACCATGGATACTTCAGGTGTCTTGAAGGCTGTTGAGAACGTCAACAAGACCATTGGCCCCGCTCTCATTGAATCCAAGCTCAACGTCGTTGACCAAAAGGCCATTGATGACTTTTTGTTGAAGCTCGATGGTACTCCCAACAAGAGCAAGCTCGGTGCTAACGCCATCCTCGGTGTTTCCTTGGCTGTTGCCAAGGCCGGTGCCGGCGAGAAGGGTGTTCCTCTCTACGTCCACTTTGCCGACCTTTGCGGTTCCAAGAAGCCCTTTGTCTTGCCCGTGCCTGCTTTCAACGTTATCAACGGTGGTTCCCATGCCGGTAACAAGTTGGCTATGCAAGAGTTCATGATCATGCCCACCGGCGCCAAGTCTTTCACTGAAGCCATGAAGATCGGTTCCGAAGTGTACCATGCTCTCAAGAGCGTCATCAAGGGTAAATATGGTTTGGATGCTACCAACGTCGGTGACGAGGGTGGTTTCGCTCCCAACATTCAGGACAGCAAGGAAGGTCTCGACTTGTTGATCACTGCCATTGAAAAGGCCGGTTACACTGGCAAGGTCAAGATCGCCATGGACTGTGCTGCTTCCGAATTCTACAAGGATGGCAAGTACGATTTGGACTGGAAGAACCCTGATTCCAACGCGGCCGATCAACTCACCGGTCAGCAATTGGCTGAACTCTACAAGTCCTATGCCGAAAAGTATCCCAGTAAGTAAACGTGCTTGCATGTCTTTGAATTGTCGTAAGGAATTAAAAGGGAGGTCAAGAATGCTAATGGTGTGTTTTCATTTGTCTGTAGTTGTTTCCATTGAGGATGCTTTCGATCAGGATGACTGGGACAACTGGACCCATCTCAACGGTACTTCCGACTTCCAGTTGGTGGGTGATGACTTGACTGTGACCAACCCGAAGCGTATTGCTACTGCTATTGAGAAGAAGGCTTGCAATGCCTTGCTTCTCAAGGTCAACCAGATTGGTAGTGTCACTGAGAGTATCCAGGCTGCTTTGGACTCCCAAGCTGCTGGCTGGGGTGTCATGGTTTCCCACCGTTCCGGTGAAACTGAGGATACCACCATTGCTGACCTTGTGGTTGGTCTCCGCACTGGCCAAATCAAGACCGGTGCTCCTTGCCGTTCCGAACGCTTGGCCAAGCTCAACCAGTTGTTGCGTATTGAGGAAGAATTGGGTGCCAATGCCATCTATGCCGGTGAAAACTTCCGCAAAGCCCATCAATTGTAAATGTAAATAGACAACTCCAAAAACCAAAAAAACCCTAATATCCCTCGACAAATAAGCATTTAATGACTATTTTACCAAGACGAGAACACCACTCACGGGTTTTGTAAGCATTTCAACATGATATCATTTTCTGGTTGTTGAGTGCTCAAAAAGACTAAATAAACAAGAACATATTAACATTTGCAGATTTTTTACATTGATGCCGAACACTATGTAGTGCTTTCAAGATGACCGCATCCCAAGGACCCAGCGGTGTATTCAAGCGTAGCGGTATTTTCCTCTTCCTTTTGGTAGCGTTATTTTATATCAAAGCCACGGGCCGTATTCATAATAGTGCATGTGCCGTTTTAGTTGTGGCGACGGCCAAGAAAAAAGGGGTTCAGGTTGCACAAACTTTGCTTTCGATGCTGATCGTTCATGCACACTCACAGTCGTATAACCATGAATTCCATCTAGAGCGGCATCTTCAGGTTGATCTGTCAATCACCTAAAGACGTGGACCTCACTGATCTGTTTATCGCACAAAGTTTACGCATGATCATGCCCTTCTAAGCTACTGTAAGTCTGTTGTATTATCATGGTTATTCACTGAGGATGATCCCTGCACGCCCCTTGAAATGATAGGAAATGGAAAAACATCTTTGTGATAATTGACATGGGATGTTCTTTTGAGATATTAGTTGAATGGATCCAACATATGGGAGAGATACAATCATATGAATGCTCAAGAACCGCCGTAATAATCTGACAATAAATAATGGTCGCCCCACTAAGAACCGCGACCATTCCTGCTGGAGTGCAGACATGATGCATATTGCAGAGTCAAACAAAGAACGCTCTCCCTTTTCTTGCATCTTTTTTTTTATTATACGGTGCAAAGCCTCCCTTTAAGCTGAAGGGATCGTCATAAGCCGTTCCGTGCAGCACCTAGGAATGTGTTATCTTCCTTTCTTGTTTCTCACAATTCGTTTTCAATGTCCGTCTACCGTTTCATAAGACGCATGGCTCGGTATACCTTCCTTGTTCGTCATAAATCCTATGCTGCGAAAATGACGCCAAGCAACGAGCATCACGCAGCAGAAAAGAACGACTACTTGGAGGACGACGCCGTCAGTACAAGTAGTCAACCGCTTCTCCACTACCAAATTGGCGATAAGCATCACACTATCCCTGATCCTGATTTCCCAGGAAATTTTTCAGCCAATCTGGAAGACGGCCAGGACCCTCGATTAATCAAACGAAACAACAAAGTAATGTGAAATGCGGAACTTTATTCGTTGAATGTGTAACTGACTCTAGTGACAGAAACGACTCAACTGGATATGCTTAGCATTAACGGCCGCCATGTTACTGGCCACCTGGGCAACATGGACCATCGCTTTATGCAGAGGTAAACGACCTTCAAAGCACCGAAATGATATATCAGTTTTGTTGAAGTATACGTGACATAGACTCAAGTTCTTCCCGGAAGAGAGACACCGTATCCAAATTGCGACGTATTACCTTTGATGATATCTATAACAGCACGTTTACCCCAAAACGGCAATCCCTCGTATGGGTTAGAAATGGTGAGGATCATTTGACAGTGGTGGAGTCACGTTCTCTTTTATTTACATGGTTGTCATCCTTAGATCCTCGCGATGGCATTTTTACCTTTAGAGATCAAACAACCAACGATATACTATTAGAATCGATAGAAGATGGTTCAACCCAAGTGTTTGTCAAAGCCTCCGATCTTGTAAGTTTTACTATGTCGCTTTACATTGAAACCCGTGAAGCTGAACAAATTGCCGGATGAACTGTTGATAGCGTATTGGAGATAAACAGCTGGAGGTTGAATCGTTTGAAATCTCAGGAGATGCGAAATATCTCATGCTGTGGACCAACGTCACTCAGGTAAACTTAAGAGACACATCGGAAAAAGCCAATAAGCTTAACAGTGTTTTCTTAGCAATTCCGTCATTCTTCATTTTCCAATATTTATATTTACACATTGGATGATCATTCCATCTTTCCGTTGACGGAACAATCCACTGTCGATATCGAGCCAAAGATCTCCTATGCTGAATGGAGTCCTAAAGGTCATCAAATTGTGAGTGGCGATTGTCAGTAACACATACCGACCAAAGCCATTGATCCAGTTGCATTAGGCATACGTGATGGAAAACGATCTGTACGTGACTGATCTTGCCACGCATCGTCGTGTCACCTTTGATGGATCCAAGACAGTCTTTAATGGAGTTCCTGATTGGGTGTATGAAGGTAATCTAATGGTTCCGCCCATTATGCTGACTGTGTCGCAGTAGCATCTCACTGTCAGCGATTTTTTGCTTTGCAGAGGAGGTTTTCGCCTCGGATCATACCTTGTGGTGGTCCCCGGATGCTACTCATTTGGCATTTTTACGGTTCAATGAAACAGCCGTACATGAATACCATTTGCCGTATTATACAATGTCCAACGACAGCTATCCCGAGGAATTGAAAATCAAGTATCCCAAAGCTGGCACGCCGAATCCGCTTGTATCATTGCATCTTTATTCACTGTCGGCTGACACAACCGTCATGGTGACAAAAAACGAAACCAATAATGCCATGCTTCAGGCTGTGGGACGATATGCAGATTTCGCTGACGATGATCGGCTTATTACGGATGTTGCCTGGGCGACTGATACCCATACTCATTTGCTGTTCAAGCAGACGAACCGTGTCCAGGACCACGAAGTCACCAGCCTCGTCACCTTGTCGTCCAATTTACGTGACTCCACTGTTCAAATAACGCGGGAATATAAACCAAAAGATTCCGGATGGATTGACGTTGGCCAATCCATGGTGTTTTTAGCTCATGAGGATGATCAAGAGAGTGTTCGATACTTGGATATCGCCGATAACGCCGACGGATACCTTCATCTGGCTATTTTCACTGCTGGAAAATCGGCCTCGGAACCTCTTTGGCTCACTACTGGTGAATGGGAAGTCGTCGCGGGCACAGTTGTCACTGACAAAGAACGCCAATTAATGTAGGTTTTTTTGAAAAAGGGTTCTATGATGATAATACATGCAGAACTCTGATATTTCACAGTCATTACATGTCGACCGAACGATCGCCATCGGAACGTCATTTATACACCATTTCACTTGACCACACCGATCCAGCCTCCACCAAGATCTGCCAAACCTGTCCCAATGATCCTGAACGGCATGCCTATTACAGTGTGTCATTTTCTCCGAAAGCGGGTTATTACAAGCTCGATTATCAGGGTCCCAATATCCCAACAACCGTCGTTAGAAAAGTAGAGGATCCCAAATTTGAGGCTGTTTTGCAAGACAACAGGGCACTCGCCGATTTGTTAAAAGCGTATGAATTGCCCCAAAGACGGATGCTCACGGTGACGGGTGGCGGTGTTGGTAAGTGAGCTCTAGAGTAACCTGTTTTGTGGTACAGTAATCTCACTGAAATTGGAATTGGCTGTGTCAGAGATGCTGGCGATGGAATTGTTGCCACCCAACTTTGACGCTTCCAAGAAATACCCTGTCTTATTTCATGTCTATGGTGGCCCTGGATCTCAACTTGTATCACATGAGTTCGAATTGAGCTGGCATACATTCGTTGCAAGTCAATTGGAATACATTATTGTCACGGTATGTAAATTTATCGCGCAACTTGTTGCTGATGTGGGTACTGAATCTATTACAAACATAGGTTGACGGTCGTGGTACAGGTTACCGTGGACGTGCTTACCGGGAAAGCGTAAGAGGCCGTTTGGGTAAATTGGAAACGATTGACCAAGTCAACGCAGCAAGGTAGAGTCGTACGCCAACATGAAAATAGCATGAGATAGGAATAGTTACTGACGGGTACGATGTAGACACTGGGCCAACCTACCGTACGTTGATGCCTCGAGAATGGCCATCTGGGGCTGGGTATAATAACAAAAGAAAGCATTGGCTTATGGCAAAAGGTGCTAATGCAATTATATTGATAGTCTTACGGAGGCTATATGACAACTAAGGTTATCGAAGCAAACGATGGTGTGTTTAGTCTTGGAATGGCAGTAGCCCCAGTGACTGACTGGCGTTTCTATGGTAAACGGAGGATGACGACGTCAAGGCCGGAACATTTTTGGTTAACAGGGATGCATAGATACCGTCTATACGGAACGCTATATGCTGACTCCACAGCTGAATGCCGAAGGATATGCAAACAGTGCTGTGACTAACATGACTGGCTTCAACAATGCTCATTATTTACTGATCCACGGCACAGGAGATGATAATGGTTAGATAATACAGGCATTTGGCTGATGGGTTTTTCGTTCTGCTAACGTGCATTACAGTTCATTTCCAACATTCAGCTGTGCTTGTCGATAAGTTGACCCAGGCCCACGTTCGCAACTACCGAGTTCAATTCTTTACCGACAACAACCATGCCATCCGTTACCACGATGCCAATTCCAATGTCTATTATCTACTGACTGAATTCTTATTCGATAAGTAAGTATAAATGTGTCGTCGGGCCAGGTTTTGGATCCGTGCCTCTAACCGCAAATGTTTGGCAGTTTTGGTGGTGAAGAATATGTTCGACATCGCACAAACTCTCAATGAAAGTTTGCAGGATCGCTCAAAGACTGAACACTTGTATTCCCTTCCGAGTCTAGGTCTATCGGTTAGACCGCGTCAAGTATTGTCAATAAAGATTGGGACTATTCTTCACAAATACAGGGAAATCACTGTTCAGATGTGTAAAATATCCTCCGGGCGAAAAACTTCAATAGACTGTGAAAGATAATCATGATTTTTGCTCGAGCCCATACAACATTGCAGAACGAATTATTTAAACGACTTCAGACGGTCTTTAGGCACGTTACAAAGTTCTAGCTAAAAATTGAGATGTCCGAGGTGTCTACAAGAGCTCTGTATGACATCGTTTGATTACATAGATAAGGTTTGGTATTTCTAGGTGGCTTGAAACGGGGAGGTAATTCAGTATTAAGGAAGTTGTGTTGAATTTGAGCCGTTTTGACACGATGTGGATGTCGGTCTTTGAAATTGTCAAGACGACTGATTCAGATAGTGTCCCCGTTATTCGTCGCGTCGATGCCTCTCAAAAGCTATAGGAATAAGTATTGGTCCTAGACTGGCGTTCCCAAATCAAAAGATTGGAATTAGGATGTGTTTTCGTTCTGGAGGAGATTCTCCATTAGAACACCAGCTGAGCCTCTTCATCCATACGGTAATCAGGAATTCGGCTGAGAAAAGTATTGAATATCCGAATGAATGCGTCAAATCCAACACCCGGTTCTTTATGACGCATAAACTTGATGGATCTATAGAGACTTCAAATTCATCGCCCTAAGTGCCGACCCATCTGACAGAGCGGCATACTAGATTTATGCCACTGTGCATATGATTACAAGAGTCGTGGTAAGTGTCTGCAAGGAACGAATTTCCTGTATGAATGGCTTGAAAGGCTACGACTTTTGAAGGTGCCTTAAATAGGATGGGCAAAAAAACTGTCTTTATTTATCGATGCAAAGGAATATACACGGTCTATGACTAATTATTTTGATGTGGCCATTGGGTGGAACAGACTTGAATCGAGGGTCGGTGTGGAGACGGAACCAAAGCAGCAAGCAGGTAGCGAATGACGTTGATGACAGGCGATCACAGAACGAGAATGGGAAAAAAAACAAGCAAAAGAAAAAAAAAATTACTTACCAATCGAAAAACCGGAATGTCGCCGTCAATCTAAAGACCCAAAAAATGTTAGCAAACCACTTACCTAGAGTGGTTCACACCAGGGATCCCCCGTGACATCACAGGGAAGCGGCGGGTCGCGCTCCGCAGCATGCACCCCAAGACCTCAAGAGGAGATTCCATCTCCTAGTCAACCCACCGAATGATGCCCCAGAGCCTCCCCGTCAAACCACAGGGAAGTTTCTCTGTCATACCACAGCGTCTTCCTTGGTGTGTACCTTGGTCGCTCTGCTCGTCGTTCGTCGTTTGCCGCAGCCAGTGGACCTATGATAGAGATAAGAGAAGACACATCAATAACTGCTCCGTAATCATGGCAATAAAATGGGAGGGTAAAGTTTGTCATCAGTTATCAGCGACCCGCCACAACTGCGCCTCTTTGGTAAAGAAAAAAGAAGAAAAAAAAGTGGGGCCTGTGTTTTACCCCCTTGCAAAATCATTTAAACCCAGCCGACGCTCTCCGAGCCATCGTTGGCGGCGGTTACACTCAACTCTTCGAAAAAAGAATTCCCTTTTTGATCCCCTTACTTCATTTACGTCCTGCCCAGTATACATATTATTACCAGAGTAACGGAAGCAGAACAGAGCTCAACCGATAGTTGCCAAGATAGTGTTTCATAGCCATGAGTACCTTTACCTATTCAATTGGGCGTACCTTTTTGATCGCGCACAAGTTTCAGTTAGGATTTCTTGGAATATTCCCAATTGAATAATATCATAATCCTGTTTGTTTTTCATGACAAAGGAATTTTTTGCCCGGCACATTCCCATAATTTCCCAGTCACTGCTGGCAAATACAAAAAGGAAGTGTTTTCTTTTGATCAGATGACCCTGAATTTGCTTGCCGCTCTTGACTAGAAGCTGCAAGTTCTGCGGCAGGCTCTCATTTATATGATTATTTATTTTGAAAGCGAAACAGTTATATATGTTTATGGATTTCTGAACTTGTGTGATTTCATTACAGGCACATCTTCATTTTGCTGTCTCAACTTGTCTAAATCGAGAGCTAGTTGCATTTGGACTGCTTAAATAAAAGGAAAACACAGCAAAAAAAAAAAAAGGAAAAATTCGCACGTCACATATTGGGTAGCTTTGCCTTCCAACTGGTGAGATTTACATGATCTTATTACTTACGCTCGGGAAAAGGGAACACACGATGATAAACTTTTTTTTTTGGAGAATGACCATGGCCGTTCCTGATCCACACACCAATGCGTGTTTTTTTTTAATATCAGATTGTCGTCTCCGAATTCATACAATGATACGATTGAATATGTTTCGCTTCACGTGTATTTCATTGTCTTTCGACAGAATTTTTTTTATGAACAGCACCAAATTCCCTATATCATTTATCTACACTGCTTGAATGCTATAATATAGTAACTGAAACCTTGTCGAATAAGAGCAAGCAGTTCACATTTTCGATGTCACGATAGAGACTTGAAACCAATTGTATCACCACCTGGAGAAATTAAAGTGACACACGATTATAAGCAGCGCAGAAAAAGAGAGCGCTCAGATCAGTCCTGGATTCATGCTGAAAATATTAAGCATGCTTCCAAAGCCTTGCTTTCCGAAAGCTGCTTCATGCTGGTATTCACTATATCTACTTTCTTTAGATGCATTTTTAAGTTGACTGAGAAAGTAACCCATTGTATTTCCAAAAAACCCGATTTTAAGTGTGCGACTCAAATTGAGAGCGACGGCTATTGAGAGCTGTGGGGATCTGGGATCACGACATTAATCGCATCGACATTTCATTCATCGGCAATGGCATACATCGCCGTTTCTTTTTTTATTTTTATTTTCTATTTTTAATCTTCATATCCCTGTACGTACTACAAATAAATTCAAAAATCATGGGTAAATCATTCATGTCACTGTCGCTTACACTTGCAAAAGTGGTGCTGTTTTACACTCAAGTATCATTATTTACCAGAATTAATAATTATTTCTCTTCTGTTGCAGTTGGATATGAAGGGAGAGAAAAAGATGACAAAATAAGGCGCGACGCTGTGATTAACCATATATGGAAATCCTAGCCCTTTATAAACCTATATTGCAAAAATTAAATAAAGAAGACTGGGTTGCATGTCGGTAGCGCGGGGTGGTGACATCCAGGAACTTTGTTGGATCGAACCAGCCAGTGCGCCCATATGTAATCCAGTCACCTTTTGATTTTTTTTTTTGGCCTTGGCGGGACTTGTATAATCCCAGAATAGGGAAAAAACGCGTCACGCACAAAGAAAAAGTGTCTTTTGGTCTAATTTTCATAGGCCCAACGTGATGGATTTTTAGTTGATGTGTAGAAATTTTGCCATGTCGACTAACGTAGGATGCAGTGTTTATCCGAAGTTACAAAAGAATAAAAAAGCAAGATCGAAAAGTTATTCGTATTTCATGATGGTTATTTTTTATATTATGCAATAAATATTGTTATCGGATAAAGAATGATTGCGTTACTGTATATTATGAATATACGAATCATGTATGTTGGAAAGGTATCGTATGATTTGATGATTGATAACTGAAAGGAACTGAGAATTTCATAGAGACCATCATGCGATGGATTTTCTAAGGCTGTATGCATGGAAAATGAGTGACAACCTGAACGTTTTCCTTCAGCATTGCTGTGTTTGACTACTAGATTCACTTTTACTATGTCTTCACAGATCTCAACCGTTCCTGGGTAAACAATATCCTTGGCACAGTGTTCCAACGATTATCTTCAACACAAAAATGCGCTGTGTTTTTCTTTTCTTACTTACTCTTGTGGTATGTTTAACTGTTTTAGATACATTACTTGATAATCTTCTTGCCTTGTCCTTATTCTTAATCAAGGAATAGCACAAACGGAGTCAATCAGAATTTTATACGCATGATACGAAAATGCAGCTACTGCTGGTCGCATTCAAGTTGACAAAGCGTTTTCAAGCCTTAGATATAATCCTTTACAAATCGTATGTTATGTGGCTTTTGGGAGGTAAACGACGATAAGGGCATCAATAAAAAAAATCAAATGGGAAGCTTGCCCAACATCTGCGTCGTATGTCTTTCATAGTGGCGGATCCATTTCCCAATCTTTACAAATAAACATGGAGAAGAGAGGCGGCATGTCTAAATCGTTCAGTTCACGCGGAAGCTTAAAACCTTTTCCCATGTTGGTAATTTGTCCGAAGGGTGAAGCAGCAATAGCTGATAAAGAAAGGACAGAAAAGTATTATTTAGATGGTTTAGTAGAGGACGGTTACCGATAATCTATGATCGTTTTATACATGCAGTGTGCTCGAGCTTTCATTGTTTGACCGACCTTTTGGTTCTCATTAGGGACATGGACGCGCTTGTAAGGCGCAGACTTTGTTCTTGCCTTAGCGGCGGGCACGAGCTGTCTTCTTTATTGTCGTCTGTGGTTGGGTTTCCTCCTTCAGCATTTATTCATACTATAGCCCTATGTGTTGATCTCGAATTTTTTATGCACTCGATGAAAGGAGTAGATACAATTATGTTTATGGGCCAACGCATGCCCACTCCATAGAAAATCTTGGAACTACGAAGAGCTATGTTTACGGTTACACAAAAAAATGAACTAAACGAACAATGGAAGAGAGCACAACGTTAATTCTAAGCTTACCACGCCAATATCAACAGTGATAGCTCCCTCGTCCCAATGCACAAATTTCAACCATTTGACTTTATCGCATCGACTCAGTTGAGACGAGTTCATCGATACCCATTATTTATATAGAAAAGCGATATATACGACTGTCGCTACGATGGGGAATGTCTGCTATCATTGTGAGTCAAAATTTCATGGCATATTATCCTCTTTGATTGATTCATTGACTCATTTTTTCATGTTTCAAAAAAGTGATAATCGCTTAATACCTCTGAATAGATATCGACCACTGCGATCGACGATTTGGCGCCTGAAACATTTCTAGGGCAAAATCATCATTTGATTATGAAGACTATTTGATGTCTCTCATATAGGTGGCTGCAGATTGTACATCAATCCGATCACTGAAGATAGAATTTTCCTGTGCAAGTTTTTGCTGCAGCGGTTGGCTTGACAGTCTTTCTCTTAGCCAGCAAAAATTATTTGAAACCTCGCCAATGAGTTAAGCGGGATACAATTTTTCCCGAATGCCGAATGATCTGGACAGATATTTTTCCGAATGCCGTAAGCAGGACAGCATGAACTCAAACGACTGATATCGACGATCCCATTCTGATAGGACGCTCGTCAAGTTTCCGCGGGTATGACGCTTGAAAATGAGAAGCGTCGTATGTTGATCTGACATCTGAGTTTATTTCGGAAGAACCTCGCATTGTAATAAATAAGAACTGGTTTCCACAGGAATATTTCCGGCCAGCTTTTCTTTTATGCAACCATTTCAACTTTCCATGACTGATTATTATATTGCGCGCACTGTTGCCGTCGCTTCCACTGGTATTTTGACTGGCTTTGGTTGGACGCTTAACACGGTAACCGTTCCGGCTATTCAAGCTACATCGGATCCCGTACCAGCATTCGTCCGTACCTACAAAAATGCAAGCAAATTTGCGGTCAGTCATATTATCATAGCAGCTGTTTCCAATGGTTTGTGTTATTACCAGAATCGCCAAAGTCGTTACTTTTACGGTATGATCTTCTCCGCCGCACTCGTTCCATTCACTATACTGTTCATCAAGCCGATCAATGATCAACTATTTGCGCTGGAAGGCAAAGAAAACTACGATAGGAAGAAAGCTTACCAACTTGTCCAGCGCTGGAACAAGCTACAATGGTTTAGAACTTTATCCAGCACCGTTGCCTTTGTATTCACACATATGTAACTGCGACGTTGTTTGGGAAGTACGCGCATTCGAAGAGCGTTTTAAAAACCCGTCAACTACTCATGTTTTCACCGTGTATGCTGTTATGGTTCAATATGCTATGCAGCTAATTTCAAGTACACCTTCTGATATATGCAAATAAAACGTAGTATCATCAATCCATGACAAATTTCTTTGAAGTCTGTGTGTGTTCTGAGTTTTGCTCGGGTTTCCCGGTGGGAAATTGCGGCTTAGGTTTCCGAAACGCGAAAGAGTTTGGTTCAAGCTGGTTTTCTTCTTTTTATTTTTTCGCCCTTATTCTCGCCTTACCGTTCATCGTTTTCAATACCATGTCATCTTTGCCTTCCTCCAGAGTAGAAGCTATAAAGATTCTGAAAGATGAAGGTAACTCTTCATGAACAAAAGCTTTAGTCAGCCGATTCTTATTGTCAATTAAGCCGATCGAAGAATAAACGATATCCGTCAACGCGTCGAGTTCGTCTGTTCATCTCTACGCGCCCAGGGAAACATGCAGGTCAATCAATTATTGCGTTCCGTACGGCAACTGAGCATGGAGGAATACTGCAACAGTTACGGTGCAGACACGCAATTGTTTCTGAAGGAGCAAATGCGAAAGCGTAAACTAGGCGACTTTAGGGCAGAAGCAAAGAGGTATGCCTTTTTTTTGTTGCTTGGTGACAAAAACAAACAGACGATAGTCTCTAACGCTCTTTAATTGCGCAGTCGCTCGAGGACAAAACGCGTGAAATCCACGTCGGTCGATCAATCGTCCAACTTCAAATCATCGTCCGAACCTCGCTCCTCCATCGATACTACTACTTCGACGTCAAGCTCATCGTCCAGGGATGCCCAAAGCACTGAAACGACGACCCGACTCCGTCAACAAGACACCAAGTCAACATCTGTCGATTCCGATGCAAGCCGAAACCAACCAGTGATGCTTGGTAACCAACAACGTGAACAAAGCGACGCAGTGACACATGAACCAACTGAAGCCTCAGCTCATAACGTAAGTAGTGTTGTCATGACAGGCATTAAAGCTTGTATCATATCGAATGTGCAACTCAAAACTTTATCAGCAGGAGAGCGCTGCTTCTGCAAGTGCAGACGAATCCAACAACGAGGAATATGAAAGTGGACCAATCTTTGTGCATCTTGCTCGTTCGAATCATCCTCGCGTTGCTATTCAGCTGGATCCTCAGCAAGAACTTGAATCTATCGGTCATTTTGAATTAAAAGTGGCAGAGGAGATGATTTATCGGTTAAGCAACAATCAACGGCGACGATTGCGCGATCAGATTGATGATATTCAGGAGCAACTAGACAAATTGAGATCGTATACCTATTCTACATCGAAGACAGCTAAACGCTAAAATTATTCCATCCTATTTCGGTAATTTTCGATCGGCTATCCGTGGTCTCCTTTTCGTCGAGTCGCTATTGGAATGGCTCTTTTTATCGGTGGGAGATCATTACGGACCGCAAGATCATGGCCAAGGTTCTAACGACGTCGACCCAGTTCGATGTGATACTGTGGAAGAAACCGGCTCGTCAATGATACTGTTCACATCCATGATGGGAGTATAGATAAAATCAGCAAATCGGAAGAGATCGTGCACTGACAAGTCAGCAAAAGGACCATCAAATCCCGAGTAGATGAAGGCGGTGTTCGGTGATGGAGGAATGGGATGGTTCAGCCATGGCCATTCTGCTGTAATGTTGCTTGACGGAACGGAACCAGGTTGCAACAGGGAGGCAGGGAATTCTTCCATTGTCACAGAATGCGTAGGAGAAAGTTCGATGGGTTGAGGGGGCGATGGCAGCACATATGGTGGCGGCGGCGCGTCTTCGTACCTTGGTTCCTGCATCTCTGGTTGGTGCTCATCGGCTGCTGTAAAACTCTCGGTTCCGGATGAAGATAGACCTTGAATCTGACGATCAATGCGATGAATCAGCATTCGCACATACTTGTGATGCTGCACTGGGGACGAACGTAACACAACAGCGATTCGTTGCATCTGTTGTTTGGCGGTCATCTGGACATCGGTATTCTGGCTCCGCAATTGGTTACTGTAGACGATACATGCCATCACCAAAGTATCCAGGGTAAAATGGCACCATGACTGGCGTAATTGTGCCCAGCATTCCAGTAAATCTGTGATCGCATCTGCTCCTTCTATACATAGCCGCATAGACAGTAAAGAAATAGCCGATTTTTTCTCGTCCGGGTGAGGCAAAAAGATGGAATACAGCTGACACATTTGGAAATGATATTCGAAATTCAGTTTGAGACATGCTTGTTCTCGAAAAGATGTTGTTCTCCAGTCGCGTCGTTGACCGTCGCCCTTGCAAAAGTGGAAGTAAGGCGGCAGCTCGTTGTACCAATCCTTGAGCCGTTTTTCCAGAGCCGAGATGGATGATAACAACGGATTTTTGACTGAAATACTGGCATGGATGTTGCGATAAATCTGGTTGATTTTGTGGCGGTGAACCGTGAATTCCACACGGTAACGTCGCTCGCCCACTTCGTGATCCATCAATCGCGGAGGCTCAATCGTCACTGTATCATCCGACGGGAACATCATTGGTTTATCAGAGTGAGCTGAGCACAAGATTTCCATAAACTCTGCAGCTGCAAATAGCCTTCGTCTCTTTTCGCAAAGTATCGGGCACGGTGGAGTTTCTGCACCCTCATTTGTTTCTTCTTTATGTAATCGCAGATCGACACACATGCGTATCGCCAGACCCAAGAGGATGTACGCTTCGGATTCAGCCTTGGCACGATCAGGTCCGGTTTTCCCAATACTATAAATATACATAAGCAGTAACGCATGCACCATATCTATGCTAGCGTGCATGAACTGGTCGATCAGAAGGCTCTTTGCGGCTTGGAAATAAGGCTCCCCTACAGTATTTGGATCTTGACCTGAAAACATGCCATGATAAATAGCTGCATGCCTTGCGGCCCAGGATAAGATGGCATAGTGTAAGAGTGGAGAGGTGATCTTTTCCAAACATTTTTGCATAAACTGGTCCTGATCCACCAATGGTAAACATAAGAAGCACTGGGCGTAATGCTCCAGCAATTGTTGATGTTCCAGGCTGTCGGGGAATGGGAATGGGTAAACTGCGTGAGAATTGGCACTGGGTTTGCCTGCGGGATCAGTATCAGTGTTCTGCACCGCCTGCCATTGCTTCATGGACGGTGACTGCGACAGTTGAGAATGACATGATTCCCACGCACTGTAAAGCGGAAATGTGGTATTTTTGGATCGATATAATGGATTGTGTTTGATAGCGATGGCTTTATCGGCGAGGGGCATTGAGGGACTGTCAGCGTCTGTTGTAGAGGAAGACGACGGTGATGCAGACGCTGATATGGATTTCTCCTTTTTCTTTTGCAATTGGGACATGCCTGACAGCAATATGGTGTACAAATCATGCAATGACAGAATGTTGGTGTCAATACGTAGACCTGTTGACGTCAGCGAAAGTGCCCAATCTGATTTCAGGCCAGGGAGAAACATGTCCTGTGCATGGAGGGATCTGGCCGCGGCTGTCGACTTTGGGTCATCGAGCAAACATGCCGTTTGAGTATCATCTCCCGTATGGCTGTTTTGATGAGAATGTTCTTTTAACCCGTTATTCTCGTCGTCGCTGCTACTGTTACTATCGCTCGCATGGGTCGTAGCATTCATTGGAGGGTCTTTACTTGGCAACTGCTGTCTCAGTGCTTCGGCCATCCATCGGGTATCCTTACGGATCTGGCGCATGTCGTTATCCATGGACTCAATACGATTTTGCAAAAGAGAGATGGTATCATTGAGTTTGACCAAATTGTACAGATCAATTTGCGTTGATGAACCCGTATAAGAGCATGTCACTGACGACATTAAAAAGCAAAGGTAAAAATACAAGCAGTAGCATGAATAATCATGTGGTTTTCGTACCTTTAGTTTGCTCACAACGGCCACATGCAGGATGAGTAAAATCGCATTTTACTAAGAGTATAGATGAGCAGGTAGAATAGAGTGGTAAAAGTACAGTATTCACCTTTTTTTAATCTGTAGGCAGCATAGGCAGTCAAGTACATAGTTGAAAATAAACATGTTGTCATGAGATCAAGTGTACCGCAGGGTTGAGGGTTGAGTTGTTTTACCTACAACGTTCGCAGGCCAAGGTCATTCTGACCCGTTTAGTGGTGACATACGGATCTTTTTCTGAAGGGTCTTTGGCATCTTCGAACGGTATCATAATTAGGTAGAACGTAGTATTCGCTACGATATTACAGAGGAAGCAATTATAGCTTAATTTTAGAAAAGGTGAAAAGAAGAAAAGAAGAAAAGAAGTATAAAGGAAGAGGATGAAAAAAAAAAGTTATTTGTGGTTAAAATGTCCACAGATTTGGAATGGGTTACATTATGTTTATCCATTTGGGTCGTTTATTTGATAACAGGCTGCTTATAAACATATCATTGCTTTTCATTGGTTCCATTCGTGCTTCATCTTGAACGTTCTTATCTGACTACTAGTGATTTTACTTTTGATTTGTCTTCCTTTCATTCGTGTGAGAGTAATATCGGACCTTGCAGTAGCTTTCCATACAATTTTTTTTTCTTCTTTATTGGAATCTTAAGCTGTGAAATCATGTAATTTTGGTCATGTCAATCATATACTGTAGAGAATTTGCCATCATGACATGTGCTAAAATATACTACTTATATGCAGCAATAACCTCGACTGCTCTTGCATATTGATAGCCGGTTTTATTCTTGTAACTTTGTGTCAAAGGAAATCTATCACTGCACAAAACTTGTCGATGAGGTGCGTATAGGTAAGCCTTCACATTTCATATTCACAGTATCATACTGCTGTGCCGCAATACAGATTGAAGCTAATAGTATGACTATATTTTGTTGGTGTAAAAACGAAAAAAGCGGTAAGGTAATGTGAACGTGATCAGTTTTTCCTTTCTTTTTTTAGTTACCGAGCCCCTGATGGTACGATTCTGCATGAGGCTACGCAGCCGAATTTGCGGCAAGCACCTTTCGGGAACACGATCAAAAGCGACTGGATATTACCGACTGAAATTGATGGATTGAACAAATTCACGCTCCATTCATTTCGAGCTATTCTTTAAGAGTGGCGATGCGTTGAGAATGGACTTGGTACAGATAGTGTAGTCTTTTTTTGGCTGCCAACCATCAAATTTTTAGCGGATGTTACAAAAATGGAAACTCAATTTCACGAAACTCCAGCTGGCTTCCTGTATGCTTCTTGCAATGCCGCCGTATTTTGCAACTTCAAATTCGGCATAAACTGTATGGGTGGACATGAACTTGTATGATTTTCCTTTTTATTTTCCCACCCAGAAAGTAGGAAAAGTATACAGTGAAAATGAAGATACAAAATTTTCTGTGCTATCGCTGGACCCGGTTGTACTTCGTTTTGTTGGAGCAATTGTACAGCGAAAAAAAAAAAAGAAAAGTGATGATGCCCGTGTTATTCCAGATACTTCGTAATGACCATACTGCAAAGTCGGACGGAGGAATGTCAGGCATTGACCTAAAAGCTGGTTCAGACATGCTGGCCGAACATTTAGGAAGTTGTTAACTGATGCCGGCATTAGGAACATCTGGATTCGAGGTTGGTATTCAATGACCTCAATACACTTTTATCGGCGCTTCCATTCAGTGCTTTTGAGGGTGCACTAGCGCTAATTGGTGGTGTGAAAGCATCCTTGGTGACTATCCATATTTCCTGTCAGCCAAGAAGCTTTACAAAAGAAGCTTGACGTCCCCTGCAAAATCCGAAAAAAGGAGATCCTGTGGCAGCCCAGGCAAGCAACACAAGTTGAGCGACTTGATTAATCGTATTTCCAATGACTACCATGAAATATACTGCCATCCATTTTCATGATCTTCAGCTCTTGTGGCAGGTCACTAGTGTAATATAATAAACTTCATAAAGTGATGAAGATTTTAAAATTGCACTGCTTATCATTAACCAGTTTCTCGACATTCATTTTTGAGGGATAAATAGGTTTTCTTTGGTATGAATTTTAATGATCGTCAATCGATCGTATCTGATCGAAAATAAAATGTCGGCTCGGTCGTCGCATAAAATCATAAATGGGAAGCGGTCTGTGTATTTCGAAAGCTGCTCCCTAAATACATATTTTATTTATTTATTGGTGGCTAAAAACGAATTACATTATCAGAGCATGATGGAAAGAAATAGTGTCGCCACACGTAACTGGAATTATTCTTAAAGGATGTATGTTACAATCATGAATTTTGAACGTCCCCTGAAACTAATATAATAGTATGAATGTAGAATGTAGAATATTAAAAAACCAAAACATTATATGTTGACAAGAAAGACCCTGAGGAATGCCGGGAACAAAAGAAAAAAATATAGGTCTATCTAACCGAACGTCGGTGATAGAGTGATTCCATTGCCCACGCTGCATCCCCACTGTGGCATCGATACCCAATCGTGGCCGTCGCTTTTGTTTGCATAGGAATATCCGATCCAGTGGTTGCAATCGACGATCCTTCGGATCCGTCGTCAGAGGAAGCATCCAGACTGGCGATCGAAGAAGCTTTACCTACGGGAGGCTCATGATCTTCTGAGGGCGTGGTTGGCCATGCTCCAGTTCTGCACGAGAAAAATAAATAAATCACGTAAGTGCATCCGATAAAAATCTGATATTTCTGCTTATGCCGCTGAAAGCACAAATGCCATGACGTACCTTGAATAAAACATGTGCAAGCGAAGACGGATGCTTTCGGAATACAAGGTACCGATAGAATGATCGCCATAATGTCCCATCTGAATATTGCGGAGAAACACATAAAATTCACACACGGCTACCAAACGGTTTCGACACTGCTCATCAATGAGGACCCACTCGTCTTGTTCGTTTAGCCGGAAGCGGTAATTAAGGAAAACTTGCTGGTCCTCAGATGAACATTGTCCGCAAACCGAACACGTTGTTGTAGGATTTTGGGGGGAAGAAAATCGTCCCCATAATGAGGATGGCAGCGGCAACTGCATCGTGGCATGGTCATAATATTGATTGGATCTCTCTTGTTGCGACCCAATGACAGCTGCCGGTGGAAGCACGGGGAAGGATAAAGATTCTGTAGAGGTACGAGGCCCGATATGTTCGATAAAGCAGGGTTGGCGTTCCAGGTGTTCGATCAATTCTTTAATGGAACGCTGGGCACGGGCCCCGAATCGTAAACAAGGTTCGATATCCTCGATCTGGCAGTCCTGGACGTAGGGAAACTGGCCTAACCTCTTATGGTTTGTCTGGCTTGATGGGCGTACAAAGGCACAGAATTTGTCAAATTGTAAGCCTTTGGCTTCGATGGCATCATCAACCACGCTGGGGAATCGAAAAGCTGAATTGACTGTAGCGTGTGCCGGCTCAACACACTGCTGTTCTAACCGCTGACGTAATTCCTGCAGTTGACTTTGCTCAGCTATGAGGTGCTCTTGCGTCTGTTGGAGTCGACGTTCCAATTGCCACTTTGTGCGTCTCTCCGTTGCTACCATACTATTGGCCTCCTCAAACAATCGACAACTTAGCTCCTCGAGTTCTCGCTCAGCCAAATCCTTTTCGTGTTGGATGTCAGCCGCACGTTCAATTTCAGCCACATATTTTTCGTTGATGGTCTGCAAGTCTAGTTTATGGCGTGCGAGCTCGGAACGTAGCGACGCAATTTCGACTTCTTGAAGAGCCAGCTTATGCTCCAATGCGCTGATCGAAAATGGGTTCTTTTGACATTTGACCACAGGCGGCACCATGACACTATCAATTCGGCTCGGCAGTGGTATTTCAGTTTGATAAATAGCCATTAGAAGATTAAATTTAACAAGAAAAAAAGTGATTACTAGTATTAAAAAGATGAACAGTAGAAGAAAGAAAAGAACAAAAAACAAGTAGCAATATGCGTACACAAGATGATCTAGTTAAAGAAGAGAATGAAAAAAAAAAGAGAACAAGAGAGAAAAGCGTATTCGATGATATTATAATCGGAATTTGGTGAACATGAGTGACGGATAGTCAGGGGGTTCACAGAGGTGCGCCTAGATGGAGTGGCCCAAGCTAAAACTTTATTGTAATGTGGCTAGAGAAACAAATAGGAACATGAGAAATGTGGAGGCATGGGTTTATTGATTTTTTAAAAAAAGTAATAGAATATGTCATCCTATTTTGAGATTGATGATACCCTTTTTTCTTGGTATCCTTTTTTCTTTCTTTCTTTCTTTGTTACTTCTCCCTAGGTTTCATGCCAACCTCGGACGGTAAAGACCAATACATTCTGACTTATGTAGAAGGTCCCTTTCTCTATTTTCCTTCTTCTTCTCTTTTACCCCTGGTCTCCTCCTTGTTAAGGCCCCCCTGGCAACGATCTGCAGACCATGCAGGCGCCATTCAACTCTTCAATTTGCCCGTTCCATGAATGGCAGCGGTAAATCATGGATGGCTTTACCATTGTGTTCTTCACTGTAACTTCCTGATTTCGGTCATTCTGGGGATAGATTAAATTTGAAAACATGAGTAATGATCCCTTTTCTTCTTTTTTACTTTTCCCATCTTCACATGAACCATGCGCAGTGTTTCCTTGCATCGACTTTCGTCATTGCATTTCGTGTTTCCATTCGTCTGTTGCTTTGCTCCCATGGTTTCACTCGGACCATGGACGAACGAATAAAGGGGCAACCTCGCAGCCCTTTGGGCTAAATAACTCTCGTTTACCTTCATCCGATGCGGCCTTATGCAGGCATCATTTGTTTATTTCCTTGCCCTACATCAAGATCTATATCATCATATACGGAAGCCGTTTTTATACACCTGATGCACCCTATCATTATGTAAGAGCATGGTTTTGAAGATGATAAACAAACAAAAATTCGATTCCACACCAGATTGGCAAGGAAGTGTTCAAAGATACTTTTATGAAAAACGTCATAGAATTCTATTGATTGGAGAGCACACAATGAAGAAAATGGTGAAAGAGGCGAAATTTATGGGATGATTACATTTCAATGATTTATTATTCAGGTTTATTACAGTACTTGATTCGGCTTTTACCATCCATTGGACTGATTGACCGTCCGGAGGTAATGGTATATTTTATTACTGGTTTCTTCATCGCGCATGTGGATCATGTACACCATGCTTGTGCGGTCTTGTTCGTTCACCAACAAAAAGGAGAGACGCTTGTTGTTGATCTTTTCCACGTTCGAACTACGTACAATAGCACTCACTAATCGATTCTTATCATTTTCAATGTAAATGTGCATCTTTTTGCTGGGTAACTGTTGTGAAATTCGCATTGCCACGCTGCCAAAGTTCGTCCACTTGGAAGTTTCGTTTTGTGAAAATAATTTACACTTGCATTGCATGACAGGCTTCAGCGACTGTGGCAAACTTTCGATATCCAGTTCTTCCCGTTCAGGCATCAAGGATTCCGGCCGGACAGATTGAGGCGGTGGTGGTGCGGCGGCGGCCATTTGCACAGCATTCTGATGCAGTCGCTGCAACAAATTGGCAAAAGCCGTGCAATCATTCGGATTATAAAAATGCACGAGATAATTTTCCTTCTTCGGTCCCATGAACACCGATATGCTCACGTCGGTTTGGGAAGGTCGACGGATCACGGTCGTGGGCAGGATCCACGCATTCAGGTACATTTGTCCCACATTCTGAAGCTGCACTGTAACACTCGTACGATTGCTGAATGCCTGTCGCACTTCAAGCAGGCAATGGCCTTCCACAGCGTACCACGACTGATCCTTCCAATGAAACACTTCGCACTGATTATGGCTAAACAACACACGACGCACGGCATTGGCTTGATCATTTTCCAAGGCGACGGACTACTTTAGCATCAGTACCCTCAACATGAATCTCGTCAGTCGCGTATTTTCAAACTTACATTAGGTGGGCGAGGTGATGGCGCACGATCGCTTGGCCGCATGACGGGCGATGGTGCCTGCATGGCATAGCCGTTGGGTACAGGAGACGGTGCTGGGCGCGGTACGCCCACAGGATGCATTGGCTGGCCCAAACTCGGCGAACCCATCGGCACTCGTGGAGGAGCCATTAACGGTGAAGACCCTTGACGTGGTGGAGGCGAGATCATCCTTGGTGGGTGTGCTGCCGGTGGATAATAGTGCCGTCCAAGTTCGTTAGCAACAGGAGGGTTCACAGGTTGACGATGCCCCAGTGGCCGTGGAGAATGAGGTTGTGGCGGATAGACTGGTTGCTGGGGAGGTAACCGAGGTGATGAATTAGGTGGTAACCGTTCCGTAGATGAAGACAAGGACGATTGCATGACCGGGGCGGGTGGACGTCCATGTTGAACTTGATGGTTTATAGGCATCTGCGCAGATGAACTAGGTGGTGGGTCTACCATACTCCGTTGTAAGGGTGATTTCGACAAAGGATCGATCGCAGGAGACGTACGGTTCCCTCCTTGAGCTTGAGTTGAGGCTGGGGCTGCATTATCCATTTTGATTGATTTGTCCATCAAATTAGGGGCTTGATTGGGTGGATGGGGATTTAAATACTCGTTATTTTGAATCACGGCCGACATGGCCACTGGTACCGGCGCATGATGAACTTCGGCGGGACGAGGAGATACTGGACGGGGCACTCCGCTGTCAGGAGTCACTGGCGATCGTTGTCGAAGACTTTCGGAGGATGGCTGATGAGCAATAGGTTTATTCATTACAGCCGCTGGCGTCGGTGGATCTTTTCTTCTGTCAACTGTCTCGGATGGACCGGCCTTGGTTGTAACCATGGTAGTCATCTGAGCCGTGGCGGGTTGAATATATGTCATTTGAACTTGGGCTTCGAGTGTTTCTTTTGGAGGGACGGCAGGCGGTTTCGCATCTCTAGGCAACGATGGCAACAGGTTATTGTTGGTGACGGTGCGGGATGCCGGCTCGGTCGGAATGTGAGGCAGGATCTCAATGGATCGTGGTTGCAGTGTGTCCAGATTATCTTCAGGCAACTCATGCTTTGTGTCCTTGTTGGCTGGTTGAGTAAACTTTTCTGGAACAGGCGGAGGGGCGGTATCAATATCAAAATTATTCAAATGACCATCGTAAAGATCCATGATGGTATCACGAGCAAAGGGCTTCTTGGACTTGACGGGCTCATCTTCTTCTTCATCATCCGATTCCTCCAACGGGGATATCATTCCTCCATGATCGTTAGAAAATGAAAATAGATCTTCCTTGCGTATGGGTGCAGAAGCGCTATTGTTCAACGGGGCCGTGGCTGGTGGGTTCAGTTCAAATGGCACAGGGCAGTCGGGGGATTCAAGCAACCGTTGTACGGTTTTCTTCAGGGGTCGTGGTGTCAATGTGGTAGAACTGGGAGCAGATCCGTCGACGCCGACCCATACATTACGAATTTCACGTGTATCAGCGCGCATTGTCAATGTCTTTCGCCCCATCACTGTAAGTTGCAAGAGATATTCGCCCATGAGTTCACGATCCAAGGAAATCGATTTGGCGGTGATGTCTGAAACGAACAAAGGTGGGTACATCAAAGAGTATCGCCCGTTCTTCAACACCTTGCAAATCACCAAGACTTCGGCTGTGAGCAGCAGATGAACCCTTACAGAGACATTCTCTTGCTGATCGACAATTAGAGTAAAATTTTCATGCAACATGATTGTCGCGTCGGGGGAGGAGAAGCGGAGTCGGTAAGGTTGGGGCTGGAATAAATTAGTCATTAGTATCCAAATCTGGGATCATAATTCACAGCTGCATGACTTACGATCGGACCATCTCCAAAAAGATCCACCACACTGGAGCAATCCACTTGTTGCTCGAATAAAGCCAGCCCGGTGGCTTTTACATCTTTGGGCAACTCCTTTTCCGTCCTCGCTTGTGGTGTTTGAAAACCGGTATTAATCTGGGGTAAGAACTTATTGGGATGCATTTTCGAATTCAGGGGATTGACAAATCCTTCGACTTTGGCGGCCACACTAATGCCAGTCGTCGCATTTTGCGCCATTCGCAGCACCGTATCCAGACGGTGATTGGCATTCGACAAGATTTTATGATCCGGCTGACCGACAATAGTACTTTCCAGTAATCTCTATGGTATCACGATGAGGAAAAACAATCACACAATCCATTGGAATCCATTCACTTACATTATACAAAACTTTGTAATATTTTACTTGCTGCAATGGAGCACCAAATAACGAGTCTAAAGTATATGTGTATGGCGTGCTGGCCGACAAATTCTAACAGGTTATTTAGCTTTTTTCTGACCACGTATGTCGGTGAGCCCATATTCAAACTTACATTAAGTAAATGGTTCATGGATGAATTGCTTAGGATATCCCTCCGTTGGTTCAAGTTGTTTATAAAATGATTAAAGTAGTTTGCATATGGCTTCTCCATATCGTCCACCTATTTGCTCACTGAGTAAGCACAAACGGTGATACAAAAAACATGTTTTAGGCATTGGTGATCTGGTGATCTGCATACCCATTGCATAAGTATATCGCCTAATTCGAGTAACGACTGAGGATTGGCGGCAATTTTGATGAGTTTCTACAGAAGCGAGGATGAATACGAGTTTTTCCAATAACTGTGATTTGGCGCTTGTTTAAATACCCCACAAAATCCCTTATTGGCATTCCAAATATCGTGAACACATCGTAAAAGCTCGGAAAAGTCGGGAGCGGTTGTCACCGTTTGCTTCATCCAGATGGGTGCAATTTGCTGTGAAAGAAGCCACGTTTGGTAAGAATTTGCAAATGCTGCAAACTTTTTTGTTTGTTCTTTTGTTCCCCCCTCGAAAAAATTCATGACCACCTCTTGATTTCTCAACACCAACTTACAGCGTCTATAATTTTGAGGGTTTCCAGATACACTTTTTCCGACTCGATGAGCTCGATGAGCGGATTGGTGATTTGTTTACGAGGGGAACCGCTATATTGCGATGTAGGCGTAATTCCAGCCGAAGGACGTGGCGAAAAAGCACCAGGAGATGCTGATGACGCTGTGGATGCAGAAAGCATGATTTCGGAAGAAGCAATCCAGAGATGATGCAAAGTAGATGGAGCTGATGACCGAAGCAATGACCACTGATGGTTATAAGTGAAAAGCTGCAAGGGATAGCCGTGCCCTTGTATTCGATCAGCAAGATCTCTGGAGATTGAGTGTGAAAAAGAAATAAAAAATGGAGTACAGAAAGCTTAATATGTAATTTTTCGATAGATAAGGAGCCGATCTGAAAAGGAAGGTCCGTTCAAGCTTCAAATTTTCATATACCTTGCGAAGGTGTGACCCTAACCATCTTAGAATCAGACAAGAAAAATTTAGCGAGCTTTTCTTTATATGCGTTCTGTCACACAAGCAACCCGCACGCTTCTTTTCCATTATTTGCCTGCTTTTGCCTGCTCATACTATGTTTTCCGGTTCTCTTGATTCTAAAAGTGCCTTCATGCATGTAATTGATTTCCTCAGTTTATTTGTCAATATGTTTCATAGATGTTTGAGCGCCTTTTTCTTTCTCAATGCTCGTTCCTGAGAAAATGTCCGCAAATCATTCGTCGTTCCGACCGCCATGCGTAGTTCAAATGGATCGTTTGGACCACGACATCAATCTCCGTTCAAATGACACGTTTTCAACCCTATTTCCGGAAATCCATGGTGGGACTTGTTGTTTATTCCATGTTGCACTCTTTAAAATGTCGGTGTCACAAACATCTAAAAATAAGGAACTGCATCATGGCAAACATCATGAAATGCCCCGGCAACCATCACTCTTGTTGCAAGTAGTGAAGCATTTGTATGGTACAAGCAACATATCACTTGTCGTTTCAGCTTTAAAAATGATCCATTTTCTGGGGAAAAAGTGTCATACCATGCGACTGGGCAGACACTGTCTGCATTCCTGACAAGAGTTGACAGCATCATAATGGGGATCCAGATACTTTATAACAATCACAGGTTTGTTGCCATTATTCTCCCTTTTTGTTACATCCTGTTCACATATTCATCTTCTGAATAATTCAATTGACCCTTGTATCTTTAGTTGCCAGTTGTCTCCGAAAGTACACAGTGAAAGCGTACGGATTATAATACGAACAATGTTAATTATCGACTTCTTTAATTCAAATCCGGTTACTAAAAGAAGGTTAGTACCTACATTAGCATCGGCTGAACTCTAGGGTTTGCTTAGTTCGCATTTGACATTTTTCCATCATTCTCCGATAAACGTAGGACAAGCAAATTGAAGATCTTTTTCTTGATGCTGTACAAAAATAAACAGATTAATTTGATACTCTTCGATCGACGTCGTCATACATGCACCTTCATCGTGTATCATTGGATATACGGAATGATCGACGTATCATGAACCAAAGCTTTCAAAATAGTTGAGAAGTAAGACATCAATTGCAAGCATTTGCCGTAATATGATCATGCTTCCTTCGGCAGCTACGTCTGAAGAGATATTGGTTGTAGAGTCAGCGACTGAAAACCGGACTTTTTTACATGCAACCAATGCTGGCACCGTTTATGATATCATTAGACTTCTGAATGATGGATTTGGCAGATGTCTGGTGTTTTTCTTGGGCGATTTCAATGTAGTCCGCTAGAGAACCTTTTGCTTGGGTAACTTTCTGCTATCTTGGCTTTGAAATTGCATTAATTCAGGATCGACTGGAACATATCCGATTACACTATACTACAAGGTTGCAGCTTCAACAGTATGGTCAACACACATGTTTTTGAACATAGAATCTACAAACACATCTTTGTCGGATCCATCCATTGGATAAGACAACGAATAGATTGCCACTAGAGTGGGATCGACATCCCAATAAGTCCATACCAAACTCCAAGGAGCCGCAGCAGGTAACCGCGAGTCACAGCTGGGTATGAAATAAGAACTGGCACTATAAAAACCGCCCCATTTCGTGTCATGAAAAAATTCTCTTTGTCACGTCTCTTTGGGACCTCTGGTACATATTAAAATTGGAACGATACAGAGAAGATTAGCATGGCCCCTGCACAAGGATGACACTAAATTTCTGAGTTGGATTGGTTCTCCGGAACCGTTTTTAAAAACTATCTTGTTGACTGCGACAGCGGCAAGTGTTTGATAAGCGTTGGAGCGCCTACCATCTTGTTCGCAGGAAGGTGAGCCTGGTCTGATCAGCTGTGATGGCGATGCCAGGCTACCAAAACTGTTTCACAAGCTTGTGAGCAACCTCAAAGGCCTTTGGTTGGAGTACAGTTGAGGTTTTGCGACTCAAGTTACTGCACCGTCGACGTGTGCTTAGTTCTTGGGATAGAGCAACAACAAAGCAATAATAAAACCAAGTAGCATAGGAAGTGGAATGAATACAGTAAACGTTATTCCCTTGTCAGTGAGAAACTGTGTATTTGCAATAAAGCTTTAGAATACGTCTTGGGAGTATTTTCACTGAACCTGTGGACCCGCAAGCGCCCTATGAGCACGGCTTTACTGTGTACTCGCCTTGGAGTCAGCAGAACTAATCGCCGATGCTATAAGAGGGTGTTGGGTAGTCGTTCTCACTATTCCATTTTCAGTGCAAGATGCTTGCACTATGAGGACAAAATAATCTCAGATCAGGGATGCGAGACATCACTTACGATGGCCCCATTCCCTGGCTTATAAGAAAGAACCAAGGGTTGTCGATCACATACATCCTGTCAGGCCTTATCAATTGATATAACTTCTGAAAGTATTCTCACGAGCATATTTGGTAAATCGTGGCAATAGTTACCAAGGCGAAGCGATCGAAGGAAATATGCCCCTTCCGGTGCAACAAGCTAACGTTGGTGAAAATCCCTTTCCAAAAAGGAAACTTTTTGCAACCGAATGATATGTTTTCCAGCTCAGGATTGTGCTCGTATATAACTCTGAAAAAGCCGATTGATAGTTTCAAAAGTATGCCGACGAGGATTATCGTCATGAACTCTCTTTGAAAGGCATGAATTGATACCACACTTCTCCGCAAAGTAACCTTACATCCCAATCAGCTGGCTGGGCAGATCCAAATAAAAAAAAAAAGGATCGTGCGTAAACTTTTTGGCACATGCTAAACAATGAGTTCCGTCATTGGCGACCTATGGATGACCGATCGGTGACAGCGGTTGCTAAAATTTGATTGCTCCATTCTCTCAACCACATGCAAATCAACCTGGGCCCATTTCTGCGATATTCAACTTTTTTCCTAGTGCTATTGAGTACTACAGTATCATGTACTTCATGAATTCATATAAAATATGACGACAAAGTTGCGCTTTCCATTCATATCAGTTGAGCTGTATTCTGACAGTTTTGGTCAACATTTGCTGCTAATTACTTATTTTTAGATTAGCTTTTTGATAGACACTTGTTGTTTCTGTGTCCTTCCTGATTTGAACTGTGGATGAATTTGGAGCATCATTTTCAATGACCGCAACACCGCCAAAATAAGGAAGAAATACAACCTTTCAAAGAAAAAAAAATCCCTGTATACACACAACTATCTTTCCTTTTTCTTTGTTCGCTTTTATAGGATATCAGTCATAATGGGAGCCAACGCGTCCAAAGACAACGGGAAAAACGCCCATTCTGTTCACACTCATCAGAAGATTCAGGACTTGATTGACCTGGGGTCTGTACTGCCCAATGGGCTGTATCCAACCACTCAGCAAGATTACGATCCACGCATCGTGCGAAATCTAATTATTGCGAGACAATTAGCTCCATTCTATAAAGGTAATCTCTTGTCTTTTTCAAGGCCATGGGTGATACTCTGAATCATTCTCAAATCTTCCATTGTTACCTAGGACTTCCCGATGCTCCGGAGCCGGTCGCAGAAGAGCCACCGAAGTCTACAAAGCTTGCCGTACCGGTGCCGCAGGCATCATCCTCACACTCGAGTTTGGACAGCAAAAAGAGTTCCGATACAGCCAAACTAAGCATTGCAGGAAGACCTCGCAGTGCTTCCAGCGTCGGTCGTCCTCGTCAAAATGTTGCCACTTTAGGTCGACCACGCAGCGTCTCTCAAAGTAAAGAATGCCGTGGTCCTGTCGTCCCACCAAAAGAAAGACAACAGCAATCCTACATTGAAAAAATGAGACAAAGGGAGAAAATGTTGTACAATGATGCAGTGGAATGCCCTATTTGCTTTTTGGTAAGGATTTTTACCCTTTCTTCTCTTCATGCCCCCGGAAACCGCGTTAGAATGGTTTTTTTTTTTTTTGGTGCTACCACGACTTGTGTGTCCGTGAACATTTTACTAATGATATCATTGTTGATTCAGTATTATCCTGCCAATATCAATTACTCTCGTTGTTGCGATCAACCCATATGTACCGAGTGTTTCGTGCAAATCCATCGTCCAATCGATACACCAGCTGTTCCCGCCACATGTCCGTTTTGCATGGAAGAAAATTACGGTGTCATTTATGAACCACCTCCATGGACTGATAAATTAGAGGTGAGTACAGTATGCATTGGAGGGGAATGAGGGAAATACCCGATATTAATAATCGCTCTTTTTATCTGCCTTTTTTAATCAACCAAGGCCCGCGCACGTCCACGGGCCCGAGCAGCTAGTGTGGGTGGCAAAGCGAGACATACAACATCCGGTATAAGCAATGGGGACGAACCTCGACGGAAAACAGTCAGTTACAAGGATCCAGCCGTGGTTCTTGTAGGTAGGTTGATGTGTTCCTGTTATTTTTTTTTTTTTTTCAGTTTACGAGTCGACGTAACGGTCAGTAGCAACTCAGCATGAATTAAAATACCCTTGCATAGACCATGTGAGACCTGATTGGAAGAAATTGCTGGTAGCGAATGCGCATCCAGCCTCTCGTCGCAACTCAGCATCAGCGGGTCAATCTCCGAATCGCGGGTTCTTACGAACGGGGACAGTTGGACCGTTGTTTACACGACCGGGACGGTCGGCGTCAACTGCGGCCGCTACGCAACACAGTCAGTTCCTGGCTAATATGCGTGATATGAATATGGACTTGGAGGAATGGATGGTAATGGAAGCTATTCGTTTGTCATTGGCGGAACAGGAAGAACAAGAAAGACGGGCAGCCGCAGAAGCGGAAAATGCGGAAAATGTGGAACAGAATCCGTCCACCTCCACCAACACGTCTCAAGAGCAACTGGCCCTTGCTATGCCAATTCCTACTATCCAGTTACCAACCGACGCCATGGCGCCCAATACAGCGAGCGATCATGAACTATCACGACGCGAAACTCGAGGAGAGGAGGATGATGATGATGATGACGAACCCCTGGCTATATCAGCAAGAATACATGGATTCCAACAAACGTCCAGCCACGATCCGTTGTCTCAAGAACCTCCGCCATCTAATGCCTCTACCTCCTCGTCCGCCTCTTCCACTCATGATACCAAACCCATTCTTTCTTCAGTGGATTCTCCAGTTGTTACCATTTCCGACGCCAATCATCATACCAATCCCGACACGAAATCACCTTCTAGGGATAAAGAGGACTCGGATCGTGATTCTCAGCCAACGCATGCGGTCTGCTAAATGAGACTGCAAAAGAATGATACTTTGATAGTGCCTTCTTTTTTTTTCCTGTCTTCCTGCTTAATTTCTTCATGTTTTTATGTTTGATACCTTTGTATATCTGATTTATCTCCATTTTCTATCGTTTTGATTTGGTAAAAATTGTCCAAGCCTGCCACACTCACCAATAAAAAGAAAAATCACCAACATTGATTTCACTGGATAAGATTCTTGAAAATATATTTTAAAACCCGCCACACAAGTTCACGAACCGCCAATGCGTGGCATTTGTCTGTCGCTCTTCACTGTGTCTTTCTGAGAACCAACTGGTTTTTTTCTTATCAAGTTTCCCTGCCTTTCTCTCCCGTTCTGCTTGTCAAAGCGGCATATTGAATTTTTAAACAAATGAAACCACAGGGCATTCTATCGACCGTCACTTTACTGGCTCTAAACTTGGCGTCTTGTACAGCAGGCTTGTGGGGCTCATCGTCATCCTCTAATGGTGCAGCAGCAGCCAATGAAGCGACGCCAGAAGCGCCTCCATTCAAACACGACTACAAAATGTCTTTTAAGAAACCCTTTTACTACAATGGAACAGTCCCCTTTTGGAAAACAGGTGGTGGTAAAGTATCAGCGACTAAAGAGATCAATCATGAGTGATCCCACAGGTGAAAATAAGTACTCATTACCTTCTTTCTTTTACGTGTTCATACGTATTTAGCTGTCATCCAGGCGGATGATTTTATCCGTCTGGCACCGTCGGTGCCCAACACAAAGGGATGGATATGGTCCGATAACACAAATCCTTATGAATCATGGGAAGTCGAGGTGGCTTTCAAGGTGACAGGAAATCAAATGCATGGCGGACGCGGATTAGCTTTTTGGTACACAAAAGATAAAATGATAGACGGTCCCATTTTTGGTGCGCGCGATCAGTGGGATGGGTTGAGCATCTGGCTGGATTCAGCCAATCCAAAGGTTTGCTTTATAATGTACAACCATGAGATGTCTATGATAATGGGTATTTACGCCGTGGATCTATTCGTGTAGACTCACACTCCAACCACCATGGTATTACTGAACGATGGCACCAGAGCCTTTGCCACCAACACCGATCCTACAAAGTACATGTTGGGTTCTTGTTCTATGAATTACCGCAACACCGTGATCCCTTCTTATCTCAAAGTAGCATACAAAGACGGCACGTTGACGGTGAGTCATTCAACGACAAAGGAGCTAAATAAGGTTCATTCCATTGAACACAAGTATTAGGTGGCGCTGGATACCAATGGCCAGGGATCAGATTACCGTGTTTGCGTACAACGCTCAGGAATTAAGTTACCTTCAGGTTACTACTTTGGATTGTCGGTAATACCAAAATCAGATATTTGTACGATGAAACATTCTCCTAACTCATATGAATAATGAAATCCGGTTTTAGGCGGCATCTCGTCATCCTGCAGGTAAGCACTGGAACTCTTGTTGAACTAGAGAGTTGCAGAAGGAATTCACAATTCAAATTGTTAGATGATCATGATGTTATTTCCTGGGAAACGAAACAATTAAATCCGCCTGCAAAAGCACAGGTAACCCATTCATTGTCGCATCCATTCAGCTACATTTTGCTAATGAGACCTCTCTAGAAATATAAACGACCATTAGAAGATGAAAAGATCCGTCAAGGCGAAGAATTCAGAGAATTGAGTGATGCTCAGAAAAAGGTAAACTTATTATATGATTTTGAAGTAACTCCATACAAGCTAACCACTTCATTCCGTTGATGATGTTAGAAAATTGAGGAAACTGAATTCAAATTGAGACAAATGCGTGAAGCAGCTGAAGGGGATGAAGTGAAAGGCGAAACCATAGCTACGCTGGTAAATGGACATTTCAGATGGAATGAGTCGTCAAATTCTGACGGATCGCTGGATAAAATCTAGGGAGCCATTTACGACACACAGCGCAGAGCATTGGAAAATCTGCAAATGGTACAGTTACAGATCGAGGCTTTAGGTGCACCTCCTTTACAGGACATTCTCGAAGGAAAAGTTGAAAAGAGAACGGGCGGATCTGGTGTTCAGACCACAATGTAAGTCTATTGGGGCCGTTACTTACGGTGAACAAGGGGACTAAAACGATTTGCAAAGGGTGGATATTTCAAGTATTGCAGAAAAGATTCAACAAGAGTCGCGCTCATTAGCAGACAAAGTGGATCAACAAACGAGAGATCAAGAGAAGCGACTCCGTGTTCTTCAAGACACCGTCACTCGACTGGAGAAAATCATTAACAATATGGATGTAAGTAGCTGAATGCTTTTTCATAACGTTGGAAATTTTACTGTGGAATATTGATCTATTCTTGTGTAGACCCGTATGGCGATCCAGTCCACCAATATGCAAAACAAAATCAATGAGATGACCAAGGATTCCGCCGAGGCTAAAGGTACCATGTCCAACTTGCTCAAGTACACATTTTACGCGTTTGGATCTCAGGCCATTGTTGTTATTGCTGGGTATGCCTATTGGAAGCTTCGCATAGAACGTAATGAAAAGAAGTATCTGTAGCTTTTCAGACAATAAAATATCTGTACCTCGAAACAGCAGAAAATCATTTAATCGGACCAACACTAAGCAAAGCACACTTTCTTTCTCATGAAATAATATAAATGTTATGACGACCCATAATGTTGGACATTTACCCGTAACAATACAGCACAACTTTCTGATGGCTTCTAGCCTGCATTACAAACAGTCTATTCATATGATCTGAAACGCATAAATAGACGTTTAGAAAGAAATCAGGAGTATCAAAACGAGCAATGTTTGTACTCTATCAGCACCATCCACATTTAAGCTTTTGTAGACGTGACACGTTCCATTGGTTGCGGCTACATTAGCATTTCCAAGATAGTGACCCTTACCTTATGTAAGAAACAGGTTACATAGCTTTCCCAGATCTACTTTTTAGCGTACAAAAATTGCAACGGCGCACCATTTATGAAAAATGATTGTGCTGCATAAGATAAAAGCAAACCCCGATCGATAAGGCAAGACACCAAGGTCAACCAATTTGCTTTCAGGCACCGCTTCAAGATGCTCACATTTGGTATCATTCTTTTCAACATATCTGTTAAGGTTATCAGCAGGAAATTCCAGCGATATTTCTCATTGTATGGTTTTTTTTTCTTGACTGTAGGTTCATCTAGTCATTGAAAATTTGGTTGCTACAGGAACAAAGCAACATCCAAGGAACCTTGGCCATGTACTTTATCAATATGAACATTATCATAGTAATTTTTACATAAGACAGCTAGGGTAAAAAGAAGTTTCTCATCACTTAGGGGGATGAACAACATGATAAACTTCCTTTGATTCTTTCTACGATACACGCACAGATTTTTTGATGACTCATAGATCCGCTCAGTTTTTTCGCATCTGCACAAAATGATGCAAACCGAACTTAAAAAAGGTCGGATATACGGTATATCCAACACTTTATATATCATTAGCGAGCAAGTAAAGCCGACTTGCGTCAGAGCGATTGATTTGGCGGGCACAAGCTATTTTTTCTTATTTCATTGGAAGGATTTTATTGGAGGAGAATTTTCGTGTAATGTGAGAACTTTTTTACTCTTTGCATTTTACTCATTTTATGTATGTGAAAAGGAGGCAGCTATGTCCAAACCTACCAAGGAACTCTGAGGTACGAACGCGTCGGTTAGTGGAGTAGTCTTTGAGGTTAGGGTGCAGTTGAACATGCAGCTGCCAGTGACATGCTCAAACTGACTTTTCGTCATTTTAGCATTGCGCATGCAGCGAAGCCGCACACGGGGCATCGGACATACTATAATTATCCGGAACCATGTCCGTCACCCTCCGTTTCCAAAATCAAAAAAAAAAGTTTTGTGGAATTTATTTCATGAAGTGTGGTGATATAGACATAGCAAATGGTTGCCTAAAAGGGTTACGCGTTTGAAACCACAAAAAATTTGATGAAAAAAAAATCGTTGAATTCAGAGGATCTCTTTTTCTTTAAATTGGTTCCTCGAAATTTTTTTTTCAACTCTTTTCTTCAACTTTTTTCACTCGCTTTTCTAAAGATGAACCAAGAAAACAATATCACTCCTGAAGGCTCAGCTTCCAAGATCTTCCAATCCTTCGGTAAGTCAAAAAACAACGAACAGCGACAGGTTATACATGGACCCTGATTTCCCGAATTCCCCCTTGTTCCAGAAAATTCACTTTACTCGTATGTATTGTCCCGTGTGTATTACCTTTGGTTTGTGATCCCGTACTCATTTCCCTATAGCATCCTCTACTACTGTGGGGTATACCATGCCGACTCCTTTCGTGCAGACCGTAAATACGGCGGCATCCTGGTTCCGACCCTCGTCGATCAACGCAGTTACGTGGATAAAAGCCTTCCACAAATCTACGGTAAGTGAAACTAATTCCACTTAATTGGTTGCCCTGAGCAGCAGTAATAATTATCTGCCCAAAATTAGAGTGGTTGTTCGAGCAAGTGCTGAAGCAGATTTTCGTGGTTCTCTGTTCCCCCCCCCCGAGACCAACGATGTCATCGAACGATGGCAGTTTAACGTCGCACCATACCGTGACACAGCCGAGTAAGTTCTATGATGAATCTGACTCATTTTATGTACCGCATTGACCACGCTATTTTGCTAGGTCCTCTTTCGATGAGGTTCCGGACATATCGCCCGCCATGTTCGTCGCACAAAAAATGTGCCGAACCCTGCGCTAGGTTGCGGCAGTTCGTGCATCCTGCCTGCACTTGACTTTCAGCCGACGTTCACGCTGATGTGCGTGACGGACGATTACGTGGAAACGGATGACAACTAGGAAGACCACGATCGCGAGGCCTTGACCATCGAAGGCGGACAATATGTGCGTCTCAACTCGGTCGCCACCGACGAACACAGCATTGAACCTCTGATTCACTATCACATTCACAACTTTTACCAGGAAGAAGATAGCGATCCTGCACCTGCGCTTCCTGAAGCACTCAGCCATGACAACTTGAGTGATACCACTCAAGAGAAGGCCCATGCTGTGGCACCTGAAGAATCTGATTCTGACGGTGGTTCAGAAGCCGGCACGGACAATGACATGGAAACCGACGACGAATATGAACGATATTGCTTTGACTACCGAGTTCATTTGCTGAACGTCGTCTTGTTTATCCCCTTTCCGCCTTTCTTCATTATTTTTGTCCTATTTGTATTTCTTTTATTTCTTTTTTTTTACACAAAACTTATTCCCATCGCTTTTATATATTTCATTGGATTTCATTTTAACTTTCGCATATCTCACTTCTCATAGTTCTTTATTCTATTATTTATTTAGCATATTTTAATCTATTCATTCAAATTTGCTTTTCATAAATATTAATATCACAGAACATTTTAAAAACTGAACATAATGACCCATTAACGCTTAATCGCTTGTGATTTATATTCCGCAAAATACAACAACTTATTCTCAGATGCTAAATCATTAATGCAACGAGAATCAAAAATTATAAAATCGTAGGAAATTGAACCTCTTGCAAAATGGTCACTCTGTAAGGTTTTTTTCTGGCGTCATGATGATTTACAACGCTCATGTCACCTGGTCGTCCTTTGTTTTGAGTGTTCCACTTTTTACTTTGGATTTTGTGTCACACATGCTTCTTATTCTTTTGTACAATTAAAAAGATTAAAAACAATAAACGCATGTATCATATTATCCTTGCAAGACCTTTGGAGTTGTTGGTATCTTCATTTTACATCAGTGGCAAATGTTATCCTTTCTTCTGTGGTCGGAATGAAGCGAAAAAAATGGGAGTCTTAGCAATTTTGACATGGCACTAGCAACGTAATGACACACTGCAGAAAATAGATCCTCGTCGACCAGAAAAGCCTTCAACGAGACGATATTTACATTAGGATGTGGTGAATATTTAAGGAAAGCAGTAACTGCCTTTCGAGATAAATACGTAGAGGTGAGTTTGATACTGAGCGCACTGCAAGTTAGAATCGGATATGTGAGCTATGTTGAGCCATTGGGCAGTTTGACATAGAACTTCATTGGCAGATTTAACTTTTTCCAATCATTTGGGACGTTCTTATTGGAGGATAACCATTTTTGTGTAACCTCAATTTTTTTTATCCTTTCACTTTTTTTTCGTCTGTGAGTAAAAACAAAATTGGTGGCATAAAAGCGCGAATACTCCAAATAAGCAAGGTAACTTCAAAAAATGGACGCGTCGCTTACGCGTGGATACGTCTTAAGATCAATAATAACGCGGTTTAATCTTTATTTCACGTCAATAGCGAAAGTTATGATCGTTTTAGGGCAAGGGGTGATATCGGAGATCTATTTCCGGTCGAAAGCGGGGCATTTCGTTACTTTAGTGCTGCACAACAAGTAAAGCTGCGTTTTGACGTTGCGCAGATATTGGTTTGATCGGATCACATCCGATAGATCCGGATATTTTAGCTTTACAGCCAAAAGTTGTGGAGAAATCACGTTGGCAAAAAGATGGTTGAACTTATCAAGTGGTTGCCTAAAAGGGGTTACGTGTCTGAAACCAGAAAAAAAAATTGGAAAAAAAAAGCGCGCAAAAATATTGAATAAAAAGGGTTGAATCAGTGAATCAGTGAATCTCTTTTTCTTCAATTCCTTTCCCCATCTTTACTCTCGTTTTTTTCGTAACCATGAACAGCGACAACAACAACATCACCCTTGAAGGCTCTGCCTCAAAAATCTTCCAATGCTTTGGTAAGTCAAAAACAACAAACAGCGACAGGTTACACATGGTCATTAATTTTTGGCTTTCCATTGTTACAGAAAATTCTCTTTACTCGTATGTCTTGCCCCATCATTGGTCTGTGATTCCATACTAAATTTCCTATAGCATCCTGTATCATCGGGGGATATACCCTGCCGACTGCTTTCGTGCAGTCCATAAGTATGGCGGCGTCTTGGTTCCGACCCTTGTGGAAGAGCGTAGCTATGTGGATAAAACTCTTCCACAGATTTACGGTAAGTAAAAATAATTCCAGTTCTTGGTTGCCCTGAGCAGCAGTAATAATCATTTGCCCAAATATTAGAGTGGCTGTTCGAGCAAGTGCTCAAACAACTTTTGGTGGTTCTCTGTTCCCCAGAGACCGGCGCCGTCATCGAACGATGGCAGTTTACCGTCGCACCGTACCGCGACACAGCCGAGTAAGTTTTATAGCAAATGTGGCGCATTTTATTTACCGTATTAACCAACTTATTTTGCCAGGTCGTCCGCCGATGATGTTCCGGACATGTCGCATGCCATGTTCGTAGAACAGATGAGCCGAACCCTGCGTCAGATTGGCGCAAGTTCCTGCATTCTGCCCGCATATGACTTCCAGCCGACCCTCACGCTGATGTGCGTGGCAGAAGACTATGTGGAACCGGACGACGACTGGGAGGATCAAGACCGCGAAGCCTTGGAGATCGAAGGCGGGGCCTATGTGCGGCTCAATTCTATCGATGCCGCGGATCACTGCATCGAACCTCTGATCCATTATCAAGTCCACAGCTTTGACCACGAAGAAGGTAGCGACCATGCGCCTGAACTTCCTGCCGCCCAAGAAGGCAATGTCGTCGAACCTGACGAAGCTGAATCCGACGGGGATTCTGAAAGCGCCCCGGACAATTACATGGAAACCGACGACGAGTACGAATGTTATTGCTTCGGCTACTGAGTCTCTATTCTCCTTCTCCTTCTCTTCGCTTCCCCTTCTCCTTGCTTTACCTTTTTCATTTTTTCTACTTCTTTACCCAAAAACTTATTTCCATTGCTTGTATATATTTTTGCATTTCCATTTACCTTTCGCATATCTTTCATATTTATTTATTTATAGTTTCTTTAGCTTTAATTCATTCAAATTTGCTCATCATAAATATTTATTTCGCAGGAACTGTGGTATATCCACTACTTGTCGTATTATCCATCCTAGACTGGTGTTCCCAAACAGGAAAGATCGGGATCTAGACTTGTTCCCATTCTGAGGTAGCTTCTCCCGATTCAGCCTCTTCATCCATAACTTGGATCTATCGCCGAGATCAATTCATACGGGTAAAGCTGTCACATCACCCCATGTGGATCCTTCCAAATACACCTTATAACTGAGAATTTGCTCACTGATAATGAATGATTGATTCCGACTCAAGACTAAAGTATAAATAGGCAGATCACATTAATCGAAATAAAAACCATCCAACAGTCTCAAAGGATTCTCGTTGTCTCTTTTGTTCTAAAGTCTCTCATATATCACAGCCTCCATCCCGTACACTACATCAATATTCGTGTTTCTACGCATGTTTAAAGGCTCTTATCAATCTATATCACACATCATGTATCTTGAATCTATCCATTCATCCATCCATCCATCTCCATGGTTCCAAAACTGATAAGTTCTTCTTATTTTTTTTTTTGTCATAAATGCTCATGTTTGCATGGACAGCAAGTGTCTTTTGAAGTAGGACCGTCGCCACCACAAGGCAATTCGAAATGGGATTTCATTGGCGGAATTAAGCCTTTTTCTAATTTATTTGGGACGATCTTATTAGAACAACCTCAATTTTTGTTATCCTTCAAATTTTTTGCTTTTCCCTTTTTTTTTACGTCTGCGAATAAAAGAATTGACAACAATAAAAGCGTGACTAACTCGGCAAAGGAGCTCCAAAAAACAGACGCGTCGGTTACGGGTGGAAGCCTTTTAAGATCAATAATAACGCGGTTTTATCTTTATTTCACGTCAATAGCGAAAGTTATGACCGCTCTAGGGCAAGGGGGTCATATCGGAGATCTATTTCTGGTCGAAACAGGGCGTTTCGTTGCTTTAACGTGTTGTACAGCAAGTAAAGCTGCATTTGAAGTTGCACAGATATTGGTTTGATCGGATCACATCCGATAGATCCGGATTTTTTAACTTTTATACCAAGAGTTGTAGGCGCTTTGGAAAAAACGTAATTGAACGTGGTACGTGGTTGCCTAAAAAGAGGTACGCGTCTGAAACCGAAAAAAATTGGTGAAGAGGAAGGAAAAAAAAAGGCGCGCAAAAAAATATTGAATAAAAGCAGTAAATCTCTTTTTCTTCGATTCCTTTTCCCATCTTTTACTCTCGTCTTTTCTCACTTTCTTCAACATGAACAACAACAACAACATCACTCTCGCTGAATCTGCTTCAAAGATCTATGAATGCTACGGTAAGTCAATAAAAAAACAACAAACAGCGATAGGTTGCACACGATTCTGACTTTCCGGTTTCTTCTGGTTTCCCCGATTATAGTGCTGCCTTTTCGCGTAAGTATCGCCTCATGCACATTGTATTGTATATTTTTGTTCCCGTACTGATATCGTTCATATAGCATCCTCTACCATCGCGGCGTGTACCCAGCCGACTGGTTTAAAACAGTCCACAAGTATGGAGGCGTTCCGGTGGTGACCTTGGTGGACGCTCTCCACTATGTGGCAAAGGCTCTCCCGCAAACTTATGGCAATTAGAATAACTCTTGTTTTAGAACTACTGTTGTGCAGCAGTAAATAACGTGTATTGCATTTTAAAGGATTTTTTGAAGAAGTCCTCTAGAGTCCTTTGATGGTCCTCTGCTTGCCTGAAACGGACGAAGTAGTTGAACGATGGCAGTTCGACCTCGCACCATACCGCGATATGGCCGAGTAAGTTTGCCAATAAAAAACAAAGTTCGTTTTTTTTACACCATACTAACAAATACGGTTTAACCAGATCCTCTGCAAACGAAGTCCCGGCATGTCGGAAGACATGTTCGCCGAACAAAGACGCCGAACCCTGGGACAGATTGCGGCAAGCTCGGTCATCCTACCCACGTTGGACTTCCGGCCCACACTCACGTTGATGTGTGTGGCTGACGATTACGTCGATCTGCAGGATACCTGGGCCGACGAAGATCCCAAGCCTTTGGACTTGGAAGATGGAGGCCACTTCGTGCGCCTCAATGCCTTGTCGACCGCCGGCCATTGTATCGAACCTCTGATTGATTATCAAGTTCACAGCCTTTTCAAAGAAGCGGCCAACGACCCAAGAACAGGCCCCGGTTCAAGTCGTTGAGTCTGAAATGGAAAGTGAAGATGACTGTGACGCTGATAGTGGCTCAGAATACCACGATGACAATGACATGAAAACAGATGATGAATACGAAAGATACTGTTTCAATTAATGATTCTATTAATGATTGTTATTTTCTTTCTTCCTTTGCTTCTTCTTTTCCGTACTTTATTCCTTTGTTTTCAGTTCCCCTTCGCTTTGTATATATACTTCATTTAAGATACCTTTTGCATATTCCCCCTTCCTCTTTATTCTTTATTCATTATTTATTTCTTTTAGCTTTAATCCTTTTAAAAATCAAGATAAATCTTTATTGCAAAAAAACTGTTTAAAATCTGGATATAATGACCATTTGTTGCCAGTCTTGCGAGTTTTCAGCCAAGCTCTTTACTTTTTTTGTCAGCGTATTGTTAACAAAACTTTAAAAGAGATGACAGACCAACCTTACCATGCAAGGCTCCGCTTCAAAAGATATTTTGAATGCTTCGGCAAGTGAAAAGCCGAACAAGCAACTACAGGTTGCACACGGACCCTGAACCCCGGATTCTCCTATTACAGAAAGTTCTATTCATTCGTACGTTTTACCTCCGTAATTACACTAAATTGCTTTAAAGCATCACCATAGGTCTTTCCTTCCCACCGCTTGTGACAAGTCCGGAACTACGGTTGAATCCCAAGGAGGACACTCGTGGATGCTGATGCGCGCCACACTAATCGTTCCTCAAATTCGCGCATGACATGGGTCATCCAACAGATGCGTACTGATTTTTGCCGGAGCCGTGCCAGTGTGCATCATCCCGATTGTGATTACCAGCCGATCATGTTGCTGATGTATCTGGCCATCAGTGATATGGAACCTACGGGGCGATTGGGATGGCAACGGAGGGACGCAAGCTGAAGTTGTGACGGACCATGACGATGTCGTGAGTTCAGCTTCTTGACTATGCGTTTGACTCGGACACGGACTGCGAATACACCCTAGCCACAGGGAAGCTGACGAGGAAGAGGAGGACTCTGTGTGAACTATGCGCCTTTCAAACCTTTTCTTCTTTTCCCATTTCGCCCTTGGTTTTCATATCCCAGACGTTTGTCGCTTCACTTTGTATCTATTTCATTCCATATTGTAATATTATTTTGCACATTCACGTCATCAGCCACATATTAGTTGATGGATTTCCAACGTAACTACGGATTGGCGTCACCCTCTGTTGGATAGTCCAAGTGTTGCTTTTGGAATCGGTTTATTTTAGAGTTCGTACAAGTAATTTTTGGGATGTGATCAGACAATGTAGCTGCATGCATACGAAGCTGGATGGGCAGTGGAAGCAAGGAGACATAACCGGCAATATTCGGTGGGTAAGAGTGATACATAAAAAAAGGACTGGTAGAAAAACGGTCGCAACTAAACTGAAAGAACATGACGCTGCCATTTAACTTGCTGATGACTGGATGGATGTTGATGGCGGTAAATCCTGAACAGCATTCACAGGTGGTCTTCCTTGAACGTCTGCTAAAGCGCCGTCAAGAATGTAAGTATAAGGACCACGTTTACGTTCTTCTGTGGTTTCATAGGCGATCAACAAATGACAACCTACATAATGATTTAACCTTTAGTCTCACGTTCCGTTTTCATTTGAGAGCTTGTCAAAGCAAACACTTACGGGGACAGTGATAGCGATACTGCTTTTCAAATCCGTTTTGTCTGTAAAAAAGAAAAGGACAATGAATAAATAATGCAAAATCGTCCACCAGTCATTGTATAAACATACCTTTTTAAAACGTAACAATCATCATATTCTGCCATTAGTTTGTAAGTTCGTTGTTTGTTGGAGACAATAATGGCATTATCGGTTCGTCGTCGTGGTAATTGGAGAATGTTGGCGTCAATCACAAGCAAGAATTCGGAGCATAAGCAATAGTAAACATTGAGTGTATGACGTTGATCTTCAGGTTGAACAGCGTGATCGGAAGAGGAAACAATGGAAGAGGAGATGATTTTGGGCATGGTGACTGGTGGTGGTGATCAAGGCAAGTGAAAAAAGTATGTCTCCACGGCAGCCAAGAGGGTTGCTGTGACTCGTGAAATAAATGGGACGGGCAGGCAAAAATGGCAGTTTCGGTGACAACGATTATTGTTACTTCTCCCTTTGTCTCCTATCGCAGTCAGGTTTTTTTTCCCTTTCTTTTCTCTTTTTTCCCTGAATCAATGAAGTCGACAGCAGAATGCACAGACGATAGTGAAAGCAACTATTCAGACGTCGTTTCCATTCATTCCGATGACGAAGAGGATCTCGAGGATTACCGCAAAGGGGGCTACCATCCCGTCTGCATCGGCGATCGATTCAATCATGACCGTTACATCGTCGTGCGAAAACTGGGCTGGGGTCATTTCTCGACAGTATGGCTTGCGCAAGATACAAAGTATGTTTTTTTCTTCGTAAATCATATTCGTGTTTCTGTTAGACAAAAAGCCGTACAGGAATCTAATTCAAAAACGTTATAGAACGCATCAGCATGTGGCTCTAAAGATCGTCAAGGCAGCATCTCACTTTACTCAAAGCGCGCTGGACGAAGTCAAGCTCTTGGAAAAAGTGAATCGAGCGAATCCCGAGAATGCAGGGTGGCAATATATCGCGCAACTTTTGGATCATTTTTGGCATACGGGACCGAACGGAAAACATGTTTGCATGACTTTTGAAGTATTGGGCGAAAGTTTATTGTCATTGATCAAACGTTTCAACTATCGTGGCATTCCTACACCGATCGTCAAACGGATTTCTCGCCAGATTCTTCTTGGATTGGATTATTTACATCGGGAATGTGGCATTGTACATACGGATTTGAAGCCAGAGAATGTATTGGTTTGGATACCCAATGTAGAAGAATATTTGCAGAAAATCACGAATGACTCACTCCATCACATGCCTCCGTTCAACGAAAACATGACCACACCATCCAACCATGCTACCGCTACGACCGAAACAACCGAATCAAACGAAACGGATGAACCCGTCACTGAAGTCCCACCTGTCTCTGTGCTGAGCACAGTTGACACCACCGGCATGACAAAGAATCAGAAAAAGAAGCTCAAGAAAAAACTGAAAAAGAAACAAGCCGAGGCAACGGGTACCACAACAACGTCTGGAAACAAAAAATCCTCGACATCCACAGCGATAGGAGCATCGTAAGTAAAAGCTTCACATCTCTTTGTGTAGTGGATGTGATACTGTGGGGAGAGGGGGGGGGGGCGATCATGAGATGGCTTGGAAAAAAATGATTGGCCAGGCGTGTTCACTGAGAAATGGAGATTGACTTGTAGGGACATTAGCAACGGCCTTGCGAATCTGAGTTTATCCGAGTCGGATGGCTTCAAAATCATTCCATCCTCTATCCTGGACTTCACTTCTATCCTGTCGGATGGCTCCAAAGACGACGATCTCAAAGCGTTTGATAAAATCACGGTGAAAATTGCAGATTTTGGCAACGCTTGTTGGTTGGACGGTGATTACACGCACATTATTCAGACACGACAATACCGCAGCCCAGAAGTGATTGTGGGAGCGAAATGGACGGATCGTGCAGACATATGGAGTATGGCATGCATGGTAAGGAACTCTAATTAGATGCAAAATTTAAGGACTCAGAGAGGCAAAGAGCAGGGAGAAGCCAGCAATTATGTTGAGAAAGACCAAGACAATAACCCAGAGAGTTCCGATGGTGTTAGGTTTTCGAACTTCTGACAGGTGAATTCTTGTTTGATCCGCGAGCGGGATCTAAATATAACAAGGATGACGGTAAGTTTTCGGTGTGGGCATTTTTCTGCTAAATAGGGAAAAACCCAGTCGAGCAGAGACAATGGTCATACTGACAGAAAAATGTCCTCCTTTAGATCATTTGGCTCAAGTAATTGAATTGATGCGAGTGGTCCCTCGAAGTTTGACAATGGGAGGCGAATATTCTAGCGAATTCTTTAATCGAAATGGGGAATTACGACACATCAAAAAGTTACGCTATCGACGTTTGCGTGATGTGCTTCACGATTCCTTTCTGGTACCGCCTGCCGAAGCGGACTTACTTAGTAGTTTCCTGTCACCCATGCTGGAAGTGGATGCTGACAAGAGAATCACAGCTCACGAAGTATTAAACCATCCATGGTTAAATGAAGAATAATAACTTTTTTTTTTCTCAACCAAGCAACAGTAACGGAAAAAAGACCAAAAACCAAAAAATGTAAAAATAGTCTTATGCATACGTCATGGGGATTTTTAATAGCACAGAATCAGTTGCATGTTTTGCTTGTGATCAGACTGCATGACAGCCTCTTCTTTTTTTTTTCTTATTTTGATGGGTTGGTTCCATTACGTTTATGAAAGAAAAAAGAGACAGCGTTGAATGACAGCAATACAAAACCGATCATCACTTTTGGATCGGATCGTAAAATGGCTGATGAAATTGGATCATCATTATCTGATTAGGCTGAAACCGACAAGTCAAGCCCTTTTAATTCTGTTGCTTTCAAACTCACGTTTTTTTGATTGCAAGCAAAATTGGGGTTATTGTTGTCATTGAGATCAAATCCGATTTACCGTTTTCTTTTCTCCTCTCATACCCTCTTCTCCTTTTTTCCTTTACCTTTTTTCGTAATTCCGTTTCCTCCCCTATTACATGGACTTGACACCCAAACAGCTACACTATTTCAAACGCGAACTGGTTACCTTGCAATTCCAGCATGAAGTGGACCAGCTGCAACGAGACGCTGATCTAGGCTCTATATTGGACGATGCACCCTGGGGCGACGGTTGCCATGCCAAAGACGACGGCGATGCCGTGGACCAACCATTCCTACGATACCTCTTCAAGCATCTTGTTACCCAGTTCCCTTTACTGAAAAACGAACGTCAGAAAGAATTTTGGCAGCACTGTCAGACGTTTCTCAACGAGTTTAGCAAACATCACTTCCCCACTTATGTTCCTCAACGAGGCGCAGCGTCCGAACGCATGGCGACGGTCCGCAAAATGGAGAAGATGCTGATCATTGCGTTGTGTGCTAGTATCAAGACCAAGCAAGGTGCAGAAGAAAGTGTTTTTGTCCTACCACAGATCCCCAACAAAGCCAACAATCCATCGCCGGAATCCACCATTGACCAAGAAAAGAAGCCCGTCAAGGACATATGGTACGATGACATGAATGTCAAAATAGCGACGGTTCGATCGTCGGTGGAAAAACGTCGGTCGTTGCGCGAAACACATCATGCTGAGTTTGCCATCTGCAGTTACACAGACGATGGTGAAACTGTGTACGTGCTTCGCCGCCACGGGCAATTTCGGCATTGGAGAGAACAGCTGAAATCGACGTTTCGTCATATTGACATCCCTCCCGTGCCCCGCAAAGCAGCCGATCGATCAAAGGACCCTTTATTATATCGAGAAAAAGATCGAATGCAATTACAGGGCTTTTTACGTCGTATCTTGGCCCATCCACAGTTAGCAGCAGCTGATGTCACTCGAGAATTTCTAATGGCTCATCCGGTCCAGCTTTCCGCAGACGAATTAGCCAACTGTGAGCACCGCGCACGTCTGGATCAGCAACGTGCAGAAGAAGAAAAGAAAGTTCGGGAGCAGGTCGACCACAAAATTTTGGAATTGAACGAACTGCTGGACATGCTAAAGAAGCAAATCATGCAACCCGGGGGTCTAATGGAAATTTTCAAAGTGATCAAAACAACGGAATCCATCCAAGATCTTCCTCTGGCTCTGAAAAAAACATTTGAATGGGGAAGAATCAAGTGAGTATGGCCGCTAGAAAAAGTGAGTCACAGTGGACTAATCGTGCTTGTTCAATTTAGTTTTGCGTTTACGCTCCATAAACAGTTTATTACGTCGGATGCAGCCATGGAAAACATCACCAACCTTAAACGCACACATGGGTTAATGCCTTACCGAACGATTGCCATGATTCTTCGATTTTCCAATCCAATGATGATGTTAAAGGGAATGTTTGACGTCTTTTTGGCACAACCTTTTGGTAGTCGCAGTTTATTCCAAAGGTATGGCATTATTGCCCTATGAATGAGATGGATTAACTAAAACTCCAAAAACATTTTTTAGGATTCTGTTGGCCAACATGAATGAAGAGATGAAAAGCTTGGATAAGGATATGGAATCGTTGGAAGCGAAAATCGATGATCCCATCATCTGTCGCAAGATTTATAATGCGGTACGCACACCATTTCTGGAAGAAAAAAGCTGCGCGAATCCATTGGCCTCCAGTAAGTTTTTGCGGTAATTATAATTTTGGTGATCTTGCTGAATGATGGGTTTTCTTCTTTCTCTAGTTTGCACGTCGAGAGATGAGACATTGGCGATACTTCGAAATAATTTGATCGATCCGCCATTGGATTCGAGTCAAATCGCCAAATTGACGTTGATTGAACAAAGTTCGGCAAAGGAGAGCCGGCAATGGATCAAGCGTGTGCATCGGTTGTGGATCATTTATGCAAAGCAATATGAACAAGAAATGGCAATGAACCTCATCTTCCAAGGTGTCACAGGTGAATTACTGAAAGAGTTGTTTTCCATCTTTTACTATCCGTTGGCGCAAGTGTACAAGGCTGCCGATATCAGCACCACGATTCGTCATCTTGCCACGTTCCTCGATGATCTCATCCGTGTGATCGATTCCCTGCAACCTACCACGACGGCCGAAAACAGTATTCAGACCATGATCGACTTGGTTGAACGGCACGAGCAGCACTTTTACCAGTTTGTGCACAATGTGCATGCGCAAGATACGTCGCATCTTTTTGATGATCTCCTTGGTTACATCGACCATATTTTTGCATTCATGTCTCAAGGAATTCCCGGTCGCGTGGATTTGGACGGCCTTGTAACACATCTCAGCAAAGAGGAAAAAGAATGTCTGCGTGAAGAAATTGATGCTTTATGCGATCTTCGTATTCAGCAAAAGACGCGTCATTTGGAGAAAATGCGAGAAAAGATGATGACCAAGGAAGGCAAAGCTCCTGCGGCCCTTGAAGACATCGAAGAGCAAGAAGAAGAAAACATGGAACTCCTGCACCTGTTACCACGCGACAGTGAAATGCAGGGCGCTCTTGAAGATCTAGCGGAACTGGAATACGAAGATACGGAAAGCAGCGACAACGATCTGAGTGTAGCCGACAGTGATGAACCTGGAGAGAGCATGGAACATTCCAGCGCCACAAGTAGCCCTTCATCCAAACCCAGCTCAAGGTCATCCAGCAACAGCAGCGCTTCCTCGCTTGATACCTCCAAACCCAAGAAATTTGTAATATTACCTACTCTCGTACCAGGTTTTGTCCAGTCCGTTGTCGCTTTAATGAAAGGTGACTTGCCAGAGTAATCACATTTTTATACCACTTATTAACACCCCCCCTTTCCCATTTCGTTATAATGTTTAGTCTATAAGAAAATATACAATAGCTCTACTTAGTTTTGTAATTAATGGAAATACAGCAGCAATTTTTGCGCTTTGTAACTGGGCTGGCAACGAACAGGCTATTCTTTATTACCGTCAGCAGCCGTATGAACAAGCAGAAAAGGATTGAGTTTATATCATTTTCTGTATGTATCTTTCCCCTGTATTCGTCCAAAATAGTCTTCTCCACCCCACATTGGCGTTAAGGAGTTGGGGAACAAGGCGATGAGAGCCGGAATTGGCGGAAAGTCTTTGAGATAGAGTGTGCGATTTTTAATCTCCACGTTTGCGAGTTACGAACATTACCATAAATTCTGACGGAAATAACATAAAAGACCATGGCTTTTATTATCAGCATATTATCAATCCAACAGGAAAATGAAGATAAGTAATGACTGTACTGAGGTGAATTACTCTCTTTGGTTGGAAGTTTCATGGCCTAGTTCCTACAGTTCTGTGGACAAAAGAGCGGATCGCATAGACCCCAGGGGCAGCCACCTTGCTTCTGACGAACTTCGTCTTCTGTAATACCGACAACATTGGCTAGGGTTATTTGAGTCAGCAACTTGGTCTGATTCTCATTTCATAATGTTATTGGTTACCAATTTCGGCGGTGGTCTTGCAGTTGGACAAGGTATCAATGCTGCATTCGAGATTGGAGGAAGCTTTCTCGTGGACTGCCTTGGCAACAGGTCCAGCCATCACGGCAGAGACTGCAAAGACTGCAAAGATCACCGGTGTAAAGGATATCATGGTTAACTTGTAAAGACGTTGTTGATCATACCTGAGTAAAGGACGCGCTTTATAGCTCTTTTTTTCTTTTTGTTATCGATCCGTCATAGTACCCGCAAAATTGATGCGTGCTCAATAATGCGTAATCGAACTCTTTTAAAGACGCTTGATGCGAGGAAAGCTGGCATGAAACTGTTCTTCACTGCGGCATTGAATACGGATGTTTATAGATACCTAATGTTTCTCGGCATACACATTTCTGCTTGGTCTGTGATTATTGTGCAATATGTGCATGAAAAGATTTCTAAAAACGGCATTCAATGCGGCGATCTTTTTTTTTTTTTTTGGCCGAATTTCTACGTTGCCTTGCTACGGGGGTCATCTAAGAAGCAGGCAAAATTATAAACCAAATTGATGTTAAAATCAACGAGGAAGGGGCATGTGTTTGCGGGAGCAGTTGAGAAGTTATGGTTCGCATACACAAAATAATCCCTATTGCTAATTTCATTCAACCGTTGCATCGGCACAATCAGCATGACCGATAGAATTTTATCTTGGTTTTATTATTATCGAACAAGGAATCATAAGCTAAAGAATGCTTAACTCATCGCACACACCGTGGTTTTTTGTTTTTTGTTTTTTTCATTTTTTCCTTGAATAAAATGAGACGTTTGTCTTACAGAATCATCAGCTTTTATTAGTGGGGAACAACCGATCAAATGAGAACCAAACAATAGCTCACAAGGTGAACGAACATTCATTACCGTTATTGATTACCGTAATCATAAAAGAGACGGCAAACCGCAACACATCATTCAGTTCGCGTTGTCTTTTTTTATGGGATTCTACTTTTGTATAATACTCGTGGCAGAGGTTTAACTTTTTCAGCTATCAACAGATCGATTTGAAATCTTTTGCTACTGTACAGTTTATTCAACTTTTGAAGCACAAATAAAATCGGTGTTCAAATGACCAATAAAAACATGGAGAAGCAACCAATGAGAAATCAGATTGAACGAAACAAATTGGGAAAAAAGATCACAAGTCAAAATGTGGTCAGCCAGACGAAAAATAGAAAAAGAGCAAGTCAGTATGACTATAGAATGCAGCTGGCTTACCTGTAAACATCTACAGGCCTTCGTTGCCCGGAAAAACCAACCAAGTGGGCCAGGACGGACTACGCAGTACTGTTCAGTGCTTGTCGAACGTGGAGAGCACGCGCCGGAACCGTCGATGGTCGGCCAGTTGAATAAATCAATTATAGGAAAATCATATTTAGAATTACAAATTTCTATTCTTAAAGGATCAACAGCCTTGAGCTTACCTTCAGTTCAATGCAAAAAAAAAAAAAGACAACCTCAAATACACCTTATAACCGAGAATTTGCTCACTGATAATGAATGATTGATTCCAACTCAATACATATGGTTAAATAGGCATATCACATTAATCGAAATAAACATATCCAACCCGTCTCAAAAGGGCTCTCATTGTCTCTTTTGCTCTAAATTCTCTCATTTATCACAAGGGTAACCACAATAGCAAGTGGCCTAACCTGACATCGAATTTCAGTAATGCGTTTTGATGCGTAATCATATGGAATATGTTTTATTTCTATTCCATTAGTATTTTCTAAGTCTATTGACGGACTACATTCTTATGATCAAGTACTGGATAACATGCTTAATTACACTTACTACAGATTGAAGCATTAGCAGTGATTGATTCAGTATAGGGAATAAACTGCACCGCCTTCGTTAACAGATTCACCACAACCCACATCGTCTTGGACCCCTGAGTAAGAGGTAGCCCGGTGATAAAATCCATGCTGATAGAAGATCAGGCTCGAGCAGGTATTTTGGAGAGGACAAAGGTAGCCGTGTGGTTCCTGGCGGGAAGGCTAAGGTCATCCGATCAAGTCACCAGCATCTCTAGGTGACAACCATCATCGATATGGTAAACTCCCACACCAACGACCCTGATCACATAATACTCTCGTTTTCAATCATCTTTCCGTGAGGAACCAGCTCAATGAAGAATAGACAAAAGCCACGATCGATTACCTGGATAACCGGTAAAAAATGCCACTGAGGGGAAAAATAATAAGCAACTTCAATTTAGGATCGCAATTAAATTGTCAATCACATTTTATTGATATCAACAAAGCTATTCATCTACGCTATTGATTACCAACTCCACGTCGTATCAATCTTGTCCCCAAGCGATTCCACGTCACACTGCTTATACCTTGCTTTTCTAAAATGACCTGGCGCTCGACGTCGCATGCTGGTCCGCGCCATACATTGTTGCTCGTTCGATAATATACGAAGTACATTATGCAGTCGATCTAAAGCATTTTTGCCCTTGTCGGGCCAGTGCTCCGTACTTGCCAAATTGAATTCGGCAATACTCGTCAAGTTCCTCAGGTGTCATATTCTTGGTTGGATCATTGCCCGTTATGGCCGCCGCTCGCTGCATGTCCTTTCCTGCCTTGGCACCGAGAATCCATGCGTCAGAGTCGTCGGAGAGGGGCGTCATTGACGGTGGAGAGGGTCAAAGTCTTTATAGCCTCTTCATGTGACAGCATCAGTTAAACCACGCAAGCCGATAGAAAGATTTGCTCTAGTCGTTCGGCTACCAGCATGCACGGCTTCACGCTCAGAAGTCCCGCAACTGACAATTATTACGCTTTGTGAAGATGGCATCAAAAATAACTTATGGTTCAGCGGTTGCCATGCCATCTGGGCGTCTTCTGTCAATTGTCTTCATTAGTAAATGCTACCTTTTTTTTTTTTTTTTTTTTTTTTTTTTTTTTTTTTTTTTTTTTTTTTTTTTTTTTTTTTTTTTTTTTTTTTTTTACCAAAATGAAATATGCATTTGAGTGAGCCTCACCATTTACCCATGTTTTCTATGATACAATTTTTTTTCTAGTGCAGGCACTTGGTGCATTTTTGTTGGTATATTCAACTCGTAGATTCCCCTTCATTTTTTTAAAAAGTGTAGAATAAGTGAATCATGTAAATCACAATGGTTAATATTGACCTTTTAGTGATCCAAGGTAGAAAATGACAGAGCATTTAAAGTATGATCAACAGTTGCATAACATAATTGGTATTCGAGATACGATTATTTTACGTGAGAATGTTATTTTGTTACAGCATACGTCGGAAGATCATTTGGTATGAGTATGCCATCCGTAAGTGCCGGTTTTGTCAATACCCTTCAGCAGCAGTGTGCGAAGTAATTGCCAGCGTTCAATGCAGGCCTTGATAGAATGGCGTCCATCCAGTCTGCTGGCTAGATCACGCCATCGTCCGCTGTGTAGGCGGCTGATCATATGGGTAAGAAGAATTCTGTCGTCTTTCAACGTCCATGACACTCCTTCGGTCAACAGCGGCGAGTGTGGCATATGGAAGACAGAACGATGGTCAGATTCCATACTAGAATCGGAGGACACCGTGCTGGGTGGAGTAGCAGAGGTGGAAGGTGAGGATAGGGAAAAGGACGGAACGGAAGTGGGAGTAGATATGGAAGAGGAGAAAGAGGAGGAGGAAGAGGAGGAAGTGGATAGGGACGGAGACAGCGAAGCAGTTTCATTCAGCTGTAAATTCGAAGGCCAAGGTTTGGATGGCACAGATGGATTCTGGAGTCGCTGTGCTTTGTGCAGCACATAAAGAATCAAATCGTTGGCACACGGTTTTCGCGTGGTTCGCCGGACGATCGTAGCAGCAGAATGATTCTAAATGAGACAAAAGAAGAAGAAAAACACGTATGGAGCCATTATCCATAAAGAAACAAATGAACAAAACAAGATCGCGTTGAAGATAAAAAAATCATCAACCCAAGCCATGTCACCCGTTTGGACATCACCCATCATTTTTGTTCACGCCTTCAATTTGTATATCTCCAAAAGAGTGTGGTGGATTGCTTCTCTTTCCTTTCCTTTGGAAACAAATAATTGAAATATTACCTGTTCTTCATCATCACTATCCAAAGCAAATTCGCCGTCTTGGTCGACTCGGACCATACGTAAATGACCGACTAACCGCTCAGTGTGATGAGACGTGAATTCTCTCTTTTTTTTTTGTTTGAATCGCCGACCATCTATGGGTCTGGGCAGGGGAATAAAAAAGGGTATTTCGCTGCGTTTACCTCGTCGTGGTTTGGTAGGTGAACCTGTTCTTTGAAAGTTCTGAATTATACGACGAACCGCCGATTTAGAAAGACCGGTCATTATAGAAGCTTCTCGCTCCGTCGCGCCGGCGCGATGTGCCCCAATCACAAGCCAACGCTTGGCTTCCGGTGCCATTGGCGGACCATGATGAGAACGACGAAGTGTCATGAAGGCGTAGAAAAATATATATGAAGAGGTTGAACACACAGAAAACAAAGAAGAAATATGTGCGTATGTGGAACCAGAAAGAAAAAAAAAGAGCACCCACGCTTGATAAAAATTGAAAGTTTCCCACTTAATTTTCTCGCTTTGGTTTCCCCACATCATGCCATTCTCACCAAAAAAGAGTAACTCAAAAACCTTACGTCATCCTTGAACATGATTGGCTACTTGAGAGTATAACCGCCATGTTACGCAAAACTCCAATTATACCATCCAGGAAATTTGGGTAAAACATAAGAGGAAACATTTTATGTGTACATTCAAATTTTCCTCCTTGGAGCAATCCTACGTGGGAGAAATATTTAGCTACCACGGTAGGTGGTGTAAGAGTAAGGGCTGATCAAAAGAGGGATGTGGTAGTGTTGCTCAGGGTTGGCGAGTTCGAAAACGATCTACATCAAACCAAAAGAAATTCTCGTTAAGTTTCTACTATTTTCACCCATATGTGTCTATATCATTTCTGTACCTGAACATAGGGATAGAAGCATTCCTGGTTGTATCTGTCAAAGTAGGGCTTGGTTTCGAAAGTAACACGGTAGATACCCTTCTCAGCCTTGTAATCACCGGGAAGCAAGTTGGGGCAGCGACCATCGTCGTTGGTTTGACTGAGAACATTCCATTATCATTAGATCGTTCGGAACCATAGGCATTGACACATTTTAAGGCATTGACTTACGCAGTAGACAAGGTGGAGAAGCCCTGGCCGTCGAGCTTTTCAATCTTGACGTCAATGTTCTTGCCGGGGATACCCTGGGAGGCAACGAGAACGTGGCAGGTGATGGGACTCTTCTTAGCAGACATGGGCTACAATCAGCAATAAGTTATCAATGTAACCCAATAAAATGACCAACGTTCTATAGTTACCGTTAAATGGTCTTTGACTGCTTCGAGACGGGAGGATGCAGACATTGAAAGCAGATAAGACTAAAAATCCAGGAAATGGAACATTTTAAATGAATTTCGATTTTTGTGACTTGTTGGAGCACTTGATAGTCACACTCTGTGAGTGAAAAAATATGTCCGAGTTCAGACGACTTTGATCCTTTCTCATTGTACTTTTCATTGGACAAAAAATACGATTATCAAACTGTCTCCAAATGTTCTGTATGCATAACATATTAAGTAGCAGCTGTGCTGTGCCAAAGGTTGCTTGGAATATAATAGCACATAAAACTTAAATAACAAAGAAGCGTTGTGTTGCACCGATCCCGGACATGAAAGGCGGAACTCTATGATTTCCAAAGGTATTTTATCCGCACAACGTGGACAAGTATCCTCTTGTATCTGCGTTTATCTGAACATATTGAGTGCTTTTTTGATCAAAGTGAATTGATTGTATGATACTAAAAAGCATATGTGAAAGCTGCATCGGCGGAGCCAGAAAAGCAGGATCAAGCATCTTTTTCGTTTAACAGTCACTTTTCCCATTTCTGCAAGAAAATCAAAAATCGTCAGACACCGTACTTGCTGATAATAGACAACACCAGATCAAAAGTCTTATTCGATCCATGAGCGACCCTTCCGACGTTATCGAAAAACGAGTTTATATCGGAGGTCTAGCAGATACAGTCACCGAGCAAACATTAAGCGATCGCTTTAATCGTTTTGGTACAACCACTAATATATCGGTCGCGAAAGATGCCAATGGTACACTCTCTCCAAATCTCGAATCCATTGCTAGCCTTTTTTTTCTAACCCATTGATGAAACAAAGGAAACTGTCGAGGATTTGGTCATTTAACCATCAAAACGACGGCAAAGCAGTGGGGAACATGTAAGAACAAGAGCCACAGGAATGGAGTGGCGATCATGATTTAACTCTTAATTATCGCGGATCTCAGGTCTCAGTGCCTATAATGGAGCCAAATGGAAAGGACACATTATGCGCATCGAGGATTCCAAACCTGACTATATAGAAAAGCGGAAAATAGAGCAACAACTTCTTGAACAAAAGGAGGAAAAGAAACGCAAGCGATCCCAACGTTGGAACGACAGTGATGGTTTCCTGGCCAAGGATATGACCCCTATCACCGATCGAAATATGCCAACAAAGAAAGGGTGGAAACGTGGCCGATACGGAAGAGCCATTGCTGTGATGCGGTTACGGAAAGATGATGGCACACAGGCAAGTGTAGCATGCATCCTGCTATTCCACGGAACTTATCGCTGACGTTACCTTTTAGTTTGTCTTTGATCCTACACATTACAAAAATAATCTCACCAAATTTGACAACCTCGACCCTGTCCGATTGCGTCCTACTCATCGATTACCCATGTTCTATGAGCAATATCCCAATGAGGAACAGGACGAATTTGAAACTCTCGCCGCCGACAGCAGCCGCCACAACGCGTCGCTCGATAGCGATGTGGAATCTGAATCCGAAACAGTAGATACATCAGCAGTTTTAAAGGTAATGGGTGGAGTTGCATTTGTTTATTGGACAGGAACAACATATTAACATATTTTCGGTGACGTTTTTCTGAAACTACAGGGTGAGGACGCACGACGAGCGGCGATGGACAGAAGGGTCGAAGAACAGTTGGCAAAGAAAAAGGCAATTCAACAGCAGTTGGAGGCATTGGAAGGAAAGGTAGGGGTAGATCATCGTATGTTGGAAAATGTGACGGTGGACTCAACCGTGTGTAGCAACTGCATACCAAATTCGATGCAAGTGACGAAGAAATCGATGAAGACCAAGAAAATTCGCGAGAGACGGCACCACCTGCAGCAGCCACATCAGGAGATGCGGCTGTAAAATGGATGTTCGATTCAGATGACGATGAGGACCAAGAAGATGATGCCAACACCGATTTCAGTAAGTGATGGAATGATGAACTTTTTTTTTATTAAAGTTCAGGACGGCTAAATTTTTCTTTTTTTGACCAGATATTCGCATTAATCCCGTTCTCGAAGGCGAAAAGGGTCGTGAACGATTAGAATTACAAAGTCGTTTCAAGGGTGATGAGCGATTCAAGTTGGGTGAAGACTTTATCGATGAGGAGAAACCTTCCAGTACGCAAAATACTATGGATGATATTTCCAAAGAAATTTCAGCCGAAAAAGACCAGGCTATGGATCTGCTGAAAGCCATGTTTGGCGAGCAGGATATTGTAAAAAAGTATGGGAAAAAAAAATGCAGCATTTGCGTATCTTTTGGGCTTATCAAATCACGATGTAGGAAAACACAACCGGCTGCCTGGTCAAGCAGTGCTCGCTATGATCCAGATGCAGACAATGCATCCAGCTATCTCGTTGATACCAGTGAAGAAACACCCAGTAACGGTATGGGTGCAGCAACCGATGTTGGGGATGAGATGGACCATGAAATGGAAGAGGAGGAGGAGGATCCATTAGGTAACGTGGCACCATATATTTTTTTTATCAATGCACGGCTGATCATCTTGGGTGCTCATAATTTGCTCACCGGTTGAATTTAGAGTTCTTGAAACGCCCAGCGGAAAGCGCTCCACCAGAAGTTTCTAAGGAGAAGCATTTTGAAGTTAATGTCAACTTGAAGCCGTTATTTGGTGGTGAAGGTACACAAAATCGAAAAAATTCTCATCGGAAAACTATAAAAATGGGAACAAACATTCATGCATGCTGATACTGGTTTTTTGGTTTAGCCGGTGGATTTAAATTATTCGGTGGTGATGATGATGATGATGATGACAACGATGCAGACACTCAAGAGGGCAATGCGGCTCTACAGGCGAATTGGGCAGTAAAGAATGAAATGGCAAATGAGGAACCGTCATTTGTGCCTAAAAATAAAGAGGTAAGTATCGCTGGTGCAAAAAAGGCAACCCATAGTAAAAGAATCAAAATCAGAGGGAGAGTGGGAAAGCCGTCGGATATGGGGCATGCAACAATATTGGGCTAATATTTCTCGTTGATGTTTCTAGCCAAAATTGGGACTGGGATTATTATTCTTCTTCCACATGGAGGATCCCAACTTAATGAAAAGGTATGTTGTTCATTTCTTGATGCATTAATTCTGACAATATTAAGTGGGGCAATGACAATGCTATTCATAGCCATGCCTTTGCGTTGGATAGCCAAACCTGTTTGTGCTTACCCTTCCACTTTTTGTTTTCATCACCTCATTTTTTTTGGGGTCTTTGTTTCTGACGACCTGCTTTTGAATTTACAGGAGTTGTTATGGTTATGATCCCAAGGGGATTTTCCAACAAGACACTGAGGACAGGTTGGTTGAAAAAAAAAGAATAGTAGCGAAGAAAAAAATGTTTTTTCAGGAGCAATGAACAATTGGCTTAACTCGCATGTGCAGGGATAGTTACGAATCGAAATGGAAGTCAAGACGAAATCAAGTAGGGGAGATCTTGAAACGACGACAAAAAAGTGCCATCAAGAAGCAAAAACGACAGGTCTCGCGGGCTATTAAATAAAAAAAGATATATCATTGTCCTTTGGCAATCTAAGTTGGCGCAGATCTGTAAAATCTTTTGAAAGAAACAAGGGCTCAAGTGTTGCTACTTTGGGTCTTTTTTTTTGCGGTTAATGACAAAAATTCGAAGAGCAACGGCGATAGACCAAATTGGGTAAAACACCGGGCGATGTTGTCTGTGCTAACTGACAAACTCTTTTCCAAATTTGGTATGATGGTGAACAGACTTTGCTTTGATTTGCTGGGCGATCAAATATTGATGGAGAAAACTTCACAAAGTCCCATTTTTGATGGGAAATCACTTTTTTATGATGGATTGCATCGCTTATATAAACCTAAGGTTTGTGAACCTGTCAAAAAGAATTTACATCTTTGCTTCGCTATTTCTTTGACACATCGACTCTTTCACCATGACTGCTCCTCATCGTGCTCATAAGCAAACCTTAAAATCGTCGACCCGATCGTCCGCCAACGAAAAAATTCCGCGACCAATGAACTGTTTCTTGGCTTATCGCCTGGAAAAGCAAAGCGAAATCGTCGCCCGTTGTCCTGGTGCCAACCATCGCGACATTTCCAAAATTATCGCCAAATGGTGGAAAGAAACGAGCGAAGAAGAAAAAGCCGTGTATCGCGAAAAGGCTCGTCTGGCTAAACTGGCTCACAATCAACAGTAAGTATTTTTCGGCTTGTTATTGCATAGTCGCAGAAAACTTATCGTTTCTTTTCTTCAGGTATCCCGACTATAAATATAAACCCAACAAAGCGGCGGGCCGCAAAACACGCAAATACACAAAACGAACCCGTGAACCGTTCAGTTCACGCTCGAAAACGAACAATGTCATGATGCAACTTATGTATGAAGACCAGTCCATCTTGGAGCATATTGAGCCTGTGGCCCATACCAACGACAATGGAGTATCCTACGATGCAACATCACAGGCATCGGAATATTCCCCTGCCCTGTTTTCATCCTTGCCATCCTTGCCTTCCATGAGTCCCGCAACCGGATCGGTCAGGAGTCCCAGCATGATTTCGGAACCTTCGATTTCGATTGGTGCGGACGTGACCGATGGTTCAGTCCCAGCCTTGGTGTCTTCCACCAATCCAACCATGATAATGTCTTCCCCCATGTTGTATACTCCACCCATGCTGTCGCCGGCTTGCAGCATGATCGGATACCCGTCCTCTTGCGCGTACGATTTTGGCGGTGATGCCGCGAATATGTTACATTTATGGCAGCAGCTGGTACCCGAGAATTCTAATCCGTACCTTCCTACTTTTACTACTACGGGCGCTTCCCTTTCAGGGCGAGCTCCTTGCACGGCTCTGGATGCAGCTAATCCGAATTGGATAGCGCCCGGACAAGGTTTGATGACAACTATTGAAACACCGAGCTTTATCGATCCCATGCTTCTGTCTTCAGTACCCATGCCGTACGCGCCGTCTTCTTCCATGGTGATGTGCGATCAAGGCTATCCCTTCCCTTCAACAGATTTCACTACCTACATGTTTTAAACCAACCATCATCTCCTCTATGTAAATACCATGGGAAAAAGCTGACTTGTTTGTTCCCTGCGATTTCTCCTATTCCCACGTTTTATACCCTTTATGACCCACCAAAATCTCCTTACGCCCTTTTGCATATAGAATTTCTTCATTCACATAGACAACTCGCCCACTTTTTATTTTACTTTATTTTATTTTATTTTATTTCATTCACCCCTTTCATTTATTCTGTTCTATTCTTCTGGTTAACTATTTATGGTTTGCGCAAAACATTTTTATTCTTTTGAACGTTTTCACATCATTCTTATGACATGCATCTCCAAAGGCCCTATCAGCATAGCGAACTTACTAATAAAAAAGGCATCGATTTTTTATCTGTATTTACAATGATTCATTGGCAGGATTAGAATGAATAGAATATAAACTAGGCATATTATGTAGTACGCATGTAATTTTTGGCAATGGTCATTAGTTGCTCTCCACAGAATCTTCCAAGGCCTCCTTTCATGGCACTTATTTCATCAAAGTGATGAACATTGTCGCTGCAGCCCTGGCCATTGACGCGGCCCACACAGACCGGTACAGGCTCACAACTGTGATCACCGTACAGCACAGGCGTAGAATGATCGCTGGTGATAATAATCGTATACTGTAACAAGGATGATTAGCATGTTTGGCTCTTTCCACACCCGTTATCGATCCGTTTTTCTACTTTACCTTGTTGTCATTGATTTGTTCATCAGTCGCCAGGCGCGTCATAATATTTCCAATCATTGCATCTACTTTTTCAAGAAAGTTTACCTAGAACAACAAAAAATCACCGCTTGTTTAGCCCTTAAACCTTGTTTTCTTGTGCCTTTGCTCAACTCAAGACCTCCTTGTTCCTTTTTTCTCATTACTTAGTTGGCCTCCCTTTTTGTAAAATCCATCCCCTCCTTTATTTTTTTATTTGTCATACAAACATTTGACTTACTTTCAAGGAAACGTGTCGATCATGTCCTGCATCATCGACCGCTTTGATATGGAGAAATCCAAAGTCGTACTCTGAGGTGATTGCGCGAACCGCCGCATCTGCTTTGGCCTGGAAATTCGTCTGGTAATCGCCCGTTGCACCCTCTACTTGCAGAATGTCCATCCGTGCTGTCATGCCCAGTCCAGCAATAATACACGTTGGAGCAATCAAGAAGCTCTTGAACCCGTGTAATGCCTCAATGCTAGGAATCTTTTTTTCAAAAAAGTAAATAAATAAAGGTTAAGGTTTAAACATTACCGGCCATTGTTCCCCCTTTGGATTGCCAATTCTGGGCATTTTCAGCTTACATCAATGCAACTGCCACAACCTCGCAAAAGCACGCAATTCGCAGGATTCTTATCCTGCTGACGCCGAGTCTCATTGATGGGATGACCACTCAGAATATCGTAAAATGCATCGGATAGTTCGTTAATCAACTAGCCAGGGAGTTCAGTATTACAGTCTGTTGCATGTTATTCTTTGCCCATTATTTATGCTTACCTTGCTAGTCATTCGAGCCTCATCTGTATTCTCCGTTGGTGCACATTTGACCAATGGTTTGCTATAGGGAGAGTCACACACGCATTAGCAAGTGCAAAAACATTGTTTCTTTTGGAAAAAACAAAAAGGAAACTTTACTTGTCTTTGAGCGGATCGGTGCCGGTAATGGTATCCGTGAGCCCCGGGCCTCGTACACGTACACCACACCGATGTTCGGTTGCGTATCGCACAGCGACAGTGTGATCCGGGAATGAAGGTAATTTTCTATCGTGATGGTGTTATTTTTGTTGAAGAGGAATAACTAATTTCCTGCCGCTATTCATTGTGACATACACTCCATCCAAGGCTTCACACAATACTGGACCCAATCCTTCAAACTGTCGATCGGCTCTTCTCGAAATGACAATGCCACTTTCTCTATCCATGTAGGCAAAATTGGACTGTGGGTATATCGAATCATCAATAAGGCGATGCTGATGATTTCCCTAGACGTATTTCCTTTTCATACCTTGAATGCAATGTCTCCCGGTTGCATTTCAAGACCTGCTCCCATCGTCTCGAATGCACCACGACCTCTATAATGCCTTGATATTTTCGTCATGGTCAAACGTTGCTTGCAACGGATAGTGTAGCATTTAGAGCACTTACTGTCGAGGATTGTAGCCGAGGATCGACATGTGGGCTGTATCCGAGCCGCAAGCTAATCCGGGTTCGACAGAGTCCATGAGACCATTGAGACCACTACCTGACGAAAGAAAACAGAGAGCAAGTGTTATTCTACACATTTCTTCTTGTGTGTTTGAGAAGACGTACTGGCCAACTTGTCCATCCAGGGGGTCTTGGCTGCTTGCAGAGGGGTGCGCATTTCGAGTTCAGGTACAGCGACATCGCCGATACCATCAATAAGGACAAGCAATAATTTCTTGTGCGGTGGTGACATGGAGACCTCGTCCACGGATATTGGAAACACTTGTTCTTTTGATTCACATTATCACCACGCGATCAGAGTCTCATTTGTCGGGGAATTCGGACAGTCACAGTCCACCACACGCAGAAATTTCTATCCACTTTTTTTTTTTTTTTTTTATTTCGTCTTGTAACCATTGGCTGAACCAAACTTGTGAAATCACCATGGGAAAGAACATGGAAGGTACCATGGCAAATCCCTTTGCCGAACGCTCCGCTGAACTGCATGCTCTTACACGAGCCGAGGAAGAGGCCTGCTTTAAAGATTTGAAGGCCAAAGCGCTCAAGTTATGCTCGGCTCCTATCAAAGGTAGTTTTGTCGGAGACGACGGTCGGTTGGGAGAAATGATTTGCTAATGCGCCGTGCTTGAACCAATGGCAGAATTTGTGGAATGCAGTAAAGAACACAACATTACGGTCATGTGGACTTGCCGTAGCAAGCTCAAGGAAATGAATCATTGTCTCAACCAATAGTATGTGCTTTCAGGAACATGTTTTATTTTGTATCGCGATTAACGGGGGGAATGGGTTTGTAGTACGTCAAGAGAACAGTTGGATAAGCTCAAGCTAGCAAAGTTGGCCGCCAAACGTGACGAGTTATCCTCCAATTCAGCACAATAGATTCAGGGTCTTTCCGCAACGAACCAATCCTTTCAGTTTTTCATTTGATAGCGTACTCCTTCACACCATGGTCCTATCGACAGAATAGCATCACATTAGATCATGACTCGTATCCATAACATAATATTGAAACAAAACAAGCAACTCCATCCCCCCTTCTTTTGTCTCGAAACAAAATTGAACCAAACTTACATTGATAACACAAATGTGATCAAGATCGCGAAAGTATTCATTGTAATCCAACGCGTAGCCAACAACAAAGGCATCCGGAATAGCAAATCCTACATAATCGGGAATGTAACCATTGCTTCGTGATGTTTTCTTGATTAACAAGCTCGTCACACGTATGGATTTCGGCTTGTACTCTTTCAGTTTCTCCAGCAACTGGATCATGGTCGCTCCGGTATCGATAATGTCCTCGACAATGAGCAGATTCTTAATGGTGGATTAATATACCAACCCCGTTTAAAACCATTCAATGCCGGTTGGCTTCTTTTTTACCTTGCCCGTGAATTCGTGACATTCAGTATCGGTTAAACTGATAGTGACGCCTTCAGATTTATCATTCTTGTATGACTTTACGCGGATGAATTCCAAACTGAGAGGCACACTCTGACCGTTGCTGCGTGTCAGACATTTGATGGCATTGGTAAGATCGGCAAAATACTGATGACCTCCCTTCAAGATACAGCATACAACTGATCATTCACACTGTGAGAAAATAATTCATGCTGCGTGTACTTCCGTATTATCAACATGGCAGCTCCTTACCTAGTGGACCGTCGGTCTCGTCAACGATTAAGCGGGCCAACTTTTGGATACGATCCTTTGTTCGATAGGGTGAGAAATGGACCGCTGCAGCCCATCGTCAATCTTTTTCCGCGAGCTTACCATGATAACACCGTGTGGAATCAAGATGCTTTCAAGATCATTTTCATAATGTTGTGGAATTACAAAATGATCCAGTGAATAATGGTTCCTCTCCGGCGATACATCGATCCATTCATTCGCTTTCATGGGCATACTGGTGGTTTAACAAAAGGATAAGACGGCAAGTGAAAAGCGGAACCACGGAAACCAGATGCGACCATGGAAATAAGCCGAGTGACGTTGGCAAAAATACCATGTGATCATGCAAAAGCAGAGCTTTGTTTGCTGTGCTTTTTTTTATTTTTTAATTTCACATCCTTCGGAGCATTATGCTACGGCCACTTTGCTCCTCTTGATCACTGGGAAATAAAGTGCATTATTTACAAAGCGTACAAAAAAAATGATGGTTCCATACTCAGTGTGCGCAATTATTAGGTATCCGCTCGCTGCATTGAGCGGTAATTCTCACTGACGAATGCTGTTGTGACTTGCGTCATTTGGCAAAAAGCTCATGCCGTGAATGTTCCTCACTTTCACTTTTTAGTTGTCGATGAGTCATGAATATGATTTTCCTGTAGTCTGCCATCTTATTCATCAAACAAAGATATAGACAAGGATGATCCAGATAATATCGGAAATGGGTTGCATGTGACACAGACGAGCGGGAAAAGTTCCTCATTTGGTTAGTGCCTTGACAGAAAAAAAAAAGATAGTGGAGATTGGGTTTCACAGAATGGAAGAAATCTCAGATAGTTGGTTTTTTTTTTCACTTTATTTCGCGGGGAACTCGTTCACTCCCAAAAAGGTTGCTTTTCTTTACTGTTTCCAAACTTTTTAACATCACAATCATGGCAGCTGACGCAGGAACCAAAGCCGGGTATTTGTCTTGACCGCATCGAAATCCAACCCTAGACGATCTTACTAAACCAGAATATTCAGTGGAAATCAAGCGATCAAAGATTGTGCCAGTGGCACCGTAGGTGGTATCCTTCAGGTTCTCGTTGGCCAGGTAACCTATTATATTTGTCAAGCTATTCGTTATCAACCGATCATCTCATGCTATTGCTTATCATCGTACGTAGCCTTTCGATACCGTTAAAGTGGTAGGTTTAAGATGACGACTTGCTGTACCGATCCGTTCTGTTTTAGGATACTAAAAATAAGTTTGTTTCCAGCGTCTGCAAACTCAATCGACCACCAATCCCATTTATAAGGGCATGATGGATTGTGTTCAGCAAATTAAAGCCAAAGAAGGGTTTGCAGGTTTCTACAAGGTGCCTGAAAAAGAGATGAAAAATTTTGTCATTATTGTTATTTTTTCTCACGTTAATTTTTTGTGTGACAGGGAACAATGACGCCTCTTGTCGGTATCGGTGCCTGTGTTTCTATCCAGTTCGTGGTGCTCGAATTTATGAAGCGCCGATTCTCCGGCTCCTCGGGTGAGTCGTTGACGAATGGACAGTTCTACATTGCTGGCGCCACCAGTGGTATTGCCAATTCCGTGGTGTCCGGCCCCGTCGAACATATTCGTACTCGTTTGCAGGTTCAGCGTGAAGGCGGATTCAAGGGTCCCATCGATTGTATTCGACAGATCTACCGTAGCCATGGTTTGGCCGGCATTTACAAAGGACAGGCGATCACCATGGCAAGAGAAGCTCAAGGTTACGGTGCTTACTTTTTCGCTTATGAATGGCTGGTGAAGAAATCGATGGAACGATCCGGTTTGAAGCGATCGGAATTGCCTACCTGGCAAGTGTGTTTGTTCGGTGCGGCGGCCGGTTACGCCATGTGGTTCACCATTTATCCCATGGATGCCGTCAAATCGAAATTGCAGACAGATGGTCTGGATGCCGCCACCAAGAAATACTCGTCCACCTTGGATTGCATCCGTAAAACCATGGCCGCCGAAGGCGCCGCAGGCTTCTTCCGCGGTATTGGTCCCTGTTTGCTCAGAGCCGCTCCTTGCAATGCTGCTACCTTCTTAGGGTAAGTTTGTTGGATTTTGAGATTTTTTTTTCGTTAGTCTTGTCATTGGGATATTAACGTTATTTGGTCTGGATCTTGTCTCTAGTTTCGAAATGGCCATGCGTGTGATGAGCTCCGCTTAGAGTCGTTCGTTTTCCATCGATATCTCCTACATTTTATTTATAGATAGGCAACCTACACACACAATACATCCGATCCACACACATCCACATTACATACAAGATACACCCGAAAATGATATTCAGTTGTTAATTGAAGAACTTTATTGCTTCGGTACCTTTTCTTTTTCGACCAATCTAACCGAGGAGACACAACGGGCCGACGGATGCTCCTTCTAGATGCAGGCATAAAATAACAAAAACAAAAAAAAAGGACTGAAGCGCTGTGTGATGATTCTATGAATGCTGATAGATGCAGATGTGACGTATGGAGAAAGGATAGCACGGAACGTGTAAAGTGGATCAGATCTGTTCCGTGGAGAGAGAGCGACGACGGATTTAATGCTGGGTCTTGACATCTGTAAGCACGGTATCATTATGAGTGGGAATCGACTGGCCCAATAATGTAGAATTGGAGAGCATTTTAATCTTGTTCTTTTCCTGCATTTCCACTTGCCTGGATGCACGAGGGAAATAGGTGAGCGAGTAGAATTGGAATACGCCATTTCTTTTTTATCATAAAACTTACGTATACCATGCGCCACCAGCTAAAGTCAGCAGAATACCGGCTGCATTTGTTAATGTGATGTGAAGATCGAAAATGATGACCGCCAAAACAATTGACAACACTTGTTTCACGTTACCTAAACAAAGCGTTTCTGTCAATATCAATTCTGCCACGTGATTCTACTCGGGTCCCCTTCACTTACCAGCCACGGTCATTGTGAGAGCGCTTGTTTTCTTATTGGCCGTGAAGCTCACCACGTTCAAGCCAAACGCAAGGACACCGTTGATCAGCAAAGCAAAGAACAGGGAAAATGAAAACTGCGTTTGAACATAAGTCGAGACGGCGGCCATTTCTCCGGTGAGATAGGAATAAATGAGGGTTTGAATAAAAGCGAGAGGCGACATGCGTAAAAGGAGATCGAGAGGGTGCAACTTTAAACGGCCCACTTGAACACGGTTCGTGACCACAGTTTTTAAAGCCGCCAACACTGTTCCCAACACTGTCAAAAAGAAACCGATCGCCGTATACGAATAATCGCCAAAAGTGGCAAACGCAACTCCAGCAACCACCTAAGATTTTTTTTTGTTCCTGAAATTTAATCACGGAGGCGGTATGACAATCAATGGGACCTCTTTGCTTAGCAACCTACCGGCAATAACGAGATGTACGTCATTCTGGAATAAGATTTGCTGAGAAATGCCACCGAAAGCATGACGGTAAATACGGGGGTCATGGCACGGACAACTTGGTGAAACTACAGTAGATGAATGATTCGCGTCAACGATCATCCTGTCGTAAAATTAAAGGTTGTTACGCAATAAAAATGCTTACGGGAACAGTGACAAGGTTACTAGAGCAATGATTTTGTCAGTCATTGAAATACAACATAAATATCTAAAAAAAAACCAACTTACAGTGACACATTGCTGATGGCAATGTTGATTGTATACAAGACGGAAAAACTGAGCATCACCATATTTTCCTTCTCGCCCAACTTGGAAGGAGTAAACAGATTAAACTTCCAAAATGCGTAGGAACCAATGGCGCCACACAAGGTGTGTATGGCGGTTAATGTCCAGGGAAAAGGAAAGTCGAAAAGCGAGAGAATGACCTTGTTGTATAATGTGAGACCGAGATTAAAGAAGAAGTACATGGTCAACCAGAGTGCGGATGAGTCGAGACATCCTGGCTGGTTGGAAGCGTACATTGCGGTTGTGGAAGAAACGAACGGGAAGGTTTAAAACAAGGGACAGAAAAAAAAGTAGAAGAAAAAAAAAAAAAAAGATGGACAGAACGGCCAAGAAAAAAGATGAGACGGATGGCACCCGCTGAAGTAGGAACGGTGATTTCGGACTGACCCTGGAGTGAGCGGCTTTCGAAAATAAAAAATAAATTCATTTCCGCGAGCAGGAATTCTGCACCTGTTTGACATCGTTCCTAATATCCGTTGTCTATTATAGTCTTCAATATAACTTAATTATCCGTGTGTTGCTAACGCACATTCAAACTAACGAATGCCTCGTATATGACTGTCAGATTGATCTAGATGCTGAAGCTCGTTTGAACCAGAGTCGGCCGACGCGGTCCATCCCCCTTGTCGTTAATAGCCGCAATCCGAAGCCAGCTATTCCAAATTAGCATTTTGGAAACGGGCTTTTTCGTAAATTGAGCATCGCTCTACAATAAAGATTTTCATTTACCTTCTGTTCATTCTTTCGAAACAACCTGTATTCAGAATATTTTTCTCACTTGTGATATGATTATTCACGGCTATTACAAGAGAGTGTAGTTTGAATCTCCGGGACTCCCGATGTAGATAGTGATCTACAGATTCCCTTTCACAGAAAAAAGTTTTTATCTCTGTTCTTATTCCCGACATTTTTGGATGTCCAATAATCATTCACCTTATGGTTACGTGTGCCGTTACACGTTGCTATATTTACAAAAGTGACGTAAAGTTCTACATTTGGTTTCACGAAAGATCCCCGCTAAACCATATTCAGACGTCGATCAATTGTGTGCTTCTTTTGCGACCTTTAGCTGAAGCATCCATCACTACAGCGTGTTTTGCATAGACTGAAAGTATAGTAGCTACCCACACAAATAAAAAAAAACCCTTCAATGACAAGATTATCGTTATTAAAAGCCAACAAGAGGTTGAATGGCACACTTTTTTTCTTTTTGAAAAGAGAGATCACACGACGAAGAATCAACACACAACGAAAAATTGGCTAATCAAACGGACAAAAGAGAGGAGAAAATTTTAAATAGCAGAGAAAAAGAGAAAAGAGATCCCAATGTAAACCAATGAATGAAAAAAAAAAACCACTAGAATTAATCACAAAAATGAACTTATTTTTTTTTCTTATCCGAGTCCCAGTCTCATCGGTGTTTATTGATTCCAGTATTGTGGTTGTTGCGCCGGTTGAGCTTGCTGTTGTTGCTGTCGGCTGACGGAAGGCGCCTGTTGGTTAGGTTGACCCTGCTGCTGCTGATATTGGTGCAACGATTGAGGATATTGCTGCTGATATCCAAACATTTGCTGGGATTGACCAAAGTAGTTGGAGGGATTACCACCGAGGCTCTGTTGATACAATGGCTGCTGACCTTGCTGACTACCCTGCAGAGGTCCACCAGCTGCACCGGAACCCTTGTCATATTTGCTGTACTGGCTACCGCCCACATCAGCCTTACCAGCCGCATTCGATTGTTGCGACACCTGACCTTGCGCCGGCTGGCCTCCGTGAGCTGGCAAATTGCCCAAAATACCGTGGATCTGAGGGTTGGAGCCGTACATTTTCTGGTAATCGCTCAATCCACCACCCATGCCACCGAGCTGCTGCTGCAAAGCCGCCATATCATCGTAACCACCGGCAACGGTTTGGTTGTAAAGATGGGATTGCGAAGCGTAAGGCGATCCGGTCGCGTTATAGGGAGAACCGGTGGCGTTGTAAGGAGAAGCACCGGCGGTAGGTTTAGCGGTATGTTGGTACATGGCCGGGTACATGCTCTTATTCATGAAATGCTGACCATAACCGGACGGAGGATAACCGTTGAATTGGTTAGGCATGTAGTAGTATTGGAAGTAAGGCAGGTTCGCAGGATACATCTGTTGCTGTTGAGGAATGGATTGAGCTCCTGCTGAAGCGACATTGGGAGTACCCATGGGTGAAGCGTCTTGACCATACTTTTCGCGTCCGGGATAAGCGGAAGCGGCAGTGACGGAAGGCGAATGAGAGAAAGCGGCCGGATCATAGTATCCCATGGCGGCGGCACGTTGAGCTTCGGTACCGTAAAGGCCGTAATCGGGTAAGGTGGCCATGGGGTTCATACCGAAACCGGAAATACCAGCCGGGGTTTGGTTAGGCAAGTAGTTGCTGTAAGCGGAAGTAAGCTGTTCCATGCCGAAAGGTTGTTGGGGAATCTGTTGCTGATGATGACCAAGTTGAGCCTGAGTACCGTACGTGGGCTCCTGTTGCTGTTGCTGCTGTTTCAAGTAGGAAGCATTGTTATTATTCTGGGCGCCAAAGGCATCCACACTTTGCAAATCGGGTACGGTTTGACCAATGTTGGCAGCTGCCGCATTGGCGGGATAACGATCAGCGTAGGTTTGTTGAGGTTGCGATTCGGTGGAGGATTTTTCGGTGGCAGCAGGTTGTTGTGGCTGGGATGGTTGTTGGGATGGGATGGCATTGGCCTGTTCTTTCAAACTACAGTTCCCACACATACACACAGAATCCCATTAGATACAACTATCCCACACACGTGTTCAATTTGTGACTGTATTCATCTTGTCAACTTACGTTGGCTTGGTAGAAGATACTACTTCTTGCTCCACTGTTTCCAAGGTTTCCGCACCACTGTCATCAATGGTCAAACTTCCAAATTTGACACCGACTGAAGTCAAGGAGCTACCACTGTTGGGCAGGACCACGGGTTCTTCTTGGTTAAGACGACGAGTGGCAGCTTGCTTTGTCTTGGTATCGGAGAAACCTGCATCTGCAGCGGGGGCGGCTTCGTCTACTGGTTTGACAGGCTCGGGTTCGGTGGCCCATTCGGGAACGTCAGACTGAGTTTCCTCGGCCTTTTCAGATGTATTCCATGCACTCTCTGATGCATTCCATCCACTGTTCACGTCAACAGCTGCTGACCATTCATCGGTCACCGGGGGTTCGTTGGAAGGCTTTTCCTGTTCGGTCTCATTCTCAGTTGCCGAAGGTTGCTGTACTGGTTCTGGCTTGGCTTGAGCCCTAAAAAAAAAAGAAGGGTCAACATCATGAATCTTCAATTCCTCCCTCTTTTGGTTCCTCAACGACAAAAGCTTCAAAAGAGAGGGAACAAAAAAGAATTCACTCGTGGGATTTGAAAAAAGGAAGACGCTTACTTTAGCAGACTAGCCCATGTCTTTGGTTGTTCAGAGGGAATGGCGGTAGATTCAGAAGAAGTAGGTTCGGCAGTTGAGTCGTGGGGAGCAGTATTAGATGTAGTGGTGGATGTGGTGGCGGCGGCGGCAGTGGAAGGGGCAGACCAACCGTCGTTAGCGGCGGTGGTGTCGTTGGTAAAGGAAGATGGAGCATTCCAGCCATCGTCAGCGGTTGCATTCCAACCGGTCGTGTCTTGAGAGGAAGCGGGGGGTTCTTGTTGTGCTTTAGCAGTCCTAGCGATAGAAGCCCAAGTGTTTCCAGCATCTTGAGAGGGTTTAGTGGCAGACGTGGCAGCGGTTCGGCCTCGGTTATCGCCCCATGACGGTGCCGACGAAAGATGACTGGAAGCCGGTTTGACAGAACGTGGTGCGGAGCCTCGATTAGCAGCAGGAGCACCTAGCAGATTAAAAAAGGAAAAAAAAATAAGTTAGTCTATGATGAAAGAGTGGAAAATGTCACGCCATGATAACCAAGGTGACATGACGTGTCGATATCTGTCTGTTGTCTCTCTTCTTCTTCTTGTTTTTCTTCGCTATTTTTTTTTTTTTATTTACCTCTTCCAGGTCGAGTTCTGTCAGTGGGAACTCTGGGCGCTTGTGAACGTTCGGGTTTGTTATATGACGGTTGAGTCGCTGGCGGAGGAAGGGTGGCTGCTTTGGCTTTCTGTGCCTCTTTCTTTGACTTTTTCGTTTTCACTTCGCCCCATTGACTAGTGTGACCTACTCAAACCAGTCAGTAAAACAACCAAAAAAAAAAAAAAAAAAAGGCGAGGGTGGGATCGAATGGGCTGTTTCCACGCTCATTAGGGTGATGACGTGACATTTTACCTTCACTGATGCGGTCTATTGTAAGCTCAAGATCACCGTCTGCTTCAGAAATAGCAAATAAGAGATCGTCGTCGGACCAGTCTGCGAATAACTCTTTCAGCGTGGCCAACTTGGAGCCGTATTTTGACTTGAGCTTCTTCAAGTCCGTCGGTTCAGATGAAGAACTCGCTTTGGTCCTTGATGTTGTGTGTTGTGATGAACGTGTGTCGTGTGAACTCATTGCTAGTGTTGTGAATATTGGCTAAAAAGAAAGAGAAAATAGTGAGTTTATCAGTAACCACGGCAATGAGATGGACAACAAGCTGGTTTTGATTAAAGGAAAGAGAGATAGAGAGAGTGTGTGACAGAGAGAGAGAGAGAGAGAGAGAGAGAGGGAGAGAGAGAGTAAGGGAGACGAGGGAGGGACGGAAGGCAAAGGCATAGAAAAGAGGTTTGAACATGGTGCAGTCCATGAGAAAGCCTCGTTCTTTTTTTTTTCTTCTTTCTTTTTCAGTGGTAGTAGTGGTAATGGTGGTTGTATGAAAGGGTTTCCAAGGTAGTGGGGCCAGTAATAAAAGAAGAGACAATAAAAAAGAGAGTCAAAATAAGAGAGTATTGCTTACTTTTGAACTGCTTCCTCTTTCCAATCCTTTCTCGTTCTCAGCCTAATTTATCGGTTTTGATAGGGAAAGACAAAAAAGCACAAATAAGAAATCGAAAATTAGAAAAAAAAATAACAAATTCAAAACTTGTCAGCTTTTTTTCAGTCCCGAGTTGGGGTGCCCACTCAGCGGATGTTGGAAAAAACTGAGACATTCGAATCCATTGGGACGCCTTGCAACTCAACCAAGAAAAACGTCACGCTTTGCTCCGCGAAAAACGAATCACCTGCACCGTGCGCTTCATCATTCAATCCCCACCACTCATTCAAAAAAGCAGTCGGTCTCTCTGTCTGTCTATGTCTTTATTTATGGCGTCTGTCTACATGAGCATGGCTTGACTGCTGCAATCTCACATTCTTAAACACTGGGTCTAGCCAGTAGATGAGTCGTTTCGTCCACGGATGCTCGTCGCTCAGTATCATCGTCTTGGGGGGATAAACTGGCCACTACAGTTTCTTCTTGCATATTGGCCGCACCGGTACGCCACGTCAGTAACAACACCCCGCCTACCGTGATGGCAACACCAACCAGGACGCATAAAAGTTGCCACCACCGCAACCTGTCCCATTGATCATAGTAGACGAGACCGTTGAAAAGACAAGATACATTGAACGCACAAAATGATAAGGGGACCAAAATAGTGGTATCGCATAATCGTAAACCTTTGTTGAGATAGTACAACTATTCCGGCACGCCAAAAAAAAAAGAGACCATGGTGAGTTATCGTGTCATCCAATTTTTCCTTTTTTGTGTCACCTTACTTGCATGGCAGCTGTCAATATCATCATACTCAGTAAAATCCATGTCAACGCATATTGAAGCTGATTGTTCTTGGACACCAAACTGATGATGATCAGTTCAATCCCGCTTTTGGCAAATAGCATGCTTTGACTACTGATATTGCCTCCTAAAACACCATAACTTTTTTTTTTCGACTCCCTAAAATAAGTCTCCGCTGCATTTTTTTTTATCATTGTAGCTGACCCTTACCTCATGCCAATGGTCATTTTTAATTTGGCAGGTTCAATGACGCATCCCAGCCATTTTCCTCCGACGCCTCCCATGCTGTGGTATCGATACTCCATAAGATGCGTAATGACCATCATCGAGACAATTACCGCTTCCATGATGCTGAAATAAATAATAAAGGCCGGCTTTTTATACAACTGAATCAAATCTTCCAAACTGTGGTTCGGTTCTTGAATGACTCCGAATAATCCCACCAATAAGGCCCCTATCGCAATCAACAGGGTTCCTTGCCAAGAAGAGAACAAAAAAAAGACAATCAATCCTTTTGGTCCCATCATCTTTTTCTTTTTTAGCCTACCTAAGACGCTTTTGGTTGTGAATGGGTCACCGAGAATTAACCTCGCTGCTATTGCATTAAATACGAGGTTCATGGCTCCAATAGGTGCCAGTATAACAATGGGTAAATATCCGATCGAAAATACGGAGCCAATGATATTGGCAGCAAGATAACTAAGAAATCCAGCCAGCCATAGCGGCCGTCTGAAAGAGCTTATCCGTTGATCAATTGGTCGTCGGTCATTGGCAATATGTGATTTCCGTTGAAAAGCCATGGCGAATGCCTGGATAAGGTTGGTTACTACCGACACACCGAGGCCGATCCAAAAAGTACGACTGTATTTTTCAAGCGAGTTGGCAGTATATTCTATCCGAAAGAGATCCAACATCATCATGAAAGAACATGATCAACCATTTCGCCAGTCCATATTGCATTATGCTTAGCTCCGGGCATCACGTCACGTGCATTCCTTGAACGAGGCGAGATGACGAGCCGTCTCGGCCCTTATCCAAAAAAAAATGTTTGCCTTTTATGGAAAGCGTCGATTGATACCCACGCAAGCTTGACCTTTTTCTGTTTACCGAGTTTTGTATGGCAAGTCATGAGACGTATGCACCGTGACATTTTCAACTAAATATAGAAAATTCATTGTTCGGCGAAAGAAGATTAATTTGAAGTGAATGAGTGAAAAGAGTGAAATAACGTCTGTTACTATGTTATGACAACGGATTTCATTTCATTGTCGTACGGCGCTATTCCTAATGCAGTCAAAGACGCACGTCCTAAAATCCGCCTGCCATAGTAATACAGCCGCGAATGCAAGCATATCAACGATCATTTTCTTTACATATTTCAAACCGCTTGGAAGCAACGTGAGATCTCAGTTCATTTTTCATTTATTTTAACCGAGTTACTGTAACTTTTGCACCGGATTGTAATTGTTTGCGGAAGATGCAAAACCCTAGCTGCAGCCACTAAAAATTGTGACAATTTGAAAAGTCAAAATATGATCGCTTTGATTTCAAAACACTTGAACTGCTTGGTTCAGTTGTGTAAGCAATCAACATCATGATATAATACCGTTGGCCTTCTTTTATGAAAATGGATATAAGTTGTATGTGTTTATTTGTCAAATCTACAAAGTGGGAATCACTTGCTGCTTTCTCTTTTCGTATTCGTCAAAGCGAAGGACGGCATAGTTCATATAGTCAAAATCGATATCGGAAACCATGGCCTGCACGAGCGCCCATAATCCCCAATAAAAATGTGACGCCAATGAAAAACCGTTCACTTCGTGATACAGCGTTTCGAGATCCTCTATCGAAGGAGCAACTATATGTAGGTTGATATTATCAGCCAGAGCTTGAACATAAACCCGCGCATACCCAATCAAATATCATACCTCCAGAGTTGTATTCCGTCAGGTACCACTCAAACCACTGCAGCTGGAACTCTTTAGTAGGGTATCTGGAGTAATCGCACTCAAAACCAGCGAATTCGTTGAAGTGGTTGCCAATATCAAACCCACGTGAAGCATAACAACCATATTCGTAGTCGATGAAGGATGCTTCCCCTGGACCAACCAAACCACGTGTGTCAGCACCACCACTATCACATGCTATTCTCGTGCTTTGGATCGCGTACCTTTCTGATCGTCGAGAATGATGTTGCCGTATAGTAAATCATTATGTGAAAAAACGATTGGTGAACCCAACACTTCTAATCGCTTAATGAGCCAGTCGAGCTGTGTAAAAAGGAAAAAACGGTTTTAGCACTCAGATCACCATCTCACCAGCAAAAGTTCATCTTTGTCCTACCTCAGATGCTATTTTTTTCATGTCAAACCGTTTCGCAAAAGTGTGTTGAGATCGAGGATTTTGGTACTTTGCAGGCACTAAAAAATTCAATCTTAGCAACCCGACAAGTCACCCCCCCATGTCATCACCTCTATGTCACTCATACCTTGGCTAAGCCATTGACGCATCGTTGTCCACAGTTTTTGTCCGTTGCAAGCTTGACAATCCGCTTGAGGGAGCTTCACTTTATGCCACTTGCCCAACCGTTTGGCAATCCAGTGTGCCTGTTCAGGTTGACCCAAGTCTTCCACCGAAGATACTCGCCCTTTGATAAAACCATAGACAAGGCCATTCTTGAATCGCGCATACAGCGGAGGACACAAGTTTTCAGAAGACAGTGTAATCATATTCTATCCAGAAAAATGACTTATTAACATTACCTGCTGCATTTTATGCAGTGGTAGAAGAACTAAATGAAAACTTACAATCATTTCCTGACGTCGATCGATAATGCGGTCGGATCCCTTTCCGTAAGCTCGAACAAGCACCGTAAAGTCGCTGGGCAAATGAGTTGCTCGAACCACTACAAAGAGTACATATGGATAAGTTGATAGTCGTGGGGATTTTGGTCTCCAGTGATGCTTACATTGATTGGTGATGCCATCCTTGCATTGAACGAATTTGATGTGTTCTCGTTGCCAGGACGGAAAGACCGCAGTAACGACTTTGAAAGCCCCTTCAAACAAATCGGTGTGAGCCACTTCGAGATCAACATAAGGAGTAGCATTGATCAGTTGATCAACCGAAGCCTCCATAGTATGATAACTTGCTTCGTCGTAAGAACGGCTGTTTGTATTCGGAGGCATCAGTGACTATCGAACCAAAAGAGAAGTGGAAAACTAAGCTTTATCACCCCGCAAGCCTAAAAAAATAAAACACTCAAACCAAAGAATGAATGAAATCAAACCACGTGAGTAAGCTTGATTGCCAAAAAATGATTGGCTTGATTTTTTTTTTCTTTTTTCAATGGAAATGAAACAAGCATCGACATTTTAAGGTTATCGTTTATTTTTACAACCAATGACAGCAGCCCTCGCCGTGAGGGGAACCGAATGTCCGTCACCAAGAAAAAAATATATTCCTTTTTCTTCTGCTTTACCATCACTTCTCTCTGGCGATTTTTTCCCATGATAAGCGAAACTTGAGGTTAGTGTAACCTATGGTAACGTCTGGATTTCCATTGTAGGTCACCAGGTTCGGCTTGGATTATTGATGAGACGAGACGAGACGATGTGGGTGGAGGTGGTACGTAAAACAGCCACAAAATAAAAGGTCAATTCGTATTTTAGTCGAAAGTGACTTTTAGGTGGTTGGTTGTAGCTTTTAGATTTCTTAAGCAGTTGACATGAAATTGCTATTTGAGGTGGAAGCCTGTTTTATTTGTATACACGAGGTTGCGGGTTTTTCAATAATACCCCACATCTCCTGCAGTTGACTATTCATAAAACGGAAATAAAAAGAAATAAGAAACCCTCACAGGAGGAAGAATTTGAGGCCGCGCAGAAAAATATAAAAAGGTGACTCTAGTAGGTGTGCTGGCGAGCCCTACGGCGTAGTGGTTATCTTCTTCCTTTGTGCCTTGCCACTTTTCGGGTAGCATGCCGGTGGTACGAATGAGAACGAATGTTTAGGAGGAAAGCGCGCCCGGGTGGAAGCTGGAAGTTGTGCTGATTAGGTCCGCCGTTTCTTATTGATCCGATTGCGTCTTGTACTTCGAAAAAAGCCCATGTCCTTGCCTTTGCCAATCAATGGTTTTTTGTATTAATCGAGGAAGACCCAATCTATCGTCAGCCTGCAAAGTTGGTAGCATGTCGGTAAAAGCAGGTTCGGGGATGACACTGGCAGCATGAGATGAAGATGATGATCCGAGGAGTGACGGTATTAACCGTTCGCCCTGACTTGATTCGGTTTCAGTGCAGATTGTGACGCTTGCATAAACCTAGTCGACATACTGAATCCATCTTTTGCGTGGCGATGATCGTCGGCCCGATGGTGTTGACGGTCGCCTTGATTCGGATCGAACGGACAATGAAGCTTGTGCATAAATCGAATCGACAAATTGAATCCCATCTTGTGCGGATTATTTGATACGCTGACTTCTCGGTGTCTCCTCACAACGTTGTTGCAATACTTCCTCGATTTGCATGTTTGCGGGGAGACGACCAGCAAACAATGTCTCACATCCTCGTGGCTTCAGGGGTCTGACTTAAATGTATTCCGGGCAATATCAAAAAGCTTCACAATGGTCGGGTCATCACGAACTTCCAAGGATGCAAGGGTCCATCAATTCTTCAGTTAAAGTGTGCCAGCGTCAACAAAGGATTCAAGAGTAAAGATAATTATTTATGTGGTTGTCTACAACAACAACATCCCAAAATGGGACGCGGTGACATTTGACGATTCATTGTTCTGGCCGCCACATAAGCATTTGTAAGCCAGGAAATCCGCTCACTCCAGAATAATAATTCTCTTCTTTCAAACCGATACGCCAAGCAAACTTCATATAACAGCCCGTGCTGACCAACCAGACCAAAGCCTTCTCAATGTTCCCCTCTCGTTACATGCCAACTCATGCTCGATACACCTAAAATTATCATGGTTTCGAGCGTACTAGGTACAGTTTTATAATACGGTATTCTTGTCCATAACTGACGACTCCGTGATTGTTTCTTTCTTTTTCTTGAAAGCGACCAAGCCAGAGATGTCTACTCCCCAGAGCCCCCCGAATGGTCAACTGTGTTGAATTCCTTCGTTGTTTACGCCCCCCACGATCGTCATCCAAGTGAATGCCTGCCGTTTCTAATCAGGGTCGAGCCTATTGTTGATGAGGTTTTCTACCTCCAGGTGATCGATTGTTGCTTGCAGTTGGCAAAGATGCACAAGCAAGTCCCCATAGTCATCGTCATTGGAACCCGTGACACCACTAGAGATATCAATTGGAAGACAGGAAAAGGGACGACCACTTACCCTTTGCAAGACATCTTGTGTGCGCTGGCTGGGCAAGAACGTTTTACTTGTTGGACGGCACCTCGATTTGGCCATTTCTTGACTATTTGCCTTTGAACCCTTTGGTGGCGCTGACTCACTTCTTCATCGACCAAACGTCGCTTGTACCCGTGGAACGGCGTGATGATCCGACCATTGTGCGGCTCGATGAGATTGCTCGGGACGTAGTTCTATCTAAACTCAGAAGTCACGAAGATGTGGATCATACCTTGATGGAAACCTGCCAGAAAGGGCGCATGCAATTCATGGAAAACGACAAAAGATTGGAACAAGATTACAGGGTGCTGCAATAATGCAAGGGCGTATCAGACAGTACGCGAAAGATGGCATTAAACTTATCGATTCAATTTCTGCACGCCCTGAATTGTCAGATATACTTATTTTCTCATCGCTTCTCCCTTCTCCACTTCTTTATTTCTTCCAACTTTCACATGTGTATAAGCCGCATCATTGTTACAGTAAGCTTATTTTTCATTTGCTTTGGTCTTTACCGACTAAGGATGGATGCTCAGCTGTTGTACCTGTGTTATGAAGCGATATGGTGTAAAATGGGATGGTGAACCTTGATTAGTTGACAGCCACTACGCCATATTCCGCTCAGAATTGATCCGTTGGTCCTATCTGCTATTTTTTCTCGTGTTTCAGGAAGCTTGTAGATGATGTATGTTGTTTTTGCTTGTCAGATAGTGTTGTGAATCTGTTGCTTGATGTATGAAGCGCAAATCGGAACGAAATATTGAGGAGAGGCGTGAAAAACAACGCATCATGCAGCAATGAACTTACAGCATAGGATGGATACACCATAGGAAAATGAAAAAAAACACAAGGACAACTAACCAAAAAAAAAAAAAAAAAAAAAAAAAAAAAAGCCTTCTTTTATGCAATTGATAAATGGATAAAATAAAGAATACAAGTCAAGCAAGCTCTCTCGGTCTTTTATTCAACTACTGTATGCATATGCAGAAATGGACAGGTATCACATCAAGCCGACTCGGCTGGGCATGACGTGATTTTGAAAAGTTCAAGTGCTGACAAGGAAGAAATTTGTCTACAAATTTGATAGACCAAGAAGTAGGGCTCAGTGATCGAGTTGCCCATCCCCTCTATGATAGTCTTCCACAGGGGATTCAAAGGCCCCCAAACAAAAAAGTCCGCATGAGGATTACCGAAATTCAAGTCGCCGCCAGTATGGGATCAGGCAAAGGGCGGACTGCCAGGTTTCAACGAACGTCATAGTAAAAAACGATTGCAGTTTCGGAATAGATCATACCCATATCCACTTTGGTGCCTGATCAATAATCAAAATCATCGAATCCATATGTCTATCAACTCTGCTTTGTCTGCCAACTAAATTGGGTGAAAGCGGTATTCTAAAAAGAACAATATTCACGGCTGGCTTTTTCGGTTTTGGGGATATTACGCAAATTAGGAAAAAACCCTAAAGGTCATAGTGCGCACCAAATCGGATGCATGTGAACGAAAAAAAAAGAGAGAGAGAGAGAGAGATATTTTAACCCCAGGGGAATAGAGACGCTATTAGTATAAATACAAAAAGGAAAAGGATGGAGTACCAATGATTATTGGGCATGAGGGATATCGGTATTGGGTACGGACTGCTGTTTCTCCACGGCTACCACCTGTTTAGTTTCGTTCTCCACCATTTTCCGTTCGATCTCCACAATGTATCGCCTTGAGAACACTTCAATGTAATACGTGGCACCGTTCCATACGCTCGTAGCAAACATGGCGATGAGAAATAGCGAGTGTAGCCAAAAGTATTTGTACAAAAGATATGTCGGCATCGAGGTCACTACGTTGTACACCAATTGAAGCAACATAAACATATGCAGCTTGTACTTTGATCCAAAGCAAAACGCCGCTTTTTGGATGAATCCTTTTTTGCCATGGGTATCGTTGAGTAACCATGAATACGAAGTCAGTCGTAAACCCGATTCGACCTTTTCGCGTCGTCTGACCATCACGAAAATGAAATACAATGCTTGCCATACTGCGTATGCCAACGTTGAGTAAATCATGGCATCCTTGAATCGCATATGAGATAGTTCAGCCAAAGCGGGGAATCGAGCATCGCGGTAAGCTTTGGCAATGTCGGAACTGCTGCAGTAACTGTCCGTTTGCAATTCCGGCATCCATCGGATAATGTAGGTGACGAGAGGAGGGAAAATGTGGATAAAGACGGAGGTGACCTTGTCGAGCGAGTGAAAAACCAACGAATTCCGCCATGTGACAATAGCCCACGCGACCGGACCATTGGTAAGACAGAAAATAGCGATAAACAGTTCCTTGCTCCAGGGTAACGCTTGCAAGAACAGTATCATCATTCCGTTGACAAAATAACACATGTCAAAAATAAAGTAATGCCACCGTTTGGATCGATAAATCACATAGCGCAACGTCAGCAACAGCACGAGCTGTGTACTGTAAAAGCCGGGAATCCAGCTAGGGTATCGTAGGGCCAAGGCCGGCGCAACGCACGCATTCGAAACGCCAATCACAAACGAAATCTTGTCACGCAACTGTACGGTCTTGGCATCCTTGTTCATTCGTCGATCGATGGCATTGTAGTGTCGTTTCAGTTGCTCCTGAATGCGGATTTTGCGGTTTTCCAACTTGTTGGTTTGTTTTCGCAATTGTTCCTTGGTTTTACTTGTCCATTCACTTGACTTGACCCGGAATTCACGCTGTTTTTCGTCCAGTTGACTCGACACCTGTTCAAGGGCCGCCGAAAGCATGTCGATCATGTCAAAGTCATTCTCGGATATAAAGTCGGCTGTCGTCCAACCTTCCAGATCATCCAGATCGTCATTGTCAAAGTCACCGAAATCCCCCGTGGACGAATACTCTCGAGTCGGTGGAGGAAGTACCACTTCTGATTGTGTCATGTGAGATTCAAAAACTTTCAGGAACCGTGTAAAGCCAAAAAATAAGATAAAAAGATAAAAAAAAAAAAAAAGTGAGGCCATCGTGATTTAAAACGAGCGATCTTTCTTTTCAGATGGATCACGTGAGACTAAAAAAATATGGATCTTATTCGATCTGGCACCACGCATCGCCACATCCAGCCACGTTCAGAATACAACCGAGAATGAGCTGCATAAATATACGCGCAACGAACTAAAAAAAAGACTTCCGATTTTACCTGTTTTTTTCGGGATAGAGTAGGAAAACCATGTCGTTTGATATTAATCGATCTCGACACGGAGATCATGGTCCGCCGGGCGACCGGGAACACCGAGGTGGAAAGCATAGGCACGACAAGCAGCCGCACGAACACCAACAGCAAAACAACAACCAACCTGATAAGCATATTGAGCATCACGGGAAACACTCGGAAGGACATGACCGGAAGAAGCAACATGACAGCAGCGGCCGTGCCCAAGGTAACCCCGCAGACAGTGGTACAATCAATCAACCTCTCACGGTAAAATAGAGAATAATCATCACGCACCCATGTCACCACCTCCTTTGGAAAATCATGGCGCACCGGTGATTGAAGACAAAAACGCACCTATACATGAACAACGATTGGAAAAGCCTCCTTCTCCTCAAGATCAAAATCCTCCTCAAGTCGGAGATCGAGATCGGGTGCTGCATGACGGGGCATCCAAGGATCCTTCCGCAGAACAGCTGTTGTCTAGGCCTCCACTGATTCCCGAAAGTGTTATGTCTTTGGTTCCCACATCGGTAGCCGCCGTTTCGAATCCTGCATCCGAATCCGCAGCTACCACGACTTTATCGTTGGTGACTTCGGAACCGGATCCGGCTTCGATGAATAAGCTTCCAATGGCCGCGGCTTCACTGAATCCTCCTCCGGTGGCAACCACAGCTCCAGCTGCTATCCCACCGCCTGGTCCACCTCCACCTGGCGCTGCTCCGCCTGGTCCACCTTCTGGGCAAACGCCTCCACAGTTGCCACCGCAACAACCGCGGCCTCAACCGAATCCAAATGCCCAACACGGCACCGTCCCTGTTCTCTATCCTCCAAGGCAACCCAATGTGGCCGCTCAACCGCCAGAACCACAAAAGTCGTTGAATTTGCCACCTGGAAGCGATCTGGGAAAATTGGGCCAAATTGGTGTGTTCCAAGCCGGGGCTACAACCTCGGCTCAAATCGATTACATCTTTCTGTGCTTTATACTTTTAACGACGATGTTTCTCGTTAGAGGACGTCACCATGGTATTTGAAAAAAGGAACAGGTTGCATATCAACAGATATGAATTAAGTATCAACATGATCCAATTAAAACCATACGGATCACTACCATGAAAATAAGTAAATTATATGGAGAGAATAAAAAGAGAGGGAAAAAAAAGTATGCTAGCTAGAAATGATCAAAAATGAAAATATAAATGAAAAAACTATTTTTTTTTTGTAGGAGTTCACTAGGTTTTGGCAGTTTTTTGCAACTGTGAGACGCCTTTAGAATGCTTGCGAAGGGGGAGTGTCTGGTTTATGCACAATGTTAGTGTATCCTGGTTGCGGTAATGGGTGAGGTTCTGAATAGTCGATTTCATTGGGAACGTGGCGATGAAGGTATGCGGGCGGAGCCACTTGTTCCGCATACGGTGAAGCATAATGCGCCATGTTGCCGCTGCTTGAAAAGCTGGGGTTACCATAGACACCATGGGTAGGTGCTGGGTAACCATGGACACCGCTGGGCTGTTGAGCGTAACCACCACCACCACCGTATAGTCCCATTTCTTCTTCACCACCGGTGGGGGCCAGCGGCGCTACTAACGGACGCGCTTTCGGTATGTTTTGCATGGGCATTGTCAACGAGTGGTTATCCGTCATGGTTTCCGTCGGATAAAACATGTGATCTGGATCTCCTCCGCCATTTTCGGGTGTTGTTTTGAAAAACGTGCTTTGACGTCTCTTTCTGCGTTTCAAAATAAATAATCCCATGAGGCCTAGCCAAACACGAAGCAGCATGCAGCAAAAAAACAAAAAGTCAGCCGATGAATTCACTGGGTCCGCAGAGAGAATTTTTGAAACATACCGATCACGGCGACAAAAGCAACCGCACCCACCACACCACCAATGATCCCTGACTTGTTCGACGATGGTTCTTTGGTCGTTTCGTCATCGCCTCTCACTGTGGTAGGAAACACGGTATAAGAAGTACTTGTAATTGTAAGCACTCGATCGCCGGACGACGTGACGGTAATAACAGGAACACCGGATGAAGTCATGACTGTTTTACTAGGTGGAGGCGCTTTGGTCGTTGGTTTGGAACCGTCGGTGGTGGTAGGAGGCTTGGGTTCTGTCGTGGGAGGAGGAGGAGCCGTCGTGTCTTTTGTAGGATCCGGACGATCCGGTCCAGAACTTGTAGTCGTAGGTGGTCGTGGGTCTGTAGTTGTAGCAGGAGGATCATGCTAAAAATCATAACAACGAAAACGTCATATCAGTGATTAGACTTGTTTATTCATGAAAGCCTGTCTTGTTGTTGTTGTTGTTATGGTATGCTTACCGTTGTTGGAGGTGTGGTGACTGGTGGAGGGGGATCGGTCGTGGTAACAGGAGGTGATGTTGGATTGGAAGTCGTTACAGGTGGTGCATCAGTGGTGGTGCTAGGTGGTGGAGGGGTCGTAGGTGGGCTCGTCGGTGGATCGGATGGAGCAGACGTTCCGGTATCGTTAGGTCCTGGAAGCACCGGTGGTAGGCTCACAGGAACATTGGGTAGATCCATGATGATACTACAAAAAAAAACTATATAATCGGAAAGGAAGGAAGTAAAAGAGAGAAAAGAAATATACGCAGTATGTTTATTATCACTTTTTTTTTTCCTCTTTCCAAGAAGCCGTCCTTTTTTTGAAAAAGGTAAAAGAGGGTAAAAATAGACGCACGCTTTACCAACCGATCCGTTCGCCATGGTTACACATGCCCTGAAAATGACCGTTTGTGTAGCTTAAAATTTCCTTTTCCTTCCTAGAATAGAACAGTGGAAAAAGTCAAATGGAATCTTGCGTCTTTTTTCAGTATCCGTCTATAAAGACATGTATGGAGTTCTAATTCTATCCTCCAATGCTTTCTGTTTATTCAGTCACTGACTCCTCTTTCTCCACTGTTACTGTTTCTTCCGCCGATCGTGTTTCCTTGCCATCTTGAGGTTTGCCCGCATTGTTCAATCCCAGCAGACTCTCAATGTTGTACTTTTTCAGCTTGGCAAAATCAGTCACCACAGACATCATGCAAATATTCTAGCAAAACGGTTTCTTATCAATCTCCCGTACCCGATATAGATGGTTCCGGTATGTACACCCCTTAACTTTTTCATCCCTTTTCTCCTCTCTTACTTACTTGACACACTTCCACAATGATTGTGTATTCTGGATTCTCGAGATCCACTTTATGCGGAGAACCAACGACACTGGCCAACGTTTGTATGACTTGTGCTCGGTCCAATTTCGTGCAATTGCGGATGCGGGCAACAATGGCAAACTAGACAAACGGGTTACAATTTTAGTGTTCAATGCAATTTATCCTTTTTCTTCTTTTTTGACTTTCCCCTTTTTTTCATGATGATACTTACTGTTTTAACAATTGGATTGCCTGCGTCATCGACGGTATCAAATTTGGGTTTAATGACTTGCGCACCAACTCTTTCAATTTCTGGTAAATTCGATTGACAGGTCTTTTCGACTGGCAAAAATCGGGAAATATATCGCGTCTTTTGAATCTGCTTTTCGTTGATGTCTGTTAAGATCGAATGCACAAACTGCACGGGTTCAATCGGGGGCAAAGTCCTAATAAAAGCAACTGCCCATCAAAACGAGTTAGGGACCGTTTCTTTTTCCCCGATCCGGTCGTGCGCTTCCACTTACGACAACCCGTATTTGTGCTGATATTCGCAAAACGTTTCTTTTGTTTTGGTGCTTTCATAGCAGCGACTTCTTTTGCGATAGAAGCTTCAATGTCATCGTCATCGTCTTCCTCATCCTCGTTGGTGTCAGCCGTAGTTTCGGCAGGATATAAAACATTGGCATACTAGTTTTCGTCAACTCAGGTCAATCTCACTTTTGCATTATTCCATGAGGTATCTTTTCTTACATCTTGGAATACGTCCAATGCTTCTTTCACCGCTCGGCCTTCTTTTCCGCGAGCGCACATGACGAGTACACCACTCATATCTGTCTGAATAGCAAACGCTCCTTTGCCTTTGTTGTATTGTTCCTTTGATCGATAAAGTTCAAACGCATTGTCCATGCTGCCATGATCGAGATGTATAAAGTACCTTGGCACAGTGATACGTCTTGGTGCGCTTCTTCTTGCTTTCTGATTTAGTCGCGAAACCTCTCTTCATTTTCGTCACGATTCAATGCTTTGTAAGTTTGTGATAATTTTTTTTGCTCTTCTCTTTTTTTTATATCCTTTTTTTATTGGTCTAAAAAATAGTCACAAGCGGCTATCGTCCATGCTCGACATCCGAATCCTCGTCTTCAAGGAAACTCTCGTCTAAACCACGATCGAAAGCCGAGAACTCCACCGACGGATCCCTGCCGTAGTCAGGTAAAGCATCGAAATCCACCCGTGTTGACCGTGCATTGAGAGAATATTGATTTCTATCACCACATCATCAGCATGAATTCTAGTCAGATATAAGAGGCATGACTCACTTGCGGATCATCATAAACAGTCGAAACACCTGAAACGAGTTTCGAATCACCAACAGCACTGTATCAAAAATGGCTTCACTTCGTTCACCCACGGAACAGCCGGTGGCCAGCACCACCAATGTAATTGCACACAGTCCAACAAGCACAATATCAATGATATTCCAAACCGAATGCCAATACGCCTATTGCATTGGCTAAGTCATGCGTTCCAGGTCTCTTTTGTGGTGATCAAATGACTATTCAAAGTTACTTACCCGTCGTAAAGCGAGCAATCGGACTGTGACTTCGATGATCATGGCAAGGTTGATAATGGCTTCAAAAATGATGAATAGCAGTGACGGACTAGGCACAGGTGTCAATATGATGGGCTTCATACGTTGGCTAAGGATTATCAATCAAGGTACAAGCGGGAGCTTACCAAGTTTCTTTGATGGACTATTGGAATGGCCATCAGCAAGTTCTCTTTATGCAATTCTCCAGGACCTACCATCACAATCGTCACCAGACTTAGCAACGCGAGCCCGATATACAGCGCAATATAATATCTAGAGTACATGAACCGATTCGCCATGCCTTGTACGATTTCCGACTTTGTAAGCCCGTGTTGTGTGCGTAGCGACAGTAACGGGGGCCTATTCGTTGTGCATAGTGGCAAGAATAACAGCCGAAACCAGGCAATTAGAAAACCAGTTATAAACCGTTGGCTGTAGAATTAATTACCGGTCATCCTCAGACGCCAGCATGTGCATTCGATCGTCGTCTTCCATGAGTGCCATGGTGATTAATGGCCGAATTATGTACTGATACTAAAACAAGAAGTATGTGCTTTACTTGGGTGCACAAAATTCGTTTCACTCAGCGCAACGAGCCCGTGACTGTAGTTTAGCCGGTCAGCCGAAAGCAGCAAGCTTTGAACTTTATTAGATCATGTTGGACGGCCACTTTTCATGTCTTTCTTTTACATTACTATTCATAAGCTAAATTTAGCCCATTTAATAGAAACTATTCTCATGAAACCCCTTTAACCAGCTCCTTCCTCCTTTTTAAACATCTTGGCAAGTCGTTCACCAAATAAAAAATGGCATATACAGTAACGAAACTACCTTATTGGTTTTGTGAGTCAGCGTAGGCAAGTTATCGTACATTCGTATTATTTTCCTCTTAGCAGAAAGGTATGTATATGACTGTACTCCTTCAAACTTCATTGTGGCCAGTTACTAGATACAAATTATCGCCAGAGTCATACTTATCAACTTTTGTCCAATTACTTTATCAATGCAGGAGGCCCTTTTTTGCTTCATTTTGGTACGCCTTCGTTTTCAAGCAGAATTGTCTAGACCAACTTTAATAGACACTCTGAACATAACCAAAGAGCATAGCTTGTTAAAGCGTCAATAAGAAGAAAAAATCGAGGCACACCAGTGCTTTAACAACCGACTCAATTGAGTCGATCCAAAAAGTAATCGAAACCGGTCATTTTGAATTGCTGTTACAGTATTTCACTGGATTTTTATCATCAATCGGCTTATGTCTTTTTGTAGTAGGTAATGCTTTTATTCGAAAATAACTTTAGGTCACCAACTTCATCCATAACTGAAAAAATAAACCGTAAAAAGCAATCGACTCAACTGAGACGATTACCCTACTCAGTACTTGTTAACTTTAACTTAGCGACATTACCTCGCCTCTTTTTTCAAATTCGATTTTTTTGGAAAAAAGAAAAAAAAAATTATCCAGTTAGACATCAAGTTCCTTCAGGCTTGAGCGTCAAATTGATGCAAAAATTTGAATCAGCGTGAACCCGTGTTCACTTGGACATTGCTAGATCTACCAGGATTTGCCACCTCAACAATCCAGATCGGAGGTGTACAATACTATTTTAGATCCATGACAAGGAAAATTGGATAAGCTGCGGTGCTACATCTGCTCCGTTGCTCAAATTCGTAAAAAGGTCACCTCACGCCCAACTCAACTGAAAAAGAGTTTAGTTATCCAAGTGGTAATGGTATCATAAAACTGTAGTCATTATCTTGGTTTATGGAGTATACAAAGGTAACATGGGAATTAGGGACAAGTATTCTAAGCGGCCACTGAAGGTTGAGGTTGGGTTTCTGTCGCGGCGGTGTTGGTTTCCTTCAACAATTTTTCGCTCTATCAGGATATAGTCAGTATCTCCTTTTTTTTACCCACACTACTTCATCAAACCACATCCAATAGGTTTACCTGAATCTTTTTTGCTTCGTAATGAACGGCGGCTACCTGAGCAAAGGTTTGATTTGCCAAGCCGTGAACCTTTTGACCCGTAGGCGTTTGAAGCGCGGTTTGAGCGGCGTTTTGAACCTTTTCTTGGATTTTATACTTTTGATCAATTTCCAACGCCTTGTCCCAAATGCGATATTTCTCGTCAAATGTCTTGACACTGGATTGCAGAGCGGACAAATAGCCAGTAAAGCGGTTGGAAAATCCATATTTGTGATCGTAGGCCAAACCCTTGGCCACCACTTGATCTTGCAGCAAGTATCCGTGAGCGAGAATCTCGGCGGCAATACGCGATTTTGCCTTGGATTCCTGAGGCGTCTCAGTACCATGGGTAGTTGACTGATCGTGCGCTTCCACGGATTTTTCAGATTCGTTGCTGGAGGATTCCTCAAAATAGGATGACACATGAATATGGCAATTGTCAAGTAACGCATCGCTGAGTAAAATGGCGGTCTTGGCAGCCGATTCACGTTCAAATTCGATCACAGCCACTTGATGGGCACCATCATCATCACTACACGATATACAGTCCGTTTCCACTCGTTAATCACCCATACGATAAGTTACTGATCCTGCTTGCTCCTGCTTGACCAAACCAGTTCTGCCATGTATTGCCAAGAAATGCATGTACTTACGTTGTCAGTTCGAACTGCTTGAGTTTACCGCAAAATGAAAAGAAGTCCTTGACTATCGAACATGAAACCGCCATTCTTAGCACCGAGGATTGGCGAGCAGGATATAGGGCATCAAAAGACTTACCTGTCTTTTCTGAGGATTGCAAGGAGATGTTCTTCACTTGTACAAAAGTTGCTGAAGGAGTTTCAGGGATCTAAAAGTTGAAGGATGATGAGTCATCGTTTTATGATAATGAGGTATTCTTCGTTGAGTACTTACGGTAACGTTGTTCCAGGCAGGCATAATGATGATATGAATATGGTAAAAGAGAGTAAAGAAGAAGAAAGGTATTAATAAAGCCTAATTAGGTCCGGGCAATTTATTTGGAAAACAGAGTGAGTTTCAATGCCAAAATAATTGGCATGTGAAGAAAAAAAAACCAGGGCTGTCTGTGCTTTCAATTAACATGTGAAAAGAAGCCACAGCGAAACACGTGAAATTAAGGTTGGCGGACTTGGCAGTTCGTGTTGCTGCAAGGAAAAAGCCGATTAATGAAGCATGCCGGCGGTTGTGTTACCTGCACGAAATGATCCACACTTGAAGCACTGACATCATACGATTTATATTGGGAATCACTTTTTGGTGAACCGATATTTTTTGTGCGGCAATGCTTTATCATCATGAAACCATTCTCATCTTTGGACGATGTTTCAAGCACACTATCGGCCGTGTCCACTCGAAAGGCGTTTCTATATAGCCGGTTTGAATATCCAGTATTACATGTGTCAGTGCCTCTAATATTGGCCTTCTACGCGACAGATTTTCATGTGATTTTTCAATTATTGAAGAAAAATATTTGAGACGCTCAAACCTTGTTCCATCCTGAATTTTGAAATGGCTTACAATCGTTGATGTCTCTTCTGTTTCCCTCCTCAAGTGGGAACAATCTATTCCCTTCTTCACACCATTGGTATAGCTTGAGAAAGAGGCATGAAGACCTCGTGCAATATGTCGCGTGAACAGATCTTTGATAATTGGTCAAATAAATTGTTGACCATGCTTATCAACTGGTAATCACATTGTAATTCACGAAAGATACTGTAGGATGGTTTATTGGGCGTATTTTCCGACGTAGAAATACCCTGGAACATCCAGCCGAGAATCTGGTTTTAATTTGAGGTTAAGATGCTTGGCTAAAATAGAGACTTATCCTGTAAAATAGTGCTCATAAATAATGCACGTTGTTACAGTCGATAAAAATTCGTGAGATCGTTTCGGCTGGTTGATATTAACTACATAGCGTCCCATATCCTTTGTTCATATGTGCTATAGGATGATGATCCGAAGTATGAATGGTAAATTTGATGCATGGATCATACAATCTTCCATGCAGGAAAAAATTTCGGCAACAGCGCCTCTAACCAGTTTTATCAATAAAATAAATAGATGATCCTGTAACACGGTCGAATCATGCAAATAGCCAGCAAATGACGGTGGAATGATTTCCATCATGAGTGACAAAAACGAATACGCACTAATGATTGCATAGTGGAACTGCGGCGTCCCATATCTCATGAATACAGAATTGGCCTATATTGATAGCTATTTGGTAAGAAGAAGCGAAATCATGGCGTGCAAGGTTGCATGGTAGAAACATATGTAAATTTCTTTATACAATGCGTAATATAGCATCACAAATACAATTTGAAGAAAATCAGTGCAGGCTAATTGACAGTAAAGCAATTTCCTTAAAGGATCTTATCATTGTGCTCTTTGGCGACGAGATCGACGACGAACATTGGGGTCTTCCTCCTCACTCTCACTGTTGCTTTCGTCTTCGTCGTTGTCTTCGTCATCATCACGACTGTTTCTCCTACGACCGTTTCGATCACTGCCAGCTTCGTCTTCCTGATTGCTGTCAGTATCGTCCGGTCCCCAACCATCCGATTGCAATGAATTAAATCGCCGATTTCTCATGATGGCTGTCAATATAGCAATAATATTACGGGAATAAACCAAGTCGCCACCTTCGCTGAGTCGATTATCCTGATTTCGTCGAACAATATCGTCCATATCATACATACGAGAGGAGGGCGACCATGACGTTTTTAAATGAGGTTCCCATGTCCGAGACGTTGTAGAGGGTGATGCCATCGGTTTGAACAGTTTCACGGTGTCATCAATGCCGGAAACCGCCATGATAGGAAGAAAAGGATGTCCCTAAATCCAGAGAATGGGATATGAGTCATGTAGTCTATTGGAGTAACAAGGAAAGCTGGACAGTTACCTGAATCACATTGACGGTATCTTCATCGCCTTTCAGAATCTGCACAATCTTTGTAGACTTCTTGTCCCATACGAACACCAGACCATCGTCACTACCGGACACGATATATTTATCGTTGGGGCCATAAAAGTTCACATCTTTGATGGTCTAAAGCGTGATAAAATCAACCACTATCCTGCCACTTCAAGGGGTACATCATAGACTTACCCTGACATTACAGTGGCCAGTGTATTTTTGGCGATAACCAACCACTTCGACATCGTCTTCCATTCGATCGCGATCGGCAGGTACCATAATATTATTGTATACATCTTCCGACATGGAAAGGAAATCGCTATCAATGTCATCCATCGGATGGTCAGTGCTTTCAGTCCAGAACTCTGTCGTATTCTCGTGCTCGTCATCACTGACTTCTTCGTCTGAGCTTTCTTCGTCCACATTACCATGGTAAGCACGTCGCACCGGGGCAGTCTCCGCTTCAGAATCGGTGACTACATCTTGATGCTGACGCGCGCGGGATGGAGAATCTGCAGTTGACGAGACCTGAGAGGGTTCATTTCTACTGGGACTTGATTGTAACCTTTCATTGTCGTTTGATATAGCCAAAGATGCAGACCGTTGTTCCTGTTGTGAAGTACTTTGCTCGCCATTTTCCAAATTTGAGCCGGGTTCATCCGTGGATCCTCGTTGACCGGGAGGAAGAGACGGAAGTGGAGAAAACGGTGTGAATATGTACATGTATTCAAGCCATCTATATCGTTCTTTGACAAATCGAAGTGGATCGGGGTTGGATGAATCTGTGTCGTCGCTTTCGCTTTCAAGCTCGTCCAATGATACATCCATCCAATCGTTCTTGATGGCTTGTCGCACGTCATATGTGAACCACTTTATCATGGGCAACTCGTCACTACTTGAAATGCTGCTATCGTCATCATCCTCGTCCTCATCCTCGTCCATATCGTCCTTATCGTCGTCTTCGTCGTGTACATCGTCCTCGCTCTCCAAGTCTTCATCCAAGTCCTCGTCTTCACTCAAGTCCTCATCGCCAAATGAGTCTCTGTTGTCTTCAGAGTCCTCATTTTCATCTTCATCTTGATCAAGGGACACTCGCGGGTCTTCATTTAGAGCAACGTGGTCCAACGGATTTATCTGAGGACTCTGCACCGAATCGGAACCTGCATCATCTTTCTTAGAGCGCGCATAGTATGCAAAATCGGCAAAGTCGTAGGCTTTGTGAAGCCATTCTTCACGATCTTCGCATCCGTTGCTTCGTGTTCCCCCGGCGGCGATAAAATAACCCACGGCAAGGCACCAATATCCTTCCCAAATCGGCGGCACGAGCGATTCGGCTTCCTGCATATATTTACGGGCCAAAGCCACTTCTTCCTCAGCCACTTCATCCAATCCGTTCTCGGTGTCTCTCATAGCCACTTCTCGTTCATAGACCCGCCGTAAATGACAAGCTGCTAACATGGACAGTTCCCAGATGGCAAGTGTGCGCTTTCGGTACTGTTCAGCTAGATCCATCCCTTCGGATGTGCCTACGGTGTACCTGGAGAATTCGGAAAGCATCTCCAATGCCTCGTTCAAATCCCCTTCGTAAAACGCCTCATGAATAATAGCCATGTCATTAAAATAAGAAGCGTTGATGCGACCGAGAAATCCATTTCCTTTGTGTGCAGATGATTGACTAAAGGTGCCGTTGCTGCAGCCAGCTCCATATGTTGGTGAATCGTTCATATGGAAAAGATAAATGTCATCCGCCGACCAACTGCCTAGCAACTATTTCATTCCGTCAATAACCATTTCATCGCAACTTTGTCCGTAAAAGTCCACGTACCTCCTCTCCGTTCGATTCACTGAATTTGCATGCGGTGATGTGCTTATTCCGCCGTCGTCGACCATCCGAACTTGCGGTAAACCGTTTAATACATCTCGAACTATTGGCGTGTGTCTTATTTCTTCCTGCCCCGCCCCCACCGTTACGCCCGGAGACCATCCGTCGGTCGTGCAGATAGATGTAGTCGTCCATACCAGCAATAGCAAAATACTGCGGATGGATCTTGTTAAGGGAAATCGTGTTGATATCGATACCGTATCGACTGTAATCAACGAGTGGCTCAGAGCAGCCTTCGCGAACGCCTTCTCTTCTCTGAGATGGATATTCGCGTGATGGCCGTTGTGTGGCGGTAAGGAAGGAGCGGGAATTGTGTGGTGTGCATATGTGAGGTTCGCGAAGATCGAATTGACGGATCGTGCCTACGGTTTATGGCGTAAAATACATCAGGAATCACATCCTTCTTTGTTATCCCTGATTGAACTATACCATCTTCGGAGCAAGTAAGGAATTCATACGGGTTGTTGTCGTCAATGGCAATGCGTTTCACGCGATCGTCATGACAGGTATAAATATGCATGGGACGGTGCATATCTTCGGCGTTGAGGTCGAAAACACGAACTTCGGAATCGCCCGCCGCCGATACAATGATATGGTCGTTTGTCTTGGGCATAAACACAGCAGAAAAAATATTGGCTCGATGGCCTTTTTACAAACGCAGCAACAACAAGAATATTAGTGGGCATGTTATACAACAGGGTTTTTCTCCCGCTGTCCAGCAGCATACCTGTTTCAATGGTGATATTGTACTGATAATCGAGATACACGGACCATAGGATCAGGTTCATATCGTCCGAGCCGCTTAAAAGTTGCTCACCTCGCCGGGACCAACTATAACACGTACGATCAGTGATCAGATTGGGTTGAATTCTTTGGTGAATGAAGGCCATTGACATACTAGAGTGAGTTGACGCAACCAGTGTGACCCGAAAGCACCCGCTCGAGCGTCATGCGTGCCATCATTTGCTCGTCCCCATAGACATTCTGAACTGTAATAAGCATGTGAGCAACAGAGCCACATTGCCGAAGTCGGGCGAGCCTACTCACCGAACCGGTTTCTAATGAGTTCTTTGTAGGACCGATAGTGGCTGCTGTAGCATGCTCTGTCATGTAACAATTGTTGCAAAGAAGAAGGCATGAGCCAGAATCAGATAATTTGAGAAGAACAAGTCAATGGCAAGAAGGGTTTATTGGGCGATGGTTGGAAAAAAAAAAGAGGAAAAGAATGGGTTGCAATATGAACAGAACGGAAAAAGCTGAGAATCAAAAAAGAGCAGATGCTTCAACAAATCATGCCCGCAAGGAAATTAGCCCTCAGCCATTGGATGTTATCAATCCACAGGACACTCAAGATCCATCTCCAGCTGCCATAGCGGCTTCTGCTTCTTCCAATTCGTCTTGCATGATCTTTTTTCGTGTCAAGGCGATTTTGGCAAGATCTAATCGTTGATGTTTCTTAAATAAAAGAGCCAATTGACGGTCGCGGTCCATCCGAGTCTGTACTGCTTTCAGATAGGTAGCCATGTCCAGGATACCGGTCTGTACTTGAATCACCAGCATATTCATCTTAATCTCCAGTGCCTGTTTTCGATCCATCAAATCTTCTTCCGCTTTAGTGGATTGTTTAGACGACAACGCCGTATTAACTACACGCATTTCGTGCTCCAAGACCATATTGGACACAATACTTTCCACACTAGTGATATCCGAAAAAAAAAATGGTTAATCTCACCTTTGCTTTTTTTTTTTCTATGTAGCCAAAATGACATTTACCTGTTGAGTTCCTCTTCTGCTTGCTCTAATTCTGGAGTATCTGCTGACACCGTTTGCTTACCAGCGGTGCTCTTTTCGGGAGCCGCTGCTTTAATCTCTTGCTTTGCTGATGATGGCGGTGTTGTCATGGATGAATCACTCTCGGCAGCAGCCACGGAGGGCGATGCAGGATTTGAGGTCACAGACGGTGATGGCACTGCGGTATTGGCTGGCGTCTGATATGGACCCGCAGTAAGCCCTGCTGCTGCCATCAGTTGCGACGTATCGTTCTGTACAGCGTCAATCACAAGCCATCTTTCCGATCGTTTCACGACATCTTCCGATGACAGCGGCTCACGCATGTTTACTTGAAGCTCCAAACGGCCTCCTGTTTTCTTACGATTGGCATCCACAAGCTAGAGGCATAGAAAGTTCACCAGTTTACATTCGTTAATGGTCCCAATCCGGGTCAATGAGCGAGAAAAAAGAAGAGACTTACATCAAACCATCCGGATATGGAACATTTGGTTAATAGTCGGTCCAAGGGCAGAATAACTTTACCTAACGAGATGGGCCGTCGAAATAGACCGTAGCTGTATTTCTCGTGAAACACTTCAAGTGTAAGCTTTTTACGCTGGATATACCGGACAAACAGACGATTGGTACGTAAAATGGGTATCTGCAACTCGAAATTAAATTCTGAAGAATCGTTAGCAAAAAAGAAATGAGTAGAGTATCGGTTATTGTTACCTGGATTAACACCTTTTTGTACAGGTGTTTCACCTTTGCCCATGGCTGCTTGCGCCGTATTTTCAGGGGGCCATCCACCAAAGTCATAAGTCACAAATGGGTTGACTTGATGAGCTACTTCAAGTGTTTGTATACCCGATCCTCGTATAATTTTCAGCTCCAGTTGATTCGGTGGGATGTGATCCAGAATGTTGCGATAGGTATAATCGACTTGCTCGAAATGCAGTGATGGCGTTGGAGCATCCGGTGTCTGATCATGGTACGAGCGTAACCACACTAAATCCGCAGCAAACGCTTTCTCTAATTGGGAAAACCGCAGATTGCATGAATCCGACATGGACTTCCCTCCTTTTGATGTACGTCCACCGGCCTGAATGGAAAGATTGTGGCATACATCCACTTGGTAGGACAACTGGGTGCCCAGTTGTTCAAACGTTTGATTGCACGCCCCCGGGCCGAATTCTTTAATATGTCGCATTTTGCCGTCTCCCAAGTGCAAATCCGGTTTGTCGGGTATATTTTTTTCAATCTCGTGAATATCGGTGATGTCGCCCTTCTTCACTTGAATACCAAGCTGTAAAAGATTCTTTGATGTTTTTATCATTTGCTTCGCCACCACCAGGTTTCCGAGCTCCTTGTAGTGCAATGCAGCTTCTTTGTATTCTTTCTGTTTCTCGATAATCTGCTGCAGCAATTTCTGCAGCGCGGCTACTTGCTGGTCATTAATGGGCGGAACCGCGGAGGTGGGTGTTTCAGCGGGTGATGTTGCAGCGGGCGACGTTACAGCGGGCGATGTTGAAGGTTCCTGTATAGGAGAATTCGACTCGGTCAGCATAGGAGGCTGTTGTTGGGATGGAGACGGTAAAGTAAAAGATCTTGGTTGAATGGGTTCCGGTGTGGGGGTAGATGTGGGGAGGCTTTCATTGAGATCGGTGTAATGTTGCTGCAAAACTTTGGAGTGTCTCAATAACGCAACAGCTTTCTTCTTATCACCTTGCCTTTTTGCATCAAGTGCCATTTTCTGATATTGCTGAGCCTTTTCCTTGAGTTGCTGAGGGTCTAGGGTTTCGAGCTCCATCACAATATCCATGTCTTGTCCCATTTCACCCTGCTCAGGAGTGCTCAGGTCTGGCAATTCCTTTTGCTGTTGCTCCGGTTCTTTCATCACGGTATCTGAAGGCGTCGATGTCACATCTACAAGCATGTCGTTTGATGTCTGCGGAACGTTCGATGTAGTGGTGGCGGGGACGGATTCAGCCTCTGTTGTTGCTTCGGCTGGCATGTCTAGTAGGTAGTTGGTAGCGCGCTCGATATCGTCATCAAACATGGATAGAGCTTCCATTGCCTGAATCTGGGAAAATCCCATATTCATCAATTGCAACGCGGCTTCAGTAGGCTTTTTTGATTGCGGAGGTCGAGCGGATGGTTGATTATGGACAGGCTCTGGGGCGGACGATAATGCTGACAATTCGGTCTGAGCGCAGAAGCCGCCGAAACGGGAGGGTCAATCCTAACGACATTCTAAACAAAGTGTATCCACCACTTACCAGTAAATGAGGATCATTATAGTCATCTTCCGTCAATTCTACGTAGACATCGTCGCCGTCTTCTTGGGCCAGTGTCACATAGGATTCCAAGTCCAAGTCGGCAGGTAACGCGACCGGGTTCTTCTTTTGTACTGGTCGCTTCTTAGAAGCGGCCGTCGCACCATGAGGCGATGTGAGGGCTTGAAGTTGTTTCTATCGTAAACCATGCCGGAAGCAATGCCGTGACAGTTAGAGCATTTGTCAGTGAAAACAACTCGCACTCGGTAAGATTACCAGCAACTCGGGATCGTCAAGCTCGGTTCCATCGTCCATGGCGTCTGTTTCTGCCGGAAGAGGCGCATTGAGTAACGCATCAATGTCTGGAAAGTCGAGGTCATCGGTCACTTTTGTTGGTTGTCTGCTGGCAGACGAAGTTCGGGTCGGTCGTCCACCAAACATGATAACTTTGTCGGGATGCAATTCTTCTCATCCGCCTCATTGTGTGCATCAGCCTGTTTCAACTCCCGAAATCCTGCGAGTCACTGGGTCCAGTCACGTTTGCTCAAGGACGCCTCATTCCCGAAAAGGAAATGTAAGGCCCACAGCCACACCGAATGGAAGATTCTTTGCTTGATACAAAGCCTGTATCAAGTGAAAATGAATGAAAGAGGCTTGTATCAAGTAAAATCGGTTTATACAAGGCCTACATAAATTAAAAACGATGCTTGTCCTTATCCAACCATCTTAAACAGAGTGGACGACTGCATCAATGTCTTTTAAGTCTTTGCTGGCGCTCTTGTTACTGATGCTGTAGGTTGCAAAGAAAGACTTTATAACGGAGTAGTCAAAGGCATCTTCAGCGGGTCATTTATAGTCAGAGAATACTATTGGCGAACATTAAATGGCCGCCCAATTGGAAGTGTAGGATCAACTTGTGGTTTGCAAAGGTTGAGGCATGGAGCTGTGAAGCGCAACAATACACGAGCACTATCGGCGATATACCAGAGTCGGTTCACTTTTTATCGGCAAAAAAACGCAAACGTCTGCGTACTCTCTATCATACCATATTCGACAAAATGTAATGTCGATGTAACAATCCTAAACGCAGTAAGAGGCATTTATTATCGTTATCGTATTCTATGCTAGTCCGGTTTATGATGACCAAATGAGTCAGCAAAAGCATGTTTGAATTGAAATAAAATTGAGAGCGGTTTCCCTCTTTTTACTTTCTTCAAGTCTATGAGATATCCTTTTTGATTCTTGCAAGAAAAACCAAGGGTGGCAAGAACACACCACATGGAATAAGAAAAAGAAGTGCGCGAACGACGATTGCAGAGTCTGCTCAGGCATCACTTCAGTAGTTGCTTTAGGAAACGCACATATTTACGTGGAACTCCTGTTTTCTGCACCACAGATAGGTGATTTCGATTATATAATAGTCAAAGAGGAAATACATTATCTTCGGTTTCCATGGCTTTAACATACCGCGATACTTGTGTTATTTGTGCATCCAATCGTCAAGTTAGCAATACAAAGTTTAACCAAATAGCGAGTACGCAAAACATGCGTGTTAGTTGATATGTATGTTTAATGAGGCTTTTGCCAGCGAGCTTGCAAATACAGTGTTTCCAAATGTGCATTGTTTGGGAGGGAATGATTTGGTACGAGAGAAAACACGCGTCACATGAGCCAATAGCAAGCGATCTTTCGCTGGCCAGTGGGTCACCGTGTCCGAATTTCCCCTTTTCAATAAAAGCATGATATGGGAGGCACACAGAGCACAGAACAAGGACGTCATGGTTTCCACGTATTAAAGGCAAGCGACTCTTTCACCGCCTTCCATTTACTAGAACAATGACCCCACTGATACCATGTCATTAGGTCAAAGAGAATTCACCCGCGTTTCTTGCCGGCATTGAGCAGTTCTTCGATTATATTATCAGCATAAATGGCACTTCTCTGGTACTATTTTTCGTATACAAAGACGCACGAGAGCATCGTAGCTAAATCAATTCATTTGTGAAAGGAAAACGGCGACAGTCAGATTCTGTTAAAGACGTTGGAAGAGTCCAAAGATAACCCCGTGACTCTGCAAGTGTATTCGAGTAAGGAAGATGCCATTCGAGGTAAATTAACACTTGGAGGCACAACTTCTCCTGAAAGTGCTTTGACATTAACACAAATCAAAAGAGGTGGTCATTACTCCTAATGACCAATGGCATACCGATCCAAACGAAAAAAGCTTATTAGGTACGAGCATGATGGATGTCTCTGTTGCTGGACTGCGGTAACTGAATGCGTCGATATATAGGTTGTTCAATACGCTTCTGTACTTATGAACGTGCGGGCGAACATGTATGGCACATCTTGGAGGTACTTCCGAATTCACCGGCTGAAATGGCAGGTCAGTCGTATTTGTGTTCAGTTGGACGGCGTTGCGGGCGAGAGCTGACGGCATTTGATATCACAGGCCTTATTCCAGAAAGCGATTTTATCATCGGCAGTCCACACACTGTTCTGAGTAGTGAAGATGGATTCTACAACTTGGTAGATCAGCAACTGGGAAAGCCATTGCGCTTGTATGTTTACAACACTGAATGGGACAGCTGTCGTGAAGTAAGTAAAATGTACTCTCCCAAAATATGGGTACCATTTACCAATGGAATTGGCCATAGGTGATTATTATTCCCAACAATGAATGGGGAGGAGTGGGTTCACTCGGCTGCGACGTGGGTTATGGATTATTGCATCGAATTCCTCAACGATTACCTGCCCAGGAAGATACTGGCAAAGCCGGTGAAAGCGTTAGCAGCGACACCAATTTCAGTTCTGCCGATTTTGTCGATCATTCTACAGCGCGAGCAAGCGAATCAAATACATCGCAAGTCCACTCACTCGACGACAATACCACGACTCGCTCATTATCGCAGGAACACGCTCTGAAAGAAGCACAAAACACCGCATTGCCTGAATCGCCTCAGCTCGATCATCGAGACGCCTCTGTGCGACAATCCTCAGAAGCGTAACTTGGCTTTGTCTTGTACCCAGAGTATCCAACTGTACTATATGTTGAATTACAAAAATAAACACAACAGTGATCTGAAAATGAGACGCAAAATATGATCATTTGACTGAGGGATGACCCCACAATTGTGGTTGACTATCTGAAATTAAGGACGCCTGATTTGAATCATTATTTTATAGCATTTCCTGGTGCAATCACAGAATCGATTTCTGTATTACTTGATGAAGGCCTTTGTAAAGCACCTTGCGTTTCTTGGGCGCAACGGTCATCATGCTTGTTCTCAACGGTTGATAATCAGTTTTGATGGTCTGTATATTTGTTGGTGATTTTCACTGCAAAATTTCTACGCAGATATGGTACTAAAAAAAGATGTCCATTTGAATGAAATGACAGACTATGGCGCAACAATAATACAAAGTGTCTTGAAAGCTCATTAATTAAGGAAGTGATCCAAAGAAGTTCATTTTTTGCCATTGTAATGCTACACTTGTAAGATTGACAACACCTAATTCAAGGAAAAAGTCTGGCTTTTACTCGCGTGAAATGGGCTTTGCCAGTTTCGGTCACTATTCGAATTGCGGTTTTTAACATTGTTCGGTCTATCAATCAAATTGCCTTATTGAGTTCCGATGACAAGTGTTTCCTATAATGGTGCAGTTTGCGAAATATTGGCTCCAAAGCAAAAGGTGTGTACCCCCACAATGATGTCTAATAGGTACCATATGGACCTTTTATCAATGGAAAATGGGGGTTATATTCCGCACGACCAACATATCAGACTGGCCCTTTTTTTTTCGTGCAGCGTAACGTGGTTGAAACTCAGCGCAAATTGTTTCCGCCCACTGTAATGAGTGTGGACTCGCGCACGCTATTGATTTTGGCTTTTTTCTTTTTGCTGGCTTCTGCATTTTCTTCCCCTTTCCTTTCCTTTTTGTTGAATATAAAGAGCACTTCCTGATAATAGGTGGCAAAGTATAAAACCCAATGACAGCCTATATCAGTACCCAACATACACGTGGTCAGATACAGCACCACTCATTGTACGACGATGAAATGGACGATTACCATCATTACGGAGCCGACGACGATGGTTATTACGATGAAGAGATGGAAGAGGTTGATGATGAAGATGATGACGAAAGTGCCTCCGTCCTGAGTGTCCCTGACCCTAATATCGATTTCGACTTGGTATATGCTCTTCATACTTTTGCAGCAACCGTCGAAGGCCAAGCGTCTGTTGTCAAAGGCGATGCATTAACCTTATTAGACGACACAAACTCGTATTGGTGGCTCGTCAAAGTGTTAAAGACTGCGGAAGTAGGCTATATTCCTGCAGAAAATATCGAGGTAGAAAAATGCGCCATTATGAACACCTGTTATCAATATATGAGGCGGCGATCGGCTGATCTGTTTCTCTTTTTTAATTTTGTATTAGACGCCTTATGAGCGATTGGCTCGTTTAAACTCACATCGTAATATCGAGGTAAAATTATACTTGCAGGGCTGCCCAATATAGTAAAAATGATCACTTGCTTAAATTCAAGTGAACAGTATAATCCAAGTATTTATTATCTTTTTTTTTTTCTTTTTTCCTCCTTTTTTTTTGTAGCTTACGCGACGTGATATTCAGGACGCATTTCCTGTGCCGCCGTCAACGAAACTCTCCAACTCGAAAAAAGTGACGATGGATAAAAATGTTCAGTTCCAGGCTCAAGTCATCATTGGATCGAGTGACGATGAAGATTTTGAAGAAGAATATGAAGAGTGGAATGAAAATATGGCATCATCCGACAGTGATGGTGACAGTTCTTCGGATGATGATTATGAATATTACGATAAACAACAAATCTATGCAGATGATCAGAGCAACATTCATCCTTATGAAGCGCAAATGCAGGCGTCTACTCACCCGCTGCAAAAATTAATGGCAAACGGTCCATCACAGCCCACCACGGGCAACGGCGGTCGTCGTCCAAGCAATGGGTCGATTCAGTCCGGTCAAAACAACCAACGTTCCGTTCCTTTCAGAGACACTCTCGACCTTGAACAGTCGGAAACGATTAAAATATCCCTAACACCGACGATTGCACGCGATGATGAAGGCTATGCTTTTCACGATCCGACAAAGAAAGCAAACAAGCTGGAGAAATTGATCGCTGGAAACGACGATCCATTGCAGCAACGACGCAATTCCAAAGATAAAGAAAAGGAAAAGAAGGAAAAAACGGGTATCCGCAAGTTCTTCTCAAGAAACAGCAAAGATGGAAAAGATAAGAAGGCCAAGAAAGGCGGCGATCGTGTTTCTATAACAGATAGCATGTCCGAAACGGCGTCGCTGAGTTCCCAGTCCACCGGTTATTCAGAGCGCGAACGCACCGGCAGCGTGGATTCGACGCAGCAACACTTGTATGGACATCGTGCACCAAACTCCCAGCAACCGCAGTATAATGGCCATGGAAATCTTCAACAGGCCTCACCGTATACAGCGCAACGAGTATCGCATCAACAAGCGTCTCCACCGGTTCACGGTGCACAAGACATCAAGTCGCAGCAGTACCAAGAGAGATTGTCCATCCCCGATTCCCCCTTATCAGCACAACAATCGTCACCATCATCTTTGTCCACTTCTACACACTTGCAGCAGCCATCCGTGGAACCGACTCAACCTTTTCTTTTGAAAATTTACGCTGGTAATGTTAATTTTGGAGAACTTTTCAAAACGGTACCTGCCTATCCTTCCACCACAGCTATGGAACTCGTTCAACAGATGGTTGATGATCTGGATCGGGAAATACGGTCGCCGACGGCGGATGCATCATTAGAATATTATCTATCCGTAAAGGGTGTAGACGGTGGTAAGTCTGCAAAAAAAAAAAAAAAAAAAAAAAATTTTAGGCAGGTGAAGAAAAAAAAAACGTGGCTAATGTACGCCTTGTGGCCTAGACATGTACACACTGGTTCCTTCAGACAAACCGCTCACTATCTATCACTCACTGACGGCGCATTTGAATACTCCCATGCCGTCTTTGAAGAAAGCTCGGCGTATTTCTCAATTAATGTCAACGACAGAAAATGCGCATATGGGTGGGCCCAAAGAGGGTCAAGACGTGGAACAAGTTCAATTCTACCTGTATACCAAAACAAGAAGATCCGAAGAAGGTCACTTGTATATTAAAGCTACCTTATTCGCATCGGAAGTCATTGGCCAAACGAGCATGCTAAAGCAGGATCAGTCTCGCATTGATAAAGTCGTGTCGATTCCGCAATATGCGACGGTGGGCGATACGACGGCTTTACTGCTGGAAAAGTTCCACGTACTCAATGGTGTCGTGGATGGTTGCGATATGGTGGATAAAATCAAATCTTTGCGATTGCAACAGGCAGAAAACCACGCTGTAAAGTATCGTCTCGCGGCCAGTGTACGCGGTCAAGGTAAGTCAAGAAGTCGATAAATATTGCGGGAATAACTTTCCATTGGTCTCACCGTCATCCCTTTTTTCACGATACATTTAGAATTTGCTTTGACGCCTGATGAAAAGCTGATTAATGTGTTTGGTGAAAACACGCCTTCTGTTCATTACCGACGAAGTAGCAATCCTGATCGATCATCCGTCACGTCTCTCTCCTCGACTACGGTGCCTCCTCAAGCCGACGAGACATTCTTTATTTTGAGACGGTTAGCGACTGTCTCACCTACCACAGCTTCTGCATTGGAAGGTCAATCACAGACATATCCTTCACGTCAGCGGCATCATCCAAAAGGTAAAACCAACTTTGATGTTTGGGCGGTGGGATAATTAATTTCAACTAACGGTTGACAATTTTGGTAGCGCATCATGCGCCAGTCAGGAAGGATACACCAATGCCGCACAAAGTGGAATGGGAACAAGAGTCGAATGAGCCTTTGCCGAATCAAATGGATCCTCTGGAGGATAGAAGTCTGGTTCGTGAAACGATGGAAAGTCCGCAAGATATTCTACGGATGGACTCGCCTCAAACTCTATTCGAGGAACCTCAGCCGCTGGGCCCTGCTGAGGATCATGCGACGGATGAAGACAACGAGGATGATCATGACGACGTATTGCTGAAACTGGATCAAGCTCTGGATAATCTGGCGCAAACACGCGACAGCAATGAAAACCTTACCGAGGCGATCACTGGAGCTTACAGAACCCAAGGCGACAATTCATCGATATCTTCATCCCCTGTACCTGGCCAATTCACGGAGTCCAAAGAGAAACAGGGCCACCGTCGCAGTGTGATGGATTCCATGCTATTTTGCCAAGACTTTGGTATGGATGAACTGATGGTGCTTATCCGTGGAGCGGCTCGATATGCCGAAAAGCAACAAGAAGAAGCTGAAGAACAAAAACGGGCATCTTTGAAACGTAGTTCCATGGCGCCTTCGCTTCGAAGCGAAATCATGGAAATTTTCAAGGAAGATCAAATGCGGTTAGACCAGTTAGACAAGGTACGTTTATTTAGCATTTTGTACTGTTGGATCTCAAATTCAACTTGTCTAATCACGATCCATTATTTGTGTTGATATTTTTTTCCTTTATTTTTTAGGAATTGGACCGTTTGATGGCAGATACCATGCGAATTTACTGCTAAAAGAAAAAATGCAAGGCTATACCCGAGATTCTATCTAACGTTTTCTATTCTATACACCATTTTCCTTTTTTTTATCCTCCTATTTATTATTGCTTATATATCATCTATTTTTGTTATCCAGTGTTTCTCTGTCTTTTGTCCAGTCAGATACCCATCAGGAAAAAGAAAAGAAAAGAAAAGAAAAAGGGAAGCAAAACTTTTCCACGTCACGCAATAACTGATTGGCTGAATTGGGGTCTGTTTTGAATGACCGCATTTCTGAGCAAAAAGCCTGTGCACCAGTTTGGGTCGGTGTGGTGTGCTCAAAAAAAAAAAGCAGTGAACGACTATCCAAGCGTGTGCGGACTACGGTCTTTTTTTTTCCCTATTACTATTACCCTTTAGCGACAACCAGATAGTATAGCAAAGCGATAGCCCTTTTCAGTTTGTGAATTGCTATATCCCTTGTGTCTATACTTCATTTCTTCCCTTTTATTTTTTTTATTCACCTACATCGCAACACAGCGAAGTCAAAGGTGAGTTGAGGGGAAAAAAGCGTCGGAGGGGAGTGTGGGTATATAAGGGTCATTGGCAGTAGAAAAAGAGTCTAGTTGAGCCATTGTGGCGGTGTTGTGGTTTCTGTGGGTTGACAGAGAAATGGGAGATGGGTTATGTGTGAGAAAGATGGGTGTGGTTGCGGAGAGAGCTGACTCCATTTCCGTCGGTTGTAGTGACTGCAGTATTATTCTTTGGTAATACTCCATCGCTTGTTTGACCAGATCCTGGGTTTCTCCTCCAAAATATCATCACGTTTCTCGTTGATCTTTGTTTCATCTGGGTGTTCATGCAAATGACCAAATCACTGCCAATAGCCAGAAGCTCGGCTCCTCATCTTCGGAACCGGCCTCCCAACCAATTAATCCCACCGTCTCAGTACAGAGCGATGCAGCAAGCAGCGGCCGCCAACGAAGCCGCCAACGAATTCACAAACAGCACAGCGACAAATAGCAACTCTCCGTGCACAGCGGCGACTTCTACAAATAAGAAAAAGAAGAAGAAGAAAAAAACCAAGGCAAAAGCCAACGACGCAGAATATCCAGAAACCAGCAATGGTGCATGTGTTGATGATACCCGAACCTCTTCTGTAACCCGCTCGGATAAAATGGACCCTTTCTGGTCGAGCATGAGTAACAGAGAAGAACGCCAGAAGATTCGAGAATTTTGGTTACAGCTCGGCGAGGATGAACGACGATCCCTTGTCAAAGTGGAAAAAGAAGCCGTACTACGGAAAATGAAAGAACAACAAAAGCACAGTTGCAACTGTTCTGTTTGCGGCAAGAAAAGGTACCATAAAACAAATATATAATATATAAGCACTTGGAAAAGAGGAGAGAACAGGCCAAAAAGCCAAAAAAAAAAAAAGGGAAAAGGAAACACAAACGTTTTGAAGCAGGTACTCACACTACATTTCTCACAGGACGGCCATTGAAGATGAGTTGGAAGTTTTGTACGATGCGTATTATGAAGAATTAGAACAGTATGCCAATCACCAACGACAAACACGCATATACGGCAGCAGCACATTACACGACGGCTATGCTCCTTCTGACGAAACTTACGATAACGATTTTGAAGACGCGGACCATCTCGATGAAGACGAAGATGAGGACGATGAGGACGACGACGATCTCGATTACGACGATGTCTATCACGGTGCGGAAGAAGGTGACGATGGTGAGAATGACGAAGAGGAAGAAGACGAAGAAGAAGACGAAGAGGAGGAGGAAGAGGACGACGACGACGACGTTCTCAGTCACGATTCCGATCCCTCGGAAGGTTCTTCCGACAATGAACCCATGCGCTACATTGGCGATCCCAACCTGGGGCCTCATCTCATCAAGCACACCAGTGCCATGTCTCGAAACTTGGACTATTTCGATTTCGGCGATAGCTTGACTGTCAAAGGTGGGTTATCCACACACCGAATAGGTTGATAGATATAAGCAATAAGCGTTTCACTCACTATTGGGCTTTTATCATGGCGATGCTTGTTTTAGGGGGTATATTAACGGTAGCTGACGATTTGCTCAAAAACGACGGAAAAAAGTTCCTGGATATGATGGAACGCCTGGCAGAGCGACGAATGCAAAAGGAGGAAGAAGTCGGCATGAAGCAAAATGAAGATTATTATGGCGACGACGATGAGGAAGATGGAGCGTATGATGAAGAAGACGATGGCGTAAGTTGAGATTTTGCAAAACATGTTCACGGAGCTTGCGACAACTTTTTTTAATGAATTTTTGTCCAGGATACCCGAACACAAGAACAACGCATGGAAGAAGGACGACGTATGTTCCAGATTTTTGCCGCCCGCATGTTTGAACAACGGGTCCTTTCAGCTTATCGTGAAAAAGTCGCTCGTGAACGTCAACAGCGCCTAATTCAGGAATTGGAAGAAGAAGATCGTCTTCGTCAAGAACGGGAACAGAAAAAAGCCCAAGACAGAGAAAGAAAGAAAGAACAAAAAAGGTAAAAAAAAAAAAACCAAAACCGGAACTTTTTGCTCGCCAAGAACTTCATCATACTAAATTATAAAAAAATGAATCAGACAACAAAAACTGCTCAGGGAAGCGGAACGTGCAGCAAAGGAAGCGCAACGCAAGGCGGAAGAAGCAGCTGCTAAAGCGGAATTGGAACGCAAACAAGAATTGGAACGTCAGAAACGAGAACAAGAACGCATTCGGAAAGAAGAAGAACGACAGAAAAAAGAGGAAGAGCGTCGACGACGGATAAAGGAAGAAAAGGATCGTGCCGCGGAGAAGGAGAGACGACGAAAAGAGAAAGAAGAAGCCGAACGTCAAGAACGGCAGAAACGAGAAGCTCAGGAACGTCGTGAACGTCAGCAAAAGGAAGAGGAAGAACGACGTCAACGTGAATTCAAGGAACTGAAAGAACGTCGCGAAACGGAACTGAAAGAAGAAATGGCACGTCGTGAAATGGAAGCCAATGAACGTAAACGACAGTGGGAAAAGGAAGCTCAAGAGAAACCAAGGTCATCTGGTGCCACCGAGAAAGTGTCCAGAGGAGGTCGATCTTCTAGGCAGACTACGGCATCCGCCAGTAATCCGGTCACTGATACCGTTGTTCCTCCTACCACTAGAACTTCAACTGCAGCCGCGGCGGCCACTTCTGTCACTGTAACGTCTTCTTCTTCCTCATCCTCGATTTCCACTTCGTCCCCTATCTCTTCCTCATCTTCGCCTTTACCACCAACGGGAGGATCCATCGTCAATGCTTCTTCCATTCCTCTATCCTCTCCATCCCAAAGCACGACTTTGGCGTCCTTCAACTCCACTGTGACATCGCACCCATTTGATCAGGAATCAAGACAAAAGATGCTCATGGACGCTCTGGTAGGATCCTCGCGACCTACCGCCAGCCCGTCTCTATTCCAAGAACCATCGTTGATGGATCCACCAGACATACCATCGCTACGTACTCATCGGCCATCCCAACCTCTGTTATCACCCAACCATCCCCGTTCGAGTTTGGATCTGTTACAAGCGATGCCTCCCCCACCATTATTGAACGGTCCACTTGATTTAGGTACGCATGATAATGGTGACTCAAATTTCTTCTTTTCTTAATTTTCTTCTTTTGATGTTAATTACAACAGCAATGTCGGTACACGATACGCCCTCTAGTCCAACCGGCGGTGTGGCACTTGCCCCACCATCTCTTGGTATTGGCATGTTACCCATGTACAACCGTGCTTCAAATCCCGTGGAGAACAGTGGTTTGTCTCGCTCGATTGGACGTCCAGCCAACCACCTTGCACCGATTGGGCAACCTGTCAATGGTCGACGTGCGTCCACTGCCGCCGGCCCCATCGGAAGTCCTGTCGTCTCAAGGTCCGGTAAATCAAGTATAGATAAAGGCTCCACGGAAGCCACGCCTATCAAGAGACCAACGGGATCGGTTGAGCATGAATCAACGAATTCCTTCTTTTCCAATTTTCTGTTTGGTGAACCAAATCGAGGTAAATACAGTGACAGGGTCCTTAAGGTACCATAATATCTCATGCAAAGATTTGACAGGGTCGTATATGATACCCTTGATGCATCACGAGTCGGAGGCGAGGACAGGTCATAATGTGGATTTGCAGCCACCGCCGTTCAATCGACGATTTTCATCGGACCCTGTCGGGATGAATTGGACTAATGGTAATTATTAGAGACCACCAGGTGGGGGAGAATTATTACTGGATACTGATCGATATTGGTAGGTTGGACGGCGACATCGATGCTTTCAGATAATGTTCACGGCAAGCTTTTTGGTGATGTTCTGGTAAGTTACTTCAATCTTGCATGGAGAAATGGGCCGAGTCGCTGAGTTTCTTTGTGGCCAGCCTGATCGAACCACCATGATTCTGGAGCGAGCCAAGGCGGCGTATCAGAAGTTGGACGAAATCACGCAGAGTAAATACTTTACGTCGCCGTTGCAATTTCACACCTTGATACAGCTTCATCGTATCATGAGCGATCTTTACAATGATTATCCGGTGGACATTCGGGAACTCTACGAAGTGTTGATGGCGTCACCGCTGAACGGATTCCAGTGTATGAATCACGCACATCATGGTATCATTGTTCGATACGAAACTGTGGACGATCCTCTACGTCGAGCGAGTCTTAATAATATGGTTCATTCCTTATCTCCGCCTTCGTTTGCACCGCGTTCGTTGCCCAATCATGTTTTTCAACCTCTGCCACACGGTAACGGTATGTCCGGTCCAAATCCATCTACCTCATCCGCGTTATTTGGAAGCATGACATAAGTAGTCACCACATTCACTTTCTTTATAACAACAAAAAAGAAAAAGAAAAATAAAAAAGCAGAATAACCGAAGATATTCAACCGTGCGAGTTATCTTCCAACAAAAAGCCGTTTTTCCAACTTTTATCCATAGGCCAACGGCCATCCTACTATAGTTAACAAGCCGTACACCCGCTGTGCAATGGATGCCACCTGCTACTGGACGTCGCCCCCTTACATTGAGCGACATTCGTCAGACAAACGCCTAACGCAATACGGCATAACCTGGGCGAGACTCTTGATGGAACTTTGGTATATTAATGTCAATACTCTGGCATACCGTACAGTCATGATTTCCAAACATGTGTGCAGCAGCACTTATTGACCCCCTCAGTCCCGTCCCGCCCAAGCTTATGATAGATCTAGAATGATGTGTGGGAATGTTGGGTATTTAAAAAAATGAGTTAGTAAGCTCTTTGATTGATTCAAATTTTCGTCAAGATATTTTACCTTTGTTATTTGAGTTTTCAATTGCCATTGATCGCTTGACATGACTTGGATTATATGACATTGAAAAAATTTGAATTAGTATACGTTCATTACATCATAGCAAAGGAAAAGAAATTGGACTTGCCTTTGAACCAAATGGTGAACCGGAACAAAAAAAAAAGATGATACGGACCGCCAGGTAAGCTTCTTCTTCGATGCGGAAAATAAAATTGCTTCCAGGGACACTTAAGCGATGGATCGGTGGTGTCAGCTTGAGCAGGCAAAAAATATTGACGTGGCCAGAAGTGACGGTAACTTCGAGTTGGATTCCAGATATCGAGAGTCCCCCGAATAAAAAGAAAGAAACAAATAAAGTACATGATGATAAAAAAACAATGGTCGCGTCAGTAAAAACCTCATAAAAAACCCTGTGGGAAAAAAAGAGGAAAAGACTGCGAAAAGAATATGTACATGAAATATAAAATACAAAATACAAACTATAAACTATAAACTACAAAATAAATAATCGGGAAGACATCTCGAATACCATATGATGAGAAGCAATCCAAAGGAGAGGAACATGAAGAGGACCTACCGCCACATAGCGATCATTTTCTTCATCCACGACAGAGGAACAACAATATGTACACAACGTTAGGAACAGAAATAGTCAAACATCGTATAATATTAAATGGAGAGACAAAAATAGATAACAGAAAAAATCGTACTCGGGGAAACATAGCATAAGGATAAAATCAAAAGGAACATAAGGACAAAAAGCATACAGTAAAACATAAAGGTGAAGAATAACTTGAAAAATCATAGCAAAGGATGAAATCAAAGGAGCATAAGACAAAATACATACAGTAAAATATAAAGGAATAATAAAAACAACAATATAAGGGTAAAGACGCCACCAGGACCATCAACAAAGAACAATCGGGCTGATTTGTGGCTTCCATGCGTGACACTCTGGAGAATTGCGTGGTATCGGCATGTTGATAACGGTTTAGGTACTCGTGTGTTTGGGGAACATTGGCAGCGTCTGCGATGAGATCGAATTGTTCTCTTACCAGTCTGGGCTGACGGCGAAGTGTGCTTATGCCAATTTCTTGGCGATCAGGAAGAACAAAGCGATCGTAATTCAGCAGTGAACTCGATTGGCGGTTCAGATGCTCTTCAATGTCCAGCAAAGCGCGATCGTACACGATTTGGGGCGGCTCAATTTTGATGATCATTGTCTTGATTTTGATTGCTCCAAAAAGGGAAATAGTCTTCTGCCAAATGCTGGCGGAACTGCATCCAAAGCGCAAACGGGTCAGGAACCTGACATTTTCTATCATTGCCGGCATGATACATTGCTGCTGCAGCACGATCGTGGTCCTTGTAAACATACTTGTACAGGTATTTGACGCTTTCCAGAGAAGTACAGATTTCGACGTTAGTGTGAGCGTTATATCTTGCACAGAGATATCGATTGTGGGGAACAACCCGTCTATGTCCAACTGGACATGGTTCTTGATTCACAAAATCACCATTGTTGCGACGACGGTATAACGGGTAACCACTGTGATCTTCGATAGTAGCTTCATTGAAGGAGCGCGGGTAACGCTTTTTACATGAGCCGTTTTCCATGCAGGGAGACCTCGGATGCGTTGTTCCACACGGGCCGTGCACCATACATATGCTGACGGTGTCGTAGAGATCAGGAAATCTCTCTCTGTCCGGAAGTTCGGCACACACGATACGATCATAGTCATCAAGTGTTCTCGGCTTATCCTCCGGAGTAACACCAAAAGCAAATGAAGATGCAGTAAGCCTCGCTTCTAAAACTCCGCCGTGCGTACATGGGTAACGACTCTTCCCAAACATTGTTCTTCTTTAAATCTTCCATCAGAGCTTTACGCTTCATGTTATAAATTCGAGCGCAAAGGTCGGGTCGATCAACAGCTGTCTGGTTTCGTTCAACCAATCATATATATTTTTTTCAAAAATTACCCAATCAAAGCCGACAAATGTAGCAAAAACCCAATGTGACTGCCTTGTGACTGAAAATTAGCGCGCATAACTCCCAAACATTTTAATAATGGTAGGTATTTTTAAAATGCACATAATTGCAGGATGAGAGAAAGAGAGGAAAAAAGTCTCTCTCGATCTAATCACTCAATTATATAATGATCATCGTTGTCGACTGTCCATGCTCATACAGACCAACCATCGCAATTACCTTTGATAAGCATGGTCTGACTTCGCTGATGAGCATTCGAACACTCGCAGTTGTTAGTCTATGGATTTGCGATGCTTATTCAACTCATTTCTAATCCCTTTAAAAAAAGCAAGAGAGAGATAGAGAGAGAGAGAGAGAGAGAGAGAGAGAGAGAGAGAGAGAGAGAGAGAGAGAAAGACAAGAGTATGAAGAGAGACACAATTTAGGAAGAGAGAGACACGGATGTGATGATGAAAGAAAATCATATTTGTAAAGTGGCATGGGCGTACAGATAGGTTGATTCACAGAAAGGAACATCGTTTTTTTTTAGAAACTTTCACCTGGAAATAGAATAGATGTTGTGAATGTGATCTCTTTTTTTTCTATATTTTGCTACAGCCACCAGGATTCTTTTTCTTGACGATGGATAAAGACGTCAGTATCATCATGGTCATGGTCCTCTGCTTCTCCTTCTTCTTCTTCTTCTTCTTCTTCTTTACGGATAGATGAGGAAGAGGAGGTCATTAGATCATACTCGACTTGCCAAGACTCATCCAAAGGATCATCGTCCAACATATCTGACCAGGAAATACTGGATTGTCCGGCACTGAAAACCGCAGAATCATAACTTGCTTTGGAAGCTTTACAGACAATGTCGGGTATGTCCATGGCGTCGTCATCATTATCATTGACGAGATTGTTGTCTCCTACGAGGAGTTGGTCCAAGGAGAGAAACTGTTGTTTCATTTCAGCGACAGTAGGACGATCAGCGGCGTGAATGGAAAGCACGGATTTTAAAAAGTGAAAGCAGGGCCAGGATAACGATGGGAACAGTTGGTGTTTGAGAATAGTGGGATTGCGAGAGAATTCGAGATAGACATGATCCACCGAGGTTGCTTCCTGCCAAGGATTTCGGCCAAACAGGAAAGCAATGAGAAGAATGCCCAAACTCCATGCATCCGAGGCAGCTGCATCGTAAGGGATAAATTCACCGTCTTCAGGCCGTAGGATGCATGATTGATCATCTTCAAAGTGTTCAGGAGCAAGGTAGGTGGTGGATCCGCAGCCAAATTCGAGAGAATACCGATCACGCGTTGCCAACCCAAAATCGGCGACTTTGCAGATGAAATTTCCGCCGTCATTATCGTCGTCCTCACTTCGTAAAAGAACATTTTCCAGTTTAAGATCACGATGATAGACGTTTTGAGCATGCATATGGGCGACGGCATCCAAGATTTGAAGAAAGCATGTCTTGACCAACCGTTCGTCACGTACATCGTTATTGGCTTGATCTCGGATGACAAAGTCAAACAGATCGCCTTGGTCACATAATTCCATCACCATGTAGATATGTTTCTGGTCTTGTATGACGCGATGAAGCGCGAGTAGATTCGGGTGTTTCAGTGAGGATTGCAAGTGGATTTCAAGCTGCTGGAGTTGAAGTTGCTGTTGATCAAGACCGGATTTGGTGAGCACCTTTATGGCAACATAGGTATTATCGGTAAGGGATTGACCAAGATAAAGACAACCATAGGAACCTCGGCCGAGTTCTTCCAACAGTTGAAAATCGTCGATGACCTTGTCAACCATGGATGCGGAGAAATTGGACCAATCGTGTTGCTGTGTGACCATGAGTGCGAAATTTTCCTTTTTGTTTGTTGGCAGGCGAAAAGGATCAATGCGTTTTGGAAATTGGGTGTTTTGAGTCACGTTGGAAAAAGGGTTGGTAAATTCTTAACAATCCTTGAGCAGTTAAGAGATGAATGGTGGGAGTGTCGGGCTAAAATCAGCAGTAAGGAGAAATCTCAATAGAGGACTAGTACGAGTAGGGAAAACAAAGAAAACGATAGAAAATAAGAGTTGGGTAAGAGGAACAAGGGATGGCTTATACAGAGAGGATGCTTAGATGGAAACGCTGAGGGATTGAATGGAAGATAAATGTGGCAAGCGCCAAGGATGATAAAACAATGTCATGATTTCAAAAGGAAGAACAAGAATATGAGCTGATAACCGAAAATAATAATAAAATAATAAACACAAATTATTAAAGGGAAAAGGAGCAAGTGGAATTTCGTTATGAAAAGGCTTCAGTTTCTCTTTCTTTGGGTTTTTTTTGTTGTTTTGGTGGAGGGTGGTTGTGAGATGAAAGTGAAAAGAAATGAACTGTAAGCAAAGGGAAATTGGATAGGAAAAAAAAGTAACCGAACGGTGAATACGGTGAGTCTTTCACGGAACAACTGGCAAAGTTGGGTGCTTACCTGGAAACTGGTATGGGACGCTTCAAACAAAGTACTTGGAACAAAGAAAAAAGAGACGTAGTTGCGGGAAGATGAAAGTCAACTGGAGTGATGCTCTCGTAAGAATGGAGGTGAACGAGGAGAATTGGTATAACGGTCTTTTTTTTTGGAGGTATTAGGGTTTTTTTCTTTTATGAGTTTTTCTTGTTCAGTGCAATGTGAGCATCTTCCAAATGATCATGAATGGGAAAGAGAGAGAGACGCAAGGTGGGAAGCGGAAAAGGAGTTCAAAAGAAAAGGAAATAACCTAATCGGGAAACCGACTACTAAAAAGAAAACCAAGCAATTAAAAAAAAATCCATTTGTCACAAGTAAACCTGTCAGACATCGTTTGTTACAAAGGTATCGGATACTTTTTTTCTCGTTTTTGCTTGTTTATTTCTACCTTTACATGCTTTAAACTATTGACATGGAATAACAAAAGAGTTACAAAATCACATCATCACTATCATGTTTTCTTACATTGACCAAACAGAGAACCCTTCATTCTCGCTGAAATTACAGTCTGCACTGCCGCCCGCCTTGGATGATGTCTCGAAAGACAGCTGAAAATGGATGCGCTGGAATTGGCAATCGCTGGAACGTTCTGTCCTCAATTCTTTTTTTTTATCTGCTCCCTGCCTTATTGCCACCAACCTTACCAAGAACCCCATCATTTTTTTTTCTATCCCTGCACCCAATGGAATCGCACACTGCCAAATACTCCTCCGTGCCAGAAACCAATTCATCCTTTCTACCCGTTAAAATGTATCCGGTATAATGCTAAACAAGTTCAGGAAAAAAAAAAATCGGATCATGCGTGTGAATTCACACACCATGCACAAAAGAGAAAACATAAAATAAAGTAAAAACAGAACCATACTTTGAAAAAACTAGTTTCAATAACACCTGTCCTGCAAGTCATAAGATGATGAGAAAAATGGTCCCCCAGGCGACCGATAAACTTCTTGCTTTTCAAAAAAACAGACGCGTCATAGTTTCCAAATGGACTTGGAATCACAAAATATTTGGTATGATATGCAAGCCTATTTGTTAAACTTTTCTGGTATATCTATGAGCGCATGAATCTTTACAATGTCGGGGGAGGGGGCAAAGAAGGAAGAGTAACCAGTTCTAGCGAGAATGAACGGGACACTCTTTGCCTTTACTAAACCAGTCGTGTATGCAATGCCGGTGGTACGAACACAAACAACTTAATCGGGCAATTGTGTCACCTGCAACAACATCAACTGTTATGCATGGGCTGATCTTCCCAAATTGGGTATCTCTCCACTCTTTTTTTTTTTTTTTTTTTTTTTTTTTTTTTTACCTTGTTCAAACTCTTCAAAGCAAATCACACATTCTTGCCCCACTAAAGCGGAGTTGGCGGCCAAGATATACACTAATATCGTGCATCATTCAATTCGTTTAACCATTCAAGAAATGAAATCTTGCCCTTTTCTTGTTTCCCACCCATCCATCCATCCACCTGACATAAACCCCACTTCACTTACCCAGATAGCGACTCCCCGTCACAGCAGCAGCCGATGTACCCGCATTCAAACATGACTGGACATGCTGTTCTTGCTCATTGATCGTTCCATACTCGCTCAACAGTTTCCCGCATACCGGACATTCCATCATCACACTCTGCATACTTATTGATCGATGCATACTGCTCCCGCTAAACGATGGACGATTGCTCAGACGAGTCGCTGGTTTAGATAAATCGCCAAAACACACGTCGCACACACGTTGTGGTTGCAGTGATACAAGATAGTGTTGATCCACAGGTAGTGATGGGTCCTGAACGATCTGGGAATATGGAAGCATCACACGATTCGTCGAACATCGGTCACACACAATGAGTCCACATCGCCTAAGAAATCATCACATTGAGTCCCATCCTCTGAAAGATGGCAATCTCCTTTTCACTTTTTTGTTTTTGTTTCACTGCACTCGATATTTTTTTCTCACCTGCAATGATGCCGTCGAATCAACAAATTAAACCAACGATTGCAACGTCGACAATCCAGGGCTTGTTCGTTTTTTTCCCAAGCGTAAATCGGTCGGACCGATTGTAAAGACCATCGCCCACTTTGATCATCCTCTTCCGTTGGTCTGGGTGAAGCCATCGGCGCCTCATTATCATGCTCATCAATGGATTGCGTATGCGTACGGCAATCCACAAACACCGATTGTGCCTTGGTCAACGTGACCCGCGTCGATGCTTGCCGCATAGATTCCGTCTGCTCTAAATATTCTTGCTCATTCTGTAGAAATTCAAGATTGGATTGCAGTTTGCTGATTTGCTCCCGACTCTCATTGCTGATTTCATTTTCTATTTTTTTTATGAAAACGAAATCCATAGGATAGGTGAATGGGTCGTTTCATTTATCCAAACAACCCTACAAGCATGCTTACCTTGAAGTGTGGCAATGGCTGATCGTAAATGGGCAACTTGTTCTTGCAAGGTAGACAGGTCCTGAATGTCTTCATTGGTGCGGTTGGGTATCACTGAGGACGCGGTTACAGCAGGATCCGCACGACGTTTCATTACGCGCACCCATCGTCGTCGACGAACCCATCCTGATCCGGACACCGGCATTTCAGGTGACCAATTCTCTTCCTTGGGCTCTTCCAAACTTTTTGCATACTGCCAACCTTCCTCATCTACACCGGGATGCGAGTAATCCACATTCCAATCTGTTAACCAAAACCACGCATGTTGATCCAACGGGGGTAACTTGACATCGCGCTTTGTCATGGGTTGACCGGACGGATGTAGACTCCAGGGACCGCGACGATCCGATTTATTCAACGCTTCCGCTGTAAAATACGGCCGACTCAGTCCCATCAAAGAAGACGTTGATCGCTGGTTTTCGTGCAGGACAACTGTAACAGTGACATGCAATGCCAATAAATTATACGGTTCTCGGCCACTTTCTACGGCAAATTAAAAAAGTTAACCATAAAACTATTCCCGTATCACCTGTCATTTTCGTTCCGATATATTACCTGACTCTTCTTCAGGTTGAGATCGATGTTGCATCCACCACCCACGTTCAAATGCTTCCAATAATTCGCAAAGATATGCTTCACCTGCTGCGGCTGCCGCGTCGTAAGCCAGTTCCCCAAATTTATTTCTACATAAAGGATTCACTTTGGCCTCGTTGAGCAGATAATCGACCACAGCCAAATGGCCCTTGGATGCTGCATTGACTAATGAGATGGTCAAATAAGGATAAGCCTATCATTATTTATCTAAAAACAAAACGAAAAAAGAGTAACTTACTGAGAGGAGTGTGACCCATTCGGCTGCGTCCATTGACATCTACACCGCGGTCGACCAAAAATCGTACCATGCCTAAATGACCAGCAGAACATGCATTGTGAAGGACAGACCAGCCGTCCCGATCGACGTGATGAATATTTGCATGTTGCACTCGTACAAGATATTCCACTACCGGCAAATGCCCCGCATACGCCGCTTTTAACAATGCTGTCTAAAAGAAACAAAGTGCTCAGAATTGGCAGGTGAAATTTCTCTATAATCATTCACTGCTACCTACTTCCCCTTCTTTATCGGTGGCATCGACTTGCGCGCCACCTTGCTCCACGAGGCATACGACCACTTCAAGATAACCTCTGCTTGCAGCCAAATGGATGGGTCGTAATCCCGTGGCAGGATAAGCTACGTTCGGATCAGGGTGGGACTTTAGCAACTCTTGCACTAAATAATGATCGCCTGTCGCAGCCAATGCTCCAAGATCTTGTATGGTTGCTGGTAATGTCGTAGCGGGTTCATTATCCTCAGGAGCAATCATCGGCAACGGCGACAGATATTGAGTCTCCATAACTTTGGCAATGCCGATCGAATCGTGATGTCACCCTTACGAGAAGAGGAAACAACGAGTTATCCTTTTATAAATATGGAAGAAAAGGATAGGTAAAAGTAACCCAAAAAGCAGAAACAAAAAAAAAAAAAAAAAGAATAAGGAAAAATCAAAGAAAAAAGAAAACGTGTGATGCAAAATGACACTCAGTGGCCTTTGATTACAGGTGCGCTTTCCCACTTTTGAAAACACCGCCGTCCAAACATACCCCATTCCTAGTTTTCGCAGAAATTTCGTGTTTGGTTTATACGTAAAACCACCCCACCCCCATTCGTTACAAGGACCTATGTTCATTATATGTGCCTAATATCATCATCTTTTTGTATGTGGGGTAAAAATCGATTTGGCGCATAAAATTACTAAGGAAGCTGAATCAGCGACAGTCAGCCAATCACGGTCTGTGGGGACGGCAAAAGAGAACTTTACAAATGAGCAGCGGTTATTACAAATTTTTTACAAATGAACAGCGGTCTTTGAAACAGCCCGAAAACTATAAAAGGTGATATCCTAAATGAAAAAGCCCAGCATTTCAACAAGACAAAAAAAAAACTATACAAACAATTATTATGGCCAGAATTGCAAGAAACATTGCCAGATCCGTTCTTTCCCGTGAACAAATGGATGGTGAAGGTGCTAGAGGTAAATACATACATTTTTAATTAGGTGACGAGACGTGGATTTTAACGTGATGGTGTTGTTTTTTACGTGTATTGATAGTATATCGCAGCATCGGTAGCCACGCTTTACGCAACCTCGATCCCTTTTTAATGCTCGATGAATTCGATGTTAAGGCACCTGCAGGTTTTCCCGATCATCCTCATCGCGGATTTGAAACAGTGACATATATGCTGGAGGGCGAGTTTATGCACGAAGACTTTAAAGGACACAAAGGCCGTATTGGTCCCGGTGATCTTCAATGGATGTCTGCAGCCAAGGGTATTGTACATGCCGAGATCCCCGCCAACGACAGTCGAGCACACGGTCTGCAATTGTGGGTAAACCTTGCCGCCAAGGATAAAATGGCCGAACCAAACTATCAAGAATTACCAAAGGAAAAGGTCGTCCACGTGTCGCCCGAGCCAGGTGTCGACGTGAATGTCATTGCGGGCGAGTCCCACGGTGCGCAGAGTCCAGTGTTGACACGCACTCCCACCATGTTTATCGATGTGAAGATGAGAAAGGGGAAGACGTTTGAACAGCAGATTCCAACCGACTATGCAGGATTTATCTACACTATTTCTGGCTCCGCGAACTTTGGTGGCAGCAAACACATATCCGAGGCACATCATACTCTGGTACTGAGTGAGAACCAAGGCGACCATATCCCCGTGGAATCCCTTTCCGATGATTGCCATTTCGTCATTATTGCAGGAAGACCTATCAGAGAACCCATTGTCCAATATGGCCCCTTTGTCATGAACACACAGCAAGAAATCTACCAGGCTTTCGCCGACTATGACCGTGGACGTAATGGATTCGAAGGAGCACGTGAATGGCAGTCTTCTATTAGAGACAAATGGCATTAAATCATTGACCCTTATTATATTATTTCCACATTTTTGTTCTGACCTTTTTTTTTTCCATCTCATTCTGGCCCTTTTTGCCGCGTGTACAATATTTTTATAGCATGCTGTCATTGCAATAAAACCAAATTACATTATTTTCTTCTTGTCTCAATATATATTTACATGTCGCCAATAAAGTCATCTATGCTAGTTTTCGCTTTTTCTTGGCTTCGTACTTCTCCTTCTTTACTGCGTCCGAATCCGCGCGTTGTCGATCCATGAGTCTTTTGTATCTCGCCGTCCGGATTTCTTTACCGCCACCCAACAAGACACAGGCTGCACTTTGCTTCGCTTCCGCCATACCGGAATCCATGTAATCTCGCAAGGTCATCGTGTCTTGATCTATTTTGAGGACTGACTGGTCGATTGATCTGAGGAATGTTTGACACATCAGACCACGGATCATTTGCGCATTCCACATTTCGTGAAAATGCTTATGCGTTCGCAGCGGCGAAGGAACCGCCACATTGACGTTGTCGGATGCATAAATCCAATTGATATCTTCGAATTCACAGTCGTACAATAACAATGGCAAATCACTGGCCATGGGATAATCGGGACGAGAGGGCGTTCGGCTGATATCCAACAACTCCTGGACGATTTCGGGGGCTTCCAATTTCTGGCCCACCAAGAAAAGAATGGACATGATGCAGCGCACCTGATGCCATAAAAATGCGGTACCTTTCAGCTCGACTTCGTAAAATTCAAAAGCTTGGCCCATTGAACTTGTGTCCATCCCATGGACGGGACGGATATCGAGAGAGACAATGGTGCGGTGATAGTTGGTAATGTTCTTGGACGGATCGAGTTTACAGAAATTGCGGAAATCGTGCTCTCCCATCATATAATTGGCCGCCAACCGCATCGCGTCCAGATCGAGGTTCCCTTTGGTAAAGAAATACTTGTACGTTCGAGATTTGCAGTTAAATCTGGCATTGAAGGTGGAAGGGACGGGTGCCCATGCAAGTACGCGTACATCATCTGGCAGTAAGCGATTGATGGTTTCAATATAGGGTATTTCTTTTTCCGGATTACTGCGAACATCCAATGCCACCACCTGGCCTAAACCGCTGACTCCCTTGTCGGTACGACCACAGCGCGAAAAATTACACTTGTCGGGACTTTCAATCAATCTCGAAGTCTTTAGGGCATTGAAGATCGCACCTTCAACGGTAGGTACTTCAGCTTCGTTTCCCTGTGAAGCGAATCCAAGATAATTCCAGCCTAGATAGGCCACTTTCAGGGCAATGTGTTGCTGAGAATACTTGCTCATATCAAATGGTCGTTGTGCTTTGATTTTCGACGAGCCTTTTCGATCCGTCACGGCGGTGTTCTGCGAAGCTTCAAGCGCCTTCAATCGTTCAATGAGCTCCTCCCTCGTTAGCTGATCATACGGAGAGCCTTCCATTTTTCTGAGATTTGTAAAGGGATTCAACCAACGCAGTATAGATCGAGCTCGAGAAATGCTCATCAGCTTTGCGAAGGAGCTGCAACAAAATTTCCAGGCAAAGAACATCCATGCCAAAGGAGCTAAGCCACTTGCAGCCAACCTTTCAAAACCTCATTCAGTCAGAAACCCCAAGTTGACTGGTGCTAGACAATACAAATAGAAGCAAGAAACACTAAGTTTTCTATTGGCTCGTCTTTTCAATGATCACTTGTATTTGTTCATCCCCAAGATATTGGGGTAGTATTTTACGATATTCAACTGGTTTTCAACCCCCTCCAAAAAAGCCCATACTATTTCTTTGCGTGTAAATTAATATCAACAGATACTCATACGCTAACAAGCATATTTTAGTTGGAGGATGACTCGTTTTGACCTTGCAATCTTCTCCAACGACAATACGTTTTATGGATTTTCGGCAGTCTGCATTTGGACAGATGATAAATTCAATATTTCAGAGGCGGCTCTTGAAAAGGCGCGTCAAAAAGCACTTCTTTTTCTTCGTGTCTCGACCGCGTCCCACATCAACATGGCAGACGAATTCGACTACGACTTGATTCTTGATGATCTAGATCCTTTTGCTGACAATACAAACACAGCAACTGAAAATACAACTTATGATCCGCTTGGACCCACCAATGCTGGAAGCAAGCGCTCGGCGGATGACGAAGCCGGACAAACGGATACGAAGCGTAGGAAAGAGAGAACACGACTAAAACCTTTGGATGCCGATTTGTAAGTCATTGTACTCCCTGGTCTTTGTTTGCTTTTCAAGTATTCAACCTGATGGATAGGTTATTGTCAGCAAACGGCCTCTCAAAAATACGTCACCAGGCACCTTGGATACAGTTTCAAGGAAAAGGTTTCGAAGTATGTCTGCGTCGCATTATGATATGCTCTTGCAGTGGCTGACCAATTCACTGTTTTTAAAGGATTCAGATTTGCGAAAGTTAATGGAATTCTATCAAATGTGGGCACACAAGCTGTATCCTCGTCTACGATACAAGGACTTTGTAGAAAAAGCGTACAAAGCATGCACACACGCTCGTTGCAAGGTGAGCTGACCATCAGAAAGCCGTGGGATTGATCCACAAGGATCAATGGATATGATCCAATTGCAGATCAACGCTTGTGGGTCAATATTGATCCGCTCCTGTGAGCTAGTATTGATGGAAAGATTGTAGGTAACGCTGGCTGAATGGCAAGATGAATATTATCAAAGCAAGCGAAAACCAGACGATCTAGTATCCACTGAACTATCTGGAATGACTCTGGAAGGTAGGAGATGAAGAAAGTAATCGGATCCAGTTGGAACTTACTTACCATTGTATATGAGTAGATGAGGAAAATGAGCGGCGGCAAGTCTCGGATGACGATACCGATACTTCTGAGGACGAAACAGTAACACGACAAACCCCACAATCATCCGAAAGAGTTACAGACGACAAAGATATATTTCCAGAGGATAATACGGGCCATGATCACAGTAGTAGTGATAATGACGAACCTCTATTCGCAAGCACATCCCGAGAACCATCAACTTCATCAAACTCGCAGCAAGATGTCCAGGCAAAGATACGAGCGAATCGAGAGGCGGCCTTAGCCAAACTAGCCGCTCGAAGAAAAGCGGCACAAGCCTCCAAAGAGCAAGAACCATGAAGTCGTTTTTGCTCGGCATCACTGCAAAAGAACCCCTATCACATGGATAATGTGGAATTTAAAACAGTTGCGCGAGGGATAACTTAATCTCGTTGCGTTGATACAAATGTAAATACAAAAAGATAACCATGCTACATCAAACCTTATCAGAGAATTGTTATAAATATGAACCGACGTATAAGCTGCACCATGGCACAAGAAGGCATCGTGCGAAGGTTGAGTTTCAAATTGATGGTGACAAAATTTGACATGCAACGTCAAGCGTTGCTCCACAGAGTTCACAGTTTGGCATTTCATGTCGACGATGGGTTGTTGGTGGATCAATTTCTTTTACCACATTTTTATTTACATGCGAATTGTAACTGATTGCAAAAGAATGACAATTATTATTTTTTTGGTTTTTTGGAGGAATGGTTTTTCTATATCGAGGTTTGAATCGTTCAGGGTTGATACATGGTAATTTAGAAGCGTCCACGACCGCCACGTCCTCCACCACGGCCACCAAAGTCGCCACGGCCACCACCGAAACCGCCACGGCCACCACGAGGAGCACCGCGACCTCCACCACGGCCACCAAAGCCGCCACGACCGCCACGACCGCCTCGTGCACCGCCACGGCCACCAAAACCGCCACGGCCACCACCACGCTTTTCAACTTGCCCTTGAAGACCGGTGCGCTTGGAAGCTAACATCAACGCACAATCAGTATATAATTCGACAAAGAGCTAGAAATAAAATAAACCCACCTTTGCCGGCCACCTTGGGCTTGGGTAAGAAACGTTCAATGGGAAGAAGCTTATCAGTGCCGATGTAAACTTTGTCGTCGACCTTGAAAGATGTCGCGACCATGCCTTCTTGCATCTTGACGGTGAAGAAAACTTCGTTCAAGGGACCGAGAATCTCGTCCACTTTACCGATCTGTGACTTATTTTCTAAGAAAATGGGTGCGTTGAAGTACGGAATCTTGGGATTGATAGATTTGCAGACCATCTCGCCTTCGCAGGCTTGCATGAAGGTTCCCATAGCTATATAACGATGATCAGCAACCGAACGAATATATTGTATAAGGTGTGTACTCACGAACAACTTCAGCGGGAGGACCTTGAGGGGCATTGAAACCGCCACGACCGCCACCACGACCTAAAAAGTCAATTACAAAAGAAATGTTTAATGTCACTGCTGAGGAATGGAAGCATTGAACGTATTGTATAGTTACCGCCACGGAAACCACCACGGAAACCACCTCGGCCACCGCCTCGGCCACCACGTTCACCAAAACCGCCTTTGCCCATGTTGTATATGTTAACTTTAGAAAAGGTGTTGAGCGTCAAAAAAACAAGCGGCAAAAAATGTTGCTCAAAGATTTATTTTTTGGGAGGCTTGGACTGGATTCCGAAAAAAAAAGTTCACAGGCCGGCCGTCATCCTTTTGCGTCATTGGCTAAGAATGTTTGTTGAAATAAAAAATCGACCATGTCTCTTAATGAAACGTTGACTGATGACAGTGACAAATCAAAGGGGCAGAAGAACAACCGCTAGCACACATACATAATATCCTCTTGATAAGTATAAGGTATTTAGATATGTAGGCGTTATCATCATCCTATCAAACCGTATAAATGTGTGGATGTTTATTTTTGATTGAGGTTTTGTTTTACCACCCTTACGCTATTGCCAGCGAGCAGCAGGTTATTGGTAGGCCCATCACAAAAACCATCCGCAACACCTAAACCCGGAAATTGCTCATTATCAACAACAGTATCGGAATCCCATCTCAAAATAGACTATGCTATCAGTGTACGGGGTGGTCATCACTTCTACTTAGCATATGATTCATGGCTGATTTTCTTGAAAATGTGTGCAAACTCTTTCCGTCAAGTAAAGAGCTCGCAGCAGCAAGAGCACTATACGTCGTGGCTTGCACATTGTGGTTTTGAGTAGCTCGTCCAGTTCGATACAAATGTTCAATCGATGTTATGCATACGAAAAACCCAAGGTGACAGGCCAATCACTCATGAGACATGAAAGAAATGGACGCTATTTATGTGGGCTTAAAAACTACATACGATAAGATAATCTTCCATGTGAACGAACGGTGACCGCAAATTCAAATGATAGCAATGACGATTTCCCAAACCATATTGGCCAAGCCAATTGCGCCGTTTAGAACCAATAATACGACACCACTGGGACGTATAGCCCACATATTTAATAATGTGCAACCGTTGAACGGATTCGTTGAACAGAACGCTGTTGTAAACTATCATGTCTTCAATGCGTGAAAAATCTGTTATGCAAAATAAAAAATGAAGCAAGGAAGTTATAGAGCACCATGTATCCTTGACAATTATATCAGACCGATGGGCGGTTGAAACGCGGTATCATAGAAGATTGCAAAACGGCAAAACATGGAAGATATAACAGCAAGGGATACTTCTATTATGTGTATCGCATTGGGTGAGACTATGATATTCCATGTCATATCTTTAAGGAAACTACGGCGACTTTTTTATGCAAATGCAAACGTGCTAATTGTGCAAGTATATACTATATAAGAGATTTTTATATGGGAGATAAAGAAAAATAAGAAAGGACATGGCCGCGTCAGTAAAAACCTCTCAAAAAATTCAGTGGGGAAAAAAAAGTTGAAGAAGAAAAGACTGCGACCACACATAATTCACATGATTGAAAAGAAATGTCAAAGGGGGAACAAAAAAAAATATTTCTACAGCAAGGAAACTTCGGAAAACCAGCCAGTTGACACCGCACCATAAGTCGTGTTAGAGAGAGAGCAGATCCAATCCTCCGATGACGATACCTCAATTGACCTACTGAAAAGAGACAAGAACACCTCCGTTTTGATCTGTAACCAAATCACTCCATGATTTACTGGCTTTTCTGGACTCTTAATAACATCGTACGATACCCAAGTGACCTAGTGAAAAGGGACAAAAGCAACCCCATTTGATCAGTAACCAAACCATTTCATGATTTTACTGGCTTTCTGGTTTGCGCTCGTTTGCTCGGGTCTGGTCTGGTCTGCCCTGCCCTGCCCGCCCTGCCCTGCCCTGTTCTGTTCTGTTCTGTTCTGGCTGCTGTGGTCGTTCTGCTCTGCTCTGCTCAACACCACCAAAGACGATGCCGAAAATGACCTATGGAAAACACAAAGGGACTTCCAATTAGTAGCCAAACCGTTCCAAAATATTACTGACCTTTCTTTAGTTGACGAGCAAGAGGTGCGCCGGCCGAAGATTGGTCCCGCTGCTTCTGACACGTGGGTCTCGGGTTCCTTGGTAACCTTCCTTACTAACTCCCATACTTCCGTGGGTTACTCGCGTGGCTGGAATGGTTGTTTCCGGGGAACCAGACCGCAGCTGACAGCCGTGATATTCCGCATTTCTACAAGGTCGCAAAAATCCGTCAAAGTCGAATCTGCTCCATAGAACTCCCCTTTCGGGAAAGCCCTATGCGAGTGTTTACCTATTATATGACATTCAATTCAACATAAGGGAAATTGTAACAAAAGTGACCATGTCTTCAAAATAGAGCTTACTTTTAGGCTCACTGTTGCCAGTCTTGAGAGTTGGGTAGCGTTTAGGTGGCCGCTGTGTTTCAGATAGCCTTGATTTTCCTCCTATCAACGAAGCGTACCCCAGCTTAGAGCTCCGACAGGGTTGAAGGACCGAAGACACACTCGTGTGTGCCGCCGAAATCCAGCTGAACAGGGGGCGTCTTCTGGGCAGCCATGACTCTGACTCCAGTCAACGAAGCATACCCATACCTCCTTCTTACCAACAGGGGTGGAGGTACCGTAGATTTGTGGTGCCGGCGCGGACGAGGCTCCAGGGCCGTCGTGTATACAGGCTTCTTGTTGGGCTTTTTCGCATTGTGTTTGAAACTATTGAATGACCATAAGAAAAATGTTCCTCATGAGCGATCACTCCATTTAAAGCAGATATGGTAAGAATACCTACCGTCATTTCACCGATCAAAAGTTCAGGCTCTTGCCGGTCAACGTGGGGAAAAGGAAGAAAAATAAACGCAAAATTTTTTCTCTATCTGCTTTTTTTTTGTTTTGCTTTGTGACAGCGGTTGACATATGCAGCACCGCCATCGTCAACTATAGAAGGTTCTTTATTGTCCCTCCATTTTTTTGACAGGAGGCTTATTGTGCATATTTCTTTTGAAGTGTGCCAACCCGCTCTCTGCATGAATCCAAAAGTGATCGGAGCGCACAGGCAAATGTCCGTATCACCTAATTTCTAGGCGGTGACACAACCAACTGCCAGTTACCACGATACGAACAGAAAAATCTATCAACTTCATATAACCAGTCAATAGTGCTGTGCAAAGACTTTAAGTGGCTGTATATGATGATTCCGGACAGTGTGCTGTTCAAATCTTTTACTGTCAAAACCGAACGTAATTTATGTGAAGGCGAAACATATTCAATCGTACGACCGAAATATGAACCCGACGATGAGTGTTCCGACAATCTGAAACTGAAAATAACCACGCATTGACACGAGTGTAAATCAGGAACGTCCATGGTCGTTGGAGAGGTTATCATTTTCGCCTACCTTTTTTCTCAGTGTAGTTATTTGAAGCATGTGCACATATCTGGAATCAAAAGACAAAGTGACTTTGCCTGTGACGTGCAGAAAAAAATTTTCTGCTGTTTTCTGTTTACATTTCATAGAGTCAGTCCAACCATTTTTTTCCCATCCTTTTCTTTTTCTTTAGGCTAAAGTGCGCAACAGTGGGGATGCGTTGATGACTAATGACAACCTTTTCGACAATATTTTTTTTATTACCAAGGTTGCAGAACATCCATTAACCGTGTGTCTCTTATCTCTCTACAGTAGGTTCATTGGTGACGACGAACGGTGGTTCCAGGCTCAAGAAGACAAGTTGCCGAAGACCCAAGGAAGAAGAGAGAAGAAAGAAGATTAAGGTTCAAGGCTCAAGGCTCAAGAAAGAAGATGCAAGGCTCAAGACTCAAGGCTCTCAAGGCTCTCAAGGCTCAAGGCTCAAGACTCAAGGCTCAAGGCTCAAGGCTCAAGGCTCAAGAAAGAAGATGCAAGGCTCAAGACTCAAGGCTCAAGAAAGAAGATGCAAGGCTCAAGACTCAAGGCTCTCAAGGCTCAAGACTCAAGACTCAAGACTCAAGGCTCAAGGCTCAAGGCTCAAGAAAGAAGACGTCAAGACCTTTTCCGACCGGTCAAGATCCTCCGGTGCACTTGGTGTTTTTGAGTTGGACTTCCTGAATTCGTTTTCTTCCTGAGAATTAATTGTTGACTTCCTGAGCTTTTTGCTTCCTGAGGACTTCGGCCTTTCATGGCCACCCTATTTTTGTTTTGGTAAGTTACCTTTTTCCTTTTATCTCTATTTTCTTTCTTTCTTGTTCTGTCATCGCTTGTCATCAACATTCCCGCTCGCTGCTTGCTGCTTTCTTTTTGGTCCCGCCCTCTTGGATGCAAGAAATATTTTTTGTTCAAGTCGCCGTCTCCTTTGGTCTTCAGTAGTATCACATAGTTAGCTGCATGTTATTTTGTAATTTTTAGTCTAGTCAATGCATCAGACTGACATAAAATTTGTGCTTCATTTGTGCCGGTAACCTTACTATGAGATCTATTTGCTGAAAAATAAAGCTGGTGGAATGAAATTTCCCAATACCCAGGACATGAGAATTGCTTAAATGGTTAACTAAGGTTCGCAGAGAATATCATATTCTCCCGCACATATGTTCATCAGCCTATGGAGCGCTAATGCCTCACAAATGAAATGGGGTTGTTGTACCGATAAAATCAGCGTAATAGATATCGAAAGGATCAGTTATCATAGCAATTGTCGACACGCAAAGAAAAAAAAAATGCCAAAACGTAAGCCAAGTAAAGGCGTTTTATTTGAATCAATATAAAAATGCCAACATTAATGAATCTAAAAAATGCAGGAAGGTCGTAATAAGAATTTTTTTGAAGCTGTTGCCTATCTTTATTTCATCAGCACAAGTTAACCAATCTATCTATTCCATAAATTATGGATTTTTTACCTTTATGACTTATTGGAACAATCTTGTACTTTCCGTCGTGGGACCGAGTCAACAATGGCTAGTGAACTGTGCTCTCGGTTACAAGCATGCGTGGAATAAATCTATATTGTAATTCGTGTCAGCCGTAAGACTTGCTCTCGGTGGTGAGTCGAAGTTGTGGATGAATGTACCTATTTTTTTTTTTTTATTTTTTTTTTTGCCTTTGTAATAAGGGGCGACTGCGGTTACAGTATTTATTTATTCGCACGTCACAATGAGCGCTGTAAATAAAGATGCTCAATCGGTAGCAAACAAAAGCCTTCCGAATATTGTAAGGAAGCATATAAAACCTGATCATCCCTGCTGTGGAGCATTAGTTTTGAGATGCAATATGATCCTGTAGCCAGATATCCTTCCGAGCTCAAGAAGAAATAAGGAAGAATAAAAAAAAATTCCACTTAGCTCAAAAAATGAGGGTAAGCACTGACATAATGCAATCAGGTCATGGTATACATAGTATAGACTCATCAGTTTTTAACTCATGAATGCTACACAGGTGTGATAAATTACCGATGATTTTTTGAGCGCTTCAAATCTGATGTCACCCCCAAAATTGAAAAAGTAGTCACGTGCGTGCGCAAAACCGGTGGGTGCTGAAAAGCAGCAAGCTGGGTTTCCTTCTCACTGCTTGTTGGTTATTGCGTGGCATCTGGGAAGGCATCAGCACTATTTATCTGTATCATTTCTCTCAAGACATACGCTTGTTGTCAAATACTATTCAATGTCGGATCACAGAACTTATTCACCGGTGGATCGTGGAGGCACAATAGGAGGGGGATATGGTGATTGGTCAGATGATGAACTACCACCTCGCTCCCAGGCTCGAGAAAAATTCAGAAGAGAACGAAGTATAGAACATGAACGCGATTCTTATGGAGACTCGTACATGTCCAATGCCGATGCCCATGATCGCTACGAACGGAAAAGACGTCTTCGCCGTAGTATCAGCCCCTCTGACGGTACCTGTCAATCCTTCCTTTATTTTTATTTTATTTTTACCTTTTTTTGACGGTTTCTTACTTTTTATAATGGGTATTAATCCATGCTTTCTATCTTTTATTCTTCATTTTTTTTTTTACCTCTTCACTGTCATTTATCAGAACGACGACATAAACGGCGAGCATCCTTTTCTCCGCCGCCGCATGGTGGTCGTGGTTATCGAGGGGGTCCCCGCGGTGGTGGTATGCGAGATGTCCGCGAACGAGATGCTGACTATCCACAAGATGGTGATCATTACATTCCAAACTATGAACGGGACGGCTATGTACCGGGTCCCAGATACAGCAATATGCCCGAACGACAACAAGGACGACCGGGAGGCGGGTATCCTATGATGGGTAAGTGGCATGCCACAAATTGAATGACGGGTAATTTTTTATTTGTCTAACATGGGGGCTAGCAGATATGATGAATGTGCCAATGATGGGCGCTGGCTGGCCAAACATGGCAAGGTAAGATAACATCATTGGTAACTTGAGTCCATTTCACTCATGTTCTTTGACAGACCTCAGCCGGTCGATCCCAACCAGCTCGATTACATCATACCCTTTAAACAATATTGCGACTACTTACGCCAAACGCATTCTCGAAGTCATTTTGATGATGATGAACTTCAGAAACGTTACGCCAAATACAAAGAGAAAGCCACGGCTCGACAGCTCAATACTTTCTTCAACAACAACAAAGACAAAGAATGGTTTCAAGAAAAATATCATCCAAAGATTTCAGAACCTCGCATTGCCGATATGAAACAGCGTAGACGGCATCAGCTGGACCAGTTTCTTATTGACTTACGAAACGGAGTATATGATGCGATTCAATACGACGAAAAGCCGATCACCTCTGCCAGCAAATCGCCAGAAGAGCCTGGTGCCGAATCACTTGCGAATGCGAAGGAGGAGAAAGCCGATATTCCAGCTGCCGACATTGCATCCTCGATTGAATATGAGAACCAGTTGGTTATCAAGACGGTGCCGCCCACGATAGCTAGACAACGAATTATTGAGGTATAGCATTATGCGAAAATGGGATAAACGCAAAATAAGGCGGTGGGGCTGACATTGTGTGATAGATGTGCAGCAACGTCGATGGATTCGAATATCTGGCTCTGTCGGAACCATCTCCCAACAAAAAGTTCCATCGTATTGGTTGGATTCATTTCAAAGAAGGCACTGATATGGTGAAAGCGTTTGAAGCTTTGGATAATCTAAAAGTAGGATTTCTGTGAAAATGTATCGCATGTGGCGTATGAAGATGTTAATCCAGCTTTGTGCGCTCCTGTCCTCCAGATTGACGATTTTACCTTTCATTTGGCGATGAATCGAAAAAACCAGCCGCAGCAACGCGTGCATAAAATGGCTCCTGAAATAGCCAATACCTCAGACCGACTGGATATCGACTTCGAACAAGCACAACTCTTGGCTAAGGTCTTCGATGGTGATTTGGTAGATGACGATGCTGGCGGATTGAAATTGGTGTTGGAAAGGGCGGAAGAGGTTATTGCTAAGCTTTCAGCAGCGGAAACATCTGAGGATCAAGATACCGAAATGGATGAGCCGGACAAAGAGAACGGTGAAACCAAATTGGCCAAGGAATCCAACGAACGTGTTTATCTGAAGAAGAGACTCGATATGATCATTGTATACCTGCGAAATGTTCATATGTTCTGCTACTACTGTGGCATGGAATGCGATTCTTTCGAAGAACTCAATCGACGTTGTCCTGAGCCACATTGTCGTAAATTGGCTTCACTTTCAACGTCATCAACAACCGATGGGAAACAGCAAAACCGAGGTGAACGTCAAGGTATGATGAACCAAAATTGAAGCCTATCCTTCATACTGTGACATGGTGTGTTGACAGTCATTTGATCGTGATAGCTGCGCAATGGGCAAAAAATCTCGACCAGAGAATTGCGATGAAGTCACAGACACCGTCTGACCGAGAGCTTGAGAGATGGGGTGGAAAACCCTATTCGAGGTAGAAGCTTGTTAGTGCATTGCATACATGGCATGTGGCTCATGATTCAATTTGTAGCGAACTGGAAACGTTTATGAAGGAACATGTACAAAAGGAGCACGAAGCCAAATTCAAGTGTAAAGTTGGGGAATGTGCAAAGGCATTCAAAGGATTCGATTTTGTGGAGAAGCATATCATCACAAAACATCCAGAAGAAATTGCACGTCTGAGGGAAGAAGTCGACTACTTCAACAACTATGTGCGCGACCCGAATCATCTTACACCAGCCGCCAACCTTCAGTCCAATATGAACATGGCCATGGGTGCAGCCAACATGGGAGCTAATATACCGTTTGCTGGACCGCCTTCAGCATTCATGGTTCCTGCAATGAATGGCGGTGGACGTATGGCTCCTCCCGGGATGGCCATGCACGCTGCTGCCGTGGGCACACCGTGGGATCAAATTCCACGCATCGGTTTCGGCGATATGAACTGGTCGAATGCCATGGCCATGAATCGCAGGACGGGTGGCAAAGATGGCATGGAAAATTTTAACCGCCCGCCGTCGGCAAGGTACTTTCTTAATGTGTTGGAAATTGTCGTTATTTCTTTTGAAACTGAATGAGGCTCCTCTTTTTTTTATAGCCTCGACCTGAATGATTCCATGGTTCGTGACCCTCGTCAGGTGAAGAACTACGTCGATCTTGATGCTCCGGCTGAAGGCGATGCGGATATTTCATTTTATTGATCTACTCAGCATGCAACCTATTTTATACTCCTTTTTCTTCCCTCTTTATCATCTGATGCTCTTTAAACGAATTTTCTTCTATTTGCTTCCCACCCTGTTGTTCAGTTTTTCTTTCTTTTTTTTTCTTCGTTCTCTGGCATTCTCAACCGATATGAAAAGTGATGGGATGATTAAAACGCCACCGTGACAAATACCACGTCAATTGTTTGCGGCCAGGAAACTTGAAGTGACTTTGTAGAAACGTTGGAAACTTGTTGGTTGTTTTTGGCAGTCTAGAGCTTTGCCGAGAAGATCTTGGCCATCAATTCTGTGACACATGGTTTCGTCGACCTTTGTTCCAGAGAGCCTGATCCTACCGGCAGGAATCCGAGCAGGGAGATCTCTTTATGCCTAAGCACACCTTTCCAATATCACAATCCTACGCTCACAAGGAACATCACAGGGAGCACATAAATTGTCGTAGATAGCATTAGAATCGCTGAAGTTTGTTAATTTTAAACGACATAGACTCGATAAACTCGACGTATTTCTGAAAAACAATGTTTACAAGCCCTCGATAACATGAATACAGTATATCGAGATATGAAGATGACTCACACACTTTAGATATTAAGTGAAACCGAGACTTTAACTGGCTTGAATATTAGACGAGTCCTCCGCTTATAACCGAGCAAAGTTATCGATCCTAAAGATCCAAAGTGCTCTATCTGCGCTTGGGGAACAAAAAGCTTCGCCGACTTGCTCTTGCTTGAGTCCAACGATTAAAAATATATCCCGGACCCATTTTATGACGTCATATATATCACGTGAGGGGATTGGGGCGGGCCGATAACCTTTTTTTCTTTTGGGTTCAATGAGGTTACTCTTGTCACGGTTGTGAAAAATAAAGAAAAATCTGAACCAACATGAGCGGCCGCGATGCACGATCCGTAGATAGAATGGCCATTGACGATGGTACGCATGGTTTTCATTGTGAATTTGTATGCTCACGTTTATTTATCTCCATGATTTCTTTTTTTTTCTGTAGATGCTGAAGTCAGAATCAAGGGCCGAGGTTTCTCCAACGAACACGGTACGATTTACAAAACTATGACGGAGGATCGAGGTCCTAATATTGTGATTATAGATGACTCACGGCGCGGTAAACGCTTGGATCGTATGAACGAGGACAGCGCTCTTGAACCAGAACGATGTAAGCCCCTACGTCGAATCTCAGTCTATTCAATGCAACGATGCCTAACGTGATACCTTTGTAACGTAGCCATAGAAGGCTGGATTATTATCATTCGAGGAGTGCACGAGGAAGCTGATGAGGAATCGCTGAATGAACGATTCGCAGAATATGGCACCATCAAAAATTTGCACTTGAACTTAAATAGACGTACCGGTTATGTCAAGGTAAGACAACGACTCGGTTTCTGCGCTGTGTGATAGTGGACTAAAAATTCGTAGGGTTATGCTCTTGTGGAATACGAAACCCGTAAAGAAGCTCAGGATGCCATCGATGACGCAGACGGCACGAAATATCTTGATCAAGAAATCAAAGTAGACTTTGCTTTCGTAAAAGGACCCTCTCGTTCGGAACGCCGAGGTGGTCACCGTGACAGAAGCCAGAGCCCTTCCAGAGATTAGTGCATAGTGAAAGAGTATAATGAATTTGAATACAGTGTCTTCTTGAATCTTTCTTGTTTCATCCAATGTGATTCGTCATCAGCGACCAAAAGCCAAGAACGGTAACCTGAATTTTTGGGTTTTTTTTTTAATTTTTTTTTTTCTTTCCTTTCCTTTGATTGACGAAGAAAAAAAATGAATCATGAGCGAACGACTTAAACGAACTGTACCTTGTAAAGGTAACTTCAATGGGAATGACTGTACTTTGGCTTTTGCTCTGATTTCCGAAATTAGATTGCAAAAAGAAACGACGAAAATGTGAATGGCTGCCCGGGGCAGCGGCCTGCACTCGGTGTGCCAAGCAACAGCGAGAATGCGTAGTCCGAGATGGCAGTAACGATGCAACCACCTCTGATACTGAAGATGAAGAACAACTCCTCGATGGCAACAAAGATTTAGCGGTCATGACCAATGTTGTAGTCCAGTTGGAATCCGAATTACACCGTTTGGAACTTTTGCTGCGGAACGAGCGTAGTCGAGCACCTAGTCTCACCAGCAGTTCGTCGTCTGAATCACTCTCATCGTCCTCATCGCCCCCCTCCTTACCTTCTCCTATAATATCTCGGTTGTTATCTCCCGCTTCCAGCTTCTCATCCATCACCTCTCAGCCATGTCAGACTGATTCGTTGATGTCTCTCGTCCCCTATTCGAATGGAAGTCCTTGTCAATGCGGCCAGAATGACCAATTTTGCCAATGTTGTCAAAATGCCAAGTACGAGTGGAATCTTTCCATCGTTGATGGCCAGCTTCGCTTGGAAACCGGTATCAAGTCTGTCCACGAACTGATTACGTTTAGTCAAACCATGTTGCGCAGCCTGAATCCGTTTACAGGCGATTTGGAGAATACTGCCCACAGTTTCAAGGTCGTTGCACCGAATGGAATTATGACGTTGGTGCGAAAGTACCTTTCTGGTATCCAGGTAATACCACCACTCGTTCGAAAATCACCGTCTTTGCTCCAGGATGCATTGTTCGCCAATCCTCGGCCGTTAGTGGACCAGTTCGTTCGAATCTACTTTAAATGCTTCAATTCAGCCGTACCCCTTTTCTACGAGCCGACTTACATGGCATACTACAACTCGTTATCCGATCCGTTTAGCTGTATCGTGACGATGGCCATGTGTAACTATGTGGGCAGCAGTTCGTGCAAACATATTCCATTCACACCAGACGAACGCCGTCGATTAGGCGAATACTTTTTCAGTATATGGAAAGATCTCCTTGGAGAAACTTTTGACGATCCCAATCGACGATTGGAAACCGTGATGTCGATCAATCTGATCACCAAGTATCTGCAACATGTACTAAGAATATCGGAATCACAAAAATACGCGGCCATGGCGCATCTGATATGTCAAGATTTAAGAACATACTACGCGGATGACCGAAAACCGATTGTCGAGCGAGCGCTTTTTCAACGGCATTACGTGCTTGCCGAACATATACGGGCGATGAATGAATTTCTGGATGACAAGGAGTTTGTTCTTCCAGTCATTGAGAACGTGCAATTTGAAGTGTTGCCTCTTGAATCTGATCTTGTGAAATCGTTCATCGAAATTTTTCAACACATTCTGCGACTCATTCGGCATCCTTATGTGGTTAATTTGGTGGTAAGTATGAAACGTTGGTGAAGCATGGGGCAAATGAATTAAAGGGCGGTATTTCTTAGCGACAATTTGGATGTATGCATGCCGGTCAAGAAGTGGAAATGACATTTGAAACCTTTTTCCGATGGGAGGAAATCATCCAACAGTGGTGGTACACTGTTCCAAAATATTTGCGAATAACCGCGAATCCTATCGATCTGAACACCAGGATTATCATCGATTCGTCTGTCACCGAACCACAGCTCATGCTTATTGTTTTCTTCCAAATGTTCATGATCAATATCAGCTCATGCTTACTGCATCCTATTGACAATATCCATGTGGACAATCATGCTTTGTTGCAACTCATCCAAGATCACGCGGTTCGTGGTTGTCTACGTGGAACACAACTACTGTTGGACACGGCCAAAAAACTCACCACCTCATCCTTATCATGTCATTGTAAGTAAAATGTGTGGGGTATGTGTGACATGCGACTGTCGATACTAATCATAAGCGGATCTTATTGTTGATAGTTAATACCGAATTTCTCCTCGACGCCGTGGATACTCTGGCCATCTTAATCCGATTCCCCGATCCTACTGTCGCTGACAAGGCGAGGGGGATATTGGAGGCATGTCTGTTAGAGGTTAAATCGGCGCTGATTACCGATGGTCACTGGCGATCCATGTCCTTCTCGTCGTCCATAAAAGTCAATCAACCCGAAGATTACGTTTCATTGATCAAACAATATGATCAATATCCTCTTCCATTTTACGCACTACTCTGCCATGTTCTCAAGATCACGCTCAATGATAGCGGCTTCATTCTGCAATAATGCGGGACTGCATCATGTATTTTTTTTTCTCCTTCTGTACTTCATATGAAAATAAAGATAGACTCTGGAAATGGGGTTCTAGAGTGATTTTTTTTTTTAAAAAAAAAAATCAACGTTTTCTTTTTTGTACGACGGTCCTTTCATTTCCGGCGATGTCTGGATTCTGATGTGTAATCTGAATTTTCTGATATTACAACATTCAAGGGACGGACATTGAACCCTCTTCCGATCGACAGTGTGTGTACACACCCTGGATCACCCGGTTGATGAATTTGACTGCTCCTAAAGACAAGAAGTTCCTGGTATCATGCGTATGGATTAAATGGTGGGAAGCGATTGTAAAGTAAAGCTTGTACCAGTTGAGCGGAAACAGAACGTGAAAGTCACCGATATTCTTGTTACAACATTAGATTTCCTCGAGTCAATCGAGCGGTGTACCAAAAAATAAATAAGATACAGGTGCCCGGAAAACAGGAACACTTTATTCCTTTTCATTTCCTCGACAAACGGTTTTAGATTACGATTTCTGCATATTATGGATCACGTTCAAACGCTGGGCAGAATCTATGCCGACGGAGTCCATCATTGTGATTGGCGGCTTACACTACGAAACTGCAGAGAACAATCCGCGATGACTATTGTGTATATCACCAATATCGTTATTTCAGCATGTGTTATTATCATTGGTAACTATCCTCAACTAGTATAGACTTCTTATTTTTTTATTTGCTGGACTCATTTATTTTCCCACGTCATCAAGGTGTCGGACTTCTTCTGCATCGAAGGATAGTGCAAGGACATCGCATGTTTGAAGCACACTCGCCTCGAGAGTATCTTCGGCCCAAACCCATTGACGGCATGCTTTTTTTGATAATGATCTTCAACCTTCGTAAGCCACTTTCAAGTTTTTTTTTCTGCGCCGCCTCAAACCGACGTCTGACAGGAATTTTTAGTTCGATTAATCAACAGTGTGATCCTGATCACTAACGTTGCTGACAATCCGATATCAAGATCATGTAAGCACCAAAATTTGGGGGGGGGGGGAAATCAGCTCACTTTCGGTAATAATAATTGTTTATGGTTAGTCATGTACGAGTTTCCTTGGCAATTTGGATATGGCTCGTTCGTACTGTACGTTGTCGGCATTGCGCGCACATTGGCAAATGTAAGTTCACGATCCGCTCAAAGCACGGTGTTTCTTATTTGAAATCGTTTTTCATCCAGAGCCATAAATCTGTTTCTTCAGGATGGTTGCCTTCCACGCAGACCGTGGACATCGTTGGCGTCATTTTATTCTTTGCTCCATTTATTATCAATAACACCTGTTCCTTGGCGGCGGGGATTCTCGATTTCTCCCACTATGAGATAGCGGTCATTTTCACTCGGCTACTCTACATATTCTGGTTTATCCACTGCACCGGTCTTGCGATTACCGTTATGTGGGCAGGCATTCGCCTCATCAACGTCTTGAATCAGCATTTAAGGAAAGCAGGCACTTCGACATCGCGATATGCAACACTGAAAACCGGCATTTTCAAGGTAAATTATCCAAAGATTCGCCAAAACCAAATTGCTTGCTTAAATTTTGTTTTTATATTTGTGTTACAATTTAGATTCGTACAGTCATGAGTATCATTGTCGTCTGCTTGATGTTATTTGCTGCTCTATTGCTGGCCTTTGGGTTGTTGCGCACTCACATCTTAAAAAGCGTTGCTGGCAGTATTTTTGTCGGCGCGGTATGGAATTTTCTGGGGCCTGCAGCTACAATTTTGGTGGAAATTGCAATTATTTTCAAGTAAGCTTTTGCTCTGCTTATCTTATGACTTGCGGAGGACAGCGACTGACAGATTTTTTTTACAGTCCAAAAATTGATGATCCTAATCTTGGTCTCAAGTCATCGAGTGGGGGAAAGACCTCTCAAACAAATGATAGCCAACTATCGACGGTGGGCAACAGTCAAACCTTTGCGTTCAGCGAATCGAAAGAGCTGCCAACATTTTCATTTATGAGTCCAAACGACGATTTGAAAGAACAACAATTACGCTATGAAGAAGTTTTTCACCGATACAACCTGTATGCGAATATGAAGAATTCTCAGACCGATCATAAAATGCCACAACGGAAAGAAAGCGCTTTGCCACTCAATCCCATGCACCAGGAATCTAGCGAATCGACAGACACGTCTTCAGCAAATACAGATTTCGTCGCCCCTGATGCGTTTGCTTCCCGGGCAGGGCTAACACTACATCCTGCGTAGAGCCAGAATATTTTTCTCTTATAATGCCAATCATTCATCATACCACATTTTACCATATCCTATTGTTCGGTCAGCATCAAGCCATTCTACATTACACTAAAACTACACAATTTACAACAGAGCGATAGTTCCTTTATTCCCAATGATCCCTTACAGACATAAAATAAACATTCCGGCATTTGATTTCCAACAGATACTTCAAAAAAAAAAACCCCCCAGACAGATTTATGTATACAGATGGAAGAATGAGCGATCTTATTTACAGATTTTCGGCAGATTCTCTAACCAATCGCCGCACTCTTTTTTTAAAGTAGGGATAATTTTCTCTATAGTCCTTCTACAAGAGACAACAGATGAGTCAATTTTTTTTCATGGGATATTATACAATGTACACTTACAGCTGCTTCGATATTAGCCGGTGATTCGTCATTAGGACTTGACAACATGGAAATCACGGAAATAAGAATAGTCTCGACCGTATGCACTGGTGACCATCGTTCGCTAGCATGCTCATAGCCATATTTATCATCGCCCGGAGGATGCTACAAAAATATTGAAGGTGAGTATGGACGAAAAATGAAGAATGAATGAAATAAAAAATGGGATACTCACTAATATGGAAATGCAGACGGTGCCATCAGGATACACTGTAACATAAACAAGTCAGCAAAAAAGGGAAAATAGTTTATGCGGTGACAGTAACCGAGTCAGGGAAATTGAAATTTTTTTGAACCTTACCATTTGGATGGTACATTTCTGTAATAAATCGCATGGTAGGAGGCATCACTGGATACGACTAGATAAACACACACAGATCAATGTAAAATATACATGAGTTTCGATCCAAGAAAAATATGCTATGATATCCTTTTAATTTTTTTTTTTTTTATATTTGCTTACCACAGGAAATGAAAGCCGAGCTTTGAAAAATCCGCCCTCGCTGTAACACAATGAGATGCATGATAAAAGTCGATATCAATGCAATACAACTTACTAGAGAGTGTCTGAAGCACCGATGATAAGGATCTCCCACTGAGCGTAAAGGTTAGATGGTGAGTATCTTAAAAAAAAAATATTTTGCGTAGTATTCTGTACCTCGTAAATATTATCGTCTACAAGACCAGCGGAAAACCCTTCTACTGGATTTCGTTGCAGATCTAGGAACGTGGATTAGCTGTCAAACTTCACAATCTAGATCGATTTCTGATTTTTGCATAGAAGGATGCTCATTGCAAGAGGGACATGAACGTTGCTCACCTTTTAATTGTCTGGAAAGAAGCAAAGCGCTTTGATCTGCAAGACTCATAGTTGTGATGAACTTGAATTCACGGTATAGGGGATAACGTCGTAATGAAGCAAGGTTTTTGGAAGAGCGGTCTGAAAACACAGTGGAGAAGAAAAAAAGACCAATTCCAACCCCAGCTTCACAGAAGAACAAATCTCATGATTATTTCCTTTTTTGGAATAATTGCGGACGGACGTTTCAACGATTACATAGACAAGGACAAGCAAGGCGCCCCTTCCATACCAATGATCGCTTTCTCAACGACTGGATGCCAAGTGAATTGTAGGAAGGCTTCAATTTATAATCCATATGTGGCATTTGTAACCGCTAATTTCTCGGTTTGTTTCAAAACGCCTACCAAATGATGATTTGAGACACAAGCAAGATGCTGGCCCTACACGGCGAGGACTCTTCAGTCGATCGTTAAAGGTTTATAATGGCATCTGAACAACCTCCTTTCTGCCTTTGACAACTGATGGATTTTTATAAGCATCACTTATTTTGACAAATGAGGTACTAAAGCCTCCGGCTTGCGGTTCAATTCGAGCATATCTTCTGATCAGCATAAAATATCAACGACTAAATGTGTTAGGTATTCAATCAAATATAATGCTGAATTTTCCCATTTTTATAAAGAATGGATTTGAGTGGGTATTACATAGGATCAGAAATCCGCTAGAGCTTTTGAGCGCGTTGCCTCCGGATGCATTCTTGTAGAATACCAATCATGTTATCGAAGCCTTCCAGTAGCCCTGGATCTTGCTGCTCTTGTGAGGCATCCCATTTCGAGTGTGCGAAATCGATTAAACGCACATCGCAAATTTTTGAAACATCTTCTTCATCTTCTTCGTTATCGTCGTCTGTGACGGGCACACTGGAGGTTTGCTCTGCCTGTTCGTCTTCCTGCAGCATACGCTTCCAGACGCTTTCGGCCGCTTTTTGATCGCCCTCGTAAACGAACAAGAGCGAGGAGCTGATCAGTTGCAAATTTGAGTGAGTCGCGATAAAGTCTCGCATATCCGAAAGATCATCCTGAAAACTTTCCAGAATCCATCGCATCATTTTTCCCGGTATACGGGCGCTGATCCCTTCTGTCGCAACTTCGGCCACATTTTCTGCAACCACATCCGAATGTTTGGAGGCTTTGTGAGCATAATCTGATGATGGAAAAAAGTAAGCCAAGAAACCATCCAGTATATCATCTTTTACGAGGCTCCGTCCGTACGTTTTCGAATAAATTGTTTGCATTCCGTTGACCGCATTGAATGTCTATGAACAAGGTCAGAAGCTATCTATCAATGATGACGAAAAACTCGCGTACTTTCATGCCACATATCCGAAGTGCGATGGAATGGGTCGTCGTGCTTTTGGCCCTTTCTTCCATCCGCTTGCGCTTGTCTTCGTCTGCCGTTTCATCGCACAATTTCCTTCCTATTTTCACATCCAAGATGCACGGCTTTGTAAATCCTCGAAGGACATTTTCTAAGCACAGATTGTGTATGGTGACAGGTTAAGAATAATAGTCGGATTTTCATTAGTGCCTCCTATCGATTATTGTTGTACATGAAAAAAAAGGATATTTTCTACATGTCTTGCAGGATCGACAATCAGTTCAGAAGGCAGTTGAGTAACGTCGTTCTCGTACTGCTGCTGCTCGTTTAACAGACGAAGCTCGGAATCGCTCGAAGCCCGTAAGCTGCCATAGCATTCGGGTATCCATTCCTGGAAGTCGGGATAACGATGGCTTGCTTCGTAAAATGCCAGTTCTTTCAGGGTACAAGGTTTGACGATGATCATGTCGTTGGTGGAAAATCGCAACAATCGGTCATGGCCTGCTACTTGATTATCGAATCGAACGAGATTGTCTGTGTCTGTCATCGATTGAACCAGCAAAAAGCGGGCCTTGAATTACATTGAATGAGTGGAATAAATTTTCAAAAGCGAGCGAGCGGCAACCAAGCAACCCGATCTGCTTACACAGATGGAGAAATATTCACGATGGCGGGTAAACTCCCAATGTTGCTAACAAATAATGCGGTCAGTAAATGCTCACCATGCTATCCTTAGGATGCCGGAACTGGTATTCAGCCTTTTCTACCACCAGTGGTAAGCATATTTTACGCCCAAGCTGCCTGAGTAAAGTTTAACACCGTTGTTTGTCAGCCTCCCCGTATAGAATCTAGTCTTTTATTGGTGCTTTCCAATGTCATTCACTACGTTGTTGGACCAGTGCTGGGCGCCATTAAGCTGGTTCTTATTGCCATTCTAGTTCTATGCTATATACTTTTCGTTAAGTTATTTGGCTTGATACTTGTGAGTAACGAACGCGTCTCTATGATAACCACAGCCAACTTATGCTATACGTGCAGATCCCTCTCGGACCGGTTCGTCGATTGTGGTGCAAAGTTTGGAATCTTATCTTAATACGAACGACCCTGTTTGTGGCCGGTTTCTTTTACATCAAGCATGAAGTAGTCTCGACACGTAAAAGGTAGGAGTTGGGCTAAATAATGTCATTTGACGGTATTTGACTCAGGCATATGTTTTAGCCGTGGTGATTCTACAAATGCATATGAGAAGATGCCCACACCGAGTTCTGGTGATATCATCGTTGCGAATTGGACTTCTTATATCGACATTTTGTATTTAGCGTATCGGTCAGTATTTGACGCGCCGGTCGATTGCATGATAACGCATCTGACTTGTAAACCATTTGTATAGATTTAACCCGGTTTTCACGCAGATCTATCCCGCCGAGAATAAAGTTTGTGAGATTTCCATGTGGCAAGCAGTACGGTTATGCAGTCAGTTTCCTGCATTAAGTGCGGAGGAAAAAAAGGTTCCGCCAAATCGCCTTTTTACTGTCAGCGAATTGGTTCAAAGGGTCAGTGCTCGACACTTGGGACCCATTGTCGTGCTTCCCGAAGGAACGACCACGAATGGACGCGCTTTGCTAAAGTTTATCCCGATATTCGCGAATTACGATTCAGATCGATCCCGCAGTAAATTCCATGTACTGGCATTCAGGTGAGCATCCATGTATTTGTGGTGGCTATGATTTTCTCGGCAGAGGACACCTGTATTCATATTTTGCGCTAGATACGAATTTGGAAATATGTCGCCTACCTTCACCGTCGGTAACCAATGGTTACATTTTGCGAGATTGTGCTCCCAGGTATGTTTTCCAAAACGGACTTAGTTTTTTTTTTTTTTTTTTTTTTTTTTTTTTTTTTTTTTTTTTTTTTACTGATTTTATTCTCATTCTGCTTCTAGTTTTCGAATGGCTTATTGGTAAAATATCTTGCCGGAAACGAGGATCCCACGGCGGCAACAAATACGGGAACACCCCAACCGGCGCAAAATAGTAGTGAGGATGTACTGGGTGAGCGTTTAATCACATCGCTTGGTAACATCTCGAGACTTCGAAAAACGAACCTGTCGATTTCGGATAAACGCGATTTTTTGCAATACTACAAGACAAGACAAAGCGGTTCGGCCCCCAAATCTTCCAAAAAGTCGAATTAATGCTTTAGATAAATTCTGTAATTTCATTTCAATAATTGTTATTTTCAAAGTCGAGATATTCTGTCTGCCTCATTGAAGCGGTGTGGTGCCTGTTATCGGTCGGTGCATATAAGAGTGAAAATTTGGGGATTTCGGGAAGTCAAGAGAAAAAGCTAATATGGGGAGTAGAATGAATGTGATCATGTATGACATATCTAAAAGGGAAAAGGAAAACTCACTGAACTAGTTTATCGAATGCGAAAACCACTCAACTCGATCTTGCAGTTTCCATAAGGTCTACAAGCTAAAGTTATTGATGTCATACCATACTTGACAGTAGATATAAATGAGGGTTACGCTTATAGTTGGAGTTCAGGGAGACATCGTTTCGCTGCTAAAGTAATTTCAGTCTATGATACATCAAATTCAAGTGGTTTCTTTTCTCCGGACGAAAGATCAAGCAATGGCCTACTTGGATACGCAAGGCAATAATCAAATTACAGAAAACTGGCAAGTTTCCTGCAAATTAGCAGTTTTGATTGATGCAGCTAATAACCACCACAAGTACAAAATAATGAATGGTGTTTTTGTCAGGAAGTAATACTGGAGATCCATTTGCTTTACAGGCCAATAAAGACCGGGCGTGAGGACGCATATAGAAAACCGATATGTTAAAGCAAATTCATTTAAACTACAGGACAGTATCATAATGATGGTATCACCGAAGATAATTCGCTTACCATCTTCCATCTGAAAATGTTTGCAGCAACGATAGTCAAAGGAGGCAATCGATTCCAGCGTTAGTTATTGGACATGGGATTACCGAGCCGAAATGCACCAACGATGCATATAATCACTATGCAATTGTTCCCATGCCATATTTTATGTGTACAAAATACAGTTGAAAGGCAATGTCATGGACGCGACGCTGTGGTCGCGGTGACAAATAGCAAGCAAACACAGGTATTTGCCGTCCGTGTACACGGGTTATTTGCATCTATTGAAGACAAAGGCGTTTATAGTCATCTGCAATAAATGTCATCTCTTCATTCGTATTGTTAGCTCGTGACGTTATTGATACTGATACGTAATGACTTTTTCAACCGCCAAACACCACCAAATCTCCAAAGTACAAAGGAGGGGATGATGTCTCATCGACATCGAGTACCGTGATCAAAGACGGCACTCTCGGCATCCGTCCGGAAAAGCTAGACTGCACACGCTAAACTTTCTTGCCCACGAGCGGAAGGTAACAAAGATGTTTCAGCACCAACTCTCAACCTATAGATTATATGTACTTTGGAATAGATATAAAGGAAAGAAAAGCCAATACACATTACAACAATGACAAGGGATAACACAGAGAGGAAATCCAGGCCAGCCGTTGCCGGACAGATGCGCCTGTCCAGAAATGATCGTCACTTCAGCAATTTTTTTTTTAAACCTGAGCGCTTTTTTTTTTTTACACACATAAAATAGGCTTCTCACCCACCTAAGTTTAATCTGTCGACTCATTCCGGTCTTTTCTGTGCATTTCAGTGGTCATGGCAGAAGAAAAGAACGTTGCAGATTCATCACCTATTCGTGTCAAGGTGTATTACCTGAGCGATGCGAATACCTGGGACACTCGTGGCACCGGTCATTGTACCTATCTTCCGGTAAAGATTGGTCTGACATTGACGAGCCTTTTTATTTTTGCATAACAAGATGCATCGACACTCTAATTGTTTAGGGTGAGGGCGGAGAGGCGGACGAGATTATCGTAGACTCTGATGAAGAAGAAAACGTCGTGTTACTCAAGTCCAAGATAATGAAGGAGTATCTGTTTACTAGACCTCAGGGTAACTGCATCGCACGCCTGAAATTAAAACCTCGAATCGCTAACGATTTTTCAAAAAGACACGCTCATCGTTTGGTCGCAAGAAGTCGATTCCGAATACGCTTTATCCTTTTTGAACGTCGAAAGTTGCGATAAAATTTGGTACGATGGTTTTTCGCGAACTGACTATTAAGGGGGCCACAAAAAAGACTGAATGAACGGCACCGGGTTGGCATTTAGGTCGCGCATATGTGCTCATGTGAATCCCAATGCGGGTGACAACGACGGTGATTTGGGCAAACCCTCGGAAATGGTGGGACTTGGATTAGACGACGAGAGCAGCGATATGTCACAACCTTATCAGGATTCGATGGATGCTCTCATTCTGCCTCCGCCCAAAGCTTCGAATTTATCTACCATTCTTAAAATCCTAAAGGACGCAAGAACTATTACTGAAAAAGACCAGTTGGCGACCTTTATCGTGGTTGAAGTACGTATGCATCCGTAGAAAACAGTCAACGTACAATCACTTACCTACGATACGCAATCTATCACCCATTTTTCAGAATTACACAGAGAAACTATCACGAAAGTTTGAACTATTCGAGCAGCATCATAACATCAAGGGATTGCATTCTTTATATACCATTATGAGAGGAATCAGTAAGTCCTGCGGCTTCGGTTTAGGTTTCACTGTGACTATGCCCCTGATTGTTTCATACAGTATCATTAAATGACAACACGATCATCGAGAATCTGGTCCGCGACGAAAACGTGCTTGGTGCTATGGGAATTCTGGAATGTATGTCGCCATGTCCCAATGTGATGCGCTCTGCTTTTACCAACATTTGTTGCCTAGATGATCCGAGCACACCCAACATGAAAGCCAAACATCGCCAATTTATCACAAAAAACAATGACACAGAAATGGTAATTACGTCGCGGAAAGGAAAACATTATCCTGCATGAGAAATTCAAAATCTTGTCTTTTTTTTCAAGGTGGTTCCAGTCGACGATTCCATGATTTTAACAAAGATTCATCTTTCCGCTCGGCTGCAATATCTAAAAGATGTGGTTCTTGCCAATTATCTGGATGAAGCGCTCACCGCGATCCTGCATTCTCTCATATTTTTCAACAATGTCGATATCGTCAACTATTTCCAAAACAATGGCGAATACCTCACCGAATTGTTCGGTATCCTGAAGGATGACACGTCCTCCGTGGAGAAGAAACGCGAAGTCGTGCGATTTTTATATCAGCTGTGTTCTCTGGGGAAATCGCTGCAAGCGCAGTCGCGTGCAGAGATGTATAGGTTGGTAGATGACCACGAACATGTCGACAATAGAAGGAAATAACACGTTGACGGATGGTTAGAACGCTTGTAAAGTATGATCTCTTGGATGCCATCGTCTTTGGAATGAAGGATGAAGAAGGGAACATGCGTTCGCGATGCGTAGATATATTGCTGTCCATGGTGGAAGTGGATGCTTCGTTGATCCGGACGCATATCATGCAAGAGGCTACCGACGAGGGACGTTCCGACCGTTTACTGGATACGGTGATGCATTACTTTGTGACGGACAAGGAGCACTTCCACAAATCTGAATATGCGGAGATGCTTAAATTATTACTGGATTCGAACTCTGGATCCATGATCGGTGCTACCGCCATGGCAATTAAGGTATGGGCTTTGTACTACCGTCACGCGATTTTTCATGCATGTTGACTCGGCGTGATCGGATGACAGGCATTACGCGAAGATAATTCGGAAATAGAGGATTTTTTGATTTTATTTTACGACAATTACGCTCATTCCCTGTTAAAGCCCTTGCAAGCCCTAGACACAAAAGTAATCAATTTAAACGGTAAGTATGAATGGGCGACCTGTGATGGAACAATTCTCGGTATTCAGACTAGTTTGGCAGGCCCTGTAGAAGCACTGGTATTGCCACCTGAACAAACTTCGCTTTGTTTACAAATTTGCGAATTACTTTGTTTCGCGGTGCGCAATCACGGTTTTCGCAGCAAATACTTAATCTTATCCACCAATTGTCTGTCAAAAATAATACAACTGTATCGATGTCGGGAAACCCATATGAAACTAGGTAAGAGCCTCGATTTACAAAAAAAGACTGATTATTTCTGTTATTTCTTTTTACTTATCTTTAATATTCCCAGCTGCTCTTCGTCTGGTACGAACCTGCGTAGGAACAATGGATGACTTTTATATTCGATTCATGATCAAGAACAACCTCTTTGAACCTACCATACGCGTTTTACTCGACACCGACGGTCAGAACAACCTTTTGAATTCCGCCTGTCTGGAACTGTTCGAATTTATTCGAAAAGTAAGTTCGACGATGAAGCTACCTCACCACAGTTCATGTGATGTTGACGCTTTATCGTCATTTTAGGAAAATGTCAAGACGCTAGTGGATCACTTAATAACCAAATACGGCTCTGTCCTGGATACGACAACTTACATCTCGACATGTTCTCAACTGAGACTAAGATATGAACAAAACAAGGACACAGCAGAAAAGAACACACCGAACCAAGAAGATGGAAGTTCCAGGTTTGTATTCCAGCTGTCCAGTGTCTGATACGGATGCTAAACGTATTTTTTAGTGCTGAACCACAAGCACCCGATCAACGAAGCACGATGGACAATGAGGAAGAAAAATATTTTAACGATTCGGATGAAGAAGAGGAGCCGTCTCAACCTTCCGAAGATGTACCTGCGGAAGCTGATTCTTCTGCAGAGACAAGTGAAAGCTCACAGGAAGCGGCAAAGGCAAAGGAGATGGCGGTAGACAATGACGAGAAGGAGAAAGAAAGTGAGGAACGTGACTTTGCACCACCGATATGGAAACGAAAGATCGGTGACGAGGACAACGATGAGAACGATGAAGATGTACTTGCAGTGAAAGCGAGAAAACTCGAAGCAAGGTCGCCCACGCTTGGCAGTCCTCGAAAGATCGTCATTTCAGGAATGAAGAATTTAAGGCCGAAAACATAAAATGTCCACATCCATAAAAATCACCATCTAAATCAATTAAACTTATCATTGAATATTTTACAGTATCTTCTATATCTCGCGTGGATCAATTAATCGCGTATCTGTTTAAATCCTTGAGTCCGCAGCAAATAGATCCCCCTACTGTACCCGACAAATTTATATGGCATTGTACGTCGTGCAAGGTTCGCACGGTCAAACACACTGAAGCATCTTCTAAACTAGCAAATAATGTAACGAAAAAGCGAGCATGCTTCGTTTGGAACTAGTTATTTCTGCAGACAAAGTTGCAACCCTATCTAGCATTGTGGGATGTGTTTCGAAATTAACAGTCACTGAGCTTGCTCGTAATTGCGGTGTCTTCAACAGGCATGCGGGTTGGTGGCTTTGTTATCGTTTCCACTACGAACCCAATGTCCACCGTTCAGCTGTATGCCTGGGGCCCTGCGCTGGGTGCTCCGTCCATCGACCCAAAATGCGTTATTATCGAAGCTTACTTGCGCCTGCTAAATATTGAGTATACCGTTGTACAGACTAATGATCCTCAAGCGAGTCCCACAGGTGCGAACTTGATTTATCGAGGGCTGCGCATTGACTTTGTCTGACTTATTATATGTCTTACAGGAGAACTTCCACTCATCAAGGATGGTAATGTCTGGGTCGCGGGTGTTGACAGAATTTTGACGCACTTTTCCATGAGAAACCAAGACGCCAATGCGTCACTGACGCCCGAACAACGTGCCGTCTACTTAGCGTACGAGTTTCCTCGACTATTTACAACCGCGATATCTCTTTCTCACTTGAATATCTTTTACAGATACAATGCCATGATTCAGGAGAATTTATATGACTGCATGGTAAAGTTATTCTTGCAAAGTTGTCTCGGATATTGTTATTCACCTTTTGTAATTTGCAGTTGTACACTTGGTATGCTGACATGACGAACTTTGTCAAGTCTATTCGTCCAACCTATGCCAAGCTTCTCTCCTTCCCCGGCCGTTATCTGGTCCCTGTCCAACTCAAAAACAGTGCAAAAGCGCGACTGGCCAAATACAACGTCGAAATCACTTCGGACGACACTACTTTGCCACAAAACGAAAAGGAGGAGATGAAAGAGCTGCAACGAACGGGCTGGCACCATGTAAGTTCTCAGCGCGATAATGTATGTTATGCTGCAAGATTATTAACAAACATATACAGATGTATAAACTTGCTCGCGAAACGTATGCATCATTGGATGCTCAGTTGGGATCTCAAAAATACATGTTTGGAGACAGGTAACACAATCTAGATAGTAGCAAGTGGGGCCTCCAGTGACTTATATATAATTCCTCTTAGCCCTACCACGTTGGATTGTATAGTTTTTGGTTACCTGGCCCTGCATCTGTATCCCGACTTACCGCACGGTCGATTGCGACACATCTTAACCCATGAATATCCTCGTCTGGCGGAGTTTTGCGAGCGCTTCAATGCAGCCTATTTCTCCCGAGAACACGACGTATCAACGCCCGCTGAAGATGTACCCTCTCTGTGGAAGGTTCTGGTGAACAATCCACGAGGATTTTTCAGCAATGTCAAGGATGATATTGTGTCCTACATGGGTACGGATGCTCCGAAAGAAAAAAGTACAGCACAGATCGATTTCGAACGGAAACGGATATGGTCTATTGCTGGTGGCGTGACATGCTTGCTTGCGTACATCATTTGGAATGGCATTATTAGCGTAGAGTTTGACGGCGAACAGGGCGATTTTGAATCATGGGATGAATACGATCAAGAAGAAGTAGATGAAGAATTGTAATATTTGGTAGTTTAAAAAATGAAAGGGGAAGTTGATCTTTATGTCTCTTGCGTTCAAACACAAGCGTGCAATGTGTGAGATTCTACACCAGTGAATCAACATGAATACTACATTGCAATTCATTGTTGAAGATATGTATGATATGTTGGAGTTGTATCAAGACGATGATGCCTTGCAAGTCTCTTGGGACGAATCTCCGGTTTTTCTTGATAAATCTGCTTGTCTGCATAAAAGTGGAATTTATTGTTGGGAATAGCCAACGGCAAAAATAAGGGTGTATGTGTGAGAGAGAGATTAGCAATGGCGTCGAAAGGCACATATATGGACTTGCTACCTCGGATACAGAAGGATCGCTTAATTCTCCCCATAAAAAACCTTGGCCAATGAGGTGAATGCATTTTTTCGTTTCTTTACCCGCAAACCACTATGATTACAGCTTGCAGAATTTTTCTGATCTTTTCCGTTCGAAATAACAAGAGCAGACTCTTCTTTGGTCTTTTGGTTGATGTCAAACGGGGTTTATGCGTTTACTCTACAGTACGGTAGATACAGTACCGATGACCTGAATCACACAAATGCTTTAAATTCGACTATCAAACGATAGCTTTTATTGATACAAACATAAATCCGGTTATACATAAAGGTCATTATGTCAGCTTAAGTAGGTTAATTATAGGGTTGAAATTTGGCTTCAGAGGGAAAAACCAATACATGCATGCAGTCAAATGAAAAAAAAGCAAAAAGACCTTGTCGAATTTACTCTCTGACGATTTCGAGCAGCGTCACCGCAGCCCACTTTCTTTGTTCTGACCGATTTCCGCCCTTCAGCCATTGTTTCCTGCTCTTTGTCTTTTCGTACGTGCTTACGTTATGCCGTTCCGCCATTTCGATGTACACATTTCCACCAAATGGTATCTGAAGGTGGAGCGCCGTTTCGTTCTTTATTGTATCGCCTCGCGGTCTTTCGATTGCGGTTTTTTCCTACCGCAGTTGAAGTCCTTTTCACGGGAACCCTGCCAAAAAAAAATGGGCTCTGACAACTGTAAGTGATGTGAAAGCAATATTTCTGGCACTATTTTCTAAGCTGTTCCTTTTTTTTTTTTTCTAATAGCTTCCTGCTGAGGCATTCCTATCAGCCTCACAAGGACCTGAAAACCGACTCGAGCAAGAAACGGGCATTGCCAATCGCTCGAGTACTTTTCGACGTAGTCCCTGTTGCATTGGCGGACGCCGAAAACATCGAAAACATATGTCCTGGCGTCTCCCAAACTTGTCAATCAATTGCAAGCCTCACCTAATGAGTCTCAACCAGTGAACCTGTCACTCTCCGCCTGATTCTTCTAACAAGGTGATCACGGCCTAAATATGCAAATAACAAAAGTTAGAACATTATATCCTTGCATTTTCTTTCTCCTATTGATAAACATACATCAAGTTGCCGGAATCCCATAATGACTTTCTCTATTCCACCCCTGTGCTAGCTCGCGACGACTGCGTGTTACTATGAAGTTTTGATGGGGATAACGAAGGTAACGTTGTGGGAGGGAGGAGGCCTGTTGAGCGAGCACGTTGGAGACTTGTTTTTCTCCGCGGTTGCCTACCGGCGGGAGCCGGCCATGAGTAGCGGTAATCAATACCGAGACCAAGGTAGTAGTTGTGCACCAGGCATAAGTGTTGGTAACCGGTGCGCAAACAGTCCACAACGGCTGGACAGACCACTTGCTAGTTGGGAGCCTATCGCTGTGCATTTTTGCTTCCGTCGATCGGATTCAAGTGGCGAATTCACCAGTGGAACCTTCCAATCCGCCTTTTTCCGTGTGGACATAGGCATCGGTGAACATGTGCCCTTTGAAGGCGTGCTGTTGGACTCTAGGAATTTGTGCAGTGCATGAGCGACTCCCATTAGAATTTTGTAGCATTAATGTGCCTTACACGTAGCGATAGATGTCCTTCAACGCACGGTCATCATTATTTTGACATTGGACCTTGTTGATCTCGTCACTCCAATATTTTGTAATGATGGACATTTCGGAACACGCGTCAATATATGCGTCAGTGAACATATGGGTTCGGTATGTGTGTTGTTGAAGTCTAAAAATAATTGTGCATGAGTGTTTTATATTTTTTTCTACCACTAACTGCCTTACATATGGCGGTAGATGTCTTTGAGCGCTCGGGAGTCCCCAGTGTCTGCATTAAGCTTCTCTATTTCGCCCAAACTTGCTCTAATCCTTTCACTGGGATCCATCTAATGAATAAGTAAAAAGTAATAAAATAAATTACTCCAGCAGAACACTACTATACAGTAATCCATCTTTGCGTCTTTCAGTTAACGAACCTTCTTCAGATATTTACTGTATCGAGCCAGATGCGCCTTCAGAGTCGGCTCGTCGACGAGATTTTTAAATCCGTAATTTTCATCGAGTGTTCTTACTTTGCGCCTTTCATCCAGCGAAGCCAACTGAGAACCCGCAGTCGAATCGCTCATGTCAATAATCCCGTTCGGCTCAGTCTGTGTTATTGCTTATTTGGATAATGAGAGCGCTAAAGAATGAGTTTGGACATAACAATTAGAACCACTGTAGAAGGGGATGCTGCATAGCCTATGTGTGAAATGGTAGGTCCGAAGTCAATCATGGGCCGAGTGGAAGCCTCTAAACTAAGAGTCAACAGATGAACAACCTAGACAACAAAACATAGCGTCTTTCCGTAATAAGCAGTTTAATAACGGCTTTGTGCTAAAAGGAATCTTACTAGTGTCATTGTATGATTGTAAAATCGCTCGACAAAGATAACAGGTCATGTCACCAGTGTGATATGAACCCCTGTTAGCGTACCGCATATATTTTTTGCAATAGCATGGTTACAGATCCATAGTGGACGTATAACAGGAACACAACGCGGTTGCTGCTTTCTGTGGCAATTGTTGAGTGGCTGCAATTTGGCAACATGGTCAGACAGAAATTGTTTTGAACAAACTGTAGGAAATATACTCTAACGCGCCCATTGCCTGAAATATGTGTAGACGGCACAAGAAATGACGTTTGCCACAGCTTAGCCATGAAGGGTGCGCATCTTGACAGAGAAGCCGAGAAAGGAGATCACTTGAAGGGTCCAGGTGAACGTGTAGTTGAGTCAGGATGATGTCTGCGGAGAAACAATCTCAAACGAGTTTTCTTGCGATTAGATATGGTAGTTCATTTTTCCATCGATACATAGAACTACAAACACCCGGCCAAATAAAGATAAGGACTCATATCCTCGTCGATTCCGCGACCATTCATGCATTTGGGGCTTTTTCTTACGTCTCCGACGCAGTATATTATTACTGTGTTAGTACTCTACTTCACCTTTTTTTTTCGGGCCCCTTATTAGGCGTTAGCTAAGCTCAATGCCTTTTGACAACATACCAATTATTTCACTTACTTTCCCAAAGGTTCCGCTCCCAGATGGACAATCCTCCCCTCCTTGCCATTGAATTCACTATCTCCCCCTCAGTGACTTCTGTATAGATTAAATAAATATCCACTTATACAAAGCTATTATTATTTTATTTATTTACTGTAACTGGCCTTATTTATAAAAGTACATTCTTAGTAATTGGAACGATTTGTGGCTGTACAGTACAGTACTTTATAATTCCATGAGTTGAGTTTGGCTCTGTGGATCTTGTCCCTTCTCTTAAGTTATGAAAGGATGATAATTGGCTGAAATTGGCAAGCAGTCGGGAAAACAACCAGCGAACATGATTCATTCATGCAATTGCCACTCAGGCCCAAGTCTTCTAACGGATACTCTTCCATGCGATGTACAATGCAGTAACGTTAAGGCAAGTATGATCTTTTCTTCTGGTGCGCCCAAGCTATTGTTTTAAGTCTCCGGCAGAGAGTTATTGCAATGATGTGAACTGCACCCTTTCCCTCTTAAGATAGCGGGCAATAAAATGTTTCACACATGAGTAATAAGACCCATTGCGATAAAGCGTCATTCTTTCGTCAACCGCATGTCTTCTTCAAAAGTTCTTGAGAAAGAGTACGAAAAATTAACCAGTTCGGGGCAACTCTTACAGCTTCGATTAAAGCGCAAAAATGTGGAAGAGGTACAGTAATGAAGAAGACACTAAGTGATCGTACCAATGAGTTTCGTACCAAAGAGCCGACACGTCTCAAACTTAGCTGTTGAAACCGACAAAACGACGATCTACTCGTCTAACCTCAACCAGAAAAATCAAGGTATACGGTTATTATTCATGACTTATCTGCTTGCTTATGACCATTTCTATTTGAAGAAAGCAAACGATGCCATTGTTATTGCAGGTCTACGCGGGACACTTGGATCGAATCTTGTTGAATTGGCCGATCGCTTGCCCATGAACGATGCTAAGAAAAGATATTTTGCCCTGTATGTGTCAATAAACTTGCGAGCTATATTAGCTTGTTACCTTGAGGCTTATGATATTTGATACAGACTGAGCCGAAACGGGATTATCGACATGAGTGATTCGACTGCGCTGGCTCCGCTGGATGAAAGGCGCAGAGTAAAAACACATATCCAAACCAATACCGCACACACAGGCTAACTGTTTTGATCGTCATCCACCCTTTCCATTTATTAGATGGAAAAATAATTGTATCAATTAAGAATCTGGAAACACACCTTATCCTATCTCGAATCATACCACATACGTATGAATACTAGTTTAGTATGAAAGACATGTCCTATTAATAGCTAGACTTTGGAATATATTCTTTTTCCCGCTGAATACCCAACTCTCTCGAGAATAAAAGGCACCTCACAGAATCTGCTTATGGTCTGATCTGTTCATATTACCGCCTGCTCAGTAGACCCCTAAAAAACCCAGAGACTATTCATCAGTGATTATGCGGGTCTCAGTACCAACCCAAACATCGAGAATTTCTCAAATAAGAGAAAAATAAAAAGGGGAAAGGCGCGAACATTTGTTGATCGTAAGGCATAGCCCAAGAAAGAATTAGTCATAGGCCCTGAGGTCACCTTGAAATAATTCTTGAATTAAACTTGTAGGCAAATTTCCCGTCTGTTCGGTGTTGTCTGAATGCCTCATCCGCTAGTGTCGCCTATCAATAATAATATCCGTATCTGTCCTTCTCATTGAGCTACGATGCGGTGATCCATTCTTTGCTTTTGTTTCTATTTTTTTTCTTTATTTTTCGTGTATATTATTTTTGTATTTTCAGATTCTTTTTTTCTGAAATATCACATTTTTTTCTTAGCGAACTTCAGACGCTGATGTTCAATATTTGACCTTCTGTGTTCGTTAATTCATTTTGAAGTCACCAATTGATATTCGTTACCTTATCATCCGATGTTTACTTATTCATCTAGTGAGAATATTCACTTCACTCAATGACTTCTAGCTTAATTGATTTTAGTGTAAAATACCTTTATTTTTTGATTCGAATAAATCAGGGATAAAATACGAGCATATATCTTTTGATCTTTTTGACGCTCAAAGTATTGCATCTCTGTATTCCCTCTATCTCATATCATTTTTCGATTCGGCCACAATGTGTCTTAGACTCTTTGCATTTTCCTTTCCCGTTTCCAACGGTATAGGTATCCGGCGCTCACCAAAAAATCCCGAATCGAAAAACGCAAATCCCGACTACTTTATCTCAAAACGATTATACTTCTAGCAGCCGGACAAGAGAGGTGTTATTTGCTTTCCGGGGGAACGGACAAGACAAAACAAAGAAGAGATGGGACCCCGAAGCTGGATGGAAACAAGATAGTCTGACTTTATTCTAGAGATGATGGAATTTTTATATCAAAACAAAGAATATGAAAATCAGTATGTACTGTATACAAGGGTGTATTGCAGAGACGACACGATCTTACTAACAAATCATAACAAAAGTCCGTAAATTAAGGTAAAATTCCCTGGTGATAACATTTTCAAACAGTAAACCCGCAACATCATAAGAATATACAGTAAGGAGATTTTATTTTTTTTCTTGATGGACCTGAAATCTTTTGTAGCTGTGTTTGGAGACGAATCGTCACAAATTGCAATAGGTAAACATTCGAGCAGATACAAAATATCTGAGAGGGACGCCATTTTTTGTTCGGCATGGTGCTGTTAGTCAAGCACACACGTTGTCTTGGCCATAATGCACGACCATGTGTGATATTCGCCCAAGCACAATCCGCACAGTTGTAATACTGCTCCATGCGCTTACCCTATATGCTTGTCATCACACTTTTCTCCATCGATCTCTTCTCGCCTTTCAATTATCCACCGTTGTCTCATGTTGTGCTCTGCCTTTCATCTATTTCATTCATTCTTGTTGTTGTTCCGTTTCATATTACTGTAGTACATACCTGCTGTTAGGGTTATTGACGGTTTTGAATATCATAATGCCGTTGAACTTGCTCGAATTTGTTGAGTAAGCGCACCAACAGTATACATATATCAGAACGTTGTGCGTCTCATTCGTTGGAAACGGAAAGAAAAAGGAGAAAAAAAGAAAAAAAGAAAAAAAAAGACACGTTGCGTCTAAGTAAAAATCGAATCAGAAAAAAAATGAAAAACAAGTGCAATATTTCTAAGGATCGAAAGGTAGGGGAGTTGTGTTGATATGTTTATTTGGATCGGAAACTGAGGGTATTTATACTAAACCAACTATCGCTGAGTGAATGAAAGAAAATCAAGAGTGTTGAAGTGAAAATCAAAGCGTGAGGGAGCGACATTTAGATAAGAAGTAGCGACACCAAAGCTGAAGTACACCAAAAATCAAGATGTGATGGTGCGATGTTCAGGACTTGAAACTAAGGGCATATGTGCATGAGGACAGGCAGGTACACAAACTGGGCGATCGATTTCCACAACGCCGTAATAGCGATTCATGTTTTCCCATCGAAGAATACCCCTCTTCAATCAAGTGACCATAGAATATACATCCAGCAGCTTACTGATAATCCCAAGTAACATAAAGATGAGTAAGTCCACTGACATTCCTCTTTCGTATTTGATCCTGCAGATACCATCGTCGAATGTATCCCTCATAACGATTCATCCAGACAACGGAAAAATCATATGTAGGCAGGCATATATGCCGATTTGAATGAAAGCTGTATCATATCATGCGTCATTTCCGAACTTCCACTGTAGACTTATGTCCTGTGAAATACCACAACACATTCACCGACTGGGTTCCTGCGATTCTCTGAAACACGATTTAAAATAAGCCCTTATCATGGGAAGACAACAATTCCTCAGGTCGACGATCAACATAATTACAGCAAGTGATTGGCGGTAGTCCGGCTTTGACAAGGGTTGTGCTTTTTATACGGACGACTGGTGATGATGCTGAAGAATATATACAAACTGAACGCACCTTCTTCGTGAGAATATGGTACAGAGCACTTCATCAGCTCGTCTGCAAGCTTAAGCCCAAGGTGCATTCATTTTTCCTTGGCTTCAAAAAATCAGTTTGACTGTCGGCAGCG